ACCTTGATGCTTCCCGAACAGATGTCCACCAGCTTCGTACGCAGCTTCTTTCCGTCCAGACACCCAGATCCCGCCTGCCAGATCCGCCTCGCTTTAACGGTAAACCATACACGCTTCGCACATGGCTCCCGTCAATTAAAGCAAAACTTCGATCAGACCAGCTCGTAGGAGCTGATGCTTTTGACTATGTATGGGATCGACTAGAACAGTCTCAGCAAGCTTCTGTCCTGCACCTCCGCCAATCTGCCGAAGAAAACCAGCTATGGGATCCTGAAGTTATTTTCTCTTTTTTCAGCGTCTATGCCATAACCCACGGGAACAGCAGGAGGCTATTCAGCGCTTTACTTCTATACAACAGAGGGATGACGAATCGCTTATCGCCTACCTTGCTCGTTTTGAACGACTTTCATATGAAGCCAATGTAAACTCATGGCCAGATATATCACGTGTTACCACGCTACACCGGGGCTACGGCCTAATCTCCGTCGAATACTAGAAGACTCGAATAATTCTCTCTTTGATCTTCCCTATAATGAATATATTGAACTTGTCCAGAGTACCGATCGGCGTACCCGTCCTAGTCCAAAATCAGCCCCGAAACCAGCTTTGACCCCGAATACAGACCCAATGGATACTGATCCGGTCCGAGTCAACTCAGTTAAAATAAACCCCAATCCTGTTCATGTTGGCTCTGTGAGAGTAGCCCGAGCTGCTTCGCCTGTTTTATCTGATTCTTCTCATGAATCCACCACCTCTGACCGCCGCCGTTTCCGACTTGCGAATAATTTATGCCTTTACTGCGGTTCTAATGATCATTGGATCGCAGACTGCGATGCCCGCTCTACTTTGTCTGATACTTCCGAGAAACCTCCGAAAAAGCTTACAGCCCGCGCCAGCAACCCGCCTCGCTATTAGGCCTCCTTCGGAGGCCTTATATAGGAAGGGGGAGTAGTGTAAGGGGCTAGAGCCCCTCAGCCTACTCGGGCCCTCAGCCCTCGTGTTTCCTTTCTCCTCGCCTGCCACATGATTAGTATATTGATTAGTACACTCTATCATGTGACTTCCCCCCCCTTACTTCGCAATCGTCTCATCGCTGTTTCCTCTTCTCTTTCCTCTTCGACGATTCCTTTTGTATCCACCCTAGTTATTAGGTTATAGAGGTTTAGCCCCTTGACAGAAAAGGTATTAAGGACAAGGTAACTAGGCAGGAAATAAGCAGTTAAGTGTGTGGGATTGCTTTAATAAGGTTATATTAGTATTTAATAAAAAACCTTAAATCTAATGCAAGTATTGCAAAACGTTATTAGTATATTTAAGCTTTAATAAAAAAGGAACAACCACTATAAAAAATTATCTAAATAGTAAAAGATGTGGATATGCACTTAGTAGTAAAAAAGGTGTAAAGTGTTTAATAAAGGATTTTATAAAAAAAGAAAAGGTATAAATGGCCTTTTTTATAATCTAACCATGGTTAGATTACTTATTATATTTATTATTCTAGGTTAATAAATGTAACCCTGCCTAATTTTATAATTAAATACTTTAATTTATTATTATATACTAACTCCCTTTTTGCACTGTTAAACATATTTAGTTTAAACAAATAATAAAAATAATTCTAGGATTATTTTTAATTACCCTTCCAAATCGAAATAGCCTTAAAAAATATTTAATAATCCTCTTTTTTTATTTATATTAAGAATTACTATCTTTACTATCTTTAAAAGGAAAGATCTTAATCGCCTTAGACTATTAGACTAGTCCTAATTAGAAACCTTTTATAGCTATTACTAGTTACTTTATCTTAGCAGACTTTTAATATTATAAGATTTTTCTTGGGTTTCCACCTATTCCGGGAGAACATAGTGGAGTGAATCTTTTAGCTATTATACTAAATATTTTATAGAAACATAATCTGCTATTAAATTCTAGGATTATAATTAATAATACTAGTAATAATAAAACAATATTTTTATTTTTTACTTAGAAGTTAGTAAAAACACTTAATACAAACATATTTTTTCGAGATTATACTATTAATCCTAAGTTCTATTAACTTTTTAAATCTTAATATTATTTTCCTTGCCTTCTTATATTATCCAATTATAGTTCATGCATTTTTGCAGAAGCTTAAGATTTAACCTAAAATAACAAAGTGTTAATTCTTGGGATAATAATAATTTATAATTAATAAATCTGGCTTGCTTAAAAATTAGAGAAGGTATAGTAATCTAACCATGTTAGATTAAAAATCTAGCTATATTAATCTTAGATTCGGCGGATATCTTGATATATTAATACAAGCCCTTAACAACATAAATAATTTCGCAAGCTTTAAAAAATTAAAGTAGGAGCAGGTAAGACTTTTTTACTTTTTCTTAATTATAATATTTAATAAAATTTAATGTTTTTATGTTACATCGTGCCTATAAGTTAAGAGTCTTTATTAATTGCTTTATTTAACTTAAGTTGTTAAAAGTTATTTTTTACTAGCTCTTGGAATGTATAAATAGCAATATATTAAGTATTTTATTTATCTTTTTTTAGGAATTCTGGATATATACAACCTGTTTATTAGAATATTAAGGAGCTACTATTTATCTTGTTCTTAATGTCTATAACCAGCTATTTAATTATATTAAGGACTCGATGTCACTATTACGCAATAAATATTAACAGTGGAAGAGATATCTTTACTCGGGATTAGAGGCTGCCTATAAAAAGCTACACAAATATTATAAAAAGACTTATAGCTTTTATAGTATAATATATGCAATTACATCTATTCTTAACCCTTGTTATAAATTATTATTATTTAATAAGGGTTCATGGTCTGGGGGAGTAAAATTAGGTGCAAGAGTATTAGCACACTTTACAAAAAATCTTTTTATATTATTAGACCAAATATTTTTTAATAACACCCTCCGATCTATTATCTACTTTATTAGATGGTCTTGAAAAGGCCTTTTTTTACTCTTGTAAATATTAATTATCTCCCTTTACTTAACTAACCCTTTTAAAATAAATTATTTACCTATCTTAATAAGCTATGTTTCCTACCCTAAATTTTAATAGTAAACTAATTATAGTTAGATTACAGCTGTTCACCTTAATAATCAAGGTTTTAATATTCTTAACTTTTGGTATGCTAATATTTCTTGTTTTCTAATCTTATTATATATTACTAGAGATTTCTTAGCTATACCTGTAAGTGGGGTTGGCGTAGAAAATCTTTTTAGTAGTGCTTGGGATATTTTTATTATTGTTGTGGATAACTAGCTCCCGAAACAATTAAAGCTATTATTACTTAGATATATACTGATCAATTTATAATTAATTATAAATTTTAGATTTTCTTAGACGAACTCTCCAGTGAGCTATTTACTAAAAAGATTGACTCTAATAAGAATAATTTTCCAAACAACTGGTATATTAGTAAGGAAGAGGATCCTTTAGTAGCCGATGCAGATTTAGATAAGGATTCTTTAGAATTGCCTATTATTCTAGCCTTACCACGCCCAACACCTTTATCGTCTACAGCTAATAATTCTTGTTTATAACAACAACAAGCAGTATACTCCCCTGGTTATTTTTAGCATCTTAATAATAGAAAGTAAACCTTATATAGATAAATATACTTATTTTCAAATGGTAAATTATTATTTATGTATTTGTGGCTAATCTAACCATGGTTAGATTAATATCATAACCTTTAAGGTAATAGTCTTGCAACACAACAAATTTTTAAAATTGTAATGTGCGTTATTTAAACAGTAATACTATATATTAGATTTTTTAGATTTGCGGATTCTGCGGTTCCTGCCTTTAGAAACCGCAACCGCATGAGGATTCTCCCTTTAGGGACCGAATCCGCACCGCTGTGGGCGGTGCGGATTCGGCGGCGGTTTTTGCGGTTCCTCCGTGCAACTCTAGCCCTGGATGTCCGTGAGATTGAGCTTTGATTAAAATAAAAAGATAAAGGAGCCTCAAAATAAGGGAAAGAGATAGAGCTTATAGTACAGACGGAAAAATTACGTCAAATAAATAATAAAATATAGTTAAGGCTTTGTATAGGTTAGCTGCCGTGTATTTAAAACTCTGTAGTGTATTTGCTGGAAGCCGTAAAATAGGTCATGTGATTGACTAGCGCGGCGTCTCACCTCTAGAACGGTGCCACCCGACCTGTAACCTGATCTGTCGACCAAAATGGGTCTATATTACCGATTATTCAGCATCCACTCGGTCCGACTTTGTTCCTTTGTTGACCATTTTTATTCAGTTCTCCCAGATAGATTCATATAGTCAGAGACCTTACCTTCAATATAGATGGATCCTTATCCATAGATCAGTGATACTAGCTCATACGCGTATTCAGCTGGCCGACAGTATCATTCCTTAGCATATATGCCTGACTGAATGCCATCACGCGGGAACTTCGCGTCTGAGATTGACTCGTAGGCCGGGGAGTGTCCGGGCCATTGAATCAACATCCTATAGCTCAAACTCGACAAGGCGTAGAAGGTTAACTTAGATGAGAAGTATCCCTTTGGCAAGCAGCGCTGGTCTTGCAGCGATATGCTGTAGGGAATAGTTTTGGAATAGTATAACCTCGGGCCTTTGCTCTTTGAACCCCAACAACACAGATATGGCACTATCTGCGAGGTTGAATCCTCTCAATCTGATGAAACCTTTATCTAGTTGAACTGAGCTGTGTCTTCGCTTACTTAAGTGATTCCTCTGACCCTTGCTTGGGCTGAACAGTATTCGAAGCGAGGATGCCCTTCGGTCCCGAACTTGGCTCTCGGGCCCGATAAACGTGATAGGTCCGAACTCCCAGAGATGGCGGCTTCTTAGTATATTATCATAGATTCATAATTCCCAGACAGTGTGTCCAGACAATGTTTGGAGTACTTTATTCAATTCATCACCTTCGGATCACCTTCTCATCACGCAAATCATATTTGTGATTCTGTCTCCTCAGAATTTCTTCCTCCGCCACGATGACTTCGAGCACCGACACACCACCAGTTGCCGAAGTATGTCTATCTACAAAGGCCTCCGACGCCGAGAAGTCCCATGAAACCACTGTACAGAAAGCCACACAAAATAAGGATGGCTACGCCGCAGCATCTCGTCTGGCGTTGATCATGACGGCAATTCTCATGGCCATGTTCCTTGTTGCACTGGTATATTGCCCCAATCCATTGCCAAAATGCCATTACTAGAGTCTAGTGCAATTATTGCTGAACGTACCTTTACCTAGGACCGTACGATTATTGCATCCGCTGTTCCTAGAATCGCAAATCAGTTTCACTCCTTAAATAATATTAGCTGGTACGCGGGCGCCTATTTAAATACCAGCGCTGCCACTTAGCTGCTGTGGGGACGCATCTATACTCTCTAGGACACCAAGCTCATTTTCATCATCTTAGTTATAATCTTCGAGGTCGGCTCTGCACTTTGCGGCGCAGCTCCTAACTCTAAGGTGTTTATTATCGGCCGCGCAATTACAGGGATTGGATCGGCTGGTATTTTCTCAGGTGCGACTGTTATTATCACCCAGATTATTCCTTTTTAGAAACGGCCCATGTATATCGGTCTCATGGGCTCGACCTTTGGCATTGCCTTAATCGCTGGGCCTCTCTTGGGAGGTGCATTCACAGATAAAGTGACCTGGAGATACTGTTTTTATATTAAGTATGCATTTCCAGTCCCCAGTCTCTCGTCCATCAAGTATTCTATAGATAAGCTTTTTAAGTCTTCCCATTGGCGGGTTTACCCTCGCTGTCCTCACCCTCTTCCTCCGTGTTCCTTAAAACCAGAACTCCGATACGTTGTCTCGTCAGTTAATTCGACTCGATCCTTTGGGCACTCTTGTGTTCTTGCCGGGAATGGTCTGTTTCCTCCTCGCTCTCCAGTGGGGAGGTAATAACTATCCCTGGTAAAATGGCCGCATCATCGCACTTTTTGTGGTGGCTGGCGTTCTCGCCATCGGGTTCTGTATTATCCAGGTCTGGCAACAGGAAGATGCGACAGTTCCGCCGCGCATTATCCGCCAACGAAGTGTCTTCCTTGGCGCGATTTTTGCGCTATGCATGGAGGAGGCATTATTTCCATGCTCTACACGCTGGCATTATAGTTTCAGGCCACCAAAGGAACCACAGCAGTTCACGCCGGCATTGACACCATTCCAATGGTGCTGTCACTCGTTGTGGGGTCCATTTTGTCCAGATCCATGATTTCCAGGATGGGATACTACGTTCCTTTTATGTACTTGTCGACAGTGCTAATATCTATTAGATCAGGCTTAATCATCACATTTACTCTGTCTACTGGTCACTCTAAGTGGATTGGGTACGAGGTCCTCTACGGTCTGGGACTTGGTGTCGGAATGCAACAACCCAGTATGGCCTCTTAGACAGTGCTATAGTAAAAAAACATCTCCACCGGTGTGTCCATCATATTCTTCATGTAATTACTAGGTAGCTCGATATTTAACTGCATTAGCCATGCGTTGTTCACCAACTACATTAGGGCGCATCTCGCCGGGATTCCTGGTCTGGATATGGAGAAAATTCTGGCCACGGGTGCTGCGCATTTGTCAAATGTTATTCCTGCAAACAAGTTGACGCAGGTGTTAGAAGTTTATAATAATGGCTTACAGAGGTCGTTTATCGTCGTGCTCGGCGTGTCCTGCCTGACAATATTGCCCGCCCTTGGTATGGAGTGCGATCTGTCAAGCAAAAGGGGGGGCAGGCGAAGACACAGCTCCAGGCTAGTTCAAAAAGTGATGCTTGAATGAATCGTAAAGTCTTTGGTTGACAATATCACTTGGCCTACTCTATTCTCTGAGTTTACTGTTGGTCTTAAGATCCGTGGAAAATGAAGGGAAATTTCGGTTACTAGAAAATGAGCTGCGGGCAAGTAATGGTGTTTGAAGTTGCAGGACATGGGAATATTGTTTCTATACAATTTTGGGGATATTTCATGGGCAAAGAGGGTAGGGGAAGAAAGGGATCAAACGGATGCCAGAATCGAAACGTGTTCATAATATGACTTTATATTTAATTTCCAATTACTGTGTGCCTGTCTGTCGCTAGTTGACTTAACTCATTGCCTATGTAACCGAAACGGTTTAAAGTTGATAAAGTTCTAAATCTCATCTGTACTCACACACTTGTCCAGCCGCACACTGCGGCCTGCGCTGCACCAGGAGAATGAAACTGGGTCTCGTAAATTGTCTTTTACTTCGTCCAGTCTGTTCTAGTGGTGCTCTTCCCAAACTGAAACAAAATATATATACAGGCACTGGACAGACGCGTCTACAACAGTGTCAGCGTAGTGCTAATACCCTCCCACTCATAAACATTATTAAGTTTTTGGAGAAATCCCAATAGTCTATCGTGGGACTTCATCGAAGAGACGGCGCATGCGTGGCTGGAGCCTGAGCACCGACACAGAGCTGGTTTCAGACCTTCGGGAATCTTCATTTGCTTCGGGCCCGAAAGGACCAAAATAACGGCACCACCCGGAAGATCTAAAAAATACATACAAGCTCAGCTCGGTATTCGCACTACGGACATTCTCCGTAGCGGCAAATCAGGTTAGGCGCAGGCACGTGAACAAGTGAGATCAAGTCACGTGGGGTCAGACTATATATATATATATTGTGCTTTTGAAAACCTCAGGAAGCCAATGCACCGTATTATGCCTACTGCGGCCCTCCTACACTCGACCAGTGCTTTTCCCTGTCAGTTGTTTGGGATGTTTTCGCCGAACACAATTCATGTCGCTAGCATTATTACCACCCGCCGGTTGGTGACAACCCGCTCTAAGTCTTTGAGTCCGTTTGGCCTGCAACTACGCCCTCTATGGCGACAGCTCTCCATGTCCAGCTCCATGCAAATACTGTCCGGACAAGGACAACAACCGTGGGCGAACTCCCCGTTCACTCTCATCACGAACACCGGCATAGACGCCCGCCCAGAGATCCCACGAGACCACCAAGCTCACGAACTGGCTCGCAGGATGGCCCACATCCACAACCTGCTCCTCCGCGCCCTCAACGCCTCGTATAACCAGTGTCTTTCAATACGCCCGGACACACCCGAGACGCGGGATTTTCTTCTCTTCAACCAGTGCTTTTACTCCATGCTGCAAAATCACCACAATATGGAAGAAGAGTCTCTGTTTCCAGCGTTCGGAAAAGTGACCGGCAATCCCGACGTGATGGCAGTCAACATTCAGGAGCACAGGCGCTTCGAGACGGAGCTGCAGAAATTCCGAGATTACATTTTTAACACGGACCCGAAGGCCTACAGTGGAACGCAGCTGAAATCACATCTCGAAGGTCTCGGCCCGTTGCTCCAGGAGCACTTGCATAATGAAATTGCGACGCTGCTAGACCTCCATGTAGTGGACAGCAGCACCCTCAAGAGGGTGTTCGACACGGCCAAGAGGAGCTCAACGGGTCAATCCCACGACATTTTCAAGTACGTAGCGTTCCTATTACCGGACAGTGTTGTTCACAGCGGGAACTTGTGCATTGATGGGAAGTCATGCTAATTTATTTTGTTCAGGGACATCCCCTTTACTCTTACATGTGAAGACAACACGTTCCAGCTGGACGGCAAAGCGACGTCCCCTTTTCTGGGTAATCTCGCTAGGCAGTTGCTCAAATGGACTTTGGGCTGGCGATATCCCGGTGTATGGCGATTTGCGCCAAGCGATTTCTTAGGAAATCCGCATCCTCTGTTGTTGCCGAACTCGTCGAATTTATGATGCGTGAGGGTAGCACTTGGTTTGTATTCTTCAGCGCCCAGCTCCGTTTATAAACGCTTTATGGGTCCCATAGATGCTAGAGTTGAAAGTGGGAGTATAGCAGTAAGCTTGAGGTGACATTGTATACTATACTACACAGTAGGTAGACCTTGGGTTAAAAATCTCTCAATCGGCTTGTTACTCATCTTCATAATACCGTTCTCATCCTACCACGTCAATGAACGAAATAGCGATCCGTCTTTTTATTCTACTTTTCCTAAACGATATAGCCTGTACTGATGCTCGTTTCTTGACCTTGTGATCTAACTCCTACCAAGCACCAAACTCAAATCAATAAGCACTGGGATGATTTCCAAAGTATCCGTGAGTAACATCACAGAGCCGTTGCAGTACGGCACCGCATTCGACATAGGCAGAGAATCGTTCCTTCAATCTCCTGCATGTCACCAAATCGCTCCTCGGATGCCATAGGAGTAGTCTTCCCCCAGTGCTCTTGTAGAAGACCTCCGTCATCTCTGCATGGAAATCTGCATGTGCCAGTTAGCTTTCCATATATGGATCTAGGATACAAAATACCCCGAAATATCGAAAAAGTACTCACATCGGTTCCCCCGGTAAGACTCCCGCGGATCGGCATTGGAGGGGTTTAGAGGGGGCGAAATTCAGTCTCCAGGGGTCCAGTGCAGAGTCCGGGAATGTTCCAAACGGCATTTGAGGGGTTACGTTCTCAGATACAGTCAACAGTCACAGATTCAGGCAGCTGACTTGAAGCATATCATATCTGGGAACGAATGATAGGTTCTAGTTTGTGCTCATTCTCTGCTGAACAAAGCTGTTGTGTTCCCAGACTCGCTCGGTAGTATAAAGGTTTCAGTGCAATTGAAGAATCAATACTATGCCGAGAACTTGCCGAAAAGTGATTTACAACACAATATTTGACTTTCTAGCGTTTTTATTCTGTAAAATGGCTACAATGATCGTGGCTGCCGAACCCCGGCCAACCGCAAACCACGCCAGGTCCAAGGAAAAGCCCCCATTCCATCTAATGGGACAGCTTCGGAGTCCTTGATGGAGGCTCTTTTAAACAAAATCCAGGAGAATGCGTCTCTCATAAGTGCATTCTTGCGTTGCAATGGCCACTCTTTGCCTTCATTCAGCATGGACGCTCCTACCACCTTGCCAGCCTCGGCTCCATTCACGCCGCAAGACAGGCGCTGATAGGACGTTCCAGCTGGCTGCGGGCCGCAACGAATATCTGCCGCACCTGGCGGCTAATGTAAGTAGTATGTTGCTTTTCTGTTTTTGGGTTGATCTTGTTGAACACGGTCCCTCACCTTAGTATCATTATATCACTTATTTGCAATGGTTAATCCATTTTGGAATCTTCGCTCTAGCTTCTCTCACGGGTCGTGCCTCGTACAGCATGGTCGCAGCGTCTGCAAATGTCTCCGAAAAGCAGTTGAAGACTGTGGCGCGGATGGCATTGATGAACAATTCTGAGTCGGAGCCGAATATCATTGTGCATACTGCGAATCTGCCCTACTGGTGACAAATCCGAGGTTCCACGACTGGGCTTTGTTTATGTGCGAGGGATCACTTCCGACTGCGTCGAAGTTGATCGAAGCCTCCGAGAGGTGGCGGGGAAGTGTGGAAAAGAACCAGACGGTGTAAAATGTTGCATTTGAGACTGGTCTTCCATTTTTCGGCCACCTCGCCACTTCACTGGAAAGGATGAAGCTGTTCGTGAGCTGTATGAAGAACGTGCAAAACAGCCAAGGAACGGCTATTTATCACTTTCTGCAGGGGTATGATTGGGCCGGCTCGGATAAAGTAACGGTCCTCGATGTCAATACCTCCATTTCCGTTCGTATTTCCCTGTGACAAAGTGACCGCAGTGGTACTCTGCTTGTCTAGTTCTGACTTTTATGTCCTGCTTCATTTTCTCCTGTCTGCGACGAGGTAGCTAACTATTTGTTAAGGTCAGAGGCTCCACTTGTACCGCCAGTATCGCACTAGCCCATGCGTTTCCAGGCCTCAATTTCATCGTGCAGGACCTGCCAGACAATGTCACGAACGGAAAGCGGCACTTTCTGAGCAGCGATCGAGCGTCGTATCCCGGATCTTTCTTCCAGGCACACAATTTCTTCGAAGAGCAGCTGTTCCAAGACGCAGACGTCTCTGCGCAGCGACGGCCATTCTCAAGAACCTCTTCCCAGCGCTGAAGAAGTCCTCGCGGATCATCATCATGGACACGGTCCCCCCGCGACGAGGCTGGATCCCGTCGGCACAGGAGCGTCTGTTTCGCGCAAGATACATGATGATACTGCAGGCTTTCAACAGTCTGGAGAAGGATGTGAGGATTGGAAGGAATTGCTGAAGGGCGTTGATAAGAGGCTCAATCTCTTGAACGTGGTGTAACCAGTTGAGAGCGTGACGCCGGGTAACTTGAATGCCAATAGAAGCTGACTAGGTTGATCAAGAGAAAGAACAGGTCTTATGCTATGCAGAACGTGGCCTGCAAGGATCCCACAGCATAAAACTTCCCTTCTATCCCTCAGCAAAGCCAGGCTAACTTATTATCACAAGACTAAAATTACTGAAACTGATTAAATAATTAACATACCTCCAAATTAGATTGAAACCCCAGTAAGATGTCTGTGACGATTAAAATACATCATACTGTACATTGTATGTATGCTGCGTTTGTAATGATTTTATACCACTGCATATACAGTACATTAGAAAATACAAAACAATACAGTGTCCAGACCGATCTCTATTCGATCAGTCTTTCCAACTGAGGAAGATGTGATGCAGCTACAATACTACATAAGTACTACTTTAGAACGAAAATTGCTCGCAGATTGCCTCGATGCAAGTTTATAGAGCAGTGTTATGATTGGACGGCACCTCGAGAGTGTAAGGCACAGGTTGAGTCTTAAAAGCTCTTGTATACACGAGGATCACCTCAGCTGTTTATCACATGTCTGCCATCACGTAATTTTATTGTTGTATAAAATATAAGACGGTTGCTTCTGTGTATTTTGCGGTAGTTAAAGAGAAAGCCATAGTTATTTTAGGATAGGTAATTGAGCCTATTTAGTTTGAGAAGTTTGAGGTTTCCTAATGTGTGTATATATTGTGTTTTTTTATATACACACTACCACGATGGAATACTCTTGAAACTGTGGGCTTGGATTCCAAAAGAACATCAGAACAAGTCAGTCATGGCACCGTTCGATGCATCCCCTACTAGCCGTGCATACTTGGCCAATACTCCTCGTGTAACTTGCGGCACTGGTGGCCGCCATTCCTTCAATCGCTGCTGGATTTCCTCCTGCGAAACATCCATATTGATCTCGTTGGTTTCTGCATTAATCGTGATCACATCGCCGTCACGAACAACGGCAATCGGTCCTCCCACCGCAGCCTCGGGCACAATGTGTCCCACGATGAATCCGTGACTCGCTCCCGAATATCGTCCATCCGTGATCAGGGCCACGTTGGTAAGTTTGGCTCCCATTAAGGCCGCGCTAGCTTTGAGTTGTTCTGGCATTCCCGGTCCACCCTTGGGGCCCTCGTAGCGGACGACAATCACCAAATTTTCGCCCCGTGGGATTTGTCCCTGGTTTAGAGCCTCGTTGAGCTGATGCTCCTTATCGAACACTCGCGCCTTCCCTGTGAATATAGTCCCTTCCTTCCCAGTGATCTTCGCCACCGCACCGCCTGGAGCGAGATTGCCACGGAGGATCTGCAGATGGCCAGTTGACTTAATGGGATTATCCAGAGGATGGATAATAACTTGGTCGTCAGGTAAAGATGGGAAGGACTCCACATTCTCAGCCAAGGTCTTCCCGGTGACAGTCAAGATATCACCGTCGAGCAGGCCCGCGGCAATCAGTAACTTTTGGACCGACGGGACGCCCCCGATGTCATATAAATCCGCCATATAGTATTTCCCACTGGGAGCAAGGTTGGCAATGAAAGGAATCTTGTCGCTAACCCTCTGGATGTCATCCAGGGTGAGATCAACACCCGCTGTTCGAGCCATGGCGAGGAAATGGAGAACGCCATTGGTGCTCCCTCCCAAAGCCATCGTAATGACCAAGGCGTTTTCAAAGGACCGCTTAGTTAGCAAATCGCGGGGTCTGATATTCTTCTCCATGCAAATCTTAATAGCATCGGCCACCTTGACGCATTCTCGCATTTTTGATGGTGAAGATGCTGGTGTGGAGGACGACCCGGGCAAGGACAGGCCCATTGTCTCGATGGCCGTGGCCATAGTGTTTGCAGTGAACATGCCTCCACATGCTCCTGCGCTAGGACAGGCATGTTTTTCGAGGTCATCCATGATCTCGTCCTTAGTCTTGCTGGTATCTCCACCATCATCTGGCTGACGCAGGGTATTGTATGCATAAGCCCCTGCAGCCTCAAAGCATGAAGATACATTGATTGGCTTCCGGAGAAGGTTGGAGTACCCAATTTGGATAGTACCGCCGTAGATCATGATCGATGGCCGGTTGTGTCTGGCCATCCCCATCACCACACCGGGCATGTTCTTGTCGCATCCAGGAATGGCGATACAGGCATCATGGTACTGAGCGCAGGTAACAGTCTCGACACTATCCGCAATGATTTCACGTGTTTGAAGAGAAAATCGCATGCCTTATACTCTGTCAGGTATGTTCCACTTCAACGAATGGAGGCACAACATATACACACCTTCACTGCCCATGGTTATCGCATCTGAAACTCCAACAGTATTGTATTGCCACCCGATCATGCCCTGATCTGTGACTGCCTTCTTCACGGTCTTTCCCATGTCCAAAAGGTGCATATTGCACGGATTCCCCTCCCACCATACCGACGCAACTCCAACCTGTGGGCTTTTAGCCATGGCATCCTGGTCGGGGACACCGGCCGCATAGAGCATTGCCTATAATGAATAAAGCCAGTCATTAGTCCAGCGTGACAAGCCAGACATCACTGATGCTATTCTATGTAGATAAAAACCAACCTTGGCACCTGGAAACTCATGTCCTCTGGTGATCGTAGTCGAGTACCTATTCAGTGCTGGGGTTCCATCTTCATGTTTCGCATCATCAGGAAGGCAAGGAAACTGGATATATTTGGCCTCGCTCAACGTAGACGCCATTGCTGGGTTGGAAGAGTCCATGGTGACTGAATAGAATGGCGGGGAAGCTCACACCGTCAATGCAGTGGACAACCACAATAAAACAACAACAACAATAATAGTACTAGTAATAATAAAGCCAAAATTTCAGATTCAAATCCTCAATAAACCGATCCAGAAACTCAGCTTCAACGAGGAAAAAAAAAAAAAAAAAATCAAGCATAAAGAGTAGTAGGAAGATAAAGCACAGCCAGCGATTTACTCGGTGGCTCCTCATTCAATGCAGCCGAAAGCTCGGAGTTAATCGTCCTGTCCAAAATTCCAAAATCGGCCAGAACTCCGTTGCGGGGGTGGACTGAGTAAATGGGATTTGTCTCATTACTCATGGAATTTGGGTCAGTGACTAATTAGTGGTGATATTCTGGGGATTGCGTTTGCAATCTGACTGATGTGATTTGATGCGGTCGGTTTGGTGGGTCAATCCATTCATTACTCGGTCGCTGTCTGTCTGTGGAGCAATTGTAGTATAACGTGAAGACAGGACCCTGTCTATTTGGAATGAAGCTTTTGATCAGGGAATAGTGGCTTTAGATGAATAAGATTGTGCTGGCTGTGCTTTGATATACTGGGTATTATACATGTATGCATGCAGAGGACATGGGCAGCCAATGATTCAACGGTTCATTGGGTATCTTCAATAAGAGATGGATTTCTATAATACTCGCTGTCACAAATGATAATGCATGACATGAAGTAATAGAGGGTCCAGCCATGTAGAGACTTACGACCCGGGGATGGTATACGTTACAAACCCTCAAAGAAAAAGACCATGCCATACCTCATATCGTCTCATTGGGTGCTTCCTCAGGTTCATCCTCGGTGGACTCTTTCTCGGCCGAAGACCAGTGGCTTGAGTGCTCCAATGATTCGTCAGGGGTCAGCTCCTGCAATGGGCTTGACCTTCCAGTAGGACTTCCGCGTCCCTTGTCCAACTCAGTGTCGTTGGCATCGGTCGCATCGGTCTCATCATGCATGACGAACCCGACCACTTTTCCAGAGCTCGACTGTGGCCGAGTTTCCTCGAGAACATCACCGTTCCACGGCTTGCATTTCTTGACAAGTTCTCCACAACGGAGGCAAGCCCAGCCTTCGCCTTCTTCCCCTTCCAGCTTCTGGACGAGACACACAAAACAGTATATACACCCGCACGGGATCGTCTCGTAGGGGTTCGTGATATCGGTCTGGGCGGATCCTGATATACCTCCGGACGAAGCCGATGCAGTCATCGCCTCATTTTCCATCGCGGCGGCCGGGTTGCTGTCTTTATAGCATATTGCACAGGTCCTCTCTGGGAGAAATGCTAGCTCTCCGTGTTTCTCGGTTTGCTCCACATCATCACCGTTTGATTTCAGGGTCGACATTGTTTTTCGCCAAACTCTGGAAATCCATCGTCGCCACCGATTAATTCCCACAAGTGGTAGCAGGAAAAGGAGGAATTCCGTGAAGGCGTGCCATACAAGCTGCCGATTCAGGTATTCGAATGATACTTCACGACTAGCTTGTGCAGAAGGAGGGGTAAGACGAATACGAAGGATTCGGTCTACTAATGTTCGATATCGACCGTTGACTAGGAATACACAGAAGGAGATAAAAGCTGCGATTGAGTGTGTTGTGGAAACAAGGTCCGTTACGCGTGCCAGAACACGCACTTCCTGTGATGGCTGCTGAAATGAGTATTATTGGAAATAAATAATCGGGGATCTTTAAATGCTTACTTCTTCGTAACCACCTTCTTGGTTGACGAGCCAGCTTTCCCATTTATCCCAAGCGTAGCGACCGCCAACGGTGAGCAAGCCATACAGAGACTTTTGCAATTTTGTTGGGGTGGAGTGAACCGGGCCCTTGCTGCGACTATCAATGTATCGCAAATTTTGCAACGCTGCACCGTAGGAAGCATCGTGATCCCAGATCGAGAGCTTAAATAGAATTGCGCGGAGAGCAAACTGGACTTCATGAGACCAGTCTTCCCGTGCTTGAGGCTGGTAATTGCCATGTTAGTCCAAATAGAACGAATTTAATCTAGACATGCGCGACTGCAGTGGTGACATTGCAGGAAAGGAACGGCCTACTCCAAAGTATTTCAAGGCTTCCCCGACCTGTCCTTTAAGCAACCCCAGCAATTCCTCATCCAACAATTCGGCATCAACTTGCCCGACACGAAAGGCGGGCCTTATACCCTCGCGACCCTTGATTGCATTCCATAGCGATAGACCACTCTGCGGTAGGCTGCATAATGGATAAGGAAGTCGTTGAAGGGCGGGGTGGTTAATTGGGGACGCCTGGCGTTGTTCCGCAAGTCTGGCGCGAGCTTCCGCCTCACGAAGACGGCGGCGTTCAAGAACCCGTTGCTGGGCAGCGGCAAAGTTCGTCGAACTCATTGTAAAACCATCATGCGACTCAAAGCTTCAATCAGGTCGCAAAGCTATGTAGGTCGACGCGAGAAGGGATTATCGGTAGTTGCAGTCGATTCTATGGTTCAGTTAATTCCCCGGCGGTCGTTTCCCCAGACGGAGCTGCCGAGGTCGAATGACGGCACGTGACATGCTCCTCGCACAAAAGGGGGAATTGCATGCATCACTCCTTCAACTCCGTACATAACGAGGGATATTTCTTCCTCACGAAACCATGACGCTTCATGAAGTCTTTGGGGTTATGTTATTGCTATTAATACTTGGGCAGTTCTACACTCTACAACACTTGATGCTCTGGTACAACCAATATTGGAGTCTACTCCCTAGACAGGAACCCTCAGCCGAGTACTGCAGCGTAACAGCAAAGTGACAGCGGGGGAAACTCATGATGATCCTAATAAATAGCATCATAAAGGTCACGGCACTCACATGGCAGGCCATACGCACAACTTATAGTGCGAAAGATGAAATCAACTAATAGACCGTCGGGTGACCACCATCCAGGCAGGTGCTTGTAGGTATCATGATCCTCCAGAACGCTAGACTAGGGAATATTGAAGCAACGAATACAAGTAGGGCAGACCTCGCCTATGCTTAGCGTCCATCCTTCATTTCTCTACCTACAACTCCAGTAACGGTTCAGACCTACCTTCTTGGGCTGGTGTACAGTACTTGGGTGGGTACCTACTAACTGAGTACCGTAGGCTAAACATATACGCTACTACCTACATAGCTATATTGAACATATCATAGATTTATATAGCACCGAATAGGATTTGGATGCAAAGGCAAACCATGAAACTAATTTCCTGAGCAAAGGGCCTTTCCCCTGCAAGGTACTCAAGACTGTCAAATGACATGTGTACGATTAGAAAAATCCATGTGCAGTAATAGATGGAGGGTTACACTTCCAATTGTACCCTACCGCTCTTCCCCACTCAACCCAACAGCTTTCTTCCTCTCCCGTCCATTCTCGAGCACACGTGCGATGCGAGGTCCTTACTAAGCCTTTGCCTAGCCGGTTCCTACCCCACTCTCTATCATGTCCAACTGCCTACTTCGGAGTAGTTCCTCTTACGGATGTATGGTTCACCAGCATTATAAGCCATATAAAACATGAGAAAAGCTTTGAATCCGCCCTCTATCCACCGCTTAGCACTCGGGAGGATGCACTAATAACTGCTATCTAACTGGTCCTGAATCCTACAATCCTTGTTTACTTCGGGACAAGCTTTCATTTAGCAGGCAGCCAGCGATCATCGAATGAGATATCCTTTCCAGGCCGCGTGATCCCAACGTCCGAAGTTCAAACGGTGCAAGATATCTCTCAATAGTGGATACCGGTACTGCCCTAGAGGCCGACTTTGGGCCGATATTAGCCACTTGTTGTTGTCTCGTGGAATTGGCACATGGTCTCATGCGGTAAATTGCCCCTCGCATTTACCTATAAGAATAGCTCTTCTCGCCTCCTCCCTGTTGATCATTCTTCATCTCGTATCCCTCAAATGTATCGGTGATCGCATGACAAGGAGAAGTCTCACAGAATGAGGTCCTACGTTACCGCTCTACTTGCAGGTGCTTCTCTGGCCCATGCCCAAGTTGCTACTTCGAAAGAACCTTCGCAGACAGAATTCGAAGCGGCAGTGGCTTCTACTGAGCCGTACTCCCCGGTGTCGAGTGTCAAGGGTCTTGCTTTTGACCGTTTCTTCCAAGTGTGGCTTGAAAATATCGTATGTACCGCAGTGTGACATACTCGGTGTGTTCTTCAGGACCCTGACATGAATGTCTTACAGGATTTTGATGATGCTGCAAGTGATGAAAATGTCCAATGGCTGGCCTCGCATGGAATCACATTGTATGGTGCTTCCTCCGCTGTCGAAATTAAGGTTTAACACGTCACAGGACAAATTTTTATGCAACCACTCATCCTTCCGAGCCAAACTATTGTAAGTTTCACTTTCCTCAAAACACTATCAGTCAAGTTGGTCATGAGTATTAACCATTTAAAGGTGCTGCCGCCGGAGGTGATAACTTTGGCATGGATAACGATGACTTCAATCAAATCCCTTCAAATGTATCGACGATTGCCGATCTTCTGGACACAAAGAAAATTGCTTGGGGAGAATATCAAGAACATATGCCCTATCCTGGTTTTCAGGGGTATGAATACCTCAACCAGAAAACCAAGGCCAATGACTACGTTCGCAAGCACAACCCGTTGATCCTGTACGACTCTGTTACCGAGAATAGCACTCGTCTTCGCCAGATCAAGAACTTTACTCATTTTGACGAAGATCTGGCAAACGAAAAATTACCCCAGTGGGCTTTTGTGACTCCGAATATGACCAACGACGCACATGATACCAATATTACCTTTGCTGCCAAATGGGAACGTAATTGGATCACGCCCCTGCTCAAGAATTCCTACTTCATGAAAAATACATTGGTTCTTCTGACATTTGACGAGGACAACACTTATTCGAAAAGCAATAGGATCTTTAGCATTCTTCTTGGAGGAGCCATTCCGGATAATCTCAAGGGAACTAAGGACGATACGTTTTATACTCACTATTCAGTCATCGCAACAGTGTCCGCAAACTGGGGCTTGCCATCCTTAGGCCGCTGGGACTGTGGAGCCAACATCCTTGAGATTGTAGCAAATAAAACTGGGTACATCAACTACGACGTTGACACTACCCATCTCCGCCTCAATGAGACCTACCCTGGCCCTATGGCCAATGGAGATTATGCTGAGCACTCGCCTGAGTGGCCCATCCCTTTGACGGAGGGCGAATGCTCTGCGGGTCACGGAATCCTCGATATTGTTAAGGAGACCTATAAGAACACCAAGCCTACATACAACTACACGAGCCCCTTCCCCTATGACACCAAGAGCGGCTATAACGAAAATGTCACGGCCACCAGAAAGCCTTCTCTCAGTGAGAAAGCTTCTGCTACCGCTTCCGCTTCCATTAAAACCAATGCTGGCTCTTCTCTTGAATTGCCCACTGTTGGAACGATCGCCGGTCTTGTCATGGCGCTCGTGTTGGGACTTTTGTAAGAATTGGCATGAAAGAGACCTGTAAATACCTTGTAACGTATGAAAACGCAAGGACGAACCTTGTGGCCGCGAAGGTTATACATAGTATAAGCAGATTTTTAGGATAGACCAATACGCAACCAAGAATTGAAGGTCTGCCTGGTTGTTCAAAATTATGAGATGATTATGTAGATTCCATCCTCCTAGTCCTATGCTATAGGTCCCACCACTACTGCATTTGATGAATGCGAATACTCTAGAGCCATGAATGCATCTGAATTTTTCAGAAATCGGATATGCCCCAAAAGCATATATATGTCCAGTATATCACGAATGTATCTCAGTCAAAATAATCTTGGTCTCAAGATAGTTATCCAAACAAGATGGAAACCCTTCTCGAACTATACCACTCATTTTAAACCCACCAAATGGCATGTCGAGTGCAATGCTGGGGCTTATGCAGTTTACACGCACCGTGCGCGCCTCCAGCGACTTGGCCGGGCACACGGCACGATCGATTTCCTAGGTGAAAACAAAAGCACGGAGGCCAATCTCCGTGCAGTTCGCCTTTTCGAGGACTTCGGTCTCCAACTTGATGTTAACCACCACCTCAGGACCGAAGACCTCTTATTTCAAGATTAGCGAATCCTCGGGGACGTTCTCGAAAACGGTTGGTTTGATGAAGCAACCATCTCTACCGTCTCCTCCCATAGTTAGGGTACCGTCGTTCTTGCCAACAGAGAGATAGTGTTTGACTCGTTCATATTGAACACCATCAACCCGCGGTCCATTGGACGTGCTTGGCTCCGGAGGATTTTCAAGGACTGCTGCCGTGCTAAAGTTGCCTTTAAAGAGCGCAAGGAACTTCTCCGCCACGGCCTCCTGGGCGTAGATACGTAAGTTAGCAAAACAGGACTGTCCATTCATGAGTTGAATACTGAACTGGGTATGCTGAGACCACACTTTCTAGATCAGCGTCGTCGAATATAATAGCGCAACGTTTACCGCCGAGTTTCAAGTGCACGACTTTCATGTTTGACGCAGCTGCTGCAGCCTAGGTCGTGTGGCCTGTCGTGTGGCCTGTCGTGGAAAACCCGGTGAATGTGAGACAACATATATCCAAGTCAGATCCACGGGTGCTGCTGGGGCAGCCGAAGCCAGAGAGGACATTGACAGCCCTCAGGGGAAATCCGGCTTCGGCGACTAGTTTGACTGCCAAGATGGACTTGATATAGGGAGTTAGGGAATTAGTTGTGGAATAGTGGCAGGATATAACATTATAAGCGTGGACTTCCAGTCAGAGGTGCTTTTTCACTACTCTGCAGCACCACGGTATTACAGGCCTCCAATGTTGGAACAATCCCGAGGGCAAAAACCTAAGTGATACATTCCACGGGATGATGGACGAATCATATCATATGGCTGATTAGCTGTAAGGTTGAGATGACCGGGAGTATTCAAGCTGGAGGATCCTTGCATGTCCCAGCTGGCCTGGGAGAAGTAGGAGAACGTGTCCACGGCAGATTTTACGTCAAAGTAACTCAAGATAGCCTTTCCTGTCGGTAGAGGCTCCAGACGAGCGAACTCGGACTGGGTCTCTGTAATCAATACCGCTATCTTTTGCAGATAGACACCTCTCTCGGCAGGAGATAGATCTCTCCATATTTGGAATGCGACTTTGGTGGCTACGACGGCCTTGTTTATGACTTTTTCGTTGGCTTCGTGGACTGCAGGGCATCAGCCTCGGCCACTACCCTAGGAAATTTATGCCAGAGACAGGTCATAATACCCTCTGAGCCAGATTCCCAGGTATATGGATTAATCAAGCTGAATACCTTTCCGTCGGTTGCCGGTTGGAACTGTGTGATTCACGAGGACTCAGAGGGAGAATGGATGACAGGAGTGGTTCTTATCTAGTTATTGATGAAGAGTCTAGTCTCGATTGACTGGGGATTTTCGACATGTGCCATATTGACGAGTGTACAACAAGCTCTGGCTGGTATGCACACAGACTTTGAGGGATGGAGAAGGGACCCTCTCTTCTTATATCTTCTGTTTGCCGAAGCAAATGTGATGCAAAGGATAATCCTCGAACATGTCACCTCATCCTGATAACTGCTAGCTAGCTAGCTACCAGTTCTTGACAGCATATCCAAATCATTGGGGCTACGGACTTGATGGCAGGACAGTGCAGTGGAATTGCTGTCAAGCTAATTCCTTTCTCTGTTACTTCATACAGTCAACTATAGTGGATGAGATCTCACCTATTATTAAGCCAAGACGATGCTATATGCAAGATATTGAGTTCAAATGCTTTTCATAGTCCATGACTGGATAATCGTCTTGTTCTTCCAGCATCATGATAGAAGCTACCATCCCATTTCCTCGACACCGTCTGAATCTAGCAAATCAACAATGTCATATACATGTTATCGAGGATATAGGCCTCCATAGGAGTTCTTGTATTATAGTAGAACCGTAATAATTATTCTTCGTGTCTTACATGATACCATTCTAATACATTTAAAACAAAGACATTAAGAAGCGATGTCTTCGTGCTTCATATCTGGAAGTGTAAGGGTATCCTGATCACCAGGACGACGTTCTGAATCAATTTTCACTTTATACTCAGGGCCATCTTCTCCTTCATACTCCCTGGCATGTGCTAGACTAGCAACCAGCTAGGGTACCTTAACTACCTATGACAGCCACCACAAATAGAATTAATCACGTACCTACCACGGTAGTCCCGACTGCTACCGTCGTCTTCGGGAATGGGCACGCAGTTACTGCCTGTGGCGCCAGCTTCCCTGCCAGTTCTGAATCCCTTTGAATCCGGAACTCCTTGTCCACCATTTCATTGATACCAGTCTTAGCGACTAGGGAATATCAATTAGTATCTATATCCTACAGTACAACGGCGTCTACATATTGGAGTCACTCTTGGGACCAAGACCCTCTTTGGCCTGATAGGAGTTGAGATCTTGCTCGGCGCGGGCGGCTATATGAAGCTTGTCGGACATTTGTCTAATGTATATTTTAACTTGTCAGATAACTGGGGTTTTAAGATAAATGGAAAGGGGGCGATTATATGGGAAATACCCACGATGACTGTATGAATTGGTTTATTTGAAACTCGCTATACTAATTGCCCTACGTAGTTTCTACGAAATATATATCTGTTTATACCCCCTCAGTCAGTGCCCTTTGGAACATTGAATCAGATAACTCTATGTAATCTATCTTCTCGAATTCCCTAAGAGATCTCATAAAATAGAGAAATGATTCACTATTAGTGGATTAGAACCTCGCATGGCATGGCGACTTGTTCTGCATGGTATCTTACCGACAAGCCTCGAAGCCCTAAGGATACTCCCCAATTTAGACTAGCCTCTAGGGTCTTGCCCTAGGGTTCCCCGGGAAGGGAATAACTATGTCCCGATACATCCCGCCAGGGCGGGGACAGGCAGGAACTACAAAGTAGCAGTGAGTTGTGCTTGCTGAGCTCGCCCCCTTCAGGATCTCTTTACTTTCAATAAACAGGACAGGGCTTCGGAGACTTGGAGTCACCCGGATGCCACGATTTTGAAAGTCTTGGGAGCTCATTGGCTTTAGTGTCAATCTCAGTTCTAGGATAGTACCTATTTCTGCCTGCCCATCAACATGGCTCAGGTCGTCGAGCTTCCCGGAGAATCCAGTCCATTAACGCTGCAGAATGTTCTCAGTGCCTTGGTCTTGGCTGCTAGCTCGACGCAGCAACAGGTGCAGACTGGAACGAAGCAGCTCCAGAACTGGGAAACACAGGAAAAGTACTATTCATTTCTTCAGGTATCTCGAACTATTCGCCAAGTCGTCTACTTCGCTGTCAAATGACTAACAACTTATCTCTCACTTTAGGATGTCTTTCTTGATTATTCTGTGCCGGCCGAAGTTCGATACCTATCCATCATTCAATTGAAGAATGGCATTGATAAATATTGGCGAAAATCAGCGATAAAGTAGGCGTGCCTTAAAGCCTTTGGTATGGAACATCGAGTAACGTGAACTGACCTGAAATAAGTGGCATAAAGAAGGAAGAGAAGGATCGTATAAAAATTAGGGCTCTTCAAGCGGGTCTTGTTGAGCCCGCCCCTCTTCTAGCCCTACAGAATGCGTTGATGATAGCTAAAATCATGCGTTCCGAATTCCCACATGACTGGTATGGATAAGGACTTCGCCCTTTTCTTTTCTTTTCTTTTTTTTGTCTTCTCTCTAACAGTTCGTTCCAGGCCTGATGGAATTTCCTCGCTTATTGCGTCCCTACGTGCTTCCATCCAGGCTGGCGCAAACCCTTTGCAATTGCCGCGGACCCTTGTAATTATTCTGCAGATAATAAAGGAGCTGTCGACGGCTAAAGTTATTAGGGTGCGGACTAATTTTCAATCTGTTTCCCCGGAAATATTTCACCTTCTGGGAAGTATATATGTGGATAAAGTGAACACGTGGGCTACGTCTTTGGAACAAGGTGGTATAGATGAGAGATCGTTGATAGACGCGGTAGAGCAAAGCCTTGTCTGTCTCAAGGTTATCAGGCGTCTTATAATTGCCGGATTCGAGCATCCTAGTCGGGATAATGAAGTTCGAGACTTCTGGGTACTAACTCACACTCATTTCAGTAGATTCCTTGGGCTCGTCAATGGTTCTATCAGTATACCCGAGACTGTCCACAAAGCAATTGAAAAGCATCTTTTGCAGCTTTCGAAGCTCCATGTCGAGATGGCAAAAGATAAACCCGCGTCTTTTGCCTTGCTTCCGGACAGTATTCCACTCGTGCAATCCTATTGGACCCTAGTTATTAAACTGGGAGAGAATTATGCCCAATTAGGAGCAAGTAGTGAATCAGAGGGGAAGTCCCTGATGGAAAAGACGGGCCTCAGAGCTCTACTACTCCTTAGGGCTTGCTCAAAAATGGCCTTCAACCCGGCGCAGTCCTTTAGGTATCAAACCCCTCAGGATAGGGAGGAGAAAAAGGCGTCTATCGAGCTCATCAAATCTCAATTGTTTACGCATGACTTTGTGGTCAACGTCATGGAACTACTTGTCACGCAGTTTTTCCGGCTTAGGAAAAGCGAGTTTCAGGAATGGGAGGAAGACCCGGAGGAATGGGAAAGAAAAGAGGAAGATATCTCGGATGCCTGGGAGTTTTCTATCCGGTCATGCTCGGAAAAGGTCTTCCTTGAGCTAGTTATACACTTCAAAGATTTACTCATCCCCCGACTACTGAGCGTGTTTTATTCATTTGCGAGTAAGTATCCGAACCCAGCACGTGTTTAGGCCTCACTCCACTAACGACGTATTCCGCCTAGGTCTCGAAAAGCGTGACATCTTGTTGAAGGATTCCTTGTACTCAGCCATTGGGTTGGCCGCGGCAAGTTTAGAACAACATCTAGACTTCAATAACTTCCTGGAGACAACGCTCGTCCCAGAAGTACAAATACAGGAACAGGGATACAACCTCCTCAGGAGAAGAATTGCGATCTTACTAGGCCAATGGATCCCTGTAAAGTCGAGCGAGCTGAACAAAGAAGCAACCTATCAGATCTTTCAGCATCTGCTCAACAGGCAAGATGCGCTAAACGACCTGGTGGTCCGCATCACCGCTGGCAGGCAGCTGAAAAGCGTGTTTGATCCGTTTGAATTTTCCGCGTCCGGGTTCATGCCATACGCGCCATCCATCCTCCAAAACCTAATGGCTCTAGTTCAAGAGGTAGAGCTATCTGAGACTAAGATGGGGCTGTTGGATAGCGTCCGTACGGCTGTAGTGAAAATGGAAGACCATGTACGTACTATCTTTGACCCGCAGCAGGCATGTGCGAATATGCTAATGCTCTTGAAGATTGGCCCCTTCTCGGACCAGATTATTGCTTTGCTACCTCCGTTGTGGGAGGAGTCCGGCGAAGAACATTTGATGAAGCAGGCCATTCTCACCATACTTTCTTCATTAATACATTCCCTCAAACAAGAGTCCACAAGATACCACTCGCTCATATTGCCTTTGATTCGAAACTCAGTTGAGCCAGGCTCTGTATGTTGTGGCCATTGTAGCCCGTATTGCAGACTTACTAACTGGCGCACAGGAAACCCTGATATATCTTCTAGAAGAGGCATTAGAACTATGGTCTGCTATCCTGACGCAGACTCCTTCTCCAGCTTCCCCCGAAATTCATGCACTTATTCCTGCTCTTTTCCCTATACTCGAGGCAGCAATGGACAGTGCCCCCCAGGCACTTCAGATTGCCGAATCTTATATCTACCTTGCGCCGCAGGAGATACTGAGCGATCGTATTCGACTTCCTCTCCTCGCCTCCTTCGAGGCCCTCTTGAAATCCACCACTAAGCAACGTCTGGGTATTGTACCACGACTAGTGGAACTGATGATCCGCGGCGCCGAAGCTGTGGATGGGGGCAGCGAGAACACCTACAACGTCATTAGCCGGACGCTTATTGACAGTTCCTTCCTGCCTGCGCTTTTGGAGGGTCTTTACTCAGCCCATGAAGCCAGCCAAACGACCGGGCCTAACCGGAAGCAAACATCGGTCTACGGTGTGGTTGAGACGGACTACCTCTCTGTGTTGGCCCGCCTAGCCCTCGCACATCCTAAGATCTTCACCTCATCCGTTTCTGCCGCGACGGGGACATCCGAAGAACAAGTTCTCACCTGGATCCTCACGGAATGGTTCCTCCACTACGACAACATCGGCAGCGCGACGCAGAAGAAACTCCACGCTTTGGCACTGACTCAGCTACTCACCCTCAACGGACCCGATTCCCAGCCTCCCGCGTACATCCTCAACCACCTCCAATCCTACCTCAACATCTGGACCGACATCATCACTGAGCTCGCCGAGGGAACTGAAAACAACGGCGATTACCTGATCTACTGGAACAGCGCCGAGACCGGCAGGGCAGACGAGAACGAACCACCAGAGAACACCCGACGGCGCGAGTGGCAGAACTCGGATATCCTGCACAAAATCAACATCCGAGACTTTGTCCGAGAACGACTCCGTTCATTGATCGCTGGTTGTGGTGGAGAACAGCGGTTCCAGGAAGAATGGTTGATCAATGTTGATCGTGAGGTTGTTTCGGCCTTTGGGGCTTTGGGACTCTTTTGAATGGACATCTGGGATTCTTGCTTCATTTCTTTTCGTTATACCTTTATACCATTTTGTAGCTACAGCTTTACACGGATAGTAAAAGTGTATTCGAATTCAGGCTACAAATCCCTTGTTCTTTCTTTTTTTTTTCAATGGATCTAATCTCTAGATGGGACTACGTTTTGTCAGACATGATCATAGTTTCCAGCACATTAAACCTCAAGAGCTAAACCTTACAGGCTACCACCTCCACCTCCAGCACCAACAATCTTCAACCCACCACTTCCCGGCCCATCTGCCGTGGTCGAATATGCCAACCAATACCGCGACGGATGCCACGCCACGGCGGGGATCCCCGAATTGACGCCCCCACCCGTAGGGACGGTATACACGGTTTCACCGGTCTCGGCATGGAAGATCTCGATACCATTCCCACCACAACCGAGCTCGTCGCAGGCACCGCATATGAATCTCCCATCGAAGCTCCAGCTGACGCCGCGCACCGCGCCGCCGTTGTTACTGGACACGGTGCGACGGCAGATCCAGTCCGTCGTGTCCCAGAGGGAGATAAGTGCGTCGCTGCCGCCGACAGCAAGGTAGCGACCGGTGGGCGCAAGGGCGATGGCCAGACAGGCGGATGTGTGGGCGTTCAGGGTATGTAGGAGATCAAAGGAAGGGTAGGAGAAGATCTTGACTGTTCCTTCGCCGGTGGTGGCGAAGAGGTGGAGGTCGGGCGAGTCGGAGGTGGAAATGTGGTGTGAGAAGGTGGTCGCGTTGGTTTGGACGGACTGGGGATGCGGATCGAGAGTCTTGTAGATGGTTGAAGAAGATTCGGGGGGCTTGGTCGTGTCTGAGAGGATCGTCGGGGTAGAGAGAGATTCAACGGAGATGGGGATCAGAGTATCATCCTAAAAGATTGGGAAGGAGGGGAAAGGGTTAAAATAATTCCACTAGGGTTTGGGTTATCCTGCATCTCGTTTATACTCACCTTCCTTCCGACCATCATCACGCTGCCATCTGCGGACCAGGATAAGGTGAAGGCCTCGCCGCCGACGTCGAGCTGGCTCACGCACGTCTTGGAGCGTACATCCCAGATGCGCACGGTGCCATCCGTCGAGCAGCTGGCCAGTTCGGAGTCTCGCACAGGATTGAAGAGGACCTTCTCGATGCCCGCGGTATGACCACGCAGGTCGGTGGAGTATTTGACCTGCGCACGTTCGGGGTTCCAGATTCGAAGGGTACGGTCTGCGGAGCCGGTCGCGATGAGTTGACCAGTTGGGTTCCATGCTATTGTTCGGATTCTGGGTTCGAGAATGGGGATTTTTTCATCTCAGATCAGCCTGGGATTTCGGGATTTCATATATACGGAGTTTGCAGGGCGATGCGTCGGGAACAGGGGAGAACACACGTGTGTGATCCGGGGGTTCGTGCAATAGGATCATGGTAGCTTTGGGTCTTGAGACCCCCGAAGGCGAAGGCGAATCGATCCTTAGGCAGGAGATTGCGGCGAGGAGGAGCCATCACGGACAGGTGACTGCTGCTAGACTAAGAAGCAATGGTGACAGCAGGAACCCACACAGATGGGAAGCCCCGAGGGGCGGTGGTTGGCGGAGGTAGAAATGACTCTCTCACACAGCAAGGAGGAGAGATCGGATTGCGATCATATAGACAATTAATTAATGGAAGATGGAGGTCGGTGGAGTCGAGAAGATGATGTCGCCGGTGAGTGCCGGGCTGCCTGAGGCACACAGCAGGTGATCAAGAACAAAAGTCAATACATCAATTCACCTGAGCTGTACTCCATACACTTCCACCTCTGGACAAGGAAGAGTTCATCCACAATTTCTGAATTAATCTATCTCTTGCTGCGACACCCTGCAGATTCTCACAGAAGCGACTTAACTGGATCACCCAATCAACGTCCTCGCTCGCCACTCGTCAAACTCATCAAATTCCAGCGCGCCCAATCGCTCCAGCACAACCATTGCACTAGTTAATTCTTCAAACAAAAAAGGAGGGAAAAAAAGGGTGGGGGAAACAGTTTATATTGTCACAGCTATGAGCATCCCGTCCTCGTAGGCCGAGAGAAACTTCCGTGTCGTTAGGTCCAGCCGCATTCGAGTGCCGAAAACCAGGCACACTATTATTATCGGACTACGACAAGCTTTGGACCGCACTTTATTCAACTGTACGTCACCATGTTCGGCTTTGATGACGGCGCGTCCAGGCGCGAGAAGTGCTACACGGCTGTGGGCGAGCTACCTCGCTTTATCGACCCCAAGCAGCCGCCAACCAAAAGGTCGCCCTTTTTGGCCATTTGCGGTCATCCATTTCTGCACACGGTATCTTGCTCCCCGTGATTCGTGGATTAAAAGGTCCATATTGGTGTCAAATAGTGGCAGCAAGAATCTTTCCGTTGGCTAATTTTATGTATGTAGGTAGAGCTGATTTTACCCGAAAGGGTGTACACGGCTATCGAGAGTTCATTAAACTCTAAGTTGCAAAATCTACAATATGCCAGAGTGTTCATGTCTCTCTCCTCTCTGCTGGAGGGCGACTTTTTCAATACTTATATCAAAACGGGTACTTTACACTGTCTATTGCCCTTGGCTCGTTTCCACTTTGATGTCCACTTTGATATTCATGTGGTTGGTCTGCGATCTGACCCGCTATAGGGAACATCCTCATGATATCAGAAGGCCGACCAGGCTCGGACAATGTCTTCTCCCTCCGAGATGGTGCGTGCTACTGATTAATATGCGAAATAGCCGCCAATCGCTAACAGAGCCTAGGAGTTCTGAGGCTAGAGCTCGGAAAAGAGATATATGAGCGGACCGGACTCACCGGGAGGCCTATTCGCAGCGGGGCAAGAAAGCATGCCAAAGAAAGATATCGTACGTGCACTATCTACCTCTGCCAGACTCAATGCGTTAGTGACTGATTTGTTGGAAGTGATCGAGATTAACCTGCGACTGCCTTCAATGCTCCATGGCAAGAAAGGGTTTGAGAGGATCGTCTGGGCATGCAAAAACGTGCTTAATCAGTCTGTAACCTGGCTTTTCTATGATCTAGGATCTGAATCGGGTGGTATTTCTCAAGGTACGCCTCAAACACTACTGAGTATATGTTAAACCCACGTTTAACAAGCCAACAGACGATTTATCTCTAAAAGGCTACTATCCGCACATTATCGACTGTGAGCCCTCCCGGACATATCATCGCAATGTACTCATCCCATCTTTCAAATCCATCCACGTCACAGAGTCCAACCCCCCGGAGAACCTGAGAAGCTCATGCAACGAGCTCTCCGAGTGGCTCGCAATGGTATCTCTCCAAAGCTCCCAAGTCTCTTCAACCGACGATACCGATCCATATCTATCCCGCTACAGCGTCCCGGATTCTGAGGACGGAAATGGAAACTCAAACCCCTCCGACTTGGTCAGTTTGAAATGGCACGGGTTTGCTAACCCCAAGTGGGTTATGCAACTATTCACAACTTTGCTGTATGATATTACTCCCCCCTTTCTCTATTTCATCCTCCAAACTCCATGGCCAGGAATAATTAAGCACCAATGCCATGACCCGACTAACGTTATCATCCAAAGACGAGAAATTAGCCCCGTTGCCCCTACCGAATCTGCCTGGTTTGCTCTTTCATCGAGCGCACTTGGAAGAGATGCAGTGGAAGGGAAAGACGGGTACACGATTATGACCCTGCCGCGGACAGGAAGTGATAAGGAACCTACAGATTCTCAATCCAAAGGTTCTCGGATGTTTGTCTGTTGGGAATACGTGGCGGCTTCTGTCTTGGATAAATGAACTCTGTTAGGGAATACTTGCGTCTTTTCAGAGGATCTGGGGGGGTTCTTTGGTATTTGGAGGTATAATGATGCTACATGTATTTGAACTATGAAGGTTTCTAATGTAATGTATGGCAACGTATCTGGCTAGCGGACACTAGATACTAAAATACTTAAAATAACACTTGTCATATTGGTTCTATCTTAATGCTATGCCAACACCCTAGAAACCGATTATCCAAAACGTCAGATACTTTATTCCTGCCGCCTCCAATCTCCAATAATAATCCATACAGCTCCAGTGATATGAGCCGAGACATAACGTCGTAAGATATACCCTAAACTGAAAACAGTGATCATCTCCTCATCCTACAAGGTCGTTCACGACATCTTGGAGTATGGGGCGATTCCCAACGACTTTATTCCCGCTCAACAATTTGACGCCCTTCTTCACGGGCCTTTTAAGACCCTGCAGAGCTTGCCGACCTTGCAGTGGACTCAAGGGGTTGCGACTCGGGCGCTTTTCGTGGGAAGAAGGGCTCATTTTTTGACTAGGGGTGGATCTATGGTCCTGGGCATGCGGCTGCGTCTGGAAGATGCCATCAAATCCAAAGCGGTGGTTGTCCATAGCGTCTTTCGGTAAGTCGTATACCCATCCTCGTCCTTCAACTAGCTTCACGTATTTCCCTAGCAGCTCGTTGCCATCCCGGAGGGTGCTCTTGCTTCCGAGAACTAGGAGCTTAGTTCGTGCGCGGGTGAAGGCGACGTTCACTCGTCTCCAGTCACGGAGCAAGTCGCCTACGTGTTTGTCCGCATTGCTTCGTACGCAACTTAGTATAATGACCTCCTTGTCTCGCCCCTGGAATTTATCGGCGGTGTGCATTTCCAGCTCCGGCACGAGGTGGCGAAGGTTTTGCTTCAGAAGCGACAGTTGGCTGCGATAAAACGTGATGACTCCAATATTGCGGGCTGGTATGCCACATGAAACGAATGCTTCAACAAGTTGAGCGCAAAGAGTCGCCTCGGTGGGGTTCACAATCCGGGATCCATTTGTTATATCCCGGGCAGGTGTGGCTAATTTGTCTGTGTTGACCAGGCGGGTTTTGGCGCTGGGATCAACCAGGTCTCGTAACCAGCATCGGCTATGACTTGCGCCGAGGCACATCTGTCGTTCGCTTGATGACTGGGAAAGTCGTTCGATGTGGTGTCGCTTCAGGCCGCCGGTATTGGGTATGGTCAAAGAGCGTGCTGCGACTTCTGGAGTGCCACATTTCAGGTGGCCTGAGTAAATAAGGGTGTTGGAGAGAAGCATAATTTCCTCGCACATTCGGTACTGATGTTCTAGATTCACGACCGATTGCGGGTGGGAATCGGACAGTAGTTTAAAGAGACTAACATCAAGGCCACCCTCTTGAGCCTCCTTGTTTTGTACCAGTGGTGGCAGTTGATAATGATCGCCGACAAGGATGAAGATGTTCGCCATTCGAATGGGGCCCAGACACACCGGGAGTGTAATCTGAGATGCTTCGTCAACAATGCAGTAGTCAAATGTACGTTGGCTGAATATGTTATGGCTGACTCCAAGACAGGTTGTGGCAACCACTTGTGACCCCTCGTACGCTGCTTTCAGCCCCTCCATTGTGTCCTTAGGAATGGCCGCAAGGTCGGCGAATTGCTGAACATCAGGATGCACCTTAGCAGCCGCTCCGATTCGCAGAATGCGCATGTTGTCATCTCGGATTTTCAGCAGAATGTTGTCGACTGCCGTGTGAGTGTATGAGGTTAGAAGCACACTCTTCCCTTGCGCCACCAAAGCGCGGAGTATGTGAGCAATAGTGGTTGTCTTTCCAGTTCCCGGCATCCCAAGCACCAATGCATAGTCCTTGGCACTCATGACTTTATCGATGGCCTTTTTCTGATCGACATTTAGGCTTGCTACATCAGATTCTCGTATCCTATAGGAGGATAGGGTGGGTTTGAACATCGGCGGCTGCCCTTCGATAATTAGTCTCCTCAGTTGCCTGGCTTGAAACAAATCTCGCTCCATCATAGCAACAAGATTGGCTCGAACAATTGCCATGCCGTTGCTGAATTCATCCTTGTCAAGTCGATAGACGACTTCTTCCTCAGGCTCAAAGGATGCGTCTGACTGAGAGGCGCCGCTCTTGAGGATTTCTATTATGCCTGTGAACGATTGATTGTTGATAGCATCGAAGCCCTTTGTCTTGGATCTGGCATTTTGTAGTCGTCTATCGACGGCAACAGTAATGCGATTAGTGCTGACGTGCACCACATATCCATTGGCAAGAGCAAAGTGGCCCTTCTCATCCGAAACGACGACCGGCTCTCCAATCGTGAGCTGAGACTCAGTGAAAGAGAACCCTGGCGAGGTTTGTTTCTTGATGAATGTGTAACGATATCGATTGATCTTCACACCAGTTTTGTCCTCATGGGCTGACCCAGGCTCAATCACAACATTGCCAAAGCATCGGCCAAGAGCCTCTCGTTCGCTGCTAAGGAGAGTCCAGAGTTCTCGTTTGAATCGCATCATGTTCTTCTCCTCCTTAGTCAGCAGATCGTCCCATTTCTGAAAAAAATCCCGATGTTGGGGGTTCAAATGGTCCATGGCTTTAACAAACTCATCACCCAAGCCACTCGATTCTCCGTCTCCATCATCTGCAAGTTTGTGGTAGATGAAACAGGGTGCTTTCGAAAAGCATTTGTTGCATAGGCCGGCTCTTTTGACCATTGGCGGCAGTTGCGTTCGCTGGCGCATATATCCAGCCAGGCGATTACGTGCCTGAATCATCTGAAGCAGTTCGTGTCGAATCCCACGAATGCGCAAGATTTTTGAAGTTTCAAGATAGTACAGTAGCCCAAATGTAACCTCCACGTCTTGCAACACGGATAAAAGGTCAGTAAATGCCAACAGCGTCGGGAAACCGGCTGCACTCACCATAGCGATCAGAAAGCAATAGGGTGTAGAGAGCCGTTTGGGCTCTATGAGCTTGGTTTGTGTCTCTGTTGCCCGTTTTGAGTTCAAGCGGAACAACGAGATTCTTAACGATTCCTCCTTCATGACAGGCCACCTGCACAGTAGCATCAATATTGCCCTTAAGTCCGTACATGGGAGACCAAATATGCTCCTCTACCTCCAGCAATTTGTTGATACTCAGACGCAGCTTGGAACTATTCCGATCCTCAACAAGAGATTTAGGCTATTTGGCATGTTAACCACCACCTGTTTACTGGGATTGCACTAGGAATAACTCACACTTGGCTGTGACATAAGAAATAGCTCTGCCCAAGACGTCATGGCCGGAATCTTGCCCATCATGTACTCAACGGCCTCTGCAACGCTCATGTGGATCAAATATAATTCTTCGATGTGTTTGATGGAGGTGGTTTCGACTAGAGACCGCAGAAAAACAGTATCCCACCGGTTATTCTTTATAGCTTCTTGGAAAACCTCATGGGATATATTTCCGAAAACCTGGGCTTTGCTGGCGTCACCGGTATTTTTCAACCGATCCTGAAGGACGGCTCTTCGCTGGCAACTGACGGAATCTGCCACAACCGTCGCCGAAACTAGATGGTCTGGATGCAAGATTATCATGTTGTTGGAGTCGTCGACAACGCAATGGCCGTTGGCATCAAAGTCGCCGATTAGGTGAATATACGAATCCTTACTGCATGGGCTATCAAACCACGATTCTCGCAGGATAACAACCTTCTTCTGCTTTGCTCTCTCATCTTGCACTAACAGCACCTGCTTACTATGTCAGTCATCATCTTAGCCCTCCTGGAGCATGTAATGGCAGACCTGCTCTGGCTGGATGCGTCCTCTTTGGGTTTCATATGTGGACCCAGCAACATCAATGATCAAATACCGTTTGATGGCTTGTCGACTGTTTAAGTTCTATTTGTAATATACTTAGCGAACATATAACGGATTTACCCACTAAGGGTGACAAACATGATTCAGTTCCTTTGCACCTGATTGTATCATAGACTGTTCAATAGCCTCCATATCAAAGTCCCCATCATCAAACTCGTCACCAGAAAACGTCTCAGTTGATATGTTCGTATCCCCAGCGGGTAGTTGGGCTATTGATGCAGAATTTGCAATATCAGTCCCTGAATGAGAAGGTTTTGAAGCCACGTAATTTTTTGCTGCAGGTCTTGCTAGCTTGATACTCGGGGTTGCGCCACATTCGGCCAGAATGTCTTCAATGTTATCGGAAAACTCATCAAAATCATCATCAAACTCATCAGCATCAAGGGTATATTCAGCTTCATTGCTTTTGTTAGTGACTGCTTCTAATGCCACTGTACTAGAGGCCGAGTTGTTCCTCATATCGGGAAAACAATGCCCACTTCCTGGAAGCTGGTTGGTAACGCAGCCTGTTTGAACAGCTCCTAGCTGATTGCTTTGTTGATTAGGGTCCACAAATGGGTCCATAGAAGCTTCCGCAAGGTCCAGAAAATCCTGATCCAGATCATCACTCCCAAAATCGGAAGACGATCTTTCTACCGTTTCTTTCCCCTGAGGCTCAGAACTTGCACAGTTCCTTTTTTTTCGGCTCTCTTGTATCGGATGGCGAAGAGGGCTTCTATTCTCTACCGGAGATGCTGGCTGGCCTCTTTGCCCACCTTTGGCAGCTGGTACAGGCGATAAATCTGCGGCATCAGGCTGCCCAGCTTGGCGTTGCCGGAGGCTTCTCTCTATCTTTTCGACGAGGAAGTTGATTTTTGAGGGATTGAAGCTACCTGAATCCACCACATTGCTCCTCGTTCGGGAAAAGATGCCACGGCCAGACCCCAATTTCTCTCCCTCTACTTTCCTCCGTTTCGCTTTTGAACTAGGCCATTCGACAGTGCAGCTATTAGACCGCCTCAATCCAGAAGAATCTCGCCCTGCCCTGGCCGATCCGGGTGTGTGTGGTGAAGATGATAGAAGATTCGGAAAGCGAGGTTGAGGAAGCTCTTTAGTGCCATTGGCTGTCATTTTGCCGACGTAGTTATTCCACAATTCAGTCGCGAGGTCATTCTGTGGGGTTTTTAGCAGTGTTTGGAAAGATTGCAAATCGAAGGACTCTCTTCGCGCGCTTTTGGAGTTTCCGGCCAAAGGTGAACTGGTTGGCGACGAGCTATGGCGGCGCTTCTTGCCTTTCATTGCTGGTGTTTGCGATATCGTGTCCGCATTAGAGCTCGGGGGGACATGTTGCCACGTGACATAGTCTTCGGGTGTAAAAACTGGCCCTGGAGCTTGAGTTATAGCATCTTCGGCATTGTTAATGAGGTCTGACAGAGGAATTCTGTTTCCAGGGGTCTGGGGACACTCTTTGGCTGGCTTTGGCTCTGCTGCATCAAGGGAGGTCGCCTCATTACCAGGCTCCGAACGTGTTGATTCTACCACACCATTCAACCATGATGTTTGATTTTCTTTGTCCGCATGTCCTGCTTCTACTGACGTCTTCGACGGCGATTGTACAAAACCATTCTCATCCCCGGCTGTGTATCGAAAAGCATTGAGCTTCGAGCGTGAATTCGAGGAAATTGGATATAAGCGCGGATCTCTATTCATAGGATGCATAATTTATGCTGCTCGTGCCCTTTATAAGAGCGACACGCATTTCGGTAGAAGTCTTAATTGAACTAATTAGCCGGGCAAGTTTCAGTTTTGAGATGGATTCTCCAGGAGCGTAGAATACCAATTCTGACGTTATGAGATCAGAAATAAGTAAACGTTGCTTCACTTCAGCAAGGATTGAAGTTCGAGAGGGAATAGGAGTGGATGTACCATCTAAGCAATGGTTGAGTTGCAATGTTACGCTCACAATGCGTCTAGGTGAAGATGCGATAAGAGACGCTCGGACGCGTCGCGCGTATTGCACTAAGATATATAGCCTGAAGAACCAGGCACCAAGTCTAAGAATGGATAGTCCCGATTGGGACTAGCTCCATGACTCCATCGACCCGGTGCGGCCTTTTGCGCTTCTTGAACATCAACCACAGTCTCTAACCTGTCACCCTCCCGCTCATCACCACCTACCACTCCCACGTAGCAGCCAAGTGCGGAGTGACTCAATTGGATTGACTAGTGTCGTCGCTGGCCGAAGGGGTTATTGAATTTTTACAATCTGTCCCAACAATCACTGCCTTCTTATACCCGACAGGGGTCTGAGCCCGACACCACCTGTCTTGCATCATTTAACGCCTGAAGCCCAGAGATCTTCGAGCCGCAACAGCCATTCACACATTCACTATGTCTGCTCGCCCAATATCACATTGCCTTCGCGCTCGCTCTCTTTTCCGCCAGTCCCAGAACGTTCAGGGCTTTTCCACTCGAAGCAGCCTCCGTGGCGGCACGGGTCATGGTGACCATTACGATCCCCCGACCGGATGGCTTTTCGGTATCAAGCCAGGCCAGAAGTATGTGAAGGAAGGATGGGAGACCATGTGGTATTATGGATTCATCGGTAGTCTTCTCGCCGCTGGAGTCGCATATGTTTTCAAGCCAGACACTTCGTATGTTTCACCCCTCTGTGTCTGATGATCAGAGCGTCTTTTATACCCCCAGCTGCTTGGTTGAACCGAGCGGTATATATTTTCGCATACCAGGGACTGACATAGTTGTAGGATACAAACCTGGGCTTTGGAAGAAGCACGACGGAGGCTGGAAGCCGAAGGGATCTTGGAGGATCCCGACAAGGTCAAGAAGTAAATTATATCTGTCCGGATTTTGCCTTGTACATTGTACATAGAATGGTCGGACGTGGATGAAAATCTTGGGATGGGATTGTACGGTACTAGCAGATGCGATTTGCCAGTCCGGTTTTAGACAGGTCTTTTTATATTCGAGCTACCTTGTTCCTTTTCATTTGTCTCGGTTTTTATGTGTGTTACGACGTATATCCCGAGATACTCTCTTTCTGTTTTAGAAGAGAAAATCAATGATTATTACAACCAACTATTTCTTACATAATAGTGAGGTGCTTATTCAAACTGTATCTATAATTGTTCCAAGAGGCATGCTGCAGAGGCGCTACACTTCTGGGTAGACATCTGTCCTCCTAAGCAGCGGTATTTCTGTCCTAACCTTGGCCAGGAGGTCCATGTCAATATCAGCAACCGCAATCTGCGGTTCCTGGTATTCATCTCCAAGTCGTGCCACGACTTCTCCCCAAGGGTTCACAATCATCGAGTGGCCATAGCTTCTTCGTTTCTCATTGTGCGGACCAGCCTGTGCTGCTGCTATCACGTAGGACTGGGTCTCAATTGCTCTAGCACGCAACAATGTCTCCCAATGCGCACGCCCCGTGGGAACAGTGAATGCAGACGGATATGTGATGATCTGGGCATTTTGCCGTTTCAGAGCGAGACTTATCTCGGGGAATCGTAACTAGGGTCGGATAAGTTAATCAAAATTGTCATTGTGCTATATTCCGGTCTCGTAAGTACGTACATCAAAACATATGGATAGTCCAACACGGCCTACAGGTGTCTCAAACGGGGGCAGTATTCCCATGCCCTTTTCAACACTTCTTTATAGATGGTTAGCAATGGTATGCCATAAAAGATAGCAAGGACGTGCTTACGAGCTTTCTTTCAAGATTGGCCCACCGTCGATATCTACATCGAAGAGATGGATCTTCTGATAGCGGTGCGTGATGGCACCCTTTTCATCGATCCAGATAAGAGTGTTCTTCACACGACCATCAGAGGCAGGCTCATGAATACCCACGTTGATGGGTAGACCAGCTTGTCGGGCTTCTTTCTGAAGTCCCAACACAAACTCACTCTCCTGCTCAGAGCGAACAAGTGATATGGTCTCAGCAGCTGAGGAGCCAATGTAGTCCGATGCCTCGGGAAGAAAAAGGGCCTATCTACTGATTAGCTTCAATATGCGAGTATCTCCCAGGCTATGGAGGAGTATGATAAGTGCTGTACTTTAGCGCCAGCTGCAACTGCTTTGCGCACCAGTGTTTGGCATTGAGCCAGATTCGTAGCCATACTCGCTGTTGAGCACAGCTGGCCCACGGCCTATCTATCAGTTAGTACATCATCATGCTTATATGGACAGGAATGTGGTGGTTCATACTGCGATGCCCATTATGGAATATAAAAATATTTGCTACTAGATTTGAAGCTAGAAACATAGATGGAGTCATCTCTCATGTTCGGCGTCGATGGCGTTTACCTACGTCGGCAGACTTTCCCGATCCGGTCGTGACATCTCGACTGCAATTAATTCGGCACGCGGAAACTGCAGAGAACGTCAGAGTGCAACGATCTGCCTGTCGTGAACCTTTTCTCAAACATAAATCGACCTGACAAAACTCGGGCTGATTTCAGGCAGAATGAAGAGTTTGCGAAGGGATTTCTCTTCGGATTCCCATGCCGCAAATGTGACGAGCAAAGTCTTCCTTCGATCCACGAAAAGTGGGAAAGTGCAAAAGATCGTTCGAGAGCTCTATCTACGACAGGATATTCCTTGCTCTTCGAAACTATGTTCGATATGTCCATCTGTCGCTCCAACCGATGCAAATGGAAATAGTAAGGGACAATAAATTCAGGCTCGCCCTGTGTGTTGGTGGCTAACACGACAGTAGTTTCACCTTTCGTTCTTTCAGAGCAGCCCGCCGGTACAAGCGCTTTCCCACGAGGCCATTATCTTGTCCCTGATACAAATGCTTTGTTGAATGGTATGGATTTGTTTGAACATACGGGAGCGTTCTACGATGTGATCATCCTTCAAACCGTGCTCGAGGAACTGAAGAACCTGTCTCTCCCTCTCTACAACCGCTTGCTTTCGTTGATCAAGACCGACGAGAAGCGCTTCTACCTTTTCTTCAACGAATTCCGACTGGAGACACATGTTCGCCGAGATCAGAATGAGTCGATCAATGATCGCAATGATCGGGCCGTGCGGGCTGTGGCCAAATGGTACACGGAACATCTTCAGGTCGCAACCCACAAGGGAAGAAAAGGGAAGACAATACCCACCATTGTTGTCATCACAGATGATAAAGATAACTTGCGCAAAGCGAAGGAGGAAAATGTGACTGCCCTATCGCTTCCCGATTATGTTGCGGGCTTGGAGGATTCAGACCGGCTACTCGACATGATCAACGAGTCAAAGGAAGCCAGGGAAGCGAAAGTTGCACGTGGGGAACTATTTTACCCAGAGTATTACAGCATGTCTAAGCTTATGACCGGCATAAGGGCTGGAACGCTACACCAAGGCGTATTCAATGTCTCGCCCTATAACTATCTGGAAGGCTCCGTCAACGTTGCAGCATTCGACAAACCGCTGATCATCCTCGGTCGTGATAACAGCAACCGAGCCATCTCTGGAGATGTTGTCGTAATTGAAGTGCTTCCCAAGGATCAATGGAAGTCACCTTCAACCAAGATTGTTGACGAAGAAGCCGTCACCAAGAACGACAACCCCGACGCTGAAGACAACGAGGCGGTGGTAACTGAGCGAGAGCGGAAGGCCCTGCAGGAAGAGGTTAAACAAGCCCACGGCAAGAACTCTGAGGGTAGGCCGCAGCCGACAGCTAAAGTTGTGGGAGTTATGAAACGAAACTGGCGCCAGTATGTCGGGCATGTCGACTCAGGCTCCACAGGCGTGCACACCAGCTCCGGCCGACGACAGCAAAATTTGTTTGTTTTGCCGATGGATAAAAAAGTCCCGAAAATCAAGGTCCGCACTAGGCAAGCCGCTGAGTTGCTCGGTCAGCGCATTCTCGTCACAATTGATGCCTGGGACCGTGACTCCCGGTACCCGACGGGTCATTTCATTCGGTCGTTAGGAGCGCTGGAGACGAAGGGAGCGGAAACTGAAGCTCTGCTGCTAGAATATGACGTACAGTACAAGCCATTCCCCAAGGCGGTTCTGGACTGTCTTCCTGCTGAGGGACACGATTGGAGAGTTCCCGCCAGTAAGGACGATGTCGGCTGGACAGGACGAAGAGATCTCCGGGATCTTCTCATCTGCAGTATTGACCCCCCGGGCTGCCAGGATATTGATGACGCCCTACATGCACGACCGTTGCCGAATGGCAACTTTGAAGTGGGAGTCCATATTGCCGACGTCTCGCACTTTGTCAAGCCCAATAACGCAATGGACCTCGAGGCAAGCGTGCGTGGAACGACCGTGTATTTGGTAGATAAGCGTATTGATATGCTTCCCCACTTGCTGGGTACGGATCTTTGCTCGCTACAGCCCTATGTGGAACGCTATGCCTTCTCAGTCCTGTGGGAAATGACCCCGAACGCCGAGGTGGTCTCTGCCGAGTTCACCAAGTCTGTGATCCGGTCCCGTGAAGCCTTCAGCTATGAGCAAGCCCAGAAGCGCATCGACGACACCTCTCAGAATGACGAATTGACAGAGAGCATGCGCACTTTGCTACGTTTCTCCAAGATCCTCCGGCAAAAGCGAATGGATGCTGGCGCACTGAATCTTGCCTCGCCAGAAGTCCGGATCGAAGCCGACAACGACGAGGTCGGCGATCCGCTTAGCGATGTCAAGACCAAAGCCATGTTGGCGACCAACAGCCTCGTAGAAGAGTTCATGCTTCACGCTAACATCACAGTTGCGACTAAGATTTACGATTCTTTCTCCCAAACGGCCATGCTCCGACGACACGCCACCCCTCCGCCGCAAAACTTCGAAGACCTCATAAATCAACTCTCCAAGAAACGGAACATGAGACTCGACGTCTCCAGCTCTCGGGCCCTGGCCGATTCGCTGGACCGTTGTGTAGACGAGAAGAATCCTTTCTTCAATACCCTGGTCCGTATTCTCGCCACGCGGTGTATGACATCTGCAGAATACTTCTGTGCCGGAGCTCATGCGGAATCGGAGTTCCGTCACTACGGCCTGGCCTCGCCCATCTACACGCACTTTACCTCTCCCATCCGACGATATGCCGATTTGCTGGTCCATCGACAACTGGCGTCTGCAATCGGGTACGATGGTGAAGATGGCCGGGCGTCCATCGAGGGAGTCATGACACGCAACCGTCTGGAGGATATTTGCCGGAACATCAATTATCGACATCGCAATGCGCAGTTTGCCAGTCGCGCCAGCATTGAATACTACGTTGGACAGGCGCTCAAGTCTCGTGGGGAGAAGATGGCCGCCGACGGAGTCGACGCGGGCATTGATGAGGAAGGATACGTCATGCGGGTGTTCGAGAACGGCGTCGTCGTGTTCGTCCCGCGTTTCGGCATCGAGGGAGTGGTTCGTCTCGAAGACTTTGTCCTCCCGGGCGACTCGGCGCTCCGGTCGGTTGAACAGCGACGGAAGCTGGTGGTGCGCCGCGAGAGTGAGTTTGACATTGAGGAATACACGCTGCATGTCTCGGAGAAGGGACAGTCGGAGAATGACCGGGGAATGACCGTTGAGCTCTTCCAGAGAGTGCGGGTCAACATCAGCTCTGTTAAGGAAGAGAGTGGCCGGGGAGCTGGAAAGCGGCGCGTACGGGTTTTGATTCTGGGGGAAGCGTAAAAAAGAAAGAAGAAAAAGAAAAAGCAGCAAAAAAGTTGGGAAAATAAGCACAAGGTTAGTGATATTGACATCTAGATGTGCACTGTTACATAGACGTGTGATGGGATATTCCCTGTAATTGTAAAGATATTGATATTACGTCTGTGGATGTTTATAGTTTCGTATATCAAAAGCCCTTATAATATGTTCATACCTTGCTTAAAGCCACCATTCCACGCAGCAAAACAGGCGGAGACCAGGGCTGCACCACAGACAGCGGGCTTGACGATGCAGCAACAGGATGAGAGTTTTCTCCCTTGTCGACTACCATCGGTGCAGTGGATTTCTCCTGTTGAGCCCGAATCAACTCGCCGACTTTCCACCCCCTCACGATCCAGAGACACGCCGCTGCACCGATGTACATAATGCCAGTGAAGATCTGCACCTTCAGATAGGGGTTATCGTTATCCCTTAGGAGAAGCGCAATGGCCTCAGAGACAGTAGTCGGTGCCACCAAGACGATCCAGTTGATACTGAGACCACTAGGAAGGTCTCTCAAGCCCATGATCTCAGCCAACACCGGAGTGACAGTAGCCCAGTAAGTCCCGGCGACGGTGCCGACAAGAACAGCGAAGAAACACACCAGACCCATACTGTGGGCGAAGATCCAAATCACCAGACAGAACAAACCACAGAGAAAGGACAGAAAGGTAGCGACATTGATACGGCCGAGTTTATCGCTGAACATGCCCACGAAGGGGCGACCCAGACCCTGGCCCATGTTGAGCAGGGCACTGACGATACTTCCTTGATGCGAGGACAGACCGACAGACAGTGCGAAATTCGCGACGCTGAACAACACTGCCACGTAGCCCAACATGCTGAGGATACCCCAGCCGAGAAACAGGACGAACTCGGGCCGTTGTAGCAACGGGAGATGAAAGGCTCGATGACGACTTCCGACGTCCTGGTTACGGTCTCTCAGCAGATTGGCTCCCACAAGGTTGACCACGCAGGCGATGATGCCAAGGGTGCGAAAGGTCCAGCTCAGACCTAATCGAGGGATCATGGCGCCCACAGCGAGCGAGTAGATTAACCCTCCCAGACCGGACCCGGCAGCGTTGATTCCCATGGCGAGACTTCGTCGTCGCTGGAACCATTGGGGAGTGATGCCTACACTGCCGACGAATAGAAAACCCATCCCCCATCCGAAGCAGACGCCTTGGCTGAGGAAAATATGCCATCGTTGTGTGGCAAAGGAGGATCCGATGAGGGAGAGAGTCTCGAAGAAGACGCCCATGTTCAGGACCAGCCGGGTGCCATAGACGTGGATGAGATATGTAGCTAACGGAGCAACCAGAAGAGCACACGAGATACTGAGACCGCCAGTGAAGGCGTAAGATAATGCCGATGTATTGGGGAAGACATCATGTGAGAGGTAGTACGAGAGGAAGACCCCATAGCTCTATAATTCCTCCCCCCCGCGTTAGCCATCTATGAAACCCCGAACAAGAAGATGGAAACAAACACTGTTGATCCCCCAGGTATGAGCATTGATCCAGAACACGCACGCCACGCAGACCCATCCATATCCTCCATCAGGAAGCGCATCCTGTTGGTACTTGGCTTCTAGGTTCGTCCCAGAGTTGGGTGGTTGATCCACTGGAGAGGTGATTCCGTGACCAGGACCAATCGGACTGTGACTGGGGCTATGAGAAGCCGCAGAATCTCGGCCATCATCCCGTTCATAAGTGATAGCATCAATAGGGGTGTTCTCTTTTTCTGCCATTTGCGATGGCTTCATTACCAGATCAAGCAGCGGAAACCTATGACAGCACGACTCATGAGTTCAAATGATCAGACAAACGCCGACAGAAATGGTCGACGACTAAGTACTATTATTAATGATTCATATTTTGGCCCAATCATCACTACTTCGTACACCATCGTATCTTGACCGACCAGCAAGTTCTTGGCAGTGACAGCTCGGGGATTAAGCCGATTTTGATCAGCACCGTAATTGGACTGCCTCCCCGGGTAGATACGATTAGGCGAAACCATGGAATGGGTAAGCGGCTATGGTGCCGATGAGGGTGGGGAATTGGAGCATAGGAGACATTCTGGGGAATAGACCATCGAGACTATCCTCGGATTCCCCCTATACATGTCAGATCGGATTGTTCCCCTTCCGTTCCTTAGAGTTCCTCTGGCGTCGACTTGAGCCTATACAGAATGGCTGCCAGTCTCAGCTTGCAATTAGGGCAACAAAACCTCTTGTCACGCTAGCCTAATATAGACTAATGTCCTTGGTGATGACTCAGCACCCCGCGTTGCTACAGCGTCCTAAAAGGGGATGTTTGCAATGTTTGACTTGCTTTGTTGTTGTTGTTCCCTCGATTGGCCATTCCTCGTTACTATCATCACTTGAGTCAAACCATCAAGAGGAATACTATACTATGGCACTAAGATTTAAGCGTACCTCCGGCTCGTGCGGTGTTTAATTAGTTGTGCAGAGTCTGATCTTTTAGCCTATTTCATCCTGGTTTCCCTCCCCCCAGCCACCGTCTGCACGCCCATTGGCTCTGATGAAATTACCTATATTACACTGACCTTGCAGCTCTGGTCCTTGAGACCCAACGTATTCATCCTTCCATCGTGGTTAAGTTCGTTTGATTCTAGAAACAGGAAGGTGGTATACCATTCCAGATGATGCATAGATCGTACCTCCCCCATCCCAAGGATAAAGGTCAGCGGAAGGTCTCCCCGTCAGGCCCATCTTATATGTCGAATGACCAGATTGGTGAGTCTACATTGCTGGCTGCGTCATGACATTCTCCGGATCTCTTGGGACTAATCCATGTGGGTGTCGTTCTTGACGCAGCAAACTATCTGAAAGACCTACGGACAAATCGTCCCACACGCCCAAGCGGTTCCAGACCTCTCCCTTCGAAATCATCCGCATCGGTGGCTGGTCCTCGTGGGGACCTACCTCCTCGAGCCGCCTCCGCAATGTCAACGTACAGTCAGTTAGGCAACTCGCCAGCGTCGCCATCCGCTGAGGTTGAACGACCTCGTGCCACCAGCTCGCTATCGAACCATCGTTCTCTCTCCTCTCGAGGCTCCCTATGCAACTCTCCCGGACGTCCGTTGGTCCAGGAACCAAGGATGGTTCCTGTGCGAAAGAATGTCTCCCCGAGTCGAGTGCTTTCTCGATTCAGTCCTCCTTCCCCCGGTATCTACCGTGAAAGCAACCGACGGCGGCTAGAGAGGGAAGAAGCACAGTCCTTGCGGGATGCGCTGCAGGAGATGAATGTTCACGACGATGACGATGCCACCAATGAGGAACTTCGTCTACATCGGGCGGCACAGGATGAGGCTACGGAGCTCGTTTGGATGCACCAACACCCCGGGGTGGCTTACAAGAACCCATATGCTCCATACCGTAACCCAGATATGAACCATCTCCAACAAGTCTCTCAGGTGAACAGAGGCCCGTCGAGGCCCTCGAGCCCACCACGCAATGGCCAGGTTGGCTCGTCCGAGGCCTATCCAAGCAGTCCCGATCATGCGGGTGCATTGGACGAAGCCCCTAGCCCCAAGAAACATGGCACGCTGCGGAAGAACCTCAAGGTGAACTTTTCGCTGCCCCGTGAACAAAGTCCGTCGAAGCCAAAAGACGATGGCTGCGGGCTAGGGCTCATAAATTTCAATGGCGATTCAACTAAAGGGATATTCAGGAACCCCAATGATCAGATCTACGAGGAACCGGCCGGCTCTCCACGTAAGGAGGAAGACGAACGCCCTATATTCTCCCGGTCTGATTCATCCGCTTTAAGGTCAAAGCCGCGCAACGCTCTTCCTCGTGGCGCACGGCCGCTCCCAGGACGGCTCAGTAGTATTCCATTTGTCGACAAGCTATCTCGCTTTGAGCTTCATAGAAATCCCCCAACTCAGTCAAGGAACGCTGAATATAAAACCAACGATCCACTTCCCAAGCTAGATCTGGGAGAGAGAACCAACGATGAACCGAATGCTTCCACGAAAGATGGACTCGAGATTCGCAGCGACGACATCCGAGCCGCTACGAGCAAAAGGCGCAAGGACCGGAGTACCAAATTACCCATGCCGACGGCCGTTAGCGATCGGACCGGCCGACCGATCGTGAGTTTTGATCCATCCTGGAAGCCGATGGAGACGCAATCCCCCCAAAAACACGAATCCGCCTATCCAACGCCGCCTCCGGCTCCTCCTGCGCCGACTATTTCTGTGCCTGAGCCCCCCTCGGTTCCAATTATCAACATAACGGATGGCCGGGCACCGACTATCTCTGAGATGACTGGCTCATCTCAGGTTTCCGGGAGGGAACAAAGCTCTCGACCGATGCCTCTGAAGGGCCCCCCAGAACCCAGCTCATCTTCCAAGAAACCTCTGCCAGCTCTACGGGATCGGTGGCTATCGGCATACACCCGGTCTGGTGTGCCCACTGCGAAATGCGAAGCATGCTCACTTCCCATCGCGGGGCGGATTGTCACGGCTGCCGGAACACGCTTCCATCCGGAATGTTTTACCTGTTTCAATTGTCAGACCGCACTAGAATGTGTTGCCTTTTACCAGGAGCCCGATGGCAAGCGGAGTGAGCGTATTGCCGAGACGCCGGCGGACGACGAGGAGGCACGCGCGTTGCGATTCTACTGCCACCTGGATTTCCATGAACTCTTCAGCCCCCGGTGCAAGAGCTGCAAGACTCCTATCGAAGGAGAAGTGGTTGTGGCGTGCGGAGCAGAATGGCACGTCGGCCACTTCTTCTGCGCAGAATGCGGTGATGTACGTTGAACCCTAGGACTTGGATCCGCGAGTAGCTAATTGGTATATACAGCCATTCGACCAAGACACTCCGTTTGTCGAGAAAGATGGCTTCGCATGGTGTTTGCAATGCCATTCCCGCCGCACTGCTCCCCGGTGCCTCGGCTGCAAGAAGCCGGTGCTGGACGACGTCGTTATTTCGGCGGTGGGCGCGCAGTGGCATGATGAGTGCTTTGTCTGCCACGAGTGCGGGACAGGATTTGGCGCCGATGGTCGATATTTTGTCCGCGAAGGCGAGCCGCGAAAGACAGCAAAAGGTAGGATTATTGGCGGGCCAGTGCAGCTGGCTGTTTGTGAGAGATGCGAAGGCATCCGACTCAAGGCAAGCCCTTGATATGATTATCTTATGACTGCAGTGGATTTGCTTTTTTGTTGCTGCTGTTTTCTCCTGCATAGATCTATATTCGACATTTTGAAGGCGCTGGATTTTGCATATTGGTTGCATTACGTAGTTAGGCGCATGAATTTATTATATTATATTGGTTGTCGATATCATTGAGTAGTCTACCTTAAGGTAGATTCATGACTAGCCAGTAACGTACTATACATATCCAACGCATATCCAAACGCTCAAAACATCTAAGGCCACTCCGGTTCCTTCTTCCGTCTAAACACAGCGACGTATTTATTGCCCTTATTCCTGGTCACTTTCTTACCCTCCTCAGTCTCCTCCATCATGACTTTCACACAAGGATCATCACGCAACTCCTCCTCAGACACCCGTTCAAACAATTCTTTCACGCCACCCTCTATCCTCTCCTCTTCTTCCCCTTCGGGTTCATCATCCTCTCCCTCCCTCGGGACCCGAAAATGCCTCAATATCCAACGATGATACTCCTCTACATCAGTAATGGTATATATCATCCCACCAGGGCGCAACGCATACGCGTACTCCGCGTTCAGCGACTCGGATATGATACGGGCCTTGTGTTTCCGGGCCTTGAAATGCGGATCCGGAAAACAGATGAAGATCTTGGAGAGTTGATGTCGACCGAAGAAGTTGGGGAAGAATTTCATCGTGTTGCTGCGTAGTGCAGATATGTTTTGGTATCCGCCTGGGATTGCCTTGTCATTTTCTGTAGGTGTAGGTGTAGATGTCTTCTCTTCTTGTTGGTGGTATTGTTGTTGGCGAAGGGCGTGGACACGGTTGGTTACGTATTCGAGGACTTGGGTACGTATTTCCATTCCTATATTCCATTAGTAAATAAATAAATAAATATAATTCTAGAGGATAGGATATAATGATAGGGATATAAGGAGACTCACCAACCATCAACATCTCCGGCAACACAGGCGCCAACCCAACGAGCAACCCACCAAATCCACACCCAATATCCACCACCTCGACATCCTTGACGAGTTTCCTCGCGCCGCTGGCATTCGTCTTGTTTGGGTCTGTATCCACGTAGGCTGGGAAATGGCTCGACCAGTCCATGTGCGCGGGACTAACTGGGCTATACATCACTATCAACATCCATCCTATGATTGTGACAAGATAGGAGAGAGAAAGGGAGAGGACGAACTATTTCAATCGATGATCGGAAAATGGATTTGCATGCGCCCGCTGTCGAAAGAACTTCTTCTGAGGCAGCTTGGCTTCGTTGGCGGCGTTGGCCGTGCGATATTGGTCGCGCCCTTGACGTTTTTGACCACCGCGGGGAGGGACATCGTGTCGGGGGCGTTTCGTCGGGGGGGATGACATATCAATATTATATATTCTACTTCAACTCTGTAGAATATATGATTGTATTGTGGTGAGAAGAAGAGGTACTAAGTAGTAGAAGTAGGAACAGTTGAGGAAATTTTTGGATCCCGGAGTGCGGAGGGCCCCACTTCTCTATCACCTCTCTAGTTTCTCTCTTTACAGTTATCACTTTCTCTCCATCACCCATCATTCAATAATCAATACATATAAGATGACTACATTCTCCTTCCCCCCCACATACAACTTCCCCCCCTTCTTCACTCCCCAACCGAACCGAACGACGCGCGAAGCTCAACTCTCGAAATGGTCATCCCTGATCCAGTCGTGGTGTCGCCATCACCGAATCTACCGACTATCACTGATCGAGACGATCGACTCGCCTCTCTTCCATAACGCGACGCTGCGAAAACGGCTCTCGCTCAGCGACGTGCGCGACGTCGTCGATTGGATGGCCACTGTGGACGACGACGGCGCAAAACGAGCGGAATGGATCGACGGGGCAAATAAGTCCGTGGCTTGGGTTTGGTGGAGGAGACCAGAGGAGTGGGCGGATGTTTTGGTTAATTGGGTATTCTTATTCTTCTTCTTCTTCTTCTTTTCTTTACTTTACATTTCTTTTCTTTTTCTTTTTTTTTTTTTTTTTTTCCCCTCCTTATTGTCCTTTGGGTGATCGGGATAGCTGACGTTTGTAGATTGAGGCGACCGGACAGAAAAATGTCGTGTTGACAGTATACGAACTGCTGGAGGGTGAAGCTACCATGTCGCAAGGTACATCGCTGAGAATAAACCAATAATAGGACGTCAAAGCTAACCGGTTAGAATGGCATGGAATGGACCCCGAGCTCATGCTACGGTCTCTCAACACCCTCGTCAAACGGGGCAAGGCTCAGGTCTTTGGTAGTGAAGGCCAGGAAGGTGTCAAGTTCTTCTAATTACAGGCACGATGACCTGGATAATAACCGCTATGCATGGCTCTGGAGAGAAATTATAGTATAAAAAACTGTCGAATCAGGTAATATATCCCGAAATAAACCTATCCATCCAAGGCTCCCACATCTTCATGCTCAACACCGGTCAGATCTGCCTATTCGTCCAACTTGGCCACCATCTCCTCGTTCAGCTCATAGGCATCGGCCTCATGCAGCGTTTGCGACATGGCAATATCCAGAAGCCAGTCCACGCGCACAATTCGCGGTGTCTTACCCAAGGCGTGTACCAGCTGTCGGAAACGTGGCCATAGTCGCTGATGATCAGCCGTCACACTGCTTAGAAGATACATCTCCTTCCGACTACGGTCCTCGTAATCCACCGAGCTGTCATCGTCGCTCTCGTCCCGTTGTGATTGGTGCGACACGCGTCCGCGGAACAGCGAACAGTCTCCTCCATTTGCATCCACAATCGACTTGAATGCGTCAAATCCGCCGCGGATGGTCTCCACGCAGTAGATCTGATATCCCTGCAGAAGCCGGTTTTTGTTCTTCTTGGCGTTCCCTCTCGCCTCCTCCAGCGAAAACCCAAGTCGCTTCTCTGCGGCCTCGTCCTCCAGGGGGAATTCAGCCGGATCCACCAGCTCGTTCTCTTTGAGACATGCCGTGATGAAGTCGATATTGACTATCGTTGGTCCATACGCAAGCGCGTTGACGAATTTCGGTGTCCGCAGTATGGAAGGGGCAGCGAGGTGAGAACATTTCCGGGCATCCTGTACTACTAGGATTCCAAGGTCCCGAAGTTGTCGCTGCTTCCATTAGCGCTTCATTTCCACGTGTACATATTAGCAAGTCACGAGAGTATAAATCAGCTAGACGAACCTTGTCTGAGTCCTCTTTCTTAAGGTTCCCCACCCATTTCTGGTAGCCAGTGATCAAGAGGTGTATCGAAATAGGAGGCTTGGTCTTCTTTTGTCTCTTAGGATCGACTGCCTCCTCCTCATTGTGGCTGTCCTCCGCCTCCATTGATCTCCGCTTTTTGCCGTTGCTGAGGATCACACGATCCTCGTCGGTCACCCGGCGACCCCCATAGACGACGCCCCCCACACGCCTCTTCTCTTTTTCGTACAAGGCCATATCTGGAGCGTATTCGTGGAGACGAGCAGTAGCAGCTTCCTTGGACTTGCGGCTGCTCGTGGACGACGGCGTCTCGTTCTCCTTGCCTTCCGAGGTGAGTCGGGCCTGCGTGGGCGTTTGCAGCTTTTTGCTATCTGAATCCTTTCGCGACTTGGCGGCAGCCCGGGGTGTAATGTTTCGTGTATCTGGCAATTCACTTTCTAGATCCGACTTTTTCCTAGTCGGTACTGGCTTGGCTGCTACTACATTCTGATCTTTATCCTGCATCGGACGGGCTACATCCTGCTCCGATGTGTCTTCGGAGGGGTAGAACAAGCTTTCGAGGACCGCCTTATCCAGTCGTGTCTGTCCGACCACTTCGCCCAGATTGGTTCTCCGAGGGAAATGGGTGTAACGGCAGTCAGACACGGATTGTAGCGTCCATTTTGCATAACTTTCTTCCAGCCACAGGTGGTTGATGACATGGAGTCCCCACTCCCTCGCTGCACTGCATTTCTCGCTATTCCCATGGGCTGTTACCAGATGAGTGTTGTCTTGCTTCAGGGTTTTGGTGCACTCTGCCCCAGCTGCTGCAATCAGATTCTCCAAGTAGGCTCGGGCCTCACCGACATAGTTAGACAGACTGATCTTGAGTCCTTTGAACTCCGGAATTCCAGTCCGGGAGACCGGGTAGTGAAGTAGTCGTCGTAGAGGCGAGGTCCATGTATTGTAGGTCAATAGGTGGTATAGCCAAGACAAGTTCCCAACGTCCTTATTCAACCTCGAGGCCGTACGGTAGGCAATTCCTTCTCTATAGCGACAGATCAAGATGTCCGCTATTGAGACATCAGATGTTATGGACCCGCCACCCTGCTTGATGACTTCGGTGATGGATTCTGATAAATGCGAACCGATCCCAAGGTCTGAAGAAAGCATCACGCGCTTTCCTTCAAACACATCGAGCTTCGGAGACATGGCGGTTGGCAGGGTGGTCGGCTCCGGCGTAGATGCTCCGACGATATCGCGGTTCTCTGAGGAACGGATGGGCGCATCGGGGGCTGCGCGTAAGATTTCCGGGTCGGGAAAGGTATAGGGACGCTCATCGATTCGACGCCCAAGCTTCAGGCAATCATCAAACCTAGCTACAAATCAGCCTGTATGCAATCAACTCGACTACCAATGTCCTCCATACCAATGGGGGAGAACTATCTTGACATTCAACTTCCTGGCGGTAGCCAGCCGTGCCTTATCAGAATCTACAGTCAAATCGACCAGATGAGTGACCATATGCGTCATTCTAGTACTATAGAGTCCGCCTTTCGCCAGGACACCACCAACAATGGCATCCTTATCGCCTTCGGGGATATCACCGCAAGTAACCACGACATCATTTAAAAACAGCCGGGGATCGGGACTGTACTGGCGTGGGTTGGCCAGTTTCCTCTTCGAAAGACAGGCCTGTACCCACTGGGGCTTGACGACAGGAATCAGGGCGTCGTTGGCGGCGTCGAATGCCGGGAAGTCGATGGTGGAGGATAAAAGATGGCTGAATTGCTCCAACGAAGGAAATGTGGCCGGTGGTTCGTAGATGACAGATTCTCCGCCATTTTCCTCGAGTATAGATGCAAACTGGCAAAAAAAAAAAAAAAAAAAAGACTCAGTTCCGTAACAACATCGACGATGCGCTAGGAACAGCTGCACGTACCTGATGCGCTGCATCAAGACTCAGACTCTTCGAGCATATGATGCAGACACGGCACTGGTCGAAGAGCTGAAACCCCTCGCTTCCCGCCATAGTCCTGGGGTATTTCTTCTACAAGTCTGCAAGACCGATCTGTTGCGATAGGTGCGATGGAGTGGGATGTGTCGTCGAGTTTCCTACCCTGAGGCTGAAAAATGTTGGTGGAATCTCAGTCTGCGATGCGACGCGACGCGCCGTGACACCAGGTCACGTGTACATCCCCGGATTGGAGCATGTGCCAACTACCAACAAACGGAATCGTTGTTGAATTTTGTAATATTTAGTCAAGTCTGCCAGTTAAAGTGGAGAATGGCACTCACTAATCCAAAATAGTATGCTGTTCTTTACCATATAGAGTAAGGCGTTGGAACCATGGTGCCCCGGCAGTGTTGCTCGGTTTCTTTGTCCGAGAGATCCTCGGTTATCGTCAGCTCCGGCAAGGGACGACTCATTGCAGTGGGGAGCCGTCAATGGTTCTTAAACTCCCATTCTAGCCTTGATTATCTCCTGTCAAGTATCAGACACCATGTTGCCTGGTCCCTTTCGCATCGTCGAGCATGTCGTTCCATGCCAGCATATCCGCGAGTATCCCGCGGCTACAGCCAACGAACAGGAGGACGAACTCCAGCTGGCTGTGAAGCAATATATCCCGCTAGATAATCTTCATCCTCAACCGGGGGGGATGTGACAATCCTTGCGGCGCACGCGAATGGCTTTCCCAAGGTACAAACCCAACCTTAGATCCAGTTAACAGTGTCACATGGCTTACCCCAGGGACTATATAGGAACTTTATGAACCTCTTTGGGAAGAAATCTATGCACGATCCAAAGCCAATGGATTCCGTATCCGGAGTATCTGGATGGCGGATGTTGCGCATCAGGGACAAAGCAGCGTGATTAACGAAGATCTGCTAGGAAATGATCGTACCGCCCCCCGTCTTTTCTGTGGATATATATACCTCCTATTCATGTATACTGTGTATACTGCATAAACTGACAGCTTCGATGCTACAGCCAGCTGGTTTGATCATCCGAGGGATCTCCTCCACCTCGTCAATGTCAAACGTAAAGAGATGCCGCGCCCCATTGTCGGAATCGGCCATAGCTTTGGGGGCGCCCACCTGTGAGTCTGCCCCTTCCCTAGAACACCATAAACAATATTCAATTTCCCACTAACCTGACTACGGATGACATCGCAGTACGCACTTGTGTCTCATACATCCCCGTCTCATTCATACCCTCATTCTACTAGACCCCGTTATCCAACGAGAATCAACCCAGCTGGACCATGCGGAGGCGATCAACCAGAAACTAACAATCACCAAAACAACCCAGCTATCCACATACCGAAGAGACCGATGGCCCTCCCGAAAAGCCGCAGCCACCAGCTACAAGAAAAACCCGGTCTACCAAGCGTGGGACCCCCGCGTATTGGAACGCTGGATCCAATCGGGTCTCCGAGACCTTCCCACCGCCATCCACCCTCTCTCTGAAGACCAATCCACCAACATGGGCAGCGACGATGACCGACCTGTGACATTAACCACCCCTCTCCACCAAGAGGTCTTCACATTCTCGCGTCCCAACTACGACGGCCCACCTGGCAAAGACGTCCCTCCCAACCAGTTGACGCATCCCGATCTCAACCCCAACCATTTGGGATCATTCCCATTCTATCGTCCGGAGCCGTCGCGCATCTTCGCCCAGCTGCCGCATCTCCGCCCCAGTGTGCTGTACGTCTTCGGCGGCAAGTCAGAGATGTGTCAGCCGGAGATGATGGCCGATAAAATGGCCACCACCGGCAGGGGAGTCGGAGGCAGTGGAGGTGTTCCGGTCGGTCGAGTGCGCGACGTCTATTTCGAACGGTTTGGACATCTCCTAGCCCAAGAGGCGCCGATCGAATGCGGCGAAGCGGCTAGTAAGTGGCTGGGCTCGGAGCTGAAGCGATGGCGGGAGGAGGACGAAGCGTTCCGGGCACAATGGAGCCGAAAGTCCAAGGTCGAGAAGCAGACGATCGACGCGCGGTGGAAGGAACATGTGCCGCCTCCGGTGCGGCCGACAAAGGGAGATGATTCGAAGTCGAAGTTGTGATCGGCTTGTGTATATGAACTAGAAACACTAGGTATAGAACATCACAGCATATATTATATATAGATTCGCAATCTGACAGACGCTATTTACGATGATATCTATCGCGCAGAATCTTCATTGCCTCTTCTATAAATATAAATGGATCCCGCCACGCCAGGCCCGACGTCTGTAAATAGGTGGAACAATAATCGGGTTCGCGACGAAGACCTCGGAAGCTATTGGCTCCGACCGTCGTCCCAATCGAAGGCAAAGAATCAAAAAGAGCAACGAGAGAACCAGCTCAGCGGGATTTCTTAGCCAATCCATTCTCAGTCTTTCCCTTGGAATCGACCCGGAGAATCTCGGGGAAATTCCAAAAATGCGGCCACCACAGACGGTACTCGTCCTGTCGCTGGTTCAAGCAGTGGCGCAGCCAGATTCCCCAGATGATACATAGATATGCTCCGATACCGGTCATCAGATGCCTAGAACACATTGTGAAAGGTTAGCGGATGGGATCCATTGGCCAACGCCAAGGCCAGACAAGATTCTAGACATACCACCAGCCATGACCCTCCAGGAAGATACCCCACGGAAGACCCACTACGCGGCGCCAGCCACGAATCTTGGTACAGAAGTGGTTATCTAGATTCCAGATGAGGAAACCGCCCAGGAACATGCTCAGTCCGTAAACGACCATAAACCACATGGTCTTCAATATTTTCGTATCCCGTGCGTTCTCGTATTGTTGGCGTTCCTTCGATGGGACCGGGAGACCCTGACGTTGCTGCGCAAGTCGGTCTTCCTCGGTGGTGTGTCGCCACTTGGGACGCAGCGTCACTTCCATGGTGTACATGCTGCGTAACACCACGACGGTGGTCAGGAGAGCGTACGCATTCTGGTGGAACACGGGGTCCTGGAGATAGTGGTAATATAGCGTTATGAAGATGGCCAGTCCGGCCAGTGTGATGCCCAAAACGATGCGAACAGGGTCCGGTCGCGAGTACGAGAAGGAGGCATAGCACATGAGACAGGTGGTGTAGATCATGGAGAGTTCATCGACCAGCTGCATGGGATCTGTTTGAGCCAAAAAGGTCAGTAACTATCCTAGCCTAGTGGCATTCGCCACCTTGATTGTACTTGCATTTGAGAGTCGAATGGAACAGGAAACTCCCCGTTCCGACCAGAAGGTAGCCATAGTAAGCGACCTCAAAGATGGAATCGTGACCATGACGTCGACAGTTGAGAATTCCTTTCACTCCGAGCCACATGAACAGGAGGTTTGTCAGGGCATTGACGATTTCGGCGGAATAGATAGTGGCATAGTAATCCTTTTTAGTTGTCAATCCCACGAAAATAGCAGCAACAATAATGACACTAAACAAAAAAAAAAAAAATAAAAGAGAGAGAGAGAGATACCTCTTCACACCAATTCAAAGTCGAGGTGACGGGACTCCAATAACCAGCCTTCTGAGGCGGATATGGTATGAAAGGAGGAAAAGACCACTGAGGCATTGTGGGGACGGCGGATATCCGCGGGGACGTTGCCAACCTCTCGATTGGGACGAACTATAGGTGTAGAGAGGGGAATGACTACCACATGGTAGATTAAGAAAAATACTAACAGGAGGAGAAAGAATAGAAGAGAAGAACAGGAAGAAAAGAAGGGAAGCGAGCGAACATTGCGATGGCGATAGTAGATTAGACTCATATTAGTAACTAAGCTGAACCGAACGTTGGTCTCTTCGTGACGTCGATTTAATACGACTGAGCCGGTTCCATCGCTGTCATGGCGATTTGCGTGCGATCGATTGGCTTCGAGCCGGCCAAGTCTCCGCAGGCGACGAAATGGAAGCGGTATCAGCCTGTACGGTAACTTACACTCCCCATACGGTAGCCCTGCATGCTTGCACATGGCTGGAGATGAGAGCATCGGATGAGAATTTTTATTATCTCCTACTACTAAAGATACCTACTAGATATTACCACTTGGTTGGTAGTAAACCAGATCGACAGTAGTGGGCAGAATCACCCGCACTCGGCCCGACGCTTGATGACTTCACAGGAGGGTATCAAAATTCCGCTATCTGACCGCTCGAGATAGACTCGTTTTCGTCCTGACTCAGACCAGTGTGCGGTCTTTCCCAAGATTTTTCCGTGCATGGCTGAATGTATTGTACTTTTGGTTCCTTCTTATCCATCGTCTTTTTTTCAAAAACAAAAATAAATTTTGTAGGTCCTCGAGTTCCTGGGACTGACTGAGAAATGTCGAGTAATGCTGCGTATGCGATGCCGCAAGTGAAAACCACCTCCAAAGGTACGTCATTCCTGCTAAATCAAGCTCTCCCTTAAATAGTCGGGTACAGGAACATTGGAAGGGGAATCCCAACTAATAAATTCCAGCCTCGAAAACTACCTTCCATTTCGTAGCCGGTCTGTGCTCCGGCCTCACCTCCTCGATACTTCTACAACCCGCCGATCTCCTTAAGACTCGAGTTCAACAGTCCCACCAGACCGCTGCTCTTCTACCTACCCTGAAAGCCATCCTCTCCTCTCCTCATCCGATCCGCGGGCTATGGCGAGGCACGCTCCCATCAGCTCTCCGCACGGGTTTCGGATCCGCGCTATATTTCACCAGTCTCAACGCCCTACGACAGGGTGTAGCGCAGACGTCGACCCCCGTTTCTCCCCACGATAACGGCAAAGGCACAGTGGTCTCGTCGTCAGCACTCCCCAAGCTCTCCAATTCAGCCAACCTGGGTACGGGCGCCGCCGCTCGGGTAGCGGCAGGGTTTGTGATGATGCCGGTTACGGTGCTCAAGGTGCGATACGAGTCGGATTACTACGCATACCGGAGTCTGTACGGCGCAGCGCGGGACATTGTTCGTACAGAAGGGATGCGGGGCTTATTCTCCGGATTTGGGGCCACGGCCGCACGAGATGCGCCCTATGCGGGGCTCTACGTGCTCATTTATGAACAGCTGAAGCGACGTCTCGCTTCGGTGGTGCATCGGGGAAGTGCAGATCAACAGTCATCGATGTCGCCCTCGTCATCCTCGTCAATTAACTTCGTCTCTGGAGGATTGGCCGCTGGTCTGGGCACGACAATCACTAATCCTTTTGATGCGGTCAAGACGCGGCTTCAGCTCATGCCTGGTAAATATGGGAATATGATGCGAGCGGTCCGCTTGATGATTCATGAGGATGGGGTGCGGAGCTTGTTTGGTGGTCTTGGCCTGCGCATCACGAGAAAGGCGCTCAGCTCTGCGCTCGCTTGGACCGTATATGAAGAACTGATCCTTCGTGCGGAGAAGCATTGGGCTGCACAAGGTCATGTCCATGTATAACGAGCGGTTTATCTTCTGCTGTAGTTTGCCAAAACCCACTTTGGAGTTATCATCATGGAGTTTCAAAACGGATGGGACGGGCATAGAGATGTTTTCATATCAATCATCAGTGTATCATATATAGCTATAACGACATCAAATCCCAACTCGTGATAAATCATATCTCAACAGAACATATCAGAAATTCATGAACAGGAAGAGGGACAGAAAGGAACTGAAATAAAAAAACAAGAAGAAGAACCAGGTATCAGATTCAAGTAAATATCCAAGCCCGCCGGCTAGGGCTCTTCTTTCGCACAAGATACATCTTGTCTTTCTTCCGGTCATTAACCTTCAACTCCGTCAGAGTGTTCGAGGTCTGGGTAACGAGTTTACCCTCGCGCAACCGCCGCGTGTGTGCAAAGAGCTCCTCCTGGAAGTCCTCGGTGATCCATTGCTTGATGATGATATAGTTGCTATCGAGCTGTTGCGGGCAGACAGTTAATAATCGGTTTCTAGCGGCTGTGCGATGAAAAGGTCACTTACATCATCCCAGTCCCAGGGCAGACGGTATGCGATCAGAGTATCCGGAAGAAGATGTTTGCGATGAACCTAGAGTGTGTGTCAGATCGGACGGTACATTAAACAGAAGGTGAATATCCATACCTTGATCCAAGTTGTCCGTTGATGCTCGTCCTTCTCTTTATCCTTTTTCTCATGGTCACTCTTATCTCCGTCCTTGTCCTTCTCTTTCTCCTTGTCTTTGCCCTTTTTGCCCTTCTCTTTCTCCGGGTTCTTCTTCTTGTTGAGGATTTCCTCGATCTCTTCTTCCGTGTAGCCGAATTCCATTTTCAATCGGGTCCGGAATTCTTCGTCCCGCTTCTTCTTCTCCTCACGTTCGGCAGCGATCCGGCGTTCTTCATTCCTTTTCCACTCTTCGATGGCAGCTGCCTTCATCATGGCTTCCTTGCGATCCTTCTCCTGCTTCTCGAGAGTTTGTCTAGCTTCCTCGTCCCGAATCTGCTTCTTGATCCGCTCCCTTTCATCTTCCTCGTCGATCTTCCGCTGGAGTTCCTTGAGCCTCTCCAGACGCAGCTTCGCCTGGACCTCTTCATTCTCCGCCTCCCGGCGCTGCGCCTCCTCGAACTTCCGCAGTTTATAGCGGTGCTCGGCATGCCGTTGCTCCTCATCCATGCGCTGTTTCTTCTCGAACCGCTCGAGGCGCCTCAGCCGCTCGCTGATCTCATCCTCATACCAGTCCTCCTCTTCCTTCAGAAGACGGGTTTCCTGATGTGGGTCACGGTGGCGTGCCAGCTCCCGCTCCAGACGCTCGATCTCTTGCTGCTGTCTCTGAAGCTCAAGGTCTTGTCGGGCATCGTTTTTCTCCAGCAGACGTTGATCGATCAGCATATCATAATCGCGTTGGTGTCGCGGCGACGCCTCTCGCGAGATGCTGCTCGTGCTTGCCCGGGGACGACGATGATTCCGCAGCTCGGTCTCGTCCTGGGAGTCATAGGGACTGACGTAGATGTCCTGGTATTTCTGGCTCTGCTGTCGTCGACGGTTCTTGTTGGAACTCTTATTGCGGGAATCGTTCTTGATGTCGACAATGACGGCGGGACTCTGAGTACGCTCAGGCTCCCGTCGTCGTCGAGCCCCCGTCGATGCGGACCGATGGACGCGCACATCCGGCACTACAGGGCTGAGATACGTGGTGCTGTAGTCAGGACTGAAGCGATGGCGTGAAATAGAACGTCTTCGGTACGACGTTTTCTGTCGGGGAATCTCCATGGAGATGTCTGATTCGGAATATTCAGATTCGGAATCAGTGACAGGGACGGCGTAGCGTCTCATTCTTTATCTATGTGGGATAATTTGGTGTCCCTTAGTGCTTTATTCTGGTTCTTTTTTTGTGTTGTTATGGGAAGAGAGATGAAATATAATTTATTTCTCAGTCTTTCTGTCAGGTTCTCGACTATATAATTTCGAGGATCGAGAACTGGCGGAAATAAAGCGGGGCGACGTGCCGTAGTAGAATGGATGCAGCAAGAATCGGTCAGTCGTACAGAGTGGGATAGAAGAATCTGGAATCCCTCCAGCAAACCGGATACAGGCGAGAGAGAGAATTTAAAAAGACAGACAAAAGAAGAAGAAAGGAAGAGAAGAAGAAACGGACCCCAACGAACAAAAGCCCAAAGACCAGCCTCCCTCGTAAAACGCGGGTTCAGCTGAGAGTGGGGGAGGTAGACTCCTGTGATTTGTTACGGGCGGACGATGGGCATCATTGGGTCAGCCTGATCATCGTGGCTTACAAAGTATTTCTACTAAGACCAATTTATCACGCAAGTATCATCTCCACCTGTATTTTGACGCGGGAAGAGAGTTCCTGCGGCTCTCCTGCGAGGCGGATGTTGTGCGGTTATCTGAAACCTGGGCGAGAGATCGATGTGCAGATTATCTCATGCTGTAGTTTTTATATTTATGCACTCACTTTATTTTTGGTAGAATCCAAGGAAACTCAACGGTTCATCCCGCAGACCCAGAAACTTTGATCAGGATCCTGATAATCATGGATCCAGTCTGGTCGATCTCCTGACAGGTCATCTGCCATAGTCATCTTGCGTTCTCTGGAATATCATATTATTGAGTACTCCGTATATATAATTCGATCAAGTGTCTTGTTCACGTTCACGGACACATGACTACCGTAATTGTTTTTCCTGAGGTATCAATCTATAGATGGGTTGGGCGCATCGCCTGTTTCGCCCACGGTGCCTAATTTCCTATAGACAGGCATTCAGGCACCGATGGGCATATCTCTGGTTTCAAGTAGATTAAACTGTCTACGATGGAGTGGGCCCTCTGTTGAACATACCGAGATCAGATATCATTCTTGCAGCATAGTATAGTCTAATGTATTCCCTATGTTCTATTCTTATCAATACCTAGCCATTCATAGATATTGACTTTCCAGAGTCGAGTCTTCCGGTCCTGCCAGATCACCCGGGGACACTCATTTAGCGCTCAACCTCATATCATCCAGTAAAAGAGCGCTGCGCGAACCACTGTCCGGTCTAGTTCATCGGTCTCAGAAATAGCATCGCAGATCCTGGTTGTCTGTCTCCGTACACCACACATCACCCCCCCAATGGATTATATTATCCACATAGTTAAGAGTCATAATCATAACCGCCATGGACATCAATCACGAACGAGTAATCACCCATCGCAGGAGAGAAAAATAAGACGAAAAAAACATAGTACTGATAATCACGCCCTATCTCCTGATTTCAGAATCCGCTCGAGATTCTCTCGACTATTCTTATTTGTCATCTCCAAAGACGCCAATTTCTTCTCCAGACTCGAGATATCCGATTTCAACTCCGTGCTCTCGGTTGTTAGGCGCTCGTCGATCGTGTTCATCGGGACGCTCATGAACCTGAAGGGAAAAGAAATGTTAATTCAATGTCCAACCATTCTCCGTTTGTATCTGGTTTGTAGGGTAGGCGCAAAAAAGAAGGGAACATACATCTTTCCCACTCCCTCGTAAACAGGAGTATTTTTAGGCAGGGTCCCAATCTCCTTCGAAGTTAACTCCAACAAGCGAATATCTCTTTGTTTTGCCGTGATCTGCGCCTTGGTGACGCCAATCTGCTGTTGCGAGCTCACGAGACGGGTCTCGAGCTCCTGGAGGACCTGTTCATCTCATGCTTAGCATGTATTCATAATAGTCGACGACATCGATAGGGCATCAGGTTAGTGGAAGAGGTAGAATCTCAATACCTTCTGTAAAGCTTCGTTTGGGATAGACATTTTGGCGCGAGTGACGTTGGAGGGGCGAGTGAGGGGCTAAGTTGGCGATAGTATATTTGAGAGTGCGTTGGTTCTCTGTGCGTTTGGGTTTGTGGGAGATTTGGATATTGATTGTTTTCGTGTAGATGGTGTTTGAGCTTATGAAGGTGTCGCAAAATTGAGGATGCTGTCATCAAGCACGAGATGAACGCATCGGCGACCGAGGTAGGTGCTCCGACGTCCGCGGCGGCGGGAGCTACCATATGTGGATATATATGTAGGGCTTAGGGCTTGTAGTCTACATATATTGGCTAATTTTGTTTGAATAGATAGAACATCTTAAAATGAAATGTACATTTGTGATAACCATTTATTACACAAAACTCAGATATAGCATTACAACAAACATACACACTCCCGACAAAGCTACACCATGCGAGTCAAGCTGCCAAGTACATCATAGAAGCTCGCATTCGGGTGTAATCAATCTGCTTGATTGGCTCATACTTGGCGGGCTTGTCCTCGCTTATACAGGAGGGGATGCACTCAATAACTGTATTGGAGTCCGTGGTCATAAAATAGGGGATGGAATATCGATCGCGCGTCATCCGATCGGGACCCTCGAAATGATCCGCGAAAGGCGGCAATTGGACGCGATGCTTCGTGGATCGAAGTCGGTCTACACACGTCAGATTATAGAGACCATAGTCATTTTGGAAATGGTAAAACAGAACAGACCATTACTCCATCTCATCAAAAGATCCCCAATATTCATGACAATGGCATTCTTCACAGGTTCCGCAGGTACAAATGTGCCCGGTCGAGAAATATCTTCCACCTCTAAACCGCCGCAGTCATCTTGGAAGAGCATTGTTATCGAACTCCAATCTGAGTGTGCTGAGCAACGAGTGGCGTGTCCTTTCTCTATCTCCTCGGCGCGGATAGGCAAGTAATGGAGCAGTCGCACTTGGTTATCATGCCCTGTGTGCTTCTTTGCCAAATAAGACTCGTCCTCCAGATTTAAACCAACGGCCAAGGCACGTAGCACATCACCACCAACCCGGTTGCATTCCCAGTAGAATTTTTTCATAAACTCCCTAAAGCCAGGGAGAGATTCATCCGGAATCCACTGGTTGGGTTGCTCACTATTCTCATCACTACCAATATCGTATATCTCCTGTATCTCATGAGTTCAACATGACAGATCAAACAAATAGTATCGACGTCTCTATGTCCATAATAAGTGCACGGCAGAGTAGTCGCATACCTTGACATCTGGCACCTCTCTCAACTTCTGTTTTATTTTATCATCATCACCAGTGCTGATGGTCTGTGTGACTTTCTCCAGCCCTGGCCACGAATACCCTCGATGAATGGCCCAGCCTTCTGGGTGGGGAGCCTTCAACTTCTCCTCTTTTGGCAGATCAAAAAAGCTCTTGGTCCATTCGAATGCTTCCTCCAGCATTGACTCCGGTAGAGAATGGTTGATGATGTATACAAACCCGACTCTTTGGCAGGCTTCGACAAGTTCCTGCGCTACACGCAGTCGGGTGGATCTATCATGAGGATCAGTCCAAGACGAGAAATCCACCATCGGAATTTTCATCGGGGTAGAAATATCTGCTAAGGGCATGGTACTGGGATGCGCCTTTGAAATAAGTGTCAGAGCGTAGAGTTGAGTGTTGCAGAGTAGAGTTGCAGAGTAGAGTCCCAGGCAACTAGGCACAGGATAATTATTTATTATCTTGCCATATCCAAAAGAGGCCGAGAGGACAACCTGGGTTGTCCCATTGCCGTTGACAGTGCAAGTGACCTAACCCCGCAGTCACATGTTCTGTATGCGGCGTTGACATAATGCATAAACTCAAATCATTTACTCTGAACGCCGCTCCTCCACATCAGAGACTTTCAGACGCATATTGGACGATAAAGGAGTTATTGTAAGTTTGAGACAACCCACGTGGTATGATGGATCCATAGTCCCCTTAGCCCTAATCACCAGTGACACACTAGTATTCCGTGCAGTGCGATGAAACAAAAGTTCTAGCTTGTCTGACTCTAAATATGTCATGGTGGAACAACCAAATTAAAATAGAACAATCTAGACAAAAATTAGGTACAGACTCCGATGGAACCTCTATCTCAGGTATTGAGGTGGTTGGGTTGATTGACACGGGAGAAGCTCCGTTGCTGTGGCAGGGATCCCGGCGGAGATTGCGCTGGGCAGCACAGCGCCCAAAACTACATCATCCATCCACATTCTTTGGTCTGGATTCTTCTCTGAAGATCTCGACCTGAAATTATTATCTAGGTGCCCCAACCAGCACTGGTAGTAAGTGCACCTGTCGTTGACTTTCCGTCTCTTACAATCGCCCACTTATACTCATGTTTCCTCTTTTAGTAGTTTGTTGATCGCCCCCAGGCCCAACCATTGCGAACCACCGAGTCGACTGTACAATCCATTGCCCGACCTGATATCGATCCCATCGTCTATATAATTGTGGAGGGCAAACAGTACTAGGCCGCGAGAATGAAGGTCTTTGGGTGGATCTCTCCCACATTATTCGCTTCGACCGTACTATCGATAGAGACACTCCCGTTTACCCCTCCACGGACGACGGAGGCAGACAAAAGGGCATATGACATTCTTCAATTACTGAAGCGCGACGATAACTGTCCTGCCGGGTACAATGCCTGTACCAACATGGATAAATCAGACATCTGTTGCAAGCAGGGCTCGAGGTGTACTCGTGATGCCGCTGATAACATCGCCTGCTGTCCAACTGGAGCCAGCTGCACGGGCAGTCTCACTGGAGACTCTGGTAGAAGTACCAGTTTCCGATTCCCTCAAACCGCCACGGCTACGCAGACGACCGCTCCGAATGACGCTACAATAACCGGCTCAACAATTCCCGGCGCTTACCCTTTCGTCCTTGTTCCCACTACCTTTCCGAACGCCGGAGTTTGCTCGTCGTACTATTCTCTGTGTGAAAGCGACTATACGAAATGCGTCTCATCTCTTGGAGGAGGTTATGCAGTCACGGTCGGGGGAGGTGGAGCGGGGGTTACTCGAGGGGGTGGCGCACCGTCTGCGGTTTCCACTTGCGCCAGCCTAAGCCAGGAAGCCTGCCATGGTCTCAAGTTGGGATATTGTGAGACATATCATACCCGAGGGTATGATGAAAGCAAAGCCAACTCAGGACGCGCTTCTAGCTTGCAGGACCTCGTCTTCGGCGTCATCATTGGAGCGGCCGGGATGTTTATCTGATGACTGATGACTTTTCTTTTCAAAGTGAATATGATATATGAAAATACTCCTTTTTTGTTTCTGAGGTACAAATACTCGGTTACCTGATTTGAATGAGTATGTGCCTTGATTATTGCATATGGCTTATGAATTACTGAAGATGATGCTATGTTTTATGTATTGTTGCTCTGGGTGACTTGGGCCTTTTTATCTCTCTCTTTTGTATAAAGAATATCGGCAGACGAAATTAGAAACATTTTATCCCCCCATCTCCTTCCTCTCTTCTCAAGGGTGCCGCTTAATCCACCTCAAAGCCGTCATTATCATTCCTAGTTCGTTTATCGTCGTAGAATTATCATCGTTTCTCTCTGTCCTCACTTCCCCAGAACGAAAGGTGACAATGTCTCTCACTGCATAGTTGTATATAAAAAGCTCATCCGTCTTCCAATGGTCCAAATGCCATACACAGCAACTTCCGTGCTGCATTCGCAAATATCCGCCCAACTGCTCACACCGTTTCTCCCAGCTTCAGGTTGTCTCCACATTGTCTGTGGCTTGCAGAGAGTATTTATGAAAAATACTCTCTCTGTTTCTCCACTCAAATGTGTGAAAGTCTGAAAACCCATGACCATCTCCCAACTGGGTATGTTGGGCCTGTTCCTGGGCCTAGGTGATATATCCCTCTGTGGAGAGAAATGCCCAGTCTAGGATGGCCTGCCTAACGCCATTAATATGGTCCTCATTTGTAGACGTGCTTATATCCTTTTATCTCTCTACCAATGAAGTCAATCCTGAGAAACTGTACAATATTAGCGCCGTCCAAATTGACGTGAGTCACATTCCTTACTGTAGTTTAGGTTAACTAGATCGAGGCCATGTTGTCTTGAGATGAGCTTTATCTCTTGCTTGGCTTGGTCGGTCAACGACGCAATGGAAGAAGATGTAGATAGGTCCAATCATCTACCGAAAAACAAGAGTACTTATATCTCGCCAGTATATTTATCCTATTGTTGTATGTTGAAAAAAATCGGTCAGGAAAAGTGAACGATGTGGGGGATCAATTTAACACCGAAGAGGCTGGCGGCTTAGTACATCCTCATTTCATATTCCGAGACATCGTGCAATGGCTCCAAGACATCAGACAGGCCTGTTTGAATAATCACACGCTGGTCTGATCAAGAAGGTGGAGCCCATATCCTATGGGTCTCCATGAAGGTTGAAAGAGCTCAGGATCAAGGTATAAAATGAGGTCAAATTCTTGTCTGATAGATCGCCAGTTAAGTAGTTCGATAAGTCACAAAAGGAGGCGATTGATTTTAGGGGCATCAAGAATGTTATCCCATCAGCATACATTGACTGTCACGGTAGGTCTTGTATTCTTTCTGAAATCCATTTCCTCAATCTCATCTGGAGGGATTAATATAGTATTTCCCCACCCCCGCTTGTTGATCAGGGATGTCCTGCTCTCTCGTTTTCCTGTATCTCACCTGGGTGGTAGGGTGGAACTATCGTTCCGCAGGCCAGGCAGCATAGTCCGGGGTCAGACCGAGCCGGAAGAGAGGTCCATTATAATAAGCTCGACTCTTCCTTTTAATTGACCATTGTGCATGCATTTTGAACTGAGATGTTACGTGAAGGTGTGATCACGGTCACAGTTGTTGAGGGGAGAGGAGACAACAACATTTATAGTAACATCCTCTTGACTCAATATCTTCGAGCCTATGCTCTATCATCTCGACCTTCATAGCGGAAATAAGGCCAGACTAGGAATATAGACTCCAACATTGACTCACTTTATATATATAGAGAGAGAGAGAAAATGAGCAGACAAAGGAGGACCTCCTCTAAACTTAGCGTGGGATATATGTTCCCTCCCATTATGGATCCAATGTCTTTGATAACTTAACTGATGGGAGAACATAGATTTTTATCCATCACAATTAGAATTACATAAAAAGCGGATCATGTATCTTTCGGCGTTGATTTTTAATGTCCAATGGATTCCAAGCCTGACAGGTTCCAATTAGAAGCTAGACCAACACTAAGATATGTACCTAAGCTTTAGGACGCTGTTCCTACATCTCTGGAGCGGTGCCAAGCCAGACATTGGCGGAGTCGGTCTAGACGTGATAGTAAAGCCAACACGTCAGGCAAGTGAGGTCAGCGGGTCCAACTGTGAAGATGCCTAAGTGGAGTGGCTCTGAGGCTGGGCAGATTAGTTGAGAATCGGTACAGTGGGAACGTACAGTGACTCGACATGGCTATTTAATTTAAGTAGTAGAGTTAAAGTGAAGTAAGTAGTTATCTACGGAGTAGTCAATTAGGTCATCTCATTCACAGTAGTTATTCTACCTATATGAGTAACGCCGCGCCCGGGGGGGTTGCTGTGTCAGTAAGCTGGATGATGGTATTCCGTACTATACAAATCGGGTCGCATTCAAAAAAAAAAAAAAAAAACCCTGCACCCTCTTCATTTACTTATTAGAATAATTAACCTAATTTAAAAAGGACCCAATCTGAGGCCATCAATCTTTGCTTCATACGTTATTACAACGATTAGCTGGAAATGCGGTGGTTGGGTATGACGGGATAGGGAGGCTGGGGATGGAGCATGGATTGTATGCGCATCCCGTCTGGACTGCCCTCACTAACAACGAGTTTTCTCCTCGCCCCTCCATTCTTCCTCTGCGACCTCTCCTCTTTTCCTTCTTTTGCTACTGTCAATTCTGCATTCCATCCGATCTGATTGCAAAGATCGATCTATCCCTCCGTAACGACTGGTATACTTAGTACTTCAGCTGCGGGGTCGGTGATCAGCCTTCAGGTGCTTCGCATCGGCCAAGGGTCAAGGTCAATTCTACCTTGACAGACCATCGCGGATAGTGAGTGATAGAGGAATTCAAGAGAACAAAAATAGTACTTCTAAATCGAAGGCATTATCGCATCTTATCACCACCCGTCATGCATACTTCCCGAATACTACGATCGGCGATCTCGATATTGACCTTATCAGCTCAATTCCCACTCTCTGTGGCTTCTCCGTTGGATTTTCTTGAGACCAGTCTGGAAAAGCGATGCGAAAACCCCTGTGGTTACTACGGTCAACTCTGCTGCACCTCGAGCCAGACATGCAGCACCAACGGGGACGGCCAAGCTGTCTGTCAAGAAGGGGGCGGTAGCAGCGGCGGCGGCGGATCATGGGTGTACCATACCACTACCTACGTTGTCACAGAAACAGACAAGAAGACCGTAACCTCGACGTGGAGCACTCTAGTCCCGAAATCAACGGATTCAGGTGGTTGCAAGGCCGAATTGGGTGAGTCGGTTTGCGGCAACACCTGTTGCGGAGCAGCATATGTTTGTTCCAATGATCAGTGTATTATGGGGAGCTCGTCCATATGGGCCACTGCAACGGCCACGCCTCCTGTAAGGGGTACAAGTGCGAGCACCGTGACCGCGACGGCCTCTGTGACGACCACACAGGCATTTGAGACCCCGGTCGGCACAGATGGGGCTTCGTTGATAGGCGTGAAGGCCCCGGATAATGGAGGGCTCAGTGGAGGGGCGATTGCAGGTATCGTCATCGGAACCATCGCTGGTGTCTTCCTGATACTGTTGGTTTTGTCTTGTCTGTGCTGCCGGGGAATATTGGAATCACTGTTTGCCTGTCTTGGACTCGGTGGCAGGAGAAGAAGAAAGGAAACGACCTACGTGGAAGATCGATACTCTCATCATTCACATGCCCGACCCGAGGGACGCACCTGGTTTGGAGCGCGACCATCAGCCCCCGCAGATGGTGGGAAGAAATCCAGATGGGGTAATTGGGCGAGCATCGGAATCATTCTCGGTGCACTTGCGCTTTGTCTGGGATTGAAGAGACGCAGAAACCATGACGAGAAGAGCGACTACACTTACCCAAGTAGCTATTACACTTACTCCGATTACACAAGTGCAAGTAAGTTTTATTTCTTCCCATCTCTGACTGATTTTTCCATAGTCTTGCTAACAGCTTTGTAGGTAGCGAAAGTTCGGGCAGACGAACAAGACGCTCCCGAAGATCATACCGATCTCATTCACGTTCACGACGGTCATGAGTTTTGATGATCTTTCTAAACTATATACGGAGTATTTCCTTTTCACGTTATAAATTCTGCCGTTTCCCAGACGGAATATGCATTTAAATGGCGCCGGGTCCTTTAACAATTTGCGAGTTGAGTGTATTATCAGGTTTTGTTTTCCTTGTGCTGATCATGATTTGTATTTCGCTTTTTCTAAGTCAGATATGTATGATGAGTTATGTTTTCATGTCATGATGGCCTTGTTTACTTTAAATTTTTTTTTTTGGTGCCCCTTATTTCAGTCCTCCGCGCCTGTCTATGATTTAAGGCTAAACGAACAAAAACGATGTAAATACGAGAATGTGAGAAAAACGAGATAAATATGATGTCAAATAATGTTCCGGGTACCAATTTGGCCCAGCTTATATCAGTGGGAGGAATTCGGCGACGAGCGCAAGATTCGGAGTATATCGAGACCAGAGGAAGGGATGGGAACGCAGGTACCACGCTTCCAGGGAAGAACAGGAGCTGGGGTTGGGAGTCGCATGCACTGCCTGCATCCCACCGAACCGAGGATTCATTGCGACCAGCGAGCGCATCATACCTAGAAAATAGGTACCAGATCAATGAATCTTAATCATGCACATGCCGAACCATCTCGTGCGACCCAACCTGCAGGGGAACATTGCAAGTCGGGGAGAAGACCATTCTCGATGACGAAGCGATGCGAATGAGCAGGTAAGAACAGAACACACATTATATATACATGTGAGCAATATGTACAGTGTAGAGCCTCTAACAAAACTATCGGTTGACTCGGAGGCGAAACGACGAAACATGCGGGAGACCATTACTTATAATGCGGAACTGCGCTCTCCCCGCCTCCCGTAGCCCCGGCACTTCCTCTTCTCGACCGATCGAAACGAAACGTCCTCACTTTCACGGTCATTATTCGTTCATTCTTCACCACGCCAATCAATACCATTCCAACACCCACTGGCCACAACACCGGTTATTCATGTGTTTGACTTCGGGCTTTTGACTATCTTCGGACTTTTTCTTTTCTACCTTTCCAGCTTCTCCTCTTTTCCCCGGTCGCTCAGGGCCTTCCATTCTCTCCTGAGGATTACGAGTCCCCATCGTCTGTCGGTCCTTCGCCCACCCGCCATGCTCCAAACGCAGACCCAACACGTCTTTTCCCATCAACATCAGTATCCGCAGGCTGATCCATCCTGGCTGCAGCAGCAACAACAACAACAGCAGCAGCAGCAGCAACACCACCACCACCACCACCATCATCATCATCAAGCCCAGCACCATGCTCAGCAGCAGCACTCTTCGTTGGCGGCCCAACAGCATGCCCAGGTCCAGGCCGCTGCAGCCGCTGCGGCGGCCGCTCAGCAACAGCATTATAGCCGCATCGCTATGGCCTCCAATACCGGTGCTGGGAATCCAGGACAGGGTGCCGGTGCCGGTGCCGGTGCAATAGGCGGGGATGGCTCGTTGCCGGGCGCCGTGTCGGTTATGGATGGTGGGATCAGCGATGAGAACCGCAAGGTTTTCATCTGGGTGGCGGAACTATTGGACCCGAACCGCAGAGAGGCAGCTCTGATGGAACTCAGCAAGAAGAGGGAACAGGTCCCTGAGCTGGCGTTGGTCATTTGGCATTCATTCGGTACGAGACGCTCGCCCTTTTGTTTGCGATACTCTTGAGACCATCCTTCCTTGTGGATCACTTGGTCGGCTTGTGATGCTAATTCGGGCTGTTTTGGCAGGTGTCATGACCGCTCTACTCCAAGAGATTATTTCAGTATACCCTCTCTTGAATCCGTCCCAGTTGACGGCGGCCGCTTCGAATCGAGTTTGCAACGCGCTGGCTCTGCTACAATGTGTGGCCTCTCACAATGAGACTCGCACTCTCTTCCTGAATGGTACGTAATATGGGCGTTGCGCTAGTGCGCTTCAGCTAACCGGTGATTCCGTCTGAACTAGCACATATCCCACTCTTCTTATACCCGTTTCTTAACACCACCTCCAAGTCGCGTCCATTCGAATACCTCCGTCTCACCTCTCTGGGTGTGATCGGGGCCTTGGTTAAAAATGACTCCTCGGATGTCATTAATTTCCTTCTCACCACCGAGATCATCCCACTCTGTCTTCGCATTATGGAGACGGGTTCGGAACTGAGCAAAACAGTGGCCATTTTTATTGTACAGAAGATTCTACTCGATGACATTGGTCTTGCTTATATTTGCGCCACCTATGAGAGGTTCTATGCGGTGGGGACTGTTCTGAGCAATATGGTCACTCAGCTTGTGGAGCAACAGACCGTACGGCTGCTCAAGCACGTTGTGCGCTGCTTTCTTCGGTAGGCTCCCATCCAAATTACCCAATTCATCCGACCGTGGTGTGAGATTCTGACTTGCCTGTAGCCTGAGTGACAACAGCCGGGCACGGGAGGCCTTGCGACAATGTCTTCCCGAACCTCTACGGGACGCCACCTTTTCTTCCGTCCTCCGCGATGACGCTGCCACAAAACGTTGCCTCGCACAGCTCCTCATTAACCTCTCCGACAATGTCTCCGATGGCGCGCCGGGTGTTGCTTTGTAAAAAGTCGAAAAGCATCTGCTTCTGGGTCCTTTTCTTTTCCTTTTTTTTTTTTTTTTTTTTTTTTTTCTTGATATATTTGACAACCTTACGATATGCATGGGACGGACTTAAGGCGAAAATGGGTCGTTAGGCGCAAAATTGTGTGAAATGACAACGCAACGGTAAGAACTATGAAAAAAAAAAGAAAAAAGAAAAAAGACAAAGAGAGGGAAGATGCACTGTTTGAGGGGATCTTTGTGACTATTATGTATTAAATGTTCCTATTTTTTTTTTTTTTTTCTTTTCTCTTTTTCTTTTTGCCCCTTCCTCTCTGCGTTCCCCCTGTCATTATCCTTTTATCTTTTCTGGGCTGTCGTGTCGTTCCCGCTTGTTCTCTCCCATTTCGGTCATAATGGTATAGGCTGTGCGGTGGCGTGGATATGGATGGCGCATCTGTTTCTGTGCATTTTCCTTGTCCTTTATGATCCCTTTCCCCAACCTCCATCTGAATGAGATAGACCCTCTTTGAGCGAGAGATACCAAGATCTAGGTTTTTGTTTTTTTGCTGCATGCGTTGGTCTTCATTTGTCGCACTGTTACTACTACTACCTCTTATTATACTATGGAATTCGGGTGGCGACGGGGTGGTTAGTCTATGGTTACTGAAGCAGCGGTATATTATGACGTGTTTGATTTGTTTCTGTTAATTTTTATGCCTCCATTCCAAAAGTCCAATACTTTTTATTATTTTCACGGTCTAGAATTGCTTCTATAGTGCTTCAGCAATTTCTCTGAAATTGCTGAAGCTTATGCGTTCCTTATCCGCCAATCGGTTCGCCAGCATCACCTGACGGGGCTCGACGCGGTCTCTGAGCTCATCTCCCTCTCGCTCTCGCCGACACGCCCTGCCAACCCTCTTCACCTTCCAGTGCATTTTGTCTGTCCTACTGTCTCAAATCTCCGTAATTGTTTGAGAAGTTCTGCTCGGTGCACCTGTGCTGCCTCTAGGTCCATTCGATTTTACACGCCGGTGAACGCTACGAAACCTGTGATTTTCCCCGGCACTTGGATGGTCTCGAATCGCCTCCATGGTCTCGCGAAAGCGCACCCGTTCGGAGGTGGATGCTGCCCCCGAGCAGCCACCGGAGGAACCTAGTCTCCTTGACCGGCTTCGCAGTTGCTGGGAGTTTGCCAATATCATGCAGTATATCACGATCTTTGGAAAACTTATGAAGATTGACGAGGATTTCGGGATTGAGGTAAGTGCGTCTGTGCAGCGTGGCGGATTGTCGGACTCCCAGAGAACCTTTTTTCGGGAATGTCGCGTACAACAGAAAGCTAATTCTCCCTCCATTTTGGCTGTTGCAGGACCTGGAGAATGAATGTCTAAAGCCCGAGCCGTCGGAGAAACTCTTGGAAATTGGTCTCTGTCTTCTGAAATGGGTTTCGTCGCATCGCGGTCTCACGTACGTAACCCGGTACATCTCATACCTTTCCACCTCACGCAGCTAATCAGATTGGTTTTTGGTATTAGGTTCGATAATTTCGATGAGTACACGCGACGTCAGTACAATGCCAAAGCCCCCCATCTTCCGAACCCCTTCGGGTACGACGAGGTCCCGAACAAGTTCTCCGAATTTGATGTCTTCTTGAAACTTCGCGTCCTTCACCAGCTTTCGGTGTGGACTTTTTGGAATCCTGATCGCATTCGCGACAAGATGCCGGAACAGAAGGAAACTGACCAGATACAATGGGTGAGTCTCCCTAAGGTTGGGTTTTGAATTTTTGCTGATCCACTCTCAAGCGGATAGAGGAAGTAGGTTACGATCGCGAAGGTCGCTACTACTATATCTTGGATGATAATAGACTATACCGTCGCACCGATCCACCCATCCCTCCTCCGAAACCCGCCAAATCAAAGACAAAGAAGAAGAGTGCTCGAGCCGTGAGGGCGTCGAAGCGGAGAAAGGTCTCTGGCGTGGTCCCCGACAACGAGTCGTCGGATGAGAATGAGAATGGCTTCGCTTCCAATGTCGATCGTGATCCTTTTCACGACATGCAGTGGGAATGCATTGCGATCACTCTGTCGGACTACAGGCAGTTTTTGGATTCAATCCGAAAAACAAAGGATGCAGATGAGAAGATCCTAAGAGATAGGATCGAGGAGCAAGTGATGCCGGTGATTGAGAGGGAAGAAGAGGCCCAGCAGCGGCAGAAGGCCAAACGGGAAAAGGAGCTTTTCAACCTGCAGCTGCTCGCGGGCGCCAAGCGCTCGAGCCGCATCGCCGGAAAGGCTGAGAAGGAGCGACACGAGCGTGAGATGGCAGAAGCTGAACGTAAAAAGGAGGCGGAACTCGCTGCCGCCCGCAAGATGGAGGAGAAAAAGAACAAGATGGAGGAGGAGAGGCGCTACCGCATCATGAGCCGTGAAGAGCGTATCAAAGAACGCGAGAAGAAGCGTCTGTTGCACGAGTCTGAAGTACAGAGGATAGAAGAGGAGCAGGAAAAACTCCAGCGGGGCGAGAGTAGGGCGTCTGAAAGACACCTGAGGGCCGAACTGGAGAAGCAACGGAAGAATCTGGAAGGACTGTCTTCAGAGGATGAATGGTTCTTTGACTGCTCTGGCTGTGGTGTACATGGAGAGAACCTGGTAAGATTCAGCGTGTTCTGTCTGAAGCATGGACTAGAACTGACTAACATCTCACAGGACGATGGCTCCCATAGTGTCGCATGCGAGAAGTGTAACGTGTGGCAGCACAGCAAGTGCCTTGGGATCGCGCAGGATGAAGCGGAGCGAGAGGACTTCCATTTTATCTGTCGCGACTGTAAACGACGAGAAGAGGAAGCGAAAATGCCGAAACTACCACCATTGAAATTTCGAGTCGGCTTGTCTCCGTCATCTGCTCCTGCCGTCGAGAGTGCTGAGAAGCGCCAAAATAAGCCCGTTGCTCATACTTTTGTGCCATACAAACCAGAGACCGACTATATCCCATCGACCGCCCCGAATATGTCCCCATCCAAACTCCCTGCCATGCAGCCATCTCTGGTACCACGGAACGCTACGCAGTTGCCTATTCCTTTCCCTCTATCCCCGGAGCGTCGACCTCAGTCCTCCCATGTGACCTCGTTCAGCCCCCCTCGGGTCCCATTCTCGCCGTCCAAGGGTGTGAATAGTTTCAACGGCCTGACACCATCTAGAGAGCAACTTCACAAGCTGCCACCGATCCAGCAAATTGCTCCCCAACCGCCCAATCCCCATGGATCCCTCAACGGTGGATCCTTATACTCACAACGTCCATCTTCATCCCATTCTGTCCAAAGCCAGAGCATGGCCTCGCCCATCCAGAACCGTCCGTCGATGTCCCCGACCCAGGGCAATCGTGACGTCGGTCCTCTTGCGGGATTTCCGCCTCCTTCGTCGGAGAATCCAGTTCCGTGGACCCCCTTCAAGCAACATCAACAGGTGTCACGTCCAAGCAACGGGAATTATCCTTCTTTCTCTTCGATTCACAGCGGACATGCATCGTTCATGGCCACTCCGGGAAGTCACTCTTCCCCTCCGCAAAGCTCACACGGGGCACCGCCGCTCTCAGGGATCAGCCCGACCAAACAATCACCACGACCTATGACATCTGGCAGCATTGCAGGTGCGCCGGTTCTTCCGCCGATTCAGAAACTGGAACCGAGCCCGAAGCTGATGGGGCGCAGCTCACCTGACGCACCTATCCCGCCACCCGTCAAATGCATGACTCCAGAGCAGGAAGAGCGGCGACAGCGGGAGAATGCCATGATGTTCCAGGCCCAGTCTCACGGTGCGTCCAACGGCCAGCCATCGGTACTTTCATCTCCGTCATTTAACCGGATACCTCCTTTCGGTCCGGCCCCGGCGCACAGACCTGATACTCAGCGTGATACGGTGAGCAAGCAGATAGGAGCTGTCCTTTGGACTTAAACTTACGATAATACTCTTGATTGACCTTTGGCATTTCCAACCTCGGACTGGGTAATGTCGATTTTGAGTTGTGGAGGCCTCCACGGACCTTGGATGATGACTTGTTTTGTGCAACGAATCCAGCGAATCCGGAAATATCACCCATAGCAAATGAAGTTGGTCGCACTTGTACCTGGACCGGTACCAGGAGTTTACTTCAGCCTTATACCGTTAACCTTGGCGTTACTTTTCTGTCCTTTTTTTTTTTTTTTTTTTTTGCATGTTTGTCTTTGGAATTTTCCCACATTGGTATTGGTCAGATTCGCTTGTATTATTCAACCGGCCAAGGTTCTGTTTACCTTTGCCATATTATCTTGACAGCATGTTGTATGATTGCATGAGTTGGTTGGAGCTGGGCCGGATTCTTGATTTAAAGCTACATGGAATACGATTGGGCTGAGGGGTATAAAAGTGTTTGCATGAGGATTAGACGGTGTTATACTAATAGAGGTGATAACTGATAATTACTTTATAGTCAAAAATTGCACTATATGCAGCTGTACGGAATATATCTTATGTCTCAGATACAATGCAACGTAGATTGCTTATCTAGTCTTTAATATACCGCATGGCATGATACCCTGTAGTATGAATATGCACTAGCAACTGCATTACCAGTAAACTATCACAACAACAGGGAATCCCTAGCATCTACGGAGTAAGAATATAATTAATTATTTTTTTGCCGTCTCCAAGCCACCAATATCCCTTCGCTTAGTAGTTTAGTCTAGTTCTACGGAGTATGTCTCCTTGTCCGTTCCCCAGTCCAGACAGAAGTACGGAGTACTCTGTATCCACCAGAAAAGCTACAAATGTAGTGCAATGTAACCCCGTAATGAACCCGCCAGTGTCGGGGAGGGCAGAGCATTAGTACTGAGTTCGTAAGTGCAAATGGGGGAGATAATTACGAGACGTGACCTTACCAGTACCCAGGTACCTAATAGGTAGGTTAATAGCTAGGTAGTAGTGAATATCCATCCCAACGAAAAAAATTCAATAAATACTCCATCCTTTGGATAGATTGATCGTTGTTTTACCTCGGGGAAAGTAAATCACAGGCATCCGTTGTTATTGTCACTCTGGGTAAACTTTCTACCTAGTGGATACTTAAGATAGGCGAATGGGCGGGTGAAATTAGTCCCACTTCTACTATTGTTAGATTAGGTATGAGGCACTGCGTAGTGGGGTAGAAATCACATCATGAGATGATAATCAGAGGCTTTGCGCTGCCGAGTTGAACAATAGGATGGTTAGTGAGATATTTATCTGGATTTAGATTATACATAGTAGTAGTACTTAGGTCGGCGAGTAGATTTCATGTCGGTGTTAATTATTAACAGTGGATTGATAATCACGACGAGTTCTGACTAAGTAATACTACCTTAACTTAACTAGTAATACTTTGCACCTAGGTGGTAGTATGTATTACTCTGTACGTAGTGTGGAATAACCGGGACCCACTTCGTGGTCATTGCTTGTTTAGGCCGCGGCGCAGTTGCGAGTTGGATATGTGGATGCGAGAGCAAGATTAGTTTAATTGGTAGATCGAGCTTCGGTGACCTAGCACGAATCCAGAGGACAGACTTTCCAGTTTACTCTGTAGACTGTGGGATAGGTAAGTAGTACTAGAGTCCGGAGGATACCTAGCCGCTTACGATGCATCCGATGATTCGGAACCGAAGACTGTCCATCCGGCGATCTCCTGAATGTCAGCCGGTGGAAACGATTGGATTGGATCCACTGATATGACGGCCGTCTCATCCTCCCGGACGCACGTTCAGTATATCTGTATGGAGTAGGGGTAGTATATAAGATATCTGTTATGATCTTTATTATTGTTATTGTTTTTATTGTTCTTATTATTTTCTAAGTACTATAAGAATCTCGGTCTTACGAAGTGAGGATTCAAACCGGATAATCCGAGGAGGTATTTTATCCGATGCATAAGCTCTGAACCCGGTATAACCCGGCCACTAAGGGATTTTCGATAGAAAGCATAAAGGGAATCCATCCGTAAGGCAGGTAGCATTGGATATTATTATTATTAGGATGACTGATAATTGTTGCCTTGGGCGCCTGTCGATCGCCCGCGGACTATACTCGTGTATAGTACGGAGTACTTTCTGTCACCTATGTACTCTGTACATAGGTAGAAGTATCGGCTGATCTCTACGGAGTAGGGTCGGCCTGTATATCATCAAATTGTTGGTCTGTAATCATCAGATTGTTGGCCCCTAGGTAGATGAACTAGGGAACCATTAGCAATGGGTACCACTACATTAGTGCTCAATAGGACTCCTTATTCATTGGCTCATGTCCACCAACTGAACCTTACAAATGATGGCCATACCGACGCGAAGCGCAATTGGTACCGATATCACGTCAGGCGAGACGCTTATCGCCTAGTTCTCACTAGTATACTTCATCCGTACTTCCAGATATCATTACTCCCCCTGCCGACCGCCCAATATTGGGAACGTGATGTAATGCTCTTCGTGACCAGTCAATCAACCCCCGGAACAGAAGTATGTATCTCTTGGTCGCTTAATGCCAGTACGTACTGGTCTTTCAATCAATCCATGCACGCGACACTCGACGACCTACAATGGAAAGCCCTTGGTTTCCACAGAAGTTTGAATGCGCATTGACCTAAACTGGCGCCGGACTCCGTAAGCGGCGGAGGAACTTCTCGCCCTTTTATTTTATTTTATTTTTTTTTGCCTTTTTTTGCCTGTCAGTCCGTTTTGGGATTAGAGCCTCTCTCTCCAGAACCTTTTTGATGGTGGTCTGTGACCGATACAGTAGTCACCATTACGGTATTGTACAGGCTACAGACAACGGATGAGTTAAGCCTCCGCGCGGCACAAGATACCTATCAAAGTGTATGTACCCTACGCCATAGCGTAGTGGTATAGTAGTATCTCAAGTGTTGAGCTGCATAGCTGGTCCACATATACCCTCCATCCTGAGCATGGACCCCTAATCAAATATCCCTCCGTACTCAGTACGTAAGTGTACTCCGTAAATAGGTACGTAGACAGGCCTAGTATCTGTTGTCAACTGTAGTTACTGTACAACCCACCCACCAAAAACATAAGACCGAATTGGTCGATCCCCGTTTGACCTGATGGGCACCCGCAGGGGCAGTCCATAACCCACCACTCAGCTGCAGAGCCGTTAAGACGGTATCCAATGTCGCGACGGGGAATTTTGCACCCCACATGCAGTGTAAGCTAGGGTAGGAAGAACTCCACCAATAGTTTTGATCGAAGTAACCTCTTGTTGGTTTTGGCCCCTCTTCCTTTCCATGCCACTGTACCCACTTTCTGATGTTATAGCCGCTTTTGACGCTGTCAGCATTTAATTATGGCGGAGCTTAGCGTAGCAATATTACATATATATATGGTTCGATATACAGGGATATACTAATATGGTATGCACAGCCTGCCCATTGTACTGGGCCGACAATCCTCATTTATCTACGTGTCCATTTTTGACGCTGCCAACTGTGTTGGTTGGCGGTGATGTCTACTACGGTAGATTGCATAGTATACACCTAGAAAAACAAGGTGGTATCTACCTAGTAGCCTTGTAGGTAGGAATGAGCCATGAGGTATTTATCTTGATATGAACATAGCCTCGACCAAGATATGACCTCCCTTCTGCCTTCTGTTAGTTGTACGTAGTATTCCCCATCACGCTCATCCCAAAACTGTCACCGCGGTGCCACATCCCCGGGTTAATAATTGTGTCCCAGACTTTGACCCTTACAGAAAAGATAGTGGCTTGGACTATTCTCCGCTAGAAGAAAACCAATCTTCCGGGTAAAGGTCATGGATAGATAGGATAGACAGACGCGTCCTTCGCATTGATTGTCAAGGTAACATCTGGATTGAGTTCTTTCTCTTTCTCTTTCTTCAAAGAGGACAACCATCGTCCGGGTAAAAATAGATATCAGAGACAAGATGAAATATACAACGAGTGTTCTCATTCTCTCTATTTCTCTTTCTATCTCTATGAAGTAGAGTGCAGGGACAATACAAATCGTCAAAAAAAAAAAAAAATAATTAGACTGAAACAATATGAATGACTGAATAGATACTAGATAGCAAAAGTCAAGTCGTACATCAGACCCAGCCACCAGACGCGATGAAACACACCATGAAGAGCGGAACCGTAATGGATTGGACTCTTTGAATCTCCTCGAGCTGTGGCCTTTACCCCCGGATGGGGAAAAGCGTGCGGCTTGGCCGTACTTCAGTGGAGATATTTTCTTCTAGAAGGTCCATCGAACGCCTCCAGGTGGAGAATATCCATCTATCCCTGTTGCGAATCCATCGTCCCTGAACAAAGACTGAAAGTGTAAATTAATTACTCACGTTGGGTGGGGACTCCTGAGGGGGAAGAGAGCTTGTCTAGTCTGGTCTGAACGTTCTACCGTATCCTGGGAGGACGGGGTAGAGCATGTAAGCGACATGATGCAGACAAAGCGATCCAGGGATTCAAAGGGGGGGTGAGGGAAGTGGGGAACGCTATGACCGCGTGTTGTTGTTCAACATAACATCAACATCCTCAACATCGTGGGCCTACGTTGGTGGAACCGGTGATCGACATGCGGTCACGAGTACGCAGTACTGTGCAATGCAGCTTCGATCCGGGAACTAGTCTATTAAGCGCCGATGGGCTGTTGTATATACATGTATGTATGTACAATGTACATACTACTGTGCCTACTAGGTTGCCTTAAAGTCTATGTACATACATACGAATATCAGCATGCCAAAGACCAAACTAGCGCGCCCTAACGCAGGAGAAAAAGCATCCCAAGAACCATCGATAAGGTGCTTGGCGCGGTGGCAGATTCCAGAATTCCATAATTCTACATCGTTAGAACCTCACAGACAAAGAAATCCAAAATATAGATCTTGTATATGTCTCTGTTTGGTGAAAAACCAAAGAACTGAAATAATTAAATTAATTAATATAGTATAGTAAATCGAGCAATGTTCCTGCGCAAGCCATCAAAGTCTATATCAGACGTATTTGGCAGCGGTGGGGGAGGATAGCTAAGGTTATAGCCATCTTAGTACCCGTATAGTTGATATAAATTGACGAAAAAAAGAAAAAAAGGTATGCCCCGGTCGATTCTGTTCCAAATCAAACCACAGAGGTAGGTCCTAACCTGCAGCCACATGCTGAGGTACCACCTATGTTTTGTTTTTTTGGTCTGCACGGTCCACTCTCGATCCTCGATCAATTGTTGGTACGACATGAATATGGTGGACAGATGACCTTCCCGTATAGCTACAAGCATGATAGGCGAACGCTCTAGATATGTATCATGGTAGAGCGCCGTTGTATAACCTTCATGCAGAAGATTTGGAATTCGTCTTGTTTTGCATGAACGGGGTGGATTGACGCTATAATGAGCAGCGGCGGGTCCTCCAAGGTTGCCAAGATGCCAAGAACGTACAGGCCACTACTATTAGAAAGTAGATGCTAGGTACTACTGGGGACCTGACGAACAGACTCTTTGTTTCACGTGATCAGAAAGAGCCCGGAGGAGAGGAACCCCATGCGATGGCACTTTCGATAGCTAGGGGGAACATGACAGATGCCAAGAAATGTACGCATGTATGTGAGTGGATACCCCACTGCGATATTGCGGTAGCAGGGGTGGATCTCCCTGTCCATCTATGTGGCTTGTACCGTGCTGTAATAAATTACTGACTATGTATTTGGACGACCCATAATCTGCTGGACCAGTGTTAGTGCCCTGGATACTTGAGCCCAACAGAACCTGAACCAATTATGGACTAGTGGCGTCATCTGGTAATTGTCAGTCCCATGGGGCTTCCCAACGACGAGGTCGAGGATTTTATCTGTCAGTTGAAACTTCAAAGAGGAAGGTGAGGGGGGAAATGGAAAAGATGCCAATATTCAGTCTGCGTTGAATGGCTGGAGGTATATCAAGATTTGTCATTATGCAGAGATGTTCCCATCTCTACATGGAAACATACATAAATATTATACCTATTTCCTACTAGACATCATTTACAGTACATGCAGAGTACTACTTACTAGGCACTACTGTAAGTACCTACGCCGTAGACATCTTATACAGAGTAGGTAGTTAAATAGTTTAGTATGGCAGTATATATGACTAATGACATCGCCGTTTCGATCCCCGATCCCCAGCGTACACAGTATGATGTCGGGCTTCCGGTTTTGCCTTAGTCCGTATTAGCTTCAATGTTAGCGATGATCTACAGAGCACTGTATCCTGAGTCAAATGTGGGGAATAAACAGCCCCCACCGGCGTCCATGATCTGTGGTATAGAAGTAGGTACTGTAGTTGTTACTCCACTGTCACTCTGTGCTCCGGCGCCAGACAGACGAACGCGTGGAGATAATCAATAAAGATGGCCACGGTTCCAAGGGAGCGTGCACGATGTAAAGTTAGAGAGACTCAATCCGGATAAACCAACATAGTATCTACGGAGTACTAAGATACCCCCCATCGTCTTCTACTTCCATGATTCAATTTGGAGGAACAAATCTAATGGGAAGTCCTACAGATACCATCCAGTCTATTCTAAGAATGGCGAAGAGAACAAACAATAAGTGTGAGGATTGGATGATAACTCTCTATTTTGTATAGACTGGTCGTGTAAGTGTCTGTATTTTACAGGAACCTCCCTTTCCCCTCTTGGGAACTTCCCTGATTGGGGATAGGACCCCTTTTAGCGATTCGCACGAGTTGCATTATTGGCTGGTATGTGGTAGACGTGCAGCAATTCGGCCTGTGTTAGATGAAACTAAGCACAACTATGAGTGGCTATGAGGATCTGCCTGGCTCCATCATGTGTAACATGCTTGGCTGGAGCGTTAGACTGTCATATCACTCAAGAATAATTATCCATCTTGACCACTATAGAGTACAAAATATGACATACGGGAAATAAATATAACAGCGTCATCGAACTAGAGAAAAAGAATGGATTCCAAGAAAGCTTTGGTCTAGTTTGATCCCACTCTACAATTCTTCTCCCGTGACGCCTGCTTTACAATAGACCATAGGCCTCCCGCGAGGAGAGTTTTAGATCCTATCAAAGGGTTCCTCTCCCTTATTCTCCTATCTTCATGGATATTTTACATCTGAAACTGGTTCCAGCAATTCATTCAGATCTGATCTGAATTTGGCACAAAGACAAGGCAATTGGAAGCCACCGGTGTGTTTGAGTAGAAAAAGAGTTAAAAAATATCAAGATACTAGTTAGATAGACATAGACGAACTAATGGGGGATATAATTAAAAAAAAAAAAATTCCAGAAATGACAGTTTTTATCAAAATCAAATCAATGCCCCACGTCAAATCAAACCATAATACGGAGGAATAAGTCTTTTCTTTAATAAAAATAAAATATAGCATAATAAATAATAATAATAAATAAAATAAATATATTATAATGATAAATAAATAATAAAAATAATAAAAATAACCCGCACATTATCCTCCCAACCTCCAATCACTATCCCCAGCGCTTTGGAACAAAGCAACGCCATCACCAACCCCAAGCAGGAATAGGGAAACACCGCCGCCTCCGCCGACAGGGAAGTTTTTTTTTGGGGCCTGAGTCAGGGTCTCAGCCCCTAGGATTTCATGGAATGAATGTCCATCTAGAACGGCTGTCTGCAACATCATCCATCGCAACCCGTCTCCTCTTCCCGTCTGCCGTTGTATTCTATGGTATAATAATGGTGCTGCTCGTCGCTGCAGGTCCTCCTGGGTAAAACATCCACTATCCTATCATCCTATAGTAGCTACTGGCAGAATGGAGTAGGAGGTGTCTACTAGTGAGCTTGATTGATTGATTGGATTTGATTGATTTTTACTTCTCTTCCTCTTCCTCTTCTTCCTCTTTCTTCGTCCCTCTTCTGCTCTTTGATTGTCTCTCCCTGTTCCCCCTCCTCCTCTCCCTTCTTCAATTCTCTCCCCAGTCCGACAATAAAAAGGCGAGCTTGTCTCACTTGTCTCTTTCTTCCTTTCTTCTTGATCATCCCGTTGCCGTAGTTTGGGATCTGGCAGGGCAGAGCCTCATGCAGAATCCCCCCACCAAGTGGGTTTCTACAATTCCAATTGCTGCTCTTATTCATCTCTCTCCATATCTTTCCTTCTTCTTTCTCCGGAGATTCTAGAGTCTATCGTCCTCTTCCTCATCTTCTCCTCCTCCGCCTCCATCTATTCCCACTGTACAGCAACGTCTGCGCTATCACGTTCCTCTTCACAGGCCTGGAGTCTGCTTGCGACCGGACTTCAATTTCATCCAGCAGGCCAGAGTTCCAAAAAAAAGGAATTACCCGTTCTCTGGGTCGCGGAATCCAATCTGAAGGGACCCCAGTAGTCCAATATAATCCGTGTCACGGTATCTTCCAATAAAGTCTTCCTTGCAAGCATCATGAAAATGATCGCAACACATCCTCCCTCTCCCCCTCAGTCCACAGATGGGGCTACGCCTGAACCTCATCGGAATCCTTGCGGGACCATCCATTCTTTGTACAACCAGGGCAACATCCTGGACGCTGCGACGATGCATGGCGACCCTACAGCTGGCGAGATCGCATACGACGGGGGCTCACAAGCGTCGATGGTGAGAATCCCGGCTCTAGACTGTCGCTCCCCTCCACATATTCTTTCTGACTGGAAACTAGGGCTATAATCCTTCCGCTTACTCGCAGAGTCTGCCACTGCATTCGGCGCAAATAATCACAAACAATCCCCAGGTGGAAACGCCTCCCCCTACTTCGGACGAGGACTTTCTCCGTGGCAGTTCACAGTCAACGCCCTCACAGTGGCTATCTCCCCCCGCCCGGACAAAGACTCGCTCAAAAGCGAAGATCACCAAGGGTCCGAAATCCAGGGCCGTGAGGCAGAAAAACATAGTTTATCCCAGAATGCCTGGTCCGCTGAGCGAATTGACCAAGCATATGACTCAGGTACCCATCAGAGACATGGAAGTGTGGGTGCACCGACCGATCGAAGTTCGCCAGCAAGAGGTTGCCAAAAAGAAAGGCAAGGTCGCCAGACCCATGAACTCTTTCATGCTCTATCGATCTGCATACGCCGAGCGGGCCAAGCAGTGGTTCGCCCAGAACAATCACCAGGTTGTATCCAGAATGGCCGGGCAGAGTTGGAAACTTGAATTGCCGGAAATCCGGAAGAGATACGAGCTTCTCGCAAGAATGGAGAAGGCCAATCACGAAAGAGCCCACCCTGGATATAGGTTCGCGCCCGAGAAGGACAAAAAGAAGCGATGCAAGTCGGCCGAGGAAAATGACAGTCTGAAGTGCTCCGAAACCCCACCCAAATCCAGCCCATCTTTGAACCATATCCGTACTGTGGGCTCGGAAATGGGTAGCGAATGGGACAGTCGCGACTCCACTCCATTCGGGGTCGTTGATCATGAGCTGTCCGTAGGAGGAGCCTACTTCAATTCTCCCTGGCAATCCGGCACCCCCGGCAAACCGGCTCCTGGGATGATGTCTTCTCCCGAGCCTCAGTATCTGCAACAGTCGGTCCATCCTGTCCTCCTTGGTTCTCACGTTGAAGATGTTCGATCCAAGAAGATCGGCATGCAGGATGTTCAGTATACCACGTCCACTGCCTTGGCGGGGCTGCCAGGTGCTGCCCATCATGAACTTCTCCAACCTCAGACGATTGTTCCCGCTCCGGGGTCTGGCTCCGACGGACAACTGGATCCTCAGCTGTTGGGATACCATGGTGACGTATCGAACGGTGGTGGGCATGTTTACAGCAATTCTCATTATTCGGTATGGCAAGAGACACCGGCGGGCAACTGCTACCTTCCCGTGGCCACGACTCTGTCGCCTACCGCAGTGTCCTACATCGGGGCCGGCTACCAATCGGGGCTATCGACTCTGGCAGAGAGTCGTGAGGCATGGGAGCCAAGTACCGAAGGAGTCATGGACACTGCTGGTGAATTTGATAATTGGATCAACTCTCATCCATCAGGATATTAAAGAGACAAATTCCCCTGAATATTGAGATCATGGTGATGATGAGGCGAGCAATGAGCCCGACGGAATATTTCATTATGGTTTATATGCCATTTTTACTTGAGTAATTTGGGTTGGCTCTCTGCTTCTGGAATCTGGGATACCTGTGCTGGAGTTCATTCAAAATCGCGCATATATCTGGTTGATTCAGATACTGTGCCACTGTATTGGGAATTCTCCCTTCTTTTTCTTTGTTTCCTCTGATGGGTTTTGTTATTGTCTGTTGTTCTGGGTGGATAGGCTGTACGCAAGATGTTTTTCTTATGTCAAGGGTGGCATTCTGTTTCCAAAGGGTTTGGTTATTGTAAGGTCACTTGCTGGTATCTCATTAGTGATAGAATGATATTGATTTTGCATGTTATACAAAAGATACTATTTGAGCCAAGTCTTATGCCTAGGTAGTCATCTTTGCATGGTCAGACATGTCCCCATAGACCAGTAAAATCTTCCAAGAGCTGGCCATGTATAGATCAGACTTTAGTTCTTATAATTTGATCAGACACCTGAGAGGTCATTGAAATGAATATTGAACTTGATGTGTCGATAATGCTGCTCCGTCTACTGGAACAAACAGAAGCATACTGGGAATCATTCTTCTGATGAAGAGTAGACTTTCATCAGAACCTACCTGGGTGAAGCTTGCCAGCTTATAATCTCACGCCCATCCAGGCTAGTTCCAGTTCTGTCACCCAGGAGCTGTTGATGATGATGAACAAAGTGTGGGATATTTGCTAAGGATGAAGTTGTAGAGGTCTTGGCATTCTGATTACGGTCGATTATCACGTGGCCCTAGAATTCGGGATCACGTGTTGTCAATTATTGATTCCAAGTCTCTTACCCAACTTCCCAAGAAGTATTCAACAAGCAAGAAAGTTGACTCGCTTACAGGTTAGAATCTTGAGTGTCTCCTCATATGTGTTGTCACATCTGTCCCTCCTAGCAGCTTCAGCCAAGTACAATCTCATCGTTCGCAAAGCCCGCCTCTTGGTTTCCCAATGTATGGTGAATTCGGCAATAAACTGGTATGTCTACGCACAAAGAAGCTCTCCTTTTTGTCTAGTCTCTAGCTTATCCCAAGTCCGCTTGCTTCTAGGTCCAACATGCCAAACGCACCCAATCGCTAGTTCACCTCCCTCCGTATCAGACCGATTTGGTCCGAGCTGTTGCACGCGAAGTACGGGACTTGGATCGCGACATCGCCCACCTTCTCGCTCCCTTTGAAGGAAATTTCAACCCGTCCTCCCAACCGGACATTGCGTGTGCTCTCTTGGTTGACCATCTCTGCACGCGTCGCAACAAACGGTGCCTCCTTGCCTACCATCGCGTGCGCACCGAGAAACTTGAGGAGCTCTGCTGGACCGGGATCGACGTACTAGAGCAACAACAGCCAGCAGAGGAGAGTGGTCAGGGGCAGGGACCAACCGGACCGATGAGCACCCAGCTCACGAACCACAGCTCTTTGAGTCCGGAGGAAGAGGAATATTTCCGACAGTACAGTGATATGCTGGCAGCATATAAAGGACAGTGGACGGAGATCGATCTTACAGGAAGTTTAGAGCCTCCGAAGGACTTGTTTATTGACGTGAGAGTGTTGAAAGACGCAGGGGAGATTCAGACGGAATATGGGTAGGTGGACCTTTGACGCGGTTCTCTCTATTTCCTTATGATATGTCTTCCGGGGAGTATGGGTTGTGTCTAACTTCTACTAGGGTGATCAATTTGACGAAAAATAGTCAACTATACGTGCGGCAGGGCGATGTGGAGCGATTAATCGCGCAGGGATTTTTGGAACGACTGAATTGAGTTGATGTGGACATTTACCGTGATCTGTTTCTTTTTTGTTTTTGTTAAAATAGCGCTTTGATACCCATATATTTGTATCTAGTAGCGACAGCGGTGAGGCAATATAAGAGGATAGAACCGTTGTCGTATATCGGCGCAGCTGCATCATAAACAGGCTAATAAATACTTGCATTAGCTTCTTACCTAAGCCCCAACTAACATTCAACATCCAACCTAGAAGCTAAGGTAGACTAGTCAAGAATTACCCTATTGAGCGGGGAGATGAGGCCATTGATAGTGGCCTATCACGACGAGCTGCCTCCTCATACATCCATGCTTACTCCACCAATACACTCCACCTCCAATCTAACTGATGGGCCATCTTGGTAGGTAGTATCTACTCTGTATTAGTTATATAATGGAATGCCATCTCTCTTTTTGCCCCATCTCGTTCTCATTCATAGCCATGGCTCGACGTTCAGGCCGCTAAGGTGTGGACCGGCCCGTGATAAGAACTTTTTTAGTCACCACCCCTCGATAACAATCTGGATTGCTAGCTTGAGCTTCTCCGACCTCGTCCTCTCCCTCATCGCGACTCGACGGCTTTCTCTTTCTCATCTGCAATTCTCCCTTGTCATCCTTATCTCAGTATTTTCCCCATTCTTATTCCCGACTATCCCGTCTGTAGAGCTATGCCAATTGCTCCCATTTACTGGCTTTACAATTGCGTCATCTTCCATCATCTCGTCCCCGCAACCAGCCATTGCCCAATTCTCACCAGGTGAAGTGGTCTGGGAGCTTACCGCCGTCGCCATTACGTATTGACTGGCTTGGAATATATATCTATTGCCGGTTCTGACGACAAGTCCGACACGTTTGCTGGCGTAATCAACGATGGGAGTTTTTCAACTGCGAGACCGCAGTGACTCTCGCTCATCTCCACTATCTCCACGTCGCTTGTCGGTTTCCAATAGCATGGGTCGAGAAGCAATTGATGTTCCTGTTGAGCAGGCAAACGGTGGCACACCTTCCCGGACGTTAGGTGTCGAATCGTTACCTGGCGGAGGGAGCTTCAGAACCCCGAGTCGTTCTTTTTACCACCGGTCCTTTAACAATAACACCATAGGTGCGAACTTACAAGTCAAACGTTATTTGATGTGACAGGATTTTGGGATGCTGACTGAGGTACCTAGATCCAGCCCACTATTCGTCTCATGGCCTCCGGGAGCAAACTGCCGAGCTGGCATCGTTTGCATTATCTCTTAACGAATGCTCATTTCCATACGAACGAAGTACTCTTCCTCCACCTTTGGATATCTTCCAGCACACAGTGGATGCAGACGCTGCTTCATCACCCACCGACACCATAGTTCCCGAGATGACAGAACCTGTAGACACTGAACCTCATCCTGGGCCTGCCACGGGCACCTCGGTGTTGACGGAGTTGATCCGGAACCCTTCTGACTCTCATAAAGACAGCTGTAACCGTCGGGATAGCGCTGCACATTGGGATAGGGTTGGCGAGGATAGAGCTTCCGTAGGAGCTCTAGCGGCCGACGGACATGAGCCTCATATCAATGAACGGACTTCCTTGCTACCTAGATCCTCGCAGTCGAAGCCCTTTTGTGGCTATGGAGTAGCGGAAGATGTCGAGGGCCAACGTGTTGCAGTCAAACAGAGAACTGATGCATTCCATAAAGCCCTTTCAGATGCTGCGATCTGCTGTCGGGTATTGACAAACCCAAAGTCTTGGGACGGAAGGATCATATGGCAAAGAGGAATTATCAAACCCGTTTACCTTCTTCCTTCCGTCTTCCTCGGGCTGCTGCTCAATATCCTCGATGCCCTCTCGTACGGAATGATTTTGTTTCCGTTGGGTGAGCCCATTTTCTCCGACCTAGGGTCGGACGGTATCTCAATGTTCTACGTCAGCACCATCATTGCTCAGCTGGTCTTCTCTTGCGGGGGCTCAGTCTTCCGCGGTGGGATCGGCAGCGAGATGATAGAGGTCGTCCCATTCTTCCACCAGATGGCCTTCACCATTCTGGCGCGTGTTGGTCAGGACAACCCGAGATCAGTTCTGGCAACGTGTATCCTGGCTTTCTCTGTCAGCTCAATCCTGACAGGGTTGGTGTTCTTCCTGATGGGAACATGTGGCCTGGGGTCCCTCATTGGATTCTTTCCAAGACATATCTTAATCGGCTGTATCGGTGGCGTAGGTTTCTTCCTGCTGCAGACGGGCGTCGAGGTGTCTGCTCGACTTCCTGGATCTCTGGAATATACGCTGCCTACGTTACAGAAGCTTTTCCATCTGGATACCGTATTCCTCTGGATGATACCTCTCTTTCTTGCTGTTGGTCTTCTTGTTCTGAAGCGTTTCGTACGGTCAAATTTCTTAGTTGGTGGTTATTTCATCGCTGTATCTATCATCTTCTACATCGTCAAACTGAGTGCTCGGGTGACAATGGAGGCATTGCGCAACAATGGATGGGTATTTGATGCTCCGTCGTCTTCCAACCCCTGGTGGCATTTCTATACGCTATATGGTGAGTCGTCTGTTTTCATCCTAGTCCTTATCGTTCCTCACCCTTGCACAGACTTTTCTGCCGTCGACTGGTCTGCCTTTCTCGACACTCTCCCGGCCATGTTTGCTCTCACCTTCTTTGGCATACTTCATGTTCCGATAAATGTTCCAGCCCTTGGAATCTCCACCGGCGAGGATAATTTGAATGTTGATCGTGAACTCATGGCCCACGGTGTTACCAATGCTTTGTCGGGCTTTGCAGGCAGTATACAGGTAGGTTTGGCGGCTCTCCATAGGAGTACTTTCAGAGGCGATCGCTGACCTGCATCCAGAATTACCTAGTATATACCAATAGTCTTCTATTTATCGACAGTGGGGGCAACTCTCGTCTAGCAGGGATCATGCTTGCGGCAGCTACCGCGGGCATTCTTGTCATTGGCCCAGTGATAGTTGGTTTCATCCCCGTCATGATCGTTGGAGCCCTTATCTTCATGCTGGGCATTGAGCTGATGCAGGAAGCCTTGGTGGACACCTGGGGCAAGTTACACCGCCATGAATATCTAACGGTGTGTCATTATTGGTTTCTTTTACTGATTCCGACCGCTGACTTTGGCAGGTGGTCATCATTGTCATGACTATGGGCGCCTGGGACTTTGTCGTTGGCATCTTCGTCGGCATCATATTAGCATGTATGAGCTTCGTCGTTCAGACGTCACGTAAATCCGCCATCCGAGCGACGTACTCGGGGAAGATCACTGGTTCTACAGTCCGGCGACCACCAATCCAACAGCGATTTTTGAGAGAGGCAGGGCAGCAGACGATGATTACGAAGCTCGGTGGCTATCTGTTCTTCGGGACCATTGTAAATGTTGAGAATACCATGCGAGGGCTCATTGAAGAGGTGGCATTCAACAAGCGTCCAATTCGGTTCCTCATCCTCGACTTCACCAGGGTATACGGCATGGATTTCTCAGCAGCTGAGGCATTTACGCGCATCAACCGGGTTCTCCGCAAGCGGAATGTGCAGATGATTATCTCCGGGCTTAAAGTACAGGGAGATGTGAGTCTCAGTCTTCAGAACGTTGGGCTCTTCGCGCCGGAGAATCAGGTAGAAATATTTGAAGACCTCAACTCGGCTCTAGAATTCTGCGAGAACGACTATCTCAAAGTGTTTTATAGCCACCGCGAAGCACTACAGAAGAAGGCCAGCGTCTCGCCAACGTCCTTAGAGGTCCCGAGGGCCCATAACAGCCACCATATTCACGACGCTATGGTGGGCTCCCCTCGTTATCGGTACTTGCAGCAGGCTGCTACTACTACTCTCCGTGAGGATGAGACCGCAGCTGTCGTACCGACGGCATGGTCGGCCATGCGACAGCCCCTTCCTCTTCTCTTACAGACGTTCCAAGGATTGACATCGCGAAATGAGGACTTCTGGTTTCCGGCCTGCGCATACTTCTCCCGCGAATGCTACAACGCTGGCACCGTCTTATTCCAGGAAGGTGACACTCCAACCGCATTCTATCTACTGGAGTCGGGAATGCTACGCGCCGAGTACGAGTTACCTCAGGGACGGTATTTTGAACTCATTGTGGCAGGGCGACCCTGCGGGGAGCTGCCATTCTTCAGTGAGACTCCGCGGACAGCGACAGTCAAGGCGGAGCAGGACTGCGTGGCTTGGTGCCTGAGTGTAGAGAAATGGCGGAGCTTAAGGGAAACCGAACCAGGAATTGCACAGGAACTCCTAACCGTCAGCCTCAAGTTGACGACAGAACGAATGGACAGCATTACCTCGTAAGTGTGGAATGAATCCTCCGAGTGGCAAAGCCCAGCGCTAACCCGTGGACTACCTAGTTATGTTCTTACGACAGCAGCATGAATTATTTGCATTGTTGATTAGGGGTAGGACATTGCTTTTTGACATCCGCTGCATTGATTCCAATTGGCGGCACCTTGAGCGTTGGTTGTACAATTGTTAGTAAGGCCTTTATGATAGGTTACATTAGGCTGTAAGGATCAGCATGACGCAATATATATTTGTCAATTTGATGGATAAGCAAACAGCATAAACTGAAACAGCGCTAATGATGCGAGATGATGCCATTCCTGATCGTACACATGACCACCAGGTAAACAATTAAGAAAGGAGAGTCACGTGGTGTGGGCTGGGCCAACAACTAATACTGTAATGTAGTAATTGATAGTCCAATCAACAATCAAGTATTCCATGCTGAATCATCAGGGCCAATAACTTAAGTTAGGGACAATAACGTAACCGGCAGGCGAGCCGGACATGTAAGCCAGCCGCGTGGTCCAGCACTCGTCACGGTCCAGAAAATACACTAAAATTTCAGCTGTAAGCCCAGCCAGCCGTACACTTTAAGCTAATTCTGTATTATAGGCTAGGAATAATTTATAAAATTCAAATTAAAAAAGGAAACCAGGTACTATGTACATAGTATATAGAACTTAGCTTCAGTACTATATTTCTAATAGTGGCCGAGATATTAGTGTCGAAATAAACACGATTTAGTTTGGCATAAGTTGTTAAGGATAGGTCGAGAATTGGCCAAGATCGGGTTCTGAATCCTTATCGATAAGCTGAGTATACAGTGACGCAAAGCTGCGGTAGTAACTTAATGACGCGTTGATGTACTGTCATGATCTCATTAACTGTATCGTTATCTTTTCTATGGGCGTTCTATATATTATCTTGATCTATTCGAAGAAGAGATCAAGGATTAGTTTTTAATATATCTTGGTATAAGATATAGTGATATTCTCTTCTACTATCTTACCTAGCTGACCGGTGAAGCTACCTGGCGAAGGAGATTCATCACAGCAGTGGTGTCTGGCTGGCTTACATGTCCGGCTCGCTTACCGCCTACGTTAATGACCATAGGCGATTGGTCAAACGGGCTCTAGCCCTTTACATAACTAACTGTAATATTAGTTAATTTTATATTCCTTGACCAGCAGAGGCAGAAACTCCGCACCTTGGGGATAGTTACTAAGAATTTGATTTGACAGTAACAACAATAACCAAGGACAATTCTTTATTAATAATTAGGCAAACTCAATGGACCCTCTGGTTCTCAGTGAAATATGTATTCAACTAGTCACATTGTAGTGATGATTAATCCTAAGTGCATTATGTTAATTCCGCATCATTGAGGCGGAATATGCGCGATTATATAATCGATGTGGAACACATCTCAGCGTTTCGCTTTCGCCTCCGCGTTGGGTATATAACTATCCAGGCTGGTGGTAAGCTTACTATATTGTGAAGGACGGCAAAGAGATCTCAAATTTTAATTTGTATTAACCTGGCTCGAGTGTCAGAATTGCCCTGCAATGTCAGTTCCTTCTGTCGCCATTTTTGGACTACATGGCTTTATTGGCAAAGGAGATCGTCCCTACGTTTGTGGAGGCACTAAGGAAATATCATCTTTAAAACTCCTAACACAAAATCCCACATTATCTGTATGTAATGCTGCACATAGCCGAGGAGCCAGTATTTGTCATATTGCTTTAGTGACAGACCTGCAATACGTCGTCTACTAGAAGGGATTGATATTGTTATGTCATACACGGGAACATATAGCAGCTACAAGGAAAACAGAAAGATGCTGGTTGATGTTTGTAAGTTCCATCCAAATGGGTGCATATAGGACTACATAAGCTTATGTGTAAACGTTTAGGTGCTTAAGTCAAGGTCAAGATCTATTTGGCCTCCGAATGGGGTACTGACCATCGTAACATCCATTACCACCACCCGATGTTTACCAGCCAGCAGGAACATTATTCTTATACTGAAAATCTTGGCCTAAAACCATTGCTCTCTATACAAGTTTAATCATGGAGACCTCGTTTTGCAAATGGCTTGGTAAAAGCAACTCTACAAAGAAATCTCCCTTAATCTATAAGAGTTCGACACGAAAAACCGCACATGGAATATTGTAGAATCAGGGAACAGGCTAGTTGCAATAACATCACAGAAAGACTTAGGTCCTGCCACGTTTCGAACCATATTGCTTGCCTATTTAACCACAGAAAAATGCTCATCTCACCTTAGGATCTATTTTGACAATCGATGTATCACAGACTACCAGATAATTTTCGAATTGGAGAGTAAAGAGAAATTAAAGCTTAATTGTATTTCCCTCTAGGATGTAGAAATATACTATGAGCGGAAAAAAATTTCCATTCCTCCTAATATGCTTGGTAGGTATCTTCCTAAAAAATATTATAAAAAGTACTAATGTATTAGGGCCTTTAATAAATCTGTTGTTTGCCGACGGAACTTTTGATCACACGGCCAATGCACGTGAGATTATCAGCCCAGTACAGCATTATTTTCAATGGAGATCCGTGGATAATTATGCAAAGGAGGTCAATGGGTTATCGTGGGAGAATGAATCGCCATGGTGAAGCGAGAGCACCTCTCAAAGTTGGGCGATAAATCAGCATATTAAGCCAGACGTCAGTCAACCCATAACAATTGAATATATATATCTTGCCTAGTCACACCGTGGTGATGCCATACCGTCCCTTCATTGTACGTAGTTTAGTAAGTCTAAAAATAGTTTAGTGCAGGGATATGACCTTCTTCCAGCGCCCGACTCGACCTATCTGGATTAAACTAATTTCATTATCATTGCATTGCCTAGTTCATCGCGTTAAATCATTAATTTGGCCAGCTTTATCAGGTCGAATTCAGCCCATTCAGGCTTTTATAATTGTTTCAATATTGGATCGATCTAAAGGATGCGACGGTTGAGCCGATCCGGAAGGGATGACGCCCACACCGCTTCGGTGGTGAGGGGCCAAAACCTCTCTAGTGCATATCTACTACCGATGTCCCTACACTCCATTCGTGATAGCGGTCCTTTCATGACTTAGATGCGAATGTACGGTGGTGCGGGTGTACTGATTGGTGCGAATGGACTGACTGATTGAACTAAGTTAAGTGTATATAGTCTGCCGTATAAACTACACTATCCCTGATTTGGGTTTGGCGGGGAAACCCCGTCAGGTGGTCATAAGTGGGGAGAATCTGATTGATCAGGGTTGGCCAATCGACTGACGTTTGACAAGGCATACTCATTGTATGTACTGTACAAAAATAGCTAGTTGGAACAGAGACTGTTGATACAGAATATTCAGCATTGAGTTGTGGCCGGTATTGGCATGAGAGAGTAGAAAACATAAGCTGCATTCCTACGCTCCGAACGTGGTATAGTTTTGAGAGTTCTTATTCTAGCAAATCCGACTCTATCAATTTCGTTTACTCTAAGAAAGTCTCGGGTAGACCATATTCAGGCCTTGTGTGAAGTATTATTTTTCGCCATATAAGGCATGTAATCATGTGATTATAGTAATAGTCAACAGTGTCGTCACAGACGATAACAACAATAATTCACCTACCATCTTCATTCTTACAGGCAAGTAGCTCTGGAGATAGAGGTTGCTTCTAAAGTATGCCCAGGACCAAAATTTTAGATCATGGGAACAGGTAAAGTATATAGAAACATACTATACTAAACACATACACATCATCCCCCAAGAGTTCAACATAAGATTCGCTTTACAGAATCAAACAATCCTCAACCCGAATCCCATCGAACTAGGATAAGAAATTAACTATTAAACCATCTACCAAATCATCCACTCTACATGGAACACAATCCCATCCCAGCTACAAAAGAGAATAAGACCAACCATTTCCCCGACCCACATTCAAGAATGCTTCTACTTCTATGGATGTCTAATGGACCACGAGATGCTTCGTGAGGTATTGCACGGTTGGTTGATGAAGGAGTTTGTACTATTCTTGGTGAACGGCGAAGGCATTCTTGGTAATCTGGATTGTTTCATTTGTCTTCTTAGATAAGGTGCTTCTTCCAGATGGGCTCTATTATTATCCAACGGGGTTGGTTATATACCAATTTTTAGTTATTATAAAATCAACATACATACTCTGTAAACATGACGCAATATGCTGAGTTTAAGCTAGCTATTTCATACCATCTACCTTAATCCCACAGGCGCTAGGCAAGGCAAAAGTAATATAAGACTGGAAGGAGTTAAAACAGCAACAGAGTCCATACTCAGTACAGGGGGCAGTATGATGGCTAATAGTTAGAACACTACACTATTTTCAATAATATCTGTCACCTGAGATGGAGAATGGTACGGATTAGATACTTCCAGTTCATTGGTATTCTACTCACTCTACGGAGTACCTCAAAGACGGAGTATTCCCAAAGTCGTACGATATATCTCGCCGCCCCTGAGATGCGACAGGCTAACCTGATCATGTACAGTAAACTCTCGTTATAACGAATCAATTGAGGCACGCTCTTTTGTTCGTTATAGGATATCGTTATATAGAGGGTCCAAAAATGGTAAGGTGTGCCCCTACGACCAATAGCATTCCTTGCACGTGCCTTTTCCTCCTATAACGGAGTTTTGTGTGGGCAGAAAGGGCATGTAAATTTCGTTATATCGTGATAATAGCGAGACGAATAAATAATACCATTGGCTTAATCCAGTGAAATTGGTGGAGTAAGACCCTCTTCGTTATATTGAGGTTCGCTATAGCGAGGATTTACTGTATACTCTTTAGGGATACAAAGAAATCAGCATGGGGCCAACTGGTTCGGTTGTCAGAAGTATATTCTCTAGACTCTAGCATTCCAAATGTATGTATTCAGAATGCTATAATCAATTACCTCCGATGAAACAGATATGTGCATCCCAATCAAAAGCAGGATAAGCCGACACGGGCCAAACCAGCGATCATCAGATGGATGGATCGACGGTGGTCTGATTGGTTGGGGCAGGGAGTGTGTCGGACGGTCTCGAAACAGCCTATGAAAAGGGGGAGTGGATCAACCTGCTTAGTGCTTCACGCTAAGTACTATTAGGTACTTATTCTTGGTGTGATGTCTAGCTTGAGATTCGGGTCCTTAATTAATGCGAAATTATACCTATCGTCGGAAATTCAACTTTTACCAACTACTTTGTATAGGTGATTAATCAACAGGTATTTATCTCATACGGGGATCATTCCGTTCTATATTCTTGCAGCCCCTTCCCCGTAAATATGCCCCTCTCTTCAGACGGGACTTACAGGTACCTCTACCTATGAGATCAGAGTAGGGCTGCCGCACAATAACGCGGTCCAAGTGGGGACCTGCAAGTATCCACCACCGCGCTATCCAACTTGCTATTATCGAATAAGTAGTCTAGTCTAACTGAACCTTTTTTTTTTTTTCTTCCCTTTTCCCGTCACTTCCTTCGAGCCCAATCAAATATGTAGCCATAAATACTCCATGCCCACAAAGAAATACAACAAAATAGAAGAATAAAACTAAGCTCCACCCAAACAAAAACAATGTGAAAGTGAGACTCGACTATCCCATAGCGAAACATCGAAAAGCGCAAAAGCCAATCGAAGCCAATTGCCAACGTCTATGGAGGGGTAGCCAAAAAAAAAAAAAAAAAAAAAAAAAATTCTGAAAGCTATGACATCCCATGATGGAGGGTGTGTCTTCGTGCTGGTTGGTCTGATATCCGAGTCACGGGGCCTGTCGTGCTTTAGGCCCGTCCACGCGACTGCGAGGTCTGCACATCTCTCGCTGAAAGAAGTAGGTAGATCGGATTTGGACCGGGTTGTGGTTGGATGGGATTCATAGACAAGGTTTGGAGATGAACGATGGATTGGAAGAGTTAGTAGTAGGTTTTCTCCCACGGATTTTCTTTCTGCCAATACTGGCTTACATTTCTCTACAGTGTAGGTACTCCGTTAGGTTGTTCTCTGGTAAAGAGGAGAATAGACACTAAATGTAGTACTCCGTGGCGAGGTAGGTAGCGACGGAAAGGGGAGAGGATCGAGATCATTGGGTGGAGTCAGGGTCTATCTGGCTCCTGTTGGTTGGTTAGTTTGAGCATTTTCGAGTCGGATTAATGTGGTCGGAATTTATGCTTTGATACTATACTAATACAGCATCCACCTTATATAGGTACGTACTTATTACTAAGAACAAATTTGTGAACAGTTTTTCTTGACACCTACGCCCTACATACTACTATAATATATATAGATATCATGGGTCCATCCCCGTTCTCAAGATGGACCATGGTTGTTATGACTCAACCCTTGACCGGTACTTTGTCCACCGGGATGATCTTAAAGGGGACCATGGTTCCAACCCGAATGGGGTGGCTGGATGTCCCACCATCGCGGTGAGCAGATGACATGATCCAAACTCAGTCTTCGATGATGTGGTTGGTTGTTCCGGTTGGTCTTATTTTGCTGTCTGTCCTACCAGCCCTGCGAATAGATTATTTTTATATGAAGGTAAATTCTTTGTCAGGCAGAAATTTTCATGGTCCTCAAAGCAAACCAACGCGAAATTTCGGGGGCCTAGAGGCTTACTAACTAGAGTCGTTCGTTAGTTAGCTAATCTGCACGACCGGTAAGTACTAGTTAGCAAGTGAGCTGCATAGAGCTAAGTAGCTCGCTAGCTGTCATAGCGCCAATTCCTTTCTGATAGGGGGAGGGAGAATTATTTGGTCTTTTCCCTGTGCTCCATAGGATGTGAAGAGTTTTCTTTTCTCCCTTTTTTTTTTTTTTAAGTCTAAATTAGTAGACTTTTTTCGTATCCTAACCCCGCTAGGTAATTTGACCAAGAAGGAGAACAAACAAGTAGTTTCATATTTGCAACAGGTTGTTTATTCCACTTGCTCGGTCTGTTTCGACAGGCTCAGGTTAAATAATAATAATAACAATAATAATAATAATAATAATAATAATAATAAATTCAAAGAAAAAAAAAAATTACCACCTGTCTGCCAGAGGAACAGCAGCACCTGATACCTACGATGGGGCCACCCCTGATTCTTAACGGACGATAGTCAAGGTAGCTTTCGCCGTTCTTTGGACCCTCCCAGAGTCCCAGTACCGTAACGGGAGCAAGTACGGATCCACCCCTCTTTCTTTGCAGGCTGGCCGCCCTGCAGCTCCTTTCCTTTCTGGGCGCTGCTGCTGCCCACACCCTGGCTTGCAGCCCGGATTATTCTGCGTTTTTTGGGGGGGGTTATGTGATTTTCGTTACTGTTCTCCCTCCTTTCGCCCCTTCTCCTTCTTTCTCTTTTTCCCTCTCTTTTTTCCTTCTTTCTCTTTTTCTCTTCTTCCCTCTTTCCTCTCCCCATCCCATTTCCATACTGTAGTCCTCACACGACTTTGTTCGTTTCCTTTTTCCTTCTCACCCCCCAAACCCTTTTTACCTTGTGATACCCGAGCTCTTCTAGCCCTCGTGCTTAGAAAGCTCTTGTTTGTTGAGATACCCCCCCCCCCCCTCCTGAGATACCCAACTCGAACTTAACGCCTTATTTACGAAGCTTTGCCAGCTTCAAATACCATCTATTTTAATACAACCACTACTATAATTACTACTTAATCACCATGTCTGAAGTCCAGAAGCCCGTCGAGGAAACTCCTGTGGAGGTTCCCGCCGCTGCTCCTGCTACTGAAGCGCCTGCCGCCACGGAGACCCCTGTGACTCCTGCAGTCGAGGCGCCCAAGGAAACTGCTGCCGAGAACACCGAGGCTGCTCCTGCCCCCACGGAGGACAAGAAGGAGGATGCTCCTGCTGAGCAGCCCAAAGAAGAGCCCAAGAAGGAAGAGGTGACCCCTGTGTCCGAGGGTGTGCTGGGTTACAAGGCCCCTGGTCTCGTCAAGTAAGAGCATTAGTTAGGACAAGGATATTAGGGACGTGAGAGACTAACCGCATATCTCATTACAGAGGTCTTCGCTTTTCCAAGCGCTTTTTTTACTTCAGTGATGACGCCGTGGAGGCCAAGCAGCTTTCTATTTTCCACCAGAATGAGAAGCCTGCTGTTGCCAACCCCATCGCTGCCTGGGCTACCCAAACCGGCAAGGGTTTGCTGTTCTTGACCAAGCGCGCTGAGGACAAAGCTACACCCGCCGGAATCATCAGTTTGGTATGTTTGGTAACACTGGGGCTGAGTGAGTATGGACTAACACAGCGCAGGCGGACGTCTCTGATGTGACCAAGGAAGGTGCCAACGAGTTCCACTTCAAGGTCAACGGTCACAAGCACACCTTCCAGGCTGCTAGCTCTGCTGAGCGCGACGGCTGGTTCTCTTCTCTCGAGACGAAGACTGCTGAGGCCAAGGCCGAGAAGGATGCTATCACCTCCAGCGAGGGCTACAAGGCCGAGCTCGAGAAGCTGAGTGAGTCATCGGTGCCCATCGCACGTATATTATGTTAACATAGCTTTCAGCCAAGCCTTTTGTCGCCAAGCCCGCTGAGAAGCCGGCAGAGAAGCCTTCCGAGCCGAAGGAGGATGCTAAGAAGGAGGAATCTCCTCATACAGAGGAGAACAAGGAGAAGGAGAAGGCCACCGCCAAGAGCCGCTCTCAGTCCCGCAAGAGGGCCAGCCTCTTCGGATCTTTGCTCGGAAAGAAAGAGGAGGCCGAAGACAAGAAGGAGGAGAAGAAGGAAGACAAGTCCGAAGAGGCCAAGCCCGCTGAGGCCTCCACCGAGGCCCCTGCAGAGTCTACTCCTGCCGCCGAGAGTTCTGAGGGTAAGTTTAACTGTTCGCGGTAAATAAATAGCACCATGCTGACATCATTGTAGCTGCTACCCCCGCTCCTGCTCCTGAATCCACCGAGGACAAGAAGGAGGAACAGAAGGAAGAGAACAAGGAAGAGCCCAAGGAGGAGAAGAAGCCCGAGGCACCCGTCAAGTCCAAGCGTACCTCCCGCTTCGGTAACTTCTTCCAGAAGGTCACCAGCCCATCCCATGAGAAGTCGGAGAAGGAGGCATCCGCTCCTTCTGAGACTCCTGCTGTTTCGAGCACCGCTCCTCAGCTGGACAACCCTGTTGAGGAGGCTGCTGTGAAGCCCATTGAGCCTGAAAGCGTGACTGCAGCTCCTGCTGAGGCTGAAGCTTCTAAGGAAGCTGCCCCCGCTCAGTCCCCTGCCGTAGAGACCCCTGCCTCTGCTGCTAAGGATAAGCGCCGTTCTTTCTTTGGCAACTTTGGTAAGAAGAAGGGCGATTCTGACAACGAAGGAACTGATGGCGAGTCCAAGCCCAAGGGCAACAAGCTTGGAGGTCTCTTCAGGAAGCCCAGCAAGGCCGTGAAATCTGAGGCTCCCAAGGATGCTACTGCCACTGAGACTGAGGCCAGGGCCGAGTCTGCTCCCAAGGAGACTACTGTCCAGGAGTCCCCTGCCGAGGAGGCCGCCCAGTCTGCTGAGGCTCCTGCCGCCGAAGAGTCCAAGCCCGTGAATGTCTCTTCCACCTCCACTCCTGTCCAGGCTGCCGCTTGAAGTCCTGCCAGACGCGTCGAGTATGAGAGATGGTGGGGTTAATAAATGTTTCGACCACCTACTCCAGTTACTGCACATATCTGTGACAGTTGATTTCCAAGGAGAAAAAATTAAACAAAAAGAAAAAAAAAATTAAATTAAAAGAGCCTGCGCCATAATTGTTGATCTGTTTGATGTGTTTTGCACTGTCGCTGCTTTGGTATCCTTGGTCCCTCATTGAGGGTTCTGCCGGAGAGTGTCACTGATACCCTATGTTACTTTGGCGGTCATTTCCCGGTCTGATGCCTTGGGCATTAGGCCGTCTTCCATTCCTTTATGATATCCGTTCGCGCGGGAAGGCCGAGTCGGTCTTGCGTGTTGATGCTGTGCGCCGTCCAAACTAGATTGATACCACTTGTTTTGTGCTTGTGATGTATATTGAGTTGATGTTGTTTCGCCGTTTGATGCCTCTGCGTTTTCTTTTTTGATACCCTCGTGGGAGAAAGGGTGATGGGTATGGGACCCTGGTACTTCATGTTGGAACCTCCCACCACTCGGATTCACCGAATTGTCAGCTTCGGTGCGGTATGCTTGCATGGTTTTGGTGTGTATAGCATGCCCATGCCGCTGGTACCATTGTTTCATACCTGTAGCATCATAGGTAATAATTAATAGAATCGATTCTCTGCATACAGTATTCTTCGTGGTTTATGTAGAAGTACAGACTGCATGTCTGGGTATACCCGGATCTGCAGTTCCACCTCCATGTGGGTATGGAGAGGTGCAGAGGCTGCCCATAATGATGACATGCATATGGTCTTGATCTGGAGTAACCCGAGGTCTTAGTAATTCCATTCTACACGACTGAGGGTACACCATCAGTCGGTTTCCGTTGAAAGGGAATCTGTTCCTATACTACGTGCTGGATAAAGGGACCTTAGATCTGGTTACATCAATTATCCAGTCGATGCGATGTATCCTACTCCACTTGGGAACAGGGGGAGCCGGAGGGTTCCGGAAGCAAAATGCAGCACCCGCTCCTTCATGTAACGAGCATCAAATTCCTACTGATGCAAGCATTAGACTGACAAGGGGACCGTGGTGATCAGAATATCCCTATTGATATTTGGAGGAATGAGGGAATGAGACTGATTGAGATTGATTTCCTCACCCATCGGTCTATCCGCTTCTCCCCGCGTACCGGAAACATCCTAATTTCAGGTGCGTGTGGCAAAGGATTGATTAGCAATCCGGAGGTCAGTAGTTAATTAGAACCAGACATGATATCCAGGTTTGGTTGAACCATTGAAAGGGGAGAAAGGGAAAGAGTAGACATAAAGTATCGAACGTCATGGGGAGAAGAATTGGACCCCAAGCAATCACAAGACAAGACGGGACTTCTCCTTTCGGCTAGATAGTCGAATCGGATCTTGCTAATGGTGAAGGAAAATGGAGTTTGGACGGGGAAACTAGAAGAAAGAATGTGCAAGGGAGCAGACGGAAGGGAAGGGAGGAATTTCCCATGAACGTACTCCATACATACTTCGGGTCCGACGTTGACGGGAAAACCCGAGGCCGTCACATGGAGAGAAAGGGGGGCATTCCTTTCAGTTTCACCCAGAGAAGACTGAGAGGTAGATTTAGAGGTGGATTTATAATATACGAAGTACTCCATAAGTAGTCCTGTACCAGCAAGGATAATGGAGAATGTACACAACGGTATACGAGATGGAATTAACTAATTGAATTATTAATATGGATCGGGCTCGTATCTTGTCCAGAGAACTAACTAAACTTTTGTTTCTGCGGACCAGAGACTAGTGTGGTTGGACCATGGGACCGTCGTGTAAGAATTTTCTCATAAACGATGTTGAAAGTTCCAACGGAGAAAGTCGTATGGAGTATTTCTCACTGGATTGAATATTGATTCCAGAAGAGACTAACAGGAAGAGGATCGGTGTGCTTGATCAACTACCAAAATATCTGCATCTGTCCACCTAGAACGGAGCGTAGGGAAACTCATTGCCCGATCGAGTTTGACCTCGCGCCCTTCCACGACAACAAGACGGAGTTGGATTATTCATCCGCCAATGCGGCTCTCTTCCCCCTCCCAGGCGCCCTCCCAAAACAGACCCCGACAGAGGCTGTGTTAGTATGCGAGGCGGGTTCCAGGCTGCCGCCTCGCTACCATCCGTCATTGGTCAATGGCAGAATGAATGTTCGCCGGGGCCATTTACCCGCCCGTGACTTGTGCCCATGCATTGGCGCAAGTGCTGCGGTGGTTCTCCGAAGGTACCTGCTCTCTACTACGTCCCTAGTGTGTGTAGTACGTAGTACTAAGTACTGGGATGGACTTCATAGACTCTCCAAAAGTTAGGAGTACCTAGTAGATACAAAGTCCAGGCACGGAATGCCTGGAAGCCTGGTCGGGATCCACTTGCGGGCGATGTGGCCAATCCACAGCCGGGTTGGCCTTATGACTCACACCTGCTGACGGAGTCCAAATTGCGTCTTCCCTGATCAGGCTAGGGCGACAGGCGGGGACGTCCTGGTCGGTGATTGGCCGGTCAGCCATCAGCGAGCGCACATTCAGGCGTTTAAGAAGTGCCTGATTCCCCGTCGATGCCTGGCGCTTTTCATTTCCTTTTTTTCTCATCCACATCTCCCCTTTTCACTCTATCCAATCTATCTAATATCCCTGTCACCATACATCCACTGATTGACCAAGAACTTGCATTTCATTATATCGTTCAAAATGGCCTTCTAAACACGTCCCCCGGACAAAACTCGTCTTTCTCTTCTGAGACAGACATCATAGATCCTTCACGGACCTCGTCTTCAACCAAACTCTCCTCTCTTCTTCCTTCAGAGTCTCCTGCCCCAGGACCTCTGAACTTCTGCAACGCATCGCGTAGCTCAAGTTCCCCGAACAACATTACCTCGTTCGACGTCACGTCGTTCAACACGGATAACTACCAGCAACAATGGCTTCCAACACCCCCGCCCCCACAGCCCTTGGCTCAGATTTCGAATTGCAACGACAAGATCGACAGCAACAGCTCTCCACAGGAGGACTTCGTTCTATATCCCCCGTGTCCCCAGCCTTCTCCCAGGGACTCGCGTGCGCCAGCACCCTCCAGTACTACCCCTAGACTAGCTGCCTATCATCCATTTCTGGTTCGTTCCGGGCACCTTTCTCGCCGACATTCTATTGGTCTGCAGCAACAGCAGCAGTTTGCCAGTTCGCCTGTTCAGGTACCCCGTGTGGCCAGACTTGCCTCGCAGTCTGCCGGGTTTCATCTGTCTTCGTCTCATCGGTCTAGTCTCTCCAGTCGGAAGAACCTCTTGCGTCTTCACGCCGCTTCTGTGGCTTCGAATTCTGCGCCGAATTCCGCCTCGTCTTATCGCCCACCCGTCCCTCCGTTCAATAGTCCTACCCATCTTTCGTCTTATCAGAAACAGCAGTTACAATCGTCCTATCATCGTCGTATGATGTCTGCTCCCAACATGGCTCAGGGTAAGTCGATATTATATGCATGTTGTTATCCGTCGGATGCTAATGGTGCAGATCTTCCCGATCTCTTTGACCTCCCCTCCGATCAATTTGGGAGCGACTTCGATCTTTCCATGCTGTCGCCTCAGCAGATCCCCACTGGGATCATGGGATCCAAAGACCCCATGACGGATGTTCCTTCGGGTACCATCTCTCCGAAGGATCTGTTGATGGATGCTTCGGCGCCCCCGTCGACTTCCTTTACTGATCTCAGCACACCCTCATTCGAATCGCCAGGTTACTTTAGTCAAGATACTTCCCCCATGTTCGCCACGGACATGGAACTAGTCCCCGGCCATGAGGAGTGGGATTCGCTCTTCCCCCCTCAGGACGCATTCTCCGTCGCTTTCGACTCGACAAGTTTAGAAATCTCTACACTTCCCTCTAAGAAGACGGAGGAGTCGTCGCCTCCCTCGCCGAGGGTACGTTCGACGGTTTCTCGTGCTCCATCGCCATCTTCCAAGGCAGCAACCAAGCCCTCCACTGTTGCCGGTGTCAATGCGCGTCAGCGCAAGCCACTCCCTCCGATCAAATTCAACTCGGACGACCCTGTGGCATTGAAGCGAGCTCGCAATACTGAGGCTGCACGTAAGTCTCGTGCTCGCAAGCTGGAGCGGCAAGATGAGATGGAGCGCCGCATCGCTGAGCTGGAGAAATCTTTGGAAGAAGCGCAGCAGCGTGAGCAGTACTGGAAGGCTTTGGCCCAAGCGCAAAGCAACGCTTAAACAAAAACGAGAGAACACGAAAAAGGACAAAAAAAAAAAGAAATAAAAATGCTTTGGTTTAAGTAATAACGTCATGTATCATTCTGTTTCTGTTTGATGAGATATGGTTTGTGGTGGGCGGGGACTTGGATGCCTTACGTCAACCTGAATGCCAGCAGTTGCAGTTTGCGTCCTGGAATTGGTACCGATGAGGACACTGCTGGCAGGATAAAAGTTTTCTTTTGTGTCCTGGTCACGATTCAGTGCCAGTATTTTGCTAGTTTTTATTGTCGTCCCGTTCACGATGGATGTTTTTTTTTCTACTATCTGCTGGGTTGGCCGGTTCTGACGTCTCCTGCGACTGGATTGACTCGTGGCCTTTAATTATAACCTTGATGTTGTTTGACTGTTTGGTATTAGTATTAGGTCTTAATCAGTTTAATTGTCTAAACTTAAACCAAACTGTCAATGAATTTCGATTATCTTGATTCATCTTGACAAAGTGCGCAATACTCTGTAAGTAATTTAATCTGGCCTTGACCGAAGTATCGGAACTGGTACTACGGAGTAGGTCAGGTATATAATATGGACTGAAATAGTATATGCACAAGATCCTTGAAACAGAGGTGCCCCTCCAAACTTTGAACTGAATGTTCTAGTCGAAGATTAATTCTATCCGGAGGTACTAGCTATATATTCTCATCAGACCGATTTCTCATCACGTAATTACTTGCTTCTTTTTTCTATATCAAAGGCCGTGCAATCTCCCGTTCGGTACGAGATGCACCATGGATCAAGAATATTGGGAGTCCATCAATTCAATTAGCAATTTTTGAATAGCTTTAATATCTGCATAAATTACATCTAGTACGTACGTATATGTATATGTGTATGTATATCCATGTGAGGCTGCGCCTTCAAATAAAGACATACAACACAACAAACATGACCAAACTGATACATAGAATCTTGCTATTATGCAGTAAGCCTAATTAGGAATAGGGCCATTATCCCCTTGGCTGGCAGCGCTAGTCGTCGTTAGCGGTAATTTTGTTATGTGTAGTTTTATTGGTCAGTTAGCTTTCACCGCTTTCTTCCTACTTGGGAATAGCCTTATTTATCTAAATTCCCACGCACCTCCTATTCATACCAATGCATTTTTGTGTATAATGGATTTATGGGGTCTGCCTCTAGATGAGGCAGAAGAGCCTTTATTATATAGCTCCTCTGTGGCTCCATCTAATGCCTCTGTATCTCCTCCTCCTATTTCTAAGAAGGAAGAAGAAAATGCTGCAAAGCTTAATCTAGCAGAGATTCTTCATGAAATACCTCAATACCAAGATGTCAAGTTCAAGCCTCTTAAAATGGCTGAGCCTTTCCCTCCTCTAGTACAATTACCACCTGGGGTTGATATTGAAAGCTCATACAGTCTATTCTCCTTGTTTATCTCCCAAGAATTAATTGCATTATTGTCATCCAATACCAACAAATATGCAAAGGCTAAGAACGCTGGCGAATCTGGACGAGAGAATGGCATAACACTACAGTTTCAGAGATTCAGATCTTTCTTGCAATCCTAATTTATATGGGAGTCCATATATCTCCTAGTGATGAGGATTACTGGCAGACTAGCGAGGAGCCATTCCATATGCCTCGAAGATTTATGGGGTTAAAACGATTTCAGCAAATCAAGCGATACTTCCACGTTGCAGATCCTGATCCTGAGGCTGCTGTACAAGAGGCTATAAGGCTTAATCTTAAGCCAAATCAGATGTGGTGGTATAAGCTAGAGCCTTTTGCAGCTAGGCTTCGCACAGCCTGTTTACAGCACTGGAAGCCTTCAAATGCAGTCTCTATAGATGAGACAATGATTCGCGGCTTTGGGCGTTCTTGTCATACCTTTAAGATGCCAAATAAGCCAATTAAGCAAGGATATAAGCTCTTTGCCATTGCAGATCAAGGCTATATTCTATACTGGATATGGGCAAGCCGTCACAAGTCCCTTGTGGAGGTTAAAAAGCATGATATTGAGAATTTAACTCTTACTGGATCTATGGTTGTTCAACTTGCACAAGAAGGTCTGCCATCTCAACATAATAACTACACAATCTATATGGACAACTACTTTTCAACTATTCCTTTATTCAATTATCTTCGGCAGCTTGGGATTGGTGCTTGTGGAACTACCCGACCAAATGCATCTAAAAAGCTATTTCCAAAGGCCCTTTGTATGCTAAAGGATTCAAAAAAGCCTCAACCATGGAATACTTTATATGCAGCTCCTGCAGGTGTTGACTCTGATACTGATTCTGTGTTGTGTATTGCATGGCAAGATAATAATATTGTTACTGCATTATCAACTGTACATACTGTACACAAGCCAACTGATTGGATTCCTCGCTTGCGCAAACGCCCACTGCTAAGACCTCAACCAGTGCAAAAGTTGCCCGTCAGCCATTGGTGATCAGCCTACCAAGGAACTTCCAATACCCCGGATTATGATGATTACAACTATCATATGGGAGGGGTGGATCGTGCAAATCAACTACGTGCAAGCTATGAAACTCATCAAAGATGTTTACGCTCATGGTGGCCTATATTCTTTTGGATACTTGACATAGCTATTATTAATGCTTATTGCATTGCAAAGATGGCCCGCAGACAGCAAGGTATGAAGGAGATCACTCATCTTGAATTTCGAAAAGGTCTGTACAGGGAGCTATTTAAGCAAGGATCAGAGGAATTACTTCAACGAAAGCGAAAACATAGCTCAGTTCAACCATTAGATGAAGGTGATCATCAGGTTGAGAGGATTCACCCTCGCAAATGGTGCCATTTATGTGTTGTACGGGTTCAAAGAGCAAAGGCTCGAGGTCATACTATTCCAAAGCAATTCCACACAGTATATTGCTGCAAGACCTGCAGAATTCCCTTATGCAGGCCTGACATAAGGTCATGTTGGGCTGATTTTCATACACCACGACCCCCTTTAGGTGAGAAGGATGTAAATTGTTCATAGATAGCTTAAATATTTATATTTCATTCAATTCTACGGTATGTGGTGTTAGATGAAGCGGGCGTGTCATTTGCGGCAGAAAAAGGACGCTAACGACGACTAGCGCTGCCAGCCAAGGGGATAGTGCCCTGGACCATCTCGGCCCGGGGAACAACAGACTTCACCCACAAATACAACTCACCCAACTGCAAACGTCGCAAAGTGGTGTCATAAGAGCTTTATTTGTTGGGTAATACCAACAAATCTCTTCTACAGGGGACCGTATAAACTTAACTTGTTAAGTTCCACTAGTTATGAGGCAACAGGATATCTAGAACCCTTCTGTAATTGGATAACTACCAGTTACTGAACGCTCGCAAGATAAGAACTTAGACATCATTAAGATTGAAGACAGAATTAAGGACATCCGGGACAAACTGGCCCGGATCGCCCGCAAGAAAGCTCGCAAAGAGCGTAAGAAATTAAAGGAGATTCTCCGTAAGGTCAGGATGCTTGCACCGGAGGGGATTCAGGACCTCTGTTTACCTCTGGCCGGCAGGGGAAATACGATAGGGCTAGTAACCAGACCCCATCCAATCCCTCTCTGAATCCTAAGAAATTGTGTAGATCCTGCTGCGGTTGAGGCAACAGCACCCGCAATGGTGCCGGTCCAAAAGCCGTACCTACAAAAGCAGCTGAATTGACAGCCAGACCTAGAGCTAAAGTTGGCTATGACCCAACCCTCTGAAAATGGTTGGACCCTGGAGGACAAACCCCTTTGCTTGGCGATAGGCCGTGGGTATGGCTTAAGCTCTCTTACGGACCTAACTATCTGAACAGTTCTCCCTTTGGGAGTAGCAGCAATAGGTATTCAATCCCTCAGAATTCTCCCACCTAAAGACATCAGCCAAGCAAGCCCATGGCCCCAAAGGATGGGTCTTCAAGTGGAACTGGCCTTTAATATTAGTGGTCGAAAAGTTCGTATCCGTTGCTTTGACGCCCTAATCTCCACGATCTAAGGAACAAAAAAACCGAGCATATTCTTTACAGAATCGTTCGGCCCTCAAAGTAACGAATTCAATGATGGAGGACATTCTTGCTACAGAACCTATCCAACAATGTCGTGATATTCCATTGGGTCGGAAAACAGTTTCCAAGGGATGAAGCGAGTACGGTCCATTATAGTGTTTAAGGGACCCCCAGCGTTCCTCAGCCTTGACGTCCCAGTGGTAAAACCAAACACGGGCGTTACACCTGCACTTGTCACCAAGTTTAGGGCAGTGAGCTTGGATAGCGAGAAGTGTGAATCTGTGAGGAGCACAAGGGCAGACCTCTTGTCCAATGCCCCCCAGGGGGTTCAAATTTGGTATCCACCAGGGCAGGCCGAGAAAGGATATTTTAAAGCCCTCCTGTTCCCCCCTGGTGTTAATAGATGTAGAGTCAAATATTTGTTGTTTCTTTAAATTGGACCTCTGTTTCTGACCCCGTCCCTTTCCGTATATTGTGTATTATGAGTTCGTTCCAAATTGATATTTTGGAAGACGCTGCCCTGTAGGTAAAGTTTAGGTCACGGTAGATGGATAATGGTACTGAAGTGCATATAGTACAGTCTAATCTAGTCTACTCAAGCATTGAGAACAAATGCACACAGCTCAGACTTGCCTTTTAACGTACCTCATTGACCCGACCTCTTTGGCTCCTCTACTCTCGTTCATCCTCGAAGCATCATTACCATTAGTAATGCAACGTAACCCTTGTTCTCTCGAACAAGACTAGCTGACCAGTCATCCCTCAATCAAGTGAAGAACCGGTCCAATTCTATTATCGCTATTCTCTCGCTTCGAACATGTCAATGCAGGGAGTTAGAGATAATGGAAAGGCGGTTACAGTCCAATCAAATGAACGGATAAACTGACAGCTTTCGGAATACATGCGCAACGATCAATGGAAGACAGAAGTGGATGAGTTTAAAGAGGAAGTCTCAGAAGTATCTGATTCATGTTTGTCATCATAGCTGGTCCATCAATCGTCATTCTCGGGTTAGGAAGTCGCGAGGAAGCTGATTCAGCTGAGGGCATCGGTCCCTTTAACTTTTCCCTTTTCCATCTTTGCTGTCCGGGACCCAAACTGGATGGCTCTTTTCTTCTCATAAGCTACATGCTGCATTCCTAGCATCAGCGCCACCAAACGAAGCGCTTTCTTCTCCGAGTCAAGCCCGGATTCTATCGAGCTTGTAGACGTCTCCTCGCCGTCTGTCTGGAGCGGGGGAAGTCCAAATCCGCATTTCTCCCAAACCGGAGCTTGTGCAACCCACGCCACGAATTCTTCGTCCAAAAATGGGTATCGCGCTTCGCGGCCCCAGTGGGCAATGACGCGGTTATCACGACCCAGATTTCGCTGGCCGAGACGGCTCACGTCTAGGCGAATCTCATCTAGGAGACCTTCGAACCCGTTACGTGCAAATGCTATTCCGTGTCTCGCGTAGCCTGCAAAAAGCTCATCGGCTCCGAGACCGGAGAGGAGAACGCGAGCGGCCGTCGTATACGTATACGGGGTGGGCTTAGTGTCACCTGGACGACTGTCAAATGCCACGCCTTGTCCGCGCGAGGCAAAATACAGTGCACATGCGATGGACAGGTCCATCTCCGTATTGTGCGGCCTCATCAGGCGCTTTACGGTGTCACGGTATGCAACCGTCTCACTATAGGGAATGTCTATTGCGACAAATCGCCAGTTGCGGCCTGGGCAGACCTTCTGAAGTTCTGCATGAGTTGCTCGTCCGGTGATACGATCGGGGCAGCTTTCATACACCGAGGTCGCTTTTGCTTCCTTACTGGCGGCCGCTGCCGCAACAACACGCGGGTTCTCAAATGCGACATTCAGTAGGTCGATGGTCTCGTCGCACGGCAGCAGCTCATGGGAAATCCGGGCAAGCAGTGTGCAATCGAGACCGCCAGAAAACAGAACTGCAACTTTCACATTGCTTTCAGCGGTGACTCCAGGGGGTTCTCCGACATTCTGAACTCTTAAAGCGAGGGATTGACGGAGTTTCTGCTCTATATGTTTAACAGAAGGAGACTCAACACTTAGCTGAGGAGGTATCCCGTCTGGTGGGGACATATTCATTGGGGGAATTGGATTTTTCTGCCTGACTCGTAAGCGTGCGTATTGAAGTCGGAGGTGCAAGGAGGGTAGTACCATATGAAGACTTGCTGGCATATCAGCAGTGTGGTTCCAGGGTAGCGTTTGAATCCCCTCGATCTCGAAAGGATTACGGCGCGTGCCAGAGCTGACTTCAAGGCCATCCTGTAATAGAGTCTGCGTCAAGTCAATCATATGCATCCCGTTTGTGCCGACCTCCTCAAAATGTGTAGTGGTACTGCTGTCACAAAGGCTACAGATCCTCAAGGAGCCAGCCTCATCACGGCCCTGAAGTAGTGAGCGTCGTCCGAGACAGTCCCTACTGAAAAATAGCCTGGAGTTGACCGCATCAAAGAATATGAAGGCAAAGGGCCCCGAAATACAGCTGATAACATCTGCCACGCTCTGTACGGCATCTTTGGGATTAGAGCTCCCAGAAATGCTTGAAGCGGAAGGACCCGTCGCAGCCTGCAGCAATAAGTTGAAAATCACCTCAGTGTCATTGCCCTGGATTTGTTTACCAGCGACCTTCCAGGCGTCCCCATTCCAGCACAACACAGACTGTGTCGCGGAGTCCACAAGAGGCTGCGAAACAACATGATCGCCTCTCATGGACAAGACAGTGGAGACAAATGTGAGCCAGATGGGAGCCCTTGCATGACGGGACTCATGCTGGAGGGTATGGACCTGGAAGCTGTCTGGGCCTCGATTCCGTAGCAAGCAACAGGTTTCCTCGTTAGGAAGTACGGATCCAGATGTGCTCAAGGAGAAGAAGATGCCACACATCGTGTGGACTGCCTGCGAACCACAACGGCATCCAGGGGGGTTGGTTGAATTGGGGTGAAGGGAAGCAACGCAGAAACCGTTCGGAGACGGATCTCGGTGGAACAATGATCCCGGCTGGCTGGCTGTCATCCTTCGGTTCTCCTCCTTCTCCAGGACGAAACGAAACAATCGGACGAACCAACGAGTTGGATCGACTCCTCAGCTTCTCTGTGATTCTACAATCGCAACCGCTGGCCCGGCAGACACTTGTTGTCAAGTTCGTGACAGCCCGAGATTGACCTCGCTGAATGGTTCCCCTCATAATGCTCCGTGGTTTTGTTTGAAGTGCTTCTTTTCCAGCGTCTTTCTTCGAACGTCAGCGTGCATGTGGTAGCTTATGTCTGCGACAGGGACATTGGATTCCTCAGCTTCCGGTGGACAAGGGGGTATTCAACATGAGGGAAAACAGCCCTATCCACCAGTGACCTCGATCGGCATCGAATCGACGACCGAGTCGCAGAGCTCTTCCGCAGCGCCCCGGGATTACCAGAACATGTCCCAGACCAGGATGGAGGAAAATACACAAGATGGATCACAGGAGGATGCTACAGAATCCCCGGGTGTGGTGCCGGCGCCATCTGATCTGGAGTCATCAATCACCATCCCTAAGCCAGAGCTGCTCTCTGGACGGATGAAGGGACTTTCAATATCAACCAATACTTCAGACCGCACCTCGTCGCCGGGGAGCGACGTCCCTCCTCCACCACCGGAGAAGGACGACGCCTACCTTCAGCCCAAGCCCCAGTCACCGACCAAAGTGCCCCCGGAGTGGTCAGAAAAGGAATTGCCAGAAGTCCCTGAAAGCCAGGGACAACGGAATAAAACCAAGAATGAGGGTTTCCGAGAAGATGACTCCCAGTCGGAGATCCAGAATATCATGGGGCAATTCCAAGATCCTGCACGCAGCGGTGATCAAGATCAGATCATGTCGCCTCGGCTGGAGCTAGCGGAACAGTTCCTCAATGGGCCGAATTACTTTCCTCCACGACAGTCTAGTTTAGATCATTCCAAGATGCCAGGCGAGGGCACTCAATCTCTGCACACCAAGGCGGAAGCGTCGTCCCCATCGCTTGACAAACAAACCTCATCGGGACCCAAAGGCCTACACAAAAGCCCTATGGTCGGCGAACCGAGTTTGACTCGGCGTTCGTCCACCTCGACTGTGCCTCCGCCGCCGGAGCCGGAGCCTGACCAGCCGTTCGACTTCCACCGATTTCTGGAACAGCTGCGGCACCGCACCGCGGATCCAGTGGCCAAGTTTTTGCGTTCCTTTTTAAATGAGTTTGGGAAGAGACAGTGGATGGTTCATGAGCAGGTGAAAATTATCAGCGATTTTCTGGCCTTTATTACAAATAAGATGGCCTTGTGTGATGTGTGGCGTGATGTCTCGGACAGCGAGTTCGATAACGCCAAGGAAGGAATGGAGAAGCTTGTGATGAATCGACTATATGCCCAAACATTCTCCCCTGCTATACCTTCACCCCCGTCGATTCCACGGAGCGCCAGTAGGAGCAAACGAAGAGAGATGGAACGACTCCATGGCCCGTGGCGACGAGGGCAACATCAGGAGGATATTGAGCGTGATGACGTGTTGGCCCAAAAGATGCGGATCTATAGCTGGGTGAAGGAGGAGCATCTTGACATACCACCCGTGAGATCCCACGGTCGTCGGTTTCTAAACCTCGCCCAACAAGGTGGGTCGAATTCACCCGCGCTCTGGGTATTTTCTAATGTAGCGGACAGAGATTCTGAAGATCAACGGCTATCGCGCACCTCGAGACAAAGTCATCTGCATTTTGAATTGCTGCAAGGTTATTGTCGGTAAGTGGCTGTGTTTGCCGTGCACTATAGAGACATCCGTTACTTACACTGTCACAAGGGCTCCTGAAGAATACAAAGAAGGCCGATACATCTGCCGATGCATTCGTGCCATTATTAATCTACGTGGTGCTACAAGCCCGCCCTGAGCACTTGGTTTCTAATATCCAATATATTCTTCGTTTTCGCAATCAGGATAAGCTCTCGGGAGAAGCTGGCTATTATCTGTCTTCGCTGGTAAGTGGTATGGAGCTGTATATTTCGCAGAACTGGTCTGATGCTGGGCGTAGTCTGGAGCCATCCAATTCATTGAAACACTGGATCGGACCAGCATGACGGTGAGCGACGAAGAATTTGAGCGGAATGTCGAAGCGGCCGTCTCTGCCATCGCCGAGAAGAATCGAGAATTGGAATCTGTGAATCCAAAGATAAACACGGAGCGTTCGGCCGAAAGCTCCCAGGCGGCATCGCGAGCTTCAGCGGATATCCAACGGGGCCGACGGGAAGCTGTACAGTCCAGCGATGAGGACATCGCACCTGTGGTAGGGCTCCTGCGCACTATCCAGAAACCGCTATCAACCATCGGCAAGATCTTCTCCGACGAGCCTGATTCGCCGGTCGAACAACCGATTCAGCCCGCGGCGACTCCTGCGGCGACTCCGCAACCTGGTGTGCCCCCGCGGCTGAGTCCGAACGTCTATCAGCCTCCCCGGCACAGTGGCGAGGAGCGGCGGCCGTCAGCTGAGCGTCCGCGCCGGGTCCTGGACGCTCAGGATGCCGCTGCGCGTCAGGCTAGCGCTGAGGACGCGGAAGCGCGAAGAATCCAGCGGGCCGAGCATAATAATGTAGTGGAAACGTTGTCGAACATGTTCCCCAATCTTGACCGGGATGTCATCGACGACGTTGTGAAAATTAAGGAAGAAAGGTAAGTCGTTGATCGAGACCTGTGAACGGGTAATGGATAGCTGACTGATGTTTTGTCAGGGTTGGTTTGGCAGTGGATGCATGCCTTGCTCTTAGTGCCGAGTAGATCCCAGCGCTCCCCGATGGGATAGGATGTGTGTAATGCCTAAACGGTACATTTATCATAGCCTATTACTCCATATATGTAGCCAGATACATACCTATGGTATACGTGAGCTTATTGCTCTAGGTGGATCAATAATAGAAAGTTATAAAGTGGTCATTGTCAGAAGTAGGATCTAAGCTGGTGTAGAGTAGGATAGTGTGATTCCCACAGAAATGAATTACCAAGGCATCTATAAATCTACACAATCTATATACACTATCACTCATCAATCCGAATGAGCTTCCATCAGGCTGCCAGGCATCAATAATCCACTGACTAAGCATTATCTTGACAAATAATCCTACAAGACAAACCAATCATATCGTGCTGCAAGATCTCGCTTAGCCTAGCGCTATTTCTTTGGCCCCACCACCCCATATATATACCATCGCCACCCCAACTTCTTTTACTTTTTTCTTCTTTCTTTTCTTCATACTTACCTTGTTTGGGTGGCTGCGATCAAGAAGGCGGCCCACCACGGATTGGTCCCTGCATTGCACAGCGCGGCGGAACAGTCCGTTCAACGGCCTTCGGGTCATTGACAGGCGTATTCTTTGGCACTTTCCACTTTGTGGTTCTGATTTCTTTTCATCATTTCTTCGCCTTGAGCGAGGGTATGGAGAAGAGAAGCTTTATAAATCTTGTAGTTTACACAGCACTGCCACTATGACAGCGCAAATGTAGCTAAGGTTATTTGCAGTCTTTCACGTAACAGCAGGTGTGGGTTGAGGACCAATGCTTTGAGGAATGCAACCCTTCTATCCGTCAATTGTTGACACTTATATTAATAGTATTGGTGGTTCTTGGGCGTTGTCAAGTGGGTTCTAACTGAAAGGACACCGGATTTTGGATCCGATCTACGTCTCCGCCTTACTGGGGTTTATAGTAAATATGAATCCGACTGACTCCAGTTTATTATGGGAATTATTCCTACTTAACCATAAAGGCCCTGCTATAGTAAGTGCTATAGTGTAGGAGATGTCAAATTTTAAGATTTTGAATAAATGAAGAGTATATAGGCTCCGCTCTGGCTTTAGTTATAGGTTAGTTAACTAAGTTACATTAGTTAACTAACTAGAATGGACTGGATATCTGATTATATAATACACCAATAACATTTTCGCCACTGGAGTAAATAAATAGGAACCTTTCATTCCTACAACATACATTGTTGGTCACAGAGTACTCTGTACCTACCTCAGAATCCACACCCAGTCACCTATTCCACTGCATACCTATTATATCAAGCACAAAATGCCACACTTCACCAACGAACCCGAGCCGTCACCTACCACTCTCTCAGGGAGCGAAACCGCGATCGAAACCTCCAGCGCGGTCCATCCTCCGGTCTCGGGAGGCGCGGGGGCTGCTCCCGATAGCAGCGAGGGAGCTCTGAGCAAGGAGGAGGTGAACCGATTGTACGAGGAGCGGATGGAGGAGGAGTATGCGAAGAGAGAGGGGGGTGCATAGACTGACTGAGAGAATTCAGTCGAACCGATAATATCTGTATTAAATAATGGATTATGTCTCTACTCTCAGTAGCTTCTGCTGGGATGGCTCTTACTCCACAGGTGGTTAACCCCATTGTAACGTACAAAAAAAAGTACCCAAAAAAAAAAAAGAAATCGAGTGAAAGGAGATTCGAACCCGTCACCTTTGAATACCCAGAAAAATCACCATCATCACCCAAAAAACACACTACCTTGAAATCAAACAGGGGAGTAATAAAAAAAAAACTGGTAGCTTCTCTTTGATTGAGCGTGTCATCCTTAGTGCAGGGGCCATGCTAATCTTCTCTGTATCGTTTCAAATTGACCAAATGCCCGAAGGCAGTAGGTCTTTCTTTACTTTGAATTATATGCCTGCGGGATGGAGGTTTCACGGGTTCTCATTGGTTGGTAAGCGAGTAGGGGAATGGAAGAACATCAAAATTTTGATAGACTTTCTCGGAAGAGTTTTCATCCGGAGTCAGTGTGGCCGAGTGGTTAAGGCGATGCACTCGAACGGAGGGCCCATCTAAAGGTTCTTCAATTAGCTATGCATTACGTTCGCGTGCAGAGGTTCGAATCCTCTCGCTGACGATATCTTTTTTATTCCCCTTCTCTCTGGAGAAGAACTTGGGAAGCTACCATTTCACTCCCCCCCTCTAAATAAATAAATACATTCATTCGCTCTGTCTACTTTAAGGATTTCGCAATAGCTTAAGTCTAGCTACTACTTCGTAATAGGGACATAAATATGTGTTAAAAGAGCTATAAAGGAAAACGAAGTCAATTTTTTACACCTAGAAATAAATAAGAGAATCGAAGAAACAAAAGAGGCAGCCTTGCGTACAGCTGCAATATATGTATTGGAACCACTGACCACCTTTTCTACCGGGGATGAATGTACGAGGGAGGGATTGAGAAAGTGTATATGCACTTACTCTATACTCATTTAGAGATATATAGTAGTAGTACTTCGTGCAAAGTACAAGTAGTTTAGCAGTCGAAATGACGCGTCAGACCCTTTGCCTGCATCTGTGCGCTCCCCACGCATCAATGATCATTTCCACTGTAGTTACTCCGTACGAGAAAGTGCAAAGAACAAGAAAAAAGCAATACAGTAGACCAAATTATCCCATCGTGGTAAATTCGTCGTTTGGATTCCATTCATTCAGTCCAAGACACGGGACGAATGTGCGGCTTCGATTAAAGTTTTCTTTTTCTGGAGGCGCTAGTAGGTTTGTTGTATCTTGGCACCAAGATCAGGGGTTTTGCCCCTGAATTGTTTATCCCATTTCCGTTCCTAATCTTCTTTTATTTGCAAATCTTATGATGAAAGGCTCGTATCCTCCAGTTGGGGTCCGTGTCAAAGCGCTAGCTCTGTCATTATGGGGTAGAGAATGACATTTAACAAGATTGGAGTTAGTTGTGATCGTCGCATCACCATCTAATTGGTAGAGGCAGAGTTTAATACTGCAGTGGAATTTTGTGGAATACGTCCAAGTTGGCGCATAGTCTGTGACCAGAAATACAGGGTCGGAGAGGGATCATATGAAACATTTGCGCAGAGTGGGGGAGATAAGTCTTGATGTGTCCTGATTTTCTTATGAGTCCTCTTCTTGTGGTGGATTTAAGAGAAGGGTTTTATTCGTTATAACCCTGACAGAAACAAAAGTGTTCATAATCCTACTCCGTACCTTATCAAGGTAGTGAGAGATCGTGTCGTTGTCGGGAGCAGAGATAGGAATGTTTGGAACTTCCCAGATTCAGGGAGAAGTAGCTTATATGGCCTGACCTGGACATAAGCATACCCACTTGACAATAACTATTGATCAGATAAGCACTTCGTAGATGGGTCCAGCTAAGAATAGGCCAGAGGCTCAATGGCATATGCGTACGGAGTACATCTTGAGCAGTCTGACTATTTCAGCCATGCTTCTTCCAGAATATTTATCTTCAATGTACATCCCCTAATATATATATCCATGTGAGATGAAACCATGATTGTTGAGGTGAACGGATTTCAGTCCTGATAGTTTGCGCAAGGATGCAAAAACTTCAACACGAGCTCCACCGGACTATTGCTAGCGTTCCTTCTACTGAACTGCCCAGACCATCCATTTCCCGTCGAAATACGAGCCTCATCTCTCGATCCCGCCCTTGACTGCCAGCCTCAGCGCCTCAGTTTCTAGGTTGATTCCAATCAAAGTTTAAATACGAACCACAGCGATTGCTTGCCCTTTTGCCATGTCGATCGCTGGCTGGATGAGGGCTAACGGGCGAATCGTGCTTTGAATACAGAGTCGAACCCACACATCGATGGGCTCCCAAATGGCTGACCGTGTCTTGGTTCGTGTGGATGGCGCTATTTAAGGCTGGGAAGGTCGCCATGGACGCAGTTCCTCCCATCCTTCCTTTCAGCCTCGACTGACATCGAATCGAATACCAACTTAGTCACTCTTTTTATTTCGACTCTTTTATTTCACTATGCAGTACAAGACTCTCTCGTTGATGCTCCTGGCGGCCTCTGCTCTGGCTGCTAGATCGTCGCAGAGCTCCGATGATTCCCAGAGCTCCGATGATTCCCAGAGCTCCGATCTCCTCTTAGAGAACGACCCGGATTATAAGGAGTACATGTCCTCTCTGGACTCTCTGTGAGTTGCCTTGTCTAGATCTCTTGGATGGTCATCCGTATTATGCGAATCAAAGCTAACTGGTTTGATTGCAGTACCGCCACCGGTTTCGCTGGTCCCTCCAACGTCGCTGTCCCTGATATCCCTACCTCGATCGCCCAGGTGCTCGCGACTGCCGTCCCGACCTCGTTCTTGAGCGAGATGCAGAACCCCAGCGCTGTCTCCTCCTTCGCCAGTGAATTCAAGGAAGGCCACTACCCCAAGTGGTACGACGACCTCCCCAAGGATGTCAAGGCCTACCTCTCCTCAGAGGCTCTCTCCATCGCGGCTGCCGCTACCGAAACCGGTGGTTCCAAGGACTCTAGCAGAACCGCTGCCAGCGCCTCTGCCTCCAAAACCTCAGACTCGTCTTCAAACTCTGACACTAAGTCCTCCGCTTCGGAGGGTGGTGCCGCCCCTACCGGTGCTGTCGCTTTTAGCTTGGCTGGTGCGGCAGGTATTCTTGGTCTTGCCATTGCTCTGTAAATGAGGATTAGTATGAAGAGAGTGGGATGGGGGTTCTTCTGTGATACTATTGTCAAAATAGACTGACCTAAATACTTTAATGACTATTGTAATTGGACGTCTGATCGAGTGATGTAGATAATGCTCACTGCTAGTTACTAAATCTTTCTCATTAGTTTGAGATATAATGCGACTCCACATGAGCTGACCATACCCAGTTGTCCTGGGCAATTATGCATAACAAGCCCCTCAGAATGCCCATGGTCTGTTATGGTAATACCTTAGCCGTAGTAAGCAGCCTGACTAACTACCTAGTACTAGACACCGGGAATCATTGATCAATCTCATGTCACCATTACGAAAAAATAGCCTCAGACTGACCTCGACTTTCACCGTCTCGACCACTCACCTCATCCCGAAAGTCATCTTCGCCGCACAGCACCAATCATTACCCGATGATTGGAAACGACTGGAAGGACCGTTGGGGAACAGGAAATGCCCCTCTGTTGGATGCTGACGATTATGTGCGCGCTGATTGGCCGGCGCTATTTGCAGCAGAGAAGATCGAGCGCATATTGTGCAATGGAATGGATGGTATAAGAGGGATGGTAGGATGGTTGTTTTGCATGGCATTGTTTCTTTTCATCAGGCCCTTTTTTGGTTTCTTGATATTTGGGGCTGCGTTGTTGTGAATTCATTCTGCAGACTTTCGATGCCTCTCTATTGTTGCCGCTGACGTCAGTGTTGATCTATATCATCTCATCAACGGTTCTACTATAAAAGAAAGAGCCCAGAAAAGAAACAGAAAAAAGAAAATAGAGAGAAAGAAACATGGCCCTTCTCTTCATAAAACAAATCCTTTACCCCCGTTCAAAATCCTCATCCTCTCCGTACAGTTCGTCCTGTCCATCATCCCTGGTTCATCCATACCATGAAGCTCACACACCCCAAAGGCAAACCATTACTGTCCGACTCCTCAAATCATGACGGTCGCGACCTCGAGTCCCAGTCCTACCATACCTTCCGATCCTCGTCACCGGATGCCCGCTCCTCCTCTAGCACGGGCAGTTCCCGATCGCGCATCAACCCGCGCATCGTGTCCGATGCCATCCTCGGTCTATCCGATGGGTTGACCGTGCCGTTTGCTCTGAGCGCCGGTCTCTCTGCACTGGGAGATACCAAGGTAGTCGTGCTCGGTGGACTGGCCGAGTTGGCGGCGGGAGCCATTTCCATGGGGCTGGGGGGATTTGTTGGGGCGAAGAGCGAAGCGTAAGTCTCTCCCACACGTTTCAGTCAAGATTGAATGAGATCTAACGGTCACAGTGAATCCTATCAAACCACCGTACGGGAAACCACCGATCTAATCGAAACCTCCCCCTCCGAAATCTCATCCATCGTACATTCGATCTTTTCCGTCTATGATATCCCGGAGGACGCCATCGCGCAGATCGACTCCTCGCTGCACAATTCTCCCGACCGACTACGAGACTTCCTCATCCGCTTCCACCATCAGGAATCTGCCCCAGATTGTAACCAGGCTTGGATCTCCGCTATCACCCTGGCCCTAGGTTACTTCGTGGGCGGGTTCATTCCGCTGATCCCATACTTCATCGCAGAGAAGGTCATCGACGCGCTGTATTCTAGCGTCGCTGTCATGGGTGTCACCCTGTTCGTCTTCGGGTATATCAAGACCGGGGTGGTGCGTGGATGGTTCGGGAGGGACAATGTCGTCGCCAGTCTCAGGGGAGGTATACAGATGTGTTTTGTTGGTGGTGTGGCTGCTGGGGCGGCTATTGGTCTTGTCCGGTTGATTGGGAATTAATGACATACAGTCCATGAAAAATAGATAGCGTGGCGTTGGGGTCTTATTTGTACATACATACATACACTCATCATCATAATCCAATCATACTTTGTAGATAGAAAACAAATACATAATAGATAACGAACAGAGATAATAAAAAATACTATGAAATAGCTCTGACTACCAACTCCCTCTCCCTCTCCCCCATTTCAATGCCCAATGCCAAATCTCTCCCCTGGGGAGACATTTTCGCCCATGTCTTCTTCAAAATCGTCACAATCTTCTCATCTTCCCTCCCATCACGAAACCCCGCAAATTGATCATCCAAAAACACCAAACAAGCCACATCCTCCAACACCTGCGCCTCCTCATCGCCATCGCCCTGTCTGAAGCTCTCCTTGCGAACCAATGTTGCAACCCGCATAGCCTCAGCACTCGAGTACCCGGCTTCCTCGCACAGAGAGGCGACCAGCTCCGCTTGGCGTCGTTGGAGCCCGCTGCGCCAGGCATGGTACCCGGCTTTCGTGGAAGGGTATGTCTCCCGGGGTACTTCCCATCGACGGAGGTGTTGGGCGCGGATAGCGAGACGAAGTGTGTCTGATGCATGAGGGCAGCGGAGATGGAGGTATGTGGTCATTTTGTTGGCATAGTGGAGTTCGTATGGTATCTCGTGTGTTTCTCCCCCCTTCACTCCTTGGTCGGTTGAAAGGCCCCCCAGAATGGGTACAAGATGGGGGTCTTCGGCGTGCGCTGCATCAATTAGACGCATGGCTTTGTCGAATGCCGTCATGTTGCTTGGTGGGTTAGATGCGATAATGTATAGGTGGAGGTGTAATGGGAATCTGATGTTCTCTGTAGTTGAAATGGAGGTCTCGCACTTTACCGGTTTGGGGTATGATCATTTACCTTTGATAGTAATTATCACCCCGGTCTACGGAGTACTTATTCTATACTCTGCTCATACAAAATTCAGTCAGATCAATATCGTCCTTGCATCTAATAGTATATCACATCCATGCCAATACGCTCCTGTACTGTAGTCCCAACTCTGAAATACACTCATGTTGAGTGTCATCCATCCCAATCCGCAGCTTCCAATCAACTCGCAAGCAAAAACAAATAAAACTGGAACATTACAGCTTCGAGGATTTCTCGCCTTCGGATAAAAGCAAAAGAGAAGTGGGAAAAAAGAAAAAAAAATAAGATAAAAGATCATACTCCAAGGATTACTCCCCGAAACGCCGCCCATTGGATGAAGCCGGGTATATCCAGCACCGTAATGCAAACAAAATGTACGGAGAATAACAGACAGACAAGGGCGAGGACATGACCCAAAAGAGACTGAGCGATCTGCTCTCGACATGGCATCGTGGATATCGTGTCATGCAACCGATCTGCAGTCGAGTCCTCTTTTTTGGAACCTGAAAACCTATGCACGAAAGAGGGAAAAACCTGTTGAAAAAAAAAAATAATAAAAAAAAAGGAGGGGGAATCAGGAGAAGAGGAAAAAAGGGCGATCTTTATTCCATCAGCTCCGATACCATTCATCTACCGGGCTCCAATCCCATACATGCCGACTCCATAGCTTCCACCGCGATCGGGTAGAGGGGTTGATATTTTCGAAACATGATCCTTGAAGTCGAAGGTGGTTAGCAAGTGAGAGAGAGAGAGCATTAGGCCTCCAGTAGATGGCGTACCTTCTTCCGCTTTTTCTTTCCGGCCCCTTCGTTGTTGGAGTAGAATGCGCCGTCATCATCGTCATCTGCATATCCTTCGCCGTATCCAACAAAACTGTTGTCGTCGTAATGTCTTTTGCGACCCCGACTGGGCCGAGCTCTCTCGGACTCCGCCGCCGCTGGTGTCCCATTCGATTGAACTGTAGCTCGGACGCCGTTGGTGGGTGTCGCAGTCTTCTTGCCAGCATCCCCGCTGCTTGCATGCTTCGATGGCTTTTCATGTCCCAGGACATCTTCCCAGTACTCGTTGTCCGGCAGTGTGCCAGGCTCCATGTGCATCGCCTTCTGGAGCTTCTGGAGCTCCGAGTCCATATCCGCGATCTTGATCGGCTTCCCATATACTTTCTGGTTTTGCCATTCCTCCTCCGGCCATTGGGTAAGCGTCAGGAGCCCGCCGGGCGTATTAGAATCATGCTTGACGGGTTTGTTTCTTCCTGCCAGGCCCAGACCCTTCAATTTTCCTTCGTAGGACTTCCTGAGTCTGTTAATCTTCTCCCCCGTTACCGGGTCCATCCTTGCAACCGATTTCGCAACCGGACCTAGCCCGTATAAGGAGACTAGATCTAGTGATGGATCCGGTCCAGTCACGATATGGGCTGTAAAGGTGGCAAAAAACAGTGTTAACGGACCTCATCCCAATAGAGCACATGGTGAAAGGGGGAGACTGCAGCCGCACCAAGGATTATGGTTGGGGAGCTCTTACAGCTTTTGCACAGATGATAGGCCGATGCAAATTCCTTCTGTAGTGAGTCTAAGCTGAAATCGTCCGCATTGGACGGGGCTATCGTTTCTTTGTCAATATCCATGGCGTCACCATGACTAGACAGATTCTGGTCGCCCATGTTAGCAAAATCGCGAACTCCAGTTTCCATACCCAGATCTCCCGGATTCCGGTCATGATCGGTACGTCTGTGTTCTGCTTGCGGAGTTGATGAACTTCCTTGCACGGCCGGGGGTGGCCCTCCCCCAAAGGATTTGTCGGCGTGCTCAGGATCATCGACCGACATCGCGGCCATAAAGTGGCCACTCACGCTGCTAGCGGGTGTGGGAAACGAGTTGGTCGCGCCTACTGTAGGCTGCTGAGAGGCTTGAGTGGACATCGGAGCAGAGGAAGGCGGCGAGGAGAGGTTCGCAGGTTGGGACATTGCCTGGCTCGGGGATGCTTGCGAAGATGTGAAATTGGAGGCATAGTTCGGAGCGCCTACCGACATCAACGGAGGGGATGTCGGAGTCTGTGGGGTTGGTTCAGAATTGATGACCGCAGGTTGGCTCTCTTTGAGAGACCCGGTAGCTGGAGATGATGGTGACGGAGGCGCAAGTCGGAAAGACGCCGCGCGATCAGACATGGAGTCTCAAGGCAAAGAGAGTGAGCGGGGGGGAGAGGATGGCCGAAGCCGGAAACAGGCTTTAAGACCTGTAACCTTATGGCTCACAGAGTCTCTCGATTGAAGATTCGGGCTCCACAGTTAGGATCGAGTCACGGTATATTAGAGGTCTGGAGGAGGGGGAGGCTGGCTTTTCGGTCGAGGGTCGCTCAGGCTGGCGAGCAGGACGTCTGACCGTCTAAAAGTCACACATTCCAATGAGTTTGCTCCAAAACACTGCAGACGTTTGAATCGTATGCGAATGGGTGTCAATCAGAAAAGAGCGGAGGTGGGGGATTCGGGGAGTAGGTGAAGAGAGCGATGCCCTTTGATCCGCAGAGGAGAGAGAACGGGCTTTCGCTTTTGGGGAAGTTGGATGACGGCAAGAGAGACCCACGTGACCACCGGCCTGCCCTTTTCGCCGCCGGTACGGTACAGTACGGTACGGTCATGGCTGTATTTCCACGATGTGACGAATGACTAATCCGGGTGTAATTTCGGTCAATGGACAGAGCTACTTGTGCACTTCCATTCCAGGGGCGTACAGCAACGACACGTCCTCATGGAGCTCCCCAATTGTTCTACACTCCAATGTCCTGTTGTGTAGTCCACTCATTGGATGAATGGGATGTTCGAGTTAGATCAGTCAAGAATACACTAAGAAACATTCTACTTTGTGATCCTTTAGAGGGACACTAGAGCCATGAATTGGTCTATCTGTAGACGAATTGGTTCATTGAAGATCCGGTTCGGCTTGACCAAGGAAGCCATTTGCGTTCTGATTAGTCGATTGAGGTTATCATATCAAAGGGCGTGTCTCAAATTGGGTATATCTTATTACAGAGAGGGCCACCTTCAATACATACATCTGGTCAATCGGCTTTATTCAATATCAACAAGGTTGACATACATATCTGTGACCATGATCCTTTGGTTATTGGTGATGAGAGTGTTTAACTCCAGTATTACCCTCATGTAACAAACAGCTGTGTACCAATAACATGAATTGGAGCTTGAAGTACTCTACACTAATGTAGACAACAGTGGTGTTCTTAAATATCCATCCGTATCCACTTTCTGCCAATCTCACGATATACAGTAAACTAGGCCCAATTCCTTATCATTCTGACAGACAGATAGATCAACTTACCTATAAGTCTTTGAAACCCGATCTTTGAGACTGGCTCCAACTGTCATTTAAATAGAGTAATAACCTTCCCAATTAAATATAATAATTTGCGAACAAAACGTCATCTTAATATTCCCATATATTCAAGAAAGAGGCATCATCAAAGAAAGGACTATCTTTAAGAATAGCTGAAAACATGGATTGGTTGCAATATTGTGTCATTGTCATAATACTACTAACTAGATAATCCGTCTACCTGATCATCAGCATCGTTTCAAATGTAAGCCTCGTTTCAAATGGATTCTATTTCGAGATAGGCGTTTCTGATAATAGTGTGTATTATCCTCAGCGTTAGATGGAAGATGTATCACAGCAGTAATCCTGGTTGTCCGAGTCGGACCGGAAAGGGTCCACAAATCCCCGTGTTCTGCCCATGATCACGGGAATTCCCTTTCACCGGGAAGTTTAACCAAATAAAGTTTATTACTGCCAGCTTCAATGAGACTTAGTAAGCATAGCCGCAACTGGATAGTTAAATAAAGCAACTATGAGTACACAGGTAGTCCACCTTGGCATTCGAACGCGCCTATGTGAACTGAGCAACTATACATTTGAGCCACTTACTAGAATTGAACTTGTTCGCCGTGATAATACCCTATAGTTACCGGATCTTGGATATGGCAGCAGACTATCTGAGGGAAATTGTGTAGTTTGTTAATTTTGTAGCATTCAGATATATCATCCGTAACCAATTTATTTTAGTTAATAAACAACGCTCCCAATACCAAATACAGACATGTCTCATAACTATCCAAGGCAGCTCATGGGTATAATGTTCGTATATACTAAATAACATGCATGTGAATTGAACCGGAGGACCGCTGCGCCACTGGGTAGATCGGCTTGTTTTGGGGAAAATCATAAGAAGAACTAGGTTTGGTAAAATGTTCGACTTTCGCGCACCAGTTGAGCGGAAACATCAGGAATGTTTTGCTCCAACGAAGCCATCAGTTCGATCTGTTCCTGCTGACTGAGAGTTCTTCCTCTCCACGGCGGAGTGGGATATGCGCCGTTGAAATACTGCGAATACTGGTTCCCAATAATGTCAATCAAACCCATTGAGTCCACCTGCGCATCGGCGTATGCTAGATGACTTGACGTTGTGGAGGAGAGCGAGAAGTTGGGGTCCCAGCCAGGTAAACTGGGAATAACCGTGGGGAACGGATTGTGTGGTGTTTCCGGATTAAATTGAACCCCTGGGTAAGTTACGGCCGGCGTACTGTACGTTTCAGTGGCATAAGGTGTCGGAGTAGCGGTTGAGGAAGGGGGCTTCTGTGTTTGAAGTCGTGGTTCCCACAGGGAATACTGCGGTGGTTTTATAGGGTCTACCGCGGCGGATGATGATGTCGATGTAGGAGATTGCGAGAACGAGAAAGCCGGCTCTGCAGAATGGCCTCTTGACAGGCTGCCTGAAGATACACTATCAGGGTTCGAGGACTTGCCTGCTCGGATGCTCTGGGATTGAAAAGACGTTGTCGTGCTCGCAGGGCTGGAGATGGATGGTGGGCTCGCGACGCCTTGAGAGGACGTTGGGGTGGCATGGTTGGACGGAGAGTGGATGACGAAAGATTCCTCAGTATTGTATGTCTTGAGACACGCAGTCACAAGGTTCTTATAGAGAAGTAAGGCCGACTCAACGCCAGGCCACCGTTCTGCAGCAAGCATAATACCCTCCAGTGCCATATCGAGGTGGCCCCTGACTTCATCAATCGAGTGCTCCTTGCGGATTTCGGGATATGAAAGGGACCAGAGGATGGTGTTGAGTGCCATGAAGAGCGACTGTGTAAAAATCCAGGTCAAATCTACCGATCCTGTCGCAATCTGTTGTCGCTGCATAGCAACGTTGAAAACAGACGCGTCATAGCACCTTTTTTTGCTGCATTCACCGAGGGCTCGGGTATCTGGGGAGAGGGCCGAAACATGAAAACGATCATCGTGTTTCGCCGTCCGTGAAACCTATAATATCGTAATCAATAGGAGGAGAGGTTAGTGGAGGAGATTTCCATACCAGGTTTCACTAAGTCCACTACCTCCGTCATTCTTTGGACAGGAGGCCACCCAATGATCAAGTTTATTGAGCATTTGCGAGAACCATGGATCTTGATCATCTGTGGGTGTCTCGCGCTTGTTCAGATAGAGAGTCCGTCTTATCTCTGCTTGTAGTAGCCGCATTTTGAAGAAGTGAATAGCTATACACTTCGCCAGTTTCGGGAGATCCTGAAAGAATGCCGTTTGGAGTTATACATCCGTCGTCGCACACTTCGAAAAACTTGACACGAACGTGATCGTGGTTGATGGAATAGCAACTAGGCCGACCGAGGCTATGGGAAAGGCCAAACTCCATTGATGTGACGATCCAGAAGAGTCTCCTCCGCATGTCTATTTCCAGGGGATTAGGCTTGCGCCCACCGCGTGGTTGCGTAATCGTGGCCTCGTCCGTTAGCCCCAAGTCTTGACACAACTTGACCGCCATGCCAACGACCCAGTAGGCAGCAGTCCTTGTTGGGGTCAACAAAGAGTACTGGCCTATTAGAACCAGACACTGTAGCGATTTAAGATCCAGACGTCTCAGAGAAGCCTCTAAATAAGGCAACGCGGCAAGATAATAACTGTCGGCCAGCCCTGCATAAGTAGGGCCCATTTTTTGCATACTGATGGCAATGACCATTCGTAATTGGAAATTTTCGCAGGGGTCATCGGAACCATTAAATACGTTCTCCACCTCCTTGCGGAATGTAGGTACATGGAGTGTCGGGAGCATCGCTTGTGCTTTGGGACGAGTCAATCAAGTGAGGCCGACTGAAAGTTGGCAGCAGAGGGGAGAGGAATTACCTTTGACCACAAATACGTCGACCAGCCTGTCGGTCGATTTCTTCGTAGGGAGATTAGGCTGAGGTATGGAGCTAATCATAGGATACACTTTGGACGTTGGCTTAGAGCTTTCTTCTTCAAAAGCCAGCTTGATTTCCTGTGCAGTCAGCTCAGGGACCACATCTTTGATGCTCTTCGAATCTGTATTTTGTTTCGCCATCTCCATAACCAAGCGAGTGATTGCAATACCGCTAGATGGCCCCAAGAACCTTGACTCATCATTTTCTTTGAATCGGATACGACCCGCCCCGCGTACCATGAGTTCTGCGTCTGCAGCATGTTGAAAGTCCTTCTCGACTTCCGCAAGCTCTTTCTCTAGCATGCGAGCTTTTTCGCGGAGGGAAACGATGTATGTCCGTGGTATTGTAAATTTTCGAGCGGAATCGAAGTATACGCACTTGGCATTGCTGCGTTCGCAGGGGGCACACCTTGGGATTCCCGGATCACATCTTGATTTGCGCTGTTTGGGCCATTAGTTCCCAACAAAAGGTAAATAAATAAATAAAATAAAATAAAACCGAATCCGGGAATAAGTATAGTGAACGGAAGGGGGCGGAAAGTGGGGGATATAGTTGAACAAGATCATACCTGTCTACACCTTGTACAGGCTGTCAGCGTATGCGCAATTCGACCATCCGGAGTATCGTCAGACTGCGGTGTGGAATTAGAAGATGGTTTGTTCCACAGATCCATATATTGAGATTGTGAGATTGTCGAGTTGAGCTGTGCGTCCATAGCTTTTTGTTGAGGAGATGGCCCCCAAGTTCAGGGGGGGATTGTTTTTCTTTATCGAGGGAGGGAGAAGCAAGCAAACGGGTATTGTATCCCCCGCGATCGCATGAGACTATTCAAAGAGCTTTTCGGAGCGCAAATCGATCACAATCAAAGACGTTGAAGACTACACAGGACGATAAAGTATCGGTATAGCACCTGGTCAGGTAGCACTTTCGACATGTTCGTATCCCGTTCGAACGTGTCCTAACTGCGAGGAGACAGGCGGAGATAGGTACAGGGCAGCATGAGGTTTGCAGAGGTAGATAGTCGGTTCGGTTGATCCGTTCAAGGGGCTCGTAGGGTTCAAGGCAAACGGTCAACAGTGAGAAGTGGGTGGACTCGCAATTTTCAGGATGTTGGGGTTGAGCACGCAGGACACTTCCGTAAGGATTCAGAACGAAACGAAACGAGTGAAATAAAATGACTAGGTATCCTCGGTCCAGTCCCGCCTGGATCGACAAACGCGCTAAGGAATGGTGGCCAAAACGCACGGTTACGGAACGCCAAGCGACCCAGAGAATGGGAATTGCATGGGCTGGAATCAGATGAAGGTACTTGTGATCTAGAGATATGTGATTATATATATATATATATATATATCTACCTAAGTATGAGATAGATTTCGAAAGATTAGTGATGAAGGATTTGACCCTGGAGAGCAAGATGTGCAAATGATCCGCGTTGCCTGCCTAGTTTGCAATGGGTACCCTTTTACCCACTATGCCTACCATCCCATTCCAACGCCATACGGAGTAGGTGTTGATGAGTTCGATTGCGTTGTTATTTAATTTCCCCCTCCCATTCCTTTCATCCATTCCTGAGACTGGTTGATGTGGATGAATGGCCTTTGAGCCTTGCCATGTGTCTGGTCTTTCTCCGTCTTTTCCTCATATGCAAACGCCCACCAAAGTACATCGGTCAGAAAGTCAGTCACAAGCACCATTTCCAGGGGAAAGAAAAGGCAAAAAAACCATTTCTTTTTGTTCCTATTTTACTCCGTAGTGGAATTTATCATTACGTTCTGTTGAATTAAGTTTACTTTGTATGGCCCAATTTCGTACGGACTACTCTACTCTCTATGGACTGATACCTTTGAAGATGAGCTAATTTCCTAAGAGTTTCCTTCTCCAGTCATAGTGGGGGGGATCAGGTGGGGGTCCCAAAGTATCAACGACATGACGTACTCAATCTGGATCGTACCGTATCTTACCGGCCCCCAGTTGTCTGGTCGACTAGTAGTTACTCTGGAGTTCAGATAATTGACCTGCCCCCGCTGGTGGATTGAGGATCACTGGGTATTCATGAGGTACTCTCGGTCCTTACAGTTTACCGTACCTCTTTCGTATGTCGTAAGAGTGGTGTTTCCTCCCTTCCCTTAGGTTGATCCTCTCCCTTCGCACAACACACGCTCAACTTGTCACCCAACGGTCCAGGCTAAAAGCTACCCGATTCATTACCTTATATTTTCCTTGTGGACTGCATCTACGAACCCACGGTCGAGGAGCGGTATTTACTCCTGTGATTATTACTTTTTTCGGCTGTTGCTGCTTCTCTTTTTTTTACCCCCCCAAAGTCTGTCGTTTCTGCCAGTAGTTATAGATGTCTAGCTAATGTAGCATTTCAGTCGCTCCATTCTCAGACAGATGGAGATGGAATCTGCTTTACTTCGTTAATACCTGGTCAAATTGGCAATTTGATTCGCAGGTGGACCATTTAAGCCTTTGCAGTGGCCTAGGTGCCATCTGTTTTCGTATTTGAGGTTGGTGGTGCCTCCTGCATACTTAGGCTCCGAAGTTGATAGACACACAAACCACTCCTTCCTGTCACCGGAATTTTATTTTATTTTATTTTATTTTTTACCCCGCTACCTTTCCTCTCCGGAGAGTACTGTGAAACAAGACTCATAGACTGACTCAGTGCTAGTCCTAGATATCACCTAGAAAATTTGACCATAGAATATCCTGACTTGGATAATCTCGGTTTCGCATGACTACCCCGGTAGGTATCACCTAATTTGGGCCATGGTATGCCGATGTTGGTCTTGTTAATTTAATTCATAGGTAACATGCAAGGCCAGGATGTCAAGTTCTTCGTTTTTGGACAAGCCATTGCTCAAAGTCAGTCGGCCAGTAGCTGCATGCTCAAGATGCCGAACAGCCAAAATCAAGTGCGATGGAAAACTTCCTGCTTGCTCCGCGTGCGAGAGGGTAGGAAAGGCCAATACTTGCTCTGGTGCCAGCGATGAATTCGCCAGGGGTAAAGAAAGAAGCTATGTCGCGTCCCTGGAAGGCTATTGCGAGAGGCTTGAGAGCAGAATCGCGGAACTTCGTCGCCGCAAAGGCCAGTTGCACGCTGACGAATCAGGTTTCGTGCGGGAAAGCTCAATAACCGCAGCCTCACCCCCCGATTCCCATGGACAGGTGCATCGGAAGGAAGTTTCTGATATTGATGACCTTGTGGGAGACTTTGGATTTCTGTGAGTGACTTGTTTGTGTAAATTGAATAGAACCATCACTGACACGTGAACTAGGTCTGTCAACGCGACTTCAAGAGATTTCCATGGAATACAGTCCAATACCTCGTTTGCAAATCTTCTCTTATCACTTTCTGTTGCCGAGCCTATCCCGAAACGGTCAGCAAAAGCACTTCCCGCGCGCCACGAAATCACCACGCTTTTACAACATTACTTTGACACTTTCTTCACTCAATTGCCCTTTTTCGTTGAGACGAGCTTTTGGACCTCGGTGGATATGGTGTACCAGGCCAACGGCCGCTTCGCTAAGCCCTTTGATCATTGGTTTCTGCGCATGATATTGGCCACCACGTACGCTTCCATATCTTACCAATTTGGTGACCAGAATCACCAATACGCTTTGTCATTCGCTTCCTCGGCCTTGGATTATGCTGAAGATGTGCTCCAACCAGGATCCATAGCTGGTATTCAGGCAATAATGCTACTTGCGCAGTATTCTCTCGTCGACCCTAAGCATTTTCGCTCTTGGTACCTTGTGGGAATGGCTGCGCGAGCTCTGGTTGATCTGGGCTTACATCAAGACCCCCCTTCGGATGTTCCATCCACCGATGAGCAGCTAGATCTCCGCCGAAGGGTATGCCACAGTGTTTATTGCTTAGACAGGTTTGTCCGGCCGCGATGCCCCTTAGAGCACTCTTTTACATTACTGACCTGGATGAGACAGATGCGTCAGTGCTGCTTTAGAACGGACCTTTTCGTTTTCTGACGACTCTGTCAATGTTGCTTTGCCTGCTGCCGGATCCGGGTTGACAGAACCGAGCCTTATCTTTTTACACAGTTCGGAGCCCGCATGGCACCTGATCAAAATCCGGCGGATCCTGTCGGCAGGCTATCAGAGAAAATATTTTAACGCATCTGATCTACTTTCCCAGACGGTAGTATCCAATTGGACACTGTACGCGGAGGCCAGCGAGTGGTTTGATCACCCTCCTAAGGCTGTCCCACAGTATTTCCCTATGCTATATAAATTGGAGCTGCTATACACCACGGTCATGATTCTGTCGCCGACTTGTCAATATTGTAATTTGTGTGATTATGACAAGGTCCTGTTGTTTGATCGATGCATGCAGTACATAGCCGAATTCCACCGGATTCTGAAGGACGACAGGTGGCTGCCGTTTATGACATTCCTTGACATCCAACGGGTATACCAGGTGAGCGTACGGTTCACCGACGTCGTTGCTCGCGATTTTGATCTCGTTCTGAGCTCAACTGTGCCGGCGCTGCCTCCCCTTCCCTATAATGCTCTTGTACCGCCGATTTTGGACGCTGAGAACACTCTCAACAGCCATGCACGTGCGATTGAATGCTTGATTCAGATCCAAGTCATTCTCCAATTTGGCGTGAGGAAGTGGAGGCTTGACGGACTGCTTGACGGTTTCCAGCAACACTCGGCATGCGTTCGGGGACAACTCATGCAGCCCTCAGTCGCTTACTTTCCGGGGTCGGGAGCGCACGTCGCCGGACAACTGCCTCCTGCAGGGGTTGTATACCCTGGGGTCCAACCAATATAGTCCTTGAACATATCCTTTTGTTCCCTTTTATTTCATGTCTTTTTCTTATATAAGAATTTTGGTCCTATGGCCATGACTGTTTTTTAGCCCTGGATTCTGGCGCTGAACATTCTTAAGTATATGTCAGACTATTAATACAATATCGCTTACGATATACGTATGGTCCTTCGACAAGCGTAGAATACCCATTATAAGTCAGGCTCCATTAGGGAGACTCACATTTGTTCCGAGTTGATGTAATAGGTAAGATCAATCATTGGATACTGTGGTACGCGCGTATCCGGATGCGTTGGTGGGTCGATTTGCAGATGGAGACGGTGCGGAATGGGCCCATAGTTATTTTTCTCGTTCTTTATCTCGTCCGGGTTGCATACAAAGCTCGCGAGTTAACTGTGTAGGAGTGCTGACAGGACTATTATGCTAAACTATCATGGAGAGCTGCTTAGATCAGGCAGTAATTTAAATATTTATGTTCAGGAGGAGAAAGGGAAAGGAAACTTGATTCTGGGGATGAGATCAAGCTGCAGAGACCAGCTCCCCTGTGAAGCAGTGATTGACGTCAGGGTGATGCGTTCCTTGGATGCCCGGTGGAGCCACCTGGGAAAGATTGGGCCAACGGACCACAACCTTCCAACGGCAAGGGTGAGGGATGAAGTAGACATGTACTAATTTGGGAGTTGAATGGACTCCAGTCGAGTGTCTCTGCTGGAACACTAAGTAGATACAGTATACATTAGAGTAAAAGGACCATCCGTAAGAGAGACATGACCTCCAAGCTTCGCGTTAGTCTTCTCGCAATGGATCAGATTAGCTTTAGAGGCTGAGCAGCTGCCTAGTTTCAAGCTTCGTCTAGTTATACTGTCTACGCAGGCATCAATCGACGCAAAGGAACAAAGTCTGGGCTAGGCCGATCCTGTAACGGTCAGCTCCTTAATTATGTACAATGAATGAGTAATGCTCTACCCTGTCGGATGAGTCGTCCATGCACGGCATCGACAGTGATGATCTCATACATCGGAATGCATGCAACTCCCAATACTGCACTGCTTCAGGGAGCTCGTCCTCAGAACCATCACAGCGTCATGACGCAGTGACGTCAAGCCAGTGATGAATCCGCTCCTTCCAATTTCTCTGCGGACTGGCAAGTCGTCCGTTCTGGCCCTGGCCTTAGACTGGTAGGTACCTTGTAGGTATTTATTTTACGTCGTGGCCTTTTTTGTTGCATTTTTATTTCTTTATTTTGCTTGTTTCTTTGCTTTTACCCCTTCAGAAACCCAGATTTTCTGGACTCTTTACGGCCCAATCCATGGTGGCTTGCTCCCACATTCCCTTATTGCCCATTCCTGTGATACCCCAGCGACGCGACCCTGTCCTCCCTTGAATTCGTCTTCTCCAGCTATCTACCTACCACGAGAACCTTTACAATTCCTTGTAAAATAAATCCATCTGATATCCAATACCTATTCAAGCCTCTCTCTCCCCCTCCCTTCCAGCCCCCCCCTCTTTTTTATTTTTTTTTGTTTTTTATTTTAATTTTTGTCCTTACTGTTCTGGTTCATCGCCAACCGTTGAAACGAGAGCGACTTCATGATGTCGGCTGGAGTGAACCGTCCTACTGACACGAAACAGAAGGAGCAGGTAGGCTGAAAGTCTTTCTAGTATCGGTTCCAAAGAGCACGGGAACTGACTTGGTGGATACCCAGGACATCAACCAAAAGCTGCAGCTGTATGGAATTTACCAAGGTAAAGATCGCATATAATCTGAAGAAAGCAAATCAATCACTCCCGAACCGGGACTAATGCAAGTAAACAGCTTTCAAATGCGGCAAGCTTCCATCGGTGAGTCTTCAATTGAAGACGTGATATGGTCGGTCAAGTATTCTAACTCCAGCATCCCATGATAGAACAAGCAATGCGATATTGCCCTGAATAGTGCCCTGGCTTCGAAGGCGCTCTCGTCGCCATCCAAAGAACTATCCAGCGAAGGCCAAGTCCTCGTGACAGATCTTCGACATGCCATTGAACAGGCCAAAAAGCTGATCCTGAGCAAGAACGAGGGACAGCTGCTTCAGGAGTTTATCTGGGAGGCCGAGCACATCACCGCGGATGATATCAGAGAAAGGCCGGATGTGCCCTTATCAAAGGATTTAGCAGAGCAGGATGGGAGGCAGGCATTGGAGGGCCTGAAGGCTCTCGGAAATCTCTTGATCACCAATGGCGAATTCAGGAAGCTACGTATGTGATGTGACCCTGTATAGGCGATGGAAGTATTAACGGCTGGCAGTAAACGATGCTTGGATCCTTGCCCGCGACATTGCTGGTGATGCCTCGCAGAAGGCTGCTAATCAGTTACGGCCCTCGGAAGAACAGCTTGCTCAGATTGATGAACCCGCCGAAGAGAATGTCTGGCATGAGAAGCCGGACTTTGCGAAACACAAGGAGAACCTCACCTCCCGTTTCAAGACAGCTAAGTCTGAAGTATGTACCTCCTGACTCTTGTCCAGCTGTCTATGGTCGTGTATTTACGCCTCGAAAGGCTCAGAAGCAGTATAACGAAATTGGCGAGACAGCAGTTCAAGCGGCTACAGGGGATCAGGACCCTGAGACTGCAGGAGACATCGATATCCGTGCTGGTGCTACCGCAGGCGCCGAGGAAGTCAATCAACGACTCTCGGGCAACGTCTCCGAAGACACCAAGTCTCGTGCTCGCGAGTATACCGACCGGACCAAGAACTACTTGGCGCAGAAGGTGCCTCCGGAACGCCGCGAACAGGCGATCTGGCGGCTGAAAAAGATGGTTCTTGAGATCCAGGGTCATGCCAATTGTGAGTGTGCTTATGTGATGCTAATATCCCAGAGCATGGGAGCTGACGTTTCCTCAATACAGACCAGCAGGCTATCCAGACCTTACTCAACCTTGTGGAGAAATATGGCAGCACTACTCGGCATATCTCAGAGCAAGGTGCTGGGGCTGTTAAGGGCATCCGAGGCGGTAGTAAGGTCCAGGCTATGGAAACCAACCTCAGAGTATGTTCTCATCAAATGTCTGCCGAAATGATCATTAAAAACTGATCATTCATCGAAGGTCTTGATTGAGCGGTTCGCCAACAGTACTTCGTTGGACGACTTCTTTGATTCTCTGGAGACTATTTACCAAGACGCGGACAAAGATCCAGAGCTTAAGGGGTGGTTTAAAAACATCAATACATTTATCCGGTACGTTAGCATTGATAAAAGAGAAGGAGGGACTGATTTCTAACGGCACCAGGAAATGTCTCCAGGAGCAAGGGTATATTATGCAGGAGGGCTGCGACAGGCAATGGAACCAGCTGGCAGAACATGGCCAATATCTGCTTCGTGAGCGATACAAGGACCACACCAACCGGGTCCTCGACGAGGTCAAGTTCATTGGCGCCGAGTTCTCCAAAGATCCCCAGAACAAGGCGTTTGCTGACTCCATGGACAAACTGTTCCACGATTTGGGTCGCGACTCAGTTGGCAATGTGGCCTTCAAGAAGCACCTGCTGAAGGATGTCCGGGATGTCATTCTCCCCGCGACATTTGAGAAAATTCGCTATGTGCCAATTCCTCGTATTGAAGTGTCCGACCCGATGGCCGACGTTGTTATCGAGAACCTGGTGATCGAGAGCGATAATCTGATGCCGAACGTCGTGGAGTTCGGCAGTGACAACTACTTCCGCTGGGGTCGCAAGAAGATCAGCAATAAGCATGACAATAAGATCATGATCTCGGTGTCCGGAATCCAGGCTGACTTGCGAGACGTCAGTTACTATGTTAAGAAGAAGCAGGGATTCCCTTCGATCACCGACACCGGCGTCATGGACATTTTCCTGGGCGGCGACGGCTTCGGCTTCAAAATCGCAGCATCCACGGCGCACAAAGCCGATCGGCAGAACTTCATCAAGCTGGACAAAGTGGTCGTCAAGATCTCTGACCTCGACATCAAACTGAAGAAATCAAAGCATAAGATACTCTTCTCAATCTTCAAGCCCCTGCTCTTCCGCACCGTCCGTCCGGTCCTGCAGAAGGTCCTCCAGCAACAGATCCGTGACGCCTTCGCTAGAGGCGACAACTTCGCCTACGAGATCTACACTGAAGTCCAGCGTGGTAAGGAAGCCACTCTTGAGGATCCCAAGGACGCTCCTAACGTTTACGCCCGCTACATCAATGCCTTGCGTGCCCGCATGGATGAGAAGAAGCGTCAGCAGGTCGCCCAGGAGACCGCTGAGCGTGACACCAAGGTCCAGACCGCGACCACCCTGCATGACTCCCTGTTCCCTGATATTCACCTTCCCGGCGGCATTTCTTCCAAGGCCACAGAGTACAAGGAACTCTCCCAGAAGGGCGAGCGCTGGGAATCTCCCATCTTCACCATCGGCTCTGCTTCTGAATCCAGCGATATCCCCAACCTGGCAGAAATCAGGCGCAAACCTCACTCCAGGAGCAAAGGTCGTCTGGCGGACGGCGGTCTCACCAATGGAACCATGCACGCCGTCGATGGCACCGCCAAATATAATGGCTCGCATGGCTTCTCCGATGAGATGGACCAAGCGTTCAGCAACGGCGCCACTTCGAAGACCGGGCCTACTATCCCAGGTGCAGACTCTGCATTTAACCCCCAGGCCGCGTGAAACGAGTGGAACGTGAAGTAGCAAAATGGTCGGCAGTCTAATTGTTTTGTGTTGTATTTGATTGATATCCTGTCTTGTATTGGTTGATTATGCTTATTTATTTAATTTCGGATGTTTAGCATCCGTCTGGGTTTGGCACTGCAGTTCTGGGGTATATAATTCTGACTATAGTAACTCAGATCAGTTTCATATCCACTACACTCTAATATGAAATTCGTAGGCTGTCTCTTGACTTGTCAGAAGTTACCTTTTTTTGCCCTCCGATTCTTGGTCTCCAGTTTTGATCACTTATTGTAAAAGCTCATCCGATTGACGTCCTTGAGAATATGATGGATTCTCTATGAATTCTGTCTCATCATCAGATGGAAGGATTCACTTTCCACCAGGTCCCACACAGATCTTTGACAAATATGCCCTCCGTTGTCTTCCACTGTAATTCACGCTGGTCCCATCCTCCTTCTCATGATCAATTTCCCAATATCTCCATCAAACGCCGAGATGATACCGGGCGGTGCTGTAGGACAGAGTTCTGACATTAAAGAATGCAGAAGTTTAACAGCCACCCACCACAGTTGATCAATCTCAATCCTCATAGAACCCGGATACCTCGGATCATTCCTATTGCAATCCGGTCTGTATTGAGTATCAACCATGACGACAAATCTCATTCTGAGATCTCCTGGTTTCGGGCATCTTCTGGCTCGCTAGATTCGATGATACTCTTCAAACACTTATCATCGATATAAGACACGTCATATAGCGTGGCTTAATAACTTGTACGTGCACCCATGCACTCAAGATACTGGTTGAATTCTGTTCGGATCTGATTCACCAACGCGGGCGTCAAACCATTGCGCACCCTCCACGATGACATTTTTATGAGTCTTGTGGAGAAGTTTGTTCTGGGAAGCCAGTGTATTCACACCTCGGTCTATTCTTCGGTGTATGTAGCGGTCAAGTTTGGATAAGGGTGCTGGAAACAGCTCATCTGACTCGGGGGTGTAGACTGTGCGATAGATGATATATCCCCAGGGCCAGGTGTTAGGCCAGATTTCATTAATAAACATGGTCGATTCACGGCGGGAATTCTTAGCCTTGTTTCCAAACCGTCGATTTCGCTCCTCATCCATGTTCTGGAAGTCCGGGTGGGAGGATGGTTCACTCCATGTTGGGTGGTCCAAGAATTGGCCCAATAAATCGTCTGTAGAGGTTAATGAAGAAGGTTCAGCCACTTCTTTATTTTGCTTTTATCTCCTTAACAGATGCAGAATGAGAAGATTGAGAAGCATGAAATAGATCGATTGTGCTTGACATTGCGGATTATAGTATAACGATGCCGCCTGGTTCTAACAGGGGAGTTTTCCGGTAGATGTCACTGCCTATTAGGCGATCATATCACAGGGAAACTTGGAGTGTGGTTTTGAAAGCCAGTCCCCCAGACTTGACTAAAGACCGTATTCACACTGCACAGCTATCACTGGCCAGATCTTTCGTTCCCGTAGGTATTCACCTCGGCTTAATATGGTGGAATAAGGACTTATCGTTCGAAAAATTACCAGTCGGCCAACTAAAAACCCATGGACTCTAGGAGAGCCATGATTGTGGTACTTCATCTATTTACTATACTATGAGCCACTTAACGCACTAACTGACTATCATATTGGGTCAATTTAGTCACCTTCCTATCCGGAATAATCTGACTCGTTCAAGCCTCTTTTACTCCAGGATCTCTACCTCAGTACTTTAGTTAGCTGCCAAGTTTTAGATACCAAAACACCCCTACTCCTATGAATATTGTACCCGAGCTACGGATCGAGAACTGAGTTAACCGTGAAGATCAGCAACGACATAAACCATGTAGATATTGTGCACTGACCACGACAGGAGCGCTGCACTGTTATCACAAAGACCAGTTACCCCTTGGAAGTGTGTCTTATTTGTTCCTCCTCGTTGGGACGATAGGGCAGGTCATATCTATATACTTCCTGGGCAATACTGGCGCTTTTTCTCGCAATGATACTACCATGGTCAGCGCTTATGCTGAACAAGATACCAGATATAATCTCTATAAAGATTCCTGCTTGCAGTATTGAGTGGATCAATTGAACTGCAGACTGAAATATGGTGGAATCGGAACGGCGAGCGGTAGGGTAGCCAAATCAGGTCAAGCTATAGTATTTCATCTCTTGTCCCCTAAAGCGCAATACATGCTGCGAAATGACAATGCCAAGAATGGAAGATAGCTACGAATAACTGATTCGACAGGTATTGAGACTCTTGTCATATCCTCATGTCCGTCCCGCGTCTGACTTTTTCTTTCATCTCTGGTTAACAATAGTCTAATCACATGGGTTCCGTATGTGACTGTGGACATATTCCTGTAGATCTGGTGAAGCCACAATTGTAGAAAGGGTATGATATTTATTCCATCTATATAGTCATTTCTAAGAACGACATAAACGATCCGTTCATTCCTCGTACCTCATTTATTTTTGTTTGTTGTGTTTTCATAATCCGACCTCTCGTCTACATCTGCTCAAAGTACTTTTCCCACCCCAGCTCCTGCATCTTGACACCCTTTTGATCGAGATTCTCAATGCGAGCTTTCTCGGCATACGCTTCCACCTTGCGCTGGATGGCGGGGTCGAAGGAGCCGAGGATGCGAGCGGCCAGGAGTGCGGCATTGATGCTGTTATTGATGCCGACGGTTGCGACGGGGACGCCTATAAAGAATTAGATGATCTTTCCATAGACATAGAATGAACGGAAGGGGAGTAGGAAAAGATATCATACCTCGAGGCATCTGTACGATACTGTAGAGACTGTCTACACCATCCAGGGAACTGCCCTTGACGGGAACCCCGATGACAGGGAGAGCAGTATGTGCGGCAGCCATGCCGGGGAGATGGGCGGCACCACCGGCCGCGGCGATGATGACTTTGATGCCGCGGGCGGCGGCGCGGGCCGAATACTCGGCCATGAAGGTTGGGGTACGGTGGGCGGAGGTGATGTCGACGGCGGGTTCGATGCCGAAGTGGTTGCGGAGGAGTTGGAGACCTGGAACTAGGGTCTTGAGGTCGCTGTCAGAGCCCATCATCACGGCCACGGAGGGGGCGGGCTTGGAGGGGCCAGATTTCTGCGGGGCCGTCTTCACATCGCTGCGCTGAGCGCGGATCTCGTCGACCACGTCGATGAGGGGCTGGATGTGCGTCTCGGCCTCGTGCATCGTGGGCGCAGTGACGGTCACATGGCCCATTTTACGGCCTGGTTTGGCGGCGCCCTTGCTGTAGAGGTGGATGCTGGAGTTGGGGATGGAGAGAGCGTGTTCGGCCGCTTTCAAATGGGTGTCAGGGGCAGCACCGCCGATGATGTTCAGCATGATGGACGGCTGACGGATTTCGAGGCTCTGTGGAGGGATGGGGAGGTCAAGGATGGCGCGGAGGTGGGTATCAAATTGAGAAAGTGGGCAGGCTTCGATGGTGTAGTGGCCGGAATTGTGGATGCGGCTGGCGATCTCGCATAGGAGAAGGCTGTCGTCCTCGAGGAGGAACATCTCGACGCCGAAGACTCCTTTGCCGTCGAAGGCCGCCACGGCCTTGCGTGCGAGCTCCTGCGCTTTCTGGTTGATGGCTTCGGAGACGTTCCGGGCGGGTGCGTACACGAGCTTGCAGACCGAGTCCTCCTGGACGGTTTCGACGGTGGGATATGATAACACCTCATCCTTGGTCTTCACGACCATCACGGCTAGTTCCTAGATCAGTAGGGTTAGCCCGGCCGGGGGTAGTTATATGTATTGTTAGGACAGGCGAACCATCTTGAAATATGCCCATTTCTCGGCGTACAGCGGGCGGTCCTTGAGAGTTTCTAGGGCTTCGGGGATGTCTGCTTTGGAATTGACGCGGAAGTTCCCTAGGTATCAATCGAACCTGTTCAGCCATTGAGGGTTCCATCACGGTCATCGTGTCAGTAGCAAGGGGGAATGGGGACATGACTCACCTCGTCCGTCATAGGCCATGGTCTTCGACTTCAGCATGAGAGGGAACCCCAGCTGGTCACCCACCGCCGCCAGCTCTTCGGGTGTATTGTGAACCAGCTCGCGATGTTCTGCCATGGGAATGTCATATTTAGACAAATGCTCCTTTTGGTTGAACTTGTTCTGAATTGTGCGGATGGCCTGCCAACTAGGCTCGATGCTGACCTGCGAGGCAATCTCCTCCAAGGCGTAGGTGTCGACATGCTCGATCTCGGCCGTGACGACGTCGCAGGTCCTCGCCAGCTTCCTCACAGCCTCGCGTTCCTTAAAGGAGCCGGACACATGGCCATCGTGGGCGCTGATTTGCTTGGCCGGGGAATTCTCCGCATCGAGGATGTTGACTTGGATGTTGAGTCGATTGGCGGATTCGACCAGCATACGGCCCAATTGGCCTCCGCCGAGCACGCCCACCTTGGGGGGAATTCCACATTCTGGATATTATAATATCTGAATTAAAAGAAGTACTGAGGACTGATGGAAGAATTGTCAAGAAATGCCCCTCTTCTCCGCCGTGGAAAATTCGGCCCGATAGTCGTCACGTGCCCGCCGATAAGCATCGCGACTTCACCTTCTTTTAGAATATATAGAATGTTTGCTCTCTTCTCACCCCCCACTATGTCTCTGGATGAAGATGCCCTGGAGACCGCTGCCAATGGTGGCTGGATGGACGCGTATGTTCCTCTCCCCTCCTGCCCATCGCTGCGCTTCCTGACCTCCTATCCCAGTGAGAAATGGCCATCCATGGTGGACCCGTTGATTCAACGATTGGAACATGTATGACAAGCACCTCCTTTCCATCCAGGGAATGACCACTGACAACGCGACCAGATCGTCTACAATGTCTTTGCCATGCCAGAACCTCCCCACGATTCCCCCCCGTGTCTCTAGGTGCCAATAAGGACGTTCCCGACTCTCAACCTCAACCATCTACACTCCCCGCGCCGCTTCAGCTCCTCCTGGACTCCATTCGGTCCAACTTGCGATCGCTATTCTCCTCCAAACCTCCGCATACAATCCAACGACTGGCGGAGCTTATCCTGCATCCAAATGCGCACTACCGGACTCTCCCCGCTTACCTGCGCGCAGTGGACCGCACCATCTCCGTCACGAGCGGCGCAGATGTCTTCCCTCTCCAGATGCAAGAAGCTACCAGTCAGCCCAATGGCGTCGTAAACGGAACAGACAATACCTTCCTCCTCTCGGACCATGCTCTCGGCAGCGACGAGTCCTTGGGCGGAGCTCTTTTGACCCCTATTCCCTGGTTGAGTAACGCTGCGTCGCCTGGAGCGGAAGATGGGGCTGTTGAGACCGAAGGTATTTCTTCCCCACTTCTCTCCACAGAATATCCTCTACCGATAAACATCCTCTAATGCACCGGTACAGGCTATGAATCCGCCTCCGCAGCTCCTCAAGCAGACCAACAGTCGCCCCAGCAGGAATCAGAACCATCAACCGACACCTCCTCGCAGCAACCCAACCTCCCCTCTCAGTCGGAACCTGTAGCGGTAGAGAATCAAGCAACGGAGGGCGCGGGATCCCCACCGGCCGAATTTTCAGAAGATATACCACACGCACGAGGCCCACGTCTCCTCGGCGTGGCGGACTTGGGTCTCCAAGACGGTAAAGGAATTGAAATGACGCTCCTGGACACCGAACAGCAATCCAGTACGCAACCCGATGAACAGCAACAGCAACAACAACAGCCCTCCCAGCCAACCCTGGGTAATGACTCCGATCAGACCGCGGCCCAGAGAAATGCAGACGGCGATGGGGATATAGTTCTTGAGGACGCCCAGAGGGCCAAGGAGGAGGAAGAGGAGACCCCCCGTGTCGACGGATAATCCCACTCCGACAAAGTCATAGTTGAAAGATCCTTTGGATCGGCATCACCAAGATATGAATGACATGATGATGGCTTGATTCAGTCGGTTATCTATTTTGATTTGGCGTTTATCATCCTGGTTTTTCATTTCATTCGTTCACCTTTTAACTTCTCTTATGATTGACGATCGACGATGACTCAACCCGTGAGACACATACCTTCTTCTGTATTCTCCTCCATTTCCGCTATGAACAGCTATGACTGACGATGTGCGCCACGTACTGTGACTAGAAGCAACTTGACCTCGGGTTTCTCGGCTCTGGACATGGATACGCGGTAAATTGAGACAGCTAGCTATCTTTACGATGGACCAGCATTGACATTGTGAATAGTATATCGGACAAGTCTTATTCCCGGAATGCTAGCTAGTAAATTCGACAAGAGGTATCAATTCAGTGAAAGAGCTATACTTTGGAAATTCAAAAAATAAAAAAAAAAAAGACAAGAAAGTGAGGAAACATCAAATGGATCCAAGCCAAACAGCTTATTAAGGAAATTCGTAATATGTGAAATCTATCGTGCCATATTATTGTATAGATCTCAAGTCCAGTACTGAAATTAAGGGGGGAGAAAATAAAAAGTAAAATGAATCCCTACGCTCAAACAGCAGGTTCCACTGTCTGCAAAGGGACGTATCCTTCATTGGCGTCCGACTTTCGGGACCCTTTGCCGGTGATTAGCGACCAGGCCTTAGTACCAGTGGTTTGGATCCGTCGGAATAGTCCCTGACTGGCACTAGGACTGGCCATGGATAAAGTGGCCTCCCACCGGCTTTGCTTAGGGCCGCGGAGGCTGATCTGGCCCATTTCGACCTCCTTTTCCAGCCGCTCGGCGTCCATCCATTTCGGTCTGCGCCAGAACTTCAACAGGAGGCTGCTCACGACGACGGAGATACTGGACGCCGCCATGGCGGCTCCGGCGGCCATAGGGGGTAGCATGAGGCCGCCGAAGGGGAGGAATAGTCCCATGGCGAAGGGGATGCCGATGAGGTTGTAGATGCAGGCCCACAAGAGGTTGAGGCGGATACGGTTGAACACTGAACGCGAGAGGGCCAGACTTGCCGGCACGGATAGCAGATCGTCAGGCTTCATCAGGACGATGTCCGCTGCTTCCATAGCAACGTCGGTGCCTGATGCAAGTGCAATACCGACGGATGATGTGGCCAAGGCCGGGGAGTCATTGATGCCATCGCCAACCATGGCTACGTGCTCACCTGAATCCTGCAGGGAGGCGATGATAGCTCGCTTGTCGGATGGGGAGACGGAAGCATGGACCGCCTCGATGGGAATGCCTACTGTCGTGGCAATAGAAACAGCTGTGGCACGGGTGTCCCCTGTGATCAGGGAGGTGGCAATACACATGCGATGCAAGGCAGCGACGGCAGCGACGGCAGTCCCCTTCAATGTGTCTCGGAGCAGGATAGTGCCTGCAAACTGGCCATCGATTGCGACATGGATCGAAGTGATGCCGGCGGCAGCTTTAAAGGACTGGCTCTTGAAAGCATCGAGACCCTCTGACTCTGCCAACTCCACCGACTCTGACAGAGGGACATCTCTCGACCGTAGGAAGGCCGCGTTTCCGATCAACACACGGTATCGTACGCGCTCGGCACTGGAGGTAGGCTCAACGAGAGCAGAGATGCCCCTTCCCACGCAAGCATCAAAGTCGCCCAAACTCCCCGGCAAACCTCCATCCCCCGCATTACCCGATTCCATCTGGGCTGCTGAGGCGATGGCCTTACCAATAGGATGCTCGCTGCTCATTTCTGCAAGACCAACTATCAGCCACCAGAGCTTACGGCGCCAGTCATTTGCCTTCCACTGGGGCTCGATTTTGGCTTCCGCCACGCTCATTTTCCCGGTGGTGAGGGTCCCCGTCTTGTCGAAGACAACATGACTGATTTTGGTGGCGCTCTCCAGGACAGCGCCGCCTTTGACGAGAATCCCTTGCTGAGCTCCCACTCCCGTGCCGACCATGACTGCTGTGGGTGTACTGAGACCCAATGCACACGGACATGCGAAGACAATGACTGAAATGCAAAGCTTCAGGCAGACCATGACCTTGCCACCACTCTGCTCAGACATGAAAATTTTGGGCGGGTGTGGCAGCAAATGGCTTATCAGCATCCAGCCAAAGAACGTGATTAGACCCAGACTGATAATTACAGGAACAAAATATCCAGCGACCACGTCAGCCATGCGCTGGATGGGGGCTCGACTGGTTTGAGCATCCTGGACCAGCTTGACTATCTGACTTAGTTGCGTATCCTTGCCCGCTCGCGTTACCCTGAAATCGATCGAGCTGGTCCCATTCACCGTGCCAGCAATGACAAGGCTGCCCTTGGTTTTATGAATCGGTAAGGCCTCACCTGTGATCATGCTCTCGTCGACATAGCTTTCTCCGCGGATAACAACCCCATCCGCAGAAACCTTGTCCCCCGGGTGTAGAACGACAACGTCGCCTACCTCGATGAGCTCTGTTGAGATAGACTTGAGCGCGGGACCCGACCTTTCATTGGAAGACGTTTCTGCCTTTGGTTCCTTCGACTTGACTGGAGTGGTATCCCATTCTTCGGCCATTTTCTCTGCGGCAATCGGGTCATCGTAGATAGTGGTCATCGACGGAGCCAACGACATCAGTCGCGATAACGCGGTTGATGTTTGACCCTTAGCCCTATTCTCCAGCCATCTACCCAGAGAGATGAAGGTGATGAGCATCGTGCTTGTGTCGAAGACCGTGCTGGGTCGCATATGGGCTGCAGAACACAGGGCGATGATCATCGTAAACACGCTGTAAAAGAATGCAGCAGATGTGCCCAGCATGACAAGAACGTCCATGGTGGGAGAGCGATGCTTCAATGACTTATAGCTGGTGATATAGAACCGTTTGCCGATACCGAATTGCACAGGAATGGTGAGTCCAAGACAAGCGACATCCCCAAGGTAGAGACCGGGCAGCATTTGCACACTTCCAAAGTCGAGAGCCGGTAGATACATGGGCAGCAACATGTTGATCAGAAACACAGGCACTGCAAACGACACTGAGAACAAGAACGCGTGCCGCCACTCTTGAATCTCCTTAGTCTTGGACAGTGATTCTAGCTGCGCATTAGCATCATCGGCGTCTGCAAGCAAGGCATTGTATCCGGCAGCTTCAATGACTCCAACGACGGAACGGATGCCAACTGCGGAAGTGTCATACGATATATGAACTTGTGAAGTGGCCATGTCAACAGACGCGGAGGAGATGCCGGGTTTCTGGAGGAGGGAGTCCTCCAAGGCGTTTGCCGAGGGGACATCTCGCAAGCCATGAAGGCTCAGCGTAATCCGAGTCACAGCCTTCGAGGAAGACACTTGCGTTTGCGAGGATACCACCGCTGCATCAAACCCAGCACCTTCAATCAAATCTACGATTTTCTGGGAGGAGAGAGCCGCAGGATCGTGGGCGATTACCGCACGCTCGGCAAGCAGACTGATATTGAACTGAACCAGACCATCCACACTGTCGACGGCATTCTGTACACTTGCAGTGCATGCACTGCATGTCATGCCTCCAATAGAAACTGTGGTGACCATCAGGTGTGACTTGGATTCCGTAAGATCGTGCGAGACACGAAGAGCGCCCTGGAGCGTCGTGGTGTCCAGCACCTTTGCACCAAAACCACGATCCTCTATGATTTCAGCGATCTGATCCGCCGTAACGACACTCGCGTCATGTTCCACCACCGCTCGCTCCGATAATAATGAGACAGAAATGGACCGGATCCCAGATACATCCTTCAATCCTCCTTCAACTGCAGATGTGCAAGCGCCGCACGTCATACCCTCAATTGCGAGCGTAGTGGTGGCTATTTGCGGTCCATCATCCTTGCCATAGTTTAACCTCCCTACCAGTGCCGAAGGGCTGTCAGTGGAGAGTATTGTTGCATCGAAACCACTGTCCTCGATTAACTCGGCGACTTTTTCCGCCGGAAGCAGTGTCGGATTGTGATGTACGACGGCCCTGCCCATCATCAAGCTCACTGTCACATCCCCGGCCCCCTCGACACCTTTGAAGGCACCCTCCACAGCCGACGTACATGCGCCGCAAGTCATTCCGTCGACGTTGACCGTGGTTGTTGCCATGTGGGCGGGTGATCGACCGGAGGATGGGCCTTCGCGCCGGACGCCTAATAAAGCGGAGGATGACGCCGCCATTGCGCCTTGCGGGAGGGATGAAAACCAGGCGAAAAGAGGCCGAAACCAGTCGGACTACCGCATAAGAATGTTTTCTTTATCCAGTGGGAAGGGGAAAGACAGCGGAGGTGAATAGACTTTAGTAATAAGATGGAGAGGAAAGTCAGCAGCAAGGGAAAACTGTATTTGTGGTTCTGGCACGGAAGTGATCGGAAGATCAGGCGGGTCGATCAGTACCGTGGTTCATGCGAGAGAAGAAGAAACATCTTCTTGGGAGGGATTCACAGCCATAATAAGATCATCCAGTAGTATGTTAATAATCATCAGCATTTAAGTAATAATAATAATGAGGTTCCAGTCGGAGGTCAATTAATTAGTGAGGAGACAAGCCCGGTTATAAATTAAATACGGGTAAGTTGGTTGGTAGTGAGTGAGTGTCCCCCCCCCCCCCCCCCCAAAAAAAGCAGTGGGGAAGGGTTCGGTGTCCGAAAAACACCGTCAGCTCACAGGAATCCTTAATTCTGGACTTTCCAAAGACAAATCCATGGACTGATTGGTAGGTGATTATGATAGTAGCAAAAAGAACAGCAGATGATCATCACGCGGTAAGGAGAAGCGGATCAGCTGTTCTATCCAGGTATCTCAGTGGTTGCTTTGTGCTTGCAGCTTACCTATCAGAGTACCTCGCAGGTACCTCGATGCTACCCACCACCTGGTTTTGCTGACTGTCTTGTTCCTACAGTAAAGTAGCCCAGGAAATCAACACGGCCTTAAAATTGAGCAAATAAGGCCCTCTCATTAATGAGAATGGATGGCGTGGGACTGTTCGATATGTTTCAGCTAAGTGCTAAGTTAGTAGCAAGATAAAACAAGCCTAGAAAGAAGGGGAACCAAACTTCAGTCCACAATCCTGTACTGAATTGGTACGAGTTATGGCAGTACCCGTCCATACCGTACGGTACCGTACTATATTATTTGAATCATGTGATTCGTAAGTTGTTTGCATTAAAGACAAACAACTGTTCCAGGCATCCCAATGGAGTAAGTAGTAACTTCTCGTCATCAGCGGTGATAGTGCCATCTCCAGCTCCCAAGATCCTAGAGAAATGGATCAGGTACATACTCGGGCCATGGAGGCCCTTCAACCTTTTGTCCATCTAGCCAACTCTAACAGTGCCAAGTCGCCTCGATTTGTCGCCAATCTCATCACAAATGCTACCTCCAGTCCAAACACATACGTCTTTGCCGAGTTGTTGGAGACACCCGCTATACAGGCCCTTCGGTCAAAGGACGTTCCCGAGGAATTCCATGGATATTTGACTCTTCTTGAGGTCTTTGCCTGGGGCACATGGCAAGATTATCAAGGTATGTTTCTGTACTAGGGGAAGCTTTCATCTGGAGATGCAATAACTCTAACTGGCCACCCCTCCTCCGCCTTAGCGACGCCAAATCTACCCTCACTAAACGACGAGCAAACATTGAAGCTTCGTCTTCTATCTCTTCTGTCTCTCTCTGCCACCGTTAAACCCCTCGCCTATGAAACGCTCATGGATTCCCTATCGATCTCGGCCCCCGCCGATCTCGAGTCCCTCGTTACCACCGCCATCTATTCCTCTCTCATTACTGCTCGCCTCTCCCCCACCACCAACCCACCCACCGTCAATGTGACCTCGGTGGCTCCCCTGAGAGACGTGAAGCCTCAGTCCCTGTCGACGATGATTTCCGTACTGGCTAACTGGGAGACTCGCTGCGGCGACGTCATCACCGACATCGAGGCGGAAATTGCAAGAATCAAGACTAACTCCGCAAAGCGTCGCGCTAAGGAACGCGAGCATGCCGAGCTCTTCGAAAAGACACTGTCCAACTGGCCGGCCATCAGTGCGGACTTGGTTGGGTTTGAGTCGGGTCGGTTCACGGGGTCTAAGAAGCACGGCTCGCAGGGAGGGCCAAGGGGTGGCAGTGGTGGCGGAGGTGGCCCCGGGGGGTATGTAGGAAGCAAGCGTGAATTTAACGCGGATGACTTGGATGACGATGATGGCTACTGGGAGAATGGGTCAGAGGGCGCCTTGGAATCATATGTCACTAGCTCAAGGATGGATATCGATGAAGGCATAGGCTCATCTAGGGCAGGACCCGGAAGTGCTGCGACTCGCCATGCAAAGCGAGTTTTGGGGAAGAAATCATAGTGTTGTCTTTATTAGATTGGGGATCCCGTTGCGTTACGAAACATGGCTAATGTGCCCGATTTCTACTAGCGGAAGCTTCTTCACACGAACTTCAAATAGAATCGTTTATGATAATGGATTTCATAACCTACTTTCATTGATGAATTGGCTGGACGATAGTCAACCAGGGCCTCTGCCATTACTCGAATGTCACATTTGTATAGCTAATTACCATGAACTATTTCCACAACACCAAAAAGTAAAGGTGGAAAAAAAAAAAAAAGAAAACTCACTGAAAGTCATTTAACATACATGCAAGTTGAGCTGTCAAGGGGTATTGTCAGAATAGAACTTAGCAAACAGATAATAACAAGACCCAATATTGACAGATGGTGGTAAAGAGAGGCTGCCATAGAACCAGAACGGTTGATAAACCATCCCAGCCGACGTCGGGTACAGCTGTCACGGACCAAGAACGCAAAACATGTCTGATTATATAGGACACATCCTTGCGGAGATTGGAATATTGTAATGTAAAATCGCTCTGCGCAAATTAACTGCTCGCTGAAGTATGAGAACAATACTCAATTCCCGTACGTCACAGCCATGCCTCGAGATAGGAGAAGAAGCAAAAGCTCCGACCGAAAGAACTAGGGATACACGGGCATGCTTTTCTAAGGGGATCACATGCTTGTGATAGAAGGTCCAAGAGGAACAACATAAATTAAAGCCTATATGTGGCATCAACGGGATCAGAGCATAGTGCCAGGAACGAAAATGAATAGAACGCTCAAGGAGGTGGCAACAAAAAGGGCAGTGAATAGCGTTGCGGTAGCCCGTTTGTTCAGGAGTTTCCGCACGTAGGGCTCGCGGATCGGAGACCAGTTCATGAATGTATATTCGCTGTACCCGAGTATTGCCATCACCGGATCAAGTTTGTACTGGTACGAAACTATAAAGTAGGAGGCCACAACAAACGGTAGAATCAACTATGAAATCGTTAGCAAAGGATGCAGTGCAACCAATGAGGGAACCACCTACCCAGCAACGGATATGTCGAGGTTTATTACGAAGAACGACATAGAAAGCACCCCAGAAGCCTCCACCAAAACTGATGAGAGCCAAGGCCAAGCGTGCGAGAATGGTCAGTGGTACAAGGTTACCGAGGGCCTTTGCCTGCAAAAACCCTGGGAATGCATCACGTTCCATTGCTTGGAATACATAGTCTTTGGCGGGGTCAAATACTTCTGGGTCGTCTCGGCCATCGTCTTCAATGAGGTTTATGATTGTGGACACCATCTCTTCAGGTAGGACGATCTCCCTCTCTGCTCCAGGTAGGAGATACGTATACAGAATCTTCTCCGCACTTGCACGAATGTCAGCGCGTGCAACTGTGTTTCCCGGCGAGATTGAGTCATTCCGAGTTCCAGAGCTTTCACGAGGTTGTTGTTCATTTGACGGCGTGGGGGCAGCATTTTGCGATCCTATACTGTTTTGGGGGGAATGGCCAGATGTGTGTCCATCAGAACGCAGGAATGCCGACAGCCTTTGATCCGCATCTCTATCTTCTACATCGTGTAGACCACGGCGCGTTCCGGACGGTCCAGCTTCCACAAGAGGGATGTCTCCGAAGTTCTCGATGGTTTCCAAAGCCGCCGACGAGCCCTTACTATCCGCCTTCTCCAGGTCGGGTGTCGCTACTAGCACAGAACGGCGCAATTCGCGGACATAGTGACGGCATAGGGACATGTGCTGAGAAACATCCAACCTAAGTTCGACATCGCGTTAGCTGTGAAACGCGATACTTGACCCAATACCACGTAGAGTTTAGACATACCAGAAATCCAGGTAGTCGACCGAGCGCTGCTGGTCCCGCATGTAAATGTAGAATGAAAAGAGATCGACAGGAGCCAGCGTGCGACGACTGAGGACCTCGAACAGGGTCGGGAGCCGATTCCGCTGTTCCAGGTCGCTGAGAGAGGGGGAAGCCATTTTGGACGGAATTGCGAAAACTTGAGATTGGGAATTAATGCAACTCCCGGGTTTTTATTTTTCTTCTTAGAATGTCGAATAAAACGAGGGGCCAAAGGAAAAAGGGGAATGATCGAATTAATGAATGAATGACTGAATGTCGAGTCAGAGAAAGCGAGCGCAGATAGTCGGCAAGGACTTCGATTCTTCGATTGAGACGCTCACGACCGATAGACTTAAAGAGCGACGAGTAGAGTTGGACGACGTGCGTGGTGGTTGGGTGAAGATATGGCGAATGCTCAAAAAAAAGGTCGCTAATAATCCACTGGATCCTGTCCAAGACACAACCCCTGGGACAGGGACGGGAGGCAGAAAAGAAAGTAAGGCAGTAAGTAAACAACGGACAGCCACCCGACAGCAGGAGTCAATGAGCCACAATGCAATCCATCGAGGAACCAAACAGAGGAGAAAACGAAGTGACTCGAACGAACTGATAGGGAAGCCACCCAGCCTGCAAGAGTATGCAAAGCCTCCTTGTAAAAAGAATAAATGCCTGGTGATGGTCGCTTTCTGTACAGCACCCGGCTCGCCAGAACATTGATCCGAAATGAAAGCCCCACGCTGGTTCGATACGATCCTCATCCATATTCTTGACAGCTTGCAAGGGATGCATCAAGAATCGGGAGAGAGGCCGTTGGATATTGGACAGTTCACATCCCAGGGTGTCCAAGAGTTGAATTTTGATGTGATACTAACTAATCATACTCTTCTAGTCACCCAGGGGAATATAATACTAATTATATTAACCAAAAAAGACCATGTCATTTGCTTGCTGTCATATAGTCTATTCTAAAACAATCCAAAACCATTCCGAAAATGCTCCACGATGCTTCACTTGGGTATTTTACTCATTCACGAGAAAGGAGAGAACGCCGTCACCAAAACTCCTTCACAACCAATCACGCCCTGCACAATACGTCTGTCATTCAGCTCATCAATGGCCTTCCGCCAGGTGCTGTACAATAATTAGACTCCACAACGTCCTCATACGCCGGCTCAGATAAGCGGAATACTTACCGACCACTCAGGAATGTTTCGGATCTGCTGCCACATAAATTTCTCCAGCTTGTTGGCACTTTTGGCGTAGGGAGTGTTCTCGTTATTGTATCTTCGGCAATTATCAAAGATCAACATGGCGTCCTTGATGAAATCCTGTGGAGTCGGGTACATGTCTTTTTCATGCTTCTCTTCCATGGTCGACAGGTCCATTGGCTCCTTGATGACTTCGTAGTAATCCGGTACTTCGTCACGATTAACAGGCTGTGTAAATGGCCATGCTGCGCTATGGTTTTGCATATCGTTGAGAAGGTGTAGTAGTTGGTTGTAGTTTGGTCCATGCCGTGGTTGACGCGCTAATTCGTCCATGTCGGGCGACCATCCGGATTCCTTGATAGCCGAGATATTCAAAGGATCAATTTTACACGGTCCGTTCTTCCACTCCTTCGGAGGAGCATGGATGATATGTGACCGACTGAAGGCCCGGATTTTCGCATGTACCGCCTCCTTCTGCTTTAGAAGCATGCGACCCATTTCAAGATAGCGTATCTTGGGAAGCATCGTGCACTGCATGATCGTTCCGCCCTCGTAATCTTTGATATAACCCATCCAGATGGACTTATCGAGCGTAATCTCCTTCGTAAACCCTTGCTTTTTGAAATACCCAATCGCATAGTTATCCGCATAGGTCAAGAAGTGCATGATGGGTGATGTCGCTTTCACATAATCCTGCAATGCTTGGTCAACTCTTGTCCGCCAAGAATGAATCATCACAGCATACCTTGAGGTGGGACATTAGGTGTGCACCATAGCCCTTGACCTGTTGATCAGACGAAATGGCGCAGAAGACGATTTCGGCAAACCGGCGGCCATTGAATGGTCGGTATGTGATACCTCTGCGCGCGGATCAGTAAGATACTATACCAGATCATCGCGACGTTGCACACATACCCAACCACTTCCAACGGATGTTTCACAATAGCCATAGACAGATGTGATCGGTCATAGACCAGGCGCGCAATATAGTCCTTGGGCATTTTAGGGAGCTGCTTCTGGAAGATGCATTTCAGCCCGGTAAGGACAACGAAACTGTCTCGCGAGCCATCGTTATTCACCACACGAAATTCGATTTCGCCTCGACGTTCCTCAAGCACTGCGGGCTAGTAGGAATTGGAAGTGTTAGCATCACTCATGCCAAGGAGTCGAGCAGCAGCCTACCTTCTCGGGGAAGGGGACGATCCTCAGCGGCGGCTTTCCCAAAGGCTCGTCTTCATCCTAATGAGCAGAAACCTCAGCGCAATGCCCATACCAAGTCCCCAGGGAGTATAAGTGTTACCTTTGGATCCCTTTCCGGAGAATCCGTGCGCGCTTTCTTGCTCTGTTGTTGAGAATCCGGGGAAAGGGCCTCCTCCGATGCTTTCCGCTTAACGCCTGGACCTGAGATCAGCAAAACTAGAAATGACAGCTATAAGAGCGGAGTTTGGAGAATTGACACTCACTTTCGGATGCCATTGCCACCATGATGCACACAAGATTTTGATGCGACTGTCTCGATCTCAGCAAGCGGAATGACACGAACTACGATCTCCACGTTTGGCTGATACGGGGCCAGCATCGGAGATACATAGGCCCGGGTGCTATTGGGCCAGGTCAGCCATTTAGTCTACTTCCCTCCCAGCGAGCTTCGGGGAGCTCCATCAACCACCTCTTCGTTCAATTCGATCGTCAGATCTCTCTAATCTGCTGGGTTCAGCTTCTCCTAACTATTACCCATGTCTTTGAATGAGGTTTGGGAGGCAGCTTCTGCAAGCCCGTATTCTCCCATTATCGCCAAAGAGAGCCAGTTCTCTATTGGTTTCGGACTCCTGCTTTCTGGTAACCTTGATTGGGCTTCTATTCAGCATGGATGTATTGCTGATAGTGGTTGCAGCTTTTATATTAACTGGACTTTTTGGGCTGAGTTAGGCTTTCCCTCTCCTGCCTAACATTAGATATCCAGTCGTCTTTCTGACGCCATTTTATCAACAGATCGCTCCTTTTTGAGCATTGCATCGTTTGGCGTCCCTGCATCATTAGCATTTGGGTGAGACATGAGAAGCTTCCCAAAGCACTCTCCGCATCGGCTAACTAGATACCTCAGCTTCGGAGCCGTGTACATGATCTGTGCCGTGGGAGTCTACGTTTAATTGAGATGCGCGAATACCTCAATGTACTATACCCAGAGAGATAGAAGAGAAACAGAAGGGCTGTTCCACTAGTAACACCAGAGTTTTCTCTTATTTCATACTCTCTAAATCCATTTCTCGTTGTTCGTTGTTTTTAAGCTTTTTGTCCCTAGAAATTACCCAGGGCCATGGCGGCCGTGGAGCCCATATTTTCTGCTGTTTCCAGCAGTACCCACCACCTTTATACTTTGCTTCAATGCATTGGATTTGCATCGAAAGCTACCGTACAAATAACACCAGATGGCATTCGATTCTCAGTGGAAGAATCCCGCGTGGTACAGGGGCTTGCGTTCGTCGACAAGGCTCTCTTTACCAGCTACACTTTCAACCCACGTGCTCTGGCCATCAATCGTGATGAAAGCCAGGAAAATGACGATGGTTCGGATGCCGCTGCTTACCCATGCTTTGTCGTCTCACTCTCTGCCTTCCTCGAAACATTGAAAATCTTCGGTGCCAATGACTCATCCACCGCTGGAGCAAACATGGCAGCCAGTGTCGCGTCCCCGAATCCTTCTGTGTCCAGTGCATTCACAGCCCCTGCTCTATTACTTGACCGCTCTTGCACACTGCAATACTTTCAGGATGGCTCCCCCCTCAGCATTACATTATCCGAGACTGGGGTCAAGACCACATGCGAGCTGACAACCTACGAACCCGACGGCAGCGAAGTCGACATTCCCCTTCAGAGAGACGCGATTATTATGAAGATCATCATGCGTTCTGCCTGGCTACATAATGCTGTTACCGAGCTTGGGGCCACCGACCCAAGCGTTTTGAAGATCTCCGCTTCTGACAAACAGGAACCATTCTTCGCCCTATCCGGATCCGGCGGCCCGTTCAGCGAATCGTCTGTAGAGTTCTCCATCGAACAACAGCACCAGAACCATGGAGCGCCGGAGCAATCCCATCATAAAGTGCTAGCCGATGACGGTACTTCCAGAGCGCGAGCCACGAGAGCCAAACTGGCCCCGACTGTGACGGAGACCTTCCTTGTCAGTCCGTCATCATCAATGGGCTCTCGCATCAGGCAAGACTACCGCTTCTCTCTTATTCAAAAAGCATCGCGCGCCATGGCGGTGGCCAACAAAGTAAGCATCCGAGGCGATCGACAAGGAGTTCTGAGCCTTCAGTTTATGGTTGAGTTTGATTCGAATAGACCTGGTGGTGCAAACAACGTCGCAAAACCCCTGGTGAGCTTTGTGGACTTCCGCTTTGTTCCGCTCTTGGATGAGGATGGGGCAGAGGATGACGTGAACGAGGACATGCTGGAGTGATTGCGTGAAATGTGTATGTGGGATATTTTATGCTAGCAGAGAGCTCTTTTCAACCCCTTCTAGTCCATAGCAGTGAATAAAATCGAGTCTCGGTCGTGGAGGATGTTTCTGCCTCAGGCAATAATAATACCTTATCAGACATGCATCACGTGCGCTTGAGGAGATCCTGTCGACTTGATTGGCAGCAGCTAATCAATCGCCCCACCCCCACCGACGATAAGAAAAATTTCACGGATTAATCGCCAGCTTCCTCTTTCTCGGCTGGCTTCTCCCAGTTGTCTTTCCAGCCTCACACGTCAAGTTTTGCCTCGAAAAAAACATAGCCTACACAATGGATGCCAAGAAGCCCCCCCATTCGGAGTTCGACACCATCCTAACTCTAGACTTTGGGAGCCAGTATACCCACCTTATCACTCGCAGGTACTTCGATCCCCTCTATCAGGATTGATCACAGCTAATACGCAGTTTCCAGGCTGGTCAGTACTTGGAAGTTGCTGTTCTCTCTCAGTACAGTTTACTAACTGCTCTTCCGCCCATTAGCGAGAGCTCAATGTCTACTCTGAGATGCTCCCTTGGTATGTGCGATCTCCATTGAGTCATAAATTCCTGGAGACCCCATGCGCTGACGCAGCCCTCGATACAACCACTTAGCACTCAGAAGCTGGCCGATCTCCCCTGGAAGCCCAAGGGTATTATCCTCTCTGGTGGCCCCTACTCGGTCTACGAAGAGGATGCCCCCCACGTTGACCCCGCCTTCTTCGATCTCGGTGTCCCAATTCTCGGTATTTGCTACGGACTTCAGGAGATTGCGTATCGTCTAGGCAAGGATAATGTCGCTGCGGGGACCGCCAGAGAATATGGCCATGCTATCCTCAGCGCTAAGAGTCTGGACAACCAGGGTCATGTCGATCGGTTGTTCGCCGGTCTTGAGGATGAAATGCAGGTGTGGATGTCCCACGGTGACAAGCTTGTTCAGCTTCCTGAAGGTTTCCACACTATTGCTACCACCTCTAACTCCGAGTACGCCGGTATTGCCCACGAATCCAAGCCCATTTACGCTGTTCAGTTCCACCCCGAAGTGACCAATACCCCGAACGGTGTAAAGCTCTTGAAGAACTTCGCCGCGGATATCTGCGGCGTCAAACAGAACTGGACCATGGACAAGTTCGTGGATCAGGAAATCACCCGTATTCGCGAGCTGGTTGGAGAGACGGACCATGTTCTGGGTGCTGTCAGCGGTGGTGTGGACTCCACGGTTGCTGCGAAGCTCATGAAGGAAGCCATCGGCGACCGGTTCCATGCTGTCCTCGTCGACAACGGCTGTCTACGTTTGAATGAAAGCCAGCAGGTTTACGAGACCCTTGGAAAGCATCTTGGTATTAACTTGACTGTCGTCGACGCTTCAAAGGATTTCTTGGCGGGCCTGAAGGGAGTAACTGACCCGGAGAAGAAGCGCAAATTCATTGGTGGAAAGTTCATTGATGTCTTTGAGGTGGAAGCGGCAAAGATCGAGGCAAGTGTTGAGCATACCGGCGCCAAGGTCAGGTGGTTCCTTCAGGGTACTCTGTATCCTGATGTCATTGAGAGCCTTTCTTTCAAGGGCCCCAGTGCGACCATTAAGACCCACCACAACGTTGGAGGCCTTCCGGCCCGTATGCAGGATGGAGCTGGACTGAAGCTGATCGAGCCCCTTCGCGAGCTCTTCAAGGACGAGGTTCGACAGCTGGGAAGAGAGCTTGGTATCCACAATGATCTGGTCATGAGACACCGTAAGGACCCTATTATACTATTTAATGACAAGACATGTCAGTCTAATTAACATTAATAAACAGCCTTCCCCGGCCCTGGAATTGCCATCCGGTACGTGAACCATCCTAATGCTTGGAAATACACTCCTTCCTGCCCATACTCTCAGCCTGTCATCCAGTTAACTTGGATGACTGGAATCACAATCCACCCGAATACTGACGTATACAACCAGTGTCCTTGGTGAAGTCACTCCCGCACGTGTCGAGATCGCCAGACAGGCAGACCATATTTTCATCTCTATGATCCGTGAGGCTGGCCTCTACGACAAGATCGCCCAGGCCTACGCAGCATTGGATCCTACCAAGGCTGTCGGTGTCATGGTATATTCCCTTCACCCTTTCTACTGAACCCCGATATCACCATCCACGAAATCGCTAACTCCCAGCGCAGGGTGACAAGCGTGTCCACGCTGAAATGATTATCCTTCGAGCCGTCCAGACTACGGACTGTCAGTCATTCTTTCCTTCCTTCTTTCTCTCCTTTATCTTCCTTCTTCCAGATTTCTATTTTATATATATATATATATATATATCTCGTCCTAACTTAACTCGCTCAGTCATGACCTGTACCGCATACCCCTTCTCTCACGAGTTCCTTTCCCGGGCCTCAACCAGGATCATTAACGAAGTGCATGGCGGTAAGTCCAACCGATCCATAATACCTTACCTACCTACCTACCCTGATTGAGCCCTATCCGTGAATCGATACTGATATGATATGGTATGGCATGTAGTTTCTCGCGTTCTCTATGATATCTCCTCCAAGGTGAGTGTTCACTAATTATATATGAGATGTCTTGTTTTGTGAAGATCGACGGACTGATGGGATTATACACAGCCTCCTGCAACTATCGAGATGGAGTAATTGATTGATTCCAGTGCTTTGGATAAAAAAGGCATTTGTGTGAACTTGCAAACTAAAATAGTTCGATATATACAAATAAGTGGCTAGACTCTATTAATGCTTACATGAATTATTAAATATGGTGTCTTGGGTATAGGGCTGGTCAATTCTTCATGGATAGGAGAGATGTATATTGGGTGATGGCATCTACATATTGATAGATGATAGATGATCGCGGTAGAGAGCAAATGCTGTTTGAATATTCTACATATCCCAGACCCATATATTTTACACGAAAAAAGTTTTCAGGGTCCTTTTTAGCCTTTTAAGGGAATTTTGGCCATTCATCAGAATCCCATCCTTGCGATCAAGCCTCAGAAGGAAATCACATAACCTGGAAACCAGTTAGCATAGGTCCACCTACAAGTCTCTAACACAGAACCACTCACTTCAGCAATAGATTGTCTTTCTATGATCGACTTCTGCCTCTCATTGCGAGATACCCGGTAATAGTAATCGCTGAAATCACCACATTGCATATGGCGTAGGAAGTCCTCATCATGCGTGATGATAATCAACTGGAAATTTGCCTGTTGACGACGTGCACGGATAATATCGTGCAGTGACTCTGCAAGGGATCGGATATTGTCCCGGTCGAGGTTGGTTGTGGGCTCGTCAAGTGCAATTAGACCGCAGTTAACGCCAAAACACTCGGCCAGCGCTAGACGGATGATGATACTCGCCAGCACCTTTTGACCGGCACTGCAGCGCCCCCGCATGTCCATCTCTGCGCCTTGCTTGACCATGCAAACACGATAGTTGTAGGATCGGTTGCCCTTCGCATTTTCATTGTCGGAGCGGATGAGAATTGTGTCCACATCAGTTCCCCTGTAGGTTTTCTGCCAAAGCTCTCCAACGATGGCATTGATTTCCTCCATCTTCAAGCCGTGGTACTTCATAATAGCCTTGTCTAGAGCGCTGCCATAACGGGCCAGGTCTTCGACCGCAGCTTTGGTGGTCTCGACCTTGATGTGTGCCTCTTTGTATTTGGACGCCGCGTCCTTGTAATCCGTGTTCCAGTCGGCCAACAGCTGCATCAATTGGTCGTCCTTGGACTTCATCTCACCCATTTTGCTGGCTTGTTTTGCGGCGAGCGCGTTGTGCTCGCGAGTGCGGCGTTCTGATTCTTCTTTAAAACGACTCCGGTCAACCTCAGCGTTTTGGGTCGCTAACTGATCAATCTCTTCCGTCACCGTACCAAGTGCTCTGGTCGCCTGGCGATAAGTCAGGTTGTCCGCATATTGGCGTTTGGTGTTCTCGCTATCCTTCAGCTGAGCAGAAATCTTGTTGATATCTTTCGTTATAGTCCCCAGCTCGGCCTCAAGCTGGTTGATCTCTTTCTCCACTTCTTGAAGTTCTCGTCTGCTTCTCTCGAGCTGGTCTGGACCGCTTCGCTCGTGATAAGCGTCGATTTCTTCGTTCGCCAACTCGAGCTGGTGTACGCTCTCATACAGTTGCGAGATAGCCTGCTGCATCTCTCTCTCTCGCGTCTCAGCACGCTGGCTGACATCGTCATACTTCGCTTGAACCTTCATCAGCTCCGGGGTTAAGTCTTCAATCTCTCGGTCAGCCTTTGCGATGGCCTCGCGCTGTTGAGTATTGAGATTTTTGTATCCCTCCATGCGAGAGAGGAGGTCGTCCTTCTTCTCCAGCTGGAACTTCGCATTATCGAGATTGCTTTTCACGTCCCTTAACTTCAATTCCAAGTTATTGATCTCTGACCGCGTCTGCTCTCGATCATTCGTGAGCTTTGTCAGGTTCTTCTTCAATGCTCTAGATTTTTCGCCAATCGAAGCGAGCTCTTCTTGGATATCTTCCAATGTACGTCCGGAGGTAGTATCCTGTTGTTTCAAAGAAACGTCCTGTATCTGCGCACGAATGGACTTGATCTCAGATTCATATCGGATGATGGTATTGACTGTCTTTGAGAGTGCTTCAACGTCCCTTTTCTTCTCCGTCTTCTCGCTGACGACTTTATCACGATCTTCTAGCTGGTTCAAGAGTTCATCTCGCTGAGTAATGTATTGCTCTTCTTCTTTCTCCATATCAGGAATTTCTGTATTTTTCAAGCGAGACCAGGTATCGTAGGAAGTGCCGGCTGCACGAGCAGTGTTAAAGTCCTCCTCAAGACGGTCCACGTCCTCTTCCTCGATGTCTCGTTTTGCTTTTTTCACCAAATTCTCCAGCTTATTTTTGAATGTCTGTAATTCGGCATCATTCTTGAAAGCTCGAGTACACAGTCTGCATGCCTTCACCTGTTTTGCGGTGTCCAGGCACATAGTCATATACTCGCCGATCCCAGCAAATTGTTCGGCCTGATTCTTTGCCATGTCAAGCTGCACCTGTCGCTGCTGGAGAATTTCGGGGTATTCCTCAGGTTCGTCACTTATTGCCTCGCGGATTTCTGCAATACATTCTTTAAGCTCCTTTTGTCGCTGAGTGAGAATCTTCTTGACATTCTTCATCTTGAATTCTACTTGCTCCAGTTCTCTGCTGACCGCATCCCGCTCGTTCTCAGCACTAGAGACAAGCTTGGATTCATCTTCCAGTGCACGTTGGAAGTCTTGCTCCAAGGATTCAGGCTTCCATTCTGGACTGACAAGCTTCGAGAGACGATCACCGTGGGCTCCCTCCATTGTACTCAGGCTGCGTTCTCGTTCTTTCAGCTCCTTTTTCAGATGGTCCAATCGCGCCAATTCACCGGCTCGTTTAGTCGCATCGATGAGTTCGGTGTTCAGGAGAGAACTCTCATCCTCAAGTCTGCGAATCTCCGAGTTCACGTCCTGGATCTCCTTCTCCCACGAGGCAGCCCGGGCGTGCTCCTTGGCCTGGTCCAGGCGTGAATTAGTATCTTCGATATTTGACTCGAGCGCTGCTTGAACACCCTCGTCGACATTGATATCGTCGAGCTTGGCTTGGTAGGATGCCGCATCTTTATCGTTAGCAGCTATCTGGCGCTTCGCGGCATTTTTAGATTCCTGTAGAGCAGACTTTCGCTGTCCGATATCATTTAGCATGGTCTGTACTTCACGTATCTCGCTTTGTGCATCCCGTCTGGCCCGATCCAATGCCTGATTCTGGTCTTTGAGCAGTTTCCTGACCTTCATCATAAAGTCATCAACCTCGGCCTGGTCTTCGATTTTATCAAATCCACGGATATTGTTATTTCGGGCGATTTCCTTGGTCATTCGTTGTCGCCGCTCCACCTGTCTCTCAAAATTGGCCTTGTCATTCTCAAATTTACCGTATTCTGCCTGCTTTGTGCCCAATTGTTGTCGGGTCTGCTCTATCCGCTCCTTGATCTCTATGTATTTCTCTTTCAGAGATTCTTCCTGTTGCTGGAATTGGACCTGCTTCGACTCGAACTGCTCCAAGTTCGACTCCAGCCATTCGTCCGAGTCATCTAGCTCCACGAGGTGCCTCCTTAGGTTATCAATGGTCACTTGGATACTCTTCGCCTCGATACGCTTCCCTTCCAAAGCGCCCAGGACCTGGGAATAGCTTTCGGATTCTTTCCACGCCTTGTCGGCTAGGTCGGCAACACGCCGCATCTCCTGTGAGAGTTTGTGCGTTTCATCTCGGAGGGCTTCTATTTCATCCTGCAGCTTGATGGATCGCTTCTCTGCCCGGTCGGCCTTCTCTTTGTCCTCCTTGGCATGCTGCTCCATGATCTTATACTTGGCCAGTTCCTCGTTCTGCTTTTTCCTCAGCGCCTTAATATTGTCAATAGCTTTTGTATATTTCATCGCTTCGAATATCTCGTCAAACTTCTTTTTCAGGACCGATGGTTCGCTCATAGGCCATAGGCTTTCGTCCTGGTGGCAGAAAATGACCGAATCGAGGACCGCCTTGGAGACACCGAGATACTGGGGCATGATCTGATCTAACTCGGCGACTCGCGATGAGATAGCGGTTCTCTCACCATCTTTGACCATCAATAGCTGGCCCTCCAGCGTTTTCTGTTGTCGAGTGGTTTTCTTCACCGTGAGTTGTAAACTTCTCGTAACGACCATCTTGGCCCCCGACGTGGCCTTAAATGACAACTTCACCTGGGCCAGCACCTCTTTTTCACCACAAAGCTTGGGGTCGTGGATGAAAGCCCCACCTTTGCTGTTGGGCGGGAGATCCCCGGTGGTGGCATATTTGAGGCATTCGATGATCGTCTGCACCTCCCGTTAGCCTGGCTGAGAGGCAGCCTTGCGCAGATGCAGGTGGTCGTACCGTTTTTCCGGAGCCATTGTAACCGACGATCAAGGTCAGGGGAGTATGGAATTGGATGGTCTCACTGCGGGTGTTGTCGAAGGAACGGACCCTTCAGCATCACCGGAGTAGATCGAGTCAGTAAAATGGCATTCATAAAATTCAGAGAAAATCGACATCGACATACCCAAGAATCGAGAGCTTGTCTACCTTGGCTAGAAAATGAGGGTCAGTCTGCCGAATGCTGGTCTTCTTCACCGTATGACTCTGGAGCACTTACACCTGCCACCTGGTCAACGCACGACACGGGATCAGTTCCAGGGTTTCTCTTTCCAGAGACCACTCACATTTTACAATCTTTCCAAAGACCACTCAAACAGCTCGACGGGGAAGAGCTCAACCGGGAGAGTCTGGATGGTTTGGCGGCGCGTCACGACGCGGGGATGGCGGCGCGGGGTCACGTGATAACTACGGCAGCGCGGTCGCGAGAGTAGCAACCAATTCCGAAAGAAGATATGGAATCGTCGCCCGGGGACAAACGAAGGATGCACGGCGAGGCAAGGGTGATGCATCTATCCAACTATATCGACCATGGATGGATGTAGACATAAAGGACAGACAGGGCAGACTCTGTCCAGGAACCAACCTATTGGACGGAAGCTCCGCCGTGCCAAGCCACCTCATTGGCAGGGCGAGTGGGTCGGCCGTGGTTATACAGTCGAGGAATTGACAGCTCTATCGATGCCAGCTGAAGGGGCGCCGAACGGCTGCTAGTCCAGTCTGTCCCTCTCAGAGTCTGCCCCGGATGTGAAGTCTCAGTCTGTCTGTCCCTTCGACCGTCCCAGTCCGTCCCAACGATGGATTTCAATCCTCCCAAGAGACGGTCAGCGATAGTGGGACACAATCAATTTTCCTCCGTGCCGGGTCCAGGTCACGGTCCCTATACTAATACTAGTACCACTGCTACCATCACCACCACCACCACCACCGCTGCATCCCCTGCAGCGATGACCGCAGTGAGCTCGACAGCTGCCTTAATGGCGGCGGGCATGGAGCCTCGATATCTCCCGCCTTCGCATTGTGAGAATTCGGGCTCGCAAAGCGCCGTTGCTCGACGACCATCAGCTGATGCGTCGAGTGAATTGGGCTGGCCACAGCGCGTCCTAGGTGAAGTGAAAGATATGCTGCTGCTCCTGGGCCCCGACGGACGAACATTATATGCGTCCCCTTCATGTCAGTGGGTAACGGGCTACGAAGCAGCCCAGATGGAGCAACAGCCCATATCGCGTTTTATCCATGATGAAGACCGCGCGTTCTTTGCGACGGAATTGGATGAATGCATCGCTGTTCCCCAGCCACTCCACTGCTATTTCCGATTCTACAAGCGCGACAACACCAGCTGTGTCCTGGAGGCATATGGACATCCGCATATGGCGACTCCCCGTGCGGGCATTGGGAACGAGAAACAGTCCCAAGTCTGTAATGGTGTTTTTCTCATGTGTCGACCGTACCCCACCAGGAGCTCTCAACTGTTAGACTCCTTCCTAGAACACAAGATGGAGAATATCCGGCTCCATCAGCGAATCGCGCAGCTGAAAGAAGAGGAGGAGGTAGACCTAAACGCAGCCAAGCATCCCACTGCGGGACATCCAATAGCGACAGCAACGCATACGCTGCGTTCCCCGTTCATCACCGCCGGTTCGGAAGATGAAGACGACTCATCCGACGAACCAATGATGGCGGATGAGTCCGAGTCACGGTCATTCCTGGAGCCTGTGGCCGAAGACATGTCCCATATCCAAGGAATCGAGGTCATGACCGGTCTGTACTATGGCGACGGGGAAAGATCCCAGGGTCTCAGCACGGGACTCCGTCAGGGCCGTCTCATCCATTGCAACATGGAACCAGGCCCATCCGACCAACCGATGCGCGATGTTCCCGATGGCGACCGACGAAAGAGGCTAAAGGGTGAATACATGTGCACTGATTGCGGAACAGTTGACTCGCCTGAATGGCGAAAGGGCCCCGAAGGACCCAAGACTCTGTGTAACGCCTGCGGATGTAAGTCAAGTCCCTGTCTCTTTCTTTCTTTCTTTCTTTTTTGCTCTTCCCTTTCGGATCTCCAATCTACACCAAAATTATACTAACCTAGATTCTCTTTCTTCCTGTCGCGCATCTAGTACGCTGGGCCAAAAAGGAAAAGAAACGTCAAGACCCAATGTAGCCCCCAGTCCTGCCATTGAATCAATCTCCAGTCGAGTTCTATTCAGCGTTGCGAGCCTTGTTCGATACCCCCCCTCATATACCTATATATATTCTACACTTCTAGTATCTTCTCTCCACAATATTTTGGAAATGTTTTTGTGCGCTGGTACGCAACACTTGCATATATATATATATATATATCTAGCTGGCATGATGGATTGGCGCTTTGGCTTACTTTATTTTGTCTATCAATTTGTTGGGACTAGTAATGTGGATGGATCATCTGTGGAATGGAAAGTTTGTTCATGACAAAAAAAAAAAAAAAAAAAAAAAAAAGATAGCTACTAATGTGTATATCGCGATGACTAGAGTGGAATTGAGGACAAAAGATCAACTAGAAACTTGGAGACTTCCCTCGCAGCAATGGTATAAACAAGCATTTAACCCATAAACATAATATAGAAAAAATCACAACGTAACGAACAAGAACACCGGGACTGGTCGTTTTATTGCGCCTGGCAAGTACATAGACAGGTCACTCCAAGTCGTTTGATCCGACGACCAAGATGCACATGAGGAACGGATGGGATAGATATATAATGTAACGGATGGATGATGATTTCTCATTTCATCTCATGTCTCAAGTCTTGGCTGCCTTCTTCGGCGGCGGGGGGAAATACGCCTGGACCTGAGCTTGGTTTCCAGACGTCAGGGTCTCTGCGGACTCCTGATGTAACGAACCACGATGGTTCGGGGGGCTAAAATGTTCTCGAAGGGGGAAGGTCGGATGAGTCCGTTCCCACGCGGTTAAAGGCGAGACTACGTGGTGTCGTCGTCATGGGTGCGGTCTGCGCTCCTTGCATCGTATCTGCATATGCGGCCGCGGACATCGGGAACATGGTTGGAGACTTGAGAACTAGGTCCTCATATTCTTTCATGGTTCTCTTCTCCTCGCGACGTTCTTCTCGCTCTGCACGCTCCTCTGCCGTTATGAAGCAGGAGTGAATGCTCACAACGAGTTCAACGAAGTAGAGGACACTGTGAAATGTAATGTCAGGCCGAGCACAATCGAATAGACAGCAAACTAGAAGACCACTCACATGATGATAATGGTAAAAGCAAAGAGTGCCTTTGCCTGATTGCAGTATGCGACATTGTCCGGGTTCGAAGCTACCGAGCACTTCTTTGTAATGTACCATGGGGGACCCCGCTGAGGATGCTTGGGATCCGATGTATCACTGCCACCCTGGTATACCGCCGCCGGGATGTATAGAGCAAACAATGCAGCATGAACAAAGACCGATAAGGGCGGGTAGAAGATTCGAAGGACATGGACGGGGACCTTGGTGATCATGAAGAAGGTGCTCAACACCCCCAGGACTAGATTGTAGTCGGTGATACTATCTCTGGTCAGCCAGGAACTTCATCGAGGGAAATACAACGTGGCGAGGTAGAGAAGGCGGGGACGTACAATGAGCCCCAGACCATGGGGACTTTGAAGCTGCGGTAGTTGGCAGCGGCGTAGAGCACCTCGTCAGGGGCACTGTTGAAGCCGTTGTCGGCGCCATCCTGCCACAGCTTGCTCCGGTATAGATCATGGGACGCGATACCGGTAAATGTCAAGATAATCACCGTGATGGGGAACTCAATAGCCACCAGGATGTAGAAAAGATTGTGATTACGCCAGTAACGTGGGAAGTACATATCGGCAGCACTATTAGTGACCGTCGTATCGTCAGTAGCAATGGGATGTATTGCAGTTGGTGCTAATGGAGTTGAACACTCTCTCTTGATAGTAATGGTACTATAATGGCCAGGCCGACTGGCTGGGCATTCAGTGCGCACGCATCAAACCACCCAATGTTAAGTCGTAGCACGAGGAATCCAAGAACGACGGAGTCTTGGAAAATCAGCCGGGAAGGCGCCATAGATATGGAGGAGAGCACTGCAGCACCAGCCATCTATGGGCCATGGCCAGGATGAGAAGAGGGGCACAGTGAAAGGCACCAAACAGAAGGATGGGACGAGCAAGTGTTTCCCAGAGGTGCATCTGGCCAATGCATATCGTCAGGAAAGCGCCCGCAACGGGAGGGAGACGGGGGTCCAGCGCCAATAAAGCAGGCGAGACTGAAGCATTGCTGCCAATTCGTCACACACTAGGCTGTGTGATAGCGAGAGGTCTCTGCATGGTCGCGCAGATTGGATGGACCTGTCGACGAGCTAAGCGCCCGTGTGGAGATCGGATCTGTGCTGTGACTGCGCCTGTATTGAGTGACAATCAGTTGGCTGCGCGCTATCATGGGAATCATCTCTTCCATCAGAGTAGACTCGGTTCATCATTAATATGTAGGTAATTGAATGGATGAGATGGTGGTGGAAAAGTGGTGAAGGAAAAGCGAGAGAAAGAAGAGAAGAGAAGAGTGGACAAGACGGACGACGTCATTGTCCGACCACGTCTCTCCTCAATATTCCTCAGACTTGAGTACAACAACCAACTCCCTACCATATCCCAACAATCTAGTACAAACCCCAGTCAACTGCATGCGACCATTCCGACTGCTGCAGTGCCGCCGACTCCATTTCTCTCGCGCGTCACAGCGAACCTTCTCCGCATTCTCGATGAGCCAGGCATCGATACCGCATCTTGTGCGTACCGCCGCTGAGCCCCGACAGAACCGCCTGTACAATGTGCGACTCTCGCATGTCGAGCAGGCCAATCCCTCGGTTCGATTGCTCCAATTAGCCATTCCGCCGCAGAGTGTGGAGGAACCAGAGTCGGAAGGGGAAATCGAGGTATCAGATACCTAATAGGTCATCAATGTGATGATATACAGTACATACTAACCGACCATGCAGCCTGATCACCCACAACCATTCACTTTTCTCCCAGGCCAATGGCTAGATGTATATATTCCCTCTATTTCCCATGCCGGGGGGTTCAGCATCACCTCCACGCCAGCTGATGCCCAGATACTCCCATCTCCACAACCACGAACAGAATCGCTAGCCATCGTTGAAGAGGAAGAACCGGGCCTATCACCGGTTAATCCCCAGGGACGAGCTCCCTACGTCGAACTTGCTGTGCAGTCGGCGCCCGGGAACCCGGCCAGTGCATGGCTCTGGAAACCCGCGACGGAGATCCAGGGGAAAGAACTGACCATCAGGGTTGGAGGGAGCTTCGTATGGCCTCCGTCAGGGATTGTTCTTGAGGAGGTCAGAAATGTGGTCTTGGTTGCTGGGGGAATGGGTATCAAGTAGGTCTACAGAAAATAATACTCTGATATGATGCCTAATCACCAAACCCAGTCCCTTAATCTCCATCCTCTCACACCTCAACAACAACGCCGACGAAATCACGGCCCTCCACCACCCCTTCAACATCCACTGTTTATACTCCACCAAATCCCCCGAGGCATCAACCCTCGACCACATCCTATTCCTCTCTCGACTCCGTCACATCATCCGGTGCCAGTCGCACTCGCAATCGCACCGGCTACGGGTCTCGCTCGATCTCTTCCTAACAAGCCTGCGCGAGTACAAATCCTCTAGTCTTCTGCGCGAACCACCCGCTGATCTGACGATCCATCCACGACGGATCAGCCGATCGGATCTGCAGATGGCCGTGGCTGGGCCAGATGGGAAGGTCAATCCCCAAAACACGGTGTGCTATGTGTGTGGTCCTCCGAGTATGACGGATGAGTTGGGGAGTGTTTTGGGGGAGTTGGTGGGCCAGAAGGAACGTGTGTTCTTTGAGAAGTGGTGGTGAAGCTCAAGATTGATCTTGTAGGTGTACCAGAGATGGAACCATGTAATTATATATCATGATATTGTACTTTGTTCTTGGTATTGCTTTGAGTCATGTCCGATCCATTAGCATTGTGAAGATACCCACTCCCTTACTGAGCAGTCTTTTAATACTGGGCTATCTATATCCACTATATAGCAATCGAACAGTTACATCCACCAGGTCAATGAAACAGAGTTCAAGGCGCAATCACCGTGCGATATGCTCGTGCCGACATAATTAGAAGCATAAATAACATGGAGACGAAATGGATTTAGATTCCCCCATGACCAGAAAGAACTGGAGAAACTCTCTCGGACTGATGTAAAACTAGATTCTTACTTCTTGAGAACCGGGAAGATGAAGCTGAGGAAATGCCATCTTATGTGCTTTCCTCGGGCCCTTTCACAACACCGCCATCGACGATCATCATCTCGTCGATCTTGGCCTCGGTCTGGCCGTATTCCAGCCGCTTGTACGTCATGACTCGTCCGGCGTTCATGTCAAAATCAAACAATCTGATACGCCGGACATAGTCCCCGTAGCCCCCGTAGCCTCCAAACCCAGCGCCGCCTCCATAGCACATCCACAGCGACGGCTTTTCGTGCTGATCCTTGTTCAGCATGCAATAGTCATTGACATGGTCACTAGACAAAGGTTAGCTATCGCACCATCACCAAGTCAAAGCGGATTGCTTTCACTTACTGTCCGGCACTAACAAAGAGGATTCCTTCTTCTTCCAGCGCATCCTTAAAGCCCGAATTGAACCCCGGAGCCGTGGGCGCTTCCAGCCAATCTCCGCGGTAATAATTCTGAGGTTCACGGTACTCAGGGAGCGGGATGTGGATGAACGCCACATCCATATGCATGTGGGTATATTCACGGTGTTTGGCCTTCAGGCCCTGTGCGGTGTTTTTGAACCACCGGATCTGGCTGGGCTTAATCCAGTCATAGCCTCGGAACTGTCTTTCGTCCGGGGAATAGGAGTGGGAGTCTAGGAGGTAAATCGATAAAGCAGAATGTGTGTTTCCGCGACCCAGAACTTCGACGATGTAGTTCCCAACCCCATCCACTTCTTCAGGGCCAGCCGTCGATAGTGAATACGGTAGATCTTCCAGGATAGTCATGAGCCCAGTCCGTTTGAGGTTGCCCTCGTCATCGTGATTGCCGAATATAGCCGCATATGGGATCTTGCGATCAACTAGCTGCTTGACCACTTTGAATAGCGCACTCTGCGCGTCTCGAGAAGTCTCACCATTCACCTGATCTCCGCTCATAACCACCAAATCGGGCTGCTCTTCGTCTAAGAGCCTTTCCACAAATTCCAGCGTCCGCGGATCCGCCTCACACTTGCGGCCGGGGACAGGTTCAGCTGGAACAGGCTCTCGACACACCCCAAGACCAGTACTCAGATGCAAATCTGCCAGTTGCATGATCTTAAACCGACCATTGTCGTTGATCCTAGGGACGGGCTTTTTGATCTTCGGGAGGTCTCCCCTCCGTATGCTGATACGAGCCTCCAGCTCTTCTGTCCTACTATCCAGTAACAACGGAGTATCCTTAACCTCCCACCCAAGCCGTGGGTCGACGGCATCGGCTCCGAAGAGAACATCGATCGCAGTAACGACGGTTTGCGAGTCGCTTGCATGGCGCTTTGCCGTTCTTTTGAGCCAGATACCACCTAGCCTCGGTTCCCACTCCTCGCTTCCGGTCTTGGAGTCAGGAGTCGATTCAGGGACAAGTCGACTGATCTTCAGGTCGATTACGACCTTGTCGGTGGGAAGCAGATCCTCCTCTTTCTTGCGCTCGAATCGAACGAACGCGCTGGATGTCCAGCCTGTGCGCAGGTAGAGATCTTTCTCGACTTGAGACCATGTCATCGAATCTGGTTTGCAGCCGGAGAATACGTTGATGGACGAGCATGTCGCTATGGTCACGTCTGTAACGACGAAGCCCGAGTAATGGGACGGGAGATATTCGTGGATGGAGTCTGGTAAGACGCGAAATCGATTGTCCAGAGTGAGGACCAGGAGTAGAACAAAGGAAATAAATACAGCGAGCTGCACGCCCGTGCGAACCTACACGAAACCCTGTATTAGCCGTCGGTGCCTAGAAATGGGGATAGGTGCAGAGTAAGGGACCTACAAGTCGGCGTGTCATGACGAAAGTGGAATCCCCTGGCAGGTTTGAAAGGACTGAAAAGCGACCGGGCGCTGTCGCATGATGGAGTGCACAAACTCGAAGGATAAACTCGGGAGGGCTCACCAAGAAGAAGACCTATCGCCAGGTCATCTCAAGGGGCCATGTCTGGGAGAGAATAAATAGATCGATGATCGGCGGCGAAGAACAGCAGGTATTCGGGGGGCGAGTGGGCACTTGCCAATTCAGGAAGGCGGTATAATATATAGTCTTGGCATTTGTTGGGTCTATATAGAAGTCTCTCCTCTCGTCTAGCTCTATATCTATCTAGGTCTATGGAGTGCTGTCGATAGGCATAAATCTGACAAATCCACCGCAATCAGCTCCGAGTTTAGACCTTGTTGGCGCCTTCTTGGCACCTTCCTGGGCCACTGTCTTGGGCGACACTTTGCCACTCAGGATATCCTTGGAGGTCGCAAGAATGGACCTCCAGTCCTCAAAAACAGTAAACGGCCGTCCTTGACGCTTACAGATTGTCACCAGATCTACATAAAATCAGCTCACCAGAAAGAGTGAGAATGAGACATGCAATTCGCGCATGGATAGCTCACCTTTGCCCTTCTTGGCAAACAGAAGGTCGGTCTCGGAGGCAGCAGATGCGTCGGAAACGCCATCTCCCGCATACAGAAGGGTAGGCCTCTCGCTAGCTGGCATGGCGGCGTAAGGTTTGATCTCCAAGGACTTGTCGTGGCCGAAGTGGCTGTCGTCATGGTACTTAATCTGCCAGCCACCTTCGGTGTTGATATCCTTGCCATCGCGACTTTCCACACTGTTGGCCACGATGTGAAGATGATCGTCGAGCGCCTGGCCCAGAAATTTCTCCATCAGTGCCCGGATGATGGGAATCATTCCAGATGACATGATCACAATTGGCACATTGTTCTCCTTAGCCCAGTTATAAAATTCAAGAAAGTACGGGTCCATTTTAATGTTCTTCAGGAGCACCTCGATACACTCGTCGTAGGGGGCTTTGATGCTATCGAGCATATCGCGGAAGGCATCGCTGGTCATCAAGCGCTTTAGTCAGATTGGCCCAGAAACAAATCAGTAGTGCAGCATACCGAAAGCTGATCCTGCCTTCCAGGATGTCATCATTGACTTGTTCGCGTCTTGCTCTGCCATAGCCAAGATTTTCGGTCTTCGAAGAGTCCGTTAGTAACCAGGATGTCCATAACAAGAGTAAAGAGGTCCAATGGCAGTACCAAGAAATCATTGCTGTCTTGAAGCGTGATTGTCCCATCAAAATCCGTGAAAAAGATGATTTTAGGGGTTGTTTTCATATATGGAAGCGTAGAGGGGCTCATGGTCGATTAATTATGGCCGCAAGTTACCAACATAGACAGAATGCCAAATAACACGTTGCTCTATCAGTTAGATGTGGTCAGCCATTTGCAATTCACTTGTTCATTGTGTATCTCATCTCTGGCCATCATTGCCTGTCAATGTGAATTGTTGACGCATGGCAGATTAACTCGAGACGATGAAATAAACAATAGCGAGGGACATGAGGAACTCGACATACGTACTTTTCACAATCCGGAGAGTACTCCACAGCGAGGATTCAGAGAACAAAGAAATAGAAGAACCCCTAGAGGCGACAACAACTAACTACTTGAGCATTTCGTATTGACTCAGACAATCTAAAGCAACTCATGCCAATCAGCGGCACTCGATGGACCCATATGGCACACTAAAAGATGGGAATTCCCCATATTTCTGCCTGTCGCACTATGGATCGTTTCCTGGAGGCTGATCTATTCTGGGCCCACGACTTTTTTTTTTTTTTTTTTTTTCGGGATGGGTACGACTGATTAGTGTCCATCTCAATTATTCCCCCGAGAGGTCATTGATTGAAACTCTCCCTCATCTGACAAATTTCGATGGAATGGCTCGTCTGCTACAATCGTTGCGTCGAGTCCTAGGACTGACTCCCTCCAGATCAGTCCCTACTACCTTTGCCAGGTCAGTAGACACTGATTTCTCTCTCTTTCGAGGTACCGCTCTCGCTGCGACCGTCATGTCTCACATCAGCTAATCTAATCCATCATGTCATTAGAGGGCGACCGGGCCATTGTCCACATCCCGGGCAAATCGTCGATATTGACGAAACCGCTCCAGAAAGGCCAGAAAACGAATGTCCGTCGGGGGTCTCTACTACATGAGAGCATTATTGGCCGAAGAGTCCGCGATCGGATCCAGGCGCAGAAGGGTATGTTTGCATTATGTTATGTGTTGACACAAGGGATGGAGAGACTGACATTTCAACTTCTATTCAAATCCATAGGCCCGGAGTATCGTGTCACGCTTCCTACGCTCGACGAGTACGTTGTCCTCACGCCTCGTCTAGTAACGCCGGTATGAGCACAATCCTACCACCACGACCTGACTCGAGAAAGAAATCCCGTCGGTTAACGTTCCAGTCCCAGTAGATCTATGCCGCCGATGCGAACCTGATCGTTTCCCTACTCGACATCCACGTCGCGCCTCCCTCTCAAGAAGAAAAACAATCTCCATTGGAGATTCTCGAGTCAGGAACCGGCCATGGCTCCTTGACCCTACACCTATCCCGCGCCATCCAGGCCGCAAATCCCACTCCACCGCCAATACCCTCCATGTCCCAGATCCAATACCTACAGGGCCGACCTCTGCGGCCAGGAGAGGACGACGCACCGCACACTTCTACTAGCGAGAACGACTCTTCCCCGAGTAACCCCCTCCAACAACAATGGGACATTTGGCGTTCACAGCGTCGCGCAATACTCCACACGGTGGACGTATCGCCGAAATTCTCCGCCCACGCGGAGAAAATCGTCCGAGGGTTCCGACGAGGTCTATATGCAGGAAATGTGGACTTCTACGTCGGACACGTTGAGAACTGGATCGCAGATCAGATCCAACGACGAACTCCGAAGCCTCTCCTCCCCCTAACTCTGACATCACGAACGGTCGAGCCGTTCCTCACCCACGCCATCCTCGACATGCCGGCTGCCAATCAGCGGATTCCGCACGTGGCTCCCATACTGAAGAAAGACGGCATCCTCGCAGTGTTCATGCCAAGTATCACGCAGATCGGCGAATGCGTAGATCTCATCCGCAGGCAGGATCTCCCGTTCGTCATGGACAAAGTCGTCGAATTGGGCCCTGGTCTCAGCAGTGGTCGACAGTGGGATGTTCGGTTCGCCGTGAAGAAATCGCGAGCAGATCCGTCGTCGTGGATGGAGACCGTCGATGCAGGGGATTCAGCTGTCCAGCCAGACCTAGATTCTCTCGCTGAAGATAAAAATATGGGGGATATTGCGTCTGCTCCTGCGGAAGAAGAGACGTCCAGGGACTACAAGGATAGTGTGCTTGTCTGTCGACCCAAGGTTGGAAACCGCATTGTGGGTGGGGGATTTGTTGGGATCTGGAGACGTATTGAAGGCACCCGGAAACGCTGAATGCGTGTTTTAGTGATACCCCCTTTGTATGACTACTATTATTGTATTATGGATATAGACCAGAACTGTACTATACTCATCCTCTTATACCTGAGATCAAGAATACCAACCACCACTACATCATCAGCCTACAAGAATTATATCTACCCTCTCAACTCAAGGCAGAAAACAAAGAGCAAGACCACTCTACTTCTAGTAGAACAGTGAAATTGACTTCAAGACTAGATAGATAAACCAAGTCAATTCAGACAACGCAACGAGAGCCCAACCCCATTCGCCGAAGGAGAGAGACAGAAATCAAAGACGAAACCCGGATCTCTCATCCATATCTCCCCAGCCCCATCCTTCCGATCCCATCCCATCCCCCCATCCTATCCTATCCGATTCCCAATCCACCGACCTTGCCAGACGTACACGTCAAACATGAATGGAAGAGATAAAAAACGAAAAGGAAGAAATGAAACTGATTGGCAGATGGAACTGAAAGAAAAATAATGCGGACTCAGGCAGAAACGTAGGTAGGTAGTCAAAGCCTAAGACATGCCAAACAAGGAGATTGCCGCGCCATTTGAACTACTTTCCAAAAACAAAAGATAATAATCGGGTTTAATTGCACAAATACCCTCATGACGACGGCAACAGTAACAAGGAATAGACTCACAAGAATGAAGAGTAATGAAAAGAGAGAGGGAGAGAAATGAGGATGACGGTGAGTAAAGGAGTACGGGGACAGAGAAAAAGAGAAAGGGACAAGAAAACAAAAAAGCAATCACAGAACACCACAGACGCGAGAAGAAGCCCCCAAAGATTCCGAGATAGCAAACCGGCTACGCAAACACCAGTCTCATAAGATCGACATGCTCCAGCCCCTCAATTCCGTTGCGGCCCAAAATCCGCCTCCACGACCTTTCCCTTTTTCCCTTTAACTGTAAACTCCGCAAATAATGCGATATGATCACTTGGAAAATGATAGTTGGGGAACCCAGGCACCCGACGTAGATACTCCTTGTCCACTTCCCCCAGTAACGCCGAGACGTGAAGTGTATTCGATGAATACCAGATATAATCCAGAATGGCTTTGAAGTCAGGAGTGTAGTTCGTAAAGCTCATTTCACCAATCGCGCCGTATGCTGACTTCAACTTGAATGGATGCGTCATACCCACCCGGCTGAGATTTCCATAAAGACGTTTCTCCAGATCTGGGTGTTCTTCCGTCAAGTGTCCATGTGCAATGAGGTTATACGCCGCCGATCCAGGCGACGAGTTGAAATCGCCACACATGAACAGAGGAATCTGTTCGCCACTGGAATATTCCGCAGACGGGGCCGGTTCCGGCGGAGGGGATGCCTCCTCCCCTTCTGCTTCTGAGAAGCGGAATGCCGCCTTGTCCGTACATGCAGGCCATTTCGCGTACGTATCAGAGAGTTTCGTGAGTTCCTCCATCAGGATGGCCGTCTGGATCAACTTGACGTCTTTGAAAGCTGGGTCCCAGTAAAGGTGGGCATTCACGACGATGAACCGCGTACCTGTTAACCGGTTCTCCAAGAACAGAACGACGGCAATGTGATCCTTTTGCCAGAGTCGGTTGTATATGTCATCCTGACCCTTTGCATCGGGACGCCGTACCGCCGTCTGACCGAAGTTGATCATCTGCTTGTCAAGCAGGATGAATTTGCTTCCCTTGAAGAAAGTGGCACAGCCATCGACCAACTTGGCGTCCTCTTCCTGCATGCCCATAGCTCGTCCTCGAGGCCAGTATACCCCCTTATAGTCGTTATATGCCAATTGCTCTCGGAAGAAGCCGTTGTAACTGCCTTGGTCGACCTCTTGGAGGCAGACGATGTCCGAATCATGCGACCGCAATTCGCTTAAGATAAGCTCCCTTCTAAATTCCCACGCAAGGACACGAGAGGGGGTATATCCAAAGTGCGACTGCGTTGCAGAGGAGTAGCATAGGGCGTTCAGAGAGATAACAGTGACTTTCTCCGTGGGGTTATTGGAAGAGTTTGCAGTCTCATCCAGGACCACCCAGTCTCTATCAGGAGGCGGTAGATGAACTATACTCTCAAGTTAGCAACAGATGCAATGAACCATTCCGTAGGCAAACTGTGGCATAATACGAACCTGGCATTTCCTCCCTCAGATACCTGATCAAAGCCTTTGTGCCCTCTTTCACGATCTGGGATTTCAAGATGTCGTTCAAAGGGTTGCCCTCGATACCCAGAGTGTCCAGCCTATAAAGATAACCCATCTCATAAGGAAGGGTGCGGATATGGTTGTCGAAGAGGAGGAACTTCTTCAGGCTCGTGAGCATGCCAATCTCCTCGGGAAGCTCGGTGAGATCATTATGGGACAAATCCAGGTGTTCCAGTTTGCGCAACTGTCCGATGTTCGGGGGGAGTACTTTCAATTTGTTGTGGCCCAGATACAACTTCTCCAAGAAAATGTAGTTGAATAGGGATGTCGAGAGCGCACGCAGTCCTTGCCCACCGAAATCCAGTGCATGCCAGCCCTGTCTGGTCGCTGACTTGGACTTTGTCAACCCATTCCGTTCTTCAGCTCCGTTCTCCTGGGGTTCAGGCTGGCTGGGCGCGATCTGGATGCCCTTTGCTTGTTGAGCGACCGCCCGGGCGTAGTAATGCGGGGAATTCGCCTGTCGTGACTCTGCAGCCAACTGAAGCTGCTGTTGCCAGTGTTCGTTCATGGATTCATCGATATCTTCGTCAACGTTAGCGTGAGCCCCATTCTGGATGTGGCCCGGAGTAAAGTGTGGCGTAGCAGCAGCCAATGCCCCGCTGGAGAAGTTGTGCTGGTGGTTGATGTTGTGGGAAGCTTGGTTGTGGTGCGTATGATGGTGGGCCTGCTGTGCGGGATGCGGATGGTGGCTCTGCGACTGGAACTTAGGAATCTGCATGCCAAATCGCTGATGGGCCTGGCCACCATTCATCATAACATGTTGTCCTTGGTGGGTTTGGGTGTACATGGTGAAAGGGTTGAGCGCAGCTGCCTGGCCGAGAGGAGGGGATCGAGAAGGAGACGGCGTTTCGTGACTGAACTTCAGTCTCCCAGTCGGAGAGTTGGTACCGTTCCGAACGAGGTGCCGTTGGTGAGAATGCTGTTGCGTTTGGAAGAAGAACTGCCCGGCCCCAGGCTGCTGGAACCTGTAGGTACCATCTGCCATTTAACGTGGCAGACGAGACCGTGAATTGATAGCTTGTGGAGGTATCTCGGGGACGACGGAAGGTTGAAATGCTGGGCTCAGCGTGGTGGCAGGCGAGAGGAGAGGAGTCGGGGATCGGATACGTTCTCTCCTTCTCTTCAACATGGGGTCCTAAGGCGGAACCACCCTTGACCAAACTCTCACCGGGATCAAAACCGCTGAAAATCTAACTCACACGGTCTAAATTGACCTCGGTAGCGATCCAATATCTGGCTCGGAGGGGCGATCGGTGGTTGAGCGATAGGGGCCGGCGTCGGACGAACGACTCACAGCAGCAAGTGGCGGCGACGATCTGGCAAGAAACCTGCACCGGAAGTTAGAAAGAAGCTCCCCAGTCGGCGGTACTCAGCAGATTGGGCAGGGCGCACAGTTCTCTTGGGCAAAAGTTACAGTAGAGACGCCACTGGTTTGTCAAGATGAGTGTCTTGTCGCCCTGACGCTGCGAAGTGGTTTGCATCGAAGGCGGGAGTGGCCTGGTCACGTGGTGAGTCGCCCGGCGCGTGATTCGCCGCCGATGACAAGGCCAAGAAACGACTGATTCGGTTTCAGCTTTGTGTCGACCTGCTCAGCGGCGAAGTGCCGTCTCGCGCGCGATGCTTCTATCACTGGACCCTCTCTCTCTCTCTGGCGGGGATGATTATGGACAAAGATCGGAGTCCGCCCACGATGAGATAACGATACCACCTGGCCCAAACGAATGTACCCCATACCTTTATATGTAGGACTACAAGTCCGCTTCTTGCAGGTGAGGTCCTCAATGGTTCTACTTGCGGGACTAGATCAGTGATACGCGTACAATGCCTTGATGTCAGATCATGAAGAGTCTCCCATCTTTATGTTGGATGTCTGGGAATACTACTGACAAAGCAATATCTACCATAACATGTCACACGCTTTTGAGGCCTTACTCCAGGTACAATGCCTTCCCTATAGGGAATCATGCTTGGCAGATGATCCCTTTAGTATGGGCTACTATATATTCCATGTCATTTAGGATCCATACTAGGAGCTCATATATACTACTTTCAGGGGTTAAACAAAAGCTCCTTGGTTGGTCCTGCATGGAGCCTGCAGGAAGGATCCCATAGTCATAACAGAACTGGTAGTATGTATCTACTGAGTATTCTGTGCCTCCGTAGTATACCGGTTTCTTGTACTATATGATTCTTATTGTTTCCACTGGCTTAAATCCTCAGTAGAGACCCCCTAATCAAAGAACATCAAAAAGCTCAGTCTCCTAAGTCCTAGCAGACAACGTTGTATCCCGCCACGCACGTATCTCAATAGATCAAACCTTATTGCGTTGGTGAGATTGGCGGTGTTCCCAAGGACTATAATGAATTGTCGCCGATCCCCCGCTTTCTCTCGGAAAAGGACATGTCTCCAGAAGCTGCAGGCTGGGCTCTGTCAGTGGGATGGATGAATGCGAACGAGTTGATAGAATGCTTTTGTTCCGGCTCTTGTTCATTGTTGCCTTGTTACACTGAACCATATATTGAGAGATAGTTCCCCATGAGGTTAGTCTGGCTCCAGCAGATGAGGAAATGATCTGGTATTAGGATGGCAGTCCTCTAGGTCTTCGTGTTCATTGATGTCTTGATGAACTATTGAGATAAGAGATCCATAAAACGCTACTCGTGATGAAACCTGTCCTTTTCACATCATGAATGTTCATTATTGATCCTGGCCTCAGGCCATCCAGCGCACTGTGGCGGCACGTTCCTCCGGATGCCGGACCGCCAGCCGGAAGGAATTCCCCAGCCTGCAGGATCCCGTTCGAATGGGAGGATGCAGAAGGATTCCATGGATCACGAGACTCTTGATGATGTCAGGACTCGACTCCAGCGAATTCCTACTCCGTCGTCCGGTTTCCCTGGTAGTATCAATGTCCTTCACATGGAATTTGGGCTGGTTTCATTTGATTTTCTTGCTGTTGTTGCTTCAGTGAATTAAACTAGGTAGGTCACCAGCAAATGATAGCCACGCCACTATCGGAGTCTATATTCGGTAGGCCACTACGTTGGCTGGCATAAATTTCATCCTGGAGCAGGAATAATTAATAAATAATAGGAGTAACTATGTAATCACTGAACAGTCGGAATAGGAAAACTGTCCGCGATATTTGTAGACGAGGTTCCACTCTTCGGCAAGACCATTCAACTTTTCCCTTTTTTGTTTTAATATTGTTTTCCCTTTTCCCTTTTCCCTTCTGCCTTTTTTTCTTTTTTTTTTTTTTCTTACTTTTCTTTTTCTGTCCGATCTGATCAATCGAAAGAAGAATGCCACTGTCATCCCCATTCTCCGTACTCCATGAAAGTAACCCTGTCGTATTTGGTGCAACAATGCAACTCAAACCCTCCGTAGTCCCGACTCCCGAAGTGACCTTGTCCTTGGGGGCCAGTCTAGCTAGAGCAGGAAAGGCTGGAACAATTTCAAGATAAAAGGTAAGGGAGGGTGACTACTTGCACCAAGTCTAGCTTTTCTCGCTCTTCGCCAGTAACAGGCAGTGGTCCGTGGCAGTAGCGTCAATATCCTCGGAGTAGCCCGATCGTTACTGTAGTAGGCATTCGTCAGCGATGGGGGACAAAACTCGCGAACTGCCAGGGCTGAAAATCATGGTGATTGTTGGTTGTCCCAAAGGATCCCAATCAATCAATCGAGCCTAAAAGTCACAGTAGGTCGTAGTGCCTGTGTGGAGTTGGTCTAGGGGGAACCTTGGCTCGACCTTTTTTTTTTTTTTTGCCTCTACACTTCCGCCTCTTCCTCATCCTTTCCTCCATGGGTCAGTCAATCTTTCTCATCCACCGGTGTCCAGAACCACCTTCTGTCCTCTTCTACCCCATAACTCTATTTTTCCCGCTGCTTCCTCGACCGTCGTTCTAGGCTCCAATGACAATACCATGTTCCTATTAATCTAATCCATCCCTCCCCTCCCGTCCAACTTCCAACCCCTCGATTCCTTCCCCCTTCCAGTGCCGAGAATGCAAAGCCGCAACTGGCCGAACTGTTCCAACACTTAGCACGGGGGTTTGGTCTCAGCGATGGACATCATGTCTGCTAGTTCAGCTGCATTTGCTGCTGCTCCAGCGGCCACCTCCGGCTCCGACCTACATTCTAGCACCTGCTCGACCGCCCCTACTTGGGCTGCGACGTCCACTTCGTCCCTTGCCTCCCTGCATGACTACTCCAACTACCCTTTGATCCGTCAAGGTGATCGCACCTACCTCCGAGACCCTGACAGTCTATACCCTTTGCCATGCGACCTGCCAGAAATCCATCGCCAGTCCTTGCGCTCGCTCATGCTAATGCGCGTCTTTGGCGGCCCTTTCTGCACCCCGTACCCACCTGACCGGCCACCGAAACGGATTCTGGAGATCGCCTGTGGCTCCGGTCTTTGGTCCAGCCTGTGTCATGACTATTTCTCTCGGCTCGGCCATCGCAACGTCTCTTTCTACGGTGTGGACTTGGTTTCAGTGGCCCCCGACTTGCGCAAAACCGGTGTGAACTGGCACTTCAAGCGACATGACCTACGCAAACCGCGCCTGCCTTTCCCCAACGACTATTTCGACTTCGTTTTCATCAAAGACGCGGGGATGTGTCCGTCCAGCCCTGCTCAGCAGGCATCGGGCTTGAGCGAACCGCTGCGCATTCTCAAATCGGGCGGAATCCTGGAAGTGTGGGATTCCGACTGGGTATTCCGATCACTACTTCCCAATCCGGCTCCCGCTCGCAAATTAGCGTCAAGAGAACAAGAAACTGCCGATGCGACCGCGACGTATACGTTTTCGTCTGCGACCCCCTTCACAAAAGTCCAGAACAAGTTTCTGCAAGATTACAACTCCTGGGTGGAGAAAGCCTTTGACCGCCGCAAGCTTACTGCGCTGCCGTGTGCCACCATCGGTCTCTCCTTTAACTCCGAGATTGATGTTCTAGAGAACATCGACAGTCGTCGCATAGCGATTCCGCTAGGCGAGCTGCGATGGGAGCGGGAAGGACACGGTAAGGACTCGAGCGGGGGCACGCGCAAGCAGCTGACCGCGGATCAGCTGTCTATCCGACGCACGGCTCTCTTGACAGTGATTCAGATGATCGAGGGCATGGAGCCCATGCTGATGGAAGCCAGTGGGAAGAGTAGAGATGAATGGGACAGATGGTGGACCGCCATGATGGCGGACGTGTTCCATAAGGGGGGCCTTGCCAACGGCGAATGTTTGGAAGTGAGCGCCTGGTGGGCTCGCAAGAAATAGAGTCACCCCTTCACAGTCCGGATCCAGAAATCTGAAGAGAAGACCCGGTGTCCCTGGTGGACGAGAAGAAAAGAAAAAAACAAACTGCAAAGTAAGCAGAGCAGTGACCATTGCTCAGTTCATATTGGTGATACCCCGAGATTATTTTGTCGTTTCACGTGTATATTCTTAGATTTTTTTTTCATCTTTATTCTCTTTCTTGTTAATATCTGATACCTATATTATCTGTTTTCATAGCGCTGTTTCAACGTTCGATACCGCTTTAAATAGTACCTGGTTATTCTGGTCAGCATGGATGCAAGGATATGGACTTGGGCGAGCGTTGACAGTTGCACGATGATGACATGATGAATATTAGAATTGAATATAGTATGGGGAAAGGGATTGTCCATATATAGTTGTATAAAATTCCTCATATTGTTATTTTTTCCTGATACCATGCTAGCACGGGATTGTAGTAGAGCAGATGGACTCCATCATGGCGAAGTCTTGGAAGACTCTGGCAAGGTGGAAAAAAGCAGCAAAAGAGTATAGAGAAAAAAACTCACAATGCTTCAATTTCTGTAATTCAGCCACGGTCAGCCATTCATATTTCCGGTGAGATAAAGTCAGGGATGTAAATAAATACATACCCTTTTTAACAAACTCTGCCCTTGCTATTCCCTTCCGTATCTGCTCCTCATCACTCAACTGCGCCTGCTGTGAGAACGCACGATGTAACCTCTTCCTGAAATAGTCGTATCCCAGTGGATAATTCCGTCCTAAGAACAGGAGCTCTGACATCATGGACGTGATTAGTTAAGGTAGTTCAGAGGTCCAATCTAGAGATTCATTCAGCTTGCACGCTGAACAATTAGGCTAAGAATAGGAATAGGAATACCTTTGTAGATGTTGAGAACCTGCCGCCGCAGTTCCAGGTTCGTCATCTTCGGTGCATTCGAATGGGGTTTTGTCGGTAGGAAGATATAGTATGAGGTGGGTGAAGCCGGGTGGATGAGGTTGGTGTTCTGGTCGGGTTGGGAAGATGAAAGACTTGACGTGGGACTTGCTTGGCCCAGAGGTGTTAGTGACGTTGAGCACGGACTGGGGAGGCAGGTTGGGAACTGGGGCTGATTATGCAAACGTATTCTAGAAGACTTAATGCTGTGATATTTGACTGCCTATAATTCTCAAAGTTGTATTCTGTTGATATGAAGACTTTTGTTTAATGTCTATAACATTCCCACCGTCATGTTTACATCTGTCAGAGTATATACTGGAGTAGTTAATAAAAGACAGTAACTATATGCGTATATCTTAGGTAAACGAATATCCCAATGCTTCATCAAAGAAATAAAATTGTTCAGAAGGAAGCAGCATTGAATCATCCAATTCAACTAGAAGCATTACACATACAAATGACACAATACTCAGTTCAATTGACAATCATGACAATTAATTGCGCCCTGCGGAGAGAGTCGAGTGGGGTTAACCTACAGTGAGAAGGCCGAGGCTAGGCGCGTTGGAGTACAGATGACCCCCATGAATAAGGAGTAGCTGCATCTCTACCCCAATCCCAACACACCACCCATGTCAATAATGTCGATGAGCGTTCTACAGAGGCAGCGTCTGGCTGCAATTCCACTTCAGTGTTCAATCCAATGTACCCGCGCCTTTTCCACCTCTCCCGCTTCCCGAAATGCCCATTCAAAGGCACCCAGGAAACCCCACGACATTGACCCCCGATGGCTTACCATGACCAAGAGGAGGATTGGAAAATGCATAATGTTTGGCCTGAAGCAGCCACAGATCCAGGAAGCAGGACAAATACTCCAGCAGCTGGCGAGGGATTGGCGCGAGTTGATCGCCGGCAGTGAGGGTTATTTGACTGATGCTACCAGGAGGGGATTGTTCCGACAGAGTGTCGCATGGGGGGAAATGGTAAGGTGATCAAGACGTTGTTTGGAGGGACGAATCAGTGCTAATGGAAATGTCTTATGCCGGATATAGGACGCTATGGTAAGGACAGGAGAAACACACCCTGCTTGACATCATAGTACTTTGAACTAACCTGTTGATCAAGGGTATATGCTTCCTCTTCTTGAAAATAGATCCGCTGCAGCCGTGTCCCTGATTACAGATTTCGTACTAACTGGTATAATCAGGTCATGTCAACAATGTCACGTATGTCAGATATGCCGAAACAGCGCGCGTCTATTTCACCCGGAACTACGCCATGTATGTAGATCCTGCGCACAAGAAAGAGTGGATGAATCTTGTCAGCAACAGAGGAATCGGCGTTATTCTGCGGAGTATTAAGATTGATTATAAATTTGTAGGGTTGTTTGGATACCCACGCACGTAAATGGTGCTGCATTGCTAACAATCCCATTTGTTGTCCACAGCCCATGATGTACCCCGACAAGGTCACAGTCTATCACAAGTTGGTGCATGACCCGGAATCGCCACACTCCTCGCAGCATGCCTTTCATCTCCAAGTTATGATCCTCTCGGAATCGCGCCAACGACCCGCTGCCCGGTGTCATGAGGACCTGGTCATATACGACTACAAGCTGGGGAAGAAATCCGTAATGCCGCCATTCCTTATGGAACAGTTCAAAACCACATGGAAGCTCCAAGAGCAAGCCAAAAATCTCTGGCAGGCGCGGATTCTGGAAATCGAAGATAGGGTTCGAACGCTCGAAGCAGAGAGTTGGGACCGTGAAGGTGCAGTTGAGGACACCGGTTCGGCGAAGAGGTAAAGTTGCAAACAGTCGAATTCTAGGTCTGTTTAGATGTGAGTATTGCCTATGAATCAGTGTCGGTGTATGGCCTTTATAGATACTAAAGTTTAACTGTGAATTGTACTGTACCTCTACATTTAAGCAATTTGACTCCAGTGTTCAGATGCAAATGCCTATGCATTGTATAGCCGGGTTCAACATTGAAACTGCCAGTTACAGCACCCAGGTGGATATTTTCTCGAATCCATATTTATCTAACAGGTGACGTGTCCTTGTGTTGATTTAGCTGTCCTTTATAATAATGTATGCTTGTTATAGGCAAGGAGTGTGCATCTATAAAAATCTGATAAATAGGCGGGACTAGATCGTTATTATTTGTAAAACTCTTGTGCAATAAATGCACATGGTATTCAAGTTGCTTTGTGCATATCATTGGGGAGAAGAATGTATTTGCTTCGGCCGAGTGTAGTCGATGCAGTATTTAGGGCTTAAGCCTATCATGCACATGATTGTCTATGGTAAGCATCTTTCCCATTAGAAGAAATACTGTAGTTGTGAAATGTTGATCCTGGCTATTCTACCCAGAAGACCTTATCAACCCTGAAAACTCAAATGATTAGTCCTAGCTCAAGGCATAGCAACCTCTTCAATGCAATACCACCTTAGATTGCCTGATGTTTCAGATTAGTAGTAGTAATCTACGGAGTACGTAGTTCTGCTCCACTAAACCAGCCACACCTGCAAAGCCATTACCACCTAAATGACCCAGGTAGTCAAACTCAATCGTCAACCTGATGAGCCTCGTGGAATCTACCATAAGATCTCGTGCGGGACCAATAGACTGTTGGTCTTATTAGCACAAGTGATGGACTTCCCTCCAAGCCAAGAAAAGCTTGCTCGCCAAGTGGCCCTTAGTCCAATCCCAACTGTGCCCTATGACGCAGATCTTGAAGCCTAGTGGCGCTGGTGGTATTTGTTGGGTAATGAATACTGGTAGTCGTTTCTGAAGAACAGCAAAAGATAATAAAATTGTGTGAAAAAAAAGGAACCATTTTCCAGTTGAGTCACATGAATCCGAAACCAGCGACGTCAAGAGATCCAATCCGACCGTATAGCGTATAGAGCCTAGACTATATATCATGGTCCTCGTTATGTTGCCGAAGCGTCTGGTGGTGAATCAATTCGAAACATTGGTAGAACAGCCACAGAGAGCGAAGGAAAAGGGGAAGCAACATCCAGATGCACAATCGTAGGTCCTTTTACGTACTCTCTAGTTCCCGCCTTTAGAATTTTAAGTGTATTAAGAACTTGGTACATACATACAATGTATCGGCGCAGCACCGGCCGTTGTTCGGATTGGCCTTGATGCCGAGGAAGAATCTTCTGGCCCGCATCGGTGTATGATTGGCCCTCCGAGTTTTTTCCATAGGTAGCCGTAGCACACCGTTGTGCTGAAAGCGGTGTGGGCAGGTGTGCTACAGCTACTACAATCCAGTGGACGCAGTATGTACATATTTCTACTTAGGTTTGTGATGGAATTTGTTTCAGAACCTGATCTCAAAACTGTTGATACGGAAGTTGATACGCACACTGGAGCATATGAAATACTAAGTGCTAATTACTACCCTTATTATTTCCTCAGCGATACATGTTTCCTAATTACACATATGCCAAGCAGAGGTTTATCCAACGTGACTCAGAACCAGGGTTCCTTTGTCCCAAAAAGTAACATCAGCGAAATGATCGACCGTTGAAACCTAGTGCCGAAAGTCAAAAAAGTCTGCCAAGAACTAGTCTCTACTCTAGGGGTGGAGTCGGCAACGCCATCCTTGATCTCACGATAACATACAGTATGTATACGTAGGTAAGGTGGGTTAGGGAATTGTCGGCTGGGGACATCCAGTACATCGTACAATCCCAATTGGGAGTCAACTCTCAATTGCTAGTGTATACCCTAGTAAACGCTGCAACGCTGATCAATTAGATAGTCGTCGACAGAAGGATTTTGGTTTTCCTTAGTAGTTAACATGGCACGCCCAATTACGCCAAGTACGGAGTACGTAGTGTAAAATAGAAGATCGTCCATCGCCTTGGTGTCCAGCTAACTTAGTGCGGCTGCGATTACAAACAACAAACAGCGGGCGGCTTTTCGTCTGACATGCTGCATGGCATAAGCGGCTCTCAACAGGCCAACGTCTACTCTGTATGACTGAGCCAGAGGCTGTCAGATTGATTGTCTTATCACCGTCACTGCCAGTCCGGACGCAAATACTGTGTACGCAAAACGTTGATGCTATGGTGGAGATCCCTGTATTATATGTATTATATCAGTACTATACAGTACAGCACAATGTATACCTACTTATGTATGTACCTTCCTACCGCGGCACCTAGGGACGGTCATTCCTGGTTATCGAAGAAGGGGTCGGGTATGTACAGCCGTTTTATCCATCCAAGTGATGGAATGCAACTCCAAGGGATATCTTATCTCGCTTGCACTCGTCGAATATTGTGTATTTTTCTACGGTACCTCTCTTGATGCCTAACTGGGCCCAGCTTGTTAGTCCCACCTGATACCGAAGAGTGACTAAAATAAGTCAGTATTTAGCTCTTGATATCCACAGTTGGGCCCAAATCAAGCCGAATTTGACGGAACCCTGGCGATGGCGGTAGAAGCCGCAGTCCCTGAATTGCCTGTGCTCATAACACAATACTCCGTAGTGTTATCTGTCTGTCCAGTAACTAGCTACACTGTATGATCTAAAGACACATCTGCTGGGTCGGCAACTTAGCCGAGCACGTGAATTCGGATATCTACAGCAGCAGCTTGGACATCGATATACACATCTACGCAGTTTCATTTATTATCTCGACAATTTTCACCGCGTCAATAGGTCCAACAATGAGGAATCCAGCTGCCAAGCCCAACGAGTGATTCGCAGCGGCACCATGATCTTATCGGGATTAGGTTCACCAGAACTACTCCCACAACTAATCGTCGTCATTCTCTCCAGGACAAAAACAACCCCGCAGAGACGGCCGACGGTGGATGGGATCGTCGGATCGTCCAACCCTATGAAGAATGTAAGTCACCTCAGATCCTGGACAGAGCACCTCCCCAGCGTCAGGTGAGTGGACAAGGAAGAACGGAAGGTAGAGGTGTGCAAGAGAGGGGTAATGATGAATGTTATCAAGAGGTTTCGATAATCCCTAGGCCTATCAATGCCAGTAGTGGTATCGTTGGCCTGTACACGTAGCAGGTGGCTTACGAATCCATTCTAGTCCAGTAGCCAGTACTTCGCTACCAGCGGAGGACAGCGTGGGGGACTGTGGACGATATACAGGTTAAAGGCTGGATTCGTTAGATGACGCTTGATTGATGAATTATGGCTGGACTTGGGGTGGCGGTGGTGGTATCTGCTGTTATCCGCCCATGTGGTGGCAGGGCGATCAATTTTGGCACCGAAATTGCTAAAAGACGTGGCTAATTCATGCCCATAACTACAGACTAAAATAAATAACTAGTCCCTGTAGTACGAAGCATATATTTCTCCATACGATGCGATCAAGCTTACCTGGTAGTGTGGAGTCAAGACATATAGGAGTACCAGCCTAGCAGGATAGATTGTGATCATTCTGAGATATCATATCTCAATGGATGGATATAGTCCTTGAGAGCATCGAACATTCTCTACTTCGAAGATTCTGTGCAGTCTCAATAATAGAGCTGTCCAAAAATAAACACCCTCCAACCAACCAGGATCGTACGTTTGGTATGTCCTGTACGGTAAACGGTCGATTGACCCGTAATCCTGAATATACGGTATGCGTTCCTATGTATTCTGGATACGGTGGAGATTGGTTGCCTGAGGCCACATTGTGGCGGCCTTGCTGCCTGAGCCTCTCTCTTACTCACAGCTTCCAATTCTTGCTGACGATCAGTTTCCTCCTTTCGTTTCGTCTTTTTCCGCCCCGTCTATCCAGACAGGCTACGAAACCTCATTTGATTTTCCCTCTTTTTTCCTCCCCGCCACACACCATCTCGCTCTCCTTTCTGTATCCCAATCTCCGATCTCTTCCCCCTTCCTTTTTCTTCTATCCTTTTTTATATATTACTTTTTTCTTTTTATTATTCAGCTATTACTCTCTTCCGCCTTTATACCCCTCCTGTCATTCCTTTTCCCACACATCAGTCCTTAGATCACGACTTGATCCCTTCTCTTTCCCTCGTGCTCTCTGACGCTGTCTTCGTCTTCACTTCCCGCCTGGTCCAAGTCCTTGGCTCCGCTTCGCCAAGCTGACTCGGACCTGGGTGTTAGGCTCCCTTGTCCATGCCACGTTCATCGGCTACGGCTAGGAAGAGTCACAGCAATCGGCACGAGAACGGCGTCATTGGTTCAGGAAGGAAGGTGAACAAACAGAAATCCAATGGGCATCTAAATGGTATCTCTACCGGCGCTGCGGCAACCAATTCTGGCCCGTCTTCTCAAGTCGACTGGCCTTCGTCTCGCTCCTCCAGCGACGCAGCCATCGCCTCCCCGGTAGTGGCGACAACCAAAGCTAACGGAACAACGGACTGCTCGAAGACGGATGGTAACGGACGTGGTCAGCTGAATGGATACGCTAAGGGCAACGCGGACATGTCGTATGGACAAACAAATGGTGCGATGCCGCAAAATGGCGGACTGGCAGGGCAGGGGTCGCGTCGCACGGACAAGTCGGTGTCTGGTTCCAAGAGGTCGAACTCGACTGCCTCTGTCAATCCCCTTCAACTGGCGTCGACTATCCTCAAGTCGTGTCCGATGTATGACACGATCGCTATTCTGATTTTCCTCCTCCAGCTGCCGCCCATGGTGCTGACCCTGGTCCAATTCTTGTTCGCTTCCTTGACCTTCATGCCCCCCAGTGGTGCATCTTCAGGTTCCTTGACATCCAACTTCGATATCTTCCAGGGCCCGGCCGGTACGCCATCGCTCGGGACAATGATCGCGATGGACGGGTTCTTCTTGTTGTTTTGGGGGCTCTTTATGTGGACCTGGGCGCAAAATTTTGCTCTCGACTTAGCTCATGTTCAGGTGGCCATCACCTTGGGCGGAGGAGGATCCGGCAAGAATGGAGGAGTAAATGCTCTGTGTGTTGGCATTGTTCTGATTTTGCATCTTATTCGCAGTAAAGGTATACAGGATTTTGTGCTGGGCCATCTGCTCTCCGCCAAAATCATCAGTCCGGACCTACTATCGCAATATTCCCATCTTATGCCCTCGGAGTTTCGGCGTTCCGAACCGCAGTCCTCTCCGAGCTGGATCCGGAGTTTACTTGCAGTTCATATCTTAGCGCAGGCAGGCACGGCGATGGCAAGACGTTCAATGGCCAAGAATAGGTCCCCCGCTCCTTCTCGAACCGGCAAACGGGTAGATACCGAAGCGTCTGCTGGTTCGCAGACCATCGATTCTGCGTTTGAATCGGGGACCAGCATGTCTTCCTATATCGGCGCCGATGGGCAGCTTGTTACACCGGCAACACACAAGGACGGAAAGGACCGATTGGTTTCAGCAAAGAAACGCAGGCGGCAGGCAAACCAGGTTCGGAGCCGTCAGCCATTTTGGGCTGCACTCGCGAGTACAAAAGTAACAGTTATGAGGGAATACGAACACTCCAGGGCAATGTCGAAAACTGCACGTGGTCTTACAATGACCGAGCACGATCTCCAGGGCGTTTCTCTGGACGATGGGCTTGTTTGGATTACCGAAGTGGACACCTCTACGATCAAGTTCGCAGCGGGCGACTTTGCGACTCTCGATGATGCGAGCGCTTCGGGGGTCTGTGAAGCCGGACAGTATGGAGGCGAGGACATGGAACCCTTTTACGTTTGTGTCAATGGCGCTCTTTGGGCCACTGCCACGATATGTAAGGTTCAGGATGCGCCAAAAGGGTCGAGCACGGTACGTTGGCGCGGCGAGGTCTCTGGTCTCGCCCCCAATTGTGCTTACACCTGTTCCTTTGTGCGAAGCGATACCGACGAGGAGATTTGTGCCATGAGTGTCAAGACCCCGGTTGCCAATGATGCAGAACAAGGTACGTTGCTCGCCACGTCTGCTTTGTGTCCGGTGAAGCACCTGTCTGATCGTTGGACGTCAGCAGTCTCCACGGTTTCGACCCCGCCACAACCACTGTATCGACCGTCGTCGCCAACCACCACGTTGAAGAATTCCATTGTCAATGCCGAAGCCAAATTAAACGAGAAGCGGACTCGGTTGAGGAAGGCCAAGAATGATCATAAATTGGTCATTTCCAAGATCAAGAAAGAGCTGGAAAATTTCAACCATCGACTTCACAGCGGAACGGACGAAAATAGACAGAAGCAGCGCTCGCTGCAGCTGGAACGGAACATCAGACAAACGGAAGAGGCTACTGCAGCTCTGGATGTTCAGCTGGACAACTTGGAGAACATTCCGGAAGAGGAGCTTGAAGAATGGTCGGCTCAGAAAGCGAAGTTTGAGCACGAGCTAGAGCTTCTCAAGCAGGCCAAGGAAGAGGTGGTTTCCGCGCGATCTGCTGTTGCTCGGGAGGTGTCCTCCTTGGAGACTGATCTGAACTCGACAATCCAGCGACGGGAACGTCTCCAGGGTCGCCGCACCAGAGTCAACGAACAGTATGAGCGCATCGTCTCGGCCAATGCTCAGGGCCTCAACGAGCGAGAACGGCGGGCTGCGGAACAGTTTGCAAGAGAGCAGGACCAGGCGAAGCTGGAGACCAACTTCAACGAACAATTCGTCAGCATTACGCAGTCCGTGCAGGAGTATCAGCTGCGCACCAATCAACTCTGGCAACAATCGGCGACCATTGAGCAGGCCATCCAGCAACAGCAACAGCAGATGCTCTTGGAATCGGTTCCGTTAACCCCCGAAGGCAACCTGCCGGGTATGAACCCCCTTAGTGAGGCGTCCAGCCTGTCTCTGGGGTCCTTGACGACGAGCGGCCCCCACAACCGGTCACTACTCGGACTCAACTTTCCATCGCTGAGATCAAGTCCCCTCCAGCATGCGTCGTCTCCGGTGGGGGCTACCTCGTCGCATCCGACCAGCCCAACGCAGGCACCGTCTTACCTGCCGCACTTCCCCACGTCCCCGCTTGCGCACAGCAATTCCCCCTTCGAATCGGACTTTATCTATCGGGACCGGTCATTCTCGAATCGGTCCGGACGGAGCAGTCTGTACGGCTCCGACTTCATGGATTCGAGCAGACGAGTTCCGTTCCAGCTTGACCTGGCCGATATTGGTGCCGAGAAGCGGAGGAACTCCGGATCTGAGGGCAACATGCCCTCCCTGGGGCTGAGGCCGATTTCGAGCCCATTCCAACGGGCCGTGAGTCGTGCCAGTGGAAGCGGCAGCGGTGGCAGCGGTAGCGGTAGTGGCAGTCCCAGCTCAACAGGTGGTAAGAGCCACTAGATTTGTGGCTGAGAAAACAGAACAAAAAAAGCTCAAGAGTGTTCGATCCGTATCTCTGTTCCGTGCCTTTTGGTTGCATGTTTCTGGTTTCTGGCTTATGTGGAATCTATCGTCTATGGGCTTGGATTCTTGGGCTCTTCAGGGGACTGTCCTGGCATCTTTCGCTGATACATAGTGCGGTCAATATATGTCCTTATACTGTTCCAGGGATCACGGATGATTTCTTGTAGATTAGATCTGATATCTAGTATCGTATGAAGCCCTTGAAGACCGTGTCCCTCCTTGAAACAATCAATATGTGAATAGTTGGATTGATTTGGTAAATGAGCGATATCAACCTCCCCTAGGCATAAGGATATTTCTTATCCATCGTTCCATCTTGCTGACTTGTATTCCATAGTGTATTCCACCTATCATAGTCTGTGCGCAAGGAGAGAAACTGGGCGGCTGCTGATGTACATCACGAAATGCAGCTCAGCCAGCCACACGAACCATGCCCAATGGAGTGAATCTACACCACCGAGATCATTGTCGGAGTCGGCTGAATGAGACCGTCACACGTAGTCTGCATACCAGGTGCATGCATTCCTGGACCCTATGGTTATTGATCGATATGCATCTCCGTTCCCCGCTGGTTGCATTTGATCTGTTCAGCTCGAGATTGTAGATCTCAGGATGTGTCTTTGACTATTATTATTATTATTATCTTTTCCTTATTTCTTTTTTAAGAGTTCCTCGACGGTATGAATAAACATCGAGTATAGCTGCTTAGGCAGTCGATATTATCTTAGGCATGTGCCAAATGACGATCTATGAGGAAGTAAACTCTAATATAGACTTGACACTCACACAAACCTCGTCATGCAGAGGACCCGTCAACCATTCGGTATAGTTTTACTTCATACAACGTTACAACGCAGCTGTACCCTCGATATAGATTCATCTGTTGACTCAGCTGGATGCGTTGTTCACAGTGGAAGTTGACGTCCACTGGCTCAACAAACTCGGAGAGAGCGGCACCTTTGACGAACAATTGGAGCTGGATATCAAGAGGGTCTTGAGATCGGACGAGGACTTGTTCATGTTTGCGCAGGATTACGGAAAGGTTGATATCGTCGACTTTGCCAGAAGCAAGGATAGTAAACCAGAGGAGAATATCCACAGGGCCATGGCGGACCAGCGTTATGAGGGATGCACTTTTCCCCGCCGCGAGTCCTAAATACGGGTCTTATGCTGTTAATGACAGTCTATCCAGATTGGCGCTTTGAATACAGATACCCGGACTAGACTATGCTTGTTCCATGGGTTTATACTGTTTATTGTTGAATGCTACATTGACGTAGGCTTGAAGTAGACTGTATCTTTCTCATTGCGAGAAGAAACATGTTCAATCTCTAGAAGAGTTAAACATGTGTGAACTAAATCTAAGTATATCATAGAAATGTGGATAGATTCATTATCCTTTATCTACCTCACTTTCCATGGAATACGATCTACCACACACACTAAAATGTGACTGTGGCTGCCCTGTTTGAGTTGCACGTTTTATCTCCCTGATTGGTCCGATGACTTGCTCTGGCCTGCACATTCCAAGCAAGTAAATACTAATGTCTAAGAAATGAAAAGTATCAATATACGGCTAGATGCTGGAAAATCAAGTGACATGTGATACCACGGATGTATAAACCTATCCCAGATAAATTCCATTAAACGTGCTAACTTCAGTCTACACAGTACTTACCACAGACACATGCCTGAAGCTGATCCCATACACCGTCCCAACTTGACCCAACTAACCGACTCTACATCTCCACCTCTTGAGAATCAGCTATTCATCTGCCTAGGATGCTACTACATCGTAGAAGACCTTCTAGAATGCATAGAAGAAAGACCGGGCCGCAGACAGAGATCTAGATAACGATGAGATGCCTATGAACAGTATAGTACACGGGGGATGCTGGTAAGCAGCTTAATACAAACGTCCTCAATACACCAATACGGATCTAATAATCATAAATAGATAGAAACGAAACGTAAAGGCAGAATAAGAAATGCGCGGGAGACCATGGAGCGAGGATTATTCTACTGATTTCGAGACCTGATGAGTCTGGAGACCGATATAGCCGACGGGGCAACACTCCACGTACGGAGGGCTTATTGCTGAGTTCAGATAAGAAGCTCGAGGATACGGGTGTTGAAGATTATCAATTGAATAAAGAATTAACGGGAGTTTTAATAAATACTCGGATCGAAGGGCAGATGTAGCGAAAGAAGTCAGGACACTAAGAATTAGATGATAGGATATGGCATGTTTATCAGTAGCAATCTATATAGGTTCAATAATATAATGTTGATAGTAGTCTATCTAATCTCTATATACAATTCAAGTTTACCCAACCAACCTCTATCAATTCATCTATCAATCATACTTTACATATCGAGGTATCAACCTGATTCCAACAGGCATTAATAATCAAGACTAGATTATCCCCTGACCCATTTTCCAGAATCGAGTATTCGCATAAGTCAAACACAGATCCGTGGAAGTGCCCGTCTGCGGATCGGGATCTGAACTGCATGTGGAGAGAACGCGCACAACGGTCCCCACAACGATGGTGTGATCGGAAACAGTGACGTTATGAGGATGGAGGAAACATTCAAAAACGAAGGGAAAGGATGAATGACCCTTCTCTATGTCCGTCTCCGTCTTCTTCCGGAGTAAAGGGAGAGGTCTAGCATTGGGTGTTGCAGGTGTAGATGTAGATGTAGACGATGAAGCGATAGGAGAATGGGCAACGAATTCAAAATCCCCTTTCCCATTCATGATAGACAGATTATGATTTCCACGGGAGAAATCCCTAGCCAGACATGCGGGCTCTTTCTCCGCCGCAAGAAGATGGACGAGGAAGCGACGGGATGATTGTAGAGCCGTGAGAGTCTCCGATGGTTGACGTACATTGAACGAGATGACTGGCTGCGGACACAGCGTCACCGTGTTGAACGACGAGACGGTCATTCCGCGAAAGGCTTTCTGGAGGTCTGCTTCGTGGGGATCGGTTGCCGTGATGATGGCTACCGGGTATGGCACGCGACGCATGAGGAGACGCACTTGGTCGGAGAGAGTGTGAGATGGAGTTTGATCTGTGGGTTCAGGCTTGCAGTGTGTTTCAGGGCCGGTTTCTCCTGTTGTTATTGCTGCGCGCAATCCGGTGACGTCGGTGATAGTCCTGAGGGAGGAGCATTGTATACGAGGGAATCGGGACGGACACCGTACTCCTAAATTCCAATGTCAATATCATGGTATATACATCCTAATATAATAAAAGAAATACCGGATTTCCCCCCAATGCGACTCGCAACTCGCATAGGGAGCGTCATGCTGTCGACGCTACTGCAGCGTCACACTCAAGAAACGAGCGGACAGAAAGATACTGAACGGGGAAAAGACGGTCACGTCGTTTCACAGTCACCATCCTGAAGCCTCCAGAGGGCCTAATGGCAGGACATCATGCCGGGAACCGAGCAAGAGTGGGACTTTTATTTTCCTGTCCAGATCAAACCGAAGCTGAGAGTTACTTGCAGCACTTCCGATGCCATCCCATGTCGCTTATGTAATCATGCCAAGTTCGGCGGAAAGATTCATCCATTCATCCATCCTACCAGAAAGAATAGACAAGAGACAAGTTACCTCCATTCATTCCTATCTGGACAACCATAGTGGGAGTCAATTGATTTATATACACATACACGGACCATGTCTCTGGCAACTCCTCTCCGCCGCACGGCAAACACAAGTCGAATCCCGACGACCTCCACAACATTCATCTGCTCGCAATGTCGACATGCGACACTCCTCCGCCGACCCAAGAACCCCTACACATTCACGCAGCTGATCACACTCTCCGACGGAAGTACCTTCACGCATCGCACCAGCTCGCCGTCGCCGATTTATCGCTCCACCCGTGACTCGCGCAACTCGCTGTTGTGGAACCCCTCGTCGAGCAAGCTCATGAACGTCGAGGAGGACGAGGCCGGTCGATTGGCGGCGTTCCGAGCCCGTTTCGGACGCAGCTTTGATGCGAATGTAGCGACCGAGGAGGAAACGGGGGAGTCGAAGAAGCTAAGTAAAGAGGAGGCTGCTACTGAAGCGGCGGCCGCTCAGGAAGAGGAGGATAATCTGCTGGATTTGATTAGTTCGTTTGGACAGGAGACCGAGGGTCAGGGGTCGAAGAAGAAGGATTGAGGGTGGAGGTAGGATGGCGAGATTGCCCGTGGGACGGTATACAAGGGAGTGTATCCGGATTCATTCTCTTCCTGTTGTATTATAGGCTGCTTTGTTTGTACTCTTTGAGCTGGTGGATTGTATTCAGTTCCATCACGAAATGACCAATAATTTTGTACAAAAGTATCTCTTGCCTAGTCCTTTCGGTAATACGAGGAATGACAGGTGGATAGATTTAGATTATCCTTATTGATATCACACTATGCTAAACACAATATCCCGACAGCATGATTGCATTACACACTGGCCATAACTTTGAAAACAAGTCGTGCGCCACGCCATCCGTTGAAAATGGCGGGCCTCGTAATGGAACTTGAGCATGAAGGAGGGCATTCAAAGAGGTCGTTGGTTGTCGCTGTTATACAGGTCAAAAGAGAGGACTCGAAAGGAACGGCAAGGCATCTATCTACGCCTGCTCCTCGGCGGCCGTCGGGGGAGGGGTCTCAGGGTTTCCGTCTGCTGCTGGCCCGGCAGGAGCAGGAGTTGCATAGAAAGGATTGCCCTCTTCGCCCGCATCCAGTTGCAAGAGGAATGTTTCCCACAGCTCGATCAACTGTCACGCGCATTAGCAAACGGGAACAGACCGCAACACCAAACGCGAACGACTTACCTCCTTCTGCGCTTCTACAGCACTCTCCAGGAAGGTTTCCACCCCGGACTTGAAGTCTTCCACCTTCTCCTTCTCAAACCTCTGCAGCTCATTCCGCATCAATCGTCCCATATCCTCGAACAGCAGCCGGGCCTGGTGAACCTTTCGCTCGGCATCGGCCACGTCTGCGTTAACCTGGTTTAAGCGGTCTTGTTGCGTCTTGCCCTGCCGGAGGAGCTTTTCCTGGGTGTTTTTGCGTTTCTGCATTTCCGACTCGGCAGTGTGCCAGCTGTGGAAGGCCTTCTGTCGCTGAGAGAAAGCGGTTTTGATGCTGCCGATCAGGCGCAGATACTCATCTATGGTGATACCCAGGGTGAGGACGTCCTGCTGCGCCTGGCGCTCATACAGCTCTCTGATGCGCAGCTGCAGGTCTGACAGCCCATCCAGCGGACTGGACAACGCAGGGGACAGCTCGACGGCCGCCAAGGAATGGAGAGAAGCTGAAAAATCCCCTGCAGCTTCTGCTAATCCTTTCCGCTGAGCAGCCACGGTGTCGATCGCCTTCATTAGTGCCTTGAGCTGATTCTCCAGCGCATCCAGGTAAATCTTGCGATCATGGAACCACTGCAACCGCGTTAGCATCTATCGGACAAGACGGTGCTTCCCGAGACTTACATCGTCATGCTCAACGAATTTGCCCCCTCCGCCGACGCTGATGCCGAATGAGCTAAACATGCCCTTGCTCTGACCCAGATCCGGCTCCCGGTTCTCCTTGTTCTTCACATCGAGAGTGAAGCTTTCGCTTTCCAAGAAGATCTTGAGGTCACTGTCATGCTGAAGAATCGGGTGCGCCGCAATCTTGTTCAGCATCCGTTCCAGAGCAGCTCTTCTGGACTCGACAAAGTTGGTGTCAAACCGGCCAACTGCCTGCTTCTCGGGCGGAGGAGGGACCACCACGCCGGGGTTGTTGTTGTGCATGGAATTGTAAAGCCATAGAAAGTCGCGGTATCGATGACTGACAGTAAACTCGGGCTGACGATATGCTTTGGATGTGGTCTACACCTCGACATCAGCGGCACGGAAGTGGGATACCCCGCTACTAGAAGACAGAACCACCTACCTTGGTTCGCACTTGGTATACAATGTGGCTGCTGGTCAAATCTCCCACCTTGTGGGGATCGCCCACAGTGATTGCAAAGGTCGGATGGGCGGCTTTTTCGACGCTGATGCTAGGTTCCGACTGCCGTTTAAACCCGTCCGGTTCACTTGGGGGCTGCACCGGCGGAGGTCCCCTGAACGGCGGCCCCTCCTCTTCTATGGAGCTCATCATGCCCGAGGCACTCGGCGTCTGAGATGCAGACGAGGTGGGACGAGCATTCTGCCCTGCGGATTCTTTCTGGGGTGGCGTGGGAGCTTGCTCATTGGTTGCGGGAGTACTCTCGCCGGCTTTATCCCCAAGCGGACCCAGCGGATCAAACGTATCATCAACCGCCTCTAATTTCGTTGCCTGCGCGCTGATCTTGCGGGTACCTCGGGGGACACGTCGAACGGGGGAACGGGGAGTTGAGCTCGTCGGCTGGGACAACTGAGGAGAGGAGTCTGCGGGGGTGACGATGCGATTAGGAAGGACATGGGGTAAGGCATTCGACGGGAAGGAAACACGTACTGGGATTCTGTTCAGCGTCCGATTTCGAGTCACCTCGATTGCCGGCAGACTGCGAGGGAACATCTGCACTGGGGATTAGAGACTGGCCGATGCGACGGGAATCGTGACTGCCTACTTACCGCCCCACGGGGAGTCACCAGCGTCGATATCCATGAGGGCCGACTAGACTGGAAGCAATCAATGGATATATGAGGGAAAAAGAGAGAGGGGAATTCCGGAAAGTGCAAGACTGTCAAGTGCAGGATGAAGCGGCGAGAAGTTGAAGCAGTAAGTTGGGCAGGTGATTCGCGTCGACGGATTAGGGTTGCCGCCAAGCTTCTAGCCATTTCAGTAACTATATCTACAGAGTGCTCAGTCACTACTTCAATTACCTCTTACCATAGGTTGGTACACCATTGCATTGTCTAAGACTACGTTTGTTGATCTCATGGGGTAGGCTTGTATATAATTTTTTTTATTTTCTTTTCTTTTGCTTTGGGATATCCCAAACGAGGTCATAGTGTATCCATATAACATAGATCAATGATAAAACTGTCTATTGCTTGACCCATGGGATTCCCAGCTTGTGCATCTCCACCGCTAACTGGAAGAGATAATCCAGGCTTTCACACTGTGTCTTGGCTTTGGCAGCGTCGTCGCCCCAGACATAGCTATCCACCAAGTCAGCAATCACAACTGGAAATAAAAGGACAAATAAGAATAGATTCAACTTACATTCCATGTCTTTTCACAAGCACTGCGTAGGTGTCAGGGTTTGCCTCCATGGCTTTCTCCAACGAACCGGTCAGATCCTCCTCAAACGCCGTATTCTCAATAATGGGAATGCGCAGGGTGTCGTGGAAGCCCATCATTCCCTTGCCTTTACCACGGGGGATCCCCTTAATCTGTTCAATGTTGCTGATCTCAAAGTACCCTCCGGGACCCTTCTCGCGCTCCACCAACAGTGTCACCAGAACTGCCCATTGGGAGTGGGTGTGGATACAGCAGCCAGCCCCCCGCTCGAAGGCCGCCAGGAATAGCGGGGTGCATGCCGAAGGTTTTAGGGCCAGTGGTTTGCGGATATATTTGCGATCCTCGGGAGGGTACTTGGGGGTGGGATACTCGAGGACGAAGATGTTGTGGGGCTGCATCAATTCTTTCTGCACCCCCGAGGGTGCAATGAAGATGTGGTCGCCGCGACGGATCGACGTCTAGAGAAGAGATACGTCCGATTAGCCATGATCCCCACCGTGGATATACGGTCGGCTTACACCACCACCGGTACCAGTCACCCATCCCCAGCTATAGAATTTGCGGCAGAGCTCGGGGATCAGATTGGCCGGATGTTCGGGGTCTGTGGATTGGACCAGATGATCATTGCTGGTGGGGAGGTCCTGAGCCATGATGGTGATGGTTATGATGTCCGCACAAAATGTGGGAAGATCAGTCGGATTTAATATAATCTAGAATTAGAATAAAATATGCGACCGGGGGAAGAGGAGCGACCGAGGTGGGACAGGATGAGGCGACGGCGTAGGACACGACGAGCTGAGAGCGGGGAGAGAAAAGACTTATATACTAAGTATAGTTAAGTAACTATGTAGTAGTTAGTTATGGTGTCATGTAGTATTCCACCTTGGACACAGTCGGGAAGATGGCTGATTCCATGAAGTGTGCTTTCGGAGATCTCTATGTAGGAATTTCCTCTCACATCAATCCGATCTCGTCCATTGTAATCATCCATCTTCACTGTTCATTAACTATGATCATCAATTGTTCGATCACCTTCTAGCTGCTACCCGCTAACCGCATCGGGCAGGCGGCCTCAAACCCGGGCGGAAGACTGAAGAGGCCACCTGGACTTCAATCGCGATTATTTATACTTTGTACATGCAGCTCGCTCCTCCCTTCTCCCTTCCTCTCCCTCCTCTGCTGCGTGCGCTGTCCCAAGGTCGTGGTTTCTGGCTCCGACGGCTGGCCTGGTCTCCCTTCCTCTTGTGTCTGTCCTCTGGAGGTTCAATTGCGTGTTTTTGTTGATCTTCTTTTCCCTTCTTTTCTCCATCGCCCCTATCTATCTGCTCGGCCTTCTGAGCAAAACATCCCATCATGCGTATCAACGCTACTTTTACCTCGGCTCTGGTCTCTTCGGCCGCTCTCGTGGGCTATGCCTATGCAGAGCAGGCTGAAGCCCAACCCGATGTGACTTCTTCTGTCGAGAAGCCGACGTTCACCGTAGGTATTACCCTGTCATCGCTCAAGCCGAACTACCTTGTCCTTCCTGAATTTGATTTCTACGGTTATTCTTATCACCGATATTATTATTGTCTCTATCATTACCCCTCTCTATTCTAGATAAAGCATGCGCATGCCCTGCTACGTTGTCGCAACTGCTAACAGAACTCTTGCTAGCCGTCTACTATCAAAGCTCCCTTTTTCGAACAGTTCACGGACGGCTGGGAATCGAGGTGGATTCCTTCTCATGCCAAGAAGGATGATTCCAAGTCCGAAGAGGACTGGGCCTACGTCGGTGAATGGTCCGTGGAGGAGCCTACCGTACTAAAGGGCATCGAGGGTGATAAGGGTCTCGTGGTCAAGAACCCGGCGGCCCATCACGCCATCTCGGCCAAGTTCCCCAAGAAGATCGACAACAAGGGCAAGACCCTGGTTGTTCAGTATGAGGTTAAACCGCAGAGTAAGTGATCAAGCGACCGACGGCGTCCATACTCTCCGAACGACAGGCTGACGGTGTGGAATAGACTCCTTGGTCTGCGGTGGTGCCTATATGAAGCTCCTCCAAGAGAACAAGAAGCTTCACGCCGAGGAGTTCTCCAATGCCACCCCTTATATCATCATGTTTGGTCCCGACAAGTGCGGTGCCACCAACAAGGTACGGGACGAGAACTGATCATCTGTTTGTCAATTGCTGAAGCCAGCTGACACACTCCATCAGGTGCACTTCATCTTCCGTCACAAGAACCCCAAGACCGGCGAGTACGAGGAGAAGCATCTCAAGGCTCCCCCTGCCGCTCGTACCTCGAAGCTCACCTCTCTGTACACTCTGATCATCAAGCCCGACCAGTCCTTCCAGATCCTCATTGATGGCGAGTCGGTCAAGAACGGCACCTTGCTCGAGGACTTCACTCCCCCCGTCAACCCGGAGAAGGAGATTGATGATCCCAAGGATAAGAAGCCATCCAACTGGGTGGATGAGCCCAAAATTGCCGACCCCGAGGCAAAGAAGCCCGAGGACTGGGATGAGGATGCTCCCTTCGAGATTGTTGACGAGGAGGCCACGATCCCCGAGGACTGGCTTGTGGATGAGCCAACCAGCATTCCAGACCCCGAGGCTGAGAAGCCCGAGGACTGGGATGACGAAGAGGATGGCGACTGGATCCCCCCTACTGTTCCCAACCCCAAGTGTGCTGAGGTCTCCGGATGTGGCCCCTGGACCGCTCCCATGAAGAAGAACCCAGCCTACAAGGGCAAGTGGACTGCTCCTCTGATCGACAACCCAGCCTACAAGGGACCCTGGGCTCCCCGCAAGATCGCCAACCCGGGCTACTTTGAGGACAAGACTCCCTCCAACCTGGAGCCCATGGGAGCTGTAAGTCTTTTCTTTCTGATTAGGATCGGGTCCTCCAGTGGATGACTAACCTTATCCGACAGATTGGCTTTGAAATCTGGACCATGCAGAATGATATTCTGTTCGACAACATCTACATCGGTCACTCCGTCGAGGATGCCGAGAAGCTCCGCAAGGAGACTTTCGATATCAAGCACCCTGTGGAAGTGGCGGAGGAAGAAGCTTCCAAGCCCAAGGTTGACGAAAAGGCTCCTACTACCAGTGTTAGCTTCAAGGAGGACCCAGTCACCTACGTTCGTGAGAAGGTGGACTCCTTCGTCGGTCTCGCCAAGCAGGATCCCATCAACGCCGTGAAGCAGGTTCCCGAGGTCGCTGGTGGTTTGGGTGCCTTGCTGCTTACCATGATCCTCATCATCGTGGGCGCCGTGGGATCTAGCACCCCAGCACCCGCCCCTGCGGCCAAGAAGGGCAAGGGAGCATCCGGAGCAGCCAAGGAGAAGACCGGTGCTGCCACCAGCTCTTCGGCGGACACGGACAAGGGCAAGGCCACCAAGCGGACTACACGGTCGTCGGCGGAGTAAACAAGACGTCGTTTTTGCACCTCTTTTGACCGGGGCAGACTCGAAGCGAGTAGGGAAAACCACATGAGATTAAATACGAGAATTTTTTCAATACCAAATTGATACCAGTTGAAGTTTTCCATTTTCATGGCGGATCCCGCGGTGAGGCCGAAGGTCCATTGACGGGATGTTACTATCTCTCTATGTATGTAACACTGATGCGGTAGGAGAGGGCTCCGATTTTATAGGGGAAGATCTGGGAAGGCCTGTAAAGTAGGGAAGGATAGGCAGTTTCGTCCCAGGGAGGGATGCGTGTGAAGAGAATTAATGGTTCAGACAATTGAGTTGAGTTGATTCCCACGCAGAGCGACTTCCCCCATTTAAACCACGTGACTACCACCGCCGTAAAATTGCCCCTCGCGATGCGCCATTGACTCACGATCTTCTTTCTGCCCCGTCCCCTCCCCCACTTTGTTTGCTCGTACCAATCTCTCCGAATCCAAGAATGGCTGAAGAAAACACACCATCTTCCCACGACCAGGACATCAACCCCTGGTCTGTGGAGGGGGCGCGAGACGAGAACGGCGAAGTCGCCTCGATTGACTATGAGGCCATCTGCCAGTATGTGACGCCTCGCCGAATTCCCGGCGCTGACTCGTTGGATCGACACACCGGGGGTTGCTAATAACAGCTGTGCAGAAAATGGAACACCCAGACCATTGACCATGAGCTCCTGGAGCGTTTTGAGAAGGTCACCGGACACAAGCCGCATCGCTGGCTCCGACGGGGCCTGTTCTTCAGCCATCGGGACTTCGACAAGATCTTGACCCGGTACGAGCATGGCGAGCCGTTCTTCCTCTACACTGGTCGCGGTCCCAGCACCGGCAGTCTCCATCTGGGCCATACGATCCCGCTTCAATTCACAAAATGGCTCCAGGATGTCTTCGACGTGCCGCTGGTATTCATGTTGACAGACGACGAGAAGGCCCTTTTCAAGGACAGCGTGAGCTTCGAGGACGCCTTACATTTCGCCATGGAAAACGCCAAGGACATCATCTCGCTAGGATTCGACGTGAAAAAGACTTTCATCTATAGCGATCTGAAGTACTTCGGGAACCATTTCCTGATGAACGCCTGGGAGTTCTCCAAGCTGGTCACCTTTAACCAGGTGCGCGGTGCATTCGGCTTCAACGAAAGGTGACTCTCTCCCTCCCGATCTCCCGGTCTCGCCTAGATCCATAGACTAATCTCGAGCAGCACCAACATTGGACGCATCTTCTTTCCCTCCCTGCAGTGCGTTGCTGCCTTCGCCACTTCGTACCCGGAGATCTGGACGGACGAACCCCAAGTGACCCGAAACCAAAAGATCGCCGACATCGCCTGCTTGATCCCCATGGGAATCGACCAGGATCCATATTTCCGTCTCCTGCGTGAGAATTCCCATAAGATGAAATACCCGTCCCCGAAGCCTGCCCTGATCCACTCGAAATTCCTCACTGCTCTGCAAGGTGCGGGAGGGAAGATGTCCTCATCGAACCCCAACTCGGCTATTTTCATGGATGATACCCCTAAACAGATCAAGGTATTCCCCCTCTCTCTCTGCCAGAGGCAAATAAACTAATCGTCACCTACAGACCAAGATCAACAAATACGCATTCAGCGGCGGCCAAGTCAGCATCGAAGACCACCGTCGTCTAGGTGGCAACCCAGACGTAGACGTCTCATACATCTACCTGACGTATTTCGAAGAAGACGACACCAAGCTCGAAGAGATCTATAAGAACTACAAGAGCGGCGCGCTCCTCACCGGCGAACTGAAGAAGATGGCCATCGAGACCCTGCAGGAATACGTGGGTGAATTCCAGGAACGGAGAAAACAGGTCTCCGACGAGGTTCTCAGCGAGTACATGCGGCCGCGCAAGTTGCAGTGGGCGGGTAATCCGAATCCGACTCCGAAACCACTGGTGACAGATTTGAAGAAGGGGTCGAAATAATTTATTTGATTTTTCCTTTTTTTTTCTTGTTTGGCACTTAGGAGGGGTGATACGTAGAGAGCAGTGGATCGTTGATTAGTGTCATTTCATCGGATTCACTGTGACCACCATGAAGAGTTGATATATAAGACACGATAACGAAAGACATTAGAATAAACAAAATAAGAATGAAATAAAGAAAAGAATTCATATTCATAATAATGATGGCCGGCCGATGATTATATATCACATATCACACTAAAGGGAAAGTAAACCGAAATTCAGATTCAATCTGTGACTTCCGTCATGTAACAATATCCACGTCATTCTAGTGTCCGGTCCTTCTTTTACTGATTTGATTATTCACTTTCTTACGAATGAGTTGGCATCACCACATGTGCCTTGGTACTTACGGCATCTTCAGCCCTCCACAAACTCGTCACTGTCTTCTGCTGCGTATAGAACTGTAATCCCGGCTTGCCGTAGAACGTGTTTGCGCCACCGCCGGCAATACTCTTCTTGTTACCGGTGAAGGAGAACATGGGCAGCGGCACGGGGATGGGCACATTAACACCGATCTGGCCGGCTTCGATATCCTTTTGGAATCGCGACGCGGTGGGTCCCGAGCAGGTGAAGATGGCGGCGCCGTTGCCGTACTCGTTCTTGTTGATCAGGTCGATGGCGTCTTCGAGGGTGGGCACGGAGAGACAGATCAGGACCGGGCCGAAGATCTCCTCCCGGTAGCATTTCATATCCGGGGTGACGTTGGTGATGATGGTGGGTCCGACCTGGATGGGGTCTGTTAGTGGGAAGTTTATGGTTGCTGTTGTTAATGTTGTGAGGTGACTTACAAAGTTGCCGTTGGGGTAGTTCTCGGGCTTGTAGCCCCGTCCGTCTAGCAGGATGGTGGCACCCTCCTCTTCGGCGCTGGCTATTAACTCTTCAATGCGCTTCTTGCTCTCCGGGCTGATGACGGGGCCGAGGTCGGCTCCTTCTTCGAACCCGCCGTTGACGTTCAGAACCTTGGCTCGTTCGGCGATATCAGGGAGCCAGTCCTGGGTTTCGCCCACCATCACGACGGTGGAAAGCGCCATGCAGCGCTGACCGGCAGCGCCAAAGGCGGCGCCGACGATAGCATTCAGGGTCTGGTTCTTGTTGCAGTCGGGAAGCACGGCGGCGTGGTTCTTTGCACCCAGGTTGGCCTGCACCCGCTTGCCATTTGCTGAGCCACGAGTGTAAATGTATTCACCCGCCCGGTTGCTGCCGACAAAGCTGATGGCCTTGATAGCGGGCTCATCCAGGATGAAGTCGACGGTCTTAGCGGAGCCATGGACCAGGTTGATCACACCAGGAGGGAAACCAGCCTCCCGGGCCAATTCGGCCAGGATCATAGCTGCGCCAGGATCCCGCTCCGATGGCTTCAGTATGAGACAATTCCCGGTCACTGTAGCAATGGGAATACACCAGAGAGGGATCATGGCGGGGAAGTCTAGTGGGAGCGGTTAGTATCGGATAAGACAGGCGGGTGGATCCCTCGGTACTCCGGAGTAGAGTAGACACGGCGAATGACGGGAATGGGAGGAACTCACTGAAGGGGCAGATGGCCGCAACAACACCCAGAGGATCTCGGTAACTTCTGGTCTCCATGTCTTTGGCGACTTCGAGCACTTCACCCGTGAGCTGACTAGGGATGCCACAGGCGGTCTCCGCGACCTGCAGGCCACGGAGGACATCCCCCTTGGCATCGGCAAAAGTCTTGCCCTGTTCCAAGGTGATCGATGCGGCCAGACGGTCCCAGTTGGCACGGATCAGATTGACGAATTTGAACATAATCTGCTGTCGAGCCATGACGCTGGTCGCACGCCATGCTGGGAAGGCCTTCTCCGCCGACTCGACGGCAGCGCGTAGTTCCTCATCTGTGCTCTGGGGCACTCGGGTGACGAGGTTGTTGGTGGCCGGGTCATGTAGGTCAATCCACGTAGAAGCCTTGGATGGCACAAACTGGTTATCGATGAAGTTGGTGGTGTCGATGGGGTTAGCAATCGGTTTGTGGTCGGTCGGGTAGTCGGTGGCGGTAGTAGCCGCGGATGTGGTTGCGGGGGTGAGTTGCTGGGCTGTGGCGTGGAGTCTGCGCGCAGCAACGAAAGAGGCAGGCGATAAAGACGAGGTGGAGGAGCGTTGGGTAGCGAGCACCGAGTATGAGGACATAGTAGACGAAGACGACAAAGAACGAGCAGAGGAAGCAGCCCTTGAAGATGAAGCCATCGCGGTGCGGGGAGACGCAGCACGGAGAGCGGGGAGAGATCGAGACAGGGACCGACGGGCAGCGGCCATGATGAGAAAGAAGATGGACGAGGATGGGGATCGAAAAGGAAGAGGTCGATCAAGTCAGTCAACAGAAGAAAGCTGGAAGAGAAAGTTGACTCAGGACGAAGTGGTGGACTGGGAGAAGTTGGAGAAGCCATTTAAATAAGGCACGCTGCATGCGTATCGTTACCGTAAGCATGATCGCCGAATTTCCCTATAGAGCTTGTGTCGGCGCGGGGGACCAATCAGATACCGCGATGATAGCGGTTCCTGACGGACAGTTGATAATACCAATACCGGGATTGCGCCTTTACCACTTGGTATAGGTATACTATAAAAGGTACTATACTATGCATGAAGGCAACATTCAGTAAATGACAATCTACAGTATATACAGAGAGTAAGAGTCCCTATATATCTAGAAGACCAATCCACCTCCTATACACTGTTAACGTAGCCCTACAAAAAATCCACTGGACGACGACTTACCATCTACCACAATATCAGCCCCATTCACATAACTCCCTCCAACATCACTGCACAAAAACACCACCGGTCCCGTGAGCTCCTGCGGTGACCCCATCCGTCGCATAGGATTACGGTCTGCCCAGCTCTGTCGCCATGTCTCCAGGTCGTCACCCTCATTGAGCACCGTATCCATATACCCAGGGGAGATTGAGTTGACCCGAATCCCATACCGCGTCCATTCCGCCGCAAGACTACTGCGCAGGTGCAGCACCGCCGCCTTGGACGCGTTATATGCTACCTGCGGCTGGGGGTAATTGACACGATGGCCACTGATGGACGACACAAATATGATCTTTCCTCCGCGTCTGCTGGCAATCATATGTCTATTTCGGGGCGGATTAGCAGCCACCCTCCTCATCTTACCCCTGGAGCAGTAGCAATGTCGACTGACCGTCCAAACACCTGTGCCGCAATCCATGACCCCGTCGTGTTCACATCTATTACTTGTCGCCATTGCTCGACGGCGAGGTCCTCCGCGTTCACGCAGTTGACCATTCCCGCAAAGCAGCAGAGGATCTTGATCTCGCCGAGCTGATCGCGTACTTGGTGGGCTGTATCGGCCATCCCCGGAGCATCCGTCACGTCGCAGGCTTGCGTGGTAATCTTCACGGCGGGGAAATCTCGTCGCAGCGTTTCGATCTCCGAGATTGCCCTTTCGAGTGCCTGGGGAAGATCGAGTAGCGCTATTCCCGATAGCCCGTGCTCGAGGAGGGCGCGCGCAGACGCCAGGGCCAGGACCCCGGCACCACCGGTGACTTGCTGGATCGTTGGCTGGAGGTGATCTGGAAAAGACGAGCTACGTTTGCTATGTGGGTGGATGGAACGTACAGACTGCGTAGCCACTGACAGCGAACCTCAACGTCGCGCGCTGCTCGGAGGTACTGGTTTCGGGGAAAGCAGCTGGCGGCGGCGTCATCGTAGTTGCGGGATCGAGCTGCCCCAGTTGGATCCATGGCATCTTGGTTGGGGTTTCTTTCTCGGTCGTCATCGTGATCTATAGCTCTGGGGAGATATGGAGGATGGGAATATCAGGCTTTTAAGATTATGATGGTCTTGGTGGATTAGATTAGAGAGGTTGAGTGTTCTATCCAGATTCAACGGTGCGGAGATTTACCCCTCATTCCGACCATAGCCGATTGATCCCCCTGCCAGCACCTGCACGCCAAACGTCATCGTCGACAGGATGTGGAGTATATTGGAGGCTCTCTATCTGTGGATACAAATAACGGTGGCTACTTATACGGAGCTGGTTGATCTGCCAGCCTTACAATTCCCGTACACCACCGGATTCCACCGGGTTCATACGCTCTGCGGATCCCAATCCTGCCATTGACACGCCTACATGAACATAATAGAGCTGCAGTGGAAAGAACTATTCGTTTCGGTCCATGGCCCCATCCCGTAGGTCAAGGGAAGACGACGGCATGGCTACTGCTCCGACCATACATTAGAATACCTAGCATCATCGAGGCGCATTAGAAAAGGACGCAAAAGCAAAAAGGGACCGCCAGCAGGTAGACTCATGTAAAATGTTACCCAGATTTCCACGTCACTCTCTATGTACGAGCACTCCTGCTTCGACAATCATATGACTCATCTGTCATCGATAGCCCGTTAGCCATAAGGGACCGAAGAAATAAATGCAGAAATATGAACGAGCAAGGAGATAGATAACCCGGTCTGTCACAGACCACACGTAAGGTTCCTAGGACCATATTATAACCGCAACGCCAGGCGATTTGATGTGAATCGTTAATACCCCTCGTCCTCCCCTTGTTGGTAGACATGTCGGGTCCTGGATGGGTCTTTCCGCATCTGCTGGCCAGATCCGGTGAAGCCCACTGTAAATGCACTGCGTCAGCATCTATCTCAGGGTCAACGCGTCGTGTACAAAGCGAAGAAATCTTACCCCGCGCATTTATACTGTCACCGGTACGGAACATGCTCTCCTTGCGTCCCAATTTACCCTTACTAGCAAAGTCCTTCCACTTCATTTTGCCCGCCTCCAGCTCCCGTGTGGCTTTGACCTTCCTGGGCACCTTCGCAGGTCGTGCTGGTCCATCGCCAGCTTTACTGGGCTCCTTGCGGGCCTGATTGGCTAATGTGGGGTTGATATCCGCCGCCGCCGAAATCACACTCGAGTGTGGGGGCTGAGGGGTGGGAGGTCTGGGTGTGGAGCTGCCTGAGTTTCCATCAGCTTTGCGCTTGCGCGAGTCATTGCCGGAAACGGGCCGGAGATCCTTTGCGGTTAGAGATTCCACCGTGCTGTATGATTTGAAGGAGACAAGGTAGACGGGGTTGCTGGAAGAGCCGGTAATAGAGGTGATGCGGGCAGGGTAGAAGGAATTATCGCCCGAGGCCCAACGAGCGAGAACGTGATCATTAACGGAAAACGAGGCCGGGGTCGATGCTTCATCAGTCTGTTCCACCACTGGCTTACGATACCCTGACTGAAAGGGGGCCTGTGACTCCCTGAAGCCTTTCTCTTTGATGGGAGGGGACGGTTTGGAGGAAGGCGGAGCGGCCGGTTTCAACTCGGCGATAGACGTTTCCGTGAGGGTTATAAGTTCTTCCAGCTCAGCCTTGAGACTTTGTAGTTCCGTGTTATCTGGGTCTACCTGCAAACTCGATTGAACGGTTTCAAGCTGAAGCCATCAAGCGTTAGGACAGACGTCGATGGAGATCTAGACTGGGTGAGCGATGTACCTGTAGCTTGAATTCCTTGACCTCGGCCTCCAGAGCTGCCACATCTGCCATGGCTAGATGGGGATTTGACGGGCGGAGTAGAAATAAGAAATTAGATTAGATTGTATGTGTTCAAATCGAAATGACACGGATCTCCGTCGGATAAAAAGACAAGCAGCGAACAGGGAGGTGACGTGGGCCGAAGAAAATGAGCAATGAGGTTCTTTGACGGTCGGCATAAGAGATGGAGATGGCACGTGCACCGGCAGTCCCTATATACCTGTCCACGTGACCTATACCACCGTCCGGATCTCAACGCGGCGAATCTGATCTGATAGGCGATCCATGGCAATGGTCTGCATGCACCACGGTCAACGATCTCAATCTAGACACAATTTACCGCGCCCCACTCTGTTTAGCAGTTTATGAACACGATGAGAAAAGTGATTGTCATGTCGCTCGGGGAGCGAACTGAATGGGACGGGGCTGGCCAGATATCAACCACAGATGTGGATTGTGGTCACCGTCCACTGAATCAAGGCCACAGCACGCGTTTCGGATAGATAGTTGGCCGATTGCCACCTGAGTTTCAAGTCCCTCACATGGATACGATCCAGAACCTAATCGCCATACAATATCGCCTAGATATCCACATTTCGTCTCAAAATAGCCATCTTGTCGGCTATCTCGTATTGACAATAGTCACAGTATGACATCAACGCCGGTCCTACGGAATACATTGAAGTTGCGACCATGCACGATAGAACAAACTTTGTTGATGTGACATATGACTGCGAGCCGTCCTGGTCCGATAGTCGGAGGGATACGTCAGAGAGGAATGGGGAGTCTGGCAGGACTGGGGAGCCTCGAAGGACTGGGCGTACATCAAGGCCCTCCAACGGTTCAGTTTTTTAATGTTCATTGCACCGACCTTCATCGAGGCAATAGACTACGTGAGGCGCAGCGGTTTGTTTAGTCAGCGAAACAACCATTGCCCCCCTGGGAACATTATTTCCTCGACCCCGACCCTAACAGGAGTACACAGTTATTCCTAGAATCCTAGATACTGACTTTCAGTTGTCTTCTTAAGTAATACTTACTCGTTCGAGGCCCAACGCATTTTGCTCTTCCGGCCGCATACCATGTTACCCATAATTAACTAGCGGGTAGTGGGTTTGTGATCATGGACAGTAATTTAGTCCTACTATAAACCAATTTCCTTAGCCCCTCCTAACATGTTGTTTCGCCCTCCTAGCAAATAAATGCAATGGGAACCAACGATAAGACTTGCGTTGGCTAAATTAAGGATCTTTTTTAGGTTATGATCAGTCTAAAAAGAAATTGTGATTTGATCGAAAAACGCCTTCATTCTCCAGATAAATTAAGCGGAATACATGTGGCAATCCTACATAGATCATGTTGCATACCATGTTGATTTACTTATGTGTTGGATGAACTTGTGTAAATCTACACAAGTGGGAAATCTTCATATGTGTACTTACATGATCTGAAATTTTCAGGTGTACATTAATGTGCATTGCACTACAGATACAGCTAAATAAGTGAAAACCCTATCTTGTGAGCGAATATGATCGCGATCAATTCAAGTCCAGATTTTCATTTCTTGCGACTCAAGTAAGATGAAATTGTAAGGCAATAAAACATTTTAATTAATTTAAGCTTATACTTGCTCTATGCTTCTACGTGCAGATAAGGTCGATCAAAATCCTTGTGGTGGTCATAGACCGCGCTGCTGAATTCTTCAATATTAATGCCCTTTCATCTTTGAGGGTGTGTGATTTATTCTGGACTTGGCATTCAACTTCAATTGCCATATCTCCACCTGGCTCCACTGATCTCCACCCTACCCTCAAAATGTTGAGTGGCGTCGTTCTAGCTCGGAACACCTCATTTGAACCCAGGAAACCAACGGCTGCCTCCAGCAACTGTGTCTGTGATCCCAATACCAACAAGGCTCCCAGGAACGAGGAACACTATTCCCAGATACACTCCCGTCGATCCCAGAGATGGTTCAGAAGGCCCTGGGACCTGTGTTGCTCCTCGAGCCCCAAGTTCGGCTCCTGGGGCCGACAAAGGGACATTACGGAACTGCCTCTTTTGGATTAGCCGCACTCTGGAGGTCCCGCAGAATTGATTTTGATAAAATGAGTAGATCTCAACGCCGGCGATTCACCCACCTCGTCACTTCAGAGTTCTCTGGCCTTGGAATATCATTCCAAAATAGTATCGATTCCGCAGAGCAGTGGCTAGCCCCCTCTACAGTGGATGCGACCGAATAGACGGGGCAACTGATTAGCCAATCATAGAATATTATTGCATTGGCTTCGGAGTCAGCCAGCTTTGGACGACCGATATTGACCAACCCTGAGGGATGGAAGTCCTGTCCAGATTCTAAGTCTAGATGGCCCAAATTCGATATCAGATCTACGCTGCTTGTTGCAAATCACTCATATACACTTAGATAACTCTAAGTAAACCACCCCGCAAACCCCGGGGGCTATCTGGGTAATCCATAATCCACATTGAACTTATTCTCTGCATCAAGTCAAGCTGTTGATTTCAACATTCTTGAAACCACCACTTCCATAATGGCCATACAGACCAGCCAATCCACTCTTCAACCCATCATCAGTAACAGAAAGATTAGTACTTGCCCCTCCGTCCTCGCTGAGCACGGCAGTGAGCTTATTCGATTGAACAGAGAAAGACATATGATATAGCTTCTTGACTTTGATTCCCCCGGAATGGGAAGCTGATTTCAAAGCAGTCGATGTATCAGTTACCCGGTAGACAGTAAGCTTACCGCTATTACTATCAATGGCAGCCGTATATCTTGTCAGAAAGTTTGGAGCAGAGAGTGAAGCAGATGTCCGCGCAACCAGGCCAACCACCCCCGAATCGCTCGTGATGATAACGTCTGCACTCATCTTATAGTCCGTCCATCCAGATGATCCTGTAATGGCAATTGTGGCTGGTTCTGTGACTGGTGCAAACTCGTACTGGTCACCAGAAATGGACCAAGTGCCATTGAAATCAATCCAGCCTGCTTGGCCCTTGGTTGAAAAGTTGGAGGAATATGGCAATTGTCCAATGGTCACTGACCCAGTTCGTAGCTCGCAAGGCAGTTTATCGTTTGGTATGCCTGGAGTCTCAGGTAAAGTCGCTTCGGTGGTATATAGAATGTTGTTGTCTGGTAACACAAGCAGGTTGGGGCTGTAGTTCGCGCCACAAATATCGCTACTGGGAGGTGGATGCCATGGCGATGTTGCCCACGCCCAGTCACCCTTTCCATACTGTGTATTTATAAGAACGATTCCTTCGTTCTCCGGTGTTAATCTTGATAATTCCGTATGCCATCGCCAGGACCTAGCAGAAACAATCAATGCCTTTTGTGAAGCGTCCCAAATGGTATATGGACTTCCGCATGGCTGGATTCCATCTGGGGTGGATATGACCGTTCCTGGATAATGTTTATCCCATGTAACACCGTCAGGGGATGTCTTCACATGAACGGGGCATTGTACACTGTTGTCAGTACCTCCATGTCCATCATCTTTACACCATTCATAGCTCATCAGATACTCTCCATTATCCATTCGAGCAACAGTGGCCATTCCAGGTCGCCATATCTGTTCAGTGCTAACAACATCATTATTCACTGGAGCCGACCATGTATCGCCACCATTTTCAGAGAAAACATGGACCAATTTTTGGGCATGGTGTTTCCAATCTCGCTGGTCTGAGAATACTGCAACAAGTCTGTCCTTACTATCCAAAAAGAGGAATGGCTCCCAGATACCACTCGTGGCACCGCCACCGGGCTGCCATCCCCCAACAATATTCCATGTTTTCCCATGATCGCTCGATCGCCATGAAAAGAATCTACTTTCCTTTTGATTGAACAAATTCCCAACGAGAAGTATAGTACCCGCCGAGTACTTTCCCAGCTGCTTGGGAAACTCGAAAAAGAATGGCTGGTAAAAGAAATAGCTGACGTGGCCGACCTCTTTTTCTCGAAGCGCCCTGGTCATTACTCTCACGAATAATGTACCCAGCTGCAGTTCCATTGTGTGAATTCTTGTCTCCTAATGTGCCATTTCTATACCAGTGTTCCCAGGTCGCGAGTAATTTTCCATTTTCATCACCTGCATGTTGAAGTTGAATGACTCGAGCATAACCATTGCCTTCATTATGAAGTGGAGTCCATACAGGAGTTCCTGCTGAATCTGCGGCTGTAGATTGGAAATATGTTGCCGCCAGGTGAATGGCGATGCCGGTTGCGAGACTGATAAATCTCACCATGTTGTGTTTCACGATTCAAAGAACACGGAATGTGAGAAATTGGTGTCTTAACGAGCGATAGAAGACGAATTGATGGGAGTATTTATAAATTCCTCGGAGTCATATTCAAGCTTTAGATCACGTACTTCTCAGTTCGCAATGTTAGGCGTCCCGATCTAAATCCGTATTAGGTGAAGATTGTCTATTCTCCATGACATATACAATGTATTGGCTTTTTAGGCGGCCACCTTGGATATCCAGGCTTGATTTGATTGGTTTTAGTTGCGACGAAATAATCTAAAGAAATAATAATGTAGATCTTTGACTGCTGAACCTCCCGAGGTCAAATTAAATCCTTGATATAGTTCTGCCTAACGGGTTGCTTTTGGCATCATATAGTTACCCTGGTTTCTCTGCGACAAAGAAATTTGTCAGCTATGAATCCATCTGAGCGCAATAGAAGCATAGCCTTTTAAAATAATAGAACCTTGTAACAATAGCGATTTCCTACATCGCATTATCGAGTTTTATGTACGAGATATAAATAGTTTTGACAAACTGGTAACCCTGTTTGTTAATAGTTTGCCGATTTCCCAATTTTGATCAAAGGACGATAGATTTGTGTGCTATCATTCAAAACTCTGTAGTTGCCAAAATCAGATTGCATAACTTAATGCCAAGCCAATTCCAAACTTAGCTCACTGCCTCAAACTCGACATCCTGAATCCCGTGTCTTCCACTTATCGACCTTGATTCCCTCCTCTCGAACCATCTTTTTACTGCCTGAGGCCTATTAATTGCTGAAATGTAGGTCGCCCTGCTCTTCCTCCGTCAAGGTTGGCGATCGACGCAAAGGGTATTCTGGAGTGGGCTCAGCCATGGCATCCAGTGACTCCTGCCCCCTCTCCATCGCAGATGCTTGCGCCTGAGGTCCTGGAATATTATGGGAGCGCTGCCAAGCCTCCCAATCCTTCCAACCCACGCCAAATGATCGAATGTTCTGTTCTGGGGCCTCATCAATGCCAGTTGACATAGGAGCTTCCTCTCTTTCCCTAACGAGGATTGGGTACTCTGCTGATGGCTGCTGCGCCCTGGCGATAGTAAGATCTTGCCGCAGAATTGCTTGCCAAGACTCTTGAGACTTTTGAGCCGCCAGGATGCGACGTTTTTAGCATCTGCTGGCTCAATAATATCCTTTTTCCGTCATCAGAGCTCAGATAATCATCTGATAGCTTGTCATGCAGAATGACCATTTCAGGCCCCTTCTAAGATTTCCCTTCACCGTTAATTCAGCTTCCGAAGAAATATTTAAGTGTATACGCACGTTCACACTAGTTCAACATCTATTTTATGGATACATCTTCATATATCACACTCTATTACTCCAAACGATTATTGCTTGAGTAGACGAATGTTGAGAAATTATGCTGGGGGTTCTTCTTTGTATCACTGCTTAATAATGTGGGTAGTTATAGGGCAAACAGTCGAAATGTCTTGAGAGGGCAAGGGGCTGATTCTTTTCAGGTTGACACCTTACGGACGGGCTAGATCAGGCTGGTTTTCCATACACTAATACCTGTTTCCATCCATACTCGGTATGGATTATTATGGACCGTCCATACTAATACCTATTCCATACCCGACTGCAATGCTTGGCATTACTTTGTAGGCTGGTTATCGATAATAGGTAATCGTTAATAGTTCTTGGCATTACATGTCTGTTACTGAAATTTTGGTTTTTGAACCTCTATGTTTCCAAATTTAGTCTAAATGTGATAATAATTTAGCAGTTCGTAGATAACTATAAGATTTAAATGTTAATTAAATTTTACAAAAAGATCTTCAAAACTGGCTGAGTTAAATGGGGTTGAATAATAGTACGATAAAGTCAATGGGGTATGTAAAAGTATGGACAAGTATTCCATCCATTCCATACTAATCCATACTAAAGTAGTTATGGATTGACAGGCTTAACAATACCCGTATGGAAAACCAGCCTGGGCTAGATGAGAAGGTAGACCAAGTTGAGCGCAAAATGCAAGAAGACAACCCCTGAAGCATCACGGTATGTTGCTATGAGGGCATCTTCCAAACCGTTATTGCCTCGGGCGCGGCTATTACTACTGTCATGAAGATTGGCAAATCAATCAAAGGATATTTACGCCGCGAGCGTGGTTGGAGGTATATATAACTACGGAAACAAACACATGATCCTTCAATAAACTCCAGGCCAAATTACGTTTCAGACACGTGATTTAATTGGAGATTGATCATAATGTCGTCTATGAATCGGGAGGAGATATATTATAGGGAACAGAAGATGAGAACAATGACGGGGATACAGTATGGAGTCCAGCCGTGAGGAAGGTCCGGCGGCTGGGGGGCATAACTTCCTACAGGGGCACATGGCAGCCCTACTCGGCACATTCAAGCTCCTCCGAGAGCTCAACATCGTTAGTACGTGGCGTTACTGCCTGCTTGCCTGGCCGTTTCTGCCTGGGGGACGTAAGATCTTAAGCGATTCTGGCTAGAGCGTAGAAAGTGGCAGAACGTCGGAGGCGCAGCCTTTCCTTTCCCGTGCTGGCCTGATTTCTAAGCACGCCATGCGATTTTGCTCTCTTAAAGCGGCCTTGGTGTATTAGCCACGTCCATTGGCTGGTCCACAACTTCCCTGGGACTGGAACCAATCATTTTGGCTGAAACATGCGGCTGTTTTATCACAGAGTCCACCGCCCACGGGAAGGTAAGAGTCACCGCAGTTCGCCCCTCAGGCATGCAACAACGATTGACTCCATCAGTCCAATTCGACTCAATCTTTCGCTCTCTTTCCCTCTTTTCTCTCTTTTCAAACCCCATCGAAGAGAACCCAACAGGCTTCGTTTCGTGGTTGGTTCGTTCAGTCACCTTCCATCCTGCCATCTATCCCTTTCCCTCATCTCATTACTTTTCCTCAGTACACTTCTCTCCTCCTACGCACCCTCTCACTTTCTGTTTCCCCCTCTCTTTTTCTCTCCTGCGTCCGTCTCTGCCTTTCCAATTGGCCTGAAACCCGGCCGGTCCCCATCGGCTGCTGCTTCTGCTGCTTTCTGAAGTCTCTCCTGCAGCTTCTGCCCCATACTGCCCCGTTCCAACCCCTCAAGCCCCTCTTCACCACCTGCCAACGCTTCTTCCAGGATCAACCTGCATCTTCCCCCTCGTCCTTTCTGTCTTTTCTTCTGAATAGACTATTGGCTTCCTGGATATCATTGTACTCTTTCTTTGGTCTTCGATCAATCAACCCTTTTTTTCTTTCTTTTTTGATGAAACACCTCCCCCCACCTCTCAAATTTTCAACAACTCCCCTTAGATTCACACATCAGAATCCCGCGTCCTTGATATCGATTGACTCAATTAAGAGTCTTTTTCTATTCTATTTCTCATCTTTTATCGTGTAGTTGTCACCTGTGGACGCGGCCTGCCAAGGATCTCGCCGTGCGTTGGTATTCTCCTATCTCCCAACCACAAAGCCATCTGTCTCAGGAAAGCTTGACTGCCATTTCTTTTCCCAACCCAATCGTTTAGCGATATCAACCAATTCTTCTTCAGCAGTTTAAAGCGATACAGCGAGCGGGCGGGAAGCCCGGCCGTTTAATCTCACCAACTAGACGGCGAAGTTGGTTCTTTTTTCTCAGCCAGAATCGATCACCACACCACTTTCAGTCACAAATACCCTTGGTCTTTCTTCTTACTACTATCTTAATTATCGGCAATTCTGTTCAAAATGGCAGACTACAATTCTCTCTATCAGCAAGGTCTTTACCTTTCTCCTGGCCAGCAGGATCTTCTCCTCGCAGCTCTTTCATCCAACAACCCCCCTCAGAAACAGCAAAACACCCCCCAGAATCCAAAGCCGAAGACAGACCCCGAAGGCACTCCGGGTTATATGTCATCGGGGAGCTTTAGTGTTTCTCCCGGGTTTGATCGTTCTCAGCATTCCGGAACCCTGGGATTTGAAGATGAGAGTCCTTTCCTGGACTTCCACCCGGACCTGGACTTTGATTTTCAGGGATCTGAGAGCCTAATCGGTGATTTGCCCGGAAGTATTCCATCGGAGGACCACGAGGTCGGCGGGAAGAGAAAGGATCTGGATGGACGCTCGGATAACGATAACGAAGACTCGGGGAAGAAGCGAAGAGAAAGTGATGACAAAACAGCCAAGAAACCGGGTAGGAAGCCCCTGACCTCCGAACCTACTACGGTATGTGTCTGTCCTCTCGCAGAGCACTTCGGTGCATGGCCTTACTAACATACTGCGCAGAAGCGTAAGGCACAGAACCGCGCTGCCCAGCGGGCGTTCCGTGAGCGCAAGGAGAAGCATCTGAAGGATCTAGAGACGAAGGTCGAGGAGCTACAGAAGGCCTCTGATGACGTGAATCAGGAAAATGGATTGCTCCGTGCTCAGGTAGAGCGCCTGCAGGTTGAGCTGAGAGAATATCGTAAGCGTCTCTCGTGGATGACCACCGGAAGTGGTCTTTCTGCCATGAACGCGATTCCGGGCGCCTATGCCAAGGGTGCGTCGGGCCTGAACAATAATGAATTCATGTTCGACTTCCCGAAATTTGGAGATCTACCGGCTGCGCATATCTTCAATAACGGCCAGCTGGCCAAGTCTAATTCGAACAATTCCAAAGATGAGCCTACCACACAGCGGAGTGATTCTCATGTTCCTGGTATCCTGAACCGCAATTCGCTTCGATCAGTATCTGGACAGGCGTCCATTAGGTCCACCAACACTCCAAGTGTTATGACCGTCACATCAGCCGACGGAACTCCTTCCTCCACGAATAGCGCCTCTAGGAGCCAGGCATCTAAATATTCCTCGGCATATATTACTAAACAGGCATTGTCTACGCACGATTCAACGACCTCAGGTTCCCCCTCGTCGTCATCGGATTCACACCAGAGCCAGCTGTTGTCCTCTAGTGGCACCTCACCCGAGCCGACTACGAACTCACCCGTGGTCAAGTCTCATGAGAATGGGCATACCTGCACTTACAGTACCATTGATGGTGAGGCATCCTTCTGCGCTCAGCTTGGTATGGCGTGTGGTAATATCAAAAATCCAGTCCCAGCTGTGCGGCACAGCAGTGAGAGTGTGTCAAACACGCCCGGTCAGACGACCAATCCCGAGGGGCAAACGGATCCGTCTGATTTTGCGCTTGGACTGGATATCCTTGCCCAGCAAAATGGCGGGCAGTTTGACCCAGTGCTGTTTGGGGATTGGCGAGAACCCCAAGATGCCATCTTGTCGCAGGACTTTGGCACTTTCTTTGACGATGCGTTCCCGTTGCCCGATCTGGGAAGTCCTTCGCATAACTTAAGCGAGGTTACCAACCAACAACAGCCACCCAAGAAAGATCTCGTCGCAACAATTGATCAAAAATTGGACGAGGATGAAGTGGTGCCTGGAGAAGACAAGTCGCAGATGCTATCGTGTACTAAAATTTGGTGCGTATTTCTCCCCTTCCAGCGTGTTGCGCAAAGAAACGATTACTGACTGGATTTGTCACAGGGATCGTTTGCAATCCATGGAGAAGTTCCGCAACGGAGAAATCGATGTCGACAATCTCTGCTCCGAACTGCGGACTAAAGCTCGGTGTTCTGAGGGCGGCGTCGTTGTGAACCAGAAGGACGTCGATGATATAATGGGACGCGCTCATTAGTTCCGTCTCTCTACAATATTCCTCATCTCACCAAATTCAGATACCCATACCCAACGATACGATAGCGCAATTGATGTTATGACAAGCACAGGATGGAACACGGAAAATTCGACAAAGAGCCAACATTTTGGGGGGAGCATGGGAATAGGTTCAGGTTATTTATCGATTATTTGGCTGTGACAATTCTTTACTTCGAGAGTACTTATTATCCAATTATCATGTACTACTGTTGGATGCAATCTGTTTCTTCTCTCTCCTTGGAGGGACGATTTCGTCGCTAGCATCAGTCTCTTCGATTGGGAAAGAATGTACATCAATGAATGGAACTGGAGCCGGAGCCTTGGAGGAGTTTTTTCACATGTTGGTTTCCTTTCGATATGGACATCTGTTTCCTTTCTAGTTAATACTGTCAATGTATGTATGTGTGATATTAGCATTTGGTCTGTTGATCTTGTCAAGGGAACCAGGCTTGGAATGATTGGTCTATGTACTGACGTCCAATGGGTCCCCCATGATATATATCATATCGTCAGCCAGAGCTTCATATAATAACCGCTCTCCCTTCCCAGAATTGTCCGTTCAAGTAAACAAGCCTACTAGCTAACTATCTTACACTCTTCTCTAAGTCTGACTCAGCACTCTGTTGCCTGGTAATAACGATATCTACGATAGAAGCATCGGGGAAGAATCTAAACATAAGCAATGAAGCTACAAGGGTATCGATATTGGTGCGATCCAGGTAAAATGAAACGAAAGAAAAAGAAACGGGTTTAAAATACAGAAAACAAGGTCCGATATTTTTTTTTTTTTTTTGTTCTTTGCTGTCTTTCTGGCTTCTCCCTTGGACTTCACCAAGAATACAAACCAAATCACTTTTGCCTTCTTCACGGGGACAGAATATGCAAGAAAGACTCCCCTTTTCCCGGTGTCGCTGCAACCAGCGGTCTTTGGGACAAGGGAGCCAATCATCCTGGTAGAACTCATCTGAAGACGAGAGGGTCTACTAGGTCAAAGGAAGAAGATACAGAACATCTCGCTCAGAGGGGAAGAATGGAGGAAACGATAAAGGAAATGTGCAAAAAAAAAAAAAAAAAAAAAAAAAAAGAAAAAGAAAAAAGAAAAATGGGCTCTGCAAATATCACAAGAATAGAAATTAAGTGATTAATTGGCACAGGTGATGAAAAATCTGGCGAGTGTAATCAAAGGGAAAGGGGAAAAAATGTCAAGAAGAGAAGGTACATGAGATGGCCGAGAAGGAGAGACCAAAGGGGAGGAAACGGGGTCGGAAAAAAACGGGGGGAAGAAAATTCAAGCAAGCAAAACAGGCTGTCCATTGATCGTATCACACAGGTCAAGCTTCACCACCGGAGGGCTTGTCTCCCGACGGGGTCGATGTAGGGGCCGGAGACTCTGCCGTTGCTCCCTTGTTGAATCCGCCGCGTCCGCCTCGTCCGCCACGTCCACCACGATCACCACGGCCGCGACCACGTCCCCCAAATCCACCACGTCCTCGCCCAGTTTCGCTGTCACTAGCACCGCCGCTCTGATACCCGCGTTGGGAGGAGGTGTTGCCGCCACGGTTGCTACCCTGCCACGTGCCTGCGTTGCCACGGTGGCTACCACGGTCTTCGAAGAATTTGATGTTGGGCTTGCGAGGTTGACCAGGGGGAGTGGGCTTCTTGTGTTCTGCAGGCTGACGGTCGAGAGCGGCCTTGGCCTCTTCCACGGTCGAGAACATCACGACGTGGTTATACTTGCCCCATTTATCGACCTTGGTCATCTTTGCCTTGTCCTCCTCGGGGAAGAGGTCACGAACGGCCTGCTCGTTGTCCACGTTCGACACAAAGAGTCCGTTGCTCTGCTTCTTCTCTGCCTTCGGCAAAGGAGACTCAGATGGTTTCTCGGGCTGCGTGCTGCCGTTAGCCTCCGAAACTGAAGACTTCTCTGGCGACGTAGGCACGGGCAGGGCACCGGTGCCACTGGGCTGTGGAGTTGCAGGTTTCGGAACCACGGGGGCTGGAGATGTACGGGCTGGAGCAGTGGCCGAGCCCTTCGTGGGTGGCTGTTGTTGGGGGCCAGGACCGGTGCGCACAGTCGGCTGGGTCTGGCCAAACTGAGGACCGGCTGGTCCAGGAGCACGGCTTGCCGGGGAAGTCATACCAGTGGATGATGGCCCAGCAGGGATGGAGGCGCTGGTCTGAACTCCGGGAGCACCGGCAGCCTGGGGCTTTCCACTTCGGTGGGCGAAGTTGAAGCCTTGGGCACGCATCTCCGTGGCGATACGTCCGGCTTCAATCTCGAGAACCAAGAAACCAAATGCAGCGTCAGCAAGGTTGAAGTTCCACATGTTCTTGAAAGCGCTCTCGTCGACCTGACCCGCGGCATTCCCGGGCCCAGCCGGTCCACCGAACGGATTTCCACCGTTGGCGATGGTGGGCATCTGATTCACCACATTCAAAGCATTGTCCAACAAGGTCTTCTGGGCCTCGTTGGAGGAAATGGCGGCCTCCACCTCACCCCGGACAGTTTCCCAGACGTCGTTGAACGATGCTTTCGAAGCAGCCAGCTTGCCACGGTAGTGATCAAGAGAAGGGTTCACAGAGAACTCGTTGTAGGACGAGCCGTAGCGGAAATGCAGACCGGCGGAGATGGAGAAGTCGGCCTTGAGGGTCACAGAGAGCTGGTTCAACATTCCCTCACGAGCGGGTGATGCATGTGTGACAAAGATGCGTGTTTCCGATGGGTCGTACACGCGGTTCGCGGTGTCTATCAGCTCACCCATCTGAAGCAAGGTCGTCCACATGGTGCCTTGGCCGCCGGCAATCGTGGTTTTGCCCTCGCCGTTATCAAACAGCTTGTGCATCACCACGGCGCCTCCCAGTCCCAGCAAACGCAGCTTGACTCCGCCAATGTCCAGCAGCCGTGAATTGGCCTCGTCAATGATGTGCAGCTTATCTACCTTGTACTCTCCGGAACGGAACTTCTCCAATACCCGAACGTCTTCACAAGCACCCCAAACGGTATATACCGGGACATCGAGAGTAATCCGCTTATCGAGCAGCATCGGAAGTTCTGAGAGGGGTAGCTGGTCAGGTGTGAATCGCTGCTTAATCGATTGCTGAGGGGGGGTTTGAGCAATGGTCCGCTTCACATTTTCAGGAAGCAGAGGAGAGTATTGGGCCACATGCTTGAGGGTCCTGTGATCAGGTTAAAATTATTAAACATTTGATTCACCCAACATATTTGGTATTTTGGTTGTAGAAAATAGAGGGGGTAAAAAAATGAAGAAAAAGAGGAGTGTGCAGAAGAACAGCCAGAACACATATACTTACTTGTCTGCAATCCGTTCCAGCGAGGTGTCATCATAGAAACCAAAGTCACCGGTGTGGATGATATGATCAGCACGGGCCTGCTTGGCCAACTCATTCAGAGACCTCAAGTTTCCTGCGTAACACAAAAAAGAGAAAAAAGCAACCTAGTCAGCTACTTTTTCTCCTGTAACGTCCGTTGAATGTGCGCCATGGAAACCTACCTCGAACATCTGCGATGCACAAGACTCTGACAGGACCGTTCTGGATGACCCGACCATTGTTCGGAAGAAGGGGGGCGGCCCCAGGTACAGGACCAGTCGCACCGTTTGGAAGAGGATAGCCTTGAGGACCGAAATTGTGCGGAGGACGGGGCTGGAGAATGGGGTGAGAAGCATTAGTGGAAGAGACTTCTTTGGTGCGCGCGTAAGAATGGACCAACGCGTGGTTGAGGGAGGGGGATTGCCATGACGTTGACCAGATAGCTTGATTGGAAAGAAGGACAAGGGAAAAGAGATAGAAAGACGACATACAGAAGCCATGAGTAGGATCTAATTCAACCGGGGGTGGAGGGAGGAGGGACAAGAGAAGAGAGCGTGGAAGTCTATTAAGGCAACGAAGCTGGGCCCGAAGAAGGAGAAAACGGGGAAAGAAGAGGAAAGCAAAGAGACAGGAAAGTAGAGAGGGAAGAAGAAGAAAAGGAAGACGAGAAGCAAAAGCTCAACAAGCGGCGGTTTGGATGCAGCGAAAGAGAGGAAGAGCGAGAGAAACAAGTCGGCCAACTCGCCGCTTAGGTAAGCCCCCAGGGGCAACCGGTCTCCGCGCAGCAGTAAAAAAGCAAGGGACGCTCCAGTCGATTCAATTGCCTGGGGAGCAGGGTGCAAGGCAGCTCAAGAGGTTGGCATCGATAATATGAACGGTCGGACGATGTTCTTGAGTGGGGGAGTAGTGTGTTTATGGTGTTGGGATGAGCCCTTTAACCTCAAGGCCTGTCATCGAAGCCAACACCTAGGAGCATCAGACCTCTCTACCAGAAGGGCTTTCTCTACGGTAGGTGATACGTGCCGCATATACTTCTCTATTACCATGTCGGTCATATTCTCTGCAATTATACTCGTATACAGCTAGCTCGATCACACTCTATCCGAACCATGGTCATTCCCAGGGCCGACATATAGCCCCATTCAGGACGTTACGGCATTAGAGCTCTTCGCCATGTGGCTCTATCAGTTTTTGCCTTCTTCTATATATTCCAAGTCGTGGATGGCCCGGGACACCGCGTCCCGAAGCGATTTGGGCCCTTCCGGCGCCATCAGCGCAAAAATAACCGCCCGCCGTGGGTATGGGCAGGCCGGGCTCTGACTCATGGCTGATGTGGCAATATATTGATTTAAAGGCCAGTTATACTTGCCATTACCCATGAATGCCCACAGGTCATTGACAAACTCACCCCGGGTGTTGGTGTCGAACGTCCCAGCCAGCCATGTTTCAATCGGATTTGGCCCAGTCCTGCCGGTGGTCGAGAGGAACCTCATATTCACCGCGCAGTCCTGAAAAAATACTTCCCATCTTATACGCCGCTGTTGGGAATACTTGTAGGTCCAGAAGCACATCGAGATATAAATTGTACGGGGTCTTCCACGACGTTGGATTGTTAAGATATTGCAGTGTGAAGGGCTTTTTTTCCTTATCGTTCCAACCCTTAAGCAGAGAAAAGGAACGCTCGCTCATCGTCAACTCCAGAGTATTTACCCAGTCTTGTCAATTTCCCAAAGGCTTTAAGGCCAACTACAGCTTTAATGGCGAGATTAGTTTCCTCTGCCAACGGCCCCGCGGTGCCATTGGAACACAGCTGCCTTGCTATGTCAGCCTGCGTTCAACCAGATAGTCCGCATAGCCTGTCAGTAAACCTGTATCCTGTGCTGTCTAGTTTGTATCACAGGTTGCACGCATGTAGGCCAGGGCTAGCACTGTCAAGTTTCGAACTGTTCAAAAGGCAGAGTCTCTGGAGTTGGGACAATATGCCCCCATACCATGAATCCCGTACGGCTGCTGCCATCGCCCCTCCGCGAGATATCTCGTCATAGCCAGCAAGAGTCAGATGTAGTTGGGGTCCATTATGTAATCTATGTGGAAGATAGTCATGATGATATCGGTGTTGACGTTTCGATCGGACAGGATGAACACCGAATGAGTTATATATTCAGCGCGGCGAGCAACAGCTAAGTGGATGTCACTTCCAGGGTTTGTTACACCCATAATATTGTATGCTTGGCAATTAGCACGTTCCATAATGAACCAGGTGAGGCTCTGGTCAGCACAGAACCAGTGAGAGCACCTATGATATTTTGGAAACCAAGGTACATAATGCAGGTGCATTGGGGAAGAACCTCCTGCACATCTGAAACATACGCATCGAGCAATAAAGCTTAGTTGGAAGTTAAGCAATCCCAGGAGAACCCCTGTCCGTGGCTATCGATTGTATTTGGTCATAGAAGCTGGGGGAGTGTTGCTCCAACGAGGAACACAACAGAGCTCACGGTGGGTCGACAGAGATGTCAATTCACTGAAAATGCAGCAGAGATTGGATTAGCAAGGGGAGATTGTTATTTCGATTCGGTTACTTTCCCAATGGATATGAATAGTGGTCGGAGAAGACTAAGGAGATAACTGCCAAGAGAATAGAATCGAGGTTGAAACCAGTGGAATAGACGAATGCCAGTAAACTAGACGATGAGCAGTGTTATGGGAAGCCCCGCAAAGAACTTCGAATAATTGATGCCCAAGGGCAAGTTTCCTTAGCTTTTTTTTTTGGTATAAGAAATGTGTATCCGCACAAGTTTCTATAGTTAGTATTCTATAGGATGTGGTTGAGGTGATGTATCTTTCATATTCTGTCTCCTGAATGGCATTTGTTTGGTTTATCCCACCCAACTCTTTTCGACAAGAGAGATTGATTCTCCAGGTATCCAACCGTTTCTGACTTCGGAAATGAGTGTCCTCCCAAGCGCCTCATCCATGCCCCCTTCACAGGAATTGTACATCCTCTGGGCTAAATATTCTCCAGGTTGGTCGCAGCAGATATCGAGTCGTTCGACCACTGGATGACAGGTTCAAGCGGAGACATCCTGTCATTGTCAGCTTTAATGCCGAAATTTAGCATCAGATGGCGTGATCCCGGATTGTCTGATGTCGGAACACCTCATTACCTGTGCGACTGATCATGAGTGGGTTGTAAAGTAATCCACTAAGTACTTAACACACAGGGCATCTTATCGGACTCCGAGGTAAGCATTGCAACGAAAATCCCGCCGTCAAGGTCGACTACGTTCAGCAGGCGCGGTTGTGGCGATGACGTGACACGTCCCCTTAGATATAAGATTCGGCCTACTGTCAACCCTCTAGTGAGACATTAGCTGTACATTACGGCCTGGACTATGGAATTCTCTGCTCTTCCTTCTGTTATACTCACTGGAGAGCAGAAGCTGCAGTCGAAAGGTACGATTAATAATATAGGCGAATGCTAACTATCTCACAAAGGCGTGATTTTGTGGCCGTTGTCGTCATCTTCCATCGTTCATCGCGTGCGCACTTGGGTATAGTGAGCCAATCACGATGCGCCATAGCCAAGTTGGTAGTCGTGCTGAACAACTATATAAAGGAGGGCTGTTTTCGGGCTGTCAGATTTCCAGGCAGCAAGTAGCAAGTCAACGAGGAAGATACGCAATATCAGAATGCCGACAGAATTTATCAGCTTGACGTTCCCCAACGCATCCACGGAGATCAATCCAATTCCCAATCCTTCGATTGATCCTGATTATCTTGTCCGCTATGCGCGGACGCTGGACGACTATGGCTTCAATTACACGTTAGTGCCTTATGATTCATCCTATTTTGACCCCTTCACCATCGGTGCGACAATTGCTTCGGTGACCAAAAACATCAAAGTCATCATTGCACTTCGACCAAACACATTATATCCGACCGTGGCCGCGAAGGCCCTTGCGACTCTAGATCAACTCAGCTCAGGCCGGGTGGTTGTCCACTTCATCGCTGGGGGTAGCGATGCCGAACAGGCCAAAGAGGGCGACTTTCTAACCAAGGAGCAGCGGTATGCACGCTTGGAGGAATATATCCGGATTCTGCGCCGCGCATGGGAGTCTGCGGAGCCCTTCGATTGGGAGGGCACGTATTACCAGTTCAAGCAGTTCAGCAACAAAGTCCGACCGACCAATGGGACCATCACTGTGTCTGTGGGAGGATCCTCCGATGAGGCATACCGCATTGGAGGATCGCTGGCTGACATCTTCGGACTCTGGGGAGAACCACTGAAGGAAACGAAGGAGCAGATCGATCGCATCTATGCCGAGGCGGCACGTGCGGGGCGGCCCGGGACCGACCGGCCTCGGATTTGGGTCACTTTCCGGCCCATCCTCGCCGAAACTGATGAGCTCGCCTGGGCCAAGGCGCATCGCACGCTGGATGCGTTAACAGAGAACCGAGCCAAGGGTCAGGGAAAGGCACCCGCTGGTGCTCCGCCTCCACAAAATGTCGGTTCTCAACGGCTCCTTGATATTGCCAAGCGTGGTGAAGTCCAGGACCGTGCGCTGTGGTATCCTACCGTCACGGCAACGAATGCGCGAGGAGCGTCAACTGCACTGGTTGGATCTCCACAGACCATTTCCGACTCGATTCTCGACTATGTGGATCTTGGGGCTGATCTTATTTCTATTCGGGGCTACGACAACCTCAACGATGCCATTGACTATGGACGCTATGTGCTGCCAAAGGTTCGTCAGGCTTTGAAGGAACGAGAGACTGGCTCTGCAGCCTGAAGGGGCAATTGCTCTGATTATGAGTCTAAGTTATTCTATAAATTCGATCTATTCATACCGGTACATATCCAAGCAAATCATGCAATCATGGATGCTCATGGGTGCTTAAGCTAATCAGTAGTATAATGAATACAAGCTTTGTGGTACCTAACAATATATCTCCCGAGTCCCATAGCTTGGACCCGCCAGATAAGTAGTAATAAGGCAGTTATACTCGTATAGATAGAGCGATGTCATGAGTGGCACTTGTGCCCACAAAGTGAGAATAATTGGACAAGCATTCCCTTGCCTTGCAGGACACAGTTAAAAGTCGAACGAATATACCCTGGTTTGTAGAACAAAATAGAGTGGAAAGTCTTCATCCAGTCGGGTTGATAGCTCAGTTGGGAGAGCGCACGACTGAAGTTCACTTCATTCAGCCAGATCTGGCAATCGTGAGGTCACCGGTTCAATCCCGGTTCAGCCCATTAGCTTATAATTTCCGAAAATTTTTTCCCAGCTCAAATAATAACCTGTCTGTCTGTCTGGGTTGCGCAATTTTTTTTTTTTTTTTTTCTTTTCTGCTGGTGGTTGGTTGGATAGAGAATAGAGAAGATGTATGTACACAGTAAAGTTGCTTTAGCAGCTTGTTGTAATAGATGTGGCTATCTTTTGTCTAGGCGCAAGGCTACTTACTACTAATAGGATTCCCTCGCTGACCACACGGTATATCTGCCAGCCGAAGCTCGATCCCGGTTTGGAACGTCAAGATACGTGTTGTATATGTTGCCGGTCTGCTTCTCTGCTTTATTTCATCTGTTGTCTGTTTACCTACCTGTATTCGAGACCAGTGCCTATTAGCCTGCCTGCCTCCCTGACACCTTCAATGAATTACTATACGGTAGCGAGAGATATAAGAGAGACAGTGTGTCTAGAAATGAGCTTGTATAGTTATCTCTCCAGCTTGATATTCCAATCCTTTTGCATAAAATAGCTGTAGAACATAGATACATCAACTACCCTTTCCTACAGCTGAGCCTTTTCTACTCTCCTTCCAATCTCATCAAAATGAATCTGCTTTCCAGTGACCAAGGCTTCTTGCAGGTAGGAACCAATTTCGACCGCCTTGACTGCATTGGTCAACTTGATCGGGAGGGAGGTGTTGTCCAAGCACGCAGCAGTAAACTCATTGGCCTCCCTCACGAAGGCAGGGCCGAATCGGCCGACAAAGTTAGGCGGGACTTCACGAGTTATTCCACCCTGGTGGTAGAAGTTGACAAAGTTACGCTGGGGGTTGATGTTCACAGACAGCTTGCCCTCCGTGCCAATGACTTCCGTTGTATCCTCCTGGCCATGAGGCATCATGCGGGAGCAATAGTAGTAGGCGATTTTACCGTTATGGAATTCAACGATTCCCACCGCATTATCGTAGTCGTTGTACTTCTTCAACTCCGGTTGAACAGCCGTGATCCCATGCGCGGAGATACTCTTGGGAATCGCATCGTCACCGAAGAACCACAATGTTAGGTCAATGTCATGGACGGACATGTCGACAAACACGCCGCCAGACCACGCAGCGTAGGCGACGTAGAAGCCAGAGGGATCAAACTTGTCACAAGTCTGGCTTCGCACAATGGACGGCCGTCCAATCAACCCTTGGCTAATCTTATCATAGACCTCGCGGTAGGAATCATCAAAACGTCGCGAGAATCCACACATGACTTTGAGTTGGGGCTTGATTTTGGCTTTTTGAACAACCGCTTTACACTATCAGGGACCAGTCAGTATGGAAAGAGCATTCTATGTCGAAAGAGTATTAATGAAAGGCATACAACTTCAACGTCAGTTGACAATGGCTTCTCACACAGGACATGTAGATCACGATCGATTGCTTTCATCGTCTCCTCAGCATGGACAGAAGTGGCTGTTCCGATAGCCACTGCTGCCAGTCCGGGATGGTCCAACATCTTGTCGTAATCATCGTACAGTCTTACTCCATATGGCTCCAAGTTCTGTCTACCCCAAGCAAATTCTGCCGGGTCTGGAGTAAAGGCAGCAACCAGCTCAGCACGGGGAGTCTGGTGCAAGAAATTGTTGGCATGGATCTTGCCGACACGGCCCAAGCCTGCCAGGCCGATTTTGAGCCTTTGGATGGTCATGGTGAGAGTCGAACGTTATACGCGAGGGAGACGTATACTATAGGATTTAGAATACGCAAGATAAAGACAAGCACTTCACGATGGGTATTGGAAGTAGACATTCAGTTGAGGGAATTTCTGGGGGGTTTTATATGCACGACGTCTCTAGCGGAATCCATTGCTCTGCTTTCTTGGTTTTCCCACCAAGCACAAGGTAAGTTTATCCATTGTCGTCCACATGAGTCCGTAGGGTGGCCACAAATGGGAATTGAAGAAGATCGTGGACGGCAACTGGAGACGGAGAGACTTTCCAGGAGAGACGGAAAGACTTGCCCTGTCTCTAGAGGTAGCGGATTATCGTGGGTTCCGGGAGGATTTCGTGTTTGCAGGGAAATTTTTGCGGGGATCAGCTCTCCCTGGCAATTCTCTCCGCATTGTTTCTCTCTGTGGAACTGTTGAGATAGAAGACGCAGCGCCATGTCTCCGTCTCCAAAAAAGAGAACTCGTCTTACTACTATCTGGTATTTGTCATCCCCACCCACTTCTTCCAGTGGTTTGCGTACTAAGGCATGGTACTACCTGATGGTGCAGTCAAAGATGTAGGGGTAAGTAGAAGACGTCGGAAATCACACCACTCTCGTAACTCGAATAGAATTGATCTTTCGGGCTATATAAAATGGACTAGATCAGTCGGCGCTAATTAAAACGATGCACCATAGCCCGTCACTTAAAATGTGTGTATATTCCCATCACCTTGGCTAAGCATACTCCTTACGCAGCCTGTAGGCGATTTAAACCTACCGGCCTGCAAACATTGCAAGCTGGCCAAGGTCAGCTGCGAGAGGGGCTTTAATGTCAGGTTTCGCAGTGGGCTCGACTTGGATGATGATCATGCTATTTCATTCCCAGAAGCACAGAGATGGCCTCGTCTAATGGAACACCGTGGGTTTACAAGTATCGAATATGCCATGAAACTCCCTCGCTAAATCCTCTTTGAGTGGAATTTTATGATGAGACCTTGGAGATAAAAAGTCTTTATAGAGTAGGAGATACTCAAGAAAAACTCCAAGGGGAAGACCGCGCCGGTGTTGCCAACGCCGATTCTTCCTTGATACATCGAAGCTCTGAGCAGCTTTATCACTCTCAACCGGAAACGCAGCAAGTGCTACTGGCACACCAGGACTTGGATCGGCGACCGTCTGGTATTTTTTTTTTCCCTCTTTTTTTTCCCTCCTTTTATGCCTCTTTCATTTGCGTTGAACTTAACCAATGCGTAGCTTCGTTACACTATTCAGGATTGGCTTCGAGCTTGTACGGCCATAGTCTAAACAATTCACCTTCGACAAGGAATTGTCGAAACGATTTCCCAACGACTCAGGGATCTTTCAATGAACGAGAGGCTACGCTCATGCGCAACTATGTGGAGAACATGGCTTTGTGGGTAAAGAAATCATGCAGAATAGATATATACCATGGGGTATCTTTCCCTCTTATATATTAACTCAATCGAAAGGCCGATATAACAGACCCTCAGAGGCACTTTGAAGTTGAAGTCCCACTGAGAGCAATGCAGAATTCAGTGCTGCGCTTTGCAATATTTGCCTTCTCCTCTCGTCATATGAATAGACAGAGAAAGAGCAATACAGCCGAGGCGTTACAGTACCACAATCATTGCCTTCAGATACTAATCCCTGCTCTTTCGGGTGCCAGAGACAGTATTACTGACGTTGTTCTTGCTACTGTTGCAATCCTCCGTCAGCACGAAGAAATGGACTGTGGGTTTGCCTGTGCCCTTCATGTGTTGATTACGTAGACTTACCAGTTACAGCTGAGGATAATCAGTTCCACCTGACAGGCATAACCCATATACTAAATACAGTATCGTCCTTTGGATCGTCCGGGGGTTTGGGGGAGGCGGTAGCTTGGCTCTGTCTTCGTGAGGACATACATATATCCATTACGTCACAAAAGCCCCTACGGGCGGACTTAGACAGCTTTAGCAGCTCAGACATATTTCATAGGGACGATGACTTTGCTTGGGCAAGCCGAATGGTCTTCTTATTGGCCAAGCTTCTCAAATGCGTATTCAGCTACGGCTCTGTGACACATCCTGCTATGTTACAGAGTACTAGTGAAAAGATTGAACATTGGCATGCGACCAAACCACGTACCTTCGAACCTATCCATTTTACTCCACGAGATAGGGAAGCCCACAGGCATTTCCCAGGCATTTGGATGTTACTACCTGTCCATGGTATGCTTGTTGTTCCAGTAGCTGAGGACTACAAACTCACAGAGGCGTTGCAGTGATCGGTGTTCAGTATTATCATATTGCTAAGATAATCCTGGCATTCTCTTGTGGCCAGACTCCATCTCCTGCATATGAGGTCTTCAAGAATTCTCGCTCTATTGAGGTACGGCCATCAACTACGCATGCAACCTGCTCTTCACCTAATAGTTATTACTCCAGAGAAATGTTCGACAACACCTATTTACTGTGCTTGGCCTGGCTAGGTCAAATATAAAGGCCGAGAATACACTTTTTACCGCACGACATAGCTTAGTGGCCTGTAAGTGCTACCCTTATTTTCTTGATGATCTCATTGCGCGACTTCAGTTCCTCACTAATCGCCTTCTGCCTAGGGGGCTGGGTTCTCCGTCAAAAAAGCAGATCAAGACGCTGCAGAACAATTATTAATTGATATGGAAGCGAGAACCGGCTGGGATGTTGCCCATTTGATCCAGTCACTGCGGGAGCAGTGGCGGGAGGAATACTCGGACGAATAGTTTGGAGCCCATCATTCTTCTGATAACACTTGTTTTTAAGATGATACCAGCTGGGATGTGCTGAGCCCTACTATGCTCTGTCTGCCCAAAATGGGCCACCTCTCTCTCATCCTATCGTGTTCTTCAGAAATCCGCTTGTTCCTGCGAAGATGACTTCTCAATCGCGGGTAACGGAGTGGATCATATTGATACACGGACACGCTTGGAATAGGAAGCATGATTCTGCGGTTTTACTGATGTTGTTTTCTTTAATTTCCGACCAAAGCAAGAAGTTGGTGTTGGCAACTGAACGCTGACTAGGTCCTTGGTCCCTTCACATCACAGTGTGTCTGGCTGTTGATGCAGTATAGTTTCCTGGGCTGGGCCTGTCTTTCGGATCCGGTGAATGCCTTGAACCAGACTCGGATAATCCCAAAGAAGCCCAGCAGGCAAGCTCGGGCTTTCTAAGCGAGAAGCATGGAGACCCCTTTCCACTCAGAAGCGGTAAAGGATATCGCCGCGATGGAAGATTAATCTGGATGGAGGCAATGGCAAAATATTCTGCATGAGCCTGGCTCCCTGTGCTCCTTTCCTGACCTTTCACACGGCTCCACTACCTCTGCATGCTGCGCAGCTCAGTCTTATGGACAATTATGCTTGGCCCAAGGCATCTACAGAGCCAGTCTTGCATCTCGCATGTCTGAACTAAGAGATTCAAACAGCAAATTTTTGCCTGATGTTCCAGTAAGTGATCATCGCTATCTATCCAGGTACCGGGGTGCCTGACACGCCGCGTGATCTCCTATCTACCGGATCTGTCTCTCATACCCTTGTCCAGGCTCACGGATATCGAACGGGATTGAGCATATCGTCCATTAAGTCAATTGAACATTGTGGCTAGGGGTAACGCTGCCCAATAATCACATAACGCCCCCCATTCTCTCACTTATTTTTGTCCAGAATCGCTCTGCAAGAGGCAATTATTTCTCTCTAAACCCCTGAGTGGATACGGTTCTCGCAGACGCCTTGATGTCGTTTCTCTGCCTGTGGAGATCTCGATTCTCGTCATCTGCAGCTCACGGCCCCTCCTCGGTAGACATTACCTCGATGCATACTTATAATAGCCACAGCGATCCCATCCCAGCGAAAAACAGCAAATATGTACAACTGTCGTCTAACAGCAAAGTACAGAGAAGACGCCAAGCATCGGTGAAACCTGCTTCGAGCACTTCTGCACAAGAGCCTGCCTTCATTTAGCAAGATATTCATCCACAGCAGAACAGCTCTGCTTGCTAAATCGACTGTCCCTCACCGACCAATCAACCCGGGGCTTATTCCAGGAGAAAGGCAGGATGGATCGGAGCACGCACATCCCGACCAGAAACAGTGTTCTTCCGGGATACAACGACGTGAGCGGTGCAGTAATCGTCGATTATAATGGTCTTCCTCATTTTCTCTCCCCCTACGAAAAGCGAGAAAGGGAAGTAAGGTTGAAACTTGCTGTGCATGAACGTATGCTAAGACTCTCCAGACGGACGTATTTCTCTTGGAAGCACCCATGTCCCGGCACTGCATTGCCGCAGTACTCGTCCGCAAATACGAAACGACCACAGCGATCATCGAATGAAGGTGACTGCGGTTTAACAAGTGCTGGTCTCGAAATGTAGCTGCTGGATTGCTGTGGCTGCTGGATTGCAGTCGTGATTTCATCATCCATGACTTTTTTTTATCAGTCAACCAGCGGCAGTTGACAGTTGACACCTAGACATTGAATTTTATCTTAGGGGCTGGTTCAGCCTCACTGAGCAGCGCTAGTATGTTGAAGGGATTATGCATGGGATGCTTTATGATTTATGAGTAATGAGATTGAGATGTGTTAGGGTAACAGGAGGAAAAAAGGACTGGCTGCCTGGGGATATAACTTTCGGTCGAAATGATATTTGCAATTCTCGAATAGCTACCTGATATGCATCCGTATATATCCAAAGAGATACACCTCCACATATACCTAGCTCCTGAAGAGCCTCAGTCCGCCTTCCTCACGATCCTCATCGCTCTCGACATCACTGCCATCCTCCTCCTCATCGCCTTCCCGTAGTAATCCACTAGCCGTCTTTCCAAGCAAAGACGCAAAAAACTCCTCCCGTGCGTGGCTGGTCCAAGAGCCCCGATCTTCCGGCGCCATGAAGTTCTGCAGTTTCTCATGGACATCGAAGCGCATTTTACGTCCCTTGGATGCACGAGTGTCGACATCCCTCTTGACCTTGTCCTTGCGCATTCCAGTCACTGGATGGACGGAAAGACGAGAGGGAAGCTGAATATGCAGGGTGTCAACGCCATTAGTGATGGCATCCGAAGAGGACATGCGCTGCTCAACGAGATCCCGCAGCAGAGACTGGTAAAAGATGGTATCGTCGTATATGGGCTCGTAGTCATCGTTGGCCCCAGAGGGACGGCTGTTCACTGTACGAGAACGCTTAGCCGTACGGTCACCGGTTTCGGATGCGGCCTGTGCATCCAGAACAGCGGTGATAGCCTGTTGACCGCTGGCCGCGGAGCCCAGAAGTTTGCCGCGTGCATTGGGGGTGGTAGCATTGGAGCCACGGACCTTAAGCGACCATTTATCCAGGACAGCTCGACGATGAGTACTTGAGTCGGACTCGAGATCTGTCATGCGCTTCCATAGCGAGACCGAGGACGTGGTGGGGGATGCAGCAGCAGCCGGTCTCTTTCGTTTCTTCGACTCGTCTTGAGAATGTGCATCCGCAAGAGCAAGCCGCAAGTCCTCCAGCGTAGACCAGAGCGCCAGGGCAGCCGACTCAGCAGACTTGATGGCTCTTCCGTCGACATCCTCCGTTTCCTTGGCTGCGAAAGACAACTGATTTATGGCGGTCAGACCCTTCTGCAGCTTGATACGGGTATTGAGAAGTGCGTCAAATGTCGCCCGTTGCTGCTTGACTGCCTTTCCTTTGGTTGCGTCGGATTTGGCTGCTTGCGAGATGGTCGCTGCGATGGTCTTTTGGTCCGTGGCCATCAGTCTGCGCAGTTCCTCTCGATCATCGGATTTGGATGTTGGGGTTTTGTCAAATTTAACGCGATGTTTGGAGGGTTTGGCATTTTCTTCCTCGTCATCATCGCCCTCGTCCTCGTTTTCATCCTCATCCTCGTCAAGATCTTCGTCAAGATCTTCGTCCTCGTCGTCAAAATCTTCATTCGAGTCCTCCTCGCTCCCGTCAATCTCTTCTGACCCATCGGTTTCCATATCGTCGGGATCCTTTTGCCGTTTTACCTTTTCCCCAGATATCTTGGGCTTTCTGGCAATATCCTCGTCGCTTTCTTCAGACACCTCCTCGTCGTCACTTCCAAACTCGAGACACTGTTCGTCATCATCGTCCTCGCTATCGTCCTCTTCGTCGCTGGAATGGGCCTTGAACGGATCGTCGTCGCTTTCGACTTCGAGCTCATCTCTGCTGACCTTTGATCCCGCATACTGTTTCCCCAGATTTATCGGGCCCGGCTTCCGAAGCTTTCCTTTGCTACTGGATGTCAGCGCCAACAAAACAAGGGAAGACCGAACAACTCGCAGAACGTGACACTAACCCTACAGCTTGATAATGCTCTCGACCGGCATTCTCATCCACGTCTTGACCACCCTCGTCGTCACTTTCCGGTCCACCGCGATCCAAGTCCTCAGGGTCAAAATCTAAACAAAAGTTAGTTCCCTGTATGCGAAAACAAGAATCCCAACAGGAGCAAAACAGCACTGACCTTTGGGAGTGGGATCGTCGAGCTCAGCAATTTGCTCAGCCAGAGATTTTGGTCCCATCTTGACGTGACACTGTCCTCTGTCTTTCGGGAATAAAAGAATTGAGTGAGCGTTGGATAGATCGTCGACAAAATATTTTTTTTTTTTCTTTTCTTTTTCTGCCGCAGAAAAGTAAGGATGCGGTGACGGATTAACTCTCTCAGATTGGTTAGATGCTCCGCAATGGGGAATTTTAGTCCGGCGGTCAACATTATCCTGGCAATATCTAAGAATCGAGAATCAGACAAGAAAGATGCTTCGTCTTCTCGTCGACTCCGTCGCTTGTTCTGGCCATGTTCGGACGAAGGTTCTTTTCGACTGCACGGGTCCTGCGGCATGATAACCCGTTGGTCAGTTTCTCCGCACCCCTGGTTTGGGTATGGCCCATGGTTTAACCAACGTTGTTTAGGGTCTTCCTCGCTCCGGCACTCCGCCCTCATTTCCTCGTCGGCGCGGACTCCCAGAGAAGCGCAAGATTCGCGATGTGAAGAAGGTCATTGCGGTGTCGTCTGCAAAAGGGGGGGTAGGGAAGTCGACTATTGCTGGTGTGTATATCCTATCCTGAGATTCTAGACCGTCTTCACTTCATCCATGTACCCATAACCCTATCAGGCCTATACACACAAATCCATGAGGAATCGAACACTCGTAACACGATCTTAGTAAACCTCGCTCTATCCTTCGCTCGTCGAGGAATCCGAACTGGAATCCTCGACACCGACATTTTCGGACCATCCATCCCAACACTGCTCAATCTGTCCGGGGAACCCCGTCTAGACGAAAGTAAACCCCCCTCTTTCCCCTCCCCCTCCCTTAATATCATCCTCCTACCTCTCACTTACTCTACTTTAACTAAAGATAACTGTCTCCTCCCATTAACCAACTACGGCCTAAAATCTATGTCAATGGGCTACCTCCTCCCCCAAGCCGCCGCATCAATTCCTGACTCACCCCTCCCGATGGACACGACCCCGATCTCATGGCGCGGACTAATGGTCACGAAAGCCATGCACCAACTCCTTCATTCGGTATCGTGGGGTCCGCTGGACGTCCTGGTGGTGGACCTACCCCCAGGTACCGGTGACGTCCAATTGACCATCAACCAGGAGGTGATCGTCGACGGGGCAGTCATTGTCACTACGCCGCAGGATATCGCCCTCCGGGACGCAGTGCGCGGGTTCGGCATGTTTCAACGTATGGATGTCCCTGTTCTCGGTATGGTGAGGAATATGGCCTTCTTTGCGTGTCCGCAGTGTGGGCATAAGACGAAGATCTTCTCGCATGGTGACCATCACCACAAACACGATAGTCATGGACAGGAGAATGATTGGGGCGTGGTAGCGGAGTGTAAGAGGTTAGGTGTGGAGTTCTTGGGTGATATCCCGCTGGACGCGAGGGTATGCGAGGATGCGGATCGGGGGATGCCTACTGTCGTTGCGGAGGAGAGTAATAAGAGAAGTGTACGACGGGAAGCGTTTCTGGATGTCGCGCAGAAGGTGGCTAGAAAGGTTGGGTTGCAGTGGTAGTGGGGGGATCTTGATTATTGCATATGTATATACCCGATCCGTTTTGGCTTTTAGGTGTATAAATACAATGGGTAAGGCGTTTTGGGTCATCTTCTGGGAATGATAGTCAAGGTCTGTCCAATTGTCTATATAATAGGAAAAGGCTATGGAAGTAATAGAACGGGTATTTGACACCACACCAAGTGGAAGTGATAAACATAAGAAATCAATAATCAAATCCGACAAATGAAAGAAGTCATGCTTGATAACAATATACAAAAGAAGTCAAAATAAAAATAAAAATAAAAATAAAATAAAAGAATGAAAAATCACCAGTAATCCAATACAATCCCAACCGGAAACATACTACTCATCAGCGGTATGAACAGCATCCTGATCCGACATCCCAGGACGAGACGATGCCCCATCACCACTAACAGGCTGACTTCTCGCGCCCAGCGATGACGAACTCGCGAGATCGCCCGAATCGCGTGACGCAGACGGCGCCTCGACGGAACGAGGCCGCGAGTCTGGATCGGTCACAGCGCTCACCACCCCCGTGGCATGCCGCACTGCGCGAGTACTAGCGGCGTCGACGCCGGTAGTGGTGACGGCGACAGATCGATCGCCCAAGGTGCTGGTGTCGTCTGCGATGTCTGAGGTGAAGCGGCTGCGGGCGGTGGCGGAGCCGGTGTGCGAGGATCCGCAGTGTTTGTGTCGCATGTTGGATGGGTCTGAGGTCGGGGCTATTATTCCCGGTGCGTGGAAGAGTGTCTGGGTGCTGGCTGTTTCCTCGGTGCGTGGTTTTGATTCGTATGGGGGGAGCACGACAAGAGGGCTGAGGGTTCGCTCAGGGGGTTGTTGCTGCGTTGGGGAAACTCCAGTACTGGTGGTATCGGGGGTAGATTTGTCTGCATTATAGGTGTCTGCATTCATGATGTCGGCGGCGGGTCTGGGGTTAAGAGAACTGGCTTGACCCTGTCCGGGGCTCTGAACGATAAGTGGGTTCACATCACCGTGGCTTGCTGGCTGTTTGATAGAGGCTCCGGCCTGTCCTGCTCCCACACTGCTCCTCCTGACCTCCTTCTCTCTCTGGCGTTCTCGCACGATGGCCTTCTTGTCATGCTTGCTGGCCCAATGACTCCACAAGGTCATGGGGTAACTCTTGCGCGCATTCCAAGAGGGCAAGACACCGGAAACTTCCTTTCTTGCAGCGAGGGAGCAGGGAGGGGGTGTTTCGTTCTTAAAGTATTTCAATCCATACGCCAGTTCCTTCTTCCGCTTTTGTTGCATATGGAGCTTCTCTTTGGCGAATTTCACGTCCCATTCATCTTTAGCTGCCAGCCACTTTTTGAGAAGGCTGGGATTGATGGATCCAACGTAGGAGGGTGGGAGTTGAAGGACTGGTTCGAAACATACTGGATCCAGAGGATAGATACGGCCACGCTTGTCCACTCGTTGCCGTACCATACGATTCTTAAAAGCTGGCAGGGGATCCCCAGCCATTCCAACTGACGAAATAGCGGGTTTCGTATTCGATTTCTCCGGAGTTGCATTTGCAGGTGCACTTGGGGTGTCCGAATCCGAGGACGAGATGGGCGAGACGGTATTGTCATCCAGGATCTCAATTTCGGTTTCCTGGGCGCAAGCGAGCGCCCAGGCACCGAATTGGGCAATGGATCGATACATATATTTGGCCGGACGAGTGAAGCTGAGAGCAGGGACAGTATGGCAGAGGTCGTCCCAGACCTGGAGCTGCACGTAGGTGCCGGCGTATTTATGTAAGATCTCTCGGTTTGGGTCGTTCTCATCTAGGGAGACGTCGCCGGGTGGATAGTCCGTGGGGTTTGCAGCTTTGTGAGCCAGGTAAATCTGCTCATCTCGGAGCTTTTCGCCTCCACCAGTGAGGATCTGAAGCGGCGGTAGGCCCCCAAGAGATGGCTGTAGCACTGGAGAAACAAGTGGGTGCGATATGAGCGGATTGGTCGTGTACATTTGGACTTGGTCTTTGACTTCAACGATCTGACCATCCACAGGGACCTTGATGCTGTAAGGGCCCCCATCCGTTGGATTTGACTTTCTTGCATTGGAGGCGTCCGCCAAAGACGAGTGGCTATCCGAGACTGAATAGCGTTTTGACGCAGCTTCGTCCACCCTGCTCTCTGTAGCCGGGATGGACTCTGGCGCATCGATCGCCGATCCATGTTTCTTGCTACGTTCTTGTTGCAGAGCCAGAACCTCGTCTGCAGAAGGTGGCGGCCATGCCGCCGAGGGTTTATGCCGGAAGCCGTACGGAGGTAGAAAGTCACCGGGGTTATCCTTCATGATGCTGGGGAAGGAATGAGTCAGGTCCACCCAAGGGGAGATCAAGATGGCCCCAGCAGGGAGAGGCAGGCCCTGGTCACGAATGGTAACCAACATGCTGGACAAGCCGTTAGCAAGGGAGCAGGTTTCCGCGTGGACGTCATCAACATACGAGACCACCATCCCTCCGCCAGCCGAATCGCCTGCAAAAAGGATCTCATTGGGCATGAATTGGTCCAAGAGGAACAAGTACGCCGCCAATGAGTCCTGCAGCGCACAAGGGAATGGAAATTGCGGTGCCAAACGGTATTTCGCTACGAAATGCAATAATTTTAGTTCTTGTGGCTATATAGAAGCACACAGCGCAGACGGATCAAATTAACTCACTACGCGCCATTAGCATCAGCATTCAGGGCGACAGCGAACCAGATCCTACCGTGCAAATACCCGCCCTTGGAGCTTCCTCGCATGACGCTGCATCTGGTACCGATGTGTATTGACACTACCAAAGTAATATGCACCGCCATGGATATACAGCATGATGCGCCTGCGGCCCCGATTATCCCCATTGGCGCGTTTCCTTTCATTATGATCGTTGCGCATTTCGATCCACTCCCCCTGAAGATCCTCGGCCGGACCACGCCATTGCCACCACTCCTTTCCGCCCACACGGTCGATCCCCCTGGGGCCCAATTCATCGATCAGGACCTCTGCCGCAGACGTCAGGTATCGATTGGAGATGTGGACCGTCTCCGTCCTCACCCAGTGAGGACTGGGCACCCATTGGGCACTGAAGGCCTGGATGTCCTCGACGGTGTGCTTGGACGCGTAGAAGAGAAACTTGCGGAAGATATGTATGGCTTCGTCGTAGGAGACATGGATGGTAGGTTTATTGTGCAGCGATTTTCGATGCAGGTACTGGTGATGGTAGTCTTGGAGTTAGCTGGGTGACATTACAGGGAGTGGTGGCGGGGAACATTCAGGCGCAACCCACATGGGAGATAAAGGTCGATAGAACGGCCGGAGTAAGGACGACGCCCAGCGCAATCGTATTTAAAGCCATCATAAGGAGTCACCGGTAGCATAGTAACTCTCGCGAGGAGGAGAGGACGTGTTCGTGATACAGGGGATAACCGGATATATCGGGGAGGACAGTGGAAGGGGGGAATTAAACGAGAGACATTAAAATAGACAATTAAAGAGGATTTTATCAATAATCTCAGGGGATCATGAGGATAGATAGACGGCCAGGTCGGAGAAAGGGTCAACGCTTCCGAGAAGAAAGAAACTGACGACAACCTGAGGCTTTCAGTCGCAGAGAGTTGGCGGTGACGTCATCGCCGTCTCTGCAAAAAAGTTCGCGTTCATCTCTGACGGAGTTAATAGGATGTTCACTGTACTCTAGAATAAGTCTCCTAGTCCATTAACTAGAACCTAGGACCGAGGATCTGTCAGCTCTGGTGGAGTTACAGCTGGTCCACACTCCACCTAGATTGGTGGATCCATTGGCAAGCGCATGTATGTTTCTTGGCTTCCCTCGATTAAATGGGATTAAATGGTACGGAGGATTCAATATTCAACGTTTAATCATTGAGTATTCCTAGAGATCCATGAAGGTAGTCTGTAGTTGCGTACTGTCCGCAGCCAAGAGATGACTGGCATTTAGAGTCGAATGGTATTTACTCAGATTATGTTTGTAACATGACATCATCCATCTCCACTACCACCTGCACGTCAAAAAACTCCAAATCCATCACCCACATAACAAACAACTGTACACAAACCATCCAGATACAGATAACCACAAACATGACAGACTCTGCCACCACATCCCATTCAACCATGAGGGCCTGGATGTACCACCGCGTCACAGGCCCGTTGGAAAAGAGCCTGACCCTGGAACTCTCCGCCCGCAGCCCTCTCACCCTGCGACCGGATCAACTCCTCATCCAAATCATCTCCGCCTCCATCAACCCCGCTGACTTCAAAGTTCCCGAGATGGGGATAGTATCGCGAGCCATCGTCGCGCCTCCTGCGACCCCCGGGATGGATTTCTGCGGCCGAGTAGTCACCACGGGCCCCTCGGTCAAGATATTCCAACCTGGTCAACTGGTGTACGGAAGCACGGCGGTGCCGGTGCAGTTCGGATCCCTTGGAGAGTACATGACCGTTGCCGAAAAGAATCTAGCGCCTCTCCCAGAGGGCGTGGAAGTGGATCATGCAGCGACGCTGGGAGTCGCCGGGTTGACGGCGTATCAGGCGACCGTGCCGTATGTGACAGCGGGGGATAGGGTGTTCATTAATGGGGGATCAGGAGGATGTGGAATCTTTGCCATCCAGTTTGCTAAATTGCTAGGGTGTCATGTTACCACCACGTGTTCGACTCGGAATGTGGAATTTTGTGAGCAGCTGGGCGCCGACGAGGTGATCGACTATACGGCCCAAGATGTAATGGCGGTTCTCAAGGAGAAGGGCCAAGTATTTGCACATGTGATCGATCATATCGGGTCCCCGGCAACTCTGTATCAGTATTGTGATGCGTTTCTGCTGCCTGGGAAGGTTTTTGTTCAGGTCGGCGCGGCATCGTTTCTGACGTTTGCGAATCGGTTGGTACGGCCCAGTTTCCTCGGGGGAGGCAAGAGAAAGTACGATATTCTGCTGTGCAAAATGAGACAAGATGAGCTGGCGCAGATCGGTCAGTGGGTTCAGGAGAGGAAAGTCAAGGTTATAGTTGACAGTGTCTTTGAGTTTGAAGAGGTCATCCAGGCTTTTGAGAAGCTACGGACTGGGAGGACGAGGGGCAAAATTGTTATCCACGTCTCAGAGCAGCCTTGATCAGATATGTTCCATAATGTAGTATTCTCATAGCACGTTGGCCGCATTATATTCTGACAATATCTACAAGTGTACGCTCACACCGATAGAAAGCAGAATAGAGCCCATATTTAAACTCTTTGCCTGAGGAACGTGAGCGCCCCGATGGACATGGCATCCACGGCAGTCTGGACGGTTGGTTCAATGGTTGGAGCAAAGAAAGGCGAGTGGTTATAGGGGAGTTCATCTACAGTTCCCTTCGCCATCGCATCATCCCAGGTCTTCGAGTCGACTCCGCCAAATAGCCACATCACGTACGGGGCCCCCACCGCCGTCGCCAGAATCGTGAAGTCTTCACTGGCTGAGAGGGGCCCAGCGTCAATCAGGTTATCTTTAAAGTAGGACCCGAATGTGGCCTGGAGTGTTTTGGCGGTTGCGTCGTCGTTGATCGTGGCTGGGACGGACTGGTTGCACTGGATCAGCGGTTTTTCAATCGCCCCACCCGCCTCGCATTCGGCCTCTATGATGCGCTTGATGGCCGATATCACACGCTCTCTTGTCTCAGCATTGTAAGTTCGGATATTGAGTTTCAAATCCAGCTGGTCTGGGATGATGTTTGCCTTGTGACCGGATTGAATGCTACCACAGCTGACTACCGCAAATTCTTCGGGGGCCACCTCGCAACTCACCACAGTCTGCAGTCGTGTAACGATGGACGCGCCTATCACAATGGGATTGATGCATGCCTGCGGCGCCGAGCCATGTCCGCCGCGGCCGTAAATGCGCACGTCAAACGAATCACCAGCGGTGAATAGCCGGCCAGACCGAAGGGAGACGGTCCCCTCTCTCGCGCGCATGAGATGCTGGGCCAGAACCACGTCTGGTTTGGGGACTTTTTCATATAAGCCATCGTCAACCATGGCTTGAGCGCCGCTCACAGTTTCCTCGGCTGGCTGGAAGATACAGATCAGTGTGCCTGACCACCGTTGGCGGGCTTCATGAAGAAGTTGAGCACTTCCCATCAGCGCTACAACGTGGATATCATGTCCACAGGCATGCATCACGGGTATTTCTTCCCCTTCATTGTTCCTGACGGTTTTCTGGCTTGTATATGGCAAGCCTGTCTTCTCCTGGACGGGCAAGGCGTCCATGTCTGCCCGTAACAGGACCGTTGGGCCGGATCCATTTCGGAGGACACCGGCGACGCCATACCCACCGATGTAAGTGTATACTTCGAATCCATAGCCCTGGAGAAAGTCAGCGGCAATTTTGGACGTCTCCTCTTCCTGGCCGGATAGTTCAGGACAAGCGTGTATCTGGCGATAAAGTTGCTCGAACTTCTGTAGATCCGGTCGAAATTGATCGATGATGGCCTTGAAGCCGTGATTGGAAGCTAATCTCATTAATCAACTACATTCATTGCCGGGTGATTGACCTCACCATTTACCTGCATGATAGATGGGAGTTTTGGACTAGGCAAGACGTAGGTGCAAACCCAGGAAGGACATGGAAGGAGAAAATTAGAAGGAGGGGGTATGGCGGTCCTATAGGCGTTTGTCGATGCACTAAAGTGAGTTGATGTCAGGGGATGGTCGATGCCAATGGACGTCATGGGCCGGGGATAACCTCCCGTTCATCAGTTATCTCGGCTAACGGCGCCAGTCACTGATCTGCTCAGCAAGCATATAGAGAAGTGAAGGCAAGACTGTAATAGAGACTAATGATTGAATTTTGGACATGCAACCCATTTTATTTTTTCCCCCTGCAAACATTCCATACTGGCCTTTAAGGCTAGTTCAAAATCTTGGATGTATTTTTGATGTACACTGCGTGTATCTTTACATTTCAGTACGAGGGTGATTTATTTTCTTCTTCTTCTTCTTCTTCCTATTCTTATTCTTATTCTTATTCTTATTCTTATTCTTATTATATATTTATACTGCGATTGTTACTTTGTTTTATTATTTACTAGAAGCTTAAGGACTCGACAACTTCAAATTGCCTACTTATAAGTTCCAACACTTCGCCAGAGCTTTCCCATGTACTAAAAATAATAGAAATTCATTTTTTAAAGAAGAAAAAAAAAGGTACTCAAGGACTTACGTCCGCACCTGCTTTGCCTAAAAGAGACCTCTCCAGGCAGGTATTTTCCCATCAAAAACAACAGTGAATCCAAGGCCCAGGGAACAAAGAATTATGAAGATCTATAGGTTAGGCACCGTGTGACCAGCTATTTTTATTGGCTGCCATAAGATAGACTATGGAGCTATAAATTAGGAGAATGTTCTACTACTGTATTTAAAAAGATATACAAAAACTACCAGAGCATGCATACCTTTTCGGGTGACAATCCTGCCCTGATCTGGCCAACATTTACCTACAGAAATAGTTGGATGCCCTAGTTTTCAATAGTCACTGTTTTTGTGTAGCCTATGCGAGGGGCTAATGCCACCTATATCACTGTCACTATCACTGGCATCTCCTTAACCTTTCTCGGGGAAATGGAATTAGAACATTCACTAATTCTTCCAACAGTGGGAATCAATCTCCCTGGACGAATGGGTATAGATATAGGAGGGTCAAAGCTCTGTTTTTCTCTTCCTTCTCTACCTTATCCATTCTTTTTCCCCTCTCTTCTCTACTCTTTATTTTGTATTAATGTTTTTCCATACACAAACCAAGCAAGACAGACTACAACATATCTCCACAGCAACCATGCAGCTCCCCATCATCTTCTTTCTCTTTATCCTTATTGTCCTCTCCAGCGCAGCGGCCATCACTCCTGCAGCCGATACCACCACAACTATTACCCTCCGTGACGACGACCGCGATAAATGTCACCAAATCTGCACCGGCAACAACGATTGCAGCGGTGAATGTTCTGAGTGTTATAACTTTACTTGCTGCGGTAAGTCAAGACTTTTCCACTCTGGGAATATATACATAAGAAAGAAAGATAGTTAACTGGTATGTACAATCCAGAAGCCTAACCACCTAGTATCCTATCATTGTTCGCGGACGAAAAGCTCAACTCCAGCATCAGAAATTAGCATGGTTCATCCATCCCTCTCCTTGTTAATGTCAATACTAAGAAACGGGGTTCATTCAGACCGCTCTGGAATCTTTCTTGCGCTTTTTTCTTGTTCTCATGTTCGACCTCTTGGATTGGATATACGGGATCCCTGAGGATCGACCGGATGATTTCGACTGGGAAGAAGACATCGATGATTGGACTCTGCCTTGACGATTGGTTTGTCTTCACGGCTTAGTCTGGATAGACAGCTAATCTATTTTTTTTTTTTTTCTTAATATCGGTGTTTGTTTGTTTACTAGAATTTGTATATCTGTAGACTTGGAAAGTACTAGTTCGAGATACTCATCGTGAGGTAGTTGACGATCTGCCATGGGCTTTTCATTACTTAGATATACCTCGATAGTGGCATACTGGAAACACGGTTTATAGCGTTAAGCAATATCAAAATGTTACCTGCCGAAAGTATAGTTAGCAATCAATTTTCTACTTTTATGACATCCTTCACGTGGAACATGTATATATATATTCGTACAAATGTACAGTATATTGCCAGGAGCTTATGGTTATATTTTAAGCATATTGTTAGCGTTCACTTTGACCATCAGAGAAACACATTACTATATCTTTGGCAGTCAGCAATTATATTTCTCCTCTATAAGCAGATACTAGCTGTCGTGGATAGAAGAACAAAATCGAGTACCTTCGCCAACACATGACCGCTGATGCATGCCATGTGGAGTGGGCCATGTGGAACCCACGGGGCCAATGACACGTGCCGAACCAAACCAGAAAATTTGCATCCACTGCCCACAAAAAAAAGAACTTCAAGCACCTTCCCAGGTGTACATAGAATCACAGCCCAACGCGGGGCTCGAACCCGCAGCCTTGAGATTAAGAGTCTCACGCTCTACCGATTGAGCTAGCCGGGCAATTATTGAAAACACAGAAAGGAGGATTGTTAGAGATTCTCGATATGACATAACTATATTACTACCATCAAGCTGAGGTTCCGTAGACTGAACTTGTTGCGTCATAGGTGATTGCAAATAGGGAGTCATAATGAGAGAAGCAGTTGATCTTCTTGAATGCGGTATTTTATGCATGACTATTATTTGTGTGGCGACCACTGTGCAACAACAAGTGCTCTGCTTATCCCTCGTATAGGGCCAGGTTCATACTGGCCGGGGGAAGAGGAATAGAGTTATAGGCAACAAAAATCATACTGACAACGTGCCTGAACTCTAAGGGAATGTAGCTAGGCGCTCGTGGTATCGATTAATGGCATAGGCGACGGCAGATTTCTAGTATGGAACCTATTGGAGAACTCACCTGCAGCTGCGGCACTGACATATATCGCGCAGGGCTGTGGAAAGTATCTAGATAACATGGGTCCATCCCATGACTGCCACTAAAAGGGCCTGCCCTCAATTCGATAGGGTATAGTGATCCTAAACGGAAGCAAGAGAATTGCGCGCGCCTCGGTTGTATCCAAAATAGCAGGCAGCCCTTGGCTGACTAGTTGATCACGAACAATGGCTCCCAAATTCTCCCCAACATTGAAGTTGCAGGCACTTGTTTATGTGCTCGGACCTTCGTAAGATCGGACTTTTGTTGCTTCGGCGCTTGATGGACGGACCGTGGCGGAAAACGAAAAGAAGCAATGGTAGCCACTGGTACCTGTGGCTGGGGCTGAGCTATACAGGCATTGTACGAGAACCTGAGGCTGAGGCGGTGTGACCCCTGACAAGCTCACTAGACCCCTTTATCACCATGACGCTGACGATCTTGGTGGAGGGCTCGTATCATCGGGACTTATTCTTAGAACACAAGGGTGACATCCACAAAAATAGATACCGATGAGTATAGAAGCAAAGGTTACCAACAGACTGGAACCGGGCGATTTTATGTCTCAGAGTTGGGCCGCGATGAAGGACAGCGTTTGCTGGGCAAATGAGCGTCCTAGTCAGGGTTGGCGGGTACTGAGGCTCAAGCTGCATGACATTCGAAGGCCAAGGACAAGCCCTGGCCAACAACTTCATGTCGGAAGTTCGTCATGCATGACAAGGGTAGAGTTTGAGAATTCTCCGTAGGCAACAACCTCCAGTGTTGGTAAGTAGGCAGAGGGGTGGTAATCAAGAGAACAGAGTGGCAGTTGGACGGAAGGAAGTAGCTTTACGACTGAGGCGCAGGAACACGAGGTCAAGCCACACCGCATCTTGAAAACCCCCGTAAGGAGTACTACGTATGTACTCCGTAATAGAGTATTACAGCATGACATCCTTAGGGTGTGGGCCTGTTTGGAAGATCACCGCCATGATTGTCATCCCAGGTCGAAACTAAAGCATCCTAGACCCCTCGAAAGGGAAAGAACACTGGGGATGGACGGAGCGCTAACCAAAATGGGGATAATGGGTCTTAATAGTGGAGAAACAAAGGATCTACAGTGGAACCAATCAGGGGCCCGCCAGCCGATCAAATGTGGCAGCGGACGTTGCAAAAGCCGCCGAAAAAAGCACTGCCTGCAGGCATCAGCCACAGCCTTGGTATGAATGGTATTATGCTAGTACGTGGTCCAGAGTCATCCGACACTACTGTAGGAACTGTCCTCATCATCTGCCACTCGCTGCCTGTGACCAATGCTGTCATGGTAATTTTGAGGTCCTGCAGTTCATGCGTCAACTACCAAAAGTAAATAAATACATTACGAAAATCATTAAAGTGGATGCCTTCCTTCCCGGGTGTGGAGCCGACCTAGATCGTTCCTATACTCCTAGCTATATATTCTCCCTCCCTCCCTCTGCATCCCTTGTGTTTTTCTTTGCTTGATATCTTCTTGCTTCAATCACACCACAGCTATTTTGGTTCCAATCCACTGGCATCCTTTCTACCTCAAGAGTCCTACTCTGTCCCATCCAACCCCCAAGCTTGCCTATCAGCTTCCCCACGTCGGACACCTGACGGAACCTCTTGCCTATACGTGTGACCCCATCCAGTTCGTCACGGTGTCGCCCTTCGACGCATCTCGTTTGTCTCACCACCCCAGCTTGTCCTTCCAGGACACAATATTACCTCGAAGAGTCCCTCGCCGAAGACTATCTCTGCGACGGACCTCCACAATGCCCGCTCCCATTGTTGAGAATATACTGCAACCCGTCCTGCCCGTGCGCGAGCTCGAGGCCGATGAGGAGTTCGTGATAGCTGCCTTTGAGCGTCACGCTAGCCACTGCTACCGGTGTGCGGACCCTCTTCAGGTTCAGCAGGAGGACCGCTCTCTCTGTGACCGAGGACACCAATATGCGTTGGACGTGGCCGAGTACATCTACAGCAAGAAAGGCAAAGCATACTCCGTCGTGGACCGGGAACTCAACCAGCCCACGCTAGTCAAGATCCCACGCACCTCCGTGGCTGTTCGCGGACTCCTGCTTGCCATCGAAGACGGTCTGCGCCTGCATCGTAAGGAGTTGCAGAAATCGACTCAGTCTGCTCCTGTCATTAGCTATGACCGCACCTACCTTGTCCCACCTCGCCGCGCGGCCACGCAGCCAGCAGCGTCGCAACCGGCGGCATACAATGAAATTATCGAGAGGGAGCCACGTTCTCTGAAACGTCGCCGGGTCATAATCTACCCATCTCCCCGTGGTTCTCCCAGCCGGGGTTCGCTCTATGAAGCTGATGCAGCTGACCGTGTTGAGCGTTTCAAGGGGTCCTCGCGTATTTACCGTCCGGCTGAATACCATCGCTGAGGGGCATCGGGTCACTAATGGCTTTCATTTTCTACGTTATGGCTACAATTTGCATGGTTTTTACCACCCCCAACAGTTCTGCTAGCAGATGCGAGTAGACTTCCGTCGCCTTACATTTTGCAATATACGAGAAAGTTCGTAAAGCAGAACAGGGCCCAGTGGGTTCTACCCTTGACCGCACGAGCCATTCACCCACAGAATTTCTACACACAGGAGACTGGGTGCTTTTCATGCGCGTTTGAAATTTGGGCGTTTATTTCTTCTGTGAGACCTGAATTTCCATCCACAAAATGAAGGGATTAATCTTTCTGCCTTCTATCTATTTTATATTTCTATCTATTTATATTTTGGCTATTTCCTATGTCTGGATCTGCCTGTTCATGTTTCTGAATTCACTGAAGAAAATGACCACAAAGCAAAAGCAAACAAAACTGAACATTAAAAAAAATAGGAGGGGGTGGATTTGATTGGAGGACAGTATATGCATGTTCTAAACAGTTCTGCAAGCAAGCAAGTGACTCACCCACTGCAGTCCACGGCACCGTTCGGGGCCCAAGCTAAGGAATTGAAGCTTAACAATGGTGATTGGATAATAATAATATGATGGAGACTACAGTGATTTCCTTTGTACTGATTATGATTATGTATATGATGAATGAAAGAAACCCCACAAACTATTCCTGTGTACGTGTTCTTTGTAAGATGTAGCCTAGATGGTATGCAGCTCGATAGCTACATACTGTGTAAGCATCCAGGTAGAGCTTTATCTTGTGGAATTCCACTATCGAGTAATCTTGTAGCTTGGAAGTTGGCCATTCAACGTGAGTCATGAGAGGTCAATGGATATCATTGGCTGACCTAACGCATGTTGGGTGCATGCAGTAACTAGAATAACTATAGTATGTACTACTTATATTAAGTACTAGTAATAGTAGGTAAGGTACTGGTTATGCCAGGATCAGATATAATACGCAGCACAGACCAGGTCTAGAGTAAATATGGCGGTGCTGGATATTTATAATATGATTTAAATACAGGCAAGCACAGTAGCTTACAAAAAAGAATAGGCAATTTTTACCATAAGTTATATATAGAAAGCATGATTATTATTCTTGCACTTATGTTTTAGTGTCACTGTCTTAGCATCACGTATAGACTGAAATAGCCTATAATGTCGAATACCCAAAGTAGAAGAATATAAGTGACAAGCCTAGTTGTTGATTATGTCGACCTGTAATCATGAGCTATTCTGTTTTACGAATCTTAGCTATAATATGTACGCATTAGCAATTTATATGTATAGTGTAGATTTTAATTGCGATTTCTGAGCTACAGTTTTGTCTCCCAATGCTAGAAAATGTCTTCCATTTTCAAGTTCTATTCTTGGCATCAATTTTTGGATGTATAGGTTGTATATTTGGAGCCAATGTGGTAGATCTATGTTATTCTGGGTATCCCCCAGGTTTGACAGGAAAGAATATAATGTAATGGGCTAACACAAGAAGTGGTGGTTGACTTGATTTGGTCTTCAATCTTGGAATCGATAGTCTTAACGACGAGGATTAATGTTTCTGCTCTGGTCATACCACGTAGCTCTGATGGTTCGTTGTCTCGAATGTACCAGACAGATTGAGTGTATTCCTTTCATTGAGTTGATTCTGAAAATATCAGGAAGAATAAGAACTACCTCCAGCCTGATATTCTCCATGACCATGCTTCAAGTCCCAGTTGCAAATGAGAACAGTGTATGGCTCCCATCTCTTTAGCGCCAAAAGAACCCATTCCATTGACTACTATCCCACAGCTTTCTCCCATGAATTCACTGCGTATGGAACAAATAGAGCTAGAAACAGTTAGCGTGGTTGACATTAAGGGACGCCAGCAACAATCCCCAGCACCACCTAGTTAAGTCCCAGAATCTACGCACCTTAACACTACGTGAATGCCATTTTGCTACTCTTTTCATTTACTCTCTGTGAAGAAAAAAAGTTCTTGTGTGAGGCGAGCAGGTCACGGGGTCTGAGAGTTAGTTGCACCTCGCTTGATTTCATACTCGTTTTTCTTTTGCACACTTTTTCATCCTTCATACTAACTAACTTTTCACTCTTGTTTTCATGCTTCGCTTTTCCAACGCATCTCTGTTTGCACAAATAACCCTCCATCTTTCACATGAAAGATAAAAGCTTTTAGCCCAGCCTCGTTAGATGCTTGATAATCTGAGACTGAACCTACAGTCAGGTCCATCATGTCTCTGTACCTTGAGCCTGAGGAGCTTCGTGACGCTCTTAATAAGCTTGCGAGAGACCCCTTTACCGAAGAGATGCTCAGCAGACGGTTCAGAGAGGCCTACTCTCCATTTGAGCCAGCGGTTCAGCGTCATGCTGGCGTCGAACATGACCTCCGGGTGCCACAAATGCCCGATACTCCTTACTCCGCTTACCAAAAGACGCCTCTGCCATCTGTGGCTACTGGTCAGACAACTTTCACTCCCAAGTGCACCGTGCCCGATGATCTCGACAAAAATAAAGGTCTGGCAGCGCATACTCTCGAGACTGTTGGACAAATGAGTTTGAGAGAGCGGATCAGCACTTGGCGCAGATCTTCCTGCCATGGACGGTACATGTCTGTTGCAACGAATGGAGGTGTGCCTTCTATGCCAATGGCCGATGAATATAAGGGCTCTCCTAGCGTCGACCAGCTGGAGATGCCCACTGCAATTGCCAGTTCCTACAGCTGCTCTGACGATGGTGATTGGTATGTCAAAAGGACACCAGAATGATGTTTATTGGGACATACCTGTTGACGGTACTAGTATCCATGCGAATGGAGACATCGAGGTTAAAGGCGCTCGTGCCAGCCCTATCGAGAAAATGACTTCCATCATCCCTAAGGCCAACAAGACGAAGAAAGACTCCAAACAGGCCTACAAAACTAATAACGGCGCCAAAGCCAAGCGTGGACGAGAAGAACTTCCCGATGTCCCTCACGGCTCTCCTGATGAGTCCCATGAGCCCATCGATCCGAAGGGTTTCTTCACCAAAAGACGCCGCAGCGCCCGCATAGCGGCTCTCGAAAAGAAGGACAGCAAGTGATACTCGAGAGGCATCATTGTACATTGCATACCCATCTTGATATTTGACAAAACTATCGTGGGTAGCGGCTGAGTGTTTGCCTCGGAGTGTTAGAGCATCCAGAGAGGAGTGCCCACTTTATGGAATGGAAAAGACAGGCACAAGATGTTCTCTTTTCTTTTTCTTGACACCCCTTTCTCTGACTTGGTGTTGGCGTTTATTGTCTTTGCAGGAATTTGGTAGTACTCTGGGTCGGATTTAAGGTACTCGGCAGGATACCCCACGGACGTTGTTTATCTTCTGAATGATAGGATTGGGTTTTCTAAAGTCAACGGCTCGAAGCTTTTTTTCTTTTCTTTCGTCTTTTTGTACACTGGATGGGTCTCTTTCATACGAGAGCATGATTGTACTATCTATTCATGGACCCTTCATTAATGATGTGGACCGTCGAATGATCAATTTGTTGCTCGAGCGGAGTCCTATCTATTCTCTATAAGTATTCTCTTACATTCCGATCAGGACTGACAGCGACACACAACGTATTACCTGACGATTCTAGATTCCCGTGTCTGCATCCATGGTGGAGCGCCACTCAGCTTCATTCCGTCTCTCCAGAATCGACTGACGGACGAGGCTGAGTGGAAATAAGACGTTACTCTGTGGAGGTTGACTCTGTGGCTGGTGTGTCTTAGACCCAAGATCGGGTCGTCTGACGGTTGAAAGATAAAAAAAGAATAAAAACGAAAAAAGGCTTGCCACCTATGAGATGGGGGGCCTAAAAGTAGGGTGTGTGGAAGGGGAGACGATTGAAAGTTCGAAGGGTTGACTTGGTCCCCTCCCGTTCAAATGGGAGCCTTCCCATGTGACCCCCAGCATGAACGAAAAGAACCACCCACGACAATCATTGACTTCCACCATCCTCTCGACTGGGTGAGGAATGGCTCCCGCCACGGAAGAAGCCGGCACTAAAGCAGTCGACGGGATGGCACTGGCCTCAGTGTTGTCATGAGACGGATCCAGGTTTTCTACACTAATGGATGGTATTCACCGCTGATGAGCACCATCAGGATCTGTGTGCATTGGTGATACTGCTTGTCTAAATTATACAGAGGTAAGTAAATGTTCCACTGTTCCCACAGAACTATAAAGACAACCTAAAAAAAAGGAGAGAGAGAGGAATAGGCATGGTAGGTAACACAAACATAATAGTAGAGTCCCAACAAGATACACTGCATGTCAGCCCTGACCTTGCGCCCTTGTACTGACATGTAGTTTCTGTGAAGATCTGCAACCCTCCATTATCTCTTTAGACTATGCAAGATGGACTCCTGTTTAGAAAATACTAACCACCCACCAGGTCAGCAATGACTCAGATTGTGATATATATGGGAATCATAATCTTGCATACTTAGGCTACTACTCCCCAACCTATAAGCGCCAAATGCCAGATCTGCCCCGCGCCGTACACCAAGTAAACTTCGGCCATGGGCAAGACATACTGGCTTAGCCGATACTTGTGTTGCATTTTCAGAAACCTTGCTTGATATACCTTCTCTTGAAAAGAAACTACAGTCTACCGTTGGGATGTTGTTTCCTTCCATACTGTTATGCAGCTATATAAACCACAGGAACTTGCACGGTGTTTCATATAAGCCAGGCACTAAATGGTGTGCAGTCCTGGTTGATATTGTGGCTAAGATGTGGCTCCAGTCACCTGGAACACAATAAATTGATGATGAGATGTAGGCCGCTGCCTTACTCTTGTTGTATAGTTCTACAAAGAGCCATTTGCTGGGACTGAGCAAACTTTGTACGCAAAAACTTGTTTCGCGATGTTGATCCTGGGTGCAGCTAGTGTTCCTTAACGGCTTGACAGTTAGGGAGATATTTGTGTAGGCTTCGCTTCTGTGCAGATGATCCAATCCTCCCTTGTAGTAATTCAGAGTCAGATGAACCTGTGCCTTGAGCTGGTGTGGCGCAAAGGCGACATCTGGTCTGATTTTGTAGTGGCTCTTGTAGTGGGGGAATATACACCAGTCTATAAGTGTAGGAAGTTAGACCTTTGGTAATAAATACATGACAATACTAAGTGATATCGGATCCTAGTAGATTTTCTCCCTTGTGTCTCTTAATTCCTTCTCAATACTTCAACCAGACTCTGATTATCGATGCTGAACAGTAGACCAAAAACAAGTTTCGAAACCTGTAAACCCGCTTAATGAAACAAATCTGAGAATAAACTTGGTTGCGAGATCAATAATCTATGCATGATGCATATAAAGTAGACTTGTATGTGCTGGTAATATGGAGAGAAACAGCAGCACAAAATCCGGCGAAACTGCCAACAACGGCGCCATTCCTCTTGTGGAAGCAAAATCACGTGTCACTATCGCAACTCCCAAAGTTCGCGGCAACCACCAAGTTCGCAAATTCTGGGAATCGAAGCTTCCGCCCCAATTCCCTTGATTTCTCTCGTTCAAGACGTCAGAATGGCCAAGAAATGTGAGTGAATTCGCCTTTTCCCATTTGTCTGAACAATACGGCAGCCTTTCCAGCTCTACGAGAGAGATGCACGTAGCGTCGCAAACACATTATAGTCGGACGATTTTACTGACTGATTTACCTTCTTACAGCCAAGTCACGTACCCTCACTGTCCGTCTCATCTCCATGGCTATGACGGGATATTTCCGAACGATGGTCAGACCTCGTGCCCATCGCCCCCTGAGCATGCTCAAGTACGATCCCGTCGTGAAAAAGAAGGTGCTATTCCTGGAAGCCACCAAGGGCGGCCGAAATAAATGATTTATGATCTCTCGACTCATTTGTGTTATTTTTTCGAATTGGTTATTCGCTACTGCTTGAAATACAACGCACGCCTTTACCACGACTATACTCCCCTGGTAGCGTTGGCCACCATGCTTGGACAGCCAGTACTTGGGCCGCTGAGTCACTCCTTTCTCGAATGATCAATTGTGTGTACATTAGACAGAATATCAGCATCAGCGATATCGGGAATCATCATTGTATCCTGTGATCATTTGCCATGCTATGTATCCATAGCGGGTTTGCAATTTGGGCGTTTAGAAGTACAGTCTGAGTTAATCAATATATTTGGTATATTATGCCATAGCATTAAATTTTCGCTTGATACTTCTTATCTCAATGTTCAATGAGACTCTCAAATACACAACCAGATATGACGGTTGGCAATTTCAGATTAAAAGATCGTGTATTTCAGGGAAGTATATGTCGAGATTATTGCCAGATTGCATTCCGTGCTAGTGGCCTTGTTTTAGGTCTCCCTGTTGAAACGGGCATTGTATCGATCGCCTATACAGTTAGCAGCAATCAGCGTTTATGTGCCGAATTCTTTCATACCTCGCGTCTTGCGGCCCCCTCTAGAGCCTCGAGACCACCTTGTGCTATTGGGGTAGTTCTGATGCGCAGATGAATACTTGCTGCTGCCTGAGGCTAAACTTGCAGGGCTTGCTTTGGGCTCAAAGTATTCAGAAGCAGCCTTGGTCTTTGTCCTAGTATAGGACGAATCCAGCGAAGATCTTGTCTTCTTATTCGGAGACGGGCCTTCAGGTCTATCTCGGTCACCTGTCTCCTCCACATGAGAAGAGGATTGCTGATGCGTGACCATTTCCTGCCTGCTTCTGAAGGAAGACTGCTGTGTCCGACTATAAGTCCGTTGATTTGTGCGAGTTATCTTCCTTTGTCCTTGTGGCTTCTGGGGTGTACTCGCAGGAACATCATTCTCCCTGGAATTCGAGACCTTGATCTTCTTTTGGTCTGCGGCTAGATCTTGCCCCTCAAATGTGACGGTCTTTTGTTTTGGTGTATTGCATTTGGAGGTATCGCGTTGGTTAGAGATATGTTCGCCTATCGACACAGCTTGAGTCGCGATTGGCGTGTCCTTGCTGATTTGGGGCGCTCCATCCACTTCCTTGTCAAGGAGAATTATGTCAGTAACCTGTAAAGGCGTCGTGTAGGATACACTGGGCTTATTTATAACATCAGGCCTCCCCGGACTTTCTGATTTGCTCGGTGTAAAGCCAAGCATAGTTGCAAGGTCATTATGATTTTCCTCAGGGGTTGAGCAACGTGCCAGCGAAATCTGTTGCCGAATGCTGGAAAATGGTACAATATCAGTGGATGGCTGTGAATGTTGGATGGACTTGGGCTTGTCCAAAGCGACCTTAGAGGTTTCAATATTCGAACTCTCCTCTATCGGAGAAGAGAATAAACTTCTTTGGATGCTTTCTGTGCGGTAGATAAACTCAGTTTTATGAACCGAGCCCTTCCCTGGTGTTCTGCAATCCTTCTGAGGAGTTGAGACCATAGAGGTTCCTGTGTGACCCTTTGGGCTGCCATTTATTGCCACAGTACTATCTATGGAATTGGGCTCTGGGGGATTTTGAGCATCTGTAGACTGTAAAAGACCTTGTAACTTATTCCATGCATCTGGAATTTGCTCTTTTATAGAACTTGGAAGTACTTGGCCAAACACTTCCTTAATACTTTTCACCCAGCTTTCTGCGTCCTGGACTCTTCGTAGCAATGCATGTATCTCCGCTTTCGCCTTTGATTTGCCATGTTCTAGATCTGATTTGGCTGAACATACCGCTGATAGTTCGTTTTCCTTTGATTTATATTCTTCCTCTTTCTTCGAGAGGTCCTTGCAGAGTGACTCCAGCTTCTTCTGTAATTCTTGTGATGTCTTCTGCGATTCAGTAGAGACAGTTGAGAGCTCGCCCTCAACACTAGTAAGTTTTTCACCAGCTTCATTCAATTGTTGCTGTAGAGAGTCCAGTTTCTTAGCATTCGACTTTTCTGTCTCCTGAAGCATTCTAATATACTCGTCTTTCTCTATTAAAGCTATTGAGATCTCGGCATGAGAGATTTCAAAGGCATGAATCTTCTCTTCCTTTTCTAAGAGCTGCAAGAATTAGTAGGCGTCGTGATTATGGATCTGTAAGTACTTACCAGACGTTCAATTTCAGCTTGCTTCTCCTTCGTTGAGACCTCTTTCGCCGCCTATATGCCGTTAGGAGATGCAATGCTCTTCGGGTAGGGGCACAGTACCAATGCTCGCTGAGAGTCAGTCAGTTGCTCCCTTAATTTATTCAAATTGTTCTCCACTTCAGCCTTTTCTCTCACTAACCCGTGGACTTGTTGTTCATAACGTGCCCTGCACTGATCCCTTGAGATGACACTCGCTCTGTTCAGCTCCTCGCGAACTTCAATCTCAATCTTTTTGATCCTATCTTGTAGTTCAATGGTTTGAGATTCGAATTGTTTTGCTCTCTGTTCTGTCTCCCGGACCCTTCCCATTGCTTCATGTAACGCGTGATTGGCTTCTTCTTTGCAAATTTGCTTCTCCTCAATGCTCTCTTTAGCGATTCTGAGTTCTGTGGATAGCTCTTGTAGCCTTTGCTCCAATTCAAGTTTCTCTTGGGAATAGGAGAAAGCTTCAGCCGAAGATAATTCAACTTTTTCGGGTATGTTTATCTCTGTAATACTTCTTCCTATATGTTCCATCTGTTGGGCTAGGTCAGATTCTTTGTCACCAATCTCTTTAACAGACAAATTAAGACTCTCAAGGCTCGGCACAAAAGCTTGGAAGCTTTCCTGCAAGGCACTGCATCTTTGTTCGTTTGCAGAAAGCTCTCTAAGTATGTTCAAACCGTTGTTCACACTGTCCCCGAGATACTGAAGATGCTGTTTTAGTTGGTCAACAAGGTTACCGTTCGCTTCAGAGCTTCCGTGTATTTCATTCGCTATTTCTAGCTGAATCGCTTCCATCCTAGCAAAAATGGTCAGTGTACCACATTCTGTAATTTTCTGAGAACGTACTGAGATGCAGATTTATGTATTATTTCTTCTACCCGCCGCACGTCCGTCTGGCCAGCTGAATGTTTCTCGTCAATAAGTTTAAGAGACACCCGACATTCATCCAATGCGCTACCAAAGATTGACTCAGTGCTCGATTGGAAGGATCCCAGTTGCGAGCTCATAGACTGAAACCTAGAATCGAGCTTCTCTATCATTCCAGCCTGGTCAGATCTAATGAGACAGAGCTTTTCCCCATGAACGGATGTTTGCTCTCGAATATAAGTTTCCAGAGCTGCTGTTCTCTTCTTTTCATCAGATAGTTGTTCTCGAACAAGTTTTACCTTTTCCTCTGTGTTTTTCAGATTTTGTTTCAACAAGTCCGTAGAGTGCACTGTCTCCGAAAGACGGCTGCGCCTCTCACCGACGAGACTTGTCACCTGCCGTAATAGCTCTCTTGCACTGGTTATGTTTTCTTCGATATCTTTTCTCTCCCTGTCTAGGGATGTCCTGGTTGCTTTAAGTTGAACCGATTCTCCCCGAAGAACCTTATAATCTGACCCCAGCTCATTGAGGAAATCTCTGAACTTGGGGAGCTTCGCTTTCCAAGCCTCCATCTGTATTTTATATGCCCTTAGCTCAGAGGTCCTTCTTTGTAGCTCTGCATTCGAAACCACAAGGTCCTCTTTTAATGCCTTATTTTCTTCTGCCAGTGCTTTGACGACGGCTTGCATCTGTTCTCTCATTTTAAATGCAGCTGCTTCATTCTCTTCACGCATTTTTATCCTGTTTATTAGCAGCTGGAATAGATGTTCTTCCGTAAGTTGTTGACTATCTTTCAATGCAATGTCGCTTGAAGTTGCTCTTTTTCCACTTGCACGGCGGCGCTTTACAACTCTTGGCTCATTATTCAGGGGAACCACAGGTGGTTGGATGTGAGAATTATGCTCCTCCATTGGTGGTATTTCTTGATCTAAATCTTCAGTGGTATATTGCCTTTTTGACCCTCTACCAGGTGGTTCTGGATAATCTAAGAATGTTAACAACCTATTCTATGATCAGCCTTGCTCTTCCATTGAATCTATAGTATACGGCACCTTATTTAAGTGTGATGAGAAGTGTGATGAGTAATCTCGAACGTGGTTGGCATTCCAAAGATTTAACTACATACTTAACGCTTCATTTTCTGGTAATGACGTTTGAGAACAGACCACAGACGGCGAATGAGTGCTTTCCGCACTTTGGGTGCGGACTGGATAGTTTCGACGAGCACCGACTCTGTCTTTAGTCATAGGCTTGTTCTGAACATTCGATGACATCGACTCTTGCTGTGTTGTTTTTGGCGACCTTTCTACTTGCTGCTGACTCAAGCTGTGCATGTTAGTGCTTGAAAATGGAAGATGGTGTCTTCATGCATCCTTAGTTCATCTCCCCATTACCAAGCACGGCACGTTACCTTGAACAGTTTATCCTTTCTTGGTCACTTGAGGTGATATGTATCTCCTGTCGACCCTGGGAGATATTCTCTCGAGACTCGGAAATTCCAGAAGAGCGCCTAGTCGATGATTGTAGAGAGAACGCTTTCCCATGCTGAAGAGGTTTAGCGAAGGAGAAAGCCGCCATGTCAATTCCAGAGCTTTGCGGACGCTCCATTAGTAGAGGAGATACAGGCCTTGATCTATTTGACCATCCTGGATCGGCTATCTTATCCATGGCGGCCCTTTGGTTGGGGGAAGCCGCAGTATTGCCCTCTGCTATGCTTAGGAGTAGCAGCTCGTCTTCTTCATACTCATTTACATCGCTATCCTTGTCACACTCAGGTTGGGCGATACCTTCATTTCCCGTGCTGGGTTCAGTCTGTGGCTTTGGGTCTTCCATGATCAGCGGAATGTGACTGAACTATATCCGATATCCGATACCAAGATGGTCCAAGGGGAATTAAAGTCTTGAATGTTAAAATGAAAGAACGTGCTCTAGGTGTATCAAGAGTTGGAGGGTTGAAGGAATGGCGATGGAATGGAATAAACCAAACCAAGCAGACCGAGGAAGGAAGGAGCACAAGGGCGAAATAGGAAGGAGCGTTTGAGGCCTCAAGTCACAGGCAGCAACAATCAATCCCTCGATCTCTCTTATCGATCCTATAGCGAGGATGTCTAAACAGACACAGACCAGCAGCACAGCTGTATCTATCAACACAACAATATATGCTCAAATTCCCAACCAATTCGGAGGTTTCGAACACGACATCATGCATACTGTTTAAGAGGTCCTTTTCAAAATTGACTATTTTGTGAAGAAACACAGACAACTAGTCTGTGATCCCTCGCTGCAGGGCATCCAGGAACAGCACTTCTATGGTCTAATGCAACCTAATTCGATTATGAAGAAATGCAATCGACCAAGTTCTGCACTTCGATCGACAAAATCTACCAATGAGTTAGACTCAGCCTTGCAGCCAATTCTGCACGTACTCTTGACTCAACACAAGACAGGAAGCAAGCCTGGGGGATTGTTCACGTCGGCGGCACACTGATGGCAGTGATTGGCGGTAGTCATCGGCTGTACAACTGCCAAGGCGGTTATCACGAGGACCAGCGCCTATATCACACCGTCACAAAGGCCTTGTAGGGATGATTCGTGGGCTTGATTTATCTTCGAACCTGTCACCTCGTCCGCTCGGCCCAGTTTGTGATGCAGGATTGAACAGGCCTGGTTTTGGAGTTTGATGGATGCGTGCATCGAGCCTATCACAATGTTGACAAGCATCCCTTTCTTCGCGTCATGACGCCTTGACCCCTGGAAGGATACATATAGACCTTATTTTAGATTATATATGCCGGTCAACAGCCGTGAAGAAAGTTAAGGTTGTTGTTTGTTTGCTGCCTGGAATCCCCTCCTTAACATCTCTATATAGGTCCAACATTCTGCACATCCACTGTGGAGAGATTAAATCATTTTGTCCATCTATCATCTTTCAAGCTATACAAGCCCAATCCTCACCATGTTATTACAATATGCAACAGCCTATCAGTACATCGCAACCAGCATTCTCATTGCCCACTCAATGGCCCAAGATATGCTCGACGATGTCGAAGGTCAGAACACAGCCGGAGCAGAAGGCCCTTCGGACGGTTCAGTAGGAGTCACGTCAACGGGGATGATAATACTCTGCACAATAGTCGGTGTTGTTGCGGTCATTGGAAGTATGTTTCCTTCCTATCCAAATCCCCGTAACCTGCTAACAACTCCCCCAGTCTCATCCGCAGCGCTATTCGTCATCGCCAAACGCCGTCAATGGGAAATGAGGGAGGCTATTCGTCGCTCTGCTAGACAAATCACCCAGGCTGTGAAGACGCCGTTGACGCCTAGATTCCCAAGCTCCCAGCTTCGACAGCTTTCATCGGAATCGAATTTAGGAGATTCCGGAAAACAGAGAAGAGAAGCGGGTCGACGAGACAATGATATGGAAAAAAATGCTGACGTTACTGAGCATGAATCATCTGGAAGCAATAAAACTAGAACCTGGGGAAAGTTGTTTTCCTTTGGTCGTAAATAGGATGAGCATGCTCCACTGTGGATACAGTTGAGGACTGTGCGAATGCTAGCTGTTGATCAGCTGTAATTATCGAGTGATCGGTTTTGCTAATAGGTTATATACGGAGCTTGAGATTTGTGATGGATTTTGTTTATTTATTTTCAAACATCCAGGGGACTTAACGTTTGTGCAGGGACTTGTGTCATTTCTGCTTCCTTTCTCACACTGATCCTAGTAACTTTCTGGGTCAGTGGCAATAAAAGAAGAACCCGACTATTTTCACACCCAGTATAACTATTTTCACACCGACTAGTCCCTTTTAGGATAGCTCCAACGCTAACCTGACCGCTCGACCGTCCGCCTGCCTCTGTGACAGCCACGTAGACCATATCTCTACTGAATATACACACATGTTTTAATAAAAATATAGTTATTTAGGCGCTCAAGATGAATAATATATATAATAAAATATATAATCAGTTATTAAATAACACTTACTACGATTCTGAATATGATTTTGATGACGATCCCGGTTTAGAACCTTCTGCTAAACCTAAACCTGCTAAGCTTAACCGCCCGATTCCTGAGCCACTAATTCTTCAGCATTTTAAAACATCTGTCGGTCAGCTGAATACGCGTATGAGCTAGTATCACCGATTATATAAGAATATGGATATGCATTGAAGAAATTGAGGTCTCTAAGGTCTCTAACTATCTGAATCTATCTGGGAGAGCTGGATGAAAAAAGGTGAAAACAAAGGAATAAAGTCGGACCGAGCGGATGCTGAATAATGGGTAATATTGGCCCACTTTGGTCGACACACCCCCAGTATCTGCGAGGTCAGATGTTGAATAGCTGAATGAATAGATGATTGATTACTGCAGTTGAATGCATGAATGTTGCCTGTTAGGCCAGAATGCGGTCTTGAATGTTGACCAAACCAAGCATCTTGATGAACTCTTGGTGTTTCTGGTCAGGGAGAAGCTTGGTCAGTCCATCTGCGGGCATTTCCGCGGTGGGAACCCATTGGACATGGATGTTTCCATTTTGAACTTCCTGGCGAAGCCAGTGGCCATGAACATCCACATGTCTGAGCTTTGTGCGGAACATGGGGTCTTCCTTGGTGAGTAAAACCGATTGTTTGGCGATTGTCACATTGGATTGAGATGCAGTGTTCTGGGTCAAAGTCAATTGCATTGAATAGACGTTTCCACCAGAATATACTCTTCGCAGCTTCTGAGATTGCAAGAAGTTCGGCTTCAGTGGTTGAAGTGGTAACTGTGCGTTGTTTTGAAGCTCTCCAATCTATTGGTCCTCCATAGAGCTTGCAAAGGAGTCCCTCTGTGCTTTTGCGGTCTAGGTTGTCTGCAAATGAAGCGTCGCTTGCACATAGAAAAATGTGGTTCTGATTGGTCAAACCAGAAAATTCAATAGCGTAGAAGCGGGTAAAATAGAGATATGCAATGACTCGGTCTAGAGCTTCCAAATGTGCTTGCGAGGGATTTGACATAAATTCTGCTAGCTTATTAACTGTGCGTGCGGCATCTGGCCGTGAAATAACTGTTGTATAAAGAGAGGAGCCGATCTTTTGCTGTAGTGATAATTAGCTGGTAAGCATTTCTGGTTAGGAACTAGGTTGTGGGATCCCCAGGTGTTTTGGGATAGGTGGTCAGATCATTCAGATGGTATCTTGTAGCCATGTGCTCGATGTAGGCGTCTTGGCATAGCCACAGCTTTCGGTTAGTTCTATCCCGAATGACTCGAATTCCGAGGAACCAGCTAAGTTCTCCCATATTGCGGAGTTCATATTGAGCTTCTAAAGCTTGTTTAAGCTTTTGAGCATTCTCCCGGCCTCCTGATTGGGCATATTGGCAATGATGATGTCGTCCACGTATACCATAAGAAGAATATGGTTATTTGTGAAGAGGCATTGGTCTTCGTTGACTGGTTCAAGCCCAAATTCTTGAAGGGTTGCAGATAGATCTTTCTGCCATAATCTAGGTGATCTGCGAAGGCCATAGAGAGCTCGAAGAAGCTTCCATGCTTTTCCTTTGATCCCATATCCCTGTGGCATTGCCACATAGATGTCTTCATCCATTAGGGCGTTTAGGAAAGCATTTACTGCATCATACTGGGTAGTTTCCATGTCAAAAGCTGCAATAAGTGCGCATATTGAGCGAAAGGTCTTGGCTGCAAGGGTGGCTGCGCGCTTTTCTTGCATGGAATGGGCTTGGAGATCTCCACGTACACAGATGCGTGCTTTTGTCTTGAGGAGATAGCCATCTTCATTAAACTTGTAGGCAAATACCCAACGTAGTGGAATAATTTGGGATGCCTGTGATTGTTCCACCACTCTAACTGTTCCTTTATCTTGAATTGTCTTGTATTCCAATGCTGCTGATGCAATAAATTGGTCTCGAAGTGGGTGTTTAAGCATTTCATTCCATGAATCTGGAGGAGAAGGTAGATCGTCTCGATGGATCTTGCGCATGGAGGTGGAAGGCTGATGGTTTAATCCTATTGCAAATGCACTTAGTAAGCTGTCTGGCCAATGAGTTGCCGAGTATGCTTTAAGATAAGGGTCATTTGGCTTTTTCTTGTTGCGCTTTCCTAGGATAATGTTGTTTTCATCAACCTCCTTCCTTGGTCGTCGTTGCGGTGGTAGTTCTTGTTGCGGTTGCGGTTCTGCTTCACCCCCAGATTGAGCCCAATGGATGGGATTGATCTGAATTCAATGAATCTAGGAGTATTCGGCTTGGCGAATCAGGTTCTTCCATTTCAGGTGGTTCAGGAGGGTCATCTGGTTGCTCCAATTGGTAGTCTAACTGATCAGGTAGACCAGGTGGGTGGTCTGCAGGTGGAGGTGTTGTCTCCGGTGTTGGTGGAGGTTGGAATAAGGTTTCCTTTACTGGCTGTTCTGGATAAGCTTCTTGATAAGCTTGTTTTGTGGTTCTGCCTGATTGGTTGAATTGGTATAATTCTTTTCTTTAACCACTGTTACTCCTTCAGGGGAATCATCAATCTCAACAGTAGGGGTTGCTTTTGCAATTTTTGGTATTCTAAGCACCTCGGTAGGTGGCTCTGGTGCAGCTTCTTGGATAAGGTCTTCAAGGAATGGCTCACATGGGTTGTACATGCAAGATTCATCGAAGGTAACATCTCTGGATTCGATGACCTTTCTCTGTCTTGGTTGCCAGATTTTCCAGATATTTGATGCCTTGTATCCCACTAGATACCCAACAAGCGCTCTAGGGGCCATTTTTTGTGTGTTGGCAAGGTTCTGATCTCTGAAATATGCGCGGCAACCAAAGGTGTAGAGGTTTGCAAGGTTTGGACACTTTCCGGTAAGCATTTCAAATGGGGTTTTCCATTCCAATTGTTTTGTTGGTGATCGATTGAGAATATAAACTGCGGCGTTTATTGCTTCAGGCCATAGATCCAATGGTATTCTTGCATTGATTAGGAGAGGTCGAGCCTTTTGGAGAATCATCCCCCAGAACGTTCTCCTCGGCTGTTCTGTTCAGGTTGACCGCGTACAGAGGTTTGATGGATGATCCCGTTCTGGCTGGTTAGGCTGTCGAAGTCATGGCCTAATGTTTGCTCATTATCTGATCGATAGATCTTGACTGAGGTGTTCCATTGGTTCTTAACTAGATTGGTAAAGTGGTCAATTGCACCTTGAATCCCATTCTTGCGTTGAAAAGTGTACGCAAAGTGCATGTGTGTAAATTCATCATAGAAGTGGCAACACCATTGATGTCCATTGTATGCAGGTCTTAACTGGATAAGGTCAAAGTGGACATATTCGAAAGGCTTGGTCGCTTTCTTCGATGGTCGTCGAGAGATTTGGCGTGGTGCATGGGAGATTAAGCAAGTCTGGCATTTCTGATTAAAGCCTTTTAATTGGTTGATTTGCATTCCTGTTGTTACCTCTGGCAAGTGCTGAATTGCTTCATGGTTTAGATGTCCCAGTCGGCGGTGCCATGTGTGTGCATCTCCATCCAGGACTAGGGGTTTTTCGGACTTTTTCAATGTTTTCAGTGCAAAGGCTTGTTCAGATGGCTGATTATCTTCGACTACCCATAGATCTTGAACTGTCTTTAGTCTGCAGATTTCCATTCGGTCACTCTTCCTGCAGATTCGGTCGTTTTCAAAATCCCATGTATATCCTGCTTCTTTCATGCGGCGAGCAGATAGAATGTTGGTATGGAATCCTGGGACATATGCAACCTTTTGGAGACTAATTAAGTTTGCCTTGTTAGGGAAGATGGTGACTGTCCCTAGGCCTTGAATTGCCATGGTTGAATCTCCTGCTCGAAGGATTCCTTCATACGTGGGATTGAATGAGGTAAACCGTGATTTATTATTGCAAACATGGATAGATGCACCTGAGTCCAGAATGGTACTGTCTTTTAATCGATAGGATGATTCTGTTGCAAAGCTGGCTGGGATTACCGCCATGACATGGTGTTCATTGGTTTGAACTGCCATGACATGGTGTGCATCAGTTTGACTGTCTGGTTTTTGATCCTTTTGGGCTTTTTCGATTGCGCGTTTGATTTGCTGATGCTTTGGACTTGAAGGATTCTGCATGATTTCATTGAATTTGGCTTGGATTGTTGGATTTGGCTGCCATCCTGATGGTCGAAGTGCTTCATTAAGGTAGAAGCATCGGTGGAAGAAGTGGATCCGTCCACATATACAAGGTTTCCGGGGCTGATTTGAGCTTGGATTCTTATCAGATTTCTTGGTATCTGATTCCTTTGACTGATCTGTTTGGCCCTTTAGAGTTGCATAAGCAGCTTCAAGCTTGGAAGACTGTCTAATCTGCGTAGTCCTTGCAATATATGCTCGAAATTCGCTCAAAATCTCCGGTAATTCAATGGATTCATCCTTATAGAGGACATCAACGTGACGTTCGGCCCAAGCTGGTGAGTGTTTTGCAAATTGCATCAAGAAAATCCTGTACAGCATGATCTCCTTTGGCTTCTGGTAGATCCGCAGATTGGCATTCGTGATAAGCTGATTCAAATAATGCAAGCCATTGGTCCAAATTGGTGTTGTTAACCGGTGTATCCCGTGCCTTCTTATATTTTGCAAAGATAGACTGGGCGGTTTGTCTCTTCGTTGGTTCAAGCTGTTTCTTTAGTGATCTAAGGATCTGGTAGGTTGAATCCTTATAAAGGTGATGCACTAGTAGAGTTGAAACAGAGCTTTGAATAGTTTCATGGACAGCTGCAATCCCTTGTTTGATTCGATTATATTGATTCTTTTGGGCAGTGTATAGCTGCATTCTCATCTTCCAAAAATCAAAGTAATCTGGATCGTTCGGCATATCTGGGATGACTGGGTTGTTCGGAAGTCTGGGTAATTGGTCTTCCGGTGTGCTAGGATTAATGTAATCCCACACGTCTCGAGCTTTTGCTTGGCTCTGGATGAGGCTATACCAAGCGCGCCAATCATCCTGTGATTTCAGGATGATGGAGACCTTTGTGGGCGCTTCGTTGCTCATTTTGACTGGTTCGATGTGATTGGCCGTTTCCAGGGTGTATGGAAAGGTATTGCTTTCGTGCGTTTAAACGAATCGATTCCGGTTCAAGGGGTTCGATCGGTGGAATACCGCGTGCGTTGGAATTCAGTGGGACAGCGCAGGGAAAGGTCTGAATAGCTTCAAGGTTTCCTATTCAGGGTGCCTAACCGGGCTCATAACTGTCGGTCAGCTGAATACGCGTATGAGCTAGTATCACCGATTATATAAGAATATGGATATGCATTGAAGAAATTGAGGTCTCTAAGGTCTCTAACTATCTGAATCTATCTGGGAGAGCTGGATGAAAAAAGGTGAAAACAAAGGAATAAAGTCGGACCGAGCGGATGCTGAATAATGGGTAATATTGGCCCACTTTGGTCGACAACATCTGAGGCTGCATTATTACAAATAGAAGAGTTTACACATAATAATGGATTTGCAGCAGTCAAAAAAGAACAAAAAAAGAGCCGGAAGACTGGAGATATCTGGTATATCTACATGGAATGTGATCTTGGACATTATACAACACCTGCTAGCCAGCCAGCGCAACGGCAATCAAGTTCCAGGCGTATTAATTGCCCATTTGATGCTGTGATTAGCTATAATAAAGCTTTTGATCGGTGGTCCTTGTATATACGGAATCCCAAGCATAATTATACAGCTTTATTATTTAAAGGAGCGCATCCAGCTCACCGGCGAGACGAGCTTCAATAAAATATGCAGTGGATAGAGGCTTAAATTAATAAGGCAACTCCTATACGCTATATCCTGTCCAATTTACGTAAAAAGGATCCCTCTTGTTCTCTTACTGCAAGAGATATCTCAAATTTAAGAAGTCAAATACAGAAAAGACTCCTTAAAGGTCGAACGCCTATCCAGGCGTTGATTATCTCTTTACCGGAGGAAGAAGGCCGGTATTTTCAATATTAAACTAATAAGAAAAACTGTGTTACTTCTTTATTTTGTACACATTAAATCTGTATTAAAAATCTGCAGGAAAACCCTTATATTCTATTTATGGATTGTACATACAAGACCAACCGGTATAATATGCCTCTTCTTGACATTGTGGGATTTAAAGCAACCAATTTAACCTTTTTTGTGGGCTTTGGATTCCTCTCTAATAAAAAAGGAAGGCTCCTTTCGGTATGTGCTCTCTTGCTTAAAAGATTTATATAAAAAATTCAACATCTCAATCACCGCGCCTGTCACTATTATATGTGAGAAAGATAAATCACTACTCCGGGTAATTTATGGTATCTTACCTGGCACCGACGTGATTTTATGTCTTTGGCATATTAATAAAAATATTCTTAGCCATGCAAAGAAGGCTATATCAATTGCTTTACTAAAGTCTATGTCAGTAAATGATCCTGACTTTAGAAAGGAAGTGGATGATAAATGGAAAAAGATGCTAAGGATGTGGATCAATGTCGTGCAAGCTTTACAAAGACCAAGTATAAAGCTAAATGGTGGCACTTTCGGCAGGAGTACAGTAATCCAATTTATGCGGAGCTTTTACAGTATATTAACACTAGATGGCTTCAGTATTCCACTGCGAAGCGATTTCTGCGCTATTATATTAACCAGTATACACATTTCGACCAGGTTACTACCTTAAGGAATAAGAAATCGCATCATACAGTTAAGCAAGAGCTTCAATCAAGGCGGGGTCATATTCTATATGTGGTCCAGGCAATTCAGCGGGTGGTAAAGAATTAATACAGTGAAATACGTTAAAAACTGCAGATAACCATATTTAACGCCCTATACAGCTTCATATTCCTCTCCTATGTGACTGCATGGGGTATATATCCATCTACGCACTGAATAAGGTATAGGATATAACCATAAAATACCTTCCTCCCGGTCCAGGAAAGCGAGAGATAAAGGACTGTACAGGAGCCACTACTAAAAGCAGTTGGAATTCCTTGCATTTATACAATAAGAGATATACAGAATGTGGGACAATTATTATCTCCAGACCACTTCCATAAGCAGTGGTATATTAAGCCACTACCGCAGAGAAGGGAGCCGGTCGATCCCCGCCTTCTTCTTCAGGAACCCAGTGTTGTACAGGCGCACGGGCGGCCACATGGTGCAAAAAATAATCCAAATCGCAATCCTTCAGCATTTGAAATCACTAAGATAAGTATAGAGGCACAGGGCCGACCGGTGCAGCGAGGTAGTGGGCGAGGTGGACGTGGTGGACGAGGTGGACGTGGTGGACATGGTGGACATGGCCGTGGCTGTGGCAGCAGTCAGCCAGGCAGCCAGGCCGAGCCAATTTGTATAGACTAGTCCAGAATAGGAAATAAGTGTTGCTCAGTTTTTATTCCATCTTTGAGCGATGCATATCTTGCAGAGGTGGCGGGGAGGTAATGGCTCCTGGCGCAGGTAGGAGAGACGTCATTGAATTTTCGAAAAGCCGGCAGAATTATAGTCACATGTTGAGCTATCCTAAAAGGGACTAGTGGGTGTGAAAATAGTTATACTGGGTGTGAAAATACGTAGTCGGGTTCTATTTTATATGCAACAAGGTTGGCCGGCTCGCTTTCATGGCTGGCTCGCTTACCGAATACGTTAACGTATTCCACGGCCAAGCGGTAAATACGACCGAATGGATAATTTTTATCACAACCACAACAAATTTGAAGCTTTACAACTAACACCATTAAATTAGACTATTCAAAGCATAGAATAAAATAGCTATTTACTAGGGCAACTTCGTATAGTATGTCTAATAGTCCCACAACCACTGCAGAGTGGTGGAGCTCGCTGGCGAAGTACAGATATAGCCTTATTAACCTGCTTATTAAGCTGCGTATTAAGCTGCTCAACACGATCCTTATGTGCATCTAGAAGTAATACAGAAATAACGCGTCGTGGAATGTTTTGTTCAAATATTTTGGTGGGAGCGGTGAAAATTATCCGTTCGGTCGTATTTACCGCTCGGCCGTGGAATACATTAACTACTTAACTAGCATCCGGATGATTACGTAACAATCCACTTATTTGTGTGTAAGCAGAGTATATATTAACTATCTCTTCTATAAAAAGACAAAATTGTGCATAAACTCCAGGGTATAGCTCATTCAGCTAATCAGAAACTCATTTGAAGTGAAACCCAGCAAGTAAATAGACATCCCACCTTTGATGGGAACTATAGCCACCATAGTTAGCAGTTAGCTTCCCAAGTATACAGAATATAAAACAATAGAAAAGATAATGATAACAATCAACACCATAACCATGCTCTAACCCTACCCAATACTCTAGACAGATAAAAAACAAAAAAGAAAAGGCTATACAAAACCAGCGTCAAGCCGATAAATAATGCAAAAGCAACTATACTCAGTAATTTTCAGCCAAGTTGCCAAAATCAGGGATATCGTCACCGCACTTAAAAGCAGGCGCATACGCCTTCTTGGGCATAAAGCCATTCTTCCACGCGGTCCTGTAGCTCCATTGCGCGGCGGATTCGGTCGCCCAGGTCCAGTAGAACCAGCCCTGCGCGGTCTCGAAGGCGGACATTTGGGCTTCTGCGTACGTTAAGAGGAACTTTTTGTACTCGTCGGAGTAGGCGGAGGGGTCGGCGTTGGCGGAGGAGCAGGAACAGGAGGGGCCGCTGTCTGCTGAGGGACAGTAGGCAGTTGAGTCGGTGCGGGAGAAGGTGCCTTCCCAGCGGGTGCCACGACCTACGTTGTTGAGGTATTTGGTACAGTCGGTGTCGGCCTGGGACCATTCGCCGCAGATCGTCGGGCCCCAGCTTGCTTTGGTGTTAGTTTGGGGCCTATTTCTTGGGACTGTTAGAAGACTTACCCTGTATTTGTGTTATTGATGTCTTGAATCATGTTGTACCAATCATTGCAGATCAGCTTGACCCGGTCTTTGTGCTTGAGGACGATCTGACCGGTGTTGAAGATCGTATATTGGTGGGTATCCAGCATCATGCGGTCGGGACGATTTTTCAGCATCTTCTTCCACTTGCTCAGGTTCAGGAAGCCATCGTGAACGGCGATGAAAGCCTTGACCCCGTTCCTTTGCACCATCTTAGTGGCCTCGGTCGTCCAGTCGAGAACATCCTCGATCGGCAATTGAAGCATAAGTGGTTCGTTGACGAGGCCATAGATGGCGACAACATTCTTATATCTGTCTTGTGCAAAGAACTTGGACACTTTGTCATGAAATTCGAGAGACCGTTTTCTATTCAGGTCGCCATCTGTTCCATTCAACCAGTTGATGGAGCCTTCACGACCACTATGATTCCACCCATTCTGGCTCCCGGGGATCCCATGTGGATCGAGGTTGACGCGGAGCCCATACTTTCGGCAGTATTCGATCGCTCGCAAAAGATACCTCCATGAAATCTTCGCCACGTAAGGGTCACCATCGTATGTCTCAACTGCCCAATATGAATATTGGATTCGAACATGGTCGAGTCCTGCATCCCTAATGTCTGCGAAATCTTGCTCTGTTATGAATTTGGCATAGTGCTTCTCCAGCCTAGAAGCCGCCGAGTCCCCAAGCTGCTTGGCCAAAGTGTATTCGTCAATGATCCCGTCCCGAGTTGAGTATGCATCGAAAAATGAAGGAACAATAAATGGTTCGATTGAGAGCCAGCCCCCCAGGTTCACACCACGTATCGGTTGCGAGCCATACGGGAATGGCTTGTTCAGCGGGGGTACGTGTTCGTTTGGGCTCGTCGAATCGTCCCATGTTGAATTTAGTCCCATGATGGGAAGGCCACCGACTGTTTCATTCGTAAAAGTTACATTGAAGTCTGTTGTGTCGTACCATGTCCACGGGTCCAATACTGTGTCCCTGGCATATTCCTACCCCTGATGTTAGCATAATCCGAGAGTAGAGAGAATCAACCTTACTGGGATACTGTCGCGGCTTAGGCCATCGAGATTAGAATTAGGAGGTCCATCATTATTATCGTCCTTTCCTGTACCTGTCGATTCCGACTTCTTGTCGTGCTTCTTCGACACAACAACTGCCACAGGGATGATAATCACTAGAAGTATTACTAGAACTCCAATGGCGATCCATATCCATTTCTTCCGCGTGCGCGACGATTGATCCTCGAAAGAGCCGCCCAAGCTACCGTTCCAGTTATCTTCCTTCTGCCATCTTGTCCCTGTTGGTGGATCACCACTGCCACCACCGCGGTACCGAAACTGCATTTCGGGACTTCTGCCCTCTTCCAAATATGCACCGGAGACAATTCGACCTTTTGATTGTCCCCTGGGCGTCTCTTTTGGAAATGAGTCCAGCATTTTCGGGTCCCCTTCCATCACAGGTCGTTTGCGTCGCCGTTTCTTCTCTGCTCGAAACTCACCCTTCGCGTGAGTTCCTTCCAAGCGGTCTTCCTCGTCATACTGCGAGCTGAGTTTCGCCAGCGCATCCGCGCTCAACAAATGAGACGCACTACTACCGGACTCGTTACTTTGGTGCTTGTTCGCTGCTGCCCCGCGCCGTCTCTCCCTCCGTCCATGTCTCCGCGTCTCTCTATCCAATTCGCGATGTCGCTCCCGTTGACCATCCCTCGTGCGATGTTTTCGATCTCTGTTTTCCTGTACTGCCCTCCCATCATCATCGTCGTGGGCCGCCTGTCGTCTGCGTCGCTCCCGATCCCTTTTTAGCCGAGATGCCGAGGGTGACTCGGTGGTTCTCTCTCTCTCCTTGCGTCTGCTTTCGCTCCGTGGTCGTCTCAGAGGCACTGCAGGATCCTCCGGGGCCATGTCATATTCATTGACCTCGTCGACATCGTGTTCACCGTAGTCATGGGACTCGTAACCTTGCGAATCGCCTCGAGACCGACGACACCCTTCGCGTCTGTATCGGCGATCACGCGGATCGTAATCGAAGTCTTCGTCGTAGTCGTCCTCGCGATACTTCCGACGTATGGATTGCGAATCGCGCTCGCGACCGCCATAGCGGTCCCCGCTGCGGGAGTGACTGGGCATGCAATCGTTATAATGATATTTGATCGAAATGTGTCAAGCTTTTCGCTACGCGCCAGGAATGCTGCCCCGCGCAAGCTTGTAATCTGGACAGGTCGGTCGGTCGGTCGGTCGGGAAGGAATGGATGTATCTACTCCGCATGCACGGTTATGGAAGGTGTCGCAAGTTGAAGATAAATCCAGACGGATTTTTACGATCGCAGTCTCCTCATGATAAGGAACACGCAAGGGAAAGAATCGGGCCAAATTGCCAATAATACATATGCGTGGGAAAGAAAAAGTGTGACAACTGCAGACACTAATTTACTTAGTAACCCAAGCCCTACCCTACCCTCTCTCTCTAGGGACCAGTTAGGACCTACTATAGGTACGTACCTCACTCAGTAAACAAACTTTCCAACGTAACCGCGTCAGTAGAACCAAGACCTGGACCAAGGATTTGCAACGTTTGATTCTGCCGCCAGAACGTAACTCTTGTCTCTAGCTCAGAAATACATCCGAATGGCTAGCTAACCCTGTTTCTTGGAAAGTCCCAGGTCTCGGTGATCTATGTTGGTCGCGTGGCATTCTGGATCCGACGATCGTAGAGCGGGCGGTGGGTGGAGAACAGAAATCCATCACTCCGTGCAACGAAGGCGGTGACGACATCTTGGCCTCGTTTCAGACGGACATGTCTCAGGTAGATGAAGTTGCTGGGAGGAATTGGGCAATTAGGGATGGATGCTAGCAGCTAGAAGGGATAAACGATAGAGGGGAGTTAACGGAAACTACCGAAAGTTAACCATACAGCGGAGTACGGAGTCGTTCCATTCAAAAGCCCGAAGCCGGTCTATGGTATTTATTGGATGTTATGTATGATAAGCATATGGACAGAAAGTTCGTTAGATACACACAGAAATTTTCAAGAAAATAATGCAGATGCAGGGGAATGTCCAAAGGAACAAAACATTATGAGAGAAAATAAATCTATCCAGGACCTCAAATGTATCATCATCCACGATGCCTTGCATAAACCACTTCAGAGCAATGAACCTCCCGAGGGGTATGTAAACGCCGCAGAACAGAAAGCAGAAATAAGAAAAATTTAAAAAACAAAAAAAAAAAAAAAAGAAAAAAAAAAGAGTACATTACATAGCGATTGAGATGCGTACAGAAGGGACGGTTGTTGAGGAAATCAATGATTATGAGAAAAATGAAAAACTGTCGTGGATGTCACTGCCGTCTGAAAAACTCCGCAACCAACCCAAATCCAAAGGAAAATAAGAAAGGAGAGTGTGAGAGAAAGTGCTGATATGCGCTGAATCAAGGGTAATTGGAAACGGCTCAATATATTAGATAGGTGTGTTGCAGCAGCTCGTTAACGCAATAGAACAACGAAAAAAAGGCACATATCGAAGTCGTCTGCTCCGCAATATCGCCTGCTTATGACCACGATATTTTGGTGGTCTAAAGAGATTCCGGGCAAGAGTCAACAAAATGCAAACGTAGAATCATGACAGCACAGCTTCCTTCATGCCGCAGGCTTCGTCTAAATGACGCTGGACATTAGAACCATTCACAAATCGTTTAGTTGGCCACCAGGCTGTGAACCAGGACATGTAAGCCAGGAGAATTATTTTAAAGGGCGCTTCGTAACAGCCATCCCGAGATGACTGAGGCGGCCATACAAATGGATCAGCCGATAGATCGTCCAACATATCCACGTATGCTTGAAGCAGCAGAGCATCCGATATGCCAACTCCACCTCATTCGTTCAGAGACGTGAAAGAGGCAAGGGAGTGTTGCACTTTTCCCCTAAGAATTCAACGTTAGGTGCCTTTATCCGCTTATGATTTGACGGGCACCTTCTTTGCCCAGAACACCAGGTTCTTGGGGCTTTGGACTCCTGTCCCGACCCTTCTTCCGACTTAAGAAAGCCAGCATGCCACTGTTCGAGGATTTCCCCTTGGCTGTTGCAGTATCGTAACCCTCAGCTGGGAGCGTGCTGCTATGATCCGCAAGCTCGCTCCAGCTTCCAGCCTCTTCCAGCACCATCTGAACTCCTCCGCCCTTACTGGTCTTCCGTGTTGCTCCTCTGGTGCGGCTCGGCGGTGGGAGAGGACGAGAAAAGGATGGAGCCGTCGGCGGGGGTGGCGGAGCCTGCATCGGTTGGGTAGTAGGAAACATGGGGGTCTTATTGGAAGCCGACGTTGGATCTTGAGGCTCTGGAGTGCCCCCAGCGGGAGACGGAGTCTCTGTCTGGGTCAAGCGGCCCACGGAGCCATCATTCCTCGAATCATGCTGCGAATATTGCCGTGAATGCGTGGAGTCGGCGGGGAGACAGTCTTCCGGGTTCCTTGAATAAAAGTTAGCGAATGATATGACGGTGGCTCATAGGCCGGTGTACTCACGTTGTTGCTGCAATCACTTCGGCGGCATTCCTAAGGGAAGGTCAGCATATGTCATCACTACCCCATGCATGTGCGACGTACGCTCGAAAATTCACAGTGGTATAATCAAACGGCTCAAACATCGTCTCGATAAGTCGGTGAAGTTCGTCCTCCCTGATCTCTTTTGCCGTCGCATCCTCTCTTAACTCGGCCCTCGGCTTCTGTCTGCGGGCTCTAGCTTCGAGCGGCGCCTCTTCCAGTAGTAACTCTTCCAGGTCATATGTAGCATCAAAGTTGGTCTTGTCACTCGAAGGTGTAAAGACGGGCGGAATCTCCTTACGCTCCAGAGCCACGAAGTCTATTTCGGCAAAGAAAGGATGGCTAGTGAAACTTTCGAAACTAATTGCGCCGATACGTTTGCTTCGGTCCTTCTCCATAAATGACGCCATTGCCCGCAGGCAGGGAACTGAGACCGCAGGGTTGGTGACGAAGTATTTCGGCTGCGCTTTCTTAATGTTCTCACTCAGCGTGTCCTGACTGCGGCCTTCAAACGGTCGCTACAATGCGAATTAGCTCCGGTGGTGGGTTACGATACTATTCCACTGGGCATGCAGACCTTATTATAGATACATTCATAGAATGTGACCCCGAGTGACCACCAATCGACTTCACAGTAATAGCCTCCTCCCTCGTAGACCTCGGGGGCCAGGTACGCCAGGGTGCCAGATTTACTCGTCAGAGGTTTTCCAGGTCGGAAGTCCGAGGCCACGTTCTGCACATCGTCAGCTTCTTGTCGGGCCATACGACCAAGGCCCGGGGGGGTTGGGAACGTACAAAATCCGCCAAATGCACATGTCCCTCCGAATCCAGCAGTACATTGTCTGGTTTCACATCCCGATGAATAATACCTTGGGAGTGGATATATCTCAGGGCACAGCCAAGTTCCGCCACCCAAAATCGCACGGCATCCTCGGTAAAGCATTTCCTTGAGATGTGAAACCGTAAATCACCTCCATTCATTAAATCCACCACGATATAACTTCTCAATTATCAGCAATCGGCGCCAGGGAAAGGGTGTGTATATGTGGAGAACTGCTGTAAAACGCACATATATTCTATGTCTTGAAAGCTGTATCTCAAGTTGCAAAGGAATGCATGATTTAGGTGTTCGAGCATACGTCGTTCACGAATTATATTCCGCACGCTCTCCGAACGAACCACTTGTGAAAAGGAACCGTTAGGTTTTTTTGTCTTCCTCCGGAACGGCGATCAATTCGCATTCCCAAATAGAGGGTACCTACCTTCTTCTTTCCGAATGTATTTGAGGGCAAATGTCAGTCCCGTATCTTTCTTCTCCACGATTCGAACTTTCCCAAATGCGCCTTTTCCCACGACTCGTAACAGCCGGAATTGATTCAGGTTCACTGTATACATCCACGGTCAGCGCCCACTCCTGCAGCGGAAAACGGCAGTAATCCAGTCCATCACCGAAGCAATACGCACCCTCGTCGGTGGAGCACACCGGTTTCCCCTGTGTATTCCCCATTTAGGCCGATGGGCGACAATAAAAAAAAAATCTAGAAAAACGGTTCAAGGCGTCACTTCCGACCACATGCCACACTATTAACCAGATCCGTCGAAACAAAAAGCAACCAGGCCCTGGGGCATTCGACAGTCTGCGGGTATCGGAGAAAGAAGAGCGACGAAGAGGAGGAAGGAGATGAGGTACACAGTCACAGTCCACAGGACGGAGTGGTTGTAATCAGCAGGGGCGTAATGAAGAGGGTTTGTGGGAGAGAATGGAGAGTCCGGCACATCCAGTCCTAGCAAACGATGAGAGAAACAGGGTTAGTCTGCAAACAAAGAATTTACTACGGCGGGAAAAGGCAGAAGCTGTTCGCCTAGAAGATGACGATAAGACCAGGGGAACGTGGGTGGAGGGGTCCATTTTTCCGAATGGACGGAGGACCAAAGGAGGCTTTCAGGACTGGTAAAACCTACCCCAATGCGACGCAATGTCTTCAGCGACCGGTGAGACAATCGTGAACCACGCTTTGTACGTTCGGACAAATCCAAATGGCACCCGAACTGGAGGGGGTGGAAGATAAGGTGAATTTGGGACGAAAATGAGAGGACGAGGGAAAGAAGAGGTGATTTGGGTTGGATCCGAGGAGTTGAGATCAACCCCCCTAAAGGAAGACTGAAGGTTTCCGTTGGTCGGATTCCGTCAGAAAAGGCGGACCCCCTTTGGGACTAACAAGTTCAAGCTCAAACGTGATGGGAAAATAATCCCAATCCCCTCGCTGGTGGCGTTTGTTATTCTTTTCTTAGTATGTTTTTTTATTATTATTGATGGATTGAATGACTTCTTTATAAGGATTCTGTTTGTGGTTAGTTTGTTTGGATTGGATTGGATCTATGTGTTGCCCCTCCCTACTTACGCCTCAGCCTCAGGGATAGAAGAGCCAAGCCTCATGAAATCAATTGACCAAGGCGAGCCCGAACACGAACAATTGAACCGAAAGATTGGGACCGAAGCATGAAACCCGATGTCGGGTTGGTCAACGGCTTCGTTAGTTGGTAGCAAAGAAAAAAGAATAAAACAAAGGAATATACTGGTCGGACTGAATTCTACAGGCGTCTCCAGATATTACAGAGCACTCCGTATAGAGTATCACATTCTACACTGCTCCATACTATAAAATGGAAAGCAAATCATAGGACAGATGGAGGTTTCACCATCGGGACCATATTGATCGTCGCAGCCATCGCAAGGCCCGAGAAGGTAGAATTGACGGCGATTAAAGACCAGGGAGACAAATCGGAGGGGACTACACTACGCTATTAGTGGCCGCAGCTGCCAGCTCGACAGGAGGAATACCGCTTGGGCCCACGAGGGAAACACACCGGCGCAGGAGAGCGAGGTGGGAACTGCGAAGCGAAAGGAGCGAAGGACATGCGGTGGAGAGTGACAAACTAACTATACTAGTTATTTAGCGTGGTTGATGGTTATCTGTAGTAAAATAGTAGTATACTCCGGAGTAGGCAATTAAGCATGAGGGTGTAGTACGCAGTATATTCTGTACGGAGTAGAGATGCATATCTCATCTTCGGATGGGGACACTAACACATTCAGGACACCATCAGCACGCTAACCAGGGGAGAAAAGTGCACTACTGCATCGGATGTATGTTCAGAATTCCAGATGGCGCAATGCAGCAGGTCTCGTCGTACAGAGTCAAGGGCGTCCGAGAATCCTACATCTTACTTGACACATGTACAGAGTACCTCATACCAAGGTTTGATGGCGGATGGCCCGTATGATAGATGCATCGAACCAGATTCTAGAAGATCAACAGCCGGAAAACTGCTGTGTAAGCTCCACGGAGATGAAACATTATAGATATTCCACAGTCCACACAAAGGGGAGAAACAAGCGATGAATACTTAGGTACTATTTTTATGGGGTACTCCATACTTGACCCTGTTTGTTTCTGTTTTTCTTTTCTTTTCTTTTCTTTTCTTTTCTTTTCTTTTCTTTTCTTTTCCTTTTTTTTCTTTTTTTTTTTTTTTTTTTTTTTTTTTTTTTTCACAAAACTCCTTTTTCGTTTTCTCCAGGGGGTATAAGGTATCCTAAGAAAAGTCAAATGTCAACGTGAGGCTAGCCATAGTAGCATGAGGATCGTCGCTGTTCGTCTGACCATCTGGACCCATGGTTGGCAGTCTCTCAAGAACGCCAAGCATCCTGTCGGAGTTGCAGCCTTGTTCTTTCGACGTGGACTCCAGTCGGCTTCAGGTCGGGATTCATCTAGATAAGATCAGCACCATTAAGGGAACAAAACAAGACAGAAAAGAGACTAGTCAAAAGAAAGACAAAGATAGAGAGATCCACGCCATCAATAGACGGCAGTGGAGACCCGCCAATTCTAATGGGGCCGATCCTGGACTAGGACGCTAAGGATGGTTTTCAATGACGGTCGATTTCTTTTTATTATTAGGTATTATCCCAGTTAACTAGTTAGTTATTCCCCTCGCAATTAGTCAAGTTGAAGAGTGGGTATTCAACTCCATCGGATTTCAACCGTAGAGAGGCTAGGCGTCTACGAACTAGATCAACCAGGCCAAGGAAATGATTTCCCAGGGGCTAGAGAACCCCTTAATTAAGGAGATTCTTAAGCCATGCCAGAGTAGTATCCCTGAGGTACTCTGTATTGTTAATATCATTCAATACCGAAGGTGTAGTTACATACTGTACTTACATGTTCAAGCTTCGTTATTTTCTCCAAGATCAAGAAGCCAGGCGGTATAAGGTAAGAAGGACTTCTAAGTTTTAAGTTTTAGATATATAAAAGTCGTAGAATTTTAACTTAAAAAGGGACCTGTGTAATTCTCCGAAATACTGAAGACAGTATGGGGTATCGTATTTGTATTCGAAACTCTTCCAAGGAGTAGCAAGCAGAGATATGCCAATACCCGTTTCGAAGCATTTGTGGAGAAAACGATTCTAGGGAATCATAAAGAGCTACGGAGTACGGAGTAGTTAGTTAATATCCACACAATTAGGTAAGGTTACTGACCAGACTGTTGATCACTCTCTTTATGGTTTTCTTCTTGATAAGGCACTGGACGCATTGTCAATAAAACCTCCTCTAAGAAGACCTCTATGGGCCTACTGATTATACTGTTTCGATCCCGGATAAAAGCCAATCCAGCCAACCAATCTGTATTGATATTTTCCGTTCATGATTCCAGGCACGCCAAGGGACTAAGGTACTGCAACTTGACATGCAGTGCAACGCACCTATTCTGTACTTGGACGTACGGAGTGCTCTGGAGAAGGCATAAAGGACCAAAAGTAAAAAACAAAAGACAATGTTGACTACATCCAATGGCCTAGACCTACGAGTAAGTATGGGATTAATACTACCATGCCCCAAACAGTATATAAAGCAATGTATCGAATCCCAACAATCACTAGCGCCCTAGCGGAGTCCAGCTGACACGACAACGCTGAAACATGAAACGCAGAGATGCAGCATGCAGCTAATACTAGAGAAGGACCAGTGTGGATGATCTGCGCGGTGTTGGTAGATGCTTCGTTTAAGCTACTTAAGAACGTCGGTATAGGTAGTATCTATTATTTATTATATCGTTAGTGGACAAGACATTTACTTCGTTCTAGGATACTAACTAAGTAGGTACCTTGCTTGCCCATGAAAGGTGCCCTTTTCACTCTGGTCTAGTCAAGGTGGTACTGTATGTACATACATACAGTAGCGTAGTGATTCTTGATCGTCGGTCCGATCTATGTCCTCGGACGCACGGAGTCGGCGATATCTCCCTCGGATATTTATTCATTCGTTGGGAGATGGAGATGCGTACGGAGTACGGAGGACATAACCAAAACGAAACTGAATGCTGGCAAGGTCCTTATTGCACACGTGGCGGCCACGAGTATCCGCGACTCAACGCAAGGATATCCCTTGGCGAGGATGATGACTGGTCCAATGATTAGTCTTTTAGCCCACGAGACTGAGAGGACTGGACAGGTCAGAAGTGGTGGTTGGACAGGTCATGGATTGATGCAGGTCGGAGTCTGAACAAAATTCTAGGTAGGTGACAGGTAAACAAACACGGCTTACAGAGAGTACTGCATGCGGGGATGGTCGGGTGCCTACTCCATAGTAGTCCGTACTCCGTGATATTTGCATGAGGATCACTTCTGAAAGAATGAACTCCAAACTGATATGTGCTGAAATGCAGCATTCCGTACGTCCTAAGGAAACTCCAATACAAACATCCACAAGTCCCTGAAATTAAATGACGTCAAATACTATCTTGATCATTCCGGTTCAAGAATGGCTGCAACAAACGCCAAAAACTATTCATCTACTTTAGCATTTAGCCAATACGATCTCCATCCCAATCCTAGTACGCCTAAGTCTTTCATCGCTCTGTATGCATATCTAAAGTTTACCATCGTCGTCCGTACACCGAGTCCTCAACCCTTAAAGCGCGCTTTTCTGGCTGTCGATCTCGGTTGCGAGAATCGGAAAATGACCCATATGTCGCACCGCTGCCCCGTGGCAATTGGGCGGTGGATAGGCTGTTCTCATTGGCTGAACCCAAAATCCTGGCCGTTTGCGAGAGATCGATATCTCCTTGTTCGCCGGTATAACGAGCCTCCGCATCCCGGCCAAAAAGGGCCATCATATCTTTCATGGTGAGCTTGGCTGCTGCCGTCTTCCCCTCAATGGTGACATTCGCCAGCTCCCGCTTGCGATCTTGAAGATCTATAATACGCTCTTCCACAGTGTCCTTGATAATCAACTTGTAAATCTTGACATCTACCGTCTGATTGAGGCGGTGCACACGATCAATTGCTTGCTCTTCGACGAACTGGAGAAGTCAAAATCACGTTATGATCTTAGATACTGGGAAGCTTGAAAAACTTACAGGGTTCCAAAATGGTTCCAAGATTACCACCCGACTCGCTGCAGTGAGGTTCAGACCCAGTGCGCCGGCCCGCAGACTGCAAAGCAGGACGCGAGTTGCACTGTTGTTCCGGAGCTTGTCGAGGCTGGCCTCACGATGATCATTTCGCATGCTACCATCGTATCGCGCAAATCCAATCCCCGTTCGCTTGAGGAAAGGTTCAATCTTGTCAAGCATGGAGGTAAAGACAGAGAAGACAATGAACTTATGGTCAGCCGACTCGCGTCTGAGAATTTTCATCAGATGTTTGATCTTAGTCGAAGGAAGGACTTTCTTGTCGTTATCGCCAGGATTCAGATAAATATCTTCCTCAGAATCAGACTCCTGACGTGATTCCCTTGAACCTATGCGATTGTGGGTTGGTGATTCCGGCCCGTCCTCATCATCAGTCCCCGAATCTTCTGAGTTAAGCCATTCGCCACCCCCTTCAGCATCCTCATCATCTGTTCCTCCGGCCTTTCCAAGGGATCGGATTCCACGCTGATCTTCTGGGACAATCCACTCCCCATCTTCTTCGTCGTCACTATCGACGATCACTCTCCTATTCCTTTGGGTCCGAGCCATCTTGGCTTCTGAGCGACTAACTGATGGCGACTGCGTGAGGTCTATAATAGACGGTTTGCGGGAACTCTTCTTTTCCTTGCAACTGTCGTTTCCTGCGAGGCTGACCTTAAGATCGGCCTCACACTCACCACACCGGCTTGAACCACTTGCTGCCTCATCTTTGCTTAAATCAGTCTGACAAACGTCGCATTTCTTTGAGATAACACTAAGCGCTCCAAAGAGGTCCGCCATGCTATCAAGTTCATCTTTTTTACCGGCAGTAGACTGACTGCCAGATGAACCATTCTGCAGGAGAATGTCTTTATCTTTAGCTAGATCACTTTTTACTAGGTCTGGATGGTTGCAAGATTGTCGAAGACGCAACAGCAATACCAAAGCACCGGCATAGTCCATCTTCGAATCATCCAACATTTTTTCAAGGCTGTTTTCTGTTCTTTGTTCGAGGCGCTTGTAAAAATTCATTTCGCCTGGCATAAATTCAGCGGAAACCTTGATCACCTCTCTTTTCGTGATTTGGAAGCCTGAGGATTTCTTTCCATCACTTTCTGATTTATTATCGCCCGGCTTGAGATTGGAGTTGAGTTTCAAAACATCCTTTGTACGCCGTTTCATAAAGGCCTTCAGAAGGACCTGCAGGCGCTCAATTGCGAGACCTCCCCGACCATTGGCCAACGGCTTCGTAATTTGATCCTTCCAGGTTGCTAGGTCATTAAACGGCTTTATGCGCAGAAATCTGATTAGACTCTGTAGCTCGTCGAGGTTGTTTTGCATAGGAGTCCCCGATAAGCACCACCGGTATTCCGCATCTAATGCGTATGCCGACTGGGTTGCCTTCGCGTTTCGATTCTTGATGGTGTGGGCTTCGTCTAGAATGATCCGGTACCAGTATACAGAGAATATGCCCGACTTCTTGTTTTTGTTCATAGCTCCATGCTCCGAGGTCAAAGTACCGTAGGTGGTAATCACCACATCATAATCTTCCAGATTGTCCGTTGCTTTTGCCCGAGCGTTGCCATGATATACGCATACACGGAGCTTATGGGATGGCTCGACTTTGGTGAGTATTTCTGACTCCCACTGCTTGATTAGTGCCAAAGGAGCAATTACCAGTGTGGATTTGCTTAGTCCCGGTGGTAGTTTCGAACTGTTCTCGTTCCCACTATCACTTTCCTCTCCGGCAGAATCGCCTTCAGAATTGACAGGTCGTCTGCGCCCGTCCGCAGACTTGCTATTTGTTAACATAAGGGCAATGGCTTGGACGGTTTTTCCAAGACCCATGTCGTCCGCGAGGATTCCTCCCTTAGGAAGAATTCCCTTGGTCTTGCTCTGACCAGTTTCCTTATCACGCATCCAATTCACACCTTCACGCTGGTGAGGTAGTAACTTGACTTTCAACCCCTTCACTGTACCATCGTCGTCGTCTTCATCCTCATCCTCTTCCCCCCCTTCCTCACCCTGTTCATCTTCTGACTCACTTTCGACATCAGCTTGCTCCTTACTAGTTTTCTTTTTGTCTGCATCTTCTTGTACTTCCAGCTTTGGAATAAACTCATCGGCATCACTTTTCTTGGCATCATCGGCTGGTTCGTCAACGGTCACTCCCCGCAGTTGGGCGGCCAGATCATCAATATCTGTGCCCTTATCCTCTGCCTCCCTGTTTTCTTCCTTGTTCTTCTTTTTGTTTTTCTTGTTTCCCTTTTTGCTTCGCTTCTTATTCTTCGATTTCGAAGACTTCTGTTCATCCTCATCTTCAAATGCCCCTTCCAACAATGCCTTGATATTTTCGTTCGCCTTAGCTACGTCCACGTAGGTGTGCGTATCTATTGAGCCGAATCCGGTATTGCGAGGACCGGCACTGGGGGTAAACCCGCCCTCATTTGTTAAATCAACGTAATTCTGCAAGTTCCTGGACGCATTCGACATCTTGGCTGCCGAAGGCTTTGAGGTGTAGAATGTTTTGGGGGCACGTGGTGTATTGAATGTAACATTCTCAGGACGTCGAATTTCAACAACATCGCTATTGACGGGGCGGGAGAAGTGATTGTTATTGTAGGCAGAGGGTCGGACGGGCTTGAAAGGATCAAATGGTTCGTTCCGCTTCGGAGTCGACATTGCAGCAACTGGAGTAACAGTCGGTTGGTAGCGTTGGTTTAGATTATGAGGTCGTGGCTGAGGTTGAGGTCTATGATGCTCTGGTCGTCCATGGCTAGGCTTGGGAATATTGAACGGGTGACTAGACTGTTGGTTTTGATGATGAACTGGGCGGATTGGCGAAGGTTTGCCGAATCCAGGATGATGAGAAAGCGGACGATGTGCCTGATCATGTGGCTTTCGAGGAGTAATAGGATTCAATGGATTTTCGCTTTCTTTGGCCATTTTGAAAATATGATGCAGCTATTGCTCAAGGTTGAGCGTGTCTCTGTGCAGATCTTACGGCACTTAAACAAGACAAACTTTCAACGATAGTGTCTGCAGTATCCAAATTGCCCACCACATAGAAAAAGCGACACGAAAATTTTGCACAGGATTGTCTAAATAGCTAACAAATTGTTGTATGGTGGGCCTGACGGTGATAAAATTGTTTCTGGCCTTAATTTTAGGAGGCAAAATGTTAGCTTCTGATTTGTGTATTCCTGAACTGCTCTGACGATCCATTAGAAGAAAAAATATCACTTACCTTGGTCACGCCATCTCAAAATAAGCAGCTGATGTACTCGAAGGAGCTCGGAGTGCTTCTCGAAAAGATGGTGGAGGTCGTTCGTGGCATGTCACATTTATCGATAGCGGGAGAGTTTATCGCTCGTTTGTTTGGGAATTTTGCCCCAGCAACGCTGCCCGCAATCGATCGCTCAACATAAACCCTTTTGCTTGGGACGCGTTGTGACGAGTCAATCTCTATGGAATAATACACCAGGAAGTAGTAGTTGGTATCAAGACCTGATTTTGCTATCATGCTCCTCCGAAGGTCTTTGCTGTATCAGCCTATCTACAGCTTCATATTACTCTGAGGCAACTGTGTATACAGTACATTAACATCATCAGCATTTGCTATGCGATTGTCTAGGAACTGCTCATTCTGAATCGCCCAGGAAACTTTAAAATTAGTTATTATGTGGATAGTCGTATTTTAGAATAGCTCCTAGCCTTTGCAGCACTGAAAAGCTGGTACAGAATACTAAATTTATACTAAACAATACTGTTTTCCATCACCTGTAAGTTATACATTCCTCTCCTCACGCCATACTATAATACCATCCTCAGACAGACTAGAAATAAATTCTAGGCCACTCGTCATACCATAGTATGGCTCAAATCTCCCCAATAACGCCCTTCAAAATCTCAGGAACAATGACACCGGCATCACCCTGGAAGAACCAATCGTTTGGTCCCAACCCAGAGGCCCCAACATCATTCCGATCCATATTAACAACTGCAACTCTGGCACCACGATCACGGGCCTTATCGACATATCCCGCAGCAGGGTATACTTGTGAGCTTGTGCCAACCACCAGTATCAGGTCGATAGGACCGGAACGCATCCAGCTATCCACCATATCCAGAGTGTGCAACGGCAAGCTCTCCCCAAACCACACAACCCCGGGTCGAAGGATACCATCTTTGCACTGCGGGCAATGTGGAAGTACATCGAGACTTAGCGCTGGAAGCGGAACGCTTTCGTCAGATATGTCTGCCTCTAGCCCCTCCCCTCCTCCTAGAACATTGGATAAAGATTTAGAGGCGGCCGCGCCTGTTTTATCTTCCGTAGAAGGGTTGAGATCTGGCCCTCCCTTCGGAATAGCCAAAGCCGGAACGATGGGGTCCGTGAAGTCGTTCTCACGCGAGTAGTTGCAGTAGAAGGAGGTGCATTTAACAGTGAAGAGAGATCCATGCAGAAGATGAAGCTGTTTCGAGGGGTGGTTTGCACGCTGCGACAGACCTGTATCCGTTAGCATTATGACCTGGGTAACTATATGGTCATGGAAGTAGCCAAAGGCAAACAAAATAATAATATTGGCCGTACCGTCAACATTTTGGGTCAGCGTAATGAAATCATTATTCCTTCTGGCGAGCTCGGCCAGCGCATAATGAGCACGGTTTGGGTTGGCCTTCAGAGCCATATGTCTCCGGTAGCTGTAAAACTGCCACACCAGGTCTGGGTTCGCTTCGAAAGCTTCTGGCGTAGCCAAGTCGGTGGCATCATGAGATCTCCAGAGACCCCCCGCCCCTCTGAAAGTTGGCAGACCAGAAGAGGCCGAAATCCCCGCACCTAGCAGAGCAAGAATACGTTTGCATCCTTTCAAGTACTCTGAAAATGAACGGAGATCAGATGCTGGAATGGCGGGCGAAGCCATAGCGGGGCAAGTGATGTCGTAGGTGGGGAGTTTGTACCATATGAACTATTTCACCTAGGGACTAGGGGTTCTGTACAGGTATATAATGGCGATCATGGGGCATTTAGGCCCAATCCGGGTCGATGAAAATTAAGAGCAATCTGACGCTCTGTAGTTGGTGTTGGAATTTGGAATGAGCCGGAGCCACGCTGACGTGGGGTTGAAGCTTACTGGTTATGGGCCGCCTTGGCGGCCATGGGAGATATTGAAGCTAACGCATGAGCCCTACTGTGTATAATGATGACGTGGGTCCTCGCTCCTGAGTCATTGGATTTCAGCAGGCGAATTATATATGCGAGGTCAGTGATAGCTGTTGTATCATCATTGTTGTTAATTTATACTATTTTATTAAACCGGAAATTATATTTAAGCCATACAAAATTGATATAGTAAACGAACTTATTGGAGGCAACTGCCAGGCAGAAGTATCTGACAGCCGATTTCCAGCTCTTACACAAGTCAAATTTTCACTAAAACATAACGTGGAATTCCACAAGTATACAATCAATCATGTTACTGCAAGGATAATGCTTCCCAACTAATGCTGTTCCTCCTTGGGAAGAGTCACCTGGGCTGCTTCTTTCGCATATGTGCGGTTTTCATCATTCTTATTCTCAACGAAATCAGTGATATAGTCTGGCACCTCGGCCACTTTATTCTGAGCACTAGGAATGGGCGCCCCGAATGTCTCATAGACGGGGACAACTCCGGTCCAAACACGGTTGGTCACTTCCTCGTTAGCATAGTCCTTCTTTTCATCAGAGACACCCCCATCACGGATCTTGCCGCTCCCGTCAACCACTTTGACTTTGAGAATAACCGTCGAGGACATCTCAGCACGATCGGGTGGCACTCGCGAATGCTTCCAGCGGTCCTGGAGTACTGAGTTTGTGACCAACTCCATTGCCCAAAGTTTCTCGGCTTCATCCGTTACAAGGTGGGCATATCCGTGAAGGATGGCAGAGCGATAATTGTAACTGTGCGAGTTTGGTGTCAATGACAATATCAACCCGTCCACCTTACTCGCAGCAATGCAAATTGGCAATCCTTCTTGGGACCCTCTGGCTAGGTTCATGATTCTTGAGCTGACATAGCCATGTAGATAACATTCCAGGGGCTCGTCAATATCCGCCGAGGGGTATTCGAATGAGCCCATTTGCCCGATCATGGGTATAATAGCGGGGAAAGGGTCTTCTGGGCCCGGGCTGAATGACACATGGAGGACTTGCGAGGAATTGATGATGGAATGGATTGCTCCGAGATCATATGTAGCTGCAGCCAGATTTAATTGCATTGTTCAGATAACCCGGGGATCTTTTAGCAATACCTCTGTGGTTATAGCGGTTGACGGTGTTAGAGGACCGCTTTGGATACGTCAATGTTCGACCCATGGTGCCTATCTGGCGGCGGAGCTGCGCAAATCAACTGACGGTAGATGCATTGACGGACATCCAGACAGAGGCTGAACACCCGCTGATTATTATACACAACGCAGTGAGTCATTACCAACCACCCTACTGCCTAACATTGATTTACAACCCAAGTACTTCGTATTCCAGTCTGGTACGCTGCTAAGGCCGAGATAAGCTATGTTGGAGAGGATGCCCCATTGGGCAAGTCCTTCCGGTGCGGGATATCGCAAACATCTGATCTGTGATTGGCTGGTAGGACCGCATATGAGCGGCCTTAGGCAGTAAGGCCGCAGTTTGGTTGGGTTCGGAGCTTCGAGTTTTAGATCCCGTTGAACCTTACTTACCTGGCTCATTCATTCCTCGTGAGTTGGTTGCTGTCTTCCGATGGTGACCGGATAGGAAGTATGTCGACATGCAAGACAATCCTTCGCCAATTGCCTTGTTGCACTCGTCGTCCAACGCCATGGATCCTCCGTTCAACGCCTAGTCGCGTGGTCCTTCATGACCGTTCGGCCTTTCGCTGCTCTTACGCTTCCATCTCCGCCGCCGAGCTTAAATTCGGTCAACCGTTACACGAGACGCATCCTCATATATTAAGACCTGGAGAACGTGTGTAGATGCCTTCGTCGCCTTCAGATGCTTCGGCGTCGTGCAATTTGAGCGTATATTGACTTTGGACAAGTAACTCCTGGAATTACAGCTCTCGAATATGCTCAGCGCCGTTCGCGACTTGCAAACAAACTCCCCAGACACTCAGTTGCCGTATTAGCGGCGTCAGAGGTTACATACCGGGCTTCGGGAATATTCAATGAGTATCGGCAGGACTCTAATTTCTTTTATCTTACGGGTTGGTGCCGGCCTACGCAATTCAAGTCACGAAGGTCCATATGCTGATCGCCTCTCGACCCTGAACAGGATTCAACGAACCCAATGCGCTGGCTATTATCGGTGAGCTTTCCCCTCCTAACGATGGCTAAAAAAAAAGCCAATGGCACTCACACAACCCCAGTAAATGATGGCTCCGGAGACAATCATCTATTCCATCTTTACGTCCGGGAAAAGGACCCCAAGGCGGAACTTTGGGATGGGGCTCGTTCGGGTACACAGGCTGCGATTGATGTCTTCAATGCTGACGAGGTACGATACATCTTTCCTATTTATACTTAGAAGCAAAGCTAATTGCTGAACGCTAGACCGGCGATATCGAGCATATCGAGGATATACTCCCACAGATTGTTTCAGACGCTACGGAGATCTATACAGATATCCCCGCTTTTAACTTTGGCAGATCTTCCTTACATCGATATTTGTATGGCCCCTCCGGAACATCGGAGAAGCTTAAGAAGATTGTTGATCATCAAAAAGTCAAGCCTTTGCGTCCGATCCTTAACGAGATGAGGGTTTTCAAGAGTGAGGATGAAGTTGTACATTTACGTGCAGTTGGCCAAGCTTCTGGAAGAGCGTTCACTAAATCTATGCGTCAAACGTTCACAAAGGAAAAGGACCTGACATCCTTTTTGGAGTACAATTTCAAGGTCAACGGTTGTGATCACAGCTCCTTCGTTCCTGTTGTGGCAGGCGGCTCGGTATGTTATGTATACCGCTCCGATCATGGCGGACTCACTCTAATAGACCCAGAACGCGCTGAGCATCCATTACACGAGAAATGACGATGTCTTAAGGTGTGCTCTTTAATATCCTCATGGCGCTCGGCTAGGACTGATGAATTTATCCAGAGACGGTGATATGGTGCTAGTCGATGGGGGCGGAGTACGTATGGTCTTAACCCGAACAATACGGCCAATACTTACCGTGAATAGGAAGCGGGTACCTACGTCTCCGATATCACGAGGACATGGCCGGTTAACGGCAAGTTCTCGGATCCGCAGCGGGATCTGTACAATGCAGTGTTGAATGTGCAGCGTAGCTGCGTTTCCCTTTGCAGAGAGACTGCAGGCCTTTCCCTGGACCGACTTCATAGCGTCGCGGAAAGTGGTCTAAAAGACCAATTGCAACAACTAGGATTTGACGTTTCGGGCGATGTGAGTTTGTCCCGCTTGTTCGATCAGGCCTGGTGACTGATCTTCGGGATTTAGGCTATGAGCACTCTGTTTCCCCATCACGTCGGCCACTACGTCGGACTTGACGTCCATGACTGTCCTGGATACCCAAGAGGTTACAACCTGAAAGCGGGCCAATGCATCACCGTGGAGCCGTATGTGCTTCCCGTTTCGTTATTCAATTAGTTCTACTAACAATGCGTAGTGGTATTTATGTCCCTGACAGCGACAGGTGGCCCGAGAGGTTTCGAGGGATTGGGATTCGCATTGAAGATAGTGTGTGTGTTGGGGATGACAGTCCCATTGTGCTCACAACAGAAGCTGTAAAAGAGGTAAGATTGCTCTCACCATGTTGTCTCTTAAGAAAGATTGCACAAAATAACATCATTTCCACGACCCTATGCTAACGGCATGCCATTTTAGGTCGACGATATCGAGGCCCTTCGAGAATAAATCAAAAAAGATAACTGTGGCAGAAAGATACCCCTACATATAAAATGTATATTAGCCAATCTAAAATATGAAAGAGTTTTTTTTTGCAGAATACGTGGGCAACATGAAACTCCATGTTCTCTGGGTCTATACATCAGCTTTTTTCTTTTTTCCCGTTTCTGTAGACCGCAGCGCAGAGGCGCGGAGAGATCCTGTAAAACTCCCTAGGTAAAGTACTATTCGTAGTACCCAGTATAAAAGGGTACTGGATAATAAGTTTTTTATCTTTTTCGTTTTTTTAACACGGCGCGCTGTGAGGCAGGAAAGGAATGTTCCAACATTCATAACTTAAGACCCTGACAGGGTTCGCGGTGGGTTTTTTGTTGGTTGTTAGGCGCACATCCGCGGCCAAAACAAACCAAACTTCCCGTCTCCACTCACTCGCTCTGACACGCTTGGTTAGTTCCTTCTTTGCTCTCTTCCCCCCATCTCTATTCTGCTCTGTACTACAACAATACTAACAAACTGCTGCAGTACTGCTCCTTCTCAGCTTGACTTCCACTTCCAGGCCTCCTCTGCTGGACAGTGTTTGTCATCTATTTGCTGAGAAAGAGGCTCACGTCTTGTCTTTGCCTTCCAGCCACGCTCCCTACCACATGATTCTGGATCGCGTGAACAATGGCTTTTTTCTGATTGAACTGCCCTTCGAGACGTGTTGCCCATCGCGTGCTCTGCCTGGAGTGTCCTTCTTTTAAAAGGCATCCCAACTTGCTGCCAATTGCCTATTTAATTCTCTGTGTATTGTTACCACATGGCAGCAGTATTCATACCTCCTTCACCGCAGACATCTCTTAACATGTCGACACGCCGACCACTCGCCAACGTGCCGAATGCCACCAACTCCCCTCACAGGGTGGGCCTCGTGCCTGCCAAACGTCCTCGGACGACGAATGCTCCAGTTGAGATCCCTTACGGCCAGCCACCTCCCAAGAAGCAGGTCGTAGACGGGACGGAGGTAGAAGGCCGTTCCCCGAGCCGAACCCGGGCTTCCACCTACCAAAACACTGATTCTAAGCTCTTTTCACGGCGAACAAACAATGCCCAGCCAAGTGCGTTCGAGAGGAAGTTGGTGGCTGCCAGGGATAAGGAGAGACTGTCTCAACACAGGCCGTCGAGGCATGAAAAGCCTTCTGCGGAGACCATTGATACTATAAGGCAGTGGCAGAGGCATTATCGAAAGGCGTTTCCTCAATTCGTCTTCTACTTTGACAGCATTCCGGAAGATCTTCGTAGTAAATGCTCGAGACAGGTCATTGCGTTGGGAGCTGTAAGTCTACTTTGTTCATTTTTTTTATTTTTATTTTTAGTTTTGACTTTACTTCCTTGCGGCTCAAGATTGGGATGAAAGGTGAAGTTTCTCACCTTATGCACAACCATGCTGGCACACTGGTAGCTTTGTTATTAATGAATTTTGTCTATTGGCCTTCAAATGCTGACGTCGTACTGTAGCGTGAGGAGAAATTCTTTTCACGCCTAGTGACCCATGTCGTTACCTCACGTCCGATACCACCTGAAAATGACAGTGCAAGCCCGACAGAATTGAAGACAGAATCGGTGGAGCAAACAGCTGCCGATGGTTCTCTGCAGACAGTCAATCCCTCCCTATTGGAGAAAAACGTCGAGCCCCACCTTCATATCTCACTGAAGAATGATGCACGACGCGAGCAGACTACCACGGATGTTTTGCACAGAGCTCGCCAAATGGGAATGAAGATATGGGCTATAGAGAAGCTTCAGCGGATGATTGCTACTATTAACGATGGGGAAATTGGCGGACATAGCAGCCATTCTACTCGAAATGCCAACGCTGGTGGCCATGCCAAAACCAGAGGCGACGCAGACCTGTCACAAGTCCTTCAAAACGAACTCATGAGTGGCTCTGATCGCAACCCTCTCTCAGTTCTGAAAGACTTGGTAATGTTCAAGGGCCCGTTTGTTTACATTCACGACATGGATGAAAAGACAAGACCCGTCATGGTTCGCGAATACCCAAAAGTGGCGAGACGACAAGATGGCATCTGGCCCCAATTCAGGAGTGCACCACTTGGAAAGTGTCCATTTTTGGAGGAGCCCCCAACCAAAAGAGAAGCGGAGCGGCAACGGGCGCGCCAAAAGTCGAAGGAACAGAAGACTGTTCCCAAGCACGCACCTACTCCAACAGCCCTTGACGTCAAGCTCAAAGTACCCGAAAACGTTACAAGGAACGCTGGAGATGCAGAGGCTGACCAAGAGCCCAGCGCTAAGGATGGCCACCAAGGTTCTATGTCTCATCCAAAACAGCCAGAGATGCAGGACATGCAGCCGATAAGGCCGGCCTCACCGAAAAAGAGCTCTGAAAGTTTTGTTCCTCAGTTAAATCGGACTGGGCCCTTTTATGTTGGCCGTGAGCCTGCCGCCTCAGGTGTTCAACCCTCTAACATTACCTCTGCCATCCGTTCTCAGATGGTATCTTCTACTGCTGCAGCGCCCGGGGCAAAGGCTGGTGTGAGTAAAGAGGTTCACGAGCTCAAACGGAAGGTCCTCGAGAAGAGCAATGGAGGATTTTCGGCTGGTACAGGACCGTCGTCTCACCACCCTGTGGACGCCTCTGCAGCTTTAAAAACAACCAAGAACCAGGCGAACCGGTATGGCAAGTCAAACGTGCCAGAGAGGCATGGTAATGTCATTGAAGAGGAAACTACTCAGTCAGAAGGCAACGATAACACCAAATCTCGGCCGAGCACTAAAAATCCAGCAGCCAGAAGAAAAAGGAGAAGAGAAGGGATCCTAAGCCAGGGTATTGTGAAAACTGTCGGGACAAGTTCGATGATTTTGAAGAGGTGAGTATCTTGCTGACGGTATAAAGATGGGGCACCGGCTAATCATGATCGTAGCATGTATTGACAAGGAAGCACCGCAAATTCGCACTGAACTCGTCAAACTGGTCCGAACTTGACTCGTTACTGTTCCAGTTGCAGAGACCTCTGAAGGAAGAATACGATTATGTTTAGATCATCCTTAATAATAGGCAGAAAAAGGAAGAAAAAAAAGGATGTTTGCATATAATCCATCTTTCCCCATCCATCAACCTCGCATCACATCTTACGATCAGCTGGACACTCAACGGTAGTAATTATATGAAAGAAAAATACGAAAGCAATTGAAAATCGATCCTCGGTAGCAGTGGTACATATGCACCTCGGAAATATCAAATCATAGCTCCACGGGGCAAGCAACTGACTTCACATTCTGTCGCTCATTTAAGTCTCAGTATCATGAGGTTTACTTTTTCTGTGTTACACATTTGCGTTTACTGCTTTCAACACTTGCCCTTACTTTAGCTGATGTCTAGCAGCGCATTATGATACAGCCGGCGTCCTGGGAATTTTGCCTGCATTATTATCGGGGTTAGATGAGCGAAACCAATACACTCGCCAATTCCAACTTTGGGGATCATGAGACAGGGTGAGAGATTGATAGAAAAAAATTTTTTTTTAAAAAAAGGACTGAGGAGTGAGAGCCCACGACGTTGGAAACTGACGAAAAATCAACTGCTCATCCGCATCCAGAGCATGCATTGCATTGAGAGCCGCGTTAATTCTGATGTGTTCTCGCGGAGAAACCTTGCATTGGGATTTCCTTGGCCCAGTAATTGACCATTCTTCTTCTCATGCTCCCCCTTTTTATTCTTTAATTTTTTTCTTCTTCTTCTTTTTTCTTTTGTATTTTTCGTTCTGGGATTTCTCATGTGGGTGGAAATGTTCTGGGGTTGCATTGAGAGGACGAAATGTTCGTATCGGCGGGGTTTTGTACTTTGAACATTGCCAATATCCATTTTCGTGGTTATTATTAGCCGGACCTACCTATTTACTGATTTGATGGTACTCATCGGTGGGGCTGAACTCGAAGGAGTATCTATCTACGTAGTGGTTGCCTATGTACTCTGTAGAATAATGCACGATGATTAACATCCGGATAGCCTCGGCCCAACAATAAAACTCTCGGCTGGAAAAACTGAGCATCCGGCGGAGAATCAATGGAACCGGCATGTCGTCCAATCACCCAGTGCCTAGCTAGAACTCCGGCAGAATGGTTCTAAAAATCTGGGGATGCTCCGGACTACGCAGCATAAACCAGCACGTCGTCTGTTATATAAGAAGGCGGACCTCAGAATGGGCTCGAAAATCATTGAATCTTTTTCCCCTGGCCCAGGTACCTCCTTCGCTCATTTCTTCACGTCACTTGGTTTTATCTCGTCCTGATCTTTTCTTAGGTTTGGTTAGCACTGTGGTTATAGAGATACCTTACCTTACTTTACCTTACACCTACTTGCCTACTTCGTACATAGGTACATAGGTACATACATTCTGTCTGCTTTTTCTGTGGTAACGTAACACCACTGTACTTTACATACTCTACTTTCTTTGATTGTTTCTTCCTTTTTTATTTTATTTTTGAATTCTTTTGGTTTACGACCTGTTATCTTGATTTGCGTCTAGTGGGTCTGTCTGGCGAAGATGTCTTCAAGAACGGCATCTAGATTGATGCTGTCGTTGCGACCCCTTTCAAGACATTGCAATGTTCAAGCTTCATCTATGTCGATTGGTTCACTTCTTCTCGCTGGTGGTGATAGTATCCATCCCTCCAGTCGAGCATTGCCTTCCTGCTCGTCGTCTTTCGTCCGCCATAGCTCTCACTCGCCGTTGGGGACGTCGCCGATCAATCCTCGGAAGAAAATTACAATGCAGACCCTGCAGAATCTCTACAAGAAGGGGGAGCCAATAACCATGTTGACGGCCCATGATTTCCCCAGTGGTCATGTTGCTGAAGCGGCTGGCATGGAGATGGTCTTGGTCGGTGACAGTCTGGCTATGGTTGCTCTCGGTATGGAGGATACCAGTGAGGTGGTTATGGACGAAATGCTGCTGCATTGTCGAAGTGTGGCTCGGGCTGTTAAGAGCGCTTTCACGGTTCGTGTGCCCATTTTCTGGATCTGGGGATCGTACTAACGAGTGATCGAATACTCTCAGGTTGCTGATCTGCCCATGGGATCTTATGAGGTCTCACCTGAACAGGCGGTTGAATCGTCGATCCGCATCGTGAAAGAAGGGCGTGTACACGCTGTGAAGATTGAAGGGGGCATCGAAATGACCCCGTCCATCAAACGCATCACACAGGCCGGCATCCCTGTCGTAGGCCATATTGGTCTCACCCCGCAACGTCAGAACGCCCTGGGTGGGTTCAGAGTTCAGGGGAAATCTACCGCGAGTGCCCTGAGTCTGTTGAAGGATGCCCTTGCCGTGCAAGAAGCCGGTGCGTTCATGATTGTTCTCGAGGCCGTGCCAGCGGAAATCGCTGCTATCATCACCAAGAAACTCAACGTGCCGACAATTGGTATTGGAGCTGGAAATGGATGTTCCGGACAGGTCCTTGTTCAGATTGACATGATCGGAAATTTCCCCCCTGGTCGATTCCTTCCCAAGTTTGTCAAAAAATATGCCGATGTCTGGGCCGAGACGATCAAAGGAATCAAGCTGTACCATGATGAAGTCAAAAGTCGCGCGTATCCTTCACAAGAATACACCTATCCTATCCCTAAAGAAGAGCTGGCGGAGTTTGAAAGAATTGTTGATCAATCACCTAATTAAGAAGCCCCTTTCCTTCCTCTTTTTGCCTTGTCTCCTTTTCATATACGACCCTTGAACATACGCTGCCCGTTCATGGTGTTTTCATGATAACTCATGTCTCATGATAGAAAATGATAGATGCTAGCTGGCTGCTTTCTACGCTGGCCGGTACCTTTTTGTTGGAGCTCCTGATCTGGTCAATTTGACTACTTCCTCGTGCGGTTGTATTGGGCACCATATCATACCTGCGACCCGCTTTGGTGTGGAAAGTCATCTGGATGTCAACCAAACGCAGGTGTCATAGAATAAGCAACGATCAATTGCTCATCAGTCCTAAAGCACTGTTCATAGCAAGCTGAGAGTCAATACTAGATAAATGATAAATGGTTCATAAACATATAGCAACATAGCACTTACCCTCCATAGCCCTCCCACTCCTTCATCGAGTCCGGGGGCAAAAACGCTGTTGACGTAGCAGAAAACCGAGTCGGTATCTTTGCAGTCCAGCTTCTTCCTGAGGAACTTGACTACGGTTTCGAATTTTTGTGAAGCACTGATCTTGAAGACTCGGTTTTTCAAGATCGGGGCCGACGGAAGAGGCTGAAAGCGCACTGTAACTGCTGAGGATTTAGTAAAGAATGCTTCATCATTTGAATGCTAGATGTGTGAGGACGCTAATAATATGCTATAGAGATACAGAGAAACCGTCTCTCGAGGATGATTTTACAGAGTACTACTAGGTGGAAACACTGGTTCCTTAAAGTAAAAACACGAAAATAAAACGAGTATAATAAAAGTGAATGAATCGAAAATTAGGGGATCCTTGGAGCTACACTACCTTTACCAGTATCCATGGCTTCGGCATCCGCTAGTGCTTGATGAGCGTCTCGAGGCAGGCTCGTTAGCACCACGGAAGCAGACATGGTCAGCGGCATATCCGAGCCATGATCGTCATCTGGGATAGGGGCACCGGAGGCGTTGGCTGCGGGGTCTGAGGCTTTATTTCGACTGGCTGGTCGATGGCTCAGATTTGTAATTGTGGTAGGCGGGTTCTGGTCGGAATTTGGAGACTCCGGGGCGGATGGGGATTGGGAGGACGATGGGTCCATTTTGATAAAAGCGGGAGGATGAATAGGTGATAATAAGGCCTTTCAAAGACGGGGACAAGGTTGAGATGGGAGGAAATGGAGGAATGTTGAAGCTGTTGGCTCTCAGAAATGAAATGATGGCGGGACACCTCAGGCATAAAGGATCCGTCCAATCACGACGGCAAGTGGCTCTGCAGTATCAAGCCCTAAGAGACCAACGATGAAGGGGTTCTTGTGCAGCGCTGGACGGCATATTTTGAGATCGACCTCTTGAAGTATGAAGAAGTGAATACAGACCGTTAATATCGGAGTGAAGTCTACAAGAATAGCCCTTTATTCCAGCTAATGCCATTAGTCCAGTGGTTGTTGATCCTCTACAACTTCTGCCTGACTGGTTTCTGCTTTCTACCCAAGTACAGAGCACATATTATTGCCCAGCGCAAATCTGCTCTTGAGGGACAAAGAGAAGTTCTGTTTAGATGTGATCTGGCCGACTTTATATTCGTACCTAACCCAGCTGGCTTGCTACCTGATCATGCCCCACCTGAGATATGATCCGTTCCATCTGACCGGTCAGGCTAAGCAATGACGACGGAGTGACCAAACGATGGTACTCAGTAGGCACTAATTCGGCTTCACATACGGTAGCTTTAGCTTGCGGTATTTCCCATGGCCCTCTAATCGCGTCTTGTGTTGACGATACAGGCGGCTGAGTCATCTGCAGCGCCCACCTGACTGAGCGGGTCGTGGCCATGGTGCCATCATCGCCCACCATTCATTCGCAGCTCCTCATCGTCTCGCTCCCCGCCCGCTCTGGTCATACCGGTAGTCCCCCCTTTTCGACTCACCCTCTTCGCTGGATATTCTGGTCTTTTTGATACCCCGTTGGACTTCCCCGGATCTATTATATTGCTTCTTGAACCCCGGTATCTCACTCGGTCCTGCCGATTTCATTTCACTCCTGCGTCTCTTTCCCCCGCTCGATCAATTCCTTCCCCGCTTTACCTTTGGGACCAGTTTGGCTGTTGGAGAGTCACACAATTCAACCTCTAGACGTCCGATATTCCGACTGAACGTTTACTACCCTATCTGTCGTTGGCTCTAGACCAAATACTGGCAGAAATCGCTCAAGATGAGTAGTCCGAAGCGGAGAATTGAGACGGATGTGAGTCAGTTAAACTCTTGCGGGGAGAGAGACGGAAAGGCTAACACTGTGCTTCATTCTTCCTATAGGTCATGAAGTATGTTCCACCGGTCTCTTCTCTATACTTCTAATTCTCCATTGTTGCATGACGTGTCAGAGTGATGGCTGACCATTTTTAGGATGTATGCATGCCCCTTTTTTGGTCCCAATCCCCGCCACCCACCACCCAGACTGGAATATTTGGAACAAACTCGTAGAAGATAGAGAAAAATCTGGATAGAATACAGACTGGGGCCTGTACTGATATACTCTGCAGGTTAATGAGTGACTACGAGGTGACTTTGGTCAATGATAATAGTGGGTTCCATCTTCCGCTTACCACTCGCCATTTAGATACTGACTGATGAATTTAGTGTATGTTGAATACAAAGAAATAAATTTGTATAGACGCTCACAAGAAGGGCTATTGGACAGGCAAGAATTCTATGTGCGCTTTAAGGGTCCTGAAGAGAGTACGTATCCGTATCCACCTTTGAGTTGTTGTTTTCTCATGCTGATATCATTATAGCTCCTTTTGCAGGAGGCCATTGGAAAATCCACGTCGAGCTACCAGATCAATACCCGTATAAGAGCCCGAGTATCGGTTTTGTCAACCGGATATTCCATCCCAATATCGATGAGCTGTAAGGAAGAGTTGTCCAATCCTAAGATGTCCACCACTGAAGTCTTTATCCCTAAACATAGCTCCGGTTCTGTTTGTCTGGATGTCATCAACCAAACCTGGTCACCGATGTACGACATGATCAACATCTTCGAAGTTTTCCTTCCACAGCTCTTGCGATACCCGAACCCCTCGGATCCGCTAAATGGTGAGGCTGCGGCAATGCTAATGAGGGAGCCCAAGAGCTATGAAGCGAAGGTGAAAGGTAGGTCCCCCCAGTCCATATTGGTTCTGTGATTGTCGATTTGGCTCACCAGCGACAGAATATGTGGCCAAGTATGCCAGCAAAGAGGCAGTGGATGATGCTGGGGAAGACACGGAGTCCGAAGATGAATTGAGCTCTGCCGGGAGCTATGAATCCGGCGGCGAGGAGCCTGCAGGCACTATGGATGATGTCTAATTGCCTGCAGAACTCTTTCTGATGGTGTTTCGCTGCCTCTTTATGATTAACATGGAATTCGGGATCGAGCCTTGTCGAATGCTTTTACATTGCATCAGCATAAATACTCTATATGTTGTCTTTATCGGATTCGAGCTTCTTGGCGTTGTTCTGGTGGAGTTCTGATGTTCATGGTGCAACTGACTACGACGGCCGTATGGACGGAGTCAAGGATACCTCCTGTTTCGTGCTTTGATTCCGGTCGCCTTGCCATTTTTGCTTTTTCTTTTTTTCTTTCTTTGTTTTCTCGGATATTCGAATCCAATTTCTGTGCGGTGTTCTTTGATCGCAATTCTGCTGTGATTTTCTTTTCTTTTCTTTTTTTTTTAATTATCTATATTACACTATTCTAGTAACCAATATGAAGAGCTATAGAAATCGTCTCACCGTGTAAATGCGCTTGGAGATCTACGAAGAGAACGCACACTACTCGAGTATGAATTCAACGCATGTTTAGTTGTGGATTCTGGCTAGTTCTGGTATTCAATTCAGCTAGGGCCACATAATAGATAAGAAATTGCACATGACTGCGCCGCCATAATTAGTGATATGGCAAAAACAAGCAACATGGGTATTATGACATGATGTCTCTTAAGGGGCTTGAAAACAAAAAAAAAAAAAGTAATAAATAGCAACTAAAGGGGTAACAATGAAGGGATTGGGCGATCACGCAACAAATAAAGCAACTAGAAAAGAAAGAAAAAGAAAAGGAAAGGAAGGTATAGACCGTCGACCGGCGACCTATGTAATGCGAAGGAGGGGAAATGACACAACCTGAAATGAGAGGCAGAGCCAAATAAAGGAAGAGGGAAATATTCCCCCGGGTAGTATTAACCGTCACGTCGTGACCCGTCGTCCACTTGGACCAAAAAAAAAAAAAAAATCAGGTAACCTTCAAAACACCGAAAACATCTCGAACATTCTCCTCGGATACTATTCCTGGTGGTCTGCCCATGCGCGGATTGATGACGACTTCGCCCCAGTGCTTCGGTACGGTACCTGTTTTAGTTGTCGTGATCTGTGTAGAATCGTCCGAGGGCGATGTGGTTGTTATCTTGATGGGGGCATCATCGGTGCCGCCTGATTTAGATGTAGCTGGTGACACGGAACCGCGGAGGGTCGCTTGAGGTTGTAGGTGAGGTTGAGGTTGGATAGACCAAATGTCGATGACCGAGCTAGATAGTGAGCTAGTTAGTTTCATCGGCTTTTTTTTATATTCATTCATCACGTACTGTGAGTTTCCTCAGTCGTAAGGATATGACAGAGGAATCCACAGTCTCGAGTTATATTGAGTGAGGAGATGCCACTTACTCTGATGTTCGTTGACAAATCGCTTCCAGGGCTTCTCGTTCGCGCTTTATGTACCCGGAGTCAGGATGGGAGATCTGATTGGCGTGGTTATTGAGAGCTCCATATCCGTATCCTGATTGATAGATATCATCTTCGAGAAGGCGCGAGGACTCAGACTGGAAGCGGAAATGAAGTTAGCGACTGATCGCTACAAACACAGCGGACAATCCGCCCCAAAATCATACATCTTGACTGTCCCGTCGACTGAGTCCGAGACACGAGGCGCAGACACCCATTTATACCAGCGTAGATGGAGTTTATCGCACGAAGAGGGCAAGACATTCACAACCGGGAGAACCCGAGAGGGAACGTTTACGGGATGATGCAGTAGGTAGCCAAGGGATGCTGAGATGCAGCGGATGGATTTGAGACGGGAGCAGTGATGGGGATTGTAAATGAGTGATGGATGCCCAGTTCGGAGCAGCAGTGATGCACCAACCGGTGATGCTGGAAGGGTTGGAAGAAAGTTTGCTTTTTGCATTGGCTGGTAGGTGAATTGTGCTAGGTTTATTGGCCCGTGCGCGCCGATGACAATGGATGATGATGATTCTTTCCATCCTCCTCGCCTTTGTAGACAACATATTGTAACTATACATGTTCCTGTAGTAATGTATACTGGAATATGGTGCTCGCTCCAAATGTCTTATCCAGTTCTCCGAGAGTCATTCAACAAAAGCTGCGTTAGGGTTGAGTCTGTGGACCTAGCATATGGCCCAATTATCCTAAAATTAAGAGGCAAGCACTCCTCCGTAGATAATGCCCGTGAAAAGGGCGGGGCGTGGCCGCACAGTCTATGCGTGGAAATAATCACTCCGCCTACTTTTCATTTCCATTCTCCGTACCGCAGGAAATATCCCTTGGTCAACGGGATGAAGATACAGAGTACATCATCTTTTTAATTGAGTCCCCATTTATGTACTGACTTCTAGATTCCGAAGATCGCCTCCAAGTCGGCAGCATGTTTGACCTGCCGAGCGCAAAACGGTTCGTTAATATGGTCTCCAACACTACAATTCCACCTCGGCTATGCCAGAGAAGCCGTTAACATTGCTCCTACAGTGTTCGTCGCGAACAACTTCTTTCCCGTGATTCCTCATCCCCATCTCCATCACCACCACCAGAATCAGCTCTTTCCGAAGCCCATCAACGCCTCGGCGAATTACTGAACCTCGACACATTCGTCGCCCCCGTTGATCTTACCCCATCGCAGCCCGACCAGGACGAAGAAGAGGAGCAAGAATTCGAGTTCCGACTGTTCAGTGCGCCAGCAAAGACACAAAAACATGATGCATCACAAGCACAAACACAAGCGACGAGCTCAAAGGGCACCAACGGGGATCAAACCCACGTGACTCAAAAGTTGCGGATTCGGTTACGGTCTCCGACGCCCGGAGTGGGAGGGATCGAGGACGGAGGATTTGTGAATCCATTTCGTGGATGGGGATATTACTTTTCTACGCCGACGTTGTTCGGGACTGGAGGGAATGAGGATCCCCAGCTGGCGGTGAAACGGAAACAGTTTGCTGATGTGGCTGTCTCGGGACATGATATGTTAACCCGGGCTACGGTTTCTTGGGTATGTTGTTTCTATCTGCTTTTTGATAGGTGTCTGGCCGTTTTACTGACTGTTCCAGCCTGGTTGTCATCTACCTTGGCGCGTGGTACGGCTGAAACGACAACATACGAAGCTTCCTCGAGGATCGGAGGATACTACAATTGTTGCGAGTAATGTGGAGAGTCAAGACAGGTCCCCCAAATCACGTACGAAGCCGGGAAAAAAGCGACGCCTTCAACTTCGCAAGCGCGTTAAGGCTGCGGAGCAGGCCAACGAAACGGAGGCGGAGAAACGGAATCGCAAGAACCGGGAAAGGAAGATTAAACGGAGGCAGAAGGCGCGGGAAATGAAAGCTGCTGCTGCTGCGGGTCAGGCTCCGGATGTTTCCTCTGTCGGGTTGGCTGAAGATGTGCCTTCGCAGAATGGAGGTAATTAGTTCCTAGTGGTTTGCACTCCGTTGCTCTAATAATGCCCAATCTCATGCGAAGTTGGTAGATTGGATTAGAAGTTAGTAGCAAGTATTTTTTGTACAAAGTTGCCATGATAAGAACTGTCAATACTCTGACTCTCATTGCAGGCCACTCATGACTTGTATTCAAAAATATTTATATTAAACTGATAAATTGCGCAGGGTATGATATGAAGGAGTAGGCTCAGCAATCGATGCTAGGGTATGAGGCGCACAAAAGCAGAAAAGCGCAAATAAAAGTTGGACATATTTCAAAATCAGAGAAGTCCATCACACGATATTACTGGGTGAACGGGCCCGCATGATACAGCAAACTCGGTATATTCAGGGCCTTATTTGACCTATTCAGGTGCAGATAACGAATCAATATCACGATCCATTTGGCGTCACCACTTCAAGACTTACGTTTCGTTTCAGCTGGCTTTTCCGTCGGGACGGCAGGCTCGGTCTTTGTCGCCCCGGACCGCAGCATCGGCTTTAGTCTCAGGCGAAGAAATGTCTGCCGCCGAATCAGCACCCGGGATATCTTTCGCCTCCTCGGAGCCCTCGGGTTTCGGTTCAGATGACTCTGCAGCGGTGTTTTCTGCTGGTTTATCTGTAGGTGGAGCCTCTATTACATTGCTAATTTTCCACTGTGCACATGGGGACAAGGAACATACCCGTCCTGGGTTCTGCAGTAGCCGCTGACTCGTCAGGCTTGGCTTCAGTAGTAGGTGCTGTCGTACTCCCCGCAGGCTTGTCTGCAGCTGGAGTAGATTCCGATATACTTTTAGCCGCCTTCTTCTTCCTACGAAAAATCGACTTGAGCTCCTCTTTCAGTTGTCGGAGTGCATTGGGTGCTGAAGACGCGAAGAATGATCAGAGACGCGTATGAAGTTCCACATCGAGGACAATACTCACGAACGCCGGGCATTATGAGTATAGAGAGAGAGAGAGAAAAAGTCCTCTGTTAGGTTATGCAGTGGGAGTCTGAGAAAATCAATAGTTGACGAGGATGGACGTCGGAAGAATCAATGCAGAATAGGAGAGCAGTTGTAGTGATAAACAAAGAATAACAATGGGAATTAACCCTCAGTAGGATACCGCACGTGACGGCGCTAATATGGCGCTGATCGTGTTTAATTTGCTGCTGTCACTGTCTTCTTTTCCCTTGGCGGTTATCATATACTCCGTATTGGCGGTGGCATTGGCAGCTAAACAGATCGAGTCCAATCTCATTCTGACTCGAGACTCTCTGTCATCTCCAAAGTGGGGACAATGCCGATCCTCAGGGTTTATGGTGTTTGGCGTCTGCAATGCCACCTCCAAGTCGTAGTACAACTCTGATGAAACCATGTTGTTGTTGATCGTGGCAGGATGCGTAGTGACATCACATTAGGTGTGCTACTATTGACTCTTGAAATATCTCTTTCTAGTTATAGGAGTTGAATTGAAGTTATGCCGGTATGGAGTCCCACCCGACCCACAGACTTTAAGTAGTGAGTTTTAACTCAGATCTAATTTTAGTATGGGTAACAAGGGCGGGATAAGTAACATCTTTATAGTGAAGAAACTACGATGTTCACCTCAGGCACATGTTATCGCGTGATTAACTTGGCTGACATAATAGAGATCCCCTCATTTTGCTCTTTATTAAGTTACACGACGAGCTGGCACCCGTGTATTATTCACAGATACACTCAACATAAGTATACCAGTTACCAGTCCCTTGAGACTAGCATGGTCTCACTTCCCGCTGTCCTCTTCTTGACCTCAGATCCCAACTACTCTCTTGCGCAGGATTAAAAGAGTCGAAAGATCGAGGTATCTCCAGATCCAGAGGAACCTGCCGCTGATATCCCCTCTCCTGCCAGCAGTACCGATCTCTTATCCTGGGACCTGGAAGTAATCCCACCCCCAAGTGAAGATATCGAACATTCTGAACATCAGGAGGGCTCATCTGAACGAGGCCCCCAACACAATCCCACTACTGTGGTACCGACATGAATGGCTGAACTGGTAGAATAAGGCTCGCAGAATCCTGGACATGACTGTCTACGAGGGTCTCTTTCACCCAAAAAAAAAAAAAAAAAAAAAAAAAACAGCGCCGGGAGAAGATGTCGACGAGACTGAAGCATGGCACCGCCGCCAGGAAATGGGTTGTGCAGCCACCCTGCGACGACCCCCTAGATACCCTCTAGAAACCTAATAGAATGTTAATGAGGTCTAGTAGAAAGCTATCGATATAAAAAGCCAATTGAGGTAGAATCTACGTAGCTAGTCTTTAGTAGATTTACTGACTTGATTCTCTCTAAATCAACTATTTTACCCAGGACTGGCCTCTGTCCATACAACGCAAGTAACGAAGGGGAAGACAGACGCAGCGTTCACAGCGTATCTTCTTGAATACCTCGGCCTATTCATGTGAAGACGAAATGCATCAATCCCTTCGTTTCAATTCCCATTCTCTATCCACAGTTATCCTACAGTCATGTAACCGCATTCAACCAGATTATTGATGTCCGGACTGCTCCTATTCCCCACAGCGGGGCAATTAACTACCGTGAGCTAGGTTAACTCTAATCGTACGGCCGTCAAGTCTACGAGATGACAACGCGATTAGGTGCCTTTTCCATTTCAAGATACGAACGTTGGATGGACTTACTCTGTTTGATCAAGCGTGCTCCTTGCTGCATCCGCCTCTGCGCCGCTGGAATATGTAACGAAGCCGAATCCTCTACTGCGACCCGTCTCGCGATCACGCATAACTACCTTAAGTGGATTTAGCACCGGGTGTTCATAGTTAAGTATCAGTGGATTCAGCTTACCGAGTCAAGAACGTGACCGCACCTAGAAAATACCTCTTGTAAGGATTCTTCTTTTGTAGACCAAGACAGGTTTCTGTATTTACATAAGCCATAATGTATCTGTTGCTAAGAGAAAAACCCTACCCGACGTAAAGCTTAGTTGACATGATGAGTGTGATAAGTAGATATATCTTTGTGATATGGAGGGAAACCGGATGGTAAAGAGTAGAATAGATATTAGGCATCAATCAATGTTGTGGCGGGAAGTCCGCATATTTATCTCCCTTGTTAAACCTTAATGTTGACGATATGATCATAGTCGGGCATCTATGCTTTTAGTAGTTCAGGGAATTTACCAGGCTAATTCATTAGCTTTGGTATTGTGTTTCAGTCCGGCGAACTTTTATCAAGCCATGCATGCGTGACTGGGTACAGAAACGGCCCAGCGCGAGATATCATAACACAAAGTGTGACTAATCAGGGTATGGGGTTCCAGCCTCTTACTGGAAGAATCAAAATGCGGAGCCAAAAACCATATCTTGTAGATCTTCTTGCCAAAATATTCTGCAAAACGATGCCTATGGTGACGTTTACATAAAGTCCGATGGTAACTGTGAGTTTGCCAGTAAATCCCCTAAGATCCAGGAATGAAGTCAGAAATATACATCGAGAGTTCAGATATCCACTAATTAAATGGATTGGTCTCCTGTTCTAGAAAATCATGCAGAAGTGGATGATAGAAGAGCTAGTCCGAAATTGGCTCTTCATATCACATTTAGTATATAGTGGGGCACTCTATACCGTACGTACAGCTTTTAAATGGATCACCGAGGAGATATTACCAACTAGTGCTATTAATTTACTTTGGACTTCAGTCTAGGGAAGGTTGTGTGTACCACCGTCCCGAATAATATAGATGGACATCGAGTGATATTCACCTATTTCGAAACGAGTGAAATGCACAGCTGAACTTGATTCAGTACACAAATCCAACAACAGAACGAGAACTTCACGCTTACCCCATCTGTGTCGTCAGCGTACCTTCTGCGGAAGCGCTTGTAGCCCCCAGAGGGTTGCCTGAAGACGTTTAATCGAGCGCAGTCGACGCCCCGGATTGCCCTTATCATAGCGTGCCTCGTTCCAAACAGGCAGGAACTGAGGGTCCAGTTGATCCGGCAGAAGCAACCCAGACTCCCCAACATACATAAGCAAGTGCATATACCACAGAAACCACACACTCTCGTACCCGGGAATCTCCGGGTTGGGATCCTGGTCCCGACAGACGAGGAAGATTAACGCCTCTACCAGCTTGGTGGGATGTGGCATCTTCACCGGATGAAGAGAATCGTAGTATCGACCACAACACGGTGGAAAGCCCTTTTTTTGTTCGCGCAGTCGGGGATCATTGCCCAATATGTAGTGTAAGCTATCGGCTTCGGGCTTCTCCGTAGGAAGGGTAGGATAGGCCCAGAGGATCTCGGACTGCTTGTATAACCTAAGAGGCCTATGGCGATCAAGATGCAGATGGGCTGCAGAGACCGGCTTGTTCGCGAAGCTTCGGTGCAGGATACAGCCGGGCCCAGCCTTGCAGTAGTGAAACCCAGCCGCTAGGAGAACCAAGACTGCCTTCTCATGCATGTCGTCAGAGACAACGAAATCAATGCTCTAGAGGCCTTGTTAGATAGTGTACTATAGGGGATAGGTAGTGGATGCTAGCTTACAAAGACCATCGATGGGTTTCCAAGTGCCCGCATCATATTCTCACCCCAGAGAACATAGGGAACATAGGCCTCATCAAGGAGACGTGCAGTGCAGATACTAATTTTTGGGTGATCTTCGTTTCCTCCACGCCTTTCCACCGGAAGCTAGACATGATTAAGGGCTCGAGAATTATTTCTGGTTCTTTGAGCATCTGATTGAATCGTTCATGATGGCAGGGAGGATTCCATTCGGTGTTTGTAGTTTGGATCTGAGGATGAGTTGCCCATTCTTGACTCTCTGGCCCTGTGTAAACGGATGATATAAAGACCTGGTTGTCCTTTATGATAATTTCTGTATCTACTTGTTGACCTTCTACCTGCCAGGGTTGTCTATCCGGCAATCCAGACATCGTATGGGCTTGGCTTTGTCTGTCCTGGTCCGTAACCACCGTTCTGATATCGCTATGCTGAGGTGATGGAAAGTCTGCAGGGCTCTGCTTCACGTCGTTGAAAGAGTCAAATAGCCCCTTGAGGGTCCCTGGACAGGGATATTTAAAATACATGATTCACTTATTGGCCAAAGTGTACCACGTAGAGACATTCACAGAATGAGATTCGATGTGGCAATTGGCAATTATAGCTTACCAACAAAGAAACTGAAGCTTTTGGAACAGGAATCAGTGGGCGTCAGGCTTGGCAAATTCATTCATGAATTATTTTCCTTGTTATAAATACTTCCCTATTTACATCTTCATGGCCAGGACAGCCTTAATATGAGAAACATAACATTCTCAGATATTTTGTCGACAGGAAGTGAGCGACATGGTCTTAAAGATGGTACCATAACAACAACAACATCAATAAAGAAGAAAATGAGAAATTCGTTATTCAGTTTGTCTTGTAAGTAATTTACATCGATTAGACCATTCAGAGAATGCACACAATACTCCGTAGTTGCTTCAGCGTACCTTTAAGGACCAGAAAGGTGACAATCACACAGCTTTTAATATGACAAATGGTTAACGATACTTTGCTGTATCATACTCTATAACCCAAGGCTGGAGTTTATACTCCGTAGTTTCTATGGCTTCTGGAACAAACGGACCAGTATACTTAATGGTTGGAAGCTTCTTCCTTCAGCGATGAGGAAAATTTCTTAATCTATATAGAGCATTAGGGGCAATGGTGTACCTTCGTCTTCTAATCACTCGACACAAGGATCCTGTGAAGCTTAACCTATTTGAGAGCAATTCCAAAGGATTTGATTGAGTTGGAAGTGGCGTATACTTCAGTGCGAAGTACACATGGGAAATTATATGAACCAGTCTATCTGCTTGGGCATACTCCGTATATAATGACAATCTATCCTGGGCAAAGAAAAAGACAAAAAAAAAAAATTAGCAACAAAAGTGACAGGGACTGTGTTTTGCCCAGCCCAATGCACACAGAGTGTGGAGTACATTCATAGATTGCCTTGCATTGTTGGCCGAACCATGGAAACGGTCTTTCCCCGCATTCGTTTGTGTTTATATCGCCTTAATTCTTCTCTTCTCTCTCTTAGGAGTTTTCTCCGTCCTTGAAACAACAGGGCAAGAAACAAAAAAAAAAAAAAAAAAAAAAGAGAGAGAGAGAGAGAGAGAGAGACAGAGAGAAATCATGGCAAGGTCCCACACCTGTTCGAATCGGAGGGAATCGCAACCCCCGGCTCTCGGCATCTCATATTGAGTCTGACTGATCTTAAATCTCCGACCCCAACTTCCCCACAGCTTTTCTTTCTCTTTCATCTCAGCCACGACACAACAATGCCTTCCGACCAACCTAGCATAGATCGTGGAGCAGACGTCTCTCGGGGAGCTCCTCTGTCGGAACAGACGCCGCTCCTTGGAGAGTCCAGCCAAATTTTCCCTACGCCGGAATCTCAGGTCCCCTTAGTCCAGGAACCCACAACAAGAGAGTTGTTAGTGGTTTTGGGGAGTATATGGATCGGAGTCTTCCTAGCGGCACTAGGTATAAGCAAATTGCGTTTCTGAGCCTAGAGAGAATGCTAATCGTGATAGACACGACGATCGTGGCAACCCTCACGGCACCCATCTCGTCCTCCTTCCACTCGCTCTCGCTGCTGTCATGGCTCGCCACGTCTTATCTGATCTCGAATGCTGCCTTCCAGCCCTTGAGTGGCCGATTGACCGACATATTTTCGCGACGGACGGGGCTTGTCTTTTCGAACGTTTTCTTTGCTGCAGGAAATATAATCTGCGGTCTTGCCCAAAGCGAATGGACCATTATACTGGGACGGGTGGTCGCGGGGGTTGGGGGCGGAGGGCTCTTGGCCATCTCAACGTTCATCACCTCCGACTTGGTTCCTCTCCGGAAACGGGGAGTTTGGCAGGGAATTGGCAACATCTGCTACGGAGCCGGAAGTGGTCTGGGCGGCGTATTTGGGGGATGGATTAACGATACCTTGGGATGGCGATGGGCCTTCTTAATCCAGGTACCCTTTGTCGTTGTGTCGTGTATTGTCGTCGCCGTCACAGTCAAGGTGCCAGTTAAAGAAACGGTAAAGGGCAGGTTAAACCGAGTTGATTTTCTTGGAGCCGTTACGTTGGTCATTACACTTGTCCTGCTTCTTCTAGGCCTTAACACGGGGGGCAACCAGGTTCCATGGACCCATCCCCTCATTCTCACAACCCTCCCACTGTCCGCGGTCTTCTTGGGCATCTTTATCTACGTTGAAGCGAACCTTGCGGCCGAGCCGGTCATCCCAGTCCGCCTACTGCTGAACCGCACAGTGTCTTCCGCCTGTCTTACCAATTGGTTCAGTACCATGGCGGTTTTTGGACTTCTCTTCTACCTCCCGATATTCTTTCAGGCCCAGGGCTTGTCGGCTACTGCGGCCGGTGTCAGACTGATTCCCCAAGCGATCGGAACCTCACTGGGATCCTTGGGATCAGGGCTCATGATGCGTGCCACCGGCCGTTACAGAGCGATGAACTATGTCTCTGTGGCTCTGTTAATCACCTCGGGGGTTCTGATCTGTACCCTCAACCTCACCACCCCTGCCCTGCTGCCTTTCGCCTACTTTTTCATACTGGGGGTCGCTTATGGTAGCATGCTCACCATTACTCTCGTAGCCCTGATTTCGGCTGTGGATCATGAGTATCATGCCGTCATCACGTCGGCATCCTACGCTTTCCGCAGCACCGGAAGTACGATCGGTATCACTATTGCGTCTGCGGTGTTTCAGAACCTATTGAAATCCGGCCTGTGGTCTCGGTTCGGCAACCGAGACGATGCTAAAAAACTGATCGGACGCATCAGAGATAGCTTGGACGAAATCTGGAAGCTGCCGGCGGATTGGAGACCAGGTGTGTTGGACGCATACATGGACTCTCTGCGAGCGACGTTCCTTACGTTACTTGGACTCAGCACTCTCGGAGCCTTGGTAAGCCTGGGGATGCGAGAGCATAAGCTGCATTCGAACCTGGCACGACAGGACCGGTAGACGAGATGGATATGGCGGAATTTCGACTAGACTATGTATGTACGTACGTACCTTAGCATTCCCTGGGTTCCAGCCATTTTCGGGTTGTCTTCATTGAACAGTTGTTTTCTAGTTCCCATGGCATGATAGATACAGCATTATGGTTACGGTATATATTCCTTAGATAAGATCCATGGAAAATTCTCCATTGCTGTCATGTGCCAGAAAATATGCCTGAGGTGTCTATCCCGTACTCCTCATGCAGCACACCTGGGCCAATCAGCGCCCGGCAGTCTGCGGCTAGTGCAGGATGATGATGACCTTGCGATGATCCATTCAGTCAATCGCCTCTTCCTTTTTATTTTCACCGCCGAAGGCTCTGCTAAAAGTACGGAGTACTCAGATACCACGCTCCATCTTTTCCCTTTTTGTATCCTTGCAGGCTTGTCTCTGGATAGACTAACCACGCCACATAATTTCCAGATCTTTCTTTCCTTTCTTTTCATCGGTCGGCGAAGCGGAGAGTTTCACATCCAAGCTTCGACAACCTGCTTTCGTTGAAATACGACCTGACTACGGAGTAGTACTCGGTACACCGCTTCCCTCCTCTCGATCATACCACTCATCGGCCAACACGTGCCGCATTTATATGCAGACCAGTTTCATGGATTGACTAGCGTGATTTGCTGTACTGGAGTTTCTTGGGCGCGCCTAAACCATACTTTCGACCCGAAACATTCATAACCGCTATCGATACCGGTCTCTTTCACTGATCTTTCTGTCCTGCGCTGGCTGCAGTTGATTATTCAGTGAGCAAAAGAAGGGCCGCGATTTACGATTCGCGACGCACCTTATAATTTGTCCTTTCTCCCGTATTCTTTTATTTCGTGACGGATTTCTTTCTTCCCTAGAATCCGACTGTGACTTCGGGTTGAAGTTGCCACAACCTGGTCGGTCCAGTAGGCTCGACACTTCCTATCCATTGTGGAATTTGGACATGGCAGTAGGATTCCCAACTGGAAACCCGATATCGAGTGGCGTCGCTACTTCTGCCTCAAAGGAGAGCTGGTCAAATGAAATGAACATTGATGGAGAGAATGACCCGAACTTGGTTGCAAATAGTGTCTCCCAAGTATCTTTACAGGATGCGGTAGAGCCAATCCGTCGCCGAAAACGCATCTTGCTTTCGACGGAGAGCGCTTTCGTGGGAAATGTTCTCCCCTCGCTAGTCCACCACCCTGGAGTTGAACTCCGACTGATTACTGATGAACCATCCGCTCTTCTCTCCGGGGCAAGCAAAGTCCCCCACTACATGGACACCGTAGACAGCCAAACATTTGAGAAAAAAACGGGCGCTCGGAAATGGTTGAGGGCCAAGGCTGCGGAGCTATGCCAATGGGCCGATATGCTTCTGGTCGCCCCCATGGATGCTGGTGCATTGGGCTCGATGTTGTCAGGTGTCACCAGCACATTAACGTTGGCGCTTCTCCGTGGCTGGATCCATACAAAACCAGTTGTGCTAATACCGGGCATGACAGTCTCCGAGTGGCACCACCCGCTAAGTAGGAGACAACTCCAAGAGGTCAACCAATTTTGGCCATGGATCAATGTTGTCGCACCTGTGTTAATGGAATCCAGTGGTCCGGAGGAGCTGGTTCAGTTACCTTGGCATGGTCTGAAAGAAACGCACGAAACGATCGAAAGGACTCTAGGGTTGTCTTTTTCACATTTTGATACGACTTCAAATTGTCCATCGGAAAATTGTTACGACGCCACCCCTTCAAGGGCGGCCACGTCTGGCAATAACGCGTTGACGGCGTTACGGCATCCTCCCTGTCATTCCAGGGACGAAAAGGGTGCACTTTCGTTACCCGTCGAGCTGTGGTTTAATATCTTTGAGGATCACCTACATGATTGGGAGATCGCCAAAGCTGTTGGCATTCCCACGAATCTGCAAGTACCAAAAGAGTGGCAGAGCCATCTCCTGAAAATGTCGACACCCGCATCCTTGGAGTACACGATACTCAGAGGGTCGTTTGCGGCGATCAAGAAGCGCATAGATAGTCTACCACGATGGAAGCCACTGTCCGATCTTGCTTGTCATCTCATTTCGAAGTTCTCGCGGACTGATATACTCTCATATCTCACGGAGAACCACCTTGACTTACTCTGGACGACTTCTCGCCTCACCAATCTCCCATATCGGGCCTCTGCGATCTACGGCAATCCCAATATTCTGACATGGTGGCGTGATGCACCCGCACTTCCCAACAAAGAATACATCGCAGATGCGATGGATGGAGCTTCTCGTGCCGGTTTTGTCAACGTCCTTGAATGGTGGAGAACATCCGGTCTTGAACTCCGGTATACGGAACGGGCACTCGAATCCGCCAGTGCGGAGGGTCGTGTTGAAGTTCTGGACTGGTGGAAGAAAGCTTCAGACAATGCACCCGCTTCGATTCCAATCCCCTTGAAAGTCGGCAAATCAGTCCTCCTCGCAGCGCAGTCCGGCCGCACGGAATCCCTTATCTGGTGGGACGCCTCAGGCATCCCATACAGCCACGCCGAGTCGGTGGCCCGGATTGCCAGCACGCACGGCCATGTCCACGTCCTCGACGTCTGGTATCAGCTGAAAGGCGCCAAAATGATCTTCGACTCCCAGGTCCTCGTCGGCCCCACCAAGAACGGACACGACAACGTTCTCGAATGGTGGCGACAAAGTGGCCTTCGCGTCGAGTTCAAAACATGCGATATCGAAGAAGCTTTGGAAGATGCAGACCCAGTCTCCGGCGCCGAAGGGCGTGTTCGACGATGGTGGGCTCGGAACGGCCTCAACCTTGGTGTTGGTACCAGTGAATGGATGAAAACAAAGGTGTTGTAGCGCGATGTATATACAACCTGTGAGAAGACTGTGTCGGGTTTAAATTATTCCGCTCCCCTCCTTCACCTCCATCCCTTACCTACTTCTCTCATTCTTTCCCCTGGTTCCAGGTAGAGCTGTGGCATATCCATGGAACCGTGTTGTCAATACTCATGAGTATTGAGGTCTGGTTGTACGGTGTATATTAGGGCGTAGTATTTGTTGATTTTCATGCATTGCAGAAGGGTCTCAGGTATGAAATGGATATATGTATGGTGTCATCATTCTGCTGGATGGGTATATAGGATTTATAGGCTAGTAATACAGGAAGGGTTCCCTGTTAGCGTTGTACGGACTGGACCACTGCCTAGTAGTATAGCACATTGCGTTGGGAAGGATTAGTTTACAAGTTACAATGTTGTCTCTGCTACGGTCTTAGTGTTCCCAATCTTAATATCGTATTGTCGCCCTCTTGTTAGTGCTCAATTAATAGTTAATCGTACAGTGCATGCTATCGCATTAAAAAATAACCAGTCCTCTCATCCGTTTCACCAGTTCCAGCTGTTATTGCTTATCATTTATCGTTGTAAAAGAAGAGAAGAAAAAAGAAATAGAAGAAAGTAGAGTGGGAACGCTAGTTAAATGTCAAATTCTCATGAGTAAGCGAAGTGGGATGAAAGCTTCAATTTATATAGAAACCTGGTCTTGTAAAATTAAATTTCTCTCCTAGTTGGGATTAGTTTGAATAAACCGAACAACAGTGTTGATAAATGTACATAGATCTCAAGTGTATACGTACCATGTGGGTTGGAATTTGTCAATGCCAGGAGTACGGATGGCATTTCGATCTCCGAACGGATTGTTCTCGTCATCGTCATCTTCGTCTGTTTCGGACTCGCTCTCACTGCTATAGACCCGTCGCTGTGGTTGTGAAGATGAAGATGGGACGCTTATGCTTGTCGGCCGTCGAGGCCGAGGAGGTTTGGGTGGGTTGATGACAAGTCCTGCAAAGGACTCGTTGACATCGTCACGGTCAGGGGTCCATCCTGTCTCAAGCACATCTTGGTCGCTGTCGCTATCATAATCCACGCTTTTGTCCAGGACCTCGAACGCCATAAGCGCAGTAACAAGTTCCTCGTTGGCGTGGATAAGGCTTCCGAGGAACTCCTCACTCTCCACATTTTGGATGTACCGAAGGATCTGACGTCTGAGTTGTTTGCAGGTTTCGAACCGATTGAGGACTTCCACATCTTCACTCACGCGGTGTGTTTCTCGGTTCACCAATTTGAGGGCGTTCAGGAGGTTGGTGCTGGCAACGGATGAAGAGGCTAGAGTTTGCAAAATTTCCGGCTTCTCCTTTTCCAAAATGAACGGTGCGCGAAACCTCTTCTCCTTCTTGTCCTTCTTATCTTTTTTGAGGGACTTGCTAGACGAATGTTTATGCTTGGGGCCACTGAGAATTGTGGATGGCCCATTACCAGCTGAAATAGACACCGTATGGCCCATGGGAGGCTCCTCGGAAGTGCCAGTCTCCCGTAGAACCTTTGCCTTGGCCTGGTTGGCCGGTTGCTTGCGCTTTGGTAATTGTCTGTAGAGGCCGGTAATACCTCCCATACCCGGTGTATCTTTGTAGGTCACTGCCCATTGTCCAAACAGTTGCTTGCATTTTTGTTTGACCATAGGATCGGAAACAGAATCTGTCGCGGCGATCCGTAAACGCTCGAGAAGCGGCTCATCTGCGAACTCACGTAGAAATCGGTCACCGGCGTTTTGGATCAGGAAGTCTAGGATCGTGAGGGCTCGTAATTGGCGATGGAGGTTTCCATATTTACTGGAATAGAGTTAGGAATATGGGGGCACTTCCAGGATCAAATGAGGGCCGTGGAACTGACAGCTTCTTGCGCAGAGCGCGACTTGCTTCGGTCGGGCCACTGCTCTGGATGGTTACGGCTTCTATGAGATCAACGATTCCACTGGAGTCATCAACCTCATACTGTTCACTGGTGAGGACTTCAATCTGCACGGTGACAGCCGAATATGGCTTCTGTACGAGATCTATGTCAGTTACAGATATATTGACACTGCTACCACGAAGTGAAGTCCCAAGAAAGTGTCTGCACACATGATGCGCATTTCCAACAAGTGTGCTCTCACTGGAACGGACTTACCGACGAGTGAAACATGATGATAGAAGGGTTATAGCCCAGGTATAATAATGTCAAATTTCAAGATACCGTATTTGACAGGAGCCCAAATGCAGTACGGAATTACCAGTGCCCCCGCATCCGTGTCAACAGTCTTCAATGAACGCCAGAGCGATGGCTTAAAACAGCGCACAAAAAGGAAGTTCCGCACAAGGAGAATATCTCGTGTAACCTCCCCTTCCACCTTGAGTGAATCTGACCGGTGTATCCTTTCGATAATCTATTAAAATCAATAAATCAAGTACAACAAGTAAACAAACTCCACGTCAGAACATAATATCACAGGAACAGCAGAGGATGGAGGAGCTATCGAAGAAATAAGAACCGGAGGGTGATGTGTACGACCCAGCTGGAGTAGGCGTTGCTTTGCCCTGGTTGTATTCAGCCCAACAAGCAACACCACCACTCCTTGGCAAGGGATAGTCTAGTGTTGAAATCAAGCCTGGGGATTGAGAGAAAGCAAAAGTTCCTGAAACGGACGTCATGCTTCACAGCCAATCTCGTGACTACCCCTCGCGGTTCGCCCAAAGGGGCTTAGAGCGGGAATCATGCGTTCCAGCCTTGGCGCCTACCGGCGACGCCACTCCTCTCAAATAAAAATGTCTTCCGGCAGAGCATTTTCTCGTAACTTGTTGGTTTTACTATATAAATGGCTTCTAATCCTAAGCATTACGTAGAGGTGCAAGTTATGCTTAGGTCTTGTACACATGGCCTGTGCAACTAGGCGTGCAGTGCAGGTATTGGTGCTTATAAAATAAAATTATATGAACTATTTATGGTATTATTAAGTTCTCTTCGTCTTCTTCCTCCCTATCCAAGTTAAATGGATTCCTTTGTTCTCATTCTACAGCTCCCAAGTTAATTAGATACTAAAAGGAACTAATCTAAACCTACTGATACCTTTTTCCAGTATCTATACCACTAACTGCCAGCTGCTTTATACCTTTCCCACTAGGGGAGTTACAGACCACTAAAGCTCATCTTGTACAGTGCGATACCCAACTAGACCCAGCTATTTACAGTTGGCGCAAGCACCGCCAAATGCGCCTGTTATATAGCCGTATTTAGCAAATAAATATGTACCACATAAAGCATAGTATCTCACACAAGGCACTGGCAGAATTGAAAAAGGTGGGGATTGGGGAGCCAAGCATGCTCCGCGAAAGAGGCCTCCAACGGCCAATTGCGTGTCCCAGTGGCAACAAACTCTTCGGGGAAATTGCAATGGCATGCCCCTGTCATGTTTTCTTGCAGACAGCTTGACTGACAAGCTGCAGGCATCTCGAGCACTCTATATACCAATGTGGCATATTACGACCGAGGATTGGAAGCTCTGGTCAAAAAGATCTGTCCAAGGTCAATCAACATCCTACGAGTGATGGACACCTCGAGGAAATGAGGGCGATCCCAATGCGCCTGTATTTGGGCGGTTGATGCGATTCTCATAAGCCGTGCCTCGCACGCATGTTGTGAGTGCCCAACATACATATCCAGAGACAGAGGGTGTGTGCTCACTGATGTCGTCACAGGAACGGGAAGACTCCGGTCGGACCCTGAGTTACAATTTCAAGCGCAACTTCACTTTTGCTCTGGCGTATGCAACTAGTCTCAGTGATACAGCAGATCAATGGGACAGGCTTGCCCTGAATAATTGGCAGATTGGCGCCAATACCGGCACGACAGCATCTCGTCTTCTTCAAAACTTCTACTAGGAATCCATGCTAATCATATGCGCAGTCATTGAAATGGATCCAGATGAGTATATATGGTGGCCTCTCCCGGAAGTTGTGGATTGGCACACGATGCTAGGCTCGAATTTGGGAGACACGAAGTAGAGAAATGGGGATCGAAATACCTCATGCAGCGGATGCAGCCCTGGGGCCAGACCTGAGGTAAGGGTAAACTACAGCACCCTGACAGAGGCATCAACGGCCCGACTGCAGAGTCAGTCATTTAGTGTTTCTTTGTGTTTTTAAGCCACATTCATTTCTTTCCTTGTGTTATAAAGTTGCTTTGGGGAAAGTAGTAGTCAGTTTAACCCTCCGGCATAGTTAGCCAATCGAGAGAAGAAGATAGACTGAAGGTGTAGGAATAACATTCTTGCTACTATTAATCACCACCACGAGCATACGGTGGTCCCCTAACACCCCCAGGAAGATAAGCAGAACCAAGTTCACCCCGTCCATTAGAGAAATCTTCCTTCCAACTCCCTTCCTCCACGCGCCATCAAAGTCATCATCCGCGCCATCGACCTCCGTCCGCCACTGCCGAACCACATTCCCACAATAGTCCAGAATAACATGCAATATCCCCCACCATCAAAAGCCGCCTCATCCTTCACAAAAAGATGAGCCGCCACACAAGCCGCATGATACTGACCATACCGTAGCAGCGGGTCCCTCGAACGCATCCTCGCTAGAAACTCTCTGACTTCCTCGGAATATCCATTCTCATCATTATTATCACCTTCCGCGTCCCGTTCTGCTTCCTCCACCTCCCTTAATATATCCGTGAGGATTTTCTACCGCCGCCCAACATGTGCCGTCCCACCTTCATTCGTAACATGTTCCAGGAAAAGTTCCAGCGCGCGGGAAAGACCCATACCCTTCTCCCTAAGGACTCTTTATCATCTAGGACAATCCCGCCTAGGCCGACGAATGCCTCCTCCTCCAGTGACCCCGAGCTATCTGCATACGGCCGTGGTGCTTCTGGTCGTGCGGGGCAGAGGATGTCTTCGATATGAGAGTCTGTGGGCTCGGGTGGGTTTTCTGTGCGGGAGTTGTAGGACTGGTTGACGAACCAACAACATCGCAATTTAGTAACTAACAGAGGAGGTATATGTCTACTGGGAGGGTTCCCCAGGGTGGAGGAGCTAGTAGTTCGCCGTCTGAGGGGTATGGTATTGGTTTGGCCTTGGATTCTGATGGGAATGGGAGGAAGGTGTGTGTAGAGGGGACGGAGAAATTATGAGATTGGAGGACCTGGGAAGCCAGTTGCATCAAAGTTGTATATATCTTGTACAATCCCACGCTGCGCAATAGTAATATTTACAAGATTAAATCACTCTTCAACAATCTTTGAATCTTCACATCTGGCATGTTGATAATTATATCTTCTGGAGTATCTTATTTGAGCTCATCACATCGTTTAATAAAATTGTATACACAATTTATACCAACTGTCTAGATAGGTATAGTACCACGATTGGAGAAAAGAATATCGGCTATTTCTTGTACACAAGATGGTCCGGAAGTTGCTCCACGTTGATCTAGGACGATTCCTCTTCATTTTGAGTCAATTTATGGAAGTTGGCGCATGTTTTGTGACGTGTAGATACACCGCGTAGTCGATCCTGCAGTTGAGGGTGGTATATTATATAGACGACCTGCTTGACGAATATTGCCGATTCACTTATTTTTTTTAAAGCAGATGTTGCTATAGTTTTCTTTTCTCTTGCTCCACTAAATCTTTTTAATTTATGCTCTTTTTTCGTGTCATCGTGGGTGGTTGAATTAAGTATTTGAGGAAGCCAAAGCACGGTAAGTGACCGGGTCGGGCCGGTTGTGGAGTACCTCCAATAGTTAAACCTCTGACTCTAATTATGTACATAGCCTATGTATTTATCCACTCCTCTGGTTCACTCTCTTGCTATCATTATTTCTTGTGGCACACACTTAATCCTACAGTCTTCCTGTCTTAATAACGTATTTTAATACAGCCTTGGCAACCTCCAGATTAGGTTTCTAAGCCGATGGATCACCGTCAACTGGTTTCCCATTAAAGGAGCTCGACTGATCGACCTCGCAACGCGTATGAGAGGTCACCGAACCTTGATTCTATTGCTTTGTCTGATATCATGAAGGAGTTGAACCGATTGTTTGCATTGAAAAAGGAAGTACTGCACCGTTTCTTTGCTTTTATTACAAGAACACATCTCACTATCTGATTTTTGGATGTTATGGAGATAGGTATTCTGTCAGGAGTGGTCAGTACGTAGTTATGCCAGCATAGATGCATCCTTTCGGTTGAGGGAGTCATACAGCTGCTTTAAATGTCGTCCAGTTAAGGCGGCATCTATGGAGCATGTAAATTTGCCCTTGCCTGCTCGGATGAACTGTTCGCTTTGTAAGTTTTGGATTTCACTGTCCGTCAGTCTCCATACAGCAGCCCATGTAGGGTGTTGGAGGGGGTATTAGGATCAGTTGTCTGGAGCACAGGCCGGTGTGGTTGCATCGTCCTTGCCCTTTATCCTGGGCGAATAACCATTCCATTAGGTCCGCTTATCCAGCGTGCGCCATATTGTGGGCCAGATATGTGATCTTTTCTAGGAGATCTGCCCACTTTGCAGGCGTGGCTTAGCCAGTGACTCTAACACAGCACGATTGCTTGTGATAATGCCTATTTAAATCCTGGTCGGTGGTATTGGAATCTTGAAAAGTATTCTATCATCTCTGCGTAATTGGTTGCCAAAAGGATGCGTTCGTGGCAGGGTATGACAATACAGTGGTGGAATATTTACTTCCAGTATCGGGCGCTTGGTAGAATTTTTGAAGGATTTTAAGTCGGTAATTGAACCAAGCATCTAGACACCCTTTCAAATTAAATAAACCGGCTCCTATGATGGGAAACCAGTAACTGCGGGCCACGCAGTTTTTACAGCCCACCTGACCCTGCTGCCGCTGGGATAGTGGAACAGACTGTAAAGTGGTAACCATAGAAAATGCGTGTCCCTTGGTAGGAATAAAGAACCGTCGAGAGGAAAACTCTTTGCCCTGCACCATCATTTACAGCATAAGTGAGTGCCTAGGATTAGCAAGTTTAGCCCGCTAAAATAGAGAACGACCATCCTATCAGGTAGCAATGGCCATAACTACATGCGATGACTCCAAATCCTATTATCTCGGCTTCCCGCACGCTTGGTTTCATGAATAATATATTATCATATACACTCGAGTTCTAATCCCTTTCCGGATTTGCCAGCCTCCCAGCAGCATTTGGTATACTTTTAGTCAACTTGTCCAGCTCTAGCCGGAAGTTTTTTGCTTGCAAGGTTAAATATGTGGCTCCTTGAACATCCTGCCGGACTTGGCTCACTTTATGCTCAAACGACCCCAGCGTCATCTTGACATCCGATATGTGCTTTTGGATGATCAAGGTGGTAGTTAGGACCCTAAATCTCCGGGGGCATGATATTTGCCCAGTCGCACCTCTGCTGGAATATTGTACCTGGATATGGACAGGCAACTCCATGAACGTAACCGGGATAGAACCATCTTGGCTAAGAAGAGCGCCTCGGTGTCGATTACACAAGATCGGTACCTGAGAAGGTTCTGAACGGAAGTTAGAATGCGCTGTGCATGTACTAAGACAGCGTCCAGCGATCGGGATTGCTTGGCTATGCGCGGAGCGTCTTTCAGCCTGCAGAAGTGCTTTGTTACTGTGGAGAAGCAGGTGCAGGATGTGTTGTTAGAAGAGAACGGCTTATACTGAGTGGATGGGGTGATATTGAGTCTATAGTGTCCGACACGTTGGTGCGATGGTGCCTTACAGTGAGGCATGGTAGGTTTGACTCGGATAAGGGTGTACTGTGATGAGGGGAGGTTACACATCTATAACCCTCCTGATCACTAGTATCCTCAGCCGACGCTGCTATATCCCAGTCTGAATATATACCTTGCATGTGAAGGGCCACTAGTTTCTGTTAATATCTGAAGAAGGTAACCAGCCGGATCTTTCACTCGCCTGCCGAGGGAGCTTCCGTCAGTAGGTAAGTATCCTTATATTTATCATTCCTGTTAGCTCGGGATAACGGTCGGGATTTTGATCCTTACATTCTTGGAAAGGTCCTCTGTAGCAGGCCCCATCCAGCCATCCAGCTGATCAAGCATATGATTGGGAAATATATACTCCTGAAACCCAAATAATCCAAAATCCCAGTGCGTTGGATCGTTACTATCAGCAGTTTCTCTGGTATCAGATGGCGGTTTGCGCAGCGCAAGCCTTGGTTCCATAATAAAGTTGGAGATAGGTTATGTGACAGCCGTGACCAATATGCAGCTCCCTGAACTTGACTTGGATGTGCCCGGTAGTGTGAGTGTTGCAGCTTGCGAGTTGTATGCTTTCTTCTCTTGAGCCTCTTTCATGCGTTGGAATCGGGCAATCGTCTTTTTGTTTATACTGCCTTCTGGTTTATCAAGTTTTGCCTTGTAGCTATAGCGACACTGTAGACCACTGACAGAGTTAAAAAATGATTTTCACTACCCCCCGCGGCGGCCACGCAGTTCAAAACTCACTCTTTTTGACACGGCGCACAGGGTGTACCTCCTGTGCAGCGTGCCTTAGCCACATGACAGCCATCGCAAGTGGTGCGAAGCTTCTGTTTGCATTGCCCACTGGAAGTTGCAATTCGGTGTTTATTGGTCTGGTTTTTGGCCTCGTTCTGACAGGGGTTTGCAGGTGAGTGCTGTAGCGTCTTATGAAGCATACAAATAATAGCAACATGGATGGCAAAAAGCAAGGTTAAGGGCAAGGGAGTTGGGAGTGATACAAAGCTATGTAACAGTATGAGGGGTTCCAAATTCTGCCATGTGATGTTTTCCCTATTATAGTGCGCCCATATAGTGACATATCTGTCCACTCTCCGGGCTCCTCTTACGGACGGTCAAGGGCATTTTTAGTGCTTGTCATCCTGGTTCCAGGGAATAAAGGTTTGCGTCATGTGGGAAGCGCGGTATTTTACCACGTGCCTATCATAATCGATTGTAATACTGTAGTATAAGGCTAGCAAATGTGTCCGTATCGAACAAATTTCTAGCCCATTCCACGGGGCTCCCTATTTCCGCTACTATAGGTACATGAAATATAAATATTTCAAAGTGCTCCTAGACCTCACATCATCCATGGTCATAGAACATTCCTTGAATTTAGGTTCATAGCCGGGCTGGCGAATAGACCGTATTACATTAAGGACATGCTCTGACATCTAGCCAAGAAGTACAGCGCTGCATGAAAACAGCGTCGGATCCTATAATTGTATATACACAAGACTGGACCATTATCCCTGAAGCGGCGTGCGAGTGACTCAAACCCGTAAACTGAGATTCGTGAGTTGTTGTCGAGAAAATTAAGACTCAACCAGCCTTTGTAGGAAAGTTGTAGAAATGGGGTGGTTCCAAGCTGTCTGGGTTTTCTACTTGATGAAAACTTAGTATTACATATGGGATATGAGGATCAGCTGTACCATTATATCGTCACTCTCTACCTATACAAAAAGCAGGGGCATACCAAAGTACCTCCTATGTAATCGTGGGATCTTTTAAATGGCTGCCAGTGGGATATCAATAAAATAGCCCCTGAGGTGGCGGGTGAGGAATTTGGCCTGCTAAATTGAGGCTTATAGGCATAATACCCACTGCAGCAAGATTCGATTTTCTTAGAATGTGTTTTACAATAGGCGATCCAGGCCAAGCCTCGGCACACTTGTTTTTTCACGACTACTTTGTTTGAAATCGGATATTACCGGGTCAAAGATTTGATCGGCTTTAGGCTGTGCCTAGGACTGCCGGAACTAGACAGTTAGAATCAAACCGTACATGTACATGTACATTAGGCTGTAACGATAAGATTGAACGATGTCGGTGGCGGGATCCGCAATGTGGTTGGAAATTGTGCCTTGTGAAACCCATTTTGTATGACCCATATAGGAGATTCTTGCCTACGCTAGAGCCTCTTCCATTGTCAACATCGTGGGATCTCGGCTGCTGGCTTCTTTGGATTTCTAGGAATGCCTTCTGTGGCTTAAAAGTATGGTGCAATATGGTATGTGGATAGGGGATGGGTTAGCTTATTGCTCTTGGGAGCAATATTGATCCTAGTGTTTTATATGCTGTCCTTAGAGAGTGTTTTTGGACGAGGGCACCTTTCCCGTGCCAAATTTCCTTGCCAATACCTCCAATCGACGCTGACAGCGTAGTGATCTGTCGCCTTTCATAGAATGATTCACACCGTGCATGCAGGATTTATACCCGTGTAGGTTGGGCGTGATTCGGGAGGAGCTGATCCGCAAGTGACAACCTGGTTTACTGGAGAATCTCTCATCGTGTTCCGGATAGTCTCCGGGTTGATCCCGGGCAATATCCAGCCTGGTTAAGAACCGTTGCCTGGAGAGCTTTCAAGAACACCGACCTTAGCGCAGTTGCATATTCCGCCTCCTGAGAATAACCCTACGGTAGCCAAATTAGAGATGACTGGAAGGAAGTCATGGCTGCCACCGTATCGATTGGGTAAACGGATTGGCCCCTGTGCAGACTTAAACCTCGTTCTACTTACGACAGCAGTTGTGAACTTCCTGGATCTCTTCCAACTTTTCATCGGTCCTCTTTGCACTGCCAGATATTGAACAGTCTCTGGGTTTCCACAGTAATAGTATTAATTGGGTGTTAATTGTTTACAATATCACGTTCGCTTCCTACCTCCTCATTGCCGGTACAACTACACTTGCTATATCCAATATCACCAATACAGCAGCACCAAACAAAGCAGCGTTGCTCACTGGCAGTGCTATATCTGGGATTGGGGCCGGGTTGACCGTACATCGTTCCTCGGACAATCTCCATGCTTCTGGTGACCATAATCATACTAAGAATATTTGGGTTCTAGTCCTCGAATGGACTTGCAATTCTCAACAATGCCTTTTCAGATGGCGAGGAACGCAACAAAGCCTTGGCTATATACACCGCGTGCGGCCCTTTCGGGTCGACTATCGGCACTGTAGTTGCATCTCTCCTTACATGTGATTCTCGGATTGAAGTGCATATCCTGGTATCGGACTGACGATTCATAGCGTCATCTGCGGGTTGGAGATCTATCTTCTGGGTGTGCCAAATAATGGCTGGCATGGCAACTATCTTAGCATTCCTGTTCCTACCACAATTTTCAAGCCTCAAGGACTTGCCTATCGATATTACAGGTTCCTTTATTTTCACGACAGGTGTTGCACTGTTGGTATACGGACTCAATGATAGCTCCAGAAGTGGGAGAAGTCCGCCACGGTGCTCGTTGGCATTATCTTGGGAGTCTGTTTGTTGGCCTTATTTATCTTCGTAGAACACCGAGTCTCTAATCCAGCGATCACTAGATACCTGTGGAAGTCTCTCTCTTTCTTGATAATGCTCATTGCCATCTTCGCATTTGGGGTAAGTTTTAGTACATGGTTCTTCATCTCCACACAGGTATGCGTCAATCTGCTGGGCTACACCACTGTTCTGACGGCGGTATTCTTCTTGGTATGAACCCCCCCCCCCCAAAAAATCTAATACATTGACTCGACCATGCTTCCTTCGCTGCCATCGGGAGTGGAGTCTTCGCCATGCTTATGATTCGTGTTGCAAGGGAGAAGAACATCCTGGTCGCGGATCTATCTATACCACAACTGGACCTGTCGCTTGGGCCTTTGCTACTCCGGACCGTGCCGGTGGAACCGGCCATGGAGAAGGTTATTGGTGCGCCCTTTTGGCGACGATTATCTTTGTCGTCGGGAGTCTTGTCACCTTGGTCCCGACTCAGAGTATCCTGCGACAGATGGAATGGGGAAATCATGCCGTGGCGGGCGCATTATTCAATACGGCGTATCAGGGCGGCGCTAGTGTGTACTGACGGGTGCCAATGCTTTGATGGAGAAGAGTTGTAAAACCGTGAACTACACCAGAGTCGTCACTTTTGATGGATATCGCAATGCCTTCTGGTTGCTGGCTTGGGCAGCAGTTGTTGTCGCTGCTTCCTATTGGCCTAAGCCTGGCGATCGATCGGTGCGGCTGGCGGAGGAGGCACAGCCTGAGGACATGGAATAGCCTGAGCTGGATAAAAGTGGTCCGAGAAAGGTTGGAAACATGGATAGAATGAATGAGAAACGGTGATCACTGTCTCTCGTTGTTGTAATAGATGTGATATCATCTCATTCTTGGGTGGAGAAGATGGGCACTTTGTTAGTGAGCTATCAGAGAGATCTACGATTAATATATAAAATACATGAATAGTACTGGTCTTTCTGAAATACCATTCGTTCTATCTGTCTAAGATACGTATATGGCACAAGCATCATTCATTGTATAAGACTCTCTACGTGGCGTCCGCGGGGTTTGAATCTGTATAAACTAAATAGTGTCAAGATATTGTTGGACACTTACTGCTGTACGGGCAGAAACCCTATAATAAATCTAAATTGTATAGCGGAAATAGATATTAATTACAGTGTAGATTTTCATCCTGTACGGCTAAGCTTTAAATATCTATTTACTAACCAAGGCTAGTTTGGTCCTAGAAAAATACATTTTCCCTGTTGTCTTTGTATATTTTGATGCCTACGGCCAACAGCATCAGGAGGGATTGTATAGTAAATAGAGAAAAGACGATTACTAACAGGAAAAGAAGTAACCTAGTTAGGCATAATAAAATTAGATACAGAGATTCGTACTGAGCAACTATATAAACCTGACTGCGTTTATAACAGTGCAAAAGCTCTCTACTCTACTCTTGACCATTCCCTTGTCTGCTCTGTTTAAAGTTGCTCAGGGGAAGGAATGCGTGGCAGAAGAACACTGTACCAACTACACGCCAATAACCTACTAAGGATCTGGAGGATAACAATATCAACTGTATTGCCTGCTTGCCCAACTATCCTCCCGCTCAATTACTAAAAGAATGGAGGCGATTCGGGGGGAATAGCTCGCCAAGGCGCTAGGAGCGATCAGATCCCCAATCCCGAATATTTCTCTATCACCCATCGTAGGTTCTACAGGCTCAGAACCTGACGGAGGGCTTATTAAAAGGCCGTCCTTTTGCAGTAGTTACATAAATTGCTCTTTTTTATCTAGTCCAGCCCGAAAAAAGAGCACTTGAATGCAAGCATGTAGATTTTATCCTGTCCTGCTTTTGAGCGCCCTATTATTGAAGACGAGTCTTTAATGTACGCTTGCCAACTTGAATATTATGCTTGTCCTTAATATAAATAGTAATAGTATCAACTGCTTCTTCTGTTTTATAAAGAGAAATAATATCAGCCTTGTATGGCTCAAATTAATGGATTTGCGACCCATAATACCCGGTCATCTAAGAGATCAAAAAAGGATAAGAAACAGACCTACCCTGTACACAGTAGATATATTATGCATGTCTATCATAATATACCTTAACTTTATGTAACTAGATTTAATAATAGGAAGGCGGTTGGAGGTGCAGTAAGAGGACTTGAAGGAAGATTGATTTTTGCGGAGTGGCATCAATAGTCGCCCGTAGGCGCCGCAATGCCTGAGGATTACGCCATTTGAATTGGCTTTGGGGGCATTTGCAGCTTCGAATCGTGACTCGGGACAACTTGTCTGCATTTTTTCTGCCAGTAAAAGTTCCTTGTCTATGTAGATAGGCAGTCTGACTGCCTCCCTCTCGCTGGCATAAATATATACATATAGATGAGTCCAGCAAAACCGGTAAATCGATTCTCAATTCGCCGGCCGCGTCTCTCAACAGTCCTCGTCTGCTCCACTCTGCTTCTGGGGTTCAGTATCGTCTTAAAAGCCCGCCATCTGACCCCGCTCTCCGACTTGTTTTCTCCCATTTCACGCTCCTATAACCAAGTCGCCGCCATGTCTTACCAGCAGGAGCGCTTTATCGCCGAACTCGCAGTCCAGCGAGCAACTCTTCTCACTCAGAAGGTGTTCAACGAGAAAGCCAAGGGCACCGTATCCAAGGATGACAAGTCGCCCGTCACCGTTGGCGACTTCGGAGCCCAGGCCTTGATCATCCAGGCTATTCGCAAAAACTTCCCCAATGACGAGATTGTCGCGGAAGAAGAGGCCAGTTCTCTCCGTGAAGACAAGGCGCTGAGCGCGGAGATTTGGAGATTGGCTCAGGACATCAAGCTGGAGGATAGCAAAAGCGACAGCCTCCTAGGAGGACCGTTACCAAGTGAAGAAAAAAATGCTAGACATTATCGATCAAGGCAAGAGCGTGGGCGGCGCAAAGGGCCGTGTCTGGGCTCTGGACCCCATTGACGGTACCAAAGGATTTCTGCGTGGCGGTCAATATGCTGTGTGTCTTGGGTTGATCGAGGATGGAGATGTCAAGGTGGGAGTGATTGGCTGCCCGAATCTACCTGTGGACAACTCAGCCACCATGTCTACTTCAATTGGTGTTGATCAGACTAGCGACGCTGGTAATGGCGTTCTCTTCTCCGCCATCAAGGGTGCAGGAGCCATCAGCCGTTCTCTATCAAACGGTGCTCTTGCTGAGAGCAAGTCGATTTCTATGGGTCCAGTCCCCAACATTTCCCAGGCCGTATTTTGCGAGGGTGTTGAGGCTGGCCATTCCGCCCAGGACGACAATGCTGCTGTCGCTCAGAGCCTGGGGATCACCTCACCAAGCGTGCGACTGGATTCTCAAGCCAAGTACTGCTCCATTGCCAGAGGAGCAGGTGATATTTATCTGCGACTACCGGTGAGGAAAGACTACCAGGAAAAGATTTGGGATCATGCTGCTGGGGATTTAATTGTGCGTGAGGCTGGCGGTCAAGTGACCGATATCTACGGTCAGAGATTGGACTTCAGCAAGGGTCGTACTTTGGCTGTCAACAAGGGTGTTGTTGCTGCCCCCGCGGTGATCCAAGACCAAGTTATCGACGCTGTGAAGCTCGTCCTGAAGCTATAGAGTAGCTGCCATAAAATATATTTATGATGAATACAACCCTTGTGATGAATTTGCTTCGTTTCTTTATTTCCAGAACAGTCACATGCTAGAGACGTCTAAAAGTACATGTTAAAAAGGAAGGGCAGACACAGATCGCGAACTAAGTGAAAAATGTCTGGGATATACATATACAGAAAACAGAAATTGATCCTCCCAACCACCTTATTAGCACCAATGTTTACCGGATCTTCTTGGCCTTCAATCTGATCGTTTCTCCGTTCACGAAGATGCCTTTGCCCTTGTATGGTTCCGGTCGCCTCCATTCCCGGATCTCCGCTGCGAACTTCGTGACCACACTCTTATCAATCCCTTCCAGCAGGATGCGGGTTGGCTGCGGGGTACTGGCCTTGACACCCCGTGGGATGCCCAATTCAATTGGGTGCGAATACCCAACCTTGAGAGAAACAAACTGCTGACCGGGGTATTCGGGCTCGACAGTAGTGGCTGTTGATTCGATGGTAGCTCTGTATCCGACACCAACGAGACTCAGAATACAAATATGACCCTCCGATACGCCAAGAATGTAGTTTTGTAGGTGTGCACGAGTAGTTCCTAGGAAATAAAATCGAGTATTAGAATTAGACATCTCTAGAAGGGAAACATTTTGTGAAATACCCACCCCACATGGCACGTTGATGTGCAATCGATGAGTCCTCTACAGTGAGGCTCGCTTTTCTCGAAGCATCATCATGTGCGACCTTTAGGAAGGGAGGAAGGTTCAGAGTCAATTCACCTATAATTCAGACAGATGGTTAGAGAGACAGCTTCCGGTACTGCATTCCAACATTCTAGCTTACCTAAGGGTCCCTTAACCTCAATTGCACTCTTCGGGCGTTCCTTTGCCTTTCCTCTCACTTCAGTCTGAGGGAGGTCAATGAATTTCAACGAAACTGAGGGAGGTATGGAGAGCGGAGCTCCGCCAACACGAGATTGCGTCGGTGACGTGGTAGAGAAACATTGTGTCTGTTGGAGAGAAAACGCAGGCGCAAGGAAAATAGGAAGAGACCCTTGTTTCCAGGGGCCTCGTGTAAGCTGTCTAAAGCAGCTCTGAGTCATGGAACATGACATGGTGATGATTAGTGAGGTTTGTTGCGTGGCGATGGCAGTTTGTACCTCCGCTTCCCGACTGATTTTGCTCCGAGATCCTGTCCTAAATGTGGTTAGTGTGTTATATCCACGTGACTGCCATTGTATAGATCCAGAAATGCCCACGACTTTTGCGATCAAGAACTCACTGTCAGAAAACTGAGATGCGTGATGACAGTGGTCGCCACATTGTGTCAGAGTAGGGAGGCTATTTGCTCCTAATGAGATGTATTAATCGTCACCACATCAACTTCACATCATGCTTCCCATCTATATCCTTTGTTGACGAGTATCCAAATGTCACTATAGTATTCCAGCCTTTCTGTCTACGTCTCAATTCAGAATTTATCTGGCCCACTCTCATTATTTCATCTCTGTTATATGGCCCTGCTTTATCACTTTTTCTTTTCGTCGATACACATGGTAATTGGTGTGAGACGACAGTGCTTGACACAGTGCTAATTCATTCTATTGCCTTTACTCCGATACCGACTACCAACATGACAATACCAATTTTGCTCACAGTCTTCCGTGCATCTCTTTTGATATATTGCCTGTTAATTCCACACTCTAACTGCTCTGAAGCAGCGAGAGGTACGTCATTTATGGGCCAGACTTGGAACTATAGTGCTGATGAAAATCCACAGGCAGCGTCCACCAATCGGACAGTCTAGTTGAAGATGTTGACCTTGTGACGTTCTTAAATTCAAAGACTCAACAACATGATGCTATATTCAAGGAAGCGGTTCAGCTACTAGAATCAATGAAGTCGTCACCCTCTTGTAACAGAGTAGCGGCCTCCAGACTTGTTACGTCCTGCCAGTCAGTTGGAGGAAGGGCTGCTAATATAGATATTGATATGTACTTGGCCTTAGAGCACATTAGATCATTATATGCTGCAAGGCTAGCTATCTGCGAACTCAATGAAGCCGGTGCATCTACTCCTCCGCCTTGTCTTCCGGTGACGATTTCACCACATCACAGAAAGGGAATATTTGGATTTTCTTCCAAATATAAGCCCGAGATTAACAATGCAGAAACCCTACCTAAGGAACTGCTTGCATCTTGCCTCAAGACACTAGAGTCGCGACCGCAATGGTGGACCTCCTATAGCAACAGTAGGCAGAATGCTGTGGTCATCTGCCAAGCCGCAAGAGTCGAAAATGAGAAGGAGGAGCTTCTGGAGCTGCATAAATCCATTCTTGAAAGCTCCATTAAGCTCAACAGCGGTCTCCAGGAAGCCTTGCGGATGGCTGCGGCCGAAACTGCACAGTATAAAGCGTTTATGCAAGCGGCCGAAACTTTCAAGGAAAAACTGGTAACAGAGTTTGACGAGACACAGTCTCGATTCAGAGAGACCTTTGAAATTCTTTTGCGTGACATAAGATTAGGTGTCAACTCGGCAATCACTGTCGTTTCCTCGGCCCTTGGCAGGGTCGATGATGAAGCCACCGTCCTAGAAAATGTGAGATCTTACTGCCCCATGGAAGTAAAGCTAATTTCAGTTAGAAAGTACTCAATATCTCCACCGAGGCTAGCCACCTACAGTGGATTCTGCAGACCCTTCATGATGAGGCGTTTGCTAGAAATGAGCAATTGAGGCACGCCTATCGACGGGATGCTCTGACACATCATGAGCTCTCTTCATCCCTTCAGTCTAAATTGGAAACACTTTTGCAAGTTGATATAATCAAGTTGCTTCACAATGTCGAGGCATTTGACGCTTCTATAGTAGGTCAAGTGTCGTCTTCTCAATCAGTGTTATTATCATGCTTAATATAGCAGGAATGGTTATCTGAAAGGATTGGGTTTATATTGCAGCAAGAGATGAGTGTCTCCGAGGTTTGTTGCATTTTCTCAATATTCTGAATGATCCTGATCCCTTGCAGGGTTTACGAAACTTCGAAATTTCCCTCGAAAAATCTCAACTGAATGCCTATAATCTGCAAAAAGTACAAGCAGAGCAATTTGAGACCTTCCAAATACAGTCTCAACTGCAGGAGAATTTGCAAACGAATATGCGAATTTCGCAGACTCTACTTGACAGAACTGCTGCGACTGCTGCCAACCTGCAAGCAATGATAGACGAAGCAGCAGCTCGATACAGAGAATCCAGTTCTCTGGGTGGCCTCTTTGGGACATATTCTTCATGGACAATATGTGGCCTTCTTCTAAGCATACTAGGTTCACAAAACCCAAAGATTGCTATTGTGATGCTTTTAATTGGTGCCTGTGAGAATTCCATCCTATTTTATTTGAAAATAATGCTAAGTTAGTATAACAGTGCATCTTGCAACACGACTTCTATGATATATCATTCTTTATGGGCCGTATGGCGATGACACACAATGGGGCTAAGTATTACGGCCCTTAGCCCATGCGTAATAATATTCCTTATTCTATATGTTTTAAATTAATTCATCCTTTTCACTCCAAGGATGCGGAAAGAATTTTCTATTTTTTTAAACAAAAAGTGTTTTATGCGTGTTTACTTGTTCTGTTTTAGACCTTTAAGATGGGTGGGCTTATTCTGTTTTATTTAATACTTATATGGGCTTTAGCAATAGTACTGTTGAACTGATTTTGTAACCCTTTTTCTAAGCAAAAGCTGATCAAGACTACTAATTTGCAAAATAATAAGGGCCTTAGCCGCGTCACCAGGTGCCTCTTGATGGCCTTCCTACCAGAGCCTAATAAGAGATAAATAATGCCTGATTCAAATCGCACTAGAAAGTAGGAATATATTAACGGCATTGTTTCGGTAGAGATGTGGCCAGGAGCAGGCAAACAGGAACATAATGTATTTTACGAGCCTCGGCTAGTATTGCTGAATATGCTTGTTATTTTACTGTGGGATTGGACACTTGCATAATATCTCGAAGCTCGAAATATTCCCGGCATCGGGACTAGCCGAGAATTTTGGCAGCCAAGGTAGTTGACGACCTCGCAATCGTTTTGCAACTGCCGATTCTCAAATCTTTACTAAACTTAATTATTTTGATTGTGGGGAAGTCTCTGGGGACAAATCATATCAACAGAGTTTCCATCCTTCATTGCCACGTTTCCTCCACAAATGACGATCGCCGTGGCCTTTTCGGTCAGAGTTTCATCTTGCGGGGCGAATTACGCATTCTCCAGGCGCCACAGCTAATCAGGTCTGTCGAAGCTTCTTTATGGCCCTATCTCCAATAGCAATTCTCTCGGCATATCTCTGGAACATGCATGGAATATAATACTCACCGGCGATTTCCTTAGGCCACCCCTCATGTAAGCCAAGTGGCTATATAGATGAGATTGGGTCCTCTGTTGGCAAGAACCAGAATGCCGGTCCAAGGCCGTTTAATCTATTACAATGACTCCCCTCCATATTATATTGCCAATAATTTCCTTTGGTTCAGCAGCCTTTGCCCATGAAGACCCATTCAAATACCAATGCTTGAGCTTCGCAGACAAGATTCATCTGCCTAACGTGCAGGTGAATTTTGTTAACTATGTCCCGAGGAACACGAACCTTTCTCTAGCAGACAGCCCCCCAAGCTGCGGCGAATCTTCTCAGTCTGTACTTGCAGATATTTGCCGCATTGCTCTTACTGTCACGACTTCGAACAGCAGTGAAATCACCATGGAGGCTTGGTTTCCACGAAACTACACTGGTCGTTTCCTGAGTACCGGCAATGGAGGGCTCGGTGGTTGTATGGCTCTCTACCCAGCTGGGTCTGAGATTGGTTACTGATCTGTCCTAGGTATCCAGTACTATGACGTTGCATACGCATCGGGACTGGGCTTTGCAACGGTTGGCGCCAATAATGGCCATAATGGATCATCCGGTGAACCCTTTTATCGGCACCCTGAGGTTGTCGAAGACTTTGCTTATCGGTCGATTCACACTGGAGTCGTGGTGGGAAAGGAACTCACGAAGTTATTTTATGAGCAAGGTTTTAATAAATCCTACTATTTGGGCTGCTCTACAGGCGGCCGCCAGGGTTTCAAATCTCTCCAGAAGTACCCCAATGACTTTGATGGCGTTGTTGCAGGTGCTCCCGCATTAAATTTCATCAACCTGCTGTCGTGGAGCGCTCACTTCTATTCGCTTACTGGACCACCCTCTTCGGACACCTATCTATCACCTGCTCTGTGGAAAGTAGTTCATGATGAGATCTTGCGACAATGTGACGGAATGGATGGAGCAGTAGATGGTATTATCGAAGACACAGATCTCTGCCACCCGATCATGGAGACTATCATTTGTAAGCCTGGATCATCCTCGAACAGATGTATCACCGGTACACAGGCAAGAACCGTACGAAACGTCTTGTCGCCGCTGTATGGGGTGAATGGAACACTATTGTACCCTCGCATGCAGCCTGGGTCTGAGATGCTCGCTAGGTTCATGATGTACAACGGCAAACCGTTTCCCTACAGCGAAGATTGGTACCGCTATGTTGTTTACAATAACCCCAACTGGGATGCCACCACTTTTAATGTCCAGGATGCTGCTATTGCCCTTGAGCAAAACCCATTCAACATTCAGACCTGGGAAGCGGATCTCTCACCGTTCCGCGACGCTGGTGGCAAGGTCCTGACCTACCATGGCCTTCAAGACCAGCTCATCAGCTCCGATAACTCCAAGTTGTACTACGCACGAGTGGCCGAAACAATGAATCTTGGCCCGGATCAATTGGACGAGTTCTATCGGTTTTTCCAGGTTAGTGGAATGGCACACTGTGGGCAAGGTGATGGTGCATACGGTATCGGGAACGGTTTAAGGACATACAATGGGAATGACCCAGAGAACAATGTTCTAATGGCCACAGTTCAATGGGTAGAAAAGGGAATTGCTCCCGATTATATTCGCGGTGCAAAATTCGCCGATGGTGCTGGTAGCACTGTGGAGTATACTCGCAAGCATTGCAGGTATCCACGGAGAAACGTCTTCAAGGGCCCAGGGAACTACACGAACGAGAGTGCATGGCTCTGTGTTTAACCATATTCTCCAGTGAGCCCTGTATTTCTTCTCTCATAAATGTGTTTGAATTCTGTTCTTTAATAAAACTTGCTCTCGGTAAATCTAGCGGGAGAGGGGCAAAATCGCTCCAGAAATTCTCTATAAATGCATCACCATCAGCGTCACCTCATCATCATAACATGGTATAGCTCGGGACAGCATACAGAATATAATTCTCCCGGATTATCACCCCAGGGTTGTCTATCTCAGACTCTCTAATATTATGGTTCAAGCTTTTTCTAGAAGTTGGGTTCATCGGTCCTTCCTTTTCTGTGGAATCATGATCCCCTACGTAGTACTTACCTATGCTTACCTATGTTGTTGAACTCTGCTGAAAGGACCCAAAGATCCGATCTACTCCATCTCTGGCTTCCCATAAAACTACCAACTCATCTGTATTTCTTTCCCCCGCTTTCGCCGAGTGTATTCTTATCCAACCGTGGTTCTTTGTGACAGATCTCCCAAGCTTTTCTTCCTTGGTTCTCAGTTGCTGATCCCGCTTTAATGAGTATGTCGGCATTCACGGACGTATCTATTGCTCCCTATTCCCAGAGACCTAATTTAGAATTAAGTATTCGCCAGCAACCCGCTCGGGCACTTGTCGCTACTGGGAAGCGGAAGGAGGGCAAGACAGTCGATCCCCCGCCGATTGTGGAAGTCCGGTTAAGAGAGACAGGGACCGATCTCTCGGAGCACTATCTATTAAGTCCCTACTATTTTATGTGCTGCAGCCTCTATAAGGTCTCAGAAGACAGCCAAGTCGCCCCTGTACCACCGTCCACGACTTTGGCCGGCACTCTAGTTTCCTCACTTTACCGGATAAGGGACGTGGACAATAGCAATAGAGGGTATTTTGTCTTTGGAGATTTATCGGTGCAGATTAAGGGCAACTTTCGGTTAAAGTTCACACTCTTTGAGATCCAGGGGGATACTGCGCATTATTTACAGTCTATTTTTTCGGCTCCCTTTGATGTGTCGCCCCCAAGGAAGTTCCCTGGAATGGTAGGATCGACGCTTTTGACCAGATCTTTTGTAGATCAGGGCGTGAAGTTGAGACTCCGAAAAAGGCCCAGAGTTAATCCTCAGACGTCGCCGTCTTCTTCTCGCTACCCAGATGGCACCGGGGTCCAAACGCCTTTCCCGGCGTTTAGTGGCAGTCTCCACTGGATATGGGAATATGGGGACTCTGGAGGACCAAATAAACGTCAACGCACGACGGTTGATTGTGGCAGTGGCAAGTATGATGCTGGTGGACAAATGTGTCAGATGGAAGCGCACCCGCAGGACGACCATGTACAGTACTATTCTTACGGAACGACCAATAGTATGGACGTCTAATCGACTAGAGGATACGAGAATCACTAATGGAGATGTCCGCATTTAGCGATGATTCTTTTGCTCTTCAAGTAGAACTTCAACTTAAATACTGACTTGTAGATGGATAAACGAACCGTAATCCAATTAGGCACGAATGGAGCGGCGCCGATGGCAGAAAAGAGCGGTGGGAAGTGGCAGAAAAGCACCCGCGGATCGGCGCCGTTCATTCTTCCTCGTCTAGAGATACGCAGGTAAAAGCTCCCCCTGTTGGTTGGTCGAACACATTGCTGTCTCGCAGGGGAACAAGGAACGTGAACGGTACGTGGTAGAATCCCTGATCCCGAAGCTGCACACTCTAGCTGTCCTCTCTCCCCCAGCGCAGAAGAGAGATAGATCCTTGGCCAGACCGCCTTGGAAGCTGGACGTTGTACTCTGTATGGGGTTGTCAAAGTGCATCTAGACGGTGGATTTTGTCTTACTCTGGGGTTTGCGAGCGGCTTGCATGACGCTGTTGGCACACATAGTCTATTTGTCTGTCCTGGACACAGTTTGACTGTCAATTTAGATGTACTGATGTCTCACCAAACGAAAAGCTGACTGAGTTGCGCTAGTGCTGATCGTTCATCCCTCATTTACTCCAACCCCCGGAAGATTGCTTTTATTGGCTCTATCGCCGGCGCGTTATAGTCGCATCGGTTCCGCGACTACAGAACCATCTATAACACCTGTATCCGTGAATTGACGTGTGAAAATGGCCGAACCCGCCACCGACGCCCCTGCTGTGGAAGAGTTCGCTCAAACGCGCGGTGGTGACGATCTGTTTGACGACGAGATTATCCCTGTCTCTGCAGAGGTACATGCCCAGCCAGAGGTGCAAGTAACCGAGGAAACTGTCGCCCCGGTCGATAGCGATCCGCAACCTGCCCGTGTTGACACTCCGTCGCGCGTGCGTGGAGGAGACAGACGTGGAAGAGGTCGAGGCAGGGGACGTGGCAGGCGAGGGTCGCAGAATTCAAGCCAAAGACGCTCTGATGGAGCCCAAAGGCCGAAGTCTGCAGATACTGCCCCCCAGTTGGAGAATAAAGGTCTGGAAAGCTCTATACACAATCCGGCCAATGACAACGCGGACCAGTCAAACCATGATGATCACGCCACATCCGATACCAAGCCATCTGTGGGAGCCGATGCCCCGAAAGTACCAGCAGTGCGTGGAGATCGGAGTGCTACCGGTGGACTCAAAAAGGTATATTAGGCCCTTTATCCAGCGGAGAACTGTAGTCGGCTAACAGCTTGTCACTAGCCAAAACTCACCGAAGAAGAACTCTCCCGGCGCATTGCGGCTGCCAAGGAGAATGCTGCGAAGAAAGCCGCCGCTCACGCCCGTGCCGAAGCCGACCAAGCATCGTTCTTAGAACGTGAGAAAGTTGCTGAGGTGAAGCGACAGCAGGAACGCCAAAACCGTCGTGTGATGGACTCAGAGAGAGAACGAAACCGCCAGCGGAAATTGCAGGCCTTGAATGGGAGAGAGTGGGACATGCAAAAACAAGATGACATGGACAGCCCACGCGGCGCCAGAGGTCGATTCCGAGGCATGCACGGCGGTGTCTCTGGATACGCTAGACGAGACTTTGGAGGATTGCCAGCGGATGATGAAATGGCTGACAATGCCCCTCATTACGACAGCAATAACCACTATCGTGGCCGAGGACGCAGCGGAAGAGGCGGCCGAGGACGGGGAAATGGCCGTGGACCGCGTGCAGGAGACCCTACCGTGGGCGGTGCATCGGATCATTCCGCTACAACTGAACAGAAGCCTGCCCCAACTCCGCCAGTGATCAACGACGAAGCCGATTTCCCTGCCCTCCCTATCAGCGAGAAGAAGAACAGTCCCTCTGGAGTCACCGAAGCCGCCAATATCGAATCAAGCATATCGCCCTTGTCAGCAACAGGAGCCTCCTGGGCGGAACAAGTTGAATCTTCCCGAGAATGACTGAGCACAGAAACCCAAGATCGATTCGATAACTAAGCTGAAAGGCGTTGCTATTTAATTTTTTTATTTACTTTTTACCTTTTTTATTTTGACGTCCAACTTATTCCTACATGATGAACCTTTGGCCCTTGATCCTATTATGACGAATCCCGATTATTCCCTGCAGTTGGAACTATGACAAACATTATGTACATATATCCGACTCTAGATAGTAATGTGCGATACTTGTACCGCTGTCCAGCAACTTTCCCACTGTTGAATCTCAGGTGTTCCTGATTGGGGATGACTAAGCCCATGTTGTTCATCATGATATCACCGCATGAGACAGCCATAAAAAACCATCGATATACTAACCTCAGAGAGGCAAATAGACAAATGCAGAAAGAGAGCATAAAATGTCTACCCAGCAGCACAGGGACAGCGTCAGCGACAGACCAGGAAACCAAGGAACAGGCCATGTATCAGTCCGTCTACCTTGATCCTCCTTACCTACTTAGAACCTTTCATTATTTCCTGAAGTTCAAGAAGCCATATAATCTATGTGTTATTACATTATGGAATATGGAATATAAATACGTAATACTAACAAATAATAGACGCAAACTCCCAAAGAAACAGAATGTGAATTCCTCAGTCTGAGCCAGCAAAAGCGCATCGGAGAGGAAAATTATCAGAAACGAGCAGGTCTACCGTCCCCCGATTTGGAGGATCGGAGCTTTATGGAGACGAAACCTGGGGGATCGGATACCTTGCCTGGATGGAAAAAGGTGAAGGATGTAGTTGGAAATATGTATGTTATTTCTTTTTTTGTCTTCACGCTATTCTTTCCTTTCCATTTCCTTTTCTGTGTTCTTTCTCGGGATGGCTTTGTGAATCGAGTGGTGTGATTGCTGATAGTGGGATCTAGGTTTGGATAACTTTGTGATGTACCATTTTTTTTTTTGTTTATCATGAGTCAAGGGAGGGTATATGAATATGGGTAGAATGCAAATATGGATATAGGGACAACCAGTTGGAGGATTGTTGCGATTTATTGTATACGATCAAGTTCATCTGGATGGGATGTCTGATTAGAACCTGTAAACAGAGGCATTCATGCTGAAAATTGCTCACTACAGCTGAGATATATATTAAACGCAGGATGAAATTATATACATGCCAATATCAACTCCCAGGCACTCATAGAATCCCAAGTAGTCTACTCCACTTTCGCCCGTTTCCCGCTGATCCGATCTCGCAAGGCGACCACCTTTCCCGCCAGCCGGCCTTTGAAAGTCTGCGCCGTGATGGCGGAAGCCTCATCGGCCGTGACAAAGCGGCGAACTAGGAGGTTGAAAATGCTGCCAAAGGCAAGAGCAATGACAGTGCTGGTGAGGATAATCACATTGTATGGCATGCTGAAGTCAGGGGTGGGCAGAGGCAGAAGAAGGCTGGTCGTGCGGATGTAAATAGGATGGCCTTGACGATCGGGGGCGCTCAGTTTAATCACCGCCGGCGCTACGCTGAAGCCGCGGTTGGCGTCAGGCGGATACTCGGTGTATCGCAGGATCGATTTTTCAAAATCGTACGTTAGAGTCACCGTCGATGCAGCGGGTACCGTCAGAGCGAGTTCCAGCTGCGTGCCGCGTTCTCGGTCAATTGCGGGCCGATAGAAGGCCTCTTTGACAATGTCCGAGACGGGAATTTGCCGGCGGACTCCGTCACGGCCGCTGATCGTGGCCTGCAGTGTGTGGATGTAAGGTCGCAGGAACCATGGTAGAGTCTCGAAATAGATAAAATCGACCGCGTCGGTATCCGATGGGTTGTCGAAAATGTTCCGCATGCCACCCCGTTCCTGACCGTGTCCGACAATCGTCCGTTCCGCGCGCAAGATGGGTTCGTCCAGAGGCACCTGAATTGTCGACTCCTGTTCTGGAACTGTTATATCAAACGGGATGGAAGGATGCAAGTTGAAACAACGCGTGAAGCCATCGGGCTTCTTGGATTCCATTGTCCCGGGGGAAATCCAAACTCCTCGCTCGTGCGGTACTCGCAAGCATACCGTTTCTTCACCACCTATGACCTCGGTTAGGGGACACACGCCATTGATACTGCGCCCGAAGATCTCCGACAAGCTCCAACCTTTTTCAGATGTTTGTTCTAAAGGATAGCACGTCTCATCTGAATGGTAGGGCTTGGACGTGTCGCACACAAGCTGGTCTGGAAGAACTGGTCGGGGTATTGGATCATCTAGAATCGTCAGTAGACATATTGGCTACATTATGTGCAAAACCCACCACGTGTTCGCTTCGATCGGTCAATATCAAGGGCGATATCTACGGACTGCTCAATTTGTACAAGACATTCACCCGGCGCCGGGCAGAGCGGACGCACATCAACTGACATGCTTTGCCAAGAGGCATCAAACAGCTTGTGCCCGTCGAACAGGCTGGATATGCCAGCCTTACCCTTACAGGGCATGAGCTTCAAAAATGGCGTCAGATTCTCCGTACAAACCACTTCACCGGGAAGCGTGCCATGCAGCAGATGGAGATTTCTGGATGCAGAGTGATCTCCAGTGGGCTGAAACGATGTAACCGGCCGTGTAGTTCGGGTTGAGTCAATGAAATTCAGTGAGGCGCAGAATAGACCTGACAACGACTGAGTCAGGCTGATCCACCTGGAAAACGCTCTGGAATAACGTTAGCACCAACTTTCCATAACTTTTAAAATATGACCACATACTCCTGCTCATCGATCGCATCAATCCAGGCCCACAGTTCTACGCCTGTGCCGCCCTCTTTGGTTCCATTCCACGGGAGCGATCCCCAGCTCTCAGCATCCCATCTTCCTGTCGTAAATCGGAGGTGAAGCTCGTCGGTGTGGGCGTGCTGTAAGATCTGACCTAGCGCCCGCGGAAAGTATCGAAAATTCCGTTCGTCGAAGGACTCCTTTGACGCATTGCTTCGGAAATTGAAGGACGCCAGCAATGACGATTGCGGCAGTTGCTGGAGGACGAGGCTTTCGTGGTAGTCCGATGTCGCGGAGGTGAGTGAAGACAACGCGCCGAGGAAAAGCAAAGGCAAAGAGAAGGCAACCATCACGTCATTCTTACCAGTAGAACCCCTCTCAGAACTGCCTAACTCTTGCACTTGCAGTTGGTGCCGTTGTGAGAAGGTTGATCGAGGAAGTGCCTAAAGGGGAGAGAGCTCACATAAGCGCAGCCGCTGTTAGCGCCACTCCTAGAAGAATCCGGACATCCTTCGGCGCATCTTCAAGCTGTAATCCTCCAATTCGCCTCGCGCCCCAGCTCGCCCTTGCTCTCCTTGATAACCTCTCGTTTCGTCTCTAGTATCGTATCATGGCGGCCGAACAGAGAAAGCTGCTCGAGCAGCTTATGGGAGGTAAATTCCACCCTTTCCACCCACGCTTTCCTTCAAAAACCTCCAGCTAACTCGAAAATCTTTCTAACAGCGGACCAGCTCATAGGGACTGGCGCCTCCTCTCGTAACGCTCAACTCTCCATCACAGACTCCAAAGTCTGTCGCTCCTATCTCGTGGGGACTTGTCCGCATGATCTCTTCACCAATACCAAGCAGGATCTCGGCCCCTGTCCTAAAGTTCACAGTGAAGGATTGAAAACCGAGTACGAGACCGCTTCGGCGGCGGAGAAGGGGAAATGGGGATTCGATTATGACTATATGCGAGACATGCAGAAATACATCGATGACTGTGATCGGAGAATCGACACGGCACAACGTCGTTTGGAGAAGACTCCAGATGAAATCCGACAGACCAATAACCTGGTGAGTTTAAGTGCTATCATACCCCCCCCTTCCAAATACTACTAGGGAGCATCAAGAAAATGATGACTGAACGTCGGTAGTTGAAACAAATCTCCGACTTGACGAAGACGATCAATTCCGGCCTGCTCGAGGTCTCGGTTCTGGGCGAAACCGGTTCCGTCGCGCAGTCGCTCAACGAATTACACAAGATCCGCACCGCCAAGCACCAGAAGGAGACGTGTGAGCGCGAATTGAAGAACCTTCAAGATACATCTGGTCCGTCGGGTCATCAGAAGCTTCAGGTCTGTGATGTCTGTGGTGCGTATCTGAGTCGACTCGATAACGACCGTCGATTGGCCGACCATTTTTTCGGAAAGATGCACATGGGATACTCGGACATGCGTAAGACGTTCAAGAAGCTCAGCGAGGAGATGAAGGGGCGACCGCCACCGGTTCGTCACCACGACGATGACGACGGTGGTTGGGGTGGACGCTCCGGTGGTGGAAGAGGCCCCCGATATGGCGGTGGTGGAGGATACAAAAAACGTGGCGGTCGGTGGTGATGATGGTTTCATACTGTTTGTGTCCCTCCATATTGTATCTGGATATGCATAGCGCAGGCGTTATTATCTTCATTATGTCTAGGAAGTTATGAGTAGCAATATGTGACAATAAAGTAAGTATTATTCTTTTAGGTCTACGTTAATTTACTATCAGACCAACGGAAAAATAATTTAGGGAGTAGTAAAAATCAATGGCATTAATCCACGAAACTGACACCATATAGGACTGCATTCCAGGTAGATCAGGAATAGGGAAATCATCCAGTACACCGAGTAACATCGAAGAAAAAATAAGAACAAATTAAAGAACACATAGAACTTAGTCACAAACATATCCCATAATCACGCAATGCCCTTTTTTGCCCTCCCAAAGATAACAGCAGAACAGAATAGACACCAAGCCCAAAAAATCCCTCCGGAATAACAGACCTGAGAATTACTGTACAAAGTCATGTACGATCAATTTCATCTTGCATTCTATTGTGGCACACCGTTCCCATTAGTGGTGGTGGCCTGGAATAGCTCCCGCATCAACAACTCATAATCCGAGGCTGCCTCTGGTCGTCGCCACAGAATGTCACGAACGACACTTAGTTGAGTCACGTCCGCATTGGGCGCTTGCTGTAGAAGCTGATGGATCGCCGGTGCACTAGAGTGGGCGCCTAATACCTGCACAGCAGCCGCGACGCCGGTAAGGGGCGCTTGATTCTGAGGAGTGGGAGTTTGATATGGGTATTGCGATGCTGACTGGGGTTGATGAGCGTATGGGGTCGATGTTTGGGAGGTGCCATCATACGAGGACGGCGTTCCTGTTATTTGAGAAGCAGCTGGTGGTTTAGGGGTAGAAAGCTGCGTGTGATGAGGCGTCGGCGCACCAACCGTCACTGGACTAGCTAAACTTGCAGGCTCCTGGCTGGGATGATGCGACGGAGGCTGTACGGATGGAGGGTTGGAATCGCCCGTCTTGACCGCAAAGACCACAAGAAGAACACGTTCTGGGGTGGGATCCTCAAGGGAGTTATTCTCCAAGAGCTCGATAAACTCCGGTTTTTTGGTGGACTGCGCCTCAATGGGAATGAGATATGTGTCTTTGACCGCCGGCAATGGGTGTTTCCCGACCACGCCGTATCTCTTGCGATCTTGGAAATAGTTGAAGAGCTTGTCAAACCCAGCGCGCTCTCTCGGTGAATCTGGGCAGCTGATGGAGATGACCGTCACATCGGTGGAGGAGCTGAACCGAAGACCGCAGAGATAGTTGCTGGCCAGCTGGATATCGATCCGTCCGTCAATCACCAACGTCGAAGGAACCAGCTGGCTCCATGGTATCCTGCCGCTCAAGTCGGCTCCACCAATATGCTTTGCAGAGGACGAGAATTCGGCAATCGGGTTCATGACCACCTTGCCACGCCAGATGCTGGCCTCGTCATGGTACTCCTTAGGCGAATAAGGGGGAGATTCAGGCTCGTCGTCCCTCAGGAGCTGGTCGATTTCTGCATCGGCCTGGACCTTGCCAGTGGGCAGTGGCTCGCGGATATGCGTGGCCATTTCTGGGAACACCTGCTCATGGCTGGTGCCTCCAGGAGAGTGGCCTCTCTGGGGGAAATGTTCGTCGTGCGTCGACTTCGAATCCGCTGGAAGGGGTTTTCCTGGTTTTCGAACTCCATCAATCTCGGTCTCTTGCTGGTTTTTGGGGCTCATCGGACTCTGGCCTGATGGGCTGCCATCCATGTCGGCCATATTGCGACGCGCTGGAGCGCTGGAGAAAACCGGCTCGCTGGCCACGTTCTGGTTCTCGTCTTCGATGAACTCCTCGCCCTTGTGGGTTCGTCTAATCCGCGGCCCTTGATCCTGTACGATGATATGCTGCCTTTCGGCTTCCCGCTTGATCTCCGCGTCTCTCTGCTGTAGTTCCTCACTTGCCATATCTTGGGAGCTCATTTTAGAAAGATCATCCGGTTGTAAACTACCTACGAGCAGACGATCTCGTAGAGAAGCGTTCTTCTTTACGTTGAACAATATCGTCCGCAACTGTGATCTATACGCCTCCGTCGGCTCCCCAGATCCCCCGCAGATATTCTGGTACATTGCATTCTCGATAGAGAGAGCGAGTGGCCGTGCAATTTCCTCCGCGGTTTTCCCATCGGGCACTTTGAAAGTTCCTTGCTTCCGAGCCCCAGAAATCTGTCCTTCAAAGAGCCTGACCAGAGCACTGGCAGCACTCCTCCGTGCCGGGTTGGAGATTTCTTCCACTGTGCCCAATTTCTCAGTCTTCGCGTTTGTTGTTGCTCCCGAGCTTCGGCGTGAAGTCTGTTCGTTAGCTTCATCCTTTGCTGGGACTGGTTTCGTGTTTTGGATTGTCGTTGTAGTTATGGGTGGTGAGACTTTCTGTTGTTTCGGCTTTGGAGCCTGGAGTATACGGATCAGTAACGAGGGTATATGTGGCTATTAATTGAGTCCATGACACTTACAGATCCGGGGGTTGGGGCTTCGTGATTCTCGTCAAACTTGCGTTTCTGAGAACTGGTGGTGGGCGCGCTGGTCAGTTCACCGTTCTTTTCCGGGACCGGCGTGACGGCTGGAGCAGCAGGAGCAGCAGCAGGAGTAGGAGTAGGAGTAGCAGGGACAGGAGCAGCAGGAGCCGGGGTTGTTGAGGCAGCCGCACGAGTAGGCGTAGCTGTATCTGTCTTCGCTTCGCTGGGCTTGCCTCGTCTCCCGCCTTTTCTGCCCTTTCGGCGACGTGACGCTTTCTTCTCTTCGACTTCCTTGCGTCTCCTCTCGGCAACCTCCTCCCATGGCTTTTCGCCGCGCGCAATCTTATCCAAAAGGACTTTATGGTTCTCTGGTTTGCATAATTCGCAGAAATACTCGTCCGGCTCCTCTCCTTTGGCAAACGTGAGACCCATGCAATCGTTATGCTGCCAGGCGGAACACTGGTCACAACAGATCATGTCCCGCTCTACATCTTCCTCTTCTTCGTACTCCCCACAAATGCATCTGATAATCTCTTCTTCTTCGCTAGGAGCCGGCGTTGGTTCGGCGGAGGGTTTCGGAGGCTTCTCCTTCGGTTGTGCCTTGGACTTGGACTTCTTCGCCGGACTGTCGGTAACCATGTCGAGGTTCTTGTGCTGACCTTTCGTCGAGCGACCGGAGCGTCGTGGTTCATCTGGAGTAATAGTTAGCGTTGCTCTTCAACATGGACAGGAGTTGCCTCCCAGTCGCCACACCTCTGTGGGGGGTAGCCTGGGGAGCAACAACTTGTATACGATTTGCTTACCAGCCATGATTAGGGGGGCCAAAAATCTTAAGGATAGAGAGATTCAAAATTTCTACGGTGTAATGTTGAGTCAAGGATTCGCCCAGCACCAAGTTGCGTACGCCACCCAGATCTCGTTCTACAGCATCAGAGAGGGCTAAAGTAATACACAGGGAAAGACACTGCACAGTGTCACTGTTGCCCGGTCCACACAGGTATTACTTTGACTGCTCAAATTGTCCCCGAACTTTATTTAAAAAGACACAACGCGTAGCAATCAGATGGTACCAGCCCGGCGTTCAAAGTTTCTGGTGAATGCAATGTCGCGCGAAGCGTGAATGCTTGGCGTGAGTGGGGTCGCGTATATGGTATTCTGGCTCGGATCGTCCGTTGAGGCCAGAACTTGTAAAGCAATAATAGAAGGACTGCAGCAGGGGCGTTGGGCGCCTCGTCGGGATGAATGCGCGGGTTCGCAGGATGAACAGAAGGGGTTGGGAGGAAGAGAGAAGAGCTGGGAAGAAATGGAATGAGGAGAAACCGAGTTGGCGCGCCAGGTGGGCTGAGTCAGTAGGCACGTGATAGAGGCTCTGCGGGAGGCTTGGCAGACGCCCTGTCCATCTCGTCGCGTTTGGGCGAGGTTTTGGGCGTCATCGACAGCTTTCTCCAGGTCCCCACATAGTGGACATCCGTTACCTCCTGATTAATTAGTGGAATTCGAGCCTATCCCTTATTATGGCAGATGTTCGATCGTTACTGAGGAGTGAACTTGCTTCTCGCAAAGGCTCGTCATCCCAGACAGGGAGAGCACCAAATCGCGTTACCAAGAAACGAAAGGTGGACTCTGGAGAAGATCTGGCCCGCAAAAAGCTGAGGCACGCACACGGCGACCAGCTGCTAGCGAGTGCCCAAATAGTGCAGCCACCCAGTGCGCAAGCGTTAGAAGAATCCGAGGAACTTGTCGAACAGTCAGAACAGGAGATTACTGGTCCAGAGTTTCCGCCAGAGTCGGAGCTTGTGGAGAACATGACACCGATGAGTGTTCAGCCATCAGATACAGCAGCTGTGACTCCAGATCAACCCACAGAAGCAGCCAAACAGACGGTCGACGAAGACGAGTGGGCGGCCTTTGAACGGGAGGTAGTCGCACCAACCCGATTGCCACAGGGCCCTGCCGCACTTGCAGCAAAGGCCACTATATTGGCGGCGCCAATTTCGGCAGAACAGCTTGCTGCGCAGCAAGAAAAGGACAACGAAGTGTTAGCTCAAACTCGCGAAGCAGAAGCGGAGGGGGAACGCGAAGACGCAGCCCGATTTATGGAGGATGAATTGGACGAGATGGACCAGCTGGAGGAGCGAGTTAGGCGGCTGAAAGACATGCGGGAAGAGCTTAGAAAAAAGAAAACCATGGGAGGGGCAGATGACCATCGGCTGGATGTGCCTGTTTTCGCCAGTGAACTACAGGAAGATCCAACCAAGAATGATAACAGCGATGATGACGATGATGATGGCGAAGAGGACGATGACTGGGAAAATTGGCGGATTAAGTAATGCAACAAACGGGGCACAGGGCCAGACTGGAAAATGGGAAGGCGTCAATTCTTACAAGGGAGGCCTTGGACTATTCATGTTTACATTGATACCCCATGAGCTATATGAAGTCGTGCGAAAATGTTGATAAACCCTTTAATGTATCACAGCCAAGTGGCTATCCACCTTCAAACAAATGAATGATGGATCTTGTATTTTAGCCGACATTATGAAATTTATGCTACAGCTATACATTTATTTATCCTCCGCTCTTTCCTCCTCCTTAGCGACATCACTATCAGTGTCCATATAGCCTCGGAGCCCTGCCTTGCCAAACCTCATAGCCTCTTCAACTTCTGCCTCCCCCTCTTTTAGGAGGTGTTTGCCGCGCACAACATCGCCTCTCTGCCTTCGCTTCTCCTCTTGTACCTTTTTCTCGCGTTCGGCCAAAGCTCTCTCGCGCTTTTCGCGCTCTAGCCTCTTCTTTTCTAGCTCCTCCCGCTGCTCAGCAGTCATGTGCTCTTGCTCTGGAGCCGGAGGCAACGTCGATATGTAAGTCTCGATGAGCGGGTCGCGCACTTTCGGTACCAGCGAGATATATTTCAGATCTGTGATAATGGATGATGGAAGAGCCTCCAGGCTCGATGAGCGGTTCAGTTCATGCAATGGCACAGACTTTAGCAAAGCCGACAACTCGGACTTGCGGGTGCTCTCAGGCTGCTTCAGTCGCGACACTAGATCCCGGTAGAATTTCTCTCTATCTTTATCGGACAGCTTGGAATCTCTCATTTCAGGTTCCTTCCTATACTTGCGCTTGAATTCGGGCCAGTATAGCTTTGGTGTGGCGTACTCTTGAAGGAATGCCAAATATTTAATACGGGGATCCTCCTTTTGTTGTTTTTCTTTGCGCTCCTTGAGTTCCTGGATACGATCGCGGGTCCAATTTGACCACACTTCCCGGCGAGCTTTCATGTTCGGGAGCACAGTGTAGCGGGAGTCATCTATAATGTGGCCCTGTTCGATGACGCTCTCCCACGTGGAGAATGGGTTTATATGATAGTCGTCAAGAAGATCCCGGAAAAGAGCCGTGGCGTCCTCGTCTGTAAGCGGTAGTCCTTCAGCACCCTCTTCCCAGTCCTCTCCAGGCTCACCGTATTCACCGGGGTCGAGCCCATAGTCGTCTCCCATGGCAGCCAATTGATATTCGAAATCCTCTTCCGTGAACTCCATTGGCTGTAGGTGAGCAAAGTCTTCATCCGTTTTCGGTCGTTTATTAGGTTGACCATCTTCCTCGCTATCTGTGACTTCTACCTCTTCATATTCGTTGCTGTCTTCCTCTGCACCTCCAGCGGTGGGAACTTCTTTCAGCGCATATTCATGTTGATCGTCAGAACCAGTGGCCTGATCTGGTGTTGACTTCGTACGAACTTCGACATTCTCACCACGCTCCTTTCTTTTTTTCCCTTCTCTTTCCAAGCGATCGTATTCCACTACACCTTTCAACACCTCTTCCGGAAACTTCCAGAAGCTCTCGTTACTTTCTGGATTATGAACGAATCTTCTTCCAAGCTTCGTTTTCACAAGCACCCACGGCGCACATCCCTGTATCGCATGCTTTGATTTCGGCCGATCTTCTGGACCATGATTTCTGCGGTCATGATAGCCCTTTCCTCCGCGAAACCCTCCACGAGGCTGACCACGGTGAGGAATCCCTTGTGGTTGTGCACCAAACCCATGAGGCGCATATGGAGTCGAGGAAAATGGTGGTAAAGTATCTGGGCTGAGGAATGCAGTGTTTTGAGCCGTGTCAGGAGCGGGTATATATGGTTGGGGCTGAACTGGCAGCGCCGTAGGTCGGGTATAGGTAGACTGCTTTGTTTGCGAGTTGTAATAATACAGGTGACCTGAAATCTGTTAGACTATTCATATTAATCACGGCGTACCAGGACAAACCTGAAGGAGCTTTATGCTCAGTCCATCCCGGTGGTAAGGGATGGGGAGCGGTATAGGTAGATTTAAGCATTGCAATCACAGTCCACCGTACATGTGTATTGCAAGAACTAAACTATACAGTGGTCTAAATTTGCATATCCCTAAACCTCGGGGACTGTAGAGAAGCTGGTATGAATTTGCGATGGATTCGCCTGAGATCTTGGAGTGGCCCGAGCTTGGCAGACGGAAGGACGCGCCAGGGCGAGTTGCCTACTGGTCTTGGAGCTCACCCACTCATCATCCATCATCCTCCTCCTCTGCTAGTCCATTCCCCATACCAACGCCTCTTTTCTCCGAGGCTCCTTTCTCACAGACCTTGACATTTCTTCATAGATTCGTTCTATTTGACCTTCGATTCAAAATGTCGCGGAGATACGATTCCAGGGTACGCCGTCTTTTCACTTCCACCATCCCGCAAGGTCCAACTAACCAGGTGACACTGTTCGACAGACAACTATCTTTTCCCCAGAAGGTCGGCTGTACCAGGTTGAGTATGCACTGGAAGCTATTTCACATGCCGGTACGGCCTTGGGTATCTTGGCCAAAGATGGGATTGTCCTTGCTGCGGAGAAAAAGGTGACTAGCAAGCTGCTAGAGCAGGACACTTCTGCGGAGAAACTTTACACACTGAATGAGTATGCAACCTCGCGGCGGGAAGTGCCTGGGCTCTTGTGATGGGAGGCTAACCCACGGGGTAGCAACATGATCTGTGCTGTTGCTGGTATGACAGCAGACGCCAACATCCTTATCAATTATGCCCGACAAGCCGCCCAGCGATATCTTCTTACCTATAACGAAGAAATTCCTTGCGAACAACTCGTTCGCCGTCTGTGCGATCTGAAGCAAGGGTATACCCAGCATGGTGGTCTCCGTCCGTTCGGTGTGTCGTTCATCTATGCCGGGTACGATCCTCTTCGGCAGTTCCAGTTGTACCAGAGCAACCCCAGTGGTAACTACGGTGGTTGGAAGGCGACTAGTGTTGGTGCAAACAATGCGAGCGCCCAGAGCCTGTTGAAACAAGACTACAAGGAGGATTGTGACTTGAAGGAAGCTTGCGCCATGGCTGTGAAGGTTTTAAGTAAGACGATGGATTCAACGAAGCTCAGTAGTGAAAAGAGTGAGTTGTCTTCGCCCATTTCCGGTTATCATGTTACTAACTGAAATACTCTCCCCACTCCAGTCGAATTCGCTACGGTGGGAAGGACCCCAGAAGGGAAGGTTTACCATCATCTCTGGAATGCGGATGAGATCAATGCTCTTCTAAAGGAACATGGATTGGCCAAGGTTGATGATGAGCCAGAGGCTGGCGATATTAAATAAATAAACGAGCGATGTATTTCCTTCTCTACTAACTGATTCGCATAATCCCACTGTTGTCATTGGAGGCTGTCCTACCGAACGAGGTCATAATTTCTACCTAATTTCCCACCCCTTGAAGTGCTAATCCTGGAAGACTGTATGCTATGCCACTGGAACGTGAGCCGGTAATTTCGCTGGGGAGACTTAAAGCCTCTGCCGTTGCATCTGAAGCGCAACCGACACTGTCCACCGGTGACGTGGCATGCCGCGACGTCAGTTTGAGCGACAAATCGCTCGATTTTCAAGTTTCCCTCACTTCCTCAGTTCGAGTAGGGGTGTAGCGGAGAATTAAGATAAATGGTCCACGTAGTCTCGATTTGCAGCTTCCATGGGCGCCTGAAGAAGTGCTGTAGGCAGGGTTGGTCTCTGGGGTCAGTCCACTATATAAAAGACAATCAGTCAACGAATTCCATTCCTTTCTTTCCCAATGAAGTCATGCCGGAAATGTCGAGAAAAGCCAAGTTTACAGTTTGTGCTATTTGAAGCAAAAACCAAGAGATCGCTCTACCTGGTGTCTTCATTCCTTGTAACGTTCTCAAACACCATCCTGAGGGCTTCATCAAACCATCTAAGCTACAGAAAGGCATCATAACTATTCATTAGAAAGGTCGGTGAGAGCATCACCTGGCTGGGCAGGGCCAAGCTGAGGCGCTGAAGTACGTTGCAACTATGTTTCATCTTGTTCCTAACCCCATTAAACCGCGAGATGAACACCAACGGACTTTGGCTAAACCCGTTCTGGATATAATCACGTGGGGAGGTATGTCCGCGGGGTTCAACCTCCTCTCAAAATGGAACCATCATTTGCAACGCCGGATTGATAGTCTGGCTAGTGAGCACCAAGTGTGTATTTGTTGGAACGGCCGACCCTCTCTGCACCAAAATCCTTCAACTCCCTGCAATTGCGGGATGAGCAATGGCTTTATTGCGTAGCGAACCGCTCATCAGGAATACAGGCGCTTATTGAGTGGAACTGCCCCTGATGAAACCACACAAGTATGCGAGACTTGGGGAAATTATCACACTTCATTGGATTTCATATTTGATGAGCAGCAGTTTTACATCATATATGCCTTTCCTTCCAACCATCATACATGTCAGCCTGACATGATGTGGCAGCCAATGAACCACATGAGCTGAGTGATCCATGTTTGTGAGACACAAAATCATGAGCAGTAATAAAAGCAGAAACTGAGAAATATTGCAAGTGAGGGAATCAAACTGAATGGCCAAATAAAGAAAAAAGAAAAGAAGAGAGACAGAAGTCCAAACACCCTACCCTGGTCCCCACCCACTCCTTTCATGACTTTCACAACCAGAGTTGAGCTCTTCAAGACAATGCCTTCCTTTTGTCTTCGCGTTCTCGCGAGAGCTGGAAAATTTCTTTATCCAAATCCATTATGAGTTTCTGTGATCGGTCCATTGAGGCTACAAGCGTACCCCCTTCACGTTTCCATCGGTTCAATCGTTCCGTCTCGGCGCTTCGCCGACGATACTTGGTTTCAATCTTTTCACAAAGGCGGCATTGCGTCTTCTCGAACTCGGTCATATTAACAAGTCTCATGCCACATGTCTCTCCGGTGCGGTATTCATAATTGCACCTATGAGCAAAATTGGTCCAACTCCAGTCTCCGCAAGCAAATCGTTTCTGGTTGTAAAAGCACATACCTATCAAATTTGTCAGAGGAGGCCTGCCTGGGGTTATGATCAAACCTACTTATTCTTGGTGCAGTGTCGCCGTTTCACTTTATGTCTTGTTTTCTATTGGCTCAACTTTTGTGTCCTGCCGCCGTGCCAAATTTGATAGGCTAGGCTTCAAGAATACCTTCTGAAATATGAAGAGAATCTGAAGAGTTGAAACAGTTGCTTCTCGACAAGAAGCCTTTATTACATGTGAGATTGCTCAAGGAAGTTGTGTCTGAAACTTATGTTGATTCGGACTCTATCAAGATGAGGGAATGGGGGCCTATTTATGTTTCGTGGGAAGCTCCCATGTTACGATCCAGCACTTTCTGGTCACTACATCCACCTACCGTCGATCGACCTCCATCGGCTGGCGATGGCTTATCGACTCGGGCGTTCTATCATCACATTCGCATCACATCCCTCCAAATCCCCACGCGGTTGGCTATCGTAGGCTCTCCCAACAGTGGAGACACGAGATGCTCACTACATTCCGTTGCGGGACAATCGTGCTCGACGGGGGCTTCACGAATGCATGCATCCTGCTGTCGTGGCCGCATCACCTTTTTTGTTCCAAGTTTAACCTTGAAAATCCCTCATTTCGAGTCAATGCTTCCTTGTCACAGCTTGGCCCGGTTCCTCTATCGATTCTTCCCCGCTTTGTCTATGTGGACATACACCGTGTGAAGTCGTCCTTCGAGAACCAGACATCTCCAGTTACTGAATCAAAGCTCCTGCATGATCGATTGCTGCTACGCTGTACCGTCTTACAATGGAGGTTTGCTAGTGTTCCAGCCCAACGAAATCAGAACTTAGGGGGGGAAAGGTGTACATCACTCCCGGCTCCTAGATGCAGGTGTCATCACTACATTGGACTTCCAGAAAAGCACATTAGGTATCCCACCCTACATGCCTGAGCATTCACTGATAGCCAATTAGTTTAAGGCCTGGCTGTCCCATAGTGTCATAAGTTTTGATTCGGACTTTTTCTTGAGAACAACCCCGAGTCCGGTACGAAGCTTTGTCTATGCAAGATTTTCATGTAATGTACCCCTTTCTCCCTCGAAATGCTGCTGGGGGTTGCTTTCAATGAGCCCTGCAACTGGTGCCTAGTTGCAACCCTACCTCGTTATCCACTTTCTGACCCCCCTTCCCTATTCGCCATACAAGGATATCTGTTCTGTGTGCCAATGACTGTCTCATGTTCTCCGCATGTTCCCGTTTGGCCGCTATAAATCACAGCCTTTAGCCTTTGGTGGCAAAAGACGCGTCACTAGGAGATATCGATTGGTGTCTGCTGCGTCGTTGAGAATCGGTCTTTGGCAACCGCAGCTGCTTCAAGTAGCATGATGAGCTCACTTCATAATTCGCAGACGATCCTTTTCAGCTGATCTCTCACATCTGCAGACGAATAATCCCGCAGTCGCCCCCGCTTTGGTGCAGGGTTATCTCACTTCACTTGCATCGCTTTGTCGAGATGATAGGATGGCACTCCTGTGCATCGGGCATGGCAGATACAATCCGTGATACGGTACACCTACTGTTGAGCCCATGCATCTGCACTAAAGCTCGGAGACTCTGACGTGGCGCCTTTCGTCTGGCTCAAGTCCTCCAAATTCTGGGTTTTCGGGCTGTCGGGGACATTTTCGAGGCGGAAGTTGATCAATCTATGACCTAGGGAGGTCGAGTAAGGAATATTGGAAGCCTCCGTCTCTCCTGGCATTGACAAATGGACGAGAGACATTGCCGGGTTCCGCTTGTTAATGGCACGCCAGGCTGCAATTCCATGAAGGTCCCTCCCACATCCAACCACCTTTTACTGTACAAGATCGCCAGACCGGTCTATTTAGTTGCTTGGACACTGACATTCGAACCACGGATCCATGGCAAGACGTGAATTGCCAACTCAGCGGCCAGTGATTCTGGCTTACAGCCGCAATGAGGAAACAGCATTGACAGCCAACTATATTCCCATTCTAGAAGAGCCCTGGTCCAAATACACTACACGATTTGCTACCCTTCCACCCTCTTTTGGTATTTTGTCTCACTTCGGTCGTTTCTAGCCTACCTTTCTATGCTGTGGCGATCATATTCTCAACGACAAGGGCGGAAATGATTAACATGGACAGCAAATTCTGCCCAACTGACAAAACCGCCTATTTTGATCTGAAGGGAAACTGTAGATTTTGGCTTGCCACTATTCATTTTCTTCTTCACCATACTTCAGTATAATTTTGCAACTTTCGGTGACGTTGAAATTGGATTATGTGACCCACTTTCGGACCAGCATGCTGGGTGTCTTTGGTCCCGTGATCATATGGTCAGTGCAGCCTTCTGCGCATTCACGCACCCGTGTTTCGCAAGCGACAAATAGCCGATCACAGTATAGCTCTCGAAATTTTAAAGTAAAGGTACCTTTGCTGCTGTGTTCTGTCTGCACATCTGGATTGGTCAGTTGAAAGGAGGATGCTAAACATCGTCAGCGGCTCGCATCCAATAGGTCCCCTTTGTCAGCCATGATGTATATGCAGCTAGTTGGAAACCCTGTCAATTACATTCTTAGGCTTTCGGGTCTCTCAAGCACAGGGTCCACTAACTCGCGTCGAGAAGGTTCAAAGCGGGACCTCGCATCTGCGTGTATACAGCTGCTATTGTCTTCTCACAAATTCCAGATAATACGAATTTTGTTTTCGTGCATCTCTGTCCTCCACCAGACACGGGATTCTTACCGGCGGAACTCATCTTGACTAAACGGGTTGCGCTTTATTTTGGTGATAGCCAATACTATCCCTGCTATTGACACCAGAGAAAGAAATAAAAAGGAAAAAGCAACAAAAGCACACCTTTTTTGGTGGCCACCTCGCCTTTAGTTGAACTTTCTTCTCATGAACCTGACTCACTTGACCTGCAGCTTATACGAGGCGGAGCTAAGAGCAAGTGATACTGAGATGCACGAGCACTGTGCCGTCACATTGCGGTACCTACGCCGCAGTTCAAAATGGTCAGTAGGTGCAGGCAAGATTGACGTGGCACGTCCAAGTTCATCTCATGTCAATCCATCAGGAAAAGCCAGTTCCCCAGTTCTGGAGACGTAATACCTACTCCGTCTCGCAGCCTCGAGGCAACTGTGGAATAAAAACCTCACCCAAAATGGGTGCAAGGCTGTGCTTCTGCGGCGCAAGTAGATGGTTTTCTCTAATGCCTCCGTCTGCCTTTTGCTCACCATTTTTTGACCAGGACATGTGATGCAATCTACCTTGGGCGACAACAAATGGTAAAGGTACTGCCCCAAGAGTCAATCCTAGCATATAGTTTTGTAGACTACCAGCCAATTGTATTTTTCCCAGGCCATTCAGGGTATCTTTATTCTCAGTGTAGAGTTGCAAGCTGTGTGTAAAGTCACTAAGTGTCACATAAGTGATAAGCCGATATGTTAGGTAAGTGACTATCTGAATGGAAATAATATGGTTAATTACTGGCGATGCTGCAAGTTCAAGAATATATAGTTTTCTGCCATCCAATAGAAGCCGCTCCACTTTCAACCAAACAATAATCCACCCTAACAATTTTTTAAACAGGAATCATGTGGAAAGAAATCACTTCATTATCCTGATTGGACCAATCCACCCTCCAAAAAGCATCTCAAGTCCAAGTACAGCCCTCAGCCCTTGTCTTTCCGTCTATCACCCTTAGGAGGAGGGCCTTCCACTCGCTCCATTGCCTGCAAACCACCAAGCAGCAAAAGAACGAGAGGGGCAGGGTGCACGATCGTACTATTTTTGACCCTCAGCGAATGGAGATGTCCAAATCTGGTACAGATAACTAAGTAGCGGGTCATCCTGCTGCTTATGATCCGACGAAGAGGTCACCTGAAAGTCAGACGCGAGCGACTGAGGACGAGAGTCGACGGGAAGGAAAGGTCAGTAACCCGCTGGATATGAGTCCTGCAAATAAGGAGGCGAGCAAGGCACGGGACCGGAGCAGGGTGTATTTTTAAAGAGAAACCAAGCTCAAGAGGGTCCCCGAGGAAAAATACGGAAGTCAGGCTGGGGAAGAAATAGAGTTGTTATTATTGAATATAGTGTGTATTCGGAGTCATATACTGACGGATTTGATCTGCGTGTCCAAATACATACACACACCTAGGTTTGGTTACTGGGACTATATAGAACTTCATCAGTGTTGCACGAGAAGAGACTAATGCTGCAATTTCATTACGGCTTTGACTTCGTACTAATAATAATGCTCATGTAAGTATTTGCTGATCATGGTGGTTTCATCTCACAGTCAAACTCAGCCTTAGCATCCACCCTTTCTGAGCGCAATGATATCGGTGCCATACAGCATCCAAACCTTCTCACTACCCGCCGGAACGTCACCTTCCAACGCCTTGAGGCCAGCATTAACTGCAGCCTTGGCAATATCATCTGCCTCCTGAGCCCATCCGTCTTTCAAGCTAGAATGCAGCTTACCCGCAAAAGAAGCAATATAACGGGCCACAGCTTCCATTGGTCGGCTCTCCTCTCTTTGACCAGCAATGAGGCCCGGGCGGAGGATGACCGTTCTCTCGAATCCTAAGGCCTTGACTTCTTCTTCAATTTCACCCTTCATGCGTGAATACGCGATTGATGAGGATGTGCTAGCCCCGCTCGCCGAGATCAGGACGTAGACCTTAGTTCCCGCGTCGCGTGCTGCACGCGCCATCTCGATGTTCAAGCCATGCTCCACTTTGTATTGGTTTTCGAATCCGCCAGCAGCCGCACGGGTTGTTGCAAAGGAAGAGATGAAAATCGACGGGGTTGGTGTTAGTGAGGACAACTGGCTAGCCCACCCAGATGTATCATCGGAGACGAAAGTCGTCAGCTTGGAATGCGCGGCAGAAGCGGCCTGCGGGGTCCGACGCGAGATAGTATCCACACGAGCGATAGAAGGATTGGCGAGAAGGTTAGTGAGGATATGACTCCCCTTTATAGCTAAAGTCAGGTACAAAGCACTTCATGTACGATAGTCGACAGATCGGTTGGCAGACACCGGAATATTGTGAAGAAGGACCCATAAGGAAAAACAGAGATGCTTACCACCATGCCCGTACATCCAATCAACGCTACATTCGCCATGGCTGCCGAAACTCCGATGCTCAGTTACGGGATGGAAAGACCCAAGCAAGGAAACAAAGATGACGTGAGTCGACCCTGAGGCGACCCTGAGGCATGCCGCTAGACCCGAATGGGGTGTATGCATGCTTCTGGCAGGGATCGCTGACTAATAAGGCAAATGCCGAAAGCGGAGGGATCTGCCGAGGTTCACCGCCAAGAATTCTATCGATAAGAAATTGCGTGATTTGCACTAGCCGGATGTGGCAAAGGTGCCCTGACGTGATTTCTATACTTCAAAGTGCTGGCGTCTACTCTCTCCCAATGCCCCCCATTCTGTTGTCGTTGTCTTTTTGTCTTTCTTCTAGAGGTTCGATACGCTCGACTCTCGCATCCTGACAGGGAATCTCTCCACGATGGGTGCTGCATCTCCAGCCTTGTCGGCCCTCAGTGGCCCGACGTATGTCACTGCCCAGACATTGATCCAGCAGGTGGCGTACATTCTGAGTGACAAGATCTTCTCCTATTCACCAGAGTCCTTTGATCTTGACACGGCTCTCCGGGAGTGGGCATTGAACCGGGAAATTAATGCCAATGGCGAATCTCCTGCAGTTAATGCTATGGAAACTCGCCAGGGTGCCGGTACCATCGCCTTGGGATACCTCTTTTCCCAGGATTTTGATTTGAAGAAGCGCCACGTCCCCCAGGGGATCGTTGCCTCCTCCGCTACCCTTCCATACATGAGATCTGCCTTGGAGCAACTCTCTCTTCTCTACTCCGTCGCCAGTCCCGTTGCCGCCCATGTCGCCGCCGTCGACTACGTTGCAGAGGAGGGCTTGGTTTCCGATTATGCCTCTGCCCTCTCCATTGCGGAAGAAATTGGATTAGGTCTCGTCTCTAGTGCCTCTGTTCACGAGTCACAGCACATGGCGCTGCTGACAACCCTCTTCGCATCCGTTCTGCCTTCTGTCCACATCTTCGATGGTGTTCGCGTCGGACGGGAAACAACTCGCGTCATTGATGTATTGGACCATGCCGGTCTTGCCAACACCTACGAGACAGTCCGGAAGACCTTAGAAGACCCACGCAGCCGACATCTTGACACACAATGGAAGCTTCTGGAGCTGCTTCAGTCACTGAACGACGAGCTCGGCACGGACTACGGTTTTTTTTTGAATACCATGGGCATTCGGAGCCCACTTCTGTTCTTGTCGCTTTCGGCACAGTAGAGGCATCACTGACTGCCCAGGTTGCCCGTTCCTTGGCTAAAGATGGTACTCGTGTCGGTGTCATTAACGTCCGTGTGTATCGTCCTTTTGTTGAAGAGGAATTCCTTCGTGTCCTACCCCAGTCCGTGAAGAACGTTGGTGTCCTTGGACAGGTTTTAAATGAGCAAGCGGTCCAGGACCAGGGTGTCCGGTCTGCTCTCTATGAGGACGTTCTTGCTGCTCTGACTTTCGCTCGTGGCCGTGAACACAACCCTTCCTGCGTAGACATAAAATATGCCCGCTCTCAGCGCTGGGACTTAATCAACGCTGCCGCTGCATTCCAGCTCGTCTTCGAAAAGCCAATTGTCCAAACAAATAGCCAGTCGGTACCGCTCCAGCTGCTCGACCCTGCTACTGTTCAAGAATATTCTTTCTGGGATGTCGACAACTCCATTTGCGACAGCGCTGCCACGGCCCTCTCCAAGGCCCTCGCCGCCGATTCAGCCAGCAATGTTACCACCAGCAAGACTCACGATAATCTTGTCCAGGGTGGAGCTGTTCGCATCGATATCCGCAAGAGTTCTAAGATTTTGGATGCTCCTTACCCGATTACGGCTGCCGACACTGCATACGTTGGAGATATTAGACTCCTTGGAGAAATTGACATTCCCGCGTCTGTCAAGAATGGTGGTAATCTCATTGTCAATGCTCCTAGTGTGAAAGACGATGAATTGGAAAAGAAGCTGCCTGAGGCCTTTAGACAGGCAATCGTGCAGTGCGGGATCAAATTTTACATCGTCGATCCCTCGGTTGCTGGTGACTCCTCTCTTGAGCCCAGCGTACTTCAGACTGCCTTCTTGCGCGTTGCTTTGCCTTCGCAGGAAGGGGTCGGCATCAAGAAACTGGCGTTCATCACCGGTAATGCTGAATCATTGCAAAATGTTAGCAATGACCTCGATAAGATGCTCCGTCGGATTGAAGTTCCCCAGACCTGGAAGGCCTCTGAGGATACCTCGGAGATTCCTGGGCTTCCCAAGGACCTTTCTCCCAACAGCTTTACCCCCTTCGAGAAGCATGAGGCGGAGGCACCTTCGTATCTTAAGGACTGGAAGACGGCCGCTAAGGGCCTAATTTTCAAGGAAGTGTACGGAACAAAGACTTCTCTTCGCCCTGATATTGCTACGAAGACATACACTGTTCATGTTAAGGAAAATAGACGATTGACTCCCGTCACATATGACCGGAACATTTTCCACATCGAGTTCGATCTGGGTGACTCTGGGCTCACGTATGATATCGGGGAGGCTCTAGGTGTTCATGCCGAAAATGATCCCAAGAATGTCCTGGATTTCATTGAGTTCTACAGTCTGAACATCGATGATGTCGTCGAAGTTCCTAGTCGCGAGGATCCTGCCGTGTTGGAAAATCGGACTGTCTATCAAGCCCTCATTCAGAACATTGATATCTTCGGCCGGCCCCCTAAGCGCTTCTACGAGGCTCTTGCCGAGTTTGCCACCGACGAGAAGGAAAAGAAGGCCCTTCTCAATCTGAGTGGGCCTGAGGGCGCTGCTGAGTTCAAGCATCGCGCTGAGGTCGACATGGTCACCTTTGTCGACATTCTGCGCGAATACCCATCCGCTCACCCCGACCTCCACGAACTTGTTCGCATTGTCGGGCCACTCAAGCGTCGTGAGTATTCGATTGCCTCGTGCCAGAAGGTGACACCAACCTCTGTGGCGCTTATGATTGTGGTTGTCAACTGGTCGGATCCTCTGGGCCGTGACCGTTTCGGTTTGGCCACCCGATACCTGAGCAGACTTCAACCCGGGGCATCGGTCACGGTCAGCGTTAAATCCAGTGTGATGAAGCTGCCGCCAAAGTCGACGCAGCCACTCATTATGGCCGGTCTGGGAACCGGTCTGGCCCCCTTTCGTGCGTTCGTGCAGCACCGTGCCCTTGAGAAAGCTCAGGGTAAAGAAATTGGTTCGGTTCTCCTGTACATGGGTTCTCGCCACCAACGCGAGGAATACTGCTACGGTGAGGAGTGGGAGGCGTACCAGGAAGCGGGAGTGATTACTCTCTTAGGCCGCGCCTTCTCGCGTGATCAACCTGAGAAGATCTATATCCAGGATCGTATGCGTCAGACTCTGCCCGACATCGTTCAATCGTATATCCGGGAAGACGGGGCCTTCTACCTCTGCGGTCCCACCTGGCCGGTTCCCGATGTCACGGCGGTGCTGGAAGAAGCTATTGCTATCGACGCCAAGAATAACGGCAAGAAGGTCGAGGCACGCAAGGAGATCGAGAAATTAAAGGATCAGGAGAGATACGTTCTCGAGGTGTACTAGACTGCTGGCTGGGAAGCTGGAATGATCAAAGACACATTAGTTTTTGATACCTGTGTGCGATGACATTTGAATTAGCGCATCGTCATATCATAGAAAGCACTTCTTTGAGACTTCTAAAACTTTCTCTTTTAGTATTCCACGAGTATCTGCTAGGTGTTCCGTATTTTCTCCACGTATCAGAACGACGAAGATTCTTCGGCAGCATTGGCTGCATCTTTCCAACCTATGCATGCATATTGCAGTTGTTAACTGTTCTATATCTATATTGAAACCTAGCCCTCCAGAAGGCTAGCAAGAAAGATAAACAATATGAGCAATCCAAAATACTTTCATGCTGTTCAATAACCCTGTAAAGCTCTTTATAGGAGCTCTGTTTACCAGGGGAAGCAGATGACTCTTCAAGGTATAAGACTTGTATTTAGATTCGGTAAAACATAATGTGTGGCTTGTTTGACGATAATCCTCAACTTTTGGGTGCGCATTTCGAAATATCTCCTCATAGGAGACAACTGTTCCACCACCGGCTCCTTTGCTGCACCATTGGTAGCGGGTACGGACGGGTTCAGAAATACCCAGATGTGTGATCATGAAATACGGCAATCCAACTACCCCCCTCAAAATAAAGAGTAGGGGAGTAGCTTGGGTTAGCTGAGCAGGCCTAGAGCGTTCACTGAGCAAGAGCGTGAATGCCCTCAATAAGGCGGCCGCCTCTAATTAGGAAACTTCGGATCACTAGAGAAAGTCACGATCACGAAGTATGGAGATACTTTTGGTTATTAACTTGCTAGATCCCGGCTTTTATGCTCGACCCAACGCTCCTAATCTTGTCTTCCCGTACGCTCCACCCTTTTCCTTCCTCAACTCTAGAGCCCGCCTGTAAGGCGGTGCGGTAGGTGGTTGGACAGGCTCCAAGCTCACATGGTCGGGAGGAAGGGAGTAGGAAGCATCAGAATCCCAGGAAGAGAGGTCACCGCAGGCAATGAACGACGGAATCCATCGGTTCTCGATGGCGAATTTCTCTGAGAATGGCTTGTAGGCGAGAGGCTCTGGAGTGACTGAGGAATGAGAGTCGGTATACAAAAGACGAGCCTGGCGTGTTTCGTTCTGGTCGGTCGAGACAGTGGTTGCGGCTGTGAGGATGGTACCCTTCTTGCTTCCAGGAACCGTCTGGGTGTCTCCATTCATCACCTCCTGGCCGAGATTCCCGTCGATGGATGTGGGACGAGGTGCTGCAGCACCACCGAATATGGGATTCTTCAACGCTTCCATCCCAATCAAACCGTCGTGAATGGCTGGAGGGATGAATCCCTCACAGACCACAAATGCTTCCAGACTGCTCGCCCGACTACTCCTTGGTTTCGCAACACTCACTTTCTCGAAGACAGTTCGTAACTGTGCGTAGATCAAATCAACATCACGACCACGGAAGATCTTGGCGACAAATTTGCCTCCGGGCCGGAGTACGCCCAACGCCAGGTTCAGAGCGGAATAGAGCAACTGGGACTGAATGTAGATGTCCAGGTCGTGCAAACCAGTCACATCCGGTGCACCATCGGAGATCACCAGATCAACGGGATGAGGTGGTCGGAGAGCAGAGGGAGAAGTGGTGGTGGAATCGTAGGCGTCGGGGTCTAAAGCCCGGAGAAGAAGTGGTATAGTGGAGGGGTGGGTGATATCTGCCTTGAGGGTGGTAATGCCTTCGAGGGGAGCCATGGGTTGCAAGTCAATCGAGACAATCTTGACATTTGCCCGTGGCTTCAGCTCCACCTGGCCATCCATCTCCTCGTCGCTGTGGTCGGCAACCCCGGTATTTGCTCTCACCAACGCTTTCATCTCCTTGCGTTTCTTCTCCACCCAAGACCTTCGACCAAAACTCTCTCCCTTGATCAACACCCGGCTGAGTACCTGGCTCCAACTACCTGGAGCAGCACAGAGATCGACGACCCGAGTCACTTTCTCTGGGCTTTCATGCTCAAATAGATCGAATTGCTCGTCAATCTGAATCAACTTGAAGGCGGAGCGAGCTCGCCAATTCTGCTCTTTCGCTAGTCGATAGTAGGCATCGCGCTTGTCCTTAGAAGACCGACCCATGATCGCGGAGCTTATGCGACGTCGAGATCAGAGTCAATGGATGGGGTTGAACGGAGGGGCAGTCGGCGAAGAATAAATATTGAAACGAATTTCTTGTTTCCGTGGGGCGGCGATGAGATCCAAGGCGGTAGGAAGTTTTTCTGCCGCCTTATTTCTCTCCCAAAAAAATAAAAAGAAAATAATTCCAGCCGGTGACAACCTTTACTTCCTGCTATATCTTACCAATCCACAGGTGCTCTCACGACATTATGGGTCAGAAGCGGCACCGGGATCCAAAGGGCCCCGGATTTCAGTCCAAGAAGAGGAAGAGAAGCGCCAATGCTGACAAAGCTGCTGGCGAGGATGCTGACTGGGAGGGAATCGTTGGAATAGAAGATCTCAACTGGAAGGAGGTGGCTCTTCCTGACCGACTCGAAGATGCCGGTGGATTTTTTGGATTAGAGGAAATTGATGGGGTGGATATCGTTCGGCCGGAGGGAGGCGGAGAGATTCGTTTCAAGGTACAATTAAAATCAGTTAACGATAGGAGAACAAATACTTACTTGAGCAGGCTTCAGCAGGGAAATCCAAGAAATCCATTCTAAAGAAAAAGGCGCCGGAGGAGGAAGATAACCAGTTTAGCGAAGAGTGGTCAGGCTTCAGTGATGGCGAAAGTGCAGCGCAGGAAGAGCCTATAACAAAAAAAACCGTAGAAACCAAGGCAGAATCCGGAGAGACCGACAAGGAGACAACGGTGGAAAATCAGTATACAAAGAAGGAGGGAAAGAAAAACGAAAAGAAGAATGCAAAGAAGGAGCAAAAAACCAAGGCCTCGAACCAGCAGGATAAAGACATAAAACCTGGGTTGTCGTTCGCAGCTCTACAGGACGAGGAAGAGGACGATGGCGTGGACGTGTCCGCTTGGGACTCTCTGAGCTTGTCTCCCGAGACCCTTGCTAGCATTTCGAAGCTAAAATTCACCACTCCTACATCAGTCCAAAAGTCCTGTATACCTTCGATTCTGGAAGGCCATGATGTCATCGGTAAAGCCTCAACGGGTTCTGGGAAAACATTGGCCTTCGGGATTCCGATTCTTGAATACTACTTGGAACAAAAACGGAAGGATACTCAAACAGAATCAGACAAGAAAGAGGTCTCCCCGATTGCGCTCATTTTATCCCCTACTCGAGAGTTGGCACACCAACTGATGAAGCATATCGGAGAGTTGATCACGCATGCTCCAGGGGTCAATGTCCGAATTGCGCTTCTGACTGGTGGCCTATCAGTACAGAAACAGCAAAGACTATTAGCTGGAGCAGATATAGTTGTCGGGACTCCGGGTCGAGTGTGGGAGGTCCTCAGCTCAGGACAGGGCCTGATCCAAAAGATGCAGGGTATCAAGTTTCTTGTTGTTGACGAGGCTGATAGACTGCTGAGCGAAGGGCACTTTAAGGAGGCCCACGAGATATTGGGCGCTCTGGATCGTGTGGAGGAAACTGACTTCCATTGTGAGGAGAATGATGATAGAACTGAGGAGGAAGACACGAAGTGGCAAAGACAAACCCTGGTCTTCTCGGCCACGTTCCACCGCGATCTACAGCAAAAACTGGCAGGCAAGAGCCGATGGACTGGCGGTGATTTGATGAACAAACAAGAGTCGATGGAATATCTACTCAAAAAGTTGAAATTTAGGGAAGATAAGCCGAAATTTATTGATGTGAACCCGGTGTCGCAAATGGCAGAAGGTCTCAAGGAAGGAATTGTCGAGTGTGCTGCTATGGAAAAGGTATGCTGCCACAAAATCAGACCCATGTTTCTTTCCACTGACAAGCTCCTGTACAGGACCTCTTTCTCTACACTCTACTTCTCTATCACCCTAAACACCGCACTCTGGTTTTTACAAACTCCATCTCGGCTGTCCGCCGTCTAACTAAGCTACTCCAAATATTGCAACTTCCTGCCCTTGCTCTACATTCTTCTATGGCGCAGAAGGCTCGGCTTCGTTCGGTCGAGCGGTTTTCCTCGCCATCTTCCAATCCCAGCACTATTCTTGTAGCAACCGACGTTGCGGCGCGTGGACTCGACATCAAGGGCATTGACTTCGTCGTTCATTACCATGTTCCACGTACTGCAGACACTTATGTTCACCGATCAGGACGCACAGCCCGTGCCGGAGCGTCAGGAAAGAGCGTTATCATCTGTGGCCCTGAGGAGATGGTCGGGGTGGTGCGTTTGGCCGCAAAGGTACATGCTAACATGGCCAACCGTAAACGACTGCCACTGGAATCCCTCGAGCTGGACCGTCGCGTTGTCTCCCGCATCCGACAGAGAGTGACCCTTGCCAGTCGCATCACCGACTCGAACATTGCCAAGGAGAAGGTCTCGGCCGAGGACAACTGGCTAAGGAACGCGGCAGAGGACCTCGGCGTCGATTACGACAGCGAGGAGTTTGATGAGTGCCAGGGTCGAGGTCGGGGCCGCGGTCGTGGCCGTCAGCAGAAGGAGCGACAGGCTGGGAGTGTCACTAAAGCGGAGCTGGCCGGGATGCGTGCCGAACTGAAGCAGCTGCTTTCCCAGCGGGTCAATGTGGGTGTGAGTGAGCGGTATTTGACGGCCGGACGAGTGGATATAGAAACATTACTGCGCGGAGAGGGCAACAACTCGTTCCTTGGACAGGTGGACCCGTTGGAATTCTAGTTGCGACGCTGTGTACGACGTTGAATAAGATACCAATCAACTACTGCTTGTATATATGGACCATTAAAATCAGTCATTCATATTAGTTTTCTCGCGACCACTTCAGTCAGCAAAATCAGTATACCACCTCGCAGTATAGCAGAACGACCAATCCATCAACCCAAGCAGAAAATTCTCCGCAAAAAACGCAAGACTCTAGGCCTCCCACAGAAACCGGAGCACGGGTCGATAAACTCCCCACATTTATAACACCAACACCGGCATCTGCCAGGAAGGAGCCTTTCAGTTTCTTGTCGACCGGGTATCCAAACGCAGGGAAAAGAAAACCACCTACATCATGACTTTGCTCCCTTCATCCTTTTCCACCAGATCTCCACACTGAGAACAGAGTCGCCATTTCCTGCGACGGGTGCGTCTTTTAAGCGAAAACTTCCAATATTTGCCGTCGTGAGTCTGCTCCTGGCACGCGGTACAAGTTTCCAGATCACAACGCTTGCAATATCGGGTCTTGTCATTCCGATTTATCATCCGAAGGTACCATCCACAGGTCGGACGCGAACAGTAGGTACGGCGGGGATCCGTGATCTCGTTGAGCTTCTCCGTCACCAGTCCGGTCAGGTCTTTTGGAAGGAAGTGTTTGACACTTTTAAGCTGGATGACCTGTCGGCAGCATTTCACGGGCTTACCTTTGCCGTTGACGAATGCTTGGAAGTGGTTTGTTATGCACTTTCGGCAGTATAAGTGGCCACAAGAGGCGGAGATTACATCTTTGTTAACAAAATTCTTGGTACAGCGAACACATAAGGAACGACGGAATTGGGAGCTTCGAAAGCGGATGGTATGCAGATTCTCCGCGTAGCGTTGGTCCTCGACGTACCAGAAAAGTCTGTCGATGTCCTCTTGCCAGTACTCCTGGAATTAAGTCTGAGTCTTCTCGTTATCCGACGGCATGGTATCCATCTCGTTCATTGCCACTTGGATGGCCTCGGACAGGGCATTCTCCGTTGGCATGTGCCTGTTGAATGCGTCCATTTCTATGGAATGGTGGCTAGACGCGATGGCATATTAAGAGAAACCGAGAAGAGTGGGGAATTATAGCCATGAGAGAGGATGAACTCATTCTTATTCTACTCGCTTCCTTCTGCGATACCATGGATGAACGTCACGGAAGTCAAGGGCCTTTTTAGATGATCTTGTCATGTCCCTGTAACGAACACTTATGGCGGAACTATATGGTCATGCTAATAACCTTTCCCTTAGTTGCTTGGAAAAGATGGTGTAATTGTCTGTGACCCTACTTTATATATTGCAGGATTAGATGTTGATTTTAAGGCACTATTTGCTATGTCTTGATATACAATCTTCCCCTTTTTTTGTCTTCTATGCCAGGTCCTATTCCGGACTGCAGGGCTTTCTCCCATGTATCTTCCATTTCTATGCTCATATCCCAGCCACTGGTTAAGACCAGTCCGATTGGTTATGATCTATTGTGGTGTAGAATCGTTAGGCTGTGGAATCTTAATCCGAACCACGGGGACAGTTTCCTCCATTCAAAAAGACACCAGCAGGCGTCCACCTCTCGATCTGAGTTTTGTAACTGTGGTTGGTTCCGCGAGGATCCATTGCGAAACAGAAGGACGGACTTGTTGCCGGAGGAGGATATTCTGCCACTGTCCCCCCTCTTTTCTTGTGCCACTTCGTTGGAAGGAAGTATGCTGCGTAGGGAGGAGAGAAATAGTTCATTTCCCGTGAAAGAGCTCTAGCATCTTTCGAACTAGAGGGAGACTGACTGACTGTCTTATGACCTTGCTTGGGATCTTGCAAGATAAGAAGTTGACTTTACTCCGTAAGGTGTGATGGTTTGGTTGTCTCTGTGCTAGTAGAGATAAAACCACTTGACCATATAAAAAGGTACAAGACGACTGATCGAAGATCAGTCGCATCTAGCGCCCTATATAGTATGTTACAGGTTCAGCCTGTGACATAAGGCATCGATTGAACAAAGTCGAATAATAGAACCAGTGAAATGATTTAAGATTTTCGGAACCTGCGTTTAGGCTTTTGCCGTAAATAAAAATTTTACGAGAATTAGGGGAAGGAAAAGCAACATCCAAGTAGATTTTCGAGTGCTCAGAGATTATATACAGTGAGGTACATCATGCCAAGAGCTCAAAAAGGAAAGCGGCGATCGGCAGAAAAGTGGTGCCTGAGGACCCACTACACTTAACCATTTCATCCGCCGACTCAGAGATCTCCCATTCCAATCCTACAAACCACTGGTCCACCATGTCTTCCCGATCCCTATGGAGAAGTTTACGTCTTAGCACGAGAAGGGGTGTCAGCGCCCCGGAGACGCCCTATCGCTGCTTCTCCTGTGCCCGACGAGTGCAAGCCGAGCCCAAGACGGACCACGAGCGAATGACCCATTTCGGCTTTACGAATGTTCCTGAATCACAAAAAGAGTCCATGGGTTTGTTGTTCCATAATTCATTGGGGGGAAGATCGACCGGCTAATATGGGACAGTAAGGACGGTTTTCAGCTCGGTTGCATCGTCTTACGATACTATGAACGATTTCATGTCGCTCGGAATCCATCGCCTCTGGAAAGATCACTTTGTTCGCTCCTTAAACCCCGGGTCGGCACTACCCTCTCGCGACACCGACACAACCGGTCGAGGCTGGAATATCTTAGACATCGCCGGCGGGACGGGCGATATCGCATTTCGCATGCTGGACCACGCAACAAACATTAATCATGACCAGGAGACACGGGTCACGATTGCAGATATTAACCCTGAAATGCTGGCGGAGGGTAAGAAACGGAGCATCCAGACTCCCTACTACAACACCAAACGGCTGTCGTTCATGGAAGGAAATGCGGAACATATGCCCGACATTCCCGACGACTCGGTAGACCTGTACACCGTTGTCTTCGGAATTCGAAATTTCACCGACAAACAGGCTGCTCTGGTCGAGGCCTTTCGGGTATTGAAGCCCGGCGGCGTGTTCGCTTGCATGGAATTCAGCAAGGTCGACAACAGCCTCTTCAATGCGGTTTACAAACAATGGAGCTTCAGTGCCATTCCCATGATCGGCCAACTGGTAGCAGGGGATCGTGACAGCTATCAGTATCTAGTGGAGAGCATCGAAAAGTTCCCCAGCCAGGAAGAATTCCGAGGAATGATCCAGAAGGCCGGGTTTATGATCCCTGGACGAGGATTCGAAAACCTGACCGGAGGTATTGCGGCCATTCACAAGGGAATCAAACCGCTTTCCCACCGCGCTTGAAAGGTGTACGATTTAACATTCGATCATTTGATGTATACTGTATAATAGGTAGAACTACTATATGACGCTGTAACAATATTCTGTGCAATCTGATCTTCGTAGAGTTGGGTTGTGGAACGCGCCAACGTAAGCGGTGATGGTGTCATGAAATTGCGAGTAAATCAAATCAACTTCAGCGAAGGGAGGACGGAACTGTATGGGATAGTGGGGACATTGCCTTTTCGATGACCTTTTCCACTTTTTCACGACGATAAATCGAATTCTAGATCCTCGGCCTTTTTCCTTCTGGGAGCCATCTTCTTAACCTTCACTTCGATCGGATCAAGAATGCCTCGGATTAGTCAACAGCCTCCCTTCGATTTCCCCGCCGAGGCCGATTCTTTCCTTCAATCCTCCCCACCATCGAATTTTTCCCCTGTTGGTTCCCCTCGTCTCGCCGGGTTTCTGTCTAGGAACGCTTTTCCCAGGCTCCTCCTGGGAGAAGACGATCTGTTCGCCCAATCTCCTCCAGAGAATGGTGCCTCCACCATGGGGCATCTCCAACCCCCGATGACTCCGCTATCTCCCTCCGCGCCAAGCAGCAGCATGATAGCGAAGGAGCAGCTCGCTCACCACAATTTCTCTCGTCTTCCAATGACTCCGCCCGATCCGTCAGATCCGGAATCGTTGGATTCCACGGGCGATGACGTGTCATCTTCGGTGTCCTCCGCCCTTCATGTCATTTCCACGGAGCGCGCTGCTCTGGCTCACGTGGAACATCTCTATCAGAGGAGCCCTTTGGCACAGGATCATCTCGCACGTGCCGTGAGTCAGATTGCTTCCAGCATTCGGAATGGTGGGAAACTGGTGTGCTGTGGTGTAGGCAAGAGTGGGAAGATTGCGCAGAAGCTCGAGGCGACGATGAACAGCTTGGGGATCTGCAGTACATTTCTGCACCCAACCGAGGCATTGCACGGGGATTTGGGCATGATCCGACCGGTATGCACTTTCTGTCTTGTAATTTACAGCAAAGCAATATGGCAAGCTAATCACTGTTCGTCCAGCATGATACCCTATTGTTGATATCGTTCTCGGGCCGTACTCCCGAGCTTCTACTACTATTGCCACACATTCCGTCCACAGTCCCAGTAATTGCGATCACTTCCCACCTCCATCCGTCAACATGTCCGCTTCTATCTTTTCAGCCGTCTGACATGGGAATTCTTTTACCGGCTCCCGTCCATGAAGATGAGGAAACCTCCTTTGGCGTGAGCGCCCCGACATCGTCTACTACAGTTGCCCTGTCACTAGGCGATGCTCTGGCCATCGCCACGGCTCGACGGCTACATAGCACTACGGGACGGGGGCCTGCCGAAATATTCAGGAGCTTCCATCCTGGAGGAGCAATTGGAGCGGCATCCAACGTTACAACTCCCATGAGTATGTCGACAGCATCGTTCCCATCGAGCAATTCCGACGATCAGCAACTTTCTATCTCATCATTTCCTCGGCAGAACCTAGTGACACAAGGTCCCCGCATCGCAGATGTGCTGGTACCCATTGACCAAATCCCTACGGTGTTTGCAACAGGCAAGGTTCGTCTATTGAATATCCTCCTGACGGCTATTCAACATCCCAGCGCCAAGTCGTGGGTGCATTTATCCCCGGTGGAAATCATTCCCCCACGACATCTCCGCTCTCTCTCGCAGAGTAGCTACGTGGACATGGATGTCACCACATTCACCAGTCTCGGTCTTCCATTTGCTGTGTCTCGAGACGACTGGCAGCGTGTTCCTTACTCGAGTACCATCGAAGATGTACGCCAGCTGGTCACAAAAACGACCACGCGTACGGGATTCCCAGTGACAGTGATTGCTGTCATGAAAGACGAAAATCCAGACGATTGTGTGGGAGTCCTAGAAGCTGAAGATCTATGGGACGACCGCACCTGATCTACTCTACACGTATTTGTCCCACATAATCATCTTACCCAACACCCCCATGGTTCAGTAAATATCTATGTTTATGAGCGAAATGTCTTGTTTGGTTCTTGTTCATGTTTTTATTTTTGGATCATCTTTCTCATCTCAGAATATATTCGTACATACTCATTCACACCTGTGCACATGGATAAATGCATGTCTGCATACTATAGAGCTGCGATCCTGGTGGCTTCATTTTTGATAGCGATTCTCTCGCGATTTGAATAGATTACACTGTCCCTATGCTGGATATACTTTTTCTTTCTCTTTTTTGGATATTGTGAATTCAGTCTGTTTTATTCAATACCAATATTCTTGAATTCCTGAGAAATCTAGTCCTACCATCTTCTATCTAGGAGGTATCAATAAAGAAATATTGCCAGAGGTAAAAGCAAGTCTTTAACAGACAACTAATAACAACACAGTACTCTATGGTATCTTCGACATTACTCGCGATACTTCAATAAACGCAGCAAAACCTGACAGGTGACCGCCAAGAAAAATGCATGGGGCAGATTAAGCTAAAGGAGGGTGAAAGTACACTGGTCACAACATAGCATGAAGATAGAAATGAGACCTTACATTTCTCGAGGCACGCCGTCGCATTCACTTTTCACCCGCACTTGGCCTGCGTTGTCGGAATCCATACGGCCAGAATATCGCCGTGACTGTTGCAGATAGGTCTACCCGCCTGTGGAGAGTTGCGGATATAACACCAATGACGGCAGACTTTCATAATTGCACACTGGAGACCTTGGTGTGTCCGGCGTCGCCAAGAGAAACAATGCAGACTCAGGTAGGAGGCCATGCCTGGAGTCGGCGACATGAAATTTAAATCCTTCGTCTATCATCAACGAATTTTGGTTTCGGGATATCGTGACTCTTAACTATTCCGCTAAAGAACTCAGGGGATCGAAAGTGCTGAATCCTTGTCGGAGTCAGCCTGACTGGCCAGGCTCCTGACGCCCTTTCCCTTTGTTAGTCGTAGAAGCCGCTGTTGTGCTGTTATCCATGTATAGATCATGTTGTTCAATGTAGTGGATGACAGGCACAGGGATCAAATAGCGAACGCTCATCTTACGCCTCAAGAAAAGGCGGATCTTGGTACTGTTGACATCATTCTGAATGAGTTGTTGGATAACATGGATGTTCTTCTTCCAAGGCTGCAATGCAGCAAGTGCTTCATCGATATCTGTTCCACTGCGTTCGACGATGAAAGACTGGACAAATCAGCGGAGGGAGCCACACAAATACAATATCGTATTGAGGCAAGGACATACGCCGTATTTTCCGAGAATATGATCTAAGTCTTCCTGGCTCCACACACCAGGAGTGGACATGGTGTGGATCAAATCCGCCCCAGCCAGCAGGGCAATGCGCACTTGCTTCCGTGAGCCGTTTCTAGCGCCAACCCCTTGCCGCACCGTGTTAATCTCATAGTCAAAATGGTCTAGCACAACGGCGGTGGGCTGATAATTCTTCTGCATCGGCTCCCATGTGTCAACCATCAGCCAGTCAGATGTCCGGTCTACCGCAAGCTGGCACATAGCCACTCTGGATGACAATAAAGATCCTTAGTCAGCCAACATTCGTCACACGTTATGCTCCGACGCAAGCAGATACATATAGATATGTAAGGAGGGGGGAAGGACATTCCTTACCGATGCTGTGCACTCGCCAAACCAGCCTTCCGGTAAGCGTCCGACACCGGAGACAAGTATCCGCCAACTATCTCGAACTCGGTACTAAATTTGACGTAATCCGCCGCCATTTCGAACATGCGTAGGTGAAGGTAGGTAATTGGGGAGAAGGAACCACAAGCCACGAGTAACAACGGCGTCTTCTCCGGGTCATCCATTTTCTGCTTCAGGCGGAGTTCAGGGAAGGCATAATCATCCGTGGGAGCCGGAGGCAGATGGGGAAGCGAAGGAGGGGCAACGTCGTTCTGTTCAGTCATAGTATCGGTTATGGTTGCAGAAGGATATCCCAGTCCTTCGCAATCCTGGAATGGATGGAGAGAATTGGGGGTAAAGCCAGTAGATGGAACCGTAGGGGGAGGAGAAATAAATAATGGACAATAGGCCGAGCTTGTGGGTAAAAGAGGAGGAAGTTCGGAAGAGAACTGGATGCCTGGCATTGCTTGCGGTTAGTCAGACGTGGGGGAATATGCCGCCTTACCTGATTGGGACGTCTCTGGCGGGGAAAAAATTTCTGAGACGCTTACTTAAGCACACCCAGACGGGCTTTCGGTGTAACTACGACGGGGCCTCGGATCGATCACATCATCGGAACAACATTCTATCAACCGCAATACCCGAAGATGTGCTTCATACTAGCCGGCCATGCTATGTAGATCTGCTAGCTCTTATGCTTACTCCAACAGTCGGAATTCTTTATGACGGATTATCTCGTTGAGAGTCAGCATTCGAATAGACCTTTTATAGTATTTCCCATTTATATACACTAATAAAGAAACAAATGAAGATGTGGATGATTTTCGCTGATGCTTCAAAGGCATTAGTGTCATTCTAATTTGAGATGGGTGTGTACCTTTGCAGGCTTATTAGTGAACCGTGCAGTAATTCCACACTGTATGAAGTCAAGTTTGGGCGTAGTTTATGATTGCATCTCCAGTGGAGGACCAGTGTGGAAAACCTTCTCCACAGCACACATTCAGAGGACAGATGTTACTCTCAGCCTATTGAGCTTCGAATTCCGATGAAAAGTTTTGAAAGCATTAAAATCCGTCCACCCGTCGGGTGAATTCTATAATAGACAGCCAGTTTAGCTCGTCCTTGAGGACACTAATGGCCGGTCAACATGGACCCCCATTAGGCGTGTATAGTTTTATCTTGGTGTCAGCTCATCTGCATGCTTAACATGCATTTCCACATATTTCTTTGATGCATTTGGTTGCTTTCTAAAATGCCGACGATTTGGTTAGTATATCGATGAAACTCTGCTTGAGTGTTCCATATTTGAAGCTTGGGGGGGCAGTGGTAAAGGTGAGGGTGGCATCAACGCTGTAAACCAGTTCCAGACGAAGCTCAATCCCACCAAGAGCATGTGTCAAGATTCAACTGAGACCAAGGCCCTAATTTACCAGTATAATTCTCTGAATATTGACAGTATGTTAATCATCTTGACACCTATTTCTTGCATCCTAGAAAGCCCTGGAACCGCAAGATACTGGCTGATATTCTTCGAAAAATCAAGTGCGGTATCGCTCTCTACAGTGCGAGTGCTTTAACTGCAGGGTTGCCTGACTCAGGCTCATGGTCAGCAGATCCTACATTAAATCATCAATAGCCACGTATAGACAAACAATAGGATAATAGACAGTAGTTGAAAGGTATAATGTAGCTTTGGGAATTCTCCCATTTGCTTTTTTTGCTCCCCTAGGACGGACATTTACGAGAAGAACGATGGCTCTTCAACCTGATCTTGAGAGAGTTCAGTGAAGTCCATAAATAAAAAAAAAAAAAAAAGGAGAAAAAGCTGGAGATTCATGCAATATATTAAAACTTATTTCTCATGTCCTATAGCTTAACAAGCCCTATCATTTCATGAGCTGAGGGTATGTACCTTGGCGGCATTGTATGATTGATGTACGCCAATAAGTTAGATATATTTCTCACCGAGATCTATCCTCTTTAACAGACGTGCTTTGGCCTAGAGAAACGACAAGAATCTCTAGACACCAGGAGTAAAGAGTAGTCATATAGGAACAAAAGCGGCGAGAGAGCACTTAAACGGCAAGAGGACGATCAGAGATGATGTACTCCGTAATGTTAGAGATACCTTGGAGTAGAGAAGAAAAGTCTGTCTGATGAAGCTCCTTGAGTTAAATAAATGTTGTAATGAAGATCGCCAAACCCTCCATTAATTTATTCCCTCATAACTTTAGAAAGGAGGGCATGAGTGGTGAATGGTATGGAGGGATCTCAGCGTCAGATCGGAAGAGGTATTTCTCGACTTTCGCCAGCCAGAGAAATACAGTTAACGGTTAATACGTTTTGGCCCTCTTGGGCTGCTACTATGCGTCCATCCGCCCGCATTGGAATTGCTTCGAAGTCGCACAGGAGAGCAAGGTTCGTTAGTCATCGACCGAGTACGGAGTAGTTACCTAACTGCTGCCTAGGTAGGGGATCCGCTCTAGAGAGGATTTCGATGGATTCAATTCCAGGACAGATGCAGTTCGAGGATATCGCCAGGAAATCTTTCGGAAAGGGAATAGGAAGTCGATCGTGGTGAAATGACGCGATATGTTGGGTAGTAATATAACTGCACTTCGGAAGCCTGGCGCTCTCCGGACTCGCGTCCTCAGGCTGGGGTTACCACCGCTTACCACGTCAACTCCGTGAACTTCCATAACTATCCTCTTCTCTCCTCTTGTCAACTCTCAACTCTCCTGCTCCATCGCCACTAAGACGTCCACGGATTCTGCATCATCTCATCGGCTTTTCTATTTGATCCACTACTCATTACTGTTTAATATTGTGGTCTCTAGCTCGCTTTGCTTTCCTTCCCTCGTTCGAACTACTTTATCCTTCCCCCCGTCTGTTCCTCGTCTCCGATCTCCTTCCTCTCTCTGTGTCTCTCCTCAACTCATCAACCAATCTTGTTTCACCTTCCTTTCCGGTTTCTTACAGAGTGAACGGATGGCGGGCTGAATCGGTATCGACTGATGAGCGAACCCTCCCCATCCGGCTCTTGCTAGCACTCAACATATGGCCAGGCAAAGGCCCAACTTTCACCGCCAGGACCCTCTTGAGGACTCTTCTGCTGGAACTTCCGCCACTGCCGCCAGGTACATCTCCTATCTACTTCCCCTTACTCGCTCAGTTGTTTCCTCTCGCCCCTCGTCGCCAGGCCCAATAGCTGTCTCTTCACTTCCTTCCCCTCATCCTGGTGGCCCCGCATTGGCTGTCTCCTTGGGGACCCGCCAGTCCACCCTGCCACTGCATCTTCCCATGATACCTTGAATCTGTCAGTTATTGCATCAATCAGGACTGTTTTTATTCGCCTCTCCAAATATTGTCTTGTTGCCTTCATCCTTGTCCTCTTGTTTCATGTGGCCCTCACGCTCGTCCGCCATCCGCCTGTTCCTAGAAACACCTCCTTGGAATCGCTCAGACATACTCAACTTCTGATGTCCCGCAGAATCACCCGCTCAGCCGCGAGATTAGCTGCAGATCCCCCTCTGTCCATCAGCTCCGGCCCTTCCCCTGCGATTCCTGCCGCTGGTTCGGCTTCAACTCGGAAGCGTAAAGCTCCCGCACGCAGCGATCGGCCCGCGGACGCTTCTGGACAAGTGAATCACACATCTCCGCCCCGGAAACCGAAACGACAGCGGCGTGCAGCTTCCTCTCCAACGGCGGCAGCTCCCGCAGCTCCGCGCCGTGGTACTCGAAACCGCCCAACTATGTCCCAACCCGGGTGAGTATAGCTCCCGTGACATGCGTCCCTAAGATATTTCCCCGTTGACTTGATTCCCTCGTAGCCCGTCATCGCGACCCACGGAGGAGTCTTCAAGGAATCAGACGTCACCTCCAGCGTCCCGCCGGAAGTCTAGCCGTAATGGGAAAGTATCGCAAGGTAGGACTATACTTGAAGGAGCCGTGATATTCTGTCCAGCTCGATGTGGGTTGCATACGGTAGGCTAACACCCTGTTTAAAACCAGATCATCCCTCGGCAGCCCAGTCTTCTCCACCTCGCCGACACAAGAAGCACCTGCCCAGGACAAATCCAAATGTAGTCATGAAAGATGCGGATGATGACTTGGAAGGACACGAGCGGGACGAGGAACGAGGTTCGTCCCCGCCAAGTGATAGTAACGACGGAACAAACCATTCAGGCATCGATGATGATGATGGGGATCTCTTTCACAATAGCCTGTTTGGATCACGCAGTCCGCTGGAGCTCCAGAGCACTCTTCGTGCTTTGAGTGGCATGATGTCGGGCATGTCTTCTCGCCTGCGAGAAATTCTGTGCAATCTGAGAATGAAGGACGATCCATCCATCCAACTGATCGCCCTGCAAGAGCTGTCTGATCTTTTACTAGTATCAAATGAGGACAATCTGTCCGGCCAATTCTCGCCCGACCCGTACGTAAAGGAATTGGTCTCTTTGATGCAGCCCAGTGAGCTCGGCGAAGAGAACCCGGAGATTATGCTTCTTGCCTGCCGCTGCCTGGCCAACCTAATGGAGGCTTTGCGCGGATCGGTGGCCAATGTAGTGTACGGCGGTGCTGTGCCAATCCTATGCCAGAAGTTGTTGGACATTCAATTTATCGACCTGGCCGAACAGGCCCTCAGTGTCAGTCTCCTCCTGACCCACCCCCGTTGTGCCAATACTCTATAGTGATGAATCGTGCTGCTGACTGTCCCCTTATAGACTCTGTCCAAAATTTCTGTAGACTTCCCAGCGTCTATCGTGCGTGAGGGCGGCTTGACGGCCTGCTTGACGTACCTTGATTTCTTTCCAACTAGTACACAACGGACGGCGGTGACTACTGCGGCGAACTGCTGTCGTAATCTTCCCCATGATTCTTTTCCCGTGGTCCGAGATGTCATACCCACTCTCTTGAATGTCCTCTCCAGCAATGACCCAAAGGTTGTGGAGCAAGGATGTTTTTGTGTCTCCCGGATTGTTGAGAGCTTCAAACATAAACCGGAAAAGCTCGAAGAGTTGATACAGCCGGCAATGTTGAAAGCTGTGCTGCGTCTGCTTCTGCCGGGAACCACAAATCTCATTGGCCCCCATATTCACACCCAGTTTCTTCGGGTTCTGGCTATCACGTCCAAAACAAGCCCCGGACTCTCTGTGGAGCTACTCAAGATGGATGTGGTTGACACGCTTTACCAAATCTTGACTGGTGTCTCGCCGCCGGAAAATCTTGAAGACACGGCCGTCAAGATGGACAGTGTTCTTGTCATGCAGGCATTGATCCACCGTCCCCGCGAACAGGTCTCTGAGACTCTCAATGTTATCTGTGAGCTCTTGCCCGGTGTTCCTGGTCGACGGGCTCCACAAGCGGAAGGTTGTCCAGGTCCGTCTCTCGATAGTGACCCGGCCGTCGGGTTGAAATACTCCAAGGCAAAGGAGTCTGCTGAGAGGAGGCGTTCATTATTGATGAACTGCAAGACCGAGCTCAAGCGGTTTGCCATGATTTTACTGCCTACCCTTACAGACGCATATTCTAGCACTGTTAACCTGGAGGTCCGGCAGAAGGTACTCATCGCCCAACTCAAGATGTTACATAACCTAGATGCTCCTTTGGTTGAAGATGCCTTGCGGTCGGTGCCATATGCTTCATTCCTGGCAGCCATTCTGTCTCAAAAAGACCACCCTTCACTCGTCTCATCTGCTCTACGGTGTGCAGAACTTCTCTTCCAGCGCCTGGAGCGAGTCTATCAACACCAATTTCATCGGGAGGGCGTTGTATCGGAGATCTTCAAGCTTGGTGAAGAGCCCCTGTCAACCGAACAGCAGACAAAGCCCTCTGGAAACTCACCTACCACTGGGAATGCAGATATGCCTGGCGACTCACATTTAGCAAAGACCTCGGCCACATCTCATGCTGCAGCCAATAGGGATGCTAGCTCGGCCGATGAAGATGCCCCAGATGAAGAAGAGCACGATGATGATTATGACGAGCAAGAAGATGACCGAGATGACGACAATGATGACATGTCGGAATCAGAGAGCTCTTCGTCCTTCTCAGGACGGGTACTGTCTACTCGAATGGATAACGCCATGAAGGATCTCGTCATCCGTGACGCCCGCGCATTTGTTGAACTCTACGAAGCTGGTCCGGGAAAGAACATGCGAGACAAGGCCTTGGAGACATTGACCGAGCTGCAGACCCTGGCTGCAGATATAGAAGCTTGTTATCTCCGTGATGCTGACGGGGATGGTCTCTCTCTTTTTAGAAAATTGGCCACTTATTTTGATGGAGATGCCCTGGAAAGCATCACCAGCTCGGAGTTACTGAACTCGGGTATCATTAAGATTCTTTTGGACGTGTTTGGCGACTTTCACGGTATGTATTTCTTATTTTGCTTGTGGATATACTGGTAACTAATCATGGCTGGTAGCCCCCTCCATGCGTGAAGCTCGTACTGCTTTTCTACAGGCATTTATGGGGACCAACATTTCGGAGAAAGCTCAAAGCCAGAGCACCGCAACAACCCCCTTCAGCGTCCTGACCCACAAACTTCAAGATCTGCTCAGCCGGACTGAGCACTTTGAAGTAATCACTGTCAGCCACAACTCCTTGGAGAATACACGTAGCAATGCCGCTTATATGCTCGGCAAACAGCTTAGGCTGAAACTGGTGGCCGACGAAGACTCTGATATCCCTCGGTCTTATCGAAATATCATGGTCTCCATCCATGCAATAGCAACCTTTAAAGCATTGGATGATTTCCTTCATCCAAGGATCAGCCTGTCAGACCGACCTAAATCATCTCGCAGCCGCGACACAATCCTGTCCCAGATTGCCAACGCAGCCCGACTCCGGGAACAACTAGCCGGAAACGGCGAGGTTCCCGGCGACGAAGCTCCTTTGCCCCGTTCATCCACGGGAACAGACCGTCTCCCACGCCCTCACGATTCGAGGCCCGCAGCTAAGGAACCATCCATCGAAGGCCGTGGGTCAAGATCGAGGCGGTCAGGCCGCCATCACCAGGGCTCCGAAGGTGATGAACATGATGAACCCTTGGAATGCGCAGACGAAAGACAATTGAGCGACGACGACGACGACGACGAAGACGATGATGACGATGGCGACGGCGAGGGACTCAATGCCATTGTCGACGATCTCGAAGATGATCTTTCTGATGACAACGTACATGACCCAACGGCAGTTAACATGGAGGTTGCCTCCTCAGGTAAGGTCACGGCCCGCAAAGAAGATGGTACTCGTGTGGCCACCCCCTCTCAGTCCACACCGGCATCCAAGTCCTCCTCGTCAGCTACGCCGGCATCGGCGATAAATACGGGAAACAGCTCCCTAGCTCTGGCTGGTCGCCCATATGCTTCGTATGCCGCAGCCATGGCTTCCATCCCCTCTGACTGGCACATTGAGTTCAGCGTGGATGATAAAGCCGTGTCAAGCGAGACGACAATCTACCGTGCTGTTCATCATAATCGTCAGTCATCGGATCCTCAGGCAAGAAATGTTTGGTCGGCTGTGCATACAGTTAAGTTCAGGAGGGTGCCGGGACCGCCTCCTCCAGAGCCTACCTCTCTTACATCAGACTCGTCTGGGTCTGTTTCCAATGCGGAGAATAATCAGATGCCTTCCTCTCTCAGCCAAGATCCAACCACCGCATCGATTCTTCAGCTGCTCCGCGTTCTGCATGAGATGAATACCACCCTCGATGATATACTGGCAGAGACAAAGGATCTAGTCGCACTCAAACCCGAGTCGCTCGCGCAGTTCATCAACACAAAACTCACAGCCAAACTCAACCGGCAAATGGAAGAGCCGCTAATTGTCGCGAGCAGCTGCCTCCCCAACTGGAGCGAAGATCTTGCGCGGCTGTTCCCATTCTTATTCCCATTCGAAACGCGGCATTTGTTTCTCCAGTCGACGGCATTTGGCTACTCGCGCGCGATGATGAGATGGCATAATTCCCAAAATGGTGACGATAACCGGAATGACCACCGGCGTGAGGACCGGCCATTCTTGGGCCGTCTTCAGCGTCAAAAAGTGCGCATTTCGCGAAGCCGTATTCTGGACTCTGCTATGAAGGTCATGGAACTGTACGGCTCCTCGCCTAGCATCTTGGAGGTTGAATACTTTGAGGAAGTGGGTACAGGGTTAGGCCCAACCCTTGAGTTCTATTCAACTGTCTCAAAGGAATTCTCCAAGAAGAAACTCAAGATCTGGCGGGAGAATGATTGTAACAACGGCGAAGAATATGCCTTTGGCAAAAGAGGGCTGTTCCCATCCCCTATGAGTAATGCACAGGCTGCTTCTGAGTCAGGGAAGAAGCAGCAGCATTTGTTCAAGATTCTCGGAAAGTTTGTCGCACGGTCCATGCTTGACTCGCGGATCATTGACGTTTCCTTTAATCCGGCCTTTTTCCGCATCGCCGACCTCTCGTCTTCCGTCACGCCCTCACTTGGTACAGTCAAGGCGGTAGACGAAGATCTGGCAAATTCGCTGCTCCTGTTGAAGCACTTTGCTAATGCAAAACACGCTATCACACAGAAGAAGTCCCTCTCCGAGGAGCAGAAGAAGCAGGCTTTGCGAGATATTGAGGTGGATGGTGTCAAGGTCGAGGACTTGAGCCTGGACTTCACCCTACCCGGCTACCCAAGCATTGATCTCATCGACAACGGCTCCAACATCCCTGTGACCATTGAAAATGTGGATTTATACGTCGACCGGGTGGTGGATATGACCCTTGGCAGTGGTGTACAACGTCAGGTGGATGCATTTAAGGCAGGATTCTCGCAGGTCTTCCCGTATTCTGCACTACGGACTTTCACGCCAAGCGAGCTGGTTATGCTGTTTGGAAGGGCGGAAGAAGACTGGACGATCGAAAGTAGGTTGCTCAGATATTAATTCTGTGCCACGATGGCGATGTTAACATTGGTACTTCAAGCTCTCATGGATTCAATCAAAGCAGACCATGGTTTTAACATGGACAGCCGGAGTGTGCGGAACTTACTGCAAACGATGAGCGAATTGAATGCGCCACAGCGACGAGATTTCCTGCAGTTTGTCACCGGCAGCCCTAAACTTCCCATTGGAGGTAAGACCTTCCTCCTCTTCTCTCACCCGCTGGGTAAATTGGTTACTGATACTAGTTTTTCTACTTAGGCTTCAAGAGTCTAACTCCTATTTTCACTGTTGTCTGTCGCCCGAGTGAACCGCCATACACACCTGACGACTACCTTCCGAGTGTGATGACTTGTGTAAATTATTTGAAACTTCCCGACTACAGCAGCCTCGATGTGCTTCGAGAGCGGTTGGCTGTTGCTATCAAGGAAGGCCAGGGAGCATTCCACCTATCGTGATCATCTGTCATTCCATTCCGATTTTTGCCCAACAACACGCCATCTACGGTGCTGTTGTTATAGAATGACAGGCATGTAGGATGCACATATGGAAAAGAATCGGTCCCAAAAAGGAAGGGAAAAATAAAACAAAAATGGCACACCCCTTTGTTGGTGCATTGGTACAGACATTAACAACATACCCCCTTTTACAGCATTGTCGTGGGAAAGGTTATAATGACAGCATAAGTGAATCTTTGAATTCCCGCTCTTCTCGTGCGGCTGGCATTCTGCATTCGGGCTCATTTTTCATTTTCGATGTGTGAGTGCCTAGGTTAGGATGGAGTCTATAGGGTTTCTTGATAATCATCTAGATTAAAATGGACGTATTTGACAATGAGATCTAGTCTATTATCTGTATGCGAACAAGAACTGGGTATCCTTCTCGCAGCACATGTTTATTTTCTTTATAGATTAGCTCCGATACAGAGGCACCATGGACTAGACGAACGTCAGAACCATCCCCCAAACATGAAGGCAATGAATGGAATAACATACCTCTGCAAACTTCGGCTCCACGAACAACGCCTTCGCCTCAGCCACCAACACCTGCTCTCCTTCCTCTCCTGGCCAGGGCAATGAACACAATGACCCCTTCACCCTGGCCTTCCTCCCCTCGACTGACCCCGTATCCGCACGCAAGACATACAATCGATCCGGCAGGGCGGGCTTCCGAAAATCCACCGTCAAATTGGCGGTCATGCCCAATCCACTGGGGAAACAAGCCGAGACGCAGCGCGCAAACGCCTCGTCGAGCATCACGGTCAGAAGACCCCCGTGCACGAACCCGGGATGACCACAGAGTTGCGTCCCGATATGAAAGACAGATATAATGTGGCTGTGGGGGTCTTCTTCGTCGATGACAGAGGGGTTTTTCTGTTTCTGTTTCTTCTCTGTCCAAGACCAGATGAATGGAGGAACAGTGACCTGTCCTGGTCCGGACAAAGAACCCGCGACGAAGTGTGTGGGTCGTAGCGCGGAGTTCATGGTCCGGTGGGGACGGGATTCCTTGTATGAAGGATTGGAACGTAGGGATTGTACGAGGGGAAGTTGGGCGATTTGATTGTCTATTTGTGATGAGAGGGATGATGGGGTTTGTTGCTGGTGACACTGAGGATGAGGATGAAGAGGATGTTGTTGCACATGGTGAGAGTCTGGGATGGCGGTTGACGCGACGCGGGTTGAAGGTTGAACTTGGATAAGGGATAGAGATGATAAGTTTCGGTGAGATAGTCGGCGCGTACACCGTGGTAGGCTTGTTAGATATAGCATGTCTGTCTCTGATGCCAGTTGCTTCTGTAGTGGGTTAGACATGCGGGTCGTTGGATGACTAGATAGAGTGGAGAACTCACCAGTTTCTAGGTATTAGGGTGTATAGTGATGCATGTACGGATAGTGTATGCAGGTCTGCTGCACAGAAATTGCAGGAAAGAAGAAGAAAAAAAGTAGAAAAGAATCGGCCCCGCCCAGCAGGGCAGTGAACCAAGTGGAGCCGGCGTCCACAATGGAATGTCGTCATAGCTGATATTCCCGCATGTTATTCATAGGTCTATCATATTGTGTGCTCTAATTTTCTCTTCTGAGGATAGATACTATGGATTCTGATTATATTCGGTGGTATTTAATGTGGAAAGCATGTAGCATGTGCTCCTGTACTCAGTAGTCCGTATATATACCGGAGTCATCTCTACTTACACAAGAGGGGCTCAATACAGTGAGCAATTTGTAAGCACAATATCTGTATATTCTTGAAATATATTCATGGCTCACGCTCCAACTCAAAGCTAGCATGCTCTGCAATGAGCTCGAGCTGAAAGTAGATGAAAATTCGGCGATCTACCGATACCGGCATCCCGAGTGGGTCCATCGGCATCGGTAGATTCTTCGGGATTCGGAGACTGACCCGACTTCGATGACATCAGCATTCAGTTTTGGCCAATTATGACCTGATTAGAAAGACTTATAAGTAACAGTATATGTTCATACAGGCTTGCTAGGATATACTAGACACATCGGCCTATGTGAAGTACTGGTGTTGTATTTATCCCAAAATTCATGCTCCTATAAATTCCTCGGTTAGAGGCGGGAACAAAAGAAAAAAAAAAAACTTCAGTCAAGCACAAGAAACATATAAAGAATCAGGGACTGTTTAGTCAACTAGCCAGCTCTGGCTACTCAGTAGTCTGTACGGACTAATTCAGTTGGAGTTAAAACTTCAAACTAGAGACTTGGCTTGCCCGGATTGAGTTCGTTAGAGAGACTAGGAAAGATAATAGAAGTAGGCTAATCCACAATGGAGATAGTTGCTTTCTAGACCCTTTAGGAGAAGCGAATACTAATATTTGACGCTTTTGTTAGCCTGACTTTAACAAGCTGGTCCATAGCGTAGCATCTTGGTAGAACAGTATCTAGTCAAATCTAATTCGAGAAACATGTCAGAAAATTCGGTCGATGATTCCACCCTCTCGGCCGTAATTATGGAGTATATACGGAGGAGTACAGAGTCCTGGGCTTTTGATTCCTGTCCAGAAGACCGACATAATATTGTTTTTGGTATTAATGCTCTAGTGGCTAATAGGAATTGTGCAAAAGTAGCCTATTGTGCGGGCATGAATCTAGTGGCATCAGCAGTGTTACTGCCCACATGAGATCGCTTGTAATGACTATGTAGCATACAAGACACCATAATCTGTGCCCCGGACATCGTACCTCTTTATACACTGAGCATGTTGTTCCTTAATATTCGTCGTCGACGCACCGTCCAGCTCTGGGTACTGGATGGTAACATATCGATATCCACCCCAAAGCAATTCCGTCAGATCTGAAACCAATTCCCGACCTATGGTAGAAAACCACATATACCGACTCAAGATGGACAGAGCACGGTCCCATTTTTCATCGATGGTATCGGAGCACATTGCTCAGCAGATGATAAACCCTCACGGCCAGTCGTTGTCCGTCCTAATTCGATTCCAGACGAATTCTTCCCCCAGCGAGACTCCAAGCGATATGCTTTGGTCGTCATCTTCCTTTATAAATGGAGCGCTTTTTGTTGGCTCTTATAAAAATATCCCTAGACTCACGTAAGCTTATATTAATCCGACTCATCAAAATACCGAAGATCCGTAGGGATAAAAAATAAATCCTATGTCAATGGCACAGTTAAACTGATCATGGCATGATGGATAGAGGAATTGCGTTCATAGCTGAGATTAATAAGAAGTTTATAGGCTGAGTTCATCCCAGATGTCAGTCTGCATCCAGTAGCAAAAAGTTATCATTATGTTTTCAAAAGCTTAGAATACCTGTTGCCTACGTGTCAATCTTCCCTTACAATAACATGGCATATCTAAGGTGGATTTGACCGCATACCCAATACTCATATCCATCCATTGTCTGGGCTTGTAATTCGGTACTTTCTGAGAATGCGCCAGACTTAGACGACGACTATCCTGATGTCTCGACACTGGATAATTCCATAAGAACAACCCTCACACAGTTTAAGGACTTAGTAGATAACCCACAACTACTCACAGGTTGTAGTGATAGTAGATGCGGCATTAATCTTCGATTGCGCTCAGGGCCTGCCATGTTGAGCCATTTTTGGGGGGGTTAATGGTAGTTAGAGAATCGTTCACGTACAGTTAAGCACGCTTCGGCTGTGCAACTCACCGTTCTTTCTCCTTTCTCGACCATGGTCCTGCCGAATGAAGTACTTGTTGAGGAACAGGAAAGGACGAACCGGTTTCTCCAGCCCGTGAGTTCTATACACGTAGTAGAATAGTACTTCACCCATTTAAGGGTTCAAGGAATATAGCCCTCAATCTTCCCAGGGGATTCTCTTCCATTTTTATGCTGTTCCACCAGTCCGTTTCCATGCTCTTGATACGTCTGTTCCATGTCCCAAGGCAACGCACTATGCGTCTCGAAGAGCGTCTCGATCAATTCCAAAGACCACATGTCTCGGAATAAAACCACCCCCGGGATCCAGATCAAATTCAGTCCTGCGAGAATGAAGTAACTCGGGCTCTTGATCCGGTCGAACATGATCGGGTTTACCAACATCGTCACGCATACGGTGATGGCCCATCCGGTGATGTTGAACCCATTGCCCTGGGTACATAGATCCGAGGGGAAGATTTCCGTGGGGATGAGGAAGGTGACGGTTCCCCATGTAGCGGCATAACTGGGAGGAGATATTATATTTGTAATCAGAAGAATGAGGCGGTAGACGCACTCCAAGTTAAAAAGAAACAGCGTCGCTGCCGCAGCCGGGACATACTGGGATGCGTTTTCGGGATGTCCAAGGGGGCCTTCGTACACGGATCCGCCCTATATATTTTGTCAGCCGGAATCAATCGAATCATTCCCAGACGGTGAAAGAGGGATGTACGATCAATTCCACCGTAAACAAGATGGCAGAGCCGAGCATCAGACATTCCGCCGTCCAATGCGGTCCACGATCTGCGCACTGATGATGGTGTCCACCCCAATGGAATTCAACCCCGTTACGAGGCCATTCTGCGTGATCTCGCTGTATCCCGCCTGACTGAGCAGCACGGGGAAATATGCGGTGACCGCCTAAACATCGGTAGTTATCTATGTAGACTCATGAGGTACATACTGATCCCCCTCCAGGACGCCATTATTTGCAGGAACAAACAGAGCCAGGCACGTCGACTCAGGTTCGCTCACGGCCGTCCACTCCGTCCTAGGAGGATTTTGGCAAATTAGATGGGAGAACTGGGTTTCCGATACTCTGCGGCGAGGGTGACCTCGAGGAACTCCTGGTCGACCTCGTCGGGGGTTAACTGGAGACTTAAGACGAGTCAACACGTCCTGGGCCTCCTCTGTCCGTCCGACAGATGCAAGATATTGTGGACTATTGGGGAAGAACTTGACGGAGAGGGCCAGAAAGAGGGCGGGAATGAACTGGAAGGCGAGGAGAAAGCGCCATTGAAAGTCCGAGTAGCCGTTCTGGATGAAGGGGAGGGCGAAGGAGAGCCAGTAGGCGGATATTCTGAGATCTATCCTGTCAATACGGATTGATACAAGAGATATGGGTATGAGCACAGCTGGCAGTAAAGATATATCCTAGAAAGCCGCCGTGATGCTGCGCTGAGGCCGTCTCCGAGACGTGCACGGGGGTGATTCCGGCCAATGCTTCAAAGTTATATAGATTAGTCCATAATTCTTCTATATAAACAAGAACACTGAGAATGAGAAACAATGGATACCTCCAATGCCAATGCCTATGACCACACGCGCTACCAGTATAAAATCCGAACTGGTGATGGACGCCTGCAACGCGCCTCCCACGAGGGAAACAGCAATCCGACGAGAAGCCTATCGATATGTCAATCGGCCAACTAACCCCCGGCGAAAGAGTGGACAATGCAGCCGAGAAATAGATGCTCACTGGACCCCCTTAATGCGTGGTGCCGGCGACGGTGCCGTCAGCGATTCTAATGCCCATGGTCGTCACGTATTCGGGGGTGTCCCATGACACCTTGAACATATCCTTCGAAGAAGATAAAGACGATAGAAAAGGCATGGATAGCGAGGGGGAGTTGGTTTATCATGATGATATTGTTGGAAGATAAGAGTCACTTGAGACAGTCTTGCAGATTATCTACAGAAAACTGCAGGCTCACCAGGATTATTCTCATTAACCAATATATTTCCCCTCGCTAAATTAACTCTTACATCCTTCCCCTCATTAACTATTTATCGATATAATCTGATGCATCGGCATCAAAAGAGAAGAATGGAATTGGACTTGACCGGAAGAGCGGCACATACATGGTAAGAATGAACAGGAAAATAAATAAAGAATGCTAAATAAAAGGACGCCATCGACTGTGCACTGTGTCATTCCATCAAGAATCCCCCGATTCTCCCATACATTTCCAACTCCTCAAGGTATTTATCTCCTAGAAATAGGTTCAATTCTAACAACTACATATAGACAAATTCCCCCCGACCCCCCGATTAAAACGCGCCATGAACATGATCCTGCCAACCAAACCTCACCTTCCGAATTGTCCGAAGTGAATGTCATCCTGGGCGAAACCTTCGCAGCTGCTGTGCACACCTGATAATCTTCCCACGGCGAAACCATCTGGTTATTTTACATGCCCGACGAGAATCAAGTGGAAGTGCCCTCACCATGGCGGACGGCCCCTTCCTTGCCGCGCCTGCCAGCATCACCAGCATCACTGACTTCCGCATTAGCGACCAGGCAGCGGGTCGTCAGGGCGCCCCTCTGATCGCCTTCTTTGATGCTCTGCAGCTGCATCATCCGACCAAGTTGCGCTCCTGTCAGAATATCAGCGGCCTCGCCAACGTCTGCTTCATTCTCCCGGATTCCCACGGGGGATCCACGAGTGTTATGACTTCGATACCGGACGCGGGAATGTACTCATCGACGCTGTCGTGTGTCAGTATACCGATAGAGAAGAGAACTTCGACCGTGACGGTGTCATGGGTTCCCAGGGTGCTGTTGACCAAGCTATCGTCGACGAATATCTGCGTAACCATCCTTCCGTAGCGATCCCCCCCAAGACTACCGGTCGTGAAATCTTACACGTATCGCTGCCCGGGCTATCATTGATCACTGTCGTCGCTATGCACCGTCGGATTCGCCCCTCGAGGAGATCTTCATGCAATCCTACCGCCTTCATTCCAAGACATTATCCCGACACTCGCATTATCTCCTCGATGATGCCGGCATACCAGCCGGGGCGAAGGAGGCTATCACCTTCGCCTGGCAGGGCATGGAGGCCATCGTCAGCCGGCCCATTCCCATTCCAGGCCGCGTGCAAGCCTGTAGGGAATACGTCCTAGGTAAAGTTTCGCCGGGTCCGAACTATATTCAGGTCCTACGGAAAGTCCTGTCTCCTTTGGAACCGGGAGGGGATCATCTCGCCCCTCTGACGGAAATGATCAATTACGTGGACGGGAAGGTCTTTGATAACAGATGGTAGACCTGGGACGGAGTTCTGTAGCGTAGTGATACCTATATATACAGTTTCATAGTGATAATGCTTCGTAGAAGATCATGAACACGGACTGCCAGAATAAAGCCCGCCCCCTAACCCCGTAGAGTTTGGTTCCAAAGACTCTGCACTGTCACCTCCTCTGCCCAGTTATCTACTTCACCGTCTACCTGAGTCACAAACTGGATTTCTTTCCTTTGTCCGGGAACCAACACGAAAGCGTTCTCCGTGAAATACCCAACCCGGCCGGCAGGATAGTTGAGCCAAGTGAACAGCGAAATCCCCCTTGTGGCTTCTACCGTAAACTTATCGGAATCCGTATCATATGAGAGGTTGAGTCCGGGATCGACTAGCTTGAGGTCCTTTGGGAACGCCGGCGTGAAATAATTCGTATGGGTGAATGACATCTCCCTGTGGGAATTGGGCAGACGTCCCCTGCCCGTGAGAGACAGCAGGAGAATCGAGTCCTTTTGATCCGTTAATCCAAGCTCACTGATGCTGCTGCTGTATATTTTCGTGGTATTGAGCGCCCCCACGTGGAAGGAGACCGAGGTCGGCGTACCCGCGTTATGCGCAATGCGATGGCCCGATAGGTCCATCCAGGTCAGCTGGACGCTGCCGGTCACTGGCTCCCATTGATCCGACGTCACGTAGATCTCCAAATGGCCCGTGGTGTAGTTCCAGAACGGAGAGACGATCACGGGTTCGTATATGTCTTTCGCCACGTAGTGAAGAGCCTTCCATCGCCCATCGTACTCAATCCCAGCCCAGGACGGCGCTTGCCAGATGTCCTCGAGCTGCCAGTAAAGGGATCCTAGCTGCCGTTCGGGCATTCCACTCCCGCGACGGTAGAATTGGATCTGACTCTTGTACATGTCCGCCTGGAAGAGCTGGGTCGCGTGGCACCAGGCACTGAAGTTGGCAACAGAGTCCGTCTTGTGCGGGATCGGATAGTAGCGTTCAACGGCCATGGTCATCTCGCCCATGCCAATCGATGTATTGTGGAAGTTACCGGTGTCCGTACTCCCAGGTGGATAGTGATGATTTCGAAGCATTACAACGCTGCTGTTGAAGTGCAAGTCGGCGGACTCGACGGCCTGCTGCCACGTTTGAAGGCTCGGCATGCTGTGGAATCCAAATTCATTGGCAAACCGGCCCACTGGGTAACGAGAGTAGTCGAACGCTGTGCGGCTGTCGTAGTTGTAGTAGTCAGTGTCACCATAATAATGCCCGGGCGTGACATTCATAAATCGCTCCGCCATGGGAATGGGTGCCGATAGATTGACCGCCAGATAGCCTTCAGTTGTGCTGCTAGGGATGTACGAAATCGACCGTGTATTCTCATAAACCAAAGGCAGTATGAGGCGGATGTATAATGTCTCGTAATCCCCGATATACTTGTCAAATCCGTCGGGATCCCCAGCCTTGGCGATAGGGAGCATCAGAGACTCAATTTCATTGCCGCCTGCCCATAAAGCGAGCGATGGATGATGGTTCACGCGTCGGACGTTGTATACAACCTCCGCCGCAACGTTGGCCAAAAACTTGTCATCCACCGGATATATGGCATCGCTGAATTCAAACTCGCTCCAAAGAAGCAAGCCCCTCTCATCGGCCAGATCGTACATAAAGTCAGGCAGGTAAGCCCCTGAGGACCAAACACGAAGCATATTTTGATTTCCTAGGATTGCGACATCAAACAAGCGCGCCATCTTGGCTTCCGTGACTCGAGGCCAAAAAGCATCTGGGGGAATTAAATTAGAGCCTTTAGCGTAAAACTCATGGCCGTTAATTTCGAAATGCCAATTACTACCGGGCGCGACACCCTGTGCAAGTTGAGCCGGAGTGATATTGCGCTGGTTGAGGAAAATGGTGCGGAATCCAGTTCTCTTGGTGATGTGGGCTAAGGACTCCGAGTTTCTACTATGGATAGCGACGGAAATATTGTAGAGATTCTGGGGCCCGAGGCCATGCGGCCACCAAAGCTTCGGACTGGCGTTATCGAGAACGGTGACGCCCGTGATCGAATTCCCAGACACAGTGATATTGCTAAGGGCCCTTGAGGTGAGTATAGCACCTGATTCGTTATCTTGTATCTCAATCGACATGGATGAGTGCCGTGGGACATGGCCCAAGAAATCAATACTAGCATTCACAACCCAGGGCTGGTCTTGGTCAGGTGGTAGATGGTTGATCTGGCCTTGCCGATGGATGTCCAGATCTGTGTTTAAGACATAGATACTTTCCGGATCCTCAAGTTGCACAAGATAGGCGGGCTTCCAGGGGCCGGCCGGCGCAAACGCTGGTCCCCAGTCCCATCCAAAGTCCGACTGTTCTTTGCGCATGAACCATCGATTTGGAAACTCATAGGTCATTTCGAAGGGCCAATCTTTAAGCAATCAGCGCGCTGGGGTGGAACAAACCCAAATTGGGGGGGGAAATGGTGTGACCAAACCATTGGGACCGTAACCTTCGGCGATTTTATTCACAATCTGTGGCGCACTGCCGAAGTTGAGACTCAGGACAGGCTCTTCCGTGCATTGCCTCAGAACGTCGGATACGTCGAAAGAATACTGGCGGAATTGATTGTCGGTAGATGCGATGAATTTTCCGCACAAATTAACAGTTGCATAAGTATCCAATCCATCAAACACAAGCCATGTGGAGAGGAAATCCTTGCTCCTGATTCATGTCAGAATGATAACTATCGGGGAGCGATGGGCCGCTTACAATCCCTGGATAGATTCACTGGTGTATGTCCAGTTGGCATTGGCAATCCAACGAAGGTCAAAATCATTTAAGCCGTAGTAGCTTCGACCAGATCAGCCAGACCTCAGCCCTCGTGGGAATAAGCCGATGCACTTACGGATCATCTGAGGCGAGATCAGTGGACGTATTCATGCAGGGTAAAGGTCACCCACCAATTTCTCCCGCCTTCAACAAGTCTAAATGGACATGAGATGGTAGGTTACCGGGCACGGTGTGTTCTAAGACTGGACTACTGAGAGTCCACTTTTCCCTACTCAGGTCTCGGACATTCTGTGCAAGTGCAGCCGGGACGATAGACGCAAGCAACGCTATAAGGGCTCCCATTGTGAAGGGTGTTTTGAAAGACAAAATATCCAAAACCATCCTGTACGCAGTTTAAAGGGAAATCCCCACAATTGAAGACAGATTCGGGTTTATACCCCGCAAACATATAACACAAGTTCCCCGCTAAAGTCCGGGAATCGTGGGAATCAGTGATTCACACTCGACGAGTATAGCAGATAACAATGCGGGGACGGGACTTGGTCTGTTCTAAAGGATTAAAACATTTGCAAATGGAGATCCAATAATCATGATTGTGGTTTCTGTGAAATGATGATTCTTGTATATGATTGGAAGTACGGATGCAGAGGAACACTCTTTCCTCGAGCGGGGAAAAGATCAGCAGAAATTGCTATGGCATCCTTCGGAATACAGGATGCCTAGTTCGCGTTGAAAAGAGAGTGGTTCTGCTTAAAAAGAACAAGCTATTGATAAATTAAGAATTGTAGTAGTAGTAGAAAGTAGCATGCGCAAGAGACATGCATCCATCCCATGTGTCACCAACAGTTACCACATGGAGCTTCTAGCATGCAAGGTTCCCTTTGGGGTACCCCTGGCGGTGATAATGGCCACACACAGATTTTCCGGAGACCAGTGATATATACGCCCTCTCTAAGATGAATGGAAATAGATCGAATGATGAAAGTGTGTACCTTCAATTACTCGGCCCAGATGACTGCCCCTTCGCGCTGGTATTTTGATCTAACCGAACCTGCTTAGAGAATCTGCTCTGGGGGCTAACTCAGCTCGGCTAGGAGCGGGAGACATGACGTCGGCGCCGAAGCCAACCGTCTCCTCCGCATTCCCCAGACTGAGCCTTTTCAACTTGCTCTCCAGATCCTTATGGCCTGGGGTTCGTCGCTTCTCCGGTCTCCTGCACAATTGCTCTACTTCATCTACCAGCACCATGTCTCTAAGTCTGCTGGGACGCATATCGCGGGGTCCTCGTACCCTGTCCGCCATTCCTCGACGATGGGGTAGTTCCGTCTCCCAGCGTCCTGGTTCGGACCGGTATGTGTTTCAAGCATCCGGATGGGCTGGAACGGCCACACTGACGACTTGCAATTACTAGTGTTCGATTTCCAGGTGCTGTCAACAGCAAATTTACAACCGAGATGGCCTTCATCAATCCCTCCGAAACGTCCAGCATCCCTACCTACCGCGTCATGGATTCCGACGGCGTGTTGCTTGATAAGGGTCGGAGACCCCTGAATCTATCAGATGAGGAGATCCTCACATGGTATAAGAATATGTTGACCGGTGCGTTGTGTGCATACCCCATTCAATGTAAATCGTTATACTAAGAAGCTTCCAGTGAGCGTCATGGATGTGATTATGTTCGAAGCGCAGCGACAGGGTCGGATCAGTTTCTACATGGTATTCCAGTTCCCACATAGTCACCAGTCAGTCCTCAAGCAATTGCTAACTTGCATCAATCTAGGTATCTGCTGGAGAAGAAGGTATCAGCGTGGGTTCTGCAGCCGCCTTGACACCCGACGACGTGGTGTTTGCCCAGTACCGAGAAACCGGCGTCTTCCAGCAACGCGGATTTACCCTCAAAGATTTCATGAGCCAGCTATTCGCCAACTGCCATGATAATGGCCGGGGTCATAACATGCCAGTCCACTATGGATCAAACTATCCCCGTACAGTGAGTGCAGCGCATTACCTTTTCCCCTTCCCTGACTAACTATATTATTAGTACACTATATCATCCCCCCTAGCAACACAAATCCCTCAGGCATCCGGAGCGGCATATTCTCTGAAATTACAGGCCCTCCAGAACCCAGACACCCCACCACGCATTGTCGCCTGCTACTTCGGCGAAGGAGCCGCCAGTGAAGGCGACTTCCATGCTGGACTTAACATCGCAGCCACCCGCTCCTGCCCCGTTGTGTTCGTCTGCCGAAACAACGGCTACGCCATCTCAACCCCCACCCTGGAACAATACCGGGGAGACGGCATCGCCAGTCGTGGAGTCGGATACGGCATCGACACCATCCGCGTCGACGGAAACGACATCTTCGCTGTGTATGAAGCCATGCGCGAAGCACGACACATCGCCCTGTCGGACGGCGGCAAACCCGTTCTGATCGAAGCCATGAGCTACCGAGTTTCTCACCACAGTACCAGTGACGACAGCTTTGCGTACCGCGCGCGCGTCGAGGTGGAGGATTGGAAACGACGCGACAACCCCATCATCCGTCTTCGCAAGTGGCTGGAGAACGAGGGCCTGTGGAACGAGGATCTTGAGCGGGACACCCGCGAGCAGCTGCGCAAGGAGGTGCTGAAGGAGTTTGGCGAGGCCGAGCGCGAGAAGAAACCCCCTCTTCGAGAGGCCTTTAGCGATGTGTATGAGGAAGTCACCGAGGAGGCTCGGGAACAGATGAAGGAGCTCAAGCGCATCCTCGAGGCCTATCCGGAGGAATATGACCTTCGTGAGTACAAAGATGGGATTAACGGTTTATAGAGGGCTCCGACGTACATACTAAAGAAAATATGCTGTGCATGATTTAAAGTCTTAACCACTTTCGTAGATTCGATTCCCCTTAGATATACATATTTCAGTCTTCTAAGCCTTACGGTTGATTTATAAGATAGATCGTTGTGCAGACAGTGGTACAGATTGGAATTAGTTCTGATTTTGAAATTGACTGCAATCCTGGGATATCATCGCTGGTGGAATATTGCCCACTGACAAACGCCAAGCAACACCATCGAAGGCTACAAATGATAAGCTACTTATACAATAGAAAGAAAGAAAAGAAAACATGATACAAAATCTCATCCATACTGTACAAATCTCCCGTCGTAAAAAAAGGAAAAGAAAAGAAAAAAGCAGAAGAAAATAAACAATAAAAAAAAGGCTAAATCGGCACCGTTTGTCCGTCAATAGCAGTAGCCAAAGCCTGCTGCACCAGTTTCTTGTTTCGCTTCACCAGCGCATTGAGCTTCTTGTCGATCGAATCAAAGTCCTTGCGCGATGACTCCAGCTCCTTCTGAGACTTCACAGCAAACGCCCGCAGCTCGTCATCCGTCATGCCCACAACGTCATCCAAATCCGGCAGCGTGCCCACGACAACACCAGCAGCCCCGAGCATGTGCTTGGCCGTGGCCGCGGCAAATGATCGCACCGAGGTGGCCGTCGCGTTTACCAATTCGGCGGTGTTCGCAATGGCCCAGTTGTGACTGCGCGTGCTGTCCGCCTCCATGGTCGACAGAACGTTGGGCGGAGCAGCAGCGCTGATGGCCCCGGTCGACTCGGCCGCGGACATGCCCCCCTCGGGCGACACCGGCGCAAGGCTCACCGATGTCTCATCCATCCAGCAAATGTTGAAGTTCTCGGGCGTGGCAAAAAGGGCATCGAGTCCACCGCTACGGTTGGTAAAATCTGGATCTGTGACGGGCTCGGCGGGATACTCCTGGACAAAATCGCTGTCGGAACCACAGCTCTTCTCGAGTGCTAGGAATCGATCTTCTTCCTCGCGAGACAGGTGACGGAGAACAACCCCCCGGGGAGTGATCAGACATCGGTACTTCAACTGGCTGGAGTCGGTGTTGAGGCGAACAGGATCCCCGCGCAGCAGCATCTTACGATGCTCCTCAGTGAGCTCAATCGGCTGCTTCAAGATCTCGTAGTCGTCCGCATTGCATTTCATGTCGAAACGCTGGCTGAGATTGGGGGGATGGAATAGAGGATGCGTATTGAGATCCAACATGCCGAACTTCTGGAGCTGAGCCAGCAATGTAGGGAGTGGCAACGTCCGTTCCGCGAAGAGCTCCTTGATGGAGATCCCACTGGCTTCTGAATCCTTGATCAACTGTTCCACCGTGTTATTCGAATGCCAGGCTTCAGCCTTCTTCACGGGGACTTCCTTGACCTCGACCGGATTGGGCTTCATCTCCTTCGCTTTTTCCTTGGGCTGGGCCTTCTTGGATTCAGCCTTCTGCTCAACCCTCTCCTTGCTATCATTACCATTAGGGGTGGGTTTGGCGGTGTCGGATGTGTTCTCAGGCACCACCCCCGAATAGTCGGCGTTGCTTGTCGCCGCCTTCTTGGCTTTTCGCTTCCTTCCAATAATAGGGGCTTGCACTGGCTCTTCGGGAACGGTAGATGCAGCTTCATGTTTCTTGGCCTCAGCCTCCTTTGCCTTCTGCCGGCGATCTTTCTTGGCTTGGCTCTTGGTCACGGATCGCACGGGGGCCGAACCAATCCGGGATGTTGGGGGCGGAGAATTTGCGCGCGACACCGACGCCGAAGTATAGATATCTGCCTCAGAACCCAGATCACCGGGAGTGTCAGGTCGGCTGAGAGACGAAACGCTAGGTCGTCTAGACCGCGTCTTGTTGGCGACCGGCGCAGACGAATTGGAGTTGGTGGCAGACACAGGGGGAGGAGTCTCCGCCTTGGGGGTGTCGACCACGCGGAGAACTCGGGGCTGACGTGGAGCTGAAGAGTCTGAGGCACGCGAGACCGCAGTCAACGGGGTGTTGGGGCGGGAGCCGATGGCCGATATTGGAACATGGACCTGACCGGATGGTATGTTACCGGACAGTTCGCTCTTGGACGGAAAAGCCTCGTGTGACTGAGACGTGTCTAGAGGCAGTTCCAACTTTATGGGTTTGCCTTTGCTAGAGGTCGACAAGCCCTTATCCTCGCTGGGACCGTCCGTTTTCTTTCCGCTTTTCTTGTCTGCAGAGGCAGCCAGGTCATCCTTGGGTTGCGATCGAGCCTTACTGGCGGATTTCGCTACCGGTGAGCCTAATGAGATCTCTGAAGCATTCTTGACGCGAGTGGATGGGGGACCGTCGTCTGCGATATCTTTCATATCGGGGGATGTGCAGCGGAACGTAGGGTCCTGGAAGCTTTGAGACGGCGTACCGAGCCTAGAGAGAGGAATATTTAGTCCAGGTGGAAGGGCCGAAGTCGAGGAGGTCGGGCTGGATGGGTTCAATGGGCTCTGGAAGAGAGCGGAAGCCGGATGAGTGTGCGGCAAGGGAAGACCTGGAGGAAGGCTGGGAGTGCCGGTGCGCGCCGAGCTTTGTGATTCACTGTGCATGTGGGAGCGTCCCAGATAGCCAAAGCTGTCCACTGGATGCTTTTCTTTGGTGGCAGCGCCGAGAGGAGGGAACTCTTCATCCACTAATGGTCGTTGGTCAGCCAGGTCACCATGTTAATAGTTGGTGCATTGGAACAGGGCAGTCAAGAAACAATGCAAGACCAGTAAAGGAAAAAGCCCGACGTAACTTGCATGCGAGGGCGACAAAAAGAAACAGACAAGAACGGCCAATAGACTATCCAGACAGATAAACAAGAACACAACATCGTACGAGAGGGCTGGCAGATTAATTACATCAAAGTGCCCCGGCCATGTTGCCAGCAAGACACACCAGGGATGACGTCTATATGAACAGTAGTCGTGAGAATTTGGTTTCAAGTAGACAGGCCCCTGCTTTGGCTGAACCAAAGTCAGGGCAGGGAGGTTAACGTACATAAAACCATGACCATGCCGGATGGGCCACCAAGGTGCTGATAGTTCAACCCAGCTTGGATGCAAAAAGAACAGACATACGACAGCCCAAATCAGACGTGGTCCCTGAAGGCGCCCACGCAATGCAATGGGAGAAAAAAAAAGACCATTTGCGTCCATGGAAGCGGCCATAGCAGGGAACAAAAACAATAAAAAGATGAAAGGAATCAAAGACTGGACAAGGTCATAGAACAACGGCAGAAAATAGACAACATGGGTTCCATAAGAATAAACGCCAACGCCAAGCCAGAAACTTGTTCTTTTCAGAGCCGATTGCTTTAATGCTTTGTTGCAGAGTGAAAATATACCGCAAAGGGTTCAATGACGAATCAAAGCGGAGAAAAACAGAAGCAGCAAATTCATATCCTGCACCCATCTAGAGAAATGTGATATCATGTCATGAAGGGTAGGGAAGGGGGAGAAAAGACAGCAAAAGGACGTAAAGTATAAAACAATCAGGCGCGGCATGCAAAAGTGGTCATCATTACAACGAGGAGAGGACATGTAGGGGAAGGTAAGAAGAGGAAAGATATGAAAAGCAAGGCGGAAAGTAACCATCACCAGCGGTTGAAGCCACCTCCGTACATCAGGGTGTGATTGAACCCACCTTGACCCTGACTCCCATACAACGCTTGGCCCGTATTCGCACCCACCTGGTGCATCCTCGCCTGCAGGATACTCGGGTCCGCAAGATCTACTACACCGCCTCCACCGGAGGAAGTGTTAGCGTGTCTGTGCTTCTTCCCCTTCTTCTTCTGCTTCTGTGGTCCAGCCTCGGGGAAATTCCCTGTCTGGGTGCCATAGAAAGAGCTGAGAAGGCCGTTGGCAGGAGTCAGGGGAGGAGGGGTTTGGTGCTGTTGGAGGAAAGGAAACATGAACTCACGCTTAGCGGCATCCTGTCCCTGTAGCCCACCTGCATTCGTGCCACTGCGCCCTCGCAGCAGCTCGCGCATCAACTCCGGGTTGGCTTCCTGCTTCCCGATATTGCCTCCGAGTCCGAGGCTCGTGTTGGTGGTGAATCCATGGCCTTGAGCAAACATGCCTCCTCCGCTGATTGGTGGTGTCCCAGCCGTCTTCAACCCCGGAGGAGGGCCCTGCACGCCACTCGTATAGACGTTGTTCCCAAGCCCATGCTGAGCAGTGGGGGCTGCCAAAGGATTGGGGGTCCCAGACTGCATCAAAGACGCCTGCTGGCTCAACATCCTGGCATTAGGGAGGTTCTTGGAACCGGCTTCGTTTGCAAAGGAAAACCGTGAATTCTGACGATTTTGGGCTTGCAGGGCATTGAACTGTGCCATCTGGCCCTGCAAGAGACCCTGTCGAACCTGGGCGGCCTGATCCAGGGCAGCTGAGCTGAGTCCGCTCTGCAGTGGATCAGCTATGCCGGCCTGCTGGCTGCTGGCGGACTTGAGAAGCATGAGCTGCTGTTGTTGCATGGGGGTCAGACTGCGGCCTCCAAGATTGAGCCCTTGAAACTGATGACTGGTTGCAGAGACGGGGGAGCCAACAGTAGAATTTGAGGTTGTGCCTTGCTGGGACGGGGGCTGGATAGCACCGTGGGATTCACGACTACCACGTCCTCTGACTGGGTGAGGATCGTCCGGCTCACCACCAAGCTGCAGGCTTCCACTCTCACGACTTTCTTCCTCCGCAGTGGCAGATTGCAATAGCTCCTGTTCTCGTCTAGCGCGTTCCTGCTCTGCCTTCTCCCGCATGGCGCGGCGCTTCACACCACCATACGGGTCAATAAACGAAGGGTGATTTTCAATTAGCGCAACCTCTTCCTCGGGCAGACCAGCCGCCGAAAAGATGAACTTGAACTCCGGGGAGTTGACAGCTTTGATCAAATTGTCCAACAATGGAGCCTCTGCTTCCGACACGGGAGGAGCAGCTTCAGGAGATTGAGGGCCCGAGGGCGACGCACTGGACGGTGAAGGAGTTTGACGGCCCGTGATATTAGCCGACTGTTTCTCGCCACGCTTGGGCTCATCGGGAGCCGTCGCCGCCACCGTCACACTTGCAGGTCGAGGACTTTGGGATGGCTGGCTACTAGCCAGACTAGCCCGTCTCGTGCGGCTGATCGCGACATCCTTGTTCGCCCAACTTGCTGAAGATGGCAACGCCGACCCATCGAGTGAACGATTGCCACCAGCAGCGTCGTCCTTACTGGGCTGGCGGCGCATCGGTTGCGACAGTGGCTGGGCCGAGGGTCGGGTGACATGCTGAGCAGCAATGGAATGACTGGGGCCGCTTGGGACGCCGTTTGGACGTTGGCTAGAAAGAGTATTCATCGAAGAAAGGTCTTGGCGGCTGTAGCTGTCGCTGTCTTCGCCCGTTTCGTGCAGGAAAGTGCAGTTTCTATTATGGCATTGTTCATTGCGAAGGAAGGAAGAGCAGTATTTCGTTGTCCCGTATTGTGCCCTATCGTAGTCAGTGTCCGTCGAAGTGATCAGTGCCAGGGTTTCGAATCGACATACCGTAAAACCCGATCGCCGTTGACCGATCCGTCGACCGAACCAATACAGGTTGCAGCATCGGCCTTCCTCGCGTAGGTTACATAGACGCCAATGCCCTGGTTGGGATTGCCGCCGGGCTTGGCCTTGCTAACGACAATTTTTTCGATATCGCCATACTGGCCAAAATAATCCCTTCCACGAAGTGTTTGCAGGAGCTGGCTTTCGTCGCGTATTGTGGGGTTGAGGCCGATCACGTAGACCAAGTTTTTTTGCACGACCCTGACGCCGGCCAAATTCTTGCGACTGGAGGCTTCGATCTCGCGCTTTTCCGCCTCCTTTTTCTTTGCGGCAGCAGCCTTTCGATGCTTCAACGCCAAGTCGGCTTTGAATCTAGTTCGCGGAATGCAGAGTTAGTGCCAAGGATGGGTACGAAAAAGGACTAGGCCACTTACTCGTCTGCATCAGGGACCTTATATTGTATCGTACTATCATCATAAGGGCGTCTACAGTTCGGGCACCGGCCTTCTTCGCTATGAGTTTTGATGTTGTTGTAGCAAAATTGGCAGATCTGTACCGGTCAGAGTCTTTACATGTCGCAAACGCAAGCGTAGTGTGGGGATCCAGGGCCAGCTATCCAGGGGGTAAGGGGAGGCAGAAAAACCGTACCTGATATCCGCAAGGACACGGTTTGAAGTTCTTGTCGGACAGATCGAATTCCTCTATGCAAAGGGGGCTTGCAAGAAATTCACTTGTCAGCCCAACGGGTCCAGTATGAACCAGCCCAAAGACGGGAATAACGTACCAAAACTCATCGTCATCATCAATGACGGAGTCAATCTGTTGACGATTTGACATGACGGGCGAAAAATATGTAACAGGTGACCACTCAGAAAACAAGACTGTGGGGTTCAAAGACGCAACGCCCATCAACCAGCCGGGGTGGAAGGGGGGTTGTGAAAGAAGAACAAGGACAAGAGAAGTATTAAGAGAGCGTAACAAGAATCTCGAGAGCACGAGAACGAGAAGATAAAGGATAAAGGACGAGACCCCAGGGACGGGAGATCAATCGACGTGGGGAGGGGAGGAGAGAAGAAGGAGGGAAAGAAAATAGAACAGCAGAGCAAGAAAGAGCAGAGTTCGGGATGGAGGCGAAGAAGAGAAGTGAAGCTTTGGTTGGGTTTGCGCGTGTTTGGCTCGTTTGCATTGTCGCCCTTATGTCAGCAGTGCACGTGATGGTCACGCTGCTGAACCTCGCTAGGAAAAGCTCCTGGGAAGCAACATTATCGATCTCCAGAACTGTCTTCCCCTCCGCCCTCCGCCGCCGTTGCTCATTTTCTGCCATTGTTTTGTTTCATAATGGCTTCTGCTCGCTCCCTGATGCGGCTGGGGACTGGCCGTTCTCTGGCCTCGGCCACGAGGTCGTTCCGATCCTGCCGTGCCTTCTCGTCGACCCCTCTGCCGTATGTTGCGAAGGAGGCCACGGCGACAGATGTCCCCAATATGCGCCAGGCTCCGCGTCCTCGTAAGAGTCCGACCTGCCAGTGACAAATTTATGCCATGTGAGAAGAGCCATGCTAATTGACTGACCATCTATACAGCCCAGGGACCGCTTCGCGCACCCGTCGTCAACCCGGCCGACAAGTATCAGGATAAGGCCGATAGTCTGCATCAGTACGGCCAGTATGTCATGTCGTGTCTGCCCAAGCACGTGCAGCAATTTTCCGTGTGGAAGGATGAATTGAGTCTCTACATTCCACCGTCCAGCGTGATTCCCGTGATGAGTTTCTTGAAGTACCACACGGCTGCCGAATTCACCCAAATCTCCGACATCACGGCGGTTGACTATCCCACCCGTGACCAGCGGTTCGAGGTTGTTTACAACCTGCTCAGTGTCCGCTACAACTCCCGGATCCGCGTGAAGACCTACGCCGACGAAGCCAGCCCCGTGCCCAGTGTCACGGGCCTGTTCGAGGGGGCTTTGTGGTATGAGCGTGAGGTGTATGATATGTTTGGCGTTTTCTTCACGGGCCACCCGGATCTGCGCCGTATCATGACGGATTACGGGTTCGACGGTCACCCGTTGCGCAAGGACTTCCCGTTGACTGGATACACGGAGCTGCGGTACGACGAGGAGAAGAAGCGGATTGTTATTGAGCCGCTCGAGCTGACACAGGCGTTCCGGAACTTCGAGGGAGGTACCGCGGCTTGGGAGCCGGTTGGTTTGGGCAAGGACAAGACTCCTGATTCGGTATGTTAGATCCTACCTGATGGGAAGACTCGCTAATATGGTTTGTAATGTATAGTTCAATCTCCCCACTCCAGAGCCCGAGGAGAAGGCGGAGGAAAAGAAATAGAACAGATGTAACCGTACTTGGTTCTTTCCTTTTGTATGTACATACCGATCTACGTGGAATTCAGCTGGAAATTGTTACGTAGCTCATCATTCATCTTAAGTACTCTTTGTAGAATTATATCTCAGACGCTAATTAGACCTATATTATTGAAAAAAAAAAATTAAAAATTAAAAAAAAATTAAAAAAAAAAAAAGGTCCTGATGTCAGAGAGTAGGAAAGGCTAATTTGTAAAATCGCCCAAATCACGGTCAATCCATGGCTTGGCACGAGCTCTTACAAAAAAAAAAAGCCCTTCACCTCCAAGCAATAGGCAACAAATATAGCACCGCCAGAGCAAAGACACAAACAACTACAACAATAAAAAGAATTAAACAAACCCATGACCACTCGAAACTATTAGAAATACGCCCCAATCGACGGCAAAACAACCATGTTGAAACGAAAATTCTCCGATCGCAAGTACACGGCGACGGAACCTACCGACAGCTTGCAAACGATCCGACTAAAGCAGAAGTTCGACCAGGGAGTCCTTCTTCTATCTCGTGCGCTGAAGACGGCGCGGGGATTCGAGAGACAGAAGTTAGGGCGACGTGAGAAGACGGCAAAAAGTCAGGGACAGGATGAGACGTTGAAGAGGTTGGAGGAGGAGGTGCAGGTGTTGAAGGTATTTATTCCTCCTTTTTTATTTTACTCCTTCCATCCTTCCTTTCTTTATTGTTTTATTTATTTCCTCCCCGATTTAATATATTAAATTGACGAGAAATAGACCTTAGATCCCCCAGTCGCCGCTGCAAAATACCTCCTGAAACAAATGTTGAAAACGAAACGGATCGCTGAATCGCCTACATTCATCCAATTTAAACAATCCAAAAGCAAGATCTCCACGGAGGGTCCAAAGTCCCCGGCAGAAGCCAATGTTCTGGCACGACTGTATAAATCCACCCCGGTGAAGAACGTTTATCCGGATATCATGACGGGGATTCGCAAACTGCTAGGTCTGGATGATGCTTCGCGGGGGAAAAATGCCGTGACGGGGAAAGTCACTTCAGAATCAAGCGGGGGTCGTAATGAAGAAGATTACAAGCGGGATGATGATGATTTCTCCGGCTCAGATTTTGAGGCAGCGCCATCAGCAGTTTCTAGATCAAGCACAAAACTACCAAGATCGGACGAAGAAGAAGAAGTTATTGGTATGAGTGATGCAGAGAGCGAGGACTTTGCGCGATTCAATTCACGACTTGCTCCTGACTCTGAGGACGATTCAGAAGGAGAAGATCAAGCAAGTGACGTCTCAGAAGGCATAGACCTCACAACCTCAAAACCATACCCAGACATATCCATCTCCCGATCCCCCTCACCCGACTCGCCACCACCGCCCAAAAAACAAAAATCCAAGATACCTCCAATGGAGCCTGTCACCAGCACGACATTTCTACCGTCTCTCACGATGGGGGGATACTTCTCCGGCTCCGAAGCCGAGACCGAAGACGTCGATAATGAGCCCCCGAGACGCAAAAATCGAATGGGTCAGCAGGCTCGTCGAGCTCTCTGGGAGAAGAAGTTCGGTTCGGGGGCGAATCACCTGAAAAATCAGAAACACAGCGAGAGGAATAACCGGGACAGTGGCTGGGATTCTCGTCGAGGAGCTATAGGCGATGGAGACGGTTCAAGAGGTAGACGAGGGCGAGGTCGGGGTCGAGGGGGAGGTTCAATGGGAGGGAAAATCCAACGACAGGAAGTAGATCGTCCAGCACCCCGCGGAAGCGCTGCGAAGAAGCCACAGAAGGATAATAGACCGCTACATCCGTCGTGGGAGGCCGCGAGACGAGCCAAGGAGCAGAAGACCGCTTCGTTCCAAGGGAAAAAGTTCGTGTTTGATTAGAGTAAAGGGCAGACTTGGTATCTACGGACCACGTGTCATATGTAATGTATCATAGCGGGCTGCACTGTAGCAATCAAATCAATCAAAAAGAAAATGTTAAACATATGCAATATAGGTATCGCAAGAAATATTCACGGCACCCCCTAGATGAATAGGAAACATAGAAATATCCAGGCCAGACAACAAGAAAACACCACCACGCTGAATCTCAAAGGTCATCGCTATACAGATCAATCATGATATCCACCGAAATACAACTCCATCAATCATTCATGAATTGCATCCATCTCGTATCGGGATTTTTAATATCGCCAGCGAGACACTGCTGAGCATCAGCCTCAAAGCAGGGAATAGCATTGAACTCCCCCAACTCCTGCGGGAGGTTGGAGACAAAATGGTCGAACCCAAAATGCGGCATGTGGGACAAAGTGGTATGAGAGGCGGAAAAGTCCGAAGAGCCCGTGATGTCGGTACTCGCCATCTCGCTGTCCATAGGGTCGTTATTATTGGAGGTGTTTGTCAACGGTGTAACGGGAACATGCGGTAATCCGCTTGGCCCTGTCGAATATGGCTCGTGCAATTGTACGGTTTCTGGCGAGATAGGCCCCGTCTTCCACAACATCTCCCAGTTCTTGAAGCGGTCATATGCGGATTCGGCGGCCCCGGAACCGCCTGGCGCATGGTTTTCACTCCACTCTTCCAAGCGACGGATGGCTCTTTCCAGAGCCTCGATAACGCTGACGGCCGATCGAGCGGACCCGACCCCCATTGACATGATCTTGATCAACGCCATACCCTTCTCAAGTGCCTCGCGGAGTCGTTCTGTCCGTTTGGTCAAGCTTTGCGCCAGGATGACTAGTAGAGCCGCACGGCATGAGCTGAATTCGGTGAAAGAGGCGCGAGCGAGACCGGTCTCGTCGCGGAGCAGCCGGCAGAGATCGATAATCTCCAATGCAGCCTCGACACAATCAGTAACCAGAATTGAACGGTTCTTGGAGAGGCCGGACGGCAACTTATAGCCCGGACCAAGCAAGGTGGTTAGATTGACACCCTTCATGCTGCTGAACAGGAACGGCCGTCCAAGAAAAATCCTTGTCAAACAGTAATCTAACTTCAGATGCAAATTGGAGCGAAACAGGGGCCCTGCCGGGTTCAGATCTCGGCAATTGGTCTCTTCAGGCAATGTAGACCACCAATCTACAAGGTTCTTTCGCAGAGTAAGCATTCTCTCGAGACAGTCTTGTTGCTGACCTTTCCGAGACTTTCGTAGGAGAGATCTATTAAATCCATTAGCAACAGCGTTAGCTTCGGACAAGGTGGCCACGCACATTTCATTAGCAACTTCTCCCAGTTTGAGAGTCAACGTGATTAGTGTTATCATATTGGTATGGTTCGAGACCTGTCCGGCCGGCTTCAAGCCGGGAAAATCGACAGGCATCGCAGCATCTACGTCGGCATCCGACAAGGACACAGGCCTCCCATGGAGAATACTAACCCGTCTGGAAGCAAGTAAGCATATGACACTCACAGTATAAAGCGGGGGTTGTCTCACTTTTCAATCGTGTAGGCTGTCCAGAAAACTCGGTTGCGCACCTCAATCATTCGGGGAGAAACGCCCTCACCGAGATACTTCCGATGCATGCCATTTTGGATGGCCATTTTGAGAGCCAGACCGAAATACGTATAGCAAAGACCCGAGGTGTCAAGAGGCAATAAATACGTCCCAATCAGCAAGCAAGCCTGAACGCTCCGCACCGAAGCAGTAGCGATAATGTCTGGAAGCAATTTCGACGCGAATTGATAGAACGTCAAACCCACTTCGTCTTCCGAAAAATGATGGTCCTCTGTGAGCGACAGGTCCGACGCCAGACGATTGACAGGGGTGGCTGATTCCATGTGGGCAAACTGCGTGCCGACAGCCAGAACCATCAAAATAGAGCACACGGATCCAGCATCGTTCGACGAAAGAGTCGACGGGTTCGTATAGCATATGTTTAGTTTGTCTCGCAGCCAGTCTTCTTCAACGTAGAAGTTATTAGTCTGTGCGTATTTGAAAAATATCTGGACCAGGAAATCCGCCACGAAGCGTGGTGGAAGACAGGTGATCGATGCTGATACCAACGACGACCCAGACTGTAGCTGTGTTGCTCGCCATCGCTCCTCAAACGGCTCTGTTTCGGTCGATGCCTGTGTCTATTAGCAAGGAGAACGTACAGGGCGAGGCAAGACAGGGGGAATACCTCTGGAGCTGCTGCTTTCATCCATTCATCGATCTTTTGTCGAATTTTCATGGAAAAATTCAAATAGGAAAATTCCCCGGAATATTCTGCACGAAGCCCAGATCAGCTTGATAACCCCATCGGGGCTGAGAGAGGAGACGTACGGGTTGTATTATCCGGCAACGCCTTGATGGTAAAATCTTCATCGTCAATGGCTAGGTCCTCGAGATCTTCCTCCTCCAGGCGAACCGAAGGACCTGCATCCGAGTCCGGCCCTCGATGTCTATGTTTCAATTCTTCCGCAGTTTTCCGAAGAGACTGGAGGTCGAAGGAGATATTTGGGATATAATGCTGCAGGATCTGCTCCATGTACCGAACCCGTTCCGAGTCGGCCAGCTGATTTCGACTAAGGCCTGCAGTTCGTTCTAGAAGACTGTAGTCCCTGTCAGCAAATGAGTGACAGGAAAGGTCAAAAAAATATCTTAAAAAAATAAAAAATAATAAAAATAGGAATCATACGATATTGAGGAAGACCGTGCGATCTTCTCCGCATGGTCGGGGTGAGTGAAGATGCATTGCCGACGATAACGCAGACATCGACGACAGGGCACGCCACCCTCACATTTCTCCTTCACGCGACGACACCCATCGCACCTACAATAGCCAGGCCATTAATTTCAGTTCCTGAGCATCATCGAAGCACCTCCAGACATGGCGGCCACGGTGTCAAGGGGGAGAAGGGCAACCTACGCTCGAACGGCACGCTTGCGGTTCTCCTCCGCAACGCGGGGTCGTTTCTGCTGGCCCAGACCAGCGGGGGTCGTTGGTCCATCGTCCATGGCAAATCGTGATCAAGGAGGACGACGGAGGAAGGAGATCATTGTACAGTGAGTAATAAAACGACGACAGTTAGGTAGTTGGGGGAGGGGAGGTTCCACGTGAGCGGAAGGCGGGAGGAAAAGAAGAAAATGAGAGAGCGGAATATTCTTTTTTGGGTCTCTTTTTTGGTCTTTTCTATTAGGTATTAAGGAAATATCTTAACAGTAAGTAGATAGATAGTAGATAGTAGGTATAAAGTTAGAATCCATCCACCTCCATCCCCAACCCCAGTTCTTTCCCCACATCCAACAACTTCTTCCCAGTAATTAGATCCATGATGCCCATCCCCACACACTTGAAGACCACATTGCATCCATCGGGGATCTCAATCGGATCCGATTTCCCCAGTCGTCCATACAACTCTCCAATCTCGACCAGCTGGGCCTCAGTGACTTGCGCCCAAATCAACTCCCCCGATTCTTCTAGACACGCCTCCTTGGAATCCACGTAGATCCGCCCTCCGCCTGACAGAACAGTCTCCGTATCGACCTCGTGCATGTGAGGTTTATACGACCCGATGAGGGAGATGAATCGTGGCTTGAAAGACTGTTGCAGATAGGCATGGGGGAAGTTCGGTTCCGTGGAAGGTGTACAGCTGAAGATCACATCGCACGAGGTCAATTCAGACCGTAGTCGTTCCCAATAATCGGGGGTATCTTCCTTCGCCAACGTCGTAATCGTAACATGGGGATGGGCCGATTGTAATTCCTCAACCATGTCCTTCATCTCGTCCAGTCTCCGACGTCCCCGATTGATGAATACAATCCTCCGGATCGGATCCGGTACCAGGAGCAGGGCTAATCGCGCATGCCACTCCGCCTGTCTTCCAGACCCGAAGATCACAATATTTTCCCTTAGAGACGTGCAGCGAACGAATAGGGTCATGATAGCTAACGCCGTACGGAAGGCCGTGATTTCCGCTGCGCTGAGTATCCCCAAGAGTTTACCCTCTGGAGAGAAGATGTTAATGACGCCTATGATCCCATGGGATTGCGAAGCGGTCACGATCTTTATGCCCGTATTGATGGTATTGGACACCGGCATGAAGAGCGACAGGTTCTGGTCCTTGGTGGCGATGGTGGTGCGCAGTGGCTGGTGAATGAGTCGGTCGGGTCCTGACAACTGCGACTGGGATGAGACTGTTGTAAAGGCCTCGGACAGAGCATCGAGGAATCCATGGCATTGTTCTGGAGTCAGCTGGCGCAACACTTGCGCGACATCGGGCTCAGATAGGAGATGCATCTTGCAAGCATGTCGAGTCGTTGTCGAGGTCGTCACAGCATGTCAAGTACTCCAAGGCGCAAGTGGCATCTATTGCATTTAGATAGTCGACTGACTATCCAGCGAAAGAAGGGTGATGTCGAAGGCCACGATGGGAGGACAAGATTCCGTTCCTAACCGGAGGTCGGGATCGTGATCCGAAATAATGTGGGGTTCATGACACGGTGAATATAGTCATACTCATGATCCTACACTGTACTTGCGGATATCTATCACATGGGAAATGTTCATTCACAGAAAGAAATAACGCTAACGCCATCTATATGCAAGTTCGCCAACAACTGAACACTGAGGGAATCGAACCAAAGGAAAAGTATATACAAAGAGCGCCAATCATGTCATCGAGGGAACAGAGGGAACAAAGTGAACCAAACGAGAGGCTTCAGTTGCCAGAACCGAACACTCGGAAGACTCGTCGCTTGAGCTCGCCAAACATCGCCTCCTGGGACTGCTTGGTACGACCAACCGCCTCAGTGTTCTCCACCGCGCGTCTCAGCAAGAAGCCCATGCACTCCTTGACCGATCCCCAGGTCAGAAGCTTGTACACATTCGGCGACTCCAACGATGAGGGCTCGCTCGTCTCAGGACCCTGGAAGCCCTGTAGAAGTTCGCAGCTGACCTCGTCGGCCATACCCTGCAACTGAGCGTAAGAGAGGTCAACGCCGTGGTTTTCGCCCTGAATCGCTTGCTGCATGCGGAGAGCATGGGCCTTGCGGACGGACTCCCGGTTGTGCGTGGCGATGATGACGTTGACGGGAGGAAGCTCGGTCGTGTACTCCTTGGACGCGGACTGCAGCATGGAGTTGTAGCGGCGAGTCAGGAGAGCCTCCACGACGCCGTCATAGCAGTTATCGGTGGCTTCCTTGGTAGCCCATATCAAGTGGCGGGGCTCAGTTTTCAGATAGGCACCGCGGACCAGCTTAACGCCCAGGGTGTATCCCTCCTGGCGAGAGATCTCCAGATGCTTGGCCAGCGTCACAGGGGTCGAGCACAGATACGCCTGATAGGTGTTATAGAAGATGGCACGACCAGGGGTCTGCGAGTTGCAGTACTTCTGGTACTTCATCGTCCATTCTTCAATCCCCGGCTGCACGGCCTGCTCCTCGGCATCGACCAAGAGTCGAACATTTTGGGAGATGGCCAAGTCGCACACTTTCTTGATGGCGGCGTCGATGAATGGTGATGGAGCCGCCTGCTGCTGCAGTAGCTGAAGGACATGAGTTCCCATACCAGTGAATCTAGAGCAGTCAGCTTGAGCGCTAAAGACTATCAAGAGGGATAAGAACATACTTCAGGGCTACAAAATCCCCTTCCTGGGCCATGTCCACAGTTTGCAAGGTTCCGTCCAACCACATCTGGATCTCTTCCCGGGCGGCCTTCTCGTCGAGGGGATTGGCGGTGCTCTCCCCCACCAGAACCTCGCGGGCATATCCCAGCAATACACCACGGTATCCCAGGCGCTTGATCTCCTGGATGGAACGCTGGACTTCCAGCTTGTTTTCACCGGCGTTGAACTGCTTGTACAGGGTGTGCTTCACGAGGAGATTCAGGAGAGGGTTTTTGGCGACATCCAGGACGGGAGTCTTGGGGTGAGCCAGCATGGACAGGGTATAGATGCATGGTTTCAAGAGCAGTGAGGAAGAGGACACAGACAGGATCAACAGTGATCGAAAGACCGAGGACAAGGGCAGCTTCGCCAGCGGAGAGGTGGAATCCTTCTTGGGCGAGGGGGGAACCTGCTGCCACACGCCGTTGGAGGAGGTCGAGGCCGCAGCCAACGACGACTTTGCATTGCTGGTGCGGCTCACGAATCGGACATTGGAGTAGGAGGCGGGGATACCAGAGAGCACTCGCACAGAGCGGCGAGGGTGAGCCTTCATCATGGGAACGGTGGCGATATGCTGACTGGTAATGAATGGAGGAATGAAGGAACTATGGTGAAGAAACAAGAAGAAGAACCAGAAGTTAAGTAGATTGAGAAGGGAATCTCAATAAGTAGCCAGGCGGGGAACGCGTCTCAGCCATTGTAAGTTGTAGTAATGGTAATTAGTTATCTCACGAATATACTACAATCGAACGGTAAGAGTTCCCGGTGGAAACCGCTCGCCTGCCGGTTAGTCTTAGTCATGGCTGTCCACCTGACCTCTCCGTCTCCTTTTGACTCCTGTATATACATGTACTACCGAGTACTCGGTATGGTATCTGTATCTTCACTATATCCATTCTATCGTTACCCCAGTGGTTTGTTCTCTGCATCTGACTGAGATCGACCGCTACGGGAAATCCTGGTCCGAGCTGCTTGTCCCAGTGACGATCGGAGAATGAGGCGACACTGCATTGACGGTGGTCAGTTCCTAGAGCCGGGTTCTCCCTCACTGAGCCGGCTGAAAGGCGATATATCTGGATCTGGGAAGCGAGAACAACGTCCCAATCTTCATACCAAGTCAAGCAGGAACGCGTTCCCGATGGAAAAGTTCGACTGTATGGCCGGTTCCACGGGCCGGTGAGAATTTCCCCACCGGGTGGATTCTGCCTAAACCGGGCCGGTGATGCTTATCAGATCATAGATGGTATGGACTATGGAGTATGGAGTAGCTTCTCGAATCTAGGGGCAGAACCCTAGTAGGCTAACGTTACTCTCTGGACGTGTTATCTCTATCCGAAGCCTTTGAATGGCCAGAAGATTGAATAGTGTTTGCTTGGTATGTAGTCAGCGGTATTCTAGATTTCTAGTAACTGTACAGGTCTATGTCACCCTATTTATATATCAGGGTAGCCCATAACATAGTTCTTATATATCTATCTTAGCCTGTATACTAAACATACTTACTGTTTACCTGGGTTTGGTTTCTTCCTAAACATACATTAGAACTGTATTTTATAAGCTGGTCGTACTATGGAGGGCTGATATACCACATCTTATTTAGTCTGCCTCATTTTGATGCAACTGTATTTTGAGGGCTTCAGAATAGTTACAGCGCTGTCTAAGACTATCTCCGATCGAGAATGGAAGAAGAGCTGGTCATAGATAATGACGTATTGACCAAATCTTAGGCCCAAGTAGGATCAGCACTAGCAGGGATTATATTAGTGTTGTTAGGGCTTATATAAGGCAGGGGATACTCAAGAGGATCGATTGTCTATTCAAATGTTGCTCAATATCTGTCCATGTCAACTATTAATATTTCTCCCAGCTGTCCAAGCTTAAACCATCCCCATTTTATATACAGAATAACTCAACTTTGCATGGCGCTTTCGTTGACGTAGATCAGCTTCCTTTCCCACTCGAGCTGATCACCATTACAGCGAAGTCGTGGCAAGATCTGTGTCATTGGAATTCAAAATATCGGCGTGTCAGATTAAAATATGGGGTAACATTGCGCTCTTAATTCCTGACTGTTTGGTCCCTACAGCAGACCATGGATAATTGACGTCATCGCGAACCATGCGGGGAAGCGGAGACGGCGGAGAACTTGCCCCTAGGATGCAAATCTACAGTACAGATTACAGAATAGAAGTACCAGGCACCATGCACTAGGCACCATATGATAGTATTGATGGTTAAATACTAATAAATGCCCATCCTCCAGAGTAGAACAAAACCAATTCATCGTTCAGCAATTGTTTTTTCACGGAGCACAATGCCGGAAGTGCCCCCGGCCCGGTGGCAACGCCCCAACCGGAAGACGTACCGGACCCTCCACAAATTACCTGCACGTTACCCAAATTACCCCCCATGCCCGTTATTCGTAGCAGTTCCAGGTATGTATTTGATATACTCGGGATCGCTTCCCGAAAGTCTGAAATGTGCACGGCTGACTAACCCGTCTCTTAAAGAAATAGCTTCCCCGCGTTCGCCGTTCCTCTCCTCTTTTCCCATCCACTGTCTGTCCCTTTGGATTTTGGTCTTGGTGTTGAGAAGAGCTTGATTCACTATGCATTCATCCATGCTCTTGCGTACCCGGGGTCTTACCCTGGCCAAGGCCGGCTTTGCTCGCTGTAGCGTTCGCACAATGGGCTCCTACGCCACCTTCAAGGTCCCTCGCATTGACAACGAGCCCAACGTATATTTTCCCTCGAAGTTGGAGATCGTTTGAGAATTCGTGCTAATACCGCTGACAGAAACATTACATCCCTGGCTCGCCTGATCGGAAGGCTCTCGAGGAAGCTCTGGCTAGAACCAAGCAAGACGCTCCTCTCAATGTCCCATTGGTGATTGCTGGCAAAGAGGTAGGTTGCTTAGATGCATTAGATCCGATCTGTAGAAACACGGCTAACGGACCGGTCGATCCTGCAGATCAGCAGCTCTCAGTCTTTGACGCAGTCGAACCCCGCCACTCATGGCCCTGTGGCTACCTACTCCAATGCCTCCGCCTTAGACGTCCAGGCGGCTATCGATTCCGCCCTGGATGCTCGCAAGTCGTGGGCTTCGACCTCCTTTGCCGACCGTGCCAGCGTCTTCCTGAAGGCGGCGGATTTGATCGCCACTAAGTATCGCTACGACGTCATGGCCCTGACCATGCATGGCCAGGGCAAGAATGCCTGGCAGGCCGAGATCGATTCAGCCGCCGAGCTGTGCGACTTTTTCCGCTTCGGTGTCAAATATGCCGAGGAACTGTATGCCCAGCAGCCTGTGCACCATGCTCCGGGTGTCTGGAAGTGAGCCGTCGTCTCTTCATTTCTTTGTCGATACAAGCTAACTGGCATAGTCGCGTGGAATACCGTCCCCTCGAAGGTTTCGTTTACGCCATCAGTCCTTTCAACTTCACCGCTATCGGCGGTAATCTGGCTGGTGCTCCGGCCCTGATGGGTAACGTCGTGGTATGGAAGCCCTCGCCATCTGCCATCGCCTCCAACTGGTTGGTCCACCAGATCCTCCTGGAGGCCGGTTTACCCAAGAACGTCATCCAGTTCGTCCCTGGAGACGCCGAGGAGGTCACCAACACCGTTCTCAACCACCCCGATTTCGCCGCTCTTCACTTCACCGGTAGCACTGCTGTCTTCCGTAATCTGTATGGACAGATTGCCAACGGAGTTGCCCAGGGCAAATACCGCAGCTATCCTCGCATTGTGGGTGAGACCGGTGGAAAGAACTTCCATCTTGTTCACAAGTCAGCCGACGTCCGTAACGCAGTCGTCCAGACCATTCGTGGCGCCTTCGAGTTCCAGGGTCAGAAGTGCAGCGCCACCTCTCGCGCCTATGTAGCCAACTCCATCGCCTCTGAGTTCCTGGAGCAGATTGCCGCCGAGGTCAAGAACCTGAAGGTCGGCGAGCCCTCTGACTTCACAAACTTCTGCGGCCCCGTCATCCACGAGGCTTCGTTCAACAAGCTGTCCAAGGTGATCCAAGATGCTAAGCAGGATCCCGAGCTAGAGCTTGTAGCCGGAGGTACATATGACTCCTCCAAAGGCTGGTACATCCAGCCTACCATCTTCCGCACCTCGAACGCCGACCACCCTCTTCTGTCCAAGGAGCTCTTTGGCCCCATCCTGGTCATCCACACCTACAATGATGCCACCGAGGCCGATTTCGCCAAGATCTGCGAGAAGGTTGACCAGACCGGTGAGTACGGTCTGACCGGTGCTGTGTTCGCCCGTGACCGGGAAGTCCTTCAGATGGCCGACAGCGCCCTGCGTAACACCGCAGGCAACTTCTACCTCAACTGCAAGAGCACCGGTGCCGTTGTTGGACAGCAGCCTTTCGGAGGCGCGCGTGCATCTGGCACCAACGACAAGGCGGGCAGCGGTAACCTGCTGTCTCGCTTCGTCAGCCTGCGTTCGATGAAAGAGGAGTTCTGCCCTACCTACAACGTTGCCTACCCGAGCAACGCTTGAGTAGGACCGGACGGGCTGTAGAATGTGATTTGAGACGTCTTGTTGGTATACTACATGATTAGTACTATTCCCCTTGTTGTATGTGCATTTTGATTTTCTTATTTCCGCCCTATGGCTCTTAGTTGCATCATCCTGGCGTTTTGTATGAGAAGACTTTTTAAGCGACAAAAAGTTTCCCTCGTGAATGTTCTAGAAATTGACTGTATCGAAGTTAAAATACTATTATAGTATGTGTGGACACCGTGCAACCAACCGGTGATCAATATCATTGATTATTCATGCATGAACTATCACCGTTCTGTAGAAGCTTCTGTATGCTCCCAGAGCATATGCATACGTCTGGATCATATTGTTAACTTTAACTTAATAGACAAGTGTCCCATGTAATGCATGGAAATCCGAATCATGACTCTATTGCACATGATGCCGACATCACATTAATCCTATCGCAGACAGACAGGAGTGAATCCTGATTTGCAACACTCACATGAAATGGGCCCACCGGCTCGGGTCCTTTTGTGAAAATGACCCACCGGAAATGGAGGACATGGCATGTCTTACCCCGGAGTCCCGGGAAAAGGCCCGGGTCCTGCACAAAGGTGTCTCATTGTGAATGGCTGCCACCGTAGGAATAACGGGGAAATAACCGCCTTGTCTTCAGATAGACATGGAATGGGCAGCGGTAGGGATAGTTCCATCCATGTACTATCGCTGAAACAGAGGAACACTCTCCCATTATTGACAATTAGAGATAATTCCTATCCGAGAGAGATATATAAGGCCGCAGCCAACCGCAAGACCTCGAGATGGACCAAACAGGAAGCTGGATGCCTGACTGCCTCAGGGACCCACCACGTGCCGATAAGGGTGTCGGAGTTGCCCGATCGGGGCATCGACCCCGCCGCGGAGTTTTCGTGATTTGAAGTGAAGAACACATTCAAATCCAACTTTTCTCTCGATCTCCCTCTGCTCCATTGTATGCTCGCGGTCTCTTCCCTTCAACGCTCTCTTTCCACCGTGACCACAAGACCCCTCAGGAGGATCAAATCCGCTGCCCAACTTGCCCGAAGAATGGCTGTTCTTCCCACCACGTATGAGGGTGAGATGAAATCCTATATTTCTAGAAAGAGAGACGTCCCGCTGACTCGCATTTCTTCTATCTAGACCCTGTCCGAATTGCCGTCATTGGCGGAACTGGCCTTCGTGAACTTCCTGGCTTCACACAGGTGGCCTCATTGTCCATCTCGACTCCTTGGGGCAAACCATCTTCCCCTATTACTATCTTGCACCACCAGTGCTCGCACAACAAACAGACCGTCGCCATAGCTTTCCTGAGTCGTCATGGCACGCACCACCAGATTGCGCCTCACGAGGTACCCGCCCGTGCGAACATCGCTGCCCTGCGCTCGATCGGTGTCCGCACCATTGTCGCCTTCTCGGCCGTGGGCAGTCTGCAGGAGGAGATCAAACCCCGTGATTTCGTGATCCCCGACCAGGTCATTGATCGCACTAAGGGTATCCGCCCCTTCACCTTCTTTGAGGGCGGTGCCGTCGCCCACGTCCCGTTCGGGGACCCATTCGATGAGGGCATTGCCAAGGTTGTTCGGGCCTGCGGTCATAGTTTGGAGGGTGATGGCGTCGTCCTTCACGACCGGGGCACTTTGGTCTGCATGGGTATGTAACTGCTTCGTCAATTTTTTCTATTATTTTTGCCTCGAAACCCCTTTTTGCTGATTATCCTTCAGAGGGACCCCAGTTCTCCACTCGCGCAGAGAGCAAGCTCTATCGCTCCTGGGGCGGCAGCGTGATCAACATGTCATGCCTTCCCGAATCGAAGCTGGCCCGGGAGGCTGAGATCGCCTACCAGATGATCTGCATGTCTACCGACTACGATTGCTGGCACGAGGATACCGCCGACGTCACCGTGGAGATGGTGATGGGAAATATGAAAGCCAATGCAGAGAACGCCAAGCGCTTCGTGACCGCAGTCTTGGATGAATTGGCCTCGGAGAAGCACTCTGATCTCGTTCAGGCCAAACACGTTGAGGGGTCCATCAAGTTCGGTGTCAGCACTGCCCTGCCGCACTGGAGCCCTGAAGCCAAGAAGAAGCTGACCTGGCTGTACCCTGGCTATTTTGACTAGATTTTGCCTAGAAATCTTCCCTGTCATAGAGAGAGAAAGAGCGTGAGAAAGAGAAAGAGAGCATCTCCCTGAACATATTCGTATATCCAGCATTTCTCTCTTATAGAGCAGATGTCCATAGTTGATAACGAACTTACGAATCCAAGCCTTTGTCAGTGGCATATTGCGTCCGTATACCTGTAGCACTTTTTCTTTCATACCAACTTTCCCCCATGGGTGTATCCTTTCTAGCCTCTCCTGTGAATTAGCAAACCACCCACGACAATCTCCACCTCCATTCACTGCACAAAGAAGAGCAAAAAATGCCTTGTTGCAGTAGTCTCCTGTAAATAGATGGCCGCATCAACGTAAATCAAACTAAGTCGTACTTCACTAGCCTACCTTCGCTCGCTATCTGTCTCTCGTAACTCTCGTTTCTATAATTTCCTCATCCTTGATCATGGTAATCGACTAGCATGTCCACATGGAGTCGAGTTTCTATGTCATAGATCCTGACGGAGACCTTCTCCTGGTCCTGGAAGAACGCTTTGGCAAGATACATCTGAATGTGATCAAGACAGGTGAGTGCTTATCCACCTGGGATTGGGTCTATATATCAAGCTCCGCCCATGATCTATCTATGTCTGTGCGGTCCGCGGCTCACCCCTACTATTCCCGAGATTAGAATTAGACGCAGCATCTACACCAGGGACTCTGGTCCCGAATGAGGAACCGGGCGATGAAGAGGCCAATGGCAGCATTGCAAATGGAAGACAACAACAGGTTTCACTCAGAAGCTCTGCTTTAATCGACGCTCTGCTTAATGGCGATACGCACATCTGCGAGGGAAGAATCCACAAGATCAGAGTCCTGGTCTCCTCAAAACATCTGACACTGGCTTCCAAATACTTCCACGATAGACTTAACGCTATGCTGGACTTCAGTGAGAGCGATGTGATCCCCGCCTGTGCCAGCGAGAGGGACGCACTGCTTATCTTACTGGACGTATTGCACTGTCAGACTCGAAAGGTGCCGCGATTCATCACTTCCAGAATGTTGTTTATGGTCGCAGTTCTAGCAAACCATTACGGTTGCGTGGAGGCAGTGGAGGCCTTCGCAGAAGTATGGCTAGATAATTTGAAAGATCAAGTGCCGAACGAGTACACGGATGACTTGCCTCGATGGATCTTCATCTCCTGGGTTTTTCGGGATGGTGAAATGTTCCAAGAGATGACAAGCATCGCTGTGCGAGAGAGTATCGGCCCCATGCCTTGCCTGGCTCTCCCCATGATCCCAGACAGCTTAGTGAGTGAGTATATTCGACACAGTGTATCGAGCCACACAGGCTTATATCGATTGATTGTTGAAACAGGAACCATAGAGAAGATACGCCAGGATTCCATTGGGAATCTTGTTCGGTCGCTTTACAAACGCACTGAGTCGGTTCTGCACAGCGGATCCTGCTGTGATGACTGTGACAAGATGATCTTGGGAACCCTCATACGACACCTCCAGATCCATCAGCTTTATCCTCCACCAATGGCTCCATTCCATGGCTTCAGCGTGCACCAGTTCCATCGATTCCTTAACTCAGTACCCCGTCCACGCTGCAACGAGTTGATTCATCCTGTCAATGGTTGCTCAGAGACCTGCGAGCTTCTGCCGGACACTAATCGCGTCTTCTACGATACGTTGGAGGCCACCGTTGGGTTGATGTTCAGCGAGGTTCTTTGAGGGCTTGCATTTCGCGTGCATTTCTTTCTTCCTTTCTTTTGAAATTTTTTTTTTTTTTTTTTTTTTATTTTTTTTTTTTTTTTTATTTTTTTTTTTTTTTTTTTTTTTTTACAGAGTTTCCACGTCCTATGTCTTTGTATTACTCAAGACCGTACGGTCAGAACGTTTCCCCATCAATTGATGAAGCAAAATATTTGAAGCCAACACGATGCCAAGCAGTATTCAGCACTGTGAGAAAGCAGACAAATTTGTACTCCAGTAGATGATCCTTCCTGTTCCCGGGAGTGACAATTCCCTGAAGATCAGCAGGCTGCCCAACAGAGACCAAAGTTTCTGAGAGATCGGCAGGCATGCAGTGCCCTAATTGGATTCGTCAGGATATTTCACCCCGTGATTCAGGCTACATTCCAGGGGGAGTCAGACCCTACCATCTGAATGAACTCTGTTCCGATCCTGGTCGAGTACCTGCGGGGTACATCTCACTATGTCCTCGGTCAACATGGACAGTATCCCGTCGCACAGCACTAGGCCCGGGGTTGGCATCCCTCGTGGACAGTCCGACATGAGGCCAATTTACGCTCTTCCTTGACTGTGATACTGCGACGCTAGACCTTGATTTTGACATCCTCCCCGTCCATTGATTGGTCTTCTATTTTCCACAATGATCGTCTTCGATTCGACGCGATCCTTCTTGGCACACGAATCATGGCGTTCGTACGGAGAATGCTATCCGGCGTTCCAATAGCCCTTCTATTTAGCCAAATGACACCTGCAGTATGCCGACCTGTCACAATCCCATGATCAGCAACATTCTATCGCTAGGATATCACGGATGACCGGAACAGAAGCCCGTATAAGTAGTATAGACCCCCACTCTCGTCGTCCGTAGGCATCATGTCACCGCTTCTGCTGAGTGCTTCGGATTCTCGTATGAATCGACCATGGCTAATGTTCGGTCGCTGTGTTTGGCTCTTCTCTTTTTCCTAGTCCACTGCTCTCTGTCTTCGCCGCCATCACCGGAGCTGAACGTGGGAGACTCCGCTAGCGATGCCTACTCACCTCCGTATTACCCGGCGCCCAAAGGTGGATGGCTGCCAAACTGGGCTGAAGCCTACGAAAAGGCGCATAAAATCGTGAGTAATATGACTCTGGCCGAGAAGGTGAACCTCACAACTGGCACCGGTTACTTCATGGGGCCTTGTGCCGGTCAAACCGGGAGTGCCTGGCGAGTCGGAATCCCCAATCTTTGTCTTCATGACTCTCCTCTTGGGGTTCGTAATTCCGATCATAACACGGCTTTCCCTGCCGGTATCACCGTGGGGGCTACATTCGACAAGAAACTCATGTATGATCGGGGTGTAGGCCTCGGTGAAGAAGCACGAGGAAAAGGGATCAACGTTCTTCTGGGTCCCACTGTTGGTCCGATTGGGAGAAAGCCACGAGGCGGTCGCAACTGGGAGGGATTTGGGGCAGATCCCAGTCTGCAGGCCATTGGGGGTTCCCTCACGATCAAGGGTATGCAAAGCACCGGGGCCATTGCGTCGCTCAAGCACTTTATTGGCAATGAGCAAGAGATGCATCGCATGAGCACTGTTGTCACCCAGGGGTATTCTTCCAATATTGATGACAGGACGCTACATGAGCTTTATTTGTGGCCGTTTGCAGAGAGTGTGAGAGCTGGAGCTGGCTCAGTCATGATTGCTTATAACGATGTAAGTAGCTCTGGATCAGTCGTGGATGTTGCCTTTCAGCATCCTTTGGGATCTTCGGACTGAATATCTCTGCTTTTTTTAGGTCAATCGTTCCGCCTGTAGCCAAAACAGCAAACTTATCAACGGGATACTTAAGGATGAATTGGGCTTTCAAGGATTTGTCGTAACCGACTGGCTGGCGCAGATCGGCGGTGTCTCATCTGCGTTAGCTGGACTGGACATGGAAATGCCAGGTGATGGAGCTGTTCCACTCCTTGGAGATAGTTACTGGGGCTCTGAACTGTCTCGCTCTGTTCTCAATAGAACGGTCCCAGTTGACCGGCTGAATGATATGGTATAATTCCCCCCCCCCTCCCCCGGCTTGAAGATTTCAATCCACCCTTACAAGAGCATCAGGTGACACGAATCGTGGCAACATGGTATAAAATGGGCCAGGATAAAGACTACCCTCTTCCCAACTTCTCCGGTAACACGCTCGATGAGAAAGGATTGCTCTACCCGGGAGCTCTGTTTTCTCCAGTTGGCATTGTCAACCAATATGTGAACGTCCAAGGCAAGCACGATATCACTGCACGAGCAATAGCGAGAGATGCCATCACGTTGCTGAAGAACGAGGACAGTATCTTGCCGCTAAGACGTAATGACTCTTTGAAGATTTTCGGCACCGACGCTGGTCCTAATCCAGATGGCCTCAACTCCTGCACTGACCGAGGATGCAACAGAGGCGTCTTGACTATGGGCTGGGGAAGTGGAACCTCCAGACTGCCGTACCTTATTACGCCGCAGGAAGCAATCGCCAATATCTCGTCCAATGCCGAGTTCCACATTACAGACACGTTTCCCCCGAATGTCTCCCCAAGCCCACAGGACACCGCAGTTGTCTTCATTAATGCGGACTCGGGTGAGAACTACATCACTGTAGACGGCAACCCCGGAGACCGCACCACGGCAGGCTTGAATGCGTGGCACAATGGTGACGATCTCGTCAAAGCTGCAGCTGAAAAGTTTTCACAGGTAGTTGTTGTGGTTCACACCGTCGGTCCCATCCTGATGGAGAAGTGGATTGACCTGGACTCCGTAAAAGCGGTCCTCGTTGCACATCTTCCCGGACAAGAGGCGGGCTGGTCCCTGACGGATATCCTCTTTGGTGACTATAGCCCCAGTGGCCATATGCCTTATACAATTCCACGCAGCGAGTCGGATTATCCATCCAGCGTGGGCTTGCTCCAGCAACCCTTTGGCCAAATCCAAGACACATTCACTGAAGGATTGTATATTGATTATCGGCATTTCCTGAAAAATAACGTCACACCTCGATATCCATTTGGTCATGGACTCTCTTATACCACCTTCAGCTTTTCTGCACCCAGTCTCTCGAAGGTCACGCCGATAGACAGTGTCTATCCCCCGGCACGACCACCCAAAGGATCCACACCCACATACCCAACGACCATCCCTGCACCGTCAGAAGTCGCCTGGCCGAAGCACTTTAATCGTATCTGGCGCTATCTATACCCATATCTGGACAACCCGGAAGGCGCAGCAGCCAACACAACGAAGAAGTACCCATATCCAGATGGATACACAACTGTCCCAAAACCCGCGCCGCGCGCTGGTGGCGCTGAAGGCGGGAATCCCGCTCTGTGGGACGTAGATTTTTCTGTCAAAGTGAAGGTTACCAACACCGGCACACGAAACGGCCGCGCTGTCGTACAACTCTATGTGCAGCTGCCTACTACTTTGGGGGTCGATACTCCATCACGTCAGCTGCGACAATTCGAGAAGACTAAGACCCTGGCTCCGGGGGAGAGCGAGGACCTGACACTTGAGATCACCCGTAAGGACATCAGTATCTGGGATGTCGCGATGCAGGATTGGAAGGCACCAGTAAACGGCGAGGGAGTCACCATCTGGCTAGGACAGAGTGTGGCTGATATGCGTGTACGGTGTGAAGGGGGAGGAGGATGCTCTGTCGCGTAACTGCATATGGATGGATCCTGTCGCATTTTCCGAGTTGACTTGTTTCTTGTCTATATCTATGATACTATATAACGAAGCCAGTGCGTGGATAACGTTCGGTGGGCGATGTATAAAAGCCTCCCAATGGGGGAAAATCATAATTTTATGTATAATTAGTCATTTGCATAAATAGTGAATGTTCCCATCTTGGCTTCTGAAACGAACAACTTACCTTCAGAAGGCCCAACTCGGCCGCAGAGCACTTTATTGATGCTATAACGCCTGGTCACAGTCCCTTACCATCAAATATGCAGGGCTTCAGTAAGTATCATTTATAAAATCCCCAATCCAATCATCGCTAACTGCAATAGACATGGGACGGTTTGTTCAGCAACCCCTCCCTCCGCCACTGACAAACAGGATCCCAACCATCTAACCTAAGACAGTTATGTCCCTCCAGACCAAGAAGGTCTCACGACCGGCAACAGGCTGGCCGGAAAGCATCCACTGGGAGCGCGTGCCCGCCACCTACATACAACCGGCGCCCTAGTGGTACGGTTTGAGATGCCCTTCGCGGTATGGTGCACAACTTGCAAACCCCACGAGACCCTCATCGGTCAGGGAGTGCGATTCAACGCCGAGAAAAAGAAAATAGGCAACTACCACTCTACGCCCATCTATAGTTTCCGTATGAAACATTCCGCGTGCGGCGGGTGGATCGAAATCCATACGGATCCTAAGAACACGGCATATGTTGTGACCGAAGGCGGGAGGAAACGAGATACCGGCGAAGAGAAGGAGCTTGGACTAGGAGAAATTGCGATCAAGTTACGAGGAGAAGAGGGAGACGAGACCCGGAATGACCCGCTGGCGCGGTTAGAAGGGAAGGTGGAGGATAAGAGGCGGGCTGAGACGGAGCAAAGTCGCATTTTTGAGCTGCAGCGACGGCAGAACCGTGATTGGGAGGATCCATATGAGCAGTCCAGACGGCTGAGACGCGGGTTCCGGGCTGAACGAAAGACGCTCGAGAGTGCCGAAGCGAAGCGTGAAGCGTTGAAGGACAAGATGAGTCTAGGGATTGACTTGGTTGACGAGACCGAGGAGGATCGATTGCGTGCTGGCTTGGTCGATTTTGGCCCCGTGGGTGAACCGCCTGTGCGAGTGCGACCCATGTTCCAGTCGGCCGTCTCGACGCCGAAGATGATGGCTGCCGCTTCGGGAAGCCGGGGTGGGAAAAGGCCCAAAACTGCACATCTTCGTGCAGAACGCAAGGCGATGTTTCGCAGTTCATTGACGAACAATACTCGTGCAGTAGTCGATCCATTTCTCAGTCAAGATATAAATACTTGGCAACCGGAAGCTAAAAGACGGAAAACTGGTTTAAATAAACCGGCAGATGCGAGCAAAGAAACTGAGAGCACGGAGACTAACCAGTCATCGTCTACGGGTTCAGATGCACCTTCGCAGAAGGCAAGCACTTCGGATCAGAATAAGCCGGGCGCTTCGACTGCGTTGGTGACTTATACTTCGGATTCTGATTCAGGCTAAATTAAGCTTGAGTGTCATGGCGTTCTATACAACGAGAGAGTGTATATAAAAATCTTGGGCGTTTACTTAGATACAGATGATACCCGGTCGGAGTTGGTTATATTATGGACAGTACTTCGTCCACATCACGATACCTTAAATCATCCATTTTAATGCAATCTCATGCTTCATATATGATGTAGAGGGTATTATACATAGAAGAAACAGCAAAATTTTTGTCCCAAAAGGAGGGACTATTTTGCCCAAGGGGCTTTTGTGGTGACATCCCCTTTGCTGTCATCAATCGGAGGTCCGGCGGGCTGCGGATTTGCCCAGGGAGCTCGAGTCGGTGCCATTGAACTGGGTGACAACGTGGACATATCGGAGAGTGTTGGTGGTATCCTAGATGCAGATGGCCCTCCTCCTAGTCCTCGTCCAGTCGCCCAAGGAGCAGCAGTACCGTTCTGTGGAATAGTTTGCGATGCAGAGGCCCAGGGTGCTTGTGTCCCCGGCGCCTGGGTCGCGGAGGGAGAAGGAGCAGCGGTCTGGGGCCGAACTTGAGGACCGGGTGAGATATGAGTAGTAGATGGTGGGGGTATAGTATTTGGGTCACGATCCCAGCTTAAGAGAGAACCGAATGGGAAATGCTGCACCACGGGGAATTTAGAAAGCACTTCCGCATTATACATCTTGATCATACCCTAGATTGCATTAGGGCATGGGTACAAAATGCAGGGAACCTTGATACTAACCTTATTTATTTTAGCCCAGCCTGTAGGAATCCCAGATATATCATATAACATTGGACTATGCTCCCAGAATGGACCCTTCTTCACGTCGTAGATGAACCCAACGGCAGAGAAATACAAATTACTTCCGCGCTCCCTCTCGACAATGCTCGCTTTGGCAACTCCTTTGGGGTCTGGCGCCTCGGGCAGAGAACCCTCTTCAGGTACTCGGTCCGATTCTGCCAGAGCTGGTGCTAGTTGTGCGGAGCCAAATATATACGGGATAAAGGAATGGTCGTCCAAGCCCCAAACTCCGTGGGAGCCTGCAGGCTCCAGAGTGTATGTCTTGATGATGGTGCGCACAAGCTCCATGTACCTAGATATATCCCCGCATCAGTATCAATATTAAAAAGTACTGTGTCAGAGAGACACGCACGGTTGTATCACGCCTAAAACAATGGCTCTCTCCTCGATCCCGGGAGTATTCTTGGGAAACCCATTCAGTTTCCAGATTCCCGCGAGGAAAGCCAGGAAGTTGAGCTCATGGCCCGTCCCATAATCTAAGCGTTGAGAACTTCCCCAACTTCCCAAGAAATAAGCCTTCAGTTCCACCTCAGCGGTAGGACCGTTTGGATCCGATGACCGGGCCTGGAGTACATCGGGTGACAAACACTCCTCGAGGAGACTCGAAGCTCGGCTCTCCACAATCTGGTACCATTTCCGGAAACTAATATTTCCAAATCTTCGCGGTCCTGTATCTGGCGGGGCCTCCTCAATGATCGCTTCCAGTTTCGAAAGGACTTGTTGCAGCTGCCGGACAGGAGCAGAAAACTCGACAGCATCCGAGTTCAACGGCCAGGTCTGCACGCCACCATCCGGTCGTTTGGCGGGAAACATCGAGCGGTTCAGCTGGAGTAAAAAGGTCATGATATCAACGTAAGCTTTAGAGCATAAAAATTCCGAAACATCACCACCTTCGTTGATCTTCTTGCAGGGCTGGATGAAAGCATTCTGCCTTGCGGGGTCGAGTGTGGGCAGAATTCGTACTGGGAATCCTTCAGCGGCCATTCTGGAGACTGCGCGAAGGGACTACAACCAAATCTAATGATATTTATCAGCGTGAAAAGAGAAATTCCAGTGGTGGATGATTTGTTGGGCTTCACCCTTGGTGGAGAGAGTGACCAGAACATAGCAGGTCACGAGAGAAGGTCGTTATCGATAAGAAGCATGACGCCAGTGCTTCGATCACGGGGTTACACCGACTACCGACTATTATGAATTTATGGTCCCTCTACTTCCACGCTGCAGCTTCCAACCTGCTTTATTTCCCCGATTTCGGGTCAACGGCCCAAGATGGCCCCTCTCCAATCGACGGCACGGCAGCGAAGAAAAAACGGCAGCACCTCGTACTCTGTAGACCTTCTAAACAATCTCCACAGCTCTACAGATCGGGTCAGCCGTAGTTCTCCAGCTCGACCTCTACCCCCCTTCCATCGCTCTACAGCTAGGAGGACGCAGGTACGGCAACGTGATATTTGGGAAGTTCCCGAATCTCCAGAGACGGATCGATCATCTGCGTTTACACAGATCCCGCAAAGTGAGCCGACCACCCTTAGAGGCTCCAAATCTCTACAGAGCGAGCTAGCCAGCAATCATACTCCCCTCCAAATGCCTGCGGGGTTGCAACCAATCTTACGGGTTGAAATCGACAACAGAGTTAAAGAGGTGTCAAATCAAGAGTCCGATGATGGCTCTGATGATGAGTCTAGCACTGGAGATGACATTCCCTTTAGAAATGACTCTGTAGACGATTCTGACTGTGATGAGAATTCTAGCAAAAAAGCCGACGAAATCACTACAAACGAAAGCATCCAAGGAACCAACGATAAAGATGGAATTCCCTCGGTGGAGTTGTTGTCTGAGGATCAAGTTGACTCTCCTGAGACACGCTCCAAGGAATTTTCCCCTTCTCAGCAACTGCGCGAATCTGAGTTTATTACCGAACATGGAGACGAATTGGGATCGAATCGGGAAGAGGAAATGGAAATAGTCGAGGAATCAGAGTACTCTCAATCAGAAAGTGAGAGCGAATCTGAGTTTTTTTCCGAACATGGGGACAAAGTCGGATTGAATCGGGAAGAGGAAACGGTAGTAGTCGAAGAATCAGGGTACTCTCAATCAGAAAGTGAGAGCGAATCTGACAAACCTCCGGCAGCGTCGGATATTCCCCAGCACTCGCCTGACGTGACTGAAACGCTTTCACCTGTTGCTATATGCCCGGATCAAGACCGGCGCTCGACAGTCAGTTTTCAGCAAACATCTCATGTTGAGAAAATGCGAGAGCGAAAAGCGTTGTCAACTTCCCGGGAGCCATCACCAGAAGTTGACGGTGATATTTCTAGTGAAGGTGTTGCGAGAGACGTAACGAAATCAGTCAGAGGTACGCCCAATGATACAATAGAGCTTCTGTGGTTCAGAGAAGCTTCTGAGCTCGGGGGGCAGGGGAAGAATTGGAACACCTTGATCAGGGAGACGCGCACCTTGGCTCAGACTGCCAGGCCATCGAAAGCCAAGTATTTCAAAGGCATCAAAAGTCTGTCATCGAAGTTCAGAGAGAAATACGCCGAGATTGTCAGCTCTTTGGACGCCCAATGCAGCCCGTCCCCGACGCTGGTGCACGAATGTGACACCCTTTTCAACGCCATCTCTCGAGAAGCAGACCTCTTCCTTGACAAAGTGTTCAATATCGCAAAACGGAGTGAAGAGCATCAATGGATTAGCGGGGAATTGGCAGAAGAATTCGAAGCCCATGTGTTTCCCCTGATGGTGAAACTTACTCTTACCTGTTTCGAAGCGTATTGCAAGAAGGCCCACGAGTTGTTTGCCCGCGCCCAGGATCATGTCGACCGGGCCATGCGTTTATTTCTACGACTCTGTGCCCGTAGTTACTACCTGGAGACCGAAAGATACGTACAGTTCAAAGCTCGAGGTCAGTGTCTACTACGACCCCTCAAGAAACTAATCGAGGCTTTAAACAACGGTTCATTGAAAAGGGAGAGGGGAAGGGAACGATTTGAAACGTCTGTCTCTGCCCATGACATTGAGAACGTCAATAAATCTGTCGGGGCTGGGAAGGAATGGACGGATGCCGAAGGAATCGCTCTTTTGGACGGGCTGAAGCTCTATCAAGGTAGGTCTCCAACGACATATATACTTGGGGTCCCCAAAGTAACACCCACCAGGAATTGCAATGCTAACCGGCACATTTGTGTCTTCCAGACCGCGATCGTTACAGTCAAATTCTCGTGAATTTCGGCACCCAACTGCGTGGACGAACGGTCGACGAGCTCCGGACCAAAGCGCAAGAGATTCTGGACGCATACCTGCCGACGATCCTGAAGCAAGCGCCAACCCAAGAGGAACAACAGCAATGGCAGTGGTTGTTGAGTGTGAGGGGTTCATGAACATAGGGGGGTTTTGTGTGTATTTGTACCGTTGGAGATTGATACCCTACATTTTATTGACGGTAAATCAAACTTGCCCGTTCAGTTGGAGTCCCGAAGATATATAGTTAAGATTAATGGGAGATTCGAACCATGGAACCCAATGTTTGGGACGCGCATCACAACAAACATAACCCCTTTTCAATGGATCCTAGTGTCCCTACCCAATCCACCGATCGATCTCTCGAACTGTATCCATCTCCCACTGGCTCGACCTGTTTCTGGCGATGCGCTCTTTGGGCACCATCCATACGGTCAGGTGTCTTTATGACCTTGTTATTACCATACCATACCGTCGATACCAGAATCCTTCTTGACATCACCACGTGCAAACTGGCCAGTAGAATAGATACCGTACTAGTGTCCCTGGTGGGTACGGGACGGTATCATGCGATACGGGCGTTTAGTTCCCTCGTCAGCACCTTCTTCTCTTCTTTTGGTGACTTCCTTCTCTTCTTCTTCTCCTCCTCTTTTGTCCCTCCTGAACTCTTTCGTCCTTTTTATTGTCTCGTACCTAACTACCCTAGCCCATTTAATCGTTGTTAATTCTGTCTACTTGTCTCTTCTTTAATTATCTTTTTGCTGGTGTCTGTTTTCTCGGATCCCTATACCTGTACACTTTCCCCTTCGCCAGTCGGTCACATTTCAGGGAACGGGAGCTATTTCTCTCTTGCTCTAAGGTTCTTCTCCCTCCACTGGTTCTTGTACTACACGGACTCGGTGCTTAGTGGGGTGTCTCTTGTACATTCCCAAGTGTTTCACCATCTCTGCAATTGGTGGTCGGTCGTGGTGTTGATGTAAGTAAATAGCCCTCATTGCTATGTCCCTCCCCAGTGGATCTCGGGTTTTGAGGGAAAAGGAGAACTTCCCCCCCATTCCATTCCTCTTAGACTTGCCCTCTGCCGGGAGATCAGCAAACCCAGGAAGGCAGTGTTGGCCCCCCTCCCCTCCTGTCCATCACGTTCTTTCCAATTTGCAGATGATTCGCTCTGGATGGAAAACCTACGTTGCATTCATCTACCCCGTCGATTTTTTTCTCTCTCGTTTTTACCTTTGCTTTACCAGCCCTGAAACTAATGTGCATCCTGTTCTATTTACTAGATCGCTTGTTGAGGAAGACCTGTGATTTGATCCCTGGTTGTCGACTGTGTCTAAACTCCTTTCTAGGCCACATACAATGGCTTCTACTGAAGAACCCGTCCCTCCTACTGCCCCAACAGAAGTGGTGGAATCCGATGTACCCCCCGCCACACCTGTCGAGTCAACCGTCCTCTCCGGTAGTGAAGAGCCGGTAACTAGCCCTGATACTTCCAAGGACAAGGAAAATATTAAGGGGTCTCCCACGAAAAAGAGCCCGACAAAGAGCCCGACTTCTAGCACGACGACCACGACCAAGCGTCCGGTGTCGGGAACCCCTGCCACAAAACGTCCCGGCTTGATTTCCACTGCCCCCAAGACAACTACATCGACGTCTCGTCCCTCGACTACCAATGGCAGCACTCTAAACAAGCCTCCCACGCGTCCGACCACGACGACCACCGTTCGGAAGCCTCTGAGCACGTCGACCACCGCCTCGCACCGGTCTCGCGCGTCGGTCAGCAGCTCCGCCGATGAGAAAGCCCGGTCAGTGGCGAGCTCCGGGGATGAGAAACGAGGCATTTCCAGCACCGCCAAACGGATGTCGCTTGTTGGTACTCCGGCCACCAGGGCTCCGGTCAAGTCAACGACGATGCTGGATAGGCGCTCGAGCATCGCTTCGTCTACGGCAGAGAAGAAAGCCTCGGTGTCACGCACTAGCACGGTATCAGCACGCTCGACTCCCAAGCCAGCCACGTCAACTTCCACAAGCCGCCCGACAACCTCGTCAGGCAGCGCAGCGCGGACGACCACCCGGCCCACCTCGACTGTGACCCGGCCAACCGGAACTGCAACGAAGAGACTGAGCACCACCACCAAGGGCTCGGAAGAAGACGCAGAGAAGCTGCATTCTCTTGAGAGTAAGCTTTCAGAAAGCGAAGCCACTGTGGTTAGCCTCAAGTCGGAGTTGGAGACCGTGAATGAGAAATTAGCGCAGCTATCTGTTTCATTGCAAGAAGAGGGCTTGAAAGACAATGAACCAGCCACCAGGGAAATTCACGAGCAGCACGCTGCCGAGATCGAGCGGATGACTGCGGAGCATGCGGGGCAGCTGCAGGCATTGCGTACCCAGCTGGACGAGGCCGAGGCACAGCGGAGAGAACTGGAAGAGAAGTCACTCAAAGATCTGGACGAAGCTGCGAAGTCTGCTGCTTCTCAGGGCGATGACCAGGCCTCTGTTGCCTTGGAAGAGCTGAAACAGACCCATCAAGCTCAACTGGAAGCCTTAGAGAAGGAGCTGGCCGAGCAAAAGGCCAACACCACTAGCTACACGGAGCAACTCGACGCCATCAAGGCAGAACTGGAGGCGCAGAAAAATAGCGTGGCCGAAACTACCAAGATTTTGGAAGACAGGGCTTTGGCTCTGGACAATCTCCAGCGAGAACTTAATGGACGGGACCAGGTGATTGAAAATCTGAACCAGGAGATGGAGAAACTAAACCAGGCCAAGGAATATGAAGCCCACGCTGCCGAGGAGACCTCCCGTCAGTCCATCTCCGCCCTGGAGGAGAAGATCGCGTCGTTGGAGACCAAACTTGCAGACGCGGAATCCGCCACCAAGAGTGGCGAGGAGATAGCTACAGCTCTTGCAGAGAAGGAGAAGGATATAACGGACCTGAAGCAGACCGTGGAAACGCTTCGGTCAGAGCTCCAGGAGGCTCGTAGTGCTGCCGAACATGCGCTGAATAAAGAGATCAAGGAACTGGAGACAGCTCATGAGACGGCCATAGCCAAATTGAGAGCGGAGCACGACGAGGTTGTGGCGTCGACGGCTACAACTCATGCCCAGGAACTGGCCATTGCCAGAGAAGCTGCCGAATCAGCCGGCACCACCCATGCCGAACAACTTCAGGAGCTTCGTGGCACTCTCGATGCGGCTGAGGCGGTCGCCCAGAAACGAAGGGAGGACGCTATCAATGAGATCAAGGCTATGCACCAGGCGGAATTGCAATCCCTGGTGCAGAAGCTGGAGGCATCAGAGCAGGCTCTTGGTGAAGCGAGACAGTCGCTGGAGGAGGGTGCTAGCTCCGCCCAGGACGTTGCCATCCAGGAGATTGAATCCCTGAAGGAGAAGGTGGGTGCATTGGAGTCCCAGTTGTCAACGGGTCAGGGTGAGATCAAGTCCCTGCAAGACGCAATCCACAGCAAGCAACTGGAAGCCGAGGAGCTGCAGAAGAGTCTCATTGCTTTCGAAGACAGGACCAAATCTAAGGATGTCGAACAAGAGGGCCTGGCGAAGTCGCTGGAGGAGAGAGCGTTGGCTGCGGAAAAAGCGCTCGAGACGCACCTGCAGGAGGCGTCGGGGGTAGCGGAGAAGCACGCGGAGGCCCTTGAAGCACTGAAGGTTGCGCATGCTGCTGAGCTTGAGACTGCTCGGGCGGATGCATCCGGATCTCAAAAACAGGCACTGGAGGAGCTCCAAGCCAAACATGACGCCTTGGTGTCCGCCAATCGCGAGCTGGAACTGAAGCATGGACAAAAGGTTGAATCCCTTGAGGCCGAGCTTAAGTCGACTATGGAGCGCCACGCGGAAGAGATTACATCACAGACAGAGCTCCGTAGGAAGGAGACTGCGGAGCTACAGAAGGAGCATGAGGAGACGAAATCGGCACTGCAGGCAGAGCTGGCTTCATTGCAGGCATCCAAGTCTGCTGAGGCAGATGCTGAACACAGCAAGGCCATTGAAGAGCTTCTCACGGCGCACGAGGATAAGGTGAAGAGTCTTCGTGATCAGCTGGAGTCCTCCAACCAGGCTAAGTTAGACGAGCTTCAGAAAGCCCACGAATCGGCATTGAGTGAGGTGCGGGAGCAATTGGCCCAGGCCCATGCAGCTGCGCAGGACAGCACGGTTCTGGACGGGCTGAAGGCCACCATTACGGAGCTCGAGAGGCAGGTCGTCAAGGCGGAACAGTCTGCCACTGACGCTAGGGAGGCCGTTGGCCAACACCGTACCGAAATTTCGAAGGCGCAAGCGGAGGCGACTGAATGGCAACAGAAGCACCAGGAGCTGGCGAGCCGGGCGGCCGAATTGGAGAAGTCGCAGTCGGCCAGCGGGAACTCGCAGTCGGAGCTCGAGTCGGTCCTGAAGCAGCTCTCGGCCTCCCAGGAGGAGGTGACGCAGCTGAAGTGCAAGCAGGAGGTACTCGCGAGCGAGCTGGACGGACTCACTGCGCAGAACCGGGCTATCAACGAGAGGCTCTCGCAGGGAGAGAAGGATTTGAACGACCAGATCGACAAGAACATGTCGTTGCTGAACCAGCTAGGCGAGGTGGACTCGGCCATCTCGGCCAGCCGCAAGCGGACGCGCGAATTGGAGGCGGAGCTGGCGGCGCTGAAGGCGGAAAGGGACACAGCCCAGGGCGGCGGAGTGGGCCTGGAGGGCAGCCGGTGGGCGGAGGAGGACAAGAAGGCGGCTGGGGAGGGACCCGTGGAAGGTGAGGAGCTTGGTTCATCTATCGAGGGAACGGTGGGAGCCCCCCGTTTAACGTCCGGGTCGTCAGGCTTGCCTGGGTTTCACCCTTTTACCTGACCGGGACCGTTTCCTTTCTCTTTCTGGCTGACATGACTGACTGATTCGATGGATCTCCTGGTCCGTTTCGCACCTCCACAGATGGCAAGCATCCAGACACAGCTTAAACACATCCGCACGACGAACGACGAGTGGTACGAGGATCATCACCGGTTAGTGGACGTGCCCTCTCCCCCTCCAATTGTTGGCAATGGCATGAATGGAGATGCTGACGGGAGTGCAGGCTGGTTGGGGAATTGACGCATCGTCTGTCTCAGCGACCGACGACCGAGGCAGGCAGCCAGTCGTTGACGCCGCAACCGGAGAAAACGACGGCGGAGGGATCTGCCTGAATGGCCCAGGGGAGACATGGGATGGGAGTAAATGGCACGTTGTATTGACTAGGCTGTATATGTAGTAATAATAGGAAGCTCAGGATACCCCTGTTGGGCTATGGCATTTATGAAGCTGTAGTGAGAGGAGACTGGAATTAAGAGAGAGAGAGAAGGACTCAGCAGCCACACGGAAGACGAGTCCACCAAGGACGATGGGGGAGCTGGAGGGCTTGGGAGGAGGCCCGATAGAGAGAGGGAGTCAGCACGCGCGGGGGCGGGGTCGGGGAGCGTAGCGTGGTCAGAGGCGTAAAGCCATAGGCCCCGACAGGCAGGAAGTCCAGGGAGGAGGACGAGGGGCAGTGACTAGAAGGGGAGCCGTTAGAGCCATTGGAGCCGTTGCAACCCGACGGGGGCTCAGAGTGGTATTGACCCGCCGTGAAGGCCCGGCAGTAGGCAGCATAAGACTCGGTCACGCGCTCTTCGTCGTCAGAATCGGTTGGGCGGACATGCAGCATGGGTTTGGAGCGAGACAGACGGCGTGAGACCCAACGGGAGAGGGGCGAGTGGGAGGAATGACGCAGGGAGAAGGAGGATTCGGAGGTGGTGAAGGAGTTAGTATTGGGCATGATGACTCTGATTTTTAGAGAGCATATGGAAAGACAGGAATAGAAGAGAGAGAGAAGTGAGAGAGGGGAAGAGTGCTGTTTATATGGATGTAGAACCAAGTCAACGTAACAATTTAGGGTGGTACATGACCGCTCTTTGCTTTCACAGGCCTCGTGCTCATGCGGTGTCATGTCACTGTCCTCTCCAACCCGAGCGAGGCCTACTTCCATGTAGTACATACAGTATTGGATAGTACAGTATAGTACCAATAAGTTCCTAGGAAGTATACACAAGTACCTCTATATCCAGTATACTACACTAAATACTAAATACTAAATACTACGAATCGTGCCCCAATCCCCATCGGCCAACTTCTCGCATCGCTTCGTCGCCGCCCTCCGCCAGTCTGCCCGCCGCGTTGGCCGCATGCCCCTCGCCCAGCACTCCCGCCACGCAGTCCCATCCGTTGCGTCCTCCTCCCCAGCGAAGCACCTCGCGTGCGTACTGCTCGCCCGCCGCTCGGTCTACCGCAGCTGTTCCGCCGCCGAATACGTCCTCCCAGATCTTGTTAGCAATGGCCCGGTCGAAGATGTAGCTGTAGTACGTGGCCCCATAGCCGTACAGGTGACCGAAGAAGCCTTGCCACGAGGTGGCCGAGCTCACCGGGTCCTGGAGACTGGCATGTGCCGACGAGACCTGGTGGTAGAGCGCTGTGGAGGAGATCGGGGACGACGATGCCGGGAGCGAGTGGTAGGCCTGGTCAACGAGGGCCATCAGGATCTGGGCCTCATTCTCCACCGCTCCGTAGATGGTCGCGTGTGCTGTGCGGTCCTGCTCCATACGACGCATCATATCCGCCGAGAGCGGCTGGTCCGTCTGCCAGTGCCGCGCGTACAGCGCCAGCACATCGGGGGCGGTAGCGAAACGCTCCATCAGAACCGACGGCAGCTCCGCGAAGTCGGTGGCGCATCGCGTGCCTGAGATCGACTGCAGTCGGGTCTGGCCCAGGATCGAGTGCAGCGCGTGGCCCATCTCGTGGAAGAGAGTGCGCACGCTGTGTTCGCTCAAAAGCGATGGCGGTCCACCCGTCCCGATGGTCGGAGGCTCAGCAAAGTCGCAGACCAGGGCAATGGTGGGCAGCTGGCGCAGGGTCTTCGACTCGATCGCGGTAGCCATGCCGTCGTTGGGGTGCGCCGACCCGCCCATGGCCGTGCACTCGGCCACCTCAGCCGCCGAGATCTCGCGCGAACACCGCAGCGTGAAATGCGCCGGGTTGGGGTGCTTGTTGGGGCGCGAGAACAGGTCGCAGTAGATGACCGCGATGTGCCGCTCCGCTTCATCGACCACGTCCAGCCGACGCACGTCCGCGTTCCACGTCTCGCCGGGACCCGTTTCCTGCGGCACCAGGCGCACGCCGTAGAGGCGGTCAAACAGCCGTGACAGCCCCTGCATCACCGTGCCCAGCGAGAAGAACTCCGGCACGGCACTCAGTTCCCGGGACCGTCGCGATTGTGAGTACTGCGTGATCCGCTGATGGACGTAGTACGCATGATCCCACGCCTGCAGGGCCTTGTTGCTCTTCATGGCCTGCAGATGTGACAGCTCCTCCTGCACGAACTCGCGGTTGCTCCCCACCAGAGTGGTGAGGAATTTCGACACCGCCTCAGGGCTCTTGGCCATTTTATCGCTCAGCGTCATATGTGCGAAGCTGTCGTAGCCCGACAGTTGCGCTAGCTCCGCCCGTTTGGCCAGCAGCTGTTCCAGCCGCTGGATCTGCCGGTTGCTGGAGGTACGTGTCGCCAAGTAGATCTCCTTCCGTGCCGCCTCGTCGTGCACCGACCGTAGCGCTAGACGCGGGATCATCCCCATGGTTGGCACCGCCGCCGTGCGGTTCCACCGTTTGATCTGTTGCACCAGGATGGGGTCGAGGCCCCGGAGACTGTTGGCACTGACCACAACGTGGGATTTTGCCGGCTCGGCGCTGTTAACAAATGTCGTCCCTAGTTGACTGATCTCATTTGATAGATTCACAAACCGCTGTCGTTCATAGGGCGGCATATGAATGGCTGAGTTCGAAAAATCCTTGATTAGGATCTGTGCCACGATCTTCTCCTCTTCGGACCATTGTGCCGTCACTTCGGGATTGGCAGCCGCTTTCTTGAGCTGGTCGTTCAGTCCTGTCGTAGTATTGAGTACATTCATGTATTCGAACATTAGCGCATACGCCTGCGTCGCCGCTTCCTGCACCCGAGGGTCCGGGTGGATGGCGCGGATGAAATCGGATAAGTCGATGACTCGGCACAGTAGGTCACTCAGCCGATCTAGATCTCCAGCCATATCCCGATACTCCTCCAATGTCGACGCGGACAGCACCTTGGACACAATCGCTTGACATTTCTGTAGCGAGACATGGGCAAAAGTCCGAAACCCATCGGGACTCGTCAGGTACTGGTTCTGCACCAGACCTGTAGGCTGGGCTTGGGCCGCTCGGCGCTGCGAAAACTCTCTCCAAAAGGGCGGCGAGTCGAAGACACGGCGCAGGGTGTCGTCGTCGGTCGCTTTCCTCTGTGTTGCATTTCCTGCACGTGTGTAGTCGAGACTATTACCAGGGGACGCAGGAGACACCGCCGCCGTCTCCAGGGATCGTCGCGTCTGCTGTTGAAGTCGCTGTAGGCATGCCCGACAGGTCCAGGGCCGACGCCGGAGAGGCATCAGCAAGTAGCCTGACATCGGGAGGGAAGATAGAATTCAGCGTAGGGAGAGAGAGAAGGTCGACATTCCACCGGATGTCCAGTGAAATTCCCAGACGAAATGAATCCTGAGGAAGACGATCAAGACAGAGAGGAGAGAGAAACCGGACAATGACGGAGGAGAATCGGAGGCGAAAAAATGGCTTGGCGGTCACGCTTCCGACCTCATCTCAACTTCTTTGCTCTCTTCCTCTGTGTTTGTCTCGTCAGTCCCTCCCCCATTGGCCTCTTCCCACCATGTCGTTCCGGCCAATGTTCTCCCAGGTTGGTCCTTTTCCTTGTGAGTCGGTCGTCTCTCGTTGACCACGTTTGTAGCGAGTTGTGGCCCCATTCGCTGCCACCCTTCTGGCTGGGGGTGTCACTCTTTATCCCCGTCGTGCCGCGTTGGCCGAAGAACCCCGGGATCTGGTAGTATTTGACCCTCTACTGAGACGACCTGTCTTTCCTGATTCATCTAGTCGAAAGGGATGATCTCTCTGTTAACGTGATGCCCCCGTGGTTGCAGAGAAAGCCGATCTACGATGACCTCTCCACGGACATTCCGGACCTGGACTTGCCCAAGAAAGCTGCCCCTGTTGCGCCTCAGCCGTCCTTGTCTCCTTCCTCGTCCTCATCTTCTCCGACTCCCACAGATATCTTGACGGCCCAGATACGGCAAGCCCGTCTCTTCCTCTACGATCATTCCCTTGCTGTCGAGAACTGCTTTAATGACTTCCTGTCCCGGGCCTTGCACGTCGAGAATGCTTTCACCAACACCGTCGCCTCGCTAGCGCCCTCCCCGGACTCCGGAGAGCGTTTGCTCCCTGGAGGAGTCTACGTGGTCGTTGCCGCCATGGCCGGTTCGATTGTGTCGCGCAACCGGGGGATCCTCCTCCGTACCGCCTCGCCGCTTGCCTTTGGCACTGTTGCGGCCTGGACGCTTCTGCCGGTGACGATGCGTAATGTCTCCGACCTGGTGTGGGAGTACGAGAAGAAGGTTCCCGCCTTGGCGGAGCAGCACCTCCGTATCCGGGAAAAGGCTGAGCATATCTGGTATACGGGTATCGCCCACAGTGGAATGGCGCGGGCCATGATGGAAGAGAAGATCGGTGATACCCGGAAGAAGCTGGAGGAGCTGGTGAGCAAGGGCCATTAAAATTGTCATTCATTCTTCACACATGCTTTGTTCTTTCTTTCCTTCTCCTGTACTTCTCTGCTCTGTCTGTATTCGGTTTCCCTGAAGCGGATGTGATTTGGAGCCTGTGACTGGTACAGTATCATCGGGGCTTGGGATGGGATACGGTTTCAATTGCATAAGTGCGTGTACTTTAAGACGTAGGTTCGAATGAACCGATCCCATACTATTTTACATATTCCAGCTCGGTGCCCGAGAGACCCTGGTGTAACAACCCCGTCCTCAGCCCTCGTTAGGAATACAGAAAATCCCCATTCGGCATTGGTTTAGTCCATCCTAACTCCGGAGACACATGATACTCCACAACGCAACGAGAAAGATCCTTGCAGAACAGCACTGATAATTACTCTATTCGTGCTGTGGCTCGCTCGTTTCTTCGGCGGTCGGCGGAGGGCGCACGCCGGCTTTGGGAGGAGGGGGCAACGGAGAGGCCTTGCGCGACGGCGCAAAGTCTTGTTCCTTGCTCTTCTGCTCTCCCTCGGCGAAATACTCGTCAAACGCTCGGTTGGGCGATACTCCCGCGTGTCGGGTCTTTCCCCGCCGAGTGCTCGACGTCGCATGTCCAGGGGCAGTACCAGCCTGCGAGGCCAACGGGGGCGGCGAGGACATGTTCGCGGGGACGAGGAAGTGCCCTCCCATAGCTGGAGAAGCTTCTCGAGCGTTCTGAGTCGGATTCCGGGGAGCCATCACAGGTGCAGAGGTGCCGTCGTCCTGCGTCTCGAATACAACCTCGCCAGGCTCCTCGACTTCTTCGCCCAACCCCACAGGCAGTCGATGTAAGGCACCGTATCCCAGCTCCGCGCCCAAAGCACCCTGTCCGCCCCAACCCCGAGTGGGTACCAGCTCCACCTCACGCACGACGTCAAATTCGCTATTGTATACCCAGAGAACTAATGTGCGGTTCAGGTGGTCCTCTACTAACTCGCCCAGCGCGGATTCGCCTCGTAGTGTTCCACTCGGGGTCCCGACAATGTAATCCGAGTGTGGCAGCAGCCCAGCCCGGTATGCCGGGCTGAGCGGTGACGGGATGTTCAGGATATGCCAGATGTGTTGTGCCGATGAGAGAGGAGCTAGTTGGAGAGCAAGGCCGAGCGTCGGGTTGGAAACCGGAACGGGAATGGACACCGTATGTGTCCGTTGACCCTAATGTGTAGCATACAATCAGCAATGGATCTAACATGGTCTTGGAGTCGTCTAGTATCCAACCTTGGCACTCCAGATCTCGAACGCTACGCTGGAGCCAGCGCAGTTGCGAACCTCAGTCGCGAACAAATTCGGGTCCGGATCCTCCTGTAGAAGATACGAACCGATAAGTTTCCACACATAACGATGGAAAGCTCAGTTCCAGCCCTTACGGGTCACTCACGATTAGACGACCATTAATGCCAATGATGAAATCAAACCATGGCTCTAGGGGTAGCTCCGCGTCCTTGTTGCGGAGCACCTGGAAGCCAAATCCTCGGTCGCCGGTAGAAGGCGACCGAGGGCGTTGGACAGGGTCGGAATCCAGACGCTCGATAATTCGATTCAAAGCTCCGAACATGACGATAATACGAGCGAGTGATGGAGTGAGCGGAGAATCATGCGAGCTGAACTGCTGATGCACCAGCATCTCAGCTTCATTGTATGGGAGTGGGAGGCAATGGTGCAAACCAAACAAACACCATGTCACTTATCTCAAAGCTCGTGCATCGTAGAATGGAAGTATTCCACTTCCCAGGACTCTCTCCTGCATTCTATTCATGCCATGACGGAAGACTCTATGGAGGAAATTCCCCCTCCAGAGGTGCATCACTACAACTACCTCGCAGAAGTACCCTGGGATATCCAAAAGTACGGCCGGAGTCGTGACATGATGTCGAGAATTCCGCTGACAGTGGCTATAGTTACTGGTCCCAACGCTACAGGATCTTCTCACGATATGACGAGGGAGTCTGGTTGACGGATGATGCATGGTTTGGAGTGACCCCTGAGCCGGTGGCCAAGTGAGTCTCCTATTTTAACTATGTCCCATGGGATATGTCTCTAAGATTATTGGGGGTAGCAAAATCGCCGAGCACCTGGCCAGCTCGGCCCCCGCTGGACGGAGTATCCTGATCGATGCATTCGCAGGAGCTGGGGGCAATTCTATTGCTTTCGCTCTCTCTGGAAAATGGAAACGGGTGTACGCCATCGAGAAAAACCCGGGTGTACTGCAGTGTGCCAAACACAATGCCCTGATCTACGGTGTGCAAGATAAGATCACCTGGTTTGAAGGTGATTGTTTTGAGATCTTGAAGAATCAACTTAAGGATTTGGCTCCGTATAGTGTTATTTTCGCTAGTCCTCCTTGGGGTGGTATGAGTGACATCCTCCTAGCAAGTCCTTTGCAAGTTAATGCCTAACCACTGATATTGGTAGGCCCGGGGTATCGCTCTGACAAAGTCTTCAACTTACATACCATGGAGCCGTATTCTTTGGACATACTGTACCGTGAGTACACGGCGTTTACCAAGTATGTGGTTCTATTTCTCCCTCGCACTTCGGACGTGAAGCAGCTAGCCAAAGTCATCCCGGGGGGCCAGCAAGCAATGTTGATGCATTATTGTATGGAAGGTGCTAGTAAAGCACTTTGTATCTACTATGGAGGATTCCATTTTGAATGATCTGGGACGTCTTTTCTTTCTTTTTTTGTAATTTATGAAGCAAAGACCAAGGGCAGGAGATCCCCAGTCGCATTCACTCTTTTCCACAATTAATGTATACTACCATATGATTACCGTGACCACAATAAATATAAACTTAATCTACATTTATCAATCAGATTCCGGGAGATCACAAATTGTAGTGAACGTTGGTGGTGAAGTAGTAGCTGATTACCCGATGCGGTCTAGTGTACCTCCCCATCTCATCTTGCCTTCACATCGTCTTTTCTCTTCTCGCCGCGTCTTGCCTTGTCCATCTCATCTCACCTCATCTCACCCTACCTTTCCTTTCAGTCTCCGTGTACATTGAGGAGCTCTGAAGTCTGGAGCAGACTGCCCATCCTCCGTCTCCATGCGGACTTTCTTGTGAATTCCCTTCTCCCCGACTCCGCTCGTTTGACCGATCCGCTACACCCCACGCGCTGTCTAGCACCGCCCTTTCTCTCCCACACATTCTTGTTTCTCCTGTACTCGTTCCCCATCTTCAAATTACAATATGCCTCACGCTACGGACCCCGGGGCGCCCGACCCCGAAGATGCAGACTTCGAGAATGTCATGCGACAGATGAACGGCCCCTTGGACGGCAGCATGTCCTTCGATTTCTTACAGAGAGACTTGGAACCCGGCGAGAAAGCAGATGATGCGATCGACTACGAAGATTTCGACGATGACGACCTTCCGGAAGAAGAGGAGAGAGCTCAGACGGTCTTGGCGGAGAATGGAGTCGCAGTGATTGATGATGAGGATAAAGGTCTGTTTGAGGCGGAGGAGGATGATCTTTTTGGAGGCCAGGAAGAGGAGGAGCAACATCAGTACGAAAAAACTCAGCAGGCCGCTCCCCCCGATGAACTTGACGACCTCTTTGGTGAAGGGCCTGCCTCCCATGCGCCAGATCAAATGGACCCAACCCGAGATCTATTCTTCGAAGAAGATGAACAGCCCCCTGCCCTACCTGTCGTTGGCGAAGCGCCCGTCACCGAACCTGTGCCCATGGTGATGGATATGGACGAAGAGCAGGATGTGCAAGTGGATGGCGCTATGAGTCCCACGGCAGAAGATATGGATCCTGCGGCCCTCCGCGCATGGAAACTCCAACAGGCCCTGTTTGCCATGTCTACTGTCGGCCCCGACAATCCTCCTGCTCCGCCCGAGAATGTAGAGGAGCTTCTGCATTCTTTGTTTCCAACCTTCGATCGCAAATCCCTTCCTCGCTTTCTCGAATTGATCCCACACAAGAAGGCTTTCTTTCTGGGTAAACAGCCCGTTAGGCCCCCCAAGCCGGTTCTTCCGAGTAAACTCAACATCGAGCTGGCCCACGATCAGGAACGGAGTTTTAAATCGGGGGGACAAGTCTATAAGCGCTCATTAGAATCAGAGCAGCTAGGGATCATGACCATTACCGAGGCCGTTCAGGAAGAGGAAGAGGAAGCCAGGGAGGAATTCGACCAGGACACTGACACCGATGAGCCTTTGCCAGGAGGCATCACTTTGCATGATCTCCGTGTCGTATGCTCTGATTGGGATGTTCAGGACGATGACTCTGTTATGGATGTTGACGAGCCGGCCCCTAAGGACACTATGGAGGACGTGGAAGACGACGACTGGCTTGTCGAAACTACTCGTCCGGCTAAAAAACGGAAGATTGGGAGGGATCCGTTGGACTTAGTTGCTCTCTCCCACGTTGACGTGCCCTTGATGGATGATCCTGTACATGTTACGTCGCGGATTGCCCAAAAGGTTACGGTTGATATGAATGACCCTCACATTCTGCTAGATGAGCGTGGTCCCGACTCCACCGCCCAGAAGCCCAAAGCGCTTGGATCCTTGAACCGCGACGAGATGGATGTGAATGTCACTCGGCGCCTCACCTCCCGCTACAACATTTCCAACGACCAGGCGTACGACATGCTCAAGCAGAATCATCAAAACAAAGTCCGAAGTACTCTGGGTAATGTCACGCTCGAACACAGTATGCCTGCGCTTCGCTTGCAATGGCCCTACTATAAAACAGAGCTTGCCAAAGCGGAGGCGCGGTCATTCCATCGCCCTTCTTTGTCCTTCCGGGCCGGCCAGACTTGTTGGTTCAAGAATCCCGCTCACGTCAAGCGCAAGCACCACAAAGGCAAGGATGTTAAAACAATCTACAACTCCACCAAAGCACTGTCAATGGCTGACAACTCCAACGTTCTGCTGGTTGAATACTCGGAGGAGGTGCCACTTATGCTTTCCAACTTTGGAATGTCGAATCGTTTCATCAATTATTATCGTCGAAAGAGTATGGAGGATCCCACCCGCCCTAAGGCAGAAATTGGTGAAACGGTTGTCCTGCTTCCTCAAGATAAGAGCCCATTCTCTATATTTGGACATGTTGACCCGGGTGAGATCGCCCCCGCTATATCAAACTCCATGTATAGGGCACCGCTGTTCCAGCATAAAGCCAAATCCACCGACTTCTTGGTGGTACGCAGCAGCACTGGCTCAGGGGGCAGTGATTATTTTCTCCGAAACATTGAGAATCTGTTTGTCGCCGGTCAGCAATTTCCGTCCGTTGACGTGCCTGGGCCTCATTCACGAAAGGTCACGACGGTGGCTAAAAACCGCATGAAGATGCTTGTGTATCGCCTCTTAAAGAAGAGCCCTGATCTCAGGCTCTCGATCAGTGACGTTACCGCTCATATCCCAGGAACCAGTGACATGCAGAACCGTCAAAAGGTCAAGGACTTTCTTCAACACGACAAGGATTCAAAGTACTGGGTCCCCTTGGAACCGGTACCCGAACAAGATGTGATTCGAGCGTGGGTGCAGCCAGAGGACGTTTGTCTCTTGGAATCCATGCAGGTCGGCCAACAGCACTTGCATGACACAGGCTATGGCAATGATGCCGAGACCGGAGGGGAAGATGACGACGATGGAGAAGGCGAAAGCTTTGAGCAGCAGATGGCGCCGTGGAAGGCGACCCGCAACTTCCTCCTCGCATCTCAAGGAAAAGCTATGCTCAAGCTCCATGGCGAAGGCGATCCGACTGGCCGCGGAGAGGGATTCAGCTTTATTAAGACATCCATGAAAGGTGGCTTCAAAGCGATTGGCGAAAGTGTCGAGGACAAACTGGACGCGCAACGGCTTAAAGAGCTCGGCGGCCATAGCTACAACGTTGCCCGGCAGCAGAAATCCTACGAAACCTCCATCCGACGGATCTGGGACGCGCAGAAAGCTAGCCTGTCCTCCACTGTTGAACACTCGGACGATGAGAGTGACGTTGACCGAGAGGAAGACGAGGAGTTTGGCAAGCCCACTCCCAGATCGGAGGCTCCCACGCCCGCACCTGGCCGCCGCGACGACGAGACGACCAGTCAGTTCAGCAAGATGAGCATGGCGGATCAGAAAGGCAAGGTGCTCCGCATCATTCGCTATTACAAGGATGAGAAAGGGAGTCTCTATCCAAAGGAAACCCTCGTCTGGGATCCTCGCGTCATTCGGCACTACATTCAGCACCGCCATAGATCCGAGGCTCTGTCTACTAAGTAAGTGGATATCTAGCGATCATCTATATCACTTTCTCCCGTCACCACATACTGACTCTCGCCCCTAGACTTGACTCGCTCCAGCCCACCGGCGACCCGGAGATCGACGCTCGCAATAAGAAACTGTACGTTCGCCTTTTCGTCTTTCCCTATGCTGTCCCCTCTTCTGGAACCCTCTCAACTCACCTCTCGCTCTCAGGATCGAAAACGAACTCAGCCGTCTCAACCGTAACAAGGAACGTCGGTTCGCGCGTGAGAAACAAAAAGGCGTTCTCCGCGTTGGCGACTCACCCGCCGAAGGACCCTCTGGCAAATCCGCCGGAACTCAGCGCAAATGCGCCAATTGCGGCCAGGTCGGCCATATTAAGACCAACAAGAAGTGCGTTCTACCAATTCCCTCCACCTTCCTTGCTGTCATCCCGTCTTCTACATTGCTAATGATTGTAAACTCCATCCGATAGACTCTGTCCTCTTCTCAACGGGACCATGAAGCCCGAAGATCGGATCAGCGATTCGGCTTTCGCTATGGGTGCCCCCCCTGCTATCTAATAAATATCCTGTTCTGGTTCGCTCGCACATAGGAATTATGTCATTTGGGTTTGAACTTCTTTGCTTTTGAAATTCTCTGCTATGATACCCCCCTACCTTTGATGGTCGTTACAATGGCCTTCCTTCTTCCCGTTTTATTAATTTTTTTTTTTTTTTTTTTTTTTTTTTTTTTTTTTTTTTTCAAAAAGAATGTGGAGCTGGTCTTGAAAATAAAAAAAAAAAAGCAAACAACAAGCACTTGACAAGATGCGCAAAGACATACCCTTCTGTTTACACTCGTCTTGTTGTATGTCTTTCAAACTACGAGATGAAGATGCGAAATTGCTTTTCTGTATGCATCGAGGTACTTGTAACTATATGAATGTAATGGATTCGCATGTCTTACACGAAGTCTCAGATGCAAACGAACCAGAGAGGGAGAGACCATGGGACCTCCTGGCCAGCTAATCACCTCCAGATTGGTCTAAGATGATTGATTAGCTTCCCAGCTTGCAATGACCGTCAGCCGTATACTGTCTACCGGCAAATAAAAATATCTAAGGATACATGATCGAATAGCCAAGCCGCACCGCAACAAGATGCCAGTCGAAAGACCCGACCCTTCCCCTTTCAATTCTCAACATCCATATAGGTCGGACAGGTGCCTTCGTGAAAGATATGGCCGACCTCGGTCCGGCGCGAAGGCCATCGCCACGGCCTTGGGTCGACGGTATGTGTAGCCCAAGAATGCCCCCTGCTTGCGTATTTCCAGAGCGGCCTTTCCGACTCGCTTGTCCCGCAAGAGTTTGTCCCGGGGCCGGTTCTTCTCGCCCACTCCCTTGCGGTCTCGGGTCGGTGATTTTGCGGCTGCTTCAGGGGGATTTGCTTCGTCCGGGATGGGCCTCTCATCGTGATTCTGCGGAAGATCATCGTTCTCCTGAACGGGTAGCTGATGCTCCTCCGCCTCGGCCCCATCGTCCGAAAGCGAGTTGTTATCATTCTCCTGCGTGTTGCCCCAGTCGTCGAAATATCGCGTGTCCTCCCAGCCTTTGACTCGGGGGATAAACGGAGGGACTGACCGGTGAATGACATCCCAGTTAATCCCTCGGAAGAAGGGATGAGCCTTAATGTCAGCGGCATCGTTAGGGTATACGTAGAACCCTTGGTGGCTCTGATGGAAGGCACTAAAATGGTAGAAGAAGTACCCCGGAGGCGATCGTGGATTCGGCGGATCATTGTGTCGATACGCAGCGCAAGACAAACGAAGCTCCTTCTCTTGGAGCAAAGAATTGATCAGATTGACCGCTTCGCTGGAGATGAGCTTGTCGGAAGGCCGATGCATCGGGAATCGCAAAGTCTGCAGATGATGCTGTTCTTCATGAGCTTGATGGTGAGCCAGGAACTGCCTGGGAAGACTCACATGGATTTTCACTTTGGTTTTCTGGCGATCATTCGAGGCGAAGGGTGTGAACCCATATAAGCACTGGTCAGGCTTCGTCAGTCCTACTATACGCAGCAATGGGAAGTTGGGGAACGCTCACCTCGTAGAGGATGATTCCCACACTCCACCAGTCGCAGCGGCCGTCGTATGCCTGTCCACGAATGACTTCAGGGGCCATGTATTGACTGGTGCCAACGACGCTCCTGGCCAACCGTCGCAATTGGTGTTGGTCTCGCCATCCCAAGAGGCCCGTCGAGGGCATGGCTTGCACGTCCTCTTGCGGGCCCTCTTGGATCCTCTGGGTGTGTTGCTCTATATTCTGTGCCTCTTTCTGGTCTTGGGCGTCTCCATGGATTCGAATTCCCAGTTTGTGGGCCAGGGAGTACCGATGATCATTGTAGTACATCTGGTCGTGAGCCCAATGGCCATCAAAGGCCAAACCGAAGTCGGATATTTTAAGATGGCCAGACGCTGAGATCAGGAAGTTATCGGGCTTGATGTCTCGATGGATCCATCTTAGTCGATGAGCCTCTTCGACGCAGAGGACCATCTCTGCTACATACCATCGCGCGATGTCTTCGCGCAGGATACATTGTCGCAGCAGCAGACTCAGGAAGTCTCCGCCCACCATGTAGTCCATGATGAGGTATAGGTGGCTGTGATCCTGGAAGCTTGCAATCAAAGGCACTATCCAGCGTGATCGGGCAGACGCAACCAGAAAGTCTCTCTCGGCTCGCAGATGGCCCTCCTGACAATTGCGGATCATCGCTGATTTCCGGATAACTTTCATCGCGAAGACATCCTTCTTCACCCCGGCCATTATTCGTCGACGGCCTGAACCTCTCGTGGTGGTGGCCTCAGGAGTCGGAGGTGCGAGTTCCTCCTCGATACTGCTGCTGGTCTGCTCGTCTGCCTTCTTTTCCTTCACCAGACGCACGACCCCAAAGCTTCCTCTGCCCAGGATCTTGAGGACTTCGAAGCCGGCCATGGACACGGTCTTATCGTTCCCAGCCTTGCGCGAGCGGGTTTTGAGCACTCGACATTGGCGGAGATACTCTCGTTCCTGGATAATCCATTTCTTCCGCGCTTTGACCTTCTCATCCGGTGTGAGGGATGACGAATCAATGTACTCTTCTAGCTCATGCCGACGCTGTAAGCGCGGGTCGAGGCCTGAATAGACGGTGCTGAAATAGGTTTCAAGGAATACCTTTGCATTGGTCGTGGCTTCAACTGTGACAATGGAGGTCGAAGCACTGGGTAAACCTGACAGGGAGGTTGATGTATTGCTGGTGACCTGGGCCGGCGGATCCAAGCTCGGGCTGCTGTTGACTGCACTACCAGAAGCATGTTTGGACTCCTCCGGCGAGAATGGGGGTTCTTCGGACGACGGAGGCGTCGACTGAGTCCCTAGAGGAGAAGCGTTGCTGCTGGGAGGTGTGGAGGGATTGGAGCTATCAGGGTCACTTCCACGCTGCACAGGTAGCGGAGAGCTGGGAGCCATGGGAAAATGCACCGCACAGATACTTGGCCGCGAGCGTAAATGAGCACGACGGATGACCGTTGGATGGCCAAAGGTGGTGGACAACTTGCGCGAGAAGATGTTTGTGATCGCCTCTGGAGTCGACTGGCTCCGCCTCATTCCCCCGGAGGCGTCAATTTGATGGGGCGGAAATTGAACCTCCGACTCCTGTGGACTTTGCATCTGCCCATCGCCCGGGTATTTCGACGGTGCCGCAAGGCTGTAACGGTCAATGTCGATGGCTGGAGGATGGGCATGGGATGTCTGATGGGCCACGGGAGGAACATGGCGAGACGCAGGTTCACTTTCTGCAGGCAACGAGTGGCTGGATTCTGGGTTCGATGGGAAAACAGACTCAGGAGCCGTGACTTTCGCAGCTGAGAAGTAAGTCGACGTTAGCTGTAGGGAAGGAGGGTCCAAGACCAGGCAAGAAGAACTGCACCGTAAGCCGCGTGCCTCCACCCCAATAACGATAATAACCTCGAGCTTCTCTCTCTCAGACGGACTCGTATCTTGTCCTTCCCAGCATGTTGAGTGTCTGAGATAGAGATGTCCGACATGGTCGATCGTCGAGATACGCACGTAACGAAGGTAGATGGTCCTCTCGCTCGTCCGTAACGATAGAATGGTGGTGAATTCTCCAGAGTAGAAGGGAAATGAACATTATGGGCAGTCGTGGGTGGGTGTGAAGACGACGGAAGTCGCGACGGAGAGAGTCTACGACCAGCTACGACCAAACCGACAAAACAAAAGCGCAAAAGAAAAAAACAAAAATACTTTTAATTTGGAGAGATTCGGGTGGCATGCAATATCCTCATCGCTGCTAATATGCATCAGAAAACAGTGCGAGAACGAACCCAGTCGGATATCATCACAGCAACTAATGAGATTCAAAAACCCCCGACAACCTGGACTGTTTTGTATGAGGGGGAACAAGAAAATAAAATAAAAATAAAATAAAGAAAAACCTCTATTTGATCTCAAGCAGCTTGACATCGAAGATCAGCTTCGAGTTGGCCGGAATGCCGGGGAGAGCTTTCTTGCCATAGGCCAGATGAGGAGGAATCGAGATACGGCGCTCGCCACCCACGGCCATACCAGCCACACCGATGTCCCAACCCTTGATCACTTCACCCTTGCCCAGCTTGAAGGTAAAAGGCTTGCCCTTCTTGTTGGCTAATAAAGATGAAACCGTTAAAGGGGAGTGGCTACATAAGGGGGAGGATGAAGACATACCATCAAAGACCTTGCCGTCCTCGAGCTTTCCAATATATCGCATGGCAACCGTGTTACCACTCTTAGCGGCGACACCCTTCCCAAGCTTCTTATCGTCGAGTTTGACTCCCTTGATTTCCTTCACTCCGAGAGTGCCCGTGGTCTCAGCGGACTTCTTGTCCTGAGCCGAAGGCGTAGGACCCTGCTCCAGGTTTTTGGCGAACTGGACCTTCTTAGCCTCCTTGCCCTCCTTGTTGTCCTTTCCGTCCTTCTTCTGTTCCACGGGAGCCGCTTCGCCGTTGTTCTTCTTCTGCTTTTTCTGCTGCTTCTTGCTCAGGGTCTCCTCTCCGTTGGCCTTCTTCCCGGACTTGGTCATCAAATCGTCGAGGGTAGCATCTTCCTCGGATTCAGCTGCGCGCTTGTTCTTACCCTTGGAAGTAACGAGCTTGGGAGCCTCCTCATCACTCTCCACCTCGGTGATGCGGGGGTTCTCTAAATCATCTAGCTCGTCGCTCTCGTTGTCCTCGTCCATGAGTTCGGCCAAGTCCAGCTCGTCTTCATCAGGGGAGAGATCGTAGTCACCCTCGTCGTCCTCATCGTCCTCGTCCTCGTCGTAAGGCATGCGGCCTTCGTCAAGAGGCATCACGTAGTTTCCGGTCAGGTAGATCGTGTGGGTACCGGAGACCTTGAAGAAGACGCGCTCATCCTCGGAGATCGTAAGGTCCAAAGGCTGCTGGTAGGCCTGCGAGGAAACGCGGTCAGCTGGGGTTCGGGGTCATCGTCACTCAGGGAAAAAACCTTCTCGGGGTCCAAGGTGCAGACCACCATCTCTTCGAACTCGATACCCTCTTCGGATTCCTCGTCATCGTCATCGTCGGTAGCGGGGGCCTTGCCTTTGATGAGCTTGGAGATGGCAGCTTTCAGGTCAAATCCTTCATCATCCTCATCCTCATCCTCATCCTCTTCGTCATCTTCATCCATGGCCTCTTCCATTTCTTTGCGGATGGCAGCCTCCTTGAGCTTGCGGGCCTTCTCCTTGTCGCTCGGACCGCCGTTAACCTCCTCATCGTCGGAGTCCTCGGAGTCCTCATCCTCATCCTCGTAATCGTCATCCGATTCGTCCAGGTCCATTCCTGGAGGAGCGCGGATGATCTTGAGAGTGGCCCTGGGGCGCTTCGTGTCCAATCCATCAAAATCGGGTTCCTCGTCCGGGTCAACGGCAGCCATGCTCACACGCAACTACACCATCCAGGTCAGCCGCATTCTCCCAAAAAAATTGCCATGTTAATCGAATTATATCCAGTCGGAATCACTCACCATGGCGGAGGCATCGGGGACTGCGGGAATCAAGGTTCCTCCGGGAGGAACCCTCAGAGTGTACAATGCTACAGGCTGAGTTCCGGACATTGTGAAGTAGAATAGGAGGGGAAGAGAAATGAGTAACGATAGGAAATGGGAATTAAGAAAGGAGGAATTGGTCCGGAAAAAGAAGGGAAGAGAAAAAGTTTTGAGGATGGTGAAAAAGCTGTTGCCCGGCAGTCGCTGTATGTGTAGATCTTTTTTCCTTTTTTTTTTTTTCTTGTCCCAAAAAAGGAGCGGTGGAGCCTTTTTCCTTCGTGCTCCGTAATTTTCTGCCCTTTCTGACCGTCCTCTGAACTATCGACCAATCATATCGCTCTCCGCCCTGTCTCCGCTATGGTTCTTTCTGCTATTTGCCACCGCCTCACATGACCTCGTTCTAGTCACGCGTCGCCCGCGCGTCTCACTCTTTTTGCCTCCGTTTCTCTCGACTCTCTCTTTGGTTTGCCCTCTTTGCACTCCCCCGTATCATGATCCGGTCGTTAGCCCAGGATGGGCTCCGTGCTCGATGCCAACTCCCGCGCTGTGCGGAAGCGGATTGAAAATCGTACGTAGTTTCCCCAGAAGATGGGTGAGTAGACGATTCTAACGACAGTAATTCAGATCAATTCGAGGATGAAACGGGTGAAGAATATGAGTCTTCCACATTTGGTGGATTTGGTGACTATATACGCCGGAAGAAAATCAAGCTGCAGAACTTAGATGCGGAGATTCGTTCTGCAGCGTCGGATTGCCCGCCCATCTTTCGCGGAGTGGTGGTCCATGTCAACGGCTACACCCAACCGTCTCTGCAAGATCTTCATCGTCTCGTGGTAAGCCATGGCGGGGGGTTCCTTCAGTATCTCGATGGCAAGACAGCCGCAACCCATATCATTGCCAGCTCCCTGACCCCCAAGAAACGTGAGGAGTTCCGAAGATATCGTATTGTCAAACCCGCCTGGGTTGTGGAGAGTGTGAAAACAGGACGATTGCTTCCCTGGGATTCCTTTCGGGTTGTGGATGAAGGTCAATCTCAGAAGATTCTCAAGTTCGATCACGGTCAACTTTCCAGCCGGACTAATAGTCCGCGGTCAGGTTATAGAGACCAGACTGAATCAAGCTGGTACACTTCACAATTAAAAGCTTTGGCTGCGAGGAACACGGCGGACTCGGAGCAAGTACCTCCCTTGGCCAATCAATCCTTGAATGGATCGCAATCTGATTATGGGGACTTTCCGAGTTTCACGTCCCTCGACGAGATGAACAACGAATCCGGCACCTGCGGCTCGCGGGGAGATGCAATACAGGAGATGATTTCAGAGACTAACGATTCAACCCATGCCCCCGGGCTTAGCCATTCACCGGACCCTCGGCCTGATACCGCTCATGGTGCTATGTCTCCCCCGCAGCCAATTCCTGCACCGAACATGACCTCCGAAGAATATAACGCTCAGCTTCTGTCTGACCCACGCATGAAGAATTCGAGTGCTACCAATCCAGATTTCCTCCAACAGTTCTACAAAGAGTCTCGTTTGCACCACCTTTCCACCTGGAAAGCCGAGCTAAAGGCTCTACTGCAATCTGCGGCGAAAGAGAAATCGCGGTCTCAAGCCGCGCGGCAAAAGCGTATATACGGAGGAAGAAGGTATATCATGCATGTTGACTTCGACTGTTTTTTTGCGGCAGTTTCCACTTTAAAATGTCCCGAGCTGGACGGCAAGCCTGTTGCCGTTGCGCACGGCACTGGATCGGGCTCTGAAATTGCATGCTGCAATTATGCAGCCCGAGCGCACGGTGTCAAGAACGGAATGTGGATGAAGGGGGCCTTGAAGACATGTCCTGATCTTAAAGTCCTGCCTTATGACTTCCCGGCTTACGAAGCAGCAAGTCGCAAGTTCTACCATGCCATTCTCTCGGTAGACGGTATCGTCCAAAGTGTCAGTATCGATGAGGCTTTGGTAGACATCACCACCCAATGTCTGGATGCCGGGGGCACGGACGGTCGGGGGATGGCCGAGGGCTCCATCTACCGAGAACAGGCCAAGGCCGATGAAATCGGTCAAACCCTACGGGCTGTGATCAAAGCCCAAACGGGATGCGCCGTTTCGGTGGGAATCGGGGGCAATATCTTACAGGCAAAAGTCGCTCTGCGGAAGGCCAAGCCAGCTGGCCAGTTCCAGCTCAAACCTGAAGACGTCCTGGACTTTATAGGGAATCTTAACGTCCGAGATCTCCCTGGCATCGGCTATAGTCTAGAGGCCAAATTGGAGGAGCTGGGGGTCAAGTTCGTCAGAGACATCACTGAGCTCACCCGCGAAAGGCTGACTTCTAGCCTGGGCCCCAAGACGGGGAAGAAGATGTGGGAGTATGCTCGGGGGATCGACCGGACCGAGGTGGGCAACGAAGTATCGAGGAAGTCGGTGTCGGCAGAAGTCAACTGGGGCATTCGGTTCGTCAACCAGACTCAGGCCGAAGAGTTTGTCAAGTCGCTCTGTGGGGAACTACATCGGAGACTGGTTGAGAACCTGGTGAAAGGCATACAGTTTACGCTGAAAGTCATGCGGCGATCAGCGGATGCTCCATTGGAGCCAGCCAAACACCTGGGTCATGGCAAGTGTGACGTCTTCAACAAGAGTGTCGTCCTTGGTGTAGCGACCCACGAAACTGACACCCTCGCAAAGGAGGCGGTTTCCATGCTCCGAAGCTTAAACATCACGCCGGGCGATCTGAGAGGACTGGGAGTGCAAATGACCAAGCTCGAACCTCTTGCGCCGGCGACGAATGGCCGGCTGGAAAGCAGCCAGCAGCGGCTCACTTTCAAAGCTTCGCCAACTCGCAAAACCATCGAACGCAGTACCGACCCAGACATGTTGGATAGTCCACGCAAGAGTGAGTCTCAGTCGATTTTCCAGGGTCCTTCTTTGAGCGACAGTACCTATCGCCCTCTGAACGTCTCCGGAACCCAGTTCATCATGCCGTCGCAGCCCGACCCCAATGTAGTAGCGGAGCTTCCGAATGACATTCGGTCCAAGTTGGTAGCGCAGGGGAAACGCCAGCACGATTCCCGTTCCATCTCCCCCAGTCCTGCCAGTCGTCGTCCTCAACCACCTCCGGCGGAACTTCCCCCTCAGTCCCAATTGGATCTGGAGACTTTGGCTGCATTGCCGGAGGATCTCCGCACGGAGGTTCTGGGTTACTATAACCTGCCGACCGGGAATACCGATTCTCTCCCAACGCCATCTACTGTGACCGCGTCCAGGCCTTCATCCTCTGGGTCTCTTAAGTTCACGAAGCCTACAACGTCCACCAAAAAACGACGTGGTCGCCCAAGCTCCAAACCATCCGACAACCTCACTCAGTCAAACTTTCTTTTCCCACGACCTGCGACTTTTACGAGTCAGAAAAGCCAATTGTCCCTCCTAGACCACCTTCTCCACCGATGGACACAATTGAAGAGGTATCGGCAGAGTTCCTAGCGGCACTGCCGGATGATATCCGTTGCGAGGTACTGAATGAACAACGGAGAGCCCGCATGCTGCAGCGCTCTAGTAATGCCCCGGTCATGCCTCCACGGGGGGCTGACAATCCCGCCCCTCTTGTCCAAGAAAGACGGCTTCCTCTTTCCCCCTTACCGGAGCGGCCCAGTTTCACAGCGAGGAAGCTGTCTAGTTTACCGGATTTGCGTGATGCGGTTGGTGACTGGCACGCCGCATTTGCCGACGAAGGCCCATTTGATGAAGATGTGACATCCCTTGCTCGGTATTTGCAGCGAGTAGTTGCTGACGAGAAGGATATCAATAAGGCTGTCTCTGTGGTCAGCTGGTTGATGTGGCTTATTAACGACGGAAAGGAGCAACCCTCGGGGTCGTCCGGCCAGCAAGGATCCTTGTACGGAAGATCTCAGGGTGTTATTCACTGGGATAATGCTGTACGACGTCTCCAGGAGAGCATACAAGAGGGATTGTCCGAGCGAAATCTGCCGCCGGTAGAATTCTCCTGACCCGAGAACTTTTTGTATAATCTGTCTGCTGTTTTACGACGATGTCTATGATGCGATCACGATTATATTGGCGTTTTAATAGATGATACCGTGCCCTTTTATTATTATTATTTTTTTTTTTTTTTTTTGTATATCATGTTAAAGTGGACCAGCTGTGAACCGAGTTAGTAGGCACACTATTTACTTTACCCGTATATATAGCACATATTGGCATTGCGTTTAATTTTACTGGTGCATACTATCTGTAGAAATATTGAAAACAGATAGCTTAGGGGTACACAACATGACAATTGAATTTAATGTTGAAACGCCGTATGACTTGCCTTACTATAGCGGCTTCACTAAAAGCCTGTGCCTTTTTTAGGCTGGTCGAACGGTTTGTCTTCACATTTAATGATTCCCAATTGCAGAATTTCTCACACCCCCCTAATCTGGCCCCCATGAAGCATTTCCACTTTCAAAGCGGGTAATTCTCCGCAACTCGTAGGCACACAACACTTCCTGCACTGCAGGTAGCTTAACAGACGTAATTAGCAAGAGGTTGTCCTGGATCTTGCACCTTCTTTGGCAACTTTTCTGGGTGTAAACCCCAAAAATTCTCCTTTATATGACCCTTTCTACTGCAATGCGAACAGGTAAATCGTTACTCCTGTTGTTGCTTCTCCCCTTTCTTTGCCCTAACCACATACATGTTGTTGATTAGGAAGTCATTGTATTCCATGTGCTCTTCACACTCAATAAGACATACAGCAAGGCCATTGAACGTGATATCCTTTGTCTTCACCAACCACGAGCGTTAGTAAATGCATTTCGTTTAGGACTACTATCCAAGTTAACAAGGAGAAGATCTGTAAAGAACCACTAAGGAAAGCTCTTATTTGGCTTTAAGCGGGGTATTATTTCACAGATTCCATGTATAATCTTTGCAATATAGTTCTGGCGTAACAAGCCGTAAAGATTATCGAAGGCCTTGAATAGACCTGGTAGTCTTGTTCTGTGTTACCCCATACCTTTCTTTCAAGAAATCCCTAAGATCATGTATATTCGTGTACGGGGCCAAGGATTCAAGGATCTCGTCTGATAGGGAATTTAAGATAATTTTGATGGCTAGTTCATCCTTGCGCTTGGCATCTTTGACCTCTTCTTCTGGGATATGTCGACGTTGAAGAATTCTAAAGGCTCCATAGACGCCAGTTCTTCGATCCAACTAGGATACATGTGGAGGCATTCGAGGACTGACCAGATCGGTGGTATTCTCCACCATCTTGGCAGACAGGAAGGACGTAGAAGCGGGGCAGGAATAACTTCACGTTTGACTAACCGGGAAGAGGAAGAGGAAGGAATGGCGCTACGGAACCATAAGAGGCTCTGGGCTCAGAACCTGTAGAAATATTGAATAGGAACATGACGATTGTATTTGATGACTGGCTCCAACTGGGAGGTATCAAGAATGATAAAGAAAAATCCATCCCAGGACTACAGCCACAAACTTATCAGATATAATATCCAAAATATCAAATCTTTTACATACAAGCTTTCAAATCTGTTCCACGAAAAGCAGAGAAAAGGTCCATGAAGCTCAATAAGTGGGCAGCGAAGGGGCAAAAAAGGAATGAAAGAAAAAACTCAGTTCGTAGACCAACATTCCCTGCGGAAATAATCAATCATCTTCGCCACCAACATCTCATCCAACGGTTTCGCATCAGACAATGTAGGCGACATTTTTCTGGCCTTTTCGGTTTGGTAATGGAAAACACGACGAGGTTCCTCTGTATCGTATTTACTGGCGAAGAACTCCACCAACTTCACAGGCGGATTGGCGACGGGATCAAGGGCCGAGGATCTCAATCGACGGATCCATTCGCGCTGATCGACTTCCTCGAAATGGAGACCGGCTCGGCGAAGGTACGGGAGTAGGTCTTGGGTCCAGTGGAATGAATGGTGATTGACGATGTTGAAGACGAGATCGGTATCAAGGGTGGAAATGTTCGGAGGGGAGAAGGAAAGGTCGACCACTGTGCCAGCGACAACGTCAACAGGTAGCCAAAGAGGCGACTCGTCGAGTGTCGGGAGCGCTCCAATGGTGGTTGCGCTTTGGAGTATTAGGGGAATGGCCTCGGTAGAGTTCCAGATGCCGTGGGTTTGGTCTCCGATTACTTGGCCGATTCGAAGGACTCGGGCACAGATACCAGTTTGTTGGGCAGCTTGGACGCATATGTGTTCGGCGACCAGCTTCGACTGTGCGTAGCCCATGGTTTGGGCGTATCGCAGCTTCAGGGGCAGCGCTTCGGGGATTTCATCTCCATCGGTGTTCACGACGGAGCTGATAGAGGAGCAGAAATTAAATGATGCGGGCGTTGGTCTTTGGGCTTTGAGACAGAGGTTGATTAGATTCTGGAGGCCTGCAATGTTGTCTTCCTCAAAGCTGCGGAGGTGCAGGTTGAAGTTGACGGACCAGGCGCAGTGAATAACGTCAGTAATTTCTGCGGTGAGGGTGCTGTACGTGGTCGAGTCTAAGCCTAGATTCGGGTGTGAGAGATCAGATGGAAGTGCGACGAGTTTGCGTTTGGCGAGATCGGAAACACCATCAAAGACCTTGCGATCATGCATGGACTTGAGCAAGCGGCCATACGCTTCAATCGGAGAGCTGGCACGGACAAGACAGTAGATTTTGTTGACGTCCTGGAGGGTAGCAAGTTTGGTAATTGTATGACTTCCGAGCGAACCGGTGGTCCCTGTCACGACCTTTGTTGTTGTTAGTATTTGTATAGTGTTCAGGCTTAGAGGTCTCAGCTTACAATGTATCTTCCGTTCAGGCTGCTGGAGCAAGGCGTATGCGGAGTAAATCGGCTATATTTTGATACCAAAGCTGCCATCTCATCCTCCACAGACTCTATTCCATCCACAGTCCCAGAGCAGAGGCTGGTGAGATAGTGTGCAAGTGAGTTAGCTGTAGGATGCTCAAAGGCAACGTTCATCCCTAGTTTGTGTGAATTAGTATTTATTGTCTTCGCTAGAATTGACCGGAGCTGCATGGCCTGCAGAGAATCCATGCCAAGGGCGAAGAAATCTGCGTCGTCAGTCAGGGTAGTCGGATCTTTGAGAGGTAAGACTTGACGTAGTTGTTCCTTGATAAAGAACTTGAGCTCTGCCTCTGGCAATGTCAAAGACCCGGTCATGGTATCCCCAGCCTCATACGCCTGCTCGATTAATGAAGCGAATTCTCTGTAGAAGCCTTGTCTAATGAAAGTTCCTTTATCTGTGCGAGGATACTGCGTGTCGGCTGGGAGAACTAGCACCATGCTCTTCGAAAGATGGCCATACGCCGGTAATGATTCGTTGGCTTTCTCGACACTGGGCCAGATGCTTTCAACAATTTCGTCGTCGGACAAGGAACCTGTCCCCGGGGCCCGGATGACCACTAGGCCTATATTATCCTTGCCTGATCCAAATGCGATGGTTTCGGAGACTGTACTATGCTGTCGAACGCGTCCTTCTAAATCAAGCGGAATTACCTTCTCGCCGTTGACCAGGACGATGGTGTCATCTAGGCGGGAGTAGTACTTGTATGCTTCGAGAGTGGGGTGCTTCACGAACAGATCTTTCGTGGCATAGGCACCATCTGGTCGATTTGACATGACTTTTGAAGGCCATCCATCGAGACAGATCAACTCGAATACCCCTGAAAAGCGCTCTTCAAACCGCAAAAAATTCTTCACGAGCCCGTCAGGTCGTAGGTAGTCCCATTCTTTATCTCCAGGCGGGCGAACAGAACTCATTAACTGACCCGTCTCAGTTCTGTGCTAGGCGTGTTAGTGGAACCAGAACAATGTAGTGCTAGCTGTAGGGGATATGCCTACGATCCGTAATGACTGATGAGGTTCACACCATTTGCAACGAGTAAATCTCCAAGAGAATCTGGACATGAAGACCCTCCGAACATGACAGCCTTGAGCTTTGAAAGAACGGATATCCCTTCTTCTGTCTCGGCGAGTAATTTGAGGGCGTAGGGAACGCCGTAGAAAATGTCCACCACGTGAGACTTCATGATGTCCAGCAAATTCTGTCGGGTGAGAGGCAATTTTGCGTTGTAAAGATACAGCCGCTTGTTCGAGTAAATGGTTCGGAACAAAACACTGATTCCATGATTATGGTACAGAGGTAAAGTGATGAAGCCGGACATATTCATATTTTGGGCATAATTCTTGATGGCAGCCCCGTGAGACTGGAAAATCGGCTTGGGGAGACCAGTCGAACCACTGGAATGGATGATCCAGGCAATATGCGTGGACTCGACCTCAGGGTCAAGGTATGGGACGAGATTCGTGTCGACCTCGTGAGATATGGGGTAATAATAAGACGCTTCGCTGGGAATTGCGGCCACTTGGAGGCCAGGAACCCAGTTCTGAAGCTCGTCTGCGGTACCTTTCAAAGCGCTATGGACAAACATATGATGCGATTTTGTTCTCTCCAGAAGCGAAGCGTAAGCTTTATTCGATAAGCGGGTCGAAAACAGTAGCCCAGTATGTCCCAGCTTCGACAGCGCTAGCAACGTGACAAGATAATCCAGATCAGATATTCCTAGCAGTGCAACGACGGCCGGGGTTTCTAATGACGATGATCGAGGAGGAATGTGTGCCGCCAATACTTTCGCAACTCGAAAAGCAAAGACGTCTAGTTGGCGGAGAGAGTAGTCCACGTAGTCAGCGCTTGTTCTTGGATAGGAGATGACAGGTTGACATGAACCCAGAGTCGTACGATGCCGGACAAGTTCGTCAATTGTCATTGGCTCTTTTTCAGTCTGTTGACCATGGGTATATTCATTTTTTGCATCGGTCTCAGACGGAGAGGCTAAAGGGTTGTGTGACCATATCATATCTGGCAGCTTCGCTTGTAGTGACTTCAAATCTTGTAGAACAGTGCCTATGAAACGGAGAATACGTGAAAAATGACAGGGCAGGACACCGATCTTTAAATATACCTCGTCATGATCTACGGTCTCCAACGTGCCTGTTGACCTTGAAATCCGCACCGATCTTAGTCAAATCGGTCGATCATCGCAGCTCGGAAAAGCCTGACGGAACCCGGATTTATATCCGAAGCAAGGAAGCAAGCCAAATCATAGCCCTTTATAAATTTCAGTTACCAGATACAAGACGGAATAGCTACATTCAAGAGATTCTCCAATCAAAATGGGTGACACTCTAATCAATGATAGAGAACCCATCCATAGTTTCTGGGACAAGACGGCATATTGAAGTATGGTAGACGCCAATATGAAATGCACGCTGTAAACTAAGCCAAGCCTATTCAAGAGAGATAACTGATGGGTCACTCGGAAGATTTGAAAATGCCTGGAAGACAAAAATTAGCCTGAAAAGTACACAAACGCTGGGCTAAACACTACTTGTCGCTTACCCAAGAGTCCCATTGAGTCCACCAGACCGAACCTTCAAGATTGTCTAAAAGCCCAAAATCTTCACAAGGTTCTTCTAATAGCCCTTCCGCCATTTCCGGTGCTTGAAAAGTCCCTTGATAGGTTGTAGGGTTTGATTCTATCGACGATGAACTCCTGGGAGCTATGATATTCATATGGCTTGGCTCTAAAGATTTCTCTTGGACTCGGGTAGAGGAGCTCCAAGGTTGGCCCAGCCTGATTCCTGAGAATTCTGTGCCCAATGAAGAGCCAATCTGCCGATGTACTTCCAGCCTCAGCTCTTCTAGAATGATACTGTAACGGCGGCTGGGACAATTCCTACGAGTGGCCTCGGCGAGGTGTTGTTGGCAAACCTCAGCAAGATTGAAGAGTGAGCGCAGACGATTTATGTCCTCAACGGACTGGGTGGAGGATTCTAGAGAATCAAATTGCCACTGTTGGATTGTGTAGATATACGCCACAGTAATGGCGCAAAAGCATACATAGTGGGTGAACCAGAACGATTGTATTAAGACGCCTTGTTTGGCGAGGCTCTCCACTAGCTTTAGAACGTCTTCGGCGGCCTTGATGCATTTTCCTACATGGGTTGTCACCGTAGGGTGTGGAATTGGGGGTCTGCGGCTGAGGTCGGTGAAATCATTCAGAAGGAACGATCGGGTTGCATGGATGATTGCATGCGAATATGCAAGCTGCAGAACTTGACTCTGTCGACAAAGGGGTGGAATAAGGCTGGTTGCTCGAACACTGTTGAACAACGGCGGAGTCGTTTCCTTCCATTTTTCAAGCTCTGAAGTGAGATGAACAGCTGCCTCAAGAGATTGATCTCGGGATTGGGGACTGATTGTGTATATTTGCCGGGATATCTCACCAAGAATACGACCCAGTCTGGACCATCAGACCAATTAATTAGTTTGAATCATCTTGTGACGGACAAGGGAAAAGAACCAACCTAAAATGAAGAACAGATGCAACCATCATACTGTCCGGGGATCCAGCTCGGCTTTTGGGATCGTCTGATACTATGTCGTCATCATTCCATTCATCTGGAAGCTCTTGATCATTGTCCTCATCGTGCAACAGCCTGGGTCTCCCGAACATGACACTGAGATACTTGTCCAGAGTATATGCACTCCAAAAGATACACTTGCGGAGCTCTCGCTCCAAGTAACTACCTCCGTTTTTCGACATTTTGGCGGGGCATTTTCGATGGAGGCCCAATGCCGTCACCAGTTGCAGTGCTGTTCCGAAGGCGAACCAGCATTCATTGGCTCGAGATGATGAGAGGAGATAGAGGCATTGACCCAGTCGTGCCTGGACTGTCTCTAACCGTGGCGGTCCGATCTCCAAGGAGGACATGTATTTCGACGCCGCATACCAACGCTCACTACAACTGCTCAGCATTCCACATTGATCAAAAGCAGATGGTAAAGCCAGACAAGCTCACCTTCCATTCCAAGGGTCCGTGTCAATACCCGGGCTTCTTTCCTCGTACAAAGTGGCTACGGCAAAAATCATAAAAACGATGGCTGTTCTAGCGATCATAGGGCCGTCCGGAAGATTTGAAGAGGAAGTGTTGTTCTGATATACTTGCTTCAGCCAAGCCTCAACACTTCGTCGATGCAGAAAGCGGTAGGTCACAATTGAGAAATCAAAGTAGACATTTACTAACTCCAGGCCCCTCTCGTACGTGGGAAGAACAAATCCGGCCTCATGGTAGTCTGAATACGGCTTGTCACCGAACATGAACACCGACGTATTTCTAGAAGACTCATTTTGAAATCCATCGGGAATAGCGCACATCTCGTCTTGGTGTAGACGACGCCATACCCGGTTTAGAAACGAGACTCCGGACGCAGGACCAAGATAATTTCCCTCGAAGTCCGTGACTACTGGGTCGGGGGAGTTGCGACGTTGCCTCCGTATATTGCTATTTCTGTGCGAGCCCCTGTGAGACTGAGGGGTGATATGGCTTTGATCAACACGAGTAGATGACGGAGAGGGGCCGTTGTTCATGCAGGTGGCCGCAGAAGGAGCCGGTAGGGGCTCAGGGGGCAATCCTCGAGAATAGGCGGCGTTGTATTCGCAGCAGAGAGTGAGCCTCGTGCATCTGACACATGGACGCGTCCCAGAGCATCGGATTTTCTTTTCTTTACAGCCATCGCAGGCTCTGGTGATCTTTTGCCTCGAGACTCTAGCTTTAGCCGTTGACGACTTGGACGCCTTTCTCTTTCGATTGGCGCTGAATGTCTTGCTGAACTCTGGATCAGACAGCTGTCGGTCCTCCGAGATTATTGCAACATCGCAATTATTTGCTGGGGAAGGTTGCATAACCTGTCTAGCGTTGGGGGGAGTGGCCATTGGGTCAGCAGGGAGGCTGGACGTTCGCTGCGTCCGATAGTATAGATAGCCCTGCTTCGAAATGGGTTTCCTTTTCCCGCTCTTCCCCCAAGGCGCATCCCTAGAATAGAAACGTGAAGCTTCCAGAATATGTCGGGTAAAGGAGAAATTTCCGGGTGATGGAACGGCTTTGAACTACAAGCTGGGCTTGCGTGCGGGGTTGGCTTAGCCACGACTCCACTGTTCCAGTGTTTTGCAGCAGGGGAGAAATCCGGGGCAATGCAGCCGTTGACTCTCAAAAAGCTGCGTGCATCATAAGATTCCTGATTGTCTGGAGTCGAAGTTAGGTACGATGTAGTTGATACAGAGCAATGATCCGCTGCATCGGCAGGTATCCAATGCAATACAAATGGAGATAGTCACCTAGTGGGGGTTAGTCGGCGGTGCTTTGAATCCTGTGAATAATGTATTTGCCAAGCGAACGCTGCACCTCCGTATTCCATATAAAATAGCACATCTTTGTACTTTTATCACAACCAGTAAACATAGAGGCATACCAATTGATAGGGATATAGGTATATATTATATGAAAACAATTCTTATTTTTTAAAATTTTTATACAATTTTTCTAGCCTTTAATACTAGAGTATCTTAAAATACAAAAATACAGTTGTAATTAATATTACCTAGAGGAATATTAGTATAAAATCCTCTCTATTTAACATACAAAAATAAAGTACTACATTATTCTATATACAAAATTTTATATGCTCTGGAGGCTTTGCTGTTGAGATATTAAAGCACTAAAGAGTGCTATTTTATATGGTATACAGTGATGTGGCGTCCGCTCGGCAAGTCCATTCGATTTGCTCAGCGCCGGGAGCTACAGATCCAGGAAGGATATCACAGTTTGGACGAATGAGTGGTAGGTCATGTCACTTTGTTTTTCGAAGACAGAATGCGTAGTGGCAGCAGTTGACCCTACAAATTCCACTACAAAGGTAGCAATGGAGGATGGAGTGCGTAGTAAACAAGGAAAAACCCTGAAGAGCGAAGGAGGCTTCATAATCAATTTGAAATTCATTCCCTAGTTCTGCAAACTAGGACTATCTATGACCCAGGGCGACGACACTACCACCCAACCTATGATCACCCGTATTCCCTCTTATATCTTTGGGAGCCAGAGACGTCCTGAGGGTACACAATGCCGGAGCAAGGAGATTGAGGAATCTCTCCTCTGATGTGCACTGGGCACATACCATCGAGAATGACTTGGGCTATATATCCTGGAGGCACGGGATCACCCAGATATACAATTAAGACTTTGCAGCCAGACTAACGTAGTGGTTCTTGTCCGCTGAACGAATGGGAGAAATTGCATATATCACCAACATTGAAAACCCGAAGAGCTGATGGAACGAGAGAGAAGCTAACAGGGATTCGCTTGGCAGTAAACCATAGCCAATGCAAAAAGTGTACCATACCAGCGAACGGGGAGTTGGCTAGACTCTCACAAAATCTCTCATCTCATTCTTTCAATAGACCTTGTACTTTCTTCGCTATCATCCTCATGAGAGCTAGCATGATTCTGGTTTATTAAGAAGAACGGAGGGTGTCACGGAGGGCCGCGAAGCGGATGATCAATAGGTTCGTTGGTTCGATCAGACTGGGAGCGTGTCATCATTATGGCCATCCGTCCGGGGGCATATCGGGCATTTTGCCATCAGTTCTCGCATTGTTTACTGCATCTGCTGGCTTCTTGTCATCCGTGGGGTTCTGGTTCAAGATTCGTGTTATGACCGAGTGGATCTCCTTGTGCGAAGCTCCCGACCGGATGACATCCACCATCATCTCGATGCTCGCACTATCGCCAGTCCGGATTGCCTCAAGTAGTTCATCTACAAAACCACGATAGTACTTCAGTGTTTCTTCAGTGCGCTTGGCTGCTATTTTTCGACGTTTGTCGGCAAACTCGTCCACGATACATTCACGACCGTGCAGGGCACACTCAGAACAAGCGGAACCGGCTGTATCGGCGGCATTGCACTAGAAAATGGAGACCCAGCTCTTTAGCAGGAGTGACGATGCAAATATGCAAAGATGCTAGAGGAGGTGGGGTCGAAAGACGACGGGAAGATGAGGAGATAAAGAGCCGAGACTAGGGCTAGGTGACAAGAGGCAAAGGCAAGGAATAGGTAGATAGATGAGAGTCCCTTTCGATAGACAATTTTGTGGACACGAGGGAGAATCATACCTTTGTCCGACGTCGTTTACACTCAGTGCACGCCATCGACGCTCTTTTGATCTTCCCCTCTTCTGAAGAAGGCCCCGGCGCTGGAGAATCCGGGAACGACCTTGGGACAATAGGACGCAGAGGCCTGGGTGGCCCTTGTTGTGCCATGACAGAACAAAGGCGTATAAATGTGGTGTTCGAAACGGCACACGACCGAGAGAAAGGAAAAGTCGTGATAATGAGGAGGATAATAACTAAGAGGACGCTCCTCACAGGGAGGCATATCTAACCGACAATGACTGCAGAGTGCATGCTCCTCAAGAGACTGATTATAGGTGCGAGATGCTAATAAATTCTTTGCGCTAAGCCGAATTCCTCGTGCAGTGTCTTGCGCACAAGAAGCGACTCCGGGCATCAACATTGAAAAGATCGAGAGTAGTGGGTGAGTGTCGGCAGAAAGATAAAATTAAACTAAAAATAAATAAAATAAAATAAAATAAAATACGATACAATTTTAAATAGAGAACAAGGGAAAAAAAAAAAAAAAAAAAAAAACAGGAATCAATGGCAGTTCGCCCATGGCCCGTTCCCAAGAAACAGCTGATCTTCCCGCTGGGGCTTCTCTGAAGACTGGTCCAAACAAGAGGGCGCGTGGCAACAACGTCTTCAGGGTCTAGGTCCACTGGAAAGAGCTACCTACTTCCATGATTTCAGACCTGATAGCACCTGATAGCTAGTACTCCGTATAAGCATTTGATCTTTTGCTGCTTCCAGGAAAAAAGTGCTCGTGCCTCTTTCTTAGGGGATAAGCAACATCAGATCCCATGAAGATGCCATGATGGGGGGTTCAGGGAAGGGAAATATCCCTCAATCACTCACCTAATCTATGTTTCTTGATGACTTTTTTTTACCCTTTCTTTTTTCTGCGAAGATCTCTCCCGTTCGCCCTGCATTTCTTGAGTCTCGCTTAAATACCGTACTAGTATGTAGTATGCTGTTTATTCCCCTGATTTATTGTCATTTGTACCGTACCGATTTTGCTATGCTGCTGTTGCTGTCTTTTATTTTATTCTAATTTTTATTTTCTTTTCTTTCGCTCCTCTTCTTTCTTGGGATTGCCGATGTGTAGGTGTAGTGTAGTATACAACATCTTCCCTCGTCATTGGTGTTGCGATGGCCAACGATCGCGATCGATAATTGTGCTTCGTCATAGAGCATTAGACTCCATATTTACCTCCTTTTTGCATTGGTTTGGTCACGACAATTCCCGGAGCCACTGCGGCAGGCGAATAGGAAGGGTCGAGGCGCTGTCGAATTTCAGCAGTGTTTGGCCGGAAATAATATCCCCCCGGATTGATTGGCCACGAATGCAGTATCCTTCGGGATCCAAAGCCCATGAAGAGCTCCTCCGTAACGTATGTACTAAGCAGTACTAAACAGTACACATCAGGTTTCTGTAAGGTCCACTGGCCTAGCCCCTCAACGATTTTGTCCTTCACCAAGGAATATACCTATTGTATTAGCAACAAGGGAATAATCAACGATGGGCTCAGAGATAAAGTTGAGGTTTGAAACATCTTGTTAAGAAGCTGTATTGTGGCCGATGGATTTCATCCGCACTGAATAGCAGTCCATTTAACACCGTAAAATCGATGCCCATCGTTCGTACACGACTTACTCCAACGACGGAGCCGATAAAGAGTCATCTCTCCTAATGACGGACGCCTACATTTTCCCCCCTGATGTTGCCCTGACGGTTCTCGCCAAGCATGCTCCACGTGATCATCCAAATCCCGGCAGGACTGTACTAGTCCAGAAGAGGAAATGTGCTCTGCAGGGCTCAACGTCATCTTCCCCAGAGGGTCATTCGTTTCATCCAACAGCTTCTCTCGTTAAGCGAGTAGCGATTGTCACCCCATTGCTCTTATGCTGGGGGGTGAACGAATCATGAGCGCTTATGTCATTTGTCTGCACACGTCTGCCGAGGGGTGCTTTCCCGAGGTCCACCTAACGCCGGTACTACGGACAAGGGTATATGCCTTTTGCTTGTCATTGCGGGCCCCATGGTACTGAGATGCACTGACTCTATAGTTTCAACACCATTCTTTTTACATATCGCATGACTCGAGTGATCATCTCTAGAGCTAAGTACCAAGGTCAATATTGGCTCGATACTGTAGCCGATTGATGCGTCGAGGATGTCCTGTGTACTGCTGGATGGCAAATAGGATAGACCCAGAGATGTGCAGCAAGCCTGGTCGGCGATGATCCACTAAATGCATTGTCATAGACACCCAAGCCGCTGTGGCAAATTCCCTCCATGCAAATGCATCGATACCCCTCACCTGGCATACTGGGCTGCTTTGGGGTAATGAAAGACAAATGATCTGTGATGGACACAGCCATCGACGTATCAATCCTCTCGGCCTAAATTTCCGTCCCAATCTACTACTACGGATTCTGACTTTCAGGGGACCAAGACGCGTTGGCTCGGTTGCCCCAAAGCTAGAATTATTCGAGGTTATTTTTTATGAAGTAATAATGTGGAGGGTGCAGTTTAAAGGTAAATAAAATAAATAAAATAAAGCTGATTTGTGGGAATCTTATAAACCAAGAATGAACCTAGAATATCCAGAGAAACAAAGCGATAAAAAGACAAGGGGTGATAGAAGACAAGAAAAGAAAGTGAAGATAACTAGAGAGGCCTAGAGAACACTTTAATATATAGGTCTCCCTTCGTCCCACCTCCGGGATTCTCCTGGGCTTCTGGTCATGGCATCTTGACCAGCTTGGTCGCGAGATTCTTCGTCGGACAAGGCCTTGAAGTGCGCCTTATTGGCGTCTAGCTGACTGCCTCTGACGCCTCCACGAACACTCCCGATCCCTCCAATCCATTCCCAGACTCGTGCAACATCCCCACCATGGCCCTCTCGTACCGCAGCTCTGACGTTGGTGTTGCCTTCGACCACATTTCGGACTTGGCGCCAAAGATCCTCACGCCGACTGCCCCGTAATTCCGAGCGTAGGACATCGTCACGTAGCTGCCCAATAGGAATGTAGGGTTGTCGAGCTTCGCCGTGAGCATGCAAAGCTGCCTGAGTTGCAAGGCGATCTAGCGTTGTCACAACTAGTTCAGGGATCCGAGCCATGTCGGAGCGGCGAGCAAGGACCCTGGAGCGCGCATATATCACAGCACCAGTAAAAATGACTAGAATTGAAAGAGGGAGTCGATACGCGAGGAAAGCGAGTCTGACGTACCGGCGGAAGGCGCACGTGAGGGGGAGTCGGGTGACTGATGTGGACGTGAGGACGAGGACAGAAGATGGTCTGTTAATGTTTTGTCGCCTCTGTTAGTTCCATTATACACGTCAGAAACTCGGAATCTTTGAAGCCGACATGAGCAATGCCAGATGGGAGCCGGAAGAAGGTGTGGAAGGAAAAAGTTGAACGGATATACTTACTGTTTTGTTCTGCTCACAATCTCCTCTTTGCCGATAACCTCACCCAACGCGCCTTTCCACAAGTCATCAAATTCGGCATCGCTCATCCCTTTCCGTCGTTTTCTTCCAACTTCTTGCTTCAAACTCGACTCGCTGATTTCCGGGCCAGAGGCTTCTTTGCCACCTTCGGTGAGCTCACCACATTCCCACTTGGCTCGTCGATCACGAAGCTCTTCAACGGCCTTATCCGCAACAGCCTTTACACGGCGTGCTTTTTCACTATCAGGTTCACACGTTGGCGGTAGCGGGATTAATCCTCCCGGCGACAAAGGATGAGCCTTGAGAATGAAGTCATGCTCACAACGAGCCTCGAAGTTGGGATAGCAAAATGCATGCGGAGGACATGGCTCACATTGTGGTTCTAGTACATTGGCCCATTCAGGAACCTTTGTCTCTGCCAAGGACCAGGTGGGTTTACCAATACCACAAAAGCCAATTTCAATCTTCTCATTCCGCCACCACACGCCGAAGCTACATAGGAATATCAATATGACAATCCAAGGGGCAGCTCGAGTGGTCGTGCCCTGTGCTCTGCGACGTCGGCTTTTAGGAACTGGAGGGTACATCAGGTCCGCATGCTCTCTCTCCAGGGCCAATTGCTCTTCGGGTGTAAATTCTTCGCCGGCGCTAATGTGGCTTTCACCGCTATCGTCATCTCCGGGTTCAGCGTGCGTGCTAGGTGTTTCCTCTTTAGAAGCCGGGAATTCAAGCGAAGAACTTCCGGTTGCAGCTGGTTCACCTTCACGGTCGAGATAAACGTGTGCATCTGACTTTCTAGCCCGTAGACTATGGCTTAGAGCAGGACTTTCCGTCCCTAGCTGTACCCCACTCCTCCGTTTCCCTTCGCGGCTTACAGCCCTTCCCGAATCCCAGGGAGCTGGAGAGCTTCCACTTTGGAATGGGTTATCATCGGTAAAAAAGCTTTCCTCTTTGGGCTCGGATTTTACAGGCAGGATGGGTAGTTCGGGCTCCGTTGATGGTGTAATCTCGCTTCTGCGTAGTCTTCTCGCCGTTGATTGACGTGGCGTGACGGTGGCAGGGACTGTCGCTGTTGTTGGGGACTCATTTAGGGCTTCCAACTCTGATTGGCGGATGCGTTTCCCTTCCGATCTTGCTGTTTTTCTCCTCGGAGCAGTTGACGGAGTCACTGGAGTGTTTCCTTCGGCGTCTGCCGTTGACGCTCTAGTGCTCATTCTTGACCGACCTCTTCTGGTTCCCGTAATTGACGAGACGGTTGATGGGGTCGGCCGAGGCGGCAGTGAGTCCCTGCTTTCGTCTTCCTGCTGCTCACTCACATCGCTCGTCACAGACGTGGAACGACTCCCCATGTCTGTGATCCCTTCGCTGGTCCTCCTCACCCGTTCACGCTCGCGTAGCAGCTTCTTTGCCTGAGGAAGAACCTCATCCTCAAGTATACGAATAAGTTGTGCTTTTTTTGCTGAGGCCGGATATGGGATATCGTGGCTCACGAGGATCGATCGAAGACGAGGGACCGTGAGAGAATTGAGGTCGAAATCAGGAGACAAATATTCCATTGCGTCCGCCATGGTGAAAGAAAACCTTGTCAATCTCACCACGACAATAAGGACAAAAGAATGCCCAGAAAGTTAAACCAGCAAGATGCTGCCTTTCATCCACAGGCGTACGAAAAAATATTGTGATGTTTTCAATTCGTCAGTGGCGGATAGCAGAGCCTTATGACCACGGTATCCAGGGCAACAAAGCGGGGCGGAGACCTGAGAAGTCTGGCTAGTTAACCGGCAGGCTCCGCTCACAGTCAGAGCTGTGAAAAACCAACATGAAGAGGAGGCTGTAGCCTCTTTCTTGGAATGGAATATCACGGTTAAAAGATCCAAAATCTGAGAGGAACAGGCGATGATTCAGTTGTCCAGCGATGACGATGGAAACGCCTAATCCCGTCCAATCAAAAGGCAAGGGACGGTGATTTATCACGTGATGTATTACTAAGTTAAATGTGCCTGAGGCGTCAAGTGTAACATCTGGTGGATTTTTTTATTGTTCCATACTTGATTAGCCCACGCGAGCTGTGTCCGTACACTGATTTTCTAGACAGCTTGATGTCTTTCCCTTTCCATTTTAGTGCTCAGCTCTCGCCGCTTTTTGCTTACTGAGTAGAACAAAGCACATCCTAAGCGGCGAGGCAGAAGCCATAATATCAGCACTAACGCATGAGATGGCAATTATCCAGGGTGCTCTTGGAACGGGTAAATCATACGTGGGAATTCAGATTGCGGGAAAATAAGTGTCTGCTAGGTCTAGAGTCTATTCTATGCATGTTAACTAACTGCACCGACAGGTTACAGGTGAGCCACCCTCGTTCAAGTGGTTGAGCGCCCCGAAACTGGTCATGTGATATACCTAGCAGCGCACATGCCCATTACCGCTCATGGTTTTATATTGCATGGCATCTAAGCTTTTCAATACATGACATTCTCCATATACCCACCACCTCAACAGTAACTGTTTAAGTACTTATTTTCTAACTACTTAATAGCTGTTTACAGCATCTCATGGTTTATATGATGAAACGCTCCTACGGTGCAAGAACTACCTCTTTTGTGGTCGTTGCGGTGCCGCCTTTACGGTCGTTCTGCACCAGGCTTTAACGATTTCTCAGATGAAGGCCCATTGACCCAGACCTCGTGGATCTATGCAGCCGTCTTCGTACCCTATGAGAAGGACTCGAGGCGTGTTCAAAAGTCCCCTGGACGTTCTGCGGATTCACCGGCAATCCAGAGGATCCTGGGCGCCGAATCCAATGTCCGAAGTACAACGTTAAAGTGCCATCCCTCCAGCAACGTCTGCAATCCCATTGCCCGGTCTTTCGTCATCTCTTAAACTGGCCCTGATATATAAGGCAGGCCCTTTTCTTGTCAATTCTGAATAACCTTCCCAGCTAGCACCTATTGCAGCTGAGAGTACTGGAGTCCAATCTGGAGCTCAGTTAACGTCTTGCTCCACACCTCTTCCCTCCCCCTCCCAGCGCCTTAACCTTCCCATACTTTCCCCTGTCTCTAGTGTGAACATCCCTTGTTAGTTCGTATTGTTGATTCATCGGATGTGATTACCTGGCTTCTCCGTCAGACATGCACGAATAATAGAGACTGAGTCTCTATACTTTGCTCAAGGTGCAGATTTCTGTTATTGGATGCAAGCTGTGGGAAGCTATAGGGAGTTCCTGACAAATATAGCTCATCGCAAGGCATATATGGGGTTCTTGTAGCAGCCTAAGCAACAGATACTGGAACAACTATATAAGGACAAGGAACACGATACAGCATCTTCGCTGGATACCGCTACCCTGCCTTTTAATGAAAAACTAAGTATGTTTATGGAAGAGCTGAGGGTGAATCAGCGACAGTCCCATGTGTTTCACGGCTCAGTGATCAGTTCGGCGTTGGAAGAGGTAGAACAAGAGCAAGAGGTTGCGTACAAAGTTGAAGAGGAGAAAGAGATGCAACCTCCTTATATTATGAAAGCGTTAAAGTTCCCTGGACTACATAAGTCTATTCTTATCTTTTTACAGACAGGTATTCTACAAGATAATGGTGGCTATATGAAAGCGTTATGTGTCTTAGAATCATCAGAGTTGGGACTGAAACATAGAATAAATGCTTCAATATTGCTTCCGCAGCTCTACGTTTCGGCGAAGTTCACGAGAACTGTGAAGATGAAACCGGGCAAAATAAATAATAACTTTATGGTAAGAACTATTTCTCTCCATCTTGCCTTGGACTCACTAATTGTCTATAGGGTCCGCTCAACTGGCTTCTTTGGAGTATTGATACCTGCGCTGGTATTGCTATTATTCCCGAAGAAGCCGAAGTAATTTCTCTTCTTCGTACAGCTGCAATGTTACCTATGCACCTACAATTATATGCGGTACCGTTCACAAAGAGAATGCTACACTTTAACATTCTGGACTACTATGCGTTTCCTAGCCTTCCGAAAGGGTGGGCTCCACCAGCATGGCTTCCATTCAAGCTCGGCATTCTAGCAGGATAACTGTACTTTAATATTTGGTAATACCGTCTCTGCTGGATTCCTCTAGTAAATCCAGAAAATCCATTGAAGACTATAAAGGCCCTTGCCCGAGGCCATCTCAGCTTCCTGCAGGAGTGGTTAACTCTTCACCGCCAGGGACAGGACATTTCGCATACTCCGATGGGATACATATGTCAGGGCTGGCAACTTCGCAGTGATCATCCGTTCTTCTTGACAAAGTAAGCAGATAAAGGGTCCGACAGTAGTAGCAGCCAATTTGTTCACGTTCCAAGCTACGAGACGAAGAGCGACCATGAGAAGTTCTTTACACTGATGATGATGATGATGATGATGATTTAGTTATGGTAGAGGAAGGATACGATGGGGAATTAGGGGAAGAGGAGGTTGATTGACCATGATTGAGTTCAATTGTTGTCTGTTCTAAGGGCCTTCTGGGCTGCGGCTTCGGAGTCTTCGAGATGCCTTTGTAAAGTCCAGAGCACCTGGACAGAGTTGACTAACTTGCCCTTTATAGCCTGCCCATGCCCTCTAAGCATATACGAAATAATGTCGAAAGTGTCCCCTATTTCACTCGTACTTGTTAATTTAGATGTCCCAAGTTTAGCAGTCTACTAGGAAGGATTACTGTTTCCTTATCCTCGCATTCATGTTCTTTATATTACCGGAGTCTATACCATTTACCATGTGTTGCCAGCAACTAATGGCCAGTGTGTAGTTAACCCTCGCGCCGTATAATCGTCAGGCGTGAATAGGATGCACTCTGAGCAGATCAGACGACACATGTGTAGTCACCATAGTACCCAAAATCCTCTGTTGCTCGAAATCCCAGCTCAATTGAATTTAAGTGACACTTGAACGGTTCTCCTAACTGGAATTTGTAAACCCAGTTATTAGGGTGCTAGTATATTTTAAGTGCTTTATCACCCTCTTCGATATGCCCTGAAACGACCAAACGGAGTAAAAGTGTTTACTTTCACATGCAAGGCGTGCCAAGAAAAAGTTCTCTTTGGAGGTGCCATCAATATGGATGGTCACTGTTGGAGAGGCTGATCGGACTGATGGTTTTCAAGCTGTCGCTTATCTTGGACAGACCACAGGGTCTTTTACACTTTTTTAACGAAAATCTAGAATGCTCTGATGCATCTCCAGTGGAGCAACAAAAGTGACACACTACGTCGTGCCTAACTGACGTAGCCTTATTGCAGCTAACAGAAATCGTTAGAACCCACTCCACCTGCAGCGCAAGAGGCATCAGGCATGAAGAAGGTATTTTTTTTACCTTGGACCGTGTGGCCTTTTGTTTGGTCTAAGCCCAGAGTTAATGCCCCACGAGCTACATACAGGTGGTAGTTTAGATCGGTACCCCGAGTGTAGGCTTCGTCCAAGTAGACCAAACAATTCTCCATGTTATCTACGAAAGGGGTTGCTACAAGCGGAGTAGTTAATCTTTCCGTTTGGTACTAGACCCAGAGCTTATTATCCAGTCCGAAGTAAATCGCAGTCTGAGCCTGAGTATCCTCCTGGAGCCAAGGCCTGACAAGCGTCCGGTTATCCATTTCAAGGATAAAGGCCCCCGCGTCGATGAGGACGCTAATCTTAATTTGCATAAGATATATTACAAGATCTAGCTCTAAGAAGTAGCTACCATCTTTGGTAACCGCAACCTGGTTTAATCGGTTTCTCTGCTGCAAGAGATAAGTAAGAACCTCCGCATTGGTGTGTAGCAACTGAGGAAGATCTTGCTGTTTAATTATAAGAGCAAGAAGCCTTTAATTATCATTGGTGCCACTAAAGCCATTTGACAACCCCAACCTTTGGACACCAGCATCTGGATACACAACGGTCTTGTTGCTAAATAGAGGAATATCCCACCCCGAGGACTGCATTTTAACACTGACACTGCTTTGCGTGGACAGGGAAGATATAATTCTTTAGGAAGTGATTAATTACAACCATCTACATGCGAAGTTGCCGCCATATCTTGGTTACTTGCCTTTCATTATCGACGTTGATGTGTTCCAATGCCTTAATGGTTCTGGTAATGTGAGTGATACCTGAGTCCATCGATCATACTCTATAGCAAGATCGTCAGAGCTTAGAATTCCCTGCAAGCTCAAGAGAAGTTAAGGCTAGCTGAGGTGTAGTTTTTCCTTGTCCTCTCTTGTAAGGCTTCCTTTATCCGGGTCAGCCGTTGTAGCGTACAATTGCCAATCCATATGCAATTATCGCATCTTTCATACGCAGCCCAAACAAGCGGTGTGATTTTGATCTAAGCTGTTGGGGGATAGACAAGGGCATTATACATGGCCAAAGATTGCTCTGCTACAGCTACACGAATCTCGAGTCTCTATGTGAAAGAGACTCGATGATCTTATTTTAGCGCTGATCCACACAAGTGCAAGCCCTGTGGATCGCACTGTTAAACCATGTAACTCCCTCCGCATATTTGCCATTCAGACTCGTCTTTTGCTCTGCTTCTCCCTCGACCAGTTTCAGTGCAGCGATACTTCCCTTCAGGTCTTGAATTAATCCGTTCAGTTTGGCCTGGCCCCTCGACCTTTCATTAGGTATTTATTTATCAATGAGAGTAAAAATGAAAAATTTCCACTTCTGTATAGATCCGAATGTAAATTTCAGGAAGGAGTATTATGCATGGCTGGCTGCATTGCACTAAATAGTGCATAAATTAGGTATATCATCTTTAGCTGAAGGATATCTCACTCACATATACACAGGGATGTGCCTGGCTGAGATGATGAACATCTAGATTCCTTCTGCTATATGAGGTACCGTCACAGGGGAGGGCACTAGGGGTGAGATTTGCCTTACCACCTCTTGTGCTTGCTCGAGGGATGTGGTGCTTTATCTTACCATGATCTTCCTGCATACTTTTCCTGCTTGTCCTCTTGTTTTTATACCTTCTGCTGTTTATACTTGTGTTTTAATTTCGTCACATTATTTTCTTTGCATTAGGTAATGTTAAAATTGTACACCGTCCTTTAGAGAAACCTCAGAGTTACATTCTTTCAAGAATCTAGAAGCGGACTAGAGACAGTCGGGTCAGCATATGGCTAAGCCTACCCCTCCAAAACCCTAACCAACACTACCATAACCATACTTGAACTCCTTTATATCCAAACCTAAACCCCAACACAAACATAATACCCCAACCACAGCCCCCTACAATCAGCTTCTACGTTCAGATTCCAAGTATTAAACTACTCCGCCGTAATCTTATAGTATTGCTCAATCTGCCAGCCCCCGTTTCCATCCTTAGTCAAATGGCAGGTATCGGCTGGGCCGTTTTCACAGCAACACAGTAATAGTAATCCAGTAGGATGTTGCAGAAAGAGCCAACGGCTGGATTCCAAGCTTTTACTGATCGAGTGTGAGGTAGGTGTATTTTTCGTTCACAATGACCCAGAAGTTTTCGCCGAATTGAACTTTGTAGTAGGTTACGCCGTCGGGGGCAATGCCGGATTGGGTGGGCGATGGGGCTGTGCCTGTTCCTGCGGTGGGTGTGAGGAATGTGGTTGTTGCTGTTGTGAGGATGGAAGAGGTGGTGCGTGACGTGGGTGAGCCTATCAAAGTGTGTCTTGTTAGTGGTCTTGGTCCTGGTGATAACTGTAGGGTGACTTGGATTGTTTTTGTTTACCGGAGATGCCGACGCAAATGTAGTTGTTTTTCCGGATGTACTTGCAGGTTAATCCAAATTGCTGGGTTCCAGGTGTAGAATTGGTCTTTTGTGATGGCGAATTTTCTGGCGATGGTTTCGCAGTCATCACCGTCGACTACGAAGTACCACTTATTACGTAGATTAACCATCTTTAGTAAGTCCTTGGGGCCGTGTCTCGGGCAGTTAATCATGGCTCAAATCTCACAGGTAGCCAGTATGCCAGTTTGATGCGGCTGATAATCCGATAGCGATGTAGGAGTTGAAGTAACGGGAGAAGGGGACCTTCCAGCGTCAACACAGACGAAGTAGCCTAGCTGGAGCCCAGCACAGCCCTTAGAGATGGAACTATATGCTGCGTCAGTCAAGTTCATAGAATGTAAAAGGGGATGATTAAACAGAAGAAGAAACCGACGGGTTATATATATAGAACTGTTCAAGGGTAAAGCTCCCATATGCGCTCTGAATGCTAAAACAGATATCACTCTTTTAAACCAGGTGATACTTGGTGCAGAGGTAACACCACTTTGGATTAGAGCAGCTGTACCAGGGCAGGTGATGGTGCCAGCAGCTGCAGCTGTAGTGGTAGTAGGAGTACTGGTTGTGGCTGGCACATCCGAGGCCGCAACACAGTAACTCCAACCGCGGGTCAGTATACAGGACCTAGGCAAGGAGGGATTCTAAGCGGATCTTAGGTTAACTGTTGCGGAAGATGAAGGACTGAATCCTACTCAAGCTCTGAACTGCTGACTGTTAATCCCAAAGTAGCTTTCTCTTCGCCTGAAGCCGTTACCACACTTTTGTCTTCTGAAGCTTAATACGTACCTATCTGATAATCATCGCACATCGCAGATAGAAACTCACGTATCTGAAAACGAACGATGGTACGGGAATGGAGGCTTTCATGAAGTAGAGTATTCCCAGCAGCACGATAATTTAAGTCGTTTAGACTCTTATCTTTCATTCCCTCAAACGTAGTTGCCGCATAATCGGACACATGCGGAATAGGACCGGTACCCCATCGGTTATATGAGAATGGGCAAACAATTTCATCTTGCTCAAAGTCGTCATTAAGCCACATGTAAGCCCGCATGGTCGGCCTCTCTCTGCAAAGCAGTGAGGCCTTGGGAGTGACATCGCTACCCTGGTATTTGGCAAGCTTATCCTTGTACATACCTAAGTAATGCCAAATTATTGGTTAGTCCGGGCTCAATATGAAGAGAGACGACTTAATGACAAGTATCAGCACGATTGGAGGGGCAGTGCTAACCGTTCTGTTTCCCTGACTGTCCGTCGCTTAATGAAGGAAGTCGTCGTTGCAGTTAACAATGACATCGAATCTCCTCTCAGATTTTGCCAGCGCTATGCAGACCCTACGAAAAACCTCTGGTTATGGAGGCATCAGTAAGGTTTCTGTTAGATTCTCTGCAAGCAGCTAGCTCACTTCTGACATCGTCCAATGTTTTTTTGTTTCTTGAATGGTAACTTTTCCAACATTTCTTCTCAATTCGGGCTGTCCGAAGTAGTTCCCCCATAACTTCAACCCCCATACAGGTATGTATATCGACTAGGATTCCAGTTAGCGGACTGGACTCTGTTTTCAAAGATTTCTAACAGCTCTGCGACAGCCTCTTCAGCTCTTTGGGCCTTGATCAATACAATTAGCAGATATAACTGCATACAACGGGCTGCGGGATAGGGATACAAACCATTGTATAAGTTTCACTAAAAGCTCTAGTAGCGCTGTCTGCAGAGCTTGATTGCAAATATCTTCGAACCTAAGGCTTCTCGCATTGTCGGCTCTCTTTAGGATATGACTCGGACGATTCCAGGTAGAAGTTAAATTGAAATGGTGAGATTCAAGTTTGGCGTCGATAATATCGACTTCATCTTCAAGGTTAAAAGTGTGGCACAGGGTGAAAGGTAGAAACGTAAGAAACAATAGCATCTGTAGAAGCCCTATCCACTGACCAGTGGGAGAAGAAGAGCACACACAGTGGACAATACCCAAAATTGGCACGGTGAGGAAGGAGGATACCCCATTGTTCTATAAGAGTCGGCGGTGGCGGCACTCCCAACATTGTCGTCTCTCCTCCGGCTCTGTTGCAGACGTAGTGGATGTCGTCGAGATAATGCTGCTGCTCAACATTACGTTGATCATTGAGCAGTGAAACCGTGAACATTTAGACACTTCCCACTAGGCTGAATTCTACCCTCGATTCCACCCACAGTCATAATGAGCCTGATCTTAGGAGATGCAAGGCTGAAGCAAGCAGAAGGCTTGATCACTCATTTTTCCTGATCGGGTAAGATTTAGGTCGGCCCAGCCCTAGTTGCTGGAATACGTGTCCAACCGAAACATTATTTGGCCCGTCGTTGGCGATCAGGACTGGGGATGGTGAAAGAACGATCTCCACAACAGAGTATCTCTATCTGATTGATTGCGACCGTGTTTTCTCGCTTGCTCTGACATCCAGTCTGACGAACTCTTATGGTACGCCAATGTAGGTAAGAGCAGCATTTATCCTATTTGGGTCTAGCGGGTGCTGGTGACGTGTATGTCGATCTGATGTTGCTCCCTTGAAAAACTCTATGAGGCTCATCCTAGCTAAATTACTCTCTTTCCCATGTCTAACCAGCTGAAATCCAGATGTTTCTAAAATTAGGTGACAAGACATCCAGAAGTTATGTCCAGGAATCCCAACCCTACTATGCTGATACTGCCGCAGCAATACCTAGCAACACTCATCATATCATAGTACCACAAGTAACCTCACAGCCACCATGGTCAGCTATGAGTCCTTTCCTTGTGATTACTGCTGCACTCGTTTACTGTCCGTATTCCAGCTATGCGCGTGCGGGCGATCCCATAATCAATACGTACGCTTGGCTGGATATAACGCCCCTGGACAGGCGGGAACGGGGAGAGTGGATTTCAGTGTCTGGGTTTCCTGAGGCATGACGAGTATTCGCTGGATGGACTTAAGCACCTGTACTGATTTTGTTTGATGTGACAAATTGACGACTTCTAAGTTTATTGCAAGTTTCTGCATTAAATTGCGAAATATATGATTGACTGTCATTAGATGTATACTCTAATACTCTTTATATGTGCAGTATCGTACACTACTGCATGCAGAGGTCGACCGTACTATACACATATAAACTTGAACACCAAATTCAAGAGACGGTGATCTTCTTCTCATCCAACACCACATCTGCCGCATATAGTGCCCGTCCATTCTTTGCATCCTGGCCATTCCTCAACACATGGAACAGAATTTTCGTCCCATCTTCAGAAAAGTCAGAACCACCCGGGCCGGCAAGGGGCCCCGCCGTACCAGGATCGCCAGTCTTCAGTAATTCTTTCTTAGCCCGTGTGTATGGCCCAGTTACCTTTGGTGCAGTCGCATATTTCACATCATAGCCCTTCGTATTGAAAACGTGCGACGAGAAAGTAAGATAGTACGTGCCGTCCTTCCCCTTGGCGATACTCGGTGCTTCGATAAGGGGGCCGTCGCTGTCGTCACGTTTGATGAGTTGGATCGGGTCGCCTTTCGGGGTAATGCCGTCGGATTGTAGCTCTTGGAGCATGATGGGAGTTCCCAGTTTCATATTTTCAATCTTGTACACGACATACCGAGTATTGCCGTCGAGGACTCCGGATGGGTCGATGGCACCTCCTTTATCGAGAGGACATGCGAGTGGTTTGTCTTTGGGAATGTAGGGCCCCATAGCAGACTTGGAGGTTGCAACACCAACGCAATGTCCCCGGGGGCTGGACTTGGGAGCAGCAGAGAAGTACATTACGTACGAGTTGTCATCCTGAATCTGTTAATACATACACAATGTTTCTCTCTGGGTCGTTGGAGCAGGGCATACGAGCTTGACCACGTCCGGGGCCCAAAGAGCAGGATGGTCGGCTATCCACGAGCCAGAAGGGAATGGGCCGGGAAGTGCGTCTTTGCCTCGCTGAAGTTCCCACTTCTTAAAATCCTTGGAGAATGCAATCTGGGCGTTAACTCCATTGCCAGTCGTCGCAAATGCATAGAAGCCGTCCTTGGTTTCGAGCAAAGCTGGGTCAGGAAAGTCAGTATCTATGACCCGACGGGGCAAAGCAAGAGAAGGCTGGCACAGAGCCAGCAACGAGGCTGTAAGGACGATGATGTTTTTATACATTTTGTTGACTGTGTCCGTTTAATGATTGAATGCAAACAGATGGCAAGAATGCTGTTTATATAGCTTGCAATAGATATCCCATCATGAGTCCTATTGGTCCACTGCGCTGACCACAGCCTGGTGATGCATTTTTTCCAAATCGAGAACTAGGTGTGCCCAAATCTAGATATTACATGACTATGGTGTTTAGTTGGTGAGAACATGGGATCTGCACATAGATCAACGTGGGATATTTCCCTATTAGACCCTTAAGGCTAGGTAACCTTTCAACACTGCCACATTGGGGATATTCTTCGAAGTATTTCAGGAATATCGCCACTAATAGCTTTATTCTTTTAATGGTTTGTGTTTAGGCCTGCTGATAAAATCTAATTTCCCAAGAGCCCTAAGCTTTAATAGTATAATTAAGACTGCTCAGATATACCTTTGTAACACCTCACTCAAAGCAAACTAAGCCCATATCAATATTTCTTGGGATTTAACTAGATGCAGAGTAAGAATTAGAATCACCCTCCTAAGATAACTGAAAGTAACTATAAGCGCGCGTTAAACAGTGTTGAGGAGCAGTTATAGCCTCCACACGCTTTCCAAAGTATTTAATATTTTTTGAAGGAACATTACCCTCAGAGAAGCTGGAGAACGACTGGCCTTGCTGGATTACTGATCCAAAGGAAATATTTGACTCTTCTGAAACCTTGGCCTCTGCACTTAGAAAATGAGAATGGGAATATCCGGCTCAACGGGCAATAAGCCCACGTCAGCAAACAAAATTTACTCTGATAATAATACATCGTACAAGGCTATCAAATCTAAGTTTCTTTCTTTTGGATACATTGAACACGTCAGCACTAGCTTATATATTTGCATAACACATGTTCCAGTATGGATCTTCAACTTCATCCACACTGTTAATAATTGTTGCAATTGTTGCTGAATTCTGCTCTACATGAGGATGTTGAGAATCCAGTCAGCACAATCAGAGCTTCGAAGCCGAGGCATGTCAAACCCCCTATGTTCACTTGTGGTGCTCTCCGCTGATATCTTAGGAATACATTCTCGTAGATTTCGTACTTCATTTTGCCAATGATGGCGAGTTTGAAATATTCTGGTTATGAGTGTAAAAGGCCTGGTCATTTTGGGACAGTCTCAACTGCTGATGAAGGTCACTCACCATAGTGATGGCAGTCGTCGATTTGGATTATTGTCATAGGTTGAGCCAAAATATTGAAGTACACATATCTGTATCCGCAATTCGGACAACAATACAGGATTCAGCTTCATGGCTGAATACCTTGGTGTTAACTGACTTAATATACTTTCTTCCTTCTCAACCTCCGGCCACGTCTTCTTTGTGAGTCTTGTGGGAATTTATTGGCGCCTCTTAATCTTAAAGCGGAGACCTCAGACGTGACAGAGAATGATGAAAGTCTTCCAACGTTTTCTAGCCGGGTCACACAAATATTCGAAAGACTTGAGTGGCCTATGGATAGGGACTTTTGGCAAAGTTGTTAAACATTAATCAACCTACATTTATAGAGATTAGTTTGGCCTTGAGCAGGCTAACGCAGCACTTCCTAGGCTCACGACAGCAACCCCAACCTGTGCAGCGCCTCTCACAATTTCAAGACTAGTTCCTCCTGCGCCAGAATTTGTCCCACCGCAACTGCACTCTCAGCTGCAACATTTCCAATTGAACTGTTCGCGGCGCCGTCTAACGACCCTATACAAGATGGCTTTTCCAATGCTGACAATTGGAACACCTCCGCCATGATATTAGGCAGAAGATGGAGCAAGTTTCGGTGACCTCTTATATGTGATTGGGGGTGGGTCAGTTCGGAAAAGTTGGGCTGCAACAGGGTAATAGAAATTTGAGTTGAGTTTAATTGAGCTGAGATCTGCTCAGTGAGCAAAAAGTGGCGAGGGCTGAGACACACAATATTTCTTGTCTTTATAATATCGTAGTTCTAACACATGGCATAGGCTGTTAAATAAGCATAACAGGTTCTTTTATGATCTAGTTTGATGTAGTATTGTTCTCTTAATACAGGCTTTGCAGTATTATTTTCCAACGTGTCGTTTCTCTTCATTTATCATACAGCACAAGAAGCTTCTATCTCATTGTTTCTAGAAATAATTTATTGAAGACATCTTAACCTTGGATAAACTCTCATCGCCCCACAAGAACGCCAAACATTTACACAATAGTGGTAAGAGGGATTTACAAGCGCAAGTCGATGTAATTGCATGGCCCCTGCCCCTTTATCCTAGGCGGATAGCCGTCGTATTCGGACCGCGTAGCCAGCATGGCGCCATCTTGTGGACTAGGCATGTGATCTCTCTGAGAGGATCACTGTGAAAGTGTGGTTTAGCCAGTGAAGCTAACACAGCACGATTGCTCGTGATAATGTTTATTTGAACCCTGCTCGGCGGCATTGTAACCTTAGAAAGTATCATTTCTGCATAACTGGTTGCTTCATAGATCACCTCCAGCTGGGTGAAGTAGATTTTCGTTTCTGTGTCGCTTCCGACGCTTTGGGACATTGAGTGTAATTTTACCCTATTAAACAAGGCTGCTATGCCGACTCGTAGGATGCCTTTGGGGCTAGAGCTGTGGGTATAAATAATGAATCGCACCGGGTTGCTGCGGTCACATTCTCAGCAATCCAGTGGTGCTCCCGAAGTGTCGATGAAGTCGACGAGGCCTGGCTGCCATGGTGCTCTTATAATGATCTGGGAAATTAAAATGAGTCCCCTTTGGGTGGTCGCCGCGCCACGGCACCGCCAGAAAGGATGCGTCCGTGGCAGGGTGTGACATAAAATCCAGTGGTGGAGTATTGCTTCCGAGGTCTAACATTGACTGACTCAATCGCTGCCTCGGCCTCTCCTATGACTATGGACACTGTGCGGAACATCCCGGTGACGCATTGGGCCTTGGGCCGCAATTTTCTGGATACTCTTGAAAGCTGTGGACACACATGGTGGAATGATGATATCTTTCCCTGTACGCCCCATACCGATGCTGCGTAATCTGTGACAGCCGACAGCCGTGACAGTAGATATAAACAGGTGTCGGGCGGCGTTACTTTCTGAGCCTCCTTAGTGCCAATACTGCGCGCTTTGACAGCTTGGTCCACATGAGATCGATATTGGAGTCCCTGGTCAATGATCACCCCTAGAAGTTTAACCTTATTGCGGGGTACGGCCCTTCCATACATAGCGGGACAGGTGGGAGCTATCTTAGGCGATGGTACCGCGTGAGATGAATGAATCATGCTTTCTCCGGCTAGAGCGTAGCTCCTGATTGTGTTGCCCACTGAAGGGTTCGGGGGATCACATGGCACTGCAGATGAGTGGTGTTGGCTTCAGTTGATGGCCTGACTACCCAATAGGCGTAATCGTCTACAGAGGCTATGGCTCCTTTCTTCTCCGTGAACGGCCGATCAACAAGTGCGGCATTCATGAAAATATATAGGATCCATTTCTTCGGAGCAGTACGTGTTCATGGCTATGGTCGCCCCTCGATTGGAACAAAAGGAGGCAATCCACCTCACTATTACTGCTGGGATCCGGCTTTCTCGCAAGTCGCCGGAGTAGTACCTCGTAGGCTACCCCGTTATATTGCTCCGTTGACGTCGAAGCTGACTAGGCTGAGAACCTTTCCCGCTCTCCACGCGTCATACGTGCTCCCAACCAAGATATTCAGTGCTTGTTCACAGGATCCCTTCATTCGCGCTCCGAAACGGTTTGTCGGGAGTAGTTGGTGTCTTTCCCCCAAGAGAGCCTGGTTGCTAGATACCCCTATTCCTATTCAACATTAATCAGCGTTCGCTTGGTCATTTGAGGTCATTGTACGCCTTTTTATTGGTAACTTCATGCGGTCAAGAGGGACGTTATGTGTATAATGTGCACCTGTCGGTGCGGTTTAGGCGTAAACGCGAATGACCGTAGCGTCAGAGAGGGCCCGGTCCGCGCTCCCCTTTGGGAGCCCAAATGTATGTATATTGCACTGATTCTATAATCTATATACAGAGGGAAGGTGGGAGGGAAAAGCGGTCCTTGACAACAGGGTTTCATCTCCGCTGGTGTCCCTCCAGAGGTTGAGCGCCAAATATAATTCCTACCAATCATCAACATGGAGGTATACAAGGCAATCAATCGCGCACCTCCAGACAATTTCCCCGGGCCGGACTCTATCCCCAGCCGGGTGTAGAAGGAGCTGGGCGAAATACCCGCCTTCGTAGATGCCCTGGTAGACATCTTCCAGGCATGCGAGTACCGGCATGACGACCAACCAAGAGCTAACACAACAGACTGGAGCGGAAGAGGATCCTACAACGCAGGCAACAACATGTGGCTGCGAGTGGTAGGACGGTAGAGGGGGACAATGCTTTTCATTTTAGCTGTGGGCTATTGCATTTATAGCGATATGTCGATTTTCATTGCCATTTGCGCTCTAGTACGCATTAGCTTCTGTCTTCTTTTTTGGGACTTTACATGGCATTTAGGTCTTCAGGTTCCTGCTTATTTAGGAAGCGACTGCATAGCTAGGCGCTTCAGTAGTCGGACTGCAACAGGCTAATAGAACCTTGAACTGAATTGATTGAGTTGGGGTTATCGATTGTCGGTCAGCTGAATACGCGTATGAACTAGTATCGCCGATCATATGATAATAATGGATGAGTATAAGGTCTCTCACTATCCTCACTATCCGAGTCTATCTGGAAGAACTGAATAAAAGGGTGGAAAACAAAGGAACAAAGTCGGACCTAACAGATGTTTCAAATAATGAGTAACATTGGTTTGGTCGACCCTGATATTCGGGAAGTCGAGCAGTCATGTTTGTGACGGGTAATGTCTCGCATCCACGTTTTTTGGGTCGCGTGATCTGTGCGCACCAGTTAGTTACTCAGCGGCCATTATTAATCACCAACCCCTTTACGAAGCTCCTCTCGCATCCAACGCTGGACTATTTAAATGGTGGAAGGGAATGAGTTGTAAGAAACCTTCAAAGTGTTTCTTCTCACATGGAACGAAAGTCTTAAATAGCTTCTTCAGACTTGTGCGTTCGATACAGTATATCATCATGTTAGTCCGCTCCACTCCGCGCCTGTTTACATTTATTGACAACCAATTCTGACCTATAGGTCCACTACTCATCCGCTTTTTATATATGAAAAACCTGCTTCCGCCGCATACTTTATTGTGGCTAATTGGGCGATTCCCTATGTGTTTTTTGGATCTCGTTTGTGGAAACGAATCTATAAAATTGATCACAATGTGGCGCCGAGGGACGATCTTACAACGTACGGGCAGGCAGCTGTGCGCGAAGGCAAAATTTCTCAACAGACCTTAAACACTATAAAGAGAATGGATGCTGCAGTAGCTAATGCAACTGAGAGTCTCCCTCTATTTATATCTTCAGGTGGGTGTTATTTATACATCTGAATACATCTGAATATGCATTGCTATACCCTCTCATACTTGCTGGTTTCTTCAGCCCATTTCCCGGTACTTAATCTTGACAATACACAGTTCTCTTAATGATTTACGCTCGAGTACCCAATAGCACAGTCAACCTTCTCTGTTTAGTGTACACAGTTGCACGTATTGCATACCACCTTGCATACATCCTGATTGACAGCGAGACATTGAGCTACCTTCGCACAATCGCGTGGTTTATTTCTACAGGGTCCTGCATTACTGCCCTTGCGGTGAGCGGTATGGATCACCAGTAAAGGAAAAGCAAGTGAAGAGAGTGTCTTCTTGATCGTCTTGGCTATTATCGGGGTTGGCACGGATGGAGACACACGCGCAGGCCGAAGCCGAAAGTGGCAATAGTGAATAATAAGCCTTACGAAGTAATTGAGTCTTGGCTGGGTAAACCATGGCAGACCATCCTGTTAATCTGATAAGCACAGTATCATAATAAGAAATTGTTTATTTAAAAACCCACCCGGGGCTAGAACCGTTATTTATTTTATCCCTGTATCCCCTTTTCTTGGAACTAACTATATCCGTCACAAGCAAGGACTTCCCAAACTAGAATATCAAATTATCCTTTCCAGTGGTATTACTCTTCAGCCTCACGCACCCGTAATTGTGCTTCCATCTATCAGGCCCACTCCGTGCTCGAAACAGCCTTGTTAAATAACTTGACTAATTAAACTGAGTGAAAAGTCTCGTAAAATCCTGAGAAAAAAAAGAAAGGCCACATATCTCCATCCAGGGTATTAAGATCCTGTAAAATCTGATAAAAACACTGGAGAAACATGAAAATCATTCATCATTTTAAAAACTTCATGGGGCTCTTGGGGGGGTTGGTAAAAAGCGAGATTATGATAGATATTCCCTACTTACTAAGAGGGTCGCTGAGCTTTCCCTCAGCCTTTGCGGAGGCCCGGGTACCATCAATACGTGCATTTGCAATATTCATCAACTAGAAAACTATAAGTAGAAGATCAAGAAAAAAAAAAGGTCCTAGTACCTTATCTAGAGAAAACTCGCCAGACCAAATTTTAAAGGTGCCAAGAAAGCATGTGCGGTGTTTGCCCAGAGTGTTACGCTTGTTATCTTCCATCTTCTCAGAAAATACAAGATTAACAGATATTCATTATCCTTTAGATTATTTAGGAGGAAATATCTTACCTTCATCAAGCCTTTACAAACCAACCACTGCTCAAGAATTGCAAGTATTGTAAAATTAGCTCTCTGAAAAAAGTGTCAAAGATTGAACCCAATGTATTGCTCAGACATGACCTTCGCTCCTATATAGGGCGCTAGATGCGACAGATAGAAGATCAGTCGTCTTGTACCTTTTTATATGGTCAAGTGGTTTTATCTCTACTAGCGCAGAGACAACCAAACCGTCACAAAAAGAGCTTCTATCTGTCGGTGCTTGGGGGCAACAAAAGAAAAGTAAGTAAGATTTGGAAGAATCAAGGGATAAATTTCAAATGTTAAGGGATTGGAATGAAGAGAAAAAAAAAGGAGATTTTATCAGTTGGTGATCGGAGACAAGAAAGAAAAATGGACAAAATTAATAAAAGATCAAGGCGGTAAATTCCAAAGAGCAAGGGATTGGAATGAAGAGAAAAAACGAGCTTCTATTAGTTGGTAGTCCGGTGCGATGAAAGAGAAGTTAAAGAAACTTAGAAAGTAAATCAACTTACATCAAATCGGCAGCCACAGGGCACCAAATCATCTTCTGTTCCATTATCAGGGCTTTCAGGCATGCTCTAAAAGAGCAAGAGATTAGTTAACTTTTACTAATTAAGGTATTAAATATTCTAACTTACCGCATTCGACGAGGCAACTTTCCCTCATGGCCCCAGAACTTACTCTAAATAAACGAGGATATTTTAGTAATATATGACAAGTAAATAAGATCAAGAAAACATTTCGAAAAGTTTAAAACTGGAAGACTTCCAAGCCTGGGAAAAAAGAGAAAAATCCAAAAGGAAATGTCAAACTTATGAGAAAAGGGCAAAAGTGTTAATAAATATCCAGTCGAAATAAATCTGTTCGAAATATTTCAGTGCTGGAAAATGGTGAATGAGAGGGATGGTAGGACTCCAAAGGAGTAGGTCAAGGAGACACTCTTAGACAGCTCGAAGGTTGTGGGCCCTGAGCCCACGAGTTCCTGGTAGGAGAGAAGACAACATTCCCTTTGCTCAACTGCGCACCGTGGTCTGCAAGAAGGTTGCTGATTGTCTATTACCTCTTTGAACGAGGACTTAAGATAATAGTTATCCATACAGCTGTCAGTTACGTGCCAAACCCTCTAGTTCCTCCACTACAACGGTTTCTTGTAAGGTAAATCTCATAAAAAAAAAGATAAAGGAATGGAAAAAATATAGTTACCGAAGATGCTCCAGAACATCCTTCTCTTGGGCCTTCTTTAAGGGCTTTCCCGACAACCACCGAGTCTTGTATGCCGCCTTTTTCGCAGAATCCGAGCCAACTGTGACTGTTTTGCATGTAAATACTGGATATAAATTAGCAAAAAATCTCGTAAAAACTGCAATTAAATGCATAAATGCACAAGGAAGTTTTCAGAAATTGGGAGGGGTAAGCATCCTTTATTTTTCTCATAATACAGCCCCCCCCCCTCCCCTCCTCCCCGGCCCAAAAATAATATGGAAAAAATAAGAAGACGTATGTTTAGGACAAAGCTGCTGATTTTCCCTTCTTTTTACAAACACGACCACTCTTCACCTTATTTCTAGACATTTGTAATCTCCTTAGTCCGAAAAGGGTAAGACTAGGTTACAGGGTACACCCAATTGCCACGCCACTGCAAAAAGGTCAACTAGACTTGGTAATACCATGTCTGGATCTCAATTCACTTATCTACCGTCTCCGCGGTCACACTAAATTAGCTGTGATTACACATTTTTCATGATATCTATGGCAGCTAGCTGAAACAGGTCCCTTTTTTTTAGTAAAAGGGAAATTGGGAGAAGAAGAGGAAGATGACGAAGGAGTGAGGAAAAAATCAGACGTGGAATTACTTAGTAGATAGTAATGACAAGTGAACAAGGAAAAACACACTAAGCTTAATTAAGAAACACAGCAATAGCACCAACACGCCAGAATAGGAATAGTCCCATTTAACCTCATCGCCAAGGCAGGCCTAGTCCCAACCTCACTGGTCTAGTCCGCGGCTGGACCGTGACCCACCGGTTGGAAGTGGCCGTTGTCGACTCGTCGAGTGGACAGACATTACCATAGAATATTTGAGTGGAGAAGGTAAATTCGCGGTTCTCACCTTTCACGAAGCAAAAGCATTGACGGGGGGGCCTCACGATGTCGAACAGGTCGAGTATCAAGCATTGAATGCTTGTATGAGGTACCTTGGGAAAACCCTGAGCTGCAGTTTGTGTACGCGATCACATCATTCGCCACTGAAGGTAGAGCATGGCAAAATAATAGAGGCGATGATTACCGGTTCCCCACCATAGGCTCCGGCAGAGCCATAATACTAGTACAGCAAGCCATAATTTATATTGACAGGTAATTTATATCGACAATAGATCAACCAACACTTATCAATATCAATAATATCCAGGTAACTTTAACGAGGTCGTCTGACACCCTGACTAGGCCTTTTTATCTAATTTGCTAAGGAATCATAGTAAGATCTCGGTTCCTCAGTTGCTCTGTAGGTGTTCGTAAAACAATCGTCAGAAGTTGGCCAGTACAAGGACAAAATAATGAAGTATTTATTCGGTTCAAGAGACTAAATAACAGCAAGTATCTATTTGCATTTTGTTCTTGGCTGGCGGGGATTTTCATATCCATTTAGTCTGTGTCATATCAAATAATAATTTTGATTCATTCTGCACAAACCGTATCTGGAATAGCGGACGAACTCTTCTTTCGCATACGGCACTGAGATCCATTGCCATCTTCTGAGGTAAACCTGGAATGTCCCGAGTTAGTACTTGTCCCAGAAGCCGTTCTTTTCATTGTGGGAGCCTCTGTATGTTGTAAGGAAAACGTCACTGCTTGCTCACTTCTCTCAGAAAGCTTACTGTTACTCGTGGCTGGATGCAATATTGGATCTTCCAGCGGATTGAGATTTTGTGACTGGCCTGAGCGGGTCAGGTCGTGAAGTCGGGCGTTCTCTGCTTTGCAAGAGCCCGAGGATGATAAAATAGAACTATTTTGGTCAGAAGTTTCAGAGGCGATGGCTGAGTCTTCATCCTCTGACGGACTCGGTGATGATTGTCAGGACCAATCAAAGTTCTCTGTGCAGCTGGTGTCTCCAGACGCATCAGCACTTTCTCCCTGCCGTATAGTTCATGCTGGTATATCAAGCTTGCCTCAATGTGCCTGCCTTGGCCATAATAGACATTGGCTAAATCGCGACATGAACACAACGTTAGAGGATGGCCCGGCCCCAGCACCTTCTCCCGGCCATTTAAAACTCTCAAATAATACCTACTTGCTTCGTCGAGTCTTTGTTGGAAGGCATACAAGCTTGCAAGATTATTGACAGTGTCAAGGGTAGAGCCTTCTTTACGGCCAAAATATTCCTCCTTTGCGGCTAATGCCCTAATGTACATCTCGTCCGCCATTTGCAGGTTTCTCTGACGTGCGTAGAGGTTGCCCAGTTTGTTCAAAGTTCGAAGTTTTGATAGATGATAGGGACCTAAAACAGCTTGGCGACATTTGAATCCCGTTGGTACATTACCTCAGCCATTTCTAGGTAGCTCTGGTCCACATACACATTGCCCAAATTGTTGACAGTGTCGGACACCGACGGGTTATCCATGCCGAACAACCTTTCCCGGCCCCGTAGTACATATTGGAGCAATATTTCAGCCTTGTCCAGTTTGCCGAGACGTCGATATATTGCTCCTAGACTGTTTGCCGATGCTACAGTGAGAGCGTTGCGCCATCTAAGCACTTTTGCCCTACCCTGGACAGCTAATTTAGCAGGACCTTCGCTTCTTTCAATTTCCCCTGATCTCTGTAAAGCAGACCGATTCCGTCAAGGAAGTGAAGACTTTCGTTGTCAAGTGGCAGCTTCCATCGACTATCGAGAAACTGAGATATCTGATGTGCGTGAGGAACAAGTCTTTGCAGTTCCATCCAGTTGTTTCTTTTCAGTACATGATGAACAGCGGATCCCACCGCAATCAAAGCCATTCTTTCCATGTCCTCTGAGACGTACTTGCTTGTACGCTCCTGGCACCAGGCCCGCACCACGGGATGCATGAATTATGCGTCAGGTTGTTGGCTCACTCGCTTCACGCTCATTAAGGTGAAATTTTGCAGGGCACTTATTGCTTCTAACCATTTCACCTTGCTTGAAATAACGTCAGAAAGCCAGTCAGGTTGCTGCGAGCGTTTGATCCCACGGATTAAGCCTTTCCAAATATCCTGATTGTCAAAGTGGGACAAAAGCAGTAGCAGTGCAGCAGTCGACGAATTCTTCTTCCGGACCACTTTGTATGAAATTTCCCACGTATTCATGATATTCCCATTCCTATACTCCTTTTCGCTGATTATACAATACCGAGGAGAATCAGCGCTAGGAATTCTATTAGATATCCCTGCTAAGGAAGACAGTAGCGCTTTTTTGCTCTTCGCATTCAGCCAGAAAATTGCTGAATAGTCATCTGCGTGCATCCTGGCAAATTGCATTGCAAGCTGAGACTTCCCAATCCCACCAAGCCCATGAAGTACAACTACTTTCTGGCCTTTTGTGGGCTGTAGGCTTAACAACTTCCAGAGCCCCTGCAGTTCCATGTTCCGGTCAACAAATGTATTAGCAACCGGGATGCTAGACAAGTCCAGGGGATGCGAAAGCCTTTACTGAAGCGCCCATCACCTGTCCATGAGTGATATATCAGCCTTAGTCCTCTGTTGGATACGGAAGGCGTATACATCTTTTTCCGTTGTGCTTTCTAGCAACCGGCGTTTCGGAGAGTAGAATCTTGCATACGCCGCTGCTGCGACCCTTCATATTGTTGCCACTTATCACTCTCAGAGGAATCAGCGTAGTCGTGATAACACGATATTTGAACTGGTCTGCCAGCCCAGCTGCTTCCATCTCAAAACAGAGAATCCCCAGAGGGCGCGCAAGTTGATCTCTCTTCCGCCCATCTTTCATCACCTGGTTCCCGGAACCAATGACACTGTAATGCACTTCTGGTCCGTTTGGGATGCGAGGTGGCCGAGCGACGAGATTTCCACTGCCGCACTTATGACAATTATCTGCAGATCCGACATGGTCATAAGTCGATACGAAAAGCAAATCTTCACTTTGCTCTCGGCGAGCCAAGATTGCCTTTTCTTCTGCATCTTTCCTCGCCATTTCTGAGCCAAGTAGAGGAATTTTTGCTTTTCCAGACTTGGCTCAGCCTGCAGTTTAGAAACAGCCGCGAGGAGCAACTGGGAAGGTCTGTTGAGCGATCCTGTCCGCTGAACTTGCCATCACAGACACTCTTTCCATTATCGTATTGAATTACTCCTCCCGAGGTTCGTGTCGGTCTGCTCACTACCACATATCCAAGCTGTATATTGTGAGATGGGTTTGGAACACCTCCTCCAATGCTAACTAACAAACAGGATTTGAGTGATTTGAACGTGAATCGCATGTGCGCAGATACCGTCGCGGCGGCTACCTCACCTGTGGTTCCCGAGGGTAAGCATGCAATGACGACGCAATGATCTTTGATCCGTCCCAGCGTATAGTTATTGTCGTCATTCTCGTCCTATGGAAGGCTAGGATGGATGTCGTCCAACACAGCCCTGGCGGCTCTCAGCTCCAGCGGAAGAGCGCATATCCATCCGACGGTATAATTTGCATGGGAGTAGGCTCTCGGCTGGTTCCTATCCACTGTGGGCCACGATTGAGCCGCTCTTAGACAAGATACATTGACTTCATCCGCATAATGAAAGAATGAATAGACTGGAGGGTCAAAGCTCGGTGGGGAACAAAGAAGTCCTCATGCAGCTCAGCTTCGTTACGTTTCCCCGCAATTATACCATGCTTGGTAATACCTATTATGCGTCGAGTTGACGACCCTAGCCCTAGTAGAACGAAAGGAGACTACAATCATTGGTTGAAGTCCGGTTGAACTCTGTTGACCAAAAAGCGATTGGCGTAGAAACATTCACCACCAAGCCAGTCAATTGCGCAAACATAAGGGTGAGACTAAAAGCGCTGGATACCTCATTTGAAACACGATATTTGGCCATCCCACAAGAATACATTTACGCTTCCATAATATTCCCTTCAATCAAGTTTTTCACAACTCTAAATGTATTGTTATATTTGCATGTAAAATCACCGTTTACTCGCGCAGGCTGGCAACTATAACCTCGATTATTAAAGTGCGGATGATACCCTCCATATGAGTATTTATATATTTCAAGTTAACTTACGCCACTAGAGTGGTAATGATCAATTTCAAACATGTACTTATATGTCTAATTTTGACTATAGGCATATCTACATCCATTATTTGACTATCTCTATTTTTATTCACTACCTTCACAATTCAATTTAGTATTCTCATCTTCTCCATTGCCGGTGCAGCACTATTTAGTACTGTGATTGCTGGCAAGGACGTTTGGTACAGGATTAAAATTTTGTTAACTGCGACCATTGTCATCCCGGTTTTGAATTTGTCCCAAGCCATGTTGCCTGCGACATTAAGTTCCAGTGCTGCATTGGTGCCTGCTGTGCACATCACTGAGCGGATAAAACTAATTCAGGTATAGATCCATTGATACACATTAAAATCTACCTTAAAAGGGAGGAGGCTAATTTAAACCCCCCCATTTCTTCAGGCTTCTAGAATTAGACAAATTAACCAAGAAGAGAAGATGGTTTCAATATTTTGAACCTCCACTAAGATAGATAGGACTACTACGTTTATACACTGCACGCTAGCAGGAGTGCTCTATAGTCTATAATGTCAAATTATCCGACGGGGATATGTGTTCATGTTGTATCAACTATCTAGATGTCTTTAGTGTGATGCCGTAGAGCCACGTGTGGCTCTACGGCATCACACTCGAAGAACACCTCCTCCTGGGACGAAAATAATTGACGAAAATTGACTGCCGGCTGTTCCAGCACGCGCAGGTTTACAGAAACTATTTCGAACTATACACTGTCAGGTGAAATAAAATTGTGAAGTTGTGGAGGCAACTCAAATACGAAGCCATAGCAACTTCAGCGCTCTCATGCTAAGAGAGTCTCACCAGAAACTTCAGCAGCGCACCTACGTTCTTGGAATATACAGTTTAAGAAATATATACCTAAATATGTTCCAGATGTTTGGGAAGGTTAGGCCGCAACAGTCGGAGCTTATCATATTCCATTTGCAAAAGAACAGGAGTATGTGTCCATCATATCAGGAGTCAGATCTAGCACAGAAGAGCGTTGTGTTCAAAACTGACGCTACTGACGCTGTTCTGGAGAGGATATTTTATATATCGACCTATGAACCTCAATTGCTGATTCCAGGTATCTCGGTGTCTACCGACAAAAGCACTTATGTTGAAAGATGTCCTTGTTCCAACGAAAAGCAAGAAAGGGAAGATTGTTTTAATTTCGAGTGGCGTGTTACCAATGCTCCAAATAAAAGACAGTGAGAGCTGTCCTCAGAACAAAATGCCACACGCTTATTTGACGAGAACCTGTGGAAAATGGAATGATTTTTCGTTAACTTGTTTTAACAGGCTAGACGACGACACTCACCGGCACAGTACAAACTAGGATAAATGTATAGATAGACGGCTTCATTCATTCTGACACTTTGCAGAAAAGAGATATGCAGGCTCCCACAGCTGTATTTATGCCTATGTGTCACAAGGACCCATTCTTTGCGGGCGAATTTGAGTCTCGCCGAAGAACCTGTGGTGGTCATTTGCCTTTCATTTTAGCTTTTGGGAGATCTTTAATCATGTCCGGTAATATAACAAAATAGGAACAAGTACAATATAGCGTACACTGATATTCATAATTCATTTAGCCAATGAAGTAATCGTACGCGCGCTCTTTATAGGAAGCCTTCACCTGGGGCTTAAATTAACTCCTTGAGAGTTACTTCACCAGCCAATAATTGACTGGTGGAAGCAGCCCAGCCCGACATGTAGGTCTCTTAGGTGACTAGAGTAAAAAATGTCTCGTAACTAGGCGACTCAGACGACCACATTCTAACCATCCTTTATCCCTTGTTAAGAGGAACCAAATCTTGCTTCGCTACACCACACCCCAACATACTGAGGTATGTGAGACTTAAAAAATTAAGCTACACTCGTTCATTCCTTGCTTGTGTGGGTCACATAAGGTGCATTGCTGATACCTAAGGTACACATACTCCTAGTATATCCACTAAGGTTAAACATGGCAATCAGACCGTGGCAGGGAAGCCAATGGGAAAATGAGCAAATAAGTTACTTCTGCCATGTATGGACAATAAAAGAAACGCATCGTACAATTTCAGCTATCTCTTCTGATTTATATAATGAGATATGTCTTCAATGTCCATATTCACGTTTGGTAGGCAGAGAGTATCACAGCAATCATGCGATTGGAGTCGGCTTTTAATACGCTGAATAACATAAGAGGCGTCGAGGGCAATTATATTAACCCCTTGACCCATGGGATCACCTTGCTGTTCACCTTATTTATCTTACCTTCCCCTTCTCAAATCGTACACTTATTCTCATCTTGAAACTGTAAGATTTACTGAACATTGTGTATACTCTGAACGCTTTTCTAAAAGTCAAGATGGCTGGACTCAATCTCTATGGTAGAGGGCTGGGTCTTCGTGTTGCTATTCTCCTCACATGTCAAATTGCATTTACCCTGTTTGGTGAGTGGGCAACCTCAGTCTGATGGCTCACGGATGGTTGGAAAACTCATCTATGAAATTTGAAACAGGATACAACCAGGGCATTTTCTCCGGGATTGTGGGTAACGAAAATTTCCTCAACACTGTGCGTCACCCTAGTGTGGTTGTCGTTGGCTTCATTGTGTCAATCTACAATCTGGGCTGTTTGTCCGGTACTCTTATGGCTTTCTTGACGGGCGATCGCGTTGGTTTTCGCAAGGCAATGTGGCTTGCGATGGCGTTGATCTTGGTACGTCTGCTGCCGAAGCTGAAGATCGACGCGACAGGCGACTAACGGGATATTTTTGGCAGGTTGGTGCAGCCTTGCAGACGAGTTCTTTTTCACGGAAACAATTACTTGTCGCTCGATTTGTTGGGGGAATCGGCACCGGAATTATGACTTCGGTTGTCCCTGTGTACCAGTCAGAATTGTGCGAGGCCCAGAAACGAGGAATGTATGTGTGTTGCCAACCCCTCTCTGTCGGCGTAGGCATCGTTATTGCCTATTGGTTTGTCTACGGAATGAGCTATGTCGAGGGACCCATCAGCTGGCGTCTTCCAATTGCTTGCCAAGCGATCTTCGCACTGGTTGTGAGCTTCATGCTTCTGGGGTAAGTTTGAAACGGGCAGCTTGATTTGCATTGGAGTGGAGAGCTAACCTAGCCGATAGGCTTCCTGAAAGCCCGCGGTGGCTTTACCGTAAGGGCAGAGCGAACGAGGGATTCCAAGTCCTGTGTGATTTTTATGATCGCAATGCGGATGACCGAAGGGTGATCGAAGAGTCGCTGGGCATTCAGCGCGCCATGGAAATCGACACACAGCGGGGTGAATACAAATGGCGCCAAATTTTCAAGAAGGACGAGCTGCAGACTGGTCGACGCATTCTACTGGCCTATGGCCTGCAGTTCATGAACCAGATGGGCGGTATCAGCCTGATCGTTGTAAGTACATCATTCTCGGTGACTTTGCACAGTTGTTAAATTCTACTATTTCTAGTCCTACGTCACTACAGGTACGAAGATTCAATAAAATTTTTACCAGTAACTATTCATGAGGATCACTAATGGAGTGATAGTGCTTGAGGTCAACGTTGGGCAAAGCAAGAGGCTGAGTTTACTCCTTGGAGGTGCCATCCAAGTCATGTTTGTCATCGGTAAGGGCGACGCATTTTATACCAGAAAAATAACTGAGCTAATTCAGTGGCGACAGGCTCTGTCTATCCCACTCTTTTTGCCGATCGAATTGGCCGTCGCAAGCCCATGATGTGGGGATCATTCGGCCTTTTCTCCTGCATGATGATGATCTCCATTCTTCTTGCCTTCAAGGGTAGGGGCCAGGGAATACACGTCATTCCTGGGAAAGGAAAAAGCCGGGTTCGAGTTCGCTAACTGGGTGTAGGGACCACCTATGAGAAGCAGACGGCATCGGCCTCTGTTGCATTCTTCTTCCTTTTCATGCTCATTTTCGGAGCCTCGATTAACTGCATACCATGGGTGTATGGACCTGAACTGCTACCCCTTTCTGTCCGAGCCAAAGGGTACGTAGTACTTATATTCCAACCCCTGTGGTAAAGGCAAACCCAACCAAGCTAACTTGCGAACAGGGCTGCTGTTGGAACTTCGGCCAACTGGGTGTGGAATTTCTTCGTGGTTATGATCTCCCCGACCTTGATTCAGGATCTGGCCTGGAAGGGATACCTCTTATTCATGTGTTTCAATCTGCTCTTCGTGCCGGTAAGACCTGCTGACTGCTGATGCTGTGGGAACGGAAATACTAACGAGGAGCTAGACCATCTACTTCTTCTACCCTGAAACGGTTGGCCTGACCCTTGAGGAGATCGATACCCTGTTCACCATCAAGCTGCGCAGTCTGCCGAAAGACGAGGAATCTCAGTGGACTAACAAAAAAAGAGAGCTTAAATAATTATGAGAAACAAAGAGAGCCATTATTTGGATATTGGTGATGAAAAAGACAAACTCTTATACCCAGTTCCTCATTCCATAGATAACAGTAATCTACATATTTAAGATATATTAAGCATTTTTGCGAGCCGAGTGTAACCATTTTGCAATATAACTAATTGATACTCCCCACTCTGGAATTGTGAGCCTTTCATCGCTGAAAACCAGTTTTGTAATGAACCGATGGAGCTTGGTTTCTGCCTCTACGTTAACAAGCCAAAAGACACAATGTGTGGTCGGCGACCAAACACCAAGCTACTATGTAAGGCCATATCATGACAAATTCCCAATTTTAATACAGTTCTGGCTGTTAGATCACACTACAAAACCTCCTGTATCTAACATGGGAAAGGCTATTCTCACAATACTCAAGATAATCAGGCACCTTTCGTTTGGGGTTGAACGCTTGGGTGCATTAGGAAGTACCTGGCCTTGCCATATCAATTTATGGCCATAGTGTAAAGAAGTAGTGAGCCAAATCCTGCATGGTTGCTATTTATCAGGGCTCCAGCAATCGACAATGAAAGGACAGCAAAGTCCAGAATATTACTATCGTAGTTAGTATAATTTAATATATTCATTACTACAATATGTGCACTACACAACTCATAGACATGCTCCTTACCTTATCTTGATATGGATTTTTCCCCTGAAGTGTATCCAATGAATCTAAATGTCTTCTGAGAATTCTAAAGGGACCGTACCTCTCTAGAATTTTAGCGTTAGCATAAATATGAAAGGCGAAGTATGAGTTGATAAGGAAACATAATTCTTCTTTTAAATTCGAGGTAACGAAGCAAATCTCTTGGCCGCTCAGAATAGTTAACGGTACGGAGTCCCTTGCATGCGGCATTCAAATGCGTTTGTCATATTGGACGGCAGAAATACCACGCCTTTTCACCGCGCAAGCTATAAGGAAATAGCTGGTGTCACCAGCTCGAGTGTAGGGGGCTGCAGCATACCTGTGATGAAGTTTCCATTTCACTAGGCGTTTGAGTCCAACCGTTACGGCAGTTGGGTCTAAGGGAATGGGGAAGCTTTAACATTGAAAGTCGATCGGAAATTACCAAGACATCTTCCGCCATTTAGACAAGGGCAAACGAATTATGTACTACTTTTTTGCCAAGCCACCATCCAAGCATATTTGTTTACTCATCCTTCCCTAATCGTCTATCGTCGTTCCCAGTCGTCCCCAGTCGTCCCTAGTCGTCCCTAGTCGCCCCTAGTCTTCTGTGAACCAAGGCTCGACCCGATAGAGGAGCTTCATGTATGAGTTACTATTTGTTTAAAATGGACCGGCATTCAATATTTATACAACCTACCAAGGGGGCTAGAGTCGATCATGTGCCATTGCAGAAGAGCTAGTACAGAGTTCACGTACCTGCTGGAGAATAGAGTACCATTTGTAAGTTGTGGTCTTGTAACAGCAGGGCCTATACTGCTGACAAATTTTCAATAATATTGAAAGTGTGGGATCTCTTTATATTAATCCTGGTGCCTCTTGTGAGCCTTTCGAGTACGTGTTATTACTGATTTCATGGTTGATAAGGTTGCTAACCTACTTCAGGGATTGGGAATGTAGTAAATATGTATATGAAGTTGAGCCAACTGGAGAAGATAATCCCTTTAACACAGGGGTCGGATATATCTCCAAATCAGTTCTCTGTTGCTATACTACGGATGCGTCTAGGGTTTACAAATAATACTTCACAAGGTTTCGACGTGGGTTTTGTTTTTCCCTTGGCGATAGAATATAAGTACATAGACTTAATCTTTGGTGAAATTCCTAAATATTCAACTTATAAGCTACCATCTTTCTGTTTGTATGTTGTAATTCAGAGGAAGTTTATAGTCCTTTATTCTTATCGCAAACTTGAGGTTTGATATACAAGATGAAAGTCAAATTGATTTCCAATCAATTTGATTCCATACGAAATTATTCCGTATATGAAGCTCTAGAGTTTACTTGATCGAGCCTCGATTTACAACATTCTCCCCTAGGATCGCCGTGCTTTCACCACGATACTGCACTAGCAAACATCGACTACGCCTGGGTAAAACCACTAAAAACCCCGTCGGGAGAAAGTGAAAAGAGCGCCTCTGTATAATTCCAAAACTTTTTTTCCGCTTCCATGTAGACCAACTAGTTAGCAGGAGCTTGAAAATTCAGCCGGTTCCAAAGGCTTGGTCAGCCCATCCACTGCCTGCAGCTTGGTTGGAATATAATGAATGTTAATCTCTCCACCATTGAGAACCCCAAGTTGATAGTGGAATTTCACATTGTGGTGCTTGTTCCGTTTATGAAACTCGGGATTATGCGACAGTACAATGGCGGATTGATTATCGGTCTTGACGTTCGTTACTGGCCCTCCTGCAAGTTTGAAGATATATCCGGACGTGGAATATGCGCCTTAAGCAACGACTGATCCGCCAAAATCAGCATCCATATAGCCAATGTGATCTCCTTTCCGATAATTAATCCCATATGGTTGAGTGGCTCTAAGATAGAGCAGAAGACGCTGCAATGCGGCTCGGTGATGCGATTGTGGCCGTGACATGAAACAGCTCAATGTCGCGAAATCAAACGCGATATCTGGTTGGGCTCCAATATCAAGGCAACAAACAATTGCCAAGCTGTAGAAAGCTTTTTCTTCTCTATTAAGATCGTCCCCATCATCAGTTGTATTCAGAGGCCTTAGGGTTTATAGGTGTGGACTTTGGTTAGCAGGTCTCTATACAGAAGTCCACAAGTACTTCTATATGTACTAATACTGGTGGATCGAGATCGATCCTCGCTGTGAAAATCGAATTGGATCCCAAGAAAAGAACACGGGGTTCCCAGATCGTTTAAATTGAATTCTAACTCAAGAGCTTTCTTAACCTGTTCCTCGCGGTTGCTGACTCTGGCCACGAGAAAATTACCAACATATATGCAGGCAACATAGTTCTTCCTGTAGAAAACGTAATTGTCAGAATGGGCTATAGTAAAGCCATGTGCTCCGAAGACGCGTCGAACACATTTGTCCGCTGGGAGTCTCCAAACTCTATCATAGTTCTCTGGACTCCGCCGGTGGCTAGCTCAAAGGAGTTAAATGTCAAAATTTGGGTCATGCTGCACAGCCCCCGTCTTATCCTGCAGCGGAGTCAGCTCGAGAGTACATAACAGCGTCAGTGATGAGGGTAGCGATGACTCTCCAATGATGCGAACTCTTCTCACCAGAATAGCCTAACTCCTTGTGCCTCAGACTTATCTCTACTTCACAAAAGCTCTAGGTCAAGTTCAACACCCATAACCAACCCAGACCTTTTAACAATCATAGATACTGCAAGGAGATAATATTGGACTAGATAGTCGAAAGTCAGACCTCAGGGTTGCGAAGATACCCAGCGAGCCAGAATGCTGTGGGTATTCTTTAGAGACCAGAATCTCAATGGCTAGAGCCAGGAAAAGTGCTGCCCAGTCTCAAATTCACACAGCACTTGACAAGACCACCCAAACAAGAAGGTCCTATTCTGAGACTGAAGACAAGTTTCCCAGGAACCTAATAAAGAAAAGACTAGCCTGCAGGAAGCGATGGAGAAATTCCAGGATATTTTCCCCTGCAGGTCGAAGTCGTCACTTTAAATACGCTGGCCCCTCCTACAGCCATCCCCACGACGGTCACCAGATCAAGACCAAATAGATGTAAGGCACGCTATTATGTTTGCAATATTTTAATATAAGTCTGCATTCTTTAGAGCCCATCTGAAGTTTCCCTAATCTTGAAGATTGTCAGACAGGTTGGTCCTATTTGGATTGGAATATGGTTTCTCAGCGGCAGAGCTTCTATATCGTCAGTGCAGCCAGCTAGAGTACTATTGGACGGGCTCCTTTTCTCGTCTTTGTAGTATCAGGCACTGTTTATGGATGATTCCTCAGCTCTGTGGGATTGTGTCTCTAACATTCCGCTCCTTGTCCGAAGTACTCATATTAGATCGTTATCAAAGATAATTTAATATGATTAATTATTATTCTGGTATGGGCAATGTTAACAGAACCTCTGCTTACTAGATTGGTTTGGTAGTTAAGCTACTTGTATTGTTCCCAATTTATTCTTGGGTAAGTTCTATCTCTATATCTCATCCCACCTCTTATTATACACAGGGCTCCGGAAGGAACAAGCTCAAAAGAAGTCAGCTGGTATACCTATTGAAATTTTAAGCAAGGTGAATTGTCAGAGGCTGAACCCGTAGAACCTATAGGACAGGCTATGTACAAAAAGGAATCGTTGAAGAAGAGTCACATGTTGTGGGTCATCAAGGGCCAGTAAGACCAACAGGGCCCGTAGGGAAATAGGGACAGTAGGGACAGTAGGATCAATGGGATCAATTGGCGCGAGAGGTCAAACGGCCAGCCCTTTACAACACCAAACCCGAAGCCTATGTTAACAGAACTACCGCCACCAAGCAAGGATAACACGAGCCGCACAAGTATAATACAGGCAGTCAGCACCATGCGGAAGGATGTTGGTCGAAAACTTTAACATAAGCTTAGGTCCCTGAAGCTTTCCAACTCTGTTGATTGGAAAAAGGATCTGCTTAAAGATCCCCGTGTTATGAACGCAAATCAATTTGATCAACAAGGAGCTTATTCCACCACAAGACAGTAGCACTCTCCATAGGTGTTCGCTCGACAGACTGATACTACGTCGTTTCCCCCATATCTAGATAAAACCTCCGCTAGAATGTGTTCAGCTGTATTACTTTAGCGGAAATCCATAAATTCCATAAGAACTGGGTTCTTTCAATGGTCGTGTACAGCGTTTGTTATGCTCTTCACCTTTGTCGCACTGACACACTATAATATAATCAAATGACTTCTTAAAACAAAGGCGCCTGCAAACTAGTAACATCGTCTAAAATACACCATTTCCTTAAGATGATCACCACAATACTGTCCCTCTTATCGAGACTACCTCTTTCAACTATGAACAGATTTGGATTTACTCCGCTAAAAATAGAGGTTAATGCGAATGCTTGAAAGGCTGAAGACGTTTTAGAAAGTGGAATAGTACGAATTTCCAAGGTTGTTGCATTTGTATCAAGGTCGGGTATCTCTCTCAAGTGCCCCCGGAGCACGTTCAATATCTGCGACGTTTATGCCGTGTACGTAGTTTTCTCGTGCCCACTCAAGCACCTTTGTATAGTCCCGGCACTTGTGCATGCTACAAAGAATCAGTATGAGTATGATAATGGAGCTCGGCGAGACTTACGTGCTGAAGTCAGGGAATGGCTGCTTCCATCCCTTGGCCCATACATATGTCACCATGCCTAGATCGGGGTCACACATAAGCTAGACAGTGTTAGTTCAGGGATATTTGGCTGGGTATATTGGGTATTGCCTACTTTTTGACGCAGCATGTCAAGGCAGTGATCTAGAGAATTCGTTAGTATGACACAGCTTCCTGTCTGTAGTTTCGGACACAAACCTAAATGATACCGTAGCGTTTGTTGGTCTTTCCATTCGTCCATCCTTGGCAGATAGTAATCCATATATGTCGCTTTTCGAAGCATATTCACGCAGTGTAATTGGTGGAACACCTCTATGCCCGCTATATACCCACCGCCCATCTCCTGGGTATACTCGGCTGCATATTCCGATGCATTGATCTTGAGGAGTTGCGCTCTGGATATGCGGACCAGCGCTCCCCCATGATAGAGAATCTTGTCCCAGGCGTCATCGATGTCTTGACTAGGAGGGCCACGATACGCGTTGCCCTCCCTAAGGGCACCATTAAACCGTTGGGGTGACAGTGTATCATCGTATATCTCAAGTGCCGGTGACCAAGTTGACATTTTCCGTGTACATGAGTCGTTTAGATGCAGTGTGGTGATTTGAAAGACCCCGAAACTCAGTACAAAGCCGACCACAGCTCCAGTGAGGATTGAACGCCAATTCCAGGGCTGGGTTTTAAGAGATGGCGGATCCCCTTGCCCATCTGCTTCGCAATCATCGCTGTTGTCCTCTCCTTTCATCTGCTGGTACCGGAAAGTGTCCATTATCAAGTCCTGATATTCTTCGGGAGCCGAACGGCCGGTGGCTGATAATCAGAAGGGCATTGTGCCATCCAATGAATACATAAGTGGTGCAGGAAATATTGGGCGGTATTATCGATAAAGCTGGGTTGTAATGTATTTTCGGACTAAGAATAATACAAATACTTTATTAATAATAAATGTATTAATCTAAATGTATTAATCTAAATGTATTAATCTAAATGTATTAATCTAAATGTATTAATCTAAATGTATTATTCTAAATGTATTATTCTAAATGTATTATTCTAAATGTATCATTCTATTAATACATTTATTATTAAGTTTGGCCTATTGTGACAACAAAGGTGTTTAGTGTGCAACGTTGGAATGCACTAAGCCAAGTCACCCCCCCCCCTTCTTCCCTTTTTTGAGTTCTGGCTGGGTGTACGCGAGGCTGCGCGAGTTGCGCCATGCAATCAATGCATGCAGGCTGAACAAGAACCAACGGAAAAAAGAAAAACAGAGCTATCTAACTGGCGCAGCCTTGTCTCGCATGTCTCCGTGGGAGGAGCATTAACCACAGCGCCCAAGTGCGTCCCACTACGCAGATCCGGAAACATTACTTATTTTAGGAAAACTGCGGCAATTGAGGTCACTCCAAATCAGCACAATGCCCGGTTGGCCAGCAGGCAGAATGTTTCTGAGCCCACTCTGTCAGAGCATCCCAATCACGACATCGCCGGTGTTGGCCGTCGCCTGTTAGCCTCGACCGGTACGGAATGTAGATCGGGGTATCGTCAGCGCGGCATTGGATGGCTTGGCGAAGAGCGTCATAGCAGTGGTTGATGTGGATCGCTTTGTCATCTACAGGTTTCCCCGCTATTAGATCTTGGATTGTGTCTCTTAAGTATATCTGTCTCCATAATCAGAACCGCTCTAGTACAAATGGGGAGGTACCGACCACGCAATGAATCTCATGGAATCCCTCCAAGACATAGACACCCTTGGTCGGGTCATCCGGAAAGTCCTCGGCGAGAGGTAGGCCGAAGTCGGCTGCCTCCTGGTGCGGAATAGCCACGAAGCCATTGGTAGTGAACGTCTCCCAAGCTGCATTGGAGATTGTCTGGTTCACGTTGCTGTATTCCGTGTAGGTATGGAATTGTTTCCATGTTTCCCCACGAGCGTAGATTCCGGCTATAGATTCATTAGCCCTGATGCAAACGAAGGCGGCCATGCTCACGGACTGAAGCCTTTGTGATCTACTGCGAGTTTCAGTCGCCGATTATGGGTGTAGAGGAGAATATTGCTGATAAGGGATGCTATGAGGAGAAATAATAGGATTCCGAGTTGTCGAAAGCCCGGTTTGATTCGTTGGGTTGTCGTTTCTGTAGTCCACGGTTTCCCCTCTTCATCCATACTGTACTGCGGCTCACAGGCATCGTCGCTCTCATCTTGTGGTATGCGTTCTGCTTTGTATAACATGATTAACAATGTCTGGAACACTGGCACTGCAAGCCAATGCACAATACCAGCTGATGAATATAAAGATTGGGGTAGATTAAGCGACAGACCTCGCAATCTATTACAATTATCACTTGCGCTGGGGCGTGCATAATAGAAGTGGTAATTTTCAGCGGTTAATCGTCTACCATACAACTGTATTTCTTCACCAACAGCGGCAATGGTCTGTAAGACCATGCATATTCGCTCACGCTCAGTAATTGCCTTGCAGACCTGTAATGGATAAGAAATCCACACCACCCCTGCTTTATTTAGATTCCGTGACTCAGCCATGCAACACTATTTGGCCCCCAAACACTAATGCAGTGTAACACTCCACGCACGTCCCCTAGGAAAAAAAACCATATCCAACCAATGCAGCGCCCACTGTACTGGAAATATTCTGTATATTATTTCACATTCCAAAGCAGTCACTATTGGCTTCCAGGATGATGATATTCGCGCTCTTGATTCCAGCCAGTAGCGGAGAAGTGTCAAACACAGCAGTCTAGTTCGTAATCGGTGATAGGGCCAAAAATACAGGTACAGGGCGCCTTGTGTTCCAGGTCAGGGCTGACCTATAGTCGGTATGGAGCTTTTCCTGGTCGTTGCAGCCTTAATGCGCTGGTGGTCTGAAGTACCAGCTCGACGGAGCATAGCAGTAATATAAATATTGGCGGAGACCCAAAGGTATATACTAGCACCCTAACCATATACAGAGATAATACTCTACTACCTACCTAGCAAGCCATTGTCTCACAATATACAACCACTACAATGAAGACAAGTCTATTGTGGCCGATTGCCCTTCTTTTATCTGCTGCCTCTACGGCCGTGACCCGTATGTCTAATGCAAAATATAGTTCGGTAAACTCTTGCTAATTGCTCCAGAGCCATTCACGCCCCGTAACGAGGAAGTCGCCGACGGTACCCAGATCGGTGAGGGCTGGAAGCGTCATGAGTATGCGGAAGATGGCACCCAGATTGGCGAGGGATGGAAGCGTCATGAGCATGTGGGAGATGGCACCCAGATCGGCGAGGGATGGAAGCGCCATGAGCATGCGGAAGATGGCACCCAGATCGGCGAGGGATGGTAGGAGGAGATAGAGTCCTAATGGAAAGTTTATGTAAAAAAACTGATGGAAATGGAGGGAGGCGCAGCAGTGAATAGAGTATTTCAAATGTCAATGTTCTTTCCTATATGCATCTTAACTACCAGCCCGGTAAACGGATCCCATCATCATCATTCTCGCAGTGATTAAAATGATCAATCAACCGAACTGGATGATCGCTGTCCTTGTAGCAGGCAGTATTTTCCTTCGCCCACGTCTTCCGTTTGTTCCAGTCAATACATTTCCGAAGCTGTCGGTCCCCTGTGATATTGCGCCCCCATGTATAGAGTAGTGTATCGCCCGAAGTGCCGCACACAATGTATTGTAGCAAGCTGTCGAAGCAATGGTTGGAGTGTCCGACTGGTACGCTTGGAGCCTGTCCCAAGGACAGTTGCGTAAATGTTTTGCGGATGACTGTCAGGCAGTGAATCTGGTGATATCTACGGATACAGTTAATATCATCAACACACATCTGCGTAATACCAAGTGACCTACGCATCGATGATATAGACACCCTTGGAGGGGTCTGAAAAGAGGCTCATACTCGCGGGTAAATTCCGCTTAGCTGCCCACTCGTGGGGGACCGCAACAATTCCATGAGCAGGGACAATTTCATCCCATGCTGCATTAACTGCGTCCCTTTTGTCAGGATCGGCAGTGCTGTAAATATCGGTGATCCATTGAAACTGGACCCTGCGCATGTCATCCAACTTGAGGCCTATTAAGTATGAGCTGTATATTCGACACATTCATTTTTTTAGGGATAATTGAACCTACTATAATCTTCATCCACAGCGTAATTCCGCCAACCTAGAGGGCTCTGTACATGCTCGAACAGGAGGACTATGCATAGTATAGAGAGAGCAGCGATTACTGCTTCTCTCCAGAATTCCAGAATGTGCGAGATCCAGCGACCGCGGTGGTCTCTTCCCCGTGTTGGGATCCCTACTTGAGGAAGAGTCTCGTATTTAGGCGATAGACAGTCCGCAAACATGACCTTGTCGTAATTGGTGCGCTGCCTGATTCACTCTAATCTCTTCCGCAACAGAACAGGAAGAAGTGAAGAAGTCAATAGCCTGTCGAGTAGAGCAGAAATGTTGTCATCGCCGGAGAAAAGAGCTAGAATGAGCAGGGCATAGCCACGAACAAGGCGTGAAATTGATTTCGCCGTTCATCTTGTTCATGCCTGGCGGGACCTTTTGCGCTATTTCTGTATACATGGGCAGCGTGCATGAGGTACGCCTGTCTTACTGGTTGCTTCCCTGTTAGAAGGAATACAACCGCCATACAGTATTCTGCACGGTATTAATACCGGTGCATACTGGGAGTGATCCTTTCCGTACGAGGCAAGTGCCCAGGCTCTAAAATGCGACAAAAATACCAATTGGCATGTGGCCTGCTTATCTTGCAGCTTGAAAATGTTGGACAATGGCCAGCAAGCACTCCCAAATCTCGTTCGCTGATTATTATTTCACGTCGTCGGGCACTTGCTGACCGGGATATTGGTAAATCGACCCAGGGCTATCAATATGTCCCAAGCAGATCTGTTGGCTATGGATGCCGGAAGAAATAGGGACTTCATTAAAAGCACATATTTCCCCTTCTTACGTCATCCTATGCTAAGAGGGGATAATTCTATTTGTTTGCGCCCCGAGTTGTACAAACCACCCTTGCGCGGCGAAGCACTAACAAATACATTCTTTACAACTATAATACAAATGTCTCAAAACACGTGTTCATTAAGTCCTTCTAATTAAAACTATTCAGATCGGCAAACCGTTAATATTGCTCGATTTCATGTTTCACATGGATCCCTGGTTTTGACCAGTCACTCGCTCGGGCCGAGCGAATTGCTTCCGCAGAATATGCATTCCCGGATCCGCTGTACGTATTGTAGTGAGCCTTTGACTGTGTCGATGTGGAGTTTACCGACTGGCCGAAGTTATACAGACCAATACTTCCAGAATCTTGGGATGATCGTCTTGGCAAGCTTTTCAAGGATAGCTTGCCGCGGATCTGGCTCACAATCGAGTCCATTGAAATGATGCGCTGCAGCGGGCGCAAGGTAGGCAGGCAGACGACGACGACGCCGAGACCGCATTCAATCATCGTCCAGAACATTAGATAGGTGATTAGAGCTGGAGCCCATTAGCCATGACTGCTACGGGGAGGGAGACAATGGGATTCTAGGACTGCGTACTCTCTCCATCAGATTGGGCAAAGGCGTTCACGATGTAGGTGATGTAGATTCCCATACGTGTGGCGGAGGCCGCTGTGGCGCTATACGTTTCGTTAGTCATGTCTGTCGAAAGGGTGCTATTCAATTGATATATCTGACATCAGACCGACCAGAAAGACCCCTACCACTGCAATTCGTTTGCGTAAGCTCATGTTTAGAGCAAGGATCTGCGTCAGAGTAAGTATTTATTCGGTCAGTGGAGAACGGGGGAAACGCTACACTGACCTTCGGAATCGGTAGCAGCCATATGATGACATCCATGATGAAATCCGAGATAGCGTACCCCTCCAGAAGCTTAAGTTGGGCACTGCACTTCTCAGAAACAACAGCCACCGGTGCCCATGCGTTGGTCGGGTGAACTCCGCATAGAAAGATCGCCCCAAAGCCGAACGCAGTCGTCCAGGCCACGACCAGCACAATGACTACCCATGTGATGACGTCGAATACCGTCTTGCTAATTCCCGCGCTACAGAAGATCTTTCGATAGAAGAAGAGAATGCTGAGCTTGGTAAATCCGAAGGCGAGGATGGCTGCAATGTCGGCGAAATATTGTATCTATTGCGGGATTAATAGCGTACTTGGAGATTAGTCACAGGGACTGACTGGTCATGCGATACATACCTGCTGGAGCCTGATCTGTCGCGGCGACGTAGAAAAAAGATATCCATCAGGGCCAGGCACACTCGGAGGAGGGAGGAGATCGCCTAAAGACTTCGTCGCACCTCCCCATATAAGAAGTGCAGCCAGAACCAGTTCGAAGAACTGGGCAAAGTTAGAGGCATCACCTAGGAGAGAATGGAGAGGCTATCCAACCAAGGCAGGTATCGTCAACCAGTCGTCAATCCATAGCATAGACCCTAACTTGATTCGTGTGTAAAACCGCAAGAAGACAACAACGATGCCCATTGCAGGAAAAATGGTGCTGATGATGATGACCGCCTCCGATGTCGCGTACGTTCGCGCCATATTTGTTCTATCTTTTTATTTTTATTTTGCTTTTTTCAATTCAAGGCCTTCTCCGAGCCTTGTATCGGTGTTGTCTAAGCACATCAAGATCAGGGACAATAATTGCGAGGGAGGAAGACCATGCAAGAGGCATGTATGTACATCCCGTCCAAATATCATGGGCAGGAATTCCGTCCCCTGGAGAAGTGGCAGGGTTGCAGGAAATAAGTGCTCCTATCGAGCTCTATAGGGATCAGAAAGTATAAATTTCGACTAATTTTTCTGCATGGTGAAAACCTTGTCGTATTGCAAGGGTGTTTCGGATTCCATTGGGCCAGTTGTGCAACACGAGGATGTCCATCCCTGACAACGTCAACACCACGTTGGGCTTACCACGTTACATGCTTACATGGCTGTAGACCCCGCAGCTGACAATCCACATGGGGGGCTGGAATGATGAGTGGCGCTCACTGTTGCTGCAATTATCGATCCCTGTGATTTTTTCCCCTTTGTTTCTTTTTCCCGCTCCGGCACGAACCAGGTAATACCGATCACCCCGTGGCCTAATTCGACGGGATTCACCTCCAACGTGACTTACTCCTAAGCTTCCGATAGGATTATCTAACGTCTGGGTAGTGGTTTAAAATCGGAACGGGCCTAAGCTGGTTCTTCTCGTACTTACAACCGCCATGGCTTTGCTTCAAGTGATCGAGACAACCGGAGTCTTGCTGGCGTTGTGGACGTTGCTGGGAGTGATCCGACGCCTCTATTTCCATCCCTTGTCCCACATTCCGGGTCCACGACTGGCCGCACTCACCTGGTGGTATGAATTCTACTATGACGCTATCCAACCGGGACAGTATGTTTTTAAAATCCAAGAACTGCACAAGCAGTACGGTATGTCTCGAATAGAGCCACAAAGAAATAGTTCAACAGGAATAAAGTATAGTGGTACTGATCAGATCCATATTACTTCCACAGGGCCCATTATCCGCGTGACGCCGGATGAAATCCACCTTAACGATGTCGGTTACTTGGACACTGTCTACCCACCGTCGATGACGCACGTCGACAAATATAACTACCAACTACGCACTTTACGAGTACCCGGAGGCGTTGGGACCACGCCTAATTATCATCTGCACAAGATACGTCGTGAAGCGCTCACTCCTTTCTTCAGCAAGCGCAACGTCCTCACTCTAGAGAATGTTATTACCAAGAAGGTCGAGCAACTATGCCAGTTGGTTGCAAAACATGCTGCTGCAAAATCTCCAGTCAATCTATCGAACGCATTTTACGCGTTCTCCAATGAGTACGGCTTTCTTAATATTTAACATGCGACACTGCTAATTACCAAGGATAGCGTCGTGGCCAATTTCTTATTTGCCCACCAAACCGATGTCCTCGCGGACGAGGAGGAAGCCGCCAGACTCCGCCATAACAGTCATGAGCTTCTCAAAGGAATCAATCTGAATAAACACTTTCCATGGATTCCAGATTTTCTGGAGTCCCTTCCAGAAAGCCTTAGTAGGCCTATAATGCCACCCGGCTTGATTGACATGCTACAACTTTTTGACGTGAGCTCTTCACTCGACACAGTCGATAAGAATGAATGTATTGCTAATATGGATACTAGCGAGTCCGCGCAGAGCTTTTCACCATCATGAAAGCCAAATCGTCCACAAATTCCAGTGACAAGCGCGCAGGCCTAGCAGACAAAGAATCTGTATATGAGTCGGTCTTGGAAAACGATAATTTACCGGCACCTGAAAAGGCCTTACTCCGACTGGAACAGGAAGGAGCGCTACTAACCCTGGCGGGAACTGAGTCGCCTGCTCAGACACTGAATATAATCTTCTACCACCTTCTTGCGAATCGCACGATACTTAAAAAGCTTCACAATGAACTAAACTCACTACCAACCCCCGCATCCTGGACACAACTAGAGAAACTCCCCTATCTTTCTGCCATCATTGAGGAAGGCAACCGGCTCTCTTTTGGCGTCACGGCCCGAGCCGCCCGCATCCAATACGAGCCGATCGTCTACAAACCAACACCCCATGTGGCCTCCCCATCTGCTACGTCCAAATCTTACACCATCCCCGCAGGTACACCGGTTAGTATCACTACGCTAAGCGCGCACACAGCGGAAACCGTTTTCCCCGACCCATACGTGTTCGACCCGGATCGCTGGCTTGGCGATGAAGGGCGGGAGCGCAGGAAATTCCAACTAGCGTTCTCGAAAGGAGGCCGAAAGTGTTTGGGTGTGGAGCTAGCCCGGGCAGAGCTATATCTTGCGACTGCCGCGTTGGTCCGGATGTTTGATATGGAGCTTTGGGAGACGGATGGAAATGACGTTGCATTTGTACACGACTATCATGTCGCCATGCCGAAGTCGGATTCACAAGGAGTGAGAGTAGTGGCTACGCTGCGTGGCAAGGAGTAAACCAGAAAAGGGCATGAGAAAATTGCGTATTGACTATCTCGATTTTAGAGGAATTTTAGATTATTGTGCTCTAGTGACGATTCCCAATCTTTGATTTGATCCAATTGACGACCCCTCATCTTATTTGCTCCTTCGACCTTATTTACTTACCCGGTGGGTTGGGTGTGGACGAAAGTATCTCTATTCAGTGCGGATGGTGAATGGTTACACGAAATAGTTACATACTGACTGGAATCAAGTCCTAAACTGATTTTAGAAAGTGCTGGTCTAAACTTCCCATGTAGTATTAGAACAAGTTGGAAACTTCTTGTTATATACAGCTACTGATAATATGAATCCATTGGACTGATATGCAGGGCTGTAGCTAGTTTCATTACTCTAGGTCAGCAAAATGAATCCAGATCAGACGGCACTGTGCCTTAAAGCCGAGGAGAATAAGGCAGGAAGGTGTCAGAGATAAATCTACCTCCACTTGACCAGATATGGAAGCCGTGAGTTAGTTCAAGTGGTAGTTACAAGGGATATCTGAAATGAGCTGCGCTGACCGTGTCCTCTTCTCTCAATGCTTATTCCTTAAAAACATCCCGAAGCCGATTTTGCCCTGACTATTTTTTTTTCTTCTTATTTTTTTTTTTTTGAAATTTCGAAGCTTGCCTGGAAGAACCTTTCCATTCTCAGCTTGTCACATTGTATATGCGAGCCTGCGTAGTATATGGTGCTAATCATTTCAGGCTAACTATGGGTACTGGCAAGTTGAAGAGGGGCTTAGCTGTGATGACAAGATCTCTAGGATAAAGTTGCTCACAATTTGATTATTTCAACAGTTCTCGCTGGGGCTAGATGATATTATTGGTTGATACACTCCTGGAAATAATATTAACCAGGAGTCTACAGTACGGGAGGTATTTCTGCAGTCAGCCTGAGATATAAAAGTTTTGGATCATGGATATGTTCCGATTAAATCCGATTATATCAATTATGATTACAACGGTTCTGCCTGTATGCCCAGCCCGTGTCTAGGATATATTTCGGGGTTTTAACTAGCGCTTTGTACCATAACCCTGCTTTGCAACCCCGAATGCAGCACTCAGCCCCAGCATCCTCCGGAAAGCAGTATGGATGGTGGAGTTGTAGGTACCTTGAGAAGAGTAGGTAATAACAGGTTTAATATGCTTGATCCTGCACTAGCACCACACCAAAGCTTCCATGTTGCGCCTCGCACAATCCCAGACGCCACAGTCGACGCGTAACGGCTGACGTCTCGGAACTCGCATCAATTCCCATCCCCCCACTAGAGGCTGACGAGCTTCTAGGGACCTTCGGAGAGTTTGAAACGGTCGGGCAGATTACCATGAGCGTCTTAGCCGTGCTTGTCACTGCGGAGAGTACCCACACATGAAATGAAGGGCTAGTTCCAACGGTACAATCTATATAATTGTCTCACGCAAGCGCGTGGATCCTGTGTAAATAGATAGAAAAGGACCAAACGCTGTTAGTCCGCCCAGCAAAGCACAGGTGCCTAATGAGAGCACGATTTACCCCTATATGGCACATTGACATATCCGGCAACAGAAGTGACAAAGACTGTCGCTTAAGCAAAAATGGAGCGAACATCTGGATCACAGTTATCGGACCGAACAAGCTAGTCTAATACACGTCCTTGACCACCATGTTTTCGCCCAGGATTAGCATGTAGTGGCTGCGGCTTGCATTGTTGATTAGACAGTTTAGAGTGCTGTTAGTTTGGTGGAATTCAAGCCTCCGAATTCCAACTGATAAAACTGGAAATTATTGGTCCACTGTTGAGATGAGCTGGGAATTTCGGGGGAAATGACGGAAGGTTTCACCGAAGTTGGATCTCCCAACGAAAGTGACTACCAGAGCGAAGGATTGGCCGTCTCGTTTATTGATCCTTGTCCGGATGTCAGATTGAATGTTCAATCAATGCCACTACTATCTGTGCCCCTCAAACCAAACAAAAGCACTTCTGTATTGTTGCCTGAAGGTACATTTCTGACAGTACTGTGAAATGTTGCTTAATCAGCCGTATATCGACTGCAAAGGACTGATTAAGGGGGTAGATAGACTGTACGACCGCAGTTGATTAACTCAGGCAATATTAAATTTTATTTCTCTGGACTGCTTTAGCTACCTAAACATCTTCATCAAGCTTACCAATTATACTGGCAACTAACAATAAACATGATTAGTATTTTGTATAAAAGTCTAGCCCTAACGTTACGTCGTATATATGTGTCAATAGAATATAACCATCATAATATGCGCCCTTCAAGATGGTCCTTTTCTCATGGAACGGATTTCACGTTGACGACGACTTTAATGCATAGTTTATGTACAGACCGTGACGTCACCAGGTTCGTTTTCCACAATTGAAGTAAAATTGATATTTATAGAAACCTTATTTGTGTGAAGTTATTATTGATCATGACGATTTTTAGGTAATGAGAACATACTGTATAGAAACGAGAACCAGCCATTAAGAATATAAGGGTTGGCAGATCTCGTACAGAATTATATGCTGTGCGGTTCCCCATACAATCCGTCCATGAGAAATTTGGAATGGGATGAGTTTAAGATTCACAGTCCAGCCTGGCCCAAACTAATTGATATGTTGCCAGCATCCATCCAAAGATTTAACCTGAATCTCTACACAGTCGAAGATAATTACCTGAAGTGCATCTCTCATTTAATCGAGTGCCTTTCAGATGCCCGGGTTACAAAACCGCCCCGTTTGGATTAAGCCTTTTTATGTGTATGGATTCAGATCCGACGATTCCGGACGTGGCACTTGAGGCTTTAACTCTGCGAAGAGAAGTGGATTTTCAATTCTGAAGCTTGGTACATCCATCACTCTTTTATAAATGTCTTCTTGTGTGATCATTATTAGAAACTGTTGCGGATTCTAGGGGAAGGGAGGAGCAAGGAGCTATAGATCGACTACAGGCCTAGTAGCCAAATTATGAGGTAGATGACATATGTGGACACCAGGAATCAACTGTATATTCCTATCTAGAGGTCTCGGGGCCGTAGGGGTGGAATCGAATACCGAAATTCGAATATTCGAAAATCTAGCAGGCGCTTGCCTCTAGCCCTCAGATTTATCTCGTAGCAGCACTAACCACATCATTGTTTACCCACGCATGGAGTATCTTCGCAGACATAACAAATCTCTCCCGCTATTGAATAGTCTCTCTACTGCTTCTTCAAATGCTGGAATTGCTAAACAGTCTCTGGCAGCTGTTGCGACGCGTGGATACTCAAGGAAATGAGCCCTCCATCAAGAAAATTACCATTCCTTGTCTGGTATCATGAGCCCCTGAGCTGTTACTGCACCATCATCAAAATATCTGTCAAAGTCGGACAGCTGCTGTTTTGGCGGTTGAAATTTCTAATATAATCCGGGCTTTTGTAGTTCTTGCTGCCTGCTTCTCCTGGCCACTGACAATAGCAGATTCCTATGCAGGCAACAGGTTTTGCTCATGGAGTAATTCTTTTATATATTTTATTACACGTTAACTTTCCCGAATTCCTTCTCTAGCAATAATGTCTTGAATCGTGGGTTGAGAATATATCTTATATAATAGGGGTCTTGCGCGTCTATTAGGTCATAGTACTTTTTGAACTTCTTTGGCCCTGAGGATACTGCTGAAGCAATATCTTGGCTAAGCCCGGAAAATTCTCCTTCTCTGGATGAGGCATTATTTAGTATATCATGAAGTTCGTAATATATAGGTATTGCAAGGCTGATTTGCGGCTGCCACTAAGAAACAGTGAAAGTGAACTCAAATTTGGCAAGAATACTCTTAATTTGCTGAAGGCAGTCCAGTCCTGGGTTGTGTATGGTGGAAGATATGTTTAACTATCAATCTACCTTTTAATTTGTTGCTTTGCATGTATGGCGTCCCTAATTATTCTGTACGTGAAATCCCACCTTGTATTAGTATTACACTTAATGAATTTATCACTCGACAGGTTTATTTGGCAAATCAGCTTCCATTGTTGTTTTCTTTGTGAAGTTCTTGCCCTCTATAGACTTATAATCCGAAGGCGTGAGAGCACGGAGTGCATTTTAATATCTTTATCCTTCTGCATAAGATTGCATGCAGTAGCTGCAGTTTTATGGTCGCTGCATTTTAGTGAAGAAAGCATATCACCAACGATAAGATAAAGAATATAAGTAAGACAACGAATATAATTGTTCAACCCCTGGAATAAAACATGTCTTTCTCTACAGCGGCTATCTGGAGAGGTTCAAATTTCTCTTTTAAATTAAAATATAGCTCTAGTATCAGCGATTCATTATTTGTTGCATTATCCGCCGTAATTGTTAAGATCTTGCGTTCAATTTTAATTTCGAGTATTTTGAGAAGCAGGTCTGCCATGTTTTCTCCCGTATGAGGTCTATATACTTCGGTAAACTTAACTACCCTTTCCTGATAATGGAAATCACTGTCTATTTAATAAAATTCATCTGTAATATAGGCTTCGAGTTCTTACTTGTTAAAGAGCGGACAGAGCAAAGTTAGATCAGTAGAAGATCCCTTAAATGGCCTAGGAAACGGAGGTCTATATATGCTGTGCCAAAAGGTAGCATTGCTTCAGGCCGGAAATGTGGAGTTGTATCTATCATCTCGTGATATGTCGAGCAACTTCTGAAGTTGACCAATGCCTTCTCTGAGCGGTAGCCGATGTTTATCGGAATAACCGATTCTATATCTACCCTGTATTAAGTTAGTTGTTATAGCCAGCTCAGGACCTTACTATTCCACTGGACTAAAAGACCGCTATATCTGATCCCATCTTTATTCCTGAGCACTTTATATAGTAGCGCACTGCAATGTTAGGTGACGCACCACACCTAACAATAGTAGGCTAGCCATAGGGTGGAATATCCTAAAAAAAAACTAATTAACTTAAACTTTATTGTTATGTAATGTTTAATAAGCCGTTTAACTAGTTAACTAACTAGAGCCGCTATTTAACCTAATGCTAAAATCTGTAATAGGATTGATAAACAAGTGGAGTTTTAACATGTAGCCCACTTAACCAGGAGTCATGTAGTTCAAATCCCATGGGGTGAGCTGTCAAGGATGGGAGGAAATACGGAATGTAACACAAGATAGGTAAAAAATTTGCTATTCCTTCAGTTGAGGATGGAGCAGAAAAACCCCGCAGGGCTTGTTCAGTTTGAGATAATTTCCTTATCTAGCGTGGTTCCTATGCTTGGGAGAAGTGCTAAATACCGCTAGTGGCAATGCACACGGATCTTGTCTCACGTTACGCTTATATAACTACGAAGGGCTTGGTTACCAACCGATCATTATATCTCTTGTTGCACGATCTGGGAGAGCTATGCACAAAATTGGTCATGACTGAAGGCCTTCGAACCTGCTCCACCAAGATCTCATTTGTCTTATGTAGGCTGCTGGAGATTCAAATGGGAAACCACCTTGATCGTCCTGATTGGGTAATATTGCGACTGCTGTTTAAAGTTCAATTGCCCTAATGGCGTTCCACGGCAGACAGTTCGGTGGTCCCACTATCTGGCTCGCAGTCTAGACATGAGGGTCTCGCCCAATCTGCGCAGCGAACCTGGTGATAGACTAAACTTAAAAATGGCTTAATTGCTCTGGTCCACTATTCCCGGTATAAATGGGCTATCTCAACCTGGCAAAATGAGGACCGATTAACCCACATGAATTTTTTATTCCCCGCTGCTGAGGTGACTTAGAAGCAGCAGTACATCCGATTAGCATCCGATAAAATACGCCTTTGAGCACACATTGACCAAGCGTATTGCAATTTTGGTGGATGCTGTTACAAGGGCGTCCCATTTCATCGGAGGCAGCCGATATGGTCACGAATGGAGTGAGGCCAGCCAAGGTCGAAGAGCAAATTCAAGGTCAGCCACCGGGCGATAATTGTCAATATGCTCCCAAAATTGGACGAAGGAGACCGGGCCTCTGTGAGCCTGTGCGGCAAGGGGACTGGGACGAACTGACCTCGATTGCTCTCTCGTGGCCGGATTCTGGGGAGTACAGCGGCCAGGAAAGCCGGGAGAGCCCTGAGTTTGACCCTTTTGCCTGGGCGTGGGATATGTTCCAAACCATGGACGTGGAACAGAAGCGCTCACCGCAATCTGGTGTAGTGTTTAAAGCTCTCAACGTGTCGGGGTCCGCCACTGCAGCGAAAGCACAGACGACTGTAGGATCTGCCCTGATAGCACCACGGTGGATCCGGGGCCTCTTCCCCCGGAGCGGCTCACAGACGCGGAAGCATATCTTGCATGATCTGGATGGTGTCTTGGGAGGGGGGGAGTTGTTGCTGGTGCTTGGTCGACCGGGGAGCGGGCGCTCAACATTCTTGAAGGCCATCTGCAGTGAGCTACAGGGTCTAGAGCTACAGCCACATTCGGTGATTTATTACAACGGAATCGCCTCGGACAAATTGGGAAACAAGCGCCGCGGGGTGGCTCTTTATAATCATGTGGTGGAAAATCATATACCAGAGCTGACGGTTCGCCAAACGTTGGAGTTTGCAGCCGCTGCAAAGACGCCGCCGACTGTGACAGGCGTGAGCCGGGCTGATCACATCCGGCGGGTTATCCAGGTCGCCATAGCTGCCTTTGGCCTTTCTTCCACTAGTGATACTCTTGTCGGAGCCTACAATGACCAGACCATCTCCAGTGGCGAGAGGAAAAGAGTCAGCATCGCCGAAATGGCGCTCTCTCGAGCCCCTATTCTAGCCTGGAATCAGAGTACCCGTGGGTTGGATGCAGTGGCGGCGCTGGAGCTTGTGAGAGCGTTGCGTATTTCGGCTAATCTCACAAAAAGCTGCCATATCGTGACCACGGACCAGGCATCCCAGGCCATCTACAACGTCTTCAACAAGGTGATGGTACTGTACGAAGGTCGCCAGGTGTACTACGGCCGTTGTGATCGGGCAAAGGACTATTTTATTCAGATGGGATGGCACGCCCCGCCCCGGCAGACCACCGCCGATTTCCTGACGGCTGTCACCAATCCTTGCATCCGTGAGCCCCGGAAAGGTATGGAGGCTGTGGTGCCTCGTACGGCACAGGAATTCGAGGAGTATTGGAAACGAAGTCCAGAATATGGCTACCTCCAGCAATCAATACGCCAGTATGAAGAATTCGAAACTCATGAACAGATGGAATCAAATGGTCAGGAGGGAACGCTGCAACGGAGAGAACCCTACATGATCAACCTGGCAATGCAGATTTGGCTCTGTGTACGGCGAGCATGTCAAAGGTATACTCTGACTCGTCTTGAGCACGCAGCTCCAACTCCATACTGAGCTGACCTCGTCCTTAAAGGATTTCGAATCACAAGGCTCCATTACTTACCATTGCCGTCGGTCGCATAGTGATGGCTCTCATCATCGGGTCAGTGTATTACGGGTATGTACTCTTCTTCAATTCCGGCAGTGGAAAATGCTATATGGCCTCCAACTAATAAAGGCTAGGACCCCGGATGCCACAGCTGGCTTCCAGGGCCGAGGTGCAATTCTTTTCTTTGCCGTTGCGTGCGTACGCTCCTTTGACTCGATACGCCTTCACATTTGGGGTCTCTTGGACTACCGACAATAGGCCTATTCTAACATCAGCCCTAGGATAAACGCTTTAATGAATACAACGGAGATTACAGCTTACTACAACGTACGGCCCACGACACAAAAGCAAGCTTCATATGCCTTTGTACATCCTTCCTCTGAGGCCATAGGGAGCTTTGCTTTGGCAGTACCTCTCCAGTTTACCATTGCTATAGCCTTTAACACGGTTTTATACTTTCTCTCTGGGCTGGTATTCGCGCACACTTTTCTTTTTCTCCTTCTCCTTCCCTTAATTATCGTCCCCGTTGAGTCACAGAATCTAATCTACTGTCACATAGCGCCGAGAGCCAAGCCAGTTCTTTATTTTTCTCCTTTTTACTTTCACCGGAACTCTCACTATGTCTATGATATTCCGGACTATCGCAGCGACGACGAGAACCGTTAACCAGGCGATGACAATCGCCGGTGTATTAATTACTGTTTATATTTTATACATGGGCTTTGTAATCCCAGTGCCGGTGATGAAGCCTTGGTTCTCTTGGATACGCTGGCTTAACCCAGTGTTTTATGTCTACGAAGCACTCGTTGCCAACGAGTTCCATGGGCGGCAATTTGCGTGTTCACAATTTATCCCGTCGTATCCAAACCTCACCGGCGATACATTCGTCTGCTCTATGAGTGGAGCGCAGGCCGGCCACACTACGGTATCGGGTGATGACTATATCCTAGCGCAATACAACAGCACGTACAAGCACATTTGGCGCAACTTGGGAATTCTAATCGGGTTCTTTGTGTCTTTCTTTGGAGCCTACCTTGTTGCCACGGAATTGAACCCCGTCCCGTTGACCACGCCTAATGTTCGCATTTTTCGACGTGGCCATACCCCTGTCTACAACGAAAGCGCCGAGGATGAGACAAACCACTGGCTGGCTGCACTCCAACAGCAGGGAAGGGGCCATCAGGAATGCCAGAACCAAAAGGATGAGCATATATGTAACAGGGCGAGGGATATTATAACTTGGCAAAACATATGTTACGACGCCTCTAGAAGGACCACTGGGCACCGGCTTCTAGATGGGATCTCCGGCTGGGCAAGAGAGGGCACTCTGACGGCTCTCATGGGCGTCTCTGGGGCAGGCAAAACGACACTATTGAAAATTCTTACACAACAGGTCTCGACTGGTATTGTCAGTGGCGATATCCGGATTGGTGGCCGGCCTGTATCGGAGAGTGTTCGTCGTGACGTTGGGTATGTCCAGTATCAGAATGTTCTTCTCCCCACATCCACAGTGCGAGAAGCTCTGCGCTTTAGTGCCTGTCTCCGCCAACCAAGGTCCGTGTCCAAGGAAGAGAAGTTCAACTACGCTGAAGAGATCATCCATCTGCTACAGCTGGATGATTTGGCGGAAGCTGTTGTTGGTATCCCTGGAGCAGGCCTCAGCGAACAGCAAAGGAAGCTGGTCAGTTTGGGAGTGGAACTGGCGGCGCGGCCCAAATTGCTGCTGGTTTTGGATGAGCCAACAAAAGAACTCGACTCACAAGCCTCGTTATCATTCTATATCCTGCTCCGCAGGCTCGCGGACAGCGGGATGGCTGTACTTTCGACCGTTAACCAGCCAACTGCAGCTGTTTTTGAACTATTTGACAACCTGCTGTTGCTGGCGGAAGGAGGCAGAACGGTGTACTTTGGCGAGACTGGCAACCAGTCATCTGCCGTTCTGGGTTATTTTGAACGAAATGGTGCCCCCAAATGCGACATGGCCGATAATGTAAGTCTCATGTGATTTGAATGTGCATTGTCTTTTTGATGGGTCGATGAATCATTAACGTTGTGGACTTCCAGCCGGCGGAGTATGTCATGGGGCTTACTAGCAAAGGCACTGCTACGAAAAATTGGGCGGCAATCTGGCGTCAAAGTACGGAAGCCGAAGACGTCGCAGATACAATCAACAAAATAAATAGTGGCACTGGCAATGTGCGCAGTCCAGGCCCCAGTGAAGCAGTAGTTTCCTTTTGCCAGCAACTTATCCATGTGACACGTCGTACATTCCAACAGTATTGGCGTGAACCTGCATACGTTTACGGGAAATTGCTCACGGTTGTGGCGACCGCCCTTTTTATTGGGTTCTCGTCGTTCAAACCTGCAAGAACGCTGCTTGGATATCAGTCTGTCTTGTACGGCACTCTAAATCTGATGGGTATTCTGGTGACCTTAGTCCAACAGTAAGTTTGGCTCTCCTTTGAACTATGTAACAAGGCAAGATTCCTGAACCTAGCGCCTTTTCCTAGAACAATGCCCAAGTTTATATTCCAGCGCTCTCTCTATGAGGCAAGGGAGCGCCCCTCTAAAGCCTACACCTGGCCTGCATTTCTTTTCGCCAGTATCTTTGCTGAGATTCTGTACCATGTAGTGATCGCTGTCCTCGTCTGGGCCAGCTTCTACTTCCCAATTTTTGGGCCGGGCCAGAGTTCCGAGCGACAGGGTCTAATGCTACTATATCTGGTCCAGTTATGCCTCTTTGCCTCAACGTTCGCTCAGTTCATTATCTCCGGTCTTCCCGACGCCGATGTCATGGGGACTACCTTTGTTTTCATCTTCATGGTGACCTTTAATGGTGTACTGCAACCACCTGACGCACTACCCGGTTTTTGGATTTTTATGTATCGTGTCTCCCCGTTGACATATCTGATGTCTGGTATTACAACGACGGGCCTCCACAGCCGTGAAGTACATTGCTCTTCCAGTGAGGTAAACGTCTTCAACCCTTACCCCGGGATGACGTGTGGCGAATATCTGGCATCGTACCTGGAAACCGCACCGGGGAAGTTGTACAACCCTTCGGCGCTGGATTCTTGTCAGTACTGCCCCCTGCAAAGTGCAGATCAAATCCTTGCGATCAGTCAATACTGTAAGTTCCGTATATCTTATGCCATAATTTAGGAGCTTTGATTAACCTCGCTGGGGTCAATTCATAGACTATGCAGACAGATGGCGTAACTGGGGTCTTGGATGGGTGTACATCTGTTGTAATATACTCGGCTCTGCGTTGTTCTATTATATTTTCCGAGTGCAAGGCTACCACATTCTTTCCGGCCTTCGCTCTGTCACTCAACGACGCGGGAAGCTGCCCGTGAATCTTCCCGAATAATCTTGATAACAAAATTGGACTACTGGATGACGCTGGGTATAAGTTTGATAAATCCCGTACGGATGGATAACTGGTATATTATACTGCGTGTACGCTGAGTGACCATATCTTTAGACTAGATATAGTTTTTTACCTAGATACTCTTTGGATGAATTCTCCAGGGCGTCTAATCTGTGTCCCTAGACATATGGTACACCCGGTCTCGGAAAAATTCAGAGGAAATAGATTCAATTAAGGCCTTTGCAATTAATTTCCAATTTTTGGTACTGAACACCACTAAATATGCCATTTTGGCGTTTATGTTACTATCTAGTTAGATGTCCCTTATTCGTAGTGACGGAGGTGGGATGACATCATGACTCTGCGTCCAGAAACCAGGTTGCTGCAAGACCTATTGTTCAGCTTGCTGAGTGATCAGAAACAAATGCGAAGAGGATTATCGAATAAATTCATGTCAGAAATTGTTTATAGTCATAAGTGTAGCTTATCGAGCACTGACTGGTTTCAGGTGTCCCTAATCCCAATCTAATTTGAATCTGTACCTCCACGTGTTTTAGTTAGGACGGTTTCTGTTTTGCAGAATTTCAGATTTCGACGGATCCCATGGCTCTGACATACGCACCCATGGATCAAAGGCAAATAACCACTGGTGACGTCAATTTAGGGCCAGTCAATACGAAACATCGTTGTGTAGTATACGGATCATCGAGTAAGCCGGTGGTGCCCATAGAGAAATTAGCTTTCACAAGTATCTCCCCACAAAATAACCATGCGCTGAGAGCCTCGTAACTAGATAAAAGCTGTTAACTATCCCTGGCGGCGTTCAATGCCAATGGTAGGCAACCGTTCCTGCGATTTCTTTGTATTTGAAAACATCCGTTCTATTGTAACTCTAGCTATCAATTACAGTCACTATGCCACCTAGGATCGCTGTCGTTTTCGTACGTGACCTCTAATAACTGACCTTTCTTCGCCTGTGCCCCTCCCCCCCTTTTTTTTCCAGTAGGGTCTCTTACACTTGCTGTACGCAGTATTCTATGTATGGCCATATTCTCAAGCTAGCCGAGGCCGAACTGAAAGGGATCAAAGCTGCTGGCGGTAAGGCCGACATATACCAGTACGTTCTCCGTGTTGAAGAGGTCCTCATATCTGATACTGCCGGGATGAAAATACCTGACGTGACATTTGATTCTTAGGATTGCAGAAACTCTTCCTGATGAAGTTCTTGAGAAGATGCACGCTGCTCCTAAGTCTAATCACCCGGTTGTGAAGCCTGAAAAATTGAAAGACTATGATGCAGTGCTATTCGGCATCCCTACTCGATACGGCAACTTCCCTGCTCAGTGGAAGGCTTTCTGGGACCGCACTGGAGGCATCTGGGCATCTGGTGGCTATTGGGGCAAGTACGCTGGCCTGTTCGTGTCCACCGGCACCCTTGGCGGGGGCCAGGAGTCCACTTGCATTGCAGCCATGAGCACACTCGCCCACCATGGCTTCGTTTATGTCCCCCTTGGATACAAGCCTGTGTTCTCCCTTCTGTCCAACCTGAATGAGGTCCATGGTGGCAGCGCTTGGGGTGCTGGCACGTTTGCCGTAAGTTTTGTGCTGGTTCCATTTTAAGACCATTTGCTAAGACTGCCTCTGTAGGGGGACGGCTCCCGACAGCCCACTACTCTTGAGCTGGAGATTGCCGAAAACCAGGGTAAGGCCTTCTACGAGCAAGTTTCCAAGGTAACTTTCACCTGATTTGGGTGGCGGCGATAAATTGAAATATGAATGGCCGCCCTGAGCCACATATTGCAAGTAGTTATGAACTTTAGAGTTGTTGTATTTAATTCCTATTTCCTGGCATTTGATCCTTCCGCTGGTAGATCAGTAAATGAGCAACGAAGGAAAGCTGCATCCAGATTTCAGGTTACACATCTTACTAAATCCGAAACAAAAGTTAAAGTTGGCCAAATGAGGAATGCGATAAAACGGCAAGCCAACTTGGGCGTATTGTAACGATACTCTTTAGAAGCAAAGAAAACGCATCGTAGCGAATCAGCTGTGGGCTTCAGTGGCGCCGTATAGCATATATAGTAGATTATAACACAGCTTACCTTCTGGAAGTCGGATGCGCCATTTCCCAGTGTCAGTTAAGCTCTCAAGGTCTATATACAGAGCTTAGGAGTTTCCAGTTACATCGAAACACGCCTACGTCTGCAGAACCATACAGCCATGGTCCTCGAGTCCCTTAAACGCTATTGGAGTTACCGAAGGCAGCAGTTATTCCACATGTATGAGGCATATTTAGGCGGTACAAAGTAAGGGCCTGCGTGTGTAACTTGGTGCGGCTATAATATCGTGCTCTAAGGTTAACAATGGGGCGAAGTGAGTGATAGAAAATATTAACAGGGACACTGAAATCTACCTATGGTCTTCCTTGTCTGCAAGACAGGGGAGTTATCCAACGCGTATGTACCACCGGGCGAACTTTGATTATAGCGGGACGTTCTGATCACTATCCCTATTGCGAGGTTGTGATCACTACCATTGCGTATATACTGTGTCCGCAAAGCCGCCAGTTAGCTAGTACTGGTTTGCTCCTCTCCTATACCCGTCTGTTAATATGATTCTTGGTCTGTGTAATGTACTCGATACAGTTCCAGGACTAATCAAATAACCAGTTTCATTTCCTGGTGTGGGTCACAAATTCACAGCTTGCCACAGAAAACTCGCAGTCGTGTAGTATTGGTCAGATTAGATGCAGGTGCTATGCATCTAGATAAATTAACGTATATTTAGGGACGGGATGTACCGAACCCCCGTATAGGCTCTCTGCTGAAGAATCTAGCTCCCTTAATGACCTCCCGGTGGTTCATGCACGGCAGGATACAGTCAACAAACGCAAGCGGAAGTGGGAGGACCAAAAAGCCGAGTGGGAACGCGCCAATTTGGCATGTTAAACCGCCTTTGGCCACCATAATAAAGGAGCACTTTCCGAGCGTCAGCGTCGGCTGCGGGAAAAGCTGGAACTTTTCCTGGATTGGATGGTGGAGGTGAAGGTGAGGTATAATAAACCTGTCTGTAAACTACGTAATAAGAAGCAGCGACAGCGGAACCGACGGATCCAGGAGAATCTGGAGCGGTATAAGAACGAGCAGCCCGTAATCGACCTTGAACGGCAGCTTGCAGGGAAGCTGGTGGACACGAACGTAATGGGGACCTTAGAGGACAAGGGATTGATGCCTCCGTAGCATCTGATGGTGATAGACACCATGCTTACAATGCCGGGTGCCACTCTTAAAGCCGAGTGTAGTGACTGCGTTCTGCAGCGTGGAAGAAGGGCGGCCCACGCGTCAAACGACTCAATCTCCCCGCCGGCCTGTACCCGACGATGACGATTCTTGTCCTTTGCTAAGCAGAAATGGCCCTCAGTGGAGGACGAGACCGAAATTGCGCTGCGCAAAGCGATGGATGCCGTGCGGATTGAGTCTCAAGAAGAGCAACCCAAGATCTGCTTTCTCTGTGTAGGGAATCCCAACCTCACGCTGGTGGAATGTATTGCGGAATACGCAACACCCAGTTCATTGACGCGGCATTTTCTGCGAAAACATGTCAACCCCCCCCGGCCGCCCAAAGGTGTTGAGTGTAATGTTTGTGGGAGGGAGTTGCTCCAACAGAAAGTTCATCTTTTGAATCACGCGGAGGCTGCCCACGGAACAGTTGTGCAAGGTCACGCTCAGGAGAGGCTAGCATTGCAATTTCAACACCGACCTCGGCTCATGTTATAATAATAGATGCTCGACCAACCAAGTTTTTGGTGATTGTTCGTGTCAATAGTTGACAGTAGCCTGTCATATACTGTGTTTGCTCCTTTGAATCTGCAATTTCCTCCTTTTACAGCGTACACGGTGCACTGACGTGGGCAAATTGTTTGCCAGAGTACAGGATGAGAAGCACATTCTTAGCCTGGCCATAGGTATACCTAGGCCAGTTGTTATGTGTCGGGTCGGTAACGAGCTGAATGGTGTGCTACGGTGCGAAAGGGGGTGTCTATATGGGAGGGAAGATAGGACCACGTATATTGCAGAACTAATCGCTAGCCTTCAAGAGTTCAGGCCCGCGGGTGCGAATATAAACACTTCGCACCTGACTAAGCATCTTAGCTAAGGATCTGGCTATCGCGCTTCTGAGCGCTCCTAACAGCTGCGTTACTGAAAAAGCTGACGGCCACAAACCATGCGACGTTCTTCCACGATGAGGTGTGGTGTCTGGGAACCCGATCCATCCCGTTATTAGGTCCGATCAACCGCGGTTCCTGTCCACAAGGCAACTCCTATCTGGGGGGGACATCCCGTAGCCGATTTTAATAACCATCGTAAGGCAGAAGTAAACATCATCGTTTCAGCTATCCGCAATCTAACTTGGAAGGATATTACGCATGGAGCAGCCCCATGGTCTAGTATCAACGGGATTTGATCGGCGTAGAATTGTAGCGACCGTCCTTTAGTGGCTAAATGGGCATTGAGGCAATAATGTCTCGACCACCATGCGTTCTTCGGATTATCGGCATCGGATATTAGATGGCGAGGGAGATAAGCCCGTCTCCTCCAGCAAGTCCTATAGCCTTGCCTTTAGAAACTCGCCATTCAATAACAAATACCCTGTTATCTCTGGACATCTTGCCCAGGAGTTCAACGCTAGCACACAAACTCTATGAAAGACAGCTTTTGGACTTGCGACACAGAGATAAACCCCTCTTTTTGCAGACTGGCTAAATATTAGTGTGCAGTCTTTGATTCCCGCGAGCCTACTCAACTTCGCAGTCGGGATGGAAAAACAACAAACGCGATCACTCTCAATAGGAAATGACGAACCTAGCCAGTCTGATGAGCCGAGGTCTTGTGCACCGAATATGACTGTCCCCAGTTCACTTCATGGTTTTCGGTTTTGGATGCTCATCGGTGGGCTAATGCTGGGAGTGTATCTGGTCGGGCTGGATATGACGATGTTGGCAACTGTGCGTTCACTGATCCTCTGCCTCTTTGCGAATATTGGTATTAACTCCCTTGTCCAGGTAACTCCAAGACTCACGGACTACTTTCATACCCTCTCGGACGTTTCCTGGTATGAGACAACATACGTTCTAGTTGTGTAAGTCAGATGTCCTCCTCGGATCTGTCCAAGCTAAATTAAGCTTTACATTTAGTTGCGTTTTTATCCCTTTGGCCGGAAAGGCCTACACACTCTTCCCCAATAAGTATGTTTATCTTGCGTCAATGGCGATCTTCGAAGTGGGAAGTATCATCTGCGCAGTGTCAAAATCGAGTGGTGTCTTCATAGTTGGAAGAGCTATAAACGGGTTGGGATCAACTGGGTTATTAAGTGGTGCCCTACTCATTATATTTACAACATCGCCTCCGAAGATCCGACCAGTTGTGACATCTTTTGCTATGTCATTGATATCAGTAGGATCTATTACAGGACCCTTAATTGCTGGCGCATTGATTGATAAAGTAAGCTGGAGATGGTGTAAGTTCCTCTTTCCTAAGCTCCTTACACAGTAGAAAATAAGCCTCAGGTCTCAACTCTATTAGGCTTTTGGATATTTCTTCCTATTGGCGGCGCGACCATAATTACAACCTTATTTATACACATTCCGGAACAAACCCAGAAGCCAATTCTCTCCAAAGCATTATACCATATTCTTCAGGCCATGGACTTGGTGGGGTTTGCTATTTTTTCGGCCACAATTGTGATGTTTATTTTAGCAATCAGTTGGGGAGGCTCGGAATATGAATGGTCATCACCTACTATTATTGGGCTACTTTGTGGATCTGCTGGCCTTGCTGTGGGGTTTGGATTTTGGATCGTGCATCGCGGGGATACTGCTCTTATCCCACCAAGCTCTCTCCGTCACCGGTCCGTTTCATTTGGCGGAGGAGTTATGCTGCTCCAGGGTGGATGCACCCAGATGATCCCATACTACCTGCCCTTCTGGTTCCAGGCTATTTATGGGGATTCGCCAGGTCTTAGTGCTGTACATATGCTTCCCTCGCTGATATCAAATATTGTTTCCCTAATAATATTTGGAGCAGCTGGTAGGTCTCCTACTAAAAGGTCACCCTGCACTTGATTTATGTGATTGACTGATAACTCTCTATCTAGTTCGGCGACTACATTATATCCCGCCGTGGAGCATAATTGGAAGCGTACTCACCGCGATTGGTGTGGGATTACTATCTACTATGAGCCCAACTACAACTATGGCAAAGTTAATAGGTTATCAGATCATAACCAACCTCGGCCGAGGAATGGCTTTTCAAGTGGTGCATTTGCCCTTCAAATTAGTAGCAGACAAATTTAGAGCAGATTTAACTTAAACATTTTATATACAGCCCGTTGTCGCCATCCAAGAAAGTATCTCCAATGAGGAGAGCGCGTCCGCCTTATCCACTGTTAACCTGTTGATGAATCTAGGGAGCTCTGTGGGCATATCCGCCGGTCAAACAATTTTTCGCAACTGCCTTCCCTCGTTTATTGGAGAGTATTCTCCTGGCATCAACGTTGATTTAATTGTCGACGCAGGAGCTACTAATATCCGTGGACTAGTATCTCAATCCCAGTTACCTGGTTTGCTTGCTGCCTATAGCAAAGCATTAACTCGGATGTTTGTGGGTGCCTTCCTTTCATCGGATGTATGATAATACCGCCCTGGGGGCACCTGCTAATACAGAGGCATTTATTCTAGTATTTCCCAGCTACTTGTGTGGTTGTTTCATTCCTCCTGAGCTTCGGCCTCGGGTGGTCGAAAGTTGGTGTAGATGAAGAGAACGAAGCAGTTCTCACCCAAGAGTCGCAAAATAATGAGCCCGAAATTAACTGAACATTTGGCAGAAAGGGAATAAAATTGAATAAGAGTTCACTACTTAAAACAATTTTATAAATTCTCTGGGTGGTTCACTTTTAGTATATCAGCTCTTTAGTCAGTGTTTAATGTATAACATAGTGGCTAATCCTCAGTGGGTTGGTGGTTACTAGTCCGTTACTTGCGCTACTATTTCCTTCGAGTTTGAGCCTTTTCAAAAACACAAAAAATCACTGTAGCGCAATAAAAAGTCTACTGCGAAGACGTTTATCTACATCGGTAATATGTAGTTGCCTCGGCCGTCTAAAAAGTCGTCTGCATGGAAGGCACTCAAAACGCTGCTCGCCTTCATTTCCACCTCCAGATATTCTGCCTTGCCCGTGCTCTGAATGGTGACAGCCCCCCGGCACCGATATACCAAGTATCCAAAATACCGGCAGCTCTATTTGTAGTATGGCATTGCTCAACCGTATTCAACCGATTCTCACGCACCGCTGTGCGGATCACAACTGAAAAGTCCCCAGCACCTCCTTTATCTAGGTATCCTAACACGCCGGAGTAGATACCACGAGGCCTTTGCTTAATACCTCTAAGAATCTAACACGAGCGCTTCTTCGGTGCACCTGTTATTAATCCGGGTGGTAAAGAGTTCTTCAGGATTTCGATTCCTGTTGAGCCGCCCAAACGCCACTTAAATTATGACAGATTAGGTCAACAATCATCAGGTTTCCTGCACGTTCTTTAGAGCTGTTAAGTAACTTTCGCGTTTTTTCTTTGGTCATGGTCGCCGACTTTTTCACAGTGCCTTTGATAGGTCTGAATTGACAGTGCCCACTGCGGTCCCAGTGGAATCGCTCGGGACTGCTGCCGACCACGATGGCATCAGACAGGTGAAGAAATGCACCGAACGGTGCGGGGTTTTTCTTCGCCGCCGCTTATAAAGGCTCCACGGGTCCACGGGAGTTGGAAAGGTGACGATCGTTTCGTCGGTCAAACAAAGCTCGTAGGAGTCTCCGGGTGAGAGAGAATCTTGACACTTAAGGACCTTGGTCCGGTACAGGCTTTCTTCTGGCGTCGTAAACTGTGCAAGCCAGAGGATTTTCTCCAAGTTTTCCTCCTTCTCATCAAGCTTAGATGGCCTCGAGCCCAGATTTAGCTCCGTGCCGTTGACCAGCCTCTCAATCTCGGATCCCACATTTAAGATCCACGCCCAATCATCGAGTAACAGTGATTGTACATAGATCTCGGATGTACAACGGTCAAATACGTGGGCCAAAGGGGCGGTAGATCCAGGAGTTCTTACCTTTGAAGACCGTCAGAAACTGCTCTGCCGGCATCCCTACGCTGAATCTAACGCATTCTACGAGAAACTTACTGGCATGGATTTTGGCACACTGGTCGAGATGGCAGCCCGCACCGATGATCTGACATATATCTGGTTTCCTGATGACATTTGCAACAAATACCTGCTCGCTTCGGATGTCATCCAGACGGAAACCGACCGAAAGGCGAGGAAGAATGGTAATATCGCAGTCGAGAGACATCAGCAACTCCAGGAGGAACGTAGGAACCAGATATCGGTGGACGGCCGCAAGAATACCCGATGGGTCAGCTGGTTTCCATGGATGCATGAATTGGAGAAGCGACTGGAGCTATTTTAGGGCCTTGTCTGCTTTCACACCTCATTTCACGACTATGCGGCCTGGAGACATTTCCAGGAACAGTTCACCGCCGCGGTCGATCTTAGTGTTAGCATGCTGCAGATTAAGGAACATCGCTTTGGATGCCCAATTATCTGCAATAGCGCTGGAAAATTCAGTAGGTGGAGGATCCGACGCTAGATAATGCTGTGCTAGATAACCTGTGTTAGTACTTCCAACAATTGCGGGACGAGAATAAGATTGAGCCGGGGCTGAGATATAATACCATCCTATATGCCAACCAGGCCGCTATTCAATCATCTTTGGACCATTTTCCGTTACCAGAGCGTGGTTTTGTTGTGGCCGCTGATCCTTCTCACAACCAAAGTAAACTGCCCTCCTATCTGCATGGAGTCGAGGGCGAAGTCCGTGTCGCTCTGACGGTCGTTTTACTTGTTCCTACGCTCGACTGCTTCCACGGGGGGTACGACAGAGCTGGGACGTGATTTATCTTAAGTCGACAAAAACTCCGGTCGACAAAAAGTTACCCTCCTATTTCCTCTCTCAACCGGACCTAGAACTTTCAATGACTTTGATGAAGGTTGGTCAATGATGATACTTTACTGGCTAGAGCTCGGCACAGATATCTGCCGATCAGATAATTCATATGAAGAGAAACGATGACTAATTGAAAAGGTTTCTTCTTTGTTTATTTCATCCTTTTTTTTTTTTGCGCTGAAGGCTACAAAGCAAGCTAATAGGGAGCTTTGAAATAGTTAAACAGGCCAGGAATACGTGACAATGAAGCCGTCTACTTAAGTCAAAAAAGAAAAACAGATATTACTACTAAATTAAGGAAGTTATTGAATAGGCTTCTACAGCTGTAAACAGTTGAGACAAACATGGCTTCCACCGGGTTTCGACAACGATAAAATTAGCTATGTAGCTTCTTCAACCTGTATATCGTTCTCCGCGAAAGCTCCCACTATTTCATGTGTTTGTTGTGGCTGTATAGCTTCCTTTTTGCACTTGTAATTGGACATGAAAATTGGCGTCAGATGATCAGGTAAGTATTCTGACCAAGAGGTCTGCCGAATCATTAATTGTCCACATGTTTGCCGATAATATCTACGACAACATTATATACCCTCAGTGTCAAACAGCTCCATATTCGAGATATTCAAGCCTTCATTCTCCCGAGCCCGAACACGTTTGCGGAACTGGTCCACAGCCTGTTGATAGAGCAGGCCGTGCTGCGAGAGTGGGATACCAGCCAATACCGGGGCGTCAGCGAGGCCCATAAATCCACGAAACAGCCAGTCACCATCGGTTAAGGAAGGAAGTTCGTGGCGTAGGGCAGCAGCAGGACCATCGTGAGCTAATTGAGCGCGACAGGTGATACCCGCTTTCTGTACAATCCCAGCAGTACGCAGTTTGCGGGAGTTTGCGTACTGTTTTAGAGCAGCTGTGAGAGTCTCGTGGGGCATGTAGCCTTGTGATGGGCCGCAGAGGACACTGTGAAGTTCGTTGAGCAATACGGTGGCGGATTCAATGGCTTGGTTAGCACCCATGGCTGCGTTCGGCACCATCTAAGGACACCAGTTAATTGTTACCAGCTCACGGAGGCAAGAATGTTGAACTACCTTATGTGCAGCATCGCCAACGACGACCATGTGCTCACTGTGCCAGTTGGGCGCAACTCCTTCTTCCAGTGCTACCTTCACGGCCACTGATCGTTTCTCGTATACATCGCCAAACCGTACGGTAGGTGTAATGCGCAGATGAGAGACAGACCGGCACAATTTTTCTACGTCCGCAGTGGTATATTGTGGAGTGGTGGACAGGGTATATGTTTGACCCAGATCCTCAAAAACGAACCAGAACACGGTGCCACCCTTGCCGGTGAAGATCAGAATAGTCGCTGCTGGTCGGTACACGGAGAAGCAATCGCCCGCGATGATACCTTCTACCGGAGGGGAAATTCCGTAAACACACGCAAACCGCGTCGACATATCTGAGATGAATGAGACCAACTGATCGTGGGATGTTGTGATGGAAATGCACTTACAATCATCCGACGAACCTGGACTACCCTGCGGCGCCTGGTCTATGGCCGGACGAACACAGCTACGCACCCCATCTGCGCCAATAACAAGATCCGCTGTGATGCGAATGCCATCACTGGTGGTGAGGATGGCCTGCTCACTTGTCTCTCGCACCGAAGTCACTCGTGTCCCAGTCCGGATCGAATCGACGCTCTTCAAGCCGTCTGCCATGATGCGGAGGAGTTTGCGTCGCTCCAAGAACAATCCGCCATATCCAATTCTATCCAGTTAGATAGAGTCAAAGACTCCACTAGGGTCACAAATATAGAGCGAGGCACCTACGTCGAGGGATAATAACCCAGGGCATTCACCTCCGATAGCAGCGCGCCGTCTCCGTCCAAATGTTGCCAGCGCTGCAACGCGGTGGTGTGTTTCTCGATCTCTTCCATCAGCCCCAACTGGTCGAGGATGCGTAGACCATTGGGTAATAAGCCAATACTGGCGCCCTCGTCGGGGGCTAAGGATTCATGCCTCTCAAAAAGGATATAGCGAATGCCGAGCCTTTCCAGTGCCAACGCTGTCGTCAAACCGGCAATGCCGCCACCGATGATGGCGACCTGGTAGTGCTGTAAAACGACGGAAGGAGACATATTCGGTTTACAACGCTTCGCATCAACCAAAGGCGAGAGCAGCGCTGCCCATGAACATGGTTATGAAGTCTCCAGGAAATGAGGGCCGAGTGTGGAACTCGGGGTGAGTCGGATTCCGAGCCCTAACGCAACACCGAAACCACCGACATAGAAAAGAAACCGCGAAAACTACCACACAACGGAGCCAAATATATGCAACTCGGCATTTCGTGTCCACCCAGCAGTCTTCCAAGATTTCAAGTTGCTTCATACCATGGGCTCCTACACTCCCATCACACCAGTTGTCATTGTCGGTGCTGGCTTAGCTGGGCTGACTACCGCAGTCGCCCTCGGCGCATATGGCGTCTCCACGGTTTTGATTGAACGCCGACCAAAGACCTTACAACACCCACGAGCCGATGGATTTACACCACGCACAATTGAAATCTTCCGTGCCCTGGGGCTCGGCAGCGACGTAATTACGGAGGCCCCGCCAGAGTTCAAGATTCAGCGAACGCGCGTGGAGAGCCTGACCGGCCCGTGGTTTGAAGAGCTCGCGTGGAATCCTCAAGAGGGGACGGTGAATGACAATGCGAAATCATCAGAACCCGAATATTCGCCCTATAGAGGTGCATCGACGGCACAGGACCAGCTGGAGCCGATTCTCCTGCAGCGCGCGACCGAGATGGGCATCGATGTGCGCATGCACCATGAGTGTGTGGATTTGTGTCAAGATGCAGATAGCGTGACCGTAACCGTCAGCGATAAAACCAAAAATGGTTCCCTGTATTCCATCCGAGGGCAATACCTGGTTGCAGCTGACGGTCATCGAAGCGTCATTCGTGAAAAGATGGGGATTGCCCGGCAGGGTCATGGCCCAGTGAACTCCATTCAGAGTGTGTTGTTCCGGGCCCCTGAGCTGACTCCTTACTTGAAACGAGGCGCGAAGCAATTTACAATCGACCAGCCGGATTTGAAGGCCTTTATGATCGCCTACGAGGATGAACGCCTGGTCCTACATTTACCCAACAACCGAGAGTATACACCGGAGCTCCTCAAGACATTGACACAGCAGGCCATTGGACCGCTAGATGCCACGTTGGAGGTCCTCGGAACCAGCAGATGGGACATGAGCGCTTGGATTGCCGACTCCTTTGGGCGCGGACGAGTCTTTCTCGTGGGCGATGCTGCGCATACACTTCCCCCGAATCGTGGTGGATACGGAGCCAATACTGGCATTGGGGATGGACACAACCTGGCGTGGAAGTTAGCGCATGTTATCCAAGGCATCTCTGACGAACGGCTGCTGGCGACTTACGACGCGGAGCGTCGGCCCGTGGCATGGTTGCGTCATGATCAGATCTTTGCACGCAGCGACTACAAAACGCTTCAACAAAAGCCGGCCAGCAGCCAAGAAACTGACAGCGAGACAAAAGTGCTGCCGGATAGTGCCATTGAGTTCGGTCAGATCTACCGGTCCGAAGGCATCCTGGGGCCTGACGGACCACTGCTGACCGCACAGAATCCCGATCAGTGGGCAGGTCAGCCGGGCACTCGAGCGCCACATGTTTGGCTGAAGCAAGATGGGAAATCAATTTCGACGATAGACCTGTTTCGAGGAGACTGGGTGGTTCTATCCGAAGATCCGGTGTGGGGACAAGCCGTAGACAAGGTCAACAAGGCCCTAGGCATCGAGACCCGGTTTTTTCACGCTCGACAATCCAAAGTAGTTGAGGTGAGCTTTGGTAGCGCGTACGGTATCTCTACAAGCGGCTGCTCGCTTGTGCGTCCGGATGGGTATGTTGCATGGAGGATAATTACTGCTGCGGCGGAAGATGGGGCGACGTCGCTGGAGCAAGCATTGAAGGTAGCAGCGTTCTGCAAGTGTATTTCCGGTGTATCGAGTTTGTGAATAGAATTTTCCCATATGTAAATATGATTTGTGCCTTGTCCAGTCCGTATTTTGTTGTCCTCTGCTCGGACGTTGACTCGGAACTTGTCGCAGTCCGAATATTCCGACGACAGGCCCATCGGACAGCAACAGGTAAACACGGCGTGAGAGCGTCATATTAGAATCCATTCGCCCCGGTTAGAATGTAATCGCCCATCACTACACCATCAACGACGCTTGTATTCTCATCATGACTGTCGCTTTGCCCACACCCATGGAAGAAGTGGCTCAGTCCCTTACAAAGGATGTCAAATTTCTAAGCGAATATCTCGTGTCCACCGGTCATCCAGTTCCGTCATTTGATCGCCATACACCCACAGTCGTGCTACCTGACGACGCATCTCGTGATGCTCATGTGGCGCGCGAGCGCATTCTCGACAATGCTCTGAAGCTCTTACAGCTCGCTACAGGTCCGAGCGAGTACTTAGCCACTCTACAGACAGGCGTATGCTCTAACATATCTGCCACTACACCCATTCAGAGCGCTAACTACTTCTTTCAGTACCATTATCTTTCCTGCTTACGCTGGCTGTGCCATTTCCGCGTCTTCCATCTAGTTCCCCTACAGGGTTCAGTTTCGTATGTTGATCTGGCAGTCCTCGCCAACGTCCCGGAGGACAGCCTGAAGGCGATCGCACGCATGGCCATAACAAGTGGGCTTTTTGTGGAAAATCCGCCTCAACATCTCGCTCACTCCGCGACATCTGCCCTATTGTGCACCAATGAGAACTTCCACGACTGGGCCGTCTTCATGAGTGATATCTCAGCGCCAACTGCAGCGGCTATGGTTGATGCGCATGAGAAATGGCCGAACAGCCATCTGCCTACCCAGACGGCTTACAACCTTGCATTTCATACGGACCTACCCTTCTTCAAGCACCTAGGGCAACACCCAGAGCGACATCGCCAGTTCGCGGGATACATGCGCAGTGTGACCACGAGCCAAGGAACGGGTCTGAACCACCTCGTTGTTGGTTGGGACTGGGCAGCTCTTGGACGCGCCCGAGTAGTCGATGTAAGTTTGATTCTTGGATTTATGAAATCTTCGTGTTGAACAAATATCAGGTTGGCGGATCAACGGGTCATGCATCCATTTCCCTGGCACGAGAATTTCCGGAACTGAGCTTCGTCGTCGAAGATCTGCCGGAGGTCGTCGCGGGAGGTCCTGAATATCTTGCCTCGCTACCCGATGCTGATGACCTGGAATGTCGAATTGAGTACCGCGCACACAGCTTCTTTGATCCCCAACCGGTGACCGACGGAGATGTTTATCTGTTGCGGATGATATTGCATGATTGGCCAGCGGAGGACTCTGTGCGCATTCTGTCACGTCTGGTCCAGGCCCTCAAGCCTGGTGCACGCATCATTGTCATGGACACAGTGCTACCAAGTCCGGGAGCAATCCCAGCATCCAAGGAGCGGCTACTTCGCGTGAGGGACCTGACCATGATGCAGGTCTTCAACAGCCGGGAGAGACACATGGAGGACTGGATAGATATTTTTCGCAAGGTGGATGGGCGACTGACGATGAAGAAGGTTGAGCAGCCTTTTGGGAGTGTGATGTCATTGATTGAATTGCATCTGGATGAGTAAAATTTGAAGGTAGTCTGTTTATAAATATATACGATGTCGGTGATGTCAGCTCTGACGATTATTGCGGGGTGTTGGCTTTCGAAAAATTTTGGCTTCTGTTTGTTCTGTCCCTTATATGGTTATTTTAAGGAGGGGGATTTACGGCTCTATGGCTGTACGATCTGTTAGATTGCTAGTCCAACAGTTTCTTACATTTATTTGAATATCTGCTCCTGTCCTTGAATCATCAGTTCTCATGAGATGTATGAAGTACGGTCATCAATATTGCATATTATTCGCCATTATCTCTATTGACCCTATTCACAACTTTTCCATCCAACACGAGATCCTGAGTCACTCCAATGGTCATCCTAAGGATCATATCAGCAGTTGTCAAGCAACGCCTCCTGGCCCACATTACCTGCTCCGTTTGGTATCAGCAAAATTCTCATGGTCTGGGGCCACTTTCGCCCGGAAGAAGGGATCTGCTTTCATGCGAACGAAATCCTCAACGTCGTCGAAGAAGATCTGAATAAACGCATCATAGTCGGCGATGTTGGCGAATTGTGGGTCAAACAACTGACTCATCTGTCTGCGGGTTGACTCCAGGTTGTGCGTCTACACATCCGGGTCAGGAAACCTACTATGCAAAAATTTATTTGGGCGGGGCCTATACCATCGTCCACCGTTTGAGACCATATTGGACCATGAGTCCTTCCACCAATGGCCCATGGATGTTCATCATATAATCCCGATATTCCTCCTCGGTGATTCCGGGCTTCTTGTACCCGCAGATGGTAAGGCACAGTGACATCATGCAAATCGTGAGCTTTATTATTCTTGTGATGATCATTTAGTATACTGAGTCGACAATTTGTGTGATGCCAATTTATGGAAGTATCGGGATATGCGGACACTCCGGATTACCTCGGACATTTCGGTGCAGGGGGATCTAATCGGTTCCCGATTAATACGAATGTCTCCTCTCGACCTAGTGTGCCCGTCATAGCCTGAGTTGACAGTTACTACAATGTATTCATATACAGCGAGCAGGATATCCCTTGTCATGCCCGCCAAGAGCCTCTCGTCCATCAAATATCCAGACCATGACTGACATTTACCTCTTTGGCGACCAGACGGTTCGCGTGGAAGAGAGCCTACACGCCCTCCTGCACACCCGCGATAATCCCACATTGACTTCGTTTCTCAATGAAGCCTTTCTTGCTATTCAGCATGAGATCTCTCAGCTCCCGGCGGGTGAGCGAGGGTCACTACCGACTACTGAGACTCTTGGTCTGTTACTAGATATGATTAAAAAGGGACACCGTCATGCCGCATTCGAGAGCGCATTGATATGTTTATGTGAGATTGCAGAATATATTCGGTGAGTGCAGGATCCCACAAAATCATATGTTTTGTCTTTAATCATTCCCCAGTCACCTGCAAGACACGGACCTATCCCATCCCGCTTCTAACTCCGTTGTGGTTGGTTTATGTACTGGATCCCTCGCTGCTGCCGCCATTAGTTGCGCCCAGACTACCCTGGATCTGGTGCCTCTGGGTATTGAGGCAGTGTCTGTCGCGTTTCGTGTGGGCATGCATGTATCTCGCCAAGCCGCTGCTTCGGACGCAGGACACACGACGAGTGGAAAGCCCTGGACGTTAGCGGTGACAGGTGTTCAGGAAAATGAGGCTACCCAGATTCTTCAAGGATTCATTAATGATACGGTTAGTCAAAACGGTATGAGGTTTGTGTGTCTGGTACTCAGAGTGTTGAATAGGGCATATCTGGATATCTAGCGCCATACATTAGTGCTGTTGGGATAAACGGCGTCACTATCAGCGGTACTCCGAGTCTGATCGAAGCTTTGCAGGCCTCATCCTACCTTGAGAGCAAGAAGACCTTGATGATGCCAGTATATGGGCCATATCATGCCAAGCATTTGTATAACGAAGTGGACATCGACAATATCCTTCGTTCCAGGCCGGGCAACATGAGCATGCGCCATCGAGAGGCGCAAATAGCAGTCATCTCGAGTTCGTCCGGGGCACTTCTCAAGGAATCTACGTTTGGTGACCTACTGCGAGTGCTAGTCTCTGAGATCCTGACCACCCAAATCCGAATAGATGACCTGGTTGATGGCATCGTCCAGTATATCCCGGGTAGCGTTGCGCGGTTGATCCCAATTCACTCTCATACTGCCCCAAGTCTGGCATCAACATTACGCCAACGCGGCATCGACCTGCAAGTTTTCACATCTCCCCAGATACCTTCCACAAAGACTCCGCAGCATCTCCCCAGTCATGAATCTTCCAAGATTGCGATCATCGGTTTTAGTGGCCGGTTCCCGGAAGCCGATGGTCTCTCCGAGTTTTGGACGCTCCTGGAACAGGGGCTCGATGTTCACAAGCCTATTCCCACTGACCGATTTGATCGTGACGCCCATTATGATGCCACCCTTCGTACCAGGAATACAAGCCGAATTTTGCACGGTTGCTGGATTCGCAGGCCGGGATTGTTCGACCCGCGCTTCTTCCACTTCTCGCCCCGGGAGGCATCCCAGGCGGACCCAGCTCAACGCCTGGCTCTCCTGACAGCCTACGAAGCCATTGAGATGGCTGGCTTTGTTCCCGATCGCACAGCATCTAGCAGAAAGCATCGGGTAGGTGTGTACTATGGCACCACAAGCGACGACTGGAGAGAGGTCAATAGCGGCCAAGATATTGGCACCTATTTTATCCCGGGAGGAAATCGTGCCTTCATTCCGGGGCGGATCAACTACTTCTTCAAATTCAGTGGACCGAGCGTGTCGGTAGACACAGCATGTTCGTCCAGTTTAGCAGCCATTAATGTCGCTACCACTGCACTACTAAACTATGAATGTGATACTGCTCTTGCTGGTGGTACAAATATCATGACCAACCCGGATAATTTTGCAGGACTGGATCGAGGACACTTCCTCTCATCCACTGGAAACTGTAAGACATTTGATGATGGTGCTGATGGGTATTGCCGCGCTGATGGTGTCGGCACTGTTATTCTGAAGCGTCTATCAGATGCCATTGCGGACAATGATCCCATTTTTGGCATTATTCTTGGTGCCCGCACATCGCATTCGGCCGAATCGGTTTCTATTACACGTCCTCTCGCCGATGCGCAAGAATATTTGTTTAGACAGCTATTGAGCGAGTCTGGCCTCCATCCCCATGATATCAGCTACATCGAGATGCACGGCACCGGAACGCAGGCCGGTGATGCTGTTGAAATGAAATCGGTACTTGATACATTTGCTTGGGACACTAGCCGTCCTCAAAATAAGCGTTTACACTTAGGGTCCGTTAAGGCAAACGTGGGCCATGGTGAATCAGCATCGGGCGTAACAGCTCTGATTAAGGTGTTGCTAATGATGCAGAAAGACCGAATACCACCACACTGCGGCATTAAGACCAAGATTAATCACGGCTTCCCTACGGACCTGGCGCAACGGAATGTGTATATCGCACAAAAAGAGACTGAATGGGCCCGTCCCCCACAAGGGAAACGCTATACATTTGTTAACAACTTTTCTGCCGCGGGAGGCAATACGGCCTTGCTGTTAGAAGATGCGCCGTCGACGGACAACGTAGACAATGCCTCTCAACCAGATCCACGCCAACATCATGTTGTTGCTGTGTCTGCTCGTTCAGCCCAGTCTCTCACCAAAAACGCCCAATCTCTGGCGGATTTTATTGGTAGCCAAACGTCATCAGACTTCTTAGCTCGAATCTCCTACACGACGACTGCCAGGCGCATACATCATCCATTCCGTATTGCGGTGGTGGGGAAAGACTTACAGCAGTTGAAGCGCGTATTGTTAGATGTTACCAGGGCAGAGGACATTAGGCCTTGCCCTGCCAAACCTCCAGGAGTAGGCTTCCTATTTACGGGCCAGGGCACGCAGCAAACAGCGATGGCACGACAACTGTACGAGAATTTTGCCTCCTTCCGGGAGGATATTGTGCATCTGGACGGTGTCGGTTGCGGCCATGGATTCCCATCGATTTTGCCGTTGGTCACAGGGACAGTGAACATCGAAGAGCTCGCCCCAGCCACCATCCAACTCGGCACAGTGGTGATCCAGATTGCCATGGCACGCCTATGGCAAAATTGGGGCCTGAGGCCACACTATGTACTTGGCCATAGTTTGGGCGAGTTTGCTGCCCTACATCTCGCTGGAGTGCTTAGCATCCGTGATACAATCTACCTCGCAGGCTCGCGCGCGGAGCTACTAGCAAGGAGATGCATCGCTCACTCACACGGAATGCTGGCAGTCAAGGCATCTGTGGCGGATGTAAAGGAACTTTTGGCACAGGCACCCGTAGAGGTAGCCTGTATCAATGGACCGAAAGATACAGTCTTGAGTGGCCCCAATGGCGACATCGATAGAGCGGCTCAATGGTTGTCAGAACATGGCATGTCTTCCACCAGGCTCGTTCTACCATTCGCTTTCCATTCCTCGCAGGTTAATCCAGTTCTGGAAGAACTGGAGCAAATTGCCAACCGGGTAACATTCCACAAGCCAACACTTCCAGTTGTGTCCCCCCTGCTGGGCCAAGTGATCTTACATGCCGGGGTTATCGGACCGCAATATATCCGGCGACACTGCCGTGAAACTGTGAATCTTCTCGGTGCTGTAAAAGCGGCTCAGTCTGCCGGCTTCGTGGAATCTAATGGACTGGCCATAGAAGTCGGCGCTCATCCCGTCCTCACGATGATGATAAAGAACATTGTTAGTCCGAATTTCGGAGCCTTCCCCATGCTTCGTAGAAAGGAAGATGCATTCAAGACCCTCACAGAGTCATTGAGCATGCTACACTTGGCAGGCGTGTCGGTCAACTGGGATGAGTATCACCGCGACTTCAAGAGCTGCCACCAAGTTGTAACATTGCCCGGGTATAACTGGGACTATCAAAACTACTGGATTCAATACCAAAACAACTTCTGCCTGACAAAGGGATCTCCTGAACCATCGGAGACACCAGGAACTGTACTGTTGCCCACATCTACTCGACTCAGTCCATCAGTACAAAGGATTGTCAAGGAACAAGTAGACGAAGAGCAGGCATTGATTGTTATTGAATCCGACTTGCATGATCCAGAGCTCTTGCCAGTTGCGTTGGATCACAAGGTCAATGGGTTAGTTTTGTGTCCATCAGTAAGTCTTTTGCTCCTCACTCTAATTTCGCTCCTGACAAAATTCCTGGCAGTCACTGTATGCGGATATTGCTTTTACACTAGGTGACTATTTCGTTCATAAAAGGGCAGACCTGAATGGATACAAACCCGTGATATGCAATATGGCCGTTGCAAAGGCCTTGATTGTCAACGAAACCGGTCCACAGTTACTTCGAGCGTCCCTGGACATGGATTGGAGCAGTCGTCGAGGCAGTCTGGAGCTGTACAGCGTCGACAGTACCGGAAAACGTACATCTGATCACGCCCAGTGTCTTATTGAGCTTCAGCACACCGATAGCTGGCAGGATAGCTGGCGGCGCCAGTTGTATCTGATCCAGCGTAGCATCGAGCAGCTGCAACGGGGAGTTCAGACGGGAACCACACACAAAGTGCGCCGAGGAATCGCCTACCGGCTTTTCTCGTCCGTAGTGCAGTATGGACCGTCCTATCATGGCATGGAAGAGGTTACATTTGATAGCTCAGCGCTTGAGGCGACCGCACGGGTGCGTCTACAGTCCAGCAAAGGACAGTATATATTGAACCCCTTCTGGTGCGACAGCTTCGGGCATCTCACTGGTTTTGTCATGAACTCCAACGATTTGCTCGATCTGACTGAGCATGTCTATGTCAATCACGGCTGGAGTTTCATGCGCTGTGCCGAGCCTTTCTCCCAAGATATTGTCTATCAAACACATGTCAAGATGCAGCCTGTCGGCGAGAACGGCGCTCTGTACGCGGGAGACGTCTATATTCTGCGTGACAATCACATTGTCGCCCACTATGGAGACGTAACTTTCCAGAAGGTCCTCCGTCGAGTATTTGAAATGCTGTTGCCGGCGCCCAAGCCCAAGCCCACTTTATCCGGCCGAACATCACCTGCAGCAGCTGTACAACGGGGTACCCCCGCATCTCAGAGCAGGGCACGAGCGATGTCACCATCAGGTCTCACTATCTGGCAGCAAACACTCAAGGTTATTGCTGTCGAGATTGATGTCCATCCTAACCAGCTTACCGATGATGTGCAGTTTGCTGACATGGGTGTTGATTCGCTCATGTCATTGAACATTACCGGTACATTGCGCGAGTCTCTCCATCTTGACGTGCCGTCATCCCTCTTTGAGGACTGTCCTTCTGTGCAGTCACTACGTGAATACCTCAGCATGTCATCGGCACCTGTGTCCAATAGCGATACCACTAGCTACTCTTCGTCATCCAGTGAAAGCCACACCAGCGTGGCCACGCCAGCGACAGCACTGGAGGATGAGGGTGCGCCTCATCAATCAGCGGTTAACGGGTTCAGGACCACTATAGCTATGATCTCGTCAATCCTAGCCGAAGAGATTGGAGTCAGTTCCAAAGAGCTGTCCAAGGTGGACGATTTGGCAGAGCTGGGTCTGGATTCGCTCTTGTCGTTAACAACCTTGGGGAGAGTTCGAGAGGAAATGAATCTGGATCTGCCTCACGATTTTTTCCTCCAGCACACCAGCATCCAGTCAATCACGAATGCACTACGCACTGTTCTGGGAGCGACAGACGAAGCTCCCACCATGCCCCCAAAGTCAAGCCATCCTCCAGCAACATCTATCCTCCTTCAAGGTAGTTCTTCTTGTTCCCAGACACTCTTTTTATTCCCCGATGGCTCCGGCTCGTCCACATCCTACGCGATGCTTCCTCCCATTTCGCAAGATTTACGTGTCTATGGCATGAATTGTCCCTATATGAAACGTCCAGAGGACCTGAAATGTGCTCTTCAAAACCTCACTCCCTCATATGTTGCTGAGGTCCGGCGTCGTCAACCATGCGGTCCTTATAATTTGGCGGGATGGTCCGCAGGTGGAATCGCTGCGTATGACGCCGCACAGTATCTCGCCCAGCAGGGAGAGAAGGTTGAGCGACTCATTTTGCTCGACTCGCCCAACCCCATCGGTTTAGGGAAACTTCCACCTCATTTTTATTACTTCCTCGAAAAGGCTGGTGTCTTCGGCTGTCACGGTGGACAAAAGCCTCCCAGCTGGCTCATTCAGCATTTCTTGTCTTTCATTGATGCGCTGGACAAGTACAATCCGGTCCCATTTAATCCAACTCATGCCGTGCCCCGAACGACATTGATTTGGGCCAAAGATGGAGTGTGCAAATCGCCGACTGATCCTCGGCCGGAACCGCAACCGGATGACCCGAAGGAGATGTCCTGGTTGCTGGAGAACAGAGAGGACCTGGGGCCAAACGGATGGGACCAACTGCTAGGGAGGAATAATATTAAGATTGAAAGCGTGTCGAATGCTAACCATTTCACGATGGTCAGGGAACCCGCAGCTGCAGATTTGGTGGCAATCATCCGGCGAGCCATGTCACTATGAATTCTGTTTGGTGTGTGTTCCACATATTCCTAGGTGTTAATAGAATATAGCAAAGTCTCTATGGCCTTTCTCCCAAAAAGCATATTCCGGATCTTAAGCTCCAAATATCTCTAATGTAGAACAATTGTAAAGGCGACAGATGAATCAGAGTCAACAAATATAATCAGGACAATAATAATCAGAATAATCAGTGTAATCATAAAATAAATCCCCAATTTAAGACTATATAATTTGAACTTACTTTCCTCCTCGGGACTGAATGAATATCTGACACAGACCTGGTCCAGTTATGCGATACGGCTGTTATCGTATATGACACCACCTTGATAAAGCTGTCCTGATATGGATTCTGTTTAACTTCGATCCTAGCATTCACACTCAAATCCATGAAGTTAGCAAGCTATGTTAACCCTTTGGCCCATATATCTGATTCTGTTGGGGCCCGAAGGATGAGGACTACCGAAACGTGATATATATCTACTTACTGGAAACTACTGCACACAATCAGTATATAAATGGATCAGAAGGGTCGTATACATGGGTTAAGTTGGAAGAAAATTATATTAAAAATACTTGGATGGGTACTAAAGAACGGTAGGTGGACATACAGGGTAATGAGCGTTTCTAGCCTTCTCCCTGATGTTCTTGATTACATAGAGCTTTACGAGTAAACAACAAGCACATGCTAGAATAAGCAGAGGTATTCGATTTGTCAATACCCCTGCTCAGTTGGTCTATTTAAACCGGCTCAATCTGCAGTCTCTAGTTAATTCTGTAGTAATTCACTTGTATCGGTTCACTGCATTTCGTTCTCTAGAACCTTCAGGAAGGCTCTGCGACTTAACTTTTCACAGTCAACCTACACATGCCCAAAATGGATACCCATGCCCTTATCAACCCTGTCCTCGAGAGATCCGTCAAGGCATACCCGCAGAAATGAGAATGTTGACTTGTGCATATATATATCTCGGTCGTTATTTTCTACACTTACGAGTATATGTAACTAGAGATCATGGAACCGCATCTAAACTGTATGTTTACTCCATTTCCCTTGGGCACGAATCCGCTTCCCCCACGCAAAAAATAGAAACGGCACTGGGATCAAAACACCCGCAATGCACCCGAAGATCGTCGTCCCCCAGTCCACTCCGATATTATGGTACATGGGAATCACAAAGAGAGGGAACGCACCCGCCGTGATCGATCGTAGAAACGTGTTTGCTGCTACAGCGCTGGCGCTGAACCGCGTGAAGGTGTCAACGAGGTAGTTCAGGGCCGCCTGAAAGATGGTTGTAAATCCGAAGCCGGTTAAGGCGATGCCAATTACGGATGGCCAGTAGTTGATTCCTGGGGAGGATGTCCCTGCGCAGGATGAGTTAGGAGTTTTTGTCGGTGGGAGGGAAGTGAGAGAAGATAAACTCACATCCGAAGACGAACAGACCGGCCGCGAAGGCGATGCCACCGAGCATCATTGGTGGGAGTCGGGCTTCGGGGACAGCCCGGTTGTTGTTGGCTCGGAATTGGTCGAAATAGTATCTGTTATTAAATATGTTGACCCCTGCTGCAAAGATGATACCCACGAGTAAGGCGATGAAGGGTAGGCTCGAGACGATCGGATCCCAACCACGAATTTCACGGAATTCAATTGAGAAGCTCTCCAGATTGGCATAGAGGATACCTGGTGAATGAAAGCGAAGATTATTAATAGCTCTAGATAAGGTACCGTTCTTGCGGAATGCTACTCACCATACACAAAAGATGCGTAGATACTTATGAGCAGACAGATAGGGGTTCCAAGCATCTGGAATGGACGGACGAGATATTTCTGCGACAGCTCCGCGAGCGACACATCCCACTCCTCATGCTGCCATAGTTAGAGCCTCCGTCATCGGTTGGCAAGGAGCGTAGCAGTCTCACCTTAGAGTGTAGTGCCCAGTTTTTGCCTTCCAATCGCAACCGACGGGCTTTGTGCGACAGAAGGACAGGCGCATAACTTTCATCTAGGAGGAGGATATCCAACACGACTTGCATCATCATGACAATACCCGTTAGGTACTCAGTCCAGCGCCAGCGCAGATAGCTCGATGTCAGGGCGCTTCCAATAATCGGGGCGAGTGTTGGTCCACCGACGAGGGTTATGGCGTAGCCAACAACGGCAATGCCACGTTGTTGAGGAGGCCAAACGTCGGCCAGGACGCCCCCAGTATTAGTGATCGGAGCACTCCCTAACAGACCAGCGAAGAACCGTGTGATCAAGACGGTCTGGATATCTTTCGCTGCTGCAGTGCCGAAGGAGAAGATGGCGGCAATGAAATATGGCTAACTCTGCAGTCAGCATCATCCGTGTTAACTTCGTCTAAAGGATTCCCAACTCACCACTATGACTACCCATTTCCGTCCGTATACCTCGCTCAAGGGCGCCCATACCAAAGGCCCTAATCCAAACCCAAACACCATCAAACTAACACCAGATGCTGCCACCTCCAAGGTGACATTGAAGTCAGTGGCGATTTGCCAAAGTCCTGCTGAATAGACCGCCGAAGCAAACGTGATCCAGCAGGTCGTTAGTCCGTACAAAAAAGTTGTGACGACCTTCTTCCGAAATGGCCAATTCAGTGGATGGTACGGATCGTCTGGGCCATCGAAATCAACCAACACGGTGGGTGGCGTTGCGTTGTAGAGGAGCTGATGGGCCAGCTGCTTGCCCTCCAGCATTGACTGGTTTTCATGTCCACTTTGATTCTTCAGCGGCAATGCGTCGTCGTCACTTGTTCTGCTACATGCCGGTGGCTGATCAAGCTGTGAAGTTGACATGTCGGGATATTCAGTCTCGGTCCAGCCTGGAAGAGGAATAATTAATCAGGGTTGGAGATCGGATTTGAGTATGTTCCGACTGGAAATTAATTAATGTAAAGACGAGGAAGAATCTAGAGAGTGAAGGGGATATGAAGACTTTCTCTCATACAGATTTATCCGGGGCGTCTCGGCCCTTGGTAAAGCCGACACAGTGAATCGCGGATTTCGGAGAATCAGAGACGGGAGACGCAAAATCCTAGCGGGAAAAAAACCAATGAAAATAACAGTAAAAATAAATTTTACAAATAAAAAATAAAATGGAAGAGGGGGAGTTTCTCGGAGTTGGCGTATAAGCTTATGCGCATTCCGACTTCCGGTGTCGCAACGCCGATGGACCGATGAAACACTGGGAATACTTTAAGTTCGTTAAAGTCAATGTCAAGTGTATACGTATCCAAAAAATAGCATTCCTCGGATACGTTGTTGCATGCCTTTCTCATTTAGCAGTATCCATGGATCGAATCTTTCTTGGTCGGGAGGTTCCCTCGATCCTCTGCCGCCCTGCTCTGGTGCTTGGTCTTGTACTTGTGGTAAAACAGGAACCCTTTCCGGACAACGGCGAAGAAATCTGACTTCATGCTCACAGATTCTATGTTTACTGTTGGCGCGCGGAATCTACAATGTTTACTTTCATCCGTTGCGCGCTTACCCCGGCCCGAGACTGTGGGCAGCCACGCACCTTGTTTGGACATACTACCGAGTCACAGGCCAATTGGTATGGAAAAGCATTGAGCTACATGAGAAATATGGAAGTGTCGTACGAGTAGCCCCGAACCATCTTTCCTATACCACAGAGACAGCGTGGAAAACCATATACGGCCGGCGAGCAGTGGAAATGGAGAAGAATTGCCAGGCTGGTTTCAGTAGACCTCCTATCAAGGTACAGTGGTTACGATGGCAAAAGTTGAAGTGGATGGTACTGCTAAGACCACCTGCAGGACGCACATGCGATTCTAAGCGCTGACAAGTCCAACCACGCAAGGCTGCGACGAATCCTAGCGCCCGCGTTGTCAGAAAAAGCCATCAGGGAGAATGATGGCATCGTACTCAAGTACGTGAATCTTCTGGTAGATCGTCTGCGGGCTCGGTGTGGCCAGAGTTTCCTAGATCTCAACAAGTACTTTGAATGTGTACGGCCAACCGTCCATTTGCTCAATCGTGATGTGGACTGACACATATCTTGTGGCAGACTACACTAGACCTGATTGCAGATCTGATCTGCGGCCAGCCGGACGGATGCCTGCGGAAGGAAGACGGCGGAGTGTGGCTGGATATCCTCAGGAATGTCATTCAATCTCAAGTTTGGTACGGATAGTTTTCTCACAGCGCAAAGTACAGAGACTGACGGTGATCAGGATGCAAGCGCTGGAAACGTACGGGTTGGCGCGGTGGAGTTCGTACTTGCTACCCAAGGCTCGCGCGAATGCCACTATTGAGAATGGCAAAATCATCGGTGCGAAAATACAAACACGAATGACAAATCAGCCTCACCATCGAGATATGATGAGTTACATACTGAGTGAGAAAAATGCCATGTCACCGTTGGAGATGCGCCTCAATGCCGCCACAATCATCGGTGCCGGAACAGGCACGACGGCCACTTGGTTGTCCACTACGTTCCATTCCTTGACTATGAATCGCGACGCGTACCAGTGCCTTGCGAAGGAAGTGCGCTCTGCGTTCGCTTCTGATGTCGACATCACGTCCGATCGGGTCGCTCAACTTCCGTATCTGAACGCAGTCCTCCAGGAGTCACTGCGCATTCACAGCCCATCACCCTCAGCCACCGGTCGATTCGTGCCATCCGGAGGTGAGGTGATTGATGGACGATTCGTACCCGAAGGTACCACTGTCGGCGTGCATCAGCATGCGGCCTATCATTGCCGGTCAAATTTCCACCGTTCAAATGAATTTTGTCCGGAGCGGTGGCTGCCACAGGCACGAGAGAGCAAATCGCCGTTCGCCAAAGACCAACTAGGGGTCGTCAACCCTTTCAGCTATGGACCCCGAACGTGCTTGGGTATCCGGTAAGTTGCAACCACAAAAAGAATAAGATAGACTCCCCCAGGCTCACAGAAAACCGTGCAGTTTGACGACAGCCGAGACGCGATTAATTCTGGCGAAGCTCTTCTGGCATTTCGATTTTGAGATTTCGCCTCTTTCCCTGGACTGGAAGGACTCACAAAAGGGCACAGTATCATGGCATCGAACTCCACTGCTGTGTCGCATCAAGCAGCGGTAGACTGTCTTCGCTTTCAGTTTCTGTAGTGTCACAGGTGAACATTGGGCGCCGGCTCATGTGGCGATCAATAAACATGGAGCGTGTATTTACCATATTCGACATGTAGAGCCTCGAGTAAATAATGAGCCATGCATTGCTATTTTTACAATTAATCAAATCCATTTATTAAAGTATTCCTCTCGTTAGGACTATCGATCCAGTTCGCCAAGGCATAGTCGATATCCGGCGGATCAATGTATCCATCCGGTGGGAAGAACATGTGGCAAAACGGATCCAACGGCTCCATCGTGAGGACACTGTCCCCATGAGAAACGAAGGGAGTGCCTCGGCTGGCGGTTCCAGGGGTTCCAGCCGCACTTGAGCTCGGAATGTGTCCCGCGCTATAGTCGGGAGTTGGGAGGCCCAAATGTGGAGGAGGCATCCTTGCCACGCACCAGTGTCGTTTGGTTGCCCGACCGTCGATCTTTTGCATCTCGCGCACATACTGTGCTTTGGCCATCAGACGCTTGATGGGTCGCCAGAGCGTGCCCTTATGTCCCTTCATCTTCCACCGGCCGTAGACGGTCTGGACATACTCCCACGCGCGATCGCAGTCGGCCGACGGCGGTCGGGAACAGATCTCTGAGAGCACCAAAGCCACCGCATGCCATTGAATATGGGTCTTTGAATGCCAGGTCCAGCGGGCGATGTCGGAATTGGTCAGCAGCAGGCTGGACAACTCGAGTACCTTGATGGACGTGAGGAACAGGCGATCGCGGATACTGGTGGGTAAATCTGACCCGCTCTGCTTCTGGCACAGTGGGTAATAGACAACCAGCCAGGTGCGAGCAATGATCAGCCGTGCGACGGTCACGCACACATGAAGGAACGGGATGGTGGTGTCGCAGTGCTTGAGGTAGCGGTCTTCCAATCGCTCTTGGAGCGCCCGGGCCAGTTCCGCGCGTGCCTCTAGGGAGAGCTCTTCAGACGGCTGACCCGTGCGCCGGAAGCTGAGGGAGACGTAGGATGTCTTCCACATGATGCGCATCACCTCACAGCGAATGAGGCAAAAGGTCATCTCAGTCGCTTCCTCGCGCTCGGCTGGCGGCTCAGCCATCTCTGCGGTCAGATCCCCGTCGTTAATGTTCAGCGGCAGTCGTGTGTCGAACATGGACTCATGCACAATGGGCTCACACCCGTGGTACTCTGACGACCGAATATCCAGTAAGCAGATATGCCACCAGAGACGCCGTCGGAGCTCAGTCTCCAGCGGCCGAAGACTAAACGCTGCACCATCACGGTGCAGGCCCATGGCCTTGGCGATATGAAAGACGAGCGCGGTGAGGGACCAGACAGTTCGAGACGCGTCTTCGTTCCGTAATGCCGATAGAAACAGGACCACCGCCTGTAGAAGTATCATGCTCTGCGTATTCAGCAGATCCGCACGCGCTAGAGCTTGCTCGACCGCAAACTGATAGTGCTTCAGTGCGTAGGCCCGCGATACACCCAGAGTAGTAGAACACTGCTCTGGCTCCATACTGATTATGGTGGAGTAGTAGATGGCAAAGAGTAACGCCTCTGCATTACGATCCCGCGCTTCTGGCATAGCGACTGCATCCCAGTAGATGTGGATCATCGTTGGCATGTGAAAAATGTGCACCAACGGCACCACATTCTCCTTGAAGATCTCCAACAGGGCCACAGACTGGGGTAGAGGTGGATGGTAGGCGTGTAAGGAATGCACCAGCGCCTGAAACCCCAGGATTGCGGCGTTGCATCCCAAAGAGATTTCTGGTTCTGAAATTGATTCCTCCGTCTGCGCCCCAGAAGAGGTGTCGTTCTCGTCATCATCCGAACCCGGATCATGCAACAAGTCGCGCAGTTCTTCGATCTGGATGCAATCTTAGTTTTTCCGCAATCATTATCTTGCATCGCAGAGGAGGCGGTACCTCATCACCCAGGCTTGCCCACAGAATATTGCTCACGTAACAACTCCGCGTGTTATCAATGACCAGTCGGCCCAGTTGTTCCGCCGAGATCGATCCGTCATCCGACTGCTGTGCCGGCGGCGTCGTTGCCGAAGTTCCTGACTGTGGCGTTGCTGTTGAGGGCTTGCCGGTCTCGACCTCACCCTCCAGGCGCTTGATCAGGGTTTCCAGACGAGATAGTCGGTCCAGCACCCGCGCGTCGAGAGCTCGTCGTGGTCGCTTGGGCGCCCTCCCGGGACCCGGGGGATAGACACACTCATTACCAGCGCGTACACAGCCAGTGCAGGGTTTTTGGCGGTCACATCTGATTTTTCGATATCGGCAAAAGGTACAACTGCGGATATGGGAATGTGATGGAGCCTTCGGCGCGTCTGTGGTCGATGTACTACTAGTGCTGACATCCGTGGTGGGTTGGGGCTGAGAAAATGGTAGTGGCGTGTAGCCGGTGGGATCCATTGCATTCGTAAAGCAAGGAATACCACGTGAATACAATCTCTGGGAGAATTAGTAGAATGACAAAGGGAAATGATGAAAGAAGGAGAGGAGGGAATGTCAAAGGGCAAGTTGAAGAGACTAAAACACCTGATGGAATTAGTAGCCTCCTGCTGGCCACCTCGCTAGACTATTGACTAGTATCAACTCCAGGGATATGAAGGACTGATTCTTCCAAACTAGGCAACTAATCTGACTAAATGCATGAACTAAATGATGACCGAGGTAAAAAATCCTAGTGCTGAAGCGGGATAGCGGTATCCAAATGTTTGTCGACCAAAGTGGGCCAATATTACCCATCAGCATCCGCTCGGTCCGACTTTATTCCTTTGTTTTCACCTTTTTTAATCCAGCTCTCCCAGATAGATTCAGATAGACAAGAGACCTTAGAGACCTCATTCTTCAATGCAGATCCATATTATTCTTATATAATCGGTGATACTAGCTCATACGCGTATTCAGCTGACCGACATGTTAAAATTTTTATTATCGCGGGGAAATCGGGCGTAAATTACGTGTTTCACGCCATAATCAATGGGGCTAACGGGATCGGATAAGGCGCCGTCGGGCCGAACCAGCGGTGATCACGATTGGCTGCGACCCGTATTCGATCCTGTTTTGGTATTTTGATTATAATTGTACAAGCTATATTACTTACCACCAAATTTACAAATTTACAAAATGAACTTCGGAATACTACCGAGGTACTTTTTGTGGGCCGTAACACTGAATTGATCTCAGCTACTTGAGTCTGACCATCTTTCGATACCTTTCATCTTACATGATCGGCTGAAAGAGAGACAAGCTTTGCCGAAATAAGGGGCTGGCGTGGCTGGAAGGGTCGCTATGGGCCTATTCGAAACCGTTACGGTGGACGGGCTGAATTTGACCCCGATATCAAAGTAACATACGTTACGAGTTTTGGGCTTACAATGTATGAGTGGAATAATAATTGCTCCGGTCGACATGTCTAGTTGGACTTTTTCCTTTCCCTTTTCCTTTTTTTTTTTTTCAGGCCTCGAGAATTGTCTGACCTGCGCGAGGATTAACTAACAAATTTGTTTATATTCCAGTTATAATTAAACTGCTTCAGGTTGACAATTTAGATCCATTTTGAATGGAATGTATTCACTTCCGAATCAACGTACTGTACATTCAATACTGCGAACGACGCTCATCAGTCTACTAGGACATGGAGGTAGTGGTGCCCTATCCACTGTTTTCGCCTTACCCCACTGACCGAGCGTAAGCAGGGGCCAGTTTACCATCCGATTCGTACTCTTCGGCCTCCATCGGCACGCACAAGCTTATGCGATGTCCGCGATGGTGGGTCATTTCAAGTTGCACTATGACGCTCCGAGGGTGAACTGATCGCCGTGTCCGATCGCATAAGCCCGCCCTGAGTCCAGGGGCGCACTCCTGAAGGATTCTTTAGTCACCTCGAACTTCTCGTGGTGTCGTCAGCACTGTGTGTTCTGTTGGATCATGGTGTTCTGTCATTAGCGTATACTTCAAGGGCAACGGATTGTCATTGCAGGGCAAAATTTTACTACCGGAAAGCAAGCTTTCAAGATGTGCTTAGTTTCCTCGTGGTCGTTCTTGGCATGGCTGAGCCAAGATATCCTATTTTCTCTATAAGCACAAGCAAAGGATCGTGTGATTCATGGGGGCCAGGAATATTTGATCGACTCGAGTAAAATTTCAATATTGCTTGGAAACAAAAAATCTATGTATGTGAACTTTGCTCCATAATCCCAACGAGCCAAGCCAATAATAAAGAAGGAAAAGGGAGAAGTCCGTCCCAAATCGTTAATCCGGAAGACAGAAGAAGCCACAGAGAATATGGCCTAGATAGAGGTATTTCTATTTTTGAGAGAATCCAAAAGGCTTCGCCTACAGGACCGTAGCGAACTAATGTACGTCCCAAGAACAGTCTCCTCGGTCTGTTTGCCCATTCCCTGGGCATACCGGGCGAAAGTGTCCAGGACAGCGCCCATTTTCTCCAACTCGGACCGGAGGACCTGAAGAACGACGTGCGTGCGCATCTCATCATCCAGGAAGTACTGTCCAATGGCCATGGGCACAGCATACCCGGAAAGGTCAGCTGTCGACGGTGCTCGCTCACACGTTGACACCGCCGCCGATTCTTGCTGCGTCAGGAGCGTCCGGTAGGAGTCAATTACTTGGTGCATGATGAGGGCTAATAATATCGCCACGCTCCTTCCCTGGGCACAAGAACAGTCCAGAACGGTCTGCACAGTGTCCATAGCCTTGCGGTTATTATTCAGGACCGCATCTAGTGTCTGCATCTTGTTCGGCACAACGTCATCTGATCGGGCACATGATGCCCCTGGCTCGTAGAGGCTCTGGAGGACGGTAGAGGCCCGCTTAATACAGTTTGTAGCATCATCGTCGTTCGGAAAATTGGTGTGCGCCCTCGTGTCCCACGTCTGGGTCCCTTGTATATCGAATCCCTGCATCTGTTCCATATCCCCCATATCCAAATCTACTGTATCTGCCACGTTCCATAGGATCCCCTCTGGCGACTCAGGGCTCGGGAACGATGTAACCAAGGCCTCTGACCTATTAGGATAGGGATAGAAGTGCGTATTATTGGTGTGACTGGGGGAAGACCCAACAGGATCGGGAGCCTGGGAGAGGAAACTATCGAGATGGTTCAGAGGGTAATCGGATGGCTGGTAGTGGGCATGACGAGGCGGCCGGTTTGGTAACGGACTTGCAGCGCGACTCCCGCGGGGGTTCGATTTCTGCTGTCGCCAGGTACCTTGCATGATAGGGCCGTTAGACCCCGTTCTGGATGCTGCATAGAGCTGTCGAGCTTTGCCGATTCGACGGCTTTCGCTATAATGGCAGTTTACTCCGCTTTTCACACATCGCATACATTTTGGCTGTCCTCGGTCACATTTAACCTTGGACAGGGCACAAAAGTCACAGCTCGCCTTGAGCTTCGTGGACTTGGAGGGATGTGTGTTGGAAGTGATTTCTGCATCCATCGTCGGTATAAATTAGATTTATTCGGAGAAGGTGATTCTGGAATATGTCGAGTTCTAAGGGGCCGATAACAAAGCTTAAATTCAGGTCGATAAGTTAAAGACACGAAGGGGGAACAAAGCCAGCTGCTAATGGCTTTAATAATATATCCATCTTATATAACTCTCTTCCCCCCCCACATGGCAGTGGTTATAAACCCTTATTTTGATTAATGGAATGCCCGTCAGTAGGCCATAGGAATCTTGGTTACAGCAAGGTGGAGGCCGGATTCTTCCTGGGTGAGCCTTAGCGGGCAAACATGCAGGGGATAGTTACATTGTCTTTGTTTTCGATCCTGGTGGCTTATCTAGATCTCTCCCACGTTTCTCTCATCCAGAATCCTTCAGGAAGTTGGCCATTCATACAATGTGTCATCTGCATTTCTCTGACTGCGCATGGCGCCATACACGAAACTAAGTCGGGCTTTGCTGGTGCTTGTCAGATATTCGGCTAGTCCCAAGAGGAAATAGAGTACGATTGTTGAAAAGGTAATATTTGAATATATGAGCTGGTTGGGCTCTTCTTGATTATATTTATCTCCTTATATTCGTCGTGTGCTGCACGGGGGTTTTACCTGTCCACGAACGACCATGTTATTCAACAGTACTAAACGACGAGATGAGGCTGTACCCGGAATTATCCGTTCATGACGGTTACTTCATTTTTGTCCAGCGTAGGGGTAATGTAACGACATTTTCACAGGGGCCTCTTAATCGAAGGAATTCCAATTAGGCTTCAATATTAGCAATTTATGTAACAGAAAAGTTTTTTTTTTTTTTTTTTTTTGTGTTGCAATGATCAGATATATTATCCTGTTATGTCCTAGTAATACGACTAGTGCTATAGCGTCACATCAGGTCTCTCATCACACAGTAAACGTAATTCACCACGCGACGCACGAATTTTGACAATTTGGAATTTTAAATTCAAAGTATTCCAGAACCTCCAAAATTTGATAAAATTGGATTAAACATTACATGATACACGTGACCCTAAATAATCTAACTACATAGCGGGGCGGTTTTGTCTTTTGCCCAGATCCCAGAGAATGCGAAATTGGCCTCACAGTTTCTGGTGCCTGCGCTGGCCAGTGGATGCAGATTTTCCTGTGGAATTGGCAGAATCACAGATAGCAGCCTCTGGAATATGGGACCTGAGCTCTGTATTTCCTTTGTTTTGCTTGTTGTGTTGTTGAGTGAACATCACGCGAGGCCGCTTCTGGCGACTCCTACCTTTATCACCACTCCCATGTCTTTTGTGTCCCTCACACCAACATTTAATGTATTGGTAACTTGTAACTTAGCATCCCTAATGTCAAATAATATGGTCGTTGGTGGACCAGAATCAATCATGTGACTGGATCGGGGTAAAACCCCCGCGGAGCACACAACAAAATAATCACTCAAGAATAACCAAGAATAATAAACAAGAAGAGCCCAACCAGCTCAATTCATTCAAATAAGACCTTTTTACCAATCGTACTCTATTTCCTCTTCGGGACTAGTCGTATATCTGACACCTAATAGCCTGGCGCTTTTTTATCTAGCCGCCTCCTCTAACTTCTGAAGTCGTTTAGCTTCGCGCTCAGCACTCCGCTCTGCTTTCTCCCGTGCACGCTGCTCCTGCAAAGCCTGACGTGCTGCAGCTCACTGTTCTTTCCTCTTTGCTGATTCTTGAGCCTTTGGTCGATCTTCAATGGCTTGCCTGAGCTACTCTTCTATCTAATCCTAGTCCATTTAACGATGCGCACCGGCTCCACTTTTACTAGACTGAAATAGGTAGGTTGACCACCATTCTCATCGACATTAAAAAGTCCTATGGCCTTTCTCCATTTCTCCTTTTACAAGCCAGGCTGAGCGCGGCCACGAGGTCCCGATTTTCATGTTGTACAATCTCATGTTGTGAGGCCAGTTTCTCCGCTGCGAGCCCACAGCCGAGTAACTCAAAAAATCTACTGACCCTTCCTTGCGGAACTGGTGAGCAATTCGCCGAATAGCACGAAGGGAGCCTGGAATCTGCATTGACGCATCACCGGATGCAGTCTGCGGTGGGGTAATATTATTCTGGTTGCTTCTCTGGGATAGTAGTTTGTCAGGGTTAAGTGGATGGACCCCGGTGGCCCGCCAACCAGCCTCAATACTTTTGGCTGTAAACGCCCGGTTCCACGTGTCCCGAAAAAGTAGCGAAAAGTTTCGTTTGGTAGGATGAATAAACCCCTGACCAGTCGCCATCAGCTGGTCGCAACCCTGAGTATAATAGGAGGAGAGGACGGAAAATAGCCCAACATCCAGTTGGGCGATGAGTCGAGTGTGGTGGCAACACGGCAAGGAGAACTCAGTCTTATTTTCTTAAGGTTAGTACTCCAAAAAAATTGAATTGGACCAAGGCTTCTTCCTGGATATTGGTCCGAGAATAGCCTTGTCACCTCTGAAGGTCGTTTCTTAGAGGTTTTAACTTCAGCAGAAGATCCACCTCTTCCGTAGACCATGGCAAGCCCTTCCTGGACTTCTGTTGGTTCTCGCCAATCATGCAGAGATTGCAAGGTTTGATGCGGCTTTGTCGAGCGACTGGTTGGCTCCTTATCTTCATACGTTGTAGGCGTAATATGTTTATGACGCCTAGTGCGCGCCACTTATCGTAAAGTCTAATTCTGAGAGTGACCGTCAGAGCATATCGACTGATCAGGAGGCATCTCAGGAGGTGATGGTATAGGTGAGCGGTGAACAACATCTCGAAGGAATGTGATGAAATAAGCATGTCGAGGACCGTGGGCTTGGATTCGTAGGATTCTTCCGCGACCGAAGATCTCTTGGGTCTCACCCGGAGTGACAGCAAAACCTCCATCTGATGGTTTTTGGAGCGGACTCGTGCATCCCTAACGGTGCTAGTGGTCGCGCCTGAGCTGGTTTCTGTTGCCTTTTTCGGCCGGAGCGCATGCCTGAGACTTTTACGTGGACGTTCTCCTACCTTATGACTGGATGCGCTTGCCAATTGAGAATAATCCTTAAGGTGATGCGCTGTCGGGGCACTGTTGTCATCGTCAATGTCGCTGCTATCTCGGTAGCCACGACGTCGTGCTCGGCTTGAAAGATTTGTTGTGTTACTTGCTGCCAGTCTATCGGATCGACGACTGGAATGACCACTGAAACAGAAGCCAACCGCTCTGGCCTGCTGGACTTTGCATTTGGTCGAGGGCGGAGGGAATGCGTGTGTGTCGGAGGTACTCCGGGGTATTTCTAAGTGTCTAACAGGGTGGTTTTGCTAATGAGCGGGAGAGCACAGGCACGTAGCCTTTCTCATCGGATCGGTCTTTCTTGCTCTTGTCTGGACTAGCCTCCCTAACGAGGGGCTGTTGTTTTGGACGCCTTGTGTATACTGAATGGTTTCAGCGCAAAGCCCACCTTGTGGGTGCGACATATTATCTAGCAAGCCTGATGAAGATGACGGTATACGCGCAAACAGTATTGATACCTGGCGGAGTAGCGTTTTTGCCGGTCTTGTCGCCAGCTTCTAACGATGGGGCACGATCTCGATGCAACCCTGGACTGTCTATTGTGACCACGGATCGACCTATTATGCATTAGGGACTGAGAGAACTGATGACTACACCTACTTGCAAAATCCAGCTCTGCTTCCGCTGGTGTGTACTTTGGAGTTGAATCATGGACAGCCTCTACGGAAAGACGTACACATTTGTCCGGCTGACCTTGTAAGATGTGCTGTTGAACGGCAGTTTCAGACGCGTTTTTATGACTATCGCTGGCGCTCGTCTGTATTAGTGCTGGCTCTGAGGTCACTAGACAATAGAGGTGGATAACATTAGCTAACCTCACTGAGAAAGTTTTCATTAGTTGTCCGACATACCAGTAGTTAAAGATGTGCGCTGACGTTGAGGTACATCTGTAACACCTCCTGTTTGAAGCCCACGGTCGAGGTGCATATCCAGATCTGTCTCACATGCAACCTGGCTGTTCTCTGCCATAGCTATCCTTTCTATTTCAATATTAAATTCATTACGAACTGCACGCAAGCCGTGTTCTGCTAGAGCAGAAGGATTTTACTCATCAATTCTATTCAACTGTAGCCATGTCGAATGGGATTTCGGCTCCTTGGCCGAGTATCTGATTCCAATTTTAAATACGACGAGGTGTGCTTTCCTCCCTTTCTTTCCTTCGTGCATCTTTTTCTTGGACGAGAGTGTGTCATTAACAAATAATAGCTTATTTGGCCGGATTCTCCCGGGCTGGATCGGCGACTAACTCGGCTGGTACAACACGCAAATCATTATATGTCTGTTTCCGGCATCTTGTGCTGGTGGATTCGGGCCGGCGGTAGCGCCTCTGAGACCATCTTTTTCGGGGCGCTGTACGGGTTCAGGTCCGGCGCCTTGTCTCCTTGCCTCTGGCGATCATCGCCCAGATCTCAGACGTGAGGGAGATCGGCTCCGGGTTGGGGTAGGTGGAGTTTGCGTCGATCTCCGTCGCCGCGCTGGTGAGTAACCCGATCGGCGGAGCGCTGATCAGCCAAGCTGGTGGATTGTTTCGCGATTTGTAGATTTACTGTGGTGCTGTGCTACTTGGGGGAGGTGTGCTTTTTACTGCGGCGAGGGTGTCCTTGGTTGGGTGGCGTGTTTTGGTAAAGTGTTGAATCTGGTAGAGTTGATAGATTACTTGGTATAAGATAGATCTATGTAATGCTATAGTAATGTTAGGGGAGAAGACAGCGGGCAAGAAGGAAGACTAGAGAACTTATACAACCTTGCAGTCCATAGGAATCTTTACCAGCCAGGAGAGGAAAAGGGTGCTTGGTCAGTGGGGTGACACGGTTTTTGAAAAGCACTACCAATCAAAGTTTATCCAGCGCGATCTCCAGCATGTTCTTCTTCAACCGTCTCAGGAATGTCTACTCCGGCTTACAGGAGGCATTCTCAGGAAAAGGGGCCCCTTAGCTCCGTCCGATCTTACCAACACGGAGCGATTGGATATAGATGAGTACATATTATTCCAAATATCATTCCAAAGCTGATATCGCCTTCGGTAATATGGTCAGGCTACCCACACTGTGTTCTTCAAATCTTTACCGTTGCAGTTTTCGGCAGTACCGAAATATAAAATATTCCCGGCTTCGGTATGTGAAGTATGCAAAGGTAGCGAGGTTCCTCCATTAAATCAAACGGTGATTCCTAAAAACGGTCCTTTCTTCCTACAAGAGACATATCATTCTTAGTATTCATTTCATTCCACCCTACGTGATCTAAATCCAAAACGAGTGCCTTTCTTTTCTATAAACCAAATTTTAACCCCAGCCGTTACTTAACGATTTAGCCGGCGATGCACCTGCTAGCTCGTCCTACAAACGAGTTCATTTGGGTGATAGGGACAGAGTGCCCTCTTTGGCAGGATCTATGGCGCCAAATCTCAGCGACAAGTTGAGTCATACCTGCAGCTTCCGAGTATGTTAGTTTGGTTCTGTAGGGTCGCTGATTTTCTATTGGTTTTCTAACATTCTGGGAGAGCTCAATCTGTGCCCGCCCTCCAAAAATGTCAGTTAGGCAGCCAGGGCCCTAGTGATACCCTTAGCGATATTTCTATCGCATGTGATGATGGACGCGGTTCCTTGAACAGCCTGTTCTTGGAACTAGACACAGGTTGTGCGAGTATTTTCTGGACCCAACAGAAGGTCAGTGTGATGGAATCATTCCAGAACAAACTTGCCGGAAGAACACTGCTGATTGCTTTGGCCACTGTGAAATATCTCAGAGAGACCAAGGTGCTTCTGATGTTTAATCTCACATTAGTAATTCTTTAGACAGACAGGATTCCTATCACTCTATCGTTGATGATCATGGGATTGCTCCTGTTTCTGCCCAACCTTCCTTGGAGGGTTTGCAGGCTGCGTTAAATCCAGTTACTGACGTTGAATTATCATTTCTATAGCCAAACCTAACTCCTACTCATGACGCCAATGAGCCATACGGTGCCGAATACCGTCCTACATGCGCTGGTCGTCTCGATATATGTACAACCAGTTCCAGACAGGAAATGAGTTTTCCCTTAGAAGGTAAGGTTTGTTATATCGTCTCTTAAGCCCAGCCTTGTACTATCGTTATCTGTCGTCTGTTCCTAATGGTCTTCCTCGATGTACACAAGCTGCTTATATAGTTGGTTGAAGAGCTTCCCCGACCAAAGCACCAAACCAGTTTATCACACCAGACGCCGTCCGGCAGAGGCAAATAGGCAATCATGCAGGTCGGCTACACAGACCAATCTCACTGTCCGTTCACGGATTCGACCGATGAGAGTAGTGAAAAAACCGATACTCTTTATGACCGAGATGTACTCAATGCCAGTGGAGGATAGTTTGGTCGATGATTAGCCTCGAATAGATTGTTTTTTCCATTTAACATGGTAAGACATACTATAGAAGCTCACTGTAAATGTCAAAGGAAATATGATCATCTTCACACCAATCTTGGCTAGGTTGACAGTCAAGGAAGTAGGGACTATTTTATTAAACAAGCTGAAAAAAAAGGATCCCTAGAAATTTTAAAAGATGTAACGTATCCCTAGTTATGTTATAGCCAAGCTCAGGATCTTAACTATTCCACTGGACCAAAAGACCACTATATCTGATCCCAATGGGGATCAGATATTCCTGAGCGCCTTATATAGTCGCGCACTGTAATGTTAGGTGACGCACCCACACCTAACAGTTTATGTTATTTACCAGTCGACGATCTCACTAAATACAAGATTACCTGCTTTAGAACCCTTCCTTATCATCGTATTTCTTGCCTTAAAAGTATCTGGACTAGGGCCTCTCCTGACACTGCCAGAGAATTCTTAACTTTCGGCGCTTCAAGTTCCTGTTAGGATACCGGTTCAGAAACTGGGGGTTCGCGATTTCGCAAGGCTCCTTGTTATGTCCTTTCCTCTCGAATAAAGCAGAAGACAGGTACAAATAGGCTTAATGGAAAAGCGTTTGGGTGTCCAAATATTTAACCTCCTTTCCGACGCCTAAAATCGGAATAGAGAATTATTCAGTTTTGTGTGAGGATAGTAAATTTAGGTTGGAGGACATTTCTATGGCTTTAATTTCATTATAGTTAGCAAACTTAGGATCGAATTGGGCTAACAGGAATAAGTACAATAAAAACATGAAGATTATTAATTATCCGCCTGTATTTACCAGTCCTCGGCCAGTTGCGAAGAGTTATGATGAGCACTATACGTTTATGCCCAAGAACGCCCGGTTCCCTGAAATACTTTCCACTTACATAGCTTCTATCATCATTTGCCTACACATAATTGACACAGTGACCAAGGTCATCATCGTTCTTCGTATATTCGCTATTGAAGTCTTCGTTGATTGATGTAAAAACAAAGAAAGCGTTTATATGGTGCCGAGAAATCCATAGGCCGCAGAGTATCAAACTGCCTCATTTCGTGCTTATGGCCTTGAACAATACTTGGAGTTGAGGTAGCACATGTCATTGAAAATTCTATTCTCAGTTAGCACTCAGAGTCATAAAAGCTGATGCCTGGCCAACGCACTCGTGCCTAATAGATTTAGACTCTGGCCAATTAATGATATGAGAAAGGTTAAAATTCAGACTATACAGCCGGATACGATCATCGCACTGGTGTACTGGTTCACTAGGAGGAAAGAATTTCCAGTATTGCCTTAAAAAACTGCTGTTTAGCCTAACCGTCTCTCGTCGCCACATACCCAGTTCATATTCATTGTGCGCGTAGAAGCCACGCGCACCAAATATCACTGGCTCATTTGTATCAAGATTGCTTGCGATGTTGCCCTCGCAAAGATTTCCATGTACGAGACAGGGTTTGAGGATACGACCTTGCTGTTGGAGTGCGGGAAGTAGCTTGGGAATAACTTCGTCCACCAACTGACTAAATGCAAGCTCGTATGGAGCCCAAGAGCCATTCAGCTGGATTTCCAGTTCAAACAAATTTGACAGTATTTTTGTGAAAAGTGCCGACCAATCGGAAGTCCACGCATAGTCTACTTTCACCTTACCATGGTAGATGGGGACGTGAAAGCCGAACATTCCTGTAGGGGAAACGCTTTTTCTGTGGACATCAGCAACACGAGCACAAAATCCAATAGGGTCTGGTATTTCATTGGTCATTTCCACAAAGTCGTAGAGAACAAAATCTTGACCCGTGCCGCAGTTGCCTCCTGTTGTTTCTTTTGTGCCATTGTCGGCCCCCCTTTCTCTCTCCTTTCTTCCATTTCCTCTCTCTTCAAGACCTTCAAGACCTTGAAGGTTGAAGGTTGAAGGTTGAAGGTTGAAGGTTGAAGGTTGAATGTTGAATGTTGAATGTTGAAGGTTGAAGGTTGAAGGCTGAAGGCTGAAGGTCTGAGGTTTGGAAGCTACCCAGAACACGAGGCCTGGGCACTAAACTGGAGTCAAGGAGATGTAATGCACCCATGCAATGAAACTCCCCTGCAAGGGCCCTCCAGCTCTGCTGATTGCACTATATAAGGATCAGTCTATAAGCGTCGACCGTCGTCACAGCGCTAACTATCGTACCATCTTCAGGAAATAAGACCTGTGCTCACCATTCGCGGTACTAGCAAAAATACGTGCGGTAGAGGCCCAATGCGAGGAACGCCATGCATTAGCCTCCACTACTTCAGCCTCAAAAACTTCTGGAGGTAAGTCTAGTTATTGTTAGCCACACGGTACCTCAGACCGGACAGCGAATACTGACTTGCAAGTAAGTCTTGAGTGAGGGGGAAGTTGCCCTTTGTTTTTGGGGGATGCGACATGATTAAAATACCTCCGGCTTGGAAAGACGTAAACAGATAAAAGGCAAAAGGAACTATTTATCATTGAGAAACAATGACCACCACCCGTGAAGGCATCAGCCAGTGCTATTTAACCGCCGAACAATGTGACTATGTCTCAAAGCTGCAGAGCACCCCGCTCCTGGAACTTTTGTTTGGTGGAGGTGAGCGGTCGGCGCCAAATATGTGGGTAATGCCCTAATCCGATACTCTCAGGAAAACGAATCAGTGTTGAGTGGTAGCCCCACTCTGCTTGGTCTATGGAGATGGACGCTTATTATTGGTCCTGGGTCGCTTGTTGATGGTCAAGTATAAAGTAGCTAGTGCAGCTTGAAGACAAGAATAGAAAGCTATCCAGGATCAGTCACCAATTATGCCCTTTGAATATAGGATGGCGTGTCCTCCGTACGCTGGGAGATTCCAGCAGTTTGTGTTCCCCTCTTCTGGACGGAATACCTGGAAATCAACTTTGCCTTCTTAATCAGTGTTTTAGTTTTACGCTTGTCAGTTATATAGTACTGTCGCTGAGATCACGTTTGTCAAATTATTTGCGTTATATTCTTCAAATTTGATTTACTGCACCAAGCTTAAAGTATCCACGATCAGAAGTATGACTGGTACCGAGCGGTTAACTGCTGGTCGAAAACGTGCGACCAGTTCAATTTCAAGCAGTGAGAGACGATTTTACGATGACAAAACAAAGCCGCACAATCCATATGGCATCACCGTCTTGTGTGAACCAGTTAATGTGGCTCCCACTGTGGATATTATTTTTGTTCATGGCCTAGCTGGCACGAGCATGTATACTTGGTCAAAGAAGGATAGATTTGATAGACTCGCTCGATTCTGGCCTTTGAAATGGTTGCGCGATGAAGGCTTCTTACAGACAGCGCGGATCTCTACTTTCGGCTACTATGCAAATATCAGCCCGCGAGGCCCAAAAAACACGTTGACCATTGCAGATTTTTCGAATCAATTATTGTCTGATTTGAAATTCGCAGTGGATATTGATGAAGAATACCAATATGGAAGCGTGAGATCTAGAATCCTATTACTCTCGTATTGCGATAATCAATACAAACTCTGACGATTTACAGATTCCAATAATTTTCGTCGTCCATTCCATGGGAGGGCTTGTGGTAAAAAAGGTACAGTGGTTCTACTATTTTGCAGATGGTATGCTAAGAAGCCAACAGGCTTGCGTTGTCGGTCAACTAGATACAAAATTCAACGGAATTGCTCGGTCCACTTGCAGTATATTGTTTCTGGCTACCCCTCATAAAGGCTCAGATTGTGCGAACATCTTAAGCCGTGGGCTCAAGTTTCCGTTGCTGCCGTCGAGGGAATATGTTAAGGAACTAGAAGAAGATGCAAGAGGTTTGAAACAACTTAACCAGGAGTTCCAAAGGATACCGAACCTTACCATTGTGTCCTTCTACGAAACAATTGCTTGCACTTTTGGGCCATGGCAAAAGGTATGTTTCCGTGCCATGTCATGTACTAATGCCCTTCGCTCAATAAACTTAGACAATTGTGAAAAGGGAGTCTGCTGTATCAGGCTACCCCGAAGAAACAGTAATTTCCTTGGTTGCCGATCACCGAGGCGTTTGCAAATTCTCTTCTAAGTATGATCGGAGTTATACAACTATAACAGGCGTTTTGAAAAATGTGGTAAGAGAGCATGGTCTACAAGATGTCCAACCGCGGGACTACCAGTCAATTCGAGAACTTAGGCTTGTTCAGTCTTTCTTAGCCGTGACAAGAGAAACATTCGACGATCATGAATTCTACTCTCAGAATCGAGCACAGTACTCCTGTCGGTGGATTTTATCAGAGCCAAAGTTTACAAACTGGTTGAAAGATAAATCTCCGAAACCACGGATACTCTGGTTGAACGGTCATGTTGGATCTGGCAAATCAGTTCAATCATCCTACGTGATCGATTATATTAAAGAAGAATGCCGCTGGCCGTGCCAATTCTATTATTTTAGGCCTGATATAAATTCCAGGAGATCTTTAACTTATTGCCTCAGAACTATTGCCTACCAGGCTGTCTGCTCAGTTCCAGAGTTCCGGAAGAAACTTGCCAAAGTGGCCGAAACGGGGCATGTGTTGGACCACAACGATATGCGGGTAATCTGGCAGGAGCTATTTATCGCCGGACTTTTCAATATTAGTGTGCCTAGGGTATCTTTCTGGGTGATAGATGGTTTGGATGCGTGTGATACACCATGGCTGCTCGACCCGTTCATGGGTTTAATATCCTCATTATCCTACCCCCTGCGTATTATGTTTATCAGCCGCCCAACCCTCGCACCGTCCCTCATGGCAAAACTAGTATCCTCTGAGCAGTCCGACTTTGAACAAATTCATATGCCAGGCGCCGGTATCAGGGAGTTCACTCAAGAAGAAATGCAAAATCTAAGTGTCCTTCAGGATCCAAACTTGAAGCGAAAATTGGTGGACATTATGCTCCAACGTTCAAAAGGGAACTTCAAGTGGGTCAATATGGCGTTGAGAGAGCTCCGTCAATGTACAAATGAGGATCGCCTGATAGAAATTCTCGAAGAGTTTAGAGGCGAACCCGCGTTGCATTATAGGCGCATAGACAACGCGCTCGTGGCTGGGCTAAACAGCCGCGAAAAGGAGTTGGGAGCCACAATTCTCATGTGGGTAACCTATTCCAGAAGACAAATGACCCTGGAAGAGCTGGCAGCCGCTATATGTCTTGAAGAAGAAGATACCATTGAGATTCATCGAAAAATATACCGAGTATGCGGCGATCTTACTGTTGTTGACAGTAAAGCTAGAGTCAAAATATCCGACAATGTTGCCATTCAAGATTTACCTGAGCTCTTATCCACAACCAGCTTTGCTGCAACTGCACCAGATGCGCATGTTACTATGTTCAGACGTTGCCTCTCAGCTCTCAGAGATCCAGTGTTGAGAGTCGGAAAGCCAAACCCGAATATTCAGCCCTTTCTGGAGTACGCTGCTACATCCTGGTTTTATCATCTATCGGCAGTGGATGGAACTGTGAAAGACGGTCACTTTTCCAGAATGGCAAACTGTTTTCACCCTCTGGTAGAGTTTTTTGACAGTCCATTTGTACTAATCTGGGTATGTTTTCTTGCGTCGATGCCTCAGCTTCTTGCACTAGAGCAAGCAGCTCAGGCCATAACCCTGTGCCTCTTCAAGATGTCTGAAAACATACCAGAGACAGCCATCCGTAATGCAAGTGAGGAAGGAGCCAGGGTGAGGTTGCAAATGTGGTCAAAAGACCTTGTCAAAATACTTGGTCGATTTGGAGACCAACTGATATCGCACCCACTCACTATATACGATCTAATACCACGATTTTGTCCACCCCGGTCGCGTATTCATAGTCAGTTCTGCGCGAACAATTCAACTTCTGGACTGGAAATCAAAGGCATGCCATTTAAATCCTGGGATGAAACTTTCAGCAAAATTGCCGCTGGAAGGAGCTACAGAGCGGAAAATATTGTTTGTGGTGATAAATATTTTGCTCTCTCCACAAAATCACCGCAAGGTGGTATTAAAATATTTCGCTCTCGTACCTGTGAAGAACTGCTGGAAATCAGCCATGGAGAAAGAGTGATGGCACTACGACTGAGTTTTTCAGGTGATCTACTGGCGTCGTACGGACGTCACAGCACCAAAGTCTGGGATCTAGTCACAGGACGCCAAATTTACATCGCCCCCAACCCACAGGCCACCAATATACTGGCCATAACTTTCGCGAAGAAAGACAGCATTCTCCTGGTATGCACAGATGATGGTTTTTTTCGCAGAGCCAGCATGGAGTCAAATTCGGGAGGCTGGCAAGTGCTGGACTTCAGGCTCACTGAAGGAAGCCAGTCCAATCTGGGTCGCTTTGTGGTTCCGCTCACGGCCGCTTTCAACACTGACGGAACTCGGTTGGCTATAGTATGCCCGAGAGTAGCTTTAAAGGCCTACAAAGTTGATCCCAGGAATGAGAACAGAGTTTATAAACTTGTGGGAGAGACCGGTCTAACAAATGTGATGCAAGTTGATTGGGCCCCAATCACTGGCCATATAGTTGGGGTCGGCAATGATGGCACCGTTTTCAAATGGCATCCACAAGAGCAAAGAGCCGAAACATTTCAAGACTCGGCTGTAGGCGTACGGTGCAGCCCAAACAGTCAATTTCTCGTTGTTAGCTACGCAAACGGTGCACTAGGAATACGGGACTTCCATGACTATTCAAGTATCCATAGCATCTTCTCTCCAACGACAGTGACGGAATTTTGCATTAGTCCAGATAGCCGGCGAATATATGACTTGCGAGACTCTCACTGTACCGTCTGGGAACCAACCCCACTGACGCAAAACTCCAGCTCTAGGCATGCGAACTACAAACTAACTAAAAAGGCCTCCCACGACCAAGAAGAAGCTGCTAAATCGTTCGAGCCCATAACAGCACTCGCTGTGGGCTGCGTTACGTCGAGATATTGTACTGGTGGTCTTGATGGCAAGATCAAAGTTTTCGAAAGCGGTAGTTATGAACAGGAAGTCGACTTAACAAACCTCTCAATCGAACATTTGGCTTGGAGCAACGACGAAAAGTTCTTGGCCATTGGTGACCTAGGCAACTGGCTAAGAATATTGTCCATCGAACACGGAGAGCAAGAGCATTCTAAGATACAACTGGTCTTTGAGTCGTCCGTTGGAGAAAGCATCCACCAATTCCTATTTGGTAGGAATTCGACAGAGCTACTAGTCGTGACTCAAGAGTCATTTCTTGTTTTTAAACTTGCCAATGGATTTCATCCAACCAGATGGCGACTCCCGAAGAAAGGTTGCCAATGGATCAACCACCCGTGTTACGAGGCCCTACTTGTTGGTTTCAATCCAGAAGGAGCAATAGTTGCTCGATGGGATAACTTGGGGGAATATGACATCCTGAATTTCTGTGTGCCATTGCACAAACCCGGTGAAAACGAACATTTCTCGCATGCAAGTGCAACCTCAATGACTACACATATAGTGAGAGCAGTTTTTGCCTCCCAGTTCGAGCCTAAAGTTCTTCTTCAGCTTTATCACCCAGGATCGCCGAATCAGGACAAGGGTACTGTCTACATAGTTAACTGTGAAGAGCTTGTTGACAAATCCCCAAGGAAAATAATAGACGCGAGAGATCTGCCCGAAACATTAGGGAGGATCCTACTAACACCGCTCGGAATTTTGCCTGACCAGAGTGTCGCATCATCGTCAATTCCTGTGAGCTCAAGGCAAAATCGATTTATATTTATTGACGATGAGTCGTGGATTTGTTCAGCGGCTCTAGATAGATCTGGTACTGATTGCAGCGTTAAACGCTTCTTTTTCCTTCCTCGAGACTGGTTGAGTATGGAGAGGGGGCTTATTAGACTGACAAAAGAAGGGGACATTATTTGCCCGAAAAATGGGGACGCTATTTTTATTAAGAATGGCTTTAATAAAGAGTGGACCGATTAGTGTAGCCACAACTCCGTTTCTGAGTTATCCTAGAGTTTACGTTTTAAAAACAAGTAGACATTTTATTACATACATATGCGCTAGATCCAATTCATATAGGCAGTTTGTGTAGGTGAAGTTGTGGCCTTCATTAGGGGGCAATTGGGACTTAAGTGAGCGAGATTTCAACAGACCGTCTCTCCACCCGTCCCTGGATTTAACTGACGAATGTAGTAAAAAGTCCAAGATGCTCTTTTCAACCGAGTTGCATTCCCTGATGTCAGTGGAGGAATTTTACCCACTTCTCCTTTCTAGACAAGCCCATCACGGAGTCCCATGTTGGTAAAGAAACACTCATAGCCTAGTTGCGTGAGTCCTTATGTCTAGAGACTATTAAATCACGGTTGGTACACTTGTGGTTCACCGAGCGGGTTGATATTACCCTTGCCCAAAGGTAGCGCCTGGGGTGCCCTGGGAGGCATCCAGGGTTGTGAGATCGCGCCGAGTTCTCCCATGTTACGTTGCGCTCATCCGTGATACAGGAAATCAAGAGGAGAATTCCAGGGTCAGGATACTGGTTATACACGCCTCGGGCTGATACCTGACGACAATAATCACGTAGCATGCAAGCAGAAATGTGACGGCTGAAGATTCTGTTAGGCGAGTAAATACCATTAGGTAAATGGTTCAGTGCAAATTGCAGCCATGTAGAGATAGAATGTGGCTTCTAGCCTTTGTTCTAGAGCCCGGGAAGAGTGTCCAGATGTTGTCTCATATCTTAGGGCGTATCGACTTGCTGAGATCGGGGTGTCATGAGCGCCGGACAGATTTGTAGACTTGCGACAAAGCTGTAAAACACTGGGGCATAAACTAGGGGTCGTATTGCACTTGTACGATAGCGTATACTTGGACTACTTATGGTGAATTGGGTAATGTAAGGGGAATCCAGGTATCCTGATAGTTCGAAATGCCGAGAGGGAATAGCCTTTCAAGTCAGGTGTGTGGGATATCTTTCCAGCTAGTAAAATATGTGGCCAAGCGACCAACACACAAAATCAGTCTCAACGGCTAGAGCTCTTCCTACGAGTGATTGTACCTGGTATGGTACTAGCTACAAATCACGCTATACACAAAGCAATGTTAAGGATATCGTGCTGCTCTGGGACATGGATTATTACCTGCCGAACAGCTTTCAGTGATCCCCAACAGATACTGTCGCCCCTGCGCAGGCATCGATTTTAGCTTTAATAAACACCGCCAAAATGCCACCTAAAACCCGCAACTCCCCTATAGTGTTGCTTGCGGCTTCTGTTAACGGACAATCCGCAATGGAACCTATCCTATCGGCAAGCTTTAGCAGGAAGATTATGAAGCAAGGAATGCTTGTCTGTAGGAGATGGCAGGGTGCTCACCCTGCCTCTACTAAGCTGTGTCGCTCTTTGTGATGAATACAGAAGCTAGCATGATTAGTATATTCGCAATTATGGAATGGAACCACTCTTTCCATAAGACAAATCCCTGTTGCACATTAACCTCAGAGGTTTGTTCACGCTACTGCACATCCTTGAGGCGACGGGTGAAATGAATATCTGCCTGGGCTATCCTTAGTTTCGAGCTGATAGAGACGTATGTGTGTATTATCTCTTATATTTTCTGCACATTTGTTGCCTTTCGCAGTCAAGAGTTATGCCTGGCTGTCTACTAAATGAAAATATTATTTAAGCTTCCAGAGCCTCCACGGATAGTGAGAGTTTTCGGCCAGTCCATGAAGCAGAGTTTTAAGCCCTAAAGCTCTTGTTGAAATCTCTATTTCGTCTCTTTGGGATATTAGTCGCTAACTAACAACGCAAGGGATAAATGTCAATCTCAATCAAACGAGACATATGCCTTCTCAGCCTACAGTCAAATGGGGTATTAACACTTTACCACTTCTACGCTCATGTTTTCTCAATTATCGATAACACAGATATTCTTGTTGAACTTATATTGACCAGCGGTCGCTGTCTCACGATGGTTCTCGACACAAACGATGTTTGCGAGGATGATCTACAACGAGTGCAGATAGAACTACAGAAATGCAGCGGTATCTCTCTACTAAGAAACATGGTTTTACTCTCGGTCCATATTGCGCCGAAAGAATATTATAGTGAGATGTTGTCTTCGATTTTTTCTGCTTGCTGCATTCCTTATCGTTTTATGTCCTACGGTCTGTCTTGATACATTATTGCTTCTACCTACTTTTATCTGCGGTTGTCTGACTTCCACAGCCTCTGCCGGGCCAACCGTATACTGCGTGACCAGTCAGCGAGACATGCCTCAGGCCTTGGAAGCTTTCTATTCCACCCTCCACAGTTCTAGATAATGAGTGATATGTCTATTTGGTGTATTTTAGTTTCGTTCGACCTAATTTTCTTTTTCGTTTCCCTCCTTCCTCATTTCACAAAATCCGAGTTGTAGCCGACTGATCATGTTAGTGAAGGAGATGGCCAAGCTATCTTTGGAAACAGCAATGACATGCGATGTGCCATTACTGCATCGTACTTGTCACATGTATGGACAAAACTGGGAGATCAGGGTATTAACTACGCTAGCTGATCTGCAATATGTGCCCGAATTATAGTAAACCCAGTCGTGATAGGTCGTAACCTCATCCATGAGGGTATCCTCTATAATGGAAGGATTCAGCAACCATTTCTCATATTCTGATATGCAAGAGTTGAAGTCAGAGCTGCCCAATTTGGTCCTCTATGCTTATGTCAGTTTTCGGTCGTAGTATGCTCACTGGGGATCTCGTCATTCGCTTGTGTATCCATATCACATTGCTTCGACTAATTTCTCCAAGGATTTTATTATGCTCTGCATTACTACCCCGCTTGAAGGAGAGGTTGTGCCTGTTAGCTTGAAACCGTGGTACTAAATGTCTGACGTATTTTGTATCAGATAGTTGTAGTCTCTTCGCTTCTGAAGGGCCTTATTGCTGCCTGTGGCAGTAGCAGCTGTTATGATGGAATTTGCAATTCTGCCTGAATAGAACGCATCTGGGCCGTTTTCGGCAATCTCTTCGAGTGTAGCCGCATGCATTTTGCTGCTCAATTGTTATTCAGTCCAACGCGCGTGCCATTTTGGAACGAAGTCCCCCGAAGATCGGAATCCGTCCCTTGTTAAAAATCCTCCCTCCAGCTTGTGAAGTTGTCCACATACTAATTGAGGTCGTCACTTTAAAAGTCAGTACTTACTAAAAGTATAGCAGGTACAATTTCCTCCTCCCATGTCAATCTGCCGTCAATCTTGTGAAGATATTCAAGACCTCGAAGCTGACTGGGAACACCACTAAACGTAAGAACCATAACAGATATTGTTTCGCGAGAAATCGTCCCAGAAGTGTCATACCTTTCCCGACTGTTGATAGATAATCTATTAATGTCGGTCATGTAAACTTCCTCGTGTATCGCATTTGGGGCTCTTTCACGAAAATCTTAGAGCTCTGTTGAGTCAGCATTTTGAACTAGCGCGACCCTACCCAAAGGTACAATTTGCAGGGAGGCTGCACTTACCAACTACAACACACAGTACCCATCTATTCTCTACGGCGCCAACTTACGACTGAGATGAAGGACATGTACTTGGGATTAAAATACTAATATCGCTGGATTAATAGCTCTGGCTTGCACAACCGGTAATTTAGATGACCAGCGGGGGTACATCTTAACGTTCATTCTCTGGAATGGCAAATGCTGTAGCCCAAAGGCCGGTTACGTGCAGAAACAAGTGAAATATGGACGCAAAAAACAATAATAATTACCGGTAAAGACGACTGGAACCAGTTCTCTAGAATTTATCTATAGTTATTTAATCTGATAGGCTTTAGACTTGGCACAATAAACTGTGCGGGCTAATTAAATATTTCCCTGGATAACTGTATCCAATGCTGCAGCAACATACGCCACGTTTGCCGCATTTACTACATGGTATGTCAGCTCCATTGTATTTATAATAGTCGCTAAGTGTATAACACAGAAAACATACATCCTGAAATAGATATCCGGCCAGAATTTGATACATAGATATGATATCGCGTCTTCAGCCGATGTATCTGCCCTGGAGTCAAGTTTGTGCATGCGAACATTCCAACCTACAGCAGCACAATGCATTAGCTGCTATACAAACTACCTATATATATAGTCCATACCTGTTTTTTAAGATGCTCCCAGCAGCCTGGTGTTCCAAGGCTCTTGAGTTCTCTCACGAGAGCTATCCTCATTTCAGTGAGTCGTTGGTGCATCAGACCTATATCCCGCTGCCATTCATTATAGAGCTCTGGGTCTAACAGAATCTTGGTGGCGATACTCGCTCCAAATGCTGGAGGAGAGTAGATCTCTCCGTGTTGTTGTCGCGTCAGCTGGCTGAACACACGTTTCGCTGCATTTGGGGAGGCCGTAACCAAGTGGAAGGAGCCAACGCGCTCCCCATAAAGACCCATGTTCTTGGAGAACGTCTGCGCAACGCAAAGTTCTAGGTTGCTGCGGACAAAGTGGCGAATAGCCCATGCGTCTTTATCAAGGGAGCCGGTCGCTAGGCCTTGGCTATATGCATTTCACATTAGCCTTGATGCCCTTGATCACTTCGAAGCCGGGGACGAAAAAAACATACTATGCCAAGTCAAAGAAGGGAAAGACCTTTTGGTGAGAACAGAAATTGGAGATGATTTCCCACTGCTCTCTTGAAGGGTCCAGCCCCGTTGGGTTATGCGCGCAAGCATGGAGTAGAAGGACATCATCCGTTTCGGCCTCCTGCGCGAGGACACTCATCATTCCTTCGAAATCGAGGGAATGATCCTCTCGGTCAAGGTACGGGTACATTTTGATTTCTAGTGGCTTCGCTTTCTGGGACATGGAGTCACTAGCTAGCTGCCAGATTAAAGAATGGTTATCCCATGTTACATCAGGGATCCAGACACGCCGAGGATGGAGATTGTGTGCGAGGAAATGTGCACCGAGATGGTTGGCGCCCGCTCCAGAGACTGTTTGCAGCGAGGCAAGTTGGAAACCTGTTCCAGAAATAAGGGTCTCTGCTAATGTCTCGCCAAAGACAAGACGCTGGGTAAGGTGAATGAATGATGCATTGCCGTGGACCGGAAGATAACCGTGTTTTGGATATGAATCAAGTTCAAGTAGTTTCTTTGCCTACATAGTTCTTTTAGCAAGGTTTGTTGCAGTTCGTCTGTTCAGATTATTATATGTTCAGCCCGACCTTTTCTACAACTGAGAGTGTCGCCACTTTGCCCTCTTCGTCCCAGTACATGCCCGATGCAAGACTGACCTTCTTCGGGGATGCATCAGCGACAAACTCAGCAATGAGCTGGCGAAAGGTGTCCTGTGGGACAAGATTAAGCGTGTCAAATCGAGAATGTCCCATCGCTATCAATGGAGTTACTTCTTGAGGACAGAGGATATATGCTGTTTATCTGATAAAGCTTTTACGAAGCTGGTAGATATATGTCCGGGATCACATTAGCAGGTCCGCTGCTAAAAGTATAGCTAATAAGAATTGCTCGTCCCACCAAAGCTGACAAACAGTAAGATTGGAGGATTTTTCTCGCAACTTTAGGCTCGCAACAGATAATTCCTCCTTACGGTCAAAGCACAGCACCTGACTTAGCACATCATTCAAGAACAACAAACAGCGGTGAGTATTTTTTTTGATTGTTACTTTCGGGCGGCAGGAGAAGATATACATCGTTCAGGTTGACTTACATGCAAGGCAGCGTTAAACCTGCATATGCGAGCCCACCTGTCCCAAGAGAATCAGGAAAATAAGAAGCGGTGAGTATTTGGCCTATGCTGAAGTTCAGACGGAGCATGAAGTCACTACGATGCAAATTTTATATTACTACCATGGGTTTTGAAGCAACAAGGTCACCATGTAGCTCAATTGGCAGGCACAAAGACTTGGTGAGCGTTTTCCAGATCGGCCACAATACTCAGCAAGGCCAAAACATCGACAGCAACAAACACCAAAGATTTGCCTTCCCCCATCGCTCGCATTTTCTCCGGGGGTCCCAGCGCGAATCCTGCACATGGCTTATTATGTTTCCTCATAATATTCCCAAATTTTGCCAGAGCCTCCTGCCATTCTGGCTCAGTCGGTACCACGCCAGATTCCCAACGGAGTCCCATCGAGACTCGACAATCGATGATACCGAACCACACGGCATCGATCTCAGGGACTTCGGACAAGATGGAGTCCAGGTTATTCAATCCCTCCAGTGACTCGATCTGGATTACTATGGCCGCTTGGTCATTTTGGTTTTCGTGAATGGATTTGGTCTTGTCGATAGGAGTATCAGTAATGCCTTGGATGAGACGATATGGAGGCGCCGAGCGAGTGCCGCCGCACTTCGCTCCATACTTCGTGGAAGACACTACGTGCTTTGCTTCCGCCACGGTATTCACCTGCGGTACAATAATGCTGGCACCGGCATCCAGTGCGTAGCCCACTGCAGCATGTTCATGGCCGGGGATCCTGCCATACTGTGAGCGAAAGGAGGCCCGCCGAGCAGATAGTACAATGCCAGTTACATACCGGACAAAAGGAATGGTCCTGCCTTCGCTCATAAAAGAAATATCATGGACCATCTAGAAAGGACTGATCAGCTTGGGAGAGATTTATAGTGAAGTAGATGGAGTCATAGTGGGCAATTTGATACGCACCGTTGTCATGGTCTCCACATTGCAGGATGAATGCTCCCAATCTATAAACACCGCGTCAAACCCAAGCGGCGCGATATACCTCGCCGTTGGAACTGAGCTGAGGCCGAGGTAAAGACCGATGAGAGGAGAAATTTTCCCCTCGTGGGCATCGCGCAACGCTTGACGGGCACGGTGAGGTTGAAAGAGGGACGGGGCTCGGTATGCTGCCATTCTCAGCTCTTGGTTCTGAACGGCAGTCATCTCTATAGCTCGGAATTAGAAACTCAAATTAAACGAAATAGAATGAATTGCTCACCTTGGGATTTATTGAATGAAGATCGGGATATGATTGTTTTATCCCCAGGCGTGCCAGTGCAAGACTCTCCACCGGCCTAACCTGTCTTCACTTGCTGCACCTCTGCGGCTCCACTTTCCCACTATTTATATTACGCTGACAGCCCCAAAATCACCCTGCACTTATGGATATATTCTTTATATTCCCTCTTGAGCCTTCCTCTTATCTCCATTTGTATTCTCTATAGCCCGCATGCGTCCTTGCCCCCTACTTCTCCCCTACCCAATGAATGTCGCCCACCGTTAGGAAGGGGCTATCTTGCTCTGCATATACACACGCTCATGTAACAACACTACCCTTCCCTTGATAATTCAATGAACCACTAGTAAGCACGAACATATTTGTGCTTCCTTGCTTTAGTTATAATCACCACGCCAGGTATGCTTGCATAGTGAAAGATCTTGCGCGTAACAGGCCCTAGGCGAGCCCCTTGCCGAAGTTCAATTGGCCGGTCTGGCCGGATCGGTCAGAAGCTTCATATGGCACATTAATCCATTATACATGTACCTTTCCATTAATTAGCTCTTCCTTCTTGTTTTCTTTAGAGTTTGACTCCTGCAATATTGTTCGTCTCAAGTATTATGCGTCTTACGGTGCTGGGTACTCACCTGACCATGAGCACAGGATTAAGAGCCGGACATTCCTAGGAGACATCTCGTAGTTGACCTAGAGGCAGTGTCGGTATGTGCAACTACGAGTGATACACATGGATAATCTTCATTCTGGAATCGTAGTTGTTCCATACGCAAGCTAATGAAAAACAAGCATGTCATTATCACATTATGAAGATGCCATAGCCAATCCTGCATTCTCTAATTTTTCTCCTGATATACCTTAATATTTCCGGAAGCAAGAACTTTGAGCGTCTCAGGAGCATCGTGGGTGCCCAGCATGACTTCCACCATTCTCAACCCACTCCCGTCTTGGAAACTCTGGTCGGCAAGGAGTGTTTGAAGCTCGCCCCATGTAGTAACCCTTGCTGTCTGCACATGGTACGACCCATCTGCCGGAGCCCCAAAGCACCTTGGGGTTTCCAGGTACCTCCAAGGAGCGATATCATTGTATTCCGCGTTCCAGCCATGAATTAGCCGCTCGATGGTGTAGCCGTTGTTGTTGATTAGGAAGATAATCATATCCAGCCGTTTGCGAATCACTGTGCTGAGCTCCTGCGCGGTCACCTGGAAACTGCCGTCTCCTTCGAAAAGTATCGTTCGCCCCTGCATCTGCCCGGCTCGTGCCAAATCTCTCTGAGCAAGGGAAGCCCCTTGCGCGGCCGGAAGCATAAACCCGATGGAGAGCCAGATGCTCGAGTTGATCAACTGCGTGTTTTCCGGGAGTACAAACTCACGCCCGCCACTGCTCGATGTACCGGTCTCCGTCATGATGATGTCTCCGGGGCGGAAGAAATGGGACAACCGCGGCCAGAAAGTTGCGTGGTCCAATCTATCCGCAGGCCGCGCGATAGGAAGTGCGGCCAGATCTTGTCGCGGCTTCGGTAGGTCTGGGTATGGCGTATATGTTGGCAGTTTCGTTTGATCAAGGCGTCCGAGGATTTGCTGCATTAGTCCTTTGATGTTGACGTGGTATGATATTAGGCTGCCGCTGCTCCCGTCGCAGACGGTGACGGTGTCGCGATCAAATGTTATGGCTACCTCAGGGCTGGGAATGGTCGTGAACCCACACGTGTTGATATTGCTCAACCGTGGTCCGATGTAGAGCACAAGATCGCAGGCTTTGACCCAGGAAGAAAATGCGTTTTTCCCGACTGTGCTATACACTCCATGGAAATTAGGTAGCGTCTCATTGATGATGCTCTTACCAAAAGGTGTTGTGCCTGTAGGAAATCCGGTGATGCGGGCGAGCTTGTTAGCCTCGCCAGTCACCCCATACCGCGAAGCTCCAGCATCCACCAGCAGGAAAGGCTGCGTGGAGGCATATATCCTCCGCAATATATGGTCAGCGGCTTCAATTTCTATGTTGACGTCATTTGATGGGACGGTAAATTCCAGAGGGTTGACCAGCGGGGCAACCGACACTTTTGCGGTCACCATATCGGTTGGCAGCTGGATATAGACGGGCCTTGATTGAAGGACGCATTCACGAAGCGCACGGTCAATCTGTGCTGTAGCCGTTGTTTCATCGGTGAGGCTTTCTCGTGCCGCAGTAATCTTCACTGTCATGTCTGCATAGATGGTGTAATCACTAGGGTCACCAGTGCAGAGGGTATGGTGGATCTGCTTCCCTTGAGCCTGGAACTTTCTGGGAGGTGTCCCGACGATGTGAACCACCGGTGACATCTCAGCATATGCACCTCCAACGGCGTTGATAGCGGAAAGCTCCCCGACGCCAAAAGTCGTGGTGAGTGCTGAGATCCCTTTGACCCGGGCATATCCGTCGGCTGCATATCCTGCGTTGAGTTCGTTGCAGTTACCAATCCATTCCAACCCAGCTGGAACAATGTAGTCCAGTGCGGTGAGGTTATAGTCGCCTGGGACACCATGGACAGCTCGGACGCCAGCCTGATATAGGCGTCGGAACAAGTACTCTGCGAGGTCAATCTGATCACTCAAATCTGTAAATGTCATGACGGAAGGCTAGATTTGCCAGTTCCGACGAGATGTTGTTGTTCTGGAGGCTGGCAGTTAGTTAACTTTGGGCGGTCATCATGATTAGAACCCTTTCAGGTAGCTCGCTACATTAGAGGTTGCTGCGCTCTATATATGTACGACAGTCCCTTGCTGATACGTATAGGGACTTCAGAACTATAGTATAGCCATTAGATGACTCAGAATTCCGAGATGTTTAATGGGTAGTATCTGGCTTTTCATAAACACCCTAGCATTGGGTCTCCACGCCTGAGGTCTCCACGCATGCATATTGCAGCCAGTTTAAGCAGCTCCAGTTGACTCTAACTTCTTAAAACTGGTAGATATGCTTTGTCCGCTATCGCTCCTTTCGTTTGCCGGCGTCGATGCTGAGCCATATATATCATCATCGCTGCGAAAATCGATATTCTGTGCAGGTGACTCTAGCATCCACGGCAGTATGCATGATCTCTCAATCTTTCCCTGTCGCTAATACTGTTCTTAAATAGCCAGCATTGTGTGAGATACTACCTTCTCACAAAATCAATTACTGTTTTGCAGCGATCGCCAACACAGACGGCAATCTTTTTGAGTTGACTGCAGGCCGATATAATCACTTCCCCCAACTGTATCTTGAGACGGCGTTCATTCAGCGCATATTTTCGGGTGATAATGATGTAATAGTGTCTCTGATATACAACTATGTATTATTCAATGTCCAGTACGTATCTCATGCCGTAAGCGAATATAACGCAGATATCGTTCGATAGCATATTTGCTGTTTCCCTGCACAGTCAAACGATGTTAAGATACCCCGCGTTTAAGCTGTATAATGATGATATTCATGGATTGGGCAGAATGTGAGGAAACTAGAAGTTTTGAGACCTTTGGCCTCACTAAAAGCCTTATCACCAGCATCCAGCGCAGTGTTAACCTCCATCTGCCCCAACCCATAATGTTCAGCGTAGGGCATGCTAATCTATTATCAACCCCCAAATAGCGGAAATAGTGTCAGGAGCTTCGCAAATCTGCAACAAATGTTTGCCAGGCCTGTAGGAATGGGCTGTCCCGTGTTTATTTGCCTCATAATCAACTCCCTCTTGCGTCACCCAGACTGTCTAAGTATATCAGTGGGTTTTACTATCCGCCGACAGCCAATGAGTGACATATGTGATATGGTTTAATTAAAATTCTGACAACAAATGCTCTTATTGAGATCTTGTTGGTTAAGCTCCATGTTCAATGCAGGGATGGTGTACCATCACCTGTGATTAGAAATTGTTATGCACCGAAACCATCAGAGTTAACAATGTCTCACAAGGTACACTGCCTCGGCTACAGTCCGCAGGCCGTGCGGCAGGAAGTGCGGCCAGATCTTGTCGCGGTTCCAGTAGGTCTGGATATGGTGTGTATGTCGGCTGTTTTATTTGACCAAAACATACTAGGATTAGCTCATGTCACCTATACTGGAGGATGCCCATAAGTGCTCGTTGTCAATGATGTCGAAAGTCTGAGTAAATGGGAGAAAAATTGGAGAAACAAATATACTGCTAGAATCAAGATACATTATCAATAACAACCACTCCCCAATAGCAGTGCAAGTGGGATGTCTAGAAAACTGAAAGGCTTTTCACGCACCAGAAGCTTTCCTCAGGTAAAGAGTATTCTGTGTCCATCTCATCCTGCATACGCATATACTCCACGGAAGTCTTCTGGGGATAAGAGTGTTGCTTTAAAACTTGCTGCTGGCGCCAACGGAGAGAGCACAGAGGGTTCGCTTGTCCATGATTCGAGTTGTCTGTAATAGGTGCATCAGGACTGCTACACAGATTTGCTGGCTGGTGATGGATCTAGGATGTGCTGTAACTGAAGTGACAAGAATACAGACCCTGTAGAATGGCATAAGCTCAATCCAATGCTGACTGACAAGTGGAGTGAAGCTAGGGGCTTTGGCGGAATCTGGACAGCCCACCACTGCAGTCTTTCTCAGTTTCAATCATGGGAATGTGCCCTTGCTCCGGATTGTGTGCGAGTACAGCGGTATGGGCTAAACCTGAACGTATCGTCAGAATCTCATGCAAGCTACATAGGTGCTTGTGATTGGGATCGGCATACGGCATGCAGAAGATCTTCATCCATTGTTCCGAAACTGATGATGTGCATCATGTTCTCTCCGCAAGGCGATGACAAGGACACTCAGCTAGCAAGATCGATCTGCACATTCCGTGGCTCTTGTCCCTCCCTGATGTCTTTATTTGATCCCTACTATCGATTGGAAGAGCTGGGCTGTCCTTCCCCAAAGGAAACAAGCTTCATATGAGCCTGCATATCATTCCAACATCTCTCACCGACATTCGAGATAAATTGCATCGACTACGAGTAATTTGGTCACCCATACGCTTGAATGGAAAGGGTTCGTTTCATGCGCATAGCGAGCACAATGTTTGGAAGATAGGCAGTTCATTGAATAGGACGTGATTCGCTGGCGTATACAGGGGCCTTTAAGTCAAAACCGACAGCCACTCAAAATAAACCAAGACCGTTAGTAACATGGACTCGTCATTTAATATATTAGAGTAGGAAGAAGCCTAGAGAGCACCACATACTATTTAATGATCACCTAGCTTATCTCCACTATCAACTTCCTCTCCCTTGACAATTGTATTGTCTCCAACGGTCCATTTACTCTTTTCAGTATAGGCCTGATAACGAATCCAGCGATCAACAAGGCGCGTCACCTCCTCTTCGAACCATGGCCATGAAGGATTTCTACGAGTCGATCTCTGATTCTTACCAGAAAGCGTACGCCAATGACCCTTTGGTCCTCGGCTTTATTGAGAGCGTCTTAAGCTACTTGCCACCACAAGCCCGTACCTTGGATATGGGTTGCGGGACAGGCAATCCTTTGGATATGGCTTTGGCTGCTGCAGGGCATAAGGTTAAGGGGGTAGATAGATCGGCCTCGATGATCGAGCTTATTAGAAAGAATGTACCCAGTGGTACCTTTCTAACCGAGGACATGTATGCCTATGAACACCCAAAGGAGGAGCCCTTGGATGCGGTGTTTAATGTGCGCGCTCTCTTCCATCATATGAGGGAGCCCAACGAAGAGTGTGTAAGGCGCTGGGGAAGATGGCTACCCAGTGGCGGTCTGCTGTGCATGGTTGTACTTACCGCCGATGATTACAATCCAGCGAAGATTGAGAAATATGATGCAGATGGACAGTTTGCAAGAGTAAGGAGGCGATTTATGGGCAGAGAAGAGGTATATATGCTGCCTACCCGACATGGATTGAAGCATCTTCTGAATGAGAATGGACTTGTGATTGTGAACGAAACAACTGGAATTTTCGTGCCACCTCACGAAGCCGACTCTGACGAAGCAGCACAATATTGTTTTATTGCTACGAAGATGTGACACTGGGCGTGAGAACCGACTGACCACTTCTCTTGGATCCGTGCATATTGTTAACGTATCCATGTGCCGCGAAGGGGAAAGAATCTCAGTGTCGAGGCATAAAGGACAATACCATAGGCGTATGAGGGAATAGCAGTATGTAATTATTTCACATCGCCTGAAAGCATTGTGTTGAGAAGGGTGTTGCAGTGCTTCTTCTCACTCTTCCACGGTAAAAACATCAAAACATTCGTAGCAGTACTTCAGCTGAGACTTTTTACAACTTAAGGCCGGGCAGAGTTCTTTGATTGGCAATCTTGATGATGTTGGGGCCATCCTATCTGCGTAGAATAGTATAAAGACTAGTAAACCACGGCGCGCCGCTTGGTCAGTATCATATATCTCGCGCATCGAGTGCGCCACTGTTTTGATAACCATCTGAGAATGCTATTTAAGTATTTACTTACTGCCCCACGCGAAGGCTGTGCAGTAGTCTGTATAGTCAGTACAGGGGCAAAATTAAATCTAAACAGAACAACTCTACGGACGTGCAACTTAAACTTTTAGAGTAAGCACTAGATACCGTATCTTACAAGTCAGCCCCGCAAGAGGCGTTCTAGTTTGCCCCGAGTTGAGAATCGCTCGCATCGCTCGCATCTGCACTGGCCAGCGCTAATATATTATCAGCTCGTCCAGTGCAATAAGGTCTTAGATGAAGATAGAAACACACTTTCCCCCTCCTCCTCCCCTGTTTTTCGCCTCCTGTCTCGTTGATCATGCTCTTCTTGCGTGCATGAGATTCTTCAGAATGCATCCGCTGTCCTTTCCCCTTCTCTTCAATCCTCCATAATGATACGAACCTCTGTTGGGGACTGGGAGGGAGAGAGAAAAATAAGTAGTCAGTCACCATGGCACAGCAGGATCATTTTGGCCGCATTCATAAAAGTGCCTTCGTGCAATGAACATTCTCTCTCTTCTTGAAGTCACGTCTCGCTATAGATATCCTCAATATCCTCACCGGTGACCTAGGTATCAACCGCGATATTCCTTGCCCTAGCCCTGATTGGCGTGGTTATCCGATTCACCATCCGCTTTCGTACGCAAAAGCAGCGGTTCCAAATCAATGATGGACTGTTCTCACTGGTGGTCGTCTTGCTGCTGATCAGCATCATCATGTACCACCACATCGTAGACCCGATGTTATTGTTGGCCGCCCCACAGACCGGGGTCAAGGGAGTCGAGTTGCCCGCCGACTGGCTCCAAGTCCCACAATTTCCAGAAATGGAACACAGCAGCGCTGATGATAAGCTGTTGCCCCATCGGCGCCGTCAAGTGGGTGACCACCGTCTTCAACATCGCCCTGTTTGTCTTTGGAGTCAATTACACACATCTACATCAGCTGTCCCTCTTGGGATGCACGAGAACGTATGCTTTGCCTGCTGTTCCTTCGGAAAATAAACCGCTCAGTTATACTTCATTAGATTGATAATTCAATCTAGAACACTTCCCAAAACTTTCTAAAAACCTTAAAACAACAACCGGCTCCAGTTATAACGCTTATGGTAGAAGGGCGGATATTAGAATTCTAACACCGTTGACTCATACCAGGCCTAATTGTCCCTCTCAGCATTCTCTATATAATTACATTGATGGAAATTCTGGCAGAAATGCGCCAATGCTGCTGAGCCTTTCTTCTTGGCTGACTGAGTGGTCGAGGTGATAAAGACGTACAGAGCGTAGCGGATGAGTTACCTCGACTTGGACCCCAGATCGGGTGGGATTTTTTTTTTTTTTTTTTTTTTTTTTTTTTTTTTTTTTTTTTTTTTTTTTTTACGGTTTTAATGGGACAAGTACTGCTAGAGTAACCACTCTCTGACCAATCTGGAATCGAGTGACATTCTCACCGAAGCGAGAAATAGTCCCGCTTGCCTGATAACCGATAGGGGTGCACTGGCTAGAGCCCTTGGCTTGACATCAACCTGTTCCAGGCTTACACATTACACCTTGATTTCCACTTCATTGTCGGCCAGTCCGTGCTGAGTAGTAGTGGTAGACTTAGTTTGCGTCAATATTGGCTTTGGGGCGGGATAGATTTGCCGCATATACCTCTTGGCAGGGTCCTGACAGGGCCATTCGCAGCTGTGACATTAAGCTTCGAGGGATGTTTGATATTCGATGTAACAACTACGCGTTTTGTAGCGGGCAATCTATTGCTGTTGACTTCATGCTGCCTTTCAGCTCCAGTTGCCCCGGTGCGCTGGCCCTCCGCGAGAGTCGCCTCAGAGGTAGCGGGTTGTTTACTAGGAGACCCTTCCTTTGATACTGGCTTCGCGATTCCCACTTCTGTTTGGTGTATGTGGTAGCATTGTCCAGAGTCTTCTGTGCCAGGGTCATTCCTTGGGTGTTTGTGGGATGGAGATTAGGTGTTATGATCATTCGCTCACGGGAAGGAATGGGTGGCAGGGGAACACTATGCCAGAACCCTGGGCGGGATCACCATCGGGCCGTATTTAGTTCCCGTTCGATACACAATCCAAGCCTTTGGCTTTGGTAGAGTTCGGAAAAGGTCTTGGTATCGTAGGTAAGGCAACAAGGCAGGGAGGGTCGCCAAAGGGACTCTGTTCACGCATTGCACTTCTAATCTATGACACGATGGCTCAACAAGTCATTTTTTTAACGCAAACCAAACAATCATGCTATAATCTACGTACCTTTCTTTAACAGCTTCACTTTGTGAGCAATTTACATAAATATAGACCTGTCAAACAATGGCTATTAACGAATCGCTGTTGGGTTAAATATTAAGGAGTGTGTTCAGTACGGGCGGCAGTTTAACACAGATGTTGATTCCATCCAACACTTTGTTCAATGTTTCATCATATACTCACATCCGGGCGGCAAAAAGTGGAAAAAGGGAGGTCAAAAAAGAATTGTTTAACAAGTGCTGTAGGTCATCATGACCAACTTCACTGACGTGACATGATGAAGACAATAGCTATTTCTATGGGATGTTAGACCATTAACCGGCCCTTCTACGTGCCCCCCCAAAAAAAAAGAGATGAAAAATTGTAGACGGCACAGTAAATCATTGAATTCAGAAACAACGCAGAACAGTGTGCTAAGTGGAACCAGCACGCTAGAGCACAAGCGTTGAATGAGGTAGGTCAAGTGTTCAATACTACACCGCTCACAAGTGTCCAACAATTCTTTATTGCCGAGGTGTTCAACACTCTTGATATTACGTGCGGTCAGACTCTGGCACTCGATTTGTTAACAGCCTGTTGGACATTTGCAATAAGCACTGCCCACCTTAAATTTAATAGTTTGCCCTAAACATTGTGAGGACTTCATTTTGCTCACTGTATGAAGTGTTCAACCAAAATATAGAAATATACCTCCCTATCTTTTTCTTTTCTTCTTTTTTCTTCCCCCTCTCGTTCGATGCTCAATGATTAAATGAAACTTGGTTACAGACTGTCGCAAAACTACCCTGCCTGCCAAAATTATTCTGGATGTGTTGAAATTTGACGGAATGGGATGGCAACTATAGTAGCTACTTTTCCTTCAGTTCCTTTGCTTTACTAAATAATGTTAAACTTGTACGTAACGCTTTCCCCCTCGCTACTATATTCTGCTTCGGGGCACAGGGTAGGGGCTATGTAAAATATAGTCTGAAATACCAGCATTGTGGCTCTCCAACAGCCCACGCGTGTTTCTCGGTGACTGATCGATGCTTTTTGAAATTACAGGTAGTACACTCAGAAATCCGCCGATCTAGTCTCTAGAGAAGATTTCTTTAAGAACATAGTAAACACGTACTATTTCATCTCATTCACAGATTTATTGTAGAGCAGGTCCGTGGCGAGAGCAAGAACAAATCATGTAATAACCCCTCCGTCAGTACAACTCTGCCACGGAAATCAGACAGACGACAACAGTTAGACCCAATACTGTACATATGAGTATTGTCTTCACTTCCATATCATTTGATTTTAGCAAACCAAGCCGCGATATCACCCACATTGCGATCCACACAATCCGGCCGATCATAATGCTGGAAGTGCAAAACTTCATCATTCCAGATAAGCTTCTTGTTCGCCGTAGGAATCGAGTCAAAATGTCTCTTCGCGGCAGCTGTATTCATGCAATTATTGCCATGGATGATTAGGGTCGGCTTTGTCAGCTTGGCCACTCCCGTGTCAATCGTGTAATCAAAGTGATCCACATCACTCATGATTGCATAGACATCTCAGAGTCCATGGCCATACCACTGCCAGACTACAGGTCCTGGGAGTCCAGCAGATGACCTTTATCGGGATCTGCGGCGTTGGGATCCACGAGTGGCTGGTATATAACCTCTCCGATACGCTCGTAGAGCGCCTTGGCCTTCCTTGCTCTCTTGAGCCGTGCCTGATAGAGAGCTTCACCCTGTTCCGCCGTCGGCATTTTCATAGTGGAAATGTCCGCTCCAGGCTCAGCAGAGACACACCCAGCGCAAATGTAAATATCTGTCTCGCGATCACGGAAATACCCAGTGACGAATGCAGCCCCGATAACGCGGTCATCGTAGGACGCGACGTCTAGTGACTCCGGTCCACCCTGGCAGACTCCCACCAAGAAGAGCTTGGATTTGTCGATATCTCCCCGTGACTCAAGATAATTAAGTCCTGCCACAGTATCCTCGTTCTTCGTTTTAGGGTTCTCCTGTCTTCTAAGTTGACCGGTCCTGTCTCCCACAGAACGCGGGTCAAAGATAAAAGCAGCATAGCCCTCGTCGGCTAACCGAGTTGCATACTGGAGGGGGGCTTGCTCTTTGACAAATAATAGGGTCCGGTAATCACAATACCCGGCGGGTTGGGAACATTCTTGGGGCGAAGGAGGACTCCAGCTACGGTCTCACCGTGGGATGGGTTGGAGACTTTATGAGTGGTGTACTGACCGTTGACAGGCATAATGGAGAGTGACCTTGAACAATATATTCAAAAAGGTTAGCTTGAAAGGTATGTTTTACAGAATGTGGTCTCTTTGCGAAGTCATGTACATATGAGCCGTGCTTCTAGCAGTCTTTTATAATGCCGTCCCTCAAGGTGGGCGTGCATATAATCCGATAGGGTTGTCCAATTTCCCAAGAGATTTATGTTGGTATCATGTGGAGCTTTCTCTTGTAGGGCAGTTCGCTCATTATCTCCGAAACATTGCAGGGCTTTGTCAGTGAATTCGGAGTCTTGACGCAAGAGGGACCACTTATAGCCGAAGAATGTAGGATATTTTCCCCGGGTTGCCCAACCATAGATACCTTTGCATGTGGAATGTGGGAGAAATCTACTGTGCAAAAGTAGAACTGCGCCAAGGTTGTTAACACAACGTTAACCAACTTTTAGCTTCGGGTGACTTTGGTGTGAAAGTGAGGATTGTATCAATCATTCCAGGAAAGCTTAGGTTTGCATCATCCAAAACCCGACGCGTCGTTCGGCTCTTGAGGCTTTATATGATACACATTAACTATTTTTGTGGTTTATCGATCATTAATGGATTTGGGAAATTGTTCTATCGAGAGCTCATTCTTAACTTAGTATCGTCATGCTTTTCTTGAGGTTAATATACCGCCTCGTCATCCCCCATCCCTTAGCACTTTTGATACCACAATGGAGGATGCTTCAGCGATAGATGTCCTTGACCTCCAATCTAGTCCGCGTTATCTATTTCGGCAGCCACTGGCACTGCAATGTTTTGAGAGTGGGAAACTTGTGAAGCGGCAGGAAGGGGAACGACAGGCAGGAGAGAATTTCTCCCTTTTCAAGGGCTGCTGGATATCGGCCTTACTGATATTCAGCTGCGCAGGACGTTTTGAGCTTACCTTGGACCTTCTCTATGTCGCAATTCTGGCCAATTTCGCAGAAACGCTGGCCGAGGAAACTTCGGGCGCATACATAGCTAAGTATTATGTATATTTTCGGCACATTGTTCGAGATACTTTACTCATTAGTGGCATCAGAAGCTGGCTGTTTCTCTTGCTTATCCTCGCACCTACCTGGCACATTTGGTCCGACCTCCGGGAGTTGATGAACACTTTTTACAATAACGACCTGTTACAACATGTTCTTATTCTCTGGGTTATGGCTGTTCTGGTAATGTACGGCAACAATGCTCCCCTAGTTAACGATAATATTAGCGCTATGCGGACCACCGTCGGCTATGGTCGCGCGCATGTCCTGTGGCGCAGCTTATCTGCTATACTTCTTTGCCAGCTATCACCACAAATCACAGCAGCGGCTTTGGTTTGTACTTACTTTATATTCTCTCTGTATCTACATTTCACTGTACTTAGAGTCTGTGTTATTGCGCACACAGATGCTGTGTGTTTATCTGTCGTTTTTATACAATTTCTAATCCGTTGCCGAGTTATTCTGTGGTAGCGCAACTCCGGAATTACTTGAAGAGCCCTGTGGTATCTATAAATCGTGCGACTCCAGTTGTGTACTTTTTATTACCGAAGAGGAATTTTATGTCCGTGATCTGCCCTTCTGTTCCCCATATCCTCTACCTTTGCTTTATGGAAAAGCGGACAAACCAACGGTGTATACTTTCGCGGACGGACCCATTAGTTTTATTTTAGCCTTGTGAATAGCGTTCGACGCAACAGCAAAGTGTAGGCTCCGTGTACTTCTATCATCAATCCCTACGGATTGATATGACACCAACCACTCGTCGTACTTTTCAATTATGGAAATTTCCAAATGAATTTCAGACAGCTTGGAAAGCCTTCCCACAGTTGCACACAGAGTAGACTTATCCAGGTTTTCATGCAAAAATGCCTTGCTGTTCCTTACAAATTTCACAAAGTCGACGATAAATAGACTTATAATTAGGAACATACACATCCCTGTCAATTTCAATGTACTCATCGACACATAGAAATCAGGTCTAAATTGACCAAAATCCATAGTTTCTTTTGCTTATTAGCTAACCCTACTTAAAAACAAAGCCCAGAATACCTACCACGGTGTAATATCTTTAGCGTCATAGGTAAACGAAATGACTTGCTGGCAGACAGAGGGCTTTGCAAGTTATGCAAGATTTCAGGTTTTGTGTTAAAGGCTGAGGCCCGTTTACCTTCTCGGGCCTATGATCCCTGTTGTCCCTGTCGTCCCTACTGTCCCTACTGTCCATTTTGGCCCCGTTGGCACCATTGGCCCTCGACCCATATCACGCGACTTCTCACCTTGTTTGTTTACCGCTTATTCTCCGTTTGTAAAGTCAGTAGAGATTTTGGGCGGCAGGTAACGAGTGATCTACCTTAACTGGCCTATGATTAGCCGCCATATCCCGGTCATTCAGCCGCGCCAGCTCATCAAAGAGGGGTTGAGTATTTATTGCGGGGGAAGAAAGGAGGGCATCTCCTATCTTTCTTGCAAAAAGAAAACCAAATCAACCAAAACACTTATAATTGCGAACCATTTCTGAATTATATACTACCATTAGAATCATGGCGTCTACGGTGTCATTTAATAATCCTAACTCTGGAATGCAAACGGGGATTAATAATGGCACGATTAATGCTCAGTTTAGCCTTCATGAAGGTAGAGTATATAAGCTTGTAAGTCGGGGGAGCTTTATTAACCAAGTGCAGACCCTCTGGACAAGCTACCAATTGCGTATGGAGCCGAGTTCGACTCGTATGCAGATCAGCATGAAGATGATTGTCTTCCGGGCACTAGGACTGAGCTTCTTAAATCAGTTGCAGAATGGGCTGTGTCGCCACATGGAAAGTGTATATTTTGGTTAAATGGCATGGCAGGAACAGGAAAGTCTACCATCGCCCGAACAGTCGCAAAGTCCTTTAAGGAGAAGGGGCAGCTAGGAGCCAGTTTCTTCTTTAAAAGGGGCGAAGCAGACCGTGACAATGCAAAAAGACTGATATCAACTATTATAAGACAGTTAGTAACGACTCATCGGGAGCTGGAACCTCTTGTCTTAAAGGCGATTAAGGATAATCCAAATATTCCGGCAAAGTCTCTTAGAGAACAGTTCGATAAACTTCTTCTTCAACCACTGTTAGGTATTAATCCAAATCAGTCCACTATCATAGTGATCGTGATCGATGCTTTGGATGAGTGCGAACAAGATAACAATATTGAAGTTATCCTTGAACTTTTACCCCGGATTCAGCAATCTAACTCTATGCAGCTGAGAATATTCCTGACTAGCAGGCCTGAACTTCCCTTCCGCCTTGGTTTTAAGCGGCATGATAACCATCAGGATCTAGTCCTCCATGAGCTTCCCAAACCAGTGATTGAACATGATATACGTCTCTTTCTAAAAGACAGACTTTTAAAAATAAGAGACAAGCGCTCACTTCCTTTGGAGTGGCCTGGAGACACAGTTATAGAGAGATTGGTTGCAATGGCTGTCCCCTTGTTTATCTTTGCCGCCACAGTGTGTCGCTTTGTCGGGGAAGGAAAGCTATCTCCAGAAAGGCGTCTTGCAAAATTTCTTCAATCAAAAGCAGCGACATCTGCATCCCAGATGGAGAAGATATACTTACCTGTATTATATCAGCTCCTCACTACTGACGACGAGGATGAGTCAAGGGAACTTGTAAAACAGTTCCTAGATATTATTGGGACTATTATTATTCTTGCTACTCCACTCTCGATCAATGCTCTTGGGCAGCTTCTTGCTATTTCAAAAGAAGATATCAGCAACCTATTGAGTATGCTACACTCAGTACTTAGTGTACCAGAGGACCTAGATACCCCAGTCCGCATTCTACATTTATCATTTCGAGATTTCCTTGTTAACACGAAAAGCACCTTTTATATAAAAGAGGAGGACATGCACAAGAGCATAGCCTTACATTGCCTTCGCATTATGAACACTTGCCTTAAACAAAATCTCTGTGGCCTACCAAGTTATGGAATGCAGCGGGTAGATATCACCCGTCAGACTATTAACCAATACGTCCCAGAAGAACTACAATACTCCTGTCGCTACTGGACAACTCATGTGGAACAAAGCAAGTTACTTAATACTACTAAGGTTCTTGCTTTCTTAAAAATCCATTTTCTCCATTGGCTGGAAGCAATGAGTCTAATGGGGTTTATCCCAGAGACTATTAGTATTGTAAATAGTTTGCAGTCAGCTATAGGGGTAAGTGCCTGGACAATCTACTACTTCTATGCACTAAAACAGAAATTTTAGAGTAATACAGCCTCCGAAATAGTGGATTTTTTACATGACACAAAACAATTTATTCTTAAAAACATGCAAATTGCAAATACTGCTCCACTTCAACTTTATTGTTCTGCACTAATATTCTCTCCCAGAAAGTCAATTATTAGAAGAAAATTTGAAAAAGAGATTCCTAGGTGGATATGTATGGTACCACCAATAGAAGACTTCTGGCGTGCAGATATACAAACGCTCGAGAGCCATTTATCTTGGGTTCTGTCTGTAACCTTCTCCGCGGACGGTCAGACTATGGCCTCAGGCTCGACCGATAAGACCATTAAGCTCTGGGACGCCAAGACCGGTCTGGAACTCCAGTCGCTTGAGGGCCATTCAGATTCGATTTGGTCTGTGGCCTTCTCCCCGGATGGTCAGACTGTGGCCTCAGGCTCAGATGATAAGACCATCAAGCTCTGGAATACCCTGAGCGGCCTGGAACGCCGGACTCTCGAAGGCCATTTAGGTTCGGTTCTGTCTGTGGCTTTCTCCCCGGATGGTCAGACTGTGGCCTCAGGCTCAGGTGATAAGACCATCAAGCTCTGGGATATCAAGATCGGCCTGGAACGCCAGACGCTCGAGGGCCATTTAGGTTCGGTCCGGTCTGTGGCTTTCTCTCCAGATGGTCAGACTGTGGCCTCAGGCTCAGGTGATAAGACCATCAAGCTCTGGGATACCAAGACCGGCCGGGAACTCCAGACGCTCGAGGGCCATTCAGATTCGGTTCGGTCTGTGGCCTTCTCCCCGGATGGTCAGACTGTGGCCTCAGGCTCAGATGATAAGACCACCAAGCTCTGGGATGCCCAGAGCGGTCTGGAACTCCAGTCGCTTGAGGGCCATTCAGATTCAGTTTGCTCTGTGGCCTTCTCCCCGGACGGTCAGACAGTGGCCTCAGGATCCGACGATGAGACCATCAAGCTCTGGGATGCCAAGACTGGCCTGGAACATCTCGCACTTAAGGGCCATTTATCTTTAGTTCTGTCTGTGGCCTTCTCCCCGGACGGTCAGACTGTGGCCTCAGGCTCCACCGATAAGACCATTAAGCTCTGGGACGCCAAGACCATCCTGCAACGCCAGACGCTCGAGGGCCATTCAGCTTGGGTTCAGTCTGTAGCCTTTTCCCTAGACAGTCAGACTGTAGCCTCAGGCTCCAATGATAAGACGATCAAGCTCTGGGATACCAAGACCGGCCAGGAACGCCAGACGCTTGAGGGCCATTTAGATTCGGTTCTGTCTGTAGCCTTGTCCCCGGATGGTCAGACTGTGGCCTCAAGCTCCCACGATAACACCATCAAGCTCTGGGATGCTAAGACCGGCCTGGAACTCCAGACACTCAAGGGCCATTCAGATTCGATTTGGTCTGTAGCCTTCTCCCCGGATGGTCAGATTGTGGCCTCAGGCTCAGGTGATAAGACCATCAAGCTCTGGGATGCCCAGAGTGGCCTGGAACACCGGACGCTTAAGGGCCATTCAGATTCGGTTGTGTCTGTGGTTTTCTCCCCGGATGGTCACACTGTGGCCTCAGGCTCCCATGATAACACCATCAAGCTCTGGGATGCCAAAACCGGTCTGGAACTCCAGACACTCAAGGGCCATTCAGGTTCGGTTCGGTCTGTGGCCTTCTCCCCGGATGGTCAGACTGTGGCCTCAGGCTCTATTAATAAGATCATCAAGCTCTGGGATACCAAGACTGGCCTAGAATGCCAGACGCTAGAGGGCCATTTAGATTCAGTTTGCTCTGTGGCCTTCTCCCCGACAGTCATACGGTGGCCTCAGGCTCCTACGATAACACCATCAAGCTCTGGGATGCCAAGACCGGCCTGGAACTCCAGACCCTCGAGGGCCTTTCCGATTGGGTTGAGTCTGTGGCCTCCAGCGATGACTGCAAAGATAATGATGGCATCCCAACTTCACATACCCGTGTCCCTCAAATATCTCTGGTAAACTACTGGGTGATTGTTGGAGGTAAAAAAGCACTGTGGCTCCCTTCTGAGTATCGTCAGACTAGTTGTTCAGCTATTAAAGATGGTAACCTTGTTCTTGGCTATCGTGATGGGCGGGTTTTTTTTATTGGGTTCTCTGTGCCTATGTACTAACCCTCGTTTGATGTATACTTTTGCTTTCTAATCTCTATTTAAAAAGAGGGTCTGGGATAGCTGAACGTTATATATTTCTCCAAACCCGCTGCATCCGACACGCCTATAGCTGAACCCCAGGGTGTACTCCAAGTCCAAGACAGCGCCAGCGCATGGAAAGTGGTGCCTGTTTCTAAACACGGCAGCCGTTCCGTGCTAGATACCAAGGAATACTTCGAGAAACCTGAACAGCCAGAGCTTGCTTTTGATGTTTTGCATGTTTTTGACGACTTTCATCAAGATTCACTCAAGTGAAATTGGAGCGAAGTGACCTGGCTACATAAAATGACATTTTGCGCCATGTTTCCGATGTGCATCGGGGGCGCAGTTGCTGGCGTCCAGATCCAGCAAATCCAGGCAAATTTTGAGTAGGATAGTAACAAATAGCCCTCGGACATGATGGAAGGACTTCTCGCCCTGAACGATTTTTAGTCACCCGGTGAAGCTATGTTAGCAATTCGGCGTCTCCTTATATCAAAGTCATTGTTAAGACACCCAAGCGTCCAGATATTCAGGCGTTCAGACGTTCAGGCGTATGCTGGTCTGTTCTTTTGCGTATACGTAACTTTGTATTATCTTCTCTTCGAAAGCCGTTTTTAGCTTTTACTTGGTGGGTATGTTTCAGTCGGCTTCTCATGTTAGCCGCTGTGCTACGGACTGAATCCAAAGGTAAGAGACGATCTTGCTATATGACCCCGTCGATTACAGACTTATTACAGGCAAGCTTATTTTCAACGTTACGCGTATCTTTGTCTCCTTCATTGATACCTTCGTCCACATTACGCAAATCCTCCAAATTCTATTTCAGTGGTGGATAGAGGTAGTAAATAGAGTTAAGTTGGGAGATATCATTACTGGTCACGAGGTGGGCAAAGTCATAGGACGTGGTGTCTATCTTCATTTAATTTTTTGGTCTAATTTTTGTTTCTGTTCTGTAGGATGACTGTCATCACGACTACTGCAATGAACTGCTCGACCACGAGATGTATCGGCAGAGGCATTGCTTTGACTACTAATTTTTTTTTTTTTTCTCTATTGCAGGTTTCTATGCTTTCAGGATAGATAAGTTAGACACTTTATAGTCTTGTCATCGGTTTCTCTGTTCGTCGATACACATTCATTACTATGCATTACGTGATCTCATTTGGAAAGTCTCATTCTCTAGAGCGAGTCGACGCATGTCCACTTCAAGAGCTAGCGCCACAGTCGCTCCCTCCTGCACTAAAAGATGGGGTTCAATTGGCCCGTTACTCTCCCTGGAGGCGACTACAGCTGCGCCAAGGGAAGAGACCGGTGGTTATTTTTAGGCGGACAAATTAACTTGGAGTGTTTTCTTGCTCTTGCAAGCCCCTTTGACCTCTCAGGCCAATTACCCTATTGTCCCCGTTGTCCCCATTGTCCCTATTCTCCCTATTGTCCCTATTCTCCCTATTCTCCCTATTGTCCCTATTGTCCCTATTGTCCCTATTGTCCCTATTGTCCCTATTGTCCCTATTGTCCCTATTGTCCCTACGGACCCTACAGGCCCTCGACCCATATCACGTTACTTTTCCCCCTTATTTGTTTACCGATCATTTCCCTCTTCCTTTCTTCCCTTCAACAATTCTTTTTTGTACATGGCCTATCTTATAGGTTCTACGGGTTCAGCCCTAACAGTTTCAGTAAGATATTCGGTCAGTCCCCAATAGGAAATAGAATACTAGAATACAATCCATAAACGTCTCAAAATGATCAGTTCTTGAGCTTTTGAGCACTCCTTAATTTTATTGATTCTTGTGATGGTTCTCAGTATGATCTGAGAATATGTGGCTCAACTTAGGGGTTCTTACAAACATAAGCCATGTCGGCCGGAGAGAGACATCTTAGAGCAGTTAACCACTCAAGAGACATTTCTTATTCTGTTGTCTGAGACATGTAGACTATTTTGTGTGTTCTGCCATGAATATGCGTTCATAATAATACTTTCATGGTCAGACCTTCATATGGAGTAAACTAATATGGAAATTATTGACACAAGTGATAGTAAAATGTTCAATTGATTGACTGATCAAAGGTTATCTTTTACAGAGGCGGGATCCTAAATATATATCTATTCCTAATCCCTGCCATAAGCCTCAGCCACCGTGATATTCAACAGGAACGTCTCGTCGTCCAGCACGGCTCATAACCTTCAGCTTTCCGACTTCACGAGCTCACAAGCAACTCTTCATGGTCTAGTCTGGATTAATTACCTCAGAAGCTGTGAACTTATTCCTAGAAGGTGGCCGGCCATAGAGGGCCGCGGGTGAGCGAGGGTGGCCGGTCACAGAGGGCGGCAGACCATAGGCTGCGGGCAGTCGAAGTTGGCCAATAGCAATTGCTCACCAAAACTGTCCGAGTAATGGGCCTTATGTGATGTGTGGCTGTATCCATTGGAGCACTTCCGGCGGAACAGGTGTGTCGCGCTTAGTGCGGTCGTCGTCATGGTTGAGGTCCGGTATTCTTCCGACATTGACCGGAACGAAAATCAACACATTGTTTTATCGGGCTTGCATACTATGGTTAGCAACTGTTAGTATTGGCCTAAACCCATTTAGGCCAAATCATGTGATTATAGTAGGGGTCAAAAATCTCCGAAAAGATGGAAGAAACAAGCAGAGCATCAACAAGAATATAATCAAGAGCCCAACCAGCTCAATTAATTCAAACTACGACCTTACCAATCGTACCCTATTGCCTCTTCGGGACTAGCTGAATATCTGACAGCAACTGAACAAATCAAGTTGATATTTAGGAGCTGCGTGGTGGGGCCAATATGGTCTTGGCCGGGGTTGTATCATGAGGGTTCGAATCGGACTCGGTCTCCGGCGTAACGGACCTGGGGTATCACAGACCTGGGTTAACTTTGAAATGGATTGAATCATCTCGTTTATTGACATACCTGGATTCTCCATGGTTAAATACAAACCAGTCCTCAGAGATTTATCGTAATGTCTAACCTAATGCAGTTTAGTCGTACTCTAGGTCTTCCGTTTCGATCGTCATCTGATCCTCCAACAAGTCTTGGTCTCGTGAATTGGTGGCGTTCTTATCAGTTAACTGGCTTGGGGTTGGATAATAGGAGTCCCGAGGAATCAACCACTGGAGTACATATGCATGTCTGGGAAGTATACCAATTGTGACCCTACGAATGCCCAACAATGCCGAAGCATCCGCGGAAAACATAAACTCGGCCTGTCTCCCTGTACGTATGCCTAAACAAACATCGGCGCCGCACATCCGGCTATATTCGGATGATTTCTTTATCAGACTAGTTCTGCGACGGTCTCGCTTCTGGTGAATTAACTTCCTTCTTGACCTCGAATCCCTGGATTGCTTTAGCGCACCCCTTCTGGTCTGCAGCATGGTCATCTGTGAGTCAAATATATTACTTCATGTCTGGAATGACTTGAGTCGAACTGATCGAGGAGCATATTGGGGTTTATATTGGAAAGAACTACTAAGAAATTCTACATATGCGCAAAATAACAAAGCTGCATTATATTAGCGCCGGGCGCGATGCTTCCCCGTTCAGAGGCGACATTTTCAGAAGGAGTGGTGGTCATGGTACCAGTCCTGCGTTTCCAATCTTCTTCTATTAAATCGCACCGACTGCGACTCTAGCTTTTTCTATGTGACCGAAGACTGCCAGGCTAAGAAGCAAGGCAGGATTAGACAGGCATATCCTGGCTTGGAGTAAGCTACTCATTACGAACTTGTATCACACTCCCTAAAGGGTTCAGCAGAGCTCTAATCGATCGCCTCTTGCGTGCGTCCTGCGCTTGAATATAGATTAACAAATCATATTTTACCAGTGAGCCGAACAATGATCGTATATATTGCAACGCGAAATCAGCACTCAAATACGACGCCCCGTGCACAATCAGGTCGATATTTAACGGCCGAGCTTGGTCCTGCAATTATTCCTGACCTCACACATGTAAATCTGGAGGGAGCAGGGCATGCTACACCCGTTCTTCACAATGGCTAACAGAACCTTCTTTCCCATCCTGGAAGACAGCGATTTCGTGGTCTTCGGATGATGGATTGCCGACATATCCACTTCATCAGACCTGGCAGTTAGAATTTGCCTTAAAAAAACCGACGGTTTTCGTTTTCAGACTTACAAGATAACGTCCATCTCATATATAGTACGTCCCTTGGTCTCCGGAAGGAAAAAGAATGCCCAGGTGGATGCTAACATCATCCAGCTTGCGAAGAAGAACCATGTTCCATAGCCAAATGACTGAAAGATATACGGAAGTGCTTTCGTTATCGCAAATTGAGTGAGCCTGATAGGCATGGTCAGCTTTCATGCCGTTTCCGGTTTGAATAATAGCAAGCTATCCTACCACTGGACCAAAGCAGCCCAAGTACCTGTTAAATTTCGCAAAGCTCCAGGAAAGATCTCAGCTGATACAATCCAAGGAATACCATTGAGACCAAAAGACCAACTGATAGAGCCGGGAAATCAATTAGGAGTGTCGTCCCAGATGGCGAAGTGGTGGACTTACAAGACCGAGTAAATCATTATCATAACTGTTGCGGCTCGGCCTCCAGCAGCAGTAGATGGCGATAGCTGTTTGCCTGACGCAATAATGTCCGCCGGGTGGCCCACTTTGACATATGCACCTACGATCCAGAGACAGAGTGAACAAATGATGGAGGAAATGATGGTCGGACGCCGCCGTCCCCATCGATCAACCAGAGCTCCGTAAAAGACAATGGACGCAACCGCTGCAGCCGTCTCTATTAGTTTATTTACCGGTTTAAATGCAATGCAGGAAACAGGTACCTTTGACTAAGCCATATATTCCAGTATAGAGGGCAACGTCGCTTATGCCGATGGAACTGAAAAGGGTTGGCGAATAGTAGTTGATCGCAGCGGCCCCGGACATGTTCTGGAGTGTGAAGGCGCAGAAAACTAGAAGAACACGGTTCCGCATGCCTGGCCGGGATAGTTCAAACAAGGTTCCTCGAAATAAGGCCCACGCGCCGTGTCCATAATTTCTGGCAATTTTAGATTCCTCGACTAGCCTGTTGCGAGCCATTTCTAGCTCTTCTTGCACGTCTATACATAATTAATATATTTGCCCCAACTGCCGACCCTGGACGCCGCAATGCATTTTACAGGTGTGCAAGTAAAAAGAACCGAAAAGGAAACTCCACTTACAGGCATGGGTCGGTGGTAATTTTCTAATGCACTCTAATGCTTGGGCAGCATCTTCTTCGCGGCCCTTGCGCATCAGCCACAGGGGGCTTTCGTGTAGAGCGAAGCCACCGAGGAAGAGAACACTGGCAGGAATGAGCTGGACCCCCATCGGTATTTTCCAGCTGGCTGTGGATGAGAGATCCATACTCTGATTGATACCATAGTTGATCCAGAAGCCAACAAGCGTTCCAACCTGGTATGCCACCTCAAACATCCCCGTCAAAATGCCGCGGATGGAATCGATGGATAATTCAGCAATATAACTTGGGACTGTAGCGGTGATCGCGCCGCAGGCTACACCTGTCAATGCCCGTCCGGCATCTACACACTTGTAAGCGATGACCACTGCAATATGGGTTCAAAGAGACAGGCAAGGCGTACAAATGAAAGATAGTTGGTGAGTGGCAGCAACCGTGAGAATGGCTCCAACCAAGAACACGACAACATTGGCTTGGAGAGCCCATTTCCGACCACACTTTTCGGTCACTTATTGGTGTGTCAGTGTCCCTCACGATTTGCGAATGTATGTTAAGTGTCTTACAGAGAAAGCAGAGTATGGCGCCAAAGAACGCCCCGGCCTGAAAGGTAGACGTGATATTACTGGAGATGTCGGCAGCATCATCGGGTCCAATATTGAATGCAGCCTTGAAACTCTGCCGAGAGATGGTGGTTCCAATAAACGCTGAATCGTATCCATATCTGTTGAGAAATGAGAACGCCAGCCCCAAAAGCCAGCCCAAGGGGCTGTCAATACCTACAGTACTGAACCAGTGGCAATGATTGCGGCCTCCGAGTATAAGCGCCAGTTGTACACCTCTTTTGGCGTGGACCTATCCTCTCGAGTGTTACTGCGGGCCATTTGAAGCTGTGGTCAAGTCACACGGAGGCGAGTGTCTTGAGTAGGGAGCGTTTGAACAATTATGTATATCCCCGTGGGATAATCTTATTGTTCCAATTGTACCTTCCTGGCTTATTTAGCACGATGAGGCTTTCTGCCAGAATTGTGGGGAAACCATGACTAGCGCATCATAGGTGTGTGGGTTGGGGAGAAGCAGAGGCCAGTTGGTCCTCATCGATGGTTTGCTGGGCTCTGGAGAGTTAGGGTTGGCCCAAATCGGTATTTGGTGAGAGTATGAGTTGCCGGAGCTAATCCTAAGCTTGACAAGCATCGAGTTTCCGACTCCCGAGAAGCGAGCCGATCGATGCGACGGCGGGGGCGGGGGCAAACACGAAGTATAGCGGGGCCAGACAAATATCGGCTAGTTATCGGACAGTCGTTGCTCGTAAAGGTTAACCTTTTCGGTATTATCCAACCCAAAACCAGCTAGGGCTCCGTGACACTATTCTCTCCCTTTTGACCCCCACTCCAAAAAGTTACGAGACAAAAGTAGAGGTGTTTATGACTTGCCCAGTTCTCTGCATAAGAAACTATTCTATACAAAAATCTGGTTTAGTAGATACTAGAACTTTTACATATAGTATTTGTTCGAGAAATCAGTCTGATATCTCATACATAAACATACTAGTTTACAATGAGAATAACGATAATTATCTTTCTTCCTCTGATTTACAATAGAATAAGCCTCTGTATGGCGTTGGCTTTTGCGATGGACGTGGCGCGAGTTCTAAATCCTCTTTCTTTGGATGCTCGTTGAAGTGTCTCAAGCATGCAGCCTTGGTATTCATGGAGCTTGACAACTAATTACATTACTACGCCTGATTATAAGTGTACCAGCCATTTCTGCTGTGTATTGATTTCTTTGTATTTCAGGTTGTGTCGACCATTCCAATCTATTTATTCCTGATTCACGCTGCCACTGAGGCTGTCCTCGAGTTCTTTCAGCGGCTCTACAACCTTAAGAATCCACGATTGTTGCTGCTCGTCGTGAAACTTAGGATACGGCCTTCTGCAGTGCCAACTTCCAGAAGGATATCCTTTTAGCTGGGCTACAACCCATTTTGTCCCATTTATGCCTCCTTTCGCAAAGCCCCATTCCATGCGAGCCAGTCTTCGCTGAAGCGCTTCGGCCTCTTTGAGTTGGCCACTAGTGTACAAGTTGTAAATTTGTATACATACCTGGAACGATTCGTTTTAGCAACTGTAGAAGGCATACGGAAGCTTTAGGGAGTACATTCACTAAAAATTTTCGAACTTACCTTAGGATACACATTGGCGACTCCTGTGATGGCTCCAGTTCCACCTACCGAAAGTGCAGGAATAAGCCAGTCACTCTGTCCGGCGAGAGCTGCAAACTGCTCTGGAGGGTAACTGGCAGATATTCGAGCAACTTTTGCGATTCCGCCGCAGGTTAATTTGACGCCAACTATATTTGGATTCTGGCCCAGGTGATCCAGCACGTCTGAGCCAAGGTCCAGCCCTGCTGATACGCCGGGAAAGTTGTAAATCAGTATAGGCAGTGGACTGGACCTTGCCAATTCCTCGAAAAAGTCAATGATCGCCTTGGTGTCCATGGCGAAGTGAAAATAACTTGGAGTTAGGACAAGGACATAGTCGGCACCAGCCTTTTCTGCTAGGTAGTTTCGGCGATGACATCTCTCGTGCATTGACTGGAGGTTCCGACCGTAATTTTGACATTAGGCCTACCGACATCCTTTGCTATTTCGCGTGTTATCTTGACCAGCTGACACTTCTCATCTCTAGTCAGAGACACCGCCTCGCCATTCGTTCCAGCAATAACAACTATAGAAGCAGAGTTAGAACAAGCGATAGTTTAGGTATCGGGTTCCAAACTTTCCTCCATGAACACCAGATTTGATCAAAAATTCGATATGCAGCTTCTGGAGGTTCCAATCTATCTCTTGGTCGACATTGTCTCGAAACCATGTCAGACACGGCACATGAATGCCCTGTGGATAGCTCATTTCCGCCATTGTTCAGAAAGTAGGTACAGCACAGAGTTTAGGTATAGTACAGTTCAAATAATTTGAGCCAGATCAATGAGAAACCAACACAAGCCATGAAGACTGCAGTGGAAATTAATACTAGTCTCTCAAAGGACGGAGTGTGCGTCAATCAGTGCCATGATGTCAGAACCATTTTCAGCCCGTAATACCCTTGGCATGTGGAGAAAATTTAGCCCATCCGATCGAAGCGAGGCCCTGGAGGTATAGAACGTCGCACGACATGTCGGAAAGCTCGGTATTTTTCCGATCCAAAATGAAAAGGAAAATATTACGCAAACGATCCTACTCACATCGGCAGTAAAGCCACTGTGCTACTTCGACAGAATGCCGCCGTCTTAAGTCAGCCTCTTCCTTCGTTATTCCTTCTTGGTGTCTCTCGCTCAAGGGCGTCGGCGCCTAGACAATCGCAAAGCATAAGTTAAATTCCGAGTGCATGACAGCCCGAATATCCATTCTAACTTTCGCAGTATCTTGATAAGATTGAACCTTATCTAGCACCTTTGTCGTTCGGCCGGCATTCCCAACGACATTCTCCATTCTAAGAAGCTGTGCCCGGATCCATTGCCTCTCACTTTCATCAGTCTCCTCCGCACCAAGCATTAGCAAGGGCCAAAGTATGGTGACCGGAGGGTTGTCTGAAGGCTCCAAGTCAGCCACTATCTGCTGTGCGAGCTTGCGGATCTGACTCAATGCATCTTCCACTTCTTTTGTGAGAGGGAGAGTCTTGTAGGCAACTCGATGGAGGTGAACTTTACAGGCATAGAAGTTTAACAGGTAGGTTCGAAATGCGCGAGTGATTGCACAGGCTAGGGAGGATGACAGGTGCGGCTCGACCAGTCTCCCAGCCACTGCCAGGTCCATAAGTATGGGACGCTGGTTATACAATGATCGCAGACCTGCAGCAATCGAGGCTCCCTTGTTCATAACTTCAATCTCGTCCTCGACCGTTCCTCGAGATCGGTGCCATGGATCGAGCTTGGATATATGTCCCATGTAACTCTGAACTTTCTGATAGAATATGACACCGGGCTGGTACAAGGCTTGAAAGAGTACGTCCTCCACATCATCTTCTCCAACTGACTGTCCGTCTGGAGTACCAGGTATGGAATCAGATTTTGCAGGGGAGCTGTCCCCCAGGAGAGATTCAACGTCCTCCAAAAGAAAGAGTCCGTCACCCCCCGCACTTACGGCTCGCGCGTCAAGAAGGCGGATCCAGAGCAAGAGTTGCCTCTCCATGGAGGAAAAACTCGTTTTGTGTCCCCTTTGGAAGATATTGTAGGCTCGTTTGAGATTTAAATGTGCCATTTCCATTCTTATTTCCAAAATGTCGATGTAGCACAGAAAGAAAAGTGCCACTAAGACGTGTTCGCGATCATTGCTGTATTCTGCCATCGCCGAACTGTCGAAACCAGCAACTCCCGCTATAGCATTTTGGTAATGATTTTGCTCGCAAGTATCAGCGTTATTATTTTGCCGAGATATAAGTAGGGTAGCAAAGGCAGAAACTGCGCTCCGAACTATTGGGGAATGTCTTGCCATCCCCACGATGGCATGACGCATTGTCAACCACTTCTTATGAGCCTCAATGTCGGCTAGAATTGGCGGCCTGACTGACTGAATGAAGAACTCTATAAGAGAACTATCTGATTCTGGGGTCACCCCCACGTCTGTTTGTCCACCCTGTCCGTCAAACTGTAGCTGGAATGGGGGGGTGGTCAAAAATGTATTGCAGGTTGCAGCAGCATTTACTGAAGTGCTGGACCACTCTGAGTCTGCCTATAGTCATCGTTAGAAGACGCATAAACACGTATATTAGAAAATATTACGGTTTCTGGGGGGTCGAAGGTCGAGCTTTTCTCCGTGTCAGGGATTTTCTGCGGCCAACAATTTTGAGTGCCAATATCCCAAATGGAACGGTCACAATTAAAGATCTCTGTCAGCGAAAATATGGGTTGCTCGGTAAGCATCTCAGGAAATGCCCTCGCGGCTGATGTCTCATTCTGCTGCATTACTGTATGCTCTCCTGTTGCAGGGGAGTGCCAGCTCGAGATCCGATCTGCAGAACTCCACATACACTCCATATTGAGCCTCTCGCAGTGAGAACATCTCGGTCGCTGCTCGTTGCACTTGACCTTACGACGTCTTGAGTACTGAATTAGTAGATATCTCTTAAAGCGCCGTTTTCATGTCGCAGCTCACTTGCAAGTTAAGCAACCCCTGCGAGATCGAATATATCGTCCTCTCATCGACTCTGCACCGATAGACAAGCTTTGTGGCATTATTCCACTTTTTAAGTGTATATTGTTGCCGGAGGCACCTGCTACTTCTATGAGGCCACCGGCAAATAATGAAACAAGGCAAAGAGGAATAAACGAGTAGGGAGAGCATGCCGCACCCGCGCATCAGCGAAGGTTGTCGGAATGAACGTAATAGGACTAGTGGTAATATACTCCACAAGCGAGTCGGACACACCACCTGCCCGGGCCCGCATCCTGTTGGTAGCCCTACACCCCAACATTACTTCTGTCAAATAATATGGCCGTTGGTGGACCAGAATCATGTGACTAGATCGGGGTAAAACCCCCGCGGAGCACACAACAAAATCTATTTCCTCTTCGGGTCTAGCCATATATCTGACAACTTCTAGCTCGCTGTTCGCGAGGCACAATTCTCTGAATTCAAGGGGCTCAGGCGAGCTGACTATCTAGATGGGTGACTAAGTGAGGCCACGTGACCATACCGAATATGGTAGGTCCCTAACACCCCCCCTTGGCCGAAGCGTGCTCACCCAGCACCATTACATACAGAATCGCGTGTAAAGCAAAAAGCCAAAAAATAAGCCAAAAACTAAGCTAAACCTATATTATCGAGAAAAGCCGTGAATCCTTCGGATTGAAGCAATTTAGTGAGGCCATCCGCAGCGTTCTCCTTACTAGGGCATAGCCGAATGTTAATAATACGGTCCGCCGCGAGCTCGCGCGTATAATAATACCGAATATCAATATGCTTAGAGCGCTTGGTGGTAACCGTTGAACTAATAAGATCCTTGCAACCTTTGTTATCAACGTGGAATGCAATAGGGTCTAAAGGCGCAGGTAGATCTCCATTGTTAAGTAGGCGACGAAGCCATTAGTTTCCCGAGCTGCGTCCGACGCCGCCATATATTCTGCCTCATTGGATGATAAGGCAATCGATGTTTGTTTGGCAGATCGCCATGATATCGGGGCACCGGCTAAAAGTACGATATAGCCTGATACTGACCGACGATTATGATGAGGACCTCCCCAGTCCGAATCGGTATAAACCAGTGGTTGCGGTAGGGGTCCATTTAACATGCGAAAGGTGATACCCCGCATACAAAATCCTTTCAAATATCGAATTAAGTGTTTGGCCGCTCCGAATGCCTTTCTAGTAGGGGCCTTGTTAAACTGCGCTAGCAAGCTCGCGATACACGCGCAATATCTGGACGGGTTCTTGAGGCAAGCCATTGAAAACTACCCGTAAGTCGATTATATTCTTCGTTAAGGGTGGGATCAGGGTCGTCATCGATAACTAAACCCGGATCTGCAGGTAAAGAGACTGGATGGGCATCTGCGAGCCCTGCCGAAGTAACGAGATTATCAATATAAGATGTCTGCATAAGCTTAATCTAACTATCATTAGATTTGAGTAATCTCCATGCCGAGGAAATGTTTGAGGTGAGCTATCTTTTTAATCGCGAATTTTCGCTGTATTGCGCTTAGAAGCCATTCTGCGTCTGCTTTAAGCGCTGTAATAATAGTAAAATCATCTACATGAGCAGTCACATAGAGATTCTTGCGAGATTGGTGAATCCATAGGCCTGGGTCGTAGTCGCTTGTTTTAAAGTCCAAAGCTTCAAGATCACTGCGGAGACGGTCGTACCATATACATGTGGAAGGTGCGAGACTGTACAGGGCGTTATTTAGCTTGCAAACCATGGTGTTAGGATCACCCTTTTAGAAGCCGGTCGGTTGGCGCATATATATTGGTATATTAACTTTACCATTAAGAAACGCCTGCACCGCGTCCGCCTGAGCGATATACTATTTGCGATAAGCTGCAACTGCGAATAGGAAATATTAATTGTTTGGGGATAAACCACTGGCGAATATATCTCCCCAAAATAAGGATCTTGCTTGACCAAGTTACCATGTATAACCCAACGTGCCTTGTATTTGAAAGTGCCGTCATTGAGGTCCTTAACATTAAAAACCCAACGGCCAGGGATAGGCTTTAAAGCCTTTAGGCATAGATTGCTTATTAATCAAGTCCCATGCCTTAATTTCGTCGAGACAGGAAGTTTCAAGCTTGCAAGCTGCTAACCATTTATCTTTATCAGGTGATTTCATTGCTTCCTGCCAAGTATTCGGAATCGGAGGTCGATTTGCCTCAGCAGTAGAAGTAGGCGAAGTAGGGGTAAATCCTGCGAATGGAGCAAAGCCTGTAGCAGGTTAAACCCAGTCAGATTGTCCGTTATCCTCCGCGGGAGAATCCCCATAAGATGCAGCGCTTCCTGCGCGAGATATTCAGGGTTAGGATTGGGAGGTATAGTAGAAGTAATCGGTTTTTCTATAGGCTGTTCCCTCTGAGCCTGTTCGTTGAATAAAACATGGCCAGTCCGAATAACCTTGTTTGTCTCTTTGACATAGACCTTATAATTGGTTAAAGAATCGCTGCCGATATAGACGCCTGGGGCGCCGCGGCCAACAATCTTGTTGAAATCTTGATGTCCTAGGTTGTTATAATACCAAACACAACAACCAAAGGGACGAATGTAAGCAATCTGCGGATGCTTGTTAAAAAATACAGAATACGGTATAACATGCTGCGAGGGCTGAATATCTGGATTAGTAAATACCCCCCCTGGAACTGAAGTAATCTGCGTACAGTGTAGTAGACATAGGGACGTTGTTCGTGATATAAACTGCGTGTTGCATGGCGTCCTGCCAGAGCTAATATAGCAATCCAGAATCATGCAGAATCGCGCGTGTACACTCGATAATAATCCGGTTTACGCGTTCGCCTGGTCCATTCTGCCATGGGGAATAGGGATTAGTTGGTTTTATTTTCGCACCACTTTTATTTGCCCATTTCGTTATTTCCTCAGTCACAAATTCGTTATCGCAATGCACGAATGCAGGCAGTTGAAAGCCTTGATTTTTTATATAGCTAAGCCATTGTTTAAGATGTTGGTGGACGAGCTTTTTATCCTTTAGGAATAAGATCCACCGATAGCGAGTTGCATCGTCTGTTATCAGCATATATAATAGCGAGAACCCGTACGAGAAGCAGGGGGTCGTTAAGCTGCTTATAGCGTTTAGACAGAGTATTGCCTCCACCCGCAATATTAATAAAAATGCGTTGAAGAGGTCTCGTGGCATGTTTTGCCAAGGTATAAAATAGGCTGCGTTTCTGATTCGCCGCATGGCAGATATCGCAAAAGGGCCGAGATTGGGGATCGGAGACCTTAATCTAACTGCCAGGCGTACGAGATAATCGCAAAATATCAGGGTAATTCAGGTGCGCTAATCGTCGATGCTATTGGATTATGGTAGCCACCTGAGGATTGGGTGCTTTAGAGGCTATAGCCGCAAAAGCTAATTCCTCTGGTCGAGATGTCTTATATATCACACTGTTAATCTTATAACAGTTCGTCGTTGAAGGGACTGCAGTGATAGTCAAGCCATTTTCGTTGGTAAAAACAATATTGGTGTACGCGTCCTCTAGGATCGATGGTTTAAAACCTGCCTTTAGGAGCTGCGCGTAACTCAACAAATTCGCTGACAAACCAGGTACGTGGCGTACCTCTGGTATATCAAGGGTAACATCATTCAACGTTATTCGGGCCGTTCCCTCAGCAAGGGGAGGCTTTTGTCCACCTAAGGATCCGCCAATATTAGGCATACCAGTCGGTAGAATCTCGTACGTTGAAAAAACACGTCTTGTTGGGGGTTATGTGGTACGATGCGCATGTATCCACATACCATTCAGGTGGTTGTTGCGTGCTTGATTCCGCAATATAATTCGCAGATACCAAGGGCTTCGGTGCAGGTGGTGCATATGCAGGATCACCTTTTGTAGCCCTATACTCGTTGATTCGCTTGAGAAACGCTGGCGTTGCTTTATCAGAAGAAATTGCCTCGGGATTCTGATACCAGCATATCCTCGTGAAAAAATGTTGTCCGTAATAACTGCAAGACAATTTCGCATCTTTAGAAGAGGTAGAGTCCGATAACTTGTTATCCGGCTTTTTTTGATGCCATCAGATTGTTGGTTTGATCCAGAAGTCTTTGAACGGCATGTATTAGATTATTGCAATTTTAACTATCGTCCAATCTTAACTAGATCGGTATTCTTAATCGGTTGATTTCCTGCCCCTGAGGCAAGGAATGGATCAAGCTTATTCGTTATAAAATTCGATTGCCAATTGCGTAGGCGAATATAGTGGATATCATAAAATATGTTATCCACAGTTACATGGAGGTGTTTCGCGCGTGCCTGGAGCATTAAAAGCTTGCTCTCGTACACCAAATAATCGCCATCATATAATTCGATATCAATAATTTCTCGCACTAGGTCATAGCGCTCCTGGGCCTTCGTCTGACCTATGGCCTCATAGATTCGTATATATAATGCAGCTGCCTTCGAGATATATCTATCTCACCTAGGCGATCCTGCACTTCTCGTGACATTGACTGGTAGATTTAGATAGCCAAAGCTTTATTCTTCATCTGCCAAATTGCTGAATTGAGCTCGTCACTGTCTGGTGGATTGAGCTCCTCGTTAATCAAAATCGACTCCGCGTTTATAATACGGGCGTCTTTAAGTAGATCCTCTTTCCAATCCGCAAAATTGGAAATCTTTAAAGATCTTGGTTTTATATTGAAGCTTTCGACCAACATCCTTCTGCATGGCGCTAACTGCTTGTATTATACTCGCACGGCCGGCGTCATCCTCGCTTGGTGGCGGTAGAGCTGTTAATGTGGGCTTCGGATTTAGAGTAGGCGTACTTAAAAGGGGCGATTAACTATGTTAAATTAGCTCTATTATTTGCTGCATTTGAGTTTGTTGATTCTGCAGCTGCGTTTGGAGATCCCCTGAAATTGGTCCCTTGACACGTATTCCATGCGATTATCCTCTTCCTCCTCCGACGCAGTATCTCGTGGTAGTGGTCTTATTATCGCAGGAGAGGATGGGCCAGGCGTACAGTATGGAGATTCATCCCTAGCAGGCGCTTTTCCCTTCTTCGGGCCTATTTTTAATTGAAATTATTATCAATTCCTCGAGAGGCAATTGAATAGACAAAACAGGTGGTTTAAAACCACGTAATATCAGCTCTAAAAGGAAGATATAGAGGGTCTCATAACCTGTTCGCGAGGCACAATTCTCTGAATTCAAGGGGCTCAGGCGAGCTGACTATCTAGATGGGTGACTAAGTGAGGCCACGTGACCATACCGAATATGGTATCCGATATTCGGCTAATACCGAAATAGGAAAGTAGACACTATTCTTGAAAGGTGCTTAAAATGATTGTTTTTAGATGGGTTCTTGATTATATTGATCAACATATGATCATTCTTGTGATTATTATTATAGATCATTAGGTTGCTTCTTCTGCTAGGTGTAGGGGAGTTCATTTTTACCCCTCTTTTATAACCTTGTTTACATCACTATTACCACCAACTTATCTAACACACCCCCTCAGATTCAAAGCTTTCCCCTTTTGATCTTTCTGAAGTTATTCAGCTTGAATCTGATCTATCTCGGAGGCCTAGTTGGTTCACAAATGTGTTGAATTTCTGCTTTGGAAGCGCTTTGGTAAGTCCATCTACCAACATCTTGTCTGTAGGCGTGTAGCCAATTTGAATTCTTCCTTGGAGAGCTTCCTGCCTGAGCCAGTGATTATGGATATCAACATGTCGAAGCTTCGTCTGCAAGCGATTGATATCTTCATGGACGAGCCGATGTTTGACGATTATCACATAGTATTTGAATATGTTGGTGTTAATCCAGTTAAATCTTTAGCTCTTCAAGCAGCCTGCTAATAAACATCCCTTCTTTAGCTGCTTGGGACAGTGCTAGGAGCTCTGCTTTAGTAATTAAAGTTATCACAGTATCTTGCTTATTTGCCCTTCATCCTATTATTCCTCCAAACAACTGCATTATATATCCCTGTGAGCTCTTTAAATCCCAGTTATCTGCAAATAAAGCGTCACTGTATAGAGTAAAGTTATCGCCACCCCCTAGCTGCAAAGCTAGATACCTGGTTCGATATAGGTATACTAGGATTCGATCGGCTTCAATTTGGTGTTCGTTGCTTGGGTTGGTAAGAAAGCGAGATAGTTTAGATACTGCGCAAGCTATATCTGGCCTGGTTGTCACCGCTGTGTACATGATTAATCCAATCTTTTTTTGATAGATTTGTATGCGATGTTGTATGGCCATTCCCGTATTAATATGCAGGTTATCTGTAGTTATTGGGATAGTACCTGATGGTGTTGATTCAGCCAGGTTAGCAATCTTTTTTATATATAAGATTGTTGACTTAGCCATATTAGTCGTCTGCTTCTATCCCGAATCACCTCTATTCCTAGATACCACTGCAGATTGTCTCCTCCAGTCATTTTATACTGGCTTTGGAGCTGATCGACTACTTCGTTAACTGCTTCCCTGTAGTGTTTTTGATATGCAATTATTATATCATCCACATAGAAGAATACTAGTATGCCTTGCTTAATCATGCAGCATGATTCATGCAGAATAGGGTTAAATCCTAGGTCTTAAAGTGACGCTTTAAAATGCTTCTGCCACAGTCGTGGTGATTATTTTAAACCAAATAGAGCCCTTTTAAGCTTTAGAATTGTACCTGGCTTTCAGTATCCTGGTGGCATCCGCATATAGATATCCTCATCTATATCTGCGTTCACGAACGCGTTGGTGATGTCATATTGGATAAGCTCCAGGTCAAACCTTGCAGCAATAAATAATAAGATTCTAAATGATCTTATAGCCAGCGTTAACACATATAGATCTGCAGCTCCTTTCTCCTGCTGGTCACCGCGTACAACCAGGCGGGCCTTGCATTTTTGCATGATTCCCTCCTGATTATATTTATAGGTATAGACCTATTTGCAGTCTAGGAGTTGCTTGCCTTTGCAACTAAGTCTTGCTTATCTTTATCCACGTCTGCATATTTCTGTGTCCTTCTAGATGATCTTTTTCAGCCTGCTTGAACTGGTTGCCAAGTGGATGATTAATAAGATCTCTATGGAAAACAGGTGCAGGTGGTAGTTCCTTATGGTGCAGTTGTTTTTAGCTTTTTATCTAAGCGTTCGGCTTGAGCTTTTGTAATCCCTGGTTCCTTTGGTTGAATTAATGGTCCCGCTAGGAATGACGCTTTCCATGCAGTTAGATGTTTTAGTTGGCTCACTGGTACAATGCAGTTTATTGCCATTAGAGTTGCAGGTTCAACATCTTCCTCTAGTGGTGGTGTAGGATATGCAGTATCTGCATTCTTTTAAATTTGGCTTGCATTAATATCCGCATTCCAAGTGGATGTCTCTTCCAGTGGTAGTTGAGCCATATTAATAAGATAATCAGGTGTATCAAAATGTCCAACTAGTTGGTCCTCTTCCCTGCTCCGCACAGCTTGGTGGTGCAGGATCCTCTTGAACTTCAATATCTTTAATAATCTGATTAAACTCCTCTATAGGCACTCTCTGGAATTGGTTATATAGAAGACTTATAACCAATCCCTGGAAATCCCTGAGAACTGCTCATCTTCGTTGAAGATCACATCTCTTGTGCGAATAATCCGGTTTAAACGTGGAATCCAAATCCGGTAGATATTAGTAGAATTATATCCTACTAGATATCCAATATGTGCTTTGGGGTTGAACCTCTGTTTCCAGTTGGTTTTTTTAATGCTTCAGTAGTCATTGCAAATGCTTTGCACCCATAGACCTTTAGATGTGCCTGATAGGGCTTCCGGTTATAGATAGCAATCCCATCTTGATGTGCAACATGCGTATGGAATCGATCAAATGGTGTTTTCCAATTAGCTTGATACTAAGGAGTTTGATTGTAAAGGTAAACCGCTGCGCGTACAATCTCTGGCCATAGAAAGTCAGGTAGTTTGGCATGTTCCCGCATGGGCTCGTGCTTTATTCTTTATAACACCCCTGAGCGCTCTGCACCACCATTTTGAGCTGCAGTATAAGGTGCAGTAGGCTCTACCTTTATAAAAAGTAGGGATCTGACTGTAGAAATGCTTCCACCTGTAGCTTTTGACCAGCTATTTTATTGTTGTCACATTCGACTACTCTAACCTTGATATCCATTCGTTCAAGCGTTCCAAGTAGATGTCTTAATGCAGCAGTTATAGATTAAACTGTCCGGTCTTATAAATAGTAGTCCCATATAAAGTATAACCATCGGTCTGTTGCAAGTATTAAGCTTTTAAAGCCTCCATATCCTGGTTCGAAATCATGGAAATCAATAGCTAATCGTTGACCTGGACCTTCAATAAAGTCAGATGGGGTCCTTCGTATTTAACGCTTTTAGTTTAGCAATTCCGCATGCATCACATTCCACTGTTGTAGGCCCTCGAATCCTTACACCCTTGGTTGAGTTAACCAGGTGTTCTAATGCAAGTGGTCCAGGATGTCCTAGACGTAGATGCCAGCGGTTTGCATATGCGCGTGTATTCTTGGTTACGATAAACTAGGAAGCTTGCATATTAGATGTCTCTGGTAGAGGTAGGATTATATTTAATAACAAACTGGTCAAATCGGTCCTCCAAGTATGCAACTGGTTGATTATTTTGTCTTAGGAGATTGTGCCCTGGTCGGTTATCCCACCATATTCCTGCTCGATGCAGCTGGCGTAAAGACACTAAATTGCATGCAATACTGGGACAGTACGCTGCATCTTGGAGATATAGAATATTCCCTTTTTATCTTGAACCACCACGTTGCCATATCCCTGGATGCCTATCTTAGAGTCTCCTGCCCATACAAAGTCCCCTAGCTGAGCAGGTCTATAAGAATTGAATCGAGAGCGTATATTAAAAATGTGGATAGTTGATCCGGAGTCCAATATAGCTGAGTGCTTTAATGGATAGGTGGTTGAATAAACTGCAAATAATGCAGGCATCTAACCTACCTGTTTTTGTAATAGTCATTCCGGACTGTCTGCTTGCTGTTTTTGATTCGATATTTGCTGATTCTGCCATTCTTTAACTTCTTTTGCAAATTCCTTGTCTGTTTGAAGCAGTAGATCAATATACCTTCTAGTTGCAGCTCGTTCCCTAAATCCTTTTGGTACACCTTTTTTAGAGCTAGATAGAAACAGTCTTTCCATTCATGCCTTTGACCACATGCTTTGCAAGCTTGATCAGTCTGTTTGACCTCCTGGTGACCAAGGCCTTTAGCCTGTTTGACCGATCCACGGTTACCAAGACTGTCATTATTCTTGCGCTTTTGTGTTTGCCTTTGACTCCCTGGTGCGAGATTCTGTTCCGGGCATTCAGCCTCATCGGCTTCATCTGCATTAAAGGTAGGACCAAATGACCCTTTTAGCAATTCTATTATTGCTTTGGTTTATCAAATTGGTATTCAAACCTCTCCGGAAGTCTTGCGCTGCCAGTCGGAATGTAAGCTTATTTCTATCAATCTCTTTTTGTTTAGCCATTTGATAGGACGTTGCCCATACAGGATTTATAGGACGTATAGCGGCTAGAAAGTCATTAATCCAATCACTTGTTGATATTCCCACTGCAATTTCTGCATCTGTAGCCTTCTGCATAGCTTCTTCCCAGTTGTTTATCCAGGTAAGAGCATCTTTTGATTTAGTAATCGGCTTGATTGCTTTCTTATATGCTTCACGGGCAAGATTCTTAGTAGTAGCACTATCTATTCCAACACTTTGTTGTAGATTAGTGTACCACTCCTGCATTGATTTGGCTGGTTTGCAGCAGTGTTTATAGACTGATGGAGAGATTGTTTTTCTGCATCCATTCCCGAAGCTTATCTAGCTGGGATTGCTGCCTGGTATAGACATCAAGACGTGTTTTATATCTTGTCCAAGCAAATTGATGATCTGCAAAGGAAACAGGCGTTCCTGATTGTGAACGAGTGCTTCCAGCAGGTGGAGCGTTCTCCCTCTATGGGTTCGGATGGTTCAGGAAGTTCTTCCTTGTTTCCAATAATGATATCCCATACGTTCTTGCCTCGAGCTAATCCTTCAAATTGGGCATTCCATTCCTCCCAGTGGTCCTGTGATTTCAAAATGATGGTATTCTGGGTAGACATTCTGTTTAGAGGAAGAAAAGGTCAAATAGTTGGATCGGTGGGCCGTATAAAACGTGGATCAGCGTATGAGACTCTTAATTATCCGATATTCGGCTAATACCGAATAGGAAAGTAGACACTATTCTTGAAAGGTGCTTAAAATGATTGTTTTAGATGGGTTCTTGATTATATTGATCAACATATGATCATTCTTGTGATTATTATTATGGATCATTAGGTTTCTTCTTCTGCTAGGTGTAGGGGAGTTCGTTTTTACCCCTCTTTTATGACCTTGTTTACGTCACTATTACCACCAACTTATCTGACATATGGTAGGTCCCTAACACTCGCTCTGTGTCACATGACTAGATCACGTACACACAGATAATGTCCATGGATCCAACCTCACTCTCCACGCTTTCGCATTTTAGCCAATGAGAATACCTACTATTGGATGACGACCCAACAGCTGCTGATAAGCCTTTCAGCTTTATTTATCAGGACTTATACTGTATATACAAAACACGACCTCCACAATTGTTACCCACTGTTCTCTGTTCAGCCCCGCCGCAATAGATCCCCCATTCTGCTCATACTTATCTTTATCGCCCGACAGCATGGTCACAGGCATCGAGCAATTTTCAGGAAACAGCACCTATGACCAGTCAAAGCTCTCCATATGCACTCACTGCTTCTATTCTAGCTACCTCCTTGTAACGCAAATATGCATCTGTTGCGGCTTCAATTAAGCCCTGCTGCTGTACCCTGCCAAAGGAACCTCCAGCCCCTGATCTACATTGAATTAAAAGTAACACTTCCTGAGATAGTGCCGCCGCCGCACGGTCCGCTCGGCCTGAGTAAAGTGCTTGGAAGATGTTTCCTCTATATTATCTTCCATTGCCTTCTTTCCCAGGACTCCTTTTTAATTAATATAAAGCACTTTACTAGCAGCTGTACATTTTCTTTTTTTTTTTTGCCCCAAATAGTCAAAGCTTCACCTCAGCCTTGTCCACGGGGTTGTTTGCTATTAAGGCGCAGTCGACGAATTTTTGCTTTCCAATATAGGCTGGAGCAAAATAGGTTGCAGCATCCCATATTGCTCGAACAGCCTAGCATATTGTTGCCCGAATTTCCGGTTTAGAAGGCACCTGGTAGTTACGAAGGTCTATAATGTCAATCGGTTCATGTACAGTGCTGTAAACAAACCTGGGCCTGTTAAACTACCTCCGGTATTAAAACCAGAAACTCACATCCGGCAACCACGTACAGATTTGGGATTAACCCAACCTTTAAAAAATAAGTCAGGTCGGCCCCGTGCCTGCTAATAATAATAGTTTAATTAATGATATTTTTAATTGCCTTTGTTTTAAATAGCTGCTTAATATCGCCCACCAGGCTTATAATACAACCCTGTTTAAAAAACTTTTTAATAAATTGTAAAGGACTGGGGCCCGTTCACCTTCTCGGGCCTATGGTCCCTGTTGTCCCTATTGTCCCTATTTGTCGCAGGCTACACTTGTATATCTCCTTCTCTACAATTGGCACATATGATTGGTCCGCTTATTGCAGTCACATGACTCATCGTATGAGAGCGCACGCTTCTTCCCTCTTCCCCTTTTACTTTCTTCCTACCAGCGATTCCTCCTTGTGTATATCTAGTCATTAGATAGCAAGGAATTTTGCCCCTTTACACTATTGTCCCTACTGTCCCTACTGTCCCTTTTGGCTCCATTGGCCCTCGATCCTTATGACAAGGTGATCTTTCACCTTGTTTACCGCTCATTTTTGTCACAGGCTGAACCTGTAACATACTGTAGGTCACTACCTGCCGCCCGACACCGCCTGCCGCCCAATTTCAACACACCACCGCAATGTCGAAAATGAAGCTTTTGAGCCACATACAATTTAAATTATACCGAGATCTTTTTAGGTACTGAAACTGAGGTCCTAAAGAAGCTATGTACAAATTTTAATCGCTCCGAAAGCGATGTGGTAGCCGGATCTGCCTTCCTCGGCGATTTACCGTGATAGAGGCCTCTCCAACAACTTCAGGTGCTGGAACAACAATATCTTCCTGATTCTTTGCTTTTGGAGTTGCCGGAGGATTCTTCTTGCATTTTCTGGACTATTTAAAGTCATTTTGAAGCTGTATATTGGCCTCTTTAGCCAACCGATCCTCTTCCTTCTGGCGTTTCTTTTCCTCCGCTGCTTGGGCACGTATCTCTTAATTAGATGCCCTGATTCTTTTCCTTTCTTCAATTAATTGTTGTTTCTTTTCCTTTTCTAGCTGACGGCGTAGCTTCTCTTCCTTTTTTAAGCCTTTGAAAGCTGTATTTGCTTCTCTTTTTCTGCTTGAAGATCCCGAGCTTGCTGGATTTTATTAGGAGAATAGAATACTGCATTACCATCCTCAGGAGCCTGTAATTCAAACTGTAAAGGCTTTGGCACGTTGGCGTCTCTTTTTCTTATTCTGGAGAGCCGTCTGGAGGCCCTATTCGTAGCTTAACAGGATATTCTCTGTAGAAAATAATGCATCGTTCGGCTCAAATTTTAGTGTTTTGTCCCGGAAGTCTGCAAAAAGTTCTCTAAGAAGCTGTTCAATCTTTCTCCAATCCTCTGCTTGTATAACAGACCTAGAGGAACTGCTAGAAGAAGGTCTTTTATCCTCTAACTTGCTAAACCGTGCCAATACCACTTCAGGATTAAAAGGCTATAACCCAACAGTTCTCCACGCACTTTCAATATTTCCTGCAGATAAGGCCTTCGTCCAGCTTGGCCAGAATAGCCTGAAGAAATCCCGCTTGGTAATACGGCTTAGGCCTTGAGATTCATGTAAAAATGCTTCCAATTGACCTCCGTAGGCTGCTAAAAGCGGTCCAAAGATACTGACATCAAGCGGCTGCAAGGAATGCGTAGAATGAGGTGGATAGGTCGCCACAAAGATCTTATTAGCCTCACAGTAGTTTAAAAACTTCATGGTAACATGGGATCCATGACCATTAAGAATTAAAAGCCTCCAACGCCTCCTAGCTTTGGCCTTTGTTTCCCGGTCAAATATTTGCTGAAGCCATGCAAATCCTAGCTCATTATTGGTCCAGCCAGAAGGTGAAGATGCAAAGAAACATTGTTGGTTTGTAGTATTAAAATCTTGAAGCCAGGAGTCTTGTAGTTTACCAGATACCGCTTGGTATATCAAACCAGGAGAAAGAAAAGTCTGGTCTGCACAAATAATGCAATTGTAGTAATCCACTCCCGATTACCATCCTGTAGGCGTTGCTTGAGGCCTCCTTGCTTGATATAATTGCCTAGAAAAGATTCTCTTGCCCTTAGGAAGCATCCTAATAAGAAATCCTTTCTTATCCATATTGTACATATCCTCTTGCTGTATATTGTATTCCTTGATTTTCCGGCCCAGATACTCAAAGTATAAAGCATATTTAAATGCAGAATCAGCCCGCTTGCGTGCAGAATCAATACCAGTTGTATAGCAAGATATAAGGTCCTTTTATGCCTTTCTAAGAAGCGGCCAGGCCAGTTCTTTCCTGGCTTTGTTCCAGCAATTCCTTTGCAAAATTCCGTAGCATCTCATGCGTATAATAAAGGCCTCGCTCCGATTGCTTATTTATAAAGGACACAAGCTCTTTGGCCTGCTGGTTGTTGAGGAATCGCTGGTCTTCATATTGCTCCTCCCTCGGCTGCTGAACTCCGCGGTGACGCCTTGATAGCGTTGATCGATCAACACCAAACCGTTTTGCAATTTGAGTATAGTTAATCCATTCTCCTGGTCCAACAAATTGATTGCAGCTAACGCGGCTTCCATTGAAGCCATATTGAATGAGATATGGTAAATTAAACATCTACGTTTGTAAAGTCGGTGAGTAAAGATTTTGGGCGGCAGGCGGTATCGGGCGGCAGTTGGTGATCTACAGTACTATATTGGGCGCTAGATGCGACTGATCGAAGATCAGTCGTCTTGTACCTTTTTATATGGTCAAGTGGTTTTATCTCTACTAGCGCAGAGACAACCAAACCAGCACAATTTTCCTTTCTTCCCTTCTTCAATGATTCCTTTTTGTACATAACCTATCCTATAGGTTCTACGGGTTCAGCCCCTGACAGTTTGGCTCTTTGCCGTGGACCAGCGTCGGTTTATGTTCTGTTGTTTAAATATTATCTGGCCAGATTGTTTGTTAAGAAAGGTGGGCAAGAGCAGCAGTGGTTATGTATATAAAAAAGATCAGACCAGCCAAAGGTGCCCGGGTGGGGAAACTATCATGTTATATTTATAGCAGTCGTTTTATGCGCACTAAGTTTTGTGGCTAGTATCTTAGCAGCAGATTTCAGAAAAAGCTAGAGCATGCTAGGTAGTAAAAGCAAGACTTACTTGTTCCTGTACTATTTTAATAAATAGGCAGGGGCTTTTGATAACGTACACCAGCATAGAATATTAACTGTTGCTACCCTCAGCAACAAGTCTTGGCGGCCATTAGCTCTTATGTCTTGGTATTTTCGTATGATTTGCCTGCTCCTAGGACTATCCAGACTTCTAGGAACTCTAGCCTGCTCCACGGCCAAGCCTGTTCCTGAGAGCTTGGAACATGCTCCTCGGATATTGTTGTGAACTCAGGGGAAATGGGGCGTAGGGAGCTATTCTATCAGCTACAGGCCAACTAGCCTAACTAGGAAGTAGATGTCCTTCTGTGGAAACACCAGGAATCACAGTATCTCAACCAACTGAGTCTCTTGCATTCCTATCTGGGTGCTCAACTAACTAAAGGATTGAGGGGTTGGATGGATCGTCAGATACTTCCGCACCGCCAACTCGGGCGGATTATAGTGTTTCCGTAACACTCCCCTTCGTTCATACCCCGTAGCCTTTCCATAAATGAATGAAATGAAGCCTACAGACTTCCAAAACAGGAAATAAACAAAACAATTGGGAGGGGTGTTGACGCCTCTAATAATCAATCTGAAGTCCTAGATGTTGCATCCATAGGATCTTAGTTCTCCAACCCATTTAGTTGCAACTTCTTACCATTTGCTTAATCCTTACCCGTACGCCTTGTGAGTCCATCCGCAAGCATTTCAGATTAGGAATATAAATTGCCTAATGTCACATGTTCAATGAAATCCCTGATTGCATGGTATGATGCGAATATGCTTGCTCCGAGGTGATTAACCGGGTTGTTTGCAGTCCAAGCTCCCTGGTTATCAACACCTAATCTAACTGCTCCGCATGGCTTGCAATAGCTATAAGAAAGTGTCTAATCCAGATTGCATGCTTAGCAGCTTCTGCAGCAGCAATATATTCAGCTTAGTAGTAGAGTGCAGTTATGGCTGCTTTCTACTGCACCAGCTAATGGTCTCCGCCATGCAAAATATGTAGCACTGGTTGAGCGACATTTTGTTGCATTTCATATGATGATCAGAGTTCCATTATCCATTGTTCCTCCTCCCCTTTAAGCTATACTTATCAACTTATAGTCTTCTTCACATATCGGAGAATGTGTTTCGATGCTCGAAGATGAATATCTCTGGGTTCTGCAAGATTTGGCTTAATCGTTGACATGAATTAATGTCTGCTCTGGTTCCACCAGCCAGTATGTCAAGCGTCCAAAATTTTCCTGTATTTCTCATGCAGATCCCGGGTTAGTTTGCGGGAATTTTCATCATTTAGATCAATGCTGGGACTTAATGGAAGATCTTGATCTCTTGAATCTAGCATTCCAAATTCCTCCAAAATAGAGTATGCATAGAACTCCTGGTTAAGCTGGATAAAGTCCTTTCCCCAGGTTATCCGAATCCCTAATATTTTGGACAGACACATGAACCCAAAATCTCGTTAGGAATAAGAGACAACGCTCGTCTATGGACTCTTTGTACATCTCCCGAGAGCTCTTGACATCGGAGGTCAAAGGCCACATAAAACCAAGTCTGGTAGTAATACATCTGCAACTATTTGGTTGTCTGCCTAATGTGTACACAGGTGACGCGCCTCGAGAAAGTGACCAACTTTGCCTCAACTTTTAACTGTGTCCCCTTGTTACTTTAGTCTTGTATGAGGTAATTATTGGAAGAACCTTTCTTTTACGCTAGCGGGAAATTCGCGAATTGGTTAACATCGTGTTTTTATTATATATCACCCACTTAAGTGTGAGATGGGGGAACACATGGTCCTTTTCGAACATATCGAAAATATTTGAAAGATTAGAAAAATGTTATTACTGTAGTAATCTTTTTGGTTTTTAGTCTATTGTGTAGGCTGGCATTGAAGGGGAGAGGGAATTGATGCAAGTGAATATTCTGTAATGTTGGGAGGCACTCTGTATTTATTGGCGAAAAGGTTGATCGATTCCATAAAGCACGCACATGTCCCCTACGGGCAAGAGCTGCATCTGCTCTCGACATGTCGCAGACTGAACTTGCCATTTCGCAATTCTATGGTTGCACATCCCTCCCTTCCATTCCCGATAGAACAAATATGGAATCTTTTCTGGCTCAACATAGCCGGTCGGTCTTGCAGGACGAAATTCTGCTGCCGATAGAGCAACTAGAGCAAATCAAATGCACTACATGGGTGTTTCCCTTCTGTGAATCTGCAAATGGATACGGATTCCTCCGTACTGCGGACCATTTGCCCATTCTTGTTCGACCCTCCCATATGCGTAAGTGGGTCTTCGCTTGAGCATAGCTAGGGCCTTACTTATTTGCTCCTCTAATCTTGTCATAAGTTAACGTATAGGTAGTACGCCTATAGTGTAGCCTCTGACATTGCCCACCAAAGCTCTTCTCCCGAATTCATTACATGGTTGCATGTCTTTGGTCTGAGCCATCGGATAGCTTAACCGCGTCTATCAACGAGCGCTACCTTTTGTACCTATGGTGTAGTGGTAATTCTGACAAATACTATTCATTTATTTTACGGGCTGAGCCGGGGTGCAATACACCAGTAGTAACCTTAGAAACTTCTAATAAAGTGGAATCTTTCTCCGACAATCCAGTTGGTGGTTGCCTGTAGTATTTGCAAGTTTCGCGAGTGGGGTAAAAGGCTGAGCCTGGAGGTTTGACTTGACTTTTCCAGACGAATTGAAAAAATTGTTGACTTGCCACCTAATTCTGAAATTGTCTAACTAATCTTTCCTATATAACAATCTGCTTCAATACAAATAACTGATATAAGGGTCTGTTGTGAATCAGAGGACAAATTTTTTTTTTTTTTTTTGTAATTACCTATTCTCATAGTAAACTGAAGGGTTTATATACTAGAAGAATATCAAATTGATTTCCAATCAATCGGATTACATACGGAATTCATTCCGTATGTGAAGCACTACAGTTTCCTTGGTCGAGCCTCGATTTATAGCAGGATCAAATATCGCGGCATATAGTTCTGTAATTCGCAATAACGAAATGTGGGTTGTCGTTAAGTCTCAGGCTGACAAAAACCATCCCAGATACAGTTGTGGATTTGACGAGGCATAATATAGTCCAGCACAGAACACGATAGCTATCAAGACGCAAGCAGGCATTCCCCTTGTCATTCCTTTGCGGCAAGCACGATTGACGCCCCACTCATTGCATATCTCTTCGCTGACTATCTTACTTCCGCTAAGGCAAACGGGGACCCCTGTTCCAGGATGCGTGCTCGCACCTACAAAGTAGAGCCTCTTGATTTTGCTATGTTTTATGCTCGGGCGGAACGACAGTACATTGAAAAATGAATGGGACAAGCCCAATATTGCCCCTCGATCCAAGTTAAACTTGGACTTCCAGCTTAATGGGGTTTCTACCTGCTCGTGCAAAAGGTCATCGCGGAGTTTTTTGCATCCAGTGCGCTGCTCAAGGGTGTGAAAAATAGTTTCACGAACGCGCGCAACGAGAATGTCCCAGTCTTTCCGAATCGTCTCACTCATTGTAGGGCCATCGTCAGCTTGATGGCTGACCGGAACAAGGACTATCACTGCTTCTTTGCCTTCCGGTGCTGCTGTCGGATCGATTCGACTGGGCACGTTCACATAAAATGATGGCTCCTGAGGAAGTTTGCGGCCCTGAAAGATTGCATCAAAACTTTCCTTATACTTACTCGCAAGGAATATATTGTGTGTTTTGAGTTTTGGAATCTTCTGGTTGAATGACCAGAAGAATGAAATACTGCTGCAAGACACCGGTCTTTTTTGTAAAGAGCGTGCAAAATTCGAGGGCGGTAGAAGTGTGTTATAAGCATAGACTAAGTCAGCATTTACAATCACAAGATCCGCCTCCAGACGTTCTCCTGTTTCCAAGCAGGCGCCAGTCGCATAATATCCGTCTTCTGATACCAAAATAGATGATACAGGAGAGTTCAAACGGTATTCAACACCAAGCCGCTTGCCTATTGTTGCGATTGCTTCAAGTACTTTTTGGAAGCCACCAACAGGATACCATATTCCATGGGCGAGCTCTGTGAAGTGAAGCAAAGAATATGTTGCGGGGGCTTCAAAAGGACTCATACCCAAATACATGCTTGCAAACGTGAACACCATTCGCATCTTATCTGAGCTGAAATATTTGCTAACCCTCGAGTAGATGCTTTCAAAAGGATGCAGTGCAAAAAGGGAACGCAGAAGTGGCAACCGTAGCATGCTTAACAGTCGTGGAAAATCGCACTTCAGGACATATAGCTTGGACAGTTCATAATGCCTTCCAGATTCAGTCATAAACGAGAAAAACTTTCGTATCCCACCTCTACCCTCGTGGCGTTCAATTTCGCTATTCATTTTTGAAAGATCGGTGGACATATTAAACACATCACCGTCTGAGAACCACACCCGGTAATTTGGTTCGCACTTCTCTAATTTGATGCCCTCATCTTCCATAGTAGTGTCTAGATCTGCGAACGTTTCGTGGAAAAGTTCTGGCATGAGCAACAGAGAAGGCCCTTGATCGAACCTCTAGCGAACACACGTTAGCAGAGCTCAAGGTTCCATCAAAAAGTTGATTATGCCAGCATACAAAACCATTATGCCTGAAAAGAGAACACCGGCCACCTATTGATGAATTCTTCTCCACAACAGTGACTTTGAACCCTTTTTTTGCTAGCCTCGTAGCCGTAGCCACTCCTCCAGCTCCCGCACCTAATTTTGTCGTTAGGAGGAATCCCTATTAGATCGATATGTTCGTACACCTACCGATAACAAGGACATGGGGATTGGCCATGATGCAATAATCCGAACAGAGTATGGACACTATTAGCAACTGGCCAGGTTCTTCATAGCAATTCTGGATATTAAGGCTGGATAGTAGACATACATTGACTTATGTACATCGGGATTCCCCGCACATCGAGTGAATAGAACTATAACTTCTCACCGCTACTTCTTGAATCCAACCGTATACAATGTAGTGTTTCATGTGTTCCAACGACCCATTTATTACGTGTTCCACCGTGCAGGAATCCTTCCTCTTTAACACCAGGGACCCTGGTCATAATGAACCTCTGCTGTTTTCACCTAATCGTGCATATCACCCTTTGCCTCAAATCATTGTCCCCAAGCACACTCATACTTTTTCCTCACCGGAGCTTGTGACCCATCTTTTATAACCTACCTCGTTTTTGCATCTGGTGTCAGAAGCACCATTATCTATTCCATCGTACTAATAATGGCAACATCCGTCATTTCTGGAGCTCCGCTTCCTTGCGTTGTTTACCGGACCACTGCACCCATCGTACCATTCGAAAACTGATAGTCTACACCCGCACTATTGTACCCATGCTTTGACATATCGCTGCATATTTTCAATAACACTTGCAACTAACGCACGACTACAAACTAGCTATTTCACGTCCCATATGATTCTCCAATCAGGCCTGGCTTTCACCAAGATTAACTCTGGTCTTCTGTATCAGTGATGTACTGATTGGCCGCAGTCTGATATGGTGTAATGGGCATCTTTGCACTCTCAGCTCAGCTTCCATGCTATTTTAGCAAGATATCCCTGCATCGGTATGAATCTGTAAGTCGAGTCTTAGGGAAACTGCGCATTGTCATCGAGTAGAAGGCTGTCTGATTGGAATTGGTTTGCATATACTAGACCTCGACGCTTCTTCGACTTAATTATGTTGACTTTCCCGTATGCCTTCCTAGCCACAATGCATTTTCGGGACTTTTGTCGCGCTTCCAATTCCGAAGACATTCCCAATGCTGCAGAGGGTAAGGCTAGGAGGACAATGCCCAGAAGAGTACGTCCATTTAAATTGCTGCAGTGAGGTAAGTTCTATGTTTCCCCGGAACGTGTTTCATTGTGGTGACATGTTTTTTTGAAATAGTTGCTGGAATATAGTCTCTCTAGCCGTAGTCTTCCTGGAAGGATGGATGAACCTCCTCAGATGACCGGTATCTTCTGCAGCAATGCGGACGGCTCGGAGCGTTTCCTATCTGGCTTATTGGAACTACATCCCACTCTCGCGCATTTGCAGCTTCTGGGTTTAATATTCGTAATTTTGACATTCACAGTCGCTCAAACCGAACAGCGTGGATAACGGCTTCTGTCTTCAACGAGCATCTTCAATGGTTGGACGATGAGATGAATGGGAGGCATGTGATCCTTCTTGGGGCCCATATTCGGCACACGAAGATGCTGTTAGGGATATTCAATGCAGTTCTTCCGCTCTGCGAAATACTCTGATAGTCTGGCTTCCTCCAAGCCCGTCAAGCGGATACCAGCCTCTTAATCAAGGCATCCACCGAAACTGCAATCGGTTTCCAACATAATAGGCGAATTTAATTCCAGCAGGGATCCAACCTACACAATGGACGTTCTCAAAGCATGAAGGCGTCTTCAAGGATCAATCATCTCATGGATGTAAAACACTTCTTAAGCCCAGCGGAGGATGATGTTCGAAACGACCTGCATAGCATCGATAACGAAATTATTGCCCAGTTCCGGCCCGTAAGTGACAATTAGATGGATGAGAAGATGGAAGGGAACGAAACTACTGCTGTGCATGTGGATTAAAATGTTCCGAAAAAAGGAATAGTATTCCCTAAAAGGTTGTGATATAAATACCACAACTTAATATTTACTCTCGCTCCCTTCGAAAGTGATGGCTCCGGCAACGCAAGTGAGTGGAATTTATTAGATAGATATATTAGTGTCACATCAGGGAGCCGGTGTATCCACACAATCTCCGTGCAATGATCAAACGCTGCCAAACCGATGTACTAAGGCGACTCTCCCCCTTCATGATCTCTTCACTAACATCGCCTCTAGAACCTTGCAATGGACGGGAATACGAGTATGCAGACAAAGGCAACAAGGGTACTCGAGCGACTATCGGGCATTCAGATGCCAAGGACCGCATTTCATTGGGCCATTTAAAAAAATTCTGGCAGCCTTTAAGGGCAACCCAGAATAAGTCAAGAGCAAAGTAATCAAAATTTCAGTATTTCCTGTAGCTAATCAAGTTGGATTCCAAACCCAGACTTTTTCACCTAAAAGTGGTCGGGTCTAGATGAGAGTAATATCCCCTCACTTTTAAGTTGCATTAATCCTTACCCCTTGACGTGCTATCGAGAGCCCTCTGGCTGCGGAGGTCACTCTCGGAAAACCAACTGCCATGGAATCCATATGGGACCCTATGGGGGATTTGAACCCGAGCCACAACGCTTTGCATGTCTTTTGCATTGATAATCCACAATTCACTAAACTGTTCTCTGCTCACCTTCTGCAACTGCGATTCATCGAAAACAAACGTAAGAAGCCAGCCATCGTCTTCGTCCAAAGCACCCTCACGGCTGACAAAGGAGCATTCCGCTCCGTAGCAGCCCGGTGGCATCCGAAAAACTTTTATAGGGTCGTTAGGATCCGCAGAAGTTATTATCTCTGATATTGATCTCTTGTCAACACAACCCATCACCCGAACTGGGCTTTCCTTCTTGCCCTTTTCAATCAAGGCCCCTGCATTGACTTTGACCAGGCAGTCCGCCTTCAATGCCTGCAACGTTAGGTCCCCAAATGACGCCTGGGCTGTTGAATAGCCGTACACAAAACGAGCATTACGCATAGACTTCGACTTTGGTACGACAGGAAGCTCAAACCATATAGCAGACAAAGCCCACTCATGCGTGATGTTATTGCATTGATCACTTAAATTGAACTGGTAGTAGTAAAGACGACATTGCTCTTCTTCTGAGCGTGTCTTGCGCCCAGTGGGAGACGGGACATCCCCGGTCAAATACATTATTGAAGCGCTAGTCATTCGACACACAAGCATATTCACAACGACAAAATCTTCGTCACGGCCCTGCCGCTCATCCCAACTGTTGGCAACGTGGAAAATAAGGCAGGGTCCTGTTTCGAACCATTTTGTCTCGTTAGGTGTTCTGCGTGGAAATATCCCGAAACGGGACACACCATCCCACTTGTAGTGCACTATGGGCCTTCCTCGCAGTATATTTATCAGATTGAAAGAAAGGGGTGAGTCTAAGGTAATAATGTGACCCAATGAAACACCGAAATCATGTATAATTCTGGGACTTGAGAATCCCAGGACTGTGGCTCCGAGAATCGGTGACCATGCTGCTGGTGTTGCACGATTTGGATTCGTATTCGGAATGATAGAATATCGAACGTACGGTGGAATAAGAGTAGAATGAAGCAGGACCAGCTCCTGAGTCAGTGGGTCAATGTGAGGCTAGTTATCATCAGTCTTATGTCAAGAAAATATGCGGTGAATATGAACAAACATGTGCAGTGGTCCATTCCTTGAAGAAGCCCAGCAACCCGGGGCCTCCAAAGCCATATTTAGAGCCCGCATTGACACCATCAGACTCTCTGCCAGTAAACCAGTCCACAGTTTCTATCTCCGGCAGCTTTATTCTCATTGGAGGTCCGGTTTCATTGAGCGCCAAGGCCCGACCATCGTGGAAAATGATGTTCGTGTTAGCTACACTTATTCGCTTTATCGGAGATTGTGAGAGCTGGATGTAGGACCAGGCAATCAGGAATAAAGTCCGCAGCAGTTCAAAAGCCAGTGTGAAAATGCTGACACTTTGGTTTATCAGTGTCGTGAAGCTCGGCAGAATCGGCATGAGCCGCGCTGGAAGCTTTTCAGACGCTCGATAGATGTCGGTGCAAACGTACTTGCACACAAATTCTGGCTGTACTTTCAAAGAATCATATGTACGTCGGAAGTAAACACCGGTAAGCATTCCATCCCCGTCGAACCAGTGGTAGCCGCTTCTCCCACTAGGTACGATTGCAGGATTACTACCATTTCGAACATACTGCCCACCGAGCAGTTCGTGTGGGATAAGACCCTTATAGCGGCAAGATACAGGTGACCGCACCTCAGAGGTAGGTGCAAAATTTCCATCCAGGAGGCTGAGAGAGAGCGAAATTTAGTATATTGTTAATTCATAAGATAGATCCAAAAGCGAACATGGAGCGGATCCAGACGTACGGATGTTGCGATTTTCTAACTCGCGGCATGATACGGACGGTCTGATTGCTGCCAGTTGGCTTGGTGGCTAGGCCTCTATAATTTACTGGTCAATAATGATGATGGTTTTGTGCCTATATATCTTCAACTTCGGAAACACTATGTCACTAGTTCATTTTGTCAATTAAGCAAAATCCTAGTCAATGGGTATGAGTAGATCCGACTAGTGCAGTCAGAAAGGGGTGCACTTTCGGCCATTGCCGTGTGAGCTGCGTGCAAAATTGCCATAAAACTTGACTCCCAATTTCTCGCCAGGCTTCGTACTTTTTCGTCGCTTTTCTTGTCTTTGGCACATATCCGATTTGCTCTCGTTATCTCATCCTTCTTACTGGTCCAATAATATTCTCTCTTTGGTCTGTTGCATCCACGCTCCGTAATTCTGCTGGTTGCTATATACTTAAACTGTGCGTGTGGCTTTTATCTGAACGAATCATCTTCGTCTTCCAGTTTGCTTTTCTGATACCTCACTTTTGGCGGTTTAGTTCCAGGATCATGCTTGTACTTTCTGATCTCATGACTGATAACCCTTCAGGTCCGTGCTCTACCTTTTCTCACCTACCGCCAGGTTGGGCTCCCACATTCATTGTCTATACCTTGCGAAAATATGCAACATTGACCAAGTACATCGTACTCGTACGTTCTAGACCCCACTACTCTCACTGAGACATCCTGGACGGCACACTTGACCCCAAGTTGTGCTGGAGTGCTGTACTTCCAAGCATCCCGCAGTTTCGCGCATTTAATGCTACCGGCCCCTCAAGTACCGGCAGTTGCAAGGATTGTACCAGCCTTACTGTCAAATGCTCTTTGATGATAACTGCAGCCCACATAGCGGAAATCAATTGGCTCAACTTCTGAAACCCCTCGTATTTAAAATCTGGTAACATTTAATTTACAGACCACTCCTAAAACATAGTCTTATGTTGACTTGCAACTGCAGGTACAACACCCCCGTTAGTCATCGAACAATGGGATTAGATTACCTTCTGGTGTTAGTATAATGGCTTTTGTTTTTCAAAATTTAGCTAACAGGTAGAAGTCACGTCAAGTATAATCTTCCACCAGCCGTAGTGCTCACAGTCCTCTACCGACCGTTCTTTACGAGACATGATTTTTATAAAATATCCTTGCTGTGTGCGGTACGCGTAAGAGCGTCATTATATTTCTTGGTGATCACATTTATAACTAACGAGACAGATCGTGGTGACCTGGACAATACCTTGGGACTCATATCTTATTCGCACTCGGATATGGACGTATCCTGCCGGTGCGATTGTAGGGACAAAAATTGCTGACATACCCCTGGAGGAAGTCTTCTTTTTCATTATTCAGACCTACAATACTAGTATAGTATATCTCTTGCTCAGCAAGCGACTAGTACTGCCGATGTATCTGTCAGGACCAAGCTACCAGCACATGGGTCCCTTCTATTTTTCTCGTCTTCGAGTATGGAGGGACCAAGGAATACTGTTCTTTACAGGACTCATAGCCTCGGGATTGCTGTATTTATACTGGGGTGGTAAGTACACATACATGGGCTGCATTTTAGTTTGGGCGTCTCCTGTCATGATCTTTCAATGGTGAGTTCTTGGTCTATGGGCATAAATTCCAGGGATATTGATGGATAATTTAGGGGGTTGACATACCGCTTTTTCCTCGCTCTTCCGCTCACCAATACCTTGGTACCAATTTGCCTGCCGACGGCGTACCTTTGGCTAGTAGATACGTTGGCATTGAGAAGGGGAACCTGGGTTATTGAAAGCGGAACCAAGGTTAACATCCAGCTTTGGAATAGCCTAGAAGCTGAGTGAGCATTATTCCTGCACACAGGAGTTAAGGACAAGAGTTAACCTCTACATTTGCTTGGATAGGGAGGCACTATTCTTCCTTGTCACGAACGTCATGGTTGTCTTCGGTCTTGTTGCGATTGATAATGCCGCCGCGGTATACCAATATATGGTCGCCACATCGGATGCCGTGAAGGACCCCTCGATCCTACAGCTTATTGTCCTTTTTTTGACACATAGGCGAGAATACGACAGAAATTTTATTTCAGGGCTTTCCCAGGCTGTTTATGACCTACAAAGCAAGAGCCAGAGTATGTACCTGGGCTCCATGCTATTCGACAGCCCACTCCAGATCGATCTTATCTTTCTGTAGGCAACCCAGGTTTTCCCTTGCGTGGAGTAATCCTATTGACGCAAGCTATCTCAGATACTCGTTCTGCCGGAAAATGGATGACTTGGTCGATGAGGCAATTGACCGAGATACCGCTAGGTACTGGATCCAACAATGTTCTAAGTCCTTAGCGGTAATTTTCAACCACATAAAAGTTGATGCAGATGGCAATAAAGGATTGGAGAGGCTAATCCCACCTACCCTATTTTTACCCATCTGTTTGCTCCCGGCATCGCGCCTGTCAAGTCAACCCCTCTATAATCTTCTCAAGGGCTTTGAAATGGATTTAGAATTTGACTCTAAGGCTGGTACCTTCCCCATTGCCACAGAGAATGATTTGGAACTATACGCCTTCCGGGTAGCAAGTACCGTTGCTGCCAGTGTACTTAATCTTATTTTCTACCATCATCAGGAAGATATTAAGAACGATGATTACGTCCGGCTGATTGCGGCTGCCGAGCGTATGGGTCAGGCTTTACAGTACGTGAACATCGCACGAGACATTGTACAGGATGCACAGTACCAACGTGTTTACTTTCCGACCTCCTGGCTCAATGAAGAGGGATTAACGCCATCTATGGTTGTTGAGAATCCTACCCATCCCAGACTTGCGGTGTTACGAGATCGGCTTCTTGACAAGGCGGAAACGTGCGCGAAAGATTCACAAGAAGCAATTGATGAGCTGCCGTCGAAAATTAGAGGTCCCCTTCGAGTGACTATATTGAGCTATATGGAAATTGGGAAGGCACTCAGGGAGCTGCAGGTGAGTGCATGCGACAGTAAGCTCAAGCTGCCTTGGTGGAGACTTTTTAAAGTGGCCTGGGCTGCAACGTACTAGCGAAACTGACAAGTGTCATTGCCTTACACTCCATGATAACCCGCATTATCTGATATCCTGGTGCTGTCTCATTGATAGAACATCACGCGCAGTCTCCAACGAGCTGATTCAAAATATGTGATAATGTGATATTAAACATGCTTTGGGCAGCTAAAAAGCAGTTGTAGCCGCAGTATTTCATGTTTTGTTTACAAAAATGGAATGGGAGCCTGCATTTAGTTTGGCCGCCCTAAAGTATGCGTTGGCGCACTCTGTTGCTAGGTATCGTGCGAACCGGTTTTCGTCACTGTCAATAGTATCCGGAGTGCTCTGCGTGCTGATCCAAGCACAGTTATGTTCCTTCCGGAGCTGTAGGATGGTAGCGCTGAAGCCCAGGAAGGCGCCAGAAACACCTTCTGTCCTTGTTTTAATAGGGTGGCTGCTTGCCGGTCGCACCTCAATTTACTCTCAGAGGGTCTAAATCTCCTCCTATAGTTTTACATTCTAATCTTTTAGCTACTGTTGCTCGGTTCTGAACTCATAAAATTTCTGCTCGGCCCGATTCAATAACCCTGGTCTGATGGTTAATGACTTCTATCAGGCTGCAGATTAGCTTCCAGACCTCCTGGTTCGTAAGTCTCTGCTGCCGCTTAGGGAGAATAGATTAAGGGTGGATGTCGGTGCAGATTGCGCTTGTATGCCTCTCCTCCGGTCTCTTGGGACTGGTGAGAATGATGGCTCAACATCCCTTGCTGAATTTTTAGGTGTTTTGGGGATTGTCAGGATCCCTCGGGGGCGGAACCGTCGTCGGGCCGTGTTTAGCTTCTGCTTGACACGCAACAACAACCGCAAATACATCCTACGGTAGGTTAGTGCAATCGCTTGCATAACTAGTCCACAGGTGACATCAAGGCGTCAGTGCCCATGTCATATGAGCTGGCTCGCCAACTTGAGCGTAGACCAAAAGCGGGATGATCTTCGACTGCAACAGACATGCACAAATACGTTGCCATAGCTAAGATATGGAATAATAGGAGTGTCGTTATAAAGAGTACGGCCAACACACCGGGGTTTTACCTCCGGTAGCAGCGACATTGCCCATCTCGCACATTAAAAGGACCCAGCAAACTGGCACTTTATCCCTAGGCACCTTTGTTTTCACATGTAGTCCACCATACTCTGATTTGCCCAGTTGGATCACTGCAGATGGGTCTGGTTCACTATCTAGATCTCCTGTCCTATATGACGCAGGTCAATGCAGATTCGTAGGAATTGATGCTAGCTAAGACGCGGTGGTTTAAGCAGGGAACAGCCGTCGGAAGCCATCCGACCGTAGAGAGAAACGGAATGTTTTTTGTCCGGAAAGTGTACAGAGCAAATAAGTCAGGCTTGCCAATAGAGGGCTGAGCTTATCATTCTGTATACATTTGAACGTTCAATTTCGGGGATAGATGGTTTTTCAGCAGATGCTCGTTAACTTACAAATCTGCAATGATAAGCATAAGTGCTGGAGAAACAAAAATTCAGTCGGATTACCCCCCACTGAAGTTTTGCCTCGCACGTGGAGCAGAAGGAATGATACCACAATTGCTGGTTCCATTGATGATGCCATCGTTTTGTTTGAGTGGTAAAAGGGGAATCGTGAAAAGGGTTACGACGGAAGATGGTTTCACTGGTGAAGTTAGCGTGGTGCATTTTATAGAGGCTATCTTGCTCAGGCTACTCACCCCTCTGCTCAGTGATCAGCTCAAGCCGCTCAGTGCGTGCTCAGGTCCACTCAGTGAGAAAACGGAGGCGAGGGGTGAGCACTAAATCGGAAAGGGAAAGATATTGAGCCGACTAGAAAATCATGTACGTATGTATCATGCTTATACTAACTAGATGTAGTAAACAAAAAATAACATAATAGATCCCCCCTTAGCTCCTGACCATGCTAGAAAAATAGCGGAATATCCCTCCATCCGCAAGACGCCGCTCCGAAGCGAATCCCAAAAAAAAAAAAAGAGGGACCAAAAACAGATAAAGAAATGGTAACCAACATGGGAAGAGGCCGGTTATATGAACTTAGATGAAAGACTGTAAATGGGGATCTAAGAGTGTGGGCTATTAGTATATACCTCATCGACCGTATCACGAGAGGATGATGACTCCCAACTACTGTCTCCACTATTGGTCATTGAGTATCTTGGAGGTGTGCAAGGGATGTCCGTAGCGCTGCCAGCAAGCTGTTCCTTGAGAGCCTTGTACTCGGCCAGCTGAGTCTGCAGTTCTTGCATCACTTCCCCAATGGGCACGGCGTGGTCCCTCAGCCGGTCTCCAGGCCGGAAGGGACGCATCATGTTTCGAATCGCAAGTGTGTTTATTGTCATCTGTAAGAGAGTCAGGGATGGACTAAGATGAAAAGAAGGGCTATGCCGTAGCAATGGTCTACAAACCTCAATTCGAGTCACTTGCTGTTCTACCAAGCTAAGCACGGTTGAATCAGCGAGCTCCCCTCCATAATTTTTAACCACATTGAAGAGCGCCGAATTCGGCTCCTTGAGCCGTGCTTCGTCTGGGTACTCCAAAGCAGCACAGAGCCTTTCCAGACGAAGAGTGATTTCCCACAAGCGCCAGATCAAATCGGTCTCGATCTCGAGCTGAGAATGCTTGCTGATGGTTGTTTGGGCAGTATCGCTGGTGGCATCCTTGTCTAAGGACGTCAGGCGCCCAGCCAGAGAGTGTGGGTAAATAAGGTAGAGCGGCTCGGGATTCTCAAGTCCTTTCAGCTTGCGCTCGCCTTGGTCCTTGATCACGAATCCTAGGCTGTTCAACTGTTGAAGCTCGCGTCGGATATTATACCCCAGATTGTCCATCACATAGCTTTCTTCGGAACCAGTGGAGATAGCGCGCTCGCTATCGGCAAATACTTCCAGGTTACGTTGTATATCACTCATGAAATCAGACGATACGAAGATTTGCCCACCATCTGCAACAGCAGATATGCGCGATGCGCGGTTTACCATTGGGCCGAAATAATCCATGCGATTAGTGACGGGGTCTTTTTCGCAAACAGGCTCGCCCCAGTGTATCCCCATTCGAACAGATAATCCCCGGAAAATGACGCTATCGTCCATGTCGTACTGAACCTGGCACTGGGGCTGTTCAAGAATCTCAGTCGGCCATTCTGCTTCAAGAAGTTGGGCTTGGCAGTTGAAACACCAGAGCAAAGCAGCCGTGGTTGTTGAAAATGCAACCATGAAAGCGTCGCCCTCGGTTTTCACCTCATACCCACCAATAATTCCCAGTTGCCGACGGAGAATGTCATTATGAATCTGAATTGCGGAGCGCATTGCGTCAGGGCATGTCTCCCAGAGACTTGTTGACTTTTTGATATCTGTAAAGATGATGGCCAACTCCCCAATGGGAGCATCCACATAATCAAAACGCGCAAGCCGGGAATCGCCAGGGATATCTCGCAGCTTCTTGCCACGTTTCGTGCTTGGGATGATCTGTTCCTCGCCCAGAGAGACGCTTGGACGATAATGTCTGTTGCTCTTCTTCTTGATCTCACCCACGCCTAGAACCATTACCATGAGCTTGTTATGGGCTCCAAATGAAATAGCGAGATCTCGTAATTTTTGAGCCGCTAACATTAAGTCTCTTCGTTCAGCTCTAGTCACATCCACGACGACATCCGGCGTTACGTAGTCCCATAATTCCTTCGACGCCAGAACTACCATCTCGTCCTGCTCAGTGAGGTTGACATACAACGTATGAGGAGCTGCAATGACCGCAGGCATATCAGGGAAAAACCCGAAGCACCTTGACACGGGAATATCCTCGTTGAGCTTCCCGTTGCGATTTATATAACCTCCAGCCGCTCTGATTCTGGTCCTTTCGTGGGCCTCGGTAGGATCATGAACTTTTGTCAAGTGTTTAAGCGAGCCATCCGACTTGATAAGTATCGCTTGTGCGTCTCCAATATTGGCAACATAGAGGTGCATTTCGTAAATAACCAGTACAGTTGCAACTCCACCGGTCCTAATGTCGTTTTTATTAAGCCGCATCTTCTTTGCATCGGATGAGTCATCTTGATACTGCCGGACAACCTCGTCATCCATAGACTTGTAGCAAGCATAGGCGATGTTTCTATTCAGAGTCAGGAATGTGCGTCGTAAAGCATCTAGTGGCGTTTCCTGCTCGGTGAGGCGCACTCTTTTCAGTTCCTTGCTGAAGACATTGGCAAAATTCTCATGCAGATATTTTGCAATCTTGGAGCCCTCTGCATAATTGAATTGTCCATCAAATAAGCCTATGACTGTCTCCTGGTTGTCGGTTCTCATACGCGGTATGACCATGTCAATGATAGAGAGATGGTCGTCTTTACCGAGAAAATCCGCCATACCATACAAAGATGAGCCGGCTAGGGATGCCGACGTTCTTACACGTCGATCTTCATGTTCCTCAGGAATAGTAGGCCTCGTGAGGGTGACGTCCATTAGACCTAAAACCCGCAAATGGCTAAGCGAGTTGAAGTCGGTCAAGTGCGCACCGCTCGAGTTGCCCATGGAAGAAAAAGTAGGCTTGATCTCCAGTCGCTTATTACCAGAAAAGTTAAGGTATTTGAGATTTCGATTCCAGTTCCAATTCCAGTCATAGGGCCAATTGGTGACGTTGTACTTCAGGGAATTGCTACCGACATCCAAAATAGCAAGCCTGCTGACCTTACACAGTTCTGCAGGTAGCACCTGAAACCGGTTGGCATTGATGTTGAGAATTTGCAGGTTGCTCGATTCTTCAAGATCATCTGAAGGAAGGGACGTCAGCTCATTGCCCGAGAGGTACAATTCAGCCAGCAAGGGCCAACGTCTCAGTAGCCCCTGCGGTAGTTCGGTCAATTCGTTATACGAGAGATTGACCACACGCAAGTCTGGAATTAGCGATAACTCGCGGAATACATCATCCTCCAGTCTATTGTCCGCCAGATAGAGGTTTTTGAGCGATCCGACGAACGTTGAGGAAGAAATTTGCGAAAGATTGGAATCCTTTCTGGAAGCCGGACTTCCGTCGGTGTACGTGCGCGAGGTCGTAGACACTTTTCTTCCTCCTTGGCTTAAAGAAGACGCGACCGAAGGCTTCCGGTAGCTTGTACCGTTCGGAGAACTCCCAGTGCTAAGAGCAGTTGAAGCTTGACTAGGTCTGCGGGCCTCGCTGTCTTCAAGTAGACCTACGTCTTCGTAAATTGGTGTTGCCGCCATTCCCGGAGTCGCGGCAGAAGAACTAACGAGGTCATTGAGCGTTGGGGGTTGGGGGTTGGTATATTTCGGGAAAGCATCTAGCACATTCGATGAGACGTTGAGAGTCTCTAGTTTTAAACAATGCCAGATTTCTGGAGGGAGTCGTCTGAGATTGCACTCCCTCAGATTGAGATATCTTAGCTCCGTCAAACACCCGATTGTGGCGGGAAGTGCAGCAAGCGGATTCTTGATAATACTAAGGTACTCGAGCTTGCGAAGTCTACCAATATAAGGTGACATAGACACAAAGTGGTTCTTATCGAGTATGAGTTTCGTCAGGTTGGATAGGTTCTCAAACAAGGAATCCCGCAGTTGAACTAGTTTGGCTGAGCCTATGTTGAGCGACGTTAATGTTGGCATGGGTGCATCGATATCGAATAGTGTCATAGGACAATGGTCAATGTTCAAAATCCGCAATTTTGGGAATGAGCCTCTGAACCTCGAAATAGAATTGTGGCCGACTGACAATTGTTCCAAACGTGGTAGCATGGACAAATTATCGATACTCGTGATTTCGTTGAATCTTGCATCAAATTCTTTCAAATTCACGAGACTCTTGAATACCTCACCCAGCGGCCCTCTCAGGACGTTGTTGGTTGCCCAAATCCGCTCGAGGGATGATAAGCAACTGATATCCGGGAGCTCGGCGATATTGTTAAAACTAATGTCGAGATCCACCAAGCTCTTCAAATTGCAGAGAAATTCAGGGAACTTCTGGAGGTTGTTACACGCCAGACTGAGTGTTCTCAGATATTGAAAGGCTCCAAAGTAGCTGGGCAGAGAAGTTATCCTGTTGTTGTTCAGCCTCATGCAGACAAGACCTTGAATCTTGTCAAGATTTGCATGGTCCAGCTCTTCCAGGTGATTATTTGACACATCCAACAGGGTTAACCGACTTGCAAGGCAGAAGCTCGAAGGCAAGCGAACGGCCTCATTGCCTTTGAATATGATCTCTCGAAGATTTATGCAGCCCTGAATGAAATCTTTGGGCACATCCAAGGCTAAATTCCGTGATAGGTTGAGAGTTATGATATCGGACGACCTTTTGTAAAGGCTGATGGGGATTGTCACAAGGTTTCGGCTTTGGAGATCCACAGTGGTAAGTTTTTGCGTTTTGTTGACAAAAGACTCAGCTCCAGCTTGGAGACTGCTAAGGCCGCTGAATTTGGTGGGCAGAAATGTAAAGCGTATGAGGTAGCTATGGTCCTCCCGCCCAACTTCTTCTATCCTGTCTTTTGGGGTGTAACCCACATGTTCAAGCATCAGCTTTTGCATAAGAATTGGTTTCTCATTGGGATCCAGTTGCCTAGAGAGGTCATTTTTCCGCATCACTATGTCATAATTGTTGAGGTCCTCCGTAAGGAAGGATTTACGGCCCAAGATGAGCAAAATATCGGCAACAGTGGCATTTAAACCAGTTGATAGTGTAGCGAAAGTAGAATCGATACGAAAAACTCGAATGAAAAACGGAACCCCAGCAGGTTCAGACGTAGTGCGAAGGGGACCCTCCCCTCCGCCGGGCAGTAATGCAGTGTTATCATCCCACTGTTTCTTGACATGCCAACTCTCTGGGGCATCCCAATTTCCAGGGCCCAGGCCATCTGGTATGCCACTGTGTTCAGTCGATGCTCCGTCAGTTTTATTCTTATCACTCAAGGGTGCTGGAGAACGTTGCTTGACGATGCCTTCCATATGTGAGAGGTCCGTATCAAGCTGATAAACGCGCTGTTCATCTGTATGTCCAGGTGTTTCGGCACCGCGGCGGCCCCGTAGTTTCGCGGAGCCAATTGCCAGGCCCTTTGCATCTCTTTTCCGGTCAGACTCTCCTGGTTCCCCGTGCCTAGAGGTGGAAGTACCGTCCAGGCTTCCCTGCCGTCCTCGCCGAGCAGGAGAAAGTTTTCGTGGCAACTTGAGAGAACTTTTAGACGCGTCTTGCAAGCCCCTGAATGGACCCCTCGGCCGACGAATTTTGTCGAAAAGAGTTCGTCTATTCGGGGCTGGCCCGGGAGAATTATGGCCTTGCTCCCAAGCAGAGGCGCTTTGAACACTGGGCGTGGGACTGGTAGAGCGTCCAACTGGAGTACTTGACGAAGCCATAGCTGAAGGGTAATTTAAGCTACCTTCCCTGGAAGAGCGTAGTCCAAGAGAACTATCATCACGTCCCGTGGCTGGACGGGTCGGGTATCCAGCCAGGTCACCAGCAACTGTTGGCTTTTCTTCTTTACTTCTTGAGTGTCGATGATGGCTACCGAGGTACCGGCGAGCATGATCCCGGTGTGCGCTTGATGCATTATTCCCGGCAGTAATGTTGCTGTCTTGCCCTATGGGGACATCACGAACCGGAGCTTCTCCATAGGTAAAAACGTCCTAAGTAGGCTATTTAGGATCTGGTATCCAAAACAGGATGGTAAGAAAAGGTAATTGGAGCTCACTTTGAAATTCTGGTACTCCCATGGGGTAATTTCACTAGAGCGAAACTGGCTTTCCGACCTAAGCTCATCCTGTGAGAAAGTTTCGGCATTGGGCCGGTCTGATAAATTTCGCGCGCCATCGGAGTTCGCTCTTTCGCGGGCTCTAGTTTGAGTGACGCGCACTGGTTTAGCTGCAGGCTTTTGAGAGTTGCTATCTGAATCCTGTCTAGGATCGCCAGTATACTCATCGCCAAAGAACCCCTGCAGTCTTTTCCGAAATCGAGCACCTGTGCTGGATTTCGACCCTTGACTGCTGACGGTGGTGGCACTAGCAACAGAGGGCCTTCTTCGATCATCCCCAGTGTACTCTAACTCCAGCGGCTCACTCGCGTATGTCCGCCCTGTTCCCGGACGGAACGTTGCGGAAGCCGGTGATGCCTCTTGCTCGGAATAATCATGCAAGAATGTTCCTGGACTATCTGTGGGCGCAATCTTCGGGGACGAAGCTGATGAATTATCCGGCTCCTGCTGAAAGTAATCTGTTTGGTTTGGGTTCAAGTGCGGTGGGAGTCGGGAGACCGAAAGTGGAGGGCACGGGTCATCAGCTCCTAGCACAGCTAATGCTTTTCTGTGACCACTAAACCCTGCTGGTTTATTGCGCTGATCCGTTGGTGATATATCTGGAGAACCCCAGGAAAACATGGAGTTGGACAATTCATTCCGAGTTCCGAAGGCAGGCAAGGGGTTTCGGCTCTGTGAATCCGATCTGAACGAAAATTAGTATCCACGATAAGCAACAATTGTGACGTCCCGGATTCCTCAAGGTAAGGCTCTATTTCTGTTGCTGGGAATGGCAAGGACATTCAATGAATACATGGATGCATGGAACAACAAGCAGGCTCAGTCCAGAAGTCTGCTAAATCAAATGCAAGGCAATGATATAATCATATAAGAAGACAAGTGCTCAGATCCGAGATGCAGGGGCATGTTTGAGTTCAACTGAAGAGAGAAGGTTCTAGGAGAAATGCACGGGTTTGACAAAAAAAAAAACATGATTGGAACATCGTGTCTTGCGCCAAAATGTTTCATGAACCGCATGCCAAGAAAGGCAGGGTGGATGAATATCAGAAAGGCAGAGTGTAGGCAAAGATGACTTTCTCACCTGTCTGCCAACCCAGAACATGGGGAGACGCTGCGACCGTTGGGCATGGCTTGATTCTGCCTCCGATTCTCTCTAACCGTCTCTTGTGATAGCCAGCTATTCCCACCAGAGCTCTCAGAGCTATGTCTCCCTTCAGATCGATCTCCACCTCGATAAGCCATAGCTCAATGTATTCAATGAATCCGGAGCTAGTGAACGAGGCAACACCTTCGGTTCGATAATTATAGGTAGTTCAGCGAAGAAGAAAGGAGAGAAGAAGCGACCATCCAAGTAATAAAGTACTCCAATATAAACGACCAAATAAATGATAGGAAAACTTCGTAAATGTCGTCGTGTGATGAAGCACCGGCGTACGCGATAGAAACCCGACCGAGAGAGCACTAGGTCGACTAGTGGCAAATATAAATACCGTTGTGAACGTGATTATATAAATCCGAATCGAAAGAAACAGCAAAGAGCTCCATGTATAAGGGAAGACTTTCTCCGCGAAGATAGGTTCCGTAAGGCGGACGGTCGGGGCACACGGTTTTGATGTCGGCGTGATGGTGTAAAGACGTGCTTTCATATCCTAGAGAGTGGGCGGCAGCGGTCAAAAAACGCCATCGCAAAAGCCCATGGGCCCATGATCTGCAATCGGACTCGGTGATCAAAAGGTGTCCGGAAAGAATATTGAATTCGGCGTTGTGGATAATGTACACGCGGTAGGGGAAGATCTGGTGGATGGCCGATGTGGTGATGGTGATGAACTTGCGCAAGAAGCCGAGTTGAGTTGTTGAGGCTCTGGACGGGTGCCCGCTAAACCGGAGAAAGCAATTTACATTTCTGGTAGCTTAAGCACCTTAGCTGTCATACAAGGTTCCTCAGCTTTTGCGTCGAGGTCCGTTCCCCTCATTTCTTTTACTTCTATATGGATATATTGAGATTCCTTCACTACTCTTTACGGCTACTGCAGTAATATCTGGCTCATTTTCATCCGAGCGGGCATTCTTGTTCTCTGTCCAGCTGGACGTCAACCTGTGGGTATGGGGCATGCTACATGGTCCGTGAGGATGTCCGTGCTGACCCGGAGCGGGCAGGTCTGGTCCGACCGATTGATTTGTACGTTTTATCTCGACAGACATCACTAGGTGGATACTCTCTAGGTTGTACTAAGTGGCCTGTTCATAGACCAGAAAGTTTGGAGTGTGTAACCATTTCATCTGTCGTGTTGTTGGATATCAGCTTCCTTGTATTGGTATGGTTATAGTCCAGGAAATAATACCGTAGCCTAATTGTACCGTCAATGTCAGTAATTATTTTACAGAGTAGTTCTCTAGAAGCAGTAATAATTCGACAGTTTTTCTTATCCCAAGTAATGGTCAGGTCTCTGATGCTGATTAGTTGATATAATCAGTAAAAAGAGTAAATAAGTTATTAAACATGAGTGTGTTCCTGGAAATAGTAGCAGTCTGAATTTGAGACGTGCATAGTGTATGTCTGGGCTTCTGCTAGGATAAAAGCCTTGCCCAAACAGCCCAGTCTTAAGGATATCCAATTTCAGAGCAAATAAGATCACCAGAACACTTATATTAAGTCTCTCACTTCGTCAACCTCACTCGGATTGCCTTTGTAGCCTCTTCTTGTTCAATTTCACGAGGAATTTCCCACCTACAGGGATGCATTTGAACTATGCAGCTTCATATGACCGTCTTCCGTAGAAGTCAACTGACACATCAAATTTGTGAAAGAATGCCACTGTATGGATGTGCAGCTTTATCTCAGCCAATTGGAGGATGCATACCAGCCAACAAGGGATCGCCCAATAGAATACTTGAATCCTATACACGTTTGTAGACCAACCGAAAAGGAACTAAGACTTCTCGCTAGTTGTTAGCACTATCAAGCCGTCTTCTCAGAAGAAAAGTGCCTGGATCCGGAAAGCGTCTACTCTACGAATGAATGGTGAAAGTTTATGTCCGGACATTTGCCTACATATCTCTCTATCAGCGAACCTGACATCACACGGCGGCTTTCATGAATCAGTACCCATTTAGATGTTCACCCATCAAATATGGATCTTGTCTTCCATTGCTGTTCGCTGCAGCATAGGGATAATAAGAATAGCGTAAAGGTTCAACAATTTAGAGCACGTCTAGGTAGAGTGATGGGTGACTTGCAGTTGGATCCATTGAGAGAAAGTCCAAAATTTTACAAGCGATGTGTAGTCCAAATTCCCTAGCAACGTGGACTGTAAAACTCCCGGGACAGAAGTCTTCCCCGTCGATGATGATAATTTGAGTCTCCAGAGAATGCTATCAACCCTCCCCCAGAAATAGGAATCATGAGCGTTGGTTTATGCCTACTGGAAAGACAGGAAGAGCTCTTCTTGGAAAATTCGTGCCATAATTATAATGATATGTGTCCTAAATTACTGCAGAAAAGGTATGCAAGAAGAGGAGACATAAAATACTATAACCTGACTTTTTCAAGCCTTGTTATTTAATAAACCGGATGCGACTTTGGTGTTTATCTAGGCATGCAGAGCTTAGTCTAAAGGGAGTGGTTCATGGCATTGCGCGACTCAAGTGTAGACAATCTAGTCCTTGTGTGGTCAAAAGATGTAAAGTTAGGGTCCGGCATGGTTGTTGTACCTGAAGAATTGATAGGGATTACAATTTAGTGACAGTTGCAGCTCAAGATGTATATCTTGGAATTTGTTCAAATTCCTCCGATTGAAATAAGTATTTTTGTCCTAGACATAAGTACACGGACTTCGGGTATTTTTATATTAATATCAGACAGAAAATACCTCCATGGAATGCTAGACTAAGCTAAATTGGGCAAAATAGATAACCCTAATCCGAGAAGAATGGACGGGATTCATGTCTAATTAGATAGAAGAAGATTGATATCTGCAGAGATAGATATCCCCAGTTGCCACTGCAGCGGTGACCATAATGAACTGGGACATACAAATATTTATATTAGTGTAACGTAAGTATATTTTATTTTATTTTTCAGGACCCTGTATATTCCAAGACAATTTTAATAATAGGAAAGTGGAAAAAATAAACTCTCAAGAAGCCTAGGTCATATGGCCCAGACTGACTCTGGAAGTTAGTGCTAGGGAAATGAGAAGGCTGGGAGTGGGGTGGTGAAACAGAAGATATCCTACGCCAATTTCCCCGTTGCTATTGTTGGCATTGCGGTCGTGGGACCAGTGGCCATTATATGATTGCTCCGGACAACGGGTCTCTGTGGCCTGTAAGTTGTAATGCAGTGGCGATCTTTTGGTGGTGCAACATGGACAGCGCGAGAGGCGAGCACCCACGTACACCAGAGGTACTGTACATGGAGGTGCTTGTTTCGATATATCTACCTAACTTTGAAGACTGGTAACTGTACACACAGATTGAATTGTAAGAACTCTTGCATCTGTTTAATATAACTCAGTCATGAATTTCAAGTCCAAATCAGAGCTTGAGTTTCTTGATAAATTGTTGCCTGAGGGACAGTGAGGTCTCCACATAAGGAAGTGGAAGTATCTGACAGATCTAAGGTACCTCGGAGGTAAGGGTACCTTACAATACCTGTACCTCCTATAGACCAATCACAGTGCCAACGGATGATAAAGTGCCACCCGTACTCGGCATCGAGCCAATCGATGGATAGCACGGGACCGCCATGATGTTGGCGGCGCCTGTGGGTCTCCACCCGATGTGGATGTGAGTTGATGCGGCTGCAAAAGCGAGGAGGCTGGACGACTAACAGTAGTACTGTTCGAGGCGATGGGGAGCTCTTTCTTTTGTCGCAACCAGGTTGGATGCTGCTATTTAGGAGGGCTCCATCCAGGACTTGCACTTTCCTTGCCTGCAGTCTTGTCCCTTGGAGTATTTCCTCTTAGTTACGTACCACTACTCCTAACTCACCAAAACTCCTTTCTAACTTAGTACGTTGTATTCGGATTGATATGCTAGAGATTATTCTGGATATTAACTATATCAAACAGCACAATTTGATAAGTGAAATTCTCTTACATCTTTCCCTCTTCCCCCTCTCTTTGCATCCGAACTGTTTAGACGAACCACCACAATGAGGCCGTCCCTCGTCGGCACTGCTATTTCCTTGCTTTTTTCTTCAACCCTGGTGGGGGCACAAACGTTTTCGGATTGTAACCCAAGACAAAAAAGTAGGTCTCTTTCCTGTTAACGTCCAGATCTGCCATTGCTGATGCGTTTTGAAGCCTGTCCCCCAAAAACAGCACTGGGAAAGTCGGCAACATTCGATTTCACGAAAGGCAGATCAACTGATTTCGCCGAGACCGGGAAACTGAGCTACGACAGCAATGGTGTGGGATTCACAGTGGCCCAGCAGGGCGATGCCCCGCTGATCCAGTCCGGATGGTACATCATGTTTGGACATGTTGAGTACGTGATCAAGGCTGCTCCCGGCAAGGGGATTGTCAGCAGTGCGGTGTTACAGTCCGATGACCTGGATGAGATTGATTGGGAATGGCTTGGGGGCAATAATGCGTTGGTGCAGAGTAATTATTTCGGAAAGGGGAACACCAACAGTTTCAACCGTGGTGCTACCCACAACAACCCCGGAAACCACGATGACTTCCATACGTACACCATCGACTGGACGAGCGAGCAGATTGTCTGGCAGATTGATGGCAATACAGTTCGCGTGCTCACCCCGGATACCGCAGAGCCCGACCAATATCCCCAAACTCCGATGATGGTTAGAGTTGGAGTGTGGGCTGGTGGTGACCCCAACAATGCGCAGGGAACTATCGGTGAGTGCTACTAGCATGCCATTCGATGTATCATTCTAATAATTGGCAGACTGGGCGGGTGGCTTGACGGACTACAGTGCCGGTCCGTACACGATGTACTTGAAGTCGCTCAAAGTTACCGACTATTCAACCGGTTCAACATACTCCTATGGGGACAAGAGTGGATCGTGGCAGTCGATCCAGGCTGAAGGAGGCAAGGTGAATGGTAATAGTGCGGCTGAGTCCTTTTCTAGTGTTCAGTCTGCCCCCACTGTGACCGCGACGGTTGACAGTATTCCTATTCCTTTCAGTGGAACGCACCGCGAAACCAAGAGCTTTGTAACCCCGAATATCTGGCCCTGGGTGCCCACGGCTACCGCCTCGTCGACGAGACCCCAGCGCACGTTTCCCAATGGCTGGACCTCTGGCTCTGGACCAGTCCAGCCGCCCAGCGCGGCCTCTGTGAGTGAGCACTCCCTATATTCCACTTGTTGATGTTGAGGAACTGGATTCTAAAGTGCCTGTTTCTCTCCAGTCTACTTTCCAATTTACATCAGTCTCATCGCACTCTTCGCCGGTTTCAGTCTCCCTATCCGCGTCGCGTTCTGGCTCTGATGGTAATTCGGAGACTCTCACCTCGCCTCATCCCTCAACCCAGACAATAGAACATTCTTTTACCTCAACTGGGGGAAGGGAGCCTACAACCAGTGCCACTTCTTCACCTACCACTGAGGTGCATGCAGCGCCGAATGTCGATGCTGCCACTCATATGGTTAACACTCACCGAATAATGGGTGCTTTTTTTGTGCTGTTGGTGAGTGTCATGGTGATGCTTTAAGCCAAGTTTCTCGCACAAGCAGCCGAACAACAGCTATATGTGAGATGTGTGGGAACGCCTTTGTGGCATGATAGATATTGGATATGAGATATGAGATAATGGCTTTGCACGGCCAAGGTTGGTTCCATGTATATAGATAGAGCCGTTTTGTCTTCTTTTCTTGTATGTTTTTTTTTTTTTTTTTTTTTTTTTTTTTTTTTTTTTTTTTTTTTTTTTCATAATGATGATCATCAGTTGTTTGTATGATTTGTTCTACAGCGAAGGCAACCGCAAGCGGGATTTTTAATGGTCTCCATTAATTACCGTCTGTTTTGCGTGCCTCGCTGTGCCTCCTGGATGAATCCATAGCTAGGCTGTACTTAATCATAACTGAGCACCTGAATGGATTTGGAGGCCGAATAATGGAACGGTCTTACGGTGTCTTTCAGGCTCAACTACAAGATCCATATACTGTATGATAGATAACTATAGACAACCCTACGGTCTAGATCGAAGCACCAGTAAAGCACCAATACGCCACACGGGACAAAATCTGACAAAATCCGGGCTCCAGGATGCGTTCGACTCCGCTTCAATTCTTCCTCTCCCTCATGACCCCACTCCTTCCCTCCATCTTCACAAGCCCGAGGTTATCCGAAGATATACATAGGTTGTTATCGGTCAGCATTGCCTAGAATAGGCTAGATACATGCACGACCGTACATGCATGACTAGTGGGAACTTACTCTGTCTTCCCTTCCAACTTTACTGGAGGTGTCTATGTCGCAGAATGACACCGTAGGATCGATCGATTTATGAAATGGAAGGTGGGGCATGGGATGTATGTATGTCTGTATGTATGTCCATGGATGGCAGTATGAAAGTCGGTGTCTTCATATGTTTGCTTTTCTCTTCATCGGGATTACGGTTAAACATAAGCTTCTTGGTGGGGGTGGGATGCATGACATTACCATGTATGGTGAGTAACTTCTAGGGGTCTGGGATCGAGGATCTAGGATATAGGGTCTAGGTGTATTTGTTAGATTGGAATTGATACTATGGATTTAGTATAAGTGTGATTGATCCTGATGATAGTTTACCAGTATCTCTCCTCCCTTTCCTCTTCTGTCTCTTCTCTCTGTTCTATCTTCTCTCTTCCTACTTCCTAACTACTATTCAATATTTATGGAAAATACTAGAATAGATATATTTCTAGATCCTATACGTGACTTAGCGCGGCAACATGCTTTCGATTCACCGCAGGTTGGATGAGTCTCCGAAGTCCGAGATAGGGGGTGTTCACGGGGCTGTCGGTCCCCGTGTAGAGGAACATGTCGTAGACCCAGCCGCCAAAGGTACATCCGAAGAAAGGAGCAACGATGGGGACCTGTGTTTTTTATTATTTGTTTGTGAGCCTGGTCATGACAAACATCAAGGTGTGACAGCATGCATACCCAGAAGTAATAATTGCCAGCCTTCCACACTTCCGGCCCGTATCCGATCATGTAGGATACAAGACGGGGTCCAAAGTCTCGAGCCAGGTTAATGGCATAGCCCGTTTCCCATCCGAAACAGGCCCCAATGCCAAAGATCACGAAGAAGAGGCCCAGAGGAGTCAGCGGACCGGCTCCAAGGTTGCTGTCGTCTTTCAGTGCGAAGATCATGAACATCAGAAGGGCACTGGAGATGAACTCGGAGAAGAACTGGCCCGTGCGCGTCATGAATTCGGCCGGGTATGTGCAGAAGATGCCCGCGGTGGCGGTGGAGGAATACCCCGGGACGGTTCTAATGTCGGAGCCGCCTTCGTATACATCGATGGCCGATCTGTAGTTACCGTAGATGATGGCTGCGGCGCACATGCCGCCTAGGAGCTGCGCAACCGCGTAGATGGGCCACTTGCGCCAGGGGAATTTGCGCAGGACGCAGTTGGCTAATGTCACGGCGGGGTTGATGTGTGACCCTGATGCACCACTGGCGTAGACTCCAAGCATGACTCCGAGCCTAGAAAAGCGCAATGGATGGATTTAATATGGGTACATTACATCCATAGGGTTGTACCGGGAAGGAACTCGCAGGATGGATTGAACACTTACCCCCAGCCCCATGAAATAGACTGGTAATTCCCCTTCTCGTTGTGACTGAGCGTAACCTGGGCGACCACGCCGTCTCCAAACAGGACCAAGATCATAGTGCCGAAGAATTCAGAAAAGGCTTCACGGCCGTACTCTCTTATTCTACTCCACAGGAGCTGTGAGGACACATCGTGCATGTCTTCCAACCCAACACTGACATGCTCGTGCAATGATGTTTCTGGTTTCTGACTGGGGCTTAAAGAGACCTGAGTCGTTTCCTGGACCTCTGTGCCTTCCATCTTGTGTCTTGGCGAGGACATCTTGTATATCGTTGATGCGCTCTGCTCCGCTTGGACACAACTTCACGAAGGAAGATGGAGGGGAATTAAGGGTATAAGAGGTACGTAAAATACCCCGGGGAGATTTGGAAAGACTAAATTCCTGCTGGGAGTGACATATTAAACCGGCTTTGATTCTAACAGGCATGGTGTTACCTTCTTTGGGTTTCTTCCGCTTTGCCCCCTCATGAAAGGTGAGCGCAGCCTGGGATAGGCGTGGTCGTGCCGGAGAACCCCGACTCATTTGCTCGCTCTGGAGACGGTCTAGGAGAGACAAAAACGACGGGCCAGCCCATTCCATTGGCGAATACGGCTGTCTACAGAATCCTCCAGACAGCGAGGGACTCCTAATTCCAACCATGCTGGTAGCCACCTGACAAGCATGACACAACAAGCAGCGGTGGACAACAACAGCGAGACGAGTGTACTCCGTAGAAAGGGCAAGAAAGAGCGACGGTGATGATATCCCTGTCAACCGAAAATCGATCCAGTTAGGCCTCTGCAGCGAAACGAGAGAATCGGTTGGACACCATCGACGTCTGCAGGCACCTGACCCCGAGTGAGATAAACCTCGGGGAACGGCCTGGCCAGTTCCAAGGCGTTGGATTGGAATCTGTAGTCATACCTGCATATCGGCCGTCGAATGGCGCCGAAGGTTTCATGCTGGTGTCACATTCCAACTGCCTCGGTGGCTGCTGGTGCTGTTGGGGATTGGACGACTAATGACAGTAATGGCTCATTTCAGGTTGTACTGTGAAAAATGATGTGAAAAACCCCCCCATCGAGTTTGTTGCTGGTTGACTGACAGATGTATAATTCTAAACTGAAATGCGGCTCTCCACTCTGACATTCTTCATGAGTTCATTCCCGACGATCGATCGTGGTTCTCCCCACAATTCCACAATTCTGGGGAACGCGAAGTGGAACTCTACGTTGCTTAGCGAGACCACGTGAAAGTCCTTATATTCTTCTTCCTTCTCTCGGCTCACTGACAGCCACTCAGGAGATACTTGCATATGTGCCCATCCGGAATTGGAATCGGGGTATGATTTGGTCTTGTAGCAAACATCCTCGTCTCTGCGAATGAACGCGTGCTTAGGCCTTGGTCCGGCTCAGCCACTCGACCCCGTCTTTTGTTAGTATTGGATCCCATGCTCGCGCTGAGGCCTCTTGTCTTGTCTGGTCTGATCCTAGCTAGGCAGCTCCCCCGCATATTATGTAGTCCCAGACCACAAGTCCGTCACACGAAAAACGGCTGCTCTATAAAGATCGGAGATGACGACTTTCTCTCCACCATGTTTCCTCGGGTCGTTCCTGGTAGTTATATCTGACGGAATACTGCCTCTGCGTGTGCTTTCCACGCCTTTGCCTACGTCTAGTTGAGATAAAAGAAAGAAAAGGTTATCAAGGCACGGCGGTCTGTGAGTCTCAGGTAAGCAAGCATCATGCAACCGTCGGAGATGTTTGTTGGTGCGATAGACCAGGGTACAACGAGCACCAGATTTCTCATCTTCAATCGTGATGGTGAACCGGTGGCTTCACATCAGGTAGAATTCACTCAGATCTATCCCAACTCCGGGTTTGTTACCCTTGATGTTCCTTCCCCCTTACGTACTCTTGCACGGTCGGACTGACACTTTGCGTAGATGGCACGAGCATGACCCGCTAGAGCTCGTGTCGTCCGTCGATACGTGCATCGAAGGAGCCGTCCAACAATTTGAATCTCAGGGATACTCGCGACATAGCATCCAGGGAATCGGAATTACGAACCAACGGGAGACCACCGTGGTTTGGGAGTATGAGACTGGGGAGCCACTGTGCAATGCTATTGTGTGGACTGATACACGCTCCCAGGACATCGTCAATGAGTTGAAAGGAAGACCAGGGGCGTTGCAGCTGCAACAACTATGTGGCCTTCCCCTCTCGACCTACTCATCTTCCACAAAGCTTCTCTGGATGCTGGCAAATGTTCCTGCGGTAAAGGATGCCTTTGATAGAGGCACTCTGGCATTTGGGACCGTCGACGCATGGCTAGTCTACCGGTTGAACGGAGGCCAGCAAGCCAACGTGTTTGTGTCAGACCCGACCAACGCATCCCGGACAATGTTCATGAACTTAGAGACCCTCCAGTACGACAACACCCTGCTGGACTTCTTTGGCATCCGTGGCAGGATCCATCTTCCCACAATTGTCCCGTCGTCTGATAAAGATGTCTACGGGGCCTTGTCTTACGGGGCTCTGGCAGGAGTTCCGATTATGGGCTGTCTCGGCGATCAGTCTTCCGCGCTGGTCGGTCAGAAAGGATTCTCCCCAGGACTGGCGAAGAACACCTACGGAACCGGGTGTTTTCTTCTTTACAATGTCGGTGATAAGCCTGTCATTTCAAAACATGGTCTCCTGGCCACTGTTGCCTACCATTTCGATGGAAAGCCAGTCTACGCTCTAGAGGGCAGCATCGCTGTGGGGGGCTCCGGGGTCAAATTTCTCCAGAACAACTTGGAATTCTTCAAGGAACCCAAAGAGGTGAACGATCTAGCTCTGACGGTTGAGGACAATGGAGGCTGTGTGTTTGTCACAGCATTCAGTGGGCTCTTTGCACCGTACTGGATCGACGACGCAAAGGGAACCATATGTGAGACACCTACCACCCTCCTCCCAATACCCCTACGTTGACCCTTGTCTAATCTACCCCCGTAGTTGGAATCACGCAGTACACCCAGAAGGGTCATATCGCCCGAGCCACAATGGAAGCCACCTGTTTCCAGACCAAGGCCATCCTAGATGCCATGGAGAAAGACAGTGGACACGCACTGTCCGAACTAGCCGTAGACGGAGGGATGAGTAACTCCGACCTTGCCATGCAGGTACGAACGGCTTTTAATCCTGCAGGATTTACCTTCCCCCTCTCCATAAAATCCAATCCTTATGGCACAGCTAACCCGTCTCCCGCATTTAGATCCAGGCCGATCTCATATCAATCCCTGTTTATCGACCCAAAATGCGAGAAACGACGGCCCTCGGGGCTGCCATTGCGGCAGGATTGGCTGTTGGGCTCTGGCGAAATTTTGCCGAGTTACGAGACATCAACCGTGCTGGAGGAACTGTCTTTGAACCGCAGGTGAGTCAAGAGGAAAGTGCCAAATCGTTTGCTCTCTGGGAAAAGGCCGTGAATATGGGCAAAGGTTGGGTAGGAGACAAGGGACAACAGCCACCACCGGCGACGATGACGCAGAAGCTCAAGGAGTCCCCTGAGGCTATGAAAACTGCAGTGAAGAGTAACTTGACGAAAGTCAATGGGGAAACTATTACCCCCGTTAAGACACCTTTTGTCAATATATCGAGTGACCTAGATGAGGCCGATGAGGAAGATCTATGTCTGGAGTTGCGGAGGGTGGAAATCTTACAGAAGCTGAAGAAGCTGAGAAAGCCGAGGGCCTCGTCTCTGTAGAATTCACTTGCTTTTTTTTTTTTTTTTTTTTTTTTTTTTTTTTTTTTAAAGAGTGGGAGGGTTGCAGTATATACTTTTGTTGATTGATGATATATCATCCGATGGTGGTGACATGATACTATGATGGCGTATATTTTTTGCTTCAGTACGTTGAAATTCCATAGAAGATGCTAGGTGGCATGTAATACGAACTGATATTCTTCATTGCATCCTGTATACAGCTAATAGTAACCCACATCTCAATTAACACTACTCCCTGCAGATATATATCCACATTTACATATACGTCCACCACTGCAACCCTCCAGACACCATAAATTCATTCACTCACTCTTGTCCTCTGGCAAAAACACAATTCATTTCAGATCCCGGGCTGAGAGTGACCTCGAATTGAAGCACGGGATCCTCCACGCACCCCTTGCCGGTGGCGGGAAATGCTTGGATTTTCTCAAAGACCTGTAGAAGCCGGACTATAGTATAGCCCATTTCAATGATGGCGAATTGCTGACCAATGCAAATCCTTGGTCCACCATTGAATGGAAGGAAATGCCAAGGCTTAGGTTGCCAGCCGGACAGCCAGCGCTCAGGAAGCCATTTCTGTGGGTCGAAGTAGTTGGGTGATACCGGTGGATCGTAGTTCTCTGCGTTACGTTGCATGATCATGGTAGAATAGATGATTCGCGTGTTCGCGCGGACACCTACCGGGGAGAGGCCGTCTGGTCCGCCACCACGAGGTAGAGTAGTATCGCGCAGGGCGTGCCGGGTGTTGAAGGGAACGACCGGATATAGTCGCATCGTCTCATTAAGCACCGCGTTGAGATGTTTCATCTCTTTCAGGTCGGCATAGCTTGGCTTTAGACCATTGGGACCCAGCCCCAGCCGGCAGTTGATCTCACTACGGAGTTTGGCGACGACGTGTGGATTGCGGGAGAGTTCAAAGACACAAAAGGCTAGTGTTACAGCTGTTGTGTCTCGCCCGGCCAGCAAGATCGCCACGAGTTGATCCCGAAGGACGCGTGGGTCCCTTGTGAAACGAGCCAGTGCTTCCAAGAAGGTCTCCCTCCTGGACAGCTTCCGGTCTAGCTCTGCTGCGGATAGCGATAGCACATGGTTGATATACGGTTGTAAAAAGTCGTCCATCACCTTCAGATCGCGTCGGAATTGTTTCCGGGACAGAAGAAAATTGAATATACTGCGATGGGGTTTCCAGTCTGCCTGTTAGTGATACGGGCTTGGTAAGCTCATACGACACAAGTGGAAGACACTCACCCAAGTCGGAATATCTCGGCCTGACGGCTTTGAACACGTCTGAAAGCTTCTGCAAACAAGGTCTCTGGGTTTTGGAGACTATCTGTGCCTTGGCCCAAGAGATAGTCCGTTGCTGTATCGAGAGTATAGCGGAAAAATAGAGGGCCAACATCGACTATCTTGCTATGACTAGACGAGCCTTGACCTTCCAACAGTGGAATTAGATCCTGTACGTGTTTCTCAAAAATCTCGGTGTCCACAATTCGCTCTCGAATGAACATCGGCCGAATCAGATGACGTGAACGAGACCACAGTTCTCCGTCTGTGACGAAGATACTGTCACCTAGAAATTCTTTCCACTCTTGATGGAAGTCCTCCCCCTTTCCGTAGTCTGCAAACTGGCCTGTAAGAAGCGCTTTAATGTTTTCAGGGTCTGCAGTGAAGATCACTCGGGACGAGATGCCTGCATCGATCTCGGAGGTTTGGAGGCATTCAACTTGCCGTGCTCCCTTGGCTTTCCGGAACGCTTGTTCCCAAAATTCAAGGTCCTTATTGGCCTTATGAGCCACTGTAGACTGGTAAATAAAATCAATTGCTAGACCAATTTTTCAGTAACAGTCCTTTTGAGATTCAACAACTACATACCGTAAGGGAGACGGATAGGGACCTTTGCAGCCCTACTCCCTAACCGCGCAATCTGGTTTGACACTTGGATTTTGCGAATCAAGCAACTCAGTAAAAACCCACCAAGGAGGACAACGTATGCCTGCCAAGACAGTATCTGGGTGATGAGTCCGTCAATCATCCTGCCGGGCTGCTTCACTTAATGAATCCCTACAGTTTAGAATACAAAGTAGCACAAAATATGCTTAAAACAGTTGCTCTTGAGAAGATAAATTCAGAGCCTCAGTGACTGCTGTGATCAACAGTCTCCAGTGACAAAGATGATACATCTCACAGTGAAGCAGCAATAAATATTTGGGCACTGTTAGCTTCTTTGTGTGCAATCCCTGCACAAGCTAGTAAAGCCGGACCGATCAACCGCTCGGTTGTATGCCCCTTTGAGGAATGCTTGCGAGCCCCCGCGTAGTACCATTGCCTATCTGCAGATTGTGATGTGAATATGAGTTCCAACATTGTGCCATGGCCCTGCTAGCTTTTGAGACCCTTGAGGGTTGCAGATGCCAGTTGTTATAGAGACAATATATTTCGGTCCTCAGTTACGTCAGTAGAGCCTCTATGCATTTTGACGCATAAATTTTATAAAGATCTTTTATTCCCTGTACAAAATACCATTAGTCCTTTGGAGAAGCATGAAGAATAGGTATTTCGAGATGATCTTGTTCAGTTCAAGTAGTACCTCTACAGTTCCCCACTCCCAATCGTGATCTTTGGAAGGGGGGATCCATCTCCCGGAATGTCCATAGAAATTGGAGGAGTATTATTAGCTCCATATAAACCTATGTACACTCTGTACACTATTATTGAGGAAGAGACAGCCGTGAGAGAGAATTGCCATGTGCTCTACGTGAGAAGGTTCGAAGACGACCAAGTATAGACATGTTTGCACCATTTGTATGTATATTTGTGACTAAGCGATCACGCCACGCACCAGCCACAGGTCAACACGTGACACATCGGCTAGAAGAATCGCCTTGGCGCCTTTCATCATCGAGCAAAGTTCCTTGCAAGCTTCCAATAGAGAAAAACAGCAACCGGCTAGTGGTTTAGCCTGGACTCCTTTGCCGACCAGCTCATTTCTCTTCTAATCTCTCCCGAGCCCTTGCTACGAGTATCCTGGCGAATCTACTAGCTAGTTTGTTTTGAAGTCGCCTGCCGAGCGGGTGGCGCGGCAACCAGGAACTGGCGGTTGTCCTCGATTCTTTTCACTCACGATTTACATTATCTCCTGGAGTCAATTCTGACACTTGTTGTATCCCATCATGGCGACAATGGTGGCGGCTGGCTCTCCACTAGCGGAGGCTTTGGCGATTGCGATTCAGCCGAAGTTGATCGAGATGGGCTGGAGCTCCGATAGTGGGGATGATTCAGCGTTGATCGAATACGTGATTCTAATGCTGATCAACGGCAAGACCCAAGAGCAAATCGCGGGCGAACTTTCGAACGATCTTCTGGGCCTCGGAGAGGGTGATACGCAAGCTCTTGATTTCTCTAGATGGCTCTTTGAGCAAGTTGAGACTCTCAACCAACAGCTGAATGGCGGTGGTGCGCCGACAACATATGAGGCTGGCCCCGTGCAAGCTATTCCATCCTTCACCGATCAAGAGACGGCGACTCCTCAGCAGGCGATTGCAGAAGACAGTGGAATGGACGCTGATGTGAGCATGGGCAATGGTGGTGTGAATGATGTGATGTAAGTTCTTCTGTTCAGTCGGAACCATGGGACTAGTAACTTGAGCTAACGGAGAGGATAATAGACCGACAGGTCCTAAAGCAATGCGGAACGCTCGTCAGGGAGGGAGGGGCCGAATGCTCAACCAGATCAACAGAGCGATGGATCGTGGTGATGGTGCTCTACATCGCATTCGTGGCCAGTCCGGCAGTGGAGCTGGAAGAATCAACTCCCATAGCAGAGATCATACGAAGGGGCGCTTCCATCAGAACGGTGGCGGCAGGATGGGAGGCGGACGCCAGGTGGGTGGAATGGGCATGGCTCCCAACCCGATGGCAGGCGCAGGAAACATGATGAACAACATGAGCCCGAATGATCAGATGCACCTCATGTCTCTTCTCGAGGAACAAGCTAGGATGATGGCACAGTTCATGCCCGGATTCGTCTCTCCAGCAATTAACCCGGCTTTTCAATCAAATACCCCTCAGCAAGGCCGTTCGTTGTTTGACCGGGTCGAACGTCAACAAGACCGCCGGCACCAGGGTTCCTTTGGTAATCGGGGGAATAAGAATGTGGATGTCGAAATGGATACGAAACCCGACCAGACGCAGGAGGGAGAGCAGGATGAAAGCAACACCAACGCCGTATGTCACTTCAACCTCCGATGCACTCGGAAGGATTGCCCTTTTGCACACCAGTCCCCAGCAGCCCCCGAAGGCACGCCCGTGGATGTCTCGGATCCCTGCTCATATGGCGCCGCTTGCAAGAACCGAAAATGCACCGGCCGTCATCCCTCGCCGGCCGTGAAGTCCGCACACCAAGCCGAGGAGCTGTGCAAGTTCTTCCCTCATTGTGCGAACCCCCATTGCCACTTCAAGCACCCTTCCATGCCACTGTGCCGCAATGGAGCCGACTGCTCTGTATCTGGCTGCAAATTCACGCATTTGCAAACCCCGTGCAAGTTTAAGCCCTGTCTCAACCCCAGCTGTCCATACAAGCATGAGGAGGGCCAACGAGGAGCGTTCCCTGATAAGGTATGGACGCCCGGCGAGGACAAGTCCCATGTCAGTGAGAGGAAGTTTGTGGCCGATGAAAACGCTACTGAGGAGCTGATCAAGCCCGAAACTGCTGGGGATGGCTTGGAGAGCCACGAGATTGTGACATGATCTCGGGTACCCTCATGTGGCATCCTTCTTGATGATTGTCGATTACCAATTCCCCAATGTGCTTTAATTGTCCTGTACTATCTCGTGTGCGCGATTGTTGGGTGACTGGTGGCAAGGGCGTTTAATTTGATTTGACGTATACGGACTATGGGATAAATGACAGACCGAAACTCGTGCTGGCTTGTAAATAGATTTGGATATTATGAATCTCGTTTCTATTAGATTGTTTCTATTCGAATGGCAGACTTCTATAGCCCTTTGTAGTCAATCTGTAGCTCAGTAAATCCGTCGTATTGCCAGCCGTATGGTGTCGGTAATTTTACACCGCTCACCTGATATTATCCAGCATCAAGTGGATTGCATTGGGTTACCTCAGATCTTTGCATTTGATTCCCCTTCCCCCCTCCTTATTCCTTCAGTCGCTGATATGCGGCTGCCATGTACCCCTAGCCGTGCACTAAACCGAGTGCGAACACCATTGGCGTTCGCCCGCAGTGGGCAGAGACACTTTCTCCATTCCTCGACGTATGATGCCGCGGTGATTGGGGGTGGCATCACGGGCCTCACTACGGCCTACCGACTTTCGAAAGACCCCAACTGTTCTCGGGTCACTCTGTACGAAAAGTCGGATGATGTAGGGGGCTGTCTACAGTCAGAGACGATCCCCGTCGATGGTGGACATGTGGTGTTTGAATACGGTCCGCGGACCTTGAGGACGACAGTGCCGAATTGCCTCCCGATGGTCGACTTGGTATGACACACCTAGAAGATTCCCAGAAAGACTGGTGAATTGGAAAAAGCTAACGATTCCCTGTCCTCCCGAAGCTGGTCGATCTAGACGTACTGGACGATGTTGTTGCTACAAGCAGGACTGCCCCCGCCTCCCTTAATCGTTACATATACTATCCCGACCATCTTGTTCGCGTGCCGGCGCCCAACCCTAAAAACGGCATTTTCGGAAACCTCAGGGAGCTGGCCTATACTTTGTTTAGAGAGCCAGCGTTCAAGGGCCTTGTTCCGAGCGTATTCGTTGAACCAAGCATCCCAGCGCCGCAGCCCAAGAAAGCAGACGAGTCTGTCGCGGACTTCATCTCGCGCCGATTCGCACCAGAAGTGGCTGATAATTTAGCCTCGAGCGTCTTCCACGGAATTTACGCTGGCGATATCGATCGCTTGAGTGCGCAGACACTCTTGGGCACCTACCGGGATTTTGAATACCACAAGGATGGAGTGGGCGTGATAGTCCGTGCTATGGAGTCTAGCAGGACAAAGATTAGACATATGTCTATGGATGATATATTGGCTGTGGAAGTGGCTCTCCAGGACAAGCCGAGCTCATACTTGAATGATTTACAGCAACTGGTCCGTGGTGCCTCTGTTTTAACTTTTAGGAACGGCTTAGGCCAGCTCTCCGATGCCTTGGTTACCGCGTTGACCAGGTCCAACAAGGTTGACATTTTGACGGGCACGGAAGTCAAGGCGATGCACCAGAATGCCCAGACGTCGGACATCACGGTGAGTGGCGAATGATGAGAACTCTCTCTCTTGATCTTGTATGCGTGCAGTCATACCTAACACCGATCAGATCTCTCCTGGACATGGTCCATCGACAGTTCACAATCGTGTGATCTCCACCATCCCGCCTCCTCATCTCGCACGCGCACTACGCCAGACCACGGGAAAGGACCAGGTGCTATCCCAGAGTACCATCCGAAGTCTTGAGGAGCACAACTATGCAGTGACGGTCATGGCCGTCAATCTCTACTACGAAAGAAAGGATCTGCTCCCCGTGCAAGGTTTCGGCTACCTTATCCCACGGTCGATCCCCTATGAACAGAACCCCGAGAGGGCATTGGGGGTGATATTTGGATCCGAGACGAGTATTGGCCAAGATACCGCCCCCGGCACCAAGCTCACGGTGATGATGGGTGGGCATTGGTGGGACGACTGGATAGAATCGGACTACCCGGATCATGACACCGCGGTCCAGATGGCCCGTCAACTGCTTCACAGACACCTCGGGATCACCGATACCCCCGCCGTAGCACGAAGTCGCCTGCAGCGGGATGCTATCCCCCAATATACCGTCGGCCACCTGTCCCGCATGGAGGAGCTCTCCCGATCGACGCGACACGAATTCAAGAACCGGCTAAGCCTTGCCGGAAACTGGTATAATGGCGTGGGCGTGGTCGATTGCATTCGTCAGGCGTATCTTACAGCCTCATGGGGAGTCGGTGCGCAGCGGAGGGTCGAGGGCGACGCCAACCGTCCTTGGGGGAAATTTGACTACGAAAATTCATCCTTGGAAGGTGGCATCGTCACATCTTCTTCTCGACTCGCTAGACCCTACGTGTCCAAGTATCGAAGTACATTCTGAACACCAGCACTAATCCATCCATCCAGAGTCTACCGAAAAGATGTAGGTATAAAAATTAGAATATATTGACATGTTATGGTATGGTCGGGACCTGACTCCGGCGACCCCCATAGTCCATACCCATCTGGTGTCCTGTAATTTTTAAATTATGGAAAATTAAAACCTCCAACTCCAACTAGCAGGCCGAAGAAATGAAGTCAACAAACGCCAAGGGAACCTTCTCACCGTGCGGCCTAGCTCGGAAGGCATCATCAACGCCAGAGGGTGAGAGGGGATTCCTGCGCTCGTAAGATGGCAGGAATCGCCGTTTGATAATGGATATCGACAATCTCAGACGCTTCTTGTAGGTTTACGCGGCTGATCTGTCTGCCATGGTAATCAATCTGATGGGGCGAACAGCCGCATCGAACAGCCTCCCCATTGTCAGGTTTCACAGCGAATGTCGATGGACAACGGCGGGAGGAGTCATCCCCAAATGCATACTGGATAGCCGTCCGTTGAGTAGGTATATAAGTCCGGGTCGGTGATTAGCCAAGTCCCTTATTCAGACGTTCTCATTGCCCTGATCCTTTTTGTCACCGTTCACGTCAAATCCTAAAGCATCCAGCTGACGGATTAATTCCTGGATCTTGATCACTTTCTCCAGTTGCTCTGGCAGCAACGCTTCGCCTTGGTTTTTCTTGTCTCTTAGATCGCGTGCCTGTCTCAGCTTCTTTTTGAGGTTGCGTGCCTTCTTTTCTTTCTCTGCTTCAGGGTCCACGGGTTCTGCAGCCCCTGCGACATTCTTATCCGACGAATCCCGCCAGTTTTCCATTTCCTTCACGTTCTTCGTGTCGATCGACTGGGATCCCTCTTGATCCGCCTTTGCCTTCTTTCTTGCTTCTCGACGTTTCGCATTCTTATTGCTGGCAGTACTGGCAGGTTTGGAGCTGGCATCGTCCTGGTTCAACCCTTCCGCACCCGGGACCCCGGCCTTCCCGCGATTCTTCCATGCCTCGGCCGCACGGTTCTTGTAGAGTTCCACGTCCTCTGGAGGACGGTATCCGGGGCGCACGCGAATCTCACGACGTTTAGAACCATCCGCACGGACAGAAGAAGGGATGTATCGCTCCCCGGTCGCGGCATCGACGGTGATTCCAGACGAAGAAACCTGGCCAGGATTCGAGGACGCCATGAGAAAGGGATCGTCGTGTTATATTTCGAGGATAAAAGTCCAGGTAGATCAATAAATGAAGGAAAAGTGCGTTTTTTTTTTGCTGTAGGCGGCGTTCGGGGCGGGCCAATCAGCGTTCCGATGATTCCCGGCCGAACTCGACTTTCAAACTTCAACTTCGTCTTTCGTCTTCACTTCTCGCACTCGTCCCCAGTTTGTTGTTTGTTCCCCGCCCTTCATCACTTGAACTCTTCTCGATCACAATGGCCGGCGCTGTAAGTGTTTCGGATGGATTTCCTTCGCAGTGCGTCAATGGCTAACTACAGAGTGTCTCCGAATCAGATCGCTTCCGCCATCTACCAGCATGTCTCCCTCCCATGTTCTCCCTGAGTCTTCCGTGGATGGTCAGGATGAAGAGTGATATGGCCAGTATTGCTAATCTGGACTTTTTCTACCGATCTATAGGGGCGTGATCCGCAGGAACGCCGTTTTCCTGACCACCATCTTCGCCAGTGCCTTTGCTTTCGAAATGTGCGTGTGGAGACCCTGTGAACTCCGGCTTTCTACGGTCGCTGACGATAATTCCCGCAAATAGTGCCTTCGATTCTGCTTCCAACAAGGTCTGGGACTCGTTGAACCGCGGTGTATGTGACCCATGAACGATTCTCCTCGGTGTTGGATATGATGAGGACCCGCTTTGGCTAACCTATTGCTTCTTCTTATTTTCTATTGACAGCGGCAATGGAAGGATATCAAGCACCGGTACATCGTTAAGGAGGAGGAGGATGACGACTAGGTCATGGACCATTGAGGAACGATAGATTCAGGAGGGTGAACCTCATGTTGTTATACTACTTTCTATACTACTGTTGTATACCGAGTCTGGGGAATTGGTCCTCCCGAGTGTGTCTGTATGAAATAGATTTTACAATTTGCACTATACCAATCCATGAGCTGTATGGAGTATACCTGGTAGAAAGATATAGAGCCTGGCCTTCCGAACACACGCCAAGACAGTCGTCATCCCCCCCAACACCACCAGCGTTGTTCTTCACCATCGGTCTTTTTGCCTCCCCACTCACTCTCTTCGGTACATTGCGTCTTCAGAGGTGTGTCAGACCCAGTGAAGAAGACCTGAGTTCCGATCAGTGTATGATCCGAGGCCGGGTTTATGGTTATTGGTGCGTTGGCGTTTATCCGGGCCAATCCCCCCACAGTGACATCGATTCCTAGTAAATTATTCCTCTCGATCACTAAGCATCGACTGATTGACTGATACTTCGATCGATTTTTCCCCCCTCCACGTCCTTCGATTAGGATTCTTTCCTACGCACCAGAGGTGATTATCGTCTATCTACTACCACGACGATTTCTAAGTACTCGAAACCCTTTCGTCCATCTTGGATTTCTTCCCCACCCCCAATTCGCTACGTAACCGGTTCCCGCCACATCAAGCTCACTCCCCCCCATCTTTCGTCGACAAGCGGCCATCGGCCTTCGAACCTCTAGACAGCCGTATGGGTGTCGTCTGGTCCCGCGAACAACGGTAAATGATGCTCACGGAATGTGAGAGAATTCTTGGTCAAGGCCTCTTGCGGCTTCCCGCCCAACATAAATACCGCTATGGGCCCCAGGCAGAACGGGATCTGCTGGAGCTTCTCTTCCGGTCCCTGACCGGCCACAACGAGGATCGTCTCCACCAGTTATTCCCCGATGGGTTGCCGACCGGTGTCTGGAAGCTGGCAGAGGCACAGGGGGCCAAAGAAGGTGCCGAATACACGGAAGCCGCGCGAGGGAAGCGATGTGGTCATATCTTCCGCGCCGGCGAGGCGACCTATCGATGTATCACCTGTGCGGCGGACGACACGTGCGTCCTCTGTAGTCGGTGTTTCGATTCGTCGGATCATACCGGCCATCAGTATCAGATCTCGCTCTCGTCCGGGAACTGCGGCTGCTGCGATTGCGGGGACGAAGAAGCTTGGCGACTGCCGTTGTTCTGTGCCATCCATACAGACAGTGGAGATACCAAGGGGAAGACACGGGTACAGCCACAGCTGCCGCGAGACTGGGTCGATAGTATCCGGCTCACCATTGCGCGCACCCTCGACTACTTCTGCGATGTCATTTCATGTTCCCCCGAGCAGCTACGGTTGCCCAAGACCGAGGATGGGATCCGACATGATGAGGAGGCGTCTCGCCTGCGGTCGGGGTGGTATGGCGAGGGGGATCAGGCAGATGAAGAGCCGGAGTTCGCGCTCGCGCTGTGGAACGACGAGAAACATACAATCCGAGATGTCGCCCACCAGGTGAGTCGCGCGTGTCGGGAACGGGACCGGTTTGGCAATGACCGCGCACATGAAACGCACGACATTGGGAGGAGTGTGGTCAAATATTCCAAGGACCTTCAGAGATTGTTGGCCGTGTCGAAAATCATCGAGCAGATCAAGGTCACCGTGACCATCCGGTCAGCCCGCGACACCTTCCGCGAGCAGATGTGCGGGACCATCATCGAGTGGCTCTCCGATATTGCGGGCTGCAGCGTCCTTAACGACAGCGAAATCTTGCGCCATACGATTTGTGAGGAGTTGTTGGGTGCCTGGCAGCGAGGGAGTGGCGCATATAACGCAGATATCGGTCTCAAGGGCATCGACGACCACCAGCGAACGGAGAATGTGCCATTCCGCACCGTTATGCTCACTGTCTCGCCCCAGGGCCAAGTGGTATTGGCTGCAGACGAGGATGACGATGAGGACGAGGACGAGGACGAGGAAGCAGAGAATGACGAGGCGCAAGGTGCCAACGAGGCAGAGGACGGCGAGGACGATGACGTCTTTGTTGAGCATGACGATGTGGACGATGAGGATGACGAGATGGAAATCGAGCTCAATCGGCTGCGTGAGGAAGTCGATGAGGATGAAGATATGCTGATGGGCAATGCGGACGACGCTATTGATATGGCCCAGCACATTCTAGGCCTGGGCCAACGGACACCGGTTGCTGATGACGAGCAGTCACCGCCGCCACCTCCACCGCCACAAGCCGAGGTGAACAGTCAGTCGTCTCACCCGGCCGCCTCGCAAGACTCTGGTTCCGGTGACAGTCATGACGATGGGGCCATGTCCTACATCCCCATCCCCAAAACGCCGTCCGCGGCGGTCAGGCCTTCCCCTGCTAAAACCCCGAGTCATTGGCAGGTCCGGCCGTCGGTTCCCCTGAGGGGGGAGACGGTTCCCCCGTACGAGGACTTATGGCGGCGCACACGCCTGGACTGGATGATTCTGTTCGACCTCCGACTCTGGAAGAAGACGCGGACGGACCTTCGTGACCTCTATATAGGCACCGTGGTCAACGTACCACAGTTCAAGCGAATCATGGGTCTGCGACTATCCGCATTATACACTGCCCTGGCGCAGCTGTACCTGATTGCCGACCGGGAACCGGATCACTCAATTGTCAATCTATCGCTGCAACTGCTCACGACGCCTTCGATCACGGAGGAGATTGTCCTGCGAGGGAACTTTTTGACCAAGGTCATGGCCATCCTGTATACCTTCCTGACCACCAGGCAGGTTGGGGAGCCGTACGAGGTCAACCCCAACGCGACGCTCGCGTTTGATGCGGGGTCCGTGACAAACCGGCGCCTGTACCATTTTTTCCTTGACCTGCGGTATCTCCTGCAGTCCGAGTACGTGCAGGTTCGCGTGAGGACCGAGGACCAGTATCTCAGTCAATTCCTAGATCTGGTCAAGCTTTCGCAAGGCATCTGCCCCAATGTGCGTGCGGTCGGAGAGCACGTCGAATACGAGACCGATGCGTGGATCAGCGCTTCGATTCTCATGCGAGAGATCAACCGACTTTGCCGGCAGTTCTGCGAAGCCTTCCGCAGCCCGGAAGTGGACGGGGGCGCCAACCTGTTGCGAGCGTTAAAGGTGGCCACGATCGCTGCTGTGGTCCACTCCACGGGCACTGAGCGTCAGCGATTCGATCAGGCCGAGATCAAGGAGTACGTCGGATTCAAGTCTCTGCCACACTTTGATTTCGAGATCGATCGGCAGGGCCCGATTCCCCGGTACCGTGTGGTGGATTTCGTAGTCGAACGAGGCTCCATAAGCTTCCATCATGCCTTGCATTATACGCTCTCATGGCTGCTTGAATGCGGCCGCCGCATGAGCAGCGCTCTCATGCAGGATGCCTTGCTGGAAGCGGCGACGATTGCCAACGACAACTACATCCACGACAGCGCCCTCAGCCCGGAGGATTTGCTGCTGTCGATGTTCGACTATCCGCTGCGGGTGTGTGCCTGGTTGGCGCAGATGAAGGCCGGCATGTGGGTGCGCAATGGCTTGAGTCTGCGACATCAGATGTCGCAGTACCGGGGCGTCTCGTCTCGCGACTTTGCCTACTACCGCGACATATTCCTGCTGCAAACCGCGCTGGTGACGTGCGACCCCAGCCGGGTGCTCGCGTCCATCGCGGACCGGTTCGGCATGGTGGACTGGATGACGCGAAACTACATCCCACGCTCCGGCTACGAGGACAGCCAGATCGTCGACGTGGCTGAGGAGTTTGTCCACCTGCTGGTCATCTTGCTGACCGATCGCAACTCCCTCACAGCTATCGACGACAGCGACACCGCGATGCACCACAACATCCAGCGGGATATCGCCCACGTACTGTGTTTCAAGCCTCTCTCATTCTCGGATCTATCCACGCGTCTCAGCGACAAGCTGCTGGACTCAGACATGTTCCAGAGCGTGCTGGAAGAGGTCGCCTCCTTCCGTCCGCCGGAAGGGCTGAACGATACGGGCACCTTCGAGCTCAAGGCCGAGTACATCGACCTGATCGACCCCTACAGCGCCCACTACACAAAGAACCAGCGCGACGAGGCAGAGAATATCTACAAGGAATGGATGGCGAAGAAGACCGGCAAGAAGGCCTCGGACGTGGTGTTCGAGCCCAAATTGCGGCCCATCACCTCGGGGGCCTTCTCGGATCTGCCGCGCTTCACGAGGACCCTGCTCTTTGCCCAGCTCGTCCATCATTGTCTGGACTACGTGATGTCCTCCAAGGACCGCACGCCCAACATCCCATCCACGCGGGTGGAAACCTTTCTGCAGGTGGTTCTGCATCTTGTTCTGGCGGCCACCCTGGAGGACAACACCGAGGATGAGATGTCCGACGATGCGTCCTCATTTGTCACCCATGCGTTGACCAAGGCCCGGTCCACCCAGGCAGGCAACCTGAGCATCATCGGGCTCCTAGAGAAAATCTCAGTCATGAGCGAGTTCTCCGCCTGTGGTCCGAAGATCCGTCACATCCTAAAGCGGCTCTGGCAAACACGGCCACAGGCTTATGCATCGGCCACTGCGTCGCTCAAGTTCCCGTTTGATCGGATCGAGACGAATTCCCCCGCCATCGACACCGACAGTGAGAAGGAGATCAAGAAGAAACAGGCGCTGGAGCGGCAGGCGCGCGTGATGGCGCAGTTCCAGGAGCAGCAGCAGAACTTCTTGAACAGCCAAGGCGCCATCGACTGGGGCGAGGAGGACTTCAGCGATCTGGAGTCGGAAACTGAAGCGGCCGCCCCGGAGGCCAAACTCTGGAAGTATCCCAGTGGCACCTGCATCCTCTGCCAGGAGGAGACCAATGACTCGCGGTTGTACGGCACGTTTGCCCTAATTCAGGACAGCAGCATCCTGCGGCAGACGGACATCCGCGATCCCGACTGGATCCGGGAGGTACTGAATACGCCGTCCAGCTTGGACCGGTCCGCTGAGAGGATTCGGCCCTTTGGCGTCGCCGGGGAGAACCGCACGACGGTCCGGCGACTGGATTCGACGGGCGGGGAGGTCATCAGCGAGAAGATCGGCCTCAGCAAGGGCTTCAACGCAAAGAACACTCTCCGCGGGCCCGTCACCACGGGCTGTGGGCACATCATGCATTACTCGTGCTTCGAGGTATACTACACGGCCACGCAGCGTCGCCATACGCAGCAGATCGCGCGCAACCATCCTGAGTGCCTGCAGCTGAAGGAGTTTGTCTGCCCCCTGTGCAAGGCCCTGGGCAATGCGTTCCTCCCCATCACCTGGAAAGGCAAGGAAGAGACCTCCTATCCCGGTCCTCTCCACCCGTCGGTCTCCTTCGACGAGTTCATCGGCGACGGCATGCGGATGGCTTTCTTGCAGCCCCGAAACTACGTATTTCTCATGGAGAGTAATGTGGCACCGCCGCAGCAGCAACTGCAGACGTATCAAGAGTTATTTGTCGACTACCTCTCCAAGGCCTTGGTGCCGCCACTGGCCACCAAGGTTGATCAACTGATGGCCTCCTCCCCGTCCTCCTCCCCGTCCTCCCCCCTGGCGTCGACCGCACATTATATCCCGCCGGCGCGAATGCCGATGCCGGGACTTTTCCCGTCGCAGGACGACGTTCCGACCACCAGTGCCCTGCAGCATGTTGCGACCCCAGGGGACAGCCCCATTTCGGAGCTACTCCAGATCTACAAGCGACTCAAGAAGACCCTACGGTTGAACCATATCTACTCCACGTTCAGCCATCCTCCAGACACCATCAACACGGACGATCTCTTGCACACGGATTCGCTGTTCCAGACCTTTGGCTTCAGCATTGCGGCGGCCGAGATCGCGCAGCGAGGCGTGGAGTCAGAACCCGGGGCAAACCTTCTGGACAAAATCCCGCAACTGACGCTGACTCATCTTCGTGTCCTCGCGGAGACGGCGCTGTCGTATGCGGCCGTTGGGTGCTTGCATGACCGTCGCAGCGGCGCCCCCAGCCGGTCGGTGGAGGAATTCCAGGAAATGCATCGACAGAAGATCTGCCAGTTGTTCGTCGGCCACCCGTTCCTGCAGGGGACGTCGCTGGTGGACGACGTGCGGGAGATCGAACCACTGCTGGGCCGGGACCCGTTTACATTCCTGGCCGAATGCTCGCTGTGCCTGCTGCCCGTACTCGACGTCGACATCCGCCATTTGATCCAACTATGCTACGTGGCCGAGATCGTCAAGGTGGTAGTGACGTACGCCCTATGGCCGCTAGGGTTGAAGGAGGAACTAGCCCAGCACAGGGATTGCCTGACGGTGGACCCAGTGCTGTTGGAGGCGCGGGCGTACGACACGACGTGGCATTTCTTCACCACAATCGTGGCGGAGCTCAAATCCAACTCGGTGGGACGCGCCGAAGGGTCGTCCTTCCCCGCGGAGAGCGGCTACGTCAAGGATGGCGAGGAAGCGGCAACGCCCGAGGTGGTGCTGGCAGTACGGCGTCTGGTGTCGCGATACGCGCTGGTCTTCCTGCGCAAGGCAGTGATCCTGCTGCACGTCCAGTCTGGCGTGGAGTTCCCGACCACGGGCTTCGGGGATCTAGAGACGGACGAGCTGGACCGCCTGACGCGCCTCCTGCAGCTGCCGTCGCTGGATGAGATCTTCGCAGCGGTGCAGCCGGCGCGCACGAGTGGACAGCCGTTGGACGCAGTGATATCAGGCTGGATATTCCACTGGAACGCCTCGCGGTCGGGAGTGCGCATCGGTGACCACAAGCTGTGGCCCAGTCTGGCACATCCGGCCATCTTCGAGCTGGTGGGATTGCCCAAGTACTACGACCGGTTGATCGAAGAGGCGAACCGTCGACGATGTCCCAATTCCAAGAAGGAACTGACAGACCCGAGCATTTGTCTGTTCTGCGGCGACATTTTCTGCTCTCAGGCCGTGTGTTGTATGGAGAATAAGCTGGGGGGGTGTAACCAGCATCTGCAAAAGTATGTCTTCTTCCTTTTTCACATTTTTTTTGCCTTTTTTTTTTTCTTTAGTTTTCTTTGTATATTTGCTAATAAATGCAGATGTGGAAAGAATATTGGCCTGTTCATCAATATCCGGAAATGCACTGTGCTGTACCTGCACCATCAGAATGGATCGTGGCACTATGCACCGTATCTCGACCGACACGGCGAAGTCGACCCAGGACTGCGACGCAATCGCCAGTTGATCCTGAACCAGAAACGATACGATCGACTGCTACGCGACGTGTGGCTGTCGCATGGCGTTCCAGCGACCATCAGTCGAAAGCTAGAGGCGGACATCAACAACGGGGGATGGGAGACGATCTAAGTTGTCTAATGGAGATGATCTAATGATGGAAAAGTGGATGGGGATAGAATGATTCTTTTGTTATTTTTTTTTTTTTTTTTTTTTAATTATTTCGTAAAAGCGATGTACATACAGTCTACTTAATCTGAATCTGCCAAGAATGACGGCATCTTTTTTCCCTCCGACGTCCATCGTGTCGTCTTTGACCTCTCTCTCTCTCTCTCTCTCTCCCTCTCTCGGACTCTCTCTGTTTCTATTTTCTCTTCTCTCTGCCTCTTTCCCTCTTTTAATTCATTCCCCAGTTTCAAAATGAATAACCAACAATTCCGCCGTCTCGTCCTCGACAATCCATCCAAACCCGCACGCGATGTTCCCCGCGACGCCTCCAACACTCCCACTGCCACCTCAGTGGGCTCACGACGACATTCCAGTATCTCGATGACACCGTACGTGAATTTCTTCCTTCTCTATATCCATCAGATGAATGAAGGAACTAACAAATCCAGCCGCTCTGTCACCCACGTCGACTTCGCTCGGCAACTAGCCGAACACCGCGAGACCGACCAGCCGCCCGCGAAAAAATTCAAATCCTCAGCGGCGCCCAAAGGGACCAAGCTGCCTGCGGGCTACGAAGACCGTGCGGCTCGACTGCGAACGACCGCGACAGCTACCGCGACCGACGCGACTGACTCCGACCTGCAGAAACGCGTCCAGGCACTGGAAGAGATGGTGAAACTCGGACAGATCGATCAGACGACGTTTGAGAAACTACGCAGGGAACTGGGAGTTGGTGGTGATGTCGGTAGTACCCATATGGTGAAGGGGTTGGATTGGGAGTTGCTACGTCGGGTGAGAGCTGGGGAGGATGTTTCCAAGAATCCTGCTCCTCCTGCAGCTTCCTCTAATAAAGAAGAGGAATGGAATAAAGGAGAAGAAGAGGTCGATATCGATAAGGAATTGGAGCGAGTATTAGAAGGAAAGGGGCAAACGGGTCTGAGTCTCCCGTCGGCGCCGAAGGAGATGAAAAAGGAGAAAAAGAAAGGCTCCATGGCCCCGCCGCGGCCCGCGAGGATGTCTCGAGATGAGCTTCTCCAACAACTACGCGAGTCTCGCCGCGCGACGACCACGGAGGAGGCGCAGCCGGAGTCGGTGCTGGGGGCGCGGTTCAAGAAGCTCGGGGAGACTCCCAAGGTCGAGAAGAAACGGTGGGTGGAGCAGGATACTAGTGGACGTCGCAAGGAGATTCTACAGATTACAGATGCTCAGGGCAAGACCAAGAGAAAAATGCGGTGGCTAGATGCGCCTAAGGATTCGTCGAATGTGGCCACCGCGGTGCCGGGCCTGCTAGTTCCAAACAAGGATGCTCAGCCACTTGGCATGGAGATACCAGTGGAAATTGCAGCAAAGGCGAAGGCAGCTGAGAAACAGGATGAGGAAGAGGAAGATATTTTTGCAGGAGTTGGGGCCGATTATAACCCCCTGGGGGATCTGGGAGAGGAAGACGAAGAAGGTTCATCGGATTCCGACAAAGATATCCCCGGAGCAGCCATCTCCACGACGACAGCTCCCCAAGGGACCGCTGTGCGACCGCGTAACTACTTCTCGACCTCAACGAGCGACGAGCCGACCGAACACATCGAACGATCGAATCCCTTGGCGACGGATCCCACGCTGCGGGCCGCGTTGAAGCGAGCAGCGGCGCTTCGACCGTCGGAGGGTGGAGTCGAGGGGACAGAGGAAGGCGAGGTTGACTCGGAGACGCTGCTACGACGGAAAAGATTCCTGGAGGAAGCACAGCGCCGTGAGGCCCTGGACGTCATGGACATGGATCTGGGATTCGGCAGCAGTCGCATCGAGGACGAGGAAGACGAGGAAGGGATCACCTACGAGGGACGAGGCGGACTGAAGCGAAAGCGTGGGCCCAAGAAGAGGAAAGGAAACAAGGACAGCGTGTCTGACGTGATGCAGGTGCTGTCGGGCCGCCAAAAGGAGTGAAGCCAGCAAACTGAACTGATGATGAATGGGTTCCTTTCGATGGGGCATGTTTCAATCCATCGTCGTGCCTAGAACCAGCGCCACCGGAACGCAGCGGGTCCAAGTGTGGATTGGCCAAGTGTGGATTGGATCAGCCAACGATGGACAGCCCACGATGGTGGAACATGACCAGACAGGCAAATAGGATGCAGGGGAATCCAGAATAGCGCTTGTACTGTGTAAACGCCCACGTCATCTGTTGGAGAGGCATTGACTGGGAATGGTTGGGGGGGGCTGCAGAGGTGGTCGGCGGTGCAAAGACCCGATCGGGAGATGATGATGCTCTTGCTTGTCATCGACACGATCGACCAGAATCTGCAGAAAGAAAACTGCGTAGGCAAACTACCAGAAGACAGGACAGACGTCAGTACTTGGGACGGAATACCTGACGGTACCTGAAGATTGCCGGTGTGCGCACAGACAACCAGGTACCGCCATGTCGACTGTCAACCCTAACCGCCCATCCATGGGTCGAGAATCTCAGGATCCATGGTGTTCGCAGCTACAGTCGACCCTAAAACACGCTAATGCCGCTAATGAAGACCAGACTATCCAAGCCCTAGAAGAGGAGGTTATACTTAAGAATTGGACTCCCACCTGACTGGGCTGGATTACACCTCCTGTGTCGTGATACTTCTGTCCCTCCTTTTCTGATCGACTGTGCCGTGCACGTCCTTGTCATTCCTTTTCATCTCGTCTCTGCTTACCAGCTCACATTCATTCTCACACACACTCCCTCTCTTCAAGATGGTCTCCTTTTCCTCCCTCCTGACCGCCGGCCTGCTGGCCACCACCACCCTGGCCGTCCCCCCACGGCCATGGCCACGACCAGACGGTGCACCTTCGCCGCCGTGAATTGACCAAACGCGAGGGGAGCCCCAAGCGCGGTGCTGCCTACAACGACGCATCCACCGTGCACTCGCTCCATGAGAACGGCAAGATCGGCTGGGCCTATGACTGGAACATGTATTCGAATGGCAACCTGCCCGAGGGTGTCGAGTTCGTGCCCATGCTCTGGGGCAGCAAGATGTTCGGCGGATGGTCCACGGCCGTTCAAACGGCGCTGGCCAGCGGCAGCTCCTATATTATGGGCTTCAACGAACCCGACATGGGCTCCCAGGCCGCTATGAGCCCCGGGGAGGCTGCCAAAGCCTACAACCAATACATCACCCCGCTGAGCGGACATGCTAAGCTGGTCACCCCGTCCGTCACCAACGGCGGCGGTGACGGCGTCGGTCTCTCGTGGATGCGCTCCTTCCTGGACCAGTGCAGCGAGTGCGGTCTCAGCGTACTGGCCGTGCACTGGTACGGCCAGTCGGCCGACGAGTTCAAGAAGTTCGTCACCGAGGCCATGGACCTGGCCCGACAATACAACCTCAAAAGCACCTGGGTCACCGAGTTCGCTTTGAGCCAGGACATAAGCGCCGGCACTGCTTCCGAGGCATCCGCTGAGTTCCTGAACGAAGCCCTCCCCTGGTTGGAGGGCCAGGATGGTGTCGGCCGTTACGCCTACTTCATGTGTGCTGATGGTTACCTACTGAACCAGGGAGGATTGAGTATCAGTGGTAAGGCCTATGTTTCTTGATTCTATCCATTTTTTCCACCAGGTTTTTTTTTTTTTTTTCTGCCTACCCTTTTTTATTCTTTTTTTTCTTTGCCTAGAGTTTGCAATGTGTGCCCAGGATTTTGTTCTTCGGATTGCGGTTGTTAGTGCCATCAGTGGATCATCTCGTATAGTCTAGTTGAATTCATTATGAATTTACCCCATCCTCGACAGAGTACGGAATACTCAAGAATCAAAGAATCCCAAACAAGACTACTTATTTGATTTTCTCCTGGCTAGAGACCCCGTTCCATGGATCATGGCCCAAACTGCATCCGCATTGGTGGAGCCATACTCCGGAGTGATGTCTATCCATGGATACTGAGATCGTGTGACCAGTACAACGGTCCAATTCTTGTGCATTTGTTTCATTCCATTTTCTTACTTTTCTGGTACACTGCACTAGACGAAGGAAAGGAATTCTTTTGAATCGGTAAAATAAAAAAAATTAGGGTTTCATTTCCCGGATTCCTATATTCCATATTCACCCTGTTAGGTAACGCCTCTATATTAAGTATATTGTACACGCAATTCATTCCCAACGCCGGTCATCATGAAATGGGAAATGAAAATGAGAATGAAGATGAATCGAATACTAGGTCGTCGGTGTTGGTGTCGCGTTCGCCATCATGGTATCCTCTCTATCCTGTACTTCTGTGTTGTTAGCGGTAGTGTCGACGGTCTCCTCTGACTCTTGTTGTGGTTCTTCTGGTTCTTTTTGTTCTTCTTCTGCCTCTTCGTATATCCTTACTGTCCCGTCAATGCCACAGCTGACCATCAGATACTGTGTGCCCATCACCGCTGTGTCTACTCCTAGCACCACTCCTTCGTGGCCCTCGAGTCGTTGTAGGATCTTCTTGCTCACCACGTCCCAACACACCACGGCCCCGTCCTCGCTACCGCTGACGGCGAAAGCAGCCGGTGGTGCCGTGCCGCCGCGCGTGCCGTAGACGCCGAATCCCCCCGAGAGACTGTACGTCCGGTTGCGATGTCCCTGGTAGGTCTTGATGCAACGGCCTTCGACGTAGTTCCACAGCCGCACGCAGTCGTCCAGCGTCCACGCCAGCACGAACTTGCCGTTGGGTGAGAACTTGACCGCTGTCACCGGCGGGTTGTCCTCGTGCACCAGCGTGCGCAGACACTGACCAGTTGCCGTGTCCCAGATGCGGATCAGCCCATCCGTCGCGCACGACACCAGCAGTGTGCCGTCCCAGACCACATCGATACCTCCTACTGGGTCCGAGTGCGCTGGGAGTGACCGCATCACGCTGGCCGATCGCACGTCCCACAGGAAGACCGCCTCGTCGTAGGAGCCGCTGACCAGCATGTTTCCCTTTGGCGAGAACGCGATCTGGTAGACGTAGTTGTGGTGGCCCACAAAGGGGATCGGGTGCGCCTTGCCCTATAGTTTTCATCAGCCATTATCCCCAAATCCGATCTGAAACAAAAAGAGACATACGGTCAGCACATTCCACAGACGAATGGTCTTGTCATCCGACCCCGACGCGATCGTAGCACCATCCGGTCCCCACGCGATGGTTGAGATACCAGCCAGATGGCCCTCGAACGTGTGGATCAACTTGCCGCTCTGCGTATCCCACACTTTGACCGCCCCGTCAGCACCACCACTGGCGATCATGGACGAATCGGGGGAGAACTGCACGGCGGAGACACCCCGGAGATGGCCCCGGAGCAGGAATTTCAACTGGTAGTTCAATTTGTCCGGCTTGGGTGGTGGAGGTGGCGGTGGTGGTGGTGGCGGAGGCACCGGTGTGGGAGATCGATCGGAATATGTCTGTTCTGCCTCAACATCTGCATCGGCTTCCGCAACTATAGCCGGCTCGTCGCCCTCGCCACCAATCTCCTCGACCTCCATCTCGTCTCCGTCAGGCACCTCCCGCATCTGATGGTTCTCTTGTACTTCCTCCTCCCTTTCCTCTTCCTCTTCCTCCCTGTCTTCCTCCGGCCGCTCCCCTATCACCCTTGCCACATCGGCATCCTCTACATCTCCTGTCTGTTCAGATGCCTCGTCTTCTGCCTCATCCTCATCCTCCTCCCCGTCGTCCTCGTCCTCGCCGGGATAATGTTCCGACGAAGCTTCCACACTCACTTCCGATGGCGACTTGCGACCGCGATCGCGAGAACGCCAGTAGTCTTCGGCATCCATGGTCAATTCATCGGGACTCTCCGAGGCACTGTAACTGCGGGACCGACGATAGGGCCGCTTGGGAGGCAGGGCTTTCTGCAGCGACCAACTGGCGCGACGGCGTTCGACCTCGTCGTGTTCTGATCCCGCCGCCAGCTCGTCGGATGAGGACTCGGTGGGCGACTTGATGAAACCCTTCTGCCGCATCGGCGACGGGGCAAGACGACGACGCTTCGAGCGATGATTGTAGCCGTCCATGGCGCGAGAGAGCAGAGCGAAAGACAATGCGAGGAAGGAATCTTGTGAACGTGACGGGCGCTTGTCACCGCCTACGTTACGCGCCAGCCGCCGGCGGTGAGGTCATTCTCTCCAGCGTCAAAATATCTTCAGTTCACACTCTTCGCTTCGCTTGTCATCTTCACCTCGCTGTCATCTCCATCATGTATCTTGTGTCTACTCTTTCTATCTAGTTCCTAGTCTATCGATTGATCTAACATGCCTTCTGAAGATTCCTCCCCCTCCCACATCCACATCCTCACCCTCAACTGCTGGGGTCTCAAGTACATCTCTAAATACCGCCATGAACGTCTGTCGGAAATCGGTCGCCAGCTGGCCCTGGCAGATCCTCCACCAGAGATCGTGGGCCTGCAGGAGTGCTGGACACAACAGGATTACGAGAGCATCCATGACCAGACCCGACACCTCCTTCCATACGGCAAGTTCTACTTTGGCGGCATCTGGGGCGCCGGGCTGGCCATTCTCTCGCGATGGCCCATTGAGGAAAGCAGCATGTTCGCCTACCCACTGAATGGCCGCCCAACCGCTTTCTTCCGCGGCGACTGGTACGTCGGCAAGGGTGTGGCATGTGCGCGGGTGCGGTTTGGCCCACAACGGACGGACGTCGCCGAGGTCTTCTGCACGCACCTGCACGCCCCCTACGAGCGCGAGCCCCACGACTCGTACCTCTGCCATCGCACCGCCCAGGCCTGGGAGATTGCCAAGCTGATGCGCGGCGCTGCCGAGCGCGGCCACCTGGTGATCGGTCTAGGCGATTTCAACATGCTGCCGTCCTCGTTCGCCCACAAGCTCATATGTGCCCACAGCCCCGTCCGCGACGTGTGGCAGGTCCTGCATCCGGACTCGTCCGTGGGCGCCGCCATCGACCCGGTTGAGCAGAAGCGCAACCGGCCCGCGCCCACAGCTGAGTTCAACATCCAGGAGAACGGCACCACCTGCGACAGCAAATTCAACACCTGGCGCTGGCCCGAGACGGACCGCAAGCAACTGGAAAAGGGCCACGATGTCATCGTCGACAAGGACAGCCCCGATCCGCGGGGGAAGCGGCTGGATTACATATTTGTGGGCGACGGCGAGGGCGCGGCACGCTGGTCGGTCGAGTCTGTTGGTGTTGGCATGATGCAGCGGCATCCGCAGCTGCGGTGCTCGCTCAGTGACCACTTCGCCGTCGAGGCGGTCATCACGCGGAATGCTACCTCCTCCTCAGCCGAAGCAGCAGCAGGATCCGGATCCTCCCCCACGGGGCTCTCCCCCGAGACCTACGACCACATTCTCGAGATGATCCGAGTCTACGATCTACGAGAACGGTTGCAACGGCGCTGGCGGGTGGCCCATTTCTTGGCGGCGGTGCTGGTGTCAATCGGGTGCTTTGTGGGCGTCTGGTGGACGGGAGATCATCTACCCTACGTAGCGTTCATCCTGGTGGTGGTGAGCACGCTGAGCTTCGGGGCGGGGATCCTGGACGGATTGATCGGGGGATTGTTCATGTCGAGCGAGATCCGAGCACTGAAGGAGTTCCGATGGGAGGTGCATAATGCGCGGCGACGGGCCGAGCCGGCGAAGTCGGAGTGATTAATTCTCCTGTATATACCTATTCCATGTACCTTGAAGTACTTAATGCCTTACAGTCTTACTTGGTACTTCGAAGTATACTCCGTCGATCTCCGATAAGGCTGTTTCAGACTTTCCGACCATCGCGTAAAATAATAAATTACCGTCACAGGCTAGCCCTATCCAGCCCTGTTGTGCCCGCTCGCCCCCTTTCCTTCACGTCTGGACACGATGATTGGCCCAGACTCCTTGTTGGACAGGCTTGGCGCTCGTGCGTCAACCCCCGCGCGAGCCCCACCATGGACCAATCAGCAAAAGGCAAGAGTGGCCCCCAAAGTCAGCTCAGCCGAAAGGGGGAGAAGCACCCATTCTGGAATGTCACCACATGGGTCTGGAGTGGCATGCAATCCATCTCTTATCCAGTAGGTAAGGTAGGAAGGTCCCTTTGAGTTATAAGGAGTATAAATTTATTACCATTCTTTGTAGGAAGCACTATCCGTAAAGATAAAATGATACAAAATGCTAGTAGTCGTCTCAAAACGGTATCAAACACCATCCCGCCCTCTGTCTGGCCAATCACCGCCGGTTCACGGTGGACCAACGATCGCTGCTGTACTCTTACAGTCTTAGGTCCGTCTCAGCCAGATGCCCAGCATCAGCCGGTTTCAAATTCTCCATTGATCGCTTCATACATTAATTATCTGTCCTGTCCTGTGCTGTCCTCTTCTGTCCTCTTCATGCCGTCCTTCTCCCCATCGTGCTGCTGCCGGTGACAATGCGTTTTCCTCTCCTCTGGTCCCTCCTCTCCGCCTCGGCCTCGCTCATCTCGGCCACCATCCTCGAGAATGGTCAGGAGCGTCTGAACCCTTGGCCCGGTCAGGCCTCCAATATCTCCCTCGACGATTCTTGGAGGAACTATGACGCCGATGCCTCCGAGATCTCCTACAAGGGACGATGGGATAGCAAGAAGATCGGTTGTACGTTTTCCATCGCTGCCTCTTGGTATTTCCTTCACTGACGTTCCTTTGTTTCTCTTAGGGTGGTCGTGTGTCCCCCCACTCCTCTCTCGCTTTGGCCGTCGATCACTAACTTGGTACAGAGCTCCTGGCATCAAAACCGAGTTCACCGGCGACAGGGTAGGGCTGTGTCTGGTTCAAGAATAGAAACCAGTCGACTAATGTGATTCTACCAATAGTTGGCGGTTAGCTTCGGTGAGCATACCACCGATGGTGTACTAGTGGCTTATCGGTAGGTCTTCTCATCTCCTTGTGCCATCGATGGGATTTCCGTTACAACTCTCTTTCTTTTTAGCATTGGTTCCCTGGACTGGCTCTTCTCGAATGTAACCGCCCGCTCTACCTATCAGTTCGTGTCGCCTGAAACGGATATGGGCGGTATTCCCGCGGGTGATCCCAAGATTTTTGAATTGCGAGGTATGCTTCCATGACCAGACTACAAGGATCAAGGATGAATGACAAGGGACTGACACTGGGGTAGTGACAAACTGGGGCCGGGGATAAGTAGAACCTATCCTTTTCTCTCTCCCCTCCCGACTGACCGCCCACACAGCTCAGATTGCCGGTGTCTCCGTCGCCAGTGATGCCCATCTCTCCAAGGTCGAACCGTTTAAGAAAAAGGTGGAAATTATTGGCGGATCGTAAGTTCCGACCCACCGGTGTTTTCTTTCGACCTCATTCAACTGATTTGCACTGGGTAGTCTCGCATCCGGACAGTACGGCACTTATGAAACCCTCTCCTCGTGGTCCTGGCTCTACGGTGCTGGTCTGGGCAATGTTGAATTCACAATCACCGTGAGTCCCAGTCTTCCCGACGGGATTTGATGTCCCCTCCATTACTGATGCCCTGATCTATAGGCCTATCCGGGAGTCTGTCTCGCCGACATGAAGTGCTACGGCGGTGACGTCCATGGCATGGTATGTATATGTGTTCCTCCCTCGTCCTTCAGTTGGGCCCAACTCCCGTCTAACGTTCCCTCCAGCCATGGTGGTGGCATCGCGCCTCCGACCCCGGTTCGCGGGCTGGTTCAATGTACGATCAAGACCCAGAAGAATACGACGTGCGCGGCGAACAGCCCGCCGACCTAGTCATCATCCAGATGGGCGGCAATGACCATCGAGAGCCGAACAAAGTTCCGGGTTCTGATTTCTACCATGATTACGTCCGCCTGATCGATGACGTCCATTCGGTGTGGCCCAAGGCCGTCGTGGTCATCATGGTAAGTCCCCTCCATCCACGACACCTTTCCTTCGCTCACACCTGCACCAGACACAATGGAGCGTCTGGGAAAAACGCGGCACCCAGTACGTCCCCACCTCCATTTACGACGAGGAAATCAAGCGCGTTCACGATCATTACAAGGACAAGGGTTTCGTGCACTGGTTCGACACCGCCGGCATCCTGCAGCACAACGACATCAACCCCAAAAACCACCCCACAGATGTTGGCCACGTCAAGATCGCCAGCCATCTACTGCAATGGACTCGTCTGATCATGAGATGGCCTCTGGAGCCCACGGGCGAGGTTCAGCATGGTACCCTGTACTGGAACGACATGCAGGAGTATTGATCTTTCCCCTCTCTCTTTTCTATGTATATTTCTCTCTTCACCTCCCGGTGCGGTGTCCCCAAGTCTTTCATGTACATCAGTTCGTTCCAGATTGGTTGGGTTTGTTCAATACTGGATTGATCGATTTGATTTTATATTGCGTCGGTCCGGCTGTTTTGAGACGCCTTGTCTTTTTTCTTGATATCGTTTGCTTTTATAGACTTGTATTTAGGTGCGTTTCGAAGATCTCATTGTTGTGATATACATAGTACAAATGAACTGGATAAATCTATGATTATTTGAAACACCTAAATATTCCGAAGTAGTTCTTGGATGAGATGTTAAATAGGGAAGTATTATCTGGATTGTATCCTTTCGGTAAAGGGACTTGGAGTAGGCGGGTTTATAGGATGATCAGCTTAGACCTGAACTGTTTCACTTCTTGCTTTATTATATCCTATGGATTTCTTCGAAATACAATATATATATGTATCGATACCAGATTCAAAAACGTGTAGTGCTATGACATTGACCTTGTTAGTTCCCTTGACGCAGCTCAGTATAGTCATGAGAGTGAAACAAAGATAGTGAAAACTTGCACGAACAGTCTCGGAGGTCAAATTTGTATAAATTTTTCTTTAAAAATGCATGGGAAACAGGATAAAGCTGAAGCTAAATGCTAAATTATAGATAGGATAATGAAGCAGTGTTAGAGGATGAATACATGCGCTTATGTACATTAATTAGAAAAAGAAAGGAGGAATGAGTAAACAGGGCAGTTTAGTATTTTATGAGATGGCTATAAGTACTTTGGATCTGACCTGGATTATAGAGTTTTATCCGATCAAAGGAGAATGTACAATGGTATGATAACTACGTTGATAGCATGGGACGCACAACTTCAACAAGTATTCATTCAGATCAATCAATTATCACAACTTAAACTCATTCACACAAGACAAATCCGACTCAAACGTGTACTTACTCAGCACACTCGCGCTGACGCTCGTCAAAGACCTTCAACGCCTCCTCGGCCGCCTTGACTCCGCTGAGCACCATGGCCCCGAAAGTCGGACCCATGCGGTTGAACCCGTCAATTTCGGACAGCTCCATGCCGCCGATGATGAGGCCCTTGGCCACCTCTCGGGTGTTCTTCACGATGGCATCCTCGGCCGAGTTCATGTCCAGGCCGCGCATGCCACCCAGCTTGTCGACGGTGTTCATGGAGACCAATCGCTTGGCGCAGAAAGCTCCGAAGGGACCGTCATGGCCCGTGGTGCTGATGATCACGGGTGCGTTGATAGTGTTGGGGTCCATGCATGAATGGTCGTCATGGTGCAGAGTCACCAGCGTCCAGTTCACGACCACTCCTGCAATGCGAGTCCCCTTGGGGTCGCCGTTGGGGGCCGGGCGAGTCACCAAGTCCTCCACGGCGGTGGCATTGAAGAGCTTGACGTTGGGGAAGGAAAGCACCTTGGACAACAGCGTCGAGGTGAACAAGGAGGCGTGCTTGACAACAACGTAGTTGGGATTTGCCGGGTCCTCCTCGTAAGGCACACCCAGATCGTTCAAGAAAACATCGGCGGGACGACGCATCACCATAGCAGAGAAAAGTTGGCCACCGAGCCAAGCACCACCGCCTTTTAAGACATCAGCATCTATACGATAGGTCTACGTTTCCTCTTGGGTGTAACTAACCAGGAGAGACGGAAGCCTCAATGATGGCAATCTTCAGGTCCGGACGAGCGTTGGCCAAGACGTAGGCGGTACTCAGACCGCAAGAACCAGCGCCGACAATAACAATGTCACTCTCGGCATATTTGTCCAGATCCTGGAAGTACCGTCTGGTCATAGCCCGCGAGACCTGGCTCTCACGGATGGGAGAGAATTTGAATTCATCCCAGTTGTTGCCAAAATGGTCGAGCAGCTTGGTTTGAGCGGATCCAGCGGGAGCGGTCTCGGGAACCACGAGCTTACCCTTGAGACCAGTAGGGGCCACGGTGGGTTCGTAAATGGCAGCGGGAGGCGACATGATGATCAAACTGTTCTTCGTTAGCCATTCCACTACAGTGGAAACGAGGGAAGGCATGATCCTTTCGCTGGTATTATCCAGATCAAGTTTTGACCGTATATTCTCAGAACGAACCCAGAGCCCTCGACACCGTGGTGTGGTTGGAACCTGACTAGATCTCGAGAAATCCAATCGAGAAACCCGCCCACGTCAAGGTGTCAAGGGATAGGAACGAACACCGGCCCACGCCCAGACTTTACCTGAGATACCTTGATCAGAAATCGACTATCCAGCCAAAGGCATGATCCATGACTTCCGTCGTACCAGACCCTGAAAAGGGCCATGCAAGGTGGGTATTACATTGGGGTTCGGTTGGATCTGGGGATGGTCAGCCAATTCTTTCTTTTGAGAGAGTATTTACTTAGGGGAGGAGGACTTGTTCGATATATAGACGAATACTAAAGGATGGATGAGCGAGTATAATGGACAAAGGAAAGAAAAGAATGGCGATGGTGGGGGGTGGAGGGGTATTTAAGCGTATTTATCTCCTGTGGGTGTCCAGTACAGTACGGTAGCGTACGGTAAATACCGTCCATCCGAGAATCCCCGCCAAATTGACTTTGTGGTGACTTAATGGAGCTGGAGGTTTGACTCTCCTAGTTAACTACGGAGTATCGTCTAGGCAGCACAGAGTAAGAACACGGAGCCCTCTCTTCCTAGCTCACAGTAACCCCCACTTTAACGCCATACCCCTCAATCTGGTTCTTCTTCTTTCCCAACCTTTCGATCTTCTCGGCTCTCTGCGGCAGCTCATTCTTTTCCATAGATTCGACAACTCCGCTGGAATGGTTGCACGTCACCCGGAGACGTAATAGATCACATCGCCTTTTCTTCGTCACGATGTCCCACTCCGTCTCCAACCCGATCCTCCAATGTGCCGTCGACACGCGGCCAGCGGGGTAGATATCTCCGATCAGGGTGGCCACGCGCCCTAGGTACCGGCACCACCATGCTTCTGGTGCCGAGACGCACCGAGCCAATTGCTGTTGGTGGATTTGATCTGTCGGTGCGAGATCTCCTGCCCAACGCTCACAGAGAACAAGCGCAATTAGGGCTCGTTCCACATGAGAAAGTGTATTCACGGAGGCCAAAATCCCCGTCGATGTACTGTGTAAGGCAGCGGCCGACCGCGACTCTCGCGGGACCTGGGAATGGATAAAAAGTAGATTTGCAATTGCGGTGAGGAGACCGCTGGTAAATGAATCGGGAGGACGGAAAGAGGCCAAATGAGAGGAAGATGTTGGGAACGCTGATGCGAGAAGCTGTCGGATTGCGTCGGCGGAGGGAGGTGCATATGGCAAGGTTGCCGCCACCAAGGGGTTCTGGGATCGAATTGCCTCGGGCATTCGATCAAAGAGGAACCCCTCGCGGACTCCCCCTTGGCAGAATTGGATGTGCGTGATGCTTGGCAGCGCATCCATGATGACGTTGACGAGAAAAGCCACAGCTGGAATCTGGGATGCTCGTCGCTTCGACACGCCAAAGATGTCGTCACCAGCATCGGATACCATATCGAGCACGGAGACGGTATCGTAGAAAGAGTTCCTGCTGACCCTATATCCGTTGATGATGGGGATCGGGTATGGGCGGATTGTGGACTGTGCCATTAGAACGTAGCCCCAGCCTCTAAATCCCCCACCAGAAAGGTAGAGATCCAGATGCCCCGTAGAATCCGTCATGAACTGGGGTACGTCTAAGCGCTTATATGCCTCTCGAAAGTTTCTGGTCATCTCCTCCCTCAGTGCCTTTTCTGCCTTGTGACCCTCTTTCCGCGCTTTCTCCAGACGCATCGTCAAGGCTGCCGCACCATAAGGAAAACTAAAGGAGCCCTTGGGGCTCGTCGTAAGGACCCCGTCCTTCTCAACTACCCAGGTGATCTGCGTACTCCCCCCTCCAAGATCCATTGCAAGTCCCGCAACGGAATAGGAACAGCTTGCAATACCCAGGGCGCCGAACCGGCCCTCGTCTTCTTTTGATAGAAGACGGACCTCCCAGCCTGTACGATCCTGGATCCGGGTCCTGAACTCATGGGAATTGGGTGCAGTCCGAGTGGCCTCGGTGGCCAGGACATAGATATTCTGGGTTGGTACCCCGAAATCCTCGCACGTAGCCTGGAATCGAACCAGTCCGTCCACGACTTGATCCATCGTCTCAAGAGGAATTGGACCACGCTCCCCCGAGGTGGAGAATTGCACATCGTAGAGAGAGATGGCAGCTCGGTCCTGGAAAACCGCTGGCATCACCCGTGCAGTTGGGGGCGAGAGGTCGGTAATAGAGAAGCGGATGCCATTGCTAGGTAGGTAAGTATAGGCTATAAAGAGTGATAGTGATGGATGAAATATACAGGGGAAAGTACTTTATCGAACTGACCTTCCCATATCCACAATCCCGTAGAGATTGGGGGATATACTTGAATCAGCCGCCATTATACGGATAACTCTCCTACGCTGAGAGATAATTTTAAGAGAAAGGTCTCTATCTTGAGAAGTTCTCGAGAATCGTTAGGATGATGTAAGCCCATACAGGAGTTCCCACCAACCACCACTCACTTTTCCATACTAGCGCGTATTCACTCATACTGTCCTTTCACTCTGGCATCAGGTATCCCTTCTCGACCTCTCTTCCTTTTCATCTTCCTTTTGCTCTCACTCATCTGCCTAATATAGTTTCTCTCCTTTGGTCAATTTCCCGACATGTTCAACCACTGGTCAAGTATTATTAGTAACAACCCACCCCAAGCACTAGTTACACACTAACAAACCACCTAGGACTAAACGATCTCCCTTTACAGAGTAGTGTTTACTCCAGTTTAGAATAATACTTGTTTGGGCAAAGCGCCTCTTGCTTACTGTTTACCATCCATACAACCCCAACTGTGTAGAATCAGCCTTCCAATGCAGTTCTGCACTGATTAAGCCCTAGTGCCAATATTGATTGGTATTTTGGTCAAGTGGTGTTCGCTGACACGCATCGCCGGGCTCCGATACCCCTGCGAAGCCGTCGGTCGCGTGAAACAACAGGAGTTGGAACGCTTCGCAGCTCCTTTCGCAAGCGAGAACACGCTACTACAGCGAAATCTGAATTTGGTTTTGACATTCTTGGAAAGGCTTATCCTATGGATCTAGACAATTCACCGAATTATAAGGAGCTTTTTGACAGAGGTTGAGCTGCGAAGACAGGCTGAGGCAAAGACAAGGCGTGCCGAGAAGAGAAAAGGCAAGTTGAGGAAGAGCGAAGACACTCCGATGAAGAGAGAGAACATGCTGAAGATCGAAACAGGCAGTTCAGTCAGAAAACACCCTTGCTAGAATATCTTCAAACATGCCACAGCCTGTTGTCCTGGCCCGTACATGTCAGGACAACCTCACGTGCCACAAAGGAAAGTATCCCAGCGCCTCAAGGGAAATGTTGTCCAACACATCTTCTTCCGTGGAAAGAATGCGCGGGTACGTAGCAGAAAATATATCATTCCATTTGTAACTACCTTCAGGCAACGAACGAGCGTTCCACGCAGCTATTCTCGACCATTGCGGGTCTTGAAGACCTGGTCGACCCGCTGCAGTGTCGTCCTATGTACAGTGGGCGGGACCTTGAATTCTACGAAAGATTAGCTGTTGAAAACCATGTACGCGATATTTTCTTAGAAGTGTGCAAATTACCCCCGGCCCGGCGGCGATTTCGTCTTGGTGATGGTGTCTGGTTCGAGAGTCATACCAATGCCTTGGAGGAAGGCTAGACGGAGGATCTTGCCTCACTCGGCGCTGAAGACTCAACACAGCACCGACCTAGGCCTGATCAATTCTGCATTCACAGAATGGACGACAATTATACCTTGCTCATGACTGTGGAGTACAAACCTCCCCACAAACCTACCGTGGAAAACCTACGTGTGGGCCTTCGGCCAATGGATTTTTGGAACGAAGTGGTTCGGAGGGAAACGATACCCCACTGATGGAGCAGAGAAACTGAAATACAATGCTGAGCAGATTGTGTGATCGATCCTTACCCAGGAGTTCCATGTCGCAATTTGCGAAGGGCTTGAGTAGTCATATGTGACAATCGGGCTTGCCTTAGTCCTTCTCCGTGTGCTACAAGGTAATCCGGGCAAACTCCATTACTTTATCTGTGAGCCTAATATGGAGGTTGATGGGGACGACATTCAACTTTCGACAGCCTTGAAATGCCATTGCCCGCGTAGCAGCAAGCCCCACCTGGATTGGAATATACAGGATCCCCACCGACTCTGAGGGAACAGACTCCGAATGGCTGCCATCGCGTCTCTTTTGCAATGGCCAACTCCAAAGGACCGTGCGCAGCTCCGGACTAGTTGTGCGCCCTCGCTGGATACCTACCATCCAGCGCAGGACTCCTCCAACTCGGATTCGAATCTGGTAGCGCTTGGTCCTAGCAAAGCCAAGAGGATTGCGCCAGGACCAAGGTGGCCAGCCTTGGCAACACATAATGCAGTTTTGCACTCAACGGTGCTTGCTCGGGCTTCAGCAGAATGTACTTTGTCATTTTCATTTTGTCGATGTGAGTTTACATTCGGACAACTTTCATTCAGAGGGCCTAATTCACCAGCTAAAGTAGCAATTGTATAAAGACCTGGATCACAACTGTACCCCTTTTGGCGATTGTAAGTCATATAGGGCACCATTCAAGATTATCTGTGCTCGATATGGCTATACGCTAGTCAGAAAAGTGGCTACAAACTAATGTTAGAAAACAGTCTCTAGAGAAATACAGGTGTATCGCATCTTCTAAAAAGCACAGGGGTCAGAAGTTCCGGCGTTTATTGGGGCGATCGACCTGGCTATGACTTATTTCCTCCACGGTGACGGTTGGATTCGACACTACGCTGCTCATGGCCTGGATGGGCGACAACATAAAGGGATCGGAGCTGTCTGCATAGATGGAGGGTGAGATCAGGCGATCAAATCGTGCAATATGCTCCCTCGGTGGTATATGGGGATTTCCGTTATGAAAATCTATTATGGAGCCCTAAGTTACAGAAGGTTCTCATCTTTGATTTCCATGACGTGACGCTGAACCATAGACTGAAGAGGCAGGCAGAATCAAAGAAGAGGACGTTTCACGGACCACAGGTGGAAGAACGAAAGCACCACCGGATGGACTACGCAATACTTGAAACACCAGGTTCTTACAATGTGGACGGGCTGAAGTTATTCATGATCGACAGCACCATCAAGGGTATAAAACGAGTATCGACAAGACGCGGGGTCTGGCAATCTCCCATGTTTCTAAGTTGTTCAAGGGCTATATTACCCATTGTCTTGTATGTATACAGAACAAACCACCGCACCACAAACCTGATAGCCTACTACAGCCCATCGTTCCAAGATCAGAGTTCTTCCACATTTTCATGATACTCTTGATCACTCACTGCCAACCACCGACAGTATTCGATAGAGCCCTTATGGCGATGGACATTTTACCGGACTGTTCGAGTTGTACCAGGGAAGTCGACAGTCAGCAGAGGCCTGGCACATCATACGGTATTAACTAGGATTCGGTAAGAGAGCCTTCTCTTCCCGACTGGGTGCTGAACGAGAACAGAATGGGTGTGATTTCAAATAAAAAGCATAATATAAATCCCATGCGGACAGAGTGGGCCGAAAGCGATAACTGAATACCTTTCAAGATGGAAAGGGAGACAAGAAAAGAGATCAAGGGACACGTATGGTGTCGAGTGCTTATAACTGCACATGAGCAACTTGACCACTCCGGAATAAATGGAAGCTGAAAAGCAAAGCCTCCGCTGATCGGTTTTTGACTGAACGAGCCACGTGGTCCAGTTCATCCTGTGTGATGCAGATCGCTCATGCAGTATATCCCCACAAGAACAGTGAAGGAGCCTCATTGTCTATCTCTTCAGTTGCTCAGTGACAGATATGACGACACCCTTAACAGGGGCGTGGTCGGTCTCTGGAAATGTGGTTCCATTAGCGAGTATTGCCGTAGTACTGCCTACCTAGGTAGCATGAACAATAGATGTATACCACGCTCTACAGGATAATATTATTTTCCCAGAATTGAACAAAGACTATATATCCCCAAAACAAATAAAAAAAGACAGCCTCACATCCGATGAGTCACTATCAAAACATCGGGTGATCCTTCAGCCTAACAATCACCCGAACACGGACGAAAATATATATCCTCTCGGTATAGAGATATAAATCTACCCCACTCTTTCCGCCCACATCCCCATTAAAACAAAGCAAATAAAGAAAGACAATTCAATATGGCACCCCGCGCAATAATCTTCGATCTCCTAACCGCCCTCCTAGACAGCTGGACCCTCTGGGCCCAAGCCGCCAACGACCTCACAGCAGCATACCAATGGCGTCGACGATATTTAGAACTGACATTTGGCTGCGGGATCTATCGACCATATGAAGAGCTAGTCTACGAAGCCGCAAGAGACGTACATCTCCCCGACAGAGTACCAGAAACCTTACTCCGAGACTGGGATCAACTCCGTCCGTGGCCAGAAGCCCCCGCCGTGCTCTCCGAGCTGAAGGACAGGGGATATCAACTAGGCGTGGTGACGAATTGTTCGGTGGCGTTAGGTCGGAGAGCCGTCGCGGTTTGTGCTGGAGGGGTCGAGTTCGATGCCGTAGTTACGGCTGAGGAAGCTGGGTTCTATAAACCGCACGGGAAGACATATGCGGCTATCTTAGAGGCCTTGGGTGTGGATGCCAGTGAGGCGTTGTTTGTGGCGGGGAGTAATGGCGACGTGGTGGGTGCTGCGGCGGCCGGGATGGATGTGGTCTGGCATAATCGTGTGGGATTGTCAGCGTTGGAGGGGTCGGCGCCGGGTCGGGAAGGTCGGTCTTTGCAGGTGGTGATGGAGTATTTGGAATGAGTTGAATGGATGTGTATATTTGTTCTGGTGGAAATCATATTTTGTATGTACAAACAAATAGCGCTATGTAAGCATCTAGGTCTGAAGTCAAGAGATTATGATAGCAGAGGGGTCTCCCCATGTTGAGAGATAGAAGGAGCCTTGTTTTTGGAATATAGTCTAGGACTCTAAAAGGCATTAATCCTGTGGAAGGCCAAGTCATCACAACCTGCATATCTAACGTTTCGTGAAAACCAACTGACACCCATCCTAGAGCAATCAGCACAATCCTTAGAACAATGCAGAACAACATACCATCGGGAACAGCGTTGCAAACACCCGAATCTCCTCCGACCTCGCCGTTGCATGGTGCGCCCAATCGAGCTCTAGCGCCGCTTTGCCAATCATCCCGGCCATCGAGAGCGGCACATACCTCCGAGCGAGACAGTCATGCGGGCCCGCACCGAAGACGAGCCAGTTCCTTGTCTTGGACTGGGCATCGCCGGATATCCAGCGCTCAGGCTCGAAGACATCCGGGTTCGGGTACGCATCCGGGTCGTGGAGAGCCGGGTAGCAGGATGGGACGACCATGGAGCCCTTGGGGACGGTGTAGTCGGGGGTGATGGGGAAGTTCCGGGTGGCTAGGTAGGGAACGAAGATGACGGGGGGACGATGACGGAGAAGCTCCTTGATCACTGCGTTGGTGTAGATGAGCGACTCCAGCATGGGCAGATCGAAGGGTTTATTCTTATCCCCGCCGCGCGCGGTCAGGTTTTCCTGCCGTAGTCGATCAAGGACATCGGGTCGCTGCGCGAGAATTTGGAACAGCCAGGTGGTAGCGCTGCTGGACGCATCCTGCGAAGCAAAGAGGAAGGTGAATAGCGTCTCGCTGATCTCCTCGTTGGTGAACTCGCGGACGAGATTTGTGGGCTTCTCCACGTCTGTCTCCCCTGCGGCGATGCGCTCGCGATATCGGTTTGACTCCATCATGTGGAGCACCCAATGGTCTACGATGCATGTGGGCGTCGCGCCCGTAGCCATGTTAGCCTTGCAGGCGGCTGCACATTTGGCGAACTCGGCATGGACCGCGTCGGCCGTCCGCTTGCCTAACCAGGGCTTGGTGAACGGGATGTACATGGACAGGGGAATGTTAACCAACTCCATAGCGGCCGTGGCTAGGTAGAAGTCGTCGGCGATCTTCTTGACTGCGTCCTGGGAGATGTAGTCCCCGAAGAAGGTGCGACATGAAAGGGCACAGTTGATCTCGCGGAACATGGTCATGAACGCCATGGGACGTCCCTGATTCGCCTGGCTGGCCGCTACGAACTTTTCGAAGTAGTCACTTAATACCTTCTCTTGAACGGGCAGGTATGTGGCCATAGCCTTGTTGGTGAACAGGGGAGTCAATCCTCTACGGTATTCGGCGTGGGCCCTCCCTTGGAGAAACACCCATGCTCTGTGGCCTAGAAGGTCTTTGGCGATGGGAACTATGCATGGCTCGGCGTATGCGGGAGACTTGAAAACCTTGTGGGCTAGGTCTCTGTCGGAGGCGAGGACGACGAATCTACAATATCCAGGATAGTAATATAAGCAAGGAACATACACACACACACACACACACACACACACACACACATCGAGATGACAATGGAAAGCACATACTTATGAAAGACAGATACACAGCTGAGAGGTCCACTCGCCCACTGTGCCAGGTACGCTTCGAACTTGGGATGGATCGCTTGGAGAAATGGGCCAATAAGCGGAATCTTGAAGGGAGGTCCAGCAATGGGACCCTTTCTCTTGAGGTACATAACTAGCGACGAGGGTCAGCTGGATAAGCCCATGAATTTGATATTCCTGCTTACCTTGGTCATAGACCACCACTCCAAGCAGAAAAGTCACGATGTACTGCCAGATGGGCCAGGCAGCCAGAAAATCCGGCGGCAGGCGGAAAGACCCTGTCTGCAGCAGTCGAGACTGAACGCTGGAGTTGACAGCATCCATGTTGGTCCTTGAAGGGGCAGAGACAAAAGGGGTACACTATGGCTATTTTATATGGAGATTATCCTTTGCTGATGATAGGGGTTTGTCTCCATCATCCTATTACTATAGCTAGTTTGTGTAATACGGAATGTAGTTTTGTATAGATTATTACCAGATTAGGACTAGACTCCGCAAGTGTCTCGATCCGGAAAAACCGATGGCGGAGTCTAGTCCTCTTTTGAAAGGCGCTAAAATAGCATAATTAAACTAATTAGTTAAATTAACTAACTATGACTGTATTGATTACTCAGCAATTTATCCACTCCCTAAGTAAGTAAAAGAGTAATAATGAATAATTAATGAACAGCACCCAATTGCTTACTCTCTATTCTCCTTGCAGCCTCGTGTATTCGTTTGATATCGTATATCGTATACCATTGTCCAAGTGGATCACGCATTGGCTTAGCACCACTCTTCTAGTCTGTCTATCTTTCCACACCTTCTCGTTCCTCACCCCAACCCTCCCCCAAAATGCGCACTCTTCGTCGCTCCTGTGCGGCCTGTGCCAAATCCAAGCACAGTTGCGACCTGCAAACCCCTCGCTGTTCTCGCTGCATTAAGCGCAAAGTCCTGTGCGTCTATGCCAATGAGCCCTTGACGGCGCTGCCGGCAGCGCCCCGACCCGAGGATGGCGCATCCATGAGGTCTCTCGATGGATCCAGCGCGCTATCCAGCTACAGATTCGGGTCTCTCGATCCTTTTGATTCCTACCCACAGACGAGGCTTCCCCGGGAACGTGTTCAACGTCTCATCCATAGCTGTACGTACGTCGTCGATCGTTGTCGTCGACCCGGGCTTAGCTGAGCTTACACCAACTCAGTTATCCACAAGATCGCTTTCCAATACTACCCTCTCGACCTGAACCCAACCTCAAATCCATTTCTCGTCACTTGGTGGCCATTGGCTCTGGGCGATCCAGCACTATTTCACGTGTCGCTGCAGACGGCCTGTCTTGATGAGGAGCTGTTAGCCCAGAAAGGCTTTCAAACCTCCGAAATTCTAATGGTAGACTCGGTGACTTTACTCCGACGCAAAGTGGAAGACGTGTCCCTGGCGGTGCAAGATGGGACCATGAACTCTGTCATCACCTTGGCGGCGATCGAAGTGAGATCCTCTCTCTCTCTCTCTCTCTCTTTTTTTTTTTTGACCTTCCGAGCCCACCACTAATCTTTCACGATCCCCAGTTTGGCAAGGGGAATATCAAGATGAGCGAAGTGCATGTTGATGGGGTGAAAAGACTCGTCAACATGAGAGGAGGTATCAATTCGGTGAGGCAAACCAGTCCACTTACCGCGAGAATGATCAGCTGGTAAGTCAACCTGATTCCCCTAGAGGGTTATCTATTTACATGCCTCAATAGGGTATCGATGATCGTCATGGGCCATCCCCAATTCGAGACCCAGGATGACATTGGCATTGGGGATGGCATACCTCCCATACCGGAGTGGCATTTGGACTCAACTACCCTTCATGATGATTTATCTGATCTCAGCGGCATTATTGACGTCGACTCTGTAGTCCAGAATGTCTTCATCCGTCTCCGCAACGCCTTCCGACGGGCACATCAGATACCCTTCCCAACCACCCGACTTCATGACCTCACCTGTTTTGTCATACACCGACTTCTACACTCCGCTTCGGAAACGACGATCCCCCAGTCATCATCGATCACCGAATGCATTCGCTACGCAATCATCATCTACATGTTCATCACCCAGGGGCCAACGTATTACTCACATGCCGTCATCTTGAATACGATTATCACTCGGTTCGTAAAGTATCTCCAACAACTCGAACCGACACCACATGTGTCTGATTCACTGAATGTCTGGCTTCTTGCGATTGGAATGGTGGCCTCGACTTACTCACCCCATTACCAGTGGTTCACGGAGAGAGCTCGGGCTGTGGCTGCCTCTCTACAGCTGGGTAACTGGAATGACGTCTTCGCCCGCGTCAAGAACGTCCTGTGGTTGGAGACATTGCAAGGCGAAATTATATTTCGATCCCACTGGGACGCTATTCTTAGTCCTGCAGATCAACCAGGGTCGTCAGACTTGACAATCTGTATCTCACCAAGCTGCACTGGCACTGGGTTCTACGAAATACAATCGCACCTCCAAGTTGGTACCATGTAGTCCAGAATAAGTCAGTGAATGTGGCATCGTCTTGACTTCTGTACCAAGGTTCCACCGACAACATCATCCTAGGATGTATAAAGCTAAACTGTATCGGTTACCTACCACGGTGGAATCGGACTACGTGGATACGTTGTGATGGCTTGTACGCGAGGCCAGCCATATACTCACAATACCACGGTTCCTACGGCACCTCACTCCTTCCTATTAGCATATAACTGTTAGCGCTGTCATACAGCTGAGATCATCTGTTCAGTAGCGATGAAACTCGGTCTCAATTGGCTGGCTATTGTTCTGCTTCCGGGCTGAAAGGACTGGGCTATACCAATGTCAACGACTACCGTGCAACAGTAGTAGTTTCATGGACTCCTGGGTATTGGAAGACAAACTAATGAAAGGCTCTGCCTTGTCACTTTATGTCAGACATTCAATGCATTTCAAGGTACATCGTCCTTAAGAATGCAGACTGAAAGAAACAGAGCATGATAAAGAATTAGCGAGGCAAAGGATACCCTGTCCTGGAAAATATTGACCAACTATCAATAAACTTACTACTGCACTAAAGATGGTACCGGCCCTAGTTAGGCAAGAAAGTTCTTCTGTTATTCTGCTTCAACCCATTCCAGCAGAGCTATTAGTCCAGGCAAGAGGACAAGATGACAGGGGGATGCATCCACGTCGCTAGGGCCTGTTGACGGATTATTGAGATGTGCACAACGCCAAAGAAAACGGTCAAAGCACGTTTTAAGAAATAGTGTGCAAAGTGTGTGTTCCTCGACGAAAACGAGGGTGGGAAGAGAAACAATCGAGATGTTAAAACGGGAAAGCCTTCTGAAGTCAGCACATCCCCTCTCATCATTCCACAAATTCGTTCGTAATCCGAACGTCATATCATTATAGTACAAAGAGCGAAAAAAAAAAGATCCCTCACGTCCTTCCTATATCAGTCTCATCCCAACCTACAGCACATACCGAAATCCACCCCCATAGTTCTCCGTCGCAACTTCATTCCATCCCAATTTAGCCTCCCTCTGTGCCTTGGTCCCGTGTTTCTTGTCCAGTTGTCGGTTCTCCCACATCAGGAGAGCCCGCAACGACAGGGCCAGAATGGTCGTAAGGAACATGAAGGCCGCACAGATGGATTGGCCGCGGACGTATCGCGGACCGTCCCTTTCGGGGTAGATGTTCGTTCCAAGGAAGGGACCGCATTGTCCGATGAGATTGAGGAGGACGATTCCCATTCCGCGACGCGTGTCGGAGCCTTGGTTATCTATCTATTCGTTAGTGATTTCCGTGTAAACGCATAAATAGGTATGAAACGGGATAAGACACACTCAACACCCAAGGAAGAATATTCCCAATGCAAGGGAAGACTCCAGCCGCCGCCAAAAATACCCCCAGATATCGGACCCCGACCGAGGTGCAAGTCGCCAGGAGCACGTACCCGACGGCACCAACCACCGACATAACGGTAATCGTGAGACCGCGCTGTTGGAGCCGATCAGCCAACCAGGTGGTGGCGATGGTGAAGAGAAAGGAAACAAAGTACGGCGGCGCCGTGAGACCCTGGGCATTGATCGACGTAAAGCCCATGTCTTTCAGGATTGTGGGAAGGAAAACGGGAAGCGATGAGAAGCTAACGTTGCAGCTGAAATACATCAACTGGTTGGATTTATCAGCTTTTTTTTCTCTTTGCCCTACAACTAGGGACATACCGCGGTGATCCAGGCTTTCAAATCCAGAAGCGTCCGACCCAGGTCTTTCCAATCGATCCCGGCGACGCGCTCGCTTTTGCCACTGCGCTGGATCGATCTCGCTCGCGCGACGTCTTTTTCCTCCTCGGTCAGGAACCTGGCGGAGGAAGGGTGATCGGGCAGGAAGAACCAGGCCAGAAAAGCGGCCAGGCATGAGGGGACGCCCTCCACGAGAAACAACAGCCGCCAGTTGGCGAGTTTAGAGTGGCCGGAGGTAATCCCATAGGCCAGTGCGCCCGCAAAGGTATTGGCCAGGGGGGCAGCGGAGAGAAACATGCCACATCGGAGACCCAGCTCCTGACGACGGTAGAAGAAAGATAGCAAATATGGAACTCCAGGACCGAATGCGGCCTCCGTCATTCCGAGGAAAAAACGCAGAGCCATCATGCCCTGCCAATTCTGGGCTGCCGCTTGACAGGTGGCCACGATTCCCCTGTTATCCATCATCAGAAAGGGGCGCTGAGAAAAGATATCCGCGACTTACCATGACATGACAGTGATCGCAGCCCATCGGTGTGGTGGCATCACTTGCCACATTAGAGCCAGGAATTCAAACAGGGTGTACGAGATGTAGAAGATCGTCAATAGCCACGAGTAGCGATTCCCCCGAATCTGGAGGTCTTCTTCCATGCCGGCGATTTTTGCGTTTCTTTTTTTTTTTTTTTGCGAACCGTCAGTTTTTTAGAGCTTTGTTTCACGAGATAGCGACATCGAAGAGTAACGAACCCAATGTTACTCCGATCCAACAACGCAAGCAGATCTGTCGGCATCCAGAGCTGGTTAGAAACATCACGATTGTGGGGATCTTCCCGGGCGTCATACATAAGAACCCGAGAAGCGTTGGGACCCTCAGATCCAGCTTCCTGAGCACTCGAGCTTCCACCGTGGGGTCGATGTATACGGTGGGGGGGACGGGATTTGCGGCAACGCTGTTTGCACGTCATCATCGTGGATGGGCACCTGCTTTTCCGAGTCTTCGTTAGCAGGAGCTTCACGGATAACATCATCATTGCCGTCTGGTGTAGGGTTGCCGGGACTGGAGCTCGAATGCTCGTTCCCCGTCGCAAAGAACCCCATGGCGGACAGTAGGAGGTCAAAAGATGGTGATGGGAGCTAATGAGCGGCGAATGGTACGCTCTTATGAGAAGTCTCAAAAACCAGCCATCGGAGAGTTTTCTGGATGGAGAACCATTTCATTGGATCTGCCGGGGGGATCGACAGAGTTAAGCGGAATAGTCTGTTCCACTCGGGTGACACCACGCATGGGGTAGGCGATGCATCAGCAGAAGAGAGGAGAGGGATGTCTCTAGCATGCAGGATGACAGGGAGGATGCCAGCCGCATGGGAGAGAGGGATCGATAGAGAGAGGAACAACAAGATGAAACCAAAATGGCGGGAGACGCTTGGCAAGGCTTAAAATCCGAAAGGCGGGGAAAGGGATTCATTCCACTGATTCAAGGATCGATAGATGAATTCATGGATGGATTCATAGATGGACGGTGTATGACACGCAACTGTCCCCTTTTTGTCCCAGTTTCTCCAACTCTATTCATATGAATTGTCTCTCAACCAGTCATTCTTGTTCTGTGGATGTATATACCTACTCTCGGCCTTGGGTGAGTGCTCATGGATTACAGCATATACAAACGCTGCAACTACTTAGTATAAAACTACTTACGCTGTATAGTGGGTTCACCTTTGCAAGGTCAAATGCAATATATTTCAATAGTCCACTGATACACCGTAGTATAGAATCCTTCTCGCAACGAAAGATCAAGGTCGCTAATCCATAGGTCTTGGAGATTTTGAGACACTGGGAGTCTTGGCCAAAATAATGCATCCAGGCTGAGGATGAATACCTTCTCCTCCCTATGAGAAGACGATGGAAGTAATAAAGAGAGCAAGAGAGTCTTTGGATTTGGACATCTGATTCGGTCCAAAAGGGTTTAGCGTCGATCCCCCAACGCCGCCAAATTTTGGCCTCATTTTGCAGGTGTCTAAAATGCACACACAGATCGTAACGCCCGCCGCAGCACCGCAGGAGCCTCAAATTTCCGCGTCGCGTTGGGATTTCCAGTCCAGCCAGTTCGCATCGCATCGCAGCGTTTTCCATCTCGCATGCATTGCGATCTCTCCATTCCCTAGCTTCTGTCGAGACCTCTTCAATACTTCCCCGACGGCATTTCCCTCCCTGAATTGTGACGGTGTCCGCTCACAATGGACGACCCAGCGAGCCGTCTTCCCGGGCAGTTGGTAGGCCTGCAGACCCCCCAATTCGCTGTGTCATAGATAGATCACTGATTTGGAATTTTTGCTGATAGCTGCCGCACATGCACCTGGTGTCGCGGCATCGCTACCCCTTGATGCATATGATGCCCACGGAAACCGTGGTTGAATACCTCCTGTCCGCCCAGAAGATTGTCCGCGAGGCGCAACCGATGCATTGGACCTTTTTGGATGGACCTCAGGATGGCACGGTGATGCTCACATGGCAGCCCCTAAACCACTTGGGGACGAATTTTGCGAGCGATGGCTACGTCTGGGCGGACGTTGAACAAGCCTTTACCTTCGAAGCTCGGGGCTACGTATGTGGACATACTCATCTATCTCCAGGGGAGTAAGTGACTGACATACGGGGCGCTGCCTTTCAGGTACTGGAAATGTGGTTGCACCGGAGTGGCTACCATCCTCCGAACGAATCGCTCGCGATCCACTGTCGAAGACGTTATCGGTTGTTGCCTACGAAAGTCCCGAATCCCAACGTCCCCCCGCCAGACCCGTCCTTATGGATCGTTCATTACTCGAGAGCACCTCAAAGCGATCATATCTCTGCCAACCGGATCCCGGTCCTACCACAAGTCCAGAGCATGTTGGCCCAGCGCCGTTTTCTGCAAAGCCAGGGTCAGCTAGCCCGCAAGGACTTCATGCTACACGACCGGAACAACTGGCCGACCATCAATTTCCCGCCGCAGATGGCCCCGCAGGGGTTCGCACAAGTCCCCGGGCCTTATCCAAATACCATGGTCGCACGTCAACCGTTCTATCCGCAGCAGGTTCAAAGCGTGCCGGCTGCGGCGAGCGCGGCGCCGGTAAAGGGGCCGCGCGGGCACCGAGCATCGTCCGCCGCGATGAACGCTGCCGCCGCGGACTTCGCGCTCGAAGATGAGGATGTCTCTGCGGGTGACATGATGGATCTACTGACCCCTCGTGAAGTGAGCAAGATGCGATATCAACAACACCATGAGTGGATGGAGGAGATCTTTGCCTCCCCATACGCCATCAGCCAGATTACCCCCATCTCCCTAGGTCTCGGCCGCAAAGGCGAGCTGGAATCCTTGACTGCCGGCTTCTTTGAAGCGCCCGACTCGAAAGACACCAACGAGGCGACCCCCGCCACCAAAATGGAGCCCGCGAAGGCCGAGGAGTTTGCCGACCGTGTTGTCAAGAAGGTGGCCGACATGACGGCGGAGATTGAGAAGCTGAAGAAGCGCCATGCTCGACGGATGGAGAAGTTCAACCGCACCTCCCTGCTCAAGGATGCTGAGCTTCGACTACGGGACTCGGCAGCCGAACCCGCGGAGACCGGATCAGAGATCTGGCGATTGGAGGGACGAGTAGAGATCCCTAGCGAAGAGAATGACAGCCCCGCTCCTCAGCCGGTGGTAAACCGTGCGAGTCACAAGGTGAGCGACGTGATCAAAGAGGTCGAGACGGCGTGGCAGAAGCACATCGTGCCGGAACCCAAAGTCTCCTGTGTCCAGAAGGGTGGCCTGCTGGAGAAGATCGAACCGGAACGCAAGACAGGGCATCCTGCCGGGACTGATGTCGACATGGAACATGCCGACAGCCATCTGCTCGATCACTTCGGTACGACGACACAGAGCACTTCATCCGTGCCAAATGCTGCTGCTGCTGCAGGCACATCGGGAGCGGATTCCGCAGCAGCGCCCCCGCTACCTATTGATTTTCCCCCGCAAGGTGCGCCGGGCTTGGATGTCGAGATGAACCTGGGCGATGGTCCCCCAACCGGTACCGCCTCGGGCGAGACAGGTGACTGGGTAATGGTCGACGGCGACAAGAAGGGCCCGATGGACAAGATGACCTTGGGGGATACCTCATTGTCAGGAATCGACACCCCTGGAAGCGGCATCCAGGGCCTGACACCAGGGAACACGGGACCCGACAACGGACTGGATGGCGCCAACTTCGACTTTACCAACATGGACAGCGCCGGTGATGCGCTGGCGGCATACACGGAACAGAATGAAGGGCTTGATCTGCCCGATCTGGAGAATTCGGCATTTGGCGATGCCTTCCACGCATCGGATAATGAAAATACCCATCATCATGATGCGGACGATATGGCCTGAGGTGGCACAGGGACGTTGGCTGTTGGAGAGGGTTTTCTTTTCTTCTATTGTTGGAGTGGGTGGTCTTACGGTGTTTGTGAATTCTTCGGCGCTGGTTCTTATTTACTATTTTTTTCTTTTTGTTTTGGTTTTATTTTTCTGTACAATTAAGACCGACGTACTTCATTTGCAAGGCTCGGTCAGTTTTCGGGGCGAGTGACGCCGTGAGGATCATTACATGATGTTTGCTTTCTCAGCAACAGTTCTTTCCGTTTTATTTATCATTATTTTCTTCCCTTGACGTAGACTCAACCCATCCCAGCTCATGTCCTTCTAACGGTCATCGATTATGTGCGAGTCATCAGGTAGCATCATCCCACCGATCAAGTGATGCCGGAGGGCACGCAGGTCACGACGGGGCTTTGGCAATTCTACTATCATTTCTTCATGATCGATCCCTGCATCTTTCTACAATCTGCACATCTCTACAGTGTGTACTGGTTGTCTTTGCTTTTCCACCGACTGCTGAAGACCATCCCTTTCTATGGTATCAACGAGTGTGACTTGGTTCGTTTGCCTTCAAGCTCCCTCCGTATCCTGCAAGACGAGCGACGGAATTAGGTAACCCCCACCGCAAGATGTGCTTTGTTGAAGTTGACGAGGACGGTCCCTGCGTGCGATTCACGGAATATCGAGCGAGACCTCCGCGAGCCTCAGTTCCGCGTCCTCGGCATCATCATCACCGGCGTGGCAGCAGCATCAGCACCAGCACCAGCACCAGCAGCAGTAGCAGTAGTAGCAGTTCGAGCTCGAGCAGCAGCGACGGTAACAGCAGTAGCGACAGCCGCCACGACTCCACCATCGTCTGTCCTCCACGTTTACATCGCTCTCGTTCTCCACGAGGCTCATATACGACCATCACGCGAACCCGGACTCGGATCCTGGAAGAGTCTTTGATTCCGATCTGGGGAAGGAGAGCGACACGATGGCTGGATCTGGGGCATCGGGACTGTGAGTCGCACCGGCCTGTGGTGTATATCGAGCCGGAAGAGTGGAGTATTCGACGGATTCCTGCTGGACGAGAGTGGAAGGAGGTGGAATATATTCCAGCGAGATAGTTTGGGATCCTGGGGGTTTTCCGTTGGTTGTGCTGTCTGCGTCACGGTTGGCTTCTGCTTCTAGATATCCCAGAGATTTGTTCATTGTTTGTTCTAATTTGACGTTCCACGTCTCTTTCCTGTTTGCGCACTCTCTACATAGCTCGTCCTTCTCCAATCAAGTATCCTCACTTCACTGGAGCGCAGTCCATCAATCCCCCTCCCATCCACGGTTCAGTCGCCCAGTCTGAAATACGTACCAGCTGATCAGATCTCAGAAACTTTTCCTGCTCCCATGGTTCTCCCATCGGATTCCGCTTTTGCGCTATCTGAAACCAGCCGAAATGACCTCAGCATCCGCCCATCCCGCATGACGTCAACGACGGTTTGTTCTAGCAACAACGCCATTCACAAGTCTCGTGGACTTCTGGTCGGTGCCAGACGTTGGGTCGATGCTGTCAGATCTGTCGATCGATCAGCAAGGGCGATCATTTGTGAGCTTTGTCCAAAGCACTTGGAAAAGGAAGGTGCGTTCCACTTGTCCATCTATCAGTTTATCCACCTTTCCCTTTGTCTGTCTATTGTCTACACCGTGTGCCTTTGGCCTCGTTGTCCTGCTGCGAAGTACTCGTCCACTGCATGAATATTTGGTGATTGTCGCTCTCGTCTTCTCGCAGCCATGTACGTGCCCTAGGCCAGTCAATCCACCAGCCCTATCTAGAACTGACGATACACCAGGAATCGAACTATGTACGCCCGGAGTAGAGACTCGGTGTCCTCACGACCGAAGTTCGGCATCGGGACGCTGCGCGGGCTCCAGCAGCCCGAACTCAGCCGCAAGCTGAATCGACTGATCAAGAACGAGAATGGCGTTATCAGTGCTCATGAGAAAGCCGCTCGCGAACGCGTGTCCATCGCTTCGCAGCTGTCTGAATGGGGAGATTCCACGGAGGATGAAGCCGTGTCGGATATCGCGGACAAGCTGGGAGTTATGTTGGCTGAGGTGGGAGAACAGGAGGATATCTACGCGCAGAATCTCGAGGACTCCCGTGGTCTGCTGAAACATATTCGCGAGACCGAGAAATCTGTCCAGCCGGCGCGAGACCACCGCGCAAAGGTGGCGGATGATATCCAGAAGCTTAAATGGAAGGATCCCAACAGCCCGAAATTGGAGACGTTGGAGCAGGAGCTCGTAAGAGCAGAAGCGCAGAGTCTTGTCGCGGAGGCGCAGTTGACAAATATGGTACGTGATTCGTCTCCCTCTTTTTCTCAGTTGTTTTTTTTTTTTTTTTTTTTGTTTATTCTCCCTCTGGTCCAGTAGAAGGTCAGGTTTGCTAAATGATCCCATCATAGACTCGACAGAAGCTTAAGGAAGCTTACGATGTCCACCTGGCAGCTGTCATCGAGCGAGGAGAGAAACAGATTATTCTCGCTCGTCATGCTCGCCACCTGCTGAACCTTCTCGACGATACTCCGGTTGTTCCCGGAGATGCGCGAAGGGAGTACGATCGGGGCGCAGAGGCGAAGCAGGTGCTTGAAGATGCGGAAAAGGATCTTCTCACTTGGGAAAGCACCGTGGTACCAATTCAGACATCGGCTGCACAGATGCAGAGCGGTGCTCTTCCTGCAATCCACCCGACTCGTGATGCAGAACACGAAGCGGACGGTACTACCTTCTCCGATACCACCAGAGAAATAGACGGATCTGCCGCTGATGCCTCCCGGGACCTAGATGGATACGTTCATTCGGAGACCCCCGAGACGAATGGGTATATCCCGGGAGAAACCGAGATTGACGAAGTGGGCCCTGCGACGACACGGCAGGTTGACGAATCGCTCACCCAAACCAACATCCGCGAGACAGAGGATGCCGTGACGGAGGGGACCAAAGAAACCGTCGTCGCCCAAGATCTCAATGGATTCGTGGCCGAGGAAGCCAAGGCGGCTCAAAGCACATTGGAGCAGGCCGCCCGGTCCGCAGCGCAGCCAATTGCTGTTCCATACTGAGTGGATGGGTTTTAGTTTCGGTGCTATTATATTGCGTAGGCGAACTGTATGCTATTTCCGAGGGTTGATATAATTAGTGATTCTCGTGTACCTGTTGATGGACTGGCTTTTTGTAGTGGGCATGATCAGTTGGAAAAAGGAGAGGCAGGTGATCGATATAAACAACCTCCTTCTTCAGCAACCCTTGTATTTTACGGTTGATTTTATGGAGTAATGCAGTGTTCTATTAGAGTGTGGTTTGGTGAAAAACAGGATGAAGTCTCGATGTAGTATACTCTTTGCTGCCTGGAATCCGGGGCAGAAACGCACGTGACCGGCAGGCGGCCAGCGTGACGCGGATGAGCCGAAGCAGCAGCTCCAGAGCTCCATCTCTGACTTTATCTGTCTCTTCTGCTCATCCTCTCATCCTCCGCGGTATCCTTCGATTTTGCTTCCATTCTATCTCGTTCATCTTCCAGGATCACACTCCCGCCGATCATGGATAAATTGGTCGCACAGTACAGCCGGCCGTCTCACCAGAATGAGTTGTATTCCGAACAAGAACAGCATGATCTCACCGAGAGTCTTCCTCCGATCTCTTTAAAATTCACTCTTCCTCCGGTGGACAATGTGAGATTTCCTATCAGGCAGACGGTCCAAGCGGGTCGATAGCAGGGGTTTTGAAAGGTCGCTTGGGAGAGAGACAATGATGCCTACCGGCCAGCGCCTTGATGGACCGCAACATCATCCCGACCTTCCCCTTCTGTGATGACGACATTGGGCTGACATCGGGGCCTCATGGTCTTTTCTAGTCTCGAGCTTTCCTGCGTGCGATGACCGATGACCATGCAAATCCCAGCTGTCCCATCAAGCTGGCCCACGGAACCACAACGTTGGCTTTCCGTTTCCAGGGCGGAATTGTATGTTTTCTCGGATTCTTGAACGGGCTTTTTCTTTGTTCTAGAATGTATTTTGCTGATAGGTGGGATTATAGATTGTGGCGACGGATTCACGAGCAACAGCTGGAAATTGGATTGCCAGTCAGACTGTGAAGAAGGTCATTCCCGTTTCACGATTGAGTCGTGGTGAGGATAAGCCGACGGATGCTCCGACGCCGGGTCTCTTGGGAACTATGGCTGGTGGTGCTGCGGTATGTATGATATATATATATATTATTCACTACGATTATAATGAGAAAGGTTTGGGAGCGGTACTAACTTGACATTAGGATTGTCAATATTGGCTCAGATACCTGAGTCAGCAGTGCACACTGCATGGCAAGTTCAACAGTCCCTGTGAGCATCAATGTCTCTGGTTTTCTAACACGGGAACAGAAATCCGCCACAAGCGTCGTATCACCGTTGCCGCTGCTTCGAAGATCCTCGCCAACCTGACATACGCCTACAAGGGATATGGTCTGAGTATGGGTACAATGTTGGCCGGCGTATGACAACCCTAAATCATTCCCACTCATCACATATCCGCGGGTAGAATAAAAATCTTACGCTGATGCTCTTCACATACAGATGACACCGCAGGAGGGACCCGCTCTCTACTACATCGACTCGGACGGCACACGACTCGCTGGCAACCTGTTCTGCGTTGGATCCGGCCAGACGTTCGCTTACGGTGTGCTGGACGCCAATTACCGCTACGATCTCAGCGAAGAGGAAGCCCTTGAGCTGGGTCGACGAAGCATCTTGGCCGCCATGCACCGAGACGCTTACTCCGGTGGTTTCATCAATCTGTACCATGTCAAGGAAGAGGGTTGGGTCCACCATGGCTTCAATGATATGAACCCCATCTTCTGGAAGACGAAGTTGGAGAAGGGCGAGTTCTCGAATGTCACGGCGGAACTGTAAAGATTTTTCATGGGTGTTGCTGGTTTATTCCTTATATTAATGCTTTGATTATGTTTTAGGCATCAACACATTCCTCTTCAACTTTGATCTTCTATTTTCTCGCGGAGCAGAAGCAATAGACAACATAAATACGAATAGAATAAGTAGTGGAAACTAAAGTAACAAGGAAATACTATACTATAATAAATACAAAACGACGACAGCCCATGGATACATATCAAAAAATATAATAAAGAACTAAAAATAATCCCCAGTTGCAAAGAACCAGACTTTTTATCCTCAAACTGGCCTCATCTAGTCTTTTCTTTTCTTTCTTTTTGTCCCCCCAAATTTATCAGATCGTGAGGGAATAATGCTTCCAGAGACAACAGAAGAAAGAAAAGTGATACTTATATACGTTAATTATCCACCCAGAACTTCATCCGAATACCCATGGCGGCCAATTCCACATCCAAGAATTTGAGAACCCCTGGGATAGCGACGATAGAGACATTATCACCGCCGACGCGTCTACGGCCATCACCATCTTCCCAGACCGTGGCACGCGAGTCATCGAAGACGGCTTCACGGGCGCATCGTCGGCATCGTACGAGGGTAGGGGCGCTGGAAGATGAGGAGGCCGAGGAGGCGCTCTCACCCAGCAGGGACTGATTGGCGGCGGCCTTGGCGGCGGCAAGAGCGGCGCCTTGGTTGCGGGCTTTGCTGACGGAGGAGACGGCAACCTGGGTGGAGAGGAAGGAGCCGCAGTCGCGACAGATCCAGGAGAGTTGGGAGTCGGAGCAGTTCATGAGACGGTCTTGGAGGAGGAAGGCAGCGCCGTGGGCGATCAGCGAGTCACGTTCCATCTCTCCGACACGGATACCACCACCCTTGGCACGGCCCTTGATGGGTTGGCCGGTGAGTTGGTTCACGGGACCGGTGGTTCGGACCTGGAATTTGTCGTTAACCATGTGACGCAGGCGCTGGTAATGGACGAGGCCGATGAAGATATCCGCGGCGAATTCCTTGCCCGTGATGCCGCTGTACAGGGGCTCGTTGCCATGGTAGTTGTAGCCAGCTTTGCGAAGCTGCTCGCCAAAGTAGTCGGCAGCGGTGTGTTCCTCGGAAAACTGGAAGGGCGTGGAATCCTGTGGGTGGCCATGAAGGGCACCGGCTTTGCCGGCCATCGATTCGATCATCTGGGCGATGGTCATACGGGATGGGAAAGCGTGGGGGTTAATTATCAGGTCCGGTTGGATGCCACTCTCGGAGAATGGCATGTCGACTGCGGGCCAGAGTTGAGAGCAAACACCCTTCTGGCCGTGACGCGAGGAGAACTTGTCACCAATAACTGGCTTTCGGGGAATCCGGTACTTGACACTGATCGACTGACCCGGTTCCACTCCGGTTTCCGCACCCATGATACGGACACTGTCGATGAATCCTTCCTCGCTGTCCTTATATTTGACGAATTGGGTCCGGTCGTCCACGTTCAGATATGAGTCTGACGCAGCATCGTAACGCACGGTATGCCATGCCGCAACGACGCTGCCCTCGCGGACTTTGGCGCCAATGATAGGGAGTCCGTCTTCATCGATGGTCTGACGCCATTCAGCCCGAACCGGGGCTCCCGGCGCGAAGCCAAATAGCTTGGTGATTTCTCGCTTGGACTTGCTTCTCCGTGAATCCTTGTCGTCCAGAGAATGGATCTTGGTCTTGTAGACCGTACCATGACCAAAGCCACGTTCGTGGGAGGACTTGTTGATAATCATAGCGTCGTCCATGTCGTAACCCGTGTACGAGATAATGGCCACAACGGCGTTGGTGCCGTTCGGGAAATTATCTAGCCCATACGCGTTGTAGAGTGGCGGCCGCACAATTGGCGTCTGTCCCGTCTGCAGGCGGTAAAGCTTGTTGTCCGTACGAAACTCGATGGCTGTTCCCGGCGTTCCCATAGTTTGCTTGCTCATCTGGCACTGGTACATATTACGAGGAGACTGGTTGTAATCCGAGAAAGGCGTCATGTTGGCGACAATAGAGAGGATATTGGTGGGTGTGTACTCGATGTGGGTTGACACGCCCGAGATAAGGTCCGATGGCAAGCATGCAATCTCCATGAAAGGCTGCTCGAAGGGGCCCACGTAGTCGAGCTTATCGAGAGGCAGATACTTGACTGGTCTATACATTCGAGCTGATTGGGAGAACATGTAGATACCGGGGTACTGGCCACCGTTGGTGTTAGGAACGTAGCCGATCTCCAATTCCAACGGAATGTTGTGAGTTTCCGTTACTTTCCAATATCTCAGCGTATCGGCAATCACGCGAGCCTGCTTCGGTGAGCAGTATCCGACGATTCGGCCATCCAGCTGGACAGGGACACTCTCCTCCAATGAGACGGACGACTCTGTGCGCACTCCAAGCTGGACCAACAGTCGCGGAATATGCGAGGCGTCCACATTACTAGTCGCAATCAGGCATTTGTGGGCTAGATGATTGAGCAGACCGCAGGGTGATCCATCAGGAGTATGCACCGGACAGAGAAAGCCCCAGCTTTCTGGAAGGAGCTTTCGGACGGTCGTAGTCTTCAACTGAGCAAAGAAACTACCTCTGTGGATCATGCGAAAATGACTGATGAACCGATAGAAGTTAATCTTCTCCGCCATGACCGTGTATCCAGAAGTCTGTTGCAGATCCAGACCAGTAGGACTGACGAGATTGCCTGTGGACAAGAAATACTCCAGCGCACCACCGATATTCTCGTTGCTCCTCTTGACAACCTTGCTCAGGAAGTCTCTCTCGAAAGCTGGGTCGGTGAATTTGGCCCCGTGGTTGCGGTTGGACCAGTCTCTGAGAATAGGTCCGAGCGATCTCACCCATTCCTCCAGTCTCTCCTTTAAGATCATTCCGTAGAGGAAACCGCCAAGGAGGATTTCCTGGTTAGAGACGGCGTCCGGGTTATCAGGGGCACAGTCACCAGCAACTAGGGCATACAGTTTGCGGATCATGTGCATGATCATCTTGAACTTGTCGTAATCCTGGGTCTCGGTGACATTCTGGTTGCCGAGATGAGGAAGGACCACCTTGCGAAGGAACTCCGTGCCAGCGTCCTCGTTGGACATGTCCAGTGGGACCCCGAGGACAGGCTTGAACTTCTCTCCTAGGTATGCGCGACAACTCGAGCGACTGTTCAAGTTGTATCCTTTGTATGTCCGCAGCAACAGTTCCACTCGATCGGTCACGAATGTGTTGTTAATTCCCTCCGAGGAGGTACCACCAACAATTCCTTCGAAGATTTCACGATCGTTTGTTTCCACCAACGCTTTCAGGATCATCATGATCGGAATGAGGAATTCGTTCTTCCGCCAGGAGAAACGGAAAGTCACATTTCCGTCATTGAGATAGTGAAGAACATTCGTCTGTGACGTCTGGTCGGGACGCACCGATCGTATTTGAACACCGTATTTGGTGTATGTGTGACCACGCTTCACAAAGGAACCACGGATGATGGCCATGGGAAAGTTCCTCTTTCCAACAACCAACATTCGGATCAACTTCTCGTTTCCGTTGACGATGAAATAACCTCCCAACTCCTCCGATTCTTCCTTGTGCTGGACGAGTTGTTCAGGCGTTGCCTTTTCCAGATAGCATCGATTGCTCTAGTGAATCGAACCGTTAGCTTATATCGGCGGAGCTCCATATGATATACTCACCCGCAGCATGATGGGAACTTGGCCCAATTCTCGTACAGACTCCACCCAATCCCCATTATTGACCTGATACTCGATCTTCGCGCGTAGCTTTCCACGGTAGGTCGCATGTCTCTCTCTACACTCAGAGGGGTAGATATTGCGGTTGCGCGTAGTGAATTTGTTCGTCGGGGGAATAGCCGCTTTCTCGAGAAAAACTTCTCTGATGCGGACATTGAGTCTATTCCGTTTGGGCGCTTTCCGTCCTTCCGCTTGCCGGGCTCTCTTCTGGTCGGGAGTTTCAATATCTGTATCGATGAATGTTTTGGTTCCGATATCTTTCAAACCGGCCTCCAATACTTTGCTGCCATCGAAAAGCGCATTGAATGAATCAATATGAGGCTTGATAGCATCGGCCAATGCGGGATACGCGGTACGGTCTTTGGGAGGATGCCTGAAAAGATTCTCCCGTCTGAGTACGTCGTAGTTGACCGACCACTTGGTGTCTGTCTTTGCGGGGGCCATGGTGTATTAACAATTATCTTTTCGTCAAAGAAGAGGATAGATACTGTGGTCAAGCACGTTTGGAGGGATGTGAAAAAAAAAAAAAAAAAAAAAAAAAAAAAAAAAAAAAAGGGTTGCTACACCTCTAGACTGTGCAACAAGAAGCACCGTCACCAAGATCGGTGCAATTGATGCACTCAAAATCTCATTCCCTCCTGGCCACGGGGTATATGGGGAGACGGGCAAAGACGACCCAAAGGGAGAGGAATAACTCGCAATGGAGAGTTAAACTCAACCGAGCAACGAAGAAGCCTCTCTCGTCAACTCAACGGGGAAATTTTTTGAGGTGGACCCGGCGGACAGATATCATCACGTGCTGATAGTCTCCCTGTAATTGACATTCATGCCTGAGGCTAATATTATATGACAAGACAGGAGCACATCACGGGACCACGGGACGGAACTCAGAGCCACCTTAGGCAACAAGGCAACCTTGGAAGTTTCCTTAGCGCTTGTTACTTTCGTTCCCCCTCAAAGGGCCTTGAGATAAGGCCATTCAGTCCACCAGAGCAAAGAATAAGCGGCGCAATTAAAGTGATTATCTACTTCCTACGATTTTTTTTTCGCTAACTCGAAATTTGCAAGTCTCGCCCCAGCCATTAGGGAAACCGCAGGTAGCCATCGTAGTTACGGTCATACTACGGAGTAGCATCATACCTTACTCCGTCCAAGTCCAGTCACTGGCAGACCAGTACTAACCTGACAGGGACACGGGCGAACTAAGCGCTCCCCTCTTTGGCGGCGCAAGAGTGAACAGTCATGTGTGCACATAGATAGGAGCAGCAGTTTAGTTTCACCGCAAAGCAGAGTATCAGAACTGGAATTATTACTCCCACGCTCCTCCTATCACCTCCTGAACGGAGAGCCATCGCGGCAGCGGTTGGGCCCTGAGGAATTTAATCCCCCCTCTTCTTCTTTTCAGCTCAGCTGTCTGTCTGTCTGTCGGCTTGGTGCGGCCTCGTTCATCTCCCACGCCCCCAGTCATATATCTCTCCCTCCTATTTTTCCTTCCTTGGACTACACGCATCTTCTGGCCTTTTTTTTTTTTTTCTTTTTTATCGAAATAGTGGGTTTCAGCTCCTTTTCAATCACCCACGCATCTCCCCACCTTACCCTCCAACAGTACATACACCTATTATCCTAGGTCTCTATATATTAGTCCATCGTCATCCGCCACGGCCAAGACAAGACAGGCTTTGCTAATTTGATTCGCCTTCACCGACTTTGTCGCTTTGGCTTCTGCCTCGTCTTTTCCCGTCGCTCTGATAAATTTCTGTTGAGCAGACACACAAGGACCTAGTTGATAACTTGATCCCTAAATATGGCGGGTATATTTCGAACCATCTATGACTGGCTCCTGAGGATGTTCTGGTAAGTGGGCCGCTGTTCCATTAAACGATCACTTTTGCGGCTCCCTCCGCGAATAGTACCCTCCTCCTACCCCGGCCCGTCCCCGCAGAATGGAACCTGCTAAGTGCGGTACCGTGTGTATTGCGACGTAGGGCGACGGAGATGGATGTCACCATGATCGGACTCCAGAATGCAGGGAAATCATCGCTGCTGCGTGTGCTTGCGGTATGCTTCTACCCATTCCCAGTCGACCGATCGAGTGCCTTGTGGAACCTTCATCGCTAATGTGATGGATACGGAGGGAATAGGGAGGCGAGTTTACTGTAGAGTAAGTTCTGGGCACGTAGGACCTAACCTAGTCGAAGGCACTGTCATCCTCTGACTAAATCCCATCGCAGTTCCATACCTACCATCGGGTTCAATACGAAGCGGGTCCAGAAGGGCCATGTGACTTTGAAATGGTTGGTGAAGGCTCACAGCCGACCTCAGTTTGTCTATGGTGTCTCTAACATGAGTCCAGCTGGGATTTAGGGGGCCAGCCACGTTTCCGACCGATGTGGGAGCGATACTGTCGCGGTGTCAATGCAATAGTGTAAGTGTTCTCCAAAGGCTTGATGCTTTCATATGGTTGACATGTAGCCCAGTTATATTGTGGATGCAGCAGACCGCGCTGCCTTACCGGTTGCCACGGACGAGCTGCACGAACTGATGAACAAGCCCTCGCTTGATGGGATCCCTCTTTTGGTTCTTGGGAACAAATCAGACCTCTCGGGTAAATTGTCAGTTGACGAGCTGATCGAGACGATGGACCTGAAGTCTATCACCCATCGCGAAGTGAGCTGCTATGGGATTAGTGTCAAAGAGGAGACCAACCTCGATGCCGTTTTACATTGGCTCATCGCCCGGACCAGCCGATGAGCAATGCGGTGGGAGAAGTCGTAGCAAGAGCTTAGTCTGGAACACTGGCTCTGTTTGCCTTGGCATGTGTCATGTCTGATTTTGAATTTTTTTGTAGAAGAGTTCCAACATTTTGGCCCGCTGCCTCAGACGCATAATGATGTTGACGATGTGAAACCAGACACATTCGATGTGAACGATCTTTTTTTTAATTTATTTTATTTTTGTTTGTGGAATTTATGATGATAACGAAGTCTTCCATTTTTGTATCTTTTTTTTCCTCTTCTTTTTCTCTTCAAAAGTATGTCTTTTTAGGGGACTCAATGATATCCAACACGGAGAAATAATGAACAATCGTGACGTGGTTGGAATAAAATCACCGAGACAAGAGAGAATATCGACCCTGGCAAACGGCTAGGTAGGTAGCAAGTACACCAGGTTTGCCATTCCGTTTGACACTGGTCGCGGTGATAGAAGCAGCGCCAGAGGAGCGGGAAAAAGAAAAGAAACAAAGAAAAAAAGAAAAAAGAGACATGAGAGCGAAAGCAAGTGACGAAGATACAAGATCTTATTTATTAGTTAGCAGAGTTGTTGGAGGAGCAACCCCGGACAGCACACAGACCAACTGATGCGTTGGCATTGCAGATGCGAAGACGGGAACTAATCAAGCCTTCCATACAAATCCAGCAAATCCAAACCCCGCCAACACCACTGGGCAAACTGCAAAGACTCAAGGATAGCATCTTGTGCTCCATCCTGCTCTGTCATAGGCTCGCGCGCGTTTCCGCGTATCGGCTTAGCTGTCCGGATTAGCTGAGTCAAGAAGATGGTTGGTAGGGGGCACTTTTGATGATCCAGAATATGTATCACATTGTTTCTTTGTGCTGGACTAGTCTAATGTCTCGGTAATTTGCATGGGCATAGTTACAGGTATCCTTGTGTATCCACATGAATATGAAACATGGATGTCCAGGGTCCAAGGAAGAGAAGAACGGTGGTTATCTCAGTGTTCTGCTGCTGTTGCAAGCTGAGAGTTACCTGGGGTGGGGGTTCAAGAGGTATTGCCATCTCAACTGCATAATAGAAGGTGGCAATCTACGGAGTACATAAGAGTATTACACTGATTAGGGCTGGTGGTTCATTTGACAAAGTCCCTAGAGAGGAGTTTAGTATCTTTTTTCCCCTTTCTTTCTTTACTCGGTGGATTTTATGTGCCTAGCAATGCGGAGTATATGCCGATAAGCCGAAACATAGGTACTTCCATGGATCGGCTCAGATCGGTAGTTCCAGTTCAGAAAGGGGGGGAAAAAAATGAAAGAAAGAAAGAAAGAAACAAAAGGCGCCCACCAAACCACTAGTTACTATTCAATGTTTAGTATCCCAGTTGCACAGACAACGCTGCCAGTGTGGGACCTTGGATAGCAAGGCAGATGGACTATTTATGCATGCAGGTATGTCAGTGCACTGTCGGACGTTGATGCGCGGTGGCTTGGATGAATACGTATGAAGAGAGTGGGGATGGGTACGTCAAAAGCATAAGCAGGCTTTTGGTCTGAATATAAATAGCAGGGGTTCTACTCCGTACGGAGTACATAGGTTGAGATTATTGAGAGGCAATTGCAGACCTACATATACCTATATACCTTGGTCTTGGGTGAGGTATTATTTTTATTTTACTTTTTACTTGCTTTCTCCAGGGTACTTACGGAGTACCTGTTTTTTCCTCAAAAAAGGAGGGTTAAACAGTTTACCCCAGACTGGAATCGACTAGTCTCTTCTCTCATCCAGTCATCCTCTCGGTTGCCTCTCGTCAAGCGTTCCTGGAACGGATTTGGCGGCCTAAGGTTGCCAAGCACCCAGCCATCCCCTTCAGCCACAGACCTATTGTCCAATAGCCAATCGCCCCAAAATTACCCGTGCAATTCCTCGCTTTGCTGCTGCCTTCAGACTCCCCAGAAGGACTTCATTGCCCTTTTTCTTTCCCTTGCATCACTCTTCCTTCGACCCTTTCTCTTTTATCGAAAGACCTTTGATCTTCTGTAGTATTATTTTACTCGCGTCCCTGATCTTGTTGATCATCTATCTCACCGGTCGGTGTCTATATCACTAGTTTTATCGCTCTGCGTGCCCGTTTGATCGACGTCATTGTTTGCCCTACGCCTCGGAGAGAGGCCTTCACGAACCATCATGATTCTTCGTCGCTACTGGTAAGTCTAGCCTCGACTCCTGACCGCTCTTGGATCCAATTTTTGGCAATTGAAAAAGGTGACTGACCTTCTACTCCTAGTGAATCCCATGGCGACATACAATACTGCGATGGCAGCGCCTGGTGGGACTGGGGACGCTGGGTGGCCTTTGCTGTAATCGTTGGTTGTGCTTTCATCATATTTTTCCTATTTGCGTATGTACTGCCCGTTATTTGTGGAATCAATGACTCTAACGATCTACTAGATGCAGCAACGCTCGCCGACGTCGCAGGCAAGGCCTTCGTCCTCACCCTGGTACCGCCTGGCTTGCAGGCCCTCCTCCAGCCTACCAACAGCACCCACAGGCCTATGGCGATCCATACTACCAGCAACCACCGCCGCCTCAATATACAGCTCAACCGCAAACCTATGGATATTTCGGAGGACAGCAAACTGGAATTGAGCTACAGTCGCCACCTAATGCGTATCACAATGGCCCCGGTCCCTACCAGCCGCCATCGGGTCCTCCAGGCGCTAAGGTGTAAATGCTGAGAGTATTAATTGCTGGAGGAAACGTCACGCTTGAATATCATTTATGTAGCATTTTTGCATCTGGCAGCCTTTTGTTTGTGTTTTTCTTTCTTTTTTTTCACCATAGTTACCCTGGCGTTTGACCTATCATTAGAATATCTCACACACGCTCTTTTCTTCTATGGCTGACGTGAAGAGTGACAGCAGGAAGCATGCCTGATGGTCTATGAGTTTCTTTATTACTATATGCTTTTTACATTTTTAATGACTTGATCAAAGAACGCTTGGGATGCTTAAGAAGGTGGCCGCAGTATTTGTCCAGGAACATATGGCATTTCTCTCCTTTAACGTTGGAAACAATGGGCACCACAGATTATTCTGAGTTGATGTTATGTGAAATTTCCTAGTTATATCTTAGTGCTATGTCAGTCGTTAGAACTTGCAACATGTCACTTTTCGGCCGCTGAAATTGCCGCCTCGTGGCCTCTTTACTTGTGCATCTAGAGAGAACCTGCCTGGCATGTCGAGATGATATAGTGGTAGACATGCTGAACTTATGCCGTTCCCATGGAAGTTGAGATGGACACTGACTGACTGCCAATAAGAACAGAAACTGGTCCAACCCAACATGAGAGACGTGCCTGAGATCGACGGGTCCCAGTGGAGAAGTATGGGGGGCTTGGCTTGCAGACTTGGCGGAAGAGAATGCATTTTAGGAGGAGGGGGGAATAATTCGTATTAATTAGTCCTCCATCGGATGGGATGCCTTCTTGATCCTTGTCTTCTTGTCCACTTTCTGTCCTCTTTTTTTCTTTTCTTTCTTTCTTTGTTTCTTTTCTTTTTTTTTTTTTTGCTGCCTTCATTCCCATTCATACTCCATCAGGCCCTCTTTATTAATTCATCTGCCTTCCTTACTCCCGGTGAGAATCTACTTCCACGCCGCCTGCAGATTTACTGGTCTGGAGAATCTTCCCCTGGAGGCGGTGCAAACTCACCACCACATTTCGTTGCTATTTTCTTTTCGAGTCTTTCCTTAGTTGTTCTCATCCTATAATCCTCATAGTTCTTTAATACTTTCTTTCGCTCTCTCTCTTTCATCCTCTCACATCGACCTTGGTCGCAAACCGAGTCACTCACTTGACGCTTTCGCAAGACGATCTCATACACAAGCGCTGGGTCTAAATTATCTCGTTGCCTTACTCCGTTTACCCATAAAATTTCATAACATCCTGGACGAACTGATTTGGATTCGAAACTCGTTCTTGCTTTTGACTCGTGTGGTGCATCCTTACACTGAGTTCCAAGGAATACGAGCTGGTGTCTGCACGCCTACCCAGTTAGATACAACGAAATAATCGTATTGGGAAATACAGTGGCAGTGGGGCTTGCGAATCTCACACATTCCCCGATTCTCCGCCAAAATGAGTCCGGTGGATACAAACCCCGTAACGCCCTTCCCGATATGGGTAAGGGATATAGGGAGTGAACTGAAGTCCGCTCCCCAGACCTTATCGAGCTGGGACAACTGTATGGCCAAATCCTATTGCAAGTATGTTACCTGGTTTCTTGTCTCCTCCGTTATCTCCTCCCTGGATATCGACTGACTGGAACGGTACAGGTGGCCTGTTATCGCCGCGATTATTGTCGGGGCTCTTATCGTCATTTCAATCATCGCCTGTGTGGTTAATTGTATATGTTGCGGGTATCGATGCTGTACAGGATGTTGCTGTTCATGCTGCTGCCCGTCTCCTCGAAACAAGGACCGTGGGCCAAAGTACCAGGATGATCCGTACACTCAACCCCTTCATCAGCCATATAATCAGCCGTACAACTACCCTCCTCCAATGCAGCCTCCCGTCAACGATGCCTACAAAACGACTCCTGCCCCGCCTGTGTATCGTGGTGCGCAGGTAGCGCACTTCGATTCTCCATCGAACCATAGCGCTGGGAAATACAACGAAGATGCATTGCCTGCCATGCCCAGCTGGGACAATGCTGTGACCAGGAGGGTCGAGGATACCGACCACCACCAGGATGCGATGGAAATGGAGCCATTGAACCCTTCGAATCAAGCTACTCACCGAACACCATCGGCTTCCCGACCGAACGGAGGTGGCTACAACGGGGTTGGTTACCATGGGGGTGATTACAATGACAGTGGACATGCTGAGGGTGGTTATGATGGAGCTGGCTACGCAGCAGTTCCTCCGGCCAGAACGGGCACTCCTTCCGGCTTGCACGCCGAACCTCGGGCGCACGGGTATGCTTCTCCATCTCCAGTCGTGGGATCATCCTCGCCCATTCACCAGTATGATCAACCATACAATGACTATTCTCACGGAAACTCTTGGAATCAAACACCCTCTGTGTCGGCGCCCTATGCTACTCAACCGCAGTATATGTCCACGGGTCCCGCTGTATCTGTGGATCGCCCCATCCCATATCGTCAACCATCTCCAGGCTTCAACAAAACGCCCGTTTATAGGGGGATGTCTCCAAGTATTCCTAGCACACCACCTCCGCCATTTACATCTACCGCTGCTCCTTATGAAATGACTGCCGACGCGGGCCGGCCCCCGAGTCTACTTCAGAGTGGAAGAAAACCGGCTCCTAACTCTTACAGAGATGTATAAAGGGACTATTTGCTGAGTGACAAAATTCTCTATAATTTCAGCGGAATTTCTTCTTTTTCACATTCTTATTGTCAATTATTATATATTTTTTTTTTTTTTGCCGACTTGATGTTCTTTACTTTTTCTTTGGTTACTTGACAGGCTCAGATGATCTGTATGCATATTGAACATAACGGTTGGTTCTCGAATCATGGAGTGCTGGTTCTATGCGGATTGACGATGATGCTAGCTTAGTGTTTTACATGAGCAAACTTTGGACATACTGTACATATTGGGTGTTGGTATTTACTTTGGAAATGCGACGTTAAATTGACTGAAGATGCGGGACGAATGTTTTGGATTTATCCCATCGACACTCCTAAGAAGGCATGATTTTATTGAGTAACTGGTGATCCTCTATACATATATCTCAAGAGGATCATGTATGGCAGAGGCTGGTCAGCCAGAGAATACCTTGTTATGCCACTCGAAGAAACGATGCAGCAAACACTTGATCATCCAGAACACCATAATGTACACCGCAAGCATGCTTTTCCCCGTTGCATCCAAAAACCAGCTCTAATTCCCCATACACTACATGAATATACATACAAGTCTCTGACAACCAACCAATGAGCGAGTATACACAGTTTCCTACCCCTCCAAAGTAAAATCAAAGTCCTTAAATGACTCCTTAAAAGCCACCGCATCGGCTTCCTCCTGTTCCTGCGACTGCACATCATTCTTCCAATTAATGCGACGCTCCAGCTCCATCAATTTCGCCATCACCCTGCGCCCAAACTGGAGATCGAAGCGGAAAGCCACATCCAAAGGCAGGAGGAGAGTTTTCTCGGATCCAACCCAGCCCTTCTCACCAAATCCTTCCTCTTCCTGATTCTTCTCCGCTGGTGGATCCCAGATCCAGACGCGGAAGAAATCGCCCGGTTCGCTACTGGGATCCCCTGCACCGGTGGACTCGAATTTGGGGTATTTCAGATTCTCCGCTTCGACTCTGAATGCGGCATCGACGAGGCCGCGTCTGATCAGGTCCGACGGCACCGGGAGGAATTGCCAGTGGATGTGGATTCCATTGCCGCGACTGACTTCCCAGGTGATGGCGCCAAGGGTGCCGTTGGCGCGATGCTGGAGCATGGAGTGCAGGGCCGTTCGGTATCGCTGCATTTCATTGTAGGTGGAGAGACGGGATTCCGCGTCGGAGATGCTGTTGAGAGTGGGAGAGTGGGTGAATGGGATGATGAGCATGTGGCCGGGGAAGTTGAGGGAGGGGAAAGTCTCGGATGTAGGGAGGGGGCCCTTTGCGGTGGTTAGGTAGCTTTCGTTGCCGATGGAGGTGATGAGGTGAGTGGCGATGTTGGGGTTGGATAGGCAGAAGAAGCATTGATCTGGACCTGGGGGAGGACCGCGGGCACGCTTGCGTGAGCGCTGGTGATGATGGTCGTCACTGTCGACGGCAAAGCGGTGATAGGACTCCCGTTGGCTGGAGAAGGGTTTCCTCTTGGTTTGGGGAAAAGGTAAAGGAGACGCCGTGGCGCCGACGGGTAAAGTCAATGGTAATGGGGCTTTGGGATCGAGGGTGAATGCATACATCCACTTCTGCTTGGAGGAGTTGTTGTATGGTGCTAGGCTGATGAAGCGGGTTAGAGGTTTGGCGTCTGGGTTGTCTTCTGACGGTAGGTGGAAGAAGGGTTCACGCTCGTAGAAGAATCCGCTGGAGGTGGTGAGGTGGTAGCGAGGTTGGAGGGTTGAGCAGAGATCGGCGATGCATTGGGCTTCCTGAGGGGCTGTTTCATTGTCTGGTAATGCGACTTTCGAGCCGGTGCGGATCCCCTTGGGCCATTGATGGGTGATAAGGATATCGGCATTGTGGGCACCGTGGAGGGCTCGGGCATCTGACTCGGTGTAGATGGGGTGATATTTGTCCGTCGATTTGGCATCGGACTCTAGGACACCACCGAGGGCAACGAGTCGGATGCCTTCTGCTGTCTTGAGAGTACCGCGTCTGCCTAGGAAGTACAGATTGGGACAGACTTCGTCGTGAGCCTCAATCCTCTCTATCACCCTGGTGGGAAAGGGTCGACTGCCCAACCCAAAATAGGTTGGCAGTGGGACGCTGATATTCCCTTTCAGCAGGGCCGACACTTCATCGAGTTCATGCTCGGTGGAACAGTTGCCAAAGAGGTCCCCAACAATGATGGCGAATGCGAAACCCTGTCTGACATGAAGCTTGGCAAGTTTCGTGAACACTTCGCGTAGTTCGCAGTTCACATCACCAATCACAACTCTGGATAGTAGGTCAGAAGATGGGTTGTGTATACTCATAGGGATCTGTCTGCACTCACATTTTCGATGCCATGATTCAACGGGACCCGCGATGTCAAGTCGAGGTCGCAAGGCTTCGCCATTGTCCATTTTCACCCAAAACGGCGGAGCTTGGGCCAACATTAATTTCCACGTGATAGCCTCATCTGGTTAGTGTGATTCTGCAAAGGCCGCTAATCTCCGCGTCGGAACAAAGTTGAGCCGATGAATTTTTTTGTTAGACAATATCAGGCCTCGAGCTTCTTCACGGCCTACGATTTGGACGACTATCCAACGGCGCTGCTTTACTGTGTCACCGTCTTGCTTCACGATGGTAGCAGCGTCGTCTGCTTCGCGGACCAAGTCCGTGAAGCGCGTGAAGAAGGGAACAGAGACCACCAAGTCGCATCGATTTGAGCCGTTTTCGCAGCGTGTCGCAAAGCTGAAAATTGACCCCATTCATCGTGTGCGACAGCCGGACTTTGGTGAAGAAGATGACGAGACTTCGTCCTATTTTCGGTCCGCGTTTGAGCACTGGGCTGAGCTGAATTTATCGGAAAATTTCGTGCAGTTTTCCCGCCGAGTCAATCCGTTGTGCGAGAGTCTCGCCCAGATCTTGTACTATGAGGATAAAATAATGGGGCTGTTGGTAGAGTTTATCGAGAAGCGAGACCAGCTGTCCATGGAGCCGTTGCTGAGTCTTCTCGCCCAGTTCGCGAGGGACCTGGGTGTACGGTTCGAGAAGCACTTTGCTACCGCGGTGAGTCTGGTAGCGTCTGTGGCTGCTACTCACCCTCAAGTGGAGGTGGTTGAATGGAGCTTCACATGTCTGGCATGGATTTTCAAGTTTCTTTCGCGTCTTCTCGTTCCGGATTTGAGACAGCTGTTGGGGATCATGACCCCGTACCTGGGAAAAGAACGACAGAAGCCATTTGTCGCCCGATTCGCCGCCGAGTCAATGTCCTTCCTTATTCGAAAGGCAGGCTTGCTATACTACAAAAATAATACGCCTCTTACACGTGCGGTGTCGTTCCTGCTCCATGATTTGCGACAGGCCGAGGCGGAGTCGAAGAACGTGGAAATCTACAAGGAAGGACTCATGACTATGTTTTCTGATGCCATCAAAGGCGTAAAGGGTGGAATCCACTCGAATGGAACCGATATTCTCGGCTGCTTTTTGGACAACCTAGATACAGACGATGATGTGGAGAGCAGTTTGGGCTTGCAAGTCGCCAGCGGGATTTTGATCAACCTCATCCATTGTACAACCGTCGATACATTTGAACCGATACTGGACACAGTCATATCGTATATCGAAAGCAACTGCCAGGGAGCTGGGAAGAACCATGCGAATTCATGTTGTCGCTTAATATTCCTATGTGTTTCAGCCCGTAAAGGATCGCGAGTAAAGAACTGGAAGCCCGTTCTTCAGGCTCTGCTTCTTCTCCTTCAGTCAGTATCCGCGGCGCCTGGTGCGTATACAGAGGCTGTACCCCAGCTCCTTACTGCCGTGGCATATACACTGCAGCTCGCTCCCATGGATGAAATGCTACCATTTATGCGCTCAATCATGGAAACTGTCACTAGTGACCAGCTCTCCAATCACTTCTTATCATTCTGCGCTACATTCTCCGAGTGGGGTGCAGAGAGGTTCCATAGTGTTGTCCTGCCTTATTTTCAAAAGTATACCTCTGCTCTGGCCCCTACCTCCTTGTACTTCATTCTAATGTGTTGGTTTCTAGGTTCGTCAATGTTTCATGGCAGGAGTACGAATATGAGCTTTGCTTGGCCTTGCTTCGTCTGAGCCAAACCGGTTGCATAACATCTGAAGTTTCCAAGCCTGGCTATATCATTTGCCCGGTCACTTGGAAGGATCGGATAAAGGATATGCTGAGCAATAACAAGCCTAGTGTTGCTGATGTGACCCTCCTCAACGCATATTCGCAGCTTCCCAGGGCCATGTCGTTGTCCACTGAGCCTTCTCTTCTATCCGACATGAGTCTGATCTTCCACGATCAGCTAGCTCGTATTCTGAAGAGCAACGATTTGGAATTGTCTCCTGAGACCAAATTTTTCATTGGGCAAGGCTTCAAGTCTTATGTTGAGTTGGCAACACTCCAGGGAGGGGTTGATACTGGGCTTTGGGACCGCATCAGCGTGGTCGCAGCCAAGTACTCACGTCTTGATGTTTTCCTCGAGGCAACACTAGCCTACGTCTCTGCTTGTTCTGAGCGACTTGATCTCCAAAAGCCCTCGCTGGAAGAGCTTGCTGATGTCCTTATTACTAATCTTGCTGGCCCATCCCACCAGCTAAGGCTGTTGTCCTTGAAAATATTGCGAGTCATAGTCGATGCTTCAGGTGACGATTCTTCTCTGATCTCAGTGGCCATTGAAATCGAGGAGAGTCCCTTGACTCTGCAGTCTGCCAGATATCTGGCTATGCAAGTGCGGAAACTTGCGATATCATATCCCCAAGTTGTTTCACGCAGATGGATGCCTCGGCTGATACCCAATTTCTGCTTCGGACTGTTTTCGAAGAAGATGGCTCCCTTGTGGGATGACTCTGCTGCTGCTTTAAAATCAGTCAGCGAGCAACCAGAGGGGGAGATAATTGTCTCGGATTTAGCGATCCAGTGGCTCCAAGAAAAGGGGTCTCTCCTATCAGCGGGGGACTCGGACGGCGATGATAACATGGACACCTATGTGACAGGAGACTTCCAGTGTTATAATGCCGCCAGGGCCGAAAGTCTCTGCGCGAAAAACTTCGAAGACTCTGAGCAACCTGCATCAGCCTTGATGCAGGATTTTGAGAAAATTCATAGCTTCTCTGAAGTCATCCCTGCTTCTCCTCAGACACACGCGTTGCGTGTCCTCAATGCGATACCAAACATAGCAGAAAAGCGATCCCGCCAAGTCGTTCCTTTGTTCCTGTCCTGGGCATTGCACGATGATGAAGATGCTCCCTCTGGCGCTGCTGAGAAGTCAGCAGAGTCTGGCCCGTCCTTTACCTGGGGATTTCATGATCGATTGGCTTTCCTAGGCCTTCTCGGTCAGTTTGTCAATCCCAAAGTTTTGTTCAAAGCGCCCGAGGTTCACGATGCGCTTCTTGGATTACTTTGCCATGGAAATTCTGAAATCCAAAAGTTGGCCCTCAAAGCCCTATTCACTTGGAAGTCTTCTAGCATCTCTCCATACAGGGAGAACCTCCTAAACATTCTAGACGAATCGCGGTTCAAGGATGAACTGTCCGTTTTTGTCCAAGCCGGTGGAGAGGATAGCCTCATCGACGAAGGACATAGGGGAGAGCTTATTCCCGTCCTCCTTCGACTGCTTTATGGTAGGATGATCTCAAAGGCTGGTGCGAGTGCGACCCAGGCAGGGCAATCGGGACGTCGGAAGGCCATTTTAAGAACTCTGGCACAGTTGCCTGATCGAGAGTTCGAATTTTTCATGCGGATATCTTTCGGCCCCCTTGGGGATGTCCACTTGGTTCAAAATGGTGAGATTGACAAGTACGCATTTTCGCGTGAACTTGCTAGCCCCAAGAAGCAGGCTGGTTTGTTAAAGACGATTGAGACTGTCTTTGAAGCTCTTCAAAGCCGGGTAGCGCCTTATGCGTCACAGTCCATGGATGTCGTTCTCTACTGCCTTGTTCTTGCATGTCGTGAGTTAGGAAAAGAGCAAACGGCGGACGCGGTAGAATCACAAGAAGGACGTCTTTTAGCAGTATTGCGCAACATTCGGCACTTGTGTATTAGGTGCCTCGACCTTATATTCTCTATCTCGCCGGACCGAGATTGGGCACCCTATGTCCGTGTTATCTTTGACGAAGTCATTACCCCGAGGCTCGAAAATTTCGCCACGGAGACTGCCCAAGGAGTGTCTGGGCTTCTCAAGTTGTTCCATGTCTGGGCTTCTTCTCCTAGATCTTCGTTCTATCTTGCTCAGTACAACAATACGCTCCTGGATAAAATTGTGGACTGCCTTGGCGTGGAATCCGCCCGCGACGAAGTTAAAATTTTCGTCATGGATGATATTCTGACGCCGCTGATTGAACTTGCCACTGGAAGGGAGCTCGAAGAGAAGGAGAAGATGAGTGATTTTGCTGCTGGTGAAATCCAGTCAGCGGTTCTTGTACCTTATATAGAACATACCCTTTCTCATCTCGGAGCTCTTCTGAAGCGAGGTCCTTCCCGACCTGTGTTGAACTCTGGGGTTCAAACCCTTTCTCTGCTCGCTCCTTGTGTGGAATCGTCTGGAGAAACGTCACGCTTGATCAGTATAACCACTTACCTTCTTCGCCAGCCTCCAGATCGAGTATCACCGAAAACGAAATCTGGCCTTTTACGCAGCTTGGAGCACTTTCTGCCCTTGTACGATCCGCAGGAGGACATAAATCTTTCCCGAGAGGTATTCGAAGCGATCTCTTCTATGTTCGATTACTTCAAGGATGATACGAACCGGGAAGTCTTATCCAGAGTCTTCACGGCCTTTTCAAAGCGCGATTCCGAGCTCACCGAAGTCGCCAATCTTTGCGAAGACCTAAATTCCGTGTCGAGGAAGAAACTGGAGGTGGATTATGAGCGTCGACTGCAAGGGTTTAGAAAAATCAACGAGTGCCTTTGGAACACATTTAACGCCAGGCAGTGGCGGCCCCTACTCTATAACATGCTGTATCATGTCAAAGACGAAGAGGAGCTGGCAATCAGATCGAGTTCCTCCTTTGGGCTGAAACGGTTCATAGAGAGAGCCGCTGCTGAGAGCGATAATGTAGATGAGTTCGAGCTTCTGGTCAAGGATGTTTTGATCCCTGCTTTGCAGAACGGAGTTCGACAAAAGTCAGAGCTTATTCGCTCAGAGTTTGTCTCAGCTCTTGGATACTTCGTTAAGTTGAATCCGAACAGACCCGCTGTGCAAGATATGCATGTTTTGCTTGTTGGAGATGATGAAGAGGCATCCTTCTTCAATAATATCCTCCATATTCAACAGCATCGCCGCCTCCGGGCCCTCCGCCGCCTTGCAAGCGAGGCAGGGAAAGGCAACCTTCAGGCCTCCAATATTAGCACTGTATTCATTCCTCTCAATGAACATTTTGTGTTTGATGAGGAGGCAGACGAGGGCGCCCACAATCTAATAGCAGAAGCCGTGGCAACAATCGGTGTTCTGGCTGAATCGCTGGATTGGAGCCAATTCAGGGCCATTTTCCGCAGGTATCGTGGCTACATGCATAGCAAGTCTGATATGGAGAAGAACATTTTAAGGCTCTTGGGAAGAATGTCCGACGCTTTGACGACTGCCATGAGCCAGAAAGGCATATCGCAAGAAGCAACTGGGGGTGAAACGGACGGTGTCGAGAGTACGACATCTTCGAAATGTACTCTTGCTCAGTCATTACCGTCTGCGACCAAGGTTGCAACGGAATTGACCACAAACTTCATACCTTTCCTGACTGACTTCATTCACCACAAAGATGAAGCGCAGATGAGTCTGCGTTTACCAGCGGCGGTGACCACCATCAAATTGCTGAAGCTTCTGCCAGAGGCAGATATGGCTACCCGCCTACCCCCGGTTCTATTGGATGTCTGCAGCACCCTCAAGAGTAAAGCACAAGATTCCCGAGACACAGCGAGGAAAACAATCAACGAAATCGCTCTCCTCCTGGGCCCTATTTACTTCGCATATATCCTCAAAGAACTTAAGAGTACACTGACGAAAGGCTACCAACGCCACGTTCTCTCGTTCACCGTTCATTCCATGCTCGTGGTGACGACAGATGAATTTAAACAAGGTGACTTGGATTACTGTTTGGGAGATCTCAGTGGTGTTGTGATGGATGATATTTTTGGTACCGTAGGTCAGGAAAAGGATGCAGAAGAATATGTGAGCAAGATGAAGGAGGTCAAGAGCAGCAAGAGTTATGACTCCATGGAGCTCCTTGCAAAGAATGCCTCTGTTCAGAACCTGGCCCGCATGATTCGACCTCTACAGTCACTTCTCCGGGAAAGGCTGAACTCTAACATTGTCAGAAAGGTCGACGAGCTTTTACGCAGAATTGGAGTGGGTCTTTTAAGGAATCCCGGGGCCGAAAGCCGCGACCTTCTGGTCTTCTGCTATGAAGTTATTAAGGAGTCGTATCGCGAACCAGTGCACAGTGAGAAGCAACGGGAGGTATCTGTTGCAGAAGAGCGATTCCTAGTGAAATTCCGGAAAAGGGACGAGAAACGCGGTTCTACTTCTTCGTATACCTACAAGTTGACTCGATTTGCTTTGGATGTTCTGCGCTCAGTACTCAATAAATTTGACACCCTCCTCACACCGGCTAATCTGGCAGGGTTCATTCCGGTCATTGGTGATGCATTAGTACAGGCACATGAAGAAGTGAAGGTTTCGGCTCTTCGACTATTGTCGACAATGATCAAACTGCCTCTAGCCGACCTCGACAACAACTCTCATGTTTATCTCACTGAAGCTGTGAAAGTAATCAAGGAGGCTCCAAGCACGAATACGGAAGCTGCCCAGGCATCCCTGAAGCTGATTGCAGCCATGTTACGAGAAAGAAAGAGCACTAACCTCAGGGATGGCCACCTTGCCTATCTCCTACAACGTCTCACGGCCGACATAGAGGAGCCAGATCGACAAGGTGTGACGTTCAATTTTATCCGAGCCGTCATGTCTCGCAAGTTTGTGGTGCCCGAGATGTACGAGTTGGTAGACCATATTGCCACCATGATGGTCACAAACCAGACTCGCTCTGCGCGTGATCTGGCACGAGGTGTTTACATCCATTTCCTCGTCGAGTTCCCCCAGGCTAAAAGCCGGTGGACGAAGCAACTCAGTTTCTTGGCCAAGAACCTCGAATACAAACATCCGGAAGGTCGTCAGTCAGTTATGGAAGCGATCAACTTGCTGTTGTCAAAGACGGGGCACGAGCTAGCTCAAGACATTGTTGGCACTTTCTTCTTGCCGGTTGTCATTGTTATGGCGAATGATGACACGCCCGAGTGTCGCGAAATGGCAGGTGTCTTACTGGGACAATTCTACACTAGGGCAGACAGAGAACAAATGAAGACCATTCTCACGCCCCTGCGGTCGTGGCTCGAGCAAACGGACAACATGCTCTTGAGCAGCGCTGGACTGCAGGCTATGAGAATATACTTTGAGGCGGAAGAGACAGAGAAGGAAAAAGAAGCCCGCTTCATCACGGAGATTCTGCCATCCGTTATGCAACCCGTCCTTGAGGATGACGACTCTGAAAATTGGCAGACACTTTATTTCGCGCTACAACTTTTTGCCAAGCTCAGCAAGGCCGTGCCTTCGATTGCGCTGAGCAAACAGTGTACTACGATCTGGGCGGCCATCCGCGAGTGTCTTTTCTATCCCCATGCTTGGGTCAAGACTTGTGCCGCAAATCTTGTTGGCACCTGGCTTGCGGATCTCGCCAAATCAAATGCAGAAAATAGCTACAGTGCTCTTCCCCTGGCTGGTGCTACTGGGTTGATGCTTGAGAAAGATGCAATGATACATCTGATCCGGGCCAGTTTACGTTGTCTTCGTACTCCCGCCGTCAGCGAGGAGCTTGCCATGCAAAGCGTGCGCAACATTATATTCCTCGCCCGGTGCTGTGCCCAGAACGGACTTGTGCTGTCCAAATCAGGGGGCAAGGAAGCCGAATCAGATGCCAGCGATAGTGACGATGATGCCGATGAAGAAGAGAAGGCAAAGGGAGAACAGCCCGTTCTCCACTACATCTTCGTCCAGGTGTCGTCCATACTGCGCCGGGAAATCATTTCCACTCGGCAGGAATGTCTGATCCCCAAGACTGTCTCCATTGGGCTTTTGGCTGCACTCTGCCGGCATCTTGACTCAGATCAGATCCGTCAATCTCTGTCAGTAATACTGGTGCCTCTTCAGCATATGACTGATTCCTCAATCCCAGCACCTCGTTCATCCGACGAGGGCTTCCGCAATTCGTACAAGGCGCTTGTGTCCAACTGTCACGAGGTTCTTGACCTCATCCAGAAGAAGCTGGGAACCACAGAATATGTGAATCAAATGTCCCATGTGCAAGAGTTGATCAAGGAGCGACGCGAGGGACGACGAGTCAAGAGACGCATCGAAGCCGTGACTGAGCCCGAGAGATATGAACGCGAGAAGAAGCGGAGGAACGATCGCAAGCGTGACAAGAGAAAGGAGAAGGGAATGGAGCATCGAGCGCGAAGAAGGGGCTGGTAAGAGCTCCCCCGAGTTCAATTGATTGCATTTGGCGACCTGTTTGATTTTGAATCTATAAAAAAAAGTCCGGAGTTTGGAGATCAGGAATAAAGTTAGCATTTATAGTACAGAGAATACAGCTACATATTTCCTTCTATTTTCCTCCTGCTTTTCTCTTCTATTCAAAAGTATATAAAAGATGTCATCGGAGCAGAGTGTAGATAATGTCGCCAAGGTATCTATGATAAAACCAACCTAATAACGCCATCGTTTAAGTTCATGGTAATCACCATTTTGCTTCCTAAATGAAAATACCAGTGGTAGAAAAAACTAGCCTTCTCGTGAAAATATCCACCATTGCGCTTCAGCAAACATTGATAACGAGGCCACAACGACTGTGTTAATCTGATTTGGCCTCATCACCAGTCTTCTTGTACGCCGTACCATCATCCCAGAACTCCATATCTCCATCTACGTAGCCCCGGGTCACTTTATCACCCTGTTTGGCCAGGATATCCTCCAACTTCTTCTTCTCATCGAAGAAAATATTGAGATGATCACTGATGACATGCCGGTTCAAGCAGGACGGACAACGGATCAGGACCGTACCACGATGATACCCGTGCTTGGACATTCGATGAGAAGAGCGATGGCCACAGGGCTTGCAGGTGAAAGTGATCTGGTATGCCGGTTCTTCTTGCCGGCGCTTTCTGTTCTGCTCCTCGAGCTCCGCATCCGTGGCATCATCTGAGGTGCGATCTGTGAGAGGAGATTTGGCATAACGGATGGTAGATGTAGACAGAGACACTCCTCGTGGGATCCAGGAGGATGCCAGCGATGGTCGGCGAGAACGGTGGGCCAACTGGGAGAAGGATCGTGAAGCGGGGTGAGAGATGGCCATGCGAGGGAGAGAGTACTGGAGGGCGTGAAGGCCCTGGAACAGCGACATGGAGGAACGCATTTTGGAGATATTAATTAATTAAATAAAGGATGACCGTAGTTGTTCATGGATGATCGAAAAGTGACGATGACGGAGTTTGGTCGGAGATGCGCCGGATTTACATTGTTCCAGCTCGCTGGCCTCCGCGGCATCAATGGAAGCTTCATCCCCTCCCCATGTTGTTGGGCATGTCTCAAATACGAAGAGTTGCTGCTCTCGCTGGTACCCCCTGATAGGAGATCTCCACAATACTGTGAATGACTGAATTCTATCTCTGCCGGCGCTGTTTATAGGCCCTAGTCGTCGATTTACCCCCAACACTCTCTCTCTGTGTGCAGGTGGATGGCACGCCACCGCTGATTTTACAAGATGGCTATGAGAGCAAGGCAAAAGATTCGTGCCCCCCGGAGGGTATGTTTCTTTCCTTTTTTTTATACTTCATTGTTGGGCCCATTGATTCTCACAAGAGGGTTTCCCTGACAAGCCCCCATGCAACACCTCGTGAATCTGAATCACATTGGTTCAGAAAGCTTATATGTGAGCTAACTAGATATTCATAGGGTTTAACCTCCAATAAAGCAGATGAATTTGAATCGTACTGGAATGACCTGTCAGGGTCTTTGAAAAAGATCCACACCAAAAACGCCTCCACTATTTCGTTCGAACAACTATACCGGAATAGCTACAACATCGTACTGATGATGCGCGGGAACGATCTGTACGATCGAGTGAAACAGCTAGAACAGGAGTGGCTGAATACCGAGGTTCAGAATCGAGTGACAGAGGCGATTACTTCTCCTAGTCTGCTGCTAGCGAAGGAGGTTACCAATGTGCAAGATCAAGCGAATGAGAGAAGAGAGGCAGGAGAAAAGTTCTTGAAGGTCCTAAGGGAGGTGTGGGAAGATCATCAGCTATGTATGAGCATGATCACAGACGTTCTCATGTATATGGTATGTCCAGACGCACAACTCCACGTTGTCCAGGATTCATGTGGGCTGACGGTTTGGGGTTTGTTGTAGGATCGGGTAGTCTCGACAGACACTAAAAAGCCGTCGATCTATGTTGCAGCCATGGCCTTGTTTCGCGACTCTGTATTACGAGCGTCTATCCCTGATGGAGAGGCAACAGTTGTTAGTGTTCTAGAGTCCACGGTGCTCTTCATGATCGACATGGAACGATCGGGGCATATTATCGACCGGACTTTGATTCGGCATTGCATTTACATGCTCGAGGGTCTTTACGAAACTATAACGGAGGAGGAGTCATCAAAGCTTTACTTGACTATATTTGAGCCGGTTTTCCTGGAAACAAGTAAAGTTTTCTATCGGGCAGAGGGGAAACGGCTGTTGGAGATGGCAGACGCTGCTACATTCTGTAAGGTAGCTTCTGAGCGCATAGCAGAAGAACGAGAGCGTTGTCTCTACACTCTGTCGCCCCTCTCCGAGTCGAAAATCAAAGACGTGTTGGATAATGAGTTGATTCGCAACAATATTGCCGATGTTGTCAATCTTGAAGGCACTGGCGTCAAGAACATGATCGATGCCGATCGCTTGGATGTTCTGCGGAGTATATATGTGCTCAGTGCGCGGGTTGACAGCAGAAAGACCCCTTTGACCGCGGCAGTTCAGAAGCGCATAGTCGAGCTAGGTCGAGAGATTAATGCGTCGACAGTTGTGCTCGCCCAAGCGCCTCCGCCAAAGCCAGTAGAGAAGAGCGCCGATGGTGGAAAGAAGCCGGCAGAGAAAGAGAAGGAAAAGCCGGCGAACCAACAGACCACGTCTGCTATCAAATGGGTAGATGACACTTTAGGGCTCAAGAGGAAGTTTGACAATATCTGGCAGGAGTCGTTCCAATCCGACCAGACCATGCAGAGTGCCATCACAACTAGCTTTTCAGAGTTCATCAACTCAAACAGTCGCAGCTCCGAATACCTATCGCTTTTCTTCGATGAAAACCTGAAAAAGGGCATCAAGGGTAAAACAGAAAGCGAGGTAGACTCCCTCTTGGAGAATGGCATTACGCTCTTGCGTTATGTGAAGGATAAAGATCTCTTTGAGGCTTACTACAAGAAGCACCTTTCCCGACGTCTTCTAATGAAGCGTGCAGTTAGCATGGATGCAGAGCGACAGATGATCTCGAAGATGAAGATGGAGGTGGGAAATCAGTTCACGCAACGTCTAGAGTCCATGTTCAAGGATATGGCCATCTCTGAGGACCTGACCGCCAGTTTCAAGGAGCATATTCGGCGGATAGACCACGGTGATCGCAAGCCAATCGATCTGGAAGTCAATGTTCTTACCAGCACCATGTGGCCTATGGAGGTCATGTCAGCAGCTAAGGGCGAGGACGTCCAGCTTCCATGCATCCTCCCGAAAGAGGTGGAAAGCATCAAGCAGAGCTTTGAGAAGTTTTACCTGGGCAAGCACAGTGGTCGCAAACTCTCCTGGCAACCCAGCATGGGATCGGTCGACATCCGGGCAACGTTCCGTAGATCCAATGGCAAGACTCAACGCCATGAACTCAATGTTTCCACATACGCCATGGTCATCCTGATGCTTTTTAACGATTTGCCGGACGGCAAATCTCTTAGCTATGTGGAGATCCAAGCCCAGACAGGCATTCCCGAGCACGATCTAGTGCGAAATCTCCAGTCACTCGCTGTGGCACCCAAAACCCGTGTCCTGAGAAAGGAACCGATGAGCAAGGATGTGAAACCCACTGATGCATTCTTCTTTAACGACGACTTCCACAGCCCGTATATGAAAGTCCGCATTGGCGTTGTCAGCGGCACTGCCAACAGGGTCGAGAATCAGGATCAGAGGAAGGATACCGAAAAGCGTATGGCCGATGAGCGTGGTGCCAGCATTGAAGCTGCGATCGTGCGAATCATGAAGTAAGTCATGAACCCTGCCTGTATGTTCTCCGATTATAGAAAAGCTAACTCCCACTTAGACAACGCAAGACGCTGGCGCACTCGAAACTCGTGAGCGAAGTGCTTAGCCAATTGTCATCACGATTTGTCCCCGATGTGAACATGATCAAGCGACGTATTGAAAGCCTGATTGACCGGGAATACTTGGACCGGGTGGGGGAAGAGCCGCCGACCTACGGCTACGTCGCATAGAAGTACCTGCATCGTGTTTCCTGGCTGGGTTGGTCACCCTTCATTTTTCTTTTTCTTTCTTTTTTCGCGTGTTTTAGGATGGGGGCATCTTGGGCTTAGCGGTGAAGGGCGCAAAGGGATTTATTCTTGTTCATTTACATAGATTTTGATCTGGTGATTTGTTCACTTTTTCCTTCAGCCTTAGGATGTTTCTTCTCTGATGACAGATTATGATATTTCTTTCCTGGATGGTTGATCCTCATGTTGGACAAACTTGGATTAAAAATCAAGGAATCTAATGTACCAACTGATGAGATTCTGTTTAAAATGAAAAATACCAGAAGACACATAAGACCCAGCGCCAAAAAATGCTATGATATATTCTATAACACGCAGAAGACACCGGCCAACCCAACCCATATCTCAAAACGCAAAAGAAAAAGAGAGAAAAAAGGATTATAGAATCTCCACCTCCCCCTCTTCCCAAGCCTCTTTAATCCCCTCCCACCTAACCGCCCAAACATCACCCATTCTCATGGTTGTTCCGAACTCCTCCTCCTCGATCCCATCCCCAGGCGGCACCACGACTCTAACCTCCTCAACCAAACACCTAACAAATACGACCTCCTTCACCTCCGGGCCCTGCACCATACTTGTCCCGCCGGCATTATCATCCAACCGTCTCAACTGCGGTGGGAACGAACCCAGGAACGACGCACCGTAATGCCCCGCCAGCAGGGACTGGTGCGCATGGAGGAACGCGACCTCCTGCGGAGAGAGCGGCGAGGGATCGCTCAGGTTGCTCACGTCGGGGATGGAGTCTTCGGGTTGTTGCTGAGAGGGCTGCTGCGAGCGCGAGGATGGAGTAGGGACCGGATTGGCGATGCGGAGGAGATAATGCATGCTGTGTTTTGTGAGTTTGGAGAGTCGTTGGCGTAGAATACTCCGGATTATGTATTGGGTGCGCGATAGGTCTGTTTGCAGGATGGATAGTTTCAGGTTCAGAGTTGGGTTGTGAGCGGTTGTGGATGTGGATGAGGGGTCTGAGGAGGCGGCGAGGTCTTCGATTGTTTCAATCTATTACAGTTAATATGGATCACCATATACATACAATGTATATGTACAGGGTGTGTGAGGGCTACGCACTTGCTTCTTTACGCGCTCCATCATGCGGTTCATCAGTGGTCCAGGCCATGGGAGGAGCTCCGACACGCCGCGTTCCGCGACCCAGAAGCGCACCAGGAGTTGGTGGTCAAGAGCAATGGACTCCGGGGTGGAGACGTCATCGCGGTCGACGGAGGCGAGAATATCATCGATGTCCATGACCGTGCGGGGCGCGCATTTAGGAGGACAGGCGCAGTAGGAGGACGGAAAGATTGGAATGCTTTCTAGAAACGTGGTGGAAAAGCGGAGAAGCTGCTTCTCTGCCTCAGGCTGACGAGGCACATTATGTCTACATCCATACACACACAATCCATACGTACAACAGAACAACTACAGCTGGAATCATGTTCAAAACTTCATTTCGTTTCGTTTCGTTTCCAACAAAGGAAAAGTAGTATCTTTTAGACCGTTTATTCCCCCCCCCCCCCGGCTCTCCCATTATGTCAGTGACGTGGCACAGACTATGCAGGTTGGTAGATGTATGTACAGCAGCACGGTTCATTCCTGGCAGTTTTGTTTTCTGTTCCTGGAAATCTGCTTCAAAAAGCAGCCTCCGCGCATCTCAAATTATCGTCTGAATGACGAGCCGTACATCGATATGTACTGTGTACGGCGAGAAATGTGGCTCACTCCCCCGGGAAGTATACAACATGACAAGGGGAGTATAGATTAAAGACAGTAATGGGGAATAAAAAAAAATCAGAGCGTCAAGAACAAGAGATGCCAGATGGCGTGGTATCATGAGTGGTCAAACTGAACGTTGAACTCGAAAAGGAGTGATCGGGGGGAAAAAGGCATAGGAAAAATCCGTCAACACATAGGAAAGGCTTCAAGGAGTGATCGAGTAGTAAAGAAAGTTCGAAAGTGGCCGCAAAGGAAATTTGGAGAAATCGGCCTGCTGACAATGAAATCCTCAATTCAGGAACAATCCCGGCGAAAAATTATATCGCGTCATCAAGTGAAATGGCTCTATCAGTCGAAGAGGCAGAAGCTGACGAAAAAAAAGAAACAAAAAAGTCAAGCGAATGTATGAGACTCGAAGTAGTGGACGAATTCCTGGCCTTCCACCAAGCATATTCAAGTTCCTCGTGAGCAAAACAGGCTACACCAAGAGCGCCATAAATTCAATCGATCCGGCTTCCAATTCACCGGTAGAAATCCATGTAGGTCGATGGATATCGCGAAGCAAGACTAATAACAAAAAGAAACTAAATCCGCTAAGGTCGATGCAGCTGCTTGCAACGCTTCAGTAACATCATATCATCAAGCCGTCGTCGTAGGTATGCAGAAATCAATACGACAGCATACGACGACCAGAATATCGGCCAGAGCCAGGACTTTCTGCGAATGGAGACCCCAAGAGTCTGGTGCGATCACCGACACTACTTCGACACCTTCCAGTAGGGCTGTCCTCCATATCAGGGGAGTTTTGGCCGAAAGCAAAAGTTTGGGCACGGTTGAGCTTAGATCTCTGCTTGACCTTCCCAAGGCCACGCTCGCAGGCATACTCGTACTCTTTGGCGCTCATTTCCACATAGTTCTGGGGATAGCACAGTGACCGGTGGTCGGCAAAGAATGCACTATAACCCCCCTCCAAAATGTACAGGTCCGGGTATGTGAGTTGTGGGTAATGGTCAACGTTGTACGCTCGGTCCCGATGACGAATATACTTGGCCATGATAGGCGCCCTGTGAGCGGAATACTCGCAGTGCAACACCAATGCAGTCCTCGGCGTCGGACTGGTGAAAAGTCTCGTGGCCAAGCTCTCTTTGTCATTGTAATTCACAGCTCCTGTAATGTGGCCTCCCTCATACTCGTACTCAAAGCGACAATCAATTATCAAAACGTTGTCGAATTGGTCGTTGAATTTTCCATCCATGAGCTCCAAAAGAATTGTCTTGTCAATACGGGGCAACGAGTCTCCCTGATCCTCAGGAATAAAGTGAGGCAGGTGTAGACTCGGGGTAGCTTCGATGTCGCAGATCGACTGAAGTGGTGCATTTGATGTAAAACAAGCCTCCTTTTCGACAATTACATCCTCCGGGTGCTCGTACATACTCAACGAACGTCTGCACTGTTTACGAGGGCGCATTAACGGGTTTGAATGTTTGCGAATGGACGCCGCTGAAGGCGAGCCATTTCCACGGACATGACTCCCATTGCCAGTACCAAGGGGCGCTCGCAGCCGCGGATTCGCCAAACCGCTTGATGAATGATTCCGGAATAATGGTCGTTCACGCTGTGGTGATTCTCCAAACATATCCTCCAGCGATGCGGACGTGCTCAGCGAGGTCTTGCCACCTTTGGTCTGGAATCGAAACGGCGGTGCTTGACTTTCTGGGGCAGGCTTCGCCATTCCAAACTGAAAGGACTGGGCTTTACTTTTGGCCAGGCTAGGCCGCAGGAATGTCGGACGCCGTCTCCTATTAAATAAATTTGTGGTTAGATGCCTCAGTTCACACATTCACATCTGTATTTTCAGGTATCTTCTCTTACTCTGGCTGGGTGTCCTTTAACGGGACCGAGGGCGATGCCTCCAATGGGCTAGGCATAGGCGAGTCCACTGACGACTCCTCTGTGCAAGATGTGATGATCTCAATTGTTTTTGCGATGCTGAACGGCGGCTTATGTGGTAAAGGAGACATTTCCATGATATCCATAGCGGGGGCTGGCGAGGAGGACGGAAGAGGAGGGGTCGTCATCGTTTCTTCTGCTTATAAGGTAAGTGCCACATGTCATTCCATGGTCGAGAATAATGAGACCACTTACCATGGCCATGGCCAAAGAGATTGGAAGAGAACAAAGACCGTCGTGGCGTAGCCAATTGCGGACTAAACGAGGTCAGTAGAGTCCTTTGATCGCGAACCGTAAATCACATGAAGAACAAAACAGTACGTCACTAACCTTTGATCGATGTGAAAATTTTGCGAAAGATCTGCGGCTAGACTCGCCGTCGGCGAGGAACCACGGACCGGCTTCACGTTAAGATAGTCGCTATGGGACTTCTTCATGGACAGTTCTTTGAAATTAAAATTGGGGGGTTTCAGCCCGGACCGGGGACCCAAAGACGAGTATGCCGTCGAAACATCCGAGCGAAAACAGTGTCCGAAGAGAACTGACGGAGGCTGCATAGCAGCCAACGGTGACGAATGTTCCATTCTTTTCCAGTATCCAATTTTGCCTCCCTTTTTGGAGCGGTGTTTTGTTGTTTTCTTTAATTTTTTTTTTGGCCCTTTCTGCCTTCCTTTCTGCCTTCTCTCCTACTTCTTGGACTTCACTATTGTCGTGAGGGGAAGAGTGCAACAACGAAGCAACGCCAGACAGTCGTACTGTTAACTATCTACCTGGCATATACTACAACGGCAGAAGAATATCTGTCGTCACGATGTCTATGCAGCCCTTGTGAATCTTTTCCTGGTGGTGATGTTGAATCCCGACTTCGCTGATTGTTGAAGAGTGGCTTCCAAAGACCCCGCAACTACCAGCATGTAGTGGCACTTCCTGGGTGTTCGAATCCACCAGGCTAGAGCGACATGGCTGATTGATAAATGTCGATCAAGGGCTAGAATTGAAACACGGTACGGGGAGAAAGGGCCCAAGGTGGGAGAAGGAAGAGGAGGGGCTAAAAGGACATTAAAGTCTTGGTTAGCAACTCATAAGAATCGGTGGCAAAACGGCAATGGCAGCACAGCAGCAGCAGCATAGTGGTACGCTAATGCATTGGGGGAAAGTTACCGAAGAAGAGGGTGTGAAGAAGTCTGGACACGGGATTGAGTCTGAGGATAGTGCCGTAGGTAAAGCATGGGAATGAGACGAGAGGAAGGCCTTAATAGGGAAATTCGAAGATGTTAAGAAGGCCTAAGAACAAAGACAGGGAGAGAAAGAAAAGTAGGGGGAGAGAAAGAGGAAAAAAAAAAAAGGCTTAGGGAAAAAGGTGAAGCTGAAGGGATGGCTTTGTTGCAATGGCAACGCAAAAAGTGGGGATGCGATCTCCAGATACTCAAGAAAGAGCTTAAGCGACGATGAGTTAAGCCGTGTCAGAATCCCAGCATCGAACTGGTCCTCCAGAGAGCTTTTCCATTGGTTCTCGAAGCGCCCGCTGTGAATAGTTGGATGTGTGGTCTATTGAATTACTGGTTCTATCTGTATAGCAGAGCTCCGATTTGATTTCGAACTACTATACCACTACTACTAGTTACTAGAAGGTAGGAATGACGGAATGAAACTCCGTGAGATGTCTGTATAGTGCATGGCTGTATGTATGTATGTATGTATGGACATACAGTCTGTACGGTACGGAGGGAATGGACGTCTGTATGGTGATGTACTATGTAGGTACAGTCTTTGCCTTCGAAAAGCAGGTACTGAGGTAGGTACTACGCAGGTACCTACCATCTATGCTTATCCAGCAGACAGGGACGGGTACGGAGTACACTAAGGTACAGATAGTACAGATACCGAGGGTTCTTGCGTATGATACGTACAATGGAGGTACCAGGTACCACTGCACAGTCGAAGAGCCACTCTCTAGGGCTTCTGGGCCTTTTCTTCTCTTCTTCCCCCTCGTTGCCGGGACTCCCTTGCCGCCATAGCCAACGCTAACCGCTGCTCAGCAACCCCCCGCCTATCAGCGTCCTTACTGCCTCGTCCGCTTTGGTTCTACCAATCTGGGCTGGCTGGCTGAGGCATGGATCGTGCCCTGTCTCATGGGGCTAAGGTACCAAAGGATCGGCTCTATTCTTTTCCTTTTTCTTCCTTCCTTTGATTCTTTTTGGTTTCGTTACCTATTCCACGTATACCGAGTTACATACATACATACCAGACTTCCTCTGTCGCTCGAAGCCCATCCCCTTCCATTTTAGTGCTCTCGTCGCCGCTTTTTGATCACTGATTAAAATTGACTCTCTCGCTGAGCAATATTACCTGACTATCACCTGAACACTCAGTGAGCTTACGGCACCAAAAGACGTACTCCTTTGTGTGAGAGCATCAGTGGTGTAGTGGTAACATACAACTCTTCCAGAATAGGCAATTGTCTGTTGAGCGACAAGTTGTGCCAGGGGTTCGATTCCCTTCTGACGCATTATTTTTTCGTCTGATTATTTTGGGAATAACCTACTATTCCTTTAAGTTTGAAGTTCTATTTCATTCCCTAATACTAGTAAGTAGGTCGTCCTCGCAAGCCTATCAATTTCTCCATAAAAATGTAGTGAGTATACTAATCATTCTATGTAGGTTAACTTCCAGATCCCTCGTAAAAGCGGCGGCAGCTTAGATAGGAAAGCCCCACCTGGCAGAGATTATCCGGTAAGTATCGTCCATACAAGGACACTTTTTGTACTCCGTACGACATACATTCCCTTTTGACAGGTTTCACCTTTGGACGATGAAAACCGTTTGACAAGGTTCGAACCAAGAAGGAGTCCTTTGTTTGACTGGAAGGTCATTTAAGCTCAAGTTGCCAGAATTATTCCTTTCATTACCCTAGGGTATATCCCTACACTCTTTATCAAGCCTCCTGACATATGCTAGGCGAGACCCTCCACCTTTTTAAATAAAAAGAAAAAAAAAAAGAAAAAAAAAAGAAAAAAAACTATGCTTAAATTTATTCTTTTCTTTCTTTTTTGAGACTATGTATGGGTCGTGAATGGCCTGGCCACTGGTTGCTTGAAAAAAAGACACCCAATGACCAGGGGTAATATAAAATTTTCTATTCGTGGCCGGCGCTTTCTCTCCCTTTTTTTTTTTTTTTTGGCTCCATAAAATTATACATCATTCAAATTATCCAAATGAGATATCGAGCCTAATAAAAACTCCACTTGGACTCCACTTAGTCAGGAAAAAGAGCTTATCCGGTATCTCTCAAGAACGAGTATCAAGAACAAGTACAAAGTCTCGCAAGAGAAACCAGCCATTCATGAAGTTGTGGTATGGGTACTCCTACATATCTAAACCGTGTAATGTTGGGGATAAAATCTCCGAATCCAATCAATGCCCTACCAACTCTGTCAATCCCGGGTCCATAAGTGGTAGGTATGTGGGTGAACATGCGGAGATTCACTCCATCACTTCTACATTAAGAACCCTGGGTAATTGGGAATTGGGAAGAACCGCGGGCTATTGAATTGGGTAATGTGGACGAGTGACCTTCAGAAATTGAGATGAATTGTGGAGCATACCAAGGCACCGATAGCTTGCGTGCTTAGAGATATGCTTTGTACAGAGTATGCATAATAAAGAAAAAGGAAAAAGAGACTTGTGATAAGGTTGCAAATTTAGAGTCAACCTATCGAAGGGTTACACAACCCTGTCTAACGTGACAAAACTGATCAGATGGCGTTGCAAGCATTTTGCAGACAGCCTCAACAATGATCACCACTACCGTTCGAGTAAGTATAGTTCCCAGAGCTCTCCACAAGTTTTCTGTCCATCGAACCTGTGACCGATATAGGCCGCATACTGCCCGACATTCTTCTCGCACAGTAAGAGTAGTTTAAGTAACCTTCAAGTTCACCCACGCAATTTTTCTTGCCCTTACTTAACCCCGACTATTAAGTGCTTCAGCATTTTTGCTGATCTTGGCCAAGGGCATTCATCCCTTCGCTTTATTTTTGAAGGTTCCAACTATCTTTTCTACAACCTAACTAGATAGTTAATTAAATCGTCTTACAAATCGCCCATATTGACTTATTCCGAAGACCAGAAACTAATTACGCTGTAATACCATATACCTACTCTCCTCGGCATGATTATTTGTGGGGATCACAGCAGCTCCCATTAGTATTAATACACCCGAAAAGCTGACCATGTCACGACGAGGGGCCAATTTCTGTCTATTTGCGGTCCTGGGCTCTCAATCACTATCACATTCCCCTCTCGTCCCCGTCACTATGGATCGGTGTCATTGAGCGTGCATTATCATCTTCTCGAGAACTATGGAGTCGACGTTCGAGCCAGCCCACATGTGCGTCTCGATGGGTGAAAATAGCTTCATACTCCGCCTCTGGCGAAGTGAACCGACGGTGGCGATCGCCAGGCTTGCATGATCTGGCTGCTAAGTGCAGACCCCAGCTGAAGCCCCCTCAGTTTGAAACACCGGTGGACTCTTAAGGGAGGTAGCGGAGCTACGGAGGATCCCCTACGAGACATAACATCGGGTTATTTTCTGACGGTCGTCCGAGTTTTGCGGCTCATGGGCTTGTTTCAGGCGGCCGCATGGCAGAAGGAACTAAAAAATTGTGACAACCCCATCCATGGTGGGTGGCCTTGGAGCACAGTGATCAGCTCTGATGCTACCTGCTATTCGATGACTGTACTCCGTACGCGCCGGCCGAGAGGGTATCGTCGCATCTCGGACCCTCCGTTCTCGGGTGGAGACCGTAAATAGAAGTTTGGTGGCTGGATTGTGCCAGGATTGTGATCCATCACCTGCGGTGACATTGCCATGTGCTCGGGAGTCCCTCAGACTCCGACATCATTAGGTCCGTGTTAGGTAAGTCGATACCTAGTTCTTGATAGGTAATAGCGAGTAACAGAATCATCCTGCTCTCTTGCAAGCCTATTATCGATCGAAGCTATGTATGACTTTGGTCCTTGCGTCGCGCCAGTTACTCTCGGCCACCGACGGACGGAAATAACACCGTCCGATACCTGAAGGTTCATTTCCAGGCCAGTATTGTATCAGCCTGCCTTGGCCCCAAGACGTAGGTGCGGGGTTGCTGCCGAGAGCCGTCCCTTAATTGGGCGGTTTGGGAAGCTTTAGCGCTCGTGCTGCTGAGCCTGAGTGTCTGCAACTTTATTTACCAAGTCGAATACGTATGCTCTTGTTACTAAATATTGCTGGACCGCTTCCAAGTGGGATGGGTGATGTCACACTGAGGGGAATCCTGGTCACCTTTCCAGTTTGCCCCGTATGTGACGAATGTGCAGCTGGATGTAGGTATGCGTTGGCCTTGTATACTTTTATCTCTATGTAGATATTTGCTTACTTCCATACTCTAAACACTTGCTAGTCACGTCCCATGGAAAACGTAAACAAACAGTGGACTTGAACCGTGGTACTGAACCGTGTGGTGGTGCCGAGACCCAGAAACGCGACTGTGGTGCGCAGTCCCGTGACCTTCTATGAGATCATCTTCGGCCCATCCAGCATCACGGTTGCCTTGCTTTTCCTTACTCCGATTGAGTCTACAATGATCGTGACTTGCGTACCTAGGGAGCCCTAGCAATTCGATACCTATCTGGAGTGCAGATACAAACACAAAGACAGATTACCCCTCGATCACACCATCTCAGTGACCCCTTCCGGCTTACGCAGTAGTACCCTCACCCGTTCTACTACTGATACTACATAAGCTCGGGAAGGAGATCGACAAAACTATTAATATTGATTCTGATCTCAAATCTCCTAACAGATTCTTGGCGTCCTGTTCTCCGGCCGCCCATGTGCGATGTTCCAAACTATGACCAATTCTGGCGCCACTATTTGCTACAGAACCTTACCATTTTCCTCCTAGGCCGATGGGGTATATGCCTCCTAGGCTCCTGCTACCTTCCACTTGGAGAGTAGTCAATCCAGGGTGGCGGATTCTTATTACTTCCTTGCACGAGGATTTCTCCGAGATCGCAGGAACTTGCCCGATTGCCCTACAGATAGTCGACAAGGGTTTCTAAGGAGTATTGTTGGGTGACGGCGAATTGCTGGAACCAGTATAGCGCTTCTGTTCGGGCAAAACACCTTCCTGTGGCTTGGCATTGCGGTGCGTGGGCTATAAATCCGCCTTGTTCCCCCACGAGGCCTCTATTTTACATTTCTTGCTTTGGTTAAAGGCATCTTTTCCAGATTCCCTGACCGGAATAGGCGAGGTATTTTAACTGTTGGACTGATCATCCCGTCTCCTGCATTTTGCCACCCCCTTTGCTTCGGCGAGTTGCATGTGGGACTGTTCTTTGCTTCCGTTCGCGAGAACCAATCTTTTTTCTTCTCGCTTGCTTGGTAGCCTTGTCTGATTTGCAATCATTCTTTGGATATAGACTATAGACTCTTCGTTGAATTTGCCTCTCTCCCTACCGCGATTTTCTTCCTGCGCTAATGGTTTTCACTCCTGAGAAGTCTTTTCCTCCAACAGTCTGTAGCAGCGGCTCTAAGAGACAAGGCTGAAAATTGCCGCAACAACTAAGGATTATTTAAACGGCTCCGGGGGTGGATGGCGCTGCTGTTGGGTAGAGGCCAAGAACAACATTGCTTCGTGAAAGTGTGTCTTAGTATGCAGCGCCACAGATTGTTGACCTCGAAACCAGAATCAACAAGGGCCAGTAGTTTATTACCCCCGACATTCATGCTCGCCAGACCGCATTCGTGCCATTCAATTGCGGCAGAGCTTGCAAGTAGCTTGATTGTCATGCCTCACAGGTGATGATGGTCTCCCAGCCATTTGATTTGGATAGTGTTAGATAGGATGTTCCGGGAAGTCAAGTGGATGCTGGTGTTGAATCATCGGGAGTAACGATGGCCGTTGATCCGTTCCTACCACCTTTTGTCTCGGCTGCAGCAAAATTCTGTTGCTGCACATACCATCCGAAAATGCCGAGAGCTAGTTATTTGAGTTGTACTCGTGAAACTGCCATACTAGTCTATGTATACGTCTTCAGTCTTGTTACTTGTCTTGGTGATATGGGGTCTGCTGACATGCTATGATATCAGGAACAACACTTTAAATGAGATGAAGTGTCAAGATGCGGGCTCAGACAGATTTAACCGATATATTTAATGTTGGAGTAAATACGTAGTCAGGTACCTACCAATGCGCGGACAAGACGTAGCCTAGGGGTCATAATTGGAATTCTATTTTACCCCCTTTTTTTGAAAAAAATACTTTAAATATCTGTCTTATTAGCACAATTTATAACATGTAATGAGTAAGCTAGCTAAGTGTGGCCCCTGATTAATGTAATTTCCCACCAAGTCACCATTCCTACCAAGTCGCCACGCCTTTCCATACAATTTAGCATATTTATACCTTGAATATCTCAACCGCCAGACATTTGAACGACCCAAGACCTGAGGAATATAAATTGATATAGCTGCCTAATTCATCGCATAATCTCTCCTGTTGGCACACAAGTATCCCACCTTCCAGTGTTCCCTTTTCTTTATAAACAATCATCAGGGTTTGTGTTTATATTGTTAGCATCAACACGCCCAATGACGTACAACATACCTATCTCTCTTTCGTCTTTTCCTTTCAGTTCAATGTTCATCTATCAACTTTCCACATCTTCTCTTTATCTTTTGTTTAAACATTTATCTACCAGTCCTAGAGACTTTAATGCTTGTGAACCTGGAACTGAATATATCCAACAAGACATATACTGCCACTCCAAAATGGCAAGCACAAGTCTCGAAGTCTTGCCTCCTGCAAAGAGGAGACATATAAAGGAGGGGAGGGTGTTGTAGAATATCAGTCGTCTTCTATCAAACAACGGACTGTCTCGGACATCACATCATGGAGGGAAATATCAAGTATATCAGAAATGCGATTCATAAGGCGACGGAAAACAACAAGAGTTGAATCTTCGAGGACATGGGAAGGATGAATCAAAAATCGTCCGAGCAGCGCAAGAGAACGCCACCGCCAAATATGAAATCGGATGATACTTCGTCACCACGCTAACATACCCGGACCTTCGGAAGCAGTCCGGGAGCGGTATCCCGAACAGAGCCAGCAGTTGAAAGTCTGGAGTATGACTGGCATTAGTGGGGTGGAAGATACATAGAAATTCCACTAGGATTATTACTTTTGTTGGCAGAATGGTAGAACCATTGTGGTGGGTTCAATTTATTCGAATCTCCGAGATCCTAGGCGTCAGATTTCCTCCGTGCGTTGTATGTGGTTTATTGATCTGTTATCTTAGATCTGCAGGATTGCGTGCATTGATTTCCAGTAGGTTTTGCTATAATGATAACGATACCTTAGATACGACCCTAAATTAAGCATTTAATCTATTACTTGGTCAACTCATAAGCACTCTTTATTCTGCCCCTTAACACATTGGGTCTTGTTAGGAGTTCTAGTCTAGGGATAGATAAATTGGATGATTACCAGCTAGGCGAGTACTATTCTCCAATCTATAACACTTTCAACAAGGGAGATTAGTTGGCTTCACTCATAACAGCGAATCTAAACCATCCCTTCCTATTCCACTTGTACAGTGTTGCTTAATCAGATGACTTCAGTAAATCAACGGCAACCCAATCCTTATACAGCAAATCCTCAACAAAAATCTCACCCTTGCAGCATACTCAATGCCGTCAAATCCGCAAGGACATATAAAACAACCAACTCCACCAGCAGCAGATAAAGTTGACAAGGGAACGATAGTGTTGTATTCCTTGCAGTATGGTGCCTCCTATCCTAATATATACCAGTAGACCTTCACGGTCTACCACTGTCCAACCTCACTTCCATTGTCTTATCCTGATACCTGATGTGGATTAAAGTTCTGACAACTGGTGTGATTGATAGGAGGTATGCAGACTGTGGGGTTGGATGAGCGATTTATGCAGGATTATGGTTCCATCCATGTTTGGTGTATGTATGCATTGCATCTGAATCCCGGCGATAGATAGTAGATAGACATATGATACCTTACAACACTACACTACCCTATCCGGAAGAATAAGCTTCATCCATTCTTCATGATTAAGGGAGTAAAATCAGATTCGATAGTCGAAGAAGATACAGATCTTAGATACATAGTGCGGATCTTTCAGCAATCCATCCAGTAATAAGTCTTCTGTTTCTGTTCCTTTTCCTGTTCAACTACCACATTCCATGTTCCACCCATTCTTTTTTCTACTATGTATGTATTCCACTGATGGAATGCAGGTAGGCAACTAGCACCAGGCAGGCAAGAATCTTCACCTAATCCTATAATTAATAACCCGGATTGTGGACCCTACAAACAAGCCACCAATAGTCATCTGTATGCGTTCCGCAAAGCCCTATAAGTGGTACCAAGAGGTGATATCCCTCTTGATGACGGAGAGGTACCCCACAAATTGACCCTAGGATTAACTGGATCGGTATGGTCCATTCCTATGAATCAGACTATATAGAGGACGAGTAAGGGGTTTTGTTTTTTGGGGGTCCATCCTACTTGGTAAGTATATAGATTATATGTGGAGAGCAAGAACAGGGTTGCTTGCAAGGGGTGTACAGTCCCACTTTGGGCTTGTCGGCAGGTTCTCCGTACTTCGGCTACCATAACCGAGGGAATTAATTGCTGATGAATTGCTGGAGATGGTTTGCATTTAGTTGTTTGTTTGATGAGTTAGTGAGAAGTTGAAGAATTGGAATGGGATAGCTATTTTGTGAATATGCAAGACGGGGTAGACTTTAGATTTCTGCTAGAGGGATAGGATAACTCTTTAAGTGTTGGACTATCTGGTATCGGGGATCCAGGGTAAGAAAGTTTGCAGTTTGCTCCGCCGAAGAGGAACTTTTCATATCTGAGATGCTTTTCAACCGTTCGGCCTGGTACTACACATTTTCAGGAGATTAAATGGAAGCCCAATTTAGGGTTTCTTCTCAAGATGTTGTCTCCAAGAGCATGTGTTTGAGAACTGGTCTTTCCGAGAGGTGCCATAGTTGACGGTGTAACTGGTAAAGGCTTTTTGGCCATTCATTGCTCGCTTCTTGGAAGCTTCCACGTATTGGCGACGATCTCGGGGTTCTGCTAGATCTGAAATCTTATAGCATATTATCTCCAATTTCATCGTATTTCCTTCCCTCCTATGGCCTCTGAAATCCAAGCACTCTTTTGCTTTTTCTATGAACAATTTAGCAGGGCGTACAACGTGTACAGAGCGGGCTAAAAACAAAAAAATGCGTCAGAGGGGAATCGAACCCCTGGCACAACTTATCAGTTAAGATGGAAGAGTTGTATGTTACCACTACACCACTGATGCTTCCGTAGAAAAGAAATTTTCTTTTATTGTTATTAGGAGGGATCTGTAACCGACCCTATGTCGAATTCCCATACTAACCAAGCCTCCGCCTGTGTAATGGCAATATCAGGTAGCTCGCTCCATATCTATTTTAATTTACAGAAGTGGCTGGCAGTGGAAGTTAAGTAAATCTATATTCAGTAAAACCTGTCAAGCAATTATACTACTATAAAGAACCCAACCCTCAGTACACCCCTTATAGCATATTTCAATACTCTGCAGGCTAAGACTTCCCGATTTCTGAGAAACCAGATTGTTGCATCACAATATTTAATTCTTTCATATATAGTGCTTATTTTTCTCTGTCACTGGTGCCAATTTAACTGACCTGAGACTTACCTAATATATATATATATATATATATATATATTGGCTTGTGAATAGAACTCCTGCAGATCCAGCCATGACATCTATAAGAACAAACAAATAGGCACTATATTGTTACTAGAGTTCCAGGACAATTTATATTGCAACCCATAGCATTGAATTAAGCTGTTGACCATGAGACTGATGAGAAAATGGACTAGCCCAAAGTGGCCTAACAGATGGCGCTAACCGTTTCTGGCACATCGCTCATAATTTTTTTGCCGTGGCTCGTCATCACCACCAGCAACGACAAATTATCCTCGAGCATTTCACGGCCGATTCTTGCAAGAGATACTGTTTCAGCGAGAGGATTGTACGACTGCAGAATCACCCTTTCTCTCTCCCAACGCAATGGCCCAAAATCAAGCCGGCTCTAAGAAGCGGCGTCGCGAGCCATTCAACGTCAATACCAAGTTGGTAGAGATATACGAGGATCTTGCCAGCGAGAAAGACGAAATTCGATTAAAATCCGCACAGGCGCTGGTGTCGCAGTTTACCCCCGATAAAAACCCCACAGATGAGCATATTCAAAGAGTCCTACAGAGACTCATCCGTGGTCTCTGCAGCAGCCGGAAGGCCGCAAGAATCGGGTTTTCCATCGCTTTAACTGAGGTCCTGAATCAAGTCTTTGCATCTCCTCGGGAGTCGTCGGACATTAATGTGTCCAATGTCATGTCCATCTGGGAATCGCAGTCTAGCGCTTCAGGCAGCGAGTCGGGTCAAGTATGGCATCACCGTCGACTGCGACTGACTGAACTCGGAGTGCTAACCCTTCTTTCAACAGGAACAAAGAGACCATCACTTCGGACGTCTCTTTGGGGCGGAGGCTATTATCAAGTCTTCCATTCTTTTCAACCCCAAGGCTCCGTTCAATGAGTGGGTCAAACTCTTAGATCTGGTGTTTGATCTGGCCAACAAGAAGCCGTGGATCAGAGAGGAGTGCGGCTGGATTATCTATCGCTGTATCTGTGAACTTTCTGCCCAGAAAGCTGATCCCAAATACGTAGAAACTGCCCTGGAACGTCTATGCTCCCATGACCTAGCGCGGACACCAGAGGGCGTGTCCATCTGGCTAGCAGCTAAGGACCTATTTCCATCTGTAAAATTCCCAAGCAAAGTCTGGAAGCACGATGACCCATTGGATGCACGCGAAAGGAACAACTTATCCAAAGTCTTGAAAGATTCCTCTTCCTCTGAGTCTGAAAATGGCGGCCAGAGCAACACCAAGTCATCTGGCGTCTGGAATTCCAAGCTTCATTTTGCTTGGGACGCCGTTATATCTAGATTCAGTGCTGTTACTGGCAAGGAGAAGTCTAAAAGCGAAGGCTTCGCTTCATCTCGTCTCAGTTTTGTCGATTTCTGGACTGAAGTTGTTGACAGTGAGTTCATCCTATTACTCCTTCAGAAGGTATGGACTCTAACCCGTGGTGCTCTCTATAGACGGGCTTTTTGCATCTGCTTCGTCGGAGGAACGTAAATATTGGGGCTTCCTTCTGTTCAATAAGATCCTCAACGAGGCTCCCTTGGACCTGGCCTCTCATGTGTTTACAAAGAACCTTGTAAGGTGTCTGATAAATCAGCTTGCCGTGGACGACAGGTACCTGCACAAGATGGCCGTCAAATCAGCGAAGACTATCCAAGCGCGTGTGACAAAGGAGCCGGAGTTCGCGGGGGCCTCTGTCATCGGCTTAATGGGCTCGGCTGGCTCAGTGAACTTCGATCAAGTCACCAAGACGAAAACAGTGGAGAAAATTGTTGTCGAAGCCAACTTGGATGCACTGAAGCAGATAGTGCCTCTTTTCTCTAAGCTTATTGCCTGCCCCGGCACGAATGACAGCAAGGCTGCTGCTTCAACCCGCCAACTCCTGGCTGGTCTGCTCTTGTCTATCGTCCGGTCTCGAGCCTCAGCTAGTGGTGAATCCCAGGAAGGGATCGAATCCCTGCTAGAGGATATTCTGTATACTTTTGTTCGGTTTGCCTATTTCATGGACAGAGGGGACAGCCAGGCAGCTGCTCAACCGGCCTTTGCTCAACAGACCCAGGAACTATTCCGGAGCAGAATCATCTCCTGTCTGAATAGTCTTATCTCTTCTCCAAAGCGTGCACCCACTCTCCCATATGCCGTGGTTCGCAAGATTCGTGATGTGGCCAAGTCCGGAGAGTTCGGCAATTTCATTATTAACATGGACGAGATACTTAATGACTCGGTGAAGACCGCATTTAAGGCATTGAAGAAACTCTCCAACACAGTATGCATTTCCAAACCCCCGCTGTTTTAACCCCTACCTTTTGTTTCTCAGAGATTAACGTGGGCAAAAGAAACAGGATGACGCAGGCGTTGATGCATTTAAACTTCTATACTCCATGACCATCCTTCAGGTATACAATGGCGACACCGATGCCGTATCCATGCTGGATGAACTCGATTTCTGCTATACCAAGATCTTCGCAGACAAAAAGTCTAACAAGGACGAGACTTCAGATGCATCCGACGCCCTGGTGGAAATTCTTTTGAGTTTCGCATCTAAGCAATCGCAACTTTTCCGTCGCATGAGTGAACAAGTTTTCAATGTTTTTGCGGAAAAAATCACGGAAAACGGTCTGGAGTCATTGACTTCCGTATGTGTTCTAGCTTCCTTCCATTGTATCTTCTCTTTCATTACATTGAGACTAATTAACCTGCCTAAACGTAGATCTTGGAAGCGAAAGAAAGTCTTGCTGGTCAGCAGGAAATGTTCGATCAACAAGACGACGAAGAAGGAGACGAGGAAATGATCGATATAGACGAAGACGACAGCGACGTCGAGGTAGTCGACGCAGAAGGTTCTGGCGACGAAGGAAGCGAAGACGAGGGCGAGGACGAGGATGAAGAAGAAGGCCCCGACTCCAACGCCGACTCCGACGATGAAGAAACCGCCGCCTTTGAAGCGAAACTCGCCGAAGCGCTTGGAACGCATCGCGGCGACCAAGACCTAAATGAGGAATCCTCGGATTCCGACGCGGACATGAACGACGACGAGATGGAAGAGATCGATGACCAACTTGCGAAAGTATTCCGGGCTCGTCGGGACGCTCTTGGTCAAAAGAAAGACAAAAAGGATGCGCGCGAGAACATGATCAATTTCAAGAACCGCGTGCTGGATCTACTGGAGATATACGTCAAGAAGTGCCATTCGAAGATCCTGGCGCTCGATCTTCTTTTGCCGCTTTTGCGACTTACTCGTCGATCTAGTGTAAAGCAGGTCTCCAACAAGGCTAATGCTGTGCTTCGTGAATATACGAAACTGTGTAAGGGGTCTGCACTGCCTACGCTGGAATCGACGGAGCCGGTGTGGGAGCTTCTGAAGTCGATCCATAATGAAGCGACGTACAGCGGCCCGCCTGCACATGCTTCGGCCTGTAGCCAAGCGAGTCTTCTCGTGGTGAAGGTGTTGGTGGCACACGACAAGGAGGCTATCGCTGGGGTTGTGGATGTCTATGCGGCGACTCGAAAGGAGCAGCTTCTCAGCAAGAAATGCCACGTTCAGCCGTCCTTGTTTACGGACTGGAATAACTGGTGTGTTTCGGCAAGCAAGCAGATGAAGAACTAGCTTGAGGGGTTGTCGGCTGCTATTTGCCTATGAGGATTTCATCTACGCAGAGTTTTATAGGGTCTCAAAAAAATATGTACTAAGTGAGATTATAGAGCTAGAAAACTAATTCCACTATTATACATGTGTCCAAAACGTTAGTAGGGAGTACTCCAGAAGGTGATTACACTTTAAAAGCCCTTGATGTATTTATGATTCCTGGTTTCCTCAAGAACGTCAAACCTCATACCAACCTCGATGACCCCCTCATTGCGCGGAGCACTAAGCATACCAAAGCATGGCTTGTAGGAACTACCTGCATCGACCCGTCTGTAGCTCATGAGGGTATTCCACGGTTGGGTCTTGTGTTTTTCCGCGGTATCGGGGTTGACATTCGGGACCTGGCATCGAGCACAGCGGGCAACGACATCCAGGGTGAGGGCGGGTGAACCCGACGACTTGGCAAGGTCTGCTTTCGCAATGCGCACTAATTTCCACGAATCCTCAGTCCACGGCGCATTCCCCTTGATGATGATATTGGGACGGAAGCGCTCGATGGTGATGGGATCCGCGCCGTTCGTCTTGAGCCGCGAATTAAGCTCGGCAATGGACGATTCCGAGGCAATCAGCACGGGATGAACATCGGGGAAGTTCGTGCTTTGGGTACGGCCCAGGAGACGAGGGTCTCCGTTCCCTCGCAGGATGCGAGGGGTCGGGCCCTTGTAGACCAGACAGACGTCACGGTGCAAGAGAGATGAGAACAGGTCATTTACTTCCGGTCCGTACGCGTAGCCGTCCGTCACAATGTCCCAAATCTTCACCTGCGTCAGGCTAGTGTTTGCCGCGAGCCAGGCGGCACATGGACGGGCCGGGATGCGAACAGATTGACCCTCGACACCAGTGATGGTCAGAACGAGCGAGTCGCCGTCCGGGCTGAGTCCTGTGTTGATGAGAGTCATCTGAGGGATCTGTCGAATGGTCAGGAATTCATTTGTCTTCGCATCGACGAACATCCACTGGCGATCGAGATCCAAGCCGTGCATGCGCAGTTTGGTCTTGCCCAGCTCGAAGCCACGGCACGATTTGATCGGATATACGCGAAGTGACACAACCTCGCTGGGGGGCTGTCTCGGGCCTCTGAGGCGTTGCAGAAGACTTGATTGGTTGCTTTGGGTCCATCCTGAGAGCCGGGGAATGACAAACAGAGGTACCACAATCAATAGCACGAAGATGGTCACCGAGAGGATGGTTGTAGAGCCCAGCATGCTGATTGTTGGAGATCCTGCATGACAGGCGTTGGTGATTCATACCGAAAGGGAGAATGAATGATGGGGGCATTTTTATTCATCAGTGCCGACCGCCTTCAAAGGGTCTCTGAGTCATTTTCGTGTCGGGATTTGGGGATGAGAAGAATCAGCAGTGGAGAAATCCTCAACAGTAATTAATTTGGACCAGTGATCATCGCTATATTTTCTACGGTGCAAATATGACTTCGGATAGTCCGGATGTTCTATTGCCATATATAGTCAGCGCTAAGAAATCCGGAGATATAGATCAAACATCTCCAATATGCCCGGAAAAAGCCCAAAAATTTGCAGACAAAAAAAAAAAAAAAATTTGATGTGTCATCATAACTCGTGTAAATCACGCTTGAATGCAAGTCCCAGTTCGCTAGTCACCACCTAAAAAGTCACCAACGCCGTCGGCCAGTTCGTGATATATTACGCCTTTTGATCGATCCAACATGCCACAAGGCTCTTAATCAGTGCTATGGCTACATCCTTGCCGGTTTCAATGGCCCCGTCATCGCATGCGCCAGGAACATGAAAGAAAACGGCATTTCGATTTTGCCCTTCTCGATAAGCAAGTGCTAGACTTGTATAGTAAATGAACTCGCAAAGATAGCGTCCGGCGTCATCTGAAATACGAACGTCGACTCCCGGAGATACGAACGATTCCCACGCCTCAAGTAGATCCTCATCAGGCGGACAAGGGTTCACGGGAAGTCGTAGGGCTTGAGTCACATCTTTCCGGGTAGCTGACACAGGTATCGTCGGTCCCTTGGGTGACATAGGCGCATCGGTTGCGCGTCCGGCTCGCAGTACTGGAGGCAACCCCAGCTCCCGCCATAGCCTTTCCCCGTCCTCGTAACCAGTCTTACCTTTGATGTCGGACATATGATAATGATCACGACGTGCCTGCGTTTCTACTGAATAATAGTTCCTCGTCGCCGCTATGCCTATGTGGATGACAATGTCCGGTCGTCGGCCTTCATGGCTTTTGGCGTAGTCCTCGAGTATAACCGGGAGAGTCTCACGCACCGTGGAGTAAGCAACAGGGATCGGAGAAGGATGTACATGGATGGAGACCCGACGAGAGAGGGGGCCCGAGGCGTCTGTCGAAGGGAATTCAAACGACGAAGGTAGGGACGAAGCGATCAAGTACGAGGCATTGACGAGGTTGGTTTTGAAAGGCTAATCTTCTAATCAGGCGAAATTGATCGAATAGTCAAGATACAAGGATATCCATGACATAAGAACTTACACCGAAACCTGTTACCAGAACCGAGATTTCATCAAACTGTGTGGAGGGCTGATGAGGTTTCTCTGATACTTGTGTCTGGGGTAGTGACACGCTTGGTCCGTAGTCTCCCATGTCTAACCGATCGAGCTAATCCGGGCAAGAAAAGGGTATTATATCTAAATTGAAGGGAAGGAGTGACTGTGTTGAAACCAGAGAGAAAGAGAGAGAGGGAGGCCAATATGTATGTCAGGAAGGGAGAACAAGTGAAGAGACGATCTGGATTATGTAATCCCGGGCGATCCCCCGCACCCAAATGCGGGGCTTGGCGTCACGGGATCAATTCTCGTCTTGGCAAAAGATGCTTGAACTTTTGCAGGGAATTTTTCGTTAGACTGCATCGCACATGGCAAAACAAACAGCTATGGCCGACAAACAGATGCTCTCCTTTGATGCTGCTCATTTCCGGTATCATCAATTTCTCAATCTGAAACACTGAGGATGATACAGGGAACTACCTACCTGGGATGCAGCCACCTAAAACTAGTAAGGTAGACGGCAGTTGCAGTTCTTGCAAACCAACCAGCGCTCTTTTGATTGGACCAAGGTCAACTCCCTGGAATGCATCTTTGAATTAAGCGAGCTGATCCTGATCTGGAGCATAGAATAGGCGATTTCTTCCCTGCCTTGAAGACCCCACCCTGAGTCCACTTGGATAGATCTATTCGATCTACTCCGTACTATGCAGAAAATATCCAGTCAGGTATGGACTTGGCAGGGCCCCAGCTGGGTATGGAGAGGCATAGTTTGGGTGATGACAGGCAAAAGTCTGGGCTGATCCTTCTCAGCTACTACGATGCTAATCGTTCTGCATTGTTTGTCTGGTAGCTTAACAAAGGTTCGCCTAGAATGCTTATGAAGCATCTCCGGTTGGCCACCTCCGCTGGAGCGCCGATCATTTCGATCGGACCTGCGTGTTGCGTATTCTGCGTATTCGACGCATCCAACGTCTCTTTGCAACCCTCCCTTTCGGTATCAGCCCAAAGATAACGATCTTGTTGGACGATGATATGGTCTCAGTGCCTGATGTGTGGGATGGGTAGCGAATAGTATCGGCAGCAATGATTGCAGGCCTCTCACATCTCTTCGCTTCCATCTCTCTCTTTGATTGCAATCTCCTGACCTTCCATCCCCTTCCCCTGGCCATTTACTCCCCTCCGCTTGTCTTGTTTTACGTAAATAATTCTTCTAGTTATCCTCATCTCTGCTTATTCACTTCCTTTTATTATTTTCGTACTCTCTTGTTCTTTACTTCTTATGGTGCCTTTTGCCATTTTTCTACCTTGGCGACCTTCTGAAATCAGTAACGATTATATTTTAGTTGAAGTCTACTATCATGGCTATTGAGTATCTGGACGGCCAGATCCTGGTTCGGGGCATTGCGGTGACTTTGATCCTCGTTCTTGTATGCCAGTTCTTTAGGGACCTCGCAGATGGCTTCCCCTACTGGAATATCCCCATCATAGGACGAGGTAGATGGGAGCTTTCCAACGCCAAAGCCAAAGAGCGCTATGTCAGCTCGGCCAAAGAACTTGTTGAGCAAGGTTTTAGTGAGGTATGTGGCGGACGGTTCACGATGCTCACCTGTCGAGTTAAAGACGGCAAGTTTGAAGACTGATGCTTCGTGCACAGGGCAATACAGTGTTCCAAATGATGTTTGACCATGCTCCGGTGATCGTTTTGCATCCATGCTATATCGATGAAATCAAAAACAGCCCACATCTGAGCTTTACGGAGTCTAGTAAGAAGGTATTATGACGGCAGATACGCTTCGGCATCTGAGATGATTTAACTTCCACTTAGATGTTTTTTGGTGTTAAGATCCCGGGGTTTGAGCCCTTTGATGGAGGTGACGACAAATATAACCTTGTTCGCGAAATGGTCGGCAAAAAACTTACGTACCAGGTCCTTGGTTAGCCAATCTGCTGTGGTGATTGACGCTTGCTCTTATCCTATTATAGTCTAATCTCTTTCTATTTGTAGGAAGCCTTATTTTTCCTCTATCAAGAGAAACAGCTGCTGTGCTGAACGAAAATTTACCCAAATCCAATGGTATGTTGGACCTATTATACTCTCATCTGGCACAACTTGGATCCTATCTCTAACAGGGCTTACTACACGTAGAGTGGCAACCGTTCATACTGGGGCTGGAAGTCCCGTACATCGTTGCTCGATTGTCTTCCTTGGTCTTCCTAGGAGAAAATATCTGCCGCGACAAGGGCTGGCTGAACGTCTCGGTCAATTATGCAACCGATGGATTCCATGCTGCTCGCAATCTTAGACTCTGGCCGGCAATCCTCCGACCATGGGTGCACTGGTTCATGCCATCGATGCAGAGGCTCCGGAAGCATATCGTGGTTGCTAATGAGATCATCCAACGGGAGATGCACAGAAGAGACATGATCCGCCAAGGCAAGGTGCTCGAAAATGACCATTCCAGGATGCATGAAGATGCTTTGGATTGGCTTGCAGAAGTTGCCAATGGACGGCCATTGAATATGACACGGTCCCAGATATCAATGTCTCTAGCTGCCATCCACACCTCGTCTAATCTAGTGCTGAACATCATGTACGACTTGATAGCGTATCCAGAATACATCCAGCCGCTGAGAGACGAGATAAAAGCTGTCCTGGAGGAAGACGGTGTGTTGAAGAAGAGCAGTCTCTTGAAGATGAAGAAGTTGGATAGCGTCATGAAGGAGACCCAGCGACTGAACCCCGTTAGTCTAGGTACGTTGTTTCCTGGGTTCCACCGGAGGACCGCAGTGTTGCCCTAATGTTAACTCTGGGCATTCTCGGCAGCTTTTCTTAACCGGATCGCAACCGAAGACATTACGCTTTCCAACGGGACTCATATTCCCAAAGGTGCCACTCTGACTGTGTCAGCCCATACGATGCAAGATGAGGCAGTGTACCCGAACGCGAACACCTACGACGGCTTCCGATTCTACAACATGCGTCAGATCCCGGGTAACGAGCATCGGTTCCAGCTGGTGTCGACGAGCCCGGAACACCTTGGCTTCGGTCATGGCCTGCATGCATGCACCGGCCGATTCTTCGCCGCCACTGAAATCAAAATTCTCCTCATCCACCTGCTGATGAAATACGATTGGAAATTTGCCGACAGGACGGGGCGACCGAAATCGTTCATGTATGGAATGGAGATCATTGGCGACCAGACGGTGAAGTTGCTGTACAAGGCGCGACAGCCTGAGGTTGACCTCGCTAGGCTTGGTGAAGGGATCCTTGAATAAATTCCCAGTCCATGTGGTACATGTTTTCTTTGCTGAGTGATGACTAAATGATGTATTTTGTAACTATTTATAACTAACTTAGCTATTAATTATCTCGTTATGAGCAAGACTGAGAATTCGCTTAAAAGGGTGAACAATGTGGTTCGTCTGCTGCTACCCAACAAATTTATGCACAATAATGCAAGGGAGGCTATCGGTATCCAAGCAAGAAAGTACTCCAGGTGCTATCGAAACTCCCTACCGCGTGGTCTCCAGAAGGGCAAGAGTATGACACCCCGTAGATGAAGACCACATGACAACTACGTTCACATGACCAAAAATTAGACATTTCAGCTTTAGGATGTCAAAGAGCACAGCCGCAGGACCTTTGATGGTTTTATATTTTACCAAGAGAGGAACTACACAGGTGCTACCATCCCTTCTAACATTATCCTGGTATGAACCACTGTAGCTTACAGCTGCAGCTGCATCTCTTCCAGACCTACCTGTGCACTTGCAGTGGAAGCAAGGAAGGTGCAGGATCGTTGGGTTGGGATTGTTAATCATAGGCAGGTAGGGCCAACAATTCTCTTCTCAAGTCTTTGTTTTGATCCCAGATACTTGACGGACATACCTAAGATGGTTTTATTTGTTCATTTATTTATTCATTTTATTTTATTTTATTTATTTTTTATTTTGCCAGGAATCCACCATTCCAAGACTAAGTATATCGCAGTCCTTATATCTCCGGGAAGAGGACAATTGAAATTTCGTGTTATACGTACTGATTCAATTCCAAGAATCCAAGCCGAAGGTCGAAGATATTATTAGAATCCCACTGGACTAGCATTCTTTGCAGTGGGATCTTTCAATATTAGTTTGTCCGTATTACTACCTGGTCGCTAGACAGTAGGTGGCCAAGGGTTCCTGCATAGACCCATTTGTCTCCAGGAGGAGCACCAAGAATATCCACCTTTTGGGATCCTGAGCAGAGATTCTTGCCTTCTTGGGCAAAGAGGATTGACACTTCCAAGTCTCTGCTAGTCTCTTAGTCCAGGAACCGTCAGCCACCCGTAAATGAGGACGATCTGCCTGGTCTCTGACTGGCTGGATCCCGTCAGGAAACGGTACGTTACTAAACGCGCGTAGACGCGTTCCAGACGCGTTGGGACGCGATGGGGGCCCACCTTGACGCGAGGGCGCAGCAACGTGACCAAGACCGAAGAAAGAAACCTGAACAAAGCCTTTTTTCACTTGGACCAGGACGTTCCTTGGATGGCGCGCGGTCCTTATTTTGACGTCCGGATATGCTATTTGAAAGATGGCCGAGTGTCGACCGTTGATTTGAGTGATATCACATCTGGGTCGCCGACGAGGCTTTCCTCGGTGGCCGTCTTGCCCACCGACTGGGCGGTTAAGTCGCGTTTGCTCATCCCTACTATAAGTACGTGGTAGCACTAATGCATGCCCAGCGTCCACCTTGGTTCGTCCGTGACATAGTGGGGAACGTTTCTGCAAGAGACTGGAGTTCGAACTTTTCGAAACCACTTCCCTCCTTCCGTACGTGCTACTAGGGGAGACCTCAGTGGCTCGACCACTGGTATGATCCTGTTAAATTTTTCCCAGCCACCGACTTGATCACACGGTCATCAAGGTTCAACCAACTGACGAAGAGTCCTCAAGAGCCTACCTGATTGTCTTCCATGTAGATCAGTTGAATCCGTATGAACTGGGAGAGAGGTATGGCATATGATGTTCTGATAGGCTTCTATCCGCTCTCAACGTTTCATATTATTTATCGAATAGGAAAAAAGGGTTGAAAGGACAAACGATGATAGGATTTTTCACCTACACTCCGAATGGGCCGACGCGGTTTTTTTTTTTTTTTTTTTTGCCTCCAACGAAGGATATTGCGTATTAAATCGATTCGCTAGTGCTCTGCAGTGCATCCTTTTTCGCGTACCTTTGCGGCAGGTGGAAGATCAAGCAAGCAGCTTTGTGAGGACTTCCCTATCGTACCTAGTACCTAGTTTTGGAAGTGGGACCTAGGAGCGCTGTGCAGCTTGTACTCGAGGCCGTAAGAGTGAATGACTCCATCGGGACCAACGCCATTTGTCGACCGTTTTCTAGCTCCTGAGGCCTCGTTGGGCGGCGCAATGAGGTGGTTTAGACTGACCACGACCAACCTCCAGCATTTAGATGGTCCCGAATATTTCTACTAATGCGATGGGTGCACTGTTTTTAGAAATGGGAGAAAAAATAAAATAAAAATAAAATGAAATTAATCAAACGAAGATAGACTGGAGTGATGCCGGGTCCTGCCCAACAGCAATTCTCCGCATTCCACAGCAAGCGGGTTTACTTATTATTCCATGTGATTTTGTTCTGTTTGATTGTCCTCGGGGGGATACGATTGGGTTCAATCAATTTGGTGATTTTATTTATTTATTATTTTTCATCTGTTGCATTCCTTATGGTGAGTATGAGATGCACCTCTTGGGGCTCTCTACTGCAGTATATACGGAGCACTTCTCACGGGCCTGTAAAGCTGTCAGTTTGGAATCTCTCGGACGGACCGCTAATACGCACTAGACCTCGTGCGAATTAATTGATTAATTGATCTGTTCCGACTTCCCTGACGTGGTGATTATCCATATTAATTTCGGGCAGTGGAGCCCCCCAACTTAGGCTTGTGCTGGCAATAGCAGTTAGGCTCGACCCTTCCCCTCTTGGCTGATCCTCCCAGCCCTTTTCTCTCAACTCTTCTTCTCCTTCACCCTTGCTTGCCTGCTTTCTCTCCCTTCCCCCTTCACCCCACCTTTGCACGGCCACGGCCGCTATCTCGCGCGTGGTTCGTAGATTCCGTCCTTTCTTCCCTTTTTCCCTTTTCTTTTGTGTTGGTCTGGCGTTTTTGTGTGTCAATGTCGGCTTCCCTCTATACTTGCTCCAAGCGCCGGAACCGTTCGATGTGATACCGCCTCAAAGTATATCAATCGCATATCGCATCGGCATTCACACAAATTCGGTCGCTGTCTCTCCGACCACTCACACCTGGACGAGCTCTATTTCCTTTTTTGTTGTTGTTTTTGTTTTTAAGTTACGATTTACGACTTCCCCCTTTACGCGCCTCCCCAGTCGACCTAATTGGACATTGGTCGACGACGCCTACACCATTAACGCAAAAAACAAGAATTATTTCCCTGGGGACCCTACCGTTCTCCCAAGGCGTCACTATCACGGAAGAAAGGGTACGCAGTCAATTGGGGTTAGACGACTGGTGTGCGACGGGGGAATATCCGATTCCGTGCTGCCCCCGGACCGGACACTTAACGAAACGCGCACGAGGCTCACAACTGGCGAAATGGTACTGGAATAGAGGATCGTTCTTCATCTGTTACGCGGAACGACCCCTCGGAGATCCTCGACTTTGTTTCCTAGTTTGATTTATACCTTCGGTGGTCGAGAACGGGACAACGTATAACCATGGCGTATCGACAAGGAGGGTTCTCACGCACGTTGCCAAAAAACTTCACCTTCCCCTCGGCAAGCATGGGGGAACCGAGAACTCCTGAACGCGCCTCAGTTCGCTTGGACGTCCCGCCCCCACCCCCTCGCCATTCCAGCTGCCGCTTGCGCAGGTCCCGTGTGCGCTCAGGGACCGACGTTTTTGCGTATGCCGAATATGATCTCAGCATGTTTCATTCCAGACAATCCGACATCCCCTTACCCTCTATTGAATTTCCTCCTGGTGATGCTTCAACTGTTCGGCCTCCCCTGGTGATGCCTGCCGACAGTGACCGCTTCTTAGCCCCTCCCCGGGATCGTGTGGCCCTCAAGACCCCACCTGCACAGATCCGCGAAGACCCCATCGAGCCAAGATCCACCGGAACTTGGTCTACGGAAGATCCCCAAATCCTGGGGGGAACGATCGAGCGTCCGGCTTCCGCCTGTTCGAATGCTTCTGACTCCTCGGTCTCGTCAATTGAAACTTTTGCTTCGCGGCGTTCACTTGGTGGAAGCTGTACCAGTATGGAGAGTGATTCCTATGATCCATTCTTCCATCTTGAGATCCATCCAAAACCGGTCGTGGAATCCCCATTGCTGAAGAGTCAGCGGAGTAAATCGCGCATGCTCCCCGGGAAAGAACGGTGGACAATGGACATGGACAATCATCTTTGGAATACCTACCAACTGTACCTCCAAAATCCTACCATTACCCCGTTCAAAATGACGCCGGGGAGTATCCCACCACTGGGAGTGACTCACCGAGTAGCGCGAGACGCGAAGAGAACCTGGGAAAAGAGACCTCTTCTATTGACGAAACGGTTGCCGTCTAGTTTGCAACAGTGCCGGAGTGGTGACTCTACGCCAACCCAAAAAGCCAACCCGGCAAAGCCACTCTGGCCTAGATCGGAGGCCTCAACCAGGCGGAGACTGAAGTTGCTATGCAAAAGGAAGTTCTCTATCGCCCCTCATTATCAGAGAATAATGCAATCCCGGAGTCCAACACCTGCCCTCGATTTGTTCTCTCACCCGTCCTATGAGTCGTCGCATGTCGAGGTTTCTGGCGGTAGCTCGGCGGCTTATGCGACACGTGATTTGGGCGTCTCCCTTGTCTCCAGCTCGGTTCCCGGTCCCCTGTCTCAGCTTGCCATGGAGTTTACTTCTCCCCAAGAGACAAACAGTGAGTGGTTCAACAAGCTTGTGCCTCGTGAACCGTCTAAGGTGGTCGAACCCTTTGCGAAAAGGCCGTTCAGTTTCGATGAACGGGAGATGGCGCCTCGTCTTGGGTCTCCGTTCACATACAATACATGGGCACCAATTAATTCAAGGAAGAGAGCCAATCGCCATACACCTAGAGTTCGACGCGAAACAATTCATGTTACCGGCTCACGGTTGCAGTCTCCTCCCCGCATGGATGTATTTTCCGGTATGAAAAACAGCAGTCTCACTCCTAACCAGGAATCTAGTGTTCAATCACCTCGCGAACAAGATACACATCGTCATCTAGAAGAGCTATTCCGCCAAGGCAAGATAAATGATATGGGCCAGCGTCGCGTGCGGATTAGGACCCGTGGAGCCACGACAAGCTCCGTCAGTCCGAAGGGGTTGGATCAGCTCTTTTCTCCACCATTGTCTTCTCGAAATGAAGAGACTACCGCGATAGGAAAGCCTGTGGTTGATCCTTTGCGGAATCTTGCGGGCGAAAATGTAAAACGTCTCGGCTCACCATTTAAAGTGGAAGCCTTCAAGCGTTCTGGATCTTCGTCCCGGTTCATTCGACATGTAGCGTCACGCTCAGAGCCATTTTCAAGAGAGTTGCTATCTCAAATTAGACCGACGAATCTAGATGCGCGGCCAAGGGTTCAAGACATGATGCATCTGCCGTCATACGACCCTACCGAGAAAGGCATCTCTGATGCGGAGCGAATTCGGAGACAGATATTAAACCTGTCCCACACAAGGCAATAAATGTGCCATGGAAGCCACGAAGCAAGCAGCAGACAGGGATCCGCACTGAAAAATCTGTTCTCAATATGGTGCCGACCTCATTTGAATATGTTGCTAATGACCTGGATGATTTACTGCGACCTTGGTTTCAATGTCCATGAAGAATAATGAATGACAGAAATGGTATTGACGACATTGACGACATTTAAGAGAAAAAAAAAAAAAACAAAACCCCTTACACACAAAAAGACAGCACGACAACAAAGAAAACCAGGATGTTTCCCACTCTAAGCAGATGTGTTACATCATTCCAAGAAAAACAAACAAACCAAAAAAGTCGAGTGATTTTGCATCCAAACGCAATCTGGGCTATGTTCCCAGTATTTTCCATATTGGGCCATGAACATGGCTGAATATTATTTGGAGTTGGCAAAACTTTACTCATTGCTTCGATTAACATTTTTATTACTCTTATCTTACTCTTACATTCTCAACCTCCACTCTTTACTTTCCTCTTTCTTATCAACCAAATCAGCATTGGATATTGATCTGGCTTGCATAAACAACCATCCAGAATAGCACGAACCGATAAGGTAGACTGACAATACTGTTTTCTGGTTGGGCTAATGGATCATCCATATGCCGCTGTTGGTTTCTAGTCCAGACGACACAATCTTTGAATTCTCATTTCCTTTCCTGTCTACCGAATCCCATTCACTCTTTGAAACAACTCATACAACATCGACACAAATGCTCGAGCCAAAAAGGCAAAAAAAAAAAAAAAAAAAAATCTATCGATATCTTACAATCCTTTATTTTCTTCTATATTATCAATTGGAATTGGAACTCTCTCAATACCCAGAATCATTATATTGTTGATTTGTTTGATGATGAACCATGTTTGCCATCTTTTCTTTTTCTTTCCGGATGCATGATGATTGGAATGGAGAGACGCCGGTATTGAATGAAACGACTTATAGATGAAATGATGATGATGCTGCTCAGCAACGTTCATGAAAGCGTTTACAGCCATTGCAGCGTTCAGTCCCAGTCTGAATTTTACCTCCATGACTGCTTTTATTCTACTGTTATCAAGTCTTGCATAAGTCGGACGTTCAACTTTTTATACTACAATTTATCTCAGTCAATCTCTTACTGGATCACTGCTGGTGGTTCCTATATTCTTCATATCCTTTATGATCTACAGTGCTAGGTTTTGTATTCGTTAGATGAAGATGATAAGATCCATATTTGTATTGATGACTAGTATGACATAGTGGTCCGTGGCAAATCTTGATGTATTTTGTTTTGTTTTCCTTTGATTAGATTTGATGAATCCAAAGCAGTGATCCTTCAGGGAGTTGACACCGATATAAGCTCTGTATTGAATTCACTTCTGTAGGATGAGAAGACAAGATTGAACTAGTACCACCTACGTTTGTAATTGTGAGCAATATGATACTAATATAGGCAAAAAAAAAAAGAAAAAGAAAAATCCTCAAGACACAGAAATCCCATATGAAGACATAATTCAATATGTCCAAGAAAAAGATATAGAATAAGTACGTACACAACAGAAAGAAGCAAGTGTGCAATCATATTCCATCTCAAAACCAAAACGCCACGCTGCAGGAGCTAAGGAAGGGGGTATTTATTGGTGGTGTCGTGATGCATCGTGAAGTAGGAAAGCGAATTTATTACGAGTGAAGAATATGACAAAAGCAAAAAAGACAAAAGAAAGGAAGAAGGAGGAAAGAAGATGAGCTGCATGCTAACACTTCTCCATTCTTTTCTTCCTTTCAGAAAATATAGCCTCCAATTTTCGGATCTGAAGACCAAGACCCTTTTTCTCGGCATTGACGAGCAACCAGGCTTCCATTTTCTCCCGGACATATCGCATAGAGTTCGGCACTGGGAGATGGTGGGTGCTTTCGTCTGCGATAATGCCATCGATAGGGGTATCACGTTCCATCTGGACCCAGCGATCAGCGAAGGGGTTCAACAGCAGATCGAAGACGTCGTTCCAGATTTCGCGCTCCCAGTACCGTTTCAGCGTTTCGCGGATGCGATATATTCTCGTAGTGGTGGTGGTGCTATGGCCGTTGGGGTAAGACGGAGGGCCCTCGCTTGTTTGGATTGGCGTTGACTCGAGGTACTTGCCAAAGAGCATGATATGCACGGTACCCGCAATGCCGTAGAGATCGATCTGGTGAGTCCATGGTCGCATCTCGCGGATTTCATTACATTCGTGTTTTCCAGTCTCCCAGTCCGCAATGAATTGGACGGAGGGCAGGAAGGCACGCATGTCAATTGCGCGGCCAAAATCAATCAAGGAAAGCCCCTTAGAACGCCAGCCGTGAAAGCCTCGAGGAGAGTAATGAACCTCGCGTGGGTCGGAGTATTTCTCATTATTGTCCAGGTCAATAAGCGAGGCAGGTGTAGTCGATTTTTCGTCTAGCCGCACAAGACAGTTGTCGGCCTTGATGTCTCCATGTAAGATGCCACATGCGTGAAGAGCTTCGACCGTTCGGAATAGTTCAATAGTGAAGAACATAGCAAGGGCTTCATCCAACCCGCTTTCGGCGGTAGCGTTGGCTGTAAGCGGCTCGTTGCGGACGAGATTGACAAGATCTAACAACGTCCCTTGGCTACGGTAGTCTTCAACCAGAATGCTTTCTCCTTTGAAGACGTGAAGCTCGTGGACACGAATGATACTTTCGGCAGCGCGGGACAGCTCTGGCACCTGGCTAACTCGTTCGTGTGCGGATCTGATCATGTAAAACTCCCAAGGATTGGGGGGTCCAACTTCCAGTTTAAGTGCTTCAAATCCATAGCGGGACGCGTTTCGCTTGGTTAGCTTGCTGCCATTCGTCGAGTGGGAGTCTTGGGTATCGTCGTCCATGTGTTCATTCTCCGAATCAGACGATAGGTTGTCAATACTTTCCGCAAAGTAGACTGGGGCGTAAGCACCGGCCCCCAGTTCTCTTCGAATGATATAGCTTCGCTCTGCACCAGGGAGATCGAGGATTGGCACATCAAATGATGCTCCGTCACCACTTCTAGGACGCTTGACATGGGTTTTCATGAACTTTTGGATGTCAGAAGCATAGTGTGTCTCTATTTCCGTAGAGCGATGATACCCAGCAAATGAAGCAAGGGCTGGGTTCAAAGAACGAGAAAGAATGGCGTCCCGAATGCATTTGCTTGTGGGATTGCACTGCGGGTCCGTGATGATAGTCGACTGTTCGTTATTATCTCTCAATGGGAAAGTGAGCTTCGGGCCGGATTGCGTTTTGATTGCCGTTGGGCTCAGCGTCATGTCTTCGGGCAAGCAGCCAAGGCTTATCGTGTGATGCGGTGTCTCCGTAGCTAGTGGAGTTGCCAGAAGGTCAATATGAGGCGTTTCGGGATGCATCGGCTTGGATGGAGTCTTCGCATTGTAGATCTGGCTTCTGGCAGCCGTCATTGAAGCCAGGGAATGCTCCGTCTGTTCGACGATGGGGGTCATGAAAGGCAAACGGTTCTGGGCCATTACTGCAGGATCTCGATAAGTACCGTAGGGTGGATTGTAATCATCGGGCATTTGGGGAACAAATTTTCCTCGCATCTCGTTGGATATGTCTCCGTCATCTTGCTCATCCTCAGCTATGCCACACTCAGCTGTTAAATCAGCTGATAATACGTTCTCTGAATCAAGATGGTCTAGGCTGGGAATACCTTTCCTAGGCGAAAACTCGGTCCATTCTCCTTCGACAACACTTTCGGCCTGCGTGTCATCAAAGCCATCCTCATCGAAAGACTTGTGGAAGGTGGTGGTCTCATCGTCCCCGAAATCGCTTGAAGCAATTGATATCCGTCCAGTTACAGTACTTTCTCCAGCACTCGTGTAGCCATCATCCTCAAAATCGCTGCTTTCAGCAGCCTCCGCCTCCGCCCTTAGAGGCTGATTGAAGATGCTGTAAATCTCGTCTGTGGCAGCTCGGGTATGCATAGTCATCGTTGGTTCAGAGGTGCTTTTACGTCGAATCTTGTTCCCAGTCGGCGAGTCAAACTTCATTTTGACTGAAGAGCTGGTCAGTGCCTTTGGCCGACGAAAACCTAGCAAAGTCGTGCGAATGTGCTACTCACCAGTTTGCGTCTCTCCGCGAACTTCACGAAATTTCCACTTCCGTGCTTTTCCAGTCTTTCCCTCATTGGTTCCATCGAGGTCTGTAACAGGGTGCGGTGCTGAAGTATCCGGGTCCTTGATGATCAATTTTTGATTGAATTCTTCCGGTAAGTCCCTATTAAGCCTATGATCAATGATGTTCTCGTTCCCTGATATCTGCTTGAGAGGTTCTTTCTGCGAACGCCAGTTCATGTCCATCCAGCCACGGCTCATGGCCCTGAGCTCTTCAAAGCTGACCTCCTTGTTGGGGTTCGTATAGTCGGGATATACTGCATCAAGATTGACGAAAACACGCTCTCGGCGCCCTGTACGGGGGTTTATTGCCTCTCTTACACGATGTTCTGGAACATGCTTCGATTGCTCTGCATCTTTGGTTTGTAAACTTGAGTTTGACTGAATACATTAAATCGTAACCAAATCCAGGTTCATGCCACCCATTAGTCCTGTGATCGTAAATATATGGAATTCAGAAAACAGCAGGTATATGCCTGTACTTACCTCGTCTCTGAAAATTGTCATTTTTTGTGCCGGTCCGTCTTTCTTTCCTGCCTTCAAAGTTTCTCCCGCCCATGGCTTTGCCTCTACTTTGTTCTCCTTTCGTCGTTCATGCAATGACCCGATGCTCTCCCAGCCCTTGGTCGGTCCTGCTACGGCGGGTGGACTTGCCGAGGAATCAGTATCCGAAAAGATCGCCATCTTTGGTTTGCCCGACTTCATTTTTGCAGGTCCCCTCGCACCAGGGGATGGCCGCTGTACTTGTGAATCTGCTGATGCCGGTGTGACTGAAGAAAACGGATCTACTTTGGCAGCCAATGCTGGACGCACCGCGGGTAATGCAGGGGAAGACGGACCGTTGTCATGAGACTTCAATTCGTAGCGCTGTTGAAATTCGCTGTATTTGCGTACAAGGCGCTCCACTGGTCGTGCCTCCCGGTCCATCCCAAGCCTGTACACTTCATCTGCCTGTGTCCATCGCCCTGCACCTTCGAGCCAAGCTGCGAATTCCTCATAGAAAAGCGCAAGTCCCTCTCCAATATGGTGCCGCGCCAAAAAGGCAAACGTTTCCCGTGGAGAGTCAGAAAAAAGTCGAATATAGTGAAGCCACAGACGCAGGTAACGAGGATCGTTCTTGTAGTGATTTGACGACAGGAATGATTTCACCGCACGTTCCAGTAACAGGAGAAGGCCCGACTCCGGGGTTGCTTGGGCCGACGGATATGCATTTAGTGTCCATTTTACATAGCGGTCGTATATATCAAGCGGATCGTCCGACTCTCCTATGGTTTTCAACTCAGCCTCGTAATCTTGTCGGATGGCATCGTTCATCGTCCTCGTGTCGTTAGGGGATGGGGCTGCAAGCTTGTCCGTGGTGTCTCGCGGAGAAAAGATACGAGCTAACTCCCTCGCAGATCGGCCACCAGGTAATGATTGGATGTTTTCCTTCTGTGTCTCGATGATATCAAAGTCGATGAGGTCTTCGTTGGCCGCCATAGCGGCGATGGTTGATGGCGATAGCGCCCGAACACCCGGAATGATCCTGGTGATATATAGCCGGTGTCGTAGAAAGCGAGATTAGCTTGTATAAATAGAGAACTTAGCCAGAGCACAGTGTCGACAGTCGTGGTGGTAGTCGTCAAAGAATGTCGAGGATTGACGGAAGGTGGAGATTCTTTTCTAGCCGAGTTTATCGATAAACAAGCGGCCCTGGTTGCCCAGGTTACGTATCACGTGCGCTATTTCCGATAAGCGACTCCATCCCGTGACGGCAGTTCTCAAAGAATGTCAAATCCAGACAGAATATACGCCCAGGAACACTTCCCCTGCAGCTTCATTGGTGGTAGAAGGTTCAGAGATACTGGTGTTAAGCGTGGGCTTCAAACAACTGCACCGCCACGTGTTATTGTCGATGTCGAATTGAACAGTGCGCCAATCGGGCTCGACTAGCTTTGCCATCTTCATCTTCAACTTCCAGGACAAGAAAGACACTGAGTTTATGCTCTAGAAAGGGACTCGATACCCTCTAGGTTCAAGACCGCTCAAGTCTCCAATTACTCTACGTATAGAATGCACCGTTGAGACTCATGATTTTACCTCTACATAAGCCAGCGCTGGACCACATTTACATCTCTTTAAACTCTCAATCGCATTAAACACAACCAACAAAGCCAATTATCCTCCTATGCCTCCACGTGGAACGCGTAGGGCAACCTCTGGCGGTGCACCACGCTCGCAGCCAACAACCAGCCCAGGGAGCAATAAACGAAAATCCGAGGAGAGTGCTGTGCCGAGCTCCCCACCAAGAAAATCAAAGAAAGTGAAGTCGACAGATCAGCTGAAAACTGTAGCCTCTTCAGTTCTGACTGAATCCCACGGGACGGTCAAACAGGAAGTCGGAGAAGAAGAAAAGGAGGAGACCAAGGTATCCGTTCACGTTCAGTTGGAGCAAGGGCCGGATGAAAAGACAGCCGTGAAGGGAAAGGCTACGAAAAAGCAAAAAACGAAACTGGAAAAGAAGTCCGAGCACATGCCTCTGCGCTCGAGGACACAGGGACTGCGCATGCATGTGGGAGCGCATGTCAGCGCAGCCAAAGGTATGTCTTATCTGCAATGGTCCTGCCCTGTCCCTACCTACACAATCTCACGAATACATGCGTATGGCAGGCGTGTTTAACGCCGTATCCAATAGCACACACATCGGGTAAATAAACCCACCCAAATAATCTGGATTGCCCCCAAAGTTGATTATATTCTCAGTGGCAATGCTTTTGCACTCTTCCTTAAGTCACAGAGAAAATGGGATAACCCTCCACTACAAGACGACCACCGAGACCAGTTCCGTCGGCTTTGCCAGGAACAGAATTACGACGCAGCAAAGTAAGTTGAATCCTATTGACAACCATTTCAGACAACCTCCACATCAGACAATCGCTTACACGCTACTAGATACATCCTTCCTCACGGATCCTATCTAGTCAACCTAGCACAAGAAGACAAAGCTAAATCCAAGCAAGCATACGACTCATTCCTCGACGATCTCCGTCGCTGCGAAGCCCTAGGAATCAAACTATACAACTTCCAGTAAGTCCCAGCCGACCAACCAAGAATCTACACCAACCTAAGTCCATCCCAGCCCCGGCAGCGCAAACCAAAGCAGCCACTCCGACGCATTACGCCGACTCGCCAAAGCCCTAACCAACGCCCTCTCCGCCACGACAACGGTTATCCCCGTCCTCGAGACGATGTGCGGCCACGGCTCCACCATCGGCGGCCAACTGACTGAATTCCGAGACCTGCTGGCTATGATCCCACACGAACACCATCCCCGTATCGGCATCTGCATCGACACGTGCCACAGCTTCGCGGCCGGATACGATCTCGCCACCTCGACAGGGTTCCAAGACTTCATGAAAGAATTCGAAGACGTGATTGGGCTTCAGCATCTACGTGCTCTCCATCTCAACGACTCCAAGGCCCCCCGTGGCAGTAGACGGGATCTTCACGCGAATATTGGAACGGGGTTTCTTGGTCTCCGGGCATTTCATAATGTGATGAATGAATCTCGTTTCGAGGGTCTTCCTATGATTCTTGAAACGCCTATCGATCGACCTGAATCAAGTATCAAGAACCAAAAGGAGGAAGAGGATGACACTAGCGATGCTGACTCTAAAAAGAAAGCCACGAAGAAGCAGCCGAAGCGACCGGCTGGTGCGAAGCCTGCAATGGTGGCTGATCTCTCTGTCTGGGCAAAGGAGATCGAGCTTCTTGAATCATTGATCGGGATGGATCCTGAAGGTCCGGAGTTCCGTGCCCTCGAGAAGAAGTTGTCCGACGAAGGTAGAGAAGAGCGCGAAAAGCATCAGGAGCAATATGATCGAAAGCTGGAGAGTGAAAAGAAGAAGCAGACAAAAGGCCCGAGCAAAAAAGCGCAAAAGTCGTTATTGGAGATGATGAATGCACCCGGAAGGAAAGGGAAAGCGAGTCAGACAGCTACGGGCGATGGCAGTGAAGACGAAGGATGCCAGAGTCACTCGGAGTAGAAAAACGCTTCTAAATTGTCGTGGTGATCTACGTGCTCCTAGCTAATGAATATACCTGTACTGTTCCTCTAACCAGGACGTAGATTTCCACGCAGATATACGAGAAAACAGGCTTTATATGTATGCACCTATAAACTCTTGACTGACTGCTTGTTTAGTGAGAGTCATGTACCATCAACTCCATTGGAGTAGATCTAACGCTTGCAAGTCTGCCGACCCCAAGCAATATACATCTTCGCTATACATTAACAATGTCTCTTTTTCTTTTGGCGGGAAGTAAATGATTGCCAACTGTAATCCAAATGGGTATTTTGTGTGGAAGACCTTCAAGCGACCACAACTCAGGCTAAATGCCGAAAGATGCCATGCCACCCCCGTGTCAGATAATACAGACGGAAGATCCAGGATGCTTTTGATGGACCCCTTCTATAAAAGTCTGCGGCCCAATCTGCCATGGAAACACTGACGATAATCCTTTGTAGAAAATAGGAGGGCCATATAGTACTTGTGCTGGAAAACCAGTACATGTTGCTAGTCAAATGTCTCACAAGCGCCTTTTCTTGAGCTTGAGAGAAGAGACGTACAAATGTCAAGTAGCAAGGCAGAGTGGAGGGAGGAGACCGGATAAACCATGCCAGTGGTTTCTAGCACACAGAGGCGCCATGAGAAAAGGAGTAGGAATCCTGCCTACTGCCTTTCCCATCCGGCCCTCTCAGGAGAGGACTGTAAGTTACGGCCCGGGCTTGCACTCCGTCCTGTTTTAGGAAGCTCAGCTTCTGCAGAGAAAATAACGGGAGGAGCAGAGCGCAAAGGCGACGGTCCAGAGACCCGCGGAGACATCGATCGATCACCGGCGGCTAGATTTGTTGTGTTGATACTGAGCCCATGAATGTTGGTCGAACCGCTGGCCCGAACCCGGAACGACCGCCGATCGCCGCTTTCCAGGTCGTCCACGGGGGTAATGTTGACATTATCATCGGACTGCACCATACGGGTTTCTGGGTTATGTACCTGGTGGTATTCTCCCCGCTGTATCGGAATCAAGCCTTCGATCTCCGATTCTAGATCCGGGCTACGTTCCCACGAGCTGCTTCGTGCCTCGGCGCGCATTTTGGAGATCTTCATGTAATTGTAGGTGCCAATGCTCGCAATCGTGATAATTAAGCCCGAGATATTGACGATAGTGAGCTTATCATGGAACACGACCCCTGCTGCACTGATGGTGATCACTTCCTTAAAAATGCCACAGATGCTCAGGGTGACGACGGACGAGCGCTTCAGAAGGGCGAATTCCGAAGCAATCATACAAAACGCCAGCACGCCTGGAAAGATAAGAAGCAGAATGCCAGACAGACCGCCACGAGCATCGGCAAGGGTGACGAAGCCCGTTACGATCTCGGACGGGCCCTCTACCGCCAGAGCAATGATGAGCAGCGATACAAACATAATGGGGGTGAGGAAGAAGAGAGTTGAGAATGGATTGGCTGTCGCCGGATGGCGTAGAAGTAGGATCTGGGTCAAGCCCCATCGGAACCCTGAGAAGAAGGCTGAAGCGATGACCAAGACGAACCCGATCGCATTGAAGGCGGTCTCCCCGGCGACCATCATGATCACACCCAGGGTCATGGTGGCGATAATGACGATCAGCTTGACGGATGGAGTTTCCAGGTGGAAAAGAAAGGCGAAGAGGAGGACGAAGGCAAGAGCCGAAGATTTGCACATGGTGAGAAAGGTGAGGGAGATATATTTCAGCGACCTGTTACCGAGGCCAATGTCAAGCGAGGTCGCCGCGCCGCAGGGAACCAAGCGTGTGAAGTAGAAAAATTTGGTAAATAGCGGTGGTTTCGAGTCCACCCCCTCGGGCTGTCCGACGGGTGAGCTGGAGGGTGATGACGAAGCGACCGGCTGGGGACGTAGCGAAGGAATCAGGTAGAGGAGAATGGAGGCGAGAGTGAATTGGACGAGCATATGCAAGCTTGTGGTGAACAATGGAAAGGGAAACACGACCTCGTCATCATCGAACATCCATTTATTGTACTGGAGCAGCCAATTGGTCAGTCTCAAAAAGAAGAAAGGCATTTTTTGTACATTCAGGAAACTCACAATTGATATCGCCAACGAAAAGAAGTACCACAGTAGAATCAACCCGGTATTAATCAGGAGCTTCCTGATAATATCGCTATCCGCACCTCCCAGCGAAAATAGATCCTGTCGTGAGGACTTGACATCGGCGATCCGGGCATCCAATTGGCGGCGCTGCTTTCTTCTCCGGCGTCGTTGACGTCGTTGCTTCGCTGTGAGGCCTGTCTCCTCGTCGTCGTGAAGATCGTCATCGGAGCTGATGAAATCCATCTCGACGCTCTCTGCAATGGAGGAAAGGTCGGATGCATCGGCGTCCTCGGTACCTCCAGGCTTCTGGTCTTCCCGTTTATAATTGGGCCCATCGGCGACGGGGGTTCGGGAATGCTCATCCCTTTGGTCGGTCGAAGGAATTTGTGACGGGCCTCCAGCGCCCGTCAGGACGGAGCTCCGCCGTCGGTGGTGATTGCTCGACGGAGAGACCATGCTGGAAGAATGGATGGAATGGAAGGGTCGACAAAAAAAACAAAAGAAAAGGGTATCTATTCAGGACTACTATACTATGATCGAGTTGAGAAAGACCCCATCCGTAAAACAAAGGAAAAGAAAAGAGAAGAGAAGAGAAGAAAAGAAAAGAAAAGGAAAATTGGCGGGAAGAACCCCCGGGGCTCAACGGGCAAATCCAACTCAAAAGTTGGAGGGAGAAGGAGGAGGGGAGAAGGAGAGGAGAATGATGTCAAGGGAAGTGGAATGGAGGGAAAACCGGACAAATGAAAGCACACAGGAAATGGAAAAGGAAAGGAAAGGAAAGAATCCAGGACGAAAGGAGCAAGAATGGCCTGGGAGCTTCATGCAAGGGCGACCGATAGACGGCGCATTCGATTCCAGAATAGAAGAGAGAGGAGAAAGAAGAGGAGAGAAAAGGAGGACAAGAGAGAGACAGAGAGAGAGAGAGAGATGAAAGGATGAGACTAGACCCGACTGGATCTTGGCTGCTGACAGTTCGTGCCTGACCAAAGAATGGTTCTATACTATACTAACCATCAGGAATCATCAGATGAAGGTTCAATCAATCATCTGCAGGCAGAAGTTTTCCCTCGTCCATCTTCTCCTCTCTTATCCTAGTCTCCAGAGTCAGTCTGATCATGCGAAAGGGTCAGTTAACTAGTGAACTTTCTGGGCGATCCGGGGTCGATGCTGGTCTATTTGTCTCTTTCTAAGAACCAAGGGACATCTATCCCCCCAGAGAATCCCTCACAGAGAATCCCTCCATAGAACAAGGCGCTTGTTCATGACTTCATGCTTAAAGTGCTCCCATATTTCCAGTGCCAACGAGGCGATTTCATCTCACACCGACTCTTGGCGAGTGGACCCGGGATTTGATTCAATCCCACACCATCCATCCTAGCTGCATGGGTCCTCGTCTGCTTTTAGTACCTGCAGCTGCAGGATGTGGCCCTTTTTGGAAGATGTCATCGGCTCAAGTTGGTTCTCTGCGACTTTGTCGTCTTCCATGGCTCGTCGTCCATCGAGGTCTCATAACCTTGGTATCCGACGCTATCGGCACTTGGCACATTTGGTTGAACTCTGTGGACATGTTTAAAACGATGGGCGGCTCAGAAAGCTCTATGTGGGAATACGAGAGGGGGTTCTCACACAGTCTTCTACTCTAAGGGTCTGTCGCCGAAATCATCAACAATAACAATAATATCAATATCCTCTGTATGTCTGGATCAGTCCCGTTAAATCCGACCGACGGATGAGGCATCAGTATCCAAATATTGTACTGACAGCATTGTCCGCTGACCAAGGCCATCAGATCAAGGTAGGTCGCTTGTCATACACATGTTCCCCAGATGGTCCTACCTAGCAAAGTCGCCGAACTCATCGGCATCCTCGAAGAGACTCGAGGATTCGACTGACCGACCTCCTAAGAAGTGGTCTGCTGTAGAGCCCGAGACCCAAGACAGTTCACTACGTATCGATCGGTCGAATGGTTATTCGTAAACAGTGTTCACACAACGGGCAAGAAGAATCAAAGAGGGTCATCATAATGGTCATCTGGTTTCTAAAGCGTAAAATTTAATGGATGAGGTTCACTCCAACCCATCCATCCATCCATCGCTTTCGATGCGTTGCCCCTGGATGAGGTAGATATACAGCAATAACCCATGTACTATCCACGCCACCAACTCCTGCATCGCGTCTGGTCGCTTGATTCTCCCCAGAGAGACAACAAAACAAAAGAGGAATAGAAGATATGAGGATATGAGGATATGAAGATATGAGGATATGAGAGAGACAAATAAAATAGAAAAAAAATTCGCCGATTCATTGCATGTTGCATCTATCACATCACCCGATTCAATTATATCGCTTACTGTCTCGCGGTGCGCCCCTTCCTTTCAGCTCCAGCCGCATCGAGATTGGTTCAATATACCGGGCACCCAGCTAGGGAGCCGCCTTTCTCCTTTCATCCTGTCATAAATGGGCGCTGATAGATAGATGTTTTCCACTCGACCTACACAAGAGCTCGTGTGCGGATGGAGCGGAGGAGATATGAAAAGCACGGCTCAACCTCCCTTCCTTTGTCCAGCAGCGCCAGGCCCTGGAGACAACAAGTTGGTGTTATTGGCAGTGGAGTTTCGCGAAAAAGCATCAGTGGAGGAAATGGTGGCACTGTCATTACGCAGTTCCATCTTCATACGCTCCATTTCAAGCTGTCGAGTTTCAACGCCGATGATCAGCATTCCTCGCTTTAAAAAAACTCCCATGGGGTTCAAGCATAGTATGGAAAAACAAGGGCTGGTTTTTACGTACCACCTTGCGCACTCGAGCAAGAGCAGCGGTATCACCCGCCACCAGCGACCGGCAATCATCTACACGGTACGGAGGTGCGATGGTGACTGCGTCTGCTACGACGATGCTAGTTCTGTCCCACCTGGCCGGCATTGTGCGACTGAACGCATCGAACAACTTCTGGGCCTCCCGAGTAACACCTTTACCACGGCGCGCCTCGTTCTCTTGTAACTTGCTGACAGCGTTGGCCTCTCGCGTCTTCAAGGCACGGATATCAAGCGCGTGTACCGGAGGGACCGCATCGGAGAAAGATGGTCCCTCGGGGGTGCCAGTCGACGGGGCAAGAGTAAGAAGTTGGAAGGACTGTATACGCGACACCGGGATGACGTGGTAATCGCCTGTCTGCACCTGTTTCCCGTCGGCGGTATTGATAGCAACAAGGTTGGTGATGGGACAAGCGGTGAACAAGGTTCCTTCAATCGTAGACACAGCGGGAGCTGCTGTGCTGATGCGAACACTGGTAGGGAGACACAAAGAGTTAGCGATATCCAACAATAAGCGGTACTCGTGAAAGGTGCCCCGAGTTTTCTCTTATAATTGACACTCCACGTCGCTGCAGGACTCAAGGACGGTAACAACTTACCGTGCACCAATTGCACCGCTCAGCGCGACTTCCAAAGGTACCATGGCTCCGGCCATTCCCTGATTCGCAGCACTGGAGGTTCCCTGTGCAGGCGCTCTGACTCCTGAATTCTGACGCTTGTTGTCTGCCATAACACCGTCTCCCAAGTCGAGGATCCCTCAATCTCCCCTTGCGAACCAAGAAAGGCTGGGACCTGATCGATCGATACGTGAGCGCTTAAACGTACCAAGAGGGAGGAGATCGAAGAACAAACACACAAGGTGCTTTTCGTACTCGCGCGCCAGTAGTCCCGGTCGAAATAGCAGAACCAGTTCGGTGCTCAAAACCTAAGATATCCGGCTCCAAGCCTTGTCGGATCTACTTTCGTTCGTAACTATGATAGAGGACTCGAACCCGAGTCACGCAAAGTGGGACGTAGCGGGAAACCGGAGCTAAGGAGCGACGGAAATGGCAGCCAAAAGGGAGACAAACAAGAGGCAGGACAGAAAAGAAAATGGTCCGAAGCAAAGGCAGCCAAGCAGACGACAAAAAGTCTACCCGGACCGCTGGCCTGTAAATTGGGGAGCGGCAAATCGGCGATGGTATGTCGAAGGAAGAGAGAACGTTGTCTGGAAGGTCGGCGCCGCATGGATCAATTCACGTTGGCGGCCAATAGGTCCCAAACCGGCTTAGCGCCATGTACAGTTGCTGCCTGCTTTTTCAGGTGTCTACACCGGCCCATTCCTGCGCAGATTCAAGGGCTCAGTCTGCTTATGCCCACCATCCACTGAACAACTAAAACACATTTCATTTCATACGTTCAGCGTAAATAAATAAAAAGGCTAAACCTGTCATCTAAGTACATTGGGAGGAACCCCTTTTAACAGTCTTTTGAGCGTCATCATTCTATATGCTCCAGGGAGTCTGTCCTGCTCAACTCTCAACTTCGCCATGTTCCACCATCGTTCCAGGGCGAGGCTCCACGTCCAGCGCATTGCATCGTATCCTTTGCTTTAAGCGATGTAGGTTGAGGCGGACACGTCACCGCCACGTCCAGTCCAGTTAACATGGATATCCTTGCCCTCGGGATAGTTTTCGTTGGCATACTCGGGCTTGACGCGGAAGGTGTGGGCACCGAAGTAGTCACGCTGAGCCTGCAGCAGGTTGGCGGGGAGGTCCCGAGTGCGGTATCCATCGTAGAAGCTGAGAGCAGTGCTGAAAGCAGGGCTAGGAATACCCCAAAGGGCAGCCTTGCTCACGACGTTCCTCCAGCCGTTCTGGGCCTTGTGGATGGCCTTATTGAAGAAGTCGTCGAACAGAAGGTTCTCGAGATCGGGGTTGGTACGGTAAGCATTGGTGATGTCCTTCAGAAAGACGGAGCGGATGATGCAACCACCACGCCACATGAGGGCGATGGAGGGCTTGTTCAGCTTCCACTTGTACTCCCTGGCGGCCTATACAGTTCGGATTTATCAGTAACCGCGTCCGCATTGGTGGCCGAAATGGTGCTTTGAAGAGAAATGACATACCTCCTGGATTAGCATGAAGCCCTGGGCGTAGGAAATGATCTTGGAGGCATATAGGGCCTGCTCCAGGTCATCAATGAAAGCCTGCTTGTCACCAGTGAACTGAGGAGTGGGGCCGCTAAGAAGGCTGCTGGCACGGATACGCTCGTCCTTCTGAGCACTCAGGCAACGAGCGAAGACAGCCTCACCGATCAAGGTGACAGGCATGCCGAGGTCAAGGGCATTGATGGCGGTCCACTTGCCGGTACCCTTCTGACCGGCCTTGTCAAGGATCTTCTCGACAAGAGGGGTGCCATCGTTGTCGTTGTACTTAAGGACATCGCGAGTGATCTCAATCAGGAAAGAGTCCAGAACACCCGTGTTCCACTTCTCAAAGACCTGGGCAATCTCGCTGACGGGCAACCCCAATCCCCGCTTGAGTATGTCATAAGCCTAATAGGGATGCGTCTGTCAGCGCGGGCCAAAACATATTACCACAAGGTGGCCACTGTAGTATTGCTTACCTCGCAAATGAGCTGCATGTCACCATACTCAATACCGTTGTGGACCATCTTGACGAAGTGGCCGGCACCCTCATCACCGACCCAGTCGCAGCAGGCCTCACCGTCGCTCTTAGCAGCAATGCTCTGAAAGATGTCCTTGATGTAGGGCCAAGCCTCCTCGTTACCACCGGGCATCAGGGAGGGGCCGTAACGGGCACCCTCTTCACCACCGGAGACACCACTGCCGACGAAGCGGATACCCTTCTCTGCGAGGTACTTGGTACGGCGGTTGCTGTCGGGGAAGTGGGAGTTACCGCCGTCAATGATGATATCGCCCTTCTCAAGGTAGGGCAGGAGGGACTCAATGAACTGGTCGACGGGCTTACCAGCCATGACCAGAAGCATGATACGGCGAGGGCGCTTCAGCTTGGCGCAGAACTCCTCGATGGAGTGGGCACCGACAATGGACTTGCCTAAAAAATGATTAGCCGCATTAGCTTTCTTCGTAATACCATCAGGGGAGAAGGCTCTCTATCTCACCCTTAGCCTCGTTGTCAAGGAAGCGGTCGACCTTGGAGGTTGTACGGTTGTAGGCGCAGACAGTGAAGCCGTGATCAGCAACGTTGAGGATCAAGTTCTGGCCCATAACGGCCAGACCGATGAGACCGAAATCAGCACTAGGCAAAGGACACGCCGGTGCGCCGACATTAATGCCGGCCAAACGGGCGCTAAAAGTCAGTTGTCAAACCCTAGTCAATAGCTGAGGGGAAGGGTTTTAGAAGTGGAGGAGAGGGAGAAGGATTGTGTGACGCTCAACCCGACCCAACGCAATAACGTGAGCAAGAAACACCCGAACGATCTTGGCAAAACCACCAGTAGCTTATATTTAACGATTTCTAAGGCAATGAAGGGTGGTAGGTAGGAGTATCACATCACAGCCTAGAAATCCCAGTGACAGTGAAAATGGAGGAGAGGAATATGAGGCGGGGATATGACGCAGGGTAGGGGAGGGGACTAAGATAAGTAATGGAATAGAACACTTACACAGCCTGGTCTGCCATGATGAATGAGTGCAGAGAGGAGGAAACTCAGGAACTTTTGCTTGACGAGGAGGTGTGAAGGTTTTGTACAGCAGAGAAGGCTGCCCCAAAAAAGTAGGATGGTGGACGAGGTTGAGAAGGTGAAAATGGAGGAGAGGAAAATAGAAGAGAGGAAAGGAGCGGAAGAAAATAGCAGAGAAGGAGCTTGAAAGATGTCACGGCTTACGGAACAACCCTCCGTCATCAACGGCGTGGGAGGGGCATTCAGGGAGCAGAGTCGTCCGGGTCCGGTGAGACCAACAGATTGCGGTGGTCGCGGACTTGTCCTACGTGCTTCAACTATTCATTGTTTATGGATCTAGGATTCTACTGTGGAGGATGTTCTTTACATGGAGGGAGGCTCTTTGATTGATCCTCCCTGAGAATGCTACAGTAATTGTCCGTCCATTGCAGCAGAAGACTGTCCTCTTCATGTCTCGGAGATGGCGGAGCCTAGTAACAAAGCTGGGACGCTGTTGATGGCGGGGCACTTGGAGGGGCAATGTTCGCAAGCAGAACCAGGAAAAGCCCGTGCTTTCGGTGAAGCAGATTTGGCTCTCAACCAGCGGTAATGGAGCGTCTCCACTACTAGTACCGTCATCATATGCCTACATCCGCCCGAGAAGAGGGCAAATCCCACGCGATGAAGAGCTTCTGCCAGAAAATTCCCTCTGATTATAATTTTCTCCGCCGATCACCCACGTTCTGGTCGGCAACTGCCTTTCCCAAAGAGGGCTAGAGTGGGGGTGGCTGTATTACATCACCATTAAATTCCGTTGGGGCTGGTGCCGGAGTAACCTGCTCCTTGAGGTTAGTCCAGACGCCGATGCCGACCGGAGGGATCATTATTGTTCCTGTATAGGGGAGCAGGTTTGCATTCAATGCAGGGTACGGTCACCGAGATGCGCCAGCCATGTCTTTTTTCTTCCTTCCTGCACTGCGCAATCATCGACAACCACAGTCATCCACCATCCCACATATCATCCCTCTCTTAGTGCGAAGCTCACCCCCGCACCATTTCGCAACAGCCTCGCCCAGAGGAGCTGCTAAAACTCCTTACATTGACTGGAGTTTCCCCGGCCCAGGAATTGGGCTTTTATACCGTATCCCAGTCTCCATACCTAGCGACACGAGGACATACCACGTTAATTTGGAGAATTAACATAGTTCATCCTCCATCTGTGGCTCGGAATCCTTTTCAGGCGTGACGTCTGGCGTATGACTGCTGCGTCAGTCAAGCCCTGAAGGTACGTGTCCGTTGCTAATCTGCACACGGCGCATCATATATCCATCGTCTCTATTCTTCGATCTTTCCGTTCATCATGTCGTTTCCGCCACCTCCAGGTTTGAAGCAAAACCCGTCGTCACTCCCTCCGCGACCACCACCGGCCAGTACGACTACATCGCCGGCATGCTTCCAGCCCGCATACTCAGCGGCGCCCTCGCATCCGTCCGGGGCCAGCAGTGGCTATGGTGGAAACGGGTCTCGGTCGAGCTACAATGCAGTTACTGCCTTCCAGCCTCGCACCGTAGTGTCGAATCAGCCACATCGTACCAGTAGCCCCATAGTGTCCGTTCCTCCCGTTTCGTCGGCGGGATACTCCACACCGACCACTGCAGGCTACGGCTCTTACTATTCTCAGCAATCACAGCAAATATATCAAGGTGGGGCTTCGTACTATGGGTCTGCCCAATACAATGATAACTCTTACGGTCCGTCCGTGCCTCAGATTCAGAATCCTTTCGGTTCTGGGCCTGACCAATCCAGCACCTACGGATCGCGTGGGAAAAATTACGGACGCAACGACTCTGGATTAGATCCTGAAACGGAAGCGCAGATTGCGCAATGGCAGAGTGCCTACGTCAGCAAGGAGGAAGCGCCGATTATGGGTAAGGTTCCCGGCCGTCGAGAAGGAAATTCGGCTATGCCAGGAGCTACCTCCAGCTCCAATACCCCCTCCGCCAGTACGCCCACAACGACGACTCCTGCATCCATGCCGGGGCGCCCTGAGCAAGCCCCCAAGACCGTGGCTCGTTCTGGCGGCGGCCAGAATTGGACCGATTCGACCCTTTTGGAATGGGATCCGGCACACTTCCGCCTTTTTGTTGGAAACCTCGCGGGCGAGGTCACCGATGACTCGTTGCTGAAGGCGTTCGCCAAATACACGTCAGTCCAGAAAGCGCGTGTGATCCGCGACAAACGGACACAGAAGAGCAAAGGGTACGGGTTTGTCAGTTTCAGCGATGGTGATGATTACTTCCGAGCGGCCCGAGAAATGCAAGGTAAATACATCGGCTCACATCCGGTCTTACTCCGCCGAGCCACTACTGAAGTGCGTCCGGTGTCCAATACGAAGAATGCAAGGAAACACGGTGGTGGCTCCGCAGGCGGTCAAGCTGGGGGGAAGGTGAAGAATGATGGCGTTAGGAAGCCGGGAAAAACAAAGGGCGGATTGAGGATCCTGGGCTAAAGGTTGTATATGGAATCAGCCTACCGTATTTTAATGACAGAACGTGCAGATCGAATAGAAGACTGCATGTACACGGAAGGGTAAGCTTGTCAAACATGTACGTCAGTAGATTCAAAAGCTCAGATAGAGTGTCGAAAGTATATGCAAGCCCAACCAGTCAAGAATATGATACACTTCCTCCCAAATCGACGCAGTCAAGTACAAACACGTATGGACAGATAGTAAACGCCATTTACTTTTCCAACTGCAACATCCAAAAAAGAAAAAGAAAGAAAAGGAAAGAAAGAGAAATAAGAGCATAAGATATAAACATCGTCACATAGATATGGTCATGCAATTTCATCAACCAACATGCAATATAGAGCAAAAACAAGTCCGTGGATAAATATATATACGGATATAAGTATAGATAAATATAAATAAATCGTCAACCATGTATAACACAGGAAACAAGGACTATGAAATTCAAGCCAGATCCAGTCCGGCTTGTTATCCGATGAGTGTAAGGTATAGATATATGCGTGTACGCAAGCGAGTAAAAATATCGATATTAAGCAATCAGTCATCGGGATCGGCGATTTGGCTTGATATCTTCGGGGCTCGATAGATTCATGAAGCGTAACGTCGTGGGTCGTAAGTAGTATATAAGATGGTATGGTATGTATAAGCGTAGATCTGCACGTGGTCGAAGCCAGCACGCAGGTAGGCAAGGCACGTAGGTAGGTATCGATACTACCCCTCTTCACCACTTTCTTCATCGATGGCGCGCTTCTTCGAAAAGAACGAGATATGGTTCTGCATGGCGTAGATCCCGAAGCCAGCGACAACAAGGAAGAGGAAGAGGATGATAATGATGACGGCAATGGTGATATTCCTCTTCATTCTGGATGGGATGAGAGGGGTCTGATACCTCTCTCAGGCACCAAGGCAAGGAGGGAGAGTGCCGGTTGGAACGAGCGAAGGGGTGGGAGTGGAAAAAGGGGGACTCAAACCAAATTGATCAGGAATGGCTCGATCAATTGGGCGATCTGTCTATACAGAGAGTTGTAGTGTTTATCCTGGAATGTGATCTAGACAATTCAAGGGATGTCAACAAGGCAAAAAGGAGGGAATGTATGGGCACCGTCCACTATAAAGGGGACCAGCAGGCGCACAACGTGGCCCAGCCATGTTGATTTATTTCTGCTTCGTGCGGGTGGCTGGGAGTGAATGTTGGAGAAGGCGGGATCTGAACTGCGTGGGGCGGGATGAGCTCAGTAATTGGGTCCCTGGTACTTAAGCTGTCGACCTAACTGCTAGCGCCATCAGGTACTAGGTACCCCAGCCTCCGGGTTTTATTTCATGGCCTAAGGCAACAAGGCACGAATTCTACTAATATATGGTTGCAGGTAGAATCTTAATATAGCCCAAGTTTATGTGTTGAGTTAGCCTAGCACTTGATTTATTCTTTAATTCTATATTTACTATTCTCTAGACCATACTTAATAATGGTTATAAGGTAGGGATTGCAGGCGAATAAATACTTGGTTTGAATAGACAACACAATAGGAGTGATCTACCAAAAAGTCAGGCAGTAAAATATCGATCTAGTTTTCCGCCCCGTACAAGTTCCATCATGGTAGAAATTAAAGCTCGACACACTATTTCCATTACTTCCAAAATCAAGTCAAGAATGCGATCAGCTATTCAAGTGCCAAGAAACACAGATCTGACAGACAGCATTCTGCAGAATTCCAGCTAGACCTGTCATGTGTTTGGAATCCACTGTCCGTCTCTCTTTTGCATGGGTAGGTATATCGCTGAGGATCATCAGCAAGCAACAGAATCCTCTTCTCCACACGAGGTTTAATAAGCGTTTGTATAACTTCTGATCTGCATTATCCAGGCCTTATGCTGAGTATGAATAGTCAATGATCGAAGAGTGCATGTGATTGTCGGCATCCCGATGATGTTCCGCCAATCGGCCCCAGAAATGACTTCACCATCACCGCATTCGGGTCCGCAAAGCGTCATTGGGATGCCTACCTAAAATATATATTACTGGCTTTAATCTTGGAAACTCGGTTCTTTTACATCCCGGTCGTTTTGGTAGGACATAAAATATTAATCTACGGGGTAATGCTCCGACCATGTTGGTGAATATCTCTACCGAAATACTTTTGAACTCTCTTGTTTTGTTCTGACAGGTCCTTGCTGCGGGTAATATTTGACTTTTACCATAGTTTTCTTTCTTTTTTTTTTTTTTTTTCGTGTGTGTGTGTTTCGCTATTCCTTACCACTAGCATATCGAAACGAATGCTCCTTGTATGGTGGACAAGGATATTATGCTCTAGATCTTGGCTTTGGGATAAGGGAGGATCAAAATGGAGCCTAGACCATTCAATAGCTATTATGGAGCAAAGCACAGCAGGGAAACGATCACAGATCATGATGCGAAGTCGAATTTATCATCGAATACACATTCCGATTCTACTTCATCTATCGGCCATCCCACAAATCACAATAAATCCTCAAACGCATCCGAGAAACCGGTCCTAGGAAAGAGGCCATTGCTGGGGCGACAGCTCACGGAGAACGATATTGCTCGAGCGCTATCGCAGCGACGGAGCCCGAGCTCTGCCCACGGCGCGCCGGATGAAGATGTGGCGCAGGTCGTGAAACTGGTTTCTCGTATGTTTGGTCGGGATAGGAAAGCCAATTCTGACGAGGAAAAGACAAGGCATCAAGGCGTTGTGTGGAAAAACTTGACCGTAAGAGGTATTGGTCTCGGCGCTGCTATTCAGACTACAAGCTCGGACGTCTTGTTCACAATACCAAGGATGATCAGGCAGCTCCTGAATTTTCATAGGAGTAAGCCTACTTTACGGACAATCATAGATGATTTTTCGGTATGTTTTGGCTCTAAAAACTGCAGAGTTGGCTCAAGGGTGAATCTAACATACCTTGATAACAGGGCTGTGTACGACCTGGTGAAATGATTCTTGTCCTTGGACGACCGGGTTCTGGATGTTCGACTTTCTTGAAGGTTATCGGAAACCAAAGATCTGGGTATAGAAGCATTGAAGGTGAGGTGTCATATGGTGGAGCGGATTTCAAAACGATGGCAGATAAATATCGCTCCGAAGGTACGACAGGAACCTATTAGGGCTACTAGATGGCTAATTTCCACAGTACTATACAACCCAGAAGATGACCTCCATTACCCGACGTTGACCGTGAAAGATACCCTCATGTTTGCTCTCAAGACCAGGACCCCGGATAAGGCTTTACGACTGCCAGGAGAGAGTCGGAAGGAGTATCAGGAGACATTCTTGTCTACGATTGCCAAGCTATTTTGGATTGAGCATACACTTGGAACGAAAGTCGGCAATGAACTGATCCATGGAATCTCTGGCGGTGAAAAGAAGCGGGTGTCCATAGGTGAAGCATTGGTAACCAAAGCAAGTACACAGTGCTGGGACAACTCAACTAGGGGTCTAGACGCGAATACAGCACTAGAGTATGTGCAGAGTCTGAGAAGCTTAACAGATATGGCCAATTCTTCCACACTAGTGGCGTTGTATCAAGCCTCTGAAAACCTATACAACCTTTTTGACAAGGTTATCCTTATTGAAGAGGGCAGATGCGCGTACTTTGGTCGCGCTGATAAGGCGAGATCCTATTTTGAGCATTTAGGGTTCAAGTGCCCTCCTCGCTGGACAACGCCAGATTTCCTGACCTCAGTCAGTGATCCCCACGCCAGACGCGTGAGGGAAGGATGGGAAAATCGCATCCCGCGAACAGCAGAAGAGTTTCAAAATGTATATCGCAATAGTGACATACACAAGGAGGCCTTAGCCGACATTGATGACTTCGAGAAGGTGGTCGAGTCACAGTGGGAAGACCGGGAGGCTGCTCGAAAGGATATACCAAAGAAAAACTATACCGTCTCTTTTTACAAGCAGGTCATGATTCTTACTCATCGACAATTTCTTATTATGTACGGCGACAAGCAATCTCTTATTGGTAAGTGGGTCATGATCACTTTCCAGGCGCTCATGATAGGAAGCTTGTTCTACGACCTTCCACAAACCAGGTAGGCCAAAAATGTTGACGGGGGAGGAAGCATATATATAATATATGACTGACTTTTTTTTCTAGCGCTGGTGTCTTCACTAGGGGAGGTGTACTGTTTTTCGTCTTGCTTTTCAACTCTCTACTTGCCCTGGCCGAACTCACTGGACAATTTCAAAATCGTCCTGTTTTGCTCAAACATAAAAGCTTGTGGGTACACTTGATGATCATGCCACGGAAGACAAGTTGACCAGAGTAGCTCATTCTACCGCCCTTCTGCATTCGCTGTTGCTGAAGTTGTCGTCGATGTGCCATTAATCTTCATCCAGGTCGCTATCTTTGAACTGGTTGTCTATTTGTAAGCTCTAGATCGCCGTGGGCTGATTTTTACTACTAACTCTCCTCTCTAGCATGGCAAATTTATCGAGAACACCGTCTCAATTTTTCATTAGCTTTTTAATTACATTTGCTCTTACTATGAATATGTATTCATTTTTCCGGATGATTGGGTCATTATCTGCTTCCCTCGATGTTGGTAGGTTTACAGTTTCCTAGCTTCGCTTCGGTACGCGGCTGACTGTGTGGAATCAAGCTACACGAGTAACCGGGGTGACAGTTCAAGCACTGGTGGTATATACAGGTATACAAGTTCGAAAGTATCGCGGCAGGCCAACTAACTATTCTCCATCCAGGTTACCTTATTCCGCCCTGGAAAATGCACCCTTGGCTTAAATGGTTGATTTGGATTAACCCGGTCCAGTATGCCTTTGCAGGGCTAATGGCGAACGAATTCCATGATCTGGACTTTCAATGCCAGCCGCCGGACATTGTACCGGACGGCCCCGGTGCGTCTCCTGGCTATCAAACGTGTTCGATTCAGGGGAGCAGTTCCGACAGACTGGTTGTTCAAGGCTCCAATTACATCAAGACCGCTTTTGCCTACACACGATCCCACTTGTGGCGTGACTTTGGCATTATTGTAGCCTGGCTTGTTCTCTACATTGCCCTGACAATGATTGGAACAGAATTCCTGAAGCCGAATAAGGGAGGCAGCGCAGTCACAATATTCAAGAGGGGAGAAGCACCTGCAGGTGTTGAGAAAGCAGTCAAACAGAAAGAACTTCCAGACGACGTTGAAACTGGGAAAAAGGAAAAAGGTCCAAACTGCCACCTGGAGGGTACCAACTTGGATGACTCGCAGAATATAGTCGAAGGCATTGCCCGAAGCACGTCCATTTTCACTTGGAAGCATGTAAATTATACCATACCTTATAAGGGCGGACAAAAACAGCTACTTCAGGATGTCCAGGGCTACGTAAAGCCAGGGCGTTTTACTGCCTTGATGGGCGCTTCAGGAGCAGGGTTAGTGACATTTCGCCGAATGAAGTTACACTGGCTAATCCATGGTATCCCCCAGGAAAACTACTCTGCTGAACACGCTGGCCCAGCGGATTAATTTTGGGGTCGTAACGGGCTCTTTTCTTGTTGACGGAAAGTATGCATTCCATCTACCGTGCTCCTTGGTAAATGGCTCATGTGCATCTGTAGGCCTCTTCCTAAGAGCTTCCAACGAGCCACTGGTTTTGCTGAGCAAATGGATATCCACGAACCTACAGCAACCGTAAGAGAATCTCTTCAGTTCTCAGCCCTTCTCCGCCAACCTAGAGAGGTGCCAGTTCAAGAGAAATATGATTACTGCGAGAAAATCATCGATCTCCTGGAAATGCGGCCCATCGCAGGCGCCACCGTGGGTTCTTGGGGCGTTGGCCTGAACCAAGAGCAGCGTAAACGACTCACGATTGCAGTTGAACTGGCAAGCAAGCCTCAACTGCTACTATTCCTGGATGAACCCACTTCTGGCCTCGACTCCCTGGCTGCTTTCAATATTGTGCGTCTCCTTCGGCGGCTTGCCGATACCGGGCAGGCAATCCTCTGCACAATCCACCAGCCGTCTGCGGTGTTGTTTGAATACTTCGACGATTTACTTCTCCTGCAGAGTGGAGGACAAGTCGTATACAACGGTGAACTGGGACACGATTCCAGCAAGATGATTAAATATTTCGAGCAGAATGGAGCCAAGACATGCCCTCCTCATGCCAATCCTGCCGAGGTGAGAGCCCCAGAACCACATCACTTGGGTTCCGATACTCATAAATAGTATAGTATATGCTTGAGGTTATTGGGGGGGGGAATCCCGACTACAAAGGACAAGATTGGGCTGAGGTTTGGGCGCGTTCTCCCCAGGCCAAAGCGCGATCCGAGGAAATCGACCAGCTCATCGAGTCTCGTCGCGGCAAAGAAGAGAGCGAAAGCAAAGATGACACTCGCGAATATGCAATGCCAATCTGGGCTCAGATCCTGGCTGTTACCAAGCGTTCATTTACCGCATACTGGAGAACGCCCGAGTATAGCACTGTATGCGACCCAAGTCTTTCTCAGAGTACATTGCCTAGAGACTAAAACATCCCTGTCCAGGGCAAATTCGTACTGCATATCTTCACGGGACTGTTCAATACGTTCACTTTCTGGCACTTGGGACACAGCTACATTGATATGCAATCGCGTCTATTTTCCATCTTCATGATGCTGACAATAGCGCCACCACTGATTCAACAACTCCAGCCCCAATACCTTCATTTCAGAAACCTATACGAATCGCGCGAATCTAGTTCCAAGATCTACTCCTGGACAGCCTTCGTGATAAGTGCCATCCTCCCGGAATTACCGTATTCCGTCGTTGCCGGATCCATCTACTTCAACTGCTGGTATAGCTACCTCCAATTTCCCTAACTCCCACTTAATAATATATTAACGTCTTTCCAGGTACTGGGGAGTCTGGTTCCCCCGCGACTCATTCACATCAGGATACGTTTGGATGCTCCTGATACTCTTTGAGATGTACTACATCGGATTCGGACAACTCATCGCAGCAATCTCACCGAACGAGGTATTCGCATCACTTCTTGTACCGTGCTTCTTCGCCTTCGTCGTCGCCTTCTGCGGCGTCGTCGTGCCATATACAAATATGATCCATTTCTGGAGATCCTGGATGTACCGAGCTAGTCCATTCACCTATCTGGTGGAGGGTCTTCTCGGCGTGGTCACGCATGATGTCCCCGTGCGCTGTCTCACAAAGGAAGAATCCACCTTTACTCCACCCCCCGGTTCCAATTGTCAGGACTATGCGGGTATGTTTGCCCAGCAGGCAGGTGGTTATGTGCGGGATATCGAGAACGGATTATGTGCTTATTGTCGGGCCTCGGATGGGGATAAGTTTGTCGCGAGGTTGAATATGTTTTACGCCCATCAGTGGCGGGATTATGGGATTTTCTGGGCTTATGTGGTGTTCAATTTCGCGGCGGTTTACTTCTGCTCGTGGTTGTATCTTCATGGAGTCGGGAATATGAAGCGATGGGTTAGTGCGAAGAGGGCGAGGAAAGTGACTGGAAAGTGATTGGGATAGCACTTAGTTTGCATCGCCAAGGTGGTCTGGATTATGAATGAACTCAGATACTACATTAGAGCGGTTTGAAAACAGACGAAGCAGTAGGCACTTTGCTTGCGCATTAAATTGCGCGTTACCTTGAAGCTTATATATACAGTAGATTTTGCAAGATACTGGTTGCACTCTCGTATGTGCCCAAACTGCCTTAGAGACTAAATAATGTGAGATAAGGGGAGATATTGCGCAGCTTGATATATGACAATTATGTGCCAGAGCTAGATGGAGGGGGAGTTAGCCCTGAAGACCTCGTAATGTTGGAGACATTCAAAGATTTTTGCTGGGGATTCCAAGAGTTGGACGAACTATCGGTCCCTTCGGCGGTGTTCGGGCCATTCCCGGAATAGTGACCGTTCATGAGGCGGGGGCGTTTGGCTTGAGGACCTTCACTGGGGCTTTTGGTCGTATCATTCTGAGGATAAGGCGAGGTGTGCTGGGTGGGTGAGGTTGACGCACCACCCATCTGGGATGGGGATGGATCCGGAGGACTCATCGCCGCCGGACCTTGCAGAGGCCTTGACCTCGGCTGGGTGTTCGACTCGTCACCCGTACGTTGTCTGTCTGCGTTGCCTTGTTCGTCGTGAATAGGATTGGCGTATCCTACTCCGACACGGCCCATACTCTTGTCATGCATCACAACTCGCTTCCACTTCGCCACCACGTTGTCATAATCCCATCGCTGTGAGCCTGGGCTGATTTGGCCTTCACGGGCGTCCAGTTCCCGGGCAACTTCTCGCGGCAACGGCAACGTATCCGGAGGAAAGATAGCAAACTCCCTCGGCCATTGGCACGACCCTAGCCTTTCCACCTGCGCACGGAGCTGGTTCGCCTCTTGCTGAACTCGTGCCAATTGATCATCCAGAGACTTGCGCTTTTCAATTTCACGAGCAAAGGCACGGGTTATTTCGAGCTGCCACGCTTCCTGTCGTGCATCCGGGGAGAGTGACATCCAATGCTTGACTGCCAGTTCCAGATGTCTCACGCTGATGTCTTCATGCTGTTGCGCACTCCGATTAATCATGTTCACATCTAAGCTAACACAGGTTCTTCCGGAGTGAAGATTGCTGGTGGAATTGATGGCAAGCTGATCGGACTGCCATCGCTCGATCTTCGCACGGAGAGCTTGTCGGACGATCTCGACGTGCTCGACCCCTGGTGGCCGAAGGGGAAAGGAGGATGGAGATGGAAACGGCTCGGTGGAGAATAGGTTGGGCGGAGGAGGAAGTAGCTGCAGACAAAGTGAAGGGAACGTTTGTGACTGGATGTCAAAATCAAAGGGGGATATTGGCGGTCGCATCCTAGAGCTGTTGCGCGATTAACATGTGGATCAGTATCAGCGACACCGAGAAGGTAAACATACGTTGCTGCCTTGACGTTGTCCAACACCTCTTGCAGAGCTAGCTCCAACGCTCTCACCGTATCACGATTATTATTATTCGCGCTAGCGCCTCTGCTCGCATAGTCCGGGAGATTCATGGAGCCAGGTCGGGGCTGGGAAGCATTAAGGCGCGAGGAGTTTGACCCGTCCTGGGTGTGACTCGGATTAGGGATATCATTGATGACTCCGGTCGCGTGCCACGTAGGGGTGTTGAACATCATTCTGAATCCACTCTCCCTGGATTTGTCTCCCGAGTTATGATATGAATCTATCGAGCCTTTCCCGGTCGTGCGTTCCGGAGTGTTGCGTTTCCCGGACGAGGTGCGGGCCTGGCGTCGAGTAATGCTGCTCCGAATGCGCCGGATCTCCTCGACATCGTGAATTCCATCTGGTTTCTTTTTGAAAAGAAACTGATCCAGGTGTCGTCCCAGAGAAGACGAGGTAAACGCCTGGTCGCAGTACTGACATTTGCGGTCTTTCGTCGCCGTGCTTTTGGACTGGGCCTGGTTGTCATCTGCCCCAGCTGACTCTTCGGGTGTATTTGTTGGACGAGTAGACGCGCCTTCGTCCATGTTTCACAAAGACGCGAGAATATTGCCCGCGGACGGATATCAATTGTGGGTGAGTGGGTTAGATCGGGGTAGGAGACGCGTTCACGGAGCTAAAACTCAAGTAAAATTATGCAGCTCAGTGCATGGCACAGAATAGGCAAATGATAGATAAGGATCTAGTCATGGATGGGAAGGGAGCGATGGTGCACATCGACGCGAGGGGCGCAAGCAGCAGCAGGCAGCGAGGCGTCGAGGAAAGAAAAGAGAAGAGGAGAAGGCAAGCAGGAGAAACGTGATGCCAAGCTTTTCATCGCCGGGCACCGGACTAGATATACGTTCTATAGGAATGTTGTCTTCATCACACGAAGACTACTACGATTCCATTTTATATTGTATCAACAGCCAATTAATTACACTGGAAAATCCCTCACTTTCTCGCCAAGGTACTCCGCCAACGTAAGCATCTTCTCTTCCTGAAGTCGCCGTCCAACCAGCTGCAGTCCAGCCGGTGCACCGTCATAAGCGTCAGCATCATCTATCGAGTTGTCAGCATTTTTTTCTCAGCACATATGGTCCAATCGGAGAGCAATTGACTGACATTCTCCTTGAACTTGTCGATCCAGTTCACTCAAAAACTCCGTCCCAGGTTGAGCCACGTCAATGGTTTTGTTAGCACGAGTCACCGGAAATGAAACGCTGGTATAGTCCAAGACATTGACAAAGGATGTATATCCAACGTGACTATATTTACCAGGGAGTACCGCGGCGAAAGGTGCACAAGGGCAAATGAGCCCGTCAACGGGTCGACCAGTACCGGTCAATTCGACGGTTGTGTTCCAATAATCCATGTATGACTTTTGATAATCCCGCTTTTCCACGTTGAGCTCGGCAATTTCTAAGGCAGACTTTTGGGGACCAGACTCTAAGATAACTGGATTTGGTCTCACTTCGCCGGACAAACCAAAGTGATACCGGGCATCGGCTCCACCATCCATGTTGTAGGTCGTGCGCTAGCATTGTCAGCGTTGTTCAGAGCAATTAGGGTGGGTTGGACCAAACATACAGCTATTTTATATGCTACCACATGGGATGGGGGGTTCCACTCGATCACCTAGCGTCCATAATATCAACATCATGGGATCTACACACTTCACTTTTCTGACCGTTCCTTACCTTATGTCCCAGCCGGATCAATGTTTGTTCAACAATCTTCAGGGCTCGGGCTATCGGCGGCTGAGGTCGGACCACGCCATCATGGTACATGAGAGCAAAAGCAAGCTGAGAAGAACCAATAGCTGATGATTTGATCAGTTCACGCGTCTCGTGCTCGATTGCGTCCCTCCAGGGTAGCTCCAGAGCAAGCGGATCATAATACCATGGCTTCTGGCTGAGGATTGATTTGAAGAGAAACTGGAGGGAACGTGCAGTGGTCGCCAGAGGTCCAATCACAGACAACATAGTATTTTGGCCATCCATCGAGTTCGCTGCCCCCTGATAGGGCATCCTGCCGGACGAGGGGCGTATACCATAAAGCCCATTAAATACGGCTGGGATACGGACACTTCCACCAATGTCGGTCCCGAACCCTCCAGGGGAGCCTTTCAAGGCAACGAGGGCCCCCTCGCCCCCAGAGCTTCCTCCGGACGAGAGAAGTCGGTTCTGAGGGTTCGTGGTGTATTGAATGATGTTGTTGGCCGTCTCGCCGGACATTAAAGTGGCAGGAACACTGGTCTTGCAATACAGAACAGCTCCTAGGCTTCGGAGCTCCCGGACCAGTTCACTTTCGAAAACGCCTTTTCTTGGGTCGTTTGCTTTGCCCTGAAACGTGCCGATCCATCCCACGTACCCCATTGTAGTTTCGACACCTTTGACATGGAACTGATCCTTCAAACTAATCGGCAGTCCGTGTAGAGGTCCCACGGGCTTTCCGTGCTCCGCGAAGTAATTATCAAGTCGTTTCGCGTCTTCGATAGCGGCGCTGAAGAAGACTTCATGCAAACAACTGACCTGCGGTTTCTATTAGTTAATGGAACGGTTACATGTTCTCTTATGAGCGTACAAGCTGGTGAGCAATCGTAGCTCGATGACAGAATGCCTCTGTCACCTCGACGGCAGACCATTTCCCGGATGTAGTTTTCTCAGTGATGCCCACTGCATCGGTCTCAGTGATCTCGATTTCACGAGGGGTCAGAAACTCTTGAATATAACCCGTCACATCGCGAAGCTCCTCTGGTGCGGGAATAGAACTCTTAATCGTCCATTTGTCGGGAAGTGCATCCAAAATAGCTTGACGCTTCTTATCTCCCGCCGTTTTCCATTGTGCCAGAGTCATACTGAGCCAAGTGCCTGAGGGGATGGAATGCGACGTCTTACTGGGGTGTGTATGGTACGAAAGAAAAGATCCCGTGGGGATAGCAGACAGATTTAAAATATGTACAATTCCTAATCTTCGCCGATGATCGGCGTGTCCATCAGGCAGGTCAAAGTGGTTGGTTGCCTGGCAGATTGATTCCCTCCGAGGGGATGCGGGGTCGATAGTTTGTTACAGAAGAACCACCAAGAGAATACGAGTTGGAGTTCTTCTAGTCCACCCAAACAGGGACTTGATAAGAATGACTAGATGGGTCTATTCCCGCATGTGCTCAAATAATGACCGGCTATTTGGAGAGAGAATGTGTCGTATTGTCTTCCCCTCCAACAGGTAATTCGTATTCCTTGCATATTCGACTCCTGAATGACCATAAAATGGAGTTCGCGCTTTTGGACCATGCTAAGGCAGAGACTCCGTCATATGTCTGTGTCGGTATATCATAGATTCTGTCGCGAATACCATGAACTGGTGTTCGCAAGTTTTTGGAGTCCAGAAGCCATTTTCCGGGTTCGGACGGAGATACGCAACTGCCTTCATCAGTGATTTAATTGGACACCTGCAGACCTGGAACACTCTTGTATGCGTTGATACGCTCCCCACATAGTCTTTCAGCACCATGAAGCAAGGCGGCATCAGTAATACCCGGTTAGGTATAAGGCTCAGAGCTCATTTGTCTGACATTCAAGTTGATCCTCTTCCGCGACATCCATCCCTTCCAAGTGCTATATCGTGACGAGGTCGCATCACCGGAAAGTGTTGGCCAATCGGCCAGCCAGTCCGGACATGTACCAGGGAGGATCTTTGGCACTGCATGCCAAGCGAAGCGAGATGTGCCGTCCATGTATACGGCATCTCCAGACCGAAGCCGAATGACTTCACAGCCCGTATCGTCATCATGGCTGACCAGGAACAGGCCATCGCAGCCAAAGCTGATGCTGATCAGTCCCACGTCGCATTCTTCACTGACGTCGCGATGAGCACTCAAGGTATCTCCCGGGGAGTAGACATTCAGAATAGCTGCTTGGGCGTCTGTCTTTGGGAATACAGCTCGCAGGAGCTCTGCGATATCCTCTGGAAACGCAGGTGGATGCTCTGGGGGATATTCTTTGGTAGTCCAGTTATATTGACCACCCAGGGTGATCCATCGAAGCTTTTTGTTCAGTAGATCTTGCACAGCCAGTGACTTGTGGATCTTGGTGTCTTTAGGGTATATGATGCGCGTCGGATCGTCTTCAAAGAATGATACTGTTCTGGGATCTACTAAGCTACTGTTGGCCGAAGACGAGGATGTCCCATCACGCTGGACGTCATCTATCCCCTCTTGGCCAGGATAAGTGACATTGTAATGCAGATGGAGGTTGGTTCGATGTTCTTTGTTAGACACATCGCGATGCAGTAAACGAGACAACAGCTCTATTTGAACAGCCGGAGGGAACAGTGCCGGAATCATTTGCAAACCTACCACTTGTTAGGAGTTACTTGTCCTACAGGTTCATTTATCCCATGTTTGATTTGAAAGTCAAGGATGCTGACCAGAAACGGATTGATGTGCGTAGATAGGAATATCTTTGGTAGTAAGCAGTCCATCTTGGGTTTCCTTGCGTGGTGCCACGAATGACTGAAAGACTGGCTGGAGACTATCCCTGGAAATCCACTGAACAAAAGAAATTCCGGCTGGAAGGTGATTTGGGTCCAAAACCTGAAGATCAATGACGGTATCATCGTGCTGGATCTCAGATAGTGTTGATTTTTGGTATTTTTTGTAACGTTGTCGGACTGCTTCTGGAGGGCGTTCATGAGCGTTTAGGTCTTGTATACGAGCCATTGCCATGTTCAAATTAGACCGAATCACTCTTGTGGAAGAAAATTGACACTGGCTGGTAGGATGAGTTCCAGATGGACCAGAAATAAAGAAGGAAAAAAAAAAAAAAAAAACCGCTGACGCGCTCACCGCCCTGGACGCGGGTTTGTTTGTGTACAGAATTGACCGCCTTCGCTCCCCACCAGGGATGAAAAGACAACAATTGAAGTAAGCCATCGACTCGACAGATAATAATAATACTATTAATTCACAGGCCTTGGTGGTTTGTGCCCAGCGTGTGGTTATTTGAATTTGGTGCTTCGCCATTGATCATCCCTTTTCCCCTGGCTCTGTCCCTTGCTCATTCCACTATCTCTTCTCTCCCTCTCAACCCACTCGGTTGTTTTCCTTTTTCGCTTCTTCCCCGGGCAACAAGAAAACGGCGTTGTGCAGCACATTGTGCCCCCCTGTACCCCCACGTGCTGGTGGGCTCGGTTTTCTCCTCTGTCTGAGACAATTCAGCAACATCAACGTGTGAATTGCTGCCCAAAAGATCAGTCCTTTCGGTTTATCGCCATGGAAAATTACCAGAAGATCGAGAAGATCGGAGAGGGTACGTATCGAGTGATTGGGGCATACATTGTTTTGGGGAGGGCCCAATCACTATATCCCTTGGCTTGCTGTATGCTGGATTAAAAACTAACGCGAACTGTCGTGATTAGGAACGTACGGTGTCGTATACAAGGCCCGTGAGCTCACCCATCCGAACCGTATTGTCGCGTTGAAAAAGATTCGACTAGAGGCGGAAGATGAAGGGGTCCCCAGCACGGCCATCCGTGAAATCTCTCTGCTGAAGGAGATGAACGATCCGAACATTGTACGGCTCCTCAACATCGTCCACGCCGACGGCCACAAGCTCTATCTCGTCTTTGAATTCCTGGACCTCGACCTGAAGAAGTACATGGAGGCACTTCCAGTCAGCGAGGGAGGACGTGGCAAAGCCCTTCCGGAGGGCTCCAATCTAAGTCGAAACATGGGATTGGGCGACGCTATGGTCAAGAAATTCATGGCCCAGCTGGTAGAGGGGATTCGTTATTGCCACAGCCATCGTATTTTGCATCGTGACCTGAAGCCCCAGAATCTCTTGATTGACCGAGATGGCAACCTAAAATTGGCGGACTTTGGATTGGCGAGGGCATTTGGTGTTCCGTTGAGAACCTATACCCATGAGGTAATTGATCCCTAGAGCGCTGATGCATGTTCATTGCAGCTGACCTTTCGTCCCAGGTTGTCACATTGTGGTACCGCTCTCCTGAGATTCTTTTGGGTGGACGCCAATACTCTACCGGTGTGGACATGTGGTCTTGCGGAGCTATTTTTGCGGAAATGTGCACCCGCAAGCCTCTATTCCCCGGTGATTCCGAGATTGATGAGATCTTCAAGATCTTCCGGTACGGCCCTTGACACCCACATGGCAGGAGAAACCTGACTAACACCCGATCTTTCTTTATAGACTCTTGGGTACTCCGGATGATAGCGTCTGGCCCGGCGTGACCTCGTTCCCTGATTACAAGCCAACATTCCCCAAATGGAAACGCGAAGAAACCCGTGCGCTGGTACCTGGTTTGGAAGAAGACGGCCTTGATCTGCTGGATGCTCTACTTGAGTTTGACCCGGCACAACGGCTCTCTGCCAAACAGGCCTGCATGCACCCGTACTTTCAGCACGGCAGTTCCTACTATTCCGGGCGCGCCCGACGAAATGGATACCATTGAGTGAAGGATGTTCTGTGGAATAATATTTTACGTGTAATGTATGTATGGGGCGACTCTGGTAGATACAGAGACACAAGGGGACATCTGGTCGATAAATCTCACCTTTCCTTTCGCCCCAGTGTCGGACGGCCTTCCCAATGTCCCTTAATGCTTTCTTTTCCCGACGATCTTTAACTCCCCTGTTGATTTTCTTTGTTCATGGCGTTGTTTGCGGAGTGATTTATCATTTGGCAGGAAGGAGATTAGGTTACTGGATATGCAAGGAGTGTTGTTTTGACTAATGCGTACATACCCATCTGAAGTCTGTTGATGCACTCAGTAATAGTCCCTGTAATAGTTAAGCGAGAGGGGGAAGGTCATAAGCCAAAATGTTTATTATTGCAAACCTCTCCCTCGACCTTCACTCTATACTCTACAGCAACAACTAGTCCTGGTTGCAACACGTTCATCCGTTTGGAGAATCTACACTACGGAGTAAATTCCAATCATTCGACTCAACCAGTCGCCCTGAGAGATTGGACACAGCCTCAGGCTAGCAACGTGCAAATCCTAGCGCTAGAATGGAGGTGCCTATAGGTCACTGGGGAATGGGAATGGAACATTAGTTAACGCCATGTGTCTGAGCGATGGTAAGCGCTCGTATTCTCCCACACGGATCGGTGCTGTGCTTTGGGCTACTATTAATATTAACCAGTCATGGGAATACCAGAGCCAGTGAACAAAGAAGTTTTCTGCCCCCTTTGTGTTGCATAGATCTATAAGCCAGTCATCAGACATACTCCTACGGTAGGACAGAATCTGAAACATGGCATCGCGTGTCAGCTCTAATTGATCAGCGATGGGCAGTACAACTTTTCTACCACCTACCTATTTATGGCACTCGATTGGGTTCATGTTGTAATTTTTGGGTTTTTCAGCTGTGGTGACAATGACATAAGCACTACTTGTAGTTAGTTATTAACTAGTTAACTAGTTATACTTGGTTGAGACTGTCATGGGTAATTGCATGTAAGGCGCCCAAATCCATGATTCCACAATCCACGGAGGTAAGCGATTCGTGAGGCAACCCAATTGGTCGGCTTATCATGCAATTAGCTTTGGACCCTCGAGGAGATCGTCATTTCCTGTCGTTGGTTTAGGCTGGTCAGCTCTGCCATTTGGTTTAAGAGGGGTGGTTCTTCGAGTTCTTGATGGATATAATTACTTTGGTTTGACCGGAAAATTTTTTTTTAATTGTAGTTTTAAATATTCTCGACTCGTTTAAAGCAATCGTCATTCCTATATATATTGTAGAGTGAAACACAGAATGGATCACGACGATGATTTAACAAACATGGTTTTCACTCCTCCTCTCTCCTGCCGATCTGGGAGCCGCATGTCACGAAGATCAAACCAGGAACCGCAGGAGACAGTGCGCCAGTTCTGGGACCAATTCAACACCAAATTCCCGGGTAAGGTGTACACCGTGTTACCCAATAACCCCTACGCACGTGCCAAGGCTGCGAAAGTCCCCAAGGGAGTCATCCAAGGACAAGATGCCGGAAAGTCGTACGAGCAAGCCCGGAAGGAATGCGAGCAGACTGTCGAGCGCATTGTGAATGAGTGCAAACGGGTGAATCAGAAGTACACGGATCCTCACTTTGACATTGAGGTGGACCTTAAGTCGGGGAGGAGATATTACTTGGATGGGTTAAATGAAATGAATATGGAGATGCGCCCGAGGGGCGTCAAACGAGTGACTGTGAGTACTAGCCATAGCTATCTTGCGAGTGGTTGTCTATTAACCATGAGTAACAGGAGGTCTTTGAGAGGCCGCAATTCTTCGTCAATGGTCCGACTGCTTCGGATGTGCGACAGGGTCGAGATGGAGATTGTTGGTTCATGGCTGCTCTCTGTACCATGGGCAATAAGATAGGTCTTATTGAGAAGATCTGCGTGGCTCGGGATGAAAAGGTCGGTGTTTATGGGTTCGTGTTTTATAGAGGTATGGTCCATGGATTCTTGTAGGCGCAGAAACTGATACCTTACCTAGATGGCGAATGGCAACAGTGCATAGTGGATGACAAGTTATATCTGCGAGCCGCCGATTACGACGAGTCAATAGACGAGCGGCCCATCTGGGACGACATTAATCGAAGTGATACCGAAGAAGAGTATCGCAAAGTCTGGCAGACTGGGTCTCGAGCGCTGTATTTTGCCCAATGTGTGGACGAGAACGAGACTTGGCTGCCTTTGCTTGAGAAGGCCTATGCGAAAGTCCATGGGGACTACTCTTCCATTGAGGGCGGGTTTGTAGGGTAGGTAATCTTGATCTCTTAGTCGCGGCGGCGGTTGACATATCTTAGGGAGGCTATCGAGGATCTCACCGGCGGTGTGACATCTGATATATTGTCCAGCAATATCCTGGACAAGGATCGCTTCTGGGAAGAAGAGCTCATGAAAGTCAACAAGGAGTTCCTTTTTGGCTGCGGAACAGGGCTATTTTCTAACTGGCTCGACCCGAAGTACCAAGGGCCTCCAAGGGATAGAAAGGGTATATCTGAGAACCACTCATATTCAATCATGGAAGCGAGAGAAGTCGATGGTCAGCGTCTTCTTCGACTAAGGTATGAGAAGTTCTCACATACAGAAGTGCATAGCTCACCATGACAGAAATCCCTGGGGAAAGAAGGAATGGAATGGCGCCTGGAGCGATGGATCGGAGCAATGGACGCCGCAGTGGATGGAAAAATTAGGACATACGTTTGGGAATGATGGGGTAAGTCATTCCCTGGACAATAAATGATGCATATTGACAGAGACTGCCTAGTTTTTCTGGATCTCCTATAGTGATCTGCTTAAAAAGTATCAACATTTTGATCGAACTCGGCTGTTCGGCCCTGAATGGACCGTCACTCAGCAATGGACCACTTTGAACGTCCCGTGGTCCGCTGATTACCACAGCACCAAGTTCATGCTGAATGTGACTGAAGCTGGGCCTGCGGTCATCGTCCTCTCCCAGGTATTTACGCCCGCTGCAGTCTCTCCTCGACCAGGATTTGGCTGACATGGATAGCTCGACACACGCTACTTCAAGGGATTAGCCGGCGAATACGATTTCATCCTCAAGTTTCGGTTACAGAAAGAGGGAGAAGACGAGTACATGGTACGCAGCCACAGTAGCTATGTCATGTACCGATCTGTGAACGCCGAGGTCGAGCTTAGTCCTGGGAAATACCACGTATTGATGAAAGTCGTAGCCTACAAACGCAGCGATATGGAGTCGACAGAGGAGGTGGTGAGTCAGTTGGCGCCCGTCAGGAGAGAAAAGCTCGTTCAACTCGGTCTTTCCTATGATTTGGCGCATGCCAAAGGGTTAGGGTTAGAGACTGACAAGGAAAAGAGACTGCGGGAAGATCGCGAAGGGCGTCGCAAGGCAGTGGAGAGACGGAGGCTGCGAAGAGAAACCAAGAGACGGTTACAGAGGCAGTGGATTCGGGAGCGAAAATTGGAAGCACGACAAAAAAGGATTGCAGAGCGGCTCTCAGCAAAGAGCGCTGCTGGACCAGGCCGTGACCACAGCACCGCCGTCCAGATCCTCCCGGAGGGGCCGGTGCAGTCGCCGCTGGAAACTACTACTCCTATGGACTACCGGTCCGGGGTCGGCATTGACATGAAGCATGGCAGCGTTCCGACGATCCAGTGCAACGGTGTCCATGTGTCCGGGTACCACTCGAAACACAAAAAGGACTCTGCGCGCACCAGTCTCGACACGCCAAACTCCCTATCGTCCGCGCCCTCGTACTGCCCGCAAGAGGCCGAGTGGCTCGAAGGCTTCGAATTCGACTCGGACCTGGATATGCCGCCGGAAGAGCCGACGGAGCCACGGGGACTCCAGGTGTCCGGCTGCGTAGAAGAAAGCGAGGACCCGTGGAACGCGGTGTGTGTTGTGGGATTGCGGGTATATTCCAAAGATCGGCAGCTGTCTTTAGAGGTGGTTCGGGCGGCCGCTGAGGATGGGGAAGCAGCGCTTGATATGGATGATCCGGCAGCGAGTCAATGGATTCGATAGACAATTTAGGTTGGGGAAGTTAACCGTAGCTCTGACAATAGATGCATAATAATCTACCCTATAACACAAAAGATGTAGTACGTGTTCTTATTCAAATCCAGCTTTCCCTCCTGGGACAGAGTGTGACAACAGTCCCACGCGATCAAATTTTGACACGGCTGGGTACATAGAGCAGTACTAATCAGCTATCAATGGCCCTGCAAAAATCAACTGCCAGAAGTTTTCACTGCTGGCAATCTCAGAACCGAGGCATTGACACAATGCACAGCATAACTGGGCACATCTCGACTCTTGGTGTTATTCTGCTCCGACAGTGGCAACCAACAGAGACAGAGATAGGATTGAATGTTTCACCGAGGAGATAATTTTCACAGCAGTTCATGTGGTGTGGATATAGCTCGGGTTAACTGCCTCCGGGGTAGCCTTTTCCACTGGCGTTGTGGAGCAGAGGCAAACGCCAACTTGAATGTTGCAGGGAATAGGGACATGGATCGGAACGCAACAGGTGCCCAAGCCCTCGGGCTGATTGGTCCCATAATTTCGCGCCATGCGGTTAGGTGACAGGGACAGGAGCAAAGCATTGAACAGCTTGACTAAGGAACTTACCAGAATCGAGATCATATACAGCATAAGAGCCGTGGGGCTAGATAGATTAATAAATGGCGGTAGTGAACTTGGATTCCTGATTCCTGGAGCATCCCCATCGGTTAGGTGGCGCCCGATGTGTCAAACGCCTCCGCAATATACTCCCGTAGCAGTAAGTCTGGTAGCCGACGTGGGTCTCGGTCCGTTGTATCCACCAAAACACCCACTTTGGGAGAACCGCGCCAGATACTGAGGTGGTATTGCATGGCGGTAGGGAATAATTCCAAAACCTAGACTTCCGACGGTCTCCCAGGAGGAGATACCGAGGTAGGAGAGCTCCTGGAATAGGTTCACCTCGGCGAAAAGCGGTAAGTAACATGCGGGGAGAAAGTCTCGATCTCGCTCTCTCCCTGGAGCCTGTTACGGTCAGGCGAGGCGGCGACTCAACGCTTTTAGACTTTGGTGGTCCCAACCCTCAATCGAGTTAGACTCAAAGCTTCCCCTGTGCACCAACCGTGTTTTGCTGACTCTCCACAGGTCGATCTGTTGGTCTTTTTCTGCGCACGAGCACTTTTTGTCTGAAAAGTGGAGAGAAAAGAATGAATGAGGGAGAGAGAATAAGACAGGCAATAAGGTAGCTCTGGTTTCCCCGCGACCAGTCCGTTAAATTACGTCCGTAGTCCCCAAGCTACCATCCGCCGACCTCTCTTCTTTTACATTTCCCTCCCTCTTTCTCCTCCCCTCCCTTTATTTACATCCTCAGCAAATGATTATACGTCGTTGATCTTCTACAGCTATTCCTATCCTCTGAGTTCCCTCTAAATAGCCCTGATCGGTCGGCTTTCGAACTTCGATCGACGAAATCCTAGAAATCCAAGATGGCGTCCGAACAGCAGCAGTCCATTTTCTTACCGAAGATGCACAAGAGCCCCCCGTTCTCCTTTGAAGTCCCCGGTGTTGAGAAGGTCGACGGCGAAACAATACCTCGCCGCAACATTCGGTGCAAAGACAAAGACGGTCTCATTACTCAGCCCGATCCATCGGTCAAAACGGTCTACGATATTGTCAACTACTCCGCCAACAAGTTTGGCAACGCACGATGTATTGGGTCCAGAACAGTACTCAATGTTCACAAGGAAAAAAAGATGATAAAGAAGATGATCGATGGTAAGGAGACCGAGGTCGAGAAAGAGTGGTCATATTTTGAGTTGAGCCCCTACAAATTCCTATCCTTCATCGAATTGCAGAAGCTGGTCGGCACACTGGGTGCTGGCCTGAGGCATCTAGGATTGACCAAGGGCGACAAAATCCATCTTTACGGTGCAACAAGGTAGGTATCTCAATGACACATTATGGATACGGAGAGTTGGTTTACGTAAATACTAACTAGGGTGTAGTATGAACTGGTTCTCAATGGCGCATGGGATTTTTACCCAATCGCTCACTGTTGTCACTGCTTACGATACCCTTGGTCTCGAAGGTCTTCGGTCATCCCTCAAACAGACCAAGTCGAAGGCGGTGTTTCTAGACTCGGGCCTCCTACCAGTCCTTAACAAGGCCCTGGGGGATGCGCCTACGGTAGAATACATTGTCCTGAACAACGAATCTACCCCCAAAAAGGAAGAGCTGGATAAGGTTAAGAATGAATTCCCCCAAATCCGCGTGATCTCATTCGACGATCTCCACAAGCTGGGCGAAGAGAACCCGGCAGAACATGTTGTGCCGGAGCCGGAGGACCTGGCCTGTATTATGTATACCTCCGGAACTTCAGGCGCTCCTAAAGGTGTCACCATCAAGCACAAAGCTGTCATTGCTGCCGTCACAGGCGCATCCTCCATTGTTGGCGAATACATCGGGCCCGCGGATGGTCTCCTCACCTACCTTCCCCAGGCTCACATTATTGAATTTATCTTTGAAAATGCGTCACTCTTCTGGGGCGCTTCCATGGGTTATGGGTCACCTAAAACACTCACCGATACCTCCGTCCGCAACTGCAAGGGCGACATCCTCGAATTCCGCCCCAGTATCCTAATTGGCGTTCCAGCCGTCTGGGAAACCATCCGAAAGGGTATTGTGAGCAAAGTGAACGCAGGAGGCGTGATCGCACGGAACCTGTTTTGGGGAGCGTTGGCGGCGAAGCAGTTCCTGCTGTCAACTGGCATTCCAGGTGTAAATCTTCTGGATGCCATTGTGTTTAACAAGGTTCGTGCGGCTACTGGCGGCAGACTCCGCATCTCCATGTCCGGTGGTGGCCCCTTGGCCAAGGACACACAAAAGTTTATCTCGATGGCGATTTGCCCTCTGATCAGCGGCTACGGACTGACGGAAACCGGAGGAATGGGCGCGCTGAATGACCCTCTCGCCTTGACGTTTGAGGCTCACGGCGATATCCCCGCCTCTGTCGAGGAGAAGCTAGTGGACTTCCCAGAAGCTGGATACTTCACCTCCAACAATCCACCGCAGGGCGAACTTTGGATCCGTGGTCCTTCGGTCACAGCAGGGTACTTTGAGAATGAGGAGGAGACCAAGCTCGCCATACGAGAGGATGGATGGTTTATGACCGGTGATATCGCCGAGTTTGATAAGAACGGTCACGTCAAGATCATTGACCGCAAAAAGAATCTGGTCAAGACCCTTAATGGCGAATACATCGCACTTGAAAAGCTCGAGTCCATCTATCGCGCGTCACCCCTGGTCGCCAACATCTGCGTGTACGCCGCGCAGGACCAACAGAAACCCATCGCGATAATCGTGCCATCGGAGCCGGCTTTGCTGAAGTTGGCCAAAGAGAACGGCATCGAAGGCCACGATCTGGAGGATTTTGTCGATAACCCCAAGGTGAACGGCCTTGTCTTGAGAGAGCTCCAGAAAGCCGGTCGACAAGGCCAGCTCGCTGCTTTTGAGATCATCGATGGTGTGGTTCTCGACAAGGACGAATGGACCCCTCAAAATGTACGTTCTTTCTACTGTTTATTCTGCTCATGCTAATCCGTATGTAGGGTTATGTCACTGCCGCTCAAAAGATCCAGCGAAAGAAGATTTTTGAGAAGAATCAGAAGGGGGTTGATAAGGCATACGGTAAGAAATAATCTGCCCTCACTCTTTAGCGCTACGTTGATGGCTGTTATTCGGGATGAATATTTCGGGCATTTTGGTCATTGATTCATGAATATTTTGTGTCTGATATGGTATGGACTCATAGCATGGCTTTTGCAGGAACTGGATGTAATGTTTTGTATAGCGCTGTCGTATTTTGGTATAGCAATATATCCGATTCATCTGTCTTCAGTTATGCACCGGTAATCTGTATTGTTGAGCATTAAAAAGATCGTCATCCCGACTCCGTAGAACGTTACTAATTATATCAGTGGGGCGACATGCAGGTACATCCGATAGACAAGGTATGACACATGAATTTGACAGTTAACGATGGCGTTATCTCAGTCTCCTGCAGTCTCCTGCACGTCTCCTATTTGGGACGATCACCGTCGGACCTGACCTAATAGTCTTTCTTTCTCCCTTATTATTTTATTTATATTTATTTTACATACTAAGATCAACTGAGCATATGCGAGTTTATGGTATTTATGCTATGTTGTCAATATCCCCTTCCTCTCCTCTACATCCAGACGATGAATAGATGGCTTACAGGATGTGCCCGATGCAGGCTAGTCCAAAGACTGGCACCTTCATTTCACGGTTTCGAGAGAGTCGGAAAGACTGAAGTCAGACATGGCTGGTAGAGAGTTCAAGAGTTGATTTCAACAGGCCGGTGAGAGTCGTACAGAATAAGAGTTGGGCTTGCAAACGGTTACACAGTCTTACTTCACCAGACGGGTACTACCAGGAGCGGTAGAGCCATGTTTATGATCAAGCAGTTCCCATAATTGTCCAGGACAATAAGTGCAGTATGCAGCAATGTAAGTTCGTCTGTCTGGTCAAGTGACAGTCAAGCAAGCATTCCCGCACCCGCTAGCTTCAAGTCCATCAAACTCCATGATCTTGACCCCTGAAGGGTTCAAGCGATGAGAGTATGATTCGCTGATCAAGACTGGGGCTGACCTCCACGGAGAGAGGAACTTCGGATCTTCCAAGCTGAAGAACATCCTGGTGTCCCGTGTCATCTCCTGCTGACGGTTATGTCTCCCAGTCAATAATGAAATCTTTCCAGAAGCTAATGCAGTTAATGTCTTGAATCCTGAAAGAACCGGTGGACAGGTTTCTCGTCTCCATCTAAACGATCCCTCTACCCTAGCACACATATATTTAGATTGAAGACCATACCCGGAGATGAAGAACGAAGTATCAGTGAAGAGCGACGAGATTGTAAGCTTGCTCACCGTAGTCCAAGGATGAGGTTGAGTAGCAGCTTCATCAGTGGGGGCTATCCAACAGTTACAATGCTCTATGGTACTCGATCAATGGCAATGGAATTGATGGTAAAATTCTCAAAATGAATCCAGTTAGTCAATATCAGTTAGGACATCATTCCCCAGCGGAGATTGGCTCGGAGGCTGGCTCTATGCCATCCCTTCTTCCTGCCATAATCGTCCTAAACAAGAGACACTATTCCATTGAACATGGCTCTGCAGCTACAGTGTAGACTGAAGCATTCGCAACGTCAGTCACACAAGCAGTCAAGTCCATGAAGATCTTCTGTTGCATGATCCTATACTAAACGGATGCGACCAATCGACGAGCCAATCATGGCCCTGGAAGTGGTCAACCTCAACTTCTGAGACTGTCGCGTTCAATTTCCACATGAATCCTCCATGTCTGGAGAAGGTCATTGCTTTTACCGCTAGTACAATGAGGGAGTACTATGGTTTCGACCATACCCCAATACTCTACTATCAGACACCTCGCTGGAATGCCATCCCCTTGTCAATCTGCATCGCCCACCACGCTCCATTCCACCGGCATTTTTCTAGACTCTTCTCAAAGTCCTCGGCGGCGCGCGCTTACGGATGTGCAGACAAGCGGATCATCTGCGACGAAAGCAAGAGATCGGGATCCATCTCCTCAAGCACCAGGGAAACGGACATATGCTGCAGCGTTAATGTCTTCAGGGGAGAGTCCTCTCATAGTATGGGATGAAGGCCGTAAAGATCAGAGAGGTCTTTCCTTCCATCCAACTCGCTGATCACACTATCACACTACCACTTCGAGAGCGACATTGCCGAGATATTCAACAAGATTAGTGGTATAACACTCTTCACGGCAGTGGCTTGACTGAATTGCTTCAAGAATATGAGCCTTCTCGTCGATGTGACAGTAACCTCAGTTTTTACCGCTACGTCAACAGGCCAAAAAGCCATAATGTTTGGTCGGTAACCAAACACCAAACTACTATGTAAGGTCATATTGTGAAAACCTGAAACATAAAACCTAAAACCTACAATTTATATCAAATCTGATAATTTTCACTTAATGTTAACTTAATACTCTTTTCTCTATATTCACTATCCAGCATGCTTGCGCCGTCATATTATATATCGAGATGTTTTGTCGTCCTACAATATTTCATGCTCCCATATATCTTGGGTCAATCTATAAAGCTGCTTAAAGCAATCTCTCTCTACTATTAGTATTATTATCACAATGGATTCTTCTCAGTACTGACCTTCGCTGGCCACTCCACAACATCCTTGATCCTTGTCCACGAATCCAGGTGACAACTCCCGCCACCGCATCTCCGTCATCGTATGAGCTGTGCCAACCGATGGAGGGGCTTAGCGAGAACATCCTCTGTGATAGGGCTTCACTCAGACACATCCCATCTTATGTCTTCTTGACCCTGCTTGCGGCGTCCACTGCCTCTTACTGCGATTGGCCTGTTTTGCATATATCCCGTTTGAACCTTGTATTACAACCTATATCCTCTTTTCCATACAGAATGTCCTCTGTTCAAGCTGTAAGGAGCCCTGGCAGTCCGCGCTCTACAAGACCTGCGACAGATGCCGGCAGACAAGCGCTCGTCATCGGTGTACATATCGACTAATTCCATCCACAAACCAATCTTCTTCGCCTGTGCCTTCTAACATCTCCATGCAGTGTGTCGTCTGCTCCGTTTGAAGTGGCCCTGACATTCCTCACATGATAAAATCTACGACCGTTACCGCCACAAAGCCGCTGAGAACGTGCAAGATCTGGCGATACACGACATTTCTACTGGCCGCTTCTGCCAGGCACTGCCAAGGGAAGATACCGTCTAGAACCCAACGTCAGTATGCGAGCCGTGGTAGACCCGCTCCTGTTATAGGAAGGTTTTTGAAGCGAGCAGTCGATCTTTAACATGATGAGTACCGGGGCCGGGTTACTGCTTCAAACTCGCTTCCCCCGGAAATAACCTGCGCACACATACGGAAGGCTGTGGCCAGGTGCGAAACCCATTTTTCATCAGCTTAGGGAACAGGGACGTGTATTGCTGTTGCGGCACATTTGCGGCCGCTCCCCCGCCCCCGACCTCAGAATAAACCGTCACGAAAATCATCATATAAGAGGGGGAAAGTCCTGAAAAGTACTAGCGAATAGTTAGGATGGTTAATTGTTGCCTTAACTATTTCACTTTCTACTCAGGCAGAGAAAGTAGACATTACGAATGGCTTATATTTGTGTACACAACCATCATTCACAAGTTTATACAATGGTTTGTGAAGTGTGTTTGCTTTTGTTTTGCAATTTTTAGTTACAAATTGGTCAACCAGCTCCAAGAGTAATCTTCCAGATTATAGCCCAAACTATGGATTGATTTCGGAGAAAAGTTTTTGACATATTGCAAAATCATCATATCTATCTTCAGATCAGACATCAAGTCCTGTAGTGTGTTGTGACTCGTTACTCGTGGCTTTTGGTAGGGGGCCAATTATAACGTCCCTTGGTTGATTGCCTTACTATAAGTCATATTAAAAGGACACTATCACCTAAGATACAATTTCCTTTTCCATGGCTAAACGAGAATACTAGACCCTGAAACAACAAGGCTGTCTCCAAGTTCTAATCCCAAATTTCAATCACACCAGCGAGACTAAAAAGCAAGATACTAGACTACCCGGTCATACATGTCGTATTCACCATAAACCCAGTCTTCATTCTTGCAGCATGTCCAACATCGCTATCCTATGACGTTAGCAGATCTTCCAGTAATGCAATAAGTTGTTAATGGGTTTAATTCTTACCCCTTTATGTTGAGGATGCTGTGGCGTAACTATTAGCAGTTTCCCAAGAGGGTAGAGATGCCTATTTGCCTACCCATCCATGATGGCAATAATATCAATGGGGCAAGCAATCATGGAAACCTTTGCCCGCCGTATCGACCTCTGGATAAAACACTCCAGCACTTGCTTCAGACAGAATAGCAGATGTAGCTATAAGAATGATTGAAAATTTCTTTGAAGAGATATAGAGCCACTGCGTGGCTGGGTTAACGTTTTAATAGAAGAGAGAAATTTGGTTTAATGTCGTCCAAGTAGACATTAATGACCCTAGAGATTGCGCAGCCATGAAGAGAAGGAGAATCTATTTATGCTTAAATACAGCAGTGCTGGATCTACATTTATCCTAGTCATTTTCATATGCTTGATTGGTGAGAGTTAAGATCAAGGTTTTGCTCGTTTCTTAGGGAGCAATGACACTGACAGATCAGCGACGGCTACTATTAATAAGACTTCGTACATAGTATAATACGGATCTAGTACCTCTTCCATGCTATCCAAAGGGAGAATGATCACGCAGCTACGTAAGTTACTGTAGGGCACAGTTGTTATACTTGCAATTAATTCTAATTCCATGATGAGTCTGTGCAATCTATAAAGTTAGTAACGCAGATTTATTAATCATGTTTCCGGACTAGACGGCGAAGGTGGATCTTCAACAAGCTTTATAGGTATGCGGAAGTGTGCATATGCAGTAGAGGAAGTGTTTCAACGGTCTAGACCATGATATTGAAGTAAGATTCTCCAAATATTGTAGGAGAAACGTGTTCGCTATTTGTCCAATCTCAACGTACGTTGGCCTAAATTGTCGTCGACGCCTATCCAAGCAAAGCGACCTATCTATAGAATCTACTATGAGACTTCACTTGTTCAGTTCAAAGCAAGATTCTCAAGTTCAGGCTTCAAAGTTCAACCATCGAAAGGAATAGTGATACTATTTTAAGAAAAGGCAGTGAAGTTGTTCTCTTTACCTTGAATTCTAGATAGTCCTTCCAGATACGGGACAGCTAACTACAAGAGGTGTCTTTACCATGGTAATCAGAGCCTAGGCTCGTAATAGGTCTATTTGCTATCTTTTACAACATATTCAAAAGCTCTTTGCACATCAGTGTGTTCCATAGACGATTAAGATAATTCTTATATTAGTATTCTGTAGCTGGTCCAAGTAGATTGAAGGGGTATATTTGGGTGGCATCGTGTTGCTGTTATCGGTAATTATCAACCTCACAAATACCGCTAACCTATATTTGTATCCCAGAATGCAAATTTGCATTCTAGACTGTGACGCGCGCTGTTGCACGCTGTGGCCCTGAAACGAAATGTGAAACGAGAGAGTGGAGGAAGCAAATTTTGGGTGCAAGTATTGTACTGTAATGGATATGGAAAGTTGAATTGTGTCAATGAGCCAGTTATTAAATGTAAAGACGGAATCTTCTGCTATTATAAAAAAGGATGCGATGCAGCTATTATTGGAGATTCTGGAGAGAAATACTACCTAGGAATCTTTTGGCATCATGTGATGACTGAGACCTAATCCTCTCAGAAATACTAGAAATATATTTATCTAGTAACAGGTTTAAACAGTATATCGAGAGAGTAAATGATAGAAAAGCAGTAAAGACCTGGCTACTAATATGCCTATTAATGTATTATTCAAATGAATAGAACCAAAAACCTTCGTATCCGCAATACGAATGGTAATTAAATCTCCTCCTCAATTCATTCTACTTATCCAACCAATCCACTCTACATTAATTAACCCTTTATACCCGATACTCGATGCTCGATGCTCGATACTCAATAAATATGAGCATAACAATAAGCGGCCTCTCCAAAACCCTCCCCTCTACCCCCACCACATTCCCCAACTGCTGTCTATCCATGTCCACTCCCCTGTTAAACCATCTATCTTGTCTCCTCCCCCAGAGACCAAACTACACCCTTTCCATCGGCAGCGGCTCTGGCCTCCTTGAAGCCCTTCTCGTCCATCGTCATCCCAATCTATGCATCCAGGGCGTGGAGGTCCACTCATCTGTGAACCGGTACCTAGCTGATGAGGATGTGCATGTTGTTGGTGGGACGTGGGATTTACTACCTCCATTACCATTACCAGCACTACTGCCTTCAGAACAACAACAGTCTGGGGCTGGGGAGACAGGTAAGATTGGTATCTCAGGACCTCGCGCTTGTATGTTTGTCTATCCGCGTGAACCGGCCCTGGTGGGGAAGTATCTGGATTTATACTGTGTTCAGAATCAGAAGGACAAGCAACAGCTAGAGATGGTTCTATGGTTAGGTCCGCGTGTGGATTGGCCGGATTATGAGGCTGTTTTCCGAGGGTGGTTTGTGAACATGGAATTTGAAGATGTGGGGTTGCCGGAGTATGAGATGTTGGTTGTTGCGAGGATAGTATAATATAAATTCTGTTGGTTCAGTGTATGAATAATATATTCAGCAGAAATATATAGTAAAAGGTTTAATCTCGCAAATGCATATATTGTTCATTGGGTTAACTAGATTCTGGTTTGATGAATAGTAATGTGGCTGTGTACGTTATGCTTAATTAACTATTAGAAAATGATTTGTTGGAGAACCGCAATCCAATCCATTCATCGGCTGTCTCGTAACTTCAGGCTAACCAGACACCTGACGCCATATTACTTGGTGCATGTATTCTATTCTCGACATTTGAATTAAAGACAGAAGAGAAGAAACAGTAATAGCAATGGAATCAAAAAAGAAATGCTCCCACGCGGATTTGAACCGCGGACCTCATGATTACTAGTCATGCGCTCTACCAACTGAGCCATAGGAGCTGCTGTGATGAAAGGTATTTTTCTAAAGAGTTATATTAGAATAGAAACTTTTCAGAGCACAAACTTATAAAGATCTACGTTATAGTTACAGGTAGTACATACAAGTACTGGGCAATTGGATATGTGCAACGAATTGATTATCTAGCAATCATAAAGGAGACCCGAATCCGTTCCCGGGCGAATCCCACCATGGTTCAATATCAGACAAACTAGGCAATGCAGCCTCCCCATAATTGGCCGAACCCAACTGACTGAATCCCCCCTCGTCGAGACCGCTCGACAGTAGCTGCAGGTCCGAGCTCCGTATCCAGTCGAAATCGCCGGGTTGGCAAGCGCCTAGCTGCCTGGTCGGATCAAGCGGTTGTCCTACTCGCTGACTCTCCGCTTGACCCAGAGGCACTGCCATAGCCTGCGCGGGGGTTGAAAATGGGAAAGATGCGTGGCCGTGGGGTGCCGTGGTGCGCGACTTCTTCCGCGAGGCATCGGAGTCGGAATTAGAGCCCGCAATCTGCTGAGATGAAGGCTGATTATTGATTTGTCGCTTCGCTCCCGATCGACGCATATGGGCTTGCCATCTGCGCTGGAGGCTGACGAGGAAATCTCGAGTACGTTTGGCGTTCTCGAAGGACTGGCCGAGCTCGTCCAGTGCACGGAAGCAGAGATTCAGGTATGCGACCATTTCCGTATTATTGTAAATCTGGTCGCCACTGGTTCGACTGGAAGGAGAGGTGTTGGAGATGGTAACGTAAAGGAGCATCAAAGCTGCGCTGAAGATCATGGCCACGACCTGGTTGTTCATGCGGCGGAAGGTATAATGTTTCTCGTAGAGGTGAAGCAGTCGCGCGATATCTGTTGCCGACTCGACGCACATTCTTCGAGCATGGTGATAACCCGGTCCTTGACGTGGGCTTCGTGGTTGGATGTAGCTTTTGGACACCCACGGTCTGTGGGTGAAGATGACAATCTGATGATACTGCATACTGTGGTCCCGTTAGCACCTGTTGGCCATCCCGTGCGCATTAAAAACATACTGTAATACTAGAAGATGTGGTAATTTAGGAACAGCATCATTATCAAGATCAATATCAAGGTTCGAAGGTAAATTCGCCTTCCAAGCAAACAAGTCATCCGTCACTCTATGACACAGTCGCTGGAGGTCATGCCGGCCAATATCAGAACAGCCATAACTATGAACGAGTCAGTAGGTTCAAGCAATCGAGACCGCCGGGGATGCCTACAGAATATGGCCAACAGGGGATATTATTTCCCAAAGAATAGCAAACTGCCTGCTGATCAGTTCGTTCGGGTTCTTCACCCCACTCGTTGATGGTTCTAAATCCCCATGAAGCCCGTATGGATACCAGATGCTTTCCTTTTCTGCACCCAAGTTGGATGCAGGTTTTGGAACAGTAATATCACCCGCACTCATCCGAAACGGTCGCCCTAGGTAGAATCCCCAGAAACTAAACGCAAGGATTAGACCCAGAAAGATCAAACTGCAGTAGGTCCCAACTTACTGGTCTGCGATATAACTTCCCCAGAATGCTGTCCGTCGTACATCGGCCTCAAAAGCACTTATATCTCCTTTCTCGACATATGGAGTCATGTCAATATGTAATCCAAGATCAAATGCAAGTCGCATAGACATCCCTGGGCAAGACAATTAGCTTTCGGCCGGCAGTGTGCTGGTGATTCTGACATACCACTGTAAAGCCAGCCACGAGCGTCACGATTCGAGGACCCTTCGTGACAGCTCAGAATAACTAGCGCCTGTACTGTGGCAACACACGGAGAGTCGAGCTCGATTTCAAGAAGGGCCTTCGCTCTGTCCGCAAAGAACTCCGATAGCGATTTAGGAAAAGTGATAAATGTAGGATGATACCGCGCTTCAAACGCGCTACCAATGGCACACCTGGCAATTGTCAATCAGCGGTCAGAGACAGATAGAACTCAGAAAGCATACATTGCATTCGTAAGAACTTCCGAGTAGAACGGGGTATCGTCAAATTCATTCCGCCATTTTGTTCTGGCCGTCATATACATCTCCTTGTCCACCACATAAGTGCTCGTATTTTGCCATGTGAAATATAACTCAACCAGATGGTCTTCGAGGGCTTGGTCAACCGCCTGCCCAACCCGCAGATGATTCAAAATATCCTGTCCATCGTGGCGGACGGTGCGCGCATCAGGGCGCTGTCGCTGTTGCGTTGCCGATACATCTACCAGGTTTAGGTTCGATGTGGCACCATAAAACCGTAAATGGCCATCGCCTGCAATCTTCAAAGTCCCAATACGATGCGAGATCTGCTCGATAACGTCATTTTCCGCTTCATCCTCTTCCCCACTGTCTGTGTCATAATCCCTGTTATTCCACGACTGTCCAAGCAGCACCCCCGGTTGCTGCTGCATATCATGGGACAAATGCAGACTGTCAGGACTGAGACTATTCTCTTGCGAGCCGTTGGGCCCGCTATTAATATTAGCATAAATAGTGTTCAGGCTCTCAGCCGTTGGAAGGGTAAATCCCCAATTTGCAGGGGGATAGTGGTTTGCCAGGCTGGTATCGGACGCGAAAGCGACCACTGGTTCTTGGCTTTTCTCCGCCCCGGATATAAATGGCTGGGTAGGAAAAGCACTCGACGAGGGAGAGGGACCTCCCGCAACACCTCCAATGGGATCCAACTTTCCGTCCAACGCGGACGGGGTGGGTGTATGTGCATTGTAGGCGGGAGAATGCGCGACGGCAGATTGTAGCGGCGTATTTTGCTCGCATGGAGATTCCTTTCTCTGGGCCAACCCTCGAGGAATCTGAAGCGTATCCAGGACTCTGTTGATTCCGGACTCATCGTCGGGGTTCATCGGCGGCGGTTCTAGGCCATGGTCGTATATGAACTGACACAGCTGGTCAATCCGGGTGGAAAATAACTCAGTCGCAGCACGCAGTGACACCCTGGGTTGTTTGGACATGGTCAGCCTCTCTTGCCACGCTCGTTACAGGAGTCCAGATTGGAATCTGGTACGAAGTCAGTTCACAGAGATGGATCGATCTGGACTCACTTCCGCTTGTCGTCTCCATGTTGATATTTGCACTCCTTCCCTTTCCTGTCGCAGTTGTGGCAATGTGGAGTCGCTCCGTCACACTGAGAAATATCGTCAGCTTGCATCAAACACTGTGGATTCACTGCGACCGTGACATACCCGGATCTTACTCTCCCGACAAGGGACGCAGGCGGTGGTGACGTGCTTACGAGGCGCCTTTTTAGGCTTGGAGTCTTGCTCCATCGCTGAGGATTTGGGTGGCAAAGAAGGGAACTTGAATTAATTTCGCAGCGACTGTGGAGATAGACAATAGAATGTGGGGAGAATCACGGAGCGACAAGAGGCGTGAAGTCAACCGACATCGGCAGAGGCGAGAGTGGCAGACGACATAATCAGATCAAGAACAGTGGTGATGGAGGAGGGTGTTAACATGACACACAGTCCCAGTTTCGAACCATGGGAGTCGAGATGGCTCTGGCTTTGGGGAAGAGATCGTATCGTATCCCCCGAGTAGTAATCCAACTCGGGCCAACTCTCGGGTTAAAGTGCCCCACTCCATTTCTCCAGGAATATTCCTCTTGGTCACCTGACTAATCTTATTGAATATTGGTACTATTTACACAAATATGCTGCCATCACGACCACCTGCTAATCGTACGAAGAATTACCAATCACCAGTACGTTTGTGCGCCTCATTCTGGACCACCTCAACCCAGTAGTTATCGGGATCAAGCACAAACGCCACGTTCCTCATCCGTCCATCAGTCAGGCGTTTCTTCCAGTTCACTTTCAGCGACTCGAGACGGTCACAGGCGGCGTTGAGATCGTCAACAGAAACACCTGCAAGGAAATCAGCATCGTTGTAGCCATGGCTCATCTCAATCTCCTCCTTTCAAAAAAAAAAAAAAAAAAAGAAAAAAGAAAAAAAAGAAAAAAAATAGAGGTGCCACTCGGATACTTACAAATATGACCAAATCCTTGAGGTTCAATATTCCCGTTGTGGTAGACCTGACCTTCTTGCTTCTCGGTGCCGTAGTTCCAGGTCAGCTCCAGCAGGCCTTCCCATTCAGCCACGGGGTTCTTGGCGCCTTCCTGCAGTTTGGGGCTGGTTGCAGGGTATCCCAAGAAGTAGAGATTGAATTCCGCATCCTTGTTTTCCATTGTACGCAGCAGCGTCATTCCCATGACCTCCTGGTAAAACTTCAAGCTGGCCTCGGCACTCTTGACTCGGAGCATCGTGTGGTTGAATCGGTAGTTGGCCGGGTCCGTAGTGTTGCCCACATCTTCGTCATGACGACGGATAATCTCGACCCAGTATCCATCTGGGTCCTTGACGAAAGCAATATTCCTCATACGGCCCTCGGTCAGCTTCTTCTGGAACAAGTACCCGGCATCCTCCAGTCTCTTGCAGGCCAACTCGATATTGTCAACAGAAATGGCGATGTGCCCAAAGCCGCGGTGGGGTTCCGTGTTGCCATTGACCACGCTATAGTTGGGGTCATCCTCTGTACCGTAGTTGTGAGTGAGCTCCAATAGAGCATGACGGTCCGTGAAGTGGGTCTCTCCCTGCAGTGACTTGGGTCCGTTGTATCCCAGGAAGTAGAGTGAGAACTTGTTCTCGGGGAAATCCAGCTGCTGGATCTGGTTGAGTCCCAAGAATTTGTAGAATTCCACTAGTTATACAAAGGTATTAGCCCAGGAGGAGGAGGGGGATCACAGAAGATATGCGCACAGGATCTCTTTGGGTCCTTGACCCGGAGCATAGTGTCTACCAAAGCAATGTCATCAGCTTGGATTGATTTTGCCTATGGGATTGTCGATCACTAACGATTAAGCTTATACTTGGACGTGTCGGTCGCCATGGTTGCCAGCGATCTATTGGTTCCTTGAACAACCTTGTGAGCAAAGAACTCGGATGAGTGGGGAAAGCTAGGCCCCATGTATTAGAAACACGCACCTATGAAAATAGAAGAAGACTTTGAGATGAGGACCCTGGATGAGAAGGATCGAAAGGAAGGGAGAGCGTGGCTAGCGAACATCAGCCGATGGGAGGAGGGGTAAAGGGAAAAAACATTTACTTGATTAATAAGTGGTTCGTGCGGAGGAGAAAAAGTTCCGGGTGGAGCGATGACGTTATGCTCGGATTTGGTAACCAGATAGTGGTATTCATCTGAATATTCTTCTATAACTAACTAGATTTTTATTCAATTACGTAAGTCTCGAGAGGGCATATGATATATTTTTTCAGTGGAATTGTACCAGGTTACCATCTACACTCAGTTGTTTCCAAAAGCTTACAGAAGCTTTCGGCTGTATCCTTCCCAGAGATATATTCCTGGATACCTTTTATACATGGATAAGGATTATTTAGAGTTCCTGTTCCCGAACTATCTCCAGTTTCAGGCACCGTGTCTCAATCTTATGTGTGCCCTGCAGCCTGGACAAAAGTTTCGATGCTACTCCATATAGTTGTGAGTTGGAGGAGGCAACAACGGATGCCTAATCCACAAACCAGCCGACTCGAGACAAGCGCTTATTGTACAGTCCGGGTAAAAGGGATTGAAAGCCATCTATAAAACATTTGTCCGTACATGCGAACCACGATTTACTACCAAGACGGTCAATGCTTGATAAAGATAAACATTCGGCTGAAAGACGCTACTCCGCTTGCCACCAGAATTAGTGCTGCAAGTTGCAGAGCGCCTAGATCATGGGGATGGCTCACGTTTGGCGAGGACGAGTGGTTCGACATATGGAATTGTACAGCCCGAGCTCTATAGATATGGTCTGCCCTGCTTAATAGTATGGCTACTTCTAGTGTACGAGAGGCTTAATTTACATAGGGGCAAGGTCCTTCTCAAGTGGTCAAGTGGAGGAGACCTGTCTTCATAAAGCTGCCCGTCATGGACATGCACGGATAGTAAAGGGACTACTGAATTTCGGAGCTGATGTCGATATAGTGAATTATGCGGGTTCGACACCGCTTTTTGATGCAGCCCATGGGCCATTTGTAAGTGACTCGAATCCTTAGAGCAGGCGCAGATGTTGGTTTAAAGAATAGGTCCAGCCAAACACCTCTTCACCATGCAGCTCTCGGAGGTCATGTGGAGGTATTGCAACTGTTGATTGACCAAGGTGCTACAATCGAGGAGAAGGACGACTATGGCGACACTCCCCTCCATTATGCGCATACAACGGCCATACCACGGCCGTTAAGAGACTGATCGCTGTCGGAGTGGCGGCCCAGGAGAGGACTGAAAGTGGTGAAACCCCTCTGCACATCGTAGCTGGAGCCGGCCATTTGGGGGTGTCTCAATACTTGACTGATCCTGGTGTCCCAATCGAGGGGAAGGACGACTTTGGCAACACCCCCTCCATTATGCGGCAGGAGATGGCCATGTCGAAGTTGTGAAGCGACTGATAACACTTGGAGCGGCTGTTGAGAGAGCAATAATACAGGTATAACCCCCCTGTACTTCGCAGCTCGGGCAGGTAATGGCTGTGCAGAAGTAGTTAAATGGCTTATAGCTCATGGCGCAGATATCAATTCGAAGGAAGGCGTTGGTCGCACCCCTTTACACCATGTTGTTGAGGGTTCTCGACCGAACATTGTCCAGATATTGGCCAGGCTGGGGGCGAATATTGATGCAAAAGACAGTTCCGGCGTGGCCCCCCCGTCAAGTTGCAACAGGAGACCCCGACCATGTGTAGAAGCTGTTCGCACATTGCTTGAGAGTGGGGCATCTGTGGACACGAAAAGACAAGGTATCAATACTCAAGTGATAATTGCTGCCTATAATGGGCTACGTATGGAGAATAGCATGCAGCAAGAAATTAATGAGCAATACCAGGAAGGGAGTAGTGCATCTTTAGTTGAAGACTACCGAAACTGGCCTTGCTCGGGAGAAGAAAGTGGCGGCGAAAGAGGTGGTCCGACTCTAAGACAACACGCTGGTCGTGATGTATCTAAATTCTCTGATTTGGAATTATCCGACTCCGGTCTCTCGGACGCTAGCGACTCTGATTCAATCGATGGGGCTTCGACTAACGCTGATGATACCAATGACTCATATAAGCTAAATTCCAAGGTCCATGGCTGGAACCTGGCAATACTGGAAGTTTGCGTACTGCTTTATTTGGACTATAGTATGTGATAGGTAAGTTCCACAATTGATATTTCTACCTTTCTACTACAGAGCGGTCAGCGAAGATAAAATAAAGCAGTTAATAAAGATGTTGGGCATTTAAAAGGACTATTAGTAGCAATGATAACGAGCGGAGTCCCTTACATATAGAGACCTTAAATACCGAATCCCGTCATTACGTAGTACATCCACCATGGATATAGACCGGAGATTGGCAATGTGCAGCTGTGGCCGCCAAAGGGTCCATTGAACACAAGCGAACTGGCCAATATTAAGCATCAGGGGAGAATCCGGCTCCATAAGGCGAACAAGTTCGATGACTCGTAGTGCATACTACATGGTCTGTGTCGCTGAGGGCAATTCAATATAAAACGCTTAAAGCTCCCTCCATCGCCACGTGAAAGGCGGTCATTCTCCCAGCATGGATTTCGATGACTTCTGAGTTTTTTGAAGACGATCTCATCTGATCACCTTGGTGTACGTGTTACAGTCGTGAATTGTTCCACCATCTCAGATGATGAGCCACTCACTGACATACTGAGCAGTACGAAACCAGTCTATATCGACCATGGCCAACATCCGAACCTCCTTCTTTGTGGGCCTAGTGGTATTAACCCTGGGAATCATTGCAACTTATATCTAGCCTTTCAGTGACTTCTTCCTCCAGAATAGTGTAGAGTATGCGTTCCTGCTTCCTGGAATTATTTTTCCCCCGCCATTGGTGGTAGACACCGTCCGAAATATAACATACCTCGGCAGCCTTCATTCTGGAGTCGAGCATTTTCAAGAAATCTTGGGATCCATTTGGCGAGCGTCGGTTCGCATCACCGGTTCCCGTCAATCCCGCAATGGATCGGTTATTGATGTAACACGACTTGGAGCCTGATGTCCACTGGGAATTGGAGATATACTTCCTTTCTCTAGTCCGGTGGTCAACATTAGCGAGATCAGCGAGCTGCCTTAGAATGTATGTTTCAGAATAGGGATCCGTGACAATATCGAAGCCTTCAACGGCGATCCCAACAAAGGTAGGACTTCAACTAACTGGCCCTGTCCTATATAGTCGGCTGATTCGTTTGAAGTAACCGTTATCGGGCAAAGTGTAGGAGCCAGTGATACTAGTCTCCTACTGAGAGCATTTGACGGCGTGCAAGGGGTTCCATTCCAACGAGCAATGCGAGTAAGTACGTCAGGCAAGATTGGTCCTACGCTAAGCATAAGAATTCCTAGAATGATGTCGGGCAGTCTAGGCCTTAACTTCAATAGTGAACCAGATTTCGTGGCAGAGAACACGGCAGCCATCGCAAGACAGGAGAGCAGCAAAGATCAGTCCAGGAAAGTTTTGGACTGCCTATGCAGTGTCTCATTTGAAACCTTGATGAATATCTTTGTCACAGCTTCTCGCCCTGCCCGTCCACCATTCGGCGAGGGCTTTTTCTACACGACCATTTACTGGGACATTTTTGCGGCGGCGGCCATCCCAGCTTATGCGTGCAGGGAAATTTGTCAAGGGATTTCCAGCCAATGATGGCGCCTGGTATGCAGCGCCGCCGACTTCCACAGACGAAGTTGTCTTAAATAGCTTTGAACTGTGGCTGTTTGGTCTTTCCGATTTTACCAAGGAGAAGCTGCTGGAGTTCTACCCACTTGTGGATTTTGAGCACATGGTCCGACGTGAGTATGACGGGCCTATTTCCGCGCAGTACTACCGCACTTCACAGATGAACCGGGATCTCGGGCTCGTGTGCCCAGTTCTGAACTTTCCATGGCAGTACATCCGCAGTGGAGGCGTAGAACCATTGTAGGTTCGAATATACTCCACCCGCTTCACCCCCGTATACGAAAGACAGTGGGTGTTCTGATATGGCGCGTTGCTCACCTGCTCGATATCCCGTATGTACTCAACGTCCAACGCCTGGAGGGTAGTGCGCATAATTCACCCGCACAGCATGCTCTATCCAAGGTGTTCAGTGGAGCTATCACGAACCTTGTAAACAATAGAACGACGGAGAGAAATGGCAGTGGAGTTGAGACATGGTCTGCTGTCTTTTCTGGCGTTACTGAATAAGAGTTGGTGGAGCAGTACCCAAACTAGCTGACGATCAAAGTGTTTGGTGGGCCATATGAAACAACTCCAGTAACTGTGAGCAAGAACATGAAAGAGGAGGTGGCGACTCGTGCGGAACAGGCTCACCAGCGGGGAAGGCTCTTCAGCCGATGTGAGTCCATCAACAGCCATCGGATGGGCGAGCAGCGCGTGTGAGAGGGCGATCATGAGATAACTATATCCAGATTAGTTAACTAGGAGAACACCAAACTCTAGTTATTTTATTACATAAGCAAACAGATGACACATCATGTGCCCAAGGCGGTGGTGCGCAGCAATGGCCCAAAGCGGAAATCCAATTTCCACCTCCTATCGAACAAGTCAGTCCAAGGAGATCTTCCTTCTCTCGCTCCCTTCCTGCGTCTGTGTACGCCTCTTCTTCTTCTCCGTCCATCGGATCGGCTTCTTGCAGGGTTTCCGGCGCTGGTTGCTTTGTTAATTGGTCAAGGTTCGTCGTTTGCTTCCTTATTGTTCGTCCGTTGAAGACCCAACACACCTGCCCGTTTAGATCGTCATTCCATGCGCCTGCCGTCGATGTGCTCTGTGCTCTGCTTTGTTGGCGCTTGCGGATTTACTCCTAGCTATGGGCCCATTTCTTTCTTTCTCTGTGATGTTTTCTTTTTCCTTTGGTGGCTTGCTTGGCCCATTCCTCCCTATCTCTGTTTCGGGCTTCTCTCCCCACGGTCTTGAGCCCTGTTTGGAGGAGATTCCTCCTCGTGTCTAACAACTCATTTCCATGATGGGATGTCGCGAGGCGCTCGAGCTAGTGATGGAATGGAGTCACCCACCTATCCCCTCCCTGTTTGGTTTCCACTCTAGGTCCTGGCTGAAAAAAAGGCTCTGTTCATTCTGTGTATCTCTTGTGCCACCGATTCTTCTTGTACTTCGTGTCGGTTGACTCGCAACATCATATTTGTTTTCTCTGGACTATAAGATTCTTCATTTCTCCGCTTCCCCCTCAATCCCCCAGGTTTTCCCGTGGCCTAGCTCTTCTCTCTGCTGCCTTATTTCACCCGACCACAAAAATGGCTGAGTATCATGATCCAGTTCCACCTGGTCAGTCGCGCCAGCCGAAACCAACTAGCATCTATGATATTCCATACTGTCCGTACTGGGCCCAAAGCCAAGTCCAATACGCACAAAACCTTCTAGAGTGTTCTGGCGAGCCGATCGAGTACGACCACGACGACAGAGACTACTGGGATAACAGTTTCTTTTTTCCTGAAGACTGCTCTTGGTCACCACCCAAGGACTGGATCGTCGAACAACAAGTCTCCTATCCCCACATCACACTCCACAGCCTCTCCGACACCATGATTCCCGGTCTACCCGACATCAAGATGCTGGATGCGGAGGCCCTCAGTGACCTGCTAGAGGACAACCTTTCGCCCCCGGAGATCACCTCCATTCTGTATGATATACGTCTCACTACTTCGGGTTCCGCGTCATTGCTGACGAGTCATTCGTGCGGTGCAGAGTGTTTGCTACTAATGGAGCTATCTTCGCCTCCGCCTCCTCCCTGCCCCTACGCCAGCTACGCAACCTGAGTGCAACTTACGGTGCTGCCTACACATGTTATGCCAAGAACGTTTCGAGTGGTAACCTAACAGGCGTCAACCCCGCTAGTCATCCATCTTCATACGTGACTGCCCAATCCGTGTCACTTGGTGATGTGGGTTCAATCGTCTTTGAACTCGAGGACCTGGTTGCCGTTGTTACCCAGATCGCAGACAAGGTTCTCCTTGCTGCCATGGGCCCGTCTAAAATCGATCCCGTAGGACAAGGCACAAGTCCTACCCTGAATGGCACACAGGGAACTACGACCACCGCCAACGGCTTCAGATCCGGAATAGATGCAAGCGCGACAACGGAGTTCCTTATGAGCAACCCTACTACCAACTGCCCGTCTGCCAATCAGACCTCCCCTCACACGGGGACCCCAAATACCATCTCTCGAAGTCATAGCGGCTCTAACATGGAAGGTGACGCACACCTGGAAACGCAATACGAAATCGACCGCAGCAGCGACCTGGCGCGTCTGTCAAGTTTAAACCTGTCCGCATCTCCGGCTATTCTCCTTGCGTTGGAGTCCAAATCAGCGGCTTTGGGAAGATTCCTCAGTCAAAAACTAGAGGATCTCGAAAGCCCTGAAGATTTTTAGACAGGACTCCATTTCTTTTTGTCCCTTTTTGATTCCTTTTATTTTTATTTGTACGACATTGTTTACGAACCAGGGATGATACTTCTACACATTTTTCATTTATCTTGAGCGATGCTACTATGTATTTAATCCATGATATACCACGCTTGGTTTTTGATTAATCAAGTGGTTCATGATTCCTGCCTATCTTTACAATCCATGAAGCGAGAAACGGAATGACTCCTCCCTACTCTCGAACAGCCTGAACTAGTACATACAGAAAACATCGAACTATATGGCAAGGTCGTGAAGATATATATTATGATCATAAAGTAATGTACGTACGAATAATATATGAAGCGAAGAAACTGAAATGGAGAATGTTTGCTTTCGGTCCAAGAACCATGAATTAAAATAACAAGAAAAAGAGAGGTACATATCAACCATTAAGAGACTCAACACATGGAATATAGAATATGGACCCCATGATCATAGTATGGATGTATTGTAAATCTGCATCAATTCACATTTTCTCGCTGGCAGGGGCTACCCCGCCAGTAGAGGTGGTACTTTGAACTGACTTCGCAGTGTCAGCACGAATGATCGAGGGAGCGGCCTGGGTTGCCTGGGCTGAGGCACTGGGGCCATGGGCGGCTGCCTCGCTGGTCTTTTCGGTGTATGCGGGTGGTGTCACGTCGCCCATGACGACAGCCGGGCTAGCAGGTTGCGACGACATGGCAGCTGGTGGGGTGGCCATGCTAGTCTGCAAGGGAGGAGCCCGGGTTGCGTCCTTGATTACAGTCCACCATTTTTCGGCCTCATTGGGTGAGGTAGCCTTGAAGTTCAGCTCGGTGTTCGTGTGGAAAGCGTTTCCAACTTTCCCGCTAGACACATCCTTGCCTTTCACACTGAACTTGTTCCCGTCAATGGCACCGATGATGCAATCGGGGAGGAAGAGGGATAATTCCGGGGTGGGATCGCGGCGGAAATCATCGTTATCTTTAAACTCGTGGAGGTACCGAGCATGGGTCACGACGTAGTGGCCGGTGCTGTAACCTTTGAGGACGGCGCGAGACTTCCGTTCCAGGGATCCCTCGATCAGTGGCTTTGTCGCGCGATGGTCCTGATTGGGGAAGGTGATGTTGCTCAGAGACCTGGGCGGGGCATCCGGGTTGACCAGGGATGTGTCGTTTTGGGTGATGAAGTTGACCCATTCAAAGTCTGGAGGGATGCGTTGGGCAGTACCCAGTATATCCGTGTACATGGTGCGATGGCGGTCGAGCTGATTATTCGTGAACACAACGAACTGCTCCATGGTGGCTTGGAGGGTTTGCAGAACATGCGCCTCGAATTGCTGAAAGTTATTCTGCACTGCAATGATATCCTGGCGGTTGTTGTTCTCCTCAATAACCTGTTTGTTGAGGCGGTGGTTGATGCCCCGGCGTAGAATATAAGGGTCGTGGTGTTGGTCAAGCTTGGTCCCTGCGGCTGCATCGAACGATGCGCTATGCTGAGCAAGGAGCTCAATATGCTTTTGAGTGACGCCTCTTGCTTTTTCGACAGCCTTCGAGCTCTTAGAAGCCCCCGACTGCAGCTCCTTCGATTTGTTTTTGATCTCTTTATGAAGACGCTCCAGGGTCGGGGTGATGGAGCCCTTCAGGTTCTTCTCTGATTCCAGATACATGTTCACCATTCCCTAGCAAAAATCAATATATCATCCTCAGCAGCTGTTCTCAAACGGGGAAGGGGTGGGGCGAACTAGGCGCGAGGCCATACCTGAGTGTTGGTACGGATATTCTCGAACCATGAAGACACTCCTCCAGCGCTCGGAGAAAAATGATGTCCTTCCTTCAATGGATCGCTGACGGTCTATATCCACGGCGACCCACCCGTTTGGTCAGCATCGTCCAGCCACTGAGAACGAATTGGTCGCACACACCTTCAATATCTTCTCATAGTCCTTCGATTGAGACTTCTGTACCTTGGCCGTCACCGCAACGTAGTCTTCCAAATAGCCACACAAATGCTTCCAGGCCCGAAGACGTTCGAGGAGGAGATTTGTAGTCTATGAGCGACCGACGGTTAGCAATTGCACAGTGCACAACACGGAGAGCTCTATCTCAAATCGACTAGGAGCTTTCCTACCTCGTTGCTATCAGAACCTGGAATCGCTTCATCGTCACTCATTGAAGCTCGCCGATCGGGACCAATGGAGCTCCGAGTGGTACCGGACCGATGAGGGAGCCTCGATTCCACTGGACTGCTTGTAGCAGACATCTCTTCGAAGTAAGGTGCAATATCTGTGAGATAAGGACTGAGATACGGTTGCTCGGGGGAAAGAGAAGCAATTAATATTTAAAACTGGGTCGGAATCTGGTGTGGCGCTATTGAGGAGACTAGGACTGATGAGGTGGGCTAGGTGCGATTATCGTTAACTACAGTTGTTTTCACGATCGAAGCGCGGGAGGAGTGGACCGTTACCAAGATACCAGGCGATATATAAACATTACATATGAGTTCCGAGAACATGCGATCCAAAGCCAGTAGATCTGTCTAATCAAGGAAAGAAAATTAGGCAATCCAGCTGAGTTCAATGAGAGATGAAAAAGGGAACAAAGAGAGGGAGGGGAGATGAGAGAAGAAAATATAGGTCGGGAAAGTGGAGGTGATCGATGGCCTGAGACTATGAGGTCACCGCCTGCATCCTTTTGCCCCTCAGGAACGCCTCTTGTGCCATGGATAGTTTCTTCAGTCCAAATACTAATTAGTACCACAAATCAATGATATCATACTTTGGCTTTATCTATTTCTGATGACAAAGAAAAAGGTTGATATTATAACAATATAGGGCAAGAAGCCCCGCATAGCTTTGCAAATACATAAGATGTCTGTACATAAATAATGCATTCATCTTGTTTCGTCCCAATCCCAGTACCCCCGAGTAAAACCCCTACCCTATATGCCCAATCCTGTCTATGAATCGTAAACGCCGAGCCCGAATCTCTCCGATGTGTATGTGCGTGAAATAAATAAATAAACATATAAATTCCACAATCGGCTAGCAATCGGCCAGCCGTAGCCACGCCTTTAAAGCCATGGGTTGTAAAATTAATGCAAATACAGGAAGCAACAAATATGCAACCTCTTTGGGGTCTCACAATGTTGCATACCTTCTAAATTTGCTGCGTCTCGGCACCCAGCACCAAGAGTATCATAAAATTTCGTGAGCGATTTGGCAACTTAAGCCAGCTCTCAAGTTCGGAGCATCACAGTGTTGAGTGAAGATGACCACTGGAGCACCTCAAACTCGCGCCCGGGCCTGCATGATACGAATCCGTCGATCACTATCTTCGGGGCCGTGAACAAGCTCCGGGCGGAGGTGGAGTACATCCGCGGTAGGACAGTATGCTCCATTACCACGTCCAGGTGAGCGAATGTAAGCTTGTTGAGGCGACTGGGGAGGCGGGATGACGAAATCGCTGGCGATTACAGCTTGATAGTCTGGCAAGTCGGCATCCCGAGGGCGAACAGTAGTACGAACGGCGGTCGAGTAGCTTGGGACGCGACTGAGAGACTCCACCTCTGCATACTGGGGGTGGAATGGGGTGGCCATTCCAGAAGGTATATGGTCGTGCTCATGGACGATTTCATCAGAGGGCCGGCGGGAAAACCCGGGACTCGTAGGGCTGTGGGAGTTGGGTCCCGACGAAGGACCAAAATAATCCGGGGGAAGACCCAATCGGCGATTTTCACCATCAGCATTTTGATGATGATCTAGTTCGGACGGCGATGGATAATTGTGTCTGATATCGTGAAGGGTCGAGAGACGGCTATGCAAAGCCGATGCGGAAATATCTGTATTGGTCAAAGCATTCATAGAAGCAAGGTTTTCTTCTGAAAGGTTGCGGCTAAGGGTGCCGAATGGCGTGCCTGGTCCGCTTCCAGGTCCCGGAGTACTATATCCAGCAGGATCAAGCTCACTGTACAATTGATCGAACTGGTGCTCACCGTACAATGGCGGAGCCTGTTGGGCAAGATCATCGATGGCTCTCTGAGCCGACTGAGGTGTCTGGTCAACTAGATTGTTGTTATCGTCGATAGCGAGGTTCGGAGAAATAAAGACCGAGACAGGAAGGGTAGCTCGCAACTAAGGATAAATTAGAAACGTCACATCAAAAACAAATATGGATATATGAACATGCTCATACCTCGCTGATATGCCCATCAGGGTTAAGTAGCTGAACTCGGAATTTCAACTTGTGCCTGACCTTGATACCTCTCGTATCCGTGTCCTGCAGACACCGGGTCAAGGTCTTAGGTAGATCTAAGTGGCGCGAGAACTGATACCCTTCCGCGGCTTCATCGATAATCTCCAAACCATTTTCCGCATCCAGTTCATGCTCATCTGTCAAAATAGTTCTCGTGTTTTTATAGGTATTTCGTATGGAGTCAGGATCTTCGGGGTTAAGAGTGAGGTCGTGACTCTCAATAAGCTGGGAAACAATTTGTCCGATTCTCAGTCCCTTCAAAAGGGGAATGAGTTTGAAGTCCACCCGGATAGTGGTCCCGAATATGACCGCCTTCGTAGGAGTGCTTATGGAATATTCGATTTTGTTCGGCCAAATATTTTCCACCGACTGCGAATCAAAAGGTGAGCCAAGGGAAAACAGAGAATTTAGATATTCTTACCATTGCGTGGGAGAGCTCCAAAGCACTGGATTCTAGCGTCCGAATGATACGCAGAGGTTTGCGGACAACAATATCCTTCGCATACTTGCGTCCAATTTCCGCTTTGAAACGATACGTTATGTAGGTATCATTGAGACCCTCGACGCTCTCCGGCATCGAGCCTTCAAGAACCACATCGAAGGGATATTCATAGTTATCTCCAGGAAGGATCTCCGTCTTGCCTTTGCCCGGATCTCTAAAACTCCATGTCTTCTCATAGAATACGCGCTCCCTCCATGACTTTCGGCCTCCAGTAGCGGAGCTGGACGGTAGGTGCCAACTACAATCAGGAATCAGTCATTGAATCCTTGGGCTTGTGCTGTATAGGTGTGCAGAGCAATGACTCACCAAACACGGGATATACCGGTCAGATGAAGTCGAATGTGCTTGACTGACAGGGGCTCCGATAGACAAAGAATCAGTTTCCCACTCAAATGAGCACTAGCGGCTTCTTGTTCTCCGCCTCGGAATACAATGTAATCTTCGTCCAGACTGGAAGGCAAAAACGGGTTAGTGACCTCCGATGCGAGCTCGGGTTCTCGGGATACATGTGGCGTTCTTCGACTCACCGGATATCGAAGTACTTCGCGTAACTTGAGCTACCTCCGCCACTGAAGAAACTGAGGGCCATGACAGTTCAACTAACAGCTGCAGATAGGCAGCTGTTAGGAGGTAAGAAGGGAACCAGGGTGGGTAGCGATGGAATGGTTGGGAGGATGGAGGAAGAAAAGAGGGAAATACTGCGGTAATAAAACCTGGAAAGTAGGTCGGATTTCTCCCCGAACGGCGGGAAAAAAAAAAAAAAAATAGTATGACACAGATAAGACGGACTTTTTTTTTTTTTTTTGCCCTTTCTTCCGAATGGAACCTACTGATCTACCACTCGCTGACCAGATTCACAGACAAGACAAGACAAGCCCGGTCGACAACGGGTCCCACCAAGGATAGATTGCAGCGGGTGGGGGCACAGAGGCCGTTTCCGTCACCGTATCTCGCAAAAACTTTGGCTGGAAGTGGCGAGAGCGGATCTCTTGGGCTTATCAGGTTAGAATGACCGATGATGCGATGTCTCGCAAATCCGGTTGACTAAGCCGCGCTGATAAAGATAGAACAGTGTGATGAATGAAGAAAGAAACGCGGACCTGGGCGGAATCGGGTGTTAGTATTAGGTGTCTAGAGATAGGGAAGAGAGAGAAAGAGAAAGGACGAATGGGGGTTTTTGAGGCCATGGAGGTCAAGTGCCCAAAAAGGAATGAATGAATGAAATCAGAGTGGTCCAATGCATCAGCCTATCTTTCTTCACAACGATGGTTCACGAACAAAGAGTAGTTAGGATGAAGGCAAAGGAAGAGCAAGTAATAATACAAGGGTGGAAATACAGAGCGTTACGCCAGAGCCCATTCTTTCATACAGTACATACCAAAACGAAATGCCAATGAGGTCACCACAAATGCAGCGAGATAGTTCTGCTGTCAGTTAAACTGGAGTTCTGTCTGTTGTTGTCGCGTTCACTCTGAAAATAACTCTAAGAATTTTAGGAATAACAACCGAATAAATGTTCCACCATTTCCATAGTGACTTGTCTAGGGATCGCCGGATTTTATAGTCCAAGTTGCAATACAGATCCATCGGCCCTGGGTGGAGGTTCGGATAGCCGGGGCTATCACAAGGAGAAATAATCCGTAATAAATTGTCTCTTGGCTCGCAATACCATCCGTTCTGGGGTCCAACCAGTGAGTTTTCCAGACAATGCTTCGTACTGGTTCTTCGAAGGGGTTGACAGGCAGACAGGCTGGCGTACCTCGGGATCATCGCGCCCCATGATTCGCGATCTAGTCTAAATTCCAGGGACACGATAGCCTGCGGAAACAGCCGATTCCTCTGCATCTCTTCTTCAGCCGGGTGTCATTGTCATGTGTTCAGAACTACACTCGGACGGACCTACAAAGTATCTAGCATCTACTACGGAGTACGGAGTAAGCACCTCACTGCGAGTAAGTTTCTGTTCTACAACCCCGGACCTAGAACTTGTAGAATGTTACACAGCAGCCATCGGAGGAAACAATTCCAAGAGCTGATCGTCCCTCCTGGTACTCCGTACCGCCGACAATGATTTTTTATCGGAGCATGCAGGACAGTTTGAAGGTACCTTTTTTGCATACATGGGAGAATTTTGTCATATGGTCATGCAGATCAAGTCCAGAGAGGTGGCATGACATCCCACGCCATACAGTTCACCAACTTGGGACCGTGATGGGAAGAGTAGTCGCATCAAGATGGGAGACTAAACCCAGTACAAACTGGAACCCATACGGAGTAACCTTTCCGACGACACCTGAAATAGATAGTTAGGTGGCTTATGCTAAGCTCAGCTTCGCAAGCTGGGCCTAAAGTGGAGAGTGATGCGAGATGCATGTGGAAACATCTGCAAGAGCAATGCAATTGCCAGCTATTCACGGCTCCGCTCCACATAAGCTGAGCATAATTATGAATAATGTTGACTCTTGTTTGATCAGATAATCAGACCACAGTAACTAGGCTGCTAAAAATGTAATGAATATTCTAGAAAACGGCTGCGGATCAACTCGGGAAATTATTGATCCAGCCAGTTAGCATATTGGTCGACTTCACATGTCTATCCCCAACATGTGAAAACCATAAAAAAATTAAAAAAAAATAAAAAAAATAAAAAAAAGGAGAAGGAGAGTAAGTGATCATCCTATCTAGCATGGTCATATGGACTCAAACTGATGCTGGATAATCTCAATGGTTGCCTGGAGTACAGTGTTAAGGTTCTTCCTGTAGTCAACAATTGCCTACGTATGTCCGGTCCTGAAGGCATCATCATTATTTCACATGTATTTACACGTGTGCAAGTATAACCAAAAGGACACGTGTATCTGATAATCTGGACAACTCAACACTCTGTCAATTAGAAGCGAGACAAATCATTGATCTAGGCATGCTGCCTGTCTCGTCTATCCTGCAAAGTCGAGAGGTAAAAAATAGCGCTCAAATACAGCCTTACGGACCCAATCGGGTGTTGCCGGCCTGCATGTGATCGGGTAGCTGGAACGGGTAGCGCTGTCCGAGTGCCACCCGAATTTCATCCAGTGTCAACCACATGCAACAAAGTCATTATCAGAATGGATTTTATACTTCATACAATGATAGTTGACCACGTTCTAGACTGTCATCCATTGACGTGTCTTTCGTAATAATGATGCTTGTTGGGAAAGAGACTCTCGGGCCGCAAACCCAATGAGTTTCCTCAGATAGCCTAGACCATTGCAGGTTGATATTTTGACGCAAGCAACTGAGCGCTGATATCACGACTGAGCAACATTTTACTCAGCCTAGGGCAACAGGGTTGAGGGAAATAAGTAGAAAAAGTCGGCCCACTGTTCGGCAAATTTTAGTTGGCGAAAGTTTTGGTCTTCCAAGGTACAGATCATGTAGATCGTGGAACCATCCATCTATTTTTCCCTTAGGATCACATTCGGTGAGCCGAAAATCCAAAACAAGACCTTCCAGGGATGATATGCAGGACCAGCCAGTAGTCACATCATTTAAGCCCAGAAAAGTCAGTAAAGTGGGCCGATGTAGACGACAAAGAACACGCTAAATTATGGTGCTGTCATTACGAAGGTCATGCAGAAAAATAGAGTCGTAAGTCACCGTAGTTTGCATACTCCAATGCATCATCAAGTCGAAGCGCATTATGGTTGTAAGCTATGGGATATTCGAAATAGGAAGGCATTCCACAAGATGCACGTCTCTGCGTACAGCGACCGTCACAAGTGACTGCTGCCTACAACATTGCTGGGAATGCTTCCCGGAAGGGCTAGGATGAATGCAACATAGCACGCAGTTGTTTCACCATTTTTGCCATTCCACTATGTATCACCCTGATACTAGAATACTGCATACGGAATGCCGACTGTTCCGTGTCGAGATCCTTCGGCATGCCGAGTATGGTTTAAAGGGTTTCGCAATCCGGTGTCTCCATTCGGCATGGCTTAAGTCGCATGCAACTCAAGCTTTGATACCACTATCAGCTGTTGAACATTGGCTCACAGAAGCTAGGTACCGGGAGGCAATCCTGCGAAAGGGAAAAGAGAAAGATACCTGGCGATCTTGCCATTTTGGCCCCCTCCATCTATCTACATGGAATACAGCCCAGCACAATACGAGTGAGAAGATAAAAATCCTGCCAATCAGACATTCCTGTTTCTTTATGGAGCGCTGAGGGACGCTACACAGCATGTCACACTGTCAAGAGCTAAGTAAACACAGTGCACAGACGTGGTGCAACTCAAAACCCACAATTCAAGATAAGAGCTTCCCGTGTGCCCAACACCCTACAGATCTTAGTCACTTTCTAGGGAACCCGAGGGAAAAAAAAAAAAAAAAGCTATCGGAGGGGAGTTGCGGTGCCCTTTCCAAAGTGGACTCTGCCGTGGTTCCACCAAGTTATCATGAAGCCTGGATTGGCCTGAACAATACACCGGCGCCTGCAAAAGGACAATGGTTTTTGCGAACATTCCATTCCACCTCTACCAACATCAACATGAACTAACTATGAAGTACTATTGTTTGGCTATCAAAAACTGGGCCAATAGGGCTCTTCCTATCCATACATGGCTGGATTGTGGAATATTTCTTAAACTGTTTATCCGGCACTGTCATTGCTGTTTTTACCGAATGTGATCCTGCTACGTAGCTGGGTTGTTTCCAATGAAAAGATGATAACGTGCTCGCAGTATTCCGTACTTGGTTTGATATTTAGTGTCGAGCTTGGAGTCCATGAGCATGTCTGGGTAGGAATTCTGAAGAGATCAGAATAATTCCCGTGAGACGATGTGCAAGTTCAGATCGGGAATATTTTTGCGACACGGGAACCAGATCCCGTGTGACCATGACTCTGTCCTAACATCGTAGAGACTCCTCTGTTAGGAAGACGAGTTCCTAGGTAGTGGTATTGGTCTATTGTAATCGTCTGTATCTGATCCATCAGGAATATACTGGACAGTCACAGTATCATTGATCCGGCCGTGTTTCTATCTGCTGGTCGCCATTGAAGTATCCCTTTATAATAGTGTCCAAGAATGTCTCCTCATTTCTTCAGCTGAGAATTCTTCGACTTTTCCAATGGCATATCATTCATAACCTTTCGCAGCGAGGGATCTAAGAAACTATCAAAAATCGACACTTCTTATTCCTAGAGATTGATATTTACACAACAAATAAAGACCAAATATAAGACTTTGAGAAATCCCTACCTATGTGAATTGGTCTGTAATCATGGAGATATAGAAGAGCAAGAAAAACTAATCAAACAATCCTTGAGAAGATCTATAGCAAATCAATACAACAATACTCCGCATTGCACAACAATAGTATCTGAATCTCTTCTATATAGACTTCCATGGTTCTAGACAAGACAGTGATAGTATTTTCCGATATGAAATAGTACATACATACATCCAATATACATATAGTTCTTACATAGATGTTCCCAGAATACAAAGTATATAGATGTATTGATTAGATCTGTACTTGTAAAATAAGACTCTATTTCATTGTGTATACACCTTCATTGTGACATTTATCACCCAGTCCTATAAGTATATTCTGTTTTACACAGTAGTAACAAGTTGGAACATAATCTTATATAAGCTATACTGAGCATCACTGATATTAACAGCATATTTCTTGAACTCTTCAACTGTTCTTCAGATCCAAGACCCATTGACTGTTTTCAAGCCGCTGGTTCAAAGGGCAAAGCAGATGAACGGACCTGTCACATTGCTGTTTCATCCCATTCAGAAGAGAAACCATATCTATCATATCACGACACAGAGAAGGCATTACACTTCCAGGTCAACGTATAAAGACACTAAACCATAAGACATAAATCTACCTGTATAGTACTATTAGTACTCTCCACTGAAACTGCTAGCAGTATATCAAATCAAGCCCACAATTAAACAGCGAGCCAGCGAGTTATGTAAGGCAGTTCATACCTACTCCGTAGTCCTGTCTCGACCCGCAAGACTAGACACGATTAATTTCACCCCAACCCAACCCAACAATACAACGCAACACTGTACAATACTGATAATAGTAACAAAAAAAACGAACACTGAACTCCTTTCAGCAAAAAAATGTAGAAAGATAGAAAAAAGGATCTAAAAAATCCACCCCAAAATAACCCAAATCGCCAACCCGGCGCAGACGACTATCCCCGCGACTTTCAACACAGCGACGGTATCACCTTGTCGTGCCATACGAGTTAACCGACTTGCGCTACCTTTCAGGCCTGTGGACAGGGAAGAGAAGACTTGGCTCTAAGTAAAATAAAATAACCCCGTTAGAAAATGATATCCATTATATTCCGAGATGACAGTACAGCGGTGTCTTGCACAAGGAGGGAGACGAACCGAATGGTCAAGCGTATCTTGGTCCCGGGCGTTATCGTGGATATCGATGGTTACGGATTTCAGGGCCGATACCTTGGAAGATAGAGAGTTGAGGAGGGCATTGTTCTGTCTGGTATGGGGTTAGTAGATTTAGATTATAGAAAGTTGACAATCAAAGATGATACACTAGAATAGACAGTATACCATAACACAAATAAAGTGATATAGGACTAGAAAAATGGACGGGTGTCATACTGTTCTCGTTCGTAGGCGTCTCCCATCCTGTTGGTAGTGGTGTCCTTGGACTGAAAATCCAAATATCTCTTTGGCTTCTGGAAGCTTATTCGCAATGGCCAGAAAGTATCTGCCCCCCAAACTGATGAAATATAATATGATAGACAATAATAGGCCCCGGAGGCTTGTGCTTGGTGAATAGGAAGCGGATACGGAGGTGGCATTGCCAGCGACGATGACGCGGGCCGCGGGATACAAGTCACGTGACAAAAAACCACATCCATTGACAGAGGCTCTTAACTATATAATTCTTACCAGGCAGCATAAAATATTTGTGGATTTCAACTTCAACTTGTTCTGTGGAATAAATTTCACAAAGTCTATACAGAGCCGCATCTTGCAGCAGCCAGAACTCCGCAAGATTTCACCAGTTCACAGGTCCGTGTTGCTTGGAGAACCACGCCAAACCCGCCACCAGTGATAATTAGAGACAGGCAGGTAACGCCACAGAGCAAACACTAGACCATATGTCCATAGAGAGTCTCACTAAAAATAAAGGGACATATGGCAAAGCATCCAGAGAGACAAAAAGGTGGAGTACAAACAAAACCCCAGGCGCTATGCAAACAAACCAAAACCTCTTCAAGACAACGAGTCATATCTTGCACTATCCTGCTATGGTAGAGGACTCAGGGGTGTGCTATATAGAAATGCAGGAAGATGGGATGCAAAGAGAGGAAGTATAGACACAGTGCAGTGCCACATCATATATTCTTTTTCTCCTTGTGCATGTATAACGAATCCACTGTTCACAGAAGCATGAAACTGACGAACAGAATTTAAAAAGAGAGATGGAGAGAGAGAGAAGAATGGGAAGTAGTGATCAGTGTACAAAAGTTGGAAAACGACCAGAGTTTACAAAATTAGGGGTATTCGTACGCTGCAGAAGAATTTAACAGTAGCAAAAAGGATACTCCTGTTTCCTGTCACCACATATCGTCATCATCGTCATCTAGATGGGCATCGTGTCGATACTGATAGTGCCCTTGGCCGTATACAGTCCCGTTTTCAAATCCTTGTTTACTGCCCCGTGACTGTGCCCGGTATTGGTCATGCTGATCATCATGATAATCATACATCTGATGACCGTCATAGGAGCCGTCGCTATATTGTTGTTCCTGAGTCTAGGAAAGTCAGCGTCGTTTTCGCCCACCAAGGCGAACGGAAACCAATTACTCACCTCTTGATATCGCTGATATTGTTGATATTCATCCGATTGACTCGTCTGTTGCCTCTGCGCCGCCGATGAGGCGAGCATCAGGGGATGCATTTGCTGTACCTTGGCCAGGTACGAGTACATGAAGTTGCTGAGCAAAACTTGGGAATATAGCGCGCGTCGGGGGTTGGCAAGTTTGATATGGGCCATTCTATAAATAGCCCTCTCTTCCAGAATAGAGAATCGAGTCCAAGGAAAGTCGACGTCTGGTCGAAGTTCCCGGATTGGCGGCTCGGGAGACAAAGTTCGAGAAGAACTTTTCTTATGACCGTCCCCACTGCCCTTCTTTCTACCGCCTCCAAAAATCGAGGAAAACAATCCAGACTCCTTTTCTTTCTTCGACTCCCCTGAATTCCTTCGGGCGTGGTCTTTGCGGCGTTCCTCTTCCAGTTTAGGATCAAGCCGATCTAGCACAACGCTTTCCCGCCCACGCTGGCTAGAATCGCTAGACATAGGCAGAGCCTGTGCAGTGTCGTGTACCTTATCAACGATTTTGGATTTGCTTTTCTTGGAATCGCTGTCCTTATCCTTCTTCTTGTCCTTCTCTTTGTCCTTGTCCTCCGAACCCAACAGCCAGTGCCAGCTCGACTTCCGACCACCTTCCGTCTCCTTCTTGTCCTTGGATTTTTTGCCTTCTGGTTTTGTTTCCGATTTCCGATCCTCGGAGAAGGTAGGAATAAACGAAAGGCTGTCCGTCCGGGTAGTGTTTCCAGGGAGAGGTTGGGGGGTGTTGGCGAATTCGTTGAGAGTTGGTGTGCTCTCTTTGCCATGTGTGCGGTTATGCAAGGACCATTTGGATGGGCTTTGATCATAAGACGTTTGGCTCTTTGCAGGCAACCCGGATGGTGGATCATAAGAGGATCCACGGCCGGGGATCAACATCGACTGTGAGGCGGGGGGAGTAGACGGTGCTACGTTGCTATCAGGAGGCGGCGTTTCAATAATTTCTGGGATTTTCTGTTCTGTTGGGAGGGTATTCAGGGCCGATTTTCCGTTGGAGCTGATACGAGAATGCCATTGGCGCGTTTGTGATGATGTACTTGTCTTATGTCGGGACTCTGCCGATGGAGATTCATCCGAGGGGTCATTCTCAGACTGTGCCTGGTTTGAGGTCGAGCCAAAGGCGGGGTTGGCTAGCTCGTTTGGTGTATTGGATTTTATCTGCTCAGACTTGGCCAAAGCTTGGGCGCGTGTTACACTGGGAGTGGGATCTGTCGATACTCGAGTTAGGCCCAGGATCGGCTGGTCACCGGATGCGGTAATTATCGAGGCACCTTCGTTTGCTTCGGATGACCGTGCAAGCCGTTTGGAATAGGGGATCTTTTCGCCCTTTTTCAGACTTCCTGCTTTCCTGTACTGAGTTCTCGTAGAACGTCTAAGACTATGACCAGGGGGAGCTGGTGGGAGGATAGGCCTATCCTCGTCCGTGGAGATCCCAAAATTCTGCATCTCATCCAATATAGAAGAGCTCTGGCTCCGTGGTATTGGGCCGTCCACCAGAGTCTCCAGTTCTTGCAGGTTGGGGCCCAACGAGTCCGCTTTGGACTGTGATCGTTTCCTCTCCAGTCTCTCTGCGCCATCTGTATAACCGTTTGAAGCATCAATCTGCCTAGAAAGCATCGACTTCTTGCGTCGAAGACTTCCGCTTGACCCTTGCCGATCTGGACTCAATAGTGAGAAATCACCACCAGACTTCCGCTTGATATGATCTGCCTTGCTTTCTAAGAAAGATTTAAATTCTTTGGGAGCCAGCTCCGGATGCAAGCGAGCTGGGACCCAAAAGAGTCGGGAGGCATCGTTTTCATCGGCCGAAGGGGAGGGGGCAATCGATGGCACGGAGAAATTGGGGCTAAAGGTGGGAAGATCCGGATCACCAGCAGCTGCTACATCCATCGACATCCGCCGAATAGCAGCCAAATTGCTGAGCTCCTGTGCAACGGCGGCAGGGTCGGATTCGTAATCGATATCATTGAGCGGGAAGGACGTGGTGGCTGTGTCGGTTGATCCGGGAGATGAGGTTGAGCTCGGGGACGTTGGGCTAGCGCTGTCTATGGATTTGGCACCCACGGGTAAGCGGGCTTGCCCGTTGACCTGCCTATTGTTGTTGATTTCATTCAAATGGCTTTGCACTTGTAACGACTGCGGTGAAGAGGGCGATTCGGCTCCCGCGAGCTTCGGGGGGATAATGGAGATGGATTCGCTCAGAGGGGAAGAGATGTAGCTAAGGCGTTTCGAATCCCTTTTGTCATAATCGTCTTCGTACATATGACCGATTGCCTCCGTGACATGGTGACTTGGGTCACTAATCGACAGTTGAGGCACATGGCCTCTCCGTGCCGCATATCCTCCTCCAGCCTCAGAGGGTCTTGGTGAAGCCTGGAGAAGGCACAGGGGTTAGTTCAGAGACGATTCGCATACATAAGCAGCAAAAAAAATCAAATTTCACAACGCTGTGTTGAGATACTTTGTGTTGAAGGGGTATTTATTTAAACCCTTTTTTTTTTTTTTTTTTTAAGGAAAAAGGCAAGTCTAGTGCAAGAGAGGAGGGCTGGAGGTACAGACAAAAATCAAGACATTAAACCCCAAGCAACTCAGGCTAGCGGAAGAAGGGAAGGGGGACAAAGAGGAAACCAACGTACCTGCATGAGAACAACTTGTCTGGGAACTTCAAGAGCCAGATATCCCGAAATAGGCCGAGGATGAGGACTAAAAGGCGATAGGAATCTCGCCTGGAGGAAGGAGGTCAATGTACCACCTGGGCGGAAAGACTTAACAGCAGGATAGCGGTCATGGAATCATGGAGGCGGGGAAGAAATGTCGTCGGAGAGGAGCAACCACCAGGGTGACGGGAGGAAAGAGAGAATGAGGATGACTGCTAGGCATCCGGTGACCAACAGGCGTGTTGTAGTAATGAACCTAGCGAGTGAAACAGAGGGGAAAAAAGAAAGGAAGAGCAAAGAAAGACGAAAAGAATGGTGGGAGGGCAAAAAAAAAAAAAAAAAAAAAAAGGAAAAAAAAAAAAAAAAAAAAAAAAAAAAAAAAAAAAAAGGGGGGGGGAAAAAAAAAAAAAAAAAAAAAAAAGGAGATAAGAAGGGGCAGAATAACGAAAAAGATGGAGGGAGATGGAGAGAGAAGAGAGAGAGATGGAGGGCGAGGCGGCGAGGCTGCGAGAAGTGTGGTACCTAGATTGGACTGGATTGGATTGAGGATGGATGGATTGGAGAGTGGGAGAGGATGGGAAAGAACCATTCGGCTTCGAAACGATGGTTGGTCCGATGGGCTGGGCGGTGGTCAAATAATATTAGTACCTGTACTTCCTATATTCTTAGTAGTTATTGGGTATAGTTAATTACAGTATAATTAATAGGAACAGCTGTTCGGTCACGTTTCAGCCCCAGTATCCTATCTCTCTTATGCTCTTGGATGCTGCATTCACTCCCCAACTCCCAGTCTACATGATCAATTCAACCCCTCCAGAACACACTTTCCCGCTCATTCTTCCGTCTTGGATCCTGTCAATGACGACGCTTAGTCACCGCATCTGCTCCACCAAGCAAGGGACGATCAGGGCCACTGCGACGATGGGCGATCGGTGATCAGCATGTTCCCCCTCCCCCGTGTATTGCCTGGCCTCTACTTTAAAAGCATACTTCGATTGATGAAAGTAGCCCTAACCACAGCTGGCTTGGTCGTTCTCCGGTCCATCTCTGTGCATCATTATTTGTAGCGGCTACTTAATTGAGTCTAGACATCAGTTACCTGGCTTGGGGTGGAGCTTACCGTCCCAAGTTCGATGACTAGTTAGTAGTTACAGTATCATCGAGGAAAGCCAATGCTAAGCTATCACTGGACGAGTAAAATACAACCAAAAACGAATAAAAATTAAACTAGACATGCTCCCTTTTAATCACATGATTTTATGACAGATCCGTGTTGACGCCGTCATCGTTGTAGTCCTATACTTCATATCATCCCTCTTATTCTACCCAACAACGAACGGTTGTTTCAGCCGATATCGCCACGTCCAGACAACCGAGACTGAAATCGACGAATACGTTCACGTCTTCAGCACAACCAAAACTTGGAATTCTCCAGAATCTTGGCTTGACAAACTTCCTTGGAACTCCAGATCCATTCCAGACACATCTGAGACTCACGGGGTATTTCCTACAGTTCACGTGTCTCCCTTAATAGGCCTAGTCCCTATCCCTTTAACCATACCGTATCACGGTGCCAGGGAGGATGTTGAGGACTAGAAAGTTAAGACCCAGAATCCTCTGGAATGAATCCTGATGTTCTTGGGGTTCTTGCCGATTCCGCTGCAGTCTCGTGTTCTTTGTTCATGGTCTGGCTTGGTCCGGAAGGGGAAAGGATCAGATGACTGTCGGTCACTTTGCTGGCACACTTCCTTATGCCAAATCACGGATATGCTGTAGCGAAGAAATGCTTCTGCTCCCGAAAACATCCACATTGAAACTATCAGACATAAGCCGTAAAAGTAAGAAGATAAGGGACATAAGCCAAGCCACTGGGCCGTACGTAAGACACTCGCAGGCAATGCAGCCAGGGGGCTTTGGAGTCTTTTAAGTCTGGGTATTTCTTTATGAAGTCTTGGAGAAGTCCATCCACATGTCGCTGAACAAATGGTACCGAGTTAATGTAACCCATGATAGCGACATTGAATAGTTCTTGTCCTCTAAGGTCAATGACCTCTGCTATTGGGTACCGGACGCGGCACGTATTCCCACGACACTTTCGGGTTCAACAATAATTTCAAGATTAGTTTTCCAAGATCTGCTGTAACCTACGTCTTTTTTTGTATGGACGGCGAAGTCGAAGGCGTTTCGAAAGACTGCACGATCTCTTTCCATGAATTTGCATCTTCGACACTCCATGATTTGACAACTGCAGATCTGTATTGAAGACGAGAGGGGGTTCCATGTATCCAGTGGCAAGCAATTTATATGATATCCTTTGTATAATAACCTTCGTGGATATTGCAGTTAAAACAATATTTTCCTCTTTTAATTAACTGGATTGTATAGTTGATCGAAGGTGGCAGAAGCTTCGTAACATGGAAGCAGAATTGCTTTCACTCTGTAAACCGTACATTCCTTGCCCAGTAAATAAGCCGAAGGAAGTGAAATAAGGAAGTGAGGTAAAGAATGTAAAGAAGTTAAGGCTAGATATCCCTTAATGAATCTCACACTGGTGAATAAGAATATGTTGGCGATAATCCAGGCCATCAGTACCCAGCTTATTAAACAGCAAAGAATATCATATTCAACCTCTCTTGGCCGCGGGAAACCTAGTATTGTTACGACGAGCGGATATTGAGAAATCAAAGCCAGAAAGCTGGAAGCACAGTAGGCTGGGCCTTTTCTAGTCCAAAGAATATTCAACAATGGGCGGTCTGTCATTCTTGACGATCTGAACATTAGTAAAACCCATAGAAGAAGGCCAAAGTACATTGATTAAAAGTAAAGGATGTGTAATCAAAGATATGCTGAATGTAGATATAGTAGAGTTACTAGTCACTGCATAGTTTTCCGGGTATGTAATATGTTGGCGTCCATACAGTGTCTACGCTACGGTTTTGTCTATGGTCCACTAGGTCTGTTACAGCACATGCGTACTACTCTTTCCAGCTACTACATCAAGTCAAGTCCTTTACTGGAATCGCTGAATGGTTATGTATGGGATACTGCTTGATTTGTCGGATGGTAGAAATAGATTCATCCTGAATGCGCCATCTCCATGGGGAGTATGTCTTATGTCTGCTGAAGACTTATGACAACGCTCCATGCCGAGCCTCCTTGTCTCAACCCTTCCGTTGCAAAGGATATGTCATAATACCAAACAGACGCCTTGGTGAACAAACGAAGACGGAAAAGAGTTGACCTACAGAAAGATGCAATCGATTCACAACACAATAACGCAGTGGGGAATTGTCATCCTAACCTCCAAGCATATAATGATACGATCCGATTTCTGCCCATACGGCAAACAATAATAAACACAACGAAAACAAAGAGGGGCAGAAAATGGACAGAAAAAGATTCATCAGAGCCAGATATACAAAAGGTATTTTAATTCCAGCCGGAGTAAAATCATCCCAGGCTGGCCACGCCCATCCACGCAGAAACGACTCCATCGCTTGCACTAGAAATCTGAGAAGAGAATCCTTAGAAGAAAATTGAAGGAGCATAAGTATGTATGTGGTTTCCAGCTGCACGACTAGAACGATGCGGAATCATTTAAAGTACCATAAAAAGAAAAGATAAACAAAGAAAAAAAGAAAAAAAGGGTGCTACAACCAAGAAAGGGGGCAAAGGCAGATCGACCAAATAAGGGTAGATACTCTCGGATCATCAAAGGCCAATCCGTATAAGCCAGCACAAAGTGAGTTCTTTAGGATGTCTCAACATAGTTGCTGCAAGTCATAGATCAGTATAGGATCATTCCTAATCTTACGAAAAGATATGCGCCCTTACCTAGGGAAGATGCCGACCCGGTTCCCGATACGACCCGTCCACCAGTCTTCTTTCTTGTCGGTCCTCTTGAGAATCGTGATAATGTCCCCTTTCTTGAAACCTAAGTCTCCCTCTTGGTCGGCATCGAAAGTAAACAAGGCAATTGCTTGATCCTGACGCAGAGCCGCAGCCTGTCCTGTTCGTTGCCCAAAGACTGGCTTGGGTGCCGTAGGCCGGCTGGGCTTGCGATCCGAATATACATAGTCATCCTCACCAAAGGGTGCTGTGTTGCTGCGACTACGGCCGAAAGTGTCAGAGCTATCATTGCGGCCGTAACGGGTAGTAGAAGAACGACCGAGGCCTCCCGCAGGCCGGTCGTACACATCATCGGCCCACGTGTTCGCACGACGGGGCCGATCTCGGTACTCGTAGTCGTCCGCGTCACTCAATCCTGTCCGAGATCGTCGAGCGCCTTCTCCATATGCTTCCCCTCGCCGTCCTTCCCATACCACATCATCATGTCGGTCATCGTAGACAGGGATGTCATTGTACATAGAGTCGCCTTGGGATCGTCCGTTACCGTAGAAGGCGCGGGAGTTCAAGATGGTGAGAAGGGGGTCTGCGGCTGGGGGGGGTCGGATCGTTCCACTGAGCAGCTGGCGGGCTGACACTCTGCTATTGTAGAGCTTCTCATTTGCATCTTTCCGTTCCACCAGCATGCTTCCTTCCAAACTCACACCCGCAAAGAGTCCCTTCGTTTTCGAATACGAGAATACCGCGGCCACACCCTTTGTGCTTGCTGCGCCCGCAGCCTCCGCATTCCGTCCCACCGGACCTGCCGCAATGGAAACGTTGCCACCCAGAGTCAGGGTTCCTACCTGTGAAAAGGTTCGGACAGCAGCAGCATCGTTGAGAATGAAGACGAAGTCAGTCAACTCGAATCCAATCTGCCCTCCAAACCCAGCACCTGCAGTTGCGATTGCTGACGGAGCGGACCAAGTTCCATCGGCCAGACGAGCGACGACTACTCCTGATCCAAAACGAGCGGAGCCCAAAAAACCAGCTTTTAAGATGGTGAGGATAGCCAGACCCTGTAGGAGGATTGATCAGCAGGAACGTTACCTCCCATCAATTACAATTCGAGTTTTTCAGTCTATTACCTTAGCACCGGCCAGAATTTCAGGAGGTATAACCTTGTCAGGTCCAAAGGCTTGTTTTGGGTCGATAAAGGAAGCAAGAATTTTGCCGGCTTTCCTGCATTCGCCTGCCCAGCACGAGTAACGTCAGCTTGGAACTTCACGAGAAAATGCGGGGAAAAACGATTGGAGTGGGTGTGATGCGTACTTCCTAGAGACGAAGGCAGGGGATTATGTATCCCGAGAGGCATCTTGATTGTGTTCTTCAAAAGAACCGAAGGAGCAAGATGCAAGAGGTGCGATGGGGGGAAGTCAGAGCGATCGGATGATGGTAATGGTGAAGTTCGTTAGCCAGGGTCCTGCGACAGGGGTCTAAGACCGAATGGGGGCGACCGGAAGTGGGCCAAGATGACGGCTGACACTGGTTTGGATATCAGATCAGGTTCCTACCTAGGGCCCCGAGCGCTAGTCCGAAGTGCCGAACCACACCGGGTCGAAGAAATACTGGATAGGTAGGGAGTCGATGTAAGAGAAGAATAATAGCTCTTCTAGGGTCGGTTATTATCTCCTCTGGCAGGGTGATCGACAAAGGAAGGCGGAGTAATCAGCAGAATACATCTCTCCAGGCGTAGAGTGGCGGAGTCGTTCGATTAGGTTCTCTTTCTTGGGCAGACACATTTCCAGTATACATGCTTGGTATTGCAGGATTTGACTTGTTATGGTCTGAGAGGATTCATTCCTATCCTAGAGTACTAGGGGATGATTAGTGATCTATTGTCTGTCTTAGGGTAGAGTTGAAACCTGAGGCTACACTGCTCCATCCGCTACCCAAGCTCCGACTCGACCAACAACCAACTGCAAACGAACTTTGCAAAAAGCGCAATGGCTAAATTTTTACACCGTACATACATCCTTCGGGGTTTCATTTGAGGGGATTTTATCGAAACAACCAAAGTTAACCAGAATAGTTACAATCCACTGTTTTCGTGTTTCCAAAGACCGTCAAACCGCCAAGCCTGGCGTTATCAGCTCTCGTCTGCCCCGTTGTCTATCTAGACTTAATTAGAGCGTTCTACCAGAGAAATACACAGTGCACCAGTCTCGGCCATCTATTTACTGCGGTGCTTATTCTCCCTCCAATAGTTCGCACTATTTAGAATGGTAACCCGTCCTCTTCTCAGGGGAAACAGCTTTCCTTGGAAGACGCCCTGACAGACGATGACAATATCCTACATCGACTAGACTATCCGCAGAAGCAGAAGGATTTCTGGTCGTACCTTATCCCCCATGAGAGTGACATCGAAGCTGTGGTTTCTTTCCATCTTCGTGCGAAACATTGCCGGGTTGTCGATGAAATTAGTTAGTTATTTGGCAGCTACAAATGCCTGCATTCCGGCCTGTGTTAACCGTCCGAGGACCGCGTTCTTGTACGAATCCCCTACCGATTAAAGTCGGGGAAGCAAATAATCCTGAAAATATAGATGAAAAACTGCATTCCGCAGTGCCACGTACGTCTAGTGCCTTTTTCCCTCGACTCCGTTGGCGTATAACTCTTACGATACGGTCGTGGTTGGACTTGCCCAGAACATGTCTATATGTCAGCTTGCAGCGTGTGAGCAGGCTGACTACCGGGTACATGGTCGTTAGCTATGAACATATTACTTGGATGAAGATCCGTCACCATGAGGACGTACGTTTCATTACGGTATTGGCGGGAAACGAAATGACGTAGCAGAGCACGCATCATAGTCAAGACAGCAACTTGCTCTTGCTATGGTTCATTACATGGATAGATTTGGCTGATAGTAAATACGGTTGTCATGACACTGTAAATATACAGCTCCACAGACCGGTAGACCAAGTCTCTAGAGATCGTGGGAATGCCTTAGTTGTCGATTGTTTAGAGCCGTAGTGTTAAAGGCCGACTGTTTAACTGATTAAACCATCATTGTCCAGGCTCAGTGATCCAATCTATGGCATACGGGTACGACCAAGTGAAATCATAATGCTTGAGAGATCGCTGAAAAGCGTATGTCCCCGCGTTTTATCCCCAAGGAGCATTTTCCTAGAATCGACGAAGAATGGCACATATCTAGGGTGGGCATGTTCTTTTCCAGTTGAACTACGAACTCCCCTTACTGGCTGACTGGCCGGCCGATTGATGACATTGAGCATGGAGAGCACCTAGACACTTTCGAAAGAATTATCATTGAATTCATAGATGCATTCTAAAAACAAGAAATATGAATCGAAGGCTTCAATGCTTTCCAGGCGCAAGTCATGAGGGAATGCTGGAGTAGAGGAAGTTTCTGGTACTTTCAAGCCGCGAATAGCCTGAAGGGGCTTCTTCACGTCTTTAACAAGCATATCCAACGCATTTTCTGTGAGTATCATTGTACCGAGCGTGTGTTTGACCGGACCGTCAGTCCGTACTGGTGTGTAGGAGCCGAAAAACTGATTCAAAAGAAGGTGGAGGAAGAGGATGTGTACAAGGATCGACTGAGAAGGCGGTTTGGCAGCTGATCGAGAATACCAGCTTGTTCTTCGTGATCGGAGTCTTTCTTTGTCCCTTTCTATACAATCTCGTTATGCATGGGTCTATATCTAGATACGGTTAATAGCAATAGTAAAGTGAGGATAGAGTTGCAGTGTGTATTTTAATTACATTGTAGCGTGAGCAATCCAGAGCCGAGCATACTAATCCTGAAGAGACGCACTATTCCCGCTTGGGTAATCCCCTCCGGCCAACCCCAGAAAGCCGCCTTCTCTCAAGATCCCCGACACTGTGAGGTGCACCGTCATACTCCGGCTGGCTGTGCAGTGTCTGCAGTGTCTAAAACCCTCTATTCATCTTCGACGCTGCCACTACCTAAGGACTACACTACAGCTTCCTCCTAATCCTATTCACTATCCTGGACCCATCGTCTGCAACCCTTGCTATTTAATTAATTTCTTCTTTGTGTCTCGGATCACCCAGAATAGCACCATTTTAAGTGCCCTCTTGGGCCAGGATTCATTCCAATTGCGTGGCCAATCCGTCAGCATTACTTGGTTCCATTAACTTGCATTTGCAACCATGTTGTAAGAATCACCCTGTCCCGGCACAGTTTATGAGTGCAGATTCCCCTCTTATCTGGTTGCCTTCTGGAGAAGCCTCTGCTGCAGAGTTGTCGTCGGACTTGTTGGAAGTGCAATGAAAGTGGCTTTATTGTTCCTGCCGATTTATTGTTCCTGCCGATTTTATCCACATGCCAACCATACTATTTAACGATACCGTTGCGACATCCCGTCCCCTTAGCTGACCGTTGATTTAGTGTTCTTCCCCCGCCTCCGCCTAGGTACACCGTACCGGTTGCCTACGCAGCTGGAGCGTCAAATGGCATGGCAGTCCCAGTCGTAGAAACCAACAATATAATTAGCACACCGGAGGGTGGCTGTCCGTTGCAAGTCGGAGAAGGTGCGTTGTACGAAATTCTTCGGTGTATTGATCTTGCTAACATCTTGTTGCCTCAGGAACCTATCACCTTCAGGACGACCTGCACCTCGCAACGCCCCCTCCACACCCATCCGAAGCTCCGATCGTAAATCCAAACCCACTTGCGACGGTTCCCACTCCTCCAACAACGGGCGTTAAGTTGTCACTGGTTAGTCTAGGTAATCGAAATAAGGCCCCGGTGTTTCCACTGAAGGACAGTGGGATTGCACCACCATTTGGAGACGGCAACCCTGCGCTAGTCGCCCCGGTTGGGAAAGAAGGAAACAAAAGAAGGAAACCAAAGAATAACATTGTTAAGAGTAGCTCTTCATTTGTATCTCGAGTCATTACTCACGAGGCTGCCACAAAGCGACTTAACGACCGGAATATTGACGGACTGTTTGCTTTCGCCAATATCAACCGCGCATTCCAATGGCTGGACTTGAGTTCAAAGCAAAAGGAAGAGCCGCTTGCAAAAATCCTATTCACCAAAGCACACATGCTAAGCCATGATGTCAACGAGTTGACGAAAAGTACATCGCACATTGACGTTGTCATGGGGTCATCTGCGGGCGATATAATTTGGTATGAACCAGTAACGCAGAAGTATGCCCGGATCAATAAGAACGGGGTGGTGAGTAACTCCCCGGTGACACATATCAAATGGATACCGGGATCAGAAAATTTGTTCATGGCTGCACATGCCAATGGGCAATTGGTGGTATATGATAAAGAAAAGGAAGACGCTCTATTTACCCCTGAACTCAGCAGCCCCTCGGCGGAGGCATTCAAACCGTCGAGACGACATCCGTTACAAGTTCTCAAATCGGTTAACTCCAGGAACCAGAAAACCAATCCGGTAGCATTATGGAAAATAGCCAACCAAAAGATCTCTCAATTCGCCTTTTCGCCGGACCAACGGCATCTGGCCATCGTGCTGGAGGATGGGTCTCTGCGAGTAATGGATTACTTAAAAGAAGAGTAAGTTGATATTTGTCCCCTTCGGCAAAGCACTAAACGCGGAATGAAATTGTTAATAGAATGCTAGGGTCCTTGATATCTTCCGTAGTTATTATGGTGGATTAATATGCGTCTGCTGGTCGCCCGATGGCAAATATATCGTCACTGGTGGCCAGGATGATCTCGTGACAATATGGTCCTTCCCAGAGCGCAAAATCGTTGCCCGATGCCAGGGCCATAATTCCTGGGTCTCGACAGTTGCCTTTGATCCTTGGAGATGTGACGAAAGGACTTACAGGTTTGGAAGCGTTGGGGACGATTGCAGGCTACTCCTCTGGGATTTTAGTGTGGGCATGCTCCATCGGCCGAGAGTGGTATGTCAACAGATGTAGATTGCCAGGCAATAAATTTCGCTCACAGCTGACGTGCGCTCCAACAGCATCAGGCTAGTGCTCGTCAGCGGACCAGTTTGATTCCCTCCAACACCCAACATACCAATCGCCATAGAGCCGATAGTGCTGGCAATCGCGTGAGATCAGACTCACAACGGACGGCAGATCTCAACAGTAATTATGACCACACTGTCCGTCATGCGGTCGAACCGAGAGCACGGACGGCTCTCTTGCCGCCTATCATGGTGTGTTTCCCATTGTTACCGGCGTTCGTTGCACAAAGATGTGGGAGCTAATTTTCTGATAGTCCAAGAGTGTCGGACTCGACCCTATCTACTGGTTAGGATTCCAAGAAGATTCCATCATGACATCTTCCCTGGAAGGTGAGCGTCACACTGCCCGAGCTGTGTGCAGAATGGGTTGCAAAGATAGCTGACACTACAGATAAAGGACACATTCGTACCTGGGACCGGCCCCGGGAAGGTATCAATGACAACTACAATGTTCACCCTTCATCGCCGGCGATCAGTGCCCCTGCTGCTAGGTCCAGATCCGGCTTTGCCGACCCGGCCAAGGGATCCCTCTGACCTTGGTATGTTCACCTGTAAATATGCACGTTTTGTTACCTGATATACCCATTTGCGCTTGAGGATTTATTGTCTGTTTGTAAAGTTATCTTGTGGGGACGTTGATTGCTGTTGGCTAGCATTGCATCCGATTCTAGTCTAGCCTACCCAAAGTTGCTACCAGATCCAGCGCAGTTTCCAGTTCAACGTTCAACTACCAGTCCAAATCATAGTAAATAGTTGGAGGCTTAAAATGGGGGTAGCACATTATCCAGCCAGTGATACTAAGGTAGATACTGACAGATCTTTCATGATTGACATGCTTAAAATAAAGAATTTCAGCTATGACAGGCTCTTTTACCCACTCTAGAGATACCTATATACACTTCTTAGGGAATACAGCACAATACTCCAAAGTAATTGAATCCACCATCCTACGGAATATTTCCCTTTCTATGTGCGAATAAGAAATGAAACTCAGATGAAGCATGTTCATTAGATAGATATAAAGACGTGTAAATACATCGGTTGTTATCCATACCATACCATACCATACCAGGGCAGCTAATGCATTATATAGGTAGTCAAAATAAAGAATCTCACCTTCAATGAAGATAGATAGATATCCATTCTGTGCGGATAGGTATCTTTTTTTCCTTTCAGGACGCGAGCGGTAATCGTTTTTAATCATCACTTTCTACCTCTCTGCTCTATAGTACTCCAATGCAATACATTGCATCAGAGTGCAAGAGCAAAAAGACTCACCACGAGAGTACCCAAAGTAACAGGAATCGTAAGCGACGAAGATCCGCCGGTAGAATTAGTTGGTGCTGCGGCAGTTGCAGCGGGATTTCTAGAAGCAGTAGAGGTGGTTTCTGCGGTGGAAAGAAAGACGTTAAATGATTGCCATGGTCAAGCTTATATATGTACTCACCCAGTGATGCGGAGCCAGAGGGGACGGTGCTAGAAGATGGTGAAGAAAATGTGCTGCGAGTGGTTGGATGTTGGATACAGGGACGGGATGTGGTTCTGGTGCTGGTGCATGATAGTGATGATGATGATGATGATGATGATGATGATGATGATGATGATGATGATGATGATGATGATGATGATGCGATAGAAGTAGTAGTAGAATCTCTCTTACTGTTCTGGGGCGCGTCAGCAACTTTGGTGACTTCAAATTGCGGTGACTGAGCCAATATGCCGGTATTCATTTTGTCGTTGGAGATGAAGTTGAGCTGGTATCCGCTTCTAGAGAGATTAATTAGCTATGACTTGACAACACAGGCCTTGTAAACTTGGACTTAAAATCACCATACCCCTTCGGAATGCCCCAGACCTTGTCGACAGTGTAGGTGCCATCGGAGGACGTGATGTCTTTGGCAATTTCCTTGTTGGCACTGGAGCCGTTTGTGTTGACCAGGTTGATGGTGAATTTGGATGGATCCGATCTATATGGTCAGAATCGGACTGAATCATGCAGTGTGGCTTTGGTATTTGACATACTGAACAGACTTCCACTTGATTGTGAATGGCTTGCTCAGGTCAACTTTGTCCTGCGCTTTGGGAGAAGAGAGCGTGAGAGCTTGAAACTTTGTCAGCAATGAATGTCTAGTTAGAAGAGATTGAAAAGGACTAAATCACATACCAACGGCAGAAACCGCAAAGGCAATAAGTGACACGATGTGGAAACGCATTGTGACCGAGGATGTGCAGTAGAGGATCACGGAGGACTCAAGACAGCGATGGTTACTCAGTTAAAAAAAAAAAAAAAAAAAAAAAAAAAAGAGGAAATATGATATATATAATACGTACGATTAATTGACAAGAAGCAGAATAGCATTGTCGGGGGACAACAAGGTGACTTTATATCTTCCCTGCAGAGCTTCTATACACCGCAACAAAGGATGATCATCCAGTCCTTTCTAGGGCTCGATCCCTCTCATCGACCCTTTTTCTTTTCTTTTTTCAGATCCGGATTGATCGGTAGGAGAAATCATAACTGGGTGTTGTGCGGTCGCAAGCAGAGTCTCCTGCATTGAATGAAGCGAGGGGGCCACAGATGATCTGTTCTCCTTCCCAACCTTGACTACCTTCAGTCTATCCCTACATCGGATTGGTAAGTCCGGACAACAATTGCAGGAGAACCGACTTGAATTGGGACCTCCCATCGTAGGTTCTAAGAACAACGGGGCTCCGTTCCCATGCTTGCAGGGGATGCATCTCCTTCAAGGTAACCTCGCCAGGTGGTGCTTCAAAAACCCTTCAACCGTCCCATGACGTTTTGGTTGGGATAGGGTGATATCCCTTCTTTGCTTGGATGTACCACGTACTCCGTATATGTTTGTAGTTCTGCTACAAAGTCGGAACTCGGCAAGGCCAGATTGAGGATTCGTCTGAATCGCCTCCCCTAGGCAATTTCCTAACTCGATCTCAGTCGAAGATCCCTTGGCGCATCGGTGGGGATAAAACTAGGAGCAAGAGAAGGCTAGTGGCGAATCTACTTGCATTAGAAGGTACATGAAGACCAACTAGTGTCTGCGGATGGGGCAATCTTAACACGACATCACGATAGCTGCCTGAAAATCCTGGCACGTAGGCGTCGTCGTCTCCGAAAATTTGCGACTCAGCTGCGTCCTCATGCCTAAGGAGGGGAGAGAAGATTACGCTCACTCCCCGCTAACTGGGTGGTTGAACAATCCTTGGCGCATCCAAGAAAAAGATGTGTGCTACCTACTGGACTCGTTTGCAAGTGTTTCCCTCTCTTCTCTAGCATTCAATCGGAGTTGAGTTCTCAATGTAGTTTCGGCGGCGGCATTTCCAGTGCATGGGGAACTATTTTGGCTTTCCGCTGGGCTTGATTCGCGCACCGAGCATGGTATACAGCTCATCTGCAGCCGCTTCGAGAGTCGACATGTCAGATGCAAGTGGGATAGACAGAGTGACTATTGAGGATTTGCCTTTCGTCGTACTCAATCGGGCACCGGTCCATGCGTGGCTCAATAGCAGTAGCAAGAACCATAGCTTGGTTATTATCCAGATGTTATTCAGAACGGAAACTCGATGCTATTCTTAGATGTCTAAGATGTAAGACGATATTGTCTCTGCATTTTTGAATCTCACACATCTCTTCTACTAGTATACATCGTCCCACTAAATTTAAGGGCCCCATGTTCTTTTATCACATTTCAGGGTGCCGGCATTGGATACTGGCTGTCTGACTTAAGCTAACTATGAGAGATAATCTAAAAATGGATAGTTGGTCCTTATGACTACGTGCAGAACTGGTTCCGACAGTAACCCAAGTAATTCGGTGGCTCTATCACTGTCTTTATATTCCTTCCTGATTACTGTCTTTTTTTTTTTTTTTGAGAACAGGTTAGGCAACAAGTAAATGTTGTTCTAAAAGTGGCGCAGAGATGGAGATACACTGTCCCAACAGACAACTATATACCTTACGTTGCAATTCAATAGTGCATAGATATAAAGCAGCCATCACAGCTGGAGATAGAGTTTAATGGCTCTATTGAAGATAGTGGGCAAAAATGAGAGTTTTTATAGCAAAGAAAAATAAGTAGAGGTTGAACTGAATATGAAAATTCTTCTATTGATAATATATAAGTAGAGATATATTCCTCACTACCTTTTAGATTGGCATGATATCTATACTCCAAGTGGTATGGGTATTATACAATGCCATGTTTAACCACCACAATACGTTCATTTAACGTTATTTCTGCAAGTTTTTTTAAAATTATTAGGGAATATAGAATTTGATTAAGATGTTAGAATCAGGATTAGTGTTGTCTTGGTTATGTTTATAATACTTCTACAACAAGGCATCTATAACTATATATGCTACGGAGATGTATTAGATGTCTTCTCTTCTTTCTCTTTTAACTCACTATTTTTTTGTGTATATTTATTAACCTATGTCTGTTATGTCTATTGTTCTTCCATAGGTAATTAACAAGCTAAGGCAATATATACACTCTGTTTCTTAACATAAAATGATATTATCCTTATATACACCGGACTACAGAAAATGCCTCTACTTGGCACAGTTATAGCAAACTCCCTAATTATACTGGAGCTTAGGGGTACTGTTTGCACTGTACCCAACCTATACATGGATAGATACATGCTAGACATATTATCCATCTCTAAGAAAACAGAAAGACACACCAAGCACGAATTACAAGGTAGTACAGTTGCTATGATAAAACACTAAATATTAATATATCTAGCAAATGCTTGTTCTAGTAGCTGCAGAAAAGTAAAATGTTTGATTGCACCCGTCTTGGCTATGGTGTTTGTAGTCTCACATTTCTATATTCTCTGTGTTTGTGGAAGGCAGCATGGCATTATTAAAGCCAACCTTACTACTTAATTTTTAGTCCTGCTATTATCCAATACACATTGAGGGATTTATCATTCGTGTCTGGCATAATATCTAACCAATCTCTGTGTCATGCAGAGTACCCAATATACAGGGCTGATGAAACCATCCTCACCATCCATAGTTCACATTGTTTCTGTTTCACCCGGGCTTGGAATATGCTGTGTACTCCCCCGGAGTAGGGTATCGGAACCGAGTTTCTTCAAGTGGAAGTATACCGACACGGTCTGTTCAGTGGTAAAAATGGTATATAAACCACCACTCGACGTCCTTTCTCAAGCCATCTCGCATTCTCGAACCATCATTCATATCCAGTTTTATACAAGTTGCGTCTGGATTGATTGCATTAATTCAGCTCCATTCAAACAATCCTCACCATGAAGCCTCAAATCCCAACTCTCATCCTCGGATTCTGCACTTCTGTCCTCGCCCTCCCTGTCGGAGACCCCCAAAACGAAAACTTAGCTAGGTCAGTGCCGTCACCCAAGCAACAAGGCATTCCCCATCCGTCGAAGAGCACACCGCTCCACAAGAGACAGACAGATGGAAAGACGAACGTCCAGTTCATCCCGGGTTCTGGTGGAGAGGACGGCCCATTCTCGGGCGCTGGACTCCCGGACATGGGTGAATTCCCTGAAATTGGCGGTGAATTCCCTGGATTCGGCGACTTCCCTGGCTTTGGCGAATCTCCTAACCATAAATATTCTGAGTCCGATGATGCCAAGGAGAACGAGAGTCGCGAAGGAATGGAATTTGAGATGCCTGATCTGGGAGACGTGATTCATATGCCGGGTGATTCTCAAGATTCTGATGGTTCCCATTTTCCTGTCCCGTTTCCTGGATTGCCGGGTGATTCTCAAGATTCTAATGGTTTCCCTTTTCCTTTCCCGTTTCCTGGATTGCCGGGTGAAAATGAGACTGAGCCTATGACCCATGGAGCGAAAGGTTCTGGTAGATTTGTGACGGGTAGACATTGAGGGTTGCGAATGGAAAAATCTTAGTTGGACACTTTAAAATCTTGGGATGGTGATGCTGTTCATATTCATATGATCAGGTTGTTAGTTTGTATCGATTGGGACATTGGGTCTGGTCGTCCTTTGTTGTCAAAATGCTCATAGGGCATCTAAAATGGCAAGCAGAAAATAGGTAGTCTACCCCAGTGGCTTTGTGATCATTGAGACCAGTCTCTTTATTATTTTTTGTCTCATTGCACATGGGCTTTACATTCGTACTGTGCTCTCTTGATGGCTCTCGTTTCAGAAAATAGACTGGACACTCTTTTGTGCTTCTTTAACCCCTTCTGGTAGATAACAACTTGCTTATAAGCGAATATACGGATCTGGATAGTAGATATCTCCTTTTTCTTGAACCAGGGGATGATATATAGTCGATATCGAAACACGATTTCTTACCGAAATAGATGTATTTCATAATCTTAGTGTAGTGCCTCATAATGGGAAGAAGACAATACACTCATTCAGACCATACATTAGGGAAGGTTATTGTTCCATTGAATTAACAGACTCTTAAGTTGGTTCTATAGTGGAGAATAACAAAGGGGCTCAGCTCAGCGTGAATGACAGAGCCTTGTCGGGCATTATATTATGTCATCCGCGATTCACATCGTTTGTCATCTCCACTCCACGGATTCCTCTTTGCAGGGCATTAAATTCCCCACTGTCAGCTCAGCGATATTTGCAGGGACTGGTTCCTTGCTGGAATACAGAGTTCCCCGTTGAATCGCAAGGCATGCCCAAAAAATCCCAAATACATCCCCGACACATAATCAGCGACTTTGAAGATGGATGACAAAAGCGATAGCTTGTTCAGAGTGAGTTTCGAGATCCTTTCGCGCCCACCGTAGAAGACTTAAATACGGATATAAATCTGGCGCAGATTGAGCTTCATAACTTACTGCTGTTTTCTGGTGCCTAGGAACTCGAGGAACGTTATTGCCCACCCCTCGACCAGGCCTTGTTTACGGCTATCGTTTGCGACTATGACCTTGCCGACTCGACTCAGATTCAGCAACTTCGCGATACCCTAGACGCTTTAAAGTTGTCTGCGTGGGAGCAGGAGGATCTGCCTTTCGATCCATCCGGCACCAGCGGCTTGAGCGCAGCCAATGGTTTGGATGCGGACGGGATACCCTCAGATCGCAGTGTGTCGCAAAACGATACTCTACCCTCACGCGAAACAGACGTGACCAGTTTTGCGTCGGACTTTTCCTCTGTTAGTCTGAGTGAAAAAGGGTCGAAAGCCAATAAGATAGACCGATCCAGACTGTTTGAACGCGGTGCGTACACAATTGGTGGAGATGGTGTTCTGCGTCTGTCCGGGGCGACTCAGGAAGATAAAATCGAGTATTTAGCAGAGATGTTCCCTTCGGCCGATTATTTAACCATCCAACACACGTTGAAAAAGTCTGGTGGAGATGTTGATCGTTCAATGGATGTCTTGCTCAACCTGGCCTTTTTCGATGAACAAACCCCAAACGAAAATAGCACCAAGGTTGCTATTCCTAAAGGTGTTGATGGTTTTGAGGACGGATTGGACGGAGAGATCTCGCGCAAAAAGGTTCGCAAACGTAAAGGGAAACCCAAAACCAACCGTAGTCAAGAAATGTCTTCTTTGGACTCTGATGGCTTTCACGCTTCGTGCGATGGAATCCGTGCCGTCAATAAATGGGATGCAGCCCAAAAGGATGTCGAATTTGTTCATTCTCGGACATCACCCATCTTGAAAAAGGAAGCAGTGAAATCGGCATATCATGCTAATGGAGCGTCGTTACCAGCCACCATCCGGTTTCTCGCTGGGGCTCATGCTCCGGCGAAGGAGGAAGACATCAGTCAAGACCCAGTCGCATTTGCGCAAGTGGCCGAACTAACCCAGCAGTTCCCCTCTATAGCGTCCACGACGTTTGCCGGACTTCTGAAGATAACGAGAAGTTCAGTTTCGGCCGCTGGTGAACTAGCAGCGGCGATGGTGGCTGCACCAGTCACCCCGGTCGTTTCTGAGCTAATCAAATTCACCACCTCACCGCCTCCTCTCGAGCTGGATGACGAAACGCCCAAGCGATGGACAGCTGCATCACGAATCGCCCGTGACTATAACGCGGCGCGGGACTCAGCCGGAATCCATTTCGCAGCCGGCGCAGAGGCCCTGTCTAAAGCGGGCGTGGCGTACAGACGCGGCAAGTCTGATCGACTGATGGGCGGCGCGGCTGCTTACTATTCCGCCGTGGGACGAGACCATCTGGAGCGGGCGAAGCGCAATGCTGCAGATGCTGCGGACGCGCTGGTCGACTCTCAGTCGACCTCCAACATGCTAGATTTACACGGAGTCTCGGTCCAGGATGCAGTGCGCATCGCCAGCGAACGGGTCTCGGATTGGTGGGAGTCCCTGGGTGATGGCAAGTATATGCGAGGAAACGGCGACCCAATCCGAGGAGGCTATCGCATCGTCACTGGAGTTGGACGCCATAGTCATGATGGTACTTCACGTTTGGGACCAGCCGTGGGTAAGATGCTGGCTCGTGAAGGGTGGAGAGTGGAAATTGGTGAAGGCGTATTGACAGTCACGGGTGTGATCCGACGTCGTTAGCATTTGTCTTATGTGATAGTTGAGATACCCTTGTGTGATGTATTTGATGTAGGACAGCAATTTTAGCGATATAATTGTTTATTTTGAACTAGTATATTCTGGAGTACAGGAATGCAATTCGACGAGAAAATTTAGACAGGAGTCACGCACGTACAGAACATAGCTAGCTTCGAAAGAATTCAATGCATAGAGTACAATTCCTCCCTAGATAATAAGGGCGAGTAAATTCCACGATGAGGAGGAAGGAACTTCGTTGGAACCATTGAAAATGATGGTTAATCACGTCATGTGGGGCAATTGGGAAGAAACAGTCCGCATCGATTTCCACACAGCTATCTATCTATACACATTGTATCTCCTCTATTGACTACAATTCATCTTCTAACCTGCATCGATCCGCCCAAATAACCGTCCTCCGATGCGTATCCGGGGACTGTCTTTTGCCCCTCGGATCTTCCTCATACCTCTCAGGTCCCGCATGATTAGCAGAGTCACAACGACTTCACTGCGCATACCTGGATCAGCTACTTTCAAAGCTGCTCCCACGACTCCATTTCTGAGTTCTTTATTCAGCTCCAGCTCTAGTGATAAGATGTCCTATCCTGACCAACGGAGTGATGACGCATGGCGCGCTGTTTTAAGTCCTGGTTCGTAGCTATCCTCATCCCTACGAATGACTTGACCAACGGCACATCCGATCGCTGATTATCAATTACATTCTACAGAACAGTTTCGCATTCTTCGTGAAAAAGGTACCGAACGTCCCGGAACTGGCGAATATGACTCCCATTATCCTTCCCAGGGCGTCTATAACTGCGCCGGTTGTAATGCTCCGCTATACAAGGCCACCCACAAATTCACATCCGGATGTGGCTGGCCAGCATATTTCGATTCCATTCCCGGTGCCGTGACGAGACACACCGATAAGTCCTTTGGGACGGAGCGGACTGAGATCGTGTGCAGCAACTGTGGGGGTCATCTGGGGCACGTCTTTAAGGGCGAGGGATTCCCGACGCCCACGGACGAGAGACATTGTGTGAATAGCATTAGTTTGCGGTTTCAGGAGAATGAATCGGGGGGTACGAAGTCAAAGGCATGAGGGAGGGATGGAAGGCACTCTGTAGATGTATATAAAATTGATGGATGCCTCTTCCACCTGGTCCTCAATCCAGCGGAATCCGGACTACGCACTGGGTGCATGTGCCCCGCCGGGATGGGCATCTATGTAATGTGGCCTCAGGCTGCGATCCGCCACCTGACCGGCGATTAATGAATCGGACTGATCAACTGTCGTCTTCGTGTTTCAACCCATCTCCATTCCCTCTTTCTCGTCCATCTTCGGCTTTCTCGGTTTCTCGCGTGGATTGTTTTTGCCCTCTGTAATGTCTCGACGTGCGACGCCATCCCAGGCTGCTCAGAACCAGCAGACCATTAAGAACCTGCTGAAACTCGAGTACAACAAGACATGTGCCGACTGCAAGCGCAATAAACGTTAGTGAGCCTTTTCGATATACTTCCTCCGATATCCTTCTCACCTTGATTTCGGATGAACTTTAGCTGACAATTGCTTGGGCAGACCCACGATGGGCCTCCTGGAATCTAGGAATCTTCATTTGCATTCGTTGCTCAGGCATCCACAGGGGCATGGGAACCCATATCAGCCGAGTGAAATCCGTCGACCTCGACTCGTGGACTGATGAACAACTTGAGAGTGTTTTGAAATGGGGCAATGCAAGAGCTAACAAGTCCGTCCCCTGCGACCGCCTTTTTACCCATTATTGACGGAGAGTTTTGTGCTGACAGACTCTTTGCAGATACTGGGAAGCGAAATTGGCACCTGGTCATATCCCGTCGGAAGCGTGAGTGGATTACAGCCACGTACACCCTCTGGATATTTTGCTGATACAAACACGGGGATAGTAAAATCGAGAACTTCATCCGGACTAAATACGATTCCAAGCGATGGATTATGGACGGCCCAATGCCCGACCCCTCGACGTTGGATATTGGCGACGATGATGTGGTATGTGATACGGGTCTCTCTCTATTTTCTTGCTGATAGATATTAAAATATTCTCGAAGCCTCTTGCGGTCGTTCAAGAAAAGGCAAAAATTGAGCGTTCTGCCTCTCAACGAGTGGCCACCAGTCAACCACGCGCTATACAACGACCGCAACCTTCCATCGACCTCTTCGGCGACGACATCGAACCTCCAGTGCGCCCTAGCACGACAGAACCTACACCAAAGGCTACACTGAAGCAGCAGCCGCCACCCCAGCAGGCTGCACCCAAATCGACACGTCCTGGCGATTCCTTGCTTGGGCTGGATTTCTTCGGCAACGCCCAGCCGACGACCACCAACCGCCCGGCCAGCACAGCATCCACACCCGTCAACCCATCAGGAATGTCTCGACCGGATTTGAAACAATCCATCCTGTCACTCTATTCAAAGCCGCAGCCACATCATGAACGCAACTCTTCGTTTGGGGATCTCGCCTCTCCCGCGCCACAGTCGACATCTTCCAGCATGGGGGGTCTGACCGATGCTTTCAGTGGATTGAGCTTTCCGTCGACCACGTCTCCCCCTCCTCCAAAGCCGGCCGAGAAGCCGTCACCTTTTGCTAATCTGACTAGCTTCGCTACTGCCAAGTCAACACCGGCAGCACCAATGGTTTCATCACCTACCGCCTCCGTCAGCGGTGGGGGAAGCTTGTTTGATAGCCTCACGTCTCCCACATTTCCTCCCGCGAAGCCTCAGTCTCGTACCGCATCGATTTCTTCCAATGGATTCGATTCCGGATTTGGTGGCTTTGGATCTCCCCCACCGACGAAGCCGAACCCGCCGCAGTCGTCTCTGTCAAATGATCTGTTCGGATTGTCTTCTCCTCCCGCCCCAGCCGCGGCAGCTTCAGCACCTCCGGCACCCAAAGCCCCGTCTCAACAGCTGGAGCTGCAGTCTGCTTTCAACATTAGTGCTCCACCTGCACCTAAACCTCAAGTATCTGCAGCAACGGCGTCTATCGCAAGCGCTCTCCCAGCAAGCATTGACCCTTGGGGAGGAAATGCCTGGATCACTCCTGATCCTACGCCGACTGCGCCCCCTGCACCCCATGCGCCATCTGCATCCACATCCACGATGATGAAGGTGCCGGATACCTTGACTGCCAACGACATCGGTGCCGGCTGGGGCGCCCCGGCTCCACCAGCCACAAGCTCCAGACCGGCGCCTACAGTGGCCGCAGATGAGGATTTCGGTGGGTGGGCCAGTGCAGCGCCCGTGTCTTCGACCATACCAACAACAAGCGCGGCTAAACCGGCAGGCGGGTTTGGCGGAGCTGATGATTTGTTTTCTAATGTTTGGGAGTAGGTCTTATACTTTTTTGTGTTTCTCTACTACCCTGAAGTTGCACATACTTTGGTATCATTCTTAGACCCTGTCAGCGCCAGATCGCAATTGATTCTATTTTAGTTTTATTTAATTTTCTTCTTTTTATTTTTTCTTTTTATCGCCCTTTTCCTCCATTCTGTATTTTCTTTCATTGATCATGACCCGAGAACGGAGCTTTGGATTGTAAAATGGGTGGTTTTATGAGCAAAATATGTATTCACCATGCATTAATGAGACTTTGTTTCTCTACGAAACTCGATGTAAGTTCAATACCATAGAACTGATTGGATATGCGTTAAACTATCTAGAAGAATGGACAGGACGGTCGACTTCTTTTAGGAAATGCTGGATATGGGACATAAACAATCATGTATCCATTGACAAATCTATTACATGCAATGTTGTGCAGCTTATCTTCTTTCGAGATGTTTCTGATCCGATTGATTGAATGTTTCCGCTAATGTTGACCAAGTGCGTCGATAAACATTGATAGCATCAATGATCGTGAGGAACCATGGATAGCATGCCTCTTGCCTGAGTACGGTTACCAATGAAAGTGAGGGATATTGTAACGGCTGCCCATGGAGGAACGAAGAAGCTCGGTCAATTCCCACGAGATCCCCAGATATTGTTTCTGATGTCGTTCTGCAATATAGCCAACATTCATAGTATATCAATTATGTGGATATATAGTTTCACCGGAATGGAGCTAAATGAGTGTGTATTATTTGGATGGTAGACATGTGGTAGGACTATTAGAGCCGGTTAATTTTCAAAAAAAGGAATGGTCAAGCTGAGAGAATTAGATTGGTAGATTGGGGGTTGATCACAAACGACCATCTGAAGAAGATTAGTGCCGTCGATCCACTCCGAAGTCCGTCACCGCGGAGGTAGCTACGGAGTAATAATTCCTTCGGTCAATACGATGGTCATATCGAACGGAGACGACGGAGACCGAGGAACCGAGTGATCACTTCATAGGTCCATACAACCCCACATACTGTTGTGGAAGGAGGACTGTGACCATCGATCGATTGTAGAGAACAATAGAAGTGATCACGCTGCTGAAATGGACGTCACGAGACAATATCATCGTGAGAAGCTAATCCGTCCAGGGGCAAACTATATCCTGAGGCATTCAAGGCTCAAACCTTGAAGGGTTTCTTCGTGCTCAAATAATGCAGAAGTGAATATGCCCTTGCATTTGCCATGCCAATAATGACGTTCCCAATTGCTTGCACTTAGTGAGCCTCTGGTGCCTTGTGCCTTGTTAATAGATTGCCCCAGGGAGTGAGTCAGCAGGCTCACAACGTCTCCTTTTCAACAATAAACAGGATTGTTGTTTTCAAATTGAACTTGCTGATTGTTACGGATGATGGGACGCTGCATGTCTTACTAAAAGATTCGTTCTCTGGACTGTTGATTGCTGTAATCGCCACCATTGGAATTACTGGCCTTAAATCCGTTACTAAACCCCGCGTTCTTGGTCAGACGAAGCAGGCATGGAGATCTTCAAAACTCGTATACCTCCCAGTTGAGTTGCTTGTGATCTATAATTGTGTTTCCCATAATCTTGGAACGCTCATCATGAAGTCCAGAAATGTAGTCTGGTTCAGCTAAAATAGGCTTTTCATCCCCCACGATGGCGGATCTTCACAGACAGACAACTGAGGCTGGGCATTTCAGCTCCGCTTCGGCCCGAGTACGATTGTCCTGCGAAAAGTGCCAGCAGCGAAAGATTAAGTGTGATAAGCGTGATCCATGTACTAATTGCCAGCGCATTGGCATCACTTGTGTGCCTGTTGAACGGGCCCGACTGCCCCGAGGGAGAACTGGCCGGGGCGCAACGAAAGGACCACTACCCAAGAATACGCGCTTGAAAGATCGCATATCCAGACTGGAGAGTCTAATTCGGGGTATTGCCGACTGCGGTAGTCCCAGTGCTTCTAGTAGAGCTCTTCCCTATTCCACGACCTCCAGTTGCACCAGGAGCCAGACAAGCGTTTCCCGGACTGGCTCAGCTGATGGCAGGTCAGAGGCTCAGGAACCTGACGATGACGGTTCGCAAATTTATCCTTGGATTCACGCTCTTCCTCAGGTAGAATGACGTTCTATACCATTGAGATTTGTGCTAATTGGAAACTAGCGCCATGATACACATAGGACCCAATACCACGGGCAGAACACTCACAGCCTCAATGCCGATGACACTGCCATGAGATACCAGCGCCTCCTCTCAATATCAAAGAGCGCCGAGAATGAAATAAATGCCCAAACAGTTGACCGAGAAGCATATGTTACCAGGGAGACAGAGCAAAAGCTGTGTCAAATTTACCTTCAAAGGGTGGATCCTGTCTTTAAAATATTACACAGGCCTTCTCTGAGCACTTTCTTGATCGAAGGAAAGCCATACCTAGACTATGAGCCTGGACACCTCGCACCGAAAGCGTTGAAATATGCCGTGTACTATGCTGCCATCTGCAGCCTCGATGAAGTAGAGTACAGGTACATATTCAAAACCAGCAAAAGAGTGATGGTAGAAAGGTATCAGAAGAAATCGGAATTGATACTCGCCCAGGCCGATTATCTTGCAACCAATGATATGACAGTCCTACAAGCCTTCGTTCTCTTTCTGGTCGGTATCTAACAATAGAACCCAGAATAGAATCCACCCACTGATACCAAACCCAGCTATCATCTCGATCCCAGGACCAGAGCCGACGAGTTTGGACCATGCTGAGCATTGCGCTCCGTATTGCTCAAGCGCTCTGTCTTCACATGGCGAAACCACCGTTTCCCGTGCGGCCGTTTGAGAGCGAAATGCGCAGACGACTCTGGAGCGCCATTGGGTTCCTCGACATCCAAGCTTCGACTGGCTGTGCATCAGAGCCCATGATGCAAGCAGCTTGGTTACAATCCCATCCGCCTTCGAACATCAACGACCACGACATCAATTTTGAAATGGGCACCCTGGCACCGGAATCCGAAGGATTCACCGACATGACATTCACAATGATAGTTCTGAAAGCGCAATACGTTTTCCGATTGCTCAATTTCTCTGATTTCACCGAACCAACAGTGAAACCCATCCACCTGCGTCAGCAGTTAGTCGTCGACTTTCAACATACAGCGTCAACCCTCCTCCATCACATCCAAGCAGATACCATCCCATTCCACTGGTTCACCAGACAAGTCGCACAATACATCAACGCCTCTATGCAACTCATCACTCTACGACCCTTACTTCGAAACCCCAATTACATTCCTCCCCGCGTCCATGGAGACCGTCTCCTCCGTCTCGCCGTCGACGTCCTCGAAAAGCACCAGGAACTGCGCAACAACCCCAGGGCCTTTCCCTGGCGTTGGTCCGAATATATGTTCATGCCGTGGCATGCCCTCGCCGTGGCGGCTTCGGAACTCTCTGTCTGCGAGGACCCAGTTCTGATGGAGAGATTCTGGACATCCGTCGAGCAGGCCCAGGAGCGTCTAACTAGTATGGTAGAGGATAAATCTAAAGACATGTTCTGGAAACCAATGGAAAATATCATGGCGCAGGCACAGGCAAGAAGAAATGAACTACTGGACTTATCGTCTGTTGGGACGCGTCCACTCTTCTCGAAATCTACTCCGTCTGATATAGTCGTCTCTCCTATGTCTCCCCAGTCAGGGCATATCCAGTCGATGTCGAGAGTGTCTCATAATGGTGTTGCTACTGGAAACATGGCCCCTGCTGCAGCATCATCGTCGTCGTCGTCGGAGACGATTGGTCTCGGTTCATGGTCAAGTGTGTGGGACGCGGTCGACTTTGGGAACCATCTACGGGAGAACGAGCTCTCTTGGTTAAATTATGAAAATTTTATCGACGATTTGAATAGCATCATAATGCCTCGTTAGATATCTATATGGGTGAATTCAGCGGGGCTAATGATCCCAAGTGGTGAACTAGCCTAGCTATATCTTGCAAATTTGATGATTACTTTGCGCATCTGACTGTTTACATCCTGCATCATGTATGGTTATATAGTGTAGTACAAGCAAAGAATCTCAACAGCTTCGCTGTAATACTCATCTTTAACTAATATGTCTGTGGTTCCTCCCAACTACATAGTTCACTCGTATAGTACACTCATCAACAGCCTCGACTGAAACACATATAGCACTAAGCAAGCAAAACGAAACCAGGGCATTATGTCTACCTCGTTGCCCAGACGCCATATAAGTCAGATCGCCAGTGCCCCAAACCCTTTTTAATAACTATATTTTTTTTTTGAGTTCTGGAAAAAAGAAAAAGCAAATCCTATCCCATTCATCATCACTTGGGTGAACGGTGGGATCCTGAGAGTGTAATAGAAAAGGGAAATCAATATGAGGAGCGCATCACGCGAGTTCAAAATAGGTGTAAAAGAGTTGGATAGAAAGAAGAAGTTAAAGGAAATCGGGGGTATTTGTACAACATATAATAGGAGAAAGAGAGTTAAGAAAAGATGGTTGAAGCAAGAGCTGTCTGCCAATGATCATCACCTAAACATTTCCAATATAAAAATAATCTTCTTCAGTAATAATCCTCTCTTTCTATTATCATAATCAGTTCGGTGAGTTCCTTACGTAAGGATCGGTTACGGTCCCATATCTCGACGATCTTCGGGCGGTTGCTGAGGAATACGGCTTTCTTCCATGGAAGGCCGTTCAGTTTTGGTGCAATCCCGTTTGGCAGGTTTCTTGCAAGATTGCGTAGTACCAATGCAGCCTTGTAAGCTACCCCGACAGGTTCGCCTCTATCGTTCACAGGAGTGTCCATATAGAACCACTTGCGGACAATGCGCTCTTGGAGGACAGCACGCTTCGAAATAGGCGCCTCTGCATCTGCAGACCGCTCTTCCGGCAGATGTGAGGAGACATGGCCCGCAACCATCGCAGTATTATCACTGGGGCTGGACGAGGGAAACTTGGTGCAGTGATCCCATTGACAAGAATGGATCGGAGACTCCGCCTTGTCCAGCTTGTAGTGACCGGACGTTTCAGCTGCCTCAAGTTTCATATGGTCTGCAAAAACATGGTTGCGTAGATCCGTGGGGCTGGGAAAAGCACGCTGACATGTCTTGGGGGGATTTGACTCATCTGCCCACTTGCAGTAGAGATAAGGAAATCCTTGGAAAGTATACACAGTCTCCAGAGGCCGAATTCCTTTGATGATGAACCTGGTCGTGGCGCCAGGGCCGTTAATAACTTGGGCCTGAGCATTAGTAAACGTGGTGCTGACGTTCTTGATAAACTCCGCTGCTGGAAGTACCCCTCCGCCAGGGACACGGGGATCAGCAAATCGGCTTTGGTATGCCTGCCATAATGCGATCTGGGTGATCTCGCAGTCTGAATCCTCAGTAAAGCAACAACGCAACCAACGGGAGCTGCGTTCAGGTTCTGATAGCTCCATTAGTTCTTTCGAGAGCTCAGGAGGCACGCGAGGGATTTCTGTTGGTGGAGGGGCCACTTTCTCCTCTTGCAGAACTGTTTCCTTCTTGCTGGGTCGGCCGTCGTGCTTTAGCAGTGCTATCATACGCGGCACAAAAACGACGGAAAGATTGAAGATATCGATCATATTCTCGATATTCTCACGTGAAAGCGTGTATTGGTACCAGAAGTCCAGTGCACCACTCAGAATATCTCTATCCAGATCTAGCAGAGTATGGAAGTACATCTGTTGCAGGGTCTGCTTCGATATACGCTCTAATGCTCTGTTCGGCTCTGGCTCATCCAACTCGGTCGAGAAATGGGTGAGGGCCCAAAGCGCGCGAACAACATGAGCTCGATCCGACGACTCGAGACAGTTGAGAAGGGAAATCCAAAGTGGATCTTCGGGATCGGTTCTCATGAACTTGGTAACCTCTTCCGCGATGTCCAGTGCATCGTTCTTGATCTCGCTGAGCCGGGGTTGGTTGGGGAGGTTGATCAGAACAACCAAAAAGTCTCTTAGCAGTCCTTTAGCATAGCGCGATATATAGAGGGCGTTTTCCTTTAAGAGCACCATGTTTCTCAGGACTAGTGTGGCTTCTTTAACATTGCGCAGACGATGGTTGAATTCATATGTCTCTAGGGAGTCTTTGGGTAAAGTAACCGGTATACTTTTTATCTTCTCCAGAATATCTCGCGTACCGTGGAGCGAGTTCAATACGTTGACACGGTCAATGGGCTGACGGAAATCGTACTGTAGTTCCCATTTAATGCCAGTACAGATGATTGAAACATCCATAGCCTTTTCCATCAAGGTCTCCGCCAGTAATGGGAAGCCTTCGAATTTGAACTTATCCCACCGTTGATTAGATATTTGAACGAGGTGGTATAGCGCGAAATCTACTTCGTCCGGGATTCCTGACTGCAGACCGTAATGCGCTCGTTTGTAGATATGATCCGCTGTCACCATAGTTAATTAAGTCCAAATGAACGGCTGAAAGCCAATAAACGCGACAGGCTTATACATACACTTGGGAACCTCCAGGAATCTGAGAGGGAAATATGGATCATAGAAGTCAGGCTGCTTGGCTACCTTTCCCCTCTCGTGTGCGTTGGGAAACAAGCCAGGTCTGTTCCCTGGTGTCGCTACTTCGCGCATAGACATGGGTGCCTGCCTTGGCTCTTTTCCTTCCCAGTTCTCAATATGGGGCTGAGGACTGCTCGGGGTTCCAGTTGAGTTCGTATGTGGTTGAGCCATTGATTGCGGTTGTGGTGACTGATTCGCATGAGTATGAGACCGTCTCGCTGGCGCCGTATCCGGGATGAAGGGCTGGTTCGCTTTTGGCGCTTGCCGCAAGCCCTCTGTTAACAGTCAGTATCAGCCATGTCAGACAGCTATATCTTCAAAATAGAAGAATAACATACGGCGCAGCGACGTGCGGGGAGTACTGCCACTCATTTTGCTATAAAACCCTGTGTATCAGAAGGTGATACACCGTGCGCCTGCCAAATCTCAGAACGTACTCCTTTTTTCTTTTCTTTTCTTTTTTTTTTTCCTCCGAATGCTCCAAGGTTACTCGTCCGCAGCACCAATCGAGACGCGCTGATTAGGTTGATCCTTGGTTCTTTATCCTAGACCAGGCTTTTTGAAGCGAAATATACTGCCGTCGGACGCGCACGGCTATCAACGGAACTACCGAAGGGCGTTCTTGAAGGCGTTCTTGATATAATATAATGGCTTTTGCTTTCTGTCTAGCCAAATGCTTCGATGTGAACAAGGGACCGGGTAGTGGTGTTCGATGCCGACCTAAAAGTGTGTCGAAAGCAAGAGGGTCTAGTTTCAAGAAGGGCCAGATGCGAGAGCGCGTTTTAGAGGGATCCGTCAAGAATGGAGGTGAGATTGCAACACGAATCACATCGACTGGCTAGCAACAACGTAGGGAGGAAAATAGCGGGACCACTTTGCGCGAGCAATGGAGATGATCGGCAACGGGCACAGATGCAAACCGAGCGTCAATGCCTTCGTCGTGGCCCTTGGGGGCTCCGTCAACACAAGCTGGTCCTGCGATTCGTCCTGGCATCGCAGGCAAAAGTTCCGCGCCTCTGCAGCTGGCCTCAGGCGCGTGTTCGGATTATCTATTATTCCGTTACTGAGTCAGCCTTATGCCTTTGGGATCAGGCATCCGAGATATCCTTGAAGCCTTCTTTTCAGTTGGCCCAAAAGTCAGGACGCCTTTGAGTAAGGTCTACTAAATATTCCACAGAAAGCCTTAATCTACACCAGAGAGTTATCCATACTATCAGTCCATCCTGAGACTCGAATGAGAAATAACTACACTATGGCTTGTCTGCGACCGAAATAATCACGTGATGTTATACACAAGAGGCCCTGCCTGTCCGTTACACAGCACCTATAGTTACCCGGAGATATCGAGACTATTCAGGCTATAAGAGGAGATTGGAACGGAATAGGTGGTAGCTTCAGAAGAAACATAGCCTGTTAGGGTGTGGAAAGGCCTGTCTCCCAAACTTGAGGAGATTTCGCCCTTCGAGCAGCTTCTCTTGTCCAAAGGTAATGATTGGGCACTAGAAACAAAGTTTTCTAAGCTGTAGCAAGTAGATGCTATTGTATATTGTATGTTGTCAGCAGAATGGCAGGATGATAGCAATCGTCGACTGTTCTGTGCTGTGAGGATGAGCTGCAACCATACTCCAACTCGAGTCCGACATCGTCAGTTCAGATCTCTCAGCCCAGACGACCGTGCATTGCCATTTTATGCCATTATAGACGCTCCTTAAGAACAATAGAGAATGGCTTGACGAGCAAATGGAACTTATTATGATCTCTTTGTCGTGTCGGTTGAAAGGAGGACGATCCCAACGTAGATCGTCAAATGCCTCATCTCCAAGTCAAGCGAGATCAGGACTCCACCAGCTCAGCCGGAATCTATCTCAAGGCACAAACAGACCGTGTCGGATCTCCCCAGATACAAAGCATCGGATCAGAGGGAGCTCAGGTCAAGTCTGGCTGGGCCGGTGGGAAATAGTATTAATCCGCGCGCTGAACGCAGAAACAAAAAGCCGGATCTCCGCGTCGGCGCGATCATCCCAGGTCCCAAGATGAAACTATAAGTCAACCCCCGAGCGAATTCAAGACTCTATGCGCATGAATTCCCTGCCATCCCCGTCGAGCGATCATGTTTGCTGTGGTCCCCAGCGCCCGAGGGCATACGGCGCTAACCCCTTCAAAATGCCTCCCCGCCCAGGCAATTTTAGCCTGTAAAACCTTGCCTGTTGCGTCTTCCCTCCTCCGACTTTCTCCCTCCTCCACCATCGTCATCCGGAGCCTCGCTCCATCATCCCCCCTCGATTCACACCCCTCCGACTCATCCCTTTCGGTACAATGAATTCTCGCGAGCATTCCGATATGCCTCCGGCTCCCTCATACCCTTCCCCCAATGCGGCGCAGATCGGTCAGGGTGCCATGCAGTACTACACCAACCGCCAACTGACAGCCGACGAACTGCTTTCTGCGGAGCTGTCGCGTGAAACATCTGGACCCGGTCTTGCTGATGGCTCCAGTAATGGCGTTCATCATGGTCAGTCGATGGTCATGGGTGCCTCCAACCCTGCTGGTGGTGACATGGGCCGCCCTTCCTCCCCCGACCATCATCAACAACAACACATGCTGCAGTTCACCCCCAGCCAACAAGTCGGTGTCGATCCGAACCATGACCTAAGTTACGGTGACCAGAGTGCGAGAAGAAAAAGGTCAAAGATTTCTCGCGCCTGCGATGAGTGCAGGCGAAAAAAGGTGCGAAACGCCTCGTGTTGTTGTCGCGACACGCGACGCTGCCCACTAGCGGCATTCACTGAGCTCATGTTGTGATTCTTGCAGGTTCGTTGCGATGCCAGCTCTGAAACTGGCGTGGAAACATGCTCCAACTGCCGCCGTCTTGGGGTTGTCTGTCAATTCAGTCGCGTTCCCATGAAACGCGGCCCAAGCAAAGGGTAAGAGACGCGGTGACCGCTGGCGTCGGGAGAGCAGGAGAAGCGCGTCTCACTGACAGGATATAATAGTTACATCAAGGAATTGGCGGAGCGGTTACATACCCTCGAAAGTCAAATGCAGCCCACAATGGTTCATCAGGACATGCAGTACCAGGGCATGAATGAAGTGTCATCCCCCAAGGGCTACCAGGATTTCTCGTCGCCAATGGATACGGGCGCCGTGGGTCGCAAGAGGACATATTCGGTATTCGATGGACTTCCTAGCTCTTCGTTCACGCAGGCGCCTTTTAATAGTCGCTCTCAAAATGCATTCGGTTCGTGTCATACGCCTCGTTCACTTTCCTTAGCTAACTCCAGAAGACGCGGGAGAGACCTCAACGGATCCCTGTAACGCATCGGTTGTAGCAGGCTCAGTCCCCAAACCCGGCAATCTATTCTGGTCCTCCAGTAATGAAAACGAGCTGCCCGCTGGCATTGAAATGACGGATATGCCCAAACAAGCAATGGAGGAGGATATGACTCCATTGGATGTGGATGAGGGAGCTATGAACGCGTAAGTTTATTATATTTCGACATGTATAGTTCCCTAAAGGTGTACAAGTTCTAACTGAACACAGCTATTATATGAAAATCCACCCTGTCTTTCCCATATTGCCACACTCCAAGGAACGCCTGCTGGACATCCTCCATCAATGCAGCCGTGAGGTGCAAGAGATCTTCATATATAGCCTCTATACCGTGACGCGCACTAGCTTTGATCGAGTATTCGGCACCTTTGAGCGAGTCACCTCGTTTGACAATGCGCAGGACCTTCTCCTATATTACACCCGTCAGCCAGCCATTGTCCGCCCTACGGCAGTCAACCTGATCTGGCTGCAGACCATGTTACTCATGATACTCGACTGTGATGGGAGAGGCCCCGATAACTTTGTCCTGAAGGACGGTGTGCCAAAATATTCTTTGATCCAGTCTGCCAATAGACTTGGCTCGGATCTAGCAAAGGGGCTTGGCCAGTTAAAGATAAAAAGATCCTCCGACACAGACGTCGACTCAGAAGCAAATCTTGTGCGACGCAACTGGGTTGCATTAGCTATATTGTCCCGCTGGTACGCGATCAGTGTAGCTGACCCGAGCGCTCTCGGAAGCTACGAGGTCGGTGGTCGAGAGGATGAAAGGATGGTTGGACGAGCTACGACTGGAATTGGTTGTACGTTTCCCTCAATTTCCTAGCTTTTCAACCACTCTTTTTTTTTTTTTCTAACGCTTGGCTTCCATGCAGCATACTCCACATTCCTTGTTGAGATGGTTACTTTGGCCTCGTTGGAGCATAATGTTTGTCAAACAAACACTGGCATCGGTCGGATGGTTGGAGCCAATCTGCTAGCCTCTCTAGAGCGCCTAGCAGAGGTCGAGGATTTCCGCCCACCCACCAGTATCCCGGAAGAATCCGAATCCCAGAACTTCCTGGAGAGTCTGCAGAATCAACTTTACTGGACGATTCGGCTGCTGATCAAACGACATATCTTTGTCTACAGCCCCTACGAAATTATATTCAGCGCCGAAGAACTCATCAATGAGTTGCACAAAGCCAGCACACAGTCTCGCCTTATCACCCCATTTGATATCCACAGCCTAGCCTTGGCAGCCATGACTCTACTAGAAGCCACTGTCCTTCCAGAATACGCAAACGAATGCTGGGATGCGCTGAAGAAAGTCGAAGAGATACTCGACCATCGCGAAAAGCGAAGTGCGGAAGCTGCAGAGTTCGGCGACATTTTCGCAACTCCAGGCTGGGACTCTAAAATCCGCGTCTTTCTCGAATGGCGCCGAACCAAGGCACAGGAAAGCCAAGCCCAGGATCCCAACCTGAACAAGAGTGGCTCTGCAGGTCCCCCGGTCATGGGTCCAAATGAGCAGCGATCGCTGCAACATCTTGCAGATCTTGCAGTGGGCGCCGAAGGATCAGTGGCTGCTAACTCCGGTTCACCCCCGCCGCCTGCACTAGCATCGACTGACAATAATTTGAATGCTACTTCGCCAAATCTAGGACCCGTCGCGCAGCCCCACGGTCGTGTCGTGGTTGATTTCACCCTGCTCACTAAGGAAGGTTATCTTAATGTTTTCTCTGGCTTGATCTATCGTCGACCTCGCTAAGGCCGCGTTTCCGAGTTGATCGAAGTATGGGACAATAAATTGGACTTTATTATTATTATGTGCGGGTGTGTGTATCTTCAGTATTATTTTCCAACCTGCTGTTTACTCTCACCTATATGGGATCGAAGAGGGCGAAACAAAACAAAAAAAAGAGTAGCCTTACTTGTTAATGGGTTTTGGTAGTTAGCGGGGATTTATGGATTTTGTTTTCGAGTGCCTTCAGTACCAATTTGTTAGGAAGTATCTCTTTTTACCTCTCATATTGTAGCCGTTGGACTAAGTAGAACAATTTTCCGATCATCATGTATCCCTCGGAGACATGGAATCATTGAATGTAGAGGCACACAAACAATGGGAAAAAAATAAAAATAAAAAATAAAAAGGACTTGTGCGAGAAAAGAAGCAAAGATCGATAACCTATCTATTTCCCTAGTGCAATCCGTCTCCATATTCCTTCGACATCCTCACAAAGCCGGATGAATGCATCATCCTCGATATGCTGGCAAATCCAACCCTCTAGGAGCTTTGTCCGCTCCACGGTGGGTGTCGACGAGTACGAGGAGAGGGCTGGCGTATGATATTGACTGTACTTCCCTAGTGGTTCGGTGCTCTTGCTGAGTGTATTTTGCAACGCATGGATTTGTTGGATGGGGTTCTCTGTGTTTGGTGGATCGGAGCATTGTAGGGAGGAAGTCTGCGGTAAGGATCCTGCGGGATTGTGTGGAGACATGCTATTAGATGGTTGTGAGAATGAAGGAAAGCTGCATTTGGGCGTGACGGGTTTGGGAGCTAGAGCTACTGGCTTGGTGTTGTTCGGTTCGGGAAATATATAGGCTGATGATGGTGCGCGTGTTTCAGGTTGATGCTGGAAGTCAGGAGCTTAATAGTCTCGGTTAGTATCGCAAATAGGTGGGAAGGTAGATGAAATTTGTTCTAGATTGATAGAAAGATATTCATTGCTAGTGTTCATACCTGTACTCGGTGCTGTCTCAGAATGCTTGGTTGATCGTTGTATACCCGTGCGCGACCTTTTAGCAGCTGGTTTGGAAAACGGGAGTTCTCTTTTCGGAGGCAAAATGTGATCTAATGATTGTATGTCATAGGATGTTGTGGCAGTTGAGAGTCTGTTGATGGGTTTATTGATATTGTTTTGCTCTGGTGCACGATATATGGAATGTGTTGCCTCTTCAGAGGATGCTATCTTTAGAGCATGGTTTTGATTGCCCCTGGTAGCTCGGATATCTGTGGGCATAGGGATGACAGTGCTTGGTGACGAGGGGGTTACTATGGAAGTTTCATGTCAGTTAGTATATGCGTTGTTACATCTCGCAAGGGACGCAGAATGAATACCGGCAGTCACACTGGATACAGCGGTGGATGGTCTCGCGGTCGACGGATGCGCTGAGACGAGTGGACTGTTGGAAGCAGGGAGATCAAATAGTGAGGAGCCACACGAAGGACCTTTCACCGCAGATACGGAGGACAGTTGTGTCTGGGTAGTTGTCGCAGTCCGCGCCTGTGACGTTGGGCTTACATTGGCCTCGGAAAATGGGCATTCAATCTCGCTAAGAATAGATAGCGCCGTATAATAATCACGGTTCGTAGAAAATTTGACTTGGAATCGGCGGATCTATATCCAACATCAGAAAGGAATGCTCCTCGGTCTGTTTCGGACTGGTTGGTTTTCAACGAACGAATGTATTTCCTAATTGATATTTAACTGCAATACAAGGGAGCTTCACCACGACAGCAAATACAGATTTCGTGGGCCCGTTGGACTGAGGTAGTGTGGCCGCTTCATGTATTAGTTCTGTCAAGTCTACTTTTTCCTGCAGTATTTGATATGATAAGTCAATACTGGCTTCAAAATCATTTTTTGGGGGAGGGAGGGGAAGAAACCAGGATGTCATGGTTATGGAGCACTTTGAGAGTGACTTGACCAGAGGACGACCTCTCAAATAACCCCCAAAGGTCTCCAGTGCCAACGAGGTGATTCCAAGCCAACGGACCCCTGTGGTTGATTGAAGTAGTTGTATGAGAGAACTTGCCTAAAGATAGACGGCTAATCTGGATGAGTTCGGACTGCTTCATCGTTTGATACATGATGGTGCATTCCCTTGAGACTTGGGCGTGTGAGTGAGTGAGTGAGTGAGTGAGTATAGGCATGGGGTCATTAGGTTGGGATTGATAAAATAAAATACGGAGGACAGGTGACCTAGCATCCCAACATTTTATTCATACGGATTCAGCCTTCAATTTTCTAAAATGCTGTACCATCATCAACAGTACTTGCATTCATTTTTATTACTTATACTTGACATTTATACCAGCCTTGGTTAATATGAAGACAAATGGTACTATCGACTCGAAGATTTGCATGACAGACAACACTTCTTCAGGGACATTGTCAAAGGAGAATTGGTAGCACTGCATATTCAAGAGCTATTGTTTGGAGGGGAAATGAAATTCCCCCAGGTAAGGATTGTTGGTAATACAGCAAGCAGTGTTGTGGATAGTGTGCATTATAATAGGTATTCAAATAAACCAACCTTAAAATATATAGCAATTGGAGTCATACTTCATAGCCGGTCCCCAATACATATGTAAAGCCATGTATAAACCAAAGAAACAATTAATTTATCACATAGTAAACACATTTAAGCATAACATCGTAGATTAACACCTCTACCAGACCCCTACCCCCACCCTTGACCTATCTAAATCAACTATACATATTCCTTCGCCAAATACCCCAAGTCCTCATGCAACTCCTTCCCAGCTGCCGTGGCATTCGTGACCCCGACGAGGAAATAAACCATCCTGGCTGGCTGACTATCCGAAACATTCTTCCAACGATGCATACCAGCCCGGTTCACCGACACATCTCCAGGATACATGAGCCTCTTCTCACCACTATCCAGCGACAACTCCATCACGCCATGTGTGACAACGCCATATCCGAGACCGATAGAACGGTGCAGGTTCGACTCGACCCCAGGTGCAAAGTCGATGGTGCGGATTACTGAACCTTCGGGATAGTTTAACGGTGGCTATTCAGTATAATTAATAAACGTTCCATTTCACTTTATATTATAGTGATGCTGCGTCCAATGATGGATCTGCGTACCTTGTTCTCCATGGAAAACTTGATGTCTTGATCATCTGTCAAGTCCACCGGGTTGGACTTTGTGCTGTATGGGATATTCTGCGCTGCAGCTCCTTCGACCATAATGGCGGCATGGTCACCCTTGTCAGAGACTAGAAAGACGGACTTTCCCTCTGTGTTGTGGCCAACAATATAGCGGTTCTGTTCTGGAAGACCGGGCGCTGGGAATCCGGTAACCGGACCTCCGTGAGACATGGCTAGGGATGGACTTGGTGAGAATTAAAAACTAAAGAGAGGCAAGAATGGATGATTGGAGCTGATCAATGCGGATAATATGATTCTGTGAATGTATATTCACTGTCTCTACTATTCCTTTTTGATATATAGACAATGAATTACTTCGATGAGAATAGCTCCGTTGTCAGACTGAATTTAAATCGCTGTTCAAACCAAGACAGGTTCTTTGTTTATGGTCTGACTGTGCCCCGCCTGCCTTCTGCTATTTTGGGCTATGTCGGACACTGCCAGGAGCCGAGCGCTCATCAAAGAGGTCTTAATTTTTAATCTACATGGCCCGGCGGGGAATGTACACAGTTTGAGCACTGTGGGTCAGCATGGAGAAACCACATGGGGGCGTTAAACTAAACCCCCGGGCCATAGGGTGGCATGTCACCATGTGGCGTTGGCTTCTATCCACTGCCCTGTTTTCAGCTGAATCAACCTATTTATAAAGAAATGGTACCTGGCGATGCAATTCAGGCAATACCGTGGGAGATTCTAGTGCAATACCGAGTCTGAAATTTTCAAATGTGGAATACACATCCGACACGGACCTTCCCGAGGGTCCTGGTATCAATCAGACGGCATGCGGTGGAGTCGAGAACAAACTACATCTCGAACACCAGGATCTTGGGAAATTTGCCATCCTCCTAGACAGCCAATGGCAATATTTCCAAAGTCAACAACCTTGTAAAGAGTCTATACGCTAGTGTCCTGCAGGGGGTCTAGTTCAGGATCATTCAAAGAATCTGACAGCCAGATGACATCCTATGATTGCGCCATGCAGTCAACATAAGCGACGTCCAGGATTTAGTATCCTAGGCCTTGTGGTTGGCTCTAAGCATCGGGGCAACATTCTTGGAAGATATCACATGAAGGGTTCTAAACGGCTTATTCTGCGAGTAGCCCGTCCACTAGGTGCACTGTCATATATTTCTGGGGCCAGAATCGTAAGCCCTCAGTCTGTAGAAGATTATTCAGTCGTTTATCCTACCAGTGTGGTCCTCATTTGGCCCCCAAGAGGTCACGTAAATTCTATTATTGGTCTTGATACGGTCGAAATACCTCCCGACTCTTCGGCAGAAATATTCCAAAGTGTGTTTTCGCCCCTATCTCACTCCCTGAGTCTTTTCAAGTTCAAAAATATAATGGTCCGGCAACACTGACCCGCCGGTGCATCGCATGTGATTCCATGGGATTTTGAAAATAATACATTCCAAACATCGAATTTCGGACTCCCATAATTTGGTCCTTATTGGGTATAGTGTGGTTCATGTCTGTTACTTGTGCTCGTCCTGCTTTTCAACAATCTCCTCCCCTGGCTCTTCCGTTGTAGGCTCTGCGGTGTCCTTCTTCGTTTGTACGAAGAGTTTCTCTCTCTTCATAAAGAGAGATAGTACAACAGTAAAGGCCCCAGCGGCTACAATCATAAAGTATATATTACCGATAGTTGAAACCAATGCCTTCTGCACGGCAACCTGTTGAGCAGAGTCAAGGGACTTGAAGAAGGGTCCTCCGGCGCCGCTAATGGCCCGTTGAATCAAGCTGATGTTCGCATCTGGCAGGATTTTGGCGATTTTGTTTGTTGCCTGGTTAATGAAGATGCTGTTGGAAATTGTCAACCCTAGGGCAATACCTGCGATCTGTCCGCAGCCAATGAAAGCAGTTGACGAGGCAACTTTTGAAGGGCCAACTTTAGCCTGCGAAACGGGAAAGGATGCTTGTGAGTATAACCCGGTTCCAAGCGCCAGTATCACGCTGTAGCCGTAAATCCTCGACGTGCTGGATTCCAGGGTAATAGTGTGCATCAGGGAGCCACCTATGACCACTAGAATACCGCCCACAAGGTACCAAGGCATGTAGTATCCCACTATCCCCATTAGAATACCGTTGGAGATAACGGCAAAAACCATGATAAAGACAAACGGCAAGAGCCGGACACCTGCCTGGGTTGCGGAGTCTCCAAAGACAAACTGGAAATAAAGGGGGATGAAATAAACGGGCACAAAGGCACATGTAACAGCGGCTGCCACCAGGGCAAAGAAGATGACCTGTTCGTACGACTTCAGAAACTCCAGGGGGAAGAGACGCGTTTCAGGAGTCGTCAAAAATACTTGTTGAAGTCCGAATAAGATCCATAAAACACCGGAGCAGACGAAAAGCCCAATGATCCTTCCACTTCCCCATTCGAACATAGCACCCCCGAAGGAAATTGCCATGATTCCGGAGACAAACGCCCCTGCACTGAGAACCGCACCTGGTATATCGAGATATTTGATGCGGTCTTTGATAGATGCTCCTGGCCTGGGATCGTGCGTTTCGATGAGCCATAGATAGATGGGAGCGGCTAAAGCTCCCACACAAAGGTTGATGTAAAAGCTCCATCGCCAGGTTGCCTTGGAGTCGGCAAAGGCACCTCCAATAATAGGTCCAAGTCTATCATAATGTTAACAAGATGAGACAGATTTACCCAGGATTCCTCTGGCTTCATACACTGTCCCAATACCCCAGGTCAAGCCAACAAATCCAAGGTAGCCAGGCCGCTCCGCTTCAGTCGTGCTGTTTGAAAGAATATTGATTGCGCCAAGGTAGATACCGGATCCCCCTATGCCACACAGTGCTCGTCCAATGATCAAGGCATTCATTGTGGGCGCAGCACCGCATACTGCAGAGCCGACTTCGAACAAGATGATCGTAACTATGAAAGACTTCTTAGCCTCCAACTGGGCGAAGACCTTTCCCCTGAAGCAGTCGTTAATATGGGATACATCTTTTCATATGGCTCAGTCAAAGGTTTCCTTGCGTACCATACTAGATTGACACTGACTGCACCAAGAGCGAACGCAACTGAGATCCATGGAAGCTTGTTTATTTCACCGAATGAATCGATAATCTTGGGCTGCACATCTGCGACAATCGTGTTGTCCAGTGCGAACAGAAATATAGCCGATAGAATCGAAAAGATTACAAGAACCCACTTGAAGCCCGTTACTTTGCGTGGTAGCGGAGCTGGCTCCGAGAGACGTCTTTCCATGCTGTCGCTGGTCTTTGTGGATTCGCTAGCAGCCATGATGACTAAACGAAACCTAAAGACAGGAATCGCTTTAGTTGCAGGAGAGTACCAAGGAGGATGAGTCTGTGGTCAAAAAATGTCAGGGAAGGATGCGGACATGGAGGACGACCGATGAAAATAAAGTCTAGAGGGACTGTACATTTTTCCGCCCAAGACAAGAAAGAGATCATCTTAATGTTAAAAATATATCATACAACAAGTACCAACAAAGAAAGAGCCTCGTTGTAGTGTCAGGATCTCTATCGTGGTCCGCTATGGATGCTTACCTACGCATTAGATATCCAGAACCCTGTCGAGGCCGGGCAGTTTCAATGCACCGTCCCCGATACTTTGTCACGACGCAAGGTATTCAAAACTGCGAAAGATTGGTATTTTTACCTGCTGTATCGACGTACCAACTAGATATTTTCAGGCCTAGCTTGGTGGATTGAGGCGCCTGTTTGGGTAAGACTAACGATATCATTCCGATGACTGTGTTATGTATACTAAATCTGGCAAGCACACTGCCCTTTGCCCTGATTTCGGTGGATGGTTGGTAAAGAGGAGTAAAGATGGATCCTGCACACCTGCCAAGTCCCTCAGATCTCTTCTACTCCAATAGCTGCTCGGAGACCCTTGTCTAGTATGGAGAGCTGGCTTTCTTCAGGCTGTGTGAAGAATCCCGTCCATACATTGTCATGCTTAGCATATAATGAAATATAATAATTCATTCTGCGGATGTCAGTGCTTTATATTCTATAGGTAAGTAGGCAATGCCACGTCTTTTACCCTTCACGCTAAACATTCGACGTGCATGTAACACGAATGTATACCAGCACAGACTGGTTGATCATTAAACGCTGATAATGGAATCTCTATACAGGAAGCTATTTTCGCCCCCCTCCTTCCCCTCCTTTCGTCCACACGGCACAGTCAGCACTGTGAAGTCCTATGGAGGTGACATTGAAGGGCTGAGTTTTGCAACCACCATCCAGGCTGTTGAAAAACAGTGCGTGCGAAATCGCCCCCGCCAATCTCCGATAATGCATATCTATGATAATGGTTGGCTGACTGTTACCCCTCAGTGGTCGCCCACGTTGCCTATATCATATGCAAAAATGCTCAAAGATGGGGGCAGAGCTTCACATAATTCGACGAGCTTGGGGCGGGATATCCTTCAGAGAATGATTTTATAGGCCATCGCCTCTCCTGTGATGCAGGAATCCTTCTGAGTGTATCTTTTTATATCATATTTCCATTCCATTCTCCCACCTCCCGTATTAGTTTCTACTGAGCGTTTCAAGTCTTGCTGGCCATGTCTGCTCCTACCCCCCCTCTGCCACCCGATGAGGATCGATCCAGCGTGCTGTTTGGGACGGCCGTTGGGCTTCTCATCCCAGCTGGAATCATGATCATACTTCGAACCGGGGTTCGTGCCTTTATGACCAAAAATATGAGCTGGGATGATTGGTTGATGATCATCTCCATGGTATGCTTTTCTTCCAGAATGACTTGCACCGTGCGTTAACGAGTCATGAAAGCCTTTTGTCATGGGCGGAGAAATTATTTCAATTGTCTCCACACGGTATGGCATGGGGCGACATATCTTCTACCTGTCTCCGGAGGACATGGTGATGGCGCTTAAGCTCAACACCATTGCGCAACCGTTTAACGTCCTGGGCCTATTCTTCGTCAAGGCTTCAATTGTGGCTCTGCTTATACGCTTGAAGTGTAAGACTTTGTACAAGGCTATTCTGTACACGACGTTAGCCTTTCTTCTAACAATTACGATTGTCGGTGTGGTCATTGCCTTTGCTCAATGTCAGCCGTTCGAGAAGAACTGGTTTGTCCAAATGCCCGGAACCTGCTGGAGCCGGGATGTTTTCACAAACGCACTGTATATCCTCCAAGCAATTACTATTGCGACTGATGTGTGCTATATTGTTATTCCCATTTTTATGCTCTGGAATGTGCAGATGGCCAAGGCCACCAAACTCGGTGTCCTGGGCGTGATCGGGCTTGGATTTATGTATGAAACCCATTCTATACGCGTCCTGGGATAAGAAATATGGCCGTTAATGATTATTGCAGTTCCATGGTTTGTTCAATTGTCGCTATTCCTTTTGTGCATCAGTTGGCCAAGAGCGTTGATATCACTTGGGAAGTTGTTGACCTGGCAGCCATTAAAATGTAAGATTATTTAGCAGCTCCCTGAGCAACTAATGACTCGTGTTGCTGAAGTTAACTATAGTGGAGAAGCCAATGTTGCTATTATCGTCGGCTGTATGCCACCCATGCAGCCGGTGTTCAAGAAGATCAATCAGCGTTTCTTCAAACAGAAAACCGTTACGGGCAACAGCTACGAAGAACGATTGGCGCGACTGAAGCTCAAACCTGGCGAATATGAAATTCTCAGTGGCAAATCCAAAAACAGCAAAAACAGCAAAAACAGCAAAAACGACATTGATTCTTACAACCACACTTTTGCCAGCGACACCACAAAAAGGGATCCCAGCATAGACGGCCACGAGATGTATCTACTCGAAAATGGTACGGCCCCTGCCGGGCGAGCTCATGAATAAAAAACCCTGATATGTCTGCTTTCTCGTTTCTTTCTTCCGGCTAGCTTTTCATCTTATTACTTGCCCCAGTTATTGACTACTGGCACGTGCTACGTGGAAAAGTGGATTATGTACACAACAGTTACTGGTTGGCTATCCTAATGTAAATATACTTTGATTGTTGATGCGGAATTAATTATATTATATTTTATCTTATTTTATTTTATTTTATTTTATTTTATTTTATTTTGAATTTGCAGGATCAATATTGTCGTGCATATGCATCTAAAGTGGCAATTCACCCAATGTTGGCCCCACGGCTTTACGGTACTAATCACGGCCCCAAGCGGCACTAAATTAGTGCTACAGGAGTTGAGGACCACATAGTAGTAATGAAAAATACTAGTGCGCTTAAAAGTTTTCAAAGAACATTTCTACTATGCTTGGTACTAAATACACCGTGCCCAGGAATGACAGCCATCTTGCAGCCCTTGGAAGGACAACAAAAAACACACTACTTATATGGAGTACGACACGACAAATCATAGATTCCAAATACACAGTACTGCCACTCAGTAGCCTACGTAACGCAAATTAATTAACTTGATACCTTGTAGACCGGTTCGTAGCACTACTAAGCTCCATTCTTGATACTACATCGGAGTACTCCGGTCCTCCTGCAGATATTCTAAACCGTCAGATAATTGCAACAAGACAGCCTCTCATTGTAGTGTTGTCCGTGCTTGTATTAGTACAGTATTCCAATTTATCTCACCCATATCCATATCCCGTTCCTCCCATCACAAAACCTTTATCAATTTAGCATCAGAATCAAAATTCCCACTAAGAAAAGGTACCAGATGCGTTATAGCACCCACAAAAGCGTCCGTAGTCTGAAAAGTCTGGTGAGTAGCGAGTGAGTCCCAGCCCACGAGAGCAACATAGGCGGACACATCGACCCTGATAGTGGGGTTGACAGCCTTCCCCTGGTGCCATCCACTAGTGGCGTAGAGTTCCCCCGACGCCGACTCCACGGCTGATTTGAGCGTTCCGAACGCCGACTCGAAGTCCGTCAGATTCTGCGGACTTGCACCGGGAAGCAAGTAGAAGATGGCTAGCTCGGTGTCGCCCGCGGTGTTGAGTGTCCTCAATGGCTGAGGCTGGTCAAATGGCACGATGTATTGTCTTATGGTGCCGTCTTGGATGTGTCTTAGGGATTTAACTGCGTCAGAGGACGTGATTATTTTCTCGACTTCCTTGCCCGCGGAGCTGTTGTCCACATCTATGTGAGTGAGAATTTAGTCCAATGTGGAGTGAAATGTATGGATGGATGTGTTTATTGGTCGGGTCGTAAGTACTGAGGCTGCATAGTAGTACGTACCAACAAAGAGATCAATCGTGTGCTTGTCGCCGCTCTCCGGGGCGTACGAGATCCCCAGAACCCCCGGGGATTTTTTGTACGTGTTCATCAGACATGTCCAGGCCGGTGCGCTAGGAATAGTAGCGGATACTTTGATTGGAATTTGTAAAATCAAAGTCTGGCCGTATGTCCCTGCTGCCGAGGTTGGTGGACAGAGACAAGCCGGTAGAAGCCAACCCAACAACGAGCAAACTTTACTGGGTAGCATATCGTCTTCTGGAATTACCAGATGGAGGCCAAAGTATAGAAAATTCGAAAAAAAAATTCAAGACAGAGATCTCTGGGGCTGGTGACAAAGTCAAGAGAATATACAATCTCTCCTCGAGAACACCATCACCTTTTAAACTACACCTAGTTGCTTTGCGTGCTCTTCTCCTTTGTTTCGCATTCTTCCTGGTGTTGTCCACTGGCGTTGTTTAGCGATGGGGATCTGAGATGAGTGGTTCACGCATGGAAAATACGAGGGCAGAACTCAGGCTGAGCACTAATATCAAGCAACCATCGTGACGCTATTCCTTCAGGATGCGATGGGCGATAGAATAGCGAAATATTTATATATAGCTTGGTTCACCATGTGGAAGAAGAAATGGAAAATACGTCACTTAGTTTTGATGGTTCTCTGCAATCCCTGAGACCTGTTAGAGACGGATCGTACTATATTAATTCAACAGCTCATGCCACATGGACGACGGAAGCGAGTTTAGAAAATTGTGAGTAGAACCTTGCTCTGTATAGTAAGATCGTCTAAGCTTCCCCTTTGGCGTGACTCCTGATTACTGCTGGGTAACTTAGTTGCCCTAGGAAGCCTAGAGTTTGCTACACTTCCAGGTGGGATATGGGGGCGGTTCAGTTGCACATGGTACCAAGTATCACCAGGTTGAGTCATGTCGGTGGGGATAATCATATAAATGTCTCTGATTCCGCGATTTCAGTACGACCAGACGAGGTTTCAGTCAAATCAGTAGAGAATACCACGAGAGATTACAGGTTTAATAGTCAGACCATTGTCCCTCTACGTGACCACCAGAAGTGCAATCATGGCGACACCAGCATACGGTAAATTCACGTCAGGGTCAAAAGTTGCTGCTACTTTTGCCGACCGCATACAGGGAAAAAACAGTATGACTACTCTCTACACTCCGTGCGTTTGAAGAATGAGTACTGAACCAAATTCCGTACAGTACTCGTGACAGGCGGCAGCACAAAAGGTCTGGGTGCCACTACCGCAAGAATATTGGCTGCTCATAAACCTGCTACTCTTATCGTGACTTACAGATCAAAGCCCAAGGTAGAAGACGTGCTGGCTGAGTTGGAATCTATTTCACCAGAAACCAAAATCATCGGCATTGCCTTGGACTTGAGTGATCTAGAGTCAGTTTGCGCTGCTGCCGAGAAGCTGAATCAATCGATCAGCCACCTTGACATTCTTATTAATAATGCCGGTGTCATGTCCGTCCAGGACCGCGAACTGACCAAATTTGGCACTGAGATGCAGTTCGGCGTGAACCATATTGGACATTTCTTGTTCACCAACTTGATTATGCCCAGATTACTGGCAGCCGCAGAGAAGAACCCCCCCGAGGCCACCAGAATCGTCAATCTCACTGGAGGTTGGCACAAATTTGGCCCCGTACGATTTGACGACATAAATTGGGAGGGCAAACCGATCCCCCCAGATCAAGAGCCAAACAGGGACGTAATGGCCAAGTTTGGGGTACGAACGGACAGCGACTATATTCCCGAGGCTGCTTATGCTCAGTCGAAGACGGCCAATATCCTGTTTACAGTCTCGCTTAACAAGCGTCTGAACGGTCGAGGCATTGTTTCTTATGCCGTTAATCCAGGAGGTATGTAATTGTCTAGTCTCAATTCTCTTGTGTTTAATATTTTAGTTACTGAAGCTATTCTGACAGGAGTCCTGACCGAGATTGGTCGACATTTACACTTGGAGAGAGCCAAGGAAATCATCGCGTCAGGCCTGCTAGACAAGACTCCAGATCAAGGAGTATCGTCGACAATCGTTGCGGCGCTCGATCCAGGAGTTAACTGTAAGTACTGGTTTAATCATGGTTACTCTCCTCCGCTTACAATCACATCAGTAAGCAATCCGGTTTATATAGACAACTGCCAGCAAGTCCCGCCAGCTACGTATGCCAGTGATCCTGAGTTGGCGGAAAAATTGTGGAAGCTGAGTGAGGACATTGTCGGACAGAGATTTTCCTTGTAAGGTGGCCAGCATTGTAGTAAAAATAATGCTTGTACAATGTTCTTTTTCACCAGATCGTTAGGAGAGCAATGTACATAGTACCTAATAGGGTACATTATTATCTTATGTCAGACCCACACAACGTCGATGATGATAGCTGTACCCGGTATTGAAAATTACATAGCTGTGGGCCTCGCTTAGTCTAGCCTTTTTGGGTAAGTAGCTGCCAACTGTAGTTCCGCAGAAACAATGAACCAGCAGGGGAGACAAGTTAACTGCACCGCCCAGCAAGGTGGTGGGAGTCTTGTGATGCAAGTCTGACCTGATTCCTGCCTCCCCATCCTCCCACTTCCAGTCTCTCCTTCGCAAACCATCACAAGTTTTAATATCCGTACAATACGAGATGATCGAAACTCACATCGAGATCGCTGCTTCCCCCGCTATAGTGCGGGATGTGGTATGTATCTTCGGCCATGCCTGCTTCCATCTCAAGCAATGAAAGGGGCATATGCTCATACTTGATATTTTCCATCAGCTGCTTGACTTTTCCAAATACTCAGAATGGCAGAGCTTTATCAAACTGCTCGAACCAGAAGATAGCTCCAAGACTCTCCAATCAATGGAACCAGGGGACAAGATCAAATGTGACGTTGATGGCATGAAATTTACCGCGGAAATAAAGGTATACCCATCCAATAAACCAGCTTCCTACATGAGGGCACGTTCGTGGTCTCGAGAGTGGCACCTGAAATTGATAATCGTGAAAGGAAAACTCCGATAGACTGTTCCAGTGGCAGGGACCTCCTGTCTTTGGTCTGATTGCTGGTCTTCATAGCTTTCACATAGAACCAGCCAATAACGGAGCATCGACGGTGTTTAAACAGACCGAACAATTTACCGGGCCGATTTCATTCCTGATGAGCCCTTCGCTGTTGGGGAAGAAGATTTTGGGCCAGTTTCATCAATACAATAAGGATCTCAAGGCCCGGGCGGAATCATTAAACTAAGCGAGATTACAATTCTAATGTAGCGATTGATTTTTGCAGTTATAAATCATATGGGTATTACGTGTTTTTCGTTGATTTCTTATAGGATAGTCCACGTGAATTGGACCCCAAATTCGAAACACTTATCAAATCTTATATTTGGAGCTGTAATGTAGCCCCGCCATCAACGAGCAGGCCACTTCCCGTCATATAGCTGGACCTCGGGCTGCTCAGAAACATGATAGCGTCGGAAACCTCTTCAGCCTGCGCAATTCGGCCAAGTGGAACCACTCGTCGAATTATATCCTTCAGACTTGGATCCCCTTCGATAGCCTCGTCCGTCATCGGCGTGTCAGCCCAAGAAGGACAAACGGCGTTGACACGGATCTTATACGGTGCATTATCGAGAGCTGGATCATTCATTAACTAGCGTCTCCCACATCCTGTAGAAACTCTTGATTCCCTACCTGCATTCTTTACCATCCCAAGCAAGGCATGCTTGGCTGTAGTGTACTGGACTATACGGGGTGTGGCCACATAGGAATTGCATGATCCAAGGGCAATGATAACCCCTCTACCAATTTCCCTCGTGCCAGCGCGAGATGGCACCGTCAGAACATCCTGCCGTTTCATAGCTGCACTCACAGCTTTCAGACAGAAAAACGTGCCCTTCACGTTCACGCTCCAGGACCTGTCCATTTCTTCCCCTGAAGCTTCTGCAATCTCCAGGGGACTTTGAACACCAAGCTGCGGGCTGTGTCAGCTTACGGAGTGGACCTCGTTGCTCCCCACCGGGCTCAGATAGCTTCACTCACACCAGCACTGTCCACACAGTAATCAATGCGACCAACCATAGCCACTGCGTCCTGAACCATGCTCTCTACCGATTTTTCATCGGAGACATCTACTTTGAGAACATGGATATGGATAGCCGGAACGCCATTAGTCCTGCTGGATATGGCTTGTCTGCATTGCCTTGCTGTCTCGTCTGCTGCGGCCTGGTTGATATCCGCTAATACTAGCGCTCGCGCTCCCTCGAGAGAATAAGCGATGCTGACATCGCGGCCGATGCCCGAGCCTTAGATCATGTTATTCTATGCAGTCATAGTGGGGGTCATCCACATGGCGTGGACTCAGGAAAAAAAAAAAAAAAAAAGGAAAAAAAAAATCGAAATCAACAAGACTAGAATAAATAAGGAAGGACAAGACATGTATGACAGAGGTAATACCAAGTGGATAATGAAATCTTACTAGCATACCTGCGCCAATGACAAGTGCATTCCCGTGGATATCCATTGGAGGTCTATGCGCAACACACTGTTTTGAGCAGAAAGAAAAAAGCGAGGAAGAAATTGAAGTATTCTCCTTGACTAGAACTACTGAATCTTATATAACCCCAGGCTGACCGATTATTAAGCTAGATTTGGGCAGTTCGACTGATTACAGAAAATTAGACTTGAGTTTGACTCATACTATGTAGGCTACTCAGACTTCTTCTCTCGAGTCTTCTCTCCTTCCTCTACAGCCTTCCTAAGCTTATCAAAGTGGAATTCCCGGCCGAATAACCAGTCCTGATGCATGTTAACATTGGCTACGTAATATTTAAATCCAGGAGTAGTATGTGGAACTCACCCAAAATGTTCGGGGCAACAGTGCATCAAGTATGCGTGTAACTGTTGTCAGGTTTCCATGCCAAAACCACGCTGAAGGTGATTTCTTTTGCACTTCAGCAAAGACTCCAGCTGCGTATTCAACCGGTGTCATTGTGTCTAGCAGCGTCAGCATTCATATAGATTCCGTGCTGAGTTAGAATTCACTTACTAGGCGTGCGCTGCACATGGGCTTTGAACTCATCGCTCAAAGGTTGGAAGATGGAATCTGGAATCTCAAAGGTCAACAATTGCAAAACGTATTCCAGGATCTAATACTAACCAGCAGGTAACGAAGCGTCAAAATCTCTCTTCAAGATATTTGTACCAACTTCGCCCGAAATCACATTGACTACGGTGACGCTAACAAGTACATTAGTGTTTGTCCCTATCCTTCAAGGAATAGGTTATTCTGTACCCAAATGGTTTCATCTCGGCTCTAAGGGTGTTTCCATATGCATGCAAGGCAGCTTTACTTGCATTGTATGATGCTTCGATTGATATGGCTGTGGTTAGCAACCCACAGCTCATGGAAAGAAGGACAACCTACACCCATAGATATATGGCACAACACCACCTATTGAGCCTATATTGACAATGGTCCCTTTTGCATCCACAATCAAACGGTGGAAGATTTGGACCATCCTCATAGGGCCCAAAACGTTCACCGCGAACATCTTCTCAACCTGAGAGACGTCCGTATCAACAGCTGGCATGGTATACACTAGTAGACTCATACAGTAAGCCACTAGACCAGAGGTCTGCACGGCCATAACAAACCAATTCCTCTGGAGATTCAGTTAGCATAAGTAGCATGTCCAAGGAACGGGGTTTCATACGCATTATTAACCAAAACATCTAGTCTTCCTCCCGTTAGCTCTTTAGTCGACTCGAGTAGTGATTTGCATTCGACGTCGCTGGTCACATCAGCTACGAAGACATGAACCCCGAGTTTCTTTAGATGGTCTTGGGGCTCATGAGGGAGGAGTGTTGCGATGACTGTGTAGCCTGTTCATTGTGTTAGTCGACACCTATATTCGGACATCTTGGAAATGCACCTCCAGATTTGAATTGCGATGCCAGAGCGTGGCCAATACCGCCATTTCCGCATCTGTTAACTATTAAATCTGATGTTCCATACGTATAGCGTTATGTACTACCCAGTGATCAGAACGGAACGACTCTCTTCCATGTTGTTCTAAGTCTTCACAGTAGAAATCAAGTACCCGAGCTATTTCTGGTAGTTAAGAAAGGTGCTGCGTCAGAACTTGATAGACAGTCAGTCTATAGTTCAATGATAAGTATTTCCCCCGTGGCTATAGCATTCACCCTTAGCGTATCCACGATGTAAGGTGGTTCTTAGTACCTAGGACCTAGTGGCTTAGCCCCCTTTCAGCTGATAAATACCTCGTGGTCCAGCGTGGAGATCAGAATCTAGGCTTTGATTTAATATAGCATAAACAACCGTTAGAGATTGTTACGTGGGGGCTGTGTCATCATCCAACCTTCTTTCTAAATTACAGCCAGGTCAAAACCCTCCAGTCGATATTAAGTACTATTAAAAATGTTGGATTGGGGCTAAAGCATAGCCCTGCATCGGACAAAGAACAGGAACATGGAACCCTACAGGCGATAAATAACGTTTTTTCCTGATTCTCGGGATTCTTTTCATTCTGTCAGATTAATTATAATTATTTCGAAATGACGTAGCCTTCCTTGTATTTTACGGCTGTACAATATTGTTGTTTCTTTGTTTCTTTCATTTTGGAACTTCCTAATGTTTTCCCTTTTAGGGTGCTGTCATGATTCCTTTGTCGCTGATTTATATGACTGTACCTGTGGATTATATATAGCAAGGGGTATCTTCGTCCTGACCGTGTGCATTGACCCAATTGTTTGAATATAATAACCCTCTATCGTATGGCCTGTGGTCTTTATTCTATACTTGTTTAATATCATCTTTTCCCATCCCTCTATACACTCTAGACCAAGATATTTCATAGACAAACGATTAATATGAGCGTCTCTTCAGAATCCAGCTATGTAGAGGTGGAATCGCACAAGAACGAGCAGTCACAGCCCCCCCAGCACACAGAGCAGAATGGACTACAAGAACCCATAGCCATTGTCGGTCTAGGTGAGTCCTTCTAATCCTCCTCATCGAGATACATCTACTAATCATACATAAACCAGGCTGTCGTCTCCCCGGAGACATCTCATCCCTAGACGACTTCTGGGACATGCTCATCAACGGCAGAACAGGTCAATGTGATATTCCAACCTCCCGATTCAACGCGGAAGCGTTCTACCACCCGGACAAAGACCGTCCAGGGAGCATGAACACGAAGGGTGGATATTTTCTGAACGAGAATATCCGAGATTTTGAGAACGCTTTCTTCGGGATTAATAATCTTGAAGCGACGTATATGGATCCGCAGCAGCGGAAGCTGCTGGAGGTCGTGTATGAATGCTTTGAGAGCGCGGGGGCCCGGTTGGAGGATGTCGCCGGGTCGAATACGGGCGTTTATGTGGGGAATTTCACGATGGATTTTCAGGTCATGCAGACAAGAGATCCCGAGTATCTGCATCGGTACAGTGCTACGGGCATGGGGACGACGATTTTGAGTAATCGGGTCAGCCATGTTTTCAATTTAGTTGGTCCAAGGTTAGTTCTCTTTTTCAGGTACCGAGGAGAGTGATGCTAATGTTAAAAGTTTGGTTCTGGATACTGCTTGCTCTTCTTCGCTATATTGCCTACACACTGCAGTCATGGCACTGCGGAACCATGAGTGTGATGCTGCGGTGGCGGCGGGTGTTAATCTAATTCAATCTCCTGAACAGCATATCGGGACTATGAAAGCTGGAGTGCTGTCGAAAACTTCCACATGCCACACTTTCAGTGACCAGGCTGATGGTTACGGACGTGCGGATGGCGTAGGAGCTGTTTATGTCAAGAGACTTAGTGATGCCATTGCGAACAAGGATCCAATCCGAGCGGTCATCCGCGGCACTGCGGTCAATGCGTGAGCATAATACATCATCTAAGTTAGATATCAGTGTCTAACGGCTAATTATAGGAATGGCCGAACCCCAGGGATCACTCAGCCAAGCTCTGCAGGCCAAGCAGCTGTCATCTGCAAGGCCCATGCGCAGGCTGGGCTGAGCCTACAGGATACTTCGTATGTGGAAGCCCACGGTACAGGTACTCCTGTAGGCGATCCTATTGAAATTCGTGCACTGGCAGATGCATTCTCTGGTAGACCTAAAGCGTCACCTTTGCTAGTCGGCTCGGTATGTATTTTATCGTTTTTCTCTTCAGTCCGTCAGCGTTTGCTCATTAGAACAGGTGAAATCAAACCTGGGCCATAGCGAAGCAGCCAGTGGCATATCCAGTATTATCAAGGCTGTTCTTGCTCTAGAACGAGGGGTGATCCCCCCAACAGTGAATATCGGCACGATGAACCCTGATATCAAGACGTACGACTGGAACGTCGAGATTGTCACGCGAAACACGCCATGGCCCTGTGATGGGTGGAATATTCCTCGAAGGGCCGGGATCGTGAGTCACTAGGAACAAAAACCATAGCTCTCAACTAACCTTTTCAGAACTCCTTTGGATACGGCGGTGCCAATGTCCACATTGTTCTGGAGGCCTCGGATATCTTCGTGCCAGCTGGATACAGCAAAAATTCCGTGTCCACCGAGGTTCTCAATTTGATCAATAAGAAATTCCTCTTGCCATTTTCTGCCTCAAGTCAGTCAGCTCTCATTGCTAGGGTGTCCACGCTACACGACAAGACGGTCAACCTGGTAGACCTTGCGTACACTTTGACGGCTCGTCGGTCAAAGCTTGCACATAAGGGCTTCCTTGTTGCCTCGCAACGCACTCTGGCGGAGGATCTCAAGCCTGAAAATTTAATCATTCCTCGCGAAACCGGTATTGACGTTTCGAAAGGATTCACTTTTGTTTTCACTGGTCAGGGTGCCCAGTGGGCAGAGATGGGCAAGGGCCTCATTGAGCAATATGCGGCTTTCCGCAGCTCTATACAGCGGTATGATGCTGTTCTCAAGTGTTTGAAGCATGGCCCTTCCTGGACCCTCATAGACACTCTAGCCCAACCAGCCAATACGAGCAAGATCAACGAAGTGAGCAGGGCACAGACTGCATGCACCGCTATCCAGATTGCTATAGTTGAACTTCTCTCTGGCTGGGGCATTGAGCCATCCGCAGTCATCGGACACTCGTCCGGTGAGATTGCAGCGGCATATACTGCTGGGTTTTTGACCTCGAGGGAGGCCATTACAATTGCTTACTACCGAGGCTATGCTGTTAGCAAATTGTCCATAAAGGGACAGATGATGGCAGTCGGATTTAGCCAGACGGAAGCCGAGGAGGAGATTGAACGCAATGGGTTAACCGGAAAAGTCACCGTGGCATGTGTCAATTCACCTGAGAATGTTACTCTGAGTGGCGACGCCGACGCAATTGATGCATTGCACTCGGCCATGGCTGATTCGAGTGTGCTTCGACGAAAGTTGCTCACCGACGGACGGGCATACCACTCCCACCATATGATGCAGGTAGGGGCCGAGTACGAAGCCCTCATTCGCAACAGCTGCACGCCTCTCGCAACACGGGTAAGGAATAAAGCCCACGTGGAATGGATCTCTTCGGTCTTTGTCACCCCGAATACCGACTCGATTGACTACTCATACTGGCGGCACAACCTTGAGAAACCGGTGCTTTTCGGGCCGACTCTGCAGAAGCTAACAGACACTCGCTCAGCGCCATTGATTGAGATTGGTCCTCATGGGGCTTTGAAATTGCCAATTAAGCAGACTCTGCAACAGGTTGGAATCACTCCTACTTATTTCCAGGCCCTAACTCGAGGAGAGTCCTCTGATCTGAGCCTTTTGAAACTCCTGGGTAGTCTGCATGTGGCCGGTGCAAATGTTCCCCTTAATATTATCAATGGTCTCGATAGCGTCGCTGCAGCCAAGGACATTAGTATTGTCGGAAAAACTGTGAAAGATCTTCCTACTTACCAGTGGACCTACGAGCAGACTCTGTGGAACGAGTCACGAGCCAGTATTGAGTTCAGGAACCGGGCATACCAGCGCCATGAACTGCTAGGCTCGATGATTACGGGTGGCAATTTGATGGACTTCTCATGGAGAAATGCCCTCAATGCAAATGATGTTCGTTGGATCCAAGATCACAAGCTGGATCGTACCGTTGTGTTTCCCGCTGCTGGATACATTGCTATGGCTATTGAGGCTCTAACACAGGCCTTGGGTAGGAAACAAACAGATGGTCTCTCCTACGAGCTGCGCAATGTCAACATCATGGCCGCTTTGACACTTTCCAATCAGGATAATATGGTCCCCGTTGAGCTATTTACCACGCTGAGAAAGCGAAATATCTCTCCGACTGTCAAGTCTAAGAAATGGTGGGAATTTCAGATCAGTTCCGTGAAGAACGGCAGATCAGCTACACATGTATTGGGTTCAATTGCGAACCATGTGCCGCATGCGCCGCTTGCGGCAGCTGTCAAACTCCAGGAGGCCCACAGCGAGCCATCAGCAGTGCGGAACTGGTATCAGAAGATGGGAGATGAGGGCCTCAACTTCGGAGACCAATTCCAAACCATGAAGACACTTCGTGTTCCGCGAGGAAGAACGGAACGCTGGGCTATTTCTGAGATTGATGTCCAGCAAAGCACTCCAGGAGGTGTTGAACAGGATTCAAAATACACCATCCACCCTGTCAGCATTGACGGTATGTTTCAGACTGCTATCATCGCCGGTGCGCATGGTGTTATCCCGGATCTTCTAGCCCAAGTCCCTGTGTCTTTTGAGAGCGCCATCATCCGCGCACCTACGGCTGCAGATTTGACCAGCAGCTACACGGTTTACGCCAACTCCCATGCAACGAGCTTTTCCACGGCTACAATCTCGACGGAGCTTCGCAAGCCTGACGGACAAGTGCATGCGCAGTTCCACGGCATGCGCCTAAGAACTTACGAAGGGGCTGCAAGCAACGCCGATATCGTCGAGCGTCAACCGATGCTTCGCGTCTGCTGGAAGCCAGATCTCGCCAGCCTTAAAACTGCACCAGATGCACTTGAAGAGTACCTCATGCGTGAAGCTGCGTTGGAGAAGCTCTCCGCACAAGTTTGTCCCTCTGAAAAGCTCTACCAGGTGCTCGGAGTCGTTGAACTCTTCTGCCATAAGAATCCTAGGGCGAAACTCCTGTACCTTCTAACGGACCCTCATGACCTTACGGCTGTTGGAGTCTGCATGAAAAGACTCGGGGTCGGAACTCAGATGCCCACCTACAGCTCGTTCTCTGTGGCCGAAATCACTGACGAGGGTGTTGTGAACCGGAGGAAGCTCCTCGACGCCAGTCCGCCATCAAAGCTCGACTCGTTGCCTGTCGACGGAACCGCGTCCACGTACGATATTGTTATCATGCCACAGGCATACCAAGACCAGCGAAAGGAACAGTTTCATCTTCTTCCGTCCCTGATCGGCCCTAACGGCCTGCTGATTATTCCGGACACCTTGCAATCGCTTCCAAAGCTGCCAACTGAAACTGAACACTCAACCACATGGGAAGCAACCAATATTTGCGGACTTGGCCTCCTTCAGAAGCGTACTCAAGATCCCAAGACAGGTGCTCAGATAGAGAATCTTGTTGTTGTTGAGGACAGGGCCGGTACTCCCCTAGGTGACGCCATTCTTTCCACGATCTCTAGCATCGCGGACTGTGTCAGTCGACTGCCGTTGGATGCGGTTTCCGAGAGCACAATTCCACCAAAGTGTACTGTTGTGACGACCATTGAGACGAACCAGCCATTCCTATCCACCATGTATGAACATCGGATGACGCAGTTGAAGATTATCACTAACCGTGCCTCAAACGTCATTTGGGTGAACACCTGCGGCATGCTTCAGGGGAAGAACCCCGACATGGCCCTTGTCGGTGGTCTTTCAAGATCACTGATGCTAGAACAGCCGTCTTTGAGCTTCTACACATTAGACATGGATGGTAAAACGACGTTCGATGTCACAGCGAGGCATATAGCTTTCATCCTCTACCAGAGTGTCTTGTCGCCTACAATTGACTACGAGTTTGTTGAAAGTAATGGCCTTCTGTACATCAGCCGTTTCTTGCCTGACTATGCCTCCAACGAAAGATTCCAGCAGACACAAGGCAAGCACACCGTCCAGATGGAACTCCAAGAGGCGGGTGACTGCAGCCTCTTCCTTCAAGGAGCTAGCCAGGTGCACTCCCTTTGTTTCAGACAGATCTCGGGTCGACCCCAGTTGAAGGACGACGCTGTGGAGGTCGAGGCTATAGCCCACGCCGTTAATGCAGCGGACAGCCAAGTGGTCCATGGAAAGGCAGAGACAAAGCAGTCAACCTGTGCCACGGCCTTCACGGGTATTGTTAAATCAGTCGGCCGTGCAGTCACAGATCTTGCTCCAGGGGACCGGGTAGCTGTGATGGCACCTAATCAGTTCCGTCTTATCGATCAAGTCCCTTCATGGGCCTGTCGGAAACTTGAGTCCACAGAAAGTCCCGTCGAGCTAGCAACTATCTTTGTGCCCTACGCGACAGCTCTGTATGCCCTTCATGACCGAGCTCACATCCAGGCTGGAGAAAAACTTCTTGTGCACATCGACTCATCTGGTATCGGACTGGCAGCTACTCGTCTCGCTGCACTTGCTGGAGTGGAAGTGTTCTGCACAGTCCTCTCCACCGAAGCTCAAGAATTTCTGGTTAAATCCTATGGGATGGACGAGAAGCGAGTCTTCCTCTTGGACGAGTCGTCCTACCTCGCAGACATCTTCGAAGCAACCGACGGTCGCGGCGTTGATGTTGTGTTCAACTTGCTTGGCGGCGACCTGCTCCACGACAGTTGGCGCGCATGTGCTGATTTTGGACGGTTCGTGGAAATTGGTAATCGCACTGCAGAGGGGCTGGATATGAATTTCTTCGCCAAACAGCTGACCTACACTGCATTCGACCTTGAGCACTTATACTACTCCGGTAATCCTGCTGTCAAAAGGAAATGGTCCAGGTGAGTGACGTGAATGAATGTTCATATATATTTGGTAAGAGGCCATGCTGATTATATTTTTTCACAGCCTCGTGCAAAATGTATTGGAGTTGTACAGGGAAGGCTGTATTCCGTTCATTAAGCCCTTGAAGGTCTTTGATATCTCCGAGATTTCCGAGGCCTATCACTATGCCAGCGCAGAGAATCGGCTCGGCGGCGTGGCAGTTACACTAGAAAACCGCAGGTCCAAGATTGATGTATGTCTATTGCGTGTTGCATTTACCAGTGCACCGTATGCTAACCCTCAGAAGGTTCTGCCCTTGAAATACGCCACCCAGCTGTCTCCCGAGAAGACCTACTTCCTGGTTGGCTGTCTCGGTGGTCTGGGTGCATCTCTCGCCAAGTGGATGTTTGCGCGCGGAGCACGCAAGTACGTATTTCTGGGACGATCGGGGGCGGACCGACCTGCCGCGCGCCGTTTGGTCGAAGACCTTCAGTCACTAGGCGCCGCAGTATCGGTGGTCCGCGGAGATGTAGGCAGCATGGCGGACGTCCAACGGGCCATCGATGGTATCGAGGGTACCCTTGGCGGAGTGGTCCAGGCAGCAATGGGTCTGAGCGAAGCTCTCTTCACGACTATGACGAACAAGGCCTGGCACACTGGCATTGGTCCCAAGCTCCGGGGTAGCTGGCATCTTCATCAGGCAATTGCCGCGCGCGAGAAAACCCACCCTCTCGACTTCTTCCTCATGACGTCGTCGGTTTCCGGCAGCGTTGGCACCGCGACGGAGAGTAATTACTGCGCCGCTAACCATTTCCTGGATGCTTTTGCCCGGTACCGTCGCGCTCAGAACTTGACCGCGACCTCCCTTGGATTGGGCATGATCTCGGAGGTGGGCTACTTGCACGAGAATCCGGAGATCGAGGAACTTTTGCTGCGCAAGGGCATCCAGCCCATTAACGAGGAGGAACTCCTGCAGATCGTGGACGTCGCTCTGAGCCAGAATGCCAGCACGCCGGGCTTCCTGCGGGCCGATCCCCTAGCAAGCAGTCATATTCTGACGGGACTTGAACCACTGGCCCTCAAGGGTCTGCGAAACAAGGGTTTTGACGTGAGCAACCCCATCCTCTCGGACCCACGTGCGTCGCTGCTCGCCACTACGATCGATGGTCTGGCCAGTGGTGACGACAGTCTCGGCGCGGTAGGCGCCATTTCCGCCGAGCTCGCCCAAGCGCTAGGGGAGGCGGGGGAGAACGCCCCTCTCCGAAATACTGTTGCTGCCCTCGTTGGGAAGCGGTTCGGCAATTTGATCCTGATCCCAGAAGAGAAGCTGGATGTGAAGCAGCCACTGTCCACGTATGGTATGGACAGTATGCTGGCGGCGGAGTTCCGGTCCTGGGTGTACAAGGTTTTCAAGGCAGACGTGCCTTTCCTAGATCTGCTGTCGCCAACCACGAGTCTAGACTCGCTGATTGATGGGGTAGAGAAGGAGGTTATTGGACTACTGGGATAAATGGGGGGCGTATTCAATAATGGCTGTGTTTTGATGTTTGTTTCGTTGGACACTTGTTTACCCGTTCTCTTAGCAAGCAGCAATGATTAACTAATGGCATGACTCATTCAGCATATCCCAGCAGGCTTGGAGTCAACCACTGCGCGAATGGATCTCGCTTCGGGATTCCCCCAATCCCCCCATCACGACATAGCATTCACCGTCTTGGGCAATGAGGCGCAGGGTAAAAGCTAGGATATCCACAGCGGCCCGAACAGCGACTCTAGGCAACTCTCAGCCAATCCATCTGGATAGTTGCAAACCGTCGAGACCGTCTTCATCTAGTGCCAGTCCGCGGATACCAAAAGTCGAACCGTCTGGGGATAGGAGGAGGAATTGAATCCACTCTGTCGATGAACCGTTGTTACCTTTCTCCAGTAGCCTGAGAATGATCATCACATTCCTGCAGATGATGATACATACTGGTAGATGCAAATATTTAGAAACTGATGGAAAATGGAATTGAGAATATAGAAAAACGCCTGACTTGGCGTGGACGAAGCCGCTCCAAGCACACCGGCGCTGATTGGCGGAAGGGTGGGCCATTCACGTGCACAGGAGGCCCACCTGACCGCCTGCAAAAACCCCAAAAAGGAAGGCATGACGCCATTAAGCATCCCACTCGGTTGTTTTTTTTTTTTTTTTTTTTTCTCTCTTTCTCTGAGGTACGAAAGAATGCGGATATTGGTTGTGGATAATAATATTTAGCAGATCAATATGTACAAAACTCTATGATATTGTCCACGCTGCTCTGTAGTCATACTGCATAGTTGGAATACGGCATAACACTGAAAGTTACCGATATTCTCTTCGGGTTTCTAGTAGAATCTGAGTAACCATAGATGGCCATTTCGAACCATCCGTGGCTCATCGAGGGCCCTTCCATGGTCCAATCCCAGTGCCTGTGACGCAGCACGTTTCCCACGCCTATCGGTCCCCACGGAAGATCCGAAATATTTTCTAGAACGAGAGTGGTAGTCCTAGGACTTGATGTCGACCGTATCGTACACTGGAAGAAGGTACTCTGTACTCAAGAAGACGTGCACACTATTTTCGGAGAATAAATTGGAAGATGAAATTCGGTCTGAGATGATAGTCTAGGTCAATACGTAGTGACATCCCCAGTCACCGGGCCGGTTCTGCCCCAGAAATCTCGTAAGAGGATCCATCGTCCATGAACAGAGTTTGGTTTAGTTCGTCTCCGTGCGTTTTTCTCCAGGATAGGCTCTCAAGTCTCAAACCATCGTGAGATGGAAACCCTAAGACTTTACTCCTTTAAGCAGGTTGACAAAATCCAGCGTAAATCGCGGCTAGAGTAGGTAGTTCGCTCCTGGGTATTCTCGTCTGGGATTACTTGATGAATTTGACGAGCATGCGGTGGAAAGGAGGTTTCTGGTCCCTTGCGTGGATTGACCCCCGTACTGCGACGTAACTACATATGGGTCGGTATGCAGGTCGACACCTAGAGGACATACTTCTGTTCTCCAGAGTAGTTCTACACCAGCCATTGGTATCTATTACCTAAAGTTCTGGTCCATTGGAGAGACCAATTCCCGAAGCACTATCCAAGTGCATTTACAAAAGGCAACTGCATTGGAAGAATCCATGGACTGTCACAGGCTGTGCAAGAAAGAAAATATACTAGAATAAGACGAAATAGAAATAATAATATTAAAAATAAAAATAAAACATTGTGTGAGACAACCACACGAGGCTACGCAACTCGGTACCATTTCCCCGTATCGGTACCCGTACTGTATGGTAATCCTCCAGGAACACAAGTTCTTGGTACCTGGGCAGATGCCTCCCAGGTACTTCTTAGGTAACCAGGAGAGGATTCCATTCTTGGGGGGTTGGCAAGCGACAGATTTAGGTAATAAGAGAATAAGAGAGATGTCCAGGGAATTAAAATACCCATTTATGATTGTTTTATTTTCCAGGTATTTATAGCAGCGCTGCAATCCTCGATCCAGAGTACAGTATGGATACCAACGACTCCGGCCGGGCACAGCGACCATTAATGCAGGCGTCTCCCTTGCGACGAGTCCAACTTTCACTCTCCTCCACTTCCCGCTCCCCTCTTTTTTTCTCCTTTTCTTTCCCTTTGTTCCTCTCTTGTTCCTCCTCCTTTCTCTCCTCTCTTCTTCTTCTCTCATCTTGTCGCACTGCGAGACCTTCGGATCGATCGCTTTTTCCCTCTCTCTTGGCCGCCACAGCCGGTATTTGGTGTCCTGTCTCACGGCCGGCGCCAAACGGTGCGTAGGCTTTGGCCCCCCGCGTATTGTCGTCAGTTGAATTGGTCGTGATTTCTTTTTCTTCTCTCTACCTATGTCTTGGGCTTCCTAGTTCCCGATTCGACTCCCTATCCGTCCTCTTCTCGTCGTCCCCAACGCTACCATCAATCAATCACCACCATACCTTGACCTGTTCCTGGTTCTTGGGATTGTCCGCCACTACTACTATACACTTCTCTCTTCTCACCCTTTCGATTGAAAGGTGATCTTTTACGGCTCACTCCCGTTCTCGGTCACGGTCCCCCCTTTTACAGGTGAAACCGGCGTTTCTGCGACTTCCTTGGGTGCATTGGGATATTCGTTCAAGATACCCCTGCTTTGTTGGAGTTCTTGGTTCCTCGTCGGTCCGATCGCTACGACGGACCGCACTCCTATACTGCCAACCTTCGCCTTGACGGCCCTTTCGTTTATCACCCCGACAGGTCTTCCTGTTCGGCTGATTAAAAACCTTTCTGTTCTTTTAATATACAATTGAAAAGCAACCCCAAAGAAAATCACCAAAAAGATACGCTCCAGAGAGACCCACCTGATCAGGTCCCTCTCGTTGCATTTCGTCCACTTACAATTTTCTTTTTATACCTTGTCGCGAATCATCGCATGTTTGCTACCCAGTAACCGCAGCGATGCTCATCGATGGCGAGAAGTGGGCTTGTGAAGCTTGCGTCCGGGGTCACCGTGTCAGCAGCTGTCACCATAGTGGTACGTAAAACCTCAGTGAAAATGGAACTGGAGTCCAAATTATTAACGGACATGTATCCTTCAGACCGCCCCCTGACCCACATCAATAAAAAAGGCCGCCCAGTCTCTCAATGCACTCACTGCCGCGGCCTACGCAAGTCACGGACAACCCACACCAAGTGCGAGTGTGGTGACAAGAAAAAGAATAGCCACAAGCATGATTCGGATCCCCACGCCGTTGACAAGCGGGATCTAAAGCGTGAGCATGTTGGCGATGGTACACTGGTTCATTGTTTTCTGATCTGGATTTTACAGAGGACTCCCGTCCAAGATGCGCCTGCACTCATGGATTGCGTTGCACCTGTGCGCTGAAAAAGGAACCCCACCTAGATCCTGTCCCGGAGACGGGCCTCCCTCCGCCGGCACATGCCATGTTGTCGGAGCCCCCGAAGAAGCCTCAATTGACCTCAACCAAGTCCGATACCTCGCTGACCATCTTCCGCGATGGCCACCACAAGCCGGCCCACAAGCACAATGACATGGCCCACAAGTGCGGACTTCCCTACACGATACCCCGGTCCCACACCATCCACTCCACGTGCGACGTGGCCCGGCGGTCAATCGACCATCTGCCTTTGACCCAAGCGACCCTGATGAACGAGGCTTTTCCCAATCTCCCAGACCAGATGCCCTCCCTTGGTCCCCAGCGCCGCGTCAAATCCGAACATGGCTCCCCCGAGAGTGCCCCGGTTCTAGCCACGGACGATGTCCCGACGTCCGTGCCCCCGCTTGATCTCTCGTCCTTTTTCCCCCAGGCTCAACCCTTGGATGAGTCCGTGGATCGTGTCGCGCCAGAACCGGTTTCGGTGCAACCGCTGAATCAACTCGTGACCAGTATGCCGCCACTCGACGTCTCGTCATACGCCACCTTCTCGACGACGGCTACCTCCCCGGTGAACTGCATGGCCTTCCAGGATCCCTACAAGGATTCCTACTTCACGTCCCCGGATACTGAGCTGCCGCTGAGCTCCACGGGATTCAGCGCCCCCCCAGTGGATTGGTCGAGTTTTCCGCTGTACTCCTCGGACGTTCCGGCCGCCACCAGCACCCAGGCTCCGTCCTACGCCAGCTTCGATTACAACTCGATGGGCCCGGGGCTGCCCGCTCCTTCGTCTTCGGGTGATATCTCGGAGGTGGAGGATTTCGGGTTCTCGGGCCTCGGGAACGCGGGCGGTGATCTGCACGACCTCAATAGCGGAAGCGAGGGGTCGGATATGGAGAATTTGCGCATCAGCTCCGCGTCATCCTTCATCGGACTGCCACAGGCGCAGCTCCTGTCATCGAATCACCTGGAATCGATCGACATCGACGACTTCCTCAAGTCCGCCAACGAGTCCACTGCAGCGCTAGAGCACCAGCTCCAGGCTAACATGGGCATGGAGTCCAAGCCGCTTCCGTCGCAGGACGGTTATGCCATGTCGGAGGCGCAGGGGTTCAAGGCGATGACGGCGGCCAGCTCGAACCTACCCATGACGACGTCTGCAGGGGAGTCCCTGTGGCCGGCAGCGTTGTTCGATCCGGGGGCGACGACGATGGATGACAGTTACTTTCCGCCACCATGGGGACAATGATCCGCAGGCGGGCAGGGGCGAGCTCACATGGCTTGCGGTCAGTTTGTGGCACGTTACCAGCACCTCACACCGTCTTTATGACCTTGATGAGAGATGATGATAAATGCCTTCTTTGTTCGATTAGCCTAGTTGAGTGTTTAGCACTCAAGAATTGCTTATTATTATTATTATTATCTTATGCGTTGTATATTCTGTTTACTAGATCGGCGGAGTCTGATCCTGATAGATCTGATAGATTTAGGCAAGAATGTCACAATTTGTCTGTAGTACATGTCGGCAGTATATATAATCTGATACGTATTTTGATCCTGGGTTCTCTGGTAGACACTGCACCGAGGTCATGGCTAGGATCAATATGATAAATGAATGCTTATTCTAATAGTACCGTTGGGTACCTACAGTATTGAGAGTTCTGTACCTGAACGGAGTTCTATTACAAGATTTGTCATGCAGATCAGAATAGGGAATAGTCTATTCTGGCAAATCACGTACCCTACCTACGGAGTACTCTGTTGATTAAATAACATATCCCTGTATAGAGTGCAGATACTAAATACTCGATACACGCCTAGGTAGCTAGATGCGTGCAGATGCAGGTCCATGAACACCGCTCATTACTCTGTCTAAGCATGTGTCTGGGTCTGGGTCTGGGTCTGGATTCTTTGATCAAATCAAAACTACATAATTTCAGACTTAGCATCCATACTTGACTATTGATTATAACGCACCATATCATGTTATAATATGTATGTGTATTACTAAGAGGATATCCCTACTTATACCTGTGTATGCAAGTATGATGTATACCTACTGTAGAGATATGCAGATCATCTGACGCATCATGCACATACACATACCTACACATAGATTCTGAAAAGTACGAGTAATGACAGCAATGCTATATGCATGTATGTCTATGTCAATATTGAGGCATTTGCCGATCAAGGGATAAGACAAGACAAGCTTTTGGTCAACGCTTGTTGGAACTTGGCTACGTGTTGTTGGGCATCCCTTGCCTCTTCCGGGTTCTGTTCGGATGCAGAGGTTGATGTACGTATGATATGGTAATTGGTAAGATATCCCCTGATTCATGTCTTTGGTATGGAGTACTCCATGCCCAAGGAATATACATACGGCACTGGAATAATAATGACATCAGTCTATTCAAAATCTCTATCTATTTATATTTGGCCATAAATTCCGAGTGGAATTTCACAATCCGTTCCACCCAGTCGGTTCCCGGAGCTAAGAACGTTGTCCGGAAGTGCAGTGTGTTTTCCTTCTGACCGAATCCGGAGCCAGGGACCACGCATACGCCCGTGGCGTCCAACAGACGCAGACAGTAGAATTCGTCCGCCGCGCGGTTCTCGGCGGCCGCGGCATCGACGGCTTTCTGTGGCAGCGTGATGCTGGGGAAGAGGTACATGGCGCCCTAGATAAGAGTTAATCATCGTCATGCACTGCACAAGGGAAAGATAGGAACAAGATAACATACCTGAGGCTTCTGACACTCTACTCCCTCCATGCGTTGGAAGGCCTCGTACAGCGCCAGCGCGCGCTTGTGCAGTCCGTCCCGGATTGCGTTGTATTCCTTCTGGTACAGCTCGTGGCTGGGCTCTCCCGCCTTGGGCGGGTTCACCATAAGCTCGAGGAGACACTGGCCAATAACTGGCGGGCACAGCCCAATGCTGACAAGCTTGTAGATCTGGGCGGTCACCAAGGGGTCGAATCCGACCAGCTCGAAGTAGCCACCGCGCTGGCCACACTCGCCGACCATGCCCTTGGACACACTGTGGAGGGAGACCAACTCCACGTTGTCGTACTTGCCCGGCTGCTCCTGCTGCAGCTGTCGGAGTCGCTTCTTGAAGGAGGTGAACTCGCCCTCGAAAACGTTGGTCTGGTAGACCTCGTCGGCCATGACCACCAGCTTCTCCTCGGCCGCCAGATCTAGCACACTCTTGATGTCATCGGGGCTCAGAGAGGCACCGGTGGGGTTGCCCGGGTTGATGACCACGATGGAGCGCACGTCGGTGCCGGCCGCCTTGGCCTTCTCCAGAGAGGCGCGGATGGCGTTCACATCGGTACCCCAGGCTTTATCCTCCTCCAGGTGGTAGGGGACGCACCGCGCGTTCAGAAGGGCCAGGGTGGCTGTATAGAGAGGGTACTGCGGGATGGGGACGAGGACGCCCGTTTCGGGGGAGCTGCAGATTACGTTGAGAATGTTGCTGACACCGGACGAGGCGCCGGCGGTGAGGAACAGGTCCTGCGGGTTGGCGGGGAATCCATCGCGCTGCTCGATGAAATTGGCGACGCTCCTGCGGATGATAGGGGCTCCTTGGCTGTGGCTGTACGCTCCGACGCTCTGGACGTCCGCGAGAAGAGTCTTAGCGCGGTCCACGACGTCCTGCTGGTATCCGAACGATGTCCGGAGCACCTCCGGGTTGTCCAACAACGCGGGGTTCTCCAAGAGACTGAGCACTTGACGGAAGAAGGTGATGGGCTTCTGGTCGAGTTGCTGGGGGTTGCCGATGTTGGCGAAGATGACGCTGTCGAAGGGCAACGACTTGTCTCCCTGGGCCAGCTTCACACGGTATTCCTCCGCCTTGACGGCCAATTCACCTCGGACGGCATACTTGGCTTCCTTCACATGAGGGTTGATATTATCGGGGTTCAGACAACGAGCCCGACCGGAGAGGGCATTTGTGGTATAGGAAACGGTCATTTTAACCGGGATGGTGGCTATAGTAAGTCGGGATGGTCAGGAGAGGCTTTTTCGGGAACGGCTGGCCCGAGGGAAGCGAGATATTTGTAGGAAAAGATGGTGGGTGGGATGGAACCGCCCAAAATGTCAGGAGATGGGATGGAAATCGGGCCTTGGGAGGCTCCAATGGGGCCATTTAGAGGACGATCGGACCCAGTAAAGCGAGAAATTTCCCGAAAATAAAATAAAATAAAACAAGCCAAATAAAAAAGGAAAAAGAACAAAACAACGTACCTGAGAACTTCGATCCGGCGGGGAACGAGGACAACCGCGGGAGACGCAATGCTCCATTCGGCCGGGAAACACGTCGCGGCGACGCCCGCAGGGGTAATAATACTTTATACTGCCAACTCATGGCTCTCTCTGATGGACTGATTCGGAGGGTTTCCCTGCGACTGTTGAGGCGCCCAACTGCGCGATTGAATACCTTCTCCACAGTCAGGGACAATGCAGTGGGCAAGAAAGCCAATCTTCGTCAACAGCCTGGAGCCTGAATTGGACCTAGAGACTGCTTTATTTTCCCAAAAAAAAAAAAAAAAAAGAGGAGTTAGATTTCCGGTGGGCGGTAAGATGCTGAGTCATCCACGACCAGGGAACAGAATGAATCCTAAGAAATTTATAAAAAACTCGTAAGACTACAGGAAATCTAAAGACTAAAGACAATAGAGTACGCAGGAACGGATAACAGATACTTCTCTGTATATCTGATCCTCCTCCATACTCCGCATGTCCGTGATCAACCCCACGTGCACACCGGCGGTCCCCGACTACAGCACGATGTAGTTATCGAGGAGGAATGAGTCATTCTGTCCGAATTTTCTGTTCAGGATCAATTGCCTCTGAGGAGAAAAATTAGGTAAAAAGGACGACTAGTTCAGAATGGTCCCACTGCCAACCATGATGCTATGAATAATCGCTCACAGATCGTCGCGGCCAAGACTCCCTCCTATTATATTCGTCTGAAACATCTATCCACCACTCTCCTCCGAGTAGTCCTATAATATCACGACGAGTCATAGGTCCCTTGTTCGGTCATTAATGGTATGATACAGCAGCCTCACTTGCTTTTTGCTCTAGCAGAACAAATAGGAATAGATATCTACGTCTCATCCATCACGCACCACCCGTGGCATGGCAATGTCAGCTCACCATCCCTCCTGGTCTCCTCTAACTCCGTTCACTTCCCCGCAATCTCACAGCCTGTCCGTACTTTTGAAGCTTCGTGATCAGAGCATCCCCGTGTTTCACCACGTCCGCGTACTGCTTGTTTTTGTCGTCCGGCCGATTGGTCTCGATGATGCCGTTGACTCGGTCGATTGTGCATGAGATCCGGTTGCTAGCAATGAACTTGGCCAGGTCCCTGCATTCGTTAGTTCCTGCGCTCAAGCGACTCCGGAGCTGCGGGGGGAAAACTTACCGATCCAAAAAGTCGACCGTCACGCCAAAGTCACTGGCCATGGTGTTCAGTCCCACCACCCGGTAGCTCTGGAGCAGCTGTTGGTAGGCCCGTAGTCTCATCTCCCGAACAAACCACGCCCGGTGTTCATACAGGTATCGATCTTGGGTCAGGAACTGGTCTTCCACGGACGCCAGGGCCACGAAGAACGACTGGTAGTTGCCATTGTACAAGCTGTTGACGAGATTGGCAAGGGGCGCAAAGTCCACCGGGACTTCGGATTCCGCCTGGATGCCAGAGCCAGTCGCGAATGTGTTCACGTTGACGGCAGACACAGCCGCACTGGGAGTGGCTCTCGGGGTGGATGCATCCTTCATCTCTTCGTCCCGGGCGTTCGGCCCAGACGACACCTCGCCGGCCAAGGCAGCCAATTGGTCCTCCCCCGATCCGAGGATGGCCTTGATCTCTGGTGCATCCACGACCTTGGACTTGAAATCGACCCGCTTCAGCGATAACGAGCCCGCGAGGACCGAGTAGATGACCAACGCGGAGTAGCTGCACAGTTCGTAACTCGTAAACGTGGACAGACTGTCGAGGAGGAGAGGAGCAGCGAGGCTGTAGGAACGGATGGTGAGCAGGTGTAGACCCTTGTATGCCTTGAGACGATTCCTCCGGTCCCAGTCACCCCCGCTCTCGATCAGGGTGTTTGCACGCTCGATGCTCTTCTTGACAAACAAAGTGTCGCCGAAGAAGAGTCCGATCCGAATCATCGCCATCATCAGGTCAATCTTTGTTCCCAAAAACGTTGTCTTCTCCAGCAGGGCTTCGTGCGATTCAATGGCTTTATCCTGTGCCATAGTTAGTCTTCTTGAAAAAAAAAAGCATGGAGATTCTGGACACTCACCTTATCTCCTACCCTGGCCCAAAATTCAGCACGCTTCCCTCTGGCAGCCAGAACCTCGGTATCACCGGCCGCTTCTTCCGCCTCGTCTTCCTCCTTTTGGAAGGTATCCAACTCCTTTCGGTTCTCGTCGACTAGTGACTGGTATAGGGCCTCGTCCCAAGGGAAATCGATCTTCTGAGGCGCCTTCCGAGACGCCAGCATATTGGACGTAATCAAAGACTTGGCGGAACCGCCTTGCTGGGGAGCCCCTTCACCCGAATGGTTCAGGATGCCTTCGACGGGGTGTGCGAGATGTCGGTAGAAGGGAGCCATCTTATTCTCCGCGATGACACTCTGGACCTTCTTCAGCGACGCCTGCTGTATGGCCTGGGGGCACGACGGGTTGGAAAGGTTGAAGACATGTTGGGCAAGAGTGAGGTCGGGGTACTTTATGTACTGCGGATCGGACCCCATTCTAGCGACGGGAGATGTGATGGGGTGTGAAGGATGAGAGTAGGCACTGTAACAATGAATGCGATAGGAGAGGTGGTGGATTCGAGGTCAGAAAGGGTCGTTGATGACGAGACAGGGCCCATCAACATTAGCAACCTACGTAGCTGACCGAGCTCAGCTGGCGGAACGTTGATCCGGTCCGAGGCACGTGACTATACATTTTCCTCCTTTTTTTTCTTTTCCTTCAATTCTTGAACAGCCAGCCATGTGTAATCAAAAATGGTTTTGGCCATGAGAGCCAACTGTGCTAAGGTTGCAGGTGATACAGAATATTCATTAAAGTGGGATTTCAATGTCATCGCCTACAATCGAGAATCAAATACTAATAGAATTCAATCACATTACCAATCTTATCTTTCCTATTGATAGTAGAAAATCCCCTGAAGTCAACATATGCCTATTACTTAGTCTTCAGTGTACTCCAGAGTACTCCTAGAGGCTACTCTCCCATGCTCTAATCTTGCAGTTACTCTGGAGTATTCTATTACTCTCTACAATAAACATGGAATCCTCGTATGTAACTGTTTCTTGGTAGACTACGCCCCAACCCCTTAGATCTTGGTCTTGGTAGCATACCGAGGAAGCAGATCTCCTAGCCAGATAACATTGACACCCACGACATCCATTCTAGCTCCCGTACTCCGTACTTTCTGGCAAATCCTTAGCTAATAACTTGGACGGTTCCGGACAAGTCGTGTCGTACGACTCCGCTACCAACGTTTTCTCCTTCGCGGAGAGTGGATAGCCCTCCGACTTACGGACGCTCTCGACGGGACTCAACCTAGTTAGACTCTGAGAAATTGGCCAACTATTCGATGACATTCTCCCAACGTCGTTCCATCCAAAGTGGATGTTCAGCCTCGGCTAAGCCCAATCAGGAACTGCTGTGGGTCCGCCGCAAGCCCTACGTCGGCTGACAATTCCAATCCGTTTGGGGAGGGCAATCATCTTGCGGGGTTATAGTGGATGGAGTAAAAGGACACTTCAGTATAGCCTCATTGCTTTACGTGGTACTCCGTAGACTACTATGTATTAAAAGGCCTGAGGTAAATGGGGAGGAGATGTTGTGTTAGGCCCATCAAACACCAAGAAAAACACCAGCTGGGCACCTCCCTCGCTGAGCCAATGACACGCGCGTATGTAAAAGCTTAGCGTCAGAGACACTTCGAGGGGGAATTTGAAAGATAATGAAATGCGACTTAACAAGGGACCAGCATCCACTAATCCTAAAACCAGTCTTGAGAGAAGCACGTGGAATCCTTTCCATCATGGCCCCCTCGTTTGTTTTGCCGTTTTCTTTCCCTGATTTCTTCTTGTCTTTTTTTTTTCCCTATCCCCTACTTTTACATAAAAGGGCCTTGTCTTCCCTGATCCAAAGCTCTCCCTCTCTGTAATCCTCCCTTGTCTGACTTCCCACCCCTTTCCCTGTGCACGGCAGATTGTTGAGCCTCTGGTATTACAACGCCACTGTGTCCAACCGACACTCACGGGTTATTAATATCCATCAGTCAGCATAAACCAGACATCATGAACCCTACAGTAGAAAAAAAGGTCGTCGACATGCCTACGGAGAAGAACCAGACATCGCTCGATACAGTCCCTCTAGATACCGGTCCCGTGGATACCAAGGGTCGCTGGGAACGCAGTTGGCCCACCATTGCTTGTGGCGCGGGTCTCTTCTCCGATGGATATCTCAATGGAGTATGTGTTCTGGTTCTCGAATGATAAGGTATTTGGAGAAACATGCTCCTGACGTGATATCTTATAGGTAATCGGGCCGGTCAACACCATCCTTGGACGGATCTACCCAGACACTTATGAAAAGTCCCCCGCCAGTCAGAACGTCGCGGCCATTACGTTCGCAGGCACAGTGCTCGGTCAGCTTGTCTTCGGATATCTCAGTGACCACTGGTCGCGAAAATGGTCCCTGATGGTCTCGACGGTTATTCTGATCATCTTCGGCGCCTTGTGCGCAGGCTCCTATGGTCTGAATGGCAGCACGTATGGCTTGTTTGCGGCCTTAACGGCTTATCGTTTCTTCCTTGGAATTGGTATTGGTGGCGAATACCCTGCGGGATCCGTTGCGGCAGCCGAGAATACCAATGAGATGAAGGCCGGCCATCGGAACCGGTGGTTTGTCATGTTCAGCAATTTCCAGATCGATTTTGCCTACGTTGTTTCTGCCTTGGTGGCCATGATTTTGGTGCTAATTTTCACCGAAAATCACCTGCGTGCCGTGTGGCGGGTAGCCTTAGGGCTGGGGGTGATCCCTCCGCTAAGCCTGCTTTATCTGCGACTGAAGTTGAGCGAGCCAGAGCAGTTTGATAAAGAACGCATGCATAAGTTTCCAACCTGGTTGATTATCAAGTGAGTATCATGTCTGTTCTGAGGTCACCATGTTGACTAACCGTTTTCTTCCCCCGCAGATTCTATTGGAAACGTTTGGTACGGTTTCGCCTCTGCCAATCTAGATACAACAGACTAACTGTGGCAGACTGTGGTATCGTTGATCTGGTTTATCTACGACTTCTCCGCGTACTCCTTCAACATCTATTCTTCGAAGTGGCTCTCGATTATTCTGGGCGATAGCGCACCCCTGTGGAAATCGTTTGGCTGGGCCACAGTCACCAACTCTTTCTATATTCCGGGCTCCTTTCTGGGAGCTTTGTCTAGTGACTGGATTGGTCCCCGCAACACGTTAGCCCTTGGAGTGGGCCTCCAAGGGATCATTGGATTCATCATGTCTGGTTGCTATGAATATCTCGCGACACCGAAAAATGTCGCTGCATTTGTCGTGGTGTTTGGGTAGGTGTCCCTCGATGCTGAGCGTCCATACTGGCTGACCAGGAGAACAGTATCTTTTCAGCCCTCGGTGAGTTTGGACCAGGTGATAACATTGGACTGTGCGCTGCAAAGACCAGTGCAACGGCTATTCGAGGACAGTATTATGCTATCGCCGCTGCCGCTGGCAAGATCGGTGCATTTGTTGGCACCTACGTGATTCCCATTGTACAGAAGAACGCCCCCAATGAGATTCGCGCCGGTCAGGATCCATTTTTCGTCTCCAGCTCGCTGTGCATCTTCAGTGCTATACTAGCTTACTTTTGCCTGCCCCGAATTTCTCAGGTATGTATCCAAAAGCTTGGTTCTTTTTCTCTTTCATATTTCCAAATGATCCTTCGCCTTGCAAATCCAGGAACTTCGTACTAAAATGACCAGGAAACCATCTCGGAAGAGGATACGAAATTCCGCGAGTACCTCGAGGCGAATGGATACGACACCACCACATTGGGCAACCGTGAACAGTCGTAGTCGACCTGGGCGGCGGCACAAATTCTGGCCTGCAAACACGTATGTTGCGCACGAAGTGATTGATTTCTCACCCACACCACACCGCCCATGCAGTGCCCAAACCCCGTGCGACTTTTGCGAACGACCCTTGCGACAGACATGATGCCAATTCCCCAGACCCCAGAAGCGGTACAGATGATGCGGAGATTTGCCCCATGAAATTAGTCCTTAGAGGACTGTCCCAAGTAGCATGAAGTCTGATTGCCCACGCGATGAACTGACTTGTGAATAATACACCGGATCATATGTATTATGGCCATCTTGTCCATGATGTATTTTATTAAGTATTAGTAGGTAATATAACAATAACCATAACGTTTTTCACATGTTTTGGTCCATGTACCAATCAGCATTGGAGTTGCTGGCTCTGCACATGTGATGTAAATCACGCGCGCACGTGTCACATGATCCGCCACGTCGAGAGACTCAGAAGGCTGTTTTATCCATGGATGGAGAAGAACTCACCTTTTAACTCGAACTAGAATGACCCAGACTTGAATGACAATGGGATCAGGGTTTATTGAAGTGATATAGTGGCCACGCTGTTCTGAGGTCCAACTCCTTGAACAGCCAGATAGGCCAGGTCCACCAGTGAGATCGAATTATTTAATTGATAGTGTTAGTCAGTATGTTCATAGCATGCCCATCAGATATCCCTAGTCATAATAAATATCATAATGGATGTAAAGGAGAAATACCTACTCAAGTTAAGGACGGCACTGCACGAGGAAATTCCCGGATCAGAACCAGCCGAGGTCGACAGCGATCGCCGACGGTTCGTCAATTACCGACCTTTCCCTGTTCATCATCTCCCTACCCCCGTCATCCTCTCTATCTCTCTCTCTCTCTCTCTCTCTCTCTCCCTCTCTGTCTCTCTCTCTTCCTTTGTTCTCTTCTTCCTCTTCCACCGCCTCTGACCGATATTGCCAGCTGGCCTGTCATCTAATCTATTCTTCGTCACTCTCGTGTCGGATATCCAGCTCGGAATTCACCCCCGGGACCCTCCCATCTTCGCGAACTGACAGATCTACTCTGAGTGTTATCCATTGAAAATGGTCGCAGACGCTTTGGTTTACCATCCTGCATTGGCGCACTACCTGCGTTTTGTCGCGACGACCGGTATGTGGTTCTATTTTTCTTCGTTTGTCGCGTCGGCGAACGAACGACCCAGCCACCGAGCTTTTTCCGACCTTTTACCAGCATCTACGCTCCCAGTCCAGTCCAGGCCATCTATTATCGAAACAATTACTAACAAGACAAATCTCCAGTGGGTCGTGACAAACTCCTCCGTACTGTGCAGTACTTTTCGCGTTTCTATGCTTGGTACCTGTACCGCACCAACCGGCCACAGTCCTCTATCGACCCCTACAATGCTGTGAAGAAGCAGTTCGGAACGACGCGTAAGATCCTACGGATCGGCAAATTCGTCGAGCACCTCAAGGCCGCCGCCATCGCCGCAGACAACAAGAGCCCGATCGACCCCATCCTGCGCTACCTTGCCGTCGGTCGTCAGCTGGGATACGCGGGTTACTTGACCCTGGACACGATCACCGTCATTGACACCATTGGTGTGCGGAAACTCGCCGCCGCCAAGCGGTTGCAGGAGAGTGCCTATCGGTCGTGGATGGCTGGTTTGGTCTGTAGCGCTTTCGCCAGTGCTTACACTATCTGGAGACTGCAGGAGAGGGAGAAGACCCTCGATCGGAAGGAGGGTGAAGGTGTTGTGGAAGCTAAGAAGATTGAAAAGTCGTATCCCGTATCCCTTAGACTAATATTGTGTGATTGTGTACTAACATGGAGTAGGGAACGCTCGGCCGCTCGTACCCAACTCATCTCGGATCTTTGCGACTTGACTGTCCCCATTTCTGCGCTGGGCTTTGCCTCCCTCGACGATGGACTTGTTGGTATTGCCGGTACCGTCAGCAGTGTGATTGGTGTGGTATCTCAGTGGCGAAAGACGGCATAGACAGTGTTGATTGGTTTGTATATTAGGTAGATATCAGTAGGCAGTGGTGGATCTTGATTGGAGTTATTGCAGTTTGCAGTACCTATGAATATACGAGTTATCATAAGCATACTACGTAGAATCAAATCAACTAGAAGTATTTCACACGAATCTTATCTCATTCATTGTCTCATCTCAACATTTCAACATAATTCATTTATACTGCATCCATACTCAAAACCTAATCGAGACCATAGTCCAACTCATCTCATGTCATCCCATCGCCTCAACAACTAGCAGAGATAATCTAATTAGGACAGGTCTAAAAAGTCAGCACCACTCTCTAACTTCGTAGACAAGACAAGAGATATAGTGGAAAGAGACAGGAACAAACCGCTCCACAGGAAGTGCAAGTCTTAGAATTCCCAGGAATGGGACCATTGCACGAAGGACAAGAAGCGTGGCCGGGCATTTCTACCTGACTGGTTAGAATACATACATAAGTTCTATGAGTATGTACTAATGGTATAACTTACTGCTGATGGCAAGTAGTTATTACAAGAAATAAAGAAGTAGTAGCGGATAAGACAGGGAATAGCGATGAGGATGGAAACAAGGACGGATGAAGAGGAAAAAGAGAGAGAAAATGAATGAATAATAAATGGTGGATGATTGACTGAACTCTCGTGACCCCGCTGATAATGCCCCGCTTAGTACAGCGTAGTGTGGCGGTGAGCGTGATTTCTTGATCTGGTGATTTGGATTCCATCTGGTTAATACAGTTTGGGATGATAATTTAATACTATCAACCTACTTATATATATATGAGATTGTTAGAAGCCTTTACACTGTTATATATTTTGTGTATAATACAGAATATCATGTAGAAAGGCTATTATAGCATTGGTCTTTCTCTTCCAACAGTGGGACGCGTGTGAAAACTTTTCTAACTCTATTTCAATCAAAGTATTGTATAGTATTATGAGTTGTTCAAGCAGGCTAAAACCAAATAATGTCATAATTCATTAATTATAATCTATGCAGCATTACTACCACTTGTAACTAATCCATACAAGCTGGGTACCTGCCCGGCGGCAGTCGCGGTGAATAGTATAAATGATAACAGTCTTCGGAATATAGCCACCCTGCAGCATCATCCTTACTCCCACATTTCAACATACCTATCACATCCACACCTACTTGGTGATAAGATTCAGATAATCCGCCACAATAAGCGTGACCATACTAAGTGGAGCCGTGGGGTTAGTGATAAGCAAACGGTGTCCAGAGTGGGGAGACTAACGCATGGGGTGCGATCCGCACATAGTACGTGCCGAATCCACGATAAAACCTCAACCATCCCTCTTCCTTGACGACTTTACGAGCACAGTCAAAGAGACCCTTGTACGGCAGCTGTCCAGTCTTTGGGTCTTTCTGTTGCTTCTGCAGACGCGTCTTGATGAAGTCGAACGGCAGCGACAGGAAACTGGCGAAGAACCCAGCAATGGCAGAGGCGGCAAAGGTCTGGTTCTGAGGGGTGAGCTTGGTACGTGCCTTCAGCTGCGCCTTCGATTCCGCAAAGAAGGTCAACTGTCCGAAGTTGAGTGCCATCGCCCGCACCACGGTCGGGAACGCCCCCGCCCACAGGGCCGTGGCACCCTCGGCCTTCGAGATGCGAAGCAGGGCATCCACGACGGAACGGTAGTGGGCCCGTGCCTCCGGCGGTTTGAGGCCATCGGACTGCATGCGAACCAGTGCCAAGTCAGCCGGGTTACCGATCATGGCTGCAATTCCACCCGCAGACAGCCCGGCTCCTGCGCGCTCGGCAAAAGTGACCTGGCGGTTGGCAGACTCGGCGCGTTTGTTGAGGGACTTGATGAAGGTGTCGAAGAAACCGAGACGGGCAGTAGTGTAAACGGCCTGGCGCAGTAGACCAGCGGACAGACCGGTGTAGAGATCGAGAACCTTTCCGGAGGCAATGATATCGCGAGCGACACCGAATGCTGAAGGACGAGGGCCCGCGCGGACACCCTCGCCCGCCAGCTGCAGACGCACCTTGATCATGTCAATGGGTTGGATGACTGCGGTGGCAGTCATCCCCGCCAAACCACCATTGACGAAGGGAAGCGCGGCGCGAGTGTATGGATGATGTAGGAAATCTACTTGGGGCTGCGATTCCGTGGCACTAGTAGAAGCCATGATAATCACGAATTCAAAACTCGTACAAGAACTGATGAAATGTCAATCTCTATCAGTTGAGCGATGAGAGATGAGAACGGGAACGACAAAAACAGGAGGACAGATCGAAGTCTATGCCGTGGCGAAAGACAGAAAATGACCGACTAACCGAGGAGAAGAGAACGGAAAAGACGGGATGCAGACGAAAAAAAGCCTGGCAGGAGACGTCCGGAAGAGAAGCGCCGGGGATGACGTATGGAACAAGGAGAGAGGAGAGAGAGGAGAGAGAGGAGCAAGGAGAGAAGGCGCCGAAAATAAAAGAGGGGAACGTGAGCGGGTGGACGAGGAAGAGCAGGAGCAGAATGAGGGGAAGCGATCCTTGAATGCGCTCTGGATGCTCTTGCTGGATTACACGAAACCCAGTCAGATGACGCTGCGGGGGTCATGCAACTGAGTTGTCTTGAGTTGTCAGAGTCTGTCTAAAGAGATTTAGGATTTATAACAAACGAACTCTTTCTCCAGGAACCGATCCGGCACCCGAACCAGGCACCAGGAGAGCGACCTTCGCCGGAATGCGTTCACACTCTATTACTATACTATATCACACTTTATGTCCTATACCATACTGACCTAGTAGACTAGACTGGACAGGACGAAGGGGAGACTTAAATTACTAAACAGATCAACTACCCAGGTAGTTACTAGTTACAGCCGACCAGCTACTATACCTACTGCAGGATATGCGGGGAATCCATGGCAATCTAGAATCTAGAGGCAGTGGCAACTCTGGAAGCTTGACCAAGGATAAGCTGAATCAAAAGAAAAATCAACGGATGAAAGTCCCTTCGAGTTACGACCTCGCTCCCTTGATTCTAGTCGTGATGTATCGGATACCACCTTGATGCCACCAGACACATCGAAGACATCTCATCGTCATACACCCCATCCTGGTAAGGTATAATAGGTATGTATCATACCGCTGCCCCACGTCCTGTCAAGTGGGGGATGTAATTACCGTACGTCCCACTGCACTCCGCTAACCCGTTTGGGCACGAGAATCGCCGGCTGCCGATCCGCGTCTTCTTTGCCACGATTCCATTAAATTACTAGGAACTGAATCAAGTAACACATGCATGTAGTGAGAAATAAGCTACGATCCCAGATCTATCACTGAGCGCATTACTACCGCACTTCGCGATTCTTCTATCTAACTTGGTAGGTATATAGGTATGTCTAGACACCGATAGCAGCAGCGCCATACGCATAAAGAACAGATAACAGGTAATAGATAGACTCCAACCAGACAGACACTCTTCCCTCGGCTATCAAGTAGAGTTCTTTCATACTCCTACCTACAGAGTATATAGCCATCTCCATTCGTCCACAACCACTCCCTTTCCTCCGAACCGCCGAAATCGGCGCTTCCTTAATATCAAAAGTGCGTCATTTCAGACACAAAAGATAGGTAGAGAGAGATAGAGGTCCATTTCGGACGTTTTATACCCACTTTGAAACCCTCCCTACGGATAAGACTTCGTAGCATGTATGTACCTAAAGGTATCTAGATAGGGACATACATATCGTAACAATAACAATAACAAACACAACCTCCGCCATTCATCCCGATAGATACAATGTACATGGACAAGAAAAGCAGACGGAGCTCCCCACCGCGGGAAACTCCCCTGCAAAGAGCGCCGGAAAGACGTAGCAGTCAGATCCGGGTGTCGGGACGAGCCCGGGAGTGGAGGCGGGAACTCGGTAAACCATTATCCACTGGGGACTTGGTCGGTAATTAGACTGCGGTAAGCAGGGAGTCCTTGTACTAAGTGGTGGTAGGTAGCCATCTTCCGATCAGGCTTGATTAGTACTGGACTGGACTAGGCGGGAAAGGGTTGATTCTCGGTGATGAACTATCTACCATGATGGTATTGTATTGAGCCAATGGTCTTAGTGGTTGGGACGTGATGGAGAAGCTGTTGTCACCCTAACAGTCTGGGTCTTTCCATTCTATGTCGGGTTGGGTTTGTTGCTTGATGTCTTTTCCGGACGGATCTTGTCGTTGGGGACGCATATTGCATGGAGTATAGGTAGTTGGCTTATTCTATGGCTTGAAAGATGGAGGCTGTATTCAGCGAAGTTGAAGTACCTCAAAAGTTATAAAAACTTAATCAATTCTGGCATTTATTGCTCAGGGTATCTATCAGAATAAAATCGTATTCGAAGCGGTTACACCTAGAATACTAAATATAAGTAACATACATTTCCATTTTATTCACAGGTGTATCCATGTACCATCAGGATCATAACTCCTATCGACCAGTGGTCAACATTATATCCAATCTTCAAAATTTGACAGTTATATCCTGCCTCTTGCAAGGATCACTGTAAAAAACCCATTATTTGAAACGCAGCACGCCATGCAATATATGAACAAAATAAAAAAGAAACCACCACCACCACGTCTACTGAGGCATGGGACCGGCCGCAATCACCTCCTTGGTTGCTTGATCCGAGTACTTGGTGAAGTTCTCATTGAACAGCCGGGCCAGCTTGTTGACCTCGTCCTTGAAGCTGGTCGATGCGGTCCAGCTGTTCTTGGGGTTGAGCAGCTCAGACGGCACACCGGGGCAGCTCGTCGGCACGTGCAGGTTGAATACTTCGTAGGTCTCGTACTGCGAGTTGGCCAGCTCACCGCTGTGGATAGCGTCCAGGATGGCACGCGTGTACTTCAGAGGGCAACGCTTTCCGCCAGTGGTGGCGCCAGCGCCAACCCAACCGGTGTTAAGCAGCCAGGCATTGGCCTTGTGCTGCGAGATCTTGTCGGCAAGCATGCGGGCGTAGCGCATGGGGTGCAGCGCCAAGAAAGGTTGCGCGAAGCATGAGGAGAAGGTGGCCTGGGGCTCGGTCACACCGTCCTCAGTGCCTGCCATCTTGGAAGTGTAACCTGAGATGAAGTGGAACATGGTCTGCTCGGTCGTGAGCTTGGAGATAGGAGGCAGCACACCACGGGCGTCGCAGGTGAGGAGGATGATGTTTGTGGGGTGCTTGTCGGAAATACAGGGGATCTTGGCGTTCTCAATATATTCAATAGGGTAGGCGCTGAATAAGAGAGTCAGTGACATTCGAAGCAGACAAGCTATTGATCATGACCTACCAGCGAGTGTTCTCGGTGAGCGTCGAGTCATCATAGTTGACAATACGACTGATGGGGTCAAAGACGACGTTCTCGAGGACGGATCCGAAGCGGATGGCGTTGAAGATATCGGGCTCCTTCTCGGCGGAGAGGCCAATGCACTTGGCGTAGCACTGGATCCAGAGTCAGCCATCAGGCGATAGTAGAAGCTTCAAGTCTATAACTTACGCCACCCTCGATGTTGAAGACACCGCGGTCAGTCCAGCAGTGCTCATCGTCACCAATCAGAGCACGCTTGGGGTCAGCAGACAAAGTCGTCTTGCCAGTTCCCGACAGACCGAAGAACACAGTAACATCGCCGTTCTGGCCCTCATTGGCCGACGAGTGAAGGGTAAGGACGTTGTGCTTGACAGGCATCTCGTAGAAGAGAATCGTGAAAACACCCTTCTTCATCTCTCCGGCGTACTCGGTACCCAGGATAACCATCTCCTTCTCGGCGAAGTTGATAGCGACCGAAGTGGCAGAGGTCATACCCTCAGTGAAACGGTTGGCGGGGAAAGAGCCAGCGTTGTAGATAACATAGTCGGGGTGGAAGTGCTGTAGCTCCTCGGCGGATGGGCGGATGAGCATGTTGCGCATGAAGAGAGCATGGTAGGCGCGAGCGCAAACAACACGGACGCTGATGCGGTATCTCTCATCCCAGCCAGCGAAGCCATCGATGACATAGATACGGTTGCGGGTGTTGAGGTAGTCAACAGCACGTTCACGGTTGATACGCCAGACCTAAGGTGCATTAGCTAACCAGCTTGGCCAGGAAATATCATATATCGAGGCAAGGGGTGAAAGGAGTCAAGGCACAGGCACCCAGAATAGGAAAACATCGTGTGGTACAGGACCAATCTGGAGGTTCCACGACAGACAGTAATAAATACCTCATAAAGAATGAGGCATTTCCGGAGATATTGCTGCCGCGTGTACAACTCCAAAAGCTTAACCCCTGTGACACGCGAGGGCCAAGAACCAAGAAGTGGGCCAATGCAAGGGGTAGAAGTGTATGCGCTTTATATCGCGCATAACAAAGGGACAGGAGAGGAAGTACATACATCAGGAGTCATGGGCTTGTTGACAGGTCCCCACCAGATATCATTCTCTGACGACTCCTCCTTGACAATACGCTTGTCTGAAGGGGAGCGGCCAGTCTTGGCACCGGAGTATGCTGTCAAGGCACCACTCGATGTAATAGCAGTACCAGTCTCATAAACCAGGGCATCTTCATAGAGGGCTGCAACAGAGGGGTTTGCGATCTAGGGGACGTTAGCATGGTACGAGGCTACCCACAATGTCGACAAATCCTTACAATGGCAACACGCTCGTAGTCAATGTGGGCGTGTTCGTGAAGCTCTTCTTCCAACTCAGTGTGACCCTTGCCTGGCCTGGAGGGGAATTGTTAGCAGATGATGGAAAGAGACACGACAGAGAGATGAAGTAGGGAGATCAAGAGAGTAGAAGGACAGAAATGATCAAGGAAAAGGAGACATACTGAACACCACCAGGATGCAAGGCAGTACGATTCACAGAAGTCGCAACCATGTTTCTTAGCGAAGTAGAATGAAAGTTATTATTTCGTTGTTTAGCTACTTGCTGTTGAAAGAAGTCTGAGTAGATAGGACCTGAACCCTGGGGGGCTTCGGGGGGTATATTAATGTTTCTAGCAGTGGCCATGGTCACGACGACGAGGGTCGAAAAGACGCCTCAAACACCAGCTCCGATGTTCTTCTCCACAGTTTCACGGGAGATGTCGGGGCTGAGCAACCGGGCTGAGGAAGTGGTTACCGTCGCCTGGACAAAATGCCTCTCGTGGACTTCCGAAATGTCCCGAACCCCAGATGTGGGCACGAAGTGGTTCCGGAAGTGCTGTTCGAGCGCACCAACTAGAGGACAAGAATCGGAAAGAATGATTGATCGAGATGCGTGCTTAATGATAACACGCGAACGCGAACAAATGGCTCATGCAAGCCTGGAAGTTAGTCCGTGGGAGCCTAGCAGGGTAGACGTAGATGTGCCGTGGCCCCAATAATTAAGCTGCAGATAACCTGTACTTATGAGATTGTCTGCCTATCATCCAAGAGAGTTTGTCCATAGCTTTGTGCATTACGTAGTACACAGTGCTCAAAGGCTTTTCCGCTTAAAAGTTTCCTGTCTCTTCATCATTCCACAGTCTTCCCTCAGACCAACAAACGGGAACAGACCTCGAGTGATGACGTTGAATGATCTCAGCGGCCAAGGATAGCTCGAAAAGGGCTAAGAACCAAATTGCGGGGAGAACTTTTCGGCAAGCAGCAAGTGCACTATACCCGGTCGGGAAGGCTTGGAGGCCACATGGATTGAATCATTTAAAACGAAAGCAACGCGGACTTGGCCTGAGGATCACCAAGGAAACGCTGGCGTTGGTCCAATCAGGACCCCCTCGCCACGAAAACCGCCGCTCCGCTTTACCCTCTTTGGCATTCTGTTAGTCATCAGCACCCGAGGCCAACCGCCTGGCGGCCAATCACGGGCAACACCACGTTCTGATTTGCAATCCGACGTCACCCAGCTGCCAGAAGTTATTGCCGTGGTTTTCGCCTGCGAGGTGTGATTCCTCGGAACGATCCTTGTCTCGTACCTACAGACTACGGCTACACAGTAAGATTATGTGATTTGCTAGTCTATCCTTGTCGGTTCTGCGTGACAGAACGTCGGATTGGTATAGATCTAAGGAGTAGCTAGCCTCCTATGGAGTACTCATTATGGTCCTCTACAACTACACAATGTGGAGTTAGTATCCCATAATGAGAGAGGCTCAACAGTGGATGGAGAATGTCTTGGTACCAGAGATTACCGAGCTCTCCAAATATCTCCGCGTACTGACCTCCTGAGAGCGATGGTCAGGCGCCGGTCCCTGACATGGCTCTCTCTACTCCGTAGACGGTCAACTGATATGCTCGGCTTAGCCTAGAAAGGCCGCATATGGAATTCAGGCGCATGCTACTACGACCTCTGATCCAATGATAGCGGAGTTCTATGTTGATGGATGTCCTATCTTCGTTTATACCCCGCATCTAACTAAACTCCTGGAGCACACGGGCCTTCCCCTAGACTAATACTACAGGTCTCAGCTCTAGAGACGAGGGAGATTCGCCGTAAGGGGAATTCTTTGCGGGCCATATTCCTTGCACTCAGCCAATTGTAGAGGGCATCTCAGTAAGGGTGCACTCCCCACGATGTACGTACCAAGCACGGTGTATCAAATGAATGAAATCAAGCAATACGATGATTGCCAAATATGTAACGTAGATACATCACACAGATCGGGGCAGATAGGAGGATCGAATGTGGAATAAGGCTGTGTCACATTCTATGTGGTTGGGCAGACAGGGATGTGGGTACAAAGATACCACATGCGGAAGATTTAGGAAGCTTTGGCACAGAATTGAAGAAAAACTCGAGAATATTGTCACAGCGAAGGTCACATGTAATTAAAATCCCTCATAGTGCTACGCTAGTGAAGGCCTAGACAGAGCTGAAAGGGGGCAAAAAGAAAAGGAGAGGAAAAGAAGGCAAACGATTAAAAATAAAATAAAAATAAAAAGAGCACTGAGACACAAATAGCATGGAGCAAAAATAGAATGCTTTGCCACTGATGACTGAATGGCCCTGAAATGATTCTTTTGAATGGCATTAGATGACACGTAGTCGTCTAGAACAAACCTATTGTCCATTCCTTGTAAATTGCTTAGGTTAGTACCTTAGTAGGCTAGCTGGTCAGTTAAATAACCTGGACTAAACCTTTGTATTCCTCCTGTTCAAATGGTAGAATCTTCCAATTAAATCCTGCAATGATATCACTGGGGTTTCTCGGGATGACCGACCTGCAGTGGTTCATCCCGACTAGATCCTTCCGATAGCAAGGGAAGACCCGAAAAATGGCCAATTCCTCCCGAAAATAAAACTAAAAATAATTCAACCCGAACCATGAAAAGGGTCGGAACGAGAAATGAACGACCACCAATTATCTACTCCGTATTCATATACAAAGTATAAGACATCTCTATATGTTGGAAGAAGTAAGCAGACAGATCTCTAATTATATTATGTTGACACCTGATTTGAGATAGAACTTTTGCGTATATACGACCTGAATAGCTGTTGTCGTATTCATGCCCGGGACAAGCGATGTAGCGTCTTTGTTGTTCATAGTTCTGGGGGGAAGCCCCGGAATAGATACACTATTCAGTATGTTATCATTTGATTTCTTGAGAACTTTCTGTTAGGAACCTCATAGTTGGTGGCCTGTCCCGAAGAAGTATATACTTAGATTGAGTAAAAGATTTTCTAATGATCTACAGTAGTTCTTAATTTCTATATTTAGTTCTATATTTGCATCTTATGTTTCGCTCTCTGTAACCTTTTTTTATCTGTTCTTGTCTTGTCCTTTTTGTCCTTTTATATTCCCATTCTATTCAATTGTTTATTTATCTTACTTGATACGTGCAGCCTAGATACCAGCTAAGGTCTAGTAAACAAGAGAGACACGATAAACTGCGTGTTGCCTTATAGATAGCTAGTATCAAGCCATTCTTGGTCTTGATGCTCCTGAATTATAAATCACAATGACATTAATATGGCATACTTGTGCACATCACGACTTCTAATGACACCACAATCATATTTCCAGAATATTTAAACAGTCGGCTATTTCAATTACCTGATAGAATCCTTCCTACCTACTTTCCAAATTTCTGCCAGTTTAGCAACATGAGATGGTTTGGTTGTCTCTGCGCTAGTAGAGATAAAACCACTTGACCATATAAAAAGGTACGAGACGACTGATAGAAGACCAGTCGCATCTAGCGCCCTATATAGTAGCGAAGGCCTTATGGGGTTCAACCCGTGACACAGCATCCAGATAAATGGCAGTTTGCCGAAGTTCTGTGGTATGTTTCCTTCCTAAAAGTAACTTATTTTGGGTCACTAATATTTCATTGACAATCGCAGTTAAAACACAATGGAGCCTAACTCATTCTCTCACACCCCGATTCAAAAAACACCGATCCTACACTGATAACAACAAGGAGCAAAGGGAGCCCTATGCAAGAAAAAGCTACGGTTGCAGAGGACGCATCAGCGAAACGGGTGATGCGAAACAGGTACGTGATTATGATAGTTTGGAACAAGAGACCGAATCAAGCTCTGAATAACTAGTTTTATTCTACTGTTTATGCTTAGGATATGTGTCGATACAATATTCGTATAGGATTTGGTGTGCTCGCTATTTTGGTCACAACAATATTAATAAATAATCAACATCCAGCATGGCACTAGCAAAAGATTCATTTCAGCTTTTCAAGGCACGGCAGTCAAAGTAAATAACAACATAACCTCTTTTTGGTGCTGTTGATTGGTTACTATGGAATGTGGTGCAAATTAAAACGACCACCTGAGTGTTAACTTGGACTAGAAAGGTTATGACGATAGATGGAAAACAGAAGGCGATGTGGCCACTAGACATAGATACGAATACAGGAGAAATATCAGGTCTGGAAGATCAGGCCCAATGGTATAACCAGGTAGTCTTATATACTGTATTTAGGAATTTTGAGGGCGTTTCAACCGATAGAATTATGCAAGCAGTAAAGGGAAATGGATAATTGTAATTCCAACTAATATATGTATTTTTTATTTATTATATTATGATATACCTAGGCCGAAAATCCTAGAATTTTATATTGATAACTAAACCTTGTTTTAGACATAGAGATTTGGCTATTCAACAATCCTAACTAGAAGAGCAAAGGCTAGTCTTTCCTTCCACTGGTATTTTGTCAGTCTTGCTTGGTGCCTGTGCTAACACCTACTTACTATTTATAGCCTCTATAAGGCTCTGCCCTTCTTAGTTTCAATTAGTTGAATGACTTGTATTTGTATATACTCAGACCGCGAAGCTACTGTTCAAGCCTCAGACAAATTGGGTCGTGGGTACTGGTCACCGAGGCAATTCTATGATTCGCCTGGCGCCGGCATGATAGGATCTTTAAAGACACCACTAGCCTGTGCAAGGCTAATTTAGTGGATAAATCATCGTCCAGGTTCGTGTTCAGTATCTCGCTGGTAAGCACATTGACTGCAGCCTTCGATTTCGCATTCTTCCTTATTAGTCCTCTGCCATTCTCTTTTCCAGGGGAACTGTTGACTTGATAGAGATAGGTCACAAATCAGCTGCAGGCAGATGCATTTCTTCCAAGGCACGTCGCTTAATCTTGCTTATCTATAGTAAGAGAGGTAGAGGGTGTTTTAACGAACAAACTTGTACTCCGCTGACTTATGATACTTCAATTTCCTTACCTCTAATAGTATAGATATATTGCAGACACGGCATCTAGAGAGATGCCTATAGCTACCTACTAAGTAGTAGGTATTTAATTGTAATAATAAACAAAAGTTCTTGTTAAAATTTGCAGAATCTGCCATGATACAGAGTAGGGCTCTAATTATTGTAGTAGGATCCTGCATGTTATGATATGGGCAGTTCTGGCTGGAATAATAGGAATATCCGGTGCATATTAAAATTGCTTCTTCCTAATTGCAGTCAGACAGTGTCTTCACCCTGCCATCGACATGGGAGTTTATACTGGCTCGCAACATGCTCCTGATTAACCGAGCCATATTTAAAGGGATCGAATGATATAGTGAAATGGTGGAAGAAAAAAGGTGAGTATCGAGGGTTAAAATTTCCAAGTTTCGGACAATAGCCGGCACGGTAGATGGACTTTTCTAGGAGAGATCTCTTTAGCTACCTTATTGAAGATTCGCTCTCTCAAACGGACGACTCTCTAAGAGTAGTTGGTGGAGACCTTGTTATCGACCCGGAGCTTGCAATTAGAGCAGGAAGGCAAACCACGGCCTCTACAACAAGCGCCTTGCTCTTTCTTTGGGCGAAACACCTTGAGATATGCCGGAAGCTGCGAAAAGAGATAGACTCTACTATATCCTCTGGGGTGGCTTTGCCGCATTCGGTGCTGGAAGGCAAGCCGTATCTGGAGAGATGCATTAACGAAGTCATGCGTCTATACCCTGCTGTTCTGAGTGGAGTCCCTCGAGAAACAGGTCCAAAGGGTTTAACAATCGATGGCGTTTTCATTTCTCCATTCAACATGGTGTCTGTGCCGACTTATGCGATTCACAGAGGTTAGACTATTCCCAGCCTTGTCTGCGTTCGTCAAAACTGACATGAGGAAACCGTGGGTTTTACAGATCTCAGAAACCACAGATACCCCAACAATTTATCTCCGAGCGCTGGATGAGCAAGTCTGACCTGATTATTAAGAAAGAGGCCTTCATACCGTTCTCATTTGGCCCATATGCCTGTGCTAAGAAGGGCTTTGCAATGGTGAAAATCCGACTGTTAATTACGACAATCGTGAGGAATTTTGAGTTCCGATTCCCTCCTGGGCAAGAGCAGCAATAACTGGATACCCTGGATGAAACGGAGTACAGGATTATTTCACGATAGTTGTTCCACCATGTCAACTGATTTTCGAAAAGAGAAATCTCAACAGTTTCTATACCAGGAGAGGAATCATCAGAGAAATGGATGTTCGATTGTCTGGATATGAAGCGTTATTTTGTACAGTATATATAAAAAATTTCGTGGCCTTGTAAGCAAACCTATTCGTATATTCAGTCCTCGAGAACGATTTCCGTAGCACTGTACATAGATTTTGTTTAGAGGTAGGTCCTGTAGATCGATAGTCATTCACCATATCGACGCCGGATGCGGTGAAGAGAAACATGGTTGACGCTAGGCGCAACCAGGGAATTGAATCAGCAAAGCGACATGCTGGCATCAGCTCTTTCGGATATTCATTGCTCGTTTTTCTCGTTATCATCTCTTTATCATCTCTCACTTCGTTCAACGGCCGCAAGGACTGCGAATCAATACTAGTTAGTCGACGAACGGACGCCGTCAGCGCTAGTACCATGTACGATCCAGCACGGGACTCATGGGACGCTCACCGCGTCCCCGACATGCCCGCGGTATGTTTTCTCCGAGCTCAGTATTGACTCTCCCCAGCCCTGCCGCTCACAATTTGGAGGCCCCCCTGTTTGTCGTTCCCTTATTGATATTCTTGTAAATAGCTAGGATATCTTAACTAATGAATGTGCCAATTATAGCCTCCCGATGATCCCACCCTAACAGCACAATCCGTGACGCAAGAACGATCTTTTCTAGTCACATCCGCTGCTCCTCCCATCCAGTCATTTACGAAGCCCACAGAACTCGAGAAACCATCGCAGCTGCTGACAGATAAAGACGGAAACCAATCAGCTCCTCAGTCTAAAATGACAAACCTTCCTCCGGCATCTCCTGATCGCACCGCTCCATCACCTAGAGCGACCCGTCCAGAGCAGAATGGCTCCTCAGCGGGCAAGAAACGAAAGCCGACGGAAGAGGAGGCGGTATTAGACAAGCAAAAGCCTGCCCCGGACCGTCCGGTTTCAAAGCGCAAACGCCTTGAAGAGCGGCACCTGAAGCAGCGAAGACGCGGCCGAACCCCCCCGTCGGCTTACTCTCGACGTGACGGGGAGGAGTTTGCGTCGGCCCCTGCTCGAAATGACCGGTCTGACCGACCCGTCTCTCCTCTTGCTCCTCCACGGTCCCCTACGCCGGAGGAGAAACCACGCCAGCGGAAACGACCCGGTGGCGGCGCCCGGATGGGACTGGTGGACCGGGAAACCCTACGTCGGAGACAGGAGGAGAGGGAGCGTGCGCAGGAAGAAGATGCTCTGCGGACTTCTCAAAGTCGGGGTGTGACTGACATTGTCCGACAACATTACAATGCAGTGCCCCAGAGAGGGCGGGAGTGGCGAAAGACCGAGAGTAAGATCAAGGGACTACGGAGTTTTAATAACTGGATAAAGAGCACTCTGATTCAGAAGTTCTCCCCCGATGAAGAATTCCTGTCCAGGGTGAATGAGAGTAAGGATTGGGCGGAGGGAACCGCACCACCTCCCATGGAGGAAAAACGGCTCCTGGTGGTGGACTTGGGTTGTGGCAAGGGAGGAGATTTGGGTAAATGGCAGCTAGCCCCGCAAACAGTGGATCTGTATGTTGGACTGGACCCCGCTGAAGTTTCCACTGTGCAAGCGCGCGAGCGGTATAATGGAATGCGATCGGGTCGAGGCTCGCGCGGAAGGCGGACTAACCCTATTTTCCACGCCGAGTTTTTCGTCAAGGACTGCTTTGGAGAGTGGCTGGGTGATCTGGACATTATTCAGCAGGTCGGCATCGACCCTAATGTTGGCCCCGGAGGATCAGTGATGAGCTCCCGCTGGGGTGGCGGTGGCTTCGACGTTGTTGCATCCATGTTCACCATCCACTACGCCTTCGAGAGCGAGGATAAAGCGAGACAAATGCTGCGCAATGTTGCTGGATGCTTGAGGAAGGGTGGCCGCTTTCTGGGCGTGTGTCCAAACTCCGACGTCATTAGTGCGAGAGTGTCGGAGTTCAACGCGAAACGAAAAGAGCGCGAAGCTGCAGCAAAGCAAGCCGAGCCAGAGGACGGCGAAGTCGAGGAAGATACCAAGGTGGAGTGGGGGAATTCCATATATCGAGTGCGATTTCCTGGCGAGACCCCAGAAGATGGCATTTTCCGACCGCCTTTTAGATGGAGATACAGTTATTTCATGGAAGAGGCGGTGGAGGAGATTCCAGAATATGTGGTCCCTTGGGAGGCTTTTCGCGCGTACGTATACTGGCACATATGTTGCGAGTCTGGCTGTTGAGACTGATCCTGTCTTTAGTCTGACGGAAGATTACAATCTGGAACTCCAGTATCGCAAACCATTCATGGACATCTGGCGTGATGAGAAGGATGACCCAGAATTGGGGCCTTTAAGTGAGCGCATGGGAGTCCGAGACCGCAACACCGGGGCGCTTCTCATGACGGAGGAAGAGAAGGAGGCAGCCAGTAAGTGATTCTTAGAGTCTGCAATGAGTTTGGAATGGTTCTGATGAGAGCAGGTTTCTACCATGCATTTTGTTTCTATAAGGTGTGATCATTTGAGGAATCTTTCGAGAGTTTTCTGTGGTCGGTTCATCTTATTATTGTCATTATACTATCGCCATTGTTTTCTATGAGACACCACATGTAAATCAGCCGGAACATAGCACATAATGGTAGACCAAGAACCCGTAGTGAAAGTAAGCCTGAAATATAAGGCACTATGTATATTACCAAATATGGTTAGCGTCGTCGCGTCGCGCATTCAACAGTTCATTATCAGTCACGATCTTCATATCAACCAATAGCCCAAAGTTACAAACCACTTCCCTTATCTCCCTCACTCTTTTCAATTCCTCAGTCAGAGGGGATAATCATATCCCAAAACCTGTAACCAAAAGGGAACCTGAGGGCAAGAGAGATGGCAACGCCCACTCCGGGACGAGCACATTACACTCCCAGCTCGACACAAAGAGCTCCCCGTCAACGAGAACGGCCCTCTACGCCCCCGTTACCTGACTACGAAGCTCCAATCGCACCTCTGACAGCCGCAGGGCACAATGCGCTCCTTTCATTGCTGAAATCTCAATCCCTACATCACCTCAAAACCCACCTTCAACATGCGGGGATGAAGTTGACGGATTCAGCGGGGGAGGTCAATGAAAGATTAACTGATGCGCGGATGAGATATCAGAAACAGAAGGATCGGAGGAGGAGGAGCAGAAGTGGGGGGGATGAAGATGAGGATGGGGACGCTGTCGAGGATGAAGAAGAAATCAATCGATTGGCGCAGTTGGAGGAACGAGTTGGTGATATTACGGGAAAATTGGAGTTGCAGGTGAGACAGACCGTGGATGCGGAGGCTAAGGTTGACGCGTTGACGGGGGCGTTGGGGCAATTTGAAAGAGAGGCGGAGGAGGCGAATGCTCCGAGATCTCAGACTAGAAGGGGAGGGGGACGGTCAAGGAGAGGGGAGGGAGAAGATGAGGATGAAGACGGTGATGATGGAGATTACGAAGCGACGCCTGAACGGGATATTGTGGGTGAACCGGCTTCGCGGAGACTGGAGGACAGGCTTAATAAAAGTTATGCCGAATGGGATAGGCTGTCCTTGACTCAAAGGTACGTTCAACTGATTAAAAAAGTGTTCGACCACGGTATGCTAATTTGTGTAGATACTCCGCAAACAACACATATATTGGGTTCTACCGGATCGTGCATGAAGCTAAACATGCCGGTGACGATATGCCTCCTCTTCCACACGCTTCGACATGGTTTTCGCATCTGGAAGATCCAAACGCGACTCAAGAAGTTGAGTCTTCTCGCCGCACCCGGAATAATCGCAGTCCATCACCAGCAGACTCAGATGAGATCGCAATCGAACGCGAGCGCATCTCCAGGAAGTGTCCGCTGACATTGCTCCCCTTCCGAGACCCTGTCACGAGTACAAAGTGCCCACACAGTTTCGAGCGCGAAGCTATTGAGAGTATGATTGCACAGAGCCCGTCGACTGTGCCGGCGCCCCCCTCGGCGGCAGGCGCCCCCCATAGTCGAGCGACGCGACGTATCCGCTCTGTCAAGTGCCCGGTGTGCTCAGTAGTGTTGACCATGCATGATCTGCGGAGTGATCCCGTGTTACTGCGGAGGGTGCGCCGTGCCGAAGCCTTGGAGCGGGAAGCGGAGGATGAGGATATGGAAGCTGATGCGTCCCAGCGGAAACGGCCTCGGAGAAGCGGAATTACCGTAGCCAGCGATGATGAGGATGAGGATGAGGATGAGGGTGATGGAGATGAGAATCATCGCAGCAAGCGACAAGCTACGGTCGATCCTATTCGAATTAAACAGGAGAGGGCTATATCCAGTGCGGCCCTCGATGAATAGCTGTATATGTATGGTATTATGATCATACGGGTTTTCCTTGTACGGCTGGTATGTGACTGTGCCTAATAGACACCGACGAAGAAGATTCATGAACACCGAATAGTTACTTTACTGTGTGGATGTAGGCCGGCGCTGTAACTGAAGTAGGATAGTTGGCTATACCATGATCTGTGCCAAAAACTTTATTTACTTATTATTCCGTATATGAGGACATGCCATCTATTGGTGATCTATAGGTACTATGATTTCTCACAGATGACCATCCTCACAATCGACTAGATGGTCAGCCCTCCGGTGTTCATGTTGACCTGCAGAATCCCTGAAAATATCCTGAAATTTACAGGTTGCACCACCATTCCTACCTAGGCTAGGGTCACGGGTTCGCTACTTGTCGTTTAAGGTTCTTCTAGCTCTTTAGATTCATCTTTTCATTCCGTCCCCAGATAGCCAGCCAGTCCTGGACAGAAGAGCTTGAGGCTTTCAATTCTTCCAGACATTGATTCCGTACACTTTTGCTTTGGATCACGCGTAATGCGTGCCGAATGTTACGCCATGACCCGCAGTGCAGCGCTTTGGCGACCCAGTCTCCTCCCGGTGCCTCGAGAGCGAGGAGAATCGGGTATGATAGCTCCCTGTTCTGAAGATCTTCAGCCAGTGATCCTTTGGACTTGGCATATTCCGATGAGTAGACATTTTTACAGTCGTTTTGCAGTTGAGAGCACCACCTAAACAAAGGGTCAGCTTGCCCTGTCACTGCAGAAGGGTGCCATAGAGCCAAAATCGCGACGAGGAATGGCGTACGCAAGAGTGGTCATGGTCTGATCGGCCGACTTATCTTCCAGCACGAGTTGACCCAGCAGTCGGAATAATGCACCGGTTTTCAACGAGGCCATCTTTCGATATGCGGCCGCTCGGTCGTCCGCGTGTGTGGGGAGGCTACGAAGTCCGTCTCTTCGCCAGACTAAGGATATGTCCTGACCCTGCAGAATCTCTTCCAGATTCTGCATCAGAAATGGCGCCAGTCTGGGGAATTGTTGAACTGTCTTATTCAAAATCTGTGTCACTCTGTAGTAAGCGCGGTTTGCAGTCTCGGATGGTCCGTAGATCTTGTGAGCCGCCGGCTTGCCTTTCCGGCAGTCACTACTGTCAGAGATCTACTTCGATTTGTTAAGAATGAAAAGTGCAGAAGAAACGGAGGTTCTGGCCGAAGGGCATGACCTACATCGTCCACCAGCATCAGACACAGGTGAATAACGTCCATGATCTCCAAGATCATCTTGTATTTGTCCGGATTGTCATCTTTTAGAGTGGGAGAAAGCTTGTGCACGAACGGTGCCCAGTGATGCTTGCCGTAGAGCTGTCGGATATAGCCATAAGGGCATTCGATGTCCGTGACGCTTTCAGGATGCTTCCGTCTGCTTATATATGACTTCTTGGAGACGGGCCAAAGTGGAGGCATTCGGTCTATGAGAGCAAAGCACAACAGAGGGAAGATCCCGACGGTGGCTAACCAGGGCAAAGGCACAGACGGAACAACATGAGTCTCCATCTCAATGTCGGTGTCGGAAAGAGATAGAGATGACTATACAGTGAGAGACTCTCCAACCCACCACAATTCTTTACCTATTATATAGCCATGGACTGAAAGAAAAAAGGATCTTGGAGGGCTTCTCTAGTGGCTTAGTACGTGGTGACACTCCGGCAAAGTTACACTATCTAGATGCTCTGCTTTACTCTGTGTCGCAAACCGGGGTGGCCGTTTGCTGCTACATCTAGGAATTGTGCAAACATACCAGTAACAGAGAGAGGAAAGCCAAGGCCATATTGGGAGGCTATGGCCTAGAACTGTGCCTGAGAAAATTAACTTCAAGCCGAGGTTTGCTCATCACGTCTGTGTTTCGTCTTGATATTGATCAATGAAGCCGGAATGGGAGTTAGCATCTATCCTCTCCTGATTGGCTACATATTTCCGTCGAGCTGTTCCTGAACCCCGAAAAGGAGTTCTATGCTCATGCGAGCTGCAGGTGCCGACCCGCCTTCAGGCGCTCTCTCGTTTAGAAATAACACTAGCCGCATGACAGTTGCAGCGATTATTAAGGTTTTCCGGGAAACAGCAGACTGAATGGATCATCAGCACTCCCTTAGTGGCTATGTCGCGCACACGGGTTGTCCACTTCATCCAAAATCTTTATAGGTCCATCCAGTCCAGGGTCAGTCTGGATAACGATGTATAGCTGCACTTGTCGTATGGGTTTTGTTCTGTATCATGTGTCATTCTTAGCTCTTCTAAAACAGCCCACTGCCGGTATTAGCTTTATTTATAAAACTGGATATCATGCACACGACTATCATTTACTGTTGTATTGATGGAGCAATGTTCCAATAACAATATGAATGTATCGGGGCTCTGCCCTCAGTGTGAGTTCATCGGAAAACATTCATCTCGAATATCATGCACTTCAAAGGAAATGGAGAGCATATTGGACAGCGCTTATGAATACCGGAGAAATTGTTGCGGACTTTAACGTGAGCTGCCGTGTGGCACAACATCTCTTGTGTGGCATACGGTTACGATGTGGCATATCTTCGTGGGTGATACGTAAAACGTTCGCACTGATTCAAATTTTCGGCAGCACGATTCATCAGCACGGCTGGACAGTTCTGTTTTTACTGATGGTGGAGTTCCTGGTATCGGAACATCGGCTATATACCAGCTAGACAAAGCTTTCCAGCAGGTATCTTCTATTAATGGATCCACCGGGTTTCCGAGTCGTCATAGTTGGCGGCTCCATTGGAGGTCTGACTCTAGCACATTGCCTGCAGCGAGCCAACATCCGCCATATAGTCCTTGAAAAAGGAAAAGAGATTGCTCCAGAGCTTGGCGCATCAGTCGCCATATTTCCCAATGGGGCACGGGTATTCCACCAACTTGGAATCTTTGAAGAAATGGAGCGGATAATTGAGCCGCTACGGGTAGTTCATGCGACTTATCCCGATGGCTTTTACTTTAGGAGTCACTATCTCAGTGACATCGAAGAGAGGCATGTTGAGATTCTTCTCGGGAGGGATGAAACTGAGCAGTGTCATACCATCAACAGGATCTGACGGAGTATCGGTCTAGATTCGGCTTCCCAGTCTGTTTCATGGCCCGCCAGAAACTCCTGGAGATTCTGTATAAGAGATACCCGGACAGTTCCAATATTCTCACCGGTAAAAGAGTTACCGAAGTCCGCCAACTGGACCGTGGTGCCTGCGTCATCACAGAGGATGGGTCAGTCTACAAGGGAGACCTCATTGTTGGCGCCGACGGAGTTCATAGTCGAATCCGGTCCGAGATGTGGCGATTGGCAGAACACATGCCAGGTCGAATTGCACAGAAAGAGAAGAAGAGTCTGCGAATATGACCCATGTATCCTCAATAATCATCGGCTAATTCTCCCAGGTATGACGGCGCAATATGCATGCTTGTTCGGCATGTCGTCCCCCATTCCGGGACTTGAAGCCGGAGAACAAGTCTATGCCTTTCTCAATGGACTTACAATAGTGACTAGCCACGGCAAAAATGGTCGATTATTCTGGTTCTTTATTAAAAGGCTCGATCGTAAATACCTTTACCCGGACGTAGTTCGGTTTTCGAACGAAGATGCAGCGCAATTCTGCTGCCAGATTGCAGAGGTGCATGTTTGGAACGGCGTTTATGTACGAGATATATGGAGGAACCGCGAGGCTTATTCAATGACTGCTCTGGAAGAGTCATTTTTCCGGACCTGGCATTATGGTCGAATGGTGCTGCTCGGTGACAGTGTTCATAAGGTAATTGAATGGACAGCGATATTCCCTACTATATGACTGCACTAGACCCCCAATTGACTAACCTTGGTCAACGGAAAAAATCCAGATGACGATCAATGCCGGGCAAGGAGCAAACAGTGCCATTGAAGATACAGCACTCCTGTCTTCTACTCTTCATGACCTTATCTATTCGACCTCACCTCAGATACCCTCATACCTTCAGATTAACCGTGCGCTCGAGAAGTACCAGGCAAGGGGACATAATCGTGTGAAAGACATCTATGACTGGTCTTGGTACATTGCCCGTGTTCATGCGCGCGATGGTCTTCTAAATACACTAATCAGTCGCTATTATATCCCTTATCGAGTCAATGTTCCTGCAGATATGATCTCGGGAATTATTGCGGATGCGGAGTCGATACAGTTTCTTCCTCTGCCTGAGAGGTCCGGGCCAGGTTGGTCGATGTATAGCAGGAAGAGAAGTATGGTTCTTCGTCTCAAATGGCCGGTATTGTTTGTGGTGGTACTGGTAGTGGGTTGGTGGTTTCGAGGACTATAAAACGGTCTGAAAATTGTATCACTTCCTGAGGCTCATACAAAAAATAGAGTACATCATCGTTCATTGTCAGGAGGTTTAATTGATTTTCACTAAAGAAAACTGTGTTGAGTTCTACTATAATAAATTCCATTTTTATGCTGTATAAACAATGGTTTATGCTTCGCAAGTCACCATATTGCAAATCCGTAAGCACAGTGATAACCACTACTCATTAGAGGTATGTAAGTACTATACATCAGAATAGATGAAATACTGGATTAAGCCCTGAACGCCGCGCTGGAACCGGTGGAAAAGCAATGTACAAACACAATCATGGCGCAATCGATTTCCTTTTTGGCGACTTGACATTCAGCACCTGTCTCATCCTCCGAAGTTTGGCCCACCATTCACGATCCGACTCCTTTTTAGCCTCCAAATTTGCCTCGTCCACCGCAGAGCCATCTACAGAGGCGGTTTCCGAGACAGCAAGACTATCCATAGAAGCGGTGGATCGAATGCGACGACGATGCTTTGTCTTGAGTGATTGAGCCAAAAGTTCCCATCCACTGCGCAATTCCTGCGATTTTTGAGACTGCCTTCCTATACCACTCTGAGAGACCCTGTTGATCCAGGGACAGTATTCCATGTGTTCAGTTTCCGCATCGAGCGTCTCATATATGGCTTCATCGCCGTTCTCTTTGGGTCTGTACATCCACAGTCCTAATCGTCGAAAACAGGCATTGCATTCTGCAAGCCCCACTGCTCCATCCGAGACGTTGTTCCAGCCAAAGAAGGCCAGAACAAATGCTGTGCGATTAATTGACGTCTCCTTCTGAATCCCAGACCCAGGTGTTTCCGTGTTTTTATCTACTGGTCGAGGAGTCTGTGGTCCAGTGGCGTCCGGCTCTGTTTTGGGGTCTTCCATTCCCGCACTTGGTAGCGCCTTCATAATATCCTCCAGAGCAAAGGACTTGGGTGTGCGGATAATGTCGTAGGATGGTAATTCATTGGCCATTTTGACGAGATGAGAGTATCGCGCTCGAAGGCCAGATATTGCTGTGTCGGGATTAGCTAGAGGCAGACGGTGGATTGTAGCTGTCGGTTTGATTAGCAAATTGGACGTAAATAAACGCGTTGGCTGGGGGTGTGCCAACGAACCATCGCAGCCCTTGTTCCTCCACGGGCAGCTTTCCGAGTGTCCCTGGACAATAAGACTAACGTACTCGTCTATCAGCTTGTTGCCTATGTCCTGATCAGTTTTGTTCACTTTCCAGAATTCAACCACGTAGTTTTAGAGAACCATAACGTACGAACTTGCTTTCTCTCCTGTACCTTCTCGCTATCATATCCGTCCAGTTCATCCAACTCATCAGGCAACCTGACAACAACCGAGCCGCCACAGCCCCCGACGCAAGTGACTCGCGAGACATCGGTACATATCCACCCACGCTTCGCCCATTGCACTTCACTGATATCCGAGGGCTTCGGGGACCAGCGATCCACTCGACGAAACGTCTCTAATCGCTCGAGAAACCGTTCGCGATCCCATGGGACAAAGCTCGGTCGTGAAGTCGTCGATTCACGCGACGCTGGTCGAGAGACCTTCGAAATCGTTCTCCGCACCGATGCAAGCTCGGTACCATCATCGCGGCCGTTCACTCGAGCTTTCTTGGATGACAAGTCCGCGGAGGTCGAATCTCTAGTGGTCGTCGGCGCTCCCTTGGGTGAAGATTCAGGAGTCAAGGGCTTGGTCAATGACTCCAGCACCCGATGGAATTTGCGCTTCTTGGTCTCCACGGCATACGACATGGCTTCAGGAGCGTGTGGAGCGATGCGCTGGGGGTGAGGCAGTCAATCCAATTCAATTAATTGCAGCGACTCAGATGCCTTAGTGATCTTCTTGCCTGAGGATTGCATTGGCGCTAGTCCCGGATAAGAAGGCACGTCATTGGTGCCTCAGGCATTATAGGGAAGTCGACGAGAGGAATCACAGGTAGACTGAAGCTGAGACTGGTCGCTTGTATTGTTCCTATCACTGCGTTAAGGGCATCTACTCCGTATATTTTCTGTCTTCACATTGAATGACGTGCCAGAGTACAGTCATCCCAAAACTTCAAATCAGGCCACCCTGATTGGCTCCGCCTCGGGATCTCGGCGCCGAGAGGCTCATGCAATTCAATAATGGAATCCAATTCAATTTACTCCCCTTCTCTTCCGGATTCCTCCCCCATTGACAACTCCCCCGCCCTTATAGATTGGTTGGCAGTATGGCCTCCATGGGGAGCTCTGTGCCCTTCTTTCGGAGCTTTGCGCCCCGACTGTCTCTCTCGTTCTTCACCTGTCGTCAATGTCTAGGACGCAGCCAAACTTATGCCGCCAACTCCGTCTTCCGCCGACAGTTTGGTGCCTTCTCTTTTGCGCAGACGACTGGCAAGACCAATTCGGCCGCTGTGTATGCTAGAGTGAGAAAGGGTTTTCCGTCGGCTTGGAACCGGTCGGTTTCAAGTTCGGCAGCAGTAAATGCGGTCGAGAACGGAGCTTCCAAAGCTAAATCTAGTTTTCCTGATGTCAGCGATAAGAAGGTGGCCTACTGGCTGCTGGCAAGCGCTGCCAGTGTATTTGGTATTGTGGTGTTTGGTGGTCTGACAAGATTAACGGAATCAGGGTACGTTTGCTCTTTCAGTATTAAGTCTCCAAGTGAAAAGTTGGAACGTGAACTGACATTATAATATAGTCTGAGTATCACCGAATGGCGCCCTGTTACCGGGTCTCTTCCCCCCATGACCGCAGACGACTGGGAGTCGGAATTTGCCAAGTATCGTGACTCCCCGGAATTCCAGCTATTGAACCCGCACATGACCCTCTCCGAATTCAAGTCGATCTACTACATGGAATGGATTCATCGCCTCTGGGGTCGATTCGTCGGTCTCTCGTTTGTGCTTCCCGCTGTATACTTTGTTGCTAGGAAAAAGGTCAGCAAGCCGATGGCTTTGCGCTTGGCTGGTATCGCGGGCTTGATTGGCTTTCAAGGGTTTATCGGTTGGTGGATGGTCAAGTCAGGACTGAAGGACGATCTTTTCGCACCAGGTAGCCACCCTCGAGTGAGCCAGTACCGTCTCACAGCGCATCTGGGGGCTGCTTTTGTCTGCTATGTTGCCATGTTGTGGAACGGACTTGCGATCTTGCGGTCCCATCGTCTTCTCACTGATCCAGAAGCTGGCACCAAGTTGTTAGACTCTCTTCGTGACTCGAAACTTAAGGTCTTCCGTCGATCGGTTGCCGGGCTCGCTCTTTTGGTGTTTGTAACGGCTATGTCTGGTGCTCTAGTCGCTGGTCTTGATGCCGGCCTGATTTACAACGAGTTCCCCTTCATGGGCAACGGCCTGGCGCCACCCAAGTCGGAACTGCTGGATGCACGATATTCGCGCCATGAGGATCGGTCAGATCTCTGGTGGAGAAACGTGCTTGAGAACCCGTCTCTTGTTCAGTTGAATCATCGTATTCTGGCCATGACCACCTTCACCAGCATCATGGCTCTCTGGGCGTACTCGAAGTCTCCCGCTATGAAGCGCCTCCTTCCACCCGTTGCAAAGAAAGGCGTCCATGGCGTCGTTGCTTTCGCATTCATGCAAGTGGGTCTGGGAATATCGACCCTGCTGTACCTCGTTCCGACTCCTCTGGCGTCCGCCCACCAAGCAGGAAGTTTGTTCCTTCTCACCTGGGTCCTCGTTTTGGGAAGTCGAATCTGGCACCCGTCGAGAACGGCCAAGCTGCTCCAAATGGCGGCCAAGACTCGTAGCCAGGCCCTGTCGAACGCTGCTACCCATGGTCCTCGCCAGCTATGAGTCGTAGTCTGTCTACTTGCGGAGATAGGGCGGGCTACTTTAGTGTGACTTTGCGTCTGCTCCATCATCGTGTTATGTTTGCGATTGTTGGAGGACCAGTGTATGTTATAAGAATCTCTACTTCTACTTTGTACAATAAATTAACGTGTACGATTTTGCTTCTCGGTTGATCATCTCATATTTCTCTCTTCTGTCCTCAAACTGAATCTTGGATCTGAGAAGAGGCTCCATACTAACATAGGAAATTGCACAACACCATTCATTTACTGACTAGGTCCACAGATATCCATTGACTTGATACACTATCCGGCTGTGTTGAGATGGTCACCCCAATACTCAAGGACCCAAAGCCAACGTTGTCCATTTGACTTCCCAATATACAGCCTGAAATCTACAATCAAAAGTGATTCCAGTCCGGCAGACGAAAAACGTACAGACAGATAACAGAAAGTGACAGTCCCGACAGGTTTAGTCCTCACTGAAAGCCAGTCCATACCCAACGCCAGAGAATGGGAGAGTTAGATACATGAAAACAGACATAATTTGGAATTGAAAGCACTAGATGATGTGAAAGGAACATGAGATTTATTCGTCATCAACGCGAGTTGACAGACAAATTTGCAGCATAAAGGTTTTCATTGCGTCGTAATCCGGCGTACAAACGTTCAACAATGGGGATTTGGGTTTGGTGAAAAGTCAAAAACCAACAGGAAAGAAAAGGGAAGAGATTGGCTAAGGACATGAGGAAATCGACCCAACTTGAGCTACAATTTTCCTGAACGCTTGCGAGAATAGGACTGAGCCTTGGTCTTCAGGTTGTAGTCCTCGTCTTCATCAGTGTCCCAGTCATGCAAGTCGTCGCTGTCCAAGTCTTTCTTGCGACGATAAGCTTCTAACTCTCGGTTTCCCCGTTCCATAGCCTGGCGGCGGATTTTTGGTATGCAACGGTAAACAGGGCCATTTGGTATCGACTCTCCCATTTCCTCATCCGTCATTATCAGCTCAGTCGCGTTGTCGTCGACCTCAAAAGGATTGTCCCATCGCCATTCAAGGTCATGATCTCTGGCAAACTTTTCCATTTCAAAAGCCTCGACGCTTAACGCCAAGATGAGTCGAGCGCTCTTCAGCACACTTTCGGTTTCGCTAACTTCTCCTGCGGAAGCCTCTTCATTAGGACTTGCGTTAGGTGAGGAGGGTTTGGAGGCTTTGCCGGTCTTTCGAACCTGAGTGTTGGGCGTACGCCTCTTGGTCACTTTCGCCTGAGCGCCAGCGCCTCCTTTCTTTCCCTTGAACTGTCTGGCTTTCTTTTTGCCAGTAGGAGTCTCATCTGGAATGACCAGGTCATCCCTGCTAATAGGACCGGTGTGCACACGACCACCAGCACGATGAGTACGAAGACACCCGTTCTTGAGAGTACATACATTGCATGACTGCCATCCGCAATCTAGGCATCGGGTCATCCCGTTCCCGTTGCGCTTATTACAGAGATCACATTTGGCTGTATGTGCGCTGACGGGTTCGAATTCAGTCAGTGCCGCCGATGGTCCTGGGATTCCTGACATAGGGGAAGGAGTTCGCGGTGCTGGTCTATTATTGGAAGTAGTGGTAACTGGAGTGGTGACTGGAGTGGTGACTGGAGTGCTAGGCCCCTGGGATCGCTCTTCAGAGCCATGGATCGAAGAAGTCTCGACAAGGAAAGGAGGTTTGGGCTTTGGGAACATTCCAGACTCCAAGGCGGTGGTAGGATCAGCCTCCCTCGTATGGCAGTACACACTGGGCTTCAACGGGGGAAGCTCGAGACTGTCCTTGGGCTCTGGCTCTGCGGGATTGAGAAGGTCTGAAATAGGTGCCAGACGAATATTCCGACCAGGACGAGAAGTGTTAATAGCGTGATGGGTCAGAGGAGCTCTCATGTCCGGAGCAAACGGGTCACTTTGGTTCCAATATGGGTATGGTCTATTGACAGCAGGTCTATGGATAGAAGCGGTAGGAGGAACAGTCGGAAAACGTGAGAAAGACCAAGCCATGTGTGGCATGGCCATGTGTCCGACCGTACTATTTATTTCTTCTCTGGGTCTGGCATGGAAAGTCAAAGAGCTGACGCAATGTCTAGGACCTTCACCGTTCGCCTGCATGCTTTGTTGGCTCCTATTCTACCCCAGGCAACATCCATGACAAGTACAAGCAGAAAGGAGCAGAACGAAAAACGCACTTCACATACCTGATAGACAGGGGACTGACCAAGCCTGCCTGCCTGAAGGAGAGCCAGATAAGAGTTACCATTGCACTGGCTCGACTGAGGAGGAGGAGGGAGGTATCGAAAACCTCTAAAAGCATCGTACTCTTCTCCATAGTTAGGCATCTTGATGATTGACTCCTAGAAGAGAACAGCAAAAAAATACAGATGACTTTTTTCGTTTGGGGAGAAAGAACACTACTCAAGAAACCAAAGGAGACCAGGTCATGCAGTGGAAAAAGAGTGACGAGAGAAAGAAGAAAAGGAAGAAAGGAAGAAGATAGGCGAGCCAGTGCAGTTCTGTTTTGTGCACGTGGATGTCCAACAAGAAGTGAATGAAGGGCTAGACAGACTATAATAAGAGAGCTCAGCACTTGCAAAGGCGGTTGGCTGGCACTGGATATCAATAAAGACAGCAGACGTCACATCTGGAGAGGTCCGCTAACTGGATAGGTACTTCTGCTTCAGTCTCTGCGGAGGCTTTATTTAACCGGGGGGTTCCTTAGGCCCTTTGTATTTGGGGCATTATTCGCCCCTGGGCTTTTTGGAAGTGGAAGAAAAAAGACAGGATAAGGGCATTGTTTCGTGGGCTAAAGTTTAACAAAAGAAGTGAGACTTGGTTTATGTCCAGCTTTGAAAGCATTATCAGCCGGTAGGGATTGCAAATAATCTATACCGGATATCTAAGGATTTACATTTAAGTAGGTATTATACAGTTGGTCTTCTAGGCTAGTATAATCTGTTGTCTCATCGGGGTGGAAGTAGACTCTTCATACGGTTATATCAAGAAGCTCCAACTACATTGTATTCAAATTATAAACAGTATACAAATCATGTATTCCTCAAACTCATTATTATTTCTTTCCCTGTTTCTAGAGCATCTCTGATGTAAATCTTTAGAATCTTAAGAGACAAAGATATAAAATACGAGTCATCCATCCCGTGTAAATTCTCTGCAAATAATCCATGACACTAACAATATTTATTTATGAGCTGGAAACGAAAGTTAGCGATCACTGACCAAGGACCGGCTCAGAGGTAACTAGAGTGGATACGTACGGATTCCCTCCTCACGCTGAGGTTCCACACCCACCACCTCAGCAGCGGTCTTGGTATCCTGCGCCGTCTTGTCTTCCTTCATGAAGGGGAAGGCCAATACCTCCTTGATGCTGTAGTTGTCTGTGAGGAACATGACTAGTCGGTCGATACCCATGCCCCAGCCACCGGTCGGAGGCAGACCATATTCCAAGCTGGTGCAGAAGTTCTCGTCGATGAGTTGGGCCTCGTCATCACCCTGGTCCTTCTGGTGCGCCTGCTCCTCGAAGCGCAGACGCTGGTCGAACGGGTCGTTCAACTCGGTGTAGGCGTTGACAATCTCCTTCTTGCAGACGAAGGCCTCGAACCGCTCGCACAGTCCCACGTTCTTCCGGTGGTACTTGGCCAGCGGGGACATCATCTGCGGATGGCCCGAGATGAAGGTGGGGTTGACACAGGTCTCCTCGATGAATTCACCGACGAGCTTGTCGAGCATGCGCGCATTTGTCAGCGGTGGCGAGCACTCGACGCCCGTCTTCTTGAGCACGCGCTTTAGGAACTCGCCGGCCTCCGCAGTGTGCAGCTGGTCACCGGGTGGGAACTTCTCGCCCGTGGCCTCCTCCAGGGCCGGGATCATCTCCACGCGCCGCCAGGGCGCCTTCCAGTTGACCTGGTATTCCTCGCCGGTCTGCGTGTGGAACGTCGTCTCGTAGCCGCCGGTAACGTGCTTCACCAGTCCCGAGATCAGCTCTTCCGTCAGGTTCATGACGTCGTGAACATCAGCGTAGGCCCAGTAGAACTCGCAGGTGGTAAACTCGGGGTTGTGCGTCAGATCGATGCCCTCGTTCCGGAACTGACGGCCCAGCTCGTACACACGCTCCAGACCACCTACGATCAGCATCTTAAGATACAGCTCGGGCGCCACGCGCATGAACAGGTTCATGTCGAGATCATTGTGGTGGGTGACGAACGGCTTGGCTGTGGCGCCGCCAGCGATGGCGTTCATCATGGGGGTTTCGACCTCAATGAAGTCGCGGCTGTCGAAGTATTGACGGATGTAGCTGACGATCTTGGACCGGGTGACGAAGACGCTGCGCGATCGGTCGTTCATTATCAGGTCCAGGTATCGCTGGCGGAACCGCTGTTCCTTGTCCTGGAAACCGTAGTGCTCGGAGGGGATGGCGTGCAGACAGGGGGCCAGGAGCACGACCTCCTTGGCGAAGATGGATAGCTCTCCGTCGGCACGGTTCTTGGGGTTACTGCGGCCGGGGAAGCCGACAATGCCGACGATGTCACCTCTCCGGAGATGTTCATGCTGGGCCTCGAAGGGCACATCGCCCGTGGTGTTCTGGGCCTGGCACACAACCTGCACCTTGACTCCCTCCGCACGGATATCATAGAAGATTAACTTGGTACCCGAGGCACGCTTGGTGTAAATCCGACCGGCGACGCGAACGGTGACGTCGGGCTTCTGCTCGCCCTTGGCCAGACCCTCGTATTCCTTCAGGTACTGGCGCAGGTCATCGGTGACCTGGAACTTGTGGGGGTAGGGGTCAGGGTTCTTGCTCTCGCGCAGCTTGTTGATTCGCTTGCTGCGAATTTCAAAGTATTGCTAGATGATCATGAGTAATTGCAAATATTTTGGGGAAAAAAAATTAAAAAAAAAAAAAGACGGGACAGCCACAACTCACGTTAGGGGTCAGATTGGCCTCCTCCTCCTCCGCAGAGACCTTCTTCTCAGGCTTAGGAGGAGCAGCAGCTTCCTTCTCCTTCTTCTTGGCCTCCTTCTCGCGGAGCTTCTGGCGACGCTTCAGTTCCGTCTTGGACACCTTCTCACCGGTCACCTCATCGAGGAGCAGATTGGCCATAGAGGCCTCTACCTCCTTGACAGCGTTCGAGTCCGCCATGGATGCTGGGAATATTGGGGGGAGAAGTGATGGTGGAGTGAGTGGAAAGAGGGAGAGAGAGGATTTGGTGGGAGAAGTTGAAGTCGAAATTGAGGGGCAGAAATCAATTTCGGGCGGGAGTCTCTTTATTGGGCCGTTGTCCCCGCCATGACTCACGACGTCAACACACAGTATGGGACTCAGGATATAGGGAGTATCGCATTCGAATGATCACTGCTGTGCTTGTATCCTAGGTCAAAAGATCGCTGGCCGTCGCGTTGGTCGTACATTGCGGAGTTCAAGATTCGCGATCGCCGTTTTGGGCAACTTGGGGCTTAGGGCTTAGGGCAGCTATGTGGGGCTTCTATCGCGATAAGCAGCTCTATATATATCTCTAGGAATTACAAACTCAGAATTAGAGGAACCACAATGAGAAATTTAATTTCAGATGAACTATATCTCGATTTACAGGTTCACTGCGCATATGCATCTAGCGTACAAGTATCTACCCATTCCCTCGAACAAGGAAGAGAAAACAACAGAAAAGAAAAAAACGCTAATAAATAATACAGAATCGCATCCCCCTAAAACACCCCAGTACCCCTCCGCCCACTTCGTCTTCACCCGAAAATTCTTAAACTTCCAGGTTTTCTCCTCCCTCACCAGGTCCATCCAATAAAAATTCCCTGTCAACAGTCTCGTCTGACCCTGCTTCAGTCCCTTCCCATCGCGATAATGCCGCCCAATAGAAGTCGCGGTCATCTTCGTGGTGTTGTCCCCACTCTCCGCGCGGTCGACATGCATATTGCTGACGAAGTGTGTGGTGTCCAGCTGCGAGACCTTGTCGTAGCAGTCTGTGCGAATGGTCGGTAGTGCCTGGGATACGGTTCCATTGAGTTCGAAGGTGGCGTCCTGTGTGAATGCCGAGTTGAAGAGTACTGGGTCGTTGGTGTTGAGGCCGACTAGACACCGGGAGAGAGCGTCGGTGATGGCCTCCCGGATGGGAAGAAGCGGAGACGAGAGTGCGACGGGGAGGTTGGGGATACATGCCATTTTTCTTTTGGCTCTTAGGTACGATTGTACGACTGTATGCTGGTATATATGAAGAAGATGGATTGGAATTAGTTATGGGAGTAGGTGTGCTTTTATTGTCTTGTTTAACACCGATATCTCAAAACAGGGCTAAGCGGACACCGTTCACTGATTAATCCTCCTGGTTTCTCTGGAGAAGGGCGAGATGAAGAAATATCGGTGTTAGTTGTATGATACTATCACGGGCGAGCATCTACGGCATAAGTGACAGTATCTAGAGAGTATACTGTACTGCATAAGAGGTTAGGAGGGTCGGAAACAGACCAATCTGTCAATTTGTTCCCGTCTACAAACATATAGGATGGGAATACTCCGTACTACCATCTTAGTGACAACTAAAGGCCATCGCATATTGGTACACTGCGTAGTGCATATCACATCCAACTGCCCATCGACATCAGCACTAATCCATACTCACGGTAGGAGGAAACACCGGGAAACTCGCCCACTCGTCGGGGGGCTGTGACTTCACAAACACCGTTCCCTGCTCGCCTGCGTCGTCTTCACGCTTTACACTGTCCAGCCATTCCTGCGCCTTGGTAATCTTCTCCTTCTCCCGAAGCAGGTACTGACGTCTATGTTGACGCTCCGGATCCTCGGCCATTAGTTCCTGACAACGTTCAAAGGCTGTGTCCGGTCAGTCTCTGGCGTATCTTCCATAGGCTTATCAAACTCACCATTGTCTTCGACAATGCCCAACTCTTCCTCGATGACAGTGATCAGTTCGTCCCTGCATTTGGAGAACAACTTGGTGTGCACGCTCTGGCAGGTGAAGTCGATGAATCGCGAACTTGCTATCTCATAGTATCCCCTGGTGGACTGCATACTCAATGGATTAGATTCCGACGGTTAAACTGGGGAAGCTACTCTATTGAGACAACACTTACCGCCATCATCTTCAACTCCTGTGTAAAGTCGTCAGCCGGCAGGACCAGTCTCTTCATCTCATAATCCCTGCGCGGATGCTCAGCGGAGATCCCCCGTAGGGCCAAGGCGCAGTGGACGCGAGCTTCGTTACGACGAGTGCTGAGAAACTGGTAGGCGGACCGGCTGACCTGCTCCAGCGTCGTTGTCGCCATGGTAAACGGCTTATGACACTCTATGTCATAATTTTCCTGTGCATGTCGGATATGTTCTTTCTGAAGTCCTCTCAGAAATGTGTCAATAATCTTCCTTAATTCTCTGTAAAGGCTTGTCTGCCGATACTGGGTGAACACATCTTCCAGTTGCTTCATGAGCATTTCCCGCACCAAGCTATGAGTAGCCTGCAGAAACACCAGCATGGGTTCGTTCCAGTGCCTCACGCTCAACTGCCTCATGATTTCGATGGCCTTGGGATCTGCCTGGTCGGGGATCCCGGCGCGGTACGCGTCCTCATTGATCTCCCTGATCTCTTCCCAAGTAAACATACGTGCAGGCTTGTCAAACTTGTGAAAATGAGTGGTGAAGTATACCGAGGTTTTCGGGGTGCCCACCTGCCCCCCCGCCCCGTTGACATCTGGAAGGTTGGGTGTAGAAGTCGGTCCATCACCAGGAGTTTTTCGTTTCACGGGGGTCACATTCTGGACCCCAGTCATCTCACAGTCGGACTCTCCGTCACGCTCACCCCCAAGTCGGGCGGCATCCGAACCTGCTCGTAGCTGGACGGTTGGACGAGTCTTAATGAGGGCGGTTTTGAAATCCAGGGCCAAGTGACCCCATATCTTCTGCAGAGGATACTGGGATGACCCACCATTAAAATGAGCGGTGATTCTTTCCTTTAGCTGACTGATTTTTCGACACAAGATATACTGCACGTTGGCGCTTGGAGGGTCTGGAAGGGTCCTCAGTTCATCATCAATACGAGCCGCCTTTGCATCGATTTGTTCAATGATCCGAGGAAGGCATCCCTGGATCCGCTCCAGAAGGAGCATAGACAGTGCAGACTGAAGGTTCCTCGTGCCGAATCTATCCTTGTATGCTTGTAACTCGGTGGACCACGGATGACGTGTGAAGAAATCGGCCTCCTCGTCGCGTGCCTGTGCATGATCTACCGAGGGATCCGGGTTGTTCTGCACCACATAATAGCCATGCCCCAATGCAAACTTATCGCCCTCGAGGATTTCCATCCACTGGTTGTAAGACTCGCAGGCTTGTACGCGATCGGGCTTTGTCAAAACACCCAAGGTTCTCTCCTTCGCTCCGCGCACATCCCGCATGAGGCGAGCTGCACTGGAATTGGTGGCGTCGTCCGTCATCGGGAGGGTCAAAAGGACAATGCAGTTTTCCTGGGAGATATACTCCTTTGCCAGGTTTTCCACCAAGGAAACCAAGTATCGCTCTTCGTCAAATTCAGCCTGGCTGATGACACCAGGAAGATCGTAGAACGACAGGTTTGGGAAACTCGGGGCCGAGATATCCAGGCGCACGACGTTGGGTGAGAACTTAACCTGGCAGTTCATGGAAGCGTCTGCATTTCTTCCCGGAACATAGTCAATCGACGGCTGTGAAGGGTTGAGAATTGCGACTTGAGCCCACATAATAGCATCCTGAACAAAGCATTTATCGGACAGTGTGACAAAGAGTTCATCCTCTTGGTCTTGAAGAATCCACGGCCCCAGCGGCTGGGACTTCTTGGGGAGTTTGGTGACTTTGCGGGACCCATCGAACATGTACTTGCGCGAAAGAAACACTCGACAGATCCACGGCTGACCCGGCTTGCTCTCCGTGAGATTAATCTCCATGGGGCAGCGGGTACATGTCCCAGAGCTCCGAGGAACTTTGATCTCTGACATACCTTCAATCAAGGAGCTCTTCCCCGTGCTCTGGTCGCCTATCACGCAGATCTTGGGCAACGCAATCCGATTGTCCTCAATGCCAATGTGGCGAAGGTCCTGGATTTTCTTCACCAGCGACTTCATGTCCTGGGCAATCAGGTTTATGGCGTCTGTACCATTGCCTGAGATGGTGGAGGGAGACGAATCTTTAGCTAGATCCTGTCAGTAGGTAAAAAAAATACTCCATAGAAAGGCAGCGTACTTCTGATTACAGTCTCCTGGGTGGGGTTCTTCAAGTCTGGGGGTGGTTGTGAACGCATGTTGTCAAGTCCTCAGGTCGTTACTCCGAACTGGGACACACGATATCAATGAGGGATGCACAGAAAGATCCACAGTGCAAAGAAATAAGTAGATGAAATAACCAACAATACAGGAAGAAAGGAAGAAGGTGAGACTGTGGAAGGTAAGGAAGGTAAGAGGGAAAAGAGAAGAATAAGAAGTGAATGACGATGGAAGTGGAAGTGAATAACAATGCAGAAAATATTTATAGCTAGGACCCCCAGCGACAGTTGAAGCAAACGAAGCCATGATTGTGAATGAAGACAGAGCAGGACAGACATGCGTATAGAATGGGTGTAAAAGCTGTGAGGGTTGTACAGATTATTGGGATAATTTGGCCAGGGCAGCAAGTGATCCATCAGTTAAGGACAAACATTATTTTAATCTTCTTTAATTATTAGATCGTAATAATTATTATCATTTTTGGACTCATCGTAGATAGCATCAGTAGAATCAGAAGAAATAGAGAACTCTGTATACTCCGTACTGTAGATCACAAAGCGGTGAACCATGGCTGTAAACTGACGCTAAACATCCAACAGAGATGCCACTGGGCCTCTTCCCCTTCTCCTTTTCCTCTCCCTCCAGTCCCTTTTGGTTCCTCACCTCCCTCGAGATGCTTCAAGTGCCAGTGCGAGAACATACCAACGTGGCTTCCACCAAGGCCGTCATCCTTGTCGGAGGTCCCTCCAGAGGAACTCGCTTTCGCCCTCTGTCCCTCGATGTGCCCAAGGTAGACCCCTCACTCTATGGCCATAATTAACATAGCATCACTGACGGTCTCTCTCTGTAGCCTCTATTCGAAGTCGCCGGTCATCCCATCATCCACCACGGCCTCAAGGCACTGGCGAAGATCCCCGATATTCGAGAAGTGATCCTGGTCGGCTACTACGACGAGAGCGTCTTCCGCGACTTCATTAAGGACTCATCCAAGGAATTCCCACAATTCCGCATCCAGTACCTGCGTGAATACACCTCCTTGGGCACCGCAGGGGGTCTATACCATTTCCGCGATGCCATTCTCAAGGGCAAGCCGGAGCGCATCTTCGTGCTCAACGCCGACGTCTGCTGCTCCTTCCCACTGGGGGAAATGCTGAAGCTATTCGAAGAGAAGGACGCCGAGGCCGTCATCCTAGGCACGCGCGTGCACAACGACGCCGCCACCAATTTCGGCTGCATCGTGTCCGACTCCCACACCAAGCGCGTCCTGCACTACGTCGAGAAACCCGAGTCGCACATCTCCAACCTCATCAACTGCGGCGTCTACCTGTTCGCCACCGAGTGCATCTTTCCCTCCATCCGCAGCGCCATCAAGCGTCGCACCACCCGCCCGCGGCTCGTCTCCTATCCGTCCTCTGAGAACCTAGAGTCTTTCGTCGCCCCCACCGACGATGACTCCGAAAGAAACGAGGCGCTACGCCTCGAACAGGACATCCTGTCAGACCTGGCCGACAGTAACCGATTCTTCGTACACGAGACCAAGGACTTCTGGCGCCAGATCAAAACCGCCGGGTCCGCGGTGCCCGCCAACGCCCTGTACCTACAAAAGGCGTTCCAGGCGCAGTCGGACGAACTCACTCCTCCCTCCGCCACCATCGTACCCCCCGTGTACATCCACCCCTCAGCTAGCGTGGACCCCACCGCCAAGCTGGGCCCCAACGTCTCCATCGGACCGCGTGTGGTCGTGGGCGCCGGCGCTCGCGTCAAGGACTCCATCGTTTTGGAAGACACTGAGATCAAGCACGACGCCTGTGTCATGCATTCCATAATCGGCTGGAGTAGTCGTGTGGGCGCCTGGGCCCGCGTCGAAGGTACCCCGATCCCGGCCAACAGCCACTCGACCAGCATCGTCAAACACGGCATCAAGGTGCAGAGCATCACCATCCTAGGCAAGGAGTGTAGCGTTGGCGACGAGGTGCGTATTCAAAACTGTGTGTGTCTGCCATTTAAGGAACTCAAGAGAGTATGTTCCCCCCCCCCCCCCCCTCTCTCTTTCCCAGGCTATATTGATAACGGTAACTAACGAATCCAGGATGTTGCCAATGAGGTGATCATGTAGAGTTGGAATAATTGGGTCATTTTGGTTACATATCATATTCATCATATCAGTCACGATTCAAGATCTACTCAGTTCAGTTGGTGGAAATTAATACACGGGCACTCTTCGTCTTTCGTCTATATTCAGCAATCATTACAAGCTAGCAGAGTCATTAGCATTAGCCGATAGTAAAAACAAGTGCATATCCATTTAATTCCCACTTAACTGGACATGGAATTATTAACAACAAAAAAAAATAAACTCGCTAGATAAATACGCCCAACACCCTTCCACAATATAGACCCATTTCCGAGTACACAAAGACCAGAATTCAAAGATCTAAAGTTCGTAACTCATCAGATTCAACGTTGACAGTGTCAACCCAGACCAGCAATACTATCCAGTCTATCCACCAACAAATTACAACCCTCGCCGTTTCAAGGTAAATGATAATTTACCTATACGCCGCAGGGTCATAGTCCGTTTGCTCCGCGGGATGATTGTAACCACCATACCCACTAAATCGTACACGAGGAGTCCGACGCTGGCTAAGGGCCGGAGCGGTATCGGAATACTCCTGTGCATCATCGACATGATAATGCTCCAGGGAGGAGTTAGCCCCGTACACGGGCGGGGGCATCCTCTGGGTATTCGTGTTCGTATTCGACATAGTCGGATCCGGGATGTTATTATAATACTCGTCCTCCGACGGCTGGTGCTGGTGGCGACGGAAGAGTGGATGTTGGTCTTCTTCAGGGACGTATGGACCGTAGGGACCCACGCTGCCGGACATGACGCTGCTACTACGGTCGTGCATCTTGTAGTTGTTCAGGTGCGTGCTGCTGGCCATGGGATCGTACGTGCCCAATCTGGTTTGACGTCTGCGGACGATGACATCAAGAGTCAACCCGAATAAGTGGGATGCCACGCTGAGTACCGTGAAACTGAACAGAGCTTTGTAGAGACGACAGACGTTGATCCCCGTCGATGTGCCCCAGTAGGTGGCGTTGCAGGTTGTCAAGATGGTGTGCGACATACTCCAGCTCATGAGCCCGAGGGAGATGAGCCAGAGTAGCAGGAGGATGGAGTGGGTGGTCGCTGACAGTAATGGGGAAAGGCCATAGCAACAATGGGTGATGGTGGTTAGGACGAAATTAATCAGAGAGAGAAGCGACGAGATAAGGAGCTACACGAATCATTCCATGGTTAGCGGGATGGTCCTCTTTTCCCGGAGAGATGGGTGGTAAGCTCCGCGACTCACCACTAAGAAGGCCCAAGGAAGTTTGTAGTGGTCTTTGGAGAGATTGGAGATGAAGACGGCCAGGATGCTTGCGACAACGAGTGCGGACAGTAGGTTCAGACCCCGAATGATATGGAACGGCACTGGAGGATATGCTGATGGTTTCACTGACTTGGGTCGCATGATGACTATTGAAATGAAACTAATTATCCCAGTGGCTGGTGGAGAAGAACCAAATATCCGCCCAAAACTGAACAGGATAACCCAGATAAGATACCTTTGGGCCTACAGTGAGAACAGCAAAAAGGGTCGATGAAGGTGAAAATAAAGAAACAAGGCTGATGAGAAAACAAGAAGCAATAAGAAAGCACCAACGTTAATGGGATGGATCGTGCGACATGCAGTGCCCCCTTGGCTGATCTTGACTCCACTGCGGGTGTTGCTAAAGAAAGAAGCCAGTTAAACTAGCGGATAGTCAAATGTGATGACGACGACGATGCCCTGGTAACCGAAGGACGAGACACTCCCGTTTGGGTTTATAGGTCCATTTGGAAATACGAACAGTCCATCACATCGAAGCCAACAGGCAGTCATCCACCGTAAAATCAGCCATTATGAGATGTCAACAGTTGGCCCTTTTGGGAATAGCCCCCACGTGCCTCTTACCTGAAGTGTTGTTTAAGTGCCTGCCTCAGGTATAAGCAGGAAGGCAACCATAAATGTGCCTATAGATACAGATATAGGTATAGGTATAGTATTGCGATCTAGATATAACAGGATGGAGTGATCAAAACCTCAGGAGTTCTGGTTTGTAGTCTCGGCATATTTTACAATTCGCATTCCTGACAATGAAAAGTTCTCCAAAATTCAAAATCATACTCTACTACATCCCCATCTTTCATTCATTTCCTTCCCCCCGGTTCATCTCTCACCCCCCAGTCAGCCCCTCAGAATCCAAATTGAAGGTCCCCTGGTCGCAATACAATGGCCCCTTCCACATATATCGTAGCATCTGAATATACTAGCCCCAGCATGCCGCAGCCGGCTGGTCCAAAACTGGCAAGGTTTACCTATCAAAACATATACGGGCGGGACATTTGGCCGGAAATCCCTAGTGACTTGATGGTGCAGGATGAGTACTTGGGCGCAGGTGCGAGGGGAACTCCCTATACATGAGTTGCCATCTATCTCTGTTAATGGAGACAACTGGCTCTAGTTTTGTCGCTGACGCTTCTCTTGATCTGACTAGAGAGATTGACTATTATAGTGTAACATTGACCTCCTTGTCCCAGCTAACGATACCAGCCCCGAGGTATTGCAGATTAACATCGAAACTGAGAACGGCAACGCTGCTTGCGCTAATAAACATGCCATTTGAAGTTGATCCCGCCGAGTTAATGGGGAAGACTGTGTTGGCTGTACCGAGATATTGCCAGAAAAGGAAGTGGACGCAAGATCGATCGTGGGTGAACGATTGCGTGGAAGAGAATGAGAAGAGTGTTTGGTGATCATTAATCCTGTGGACGATATATGTGGTCCAAACCCGCGACCTGCTAATAGCCATATTGGAATAATCACCTCATTGACAAACCTTGGGTGTACCTAGCAGCCCTGGTAACTGGGAACTAATAAGTATAGTTCTATCCATAGATTATATAATGGCAGTTTCACCTATAGTTCAAATGACACTCTTCAAATGCCACTCCACAGTACACAGGTTAGCTATAGAGCCCGGTCGAGGCCGACAAAATTATATTCACACCCTTCCATATAATGGTCCTATTACCCTCGATATAGTAAGATGAACCTAGCAATAAAGGCCCGCACGGATAAAGCGTTAGAGTTACATTTACTGGTATCAGGATAAAGCGTTTGTGGCCACATCCAAGAGAATCGCAATACCTATAGCAGCCTTTCCATGCCTGATGATACATCCTTCGAACCTGGTCAATCTGGACTGCAGTTATCAAGATCTGAGAATCTTTAGTTAATTCCGAAATGCTGACAAATCTGCCACCCTAACTAACTTCTTACCCCGCCAGTGGTTCATATCTGTGACTAATTGCCGTTAAAAGTGACGATGATGCTATATCACGGGAGAGCTTCTATATATCTGGAATCTATGCCACTGTCCCCTTTTCCCTTTCATCCCAGAAGTATCAGTCCATAGCCCACCATGACATCTATCATCACAGGTCCCATCACTTGGCATGATGGCGAAAAGAAGATGCATAGCTTGCTTCAAGTCCCCCATCGGGATAATCCCACTAATCCAATTTTAACCCCCAGGATAAGTTTGTATCTGAAATCCTTTCCCTTGATAGCCATAGGCTCAATAGATCGGGAGGGAAGACCCTGGTCAACACTCTGGGGTGGGAAGGCAGGCTTTGCGACCGTAACGGCTCGGAATACCTTCCAGGTCGACACCCCTGTCGATAGCAAATATGATCCCCTGGCAGAAATATTGCTGAACGGGTCAACGGATGAAAGATTGCTCTCTGGCTTGGTGATTGACTTGGAGACTCGTCGACGGGGAAAACTTCACGGCAGACGAATTGCTGGATCTGTTAGCCCCGTGGGCAAGGGCATTACAGATGTAAGTCCTGTAGGATTTGCACACATGACCGTCCACATTGACGCGAGTTTAGGTAGTCATTTGGAATTCCCAGGACCGTGGTCCTTCGTCTGCTGACATCTGCAGGAAACTGTCCCAAATACCTGAACGCACGACAGATCATATCAGCTTGGCCGGAACCGCGACTGGTTTCCGACTCTCCCCAGCTACCACCAAAAGCCCTCCGCTTTCTTGATCGAGTCGACACTCTGTTCATTTCATCCCGGAATGGAAAGGTCGACATGGATACAAATATCCGTGGCGGACCGCCTGGCTTTGTCCGGGTTGTCTCCAACGAGCCCAGTGGCACTGTATTCGTTTATCCGGAATATTCAGGGAATCGGCTATATCAGACCTTGGGGAATCTTCAAATGACCCCCCTGGCTGGATTCGTCTTCCCAGATTTCGAAACAGGCAATGTGCTTTTTGCTACTGGCCGCACAGAAATCCTGGTTGGCAAAAATGCGGCTGCCGTTCTTCCACGATCGAACCTCGCCGTGCGAGTAACCGTGGCTGCCGCTCGATATGTTCAGAATGCCTTAGCATTCCGAGGAACTGCAGCAAGTCTCTCCCCGTACAACCCGAGGGTACGATACCTAGCCACAGAAAAGGCCATCCCGGTGGCGATGGACGTTGGACAATCCGTAACAGCCACCATGGTTCGAAAGGAAATCATTACTCCCAACATTGGCCGATTCCGCTTTCGCATATCAGACCCCAAACGGATCGGACCGTGGACCCCTGGTCAATACGCCACGTTTTCCTTCCAGGGAGAATTGGACATTGGTTATCGCCACATGCAGGACGACGACCCATCGAGTCTCAACGACGACTATGTCCGGACGTTCACGATCTCATCGTATCCAGGCAAGAGTCTTCCAGTTGATGAATTCGAGGTTACAGCCCGCAAGAATGGCAGTGTTACCAATTACCTCTTCCGCATCAACGAACGAGCCGGACTGGAAGTTCCCTTGAAGGGCTTCGGCGGCGACTTCGTACTCAACGACAAACACGCACACGACATTTTACCTTTCATCGCCGGCGGGATTGGGATCACTCCCGTCCTGGCACAGATACCAGGCATCGAGATCAAGCATCTGCGACTATTCTGGTCCATGCATATTAGCGACCTCGGATTGGTCGTGGATACCTTCCATCGGTTTCCTCAGTTACCTTCGTGCACGAGTCTTTTCCTCACGGGACCTGACTCGCATGATGAAGACAAGATGAGCTATCTGGACGTAGTGAAAGTGACCGCAGCGCGCGTGGAGCGTCGTAGGATGGACGCTGCTGACCTGAACTTGTCGTTGGCAGACGTGTGGTACTTCTGTGGTAGTCCGCTTCTAAAAAGTTCGGTGATGGACTGGCTATCTGGGAAGACCGTAGTATATGAAGACTTCAACTATTGACTTTTGATTGTTGTGATCAGTACTATATTTCTGAATAGTAATGGCCATGACGGAATTGTTAGAGCTCGCGGCGCACTACAGGTTATCGTCGATAACGCAACCGAGACCGAGAACGCGTCTCCGCTGCTGCCTCACTTCATCCTCTCATAAGACCTTCCCTCATACTCATCTACAGCCCAACATTAATCTTTCACATTTGAAATAACTAAATCCTCGAATATCTGAACCCACAAACAAAAGAGAAACCCTCTTCACCAATCTCCAGCGGGCTTACCCCGCTATCTAATCCACCCCAAAATGTCCACCTACGAAGGTAAGCTTTCTTCCCAGCCCTCAAAGCCTAAAGGAAAAAAAAAAAAAAAACCCTTAGGAGTTTATATAACCCAACTCACAAGTATATATTTATACTATAGTCGAACATAATACCACCGACCCCTCTATACCAAATCCAACCGCCCGTCGTCGCCGACCCGACCTCTCCACCTTCTTCGCGACCCTCTCAGAAATCAGTCCGGATGAATCCCGCTCGAGACCGCACGCGGTGCCTGTTCCGCACGATATCAGCGCGGCATTTTACTCCCTAGCCGAGGCATTGGAGGTAATGCGTCGAGAAGCCCCGGGTGCGGAGAGCACTGCTCCTACTACCACCGACAATGACGACAGCGAAAATCCCGATCTCCTGACACAGATGATTCGGACGTTGCTGAATGAAGCGGAAATGCCCCCGAAGGAGGTGGAAGGGGTGAGTGAGGAGTTTTGTGATGGTATGCTTTCTCTATCCCTTTCTTTCTGTTTTCACTGTGTTCTTGTTAAGGGGGAAAGGAAGGAATGAAAGAAGAATGAAGGCTAATTTGAATAGTGTTGGATCGCGTCCCTCGATCATCGTTGAAGCCGTCGCAGACCTGTCCCATCTGTAATAATCCATTCTTGGAGGATCAATATCCGCTTGTTGTGCGATTGCCGTGTCATCCTACGCATCTTTTTGATCTGGAGTGTGTGCGTCCTTGGTTGCGTCTGCGAGGAACGTGTCCCCTTGACCGGGCGGATTTCGCCAAGCAGGAACGGGAGAAGGCGGAGGCGAGGAAGAACAAGCCAGTGGAGGATAATGAGGAAGAGTGGGATGGTATGTATGGGTAGGGTGGTCGATTTCTTACGGGCGATGAATGTATTTCAAGATGCTGTGATGAGTTATGCTTGTTGAGTAGGTAGGAGATATGATTGATGACGTGATGTATATGCGATCATTTCTTTGGAGAATTGGAAAAGAGAGAGAGAGATCTACAGTCTAATACACAGTACAATAGGATGAAGTACCCCAATCATTTCTTTTCTTCCTTGGGTCGGATGGCCAGCTTGCCCGTCTTGTCAATCACCGCCTCGAATCCGCTCCTCTCCAACAGTCCTCCGTCGTCCTTAACAACTTCCCGTGCCTCCAGATCTTCCACAAGCCTTTGGTTCTCGCGGTTGCCCTCCAGGAGGAACTTGAGACACATGACAGCGTGCTCCTTGATGTATGGGTTGTGCGCGTCGAAGTTGGTGCACGACAGGATAGTCTCGACACCGCCATATCGACGGATCTGATCTTGGACGTCGGGGCACTTCCAAACGAGGGAGGAGAGAACAAGAACCACTAGCTTCTTGAGATTCCGCCATTCGAATTCCGACGGGTCCTCGGTGATGGGAGGCGACTCGGCCCTGGACCCGGCTCCCGCATCCGCGGGATCCGGGTCACTAGGGTCGTAAGGGCGTTCCACCGCAACTGGCCCCGGAGCCCCGCTATGCTGGGAATCCTTGGAAGGGCTGTTGCTTCGTCCGAATGACATTTGGCTTAACTGGCCCTTCGGAATGCTGGCCTCCAGCTCCTTAATCAACGTTACTAGGTCATAGACAATCTCCCACTTGACTAGCAGATTCTTCCAGTCGTTGTTTTCAGTGAGCACAGCGAAGAACTCGAGGAACTGATAAACCCCTTCGTAGACACGTTCCATATCCCATAAGTTTAGCGGGAAGTCCTCCGGAAGAGCTCTTCCTGCGCGGATCTGCCCCTGGAGGTAGATCAAAGCGCAGGTCTCCGGGATGATATTGCCACGGAAGATGGTGAAGATGTAGCGCACCGTTAGAATGTCAACTCTCGAGAGTGGCGCGGGGTTCTTGGTTGTATTGCTTTGTGCTGAGCCGGTAACGGAGGCAGGAGAATATTTGGCTCGGAAAATATGAGTGAGGATTTTGACGACGACTGCCTGCGCCGGTGAGATGATGTCCTTGGGCTGGCCGAAGTCCGAGTAGGCGTGGGACATTAAACCATTTCGCAGCACGGCGTCCATGATCTGCACCATCATTTTGAAGTAGAGCTCGTCGTCAGGCAGGTCCCACGCAGCGATGAAGATCAAAAGTTCCCGAAGGAGATTCCGGCCTGTTTCCTGGGTGAGCAGGATGTGGCAGCGAAGGGATTGCATATTCCTTGATCCCGTCCGCTCACCACCCTTGAGTCCAAAGCTATCTACAATACCGGCCTGGATGATCATCGGAAGGGCCTCTATCTCCGCGGGGCCCAAAACTAACGGAATATCTGTCAGCAAACCACGCTGCTGGTCGCCGGGTCGGCCTCTATAATCGTCATCATCATCTTCATCCTCTTCGTCGTCTTCCTCGTCCTCTTCAATGCTGCCGTCGGCAACAGCGTCCAGGCTACGCGAATCGTCATCGCCGACTGTCCCCGCATCTCCTGTATCATAGTCACCATCACCGTCGCCCAGTTGCGATGACTCTTGCAAACGGGCCATCAGCTCGTCCTTCGCTTCTTGGAGTGTTTCAGCAGCAGACTGCGCAGATCGTGGCATGCTTGTGTCTTCGTCCATGATGGCCGCGTCGCCTCCCGCCAAAGCACCGAATTCGCTGAGATCCGGAAGATCAGACCAGCAAATGCGGGGGAATCCGGCGGTCATAGTGCGATTGATAGAGATGATGGCTTTCTTGCGTGGTGGTTCATCCTCTGGAAGTGCAGGCGGCAGGTCCTTAGCTCTGTCATTCAAGTCTGACCATCCATCCACCTTGGCACCGAGTATGGCGGTAAGAGCTGCGCGAATCTCCTTGACTTGTTCCGGATCTTTGCCCATTTCTTGGATCGCTGTCAGATCGCGGCCCAGGAGCTTTTCCATGTGGTCCTTGATATTGGCAAGTAGCAACATTGCCGCTTCTTCCTTGATCGTCGCAGGCTCTCTCGGAAAGTTGGAAATAGTCTCCAGCAGCAGGTCCTCCGCTGTCTGGTCGTAAAGAGCCCTTATCGGCGGATTGACTATTCGCTCGCCAGTCTTTACAATTGGCGCCACTCCCTCGGGCGGACTACAGGCTGGGTCAAGCGGTTCTTTGGGCTGTATGATTTGTGAATCTCCTGTAGATTGATACCCGAAGAGATCTAACCAGAGGACCATCTTCCGCTGCTCGTTGTGCATAATAAAGTTGTGCATGAATTGGAGACAGGTAATCAACAGTCTCTTGTAAAGGTTGACCACTTTCTGCCAGCGCTCCTCATTTCTCGCATTGGTTTCTCCGTCGAAGCCCCGCGCGGTAACTCTAACACAGGTATCTACCAGCGCCAAGATTCTCTGATCGAACCCCTTCTCTGCCGCCATATTCTGTGCCTTTTTCGTAGTTGCCAGGAGATTTCGGGCAATGGTGCATAAGTCATTTAGGCGTTCAATGTCTTTGACAAGCGAAAAGTAGTTATAGGCGATTAGGTTGGAGGATGAGTGGTCATAGTTTGCGGTCGGGGGACATTTCCAAGCAAATGACTGTGATTCTAAGACCGGGATTGCCTTGGTCAGTACATCGGTAAAGCCTTGCCAAATATCCGGTGACAAGCCCAGGTTATGCCTATCATGAGGGGCATTGTCAGCAAACAAGAACGCGTATTCAGAGCAACGGTGATGTAATAAGAAGCAGTAAAAGACTTTCCACATACCGAACCTCGCTTTCCTGGTGAGTCTTGTACAAAATCGACTTCCCTGCTGACAGCATGTGTTCCAGGCGTTTGTCGTCAATCATGCCGCGAGTCTCATAGTGGCTCAAAGTCCCCGTCAGGATGACCTTCAACATGAGCTCGGCCGGAGTACATTTTGGTTTCGCCTCGGGGGCAGTTCGATCAGCCATCTTGACAGAAGTTGAGGGGTACTTGCAATGCCTGATTGCTGTGCACTGCGACCAGCGAGTTGTTCAAGAAATATTGAAGTTCCGTGGAGACCAGTCGAGAGGAATTTTTCCGGCTCCGAAGGCGGTCCCGCCGGTTGCTCTTTTAGGTAAGACTACTACCATCTATTCCATCTCCCATTCACCATTCCATGAGGTCAATCATTGCCTAGACAACTATTCACATACATTCACAGGTAACCTCTATCTCCAGTAATGCTAACAGACCTTTTTACGCCTCGTGGGAAAATTGAAAACGTGACGCAGATTGTCCCAGAAGCCTAGATCGTAAATATTGTCGATTTCTCTCATACTGCGCACAGGCACCCATCGTTGATCGAGAGCCACTATCTGGAAGTTGTGTGGCTGTCGAATATCGTTGGAATTGTGTGATAAAACACACCCCTCTCTGGGTGCTTCCCCATCGGTGAAGACTATGACCTGGTCGCTACTGACCGGCCAGCATGTTGGCGGGCTTTGATATTCACGCAGTAAGGGTGAGCGATCGTAGATTTCTGCCTTAGTAGATCGGAATACCATCCCATCAGCAACGTCCTCCTTCCAGTCCGACCACTTGGCGCTCTCGTTCGTCGTCATGCCAGCCCAAATGAGGTATGTGTGGTATACAAGAAAGGCCATGGCCAGCGGAGCGGTCATCAGCATTAACAAGCTGATGGCCCCGATGTGAAGGTCGGTCGCGATTACCACGGACCAAATATTCAGAAACGCTACCCAGCTTTGCTGTGTTGGTCGCCAAGGGGAGTCGGTTGGTAGAAGTTCCTCGTAAGTTTGAGAAAGAAGACCGTAGCCAAGGTATGAGCCGTAGATCAGCATAACTGAAAGTGACATCATCAGAGATAAAAAATAGTGGTAGTTTTTCAGACCAACACAGTTCGTTAGCCACACACAATGGTGGTCGTGTCGAGAAACGCATGCTTTGCAGAACCGACAATGCTTGCTTCTTGCCGGCTTGAGGAAGTGGCACGAATCACAATTATGCCCTGGATGGAAAATGACTTTGTCATAGGGATAGCGTCCCATTTCCTCCACATGATTCCCGGGAGTAATGAATGATTTGGTGACAACGCTGGCATACAAGAATACGTAAGGTAAAATTGCAGCAACTGGGATGCAGAATTTATGTACTGTTGCAATCCTCCGCCATGCATTCGGAATAAATATACATTGCCCTGCCACCAGGAGGGCAAGGAAGAAGATCTACGAATTATATCAGCGAAATATGATTGATTGTTTATCATGATAGTACTGACCAGGACAAGAGGGTGGCTCTCATGCAATACATAATTGCCAGACCTATTCCAACAATATGAAATCCGGCCACCCAGTACAAGTGAATCGACGTAGACTATACCATTAGGTACGTATATGCATACGACTCGGTGGAGCAAGCCAATTGGGGTTCTCCTACACAAGCAAATTTATCAGCCTTGGCCATCATCAGTAGTGTCTGTTTCTTCTTCCCTACCGCAGTGCTGGCAGTTTCCCAAACAGGGCAATGAAAGTGAACCCGGAGATGCCCAGTATCACAAGTGCAATGGTCCTTAATTCCCCCATTGCTGGTTCTTGGGTGACAAGAAATCGGGTAATCTCATCAAGCTCTGGACTTACTCCAGGCTCAGACACTGTATGGGGCGCACCCGAGTCCAATGGTGGCGGTGGTGCGAACGCGAAACTAGCGAAACTACAGGCCTGGCATTGTGCCCCTGGAATTATGTCTCTGAAGTGACTAGGGGAAAGGCTCTCTATTATCGAAAGGTTTGCACTGTCCACCAAGCCACTGTGCAGGATGCAGCTCTCCTTTCATTATTTGGCATTACTTGCAGACTTCCACGTGACCTCTCCTTCCCGTCAAAGCATCAAATTACCCGGGTGACCCGTCCGCAGAAGTCAGGTTGATTCAGACAATACGCCAGAGGGTGTTATTGATGACTTTTGGGTCGAGATATCGTCCACATTGAAGAATAATATATAATCCAAAGGCGTTCTAGCCGCTCTGTTGGTCTCTTGTGATTCAAGAATCACAGCTTGACAAGCACGTGACTACGTGTCTTAGGTCACTCATTCAAGGCTTCGTGAAAAGCCTCAAACAGTGAGAATACTATATTCTCAGATGGTCCTACCGTGACGATGACAGAGATGAATGTGGATGGGGCAAGTGGGAGTCCAAACACCGAATCTGGCTCTCTTTTCGAGGGAAAGCAGTTCTGGCTATCAAAACAAATTCCTCAGAGGGAGCGATTCAAAGACATTATTAAGGTATATTTTGCGACTTTCTGAAGTGCTAGCTCTTTGACCTGATTTGAATGTAGGAACATGGTGGCATCATACGACTGTACGAGAAAGACGCAGAGATTAAATTGGTTGATCACGCTAGAAAGAACCTCCCAGCAGACACGTAAGATAGTCTTTCTTCGCAATTTATTTTTCTTCCTAAGTCTGCTTTATACGGATTGCTTACTATGCTCTAGGTTTTCCTACCGCTATGTTGAGAACTCAGTCCGCAAAAAGAGACTAGAAAATCTCGACGACTATAAGGCTGGTCCTTCGGCCACTCGCCCCGTGGGAGCCACTAATATACCGCGTAGAGGACATAAAATCCCTTTTAGTCTGGAAGATGACCAGATACTCTGGGATTGGATGCAACCACACGAAAATAACAAAAGTGCTCCTATTAGTGGTAATAGGTTCTACCAGGAGCTAGCTGAAAAGGTACGGACTGCCCTGCATTCGGTGAGACCACTACTACAAAGTTCGATTCTTACAAGCTTTCTATATACTCAGAATCCTAGACATACTTACCAGTCTTATCGAGATCGGTACTTAAGGAGACTTCGTGGGCGCCCCCGTCCGGGTGGTATGCCACAACCCATATCTTCGACGTCTGCCGCACAGGAAAACAGCCAGGGAGGGACGGTCCCTCCTGCAACTTCTACATCACCGAGGCAGATGGCTACACAAGACACCGGCACGCCAGTTCAGATGACAGATGACAGAAAGAGGAAACGCACTCCGGTCTCTGAAACTTCAGAAACTACCTCGGGCGTAGATAGCCCTAATCCCAAAAAGAGAGCAGCAGTAAGTTTCGTGGAGAATACACGTCAAGCTGAGCCTCGCCGAGGTGAAGGATCCCCAAACCTTCGAGTCTCTTCACCAGAAGTCATAACCCCAACTTTCAGCGAGTCACATGCTATGGAAAACCTCAATGAGGACAATACGAAAGAAGTTGAAGAAACACCGAGATCTCAAGGCCCTGTAGAAGAACTGAAACCTATTGACCCCTTGTTTTTAGAGCTACCTTTCTTGCCCTCAAGCTCGGAAACTCCGGAAACTCTGGACAGCCCAGGACGCACCGAAGGTTCCGAGCAGGACATCGATGTCTGGATTGACCGTCGTCTTCAACCTGGCAAAGTAGAAGAGGAACTAGTGATTGAAGCCTTGCGTTGCACCAGCATGGACCCACACCTAGCCGATAAGGTCCTAAAATACTTGGTTTCAGGAAAAAGCATCCCAGATGATATGGCCGGCGTATGGACCGCCGAGGATGATCGATGTATCGAGGGGAAAGACACCAGGGGTATCGAAAGGGTTTTGAGCAAGCACGGTTCAGAATACTTCAATGCACGCTGGGAATATCTCGGAATGGCAAGATCGGCTGGATTGGAAAAGGGTCAGGAAGAAACTACAGACCTTTGAGATCAGCAATTATGCATGTATTCCTAATATGAGCCTGCCAAAAAAAAAAAAAAAAAATTCAAATCAAATCACGAGTGTAAGGTTGAAGAGATTTTGGAACTAGAATATCTCATTATGAATACAACAGAGAAAAATACAGTTGAGAAAAAAAATAGTGCGAATGTAAGACAGTGCCCTTGTTCTTTTCTTTTCTTTTATTTGTTTTTTTTTTTTTTTTGGGCATATACTGGTCAAAGACTCCCAAACTTTCATGGGCCAAAACATTGCCCAAAGCAATTATCTTACATAGCAGAAAATCGCACACGACCGCTCAACTCCTGGAAAACGCCCTTTATGCGTTGCGATTTCCGGCACTCGCAAGAAATAAATTTTAGCAATTGAAGCGAAAACGCTCAGTGAATGGCGAACCTCGAACAAATGACATTGGCACACTGGGTCTCATTAATTGGAAAGGCGACAAAAGGGGGGGCTGGTATCAATTCAAGTATCTTTGAAGACACTGCAAGAAAGTTAGTATTTTGATATATTCATTAACTCATTTGCCAATATTGGGCAACTTACAGGTGCTGTTCATAAAATTTAAGCATCTGGTTGAATGTTAGTCTGTATTCGATTCTAATCGGGGCCTAGACACTCACCTTCTTCGGGCACTTCTCATAACAAGTTTCAATGGATACCTTAGACTTCTTGCCATTCGTCCACTGGAGGAAAGCAATCAAACTCCCCTGTTCGCGCATTATAGTATCGACATGCTCAACCTCATTCTCCCAATTCTTGGACTTAGGCATCCATTCAACACCATCGGCCTCTTCTTTTTCTTTTTTTGCTGCTCCCTCGGTATCTTGATCGGCTCGCGACTTTCTTCGCTTCTTGGGTTCGGCTTTCTCCAGTGTCTGTTTAGCTGCTCCTAATGATTTTCGCTTTCTACCCTGTTTCTGCGGTCGTCCCCCTATGGAGCGGAAATACTCCTTGACAATATCTTCCGCGCCCTCCCTATACGTGCGATTAGTATGAAGGCTTATAGCTAAAGATCATACGATTCTCCTTACAGTAGGTTCGCTTCTGGCTCCATAGTTTGGTCTTCGGGGTCGTCGTAGTTCTTCCACTTCACTTGGAGCAGAAGGGAGCCCTGGTCCATGGTGAGCCAATGCGATTTAGTGAATGTGTGTAGATAGACATACATCCTTTGCAAAATCATGGCCGACGATTTCCTCAACCGTATAACTATTTTTGTAAGCGATGGTCGTGGGCTCATTGTATCGCTTCACAACTTACACTCCCTCCTCGTCTTCGTCATCCTCATCGTCCTCTTCGGGCTTTACATTGTTGCCTTCGCCCTTTTCTTTAGCCGCATTATTGAAAGGAATGGATTCGCCAGTCGACTCATCATCGGAAACGTCTCCGAGCGGTGCTAGATAACAGTTAACTCAGCATGACGGACCAAGCGCGACAAGCTCAGGCTATCACCACTCACGAGGCATTGTCCTAAAAGGATTTGGAAGTTGGAAAAGTCGGGTAAACAATATGCCGGTTTCGCTTCGACAGCGATGACAAATTCAATTACTGCAGGATGATGAAGGCTAGCAGCCGCGCATGAGTGATTGAAGATGGTAGCTTGATGAGTAATTGGCAGTTGCTCTGAGCGGTTGCGAAATGCAGAGTCGCGAGCGCGCGCGTTGGCGGGCAATAATGCGCTTGGCCGGATGTGGAAATCAGCTCACTAGTCCGATTGTGGACATCTCCAGAATTTCTGAAAAGGCCTAATTGTGCAAGAACCGCCGCTTTCTCCAAGTTCCGGAGCCCCAACGTCCCTCCAATATCGTTTTTGAGGGATTTCTTGTGTGTCTATTCTATTTTTTGTCTCGTAACCCCTTCAGGCTTTTGAATTCGGATACCTGCCGTGTGTGGCAGTCCGTCAAAATGGCGATGCGTATGTCCCAAAATGCCCCTCATCTAGAACTACCGTACTGACGATTTCATCTTCCCTTTGCTAGAGCTTGACTTGTCTCAAGGTATAGAGTTTTACTGCCGCCGTTACTTTTTCCACGGATCCGCTGCTGACTGCATCAATAGCTTCGGTGATGAAAGATGAACAGGGCCGGCCATTCATTGTTGTTCGAGAGTACGTTGCAGCAACAATATCTGTCTAGCTCATGGTCGGTTGCTAATCTGCACTGTCTTCTACAGTCAGGGAAAGAAGAAGAGACAGCACGGTACTGATGCGGTGAAGTCACATATCGTTGCCGCCAAAACCGTCGCCAATATCGTGAAATCTTCCCTGGTATGATTGAGCCTATATCCATCTATATGACTGTTTTCTAACTGGTCTAGGGTCCTCGTGGTCTCGACAAAATCTTGATCTCCCCAGACGGCGATATTACTGTCACCAACGATGGCGCCACTATCTTGTCCCAGGTTCGTTCTCCACGCCCACATGGGAGCTGTGATCTAGACCGATGGCTAACGCCCTGACTTTTGAAGATGGAAGTCACAAACAACGTCGCCAAGCTTTTGGTCGAGCTTTCGAAATCTCAGGATGAAGAAATTGGTGATGGAACGACTGGTGTGGTCGTTTTGGCTGCTGCTATGCTGGAGCAGGCCTCTGAACTCATCGACAAGGGCATTCATCCCATCCGCATTGCGGATGGTTATGACCAAGCTTGTGAAATTGCCGTTGCGAAGCTTGACCAGATCAGTGATGAGATCCCATTCAGCAAGGATGACACGAGCAACTTGTTGCAGGTTGCAAAGACTAGCTTAGGGAGCAAGATGTATGCGGCGGATTTAACACTGGCCCTCTATTTATCATTGTACTAACCTTTCACCAGTGTCTCCAAGTCTCACGACCAGTTCGCCAAGATCGCCGTCGATGCAGTGCTGTCTGTTGCCGACCTCGAGCGCAAGGATGTGGATTTCGAATTGATCAAGGTGGATGGAAAGGTTGGAGGTGCCCTGGAAGACTCGCTTCTTGTCAAGGGTGTCATTGTGGATAAAGACTTCTCTCACCCTCAAATGCCCGACGAAGTCCAGGATGCCAAGTTGGCGATTTTGACCTGTCCGTTCGAGCCCCCCAAGCCGAAGACCAAGCACAAACTCGACATTACAACGGTTGAAGAGTTCAAGCGGCTGCAGGACTACGAGAGAGAAAAATTTACAGAGATGATTCAGAACTTGAAGGATTCGGGCGCCAATCTGGTTATCTGTCAGTGGGGTTTCGACGATGAGGCCAACCATCTTCTTCTCCAGAACAAGCTCCCCGCTGTGCGATGGGTCGGTGGGCCTGAAATTGAGCTCATTGCTATCGCGACGAACGGTCGGATTGTTCCTCGATTCGAAGACCTGACCCCGGAGAAGCTGGGAACTGCTGGTCTTGTGCGGGAGATGACATTTGGTACTACACGTGAGAAGATGCTCGTTATCGAAGAGTGTGCCAACAGCCGTGCTGTAACGATATTCGTTCGAGGAAGCAACAAGATGGTTAGTACCAGTTGCGAGCGGCTCCGTGCATATACATGAATTACTGATTCTTCGTCTAGATCATCGACGAGGCTAAGCGCTCACTACACGATGCTCTTTGCGTTGTGCGTAACCTGGTGCGCGACAACCGGGTTGTATACGGTGGTGGTGCTGCCGAAATCGCTTGCTCCATAGCCGTGGAGGATGCCGCTGTTAAGGTGCGTCACCAGGCATCAATGTGTCAGACAAATCCATGCTAACGTATGGTCCACAGAGCCCCGGAATCGAACAATATGCCATGCGCGCCTTTGCCGATGCGCTGGATGCCGTACCAATGGCACTGGCTGAGAACTCTGGATTTAGCCCTATTGAAACCCTTGCTTCGATCAAGTCGCGTCACGTGAAGGAGAACAACTCTCGACTTGGTGTTGACTGCATGATGACTGGCAATAACGGTATGTGCGCAGCTCTATGGACTGTGGAATGCTACTGACAATACGTCATTCAGATATGCGGGAGCATTTCGCAATTGACCCTCTGATCAGCAAGCGGCAGCAACTCTTGCTGGCGACGCAGCTCTGCCGCATGGTTCTGAAGGCAAGTCTATTGCATGGAGTTTAAGGACTGGACTAACAGGATACAGATTAACAACGTCATCATTTCCGGCGACGACGAGCAGGAGTTCTAGATTTGTGATGTCACAAGGAAAAGCTTGATAGTACTTGAGGTTATGCCATGAATAATCAGGGAGGAGTTCTATGTAAAGCACGACGGGCCATATAGAATCCGTTGATGAAACAATGACAGGACAATGACAAATAGTAGCATCACATTTCATTTCGTAGCAGACAAGTAACGATGATGCGTTGTCCGATCTAAATGGCAATTAGGATTACCCATATTACCAATATTCACGTATTTTCAGGAGGATAGATATACTCTTCCTCTCCTCGGGGAACCATGTGTTCTTGAAGTCTTGGCTGACAATAATGTTCTCTATTAACTACTCCGTAGACTATTCGCAGAAGTAGAACTTTCTATAATATCCTATTGTAATCCCTTATTATGCAAATTTATATTTTCAGACAAACTATATAAGATCAATCTTCTGTTATTCACTCTCTGTATAAAGAGAGAGATTATTTACCTGTTAGTATATATTATAAAAGACACTTACTGTTCTAGTCCAACACAGAATATATCCATGATCAAGGCAACTAACCAGGATATAGCTTATCACCTTGAGATAAATGTCTAGATACCTATATTTCTAAAAACATTCCTCAGATAAACCTCAAGGCAGACTTGGTATGAAGATGGCGATGAATAAAGATAACTGAGAAACAGCTTAGGATTATATGTCTACACATATCTCACATGGAAAATTTCTCCTAGTGCAGAACAGAAGACCATATACCCGGATTTACTCTTGGTTAAATCCATAAAATCTCATAATACAAACAAATATCATCGTCATCATAATAATAATATGGACAAACAAAACTATATAATCTATACATAGTATGTACTCATAGGTAGTAAGTATGTTGACCATGATGCAAACCTCCCGATTCAGAAATTTAAATCTAAGCACAGAACCTCGTAGACACTTACTCTCCCAAGACAAGTTGGTGGAATCATACATACATATCTGCACGCATCCATGCAGAAGGCTGAAGCTGACTCTCCTCATTTTCCTCCTCCTTGTTCCCCCGCGGACCCCAACTGACGTCAGATACATGGAAGAGATCATCGATTTGGTTCTTGGAATCGAATGGAAGGAGATTATGAGATAAGATGAGATGAGATGGCATGGCTGTCGAGGGTCTCATCCGACTTTTTTTCATTATTTTTTTTATTTAAAAAAAAAATCCACTTCATCGTATACACAGACTGGGGATTTATAAACCAGTACCTTTTCTCCACGTCAACTGGACCCAACACCATGGTCAAAGCATGTCGGTCGACACCATGCAAACGACTACATACTACAGACAGATAGGTTTAGGGCTCATACTGCGCCTCACGATTATCGTAACATCTACCTGATTTTTCCGATCAGGGGAGGTCAAATGACAAATACTCACGGGGAAGGTAGGGCATAAATTATCAATCAATCAGATCGAACGCAAAAGAGCCGAGTTGGATGATGGATGGATGGGACGATGGGAATCAAACGGGCGGATCCGAGACGAGACGGACCGGGAGATTCTATACTCTGAGTAGTTACTCCGTACAGACAGACGGTGTACACAATACAAGGCAATCAAGTACGGGTTATTGATTGAATATGGATGGATCAGCTTCGGGAAGAAATAGTCGGGATGGATTTTTGTTTATTTTTCTGCGTTGTTTTCTTTTATGAATCATCCGGGGATTGGCGAACGCGGGGCGGGCCGGATGGAGTCTGTATGTCTGACCAAGGAGTATTATCATGGGAAATGTCATGAAAGATCATTTGGAGGAAATCTGGGATCTGGGTCTGAATCTGGATTGGGGGGAGTCTATCTCATGATTCTCATCATCGGCATGAATCTTTCAGCTGTTACTCGGCGCTTATTGTTAGTGGGTAGTCGGTGGATGATACTAGATCCGGTGGATTGTGAAATTAGAACAGGAAATCAAAAATAAATCGAACACATGCAGAAAGAGACAGACCGCTAGGTCCCGTCATCGAGGTTGCGCGGCGCGTGGAACAGAAATCCCAATTCCACGGAGACGTGGGTTGCATGGTGAGGGAACATGGTGATACATATGAAGATATTCGACCGGTGGATGGAATCATCTGTTCAATGGACCAGATCCTCGGGAATGAACAAGGAGGGGAGAATCAATATATGCATGGATTTATTTCCCAGATGATAGTGAGGGAGAAATCGTTCATATCAAAGAATCATCATCACCTCCATTGACAGGTCAGTCCAATCGAAAATCCATCGACTGTCAGTATCCCGAGAAGAACCATCCAGATGACCGAATGTCGGCAGATTGATATGTTGACAAGGGCAGATGCAATATCAAGTCATCTACATCGCCCAAGAAATAAGTAAAGATAGAAAGAAATAAAAAACAACCCACTCATACATCAAAAGCAATCGGTACCGTCAGCCTCATTGCCTATTGAAAACATCACATGGCCAGAAATCATTGACGTGGCGACCGTAGAGAAAGAAATCTCTTCCTCGTGACGGACAGGGCGCCAAACGATGCGCCGTGCGGCGTTTGCTCAGCTCGAGACCGCTACTTCAGCGGTTGATGATCGCCTCCATCACACGACTGCGGTGAGGAAGTCGAACATCTGATATGATTTCTATTGGATTCATCCTGGTTGATTCATACGTATAGCACCGGAATTGGCTTTTTTTCATTACTGGTCATTGTCTCTTCAAAGTACTTACTTGTATGTTGACTGTATGAATGCTATAAATATGCCCAGTATGAATCGAACTGGGTTCATTTCCATGGCTCTCTGAATCAATCCTGTTACTCCATCTCTCCTTAACTTCCATCAAATAATCACAAAGAGAGAGAGAGAGAAAAGAAAAAGAAAAAGAAAAAAAATAAGATACCAGCTACCTGACAGCTTCATGACGTGCACTAGGTAATACGATCGCCAAACCCAACCCTATCCGAGATCCACCGTGGACTGCAGGACCGATGGAAAACACCGTCTCCAGTCATCGATCCCCCGGTCCCTCAAGATGAAACACTGCTGTCAGCCAGGAACCCGAATGAGGAATCATCTTGGCAGCGTTGCGCAGTCACATGGGATCTGGTCGGGGTCAAGGATGGTTGAAGGCAATCTGACCCTGAGATAGGTAGACAGATAACTCCATAGAATAGACAGTATTGTTCTGTGATATAGCAGATATGTCGGCTTAGAGAAGGCCAGATCCAAATCCAAATCGGCGGATATGGCGACATCTTTGTTTCAGGTTATCGCGGGAATGGGTTTATTCAGTGACTGACATCTTTGCTTTTTGGGGGCTTAATCTGTGTGACCCCTTTTCTTTTCTTTTTTTTTTTTTTTTTGCTGTTCAAATCCATCAGACAACATCTACAGATCTAGATCCAGGAAATGCATGCGCGTGGAGGAAGGAAGAGCGCTGGTTCGGATGGATTAGACGCTCGAGTCAAAGTGCGAACAAGGCTGTGCCCGGTTGATGGATCGGGGGAGATATAGGGGTTGGATAAAGGGGGGCAGTCAGTCTTCCAGAGGGGAATCTCCGATGGAAGAAGTCATCCACATGATGCTGGGATCGGACGCTTACTGGGGTGGTGGACTCGATCGATCCCTGCCGTAGCATAAAGAGAAATGGAGTATAATGAAGTACAACCTGAGTATGTCGGACTGCCTGACTGACTGACTGATTGCCGACTTAAGGAATGTCAGACAGGCAGGTAAAGAAGTCAGTAATTTCGGCGGCAAAACGAATACCAGCCAGCTGTACTGTACGACCCATACGAGAGTCAAATGTCCAGGTAGAGAAAAGGGCAGATCTTTACACCTTCTGTAGAAGTACGGACCAAGGTACGTTGGTCCCCTACATATCCATTGTACTTACTGGAGAGATGTAGCTCAGAGTACGGAGTACGGAGTAAGATACCAGAGAATGCCTTGTTCCCTATTAAGTGATAGAGGATCGACGACAGTGGGTCGCTGTGGACCAAACAAGCAACAATTAACATGCCAGGGCTCCCAAATACCTGGACACCTCGATGCAGAGAACTTTAGCTCCGACTGGGGGCAGATGCTGGTAATCCCGGATTGACACACATCTGGTATACCTTAGGCATAGGCATGTGCGCCAGCCATGTACGCATCGAATTCCCAAATTATTTATTGCCTTCAGGTAAGGAAGGTTCGGGCTGGTCTATAGGTTTTGGTTCCTGGCTTCGCAAGTGTCCATCGGGGATCAAGGGATCTCTATCTCTGGTTCCTGGCGCAAACTGTCAATCGGGGATCAAGGGATCTCTATCTCGGGTTCCTTTGTTTGCAGCCACTTCCTACCAGAACTCAAAATTGCGTCAGTGGCCGATAATGAACCATTCTAAGTCTTGTCTTGATCCAAGAATTTAGACCCGGAGAATCTACAAATCTTGAGTGAGAAACGGTCCGTGGTTGGTTTCTTTGACCTTCCAACGGTTGGTCTGGGGAAGTTCCCGCAAACGTGGCCGTCGCCCATAAATCATTATCGATCGGCACCCAGTAAGCCTTGACTTGGTGGTGATATATAAACTAGGTAAGAGAAAAGGGATTGTTACCATATCCACTAACCACCATGGCGATGGTGGTGTATATGTCTACGGAGGTTGCCGAATATTTATCTCCCTAAGTGTACAGTTCAACTAAAAAGGGAACAACCCCCTGAACAAGAAAGAGAGCGAGAGAGAGGAGGGGAAAAAAAACCCCTCATAGGATCTGTACGCTCTCCAGGGAGGTACATACGAAAAACATCCCTCCTGACTACCAGATCGTCCTTTGTCCGGCCTTGAACCCGCGATCCGCGTAACCCTTGCATGCACGACCGTCCCCCTGGGGGACAAACTGGACCGCATAACCCGTGGTTAGCCCATTTCTCGAACAAAGGACAAGTTTCCAATCGGTCTATTTGCTAGCTTAGCTAGTGAGGCACTGATGAAGATCGTCCAAGGGCTGGCTGGTCGGGGGATACGGGCCGGTTTGCGGAATGTGACCACTCAGAAAGGTACACAGGTTTGTTGGTATGTTAACAAATTGATCTGAATGTTATGGAAATAAGAATAATAAAATGAGAAGAGTAAAAGTACAGTGCATACGAAGCATAATGGTAAAAGAATACATAAAAAGAATAATGCTGGAACAGCCGTTGTCCAGGGAGCTGTTAGAGCCAATTCAACGGTTTCTACCCCTTGTACATACATACCCACATAGACCTAGACCTATGACGATCACCATATTAATATCTGTGCGCAATCCAAGCTTTACGTTATGCATGAAGGAATCTACTTGGGCGACTGAGACACTTTCATATGGTCGGATTAGACCGATTGTGATGAACGTTAAAATGGAGCTATGCATGTACCTACTCACATACCGGACTTCCATGTTTTGGGGCAGTTATCGAGACTTCATACGTCGCACATCCTGAAGAAAGGAAGAGCCGTAGCTCCGAAATGATACAATCAATACTTTCAGGATAAGGGCTCGGACCTCACTTGTGTCCCACCGAGTCTTTCGGTACATGAACACCCACGTACCCACCAGCCACATTCCCCGATATAGAGAGTCATTTGTGGACTCAGACAATTAATTCCAGGATCGACGCTGCCTTGTAACTCTAGAATGGTCTGTGGGTGGACGAGAAGAAGATATTTTGATGTTGTGTACGGAGGACTGTATGCAGAGACTCTGCCCCTACTGTTGTGTACTCTGCACCACCACTTTCTTGGTTAGATCGTACAGTATGCAGACCAGACATCCTATTTCCCGGGGCAAGTACTCCGCCATTACCGACTAACTACCTGAGTACCACAGTCATGATTTCTGTGTTGAGCGCAGCAAAGAACCGACTTCAACTATAAGTCAGCAATTCCACCATAGCAGCTGTTGATGGTGGCTGATGGACAGGCAATCCATCCCCTTTAGCAAATTTTTAGTCATAATTATGTAGAAAGGGATGGGGAGACATCATCACATCCACATGGAATAAACAGTATACTCGATAGTATGTATAGTATAGAGCAATCATCATCATCATCATCATCATCATCATCATCAAAAAATCCATCCTATAATATTCGATCTCACGCGATCGATTTCTAGCCCAGAACAGGCGCGCAATACCGCGGTCGACCCCACATCATGTGACGGGCGGATTTTGTTCTTGTGACTTGAGGATTTCGCCACCAGACGACGTGAATGGCTTTTGCTAAACCACTCCTTTTTGCCCCCACGTTAAGGGGCGGCAGGCAGCATCATGGTCGTTACACAACCTATGACTTAACTGCCGGTGGTGTTCCTTAAGCCACAGTGCGCAATATGGTTGCCTCTACCCATGGGTTTTGCATATACCATAAATGGGGCAAGCAAAGGCTCATGGCAAATACAAGTATGCCATGCCATTCATTCAGCCTCGGTAGCTTTAAGCCACTTAATGCACTTTGACTTCCCTTTTCGCCCCACCATGGAGATGAAACCTCGGGAATGGATTTACTTCTGCTAGATATTACTGCTACAACTACTACTTCAATTCATTCTGGCGAGATCATGGGATGGTTGGGTTCTCTCCTTGTAATATCTGTCGGTCGGGGATTTTTTTTAAGGCTTGAGGGGGCACGAAAAGACATGGAGAGTAATGAATTACCTTCCTTACAGAGTAGTTTGTCGTATGCTTTTTTTTGTCGCCTTTCTTTCTCCACAACTAACTACCTATCAGTAAACCCCAGGTAAGCTTAACCTCCTCCCATGTACTCTGTAAGAAATATACTCCATAAAATTCTGGAAGTATGAAGGATGATTGAATTCTCTGCTTCACTGCCTAGACACCCTGGAGTAGTACGCCTGATTTCCTGATCAGTGGATAAGGATGCAGCTACGTGGCTGTCTCTCCACGTCGCTGTGGAACAATTGCATGCATGAATGATGAGCAGCTGAGCAAGTTCGATCATCGAAGGAAGGTACCCCTCAGCTGCATGTAATGAGGCCCTTTTTTTCATGGTTCAACTTTGCCGGAGAGTAAGCGTTCGTTGGATAGTGGTTTTCCAGTTTCCCTGCTTTTCACGTTTTTCTTTGTTTAAATTTTTTTTTTTAAAGTTTTTTTATTTAGGTTTTTTTTTTTTTTTTTTTTTTTTTCTGTTGATCTTGTCTGGTCTGTATATCAGGTTGTGAAGCTAGCTTTACTGTTAAGCTATGAGATATGGAACTTGATACAAGTATGGTGTGCATAGGATATGCGCGAAAGATGTGGGTGTGCTATAATAGTGGTGGCTATAAAGCTTTGCTTCGACTACAGCGGTCGTACTTAACTCTAAACAAGTCCAAGATTTGGTAGGTAAGGTATAGTTAGTACCTATTTCAGTACTTTAAGATCCAGTGTTCTTGGTGTGATAAGAAAGTGCAATGCTACAGTATATCTGTGGAAGATTGAGATCACCTAAGGGTAAGATTTCAATACCTGGTCTACAGGATTAGCCCCCCCGCTAGGTATGACTAGGTATGGAACCCCATTTCCCATAATTGAATGCATAGAATCCTCTCGGGGTCACCATAAACCGACGAGATTTCTTCCATCTTTGGAGTTAGAAGGGACCCCCGGGAGCGGGACGAATTTTCTCAGTTTCAATTTCCACGGTGAGGCGAAGTTGAGGCGTAACCTGAGACAGAAAACAAGAACATTCAGAATATAATCAATTGTTCGACAAAGGGGGCAAAAAATTCAGCGAGAATCAGTCAATTCAATCACGAGGATGGTATCATCCTATAGAAGAGAATGAAACTGAGGGGGCCATATCTTACAACTCATCTGTCAGGTGTTCCGAAAATCTGGACTTGACGTGGAAGTGGAACATCACATGATTGACGAAACGTACGCCTTCCGCGGGGACCGGAGTGATAAGGTCAAACGTCGACTTGTCTGTAAGTACTCCATACGAAGTAAATCAAGACCAAGTAAGTAGGTGTGATAGGTGTTGTGGTGGATCGGGAGGATCTTCTTGATCCCAGTTCCCCGAACCACTCACCTGGGGAACAAGGGCCTAACGTCCGACTGTGGCGGTTTTAGTCCCTATTTGGATTAACCTAGGATGCCAAATTTGAGAAATTCTTTCAAGCCCCGTGACAACTTTTTTTTTTAAAAAAAAAGAAAGAAAAAAGAATTTGAAGGAAAAGGAAAATCAGGGACATTGACAGGACGCCTAAGCAAGGCCCAACGGATAGGCGTCGGGAGGGTTATGTTGACATTGACAGTTAAAATCTACTTAGTACCTACGTAAAGTCCATAAAACAACATCATCCAGCCATCATAATGAACCACTGGTGACAAGTGGCAGATATTGAGCTCTTGTGACTGCGATCAGAGTAGGAATGGGCAACTGTGGCCGCCCTGTTGATTTGTCTTCGTGTCGCAGGAATCTACCAGGTATGTGTATAGCGATGTGAACAATAATGCCCAGATAGATTTGTGAAAATAAAATGTAAAAAAAATAAAATAAAATAAAAAAGACCAATATCCCAGACCCCAGGACAGGAACATACATACCTGCAGAAGCAATCAAGGAACCGATGGCAGCATAGGAGCAGCCAAGACGATCAACCAGATCGGGAGCCACTCTGCTGTTCCCCGGTATGTGATTTCTGCGGGGGGGAGGCAATTTAATGATGGTGATACATACTACCACTGACTAATAGGTCGTGAATATGCTCAGAAGATCGATGGCCAGACCGTTTCAGCGGGAATAGTTGAATCAATATGTCGACGTGTCATATGGAAAGGAGCACAACAACAGCATGAACTGAGATACTGTACATTTCTTGCCTGGAGGAGTTCAGTGGTGGATAAAAACGACATCAAACGGCCGGGAAATTTGAGCCAACGCGAGTCAAATTCCTAACCTAGTGTGGTAATGATGATTTTGAGGAATGAACCTGTAAAGAGAAACGAAGGAGCAAAAGCAAATACCCGGTTTGAGTTGTCCAGAACGTCCTAGGTTAAAGCAAAAAAATATAAATAATAAATAAAATCGCTATATACACAAGGTATTACCGATGAGATTATCATTTATTGTAGAATGCGGCCGAAAACATACAAGTCCATGGCCGAAGCAGGTTAATCAAGAGTGGTAGTCAGCAGGTCTTAGCAACGCGACCTGGTGAACTGTCACCTAGGTATGTTTTCGGTAAGGGGAGCCTGCAAGACACGAGTGAATGATGCTCGGGACAGGGCGTGCTGGGTACACATTGTCGGTGTGCCTATTAGTAAGTAGTATAGCTACGGAGTTGACACTCCATATCCTACATCCTCCGTATGCTATGGTTGTACCTATTCAATCATCATTACTCAAAGCATTGTTGACAAGTGTGAGTGATATTGGAACGGCACTATCTGGACCAATCATTCATGGCCCAAATTTTGAGGAGTCAAGTGACCCAGGCAATTTGAGTGGTGAATGGCCAAGGGAATCTGTTCTTAGTCAGCGCCGGAGAGGAGAGGTCACAGGACAGACGATCTTTGTCTGGATGTTTGACTAAACTAAGTTGCTTCATTCGGGCTATTTACTATCGCATTGAATATTTTTAGGTAAGATCATCTTTTTATTGTTCTTTATTCTTGTTATTATTATGGTCCATCTTATGATACATATAGGTTATTTTAATTTCCCCTTGGATTGTACCTAAGCGAAAAGATCTCAAATCCTCCTGTGTGGTTCAGCCCCAAAAGGTAAAGTGATGGAGACCGGAATTGATCAAGGTTAACTATACATGTATATAATATCTCGTACGTTCCTTGGACAGAGAGTAAGGCTGCACCTGGATGCAGGAGTGAAGTGGATCTGGATATAAGACTGGGCATCTCAAGTTCCAGTACCGAAAGGTACCGTGACCGTGACCCTCTTCTGTAACCAGGCTCCCGTACTTTTTTTTTGGGTGGGACTCCGGAAACAGACCGGTAAACTTACCGGTGGTCATGACACGGTATGAAATACCAACAGACCATGGGGGTACTCCGAAGTAACACACTAAAAAAAAAAAAAAAAAAACCAAATCCGAAAACCCCAAAAATAATAATAATTTCGATCCAGGTCCGGACCATGAAGGAGGCGCGGCTAGGATCCTTCCTTTTTACTTACCGCCATACCCATCTCTCCGTCTCTGGTCACAGTCGAACCTGTTCCTCGGTACCCTCGTCGGGGTTTTCTGTGTGGCCACCCTCGGTTTCCTATTTTCTCTTCCACCTCCCCTTGTACCGTTACCAACAATACACGCTGCCCCGTCCATCTCCACCGACCCGTCATTTAGTATCTACTATCTTCCCTTTTCCTTTTTCTTCGTCCGCTCCACCCACTAAGTTTCTCCTCCCCCATATTCCTCTTACCCATTTTTTCTCTTGATTTTCTCTCGTCCATTCTCCTCTTCCCTCTCCTCCCTTCAATCCAACCACCTACCACCTTCTATACGACAAACGCCAGGATCACCCTTTACTTCCCCGAATCCGGCATACACATCTACTTCACCGTTACGACAATCCTCTTCACAACTATCGGCCGTTATTTGCTTCCGGTCGAAATTCTGCTCTGCTAGACTTAGGGTTGGATCTGAGGTATTGAACAATTTGAGCCTTCGATCTTAATTCTATTTCTGTTGCGTGTCGTATACCCTGTATACCTACTAGCTAGCTCGAAGTTCGCTTCACAGCAGCTTGGGCGCTAGGATTTCATAATATCGACTTTCTACAGGCTGCTGCGGAGCATCTACTCAGAGTTGTCACCTGGGTAATATCCTCACAGTTTAGAGAGATTTCTTACATCGCTAATTTCGCGCCGTACGACCACGCTCGGGGGAGACGGCGACCCCGAAACTCAACACCATATTACACATTGCAAAGTGTGTGGAAAGGGTTTGAAAATTGGGAACTGGAACACCAAAACAATGCCTTCACGTTTATCAACCCCCGTTCTCACGGTGGATACAGAGAAAATTCACAAAGTCGACACAGCTAATGCACAGAGCCTTCATGGGATGTGGATGGGTAAGTTTTTCCTTCACTACACACTCAGGTACGGTGAATAATAGTGGTTGACTTTGCTGTGAAACAGTATTTTCTAAATGTGCGGACTATATGGAAGAGGGCCGTCGGTTGGAGAACTTGAGTTGGAGACTCTGGACACGTGAGACATTTTGCGTGGAACCGGAAACATCTAGCGATACATCCGTTTTGCCACTCCTGCGCCAGGAAGCCGGCGATCTACCAGAACTTTCCGCCAGTGTCGAGTCCGCTGCTTCAGATCAGGCCGAGAGAATTGAGCATCATATCAAGCGCCCTAAGGGTATGGACTACAAGCCCACAGTAGTCCGCGATGATTCCTTGTTGAGCCTTGGCAGAGGCAAGGAGAAACATATCACATCACTCGGATTGGAACGGATGGTGTTGAATATCAAAGAGAAGAAGAATCTTGAACCTTTGCCCACCATGACTACAGTCGCCCCTCCTGTCGTTGACATCACTCCACGACCCTCCACTCCTACGCCTACTCCTCCATCTGTCTCTACTGCGAAGCGACCATCCCCGTATTCAATTAGCCAACAGCCGAATCAGTCTACCGAATCCTGCTCAACTACTGCTCCAGACTGCAATGAGAGCGACGCCGCAAATGTCACCGCCTCGGATACCAGCGTATCTTCTTCCGGCATTCTTCCAACCCGTGCCGAGTTGATCAAGTCGCCTAGTATTGTCCGAGGTTTCTCACCGTCGCAAGTGTCTTCGTCGTATCGGTCCCAGGCGAATTTGACTGCCGACCAGAGCCCTGCAAAATCGGCACAGTTAAAGCCCATGCCTTTTAAGAAGAAGGGCGGTATGTTTACGTTGGGTGGCTCTTCCGGCGATGATGATGAGAGTTCTTTCGAAGATCGTATGGAATTGCAGGGCCCGCATCGAAGCTCACTCTCAGATGAACTGGGAAAGCCTAATGGCAACCAGCCGAGCCCGAAGAAGGTCACTTCGTTTAAGAACCAAGTTGGGACCATTAAACCGATTAAGGAGCGATCCAGAGACAATGACGAGGACGCCATCGAGACCGAGGATGAGGTATCCGAAAGTGCTATTGATGACGAAGAGGATTCTGATTGGGAAGATTCCGTCACCGAAAGCGGCCGATCAAGTGTGGAGGAAAACCACCAGCTCTTTCAGCGTGTTGATTCTCGACCCAATCTTGTTTCGCGGCGCTCTCTTTTGACAATGATGATGCACCAACCTACCACGATGGGGGCCACTCGATCCAGTCCAGCCTTGCAACGATCGCGTCTAACATCACCGAACGGTCCCTCAATTCCCGCTTCTCCACCCGAAAATGATGGCGAAAACTTGACCATGCGTGGCCCCGACGTACCTCGTTCGAAGCCGATAATCATGAGACCACCTCCACAGTCGGTTGCTCATTCTCCCAGAACTACCAGAAGGAATATGCTCGCTACGGAGTTGACCGAGTCTCTTCGCCGTCACCTGCTATGGGAGCGACAGCAGAAGAGCACAACCGCCAATGCATTCCTCAAACGGAGACACACTGCTCATGACATGGCAAATTTGCAGGAATACCCTAATCCTAACGACGCCCAGAAAGGCCAAGGCACTAGAGTGGCGAATCCCAACGCGGCAAGTCGGAGCAAGGACAAGGATGCCGCGAAAACTGGTTCTTGGACTAATTACACTGATTTTGGTCCGTGGGAGTACCACGTGAAGGGATGGTAGAAAGCACCACTGTGTTTTTGAAACCTTTACAAAAAAGATGAGAAAAAACAACCTTATCACACTCTTTTCTGTGTCAAAACATCTCCTTTATATGGGTAATGTTTATTGACCTTGATACCCCCTTATCATACGCATTTTTTCCTTTTACCTCTGTAAAGACCCTTGATTGAAAATCCCTGTTCCACGTACGATCACGACTCTGCATAGCATATTGGCGCACACGGCATCATATGGTTGTTATTTCAGACCTAATCTTGTTTTCGGGTCTCTGCTTTTCTTTTTTTACCCCTTCAGATGTCATTGCATTATGTGGCTATCTGCTCTGTGACTATTATACGAGCCACTTCGAGGACAACGCCTCGCTTAACACAATTAATATTCATGTACAGATGATTCCATTTGTTTCAGCGGCGGGGAATGGCGGGCATTCAATTTGGGGAAGGGCTTTTTTTACGAATTTCTGTTCCAATATGTCTTGGGTGGAAGCAAAAGAAGAGGCCTAGGGGTGTCATCGTCGTGTCTAGTGACTGCTTATTTTTGATAGCAGCAGGAAAAACACACTGTTATCATGCATTTCCACGTCCATCTTTTTTTATCTCTGATACCAGATACCATACTATGCTTTGTGATTTATTCTGAGCCTTTGTTCGCGGACTGCAGTCTGCACGTACATCATGTATGTTATATTGTACTAAAAAGAATAGGAAAAAAAAAAAAAATTAAATTGCATAGACCAGTGAGATGATGTCTTGCCTTATCATTGCATGATGGAGGTGGCATTGACAGCTTGAGTACCGCTCGGCCTATATCAGGCGCCCTGATGGAGCAGGGATGTCTTAATGGGCAGCACCGGCTACAGTCCAGCTCAGTGTGCAGGTTCCTGTTGAGATCTAGAACCGTCGCATTGATCTCTTCACATGCCATGCATAATACCTTGCAATTATTAACTAGTTGCTATACTCACCACCTATTACTACTACCCCTGCTACTTTTTTCCCTTTCCCTTTTTGTTCCTTCGTCACCACTTTTTGCACTCGTTCCATCTCGAAAGAGCTCCGTTACACCCAGATCTCAAAGCTGACGATGAATTGTCAGACCAAGGGTATGACAACAAGGTAACGAAATCTAACGGAATCACTCGGATTATACCAAGGTAACATCAGACATCACTCTGACACCGAATACAATACAGTGTTTTAAGTAGCGCTGTTGGGCTAGTCTAGATAGCTTGACTAACGACTCCGTCGCTGGACGATGGACGCATCTGAATTAATTATTTGGCCTACGAGTCTGTACCTCCTGAGATATCAGGTGGATTTAGTAAACTTTGTATGGATTAGGTTTATAACTAAGATGTGAAAGTAGGTTATTGTATAGGTAGAAAAATATGGTTGCTCTTCCTACCTGTTTTGGATAGTAGGTATTCAAGCTCTATGGTCTAGGAAATAAATGCAAGACATCCTGTACGTGCAGTACATTCTTTAGTTTTCATATTTTGGATTAGCAGTGAGACTGAATTTGACTTTGTTTTGCTTGTGTTTGTGTTTGAAAGCTACCTATTCTGGCTGGCTGGCTGGCATGACGTAATTGTGATCTATGTTGCATTGGGTAATATAATACTTCAGAACAAATACGATCAACTATATGTAGCACTTAGTGAAAATAAAGAAAATAAAAAGAAAAAAAAAAAAAAAAAGTCTCCACTCCTACACTCATACTTACGAATAATACTGAATAGAATGATACTATAGGTGACGACATCCAAAATGTCCCCACTACTGACAAAAAACCCGTCCCTGAATCTCCCGAGTACCACACCCTCCGTTCCAGAAAACGAGAAACTCTGACGTCCGACTGTTCCCGACAAGCGTGGAGAACAACCTGCAAACCATTGTGGCTGGAGACCATCAGCCAGAACATGATTGGCCTAGAATGCTCATTGAGTGTCGAGCTTGTCCGAATTGAGTTTACCTCGGTGGTTTGAGGATCGAGGCTGCTGTGGATCTCTAAAACCTACAAGTACGGAGGTACGGAGTTTGGAGAAAGTCTAAGGTGGTCCAGTCCAGTCTGCCTGGGTCCAGTAGCTTCTCGACTTAAAAGGTCTGAGGGGCAACCTAAGTTACTTTCTCTCTTTCAGACTTTCAGCTGCTCTGTGGGCGGATCTACGGAGTACTGTGGGTCGGGCAAAGGTCGGGCAGCAGGGTGATTTGTGGATGAGTACAGAGTAGAATCCTAGCTTCACCGGTAATAAGTGTTATGCAATGACAATGTATGATGGTGACGAGACAGTCTTGGTAGATGCGGACTATTAAAAACCTGATCATTGAGTTGTGGAGAGCATGGTTGGTTTTGATCACCCATCATACTGTACCTAGTTCTATCATACTCTGTAGTTTCTCCAGCAGACGAAGAGATTGTAAGTTAGTGTGTTCTTCCCTATTTCCTTTTTCATCCTGCATGTAGGTCATGGTCTAGATGAATTGTGATGGACACTCGCCATTTGTGCCATGCCGGTGCCTTCGGGTTGCCGTACTCCGAGTTTCGGCATGCCGAACAGTCGGAGACTTGATATCGGGGAGATTGACAATTGAGCAAAACTTCGATGCATACCTATATCTTGCTTGTACATATTCTTTTCTTCTATTTTGATAATTTATTGATACTTTATTTATTATTTCATTTATATACCTCTTTTCAGAAGCAGTGGTAGCCAGAATTTTGCAGTAAATCACCTAACATTACAGTGCGCTTCTATATAAGGTACTCAGGAATATCTGATCCCAAATATCTGATCCCAATGGTCCAGTGGAATAAGATCCTGAGCTTGGCTATAACACCGAATCACACAATATCCGGAATAGTGTCAAGGGTTGACCCCAATGTATTGCTCAGGCATGGCCTTCGCTCCTATATAGGGCGCAAGATGCGACTGATCTTCGATCAGTCGCCTTGTACCTTTTTATATGGTCTAGTGATTTTACCTCTGCTAGCGCAGAGACAACCAAACCATCACAAACACTCCCGTTCAAAGACTTAGTTCCTTCCCATAGTGCGTACGGAGTACATCTGATCTACAAATTTTATTTAATAGGAAATGGGCATCTGCGGAGCCTTTTAGTTTCACGCTATCTTCGATCCATCTCGATTAGTTAAGGCATGCCGCTATATAGTCTCGGACGGTCAGCCCTGCTCCCTTAATACAGTCTGTTATTCAGCACGCTAGTTGTATAATTTAGAGTATTTCTTACCCCAGCCGACAGTTACGGTCCGCTGAACTACAAACTAACGGCGCAGCATTGTAGGACAGGACACTCTTAATATTTAACGTGGCTGAGTTGGATTGTTTCTTAACTTCTATGGCGGAGTATATGGCTGGGACACAAGAATTTCTAACAAAATCTAGACACTCTAGAGTCAAGAGAATGGGGAAGTACATCATCCATATCGAAGAATACCATCCCAACATCCTGATTAGCGAATCAGATAATCATGTGAAATTTGAGACCATGCCATATCGAGACCAACTCCGTCGGAGTTCCCGTACATGGCGTCGCAAGAAACATAAAAAAGAATGAGATAGAGTCTGTTGGCGCAGATAAGACCCTTGGCTGGCTGTGAGATTTATACCCATGGGTTTTATTTTAATTTTTAATTTTTAATTTTTATTTTTTGGCTTTATGGGTGTGCAGAAAACAAGGTTCGCGTGCACATGCTTCGAGAAGCTTTCTAGAATGGTCACGGGTATACTACTTCGTATAATCAAGGCATTAAAACACGCTTCCATGGATGTGGTTTAGCGGTATTGTATCTACTGTGTAAGTGGTTTTCGACATACCATGGTATTGTGTAGATTAGGTGGTTGTGGCAGCGGGGCGCGTGGGATGGCGGCCATTGTTGGTAACTTGGTACCCGGTATGGTATGGTTTATGGTATTCGTATTGATAGTGTATGATAGTTACGGTACGGCCTTGTCTGCCTACCTTGGGAATTTCTCGGCGTCGAGCGTTTTTTTTTTTTTTTTTTTTTTGAAGTTATGACCAATAATGCCCACGATCTTTCCAAAGAATCGATACTCAATGGTGTTGCGAGTATCTGATTTTTATATGTGAGGCTTTTTTCCCCTCCCCTGATTGAGTCATAGACACTTGGAAATTTGTGTAGCCATTACCACTGTGATTGGCTCGACTGCTCGTGAGAGTCACCATATAGAGTATAGTTAGTCTCTACCTAGGTTCATGCATAGTTACCAGGAATGGATCAATATCTCTTGTTACTTAGTGCGAATGGAGCAGAGTAGCACGAGTAGTAGACACGGGTTCCAGCAAGGAACCCAATCCCGATACTCTCACAGACACGTCTCCGCCGACCGCCAGTTTAGTTACTCCGCATTTAGTCACTATCAAACTGACAGTTAACCGCCTAAAGTTACATGGGCCGGAGGACTTTGCTCCGTTTCGCTGTTTAGGTTCATACTATCTGTATGGAATTCTGCTAGAGTTCGGATGGAATCCTTTAAGTGTCTAGTGGCTGTGCGGGCTCTGTTTTGTATGCAGAGTATATGGGGTGGACTTGATATACCTGCTTACATTCCTTGTTCCGGTGCATCAATCGGTGATATTATCGGGAATATGGTGATTGACAATTCGTCTGAAATGGATGATCATTGAGCCAGTTAAGGAGTGAATTTCGACCATTGGTGGATGGGAAATCTCGGAGGAATTCTGCTCCATAGAAATGCCCTTCTGGAAGACGTTGCTTCATCGATTGCTCGTAAGATCGAGGCTTGTTTGAAAGGACGGAGTAATGAAAACTTGCATGCGCATGTAGGTCTGTATGGCTATCCAGACGTTATTGGATTACCTGGTAGGAATGCGTAGTGCATACTTCAGCTGGAGGTATCACTGTTTACGTGAAGGTTGTCAGTTTCAGACGCGGTTTGAGCCAAGTCACTAGAAAATTTGGAGGATTTCTTCCGCTTCCTATTTATTCATGGTGAGGTTGCTACCTACCATGCCATTCATGATAGAATCTTACTGCTTACCTCGGATCGTACTTTAAAATCTCAGTTGGTCTGCTGACTCGTACTTGTGTGTTGATCGCCTGGTTAGTCAGCTCCCCTCCTGATTATTTTCGTCCGGTGGATCGAGGTTGCATCCCGGCTGGGCCTTGGGCGTCCGCAAATCACCACCGAGGAGGCCCTGTACGTCAGATGAGGGATGTGCGGGGAGGAGGCTAAAGACTCGAGATAATTTGGTGGGGAAGTGGGAAAATCGCCGCCATGAGATGACCCCTCCTTGACGTGATCTATCATTAGCATCTGGTAATATTAATCCCACAAGCGCGCCCGGCTATGTTTTATTTATGCTGACTAGTAAATATAGCGATGATGGTCATCTCCAGCGCATAGGTAGGTGCTGGATGCCAGATAAAGTAGCTCATCTCTGGTTGCTTTTTGGCCTGATCCATATCAGGCCCACGGTCACATACCATGGTACTTCCCATAAGATGACCTCAGTTCACTTGACCCTACATTCAGTGTGAATGAAATCATAATGCAGCAACGCTCTGAGCTCTTCTATTGTCCAAAGCCCGACAAACATGATCCAGGCGTACCCTGGCCAGAACTTCCACGGCATATGCAGGTCGGAGTGACCGAGTAGAGAGAGGCAGTATGTAATCCAATGATGAGAGGCATAGCAGATAGGTGGTTAGATAACATCGGCCAGACCATTGATGCCAGCCGTCGGTCCGGAGGTCCAGCCCCTGAGAATACAGGAGACAGTATCCGAGGGTGGATGATGACTTTACTTCGGGCTGACGACTCTGCTGATGGAGGGTGCAAGAGCCCCTACGATGAGGTGGACTGGATGGCATCTATGGAAACGAATTTGGTATCATCATGGTCGATGTAGCTATTGCAGGTTTCAACCACGTCAACGGCAACCTTATAGACAATTTAGACTATTTCTTTTTTTTTTTAAAGAAAAGAAAAGAAAAGAAAAGAAAAGAAAAAAAGAGAGCTACACATGATTGAATAATGTAATAGCGGAAGAGGCCAGCAGAAGAAAGGATCCAGGACTGTCTCCGCTTTGATATCATGTTGATCGAGTCCGACTGTCACAACCCAAGAAATAGGTGAACTCCTATCACGTGGCGCTGCTCCCTCGAAAGTCTGGTTTACTCATTCCTTCTTACTTCGTCCATCCCCCCTCGATAGCATCCTTGTCCCTCTCCACTGGGCAGCTGCAGCTATCTGGGAACTGACCTCGTCGCTTGCATGGCTCGTCCGACATCCGACGGCCACTGTCGATCCCAAGGTCACCAGGTCTCTGCGTTGGCAGTTCAATCACACTGTGACTTTTCCTGGCGTCCGTAGTCGCCAGGAAAAGTGACTGACAAGTCATCAATGTTCGCGATTATTGTTCTTGTTCTCTGTCGAGATTTCCGCTGATCCCGATCCCACGATACAAGCCCGTTATGACCCGTGATCCTCTTGGGCCTAGGATGGGGAAGGATTACAGTAGTGAACCAGCCCGACGGTTTGGATAGAATGGGTGAACGACGCACTTGACGCTATCAGTTGCCCCCTAAGGCGTATCATCTAATGGCTAGATGGATCCCTTGATACCTCTGAAAAAAAATTTTTTTTTATTCGATTGCCTCTGACTGAACAGAAAGTACATCATTTTCTCAATGGCGGCGAACCTCCTGCTTCGTATTCTAGGTCTAGGTCATCATAGATTTACGCCTCGACAAGCATGTCTTCAATGATGGTGTGTTGATCAACCGTATCCAGACATTTTCCCTTGTTATTCTTTTCCCCAAACCCCTGGCCTTCCCCTGAATTCGACAAAATTTTCCTGGTCACACGCTCCCTCATAGTTCTTATTTTGACAGGGATTAATTTTCCGCTGCTGAGTTGGCACAACGCTCAGCCTCAAAAGTACCGTAGCACTTTGCCTATGCGCTGTGTGGCCCTTCAATCTTCCGCAAAAAGCAGGTCAAATGCTTCTGCTTCTTCACGCGCAAAGCCCGGGACGGGTGTGTTGCCCTATCATTTCTACCCTGGTCAAGTTGGAGCGGTATTGCAGGTCAATAGTGGATACAGAGATGGTATTTACTTTTCGTGGTTTTGTTGGTTACCTGGCTAGTGTATTGATGATTGGGACTTTTGATTGTCTATCCAATTGGTAGGGTGGCATGTGTACGGAGTAGAGCAGCATTTTTCGTTTCTTTTTCTGGCTGGTACTTGACTATATCAGGTGTGTTTGTATCTCAGAGACGCTGTTTTCGAATTCAAGATCAAAATATTTATATTATATGCGTTAATGTGGGTTTCATAATAAAGTGGAAAGTGTCAATCATGCGAAAGGGATTACGTTACATAGAGATCGATGAAGAATATCGTGCACGCCTGAGATCAATCCCACTCAAACACTCTAGGCTATGGGGAACGTCGCTCCCATCCTATCGTGGCTCCCTTCATGGGCCCAGAAAACAGAGACGAGTAGTCTGTATTCGGAATGCCTTTTCTACCATCCACATTATACAATTTCATGTTGCGCACAATCGTGGCGATAATGACTTCCAGATTGAGATAGGCGAACTTCTCACCAATGCAGCGGTGACGACCAGCACCGAAGGGGAGATAAGGACTTGCGGTACCTTTGGACACAGTGCCATAGCCATAGTCAACCATCTCCCCGTCATCTTCCTTTTCCTGGTGGTTCTCCCAGCGATACGGATCCCACCGCGTCGCATTGGGGAAGTAGTCCTCACTCAGCGCCGTCATGATAGGGGAGGCCAACAGGACATGGTCGGTAGGGATGACGTATGAAGTTCCAGGGATGGGGAGTGGGTTCTTAACCTTGCGCATAATCGAATGAATAGAAGGGTTAATACGCAGTGTTTCCTTAATGACGTTCTGGAGTAGTGGCAGGCGATCCAGGTCTTTGTATTCCAGGGGCGGAAGGTCATTCGTGCCGTTCCCGAGGTTAGCGATTTGTTCCTGATACAACTTCTCGACCATGTCAGGTTCGGCAGCGAGTCGAAACATGATCCACGAGCTGATGGACGAGGAGGAGTGTTGACCTGCCATCAGCAATGTGATCATCATGTGAGCGATTTCCTTGTCCGGCACCGGGGTTCCATCTTTGTAGGTACACTTCATGAGGTTCCCGATCATATCCATGGTCTCCTTGCGGGGGTTCTGGCGGCGTTTGTTGATAATATCTGTGTAGATCTCCCTCATGCGGGAATGAGCGGCATCACGCTTTCGATTTCGTGGCAACGGAACCCAAGGAAACATGAAGTTAATGGGGGTGAATCCCCCGTCGAGGTCATGATACAGGTCGGCAAATTCAGCCGTGAGTTTCTTGCGAACCTCCTCGCCTTGCAGCGCACGGCCTGCGGTAAAGATAGTGATTTCAGCCATGGCGGCGCAGACATCAACCACTCCAGAGGGGCCTTTGAATTTGGGGGAGGTTTTGATATAATCCAGGACTTCCGTCTCAATCAGTTGGACGTGCGACTCCAGCGCGCTCTGTGTGAGACCGAATTTGATGAACTTCTTCTGCTCCATGAACTTCGCATTGGGAACGTCGTACACGACATCAGATCCGAATACCGGTGTAGTGAGAAGGCCATATATCTCCTCTGCGTTTACATCTTTCAGTTTTCCATTGAGGATAAAGTCGTTGCCCTGGACGCCCAGATATACGGTTGTCTTCTTGCCCATGAGAACAAAGGTGAAGATATCGCCATACTATGTGGATTGCATGTTAGTAGACCAACGCATTCGGAGAATGCCTTCAAAACCAATCAGCTCACCATTTGTTTGCATGAAGAGAAGAAGGCGTACGGGTCCATTCCATAACTGACAGTGTTCCCTAAGAAAGGGATCCAGTGGAAGACAACGGGCGGCTTCGACTTGTCATGGAAGAGCAGCTGGCGCGCAACATTTAGGAGGATGACAACCAGTGCAGTCACAGCCGCATAGACACATGTCTGAGCAAAGGAGACCATAATGACGAATTCCTCCAGCTCAAGGTGGCAGGAAAGACGAAGGAATTGACCAGGAAGAGTCATATAAATAAAGATCCATTGTCTCAAACAGGCACCACCTTTCCCCCTTAGTTGTCTCCACGATCAGATCACACATTGCCACTATGGACAATCGGAACAACCCTTCCAACTACGCTGACACCACCTATCAGATGCTTGTTCTTTGGAGAACGTAGCGCTGTCGGCCGTTCCTGATCCGAGTCGCACCACCCGGATCTAGCCAGGGACAACATAATCCACGTCAATCACCTTACCGGATATAGTAATACTCCATGCATGTAAAGTTCCATCACTGCTGGAGTAGATGCTGGAATTCGCCCTAGAAAGATAATCAGTAAACTCGATCAATTGTATTCATGGAATTACTAATTCCATTGTACTATTGGGCAACACTATTTGGCAATTGGGCCTCAGCAACTGCTTAGTCACAAGCTTAGTACTTGCTCTGCCCTCTGACTCATTTCTCCCAGGTGGCACGGAAGGGACTGACTGTGAATAGATGTTCGAGTTGAAACTATGAGTCTTCAGTCCAGCAAAGACCAGTCATCGTGACTCCTTGTGATTCATCATCCTGTTTTGGCAGTTCGTCTCCACTTTGCCACGACTTCCTGTCTGAGACTGGGGTGAATGCTGACTCAGCTTTGCACCTCTCTAATTACTTAATAATCAACATCATCCATCTGTATGGAATGTACATCCATCTTGTGTCGATCTATCTACTGCCTCCTTAATCTTTCTTTTATATCCTCCAGGATTCTTCGTTTAGTGACCACAAACCACTGCCAAATAGTTGTCCCAGGGAGAATGAACAATCCCGGTTCTAATGGGAGCCAGAGGCCCATCTCCAAAGCCGAAAGTGCCACTCCACGCGAGTTCCAGATAAACCAATTGAGACGGCGGTTTCGACCAACAGAGTGTACAGATGAGTATGGAACGATCTTCACGTTTGGATTGGCGCCGTCGGACCCCGACTTCCCGTTTGAATTGGACAAGCTCCAATGCATTCTACATGTCCCATCAACATATCCTGCCGGGGCAAGGCCCACTTTGAAAGTAACCAATCCTGAAATGGGACAACCATTTCGGGACAATGTCGCCCGAGGATTTGATGATATTGTTGATAGCACGCTGAGAAGTGGTGGCCGTGGTACTCTGTTGACATGGATGAACACCCTCGATCGACACCTGGAAAGGTTACTCACCACGACGGAGAGAGGTCCCACACTCAAATTTGTCACAAATATTGGCAGTAGAGGAAATGAGCCGGCAGGGTCTCAAGAATTGACTGAAAAATTGCAGTCGCTACATGTACCGCTTGAAAGCCAACAGTATGCCTTGATGACCGAGACTCCAACCCGCGTGTTTTTTGCGGAAGAAAAGGCGCAGGTCGAGAAAAGAAGGGCCATGGAAACAAGGCAAATAGAGGCTCGTTTAGGTCGACTGCCATTGTTCCAGAAGTCAAAAGATGAACTCTCATTTGTCATTCCGATCCATCCGCCTAAGGCGGAGCGGCTGCCATTTTCTCTGCGGTCTGTTACGACCGTCAAGCTATTGGTGCCGCGCTTGTATCCTTTAGAACCCAGTGCTGTGGAACTGCATGGCGTCGATAGCATAGAGGCACGGTCTGTTGAAGCTGGGTTTGCACAGTGGATTAAAGGAAACACCAATCTGAATCTAATGTCACAGATTAACTATTTGACAAGCAATATGCATAATTTTGCAAAGACGCCTTTGGAGGAAGCCTCCAATCTAGTGTCTGGGCCTGTACCTACGGACACACCAGTGAGGGACGAATCACCGACGACCAATGATGTACAGATTGGAGATAAACCACACCTCCGTGTTGTCTCTCGGCCGCCAGAGTGGTCGGTAGTCGATCGCGGTAGCGGTAGCGACGACACGGATTCGTATACCTCGGAAGAATATTCTTCAGATGAGGATGACGATGAAGGAGGAGCTCCAGTTCCCAGTCTGCCCGAACCGACAACCGAGCGAGGAGTTGCGCTTTCCTTTCCATTCATTGAACTCTACGGAATTGAACTCTTGGACTTGGTTGGCCTTTCAATAACGGTAAAATGCGAGCGATGCAAGGAACAAATGGACGTGAAAAATGTTCCCCAAGCTAAAGACCAAAATGATGTCTTTATCCCTAAAATTGAGACGTGTAAGAAATGCGCGAACACAATGAGCATTGGTATGTCCTGGGATGTCAGAGAACCGAAACATTGAGCTAAATGCTATCCTTGTGTAGGGTTCCGCCGGCAGTTGATACATTCGCATTCGAATCGTGCTGGATACCTGGATCTGGATGGTTGTGTTATTGCGGATCTTCTTCCTAGGTAAGTGTCAATGCTTACGAATGTTCCTAAAGACAATACTTGGCGCTTTGCTATGTGTATCAACCATACAGGTCTGCTACAGGACTTATAGTTGACATCCTCACAGTAGTTTTATTCCCACCTGTGCAGAATGCTCAACTTCTTTCCATGCGCCTGGTGTTGTTGCTGTTCGTGGGGAGAGTGCAATGGCTGTGTGTCGCCAATGCCATCGTAAAATGGGTATGTCTCTACGATAATGGATGCAGAATTAAGCGCTCACCCAGTTTAGTGTTTAAATTGCCAGAGGTCAAGTTCTTGAGAGTAGGATCTGCTGCTTGTGAGTCCTATGATGATGACATTTAGTCGAGAATATGCTAATACTGCTGACTAGTTACCTCTCGTGATCGTGCTCCACAGCGCAAGAAGGTATGGAGTTGGAACACACCATGCGAATTAAGAGCTAACGGGTTTAAAGCCCAAGGAAGACCTTGGTATTGTCGCTGGGCAAGAACTACCCCGCCGGGGCCGTTGTATGCATTATGGTAAGAGCTATCGCTGGTTCAGATTTAGCTGCTGTACAAAGGTTTTTCCATGTGACAAGTAAGTTACATGACTCCCCCTCTGTCTATTCTTCTTGTCTCATGCACGATGCTGATCTAATTCAGATGCCACGACGCAGCTACCGACCATCCTAACGAACATGCAAATCGCATGATCTGGTAAGCATTCCCAGTATATTAGGTCCACTTGATCCCTAACACGATCTTGCAGTGGTTTCTGCTCGCGCGAACAGATCTACCGGCCCGAGAACTGCGGGATATGCCGTGCAGTTCTCATTGGCAAAGCAGGAAGCGGGTTCTGGGAAGGAGGTAAGGGAACACGGAACAAAGTTCTCATGAGCCGGAAAGGTATGTGTTGTTTGTGCTATACTGTGTTATACGCTGACCACTTCTAGATCCACGGAAGTACAAGCGTCGTCCAGGAACAACGCCGAGAGGTTTGTCGAAAAAGAAAGATAGGTAATCGTCCAATCATGACGTGTGCAAGTAGCAGAAAACAATAATTACATGTCCAAATGGTATTGACTATTATCAACGCTACGTACAAGACGACATGCTATACATATGTAACAAACAAGCAAGCCAAAATTCATAGTCATATACATCATCATTTCACGTGTTGCCATTCGTTCTAGATCAGGTTCCCGCGAAGCTCCTGCTCCCGCTCGATCGCCTCGAAGAGAGACTTGAAGTTACCGGCTCCAAAGCCCGAGAAGTTGTGTCTCTGGATGATTTCAATGAAGACCGTAGGTCTATCCATCAAATGCTACACGCAACGTCAGTTCAAGTCCCTACAAATATAACCGGTTCAACTCAACATACCTTGGTGAACAGCTGCAGCAGGTATCCACCCTCGTCGAAATCGATCAGAATATCCAGACTGCGTATGGTCTCAAAGTCCTCATGCAACGTCAAACCGGCCTGCTTCAGTCGAAGTCTCATGGTCTCGTAATAGGTGTCGGGCACTTTGATGAACTCGACTCCACGAGCCTTGAGGTTGGTGATGTCACGGATAATATCGTCTGTCAAGAGGGCAATGTGCTGCACGCCAGCGCCGTTGTAGAAGTCCACATATTCCTCGATCTGGGACTGCTTCTTGCCCTTTGCAGGCTCGTTGATGGGCATTTTCACAACCTCGTTAGGCGACGCCATGACGATACTCTTCAAGGCGGAGAACTCTCTACTCTTTGTTAGCGGGAAGCGCACCAACAATTATCAAGGACATGGAGAATACTCACGTGCAGATATCCTTGTCATCTACGGACCAGAAACGATGGAAGCCAAGAGCCTTCTCATAGCTACAAAACTTTAGTTAAATTTGATATAGAAGGGGAGATGTCACATACTATTCACAGATCTTATCCATCTCATTCCAGTCTTGGTTACCAACGCAATGATCGATGCGGCTCAAAGGCACATCAGGCAGCAGCTGCGAGATGGGATCCACTTCGTCAACAGCCTTGTACCCTGGCAGGAAGGTACCGCGGTAGGCATTTCGCTCGACCAAGGTGTGCACTGTCTGTCCATATGTTTGGATCTGGGCGACCTTCACGGAGCCGTCGTCATCCTCAAGGACACGGGAATGAGAGACCACCTTGGCGCCGTTGCTCACAGCGGCACTGAAGACGGCGTCAACCGAGTCGACTTCAAAAGCAACGTCCTTGACGCCGTCACCGTGCTGCTCCAGATGGCTGTGGATATCCTTCATCTGTTCTTGCTCATCCGGGGATAAACGGTCTAGCTGGTCCAGGGACCGCAATGGCGAGGTAAGGATGAAGGTGATATCACCATTGCGGACGACATGCGAGCAGATGCCTCGACTGCCTGTCTCGAGGCCGCGGTATGCCACACGGCGGAAGCCCATGCGGGTGATATAGTAGGTGGCCGCTTGCTTGGCATTGCCCACATACCAGTGGACATAGTCATAGCCTTTGTAGCCACCCAGGCTAGAGGCAGTAGCCCGGTTAGTAGGAGGCGGGGAGATAGCGGTGGGGGCCATTGTGTGGAAGTATAGAGAGAATTCAGAGACCCTCGACTAATGGTGGCAAATGGAAATGCGATGGCGAAGATGAGATAGATATATAGTTCCTGAACGGGATGATGGAGAAACGGGTCAGCAAGAATAACCATAGACGAGTGGCATCGATGCATTATAAATCCGCTGACGCGGATATCTTCTTTACCCATGGAATCCATGCCCCCAGCGTCCGAATCACAGCAAGTGTAGACAATCCTGAGGCTATAAGGGGTGGCGACGGTTCGGAGCGGATATTGGCAGGAAAAGGCCGGATGATGGCGGATATTTGCAACATCCGGCTGATATCCTCGTTTCTCGGATATATGACTTTACTTATAATTAAATCCGTTTCAAAATCAGGCACTATCATCTTCATAATTATCTCTCTCATACACTCTACAATTCACAAGCAAAATGACCACCATCCAGCCCTCGCATCCCTCCCTCACCTCCAACGATTCCGCCGTCCTCCAAGCCCTCTTCGACGCGGAATCCTCTCCCTCCTCCGCCGTCACTATTGACTCTTCACTACCTGCATTCCCAGCACATCTGCACCTACCTGAAGACCTCGAATCCCTCAGACAACGCGAACTCTCCATCGTTCGCACCCTCCAACCCACCGCCATCACCCTCGAGACCATCCAAACCGCCATCCAAGACCTCGCCACCCTCATCGCAGACCACCCGACCTACCCATCCGCCTACGTGAATCGCGCTCAAGCCCTCCGTACCCTCATCGATCATCAGACAGGTACTACTACCAACAATAACGACTTCAGCGAAGAAACCAGTCTCTTCGACCCGACCAACGCCCCAACTACATCCGCTATCTTCGACGACCTCTCCAAGGCCATTTCTCTTTCCACGCCGCTGTCCCCCCCGGACCCGGTGTCGCCCCCGCAGGCCCGCATCCTCGCGGACGCACACACCCACCGCGCATATCTCCTTCTCAAGGCGGCGCGGTGGAAGCGAACCCCATTTGCGCCACGCGACGGCGGTCCGGCGAAGTTGCGGGACGTGCCGGCCGATCAGCTCGAGGAGATGGCGAGTCGGGATTTCTTCTTCGGTGGTCGGTATGGGAATAAAGTTGCGCAGCAGATGGCCGTGCAAACGAATCCGTATGCGAAGATGTGTGGTGCCATTGTTAAGGAGGCGATGAGGAAGGAGATTGAAGGGTTATAGGTAGTTTGTTGGGTTTTGTGGTTGTTAGGCGTGGGGGTGGTTTATGCATTTATAGGGCATAGTAATCGAATATTAGTATGGCATATATTGTATGGTTAAGTGTAATAGTGTATATAAGAAGTATATACATATCTACCTCAACTCGTTCTTAGTAAGGCAGGAGTATAATGAACCCTGAGAACTTTATATACTACAAATCAAGTACGTTTCCAGTAAATAGAGAAAGAACCTCTGCATTCGCAACAAAATTCGGAAAAACCAAGTGGAATAACCTATATCAAGACCCTTGTAGATATTACCTCCCTACAACGACATAGCAAGCACATCGACCGGCCAGATGCCTCCCGGAAAGGTGTATTATTGAGAATAGCAAACTAAATCGAATTCACACTTTAAGAATTAGCTTCGAGAATCGTCGTGCCCATAACAGGTATATATATAATAACAAAGATAAATAAATTTATGTGAGCCTATTCACTATAATACCCTAATGAAACATTGTCCACTGTTAGGGTTTTGCTGCGGTTGCGCTATGACAGTGCCCGCGAGCAAGGCGAAGGCCAGAGCAGGGAGATTGCAGAGTTGTATTTCGAGTTCAAGAGGTTATTAAGGAATTGAACGAGTAATGATATCACGGTAGGAATTGATTGAATTGGATAGACGGAGAGTGAGGCTTATTGTCTATCGACTTTACATAGTTCCCATGGTCGTACAATTCATTTAAGGTAATGTAAGTGAAATAAGAATAGAATGTCTCATTTAATGCATAGGAGTTAGATGCAATGATTTCAATTAAGGTCTCTGGGGGAACTAGAGTTGGTAATCTGCGTTCCATAGTTGAATGTAAGGAGTAGCCTTGCATTCAATATCGATTTGGTGGAGCTGAGGAAGTAAGATTAATATAGCTGGAAAGAAAGTCATGGATGATATGGAAGACAGATGAAAATGGCGCGAGATCATCCATAAGCATCAATTCTATTCTGGGTATGTCTAGGGATACTAATGACGGTGTATATTACCGAAGAATGGCTGGACTAAGGTCAAGTCTGAACAATCGGATCTTCATTGCATTAACATAAACTAGATTAGCATACAGCACGGTACATCACCACTAAGCCTTGTTCGGGTTCTTGAAATGTCTCTTCAAAGGATGCCAACTGTGCTTATTGTACTCTTCCTGCACCTTCTGGCAGGTCTTAAGTCCCCATTCCGACACTCCAACCATCAGGGAACTGCTCCTGTCAGTATCAATTCGCAACACGTAAAGACTGAAAACTGACCTTTCAAACATAAATGCCATACTACCGTCCCCGACCTTCTGCGGTTTTAAATCCGCATTGCTAGCTCCCTCGAAAGCATCCGAGTCGGGTCCATGCGCACTCATCACGTTGTGCAGACTCGCTCCGGCCGGTTGGAAGCCTCCGCCCGTCTTCGCATCGTAGTTCCCGGTGATCAACCCCATGAACTCGGACATAGTGTTCCGATGGTACCATGGCGGCCGGAACGTCTTCTCCGCCACTAACCACCGTGGCGGGAAGATCACAAAGTCGGCGATGGCGGTACCCTCGTGGTCCGAAGGGCCAGTGAGGACGGTGAAGATGGAGGGGTCCGGGTGGTCGAAAGAGATGGATCCGATGGTGTTGAAGCGGCCCAGGTCATACTTGTAGGGATAGTAGTTACCGTGCCAGGCGACAATGTCGAATGGGCTGTGGTCTTGACGGGCTGAGAAGAGCGAGTTGGCGAATTTGCTGTACAGACGGTACTCGGTTTCGTCGTCGTCGAAGGACGCCACAGGGGCCTGGAAGTCGCGGGCACTGGCCAGGCCGTTGGAGCCAATGGGGCCCAACTCGGGAAGTTGGTAGTGGCCCTGGTAGAGCTCACAGATATATCCCCGGACAGGGCCTGTGGGTAGAGTTACCCGGTATCTATGATTTTATCGGATCAGGGCGTCTGCGGTGAGTTTCCGGAAAGAAATGGTCTTTACATACCGGACTCCACGCGGAATCACACAGATTTCGTTGGGACGAACTATGAGTCTTCCCAATTCCGTCTGGATATCTAACACACCATGTTGTGGCACAATAAGAAAGTCTCCGTCCGCCGAGTAGAAGGCCTCCTTGCCCATGTCCTTCCCCGCAGCATACAGGATGATCCCCAATCCCTGCTTTAGGGTAGGATCGCCCGCCCCAGCGACCAGGTGAAGGCCATGAACCCAATCCACCTTCTCGTCCAAGTCGAAGGGGTTCCACCGTAGCTGATTGGGGATGTGGTGCAGCTTGTGTGTCTCGGTGGTCATGCGAGTATGATAGGAGTCGGCATTCTCCTCCACAAAGTTCTCATGTGCTGCTGAAGGAAGGATACGATAGACCCAGGTCTGCCTGTTCTCATGCCTGGGGGCCGTGAAAGCTGTTCCGGACAGTTTCTCGGCGTACAGGCCATGCGCCACTTTCTGGGGTGAGTTCTGCCCTACCGGAAGAGCTCCGGCGATAGCTTCCGACCTGTGATAATGAGCACATACAACCATGACTCCCGTTGGATTTATACGCACTCATGATACGAGTCGAAACCATTCTGGTAGGTGTAAGGATCGGGGTGGGAGAAGTTGGTGACTGGCATGGCGTCTGTCGATGAAAATGACGGTGATGACAACGATGATGATGATGATGGTGATGATGGTGATGACAAGACAACAAAGGATGGTGGAAACAATGAGAATCACTGCCAGAATCCAGATTGTTAGTTATAAGAGCACCCACGCCATTTGCCAAAAGCACGGGAATTTGCGCTGTATGATGCACGGGACTGCTGGAGGGCGGAATTGCGCGATGGAAATAGCCGGCAATAAGCGGAGGCGGGGATGTTCCGCGGTCCAAGTCAATCCACGAGGGGCTACAAAGTAACCTATCTGGCACGGGTATTATTGTTTTTTATCTCTATCTCTCTCTTGCCCTTTCTCTCCATTTTCATCCATCCAAACCCCCTTATCTTCTCCATAGTCATGGCTTCCTGGCTGTCAATTCCCAAGAACTCACCCTTCTCGCTGGCCAACATCCCCTTTGGCATCATCTCCTCCACCAAAGCCCCCACGAGAGCAGCCGCCATCGCCATCGGTGACCATGCTCTGAACCTGAGTGTCTTTGCCTCGTCGGGTGGTTTCTCCCAGCTACCAGCGATTGAGCCTCATCTCGGCGTCTTCTCGCAACCCACGTTGAACGCCTTTGCAGCACTGGGTCGTCCCGTGCATCGCCAAGTTCGCGAGTACATCCAGACTGTTTTCCGAGCCGACACCCCCTTCCCCCAAGTTCTCAAGGACAATGCGGCCCTGCAGAAGGAGGCTCTGTTGCCCTTGACGGAGGTGACGAATCACCTACCCATGCAGATCGGTGACTACACCGACTTCTACGCGGGTCTCAACCACGCCTACAACGTGGGCGTGCTCTTCCGAGGACCTGAAAATGCGCTGCAGCCAAATTACAAGCATCTGCCTGTCGCGTATCACAGCCGAGCATCCTCTGTCGTCCCATCCGGCACGCCTATCCACCGTCCGAACGGGCAGATCCTGGCCAACCCGGCTGCGAACCCCAAGGTTCCGACCTTCGCTCCCTGCAAGAGACTCGACATCGAGCTGGAACTGGCAGCGTTTGTCTCCCGACCCAATAACTTGGGCCATCCGGTCCCCGTCCACGAAGCCGAAGATCATATCTTCGGTCTTGTGCTTATGAACGATTGGTCCGCCCGCGACATCCAAGCGTGGGAGTACGTCCCTCTTGGCCCGTTCAACGCAAAGAACTTCGCCACCACCATCACCCCGTGGGTCATCCTGATTGATGCCTTGGAACCCTTCCGGGCCACCGGTCTTGAGCCCGGAGACCGCGACTCTCTACTGCCGTATCTGCGGGAGAAACGCGCCGCTAATGCCTACGATATTCCTCTGGAAGTGGAGATCACCAACGCCGGGGGCCAGCCCACGATGGTGTCTCGATCCAATGCCAAGAATCTCCTGTATTCGTTCCCGCAAATGCTGGCGCATCACACCATCACGGGGTGTAACATGAACACGGGTGATCTGCTGGGCAGCGGGACCATTTCAGGAAAGGAGCCACAGACGGAGGGCAGTATCCTGGAGCAGACAAACGGGAAGAATCCGATAAAATTGGCGGATGGCTCGGAGCGGATCTTCTTAGAGGATGGAGACACGGTGGTATTAAGAGGAATGGCAGGGACGGAGGGTAATTACGTGGGATTCGGGGACTGCACGGGGAAGATTCTCCCGGCTGTGAAGTTGGAGTTTTAATGTGAATTTCTTTTTTTGATTCTTATTTTGGCTGATATTGGATAAAACTACAGATAACGACGAGATAGGTGTCCTTTTAAAAAGTACATTTACAAACAGTCTATTCTTCCTTATATGTTAAAACAAGGAGTTCAGTAGCTATCAATGATTATATACAGTTTAAAACAAGTCATAGGTATGCGAACAGAAATAAATAGATTTGAAGTCTTATCCCGGAAGAGCATAAAGTACCCTTGGTCATTTCTGCGCACCTAGTTTAGTATAAGGGCCCGATCTGTGCGATGCGATGGTGCATTAATTTCTCTTGGGATTATAAGACTATAAATCGGATGTTCTAGAACCTAGATACTGTAAAGAAAAGCTGTCGGTGGTAGAAAGTAGTCTTTCTTGAGTTCAATATTCCAGAATCTATATTCGATAAAGACCTTGAATGAGAGGAAAATAAATGACTTCTAAGAGCAGTTGACACTGCTCTTAGAAGTCTTCTATATATAGTCTTAACTTTTGAAGGGACTATATAATAAGAATAGAATCCTATATTATTTACCAGACGATCTCATTTTAGGATTTGTTTGATTTCTATTGATTTTGAGCGCTGAATAGCTTCATTTGTTTACTAGGGTTTAGGGATGCTATGGCGAATATCTTCATAATGTACCCATCGTCTTTGCCCTGTATGATTGATCTGAATAGAATAGGCAGGTTGTATCTACCCCACATCGTATAGATATCAGTAAATAGAAGCACTCAACATATATCAAGCCAGACGAAACTCCTCCGGCGTATCCCCCTGCGTCCGCCAATGCCCCTTCTTGACCGCATCCTCCAGCTCTAGTCTCTGCGCAATGCGTGCGATCGTTGGGAATGCAGTTATATCAACCTCGCTGCGTTGCGCACCCCACACAGCCGGGATCAGACACACATCGGCCATGGTGATACGATCACCCACGCTAAACACACCCGCCGTGCGGGCCACAATCGTCTCATACGCACGCAACCCTTCCCCAATTAACTCCTTCGACCATGCTGTCCGATCGACGCCAAATGGCGCCACCCGCTTCAGGATCCGCAGGTTGGTCACGGGCTGGACATCGCAGGAGATTATCTCTGCTAGGGTGCGGACGACGGCGCGCGCCTCCGGGTCGCTGGCTGGGGGTAGGAGAGAAGGCGAGTCGGCGGGGGAGATCTCCTCGAGGTATTCCAGGGCCGCTAGGGATTGAGTGATGGTGACGGGTCCGGTGGTGGACTGGTCGTTCTCGACGATGAGGGTGGGGACTGTGCCGGAGGGGTTGAGGGCCGTGTTGGTGGGCGCGTGTTGCTCGCCTTTGAGTAGGTTGACGAAGATGGGCGTGTAGGAGAGGTTTTTGAGTGCCAGGGCGATGCGTAAACGCGCCGAGCAGGATGAGCGGAAATAAGTGTGGAGGGTGATTCTGGTTTGAGACATGGTAGTGGTTGAATGGGATGAGATGGGATTTGAAGGGATGGATGGGATGGGATGGAATGGAATGGAAGGGATAGATCTAGGCGCCTCTACTGTTGATGCTATATACGCTGTGGGGTAGAGTATATATACCTCATCTGTCTACGGAGCAACCATACGTTTCGATGTACTGGGGACTCGCATTGCATTCTCGCGACTCTTATACTAAAGCCCTGCGTTGGTCCCTGCGGAACCTTTCCGTCGCTGCAATACCCGACTGGGCGCTAGAATTTCCGCAACTGACCGAAGAATGATCGCTGCCAGTGAGGCAATTCCGCTTATCGCTATGACATCATGGTGTCTGAGGATCCAATCGGAGCTGGCTGCCAATGTAGTATAGATGCGGTATGCACTGTCCGGCCAATGCAGTTGCTGTCGTCCCATCTACTCTTCTTGATATATATGATGGCGCGCGTCGGGGGCTGGAGTTATATATGCTGCGTGAGGATATATATTTGAAACAGTTCGTATTGTCGAGACAACAGAGTTCTGCCGACGTAATGATGAGACGCACCAAGGGGCGATGCCCGGGTATTTTGCTCCGACGGAAACCGACGGCAGCTTCCATCGTACCGCTTGGACCCTTTCCTTCATCCGCACAAAGAACACCAGCAGGTATCCGGCGCCTTGAATTGAGTCAAAATCGCAGGTAACATCCAATCGATCATATCACCTAATACAAGTCCCTGATTGGTCCCGTCATGCACAAATATGGAGATCAGGAGGTCCTCTCGCCCCGGAGATGCCCCGGACCGGATATACCAGCGCGCCTACAAGGCATGTCTCGCCTGTCGTCAACGGAAGGCAAAATGCGACCTCGGCAAGGGGCCGGATGGAATGCCTCTTGGACCTCCATGTGCTAAATGTCGACGGGAGCAGAGAGCCTGTGTCTTCAGTGAGAAGAGGGCATGGGAGAGACGGAAGCGAAAAGGTAAGCAAAAAGAGAAAGGAGGAGGAAACAGGGGGAAGGAAAAAAAAACAAAAAAAAAAAAAAAAAAGGGAAAAAAGGAAAAAGGGAAAAAAAAATTGAAAATGAAATATCCGTGCCCGACCGGTCCTTTGCAGAAGTGCCTAACGAGAAACAGGAACAACACACGATGATGGCCCAAGGACGCAACGCCGGTTTTCGAGTAGCTTCACGCATGATGCGGACGAGTCACGCCATGTCCGTCGCGACTCCTCAACCCCAGAAGAAGTCGACGATCCCGGGGCTGCTTCACCACAACGGGATTCGCCGACTCATCCTAGTCGACGACAGTCGAATTCCACCCTAGCAAATTCGATGATGCGAACCGTCGTCTCCAGTGGAAATGATGCTCTCAACATCCTCTTCGAAGCTGCTGCTGTTCACAGCCAGGAGAATGGCCTGAACGAGTCAGGCCCACAGTCGCGGACGGTGCAGAGCTCCTCAGGTCGAAGCTCAAGTAGCTCCAGGCCGATGAATCCCCATGTCATGGTTTCCCCGGAAGTTCTCGCAAAGGCCTCACGGCCGGTGGGGCTCTCGCATGTGTCGAAAGACATTCTCAGCGTCTGGGAGACGAGTCGTTTTGTCCGGATGGGATGGTTCACTTCGAGAGAAGCCGTGACTTTTGTCGACCTGTTCGTGCCCACTGTGATTCACGGTATATGGAAGTTTGGAACTGATCAAGTCACTGTCCTAGTTTCTTTAAGAACATGTCGCCTATGTCGCCCATCTTGACGGACTTCTATGCAGATCACAACAACCATCGCTGGCTCGTCGCCCGCGATCCTGTGCTGTGCTGTACGATCCTGATGATTTCATCTCGATACCACCTGTTGCCTGGGGCTGGGGGCGAATCGAGGAACTTCTTCATCCACCACCGGCTCTGGCAACACTGTCAGCAACTCGTCATGCGACTCACCTTTGGCCAGGAAAGGTCGGCACTATCAAAAACCCGGAATATCGGGACGATCGAGGCCCTTCTGCTGATGTCGGAATGGCACCCTCGATCTCTTCACTTCCCGCCGGAAAGCGATGGCTGGGACTTTGATTTGGTCTCAGGAGACCCGGAGCCTCAGGAGTCAAGCGACTTATCGACCTCGAATCGATGGCTAGAGGACATGATTGAACCTGCGCGACGATCGGACCAGATGTCGTGGATGCTACTGGGGTCGGCCCTGTCACTTGCACACGAGTTGGGGATTTTCGAAGTCGACGACAAGAAGTGGAGCTACCTCTCGGGATACGAAGGAGCGATATCCACAGAACAGATCAAACTCCGCAGGCAACGCGTCCAGCGGCTGCTGTATGTGTATATCAACCAGCTGGCATGGCGGATAGGATGCGTCTCGCTTATGCCGCAGAGCTTGAACCACGCGATGCTAGGCCGGCAAACTCATCGGGATTGGAGCCAGTCTGGCGACCACTGGCTGGTATTTATGGATTCTTGGATGGACCTGACCAAGCTGGCCAAGTCGGTGACGGATATGTTTTTTCCTACCGTCTCTTTTGCAAGACAGCAGCTCCATACTGGACGCTATATCGATTTGCTGGATCATTTTCGGCCGTTACTAGTGAAGTGGAAGGATACACATCTTCAGCCTCAATGTGAGTGCGCCCTTTACCATGACCTCTACAGACTGTTGACATCTAGTAGTACTCACCAAACAATTCTTCGATATCCTCTTTATCGAATACTACTTTGTGCGCGTCTACACCCACTCCGTTGGCATGCAGGCGGTGGTCGAACGAGTCCTTGCCGACAGCGACCCGAACACCGAAGAGGTGCGTGCCATGAATATCGACCCGATCGACTACGAGTACATCCAGGAGGTCATTGATGGGTGTTGTCAAATCCTGCAGAAAGTCACTCAGCTAGCCGAGGTGGAAATGCTCCGGTTCTCTCCCGTCCGGATCTTCCTCCGCATCACCAGCTCCTCCATATTCCTCATGAAGGCCCTCAGCCTGGGAACGCGTCAAGCGAAACTCCGCGAATCACTCGACTGTCTAGAACAATGTATCCATGCACTGCGATCGAATGCCTTGGACGACATCCATCTCAGTACCCGCTACGCTACCCTACTGGAAATGCATGTCTCGCGTCTTCGGCGCAACCTACTGGCGTCTTCGAAAACAGTCAAGTCTAACCACGGCACGGGACGATCCTCCATGGGCCCTCCACCGAACCCAGACATGGAGACCCCAGTCATGGATGAATCGCAAAATATCTCCGCTGTCGGCTTGGTTCCGTCTCTTAACGACATCGCGGCGGATGACTGGCTATCTCTGCCGTTTGACCCGTCCATGGCTCCGTTTGGAATCAGCAGTGGAGGGCAGTTTCCCGCGTACGAGGGGGGAGCATTGAATTTTATCTGGAACCTCCCTTCTTGACAAGACTATGCCATAGTATTGTGAACCTTAGATACTATTATGATGAAATTATTGACGGTACTCAGATCAGTAGAACGTAAGCATCCATGGTGTATACTACGTAGATCTCATGCCAAGCGAGAACAACCATCGGGGACAGCAGGAATGAGAGGCCGGGCTTGATCGGTGGAATCCGTCGCCACCCGAAATCAAACCGGGGAAAACTTTGTTGGGGTTATCTGCACGTGACCTGAGTCACGTTTTCGGGGCAAGAAAAAGATTGCTGGACTTTCGTTCATCGCGGACTCTGACCTCTTTCAAAAGACAAAGCGACATCTCCCCGTGTTCCCACCCAACCTATTTCGGTGTTTGTGTTAGCTGTCTCCCTCTGGACCGACCAAGCCGATTGTTCGAGTGACGTTTCGGTCCCGATTCTCCTGACGGTCGCCTGCGGAGAACAAACTCGCCTAACGCATCCCTCTCACCTTTCCTTTTCCCGACCTTTCTCTCGTCTCTCTTCACAATCACAATGGATCACTCCAGAGATCCTTGTCCCTGGGTTGCCTTGAGTGACTTCGGTGGTGCTTTTTGTATGGGTGTATGTTCCATTGCCCCCGTCAAATCTAACTCTTATGTTCCTCGAACGTACTGATGGAATATCGACGAGTAGGCTATTGGTGGTGCCGTCTGGCACGGTGTCAAAGGTTTCAGAAACAGCCCCTACGGTGAGCGACGGATAGGTGCCATCACAGCTATCAAGGCACGAGCGCCCGTCCTAGGTGGTAATTTTGGTGTATGGGGTGGTTTGTTCTCGACCTTTGACTGTGCGGTCAAGGGAATTCGGAAGAAAGAGGACCCTTACAATGCGAGTATGTTATTGTTTTCCGTCTCGTCATTGATGAATAACAACCCTTTGCTCACGTCTCAATAGTTATTGCGGGTTTCTTCACCGGTGGTTCGTTGGCTATCCGTGGCGGTGTCAAGGCAGCTCGGAACTCGGCTATCATGTGTGCGGTTTTCCTGGCGGTCATTGAGGGTGTTGGAATTGGATTCCAGAGAATGATGGCAGATAACACAAAATTGGAGGTGAGTTGATTTTCCTCGTTCTTATTCCGAGTGTATTGGAATTCAAATTGACTGTCGAAGCTTCCTCCCCCCCCTCCGTCTCCTGAAAAGGCCGTCGCTTAATCGATGTCCACTTTACGATACCCTACCGCAGAACCTCTTGCTGTCACCGTGTATGCTATATTATTATCTCATGTCTCTCTTCTCCGGTGTTGGGTGGCTCATTGGGCACAGTATAGAGGTTGATTCTATCTGCTCGACTTTTATTTTATTTTTTTATTCTCCCTTGTTTCCTATTATGTTTATTTAGCACTGTTATGGCGATTGGATTGCACAGCCTGCATGCTATGTTGTGGCCTAGGCAAAAGCGGTTGGTTTGTACATTAATTTGCGATAAACAAAAATAATACATAGATTGAGTTTGATGACTGACACCCCTCTTTATCTTCTTTAACCACATGAACCTATCACAACTAGCAGATAACAGCAACAACAACAACAACAACAAGGGCAAAAGAATCAACACAACAAGAGAAGATGATGTTCAAACCCACCCTGATCATCCACGGCGGTGCTGGTTCCCTCTCCCGCTCAACTCTCCCTCCATCTCTCTACGAAAGATACCATGTCTCTCTCCTCGCCTACCTTCGTTCCACCCGCTCCCTCCTTGATTTGGGAGCTTCTGCCCTCGACGCCGTCGTGCACGCTGTCTCCCTCCTCGAAGATGACGAACTATTCAACTGCGCCCGCGGCAGCGTCTTCACCTCCGCGGGGACCATAGAAATGGAAGCTTCTCTAATGGTCACCTCTATCGATCCGGACTCCGAACCAAACATCAAAACCAACGCTGACGGTATCAGTAGCAGTAACGGTATACATTCCGCTATGCATCCCGGCTCCATCAAAAAAGGTGTCGGGGTCATCGGTCTGAAAAACGTGCGCCATCCGATTCGACTCGCGCACGAAGCTCTCCTCCGCTCGGGCTTGGGCGATCACCACGACGGCGGGAATATGCATGCCCAATTGGCTGCTCCGTATGTTGAGGATTTGGCCAGACAATGGGGATTAGAGTTCATGCCGGATGAGTATTTTTGGACGAAGAGGAGGTGGGAGGAGCATCGGCGGGGGCTGCATAAACCATTAGAAGTGGGACTGGGTGGTTCGACCGGTGTGTGTGACGGTGACTCTGAATGTGATGTTGGGTTGCCTCCGTATGTTGAAGAATACATGGATTATCTCCCCCAGGGGACCGTCGGCTGCGTCTGTCTCGATCAATCGGGGCATTTGGCTGTTGCTACTAGTACCGGTGGAAAGACGAATAAAGTCCCCGGAAGGGTGGGAGATACTCCGACGTTGGGGGCTGGGTTTTGGGCGGAGAATTGGACTACAAGTTCAGATTCCCTTGTGGGTTTTGGAGTTGAAAATTCTTCTTTGGATATGTCTAGGACGGGAGGATCGATTAGGACTGGTAGAGAGGATATAGAGGACGACTGGTCGTCTTGGATGGATTGTATCCCTTCTTTACTGAAGGGGTGTATCCCTGGTTATGGGTCGAGATCCACGTCTACAACCTTGCCTGGATGGCATAATCCACACGGAAAGGATGCTCTATTCACAGATGAAAAGATTCCTCTCATGGACCCGCCCTCATGTCCGCCTCAGATGAAGGGAACGACAAGAAGAGCCGTCGCTGTGTCTGGTACCGGAGATGGCGATGCCTTCCTTCGTGTTTGCGCTGCCCGGACGGCATGTGCGATGGCAAGGTTCTCCGGTCTGACGCTGGCGGATGCTGTGAGCGCCGTTGCAGGGCATGGAGGCGAGCTGCAGCGTTCTGCGGGCCCGAGATGGGGTTCTGGTGAAGGCCAGGGAGGGATAATTGGAATAGAGGTTGAAGTTGATCATACAAGTGTAGAGAAAGAGAGACAGGGACGAGGTAGAGTAGTGTTTGATTTTAACTGTGGAGGGATGTGGAGGGCTTGGATCGATGAGATGAATGGGGAGGATGTAGAGAAGGTGATGGTATTTCAGGAGCCATACTACTAGTAGATCTTTTTGTGAGATTGTGCTGTGATATATAGTTTGACATCCTATGATAAACAAAATGAGAAATTACATCACGAAATTACATCACCACCCCTCCAATGCAGTCAGTCGAACAGGAACCCCATCTTTTGGACATATCGTGGCACTGAGTCGCACTTCCAATTTCGCATCTGGATTCACTAATTCCATTTGAAACCTGCCGACCAAGACGGCAATCAGACAAGCCAGCTCCGCCTTGGAGAACCCCTGACCAATGCAGCCGCGCGGACCGTGTAGGAAGCTCAAAAACGCATAGTTACTGCTGGCGCCACCGGTGTTAGCGCGTCCGGGCCCCAACCATCGGTCTGGATTGAAGACGTCCGCGTCTGCACCCCAGAGCTCTTTACTGTGGTTTATGACATTGGCCACAATCAGGAACAAAGTTCCTTTGGGGATGGTCGTGCCTACCAGCGTGGTGTCTCGACCGGCAATGCGCACAGTGGTAGGTATAGAGGGGTGGAAACGTAGGACTTCATTGCAGACGGCGCTGAGGTAGGGAAGGGCGTCGATGGCAGCGGCCGAGATAGGCTGTCGGTCTTGGTCGGTGGTCGAGATGGACGGCAAATGAGTACGGACTTCTTCGCGCAGACGAGTCTGCACTTCTGGGTGTTTGCAGAGAGCGTAGGCGGCCCACTGCAGAGCCGTCGAGGTCGTTTCGTGTCCCGCGCCTAGGAAAGTCATCATTTGGTCGATGAGCTCGTCTTCCGTAAAGCTTCCACTTTTCAGAGCTACTGAGATAATGTCGACCTCGCTCGAGGCTGACGAGCTGTCGTCCGTGTTGTCTAGCTTTTCTTGCTTTTTCCGAATCATCTGCCGCGCGACGTTGCGGATAATCTCCGAACCTTCCTTGATTTCCCTGTTCCTTCGGAATGGCAGCTGGTTCACGAGATCGGGTTTGCCGATACACATTGCCAGGACATAGATCAGCTTCATAAACGGGGGAGGTTCGCTCAAGAGCTTCTGGTAACTCCTGTGGAGGTCGTTCTCCGGGTCGCGGAGAGTCGAGAAATCATGGTCCATCCCCGCCACTCCGATGATATCTAAAGTAGTCCGGCTGGCCCAGGTTCCTATAGTGGTCGTGTAGTCCGCCCGTTTCTGCAGGTCGTCCTCGATGCATCTGACCATTTCGATACTCTTCTCCCAGAAGATAGGGTAGAGGTCTTTGATGTGGCGGTACGAGAACGCCGGCATGAGGTTTTTCCTTTGTCTCTGATTCAATGTCAATAACACAATGTGAAGATATACAAGAACATTAACTCCCCCACCTTGTGTTCCTCTCCCTCGACCAGGAGTAAACCGTTGAGACCGGTGACGCGGGAAAGACTGGCGCGAATAATTTCAGGTTTCGGGAACTCATACACCTTGTGCACCAGCAGCTCGCCCAGGGACTTGGGGCTGGTCAGTAGTATCCGCTCGAGATTTCCTGTCATGTAGTACCGGATCAGGCCGTTGTTGGGGACGGATACGATCCAATCTCGCATCTCCTCGTATGGCGTCTCGATGTAATAGGAGCTTGTATTTCCCGTGAGCCACGACCGGCGCTGTCTTCGTTAGAGTCTACAGGAACTATCAGAAGGGCAATCGTAGACTTACTGGTGGTGTCGGGATGTGTTTGAGGGGAGTGAAAAACTTGGGATACAAGGCCACACTGTAAAGCACTTTGGCCACCGTTGCAATGATGGATAGAAGAAAGAACATCGCAACAGTGGACCGGGTGATCGTATAGGCAGCGATCCCGAAGTAGACTATCGGCCAGGGGAGTCCAGCCATGGCGACCCGTATGTCAGACAATAGTATAGTATAAAAATCCAGATGAAATCTGGATCACTGGAGTAGTTTCAAGCCTTTTGGCTGAGTTAATGATACTGAACTAGAATGCGATCAAGAACAGGGCCATCCATGACCATTTATAGGAGAGGCTGGGGAGACATGTAGCCAACAGCAGTCACTGCAGAGGCTTAAAGATGACAGACACGTAAATAAGCTAGGCCTGATTGACGGCTCCACTCGGCGGATCCATCCATAACAATCTGGACAGGACGGTTTCGGTATGCACCGTTACCGTGAGCCCGCCGAATCGGATAGTATACTCATCCGTTGCCACTCGGCGGATCTGGTTGGTAGTACAGAATAGGTAGACAGGTTTATTGGTGAGAGTCAACATTGCGATCAAACAGGATGCAGGATCCAAGTCACACGTCATTCAATTGGCTGCACGTGAAAGGCCGCAAAGTTAGCCATATTGGGACTAGCGGCATGGTGGGCTCTTATTTAGTCCGGGAAGAAGCAATGCCCGCCAATTGTTATCTCAATGATTACTGCAGTCAGCGTAGGGACTGTGCTGGAATTACAATCCATCCATCAATCTATATGTGTGCATGTACGGATATAGACAGTATACACAATATACACTGATATCTGAGTTTCCAGCAAATGCCTTTGAGATCATCGAGTCCTTCCCAAACAAAAATCAGCCTGTACGATAAGATAAGCGATAAGATAAGAGTTCAAGATCTCATGACGCCATTCAGTCTTTGACGATTGTTCGGCGCAAAAAGATCACGACTCCTTTCTCCTACAGTGTCCATTGAACCATCATGCCACCACACTTCCCTGATATCGAGAACAAAGCAGCTCCCAAAATCCCCTACTTTACTCCTGCCCAGAATCCCCCGGCAGGAACCGGTGCCAACCCGCAATCTGATGGATCTACCCTTCCCAAATTGTTTCAACCTTTCTCGGTACGGGGTCTGACGTTCCACAATCGCATTGGAGTGAGTATCCCTTTCACCAAGTCTACCACCATACTAACAATTCCTAGCTATCTCCTCTGTGCCAATACTCCGGCGATGATGGCCACATGACGTCCTGGCATACCGCCCACCTAGGCGGCATTGCACAGCGAGGCCCCGGATTCCTCATAGTCGAAGCAACGGCTGTCGAACCCGAAGGCCGAATATCTCCGCAGGATCTAGGATTATGGAAGGACTCGCAGATCGAGCCCATGAGACAGGTGATAGAATTCGTGCACAGCCAAAACCAGATCATCGGAGTGCAGATCGCCCACGCTGGTCGAAAGGCAAGTACCGTGGCACCGTGGCTTTCGTTCGCCGAAACTGCCTCTAAGAAAGTCGGCGGATGGCCAGACCATGTGAAAGGCCCTACTAATATCCCATTCTCCGATCGTTTCCCTATCCCCCAGCAGATGACGAGGCAGGATATCGAAGATTTCAAACGTGCGTGGAAAGCAGCCGTGAAACGGGCCGTTCAGGCGGGTGCTGACTTTATCGAGATCCATAATGCGCATGGGTACCTTCTCATGTCGTTCCTGTCGCCCGTAGTGAACACGCGGACGGACGAATACGGTGGCAGCTTTGATAATCGTATCCGTCTCAGCCTCGAGATTGCTAAGCTTACTCGCGACGCCGTCCCGGACGATATGCCTGTGTTTTTGCGCGTGTCGGCAACTGACTGGTTGGAAGAAGTCTATCCCTTGCAGCCGAGCTGGCGGGTGGAAGACACTTTGAAGTTTGCCCAGGCGTTGGCCGACAGCGGTAGCGTCGACGTGTTGGATATTAGCAGTGGTGGGACTCACGCGGCGCAGCAAATTCACGAGAAGCCGGGTTTCCAGGCTCCGTTCGCCATTGCTGTGAAAAGGGCCATTGGAGACAAGCTGCTGGTGGGTTCTGTTGGGTCAATTAATTCGGCTCATCTGGCCAACTCGCTGCTCGAGAACGATGGACTGGATTTTGTCTTGGTTGGACGGGGATTCCAGAAGAATCCGGGGCTGGTGTGGGCTTTTGCGGACGAGTTGAATGTGGAGATCTCCATGGCAAACCAGATTCGATGGGGGTTTTCGCGTCGTGGAGGTGGTCCTTTTTTGAGGAAGAGCCAGAATAGAGCATAATGCTTACCCTGTCACGCAGAAAGCTCCATATCAAGTGCATACTCGTTACAAAGATAGTTCCCGAAGAGTGCCTGCTGCACTCGGAGCTCATATCTATCATCAATATTATCACGGTGCGACTGAAAACGAAATACGCACAATCGCATGTAGATGCCCCGGTGAGCACATCCCTACAATCTAGGAGAACTGCGCTGACCTTCTGCCCAGTTCCTCCTCTTCTCGTTCTTGGTCTCTCAAGTTTGTATCCTAGAGGCTAACTTTAATAGAACGAGCGGGTGGTGAGTGTTGCTAAGGTATAATATGAATTCAGAGATGACATAAATGACGACTTTGAGCTTGCATTCTTTTTTGCACGGTGGTGGTTTGCAGACCCAACTGAAAAGTCTACGAAATAATGTACTGGGTGGTTTTGTGAGGATTATTTAGGAGTCTGGATGGATTAGCACCGGCTACGTTGAATGGCGTTAAGGGCTTATCCACGCTGATAATGATATTCGTTTGACATATTAGTCAATGGGAATGACGATACCACTTGCATGAACTATTGAAGATAATTATGGCCATCGCTTGGACTACATACTCTATCTATCCATGTAGCAACTTATCTATTGATAGAGCTATCCATAACTGGTATCCTGTAGCATCTGCTCCTTGCACACTCGGTTTACGCTCTCGACGCTCTGGACGCTCTCGAGGTTCTCTTATACTACAGTTTCTACCTCCTCGGTTCGATTCCTATGGTCCGCGAGCATCGCCACCTGTCACAACCTTGGATAGTATTTGGGTTTAGTATGTCTTATCGATACCAACCGTAGGAACGGCACTAATCAGACATGAAATATTTACCTCTAGATGACGACTTGGCAATTGGAGGTGTCTATTTCTGTTCTAGATCGTAGATATTGTAATTTGAACGTATCTAGTCCTGGAATGGTTGTTGGAACTTAACTATATCGCCTACCTGCTCGCGGTACACTCATTTCACTCTGTGTACTGGAAACTTTTGGTCAGTGAGGCCATCTGGATGGAGACAATGCTTAAATTACGCATAGGCTGTCGTTTCTTCATTTGCATTTATAAACTTGGCAGTGTAAAGATCAATTTGACATTATCATAAGACATCAGTTCTATTTACAAATTATATATTGAATCATGGTATAGACAAATATCATACTTGCCATGGATTCAATATCTAGAGCCTGAAAATCAGAGTCAGAGTCGTTCTGTCATGCTTCATTCATTAGATCACATTATACACCACAGTTCACCGGAATGTATGCCTGCATCTCAGGTATCAGTACACAGAATCCCCAGCGAAGGCCATCGACTAGAGATGGTGTCGCGTCTCCGATAATCGTAGCTCTGCCAACTAATCAGCCAGTGCCTCTTCTGATATAAAGAAAACCTACCATTCCATGCCTCCAGGGCCATTTTCTCCGCATCCCATCCCCATAGGATCCGCTGCGTTTCGTGATCCGACCAGCGATCAGGATTCGATCCACCCTGCGTCGAGGCTAAGAACTGTTCGTCGCGAGCCTGTTGTTCCGGCCCATCGGGGAGATGCAGCGTCATCCGGTTCTCCGTGCCGGATTGCTGTACGATCTCAGCGCGGTGTTTCCGGGATCGCTCGTACGCTTGTAGGGCTAGAGGGATCTCTCGTCGAGAGGTGATGGTTGAAAGGAGGATGCCTAATGCGGCGGCATCTTCGACGGCTTGTGCGGCGCCTTGCGCGACGTAAGGGCTGATGAACCGGGTTAGGTGCGAATCAGTGCGCGAAGAGGGAGCGACTGGGAGGCTTACAGCATGGGATGACAGGCATCACCGATAAGAGCAACGGAGCCTCGAATCCAGGTTTTCAAAGGAGGATGCAGACAGAGTTTCCATTCGAGGACGTCGTCAGCAGCGATTAGGTCAATGAGCTTAGTGACTCGACGGTCCCATCCGCGGTATTCATCCTTCATCTTTTTCTTTGAACCGCGCGTGGTCCAGGACTCTTCCACGTCGCATCTGTCCGGGTGCACCAGGACAACGTTGAAGAGTTCGTGCTTCCGAATGGGGTAGGCGATAACGTGGCGGTATGGGCCTAGCCAGCGCGTGGCCTGAGGTTCATTAACCAGGTCCTTAAGCTCGGGGTCATTTTCCATCGCGCTCCGGGGTAGCACGATACGGTATGCCGCGTCACCGGTGGGGATGGGTTTGGAGGGGGAACCACCTAGGACATGGTTCCGGATGGTGGATTTAATGCCATCAGCAGCAATTACCACATCTGCGTATACCACAGTGCCATTGGCTAGGGTTACCGAGGCCGGGTTGAACGTCACATTCGTCACGGTCGAGTTGACATTCAATTCCACATTGGTCAGCGCCAGGACGTGGTCCATGAGGGCTTTGTGGAGGTCCGCCCGGTGGATGACAACCTGTTGGCCGTAGGTCTTGTTCACCGGCATGGTACCGAGGAGGGCACCGTTCTGCCATCGTCGGACATGGATACGCTCAAGAGCGACGTCATTCGAGTGGATAGATGGCGACATCCCCCATCCTGAGGCTGTATTAGTGATTGTCTGGATTCCAGAACGCAACCAGGCGATGCATACGGTCCAGGATCTTCAGCATGTTCGGGGAAATCTGGAGGCCAGCTCCGACTTCCATAAGCTAGAGGTTGGTTTGGTCAGCGATGTTGAGCTCTTGGTGTCTATTGGCATCCAAGGCCATGCTTACTTTGGGAGTAGACTCGAGGAGGACGACATGATGCCCTCGCAGACCGAGCGTTAGGGCTGCGGCCAAACCCGCAATCCCTTGGGATAGTCAGTCTACCCAGGCCTTTGTAGCAAGCAATGGGAGAGATCATACCAGCTCTATTTCTTGTTAGTCGATGCACAACTAGTATTGCCTTGGGGAAGCGACATACCCAACCACCACAACCTTGAGAGGCGTCTGGGCTGGAGTCACCATGACGCAAGATTTCAGAGGCTCTGTGAGTATCAGCCCGGTACCTGTAGTGGAGAGTTCAAGGATGGAACAGCGAAGAAAATAACGACGAAGCCCAAGCCGAAGTAACCGGGGTTTATATATCTGCTGACAAATGAGTGAATAATAACACCATACTCCGAGTGTTTTTTTGAAATCGCAACGGACAGTGGCCATCCAGCTGTACTCCACTCATACAGGGACCGATAGCGAACTAATAATAGTTCCTAGTAAGGACAGGCTTCTTCCAGAGGCTGGACCAGACTGCAATGCACCCTCGAACGGGGTCTCTGGAGGGGGTGCGCCATCCGGGCCTGTGAATGGGAGAAAACAAAAGAAAAAAAAGAAAAGGAAAAAAAAAAAAAAAGCGCGAACACTGGAACGGGAGGAAGCTCCTGTTCGGCACCGGTCGGGCTATCCTGCTGGGTCCGTCCATGACTTCACTTCTGGGCTATTTTGTTCGCACCAACGGCTTTGCCACTCCCCATTATCTGCCGAAGCACTCACCAGCCCTTCAGTATTCCTATCTTGACATGCTATGCGCAGACCCACCTTGGGTTGCTGACAGTGCAAAAGGCGACTCTGATCGTCAACAATTGCACGGCAGCAAGCATTGCCGAATCCTTATTCCTTGCGATTATTGACGATAATACTGAAGGGTATCATCGATCTTCGGTCTGCCGCGGTTTTTTTTTTCCCTTTTTTCCCACCTGTCTTTCTTTTTCTGTGATTTTACCGTCACCCCAGCCTTCATCCCGATAGCAAGGGGACAAGGGATATCATCGCTTTTGTATCGTAGCAAACAAGAATGATGGCCGGCAAGGACCAACTGTAAGGGACCGACCTGATTCCTGCCAATGATTAAGCTTGCCACTCTTCAGCACTGCGCCATCGACATCCCATCGACATGCGTATTCGGCTTCACCACCCGCCTCTACGAAGCGGAGAAGGGCTGCGGTTGCCAAATCGCCGTTATGCGATGTGAGACAAGAGTCTGTATCAGCCCCGCGTTGTGCGACTCGGGGCTGATAGATCGGCGCATGCCCCCATCATGTGGTTAAAATCGAGATCGGCCGGGGTTGAAATTGTCATCCGTGAGGGAGATGAGATATCGGCATTTGAGGCAGGAATTAGATGCCGTGGGATGGTTTCTCGTTCGGACAATATCTAACAGATTGACCAGCCTCGAAGTGAGGACGATGGAGGGAGAGCCTTACTTGAGAACGGTAGACATCATCCTTAGACGAAGGATCCGACTAAAGGGACATCCTTGTTCAAGCATTCGGTTGGCTACTCAGTAAAGCCGAAACCGAGGATGAAATCACGCATAGTCTCGATCCTTCGCAACTATCGTTCCCATAATATGAGGCCTTAACTCTTCCAGGTACCTGGGTATGCCTCCCCCAGGCGCAGGCGATGCACGGTGTTGCTAATTGGATTAGCATAGACTTGCCCTTCATGCGAACTGACGTAATCTGGCTGACCGAGATCTGTCCAGTTCGTATACTATGTTTGCTGGTTGCGAGGTCGGAGGAGGATCCCAGTACATACCTGTCCGCGTGGCAGGAGTCATGTCGATCTAGGTATCGAGCTATACAGGAATAGCAGATCTGTTGGATTTGGGGTGATATGAGCTGTTCTATACCGTTTCATGGTGTTCATGCTTCAGTTATACTGTACTTTGGTATACAATAGACCGAACACAACCTACCCATATCAAATCCAAATAGCGTGTATCCGCCGTGTCTGCTTATGTCGATCATAAGCGGCAGCATTGAGCATCAGCCGCTTATGCCTCACTCTTTGATATATAATTTTGTTCTTCTCGTCAACGCTCCCCGCTCACTAGTCTCCTCTGGCCGAGGAACCATCAAAATGCGGACCTGTACAGATAATTTCTGTATCGTATTCTCCAATCTTTCCCTCGCAGAAAAATGCAAGCAGTACAAGCATGACGACCCCGTTGAAACCATTAAGGCCTCCACAATGACATCCTCAACCTCAGCGGCCGCTACATCAACGACCAAAACATAGACATCCAGGAAATCGAATCATCCCTGCGTGATACCTGGGACGAGACGAGTTCATACACGCTCGAAGATCCTTCTCCCAGTAGCTTCGAGTTGGATCGACTGGCGACTCTTGTCCTGGAGGCTCAAGAACGGTCCACTTACTCGGAACCGTAGGGATACTTCCAAGAACACAGAAGAAGCTATCCTACCGAATGGACAGCGTCTCTGGATCAACCGTCCCTACCTTGCTGAGGAGATTCAATGGTTCGGGAGCACCGAATCCGTGGGCCTATCTCCAGTGGAACGGGAGAGCAGCATTTTGAATGGCGAAGCTAGCCGGTGGAACTGAGTTGGTGTGCATTGTGGTTGTTTCTGGAGACATTGGAAATTGAGAGACCGTTATGTTTGACACAAGCTGTCTCTTCTTCAGTCCAGGGGGAGAGCACACATACAAGTCCTGCTATCGATAATCTTCTTCCTGCTTGTCACACTTGGCTCCAACACAATTGTTTCAACTTTGCGAGGCGGTCAGTGGGTGACCCTGTCGCAGAATCGACGTCGGTGATGAGATCCAATTCCCGACCACCCTAGGGTCCCTCGGAATGGCTTTAGCATATCGAGATGGTTATGTTGGAGACGGAGATGTGGGATGTTATATCGGAGCGGAATGAGTCCGCTGTCAAGCGAGCAAGCTCCGAAGAGGCAGTTCAAGCTGGTCGGTGCATAGGGATCGAGATCCCCGGTGAAAGAGCGTATCTGGAAAGGGTATTTGAGGTACAGGTTGAGGTACCGGATAAGGAGCTGATTGCGAGAGGATGGGAGGGATCGGAGGGCGCGGAGGATATTGAGATTGATCCGGACTGGGCTGAGTAGATGTGTGGGAGTGAGGACATGCAAGGAGGCAGTCTACCTTGGGGTCGGGTGTAGATAATTTGCTTAGATACATATGGAGTTAGTTGAATTCAGATATATGATTGCGGTTTATATCCAGACATTCTAACAATCAAACAATCAATGAAAACCGTATATTCTGCCACTTTTGAGAAAAAAAGAGGATATCATTCCAACGCCACTATGCAAAAAAAAAAAAAAAAAAAAAAAAAAAAAAAAAAAAAAAAATACTTATCACATAATCACCGGACTGCTGTCCAGACATAGAAGGGAAAGGAAAGAGGAGATGTGAAAACAGAAGGGACGGATATAAGAAGTGTTCGCTAAATCTTCAAAGAATCATATCAAACATCCAATTCCATCGCTGGTCGTATGCAAAATCAGTAGTCAATCCCCACCGGAGTAGGGAGTAGGATTGGAATGTGCAATAGCATATGTATTAATCAGGGTGTCTGTCGTATAAGGTAAGCCGTGAGAGTCATTTCTTAGGTTGTAAACATCAGTCGCAGTCGGCTGGATCGCTTCTTCTTTTCAGGTTTCTTTCCTTTCTCAGAAACGCGGGACTCAGCCTTGGAGGGAGCTCTGGAGGAAGCCTTCGGCGCACCGCCAAAGAAGGATCGTGGAGCGGCCTTGGAGCCTACATAGGATTCAGGCATCTGCTCCATTCTTGAGTGCGCCCGAGGCGGCCGGGAACGGTGGGAACGGCGCGAACGGCGCGAAGATGCCATCGAACGGTCGTCGTTGTCAAATTTGAAACGAGGATCCCGTGTCATCCGCGCCGTTGTTATGTCGATTCCCGACATGGCCGCGGCCGTTGGCGTGATGAACTCACCGTCGACTGATGTGCCAACGCTGTGTTCTTCGGCGTCGGCCACCCCGCGTCTCCACATTTCAACGTTGCTTAAACACTCGGTATTGATTTCCATCATGTCGTCCATACTTTCCTGTTGCTTGGGGTCCGACGGTGCCCCGATTTCCTTGTTCTTCCCGCCTTGGATCTGCTTGATGATTTTATAGCCGCCGAACATAACGATGGTTGCCCCAAGACCCACTCCGGCCGCAATCAAGAACTGAGGGCTAGCAAGCAAGGCGAACACGGAGGGAGCCGCTGCCTTGAGGGCCGAAAGCGCCGCCGGGGCCATTTTGGTGGCCAGGTTGCTGATCTCGGCTAGGGTGAGTGCAACGGCGGCCATAGCATCTGGGTTCTTTTGGAGGTGAGAGATCGTGTGCGTGGCACTATGGTGCACGCAGTTGGCCTCCTCCAGCAGCCACTGCGCCCGGCCCACGAGACCATTCAGTTCGGGGTCCTCAATTTTCTGGAGCTGGCCGTTTTGAGCGGCGGACGGTTGGCGCGTCAAGGCAGATGGATGGAAGTCGCCATATGCCAGATCCATGTCGACGTTAGCATCTGACCTTGAGCGACTAGCCTTTGGCCGTCCTCGGGGCTCCCGGACGGCAATATCGTGATGGGTGTGACGGCGGACCATCTCCGCTGGACGCTGGTAGGAAGAGTGTGGCCGCGACGCCACTGAATGCAGGTCCTGCTCGTATTGGGGACCCTCATAGTAGCCGTGATGATGACTGCGGCCCGAATGGTGTCTCGAACGGCTCCTCCGAGAAGAGGCGATTGAAGGTACTTCCTCGATGGTGTAAGTCTGCAATGCTCTCAACGCCTCCTGCTCGGCGATCTTTGCGCTACGTTCGGACTGAATCTGAGCCTTTCGCTCTCGATAGGCATTCTTGGCATGATTGAATACACCAAAGAGGTGTTTACTCTGTCAAAGGTCAGGAGTCAGAACCAGTTCTCTCATCGCAGAGGCAAGAAAGGGTTCTGTCACACACCGTGCTGACTACCTTGCCGGACTTGTCAATCACGGCAATCGTTTGGCCGACTTGGCCGGGCATGATGATCAATTTCGATGCTGCAAGCTAGGTATAGTTTATTCGGAAGCTGGCAATGGGTGTCAAATCTCGCGGTCGACTTCTCAACGAGCAAGTCAACGTTCAAATGTCCCGGAGCATTGATGAAAGGATCAGTCTTTAAGGATCCGCCAAAGCTCGGGACGAGCGGTGTGGGAGAGTGTATAAATATCGCGACTAAACCCGACGACGAGTGGAGAATTGGCCCGTTCTTCCAAAGTTTTTAACTGCTTGGTATGGGGCCTAGAACGAAGTTCTTTATGCCTCTGAACGTTTTAAAAAAATAAAAATGAAAAGGTATATATATCAAAAAAAGTGAAGGCACAACATTAGTTTAATGAAAAAGGTAGGTTTGAAAGTTGATTTATTGGGAAAGTCTTCGCGTTCAGGTTGCGTGGTTGGAGCTTGTATAGTGATAAAGCGGCGAGTCGCCTGCAGCTGGAAGTCAAAGCTAGATGACGCCACAGCCACGCTGCGATATCAGAAGAGAGGCGACGAAAGAAAATCCAGGACGGGAAGGGACACGGAGGGATAGGGGAGAAAAGTGAGGGGCTGGGGAATTAAAAAACAGTAAAAAAATGAGGGGACCAAGTCAGCGCCTAAAATGGGCACGAAGCAACGAACAGGATAAGGGCCCGCTTCGAACCGTTAGAACTGGTTGGGTGCCGGTGATGCTGGGAAAACAAGGCAGCAAGTTAATAAGTAAGTAGTATGTCAAATCGCCCCTGGAAAAAGTAAGATGAATGGTTGCAGCACGAGCAGGCAATCCGGACGGACCGCATTTGCTGTCATAGCACCATCCCATAGCATCATTGGTCTGGGGGGAATTGGGCACTCTGTAAGTGGTACCTGACGAGGCAGACGATGCTGAAGAAATTAAATTAAGGAGTCACGATTGCAGGGAACACTGGACAGTTGGAGTCGATGGTGATTCCCGATTCCCCAGTATAGAAATTCAGGAGCCAACGAGGAGACGGAAGGAATGGCGGTGATGCCGTACATTCTAATTGGTGGAATATCCCACAGCCACAGTGGCTGGTGTGCTGCCGGTGGAGCCCGTCAGCCTTACCGTACCATACTCAATACGGCCATTAAATAGGAGCACCTACATACACAACGTAGGTACATACATACAGAAGTATTGTTGATATCCTAAAAATGTTCCAATCCCATTAAGATGGCGCAGGAATCTGCTAGCTGTCCATGGAACATGAGACTCCAATACATCCTCCTAGTCGTCCCGTTTGGTCGGTTGTATACGTTATTTGCAAGTTAGCCCCAAGTAACCAGGCCCGTTACTTCCACGCATGGTTTGGCTGCAGCAGTATCCCAGGAGATGGATGCAGTGGAATCTCAAGGCCTCCTGCAGATCCAATTCGTTATCTAATCGGAGACCGACATAGCATGAAACACTTAGTGTTCCCTATTAGGTGAGAACATATATACAGCATTCCGCCGTCATCGGACGCTGTCGATGCATCTTTTCCCCTCATCCACATATCCTCCTTCCAATGGATCATATTGGAGAATGTCTCTGTGTACAAAGGACACTCTCTTAGCACGTCTGCTCTGGGAACCTAGGTTAGTATTGCCACCTTTATCATACTCTCTCCAGTGATGGTGCTGGTATTCCTGTGGTGCGCCTCCCAAAAATCCCAAAAAGCCCCGAAAAAGTATCTGTTGTGTTTGTCGCTCTTTCTGGGCTAACTCCTGCGTAAGATCATGCGACCAAAACCGCCATCTGTTTACCTACTGCCGACAGGGATGCTCTGAGAGAAAAAGTACGCGAGGTAAGTCGACCGCATCTTCTTACCTTTTCTGCATTGGGTGGGCTCCGGTGCACCGCCACAGCTGCCATCACCGCCATCCAAATCACGACATCCGACCAGTCATTCAATCCTGAGTCGATTTCCATCCAGCTCCCCTTCACTTCACTTCACCCTTCAATCAAGCAATGTCAGAGGCCATTTTCCCGTGGTGATGTGTCCTGTGTATCCACCTCAAGCAACATTTCTATTTGGCTATATATTTTCCTAGAACGGGTGGCCTGTACTACGGTGCAACGGAGGAGTGTGCGCTGTTGTCACGTGAACTGCGGCTGTGGAATATTTTTACTCTGTAAAAGGAAAAATCTCGGTCTGAAGAAACATAGGCTAAGACTCTGATTGGCTCATTGCGCCAGCAATGGACCAGACAGTACTTGTCGAGTCGGATAGCACCTCGGAAACTGATGACCAGATCAAGGTGTGGGAGATATCCCATGTGCACGATGGCTCCAAACACCCCAAATCTCAAGTGGAATGCGGAATTGGTCACCGCGTCCAGGCCAGTCGATCCGTCCTGGCCTTGGTCATTGACAAGGAATGTGTTTTCGCCGGCCTCCAGGGAGGAGACATAGTAGTATGTGACATCTCGATATGTCTCGATTTGCGCCTTTTCCCAGACTGACTCATCCGTGACAGGCATGGTCTCTTGAGACCTACGACCTTGTTCTCTCGGTTCATGCGCATCAGGAGAGCGTTTTGGATCTCTATCTGTCCGATGAGGGAGATCTACTTTTTTCGAGTGGAGGGGACTCGGTTATCAATGTATCTTCTCTTCCCATTCCCCATTTACCGTGGTTTTGGGTTGACCAATATCACAGGTATGGTCGACCAGGACATTTGATCGACTATATTCTATTCACACCCACCATGATGTGGGGGATATCTTCGCGGTCGCCTACTCATCGAGTCTGAACACCATCTACTGTGGTGGTCAGAACACGAGTATCCAAGTAAGTATTTATTCCATCGCTCGTCTCGGTTAGCTCCCTGACATAGCACCAGTGGTGTGATATATCCCAGACCGATACAGTGTCTGCGCAGCTCTCTGAAGCTCAACTATCAAAACGCACGCACAGATTTTTTGACTCTCGTGGCCCTGACGGTACGCGTGCCCCGAGGCCAGAGGCAGGCTCCGATGGGGCCCGCCCGGTCACGCAGGGGGGTCAAGTTCTTACATTTAAGCGCGACCATCATAAGCTGTTCGCGCACCATGGGTATGTTTACACCATGCTCCTGGTTCGGGGATTAGTTGAGTCAGTACCAGGGGAAGAGGTACTGTTGACAGGTGCTGGAGATGGCGTCGTTAAACTATGGCGCTTACAGCAAGACAAAACCAATGCCGTCCCCTCTCAGATGGCGAAGCTCCAAAATGGAGACCCGGTCCTCTCTCTCGCTGTGGATGGGTCATTTCTCTACTGTGGTCTCGCCGGAGGTGCATTGAACATATGGAACCTTGATTCTCATCAGCTAGTTAAGCGCATTACTCGCCATACGGGCGATCTGTGGGCGGTTGGCATTATTCACGGCGTGGCGGTATGCGGAGATTCTAATGGAATTGTGAAGGTACAGTCTTAAGAATTGTAGAGTGGGAATGAACATTCTAACTTTGGTGAAATTTAGAAATTCAACTCACGTTTTGAAGAGGTCGGTAGCTGGACTGCCCATGAAGGTACCATGTTAGCATCCGCGGCTAGCCAATACAATGATCGATTTATCTACGCTACTGGAGGCAATGACAACACCGTTGGAATCTGGGACGTGACGGAAGTATCTCTGTCTCAGGGTGAATTGCCTCGGATCAATAATGGTATGGACCATCGAAGCTCTTGCTGCCTTACATGTACTGACTTGGGTCTCTAGATGAAATGGTCAACTGCCTAGCGAAATTTGTTGCCTTCAAAACCGTCTCGGCTAGTCCAAAATTCGCCGGGGAATGTAATCAGGGTGCGGCTTTCTTAAGACGACACTGCATTTATTTGGGGGCTAAGACAAAGCTCCTGACGACTGGGGAAGACACGAACCCGATCATACACGCGCGGTTTAACGCAACGTCTCCCGACAAGGTCAGTAAAACCATCCTGTTCTACGGCCATTACGACGTCGTCGGGGCGGATGCCAATGGAGCCAAATGGAAGACCGACCCCTACCAGCTGACCTCCATGGATGGCTTTTTGTATGGTCGGGGAGTCTCGGACAATAAAGGTCCAATTCTAGCGGCGCTTTATGCTGCGGCCGAGCTTGCTCGGCAGAAGCAACTTCCTTGTGATGTTGTCTTCCTCATCGAGGGCGAAGAAGAGTCCGGATCCCAAGGGTTTCACGAAACCGTTCGAAAGCATAAACCCCAGATTGGACCGGTGGACTGGATTCTGCTGGCCAACAGCTACTGGCTAGATGACTACAACCCTTGCTTGACGTATGGCCTGCGTGGCGTGGTTCACGCCAATTTGATCGTTGCCAGTGACCACCCAGACCTCCACAGCGGTATCGACGGGAGCGCTTTGTTGGATGAACCATTGAAGGATCTGACCTTACTCCTGGGCACTTTAGTTGGGCCCAAGGGACGAATCAATATCCCGGGCGTCCAGGACCCTGTCTTACCTCTCACAGAGGCAGAAAAACAACGCTACGCCGATATCGCTCAAATCCTGCTGCAACGACATCCGGAGATTGCGGATCGGGAGGCTCTCATCAACTCCCTCATGCATCGCTGGCGAGAACCGTCCCTCACCATCCATTCCGTCGAAGTCCCAGGCAATAGTAAAAGCACGACGACCACAATCTCCCGCAAAGCAAAGGCCAGCCTCTCTGTGCGGATTGTACCAAACCAAGAAGCTGATGATGTGGCGGCCAGCCTGACCCTGTATGCACAGGAGAAGTTTGATCTCCTATGTTCGCAGAACGACCTAACCGTAGAAATCACGGGGAAATCGGACCCCTGGCTCGGAGATCCAGATAATGAGATGTTCGAGACACTTGACGAGGCCATCACAGTGGCCTGGACCCCAAGCCATCACGACCAGAAGCACCAATACCCTCCCATCCAACGGAATCTAACTGCGCCGAAGGAGCCAGGTTCCCAAATTCCACGGAACGACTCCTCTGACAGTCTCGCCTCCCACATTGACCGGATCATCGTGTCCACGACGACATCGTCCGCAAGCAAAACGGACACACGACAACGATCATCTTTAACCCGGACCGTCCCGACATCCTCCACGCTGACGAACACCTCAAGTGCCATCTCCAAGGACACAACGACACGAGAGACGTCCACCGTATTTCGCAACGAGACCCCCATATCCTCATCCCCGGGGCCTGCATCTGTATCTGCACCATCCGGTGTGCGACCCATCTACATCCGCGAGGGCGGATCAATTCCCACGATCCGCTTTTTGGAGAAAGAGTTCTCAGCGCCCGCGGCAAACCTGCCCTGCGGACAGGCAAGCGATAACGCCCATCTGTATAATGAACGTCTGCGGGTCGAGAATCTGTATAAGAGTCGGGAGATTTTTAGTTATTTATTTTCCAAGTTACCGGGCAAAGTTCGTGGACTTTAATAGGTTAATTAGCGTCGGGTAGTAAAGGTATGCATAGTAATAGACAAATTGGTTAAAGACGATATGGCTAGGATTCGTCAATTATAATAATGGAGTAAACTTAAACATTCCCATCAGCTATTCCATGACCTCCATCCAATCTTCTGTGCTATAGCGCTCGAATCTGAATCTACATAGAATATACTTGCCGCAGTAGAAACAAAAACAGAACAAAAGGAAACCAGAAACCACGGATTAGTTAGAAGAAAAGGTCAGGATAATAGATATGTATACAGTGTATGTTCTTAAATAAGATCCTAGAGGATAACGCGGTACGGTATCTTAGTATAAAAATTCAACGACTACCAGATTCGCTTGGCGACCATCTCATATCGCTGCACATGGTCCATATTCATCTCCTCCTTCGTGTTCTTATCTTTCTCCTCCTTAGCTTTCAATCGTCGCAACGCCTCCGGATCATCCACATAGATCCAACGACGTTGGTCATCGTTTACCTCGACCATTCCCCATCCCCCAACCCGTCGGCTGCCTTCCACGGCGAACTCCCGTCCACGAGGCGGTCCACCATTCTCGGCTGTGGCACGGGCAGCTGATGACGCATGCTCCGCTTCGCGATGCTTCATCGCTTTATAGCGGCCGCGCGCAAAGGCTAGTAGGACCATGCCCAGTAGTAGTTTGAATATCAACAATAGCACGAATCCCGTGAGAAGGAGAACCACGGTGAAGATGGTCACGGACTGAGCCGGGGAGGGCATGGTATTCGCCAACAGCTGTCGGAAGACTGTTCCCACGTGGGCTGCTGATACCGGAAGGATCGTACGGATGGTCAAGGGTTGCGGTGAGGTCATCGGGGCCGGTACGTAGTGACTATGGATTGAGGACAGTGAGGTCGAAGACACAGCCGTTGATGACGGGTGTTGCGGCAGCAGGGAGGCCAAGAACATCTGGTACGTCTGCACCGAGACCCGGAAGAAAAGACACGACAGCGGAATGACTGGCAGGCCTAGTCGCCGGGTGAGATTTTGGTCACCAAACGCATTGGTGTAGTAATCTTTGGCGAGGATGTCTAAGAATCGCAAATAAATGGCAGGCCGCGTATTGTTGAATTTGTTTATGTAGGCGTGCTTGAGCCAGTCGACCAGCATTTCAGACCCCAGGACAACTAGGAATGGGCCGAGGACCTGAGCCAGAGTGGGGAGGAACGAATTGACATGACTGAAGGACGCGATAATAGAGGACGGAACGATGGTGAATGACTGTGGAAGGATTGACGACGCCGTCCGCGGTGGAGTCGACAGCGGTGTGCTGTTTGTGGCAGTTGACGAAAAAGTGCCAAAACTGGATCCTAGGCTGCCAAAAAAGCTGAAGGCACCCGTCTCCACAAAGTTTCGAGATGCGATTATGGTGAGCATCAGCCATAATTGGAACCGCTCCACCACGTCCGCACAAGTCAGCTGGAACAAGTTCTCCTTTTCGAACTTCTTAAAGACAGTGGACTTGATCTCAACGAACTGGTTCGAGAGAAGCAGAGTGATCAAGGCATTTGAATACGAATTGACCGCCACGTTCAGTGTCATGACCTGGAAGAACAGTGCGGTGGCATGAATAACGGTGTAGGTGAGGGCCAGTAGGAAAAGCCCAAAAGGGCGGAAGACTTTGCTTCGTCCATCCGGCCGGCGTTCCAGGGCTTCCCGTGAAAAAAGGCACTCGAGCACATCCTGTCCAATGGCGGCAAGCAGTCGGTCACTGACTTCCAGTACATTGTAGATAACATATAACTTGATGGCAGCCTGCCCGCGAATCCAGTGGTACATCCGACTCGCATCAAAATACATCAGAATCGAGCACGTGGTGATCATAAGTAGCCCCTTAAGAATGTCTGCCTTGTCGTCGGGGAGCAGCGCGGACGGAGTAGATTTCTGCCGCCGATGCTGGTACCGGAGCTGGACGTCGGTGCGGCGTCTCCGACGCGGTTCGCTGGCACGATTGTGCACTTCTCGATCCATGGGATTCTGCTCCTGTTTTCCCGATGTCACTCGGCCCCGAGCCTCCGGTTCTAACCCCCGAGGTTGCTCATGAGTCGTATCTATCGAGGATCTCGCGCGTCTTCGCCATACTCTTCCAACGCCCTTTATGATAAAACCTGACACAAAACGGAACTCCGCGCCTAGATTAATCATCCATGATTCTAACAGGATATACAATGCTTTGAAAAAACGGAGGGGGAGAATAGTAAAGGAATAAAGCCACGAGTCCAAACACGCTAGGATCCCAAACCAGAGGACCTGCTCTAGCGCGGGAGGAAGCATCAAAAAGTTCATGAGTCGCTCGAGTTTGACGCGAGATGACTCGTAAGGGAAGTCACTCATCGCTGAGCGGTGGATGTATAATGGTGAGGGTCGGCCAGACGCCAGCTCCAATTGCAAGTACGTCGGAACCGACAGAGGAGGAAGGGGAATTGACGGGGGTAAAGGCGATGGTAGCGCCGGTTCGGCCACAGCTGGCGAAGAATGGAGGTGTCTCGTTTCTAAGTCCTTGCTGACGGTCGGGCGATCCTGCTTCGATCGGGATGCCCATGCTTGTGACAGGCGCTCGTTGGAAGGTAGAGTTTGTCGTCGCAGGGAACTGGGTGTAGAAAAAGTATGCGGCACCTGGGGTCGATTTCGCGCAGTTGATGGAGAAGGCTTCATAACTAAGCCCGAGACAAAATCCACAGAGGACTCTGTACTGGGTCGTTGTTTGGGTGTGTGATCCAGAGACATCTTCAGGTCATTCGGTGGTTGTGATTCCACCCCTGTGTTTTCTGATTGATGGACCGCTGCAGATGCACCATCTGACACCACCCGCCGACCTTGTTCCCCTTCCACTGGGGCCGCGCGATATGGTATGGATTGGGGCGAAGAGGTAAGCTCCCGTATCTTGGCCGACGACAACTTTGGGACTTGATCGCGATCCTTCTCTTGGTTTGTCGGAGGGGATGACTCTCCGGACAACTGGTCCAAAGCGGTAGCAACAGCTGGACCTTTGAAGACATCAATCAACGAATTTTTATGCACATTTTGTTCTGCATCACTACTGGGACCTTCCTGGAAGTGCTCAAAAACCATTCCCGACGCCTGGTCAGACGTTAGAGAGAGCTGACCGCCTTTTCGGTCACCATTCAAAGCGTGGTTTCTGGGAAACCTCAGTTCATGGTCCCTCTCGGTACTGAAACTAATCCCATTCTGCTGTAGCTTGATATCTGAAATTGTCCGGTCGTGATGTTCGGTCGATGGGTAGGGCGAGGCTGCAGATCTGTCCGGTTGCGCATGGTTGATGCCGTTGGCCACTTTCTCCTGCATCTGATCTGCGTGCGGTGACGGAAGTGTTCGATACTTCCGGGGCGCTTCGTCGGGATTTCCAGCTCCTGCGACTAGGTCAGGGCGGTGGCCCTGGAGATCTGTGTTGGCCGGTCGAAATGATGCTGACACTGTGGCGGTGTCCTGTGGTCGCTCAACCGAATCACCGTTCACCGCATCCATGGTTCGTTTCGTCGGAGACACGGGAGATTCAAAATCAGAGGGATCCGAGACTTCGGGGATATTATTTACCCCATGCGTATCGGCGGAGGAATAAGGAGAACGGAGGACACCATTGCAGGGGACGGAAACAGCACCCATGCGGGACGAATCCGACGGGAACTCACTGCGTGGGGAAACAGAAAGAATAAATGCCTTATGGAGGATACATACTCATAGCGCAGACACCATATCACTGCGAGATGCGTGTGATATCCGTGATCAGCAAACGCGAGTTTCGATAGGAATCGTCAGCAAGAAGTTTGGCTGCTGCAGAAGGAGGCGGAAATGGGGTCATCGCCCTAGCTGACCGCCTGCCATCACATGACCCACTTTTTGTTCTCCACATTCCCCAAAGCCGCTCATATTCTTCGTCTCAGGTTATGAATGTGGGTTATGAATGTGGCAGCAGCTGTCAAATATGTCGATCCTGCTCCTCTAATTACTCGCACAAGTCCCTCAATCTCCGCTAGGACTTGTGGTGAATCTTATTCTCCTGAAGTATGTACAGCCAAACGGTGTCACCCAATCAAGTCTAGCGTATCCCCAAACAGCTAGCCTCACCGCCTTCTTGTGAGTCAGCGATCAACCTCAAAATTCCCCACTACGGCGGTTGTGATGGGTGGAATTGGTACATCGAGTCAACAGGCTGCAGGCCTCTATCTATGTATCTATTGCTCGAAATACTAGTCAAGCGGCACAATTCCAGATACCAAGAGCAATATAACCAAACCGGATTAATTTCAAGGGTATTCAAAACATTCCTGAGCTTGATTTTCTCGTCGTGAAGGGTATGAACAAAGATATGATCATTATTCATTGAAGATATGCCAGCTCTTCTGGAGTTTTCATTGGGAAAAATTGGAATAAAGAAGAGAAGCGAAGGAATGAAAAAGGGGTGAGTCCAGCTGATCTATGAGACTGCAGACTTGAGCACTTCGTGGCACAAAGTTAGAAGAAATCTTCTCGAGGAGGCTGAGGCTGAGGAGCATACTCCCGGGGAGTATAAGCTCTCACAGACGACGGTGGTCCTGTGCGGAGTTGGTTCGGCGGCGAAGGCCTGAGTTGCTCCTGAGTGTAGACTGGAAGGCTCAGGTTTTGTACATCAGAGGCAGGCTCAGGGGAATTCCGGGACGATTGGTTGAAGGCCGAGTAGCCATTTGGCTCTTGAGGACCTGGTGTTTCCCTTTGACCAACATAGGGGAAAGACCTCATTAGTGTACCATCCACGGGGCGCAAACTTGGCTGTGATTGATTCACACTTGAGCTGGCGGGTGTATACGATCGCGGGGGGAACGCATACGCAGAATGTGGATGTGATGGGCGAGGGGTACTACCCACCCGGGGACCCGAAGGGGAGAACATGCAGGTAGGCCCGCGATCGCTGGATGAAACGGCCACGCCTGCTGCCCTCGACCGTGCCGTTGGGCCGGTCGCTGGGCCATAGGAATGGTAAGCGCTCGAAGGCTGATCATGGGATGAATAGGCCTCATAGTCGTCTCCTGGCTGCCCAAATCGAGCTGCAGGAGTCATAGGACCCGAGTTACGAGCCGAAGAAAGTGGCGCGGGCATAAAGTCTGACCGCGACATTGGCACTTGGTTGCGCTGGAGGGGCACAGGTACCTGATTCGGCAGAGGCGGCACGGGCGGCGCTGGCGATGTTTGACGATCAAGGGGACTGTATCCAGAAACCCCCGTGCTTCCAGATATCGAAGCAGCATCGGAATAGGCCGAGGATTTCGTTAGGGTGCGGCTCAATGGTGGGTTTTCCTCAAACATTGCTACATCCGGAAGCTTGGGGTTTCGGTCTGGTCCAGCGGTCCCGGGGCGCGATGAGTATGGCGGAAGTGTCGTCTGGGTAGTAGAACGCGAGATTGTCGTGACGATAGGCCCCTTGTCATCCTCATTGCCACCGACAGCCGGTAAGGTTGGCTTCGTGTCCAAGCCAAGGTGAGGTCGAGTGGGTGCCCGATCTTGCAGTGCAATCCCTTTGGCTAGTGCTTTGTCAACCTTTTGCCGCACAATGCGCATGAGGCGGGTGTTGATTTTGCGCCGACAATATGTCTTCAACGAGCCGTCGTCGGCCGGAATGTGGTGGAAAAGGAAGATCAGGTAGAGGATGATCGCAAGGGCCAGCTTAATAATCGACAGGACCCAGATAACCAGGGTGAAGAGCATGCCGAACAGGATCAGAGCGCGCAGGTTGTTTTGCTCGGCCAAAATCTTAACATTGTTGAAGAATTGTACAACGGCAGGTGAATCGCTGTGGGCCGCATTCTGCCCTCCAGGAAGAAGATCAAGCTGCATTACAGAATAAAGCGTGAGGGCATTGACTACCTGGCGCGGACCATCGGCGAAAATAGTATTCATCCACGCTAGTCAAGCAAGTCAGCAGATTGTGATTGGTCTCATGGTTGTGGGACAGGATCGGACTCACTCTCAAAAGAAAAATACGCAAACAGAGCGACATACTCGGCGCCCTTTTTGCTTTTGGTCAGCTCGGCAAAGACAAGGAACCTTTTCCACCCGCGACCAGTCTTCCCCATGCGAACACTCTGGATTCGTACAGCAAGCGAGTTCAGATAACTCTGCGCAATACTACCGGAGCGGATGGCTCGAATCGCATTCACCCAGCGCAAGATGAGGAGAACAAAGGAGATGATAATACAGACGGCGAAAATCCATCGCGATATCTGAAATGGAATTGCGGGTTTGATTTGTCCAGCCCAACGAGAGAAAGCCAGTAGGTTGACGGCAGTGAAGATGTCGACGGCGTAAACCGCCAGCGAAATCAGCAAGAAGACCCAAAGGAAAAAGTAGGAGAACGGAGTGAGGCAGGACTCGGACTTAAAGTCTTTCAGGTTCTAGAAAAGAGACCGCGTTAGCAACTGACGTGATTGAAAGACTTCCTACGATCAGTAGTGGTACTTACTATATAGTCCCATTTCTCCTCCTGGGAGACAACCCCCTTCTCACGATCTCCGCAGCAGGGCATTCTGCCTTAGGACCCGGCCCTGCCAGGTACCAAACGATCGGTAACCGAGAACAGAACCGATAAGTGATCGGGTAAAGGACGGGACTTCGTCGGACCAGCCGGGCGAAGTCACTATCCCAAGCAATGCTAGCAACAATAACAGCGACAAAGAAGGAGGGCGGCTAGGTTGAATTTGTACGGGGGATTTCCCGAATAAAAAAGAAAAAGAATGGCAACCACAGCGTGTGTGGATCGAGTATGGTGGATCGGCGGTTACGCGCTTTAATGGCGCATAGCTGTTGGACAGCCAGGGGCAAGGAAAGGAACAAGCCGAGGGAGAGGACAAGCCAATGGATCAGCTCAGATAAAGAGCATTGTTCCAAAGTCAAAAATGCAGGAAGCGCGCGACGATTGTGCAACACAGGGCTGTCCTCGGATGGGGGTGTGGAACGTGCCAAGGATAGGGGGCTGCCGCAATTGCGGGGGCGGCGATGAGATTGAGGAGCATTAACGAATGTGGCGGATCGATAAAGAATGAATGATGAAGGAGTGAATCATCAATGAGTGAATAAAAGAAGAACAGACGCAAGATGAAACACGGAACAGGAGGAAGGACTAGAAAATGGATAGGTGATCATAACAGCAGGAGAATAAAGGGTCAGACTTCTTCGATGGATGAGGGCAAATTAATTAATTCCAATGGAACCTCGTGGGCGCTTAAGCACGCGAACCGTCGGAATGTCTGGTTAGCGGGCCTATAACAGTAACTCTGATGAGACCATATTTCATCACGGCAGATATGTTTGTCATGCACTATATATAGATGGTTTCACGGAAATACTCTCATCATCATAATCATAATAGAAGTAAATGAATCGATAGGAAGGAATGAATCTTGCAGAAAAGCATGAATCTTGTCATGCCAAGCATGCTTAATGACTCCAGTGGAGCGATGAAGGCTTGGCACCCAACCAGGTCTATGTGACTTGGTATAGAGTAGCTCTAGTGCTGAATAGAACGTATCACACCATAAATCAAAACAATTATGGAACGGGGAAGAATGGTCCTTCGATAATCCTAGAGGATCTCAGAATACAGAGATCTGTTAAATATGGGGAGGTGGATATTTCTCTGCATTCTGTCTTGTATATATGGTCCGTACAATGTCTCAGACTCTCAAGGATTTCAAGGCAAAATAGCGTGGGGTGGATCTGTGAACCCTGTGACTTACTGACGACTGTGGAGTATCTGCCTGGGGGTTCTTTGCCATCCACTTACGCATTAAGGTAGTCGAAGTGAACCTAGCATTGTTACATCGGTTCATTTCAATAGAAGTCCATCTAGAATCACTAACTTGCAGCGATACAGGAGGCGAAACTGGCCGTCGAAGTCTCCACCATTCAGCTGCACTTCCAAACACAAAGCTAACCACGGCGAGGACGAGATCGATACTGTCCATGATTCTCGCTGTCAGTTAAGACTCTATACTCGGCGACCAGAATCATTTTCGTATCTACCGTCGGCTCGGAATGATCTCGCACCTCCCTCTAGGTCAACGGAACTCTGTATATAGCCTGAATGTGCAAGTTGTTGAAATGAGCTTTGATTGGTATTCTAAACGAACGTAAATACAATTTCATGGTCTGCAAACAATCCAAGTATCTGGTATCATAGTTGCCACAGGATAAAAGGAGAAACAAAAAGATAGTGAGAAGGAAGCATGAAGCAATATCACTCATTATAGGCGAAGTATCTAATTACGCCTTAAAGCTCAATCAGACTCTCCTCCGCTGCTGGCCGAGCTGCTGGTGGCTGCTGGTACTGCGCCGGGGACGGATGTCCCGCAATCGGAGAGACGTCCCCGACAGAGTATGTACTATGAAACGCTTGTGTACCCTGCGGGTACGAAGTTTGTGGAGGCCCGGACGGAGGCTGTTGCTGTTGATAGTAGTATGATTGGAATTGTGGTTCTGCAGGAGGACGCTGAAGTCCAGGCCGGCCGTTAGGTTGCACCGGTTGGGATTCTGCCAACTGCATATACGCAGGAGATGGGCCAGTGTCCATCGAGGGAGGTTGTTCTGGTGCACTTGGGACAGCAGCAGGAGGTCCTACTAGTTGGAACTGGGAGTTGCGTCGCGTGACGGGAGATGGTTGGGATGTCGGGTCCGTATCCCCCTGATGGGGAGACTGATATGGCTGCGGGCCTGGCTCCTGGGTGGGAGGTGCATAGAATTGCGTCGAGGCTGCATGCCCAGGATAGACAGGATGATTGCTGGGGAAAGGTGGGTTGGAGCTCGGCGGCCCTGGAGATGCAATCTGAGCGTTACCACTCCAAGGTTGATTATGCGGTAGGGACTGGGCCGACTGCGGCGGATACATGCTGGGGCTTATAGCACCGCTGCGTGGGCCAACCCTTTCATGAATCTCCCTTTCCAGTGGATATTGGGTATAAGGGGTATCCGACGGTCTCGGCTTCTCGGCAACCGGAGTGCCAAAATAAAAGTTTTCGGCCCCGGGTTTCCCATCGGATGTTTGTGAAGGCATTGAAGGGTAGATATTTGGGTATTGCGCGGCGCCGGGAACAGGTCCATACCCTAACGAGTGTTGCGAATAGGCACTAGAGAGACGCTCCTCTAACATACGATCATAATATCGGACAACCGTAGATAGCTTAGCATGTAGATCAAGTAGCGTGTCTAAGTGTGTGTGGTCAGTAAATTTGAAAGATATAGCAAACGGCTAAGTATAATAAGGCAGGCATACCGTGCTTGCTCATGGTTTCACCGTAACTGCGTGCAAGCTTCGGGCGCAGCGTACCGATGCTCTCATATAACTCCTGGATCTGTGGTTCGCGCAAAATGGTTCCTGGTGGTTGATGTTGTAATCGGTCAACGAGAGCGGCGAAAAGGTGAATGTTTTCAACCTCAACGGGACTAAGCTCGTACGGATTTTTAGGTAGAGTTGTAGCAGTCGGAGCATCTTGAAACGAGGAGGTATGTGTTGCGGTTGTGTTCTTCAAAGCCGCCGCATGTTTTTGCTTATGCTGTTCCATGTCACGCAGGGAAGCCTCAATAGCCGCTTTCAAATCCGCATCCTCCTCTTCTTCGGTTTTTGATGGGCCTGACGTCTTGGGCGGTTCTTTGGCAATCTGAGATTGCCGGACGTAGCCGGCTGACCCCTTTTTCTGAGCCTCCTCTAGGCTCATTTGTAAAGCCCGACGTAAATCGTCATCAAAGCCCCCTTCTGCCCGAGCCGTTCGGGGTTCCATTGCATTGGATTTTGTGATTGAGTGATTCTTGAACGCAGATCTGTCCGATAATCCGGATGGTTGAAATGGCTTGGCGGTTAATTTGGTGTAACACCCATCGTCGACACGAACTGGCTGCAATATTCCCAGGTGAGGCAAGGGAAGCGTCTTGCTGGAGCACTGGGCATCGAAGACATTTCCGCAATTTCGGCAGTGATGCTTGCGGTTCATGAAACTAAATGGCGTACGACAGCGCATACAGACATCGGAGTCAATCCACTCGGGAGGCTTTTGTAGAACATGTCAATGGAGGAAAAAAATATGACTTTGACGGAAGTACATACCGCACTACTCTCCAGCATACTACCGCTCATTTGAGTTTTAGGGGGAAACCGGAAACCTTCATCCTGCAGTCTTCGATAGGTATCTCCAACATAACTCAGATCCATACGGCCTTGAGCCGCCATAGCCCAGTCCTGAATCAGCTCTAGTATCTTCTCTTTCACTTCGGTTTTCAGCGGGGCGCCCTCCGCCTTGAGAAGGGAGACGAGATTATCCATAAATTCGCGGGAGGCGATTTCGGCAAGGAAGTGAGTTCCACCATTCTTTACACACGTATCCGTTAACTGTAGTAGTAACCGTTCCGTTAGCATCCAGACATAGCGAAGGCAAGACTCAAAATAGTGCGGGGCCAACCTTCAATGTCGCCAACTGTATATTTGGATTTTTGTTCTCCAGTCGTCGCTTCAACGACCTCATCGCATCCTTGGGTTGCACACTCTTAGATCGAATCAGGTCGGAGATCTCTAGGTTAAGGGCAATATCCTCGCTGGGAGCTTATTAGCATCAATGTTCAGATAAGCTACGGGTTGCGATCAAAACGGCTACGGTACATACAGAGACGAGGAGGTCGCCTGTTCAATCTGCTCATCGAGCGGTGAAGTTGAAGTGAACCAGCCCGCCATGATGACGGTAGGAGAATCACAACGCTGCACAAGGTTATGTACTGAGACACCAGATTCACTATGACGTTGGGTAGCGGGGAAGCAAGAGCGGAAGGGAAATAGCTCCCTTAAGCTGCAGATGATGGTGAAGGAGATTAGCTGACACCAGCTGACGTAGAAAAGGTGTCTATGCAGTGAAAGGCACGATATGCAGGACCCTGGTGGGAGATGCAGTGGAAGGCGTTTGATGTAAGCTCTCTCCAGGCAGATCTATCGATGACTTGACGGATGGGGCTTACCTAAGGTAACTAGGTTTAGTTAGTTAGCTAGCCGTAATCGGTAATATTTAGGCCCCAGGCATCAACAAGGCCTGTTTTGGGAAACCATGGGCTGGCGTCATCTCCTAGGGCGGTGAGTACTGCGTGGTACGTAACTTACCATTGATACCCCAGAAATGAATCATCCCGCAATAGGTCATCTGTCTTTTTGGCTCATTTCGAAGGCTGATCAATCTTCGTTTCCGCCTACCCAATTAATCTAACCCCTCTCTTATTATCACTTCAGAATAGTTTGCTTTTGATGCCATCTTCGCTCGTTTGTTTTGAGCCTTGTTTCGTCGTCTCCCCCCATCCGAGTACCAGGAACCGCTGCCGCCTCCGAACCCTCCAGCCCAAACCTGACCTCCGATAGCTCTCCGATAACCCCCCTGGGTCATGTGTTGGAGCACTCCCTTCCTGGTCGTTGCATAATGTCCTCCGATGCAGCGGCTTTGCCCTCTCCACCCGACTTTGCCCCTTGGGAAAAGGCCAATCGTCCTCAGTCCCTCGGGAGTATGTATTCAGGTGAAGCAGGGCAAATTGGCCCGCCTGGCCTGTATCAGAACAACCACTCCACTCCTCCACTTGGCGCTCGGTCCCCGCGATTTCCTAGCATAAAAGATCTTCAAGAACATGCAGCAGCTCTGGACGTGGACGAGTCTTCGTCGGTAAGTTCTTTGGTTGTGACACAGTTGACAAAGTGGACTCCCGTTTGCTAATTGAGGTGTTCATCCAGCTTGATGATTTGCTAAACCGGGCCCAAGAGGCAATAAAGCGTGCCAGGGATTTGGCTGACAGTGATCAGCCCGATATAGCTTATGTGGAATACCTTCGTGCTTCCGAGATTACTGTCAATATAATTCCTCATCATGCCGACTATCGAATAGCTGCCACCCAGCGTCCCGGATGGTACAAACAATTTGCGGATTTAATGATGGTACGATGCCTAGATCACTTGCAGAGCATGCCCGTGTCTTTATTCCCTCCCCGTATTCTTGTTATTTTTAATCCTTTTCCGGCTTTGTCTGACCCGAAGACGGTAGGCTGTGCGCACGAAGCAAGGGACGATGGATGACATCAAACGGCAGATCCTGGAGGATAACTTCAACAATAACGTACAACCTACGGGTGCATTGGGGCGTGGTTCTTTGATGCCAATGTCCGAATTCATTCCTGTTGGTACTTTCCGAAGCCCAAGCCCGAGAGGTCGCCGAAATGAATTGGGAGAAAACTCAATACGAATGCCTAGCCCACGGGAGTTTCAACCGTCGTCTGATCAGAAACCGAGTAGGCATTCGACTCCTGTAGATGATATACTCGCTCAGCGTTTTGCCAGACTGAGAGCCTCGCCCCCAAGTACGAATGGACTGGGGCCGGCTACAAACTGTGAAAATGGAAGTGCTTCAACACCAGAATATACTGATAATCGTCCTCCTCGACCATCATCTTACATGTCCCAAGGACCCGTGCAAAGTTCAACTCTTAGTTCACCGACACGGCGTCCTCTAGGACCCCGTAGCATGGGGTCTTCTCACAGCGTGCCCGCTTTACCTCCCAAACTTCCTCTCAATACATCACTTCCTCGTGCACCAGATCCTGCTTATAGTCCCATATGGACAGTACCGTCACAGCCGGCTTCAAACCCCCCGAGGACTTCTACGGAGAGCTCGCGCCCAGTCAACCCGAGATATTCGCATTTCGTCAGCTCTCCACGCGACAGTCCAAGTCGTAACGGCTTCGAAGATAACCCTTACAGATCACGAACCCCAAACGGCGTCCATCAGGTGAAGGAACCTCGAAGCAATACCGCAGATTTACCATACAGCACCACCATTAGCGCCCACGACTTGCTTGATTGTCTTCGAAAATACAATGTATTGATAATCGATGTACGCCCGCGAGATCAGTACGATAACGGTCATATATACGCCAAATCGATAATTTGCATTGAACCAGTGATACTGAAAGAAAATGTGTCCGCTGAAGAGCTCGAGGAACGCCTGGTAGTGTCCCCTGAGCATGAACAGTCTTTGTTCGAGAGACGCAACGAATTCGACATGGTAGTGTATTATGATCAAGATACTGGCTCAGTCAGTTACCTGGCTGGGTCACCTGTCGGGACAACAGCGCCTCATCTCAGAGCGCTCCATGACACCCTTTATGAATTCAATGCCTATAAAGCTCTGAAAGATGGACGGCCTCCAGCGCTTTTGATTGGAGGCCTGGACGCGTGGATTGATCTTCTTGGTCAGCAATCGCTCGCCACGTCTTCCACTGCTGCTGTAATGGGGTCAATTCAAGCAAAGCGAAGACTGGGACGACCACTTGGAAGGATACCGACCATAGCAAGTGCCAATTCCAGCTTAGAAGTGAGGAAAAGGAGGCTCCGTGAATATAAACCGCTAAACCCCGAGGAGCTCACAGAATGGATGGAAAAATCGAAGAACGAAGAGATCGACACCAGTGCATACATTGAAGAAGAGGACCTTACTGAGGAACCAGAAGAAGAGGCCAAAAACGACGAGCCTCCGTCACCTTTTGTGCATACTTATGAGGACTTCTTGCGTCGCTTTCCAGAGCCACATGCTGTTCAACAATCCATGGCGGCGGCGCCACATGCACGACGACCAGTATCAATAATGCCCAACTATGCCGCCCCGGTTCCTGTCGCCCCTTCACGGCCTACTCCCGCAGTTCCACGCCCAAGCTACAGTGGAGTTTCAGATGGCCGCCAGATACAACCCACGCTGGAACGACAAAACTCTGCTACCAAGACTGCTCTGTACACGTCGAATTCGATGTTGAATCGTCTCAAACTTCCCCGAACCGGATTGACCAATTTTGGAGTCACCTGTTACATGAACTCGACAATCCAGTGTCTGAGTGCCACGATAATGTTGAGTAAGTTTTTCATCGACAACCGCTTTCGGTTTTATGTGCAGAGAAACTGGAAGGGCTCTCAAGGAGTCATGCCAGGGCTCTTTGCCAACCTAATCAGATCACTGTGGAAGAACGATGTGGAAGTAATCATGCCCACCTCTTTCCGGAACTTTTGCGGACGCCTGAACCAGGAGTGGGTCATTGACCGACAACAGGATGCCAAAGAGTTCTTTGATTTTGTGGTGGATTGCCTACACGAGGACCTCAATATTAATTGGCAAAGAACACCTCTGCGACCGTTGACCTTTGAAGAAGAGGTGCAACGAGAAAGGATGCCCGTCTCGAAGGTCTGCCGGATCGAATGGGATCGGTATTGCCACCGAGAAGAGTCTTTTATCTCGTCACTTTTCGCCGGCCAGCATGCCAGTCGACTACGCTGCACAACCTGCCAGCGAACATCAACTACCTATGAGGCATTCTACAGCATAAGCGTGGAGATCCCCTCGTCTGGGGCGGGCGATATCTATCAGTGTCTTCGAAGCTACTGCAAGGAGGAGATGCTGAGTGGTGACGAGGTGTGGAAGTGCCCGTATTGCAAGTGTGAGCGAGTTGCGACGAAGCAGATCATCATCACGCGTGCTCCACAGGTTCTAGTCGTACACTTCAAGCGGTTTTCGGCCTCCAAGATGCACAGTGCCCGGAAAATACACACGCCCATTGAGTTTCCCTTACATGGGCTTCGGATGGATGATTTTGTGTTTTCACCGCCAGCGCAGGGTTCGTCTACGGACCCTAACCCAACCGCACGACAGGACACCATCTCGGCCACGACCCCACCATTTACGTACGATGCTTACGGCGTACTGCGGCACCTAGGGTCATCGATGAGTAGTGGTCATTACATTTCTCTGGTCCGGGACGCACAGCGTCAATGCTGGCGAAGATTCGACGATGAGCGGGCGACAGACTTCAACCCCCGCGACCTGCGCCATCGGGAGCGGCTACAGAACGAACAAGCATATATTGTATTTTATGAGCGAGTCCCTGTAAAGTGAGGGCCAATCTTGCCTTTTTATTTCCAGCCTTTCTTTATCATTGTTTTTCTTATCCAGGGAGCGTTGGGATATGTATGATTCATTCAACCACATTGGGGCATTTGGCATTGGTAGGACCGCGGACACATGACATGAACCTGTAACGACCTTTGACATTTGATCATTTTTGCCTGGGTTTTTTTTTTTTTTTATTTTTTTTTTAAACTGCCATTGACATGTTCATCATGGGAGCCATTCTAGCGGATTAACATGATTGCAATCCCACTGTATTAGATAGAGATCCAATTGGATTTGATGAGTGTCGTTCCGAGACTTTGCATAGCGTCCGAAATCTGCACCATTCCGCGGTAGAAGCGGGGCTGAACAGGTAATTCCGATAGCACCAGCCGACGGATCTGCCCCGAGGTTGGTTTACGGGTTATCTCCAACCCCGAGGTGATGAACGGAGGTTGGGGAGTCTAGAGTCCTGAGGGGCAGTAGGATCCATGATGCTAAGAGTAGATGTTGGATGGGATCTCTGGTCGAAGCCATGAACGTCAATGTTTGCTTGTTTGTTTGTTGACGGATCTGGCTCCCTCTGAGGTTTGCCTTACACTATACCCCACCTATCGATTCATCCACTGACAGAGTACATACGTGTCTACTGAGTACGTTATATATGCTTATGACATAGGTACATAATAATTATGTTCATATTATTCTTGTATATTGTCTGTGTGCACTCAGCAGGATAACGAGGCAATGGAAGGGTCGAGAAGAAAGTTATGCCGGGGAGGACGAAAGAGGCAATCCAATCGGGACACCTGAGGGTCATATGCCTCCGAGGCAAAGGAAAAGGACCTATAATAAACCTCAGGCGACGATGGATCCACGGTCTGGCGGACTCAGGAACACGCTGACTAAGATACGGAATAAGCGGGCGATGATTGGTCCCGTGGCTATCAGGCCACTTTGTTCGAGTCGGAATTCTCAACGGACGTTCTCTCGCTCGACGATCGGGGAAGTGGAAATCTCGTCCAATATGGTTGATAGCAGGAGTAGGCGGACGTAGTTATCGGTAGGGTTTGGCGGCAACGTTTGGTGTCCCCCTCGTTTGGTTGAGCATTGCATGTCAGATCATCTGTGGTACATCCAAGTAAGTAGTTCCTCAGGCGGAGTCGCCGTCGAATCACGTTTCCCGGATCTCCCCCAACTTTCTGTTGTTCTGTTTCTACCCTTTTCTTGTTTCTCTCGCTCTCTTCATCTGTCTTCTTCCTTTTCTCTCTTCTTTCTTCCCTCTCCTCCCATCTTATCATCGATTGCAATCGTCGCACGGTATCCCAGCAATATCTAATATATAGACTTTGTTTGCAGTTTCCTCTCTCAACGCGCCTCTTTCTTGGTGAGTGAATGTCTAGTTATCAGTCCCTTTCGCATTCTCTGCGAGGTTGTCATCTGGCCATGATATTTCCAATGTTCTCGAAGACTGTTGACCCAGGTCACAAACGTCATCATTAATGACGCTATTTCCTTGTAATTTATTTACTTTCCCTGCAGTGAATGTGTAACCTTTTTTCCAACCTACCTCCTAATCCTATTACTTCTCCTTACAGCACTTAATTCCCACCCTTCTTTGTCTGTACAAGTCACTCCACCATCTGTCATCAACCTAATTCTTCTCTCCCTAGAGCCTACTTAAGGGACTGTAGCATCTTTGCTAACCGTTTCGCTTCCGTTTCCTATTAGTATCCTCGCCGATCACACCCACCATTCATAATGTCTGACAAGAAGGAATTCACTTTCCAAGAGGTATCTGGCCACAACACCAAGAAGGACCTCCACCTCGTGGTCCACGACAAGGTCTACGACTGCTCCTCTTTCGTCGATGAGCACCCGTACGTGTCCATCTCAATCCTATTTCGTTGAGTTCCTATCACTCCCATTACCCTCGTCCCTCCCACCTTATATTCTCCGTCCTACACAGGTGAGGGGAGGGAGGGAGAGGGGGGAAAAAAAGAATAAGAAGGAGAAGAAGAAGCAAGAAAGACCAAATTAGACGCCAAAATACTGACAACGGATGACAGTGGTGGTGAAGAAGTCCTACTCGACGTCGCCGGTCAGGATGCAACAGAGGCTTTCGAGGATGTCGGACACAGCGACGAGGCACGCGAGATCTTGGACGGCCTGTACATCGGTGACCTCAAGCGCATGGTACGTTCAAATGGACCGGCTTCGGAAATGTATACCGTACTTTCAGAGAGAATTAACAATAGGTGTTGTCAATTCTAGCCCGGTGACCCCGCCCCCCGCGCCCAGGCTCATACCTCTTCCTCGTCTTCATCTGGCTCCGGAGATTCGGCCGGACTCGGTGTCGGTCTCTACGCTGTCCTCTTGATCGGTGGTGTTATCGCCTACGGTGCCTATCAGTACTTGCAGAAGACAGCCGCCGCTGAGGCGCAGTAGTCCCAGAAATGCAAAACCTTGAAAAGATAAACCCAAATGAATTACCGATTCCTCTAACCTATAATTAATGTGAAACTATCTTCTTGTTCTTGTTCCTACCTCGGGGTTTGCCAGGTGATATCCACTGCAGATATTTCTGTTCAATGTTTCCCGTTCGAGTCAAATCTTTCTAATATTCAGGAAAGACTGAGATATTTTGGGCCTGACCGTTTCGATTTCCGGGCCGTATGAATGGCTGGTATATACTGTTTTCTCCTTGTTTACTATCCGGCCGTCCTTTCGTACGACAACTCTTTTCAATAGATCACCGTCTCTTTTTTCCTCCGGCAATTCCTGCACCCCATTTTTTACGTTGTTGAGGGGCATACGTAAGGTTTCCAAATAGTTAGAACCCAGGATTACGTTCCCATTAGAGTCGTCACGCACAAGCGAATTTAAAAATGGATATACGGTAGAGTGGAAACAGCACTATCAATCATGTGACGATAACAAGTATATAAAAATAAAATGCTTATGTAGTCAAAGATATCCAAGTAAGGTGAGTGCCCCCGATGCTAGTAGAGCTATACAACGCATTCTTTTTTCGGCATTAAGACAACATGAGAAGAGAATTTTTGAGGCCTTCACTAAATAAAACTTCACACAAATCACCTCCAGTATGCTTTTTTAAATCCAAGATCTCGTCAGTAGGGAGTGGGGGGACTATTACCTCGAGTTACCCTCCAGCCCAACACGCACGGCTTCTAGGATCATGTCCTTGGCTTCTTCTAGATTTTCTTTGCCTCCTTTGATCTCAATCGCTTCGCCCTTGGCCTGATCCTTGGGTACATTGATCCGGCAACCGGTCTGTTTCCGGATAGCGTTGATCTGGCTTCCACCTTGCCCAACAACGAAGCGGTAGGTTTTCGGATCAGGCAAGATCAAATATCCAGTCGCTGACTGCTGGGATGCACTAGCAATCGCCTTCTCCAGGGCCGACCTGGCTTTCGTGACATTGTCACTGGTTCCAGCTAGCACCCATGGGATAGTGGCCGGCTGCGTAGGGTCCACAATAGCAGGGCTGTTGTCAACGACCTTCCACGAGTGAGTCTCGATAGCTTCGCTAGGTTCATCGGTGATCAGTGGGAGTGCTGAGGCACCATTGACCGTGGCGCGCGAGTCTTCCGAGGCAGGCTTGGGTGGCACCTGCTGGCCAGCATGATCAACAGTTACGCGGTAATCATTGCGAAGACGACGGAAGAAAGAACCGTTTTCAGCAATAGCATGGTGCAGGTGCCGGGGAACTTCAACCGTGTCACCCTGTTGATCCTTGAGCATTGTGAGGATATGCTCTTTCGCCTCTTCAACGGCATTGCTAGGACCCTTGATCTTGATATCAGTGCGTCCGGAGCCTTGCTTGGGAATATCCAATGTGACGTAAAACTTCGATTCAATCCCACGTCGGGTGTCACCGCCACGGCCAATAAGTAGTCGGTGCTGCACCTGAGGAACGTCAATGTTGGCGGTGACCTGATCTGCACGCTCCTTGACAAATTCTTCAATGGCAGAGATGATTTTTTCCACAACCTGGCTGTCGCCTTCGAGCCTGATAGCAGCATCGCTGCTCTCCGGGCGAGGGAATTTGACGACTCGAGAGGCACTTCCATCAGTAGGGCCACCAGCATCGGCTACGATCTTACGAATGTTCGCACCTAATACATATTAGCAAATGCAAGAAGTGCACGTTGACATATCAAACAACTCACCTCCACCACCAATCAAAGACTTGTGATACTTCTTATCAACCTCAATCGTCTTGGTGATAATCGAATCGAATTCACTAGAGCGCTGTTGCAAGATCTTCTTTGCTTCCTCAACCTGCGTCTTCGTGCCCTTGATCCTGATCTGAACACGACCCGAGGCATCTGGCGCATCATTCACCCCAGGTACGTCAATTTGCGCTCCCGTATCAGCCCGAAGTTTATCCATCTCTCGACCACGCTGGCCAATCAGGGACGGGATTTGGGACTGAGCCACAGAAACCGACGCCGAGAAAGAATGGTCGACAACCCACTGCAATAGGCTCAGAATCTCATCTCGTGCAGAGTCAGCACCCTTGCTGGGGCCCTTCACAAGCACCTCGTCAGCTCCTTGTTGGGAGCGGCTGGGACGAGAGCCTCCCGCTTCGCTAGATGTCTCCCCAACAGACTGGTCGTCAGCAACAACAGCAGCCCGAGGAAATTGAACGCGAACAGCATATCGATCTTGGAGTCTGTTGACCTGGCTTCCCTTCTGTCCAATCAATTCACGGTGGTACTGGGCAGGGATCTTCAGAATATGAGTGGTCTCGTCTTCCAGCTTCTTCCCCAAGTTGATGATTCTAGACTTGGCGGCATCAGCTTTAGCCTTGGGTCCTTTCACCTCAACCTTCCCATTTTCCACCTTAATGTCAACATCAAATTCCTCGCGGAGCTTGTTGATATTTTCACCCCTCTTCCCAATCAGGAAGTTGGCAAATTTCTGGGGGAAGTCAAACGACGTGGTATAGCCACGCTCGAGATCATCCTTCTCCTGCTCCGCAATAAATGCTTGCAAGGTTGAAACCAAGTCTTCTACAGTGCGAGAAGGGCCGCGCAAGGAAACCTCACATTGAGAAGGTGTACCACCACCACGGGCTCCTCTGGCGTCACTGACAATGGTCCGGACAGGGATCTGATCCTCTCGTTTGGCCTGCTGGTCACGAGCAATGAACTTTCGCACCTTCTCCTGGTACTTGCCTGGCACATTGACAGATTTGGCCACAACATCACTTTGGTCACCCAAGGCATTTAGGAGATAGGATTGGGCCTCTTGGAGAGTCTTCTCAAACATGGCAAGCTCACCCGTGGATGGTCGCTGTCGCGACACTTCAAACTGTGAGGTGGAAGCCGATGGGCCCTCATAGACAAGAATGACATCTGGGCTATCTATTTCTTCCGGGACAAGAAGAAGAACACCATAATCATTCTGCATCTTAGCAATGCTACGAGAACGCAGATACGGGTGGAAGTAGGGATCAATGGAAAGATAGCGAATCCTGGAGGGGGGATGAGCTTGAACAATGTTCATAATATCCGATCGAGCACGGATAGTGTTCTTTCCATCCCTCGAATACACTTCCCACGTTACCGGTCCGTCAGAACTTGGCGGGAGCGCGATACGAGCATCGTACATGTCTTCAAGCTCCTTGATAATTTGTCGATGTCTCAGATACCTGGTAAGGGCACGGGCATGGGCATGAGCTCCACCCGGAGCATTCAGGTGTTGACGAGACAAATCGATGCTTGCCATCTGCATGCTAGTGGCAAGGTCCATCGCCCGATTGATACCACTTTCAATATGCTCCAACGGACCGGTGACAGTGAGGAATTCACTCTCATCAGAAGGAGGAGGTAGAACGATTGCACAACCAGTTTCGGCAAGAAATTCGTGCAACGCATCAGCGTTATCGCCAAGGATGAACTGATGCTGACCGCGATTGATCGCCAACTGTCGAAGTGCCAATCGGCGCTGGAGGTCCGCAGCAAGTCTCTCAACCTCAGCACGAGCCTCCTGCGCAGCAGCGCGCTCCCCAGAGATATGGATATTCTTCTCGGGAATCGGTACGAATTGGACATGGCCAGGTTCAGCTTCCGGGGGCGGAGGCTGACTTTGCCAGGTATCATACCGAGGGACATGGATCTGGGCTTTGGTACGCTCCTCGATGTCTCGGACTGTGGCGTTGTGAGCACCCGCGATGAAGGGGAAAAATTCAGGAGGAATTGATTTCAGTCGTAGGGTCATGTTTGAAGCTCGCTCTTTCACAATAGCCTCGATCTCTCGGCGGGCCATTTCAGCAGCGACAGCATCACCTTCAATAAGGACATCGATAGTGTCACTGTCACCCTCATCCTCTCCTGCACCAAACTCTTCAGCGCGCGGAACTTGTACGCGAGCACCCGTCCGCTGCTGGATGTCCTGAACAACCGTTCCTTGCCGACCAATGATATGAGGCCGTGCAGATGTAGGGATCGGAACACGAACCGATTGCTGGGTCCAATAGTCAGCCCAAAGTAGCTCATTCTGTCGTATCGCGGCACAGAAGACATACCTTGGATCCGACCTGCTGAGCCACTTCTTTGAGGGCTTGTCTCACAGCATCTACAGAGCCCTTGCCCTCAAAAATTATGGAACCCCCCGGTCCACCGCGCATGTCAACATTGGCCTTGGAACGCTTGGAGATGTCGCGCAAAATATCCCTGAGGGGCTTCTTCAGTTGTCCTCGTGGAAGCATCTGGGACGGAACAAGCCGAAGTTGCTCCATGTGCTTCCCAGGAAGACTCATGATCCGAGGGACGTCAGAACCTGGAGCTAGATTGATGTAACTTAGCCACGCGATCGCCTTTAATGGGGAGCAACAATAATGCTGCTTACAGAGAGGAAGGAGCGGCTCTTACCTGATTGCAAGCCGCTGAGGGCACCATTAGCGATGGCGGCAGCTGAAGGCCCTTTAGCACCCCAGGCAGAAGTAGCCGGAGCCTTGGGCTTTGGGCCGCTTCCTAGAGCAGGGAACAATTCCTCGGACTGAACATCGAATGAAGGTGCCTTCTTAGGGGCAGTTTTGGGGGCCGAGGGAGCGGCAGCCAGTGCTGCCGTCTGCAATGAAGTGTCGGGCTTCTCGCTTTGCACAAGCGATGATGGTGGGGAGTGATTGACGTCCTCTTCACCCACGGCATTTTCTACAGTCAACTTATGCTCCTCTTCACGGGCATGCTGCTCCTCCAGCATGGCCGCTCGGGACTTAGGTGTCTCGCCGTTAACAGTCGCAGTGGACATTTTGGTAGCTATTATCCGTGAAGTGTAGTATGTTCCGGTTGACCGCAGGGCAATAACAAATGTGGGGTTAGGAAATTAACGAGACGTGAAGGCTGGATGCTGGACGCAGAGCACTGCTTTTACCAATTGGTTAACGAGGGGCTATCGAGGGGAGCGTGATGTAAGACATACCCAAAGAGAAAAGGCTCTAGGCTGATCAAAGGTACTTACTGCTCAACGAGAGGCAGAACGATATGGTCAGTAGACAGAAAGAATTGTCTCCAGAGGGAGAGATTGCCGATTCTTATGTAAAGAAAAGAAAATAAAAAATAATAATAAGGAAGCCAGAGACAGTGGATAGAAAAGGGTAAAAGAAGACAGAGGTAGGCGAACCGCAATTGCTATCTGGTGAGGCTAGAAGCAAAAACGACACGGCATCCCAAGGCTAAACAGAGAAAGTGGGAGAAAGACAACGGGAAGAAGAGTGTGGGAAAGCGGAGGAGAAGAGGTAGGATAAGCGGGAGAGGGGGAGAAGAAGGGGAGGTGGATGGCACACTGAGGACGTCAGGGAAGCCTGGGTCAGTGATTGATGAAATAGGATGGGATGGAACGAGAGGAGAGAAGAGGACAGACAGACGGAGCGAGTGAGAGTGGTCGGAGTGGAAACCCGGGGGAAGTAAGTCGTTATTCCCTTTCGGGACATTCATTCGATGGCGGAACCGAAACACTCGAGCATTGGCAACATCTGGATTTCTGTACGCAACTCCGAGGAGTGCTTGAACACCGTTATTACTATCGGGAATACATTTGGAAACTCCTCTTATATGGTACCCTGAAAATTTGTCGTCATCTCGTGTCCAATCCTGATTGCAGGGCAGTTCTTAGTCGGATAATGATTCGAAGAATGTGTTTTTATTTTTGAGGATATATGCAAGTCCATCATATACAGAGAGACCAATTGCTCCGATAGTAGCCATTGCACATGCACTGCTTACTGGATTTACGCCACATTCAACATATCGTTGCGACAGTAGTTGTAGTCCAATTTAGATGTCACTCTGCCGGGCTAAAGTACCAGTGTGCATATTTTGTTGGGACGCAGCAATGCCAAGAACAGTCAGGAAGTGGAATGCCATCTCCCCCAAATGGAATTAAATTTTTAAATCAAAATTATAGCCTAAAAAAAAAAAAGTAAACGGCATTGGAAGCCTGCTCTATTTTAGTGGTATCTGTAAAACATCTATAACCAGACGAAAGACCTCTAATTGTTAAATTCCTCAGACACTATATCCCTACTGTTGGGATGAATGTACATACCTAGCTAGCTGCTCGCGGCTACAAAGCATACCTAAATTTGTTTCTATGAGCACTTTTGATAATTTAATTTCTTAAGCATATTAAGTTTACTTAAATACCACTGTTATAGGTAAATAAAATAAATTCCTGTTGAGGGGGGGGTCTATAGAAATACTAAATGTAGCAACGCAGAGGAGATGTCGAAACTCACTTCAGCAGAATAGGCCAGTAGTTAAAGACAACCTTTTGACTAGGATAGTTGGGTTAGATAGCAGGGTTGAGATCCACCTTATTACATCCTCATAATCAAGATTTATTATAATTGGTTTTAATTTCATAGATCAAGAGACAACATGATGCGTGCAACCTAGAGATGTAGCTATATCTATCAAAGTTGTTTACTACAACTCCAGAGATGATTATTGGCTAAAGCTGGGCATTATTCCGAATATAGTAGCAATTAGGCACACCCTGGAGGGTTAGGTAGACAAATTCGCATTCGTATTGTCTGTAACTAGTAGGCATAGAGGTTTACTAAACTTTTGCCTGAAGCAGCTCGTCTATTTGGTAGGTTGTTTCCAGTGAATGCTACTGGCCATAGTTCAGCAAAATAATTGTGCATATGTACTGAGTGAGTTTTACCATAATACAGTATCTTTTCCTCGTGTCTCCCTCCTTACTACTATTTTTTGAAAATGTTTTTCTGTGTCTGTTTCTCGAGGCAATATCCTGACCAGTGACACTACTCGTACGGCAGATGCTAAGCCTGGCCCGATGTGGACCAAAAGCTTAAACCAAGATATGCAATGTACAGCGGGTAAAATAAAAGAGGGCATATTTCCAAACAGAATTCAATTTAAAGGGTTGGAAACTTTACGAATTGCATTAACAGTACATAACACCTTTACGCTGGAACCTTAATTGTTGTCTAGCTGATGCAATCTGTATTAAGCCAGTCTATCATTCATTTTGTCACCGCCACTGCGCCTCATATCTCAGTTACTATTTAGGCGGTAGAAACTACTCCAAATCACGGAGTAGAATCAATAGGATAGACTCTAATAAGAGTTTAGCCCCACAAAAACTAGTCTAAGGAACTAGTGGGATACAACATGTGAGATCAAGAGATCCCACTAGGCCAGGTCAGTCCTATACCCCATTTCCTGGCTCCATTCTGACACGGTATAAATACAGGCCCAGCCACTTGTTAAGAGTGTGAAAGCTGTTCCTTACCATTAGGCCGCTCTTACTTATCATGTTTCCCTTCTCATAAACGTTGTCAGTACTATGGAAATTCACACCCGCGAGGCCGGGGGAAAGCCCTGGACAGACCTACCTAACTACGATGCCTGCCGAAGGATATCCTTCCGAGAAAACACAAGGCTTCTTTTAACGCATCCGATATAATGAAGGACTCTCTGATAGGAAACTAGGAGTCGAGTCTAATAGTCTTGATAGAGTTCGTTCTGATGATCGCCGTCCCCTGAACTCCCTAGCTATGGCATTCATGTGGGCCTTTGGCACAATGAACATCAGTTGTGTTAGTGCCGGCTTCCTGAGGAATCGATTAGAGTTGTCACTGGGACAGACCAGTCCCATCACAATATGCTCGACGTTATTGGGCGCTGCTGTCACGGTTCGAATACCACCTTATGTCCACTTCCTCAACATAGTGCGCTTGAGTGCCTCTGGGTTCCACACAGGATACAAATCCAAAATCGGCCGCCGTATACGATGGCGGAATTCGGGAGATTCTCAAGATCATTCATTTATACCCTCAAGGGATCGCTAGGTTCTTGTTGGCGCTCTTGGGCTTTTCCGGAACTTCGGGGGGGCAATATGAGATATTCCCACTATGTGATCCTGACTACTTGTAACCACTGTTACTTCATTTAGTTAGTGTCAATTGTATTTCCATACTCCGTATACTCCAGTGTCCTTTCAGCTCAGCTCCTTGCTAAACCATTTTCAATGTATCTTGCGCGTTCTGGTCACACCTGTCTTCATCTACATCTTTCTCTTATGTATACCGTTGGCCGAGACTACCTGGATGTGCTGGATAACTTCCTTCTATCGTTGGGCTATTGGCTTGAACACCATGTTTTCCGTGGGGGAAAATAGATAACTACGACCAGGATGAATGGAGCACGCCAGGCCGCACACCTGTTGGGTATACAGTCACTGCTTTTCTATGTGGCGCAGCAGTGGACTGTTGGCGCATTGACAAGGTTGATCTGAAAGACGAAGGAGACGTCACCAATGAACTGGCATTTGTTTTAACTGGTATTTCGAATGTTCCTTTATGGAAGCTGGAGCTGACATATATCGCCCGGTAGATTCGTGTCTATTGACCTATGAGTCATTATAAATCCAACAGCGGCTAGCATAAAGTCCAGCCTTCAGGATGTAAGTAATATGGTCATGCACATAAAATTGGTACAAACAGGCATATCCTATTCTGGTGGTAAATCCTACGTCAATGTACAAGACAATGGGCTGCAGACTTGATAACTTATACTTTTAACACTCACAGGTTAAAATTTCAAGGATCTTCAAGGGCAGCTGTGGTCGCATGCAGCATTGGATCTAAGTCTAGATTGCGACGATCAAGGCTGTAGATATGTGTCCCATTTCAAATACGTGTTGCCCACAGATTTTGATTTGGCGGACTTTGTGACAACATAATCAAATCATACAAATCCAGGCAACTACCAGGATGCTCTTTTCAATCACAATGCAAAATTCGAAGGTGATATAGAGTCGAGACACATGCATAGTGACTTAAGTTTGACTTTACATCAAGCACATATCTAGTGATCTTCTCTAGCCGGGAGAACTACAGGTCTCTTAAAAAACCTGATTCCTCCATCCACCTGCGTGACAGCTGACTACTCAGCAGGTAGTCGGTTAGATGGAAGTTAACTAACTTAATTCATTCTAGTTTGTGGACAGAGCTAGATAATCACCCGGCAACCTCCATTCCGATACTAGGCTATTCGACGTGGTGCAAGTTGGTTTACAAGCCCTATCCCTGCTAATGTAATTTGTGGGAAGGCAAATACCCCAAGAGAGCAGCCGGGGATATGTCCACTGTCATCAAATTCGTGTCAAGGTCCTGACGAAGGATGCTTAGCGCATGGAGTACAGCTGGTCCCGCAGTCCCCCGAACACATTAAAGCTTCCCTTCCGGCTTATCTGGATGAGGTGCTGCCACCTTATTCCTTATTACAAGTCACATATGATATTCCACAGGTCTAATAGACCAGGATTGCATGAGCCGTTCAGATGATTGCACGCTAAGGGATTTTTTTTGGGGGGGGGGGGGGGTGAGAGGCACATGTGTGACTTGGACGGGCTGCATCATATACTGCAAGAGCCAGGGAGATCGTATTTCTACACATCCGGTTGATTGAGAACGATACGTACCTGCAGAATAATGATAGAGGTCAGACGTCGGGATTTTTATTTTTTAAAAACCATCATTTCCTCTTCCTCATTCGTTGATTCGGTAGTCATTTCGATGTGAGATGCTTTTTAGTTCCCAAGGATTTGCCTCGATTTTCGTGATTCCTTGTCTGATTACATGATACTCTGAAAAGCGGTAACTATTATGGGTAATTACTCGGTAGTCAAGCGTAAAATAAAGTACTTATGTCAGAAAGGTAGATTGCCATCCCCTTATGCTTCTTTTCCCTGAGACAAGCTCCATTGCTTAGTGAAACACCGGAAATGACGGCACTCTGTGACTGTTAGATCACCAAGCTAAAAGATGGCCGGCATTGTGCTTCAGGGGAGTCTGTTTAGTTATTATTTTGAGGTCGACAAGGGCCAGTCAATTGGGGGATTCATACCGTCGTCCGGTACGCCCCGCCTTTTCTCGTATGTGGAGCGACACCACAGGACTCTCACTCAGGTCATGTAACTAATTTCCAACGATGCATATCCTGTGTAGTCGACAGGATAAGGTAGCCAGAAGGTCGGGATTAGCAATGTCTTAAGATACAACTTAGAGCCGCCGCCTCATTTCGCGGCAGGCAAAGCCTAATTTATTCGAATCGAGGCATCGAGGGTGATGGGAAGTCCCATCCGATTGCACCCTAACGGCGTACAGTAGTTCGGTCGCTGTCCCATAAGACTGGGGTTAAGATGTGTCTAGAATTTTTCTCCTGCCGTTTACTCCGTAGAGCGGCCACATCTGAGACAGATGATGCAAACCCTTCTGGAGTAGCGGAAATCCTAATCATACCTATTTATTATGATTAATACGGAGTATATACCCGTAACATACGGGGTACGGTACAAACACAGGAATTAAAAATAAAAGTACCACGGGTGAACATTTTCCCAAATGTTTGAATCCTCATATGGTGTCATCCTCGAATAAATCAAAGCCTAAAGGGAAGCGTGTAACGAAATCAATAAAAGATTGCTCGTACGAGTCAGGCTTTCAGGCTTTGTCCATATCATTAAGGTATTGACCGCCCTATTGTCAATAGTGGCGAAGATATAACCAAGTACCTTGGACGTCACAACAACTTGGGCCCAAGTGGCTGGCCGCCTCCCCTCGAAAAGAAATTGCGGCCTCCCATCACTTGCCTACGCTACACTTGGCGGGCCGTTTGGCACTCGCTTGGTTTCCGTCGCTGGTCCGGCCGCCAATCTAAATCGTTCCCTCCGTCTTGTGTCCCATCTCTTATCCTCCTCTGCTACGCTTGTTGTGCGCTTCTGTATTTTTTTTTTTATTTTTTCCTAAAAAAAAAAGTCCATTTAATGATTCCACTGGATATCAACTGGAGTAATCATAATAACTCCAACCTCTGTTTATTTCTCTACTCCTGAATTATTTCCCCCTGTCTAGTATTGCAGATCTGTGTGCTGAGCTGTCGGTTATCTGCAGTTTCCAGCAAGTGCTGCCCTTCCACCCTTCTCCCCTCTCCCCGTTACCGCCCATGTTGGACGTCCTCCGGCTCTCCACGTGCTAACCACTGATTCTTGTGGTTTTACGGTAGTCCGCGGCAGCTTCCAATTCCTTTTTTTTTTTTTTTCGCGCTCTCCCTTGCGTCGTCCTAACTGGATCTTCTTGCATCCCCATTATTCCATTTCCTCCAACAGCAGTAATTCTTTCGGGCCTATCCATCCATTATTCGTTTTTGTCATCCATTCACCCATCCATACATACGCTATACAGTTCCACCCCGGACGTCCAGTCCCACCACCCATCGTTGGCAGACAGAAGGGACAGCAAGAAAGCACCGCCTCACCTGGTGGCTTCCCCCCCCCCCTCTCCAATCAAGCCATTGTGCCTAGTCAACTTGACCCTGTCACCTTGCTACGACCTTACCCAGTCGCTTGACCTGTTAACCCCCTAAAAACCGCACGTCATGAATCACGATAGTTTCTCCTCCTTTAAATTTCGACGGATGTCAAGCAAGCTTCACAAAGACCCCCCTAGCTTTAGTTCTCGAACCCTCAAAAGTCAGCAAAGTAACACCTCTCTCAAACGACATCCTTCAGCCCCCGTGTATCCTCGTTCCTCTGCCGCTGGAAGTCGAGAGCATTCCCGAACGAGATCAAACGCCTACGGCTCCTCATCGTCGTCTCTCGAGCAACATAGCGGGGGTCCATCTCCGGGGCAAGACTCGGGCTACTCCCAGGGCAACTATTATTCCGCCAAACCCCGTCCACCCAACGCTGGACGATTCTCCCTCAACGAACAAAGCTCAGATGAATTGATCGGCGCCCCGTTTGATACTCGTGGTATGCTCAGCGCCCTGGACGAGAACAGCGCCGAACCTACCGGAAAGATTCCCGAGAAACCTCCCGTTCTACGATCTCAGACAGCTCCAGATTCACGAGGACTCAGACAGTCGGCTAGTTTTACCACACTACAAAACCGTATGGACAATCCTTTGAATAAGACGGAAAATGAGCGACCCGCGAATACCAAACGGTATTCCGACGAGGCGAATGGCCACAAATCATTTGGGACTGGAAGAAGCAAGAAAAGTAGCTTTTCTAGCTTCGTTAATAGCATGCTAGGCTCCCCTCGCGGTATCAAGATCTCCGCCCCCGAAAACCCCGTCCACGTTACTCATGTCGGCTATGACAACCAGACTGGCCAGTTCACAGGCCTACCCAAGGAATGGCAGCGACTGCTGCAAGAAAGCGGTATATCAAAGAAGGAACAGGAAGAACACCCACAAACCATGGTTGATATTATGCGATTTTACGAGAAGAATGCTCGTGGGGATGACGAAGTATGGCACAAATTTGACCATGCGTATCCGCAGCCCCAGTCTGTTACAAGTCCAGCATCTCAACCTAGCTTAGTTGGCTCGACACCTCAAGGTTCTTCTGCGCAGCGAACATCTTCGCCTACTAGTCCTCGATTCCCGCAAAACCATGAAGGAAGCTTCGAAAATCCTCGAGCACCACCACCCATTCCTCGTGCTGCCCCAGCAGCTGTCCAGGCTGTATCCCCATCAATGGGTACTATTATACCTAATAGGGCACCGCCAAAGCCTCCCACGCCCGCCAATATGACACCTGCCCGGCCGGCACCTCAGCCACCCAGCTCGAGCCCATACGGCAGTGTGCCAACGCGACCGGCTCAGGATACCTTTACAAATCAGTTCGGAACACCCCCCATCCCGGAAACCAAACCATTACCATCCGAGTCTCAACGGAGTCGATCAAACTCCAAGACCAACGGTACACAACCTGCATGGGTACCCCCCGCTGTTGTATCTACGCCGGCGCAGTACCAACAGCAGCAGGAGCATGCAATGGCTGCAGCTCAACAAGCAATTGCAAGCAAGCAGCTCGACCGCAGTCGCAGCCTGCGCCAGCAACAAAGCCCCCGACCGGAACAGAAGCAGCAGACACAACCGGCGCCTCCGCAACATGCCTCACCTGTGGAAGATCCTGCATCACAGGGCGCGCGCGCCCCTCCTGCGGCTCGCCCACGGCAACGGCCTCGTCAGAGCAATGCAATTGACATCAGGGCACGCTTGGTCGCGATCTGTACCCCCGGAGACCCAAGTAAGATGTACCATACCCTGACCAAGATTGGTCAGGGTGCATCCGGTGGTGTTTTTACCGCCTATGAGAATGGTACAAACAGCTGCGTTGCTATAAAGCAAATGAATCTGGACTTGCAGCCGAAGAAGGATCTTATAATTAACGAGATCCTTGTGATGAAAGATAGCAAGCATAAAAACATAGTCAACTTCCTGGACAGCTATCTCCTTGGCCTGGACCTATGGGTGGTGATGGAATACATGGAAGGTGGCAGTCTGACCGATGTTGTCACTTTTAACATTATGAGTGAAGCGCAGATTGCTTCTGTCTGCAGAGAAGTACGTTTTGTCGTTATATGCGAATAAGCAACCATGCAAAATACTAACATTTGCCTAAAGACCCTAAATGGCTTGCAACACCTCCATTCGAAAGGTGTGATCCACCGTGACATCAAGTCGGACAACATTCTTCTCTCCATGGAGGGAAATATTAAATTAAGTGAGTCGCTTGTATCTTGTCTTCCCGCACATTGAATCTAACAACGTGCAGCCGACTTTGGCTTCTGCGCTCAAATCAATGATTCACATACTAAGCGGAACACCATGGTTGGTACGCCATATTGGATGGCTCCAGAAGTCGTTACGAGGAAAGAATATGGACGGAAAGTCGATATTTGGAGCTTGGGTATCATGGCTATCGAGATGATCGAGGGCGAGCCTCCTTACCTCACCGAGTCACCCTTGCGGGCGCTCTACTTGATTGCCACAAATGGTACTCCCAAAATCAAAGACGAACATACTCTGTCGCCTATTTTCCGCGATTTCCTGGCTCTTTCGCTGAAAGTCGACCCTGAAAAGAGAGCATCTGCGCATGATTTGCTGAAGGTATGTCCACGCTTTTCAGTTTTCTAGATTGTCTGCTGACTTCGGATGCGCAGCACCCATTCATGTCCTTCTGCGCGCCACTCAATCATTTGTCACCCCTTGTAAAAGCCGCGCGCACTAGCAGGGCGCAAGAAAAAGCTCAAAAGGGAGGGCCGTAGATGCCGTTCGCATTTAGCTGTCTCTATATACGTTGATGTCCTCTGTCTCTTCTTCCAGATACCCATTCCCTCTCATGTTTCATATTTTGCTGGACCACGATATGCTGGCATTGCATAATTGAAAAAAAAAATATTCTTCGTGCTTTTCTTGTCTGGGTCTGTTTCCTTCTATCTAAATGTTATAGATGGCGATGATTTGATGATATGTCCCCTGTCCTTGATTCTCTGTTACTCCTGGCTCCACACCCTCATTTGATGGTCGGTATATTTACCTATCTTGAGGATCATGTTTGCGCTTCCCGTCGCTCCTTTGACATGTTTACCTTTTCACCATTGGTATTTAAGAGGTTGATATGTGATTATAAATCCTGTCTGGACTTGCATATGTTTGTTGTTGCTGTTACATGGCTTTCAATGACCTTGAAGTCATACTGACGCTTGCGGAGTTTGATACTCAATATACTGAATGGGCGAGAACAGCCGTATCGGAGACAATTTTTGGTTCCCGAGGCACGAAGCCTCTTCGAGTTGCCTTATGGGTGGCTTTATTTGCGTCCGTTCAATTAATGATTGATGAGACATTTCTTGATTGTTTCAATGGCAAAAACAAAATGATACCGGTGCTGGTTTGATGCTGGTTTTATCGTATCTTACAGCTGCAAAATTCTTCTTATCGCTTTAGAGAATTGCTTGTGTTTACAAGACCCTGTGAGATATTTTGTCCCCATGTCACTTATATAGTGGTGTCACAGAGACTTATGAACAACATTGGTACATATACACCTTTCATCGGAGAGTTCTATTGTTAGAAATGTAGTCCTTGGTAGAGTCCTGGCATAGCTTCGTAGAGGACTTGATAGAAGGAGAAATATATGCTTGTTGCATACCAAGATCATCATGGGATTCCTCGAACTAAAAAAGAAGCAAGTTGCATATTTTCTAGAATGCAAATACCTCGTCATAGTTAGTCAACGGGCTTGCTTACTCAGGCGTCGTCGCGGCCAAATCAGGCGTCAGAGGCGCCACTCCTCAGCTTGGCTGCACAACCCATTGTGGCTTTGCGTCAGGTTGCAGCCTTACCCTGAACGCCCAAGCTTTCTCATCCGCTACAATCGTCTGCTACTCTGGACGATTTGTACATTTCCCTACTCTATAAAGACCCTTTATTTTCTCACTCAATCGGATACGCAATACTGACCGGGCCTGACATCTGCCGACCGTTGACCGCTCCCCCGCACTCCCCTGCTTATCTTCCTTGACCAGAGAATCATAGCAAGCACATCTAAAGCTAGCATTTGACGGAGCCGACAGCTTCAGACCACTACGCACAACTTCTCATATTGCAAATTTATCTCATACCGAGAGAATTAGTGAAATAAGGAGTTAGTACAACTGTTTCCCGACGCTTCAGGATCAACAGAAATCGGTCTCTCCTTGGGGGTCAGACCAGAGGCGAAACACTCGCGATGTTCCGCGCACAGCAGAACGCTTTTGACGATGCAGTCGGTACGATATCGCTCATGTTCCATTTTACTACACTGGAATAGATTCGTAATATTTGTGCCTTTCAGTTTGACATATGGAAATGCTGACAAGTGTTGTCTTTTGTGACTTAGCCAAGGCGACCGACGAGAATCTCACCTCCGAAAACTGGGAATATATACTTGTATGGAACCCTTCTCCAGGATATTTGGCATGTTGATCGATCGGGGGAAAACTGTTCTGACTCTGATTTTCTGGAATTGATAGGATGTCTGTGACAAGGTTGCTGCAGAGGAATCTGGGTAGGATTTCCTCCTTGGTCTTAGATCTGCACAGACTTGTCGGGATATGTTGCTGATATAGGGCTGGTATTTTAGCGCAAAAGATGCGGTCGCCGCCTTGATTAAGAGACTTGCGCATAGGAACGCCAACGTGCAGCTCTACACACTGGAGGTCCGTTGTTCTTTTCTTGTGGAGGGATTTGACAATGACTCAAATGCTGACATATCCGTGTAGCTTGGAAATGCGCTGGCGCAGAACTGTGGCCCGAAGATCCACCGTGAATTAGCATCAAGGAGTTTTACTGATGCATTGTTGCGTCTTGCAAGTGACCGAGTGAGCGCGAGCTTTGGTATCATTCGGGATAAAGCTGACGGAACTCTTAGAATACCCACCAACAAGTTAAATCGAAGATTTTAGAACGAATGCAGGAATGGACGGAAATGTTCTCTAGCAACCCAGATTTCGGGATCATGGAGCAGGCATATATGAAACTGAAGACACAGAGTAAGATGTGTTCAATTTTGCGCTGCGCTTATGGGATATTCTAACCTATCTCTCTTTCTTGCTCTAGATCCAAACCTGCAAGCCTCCATCGAAGCCGGTGAAAACGGAGATTACCGACGTAGATCGCCAGAAAGAGGAGGAGGAATTACAGATGGCTCTCGCACTGTCCATAAGGGAGAAACCCAGTGCCAGCACCACCACCGCCACTGCGGCTCCAGAGCAGCAGGCTGAATCTAGCACCAGTTCCGGTCCTCTTAATCAGGTCCAAGGAGCGACTTCACAAGCTGTTCCGTCAGGTACTTCCGCTGCTACGGTCTCCCGCGTCAGAGCGCTTTTCGACTTTCAACCGTCAGAACCGGGTGAACTGCAATTTCGAAAGGGGGGATGTTATTGCTGTCCTCGAGTCAGTATATAAGGATTGGTGGAAGGGTTCGCTGAGGGGCCAAACTGGAATCTTCCCTCTCAACTATGTCGAAAAGCTTCCTGACCCTACCGTCGAAGAACTACAACGAGAGGCTCAGATGGAAACTGAGGTGTTCGGCCAGATCAAAAATGTCGAGAAACTTTTAACCCTGCTTAGTACTCGTGGCTCCGAACCAAATGTGCAAGATAATGAGGAAATTACAAACTTGTACCACTCGACTCTTGCAATCCGCCCCAAACTAATTGAACTAATTGGCAAATATTCACAGAAGAAGGGTATGCTCTCTCGAATCTCCACAAGGTATTGCGTTTGCTCACGAATGCATAGATGAGTTTACGCAGCTTAATGAGAAATTCATCAAAGCTAGACGAGACTACGAGGCCCTACTAGAGGCGTCTATGTCACACCCTCCGCAGGCGCAATTTGGCAGACCAGGCCAATCCCAGTACGGATATCCTGGGCCTGCATTATCCATAGGTTACTCTCAAGGCTCATCACAGGCTGATGCCCAACGGTACTTCAGCCCGCGCCCTCAAGGTTCGTTTCGCCATTGAAAAGTATCCTTAGCCATTGCTGATACCAGGAGAAGAGAACCAACCTGTTCAGCCTAACACAGCTCCGTATTATGGCGGAGATCAGGCGCCTGTATACCCACCGGCCTCTCAGTCTCCAGATATGCGCAACCGCACACCCCCTGCGGGACCGGTATACCCACAGCAGCCGCAACAGCCGCAACAGCCTGCTGCGGACTCCTATCAGCCAGTGCATCACCGGCCAGAGTCTACGTATGAGCACCCTCAGGAACTAGGAACATCTGTTTATGACTCTCCCGTTGAGCATCCAGCAAATCAACGACTGCCATACCCCGTGGGTCAAATTCCAGGCGCTGTTCAACATTTCCAACAACAGCAGCAAGAATACTCGAATCTCGTATATCCCCCTGAAGATGCAGCCAATAAGCCACCCGGGCAACAGGCCCCATATCCTTCCACTCCAGCGTCCCATCAGCCACCACCTATGCCTTCGGCTGCTATTCCAGGCTCAGCAACCAACTATCCTGTAAACCCCGCCAGTGGAGGCTACCAGGCATACAACCCGACGCAAAGTGGTGTGCCTAACTCCAACCCCGCTTCGTATTATCGGTAAATCTGCTGTGCTCAGTGAGGTTGGACGGGACTTATCTCGCGTTTAAGCCCTTGTATCGCGCTCTATCTGAGGATTAGATGACCCTTCGCTGTATGCCCTGGTAGGCGGGTGCTGCTTAATGTTTGTCCTTGTTATTTTAGCCCGCTCTGTTAACTTAGGTAGCTATTCTGCCCGAATCCTTTCTGCCTTGTGTGCTTAGCTGGGAGGGATCGAATTGAATTTTCTAGTTATGTACAAAAAAGGGACTATCCTTGGGCTACATGACTCTCCCGTTGTCAAGTTTTCTTCAGATTTAAATTGATGAATAATATGTTGCCAGATATATTATCGCAGATGCTGCTGCGTAAGGGTCTTATATTAATTTACTTTTGTCTACTTTTCTAGGGCTTGTTGTCCAACCGCCCCCTCGCATACGGCTGTGAAATTGATACGATTGGAGTCAGCTTTAGTGTAACCTGTTACAGTCCAACCCTAACAGGTAGGTATGTATACTGTCCCTCCTTTCGACATCGTAGGATCTGCTCAACTGTGTTCTAACATGATTCAATCAAGCTTGGGAATGTCCTAATTTGTTCGGCAGCTGTACACCTCCACTGCCCTGCCAAGCTGTTTCTACAGTTCCTTTCTTGGAGCCGGGTTCCTTGAGCCATACGGAATACAGGTACGTGATAGATCTGTTTACGGTTGCTGAAATGGCCTTAAATTGAGGAAAGTGGGGCATATAGGCGTACGTTGACTGTCCAAGTCTCGATGTAGCAGTGTGTAGTTGAAGCTATTCAATATATGTCGGTCTGCCGTACACACGAATCCATAGAACTGGGGATGCTATGCTCAATTATATGACAAGAAGGTAGTAAATAACGGTTCTTATAGCCGATCCGTCTAAAATCAATAAATACCAAGTGCGACGATATTTTATCTGTAAATTTTTTTCTCCATGCAACCATAAAGCCTTGCTTATTGTAGTAGCCTAAGGCACACACAGCTCCAGACCCCCGCAACTCTCTCACGTGATGACATGTTCGGTAACTCAGTTACTGCCGCCTTTGATAGGAGATGTCACAACCAGGGGCTCTGGTGACGAATAGTGAGGTGAATCTGTGCCAATAATATTGGGTGCAAGCGACTCGCTTGCATCCATATTTGTTCTCTTTGTGTCACAGCCTTGAGCAACCGCGACCTCTAACACCTCCCCGCAGTCGCGTCTACGCCGAACGATGTCCGATTTCGCCCATCTGGGTGGGCTGAACCGATTCAGTATTTAGAAGCGTCCCCCATACCAGAGCCGAATTACATTGAGATAAAAAAAAAAATAAAAAAGATATACACTGGGTTTCTGCCCAGGTGCGATGCCGATACCATGGAAGCCGATTGGGATGAATTGTCGCGCATTCCAGTGCCTGCACCAAGTTCACATTCGTTGCCAACAATTGCAACGACTGTAGCATTCGATGATGTGATGGAGCTTCTGTGGACAGGGAATGAATATGTACGTATCCATGATTATTAGGACCCTGCTTTTTTCTAATCTTTGGCTTTGTATCCTTATAGGGTCGAATTACTTCCTTTTATGGCCCTGAATTGCAGAGGTATACCTCCGTTAGGGCGCATCCAGTTTCCGAGGGTCTTGTTCGACAGATTTTGTTTCATGAAAGAGGTGTGATATCGTTGTCTTCGAAAAGCGTACACATGATAACGCGGCGTGGCTTGACGCAATGGCACATTGATCATGAGGAAATGACAGATCTCCGTTGCATGAGCTTCACGGCACAGACGAATAGAATCATAGTCGCAGGGTGTCAGGGGGTGATGTTCACTATCGATATTGATAAGGGTATCATAATCGACAAGTTACAGACCGAGTTTCAGTATACGATGATGAAGAAGAGCCGGTACCTCTGTGCTGCGACCGACACGGGATCGGTCAATGCGTTAAGCCTGACAGACTTCCAGGTTGTCAAGTCTTGGAAGGCGCATGGGACAGCAGTCAATGATATGGATGCTCGAAACGACCTTTTGGTTACATGCGGCTTTTCTGTGAGACATCTAGGGTCTCCAATTGTCGACCCTTTGGCCAACGTCTATGATCTCAAAACCTTATCGCCACTACCCCCCATACCATTCCACGCGGGAGCGGCGTATGTGCGCATGCATCCGAAGCTCCACACAACCAGCTTTGTTGCCTCTCAAACGGGTCAGCTTCAGGTGGTGGATCTAATGAATCCTAATGCAATTAATCTTCGTCAAGCCAATGTCTCCTTCATGCTTGGCATCGATATATCTCCCTCGGGAGAAGCTCTAGCCATAAACGATGCGGAATGCTCCATTCATCTGTGGGGCTCCCCTGCAAAGGTACATTTTAATGAGATGAGCAAGGAGACTGAATTCGCCGACGTTGCTCCACGACCTCCTCCACTCGAATGGTCTTCAGAGACGCCATTGAGTATGATTGGGATGCCTTACTACCATGAACGCTTGTTATCAGCATGGCCGAGCCACCTTCTCTTTGAAATCGGCAGTCCACCAGCGCCTATTGATCAAGCTGTGATTCCCTATCTCCGTCCTGCAGAGATCGGACATTATGCGCCGAACCCGAAGAAAACCAGACGATATCAAGTGGAGAATACTCGGGCACTATCTACAGCGGAGCCAGCACTTATTGCTCCTAAGTTTTTGAGCGAAAAGGCACGAGAACAGCAGAGTAGAGCGAAATCGGAAGGCTCCATCAGTGATACGGCCGAGGCGCTGGCAGGTGTAAAACTGAATGGAGAAACCGAAGATGATCCTCTTCTCAAATATAGCAACGTTGAGATCAAGTATAGCCGATTTGGCGTGGATGATTTTGATTTCCGGTGAGAATATGCAAAACCCTATCCCCAAGCCTCGAGTTCAGTAGTTGATGTCGGAATTAGGTTCTATAATCAAACCGATTTCTCCGGCCTAGAGACCCATATTGCAAACTCATTTACCAACGCCCTTCTCCAACTACTTAAATTCATCCCACTAGTTCGAAATCTGGCTTTAAGCCACGCCGCAAGCAGCTGTATCTACGAAAACTGTCTTCTATGCGAGATGGGCTATCTGTTCGATATGTTGGAAAAAGCAAATGGCCAGAACTGCCAGGCGACCAATCTATTGAAAACATTTAGCAGCTTCCGTGAAGCCTCCAACCTGGGTCTGTTTGAAGAGAACTTGACCAACAAATCGCTTTCTTCCGCAATTCAGGCGGTCAACAGGTTCTTCCTTAGTCAGATTGCCCATGATTTCCGCATGATTCTTCCGAGCTCCGATGACTTTGACCAGAGACTTGCGACTATCGCGTCAGAGGCGATCCGATGCATGTTCTGTCAAAATGAGATCGTGAGGCCCGGTAACTCGCTTGCCAATGAGCTGATTTATCCAGCAATTGATATTAAGCAAGCTCGTAGGAACCCAGCGTTCCGATTTTCGAATATTTTACGAGCAAGTATTGAACGTGAGACTCAAAATAGAGGATGGTGCAACTACTGCCGGCGGTACCAGCAAGTAGCTATCAGGAAGTCCGTCCACCGCATGCCGTTGGCTTTGATTCTCAACGCGTCACTCAGCAATCCTTTATACCGACGGCTTTGGGCGATCCCCGGTTGGTTGCCGGAAGAGATTGGAATTGTTGTTGATGGAGGACAAGTCCTTTGCTTCGAAGGAGAGGACCTTCAGCTCCGAAAGCAGGGTAATATGCCTGGACTCCTGGTATACGAATTGGTTGGTCTGGTGTCAGAGATCGATATTCCTGAGCATCAGAAGCCCCATCTGGTTTCGTTTATCAACGTCTCCATTTCTTCTCGAGAGCCGGATCCCGGCAGCAGATGGCATCTATTCAATGACTTTTTAGTTACAGAGGTGGACAAAGACGAAGCTCTTCGATTCAGCCAGCCATGGAAGCAGCCGTGCGTGCTAGCGTATCAGGTGCGAGACGCTCGTCACGCTATCGATGACGCTTGGAAGAACTTCCTGGACACCAGTCTCCTCTTCCGCGACTGGTCTCTAAAGTAAGTGGCCATTTATGCGGCATGATCGAACTGCGGGTACTGACTTTCATTCTTAACAGTGCTGGCCGCCCAGTGGAATCACTTGTTACGCTGGCCGAAGGGGAGAAACCAAATCCCGGTACTCCTGTTGCTCTTGACACGGAATTCGTTGATCTCGAAAAGGCCGAGATCGATGTGAAAGCGGATGGTTCTCAGGAAATCGTGAGGCCTAGCAAGAGTGGACTGGCTCGAGTCTCTGTTCTCCGAGGCTCAGGCGCTCGGGAAGGGGTCCCTTTCATTGATGACTACATTACCATCAAAGAGCCGATTGTTGACTATGTCACCCAATATTCGGGTATTAAGCCCGGTGATTTGGACCCACGAATCAGTCAGCACACTCTCGTCCCTCTTAAGGTCGCATATAAGAAATTGTGGCTGCTTCTCAACCTGGGCTGTGTCTTCGTTGGACATGGTCTGGCTTCAGACTTCCGCCAAATTAACATCCAGGTCCCTAAGAACCAGACAGTGGATAGTCAATATCTGTTTTTCCATCCTGGCAAGAATCGCCGACTCAGTCTTCGCTATCTCGCCTGGGCTGTGTTCAAGGAATATATCCAGGAAGAGCCCGCAGATAATAACGACGGCCACGATTCCATTGAGGATGCACGCATGGCCCTCAGACTGTGGAAGAAGTTCCAGGAATATGAAGATGCTGGCATTGTATCTCAAATTCTAGAAGAAATCTTCCGCGAGGGATCCAAACTAGGGTTCCGACCACCCCCTCGAAACGGCACTGCTACGGTTCTCTCTCGGCCTGGAACTGCAGTGACGCTGCAGAACAATAGTGGTCGTAATACTCCCAGTGCACCGGACGTTGGAGGCGCAGCTAGCGCACCAGCGACTCCGAGACAGGCGTTCCGACGCTCGATTGCTTTGACTCCAAGCAACGGCACCTTCACCGGACCAGGCGCAGGAGACTTTTTTAGTGGAAGTCCGCTGAAGTAAATGCGCTTTTTCATCCTTACCATTTTATTATTGCCTCTTTGCTTAAGATATCGAAGGAACGGGGATTTTTGACGACACCCTTCACGATGGTATGGATAGATGTATGCAGTAAACCTGTGGTTGATTGTTCATGGCCTTTGGATCCAACAGCACTATCGTCACGTTCGGTGATTTTGTCCAGCAGCTACTTGGTTAATCCCTGCATTGGTCTTTCTGTTTTATGATACAGATGTTGTTTTAGCCGAAATATCGGGTGAGAATATCATAGGAAGAGGGGAGAAAAGGCCCTATCTTAGTCTCAGTCTTTGTATGTTTACCAGAGACATTTAAATGTATCGAACTAAGTACGCATATTAGCAATATTCATCCTAAGCTTAGTATCTGCTTTGTCTGCTCGTCTCCGAGCAACTTCTATAACCTTGCACGACATCAACCTCTATATTTCTCGCTATATCAAAGGAGTTGTATATGACAACGGTGTCTACAAGACCAATAGTGGCAATTATAGCAAAAACTGGAATATCCAGGTCCTTTAATAGCACTGGTAGCACACGGTAACAGTAGAAAATCGGACGGATGGACTTAGAAGAACTGTGAAGCGCCTGGATGTGTCATCCAACAACCGAGTGGGGAATGACGTGGATTCCGTTCGAGTCTCATTCCGAAGAAGCCTTCCTTGTCTTCCCGTTACCCAGCGCTGACCTGCCGAACTCCCTGCCATTTTGCGATTTACACAATTCAATTCCGGCGAGAACGAGAGCAGGGAGTCAAATTAATCTTCATCTACTGTATTTTTTTTTCCCCTTTTTTTTGTTGACTTTTATTTCTTCCCCCTCCCCCTCTCCTTTGCCCCGCTTCCCTCATGTCTCGACACCGCGTGAAAAACCTGAGTTACGATGAGGAGGATTTCGATGACGATGGCTATGACTCTGCTGATCCTGAGGAGCAAGAAATTGTTGAGCACTGCACGGTAGAGGTGCTTCAGCAACTGCGCGCTGGGGAGCCTTCTGTGATGGCGACTCGCGATGAGGTCCAGGAAGCTTTATGGCACTACTACAATGACATTGAAAGATCGGTGAACTATCTAAGAAGTGAGTTCGACCCCTAGATCACGTCATTCCAAGTATGCTGTTGGCCGAATGATTTTTTTGCAGCGATGGTTGCTAACAGCTCTGTCTGGTCTAGATAAGAAAGCGAAGGAAATAAAGAAGAAGCCTCCTACGGCTCCGGCACCGAAAGCAAAAGGGACACCAGGTAAGCATTATCCTTTTTCATTCGTGATTTTCGCATGTGTCGGGGTGGTTGGGCTCGGCACTCTATCAAAATACCTCTGGCCACGCTGTTCTGTTCCCTACGGCTGGTGAGTATAGGCTTTGTTTCCCCATGTTTGATTGATTAAACTGACTCCATATTGGAAGCTCGAGTATGTTCTAACAGGTTCCCAGTGCCTGCGTATCCGATACCCCTTTCTACCCTACACTCGCCGCAAACTGTCCACTTTTCAGCCGCGGAGTTTTTTCGCGATTCTCCTTGGCTGAACGTTCCCGCGCACCGTAAGGCCGATATTCTGATAGAGCCTCTTTACCCTAAACTGGGGCTTCTTGGAGGGGCTCCCGAATCTAGCGGAAAAGTGTCTAAGCTGGCTGCTTTGGCTGCCGCACGCAAGAAGAAAGAGACCGACAAAGCCCCATCATTAGCTTTAGATTCTACTTCTGGGGGAAACCAGTCTCGGTCGTCCTCAACGGAATCAAAAGGGGCTCCTCTTTCTCTACGTGAAAGGCTTGCTAGGTCCCAGAAATCCTCCGAGGGTGCACAGTCACTTCGCACGCTTGGGAAAGGATCTCGTATTGGAAGCCCTATACCGGGGCAAAAAGCGTCGACGGAGCAACAGTTATCAAGTGTACCGAATGAAGCGAGCATAGGAAAGGCAACAACGGAAGAGCCAGTGGCCAGCGAGAGAAAGGAGGAGTCTACTGCGATCATTCGTGCACCACCCTCAACGTTTGCCAGTACCATCGTGGGAGATGCTATACGCCCTATGGTGACCGAGCTCAGCCACTTGCACTCAAACGCATTGGATTTGATGAAGATATACGGGCAAGAATATACTGAACCTTTTGACTTCGCAGCCCCAAGCCCCGATGACGTCGTATTGAATGCACAGAACTCCGCAAAAGGTTTGGCTATTCGGCGAAAGATCTAGGACATTTCCTAATAAACTTGTAGGATTTAAGTCGAAGCAATCCGCCTCCAAGACTGCGGGCGACAAGAAACCCCAGACTGACTTGGTTAGTGGCATGACTAATTTGAGCGTGGAGAAGGTAAACGTCAAGAGCAAAAATTTGGACGTTTTGTCCGAATATAGGAAATCTAAACGAAAGAATGCTATGAATTTTGCCGTTGTTGGTCAGTTCCGATGCACAAGTCAAAAGTGACATAATATTAACACCAAACTAGGTCATGTTGATGCCGGTAAAAGCACACTTATGGGGCGTCTACTTGCAGACTTGAAAGCCATCGATCAACGTACTCTAGATAAATACCGCCAAGAAGCAGAGAAGATTGGAAAAGGGTCTTTCGCTCTCGCTTGGGTATTGGATCAGGGTTCTGAAGAGAGAGCGCGGGGTGTCACCATTGATATCGCGACTAACAAATTTGAAACGGAGAAGGCGATTTTCACGATAGTTGATTCGCCTGGACATAAGGATTTTGTGCCGAACATGATTGCTGGGGCCAGTCAGGCGGACTTCGCTGTCCTTGTCATCGATTCCGGCACTGGGAATTTTGAGTCCGGGCTGAAAGGTCAAACCAAAGAACATGCGCTGCTGGTACGAAGTATGGGTGTCCAAAGGATTATCGTCGCAGTGAACAAGATGGACTCGGTGCAGTGGAGCAAGGATCGTTTCGAGGAGATTGAACAACAGGTTTCATCTTTCTTAACCACCGCTGGATTCCAAGCCAGAAGTATCTCGTTCGTGCCGTGCTCGGGCATAAATGGAGACAATGTCACTCGGCGAAGCGACGACCCAAGTGTCTCATGGTACAAAGGCCGCATGTTGATCGAAGAGCTTGAGGCCACCGAACCGAACACCCATGCCATTGAGAAACCACTACGCATGACAATAGGCGACGTATTCCGAGGCAGCGTGCAGAATCCTCTTTCGATCTCTGGCCGTCTAGACGCTGGCAGCCTCCAATCAGGTGATCAAGTCTTGACAATGCCCAGCGGGGAGAAGGCGACTATTCGCAGTTTAGAAGTGGATGGGGAACCTAGTGACTGGGCTGTGGCAGGACAAAACGTCATTCTGAACCTGGTCAATATTGATCCCGTTCATCTCCGTTCGGGCGACGTAATCTGCCAGGCATCGGCCCCTATAGCCAATGTTACCTCATTTACGACGAAAGTGCTGGCGTTTGATCATCTGATGCCTAGTATGGTTGACATTCACCGAGGGCGTCTCCACGTAGCGGGACGAATAAGTCGTCTGGTTGCCACTCTGGATAAAGGGTCTGGCGCTGTTGTTAAGAAGAAGCCTAAGGTCATTGCGCCGGGTACGGTGGCACGGATTGAGGTGGAGATGGACCGTTCAGTGCCTCTGGAAGCGCCAGCGAGGATTGTTCTACGGGCTGGAGGCGATACTGTCGCGGCGGGATTATTAGAGTAACTGGTAGTACAATTAGACGTGATGCCCCATTTCATGACATTTAGAGGCCAGTATGTAGAAAGAATTCTATCTGATGGCCAGGATTACAGTTCAAGCTTGTACATAATGATATCGAAAGAACTTGCTATTCCTCGTTCGTGCTCATTCCCACTCCTAGATCTATCGTTCACTCATGTCATCAGAGTCATGCGTATAACATTTCATCTTTCCTCAGTCACTTATTTCCTATTTCGTCTGTCCTTCATCTCCTTTCGCCTTTCTCCTTTCTCCTTTTTATTCCTCTTCCTGTTCCTTCATCTTGGTCTGCCAGAGCTGTCTGAGTATATGCTTGATGATACCAAGATAGAGCTTGCAAAGAGCTCATGGAGGCTTTTATAACTGAGTGATATTTTTCCTGTTGAAAAAAGCTCTTTGGAACTCGCTGTCTCTCTCCTCCGGGGAGCAGCGAAGCCTAAAAGCAGCTGAAGACCTCCAAAGAATACGTGACACAGCCATTGCTGCTCTCGAAGTGGCGTACAATCTGCTAAATAAAAGAGGCAGCACCTTCCACTTTTCTTTTTTTTTTTTTTTTTTTTTTGAACGAGTCTCAAATGCAGCGACTTCACATGCAGGTCTTTGACTTTACCTTGGGAACAGATGGTGATACCTCTTATGACATTCAATGCTTTAAACCTTTGCAAAAGTGTCGACTTGTCCTACGCTCCGACTACCAACGATAATCTGTTGCGGCCAAACACATCGGAAGTGGACAAAGTTGTATCGCTCAGACAATTTCTCTCACACAACAATGATAATAGCACACAAGATAGACACAAACAAGAAAATATTATGCAATGAGATCCTTCCGCTCACTGGTATAATGAGGACATGGTTGAGTCATCCTTCTCCCAGGAAGATACCATCGTCCAAGTAAGTCTGTCCCAAGAGACCGGCTACCTCAGCCGCAGCGCAGAGATAAGTATTAGTCTCATAACAAATCAACATCATTTCATGCTTCCATGGATTCAAAGCTCAGATTCTTCAGCTTTATATCAAAATGAAGGGTTAGTGGTTCGCAACAGTAGTTGTACGTTTTCACGTTGTATGTTGCAAGTGAACCGGCAAGGGATACGGACAGGATTGTCAATCTATGATTGTAAGCTCATCTCGACAATGTCAAATGAAATAAAAAAGTACCATGGGCTTTATGTGAGTTCTAACTTAGTGCTATCATGCATTATTTTTACTAACAATAATATATTGCCATCTTGGTTCATCTGCAAGGCTTCGATACGCAGAATTCTACTTTTGCTATTTGTCATGAAACTGCAAAATTGAAATAAAATTACAATTATTGGCACAAACTCCATCCTACATCTTCTAAAATGGCCATCTCATTGAAGAATCTTCTCCCATGAGCTCTTCCTTAGAACTCACTGCATCCACCAGGTACCTTCATCATACTTCCAAGCACCATTCCCACATTTTCTCAAGCCTATAGTGTATACGAAGAGAGGTCTGCAGGGCCTGCAAGGGTCTTCCAAGCATTGTCTTCCGCAAACGTGCAGGTACACCCGGTTCCCAGATTGCAGATGAGAGATGAAGCTGAAACAATTTGGCCTTGTTGAAAACTGTGCACAAAGCAATCATAGAGTTCCACCTTCCAGCAAATGGAAAACCACCGTGGGATCTGGCAACGCTCTCTTTCATGAGGGCATATTGCGCTTCAATCTATTTGGGGGCCCGTTGCCGCATGAGTGATGCTCGTATCTGCGTCGCTAGGAAGCCTAGAGGCACTCCATGACTTCTCGGATTGGAAGCATTGTGAATGAGAATTTGTTAGCATTCAGGATGTATGCGACACTATTCTTGAGACATGCAGAGCGAATATCAATATTGATTAGCGTCCACGGCTGGTGAGACCAGGCGTTAACTGCAGATGGCAGGTTCCGAGTAAACCATGCGCACAGAATGTCACTATCGCTGATGAAGGGAGATTCTTGTATTTTATCCCTGAAGGCTTTGACTTGGATTTCCTGAAGAGTCTCCGCCTTGATTTCATGTTTAAATTTGTCGAGCACCTCAGGCAGCATCCATGACTATATCCATGTGCTTCAGGCCGTGAGAAGACGGGAAGAAACAGGAAGAAAGAAGAAAAAGAAAAGAGAGAGAGCCTTCAAGCCCAATCTAGCTGATTTTCCTGCGTACCAGGTGTAGACCACCTATAGCGTGGGTAAAAACGCGGGCATGGTTCGAAGATTGGAATGGAAGACTATAGAAAACTATCGGCATGGGACTCCATATTTTCCACCCACGATTAGGTTCATACCTACTAATTATCTTCTACAGCGTACTCCATATAGAGTTTTAGCATATGCACTCGGTGTATATGCACGTACGCACAAATATACTGTATATAAACCAGGTTTAGATGTAGACATTCTCATACAGTGTTTATAAAAGAAGTATATACTGCTATTCTCTATCTTCTAACTCCAACAGATGGATAAAATCACTACGTACTTAAGAATCTTATACAGTAACAGAAATGCCAGCCACAATGAGGTTCTGCAGCTGAATTCTGCCAGTAACGACCACTTTTATTAGGAAAGAAGGCCCCACTTGGGGCCTCTTGGCACTCTACTATTTGAGAAGTGCGTATTGATCGGTATTGGTAACGTTACAAATGACACTCAGGCCTTATCTGAGCCCCTGGCCCAGCTCGGAGGGACATACAGAGTACTGTACTCCAGAGTAGATCTACCTAGTTCAAATCTCAGACCCTGGGTTATTTTGTTTATTTTTATTTTTATTTTTATTTTTTTTTAGCTCAGCACTTGAAGGAATGTGAGTTGAATGACATCCTATTTCTAGCAAGTTCGATGGACCGCCTCCGCCTGTTCTAATAGTGCCAGTGCTCGGATTTGCTCCGGCAGAACGCAGGCGGTGGCAGGCAGGGGCTGCTGAGTCACAGGGGTCCGGCCAATCAGGGCACGAGAAGTAACCTTCACGGCGAAAAGGCCAGCATGGCCGCTGCGTGGAGGCAAACCATACAGGGACAAGAGCTATATTTTCTTTCTTTCTTTCCCCATCGCCTTCACTTCTCTCTTTCACTCCCCCCCATCTCTTCTTTTCCTCCGTCACTCCCCTTCCTCTCTTCGACTGTGGTTGGGTTTTTTTTTTCCTTTTCTTTCTTCCTTTTTGTGTGAAAACTGGAGGCTTTCTCGACGAGTTCAGAGAACGCATCTTTTTTCCGCATATAGCTTTTCTCTTCATTTCACTTTGATACGTGTCCCGTTGTGAAAGGGGACAGCGCTCGACGCACATAATCATAATGGCGCGCTCCTCATCTCCGAATGGCGCGACCAAGCCTTTTGCGGCTTGGACCACCATCTTCTACTTACTCCTGGTGTTCATTGCCCCCTTAGCGTTCTTCGGCACTGCACACGCTCAGGAGGAATCGGTACAGGAGAACTATGGAACGGGTAGGGAAATATCACTCCGAATGAGTTATAGTACTCGGCAAGCATATACTAATTTTTTTTGGTCTACAGTCATCGGTATTGATCTGGGAACTACTTACTCGTGTGTCGGTGTGATGCAAAATGGAAAGGTCGAGATTCTCGCCAATGACCAAGGAAACCGTATCACTCCTTCCTATGTCGCTTTCACTGATGAGGAGCGCCTGGTCGGAGACGCCGCAAAGAACCAATACGCCGCCAACCCGAAGAGGACTGTCTTCGATATCAAGTGAGTTCCTCCTATGGTACACTACAATAGGACTGGATCTAACCCCTTTGTCAGGCGTTTGATTGGTCGTAAGTTCGATGACAAGGACGTCCAGAAGGATGCCAAGAACTTCCCTTACACCATCGCGAACAAGGATGGCAAGCCCATCGTAAAGGTCGAGGTTAACAAGTCCCCCAAGACCTTGACTCCCGAGGAGGTTTCCGCAATGGTTCTTGGAAAGATGAAGGAGATCGCCGAGGGTTACCTTGGAAAGCAGGTTACCCACGCCGTGGTCACTGTTCCCGCCTACTTCAACGACGCCCAGAGACAGGCCACCAAGGATGCCGGTACTATTGCCGGCCTCAACGTTCTCCGTGTTGTCAACGAACCTACCGCCGCCGCTATCGCCTACGGCCTGGACAAGACCGGTGATGAGCGCCAGGTGATCGTGTATGACCTCGGTGGTGGTACCTTTGATGTTTCCCTCCTTTCTATTGAAAGCGGTGTTTTCGAGGTCCTGGCTACTGCTGGTGACACGCATTTGGGTGGTGAGGACTTCGACCACCGTGTCATGGACTACTTCGTCAAGCAGTACAACAAGAAGAACAACGTCGATGTCGCCAAGGACCTGAAGGCTATGGGTAAGCTTAAGCGCGAGGTTGAGAAGGCCAAGCGCACCCTGTCTTCCCAGATGTCGACCCGCATTGAAATCGAAGCCTTCCACAACGGCGAGGACTTCTCTGAGACCCTTACCCGTGCCAAGTTCGAGGAACTGAACATGGATCTGTTCAAGAAGACCTTGAAGCCCGTTGAACAGGTGCTCAAGGATGCCAAGGTCAAGAAGGCTGACGTGAATGACATTGTCCTGGTCGGTGGTTCTACCCGTATTCCCAAGGTCCAGTCTCTCCTGGAGGAGTTCTTTGGTGGCAAGAAGGCCAGCAAGGGTATCAACCCCGATGAGGCTGTTGCATTCGGTGCTGCCGTCCAGGGTGGTGTCCTTTCCGGCGAGGAAGGCACTGGTGACGTTGTTCTCATGGATGTCAACCCTCTCACTCTGGGTATCGAGACCACTGGTGGCGTGATGACCAAGCTCATCCCCCGTAACACCGTTATCCCCACTCGCAAGTCCCAGATCTTCTCCACTGCGGCTGACAACCAGCCCACCGTCCTCATCCAAGTTTGTAAGTTCACCGCTATCCCTGGCAAGAATCCACAAAGTGTACTAACCATCCATTAGTCGAGGGTGAGCGTTCTCTGACCAAGGACAACAACCTACTCGGCAAGTTCGAGCTTACCAGTATTCCTCCGGCCCCCCGTGGTGTTCCCCAGATTGAGGTGTCGTTCGATCTGGATGCCAACGGTATCCTGAAGGTCAGCGCCAGTGACAAGGGCACCGGCAAGGCCGAGTCCATCACCATCACCAACGACAAGGGGCGTTTGAGCCAGGAGGAAATTGAGCGCATGGTTGCGGAGGCCGAACAGTTCGCCGAGGAGGACAAGGCCATCAAGTCAAAGATTGAGGCTCGCAATGGGCTGGAGAACTATGCCTTCAGCCTGAAGAACCAGGTCAACGACGAGAATGGTCTGGGTGGCAAGATCGACGAGGACGACAAGCAGACCATCCTGGACGCCGTCAAGGAGGTGTCGGACTGGCTCGAGGACAACGCTGCCACTGCTACTACCGAGGACTTCGAGGAGCAGAAGGAGCAGCTGTCCAACGTGGCCTACCCCATCACCAGCAAGCTGTATGGCTCTGGCCCGGCAGATGAGGATGACGAGCCCATGGGTCACGATGAACTGTAAAATTACTTAGAGGGATTTATGGAGTTTTTCTTATTGTTTTATTGACACATTATCTTGGTCTGGTTTGATCAATTCTTTTTTATCTTTACATCGATGAAACTTCGATCGCTGTATTCGAATCGGTGGCAAGAATAGCATGATACCTTGAATACAACTACTGATTGTTACTGGCTTGGTTTGTAGATCTCCGTAGTAGGATATCCTGGATATCCTGGTGTCCTGTTGTATGCAAATAGAACATACAACCAACCATTGACCAAGATATCTTCTAATTGCCACCTTGCGCAATAAAGTCCCTGACAACCTCCACAATAACTTGATGATCATCCTCCTGCTTCAATCCACTCACAACGATGACCGCCACGACCCCATCCACACCCTTTACACGGACGGGGAACCCACCTCCATGAATGGCGAAATCATCAGCAGCGCCACCGCCACCCGTACTCGTCAGAGCATGTTTCCGAACAAAAGCGCCCTCGATCTCATTTGGTCCCAGCCCGGTACTGGAGAGCATCTTATTCCGCATCAACCAGCTGGACACTCCCCACCGCAACACGGTATTCCTTTTCCTCCGCACCCAGATCTCATTATCAGGGACAGTGCCTGGCTCGGTCGCGGATTGAAACACCACATGGGGTTCTGAACCCCCCGTTAGCGCAATGGATACCAACGCGGGTTTTCGCTGCTCCGGCGGCAGTAACAGAATGCGATTGCGGAGCGCGAGACCCAGCGACCAGGCGGTGGTGGACGTGAAGGAGGGGAAGAGCGCCGATGCAGAGGATTCTTCGGTGGTGAGTTCGCGAGGCTTCGGTATGGTTGTTAGTGCGATGAATATTAAGCTAGGGGTAATTCCGGACTTACGTCTTTGCTAGCTTGGGGGAGAGGTTTATCTTCCATACTGAGACTGAGAAAATAGATTGAGAATTGAGCAGATGGGAAACTGGATAGCAGACAGAAACGAAAGTGTTATTAGAACTTATAACTCATTGCGATGTGGGGAATCGACATGACATCGACTCCACTGCGATGTTTGGTTCGCTGACTCGGCGGTCCATTTAAAGTAAGAATTAGTGGATCGGTCAGAAGGAGGAAGGTCCAAGAAGGATCAATGTGTACAATGTACTGTACATAGGATGATGTATGTATGTATATCTGGCCTGTGCGTTCTGAAGTCAGAGTGGTACCGTGATGGTCAGTGACCTTCCCGTCATTATTCTTCTTCTCTTCCATTTCTACTTCTACTTAGTATACCCATTATTCCTGTCCATTCAATGTTTAGACCATGCGCCCGCAACTCACTAAACGAGCATGTGATGAGTGTATTTCCCGCAAGAAACACAGCCAGACCGGCTCGTCCGGAACCAACAGGTCTATTCCCCCAGCGATCCTGGCGTCGGTAGTGCGTCTATATCGGCGATATTCCCACAGTGTTTGGCCTGTAGTTAACATGGATATACTTTTACAGAGAATCGATGAAATCTACTCCTATTACCTGACTACGGCACTATGTGAGACCACAATTGATCAGCTACAACTGCCCCGCTGGTGATGAGTATCCCTCATAGAACTCGACATCACCGCTGAGCTCGTGGACCTGAGCCATCGTCTGGGCTGGGGAACTCTGCGACTGTATTTCTCAGAGGACAAGGGAGGATGCTCTCTTCCAACCTTTCAATCGTTCTCCCCTTCAATATCTCTACTATATGCTAAGTGTCATCTTATCTACATCGTGATCGTCTCTCCGCATTTCCTTGCCCTTTGCATCAGCACGCTCTCCCGTTTCTCCAAATTCTCCGAGCTATTTATCTGGGAAGCCAAGGTCATCGATCTTGCATTGAAATATAAGCTAGCTGCATGGGTCTGTTAGACTTGAAAACCCGAAGATAGATGGTAATCACGGAAACATACATATGGCTTTCAATATATGCCCTAACTTGTTCTCGATGCTAGCCTCTGCTATTATGTGCATGGCCGGAATGGAAAATAATTGATCAGCCTATGAGCCGATAGTTACAGCTCTGTTCATCATGCCCTAATTATTCCGAGGACATAATTGATGGAAATTCACTAGCACTTACCAACGACAGCGCCCATAATGAAGCAACTCCGGCGGGATGTCTTTACTATGTCTAATAATTCTATGCATATAAAGCAAGACAATGCACCGTATTCCCTCACTACCAATTTCATTTAAAAAATAAATAAATAAATAAATGGCACGTTCTTCACCTTCTAATTGCTCCTCTAGCGCTAGCATTAACCATCCCCAAATCCCATATCCCAATCTACTCCCAAACATCATCTTCAATCCGCCATCAAACTACACCATTCCCAGAACCCTCTACGCCCACAATGAACAACTACCCAACGGTGACCTCCTCTCCACGTGGGAGAATTACCTTCCCCCGGAACCTCCCGCCGTTTACTTCCCTATCTACCGCTCCCAGGACCACGGTCAAGCCTGAGATGAGGTCTCCGGGGGACACGATGCAGCCAATGGACTCGGACTCCGATACCGGCCGTTTCTGTACTATCTCCCTGAAGACGTTAGTCCGTATGAAGCGGGGACGCTTTTATTATTAGGGAATACCATCCCGACAGATCTCTCGTAGACGCAGATCGATCTCTACGCGTCGCATTAATATTTATACATCTACGAATACGGCTTTATCCCATACTCATACTCCTTCCCTCTCTACTATCGCATCTCCGCAGACCCAGAATCCTTCGCCTCTGCTCCGCACCATAGACTCATCGTCTCCGACAGTGTGGTACCTACCGCCTCGCCTTACGCCGCCTGGACACCATACGGCGGAGAGAACGGTACGATCATCGTGAGCTGTGGCACGCAGGACTCCGTATTCGTTAATCAGGCGCTGGGCAAAGGCGATTGGATGGAGATCGCCACACCAGTGGGGCATGGGTATAGCAGTTCATTGAGGTCGATGGTGCTCCTGCCTGTGTGGTGGGGGTGTTCAATGGGGAGTGTAATAGAGTGTCTGTTAGTTTGATGGATTTGGCGGAGATATTTTGATCTTGTCATTATTCTGATTATTATTTTATCGTGCATAGATTAAGCATAAATGCATCGGTTCCACTCGCTAGATATATAGAACAAAAGAAGAAGGCTAGACATTCTCCTACACCCTAAAATAAGCCCTAGGAACGCCCGATCCCTTCCTCGACGAGTAATTCGTCTCTTGTCTGCCCTCAAGATCATTCCTCTGAGCCCTATTCGTAAGGAATATATCAGCCGATTGAGCTCGTTTCCGGATCCAGTATTCGCGCATCCGATCGAGCGCGGTTTTGAAATCATCCAGAATGACCGTATCACATAGACATTTGAAGACAAATGATAACTACACATATCAGATTATCCAGAGATAGGTAATAGGAAAGAGGAGATATATGTTACCTTCCAGAAAGGCTCAATCCCCGTAGGCAACCCCGCTTGAAAGACATTCAACACGGCGCAGGTATCCACGACGATAAAAGCGATGGAGAGACACATGGCGACGAGCATGATTCCGAATCGTGGACTGACCGTGACGAGTTCCACGATGCTGAAGTTGTATTCGCGTTTGATGGTGTAGAATAGGGAGCAGGTGGTGAAGATCCACCATGGGTCTCTATATTATATCAATACATATAGATAAAGGATATAAACGGGAAAGAAGACCGAAATAGGGGCTCCAGCGGCCTAGTTTTCAAAAACAGGCGATTCAAATTATTAAAGAAAGCAAAGTTGGCGTAAATCTCCAACACCCAGTACGGCTGGGCCAGAAGTACAGTGACAATGTAGATCCGGGAGATGCGCGACGACAGAAACGGTTTGTTTTTCATCCAGGCGATCACGTTATGCAGGCTCCAGGAGACATTGAGTCCGATGGCGCTGACAGAGAGATACCAGCCGTATGTTGGGGGTTTGGCGAAGATGAAGGTTCCGTGGGGCATGGCGAGGATTAACTACATTATCGTTATCAAGTTTATATCAGTATGTTAAATAGACAGCTGGGACATACTTCGGCAAAGATCAGCTTATGCAGGAGGATGCGTTTCTTCATATTGGAAAAGGTCACGGCGGCCATCACGACCAGCGATCCGACCATCAGACCTTGACCCCAGGCTTCGAGGACCAGACCATCCGGGCCGCTGGGGCGGGTGATGGGGTTTTCTGGAGACATGATGTTTATGACGTGGTGTGAGTAAGACGGCAGGGCATGGGAATATAATAATACATATTATCTATTAATAGTCATTTGGACATACAAACGCATATAAAGAAGCTGAGATGGTGTCGGGATAACGGCCAATGGTAGACACGAAATAACTCCGTTCTTAACTTATTTTAGGGTTTAGCCTGGGGAGTGTTTATGGATCCTTTGATTATTTCCGACGATCTATTCCCTTTCCTCTGGTAGTTTGTTCGCTTGTCCAAATAGCTCTTGCATCTCTTCCAGCGAGTGCCTTGACGTCTGTTTTCGTTAGTCGTGCCATCATCGTCCATGCTGTAGAACAAAGCAAAACACACCTCTTTCAAGAAGAACCACGAATACCCAATTATCCCATAGTTGAAAATTGCAAACATCAGGAACGTTCGCCATCCAATATTAGCAATCGCATGTGGCGTCACCTGCGACATCATGAAATTGAACAGCCACTGTGAAGCTGCTCCCACTGCCACTCCGATCTCTCGTGTGCGACTGGAGAAGATCTCGCCAACGTACAGCCATGGCAACGGTCCCCACGACATATTGAACGAAAACGCCTCCGCGTAGGTCATGATGATCATCGCAAAGCCCGCATTGGTGGCGCTGGATTGTTCCCCGCTCGCGCTCGGATGCGTCGCTAGGACGCAGGCGATGACAAGCATAAACGATCCCATGGCGAAGGCCCCGACCATGAACGGCACACGTCGTCCAAGCCGGTCCATCACAAATAGCTGGAAGACGCTGACACCCACAACTTTGACCACGCCGAAAAATCCGGTCACCAGTTTAGCGGAACTGCCGGCCCCGACGGCGGAGAAGATCTGGTTGGCGTAGTATGCCAGTGATGTGTTGCCCGTCAGCTGGGCACACAGTTGGATCGTGATGGCAATAAAAAGTCGATATCGATTCACAGGGAGAAAGAGTTCCCGGATTGTGAGGTTCTCCTTGATCCGGGTCTCCTCCGCGATACCGGCCAGGATCTCGTCGAATTCCTGCTGCAGCTCCTCGGTCTCTTCGTCGCCGCGCACCCATTTCAGGGACTTCCACGCCTTGTCGGTATACCCTTTGGCAGCCAGCCACCGGGCACTCTCTTTGACGGTGCTCATGCCGACCAGGAGCAGAGTCGACGGCAGCAGCTGCAGTCCCAACGCGATCTGCCATTGTTTGGTCGCCGATGGCTGGTCTTTGGACACGGCAAATGTGACCCAGTAAGCAATCATGACCCCCAGAGCGAAGAACAACTGGAAACACGCTCCCAGACGACCGCGGATTTCCTTCGGGGCCATCTCCGCCGCATACATGGGGATCAGAACGGTGGCGGCACCGATCCCAACGCCCGCGATCACCCGCCCCGCGTAGAACGTCCCCAGCATATGTGTATTGACAACCTGCAGGATAGTCCCAACGGTGAATACCAGCGAACTCAGAATCAGCCCCGATCGACGACCGAGTCGAGAAGCCACGGGCATGGTGAAAAAACATCCAAAGAAAGCGCCTGCCTGCAGGATGGAGACCGCATTGGAGTTGACCGAGGTGTGTTGTTTTTCGCCGTACTTGAAATCCTTCTGGAAGGAATCCAGTGTCAGAACCCCGCCTGTAGATTCAGTTATTATATTTATAGGTACTCGCAGTGAACATCGCGACTATTTCCATGGAAAACGCACTAATAACGCCCGTGTCAAAGGCAAATGCGAAGGACCCCATGCAACTGGCAGACACCAGGTAAATGGCACGGAAGAGGCCGAGTTTTCGACCCATGTTGTATGCACTCTGTAGACTTAACACGGACACTGAGTAGTCTGGATGGATAAGACAAGCTGACGTGGGGTATTTAACATGAGTGACGATCAGGATCGGGTGTTTCGTTCTATTGAAGCAGTCTGCAGCGATCTGCAGGTGTACATCTCGGTCAGCGAATGAAGGCTCCTCGAACTGGGGTTATACTGGTCATCTGAATCTATTGACCGTATCGCTTAACGTATAGGCTAGTATTCAACCACCTTGATTGATGAAGGTCTGATTCTTCGAATCTAAGCGAATATTCAAGACTAAATACATGAAAATTAGGGGTAATTTGGAATAATTAAATATGGCGATATTATAGCGAATAATAACTTCAATGAATGACTGAGCAGGCGCTGATTAATCTAGCGTTGAAGTGGAATAGCGGTATCTAAAGGTTGACAGAATCCTTCTGTTGAGGTGGCGAAGGCATTCGACGATGTTGCATAGGGGTTAAAGTACATAGTAAGTGTATAGTTCTAAAATAACAGCGGAAATAATACACTTTGATGCGAGTATACTTTATAATAAAATACTTATACCTTGGTAGAGTAAACATTCAGGGTTGTATTATAATTCCACAGTAAATATTTCTGTATATTAATAAAAATACTACATAGTTTTATAATATGATTGACCACAACCTGTACCTTCCAGCTTCACGGGGGACGATTCTTAGGAAAGAAGTGCCCCATAGCAGTGAAATCTACAGTAGTAACTAAACCACGAGTCTTCGAACTTCTTCAATGACAATCTAAACGAGTATTATCACAATATTTCACCATCCACAGGGTGATCACTTTATCTACTTTAAAGCCATATCTTTATCTCAAATTGGTTTACCATATACAGTAGAACCTCACCAAGCCGATAATCATTTAGCCGATATCTCGCTTAGCCGATACTTTTCTTCGGGATGAATTCCAACCCATATAATTCAACCTCGCCCCCCTACCTAACCCCGATCCTCGATATATCGGAGACCATATCGACTCTCTGAGAAGCTCATCCTAGTGGAAACCTTATTATCTGTCTAATCAGAATGCCTTAACTGAAGAAGATTTCAGACATTCAGCGGAAAGCTTTGCGGGACTGGGTCAACAACCAACCTCACCGTCCAACACAGAAGGCCTGTGTTGCCTGGTTTTATTCTTAATATAATCATCAATTAAGCCAGTCTACTGTTTCTCACATTTTAAGCTCACAGTATTAATATCTTGACTCCGTATCTACCCCTTCCTCCGCAATCCGCAAAGGAACCGGTCATTGGCAAGAACTTGAGACAATTCTTTATAAATGGCAGTACCCACTCAGCATAAAGGGGACCTATATCTCTGGAGATATTGTTATTAAAAAAGCACGTGAAATCTGGGACTCTTTACCTCAGTATTCCGGTCATCCACCACCTTCCTTCAGCAACGGATGGCTACACCGCGTCAAGCAACGGTATAATATTAAGCAACGCATATATCATGGCGAGGCAGGCTCTACTCCAGAGGAAGCAGAGAAAGAGATGAAGGCTATACAAACTATTGCCGGCCAATACAAAGAGGAGGATATTTATAATATGGATGAATCTGGGATATTTTGGCGTATGCCTCCATCACAGAGCCTATTTTCTATTAGTAGGCTCGGGATTAAGAAAGATAAGTCCCGTGTCTCTATAGTATGTTGTGTCAATGCCTCTGGAACAGATCTATTACCAGTATGGATTATTGGTAAGGCACGTACCCACGGGCCCTTCGCAATATTAATTATCTGCAATTGGAGCTGTATGGAAATGGAATAAAAGGCCTGGATGACACAAATAATAATGCGTGAATGGCTATTAGCATTTTATAGCCATATTGGCCAGCGACCGGTGCTTCTTACTTTGGATAACTTCTCCGCGCATCTATCTGGGCTAGAATTAACCCCTCCACCACCAAATATACGTATTTGCTGGCTTCCAAAGAATTCAACAAGTCAATATCAACCGCTTGACCAAGGAATTATCCAGAATCTGAAGGTATACTATTAAAAACAGTGGTTATAATATATTCTGTTCCACTATGAAAGAGGTTTAAACCCACTGGACTCGGTAACACTTTTAGACTGCATTCGATGGCTTGTACGGGCTTGGAACCATGATATTTTAAACTCTACAGTTCTTGCCTGCTCCTACAAACAGTGGTTTTTAATCCTGTACAGCTTCCAATAGAGACACCTGATTTAAAGCCACTTTATAATCAGGTGCAGCAGACAGGGCAGTTGTTAAACTGTACGGATATTTCATACTTTTTAAACCCTGCAGAAGAATCTTTCGAGCCTAGTACTGAGGCACCATGTGAATTATTGCTTGCTAGCTAATTGCTGGAGCTTCAGATAATTCCTCTATATTCAGCCACTGCCACTTCTAAAGCCTCAAGAAGCTCTAGATACTGTACGGCTTCTAATATCCTATACAGATTGTCAGGATACATCTAAAACACTACTCCTTCGATCTCCGGAGCGGTATGAGCGGGATTTGGAGAGTAGATTATTGCACAAGGGTAGGGGACTCTCGATAGCTGGCTAGGTAGTGCTTGTAATTTCAAAAACTTCATCTTGGCGATAACCTCGGATAGGCGATGTTTTTTTAAGGGATGGCTCCATATCGACTAAGCGGGGCCGCACTCTACAATATATTCGCCTCCTATGGACTCAGCTGCAAAACCAGAGGAAAGGCCAGAAGTTGGAAGCGCAACCTGAACTAAAAGAAAGAGAGAAATCCAAAATAGTATAGTGAAAGATGTATGGAAAGGACCAGGAACCAAGAGCTCGAGACAGGAAATGGTTCGCCGGACTTGGGAGCCTTTTCCTTTATTCACATCAGTGTCCGGTACAAGATCTGGGCGTATCTGGCGCCAGTCTGTATAGACACATGGGATTGCTGTGTCCAGAAAGTAGATTTGAATATACTCGCTGCCAGCTACGCTCTCTATAAAGAGGTCTCACGCATCATTTACGATGACTCCTGCTGGGAAAGAACAGAATGGAAGATTGCAGCGCTGTCTGATTTCGACCGTTGGTTGGGCAACTTGCCGTTCCACCTGTTCAAGAGGTTGACCATAAGGATCTTCCCATCGGATCCCAGGATGAGAACCACCCTCTACTTCCACTGGCAGAGAGTGTCGATGATTGCCAAGCTGATCAGTCATGCCTCTTCAGCCAAACTCTTGGTCATGGATAGAGCAGGGAACCAAACCATCGTCCACCGGTATGACCATGACATTATGTCACATCCCTTTTCGCGTTGCGAAACGTTCGCGACTGGTTGGTCCCAGTCCACAGTGCAGCGTGTCAGTGTGTCTTGAACATGCGTCTCACCCATTGGGCAATAAGTGCTGTGAGAACAAAGGCATAGAGATACCACAAACTGCACTTCGTGAACGACACCAACTTGGACTACTATGTAGAAGACTTTTTCCGGGTCCATTACGAATTCTGGCTGAATCCAACCCACCTCGATGAGCCCAAAGGCAAGGCTTGGTCTATTTTGCACGGGCTCGAGTGTCCAAGTAGTAGTTGTTATATAGTGTTCTACGAACGACTCAAGTCGACCATAGCTCGGTACTCCCGATTTGTGATGGAGTATTCCTATTACTGGCATTTCGTGCAAGATATGCATGACGCGTACGTCGCTCTATATCACCAAACAATGCGGACAACTTCGACTCGCTTTGTAAACGCCAGGAGAATAAATCATCCGCTGTTTCAATGCGTCCGCAGCCCGCTAATCGAACGACCTCGAATACACCAGCCATGCCTTATATGAATACATGTACAGCGTTGCAAGATTCCACTGGTTCCACTTTGTGGCGCGAGGCACTTCCCCGCACCTAGTACTATACAGATAATTTTAGAGTTATACCTATATTTCAAAAGCTACTTCGAGTAGAAAGTGTGGTGTAGAAGAGACGGCGTTAAGGCTTGAGGGATCACGCTGGGATATCTGCTATGTGACCAGATTCTTGCATCCTGCACTCTGCGTTCTCTTCATTCGATTCTTTCTATCCTCTGAGGATAGCTCCGACCTGTTTACTACAGTGGCTCGTAGCTGCCATTATGATGCGTGCGCGTTAAAGAAATGAATGTATGAGGAAATTTTGCACATCAGTTTCATGTAGCACTATTTCGCAAATGTATCTACAGACTAGCCCGGCTAGCTCAATCGGTAGAGCGTGAGACTCTTAATCTCAAGGCTGCGGGTTCGAGCCCCGCGTTGGGCTTTTTTTTCCCCCAGTCTATCTAAACTAGATAGATATGGACATCAGGATACAGGTGAGCTGACTCCGGGCTGGAACTCACCTCATATTTAGCTAGCCTGACCCCGTTCTTTTAAATTTTTTTGCCTGTTTTAAGCTTTTCGGTATTAGTTTGTAGTTAGTAACCAGTTGCTTTACTATGGAATCTTCCATTATTTATATGTATGAACTTGATTTTGTAGGCAGCTCGAAGACTTTTCCCATTTTAGTGTTCACCCCTCGCCGCCTTTTGCACATTGAGTGGAACTGAGCATACCCTGAGTGGCCTGAGCTGATATCACACTGAGCAAGGGTTGAGCAGAGGGCCGAGCAGCCATAGTAGGTAGATAGCCTTAATAAAATGCACCACGCTAGTTTCTCATCGACCATATTACTTTGTAGCTTTTTTTTCACCGTTCCCCGCTTTGCCCACTCAAGGAAAACGATAGCATTAATTATGGAATGGGAAATTGTGGTCATTATTCCTGCCCACTTAAACAGAGAACCAGGGTACTACTGTCCTTGCGGCGTATACTGTTGAAGTTTGCATGCTACATTTTCTATCCCAGCTGCATTATTGAATGAATTACAGCTTCAAGGTCATGATGGCCCTTTACAATTATCTATTACTTGTAAAGGTTATATTTAACTATATTATATCCACTCATAAACGTCTCACACCCCTCCCGTAACAGCTCCTCTGTATCTACTCTCCTTCACCTTTCTCCTCCCACTTTCCTCTCCATGCTTAGTATATTCGTTGAAGGTACCAAATAGAGTGGTTTTCCTATCATTTTTAGCTTCTTTTAGTAGGCAATTGTCACGATAGGCAAAGTCTCCAATGATTATAGATCGGATCTACTTGCCTTCTGGTACATTTGCTAATAGATATATGAGTAAGAGTAGTGATCGTAATGGGTAAGTCTACTGCCAATGTCAATTCGAGAGCCAATTGTGACGGCGCTGGCAACCTACCATATAAGAGAGAACGACTCTAGGACTGGCGTCCTCGAATACTAGTCTTTTGTTTCTGGCGCAGCGGTTTAGCCTCTGGAACGCTTCCTAGAGGTTAGGTCGTGACATCAATAAAATAGGGGAGTATCTTTAGTGGATTATTAGAATCTTAGAACAATTTGAGCAACCTTGCAATATTGTATTAAAAACTAGCCTAAACTATTATATTATATAATATCCATTCCTAAGACTCGTAGATGGAAACAATCATGCAACTATTCCTTACACCAATGATTACTCCGTTTTACAGCGCTAACCCCATGCGGGGCCCTTGAACAAACTTCTCCTTGAACGGTTTTCCTTTGCGCTTTGCGATAGCTTCCTCAACGCCCTTATACATGTCATACCTGCTAGATGTTAGATATAGCAAAATGTCAGGCCACTGATCATCGCATACGCATTCATATCCTCAATCGTCAACTTTCTTTTGTCATCCTGGACTCGATATGCTGGATATTCTGTATTGCTAGAGAAACCTTAAAAACGCCTATCAGCACTACATCTCTTTCGACAGCACCAGATTGCTTGTTCATGGACATATGGATACGCTCGTTAATATTGCATGCTGCCTTTGCGGCCGCAGATTAAAACTTAGTGACCCGTGGCAATCGAATTTGCTGGCAAATCGCCAGCGCTTCCGCCACATCGCCAGTGAAATAGTCTTTACCGAAAAGAATACCCAAAGCGGCGGCATCTTCAATCGCCATACAGGCACCTTGGCTTTGGTGAGGCATCATCTATTCTATCAGCGTTGCTTCTTGCTCTCTTCCGATTTTCGGGTAAAGGAACGTACTGGGTGAGCAGCATCTCCAAGAAGACAGACCATGTCGCGAGTAATATATGGATACGGCTCACTACAGGCTCACATGTTAGGGTGAGGATAGAAAGGGGATATTAGATTAACATGCTGCACCCACAGACGCCACAGCCGAATTTCCTTGCTAATGGCCAGGTGTGACAAAACCCGGCGATCAAGGTCTGGGTATGGGGCCAGCAGCTCCTCGACTGGACGATCTTCGCTGTCCCAGGTGTGGTTGGTAAAGTCGCCCTTCTCACGCGGGAAGAAGCAGTAGTATGAAAGGAGCTTACCGCTGTTGCAGGGGAAGAGCACGATCTTGTCCCATTTATCTTCCTGACCTCCCCAGTACTCCAGGGCACTGTTCTGCTTGTAGTCGACCAGACCGTATCGGACGGCATCCTCCCTGCGAACGCAGGCATGTAGACAGCTTGAATCCGAAGGCTTCTTCTCTGGATGAAGACCGATGTTCCGCACAGCTAAACCGACATCGGCACCAACAATGAGGCCGTGTTGGACTGTGGTCCCGTTGGCAAATGCCATGAGCACGGTGGAGAGATCAATGTCATTACACGAGACAATATAGGCGGAGCAGTATTAATGGGTTGGTATAAATAGATGGATTGGCCTTACAGCATGGTCAACGCAGAGTTTCGCCGGCTTCCCTTCCCCATTCTCCCGCAAGGCACAATCCTTCAACATGACGTGCCTATACTTTCGCTGGAACATATTATAGTTATATCCCCATCTCTCCTCGTAGTCCGCAAGGTCATACACATTGACTGGCTACCCAGTCTTCCAGTCGCGGTCGATCTGTTTGCGGAGGACGATGGGATCGCCTTTTGCAATATCAACCCCCCATTCATGAAGCCATCGGGTTCCGTTAGCAGCACAGGAGATGGAGGCGCCAACATTGGTGGTGAAGTCGCTGCGTTCGTAAATCGTCATATCATGACCAGCACAGCGCAAGGCGATGGCAACGGACATGCCGGCGATGCCACCGGAGACTACGCAAACATTCAATTGTCTCCAGGTTTCTTGGTGAGAGCCCGTGGTGGATTTATCGATCTGTAGTTACGGGTTGGAAATTTCGTATTTCGTGTCTGGTGGGGGATGACGGCCGGTTAAATGTTAGGGATAAAATATGCAAGCTGTGACATATAGAGCATCTCTATAGACGTAGTGTTTACGCGCTCGTCGGCAAGTCCTGCATCATACATATGGCACTTCCATTTTTTGAACATCCCGAATGTAACGGAGGTAACCGTATATGAAAGAAGAACTAGAGTACCATGGAACAGGGCGAGTAGCAGACATAGCACATCTAATATAGAGCTCTCCATGGATAAGGAAAAATTTAGCCTATCTATATTCATATCCATAATATCCATGAAATCCATTGGATATGACTTTATGCAGCCCTGATCACGGGACGAGGTCACTATCGGCCCGTCAATAATATGTCTATACGCGGCAAGGACCATATGGTTAAGGAGGGGTCAAAACGGCCATCAACAAGCAAAAGAACATGATCAAGAAGAATAATAAGAACAACCATCAGAATAATCATTATAATCATTAATATAACCAAGAAGAGCCCAACCAGTTCAAATCATAAAAATAAGATCTTTTTACCCATCGTACTCTATTTCCTATCCGGGACGCCGAATATCTAACAGTACTTAACCCCTTTTCTGTATTCTAGAGAGGTGCGAGTCAACCATCCAAGGAAATATGGTAGTTATCATGGTCTAGGATATCAATGATATGTCATTCCCTATATTAGGCAACTGGTTGCATGCAGCTGTTCGACGAGCTTACTGCCTTCTTCCCCCCTGGGTTACATCAGAACCAATGCAGCTGCGTAGATGGATGCCTGTTGTTAACAAGAATGGAATATAGAATTATGTGAAAGCTTGACCTTATTAATTGCTCCGCCAAGCAATTTTCATGAATATTTTATGTCTTTTCTTGAGCGTCTGTACATTTAATTTACCTCATAATCTGTCTTGTAAATAAAACTCCCAATTAACAGCAGGTCTCTATCTCCAATTCTCAGAGTCAGAATATAGAGATCTGGAGACAGCTTCTTTGGCTTCTAAGGAGAAAATAGAGTTCGGAAAGAGAGACTTGAGACTCAACATCTAGAACGTGAGGAGGCAAGACAACATGCTGAGTTTGATGAACAGAATAAATAAACTAGTTTCTAACTAGTTAACATACCTTCATTAAAAAACTAAAAGAAAGTATCTAAGCCAGATCAATCTCTGTATTTTCGTACACACCATTCATTCGAGACCATCGGGCAGTTGACTCGACTTATGCGACGCGGCATGCTTATCCATAATTTCATGAGTGAGCAAGTAGTAGTCGGGAGAGAGTCTGAGCGAGATTTCAATATTAAATTATTTAAACCGGAAAAATGGATTACAATGATGAGACTCAGAAGCGGTTTTATCTCTATTTACCAATAAAATTCCATTACACATAAATGGGGGCTCTAGATAGGCAATATAATTCTTCTTATATTCTAGTCTCTATCTTTTACAGATCTATCTCCGAATCTCAACTGGGACTGGGGTGAGAAATGTTGTCTGATTGTCATTTTATAATATGTATTAGAATTAGTTTACTGTCAGACATGAGTATATATATATGTACCTTAGCTCTTGCACAGCATTGGTAGGGTGAAATATAACCGGACTATTTAAAAATATCACTCCATTACTTACGCGATGGAGGAAGAGAGAAGAGGGAGGAAATAGCAAGAATGTGGTTCAATAAAACCTCAGAATAAAATAGCTCTAGTACTGTGAGCCCTAGATACAAGCACCAAATTGGGATCGATCATTCTCACGAAGGCTGCAAGAAAGTAACATAACCCTCGATACAAACAAGCCCATAGTTCTTCCTCAAAGATGCCCTTCCCACAATCAATGTACCAGATAGACAGACAGATAAATAAAGACTATGCATCCGCCGTACCCTCCTCCTTCACAACATCCTTCTGCAAAGTCTTTCTGGTTGCACGTTTCTTACGCGGAGTACCATCATTCGACTCCCCGCTCCGCCTCCCCTTGGAAAACGTGACCGTGTTCTCGCATTTTGGATTCTTACGGTATTTATAGAGCTGCTGCTCGAGAGCCTTGGGGGTAGGTTTTTCTTCGCCGGCTGCGGTCAAATCACGTTAGTGTTTTCTATATCGATAAGTATATGAACTCACGCCAAAATTCTGCGATCTTGTCGATGTCGATGTGGAGATTCTGGGTGTCGAAGATGGTTCTCAAAAGCTGGGCTGTGTGTTAGTCTTTGTTGAGAGCAGATATATTGGGGAGTGGTACGGTGAGTTCGTTGTCTGGTGTCCAACGCATGTTGGAAAAAGTTAGAGAGAGAAATACTGTAGATTTTGGTGGGTTTGGAGAGAATAGGAGGGTGGTAGATCGTGAGGGTGGACTGAGTAGACTCAGTAAAGAAAGGGAATTTGAAGGGGAGGAGAGGGGGAAAAGACAGTTGTTGTTATTCACTGTTGCCATGGAAGGTGAAAGACAAGTGGCCACCAGTTAGACTCTTAGGAATCTGTCCAGATATCCCACTACATACCAGTATTTCTTCATTGACTATTCTGGGATCTAGCCATTCTTGCTATCAACCTGCCAGCCTGAATAAATAGATACTGGACTCCAGGAAGCTAACAACTACTCTTTGTTCTGTCTTTAGACTGTTGATATTCACTGTCTGGAAAGTATTTTATGTATTACTCAAACACGTATCTCCAGTGGATATTAACTATTGCATGTATAAATATGTGAAGCCATAGCCACTAGCTTTGTTGTATGAACCTATCATAAGAGAGGTGATCTGACTATAGCCTACTATTATATCAATCTGAAAGTACCGAATAGTATTCTTAGTAAAAAGCCTAACCATTTATCAGAGACCTATTTGTTATTGAATAAATAGATATTACTCTATCTTGTTCTCTTAGCTTCTAACCCTTTCCGTTAAGACCAACTGGAAAGAACAACATGATAACTAGGAATTCGAGTTTGACAATTCCTCTATGTACGCTGACCGATTCCTTTCTGCGTCCGCTCACGGTCTTTTAAGCATAACACATTAGGCCGAATCGCCACTTAACAGGTCCTTCCTGGATATCCAACAGGTATGGAACATAACGCTGACAACCTACGCAATGAGTACAAGATGAAATAGTAAAGGTCGTTAAGAAAGGACGTATTGACTAGTGGTACTTTGGCGAACTCATAAAGCGCAGTGTTACCGTTCTTCAACATAAACTCTGCGAAGGACCTTCAAAAACCTATGTCACTCAAAGGCCGGCACAACTCATCACAAACGACAGCCCGAAGGTCCATAGTTAAGTATATACCGTGGTTATGTAAAGGGCTGGAGCCCATTTGATCCTCTCGGGCCAATTACCCCGTTGTCCTTATTGCCCCTATTGCCCCTACGCTCTTTGGCCTCTACCCACAACATGTAACTCTCATTTTCCTCTTCCTTTCTTCCCTTCTTCAACGATTCCTTTTGTACATGACCTATCTTATAGGCTCTACGGGTTCAGCCCCTGACAGGTTATATAGGTAGAAAACTATACTATAATTATGCTAATTAGACCAGTATATCTAATATAAGCTAGCTCTAGGGGGGCAAGCAGGCAGGCGTACCTAAAGTTTATATACAGCCTAAGGTACGAGTAGAAATTTAAATTGCATGCTTTAATCCACAATATACCGTTTTAGGATGTAGTACATAGTGAGTTCCTGTACTGGCTATTTTAGGTAATATCGTCAGCTGAATATGCGTATGAGCTAGTATCTCCAATCGTATGAATAATAATGGATCTGCATTGAAACGTATAATGTCTCCAGCTATCTGAATCTATGCAGGTGAACTGAATAAAAGGTGAAAAATGGAATAAAGTCGGGTCTAGCTGATGCTGAATACTGTGTAATATTGACCAGGGGTCCAGACTGACCCACTCGGGTCGACAAGAAATTGGGAGTGTCACTGGATCATTCGGCTACTTATATACAATCTGAACTTGACGCTATCCCCAAGCGATCCTCGTTGATGATTCTAATCTGGGAAAGTTTTCAATCAATCAACTTAGATCCGAATAATGGAATCAATACGCTGGAAGGGACCAGCTTAAACCCTGGAAGGTTGGAGAACTTGGCAGGAACGCGTTGGCGTAAGAAGCCAAGGAATAAGGAATACAAATAAACAATGCTTAGTCCACCTAGCATACCTGCCTAATAAAAATCGTGGCCAAGAGTGAACATCTAACCCCGAACTATGAGGTGCCCCTGGTAGTTAAGTCTAAGACGTATTCCAAGAACAAGCTTCAACGCCTCCGACGTGGAACATCTACCATAATATCGATTTCCCAGAGCCTGAATCCTCTCGGGGCTAATTAGTAACTAACAAAAACTATTCTTTGCTAGTGTTTACTGGTACATTGATCTCCAGTATTATATAGTTAGCTATATATCTAGCGCATAGCCAGGGGCAATGATTGGCTGAGACGGGGTATAGATCCAATTAACGTCCGTTAAAAAATATTTCTTAGTGAACCCCAATCTTCTTGTTGACTCATTCCCTCCTATTGCAACCATGCCTGACAGCGCCGTGAATAGACAGGCATCGCGTAAGCTAGAAAATATCTTCCTATTTGTTCCAACCGTTATTGGTATCTCGAATGTCTGCCCTCCAACTAATTCCCAGGCATTTGCCAACTAATATCTCCAAGGTATACACATATTATCCTTATTGTAGCGTCCCTCTACTATATGCCGGTCCAGCTTCGAACTTGTTCAGTTATATTTTGTCTCCTGTCTCCTCAATCAGCTGGATAGTGCAGCTGCTCGATATTTCAAACAGTCTACCAGTTTTAGAGATGTCTTCGACATGGTCACTGACCGCTGTTCAACAACCTGTCTGTTAGTCTTTCTATAAAGTGTATTTCCATGATGGAGAATTGTATCCCAGTGCATGATTAGTTTCGACTACGCTAGCCATTATATACACATGTACGCTACATTATTAATGTGCGGAACCAGCCAAAGTCATAAGGAGATGGATAAGAATCGACCCTGAGTCATGCGTCTACTATTCTAATACAGCGAATAATCTCTGGGTGTCAACTATTGGTCACTTACATAGCTACAGGATGTCCTCTTTACCGCTAGCTTTTCTTCGTTGCACTATAGCTCCTGTCATTCTCATCTCCTCAATTTATGCCGTTGATGGACCTCGAAGAAGGTAAATCACAGGGGGGTGCCGTCACAATATCGCACATCTAGACTACACCGTGGAGCGCGGGAGTAACAGAGATGGCTCGGTTAGTTCAGACACATGTGCGATTCCTGCTAATTATGAGATTAGTGCAAACAAGGTATCCCATGGGTATTGCCTCTCGCAACTTCGGTATTTGTGCTTTTAAACAGTACATCAATGTGGTTCAGCTAGTCGAAGCCAGTAAAATGCTTGCGCAAGGTGATGTTGAAATTAGCAAAAGAACACCCTTTCTCAGACCAAGCGGAATATAAGTATGAGTAAGGTGTACCTAAGCCACTTCCTACATTCAAATCTGACTCCGCCAGAGATCGAATCCCAGTCATTGACACTGGAAATGCAAATAGGATTGAGAGGAGTGTGTAATACCATGGCACTTGCTGTTTGAACATCAGTTGAGTGGCAAATTTACATGCTGTGATAGAGACACTGAAGCCTGCAGTCAGGGAAATACCAACCAAGCAAACGTGCTGTATTTTGATAGCTTTGATGGAATAATCGCTATAGACCCTGTCTTCGTCATTTACCAAGGATTCACCATCACTATGAGGAAGTAGATGTCCATATCTCCCCCAAATAAAACTTAGGTAAATCCAGATCATCTTCACGAGTGTGACCAAGCTGACCCAGTTAAGCCAACCATAACTGCTGGAATTCCAACCATCAACTTCCCCTGGAGCCCAACCTCATGCGTTAGTGCATAGGGCGACAAAATGGCCTAGCCAACAATTGCCCCTGTGAATATGCGAAGCACGATCTCTGGCCTCATAATCATTCCAGAGCCGAAGAATCCAGGCGATAGGCTAAATGTCCAAGGCCACTTTCCCGCCTGACGGCCAAACAGAGGCAAGCTCTGGAATGTTGGCAAGAAGTACATGAGCATAGTCTAAGTTTTTGCCAGCTCTTTATACACCCCCTAACTCTGGCAACATGAGCGCATTTGAGAGAGCTTACCAAAAGAGAAGGCCATCCAGCAGAGATCAAAATCAGACTCGAATTTTTCCGAAACTTGTCTGGTTTTGTTGTAGGTTCACGCTGTCAACTATCGTCCATGGTGCATACAATAATCCTCCCACACTCCGTAGCTGGGCATCCCCAAAAACTGCAAATTCCGAATGATCATCTCCTTTGCTGATCAATAATTTAACCACTTTTTGCAGACGCAGTTGCACCCGGCCAAGGCCAAATGGTAGGAAAACAAGACAATCTCTCAGAAGAGCAGCAAACAGGACACCGAAGAAGCTAAGACACAAGGAACAAGTGATCGTCGATCCATCCTAGCCGGAGTGGTCCTCCATCATCTGGTCCCAGGACATATTCCAGTGCGGGAATGACTTCTGTGAATCTGACAGTGGCGGGCACGCACCCGTTAGCCGTGCTGCACTTACGATCAGGCGTTCTCGGATTTGGATAACGGGGTGGACTTGAGTTTTGCAAGCGTTATAATATAAGGTAAACTAGAAGCGCTGAGACGGTGGGAAGTTGCGCTCCGCTTCCTGTCCGCAATCCGTAGTATGTGTTCGAGTTGTTAATTAATATCTCGATGAGCAGACCGACTAGCAGCGCTCGGAATATGAAATTTCGCTGCGTTGGTCTGCCGGGTGCAGGCTTCGTGATCTGCAGCAATGGGTGGATTCTGGATATTCAGGAGGGAGTTAACAAACAATGCATGAGGTAAACCTTTGATGTGAGCGCAACCTTCCTTATAAAGATCTCCATCCCGTTCCCAATCCGTCAATGTGAAAACATCTTTGTTCGAGGCGACGGACACACCAAGTCTGCCGTGGAAAAAGTACCATTTATCTGCTTGAGTTGTGGTGTATATTCCGCAAGAGAACTATGCGCTGAGTTAGTGACCATGCTAGAGTTGGGAAGATAAGGGGATGGATATATATAGCCCCAACGGATAGAGATTTCCGAATCCATCCATGTATCCAATATCGATTGCTAACATGGAGTCAGCTTCTGTGAAGGAGAAGACCGGGTCAACAATCACCGGTGAAACCTCCGCCGGTAATAGACTACAGGTATCTATATCAGAACGATCGACATATAATACTGTTTCTTCCATTTTTCTTAATCCCCAAGTTATCATCATCAGAGACAAGCAATTTCATTGGCTTTGCTAAAATTGAAATTGGCTTAGACTCATGTAGCATTAAATGTCAAGCCGACTCAACCAGTTAGCCCGGCTAGCTCAATCGGTAGAGCGTGAGACTCTTAATCTCAAGGCTGCGGGTTCGAGCCCCGCGTTGGGCTTCTCTTTTCCAATTTTTTTCCAATCATTTTGAATGAACGTTCGTTCTACATGACTGCTTGCTGCCTCTTTCTTCCTTTCAGTTACTACTACTCCACTACCTACTGTATTTTAAACTTCTTCTTTCGAGGGATAAATATATTGGTACAGATAGAGTGTAAGGAGTATATATATATATATAGTATATATAGTACAGGCTAATGAAATAGGAAGCCGATTTGTTTTACTTTGTTTTTAATATTTTGTCACCTGACAACTCCCAAAAAATGGAGCCATATCACCGCATACAACAGATAATAACATTATACAGATCTTTCGGAGTAGTAAAATATGCATTAAAGAAGCTATATACCCGTCGCACCGCCTGCCCCGCCTACTTTTTGCAGCAGGGAATCGATCGGCTACACTTCAACGCATCTTACACTTAACATCAAAAAAAATCAATTATATTGTATTGCAACTATTCCTACCACCTGAATCAAGAATTCAACATATAGAGCCGAAGGGGCCATTATTCAGAAGGCCGTACACGAATAAAATAAAAAGACGACGAATCGCGCGTCAATATTTCAGAACCTGCGCGTCAGTATGATATATCCTATAGCGTCTCCGAGCTCGAATCAATGGTAGAGCAAGCAAATCAACGCGGAATCCACCATGCAGCGCTCGATACTGCTTAGTATGATACTTTATATGAGTATATTGATTGTTTTGATGACACAGGCGCTCCGTTGAATATTAGCGACGTTCGAAGGGCTGCCGATGCAATTCTTAAATAAAACCATACTAATCCTTCAAACTCCCAACACTCTCTTAAAACTGGGCATTTTTGCTTTATGAAGCGGAATCCTCAATCTACTAAGGGGAAAAGGCGTGTAATTGAGGTGGAACGACGTGAAGCAGAGGATACTGAGAAGATTACGCGCTTTTATAATCAGCTGCGGCATACAATTAAGGAATATAAAATTGAAGATCAAGATATCTGGAAATTTGATGAAACTGGCTTCCGAACTGGTTAAGGTCGAATCAAGTCAATTATTACTAGGTATCCCAAACTTGCAAGCGCGTCAACCCGTACGCTCGTGAATGCGATTGGATGCGTTAATTCTTTCGGAGATTCAATTCCACCATTGTTTATTATTCCAGGTAAGGTGCACCCAGACGATTGGTATATACAAACCAATTGCCAAGGGATTATATTATTGAAACCTCTGAATCAGGCTACAGAAATGACGTGATTGCATGCAGTTAGATTCATCATTTTGATGGCTATACTAAAAGGCAACACACAGAAAGAGATAGATACAGGTTAATTCTTATGGATAATCATGAATTTCATCCTACTGTTGAATTTGTACAACATTGTCCAGATCGTCAAAATTTACTGTTTCCTTTCCCGGTGCATTTAACGCATCTAACGCATCATTTGCAGCTACTCGTTTTAACTCCCTTCCAGCAACTTAAAAAGCACACGCTACTGCAGTCCACACTGTTTCCAGTATCCATGCCGGAAATATGACAAATGGGAGTTTTTATATGATACTGATAATATACGGAGGCATGCTTTGACCTCTCGAGTAATCTGCGCGGGCTGGCGAGAGGTAGGGATCCGACCATGGAATCCGATGCATGTCTCGCAAAAAATTGGCCACACAACAGATGCAGAGGAAGAACTTTGCAAATATATGACGGAGACCATATGATTAAAAATTTTCATCATCTGCACGCGTCCACAGCAGAAAATGCGGGAAAGAACACAGAAAAAAAAGTAAGAAATACTGCAAATACTATACAAAAAAAGCCGCAGCCACCGTCATCTCTTATCAACAAACACCTTAGACACTGAATTCAATTCGTTATCAAATTGCTGCATTGCAAGCTACTAATATAGAGCTCTCTCCTACAAGTTGATTATATTCCACTGGGCGCTCTATCTAATGCAGAAAAAGGAGCCATGTCAGCGGCTGCATTAAATGAAGCTTTAGACGTGCAAAAACGGCCATCCAATTCAGCCACACGATCGCGCCGCCATTTCAAAATGAATGGTTTAAATGGTCTTATATATGTGGAACACGTATAGAGTCATAATGAAGTGAAAAAGAAGAGGAAGTACGACGTCGTTAGAGATCTACAGTTAAAAGGAATCGTAATGTGCAGAAGTTCTTATGAAACAGCTCGGTCAAGATACTGATAATACCCCCACAAGGCCTTCTTCAAGGCCAGAAAATATGTCATCTGAAGCGCTATTCTTTATAGATACAGGGATCGTGGTGCGCCTTCACCTTTTCCGAATTAGGCAATATTCGTTGGTTTTTACAATATAATTGATTTTTTGGTGTTGAAGTGCAAATAATATGCGTTGAACTGTAGCCGATCTCCTACTGCAAAAGGTGGGAGGTAGGATGTGCGATGGGTGATACACTGTATCATTTAATTTTAGGCTCTTTTGCCATAAACATTGGAAACAACATGCCGAAGAAGCTATTTAATCCCGCACTGGTCTTCTGCCTTTAGAATAAAATTGGAGGACTTACTAGAAGAAGGCCTTGCTTCCTCTATTCTAGTAAAACAAGTCAAAACAACTTCCCGGATCTCAAGGATGTAGGCCAACAGATTTCCATAAATTCTTAATCTTTTTGTTTAATAAGGTCTTAATTCAGCTTAGCTATAAGATTCTAAAAAAATATCTCTTTTGTAATATGGCTGAGACCTTGGTATTTAAATAAAAATTGCTCCATAGTTACTATATTCATTGGATAGAGGACCAAAGATACCAACGTCAAGCGGCTGCAAAGAAATCTTAAAAAGTTAGTAAACTTTATAGTAATATAAAATTTACAACTATCTAAAACGATAGCAATAAAATATTCATCTACAGTCAGGCACGTTCGCCCAGGTATGATCAAACCCTGCAAATACCACTACTTCTGCTTTGGAGCAAATAGTGGCTGAACCGTACGTCATATGTGCCAGCTTGAGCCACATGTCGTCTTGGACGGGGAAGGACGTCTCCCACTGCTGCTAAAACGGCTGAGACACCGTCTTCCCGTTTTTCAGCGCACAAACTTGGCCACATGTCCGTCATCTTGTGTGTTGATGACATGGAACAGGTGGATCCAGTCGGCGTCGACGCTCCGCTCGCTCTCATACTGCTCGATACTCTGTCTTCGCAGCTCCCCCCGGTGGCGGACCAGGCCAGGTCCAATCAGGCCTTCCATTCGACCAGGCGCACCTTGTCTGACTCTGGTATGCAGTGCTGCTGGGTCATGGCCGTCAGAAAAATCGAACTGGTGACGTTGTCCATGTAGAAGAAGACGATCTTGCGCGCCTTGGCTGCTTGATATTCTTGCTTTCCATTACTAACTTCTCCGATGCGGTGACATCGCCACAACTTCAGGATTAATTAGCTGTCGTTTAGGGAACCATCGCACCAGGAGCCGAACTCCCCAAATATTAGCTAGAGTTTTACAGCTTTGTCTCCTGATGCAGTCTGTGGCGGTATGGTGTTATTATAGCGGCTAATCTTTAATGATAGTTTGTTAGGGTTCAGAGAATAAATCCTTGTGGTGATCCACACTGCTTTGATATATTCCAAATGGCTGAAAGCTCAGCCAAGTTGAAGAATCTACATTTCAAAATCGGATATTATCTGCAGATCAACGTGGACTACCACCTAAGATTGATAGTGCGCGTGACATGGCTAGATTGCTTCTCTCAACCGCCTAGAATCAGTGCATAAATGGATGCAACAATCTATTAGCTGCAATCTAGAGATCAAGTCAAAACACACCTGTAGATATGACTACGAGCAAGCTAAAAGTAAAGGTCCAAAGTATAAAGCACATACTACATAATATTAGAAGATTGTGAGAAAGAAAGATAAGAAGAAAGAACAATATCTATTATGACTAACAAATAGCTTTAGGCTAGTTTTATCGCTATATCTAGGGTCCCCTCCAATTAGTGCAGCTAACCAACCGGTGTAAATAAAGGGAAGATGGGTCAGCAAACTCGCAGTATTTCTCTTTGCCCTTGGTGCTGCATTGACTGTCTGGCTCTGAAGACAATTATATATAGCTCGTAAATCGTCTGTTCATGTAAGGCTCACACAAACCTAGCTTAAAACACTCAACTATTACAGGCCAATGTTTCTCAGTGCAACAACAGGGCTGCTCACATCCCTAGCTAATAATTACAGAGCAAGGAAGGGCGATTGGTCGACCATGGCGCTGTTAACTATCATCACCACCTGTTTTTCTGCCTTGGGCTTTCTGGCCTTGGTAATTATCTATAAGTTAGGGAAGCTTGTGAAAGTAAAGCGGGAGCATGACATTGAACTGAACGCGGGCTTTCTCAGAGCGATGCCTTAGAAAAACAGGCTAGGACCGTTATGTACCTAACCAACAGTTATTCCAAATAGGGAGGACTCGCTAGAAGATGGCCTATTTTCTTCTTTCTCGGTAAAGCGTGTCAAAGCATTTTCCCTCTTCAGGTTCAGAGATTAGCATTTATTCCCTTCATTATCCTCCCTAAGAGGTGACTGGTTCTGGGTCTGCAGATGTCCACGTGAACAAGTGGGAAGGTGCGTATAACTTTGTCCGGGCTTTGACTCTCATTAGCCATATTCACAGAGTTGATACGAGATAGTGCAATATGCTAATTCCAAGGGTTGTTGGCTACAGCCACCAGACATACACGAGCAGTGAAGAAATCAGCAGAGACATAACTTTCTATGGCGGGAAATCTAAACAATCATTGCACATAGGCGGTTTTGAACTCTTAGAACCCATATAGTTTTTGGTACCACGATTTCTTTGTTCGATTCGGTTCGATTGACAACGGCGTCGAGGTAGGCACGCTCTTCTCGTCCATTGTCACTGTTATGGAATGTGCAGGCTTCTAGAACTATGTATACTGCAAGGGCCTGGATGAATTGCATGCATCTCATGTAGATATATCAATCTCCACGTCAATTGCCCTTAATTATTCCCGTTCAAGATCGGCCTGTATCCTGGATCGCCGTCTGATCGACAGCCCTAATGCACCCACGGCGTGAAGGCGCCGAGTGAACAGGATCTCGGGCCGCATGAGCCCACCAATTCGGAGCGGAGGATCGGGATATTTCTATCCACAAGTCTGTAAGCTTCACATACAGCGATTGATGATTGATTAATTGATTATTGAGAAGCTCATGGTTGATTTGCAAATGGCTCTCGCTTTGTAGTGTGATATATATGCTAAGATATTTAATTCAACCACTGTAGTACAACACTCTTCAAACATTAGGGTTGCCACGATAGGTGCTCCCTGTCCTTATTATTCACGCAAAATGGCCTGTAATTGGACATGTAAAAGATCCATTATGTCACTGGACTGCTACAGCTACGTCGGTCTTGCAAATTCCTACTCTCGTATTTACAGTAAAGTACCCAGCGAGAGATAGTGTTTTGCTATCAGGGTATCTGAATCGCTATCATACACATATTAAACACAGTATCCAGACAGTAGGCCGCTTAAAATTACTGACAATGGCTTCACCACATATTATTCGGAAGCTCTAATATACTGGCCAGTACAGTAGTTACGCAGATCGAACTGTATATATGAAACCAGATTGATTTGAGATAAACTTGTCGATACAGTGATGCATGGAGTAGATATATTGCAGAAAATATGACAGCCATCAATTTAAACTAGCAAGGTCTATATACCAAGCAAATCTCATAAAAACAAGACTAAGGAGATCCAATATCAGCGTACATCCACCATACATCCACACTACATCGACTTGTGTTACTTCCATGATATCCACCGCACTAACCACAAGACATTCCTTCTGGCACATATTAACTAGAACCAGTTTACTGCACCTTTCCTTTCTATGTAATTCGATCAGCATATTTCCCACAACTTGGCTGCGGAGAACACTTACCCGAGAAACAACGAAGCCAGGAAACTCAGCGCGGAGCCCGCAATGGCAGGAAGATAGACCATATCCAAAGCCTTGACAATAGCATGAGCAACCTGAGCCTGTTGCTCGGTCGTCAGGTGGTCTGAAGAGCACTCCCAGTCTCCGACAGGTAGGAGCTGATACTTCCCACCATATCTGGCGGTACCACATCAGCGATGTACTGGTGGCCCAGATTCTGATAAATAATACCCGCGACGGAAATGAAAAGATTGCCAGACCCTGGCCCACACTGAGAACGCCAATCGCATCAAAGATCTCACTCGGAGCAACCACCGCGGGTGCAACGCCGAAAGAGCTCATGAAGTAGCTGCCCCCTCCGATGCCGATGAGGGCATTATACCCGTAGATTGCCGAGGTGGGGGTGTCCAGCTTGACTGTCTGTGGCTATATGTCAGGTATGTGTCTCGGTGAGAGTGCAGTAGGGAGTTACATACACAACAGCGTGGCTCCGGCGAGCGCAAGAGCAGAGCCAAAAATATACCACGGGTGAAGTAGCCGAGTTTCGACATAAGGAATCCGCTGAGCGAAGAAAATGCAACCATCATGAACACGAAGGGGAGCAGTTCACCGCAGCCGTCATAGGCGACATGAATTAGCACCTAGAAATGCGGCAAGAGCTGGTATGACCACTTACATATACCGCGCCAGCAGTCGGGTGGGAACAGGGCTGCTAATTACACGTTTTTCGGTTGCAGGCCGTACGCCTTGTTCATACACGGGTGAAGCTGCAGGACGACCCGAGGGATGCTGTTGGGCCAAAGGACAGCGCGAGCGATACTGAAATGAAGAAGGCGCCGATACAGCTGCAATTCTGATGGTGCATCGCACGACCTTGACCTTAGCAGTGACACCAACAGGTCTCCCTGTCATAGCCGGGGATGGGTTACCTACAGCGACTGTCATGGTTGCCCTGGTTAGTAGCGGCCGCCTTGCATGCTCACTGTTGTCATTCCCAGCAGACGTAACATACAGTCCGGGGTGCGTTTATGAATCTACCAGACGGCAGAATGACCGACGTGAAGCGCGTTCAGAATGTCTGTCACTCCTGCAAGTTGCGGAAAAAGGCATGCGACAAAGCCTTGCCTGCTTGTGGTTTCTGTGCCAGCCGCCTGTTGCTCTAATCCAGGCAGACACTTTGTGCCCTTCAATCCCGGTCTTCTCAGAGTCTCTCTCAGGCCAAGGCTGTGACGCGACAGCCGCCGTCCCTTGAGAGCCAACAAGATCATACTCCGTTTCGCCACTCGGGTCTCTACGCCTTCCGTCAGTAATGGAAGAATCGCTCAATCAGTGGCCCAACACTTCACTGAGCTTGCCAAGCTCACGTGAGATAACCTCATCGACCGCTACATTCAGGCCTTTCACAAACAGTTCCGTGTTGTGTCTCCCGACTCTTTCCACCAAGAAGCGTCACGGTATCGAGGACGACTTTCACCCGCACCACATTTCACAGTCCTATTTCTCTCCATGTTACTCATCGTGCTTCCTGCCCTCGATGCCTCTTTGTGACCGCTTCGTGCAAGTTAATGTGTTCCTCTACGCGATCACTAAGTCGGCCTTCTCTCAAGCTCAGACCTCTATCTGCACATCTCTGCGACTAGTCCAAGCGGCGCACTAAGTGAATACACATGCACCCGTCCAGAGGCTGCGTACATTTCCGTGATGACTTGTGCGGGCTTGGCTCGGGTTCTAGGAATGGGAATTACGTCGGTGAGAACTACGAGAGATGCACAAAAAACAACCGACTCCCGACTGGAGAAGATGGAGAGGGGGAATCTCGCATGGGCGATTGCAATGCTAGAAAGGTACCAGTGAACATAAACAAAATGCCAAGGCCCAAGGGAGAAGTGTTACTGTAGTTACATCTCAGGCTTATATTGTGCGAGAGGGACAAAGTGATCTACGACCGCCGAAAGAATATCCAGGTCCTGATTGTCGGTTGCCTTCAGATCTAAAACCAATAGCGGGCTCGACTCTAAGCCAGGGCCAAACTTGCAACCGTTGAATCAAATTACATTATCAAGCCTGGATGCGGCAGACGCTGGTCAATTCGGACGGCAAGTACAGTCGGTCTCCCTGCTAGACCAACTATTATTTGCCATGCACCTTACCGCAGCAACAAGGAGAATAAGCTTGTGGAGCTTGCAGAGCTTGACAGCAAGGTCCACAGTTTCCTGGAGGTGGTCATGGGTGAGCTAGAGCGGAGGCAAACACTAATCTGCGTCGCCGTTGCGCTCTGTCAGGTAAGCAATGGCACGGTGAAGAGAAGGCCCAGATAATGCCAATCTGCCGCTTCTATAATCTTCGGGCTGCTAGGAAACGCATGCAGGAGCGGAACAAACTTGATATGGATGAGGCACTGTCTCTGACATTGACAGTCTACTGCGCGCCGAAGAGAAATACCGCAGGACGTGGGTGTTCTAGGAGTGGTAGGCCGTTGATGTAGGCACTTCGATAGGGAACTTTGCACCGCAAAAGTCCCACCATACTCTACAGCAATTACCGACCACACTAAAGCCATCACTGTCACTTGCAAAACTATCGCCATTGTCGGATTCATTCTCATCGGAGTTACCGGAGTTACCGGATTTACCACGGCGGCTGCGATCTTCACATCTACAAAGACTGCTGTCTATTTCATTCAAGTCTAGCGCATTAAGAGAATACGAGGACAGATTGACGGCTCATACGAACGGCCTGCAAGGCTATATATTGGAAGGATGTACGCCGTCGACTTGCATCAGGCTTCCCCTCAAGCTCGAGCAAGCAAGAAACAACCGCAGAATCCTTACGACTTACATTAGCATCTGAGTTTCCAATAACCACCGCAAACATGACATCCACAACGACAGAGACGACCGCTCAGCTGCAGTGCATGCAACAGGGCGGCCCCTTCAAGATCGTGCACGTTCCCAAGCCGACGCTGGCGCCCGAAGAGGTGCTGATCCGACAGCGGGTCGTCGCGCTCAACCTGTTGGACGTGAAGCAGCGCGACCTAGGTGTACTCATACCGCGCTGGCCGCACGTGTTAGGCATCGAGGGCGCCGGCGTCATCGAAACTGTGGGCTCGGAGGTGGGCGACCTGCAGCCCGGCGACGAGGTCGCGGGCTGGGAGCGCGGCGTAGCCCTCGAGGTCTCCTGGGGCGGGGCGTTCCAGGAGTGCGTCGCGGTGCCAGCGTCCTTCGTGGCCAAGAAGCCCAAGAACATCAGACTTGAGGAGGCTGCATCGCTGCCGTAGGTTTATCCAGATCGATGCGTGCAGGTTTCTCACCAGAGCTGACCTGACGTTTAACAGCATCGGCTTCGTCACCGCCGTCTGCGCCATTGTCGACAGCCTCAAGATCCCGCTACCCTTCCTGCAAGGCATGTCGACCGAGGGGCAAGCGCCGTCCTCGATTCTCATCCTCGGCGGGAGCTCCGCCACGGGCGCGGCGGCGATTCAACTTCTGCGAAAGGCCTACCCATCGCTGCCTATTCTGGCAACGGCTTCGGTAAAACACCACGCGCGACTTGGCGACCTCGGCGCGACGTATGTCGTCGATTACAAGTCTCCCACCGTCGTGGCTGATATTAAGGCCGCGTCGCCGGGAGCCGCCGGCGTCGACATAATTATCGACTGCGTGTCGGCCGGCGCCAGCCAGACCGACATCAGCGACGTGCTCAACCCCTTTGGCTGTAAGAGGTACGCTGCTCTCATCACCGGCGTGCAAGTTCCAGTACCGGAGGGGGTCAACAAGCTCGACGTCAGCGCGTTGTCCGTGGTCGACCAGCCGGGAGGCAAGCAGCTCATCCCGTCAATCACCAAGCTTGTAGAAGAGGGCACGTACAGGGTACCACTGCCGGTTAGGGTTGTTGGGCACGGATTAGAAGAGCTGCCTAATGTCCTGGACGAAGTGAAGACTGTCAGTGGGGAGAAGGTGGTCGTGACGCTGTAATGGTGATTTGTGTGAGGCAAGAATACTGGATCTAGTCTTAAACATGAAATAATAGCTACTACACTCTGGAGGAAGGTTGTAGGAGGATATTTATTCCATCAACATCTTGTCACCGTGAACAACTATGTTGAGACACGTATGCACTAAAATTCAGCCGCTTATATTATATAATAAATTAAAATAACTAGTTAACTTAACTAGTAGTTAGTTAAACTACACAGTAGTTAACTTATGAGTCATAAACAGGGCTCTCTAATATATACGACTGACAGCCTCGCCCACACAAGAAACCTCCACATCCTCTCCTCTCCCTATACCAGGTATTCCGATCATGCCCCTCAACCCCATCACCCAACAACCTGTTGTTGATCCCCAAAAGGTCGAACACATCTCCACGCGCCCTCAGAAACGCATCGAGATCGTCGAACCCAGCCCAACATGGCCAGCCACCTACGAACACATCGCGCAGCGCATCCGCTCCGCTATAGGCAACTACATGATCTCCATCGAGCACATCGGGTCGACTAGCGTGCCGGGCCTCCCCGCCAAAGACATCATAGACGTGGACGTGATTGTGCCCGATCCCAGCGCCGAAGACAGCTACATCCCCGCACTGGAGGCGGCCGGGTTCCAGTTTCTCTTACGTGAACCAGACTGGTACCAGCATCGGTTTCTGGGGCTAGAGTTCCCCTATGCGAATGTACATGTGTTCGGGCCGGATGGCCACGAGGCGATTAGACATCGTCTGTTTCGTGACTGGTTGCGGGATCATGAGGAGGATCGTATTCGATATGCGGCTGCTAAACGGGAGGCAGCTGAGGCGAGTCGTAATGCGGGTGAGACTGTTATGCAATATACTGATCGGAAGGAGCCGGTTATTCGGGATATCTTGCAGAAGATATATAAGGTGCATGGGATGTTGTAAGGCTGGTTCTTGTGGTGCTGTAGTGTACTTCGTGGATGAGTGAATCTGATTTGGTTGCCCTTGTAGATAGGATATACAAGATGAGTGGTGCATATCCCATCCAATATTAAAGTGCAAGCCTTAGCCTACTATGATAACAGAAGTAGGATCCTCAACAGGAACCATCAATAGATGGAAATCTATTGTCAAAAACTAGAACCACCTCTTCCCCTTCCCATGGCCATTTTTCGGACCTAAGTTGTTATTCTACAAGCTTTAAATCAGATTGCGATAACGTATATGGCCAGGAACATACGAATGAGAATATCCGGGATCTGTGGTATCCAGTGTAATTATATTCGGATTTTATTTTAGTTAAAGCACTAATTTAGTCTTAACTCGTGCTGCTTGAATCTCCGGGATCATGGATCTACCATACTATGTAGTGGTCGGTCGCCGCGGTGTCGATATATAGACATCCAGCATTATCACAGGCCAGTTAGGGGATATTCGAACACAAAGGAGTGGTTATAGGGATCTATCACTGGATAGAGCTGGTAACCATGTAGATCATCGTATTATACTGGATCTATTATTAGGGATCTACCCTGAGGACGCTGCCACTAAATCTTGCATCTTAGTTCTCGGCATCTTAGTCAATCGTCCATCTGTGCGATCAAGATATCAACTGCACGATACCCCACTGCCCCAAAATCTGTGGGGAATGCTAAAGCAAGGGACTCGTTCTATAGCTATCTGTCAATCTGTAGATACCGCGATTCCGCTTCAACACTGGATTAATCAGCGCCCGCTCAGTCCATCGGTGAAGTTATTATTCACCATAATATCGCTATATTCAACGCCTTCCGTCTGCGTCAGCGAAAGCAGTCATTGAACCATGCTCTCGGTCAGGATTTCTGGGTCCGACGAACCATTTGGAGTTCTTCCGTGAGCATTCTCTGGGTCTTGGGCCACAATTTGGTCCTCCCTCGGGCTTGATCGCTGGGGATAACAAACAACAAGCAGAGTTAAATAGAATTAGGGAATGGATTCAGAAGACAGTTCCTCCACAGCCCTCTAAGTTCTTCTGCATTCCATCAGGATCGTTAAAGGACTAGTACACCAATCTACAGAGCAATGTTGGTATTAATGAATATAGGGTGCAAGAATTTGCTCGGGAAACCCATCAAGAGGCCATCAAGCCTCCTAAACCGCGGGATATCAACAACTGGATCAACAACTGGGAAACTGCTCTGCAGGACTACATAGAACTAATCACCCCTGTATATAAACCCCCGATCAGAAGTTAACACTCCCTCGTAAAGATCTATTTGCACTCCCAAACAACGACTCTGGCCCCGCACCTGGTTTTGGTCCAAGTCGAGCGATCGTACGTGGAGAACCTCCGTTGATTGAGACATATGCCTCAAAGGCTGGAAATTCATCGACCTTGCCCACAAACTCGACAAACTGATCCACACGGTCAACAGTCAATGTCCCTATCAGATCGATATCTGGTGACCCAGTGACTAGGGGATTGTTCTGCGCAGCTTGAAATTCGAGGACAACCCTGGTGGAAGAACCCTTCAACACCTTAAAAGCCATATTGTCATTATTTTGTGTCTTTCTTCCCTCGACATCGCCATCTTCACAATCAACCTCCGTGGTTTCGTCGCAATAGTGCCGCTGTGACCACCGGTAGCCATTAGGGTTAACCCACACCCAGGCCTGAGAGTGCATTCTCGATTTTGCGTCACTGGCGCTACTAAAGCCACGTTGATCAGTCAGGAAACAGTCGCCGATAATAGGAATTCCGTTGATCATCATCTTGCTGCTATCTTTGGGGTAGGCTCTGGTGACCCCTGCAACGTTCAATGGAATGAAGGCTTTGATCCAAAAGACAACTGCGACGTCATTATTTGCATCCTCATCCCGAGTCGATGGTACCCTTAGTTCGTTCCAGGATTTGTCACCTGGCCAACCATCAGCGTCCACACCAGTATATCCGAGCTTCTCCTGCCAGCATTTGTATGAAGCCTGGTCGGCGCCTGTCCATTTTGGTCCAGGACCTATACTGTACTTGTTGCATCCTTCAGCTACTAATCGCTTGCCCATTGCTGTAATGATCGGACTGGTGGGGTAAGATTTAAACCATTCTGCTCCTGGGAAAGGCGTGGTCTTGCCACTTCCACGATCTTCCGGTGAATACATGCCGGAGACCATAGTAATGAGTGTCAAAGAGAAGAGTATTCTCAAGAAGATTATAAAATTCGACATCATTTTTGGCTCTAGGTTGGGGTCTAGGCCTCTTGTGTAACTAATGTAGTTGAGAATTTTTGGAGGTCGAGATGAACCAATTTCTAAGACAAAGAAGGAGATATTTATACCTCAGGATGTTTCCATCTGCTGAAATTTGTACATCCGATACACCACTCATGGTAATTTGAAAGGTGTAATATTGCTACGTCTGTGTTCTGGTGGCTGTCCAGTTAGCTGATACAGCGTGGCGACCAATAATACTTGGGCTCCCCTCTGACTATCTCCAGCTCACCGGCTTGCTACCAAGATTGTAGCCGATGAAGTATTTCAGTTAAATTATCTTCCTGCTAAGTAGCACCATCCCTAGCCTCTGCAACATTTTCTTGTACATAATTGAGGTCAAGGCACATTGGAAGGGGGGGAAGCCAATCAAGATCGGGAGAGATGATCGACGTATAAATATAGATGAAAGCCTTGGCAATAGTCCTGTGTTTTAATAAGAAAGAGAGAAAGTACTTAGCTGAGGTACAGAGCAGATACGGTTGATAATAGGAAGCTTTCCATGGTAACTCACTGTTGTAACATTTGTATCCTACGCTTCTCCCCTGAGATCTATCTACCCTTGAAGGGCTCCAGGCTTCAAGGATAAATTGGAAAGCCAATGATAGGCTCCCAAATAATGGAGTGGAGGAACACAGCCAGGCTGGTGGTAGTCTAGGAACTCAATGAACCTTTCAACATATCCGATTGTTTGGTTGCCTGGCAGCCTTTGGTTCAAACGGTCCAGACACGTAGGCGCTGTGGCGGGCTTGTATAGTGTGGCGTTTTTAACGACAAATGAGATATGGCTATTGCGCCTTGGAATCTACAAAGACTGATCGGCGTATAGGTTGAAGCCTGACGCTCAAGCTCCGAGAACTGCTTGCACAGCTACATAACCAAGCAAGTCAGAAACTCGTAGGGAGAACAATGGGGCAAAAAAAAAAAAAAAGTAGAGATGAACATAAGGGGCCAAATGTTCTACAAACAAAGTGGCATAAACCCCGTCCCCCCAGCCCTCACAAAACGATATTAGGAGTGCGCACTGGTCCGGCTTTTTGACAAGCCTGATGCTGAGTGCTTCATCACCATACTTTTTTCCATTTACAGGCTGTCTTCCTCTTTTTGTTTTGTTCTTTCCCGCCAAAATTTGCTATATCACTGTGTCCTGTTCAAGGTTGAAGATTTAATCTCCTATTGGCTTCCAGTCCTTTGTGCCTCTAACTTTACTGTATCACTATCAGATTGACTTAGAAGCTTGGTATTTTTCTTTGCATGGTAGGATTTCTCTATCTTCAAAATAGCACAAACAGCAGCACAATATTGTGACCTAAGGCACCGACAAACTCAACCATACCTAGTACAGAATTGGCGGTATTGTATATGTGGTGCATAATTGCATAATGTGATCATGTGCGATTAAGAACGGAGGTATGCCCCATCCATACTAGCAAATTGCCAAAAGATGAGAGGAGAAAGAGAAGTAAATTCCTGGAACATCTCAATGGACGTGTTTCACATGGGCTGTTCATTTGGGGCTGTTTCATTAAGTTATAGGTAATGTGTGATGGCCTTGCCTTCGACATCGCGTTCAGCTCAATGTTTATGTGGTTTGTCTGTAGACCGTATTGGGCTGAGGGCACAGGTTTAGGGCTAAGAAGCTGCCCACCATGTTCTCGCTTACCATGATAACGTCCCTTCTACTTTCTTCTTTTCCTCCTTATCTTTAATATTCTTAGGACTCAATATGATTTTATCTATTTGATTTGCCTGCCATCACACCACCCACCTATCCGCAGCGTACCACCACCACCACGGCGATGCGGGGACCATATCATTCAGTTGGAGTACTCGTCCAAGTTCTTACGTTATACCATGCTGATATAGAGCTTAAGCATATTCACCCCCGATATCCTACCTCCGTTAATAGGACACGATAATGCCCCATCCTACAAGCTGATGGCACTAGAAAGACTCATACACAGGACAGTACCCTCAGTTCCAGGGAAGACAAACACAGAACACAGAATCAATACACCACCCGCGGAATACCATGACGCAATAGTATCCACGATGAAATAGGCATGAGAACAACGCGGAAGCCCGAGATTAATAATCACAAGGGGATCGAGAGACCGAAACAGGAAGCAGTATCAACAAAGCAGGGCAAACTCTTGGCAGGGTAACCAGGATCCGGACTTGCTAATCATCGGCCAAAAAGCAGGGAAGCAGCTCGTCGCTCCCAAGAAAGCAAAATGCGCTGGTCAAAACTCTTGGACCCAAACGCTGTGCGCTGCAGTCGAGAAGAAACACCCTGGTAGGACAAGTGCAGATTCTTAATTCCCTTGTGGATGCGTTGGTTCGGGAGGGGCGGCATTGCCATGAATTTCCTGTTCTGGTATGTATGTTGTGCAGCCTGCCTTGTTGGCTACCGGGTGTCAATATGAAGGGATATTGTATTAATTCTTGTTGGTATGATACAGCTGGATGTATGTTGAGTGAGAAATAATTAATATGTTGCTATTACTAGAGAGCGGAGTAGGAATTAGAATGGAGTCGACTAGATACATGCGTTGGAGTCCGAACGTGCTTAGCTTGACCCTTTTTTTGTTTGGTAGAGAGGAAGCTAAATCCAACATAAAAAGAGCCACTGTGTACTGTAAGATCACAATGATCAGAATTGTCCTATGCTTTACATATTACGTTACAGAGAGAACTATTCCCGCGCAATCAGCTTATAGCAACGGTTAAACACGCCTGTCCAACTGGTACATCGTGTGGGTCATGACTCGTAGTGTTGTACGAATACCACTGCATGCAGCATCATGATCAAGATCCTATACCCTATACCAAGAGCTCGGCTCCTACGTTCGTCATGTATGAACATGCCGAGGCACATCGTTTATAATGCCTTGGATAGAAGGTTTCCTGTATCATTGTATGACGTGCCAAGGCAAATGGACTAATAGGGTGATTAAAACTGCCGGTGATAGATTTCTACCCCGGAAGAATAGTTCCTTTTGCAACATTCGCAGCTCAGTACTAGAAATATACTACCTCGCACGGCATTTGTACTGAAGCTAATTTTAGTATACCATACTATTTAGTCTATACTGAATATCGGTTTCTATAGTTACAGATATACTATCACAATGACAGACACCGAGAAACAGGACATTAGGCATATGGGATCATGCGAACGCCTACCCAGTATCCCAGAGGATGTCCAGGAAATTACAGTCGAGTATCCTAGAGGATGGAGACTATTTTTGACCACAGTTGGGTACTTTAAGAGCTCTCTCTACTGCCACTCCCACTGACAAAATTCTAGTGTGCTAGCCAGCGTGTACCTCGTTAACCTGGAGGTCACCATTGTCAGCACATCACTCATAAGCATCACGAACGACCTCAATGGTTTCGAGAAGACTAGCTGGATCGCGACTGCTTTCTTGACAACATACACTGGTAGGCCCTTTGTCGGGTATATTTAGCAATAACCATTAATCTCTTAGCTTTTATGAGCCTATGGACAAGGTTCAGTGATATAACCGGCCGGAAGAAGGCTATTATTGCAGCTGATATCGTCTTTCTTATGTTCTCAATGGGATGTGGAGCGTCTAAGACAGTGGACCAGCTGTAAGTCTTATAGGAGTGATGTGAATATTATATTAATAATTCTCAGGATTATATGTCGAGCGTTCCAAGGCATCGGTGGTGCAGGTGTATACACACTTGGCGTCCTCTGTGTGTATGAATTAGTCGAGAAACCACGCCTTCCTCTCTTCGGCGCCCTGATGGCAGTCACGATTGCTCTGGCATCCTTGACGGGCCCAATATTTGGAGGGGTTCTGACCGAGAATTCAAGTTGGCGATGGGTGTTCTATATCAAGTTGGTGTGCCCTTATTCTTGCAGATAAAGACAGGGTTTGACAGAGAAACTGGAGCCTCCCACCAGGAGGACTGGCAGTTATATTACTAGCCCTGGGAATGCCTGCGCATTTTGGCTCTGCGAAGCCGCAGCCCCTTTCCGAGCTGATGCCGAGTTGGCAGCTTTTCAGAAAAATCGACTTCATGGGCTCGTTTCGCAGCTCAGTGGCTCTCTACTCTTGGTTTCTGTGCTGAATGAGGCCAACCAACATTTTGAGTGGTCTTCCCCTACAGCTATCACCCTCGTCGTACTGGCCTGTCTCTCTTGGATTGTCTTCTTTGTATGGGAATTGTGTATCGTGGCCAATTGTTCTGGATATGATCCCATCTTTCCTAGACGTTTTCTTTCCAATCGAGCCTGGATCGGGATACTGATGTATGATCTGCTATCTCCTAGCTGCTCAGGAGTATTCAAGCTGACCAATATGTAGAACAACATTTGCCAGTGGCTGTCCCTGGAATGTGATTATTCTCTACATTTCGCAGAGGCTTCAACTTCTAGTAAAGATGTCGCCTCTAGAAGCCGGCATCCATCTTATTCCATTTTCCGCCGTCGCTACAGTGGCTTCAAGCCTGGCCTGTCTGTGTAGCTCAAAAGGCCGTGTTCCATTCGTTTACACTACCCTACTAGGGTCTTTTCTCCAGATCGTCGGCGTTACGTTGCTGTCGACCCTTCCTGAATCCCCAACCTTTCCCACTGAGGGACCGGGATACGAAGCCCTGGCGGGTCTAGGTATAGGAACTACTATTGGAATCTTGATATTGGCGACGCCGTTTGTAGTCGAGGTTCAAGACCTAAGTGAATTCCAATCCCTTTCCCATAAACAATCACATACTAAGATTATATCATAGCAAATGCAACCGGAGCTCTGACTCAATATCGTTTTCTGGGAGGCGCAATTGGCCTTTCCGTTGCGTCGAATATCCTAAACTCGAGGTTGAAGAGCAAGCTGACTGGCGTACTGTCATCGGAGCAGCTGCAGACTTTGCTTCAAAACCCAGCCATGGTCAGCTCATTTTCCCCTGACCTGCAAGGAATCATCGAGGCTGTTTTTAGCAGGAGCTATACTATCCAACTGAGAGCCATGATTGCGTTTTCCGCGATGCAGGTGTTGGCTGCTCTTTTGATGTTTAAACGTGGACGACAGCATGCTGTGGCGTGATGATACAGATTTGAATAAGTTCTGTAAACTGAGTTACCGGGGAATTACCAGGGATGGTTATTTGCCTTCAGATAGTTCATGTTTTAGTATAAGTTTGAGAAGAGATATCTATTGTTATATTTTTTTTTTATGACTGTCTGGTACTCTCTAGTGGCAGAAATAGCTTAAGGGTTCTCTGGTTTCTTGCTCTATAGCAGTAAAGCCAATCAGGTAGTACTCTTTAATAGAACTACTTTATATTCCATCATATGTAACATCAAACTCACAATGAATTTAAGCAGATACTACTGATTCAAACTATCCATTTCACACACTCGCAACCCAATAAGACCTACGTAATTAGGAAATAACTGGTATACACATCTCACTTCAGCCAGAATAAGTAATCCCACTGGAAGAGATATATAGAGTAAACTTCACCGCAATACATGCACTTTTCCATCTCCATGTATGAGATGATAACACTCCTTACATGTCCAGTTCCACGTGTCTGCAACCTCACTAGAAGGGCAACACCCATTAAGTTAACAGCCACCGAGACAAAACGTGTACCAGGGGTGACACAAGCCCCATATACCTACTTCCTCACATCCTCTACTATCCAAGATAAGTGGTGATGTCACGCTGTGGATATCTACTCAGGAAACCTGATTCGGTAACTAACTTCAAGATTCGGCGTGGTTCCGGAAAGGCATCCCCAGTTTGCGGGAACATTTTGGTCTGTGGCTAGTGAACATACTTGTGTACGGACGGTTGTAGCATCTGATCTCTGGATGGTTCTGGGCGGCTGTTGGACGAACTATCATACTGTTTGCGACTACTCTTGATATCACGTGCGAGAGACATCATATTCTTGATCTACAAGAAACGTGTCCCAGGACACACGATAGTCGGAGTATCAAAGGGACGCGACCAGTCGATATCATAGCTGGGCTGATTGAGGCGGACATCCCTCGCAGACAGAATATGTGTTACTCGTTTCGGAAAATGATGAATTCGCGAGTCCCCTTGGACGAGTCCATCACAATGAATGCTCCTCTATCGTTGGCACTTATCTGCCAGGGCATACAGAGCATCCTCAAATTCAATGATACCCCCATTGCCGAAACGGGAGATAGCTGGTTTAACACCCAGAGCATCTGCTTACCAAAAAGGAGCTGACATCCCGATGAAAATGGTATTCGTCTCCATAGACTGGAGTTTACCAGCTATCTTGGGATGTCAAATCGCTCGGCCAAATGGACGGGCTGTGCTCATGATCGGCGACGATAGCTTGTCAGATGATGGCGCAAAAGTTATGTACCATAATCCGGTTCAAGACGAACTCGGTTCTCTTTATCTTTAACAACCTGGACTATGGAATAGAGGTACATCCCATATTCTACTGATACAAATATATCAGGATAAGGGTACTAGTATCTGTAGACCGCCATCCACGACAGCCCGTACAATTATACGGGAAATGAAACTATGCGGCATTGGCCACTACCCTCGGCAGCGTCTGCATACTTTCAACAAAGCCAATCGATTTCAACGTGATCAGCCCGGCTTAGTTCTTCCATAATGCCATGCAGGTCAAAACAAGCGGCGAGCTACAAATCTCACCAAAACAGGCCCAGCAAGTGACTGGCAAGCTGGCGGTCATCGAGTGCTACATCCATCCAAGCGATAGAAGTCTCACGCTGGATCGCTTTGGGGAAGCGATTGGTGGTCAAGCTGGCAGGTTTCCAAATCGGTATTTATAATACAAATCAACATCATCACAAATTATAAATGCTATATTGCGATATCTAGGGCCCTTACTATTGAGCAACATTAATACATGTACGAGTAAACCAGAATTCTAACTGTCACTTTCAATTCCACGCACAGAGATAATGTCTGAACCTGTTTTTTCTTAGAAATTTAATTAAGATCTTGCTAATAAAGGTGAAAATTTTCGCGAACCGAAGTGGTGGGCAGATAGCTTACCCGGGTCTCGTTCTCGGGCTTACTTGCCTGGTCAGTGAAAACTACTTGCTAGAGCAAGTTAATATCTGCATGTCGATCTGTAAAGACAGTTATAGGGGACTATACATGCAGTATTATAGGTAGAGTACCAAGGAGGGTTAATTCAGCGCAGTCTGTATAGAGCTATGGGGCCTGTTTGTTGTCCCCACTGTCCCCATTGTCCCCATTGTCCCCGTTGTCCCTGTTGGCCCCATTAACCCTCGAAGACCCACATCACGTGACTTGTCTCCAATTTTTTTACCCGCCCGTTCTCCCTGTCTTTCCTCCAATGATTCCTTTCTGTATGTAGCCTATTCTATAGGTCCTACGGGTTCAACTCTTGACATCTGTAACTATTTACGGATAAGATGATATAATAGTAGTAGTAGACATATTGAAATACTCAACCATAGAGGATAAATAGCTTTATAGTTATATGTGAAGTGCATGCTGTCTGACCTGATCTCCAGCTAATACATTACCTTTCATAATAATGCTATAGACTCTACCTCTACTGTAGCAATATTATTGTTAAGGGATACACTACTGCCTACCGAACTGGCCTTCAGGTAATATACCCTCAAATTAGCCCCTCCATGTTCCAATTTATTGATTATATCTAGTGCTATGATGTAAAATATTTAATCATGTCTTTGTATATTTGTTGGCTATTTCCCTTCTGCTACTTAAATTTAAAGGAGCTAGTAGTATAATATGGGTGAGAAATATGGCTGTCTCTCTTCTCTGCTAGAAAATATAATGGACTTGTCTACTTATCGCCATTGTTAACTGCCAGGATATTTAAACCACCTAGTATCTCACGGCTTAAAATGTAGTCCGGCTGATCAATCTTACGAAACAACAACATGAAAAGTTTAATCTAAACCTAATTAAATTTAATATAAATTAATAAAACAATATGCGCATCCTGGCCAACTGTAATGCATAGGGCCCGTTTTGGTGGCCACAGATAACATCATCCCTGCATCGCTTTCGATCTTATACACTATTTGCATGAGGGGAAGCATTTTGCCATTCTGTGAGCTTTATTAAGCAGTTTTTATTCTGGCTCTTGTGAGACTAAAGGCTAGCTAGTTAAAAGCCCTTCCCATTGGATTATATGAGTATGGAGATTTACATCTATTCTAAGATAAAACGAATTGGATTTTAATATAGAAATACTATCATCAATGAATTTTGCCAGCACCTAATTAAGAGGTAGGTGTAACCGACGGGATTCCGTGAGCAACGATGATCTTGAGGAATGATATGCCATTTAATACTCGATATTCCGTCCATTCTCCGTAGATAAGTCGGGGATTACCGTGCCTGATATGCAGGACTGAAGGAAGCGGATAAGCGGGCGGAGGGGACGATGGCTGATTGGCCGCTTGTCTCCTGACGCGCAATGAGTTCCGGCCGGATTCCGCCTGCCGGATTGGGATCTCATATACTCTTGTGTCAGGGGACAGTTTCATCTTCGTCTACGCGTCTCCGTCGGCTCGACCGGTGGGCCTCCCGGTGCTTCGTCACCCCGGTCTCTCTTGTTCAGTGTTTCTCTCTGTCTTTCTCGCTCCTTTTAATTTGAAGTCATGGCCTACAATACGGTCTGTCGTTTTCCTTTCCATCCTACCGGTTGATTCTTTTCGGCGGCTTTCACCGTTGGTTACCCTAGGTAGCTCAATGGTAGTCATTCTTTACTCCGTTGCCTTCTTTTCAATGTATATATCCGATATTTGTACAAAGCATCGTTAGACCATGGTTCGTCGCTTCCTGGCTGCCTACAGCATTCTGTTGCTGTCCTTCCTTGCAGTCGCCGATAACTGGCCCTTTATCACGTTGGCAACCGCCCCATTCCGGCCCCCGCAACTGCATGTCACCAAGACCGGCAACACAGACCCCGGGTACATCTTCATCGGCCCTCGTGGGAACCAGGAACAGGGTACGGCGGCCCTCATCTACAGCGACGATGGTCATCTAGTCTACCAGGGTCCCACGGAGGTGGTTGCCAACTTCAAGGTGCAGAGGTTGTTCAACCAAGATGTGATCACATTCTGGGCCGGCGACATGATGACACTAGGCTTCGGCTATGGCACCGTTCATGTCCTCGACAATACCTACCGAGAGATCTACACCGTCACTCTTCCGGGCAACTTTATCTCCCCCGATGGTAGTCACCAAGATTCCTATATCGACCTTCACGAGAGCCGTGTGACAAATCGCAACACCCTGCTGGTGACGGCATACAACGTGACGCAGCACAACTTGACCTCGATTGGTGGCAAACCGGATGACTACATGCTGGACGGGCTGTTCTTTGAGATTGACATTGCGACGAATGAGATTGTGCACTCGTGGAGCGCTCTAGAACACCTCGGCGATATCCCCCTGGAGAAGTCCAAACAGGTCCTAGGAGACGGTTTCGGTACGCTTGAGAATCCCTGGGATGCCTACCATATTAACTCGGTGGAGGTCGTGGACAATGGCTACCTCATCTCTCTGCGCCATTACTGGTCTGGTATCTATGTCTACAACAATGGCTCCGTTGGATGGCAGTTGAGTGTAAGCTCCCTCTTCTATTTCTGGAAGGGTTGCTAATATTTCGTCTTTCTCTTTTGCAGGGTGAGAAAGGTGCCGGCGACTTTGAGATTGATGACGCCGCTGTTTTCTCTTGGCAGCATGACATGTGTGTCTACAACCTAACACAGGAGGGTATGGTCCTTAACCTGTTCAACAATGCCAACACTCCTTCCGACGAGGTTGCCGCAACGACCGGATTAAGTCTGAGTGTAGACTTGGTCAACCACAAGGTCACCGCTTTGCGGGTTTTGGACAACAAAGGAGATGAGATCCACAGCGTCAGCCAGGGGAGCTATCAGCTGCTAAGTGAACAAACGAACCATGTCTTCTTGGGCTATGGCTCCATCGCGCGGGTGAAGGAATTCGATGCCAACAACAACCAGATTCTCAGTGCTCAGTTTGGTGACGACAATGCCGTAGCATCCTACCGTGGTTTCAAGTACCAATGGAAGGCCACGCCGTTCTGGAAACCTGCCCTCGTCGTGCAGCGGGCTCCCAATGATCTCTTTTTGGCTTTCATGAGTTGGAACGGGGCAACAGAGTATGACAACTGGGCTGTGTACTCGGTACCTTCTCAGGATTCTGACGATACCACGTTTCTCAAGTCTGTTCCCCGCGTTGCCTTCGAGACCAGGGTCGATTTGACCGGCCTGAACACTTCTTTCCTACAGGTTGTTGCTCGCAAGGGTGACACTCCGCTCGGCACCTCACCGATTGTGAGCTTTTAAAGACCGATGTGCATGAAGTATCGCATTTCCACATGACACATGGGCTGGTCCCTGTGTGATGCTGGTGTTACTTGCATTTTACATATACGATTTTCTTGAAGTTGGGATGTATCTATTTTCTATGTTTCTATTTTGGTATGATTTTATATATACTCAGTTTTTGGTTCTTTTTGTACATATTGATATATCCATACTACGACGCTTGATTGATTCAGGCCAAATGCAAGGGTGGTGGTACCTGCATGGGAAACTCCCCGAGGTCGACGAATAATTTGCCGGACGTATGCTGCGAGGTCAGAATGTTCCATTTGCAATCGTGATACCGGATATCCGAGCGCAGAACATTTCCGCCCCTGTGTAGATCTGGTCCTTGTTTCTAGGCTAAATTCCTTGCCTACTGTCTGCAGCCCAGCTCCTTCCCACCGAACCTTTCTTGGATCTGGTGTAACTGATGGCGCCGTGGGCTGGAACGCCTTGAATACCCCCTTGCGGCATTGCCTCTTCCCGATGGCAAACAGACTAGGATCGGCGCTAATGAACCCCAACTGGATCTACTCAGGCATTGCCATGAAACGGGGTCCTTAGACTGGGTCGCTGGGAGGAGATATATAGCGACTGGTCCCGCTGCCTGAATCCAGATTCATCAAGTCTTATCAAATATTAAACAGAAGTGAACCTCGGTGAATTCAGAACACAATGCTCTTCCCAGTATTTTCTCTCCTCTCCCTCTCGCTCGCCTCTCTCGGCATCGCCCAGCCTAACATGGCGAGGCCCTCTCCCATGCCTACGTCTTCTATGTCTCCTATGTCCAACCAAACCACCGGACACGCCGTCGTCATCAACGAATGCACCCATGCCATCTACCTCTGGTCGGTTTCCTCGACCATGGGTTCCCAGATCACTCTGGCACCTCAGGAAAACTACACCGAGGTCTTCCACCACGACGATCAATCCGGCGGCGTTAGCCTCAAGGTTACCACGGTCAAGGACGGCCTGTACAATAGTGCGCCGCAGACAGTGTTCGCGTATAACCTGGTCGACCGCAATGTGTGGTACGATTTGTCGGATGTCTTTGGCGATCCATTCCAGGGCCACCTAGTTACATTATTGCCGTCCGAGCCGGCGATCAATTGGGAGGATGGAGTGCCGCCAGCAGGAAGCCAGGTGAGGATTCAGGATGCGGCGACAGATTTGGCCTTGACGGTGTGCTGAGATTTGACTTTGTATGTGGACTGGTCTATGTTGGAAATGTCTTTCTGCTGTTCAATGTTGAATCTCATCGATATTACCATTGGGCATTTCTGGACCGGAAATCATTGTCTGTAGGAAGCTAATCTAAATAGTCAGCTTCTCAAATAAGACAGAAAAAAGAATAACATGAAAAGATAATACGGAGTAGACGGACCATAAAAACGACCGATCCAATGATTGGAGCTCGTGACTCCACTCGGTCTTTTGTCCGATTTCCCCAATTCGGGCATCCCCCGCACTTCCCCAACTTCCCCTTCTTTTCTGCTTCCTTTCTGCTTCTTTTCTCTTCTTCCTCGTCTTCCACTTCTTCTCTTCCTCTCTTCTCGTAAATATCTATCATAATTATCATATTCCATCATCCATTCTCACTATGGTATTACCAACCGTCCGCGTGGCCCCCTCGGCCGCCAATAGAGCCCTCAACCTCCTGCGCACCGTTCAATACACTCACCCGCCTTCTTGTCCCTGCCATTCGAATCCCAATCACCACCATCATCATCGCACCCCCACTCTGGCCGAACATGTTCGCCGTCATATGGCCACTCCGGTCGATCCTTCGCGCCAGAAGGAATACGCCTTTGAAATGGCCGCGTCTAGCATCAGATTTGGGCCCGGAGCCACGAAGGAGGTCGGAATGGATTTTGCCAACATGAAGGCGAAGAGGGTCTGTGTCGTCACCGATAGCACAGTGGCCAAATTGGACGCTATGAAGCAGGCTATTGAGGGTCTATCGCGTGAGGGTATCGAGTTCACCATCTTTGACAAGGTTCGGGTGGAGCCTAAGGACTATTCGTAAGTCGATCGATCCCCCAGGAGTTATGTTACTCATATGCTGATGAAGACAGAATTAAAGAGGCGATTGATTTCGCAAAGCCTTATAACCCGGATGCATTCCTTGCCGTGGGTGGGTATTATCTATAGTCTATCTTGGGAATGCTACTAATACTATTACTGAATAGGTGGTGGCTCGGTCATTGATACCGCAAAGCTCATGAATCTCTACACCGTCTTCCCTGAAGCTGACTTCCTGGATTTCGTCAATGCCCCTCTGGGCAAAGGTCTCCCGGTAACTAAGCCATTGAAGCCCTTGGTAGCCGTGCCCACCACCGCGGGCACCGGATCAGAAACCACAGGAACCGCGATTTTCGATCTGGTATCCAAGAAGGCGAAAACCGGCATCGCCCATCGGAACCTGAAACCTACCCTGGGGATCTGCGACCCGCTGAACACACGCACCATGCCCTCCGCGGTTCATGCATCTTCCGGTCTGGACGTACTCTGCCACTCCCTTGAGTCGTGGACCGCTATTCCATACAATGAGCGGACTCCGCGTCCCACCAACCCCATCAATCGTCCCGCGTACCAGGGGTCTAATCCCATCTCGGATATTTTCTCATTGCAGGCACTCCGCAGCACAGTCAAGTATCTCCCTCGGGTGGTCAAGGATCCCAATGATATCGAAGCTCAGTCGCAGATGCTCTTGGCTGCGACACTAGCCGGCGTCGGGTTCGGCAATGCTGGTGTCCATCTCTGTCACGGCATGAGCTACCCGATTTCCAGCCAGAACCCCGGGTACAAGCACGCGGGCTACGAAGTCGACTACCCCATCATCCCGCACGGGGTGTCGGTCGCGGTCACGGCGCCGGCTGTCTTCCGATTCACCGCCGCCTCCAACCCGGACCGACATCTGGCCGCCGCTGAGGCGTTTGGGGTGGATATCTCCAACGTCAAGCGCGAAAGCGCCGGCGAGGTGCTAGGCGAAGCATTGGCCGTCTTCCTTGACAAACTGGGTGACCAACCGCGCGGATTGAAGGACCTGGGCTTCAAGCCGTCGGACGTGGAGTCACTGGTGGAAGGCACTCTGCCGCAAAAGCGCGTGCTCATGCTGGCCCCTAACCTCAGCGAGGAATTGGAGGCGGAGAAGACGGAGTTGAGAAAACTACTGGAACAGTCGATGTCGTACTAGATGACCCGTACCAACAGCTTTCGTCCTCGTGTATATAGTAGGCAATCATGACATTCACGCTTCTTGAAACCCAACCGATCTATCGCTAGCAATTCAAACACGTACATACATCTAAACCAAACACAAGACAGGAAAAGGAAAATCGTTACTCGGGTCTATCCAGCCCATCATGTACAAGGTCCATCGTCCACGATGACCGTACCCAGCATACCCATGGACGAAGCCACTTGGTCCGGCCAAGTCATTCCATAGGAAGAACCCTTACTCAATCCGGAGACCACACGGAAGGGACTGAATCGTCCGTCGGAGCGTTGCCGACGCAGCAGATCATCCAGCAGCGTCAGCGTCGTCTCCGCCCCCAGCAACAGCAACGAGGGTCCTTGGTCTCCATCCGACGTCTGCACCTGCGTCTCAATGGCCCGACGCAACTCCATAATCAACGGGGTCAACCGCACTCGTGCACGGTGAATGTCACTCCCCACTGTCGCAGATCCCTGCATCGCTTCGCTGAGATACCGCGGGCATTGGACAATCTCTTGAAACACCCGTTCCGTGACATCCACGAACCTAGCAGCGCTCCCTTGCTTCGCAGCGTCCTCGATCTGCACTCTCCCAGACAACCACCTCCATTCATCCTCATCCAGAATACAGGGTCGTCCTTCTTGCACCGCCGCGGCGATCAGGAACCCGCGGAACGCGATATAATTAGACCGTCCGAGTCCCCTCTGATGGGCGGCCGCGCCACGACTCACCATCAACCGTCTCACACCGTCTACATGCACCGCCCAGGCATCACGACTAGTGCGCGCATACATCTCATACACAGCCAACATCATCATCGAACTCAACATGTCCGCCGAGAGCGCATCCTCACCGTACAAACCGGCCACCACCTCGCGCAGAGCCTGCGCATACATATGTCGACTGGTCTTCAGCAACGCATGGTCCTGCATCTGATATGCTCGATACACACACACTAGACACGCGACCGCTGCGTCTTGGAACGGCTTGGACCCTGCATTCCGCGCAATGTACGCAGGGAAGTCCGTCTGACTGGCGAATCTGAATCGATTGTGGAAATACAGAGTGCAGAATGCCGAGGCGATGAATTCCTCGATGAGATGGGGCTGCGCATGCGTCTGTGTCTGCATCTGCGACGGACTGGTAGGTGATTGCTGCTGCATCATGGCTAGGGCATTCTCTCGTACTGCGGCCGCTGCGTCTGGGATGGAACGCGGACGCGGACGAGTGGACTGCGTGATGGACGTGGACCGGGTGACGGATGATTGATGACGACGCTCAAGGGCGGGTCGTTCATCCTGGAAGCGAAAGGTGCGCTGGTATCCCGGACAGGGACGGCCGTATTTTCGACACTGGGTGCAGCTCGGGGATGCTTCGTCGCACTGTCTTCTTAATGACTGGTATGGAGAGGGATGTGTACAGGTAGGGTTACCTTAATACGTCGCTCGCGACAGAGAGAGCAGCCAGTACTGTGAGGGACGCCGACCATTTCAACGAATAAAGCAAAGGAGTGGATAAGGAGGGACTAGAATTGAAGAGTCAATTGAAAGGAATGTGTAATAGAAGGAATGTATAGGAGTGAATTGGCTGATCCATCTAGAAGCAGAACCACGACGTTAAATAGATGTAAATATAGATAGATAGCCCCCAATCGGTTCTCGTGTCGACGGCGGGATAATCATAATAGGTCATAATCATCCCGGAGAATCAATCCCCCACCGAGTAGTAGCTGAGGAGGAAACGAGATTGTCCCGATAGCCATGCTATGTATAGCTTTCGGTTGAACGATGCTTGGCTCGGTGTGCGTCTAAGAAGCAATACGAATGGGACCCTCCGCTAAGGATCCGATCAGTTCTATTTTAATTGCGGAGATCGTATGCCTCGTGTTTCAGCCGCGTCGTATTATTCTATTCTTTGAATGATATAGAATGTACAGTATAGAATGTACAGAACAGAAGATAGTTTTAAACATAGTATAAAAGATATTTTTGAACATAGTACAGAGGATACAAGATAGACTAGGGATGTATCATCTGACTCCGCAGGTGATCTACATTCCTTCCTCTTTCAATCCCTCAGTCATGATCAGTCATGATCATTCACAGATTCATGAATCAGTCTTAGATTCATAAATCAGCAAAATGAACAAGACCATATATCTCTCGATTTTATCCCTCCCAATAGTTTACTCCCTCCAATCAATCCTCTCCCCCAACTACTCAGGCAACCCCGTCTTCCCGGGCTGGTACGCCGATCCCGAAGCCCGCATCTTCAACTCCCAATACTGGATCTACCCAACCTACTCAGCGGCCTACGAATCCCAGACCTTCTTTGACGCGTTCTCCTCCCCGGACCTCCTCGTCTGGTCCAAACACCCTCACATCCTCAACCTCACGGATATCCCCTGGTCCACAAATCGCGCCGCATGGGCACCCTCCGTCGCGCCCTCCCGGTCGGGAGATGACTACTTCATGTATTTCTCCGCCGGGGATGGCGCCGGCATCGGCGTCGCGAGATCGATCTCTGGTGGTCCTGAGGGGCCGTTTCAAGATGTCCTGGGGAGACCTCTAGTCGGGGAGGTTGTGATGGGTGCGCAGCCTATCGATGCGCAGATCTTTCGCGACGATGATGATCGCGTTTGGCTGTATTTCGGGGGTTGGAAGCATGCTGTTGTCGTCGAGTTGAATCAGGATATGATTTCCCTTAAGGGGGAGTTTCTGGAGGTTACCCCGAGTGATTATGTAGAGGGGCCGTGGATGTTGAAACGGGATGGGGTTTATTATTTTATGTATAGTGTGGGCGGGTATGTCTTCCCCCCTTCCCCTCCCCTTCCATTTCATTTATGAAATGTTGGTGTGATATGATATGATATACCGTATTGATGATGACAGATGGGGAGATAACTCCTACGGCGTCAGTTATGTCACGGGACCATCTCCCACCGGACCGTTCTCATCCACTCCTACCAAGATCCTCGAGGGGAATAGTCGCGTCGGCACCGGTACAGGCCATAATAGTGTGTTTACCCCCGACGGGGAGAACTACTATATCGTCTACCATCGACGGTTTGTCAATGATACCGAGCGCGATCATCGCGTCACCTGTATCGATCGGATGGAGTTTGATCACAACGGGAATATTCTCCCGGTGAAGATTACGACCGAGGGGGTGGAGTGGAGGCCTCTATCTTGATTATCATTATCATCCTGATCATCCGATCATGCCATTCATATGCGTATCCATTCATGTCATTTCGTTAGTCGCTATGCATATGATAGGGTATACTTCTATAGGGTATCACACTAAAACATTGAGCTCCGCTTTTTGTTCAACTTTCCGTCTTCAGAGGTCTTCCGCAATCCAAAGAAACTGCTCTTCTTCGGCTGTACCGGTCGTGTCCCTGTCGACTGAGGCCGTTCCGGCGCCAACGTCGCCGTGGGTTTCTGTCGCCCCACGCCGCCGGACATGATGTGCGGCGTCGACGGCGAATGGTGATGGTGGTGGTAGAAGCGCGGCGCCGGCGCCCCGCGTCCGCCAGGCTGCGTGGGTCGCGGCGGTAGGGACGGAGTCTGCGTCTGCGTGCGCGCTTGCTGCTCCTCCTGGCCGTACACTTGCTGCAGTCGACGTGTCTCCTGGTCGATCTCGGCCTGTCGCCGACGACGCCTGTTCTCCTCCTCTTCGAGGAATTTTTGTGTTTGTCGCTCCTCCTCCATCCGTAGCTGTTCTTGTTTGTTGCGCTGTTGGGAGCTACTCTCGGGTGAATAGTTTTCTGTCGGACTCGTGGTCAGTGCCCCCGTAGCCATGGGGATAGTCTGCTGTCTCTGGACGTGGGCTGAGTTTGCGTTGGCCGCAGGGGGAGCTGTAGAAGCCGAGGTCGAGGTCGGTTTGGAAACGTGGAAGCTATCCTTCATAGAGGTAAAATACACATCACGGATAGTGGCCGCTCCTAGCAGGAGTACGACCTCTAGACCCTTGAAATCTTCCATTTCGACGCGGTACAGGTTCGGTTCGTAGAGGGTGAGTTCACGCAGACCCTTGAAGATTGAGAGCGTAATATCCGGTTCCTTGCTCTTAGTTTTCGGCTCCGTGAGCGTCGTCGTCTTCCCGGACAGCAGACACGTCAGGTCCTTGGACAATTTACTGTCGCGACGCCAGCTGAAACGCAGTTTGGGCGTGGTGTCTGCGGTGGCGGGATCGGACTGCGTGCGATCGAGACTGGAGTTTGACGGCTGGCGAAAGGTGTGCTGCGGCATCTCGAACGTCCATGTGGCCGGGCTGTTCCAGGATTTCGGCTTGAACTGCACAGTGACCTGCTGGTCAGGGTTGTAGAGGTGGATAGTGAAGCGGGTGGGGAGGATGGGCTCAGGCGGCGGGGCCACGCCGCCGTTCTGACGGATGGCTTCGGCGGAGAGAATGGGTTGGGTCCATTCGGGGATGATGAGGATCTCGCCGAAGACAATGTCGGAGACGTAGGGATCGACCAGGGCGACGGCGTAGCGGTTCTTGCTGGAGGGGGAAGTGGGGTCCGGATGGTGGAGAGAGTAGGCGGGAGAGGGCTCGTTTCCATGCTGGCAGAAGTAGATGGTTGAGATGTGAGGTTGCGAAGTGGATTTAAGGTAGAATGCTAGTACGATATTAGTGGGTTGGATGGCTGGCAGTATGGGGTAGAGTGGCAAGACACGTACTGGGGAGAGCCTCGTCAAGCATTTTGGAGGTGGAAAAGAAGAGTATTTCAACCAGAGACAGAGGAAGACCACGGGATTGGCAAGCAACGGAACGATGCCATTGGGCTGGTTATAAGCAACGATGGAGGGAGAAGAATGACGGTAGTGCGAAAGCGAGTGGAGTCGAGATATGTTTCTGCCTCAGGCCTGAAATCTGGTTGCCAAAAATAGACGCAGATCCCTGCAGGCTGACTAACTAGCATCCAGGCAGCCAGACTTTTGGCAGCTCTCTGCCATGGTGCACTTCGTATTATGCATATACTTTTGTTTCAAGACTGGTCTAGTGGCCTGCCAGGCATCCGGATTACTCCATACTATAACTACTCAAGGGATACAGATGACGAATCAGTGTCGGATCTGCCTCAAAGGGGAATGATACTGACAACTAATCTCGCTGCCTGGCTCCGCTTTAATTATTGGTGATCTGCTGGATCACAGAGGTTAGCATATCCATGGAAAAGAACAGAGATGAGTTTTATATTGTTTACTTGCAGGAACCGGTGATTATACAGCAAGAGTAGGCTGGGTAGCCCATATGTATATTCTATATCACCAGTACTTTCTATTTATTCTTTTTGCAGCTAAGGTTGGTTGGCATATACACAAACAGGATAGCATACGACCTTGATTTTCTTGACTGCCAGAAGGCTTTCCCTTTCCGTTTAGTGCTCATCCCTTGCCACTTTTTGCTCATCGAGCAGATCAGAGCACGCCCTGAGCGGTCTAGGCTGGTCACTGAGTAGAGGCTGAGCAAGGGCTGAGCAGAGGGGTGAGTAGTCTGAGTAGGTACACCGCCTTAATACAATACACCACCACGCTGGTTTACCAGTGATCATATTTCTTTATAATGCTTTTTACTGCTCCCCCTTTACCTACTGTAGAGGGGCGAGGCACGCAATGATGCGCAGGAAAAGGAACAAACAACTCGAGCAGGCGAACCTGAGCAATCCTGTATCCGTGTCCGTGTCTCTATGGTAGATGAGGAACCCGCTATTCTCAACACATACTGAGCCCTCTAGTACATAGAAAGAAGAATATAAAAGAAGCTTGGATTTCTATCTACTTGTCCGCCGGTCGTTGCCTTATATGCATTTGCATGCATATGTGGCATGGGCGATCAATATGATAGATTGAATATGATACAATGGACAAGCAACATATAATTAGAGTGTGTAACTAGCTACACCCCCTGTTAGAGCTAATTACACTCCGAAAAACAATAGTTTTCTCGTCACGTGGTCAGCATTATACCGAAAATGGAAGGAAATCTATATTTCGGATGGATACTTATGCTCTGCATGCCAAGGGCAGGAAGCACGATGCTAGTCAACAGCACTATAAGATATAATAAATAAATCTTCCGCCATGGCAAATGAAATGTGATTACCATTAAGGTATTTATATTAAACATGAAATGTCTATACCTATTAATAAGCAGTACACAAAGTCAGTATTTTTAACTTGGATCTGGGACAAAAATGCCGTTCCAGTTAGCCTGAGTTTGAAATTAGGATAATCATAAAATTTAGCTTTTTCTACTTTATTTTCACATAAAGAATAAAATAGACTAGGCATGTAAATTTGAGCGAGGAAGCTTGCTATGTATCGATATTTACAGCTACTAAACATAGTGCTCCCCGGCACTCTCAGCCCAGAAAGCCTCCCGTTGCTGACGAAAAGCCTGCTTAGCAATCTGTTACTCTGCTGTTTTTCTATGTGGTGGAATCCGACTCCATCGTCTAGATTGGTCATAAAAGTTATTAATTGCTTGCAATATCTCCCTTCTTTTGGCATTGAAAGGTGTTCTATTAAATTCTTCTGTCTCCCAGCCTGCATCATAATAGATCTTCTGTAGAGCCCTCTATTCATTAATATTACAACGGATGACATCTCGGCCATCTCGTACTCCCCAACTTGCTGATCAGCGGCTTGAGTGTTAATTGGACGTCGGATTCCACCCGGAAAAATATTCTGGAATAGAATTGGATTCTCCTTTATTGTACGTCTTGGAGGTTGGGCACTATCATCTGGATTAAAGAAAGGAGCATATTCAAGAGCGTGGAATTTCCTAAGGATCTTTGTAAAAAATTCCTCACACTTCTGGCGGGGACAATCATGCCATTGCTTTTGATTTCGATGGCACCACTCCATTATAGTCTCTAATGCAGCAGTTAGCAAAGATTCTGCTAAATCATAGCTAAATAACCAAAAAAAGGAAACATACGATCATGAATATTTTATAGAACACTGACTTCATAAAAAGCCGGGAATGTTGGTCGGAGGATATTTGGTGGGAAAACTCCCTGCTCGTTCTTGTTGGTATCATCTACCCATCGCAAGCACTCCAACTTTTCATCACCAATATCTGCTGGTGGTTGTTGTAAGTAATTGACCAGTTTGGCACGAGGGATAAGTTCAATTCCTTTCTCATTATATCCCCACACTGCCTCATTTCTGATTGCCGGAAGAAGTTGAACCAGACTAATAACATCAGGTTCAGAACCCAGTCTCTGAAAGAATATCAGTATAATGCGGGGCAAATAGAACATCGGAAGAGGAAATATAATGGGCATTAATAAATAGACTAAAGGTCTCGGTGAGTCCATTGATTAGGCACCGGTGTTTCTTGCAAATTGAACCCATTATTTAAGTATTTAGGAAGGATAGAGATGGTAGTTTGAGACAATGAAGATTAAAGAGTTGCGGTGGGGTGGATGCTACATAATCAGGGAAAATAATTACTCTTAAGATAAACGGTGAGCGGGCGATACACGTAAGCGAGTGATCCACCTCTGTATTAGTAGCGCTTTTGGTAGTTAATCTCCATATCTCAATATCAACATACGAGAGGGCCTAGGTTAGACTGATATCGCAGTATTTAAATTAATACTAAGCCTAGAAGCTTCTAACTAAAGTAGTTCTTTATATTACATAGTAACGGTATTAAATATAATAGTAATATTAATTATGCTGTATGTTGAGAATCTCGGGGAAGAAGCTATGTCGTGAGGTGCTAGGATAGCGGTGACTGGATAGTATATTGAACTATCGGTGCGATCTAGTATCGCATGGTGAGTATGTTCATCTATCTAGAAGAGAGAGCGTAGACAAACGCTTCCTCATGTCTACGTGTCCCTTAGCCCCTGAATATGATATATCACATCGCTGCGGGACTAGGATATACGAAGGTGCCTTAGGCATCCTGATTTCCAACACTGTATAATAAAACCTCTTGGCCAATTGCCCTATTGTCCCTGTTGTCCCTGTTTCGAGCTAGCATCCGTCAAAGTAGTTGTGGATTTTGTTAACCAGGCTAGTAGCCTAGTAATCTCCTCTGGTCAACCCTGAGGCTAGAGAAGTAGGATTATAGATTATAAGGTGATAATATTGATATTCAGCGGACAAGAATACCATAAGAAGCTAGAACTGTCCCACCGAAGCCTTGAAATATCAGTTTGGTTTACTTATTTCTTATCTTTTCTTTTTTTATCTTCTCCTTTTTTAATTATAACTGCCATCTTAATTTTATCGATCATTCGGGGCTTCAGGCCTCAGACTAAGATCCACTTGCTTAGCCATGGTATTGTTAATTCAGTATATCTCTGCTCAGCAAGGCCGAAGAACCCTCCTGGGTATATCAGGAGCGTGAGGACCTAGCAATTTAAGAGGACTAAAAAAGCACTATCTGCAAGCTATTCGTAGGATTGCGCACTCCTGTGTCTCTGTCTTGTTTGTTACTAGGTGACTGTAAAGAGTATTTTGATTATGAATTTCATATCACTTATCCTATTCTAGCTGTTCTTCGTGCCAGCTCTCACCGACACGTCCATCAAATCTATCTTTAAAATAAATTTAGCATCTGACTACAATGGCAAGTCGCAGCTCTTAACACTGGGAATATAGAGATCCGAATACAAGGAGATGCTTAGAGCACTCTAGAAGCGTTTGACGGCGCGAGCAGCACATCCAATGCCACTTACAAAGTTGCGATGCGCTTTTTCACAGCTTGCTTATATTGAGTACGGAATCTACTAATAACAAGTTTACTAGCGTGAAAAATTAGAGTCCTGACACCTATCCCACCTAGTCCCATAACAGAGACCCATGACTGTATCGCAGAAATGCTACAGGAAGTACAGAACTTTCTGGAGTAGCAGTCAACACTAGCGGGTGGTTCCCCCTATTGATATTACAGTAACAAGTAGCTCGAGAAGCGGCGGAGATATAATATGGTCATAGACAAGGACGGTGGCCTGTTGATAGAAATCGGCCGGACGAATCTCAAAATCCTGTTACATTCGTGGATGCGACTCGTGACTTTACATGTAAGTGCTAGGAAAACTTGCATGAGGTTTTTTTCTAATGGGCTAAAGACTTCTAGGATATACAACAAAACGCTCTCAAGAAGCCTAATACAAAACATAGTAATAGGGATCTTCAGCGTTACGGGGTTACCCATGCGCAGTTCGTGTTCGTTCCCCGTAACCCCAAAACATATCTCTGGTTCAGCGTGGGTTGCTGATACTTCCAGCTGACCAAATGGAGCAAGGCAGCAAATCAGCGATACAGCTTCCATTCCGGCAGCGCTAAGTTAGTCCAGGTCTAGTCCGATGGGCTTGAGTTCTACAGGGGTTATACGAAATAAGAAAGGGGTGGATTAGCAAGAAAATGAGATAAGACACGGTTATGTAGTTTAAGAAATTATTTAGACTGTATCCCAAAATATGACTATGGTCCAAGATCGGCAGTTGCTTCAATTCACAAAATTTCTTCTTCCACTCTACAGGCCCTATCTCTTCCAGTTTAGCAGCGAATTCTCTATCATAGTGCTGCGGCTCACAATACAATTTTCCAGTAAGATTGATTTCTGTAAGGGAATTCCTAACTGACTTTCTCCGTATATTTCTGCCAGAAACGAGGCCACAGCATTAACTGGACTTCTACACCATGCAAGAATTCAGTTCCTATAATTGTTGGGGACGACCTAACTCGAATAACTCACTACGAGGGATACCAGGTCCCTGGGCTGCTGGACGAATGCCTCTCAGTTGAGAAATCTAGGGCCACTGGGCTTGAGTCACCGGTACTGTAAAGTAGACCCCCCAGAAGCCTGGTCTTCCGGAAGCTCTTCGTCCTCTATCCAATCTATAGATCCCGGACAGTACCCTTCGCATATAACCTCCAGTTTGTGCAGGAGATCAGGCCGCTGCCACACGTAGCGTTCGATGATGTCAGAGCTCATAGAATACTCAAAGTATGTACCTTCTGCTTGGCCGCTATCGATATAAAGAATGGAGTAAGGGCGAGTATATTGCATTGCTAGTGGCTCCAAGTCTTTGTCAACCACTCCGAAGTCTCCCCACTCCAATAATACGTCTGCTTGGTAACATCAAAGCCCTGTTCGGCCGCACGAGTCTCCAGATCCGAAGGTAGAATGGGTTGGGGCTTTGTTTCGCGGCCAGCCAAATATGGTAGTGCGGTGTACCTGGAGATTACGTATAGCCTCTCTAATCGCAAAAGAACATGTAATGGCAATCTGATTTTCATTTTGGGGCATGCTCAGCTAAATTTTGAAGAGTATATATTGTGGGCTTAAGAGGCCACCAAATCATGTACGGCAGATAGTCTGAGTTATTGTTTAAACCTGATATATTATTAACCATCACGCGACGGGCATTAATAGCGTGGTTAATCATCCAGATTGGATTAGAGGTACCCGCACGAATCCTGATGCGATCCGGGTTTACTTTCAGCTGGCCAGCCCACCAGCGCGCAAACATGGTATTGTGGAAGATTCCGCGGACCACGCAGTGTAATTCCTCTATTATTATATAGCCTGGGCGCATTAGCCGGGCATATTAGTCGAAGTTGCCCTCGTAGGCCGCCATCTGGATCAACAGATCCTTCTTGAAGGTTGGGAGGTCGGGAGGCAGCGGGGTGAAAAGCAATTTGGCTTCCTTGTATAAATACTAATACCGCCAATATAGTAGTTCCACCTTCTCCTTGCCCATACCACAGTCCTCCTTGATATCTGGATAGAGAGGAAGCGCATGGCTTGGGTAAGATCGCGCCTCCAATATCCAGTGGACAGCCGTGTCGCCATTTAAAAACGCCGGGGTTTTTGTATGTGGGCACACAGAGCGATGTAGATTATTTATTACCGCATAGCGAGTCGGAGACGCCATGATAATATCAAAGATCTGCCGGGCCCCGTCCACACCACTTTCCCGAGACTCTTCCGCGATAGACACGTCGGGAAGAAGGTCCAGCTCCTAATAGAGGCCGACATAGCCGGCAGCGGCACATGCTCTGCCCACCTGATAGCGCAGGTTTGGATACCAACGAGCCACTTCGCGGTAGGTCTCTTCCTGTGCAATGTCCGGATACCAGATGCAGTAGGGCATGTGGTTGGGATCTTCTAGCTGATAGGGCTCTGGAATTTAGTTACTCATGATTAGGCGGGCGTTGCGTGCGCGTGTGAACTCGGGGTAAACATTAGAGTAAATAGTGCACGCCTCCTTGACGGCATTGCTTGTGGCAAACTCATAATAACAGCGGATGCCGCGGATAACAGCGCACCGTGCCGTTTCACAGGCTAAGCTGTCGGGCAGCGAGGCTCCCCTCATGGCCGCTTCCCACTGATCGTGTTGTCGTGACCCGCTGTTACTTCGGCTGGAGGATCCGCTAGAGCCGGAGTCGCTGGAAGAGTTGCTAGATGAGTCACTTCCCAGATCGATTAATGGCATGGTGGGGGGAGAAGGAGAGGGAGAAAGGGGAAAGAATATTCTGATGGTAAGGGGACGCAAGGATACTAAGGAAGTAGTAGGGTAGTAGGTAGGTAGTATCCAGCAGGAATGATTGCACCGAGCTACGACGGGAGCAGCCGACACGAAAACCAAGAACTCCACTGCGGCATTCCTAGTAGTTGTGGTACATATGTACCTATACGGACTTGATTTTCTAGAACACTGACACTTTCCCCTTTCGGATACCGCCGCTTTAATGAGGGTACTCAGGGGCTTGCTCAGTGAGTATTTCACATCACAGATCACCGCTCACTGAGCGCTCAGGGCCTGCTCAGTGAGTAATTGTCAAATAATATGGCCGTTGGTGGACCAGAATCATGTGACTGGATCGGGGTAAAACCCCCGCGGAGCACACAACAAAATAATCAATCAAGAATAACCAAGAAGAATAATCAAGAAGAGCCCAACCAGCTCAATTCATTCAAATAAGACCTTTTTACTAATCGTACTCTATTTCCTCTTCGGGACTAGCCGTATATCTGACAGTAATCACGTGGCTCCCTGAGCGGCTGACCCCTCTTTATTTTGTACGGGTAGTTTGGCACTGGTGCCAGATTGCGCATCTCCAAATACCCATGTCCCGTTCATATGTTCGTACAAAATGACGCAAGCAGAAAACTGATAGGAATTAAATAACCATTGATTAAGTGGCAAATTGTCTGGAGCAAGTGTGCACAATCACAGGCCTAGTAAACAAACCGTGTATAGGGATTGCGTCGAAACTATAAGTACGCGTATTCTTCTCCCCTTTTTTAAAGACTGTATTCCATAAGAGCTTAGGATTTACCGAAATTCTTCCCATCATTGCCCTTGCTATTTTGTTCCGCCTTCTGTGCTATTCTTTTCTTCGCCGTTGGCTGACCATGGGCCAAAGATCCTTTTGGCGGGACGAAGACGCCCGGAGAAAACGCCGTGAGCGTCGCATAGAAAACGGCTATATTTCGCGAGCCTACCAAGATAAGGACGCTGTAAGAGGCAAATATAATCGCCTCGACAAAGTAAAGGAACTCCAACATCAACATGTTCTGTTTTATAGGAAGTGGGTTATTTTACAAGCGACTCGTACCACCTGGACGTGCTGATTAATAATTTTCTATTAGATACCTTATAGAAGAGAAATATAAGCCAGCCAACTTTAAGGTTAAAGCCGACTGCCCTGCTCTGGATATTGTTTATATTAAAGATTTTATCCGCTGGTATATAAACTCGGCTGCGGGCCACGGAAGACTTAGTAAGAACAAAAGGGTGACAGTTAGGAGCACTCTAGTATTTACTAAAAGATTTTTTGGCGGCTTTGAGGAAGCTACGATAAGTAAAATTGTTTAAAATAATCGGGTAGAGATATATTCTGTAGGTATTTCCCTATTTATATAGTATAGGCCTACTAATACAGCCCTAGTAGATTAAAAAGACATTACCGGCCAAGGGAGTTTTTAAGAATATTAAGAAACAAAAGTTTAACTTTACTAAAAACAACTTTTAAAATACTACATCTTCACTGTGGACACGCGACAGCCCGGTTTTTCTGCACGAACTTTTTAAAGTCTTTATCCTATTTGCACTGCAGGTGTTTCTTTTTACCGGAGTAAGAATTGGTGCTTTTATTCCTGACTATAAGTATAAGAAACAGAGAGGACTTTAATATAAAGTAAGGCTTTAGAAGTTACAAAGCGCCAGTCCCTAGATATATTCTTGCTAACCACTTATAGCACATCAAGCTGGCCTATTCCGCTTTACCAATAAACCCTGGAAGGTAGGATGGCGGATTAACTAATAATAGCTAAAAAAAAATCGAGACGAAAATTACACCCGTGTAGGGACTTCCTTCTAGTGTTTTCCAAGCGCAAGAAACCTTAGTTGCACTGAATATAACTTTGCTAACTGATTATTAGGTTTGGAATTGGGATCTAAAACCATAACCGGCCACAGTTTGCAACGGGCATCTTTTTTCTTGTTATTACCCTTGCTAACAGGGCTTTGTTTAATATTAAGTCCCTAGAAGACCTTGCTGAATTTAACCTTCGTGGCTTAGGAAACTCCCAGATTCTGCTACGGTGGAAGGAGGACGCCTTAAAAAGACCAGTTTTTAAAAATATAACTAGTAAAGGGTCACAGGAGGAAGCACTGTATAAAAAAAGATTTTGCCACTTCCTCCGCCATATTCTTATCACGGCTGGGTACTTAAAGACAGCTATAATCCATGATATTCGCCGGGCACTTGGTAAAAAGATTAAAGATAAGTTTTTAATAATAACCCACTTCGTAATAATAATATGTGCTTAGGTATTATAGCTAGGTATAGTTCTGCACCTGTGTCTTAGATTTACATGCATAAAAGCAAGGATACCTACCCGGAATACTACCAGGCATACTGTTCGTTAATTAATACAGTTAGCGATGTCTTAGACAAGGAGAAAAAGACTTATTATATTAACTACTTCCAAGGTTATAAGCAATTTCAGGAAGTCGGGTTACCCTGTAAGTTACCTGCTAAAAAAAAAGAAGCCCTTTTAGAACATCCTGATCTGGTTGCTATCCGGGACCGTCTTGCACAGCTAGTCCAGAAAAAGGACTCTGCAGCCGTCGACTTTAAAAAAAAAGAATACAGAAAAGTGTTAATTTGTATAAAACTGTCCGAATTGCATCGCTACCAAGCCCAGTGGGTTCGGATAAGGAGAGATTGGCGAATTGTATCCAGAGGGAAAAATATTCTAGAATACTTGGAAAATAATGCATGCACCCCTGCCCTGTCCCTTATTATACCCGAACTAGGCTGTATAGCAGAGACTTTGTCTTTGGCAGAGCCACTAAGGAACTCCTGTTTGCAAAGCAGCTGTTAACACAGTGCCGTTGTAACTATAATATAATCTATCTTCCCAACAAGGCTCCGGCCGAAGGCCGATGCCCTGTGGTTAGTTACCAAGCGGATATTAAGGAGTAAGTACTAAACCTGACGAGACATGGGATATTTTGCTAATAATAACAGACTGGCCAAGAGCAGAACAAGTTTTCACATCCATAACTGCGTTCGTACCATCCACGTAGCTTGGCCTCTTGTCGCATGTAGGGGTGGCTGTTTGCACGCTCGCTGTGATCTATTAGTAATGGCCACAAGTAGGAAGGCAAAAGTGCTGTACGTACCATCGACAAGAACTGCGCCTCCAGGGGCAGGAACATGAATAGGGGGCTCGGGTGACCCAGGTTCAGTGCTTTGTCTCTTAGGGTATCCATAAATCGCCTCGCAGTCTACAATATAGATAGGGTTCTCACGAGAACCATATGGACTCTCTCCACAATCAATAAGAACTGGGTTATACTTTGAGCTCCCGAGACCTTGAACCAGAGAGGGTATTAGCAACAGTTTAGTTATCTTTAGCAGCAAGTAGGTGATACCTTGGCTCGCATTCAGGACTTCAGATGGCGGGGGCATTGTCATTGTCGCAAAGAGGGATTTCAGTGAGTGGTTTGTGAAAGAATAGTGCAGACTAGTTAGGAAGGATCAGGAGGCCCTTTTATATCCCGTTTATACCGGACAACCAAAGCCCCTTGTCCCAACAGTTTAGTGCTTCTGCAATATCAGGCTCACAAAGAAAGAGCAATTGGATATGAATCAACCCTGGAGCCTGGGAATGTCGTTATCAGCGTTATATTAAATTCTAAACAGTTCTAAATTTGCACACATACAGGTGGCTGAGACAGTATAGCTAGTGCACGCATGGCCTAGATAAGCGCTTGGTTAGCAGTTATTGCTCCCAAAGGCCGTCGCATGGCAGACACCCCATGTCCAAGGCAGAATATCTGTGCCAGAATCGGACCTCAACTCCATAGACAATTTAAATGGTTGGTTCTTGGTGCTTCCGGTGCCCCCGGTGGTGAAATGGCACTGCTGTTTAACTTTCAGGGGCTTGTTGTATCTATATTCAAGGCAACAATGGTTTCAATCGGGATAGGAACAGGATGAACCACTGGTTATTATTATTCTGCGTGATCCAACAACGGCATGCACTGCCCTTGGTTGACATTATAATGCTCAATACTAAATATACATGTTAATTATTTGGGCCTGTCTGTCCTGGAGAAGGTTGGTCCGCTATATGTAAAGCAGAGAACCTACTAGTCAGGTAATTCTTTTTTAATCCTTATCTCCACCACTCGATTTCCCTTGCGTCTCTTCAGTCCATCTCATCCTTAATCATGTCTTATACTTTCAATATCTTCAGTGACGTTGTTATTTACCTATGCCCAGAGCAGCTAGCAAAAGCAGATATTCGTCAAAACTCCCCTTAAGATAGAAGTGAGCCTGAGAACCAGCACTTCGAGGGAGATTATTCGGAAACGAGCAGAGGTATAATATTGCGGGAAATCTAGCAATTAAGACATACCTCTGCACTCTCTGCTGCCACGACTCCACGACTCCGTTGAATTAGTACTAGGTTGTAAGTTGCCTGCTGTTCTGCTTGTTTCAGCGAACATTTTCATAAGTATGTAGTTGAAATGTGCCAGGTCAATGAGTATAGGCGCCAGCAACTGCCACGCCATATGTAAAGAAGAGATTGCTATTGAGGGAGTTGTGGAAGAGAGGCCGAAGCGAAATCTTAGTGCCACAGCTGTTCCTGCCAAGCATCTCGTTCTAAGATAACTTTCATTGGCCTAGGGGATCCATTATCTGAGGAAGACCAATAAGATCCACCTTTAAGCGGCGGAAACATACTCTTTGTATTACTTAGCGGTTGTCAACAGTAAGGCTTTATTAAGATTTTGGAAGCATTTCTATTCTAAGCGTAAAAGGGAATGTGGTAACTTTAGCAGTATTTGGCAAATGGCCAAACTTGCCGAGGTACTGGACCCGTCATCTCTGGACACAATGTTTAGACTGAGAGACGTGGAAATACAGATGGATACCATTGCGTGTACGCTACAAATGCATGTATAGGTAAGAGAGGGTAGAATCAAGACAACAAATGCATTTCACTTTAATATAAAATAATCCCCATCGTTCCCTTACGAAGTGGCCCATATGAAAGTCAGTCCTCCATCTTAGTTTCCAGACGCATCTTGCAATATCATATAGCATACCACCAAGAATTCCTTATAGGTAAAGTAGGTAGTGATGTTGAATCACCACTTACCACTGCGTAAGTCGGCCCTCAAAAGTCGGAGCATTTCGTTATGGTCACATTGGCTGCAGCTCTAGTTAGTCTTATAAAACAGTCACACTGAAATAAACATACCTGAAATGCAGTCGTAATTTGAGTAATACACTTATCAAATTTGCCCTTCAATCCCACCATCTTGCCATTTCCGAGTGAAATTTCGTGGTCATAGCCATGGCTCCCACCATGGTCGAACTTTCCACCACGGTTTGTTTGGAAGCTGATCCTGTCCAGATTCCACCCAGTATAGACAGTCATTTTGTCAATCACTTCGTCATCCTTAAATTCGTAGGAGTGTATATTATCCCCAGGGTGCCCACCGATAGAGCTCGGTGTGCCATCAGCCCAGTAGAGTTTAAGTCCTGTTATCACATCGGCATTATCGGCCCTACCTACCCACGCCTCAATCTTCGTCACATATGTGCTACTGCCGGGGTACAGGTTATAAACTCCATCGCCTCCTCCATCGCCAAATGGTCCGGTTTCAATAACGCCCCTTGGTTGGCCAGCATCCTGTTTCTTTGATGAATCCATTGATAACGATATGGTTGCTTAATAGGAAAGCGAAGATGCCACAAGTAATGATAAGCTCGGGTTTCTATGTTTGGGGAAAATAAAGTGGGAAGTTAAATTTTAACGGTTAAGTTTGAATACATATTCTGCGGGATTCACAGGGTATTTATATCTAGAGGGTAAGAGTCGCCAACTCTTATTTTGTGCAGGGATAGACACTGTGCAGCTCAATTGTAGGAGAACAGATATCCCGCACTTATGCACACATGTGGTGCACTAACAGCCACTAATGTAGCCCACGTCGCCTGAAGTTGGTTATAGTAATATTGCAGCTACTTATGCAAAAACACATAGTTTAAGATCAGGGTTGTGAAAAACTCTTACGCCAACTCGATGTTGTCAATTTATAGTAGTGACTGCTGAAATTGACATAGTATGCACACGGCTGGCTGAAAACTGCAACGGGATTTACACCCAAATGCAGCTAGTTTTGGTTACATTGCATTAAAGTCATGTAAAATTGCACTCCTCTCTTGTATTAACCCAGCTTACCCACTTCTATTAATCATATCCCTAAGATGTTCCGTGCTACCCGAAGCCGCGGTCCGGAGGCAGTGCAGAGCAGACAGAGAACAGAGGCAGCATAACCACCACATGCCTTGAGGAGGCTCCAAATTCGTCCGGATGCAGTGGAACAATGTAATTAGAGATACAAGCATAGATAAAATTGCTTCCCTTAACTGATGATCGCTTATCTCTCCCTTACTCTTACTTAATAGTGAACTTCCATTTGGCCCCAAGCTATTATTTTCGGTGGCCGATGAAGCTGAAAATGGTGTCGCCAGCTTGTCGATCCCCATCACACCGCGCAGCAACTTGCCACGTAATAAACCACGGTCACCCAATCTTGATGCTCATTACATATTGCACCAACGGCAGACCACATATCCCTGAGAGAATTTTGACTGCTGCCAGCAGTGTGACGTAGATGGCTTGGTTTACGCGGACCTAAAGGCAGTGTTAGCAGTCCAAAAGACTTCTAGGCCTCGGAACCGAGAGATCACCTTAATACATATAGTATTAAGTACAGTTGTAATAGGGATTTTCCTTAAGTTGTAAGTTTCTAGGTTTAATATCTATTTACGTACTATTATATCAGTCCAAATCATAGATTCTAGGCCCTACTGATGTACTGTTTTCGTCTATACCTCCTGATTACAATATATCATTTAGTAGGGAGGGGCCAACAACATGCCAAGAGCCAACTCATCTCTCCAGACACCCACCCATTTGCATTTGATCTACAGGGAGAAATGCTCTAGCTTAATGCATGACTTGTTTGGCGCCTTTATAACACCTTTCTGATGTTACTATTGGATCCTCGCATCCGAACTATCTGCGGGCCGTAGTGGGGCCGCGGTGGCGAGAAGACGATCAGGGCAAGTGCGGGAGAAACCGTTCAGGCCACTTTTCGTGTGGCGAGTACAACTCACCGAGTGTCACGGTCCTAAACCTAAGCAGAATGAAACAAGATCTATTCAGAATGTAGGGCGACTCATATTCGAAACAACTAACTTGAGGAACTCCCTATAGAGGGAAGGTAAAAGGTTAAATAGCAATAGCTACGCATGTCTAGCCTTGCTTAGTATCCTCTTTCCATTGTCACTATTTGTTCCATACTTTATGCTCTCCCACGCATTCAGTTATACTCTCACAGCTTACATCTCCCAAGTTCAGAATAGCACTGTAGCGGGGAGAGAGACAAAAAGTGTCAGGACCTAGGTCGAGCCCTGCCTGAGGCACCAAGTCTGCTTTATTCACTGTTGATCCCATAATGTAGAGATTTCCCACATTTCCTGTACGATAGAATTCTTTCTTCCTCCCTTCCTTCTCTACGTTTGACGTTTCCTTAGATCGCCACTTCAGATAGAATCTATCCATTTTACCAAGGTGTACAGGACCATCCCATAGTGGGACCACTCCGCTTGGTAATCCGCACAATAAGAAAAGGAATTTCTATTGGTGGCTGAGAAATATTCAGCAGGCATGCCGCTGTTTCGCCGCCCAAAAACTCCAGAGTAGGATTCCGTCCAATACTTAGCCCTTCCGCAGCGGTAGTCCCACGGGCCACTGCCACCTGGAGTCGGAGTAACGGACCAATGAAACCCCATTTTGGAACCGCAGAAAGGATGGGTGCGGGAGTCACTGCGGCACTAAGCTTTCGTTAGCTTCCGCAGCGTTGTCAGCCTGAGGCGCTAGCACCGCAGGCTAGCGGTGGATCCCACAGAGGCCCTCTGACGAGTGACCGGACACCAGTGAGGTTCCAGATGGGGCGGGCTGGCTCACAGCCCGCGGCTCCTGAGCCAGCGGGACGGTAAGCACCGGGCTGCAAGCTGAAATGTCTCGTCGTCCAACACGGCTCATAACCATCAGCTTTCCGCCTTCACGAGCTCACAAGCAAACTCTTCACGGTCTGGTCTGGGATTAATTACCTCAGAAGCTTTTTATCTCGGGCCTTACGGTGCCGTGTGGCTGTATCCATTAGAGCACTTCTGCTTCAGGTGGAACAGGTGTGTCGCGCTTAGAGCAGTCATCATTATGGTTGAGGTCCGATACCGTACCTAATCACTCACCGCCCGCTATCACTCAACGCCCAATTTCATCTACACACCGACTTTTTAGATAGACCACAGCACCATTAAAATGGGCTCAATTGAAGAAGCAATTGCAGATATAGAATCCCTGAATCCAGGTGAAAAGATTAATTATGCAAAATTTGCCAAAAAGCATGGTGTTAACCGGTCAACACTGTCAAGACATCACCGCGGTATACAGAGCTCTCGCAAAGTAGAGTGTGAAAATCGGCAAGTTCTTAACAACCAGCAGTTAAAAGAGCTTATTAAATGGATCAATAATCTTACTGAGCGTGGCTTACCACTATCTTTATCAATGTTGCGAAACTTTGTGAAGGAAATTACTGGAACTAAGCCTGGAGTATGCTGGCCAAACTGCTTTTTAAAAAGATATAAAGATTAGCTTATTTCTTGCTACACTACTAGGATTGATTCTTCACGCAAGCGGGCTAATTCTGTATATAAATATGCACTATATTTCGAACTTATAGCCAGAAAGATTGAGGAATATAAGATTCAGCCTGAAGATATGTACAATATGGATGAGAAAGGATTTCTTATTAGTGTACTATCAAAAGGTAAAAAAATCTTTTCACGGCAATTATATAAACAGGGAGGACTCAAGCAACGCCTGCAGGATAGAAATAAAGAGTGGATTACTACAATTACTTGTATTTGCGCGGATGGAACAACTCTTTCCCCTGGTCTTATATACCAGGCTGTCTCCGGGAAAATTCAAGATACATGGCTTCAGGATTTTAATCCTAACATCCACCACTGCTTCTTTACATCATCACCTAGTGGCTGGACAAATAATAAGCTGGGATACGCATGGCTTACTACTTTATTTAATTATAAAACAAAAGCAAAGGCATAAAGGTATTGGCGTCTTCTAATTCTTAATAGCCACGGCTCCTATATTACTATGAAGTTTATTAACTTCTGTGATGCTAATAGATCCTTCTAGCTATCTATCCACCTATTCAACGCACAGTTTGCAGCCTCTTATATAGCCTTTTAGTCCTCTTTCTTATGTATATAATGAACTGGAGAATTTATATAATTAAGGATTAAGCATATTACAAAGCGGATTTCTAGACTCTTTTGGCCAAGCTGGAATAAGGCTTTTTCAATCACAAATATCAACAGTGCATGAAATCTGTTGGTTTGCATCTTGGATCCAGAATTGTTTTGGCCGTTTTACCAGAAAGAAGAAGAAAGACCCTCTTCCAGCGAGCCTCACAATCTTTTTAAGGGCAGAAGACTGGCGTCGCATTGAAAAGCTTCTTAAAAAAGTTGTTTCTGATATTTACCCCAAAGATATCTAAAACTAAATAATTTAATACTGCATCTTTCTACGGAGAATATTCTTCTTAAACTGCAGAATTTAGGACTGAAAAAGGCTCTACAGAATAAGTAGAAGAGGCAACAGCGTGCAAAACCTCCACAGCTTTAATTTTAGGCTCCAGAAGATGGTAATGCCATCTTTATAGCCCAAAAAAGATTCAACAAGCACGCAACCTTCAAGCGGAGAAGGAAGAAGCTACACGGCTCGCTAAGGCTGCTAAAAAGGAGGATAAGATACGCCGGCAGCAGGAGAAGGAAGAGAAACAACACTCGGTTGAAGAACGAAAGAGAATAAGGGCTTTTAACAAAAGTGTGCAGATGCGAGAAGCAGAGGAAAAAAAATACCGGAAAGAAAAGGAGAAGGCCGCAAAACAAGCTGCTATACAACTTCAAAATAACATTGAACAGGCTAATAAAGATAAGAAGAAGGCCACAGGGCCTGCTACAGCAAAAGGAAAAGGAAGATATTAATAAAAAAAATGTGGAAGAAGTGGAAGAGGCACCTATTGCTGTAAATAGGCATGGAAGGCAAATACGGCTTTCCCAGCGATTCCGCAACACCAAAAATTAGCTATGTAGCTTCGTTATATATTATACTCTGCTCCAACAAAATATATAATTATTTGATCGTTTCGTTGTGGCAGTATAGCTTCATTTCTACACTCCTGGTTGACCTGAAAATTGGGCGTTGAGTGATTGGGTACGGTAATCTTTATTAACCCGATCGAAAATCATCACTTTTTTTTTTTTTACAGGGCAAGCAAAGGGGTGGGAACAACTAAATCGAATCAAGTTGACCTCAGGGTCTGACTGACCTGGGTTAACTTTGAAATGGATTAAATAATCTCGTTTATTGATACATCTGGCCCTCATGGTTAAATACAAACCAGTCCCGAAGATTTATCATAACTGTTAGCCTAATGCAGTTTAGTCGGACTCTAGGCCTTCCGTTTCTTTCGTCTGTTTATCCGCCAACAAATCTGGGTCTCTTGAATTGATAACGTCCATATCAGTATGGCTTGGAGTTGGATAATAGGAGTCTAAAGGAATCAGCTATTGGAGCACATATGCATAACCAGGGAGTATACAATTGTGACCCTACGAATGCCCAAAATCCCGAAGCATCCGCGAAAAGATATACACTCGGCCCGTCTCCCTGATGCGTATGCCTAAACAAACATCGGCCCGCAATCCGGCTAGGATTTCTTTATTAGGCTGGTTCTGCGACGGTCTCGTTTCTGGCGGACGGACTTCCTGCTTGTCCTCGAGTGCTTTAATGTTTCGGATGCGCATACCTCCTTGGTCTGCAGCATGTTAGTCATGCGGTGAAGTTACTTCTGAGCCTCTTGGGTCGAACTAACTTTCTGAAAGGAGGATGGGTATTTATATTGGAAAAAGTTGAGAAAATCTACATATGTACAAAGACCAAAGCTACATTATATTGGCGCCGACGCCACGATTCTCGTCCAGAGGCCACATTTTCACAAATAGTGGCCATGGCACCTGCCCCAATCTTCTTTCATTAACGCTTTTCCATGTGGCCCCATAGTTATCGTAGTGGTCTTGGCAGCGGTAATGTATAAATTTTTTGCAGTTTTCTTTAAAAGTTATTTATTTTTAATATAGCGTAGAACTGGTTGCCAGATATTATTATTGTATTCCACGCAGAAATTAGCCTATTAATAATCTTTTTTCTTCTTTAGTATTTGCGTTGACAACCTTTATAAATAACTTAAACATTTGCTCCTATTTTGTCTTGAACTTATTATTGAATTCGGGATCCCTAGCTGCAGATTAAGAGTTATTATATTCTGTACGGACCACCTCTGTATGCAGAATAGGCCAAGCCTCCTTTATAATATTCTTCTGGATGTGCCACACACAGAGAAGGTAGTCTGTAAAAGGAAAGATATCTTAAATTACATTTATAAGGGCCTGGTCTTTATTAGTAAGGATTGTCTTGGGATAACTAATCCCACAGCCAGCCAAAACATTCTCTAAGCTACGAAGGATAAAGGTAAAGGTCTCCTCCTTCTTATTATGCATAAAGTTAAATCTAACATAAAAGGTGCAATTGGTTGCCGTACAGCCTATAATATCCAAGAGGGGCATTTTGTATTTATTAGTTTTGTATATTATATCTGTTGAGAATCTCGGGGAAGAAGCTATGTCGTGAGGTGCTAGGATAGCGGTGACTGGATAGTATATTGAACTATCGGTGCGATCTAGTATCGCATGGTGAGTATGTTCGACTATCTAGGAGAGAGAGCGTAGACAAATGCTTCCTCATGTCTACGTGTCCCTTAGCCCCTGAATATGATATATCACATCGCTGCGGGACTAGGATATACGAAGGTGCCTTAGGCATCCTGATTTCCAACAATATCCATAAATAAAACTGCTCTATTATTAAGGCGAAGAAGATTTAAGCATTTTTTATAAATAAAAAATACTGCAGTAAGGACAATATTATGGGTTTTGTAAAACACGCAAAGCTCAGAGGAAGAACATAGTCAATTTCATTGATTAGTGTGAGGTTGAAGATTGAAGGTTGAAGGTGGACGAGGTCAAACGTTAGAAGCATGGACGAATGAAGTAGGGTAACCGCTAAGAACCACTTATGCAGTTCCGACCCGTATGAGCGCGCAACAGTTTTATAGTTAATTATCCAATTACCATCCTCTGGGAAGGCTATAAGTAATGCCTGTACAGGTGTTTTTTATTAAGAAACTGCCGCTTTATATTTTGTGAAGTTGTATAAATCACAGTTTGTAATATTTCCTAGTGTGTCCCTGACCTGACATGCTGTTAATTTATTTTTAAACTAGGCCTTAATATAATCTGTATTTTGGGAGATCTTATACTTGCGGAGTACAGGATGCGTTAATATAGATAAGGGCTTATAATTATAGTAATTCTCTCTTATTCTGGCCTTCTAGGAATTATCACGCTGACGGTGCAATACAGTAGAAAATAAATAACCTGTTAGGCAAGTAGACCCATGGCATTAACACTGGCTATTATCCTGCACCTAATTTTTATAATTTCCTCCCTGATGTCACAGGCTGAACCTGTAACATACTATATAGGGCGCTAGATGCGACTGATCTTCGATTAGTCGTCTTGTACCTTTTATATGGTCAAGTGGTTTTATCTCTACTAGCGCAGAGACAACCAAACCATCACACCTGATCACACTTTAAATAAACAGCCTGCTTGACCGAGCGATTGTTCTTTTTAGTCTTAGAGGTCTTAATAGTTACCGCAAAGCCATTCTGTTTACCAAATCTATTAATAAATTTAATCTGTAAAGGGCTAGAGCCCGTTTGACCTCTCGGGCCAATGTCCCTATTGTAGTGGAGGAATTCGGGGATTGGCACGTGACATTTGTATGGATAGCTATTATCTTAAGTCCTCGTTCGAAGAGGTAATAGACAATCAACAACCTTCTCACAGACCACGGGACGCAGTTGCGTAAAGGGAATGTTACCTTCCCTCCTACCAGGAACTTGTGGGCTCGGGGCCCACAACTTCTGAACTGTCTAAGAGTGTTTCCTTGACCTACTCTTTCGGAGTTCTACCATTTTCCTCTCATTCAACATAGAGCCTATTCCTGACGACAGATTCAAGTGCCCAGACAGGGAAGGTACGTCTCTTTGCTCTCCATGAGGTCCGTTGGCGGGTGACTGGGTGACGTCTAATCCCCCAAACTTAGAGCATACAGAAGCGTGTTCCGCTGGGGTAGTCCCGGATGCGATATTATAAATTATAAAGCCAGGCATTTCGGGAAGGTCATCATCATTAAGCAAGCCTAATTTTCCAAGGGCTTTATCGGAATTTATCGGCCAAATCCCACATTCTCGGAAACCATGGCGGATAGTACGCTTTGTTAATGATTTGGTGCGCACATCGTGCATCCCGGCGAAGAAATTGGCGTTATGCTTCGGATCACCACCCCAGAAACAGCATCATTATTAGACTGTTTATAATAATGCTTTAGGACTTCAAAAGGCGTATCATCAAGCGGTTGGCAACCATGTGTCGTGTGAGGTATAAAACAATAAGGAATAATGCGCTTATGCCAGCAAATTCAATGAAATCATAGGTAAGGTGCGAACCATGATTATCCATTAAAAGAAGACGAAATTCACTCTTTTCCGTACGACACCGGTAACAATGCTTCAATTCTTTGAGTTATGGATGCAAAAAATATTAATAATGGATGCTAACTTGAAGTGGTTAAGGGATTCGTTAATCAGAATGCCATTACAGTACAAAATACTAGCGTCAACAGTGGCTGCAGGGGTCGTAACAAGGAGCAATTTTGTTCAAGTATCAAGCGAGTTGTCACAAAACCAACAGAACGACGACAAAGTCGGACCATGTCTCTGGTAATGATAGTGCAACCTAGATCGGTCCATCAATAGACTGCAATAAAACTGAATGTCACCAATAATCAAGGCCAATTCGCAAGTCCGTACAAGATCAGATCAGTCATCGACTTGCCCCCAGCACTAACACTATGCCAGTGCGTCCCACTAAAAATCCCGGTTAAGCCATCATTCTCAAACTCCTTTCCACTCATAACCCCAACACACTTCTGCTGTTGATCAAGTGTTCCGAACATCGGACCCCCACTCCACCCTGGCGTGCTAAAAGTGTGAGCCTCCAGCTCCCGGCCATTAGCTCCCTCAGGATCAACCTGGTGCAGTCCGATGCCCCGCTCAACCATCATAACCTGACCGTTCATAGCGTCCCCGGGATACCCGACAGAAGACCATTTGTTGGGGGGCATGTAGGGGGAGTTGTCACTCCACCAGCGGCTACCGAGCCAGCCACACGTATTGCCTAGTGGGTTGTAGAGACGGCAGATTACATAGTCAAGACCCACCACGTTGTCTGTGTTCCGCACACCGCGGAAATCTGAAACGTAGCTGGAGCCGTAAGGCTCAGAGCCATTATTGTAAGATGGTACGAAGCGCATCCACCAGCCTGGCATCGCTCCCGTTCCAGAAGTGGCCCATGGTGCGCAGTGGCTGGCCGTAAGGAGCAGATTGCGGCCTACAATTGCAGCGCTTCCGGTCCAGAGGGGCGCCGAGAAGTTGGAGTTGGCGCCAACGAAGAGCTTACCGATGCAGGAGAAGGGGTAAGAGGTGTAGTTAGCCACTTGATCGCGCTCGACAATGCGATCGAGCCGGTCATCGCCAACGAGCCTTTTAAGCTCATCGGCGTTTTGGGCTCTGAATTGTGTAGTCTTAGCACGCTCCACCTCGACGACTTCGAGGCTTCTCGGGACGAAGGCGTCGGTGCTCGCTGTGGATGTGGCCGTCGAAGGCTCTTGAGAGAGATCTAGTCTCTCTGCGGTGTGGTTCTGGCCACCGTTGCTTCCGCCAACGAGGACGTCTTGGGACATGGTGGAGAAAGCAAATGTCCTTCACAAAGATAAGTGATGAATGTAGATCTCCCAAGGATTAACGCAGGAATACTTTGAGTTGGAGAGGGTAGCTCAACCTGAAGAGGGAAGCATAGATATCTTGTCTCTTTATATAATGGAGTTTATGACGAAAGGTTCATCTTAATAGCATTGCGCTTGATTTTAGCAATTACTATGATTTGAGGTCTCTCGTGATCTAGAAGGTGGCAATGAGTAAAATAAACACCACTTATAAAATATTGACTTTATAATGATCGGAGTTACGATCACATGGACTGCTGAAACCTGTAACACCTACCTTGCCTTCTGTGTTAATCACCGATGGTTGACATAACTCTAATCAAATAGGTTTGTCGATCTCGGGCTAGAGTATAGGCACGAACCACTCACTGGATATCAAGAAGAACATAACCACTTTTACAGCTTCATCGGTATTGTATCTGAAGGTCTAGAGTTGGCAAAAGATCGCTAAAGTTATCTTAACATTAATTAGAGTTATGTAGACCCATTGTTAAAATTACCTTGTGAGCCTGTCACGTTTCTGTCACCTAGGAGGCCTGGTCCAGGCTCTGTAGTTGTTATCTTCCATTAACTCTTTATTGTTACCCTTCTTGGCGGCAAACATTTTCGGCTAAATTCTAATTTTATTTTAAAGTTAATCCAGACTCCCATGCACGGTCAACGACGAAGAAAAGGTTTAATATCAAGCTTTAGAATCCATTTACCTCTTAACAGCGTTACAAATACCGAGTACTCTTAAATAGATTTTTTAAATCGAGCCATTGGTATATAGCTTGCAGATCCCTTACGATAAGGTTAAGCAAGACAACCGTGGTGCGTTGAGCGAGACTTGGCCTAAAGAGGAGTTGTGTCCAGTGAGCATCAGTTATTAATTCCAGCTTCTGCTGGAAACCCGATCTCTGTTTTTGTTGCTTTTTGTGAATATGTGAGCTGATCTTCTGGGATATGTATTTTGAATGTGGGATTCCAAAAGAGACCGATATATCGCTGACGTAGAATTTGTTTGTCTTATAACCGGAGATTATAGCTTCAGGCCTCCCCACACATTTTATAATGATTCACCATAGACACATTTTATACAACAGCGATACCTTTAGGCAGCCTAATAAAGCCTCAAATAGTAGCTAACCCACTGCCCTTAGGCTGGCGGATTCAGTTGCGGTGGGGTGTTGGGCCGCTCATCCAATAATGGTGTTCCCGTTGAGTAGAATGCGAAGCGTGGAGAGGAAATTGGATCCACGGCGGAGCCGTGGATCAACTTCTGTGGGGGACGCTGTCTGCCCACGTGACACACTTCGGAGCTGGAGGTATGTTGGGGTGTAGGGCCCTAACATGGGGAAACCGAAATACGAACTTGTTAACACAGAGTGACAGAGCACTTAACCCTTTTTGCCCTCAGGTTAATTTAAAATTTAGCGTCTGAAGTGGATGACCGCCGCCAATTTCGGGTACGCCAAATGTTACACAATACCTTGAGATCAGATGAGCTTGGCAGAATTAATAGGCTACCATGGGAGGCGGGAACCCCCTGGGTTAAATGAATTGGAAACGATGAAAATCAGATTTGGAAAGGGAGAGATGATTGCAAGTGACGTATTACTTATTCTCTATTCCAAACTCCATTGCAAACTCTATTCCAAGGGTATTGGGAGTATTTAGTGGAGACCATACAGCCCATTCTTGGTTACATTTGTGGCCCAAAATCTGGTTCACATGGTCCTGTACTACAAGTTCAATAGAGTCCAAGGCTTCTCGATTGCATAGAAAGCCTTTGTTATGGAAAAAGAAAATTGTGGTTCCGGAGTTATGAACCCCATATAGTATATATCACTTTAGTTCTAGATGCATCGATTTAGTTCTCATGATCGATGCTGTAAGGATGAGCTATGGTTTTTTGCTACTAGGTATTATAAAGCGCTTTCAGCAGACCCTTCTTGTATTGGTTTGATGTACAGAGGTTTACAATATCAGCTTCACACGCCAAATGTTGATTTAATTTCTAATTATTAAAGCTTAACCGAGAGAGGCTAGAGAGCTTGTTAATTATAGGAAATTAGCATTGCTTAGTGATTGATTAAGCTCCCGGTGTTATGGTAAGTCTGCTTGATGTTTGAAGATGTCACGTACCGGTAGGCTGCGGCAAATCCGCTCCGTTGGATGTCAAAACCATATCCGCATCCGCAGTTGGATATCGAAAACCTATCCGCATCCAATCCGCAATATCCAAAATCTATCCGCACTAGCATAAAATTCGCTAATTTTACCTACTATAGGAAGTCATGTGATATTTATTTAGTTTACTAATTATGTATTATTTTGGTCCGTGATAAGTTAGTTATCTAGATGGGTGACTAAGAGAGGCCATGTGACCATACTGAATACAGTAAGTCTCTAATCTTTTTATCTTATCTGTTTTAGACTCTGACACTAATTGGTTGGAGTGGCTTTATTTCGAGGTTATTATTGGTCAGAAAATAAGTGATCGGCTAGCGCCGATAATTTCAGATAGAGTATACAAGGGAAGAATGCAAATCCGCTGCCAATGCAGTTTTTTATCGCTTACTCCAGAGATCGTGATTTCCTAGCCAGACAGCCATGCCTTGGCTCTCCCGTCCTAGAAAGGTGGGTCTACGCTAGCCCCGCGATCCACCTCTTGTATCATACAGGTGCTTCATGATACATATCTACAGTGATCAGATAGGCGATGTGAACCCGGTCTCGTAATTAGATCTGCAATGTCCGAAGCACCCTGTTAGCTGCCTGCAGATCTTCCAATGCGACTGCACAGCGCCCAGGTAAAGGCAATCTCAACTGAAAACCCCCACCCATGATCCGTGTGCCAGGAATTAAAACTACCAGGCTCCTGTAGTCAGCTGGGTAATTCCAGAATAGCCCGCTAAGTACAAGCCAACGCAACCATTGAACAATATTCAGGACACCCAACATTTACTAAACCGGTCAACAGCCTCGCCTATTCAAATCTAGAGCAATAACAATGTAAAGTCCGTAAGCAAGGTATACTATTGCAGGCCCCGGGTTGAAATATGTCGGCATCTACCATGACAACGTCAACTGAATATCTCCAATAGCAAAAGTCCCTTTCGGCCATTATCCTTACAGATCTAGGAGTTTGAGGGAGAAGATTGGCGGTGTGACATTAAGCCAATCTTGCGTTTGATCTCTATGACACTTTATTACTGGTTGGAACTGCCAAATGCAAGGTCACATCACGCACATATCTCCTGTGGGAAGAACTCAGCCGCACCCAAGCATACCGCTATATATGGCATTCCTCCATGACGGCTTGTCAAATTCTTGATGGTGTATTCGAAAAGTAAGTCTGTAACGATAGGAGACAGGCCTTTGAATTCACAACTATCTGGCGCGAAAAAAAGACAACTAGTTACGTGTTGCGCTACCGCATCTTGTCGTGCGGAACTACATAGACGGTTTCTACGATGCCGTACCGCTCCGCCTCTTCAGATCGTTAGAGCACTGCTCGATATACGTTCTTCAGCCGCACTAAGGTGGAATCAATAACACATCGTTTTATCGTTCTACTTGAGTTCATGTAACATTATGCAAATCTCTTTATATTAGCGTAACTGATTTTTTCTCGGAATATGATGTCAGATTTCAAGTAGAATATTTGTCAGACTTGCATGGGATATCTGTATGATCCCTTAGTTACACAGCAGGAATAGACAGAAGTTCCAAGGGTACGCAGCACAAAGGCTAAAGAGACCAATTAAAATTGATATACGCAAGGAATCATGGCAAGGAAGAACTACAAAAGTGCTGGATATGGTGGTAATTCGACCTCCTTTAGAGTCTTTTGCATGCATCTAGGGTGTCTCGACTGTTGTAACAAAGGGAAAAGTGAAGATAAATTGGGGTTAAAAAGGCCAGGTAAGCCGGCCCCGTACGCTCGTGCAGTTCCTCTGATGGTTTGCCAAGTCTGCTTTTTCTGTAGTTTTGGTTTGTTGTTTACCTCACTCCTTATTCTCGATATCCTTATTATTTTTTGACTTTATTCTGCTTCCCAATCAACCCCCGCCTACCTGTTTAAAATGAAGGTGTGTGTACTTCAATCAGCATATGTTGGTCCGCACCCAACAGTTGAGCACGATCTTGGGTCAGACCCCAGCCGGTTCCCAATCAGCACTCCTTTGAGCATGTCTGGGTACATAAGGCAACGGCCAAAGAGCAGATTGATGCAGCCATGGCTAAGGGGTTTGACTTTTACTTCAACTTTATGTGGGGCCAGTATGAAGATGAAGTTGCTGGGGTTGCAGCTTGTCAATACTTCGAGAGCCTAGGGGGAGCGCCCAAGGTCCCGGGTATCTTGAATTATCCACTCTTCATCAAGCCAGCAATTAGTTGTGCTAGTCTCTTCATATCGGAAAAACCCCTGTGTGCGAATCGTGAAGAGCTTCGAGCCTCTCTCCAGAGCCTCTGCCAGGAACTGGAGCCCAGACGTAAGATGTCCGGCCGGACGTTAGAGAATTTAAATTCTTCCCTGGTGGTTGATGGAATCCCTATTCCGGACGATATTGTCGTTCAGAAGTTCATCCCAGGTTGGGATCACTCCGTGGTGATTATCGAGCTCGGAGACCGCCCGGTACCTTTGAACCCTGAACGATACGTGCACTCTGATGGGTACAATATATACAGTGACTTCCTGCGTTTCGACGTCAAGTTTGATCCTAGGACACACGTGGAACTTGTGCCATTCGAAGAAACACCGGAATTATTTCGAAAGCTACAGGATGTAGCTATCCAAGCCTGGTACGGGAATCGAATGCAAGGATAGAGCTGGTGTAACGTGGATATTCGTGTTCCTGCACAGGGCGAGCCCACTGTGCTCGAGGTGACTCCCATGCCGGCCATCTTCCTGACACCGGAAATTGAATGGGAAGATATTGTAATCCGCAATTCCTTCCCTGGAGGGCACCGCGCGCTAATCGACGTGTTAATCGCAAACGAATTGGATCGCCAGAATAGGGATAAAGAGCGCGAGGCCCGTGTGGCCAAGGTCTACGATGCTTATTCTGACACATACGACGACGATATAAAACACCTAAATCTAGAGGCTATATATCGGAATGTGATCGATGGGTCAAGGTTATCAGGTACTATTCTGGAGCTCGGTCCTGGGACAGGCTTATTCGGCCGGCTTCTGTCTGAAAAGACGAAAACTCCTCGATCCCATTGTGAGGACCCTTCTTGCACATATCACCGCACGACAGACATCAGTCTGAATGGAATCGAACTATCGCAGGGAATGATCGACCGGTGCCTGAAAACAGGAGCCTACTCTACTGTCCACAATGGCCCATGCCAAGTGATTCTACCATCAGTCAGATCCTTCGACCATGCCGTCAGCGTGAGCAACCTTTGCTACCTGAGTCCGACGGATTTCTCCCTTGTGATGGTGTGTCTCTTTCAACAGGCACAAAATTCCATTATCGTTACAATCGACGAGATCCCAGACATCTACAATAAGCGCCTCGTAGAAATGAGCGAACCTCATTCCTCAATGGTTAGCTTCAATCACAAAGAAGCTATGGAAGCCATGTTCTGTAGCCCTCCCCCAGTGGGATGGAAGTTGTCAAGAAGTTTTTGGGCGTCCGCATGGCAGTCTCCAAAGACCGGAATTGAGGTTTTCATAACCGCCTATCATTTTGAAAGAATGCCTAACGGACCGTCCGCATGCAGTATGTGCAGGGAAGAAAAGTTGGATTAACACATGTCAGCGCTGAGATTTGATATGTCGCCAACAGAATTAAGTCTTAGTCGGTTCAGAGTTCCAAATTCATTCGTTAAATTTTTGGCCACAATTTCATAGTTGACTACGTATCAACTAGACGAGCTCATCACTAATCAGCAGTACGCGTGAATCCAAGGCTAAATAGTGAAGAAAGGACCAAGTTAGTGCAAACCTGCGCTCCTTCTGAGCAGCATGTATTGTATACCGTATTGTTTTGTAATTCAAGCGAGCAGGGATAAAACAGAATCCAGCGTGCATATAATACAGGGTTCGCCAGTAACTTGGAAAGATGTTGACCAAACCAACGAGCAGCAGGCGGTGGAAATGTATGAAATCATCTAGGGAGTGTAACAACAGTCCCGAACCAAGGACCTCGTTAAATCCACATGTGTGTGGTGGCCGATTTTCATTTCCTGTATTTGTATGATATCAATATTAAGCAATTTGTTCTTATTGCTTTGGATCGGATAGTGTGGCCAGTAAAGTACATATAATCCTCCAAGAGATTTACTAACCCCGACACGGAAATTTAGAAGAGGCCAAGGTCTGTACCACCTCATATGCCAACAGCACTGGACCTGGAAATATGCAAAAATTGCTTGCGTCAAATAAGTGGCCGAATCCAGGTGTGCTCTGACGCGTGTGCCTAAGTTCCACATAAAGTGCTTGGGTGCAGAAAATAGTACCAATTACTGTCGTACAGCTCCTTGCTTCCTTGTATCAAATACAGGCTGGTGATTATTTTGTGGCTGCGCACTGATCAGCGGAGTTGAGAGGAGGGGAAGGCCAAATAAACACAGAAACCGGGGTTGTTGTGTGGATACTAATCAAGGCAAAGTTACTCATACTTTTTATTACAGGCGAAGATCAGTCGCAGTTGGGGGATCAGCTACCTTTGCCTTTTCAATGGACTGTATGAGTACAGTAGATTTGGCGACCACCGGCCATTGGAAGACATCATCTTTGGTACCATAGTTGGTGATATGGTAAATTAGTGACAGTAATTTGGCAACAGTAGGATCCAAGAGATGTCGTGATTAGACCGGAGATAGGTAGCGAGGGCCGGATGCCAGGGGTTATCCCAGGGATGATTTCGAGCGAGGAATAATGCCGAACTCATCAACCATAGATGTGGGGACCAAGTCGCGGGACATACCGAACTGACACGAATTCTTCCCGAGCCTTCTTTGCTGGTATTTGAAGCAGGTCGAGAGATGATGTCTCCAATGAAACTGTTTCTTTCGAGCACCCGCGTCTGCCAATATTCGTGACCATGAGAATCTCCCACTTTGGTCAGCGCTGCCAAAGATTGATACGTCTGGATTGTTGAGAGTATTCTACGCCGGGGCCTTATGAATGTTAATTGTGCGTCTGAGAACAGCATCACTGCCGCTCACGTTGCCGCAGCACAGGATGATGCGGTGATTGTAAGGCGGTTGATCGAAACTGGGGCGGATATCAATGCGGTAGATAGCGAAGGGTCACAACCGCTCGATTATGCGCTGCAGGTTAGCTGTCACAATACAGCGAAGCTGTTAGCTTGTAGAAGATGTGTATGTGTAGCATGTTTAGACCCTATATTAATGTCTGACCATATTCCATTTCTTATACAAGGATCTAGTACGCAATAAGACTATTCTGATCAGCTTTCTCGTACACCAGAAAACCTTTGTAGAGTCAAGTATATAACAGTAGAATAAATTGATACCATTGCATTAACCGTAATACCAATAAATATCCTTACACTTAGTAACTGGCAGTCAATTCAACCTATAACACCATAACAAAGTCCCATTTATTCGAGCCGTAAGGTTATATAGTGACTTCTACACAATTCTACACCTAACCTCTACGATTTCTGTTATATATTTTTAATATTAATGCGAGCTGTTGGGCCATTTAAATTACCCCTGGCCATTAACAACTCTAGAAGAGCCCTTTGGGGAGCTAGAATAGAGTGCAACGTGTCAGGGCTGAACGCGTATAAACCATAGGATAGGCTATATACCAAAAGGAATCGTTGAAGGAAAAAGGAGAGTCACGTGTTATGGGTCATCTGTTGGAAGCGATGGAGCCTGGGATTCGGGGGTACGGAGACACCCGCGAATTGTTAGGCTAAATGCTTACAGATGCTGACTAAGACAGTGCAAGGCCTGCGCCCAGACCAGCAAGGGAAAGACCCATCGTCTTGGCGTAACCTACTACTTAAAATTTGAACGAGGCCGCCCCACCTGTGCACTCGCAGAATACATAAGCCGATGTTCCAACATCATCTCAAACAAGCTCCAGCCCCCATACTAAGGGTGCGGAACAGACAGCCGATAAATTAGCCCACGCCATTTAACTGGAACCTTAATTGAGCCAGACTGGGCTCTTTGAACTCCTATGATCTAATTAGACGTATCTGCGAAGGGCTAGATTCTGTGTTAAGAAAGGAATTGTTCTCGGCCCCACTGCCAAGCCACTAGCCACATAGCATATTAATGACAGCTCCATTTGCTCCAAGGACTTATTCCAGTTTGGAACACTCGAGTCTTGTGTTTGATTTTGTATTGATGCGATCGTAATGATTAGAAGCTAATATATTTTAGAACACATTCCCATATTCTCCCCATATTCTATTCCACTATTGTAAATCGCAAGACCGGGTGGCGGAAGCAAAATTATACAAACCGTTTTCTAAAAACTATAATAACCTACTAGTACTGTATACAACGTACGGTCAAATAGCTGTGCGTGGCTGGCTTTCCTTTGATCCATGGAAATGATTGTTCTTTGGACATCTGACTACCAGTTGCCACTACCAACCTAAAAGATTTCAGAACTTTCAATAAACGACCACAATAAGCGCTCGATCCTATGTGTAATAAAGCCCAAGTGACACCTTTCTGAAAGATGACACAGCATCCCCGTCTAACAATTGCCTTGTCAGCCGACTCCTTGTATTGAGTCTAGAACATCGGTCTCTGGGTGTCATTATGATGGAAGCATCTGTATTATCGTGGACAATTGGTACTGTGACTGATACTGACCTCGCCGGATATAAATTTAGGCTTTGTTTCTAGCAAGGACTCTCTTAGGTTGGACAGCTTAACTCAACTTCAGTTAATATAGGAAACCAAAACTGGAATCCATTAAAAAGAACTGGTGTGGAACTTCAACTACTCCATCTAAAAAATTCGAAATGCCTCATCAGCAAGACACTATCGATCCTGCCAGGGCCAATTTCTTCCATGAACTGAAGGAGGCTGTTGGTACAGATGCTTTGCAAACCATTGACCCTAAGAGCTTTAAGGCTTCTCAACTAAAGAACCAGCAGCCCAGAGTTAGCGCCTCTGATACCGGACCAGCAAAATATTCATGCTCAACGCAGAAGCCTATGCCAGTGAATTTCGGAGGCAGTACTAATGTCGCAGCACTTCAAGTTGGGTTCGGTAAAATCATACCCCGCTGGAAGACCGGCCCGAATAAAACCGTCAACTTTGCCGCTTTTGAGAGCGGATATCCAGACCCAAGTTTCGCTTTGGTCGCTGCCAATGCTTTAAAGGAAGCCGCCGACGAATGGAATGGACTGGAACTCGGCGTGCAGTTCAAATGGGTTGCTAAAATTGAGGATGCTGCATTCGTTCTTTCCTTCGCAAATAGTGAAAACGATGGAGTCCTTGCTCAGGCGTTCTTTCCGAATGAGGTTGATCTGAACGTTCTTAACGTATACAAGGCAGCATTCCAGCCGGGAACTGTGCAGTATCTAAAAAATATCTTTCTGCACGAGCTTGGTCATGTCTTAGGTTTCCGTCACGAGTTCGCACCAGAGCTTGAGGATACGACAAACAACTATACCGTACAGATTGGTCCACGTGACCCGCTCTCAGTGATGGGATACGAATTCCCTCCCCAGATCCAACATTCCGATATCGAGAGCGCTAAAGCTTTCTATCAGTTCCCCGGAACAGGACTAGGATTTAAAGAGGGGCGTGCTAGAAATCCACCAAAGAATGTGTTGCAAATCAAGGACTACAATGCAAATAACTAGTCCTGTGTCAAACGTTGCAAAAAGAGTGAAAACAAGCCATCGATTTCTGAAAAGTTTGAGTGTTGTAAAAAGTCATGCTAGCTAACAAAAGCTTACTATCTATCCTCGCATAAGAATCAAACTCTTATTGTGTGTAAACTAGCTAGTACAGAGGCGAGCAAAACCAGCCTCACCACTGAATACACAGGAATTGTTCATCAGCCCACTGTCAAGCCATGCACATGTCAATAACCACTGCATTTACTCTAACAACTATACACTACCGAACCCGTCAGGTAGAACTATACATAATCTACTCTTTACTTTAGATATTTGTCATTTCTTTCCTCGCCTTTGTTTTAAGATGAGAAAGTACAAATTAAATTGTATTGTATACTACCTTGGGAAATACTTGTATTAGGATGGTCTCTGTGGCTGATAGATTAGCATTCACTTTCATGGATACTAGCATTTAGACCTAAGCTCTAGTCTCCAGATATCCTGAAATAGCTGAGCTCTAGACGCCTCTTGGGATCATAGAGGTCTGGCGATGCTTGTTAGAGCTCAGTTTAAGGTCAGGTAGGGATCCCATGATCTCCCACTTCAGACAATATAGTGGAGAATTGAAATTAGCTTGCTTGATATAGAGTAATCTAAATCCAAGGCTATGGCGTGACCCTAAACTATATTCGGGGTGTGGTAAAGTCACCCGATCACTAAGCCCACCGTTTCCCACAACCTAAATCGAGCTAAAAGGTCAAACTCTAATCTCCTGGGCGATAGATCTACAAGCATAGGGCTAGAATCCGGGGTCACCCACGGTAGAGAACGGACTCTCATCGTACATCCGGCCAGGAACTACTCACAGGTCATGTGGGTGTTAGGCCGAAACTTGTATCCCATACATCGAGAAGCTGAAGACATGTCTGTATGGCGGGGACTGTAGCTCATCGCCGGAAAGTAGTAATGGCTGCCAAGAAACCCAGTGTTCATGCTTTCGTACAGAGGCGCTGTCTTACGACCAATATGACATCATACAAGGGGAAGTTGCAGCTGACAGTTGAGTAGAGTACACGGATGATGTGACAGGCGCTAAAGGTCAAGGGACATGCAAGGTAGTCGACTACATAACCGTATAGGGAGCTATCTGACCCACAAATAGTTTTGCTCATCACCTTACCTTTTTCAATACCTTGGACTGGCTCATTTGGGGTGTTAAAACAATGCTTTATTGGTCAGCTGCTAGCAGGTAATGCCGACTTGATTTTATAATTCACACCCATACTAGTTTATCTAAATCAAGCCATATAGTACAGTGGTTTTAAAATGTATTTCACCACAGTACAGAGTGCTTCTATCTACCCTTATTCTACCACGATGCCAAGACTGTGGACGGTTAGTGAGACTTGTAAGGCAGCGTCAAACGCTTCTTTTTTTGGCTGTCGGCTAAATGTCTCGTCGTTAAAGATAATACTTAAATTTCTATAATATTTTATTAAAATAATATATATTCAAGCGAACTGTCTTAAATTACTAGTTATAGTTTTATTAAAATTACAATGCGCAGTTTGTTTATTATGGCCGGCAGATAGACACTAGCTCTAGACAGTTTGGTAATTAAGAATTATTTAATTCCCATCAGTACTTGCGTCATTTTCTATGAATATATGGACCGGGGGGGGTCCAGATAAATACATGTCAACAGCCGAGCAACTGTGTTGGCTTGGTATATGACCCACTTCTTTCCGTACTTCTATGCAAGGAATCATTCGTGATCTGGCTGTGATTATTCAAAGCAAGACGGATGTTAATCAAAGGCAATAAATGGGAGAGAATGTTATTGTTATAACCAACACAAGCGGGTCCAACCATTGGTAACTATTTCCGGGATTTTCATCCTTCAAATGAAACTCTCCCTACTACAAGTCGGAGGATCGACATCGCTGATGCTGCCTATATCCCTACTACTTAATATTCCGAAAGTACCACCATATGAGAACGGAAAATTGACGCGACAAGGCCTTGCCATGCGTCTCTTCCTTCCTCTCTTTCTGACAGCTACCGCGATGGCCAAGGACTCACTTCCCAAAGCTTTGGTCTACCGTGGCCTGGCCGCCTGCAAAGGATGCCCCGAATCCGTTGCCTCGCTTCTCCAATATTCGCCCTCCGGTTTTGACGTCTAGTTTGCAGGTCCCGATGAAGAGATCGATATCACGGAAGAAAGTCTGAGAGGGGTCCAGCTCGACGCCCAGCCGGGTGGTGGCGGTAGGCTCTCTGCACATTCATAAAGATGGATAGGTACAAGTGTATCCTGAATCAACATGAACGGGTCCCAACTGATCGATCTAATCAATCTACTCCTCGATCCGGCGTGGAAAAAAAAAAAAAAAAGAAACAGTACAAGGGGGTGATTCGCGCCTTCGTGGCCAATGGCGGACGCTACGCCCGTTTCAGTCTGAGCGCGTTCTTAGCCGGAAATAGTCCGGGCTTCGATCTGCTTCCTTCGGGGTCGGATACGGACACAGAGATTAACTAGCCCGGGGGGCAGGTGTCAGACAAGAGGGACACCGTGATCCAGGAGGATTGGAGCTTCCAGTCGGGTCGAGAGGAGAAGGGACGGTGGGTGTACTGCCAGGATGGGGCAATGATGAAGCTCATGTCAAATGCCTCAGCTATTGTTGTGGGGAGGTATACTAGAAATTGGGAGGTGGCAGCTTCCATTTCTCGGTTTGGGCAGGGATGGGTGGGGTGGTGGGACCTCATCCCGAGCCTGACAGAACGTGGTGTATGTTTTCTTCTGTCTTTCTCTTCTCTTTGTCATGCCAATGCTAATGTTAGATGAGGAATATCATTTGACGAATCCCGGACGGGGGTGCGGTTCGACCTCGGCCATGATCTGGCGGAGGGGATCATGAGACAGGGATAGACGATCGATGGAAGGATACCTGGATAGGAGATCTCCTCGTCTATTCTACTCATTCAGACTCGACAATGGGCAATCTCATTTCCGTAGTGCAACCTAAGCCCGTGTTCACTCAATAATGTGTCTTAGCGTGCCAAACTCCGCAGTCTTGGCAACGGTGCACGTGGGTCCGCCCCATCAGGTGTTTTTGCCTTGGCAGTGATATCCATTAGCAAACTGGTTATCCAGGAGATCTAGTAGCTTCATGGGCAGCTTCATAGCGCCTGGGGGGATAAATAGGAGGTCTTTTCTCATGTAGATTCTTTCTAGCAGTCGTTCATTGTCTCTCTTTCTGTCGCTCTTTACTGCACTTTGTTGTATTTATTCATTCATTAGTCTATACTTATGGCGACTCTGCTCGCCTTCCTCTCCTTTGGCGTGCACGCGCTGGGCCAGTCCGCCTGTGCCGCCAACTATGCTCGCGCCAATGCCACCGTCACCTACGGCCCCGTGGCTGCTCCCAATGTTGACACTTCCAACCCCGCCAATTTGATCCCTGCTGCCAATATCTCCCTGTACTATGGCTCCTCGTACGATGCGTCGCAGTCCAAACCCGCCCTCAGCTCGGGTTCCATCAATGTGACCCTGGACTTCGCCCATGAGTCTGTCGTCTTGGAATACATCGACGCTCTGAAAACGGTCCACTGCACCAATGAGTCCGTGCGGGTGGTCTTTGAGCACTCGGAAGCTTTCCAAACAGCGTCCGAGTCTTGGTCGTTGCATGAGAATCTAGTCCTGATCACAAACCATCTTGGAAATTGCGATACCGAGTTTGAACGTGGGTTCTTCAAGGTTGACAGCATCGTCTCCAACCCGTCCGACCTGTCCATCACCGGCAATGCATCCAAGCAGGAGATTCAGCATATCGCGAGTATGATCTATGTTTTATCACTACTTACGAAGAAATAAAGCTGACGTTCTAGATACCTGCGAACTCACCTTCTCCTCCGTTCCTGCCGGTACCCTCTCCAAACGCTTCGTCGTTGACCCGTCGGTGAGGATCCCTTTCTCCAAGGCCCTGGCCGAAGATACCATCCTGTTCAACGAACCTTCCTACCTCACCGTCACGGCCAACCAAGCATCCTTCTCCACTGAAGTCGCCTTCAACGGCTACCTGAACTTCGACTTCTGGGGGTTCAAGGTGCGCGACCTCTACTTCGACGTTACCGCCCAATTTGCCGCCGATCTGGCCCTGACCGCGAAGATCGACGCGGCATACAGCACCGCCTTTGTCTACGAGCCCTCGGACCTCAGCTACACGCTCATAAACGTGCCGGGCATCGTGAATGTCGGCCCGGGCGTCGCCTTCGGTCTGGGTATGGACCTCATCTCCTCAGGCGCCGTTGAGGTCCACGCGGGCATCTCTGCCGAAATGCCTAACGGCCGCGCCCACCTTGACGTTCTGGACAGTCAGAAGAGCATGTCCGCTGGTTGGACCCCTACATATACTCCTCACGCTAACATCTCCGCCCACGCGGAGGTCACGGCCAACGCCCACGCCCGACTCACGGTCGAGATGGCGCTCAACTTCCTGGGCGGACTCCTAGACCTCAGCGGGGGATTGACGGCCAAACCGGGGGTTGCGAACAAGTTTACCTTGGACGCTACCAAAGTGCTTCCGGTCAAACCCTTGCGTAGGGACCTGAACGATGACGATTCTCTTGCGGTCGTTCCTTTGGGCCAGGACTCGAAGGATGACGATTCCCTTGCCGTCATTCCTTTAGGGCAGGGCCCGAAGGACAACGATGCTCATGCGGTCAAGCCCTTGATGCAGGACGCCAAGGACGATGATAAGTGCGAGAACGGCTTGGGGTTGAAATCGGACTTTACATTTACGCTTGATGCGTATGCAACCAAGTGGTGGGATACGACACTTGTCGATGTGAAAATTCCATTGTTGGATGGTTGCCATCATATCTAATCTCGTACTTTTGTGACCTGAACTGGACATATTGATGTGATCTATATCTAGCATATCTTCTTTCGCTTCGACATATCTTTCCTTTGGGGTATTTTTATTAATATATTCTTATCATTACGAGAATATATACCAAAGTCTTAAGACTATAATATAATAATCATATACATAACACATCTGCACAATAGACGATAGGAGATCACTCAACTCTCATTAAAGGAAAGCATCCCATCGTAGAAGAGACCGTTCCATCCGTCCGTGATACCTCGGCAAAGAGATCTATCTTCTATACTACTGTTCTATTAGATTGTGACACGTATAATACAGATATCTGTATATCTGTGGCTGTGTTTCAGGTCTGTTCTCCGCAACGTATACATTTTAAGCACTGGACTGGAGCCACTCGCCGATATGGATGTGGATATACGTACGGAGTAAGAATGAGCAAATTAATACTTCTATTATAAATCATGGCTTTCCAGATTCAATTATGCTTAGTACCTCTACTGCCAGAAGGCGTGGATAACTGGTGATATCTTTAATGAATGGCTTCTCTAGTGTGATGAGAAAAATGAAAGGCTAAAAAGTTGCTTTTCTAGTGGATAATTGTCTGCTTATAATCCAATCCATCACGAGACAAGAAGCTTCTGCGTATCCACTCTATATCATGTATCCAGCTCCAGGACCTGTCTGGTCCTCGTGTGCTCAGGTTTCTTGCCCGGTTCGGGATTTCCTCGAAAATTAGAAGTCTTGACTGATCGTCGGGTCTGTTGAGGGTCATAGAGGGTCTTAAGGTATTTTGTTGGGACCCGGAGGTGAGACATGAACGGGCGGTCAAATACCATCTGGATCGGGTAAGGATCCTCTAATGATATTCCTGATGTGAATGATCTAGTTAGCGATTGTGGATATATAATAGAAGACTTAAGAGCTTAGCTAAATTCAGGTATATTGTTGTGGCCCGCCTCCCGCCTCCCGCCTTATTTAATGGACCTGTTCAGCAGTTAGCACGTATCTCATGATAATAGAGGAAAGGGGCTTAGGGATTTTAGAGTCAAATGTGACATGGTGGATAGCCCGTGCTTCAAGAGAGCCATAATAATCGCCAAGTCAATAGGGAGTTTCAACATATCTGACCTAATTATCATCAGTAGATAATCTGTATGGGGATGGTATAGGATTCTCATGAAGCTTGATAATTATATTTAGAGCAAGCATTGTATCCATCTATTTAGTTAGCAGTCATTTCAATGAGAGCACTTACGTCCATTCAATCATCAAACGGGATGTCCACGAACCTGAAATTGTCAGTGATATCTTCGACATGGAAGACTCCCCTGTCTGACACTCAACTCGACTCGTCGTCGACGGCCTTCTTATAGATAAATGGCAAGAAGTCTTCTTTGTCCTTGACTTCTTAGAATCCCGTCTCATATCTTTGTGCAGAATGCCATTGTACTGTGCGTCTTCATTAACAGACATCGCCAGGATGAATCAGATCAAAGACTTATTCTGATCCACCATTGTCCACTCTTCATTCATCAAGTTATCACAGACAGCCAATCTATTTCTATCCACTTTATTTACAAAGCCCGAAACATCCCATCTATTCATCTATTATCCCCTTAAGCAGAAACCGGTTCCACCTCTTCTTTATTCTTGAGAACATTCCGTTCCGCGGAACTAAGCTGCAATCCCTGTTCGTCCCATTCGTGCGTTCCAAGCTTATACAGTGTGCTCTGTCGACGTCGACCGACCATGGGTCCTTCCTTTCCACGACGAGCGCGCGATTCCGCAGTCTCCACCAAACTCGCGTTGTCACCATCCAATGTGTTTCCGTCCAGATCCTCTGTGTGGAACTCCGGTGAGAATATATACGTGCGGTATTCGGTGTTGAGCCAGCCAGTGCCTAGGTCGTTAGCACATCGTTTATGTAAATTTCAGGGCCTATCTTACCACGGTATTGACTGCTATCCTCCCAATCCTCCGTGAAGAAATGGAGGAAACCTCCGTGAGTCACAAGGACGATCTCCTTCTCCGGACGAGCTTTCAACCAACGTCGTGCGTCGCGAGCTCGAGCTGCGACCGCTTCGTTGGTGGGTGCGTACCGACCCGTCTATATCGTCAATTATCAGCCTCTCACTCTGTATCACACCAAAAAGAAAAGAAAGAGAGAGAGACCTTATCATTCCAATTTTCAGTCACCAACCCCGCATCAACAGGTAACCCCTTCTCCTCGATCTCCCGTTTCAACACGGCAGGATCACTGCCTGTGTCACACGGCACGTCGCTCGTCTCCTGGGTATCCGGGAGCAGAATCAACTTGGCATCGGGATGGGCACGGAAGAATGGCTCGAAGCTCTGCAACGCGGTGTACATGGTTCGACGCAGCGGCGACGCAACCACCAGGTCGATCTGCGCGTGGTACGGGAAGGCATCGCGGAGTTGGGTGCATTGTTCGTTGCCGAGATCGGTCAGGAGGGGGTCATGAATGACATGGTTTGCGGTGGAAAGGTTATGGACGCCCTTAATTTATCGTTTATATGAGAACTGTTGATACAGAGGGGAACGGGAAGGGGACAAACCTGGGCGTGGCGGACGCAGTGGATTATGGGGGGCATATTCTTTCTCTTTCTTTCTATCTTATTTCGTTATTCTGTTTTCTTCTTGTCTATGTGTAGGTGTCTGGATGAGAGTCTAAGGGTGAGTCAGAGAGAGACGTGGGGAATTCGTTGGCGGGGCAGCAAAAAGAATTGATCCATACTCACCTGGATCTATTCTACCGGAAGAACAATGGAAGAAAAGAAGGATAAAGAAAAATTTTAAAAGCAAGATACGGACAGAAAAGAACGAGGTTAAGTTATTAGTTTTATAGCGGGGTAAAACGGCAAAAATCAGCCAAGATGAATCACCAATACGAGAGACACCGATGAACGAATATGAATGAACGAACAATTGAACGTGAACATCAATGAATGAATCATATCTCATCCCACATGAATTAAATCGGAGCGCTAGAATCTAAATGATCCGATTATTAGACCCAAAGTGTCCCTCCGATCTCTAGGGCCTTGTTCCATGGATCGACGAGGTTGAAAAATTTTGTCTCGTTGCCCCTATTCGGAGGACCTCCCTCCGAGTCTAACTAATGGATAATAGTTACAATCAAATGGGGTATACTATAGACTGACATCCAATATCTAGGGTATTGTCTCGTAAAATAATAACCAGAGTAGAACTATTCAAATGCTCATGCAACGCCAAAACCCTGAGCGTTTTCCAATGCCTTATTGAGTTTCTCCTCCAACACACTCCGAGATGAATATTCCGGTAGAAGAAGCCGGCCAAAACACGTCAAACTGGTCGGAAGACGCTAGAAACAGTCAGTAAACGATAAAAATTGTGTTCATCTGTAGACATGAGTCGACTCACTGTATCTCCCACCCCATTCTTTTGAATCACAAACATAATGCTCGGTATCCCATTGACCGGAATCCGGTCGCTCGCCGTCACAAACTCCAGCAGTTGTGCCTTCTTCTCTGCCGGAAACTCTCGTACAACGCTCCAGAACGCACGGATGATGCGATGATCTGGTCCAAACCCGCCTTCGTATCGCGTGTGGCCCTCGAGCTCCGTGATGTCGATCTCCTGGATCCCTTCCACGACGGTCTTCAACGCCTCCGGCGTGAAGATCGAGAGGGCTGTCCGATCAAGACAGGTATAGAACCCCCGCGCGAACGCCTCAAACTGCGGTCGCACCGACTTATCCGTCAGCCAGAAGATGTAGTCCTTGACAAACTGGCTTCGGTTCGCATTCGTCACCAGGGCAGCCTCTTCCGCCGGTGGCGTGGGTGACTGAACGGGCACAGAGTCATCCACCGATTTCATGGGATCGCCATACGAGTCGGCGGCCTCCGCGGCCATCGACGAGGGAGGACTCAAGCTTATGCGGTCGGTGAACCGGCGGAAGTCGGACCAAGGGGAAGGGAAAGGCCGGTGCCCGCTCCCTGTTCGCAACAGCGCAGATGGAAGAGGCCAGGGAGCATCCCGGCCAACTTTCTGCATGTCCACTGACTCGATGTTCCCAAAGGCCTCGAAACTAAACTCATAGGTGCGCATGAACACATCCTCCACGTCACCATGCTGCCAATCCAGAAGACCCTCCAGACCCTTGCTAAGTTCCGGCCAGCCGTCTTCTATATGTTCGAGGTGCTTCACCTTGAGTCCCAGGAGCTTGCGGTAGAAGGCCGTCGGGAAATTGACCGGAAGGGTGAGGCCGTTGTAGACTGCAATCGACACCAGCAATCCAAGTATCTCGAATTTGTACAGAGGCTCCAAGGAACAAGGTTGAAACCAGGAGATGCGGGTGCGGGCGTCCATCGTGAACATGCCGTAGCGTGGATCCAAGACCTCAGCCATGAGCAGTCGGAAGAACTCCTGCTGCACACCACCGTGATCCAGACCCTCCTCACCTTCCTCCATTCCAATCTGCACTTTCAGCGGACGCATCAGTTCTCGCCGTTCACGTCGCCACAGCTGATTGAGGGCATCGGTCAACAAGTTATCGCGCCGCACGACCAAAACGAGGTACGTGGACATGGATGTCTTCAGACGCGCGAGCAAGCCCACGTCATCTTGGATCTGAATGGCGCCAAAAGCCGTCTGTGTCACATGCCTCGTCGTGGTCGTGGCAGCTTCGTAGTGTTTGGACATGGCGGCATAGTTTATGGCGCGGAAGTAGATGACGAGTGCTGAGGGAGGGAAGAGGAATGGGTATGATAGTAAATGCATTGTCTTATTGTTCGGAACCCGTCCCATCCACTCAACGGGCAACTCCAACGGTTCCAGCCTCTCCGACAGAAAAGGCGTGTGAAAGTCTTCCGGGACGAGTCCCAGCCGACTCCGTTCTTGATACATCATAGACAGGATCTGCACGGCGCCACCCACGGTACTCCCTTTGGGCATTTCAGGATTGCCGTCCCACTCCTTCAGGAAAAGCGTCCGGAGCCACTCGGCAATGATAGCTGGGGGACTGGGGCTTTGGACGTTGTCCGGGCTGCTGAGACGGGCTTTGACGAGATCCTGGCTTTCGCTGAGGTTGTTGATCAAGAGATCCAAAACACTGCTTTTACGTTGTTTGGGAGAATCGGGAGTGTACGCCTGGCGGGACTTGGATATCTCATGGAATGCCAGCCGCGCAGTGAGAGCACGGACTAAGCGGTCTAGGAGCCGAAGTGCGAGATGATGTTCCAAGACGTCAGTAACCTCCACAATCAACCGTATACTCTGTAAAGGAAGCTTCTGCATGTCGGCGCTAGAAGCCACCGCACCGGTTCCACGCATCTGGAGTACTCCGCGCCATGTCAGCGCGTCGATTTCCGGGAGGGCACTGGCCAAGGCAAATAACGAGATGGTTGCAATATCTGCCGCATTCGCATCGCTGATGTGCTCATTTCGTGCCGATACCGATGTCGGCCGGGAGATGATGGGCACCCCCGCGGCAGAATTGTAGGATGAGCGACGCGATGGCTTGCTAGGGGTTGACAACTCCTTCGGTGGGATGAATAGCGTTTCCAAGGCGGCCCAAAGGCTATGGAAGATAATATCTTTTGGGCAAATCGTAAACAACCTGCGTAAAGACGGTTGGAGTTGTTGCATATTAAGTCTGGAGGGCACGGCATCCTGCTCCACCTCCGTTGGGCCAGGCGCGTGTTGACGAAATGATCGCAGGATCTGTTTTGTGCTACCCAGAGCATAGAATATACTTTGCGCCACAAAGGCGAACACCTCACGCTGGCGAGCTGTCGCAAACCGCCACTCAGAATCTTCCAGTGTGCCCGTTGACTCTATATAAGCCAACTCGTCTCTCCATCTCTGGGCCTCGTACTCAGAGAGCACCATCATTTGTCTCAGTCCATCGATGATCTCACCAGTGAGATGGGTGACAGATTGGATAGCCGAAGCGTCTCGTCTGGACGGCAGCCCTATATGGTTTGGACTCTGTTTACTGGGGGACTCTGTGCCCGATGGCGGTTGATCTGCTTGTGTCGTGATGGACTTCTCGATGTCCGAAATCTGGGCGCCATTCAATAGTTTCGCTCCATCCCAGGAAACTCGTCTTTCCTTCTTTCGTTGTTCACACAGGGGGGTCTCGTTGGCATCTCCAATTCTGCCACGGTGTTTCTGTGGACGGTGCTTCAGCGCCGGCGGCGAAGGAATGTTGACTAGATCGTCCGGAGATGGGTGAGTGTTGATTGAAAGCTTACGGGCCGGTTTCAGCTCAGAGTGCGATTTCTCCTCTAGGCTCGACCGTGAGCTTTGACGCCATTGATCCACTTCTGTGAGCGAAAGTCGCTTAAACTGTTGATTCGGAACCCTCAGTTCTACCGCAGTTGTTTGGCTCCCCATAGTCCGTGATGACGGCGTTTGAGGGTTACTTCCAGTAGACGTGTGATACTGAGGCCTACGATCTCGACATCTTTGCGGCTTCTCAGGATCGGGTGGGAACTGAGCGCGACGACTCTCTGGTTTAGGCGATCGTGAGGGGGTTCGGGCGGATGCCTGGTCTGAGTCCGTGCAAAGACTACTGGGAGAGCGACGCAAGGGCAGCCATTCGATCATCCTCAAAGACAGCGTATCGAACAGATTCTGTGTGAAAGACTTTGGGTCCTTCATTTGTTGGATTGATGGACTCTCCGCTGGTAGACATTCACCGTGCTTTTGTAATTCAAGTCCCGGCGAAGCCCGGGAGCTGCCATCTCTCGCGTTCACTTGGGCCGACGAAATGGTTGAGCTGCTACGGTCTCGATTTGTATCATTCGTAGGAAGCGCACGGTTGCGGCGTTTAGGTCGGCGTTGAGAATCTTGTGCTGACAATTCCGATGGCACTTGGGGGGTATTGCGACAGAGACCGCTCTCTGCGTTGTCCAAGCTTGCCAGATAGCAAGCCAGCGTGCGAGCACTCAACTCGGTGTACCGACGGAACGGGCTTTCCGTCACCCTCCTGCGATAGCTGGCACAGGTGGGAGTCTGGCATCCGGGATCTTGACAACCATATAGGAGTTGATTCTTATACCTTTTCCAGTCAAACTCAGCTGTCTGTCCACCTCAGCACACTCCCACTGGAGAAGCCACTAACCTGCGAACCAAGAGATTAAACTGTCGCCGTCGCTCATCCCTATACCAAAGCAGCACCTGCGCAGGGTCGGATACATCGACAGTATTCTGGGTGATTATCTCGGGGGCGTTGGGGGGCAACTTGGACCGATGGAATTGAGGCCGGTCGATGCCTCCTCGCGAGGTCTCATACGAGCTCGCGGAAGCTCCGGGGAGCCTGGTCATCTTCGCAGAATGGGAGCATTCCTTACTCCCAACAAAGATAGTCACTATAGGTCCTGAGGTGTCCGACCAGGATCTGAAGCCGTTGGAATGCAAGCAGTCGAGATTGTGTGTGCGGTTTGTACTTGCCGGGGCTGAGCTGATATCATGTGGAAGACCATCAGGGTGGCCTCAGGCGCCAAGTCTAGCGTCGAAGCTGACTAAAACGTCGATGGAACAAGTGATGATCCGGGGATCGCACACTAATTTTGAAGGGGACTAGTGTGGGGTTATTCGACGTCATTGGCATCCCAAAGTGGCAAGGCGCCCTTGGTGCTTAGTGAGCATGATTTGTTATTACTCATCCGGCTTGAATCTTTCCATTTCGAGGGGCACCGAAGAATATATCCATCAAATATTCGTCCCATCCTCCATCAACCCTCATTCTGCTCTTTCTCTGCTCCAGTCGTTTGATCACGACTGTCGGCATTTGCCTCATTTGACACTGTCGTAATTTAAAGCCTGAGCAACCGTCATCCCGCTTGGGATTCACTATCGCACACAACCCGGCAACGATTGACGATTTTGATTATTCTGTATACCACCACAGACATAGATATCTTTACCGATTACATCAGATTGAAAACCAAATGGCTTCTTTCGATCCGAATGTTCCTACCACTTCCCTGCCATATACCTGCAATACCTGTCTCGTTGCCTTCCGTGGCAGCGATGCCCAGCGGGATCATATGCGCAGAGACTGGCAGTAAGTGCTCACCAACTCCTCCCTCGCATATTCCTACTCTGTAACTCACCCCATCCTCATAGTCTCTATAACATGAAACGTCGTGTTGCTTCTCTACCCCCCGTGTCTCAGGAAACTTTCAACGAAAAAGTCCTCGCCGCCAAAGCCACATCCTCCGCCGCGGCTGCCAAGGCCTCCTTTGAGAAGACATGTGTTGCCTGCCAGAAGACTTTCTACAGCGAGAACTCGTACCAGAACCATGTCAAGAGCTCGAAGCACCGGGCGCGCGAGGCGCGACTACACAAAGAGAACGCGGCTGAGTCCTCGTCCGTCATGAGCTCAACCTTCTCACTGGGTGAACCGATCAACAAGCCGCGTGCCGAAACCGATGTGTCCACGATCACGAAGGACCTCGACACCGCGACTATCAACGAACAGGAAGGAGAAAATGACGAGAATGATGAGATGGACGAATCACCCGACAACGGCGAATTCAGCCCCGCCCGCTGCCTCTTCTGCCCCACTAAGTCCGCGAATCTTCAAGAAAACACCGACCACATGCTCAAGAGCCATGGCATGTTCATCCCAGAAAAAGACTTCCTGGTCAATCTCGAAGGCCTGGTGCATTACCTGAATCGGAAAATCACCGAGAACAATGAATGTCTCTACTGCCATGCGATTAAGAACAGCCCCGCCGGCGTCCGCACCCACATGCGCGACAAGGGTCACTGCATGATCGCCTTCGAGACCGAAGAGGAGCAGATCGAAATCGGCCAATTCTACGACTTCCGGAGCACGTACTCGGATGATGAGGATGACGATGCCGCTTCCACCGCCAGCGACATGGTCGAAGATGGCGGCGTCAAGGTCGACGGCGAAGACGACGGCTGGGAGACCGAAACCTCGGCTTCCTCCATCGACGAAGACGACATGCCCAAAAACCCCACCGTCATCTACAAAACAGAGTATGAAATGCACCTCCCCTCCGGCCGGAGCATCGGCCACCGTTCCCTCGCCCGCTACTACCGCCAGAACTTGCACAACTACCCCACCGCCGACGAGCGGGCCGCACGCCAACTGGCCATCGAGAATGGCGAGATCCAAGAAGAGCAGAAGCCCCGCGGCCGGAATCTCAACCGCGCTGTCATCAGTCGTGGCAACGGCGGCTCGGGCATGATCGGCGCCACGGAGAGTCAGAAACATGTCGCGGTCCTGTCGGAGCGTAAAGACCGTACGCGCGCTCTCCGGCAAGAACAGAGATACACGGCTCGTGTCCAACGTGCTGCTAACAACCAGAGGCATTTCCGGGTATGTTGTCTTCTTACCATTTCCATCCCTTCTGTGTATATATGACGTTGGCTAATTACTCCCAGGATCCTCTCCTGCAATGATCTGCATTCCTTCAATTGCATAGTCTTATGAGTTTTATGTCTCTGCTTGGTATACATAACGCATTACTTGTCTCTAACGCTTTGGAGTTAATGGTTGCATGACTCAAAGTAGCCTTATGATCAATTCTTGAATGGTACATGAATTCTAGATGGCTGTCAGCTTTCCAGATGTGCCCAACAGTTGGCGGAGTAACCAACACTCTATTTGTAGAATTAGAGTAGTTTCACTTCGTACATCCATTTGATACAGTATACATAGAAAGTTGACTCCACCCAGTTCACCTAGTGATAGGATAAGAGTTGCTACAGGCTGCTCAAGCTGCTACAAGTACTCCCTGTTCGTATACAAATTGATATTGGAAATTTTTGGCACTAGAACAAAATCATAGTAATGCATTACATAGAGGCTATGCTGTATAGAATGATTCTGTGAATGGGGAAATATCAGGTCCAAATGTCTCAGGCCACGCAGCTAATCTTACAATCTGAGACGGGAGAAACGAAAAATGCCATGTCTGACCCGCAGAAAACAATCATTAAACTGTTGGCAAAATGTTATTGCGGGAGTAGAAGTGCCGATTCTTCTTGATCTCCCTTAGATCCCTTCGAGGATTTCCCTCGCTTGTGTCGCCGGCGTCGTTTCTTCGACCCACTGGGGTTGGCCGTCTCTTTATCATCATTCATATCACGGACCACTCCGCCCTGGCGCACCAGGAACTGGTGTCCATTGTCATCGGAGGAGGAGCTGGTACTGGTCGTATGTAAGACCACCTTTCGGATCCCATTAACGTCGACAATCTGCTCCGTGATGCTGCCGCTGCGAGCCGGCCCCTTATGCTGATAACTGGTACCAGTCTTTGGGCGCTCTTGAGACCGTGAGTCGGAGGACCACGTACTGACGGCAGCGCTCGACGGCGAGCGGCCATATTCGTCCTGCTCTTCGCAAACCGCTTCCGGGATGGACACTCCGGCAGTGTCCTTGGTCAGCATTCCGATATCCATGGCCGGGGTATGGGACATGGTGTCATAGCCGAGACGAACGGCATGGGCACCATCCCGGGCATCTAAGCCTCCGGACTGGAGCAATCCCGCGCCAATGCCGCCCGGCAAGCCGAGAGACGAGGCACGCCGATGGGGGGAACCCGAGGCGCTCTGTTCCGACTCAACATCCGTCTGCCCCGAGCGTGTCGGGGACGCACCGGCTCGCTTGATCTTCACACTCTGGTAGCGTGTGTGACGGGGCCGACTGGCCAGGTTGGACGGTCCCAGATGCTTCAGCTGTTCGCGGATCTCATCCGTAGCTCCTCTCTGGGTGACCCAGCCATCCGCTGAATTCGAGTGCTTCCGAAGTTGGAATCGCGGTAACGGCGCCTCGACCGAATTTCGGCGTCCTTCCATCGACTTGGTTGCCCGAGACTCGCCCCCAACATCGACCAGAGTGCCTTCCACCATTTCGTGTAACACGGGCGGTTCTTCCACAATCTTGCCCTTGGGTACGCGCGACTTCGGCGCAGGTGCCATGCGCCGAATGGCTTTGTGCACATCCACGAAAACGTCCGATTCGTCAATGATTTCCCTATAGCCACAATGTCAGTTCCATGTTCGAGCCAGCACGCAGGGCGCGGGGGCATGTGCATACTCTCCAATCAACTCCTCAATCACGTCTTCTAATGTGACCACGCCCAAGGCACCACGATCCTCACTGGGATATTCTGAAACCAAAACCATGTGGGACTTGCCCTCCTGGAAAAAGTTGACGATATCCAAACAGCTGGTCTCGGGACGGGTCTCGGGGAGGGTGGCGAGGGCGAAGTCCCGGACCCGTTTGCAATCTTCCGGGTCGTAAGTGATCAACATCTTGACCAAGAGCATACCCACAAAGTTCATGGAGTTATCGGGAGCGTGGATGGGGATCCGCGAGTATCCCTGGGATAGGATCAAATCCATCGTCTCCTCGTCCAGGATGGTATTGGCGGACATGGTGAAGACGTCCTCCATCGGTGTCATGATGCTGCCGACCGCCTTGTCCTTGAGGTCCAGCACGGCGCTGATAATGGTCACCTCGTCGGAATTGAGCTGTTCCCCCGCATCTCCGAGGGTTTTATGCAGCGTGACCAACGTCTTCAGACCCGCCTTCTTATAGACGGTTCCGTGATCCTCCCCCAAGAGTCGGTCAAGTAATTTGGCGATGGGCCATGCCACGGGGGACATAATGTACATCAGGACGAGAACGCAGGGTGCCATCCAAGCCCCGATGGGGAGGCCATATCGAACGCATATCGACTGGGGGACAATTTCGCCGAAAATGACTAGATCGCCATCAATAGACGTCAACGAAGCGAGGGCAATGGCGAGATCATACCAATGAGCACGGTACTGCCCAAAACGGCGGGCCAACCGCCGCCCAGAGAGCGGTCGAGAACGATGGGGAGGGTCTCGTTCGTGATGACATTGCTGAGCAATAGGGTCACTAAGACCCAGTGTTTGCCACGTTTGAGCAGTTTGAGTACGCTGGCGGCATTTTTTCGTTCGTAGGCTTCACCGGAGGTTTGAATGACTTGGAGGTAGACCTCATCCTAGGATCATGGGAGACCAGAGGTTAGCGCAGGGGATAAATTTTCCAGGTGGCTAGTGGCGAAACGTACTTGGCCCATCAAGGCAATGGTCAAACCGGCGAAGGCGCCGCCGCTCAAGACGAGAGCGGTAGCAACACCGAGATAGAGCCATAAGCTTGGATCGTCGGCTGACAGAGTTTCTACTTTGGAGGAGCGGGTGGTGTAATAGGGAGCTGTGGGAGCGGCGGCGCTGAGCGGCAGGTGAGTGAGGGTGAAGAGCAGGAGCTTTCCTAAACCAGAGATAACGGGCCGGAGGGCCAGAAGACGGATGGCCGGAGATGTCGCCATCAGCAGTGGGCGACGGAAGGAAAGAGAAAAGAAAAGGAGCCGGGCGGGCTAGACGCAGGACATATTTATTTGCCCGGGCGTGGTGCTGGTTGCAATCAGCGTAAACTGTAAAGGGGCGGCGCGCCCCAGTCGCGATCGGAAGCTAAGAGCGATAGGCGGTGGGGCGAGCGAAAGTATGCTGTAAGCTGAGGGATTTGTATTTATGAATTGATCGGCCAGAGAGATGATAGAAAGACATAGAACAGGAATAACAAGAAGATAAGAAGAAAATGAAAATGAAAAGAAAAGGACGGATCCATAGAGAGACAGAAAGGGAGAGACAAAAAGAGAGAATGAGAGAGACTGGAATGGATCGTCGCTATCTGGATTTCCTATTTGGGAAGGTACGGCCCCAAAAGGGCAATTTCCTCTTGCGGTCCGGAGATTCTTTATTTATACAGGATTCTGTACATAATCCATGATAATTCCATGAAGTACAAAGTATTCTATGATTCTACCCAATAGTCTATGATTATTCTATATACTCTACTATGACTGAGTTCGTTGACAGCTGTCAGATGGCTCCTGAACCAGGGACAGTTTCATCGTCCTCGATCGGGAATTCGAATGAAGATCCCTCCCTACATTAACTGTAGGTACTCCGCATAAGGTTCCCCTGATCGTCATGATAATCTCCGATCATCTATCTCCAACGACTGATAGCTTAATACACCAGCATACTTCGGATATCTCAATACCCCTCAATATACGTTAGGTACTCTGGAGATCATACGTCTAATCTCTCAATCTACTCGTAAATAAACTCCTCATATCGATACCCTGAAATCCCGCAAACTTATCTCCCAATCCTTGTCTTTAATAAATAGACACTGCGGAGTATGATTGAATAGACTACTATACTTAAACATCACTATGATCTTCTGGATATGCATATCCCCACCCTCAAATAGACAAGCTCATTCCAAAACCTCCAGGGAACCTCAGAGAGGCTCAAATAGACCTCTTTTGCATAAAATACTGGAAGAGGCTAAGATAGTAGCTTCGAGCCACGAGACAGACCAGAAACTGAGAAAGCTGACCATAGCAACTCTTATCCCCTCAAACCATGGTGGAAAATCTCAACCATTTGAATATAGGTTCTGCTGATTAGGAAACATTCGCTTGTCCAGGAATCTCTCCGTGCAAATGGCTACATTTAACCACAGCGTAGACATTAGCCACTGCTAACTAGTTCCCATACAAAGTATCTGACATGGCAAATACACAGACAGAGTCTAATCCAAAATCCCATATTTCAGCTGTACCTTGAATATATGGCATACATCATAACGCTTGGTGGAATATGGATAGCCTCAACACCTGCTTTGTCCACACTACCATGCTCCATGGTACTTGTGTATTCACTATTCATGTCTGTTCGTAATACTAATTCCTGTCCCCTTTGCTCCCAGCAACCGGAAGTCCCTGTCTGTGAATGATTCTCCAGTTGACCTGCCTCCGCCACGCAATCAATCATTCACTGGTCTTCCTGCATGATGTTCCCTACCATTCTTCTCTTCCTCTCCTCGTTTTTCTCCTCTTTTCCCTTCTCCTCGAAAGTATTTTCTTAACATTCTCCAAATATTCAAGAAAAGTCTTCGTGCAAGCAATCATTTCTATATCTCTTCAACAGCTACCCAAACAAGTCTGTACACTTCAACTGTTCTTTGCCTTGTCTTTTTTTTCTTTGAAAAAGCTAATGACCACCGCCAGCGAGCAAGAATTCCCTTCGGAGATGTTATCGACCCTGACTTCTTCTCAGGCTCGGACCGAGTGATGGTGCTCGACCTGACAGCCGGCTCGGCCACCGTCTTGCAGCGATAATGCTCCTGGCTCTCAGGATCGGTTATTGGCAGGGCCTCCCTCCTGGTCCGTCACAGCTGGTATAAGATGGGTCGTCAAACAGCTCGCCGTCGGGAGCTCATCGCTACGCTGCACCTCATTCTGCATAAGGTTAAGCAGTCGAGTATCTGCAACCGCCCATGTCGCCTCGTTTCCGCCGTGGTCAGTCGGTATTTCCCCACCAACCGTACAATGGCAATGGTCAGACGGCTGGCGAGCTCGTATCTCTGCGGTGTCACTGCGTATTCGGCCCTCGTTCACTCTACGTCTCGGTTCCTATCCGGCCTCGCTGACGGTCTGAGCCCCGCAGAATGGGAAATGACCTGGTACTACCTGGGAACTTTCAGGGATATCGAGCTCGACAGTCGACTGGACCGGCATCAGTGGTTGACGCCATAGTACTGCTTCGGGCAAGAAACCGGCTTGGAGTTGCGTTCGATACTCGAGGACAACTTGAAGCCACTCTTTCCCATCGATGCAGAGATCCCCCCATATTTCCATCGTCATCTTCGTCGCTGTCTGTGTCTTGTACGTCATCCTGGTGGTGCTATCACTCCACGCTCTCCGCCACAGCATCGTTTCTGGGAATGTCGACATGCTACAACCTGCAGCCCCGAAGCGGACGGCACCGTAAACGAGACACAGCTCCAACGGACATCTCTGGCACAGCTCTGGCACAGCGCGAGGCCAACCTTTTGCGAACGATGATCCATCGTTGCGAAAACATTATTGCCCTGCAGAAGAGACTCCTCAACACTAAAACCGAGGAGCTCAGGACAGTGAGGCATCAGATGGAAGATGGCCGGGCGCTTGTCAAACAGCCATCTGCCCGTCCCATCCTGACCGAGAAAACTCAGCTCTGCGAATCCGTCGTGATTATCCAATTGCGGATAGAGCTCCCGAAGAAGGACACGCAGTTCAGCGTCGCGCGGGGGCAGTTGAGGCGCCTGGAGGACAATGTCACTGCAACCCAGTGGTCCTTCGGAGAAGAATCACCAAGTGGAAAAACAGCTGGCCAACGAGAGGGAACAGGCGGAGGCCAATTCCTTGAGTGAGATCCAATCGCTGAGAGCCGAGATTCAGACTCGGAATGCCCAGCTCGTCGCCATCGAGGACCGCCTGGCCGCTGGCGAGGCCCAAGAGCTGCTCTCTCGCGGCCGGCACAAGCAGATCGACATCGAGTGCCAGCAGCTCGTTAACCATAATAACGAGCTCGATGCCCAGACCCCTCGAGAACGAGTCACTTCAGGCTTCGCTTGACCAGCTGTCCCAGCAGCTGGAGGGACCTGTGGTGACTATCCAGCTGGAAGGCAACGCTGCCCTTGGGCAGGTCTTTTTCCTACAGAAAGAGCTCGCGACAGCCCAATCGTCGGTGGAAAACACAGCTAGGGAAGCACAGGAAGCCCTCGCTCACACCAGCGGAACCTAGGTGGCCCTTCGACAACCCATGGATGGCCTTAAGTATGCCTGCGATTTGACTCTCGCGCAGGAGCCTGCGGTCGCTGAGAGTCTTGCTGCAAGGTCAACAAGCTCCAAGGCAAGATCGGCATGGCAATGAGCGAAGCCCAGAGGAGTCACGAGCAGGCGGCCTCGGCTCAGGGGACAGTTGAAGTCCTCAAGCGCTGCCTGGCCCAGTAGATGGTTCCGTCAAACAATTCGCAGACTCGGAAGCGCCGTACAGGTGACTTGGGATGCCTCCGCCCTTGAGCAGAGTAGGGTGACGGTCTTCCAGCAGCAGACGGAAATCATCTCTCCGCCGTCAATCGAGCCAGGCCAATCCACTGAGCCAGTGCTGCGGGAGAACATTCAGAAACTACGGGAGGCCTGGAGAAGGAGAAAGGCATGCAGACATAGGACCAACTTCGTTGGGACAAGAGAACGCGTGTGCTGGAGGCTGGCAACCATGAGCTCCGCATCTCGTTGTCCAACACTGAGGCATCTTCCCGTCCTTTGTGTGGAAGACGTCAGCCTACCGTTTTTTGATCTTCCTAAAGAACTGTCCTGCTTGGGGATAGAAACAAGGGGTGTAAAATCCTTCGATTAGGAAGTGGAGGAAATTCTTTCTTGTTGTTCTTCCATCTGGGGGGATTTCTTTGGAAAGAGAGGGAATGGAGTGGTTCTATATGAAATGGATCCTGAAACGTTCATATTGCTCCCATGTAGATAGCATTCGTAGCATCTCGTATAGGTTGGATCAGTCGATCCCAGATCGACTGATCTCCAAGTCGACAGAAGTCCCTAGAGATAGGCGTCACCCGGGAAGTGAACCCGACTCCCTAAATTATATACTGATCAGCCTCATGCTTCTTCAATGCACCCCAGACTGTGTCGACTGGACTTGCATTTTCACAGGCATCACATTCTCTCTGGGTTCCATATTGACGGAGTCATGGATCTCGACGTTTCTTGAGAAACATGGTCGTACCATTCAGCATGCTTTTGTCTGACATGGACATTGATTGGGGATGATGATTTCTGTTGAGCGTCCGAAGTCGTGGATCATCTCTCTCTTGGATAGAGCTGGGTGAAACCTCATAAGGCAAGTCACTCGGTATGGTACGGGCCATACAGCCTGCATCGTATCGTAATATACGGACGGACACGGTACGTCTGGAATCTTTTCCGCCTTTGTTCCTTTCCTCCATCATTGTTCCTCAGCATCTTCTAATATCACTTCGTCTTCAATCGGGCTTCTTTCCTCCTGCGGGGACTCCCTCTTCTCTCACTCTTTTCTCACTCTTCTCTACTCTTTTCTTTCCCCTCCTCTCCTTCTCTTTGTCATCATTTCCCTCTGTCATTTTATTATCACTCTTTTGTTCTCACTCTGTTCTCCCTTACTCGAACATCCATTCAAATCCACCAATTGCCTCCTGACCATTCTCCCGATTCTTCCCGCTGCAGTGACACCCCTCCCCTTGCATCCTCATCTAGCGCCATGCCAACCAACAACAACACGTCGTCGCCTGTCAAGCGCCCCGGTCTGGGCCGCCGCGCCGTCTCCTCACATGCCGTCGTCACGCGCTCCTCTTCGCAGGCCGCTGACTTGGACCCTAATACAACCCACCAGAAACAACTCCCCCTGCGACTATATCGTCCTCACGTCGTCGGGGGCCATCGTAACCATCATCGAAATACCTCCCACGGCAAGAACTTTGCCAAGTTTCAGCGTCATAGCTCGACCCTCCATTTGCCCGATACCGCCGGTCGCCATCACCAGCGCAAGAAGTCCGCCCCCGCCACGCCTGCCGCCAGTCCCCGCGGGCAGCATCACGTCCACTGGGATGGGGCCGTAGATAGTCACCCTACGACGGCCTCGATGAAAAAGAACTACTCCAGCCCCGCTCTTCGTCGGAATCACTCCGGCGTGGTCGGAAAGAAGGCCTTGGTGACCGTTCGCCCCAACTCCAGCGCTGGGAAGAAGAAGACTGTGGGCTTCGAGCTGGCGGACTCGGACAACGACGACGGCGACTGGGAGGACACCACCCAGTCGCCAGAGAGCACCCGGCGGAGTTCGGTCGCACAGTCCAAGGAGAGCGAGGAGAACACTGCGGTATTAGTCGACCCTCTTACCTTTGTCAAACGTCCCTATCCACAATTTCCCCGAGCCACCAGCCTCCCAGAATCGACCAGTAAAAGCTTTGGGGAAGGCCCCTTGCCGGACGACGACGACGACGGCGGCGACGACGGCGACGACGACGACGCCGAAGATCAAGATAAACGACGTCCATCCACGGGTTCTGAAGAGTCGGAAGACGCAGCCGGCCGCGCTCCCGACCAAGGCGATATTGCGAACCGCTTGTTGACCCCATCTCATTCTGCCAAAGCACCCCCTGCCATGTCTTCCATCTCCGCGACGGCAGAGCCGGCGGCGGTGGACTCCTTATCCCGTCCAACTTCCCTCACCAATCTAGCCTCCGATGGTCTGCGGCGCCCTGTGTCGTCCTCGAATACCGCTGCGATGGCGAATACGCCAGGTACGCCAGCGCAAGCGACCTCGTCTTCTATTGAAGGGGGCGTTTCTCGGTTCATCAAAGCTGGCGTTTACCCGTCGTCGCGCACCGATTCGGATCCCAATACACCATCGTCGTTCTTGCCGCATTACCACCCACAAACGCCTCCCTCCCCCAATCGTGCTTCGGGTTCAAAGAAAACGAGAACCTCCCCCCCTATACGCCCGCCAGGAACCGAGCCGCCGTCGCGCACCCAGCAGAAACTCTGGCTGCAGCGCACCGCGACACTGAACACTTCACCACCGGACTCTCATGGGGTACCGACTAGTGTTTCCCCATCAACAATGGACCCGAACTTCTTGGGTACACGTTCGGGCGCCAGTCCGTTTGATGCCAACCGAGCCCTAGTGAATGGATCGGCCAGAGCCGGTGGCGCGGTGCACGACAACGAAACTAAACACATTCGCAAAGCGTACGAGAAGACGTCTTTGGAGCTGACGGTGGTTCGACGATTCCAGTCGCCTACGGGGGATAGCTTTCGTCGGCTGAACTTTGTCATCAGCGGCAATAGTACTGGGCTGGGGCATGAGCGTCGCTCCTCCCTCGGCAAACCGATCAAATCGGCACCGGCACTGACCCGTTTGCAAGACGGCAAGGCACAGAAACCTGGTCAGAAAGGCCCAAGCCCAGAGCCCAAACAGCTTATGAGCAAGAGAAAGCCGGCAATGCGGACATCCGTCTCCCAGACTTACCTGCAAGACCCCGAGGAGCTGGTGAATGATCCCACCGAAGCTGGAAAGCAACCGAGTGCCCAACATCCCTCCTACCGCATCCTCTCCACCTCCGACGAAGCTGTGCACACCAACACACCTGCAGCTGAAGAAGAAGAGGGTCCGTCCTATTACACTAACGAATCTGACATGATGATCCGTCGGATGTGGGAAGCTCGCGAAGTGCCCGAATTAGGCTAAGCAACCATCTTAACTGTACACTACTACCTCCTACTTATTTTTGATTCCTGTTCATCTTCTTACAAAGGAGGCGTTATGGCTGCATTTTCTTTTCTTTCTTTTTTTTCTTTGTATAGCGTATGAGGTCGTTCCGCCGTTTCATTGATCACTTTTTTTTGTTCTTGCTTTGTGCAGATGAAGCGACATGACCTTTCTGGATGTTGTCTTGCTAGATCCATTGCTGATATTTTCTTTTCTTTTTCTTTTCTTTCTTATTTTGATTTTCAGCTATTGCTGACTACGGGGGGGTATAGGTAGCCCTTTATTAATGTAATTAATTATCTTTCTTTGGAATTGCTGAGCAATCGACTGATGTTTTCTTATTAAGACATAGATTTAATTATTCATGTATAGAATAGAATAAACACTTAACTGGCAAAATCAAACTAGTATTAATTAGCTAGTAGTTAGTTAACTAGTTACAGGGTGAGTATACCATCCACAGGTCTAGATCTAGACATGTACTTAGTCACTGAGAGAGCTAAATCGACATCAACAATATATATTTATCTACAGATATAATAAAATTAGATCCGTTTCCGGAATCAATCAGATGAAAAGAATAAAAATTTATTCTATTATCTGTTTTTATGTCACGTTCGTAGAAATAAGGAATTTAGGTCCTATCTCCCTGTCTATTAAGAAGCTCCAGATATCATCATAAATGTGTAATTAGTCAAATACAACTATACAGGTTTACTTGTCCATATGAATGTGTAGATCAAGAGAATTATGATCTTTTCTCGGCGCGATCTTTCCCCCTGCCACGAGCACCGCCACGACCACCACGACGGGCATGATTATCGGTGGGTTCTGTGTGATTCCCACTTGATGAACGAGGATGGTGGTCTCGACGAGTAGAGGGGTTCACTTTCTGTGCGTGTTCGAAGTCGGTATTCCGTGGGAGTTGATGGGTTAATGCCGAAACGCTCGGAGCAGTGGTCCTCGCGGCCGGAGTCGGTTTTCCGTGTCTCTTGCGCGGTCCAGATCCCTTTCCACGGCCTCCTCGGCTCCGGGGATCTCTTTCTTCTTGCTGGGTTGTAGTTGTAGTGGTGGTAGAGTTCGGGTCTGGTAGGCCCTGGACTCGTCGACTCTCCTTATCCCACCATTCTTGGAATTCCTGCTCTAGTTGGATGTCTTCAAGGTTGTGTTTGGCCGTTGCTGCTTCGCGGATCTCATCCTTTTCGGTTTGCTGTTGCATGAAAATGGCAGCTAATGACATTGAGTTGGGCGAGGCAGAATGGAAACTGACTTGATATGGCTCAGGCCGTGGGATGTGCCGTATTGACTGGATTGGGGGTTGAGCGTTGGCCGAAGGGTTTGGAGACGGGAAAGACGGTGCCGCAGAAGGGCCGGAAACGGAGGTCCTTGAGGATGGTCCAACGCTTTTGGACACACTGCAGCTTTGCACTTGGACGGGCGTTGTCGTTCCACTACTAGCTTTGGAGGGAGGGGGTGTTCCGGCAACCGTCTGGCGAATAGTCATTGAGGGCCTTAAAACTGATTTCGCACCTTCCGAGGATGCGCTATCTTGTCCTTTGACGCTCGCTAAAGGTGACTGTTTGCTCGGGGTTTGATTTGATGTAGGCAGTTTCCAAGGATTCTGGGGTGCTTCCTTGGTCTTCTGTTGAGCAGAAAGCATCTCCTGCAATTGTTGTTGCTGGATTTTCTTGCGTTCTTTCTGTGATAGCTTTTGGGTGAAATTACTGCTGCTTTCTCGGCGATCAGACATGCCTAGGCTGAGATTTGACACCCGAGTTTCCGAGGCCTCGCTCATAATTTCTTTCATATTTTTCTTGGACGTCTGAATCTCCGCGCTCCATGGTCCCTGAGAAGAGGTTGCTGCCGATTGAGCATCGTCTCTCCTATTACTGAGTGAAGCAGCACGGAATTCAGGATGGGATTCGCCGAGAGCTGTACCATGGGAAGAAGCCATCTGAGCATCAAAATAGCTTTGATCGCCAAAGGAATCTGACTCAGGCAGGCCAGGGCTAGCGGCAGATGAGTCGATCTGCGACCGGCTTTCACTTGTACCAGTCTGCCTCGTCCCTCGTATTGCTGCTTTGCCCTTTATCGAATCACCGGGTAATAGTAGGCTGTCATCGTCCATTGGAAACATCAGGTCACTGCTTGACGGCTTCGGTCTTAATGCAGGACTGAGTGAAGAGGCAGCCAGGGTTTCTCTTGAAAAGGTAGTAGGCTTAGTTTTTTGTGCGAGCGGGGACACAACAGTCTCATTATTCATCGAACGTAGTCTTCCCTCGTGAGCTTCAATCCGGTTGACATGGGACCTAAGCCTCATAGAATCGATTCTCCGGCGCTTGTCATTATCTATCAAAGAGGCAAGTTCTGGATACTTTTCAAAAACGTAAGCCTCCGAATTGCGTCCTCGAGATATAGGGTAAGCTGCCAACTGGTTCTCATGGCAGACATGGTCAAGTGCATAAAGCAAATGCTCGTCTAGTTCCATCAGAAACCTGAATTTTGAGTTAGCGGCTATTTGAGTGTTCCAGCAAAGGGGCAAACCACTTGCCTGTTTGATAAAAGATCTTCCAGATTTAAGCAGATATATTCCAAGGCAGCATCTTTGAATTCGGTCACGGAGCACGGAGCAATCGAATTGAGAAAATGGCACACATTAGGTGTGTTCACTAGTTTGTCTCAGCAACCGGAGCATGAAGGAACCTTTGTGAATCACGGCATTGACTGACTTACCAAATCTACCAAGCATCTTCTGGCATATTTGGGCCAGCCTATCGATCATTAACTCATTGGCTACAAACGCAACATCGAGCACGACACCAATGAAATCGTCCAGGTCCTTTGTTCGCACTTCATCAAAGAGCTCGTCTTCGGTGTCCGCATACATATATCGAAGAACAAACTCAAATATTGGTCGTTCAATGTGCTTAAGATCGACATGGATGTTGTCTGCTGCGTCTGCACGCCGGGATGCTAGCCACTTACCACCCGAGCGACCATGAAATAGTGCATCAAAAAAGGGACACCTTTGGCAAATGACTTGGCTATGGACCTTCACGGCGTCGCCGTTCAGGTCAACTATCACGTCGCCGCTTTCAAAGAAAGCAGGATCTAGTATTGCACGCGCCATATCGGCTTCCAGAGCTTTAGTAGGCTCGGTCATAAGCCTAGCAGCTCTCTCCAAGGTTGGCAGATCCAGAACCGTCGCAATGCGCATCACTTCAGTGCGGATCTGACGATATCTGGAAGCGTTTTCGGGCGTCTGTCGAGCATGCTGCCAGACATCAAGTACATCGTCCGTATATGAGAAGAAGACAAGATTCAAGATAGTCAATAAATCAAACCCTTGGAACACAATTTGAGTACATCCTTCATCCCCACGTCCAATTGTCAGGGATTCTGGTATGGAGAAGGTATCGGCAAGTCGGAAATCACGAAGACCTTTCCTCAAGATAGGACTGCGCCCAGCTAAAATGAATTCATGCACAGGGATTCTAATGTCGGAGAGGGTTGTCTTAAGCCAAACTCTCCCGCTGGGCACCTCATTCTGCAGAGTGTGGACAAAAGACTCAACGTCTGTTGCTGACATAATTGCAGCTTTTATAGACATGGCAGACTCCAGGCCCAATGAGTCGTCCTGAAAAATATCGAAGCCAGTATGATCAGTCAACATGAAAGAGCGAAAAGGCGATATCGGTATGAAATCCCTGGACAACGTGCTTTGACCGACAGTGATCTGCTCTTTGGTTACATCATAGTCCCGTTGCGCAACTATGTAAGCACCAAATGCATTGCTGCATACTCCCACAACTCGAGACAGTCCAGGTATTCGGGCGAACTTGTAGTCCTTCGATGACCCGTCCTTAATTTTCCGACGCTTTTCCTTCCGCCATGCGGAACCATTCGCTGTGGAAATGATAATTGAACCATCTTGTCCAACGTCGACATCTGTGACAGCCATGTGCGTCTTCTTCATAGACCACACTCGAGACGGCTGGGATAAAGAATTGCGTATCTTGGTTGGGTTCGTCGTAGATGTTAAAGGTGGTGGGTTCTCCATCTTATTGACCTGGACAGTAAAAACTTCACCATAGCTGGACAATGCGCAGATGGTATTGCCCCCAGATCTGATTTTGACGATCTCATTGACTGAGTTGCCGTATCGGGTTGTCATGAAGCTGTCTCTGATGAAACTGGAGCTGACATCAAGAGGAAATGAGAGCCTCGAATAGCCATATTGGGAGAACACCCAAACTTCATGGCTTTGAAGAAGAACAGCAGTGGCATGATCGATAGCGGACACGCTGTGTATGACAGCGCTGAATAGTGAGGCCCCCACACGCCGGGGTGTTGTTTGAATTTCAAGTGACCGGGCATCCGAATCAACAAGTCCAAGTTGGCCCTCATTTTTGCCGAAAGTGTAAAGACCCGAAGTGCTGAAGACAACCGAATGAATTGCCGATGCTGCTGCCCCTAGTATAACTTCCTTCTTGAAGGGGTTGAAAATCTGTCGAGGGACGTTTTGAATGGGCACGTCGTCCTTATTTTTAGTCCTGGGAAGGCTGTAACCTAGCTGGCCATATTTGTTGCTTCCCCAGCTGAAGACTGCCCCTTGGGCAGTGATAGCAAGAGTATGGTCCTGACCGAGAGCAATGCTAACAATTTTCTTATTGGCAAGCCCTCCTGTCTCAATACAGACAAAACCAAATCTGGTTGACTCGTCACCGGTGCCTAGTCGTCCACCGGGACCAAAACCGCACAGAAAGAGATTGGACTGCGGATCGTTCGTAAGGACGGCTGTGTGGAGTTTTGACATAGCTATGTCCTGGATTTTGATAGCTCTGTTTTTGATCAGGGTTGGCAAATCCATGGTCTGCTCGAGATATAGATCAGACCCGGTGACGTTGGTTTTTCGCCTTTCGTATTCTCGATGGAACCGCTGCAAGAGATGATATGGACGTTTGACGGATATCCTCTCCGGAAATTGACGGTCATCCTGATCTCCAACACCAAGATTTAAGTTTTTGTTGCTTCCAAACGTGTACACTTCATCAGCAAGCAAATTTGTCCGTGGTTTTAAAAGGCCTCGTCCAATGAGACCGTCCTCGTCTGAATCATCGTCTTGGGGGGATTCAATAGATGCCACATCGCTATGATCTAGATCCGTGAATAAAGAATCTGGGACCGCGGGAGAGACAATGCGTTTGATGTCACGAGATGTAATCGTAGCCCCATAAACATCGAAAGGACTATTTCCCTCCCGGTCTTTAATCTTAATCAACCCTCCTGTATGGACAGACGTCCCCAGTTTACTAAAATCCGTTGCATCGCGTACGTCTCGGGATATCAAGGCTTGGGCAATCGTGACATTCCCGGCGTACAAAGCCCGATGCAAAGCTGTCCAGCCGCTCTCCCAATCCTGCGCGTAGATGTCCAGAAAAGGCACTTCGAGAAGCGAGATGGCGAATCGTACCGCCGAAGGTTTTGCTGAAGATACCACAAGGTGGAGGAGGGTCCTGCCAAGCTGGTCCCGCGCGTTCAAATCCTCCCGAGTCAGAGCCCTGCCCGATCGCGGACCACTGCCCTTATCTGGGGTCGTCGAACTCCCAGGAGACGTCCCATTTAGTTTCCTGTTTTTTGATGAGACGCCAGGGGAAGAAGCCGTGATAGTTCCGGGGGTCCCGGCCTTGAAGGTAGGAGGACCTCCAGATCCCGGGGTCCGCTGGCTGCCAGTTGTGTAACTGGCGGTTGCCAAGAACCGCTGGAAACTGTCGACATCATCGCGCAGAAAATATTCCCAAAGCTTGCTACTCATGTGCCCAGTATTGTAGGATGTCGGAATCTCTTATCGACCCAGGGCCAGAGTGTTGCGATAACCACTGAGGGGTCACGGCGTACTGGCAAGAGCACTGCGGGCGATAAGAGTATCCTGACCGAGAGAGGGAAGAAGTTGATGGTGATCAACGCGTCGCCAGTACTGCCGGTGGATTTAGGAATTCCAAATGCAAGAGCTGAGATGAGTGAAAGGCGATGAGGCACGAGGAAGCGAAACGTGTCGTGAATTCGAGTGAGTGGTGGCGACGATAGCGAGCTATGTGACTGGTAACAGGCGACCAATATTATTATCTCCGAAGCTGGGATCGAATGCCGGGGAAATGGGGATTAGGTAGGACGATAGGGTTCGCGCACGACGGGCGACAAATTCGACCCAGATGATGGTATGCAACAAGACTCTCTATATAACGATTTCATCCGAGACGAGAATCGGACATTCCTTGACTGATGGTGAGGGTGAGTAACTTCGTAAACGACCCGTGGATAAGTCCGACCGTAAGCAGCCAATCGGGGGCAGTGCACCCCTCCATGCCCCCAAATGAGAGGCCGACGTTGGCTGGAGCGCATGAGTACACAGTTTGTCGAGAAGGTGGATTGCTGGTCTACAAGAGGTGTCACGGTCGCCAATCGGAGTATTTAAGTGGACTATATTTGGACGCTCCTACAAGGTGGAATGGAATGCCTGAGAATTTACACATCACTGTAAGGACAGATGGCCGAGGCCCAGGCACTAAGGTACCTATCCCAAGGACCTAGCCCTTCATGCCCAATTTAGACTAGCGTAGATGATGGAGATCAGACTATATCGTGACCACCACCACCGTTCACTATTATCCGCAGAACGCAACTACTGGATGACTCAACCTACTAAACCTCAGTCTCTCAGTTTGGGAACTTAGGGACAGCTCTAGATAAAGGACCATACTAGAGCAAATTAAAGTCAAGGCCTACCTTGGTTGCGAAATTATATTCACTTCTGAGTCAATGATAGTGGCTTGTACAATTTTACCCTTGGATTTGAACACACTTGCCCAGAGTAATACTACTAGTCGCCATGAACCTGCCATGGACACCAACGCTGCAAACCAATTTCCAACCCCAAGCCGTATACCAGACAACCCCTTGCTTCGTTACAAATCTTATGCGGAGGGCTGGCTATTCGTTGGACTGAAAAAAAACACAGTGTTGGTCTCCTGATTTGGCCATATAGCAATGTTTCCATGCTCCTGGTATTAGGGTCTTGGTTTATTTCAAAATGTTCCTGCCTTGCAACGTAACAATCGTATGTTATTTACAGCATGTACAACAGCCCTTACCGGTTCAGATATAGTAAGCGACAGCGGTTTTATTAGAGTAACAGAACCCGTCTAGTCGCGTAAGGGAGATATGCATATTAGACTCCTTGATAGATGTCGGTCAGTGTCTTTGGTCTATACTCTATAAATACATCAACTGTTCACATACCTTTGTATTCTGGGAGAAGAAGCTCCGTACAAAATATAGCTTTAAAATGGAATAGAGTTATACAGTTTATTATTTTTTTCTTAGATATATCTCAAACAAGCGTAAAGCCTATTAGAAAGTACAGAAAATATAATTTCGCCTACAGCGTGACGCAACTTCAGGCGTCAATTGCTATTTAAAGGTCTTTCTTTCTCTGTGGTAAATACATTCTAGACGAGGAAATTAATCAGACTTAATACTATTTACTTCAGTAAAGTTATGCTACTCGAAGTATATAATGAATAGTGAAGGGCCAGATGCCAGACATACGCAAACCAAAGCAAAAGGCGAAGTTGCATCTGCAGCACCAGCTGGCGCCAACCAGCCGTGTCCAAGTTTTTCGCATGGAGGTGGATTTACTAGCCCCTGCTCTGTATCTATACCTGAGTACTTATATGTACTTTATACTTACTGTCATACATATATGGTATCCATGTCGTATGCCCAGACGGAGAAATAAAAATGCAATTGATCTATATTTAGTTTCTTACTATGTATTTGAAGTTTTATTTCAAAGCATCGCAGCAAGTCTTTGTAAAACTATGCAGATACGTATCATCTAATCTACTTCTATATGGGTCTACCTAAAAGATTTCAAACTATATGGTTTACTAAACTTCGGAACTTTGCCCCTGCCGAGATTTTTTTTAGTATACGTATCTATGGCTAACCTCGGCACATTTAAGGTACCAACACCTTCGCAGCAAATGGTTGGTTTGTTGACAGTCGACTAAAAGCAAGCAAAAAGAAGCTCTTAACCAACCGGCAGATCACCAAGGTGGCTTTTAAGAGCTTGTCTAAATATAGTTAAAATTTTCTATATAAACTTTCACTTCAGGTTCCAGTACGCTAAGCATGAAGTCTTACCAACCATAGTGCAAATGAGGATCAGGAAGCTGGATGCCTTTTATAAAAGTCACGGAATAAACAGCACGCTGCTCTAACAAGCATCACTCGCTTGGTAATTCTGAGTCTATCTCGATGTCCAGGAATGTCATCTACCTGGAAGCTTGGTAGATACTTGCTTTCAACCTGGCGAAGCTTTTATATATTTTCCCCATCATTGGCTCGGTTCAATCTTGGACTGCTTGTGCTTGATTCTGATGGGTATTGTCCTGCAGAGTGTACTTCATCTCTCAATTTCTTGATTTTAGCGCATTGTCGCAGGAAAATAGTAATTACTAGTAGTTGTACACTCCTGCGTGAACGAAACACGCGAACATCTTGAAAGCGAGGGGAGGTGGGGATAGGAAGATACGAATTGGGAGGTAGAGAATAAGCTACACTAAAGTAGCTGTAGAGCTTATAAGGATTCTAGGGTTAGAAGACCCCATAAATATAGAGTGTTTCAAACATGTCAATACAAATATCACAGTATGTATGGCTGCATAGGAAGCATTGAGAGAGCATAAATGTGTGCTAGGACTGCTGTTGCAGCAGCAGCAGACGAAGTCCACTGGGCAGTACAAATAATATGGTAAGGGGGGTGTTAACCCACTTGGCTTCACCCAGCTATCTGAAAGTAGAGCCTCAATCACATCCACATGCCTCCTTTATTTGCCTATTAGAGAGGAGTTCGACTAGGACAATGACCGCCAGCTTCAGCATTGGGATTAACCCGTTCCCACATCAAGTTGTAAACCAATTATACCATCAATCATGCAAGTTTGGATCAACTCCAGAGCCATTCAAGAGCAGTTTTACTGTTTCCAACTTGCCGGCTGCCACTTGCTGCCCATGCTAAGGGGGTTCGCCCTTTACATAATAAGTTGCTGACTTGGAATTGGGATCAATTCGTTTATCCGCAAGTAGTATTCTAACAACATCTGTATGGCCGTGTCCCGCTACCCGTGACAGTGGTGTACGTCCGTCAAACGGACCGGTTAATTTAGAGTCGGGGCAAACTCGGCTGTCCGCTAGAAAAAGTTTGACTGTCTCTGCATGACCTGCCATACACGCATAGGACAGTGGGGTCGGTCCCAAGCGAGACTACTATCGGGGCAAAGTGGACTGTCCATTAAGAAGAGTTTGACGACTTTTGTATGACCCATCGCAGCAGCATTTGACAAAGAAGTATGTCCATCGCCCATAGTACTGGGGTCGGTGTTTCCGTCAAGGAAAGTTTGACAACGCTCTCAAGTCCCAGATATGAGGCAACTTAAAGAAGCGTATCTGGGGATGGAGAGGAAGGCCAACCCAGCAAATGTAAATCCAACAGTCTAGGGCATTTATTTGATTATGGCTCCACAGGCGTAGCGCTCATGCTCTGATATCCTCAGAAGTGACCAGTGTTTGGCAGCATAAAATGCGAAGAATCAGTCGTGCGACCAAATCCAATGCTAAATGCAGATGCGCTTCTAACAAGTACTCTGTTCGACTCTTGTAGTTGCAGCGAGTATTTCCACTGGGGTGGCTTTTCGTGGGAACTGAAGGAAGGGATCACCCTTGTTAGTGAATCACTTCGTAGCAGGAATTCTCTTGCTGCTTGATGAAGCAAGTATATTTCAGCATTTATGATCACCACGAAGACACCACGTATGTCTCTAAGAGTGGCTCTGAATCGGTGCTCCGGCTCCATTTCCTCCATCAGATCCTCAAAGTATTTGCTAGGTCACCGCATTACCAGAGTAAAAGACATTCCACCCAGAGAAAATGGCCCCTTTGCTGCTATTATAATTTGCAGCATCTCTTTTGCTTTGGCGGTGTTTGATCTTCTTTGTAAGATTCTTTCATACGCTTCATCGACTGTCCTGGGAATGTGATTTATTGCTTTGTCGGTATTTCCTCCGGTAAAGCCCGTCATATTCGCAGTTGCGTCCAGGGTAACGGTCACCCAGAGATATGTTCTACTAGGGATATCTTTAAGCCTTTAACGTAGGAATAGTACCTCGTCCGGCCTGCCGATATTTGCCAACCAATATCATCGACTCGCTTTTCAATAACAAGGCCGATTTCTCTAGAAATCTCAAGGACTTCTTCCTCGCTTGCACCACTCAGATGAATCGTAGAAGAACGATCTAGGACGTACTGAAACTTGCGCTGTACGTGGTCACATGGCCGAGAAGTGATCACAAATTTCAGCCAGCACCTTCTCTTGCTTTGTACTTCTGCGTAAAACTTCTCCAGTTCCCGATTGAGCAAGTGTATGTCACTTTCCTGGCATTAATTCAAGGTGTACAGGCCGTATATAATTTCCCGCGTATCTGTATTCGCTGTTATGGTCACCAGAATATCCCACAGTTCGTAGAACGAAGCTTTGAGCTCATATCTCTGGGCCTGGAATTTCTCCAGTACCAAGTCGGTTATGAGTTCCCGTATTTCTGTAAAAAATCTGATGTAAAATGCCACAGAGTGCATATGCAGCCCCTTTTTCGCACTCAAAGTCATCCTTGAAGTAGCATATTTTTCGGTCCAATCCGGACAGTACATTGTCGACTAGGTGTTTCGCTAACACTGACTTCACACATCCTCGATTCGCTGGTACCCATAGAATACTTGATGTCTGATTAAGGCTCCACTTTCTAAAAGAATGGTGGTTTACGATCCATCCACACAGCTTGAGACATGCTCGACATTCCTTTTTTTGCAGTACTTGTAAGGATAGACGTACGGCATCTGCAGGGATTTTTTAACTTGTTCCTGGAAGCCAAGGTCTTCCTTAGTGGTGAAGTTGGGCCCTACAGGCTTGTAGTGGAGAGTTGTTTCCCGAATGACGTGTCTCTCCGATGTTGCTTACTGATATCGACAGGAATGATTGAGAATAGTTCCTTGGTATAGGCAGCTGCAACAAGGGCTGCATATCCCTGCCATTCCTTACTCTTATGTGAGTCGCAATAGTAGCAAACCCCTCGGACTACCGGACATGGAGTCTGGCCCGCGAGTCCAGCAGCCTCCATGTCAACACAAACGGCATCGATCTCTTGTGCTGATCTCGTGTCTTGGCATCCTTCATGACTTGGTTCCCAGATGCAATTAAGCCATAATGAATAGGAAGCTTTATCGTTGGACGTGGCACACGGTTTACTAACTGAGTCTGATCACATCCTGAACAGTTAGGGTCCGACTCGCTCTGATAGTTATAATTGGTGTTGAACAGCCAATCATTGCCTGAGCCTGAAAATTGCTTTCTTATATCTTGGTGTTTCTGCAGTGAGTTTGATATAATGTCATCAATAAACATTTTGTCAATCTTGTGATTATTTTAAATTGAGGTATGCCGGTTAGCAGGCCCTGATGGGGCTTGTTCAATGAACCGATGCGTTGAAAGTGTCCATAACGAGCCTTCCCACTGTCGTACTGAACCATGCCTCCACAGATCGCTGTTGGTGTGCTGACCACCACATCACCAAGACGGACATTGTTCTTACTTGGTACGCGCCTCCAATGCCGTTGGCCGCATATGGGCCATTACATTAGCGGATGATGCCACTCCATATATACCATGTGGTAGGCAAACAAGTACTTCATTATGGCCATTCACTCTACCAAGTAAGCAGTAGTTATGATCGGCTGAAGGTTGGGAAGTGCAACATGAGTCTCGTCTAGCATGGTCTTCGCCGCGGCCATTTACAGTGGCCAGGCACATATCCAGGCCACAGTGTAATCATCATAAGATAGCGCTCGGCGGGTCATTTTTAATAAGTACTTAGGAAATATGGAAAGGAGTACCTGTATAGCCTGGGGCGGTTGTCAGAACTCTTTTGCTGTTCTGCATGGTACGTCCATCTTCAGTTGTTGAAGCTTGGTCGGACCACGGGGTAAGTAAGACCGTGAGGCTGAGCTGGAGGCAGTCCAGCCACTGGGGCTATCGCTTGAATGCCCCAAGCTATGGTGGTGAGAGATGAAGGTTCACTTTATTGTCTGGGGCCCTAAAATGGTAGGTAGAAAACATAACTTGGCCTGAAACCTAAGGCAACTAGATATTTGAACCTTAAAGCGTTTTCTACGTACCAAATGTATTTTTTGGACAAACAGAATAACAGAATTACAGCCTTAGAATATTTACAATAATATCTTTTATCTTGGTATAGATATTCTATTTTCCAAAAATTACAAATGGTATGGGAAATTGAATTGCTGAGACGAACTGTTACGCTGAACTGGGGATAACGATACCTACTGATAGTGACGGGTAGGGTATCTACTATATTTTCCAGTAGTTACTTGATATCATATTTGGAGATTTGACAGCTGGATAATTCTCCTAGGTTATTATTCCGAATATATCCTTAGGAAATGAACAACGGGGGATCTAATAATTGGATGATAGAAAAAAGGAATGGAATCGAACCAAATTGAAAGGTAAGTAAACCTAGTACGGCTGGAAAGGACCCTATCATGAATCATTATCATGCGGGTTGATTGATCGCCCTGGCACGAGCGGCAAAATCTGGAGCTATCAACCAGTGATTTACACCGCCCCATACAGGGTGAGTCAGTAGGGTACCTTTCTAGATATCTAGGGGGGTATGGAATTGCCAGTCCCTATGCCAGTTGTCAGAAATCCTGGTGATTTAAATATCTAATCCTCTTGCCTTCCTTAGTTGGTACAAAGAATTGCTTGCTACATAGGTACTGTACATGTACTTTGGACTGTGTATTTTACATCCACGGATAGTTTTGCCGCCTGATACGCCGTTATCACTGTAACGTATCAATGCATCCTAGGTTCTCTCCAGCGTTATTGGTACTTTCCGGTTCCTACTTGTTCTATGGAGGAATAGTTCAAAGGGAGAAAAGAAAGAAAGAAGAATCAAATAACCCCTTCGGAGAGACTTACTACAAAGGCAGGGAGATGCATGCATAGCCATATGGACTAGTGTACGATCTCAAACGGATGGAGGTAATAAAGTAGGTACCTGGTACTAGTAAATACAGCGTTCTGACTACTGTACGTTATCCTGCAGGCGCCGAGCCTTTACCGCCTTCGAACATCCCCGATTAGTCTAACTGGATTGATTGATGAATGGTTGATGGAGGTCCTACGCCATAATTGAAGAGAAATACGCCTTAAGAAACCCATATCCCTTACAGCTTGTTACTAGAGAGATTACCATTATTTTTTCCTTCTCCTTTCTCTCATACGTGTGTGTGTTATTACCTACCTTTCCATGGTCCCTTATCTTATTGCCGGGAGCAATCGGTGGCTCACTTCGTCAGCCTGACCGCTTGCACACGAACCCTCGAGTCACCGGGTGTGCGTCACAGACCTGCCCCCGTACCGCTTGACTCTCTAAAGGTACTAGCAGCAGCTCCTACTTCGACTACTTCTCTCCCTCCTGTTTCATCGCCCTCTTCCTCCATCGTCCTCCTCAACAACTTGCATTCCTCTCTTTGCATATTATTCTTTAATTTTGGGTGTCTCTGGACATTATGGGTCCTTAAATTCTGCTTCCTCTCACAACGTGAGGACGCCCCAGACGACTTTGGTTCCGCCTAGTCGTCAATGCGGAGAAGCTCACAAGGTTGTATAGACCGCATGCTCTCCGAGTGCTCCAACTCCTTGTTGCCTGAGCACAGAAAGCTATGAAATCGGCGTTAACCTTACCTTTTCTTTCAGTGTATGCCTGTTATCTAGTACGCTAGATAAGACTGCTGGCCGTCCCTTTGTCTTCTGATCTCCGTTTCACGTTGTTTTGTTCGTTAGTATGGCCGTCCGCAGCGCATCCGTTGCTGCAACATTTCCTTCCTGATCGAGAGAACCGTTGCGTGATAGCCTGGGCCTGGTGTCACCCACCACAATAAAAATTCTAAATCTTCAGCCTCGCCTGCCTTGTTTGCAAGGCTTACCATGCATCAGCATCCGCGGTCGCCGGCGCTGCCGGCGCCAACTTCGAGCAGGTCGAGCTTGACCCGTTCTGCCGATCGCAGAGAACAAGAATTCCGCCCAAATTCCCCAGCAGCTGAAGTTAGGACACAGAATAACAGGGGCTTGGGAATTGAGACGGATCCTACGTCAGAGCAGGCACAGAATACGCAGCCTGCGAAGGAAGCGTTGGCGAAACTCAATCAAATTATCTCAGTATGATATCCAATCTCAAGCTTTGAATGGACCTTTTTCTGACCAATTCATTTGCAGAATTATCACACAAAAGCGGCCCTAATCATATTGCACTCGCGTATTGACCTTCCTCCATCGCTCAACAAGGGCTCTGATGCCCCCAGGGTGAATCGCTGGGTACGCCTATCTCTTATCTCGAGACTGCATTATGGACGACGGCCTCCGTTCTCCGAGACAGCCCTCCTACATTCGTTCGTCCCGCATAACACCCGTGCTAACTATTCATTTCTGTCATTTTAGTTCAACGTCGAAATAGAAGACACGGATGTTCTTCGAGAACAATTGCGAACTTGGAGAACATGCGATGCCACAGAGAACCGCCCTCCCCCTTTAATTATCGAAACGTACCTGGATACGTCGGGGCTCACGAACAACCAAAGTCTTGTGGTTTTAGATGAGAACGGGAAACGATGGGATGTCCTAGAATCCCTAGCTACGTCGCGAGAAGCGCAGCCTGTTAGGTCTCCCTCTTCTAAATCCGATGATGTCATTTTGGAGCGGTGGAGGGTCGAACTGGGGGATACGCCCAGTAGGCTACCAACTGATTTGGCCTCTATCCTACCAACGGTATACAAAAAAAGCATTGTCCTCTTCCGGTCGCTGTTCGCCTATTCTAAATTCTTGCCTGCTTGGAAATTCGCCAAACGCAATGGGAGACTGCGTACCAACCCGGCTTTACGAATAAAGTATAGAGTTCTCAACGGACAAACTGCACAGGAGAGTTCGAAACCGGACCATTTAACAATTCCATTGTACGAAGGAAGTGGCAAGGTGGTGGATACGTACAGTTTTGGCGTTACCGAATCACCTGCTGGTCCATTCTCTGTTCAAGTTACCTACCGAACCAGTTGTGATTTTCGAGTGGACGACTCAGAAGCATTACTGAGCTCACGTTTCATGGGTGCAGATGATGAAATTTTCCGCCCATCACTGCCTAATAAGGGGCTGCATAATGCAGCTCTCAACAACCCTGAGATTGGGTCAGTGCCAGTAGTGAAAAGAACTGTCGAGGATCCAGACCCAAGTCAGGCATACGGGAGTCTATCAACTTTCCACCAAGTTAGACCTACAACAAGCGCAAGCCCAATATCAGCTCTTCGGGCTGCAAGGGAATCGGGTGCTTCATCTCCATCTCCGCCTGGTTCGTCTTCTCGCAAGCCGTTGGCAATTACGAAAGCCAGCCCTGTCGGCCGTGCTGCCATTCTTGCCAACGAGGGTAATCCGGGGATCGGTAGACGGCCGTCCATTTCTTTCCAACCATTTAAAGCCCCACCCTTATCTGCATCTCCATCGTTGGTTGATCCTCCACTTGGTGTGTCCCCTCGCTCAGGGCAGGGGTCTCGCATCGAGTCTCGAAACATGCCCCCTCCGTCCATGGCAGCATCGGTCCGCAGGTCGTTGCCCGCAGCTCCAGATATTGTAACTCCATCCTCTAACTCCGCTTCTCCTCGACCTGCTCCAATCTCGAGATATAGTAGCGCTTTCAGCCATCGTCGGGGTAGACAATCTTCCGGAGGAATCAAAGCCGAGGATGACAACTCTAGTGGCAGAGCTAGTGCAACGTCTTCAGCTCAACCTGGCTCCGGCTTACTCGCGGAAGCCACGGGAACGAGTGCGGATTCCATCCACGCAGACGATGAAAATATTTCAGAGTTCCTCAAAATGCTTGACCTAAGGAAGGACCTCTTAAATCCATTGAACCCTGCTACACTTGATGCCGCTCCGCGTCGAACAACTGCTACTAGTGCGGCTTTGACTCGCTTCCAACGGATGAGGGACTCCAATGCAGCGCTTTCGGATTCAATGTCATCTTCTTTGCTTTTACAGCGTTCATCCAATTCCTCGAGCAAGCAGCTCTCAGGCGTTCCCCCTATGATAGCGGGGACATCCATTTCGACAGCGTCTTCACCTGGAAAACCAATATCTCCTCATACACCACACACCCCCGCTATCCCATCCCGCCTGAGTTCTAATAGCATTGTTGATTATAATGACCCGGGCAACAATAATCGGCGACTTTTGCATGGGGTGCATCGCTCTTCCTTGGAAGAGAACTCCAGTGACGGTACAACCATGGAACATGGTCCGTCTACTGTGAATGCGATTGACATCCCAACGTCACCCAGACTATTCCCTCAGGTCTATCGCCGCTCTAGCTCCGCTGCACATCACCGCCGTACTAGTACGGTTGACGACGATGAGATTTTCCCTTTCAATATGCGAAGTGTGAGCCTCGGGGCGGAAGAGAGATCCAACCTTACTCTCAGTACACTGCATCGACAATACGAGTACGAGAACAATGGGGCTAACGTAGATCAGCCCCAGGCACAACCGTGCCCATCATCGCGCGGGGATATGACAGTACCCTCAGGCTCTGCAACGCACGAGACAGTCTCACACAGAGGCACATTAACTTCTGGAGCCCCGGCAACCTCTACATCATCCAATAACCACGTGTACCAGCCACGCTTTAGCAGCTCCCGCGGACGAGGTTATTCTGGAGGCCCCCAATCGCTCAGCTCCGGTTCTGGTAGCCTTGCACGTGGTACTAGCATCCCCCCCTACATTGCCGACCGTGACAATGACCGTGAAGGTACTGGGAGCGGTAGCAATAGCGGGATCTCCGCAATGGATGACCGCCGAGGAGCTGGGAGACGGCCCAGTGCCGGCCGTAGTGGTCCTCCCCAGTCAGCGGAAGAGGACGAGCCTTTGTTATTTGCCATGAGTGACTTTGGTGTCTCTCGGCGAAGTTTTGAAGAGGGACGACATGGCAACCATACCGCTGATGGAAGTGGAAATGTCAGTGCATCGAGACGAGGCAGCGGTAGGCGAGGTGGATTGGCAGGATTCCACCTCTGGTCCTGAAGCCGCAGGTACGCTCTTTATGTTGTGACGAACCCCGAACCCTTATTTTCATGTGCATCTACTCTTATAACTGTTCGCCTCCTGAACGTCTCTTTTTCCTTTTTTCGTTTTTTCATTTTTCAATTCTTTTCTTTTCCTTTTTTCTATTCTTATTGTTATTCTTATTGTTATTCTTATTGTTATTCTTATTGTTATTCTTATTCTTATCCTTATCCTTATTCTTATTCTTATTCTTATTCTTCTGTCTATTCCTTGGCATGATTTGAACAGGCTTCAGCTTACTGCCACATATGATCGCCTCTTGGTGTTTGATGTTCGAGTCTCTTATTTCACTTTTGTCTTTGCGTGCCATTTAAGCCAGGCGGATGTTCTTATAGACTGATAGGCTAGTCCAAGCAATCCGACGAGGATCAGGTAAGGAGAATAGAAATGGCACTGGGGCTTTTTGTCGTTTCAAAATCATTCTCTTGTTGGGGAACTTGGGTTCTGGAGTCATAGCGCCTTTTGCTTAGATTCTTGTTCATTTTTAAGGACACTTATTGCTTAGTTTAATCCCTACCCTTCTCTTTCGTTTCATTTTTATTTTCAAATCTTGTGCAGTCTGGCTATGTAATTAATGCGAGGCTATAAGTATGATTTCATCTACCAGCAATGATGCCTTAACCTGGCATTGACTTAATCTGATGAGCACCTGATGTGTATCTTTTTTACCCTTAAAACTGTTATTCTTATGTTTAGAAAGGCATATGCTGCCATTCTTAGCATATAGTTTAGGCTTATTGTCCCATCAACATTAGCTGTTAAGGCATAGCAAAATTCTTTTAGTTCTAGGTTATATGTACATTATACACGGGATCCAGCTTCCCTCTTGCCTATGGATCATTTCCTTGCTCTTTCGGCCATGGCAACGATATCGCTCTTTCCGTTGAGTTTGAGTCGTTAAGAATGGTAGGGAAATGAAGGACATTTATCCAAATGGCCTGTTCCCGGCCAACAAACAACGGGATCCTAGAGCGTATCCCTGGAAGTGAGATAGGTCGAATACGATCACATTTGTATCTCACTATCTCGACACTTATAATCTCCTAAGAGCGCCTTGCAACAGTATAGGACGAACTCAAGATAGGAGGGCTTGCAAAGGCTCTGATAAAGCCGCAAACCATGTTCTCTGGGGATGCTGTGCTGTCCACGTGGGATCTGGCATGTCATAGAAATGGTAGCGTAGCAAGAACGGCTAAAGATCCCTTCTTTTTTTCATGATAACGCCCAACTCCGGAATTAGGTATTGGACAAGGTATCGCATAATCCAGCAATTTACATTCTCCGGAAAGTATTTCCAGAGGCACTTCGTCGCTCTTTTGACTTGAAACTAGTAGTTTTATCGAGCCGTTGTTCGGGGGCCTTGTTCCGTTTGACATTGGGTGTGAAGGTCACCTCCTTCTCTCCGACCACACCGCCTCCACGGCGCGGCGGCTTGGATTTGCTGCGCATATTCTGGGCCCGAGAACCAAATGAACGGTCACGGGAAGAGTTGGCAGCAGTGGAGGAAGACACTTGCATTCGTGGTGGCTGAGGGCGATGACCGGCACGCTTATAGGACGACGTGGAGATCTTCTCAGAGGGCTTCTCCTTAGCAGGTTTTCCTTGCCCATTGTCTGATTCCGAATCGTCTGAGCTCGAACCAGGTACATCATCGACCTCCTCCTGCTCCACGGCAGTGAGTCCCCGCTCCTTCCGGCTGGGCTGGTCTGGGACAGTACTGGGGTTGAGAAGTTGGAATTCTCGAGAAGTTTCGTCGATTGCAAAGTCTTCGTCTTCGAACAGCTGCGCGAAACGGCTATCACCAAGAAGGCCTGGTTGACTTGGCTCCGGTTTTTTCATCTCAGCAGGGGCATCGACCATCTCCTCGTCACCTCCCTGGTTCAAGACACGCTGTGCTTTCCGGCGCTCGTTCTTGTCTTCGATGGCCATAAGTTTCTCAGCCAGCTTCTTGTTAACCTTAACAGCGGCTTTCTTCTTGCCTCTAATCCTGCTCTCGCGCTCCTGATCGATCTTATCCTTGACTCGCTTGGCGCGCTCCTCTTCCCAAATGTACGGGTTGGTGATCAATCGAGCCTCTTCATACAGTCGCTGGGCCACGAAGTAACCGTGCATGTAAGGGCGCAAAAGATTGGTCCTGCCAATCAGGTGCTCTAAGTTCAGGGTTCGCAGTTGAGGAACAGTCAAGAACTTGTAATTATCGTAAACAGAGCCTGATTGGCCGGTATTAAAGGCGTTAGGATCGTTGGGATCCTCCGCCATCTCCTCAACGAGGTTATCCAAGAATGAGCACCACCTAGGCGCGGGTCCGAGTTGGGGTATGAAAAATGCGTGCTGTTGCCGTCCTTCGTTGGCAGTCAGAATCATTCCGCTATCTTTGCACCAGGCAACGGAGTTAATGTCAACAGCAGGCTCCACAGATGTCCAGGGTGTGCCATCCCGGGGGTCCCAAATCTTGATAATCTTCTTATCCGACGACAGAATCTTCGGCTCCATTGTCTGTTCACGCGTGGAAGTTGACGGCTGGAGAAATTCGAGAGTATGAATAGGGAATCCGTATCCTTGATCTTTCTTGAGGAGGGGGACCGGGGATCGAAGATCGTAGAGATGGATCAAACCATTCGAAGAACCGGTGCCTAGTGTCAGGCCTGAGCGATGGAACTCTAGTGCTGTAACCTCCGGTCGCACATCACCGGGTGCTGACTGTGTGGGCGGCAATAATATTCCTGCTCTGCCTTTGGCCCTGGGATCCCATAGTTCAACTGTGCCAAGTGTGGTACCGAAAGCAAGAAGATTGTGACTCTCCTCAGCAATTGCACCAGTATTTACGGCTCCTGTATTGATACCACCTTGCAATGTTCCCCCACCAGCTGAAGTGAAATCGTCGCCACCGACATCGACCTCGAAACTTCGCATGTAACGACCTAGTTCAAGATTAAGTCGGAACACCTCACCCATACCATCTTGATTGACACCAACGGCGGGGACTAATGCCTCCGTAGAAAATCGGTCATAGATCAAATCACGGCCGTATCTGGGAAGCCTCGTGGTATAATGGCAACCGCCAGGTGTGTGGAATTGAAGCGAACGGTCTGATTGTAGATGAAGAGATTTCGAATAGTCTGAGGAAAGTAGAATGAACGTCGTGTTCAGGGCGTCAGTGTGACGAGCCCACGACAGCGACAGCTGTGGGAGATTGTGGGTATGGATTTGAGGCTTGTAGGTCCCTGTATACAATTTTTGATCAGTCGCTGGTTATTGTCTAATGTAAACCGCCGTATAAGTCTGACCTGTGCTCATGACCCATTCACCATCTTCGCTGACACGAATACAATGGCTGGCTTCTTCGAATTCAAAGTCCTGGAGCAGTTCAACCCGATTCGCGTACTCCGGGTCATTTTTCAAACTGCGCTTCCGTTGTCTCGCAAGCCACTCAGGAAGTGGACGAGCAGTGCTGGAGCCGGAGATGGTGTAAACCGGCACCTCAGACTGATTGGAAAGTTTCATGATGCCGCTGACGCTCTTTGGACGGAGAGTCAAGAGCCCAACTTGACATAAATTAAAATTAAAAAAAAAAAAAAAGGCTCGGCCATATCGATAACTAACAATCACGTGATGCGGTGAGCGACAATAGCCTGTGACTGGCCAGCGCGGGCCGAGCCAACCTCCGTTTTGGGTCTCGATTGAATCGCGATACAACAACCACCTTGCTAGATGGCAGCGAAGGCATCGATCCTTATGCTGTACGATCTCTTCGCGGCCATAACTACTTGGTTTGCATATATGTATTAGCGTCTTTTCGGTACAACCCGAGATACCTGATTTCAGTGGTCGCGATGATGCCGAAAAGCTGATTTGCTCTATCCGCTTACTTTCGATAATTTTCATGGACTATGGTTTGGTTGTTGGGATATAGGTATCTATCCAAGGGCTTCTGGAGATGAGTCCGATCTTTTTGTGTGAAGTTTCCTGGTTTTTATAAGGAATTGCCTCATCCTCTCTCGGGGGAGCAGGTAAACCATGGACTTCCCTGGAGGATCCACCACCAACGTACGGGTTACTGTAGGTAAATCCAATGTTGCATTCCCCGGTAACTTCCTAATATGACATTTTAGGATGGATTCTCCAACATATACTGGAGGATTTATACAGAGGAGCCCAATATAACGAATATGCCTGGCGAGGCCCCTGCAAATGGTTATACCATCCTTAAGCACCTCAGCCGCTTAAAGAGTCTCGAGCTTCGGTTGAGGAGCCTGAATTGCCTAGTATCGAGCTATCCGAGGCGACTCGGTCTTTGGGTCTTCTCCGCTACCCCGGATTTCGAAAGCCTGATACCTCTCTGCTCAAACGATGGTAAAGACGAACAGAATCGACTTTCCGTTGGTGCATCTACTTTAAAAGGTTTGTAGCTGGCCGCTCAATATCTCGTCTCTGTAATTTTGTGCATGTGTTATGTGTTGTTGACCTTATAATGGTAGTCTCTGCATCTGGAAGTATCACCTCCTGGGAGATTGTCAAGAACCTTTCGGCCGACTCTCCAAACGGAACTGGGGTTTCATCTGCGCCGCAGCGTTCGCAAAATGCTAGTACCCCTGTCAGACGAATGGACGGCTATAGTAGTTCTGCTACAATCTACGCCTCCTTCATATCGGCGGTGACTGGTGCACTAAATCTCCACTTGGTTCGGCATAACAACGCGATTCCCCTTGGATCCCGTAGTCTTTTCACTGCTGTGGATAGGGATTGCTATGAGAATCTCAATGCTGCCAACAGTGATCTTTCTTCGGCTTTGACAACGCTTCAAGTTCAATTGACCCCCGCTGGTAAATTAACCGTAACACTACAAATGATCGCACAGCCCGGCATCGCACGACTCTGCCAACCTGAGGATGATGCTACCGCTTTTCACAGCACATCTCCTGGGTCTGACTTGTGGCTGTCTCCTAGTGGGTCAATTGCCCGTCTTGTCACAACAAATCCAGGCACATCGAATGCATCGTCGCCATATCCTCCTGGTGAAGCTGCCTCAACCGATGGTGAGGCGACAGCTGACGGCAGGCAATGGAAGGACAGTGTTTTGGAATGGCTCGAAAACTTTGGTCTAGCTGTGGATTCGGTTGACAACTCTTCTTGGGTTGAAGTCGAAGTCTGGGAGCCGTTTTACTCTAGACTGGCTGGAGAGACTTGGCGTTTAGGTGAGGAGAACACGTCCTCACTGCCTTTGAAGCGGATCCTATGGCCGGCCGTATTTTGTTTCAAAAGGGTAAAGTCCACGCCTCCTGATATCTTGCAAACTGCTTGCTCTCCTGCGAGCGATCCTTTGGACTTTGCGCAGAAATGGCACGAAACTGAAATGCCCGGGAGTGGAGATATGCAACCCAAACAGCCTTCCAATCACCAAGAACAACAATCCAAGAACGATGAAATACCCCCTGCTGCACTTGATCTTACAGAGGGTCTAGAGAGCCTATCTCGCGCCTCCCAGTATCCCGAGCTTCAGACTGCAAGTCTTGTATATCCGACACCACCAGATGGGGCTGCCGCAATGGGATTGAACAACATTGGCTCCTCGGATGCTGTTGCTGAAGATACATATCTCGGACTTTCTCTCACGCAAGCCCAAAACAAGCAAAGAGCCCAGGACCACTTCTCTGTCAAAGACCGGTCGGATGGAGATGTACCCATGAGCTTTGGGCCATCGGCCGGGCTTGTTGTAGGATCTGGATTATATGACACCAACGAAGATGATGACCTCTTTGGGGATATAAACGAAAGGGATTTCGGAGCCAAGGGAATCACTGATGAGGATTTCAGCTTTTTTGATGATCCCGGGTTTGGCCACATGGCCGACAGCACGCATGATGTTGCACAGACGATTGCCAATATAGAAGATTCGAATGAACCAGAGATGCAGGCTGTTCCTATTGAAAACACTTCACCGGAAGCCTTCGCCTTACAGGAAACTCCAGCAGAGCATATTGAGGTTCCCAATACAGGCCCCTTGCACAACGAAACAGCGAAGCCAGACCGAGAGATCGCACCTAGCGACGGTGCAATGCACCAGTCCCCGCCAGACGAGCAAAACCAAACAATAATAAGTCCACCTCTAAGCCCTGTGGATATTAAAAAAATACTTTTTCCGGGGCCAAGCGGAGACACAAAACCGCTTCCCAAGCAATCACAGGTGCAAAGTTACTATAACCCTGTTGTTTTTAAACAGAACATGTCAACATGGAATCAGAAGTATGGTATAGAGGGCAAGTTCTGGTTTACAATTACCCATACGAGGCCGGTCAAAAAACCTATTAACTCCTTGGGAGATATTCCAACCGTTGGCCCCCCTCGGCGTCACAGGAATATTTCAACAGCTGGTGGTATTTCAAAAACATTTGACGGCCATGCCAGTCCCCCAAGTGATGCAGACCAATTGTGTGCGGATTCCGACACAAGCAGTGTCTTAAGCGATGATAGCAATAGTGCTGCTTCGACGACTGGTGCTTCTCCAACTACATTTTCACCCCGCAAAAGAAAGCGTGCCTGCTCTAACTCTGATAGCTCGCTTGCTTTGTCACAGGACAAACAGCCTGGAGATCTTGATCAAGAATTGTCTGTCCGCAAGGCTGGGCATTCAACATTCCTAGGGAACTTTTTGTCCACATTCTCTGACTGGTCCATGACAGGCTATTTCTCTTTCTCAGAAAATCAAATATTTCCCGTGCTCATCAGCAAAGAAATCCAGGTTCAAGTTGCTCAAATCTTAGTGGATCAGGTCACACAATCGTCGTTAGATCATAAACTTGATCGACATTTTGGTCTTTCTGATCTCGACGACAGAGCACATTCTGTACAAACTTTCCTTGAGGATACAGCGTTTATGAATGGAATGGAAAGGCTTGATCTCAACGGCTTTGTTTCTTTACAGGATAGCAATTCATTGTCTCCTGCGGCTAGCATTGCTACATCTCGTCAAACGTTACAACGCAGGGAGACGGGAAAAGGATCAATATTAAAGCTATCTCCACCACACTTGCGCGTCCGCCGAGGGAAGGAGTATTTAGAAATCCTTCCTCCTGCAGCTACTTTCTGGGAAACCTTTGGCTTAGAACCCGTTTCTGGTCCTAAGGATATCGCAGCGTATTGCATCCATCCAAGTTGTGCGGCTGAGGCGGCAAATACATTCCTAGAAAGACTAGGATTACTCTACTCGAGTTGTAACCTTGGAATGCATGCCAGAGGGGAGGTGCCAAATGCATTTGAGCGAGGACTAGGGTCGTGGAATGTTGGTTCATTCGAGGCACCAGACTATCTTTCCATCATGCAGTCCTTGAAGACCATTTGTGAAGAACTAGGTATGTTAGTCAAGCAGTTTTCTCTGTTTACGTATTGAGTATTTGCAGGAAACTCTCTTCTGAAATTCGCACCCAACGAAGACAACATTGTTGTGTATATGATTAACCCATTCACGCATGCTGCTGCAATGGTAGACATATGCTCTGCATTCTGGAGCCTATTCCAGAAATATGTAGCTGATGCGGAAAAGAAGCAAGCCCGTCAACTAAATGAGCTGGTGTTGCAAATTGTTCCAATTGACTTTGTTGCTTCAACTGAGTCCCTGGTTGTGCCACCGCAGGCAGAGTACCTTAGCTTAGCTTTGGAAGTTTACAGTCGATGTCCACCCCGCACTGCTCAATCCAGTCTCGTCAATTGTGCACCCCCAGCTCTTTTGGCGGAATCGCTCCCAAAATCTCTTAGTTTCAAGCTCGCTTCTGAGAAATCTTCTCCGCTACAGGAAGGAAGGTATCTCCATGTTGCGTGCTCTAGAAGCCAAGATCAACGCTGGATAAGCGTAGCCTGGTCCGACAATACCGGATCTATCCAGCGAACAATGTCATATAATCTCCGCTTCCGGGGTGCAAGTACGTCCAGGAGTGCTTCTGATATACGGATTGAAATCTGTGCAGCAACGAAAGACATCATGGACAGGATACAAGCGCGATGGAGAATAGTGGTTGTTCACACAGGATCTACGGATCAGGACGAACTTGACGGTATGACTACTCGTGCCTACAAAGTTGTTCTTTATGACTAACAATTTCTAGCGTGGTCAAATTTCATTGAACAATACAATAAAGCGAGCCCGGCCCCTTCAGAATTGACTATTGTGAACGTCAGCTCCGCGCCGGATCTTTACCTCGAACCCCCGAACCTCCCGATACCAATGAGCATCTTCATTCCACCTACATCCACGCCGGTAGCCACCCCAAATCCCAGCGTTCTTTCGCCTGATCAAAATGCTTCCACCCCTCCGAACATCGTGAACGCTCCAACGCCAACGGAAGTCACTTTCGAAGCAGAATCCGAGTCTTTGCTCATCGATATTTGTGATGAATCCTGGGGGGTACTCTTATCCCATCGCCTCAACAGCTCCCCGCACATTACTGAGTACCGTCCTGCTTTAGCTAGCGGGTATTTACTGCGTCGCAAGGGCACGGTCGATGGTGACGGTGCGTATGCCCTAACTGTCAACCTTATATATACCCAACGCCACCCTTCAGCGTATGAATCACTCCTCCGTGAAATTCTGGGAATGTATCGTGACCTAGCCACCCTTGCTCGAGTCAGAGGGACATGTACTGTTCAGAGGAGCACATTACCTTGGCATATCGCCACGGCGGTTCGAGCACAGGAACTGCTGAGTTATGTTTTGTAATGTACAGGTTATATTCGGGGCCAATGGATGGTATATGGGTGGTGTTCACGGCGTTACTCTTGCTTTCCATGGCCTTCTATTCTTATTCTTTTCTGTACATACAGGCAGCCCTTGTGGTGCACCCAAGATAGGATATACCAGGAGTTTATGTGTCTGTTAACTATAGCATTTGAATGATTACAGATCTCCTTGAGCTGATCTTGTTTTGTATGCTGTGGTGGATATGTTCTCCTGAGTAGTAGACGACTAAGATCAAATCCCAAGTATCCTCTAAGCGACCGCCAGTGTGCAAGAACATGCAGCAGAACAGACATAGAAGCAGCATAACACTATTGAATTATCGAAAACAGATGGTTTAAGTTCGGCCACTAACATCCCGATCACCTGTAGATCCCGAGCACCGCGTCGCAACCCACTTTTTCAAAACAACCACCTACCACACCACCAAAACGCCTTAATATGGACGATCGCGAGAGAACTATTCAAGCAGCTATTGAAGATTTCAGATTAAAAGAATTCCATCTCTACGAGCCGCTTCAAGGCTATATAACCTACCCCTCTCCACCCTTCATGGCCGGATGAGGGGTGTACTTCACAAGACATTGCTCATCAAGCTTCGCAGGTTACTCCAGTTCAAGAGAGCTTTCTTGCTGATTGGATTATAAGCAGGAAAACAAGGATTTCCTCCTAGCATCACCCGTAGCGTGAAATTGCCCTCCGAATCCTCCGCATCAATGGCGACACTGCACCGTTGGAAAAGACTGGCTCTCTAGCTTTAAAAAACGAATCCCGCGTTCAAAGCTTATAGGCCGAAGGATACATCAAGCCGCTACAGGGAACCAGACCAGAACAATCCGACTTTTTATAAGCTTTTCCAAGAGATAACAACCAAATACTGCATACAACCGGAAAATATGTGGAATATGGATGAGCATGGAATTGGTCTTGGGATCTGTACAAACTCTACAGTAATGGCAGAGAGTGGAAAAAAGCATACACTTATTCAAGAGCCGGAAAATAAAGAGTGGGTATCAATTATTGAGACCATTAATCCACTTGGCCGGTATCTTCGGCCGTTGGTTATTTTTAAAGGTCAATCTCCAACCTGGTTTCAACCAAACTCCGTACCAGACTGGCTATATGCGACATCAGAAAATGGCTGGACATCAAATTCTATTGCTCTTAACTGGTTAAAAACTATTTTTTTGCCGGAAACAGCTCCACCAGACGGTCAAACCAGATTATTGCTATTAGATGGCCACGGAAGCCATGAGCACATTGAATTTTTATGGGAATGCCATAAAAATAATATTCAAGTCTTATTTCTTCCACCTTATACAAGCCATGTTCTTCAGCCTCTTGATGTTGGTACATTTTCGAGTGTTAAAGCTCAATATCGGAAGGAAATTCAATCTCTAGCCTTTCTGGACGACGCAGCCCCAATTAAGAAAGAGCGTTTTATTCAATGCTACCAGAAGACTCGCAGTATAGTATTTAGCAAATCTATGCTGCAAAGTGGCTGGAAAGGAGCTGGTTTATATCCTTTTAATGCAGACAAGGGGCTTAATAACCGCTTTGTACGCTTTGATCCTCCCAGACCTTCCGTCAACTCCTCCCTCTACTCAGCTAGTTTCCGAGGCTGAATTACTTCACTCCACTCCTAGGAACGAACGCCAGGCTCATCAATTAATTCAACTACTTCAAAAAGCTCAAAAACTACCCCGAGGTACCCGGATTTTTCTACAGAAAGTGAGCAAGATATTGGCCAGCTGAATTCGGCCCAAGCCTTGCAGGAAGACCATCTTTCTCGCTTACAATTTCAAGTCAAGACCTTGGAGAAGCCAAAGATTAAGAAGCGATTTGAAAAGGACCCAAATACTAGGTTTAGCAGTATAAAGCAGATTATAAGGCTGTACAAGAGGCGGAAGAAACTGAGCGTATCAGGGCCAAAGAGCCCGAATTAATGGCTAAAAAGGCTGCAGATGAAGCTTTGAAGGCAGGTTTAAATGTCTTATGTTTTGAATGGCAGGCTTATTAGGCAGTGGTTGTGAAATTCACGCATTTTTCTTCATGTACTGATTTTACAAGGTGTTCTGGATCTACGGGTGATCGGGATGTAGGTGGCCGAACTTACCACATCTGTTCTTGATTCTCGTTCCCCAAAAAAGTATCACATGACCCACCTTATCATATCTAATCTCATCGATAACCAATCTCGCCGTATCAAAAAATTTCGAAGCACACGCATTCACCCCCATTTTCTTTGCAATTGGCCACACGTACCCTGCCTCCCATTACGAAACATCTATAATCCACAAGAGAAGGAGGATCAAATACAACCGAGATTTTCCCACCAGCGCACACGAAGCCTGACCTCAGAACTGACCAGTAAAGACATAGCTATCAATCCAACCCCGCCAACACCCACCGAACAAGAACAAAATTTCTCAAGAACCTACCTACTTAGACCGATAAATTGATTGACAATAAGAACAACTACGGAATAAACCCCCACCCAAAATGCAACAACAACAGCAAGAAGTACAACAAGTTTTTCAACAGCAGCAACAACCCACCACCGCCTCCTCCTACCTAGACCTGGGAATCACACTCGCCATCAACAGCTGGCCGGCAATCAACCTCGCCGTGCAATCCAACTGGGGCGGTCCCACATCCGCAGACAAACGCGACTGGCTCTGCGGCGCGATCTCCGAGATGCTGAGCGAACGACCCGAGACAGACGCCGAGGATCTCGAGGACGTGCTGATCCAGGTGATGAATGACGAGTTCGACGTCGTGGTGGATGATGAGAGCGCGGCGTCGGTGGCGGTGCAGATTATGGAAATGAAGATGCAGACGGAGAGGGGCGAGTTCGGTGCTATTCAGGAGATGTGGGAGACGTGGCAGAGGAAGAGTGCGCAGAAGGGGACGAATGCAGCGACTGGGTTCAGGAAAGTGGAGGCCAATGATGAGGATCAGGAGACGGACGAAGATGATGAGGATGGTGAGGAGGAGGATGTGGATATGGGAGACGCGCCGGCGTTGGTGAGAGTTCCGAAGGATAAGGTTGAACCGGAAGTTGATGAGGACGGGTTTACGAAGGTGGTTGGGAAGAAGAGGCGGTGATTTTCCTTTTTCTTTGTAAGAATATTTCGGGGGTATATAGACACTGTATGTATGCGTGCTCATTTTTTATGACTTCATGATTGATGAGGGATTACTTGTCGATCGGGAAAGATACCATGGAAGACCAAGTGTAAGAGTCCAATCACTTTTGCATTTCCAAGCAAGGAATATCTATACGAAAGGAAACAAAGAGAATTCATCATCATCAACGCAAGCAGGGTCCTCTTGGTATATCGTCATCCAGCCTCTACTCCTTCATTCCTCCCTGTCCACCGCCAGAGCTACAGGACCATCGTTTATCAAGAAATGCCATGCCTTCCTAGAGTATGCTCGTCTACTGGGTTTCGTCTGTGAGGAGCTTGGTAATCATACCAATGGCAATGGTTTGTCCCTATGGGTCCCAAGTGTTAGCATTACGATCTGAAGACACGTCAATCCAAGGAGTCAATTTACCTGGTCTCGCAGAGTGAACCGTCCCATCTGGTTGTAATCCTCGAAGCGCTCAACACACACAGCACCAGCGGTACTCGTCACATTGAGACGAGCGATGATGGTTTGACCCTTGCTAGCGAATGGTGGTGGACGCTTGCTCTTCCGGCCGGTGCCCGGCTCAAGCTTATGAAGGAGGGCTCCAAACGAGACCTCCTCTACGGCGGAGTGCACGTGCATCACGCAATTAAAGCCAGCGGTGAGAATGTTCTTGAGCTCGAGGATTCGAATCTTGGCTTCGAAGCTAGACACCGTATGCACCAGACGCTTGGGCGAGCAAAGCACGAATCCGGGTAGGAGGTCCTCTTCTTCCACTCCACGAAGACGCATACGGACTTGATCTCCGCAGGTTGCGTTCGGAATTTCGTCCTCGGTCTCTCCATAGAGGGCTGTAATCTGGACGTCCGTGCGGTTCGGCATCATGATGCAGGTAGCATTCTTCTTGATCACGCCGGACTCAATACGACCTTCGATCATGGTACCCATATCACGGTATTTGGCGGTGATGGGCATCATGAAAGGCGCATTGATCTTACGCTCGGGCATCTTCATGTCAGTGAAGTATTCAATGAGAGAGGGCCCGTTGTACCATGGCGCGAGGTCCTTGGGAACACGATCCTTGACTCCCAAGGTTCGCTGAGCGGAGATAGGCATGAAGGTCAGATCATCTTTTTTGTAACCGAGGTTCTCCAGGAATTTCGACACCTTGACCGTGCACTCATCGAAACGGGCCTTGCTCCACTCAACGGTCGGGTCGTCCATCTTATTGACAGCCACGATGAGCTTCTTGACACCACTGTTGCGCGCCAGGAGAGCGTGCTCACGGGTCTGTCCGCCCTTTTCAAATCCGGTCTCGTATTCACCCTTTCGGGCGGAGATAACCAGAACACCCACATCTGCCTGCGAAGCACCGCCAATCATGTGATGGACATAAGACTTGTGGCCGGGGGCATCCAGGATGGAGAAATGCCGCTCAGCCGGTCCGTCGGGCGACTGCACAGTAAGCTTAAAGTGAGCACGGCCAACCTCGACCGTCTTTCCCTTGGCACGCTCTTCGTTGGTGAGATCCAGGGCCCACGAAAGATACCAGGTCTCTCGACCAGCTTCCTTGGCATCTCGCTTGTATTTCTCCAGTGTTCGTTCGTCTACCATACCAGTGACGTAGAGGATTGATCCACCCAGAGTAGACTTTCCGGCGTCGACATGTCCAATGAATACAATGTTCACATGTTCCTTCTTTTCACCGTAGATTTCCTTCAAGGTTTCTTCGTCCACATCCGCTTGTTGCTCCATTGCCACAGCGTTCGCATCCCGGCCGGCCTTGGGAGCTTCTGCCCGAGCCGGGCTCGACCGACCGGGGCTGGAACGACCGGAGGGTGCGGGAGACGGTGTACCACTGGCCGCTGCTTTCTGTTCCGCCTTCTTCTCGGTCTTCTCAATGGCTTTGGTGGCAGTCACCTTAGCGGCCGCCTGGGCAGCCTCAGGCCCCTTAGAGTTCCCAGGAGTACCGGACTCGGAAGATGGGGCGTTCGAGGGGGCAGGCGAAGGAGTACCGATCGAGAGAACTTTCGTCTTAGGAGCGGAGGCGGAATTGCTGGTACCGCCGATCGACAGGACCTTGGCTTTGGGAGGGGCCGCAGCTGACGGGGCAGGCTGGGAGGTAGTCACGGGGGCCTGAGGCTTCTGCGTAGGGACGGAGGCCGCCTGACGCTGTTGTTGAGGAAACTGCTGCTGTTGGTAACCTCCGTACTGTTGGTTAAAGTTCTGATTGTAACCGCCGGGTTGTTGGGCGTATGCGCCATATTGGCTGTATGCTTGCTGCTGACCGTATTGGCCATATTGAGGGAAACCACCGTATCCCTGATACGCCTGTCCAGGAACAAAAGCATTAGCACCAGGCTGAAAAGACATCGCTCCCGGGTGGAAGGTAGGAGCCTGAGGCTGGGGTCGAGATTGTGCGTTCTGGTTCAAATGAACGCCCTCGGTCTGTCTGGAGAGCTCGTCCTCCCACGAGTCAGGAGTCTGGTCGGCCATGGTTTATGATGAATACCGAGAGACACGCAGACGGAACAAATTGACCGACAAGAGGCAGGCCAACGTAGAGGAAGTGGGAGAAAGGAGTAAGTGAGGGGCGTTTGGATTCTTCCTTTCTTTGCTCCCGATTTTGCAACCGCTGACTCAGCACTCCCCCCCGCCCTGAGCGGCTGTGGCGTCTGGCGCGGCTGGCGCTTTGTACACTGTTTGTTCGCGAATTGCTTCATTTCCATTGATTTGGTAAATAGCTAGGAAAGATCAGCTAACCTGGAATACCCAGAGATTCCAGTGCATCCTCTACTGATCGACATATGGACTTCTTCTGCGCCCGCCAGCCACGGGGTGGCGCGTTATCGATAAGGCACTAAGGCACCGCACAGTTTCCGGCGCATTCACACTCGGGATTTACCTACTAAAGCCCAACAGCACCAATCCTGGTCTGTGCATGATGGATGTCTTTTTTAACCCGAGTATGTGATTTGATCTCGTCGTCTCTGGTGATCGGGGGCTGATCTCTCGTGCAGATTACCCAACAGGCGATGAACTATGCCATCCGGTACCGCATCCCATCCCACACGAGACTGTGATAGGGGAGCGTAATTCTAATGTCTTCAGCTCGGGAATCGCTATTACCGCAAACTATGCGATTAGCCAGTCTGGGCGTTTGCTGAAAGTGGGTTTCACTGGTCTTGCCGTGGGGTAGAAGGATTCAGGGCTGATGATTCGGTGAGGAATAGAATGTCGACAACAGTGAGGAACGAGATGAGCTACTTGATCTGCAGCAGCGACTCGAAAGCAAGATCCAGGTGGGTTCTATACAGTTTGCATTTTGATCACGTATTCATTTTGTATGATAGGTCATTTCACCGGCTATTGATATGATCGAGCTGATGTGAGTACCTCCCACCTTCTGACCAAACCAAAAGTCTGATGACAGTCTCCAGTGCTGCACGAGGCAATACTTCTCTGGAGTCTGCAGTCTTTCTTACTAAAGCTCTAAGATGGGACATCCAATCCTTGGGACAGCGATTAGCAAACGCTGCTGCGTCCAAAGAGCAAATCCAAAAGGGCGGAAAGTCGGGCGCCAGTCGCACACAGAACGATGCAGAGATTAAGCTCATTATCAAGGACGTTAAACGACTTCTGGTTCGAATTGAAGATGCAGTCCCGCTCATGAATCTTGCTATTACTACCTCAGGGGCAAAGCTATCGACAAATCTACCAGCAACCATATCCCCATCTCGGCTACTCCAAGCCAGTACCTTCCTTACCGCTGGGGACACTCAGTATTCAATGTTTCCGTCACAAGCGGTTCAGATTGGCCCTATTTTCACCCTGTCGATGTACATGCTCTTTGCGAGCCATCTTCGGCCTCACGATGAAGAGGGGATTCGCGAAACTACTTGGAAGGAAGTCGTGCATAAGGGCCGTGTGAAGCTTCGACGGGTACCTATGGATTTGGCGACCGCCTCCAGGACACCCCAACAATGTTTGCAGCTGCCAGCCGAGGCAAGAATAGACGAGTTTGCCTACCAACTTCTAATCGTAGAGGATCTAGATGACGGAAGAGTCCACACGTTCGATGACAACGAGCCCCATCCTCAGAGTTACGAAGGAGTCGGTCTTGCTGGGATACGAGAAATCCTACCTATCCACCAGATCTCCAAAATTTTCTATGCGGATACTGGCAAAATCCTAAACATCAGCACTGACGGCGAAACGAACAATCCTGTACTGCTCTTGAAAAGAGATATCAACGCCATCCCACCCCGACGCATGATTGAACGGGAGGAGACAGACTTCAATTCTCCCCGCGAGGGATCAAACGAAGAGGACGTGGATGAGGATCAAGCACAACTGGATGCGCAATTAAATAGCACTAGTGCTCCCCCAGCTGGCGCGAGCTTCCACGAGAGTTCCATTCCAGAAGAATGGCGACTACCCAAGGACCTAGACCCAGAGTGGATCGCCTTCGAGGTATATAACGAAGGCGAGTCCTCCGACTCCGAAACAGACGAAGAGAATCCCAAACCCTCGCAGAAAGAAGAGTCCATCGACCCTGAAATGATGGCAAAACTCTCGCTGAACCCTAGCGACAAGCCAACACGTGATCAACAAGACAGGCCCCAGCCTTCATCGTCACAACACATGTCTACGGCCACCGTTTCAAACCCCCATTTCAACAACATCCGAACTTCCCTGTCGCTCCTCGAGACTCTCCTCCGTCTGACATCCCTTCAGCAGTTTCAACAGCAATCACACCTATCCATCAGTGACGAACTCCTAAACTTCTTCTTAGAGGAATCCTCAACAACCGGCGCCGGTGGCGACGAACAACACCGTCAACGTCTCCGCGCTGATGCCCGACGAAGAGTCGGCTGGGATCCCTACGATGAGAGCCCCGTCAAACGGCGAGGCGAAGATTATCAATACAACTGGGCTTCAGATGGGACCCCCACGGGATATCCGCGCGAAAATAGAGATTATCCCTACTCGCCCAGCGACAGGACGCGGGGCTTCCATCTTCGATCACGCGAGAATACGCCGGAAACGCCGTTGCGGTCGCGTCGTTCCACTCCAGTCCGTTCTGATGTGCACCATCATACTTCACGGTGCAGCTCATCGGTTTATGCGGATGATTCAGAAAGCCAGTGAAGGTTTTATGGCCATAGTTTTGATGAGACGTTGCGTATGCCTTGGCATAGTACCAAGACGAGCATATTTGTAAATATTTGCTATTTGTGATTAGCTACCGATATAGCTTCCAATAGATTTCAATAGCTTCTACGACTTGTCGACTTCACGCATTACTTTTTAAAGAAATTTTTACAGGTATTTTACTCGATAAATTTCTGCAACTACATAAATATGTGTACAATGACTAGTATAAGCTCGGTGCGTTCACAATCCCCAGTCTTTACCTGTCAAGATATGAAGCCTATCCAAGTCGGCGATGGAAAGACCTCGCGAGTAGTTTGTGATAGATGTCATTTCTGGTCAACTTTCCAGCAGTTATGCTGTTACAAAGTTGCCTGGTTCTCTATAACATGTCCTACTTGATCCTGTACCAGTTGAGTTTTTAAGTCTGACGAGAATATGTAAAACATCATAGTATAATACTAGAATCACGCGGCTACTTGATATCAATGGACAAAATTCAAAATTTAACGCTTGAAAAAAAAAACTGTAGAAAATGAAGAGGCCCCTATAACGCCTAAAGGAAAGTGAGGGTTCAGCGCCTTAACACCTTATACCGTCTTCTGCCAGGCAGAATCTTCCCTTGAACCAGCCAGTGGCCAAGGGGACTGCCCACATGGTACTATTCACAAACTCTTGACTTGGTAACTGGGATGTTGCTCTATACTCCAGACATAAACCTTACTCCCAGTCCTCATCACTGTCCTCGTCCTTCTTCTCCTTGGGGCTGGTGGGGGCGCGGCTGGTAGCGCCGCTGACCACATCGTAGCTGGACTCACTGTCGGCTTGAGAATGTTGGTCGTTAGAACGACGGGGCTCGTTGGGATTCTGGAGGCTGTTCTTGTCGGCGGCAGATGTAGAGCTCTGAGTCTCGTTGGCCTTGTTGACCTTGACCTGAGGAGTGGACGGCGAGTCGGTATCATCATCGGAATCATCCCAAGCTACATCTTCATCTCCATCTACATTGGCACCTGCAAAGCACAGTTAGATATCACTGGGCAATTCATGAACTGATAGGGGGAATCAGAAACATACCCTTCAGTAGTTCCTTCCGCTTCTGTTCTTCGCTTTCAATGACGAGACGAAGGAAGTAGTACCGACACCAGAAAGTACTATACTCAATTTTCTCCGGCACCAGCTTCTCCATGGCGGCCCGCAGCTCAGGATATTTCTCCAGGTCAGTGGCGATGGCATCAGTCTTGTTCTCCACATTGAACTCCTCCTGGAAGGCAGCCCACTCCTCACTGACGGGGTCCTTGGTGAAACTCTCCAAGTTAGAGTGAATGACATGCAGCTGAGCTTCGAATCGCGTAGCATGGATAACTCTCTTGCCCTCGGAGTCCTTACTTTCGAACAGAATCTTGCTAGACTCCGTCTCTGGGGGCACGATGCTCACTGCATCGCGAAACTTCTGACTGATATTCATACCGAACCGTAGAAGAGCCTCGTCGGCAGCTTCCTCCGCCTTCTCAATTTCCTTCAGTCGTCTGGCCGCTTCGGCCTTGAAACGAGAGAGGAAACCCTCGCCCGTGCCAGTCTCACTGCGCTCCCCCTGATCATCCCCCACCTGGGAAGTAGTGGGCGTAGAGGCCTCGTCTGTCATCTTTTCTGTATTTCCTGTGCCAAACGGTGTGTTCAGGGATAGACCCCGCGTGCGCCCGACAATGGTTTCCTTCAGTCCCGAGAAGCCCTTGGCCGCCTCTTCACTGGCCGCTGCATATTCTTGTCTAGCTCCCTCGTAGTAGCTCTCGCCCTGCTTGCGAACATTGTCCCATAAACCTCCAATGCGAACACCCCATGGGCTTGCAGAGAAAGCGCGGAAGGTTTCTTGCAGCTCGGTGTTTAGATCGACGTTCGGCCGTTCTGTTTTCGCGGACTCGTCCTTGGACTCGTCTTTTTTGGAGCTGTCGTTGGAGGTAAAAATCTCCTCCTGAATGTGATCGTAGACTATATCCATGTCTCCGAGATATTATATGACGTGCAATCGGCGGATTAAATCCAAGGTTGGGGTCTGAATTATGACGGAGGTCAATTAGCATGGCTTGACTCTCCACTTCCGTTCCCGGGGCTACGACGGCCCGAAACCCCGCCGATCTACGCTTCATCATGCAGTAACGCAGTGATCGATCTAGCGATCGGACGGTATCATATCCATCGGCTCTTATATACGGACTACTATCATGGACATTACTTAATGACATCGCTATGCATCCGGCATCTCGTAAGGCTCTCCCACGCTGTCCTCGCTGCCCAACCAGAGTGCGGGCATCGGCACGCTTTCCATAACACTGGAGGTGAGGATCTGGCCCTCAGACAGAATCCGTGAATCCATTCCCCCCCCGCCCTGTCGAAGAACCTTGTCCGCTGGCTGTGAGGACTCAACTTGCACCACTGCTTCCTGAACCCTGGGCCTGTAGCGCATAGTGTTGTTCGGGCTTAGCTTGTCTTCATTTCGTATAATAGGCGAAGACTCCGGAACAAGTACCGTCGATAATTTGCCCATATCTCCTGGCGACTGAGATTGCGTCTCACTCTGGCTTTGTGTTTGGGTCTGGCTTTGGCTCTGGGTTTGAGTAGAGGGTTCACAGATTTTGGTTTCTGGAAGTGCCTGTGACCCTGGCACGGAATTTCGCAGGCAATTCGATTCGTCAGGAAAGAGTTCTGCCATTTTCTGAGTATTCAGTATTGGGATTGGCTCAAGCGGGAATTGAGTGGATAGTTGCATTCTTTGATAGCAAATTGAGGCATCTGAAGGTGGTATATGGTCAGAGTGCAGAAGGTCGGACTCAATTTCACGTCCAATGGAAGTCATAGGAGGGAGATCTTGTGAGTTGTCGATTTCGAAGTCACCGTATTCGTCTTCATTTATAGGTCTATGATCAATGGAGTGTTGTTTCAAGGGAGAGCCAGGAGCACTGGATAAAGCGTCTTGAATATCACCATAATCAGTCTCTGCATCCGTCTCATATACAACTGTCCGCTGAGCATTTGCAGGATGCACTTTAGCATCGTCACTTGTCACGGCTTCATTTCTGGAGAGAGAGTGCTCCATTGTGGAGTTGGTTTGTGTCTCAAGAGAATCTATCGCTTGTCTTTCAGCCATCCCGCGTTTTTGTGATAGCGGCTCCACAGATGTCGAAAGATTGCAAGATGACTGTTTTCTCTCTGCATCTGAGCAATCATTCCCAGGTTGATCGAGAGTGGGCGATTCTTCTGCCATGTGCTTATTAGTAGCCGAAGGAGTTGTTACACCCCCCAGCGAAGACCGAGTTGCACCACGGAATTGAGACGAAGAGATAATTGTAAATCCAGGACTCTCGGGTGACTGCGAGGAGGGTATTTCAGATCTGCGCGGCTTCTGTGGAGTGACTGGATGACTAGAAAGATCTTCTTTCGGACGCCTGCTAGATCCCGGTCCATCTTTCACAGCTTGATCAATATCCAGTCTCCTTCTTTTATTCTCGCTGGAAGATCTTGGACCGAGGCTCGGCATACATGATGGGTTTTCAGTGGTAGAAGTAGGTATTCTTGAAGGCTTCCCCGCATTTTCCTTCTTTGGGGTAATGTAGGTATATTCCAACTTTACATCCTCATCGGGCTCGATCTTCAGGTAACGTCGTACATAGTCCATCTGAGTGAGGGTTTTATGCCGTTCTTTCTGCTGTTTCTTGTTGCCCTTCTTGTTGCCCTTAAAACCACCGTCTCTACTTCTCTGGTTCCTTCTTATTTCCTTGTCACCTCGTCCAGCGGAATCCTTTTGTCTACAGGTGCTTCTCTTTGGTTCCTTTTCGAACCTAACACCTCGAGCTCGCTTCTTTTCAAAGTACGAAGGTCGGCTATTAGCATTGTCGTCAGAGTCGTCATCTATCTCAACCACTTCGCAAGTCTCCCGTGGACGATTTTGTGGTCGGTGGTCGATGAAGTCAAGATCGTCGTCTGATTCAAGGTTCTGCGATACTGGAGTCACGAAGTCAATCTGTGTGAGCGTCGGTTGATCCTGGACATCCGGAGGCAGGCCCCTCCTTGAAGATCTGAAAGAAGACGTTCTAGATGCTGGAGTCCCATTTCTTTTTCCTGTGGTGGATGCTCCCCTTGGTCTGTCAGATAATGTGGAAGAGCTTGTTGTAGGGGGGTTGTCCGGCGTTCGAAACTGTTCTGAGTTGATTTTGGCGGTCGTACTAGATCTGTCCTCTTGCTTCATCGCAATTCAAGATAGTGATCACCATATAAAAATGCGCAGTGAGCCATAGGAGTTGTGCCTGTTACTAACGGGATGGTGGAGTAATGGCCTCTCATTCATTGCTCACTGATGCCTTGATCAGGCAAAAGGCGCGTTAACGCGTCAAATATCATGTGGTGGTCTGTGCACGCTACTAATCTAACTATTACAGTTAAGCCTCTCTGCCCGATTTTAAAGGCAAGTAACTATGTACAACAAGTCTATTGACTACTGGGAATGCATAGGTCGTGTTCCAGCATCATGTATGTACATACACACGGTCAAACACCTTTTGGCGGTCAATCAGACATGAGCCACTCTGGAATCGCATCATCATCCTCAGGGTCATGAGATAACAACGACCCCTCGTTACTTCCTGACTCATCTTCAGAGGCCTCTGGGGATGGGACTCGAGACTGTGTTTGAGAAGGAGCTCGTGAGAGAACTTCAACACTGGTAGATTTCGAGTCTGCCCCAGTTGATGATTCGACCATAATCGGGGCTTCTAAAGATCCCTGCATGTTGTTCGCTTCATCATCCGCAGACTTCATGTTCTGCTGTTGTAAGTCAAAATTTGAGGCCTTGGGTGATACGCTAGTATCCTTTCTGGAGACATTCTCTTCTAATCCATCGATTTTGTCGTTAGGAATAACAACAAGGCTATAACGGGGGCGCTCTGTCAAATGATTCCTACTTGTAGGACCAGAATTTCCATCTGACCTCAATGTAATCCTTTGGTTAGTGTCCTTATCAAGCAGGAAACCTCCTCGACAAGCATCTTCTATCCTTGAATCAGGCAAAGTGTTATTCTCAGTTGATGGCTCTTGTGAGACGAGCTTCGTACTATCCAACCCAGCCTGTGGCGTCGTAATCAGCTGATCTAGCTCAGGTATGAATCCACCTCCATAGTCTTCAGAGTTTGCATAACTATCATCGCTCATGCCACCATCTTCTTCATCTTCTGCCTCCTCGCCTTCAATTGCATACCCCTTGACTCTTTCCGCAATGCGTAGTTTAAGCAGAAAGTATCGCCAGAACCGGAGGGCTTCAGCAGACCGTTCCTCCTGTTTAGCGTTTGCCTTCTCATATTCGAGGCCCTGTAAGACTTCGTTGAGTGCTTCATGATATTCGCTAGCGACAACAGCCCCTTGAAACACCGCGGTTCCGTGTCGCCCCTTAAAATCAAAGCCTGTTACGGCGTCTGCATAGTCAATACCAAGAATCCTAGCAGCATGTGCAGCGTCAGAGTGTTTGACATGGACTCCACCAGGTGGTACCATTGTCGACACGTAGATATCCAAGTTTCCATAGACATTCTTCGGTATCTTTCCTTGAATAACGGGTGGCGGTCTATACAACTCTGTCTGAGAAAAGGAGTATAGGGAGGTCTCTGTAACGGTTTCAGAGTCCTCATCATCAAGGATATTATTACCTCTGGCGGGAACGCGCTTCAGAGGTTGTTCACCTATTTTAATCTCTCGCCCAAGTCGATACCATTTGTCTGCACTGCGAAGAACATGTACATCAGAACGTCGATAAACAGGCTCCAATTTCTCATGCGTGGATCCGGATTTACCCAGCCCAACCTGCCCAATGACACGTTTCGGAAATATGACTTCGTTTCTACGTAGATGTCGCTCCAATGCATAGATTGGATGATCTTTAAAGTCTGCCACATTCCGAGGCATAGGTTCAGCGGCGGTTTTGGCTGTTAGTTCGCTGATTTCCATCTCATCACGGTCCTCGAGGAACGGTTTTTCATAGAACAGCAATACTCTTTTCCACCATGCCTCTCCACCCTTGGTGGATTCGACTCGAAGTTTCCTAGTTTTCGCATTAAAAGCTTTTGCATAGCGTCGTGTAACATCTCGCATCGATGCATCGTCTTCAAACGCAACTACATAGCTCATGACATTATATGGGTCGCTAGAAGGAGGTTCAAACTTGAAAGTTTTGGCAAGGGACTTCGTCACCAAAGGATCAACAGGGATCCACTTCTGAACCGCTTCATTAAGAGCTTCTACCCAAAACACAGGGTATGCTGATTCTCGGGTGCTAGGCCGTGAAGCTTCACTCGTCAACCAAATAGTGCATAGAACGCCCTAAGTTATACTTACCAGCCACAGTGGTTTTAAAGGGACGAGATGCTCTGAATTGTGGGCGAGCAAGCCGTCGAGATTTTGAAGGTGGAGTCGGTGAGGCTGGAGATCCTGACTGTTCATCTGTGGAAGTGTCGTACATATCCGACGAAAGAGAAATATATTGCAAATTTAGCTTTACTGGAGACACGTTTTTCGTGATACCAGAAAATGGCAACGGCTGCAATGAGCACACCAATCTTGCCTCGACAGCGACGGAACGCAGCAAGGCACAGAACAACTGAGCACCAAAGTCACGAGAGCCTTTGAGTGTCCTGGCCTGCTTTTGGAAATCCTCTCTCGATAGAATGACCTCCGGATCCAACATTATTTGCCCCTAATAGGTAGTCAGACGAGAGCATCCCCTGAACAATGCTTGAATACAATACCGCTCGTTGTCTCAAAGAGGATGGATCATCAACCCAGTGGGCTCGTTTTAAACCCGGCTGTGTCACTCTGAATCTCTTCATGAAAGCATCACTGGCTTTGTTCAGTCCATCCATGAAGGTGGTTGATTTTGTGTACTGGGGTTTGTCTTCTGGTGGGTTCAACAGTGAGAGAGTTTGTTTTGGTAACATTTGCTTGAGAAATTTCTGGTGATGTTTGTCAGATTGAAATATGAAAATTTAAGTTTCTAAAAGGCCAGAACAGACCTGCACTTCCTCGTCATTGCACCAATTGTTGCGTATTTGAACATGACGTAGAAGACAAAGTAAATGGACCTTATGGACATCCAGCCTGAGCTTTCTTTCTGCGCCTGTGATAGGTTTCCGCCTTGGAATCACCTTTCTTTTTTTATCATTATGCTCATTAAGAGTAATCTCCATGGGTGCATCATCTGCTTCTGGGTCATGGAACCCGGCTGGGCCAGGATGTGCTTGCTGGAGATCAACCTCCTCCCACTCCATATCCGATTCATCGGATGTAGTAGTATCATACACAGTCTGCACACTCTGGCTCGAGTGTTTACTACTCTTTTGAGGAGACGCTGCTTCATTCGCAAGGCGAGAAACGAGTGGTGTACCAGATGGCTGATTAACTTTGCGTTTTTTTGTTGGTGGATCATTTGTTGCCTGAGATTCGCGAGCCTCGGCCTCTGCCAGCATCTCCTGGTATACTTGTGGGACTTCCTCATCTGGGTCTCTTCGCTGCCTTGACTGGCGGCTGCGAGACGCCCCGCTCTTTCCATAGCGGGCAGGGTTTACACGGCGCATGCTGCCGAAGACTCTTGCACAATAGCATGAAGTATTGCCTTGCTTCAAGTATGCTGATGTTTATGCAAGCTAGGCTGGGGATATTGCAATTCGACCACTGCAGAGAGACAACTATGAAACGCTGACATCCCACGCGCAAACATGCTTGCAAATCCTCACTGCAACTGGTTTGAGAAACATGCGTCATTCCGGATATAGAGTTATTCCGTTCCGTAGACACTCAGGCTGGTCCCTTCCAAAACAGGAATTATTGCCTAGCATCATTGGATGGTGGATCCACTGCATCCCTTCCAGATGTTCTTTTGACTGAACCATAGCACGCCCTTTGGAAACGTGCTGGCGTTGAAGGAATTGTCGTTGCGTCTGTTCCGTAATTAAGCATATTCAATACTGAGGGGGCCTTGCGGATCTAAATTGAAGAATAAAGAAAACCCTGGGTTTACTAACACCTCGGGTGCTATTTACATTCATTAATTTGCCACTACCTCCCAACAGCCCACCTGGCTTTGAATGCGTGGACCAATTGAAAAATGATAAACTCGATCGATGCGTACAATATGCTGATGTGTTGTTGGATCTATGCAATTCAAGGATAGTCCTTACTCGTTTTCGACGACAAAGAATGTGGACTCGGTAGCTAGGAATTGCGTCACACATACGTTTCACGTAGATTCACGGCAGCTCCTACCAAGCTATACGTCAAACTCTTCAGTTCGCTTTCAGTTGCACTGTTCAGTTTTGAATATTTTATAGGGATGAAGCTATACTTTCGAGATCCTTGAAACTTACATATGCTCTTCCTTAGGTACGCCCAGTTGTCCCTAACTGTGGGCGTTGTCTAGCACACGTTACTAATGTGGGAGACATACCTACGGTGAGCAATATATCAAACTCTGTCAGAGGGAGAAGTTTGAAGTGAGAAGTTAACAATGCACACTGTTGAAGACGATAAACCCTTCAAAGTGTCAATCCCAGGGGATCGGTTTGCAACATAATTTTGATCCGCTCCCATCTTTTGTGGAAACGACGAAGAATGAGCTCAAGCGTCTCTATTATGACATATCATTGAAAAGTTTGTTTGAAATTGGTCTCGGTCACCCTACCTATGATTGACATATCGGAGACATATGGAACAAGCCGGCGACAGTCTCTACAAGGCGAAAAAGACCTGAGGGTTTTGCCATCTATCCACGGAGCACGAAGCTGTCACTGTTGGCATTGAGCATGCGATTACCAAGAATGATAAGCTGATTACGGCATATTGCTACCACGGAAACACAATGCTTGGGGGAACAATGAAGTCTATAATTGGTGAGCTGCTTGGGTGACGAGACGGCATATCGCATTTGAAGGGCGACTCAAAGCATATGTTCTGCGAAGGCTTTTTGGGAGGCAATGGGATTGTAGGTGCGCATTTTCCTGTTGGGGCTGGTATAGCCTTTGCGCAACAGTATAACAACGACAAGACTGTCACCATAGATATCTGATGATGGAGCTGCAAATAAGGGACAAGTCCATGAAACATTCAATATGGCGCATCTATAGATCTACAGAATCTGCCGGTAATTTTTGGTGTTGAAAGTATGAGGATATATGAGCCAGTGATATTTACTCCTACACATGCTGATATGGACCTACCTAGACGATAAGTATGGTATGGGACCCTCTGTCTAGAGCATCCGACCTGACCGAATACTATAAGCGCGACCAATATATCCCTGGACTCCAGATCAATGCCATTGGTGCCCTCGCCGTCTTCTCTGCCGTAGGCCCGTAAGACATGGAAAGCAATTATGCTCAAACTGGAAAATGGGCTGCTGCTGTATGAATATGTTACCTACCGTTATGCAGATCTGATCCTGGAACTGCATACCGAAGCAGAGACGAACTCCAGACAGAACGAGCTGATTTCAAGGAGAGGCTGGTGCAGTGCGGTGTGATCACCAATAACGAGGCCAAGGCTGTCGATAAGGACGTGCGCGAGATGGTCAATAAAGAACTATCAGAGGCTGAGAATATGCCGGACCCGGAGCCCAGAATGGATATATTGTTTGTGGTAGCGAGTGGGGACAACGACAAGGACAATCCATGAAACCTACTACCAAGAATAGATTAGCTCATAGTATCACATGTATATATTAGAATCGGGAAGAGGACGCGGACAAATGGGAGAACGCCGCCACAACCACCAAATATTCCTCCACCTTCACGTCACTATGATATATTGCCATAACGTAGTATGCCCCCAACCATTATTCTTATAAAAGACAATCTATACTCAGACGAGTGGGGTATAGATGGTATAGCTTCGCGTCTACTGCCTTCACTTTCAAAGAGAACTTCCAATACATTCAGCAATTATGGAGTCTAACATTGAGGGCTTGGAAACCCCTTCGCATTGCATTGCTGATTTCTCGCTCGTCCCAGTATGTATATAGTTCGCTTTGAGGTGACCTATCTATTGTTCAACAATTGTCGAGAAATATTCACTATGTATTTGTCACTAATGCTTGGCTCATAGATTGGATCTCGCGATGTTTCGTTTGCTCGGGAGATTGCAGATGTCCAACTTTTGCTGCAGAAATGCCATCTGAAGCACAAGATGACCCCCACCGGGACAACTGTTGGTAAGGCGAATATCTGTGGGAAAGGATGACTGTCTCGACCACGGCCTAGTTAATCTACATGAACGGAGTTGATTTATTGACTGTATTACAGAGGGTTCATGGGATCGTGTATCCCGAGTAATTGGGCTTGCTCATACACTGGTCCATGAACGTGGAATAGCCAGGATTCAGACAGACCTGCGTATAACGACCAGGTAAGAAATGCTCCAATGTGGATGAAACTCACTGGTGCGTGCATGTATCTAATCTTTCCCTTTTAACCTTGTAGAACGGACAAAACCCCGCTTATGGAGAACGAAATTTTGTCTGTTGAGAAGATCCTCACCGCTTGAATAGAATGATAGGGAAGTTACGATATTATAGGTAGTTGGTTGCAGCTAAGTCGTCAACCAGAATGCGCAATGTATTCGTGTTTTAGGTATCATTATCTTTCTGCTTTCGTAAGTCTAAACGTGTTTTCCATAGAAACTTCTAGTGATCCTGGCTGAAAGCCTTCTTTCCACTGGAGTTGATCAGAATGGGGTTACAGGAAAGTACGTCAAAAACAAAAAAAAAAAAAAAAAGAAAGAAAGAAAGAATGAAAGAAAGGAAAAGAAAAATAAAAAAAAAAATACGGAAAGGTTCCGTATCCCTTAATGCAGACCATGCAGTTGATTCCATATCTTGCTTATGTCAGCAAAGCAGACTTGAGCATACATTGGAGACCTAATCTGTCATCCTTTCAAGCTTGCAGATTAGCATACTGTGAAAATGAGGTATAGCTGAAATACACTTGTTTTTCATGGTGAGTGCTAACACTTCTGACCAACCCTGCTGCCTACAGTAAGTACAACTGACCTATGCAACCTGACAGACAGACAGGACACTCTACGGCTGTGGACTTTAGGCAGAGATAAGACAGCAGACAATATTTCTTTTTCCGTTTTATTCTCGTCCCCTGTGCCGCCGGCCAACAATGTCTTAACTCAAATTATCTCCTGCGTTGATGTTACCATTATCTCGGGACATGGAACACATGTCAATGGCGAGAGACGCCGGAACAAATACTTGGTCCTAATTACAAGCTTAATTATCGCCCATTACTGTAAAACCAGTCCTGCAGCCACGGGAACAATTAGGCGTAAAAGAGATGAATGGTGGCGTGCTTGAAGTTTTATAGGATGCCCGCAGTCCTCCAAATTCCCTTGAATCCATCGAACTAGCAAGGTTATCTGCAATGTAACACTATTTCATTCTGGACTCAGCCATATACATATGTGGTTATGGGCTACTGCACGTACTTGTGTTCTCGAGGCACCTAGAAAGATGTGGGCTTTGGTTTAGTTAGCAAAGGAGGGAGAGAACACAGTCACTACTTTAGACCGTGCATATAGTAGGTTTTCCCCTCCTTCCTGTGCATGTACTTATGGAATAGACCGCACGCAGCCTGCGTGGCATGCTTGGAGGCCCACTAGTTATATGTGGTTTCAGTTTGCGTGATCGTATTAACCCCCCCGGTCCGGAGATTCGAGTTTCGTCAGATGCTGAAGGACATAACTATTTCCAAAAAGAGCTGGGTCGGAGGTTTTCCAGTCAACCGAGAAGCTCATATCATTCATGTATCTACTGTGTAAATCGTCATCATCCCACACGGATCGGGGTTGCACATGTAAATTACAACCGTAGGTATTCCTCTTCATTCCAACACAGGATCCTGGCCACCAATCCCATTAGTCTGGCAAATTAAGTACCCTACTTATTGGAGAGATGACTAAGACCGAATTGAATCCTCGCTACAGGAATGCGGAGATCCAGTATCCACCCAGGCCCGTAAAGATGCCTGTTTATGCTAGTGTCGAGGGCGTACGAAGATCCTGGCATGTAGACCTTGGCGAGTCTACCTATTCTCGAATCTTGATACCTTCTCCTCGGAGTGTAGACAGTCTATCTCGTAACAGTAAAATTAGGCGATATAGGACACAAATCATTGCTATAATGGACCACAAGAAGGGGTTCGTAGACTATTCCATAAGGCCATTTCTGAGATGGTGGAGCACTAGCCAAGGTTGTCTTATGTTGGTCCCTGAAATTCACGCATATCTGGCTAACAAGACCTTTTTAATATATACTAACATGGAGCCATCCATCTACAGGCTACCATTTGGCTTGCTAACCTCCACTCCAAGTACGGAGTGCACTGCTCTTCCATAGATAAAAATCGGTACTGACCATGTATGCTTTGGCCGCAGGTTATCAGTCACTGACTCACGGGACTGCTGATGGGCACATAAACTCGTTTTAGTTTAGTGACAAGGAGGGATTTTACGTCTAGAAATTGAACCAAACCACGCTTGTGAAACTTCAGTATCCTGTGTGGCGAAGATGAATTCTTACAATTATGATAGTGGATAGGAGAAACGTAACTAAGCCGACATCTTCACTACGAAAATGGTACGAGTTGTATACAATTTTTTTTTTTTTGTTAGGCCTGCTCTGCAAGTGCTAAATGGCCAAACAAACTCGAAATGCAGTTCTTCAAAAGAAGACAAAAGCTCCAGTACTTTTGGCAGTCAGTGAAGGGCCGCAGAAATGTACATGATTCAGCGGACACTGATGGAGAAGGAGTAGACTGGGGGCGGAAGGACCATTGGAGTGATTTGTTTGGCTTGCGGAGATGCTCTCGTCATGCAATAGCCAGCGTCAACTATCCCCTTCTAAGTGGTAACATGCACTATGTGCAGTAGTCTGTGGCGAGGGCTGGAGATGAATATCCTCCTTGGAAAATTCCAAACCCCGAAAATATAAAGTTCATGACGCCAGTCTTCAGCGTTCGCACTTGTACAGCTATTTAATTAACCCAGTATCGTGCTCTTGCCATTGGTGACATGGTGGGAGCTCATTTGATACTCGGATAAACCAGGTGGCCTGTATATCCTTAACGATATTCCTAGAGTGAAGATTAGCATAATTATCCCATCTATATACAGAGTAGATGCTCCGGTGTTTGATGTAGCTGTAAAGAGAATCGTGAAGGACGTCAGGTGGAGTGTCTTGTTTGTCTCCATATATTATTATAACTAGAAGATCCGACCGATGTCGGGGAAATGTAACACTGAAATTGGAGCTTAGTATTTGTCATTAGTGAAATACACAGTATACGAATTGGCCAAAAATAGCCAGAGAGCCTATTTTATTTGTTGAAATTCTCAAAGTGCCAAGCCTTTTTTTTTTTTATGAAGCTAGTGCTCAACTGCTCATGATGGGGGTACAAACATCTTAAGCACCCAGCGTAAGCCCACAGAGTTTTCGCAGTCAAGTTGGCATTGTGATTATCAGTCTTACTTAGGCTAAGTTGCTTAGTGTCCAATTGTACTAAGAGTGAACCCATAATTATATCAAACATGTCACTGTAGAATAGTCGGAAATCCATACATACTGAGCATACATCGTACAGCATACTGTATACGGGATCGGGGTAGCCATTACGTTTATCATTCATTGAAAAGCGCACATAATACTTCAACTACTATAGGTGATGGGCAGATGGAGAATATCCGTAGCAGGGACTACGCACACGCGGCGGAAAAACGTTACAACTAGAAGCCAACCAGAGCTCAACCCCTCTTCAGCAGTGGAGAACTGTTGGACAAGTGTATGGAGATAGCGAATAAGCTTCTCCAGAAAGGAAGAAAAAATTTTTGTATGGGAGTAGATACAACAATTACCTTTGTATGGTCTCTGATGCTGATTGTCTGTAATGTATGTAGGGAATGGTGATACATCTAAATGACAATTAGCTTGTATTAAGGTGCACCTATATTTTTGATCAGAACCAGCCTTCCAGGTTTCACTTCCTCGGGACACTGCTTTTTGTCTCCAAGCCGCCACCTTCCAGGTTTCCAGCTCATGGATGTACTGGCGGGCCGACGACGATCAAAGTGCAATCTGGCCGCTAACTAAGGGTAAAAATAATCTAACTGCATGCGACGTCCCACCAACGAAGCACAAAATTACCTGTTTACATATAGTAATGTGGTTGGCAAAGTCGAGGTAAAAAAAATTATACTACGGTTATTGGTTGCTACAACCACAGTGACTAGACCTACGAACTTATGTATACGGCAAGTAAATTTTTGGTGACCCGAATGGTTTTTGATTCCGCCTGTCCCATGTGCAAAAACCAATTATCGTAATAATTTATAATAGGGACTGTGATTAACTCTCATTAATTAGGAGAAGTTTGAGTATTTACTCTGTATTTGGAATCATGATATTAAAGGGGTGCTGAAAGTTCTTTTGGACTTCAGGTGGGACAGTGGATTCCGTCCAAACACGGTGGGTCGGAGGTTCCGACAGACTGGATACAGCGGCAACTCCGTCCATAATTGTAACATTTCCATGTCTCATCAGAGAATTGAAAAACCAAAGCTGTGAGTACAGAGTGCAGAGTGTAGGTTGTATTGTTTAGAGAGCAAGTTATTCTCGTTGAGAGTTGGAAGAAGCTTTTTTCTCTACTTCCATTGGCCTACTGAATGTGGTATCTTGATTGTGTCAACTTGTCAATCATGCAATATGCATGCACCGTGTTGTAGTCGGAGTTCAGCCCAGTCGGATCATAGGGTAATGACCCATGGATAGGAATTTCCAGCACTCTGGCACCGACAACCATTGGATCCCTGTTTTATTGAATTCATCCTATCTACATAGGCCGTGTCATATCCCCGTCTAGAGTCGAGAGATCACTTTGGATGTGGGTTAATATTATACGGTAAAAAAAAAAATTAAAAAAAAAAAAGGTAATAAATAATTTGCTCCTTCCCTGAGGCACCAAATACCGGACGCACACAGGCTGCTGGACTGGGGTGTGCTCTCCGTAATTGACAAATTTTACTGGGCTCTTTCCCTTGCTCCTCGCGTTTCTAGGCTCTCTTTGGCGCTCACAAGTTTGCAGGCTATCGTTTTTAGTGTCCAACTTAGTGTTGTTTTGGTCCCATCCGTGGCTCTCCCGGTAGTCCGGGACGTCCGTGCTTTTTTAGTTTCAGCTGCCAAAGCCCGGGACGGGGTGGAAGAAAGGGTACTTATTTTTCTTTTTTAACCAAAAGAACCACTTCACATGAAACCTCTGGTTGGTAATATTTCGTTGAATTCTTACATGCTACTATTATGCACTCCATAATAGTTTACCTCCTACCTTGTGGTAAGCAATGTAATAGAAATTTGAAAGCTCAGTGAAGTAGAACATCCGGAGAAATCAATATGTCAACCTACAAATGATTGACTTTGCGCAGTAAACAAAGTTTGGTACTTCGGAGGTACAGTGGTCCCCGTTACCTGGACCTGGGACAAATACTAGAAAAAGTTTCCGAGGTGTAACCTGAGTCTCGGGATCGTCGTTCGTATCCAAACGCAGAACGAGACCTGACCAAGTTTCTACTAGGTATCTGGCATTCGGCTTTGAAGGCTAGCCTGGATAATTAGGATGGTGCTACAGATTAAATCCCTTAATGCCTCTCGCAAGTGGCATGACCTTTATACTTATTCCAACACCACCAGAACCGCACTCAACTCATCCTTGGACAGTTGCAAGCAGGCACTGATGTAGTAATGCACATACATCCATGTGTTTGAAGGAGCAGTGCATTTCAATTTGAGACCTAACTTATCAACAAACACATTCCTCTTTCTCTTGTACAAAAGATCATTGGAAAAGACCCTTGGTGTTCACTTTAATAATAACCTCATGATAATTTCCCTAATTTCTTTTGACTGGCTATTCCCTACATCCTCCTCTTACCTTTTAAGTTAGGGATTATCCCACATCTAGCTAAATTCAAACTTAATCCAGCCTGTCGGGTTCAGAGAAAAGGAAAAAAAAGCAGCCGGCTGCTTCTCCTTGCACTACTCCGTACGGAGAAAGCATCCTACTCCAACATAATTTCGATCTCCCTATTTCGCTAGTGTGGAAATGAATCTACCTATTACTTTTAATATATTCCTTTCTATATCCATGTGACAGAAAATATTAAATCCCACGTCGTGCATCCTTGTCCCCGTATAATACATGGCAACAGCAATTGATGGGATTGTCTATCGCCGTACATATTTGTCCATCATTAAATTTTTGGACGACTTGACTCTCAATTGGGACGTCCTTTGTTCTTCTTCGTCTTTTTTTTTTTTTTTACATTTACCAGTTCATCTAAAACCGCCTCTTTTCCGTACTCGAGGATTCTCTGTTTTTCCTGAGGGCTATTTCATTTAGATAATTGTTACTATTTACTATCCCCCCACTCAAATTCGCTTCCGAAGTCCCAGTGCCATTAGGCACCTAGGTCCCATAAGTACAATGGGTGCGAAGTCGGCAGTAAGCATACTCTTTTCTTACCGTCGTCTCATTACCGTTATTGTAGCCCTGACACGATTCCCTGATCCGCATTTTGACAACCTATTTCCTTTCATATTGAAGACATTGCCTGCAACTATATCCGGCTTTACCCACTTGTTCGCATCACAGTAATAAATTAAAGCTGGCTGATAATGTCTAAGATATCGGGCCGTGACCTGTAAGTCTCTGACCATTTTTACCCACTACCAGAACAAGAGCCATGGCGCCACTGTATAGGGCTGAGACTAAAAGTTTGATTGCAGTGATACGCAGTCTTTGACTGCAAGTGTTACAGATTATCCTATGGAAAATGGAAGACGCTATCACAGATATCATGAAGGCAGTATGTCGTGACATCTAATGTATCACTCCTACTCGACAGGGCTTTCTGACCAAGGGCCTCAGTATATCCATATCCTAATGACGAGCAAGAACTCGATCGCCTGGATATGCAGCATCATATGCTCAAGCTAATTAACAATGGACGCCTGTTTTTTGCTCCCCTACAAAACCCGAAACGAATCCTGGATATCGGCACTGGTTCTGGAATATGGCCTATTGAGATGGGTGAGTATTGCATGTCGTTTAACCCTCTCGTGCGTGCCTGTTAGGCAGAATTTGACGATTTCTAATTGACTCTGCATAGCGTCCGAATTCCCAGATGCCCAAATTATTGGTACTGATCTTTCACCCGTTCAGCCCACCGAAGTCCCCGAGAACGTGCACTTTCTGGTCGATGATGCTACAGAAGAAGACTGGCTCTGGGAGCCCAAACACTTTGACTTCATCCACACAGCACACTTGATGGGAGCACTGCCTTCATTCAAGGATCTCCTACGCAAAACCATACAGCACCTCAAGCCGGGTGGATATGTCGAGTGCCATGAGTTTGATCCCAAGCCGAAATGTGACGATGGAACAATGCCGCCCGAGAACCCGGATGGCTTCAGCGATTTTGCCCTGCAGGACTGGTGCGATCTAGAAGTCCGTTCGGGTCAGGTCTCAAATCCTCCTAAGCAGTTTCGAGTAGCCCATCGATTTGCGCGGTGGATGAAAGAGCTAGGATTTGTGGATGTCCAAGAACGCATTTCTAAAGTTCCCACAAACACGTGGCCGGCCGACCCGCATATGAAACATATCGGTGCTTGGAATGAAACAAACTGGCTCGAAGCATTGGCTGGCTATTCCTATAAACCTCTCAGTCTATTGGGGTGGTCAAAGCCTGAAATCGAAGTCTTCCTGGTCGACGTCAGAAAGAGTATCCAGAACCGTGACATTCATTGCTATACGGAATACTATGTGGTGACAGGAAGAAAACCATGCGAGGGTGAATAAGCACATTAACAGCTCATTTTACGGCCATACTGAACTATAAACGACGAAATCGCTTATTTTCTCTTCATTTTCATGAATATTCTTTTCTTTGCTTTCTTTTTGCCTCTGTTGGCTTATACTAGCATAAGATACCATTTACAGGGAAATTTGCATGGGAGGCGTGCACGGGAATGCTTCATTTGTTCTATATTTATATTACTTCCTCTTATACATACTATACTTAACTGCATAAAACAAACATCCTTTTGTATTATGAGAGCACCTAGAACTAACTAATTACCTGAACAAATGATTTTCATGCAGGCTGAGTGCGGAACTCGATGGAAAAGCTAGTTCACACCACTTATTGTCAAATTGTATTTTCCAGTATCAGAAATCCTCTCAGATTGTCTGTAGCTCTATTGAAACAACATAGATACCTTGTTTTGCTCTCTTGTAGGCCCAATATGATGTTGCTGTCGTGGTGGGGAGAGAACGGGATGCGCTTAGTCATCCAACCTCCATAACTATCCAATCTTCTCAGATCAGAACTCCGTGTCTTGTTAATGATCAATCTCCCTCAGGCTCACACCTCCCAATTGCTACTACATGCGCTTCTTGCCTGATGTCTCTCGGCAGATATGCCTATAGGCATACTATTCAGTCTTCCTCCAATTGTTTAATTGACCACGTATGGATCAGTGAAGATTTTCTCTCTTGTACATTCCGACGATTCGCAAACGGCCAACGACGTTATGAGAGCCGAGTGCCAGGCCCATTGGAGGCGAGAAGGCGTCTGGCTAAGCGCAAGAATGCGGCTCTTGCTGGTATAGCTGGGTCTGGGCCTTTGGATGATATTGCCTGCTTATTTGGGCGCAATGGACGGGAACATATGAAGTGGAGTGATGGTCAAGTGGGAAGGATAACCCCGGAGACTCAAAGTAAGGATATTTTCTCAGATATTTTTTGGGGGTTAAAGCGATCTGACAACTTGAAGGTTCTGAATTTTATCGACAGTCTTCGTCCGCTTCCCCTCTACCATTTTACAGTCGGAATAACGAACTGAGCGAGTCCTATGACCAATCTCATCGGCGACAAGTTCTGGGAACAGTGGAAGAGCGCCCTGGCAAGAATTATTTAAAAGAGTACTTAGGCAATTGCTATACTGTGGCTCATTTGAAGGATGTTCTTCGAGAACTGGGCATTGACCCTAGGCGAGACCCAACTTATAGTCGATTGGCATTCGAGCACTTCTTGTCGAACTCGACTCTTGGAGAATCTTCTGAGGCAGAAATTATTAGGTTTCTAGATGACCCACACTTGAATATCCGAGGAGCGGGGAATTATTTAAGTGCAGTCCAGCGTATGGTTTTTAATCGAACGAATTTCACTAAGAGCCCTGCTCTTCTGGATACGGTTATCCGAGCCCTTCAAATTGGGCTGATTTTGCCCGACGAGATCTTGGGCATAATACATACTCTACCGAAGAAAATTGGCCATGATAATATGATTAGGGAACGGGGGGAACGGAACTTAAGTTTTCTCGACTTTTTCAACAGAGAAATGTGGAATGCGATTGGACGATGCGATGTTTATGGGCATAGGGATTTGGACGAGGGAATATTGGATGCATGGCTAGGGGTTCTTATGGAAAGGAAGACGGACGATGCACTAATCCTAGCGAAAGACATTGTAACCGCAACTCAAGGTCAGAATCCAGCTATCTGCTCCTGGGTACCTTTACTTATTACAAGATGGCTGGAACTATCGAATCGATTTTGTCCCGCCGAAGATAATGCTTTTGTTGGCGATCTCATGAGACACTCCTCTCCAGATGCCGCATCACAGCACATAATTGGGGCGACTGAGTTTTTGGTGTCTTCCACGAAGAGAAATGCGCTTGAGAGATGGCGGGACTGTCTATGCTGCCTACAGGATGTTGCATCATTCGTCTCCTCGCCGGTTTGGACCAACCTAGGGACTGCTACGGAGCCGGATAACTCTGGATTTTCGTCGCAGCACCGTATCATTTTGCGTTTATGGGTGCTACGGTCGCTCAGTAAAAGTCTCCCCGAAGGACCACTTTGGAGGCCAGCCCCGCGGACGACAGACCGTCCCATTCTCGATCTTTTAAGTCTATATGAAACGATCAGAGAAGATGCTAGCTCAGACAACTTTCTGAGTAGCATGAGAAAAGAAATTCATGATTTGGATATACCGTTCAACGGCTTGACAATGCTCGCTGTTGACTTAAAATATGGAAAAGGCATGACTAGAGCGACTCGAGGGATGCTGCAGAAATTGGAATCCTCAAAGGTCTCTTTGGCAGACATTTTTGCAGACCTTACAGCTTACAACGCTGCCACTCCCCATTTATTTTCAGCATTGGAGAAAATGGTCCGGCAAATTGACATTACCAGTCCTTCATTCATCGATCATATGGTTGATATTGCAAGGAATGGCGACTCTAAGAGAGTTTGGACATTAATCCGCCTCATTCGCTGCCACACACCCCTGAAGATTGCACTGTCGAAGGCATGGCATGGGATCCCAGAACCGTCCAAAAGAGCACTTGTGCGCTACTATCCGGAGGCTCGAAGCGCTGACTGCCCTGATCCGCATGCCGCATTAGAGATGATTCATTCGCTAGCAATCTCCCTCTCATGTTCGAAGAACCTGAGTCCACGTCGAGCCTACTCCTTGATCCATTGGCTCTATGTTTTCCTATTGAAGCACGGTGCCCCGGTGAAACCCGTGATCGTGCGAGCGATGTACCATGCTGGGGTTATACGATACCGACAGGAAGGTTTACATGTCTCGCGGACGCAGTATACCTATATCATGGATTGCGTGAAAAAAGCCGAGGATCCTCAGCTGGTGGCAGTCCTCACGGGTGGGTCGCAGGTAGGCATAACACATCAAGGGTCGAACCAGCTGGAGGATGAGTATATATATGTATAATACCTATACTGTGGTCCATGGCCCATGCCGTGTTTAGGGGCAGTGGGAAGCCTATAAACCACATTTGGATAATTTAGATAGAATACTGTCATAGATACCCAATTTATTGTTACCTCTACAAATGGGCATTCAAATAGTCGAAAAACTTTGGGAAGCGCAGGTCGCAAGGGTCACATCGAGAACCTTTCCAGGGTTTTTCTTTTAGAAGTAGGCAATGTGTAATAGGCCATAAGGAATTTCTTCGTGGGTGATCCAGAGTGAAATGAAATAAAAATGATTATATCAAAGTGTTTCTAACTTGTCTCTCCATTTACGAGTCCACTTCCATCAGATTAGGATCGCCAGAAGCCTCTTCCACAGCAACGTACTTCTTCATGTCTTCCTTAGTGATAATCTTCTGGTTCAAGTAGGCCGTTGTACCCTTGGCGAACCGGTAATCGAGCTCCTTCTGGCCACGCTCGTTGGGCTTCATGTAGTTGCGCAGAAGCTGCGTAGGCTTGTCCTTCTCAATGATACATACGTCGACATTGCTACCTGACCCCAAATCATTGAAGATACCGGCTTTAATCGCCTCCGCAGCCAGAGCGATTGCTCCCTCGCGGTCAAGGTTGGGCTTCCACGTCGATTCGAACACGGACATAGCAGCCAATGAACCAGAGCCCATAGTGACGTATGGAAGCTTATCTGTGGAACCGTGGGCATGGACGGTGTAAAGGCCGGTGCCGGTCGGGTCGACACCGGCTACGACTAGGTAGGCGCCGATGTGTCCCTGGTATCGGAAGAGGTGCTGCTTCAGCATGGTCATGCAAGTAATTACTCGCGGGGGGCGACCCGTCGACAGGGAGTGCAGTTCGACGTTGGAGCTAATCAAAGCTGTGGTAAATTCGGTGTCTGCTGCTGTACCGGCTCCGGCACACCAGATCTTGGGTGCGATGTAGTGTAGTTTCTCACAGTTCTATTCCAACGTGTTATTACTGAAAGCTCCGAGTACATAGGAAAACGGGATAACTCCTAGAACGTACCTTGTCTGCAACAATAGGTCCACTGGTAGCTCTGGTATCTGCCGCGATCTGCGATAGTCAGTTTCTAAGCGGCCAGCCAACCCCAGACGGTCTGAATCGAGTTCGCAACAACATACCACAACGCCATTATCAAAGATACAGCCTACAATCGTGGTACCAGTACTGGTAGCCTTAGGCATAGGCACTCCCTTGGCGTGGAGAGCCGCATTGCGGTTGTAGTTAGAGAAATCGAACCCTGTCATGGCGCTGGAGCGTCTGGATTATGGAGCAGGGAGGAACAGGAAGGGATAGCGGCTTGCTAGGGATCGTGCTAGATGCGTTCTAGGGCTATAGAGCCAATCGAATAGTTAGACCAGTGTCAAGAGAGGTAATGGGGAGAGACGAGAGAAGGTGAAGGGTAGGTAGCTCGACGGTCGGTAATGGCAATCTGGAGTGACGAAGCTCCAGCCGCCTGATCTCGCTGCCTTAGGCGTCACATCGGCGCGTGCCAAGAGAGCTTCCGCTGTTTTTGTCCTTTGAGATCGCCATCACTTTACCCAACTGTTTTGCTCTTGCTTTCCACGGTGTTGGACGGGGCTGATTGAATCCTGTTCTTGTGGACTGGCACTTGGATTTCCCTTTGTCTCTGTCGGGGCCGAGTCTCTCTAGTGCATTGCATCTCTCCCTTCTTTTGAGGGGAGGTGTTCAGGATTTTTGCGCAGTGGTTTAACCTGGAGTCCCAAAGCACTCCAGCGTCGCTCATTTTCGCTTATACTACCTAGTCCACCTTCTCCCCATGCCCCAAAGTCAAGACTGCCTTTAGACAACCGTCCTCGATCGATATTGGCCGACTTAGATAGATTAAGAATGGCTTTCAGTAACGCCGGAGGGGGAAATATCCCTGCAGAATTGGGCCCAGAGCTCCCAAATGTTTGCTCTGAGGTATGTCGCATTCGCTATATTCCTGCGCTCTTGCCTAATCGCTCTCTTTATTTTAGGAAGTCGGCTTTAAAGGTGTCTCCGGCGATTGCAATATCCGATTGCTCCCTACCCCTTGGCCTGACGATGCTCTCCCGGCGCCAACATGCTCACTTCTAGCCGTCGCATCTACAAAAGGCGTAGTGGTTGGCGCTGGACCCGAATCCCTAATTGTTGCCTCCTCGGAATCTGTGAGAAAAGCGATCTCCGCACCTACCGGAGAGGATAAAGTGAAAACAAAGCCCTTCGAACCTCAAGCTACAATCTCACTTCCTGCGCGACCGACCCATGTTGCTTTCGCATCAGGCGATGCTGCTTTAGTTTTAGCTACAGAAAATGGATCGCAACTGCTAGTGTACGAGACCGCGAGTTTGTTGACGGGAAATGCGCAACCAGCTTTATCCATCCCAACGAACGGCGCCACCTTCCGAGCCATTGCTCCGAATCCTGCCCCAGCTAATGAAAACGAATCGCCTCTAGTTGCTCTCGTTACAATCGGTGGCGAACTTTTAATTGTGAACCTTAAGGCGGGAAGTTTGCTCTCAGGCTTGAATGGACAAGTTTTGAAAACCGGAGTGAGCTCGGTGTGTTGGAGCAACAAGGGAAAGCAGCTCGTTGCTGGGCTTGCTGATGGAACAGGGTGTCAAATGACCCCTCAAGGTGTTGAGAAGGCTATAATACCCTGTCCATCGGACCTTGAAGGGGATTGCCACGGTATGTTGGATAAGAAATGTGCATATGATATGGACCTTCTAATTTTATATACAGTGTCGTCTATATCATGGCTTGAGAATGACATCTTCCTTATGGTGTATACCCCGAGCGCTAACGAGGACGAATCGGGCCAAACTCCCCCATCCACTTACTACATCATCACGAGAAGAAAACAAGCGCCTTTCTTGATCCAGAAATTGCCCGAGTTATGTCTCCCCTTTGGTGTCAAGCGGGCCCCAGCTTATCAGTTCATTGCGCGACTTAGGAAATACGATCCACATCTTAAAGATGTGTTAATTGTGTCCTCTACCGCATCTACAGATGTAGGCCTAATCACGAGATCTGACCAACCGCTCTCAAGCGATGATACTGCTAAGTCAACCACTGGGCAGTTTACTACCACCGAAGTCAGTGATGACACCAAGAGGGCCTCTCTTCCCCTTACAGACTCAGTCGACGAAACGTCAGTGGTTGGCTTGGGAATTGATCTATCTAGCACGGAAATTGTCGTGGCACCTATTCAAGGTGAAGACATCGCAGAGAGCTCTACCCCCTTGCCGAATCTTCTATTACTAAACAATTATGGCATTCTTTCGTCATGGTGGTTTATATATTCTGAATCAATTCGCAAGAAACTACCGTACCATGGCTTAGCGTCCACAAGCCAGACTCAGTCTCAAACACAGCCAGACGCTCCTAAGCAGCCTACGTTCGGTCAGTCAACATTCAGCAACTCATTAGGGTCGGGATCTACATTTGGGACACCATCTGCGGCGCCGGCATTTGGGAGCCCATCAGCATTAGGTGGGCGTCAGCAACCTTCATTCGGAACACCCTCATTTGGGGGTACTCCTTCCTTCGGAACCCCATCGCAGACGGGAATGGGACATTCCTTTGGCACTCCTAGTGCTTTAGGACAACGCAGTACGGCCCAATTTGGCAAGTCTGGGTTTGGCTCAATGGGTACAACGCCAGCTTTCGGGCAACCATCCACGCCTGCAAAGGGAGCTAGCTCCCTTCCGTTTGGGACACCTAGTTCTACTTCTGGAGGCGGCTTTGGCTCATTTGCAAACTCGGGGGGGTTTGCTGGACTTGCAGCTTCAAAACCTGCAGCCGAGTCACCTTTCAGTAAGATTTCTGGTTCGGGCCAAAGCCCGTTCTCGCAAGCTTCAGGAGCGTTGCCGTTTGGCGGCCAGACTGATACTAGTACGGCCTTCACTCCACAGAAGACAGACGAGTCAAAGGGTCTGTTTGGCCTTGGCTCAGGCGGCTTTGTGCTTGGATCTACGCTGAAGGGCGACGGTAGCGCTGTGAATGATGCTCCGAAGCCGGAGAAGCCGTCTGGGATATTTTCTTTGGGCACATCTCTAGACGACATGATTTCGTCGCCCAATAAGTCTAGCCCACCTGCAGAATCCATGGATGATGCAGAGGATGAACCTAGCGTCTCGCAACAGCCAGACATATCCGAAGCTAAACCACTGGCACAGCCCTTATTTGGTGCGCCCTCCAAGATGCAGACCTCTACGCCTTCGTCTATTTTTGGCTCCCAAGCACAGCCATCTCAACCTTTTGGTGATACCCAGAATAACAAAGCACCTCTCTCTTTGTTTGGCAACACAGCCAATGAAAAACAAACCCCCCTTTCCCCACCATCAGAGAGGACGGCCATGGCTAGCCCACCTCCAAACCAGAAGGAACTAACGGATGTAGAAACTACCCCTGTTCCCTCAATGGTTGAGCCTCCGCTGCCCCCTGACTCAACTAGCAAGGCAGTGTATGGGCCTGGGGATACGTCTGCCTCGTCTAATGTGTCTAAAAGCTCGATTGACGATGCACCACTCCCACCAGACTTTAGTATACCGCCTAAGATCAAGCCCCCTTCAAGTACACTTGGAGGAGAACCACCTCTTCCCCCTGACTTCACACAGAAACACAAGAAAGTAGAGATCGCGCAGGAGGTGCCACTACCCCCACACCCGGCTGCGCCGAAACCTGTTTCAACTTCCTCAGAAGAACAACCTGGCGAAGTGCATGAAGGCTCGGATGCTGACGAGTCGGAAAAAGGTGTAACCGAGGACGAATCAGACTTTGCTGATAGTGGGGAGGATGTTACCTTTGAAGTCAGTGACAAAGACGAGGAACAAAAGCCCTCTGTGGAAAGTATAAAGAAGTCCTTAGAAGCTCCCTCTGAGGCTAGACCTTCAGAAAATGCTTCGACAGGAGGGTTGCCTTCACGCGTTTCTCAACCTGGCGAGCAACCACTGCGTCAGTTATTTGGGGAAATCACCCCACCCCTTCCTTCTCCATCTCATGCCAATGACGGGCTTCGACTGCCAATTAGTCCAGTACGAAGTGACATGCAAAAGGGGGCTGTCGGATCATACGCCCCAGGAAGTGCTCTTGCTGCGCGGAAGGCTGAGCTTGCTCGTCAGGCCATAGAGGAAAGAGAGAAACAACAAGCACAGGAGGAACAGGACCAGAAAGTTCGAGAAGAACAGCAGGTGCGACGGCAACAGGAAGAGGCACTGTCGCTTTCGGATGATGACGAGGAAGAAAGGCTACGCGGTGATCTTGCCAGACCTTTAGAGCCTGTTCCTACCCTTGACCCTTTCCTATCTCATCAAGACTACACTGGGCAGACGAGCAAACCAGGTATCCCTGGTCAAGTCGAGAGGCTTTACCGTGATATCAATTCGATGGTGGATACTTTGGGTATCAACGCACGGTCATTATCGTCCTTCGTTCTATATCAGAAATCTTTAGAGGATTCCAATTGGGTTGAAAAGCTACGGGGCGATCACCCGACGGAGATTCTAGATGAGAAGCTACGTCTTTCTGAAATTGAGAAGCTCGACGATGCTGTGCTTAAACTATTCGAGGTGCTCGAGCAGGAGCGGGTCCAACAGGTAGAGGAGAAGCTGGAGAGTTGCCGTTTGCTTTTGAGTAAGGATATATTCACTTTACGAGGTCAATGTGCTAGCATCAGAAAGACCCTAGATGCGCACACAGACGCAGCTGCAATAATGACAGCACCTCTTTCTGCTGAACAAGCAAACCTCCAACAAGATCTTCGGTCAGCTTCTACGGATATCCAAGCAAAACTCGCTGATCTAGAATCCGCCGTATCTCTTTTGCGAGCCAAAATTGCCGAAGCACCCCGTTCTGACAGTACCTCCCGGCAGTCTAGGCGGCCAACTGTGGAGGCCGTAGCATCCACCATTTCGACCATGATGACTATGGCTGAAAGCAAGAGCAGCGACATCGACCTTCTGGAAGCCCAGTTGAAGAAATTAGGTATCGATACCTCTGCGCCTCAGGAAAGCCGAGACGGCTCGCCGTTTACAACCCCAAGAAAGGGCGCAGGCAGACTATCTGCAACCCCTGGATCTCGGTGTTCGTTGGATGGTCCAGTCAGCGCCTATCACACCCCAGAGTCGACTGGTCGAGGAATCTATTTCCGTTCCAGTATCAACGGCTCGGCACGAAGTAGTCGGCTCTGGAATGTTAACGGCGCTGGCGATTTGGTTAGCAAGGAAGAGAGTGCACAATGGAAGACGAAAATGCACCGGCGACAGCATATTGTCGGCAGCTTGAAAAAGGCAATAGAAGGGAAAAAGGTTAAGGTCCGAAGCGTGGATGATATGTAAAATTTATTCTGTACTCCTTTCTCCTGTGTCTTGGTATTTTTTTTTTTTTTTTTTTTTTTTCCTGGCCTTTTTTTTTTTTTTTTTTTTTTCCCCTTTTTTTTTTTTTTTTTTTTTTTTTTTTTTTTTTTTTTTTCCTGGCCATTTTTTCTATTAATGATATCAAACGTCGAGAATGCGTGTCAGGGCATGATAATTGAAGGTGTCTCCTCTTGAATACCGATGAATGTATGTACATAGAAGTAGCAATGACCAGCTGAGAGCTGAAATTTAAGTTTTTTGAGGTCCGTCCAAAGTAAACAGTGCTGCCTGAGGCCTTCACTGACATCATCCCGACATCAACCTACGCCGCTCAAAGACCCCACATAACTTAAACACCCCTTCATTCCTCTCAGAGATATCTCTCCAATAAGTAGCACTCTCCTCATGGCTCTCCCCGTCACCGAACTCATCTACTTCCAGCTCAAGTCGTCCGTGAAACCAGAGGACCCCTCCAATGAAGAGGGTCAGTCCTTACTCAATCTATTCAAAACCACTAAACAACAGAGCGGATACCGAAGCTCAGCATGGGGTCGAACAATTGAAGATGAGAGCATCGTCGTATGGGTAATTAGTTAGTTCAAAACTCAACTTTCCCACCTTCCTGAAACCCTACAGGACTCACGAAGAAAAGTATAAACAGACAGAGCAGAACAGAACAGATGCTAACCATGCTTTCCATATCGATTCTCAGAATGGGCCGACGCCCATAGTAGTATCCAAACCCACCTTTTAACCCCCTACGTGGAATCAACCACCCAACCGACCATCATCTTCACGACTCTCAACCCATCCATCTCTGAAACAGACACATTATCAACAAACCCGGTCACAGAGCTCTGCGCTCTCGCGTTTCCCAGTTCCATGACGCCGGACGCCCGCAAGACCCTCAACGCCGATCTGATCAACTTCCGTACAACCCTGACAGAGAAGCTACCGGAGGACTCGCGACCAACATCCTGGACGATGGGATGCGTAGAGCGGCCAGGAACCCTGCAGCATGAAAAGAGCCCGTCCGGGCAGGCGTTTGTGCATCTTTTAGTGGTGGGGTGGGATAGCGTGGAGAAACACATGGCGGGTAAAACGACCGAAGAGTTCACGAGGTCGATTCAGCCGATTCGTGAAAAGATGCTTGCTCCTCTGCCTGGGTTGGGTATGAAACATGTTAGTTTTCAGAAGATTTAGTGTCTATTAATGGGCCGGGGGCATATATTTTAATAGATTCATATAATCATGATCCTGTCTTTCCTGCGCCTTATATACAATTAGCCTGTCGAATTCGCTTCCATAGAATCAAATAGCATGTGATTAACATGGCAACAGGAGAACGGTAAATTTCAGAATTACGATAAAATCTGGTTAAATTAAACAAATAATCTGATATAACTCTTCATGAACGACGCTTTTGAATAGAGTATAGAGTACAGCATGAAGCAGAAAACCCCGAAAGGAATTGAAAAAAGTAAAAGGAAATGGAGAAAAAAAAATCAATTCAGGCCACCCATGAAAATCCGGCTTTCACCCCCGAAAACGGAAATAGGAAGGATAAAGGCGAAGAGACTCCCATATGTTCGTAGGAGGAGAGAAGTTGACATGGGTAGACTCATTCACACCTTAAATGCGGTGCTTCTCACTTTCTGTAGACGAAGTTAGCATGGCTAAAAAAGCAGTTTGTTATCAGGACCGGACCACGAACCAAGTCGCGAATAAAGCATGTACAAAGCCATTTGATTACACTCTTGCGTGCCGGTGATGGTTACCAAACGCTCGTTGCTGTTCTCTTGGGGCTCGTTAATCTTGATCACACTACCACTAAGATGGCGGATCTCGTTGATCTTAGCTCCTCCCTTTCCGATGATCGCTCCGACCATGTCATTCGGAATATAGATCTGTTGAGTCAGCGGCTGACCAGGCAGAGCTCCACCACCCACTGGGGCCACAGGCGTGGGGCCTCCACGCGCCTGAGGAGGCTGCGGAGCGCCATACGGCGTCGGTGGGTGAGGGCCTGCGCCAGCGTAGGGGGTATGGGGTGCAGCGCCATAGGGCATGGCAGGCTGGGCTACGGGGGCAGGTGCGGCCTGTCCATGCAGATAGGGAACCCCATAGGCGCCAGCAGCAGCGCGGTTGGGGTGAGGATGGTGCCGCTTGAAGGTGTCGGGATGGCCATATTGACCACCAGCCGGCTGAGGAACATACGGGACAACTTGCATGCCACCCGGAACAGCGCCAGCGGGTCCACCACTTCGAGTAGCGTACGCAGAAGCGGCAGGTCCACCAAAGCGCTCCGTGAGCTGCTCAACAAGGGTCACGGCCACGTAGTAGGTGGCGATATGGACGGCATCGGCAACACCCAGGATTACAAGTGAACGTTCAGTGGACAAGGGAAGGCAAGCATCCGAAGCATTGAGACGAGCACCAGACGCCTCTTGGATCTCGCGAATACGGCCACCGCCCTTGCCAATGATAGAACCAATGAGAATGTGAGGAATCAACAGACGCAAGGGGTAGGTCTTGGACTGGGCAGTAGAAGGGGCATCAAGGGGCTCATTGTTCAGGGTACGGATGATCAAACCGAACGCCTGAATATCAAGTAGGTTAGCAAATCGACTTAGGGAGTATCTATCAAAAAAAAAGCAAACCGACCTTAGCAACGGCATCTTGTGGACCACTGACGGTCAGGATGCGCTCAACGGCGCCACGCGAGTAATCACTGACGGTACACTTGGCCCCTGATAAACGACGGATCTGAGATACGTTCTCCCCACCTTTACCAATGACCGTAGCAGCCTCCTGGCTGGAAATTACTGCGCGAATATGGACCCAACTGGACTCATCTTGAGGGCGGCTGTCAGTCTGAGAACCAGCGGCATCGCCATGAGATGCAGTCGACTGGATAGGCTGTGTCTCGTTGGGGAGACCCTTCGCGTTAGGAGCATCAGGAACAACGGTATCACCTTGGCCGTCAGCATTAGCACTAGGAGCGCCCGAGGCCTCTGCCTTGACATCCGCATACGCCTCTGTTTCATCACCCTTAACTACTTTATCCAAAGCAGGACGCTTGGCTTCCGGTTGGTCATTGGGGCCAGAGGGCGAGGAAGGATCCTCCAAAGGCCGTTTGGTCGACTGTAAACCGGTTGGAGACGCAGACATGTTTGGTTTCAGCCGTGCAGTCTTGCTTCACTTACGGAGGTCGAGGTGTCAAAGGATAGCTTTCTTTTCTTTTCTTTTTTTTTTTTTTCAGCTTTTAATTTGATCGACTATGTACACCAGGAGTTCCCAATAAAACTTGCTGGTGCTGGCGATCGACTGGAGAGGGAATCTGGTGCTTGGAGTGACTGGGAAGTTGATGATCGTGCACAATGAAGGAAGTGGTGTTGGATAAAAGACAGTCGACGGAAGAAAGTAAAAAAAGCTGGGTGGTCACGGGCCTTGAATTTCAGCGGAAGACTTTGCCAGAGCAAAGTAGTGCTAAGGAAGAGGAAGCAAGGAAATGGATGAATCGAGTCGGGTACGAGGAAGAGATGTTTGGCAGTGCTGGACGATGGTATGATGAGGGATCGGGCGTGCTTGGGAGCCGATAGCCTCGCAGCCAGGGGAAACAAGTAGAATATAGAAGCAAGGCAAATTATCCCAGATAGTTTCCCTAGCCCTTTTCTTAACTTCACCGACCCTAGAAGACGCGATACTGTGAAAGCTGTGAAATGCACACCACACAGCCCGACGCGCACTGATCCAAAAAAGGCCTCTAAAAAGGCAGCAATAAAGACCAAAGATTAAAACAAGAACAAGCAAACAGCCTATCTGCTGCTTCACAAGAATCAAGATACCAAATAGGTGAAAGAGAAGGAGGGAGATGGATGGAAGGACACAGGATGGATATCGCGGTGAAGAGTTGAGGTTGCGAGAAGATCTGGCACGTAGTCACGCTATTCCTATTACGACCAAGAATGACCTTTATCACGTGGGCTTGGCATCTGAGGGGTCCAAAGTCGCGGGCAGTAAACCACGCGACACCCTGGATGTCTGCACTGCAATTGGGCATTCGTCGACGGACCCATTTTCCATACATCTGTTTTACCGACTTTCTTCGTGTGTTGCATCCAATAAACCCTTTAATACCCCAATATGAACGTGTCCCAGGAGACAATTGGTAAGATCCAGCGTTTCGCGGAGAAACGCGGGAAGGCCGAGGAAGTTTATAAAAAGCAACAACAGCCTAACACCTCTACTTTCCACGATTACAACAAAAGACTCGATGATACCTTGCGAGAACTTCAATATCAAGTCAAACGCCAAGAGGATGACCTACGAAAGGTACGCACAAAATCGAAGAAGGCAGAGGAACCACGCTAATGTACCATTCAGCTTCGTGAGGTCAACTCCATTGATCTCTCCAGAATAGGCACTGACCCTTGGTCGCGTGTATCGCAAGTACGTAGGGCCAAGGAAGCATATGATTCGCTTGTCAAGTCACGGACGGAACTACCCGATCTTGGGTCTCCTTTACCTTCTCTGCTTGCAGTTGGCGAAACCTCTCGCCTGATTAAAGAAAGCAAAGTGTCAATCTCCATGACAGCAGAGAAGCTTTCATCCCATCGTCAACGTCTAAAGACAGAGGAAGCAAATCTACGTGACGCACAGACAATCAAAGATGGTCTAGAAAAACGGCTAGAGAACATCCGCAACGAAAAAACAGAAAAACATGAAAAGACACCCTCCCAGCTAGCGCGCGAATTTGTCGAAGAACAGGAGCTTAAGATAGCAGAACTCGACAACGCCACTGAAAGTCTGAAACATTCTCTTCATGCTTTCATCAATGACCACCTCTCTTCCATGCTCGCTGCGGAGGATCTCGGTGGCCCAACTGTAGGAGATGCAATGGATATTACGGATGCTACGCTAGAAAGAGGATATACGAACTATGGCAGGCCCAAAAAACCGAAATCTTCCGATGTATCCGAACATGACAGCAACCAGCGTCGTATTGATGATATGGTTCGTTCACAAGGACAGGGAGACAATACAAGGACAGGTCCATCAAATAAGAGGGAGGCAGTAGCAGCAGAACTGAACAGTCTTCTTGAGACTCTACTGGAAGCTGGTTCATCTTATATAGATCTTCCCCGAGAATCAGCCGCGTCTAGGTTTCTAGTAAGAGCCAAAGTTGCACAGTTCCACCCGCGGAATGCTCGGAAGTTGAAGTTAATTGATTTTGGTCGCTCATTGAATGACTGACGTCCCTGTTGGCAGTCTACAGTTAGTCAAATATAATAGGCTTTACGCATATTTTGGATAAATGACATAATAGATACTTTTTCCCTTAAAATCTAGGCTATGAATATATATATTCGATCTACAGGAAAGTCGCTTGACACATGATAAATGAATGTACAATCATAAGCCCGCCCACAAAGATTCAAACACATGAAAGAGAATCTCAGTTCAACATGTTAGCCTGCCAATTCAATGAATCCATCCAATAATAATATGCATTCACTCCATACAACGCTGAAAACGTCATCAAGACATAATGTGCCCGCCGAATATACGAGCGATAGGGTTAAATAGGCATCATCCCTATTCGGGAGACTGGTTCCTTGGTCTTTGCGCCTTTCCCACGGAATGAACGACTTCCACCACGGTCACTGACTCTTTTTTTAGGTCTTGATGTTTTGGTTCTGGCTCGCGAGGCAGTGGTACTCTTGCCAGGAGGCCGTTTGCTGGCCTGACGCTTCCGATTTTTATAACCTCGGGACCGCGAAGAACCTTGGTTATCATCATCGGCAGGCTCGTTGTCCGAGAGTGGCTGTGCAGTGAAAAATTTGCTCGAGATGGTTTCATCAAGATCCAAGGTCGAGGCTTGATCCAAGAAATCGCTATCATTGTATTCCTCACTATCGCTACTGAGGTTGATGACATTGTGATGGTTAGGGTCGGGGACAACACCATTGGCATCTTCACGCTCTTTTTTCAATTCCTCGTAGCGGCGTTGAGCGTCTCGCACGAGTTTTAGCATCTGGGCTCCGTATCGATTCACTTTATCTGGATCTATACTGGGTATCGCAGCAAGTTCCGTCAAGTCTGTCTATAAGTCAGCGCCACTCATAGACGCCATCAAGTGTAATGTTGCTCACCTTTGGGAAAGAGGATGACCATTTCGCGGAGAACACTATCAGTAAATGGTTGGTTTCGCAGGCCTTTCTTGAGCACCAACTAATTCAGTGTGAGCATCTTCTTCCCCAGTGTAGTTATTCCAACATGAACAGAACTTACATCCTGGCAATGATTCTTTGCATAGACCATAAAATCTTCCGCAATTGTTTTGTGAAGAGGATCCAGCTGGTTGAACCTTTGATCTTGGGTGATTGGCGGTCCCGGTGTATGTTTTTTACTTCCCTGTTGCTTTCCAGGAATTCGAATTTGTTCGAAACCATCACTATCTCTGTCATCGCCAGATGAGTCGGCATTGTCACATCGATGACGGGCTAGCTGGCGCCGGTTGGCCGTTTGTACAGGGGACGAGACATTGGTCGATTGAGGACAATACTCCCGTCCAACCTCCCTTCGAGGCCTCTTCCCCTTCCCACTTGGCGAAACTCGGACATGAAGCTGTAATTGACGCTGCCCACTTTCAAAATCTGGGGCACGCCGCCCTAATTTGATATACTGAACAGTAAATTTACTACCGTTAACCACATTCTCTTCAACCAAAGCACCCTCAGCAAGAAGACGGTGAAACAACCGCTCTGCTTCCCCCATTTCTAGGGAGGAACCGGCCCCATATCCAGGAGCTTGTCGATGTTCAGGAGACCTGAATCTTTTCACACTACCACGGAACATGTTGACGCAGTAGGACAGCGTCACTTTCTCATTCCAATCCTGGAAGTATCTGACAACCTTAATTGCGGATGTGGCATATTGGGAGAAATTATGAAGTTCGAAGATAGAGTCGGACTTGCAATTGTCGCAGGACTTGCTACAATCTTCTTGACGGAAGTATTCATTGAAGTAGGCAAGAATTTGCACCCTGCGGCAGTCGCATTTGTTCTCACAGAACTGTACCATATTGTACAGCATTTGACGTTGTCGTTGTTTTTGCTGCTTTTCTCCATCACCATCGTCGATCATCCGGAGGATAGCCATCGTATCTCTGTAGCAGTAATAAAGGTAGCATCCAGAACGTTTACCATCTCGGCCAGCACGACCGGTTTCTTGATAGTATCCCTCCAGGCTCTTAGGAAGGCTATGGTGGATCACGAAACGCACATCTGGTTTATCAATTCCCATGCCAAAGGCAATTGTTGCAACTATGACATGGGTTTGGCCAGACTGCCAGCGCTGTTGAACCCGAGCCCTCTCATCTTTTTTCACCTTTGCATGATAATGCTCGGCTTTTATGCCATAATCATCTCGCAGACTCTGTGCAACTTTCTCACAAGTTTCGCGGGCTAGACAATAGACGATTCCAGACTTGCTTCGATAGGATGACTTAATTTTATCGGCTATGCTAGCCACAAGCTCAACGCCTTTTTTCTTAGGCAGTACCTCATAGGTCAGGTTTGGTCTGTTAAAGCTTTGCGTAAATATCTCACAGCCTTCCATTTTGAGATTATGGATGACATCCACTTTGACATTCTCTGTTGCCGTGGCAGTCAGAGCCATCATTGGCACACCAGGAAAGCGCCCTCGGAGCTCTCCCAATTCTTTGTAATCTGGGCGAAAATCGTGACCCCATTGGCTAACACAATGGGCTTCATCAACGACAATGCGCGAAAGCCTACGCGCGTGGTTGATATTTTCCAGGATTCGAGTGAGGCTTTGGTTTTGTTTAATCATCTCAGGGGTGATGTATAATAGCTCGATGTTTTCGTCTGGTCTTGGACTTGCCAATGTGCTCATTACCCATTGCCGCTCCGGAATTGGAATGTCCCCATTCAGAACAAATGCTTTGATATTGAGCCGGCGCAGGTGAGAAACCTGATCCTCCATTAAACTCAGCAATGGTGAGACCACGATTGCCAGCCCTCTAGTAGAGCCACTGGTCACAACGGAAGGAAGCTGATAGCATAAGGACTTTCCTCCACCGGTGGGCATTAAAACAAACGCATCCTTCCCACTTAAAGTTGCATCGATGGCCTCCAATTGATTGAGGCGAAAACCACGCAGGTGAAATCGATCCTTCAGCACCTTCCTCACCTCTTTTGACCATGCATGTTGGTCCCACAGAGCACTGTGGCTTTGAGACTTTTGGCCCGGCGGAAGGCGGGAAGAATTCCCAGACGTCTCTGCAAAAACCTTACGGGTTTGAAGTTCATTGTTGTGGGTACCATATGAGCGACTGTCTTCAAAATACCCTGCAGCCTCTAACATTTCTTGGTCATCAGCGTCTAGGTCGAACTCGTCGGGGTTCTCGGCTTGTAAAGTCGGCGTTCCCATTGTCCTGGTGAAAGTGCCATCAGTGCCATCCAGCATTAGCTCGTCGTAGTCGAAAAACCTGCGTGTAGAAGTTCCAGTGGTGCTTCTCTTGGATGAGTTGCCAGTAGACGCTGATATTGTCGATCGAGATGTTTCATATCTAATGGTTGACCCTGTAGAAGGTCTAAACAGTGAATTTCCAGTGGGTCCCGGGTGATTTGGCTTAATAGGACTTCCAATGCCACTGGGTTTCGGTATGCGCGGGGACGGATTTGACTGGTCCAGATCATGGCGAGCAGGTTCCCTCTGCACAGGGGACTGGGTGGACAAATCACCGGCTCGCAATAGGAGGCTACTGATATCCGCTTCGATTTGTTCTAATTGGGATGTGATTTCTCGGCTTTGCTTGAGCTCCTCGGGCATTGTGTTTGGGCTACCTCCTTGGGATATGACTTGCATGAGAGCCTTCTTGAGATCATTTCTTTTCAATTCACAAGACATGTATGCTGCCTTCTGCAGCTTCAGGGATTCAATTGCCTCGATCTGATCGGCGATGGTCTTGTTTTCCGCGATAAGGCCAGGTGCTGGCTCACCTTTCATTGCCTGTTCGTAGACAACTTCTGAATTGGTTGTAAGTTTATTCCTCAGGGAAGAAATTCGCTGGTCCAATATATCCATTGAGAGAGTCAAAAACCTAGCGACCATTTCGTTACTAGGCTGAGACCCCGACAAATTGCAGTATGACGGCATATCAGCAGGTATCAGTAAGTGTTCATCTTTTTCGCCCTTTAAACTTGATGTCATATCCATAAATTTGATTGGCGACGCAGAACGTGGGGTTGACAACTTTGCAGACATGTCATTATTATAGTCCTCTGTCACATCATTTTTGGGAAGAACAGGGTATAGTAACTCGCTAGTGGCAGGCACTGTGTAGTCATCACTGCTATCCCAATCATCGAACAGGTTTTCTTCGCCTTCATCAGAATCAGCGATTACCTTATTCAAGGCGTTACCGCGAGATCGCGAAAACTCGCCTACTGGTCGTTCCGTAAGACAACTGAAACTGTCCTTGGCTATGTGTGACTGTGGGCCCTTTGCGGTTTTCGATGGTGAGACAGAGTTGGAATATGTTGCTTTGTCGTTCAACGCCAACGGCGAGCGTCCTATTGACGCATACTTCCTTGGCGATCGAAGGTCAGAAGTGTACTCGTCACTTTTCCGTTTTTTGCCTCGTTTCTCGACAGGCTCCTTGCGAAGTGCAGCCTCCTCGGTCTGCAGCCGCTGTGGCTCTCCAACGTCAGCTGCACCTGATGTGGTTGTCGTTTGGTCGACTTCGCCAGTCAAATCAATAGTATCAATATCGAAAAAAGGTGAATCTAAATCAAATGGGGATTTTGTACGGCGAGGTGTAGCCACTGGCAGAATGGTGCCATGATGTGATAAAGGTCGTGCAGCTTGGGTTCCTTTTCGAAAATAGCTGTCAGTCATCTACGAATGTCCCAGGGAAATATACCATAATACCTTTGGCTAATGTGGGCTGGAATGTCTTGCGGCTAGCCTTCGGGGACCCCGCAACCGCACGAGAATTAGGGATTTTCGGTGAGCTTAAAATTGGATCTTTGGATTGACAGAGCAATCGAGGTTTGCTTGCAGACTTCGGAGCAAAAACCAATCGTGCCATGTTTATATCCTGTCTAGCCCCCACTCCATTCTCCAAATCATCATCTAAACATGCTTCATTTATTGACTGTGAATCACTGATGCCATTTTCCGCAAGTTGACTGCCTGATGTATCCAATATTGGAATTGACTGGGTTGTATTAAAGCGTTGGTCGGCGGAGGTATTGCAAGACACGCGTGCGGACGGAGATAAAGACGGGTAAAGCGATGGGCCTTGATCCAAGAGCCATTTGAGATGGGATTTCAAATTATGTCTAGTCATAGAGTCGTGGCTTTTCTATCATGATTCAGAAAATGACGCGAAATAAGACATTGATAATGTCGTTTGCTCTATTGTCACCGGCCAAAACGTTTACTGCCTCTTCCGATGCGTTTCCCCAAATGGGCGCGTCATGGGCTGTCAGCGCGCTGTCACGTGGGCGGTACAATAGTCCATGATGTAAAGAATCTGATGTATGGTACTGTACAATACACATCTATAGGTATCCCACCTCCTAGGCATCTTATATCGAGGTCAACTGGCCTTTCTCTATAGGTTTGCATGTGGCAAAAAAAAAAAAAAATAATCCTATTATCTGCTAAGTACACTAAGGTAAAGTGGTTTGTAAATTTTTTTTTTTTTTTGAACGTAGTAAGGTACACTTTTTACCCAGGTAATCTTAAAAATACCGTGGATAGCGGAAATCCAAGCCACCACCTACTGTTGCTCTAAATTGGAATGCACATACGTAGTAGAAGGACATGCAGTCTTCCCATTAATTCTAACCACATCGCGTTCTACACTAGCATATCTTAGTTTACGGTAAAAATAGTAGATACGTTCAAAATACTCTACTTGTTTGTATTCATGTAATACCTACTACAAGTAGCAAGAGTGTACTGTATCGGTAATTATTTTTCATACGTATATAAACGTGGGGACGCCTTTCTTTTTTATCCTTTTTTTTTGGTAACACGGCGCTGCGCTTAGAGTCCAACAATAGCAGTGAAAAAGACAATTAAGTATACGAGAATCTATCTCTAGTCCACTCTTACCAAGAAAGGACAGGAATAAGAATATATAGTCCAAGATTCGGGAAACATGGGCAAGAAGAGCAAAAAATCCGCAGAACACAAGGACCGAGTGGCCGCTAAACAAACCAAGAAAGCAGCTCAAAAAGAAAAGAAATCCAAGACCAAGGGACGAGACGCAGACAGCGATGCAGAGGATGTCGACTTGGATGTTATCCTAGCACAGTATGCGGAAGAGCAGGCCAAGTTCCTCAAGGTCACGGAGGTTGTATCAGGACCTCCTTCTCCTCGAACCTCAGCGACGGTATTGGCGTCGCCATCGAATAGGAATGAGCTGTTGGTTTTCGGAGGAGAGTATTTCGATGGAACTCTTGCTACGTTTTTCAATAATCTGTTCGTCTATCTGATTGATCGGGGCGAATGGAGAGAGGTGACTAGTCCGAATAGCCCACTGCCGAGAAGTGGACATGCCTGGTGTCGTGGGGGGAATACCGGGGGGATATATCTGTTTGGAGGTATGAAGTTTTTTTTAACTGGCATTTGCAGTGAACAGTGACTGACTAGTGTTCCGTGTGTAGGAGAGTTTTCGTCTCCAAAACAAGGCACTTTCTATCATTACAACGACTTCTGGCATCTTGACCCCTCGACAAGAGAATGGAGTCGTATCGAGACCAAGGGTAAAGGCCCACCAGCCAGAAGTGGTCATCGAATGACATATTACAAGGTTTGTACATGTACTTATCCTTATCTTATCTGATTACCCCTATATAGTTCCATTTCAAATGCTCATGCTGGCCTAGAATTACATTCTCCTCTTTGGCGGCTTCCAGGACACCTCTCAGCAGACAAAGTATCTTCAAGATTTGTGGGTATACGACTGCTCACGATACACCTGGTTTAGTCCAACACTGTCAACAGCAGCTCAGAAGCCCGATCCCCGGTCATCATTCTCTTTTCTTCCCCATGAATCAGGTGCAGTTCTCTATGGCGGATATTCCCGCGTCAAAGTCACGGCCGGAATCGGAGGCAAACCGTTGAAAGGAGGACCCCAGCGGATGGTCATGAAGCCCATGGTGCATCAGGATACGTGGTTTCTACGAATTACGCCTCCCGAGTCGGATGCTGCCGCCCATTCCGCTGCTCCAACTGTACGCTGGGAGCGTCGGAAGAAGCCCACAAACTCCCCCAATCCGCCTCGCGCTGGAGCAACAATGGCCTATCACAAAGGGCGAGGAATCATGTTCGGTGGTGTGCATGATGTCGAATTAAGTGAAGAAGGCATTGACAGCGAGTTTTTCGACGCCCTTTATGCATGGAATACCGATCGAAACCGCTTTTTCCCACTGAGCCTTCGACGTCCCAGAGCGCCAGGCAAGAAACAGTTAGCCAATCAGGCATCCAAGACGAGAGACCGGAGCAAGGCTGATGAAGAGGAACTGCTCCAGAACCTGAATGCATTAAAAGCTAAGGGGGCCGCTAGCAGTCTAGATGACGATGAAATGCAACTGAGTACCCCTAAATCAGAAGAGGTGCCTGCTCAACCGGTGAAACAGTCCGTGGTACGGTTCGAGATGCCTCATAGACGATTCAACGCACACCTAGCCGTACAAGACGATACACTTTTCATATTTGGAGGTACTTTCGAAAAAGGGGATCGAGAGTTTACTTTCAACGACCTGTATTCCATCGACTTGGTCAAACTTGACGGCGTCAAAGAAGTCTTCTATAATGAACCGGAGAACTGGCATCTTCTAAACGAAGCAGAAAGTGATGACGAGATAGACGAAGATGGTGAGGAAGACGATGAAGAAGACGAAGAGGACGCCATGTCGTTGGACAATGCTTCCCCCGCTTCTACCGAAGTTACCTTACCTGCAGTGACGCAAGAAATGGAACAACTGGATGTCGAGGAACCGGAGGGAGAACCGTTCGTGCAGGATAGTAGACCACTTCCTCGGCCTTTTGAGAGTCTGCGAGACTTCTTCAGCCGCACCTCCGAGGAATGGCAGAAGATCCTGTTGGAAATGATGAAAGAGAATGGGATAGCAGTGGAAAAGAACGTCAAAGAGCTACGCAAGGACGCGTTCAATATTGCAGAGGAGAGATGGTGGGATAGCAGAGAAGAGATCATGGCTCTAGAGGACGAACAAGAGGCATCAGGGATCGGGGAAGTCATCAGCATTGCTGACCGAGGTGAGAACGCGGGTAGTGCTGGAAGACGTCGGTGATGATGCACCAACTCGTATATTCCTCTATATAAACCAAATCGGAGTGAATGAACATGAACACGAACATGCTTTAGATGCAATATTGCCTAGTATCAAGTCCATCGCCTTAAATAAGGGTAGACATTATAGTAGCTAAGCCACTTATTGCTCCCGTCTTGCAACTTCGTCAAGAACATCCGTGATGATTGTAAAGTCCGTCTCTGGGTTGACCCTCCAGTTGGAAATTGCAATTCGACAGGCCGGTCTCCCTTGCCAGGAAGTCCCAGACACAAACATCTTCGATGTCTCGTTAATCCTGGCGGCTAGCTTTTGGTTCAGAGCGTCTTGCTTCGCACTGAACAGGACGATCATGAACGTTTGATCCAACAGGTCTTCCTTACTGCCTGTTTCCGGGAGTATATTGTACTCCGGATGGTCAAACAACCAGCCGGTGATCATTCTAGCCAGTCGAATCTGCTTCTCAAGCATATTTTGGTAGCCTATCCGACCATAAGAAAGAAGCGAGGCATATGCAGGCAGCGCTCTGAACCTCCGAGAGTTCTCTATTCCGAGGTTCAAAGGAGATGGGATCGAGACTAGTCCGGCATTGCCTGCTGTTAGATACGCTGCATTGGCATTACAGAACACGTTTCCTGCCTCTTGATGATGGGGAGTCAAGAAAAAGCCACAGTCATAGGGGACGTTGAGCAGCTTGTGTGCGTCGCCGGCAATAGAATCGGCCAGTTCTACCCCCTCGCAGCCTTTGCTGATAGACGCGAACTCGGGACTGTCAACTAGAATCCGACCAAAAAGTCCAAACGCACCGTCAACATGTAACCAGGCACCGTACTTGTCACATAGATTGCGTAGCTTCTGCATCTCTATAATTCCGGTGGTAGCAAATCGACCGGTGTTGACTTCTCCGCAAGACACGACAACAATACTTGCTTTGTCTTGTCTCGCTAGCTCACGTTCAAGTTTCTTGAAGTCAATCCCTAGAGGGTTCTGATTATTGTCATCCAGACAGACACTGATGACATTCGCACGGCCAAATCCCAAAATCCCAGCGGCTTTACCGACAGAAGAATGCGGCATTGTCGACAGTATTTGCAGGCCCGAGAGACCCGACGCATGCATGACCTCGAACAAGCCCGATTCTCCAACGCTGCTGTTGGAAACCCCTTTCTTACTTGCGGCCGCTCGAACCACGAATTCCCGTCCACAGGCTATTCCAAGCACATTGCTCGCCGTGGCTCCGGTGGTGAAAGTGCCATTGTGCCACTCGCGTCGATCCAGGTGAAAAAGATCCGCTAGTAGTCCCAGGGCATTGGATTCGACATCGGTCGCAATGGAATGATCCGCGAGATGGACCTGGACATTCTGGTCATACGCAGAGACAACGTTGTCTGCGAACAGCGCGGCCGGGGTTACGCCGCCAGTGACGAAGCCATAGTAGTTAGGGCTGATACTGCTGGCATTGAATGCGGGAACAATATCCTCCAGGATATGTTTCTGGACCGATTCGAATCCCATTCCATCTGCAGGAAGGGAACGTGGAAGCGATTCTCTCGCCTGGGACAAACTGTCGGCACCGGGCAGAATGCCCCGTTTCCACGGGCTTTGGGTGATTTCCCATAAGTCCCGCTGCAGCTGACCCTGCTCATGGGCGGTCTTTTGGCAGTCTCCAAGCTCCATTCTCAGATACTGCTGCGAGTGTGGAATACCTAATGTATATATAGAAAGGTGAAATGAGAGTAAGCTGATCGGAACAGAAAGAATTGCGACCTGTCCCAATGCCATCCAAAGCTTGGTTCACGATAGTCCTGACTCATCAATTTAAGTGATTTGCCCCTAACGACAGGACAGACTTCCGGGATTTGCCAAATGCCGCTTTTCCACGGGCTGCGGGTAACCTCCGAAGGCTGCATGAATAGGTAATTATTTCTGAAGTAATTTAGGGATGGATTTATCAGCCAGGCCTCTGTGCGGATGGAACGGACAACCACTGCGGAGTATCAAGCCCTTGTCATTTCCTCATGGAGAACATCTAGGCTGCAACTATGTACAGGATGAATAAACAGACAGCCCTAAAACTTACATTATGGCTCGCTTTGTGGGCACGTTAGAAGAATGTTGAAAGGGTTTCCATACTCGCCTCCAGCTGGTCATGTAATGGTGCGGAACAATTCATAAAGTTCTCATTTGACAATAAGCTTCATCACATATTTATCCTGCACAAACATGATCTACACCAGTAGTAGTTCAGAAGAAATCGTGGCGAGTAGTGGCGGTGCTACTGGAGGGTATTCAAGAGCGAGAAGGCTGCCCTAGGGACTGTAAGTTCGGAGAGGATAGAGTGTTTTTCAATATACAAAACAATTAGCTTTTCAAGGATATAACATGCCATATCAATATTCATTGCCTTTAACATAACAGCTGCGTTGTCTGCCTAGTTCCATCCACTTAAAGCCGGGTTATGTTTGCCGCCGAGCTTATATACAGAGCTGATCCATCTTACATCGTGATAGCTCTATATCAACTTGGCACATCTACACGCGAAATTCATCGCATTCGCAACATCACTGTTGACGATTTTGTCTATGGTCCACGACCTCAGCCCTTGGAAGATCCTTTCTTGAAGGACCGCTGTAAGCGTGCCTCATTCTCTAACGAACAAAAAAGGGTCACGCCGCCCATTTACTCTCTGAATTTGGACACAACTGTTCCAACATCCTGGAGTTTGGCGTCGGCAACTGCCAAGACTGGGTTGCAGATGCTGCAGAGATGCGAGACCAATCCAACTTTTGAGCCAAGATGAAGGTGGCTTCTGGAAGAAGATAATCAATCTGTCTGGTAGAGTAGCGACGAAGATTTTTCTACACATTCGAGTAAAGCCAAGTCAGCTAGATCCCATAGTGTATCACTGAAGATTATCACATGTAATCTTGAAGTTGGAAATATAGAATTAAAGTATTTGAAACGTATTTTCCGTTTCATACAATGAATAAGTTTGATACAATTCCGTAGGTGTTAACATGACCTGGATAACTATTGTGGGCTGCCTCCGGTTCAAATACCCCTGCGTCCTTTGCCAGAAAGGAACGTTAAGTGATTAAATTCTAACTAGAATAGAAACCTCTTTTCTTGCTGTCCGTGACCTCATTTGCTAATCGAATCCCAAGGCGTCGAGAGCGCACAAGCTGTACTGGATACGTAGTTAGCTATTAGTTTACTACACTTCTTTGGTTACGTAAAAACCAATAATTTACCGTTCCTGACCTGGACCGCCAACTCTTCGACTCTATCCACTTCAACACACTCTCAGTGCAATTCTCGAACAATCTCCTTTCCAATCTGATTCACACGAGAGTCACGATGGCGGCCAAACTTGTTGATAGGAGATTCCACAACGTCCCAGGTTGGTGCCCAATGTCCATCATTGCCGACCTGTTGGAATACTGACAAGTGGGGAAGGGAAGCTTCGGGTGGCAGAACTGTTCTTCGACGTCCCCATTAACTATAGCCAACCCAGCGATGGCACTCTCAGGCTGTTTGCCCGCAGTGTGCGTCGCTTGACCACTCCGGTTCAACCCACTAAGGATGACAGCCATCTCCCGTGGCTGGTTTACCTTCAAGGTGGTCCGGGAATGGGTTGTCGACCTCCGCAGGAGTATAGCTGGGTTGGAACAGCTCTCGACAAAGGCTACCAAGTATGTTAAAAATAGGCTCCCCTGGACTGATTGCTTTTTCCTTTCATTTCTTTCATTTCTTTTCTTTTCTTTTCTTTTTTTCTTTTCTTTTTGTTTTTGGTGGAGGATGGTTGCAAAATCCACCACTCACTCATAACAATAGGTCCTGCTTCTTGATCAACGTGGCACGGGCCTTAGTTCAACCATCACGGCAAACACACTTGCTCTGCAGGGACATCCCGTAAAGCAGGCCGAGTACCTCAAAAATTTCCGTGCTGATAATATCGTCCGCGACTGTGAAGCCATTCGACGCTGTCTGACTGCCGACCACCCCGAAGGGGAACGTAAATGGAGTATCATCGGACAGAGCTTCGGTGGGTTCTGTTCGACGACTTACCTCTCTATGTTGTAAGTAGAGAACTTACTTTACCATATCATGGTTGTTATTGCGTTGCTAATGACTGGTTACTTACAGTCCAGAGGGATTGACAGAAGCATTCATTTGCGGCGGGCTACCCCCTCTGGTTGATGGTCCGGACCCAGTCTATGAACTTACTTATGGTATTATTTGTGGTCCACATGTGGATCTGTGTTTATAGCTAAATATATAACAGAAAAGGTCGTAGAGAGGAACAAGGCATATTACGCCAAATTCCCCGAAGACGTGGATCGGGTCAAACAGATTATCAAGTACCTACAGACAAACCTGGTCCGTGTACCATCTGGGGCGCTTACCCCGGAGCGATTCCAACAACTGGGAATCATGTTTGGCATGCATGGTAAGCGAGATAGCCAATATAAGATACGTGCATGCTACTAACTCTAGACAGGTGGCCTTGATAGCGTCCATGGTATGATCGAGTCGCAAGCCCCGACTAATCCATGACTAACACTTTACAGATCTTATCCTGCGCACCTGGAACGATTTGGAGATATTTGGATTCCTGACCCATCCCACGATCTCTGCCATCGAAAGTTATGGTGACTTTAATAACAACGTCCTCTATGCTGTTCTTCACGAATCTATATACTGCCAGGGGTAATCTCCTTTTACTCGGTAGTGGCAAATATTTCTAACTAATAATATATAGACGAGCATCGAACTGGTCTGCGGACAGACATCGGGCAGCTGATTCCCAGTTCAGCATCAACACAGATTTGCCTGAAATCTGGTTTACTGGCGAGATGGTACGTTTGGAAAGAGAACCGGATACCTTTGTCATGACTCAAAGAAGAAAATAACCTAATAACCCCCACAAACAGGTTTACAAGGACATGTTCGACTCATACGACGAATTAAAGCAAATCAAGGATGCAGCAGAGATCATAGCAAAAACCGACGACTGGCCTGTCCTTTATGACGAAGCCCAACTCAAACGGAATGAGGTTCCCGTCTACGCCGCAACCTTTTTGGAGGACATGTACGTGCACTACGACCTTGCTAGCAAAACCGCTTCGAAGATCAAGGGTGTGAAAAAATTCACCACGAATACCATGTACCATAATGCTATACGGGGTAAGTCAGATGAGCTGATGCAGCAGCTGTTTGCTCTCAGGGATGATACCCTTGACTAGCTCGACTTCTTTTAACAAATTCCCCGGGGGTCAATGTCAGCTGTCCATGGGTATCTCTTGGTTAAATTTACCGTGACATATCTGCTATCCAGTCTATTGGCAATATTTAAATACCATATATAAAATCCATTTCCTACCAAGTAAGCTGATGGAGGCGAACCTACGCTCAATGCTTAGCACCTCTTCCAATAAGAAGTCGCATACCTCTCATTAAAAAACCTGATCATAGAAAGTCAGCACAGTCCGGGTCAGACGCCATGTAGAAAGCCTCACCGCACCCCCGATAATGAACAGCCGTTCCTCCTCCTGCTGGACCCACTGGACGATCTTACTTGCGCTTTGAGCAAGCGCATTCCGATTTGCATTGGGAACGGCAACGCAATATAGCTCAAACACCGGGGTCACCCATGCAAATGAGCTGGATGATTGGGAGACGCAGTGATGGACCTTGACATGGCAGTGTTTAGCATGAATGCTTGCATGGAGATTATTGTAAGTTGATAAGAGTCTAAGAAATCAGTTAGTTTTTCTGGCCAATGTAGATAGGTGAAGATACGAGACTATGATCGTCGACGCACCTTCGACGCCGTGAGACTGATAGAAACTCGGGATTGTACGACGACATGGTGAATTGTACATTCACCCGCGACTTGTACAGGAAATGATGCAATACCGTTCCTGGAACAATGTCCGTAGTCGTAGGTCGGCCTTTATTTATTGCATCCTTGATGATATTTATGCTTCCGTTCTTTTCTATTTGCTGTAGATCATTTCAAGTTAGATCCATCATGCAAAAAATAATTCTTTTTAAAAATAGAGAGAGAAATATATAAATATATAATTCTTACCTCGACAAAACTGTTGCGCATCTCCTGCATCTCAAAAAAACTTTCCTTATTCGTACTTATTAAAATAATGGCGACCGATTCCTCTTTTGTCGTTGTGTTATCGGCAAGATGACCGGCTTCTTCTCTAAGATCGAGGAAGCTGACATACATGTATAGGTATCCGCTGCTGTTGAATCCGGGTAGGCAGACAGGGATCCAGCTCTCGCCGCCACCAGCTTTGATAGCCTCCGCTTCAAAAATCATGTTGAATAAAAGCTGTAGATCACCAGGATGCAAGGAGTGCTTCTTAGGCCGCACCACACTGACTAGTCGACCTCCAGCAACCACCAAGCCATAAAGAAGACTGGCCACCTTGGTCTTCAGCAGCGTCTGGTTGATTGTTTGGCGGTGGGATTTGCGAATCTTGAGGCATTCCAATGCCGAGAGAAGGGTGGAGGGTGATCCTTTCGTGAAGCTGTCTGCTAAAGTCGCCAAGAGAGTCTCTGACCCCTGAAGCGGGCGTTTTAAGTCGGTAGATGGGCGGACGGAGAATAAATGGTTTAAAGAGGGAAGAGTCAATGTGGAGAGAATTTGCATATACAATGCTTCAAGTTGAAGTTTAAGCTGAGTGTCACTTTCAAGAAACCGACTGATTGCCACCAAGTGCAACGGCCCCTTAGTCACAATTACAAATTTGGTATCTCCGGCGGCGAAGCTGTTCAAGCGATCGTTGGAATCTTCATAGAATGAGATAATGGTCTGAATTATTCCGACATATGTCGATATTAATCCACCATCTCCATGCCTTGTCCAGATCGGCTTGCCAGCAGCAGACAAGATAAGGTAATGCTTCCTTTTGGCTTTCCACTTCTCGAGGACCATCTCTATATATGTTTTTAACCCGTCAATTAGCGGTCTACCCACAACGATAACACATAAACTACCTACCCTCATTCTCGCCCTTAGCACCTACACCTCCCACGTGCTCAAATTCGGTTGCAAAATCGTCTTCCACATCATCAGCCTGGAACTCGGGAAACTGAAGCAAGCCCGCACTATCCGGTTGATTCGGCCCAGACTCTGTCACGATAAAATCACTGAAAATATTATCCACGTCATTGGACTCTGTGTACGGTATAGAACTCCTGATACTAGCTGAGTCGCCGGTCTCACTGCCCCTCGAACTGGCCAAGTGGCTAAGGCTTGCTTTGGCCCGCAAGGTTCCTGAGTTACTGCGAGTAGACTGGCTATCCTTTCCACCCTCGTGAGAAACAGTTTCCGTCAGTGAAATGGCCGTAGTAGCACTCGATTGGAGGTTCGTATGCATAGTATTTCGAGAGGAAGATGCCCCTTCATCCAACAGGTGCATCGTGCTCGGGCGCGGGGGTAGGGGCGGCGGTTGTTCTTCGGAGCTTACGCTGCACCCTTGTTCATGGGAAGTCGTAGATTCATCAGTCAAAGGAGTGTGAGAGAAATTATTATCGAGTCCTGTCGTATTCTCACTAATGGGTTCATTAGACTCGCTCCGACCTGCCATATCCATCTTTATTTCATCCGCACCAGGCTCGGTTCGACCGAAGCAGCGTCGCACATCAAGCGAGGACTGCTCAAGTAACATACGACCTCCTCGTCAGCGAGACAAATATACCACTTAGCGTAGATTCAAGTGGATACATCGTTCATGGGATGTGAGAGAGGGGGGCTGAGTGCAGCAACCCGAACACCGCGTACAGAGAGGTGAAGACGAGGAGGCGGCAGCGGACGTCAAAAACACCTCCGCCTCCCCTTGCGGCTTCGTGGCTTCACGTCGCAACGTTGACCAGCTCGTGCATCTCAACCGCAACAACTACAACTAATGAGCGAAATGTGATGGAGAACGGCCTATTAATACCTGTTCCATCGTTCATTATCCGATATTCGCACCATGAGCCTTGATCCAAGCTCGTTTCCGAGGTCGAACTCCCCCGCCAGCTCCGAGAGCTCTCTGACGCGGTCCCGCCTACGAGGGAAAGAAGGTCTGAGATACATTTATTGACGTTGTCACGTTGTGGGTGACCCTGATACAGCACTGACTGTCTTATCTAGAGCCGCTACGGAAGGATAAAAATTATCGTCGCTATGCGTCGAGCGTCGAACGATCCCTGTCGTTGTTTGATACAGCCTTGCAGGAATGGGCGGATTACATCTCGTTTCTCAGTCGACTATTGAAGGTAGGATATAGTGTACACAATCGGTCGATGTTCTGCTAACGAATTGATTCTTAGACTCTCCAATCCCACCCTCCTGATTTACCTATAGTTCCTCACAAGGTTCTTGTTGCGAAACGACTGGCTCAATGTATGAAGCCGTCATTACCATCTGGTGTCCACCAGAAGGCACTTGAAGTTTATACATACATATTTGGTCTGATAAAGGTTGGGGATTCCGAAAGAGTTGGTTTGGGAGCATATCGGCTAATTCTTGGGTTCGCATACTAGTCCGAAGGACTGTCGCAAGATTTACCTCTATACCTACCCGGCATTGCCCCTACTCTGACATTCGCCTCCCTTACAGTGCGGCCGTTGTTCTTGTCCCTGGTAGAGACATATATCTGTAGCCTGGAGCCATGGGCCATCCGTCCTGCCTTGAAGGCGATCATCTTGGCCCTTCTACCGGGTCTGGAAGAGGAGACGAGTGATGACTTCGAGCCCACGCTCCGACTGGTCAACAAATTCCGCGAAATCGCTAGTCAAATGGACACTCACAAGACTGACATGGAAACAAGCTCAAGTGGCCAATACTTTTGGCAATGTTTGTTCCTTGCGTCGATCACTAGTCCCAGCAGGCGTTCGGGCGTTTTGGCTTACTTGAATCGCTATCTCCCAAAGTTAGGCATTACAGACCGTAGACCCAATAATAATGAGGCTAGCGACACCTACTATCTGCCACAGGATGTACTAGTGGCAGCTGATTCCGTGGTGTCGCCTGAACCAGGATTACTTATCCGTTGTTTCGCATCTGGGCTATCTGACGACCAGGTCCTTGTCCAACGGAATTTCCTTGACTTGCTCGTGACACACCTACCACTTAGCTCGCCAATTCTACAGACTCGAATCACAGAAAGTGATCTTCAACAGCTAACCATGGCCGCGGTTGGCGTGGTTGCTCGAAGGGACATGAGTCTAAATAGGAGACTATGGGCCTGGCTCTTGGGGCCTGAACCTGCCAATGACAGAACGTCTTTCGAAGCTCGCAACTCGATGTCTGAAAAACCCGTGCCTGCGACCGACGGTCAAGAGATTTCACAATCTGAGCACTTTACTCGCTTCGGGTTGAAACCACTAGTAGGAGGTCTCCTCCAGATGATAGAACATGATACGAACGTACCTTCGGAGAAAACAAGGCCCTTCCGGATATCCCTTTCCTTGATGGACCGATGGGAAGTTGGTGGATGCATTGTGTCTGCAGTATTTCTCCCAATCATCCGAAGCGTTCAAGCTTTCGAATCGGTATCTTCAAAGAACCAATTTGACGAGGTCTTCCGCAGCGCCAGTGCTTTCTTCGATGGAGTCGAAAGCGGTATTATTTTCTCCAACCTTTTGCACTTGATAGACTGGAAACCAGGTGAACTGCTTCAGAAGTATGAGCGGGTCTTGAACAACCTGAAGCTTACTCATTTCATCTTGGAGAACTTCAATGTACGGGAAGAAGACATGGTACTTACTCATGTTCCACTCCTGACACTTTCGGCCCTTATCAAAATGCGCGAACTATCACAGGAGGGCTGGTCCGCCATGGCAGACGACCAGTTGCAATCTTTGTCCAGCAGTCTGTTGAAGGTCATGACCTCTCTGACAGGACTACTTACAGAAAGGGCCTTCGCAAAGAAGTCTGCACCCGAGAAGGGAATGGATAAAACATCCGCCTCCCACCTCGACGACACCGAGATCCTTGACAAGATTCACGAATTTTATAATAAAAGCAAAGGTAGCCTCGACCTACCACCACTACCTTTCGTCCCCAGGGTCGTTGGAGGGCTTATCATCGGGAAGGCCCATGAACTCGCCATATCCGCTTTGGATAGCCAGAACGTCACGACGTCAATTCATGAAAAAGTCAACCTTTTTATAATTTTGTTAAGAAAACTACCAAAATCTCGCATATTGCGCGATAGGCGCTTTTACCTGGCAATTTGCAACCGAACTAAACTCGACCAAGCCGAACCGTCTACTACGTCCTTCTCATCTACCTCCACAATTGCATCTGCAGTAACAAGCCTATATTCTATACATAACCCTGGCTTCTATATCAGCTACGAAGACCTCACTGATTTGATCCCGTTACTTGTGAAGCAACTTTGGCAATTCCTTTCACCGTTAAATCCGAAATACCATGTTGAGGCAGTGCGTAGTTTGTGGCATCTGCACTCAGTCACTTGGCCTGATCATGTAGTCGAGGCTGCTATAACGTCTCTGATGATCGACACATCGTCAGTCAGATCCCGCCACCTATCGTCAGAAGAGCAGATCGGGAGGTATTTTGTTCTATGGAATCACAGCAACCATGGCACATATGATCTTCCACCGAAGCAAAGGAGCGATTTGACGCTGCCACTCATATCATATCAGTCTTCAATGCTGGAGCGTCCTCTTTTCATTGTCTTGGATTTGCTATCTCAGGGCCCAAGCGAGGCTTCTCACTTGGTGCAACAGTGGCTTCAAGATTTGTCGTCGATACATAAAGTTTTCCTCATATTGGTTTCGAGGCTTGAACATCTACTCGTGCCGGCAGACTCCTCTGATACTAACTTGGAGAACTTTACCATATCTCCCGATGACTATAAAGAAGGCAACTATCTGCTAGACACGATTTATAACACACTACGTGCAATTTCTCACAATGGCTGGGCTGCTCTTTTGACCCATACGCTGTCACACATTGAAATGCGCAAGGGCTCTTCTGCCTCGGAGGATGGGGCCGAAGCTGAAAGTCTGCACTTCACTATCTTTGAAGATGCCTTGAAGGTAATTAGAGGGGAAAAGATGGATGCCGATAAACCAGGCCCCGAAAAGATCAAATTGCAGCAAACTGCCCTTCTAGTAGTGCGCCAGCTTCTGCTAGGTCCTGGAGCGGAAAGAATTGCTGATTCAGGGATTGACACTTATCTTGTTGATCGGCTTTTACTCGTGCTTGATGAAGGAGGCAGCATCGCTATACAAGGAGCACTCATTGACACGCTTCTTGCTACACTAAAAGTCCGCTTTGCTCAGGCATACCTACCTCCACCTCATCCAAGGCAAAAGCATCAAAGGGCTAGTTCCCGAGAACGCTTGACTAGTCCGTCGATTTTGTCTTTTACGAGTGACAAAGCCGACAAGTCGCCTGTGCTACCGGCTTTGCCCCAACCCCCTCAGCGCCTTCTTGATTGCCTTCTCAAGGGCATCAGCTCACCCAACTCTAGGGAAATTGTGGAGAGATGGGCCATGTTGCTCTGCGAGGTTCTCCCATTGTACACAGGATCTATTTTTCAAATCCTCCTTATGTTAGTGGAATGCTTCTGCAAGGAGATCCAACTCTCCTATGCCAGCCTTCAACTTGCCTTCAAACAGACGATAAAGTGGCGTGAGGATTGCTCAGAACATGCCACCATTGCTTTGCTTGCTGGGCTGGAGACTTGCATTGCCACAGCTCATGAGCGTCTTCTTCTTGAGGAAACGAATGCGCCGGCTGCCAAAAGCCCCGACCAGACTCCTGGGTTCTTTGGGACCATGGTATCAGGTGTTTTTTCGTCGGACCCTAATCATACACGGTCCTCGGCGGCAAACAATAGACTTACCGTATTGCTGTGCTTTCAAGATGCCGTGCGCTTGTGCTTTTCGATCTGGTCCTGGGGGGCAGTGGAAAGAAGCACTTTACCCCAAGATGCAGAATCGCTTGCGTCTTTCCAGTATACATCATTGCGCATGAGGAACCGGTCTCGGCGAATCCTTGAGCATCTCTTCACTGCTGAGGCTCTGGAATGCCTGGAGACATTGGTGGAAATGTGGACAAAGTCCGATCCTGATACTTCGTCCCTCATCTTCAGCCTTGTTCATACTCTTGATGGGTCTCGACCTAAAATCACGATACCGGCGGTCTTTAACGCAATATATACCCGAACTAACCCTTCAGCGCTGGACCCCAGCCGTAAATCTACCTTATCCTCTTCTCTTACCGAGTCCGAGTTGGCATGTTTCCTTGTGACTTACGCCCGGTCCCTTGATGACGACGTATTGGACGAAATTTGGGCTGACTGCACTACTTTCTTACGCGACGTGCTCAGCAATCCCTTTCCACATAGACAAATTCTCCCACGCTTGGTAGAGTTTGCCGCCATCCTTGGAGCCAAATTGGATAATACAAGCTTTGGTGATGACCGGCGGATGCGAAGGGAGCTTGGAGTACAGTATCCTTCGATGATGGAAGAAGACCATGCACTAACTGCTTTTAGGACGTTCTACTGCGTTTGCTGACGGCTATTTTCACGATCAAACCCATGGGACTATCTCAGGAATCTGGCGTCATGGGCCGGGCATCTGTGGATCAGGATCATTCGTCTATCCTTCATGTTGGACCGGATGATATGCTGAGCATTCTTTCCCTCTCTATGCCTGCGTTCACCACAACTTTGGGTGACTCGGACCGCATTAACTCAGCGGTGTCCGGCATATCGACCAATGTGATTGGTCCACTTTTGCGGTCGCGGCTTTTCCCAAACAACGTCAACTGCAGTTTCATGGCACTCCTGCAGCATATAGCGAAGGCTCCTACTGCGGCGAAGGTTTGGAAGAAGGACATCTCGGATGCTTTCAACGACCCTCGATTCTTTGGCTCTCAGGTTAACGTAGTAAAAGACGGCTGGATGGACCTATTACGCCAATGGGTCATCGCTGATAAGGATCGACTATCTGAATTGATGTCACGTCTCCCTCCGCCAAGTACTGCAGGAATCATGTTTGGTGTAGGAGCATCTGCTGCGCGGTTGGATGCTGATCGGAAAGCGCAGTTAAACCTCCGAAGGATTGCCCTCCTTATATTGTCTGCAAATAATGACTATTTCGTTGGTGAACTACCGGGACTTCTGCAAAAGTTGGAAGACCTACTTGGGGCCACTAGCTCGTCCTCGCCATCGGCCAATACACGGGCTGAGATATTCATGGTCCTTCGAGCACTCACTCTTAAGACCTCAACCAATACGTTGGCCCCGTTTTGGCCGATTATTAACACTGAGCTACAGGAAGCCATGGCGGCCATACCTCTCGGGTCCCAGCAAGAGGTATATAACCCATACTCACTGTTACAAGCGTGCAAGCTTCTGGATACGCTGCTCGTTCTCGCGCCCGATGACTTCCAGCTCCTCGAATGGCTCTACGTCACCGACACAATTGACGCCATCTACCCCCCTGAACGATGGGAGTCGATGGCGCTTGCCGATGAGGTCTCCCAAAGCTTGGGAGTACGAGGGGCCACGTCCCCTCACACACCAACGCATCCGGCCGAGGTCGACGATGGCATGAAACGTCCGGGTCTTACGGCGGATTGGATCCGCGAGACGGCCAAAGACGAGATTATCGAGCGGGTGCTCCGGCCATGGTTTGGACAGCTTAGTATTCATGCCTTTGAGAGCACGTATCGTATGGGAAGCCCGAGTTCGGAAGTATGTCAAGATGATCTGCTGGCGGACCTATTTAATGAAAGTACGATGGCCAACTGAGCGTTGTTTTGTTTGTTTCTTTCTTTTTCTTTCTTGTTTGACAGTTTTTTTTGGGCGTTTTCGTGTCTCTGTGTTTATATTGACATGTATGACCGGTCTGTACTATATAATATTGCTTGGTTGCGATGCTTTCTTCTGTAGTTGATCGGCTACAGTTCCATGGAAACCCCGTGACGATTGGCCGGATCGACCCGAGGGCGCTTCGCCTCAAACGGGAAACGTCAACGTCACGGCCCTTTCGCCATCGCCAACTTCCTCGTATTCTCCAATCGGTAGGAATCCTCAGACGCAATTGTTTTATTCCCCATATGGCTCTAACTGCCTGATACCAGTGACTCATCAATCTCTGTTGACTATGTATGTCTGGAAGACAGCTCTGCCTACATTGCGTTCCGCCGCAATGACGCGCGGGTTTGTTTCCACGCGGAGCTTCGCAACCTCCCCGTCCATGAGGAACTTCACAAGCTCGTCACTACCTGCCAAAAAGCCCATAGGGGCATTTCGTGGAGGGTAGGTTTGCGAAACATGCGTCTGAATGATTCCCCCATATGTCTTCTGGGAACTGACTGACTTGTTCTGTAGAGTGGTGGGTTTTCTTGCCGGAACGCTCGCTGCGGGAGCTTCCGTGTATTATTATATACTGGGAGAATACAGAGTGTCGAATGAAATGTTGACAGAAGATATCAATGTAGGTTCACTATATTTGCTCTTTGCTGACCTTGTCTTTCTTGATCACTCTGTATTGTGTCTTATCCTCATCCTCTCGGTCGGTTGGGTTCTCCTTTAGGGAGCTTATCCAGCCGCAGACAAGCCTCTACACCCGTATTTTCTCTTGAGAATGAGAACCTAGAGTCATCCTATTGCCCGTCAATTTTACATATCATTTGAGGGTTGGGTTCTCCCACTAATTCATGCTCAGGCTCTCCAAACGGCAACGCAGAAAATACAGACTTACATCGGTGAACTGGAATCGAAAGTGGACCAGCTTCAAAAGAAAAAGTGAGCCTATTATAGCTAGTAAAATAAACATTCTACCATATCCTCTTTCCGCTATGATTTCTGCATCTCTAGTATACTGTTCTATTTTATGCATGCAGAGATCTTTAGTATACGGATGAGCGTTGAGATGCCGAAATTTCCAGCTATCCTCTCTTTCTCATATCATTTCATATATGTATGATAAATTCCTAGTCCAAAGAATCCAAATGACCTAAGCCATCCTATTCTTGTCCTCTCCCTTGATTAGGCTGCCAGTAGCGTCATTAATATATTGCCGTTGCAAACAGTGCAAACACCATCCATCTCTTTGCCCCCTCAATCATCACCTATTGTCTTCTTCATAAGTGTCTCCCTCAGCAAGTCAAATCCCTATGTATCACGTCGAAGTGCTTCCCAATTCATCCACCCATCTCACTCCGGGGTGGACCTATGTCCCCGATCGAGGCTTCGACCCAGCCAAAGCAGCCATCACGCCCGCCATCGGAAGAAAACGCGGAATCCGCGACCCCGGGCGCACCGATCTCTCGTCCCGACAGACTAATGCCATTGTTCGACATCTAGCTGAACTAGATCGTGAGAATCACAGAGATGTTCACATCCCTATACCTACCAAACAAAAGGATACTGCCGGGAGAGGTATATATTTCTCTCTTGCGCCCATTAAGGTCATCTATTTTATAGTATAACAAGCTAATTAACACTGGGAATAAAATAGGAACAAGAGGAAAAGTCACCTCCAATGTCCGGCGTATTTTACAATCTCAAAAGACGTTCCGGAATTACCTGGACGATGAAGAAGCTGCACTGGCGCAGGCTACACAGACTATGAACCCCCCGTCACGTCCGTTTCTTCATAAAGTCTCGAAACCTTCCTCGTTAAGACGCAGTTCCACACCCGCCACTACTACTACTACTACCACTACTACTACCACGCCGAAACCTGAGACTGCGCGCCCGAAGAAACAATCGTCCACTCGGTTTTCGTCGGCGCGGACTTCAACCACCCCCGCCGTGGCAGCGACCACGGGGCCTCAGGACACAGGGAAGAAAAAGGATGGGTCTCGTACCCCGGCCGATACCGAACCCGACCAAGAAACCGAACCAGAAACCGAACCAGAAGATACCGACCGTCTCATCAAATCCGAACATGATAATGACCCTCTGCTTCGATCATATGTCCCCTCTGTGCCGTCGGAACGTATCATGCAAGCGCTTCTGGCGGAGCCGCCGCTGTCGTATAATGCGTCGCGGGCTAGTCTTCCTCTTATAGTGAAGGCGCCGCGGTATTTTTGCTGTATGTGTGGGTACTGGGGGAAGATTCGGTGCAAGAATTGTCACTTGCGGACCTGTGGACTGGAGTGTTATAAGGTGCATGAGGATTCGAGATGCGGGGCTTTCTTCTAGGTTGAATGGGCAGAGTTCCTGCCTTGGTGTGTGTTTGTAACTATATACCCACGGTTCTATGTTATGGGAAAAGAAGATTGATTTTATAAATGAATATGCTATGTATCAATGTGTTGAATAGATCAGAATTTCAAGTGAATGCCCGCCCGCGCCTCTTGTTGACGGATTTCAAACATTGTCTGCACACCGACAAATAGGGCACCACAGGCAATGCCAAGGTACGCAATACCGGAGTAAGACCCCAGCATCTCTGCTAACAGACCTCTCAGTCCATCGATGCCCAATGCAAACCCGACTAGGTTGGCGATCATCATCATCAGAGCGTTCACAACGGCGCCGACACCACAGATAACACGATAGGCAGTTAGATGGGAGCGCCATCTACGAGCAGGGAAGAGAATAGTGGCAATAGCTTCCGGCAGAAAGAAGAGCGTGATGAGCCATCCCCACATGAGCAGACGCAGGTTGATGTCATGCCAGAGGGCCACGAAGGTGAACACAACGAGGAAGTTGAAGATCTGTCGCGCTTTTACATAAAGTGCCGACGCGAGCTTGCTGCCGCCAGAGGATGCAGGCCCTCTTCCCCCGCCAAGGGGCACATAGAGGTAGCGTACGATCCAGCGATTGAAGGAGCGGTGCCAGCCACGCCAGAATGCAAATGCAGAGTAATTGTTGGACACGCATCGGACCATGTTCTCTGGAGGGTCAACCCCGTCGATCAGGGCCCAAAGGCGGAACAAGCGCCACGGGATTAAAAGCTTTAGCCAAATAATATGCAAGTTGAAGTAACCCAGCATACTAAGTTGGAACGGTGTATACAGTGCCCAGTTCGGAGATGCTTTGGAGATGGCTACGACATAGGTGTAATGAAGGATCAGCTCCATGGAAAGCAACGTGAGGAAAAATCGGACTCCGTAAAGAACAGTGCGAGTTATGGTAATCGACGGGGGTGCAAATCTTTGCTGGCAGATATAGTCGTTAAACGTCAAAATGGGGCCCGTCAGATACAAAGGCGCGTAGAGGACGTAGGCGACGTAATTCCGTCCATTGAATGCAGACGGCTCGGCAGGAATACTGACACGATCACGCTCTGACAGTGAGGCTGGATCAACCTGCTTCTTCTTATGGTTGTTAGACATTCTCATAATTGGGCCAAATGGATATCAATCTTACTTCAAGGGCGCTTGCGGCTGGGTAATCAAGGCTCCAGTAGTAATCCATGTTGAAGCTGATCAATCGCAGAACCGCTATGTTGAAAAGGATTTCCCATCGTGGAATTAAGCCCCCAAAGCCATCAATGGACCGACCCCATAAAATCAATGGCGTATCTTCCCCCGTACCATTTGTTCTTGCCATAAGCAATGATGCGATTCGCTCGAAAGTGTAACCGCCGCAGAGCTCATTGGCAAATAAAGTGCAGATGTTGAATGCCCACGTACCAGCGGGAATATATTCTCGAGGGAGAGATTTGGCGATCTTATAATTGACATATAGTATGAGGAGAACTTTGGCCGCCGACACGCCATGAAGCGCGATTATAAATATTAGGGCAAAGCCGTAATCGAAGCGTATCCGCTGGTTCAGACGTGCCTCCCCGGGTACAACAACGTTAGATTTCGAAGAAACGGCTCCGGTATCGGTGGGGTGGATAAAGGCATCGTATGCACGGCGAAGCAACGGATGAACAACCAAGAGCACGAGAAGATAGGGTGTATTGTCGCGGAAGGTAGAGTATTGGGTGTCCGAGTTGTCCTGTCCAGAAAACACGATCGTTAGCAGGGGTTTGGCTCCATTGAGAAGACAGGGAAGTGAAGCATACCACTTTACGACCAGGCACCCAACCAGGCGACAGCAAATCGGCATATGACGAGTAACTAGGATGGCTTTCTGCATTGCTTCCATCAACACAAGCTGTTCCGATGTTCTAGTGCGTAAGATTGAGAATATATACCCTGAGACACTTCAACCACCGCCTTGAACATCAGTGGCACGGCGACGAGAAAGACCAAATAATAGACGTAAAACTCGGGAGTACGCCATTTCGAGGGCGAGGCACCGTTGGCGATTGCCTGAGCGCGGGGATCTTTCGCAGTGGCAGGTCGCGTGTCAGCAGCAGCTTTCAGCGGAGTCGTAGCAGACACGGTTAGTCTGGTATCCAATGTATCTAGAGAGTACAGCTGCCGCAGCCGGGAAAAAGATGTGAGAGTCATTCTCAACCCAGCATGACACGGCCGAGTGCCTTGTAGAAGCACGAAGGGCAGTGGTTATTGCGGAGAGCCAACTTCCCGGTTCGTGATCAGCTCAGGGGCGGAGACTGGGTTGAAGGTCAACGAGACTAGCAGTTGGCACACGCTGAATTGATAGACATTGCCTCTTGTACAGAGGTGTATAGACCTTGTAATACTTCCAATGAGAGAGAATATTAATACATCTTTGTATAATGTTGAATTGAAGAATACATCTCTATTCTATTCGTTTGCAGTTGCTGACTAAGTGAAAATCGTTGTCGGTGATTGGCTGTTGTAGCACAAGTCCATATCGAGCAGCCTGTCCGCTGACTCATCGAGATTGCCTCTAGTTATTGCCTGACATCATTCTATTGCTCTACAATCAAAACGATCGATATCGTGGGTTCCCTGGGATAAAATATACTTCTCGGATATAGAAATCAGATGGCTGAGAAACGAGTATGCTTCTGCTTCCGCTCCCCTATGCAGTTTCAACCCCACCTTCCCAGCTGCTTATCGAGTTATCTTGCTGATATGCATGCAGATTGCATTTAAAGTCCACGGCACTGTACAAGGCAAGTGCTTCATCTGCAGACCTTGAGAATGGGAGATACTATGCACCACGGCTCCTGTGTTAAATATCCATCTTACTTATTGTCAACACGTCATTCAGGTGTCGGATTTCGGTAAGACGCTCCACCGTCACTTCCACAGCACAATTCGTGCTCATTTCGAGTCGACAGTGATTTTACACAGAAACGGGCAGTCCAATATGGCCTAAAAGGCTGGGTGAAGAACACCCACTGCGGAAGGGTGTGCATATTTCATTTCCTTGACAGATCCATCGACCTTGTTTTTCTGTCCATGACTGTTAGTATGCGCTGGTTATTGCAGGCACTGAGACATTCAACAGGTTGAGGGTGAGGCTCAAGGGCCGGACGAGGCCATCCAGGAACTCGTGAAAGAAATCAACAACGGACCGCGACTCGCGCACGTCGTCAAATTGGAAAAGAAAGAGATTCCACCGCAAGAAGGAGAGGGTTTGTTCGGCGTAAAGCGGACGTCAGAGTCAACGTTTAATGCCACAGGCTGATGGGTTGTTCCTCTGGAGAAGGTTATGTCGTGAGTTGCATTAATGGGTTAATGGGGCAAATGGGACAAATGGGACAAATGGGACAAATGATCGGAACCAAATGAAGTGAATGTATTAAATATAATAAAACGGAATAATATCAACCGTAGAAGGCTAGGGCAGTTCCAATGACATAGCAAGTACAATGTCTCCAAGAATATACGTAAAAATCTGAGCATAAAAGATACTGATGGAGTATCATACTATGTAGATCTCTCGGCCGGCTCCAAGAGCCCGGAACTGCTCTATATACTCTGTACGGTCGGATATACCGAGTATGGCTCGGGGACTTGTCCACCAAACAAAGCCAGAGACGTCAAAACGCTAGAACGATTAATCGTGACGTAAGAATAAACGCTATTCCTCTCTGCCCACGAGAATCTCAGGCACGAAAACAAATGGACGATCCCGAAGGGAACCCGATTTTTCTTCGGCATCTGTTTTCTGACTCAGACGAGACTCCAACCCGACTTCCCCCGGAGTCACATGGCCGGCCTTTGAGTTTCCCTAAATTACGCGACTTGTATTCACGTGAAATATACGAACTTACACCGAAAACAGCTTCAGATTGTCTGCGCCCATAGAGATAATGGGGAGCACGTTGGAGTTGCTTCCAGTTCGACTGCGATGATGGGCACCAGTCGTATGCAGAGGAGATTTTGAAGGAGAGTATTTTGGACGGTGGAAGTCAGATACATGCATCCCAACAGGATCTGCATTGTGGTAACTTCGATGTAAATTCTAGGGCGTCGAATAACCAACTCTTTAAGGCAATGATTCCTTCGGGGACCCGCAAGGCTTTGCTTTTGACTTCTAGGTTCTACTTCTGTCCGTCTGGAACCGGAGGAGGTAGTCAGCCGCCCCTTGAGCAGATTCTTCGCCGGATCCAGCCCCGATAACTCTATGTCATTCTTCTCTGTTTGGTCCCGGTGTGATTCCGATTTCTACCATAACCATCGGTGTCTGGATTGGATTGAAAAAATTGGGTTCGTACGTTGGTATAAATATGGCAGGCGCCGGAAGTGGTAGGCATTTGCCTGTAGTTCCGCGTTCAGAGATATAACAAAGAATTTCCTTCATATGCAATATCTTTTACCAATCCTTCTACTACGGTAGCTGAAAGCATTTGAGATTGACCAGTTGTCTATTGACATTATATCAACCAGGATGAACACGTTAACGGCCACAGTGCCCATTCGGGCCGCCTGCTTCCCAAAATCACAATTGCACATTGTCCTGCGAGGATACACGAGTGTTGTTGCTACAGCGGGGTTACGACGGGGGAGTCCCTTGTATGCCACGACACATCGCCATCAGACGGACGCCAAACGGTTTATCTCGACCACTCCGCAATCGAAAATCAAAGAATTCTTCCCCCCTCCCGATGCGCCTCATATCAAAGAGATGGAAACCGCATGGGTCCATCCTGTGTATGCTAATCCTATCTGATTTCCCTAGATGGAACGTGATTTTAACGTTAATGCTACCTACAGCTACACCGAAGAACAGATGCAGCAAGTCACAGTCGCCCATCGACAAGCAAAGGACTGGCCCGACTGGGTCGCTCTGGGCACGGTGCGGTTGCTGCGATGGGGTATGGATTTGGTCACTGGATACCGCCATGCCCCGGCAGGCAAGGAGAACGAAACTAAGTTCCAAATGACCGAACAGAAATGGCTCACCCGGTTCATCTTCCTGGAAAGCGTCGCGGGAGTGCCTGGTATGGTGGGAGGGATGTTGAGACATTTGAGGAGTCTGCGACGGATGAAGCGGGATAATGGATGGTAGGTGCACGTTGTACGCTCGGTAGAATTTAATATCTAGCTAACTATACTCTAGGATTGAGACCCTATTGGAAGAGGCATATAATGAGCGGATGCATTTGCTCACCTTCCTCAAGCTTGCGGAGCCGGGATGGTTCATGCGCCTCATGGTTCTCGGGGCCCAAGGGGTGTTCTTCAACGGCTTTTTCATTTCCTATCTCCTATCCCCCCGGATCTGCCATCGATTCGTCGGGTATCTGGAAGAGGAAGCCGTCCTCACCTATTCGCGAGCGATCAAAGACATCGAGAGCGGCAAGTTGCCCGAATGGGAGAAACTGGAAGCCCCCGAGATTGCTGTGCAATACTGGAAAATGCCCGAGGGACAGCGCAGTATGAAGGACCTCCTCCTGTACGTCCGAGCAGACGAGGCCAAACACCGAGAGGTAAACCACACATTGGGCAACTTGCACCAAGGGGCAGATCCCAATCCATATGCTGCCAAGTATAAAGACCCGACCAAGCCTCATCCCGGGAAAGGGATTGAAAATTTGAAAGCCACGGGGTGGGAGCGAGACGAGGTGATCTAGGATAGACATCCATCTGTCTTCTTCTTTTCCTCGTTTGTGAACAGTCAGCATGGCGTTTAGGGTGTGCAATCCGGTTGCTGGTTCAACCTGTCGGGGTATAAAGCGCATTTGAACGTATCATTCATGTATACATAGTTAGATGTAATCTTTCCAATCGGTTGTACTCCCCTCATTGAGATTCATCTTTACATCTAGTCTGATCATCAAACCACGTGTTCAACGTTAATGGTTGTGTTCAAGTCTGCGGGACTCTTTTATTAAGCTCACGGGACTAAAAAGCAATAGCCTGGTGTATCTCGGAAATATTGACATCTACTAATTATAGAGCCGTTCATTTAGAAGCGTCTAATTTATAGAGCTCTATAGAGAGTTTTTAAAAAGGTTAATATTAGTTTTTCAATACTAAACTCTCCCCTGCATAAATCTGGTCTCAGCCGTTGAAGACGTTCCATCGTCTGCGCGAGATGGAAGCCCTTGCCGGTCTCAGTGTTGGCACTTGCAAATGGAATCCCTGATCTGGACTCATATGCGCCGAGAACTCGATCTGCCAGATCGACTACTTTGGACAGGTGAATATAGTCCCGCCGAGATGAAACGTCTGGAAGCAGAGTGGACAAGACTTAGGCAGACAAAAGCCCTCCAAGCATGTGGATGGTCGTCTCAAAAGTGTTCGCATCCTGATCTTGATTGGCCATATTTGGACATCGGAAAGACAAGTAGTCAGGTTCATGATCATCAACCTATCCAAGCTGTGGATGATGATTCAACCTAGACCGCTGTGGCTTGAGCATTTGTGAACCAGTCTCCCGAGTTGGATGGAAACGATCCTGTCCTAGATGCAGGCGTCAAAATTTCAGTGATATGCGTATTCGCTTAAGGTATGTTGGGAGAACCCGACGAGGCAAAAGGCGAGAGAAAACTTGCCCTAGACTTATTTGGCGTAAGCATCTCAACTAGTCACAAAAGTGTCTTTCACCTCCTCCCGGTGTCTACCTCAATAGCTGTCTTCGTTGATGGGCCGAAAGAGGTTCAAAGTTGTTTCAAAACTCAAATACTGAAGGCACTATCACCCTACCGCCAAGGCTGGTAAGCTGGTGAACAGGGATTTTAGAGCCCGATTTACTGGGAAGCTTAGGGGTCTTTCCGTTGCGGGGCTCTCCTGTTCTCGCAGGGCGTCACTCTATGGCATAGTAGCGGTGTTCTGACCTGAGGGATTGAGCGAACGGCGAAGGTGTGCCGATTAAAGATTTCGTGAGGTCCCTGAGTAGCAGTATAAAGCGTTTCACTGCAACCATGGTAGCAGGAGATGAAGCTTCCACCAACCGAGGCACGAAATCCTGGTTTGAGGTTAACTTCGATTATGTCATCCGGTCCAAACGCGGGGCCGCCAGGCACGGGGGAGAGCTAGACCGAGAACGGCAAAGTGTACACAGGACAGGTGGAGCGTCAGGAGAAAATGAGGAGGAGAAGAACGAAGAAGTCGAAGCAGAAGAGCGTCCTGAGATGACAGGGTCGGGACAAAGAGTCCGCCAGGCACATGCAAGCGATTTCTTTCTCAGGGGCACCGGCTGCAGAAAAAAGAAACGTAGGCTTTTTTCTATTAATACCGCGGGAGGTCCATATCCTTAATTAATGAACCATGGCCAACCTGCTGGCTCCTGGACTATCGACCCGCTTCCCCCTTTAGTGGGAAAAAAAACGCCCCCCTTTCGAACTTCCAAGATTATTCTCTCGTCGATCGATCAGTCATCCTCAATTCCACCCGTGACGCCTCTCTATTTTTGTCGCCGCCAAAACGGCTATCGAGCCGACGACCAGCAGTCCTTCCCTGTCGAGTGTGAAAGAAAGAGATATATCCCACTGACACCAAGGTTGGTCCTTCTTGTTAGAGTATAACGACCTGTCTCCTACGAGTGCTGTCATCCATCGAGCTCCATCCACCCCTCTCTATCTGTGGATGAGTCTACGCAGTCCATCTCCCTTCATAATGGATGATTCCATCGAGTCAGAGGTCGCGGCACCTCCACTCCGGACTTCTTCGCCCTCCCCGTCTATCTCCCCGACACCAGCCATCTCCTCCTGTCCATCCCCAGACCGTATCTTTTCTACCATATCCTCTCGGTCAACCTCGTCCGCCACCTCCGCCGATGCCCGATCTTCCGTCTCCATCTCATCGAAACGACGGGGGTACATTCGACCCCAGGGGGCGGAGTTTGCAGAATCCGCGAAGAATCGAGAAAGTGTGATGAGTCTGGGCAGTATTGCCCACCTACAATACTACTTTGCCCGCACTGGCCTGTTGGATGGCAAAGGCGGGCATGCTCGGGAGTGGAAAAAGAAGAAGCCAGAGGAGGTTCCCAGATTGCTGATGACTCCCAATGCACGGTTCATCGACGATCTGACGGAGAGCCCCACGGACGAGGAGGCTATGGATCTTGGGGAGGATGGTATCGAGGAGGCCGAAGAGATGATGCTCCCTCCCACCGTGAGCACCTATAGTATCAAAACGCACTATATACCTCCCCCTCCTGACTTGGCCGCGCTGCGCAAGGATTTGTGTTCTGCGTTGGATAAGGCCGAGAAGAGCATTGAGACTCTCGGATCTCAGAAGGAGCCTCCTCCCGACATGAACCCGCCGCGGATTAGTCTCTCGCCGGAGGGGGTAGCGGATCCCGACGATGTCGCTCCGCCCTCCACCCCCGCAGAGGGTATCCCTCAGGGTTGGCAAGAGATCCGGGGCATGCGTATCTTGGATGTGGTCACGCTTGCAATTCGCGCAGCCAAGATATACTACACCGCTCACGAGCGTCCGGAGCGACTGGCATCGATTAAAAGCGAGTGGAAGATCCGACAGGAGTTGTTCAATGTCCTGGAAGTCCTCAAGCGGTGGGCTTCTCGTAATTTTGCCGGGGGGCTCCGCGAGGATGAACAATCATCCATTCTGGGCTGGATGTCCAACGTCCGGTCCATGTTGGCCCAAGAGATCCAACTGGAGAAGCAGGAAGCCAGCGAACGAAAGAGCTGGACCTGGACCGGCGGCGACTGGACCGGTCGGGAGCGGGAGCGCGAAGAAAGCTTCTTGCGTAGCCTGATGGATTCCAACGCGCCATTACCCCTCTGGACAGCCCCGGAGAACGGTTCACTACCCACCGCCCTGCTTACACGGCTTCGGGATGGCCGCGACCTAGTCCTCATCCATAACCAGGCAGTGCGGAAGTCCAAGCGGCTTTTCGGCGAGATCAAAACGTACCACGAGGACGTTGGAAAACCGTATCGCTGTGCTGAAAATCTCCGATTCTGGGTCAAGGCAGCGGAGATCCGGTGGGAGACCAAGCTGGAGTTGGACGTGATGGGGGTCGTCCAGGGCAATAGTGACGAGGCCTGGAGGAAGTTCGACCAGGCCCTCCTCACATGGTGTCACGCCGTGCGCCAGGAGTTGACACGCGACTGGCAGGAGGCAGCCGCCCGCAGCAACGACGCAAGGCCTCCGAACGAGGACGAATTGGAGGGGTGACTCCAGCTAGGAATCGAAGGAGGGGAGGATGAAAGAAGGAGGAAGAGAGGGACAGGTTCGCGACGATTGGGAACACGTATGAGGAACATGGTTGATTAACATTTCTGGCTATTATGTTTGTGTTTGCTGCCCACCCTTAGATACCCCTTACTCCTGTGGGAATTGAATTTCTTTGATTCTTTGCACCATTTCATTATACTACATTTTATTTCATTTTATTTCTTTATCATTATTATCTTAAGTTTCTTTTTCTTTTTCTTTTTTTTTTTCCTTATTTATTATTATAGGGTTCTGCAGTCCAGAGAGATGGAGATACGGGTCAGATGGAGGCATTTCTTCCGGTTTAGGGAATCTGTTTACGAACGCGATGGGTTGATTGACCAGGTGGGAACTGCCTACGAAGCATGCAGATTGGGTGTACATACATATACATACATATACATACAGACAGACGGTGCAGAATGAATTCCAGGGATCTGGGAAAATTAAACGACGTTCCGTAGCGGCTGTTTTTAGGAGGGAGACGAGACTCTCCCAAGACAGACAAGACACAACTAGCCAGACTAGTACGAATGATGAGAATCGCCACATCCTCATTAGGAAGGGAAGGAGAAAGAAAGGGAGAATTCAGCGAGGGATTGCAGTGATGGAGGATAGACTCCTGAGCGGAATGAATTGTCTTTTTCGCGTTTCTGCCCAAACCAAACATTCACTTCTTTCTCCTATCCGATCCTATCATGTAGCCAACACATCACTTCTCTCTTTCTCTCTGTCTCTCACCAATCCTTTATGTGGATCGACTAGCTCCTTTTCGATCTCTCCTTTGAACTGACAACTGATGTACTCAGACACAGCCAGCCTATCCCAAACAAACTCACGCTAAGACTCATTGATCATTTATTTCCCGGGAAAGGGGCAGCAGAGTGGCATACCAGAACCCCCCCAAGAAGCCTTGTTGGCTGATTCTCCGCCCATCAACCACATTCCACAGACCATCCACGGGCTCTCTTTCACTTTCTTCTCTTCCCCCCCAAGTCGCCTTGTACCCATGCGGACCACTGCGGCGGCCCCCGACCTTCCGGACCCCGGTTTCAACACGTCGCATCACCACCACCACCACCACCAGCAGGACGACGCCTCATCCCCTCCACCGCCACCACCGGCGCTCTCAGTGACCACCCCTGAAGAACCCCTTCCGCGACGGATCAAGTCGAAATCCTCCCTGCGAAGTCTTCGGAGTTTCGGCAGCAGTCTCAACGACGAAGACCCCGATGATAGTGTCGACCAGTCCGCGTCCGACAAATCGATCGTTCGCCCCTCAATCCTCCGTCGATTGTCCCCGGGACTGGCGGCGCGAGTCAAGTTGTTAGACGGCAGTCATCACAAGGCCGCGCAATCTCGCACCTCTGGCGTGGTGGGTCGAATCCCAGAAGAACACATTAAGGAGTTGGACACCCTTCACAAGAACTTATCGGCGTCCATCAAGATTGAGAAGAAAGGTCGCGCGTGGAATGGTTTGCTTTTGACGAGTAGGGAGAAAAAGAAGCAAGGCGATTCGGGTCTCCTGGAGGTGTTCGACCCGGACCTGTTAGAAGTGCCCTCGGAATCATCATACGACAAGGCGCTGGACGAGCCCGCCCAATTTTCCTCCCAATTTCCCTCCCACTCAGACACACATACTATTGAAGACATACCCCCAGACGAGCCCGTCGACCCGACATCTCCAGACGGGGGAGCGTACGCTCCTGAAACAACCATGACTGTCGCTCAACCCCTCCCAGCGCCGTGGCCCGTCGATTCGCTACCCGACGCGGAAACATATGAACCCACTGATTTCGAGAAGTACGTCCAGAGCACGAGCGAGAAGGAAAAAGAAATGGAAACGGAAAGGTCCCAGTGCCCCCCGCCATCTCCGCCCAAAGATTTCCCGCCCGAACCGTCCAGCGCTTCCTCGCACTTTAACCCTGCCGGCTTGCAGCGTGCCGAGTCGATATTCTCCTTCTCACGAGCCTCGTTCAGCAATCAACTCTCCCAACTCACTTCGATCTCCCTCCCGCAGGCATCATCATTGGCGTCCAGTATCTCGGCACTCCCCAACGCCCACTCCGCCATCAAGTCTCTCACGGGAGCAGCCGACCAAATTCAGATATGGATCAGGAAGGCAACCAGCGTACTGGAGGGCCTCGATGCGGACGACGATGTGGAGTGGGCGGCGGCGGGAGGGCGAGAAGGTCTCGACGACGTTGACAAAGCCATCACGCAGTTTGAGGGTCTGATCAACGTCTACGTGAAGGCGATCGAAGATGTGCAATTACGGGACGATATTGAAGGTGTCGAGCCGGAGAGTTTGAGGACGATCGTCACCCAGATGGATTTCATTATCCAAAATTGGACACATATTAAGGCGCGACTCAGGGCCGTAAAAGAACAGGTGGAACTGGCCATGGAGTGGGAAGAGCTGTGGAACAACATTCTGGGGGATGTAGGGGCTGAGGTCGGGAACCTGACACAGCTGATCTTCCAGATGGAGGAGAAGCGGCACCTGGTCATGTCTGGGGGCCAGTCGCCCGGGAATGCTGGGGTCGATATTAACGAACTCGAGACGATCGTCGAAGAAACGCCCGGCAATGGGAATACGTCCAGCAAGCGGCTCAGCATGGAACTCCCCGTCCCACCCACCTTCGATACACCCATCATTCAGACACACCAGGAGGACACATTCCACGCGGACCTGATTGCCCTATTCGCCCGCATCCAGCCTCTACGGGCATCCTTGGATTTCTTGCCTATGCGCCTGTCTTTGTTCCAATCCCGGGCGGAGCGAGTGTTCCCGACTGCTTGTGGGGAGTTACAGCAGGGCATTCACCGACTAGAAGAACGTTACAAGACGCTGGAGAGGGACGCGGAAGATCTGCGCAAGGAACTCAGCGAGGACCGATGGATCCTGGTTTTTCGCAACGCTGGCGGACAGGCGCAGAAGATGTTTCAGTCCGTGGAGAGAAGCATCTCCAAACTCCAAGAAGCATTGGAATCGGGGGCAGAGTTCAACAATCCCTCCAGACTGGCGAAGCGGATCGAGAACTACGACGCCAAGAAGCAGCACTACGTGGCAGCGATTGAACGCGTGGTTGCAATCATTCAGAAGGGCGTCAAGGATCGACTCACGGTCAATGGCGAGACCCTCACTCTCCTATCGGACATGACTTCCAAGCTGGACGCATTGAAGGCAAGTATCAGAGTCATGGATGCATCGCTGGAGGACGTCCACATCGCCCGGAGTCAGCAGTTGCGGGACTCGATATCTAGCATCGTCACAATGGACAGTCCGGCCACGGGGAGCGCGGTGGACACGCCGGGCAGCTCGCCGCCGTCGTCGGTGGTCATGACACCTGGGAATGCCCTCAAGGGAGCATCGACACCGCTTGGGGGCTCTAGTCGACGCGGCAGCTCCGTCAGCTCCGTCGCACGCACAACCATGTCCAAGGTCCGTCGATATTCTGGCCTGCCACAGCCCACGTCAGCCCTGACGGGGAAGTCCGCCATTCCCAAACCTTCCCTGACTGCACCGTCGCCGTTGAAGACGAACGGTGGTGCTATCACACCTACACCGGCAACGCGCAAAGCGCCGCGTCCGGTCTCTACCATTCCCAATCGTCCGCGGTGGAATGGGAGTACGAATACCAATGACCTGCAAGTCGGCCATATCTACAAGCCCAATCCTCTGACCACGCCATTTCGCAAATCCTCCGTCCCCAGCCGCCCTTCCTCCACCCTGCCCTTCCGCAGCAGCATACGGCGGGATATCTCTGTCTCTCCTGCCCCCTCTGCCACCCGATCTACAAGCCGTATTTCGAGCCGGCTTGCGTCGCGAAGTCCGGTGCCTCCGCCGTCTCCTTCTCCCGGTTCTTCTCTTCTGGATCCTCCGCCGTATGGCAAACTCCGGCGACCGTCGGGAACAGAGCGGATGGCCAACACGCCGCGGAATCGACAAAGCTTTGCCGGGCTGTCGTTCAGTCGCAGTGTATCGCAGGACCAGGGCCGGGGATTGCTCAGTCCCACCAAGGCCGAGCGTCCCGGCACTGCACTGGGCCATTCGGGCAGCCGTCGCATTAGCCTCCTTCCTCTGCCTAAGGGCCGCAGCGGCCGGGACAGTGCTGCGGGCTCTCGTAGCAAACTTGCTGATCGGCCCCCGTGGCGGTAACCGGGCATTTCATTTTCTTGTTTAACACATGTCCAGGTTTTTTTTCTTTCATGTATTATCAGCATCGGTTCTGTGAGGAGTCAGTCTTATACCAAGTGTTTGTGGGACAGATTGCGTTTGTTGATATCCCTTTCGCATGTGATTTAGCGGTTGTACTCAGTAGATTAATTGATTTCGTCTATAGTTTTGTACTTTAGAATACACATCTAGATCTGTATAGTAGTACATGCTAGTCAGTTCTATTATACCAACTCGCGCCCAATGATCAAGGCATCCACCAGTTCTGGACTATTCGCCAGACGGCCAGCCCCCGGCACACGTCCGATGATCTTGAAGCCCAATTTCTCCCAGATTTTGACGGAGGCGACATTATTCTCGAACACGAGATTGAACACGGAATATTTATATCCCTATATCTATCTGTCAACTTTATTTTTAAAAAAAATAAAATAAAATAAATAAACTAAACTCACCAATTTCGGCGCATACTCCAAATACGTCTCCCCCATAACGATTCCCACCCCTCGATTCCTCGCCGCGGACGTCGTCAAGAACCCAGCATTACAGACATGCGAGCATCGTCCTATCAATGGATCCCTCATCAACATATACATATAAAAAGGAGGGATAATAAATACCAGGATAATTCGGCTTTATATAAAACGTCCCCAAACAAACCCTCTCCCAATCCCTCCCTTCCTTCAAGCCATCGTCATGGCCAAGCACCGCCACCACGGCAAACGTTCCAAACCAATACTGAGCAAACTGGTCCCGCCCCAGAGGCTCTTCCATGGGATATGTCGTGCCGCGGACGATCTCGGCGCTGAATTCCCGGTGTAACAGGGTGATCAGATCCGAGGGAACGGATGACGCGCCGTGCGCGATCGGGTACAACGTCACCGGGGAGGAGTCTTTCAGGGTAATTTTGCGGGGTTGAAGGGTCGGTGCGGCTTGCATGGCGGATTGGGGGGGTGGGATGTGGTTTGCTGGGTCTTCGAGGAGGGAGGGCATTTTTTATATATTTTATAATGTTTATAGTATATAATATATGAGTGAGGATTCTTTGGAGTGATAAATGATGTATAGATCTGGGTGGCATGGTTTTAATAGTTTAAAAGCTTAGTCATTGTCATAGGGCGTAACTAGTTTACCCTGATCTTGGCAATTTATAGTATATTAAGAGTAGGCGAGTTCGATTAAATAGAGTTTATTAATCAATTCTTTCTCGCCTAATGAGCATACAGGTGCTAGCCTAATATGATGTGATTCTTTCATGCTCCTGATTAGATAGGTCCGCGAGCTCGCCGAGTCCAAGGATAACACCGACGATGGTACAGATAACACTGAGAATTAAGAAAAAGGATTTGAGAGCACACTGGGGCCACTGGAGGATTGATATCAAGGTAAATGGGCCAGCAGCCACAAAAAATGATCGCAGGGCGGCTATATAATAGAAGGCATCATTAACATCATTGATCATAGCGACTGAGTCGGCAAAGGAACGAACTACTTACAACTAGTCTCCTGAGGCGTAGATCCTCTCATGATACGCATCAGGTTCTTGACTGTACATGCGACGGAAAGTACCAAACATCCTGGACATCAGCGTTAGTTCCCTATGGAGTACTCTGCACACCCGCATATAACCAAGATCCTCACCTGAACCTAATAGCCCACTGTAAGAGTTCCACCAGTCTACCCACCTATCTTCAATCAGAGACTCGAAAATGATGGGTCCTACATCGGGTCCGAAAATACGGCTAAACGACGACGCAGAGCCTTGGTAAAAGTTGCGCACTCGGCCCCATTTCCATAGACTTGCCATTTCCTCTGCAAAGTCAGGGGTCGCGTCGTATTTGGTTACGAGGGAATGACGGATATAATACCGCACCGCATTTGGACCAGTTGATTGTGGGAGCGTTCTTGGGGCATTGAAATTGAAAAATCCCAAAGGCATCGTGGAGGAAATGAAAAGGACGTATGGAGTAGAGCTGGTCATACGCATTCCCCGAGCCGGAGTAAATGATCGCGCATGATGGGAACAGATGCACGGTTTCTGATCCAGGTATGTTGTGTTGAGAGCCAACCTGGAAGTGTGGTCCTTCCATTCTCGGCGATTTCTGCCTTAGGTTCACCTCGATCATACAGTATGCTAGAGTAAGCATAAAAGCGAATTACCTGCCTGCCCCAAGTCGGAGATCATAATATTAAGGCGTTATCTCCCCGTCTCCGCTCGGGCCATATAGAGGGCATGAGCATTAGCACCAGGAGCTAGGCAGTAGTGGCCTATCGTTTCATTGCCGCAACAAGCACGGATTCTATCCAAAAATGAAGTTAGGCCACATCCCAAAATGCAGCTGTCTCTTCCTAAAGCCCTAGCAACTCTGCTTCTACTGAAATTTTCGGTTGCTATTTCTATAGCAGAGGAACCGAATTCTCCCGTGCCTATATATGCTGAAAATTGCTCAGAGCAAGTAACCGTTTAATGTTGCATTGTCACGCATTCTTGATAAAATTCACAACGGGATAGAGATTGCTACTTACTTCACTACTGGATACTTTTCTACTCTCTCGGTCTGCAAACAATTAAGAGGATCAAACTGCAACGAGGCTGCGTTGGCTGTTGGTTCGTCCTTAGTCTCTTTACCCTAACTATTAACCGCATGCATCGTGCACTTTCTACCCACAATCGGGACGACAACCCGACTCTCGCGGAGTATCTCTATGGTGCCCTGTATGCCGGAGGCGAAGCATTCGATTCGATTGAAAATATGACACACACCCTCCTAGCGTGGGCTACTCTCGCTGATGACGCTGTTGAGATGGCACCTATCGAAAACTGGCTCCATCAGGGTGGTCTGGTGCATTTTGACGATGACTTCGGCAATGGAAATGGACACGTTGTCTTCCCTTTCGACGGAATTCACTAGAACGGAACAACGTGGACCAAGCCAGCATCTGGTAAAGCTCCAAGCTTTACGATCTCACATACTTCCCGAAAGGAGTCCAAACGTACCACCTGCACCTTGTGATACCGCCAACGCTCTCGCCCATGACTGGAAATGACATCTAATCGGAATGACGAACTCTCGAGCCACAGTGGCTTGTAGAAACGGTTATTGCCAAATTATACTTCTGTATTATCCCGAGGGCGCCGGCTTCGATATGAAATTGAGTCGGTGAATATTGTGACCCAATGTATATGTTATCTAGTATTAAATAATTAGCCCGAACTTCATATATATGGGACAGTTATAGGGGTAAATACTTAAACATATTCACTGTGATATAGAATTATAGTACATTACTACAGGATCAATCTGTTCTCTCCTATTTACATCGTTCACATCTCACTGATTCTCTCCATCTTTCTTCTTGATCGTCTGCATAAGCTCGTACAACTGCCCAAGTTGTTGATCTACACCATTAGCATCTCGAATGATATCGGGAGAAGAAAGATAGAGAATACCACTCATTTTATCCACCTTGGCCTTATCTAATTTCTCCCCTACCCACTTATCCCCTTCTAATTTCTGCGCGTATAGCTGCCACTCCGTTAAGAATCCAATCTAAGGACTCATTAGCATATATCCACTAGAATAGACGTAAACAATGGATAGAGAGACAAAATACATACAATATGTAACGGATTATCCACATCTTTATGCGCTCGAAACTCACTCTTCACGTATCCATCGCCGAGCATGCGCATCTCGGGTTCGAGCTTCTTTCGATGCACGCGCAGAATGCGCCGGTAAAGTGGCAGCGGCGGGAGAAGTGCCAATGCCTCGCTGAGACTTGATTTAGAGCCCATTGTCGATGGCGTGGCCATCAGTAAACGTACTGCCGGCCTCATTGTTGTGTCTGTGTTCTGGATGCAAAGGGAAATAAAATGATCAGAGTAATATGGTTATCCGATCAGGATGTTGAAGTCATTCCGACCGCGGTTCGGAAGGCGGTGAGAGAAAATGCGCTGTTACTTTTATTCTTTGGAATTACATGCAGTCAATCCCCAGATAAATTCTATAGGAGAGATGCTCCCTACACCCTGCACCTCCCACGTCTCCTTTGACACCATATACGAACCCTCCGAAGACTCCTACCTCTTTCTCGACACGCTCTCCTCTCCTTCCGAGTCATCATGGCTCTCCCACCGCTTCAACAACAACCACCTCGCCGATGAACACGAACCCAGCGGCCGTCCCCAAGAGACATCACCCGCCCCGCTAGTCGTGGAAGTCGGCACCGGGTCCGGCGTCGTCCTCGGCTTCGTGGCAGCAAACTCACTCGAGATCTTCGGTCGTCGCGATGTTCTCACCCTCGGTGTAGACGTGAATCGGAACGCATGTGTCGCGACGCAAGAAACAGTACAGAAAGCCATTTGCGAACGACAGTCTCCCAACACAGATAATAATACCTCCATCCCCGGTCCCCGTCCCCGTCCCCGTCCGCAAACCGTCTACTTGTCCTCCGTAATTGGCGATCTGACCAGTTCGATACGTCCGCGCAGCGTCGATGTCCTACTGTTTAATCCGCCGTATGTCCCGACTGAGGAGCTACCACGAGTGCCTTCTGCGACGGAGGAGGGGGAGGAAGAGACGGATTTGGCTTCGTTGACAAGGGCAGAGAAATTCGAGCGCGAGTCGTATTTCCTGTCGTTGACATATGCCGGGGGTAAGGATGGTATGGAGACGACTGATAGGCTGATCGGGGAGATCGCCACGTTGTTGGACCCCCTGCGTGGAGTGGCGTATGTGCTGCTTTGTGCGCAGAATCGGCCGGATCAAGTCAAGCAGAGGATTCGTGATTGGGGACATGGTTGGCGCGCCGAGTCCGTGGGGAATAGTGGGATGCAGGCGGGGTGGGAGAAGTTGGTTATTGTGAGGATTTGGAGGGACTTAACTGGTGATATATAGATATACACATGATGGGACACGGTAGACGTGATGATTGTATGAATTATGATTGATAAAAGATGGGGATTCTCCGTTTCATGTCTCAGATATCGTTGTACAACACGACATCCATCCTAGTATAGGTGTCGAGGATAATAGAATTTTTTTCGTACAGAGTATCATTCAGCCAGCCACTCGATGCTATTTCCCGGCTAACGAGCACGGCAGTTTGTGGTGAGCGATCTGATGACAGCAACATATCGAAAAAGACCGTGCGTGCCACGCCGACCACAGCCTCAGCGACATCGTTTTTCGAGTCATCCATAATACCATCCGCTTCTGCAAGTAAAATCCGGATTATAAATGCATTTTGTTTCTCCTCCACAGAAAACAACAGACAGATAGAATCAAGTTGAACCCTCGAAGTTGAAAAAAAAAAAAGTCGATATCACCCAAGCCACACAAAGAAAAAAAAAAAAAGCAACAAAAAAAAGAACAAGGAATATCATCGAATTAGAACTCCCAAGCCATACATAATCTATTATTTGACCCGTCTAGAAACCTCGACCCCGACCACGACCGCGTCCCCGACCTCTGCCGCCACGACCACCACCACGTCCACCACGGCCGCCGCCGCCGCCACCGCGCTCGGCTTCCTTACGTGCCTTGTTCTTGGGCTTCGGCTGGTCGTCCACAAGCAGGGTATCCAGGGGCAGACTGTCGGGCAGGATGTAGTACCGGATCGTGGAGCCTCGGATATTGATCGTGTCTAGAGAGATGGGGTCTCGGCCTTTAGGGGTCATTTTGACAGTGCGCAAGGCGGTATTCATCTGGGGGGAGATGGAGGTGATAGTGCCGTGAAGGATGGTGCCTGTATTGCAACCAGGAGAGTATTAGATGAACGACTTCGTGGGCCGAGAGAGAAGATGCTGAAGAGATTGGGAGATGGGAAAGAAACCGACCATTTTTCAACTCAATCGTGACCGTCTCATTGGTGCACTTCATTAAAAACCTAGACAAGATGTCAGTCTTGATGTACTTGTTGAAGCAAGATACGGTCGCTCTCATGGCATGGCTCGCTAGCCTCGTAGCTGGGCAATGCAAATTCCGTGACCTAGGTGTGTACTCACCGGACGAGCTTCATGATGGCAACTGGGTGCACCACGTGCAGAGAAAAAAAGGATTTAACGGGGAGGAGAAATAAGAAGAAAGTGCGAACCGCACTTGTTGTCTAGACACTGGCTGGTCGAATTTCTCGGATGGGTTCTCCAAGTGTCTGGCTGGTGGATGTCTTAGGTTTGTGATCGCAGGCTGAGAGCTGTGGCACGTGACCAGGATGATTCCCAGTGCACAGACCCTGTGTATCACTATAGAATTTATTCACTTGGAATCTCTACAGATAACATATCCAGTACTCCGTATATTCCCATAATCTATTTCAATTCTTCATCATTCAATGGTATCTCTGGCTAAAAAAGAAGAAAAACGAAAAAAATTGCTGAAAAATCATAGAACTCCATGCCGCGCTTTGAAAATGGCGATTTTGTCATCATAAAACAGAATCTCCCGCAGCCGAAATGTCACCCGTGACCTATGGTTCTCGAGATCGGAGTCGTCTATGTCCGACAATGCTCGGTCTGAGGACAGCTCCGAGTTTGAATCCATCGCGCTGGCTGCACCCGTACCGTCAGATCCATCCTCTTCCGACTCTGACGCTGACCAGTCGATGCCGGGTCCAAGACCTTCGCTGTGGCTGTCATCTGCATCGTCAAACTCGACTTTATCACCACGTTTGCCCTCCAGAATTTCGTAGCACTTGTTTTGCATGCCCACGTAACTCAGCCCCACCTCCGGCCGGATGATGATAATGTCTAGGATTTGCAGTGCTAGTTCTTTCGGATCCCGATGCACGGGATGGGCGATGTGAGGAATATGGATAGCTCGAAGTTGCGGAACGTTGGGCAGTCGCTGTAAGAAATAGTGCTGTTTACAGATTAGCTGAGTCTCTTAGAAGCATATTGATATCGATTATGTCTTACCCAGTCCTTAGAGTGTATAGTCATGGATAATTCGCGCAGCCGGGGCATGCGTCCGCTGGTGACAAAGGAAACCATATCTCGCGTGAACATCCATTTACGCCAGCGACTGGTGGCAATTTCAACACCGCCTACTGACCGCTCCGTACTATCAATAAGTACCTTTTTAAGGCTCATCCGATGATGCCGCATGACATTCCGGTATATGGCGTCAATTTGGACGATAGAGTCATACATGGGAGCCTCGTGCAAAAACAGCGTTTCGAGGGTATTAGGAGCAAGGGTGTCCTTGATAAATAGTAGTAGATATGGAGACACAGCATCCGTATGGATGTGTTTGAGTCTCAGAAAGTGTTCTGATGAGAGGCCTTCTTGGCCATTGCCACCTTTTCTCCCTGTCCTCGGAGATGAGGGAGGTGCGGAGGATGGAGAAAATTGGCGACGCAGTGACCGCCAAAGCTTCTCATGCCCTTCACAGCGGAGGATTGTTAGAGACGTGAGCTGAGTCCAATCAAGACTATTCAGCATAACCGGGATGGACAAAGGCACGCGCTCTAGCGCTAAAGTTTCCAGTTGCAGCAGGTGGTCTTTTGATCCAGCATCCGAGGTCAGTGTAAAAGAGGGAGCCGGTTTTGAGACAGAACTAGAGGATTCAGTCTGGTCTTTTATTACCGAAGATTGAGCCGGGGATGGTTGTGCAGGTGTAGAAGGGGTAGCGGAGTCTGCCTCAGCGTTTAGACTCTGTTCTGATGATGCAGTGGGCTGAGGAGTAGGACTACTTGAAGCATCTCCAATGCTCCCGCTCTCGGGCACTTTTTTCGAAGAAGCTTCGTCCGTCACCCTATCCGGACATGGCTGATCATCAGACTTGCCTAGTAGAGCTCCCAGGACACCTCCGATCTTAGGCCAACCCGTCCTTACAGTGCTAGCTGGCTCCCGAGAGGACCCTCCTAACGGCTTTAGCCAATCTGCCTGGTAGACCCTTGAGGAAATGCCAATGCGTAGCTCCTTCATCCGATCCCAAGAACGGTGAATGAGTACTGCTGCTTCCTCAATATACGACGGCTCGTCAATGTCGAGCACACTCAAACTCTTCAGCGGAGGCACTATCGATAGGGACGGATACTCCACATGACCATATCTGTGGAGTAATGGTGAAATGGTGGCGGGAGAAGCAGCACCGGCCTGTGTTTGTGGAAGCGTAAGAGAAGACGCAGCCGAGGCAGCGCGCACTGGACTTTCCGAGTTATCGTGCCATCTGACCCAAACACGCTCCAAGCGACATCGATGTCCTGGTCGATCTGCTAATGACGCAAGTGCAATCCACACGTCTCTGAGAACACCGGTAGGCATGTCCCATACGAATGTCTCCAAATTAACCATCCGAGCAATGGCCAAGGCAACCAAAGTCCCCAGCATTTTCCCCGTCTCCTTGGTCACAGAGTACTCTTGAACCCAAATCAACGGCCCATTTCCCACTGAGAATTTGCGGGTATATTGCGCATAATAATTCCCTCGGCGAACCCTCCTTATAGGATCTATCCCTCTTTGTGTACTTGATCGGGTGCAGGAATTATTGAAGCCCCAGTGTGGACAAGACCCATCTGACCGGTATGTAGGCGGTAGTTCGTGAAAGATATCTTCCCCCATTACTAATGTCGCCAAGCCGTAGGAGAGGGCGTCAACTCCAGCTGGATGATCAGAAGATGACAACGTGTCAGGCCAGACAATATCGAATCGCGAATACATCTGAGGAATGGCTAGAGAGTGAAGCGTTGAGCATGTCAGAGCCAGCGACGTCAAATCATTGGTATGCGTGACCTGTAATATGCAAAGATGGCTTAGTTAAGAATTATACCCAGAGTGAGAGTTGAGAAACAGGATGTGTATCTACCTCCTTGATGATTTCTTGTAAGACATCCATAGGCAGACCAAGCAAATGTAGAGGCTTATTCGCTTCTACGGTTCTCACACCATCTGCGGAATGACTCTTCGCCGTCCTCGCTGCCAGAGTTGTAGGATCAGTCCCAGCACTAGTTGCCTCTGATTTAGCACAGTCGGTTGATTGTTGGGGTTTATCTGGTTCGCTATGATTCAACATCGTCGCCGATTCCGTCTGCGATAGGGTTTTCTCTGCTGGTATTCCCTCAGATGCCACTGAGGCTGTACTCGCAGTAGACTCAAAACCCTCTTCGTCGGATGATGCGCCTATGTCGAAGCCAGCCCGATAATCGGCATGTAGGCTGCTGGACTCCGCCATATTATTGACGGTTGACATCGCACAAGATTTACTCACAAAAATACAGTAGAACTCAAGACATCACCAAGTGAGTCAACAGAAAGAGGAAGAGGAGTCAGAAGGGTAACATGGGGAAATAAAGACTTGATAATCAGTGCTAGCCTTTGATAGATACAACGGAATTGACGGATCTGATCCGGGGTAAATGAAGTAATTAAGAACAGGGGCGTGGCTTGAACTCGCCGGCAGAGAGAAATGGTGCCACAAGAAAAGCAAAAAGTATTCACCAACCAACAAAGACACAAGTTCGGACATGCAGGCAGGACTGATCTGCCGAGCTCTCACCCAGCGGGGAGGAGATCTACTAGGTTGAGCAGTCCAGAGTGATTTGAGAGTGACATGGGGAAAGCTGCTTGCCTGGCTCGGCGTTAGCGGCTCCCTACGTTCCTGAGGCAGTCAGGCTCAAATACTTGCTTGCCTTAGGCAAATGTTTCCCGGGCTGCACGTGCCGCGTCGATCGTACAGAGAACGAGTCATTTTCATTATGAATCTTGGAATTACTACCCTACATACAACTAACAAAGAGACACAGAACGGAAATGATACAACAGAGGATATATAAACGTAAGTGCAAAAAGCAAAATAAAACTCAGGACTTAGTAGTCTCAGAATGAAGCACATCGCACACTCTCCCTACAAAACCTTCGAGTCCCGACGGTGAAGTAGGATTGTGCGCAGAGGCCAATGCAGACGAAGCTCCAGGCATAAGGAGCACCCGGGAGCCAATTTCAATCCATTCCACAGACGTGACAAATGAAAATGTGATGTTCACCTCCTCTTGAGCGGCACTTCTAGAGGAACAGATCATCTGGTTCACTTCTGACTCACCATCCCGTTCGCGATCAGCAATATCACCATCAAAATCGAAGAATTCAGGCTCTGCTGGAGACGGTGGTCTCGAGACGATATCATCTCCGGCAAGCGCCATGCACGTCACCTTCACGGTTGATCGAACGTTTGCAATATAGACGATTGCATTGCCACCCAAAAGCAACGGGGGTGACAACGAAGAAGCGAATTCACTTGACGCAAAGCTAGCAACAAACCCAGTGTGAAACAAGAGGGACTTAGAGATGGACGTGGCAGATGCTCCAAAACTGGCCAACACAGTTCCTTTGCGAACCTTGCCGAGTCGCGCCGACTGTCCCACTTGGTTAGAAGGGAGCGGCTCGACTCCGACTGTGCCCACTTGGTCCTGTATTAATTTTTGTACTGGCAGTCGGAGATTTCGAACGCTGACAACACGGACACGCTGCCAATGGGCTTGAGCAGGAAAAGGAGCCTTGCCGGAAAGGAGTCCTTGGACGAAAGAGGAAGAGAAGTCCCTCGAGGGCGGCCGGCTTTGACCAGAATCATCCTGTGGCTGCATATCGGGTCGCCGCTCTTGTCGGTATCGAGCTCCTTGCTCGGGTGGTGTATTGGCTGGGAGCGGTCCGATAACCATTTCGTCTCCTATTGAGATAGCCCCATAGCGCACTAGACCACACAGAACCATGCCATGATTTTCCTTATGAAGCTCTTCCGAGGAAACGGAGTAGACTTTCGATGGGGGAATAGCAAACACTTCGTCAACGTCGAATACATTCATGGGAAGATGTGGCGGTGGGATTGACTTTACGCTGGATACTGTCCTAAGTGGCGGCCTGGTAGGTATGGGAAGATACCGAAGGAGCGCATGCAATTTGCCAATACCTGATCCGTCAACAGCGCTCGTAAGACATATAGGGACCGTAGACAGCCAGTTATCTGTTGTATCAATAATCTTCCGTACTTCTAGGCCATCGTTTGATTTTAAATGCTGCAGGTCCACGGTCTTATCATATGCGATTGACTGAGCAGGTAGCATTACAGGCTTCTTGCCACAAGCCTTCAGCTCAGAGAGTACTCTTGTAAGTGTGTTTCTCAAGCTCGTGCGAGATGCCAAATCCATCTTAGTGATTACCACAATGATAGGGGTATTTAACTTGACGCACAGGTCAAGATGTGACAAGGCTAGTTTGATATCAGTCGTGTGCTCAGCACCGCTGTTTCCAAACTCCGGCGAGGTATCATCATCACAATTGGCAGGAATACACAGCAGCGCATAATGCGGTGCCCAGCTAACCAAACCACGCAGTGTAGACTTTAAGTATCGCACCGAGCCTGGGAGATCAGAGACGAATGCCAGGCGGCCACCTTGTGAGGCTGCATGCACATCATCCCATGCTGCAACATTGCCTGATGCATAGTTGATTATATCGACGCTGTACGCTGACGTACTATTGGGAGCGTATCCAATTAGCTCATGAGCAACAGAGCTCGTGATTCCGGAGGAGATCTCATGGCGGTGCTTTAGTAGGCTAAGTCGGCTGGTTCCTCTTCCATTGTCAAGTACGGACGAAGTCAAAGTACCTACAAGTGATGATTTGCCGGCCGTACTAGGTCCTGAGATGGAGACGCGAATTTGCTCTGTTGTGGAGAAGCCTCCCTCGCGTAAAACATCCGATTTTTGTTTTCCAGATGGAGAGATTCCTTCGTGGGAGTTCTTTCTGGGCGATCGAACGTGGTAATAATCCCAATCGGGACTCACCAGCGCTTCGGCAACCCAGAGATGTCCTGTATGGTGCTTCGCACCGTCATTATCTCCAGCACACACGTCGTCTGTCCATTCACACTTTCCTACAATTACCCGTCGGAGAATCTGGACCTTGCAGCCTAGACTGGCAGCCATGACTTGTAAGTTAGAGAGACTTTCCTCCAGTTCGTCTTGGGCTAATCCAACGAAGGTTCCATCGTCGGCGATGCCAATTTCATACAGAGCGCCTTGGCTCTCTTCAAGGCCAGGAAGCAAGCGAGCCGGTTTCTGCGGAGTCTCCAGTTCAGCTGTCGCTTCCGGGAGAACGGGAAGCACAAGATTGGCAGCGGTAGAAGAATGAAACGGCGAAGACTGCTGTAGGCGCCATAACAACTGGGTTGTCAATTGCTGCAGTCGTTGCTGGCGACTCTGGGTCGAGCGAGTTTGGGGCGGCTTCAATTGCGACTCATAGCTTGAAGGTGTCGGTCCAGAAGTCGACAAGCTCGCACGGGAATGATATGAGCCACCCACGAGGTGGCCTGTGGACATTGATGCGTACAAACGTCGAGGACGCAACAGGAGATGAAGCTTGTACTCTGTTGGTCCTTCCTGCGGCTCTGGCTCCAACTTTATGATGCCATAATCCGATAAGACATCGGCATCTGCTTGGTTCAAATTTGTGCTGGAGCGAGTCCGAATCGCTATGCGGGCGCCACTCCCAGTCAACTGTGGAGTGGACGACCCAGAAGTAGACCATGGCGAGGAGACCCTGGGCGGGTCAGGGTCGTAAGTGAAGATGGAAGCCATGGTTCAATGCTGTGCGAAATCGATGCTAATTGCAGGGGCGATTGGGGAAAGGAGCAACAGAAACAAGTTTAAACGAGACCCAATCCCAGTCGGGGTATGTGAAAGTTTAATAATAGACCACGTAAATTCACGTACGTTTGAAATCCCACACATACACAGTGATGTTGGATTGGTATAGTCATTTTGGGAGTGTGGAATACGGCAACGTGGGCAATACAGCTGTAGGCACAATGTCCTGAAAAGAGAGGAGAACCCCTTCAGATAAATGGGTCACGATATGGTTATAAATAGTTGACAACACCGAATGATTCAGAAGTAAACAACCGACATAATGATGCAGCACAGTGACTCACTGGTTGCTCCTGAAATCCCAGGCCATCCCATTCCCAGCCTCGTTGACGCCGTGACTCGGTCAGGTGATCAGTGATGTAAGTACCACGTGCTGATACATTTCTGCCTCAGGCAACAATGTAGCAATTCCATCTCTAAGGGCGATATACTAACTACGCAGTATATAGCTCCGCTAGATATTTACTACGATCATCAGACTAAACGAGACACAGAGTAATTAAGAATGTAATTTATTGAAGAAGCCACTTGGTGAGAGTAAACAATTCATGCATGTTACAAATATAATTCCTTTTTTCTCCATGATTACCACGTCATCCAGGCCATTAGGTTGACAGACTATGTGATACAATAGGCCGGAATGATATAGGACATAGACTTAAATGTCCTTTCAATTAGTGGAGGAAAACGTGAACATTGCACAGACTTCTTTGCATAAAACTAGTCCATATTGTCGAAGAGGTCAAAGTAGACCCGAAATGCATGATGCAGATCTCCCACTAAAGTTATTTATAATCCAGTCGGCAGCCATCAGTACGAGATGTCGCGTCGAGGTTTCTTTGCCTCAAGTCAAATCCAAGAGATGCCTTGGCCAAGAATTGGCTCTGCAAAGAGTGACATAGATCTAACCTCGTTATCATGGGCTTCTGGTAATCGGAAGCAAGGCTTTAAGAAAGCATTGGAATCATGTAGAACTCAACGACCATACGACGCTGACTGCATCAAGGGTGTAAATTCTGGATTTCAACATCCCTGTCCATCATGTGACCGGCAATTGACGCCCACTCAGCCCACTTGGATCGTTTAGTTTCCTGTTGACACTTCGAGGCTGTTTGTGAAATCATACAGTCAACATGCTAGATAAACACTACCTTTATTATGGACCTAGCCTTCCCGCTATATCAGTCCGAATGACTGCACAGCAGTCTAAAGTTCTTGGTGCGCCATACTAGAGGGGTAGCTTCGCATCAGGTGTTAGGTGGACTAGCTTGAGAAGTGATTCCAGTGATATTCTTGGTGATGCTATTGTGGAGGTGCCTGTGAAAGGCGTCAGAGTTGAGGACACATGGTAGTGCACTTTGAAGTGCCAGGTCCATGCCAGACACAAGGAGTGGATATATAGAAGATACACGGTTTACTCCATGCCCTCTTCATATACCATATTTATGGGACCAGCTCCAGATGAATCCAGAGCCCTCAACGAGGTTGAGATTCGTTAGGTCAAATATATCATTCGTAAAGATGATCATCCGTCCAACTCCGGCTAGACAGGCATCAACCCGTGTATTTTATTGATCTGAAAAATTGAGCCAAATAGCAATCAGTGATGATACATCTATGGCTAGCCCATATCTAGGCGAATGATGGGGGAAGTATTGCAGTTGGAGGGTTGATTCCCGGTGCAATGCTTCAAAAGAACCAAAACTGACAAGGAACTCCATTCAAAGTGGAGGGCTTCCACAGTTTTCAGGTTAGTATGAAATGACTGCACCTTTAAGAACTTCCAGGTTCATCCAAAACTCGGGGTTTTAGCATCTAATAAAGCTGGCAGATGGTATTAGCCCATGGAATGTGAACGCAGAAAAGTCTGATCTCCTTGGGAGAGGAAACGTCTTTGGAAATATCATCATCAATATTTGGACGATATAATGCAGGAATCGTCACTCGATTTGATATGCACACCAACCAACTGCACAACATCTGGCACCAGAGAGGCATGCACGAACCTGGCCAGGTTTCTACCTTCTTGATGTGCTTCCAACTGGCAAGAACCCGGCACATCGGATACGAAAGTACACTTGCTCTGACTGTTAACCTGGAAATTGCTACGGTCGGATTGGTCCAACTAGTTAATTAGTAAAAACCAACTGACGAACTGCCTGTGAGCTTTGATCCCTTCAAAAGTTCAAAGAAACTTCCACCCCTCCATGACTCCGTGTCTTCCAACGAATGGGACGGTGCTAGGCTGAACAAAAGATCTTGGGTGGCTCTTTTGGTCAATTGCCCCACAAAGTAAGACGACAAATGCTGCGAGCCTATAGGAAATTCTGAGTGAATTCATGTGCTGACAGTCTTGAGGGACTTGTCCGACGGACGGCATGATTATCGATCCGCGAGCCCCGAGATTGATGCCCAACTGTAATCTGTACAGAAATCATGACTTCTAGAGACTGAGAGAAGGGCATCCTTGCGATTCACGAAACCACCGGCTACAGATGTCGTTGCTCCTCCAGCCCATCCCGGTGAACATGATCACAGTGGGATCAGACGAAGTGGCAATTCCATAGAAATTATGGGGTACTCAACAAAATGCTCACTGTTGGAACTCATCTCAATTATGGCCCACCCGGTGAAACAAGCTACTGACTTGGCTGTAGAGTGTGGTCCATTCTTTCGATTGAGTACACGCCAGCCATGATGGGACGGTAAGAGCCATTTCCATTGTCACGGCGACAGACCGGTGGAGACAGATGCCCCGGGGGAACTCCACGACCCGTTTGTATAGTTGCCTAAACGAAGACAACAGCGACCAGATGTAGCTCGGTTTATACGGTGCGGAAAACTTGGCCAGGTTGAAGGACATGTCACAGAAAAAGTCGATCCCCAACAGACATCGACGTTTTTCCCCCCAGGATGTGCAGAACGATGGATTGTCTTCCCGTCAACACTTCTTACAGGCGATCATGACCACGAGAAGCAGCTACTACGATGACAAGACGGACAGGGTTGATCGGGCTAAGTCCGCGTGTATGTCTCAGCTCGTATCTCTTTCTGGGTGGTGTCATCGAGTTCTCCCCACCCTAGCGAGTACCGACAGCACCATGGTACCACGGCAGCCCAGGACATGTACAACTCGTTCACTTCATGCGAGCTTGACTCGTTACAGCCTCTGATTCCAATGTCAACAAAGCTAAACAGGTTCCAATTATAGTTCTTTACCACCCCCTTTTTTTTTTTTTTTTTTTACAAGGGCATTGTCTCTATCCCCTAATCTGATGAAGGACACACGTGGTGACGATGATGATCCACACGTCTCAGACTTTAGCAACTGAATCACATTTGGACCCCATATTGTCCCATCCAGTTACAGTGCTCTGCTCATTCTGCAGTTCGCTGAAAATAGTGAGAGTTGAACAAATAAATAAAAATACAGAAGTAAAATAAAAGGGAAGTCAGACACAATACAGACAGCTGTCTCTGTCCCGTACTAAAGGAGAGAAAAAGTAATTAAAAGAGCCCCTGGTGGTTTAGAGTCTCCGCTTCAAAGCCACTAAAAAGGTTAAATATAGCATGTTTCTGAAATCTCAAGCCCCTGGAATTGAAAGTCTGTACTCTCTAGGTAAGATCTAAATTCAATCTCCAAGTTTTACCATGCTTGGTTGCTCACTATCCGTTCTATATACAGATCCGCCCGGTCTCGATGATGCTTAACGTAAAAAGAAAAGAAAATGCCGATCACTAAAACACAACAATAAACAAGTAAAGAAAGAGATGGTACTAGACCAAAGAAAATAAAAGAAACAAAACGAAAATAACCAAAAAAATTAATGCAATGTCCAGCCCCATAAACCGAGAAAAGAAAACTCCGTCTTTAGCAACTAAGGGTATCAGCATTCCCAATCTAGTTTCCCATCGGACCTTTCAATCTCTCCGTCCAACAACCAACCAGATCACCGATCCCCGACTATCAATTCGCTCGATAGATCGTCTGGCGTCTTTAAGTCTTTATAAAAAAAAAAAAAAAAAGGAAAGCAAAGCGAAAGGACCACCACGAGGTTGAATATTCGAAGGCCACTTCCTCTTGCTTTTCCCACTGTGCTGCTTGGTTTGTACAGATCGTCATAGATGTATGTGCCCGCGCATGTATCCCGTTTCTTCACTCTGGTCGTATTGCGTCGGGTCCTATTTCGGCAAAAGTGCCCACAAGATAGGGTATACCGTATAAAGATGAACGTGTTTCTCGAATATTTTCTATTCGATAGAGGTCTCCCTGCCACCACTTTTGCATTTGCCTTGCGCAACGTGGATGTTCCGGGCTGTAGTTCGTGTGAACACCGCGCCGCAGCTGGGACATTCTGCTTTGGCGACGACGCCAGATTTCTCACGCTGATGACGGAGGAGATTGCTGAAAGTGGAGAATTCACGGCCGTTGCAGCCGTGGTCCCAGCATTGGGGTTTGGGTCGGAAGCTAATTACTCGGACTTGCTGTTCAGGATCCGAAGAGGCAGGGGCTGAGTCGGGAGATGAATATACTGTTCCTGGTGTCATGAGACTTTGTGGTTGCGGACTCACGGCGAGTGAGCTGGGATTTGAACTGGGAGAGTTTGGTTAGTGGATGCCGGATTTAGAGATCAAGTAGTGGCTCACGAGAAGGAGGGATTCTGCGCTAGATAGTAATCTTGTTGGTTGACGAGGTAGGAAGAATGACTGGACCCGCAAATGTTAGTGTACTAAACCCTTGATAGTGTGCGCCTTTCCAGAGCTCCTTACGATGAAGTGTATGATGAGGGGTCTTGTATCGTTGGAGGACTGCCGGATACTTGACTACTGGGGAACGAATAGGGCATAGGAGAGCTATCCACAATCAGATCATGGATAGGGGCCCAGTCAATGCGCGTTGCGAGCTTACCTGCGGGGATGATGGCGGCCCTGGGACATCGAAGCGTGAGAAACAAGGTACTGTGCTGCGGGACCTCCAGGTTGATAGTAACTCTGCGTGCTAGGTGGCGGATTGTATCCAACCTGATACCCCGGTGCCGATGATAGCGGAGGCTGAGGGAAAGACTGTTGATCCATAGCCATGGAAGAGGGATGGTACTGTTGCGATGAACGATTTTGCCAACCGTAATCTAGTCATGAGTCAGTTTGAGCAGTCAAAGCTCCAGGGACAAAGCAGGACGTACTGTGCGTGTTGTTTGCCATGGCGCCTGGTGCGTATGCTCCGGATGTTGCGTATACAGACTAGGAAGATATCAGCCAAGGAGTTCTGGCAGCATCTCATGACCTCTCTGGGTAGATTTTCGCTCGACATACCATGAATCCGCCTCTAGTCCTTGTCTTTGTCGTGACGGACACAATGCAGAGAAGATCAACTCCTTGCTTGTTCGTTTAGAGTCCCCTCCCCCTGGCGAATGAATCACTTGCGAAGAAATTGGAAATAATTGCAAATCGCTGTGCTTCACAGTATTCTCGATTTGACAGTTGCTGCTGAGCAATATGGAGTAGGAGAACCTCGTCGACCTCGAGAACTCAACTTCAAGGCCAATCCAGGGCCCAACGATAAAAGGACAGTCCACCCACTTTACGATGGAATGAATCGCCAATCGGCCATGTAAAAATTAACGATGAGGAGTTGCTGCTCTTTCTTCAGACACTGCGCGCGATGGGAATGTGGTTCAGGATTTAGACACGAGAACACAGAAATATAAGTATCAACAAGGTAAGAGACATACAGTGCGTGTCTTTAGCAGATCTCTTATTCTTCAAACAGCCACAGCAGCCACAAGTGACCAGGGTCCCTACGGGTGAATCTGTCCGGGATGACAATATAATACTGGGGGGGGAACGAGGCAAATTATCAAGAGACCGAAGCAAGTGAGTATTTAAACGCCCTGGACCCAACAGATTGAGAGGTGAGATCAGGCGAAGAATAATAAAATAAAATAAATAATACTAAATCGACGCAATGAGCATGAACCGGGGGGCCGACAATAGTTCGTTTGGAACTTAGCAGCAACAGCCGTCGAAGTTGTCGTCTGGAGCTCAGCTTATGGCCAGTGACAATTGTTTTTAGTCGCGGGCTTAGTCGGAGTCGGTCAAATTTGGCGGGTTGTCGTAATATCTGGGTATCGTTTGGAGAGGGCTTTTCTTATTAGTATTAGTACTAGTATTAGTATTAGTATTTTTATTTATTTAAATTTGGGGCTCATTCATTTTATTTTCTCGCCCTGAGCTTTTTCAATTTGATTAAACTCATTTCTAATACGCTCAACTCTTCACTGCCACGGTCTGACACTGAACAAACCAACACGGTCAACTTCACAGAGTACGCTGACTGGTCCATGATGGAACTTTTTGTGGTTTGATCTCCCTGGGGTCCCTTTTTTTTTTTTTTTTTAAGGCGTTGCGCTGTTCCCCTATTTCCTAACCTGGCATTTGGTCGCCATGGCGGCTATTGTTCAACCAGTTCAGACTGCTCTAGCATTGAGTACTAAGGAGGGGGAGTACGGGAGAGATTTTTGCCACATGGTCTCTACGCATCTGCTTCTGCGCACATCATCTTTACGAAATAAGGAAATTTTCGGGATACCAGGTGCTGACCTGCAAATGATTTTCACGATCCCGGACCTGGACACCATCCAATCCAGAAGTGGCACATCTACAAATAGGACCATGAATCACCTGGACTGGCTATCTAGGGATCCACTTCACAGGGCTTGACACAGGCGACGTTTGTTGGCCCCGTATGGTTACCGATCGTGGACGGACCCATGGAAGACGGACTCATTTTGAATCCCGTAAACAAGAAACAAGGTGCAGGAGCCGTAGTAAAACCGGGGGGAGAAGGCTTCTTAGTGTCGTCTTCTCCCCTGGCCCCGGCATTTGCCCACGCTAATGGTTTTTTTTTTGACCCTTTCTCAACCCTTGTCATTGATTTACCAGGGTTCTTCTTGTCCTCGTCCTCTCTTTTCCATTTCAGCCCCAGGAGGCTAACCGACGCCACAGGTGGTGTGGTTTTTTCCATTGCCCTTCTTTAATTTTCTTTGGTGGATGCACTGATTAGTGATTTGGGGGCCAAAGTTGGTAGGATAGGCCGATTCGTATATCGGAACCAGCCAGAGCGGGTACCGGACTCGGACTGGTTGAGTAAGACACGGCTAGGCATATGTGGAGTCAACAACCGATCACTGTGATAGGGAGAGGGGCGTTTTAGATCCGGAACCACATGGCGATAAGCAATGGGCGGTTCAATTGGAGCTCGTTCCTTTCCCTTCCTCCGGGGTAGTGATGGTTGCCATTTGCCCATCTCAGCCAGCCCAAGAGAGGGGATAGAAGGAAACAAAAAAGCGCGTGGAATGGGATCCATCGGGATTGGCGCCAGAAGGAATGGCTCCCGTAAATGACATGACGATGATCCAAGGAGTGAATCTTGTTCGGATGCATCAGAGCTTTTGACCAATTCGTTTGGCCCCCACTAAGTTGACAAAGTTGACGCCAGCCACTTCTGGATCCGCCCTTTCGAATCAGCATGAAGTCGAGACTGGCGGTACAGGGGGTAGTAAATGGAAATGAGTACGAAGCATAGGACATGCAAGTGGTTTGAAAGAGAAAATGAGAAGGAAACGAAGATGGTGTTTTTTTAATTTTTAATTTTTTTTTTTTTTTTTTTGACACAGGATTTGTTTTATTTAAATCACCATTCCAAAGCAAGTTACATAGAAACAAAACAAATAAAACCGTAAACTGACCGTGGACCTTAATCTAGTATGGTTGGCAACCCTGCACAAGACTACCATGATGACGTTATCTGCTGGTATCTGCGAGGTAACTGAAAGTACCCAGATGAAACCATTCCACTCTGTTGTATTTTTTTTTTTTTTTTTTTTTTTTTTTTTTTTTTTTTTTTGTGGATTGATTCTCGCCAGGATTGATTGGCGAGGGCGAACCAACACCAACCGTGAAACACTGGCGGGAAGATGTTTTTGGTTCCGTCCCCACGGACGGAAATAGGCAGGTTCTGACACGTCGCTTGCTACTCCGAAGTCTGGAGATTTCTCGAGCATGTGGCCTTGAATACATAATGATGGAGATGACTGCTGCGCTAAAGAGGTGGAGGACCGCCACCATCCGATCGAGAGTAGTGTCGTACTCACCGTGTTGTCGTGTTGTCGTGTTGTCGGTGACTCGGACCTGTGGTTAGTATCCACTACCTATTCCGAATTCACTAGTTACTTATTTAATCAATCAATTATCAATCCAAGAAGAGGGGAAAGGTGGCGTCGATCGTAGCGGGAGAGGATGGCCACGGAATGCAAATAGATTAAGCCACTCTTTTCTGGCTAACGGTTTAGCCCAACCCCATGACGCCGTGGGTGTCACTTGATGTGCGCACTAACTCTCCATGGTGCATTTTTAGTCGACCCCAACTGGGCAATTGACATCGTAACCTCACCAGCCTCTTTCGTCTTTCCCCACACAGAACCATAGCAGCTTGTACTCATCAATTAATTGCCGTTTGTCGGCGAGAGATTTCCGAACACAACCCTCCGTGTTCCATTGTTCATCGTCCATCGTTCATCGTCTAGAGCTACAGCGAAGCGACCCGAAGGGAGAGGCCAGATTAGGTAGATAAAGAGATGCGGGACAACAACACCAAATGCAGATCCACTTTGAAACCTCAACACCGTCCCCTGCCATGACGGCTATTAAGTACCAAGGTGAAACTGTCCTCTATTCTCCGTAAGGTTTGGGCTGAGCCTTCAAGGACCAAACGATCGGCCGGTCTCCACGTGCCGCGCACTTTTATCGATCCTGCTGGCCTGTTTTCCCTTAGTTTGGTCACTCCTCCTAGGTACGGAGTGCAGACTGTGGCCTCGTCGAATACTACCTGGACGGTGGAGATGCTGACATGATTCGAATGGGCCATCTAGGTCTAACTATAAATGGCTATGCCTAGAAGGAAAAGGAAAGCCCATAAGCCTAACTAAAAACCGCCCACCGTTGGCGCCTTCTGCTCCCAACCTCCCGGAGTACATAGTGAACTAGTCAGCCTAGTACGCCCACCCCTGGTCTAAAGTGCTGAACCGGTCGCACAAGCATGCGCGCGACTCTTCGCTCTCGCAAGGGTCCCTAGCCCATACCATTCATACCAGTTCATTGAAACCCCCACGTAAGTACTCCAAGCGCCATGTGGCATGTCGTGTGGGATACCCTGGAAGGGCCACGAGGATCCCACCATGCATAATTCCTTTGTGTTGCCGGCGGCAAAACGTCTCACTATTCTCCGATGATTCGTGGGTCACCTTGGCAGCTCACGTGGACGGTGTCTAATATGATTTACACCACACTATGTGTTTCATTGGTTGACTAGGCAGCAAGTAAACAGTCCAACAGAATCGGACTAGTGTCTGTACAACCACACGCAGCGGTACACGCCAGCTTTCAAACTGCAACCTCCCGTTTGAGTCTAGTGTCTATCTATTGACTGTTCTTTCGGAGTATGAACGGCCCCGGATCAACGTAGACCTTTTAGGGCGTAATTCAGGGCTCCCTGCATTGAAATTGTGTAGTAAAACCCAATTCAGCTTTGGCTACCCCTGATTCTCTGTCAGATAGGCAACCATCCCCTGGTTACGGCCCATAATCATTGCTGGAGAGTACTCCATTCATATGACTGAATCTGGATCAGCGCATCATAAATATCGCATTGTTACTGAGACGCGGAAGACGCCAAAATACCAACATTTCGGATTTCTCCCATGCAAACCATGCACGATATCGATGGCGACACGGCAAGCTGAGATGAACGCTAGTTTCGAAGGGATTGGGGCCGAGATGGGGCAGAACTGCATCCTTCACTCTTTTTTTTTGATCTCGAATATTCTAGGCCTCGCATTCGCTGAAGCCCAAGATGGGGCTCTTGTCGGTTGGTGGCGCTTAAGCACTCTCAAGTATACGTATGCAGCAGCTAACAATGCCAAACACCGACCCCGGTCATTCTGCTTCTATTTTCGCTGCTATCAGGGGCATACAGGTGGCAGTGCGTCCCCTTTCTCCTTTCCAAGTCAGCAGACATGAGAGAGAATCAAGACTGAGAAACGCAAAATATTACTCTCGACACCAGTAGTTATTGAAAGTGCTGACAAATGCAATGTACAGTTCACTTTAAAATAAGCAATGGGAGATCGGCTGTCTGACTCTCCTAGCTTGGTGCAACCGTCTGATGTTGTGTTACAGGTTTGAATCTAAGCACTAATGGTGGAGGATATCTGCATGGAATCCCACCCCATGCTAAGGAGTAGGATTGTTCCTCATGACTCTGAAAGCCGAGCTGAGCTGGAAAAGGGGAAAAGCAATATGCGGAAGACATCTCCTGCTAGTGGACCAAATAAGTCACGTTTCATCATGCATGATGAGAGGCCATTTGAGTTTCCGACCAAAATAGTTCATGATGCATGGGACGGATGATCAGTGTGTATTACCAATTGAGGCTATTATCTACACCGCTATTCGCCCCCCGGCTCCCGGAAGACCGATATTGGGATGGTGTAGGATCCTTAAACGCTGGCCTGAAGACTCTCGGACGCAGGTAGGAGAGATAATCTGCTAAGCCTAATCAAATATGTAATAAAATGATTTGTATAACCATATGGACAGATCATATTATTTATTCAAAGCAATATGCTTTCGGGTCTATGCAAAAATATATATGTAGGTTATCTATAACTTAGGAGTAGAAGTAGATTAGGAAGTAAATATCCAAGTTAAGTATTGTACTATACGAATTTGCATAATTAAAGACGCCATTGACAATCCTTGATATTAATACGCGACTTCTGATATCTCTGTACTCTTTTTGGTGCCCAAAGCTGCACTCCGATTCATTTAAGCATTTCTCTATTCCATGCGCTCGCAAGTGGTACTGGAGCTAATTAGCTACCCTGCTAAAAAACATAACCCATAATATTGTACCTTATTGACTACTATATTTATCTCACTTAAGTATAGGTAGCCTCGCAGTAATGCAAACAATGATAAATACAATCTCGAGAGTCATAGGGCAATTGAATTGATCTCAGGAAGTGGTCGAGCAGTCTACAATTGCTTTCGGTGTGTTGACTCGTTGCTATGATATAGGAAGCGTCTGGACAAGTTCGATAAGAGTAATACTCTTTAGTATGAGATATAAACATTTGTTGGACCAAGAATTACAATGATTATACAGAGTTAGTGAGAGAGCAATGGATATAGTAGCGGCCTTTCTTTTCTAGTCAATGCTATTCGAGATAATGGTCACGTGCAGCCACGTGGACATATTCCTATATCAGCCCTATGGGTTAATAGACATCAATACACTTAAGCGAGTCTATCTTGGTGCTCCTTGATGTGTCCGGCTATCTTACAGTAGTATTGTGTCATAAATTGGATTACGTGTCTAGTTACTGCGCCAAGGGACCAATCACTTGTAAACTAGACGTTTGTGGGCTCGTGTCAGAAGATAATGTGACTATCTGATACGATCTGATATATTGGTGGAGGATAGGGAAGATACATAATGAGGCTATGTGCTTAATCCTCTAACAGCACGGAGTACATTCCATTACTGACAATACCTAATCTGATATAAAAGGCTACAACATAGCTGCCGTTGGCATGCCTGAACCACCAACGAAAGATCACATTCTCGCTTCGCCAAAAGCATACTAGTACCTACCATGGACTGGGACTAGGAGTCACATAAGTCCCGGTCACGGTTTTCCCACTGCACTGACTCGGGACTTTTGTTCCAGATGAGCCCCACGACGCTGGGACATCTCCATTCCGACGCGAGGCTGCTGTCAGGAATGCTGCGAATGACCACGTCAAGTCGGCTGCAGAAGCGGGGTCCCCACCATCACGTTTAAACTGCTCTGCCAGGCCACCATCACTGGGTGTGTACTGCTGCACAACGGAAAGGAAATCATCTGCGTATGATTTGACGGCTTTGGTAAGAGATGTATATTCGGTTGATTCCTTCTTGTATGATCCTGCTGTGACATCGCCAACAATGTCTTTGAAGAAAGGAAGAGACACTTCGGTGACGGACAAGGTCCCCTGTTTATCCCATTGGTAGAGAGCATCATAGAGCACTTCTGCCGCAGCTAATGTGGTAAGGTACCTTTATTTATCATATTCATCAGCATCGTCTAAAATAAGAAGAAAAAATACTAACCATGGATTGCCTCCCTGGTAGTTGTCCTCTGGATATCGGCCCACAGCAGCGCCTTTACCCGCACCACGATCTTTATTGACACCGTAGATAGACCGGAACGAATCGACGACAAGTTTGTGGTTAGACAATGCACGGGAAGAACAGGGCTGGAAGGTATTATCGTCGCAACCAGCGGCTGGGTCGAAAGTATGGATGGAGGCTAACAGAGAGTTTGCATCCAAACCGCTGCGGCCATTTGAAGGAACATTGGAGACAACACCCGTACCATTCCAGAAATCCTGGAGATGGCAAAGGATTTCGGGCGCCACGGAGCATGCATCGCATGTTTCACCAAGCGCATTTGCGAAGGCGCTTCCCTCAACCAAGGCTCTGTGCTGAACAGCCGTTGTGAAAAACGATGACCCTTGCACTTCCTCCCAAAGGTCAAATGTGTTCTGGTTCCAGTATTGTCCTATGTATGCCAGATCGTTTTGCACAAGAGGCCAGATATTACTCTTGACCAGGGTTTTCTTGCCGCTGTCAATTAAAGAGTTACCATACGAGATCAATGCAGAGGCACGAAGTCCAGGACCATCTCGCTGGGGACGGCCCCAGGAACCCGTGAAGGCAGAGATATTGACATTGAACTTCGGTTCGCCTAGACCAGAACCATCGGAGAGGCCTCCTGACGGATTTGACACTTTCTGCTGTGTGGCCTGCGAGTCGATAAAATCATGGATGAGAGACTCAAGCGATTTATCACCAGCACGGAATTTTTCGATCACGACCATCATCGTCAGGCTAGCGTCGCGTGTCCAGGTATAGAAATCTGTCTTGTTATTAACGCGCATATTGGGAAGACTTTAATGTTGACGTACAGTCTGGGTCCGTCTTGGACGGGGAGGCGACAACAATTCCAGCTGCGGCTCCTTTAACCAACTTCCCATCCGCTCCGATGTTATCAAGGACACCTTGCTTAGCGATGGGTGTTTCCTTCTCTATGAAGGCGTCTAGACCCCCTTGTCTCCTGTCCAGAGGGACCCGCGAAGATGCCAGCACGGCGCCGGTAAAGGCATGCAGACAGATGAGTGACTTTGCCCACATGATGGATCAAATACCATATATTAGTATTCGAAGGTTGAAGTTTTTTTTGATCACCATGACTTGAGCAGAAAGCGACGGTCCTTTATATGCTAGATTTCAGTCATGTTCTCCTGATTCCGTTGAGGCTACTTGGCAGACATTCTACAAGTAACGGGCAGATCACTCGGAGGTAATTTCACTAAATAAAAAGCCGTTACTAAAAGGGAGACAGATCCACAGATATCCGCCAAAATTGCAATTTGGCTAGATGGGATCGTCCCGATATCTCTCCGGAGTGTGCGGTGAACTAGGATATCACTGGCCAAAATTAATGCCCCAGCAGCCTAGTCATTTTTAGTGTATTCTTTCCCCATGCAATAACCAACCATTAGATTAATGTCTAATAGACTACGTGTTTAAACCTCGGATCGACGCCCTGGATCAAATCAGTTTTCATAGCTCTATAACACTAATTTCCGCACCTGGACACTGGTCGCTGAGGGCGAGTATAGCCAAGGCAGTAAATGTGCATGGCAGAAATGACACCATGCCCAAGCAACTTCTAGATACAACTGGGTCTAAGTATTGATTGTTTTATATTTAATCCTATACTGTGGTTGTTAACAGGTATGATAGAGACAAGATCACCCTATTGTGGTCTCATTTATGTTACTCACCTTGACGTCAAGAAATAATACAGAAAGGACATTTTTCTCGTCTGATGCAGTCAGGCTTAGCTGGACTTTGACACCCTTAACCCTGTCCATTATCCATTTTTCTAACATCTCCTGGGCAATAAAGAAGTCCCTGGTAGGATAGGCACCCGACTATCGAGGTAGGAACTGACGCCAGCCAAAATAATAATACGAAGGAATGATTTTTTTTACCTATGTTATCGATTAAATTGGTGTCATTTGATGGGCTAAAATGGAAACAGAAATCAAGCCTGGTCTGTAAATATCGTCGGGAGGCGTATGAAAATTCTGGGATCAGTGCTTGTTGAAGCGTATGAGAAAATTTCCCTCAGATGAGTCGAACAGTGTACGAATAGCTCGGGATAGACAAGTCTTGAAATAGAAATTGCCAATTCTGCTCTTATATACTGCATATTGTGGCTCAAAGACAGAAAACTCATGGGAACGCTGATTTGATCTAGACCCGGCTCAATCCCAGCAATTTCTTGAGCCTCAAAAGCAGAGAGTGTTGGTCCAAAATGCTCGAATGGACGGTGGTCTGAATTACGGGATAATCATAGAGACTGATATACTCAGAATTAGACAATTTCGTGCATATACCTCATCATTAGACAAAGAAAGGCAGTCACATGTCAACGAAACACGGGACAAGGTCAATATCAAACTTAGGGGGAAACAAGAGAGACAAAATAGCAAACCTCAAGGTCAACCCCGATATAGCTCCCCAATTACCTCCACCAACTCCGTCTTCCCACGCTTCACAATAGGATTAAATTTATCCAAGACATCCTGCGTCATCACACCCCCCGGTAGAAACGAGACAGTCATCTCGGTAAATCCATCAGCGAGCGACGGAGGCAGAACCTTCCCAAAAAACTCCCTCAGCTCCGACTTTTCGACCGGCTTGATTTCGACATCTTTACCCGCTGCTTGCTGGAATGCCGCCTGGACATCGCGCGGGGTATACAGTCTGGGCCCGTAGAGCTCGTAGATATACGGGGATTCCGGGAGAGTCTGTGGAGACGAGGTGGCGAGAAGCTGAGCGGCAACAGATTGAGCAATGTCTTTCACGGCAACCTGAAGACCGTTAGACTTAAAGAGTGAAAGGGGAAGGGAGTGGTATACATACCATATTCACTTTGTAATCCAGCGGGGTAATAGTGGAGAAGAAGAACGGATGCTCAGACTTGATCGTTTCAAGCACAGTGGCCCAATTTTCCATGAAATAGGCACACCTGACGAAAACAACCTCCGGTGCTGCGTCTCGGAGGATGGTTTCTGCAGTGTGGTTTGTCACGATTTCTCCCTACATGTGAATCAGTCTATCGCATCCGGCAAGGTAAGATTTCTACGGACCGTCCCTGAGGGGAGCTGGGCCCCAACACTCGAAAGTAGCACCAATCGTTTGACCGTTCCCGATTTCTGAATTGCAGCCTTGACATTATTGCATACAGACCGCGTGAATTCCACACTATCCGAGCCATCGTAGCAAGGCGGGGGAGTCAAAAAAACGGCATCGATGCCGGAAAAGTCAAGCGTCGTGACGTCTCCAATATTACCCTGCACGGAGCGAAAGTTCGTATGGCAGGTAAATTCTGACGGCACCTTGGACAGATTGCGATACACGCCTTGGACTGTCGGAGCGACTTGCTGGTCGTTGAGGAGGACTCGAATGGTCGCTTTGCCGGTTTGGGACGATGCGGGGACCACGGCGATGTGCATGTTGGGCTTATACTATCTAGACAAACGGTACTACCCACGTTCAAGAAGGTATTTTCTGTTGTCACCACTAAGGAATATTCAGTGATATGTAGCAGAACTGAACATTTTCAACTCAGCAAGTCCTCTCGTATTTCCCAACTCCACGTGAGTGGCGTGTAGCTTGGCGTTATGACGTCGACCTGGTTCAGATACTGCACTGTATATTTATTTTTTTCTACGCATAGATTGGCATTTTATATACCTCGAGCAAGATTAAAATAATACAAATTGTACTGAGAATGGTTGCAAGAAGATGACTCTGGGATGCTGCCTGGCTGGTGCCTAGAGGTGGGCCTTCGTATCCAGCCGGAGTACGTCGTATTCCAATACGAAGTGGACGATAATTGGCACACAGAACGAGTAGATGGCTGGTTAGGGGATATCTGTGGTTCACTGAGTATGTGAAACTTCCAGTGGCGTGCCTATCTGCACAGCGCCGGCTAGAAGCATATCTGCAGTAACGGAAGTATATAGGTCAGTTTAAAGTTAATTAGATGTTGTTTCTTCAGCTATAATCTATCAGATAAAGTAGAAATATAACAAATAAAATATAAACAGAGGTTTCCATATAGTTAACCAATATCCCCTCAGGTCTCAACACCTATCAATCGAATACTGACGACGGTGTCGTCCAACGGACCTCTCGGGCATAGAAATTTATAGAGTAGACTGACTGGGGCAATCTTTGCCATACTACATCACTAAGCCATCCCTAGAAGCCCCGTTTATTCCGGATATGCCCCCCACTTGCGACATCTGGTGGCCGTGGATACAGTGTCATCCCGATCCCCAGGCATACTAACACAATGAACATCTGCTCTAGAGTCTTCATGCACAACATGACAGTCGGATTACCCCAAATCATGCTAAATGACTGATCGTTGCTAAACGAGTTCATGAACGAGTAGATCAGACGTACGAGGAGCGGCGGGAGGGACAGTCCCACTGCCAGCAGAAGACGGTGCTCGCCTCTGGCGATGTGGATGTAGCGAGAGCCAACAAGCACCAGCAGAAGCAAAAGACCAATCCAGGCAAGCAGGAAGAGAATCAAGGTGATTCTAAGTTTCTCGTTTGTAAGCGCCTGCGAGATGTCCGAGTTCTCGGTCATCGCGACGATGCCGAGGATCATGGCAACGGCGCAGATTAAATGGGTAGCTTTGAATAGGTAGTTGCTAAAAGCGACGCGGTGTGTACTCTCAATGGTGCTATTTCTAATTTTTGTGCATATGATCAGTCTCCCACATTGTCAACAACATATTCGTTTTGTTTTGATACGTACGCTCGGGAGAGAAGGGAAATGCACGCCATAGTCAAAGGCGACATGCCCATGGAGCTGCAAACAATTGAGGCAATGTAAAGAGCTTTCGACTGGGGATTGTGTAGGGTGGCCAGGTAGCAGCAGCCCCCGATTACCTGGACGATGGAGAAGGTCGTGAAAAAGATCCAACCAGAGCTTGTTTTGAAGCCATGCTTCTTGGCCATCCACAGACCTGTGAAGGAGGTGGGAATATACACGAAAAGTTCAAAGATGGAGATGCCATGGCGGTAGTCGATTGTCATAGTCTCGGAAGTATACAGTTAACTTGGCTTGGAACTATAGGGGAATGTATAGAAGAACACAGGAATGATAATAGCTAGGTCGGCGAACACATCTGGTGAAATGGAAATATGATGGGAACTGTATGTCTATTTATCTCTTTGCAATCTATTCTATTGTTGTGACAATATACTAGCCTGAACATTTCCTCCATAGGAGGTTTTTTTTTTTTTTTGTCCCCTTCCCTTTTGGGTCAGTAGAGCGAACAATGAGGCGGAGGGGAGATAAGCAATGGATCTTACTGGCCGACACTACAAAGAGAAAGCTTGGTTTCATATCACAACCCAATCAAATGCATTTATTCTTCGCACAAACCACCAGATAAGGTTAGCTCGGCGGATCCCTCGATGGGCCTAAACTTGATTCGGTTAGCGACATCTCGCACGCAATGCAGAAATCCATCAGCCTGTTGACAAAAAATTATGGTATCGCTGCACTATACAGCGCTCTGAAGGTTGATTGATGTCAATATGGGTGAGTGGTCCGATCATTCTTACTTGGTTTTTATATGTGTAGTACGTTACAGCTGATGTTGTCAGGGTATGCCGGACCGCCATCGAAAGGGTGCGATGCTTGTCGCAGGCGGAAGATTAAAGTAAGTGCGTGGGGAACTTGGCGCGAACTGCTCTAGAGGAGCTACAGGAGCCAAGATAGTTAACCTATCTAAACTACTGGAAGGTGCTAACATTCGGCAGTGTGATCAGAACCCAGAGGGCTGTCGTCAGTGTGCACGGTCTCGAAAACCGTGTCCGGGATACAGGAATTACGTGGACTTGATCTTTAAAGATCAGAGTTACTCCGTTAAAAAGAAGGTTAGCTCTGCGACTGGCTCGTGGGGCTCCAATTCGACTACACCTCTAGATGAACGTCTTCATGCTGTGGCTCAGGGTATCTCCGTCAATAAAAAGATCCTCTCAACTGTCACGGCGGGTATTTCAAACACCGGTTTTGGTTCTGATATCCATGTAAACTCGGATACTTCTCATGCAGTACGGTCCACAAGCAAGTTGGAGACAAGTCAGACTGTCCGCAATGACTTTTACCAGAATATCTCGTCCTACAGTCAGGTTGTGCCTATGCGAGCTACCCCGATATTGTGGCAAAATCAGGCACCAAAAGACGTATATTTTACTTCACCGCTCGGTGTATGTCTATATCCAACAGTAAATGATCTCGGAACGGCCGTCTTCTTCAAACAGTATGCGCGACAACCCCCTCCATATTGCAACAACTTTCCAAGCCCGACTTTCTTTGACTTTGCAAGCACAATTCTTTCTCGGGATACGAGCAACCAGACCGCCTTGTCCTGTATTATGGCTGTGGGACTAGCTGGTCTTGCAAACATTAGACAACATGACCATGTGATGTTCGAGGCACGAAAGTATTATGTGCGAGGCTTAAACCTGGTCAACAAGGCACTTCACACTCCCTCTGATGCTGTCCAGGACACCACCCTCCTCTCGGTTATGCTGCTTCAGTTTTTCGAGCTCATCACTTGTACTGGTCGAAAGTTTATGCGCATACGGACGCAGCATATCAAGGGGGCATCTATTTTAGTAAAACTAAGAGGCAACGAGCAATTCACTTCCGAAGTCGGATTGCGGATGTTCCAGCAACTGTGTCATACCTTGGCTATCAACTGCATTCAGAATGGACTACCAGTGCCGCAGCATATCATTCACCTTCGACGCGAATGTAAGAAGTACGTCGATACTCGAAGTGTAGTATGGCTCACAAGCGAAATAACGATAAAGTTGGCGTCTTTGCGATCAAGAGTGATGAATGGTTCGCTGACAAGCCCGGAGCAAATCTTACAAGAAGCGCTCAGTCTTGATGACCAATTCAAATCCCTCTACGACAGGCTTGCGACAGAGCGGCCGTACGAAACCCGCTTTGACCAGGCCAATCCTCGAATATATAGAGGCACGTACCATATCTACCCCAAAATGTGGACCATGTACGCTTGGAACAACATTCGCAGCGGCCGCTGCCTTCTCCACCACCTGATCAGGATGGAAATGCTAAAAGGATTCTCGGCCATTCCGCCCCGTTACCTGACCCCAGAGTGTACAGTTATCTTTGAAACATCTCTCGACGTCATCCTGCAAATGCTTCGCGAGATTCTAGCCAGCGCTCCTCATACCATAGGCTGGGTGCCATCTGAGATCCCTATAGAGGCTATATCACGGGGTAGACATATGCTGATCTGGCCGTTCTACATTGCCAGCCATATTTGCATTGAGCTTGATATCTTTTCGACAGACGACCAAATCCAGAGCTATATCGCTTGTGTCCTAAGCGAGATTGGGCTAACAACTGGGATCCTAACCGCTACCCAGCTTGGGAGAGTTATGGAGGACAAGACGAATCACAAATGGCTCCCACGACTCCATAACGATACATATAGTGATGTTTTGGATTCCTATGCCGAAGACGCCGAGGGTTGGGACTATGAGCTGTGATTCTTGATATATCCTTGACCGAAAGAGAAGTCAGGGATATATCCGAACCCTGATTCTCGACTGTACATTGTATTGACGATTGCATGCTAATACGGAATACAAATATAATACCTGCACGACCAGTATGAGGGCCACCAGACCAGGCCCTATGAAGACAAGAAAAGATAAAATTGTAAAAAAAAAAAAAAAAAAAAAAAAAAAGACTTGTATTGTATTATACATTGGCCAGCTCCTCCACCTATCCAAAATGTCTCAATAGGTGGCGGAGTTGCTAGCATGCAGACCATCATCGAACCATCTATCTGCAGAAATAAAATGAACACCATCTACAGCGAAGTGACTCCCAAAAACGCGGAGACCTTCTCATCCAAGGAGGGATACGCTCGTTCTTGTGGAACTGGGGCATCCTAATACTCAAGCCATGCGCCGTACGGTCCCAAATATCGTAAACCGGCTTCGACATATCAGAGACGTTCAGGACCCAGTCTCGAGCATACCTCGTCAGAGCTTCCCCAGTAAGCTTCAGATGTAAGCATTCCCGCTCAGAAGGGGCACCAATCAGACCAGGATCGGGCTCTCACTGAGCCACCGCGGTGCTGGTCATTTTCTCGGTCTATTATGCCCTGGTTGGATACACACTCGGCCAAAGGCCAATAGACAGCTGTTTCTAAAGCCCACAGATACCCTTCTTTGCGGATTCCAACGGCTATCAACTGAGAGCTTCTGCCGAACCAGGAGAGAACTGCACTCCATGAGAAAGATGGATCCATAGTGGTTGTTTTTTGCTCTCTAAGTGGACGCCGTCTGTCTATGGCCTTCGCTAGTATCAGAGACAAACATGTTTGGCCCACACTTCCCCTATCTGTATTAGAAAATGTATTGCCCACTCTTAAAACGGCAGAGATAGGGCTTAACCATTTTCAGCCATAACAGGTCCTGTTCCTGACAATCTGATTGGCCGGTTCGCAAATGACGTCACTGATCTTATGGGATATGCAAACTAGCTAATCAAGGTGTAGATCGAGATGAGAAAAAGGTCCGACTAACTGTATATAGCAATCCTCTAACCCTGATCAGAAACCAACTCTCATCTCACCTGTATAGAGGTGTATACGGGGGCCGAGAGGATAAGAATAGTGACAAGGGTGCATAGGTGTTTGGACTTCGGGGGAGGGGGGGGGGTTAAAGACCCATATAAATGCTATCATACCAGACGTGGCAATTCTCAATCAGTCCCTCGTTCTTTGATTCCGTTCTTTCGTTTCGCTTTCCCAGCAGGCCCTTTGGAGTATAAAGCATTCCGAAGTTTGAGAACTATTCGTTCCTTAAAGCACCTAAATTGTAAGTTGACTGCATTTATGTGGTTCCGGAGGGCAAAATCTCATGTGGTTTCTGCTTCCAGATAAACCAACAACATGGGCAATATTAGTCGTGAAGGCTTTATTGTTCTGATCATTCTTGGCTGCATCGTTTCGGTCCTCATCGGCTACTCAATCCATTTCCTTGCAACTGGCGGATTCAAGAACGACAAGCAGGAACGTGAGATGTCCATTGACCAAAAACAGTATATGCGAGCCCTGCGCCAACGAAACTTGGACTGGATTGCTCGGGACGCCCGCACCGAATACAACACTAGAGGTGGCTCTGCAGTGGCATAGCCTGAAAGCAGAATCTCATACTAGTTGCATTGGTAATGCCGAAAGCATAACAACACTATATTAGAACAGGCGTTTGGAAAATGCGTGTGGCCTTGGACCGCCAACAAATAAGAGGACCCTGCATGGAGTATGCATATCGACTGTCGTTTGATCACACATCGCTCAGCCTATGGCAGTATCTGCAAGCTGGATTTGTCTGAGCTCTGGCTAGCATCCATATTTATCAATGATGTACAATTCAACCGGAAGCAATATCCGCAGAATATATGTGTTATGTATATAATCCGGGCACTGCTTATCTCTTACTTCATAGTACAATTAAATCGTGAAGTCGCACTATGAAATAGATGCCACAGTTCATTCTAAGAAAGAACATTTGACTGACGGTAATCAATCGGTACAATATCGTCGACCAACCCCCATATGTCACTGATAGCGTCATATTGCCTTCGCTGGAATTTCAAGAAAAGCTGATCCGGACCTCGATTCCATTTTGCAATGGCGTTACTTCGCACCTATTCTCACAACACGATCCGGACAATGGGGACGAGTATCGATCCCATGGTTCGGATGACTTTCATCAGAGGTCCTATTCAGTACGCTATTTTTAATATCTCCATCTTCTGTCGCCGCTGAGGACGAGCCAATAAGATCGACATTATGTCGATCTTCAGCCAAGGTAAGACTAAATGCATCCTCGAGCTCTGATACCTTTTCTGCCAGAGTTACACCAGGCGCGCACTTGTAGAACCCCTGCACGGGAGGAGCTCTACGCATCAGGTCCAGGGCTTTCTGTCGTATAGCACGGTCGCGGCACTTTAAGGCAGTTAAGAAGAGTGACGCGCCAGCACCCATTTCAAACGTAAAAGGTGGTTGTGCACCTGCAGTACCCACAGTAGCGTCCATATAGGAATTGGACTGCTCGACGATTGTCTGAAAGTCAGCCATGTAGGCATCATATATCATTTCGCTCCGGGTCAAACAGGTCGAGACAAATATCCGAGCGGCTGCATGATACGTCAGAAGCAGAGCGGCGCCATTGGTATGGGGCTCCTGTGACGACTTGATAAAGTCAATAAATGCAGCGTGCCAGTCCCTTAGTCGAGATTGAAAGGTCCTCTGTTTCATAAAAAACTCCTCGGCCAGGCAAGACTCGTCGCCAACAATAGAGACATGCTCTTCTGCGGCCCGCTGAAAGATCATGCATTCTGAAGAAAGAACAACCAGAGCAAGTCGGGCAGAATTTAGGGAGGCAAATACATATGCCAAACGGGTCCCTTGCATACTAAAGAGATGACTGGGTGGTATTCCCGAGATGGTGAGAGAAACGGCTCCGAGGCGTACAAAGAGGGGAATGATCGTGCCATTTAGCAGCGTAGGCACATCACCTCTGCAGTACTTGGCAAGCAAGTTAAGAATAAGGCTTTCACCCTGTTGATAGAGCTGCAATGCCGACTCCACGTGGCCCTGAATGGTCTCTATACAAATGAACAACACACAGCTTACCAGCGCCACATTTACGTCCACGTCCCACGACCAATCTGCATATGTATATTGGATAGCGAACGTGAGTACCATGTCAGGGCTTCCTGATGATTCTGATGGAGGGTACGAAACTCATCAGGGCTCTGGCTCAAGAAGACCGGTTGTAGACATGGATTAGGGCTTTCGAATAAGGCACTGATGGCATTGACTGCATCCCATACGGCAGGCTCTCTGCGGCATACCTGTGGGACAATCTCACGCCAGAACCCCAGGTCTAAGCCCCCCCAATGAACGATGCAGCATGCTCCGAGTAGTATGCAAACGCGCGACGCTCCCGCCATACCGTATTGGGGGAGGATGGGAGCGGCCGTTCGAGGATAGACAGTGTGGAGGGAGTCGAAGAAAACATGAAAGGTATAGGACCAGTCTCATATTCACATCTACGACCAGTGCTGGTACATCGCAAGCAGGTCGGCTTTTCTTGTCCGCATTTAACTCGCCGGATTCTGCGAGAAGGTTGAATACCATGTCGATGGTGTCTACTAATAGATTAGAGACGACTTACTTGCATGTTCTGCATCCGAGACGAGACCTGAGAGGGACGATGTGATTGTCAGGCATACTTGAGGCCAGACAGAACTTGATCGTGGTACGCGCCGAAGCGATGAACAGGATGGAGAAACAAGACAATGCGCTAAAGAAAAAAGACCACTGCAAGGGCGGCAACACCGGACAGAACGTGCTTAGTGGAGCCCTAATAAGCCTCCAATTATGCCTTTTTTTTCGGGTATTGTTATTATATACTAGTGTTTTTACTCTTGGAAATAAACTACTATATTCGTACTACTCTATTCATGGTTGAAATTCTAACTTCAAAGACAGGATCTATCCCCTCGCCCATAGACTTGTGTCGGGTTGAACCCAGTATGATGCTCCGACTAAGGCCTTCGTTACTATATAGGGCGCTAGATGCGACTGATCGAAGATCAGTCATCTTGTTCCTTTTATATGGTCAAGTAGTTTTATCTCTATTAGTGTAGAGACAATCAAACCACCACAACTTGCCACAATTAGCGCCGTTTCATATTCTATATCCAAATTCATTGGAAACTACTGCAGACTCATTATTTGGACACTCGTTTTATACATATAAAACACCTACGAAGCCTATAGAGCAAGGGTATAAAGTCTTTGGACTAGCGGCAGAATACGGCTATTTTGGACATTCTTGTAGTCTAGCAGACAGCTAGGCTTAATGGAGATGTTTAAATATCCAGAGATTAGTGCTACTGATTTAATGGTTATGGATATGATCACTAGCTTACCAAATTCTGCTCTGAATTCCGCCTCGAATGAGGTCATGAATGAGGGCTTGAAGGCATGTAAATGTACCCTGAATTCGGGCCCAAATAACGCCTCGAATATAGCCTTGAATAACGCTTCCCCCCGGCCCCCCGCGCCTCAATCCCCATCTTGAATGCCTGCCTGGCCGCCCCAAAGGCATGCAAATACTCTGTATATATGGATAACTACTTCACCTCAGTTCCATTGTTTGAAATGCTTTGGCTGCGTGGGTATGGTGCATGTGGGACTACTAGGCCTAAAGTCCCGCCTCCGCCTCCATTACTTCAAGAGCTTCGGAATGATCACCGTAAACGTCTGCCATGGGGCACTATATGTGCTATATCATTAAATGATGTGCTTTGTCTTGCTTGGCAAGATAATAATCTGGTCTTTGGACTATCTACTATTCATTCTGCAGATACTTCAGGAACTTGTGACAAAAAAAGGCCTGGAAAAAATTCTACTGTGGTGCTCACTATGCCAGAAAGTGCACCGATGTTGTTATACCAGTTGAAGATACTGTAGACCCACCTCACCGTTAGTTCAGGGTCGACAATCACACGCTCATCAGACAAAAGAGTGGCGACATGTTTCCTGTCTCCGCCTACCTGATCGACTTTGCAGAACAGACGTGTCAGTAAATGAACATCCGGTTCCATGATCCATAGAATAGATACCTGTAAAGGGTCCACTCTAGACTTTATTTCGCCAACTCCAAGCCCGATCAAAATGAATGATCCAATAAGGTCCCTTAGGTCGGCTCCTGCTTCAATCGCCGATGAGATGGATGTTAAAAGGACTCAGAGCAACAGGATGCCACAAAGACATACCCTATAGAGGGTTATGCTGAATCTATCATGGCTAGAGGTCCACTTACACGCAAGATACGACAAGTGTCTTGTAACGACCCCAATTGCCATCTGCAAGTACGCCTGCGAACAGAGGTGTCGTGAAGGACAGGAATCATAGGAAATTGTTGAGGGCAGTGGCCGTTGACTAGCCCATTCCCAGGGCGCCAGGCCTTCCAAAGTCATTGGAAGGATTCTGGATATAATTCTCTGGAAAAGAGAGTTAGTGATACCACCCAATATTCAGAATAGTTAACTACTTGGGTGGTTGTTTACGTAAGGTGAGTACCATGGCATAGAAAGCTAACCTCTTCGCTCCAGAGAACGGGGCCACTAGCACGCTGCGGCTTTGGCTTTGCTTCCCGTATGCTTTAAGCCTAAAAGACCCTCCTCAAACGGTACGTTCGCATCATCCGGGACATGCAATGATGGAGCAGTTGACCTTTTGTCGCTAGGAACATCTTTCAAGCACTGAGGGCTTCGTTTCTTCGAAGGCACGCCCATACTCGGTTCTATGCTCCCAGACAATTCGAGGCCTTGAGGATTCATGGCCATACTGCCTTCTCAGAACCAAAATACGGAGCTCATTTATAGTGTAGATGGTTTGAATTCAGCATCAATACTTCTCTAGAAGGGTCGGAGTCCTCGGACTTCCCTAGAGTATGTCTGCTTATGACTGGACAAATCCGGAGGGCAACGGAGTATGTAGGACTAATCGCATCTGCATGAGTGTTCCTATATGCGATTCGTTGTCCACCAAATATGGTTGGTTTTATCAGAACCGATTATTTTATCTTTCCTCTTCCAGTCATCATAATCCCTGACCCTCACGTGGAACGAAATATCATAGTCTCTCAGAGTGAGCTGTAAAAGACGTCTTTATTCCAAGACAAGAACACAAGAGTAAAACTGAAAGTGTTAATACCGTTACAGCCTATAGCTTAGCAAAGCTGTGTACGAAGAAAGGCACGGCACCGTTTAAACGCTGCTTATGCCTTATACTGGATGACACACTTGGCAAGCCGTGCTGCTAGTTACTCGGTGTAGCTATCGGAGTGAGCGCTACTTCAGTAGTTCTGGGCATTGGATATTCCAGTATGGCACAGTCAACCACACCCAATGGGTATAAAGAGAACTCTGGTATTAGCAAGGGGAGTAGTTTTTTCAGAGCTGATCATATTGGCACGTGTTAGCATTTTTCTCTCGGCAATCCAGTCACTTCCCGGTTGGTCCTATGCTAGAATCACGGTGTCATCGGGGATAAAAACAATCGGCAAAACCTGACAGCTTTGTTCAAGATGAGCAGCAACATGGCATTAGTACACAAGTCCATGACAACTAATTTCAGCCAAAATACCAATGGAATCGTTGACGTTCAGTTTGCCTGGTCTCCAGTGAGCTCACCCCAGATGTGCGTAAGGATCACACATCGACCTTTGTGTATATGGATATCTTTATGGCCCTGACCAACAAGTCTCCATCTGACACTGGCACTGAAAGACAATCAAAAAAGGTCCAACCCCTGCCACGAGTCTTGAAGGGTGCTCTCGAATCGCTCAATCACAGAGAAGCCTTTCTGTTTTAACCGGTAGATAATTTGGAGGATCCGGTCTCTCTCGGGTTTATTTTTCATTTCCAATCCCACTATGTATAGAGTCGGTGCGTAAATAATGGCTTCCAGGTGTAGATGCGAAACGCTATTCTCGACAAGCTGAAGTACACTGGTTGCTTGTGCGTGCCTCACTTGGCGTTCCATAGCAGGAAGATGGCAATTGAGAGACAGCCAACTAGGGTCACAGAACATTCTCGATATGTCCACGCTAATACAGTGGTAGAGGGGCAGTATGCTACTTGTGGCACCCGCATCGGCCCAGCTGGTATACCAGGTAATAATGGCAATCACATCACGCTGGAAACGTGATGCAATACAGGATAGTTCAATGCCTCTCAATTCATACTCGGAGGGCGTGTCTGTAGAAGGACGTCCATTCCGCCCATCAAGCTGATTAATATGGCGCACCCAAGTGATCATCCTCATTCTAGGTTAGCAATAAAAATAATATGGTCCAGTTCTAAGCGTACCAATATTGAATTTTTGCCCACATTTCCAGGTCGTTGACAAAGTAATCTAGGAACTGGTCTCTCCCCTGCATAGGTTGAGGTTGGCCTATGGACTGGAGCTGACACATTCTCAAACCCAGTTCATTCCACCGAGGTGCTAAAACTAAATCGATATCTTCTTGTAGACATAGCGCTGCGAATGCGTCCAAAATGCGTGCTAGTCTAAGGAGACTCTTCCGCCGACACGTTTTTAGGCCGACCACATTGTGCCATTCAGCAAAAGTGTGCACTTGGTAGATCCAAGAACGCCAGGAGTTCCCCGATGTATCTGCCAAAAGCTTTAGGGAGTATCAGCGAGTGGCTGTCATCGTGAAGGGGAATATACACAGAGATCAGTACATGAGCAAAGCTTAAGAGAAGCGCGCTGGCTAAGATGCCATCGAAGTCAGCTTCCTGCGGTTTCTGCAAGCCTTCCTCAATCCGTTCTTGCAACGAAAGCCATCGAGCTGTCAATTCTCGTTTCGCCACTCTCGGCAAACTCAGTAAGCTCGGGTTAGAACATGCATAAAGCCCTCCAAGCACCGATATGGCCTCTTGGGTCAAACGGTGATCACAGAGCAATGACCCAATGGACTGGGCAGAAAAAGCAGACAGCAATGTTGGCGAGAGTCCCATAGCAAAGAAAAATGTTTGCGCATAATGTTGAGTCTGGTCCGCGGGCACCTCTCTGGGGATCGTCGAGGAATCCGGATGCGAATAGTAGACCACCTGCAGGTTGCTTCGCGCAGGCTCCGATGAATTGCAATCCACCTTTTTTCTACTACAGCGCCCACACGGTCGATTCCCATCACACTGCGTTCAGTCAGCACTGTTGGGAAACGCAAGAAGCAAGATCCGGAGTCTTTCCGTATACTTTGAGATGGTCCCGCCTGCATCGATGGCATCGATGTCCTAACAAACGTTTATCTCCCGCTCCGCATGGCATATTCTGCGTTCTTGTCAATATACTACATCCATAATACTGATCATAGCAAGAAGACAATAATGCGGAGAAAGCGGGATAGAAAAGAGAGACGAATGACCATGACGAGGACTGAAGAATCAGAGATGGAAATGCAAGACGGAGAATACCCCGTGAGACGCTAACCTCATTTGTGTTAGAGGGACCCACATTCGCGAGGTTATTTCCAAATAGGGTCTAGCGCGAATAAACGAGGAGGCCTGAGCCCCCAGGCACCTCCTATGGTCGATAATCGTGAAGACTTTTGTAGAGTCACCTGCATCCCAATCCGGAAATAATATATCGAAGCGGGGTTAGGTCGACAGTATCACCTGAAAATGTTATTATTTAAACCCTTCAAACGGTCTAAGAATGGCCTCTTTCCAGGCTCATTCATACTCCATCCATAGGGGAATACTTCCAACTGTACTCATTTCATCCACCATGCGCTCGTTTGTCATAGCTCTATTGGGCGCCTTGCTCAGCTCTTTGGCATCTGCAAAACAAGCGGCCAACTTTAATCTTTCATCCACCACTCTTACAGAGTATGGTTGCGACGAGACCTGCCAGATGATCTTCACCCTGGCACAGAAGAAAGATTGGGAGCTCTTTAAAAGCGAATTCGATTTCCAGTTCTATTCCACCTCTTGCAATTTCACGGGGTCCCAAGCAGGAGACCTCTTGAAGTTTGAACCGGTCGATCCTACAAAACTAGACGTTGTATCCGGGGTGTCTGTCTACCGGTTCCAGTATACCTCGCGTTCATTGAATGGCTCTCTTGTTCCAGCTTCTGGATTCATCGGGATTCCATACACCTCCTTCCGCAAAGACAGAAAATACAAAGTCATTGCGTACGCTCACGGCACGATCGGTTTGTTTGCAGGGTGTCCCCCTTCCACCACACCTTCTCTGTATGACTACACCAGTTGGAGCCTTCTTGTCAACCAAGGGTATGCTATCGTTGCACCGGACTACGCAGGGTTAGGCAACGACTATATCCAGCACCAATACCTAAGCTTCCCTGCCCATGCCAACGATCTCTACTACGGCTTAGTCGCCGCCCGAAAGGCATTCCCTAACCTCTTCACCCGGGAGTGGATGGCAGTGGGCCATTCACAAGGTGGAGGCGCAGTCTGGAAACTGTCTGAGAGTCCTCTACATCGCACTGAAGCTGCTGGAACGTATCTGGGCAGTGTGGCGTTGGCGCCCGCATCCAAAATCTACGACATGACACTCCTTGCGGTTGAGAAAATCACAGGTCTCTCGGACTATGCGAACTACGACGTCGTCTACGAATCCCTATTTCTGCCCATCGCCATTAAGCGCATATTCCCCGGCACAAGTACCTCGTTCCTTACGGAGAAATTCCTGAACCGGATTGCGCTGGCCACCCGCGCTCAGTCCTGCTATTATGGTATCATGTCGCTGGCATATGGGCTCAAACCATCTGAGATGTTCACTGGTCTTTCCGCTCTCAAGCAGAACAATGAGCTGAAGCAATGGCAGAACTGGGTGGCTCCAGCCAATGGTGCCCAAGCTGCAGGACCGGTCATGATCGTTCAGGGGTTGAATGACACTGCGGTTTTGCCTCCGATCACTATCAATTCGTACAGAGATGCATGTCGCTATGGTAACGAGATGCACCTCAGGTTGTATAAGGGGATGGACCATACCGATGTGTTGACCGCGAGTGCTCCCGAGTGGCTCACCTATATTAGTTCGCGATTCGCTCATCCGAATCACACCCACGGGGAATGCAGCACTGCTACAAGAGCTCCCTTTGATGCGGCGCATATGGTGACGTCCTCAGAGGTGGATGACCTGATTGGAAATAGCTGAACCGGTTGCTTTGCGGAATAACAGATGTGTAGCTGCTTTCAGCAGCAGTATGGAAACTCTTCGCTCAAAGCCAGTTGTCCTAGTCTAGTGCATCCACATAGAATAAGATTCTAAGTAGATGCAGAAATCAACAGACGTCATTCTACTTGATATATCTATCCTGAAACAATAAACTAAGGCGTAGCCGCAGGGGTCGACGACACAACCGAGGGTGGAGCCTGGCATGTACCACGCTTCAGACCCTTCGAGAACGAGGACAGAGCCTCTGGCTGTAACGAGCTGATATCTCCAGCTGGAAGAGTACCAACTATACTCAATTTAGCATTTTTATCCATTCTACCGAGGATCTGACAAGACGCTACTTACCATAAGCATTGAAGTTATAGAATCCACACGCACATCCCTCCACAACATCCTTAAGACTTGTGCCCGAAAGAACCTCTTTTCCGTCCCGTACCGCCGAGAACTTTTGCTTTCCCACCCCCATGTCCACTTTAAAGGACGATGCGCCAGCCGGAGCCTCGAAAGATCTGGAGTTCTCACCCGAGCTCAGCTGCACCGTTGCAGGGGAGGTCAGAAGGGAGACGACGAAAACGGAATCTTCCATGGAATCCCAGCCATTAGGGCGACCAATGAAGTAGTTTCCGCTGGAGTTATCTGCAGGCTCCATGCAGGTGTCGGTGGTGTCGCAGTTAGTGTTGCGATGTGCAGGTCGGTACCAGTAGATCAGCTTATCCTCGGTGATGTGTTTGTCTACGGAGGTGTCGCCGGCTTTAAAGGCGGCGATGTAGGGCTTGGAGAGGTCGAGCCATCCTTCGTGGGGCCTGGGTGTTGTTAGTTTATACTAGTAGACAGGTGATGGGAAGAGTTGAAGCAAGGATGCGCACATGTCGTTCACCCATTTGGAGTTGCCGTCGTCTGTGTGTGAGCTCAGGGGCCCGACGTAGTGCGACTCGCCGTAGTCGTTCCAGGTGATGATCTCCACGAAGCGAGGACCCAGGGTGAGGATCTCATTCCATCGATCATACCAGAGGGTGTCGGATGGCAAGACAAAGTTCTTGCTGTAGCTTACCTCGGAACCATAGTGAGTGAAGAACCAGGGTGATGCTGCTATTGAGTCTGTTCAGTGACCCGGCCAGGAGAACAGAGGATATGCACTCACGAGCGATGTACGCCTTGTCCCCAAGGGTCGAGACATATTGCTTGTCTCCATCGGATACCGACACACTCTCCCCCGCAGTGGGAGCTTTGTTGTTACCATTGTTGGGCCATGCAATCCAGTTCAGCAGACCATCCACCGCGGTTACGTCAGTCCCAGCGGCAGGATTGAAGTTGGGGGCAAAGAAGATCTCCTGGCCCGCAGCATGGCGCACGGCTCCAACGTCCAGACCGTCGCCGGAAAAGGACGAAACGAAGGGCTTGTTGTCAACAATGAGCTGGCCTGGTTTACCCGCGTAGTCGACAATCGTTTGGCCCACCTGGCTAGCCTGGTCGGTTCTCCACCAGTTGAAGTCGAAGGAGATGAAGACCTTCATATTATTATTGGCGGCTGACTCGTAGGCATAGTCCAGCTGGTTGTTGGTGTAGTCATCGGTTCCGATATTCAAGGCAAAGGCGTCGATCCCCAGTGCTTTGGCGCTTTTCATATCATCGTCGTAGTCGGAGGCACTTTGGCGGTTGCTGACCGTACCCATCTGTAACTGTTAGGCTCACGCTCTGAAGTCGACAAGTTTGACCTGGCAGAGACATACCATAAAATGCGCAAAGACTAATCGGTTCGTTGGGTCTCGTTCGCTGAGGGTGTTATCGCCCATAACAGCTCTCGCGGTGGTGGAGCTCAGCAGCGAGGCTGCTACGAGTAGACTGTCGGCCTTCATCGCGGGCTCGAGCAAGCAAGAACGAGGGGTTCTTGCTTTCAAGGAGTCAGGTAGGCGCTCGATAGCCTCCTATATAAAGCATCTGAAACAAGCTACCAACGTATGCCAACCAACTGACCTGTAGTAGTGATGGGGGCCAAAGGGTCTCGAAAGATGAACAGGTCCACGGTGATACAAGCGTATGTGGCATTCGTCCCCTTCCAACCATAGGCCTTAATGGTAGGTCCCCTGCTAAGCGCCGATGGCAATAATGAAGTGGTGTTGGCCCCCAGCGATGTCTGTTTCAGGTAACAGAAAACCCACCGCCGATTCCAGATAGTGCAATCACAGTCATCATCGCCATAGGTCTAACTGAATCGCATGATAGCATTAACGCCATAATGTTTATCACTGATAGGTTCACTAAACGAATCAAGTAGGTCCTAAGTGGGAACAGTTTGATGGCCCATCACTGGGCCAAAAGCCTGCTCCGACATAGTAAATAGCAGCATGGGGCTACTCGAGTCGTTTCACTCCGGGCAAGTGCACTGAGATCAGGAATAAATTCGGTTGCCAACGCTATCCCCATTAACTCCGAAATAAGCTGCCGCAAGCAAGATGAGTTCTGACTTCATCTTTAGTAGTCCAGCATCATCCTTGCTTTGTTCAGTGCTGCCGCTAAGCTCTCTAGGTTCACTTGCTGAGATTTAGTAGGTTTCTTGAACATCGTGTTCCAAGTCGCAGCTGAAATTATCAATAGACTCCCGCTGGACTAAAAAGGCTACAAAGGCCTTAATCAGCCAGGCGAATCTTCTGAACATTGACACAAATTTATTTCTCATGCATCTAATCGTCACGGTTAGCTTAATCTTCTGAAATATTGACAATCACGTACTGGGAGACAGGAGAATGCGAACGCCAGTGCTCTCTAGGAATTGCCATAATAAAGCCTCTTGGTTAAAACACAGGGTTTTCCCATGTAGTACAATGGTAAAAACATAGAATGAAGGAGCAGGATAATAGGAAGGGTGAGAGGCCCGATCTCCAGTCGTGTAGAAAAGAATCCGTGAACAATTTGTCGACATGGTAGTGAGGCAAGTGGTCAGGTGATTATCAGACGAATGATTTATTTTGTCCCCTTGGTCCTTTCAAATATTGGTCTGTATTTCTAATCAATTTCTCGCATAAACTTGTCAATACAATTCATAGACTTCGTGAACGCAACTGTATAACTTGTTTTACATGGTAGAATGGAGGGAGTCCACCGGTGGACTTTCTATATACACATCCTCCTCTACACTCTGGCCTGCTGCTGTTCCGCTCGCAAAACTTCCACCTCAATGGCACGTCTGCGCTCCTGCTCTGCCTCGCTCGAATTATCCTTGAACACATGGTCCATCTGCTCCAGCGTCCGGCCCTTAGTTTCAGGCACGAAGAAAAATGTCCAAACGAGGGCCAATACACAAAACACCGCGAAGAAAGTGTACGCGCCAAACCCTGTGTTCTGGACAAGGGGAGGAGTGATAAGACCCTAAATGACGTTAGCTATCTACTGCCACATATATATCAAAATCTTAAGTTCAGGCCATCTTACGATAATAAAGTTATTCAGCCAGTTGGAGCAAGTCGAAAGCGCCACGCCCTTGGCACGGAGTGAGGAGGGGAAGATTTCTGGCAGAGAGGTCAGGATATCAGTTACCTCAGGCGAATTGAATGATCGACGACTCACCTGACGGCATTGCCCAACCAACAGGCCCCCAGCTGGCTCCAAATGCGAGCATGTAGAACAGGAGCATAGCCACGCTGGCCCAGCCTTGTGGCCTGTGAGCTGGCCAGTTCTCGGAGAAAAGACCCACTAAAACGGAGATGATAATATGGGAGATAGCCATAAAGAATGCTCCCCACAGCAGACTCGGACGCCGTCCAATGCTGTCCATAGTCCATACTGTGGCGGCGACTCCAACCAGCTGTGTAACGTTGAGAATGCCAGACATCAAAAGCTGCATGTCGTAGTCCAAGCCCATGGTCTCGAACAGTGTTGGGGAATAGTAAATAAGAGCATTGATTCCAACAAACTGCAACCCGCATCAGTATAATCGTTCCCCGGCTAAACCAACACAACTGACCTGTTGGAAAAACATGAGACCCACACCAACATGGGTTCTTCGCCAGCAGCCTTTCTTGAAGCAATCCGCCCAGGAGGCCATCTCCAACAGCAATGCCTTTCTGATGCCGCCGCCCTGTAGATTCGGGTGCTTTTCAGCGTTCATTTCCTGGTGGAACCGAACCTCAGCCTGGATGTCCAAATACTCCAGTCTCACACGCTTATCCGAAGACGGTAACCGGCGCAATCTCGACAGACTTTCCAGAGCCTCTTCATTACGACCTTTCGAGGCAAGCCATCGAGGGGAGAAGGGCAGAACAACCACGCCTCCAACAAGAACAAACCCGGGGATCATCTGTAGCAAGAAGGGAAGGCGCCAGGCCCATTCTCCGCTCATAAATCTCGTGCCATAAGTGGTCCAAAAAGCAATGACGATGCCTAGGACAATGCAAAACTCCTCCAGAACAAGAAGAGTGCCTCGACACTCGGGAGGACCTGGTAGATCTCTAGTTAGCCCGACCACCTCACAAGTTCATCCGTAAGACATCATGCACCTACTGATCTCAGAAATATAGAGGGGTGCAACCATCGAGAGCATGCCAATCCCCACGCCTCCAATCAGTCGAGCGACAGTCAACATCGCATAGTTCACCGCAGCGGTCTGTAGCACCGAGCCAATGGTGAAGATTATGACTGCGACTACAATTGAGTAGCGACGAGAAATCATGTCGGCAATCCACCCCTGATTCAGGGCCCCTAACAGCGCCCCCAGTTCAATCATGGCCGTCATCAGACCCTTCCAGAAACCCGCACCCGGTGCATCAGGGGCCACTTCCGGAAACCGATCAAGGAACTGCTCCATCACGAGAATGACCGACACCACACCTTGGTCGTAACCGAAGACCAGACCTCCCAGCGTAGAGCACGCCGCACAGAGAAACACAAATGGGTTGGCCACAAGACCAGCGAGGCCTGCTGGTCCATACGGCTCCCTGTCATTCATGATGGTCTCGGTATGATGGGAGAATCCCTCGATAGACTCGCGGTCATCGGCGTCCTTAACATGTTGAGAAAGTTTGTCGGACATGCCTACCCGTGGTCGTAGAAGAGAGGGAAGTATGTAGAGGAATGAACGGGTGGCAAGAACCTAACCTAGTTCCGGTGGTTAAGCTGGAAAGTCTAGATTCACACGACTATCGCATCGGAGGAAGGAGAGAGGAACGAGAGCTCAGGTGCACCTTATATAGATGGATAGGGGAGCGGTCCACTTTCAATCGCCAAGAGTCAGTTAAGTCTGGGCGTCGTGACAGCCAAAGGCCGACCAGCGTTTCTGATTCGTTGCTGTACCATGGTTGTCGGCTGCATCTTAACATCATGAGCCTAACAAACCTCGCTCCCAGGGAACGGCGATCCCCCGGCATCTGTCGAATAAGTTAGTAACACGATGGTCTACTCCGGAGTAGGCGAAGTGGATCCGGAGTAGGAGCAGGCTAAACTGGATGCAGTATCTGTGGAGGGGAAAGCTCGCTGGGGAGAAACCCCTAGGATTGGATGGAAGATGGGAGAATTCCTGGTCGGTAGGTTCGAAGACATAGTGGGAAGCTTGGTTCGGTGTTACTGTCGATGTTACCGTCGTCGATAGGCGAGTCACCTCCATACCATTTATTTCCCTTCCAGCCAAACGATCCCGTGACATGGCCCGACTTTTTCATGTCCGATTGATCGGCTCATCCAGTTCCCCCACGAGACCTTTCTCGAGGCCTTTCTATGGAGTACAAGAGATACTACTGACAAGGAGTTATTAACCCCTCTAAACCCAAGATCGATACACGCGGCATGTTCACCGTACCCCGGACATCACGTTTGTGTCCCACTGTCCAGTTCCATGATCTAATCAACCATACACATACTACCTCGTGAGAGACCCACGAGTCTGCGAAACCAGGTCCAATCACCAGTCTTGTTTTACTACAAAGTTGGCGGGTCACTGAATGTTGTAGCGTTGTTGTCTGGTCTGCACGGCAACGGAATTGGAGGGAAGTAGTCATGTCGAAAGCCGACCGGAGACTGACCGTGTTTGAGGAATAGCTGCAATGCCATTGGGTTGGCAAGTGTAGACTGGACCAAAGAACAAGCCGAGAGTTTCCCGCCGACCATAGCCGTGGAAGGACACCTGACTCTCCTGCACCATACAAAATACAAAACAAAACACCACTAAATCAGTAGTTTGTAGTTTCTAGTTTCTGCCCAAAATGGTTCTTATCACGAGGCTCAAATGGCACGGGAGACGCTATCGGTGCCTGAGGATGTCCCAGACCGTCAGGCTGCCCCTCGAGATGACGTGACCCAAACAGTACTTCCCTCTTCATAATCTCATTCCACCTTGTGTCCACTTCCACCAGCCACCAACGCTCTACAACATTGTAAGCCTCTTATCTGAATTAATCACCACTGTCCGTCGGTTCGGTCCCCACGGGGAAGGCGGCCACTTCCATTTTAACTTCGTCCTTTGGTCTCTAGCAATTTCTGGGGCTGGCTCCAGTTTTCCGACCGACTGCTTCTCCACCTCTCTACCATCAACTGTTCAAACGCCGACCTCATCGGTCAACTCCCGACTTCGTCTGGGAGATCACCAGTCCGCCCTCTACATCGCAAACAACAGAACCTCCCGGTGATTCTGTATTGCTTTGCTTTGCGTCCAAGTCTCATTATCAGCGCGTAAGAACTTTTATCTCTCTGATCCCGAATCCCCTTGCATCACTAACTAACCGTCCCACAGTACTCCGTAGGAGGAGAAATTTCTTAGGGACGGATTCCAATTTCCGACCCAGACGTCATTTCACGTTTGACCCTATCCCGCTGCCCTTCCTTCCCCGCATTCCGCGGACCGATTCATAGACAGTAATTATGGGATCGTTTGTGGAGGAACTGTGGTCGAGCATCTTTACCCCGGGTCCAACCCCGACCTTGCTCGTCGCGACCAACGCCACCTTTGCGGCCCTCCAACTCGTTCTGTTCGCCCTTCTCCTCACGACATACAGCATCCATTTTGTCGTCCTATCGCTCCTCTCGGCATCCCTGTGGTGGTCGATTAACTGGTTTGCTCGGGAAGTGAGGCAAGTACAGGCCGCCGAAGCCGAGAAGGAGAGGTCAGCCCGGGAGATTCCGACAGACGTCAAGGACAAGCACGACGGCAATAGAAAAACCCCCGGTTCTCTCGACAGCACCGACAGTGACACAGAGACGGAAAGTATCACGGAATACAACAGAAGCCCGGATCCATCCGGGTCCGCTCTACGATCCACCCCAGTCCCGACTACACTTCAGCCAGCAGAAGCCTCGGGAGAGATTCGTAAGCGTCTCAGTGTGGGCGGGGATAGCTCGGGCTACGTGAGCACAGACAGCGAGTGGGAGAAGGTGGACAACAGTAATGCAACCTAGCATGGTACTGTAGGGTTTTCCCTGGATACTATGGAACCTGTTTTCAGTGCGAGAGTCTCACGCTATATCGATATATTGTCGCTTTATATACATACTTCTGACGATGTATTGGGTTTTATTTCTACTAAGAGATACCCCTTAGACATGTTTACTACCATTTTCACCATATACTCTGCGTTGAATTTATCGCATGCCACAGTGGTCCAATCATAGTAGAGGCATCAATCCTAGTTTAAAGTAACTAGCAAATGTGTTTGGAAAGAAGTTCAATCAATGATGAGATTGATACCACATGAGAAAACTCTCCCAGCACTGTGTTGTTGTTGGCTCACATCGAAATTGCATCTTCGAGCTTTATCGATAAGGTCAGGTGGTGATATGGCTGAGTCATCCATCGTGTTGTGATGGCACGCGATAAGGAAAAGTAATAGCCGAAAAGGTGTTTGTTGACTTGAACTGCCCTGTGGTTGCCTTTGAAAAAGCTAGCAATGTCTCCCAGATGAAGACACTGCAATGGCCTCTACCCCAGTTCTCGTTCTCCCCGGTCGACGACGCGTATTCGCGTCTGTATTCTCGCCAACATCACCAGATGACTTCAGGACCGCCACCCTTACAACGAACGACCCATGGCCAGACCAAGACACCTGGGATCGGGCATGGCACGCAGCAACTACGTTTCTCATGATCCCAGATAATGGATTTATTCTTGGGAAACGCCTTAGCGAAATCGAGTTCCTCCGATTATCGAATCGCCATAAAGCACCGTCCAAGGAGGTTGCGGACGCGTTGGTCTATCTAACGGGCGAAGGGCGGGAGGCTCGTGCGGACGGAGAAGAGCACAATATAATTGATTGGTATGGGAATGAGATACGACGACATTTCCTAAAGAATTTTAGAGATGGATTGTTCAAGGTAGGTGGATCTTTATTCCGCCTCCCTGGACGGCGATGTCTGATGTTTTGTAGCTCTTGAATGATCCCGAGAAAGAGGAATTGCTGCAGAAGGTCGTGCACTGTCTGCAGCTGGCGCGGAGGGTATATTTTGCTCCTCTTATGGAATATGTTCTACCGTTGCTGGACTCCACAGAGCAAGAGAAGGTGTTTATTAAATTGCGCCGTGAGTTCCATATGATGGTTTCCCACGGGCTACCGTGGTCGCAGGTATCGGTGTTGCTTACGCGCGAGCTTACGAAGGAGATACTGGTTATACTGGGTATTGATACGTTGAGCCAGCTGGGGGATGTGAATGAGGCTGCGAGTGTGGATAATATGGAGGTTGACAGGCAGCACTCGGTTTCCTACCGAGACTGGAGAGATGAACCATCCGCCGAAATCCGGATGCAGATGATGACGGAAAGCGAGGATGCACAGGTTAATGCAGCTCGTGACCGACTCCTGTCACTACTCACCGGTCTCCAGCTGGTTGGTATGGGCGGGGACAAAGCCCAGAAAGTCTTCGCGGATGTCATGAATACGATGGTGACGGAATTTGTGCGGGCGGCATATACAGGTCAGTGGGAGGGCCCATCTCTGGTTTCAGAGCATCTACGACAATGGATAGAGAATGTATTCGCTCGGCTAGTGGTACAGGTTCTGGCTATCATCAACGTCCCGGGATCTGGGGACAAAAAGCCGGACAGTCTCGATGTTTCTCTGAGCGACGTGGACAAGTGGCAAGAGATTGCAATTGCTCGATTAGGCGCTCTTCGGACAGGGGAACTCTTCGAGATTACGGTGGAGTGGCCTGCAACTAGTGGTGCCATTGAAGATCTACGGCACTTCATAACGTATTCAGCGGGACGGATTCATTTGACGCACTGCTTTGCTGCGGTACTCATTCGACGGCTTCTACATCCGGGCGCCTCCACCGTCGAGATCTTACAGCTGTATATTTCTATCATTCGAGCGTTCAATCTCCTTGATCCCAAGGGTGTTCTGCTGGATCGGGTAGCCCGACCTATTCGTCGATACCTGCGCGATCGCGATGACACAGTTAAAGTCATTGTCGGCGGTCTTCTGGCCGACCCAGCTAACGCCGATGGACACACTGCTACTGGCGGAGACACGCTAGTAGAGCTGTCGGCCGAATTGGCCAAGGCGCACCAGAACTCGCTGAGGAATGAAACCGGCGAATTAGACTGGGATGACATGAACTGGGTCCCAGATCCAATCGACGCAGCGGCTGACTACCGGAAATCCAAGGCGTCTGATGTCATAGGAAGTTTGATCAGTCTTTTCGAATCTAAAGAGACATTCGTCAAGGAAATGCAGAGCATGCTGGCAGAGCGTCTGCTAGAGAAGCGGACGGAATTCGAGCAGGAGTTGTCCGTCCTTGAGCTTCTCAAAGTGCGCTTTGGCGACAGCGCCTTGCAGGCATGTGAGGTTATGATGCGCGACATCTTCGATTCCCGACGAGTGGATGCGGTCGTGCGAAACGACCAAGGGCTGGCTGGTGCATCGACTGCCCAATTGCCTGGAACTCCTGACAATAACGCCTCCCAGCAGCCAGATCTCCATGCAAAGATCCTTTCACACTTCTTCTGGCCGGAGCTTCAGGAGCAGGAGTTCAAGGTGCCGAGGGATATCGCCGAGCTGCAGCAACGATACTCGGCGGGCTTTGCGTCACTCAAGCAGTCTCGCAAACTGACATGGCTGAACGGATTGGGCCAGGTGACCGTTGAGCTTGATCTCGAGGACCGGGTATTCGTGGACGAGGTTACAACGTGGCAAGCCACCGTGATCTACGCATTCGATTCGGCGTCGAGTAAGAGGGACACTCGCACCGTCGACGAGCTAGCGCGTGACTTGGAGATGTTGGCGGCCTTGGTCCGCAGCGCGTGCCTCTTCTGGGTCAGCAAGCGCATTCTAACCGAAGTGCAGCGGGATACATTCCGCGTGCTGGAGGTTCTCCCCAGTGAAGACGAGGAGATCCCTGGCAATCGATCCGCCACCGAGATGGGAGACGCATCGACCGAGCCCACGCACGCTGCCGCGGCCGCCGATGCGGCGGCGGCGGCGGCGGCGAAGGAATCTGCGGAGGCAGCGGCCATGGAGAAGATGAATCTGTATTGGCAATTCATCGTGGGGATGCTGACCAACCAGGGAGCCATGCCTTTGCAGCGGATTGTGATGATGTTGAAGATCGCGGTGCCTGGAGGCTTCCCCTTTAGCAACGAAGAACTGCGCGAGTTCCTCGCAGGTATGGTATCCAAGGGGAAGATCGAGATCGTCAGTGGAGGAAACTATCGAATTGTACAATAATTGGAGAGCATGTATGACTTATGACCTCAACGAATCCAATCAGACGTGATTATCATATATTCATCCAGGTACTTAACATGGTATTGCTAACAAATCAGAAGGCTAAACATCAATCTCATAAAAAACAAAAAAAAAGGAGGGGGTTATCGGAATCATTCCGCATCCAAAGGCGCCACCGGAGGCTGATCATCTACCTGGATCCCACCTCTCTTCTTCTCATTGCTATCCCAGAAAGGTAATTTCCAGCCGCCTTCATTCTCAGGTGTGGCCAACCACAAACGCATCAGGTGTCTACGTGGCGCTGGGGGCGCATGGTCCGTGTATGCGGTCCTCGCATGGAGGACATGCGAGTTCGAGACGAATTGAATATCGCCGACTTCGAGGACCATATGTAACGCGAGACGATTACAGGTCGCCTCTAGGACCTCGAGAGCTTCCACCTGAGCCGACGACAGAGGTGGAATGATCCCTGCATCGGAGAAGCGCGTAAGGGAACGAACATAGTACGGGTCCCATCTATTCACTCATTAGCATGCCACCTCTCCCCTGAAAAGAAATAACGTAAAAGGACAGTGAGGGGACAGGAAATGGGAAGAGCGGAGACGTACTTTGTGTATACACGGGCATTCTCCCCCCGCTCGAGATAGATCACACTAGTACGAATATACTCCTCCTGACCCTTGCTGGTCTCTCCCTTCCGATCAAAATACCAGATCGGCTCGGCGAGAGTCTTCAAGACGTCTGGTCTTTCCTGAGCCAGAGTATTATAGACATGATGAGAAGAGACGAGATCGGATTCGCCTCCTTCGAGGGCCCGCGCAATACACAGCAGACCGACGATGTCGGAGTCGTCGGTATGGAAGAATTGACTATTTTATTTATTAGGTTCATTCTTTAAGCATATATATATATTCTGTTCAGGAAGGGAGGGAAAATACCGTGCATTCGTCCGGTAGATACGAACGGAATCAATCTGGGTGGAATCCTCTCCTAGATCCTTGACATGACCCAGGACATGGCCCCGACTGTTCTGACTGACGAAGTAGCCCAGATACGTGCCTAGACCCATGTATGCCACGGCGGATTTGTGGTTTCCCCATTTCTGGACGGGAAAGCCCTTGAAGAGAATGAAGCCTTTACCGTCGACGAGATCGGCACGGAGGGCCTCCAGACGGGAGGAGAGATTGGGGAGGGGGAATTTGCTCTGTACTGAGCTCAGTCTTGATCCATATGTATATAGAGAGAGCGGGAGAGAGGGGGGACGATACCTTGCTAATGCCTGTTAATGGAGTCTTACTCTGGAGAAAGGCATCTGCAGCAGCGCTGAGCTCGTCAATCTCCTCGGAGGTGAAGGCATGAGTCCATTTCTCGGGATGATCCCGATAGTCTTCCGCCGTCCACAGTGTTGGACCGGATATCTTGTGGGGGAATCGATCAAAGGGATGGATCTGATCGTAGAGAGGAGGATGTTGACCGGTGGTTTTCAATCCATCCGGGAAGATATCCAGCGGGGGGGCCTGAGTGAGAGCCATGTCCTTTTTAATTTTGTTTCAACTCTGAACATTGAATAGTGACTACTGAACATCATGTTCATTTAGCAAGTAGACCATTTATAACCAAACGCCAAGTCGGAGTTTGCAGCGATGTTTCGAACTGTGGACCGCATGGCGTGCCAGGGGACCGTTTGGCGACGAAGCATCCCATAGGACGTTGGAGCCGAGGATGAGGTGACCAGGCTGCGGATGGCGCAATCGCGCCGGATGTTGTAATCTTCCTTTGCTTTATCTATTGTTATATCCTCCGACTGGAGTATGAAGTACGAAGAGATAGTTAATGTGATATTGACGTCACTGCGTTGTATTTATGTTTTGTAACTATTCTCTTGTACAGGGTGATAATCAGGGTCAATGGTAGATATACTATCTATCCAAGATACTGAATAACTATCAATAGATCCATAGATCCAGACAAAAATTAAGAGACGAAATATATTAAATATCAAAATTAAATAAGCATAGCAGGATCCGATTACCCAACCTGGAATCCAGATCCGTCCATATTGATCCAGACATTCTCACCATGAAATAAATAAACCCCCTATAACTCCCGTCAAATAAATATAAAATAGATACCATGCTACGCTCCGCAATAAATAAATCAGAATGATCCACATCGCCATTCTCGACTGCGACCTCCCCGTTCCCGCCGTCTACCCAACCCGCGGTCTATACAGCTCCCAATTCCGCACTCTGCTCCAATCCGCCGCCGCACGACTCCCCCGCAACATCGCCATCCACACCACGGCGTTCGACGTCGTCGGCGGCTGTCTCCCTCCCTTGGCGAGTCTACGCACCGATCCCCGTTCAGAAAATGAACCCCCATCACCATCAAACCCACTCGCCCAACCCATCGACGCCATCCTCATCACTGGCGCCGCCGCCGGCGCCTACGAAACAGACACCCATGCCTGGATCATCCCGCTGACATCTTACCTGCGTACCGTGTATCGTGATTTCCCACACGTGAGATTCTTTGGGTCCTGTTTTGGACACCAGATCCTAGCGCAGACGCTGCTCTCGTCGTCTTTGAAGAACGAGCCATGCCCCCATGGTCGCGAGATGGGTCTCGTCCCCGTGTCTCTGGAAGAGAGATTCCTCGCTTCGTTCCCGTCGGTGGCCACCTTGCTTCCAGATCGAAACTTGAGACTCCAGATGATTCATGGGGATTGGGTGGTGCCGGTCTCCCGAGACACAAACAATGTCGTCGAACTGCCGGAGCCGTGGATGAATATCGGGTCCACTGCGCAGTGTCCCGTGCAGGGACTTTTTTGTCCCGGAAGGGTGTTGACGTTTCAGGGCCACTTCGAGTTCGATGTGTTTGTGAATGGTGAAACATGTCAAGAGTTTGCTCGTCGGATGGGCTGGGATAAGGACCGGGTTCGGGAGTGGTTGGGGCTGATTGAGAGGGGACAGGACGGTGATGATGCAAAGGTGGCTGCGGAAATTGTGGTGATGTTTTTTGCGGATGTATGAGGGTTTTTATCAATTAGCGTGGAGATAGGTATGATGTTTAGATAGTATGTAAGTCTATAAATAAGCACATGCACATAGATATGCGAATACATACATATAGATATTGATATAGATATCGATGTATTAATTTGAACTCAGAGATACTGTTATACGGATTCAATTCAAATCGGAACATATCATTTACTTCTTGGTAGTTTGTATGCACTGTCAGTGTTGGATACATACATCCCATCAGGATTAATAGTATATACACCACTGAGGTATATGGACCGAAAAAGATATTAGATAGACCAAGAAAGGCTCAAATAGCATGCATATCCGTTCCAAGTCATGCAAAACACCCGTACGCCAGAGAGCCCAAAATAAATCTATGTTATCACCATAGGAGTCAATCCAACTTAATGCATCGGGAATATATCCAACATGATATCCAATTACACCATTCGAGTCGACGGTCGGCCAGCACTGGAGTGTGCCACAGATTCCAGATCCGTGCGCGACGAACTGGCGAACATCATCGAGCCGCGATCGAATTTGGCCTCGCTGGTCGGTCGGTTATTTCCCTCCGCCAACGGCACCATCGAATACGTTGATGCGCCAGCCGGTGCACCCACCGGGAGTACTTCGAGCGGCGCTGGCTTGCTCGCAAAGGTCCCCTTCAATTTATTCCGCGTGCACAGCCAGACAATCGTGCCGATGAAGATGGCGCCGACTATGCTGGAGACCGCAATTGCCGCCACCATCCCGTTGTGATTCCACTCCTTCACATTGAAGTTACTCGAGCTGGTGGACGCTGCCGCAGATGACGTCTTGGTCGTGGACGAGGAAGTTGTGCTGGAGGAGGTGCTCGTCTCACTGCCTGTTGTACTGCTGGTCTGCGAGGTAGCTGACGTGGTGGACGTGGTGCTCTCCGTGGATGAGGTCGTTGTCGGCTCTGCAGTGGTCGTGGGCTGTGTAGTGGTTGTGCTGCTGGTGGATGAAGTCGTGGACTCTTTCGTCGTGGGCTCAGCTTTCGTCGTCGCTGGGGCATCGGCCGTTTTTTTGTCGGACGTGGTCTCTGGCTTTGGCTTGTCGGTGGTAGGCTCTGCAGGCTTTGCGGGCGCGGGATCGGTAGTCTTGGCCGCATCATCACTCTTGGAGTCGTCCTCCTTCGCACCATCGTTCTTCGCATCGTCGTTCTTGGGAGCGTTATTCTTGGGGTCGTTATTCTTGGGATCATTATTCTTGGGATCGTCGTTCTTCGCGTCGTCGGTGGCCGCGGCTTTGGCCGCATCATCATCCGCTCGCTTCAGAACCCTATCCGCAGGGGGAAATTGATCCGAAAGGACTGCATGGTCGCCGACCGCGGGAGATGGGTCTGGAAGCACGGTGGTGCGTGAAGGATGCTGCGAGAAACCGGTCGGTTGCTCTAGACGGGCGCATGCCAGGGAAGAGAGCGCTAATGTGAGCAGCAGGTTTATTCGCATGGCGGAGGGTCAAACGAGTGGAAGGGCTGAGATGGCTGGCATAAACGAGGGACCTAGGGGGAAAGAGAGAGTGTGTCAAAAAAGAGACCAAAAAATACGGATTAAAAAATGGATGAGGCTGGACAACCTGATGATTGATGACCCACCCATTTTTCCTCCGTTTTCTTTCTGTTGTCGGTGCAAGGGAGCATGAAATTGGGAGGCGTTAATGTCGATGTCTGAGGTTGACGATGTTGATTGGCGAGACCGTCGAGCGACCACGCGGCGATGGTCCACTGGATGTTGATTCTTATAGAGTAAGTATTCTCCTTGATTATTATTCTTTTCTTCTTATTGCCAGTTAGTATTATGTTCTTTCATTCTTAATACGGAGTGCGCATTTCTAGAACTAACTCAAACCGACCAGTGGACCATGGACCGCCCACCGACAGAGCCAAGGAATCCTCCCACTGTCAGGTACGAGGTTTGCACAGCCCTACTCCGTAAAATAGATCAACATTCACGAGTCAAGTCTAAAAGGGTTGCATTCATCGCGTCCATCGCGTACATGTCGGAAATTTTCTACATCGATGGGTGGGGATCCTGTCGAATGCCGATCTCGATTCACGTCGAGTACGGGCCAAGAATTACAGAGTACTTCTAAAAGTACTCCATATTCTCATCTGACGCCAATGAAATATTGCTTTCCATCAGTAACTATACTCTGTACTTTGCACATACCTCACTGCCACTGTCACGGAGCAACACAAGGATAAGACTTGCTCGGATGGACCTGTCAAGGACTGCATACTACGTATTACCTGGAAGCTAAGAATAGAAGCACTATCATATCCTCTCTCCTGAGCAGTCAACGGCATCATACCATCTCATCTCTTCCATTTAACTTATATCTCTCTCTGTAAAGCGCCGAGAGGGCTAGAGTGCCTTAGTCAGCGGATGTCCGTCAGGCACCAAGGCAGATATTTCCTCGTCATTATCAATTATCATCACCATCTTCCTCTTCTTTTTCGTCCGCCTCCCTATCAATCCAGTTCATCGTAACACATAAGCTCCTTACCACCGGGCAAAGACTTGTCTTCTGCCAAACCCTTATCCTCCTCGACGGAGTTGTCTTTCAATCCGGTTCTTACGCCCCCGATCTTACCGCATTCTGCCCGGCCCCATTTCTATAAGGATCGCCCGCCCGGAATGCCACTCTCAATCCAGTGTGTCCTATTCTAAGAGTAGAATGTCATAATGATGAAACCACGGGACTCTCCCATGACGATTGCTCCACGACGGTTACCCCACGCCGATCAGAGTGTCGTGGGGATACGAGAGAAAGTAACCATTCCGTACAGAACATCACCCCGGATTAACCGAGAAACCACGGTAACATCGCACCGAAGCCATGCTATTAGATTGATTGGAAGTAACGCCCGGATATACCCGCTACGCTGGCTAGTGTGGGGCTTTGATCCTTGCTCGAGATGTATCACAGTTGCAGATCGATGCTGGCTAATCTGCATTCACGCTGACGCTGACGGTGGTCCCTGATCATCAAACGCCAGGGTGATGCCAGGATACATACCTGCTGAAGGAAGGAAGTAGTATATATTCATGCCTTTTCGCTCCCCTTCAACGTAATCGTTTCTCTCCCCAACTTCGCCACCATGTCGCTCCGCTATCTGCCACTGTTGTGCTCTTTGGCTTCTGCAGCCCATCTCTATGCCACTCACTACTCGGGCTCAGTTTACACACTATCCCTAGATGGACACTCGCTGTCCATCGCCTCCTCCGTGGACGGCTGCGGCCCCATGCCCAGCTGGCTCACTCTCGACCCGGAATCGAATCTTGTGTACTGCTCCGATGAATCCGGTGATGCCTCCAGCAATGGCTCCTTGCATAGTCTCGCTATTGGCGAAGACGGGTCCCTGTCCGAAGTCGCCAAGACGGGGGCGGCGCCGGGAGGAGGCGTCTATAGCGTCGTTTACAGCGGTGACAACGGTGCCAAGTACCTGGCCATTGCGCATTAGTATGTGGCCTTTCACCTCCCTCTGGGCTCAAAATGCATATTCTAACCTCCCAGTCAGTGGTGGCTCGGCGCTCTCCACCTTCTCCCTTCCCCTAAAGGAGGACGAGGACACCCTCCAGGTCTTCCATTACAAATTGGATAAGCCTGGGGCCAAACCCCAACAGGATGCGTCCCACCCGCACCAGGTCATCCTGGACCCAACCGGATCCTTCATCCTCTCGCCAGACCTGGGCGCCGATAAGATCCGCGTCTATGCCATTGACAAGTCCTCCGGCGCCCTCACGGACTGCCCCGCCGTCGAATTTCCCGCCGGCAGTGGACCGCGCCACGGGCTCTTCTGGGACGCGGAGAACGCTCAGCTGCGATTCCAACGCAGAGCGGACTCGCAGACGATGCTCTACACCGTCAATGAGCTAGACGGCCATTTCACCGCATTCGCCGTCTCGTACCCACCCGACGGCTGCCTCTCCATCAAGAAGACCCAGTCCTTCGTGCCGTACCCGGGCTCCGAGTTACCCGAGGGAGCCACCTTGTCGGGCATCCAGATGGAGGGATCCTCGCTGTATGTCTCCATCCGTTCGGACCATGCCCACCCTCCCAACGACTCTATGGTCACTCTAGATCGCTCTTTGAACGGTACCGTAAAGTATCGCGACTTTTGCTCTTCCTATGGCACAGTTCCTCGCACATTCGTGATCAACAAGGCGGGCGATCTGGTTGCAATCGGGAACCAGGCTTCGTCAACTGTCGCCATTGTGGCAAGGGACCCCAAATCCGGGAAATTAGGAGACGAGGTGGCTAATATCCAAGTGGGAGAACCCGGTAAGGTCGGTACTGCGGAGGGTTTGAGCAGTATTATCTGGGGAGAGGAGTAAATGCTCTCTCCATGGTGCATATGTCCTGGCGGATTAATCGGCGCTGAAGTTGGACGGAGAGTGGGGGAGCGTGAGGCAGGGATCTGTTGGGTTACAGCCTGGTCTCTCGATAGATTTACTTGGTTCACAGGTCATGAGCCCTTGGATAGACAATACCGTCTTTGCATATATTATTATTATACACTCTACCACTCTCTAGATTGCTGAATAATCCGACGGAATTGGCGGTGGATCGTCATCACGTGACATGCTGGCCGACAGAAAGATCTAAAAGCGATAAAAAAAAAAGACAGCAGCAAACACATCCTAGTTTCATTTCGCCCCCGCTGATGCCTCCTTCTGTGCCCTGTAGCGTCAGCAGTTCTCCTCTTTCCTGATTCCGGTGGCAGCATCTGCCTCGGATGTATTCGTCAATGCAGCAAGGCCGGTTGTTCTCGACCCTCCCACGACCCTGCCGATTTGTTGCGCACCGCCGCTATCCCGCCGTTTTTGCGTCTTCCTCGCGTCGATTCCATCTCTCCCCCTCCTGGCGGTCGTCCATCCCATCGGACCCTCATGGCGCTCGTGACTCCACCTCCGAAAATGTAACAAGTGATATTCCGACCCTCAATGCCGGACAGAACGTGTCCGAACATCTGCCTCCCGTTGCCACGCCGGCGGCCTCCGAACAGTCGGCGAAGGACTCGAAACCGTATGGCTCTGCAGTCCGCAGAGCCTTGAGAAATAGGAAATCGGTGAAGGAATGGACCGCCCCTGTCGCAACGGTCCCGGACTGGTTCTTTGAGCGGAACACTATCGTGCACAGTGACGACGGGCAGGTCGCGGCGCAGACTCACCAGCAGGTGAAAATCGCCGCGTCGGCCCCGCAGATAGACCAAATAAGTGCAGATGCGGTCGCCCAAGGTGGTGATGGAGATGATCCGCCGGCGTCGGATGGTTTACCGGGAGATGAGAACCGATATGCTTTGACCGATGCCTTATGGGAGGAGCTATGCGCATCTGCCCGGGCGGGTCTGCGACTCCCGCCCGCCAAATACGCGACAGAGCCTTCGGCACGAAAATCGCACCTCGTTCTACAGTACCCCGGGAACGATGGGGTCTTGTTTCTGGACGCGGTGGTGAAGAGGCTAGCGCAGGAACTAGGCGCGGATCTGGTGACGCTCGACGCTCAAGATATTGCTCAGCTATGCAATGAGCAAGATCTGGCAGACATTGGCACGACTTCATCGATCAGGTCCCTGGGCTACGAGGTGTACCGTCCGTCCGCCTCGGATTCCTGGCAGGAAATGGGTGAGGAGGGGGAGTCTGAGGATGCCGATGTAATTGACGCCGCGATGCCGTCCCGCAATCTTCGCCCGGTGATCCGGGGTCCGAGATTCATTACCATCGAAAGCACTCGCGAACCCGGCGACATCCCCCTTCCCAACCTGATGGGTCTAAAGTCGTTGGTGGCTTCCTTCAACAACCCCTTAGATGGCTCTGGGGGTGCCGCATCGACCCAGAGTCCGGATCGGGCGGAGGATAGGCGACTCCGACTGATAAACGAGCTGCTCTCTTCACCTACGAAACTGCCCCGACAATCGGGTGAGGACCCCCACCCCAGTGGGAGCGCTGAAAACAATCAGCCTAAACCGGCGCGCGATATCATTGTCCAAGTGCAGGATTACGGCGACATCCAGGGGACACGGGAGGGCGCCCGGTTTATACAACTGTTACAGAAAGCTATCCAGGATCGGCGAAAAGCCGGGTCACGGGTCTTGTTTGTGGGCACAGCGGCACAAGACGCTGCGCCGGACTCGGATGCCTCGCGGTTGATGCACAACGCCTTCGACGACCAGTTCTCACAGATGCTGGTCGTGATCCCCGCTATGGGCTCTGAGCAGGCTGAAAAGACATTTGCGGATGATCGAAAGAGGCGGACACTCGAGGTTAACATTCGACATCTACAGGACATGCTCCGAACCCGACTCCACGAGACCCCTTCCGCCCTCAAGGATGATATCTTTGGGGGCCGTGCTTGGCCGCTGGATACTTCCCTGGTCAAGGAATCTGGCCTCGAAGAACGGTATTGGACTTACAGTCAAGTGCACTGGGCCACTACCCTTGCGCTGGGCAGTCTTGGGCCGGAGGAGCCGTTCGGTTTCGAACATCTTGCGCATGGCATCGAGATGATGCAGAAGACGGAACGCATCAAGAGTGATTGGCTGCACGAAAAGACGCCCAAGGCGAAGCATACGGAACCTAGCAGTGACAAGGAGCGGCTCCTGAATTCGCTCCGGAAGGTCTGCAATTCCCACGAGAAGAAGTTGCTGAACGGAGTAGTGGACTCGAAAAGCCTGCGGACCACGTTCGATGACGTGCACGTTCCGCCAGAGACCATCGACGCTCTGAAGACGCTCACCTCGCTGTCACTCATTCGCCCGGAGGCGTTCACCTACGGCGTCCTAGCCACCGACAAGATACCCGGACTGCTCCTGTACGGCCCTCCCGGCACGGGAAAGACGCTCCTGGCCAAAGCGGTTGCGCGTGAAAGTGGCGCCACGGTGCTAGAGGTAAGCGGGTCGGAGGTGTATGACATGTACGTGGGCGAAGGGGAGAAGAACGTCAAGGCCATCTTTACGCTGGCCAAGAAGCTGAGTCCCTGCGTCGTTTTCATCGACGAGGCGGACGCCATATTCTGCTCCCGGACAGGAGCCAGCAGTCGCACCTCGCACCGGGAGCTCATCAACCAGTTCCTGCGGGAATGGGATGGGATGAACGACCTGTCGGCCTTTATCATGGTGGCCACCAACCGCCCCTTTGACCTCGACGACGCGGTACTGCGACGTCTCCCGCGACGTCTCCTAGTGGACCTGCCGACCGAACAGGACCGCCTAGCCATTTTGAAGATCCACCTCAGGGAAGAGACCCTTGATAGCAGCGTGGACCTCGCCGAACTCGCGCGACGTACCCCGCTGTACTCTGGATCTGATCTGAAGAATCTGTCTGTGGCCGCGGCGTTGGCCTGCGTACGAGACGAGAACGCACTGGCTGCACAGCATCAGGGCGACGAGCCCTACCAGTATCCGACACGGCGCACGCTGACTTGGAGCCACTTTGAGCGCGGCATGGAAGAGATCAGCGCGTCAATCAGCGAAGATATGTCGTCGTTGTCGGCGATCCGCAAGTTCGACGAACAGTATGGGGATCGCAAGGGACGGCGCAAGAAGAGTCCCGGATGGGGGTTCATGCCTCTCGCGAGAGAGGAAGCAGATTCTGATGCTGCGCGTGTACGCACTTGAGCTTGATCCGGAGCGATTGATTCTCTTGCTTGGGCTGGTGTTGGGGGGTTGTTCGGATAGAGAGATGGAGTTATTGACGAACTTGTATTTAATTTGATTTTATTTTGCCTAGCGATATCCATGTACAGTATGTATAAATATAAAGATCTTTTACTCATTATTTCTTAATTATTTCTTAATTTTTGGGTGAATGACCGAGACGAATTCTGCATTTTTCCACTTTCTTTCCCCACATCTCTCTTTCTCTTCTCTCCTCTCTCTCACAACCTCAACCTCAACCTCAATCTCAACCTCAACCTCAACTACCAACTTCCACATCTTCGTTTTCTTTTCTTCATCGACCTCTTCTCGACCTCTCCTATGTGCGCTTCCCTCCGTCTCTTGGTGGTCTTCCTTCGCTCAGCTCTCTAGCTAGCTCTCTAGCTAGCTCAAGCTTAACCCACTCACCCCTCGATCCCAAACAGTACGAAGTACAAAAAAGAAAAGAAAAGAAATATGGCCACATACGCCCGCGACGTAGCCATCCGCGAAGCCAAACTCCATGTCCGTGAAATCGTCCGCAACGACTGGTCCTTCCATCCATCGACCGACGCCGGCGCGCCCGCCTCGTCTTCTCCGCCGCCTCCAACACACGAGATCGCAGAATGGCGACTGCGCGAATACGACAGCTCCGGGTCCGAGCTGGAACCCGTATCGTCGCCGGACATTGGGGCCTCCGATCACACCGTCCTGCCTGATTCGTTGCGGGCCATGTCTCCCCGGCGCAAACGTCGTCGACAAGAGGAGGAGGCCGAAATGCGTTGGAATGAGGGGTTACGCACATGGGTCGAGAGACGGAATGCCTGGTCGGGCGCCCTGTCGAGGGAGGAGATTCGTCGACGACAGCTGCAGCCACGGGACTCGCAGCTAGAAGATGGTGCACTATCGCATGACGACCAGAAGAAAAAGGAGGAGGCGTCGAATCCTACATTGGAGTCTTCTACATCGTCGGCCGGTTCTGGATGCGACGAGCTCACCACAAGAACCGAAGTCTCCTTGTCTATTACAGAAAGGGAAGAATTTACCTCCCAGTTCCCTGCCGACCGCGAACGCGAAGACGAACCCTCGACCGCTGATCCAGAGAATCTCCATCCCACCGCATCCCTCATCCCCGACCCGGATCTAACCACCGGGGTGACGCCTACGACACCAGCTCCTGCCCCCGCCAGTGTAGCAGCTACTGAAACCGCTGCATCGTATCATGACCCCTCGACCGGCGACCAACAACAACAGCAAGAAGAAGAAAGAGAAAGAGAAGATCCCTTCATCCCCGTGGCTCCCACACTAATCTCCACCACCAACCCTGTCCGCGCCGCCATCGCCCCAACCATGTACCCCTCCATCTACTCGAAGGTCGTAGTCCAGGGTCTTACGCCCACCGTCCCCATCAACCTGGTCGACGTGACCAAGGCCATCGTCCAAGGCTGGAAAGCAGATGGTCAATGGCCGCCTAAACCTGCGACCTCCAACATCGTGCTCCAAGATGACGCCACCGTTCGAAAACCCAACAATGCACTCGACCAGGCCTCCCCCGAGTCGAAGAAGCGATCTGGCGTCGCCAGTGCCGTCCGCAAGGTCCTGCATTTTTCGGGCTTTCATCCGCATCGGAGATCCTCGAGTCACGGGCAGAATGATGTTCCTACTACCGGGGAGGGGAATGGGATCGTGGATCAGACGATTCCAAATAAGTCATAGGGTTGAAGCAGAAAAGATAAGAAGAAAAAAAAGACATATTTGTGTTTGGGTGTTAAGGATAGCATTACCTTTTTTGGTTGTCTTCAAGGTGATAGTTCTTGCATGATGGTTGATTGCTGATTGACGATGAGCTTGGTTCGATTTGCATGAGTACTGCGCTGCGTTGCGCTCTTTGGATGTTCTGTTCTCTCTTCCATTGTCTGGTCTATTGTTTCTGTTTCTTGTTCTTTGTTGCATTGGATTCGTGCTGGATTATCACTCCCCTTCATATCACTCACTACTGGTTTGTACGCATAGTGCCTGTTGCATATCTCCGCATGATTGATTTCCCTACCTTCCCTACTTGACTGCCATATTCGTCCGGGGTTTGGAAACACTAGGCGGCACAATTAATTATTGATCATAGTCTGTCTAGTTTCTCTTTATCAAACCACACACGTTTCAAGCAGGCTCTACACATCACATCTAGTATCTGGGTAAACTAAAAAATCATAAGCGGCCATGACTCGTCCATGCTCATATACCTGTTTCTTGGGATCTGGGTCTGGTCCGAATCTCCGAGAAGACCCAGTGTCTCGAGGGCATTAAAGAATGCCAGAGCGGCATCGTCAAATACCGTCGCGGGAGGTTGTTCCAGCTGTACAGCCACCTCCGGTCCAATACTGACCTCCTGCGGCTGCTGGCCACCACGTCGCGTAAAGTAGTATTTCCCTCGGTGTCGGGACCAGCTCTCGTTCACGTACGCTTGCAATTCGCGGACGGCAGACTGGCGGATCTTCTGGAAGAACTTGGGGACAGTGGTGGGGGTGTCGTCTCCATCTCTTGCGGCAAAGGCGTTGGACGACAGGCTCAACCCTCCTAGATCATCGGTCTGGAGTTGGTTGTGCAGGTGGGACGCAGCAAGGAGGACGAATTGTCGGAAAAAGCGGACCTGTGAAACGAGACTCTCGCCTTCGCTAGTGATTCTGTCGACATACTCCACGACCCGCAAAGAAGACCTGATCATTCGGATAAAAGAAGCAACAGTGAGCGCAACGGGGGGTTCGTTGAGCATCTCTAGTCTTCGGATTATAGTACTCAGCGCACGGTATGTGGATCTAAAGACGACGTTGAAAATGCCCAGTATCGACGAAACGCAGCTGCGATCCATAGTATCCAGACTGAAAAGCAGTTCTTCAAAAGTAAGAGACACGGTATGAATAATCGGTCGACAGAATATCCATGCAGCTGGATTACTAAAAACAGTCTCCAGGTAAGCCGGAAATACCGCTTGAATCAGTATTGCCCTCAGGGTAGGCTTGTTCGGATCACCAGCTTCATAAGAATCTGCCATAGACGCATGCATCTGCTCAACAAGATAGTTCTGTTGACCATCAATGGCGGCTCTTTCGGAGACGCCCTGGATGAACGTGATCAGCGTCTTTGCGACCTTCTCGGAGGAAAGCTTCGGTTCGTAGCTCTTGAGTCTCGCCACAATGTACGTGGGGTCTGTCGAGGGTAATGGAAATGATGTTGGATCAGTGAAAAACGGGTCGATAAGGCAAATGTCTCTTGTATGCTGTTGCAGGAAACCAACGACGCGATGAACGAAGCCAACATATTCGCCTTGCGCACTTGCTTCGCCGCTACCTAGCTCCCGGTAGTTTGCCTTCATCGACGACATCATGTTTTGAACAAGTTCCCTGCATTCTTGCTTGGTTGTTAAAAGGTCTTTGCTTCGTCGTTCTTCCAGGTCTTGCAGATGCGCACGCATGTTCGACAGGAGACTTGATATGAGAGACACTCGACGCTGTTTGAAGTCATCCGGTGTAATTGAAAATCGCCCATCTTTTTGATCCCTCGAAAATGGCAGGTTCTGTAGCACGGGATTCGTTGAATCTTGGTTCAGCAAGGCCTCCGTTAGGGAATGTTGGAACTTGAGTATCGACTCTCTTTCCACCAAACTTGACATCCACAAGGCAAAGACCTGGAGTTTGCACTCGGAAGTAAACCGAGGGTCTTTCTCGATACAACTGGCCAAGAACTTCGGCGTAAATTTTCTAGTCTGCATTGTCGCTCGAAGTGTTGCCCAAGAGTCACTATCGTAAGGGCTAAGGTAGTTGTCCCAGTGCCGTATCCCATACTTCACGAGCACCTCTGCGATAGAAGTCCAGCAATCAATGGCATCCAAAAGTAATGCGTCTTCTGGGCAATTGTCCTCGCCGAAACAGTTAGAAACAAGCCGGGACACAGCTGGATAGAAAACCTTTTCCACGTGCTCAATTCCAGGCCGCACTGGTGACCATTCTGCGCCGCACAAGGCTTCAATGTCCGTCCAGTCTCCAAATTCTTGGCTGTCTTCGTCAGCGGTGACTGAAACGACACCCGCAGCTGCTGTATGCAGGGAGCGGCATTTCTCCATATAAGCCGCTATCACCCGTAGGGCCTCGGTTACGGTACTATTCACGCGAGCCAGCTTGGAGTTGAAAAGGCCCAATACTGCTGGGACAGGTGCCTTGGAGACAAGTTTCTCGGCGTGGTCTAATGTCGGGGCAGACCGAATAGCACTCTGCAAGCCACTAAGAGAGGATTTCAGCAACGATTCGATTTGACGTTGATTCTGTGAGATTGTCCGCTCGATCAAGTTGTGAGAAAATTGGTTTCCACCGGTGTTTTGGGCCTCCACCTCCCTTCGGGCAAAGGTATGTTGCTTCAACAATTCGGAAACAAAGTAGCAATGCCAGTCGGCAAACGGTTCCAGCCCAGATACATCCTCGTCTGTGGAGAGTTTGAAACGAACAAGCCTGGACCAAGACCGCAGACTGATATTGCATGTTTCACGATGAGAGCTAGCGGGGTGCACAAGGTTCTTTATTGCTTCAAGTCGAGGCCGACATCCATCAGGAACAGAATAGTACAAAGTGCAGAGAAGGTCATGGTGGTTCCTCAGAGCGTCCAAGTCTGTTTGATGGATAGACTGGTCTTTGGGATACACTCTGCCGTGGTTAGGTAACAGGCGCCATGCAAAATTCCGGACCCTTTTCTTATCATATGCCTTTGACAAGTAGCGCAGGCCGCTTGCAATAATTTTCAGGAATATATGAAAACATGGATCCCCTGTCTTGACTTCAAGAGAAGGATTGCGGTCAAGTTCATCGAGGAAAGCCGGGGATGTGTAGTTCTCTTCAAGTTTCAGATTGTATAGGGTATTTTTGGCGAAAAAATCATAAAGCGTATCCAGGAGTGGTTTGCAATCGCGCCAGCCCCAACTGTTAATGAGGTAAAAGCACCGGTGGAGCAGAGCTCGGCAATAATTGTTATACGAGATAGGTGTAACGGAGTTGCGATCATAGACATCTAACACCGGTCGTAGCAAGGCCTGGATTGCCGACCAGTTGTCATGCCTCTCCTTAAAACGTGACCCGACTTGTGCAATTCCAAAAACGTCGATTTCGCTCAAGGGGAGAATGTTGAATATTCGATGCCATCTACTTTCCAGGGCTTCAATGTCTTTCGAAGTGTCGGAATCCCCTGCCTTAGGTATTGAGTATGCTTCGGCCACAAAATCACCAAAGTACCACTTGAGAAGGTCTGTACGGCCTAATACCTTCTGAACAATGACATAAGCCTCAACAACCGAGTAATTGTCTCTGATCCCTGATTCCCGCGCTTCACGGGACTTGCAGGCTTGGAGAAAATTGGAAATATTTGCCTGTCCTGCTGGGCTTGAAACAAATAGTATGACAGGATGAGAGGCCACCCTGACAAGCTCTAAGGCTTCGTTTGCAATGCCTGCATCAACAAGAGCATTGCGAGCTATTTGTAACGCTTGGTTCGCAAACACAAGATTGTAAGAAGAAATGCTTGCAACGTGTTCCAGATCGCGAGGCGGCATTGACGACACGGGCGTTATGTTGTCGTTGAGCTTGGAAATAAGGACATGGACTCGTTTTATGAAACCAACCCTGTCGATGGGGTCGATGAAAGCCATCGTTTCCGTAACGTATTTAATTAAGCTTCGATATATATTGCTCCCTCGTCTGCATAGGTGACCGGCGGTAGCCTCGACCGCTTCATGCTTTTCGACATCCTCAATTATGGCGTCAAAAGCGATACCAAGCTCGGATGATACACTATCATTCCAAGGACCCCATCGGAAACTCTGGTGACCGACCTTCATGGAGAAAAAGCCCCCATCTTTGTCTAGGTCCCGCTTGCTTATCTCGAGAGACTGGGCAAACTCGGTACTGCCAATAAACGTAGTCTCATGAAAGAACGTCCCCGGAAATAGGGGAGAGACATTGAAATCTATAGTATATGAGCTCTGGAACCCTTTGAGACCACCAAAATCTCGGGGTCGAGGTTGAATATCCCTGCTTTTGGCATCCAAGGGCTCTGGATCTGGGGTCACAAACGAAATCGTCTCCTGGTTTTCAGCCATATTAACATCCAATCGTTTAGGAGGCCGTTTTCGCCTTTGACGGCGTGATCCCTGGGCGTGGGTCCCTGGTAGTTCATCATGTAATTTGCTCGATGTTTTCGCTGTGGCGATTAGGGGACCATAGGCAACAGGGGCAGTGTGGTTGGTAAGAAATCGTTGCATAACCGGATTTTGAAGTGAAGCCCTGGGCAAGTGTTTGTGACGGTTACCGCTAATGAACAATGAAAGAGACCGATTAAGGGGCAATGAGCTTGATCCCATATAGTTGCCAGTACTAGCTGGCTCTGGTGCCACAGGCCTCGGAACATTCCTCTTTAAAGATGACACGGCCACATTTCTACGGACAATCCATTTGTTTCCTTGGTCACGTTGTGCAGACTTCGGGGGTATATCATTATGTCCTGAAGCTGGGGTCGGTGTTGTGTTTGAGGTTTCAACGGTCCCGCTCTCCCCAGATCGAGTCTCGAATCCAGCATCAGATATAGGGTATTCTATTGTATCTCGGGCCTGGTCAATATCGAGTCGATCACTTTTATTTGTAGCAAGATCCATCAAAGGTTGTCGTGTCCGAGCCATCACCTGGGGTTTCGGCAACTTGGTTTGTCGAAGGCGCCCTGTATGCCATTCACGTAAGGAAGCATTAGCATCTTCTGTGTCCAACCTCGAACTCAGCCTGAAGACCTTGCGGCCAGGACTATGTCTTCCCATATCTCGGCGAGATCGGACTTTGCGCGCCGCGACTCTAAGGAATTGAGGCTGTCGGCTTTGAGGTTTAGCAACATCAGGGGCATCCAATAGGCTAAGTCTAGGAGGGGCTGGGGCAGGCTGTTTTTCGCTTCGTGATGGATATATCGGGTCCGTAAGTCGAGTTTGTCTTTTTAGGCGAGATCGCTTAGAGTAAGTATTAATCCGAGCACTGTTCCCTTCTGGCCTCGACCGCTTCTTTTCCTGGTTTTCACTCCGGGATGAAGTCGCGCGTGTTGCAATTGGGAACATGTAGTCAATGCGATTGTCTTCGAGGATATCATCTCCCAGATCTTCGTCATGGAATGGATCGTCAAAGCCTACTAGATTAGCTAATGCCTGGCGGGCATTAATGTGGCCACCGACTTCATCGTCTCCACTTTCATTGCTGCTATCACGGTCAGCAAGGTTCTCCAGTGATGCCAATTGCCCTCTTGCACTAAAGGGTGTAGCAGAATCATTCCGTTTGGTGACTTTTCTGGCAACGCCCTTCGCATTCTCCAGCCGAGCTGCTTTGTCATGGTTTCGCTGAGTAGAGCTCAACCGAGAGTGTTTTTGCTTCTGTTGGTCCAATCGCAGCCACGAAGCCGGAAGAACACCTTTTATTCGACGTTGAAGTTGCCTTACAGCTTCTTCATGCGCATCCTCATCTCTTTCATCAGGATAGTCACTTTGAGTTGCTGTCGACTGGACATCAGCGATGTCACCGCCGTCGGATAAATCCATATCATGCGCTTCATCGCCGGCATCTTTTTCCACTTGACTCGGCAACGAGCTATGATTGTTTAACGCCGGTGGGATAAACCCTCGGGGAAACTTGAACTCCTTGAAAGTCTGTGTGACTTGCGGAGACGGGCTACCAGAGCGGGGTGGACTGGGAGGCACATTGTGGGTTGAATTTTCTTCCATATGGAAAGGCGAAGATGAATTATCGACGATCATCTGAGGTCGAGCCAAATGCTGCGGACGAGATTGATCACCAGGCCTCGATATCTTGCGTCTCTTCGGGCCCCTAATACCATCTGGAGAATTCTCCCGGGTAGGAGATAAATGTTGTGCATGACGCTGAGGGCTCTTCTCAGGTCCAAAACTGACCTCTGCAGATGGAATTCCCGCCGTAGGGCTACTCGATGGTGGTTCAGCATTATCAACAAAATCATGGCCCTGACTCTCCTTTGCCACACGCAATGCTTCCTGGTACTGAGCTATACGTACTGGCCTGATGCCTCTTGCCTTCATAAGAGTTTGATACTTCGCGTCTTCCAGTAGGTAAGGATGCAACTGGATAGGATTGCGCTGTCGCAGGGATCTCCTTGACGGCTGAGCCAATTCTTGCAGGACGTCTTCTGGGATTTCGAGCGGAGATAGCAGATCCTCTTGTTTATTTCTTGGTGGCTGATCCGTCCCATCCTTGTCAACCTGGCCATCAGCTTCATTCAAAGGTAAAGAGTGAAGTGATGAGGGCGGGGACGATATAGGAGAGTGGTCATCATTGCCATCATCTTCTGACCGTCTCTGGCTATCAGTTGGTTCCCTTGGTGAAGGTGAAATAGGGACCTGCTTCCGGAGAAAAGGGTGATAGCCGGCCTGTAGTTCGTCCGGAGAAGACGACGGAATGTCCCACACGTCTCTTTGTTTCGCGGCCCGCGGCGTCGACGGTGGACTTGACTCTGGAGCAGCCAAGAGTTCTTGAGATGCATTGTTATCCATCCTTTCATCCACCATCGTATCCTCGTCCACGGACCCCGTCTGCAATCCTGCAGCGTGCTCCATGTTTTCCCCTCTTGCCTTCGGCGTAAAGTCCCCATCGTCATTATTTTGTGCGAGTGCTGTAGTTAGGACATCATGGCTTGATTGCGAAAACCGATCATTGTCTTCATTGGCATCCAAAGAGGAAGGGCGTTCCTCATTGGTATCTTCATCCTGAGAGGCCGGGACTGTCTCGTTTAAGGGACGTGCAGACACTGCATTTACCAGCACAATCTCGTCTCCATATTCAACATCCTGAATCACATCCTTTGTATCCTGACTGTCGAGCTCCCCTTCGGCGTCCGAGTCCGGTACAAATCCTCGTTCCCGCCATGATTCCATTTGTATCCTTGGCGCTGATACCCATCGCCCTAGATCTCCATTTCCGAGATAGTGTGACACGTCCAGACCAAATTGCAGCGAGCGGCGTAGAACTGAATCGAACCTGCCTCGAAGCGGGGATTGCCAGGACGCGTCGAGATGCCGGGGAGACGCGACGGGCGGAAATTTGGCGATTTGCCGCCTTGGCCCGCCCCGACATCCTTCAATTTCGATATGGCTTTGCGCGCACACGCGTTTAAGTCAACGAATTAATTTCAACCGGCACTGTCAGTCATCGCCTCTGTCATGAGTCGCAACTTCATCCCCGCTCTCCTGGCCATTGGCATGGGCGTTTTTACCGGTACGAGCACTTAAAATACTGCGTCAGCATTCCACTAACTGTCTGTCAACCTGGGTCGCAGGTTACTACACCTTCAATCCGGCATTCCGTGAGCTACACTCGGACAAGGAGACTACACAGCGGTAGGTCCTTTGGCAGTGTCTCCTATGTCCAGCGATCCACAGTCTTGTCCTTCGAAGCTGACCTCGCCAAATACATATAGAGATCCACCCATAGAGCAACCACAAGGTCATAGCACCTCAGGTACTACTTCAAGCGCGAAAGACTCGACGCCACCTACGGAAAATAGTAAAAATTAAGGATATCAAGAGATGCTAGTGGCACTGTGGAGCTAGGACGAACAGAAACGTCAGTTCATATGGCTCTATCCGACCTGCTACTTCTCCAGGTCATGGGCAATGATGTTGGATCAATGCATGGCGTATCAGAGCAGATACCGGTGCCCTCTACAGCACTTACAACTTGGTATGACTAGTGAGTCAGCCATGACTTTGGTTGATTATTATACTCCTATGCACGGCGATGCAAGAAAAGAGTAGGTTGAACCCAGCCAGCCCCCTCCCAATGGAAGAAACGCTGGCAGTCTCCGAATCCATTTCAAGACATATATACCCCCACTCAAGCGTCATTGTCTCTATTTCTACGAATGTACAACACTGCTACCATGTACGGTTGCATCAATAGACATCTCTTTCTCGTGGTAGCTTACAGAATTGACATAAAGTAAAATTCACCTGTTCGTTGCGCCATTTCCTGCAGCAGGTCTGACCGAGCGGGATATTATCCCACGGATGCCGCTCGCAGCTCGACACAGGAGTTCCGAAATGTCCACAAAGGAATCCTTCTTTTTCCCCTGCCTGTAACCAGATTATGACCGTTGTGTTGATATCACTGTTCCGAATACGCCGAATCCCATTTGCGCCCCCTTATTCCGCTCGATCAATCATACTTCTTCCACGAGATTTCTGGATCCATTGATCACCAGAGGGCCTTCTCCAAAGGCACGCCCGGCAGGTGCACCAAGCCATTCCACGGGTACACTGACACTGCTTCCTTCGCGGCCACTGAGCCATCTGGCCATGGTTGGATCTGCCCTTTCGACATCCTGTAGCTCTTGCTCCGCTGAAGCCACCTCGGCAGCCTCCGCGGCGGGAATTCGGCCCCGCCGTTTCGGAGCTTGTTTCCGTAGAAGCCTGTTGATAGTATCCATCTGTAAATTTTCGTCAATATCCATTTCACAGTAGATCAAAAAGTACTTTCTGAATCATTGACACAGACGGACAGCGATCAATTCCAACTACATACTTTTTCTTCCTCGTTTCGCTTTTCACTTAGGTTCTTTCGCCGTCGAGCCATCTCCGCCCGTCGCATGGCCCGCTCCTCTGCAGTCAAGTGCTTCTTGACCTGGGGTTCTGTGTCCATGTCAGTTAAGGCGCTCAGAATACTGCGGTGATGCACACAACGGTATCCAGAACTCACCCATTGGAAGTTGCAAAAAGTCATTCCCCAGAGTACCCCTTTGTCTTTTGGTCATCTTGCTCAGATCGGTAGAGGGTAATCCATCCTCGCTATCGATCTCTTCTTCATCCATGTCGTCCTCTAAATTCACGTCCCCTCCATTTGTATTACCTACCCCGCTTTCATCGGGGTCATCTGGCTCGCCTTCGGCATCTGAGTCTGGCTCAGAGAGCTCTTCATCGTCCTCGTCATCCTCGTCATCCAGCTCCATCTCCTTGGCCTCGACACTTTTGACTAGTTTGGTGGCCCCAGAAGCCTTGGCATTCCTTTTTGACACCGGCGGCTGAGGTGGGACGTCATCCATATCCAGATCGCCATCGACATCTTCGTCATCTTCGCCAGGCACATCCTCGTCGTCGACTTCATCCTCTTCCTGATCCTCTACGTCATCTTCGTCGCTCGTGTCGACTTCAACAAGCCTTTTTCTGGGCCGACTGGTCCGTGGCCCTGAGACAATGGGGTTTTCTGTGAAGACGTTGACCGAGCGTCTTGTCGAAGTACGGCTACCACTGCTCGCAACTTCGCGCAGCTTATTTGATGGCATTTTTACGGTCACACAGATCGACCTTTTCGACTCCTCTGCCAGAGATCGAACAACCGTTACTAATGTAGACGGTGCGACAGCTCGGGTCTGTCTTGTAGGCCTGGTAATCGTGTTAGAATCCAGATTCGGTGGATCATCCCGGGCAAGACGGGCACGAAGAGAGCGACGTAAGGACATGATGGGCCGATCAAAGGATCGTGCAAAAACAACGAGCACAAAAAAAAAAAAAATTACCCCCAACAAAGAGCGATAAAAAAAGAAATACGAAATACGAGCAGTAAAGAGGGGAAAGGGAAATATTTCCAGATTAGAAATAGAGTAAAAGTGCAGAAAGTTGTGAAAAAGCAAACAAAGAGAATCCAAGCCAACTAGAGGGATGATTGAAGGTGAAGGACTCAAGGCTGTATGGGGATAAGGATTTGATGAAAGATAATGGTCATTCAAACTAGTATTGGGGAGGGTTTCCCAACCTCAGAATGGGGAACAATGGAATTTGGGGTGGGAAGGAGGGGAGAGCGATGAGGGTATCCAGAGATCACAGGCAAATCTGGTAGTGACGACGACTGACTGGCTACGTGGGCCAGCGTTGAGACTTGACACAGTCTGGAAAGGCACAGGCCATCAATCAATCCCTATCACATCTTTTGACGCCACTTGGGAGGTTCTAAGCTGACAGCCACCTTGGAACCAATGGGAGCATTCTGGTCCTGGACCCTAGTACTCCGTGGACTGTCTTCTGAACAAGGTGGAAGGAGGGGATCCAACGTTGGAGCATTCGTGTCGGGCCACGGACATTATGTTATTATTCCTGGGCTGGTCGAGCAGGGATATTGATGGAGAAACGCAGGCAATCGGAGGAGGCAGAAAAATCAAATAAAAAAAGGGGGGGGGGGAGGGACCGCGCGCAGCAGAAAACATCGGGGAAGTGAGGAGAAATTGAATGGATACTTCGGGATAGAAATCCGAGAATGGACGGGGGGAACTCACGGGGGAAATATCACGGAAATTAATTGGTACACACAAGGACTGGGAATCAGTCCTATCCTATATATATAGAACGGATCGGAAGTCCGGTATACAACCACTAATCTGCTCAAGAAGACCAGGAACTCCGAGGCGATGCGAGCATGACGGAAGGCACTATGCGAGAGTATTCTGCCGGGCGGTGGCATCTTGGCATGCTGACTACGACGAGCAATATTGACCTATAAAGATAGCAAGTTACTGGTCTCAATGCCTGAATAAATATGGGATGGTAAAGATAGATAGAGAAGGAGAATTCCATTAGAGGGAATCAATCTCCAGACAACTTCCCTGTCCTCCTGGGAGTAATAGGTTCTTCCTATGTATATTGGATCATACCTTCGTACAACTGAAATGCTCAATTGACACGCTACACTCAGCCCAAACACGCCACTATCTCGAAGGAAGCTTCTACTACCTCGCACGTAGGTACGAGTAGAACGCTAATAGACTAGATGCCTCAGGTTGACAATATTAGGTACCTTTTAGAACTTCGGCCTGTACGACAGGATATGATACCACACATGACAATACTAAGACGGCGGCAATACAGCCGAGGTCGACATCAACGTAGGCCAACTCCCTCTCCATAGGGACTGTCTCTCTACCATCTTCCTTTCTCTCCATCTCAATCAACTCTATTCCCCATTTCCCTTCCTCTTATACCGTCAGTCATCATGTCTGACTCCAAACCTAACCGTTCCTCTATCCCGGACTGGCAAAAACCCAGCTCTACCAGCTCCAACAACTCCACCTCCACACCGTCGCCCAGCTCTGACGGTGCCTCCCGATCGGCTCTCATAGAGCAAGCATCCAAGTTCTTACAGGATGAATCCATCCGTGACGCTTCAGTCGATCGCAAGATTATATTCCTACAATCCAAGGGTCTCCGGAATGACGAGATCGACCGCCTCTTAGGTGTATCTCGCAACGCCGAAGCCAACTGCAACAACTCAACCGATTCCGCTTCCTCAGATTCTCACAATACCCCAGAGACAAAAACCAAGACAGCGACATCCAGCACCCCTTTGGCCTCTTCACCCGTCACAAGACCTAGTAACCAACCTAGCGACGCTAATAGTGCCAAAACCGAGACCTCGTCGTCACCCCGCGACGTCCCGCCCATCATCACATACCCCGAATTCCTTATCCACCAATCCAAGCCCCCACCACTCGTGACCCTACGCAGCATCCTATACACCCTCTATGGCGCAGCCGGTCTCGGTGCCAGCATTTACGGTGCAAGCGAGTACCTCGTGAAACCAATGCTCGAGAACCTGACGAGCGCAAGACACGACCTAGCGCAGACCGCATCGGCCAACCTAACCAAGCTAAACGAGAAGCTGGAACAGAATGTATCCATCATCCCACCGCACCTGACAGCCCACAAGACGAGCGACTCCGACGAGGAGACCGAATCCATCACCTCGGATCCAACAGAGCTGTTCCATCGCGATGTGGCGACGCAGACCTCGCAGGATCTGGAACAGCCTCGACCGACGAATGAGACCGATGGCGAAGCGGTGCCCGGTCCCACGGCAGCGGTGAATACGCACATGAAACGGCTCGATAGTATCACTTCTCATCTGCGGGAATTCTCCGACACGGAGAGAGAGTCCTCGACTATGGATGACACCGTGCGCACGAGTCTAAATGATCTGCAGCACTATCTTGATGGTTTACTCTATAGTAAGCCGGGATATGGCCCCGTCACTGGCTACGGCGTGTATAGCACCCCCGGCATGGACAATAATGGGACCGCAACGGGAGTGGGAAAAGGCGAGGAGGATGCGATATTGAATTTCAAGTCAGAAATTAGAGGCGTGAAGGGTGCATTGCTAAGTGCGAGAAACTTCCCTACTAGTCGTGGAAGAGTTGCTGCTGGTCTTTCCGTTGGGAAATAAGGTGAGGTGAAAGAGTAAATGAGGTAGATATGAGATGGAGATAAGAGATACCATGTAGATGTGACTTTTCATGGTTTTTTGAGAATGTGTATTGGATGTACTGGTAGCTGCCAACCAACATGGCGTTCAGGGGTCTGGTCTCTTGCATCGAAGCACATCTGAAATGTATCCTATGTAGAATGCATTCCCCCCTCCTCCCCTGTCCATCTACCCCTCGTAGCAAATACAAATAGGCTCTCCGTATCGGCGTAGCAAAAGGATTCAATTTAATTTTACTTCAACACATGGGCTGGGTAGAAACGAATTATAATAATAACATGTCACATATGAAGACCAACTTCTAAATACAACTTATAACATGTCGCATCTCGTACATTTGGGTCGGATCATGGCGAGTACGGTTTAAACAGCACATACATATATCTGGTCTTCCCTCGTACATAGAGCTCGTAGGATCGTTGCCCATACAACGGATCACACCTGAGGCACTCAAGGAGTCGCCCGACTCATGGCGATGAGACGTTTCACACCGACCTGATGGAGAGTATCAGCATATGTTGTAAATACGAGATATCGCTAGCGGGCCAATTGACTTACCATCCAGTTACCACACTCTTCGGTCCTGTTTGTCAGGATATCGAGATGGATTGTCCGTGCTGTCTCATAGTCACGGGCTTGAATGGCACGTGCGAGTTCCCCCATGTCTGCAATGGTGTTGGGCTTGAGCAACTCTTCATTGTTGAGATGATCGAACAAAATATTCAATCGACGCTCAGCATCCTCGACTTGTGCCTTGAAGGAAGACGGCGCACGGGACTTCACGCGCTGCATGTCTGCGTTGAGGATCTCGAAGACAGGCATGGCATCCGACGGGATGTGGGAGCGGTCACCAGGGGCTGGAAAACGTTAGACAGGATCCGTCAGAGGTCTCGAGTGGCCACTTACGGTATTTAGGGGCTGCTGGGGGCGCCGCCTTTTGCGAAGAAGCGGTACTGGGACGGGATCCTGTAGCCGGGGGAGGCACCTGCTGCGCTGGGGGTACATTTGATGGAGGTGTGCTCGGGGCATACTGGCTTGCAGCTGGAGGCACTGGGGCCATCTGTGGAGCATAAGGAGAGGCAGACGCCTGAGGAGGAGGTGGGACAGGAGCACGTGTCTGCATCGGAGGGCTTGACACCTGCGCTGCTGGGCTAGGAGCATACCGATTACTTGGTGGCGGCACAGTCGGTGGAGCGTTGTAAGGGGAAGGCCCGCGGGGAACTGGAGCTGGGACACCCATGGTGGAGGAAGCCGTTGGAGGAGGCTGAGGCAAGGAAGCATAGGGGTTGGCAGGCGGGGGTCCTGGAGGGATGGAAGGCGCCGGAGGGCCCGCAGAAGGGGGCGAGGTCACCCGTGGAGGAGGGGCAGTGCCCTTTGGTGGAGGCGGAACGGAAGGTGTCCGCTGAACACCCGCAGGCGGCGGGGGACCTTGGGCGATAGTAGGAGATTGGTTCGGGAACGGTGCAGAGATGGGTGCAGCTGTGGTGGCGGGCGTTCCTCTGCGCGACGTGGGAGCTTTCGTGAAGCCTTCTGGCAGATCGTTCCAAGCAGGAAGATTGGTGGCGGTGGTGTAAGTAGTGATGGTAGCTGGAGACTGGTTGCTGCCCGCGCGAGGCGGAGGAGGCACAGTCCCACCTAATGGCTGAGCACCGTAAGTGGGCGCCTGCGTCGGCTGGTATCCTGTCAGTGCGTAGCTGCCTCCAGAAGCTGGTGCGTAATGGTTGACTGGCGGAGCTGGAGCGGCGGCAGCAGCAGTAGGGGCGTATGGGTTCGCAGCGGCAGTCGGCGGCGCATAGGGGTTGGGAGCGGCGGCAGTGGCAGCTGGAGGAGCGTAGACGTTGGGCGCTGCAGCTGGTGCGTTGGGGGAGAAGGTGGACTGAGACTGATATACATTGGACTGCGTGGCTGATGGAAGAGGCTTCGTCTTGGGCATTGCCGTTCTGGCCATGGGCTGTGTGCGCTGAGCCGGGGCCTGTCTCATCGCAAGCTTAATGCGGTTCCGTGCGATGTCTGCCTCAGGGTGCTTCTCCGGGACAAGGTCGAGATACTTCTGCGCCACTTGCAGCCGGCCGTGGGTAGCGACGACGTCAGCGTACTCAATGTACTTGTCGTACAGCGTACTGAGCTTCCAGTCAGAGTCCTTGGTGCGTTCCGTGTCCTGAAACTTGGTAACCTGGCGGAAAATGGTCACCTTCTCGATCAGTCCCTGGAGAGCGCGTACATGGATCGAGAAAATAGAGTCGTTATCAGCAGTCTCAACAGCCTTCTGTTCGTTCTCGCGAAGCTCTTCGATCCAAATTGAAACAACCTTCTCAAGTTTGGAACCAACCAAGAAACAAAGCGAGGCATCCTTGCGAGCACTCTTGTCATCTGTAGCACGGATTTGCTCCTCCAACCGATCGCCAAGCGCTTCGCAGAGGTCAGCAAACTCGCTCTCATCGGCAAAAGTGCACAGTGCTGCCATGACCTCCTTCCAGTTGGACATATCGGCATTGTACACGACATCCCACAGGTTCTTGCCGACGATGGATGCAAGCAAGCGAACGTAGTTCGGGCTGTCTGTCTGCTTTGAGAAATAGTGTTCCTGCGCCTTTTCGATGCATTTCGGGCCCCCGCAGATAGCAATCATGAAGGCGTCAGAAAGACGGTTTTCTTTCAGAGCAACATCAAGGGCCTTGTCGAAATCACCGAGAAGCAATGCTCTAGTGATGCCCTTCTCCGCCTCGGACTCGGAGCCGCTGAAGATTTGGAAGGGATTGTTGGTCTTGGCACCCTTTGATGCAGCCAGGTCTGACAGGAAATTATCTGCTTCAGGGGTCGGGTCGAACATCGATTGCAGGCGCCTGTGCTTCTTAGCTCCCGACCCGCGGGATTCTTTCGCTGGCTCGCCATTGACTTCCTCTTCCTTGTTCAGTCCCAGTTTGGCCAGTCCATCGGCAGCCTCATCAGCTTGATCCTGGAATCCAAGATATTCCACCAGGCTTTTCCGGGGATTGGTAGAAATCAATGTCTCGATCACCTTCCAGTCGGCTTTCTCCTCGTCACTAGCTGCGTCCGCAGCCCTGGCCTCGCAAATGCTTCGCAGGTCACCCTCTTTGAGGGCATTCTCAAAGGTTTCCGTGGACTTCCCAACAGCCTCATCGACCTCGAACGGGCTGATCGTAATCTTTGATGTTCGCTTGTCCTTCTCAGCCAAACCGACCGACACAATTCTTCCGCCAAAGCCGAAAGTGGCACTGCAGGGTCTTTCGAGCCACTTGGGAGCCTTGGGAAGCGAAAAGCTCGACACCTGAGGTTGGGTCTGCGCTTTCGCAAAGAAGTCTTCTCCGTCTAGAGCCTGATTCTGGTCTGCAATGGCCTGGGCGTTATCACTGCCAGTACTCTGGATGGTCTGGACGGCAATCCTTCCATCGAACGAGGCGGTGGCAAAGAAGTTGGGGTTGTGAGGGTTCCAGCGAGTCTGGAAGGTCCAATTGGTGACAACAGGAAATTCGCCATACGAGTGACCAGTCTGCGGATTCCAGCAGATAGTACGGTTGTCCTTTCCAGTCGACAAAAGAAGGTCAGGATCATGAGCGCACCACGACAGCGACAACACGCCGGACTCATGCCCCCGAAGAGTCTGTGACAAATTAGTGATCAGAAGGCCTACAAATCAAGGGAATGCAAAGGAGACGGGCCTACCCTTTCAGGGGCGTGGGAATTGCGGAGATCCCAGACGCAGATCAAAGGATCGGATTCTAGCGGAGTTGCCGTCACGAGTTTTGTAGGCTGTATACACCGTGTTAGACTTAATATTCATCTCCACCGCTAATCACCGGTCTTACCTTCTCAGGATCCCACGCCACAGCGCTAACAGCTTTCCGACCCATATTATTAAGAGTCAAACTCTCCTTCTTCGTCTTGACATCCCATACGGTAACAAACCCCGCACTGCTTCCAGTAACGAGGATATGTGCCACCTTCTTGTTCCAGTCCAGACACTCAATGTCATCAGCGCGAGCCGCAGTGCCTCCAAGTCGGTACGGGTTCGCGACGTTATTAAGATCAGAGATGTAGAGCTGTTGGAAGAATAAGCATAACCATCCTTCTGTAGTCATCGATACAGGCGAAATACCTCTCCCTTTGCACCTCCAGTTGCGAGCAGGTTCGAATGCTTAGGATTGAACTGGAGAGCCTTGATAGCCCCTGAATGTTTCGAGGTCCTCGACACCACAGCGTCGCTGCTGAAACTGTCAGCTAATCGAACAAGAACAACACGTTCCATCGTCTTCTATAATGCTACCAACCTTGATCCACGAAGTAGCTTGTCGGCGTCCCATAGATCCAAAGATCCATTCTCCAAAGCACCAGCGATCACACCCCGTGTACTATCGTCGGATTCTGTCCATGCGAGGTCATTGAAACTATAACCCACAGTCAGCATTACATGCACAAACAGAGAATGGACACCGAGGAAGTCCCATACCCAGAGTCGGTGTCAATCTTAGCTGTAGGTTGCAGCTCCCCACCAGCCACCTGTCTGTCAAGGCTCAGGTCCCAAAGCTCGAGGCATGTTTCATTGGAGAAATCAACATCCACAGCGCCCGCGCGAGTTCCAGTGGCTATCAACGGCGATGCGGCCCCGGGGGACCAGGCAAACGTGGCCGTCCGGGGAATCTCCCTCAGACGCACCATGTTGGAAAGGTTAAGGAGTGGCAAGGAAAGGTAAGACAATATAGATCAGGAGAAGACCAGACTCAGAACAACCTAGTAACAATGGGTCATAAAAAGGCAGTTTGGAAACAGTAAGCAGCTAATGAGAAAAGTTAACAAACGAGACACGTCCAAATCAGACAACCCCTCTGTCTAATTAATCGTGATCTGAGGGGGACTTGCCAAGTTATGGGATGCGATCGAGGCGGTCTTCGAACTCAATCAACCAAGTGTCCTCCTTGGGCTGTTTGGGGGTAAGAAAATCCGCCTAACCCTTTTGGGGACCCTCGTCAAACCACCCGTAGATGCACGTGATATCACGCGAATCCATCGAGAAAGTCTGGGAGAAGAGATGAAGAGGAAAGAAACGAGGCGAATTCAGGGCGTAATTACACTCCTGCCTATCAACCACGTTATTTTTATGGCCACCTACTAGTCTCCAGTCCTCGCTGCACTCTCGATCGTTTCACCATGAGCGAAAAGGCTCGCTTGAAGTGCACCATCTATGTGGGGGGTCTCGACCAGGCGGTTACCATGCAGACGCTGGCCGATGCGTTCGTGCCTTTCGGCGAGGTCGTTGATATCACCCTCCCCAAGCCCGATGTTCCTAACTCCAACGACCTCCATCGGGGTTTCGGCTATGTAGAGTTCAACCTGCCGGAAGATGCAAAGGAGGCGATCGACAACATGGATGGAAGCGAGCTATACGGGCGGACGATCAAGGTGGCGGCCGCCAAACCGCAGAAGGATAGCAATGAGGGATTGGGAAGCAAAACGGCTATCTGGGAACAGGTACGCAGGCAATTCATCTCTTCTCTCCAAGCAGAACTAACTACGGAATGTACAGGAGGGCTACTTGGCCAAGTACGCTGTGAGTGAAGAGGATAAGATGGCGACAGAGCAGGCCCAAATGGCTGCAAGCGATCGACCGCAGGACCCAATGCAAGGACTTGAAGAGCTGGACGTCGCTGGACCGAAGCCTGAATGAGTGTCTTAAAAGATGATACCCCTCGAGAAGGACAAAAGTGAAAGCTAAGGGACGAGGTAACTTTTTGCACTATTCCCCCAGAACTCTCCGTTCAAAGCCGTACTATATACACGTGCTCCAACACCCGAGGCTGAGTTTTAAGAATTTTCTTTCTTTTATGAATCTTGTTCCCCCGCGACATCAGCTTCCTGGTGAATAATACAAATTATCTCCGACAAAACCAAAATACAAGTCGCCTGTTGCAATCAAATGATGACGTGATTGTACAATTTAGTGCTCACGGTTCTCGGGACTGTTGCGGGAAAGACGAAGGGTCTTGTCGGACATGAGCTTGTGTGCACTGGAGTAGATAGCAGCTCCCACGGCAACGCTGCAGTGATCATGTCAGTGAGACGAGTAACAATTGGGGGATGGGCAAAGTGGCAGGTTTGATATCTATGTCTCTAAATGCTCCAAAGAATACCAAAAGAACAAACGTACCCAAGGACGAGTCCTGTCGAGGGAGTAAAGCATTAGTACCGTAACGTATGAGACGTTAGCATTCGAGGACGTCACATACCGAGAGGGATCAACTCTGGGGGCACCTTCTTCAAGGTACGCAGACGCTGGGAGATAGTGTGCGCTAGAGACATCAATTAGTTTCGAATTCTGATCCAGAGTCGACAGTATCCAGCTCTCATATGATGCATAATCCATGGCCAGCTTCTCAGGGAGCGCATACCGCTTTGGTTCTCCTTCTACACTGTTGATTAGCACAAACCGCAAACTGCCAAGGCCTCATTTTTCTAGCCGGAACGGTAAGGGCTGAAACTCACAGGAGTAGGGAAAGCAAAAGGCCGAGAGGCCTGCATCCGCAGCATACGAGTGGGATACATGGTGGGGGCTGGGACCGACAAACAGCACGCTGGCAGGTGTGAAAGGTTCCTGGAGGTGGAGGGAAAGGAAGCAAAGTGGTGACGATAGGTTGCAATTCGAAGGGGAGGTTTGGTCACGTTCCCGAGTCGGGTGTTTAGGAAATCTCGCCGCATGAGTGGCTCGCTAGACCGCCCGCGGTCACTCCCGGCTTCACTGCTTCACGGGTCATTCCACTCCACCGGCGCAAACCTCACCACATCTTGCTCCTTCCCTACCTCCCCATCCACTCGCCCCCTCGACCCTTCAATTCCCCTCCCATATTATTGAACGCTTCTGCAGAGCTTCTTCTGCTCCACAGAATCAAAATGGGTGCTATTCCTGAAGCCGATCCCGATGAGGTCATGGAGACCAAGCCCTTCAAGTTCGTGACAGGTGAGCTTAATCCCAACCAGGACGCTCTTGGCTGAACGGTGTAAATGATGGCCAATTGCTAACTTTTCCATAGCTGGTACGTTTCTTCCAGGTTTTTGATCGATCGGATCGCTCTCGTCGCCATCATTGGCGTGGTGTTTGTCCCCAGTCGTGCATCTGCAAAATGCTGACCACCCGATCGATAGGCTATGATGCTCGCTTTCCCCAGATGAACCAGTAGGTCTTCCTGCAATTCCAGACCTCTCAATTTCTCTCCTAACCTCTATCCTTCCATCAGGACCAAGCACTGCTGGCAGAACTATGTCGACTACTACAAGTGTGTCAACGCCAAGGGCGAGGACTTCCGCCCGTGCACTCAGGTAATTCTCTTACAAAGGAGACTCGATATATAGGATCTCGAGGACATTTTTCTGATTAAGATCTAGTTCTACCACGCTTTCCGCTCCCTGTGCCCTAAGGCCTGGACTGATCGGTGGGACGGCCAGCGCGGTAGGTTTTTTTTTTTTTTTTTTTTCAATTCGCTTTTTTCCTTTTCGACGTTCTTTCTTTGTTACCTTTAAGTGCCTATCGGTGACAGTGCTAATCAATTTCAACAGAGGCTGGCAACTTCCCTGCTCGTCTGGACCAATAGATGATTTCTGTGTTTGTTGATTGACGTTGAATTTTTTTTGTGTCAACATGTACTCTACCTGATCAACGTGGGAATAGTTCCATCCCTAGTGTGTTGGTGACATGGACGTATATAGACTCGCAGTAGTTTGAACTCGTTCCTGAGCAGAATGTGTAAATCTACGCCATACATAAGTTGGATAGCAACGCGGTACTCCTCTCGTACTATAGTCTACCTTCGCCTCCAGTTTCTTAGAGGAAGAAGACGAAATAGTATCCAATCTGCAATTTGAGAGTAGTCAAAATTATACGTAATTTTATTATCTTCTATCTATCTAGATTATATCTATTCCAATTCAATATACAACCAACATGAATAAAAAAGAAACCAGAACAGTAGCTGTAAAATTCCCCTCCACTGGGGCGTCTATGCCCGACAACCAATTTCAAATGCGAAAAGCGGCTTATCCATCGTGATCCCGATAGGCATCGGCCGATATAAGGGTATATATCTCGGTGCTATCAACGGACAGCACTCGCAGAAACTGAGGGGCAAACAATCATAAAAAAAGAGAAGAAAAAAGAATAAGGAGAAAGGAAAACAAAGATAAACGGGAAAAAAAAGACAACAAACAGATGCATTATATACAGCAAGAAGTCAAACCCTTTTAGTCCCTCCAGTATAGCTAGCCAAAATCGTGTACATGAGACATCAAGATCTAGAAGAGATGGCAGTAAATATGACGGTAAATATAGTCTATGCTTTGCACTTTTCCTCAGGGATTCCCTTCAAAAAACGGTAGAGTTTCTTATGCTCTTCCAAGAAGATAAACGTAGCGATGGTATGAGGACCTAGACGAATAAAGCTAGGAACCCAACCGCGGAAGGCCCAGGTAAATCCCTCCTTGCAATAGATATCGCGTAAAAGACCCAGGAGACTGTGTCCACGGCTCTCTGCTGGGGTAGCACTCATCACGCGGGTCTTGATCACGTCCACGGGACTGCAGACGGTTGTGGCGACAAACCCGGCCATCAAGGAAGCGGAGAAGTGCGTTCCCAGGTTATCGGACATTCCAAGTTTCTGGATGCAGATGCGCTTGAAGGTATCGTACGACGCCAATTGCGATGCTGTCATCAGCACGGCCCGAGTCGAGTTGGGCCACACTCCGCGGAAAAGACTGGCGGGACCTTCTGTACGAGTCATCTGAACCAAGCCGTGGAACGCGTGTCGGTAGTTACGTCGTTGGTCTGGGGGAAGTGCAGCATCAGACTGCATGCGCACGTTCAGAACGTCGGCTGGGTTCCCAGCGATCCCGCCGATAAAGCCCGAAGCACATGCAATTCCAACCAAGGCTAATAGACCGGGAGGTGAATCGGGAGTCGAGAAGCGGGACTTTAGCTCCTCGTAAATGCCAAACCGGGTGGTCGAATAGGTTATCTGTCGCAACATGGCTGCCGAGAGCTATATGGATTCCTGTTAGCGACGGCATTTCTTTCCGTGAGTAAGAGTTGGAAGTTTGGAATATACCCCACTGTATAAACCCAAGAAGCCATCATTCTTGATGACATGACCGAATGTCCCCAGCATAGATGAAGGGGCACCAGTCCCACGTGTTTGCAAGCGAACCTATTTGTATTTAAACGCACGGCATCGATTAGCGAGCGACAACAATGCGGATGCAGCCACCACAATGGAGAAAGAACGGCACGAATAATAAAACCGAGGAATATTCACCTTCACTGTAACCTTAATGTTAGCCTCAGATATCTTCACGGACTATCAGACAAAATGGATTGTACTCACCGAGATCCAACGGGTGGGTAACGGCCGCGGCAAAGCATGACGCAGAGCCTCCGAACCAAAATGGATAATGGACCTTTTTCACGGGAGCAGGAGCAACCCGAGATTGCGGTATATCCAACTTCGCGGTGCTAGCCATCTTGACGGACAAGATGTGAGCATGCCAGCGGCAGATCTAGGGGGGAAGAAGAATGGCAGGTTTGTGTTATCAGGAAATCCGAATTGAATTGAATTCTGCGCCGGAGATAAATCAAGGCGCCGAGGCCGGCAACAACTTCGCCAATCAACGGTTCGGTTTTTCCGGACCACGGTAATGTTCGGTAATACAGTCCCGCGCCGGAAAGACCTAGTTGGATGTCTAGAGTGATGAAGTCGGTAGTTGATTTGCGACCTAGACGAGATATTAGAGGGGATTGCTGAGAGTATGACCTAATACAGACCAGGATCGTGGATGGTCTGGGAACGGGATGGATGGATGGACTGGGTATGTAGGTACTTGAGATGCATGTACAGATGTATGTACAGGGATGTACATTGCATATCATTGGTAAGTATTGAGAAGACTAGGTATTTCTCATCTACAGTCTTGGGTAGGACTATATGTATACTGCATCTACTACATTCCTATAAGAAGAGCGATCTCTAGCCCATATCCGTATGCCTATACACGTGAACGAGGTACTCCGTACAATACAAACAGTCGGCCGCTTATTTCGCCGCTCCGAGTTGTTTTGGAGATCTGAAGACACGCCGTCCAGAGAATTATTTTCTCGCGTCGTTCAAGTCCACCACTGTTGAGTCATGCACCTGCTGGCTGCCGGTAGGGCCCTGCGTATTAGCAGCGGCAGGTGGTCCATTACTTCATCGAGCAGAAATGTCTGTATCCCGCTCTCACAGCCACGAACTTCTCTAGCCATCACCCGGAGAACCTGGAGCTCGACAGCGGCTCGCAGGACATCAGATAATGCCAATGCCAGCCAGGACAGCAAATCTGCCCCTCATCCTACCATGAAAGGGTCGATATCCATAGAAGGAAAATCCTACCCAACAGACGAGTGGACGAACACGCCAGACTCGATCCTCTCGCATATCGGACGTCGGTTATACCTTGAGAAGAACCACCCTCTTTCGATCATCCGGGAGCTGCTCGAGAGTGAATTCCCGCGTCCGATTTACGGAAACTATTACGAGAAAGACCCTGTCGTGTCCACGGTAAAAAACTTCGATGTCCTGGGTTTCCCGCTCGACCATCCGGGTCGCAGTCGAACCGATACCTACTATATCAACCACAAAACGGTGCTACGAACGCATACTAGTGCCCACCAGCAGGCATATTTCCAGCAGATCAACCGGAATGAAAATATCCGACCGGAAGAAGTGGGATATACGGTGGTCGCGGATGTGTATCGTCGAGATGCAATTGACCGCAGCCACTATCCCATTTTCCACCAGATGGAAGGCGCAATGCTATGGAAACGTCCCGACACCGAACCCCTAAAGCACTCAGAGCAAACGGCCGCGAAGATACTGAACGATCTTAACCGTATTCCGCCCCATGACGTCGCCGTCGAGGACCCGAACCCCACCATCCATCCTGAGCGAAACCCCCTACAAGCGGTGCATCACAGCGCGGAGGAGGTCGAGGCCATTGGTGCGCATCTGAAGCGCTCGCTGGAACGGATGATCATCAAGATCTTCACGGAGGCTAATAAGGCCGCCGCCGGCACTACAGACGCCGAGCCCGAGCCATTGAAGGTTAGATGGGTGGAGGCGTACTTCCCATTCACCAGTCCATCCTGGGAGCTGGAGGTATTCTGGCAGGGAGACTGGCTCGAAGTGCTCGGTTGTGGTGTGATTAGACAAGAGCTCCTGATCAACTCGGACGTGCCCAACCGCGTGGGATGGGCCTTCGGTCTGGGTTTGGAACGTCTCGCTATGCTACTCTTCAACATTCCCGACATTCGACTCTTCTGGTCTCGTGACGAGCGATTCCTGTCGCAGTTCCAAGACGGCCGGATCACCCGCTTCGAGCCCTTCTCCAAGCACCCGGCCTGCTACAAGGACGTGGCATTCTGGCTCCCCAGCGCGGTAGGCAGTGCCGCCGGCGGTACCACCTCCGTTCATGAAAATGATATCATGGAGATTGTCCGTAACATTGGCGGTGACCTTGTTGAAGATGTCAAGCTCATCGATGAATTCACCCATCCCAAGACGAATCGCAGAAGCATGTGCTATCGTATCAACTACCGCAGTCTCGAGCGCACTTTGACCAACGAGGAAACCAACAACCTCCATGACAAAGTACGAGAGAAACTAGTGGCTCAGCTGGGTGTTGAGTTACGGTGATTTGAGCGTACGCGTGTGATGTGGAATCTGTAAATTATATTCGGGACTGCCTCCGGTTGGCTAGAAGTTTCACTTGTATTTTATCTTGTAGTATATTTGCTCGCTTATATCAAAATGATCTCTACTTCTGTCCACTGGTCGTCTGTCGTACCGACCATACACAGTTAGGTGTATGTGTCATCTAATTCCAGGAATTCCACATATTCTCAACTCGGAGCAAAGCCTAATCCTCCAACCGACTGCTATTCGTCCTCTAAACCCATGATGCTCTGTATGACTATATAATACCAAGGCAGCCAAAGCAATGCAAGGGTGTATAAAACCAGATCCCAATGCAATGCTAATATCATACCACATCCTTGCCAATGCTCCCTCAATCCAATAAATTAAAAAAAAAAAAAAGGAACAAAAAGTGGGAGGCTCACTTTTTGAGTCCAGCAAAACAACAGACCGTTGCGCATAATATACAGAGTAGTAGGGAGGTGAGAGTCTCAAGAACGCCAATAGATAAAAGGAAAACACATGAAATTTACGAAAGGAAGACATCCCATACCCCTTCCAGTCGCATAAAATAGGTATAACATGCACATGCAGTCATAGACAAACGTAGCAATGATCTGGGGAACGTCGGTATGGACATTCGCATGTATTAGTCCTAAAAAAACAATAGTGTTTCGTCATGATGAAAGACATATTTTGGTATATTATACAGAGAGAAGATAAGGGAGGGAGATGCGGAAAGTATGAAATGCTAAAAGCGGAGCTTTTAGTCATTCTTGACAACGCCAACCTTGGCAGCCTAAATCGAAAGATTAGTAAGAGAAATTCACCTTGTCGCTAGAAGGCCACTCACTCTCAAGACCCGACCGTTGAGCATGAAGCCCTTGGACTGGGTGTACATGACATCGCCATTCTCCTTGCCCTCAGCCTTCGCCATGAAAGTGGCCTCATGCCTGTTGGGGTCGAACTTCTGAGCCTTGCCGTCCTCAGCAGGCTCGCTGGGATCAAATCTCTCTAGTCCATGCTTTTTTAGCGTGTTCATTAGGATATTCTGAGTCATCTTCAAGCCGGAGACCAGATCATTCAGATCCTTATTTTCGGGCGAGGGGGATGTAATCTTCTCCTCGGGAACGGCAAGGAGAGCACGGTCAAAGTTATCGATGCTCTCCAGCAGATCGACGGAGAACTTTTGTATTGCGAAGTTACGGGCATTCTCCATGTCACGCTTGGTGCGCTCCTGGAGGTTGAGGAAGTCTGCCACAGAGCGCATATATTTGTCCTATTTCGTGAGAGTCAGAAAAGCCAATGTACTCTCACATAATACAAAACGCTGGCGCCAACCAATTGGGCTTCGAATATTAATAGAATTTTGAATTTACCTTCAGGTCCACAATTTCTTTCTTCTTATCCTCGAGCTCCTTCTGCACAGGGTCCTCCGCAGTTTCCTTGGACTCTGCCTCCTTGTTGCCATTCTCCTGTTGCTCGGCCTGCTTCTCGGTAGAGTAGCTTCGGGAATTGGGCTGTCGAGTCAGTGGACGGAAGGTCTGAGGAAGCTGTGATATGCGACGGAGAGACAATGGAGATGACGGTGTCGGGTGGACGAAGCCCAGAGACCGAGCGGCCTTGACTTGTCTGAGGATGACTCTCTGGAACATGATGAAAGAAAGGAGGAGGAAGGAATTGACAATGGGACAGGTGAGAGGTAGAGGACGAATGAAGTCTGTAGTATGATTTATTCTGTTCGGAGAAAACAGAACTTTCGGTAGATGCTCACCTGACTTTCCACGCTGACCGCCCGCAGTCGGAGAAACGACAGGCCGCCACAGTACGGGGTTTGATACGGCTAATGGTATGATACGATACGGGCAGAGAACGGCACTGACGTCATCGTGGACGAACGCCGAGAAAATTCGAGACTCAGCTGAGAGACTTACGAGTCACTCATCAAGAGTCAAAGAAAAAGAGTCACGTGAAAACGTTCTGCCTATATCATCAATATGTCTAATCACATGCAACGGCCTTGGCTATCAATACCTATTTCAGTCAATTGAACAGACTAGCAATCGCAATTGGGCTCGATCACTTCTCACCATGTTTCCCCGCTATGACCACATTTCTATCCTGATAGACTCCTATCACCGGGTTCTCTTCCTGTGATTACTGCCTACTTCTTTCCCATACCACTTAAGCGAATACGTCTATCTCTGGGCGCAGCACAGAATTTCTTAGGATGTCCCTCGCCCATGACCCTGAATTCTCCAAGGCTGCGGCCTGGCTCCTCTCTGAGTTGGCAACAACTCTAAGCCCCGCGGTACACGATATCCAGAGTCGCCGCACTGCGATCACTGCTCGATACGCAGCCGCATTCGATAAGCTCCCTGCTGCACCTGAAGTAGAACAGAGCGTGCATCGGATTCAGTCATATGATGGGCAGACAATTAATGTGTATCGTTTCGCAAAGAAGAGCCCAACGTCAGTGGTCCCAGGTCCAGCCATCCTACACACGCACGGAGGTGGCACGATTGTGGGCAATGTTGATCTATCCAAGAAGGCACTTTCCCTGCAAGTTCAGCAAACCGGAGTCCAAGTGTTTTCGGTAGACTACCGATTGGCTCCGGAAAATCCGCATCCAACTCCTTCAGAGGATTGCTACGCAGGGCTGGCCTGGCTGTATGAGCATGCGACCGAGTTTGGTGTGGACCGCAGCCGCATTGCCACGATGGGCGAAAGCGCTGGTGGGCTGCTCGCTGCGGCCCTTGCCTTGATGGCCCGTGACCGTGGCCTGTCGCCCCCCCTGGCTAAGCAGATCCTGATCTATCCTATGTTGGATGACCGCAACACTACGCCTAATCCTGTGTTGGAGCCCCTAGCGCTGTGGACAAATGACGACAACATCACCGCCTGGACCGCTCTCCTGGGTAACGACATTGGCACGGACCACGTTTCACCATACGCTGCGCCTGCCCGCGCGACCAGCGTGGAAGGGTTACCACCAACATACGTAGATGTTGGCGAACTAGACATCTTCCGGGATGAAGACATAGCCTATGCTGCGAGAATTGCATCCGCCAACATCAGTTTGGAATTCCATGTGTACTCGGGCGTGCCGCATGCATTCGAGGTGTATACTCCAGACATAGAAACGACTAAGAGAGCGGTTGCAAATCGATACCGAGCGATTTCTGCCTTGTAGATTAGTTAGGAAACATGTTCACAGTCGCTGTTGCGCACTGATTAACACTGGTGGGTGGGATTAAAGACCCGTAGAAGTACAAGGCATCGGCATTTCGTGTAGACAAATGGCTATCTTCTATACATAGAACCACAACGAGAAAAATGTTGATAAGTGTTAAATCCAACAATCGTGATGATCCTGCTATAACCCTAGATTGATGATACCGGGGTGGCTATGTCCTCGAAACTAGCACCAGAAAGGCGCTATCGCACGGGGCTAAGTCGATTAGTTGTCATGGTATAATGGAGTCCTCCAACGTAGGCAGACAATTTCTAAAGGCAGAGGAACAGAAGAGTTGCCAAGAAGGGTATGGTTTAAAAAAAGAGCGAAAGATAATAAAGGCGAAGCAAGTAAAAACATACGGTTGCTGGACTATATCTTCAGCGCAGTGTAGCTGGCTGAGAAGAGGGCTGTGATGGGAGCATTCAAAAGCAACAGACAGGTTCAGGTGACATTCCAGATTTCTGGAAGATCATTAAATCATAAAAACTGACCGTTCGGGAGGCTTGACAGTTGGCATGAACCATCTCGATTGACCCACCAACTACATCTACAACAGGGGCTTAGAATGAAGCATATGTCTCAACACCAACCACCTGCATTGCATTGCTGAAGAAACTTGAATGCCTAGTCAGAGCTGCATGAGACTATCCCCAAAAATATACACCCACAGGGACAGAACGCCGCAAGTTCGGGGATTGAGTCCGCGCTTGCAGAATGGCCCTCCACTCTCGGGGCGGAGTTGTGATGGATTTATGTGGAGAGCCGGGCAGCCATGCACTCCGTATAGAGTCATTGAGAAGTATTCTGATCCTCCTAGCTCGTCATTGCGAGAACCATTCATAATTCTCAGTAATTAGTCTTGGGAGTATTCAATGCATGCGGTCTAGGTAAAATCATTCTGGATCAATCGAATTTGGGTACCTGTTTGTGGCAATATTGCTTCAGCCACAACGGTGTCGGCATGGCCGTGGCAAAAAGGCAAAATAACAAAAAAAAAATCTCGGATCGTCAGGAACGGAAGCAGAGCCATCGTAATCCCGACTACCAAACTATTGGAGTTAGTATTTGTGCATAATAATCATGGGGCAGTGTCCTGGGGGGGCGCAGCAGGCCCAATACGGATGGATGGAATGTCAGGGATTTGATATAAAGGACGAGAACGGCGATTCTTCAGGAGAGTAGAACATTGCACGAAGCATTCAAAGTAAATGAGAATTCCAGACAAAAAAACTGTCTACTTTCATCTTGAGAAGTTCTTTTGATTGATTTCCTTGGAACTTTCCTTGTCGGCGGCAATTCGTCTCACCTGACCGCCACCTGATATTAACTTCCTTCTTTCTCCTGTCTTTCTCTCCTTTTCTACTTCGCCATCGCAGCTCTCCTTCCAACTCCATCAGTCTCCTTCAAAATGTCCGGACTCGCAACTTCGCCGCCAGGGTCATTCCCATCGTCGCCTTCCTTCGGCGCTTCTCGATCCTCGTCGACATCCTCAAGACGACCAACGCTCTCTCTCGACCTCTCCAACCTCCCTCCTCTGTCTCAACCAACACCGGCATCCAACACCCTCCTCATCACAGACCTCAATGACCTCGTTCTCTTCCAACCATCGTCGCTTGCTGCTATCCGCGCTCAGATTGAATCCATGGCCCTTCTGAACTCGTTCTCCCCACTGCCGTCCCTACGGCGCATCGTCTGTTCATTCCTCTCCGAGGAAGACGCCGCCAACGTCCGCAAACTCCTTAACGGCGCACCTCTTCTGGGCCGCAACATCCGCGCAAAGATCTACTTCGGTGAACCCACCCCAATCCTGGACGAACAGGAAGCCCTACGACCCAAGCTTCTCGAGGCCCCACAGTTGGATAAGCTCTTCTTCATCTCCCCGCCTCCCAGCCCTCCACACGGATGGGTCATGCGCAACGAAGAGCCACCAAACAAGGAAGTCCACGCCAGTGACCTGGCCCATGCTCTGTCGAAACTCAACACCGAGCAGTCAAGTGGCTTTGTCGCGGACGTGGAACCCGGCACTCCCATGTCCATCTCCTCCGATAAGAGAACCGGCAGCTGGCCCGTGGCTATGTCGCAGCAACGCAGCAGAAGCAGTACTCTGATCTACCATCCCGATGAGCACGGTGGCAGTCCCAATCTCCCTGCCGTCATGGTGGAGGATACGAGTGCAACGCTAGATGATCTGGATGTCGAGATGAGTCCGATCGAGATGTCAGTGAAGAAGATGCCTCCCAAGACATCTCGGCCGCCAGTCGAGTTGATGGAGTAAACTGAACATCTTACGTTTGGAGGGCTTTCCTTTATTCTTATTTTTATTATTATTTGGACGGGTCGCTATTGCTCTTTAGCGTGTGCGTTTTGGCAACTTTGCATATACATGAGGGGTTCGCAAAAATGCATCGTTGCTATGTGTTTGAGTGGCTATTTTATTTTTTCTTGTTATTTTTAACAGAATACACCATTGGGGCGTTTAATCGGCTAGCATTGGCGTGAAGGGCGGCATTCAGTCTAATGGGTTTATATTGTTTTCGACTGCACATTGAATTATACATAGTGGCATACGTAATATGAATGATCGTATTTCTCTATACACATGCTACAGGGACATCTCTAGAGATCTTCACAGTCTATTTCAGTCGAATAGAACTACAGCACTCTCCTTGTATACCTCGGGGCCCAACGCCGCAGCAAGTTCAGCAACGATCCCTTTCACAGACTGGGGATCATTCATCGTCATGCCCTCCCATCCCACGAGGTCCTAACAATTCATACTAATCAGCAAGTTACCTGTTAAACCAACGCAACACAACACACTTACAATCATATGCACAAATGTCCCCTGAACTACCAAAAGCCAATGATCCAGATCCAAAGCCTTCACCTGCTCCAAAGTCAAAACGCCAGGCATGTGTAAGTCAAATAGCGACACCTCTTCGTCATTGATCTCCGCATCGGCGTCAACGGGATTATTCCCGGCGGACTCTGGCGCATCCAGGTGCGCCAGCTTTCGATCACGAGAAAGAGATACGTAAGGGCGCTCGTCCAGCTTTTTCGAGAGCTCGCTGTCTAGGGGATCCCAGGCATGACTTTCTGGGTCTGTGGAGTGTTAAATGTTTTGTCGGGTGGATATCTTGTAAATTCGGGGTTCTTACCAAGGAGATACTGTGGCCGGAAAGAACCCTTGTAGCGCATCTTTTGGCATGTGTGGATGTAGTAACCTGGGAAATAAGATAAAATAGTCGTTAGAAGGGATATCGAGTATATATGGTGGTTGCATCGGAAGAGCCCTACCCATGTAGTAATACTGGTAACCACCTTCGCTGGTTAGGGCAATTTCCCTCAGGGCACTGAGCTTTCCGAACTCCCACTGTTCATAATCCGGATCGTAGCTTCTGCAGTTAGTAACACTGCACATACATTGGTCTATTATTCAGGGTATCGGTGACCGTACAAAATGTAAACTGAGCTCAAACCGTTCGGCATCAGGTCCAGAACGGCTACAGCTATAAGCTTTCCATCCAATCGGTAGCATTGATGCCATGACCCAAGCTTTTTTTCTTGGGACTGCGCATTAGGTGGGGATCGTTTCATTCCCGAGCAAAGGAAGCGTTTGAAATCTTTGGTCTGCCATTTAGAGACATCCTCCTTATGGATTGTCGTCTGGTATTTGAGGAAGAGCTCGAACCTGGGAAGGACATGTGAGCAGTCGTAATCAACTCTTGCTATTGATACATACTTGGCCTGCGATATGGAATCGCCCTCTATGTTGACTTCGAACCGATGCGCGGGCTCCAGGAGTTTCTTGGTCTTGGGATCAATTGGGCGTTTCACGTTGCTGTATTCAGCCTCATGCACCGCGTCGAAAAGATCGAAGTTGCATTTCCGACGCTTTTTCTCTCTGGCCACGGGCTTCAGTGAGTTCTCATCCTCACCAACCGGAGCGACGAAATAGGTATGCTTACTCCCGTGTTTTGGGGCATAGGTAAGCGGCCCTGCGAATGTATTCGGGACCCAGGACGAACTTGTTCCAGCGGTTGATTGCCTTCCGCTGGTCCTTCCTGGGCTTAAAATCCGAGGCTTCAAGCCTGTAGTATCCAATAAGCGTGAATAGACATTTCGGATATCTCAGGTCGAGGACATACTACACACCTTATTGAGTAGTGTGGACAACATGATCTCTGCGGATTCTGCTTGTAGTAAAGCGGACCAGACCTGGAGCTCAGTTAGCAACTTTCTTACAGCGGGAGCGTCTTACTAGACAGCTAAACTTACCGTCTCCAACCACGGTTGACCAGTTCTTCATAATGGGCTGGACGAACCGAGACCGAACTAGCATAGTAGGATGCACCTACAGTCGATTAGATGCGTGTTCACTGCAATATCCCGAGGCTCATTGAGCAATCTAGGGATTCTTTAGGGAGACTCACTGCCGTTCTCCGAGTGACAGTAACCACACGAGTTACGCTGGTATCCTAGACCCGGGAAACATCATTAGTCACCCAAATTGGTCATTGTGGATAGGGACCAACAGAGGATGTAGTGGCGACGGTTAGCGAGAAAGGAGAGACCATCATCGTCGACTCCATCCGATTGATTGACGGCTGGTACGGAGAAGCTTGACAGAGTAATCTCCGAAGAGGAGCCAAGAAAAAGTGACAGTGGGAGGGGCATACATCATGGGAGGGCCCCGAATGACTGACTCAGTGGGATGAATGGGAGACTAGAGCCAATAATGACGGCACGGGAACGACGACACGCATCTGAGTGGCTGCTTACCTAGGGGTCGGAAGAGCGACAGCTTCCTTGCCTGTTCGGCGTCGATGATGGTCCCCATATTGGATGTGGTGCGATGGAGCAAGTCGTATCGTCGCGCTCAAGGCGGGAATGCAGAAAATTCGAAGAACGGAAGAGGGGTAGGTGAAAAGAAGTTTTTACTGGAGAAATGAATTGATTAACCCTTAGGGAGACATGGGTTCAGTCCAACTGGAGGAGATGTTTGTGTGGACAGACAAGGGCAGTAAGATCGTGAATGGAGATGTTGTTTTGTCAGTGGAGAGGAGTCCATCCATTTATTCAGAATAATCATTACGCTGCAGTACAGAATGTATCTTACAGGCCATATCCTCTATGGGCGGTACGAAATGCTACATGGACCTCACGAGATGGTAGAAATGATAGTAAGGATTCCATTCAGATTGAAAGGTTATTTATTCTACGATATCAAGAGGAATGATTGAACAGTCGAGGTAAGATCAAGATTGATTGATTGATTCACCCTGCTGCTTCTAGAAAAGATCCGATCGCATCCCCATGTCACAAGCTCATGTAAGGCCCCGTTAGCCCACCCCTGTCCAGGGGATTATTTTCGTCCCTTTTGATGTCTTAAACCACCTTTCCTTTCCCTACTCATTTGGGGGCATTATTTTCAGGGGAGTTGGTGATAGCTTAGGAGTAGATGCATAGGGATGGGTATCCTCGGAGTCGATGTCTGAAAATCATACCAGATGCAACTAACCCTCTCGATGATGCATGACAGAAGCTTGATATTGCCATTTTCACTCATGTACAGAGCACTATTCGGTAGGTACATATGTAACTCCTGACTCCAGATTCCATCTATCGATATCAACTTTACCTCTTTGAGAGCATCCGGTCGATGGAGATCCGTACGGTATTGTATGTATGAAGGTACATACCGTACCGTATGGAAGACATCCATTACCATACAGGTACCTGGCTGTTGTATCTAAACCATGTACCTTAAAATTGTCGATGGAATGGGAAGTTGGCCAAGTGCCAATCCTTACACTGGCATTGGCATAATCGTTTCCTTCGGAAGTCCTGGCCAATCTCCGAAACCCCTTTCCAGAAGTGATATGGATGTCTTAACTCTTTAATATGATCTATTCAGCGATTGGATTGTATGTATCTTGTCTAGGAATCCCCGGACTCTATGCCATCACGTGCAGGGCCTCCGACGCCCTTGCGAACTCGGGATCCGCCCCTGCTACAGATCGTTGCTGCGTTGTATCATCTCGATCCAATCACTAACGTGGGGTTTCAAGGCCTTACCAACCCTATTAATATTATGTGCATGGCCTACCGACGTTAGTAGAACAATTTTGTTGCAGCTAGTGGCCGCATTGTCCGCTGAATCTCAACGGTATGATCGCCGGGGGTCCTTCTGTACTGTGTATATAGATGGTCTGTAGTTCTTTTATTCTCTCATTAACTCTTTAAAAAATTTCAAGTTTGTTTCTTTGTTCTTTCCTTTCCCTCTCATTTTACCCTGTATAGTTATAGTCCACCTTAACCCTACTTATTAAGAGAAAAAGTCAGGTTTTGATTAGTGCCCCGCATTGGTTGGGATCAACCTTTTTGTGATAGGACTGATGCTCCCCAATAGCCATTGGGAGCTAATGTAATGCAAGCATGCTTGTGCGTTTCATGGTATCCAGTCCTTAGCTTACCTTGATGAAGAGAGGTCAGGCAAAAAAAAAAGGAAAAAAAAAAATACATCCTCAATGAGAATAATTCTACGCCAGTCTCTTTTCAACGTGACTCAGGACCAGCGGATTAATTATCCTTCGGGAGCTTCACACGTAGTGCATATTCTAATACTTGTATGCTACCGCGGCAAGAAGCATTGATTTGCATGACGGGATGACGGTGTTGTCCATGTGCGTCGCTCTCATTGAACACCGTTAAACCTACAAAATCAACGAGTCCGTGCAACGAGATACCCGACGAAGATCTAGCTGAAAGGAGTCCTATTGAAGAGGGAAACTGCGCCTTCACTCGTGGACTCGTTCCACTCCATAAGGAATGACTAGAACGATGATTATTGGGCATCGGTTCTAAAAGCCCTGGTTCCATCCGTTTGTACCGCAGCCAGGGTTGGTTATGCCGATGTGGATCGAGTCCAGTTTTTTTGACTCTGGGAAATAGAAATATCTTCATTACCGAGGGAAAGAGAGCTGGGGTTAAGTGCCTGCACAGCTTTAGAGAAATACGTCTTTTTATTTTTATTTTTTTTGTTAAAAAAAAAAAAGGTGAAATGGAGAGATGCTAAAGTCCCGCCACGATTATGATGCAGCAGATGGATGATGCAGGTAAGAGGCGCTTGTGGCGGACATTGTCGATTGTTAGTGAGGTTCGAAGGCTGATGGAACAGGAATTGTCTCAATTCTCCATTAGCAGACCGATTCTGACATTCTTGGTCTGTCCGAGATGATATGCTACCTTCAGGCGTGTAACACTCGAGTGCCTGACAGTATAAGGCAAGTAAGGTCTGGGGGACCATGCATCCCCAAGTTTACTTAGTTACAATGTATATAGTCTATCTTACTGTGGGATTATGCGATTCCTTGAGCGCGGTGGAACCAACAGGTCCGCAATGCGGAAGACTTAGGAGCCATGTTGTTCTTCGGCGCTTGCTTTTCTCAGATCCTTGGAATCTGCTAGAGCACTCCACAATTCGTGTACAGAATAGAAGGTACTTCTCGCTGGGAGCAGCGAAGTACCCGCCGAACAGCGGTAATACCATCGGCGTATAACCCGTACGTACCGCCCAGCGCCATCCGCTCCGGCGAGCTCCCTCATTATTACCTACGATCCTCTCCTTTCGCCTCCCCCTCCGTCCCTCCCATTTCCTCTTCTCTATCCTCTTCCCCTATTTCCGTCTTATTCTCTTCATTACCATGTCTCCTCCTATCCTCTCATCTCCTTCGAGGTTCCCTCCGCCGCGGGAGTGAACGGGGACACCTAGTTCCCTTGCTTTCCAGTTTTCCATTCCCAAAAATTTCCTTGCCTCGCCTTTTTTTTTTTTTTTTTTTTTTAACGTCCCCGGAGAAAAAAAAAGTTTAGGGTTGACGGCTCCTGGACCAGCTCCCCATCCCCCCTCCAGGTTGGATCTCTCCTGGTTACCTCCGTCTCTTGAGGTCTAAAGGCCGCTTTCTGGACTCCAAGAAAGTCCTTTCTATTGGGTCTTGGTGTCATTGACCCTTTTTTTTATACTATACTGCTTGACTGGATTTCTCGGAGCCCTTCCACTCTTTTGCTTCTTTGTCGCGTGGGGTATAACCGGCGCTGAACTCCAATTCTATTTATCAATCGGGTTGGGTATAGACTATTTCTCAGAGGCGTTGCAAAAGGCTATTTATTCTTAATTCGTCTCCTCGTTTCCTCTCTTTTTTTCATTCTTTCTCTTAGTCCAAAATGATGGATCAGACCCGGTCAATGGAGTCCCGAACAGGGCGAAAGAACCAACGTGAGTCCTTAGCCCTGAAGCCACTCTATGGCCTTTTTTATATTTAATTTCCCCTCGCATCCTTCACACCCTCTACCCCCGCAATCTCTTGGATAAGTGTGGCGCAAATTTATACTAACTTGTATCTGTTTCCTCTCAGGTTACGGATCGAAAGGCGAACGGCTTGTGGCTGGCGTGGTCCCACTGTCCGCTGATAAGACGAAAGTCCTCATGATCCAGTCTGCCGGTCGAGGCGGCTGGGTGCTTCCTAAGGGTGGATGGGAGACAGATGAGGCGAGTGCCCAAGTGGCTGCTTGCAGAGAGGCCTGGGAAGAGGCCGGTGTAATCTGCACGGTGCATCAAGATCTGGGCATGATCCCAGATATGCGGCCATCCACGCTATTGACGGCGCATGCGCCGAAAGCTTCGTATCAGTTTTTTGAGGTCACCGTGGACCGCGAAGAAGACCAGTGGCCAGAGATGCACAAACGGAAACGTCAATGGGTCAGCTACGCACAAGCTGCTGCGGCTCTTGCAAGCCGTCCAGAGCTCCTGGAGGCATTGAACCGCAGTTCAGTGAGACGGTAGTGATGACTGACTTGGTTGATTCTTCCATTGCAGGGAGAACAAAAGAAAGAATAAGCTGCAGTGGAAGTTATCCCGCGGGCTTTTTGATCTTCCCCTAATGACTCGACATGATTTCCTCTCAAAAAGAAATGTCTCGTTATAATTTGCTGCATCTTCCCCGTCTGCAGTTCTTGACTTGTCTTCCCTTAATGTCATGGTCGGCTGTGCTGTTTTGGAGTTAGAATTATCGTTTTTATACCATCGCTTTGGTAGCTGGATGGCTCGGCGCATGGTTCCAGTTCCGGCACTCATCACTATAGATTCTGCGACAATCCGTCAAAATAGAAGTTAGAGCAATGAGGTCGGCTGTACTGTTTCTGGACGGATCAAGAAAAAAAAAGCTACACATCTCATGGACCTGAGTTGGGATCAGATTTGAGAAGGATTTGTTTTCTTGGTTATTTGGATACCAATCATATTTTGAATCAGACACGAGGTGGCCATCTAATCCCACGTACGGATGGATACTTTTGGAGCTGCCAATGCGACGGTCATAGAATCGTCATCTTTTGGACCCATTTGACAGGATGACTGATGGATCTGCTTTCACCTGTGGGTGATCTGGTCCGCTACTTATGAAATACTAGGATTCTGAACCAAGAAGCAACCATAAGAAAGAAGGCAAACAAAGTCATATCATATCATCTCCCGGCGATCCGATTGACTACGCAAGAGTATTTGCCTGTCTTCATTGCCTTGCATTTCCAATAATGATTGATATAGATAGACATTGAGTAGAGACTTAGAGTCTGTAGCCAGTAGCTGTCCTGCAGTATATACAATCAGAATAATAATATCATGTACACATGAGCTACTGTAACTTTTGTCGAGTTGTAGATCGATCTGACGTTGAGTGACGAACCCAGTAGAGATATATCCCGATCGGGCAAAGCGCGGCTGCAGCCAAACTTCAACCTTCACCTCCGACTCTCTTCCTACAAGTTCATCACCTCCCTCGCTCCCTTTCGCCGCCTCATCTTGAACTACTTAACTCGGTATTCGATCCTCCTGTCTTTCTCGTTTATCACTCGCATCGACGCAGATTTTTCTCCTATCCGAGCTCCGAAGTTGGCAGCCCGTTGTGCTGCCTCAACGCCGCCATGGATTATGAAATGGACATCGAGCCCACAGGGCCACAAGTGACAGTGCGAGAGGTGAGCGATACCGCAAGAATATATGAGTATGAATTGAAAGACAATGTAACTGACGCTCTGCGAAGGCGGAACCCTACCGCGTTGACTTCAAACTCAGCTCCGTCGACCTGGCCTTCGCCAACTCCCTCCGCCGAACCATGCTCGCTGAAGTCCCCACAATGGCCATCGACCTTGTCGAAGTCGAAAAGAACACATCCGTCCTCCCTGACGAATTCCTCGCCCACCGACTCGGCCTCATCCCCCTGAACTCCAAACACTGCGACCAGGACATCGAGTACACCCGCGACTGCGAATGCGAGGACCACTGTTCACGCTGCAGCGTCACCCTGTCGTTGCACGCGCGCTGCACCGGCGACGACATTATGCACGTGTACGCGCGCGATCTGGTCGTCAGCAGTGAGCGCGCCAACGAATGGGTCGGAAACCCGGTCATCACGGACCCCCAGGGCCACGGTCCGTTGATCTGTAAACTGCGTCGGGGCCAGGAACTTAAGATGAACTGTATCGCGAAGAAGGGCATCGCCAAGGAACATGCCAAGTGGGCGCCTACTGCGGCGATTGGGTTCGAATATGACCCGCACAATAATCTACGACATGTAGATTATTGGTATGAGGAGGATCCTGTGAAGGAATGGTATGTTATGTTTCTCAGCTATTTTTTCCCCTTCCCCACTGACAACCCCATCTCAGGCCCGTCTCTCAGAACGCTGCATGGGAGCACGCCGCTCCCCCCGATCAACCCTTCGACTACGACGCCCAGCCCAACAACTTTTACCTCGACGTCGAAAGTATCGGCAACCTGGACCCGGATACGATCATCCAGCAGGGTATCACGGTCCTGCAGCGGAAACTCGCGTCCGTGATTTCCTCGCTCTCCGGCTCCGGCGACGGTGATCGCAATGGCATGATAGGCGTCGAGGACGAGGATATGATGGGTGTGCGCAGTCCGGATGCCTATGAACCTCCGGAGGGTATCGACGGGGGATTCACGGCCTACGCCAACGGCAGCACCAGTGCCTGGGGAGCCAGCGCCGCTACTCCATACGGGGCGACCCCCTACGGAGGCGGTGGATATGGCTTTTAATTCGAAATAATAAGCTTGAAGGAAAAGTGAACAAGAACAGGGACATATCAAACTCACCCACTGTCTTCCACAATGAAAATAAAACCGGGTACAAAGCATGCGGTCGGAGTTTTAAAAGGGGTCATGGTCCAGCGGCGTGTTTATTGGGATTTTCTTTATATTTGTTCTCAGTTCTTTTCATACTATGTCTTTTTTCTTTCTTCTTTCTTTTCTGTTGAATCTGTTGAAAGACAACGGACGGTGAGTGCAATCGGACGGCTCTTATGAGTGAGTCTTTCCTACTTTTCTTCGCTTTTCTCCTTTTAGGAGGTTCTATCATGTCATATTAGATCCATTTATTCAACACCTCATGTACTTCTAGTACAGGATATTTTGATTTGCGATTCCTATAAAATACAAAATGAATAATGAAGAACACAGTTCTATGCATATCACAAATACAATCAATTTGTACCGGTTTACTCCATACCTACGTTACATGATTATATGATGGAATAATAAACGAAGCAAGGAAAGAAATATAATAAATAGTAGAGATAATGCCAGACGGTCAGTACTGTACGTATGTATGTACCTGGAAGATACTAAGGTAGTATAAAGTAAGTAGAAAAAGACTACATACATACACCTTAGAAATTCTCCAACCATTCATCCGTTCATTCATCCATTCAAGAACATAAAACACCCAATACGAACAGCAGAAAAAGAAAAGAAACGGGAAGAAAAGAAAAGCCACCAGCGCCAACAACACTCCCAGATAACATAGGAATGTACGAAATCCAAGCAAAAAAAAAAAAAAAAAAAGAGATAGAGGGAGAGGAAACAAAACTCTCATCTATCGCTTTTGAAATTCCGTCGCAATCGCCTGTATTAAGATGCCAGAAGAAAAAGAGATACAAAGCGATAAGACACCACTGATGATAAACACCATTCGTTCTTTATGTTGGACGCCGGCTAGTCAGAAGACAGGACAAAAGCAGGAAATGAATGGACTCCCAAACACCAATCCATGAGTGCGTAGTAACAAAGACAGGCGGATGAGGATATACAATGGTAGAACAGATGCGACAGAAATGGAGAGAGATGTCAGTGTCATGTATTGAACAGAGGATAAAAAAGCGAGGAAGAAGAGGGGGAAAGTGGGTACATGTGGGGGAGGGAGGTTCGTTCATCCATTTCTGTCGCATTACAATTCTTCGATTTCCGGTGAATCACCCGACCCGTCTGCTAGCATTGATGTGGACGGTATCTTGCGGCCTGATCCATACACCATCTCCATTAGTTTGGCTTTCTGTTTCTCCCGAACCGATCGCAAATAATCGTGGCTGCCCTCGAGTCCGCGGATCTGGCCCTCGATCACGGCTTCCACGGGCCCCAGCATTCGACCATTGCTGCGGCCACTGGCGCCTTCGATGGCACCAAGAAAGCTCACAGAATCGTTCCGTCGAACAAGGGGACTAACGAGTTTGCGTCGGAGAGTCTCGAGGTTGACTTTGAGGGTTAGCAGGCGGCCACGGTGGTCCATCAGCAGGTGTTTGTTGGCAACGGTACGACTACGAACGTTGGCGAGGAGGCGTTTGTTCTTCTCATATTTACGGACGATAGCCGCATCGGGCCCGAGAACGCGAGTCCACAGGGAGCTGAGCATCTCGCCTTCCGCGCGCTCCTGGGCGTCGGACTCCCGCACTACCGTGCGCTGGAGGTTTAGGAACTGCCGATCGATCGACTCGAAGAGCGCAAAGAGCGAGGTCGAGTGGGTCAATTCGCTGTTGATGGATTCTTCCAGGACGGATAGGAACTCCGTAAAAGTCCGCGTGAGAGTTGCGCGCGTGCGCTGCGCAGAGGTTTGACCGAGGAGGGCCGTGACGACGTGGCCGTACACAGTAGGCGTAGTTGCAGCGGTGACCTCGCCTCCTGTTTCGCCGCTGGGGACTGTCACCCGCTCCAGGGGGCCCAGCCGTGAGAGCATATCGTGCACGTTGTCAAAGACGATCGAGGGCAGCGAGCTCGGCGGCTGGGATGACAAGGTCTCGAGCTCCCGCTTTGCCCAATCCATGACGATCAGGATCGAGTCGACGTCCGAGTCCACATTGGCAAAGAAGCGCGTCAGCTCCAGGGAGAGCGACTTCAAGGACTCCGACAGTTCATCCAGCTGGCGCACAATGATCGGGGCACTGGTCATATTGGTCCCACGCACCGACTCACTCAGATCCCAGACGGCGACGCCCGTCTCCTGTAAGGTCCCAATTTGCTGCACGCCGTTCTCCGAATAATAGATCAATGGCTCGAATGACCGCGCGAATCCCGACAGCTTCACGAGATCCGGGATGGATTGCGGGACATTGGGCAAAAACAAAGCGCGCATGAACGCGATGGAGAGCAGCGCAATCACGATGGACAACGTGGTACTGGATTTGGAGCTGGTGACACGGTCGAACTTGGATCGCACGTAATTAAACGATGCGACGAAGGGTTCACGGTGCTGGACTTCTGCGCGCACAGCAAACCGGATATCTTAAGAAAAAAGGCCCACCCGTTAGTATCCCGCGCCAGCGTGCTGGACAGGGTTCAAACCGAGAGTCAAGCCTACAATTGCTTAAGTGATTCTCCGACCTAAAGTCCAATCCATCCGGGTTCGGGCTCGTCCTGGCCGCCGGGCCGGGACTGGGAGACCGACCCTTCTGCGGCGAGTCTGCATCAGCTGGCAACGGTACATTGGCAGCGATCGTAACATCCCCCGTATCTGCGGACGTGCTTCGATTCACAGCCGTGTGGCCCTCGAGTGCATCTTCATACTGAGGACTCGGCTCGCGCGACTGCGACCGGCTCAGGCCCACCGTCGGCTTCAGCGCCAGACGGTCATGGTCGATCTTGCGCGAATAGGGCTGATGGCGGTACCACCCACTCCCCTGCACATAATCATACCTGCGAAATCCCGGCGGCGACCAGCGCTCCACGTGGGGGGTCGCATCCTCGTCCTCACCGTCCGACTCCTCGGAGCGAAACCCGGAATGTTGGGAGGGGAGACCGAAGATGGGCGACTGATGGGAATTGCTGTTGTTCTCGAAATCTTCCAGGGACGCATCCAGGGACGGATGGTCATCAAACACGTTGTCCAGCTCGTCCAACATGGTGGACGGCGTTGCGCACGCTCTATAGGGAGAGGCTAGGGCCACTTCAATCGGCGCGCAGTCAAGGCAAGCACTTGAGCAGATAACCAGAGCGATCTAGATCGAGGGTTAGAGGGCGCTGGGAAGGTTAGTTCGGTGATGTCGCGATAGGAACCGATGCAGATAGAGCAGGTAGAGCAGGGAGGAAGAAGATAGAGAGGGTAGATAGATAGTAGAGATAGATTGGTAGATAGAGGGATAGAGGATACAGGCGGATCCAAGGTACGAGGAAGGGTGGGTGCCTGAGGACGGCGTGGACCGACTAACAAGGTCGCGACAAGTCACTCCTTCGTTACAGCGGCGCCTGCATTGGACGCACGACCACCAATCACGCGGGGAAGTCCTGGGGTTAGTGGCGGGGAGATGGAACAATACGACTGTGATTGTAGATTTTCTCTGGATAGAAGTGACTTCTTTCTTTCTCTTTTCAATTCTTTTCTTCTTTCTTCCGTCATTGTCCCCAGGATCGCAGAAGAACCCCTCGTCCTTTTATTCTGGCTCGGTGGGTGGTTGGGCCAATGGGCGGTGACGCTGTGGGTCATGTGCCTGACACGGCCCGTTCTGCGCAGTACAGCCACGTCGTAGTCCCCAGTCCAGAGTCTACAGAGCATCAATAATTAGAATAGGTAAAGTCATGAGAGGAGATCTCTTTCATTCATTACTACTGGTTTCTCCAGCAGTGAAAGCGAAAAATAAAAAAATAAGAAATAAAAAAAATGAAAAATGAAAAATGGTAAATGGTACACACATGGTCATCACACAACAAGAAAAGGAAAAGATAGCGCATCTTCTATGACATCCGCATTGTTCTTCAGCGCACGCACAAAAGGAAAAACCAAGGTCTATTGCGAATAATCAAGGTACGTAGCAAGTAATATTACATGCCCTGTCCATAGGACCGTCGTCGATCGGCTGGCACGGACGGGGTGGAGAAACGAAATTTTTCTTTTCATCGCAGATCGGGAACACTTAGGCGGTGCTCTCCTTGAGGTAGCTATAGTGCAATCACAGTCAGTCGGAAACACCCTCCCCCAATGTTCTATTCATCCATGGGAAAACGTACGTGATCAGATCGTTCCTCTCCTTGGCCTTCTTCAAACCACCGAAGGCCATCTTGGTACCGGGAATGAACTTCTTGGGGTTCTCAAGGTAGCTGAACTGTATTAATGTGTTAGCTGACTTCCAAGTAAAGTTCCAACCAGCACATACCAGAGAGCTCTCGTCCCAGGTCACACCGGCCTGCTTGTTGGCATCGGTGTAGGCGTAGCCCTCGGACTGGCCAGTTTTACGGCCGAACAGACCGTGCAGGTTGGGGCCGACCTTGTGGGGAGCACCAGCCTCGACAGTGTGGCACTGAGCGCAGCGAGTCTAGTGTTCTCCGTTAGCTAACCGTCGCCCCCCCTAATGTAGGAAACTCATCAGCTTCAACTCACCTGGAAGAGCTTGGCACCCTTGGCGGTGTCACCTGGAGTCACCAAACTGTTAGCAGTCTGCTTGGCCTTTTCCATTGCCTCCAACTCGGCCTCGCGCATGTCAATGGTAGTGAGAAAACAAAAAACATCGAAACTGGTCATGCTGGTGGATAAGGAGAGGAGTTGTGGGTGGCTGTTCAGACGTGGACAAGGTCAAGAACAAGTATACGAAGAATGAATACTATAGAATCATGGTGGTGAAAGTTGTGGAATAGTGAAACCTCCATAAACAAGAAAGGGGGTGCAGAGAGCACTGTTTGGCGCCAAAATCGACCAGTATCCATTCACTGCAGCATACAGGAAAGGAAACATTGCAAGTCGCTGGGAATGAAAAGGGAACTCGCTGCTTAACCTGCGCCAGGCTAGCAGAGAAAGGGAATCTGCTTACCGGGAGCGAAAGAAGCCTCCTTGCCCATTGTGAATATATAAAAGGAATCTAGAGTAGAAAAGAGTTGAGAATACTGTACAGGTGAATGGGAGAGATGGCGGGTATTCCAGAAAATGGACGAGATCAATTGAGTAAAAAAATGGAGCAGAAGGGGAAGGGAAAAAAAAAGTGATCGCAAGAATTTGTACAAGAACGAGAGCGCCCGGCGGAGCCCCCGACACCTCCCGTGATCTGCACAGGGACCAATCAGCGGCCAGATGATTCAGCATGAAACGGGCGCATTCGGGATGGGGCCATTGCCGGTGTCTTATTCAGGTGGACTGATACTTTGTTAGACATTTTCCTAGGGGGATTCGAAAAGACTCCGGTCTACTCTAGTCACGATGAATATATATATAGACCTGTGTATTTTGATCAGCCAGTCAATCTACAGAATAACTACCTAACAAACATGCTTCGGAGTATGACCGTCTCGTTTATGATCTCATGGCGAGTTCATCATCCTGGCACTCCCAGCACCGAGGAATATTAATGACCGCGTCATCATTGGTTCCCCGAGACGTTTCGATCTGCCTCGGGATAGCTGAGTCAGCACCGGCCTCCGCTCCACCGGGCTCTGCTGGCCTGAGGCATATTTCGGGTATCGTCTCCGCATCGACGGGCAGGTGTACCTGTACCTGTATCTGTGAAGCCATGCATCGCCGATGCATCTGAGACGTCGATCTTCCTAGCAGCCCGACATACCACCGAGTCTATCCTGGATCCCTGGATGCTTAGTGCTGATTGGATTTAGAACCGGTAGGATACCTCCTAGAATGTCCAGGGTCAATAGTGTTATGTCCTCCCGTATAAGTAAGTACATTGATAGAGCCTATCCCGCCGTACTCCGTAGTCCACTCCCACTGTAAGAGTCACACATATACTCGTGGTATACCCCTTCAGCTACTAGATATTAAGAATCCGATTATCTGTACGATTCTAGAGCAATCAGCTGCTTCAAAGTATTCGATTTCCTTAGGTGTAGTAAGGCTGAGTATGGAAGATGGAAAGGCACAGCCGTGGAGGCTAATAGCCCATGCTAAACTGATCCCTCTGCTATTTATTGTAAATAGACAGATCTATCCAATCTTCGATACTATTAATATCATATAGAATAAATGCACAGAGTCTGTATCCACATGAACATAGATGCATACAATAGCCCCTGTATATCATCACGTGACCACATTATCGGCATGTCCGCCGGTGAAAAGTTCGTCAAGTCCGTCATTCAACACCAGCAAAAGAGACAAAGACTCTCCACGCCGTGTAGAGAGTCCCACCCACGGCCATGCCACCCACGAACATTCCTCGATTTCTTCTCCCACGGGGTGCCCCTTCCACGCGGACCCTACTGGCCCTCAGCCGACAAACCAACCGCAGCACCCCGTCGTCTCCGCGATGCGCTTCATCATCCTCGCACGCCGACAACGGTAAGCATCGTGTTCTGGAGAAACCAGACAAGTTCCGACCGCCATCACATCCGGCACGACGGGTGGTGCAGACTCGCAATGGCAAGGTCATCAATTCGGCCCCGATCAATTATCCCGGTCCCCGGCTGTCCGAAAAGGAGAAAGAGGAGCAGAAGAATCGACAGTACCCGAATATGTTTCCGCCAGAGGGTACATTCATGTTTAAATTTTTGACAAGTCGGTGGATTCATATTTGGATTGCTATGGTGGGTTTCTTTTCGTTATTTATTTATTTATTTCCCCTCTTACGTGTCTCTCTTTCCTTCTTCCTATCTCTGTTTTGGTATCGATCCTGTTTAAGATCAACCGGAAGAGCTTTTCGCTAACAGAAACGAAACCCTCAAGAGTGTGTTAACGACCTTGGCAACGTTCACATTCACGACGAATTTCAAACGCACGTCCCCATTTGCTCATCTACTTCCCTCGTGGTCTGGTCTTGTATCACATCCGATCGATACCATCTCCCAGGCTATGACTGTGTTCCGGATGCATGTGGAACATAATTCCTTAGAGACGCGACAGAAGCGCCAACGACGTGTCGAGGACGCTGAGAAGAGACGTCAGTACCGCGTTGCTCATGGATTGGAGGAGCAGTCCGAGGAGGACAAGAAGACCTCGGTTGATATCGAGGTGGTTGATGATCAGTCGCCCGTGGCTGTTGAGCACCAGGACAAGGCCGATGGCGACGGGTATTTTCTTGATTGGGAGGGGAAGAAGAGGCCGGTCAAAAAATGGTTGGGTATCTGGTGATGTTATTGACGGTGGGAATGGATGTTCTGAAGATATCTGTTTGTTAATAAGAGAGTGGGGTTGGGAGGCAGTTGCTAACGGTGACTCCTAGATTGCATGTAGATTACAGCGTAGATGTTGGGTTGTCAAGAGTATATGGTATATGATTTCTTTTCTCTATGTACATGAATATGCTCTCTGCCATCTATCTTATCATGACAAACTTAACCGTCCATTGCATTTAATCAGGCGCAGTGCCATATCTCAGGTCTCCATTTAATTCCGGGGTAGGATTTACCTGTGGTTGCATGACTGGACCTCTCTGCAGCGATGATCTATTCCCCACAATCCTCATCAACCACTCTCATTCTCCTTCCCGGCAAGACCCTTCCTGTACTATGGACTGGTAAAAGAATACCCTTGGGACAAGGGGACTGTTCGAATTCGGGACCAGATCATGTCCCAGATAGCGAATCCATTCATCCAACTTCGACATTTTCAAGGCCCTCAAGGACCTCCTCGCCAACTCCTCCCTTTTGGAGTATCAATTCCACCATCCGTGCGATTGTACTCCTCTTCACACCCCCCCGTCGAGGCTTCCAGACACCTAGAGTTTCCACTTCGCCGGTGGATGGGTTCAATACGGCCGACTCTTCTGCGGCAGCTGTGGAACCCACCGTGGCCACATTCTCCGAATTCGGCACACCAGGCTGCGTCAAACGGGACGGAGGATCGACAGTTCGTATAGCCAACAGTTTCAGTACATCGGACGTACTGTCCCGAGTTACAGATATGGCCATGACAGTATCTGCAACAGCGATCTCTTCCCGGTTGGGGTCGAAGATAATGTTCTCGCCAACAGAGACTACAAGGAGCGTCACTGGCGGGCGAACTTTTTGCGGCAATTTCGAGCCGGAGCGAGGATACAGATGTTCCGCGGCATTCCAGTCGTCGTCAAAGAATGGATCCTCTTCACCTTGCGATTTCAGTTTAGGGAGCTTCGTAGACAAAAGTGCCAGGTGAGTTGTTAGGGATAGCAATGGGAGCGGATAGGACAGAGGTTGAGAGAGAAGTAAAACCTGCATCGAAGAAAATTAGCACCCTACACTCACACAGGCCAAGCAGAAGTCCCGAAAATACTCACATCGATATACAATCTCCAATGCCACCTTCGATTAATTACGAGCCTCCCTTTCAGACCCCCCGCCATTTCAAGGTCATCATTATGTCCGTTTGATACGGACTCGACCAACGGTTCCCGCATCATCTCGGAAAGGAAAACAGGTAGAGCATCGTCGTCCCGAAAACCAGGTATCTCAATGGACATCTGCACCCAAGACCCATGTCCTCCACTCGAACTTTCTTTCCCTTCGTTACCATCGTCGTCTGTATAGCCATTACTAGCTTCCTGTGATGGATTCAGGGCAGCTGCTGAGAGGACAGTCTTCTCGACCTCTGCCTTGACTCCAACAATCGCTTGCGTACCGTCGGCAAACCCAACACGGGCGCTGCCATTGGTTCCGGGGAGGATGTCGGTCTCCGCCGTTAGCGGTCGAAACTGTGTAGCAGAGCGGCCATCTGGTCGAATTGGGCCATTGGGAAGAGCCAGGGAAGTATAGAGGTAAGAAAGCTCTGCAGGAGAAATCAGAGGGGTCTGCGATGCAGACGAAGCCTGTCGCTGGGCTGCCATTAGGCGTCCCAGGGATAAACCAAGTAGGGAAAAAAAAAAAAAAAAAAAAAAAAAAAAAAAAAAAAAAAAAAAAAAAACAACCGTCCAGAAGCCGGGTCGCAAGTGCGCAATTTTTAGCGGCTGATTACTTGTGGGAGAGTTGTGAAGGGGCAATATCCCTTGAACTTATCTCCTGAGGCAAAAAGGTAGTACCGGTAGGGTTACTCCGTTACAATGTTCAATGGAGCAAGATGTCCATGCTAGAGACTCACTGGAGTGCTCTGCAACGAGGAATCGATCCGGCAGCGTAGGGTGGTGTACTGGATTAGGAAATTCTGCTGGAAGGCGGTAGATTGTTATTCCAGGCCGAGCGACACCCTTACATGCCGAACTGAATAACTAGTGAAGTATATAATACTTATCACTCTGCAGACTCTAAAGGTTCTCTAGCTGATGAATGCAGGAGGATGTGTGATTAAGAGGCCAGAGCATTTGCTCTCGTGTTTTCCATTAAGTGTATGTATGATTGGACGGGTGCTCCGCCACAAATAGATAGTACTATATTACAATTGTTTAAACGATCACTAGCGGTCCTTCCTATGAAAAAGAGAACAGAAGGGGGAGAATATTTATACAGGGGAGAAGGGAAATTTTTGAAAGGGACGGCATTGCTCCGTGTAGCGAAAGGAATAGCGGTGAAGGGAGGAAAGCCCGGAAAATATACAGAGGAAATAAGAGTCTCAAGACACAAGGAAAATGTTCACAGTAGGGGTCAGGACATGTTTGGGAGTTAATGTATATATATAAGGAATGATAGCAGACCTCGCGACTTGCGCATTTGGTATCAAACGGAGGATATGCAAAGAATAGCATCAAATATGATGAGAACGAAAGACGGAAATCAGAAGCATGCCGAAAACAAGTTGCGAGGCCGACTAGATCTAATGAGGCCTTTGGGGTATGAGAACGACAAGAACCAACAAATGAAAGGGAAAAATCCGGGCTAACCCATGCCCTATGCAGTAAGATATAGGGAGCAACGAGAGAAATTAAGCAGGTGAAATAAAAGTCTCCACGACGAAGAGAATCAGAAGACATCAGACCCAGTACGCCTTGCTCGGTTAGATCGCCAGTTATACGCATAATCACCCCATTTTCTCTTATAAGTAGATGTGAACAGAAACGTCGCAAAATAGCAAGTAACAGGAAATAAAATGACACCATCTCCAGGGCGAGGACTGAGGATGGCTACCTGTATGTTGCCCCCACCATGATGTTGGGAGAAGCAAGGTTGGCCCAATCACTTTCCTCGTAAGGAGGAGTAGGCCATTGACGGGTTGAAGATGAATAGTCCGTCTTGTTATCAGCGACTCCCAATCGCCGACAAGGTGTAGCGTCGGGGTGACCAAAAGCCACTCCATCGCGTTTGGCTGATGGTGATGGAGTAGGATATGGACTTGGCAATGGACGTGAGCTGTCGTTCTCCATAGCTGGTCGACTATAGTTGGAAGAGGCATCAGAAGCTTGGGTCTGTGCTAAACGTCTGGCAGCCTTGTTCGCCGAGTGAAGTACCTCATCCAAGAGCTCATCCTCCTCCTCGGGGGTCTCATAACGATGGACGGGGTGCGTTGACAACTGAAAGGCACGCCGAGTTCGGGTTGAAGTGGGCCCAGGAGTAACATTAGTGGAGACAACGATGTCTCCCATGGCTCGAATAGACCCTTGCGGCATGGATTGACGCTTGCCACCCTCCATCGGCGAAGTAATTTGGACAGGGACATTACCTAGGGCAGTTGAGTCGAGAGAGTATTTGACACCCTGAAGGGCCTTGTCCAGTTCAGTCAAATCCGAGTTGTGCTTGGTTTCATTGACGTTAACAGAGTCCAGGGCTAGGGAGGATCGATTTGACCATGGCATACAACCAGCATTGGCTTCGAGGTCATCACTAGGCACATTTGTTTGGTTACGTCCAGATAGCCTGCGAGCACGCTTGCGAAGATGCGAGAAAAAGCTCTCCTTCTGACTGGCAGTAGAGTTGCTATTTCCAGCGCCATTGAGAGCCCTCTCTGCTTCTTGCCTGTGGATATCAGCATAATGATTACCGTGAGAATTAACAGAAAGTTGACGCCCAATCTTGTTCGATTTGCCTGCGTTCGCATCACCCGCATGGGCGATGGAGGAGTTGGCTTGCGCTGTGACTGCATTCGACAGTGGCGACACTGGCCGAATAGAAGGCAAGATAGGCATTGGAGCTCCGTTGGCCCACGTAGCACGCTTACTAGGTGCTGGTCTGTTCTTTGCGCTCTGGAGGTCTGGAGTGGTATTATAGGAAACGATTGGCTGCTTGGGAGGCTGCTCATCATCAAAATTTGGAGCAGGGCTTTCGGACCTTCCAATCAATGATCTCCTAAACCAGGATGACTTTGACGAAAGCGTGGGGGAATCAGTTGGTTCCCGGCTTGGAGATCTGAAGCTCTTGTCCGAATGTTTCCGACCCAGTAACCGAGCTGTGGAGGACTTCGGCCGCAAAGGATCGACAGCATCTGCAAAGTATTCATGATTTAAGGCCTGAGTGGCGGTTGGGCGGTTCCTAGGATCCCACATGAGACACCAAGTCACAAAATGACTCAGAGATGCAGGCCACTGTGGTGGCTGTAGAATGCTCTCCATCGAATGTGGCGCCAACTTGGGGAAAGTAAAGCCTAGCTTTTGGGCAAGGCGAGAGCCTTCTCTCCACTCGCCACCACCGAGTTTTGTACCAGACTTGCTGTACCAGTTACCTGGGCTTCCCATGATTTCACAAACTCGCCAGACTTGGTCGACTTCATTGCCACCGGGAAACAATGGTTTCAGTGTAGCGATTTCGACTGCCATAGCACCGACCGCCCACATGTCAACGGGTGCAGAGTACTCGCCTGCACGTAGAAGAACTTCGGGCGCACGATACCACCTCGTGGAAACATACGTTGTGTATGGCAGCTTTGAATGAGTCTCCCTTGCAAGACCAAAGTCGGCAATCTTAACCGTATATATCGGGGGGGTGGATGGAGGGGTAACGAGGTGGGAATAGCGACTGAACGTGGAATCATTCGGGGCGGACGACGACACCAGGATATTCTCCGGTTTAATATCACGATGGAAGAAGTGATGAGCGTGAATATGATCAAGGCCAGATAAGATCTGGTAAAGAATGCTTTTCACGTGCTTCCCATCGAAGTATTTTTGATCTCGGGATTTCATCAATTGGTAGAGGTTTCCATCCAAGTACTCCATACAGATATGTAGCTTTCGTGAAAAAGGATCAAGAAAGATGTCAAGGGCGGGAACAAGGTGAGGATGGTGTGGTAGAGTCCGAAGAAAGATCACTTCACGAAGTTCTAGGCACGGGGTCAACGAATCAAATGTTTTCTTCATCGTCTTGATCGCGACCTGTTGACGTTAGGTCTGGCTTGTCCTGGAAACTGGTACAACTTACCATGGTTCCTCTTCGTGCAATGTTGGAACCTCCGGTCCGGACCCGTGCTACTGCAACACTTCCAAAGCTACCATCCCCCACCTCTTTCAGCACCTCAAAGCGGCCTTCAAGCGTAGCCATTGAAGTAGGAGCACCGCTCCGTGACGAGTGGTCGTATGTGACGGTCATCCTGCCTTTCCCTTTATTGTCTGCCAGCAGATAAACGAAGAGGTTTGGTATGACTATGGCCTTGTCAGCTACCAATTTCCACTCGATTCCATCATGTATCAGCCCTATCTCACCCTGTGTATAGATTATAGGACCAAATACTTCTCCCGACTGTGGTCGAAAGTGATTAATGGGACCAGTTGCTCATCATTCGAAGTTCAAGCGGTGGTAGGCTCGGAGTATGATATGGCTCTTTCCCATCGAAACGAGAGCAGATGAAGAGGGAATAGAACTAATAAAAGATACCGAGATGAGGGACAGAACAAGTGGGAGAGGAGGGGAAAGGGGGCAGTCATGTAGTTCTCAAAAAAAGAAAGGTGGAGGAGAAGATCTGGAAGCAAGATGGAAGGACCCAGAGGATTGGACTTGATCACTGTAGTGATATGAGCGGGCCCATTCAGTGGGAACTGCTAAATGAATGGATGATCGGGGACCGAGTTGGAGAGCCCCTGACGCGGTGACGGCTTTACCAACTCCAGGACGAGATTGGTATCGGGACGTGGAGCCTTGAAGAGGCGGTCGACTGCGGAGCGAATTTGAAGGATGGTGGAATCGGACGGTGCAGATCACAGCAAAATAAAAAATACTGATGCTGGCAATAGTAATAATAATGATGATAATAATCACCACGGGAATGAAAAAATGGAAAAATAAGGATAATACAAGTGGATTATTGAGGGGTTAAATCTGTTGAGCAGGAGGGATTGTGCTGGCATGGACAGAGACCAAATAGTGCTTCTCTTCTCTCACTGACAGTAAACACAAGACAAACAGAAGATAATCCCGTCGGTCATCAAATAGGAGGTTGGTTGGGGGACAAAAAGAGGGCAGCAATTGATGTGTTCAAATGAGCGGACAAGGCGAATGGCTGAGGAGGGAAGGGCAACAATACTGTAGTGGACGGATTAACGGACAGGAGAGAGAGACGCGATGTTCAATCAAGAACAGGAACAATAAAAAAAAAATATAATATTTTACTTTAATTTTTAATTCATTTTTCTTAGTAAAAAAAAGAGAGAGAGAAAGAAAGAAAAAAGAAAGAAAATGGAAATGGAAATCCCGAATAATACGGAATATGGAGAACTTGATAATCTAAAACAAGATTACTCCCACTTTCTCCATATTCACCACCAGTCCACCCACTAAGATGACTCGTTTTCATACAACTAGCTCTTAATACACGTATTAAAATTGCTACTTTAGTACTCTGTAGAGCTAAAATAATAGTAGAAAAAATAGAAATAATAAAATACGGAATATTTCCTGTCGGCGGGTAGCAGGCCTCCACGCTAATCCTGATAGGCGAGTCAGGAGGAAAGGTCGAGGAACTGGGATCCACTGTATCTATTAAAAATAAAAACGAAAGGGAAGTGGGAAAAAAAAGGGGGGGCGAGGAAGGGAAAGTCCCGTGGGCGGAAGAAACTCATCTAAGGCCTCGAATTGAAGAAGGGTATTTATTATGGTAAGCCGCCGGAAATGTAAACAAGAAAACATAGGTACCAACAACTATTTCCCTGGAACAAGGTCGGAACCATCAACCAAAAGATATAAAGCTATAATAATAAGTAGATAAAAATAACCATTCCTCCAACATATTAATAACCATGGAGGTCGATTTTTAATAAGCATAAAAATTGTTCTGGTAGTTACCAGACAATAACAACACGGTAGCCAAAACTAAGGTACCTAGCAGTTGTTCGTGTGTTAATATTTCTATGGCTTAACAGGCTTTGAGTGAAACAGACAGGTAATTCCGTTACATACGATTTTACCCACTGGGGGTATTGGATTCAGAACCTAAACTATATTAGGGATAGGTAGATAGGTTTTTCTGCTGCGTAGCCCTCATCTACTATGTATGGACCAGAACTCCTCAGAAAAACTAGGCTATGGGGTTAACCATCGGTGTCCAATAATTTTTCCCCATATGTACAACTCTGCAAAGTACTCTGATAGCCTACTGAGGGTGATTGAAATCCTCGCCTAACCTGATTATGAGAACAAGGTCTCTGGGCTATTATCCAACTACGGCAGCTAGTAGCTAGGTACTGAGATCTTATGCATCCAAATTATTACGTTTTGTCAGCCCATTCCTTCCAAATATACCGAGGTGAAATGAGGTCATCAAAGAGAAAATGAAGCGAGATCAAAAACAATAATACTAACAATAATAATAAAATTCGAGGATAAATAATTTGACAGTGTGCCTCCTTCCGCTGGGATTGTGTTCATGCCAGGATACTGCAGTAAAGGCCCAATAGGAGAAGAACAATGCCTGTATGAGGCAAGTTAGGGACCCTTCGGCGGCCACTGTCATCCGCGTCGGAGGTCCAGCCTTAATAGGCCCACGGTCTCCGCTTCCAGTGATCTTTCGACGGGGCCTACCAAGAATGTCCAGGGGTTGGGCCTTCTGTATTGCGAGTTGCGCCTGTGACTATTATTACTACTCCGTACAGAGTATTGCCCATCCCGCTTAGAGTCTTGAGGGGCCCAGGTCTTTCAAGCTCACAAATCAGACACACAGGCAATCTGACGTGTCCCGAGCCTGGCACACAATAAGATATGCTGCTTCGAGGGAATGTAAATGGCCTCATTTAAATTGATCTTCCTAGAAGAACAATATGCTCACTTTTCAATTTAAGGGATTTTGGGACAATCTATGTACCTAATAAATAATATACAGTGAGGGAGTTAAGCATGGAGTACGCTGTGCAGCATCTATGCCTCTCTACTGCAACTGTGGATAGTTCACTGCTGTCTTAAACCATCCTGCCAACTAATTTTGTTGATAGCGTTTGGCCGACCGCCAAACAGGGCAACCGCCCCACGAACTGAAACCGGCAATATACAAGACACCAGACAGTTATGGCTTGATAACCCCTCTTTGTCCTTTCTGTCGTGTATGAAGCACGTATACTGGATCGAGTTGGTCTGTTTCTCTTTTAACAATCTATCATCATCTTCTGTCTTAGTGGTAGAGGCATACGAACCTCGATTGGACCATCACAAGCAGCCACTGTGACAGCCGCGAAGTTGATACCAGTGAAAACTTATCGTTTCAAATCCACGAGTTTCAATAATTCGCAATATTTCTCCTTCCCATTACGGAGCTTTTGACCTGTGGATTGAAACGAACTGTCCCGTTGGGGAAGAACGATAGTAAACAAAGCAAGAGAGATATACCCTAGACCTCGAGTCAGAATCTTACTAAAGCCGATTTCCGGTGCTACAAAAAAGTCCATAATGGTATTGTAGTTTGATTTTTCCCAGGCAGGTTATAATTAAGTACCTTCGAGTCGTGGACGTTTCTATAGCAATAACAATAAATATGCATGCACAGCCGCTTGGTTCTACTTTGTACGTACCTATCATCTATGCTTGACAACATGGTCCACTAGGTGGGCTGCAGGTTATCTAGATCGATATATGCAGTATATACAGACTTTGAGACATACGTACGTATCAATTGAACCTGAAACTACTCCGTACAAATACGTAAGTACTTTAGTGCATGCATGGAGATGACGTTTTTACAGATCAAATTCGGAGTAACTACGGCGCCAATCACCCGTATGAGAGCTGTAGAGAGCACTGTCGTAGAAGCCACGAATATCCGATAACAAGATTGAGGCGAGGGTGGCTGATCCTCCGTGGCAGTTGTTACTACAGTGACCATCTACCCTGTAACATCTGATCAAATGCCTCGACTGGGCTGGAGTGCATTTCCAGTCTCTGTGTCATTTTTTATATCTTTTAATTATTACTAGTACTCGAATTAGGTAGTTCATCAGTGACCCTTACCATGAAAAGATCCAATCCTGGGCAATCGCAACGCCCTGCTAAGCCTTTTCGAGCAGTGGGAAAAAGCCATGTGTGGAATAGATCATACTGGATCCTACCACCCCCACTGTACATACTAGCATGTTCCCGTACTCGTACACAGTTCGTCCCACCATATGATATGACATACTTAATCTGGCTGCATGATGGTACCAATACCCAGGATATGGGTACCTTTTCCCTCCCGCATTAGTGAGTCAACGAATTATTCGATTATTTTTTTGGTGTGGCTAACTTCGGCCAAAGTCGCTATCAATCATTGGTTGTTTACCCGTAGAACAATGCCAAAAAGGGGGGTATCCTTATGGGTCCTATACTCTTTTCTCCTAATTGCTCCATATCTGCTACCTGACCCATAACCGCACTATGAATCCGCTTGTATACTCAGATTATTACCCATTTGGTTTCATATTTTTAGGAATATTTTGATGTAGTTAATGTCTTAGTTCTTGGGAGATTGAAATGTGGCTATATAATTAAGTATTGGAGTATTGCTGGGGTGGCATGCCCCCTCTGTTTTAAACACTGAATGGTTTGCCAACTGTTTCCTGGACTGAACCATTGTTGGCTGTACCAAACAGGAAGGGAAGACAACAATAATAATTGGGGGAAAAAAATTAAATGAAGACAAAGGTTGGGCATCAGCACCGAAAGAGGGCGAATTGTGAGGGAGTGATTAGGTGAGTGGGGTGACTGGAGGATCAGAATGCAGCAGTGGATTATATATCCTCTAGCCTCCGACCGGATTTGCTGGTGTAGGGACGTAAACCACCAATGATTAGCGGGACTTTGACGTGGTTTGGATCCATCGAGCCGGGAAAAGGCAATGAGTGGGGTTTATGGCTGAGGTCATGGATCTGCTGATTGCACCGGGGCGCTCGGGGAATGCGGACACCCCACTCAGTGCAGGCCCGTCCCTCCTTCCCGATAATCCGACCATGGGTCAAGTTCCGCACTGGACCAGTGGGTTTTCCGTAATTATCATACCAAATCGTTGACCTGAATGAGTCGACCTATCGTCTGCTTCTCTGTGCCAAGACGGCCACTCTACTTCGAACTAGTTGTGGACACCGCTCCCCCAGGCTATTAACTAGTTAACAAGCATGCTAGGTAATCGTCGAAGCCATTAACTTCCTTAGAGATTCCAGAAGGATTAAGGAGGTTCGTATGGAGTACGGATTGGAACGGGAAAAGGATGCGGAATACGACGTATGCCGGCTCAGTTCAGGAAGAGAAGGGACTTCTTCCGTTCTTCCATTAACCAATTAATAATACTCAGTTAGCCAAACCGTTGAAGCCTAGAAGGAACTTAATCCCTATACGCCGCAGAGGATCAATAAGACACCCCCTGCAAAACACGGGTAGATGCCCAGTTCTGTTTCTAGAAACGCACTACTGTAGTCCGTATGTGACTAGAGATCCCTACGGAGAACTGTCTATTGCCTACTCTGGAGTAGATAATACGCAGTAGTGACCTACTATAGTAACGAGCGCTATTTTTTTGCCTCATTGAATCGTTCCGTGGCAAACCCGAGGGAATGTGTTTTTTTCTCCATCCGGATAGTACTGCCAGATGCCTTAGTAGAATTCCGAAGGCAAACCCTGGTGGAATGATGGATCAAATGATAGCCCAACGGAATACATAAGTACTTCTCTCCCGGTTATCGGCATAGATGATAATCCAGTGCACTGGAATGGCAGCTGATTGATGGATCATACATTTGTCTTGCAGTAGGGGAGGGGTGTGTGCTTTGATACAACGGATATCGCAACTTGCTCCCCCTTTTTCTTCCGGGTGCATTCTCTTATTTTCTTATTCCCCCCATCTTTATGTAGTTTTAGATTTATTTGATTATTACTCCCTTCTATTATTATTAGGCCCTAATCTAAATGAGATATCATAATACATACCTAGATACATGCATGCGCATCCTTCTGCGGCATGGCCCTGTTTCCCCTCTCCGTCCTTGGGTTTGTATTGTTCTATGAGTGGAATTGGTGCCTATTCTATAGTTCAGTTAATAGATGGAATGTCTTCTCCCTTTTCATCTGCTCTAGATAGAATACTGGGCTCTAATCAGTAAGCATAGTTTAATTTGTCCTGCCGTAGTGTGGAGTTATTCTGGGCTCCGTAAAAAGACACAGTCGTGCCGTCTCGCTTGGATTAGAACTATGGCCTTTCCACTCTGCAGGCAGCTGCTACAGCAACCAGAATTCACTTTATACTAGCCTAGCACTCAGTTAGGCATACCTTATTAAATGTGCATGCTATACTTGTACCTAGGTTGAACAAGCCTGGAACAAGCCTGGCGCTAAAGAGGACCAACGCTTGAATATGGGCCTTGCGGCCCAGATTTATGTAATGACTGGGGAGCATCCACGTGTGCCTAAAATAATCCATTGGGACCAGGAAACCTGCTGCTTGCGATGGAGTAGCTAGAAAATAGAAACTCAAAGAATACATTCAATAAAACCATCAAAAGATAATGCCTCAACTTCGACCCCAGTGGGGTAGACAGGCTGCCGAAGCGCCAAGTGTTCTTCATGCTTTTCATGCTATACGCTGCGACCTCACACCCAGGAACTTCCTTCTCGACTTGGATCTTAATGTGCTTCTCTGTGCGGTTCAGATCCATCAGTTACGACTCTAGCTACGACTGGGACGCCCCTCCTGTATTTCGTGATGATATATTCTGTCCTGGAACACTAATTTACTTTATAATAACCGGATCCTATTACGAGTATGTCCCTAGCGACGAAGTTGAGAAGTTCTATAAAGTTCAGCGATTTCCTAATAAAGTAGTTGGACACCGAGCGGCGCAAGACACCGAGCGGCGCGCCGCTCACCGCTCTTCCTGGAAATATTCAAACATCTCAGTATTCGAAGCCTTTTTATCTTGATTTTCATCAGTATTTTATTAATATACCAAAATGAGTGCCATATCAATGGATGAGAGAATGAAAATGGCTGTTGATGCATGGAATAATAACTAATTTTTATCCAGAACTGCCTGTGCCAAGGCATTTGATGTCTCTTCAAGAACTCTTCTTTATCGACTTAAAGGAAGAAGCAACCGCAATAATATTATTGCTAATAGCCGGAAATTGTCCAATCTTGAAGAGGATACATTAAAAAGATGGATTATTGATATGGCTAACCGTGGTCTGCCTCAACGGATCTCCCAAATTCAATATCTTGCTGGTCTTTTAATATCTGCACGTCAAAAGACTTCGTTGTTATCCCCGGCCTCTATCCCTGATCTAGTCAGTAGTAAATGGGTTACTCGATTTATTTCCCGCCATGATGATATTAAGTCAAGATATAATCGTCGATATGACTACCAGCGGGCGAAGTGTGAAGACGAGTCCACAGGTTATTAAGGCTGTTTAATTGGTTAAAATACATACAAAAATATGGCATTTAGAACAAGATATCTACAACATGGACGAAACTGGCTTCCAAATGGGTGTAACATAACAGCAAAGTTGTCTGCGGCAGAAACACGCAGATCTGATCTAAATAATCCAACCAGGTAATAGAGAATGGGTTAATAATTGTAACTGTTGAGCAAGTGGTTGGGTTTTACCCCCCAGATTATCTGTGCTGGAAAAAACATCAATCTCAGTGGTATTCTGTTCTACCTAAAGATTATCGACTAAGTCTTAGTGAGAATGGCTGGACTAATAATAATCTGGGACTTGAATGGCTACAAGAAGTTTTTGACAAGCATACAAGATCCCGCACTGTTGGTCAATATCGATTACTTATTTTGATGGCCACGGGAGCCATGCAACTGCTGAATTTGATCGATACTGCATGGAAAATTTAATTATTCCACTTTATATGCCTCCTCATTCATCTCACCTTCTTCAACCACTCGATGTTAGCTGTTTTGCACCTTTAAAAGCACTTTTATGGTCAAAAAGTGCAAGAAATGATGAATAGTGGTATAAAACCATTGATAAGGTAGATTTTTTTATCTATCTATTCATCGGTTCACTCAAAAGCAATGTCATCGGCAAATATATTAAGTGGATTTAAGGCTACTGGCCTTATTCCTCTTGATTCTTCGACAGTGATATCAAAGTTAAAAATCAAGTTGAAAACACCAAGTCCACCATTTTCTTCAGGCAGTAACCAGTCATTTTACTTGGGAAAAACACCTTATAATCTCTACCAATTAAATCGACAAAAAGAGCAACTTCTTGAGATTCAAAACCAATGCTTTTTTCCATCGATTGCTGATACTTTGCTTGAGAAAGCTATGAAAGGCAATGAGATTGCTATGCAGTAAATGTCTTTGTTAAAGGATGAACTTTATCGACGTCAGGCAGGTGATGAGTACCAAGAGCAAAAAAAGGAAGAGCCTAGACAGTTTATTTAAGATGGAGGCAGTCTAACTGCTGATACGGCACATCAAATAATTAGCGAGAAGGAGGCAAAGATTCAGGCCGAGGCCCAGGCACCTAGGCAGCGAAGGCCTCCCACATGCAGTAATTGCAATATTCAGGGCCATAATCGATTAAAATGTCCTACCAGATAGTTCTACTGCGTATTTTTTATAATATATTTCATTTGTATGGAGATAAATGGTATGAATATTATCTAAAGTAAGATGGAGGTGAGGGAGAGCCGGAGCGGTGAGCGGCGCGCCGCTCGGTGTCTTGCGCCGCTCGGTGTCCAACTACTTTATGTCTTCTTTCATTGTCACGCAATGTTGGCATCGACAGGTAGGCTCGGCTCATGCCATACATGACTGACTGACTCCCTGGTAGCAGTTGGAGAGCGGTCGCAATAACCAATTCTGTCCATTCCCATCATTCACCTATTAGATCAGGAACATGAACCGCCAGAATCACCTAGGCTCACCAAACGTCGTTCCGCAAACCTTCATCTCTATGGTTTGGGCACTTGCTTCAAGTAATTGTTTGTCCCAGGTACTCTTTTGGATCTCGGCAGGTTTGTGTAGCTGCTGCATAGGTAGTGCATCCCTCCGTCTAGAACACACCTCACTCTCGTGCAAGATAGAGAACATTTGGAATAATGCATTATAGTAACATGGATTTTGCACATCCTGACAATCTGTGTGTTAGTCCGTAGCTAGGTGGTACATTTACTAGGGGACTCACTGTTTATTCGAAAAAGGAATATAAGATATATAGGCTTGCTGGTTTAGTCGGCAAGTTAGTCTCCTTTATAACCTGTACCCAGTATCTTGTACTCTCGAGAAGATAGGGAGTGAATTCTGGCCATTTTTATAGTGGTATCTGCCCCTCTTTATATGCTAATGTTCTCACACAAAATGCATCTCTGTCGCCCCTCGCATGTATCGGGAATCATGCAGGTAGGCTGACAAAAGAAAACTACCTACTGCACTAAAGTTGTGCAGTAATCTAGGCTCCCCTTCCTTCATCGCTTTATCTCGCTTCCAAGGATCTCACCCAGATCATAGCAAGTGAAGGAACGTGGAATCAAATCCTATTAACCACAGTAAGTTGCTGATGCTAGCTCACTTTTTCTACCTCCTTCAGATGTCCTATAGATATCGGAATGGCTGTCTTTCACTGTCAAGGAATACAGAGCTCCCCCTTTCTCCGAATATGCTTGCCCACATTTAATTGGTTGCAAATAAGCAGAGTACTGGCTTACTCTGCTAGAACAGAGCTTCCGTTTCTTTTGTTTAAGAAAGACAATTAAAAATAATTAAAAAATAACTATAATATCTTCTATATATCAGTGTAGTTTATTCTACATGTGCAGTATGTAGCAACTGCAAAATTAGGTGGGCCTAGATAACAATGCATCCTCCATGGAACAAAGAAGCAAGATTAAGACACGCCATTGCTAATACATTTAGTTTGTCTTAAAGTATGGTTTCCACTAATAGGGAGGGGAATTCCATAAAGAGGTAAAATAGGATATTACTTCTTAAGGTCTCTGTGGTGGCAGTGTGGCTGCTCACAGGTTAAGATAGAATGTTCCGGCTTGCTTTTCATTGTGCTGTCTGATGAACGACGATGTCAAGTGAAGAAGTCGTTGGGATTGTGAATGACAAGACTGGTTCTTATAAAGTCCACAATAGGTTGATCCCAAGAAAACAATAAATATACAACATCAAGCTGGGAAAGCATTACCTCAATGTTTGGACAGAGGCTACATGAGCCCAACTCAATAGCCACCTATAACCTTACCCAGCACGTGGACAGGTTTTTCCATTCCTCGTTTTCGTTTGCTCTTAGTCTTCCGCTTTCTTTCCTCTTTTCTTCTGCTGGTAGCGCAGCAGTAAAGTTACCTCTCTTTTCTCACAACCTAATCCAATTACCAGCGGTCTTTTCACTTGCTTCGCTGTGACAATGGGTAGTCGAGGCTCCCCAGGGCAGGGACCCTCGGGTGTGAGAAGTGCCTATGCCGGGGGATATAGCGAGGCGATCAAAAGACAGTAGGCTATATGTACTCCATTGTTCAAAGAAAAAACAAGAGGCTAACTGAATGGTCAAAATTAGGCTGGAAAATTGCGCTCTGCCTGATAAGTGAGTCTTCTATGGCTTGTCTACATTGTTGGTACGTACGCTGCTAACATTGGGCCTAAAGAGTCAAATGCATGACTTGTAGGAAATTCCGAATCCAGTCTGCTTTCTCCAAGCGGCAGCTTGATGTCCTGCGCAATGCCATTGTCGTCCAAGGTCCCAGGGCTGCCACTGCTGGGCACGCCAAATGTCGAACCTGTGTTGGCGGCCCGACTGTTGAGCTCAGTTGCTGCATTTGCGATCAGATCAAAGGACTGGAAGAGTTTGCCAAGAACCAGCGTCATAATCGTGACTCTGCGGTGTGTTTTCTAAAACTTCCTCCTCCTTATACATCTCTTGGTTTGAATCTCCTAACTTGAGCCGTACTTATAGAGATGCTTGAACTGCGTGCAGGGCCACGCGGAGACGGAACCCGTTCTCGAGGAAAATAAACTTATGACTGAAAGCGAGCATTCGACGCAAGGAACCATCACATCTGTTAGTTGACAAGATATTTGCCATGGCCCTCATTAAGTTTTTCTTTTTGTTTGAAAGTACTGACACGGGCAAAGAGAAGTCAGATAGATGACGAGTCGTACTTAGAATCAACTAGAAGGCTGGCACTTAATGAAGAAGGCGATGATGAAGCTTCTTCTGCCGCCGGCGGCATTTGGCTGGAAAAAGACCTCGTGAAGCTTACAAGTGAGAGCCGGAGCACCACTTGTCAACTCTCTGCAATCGATCCTCTTGGGAACCCGCGTCGTTCTCCAGCAGCCCAGTCAGGAGCTGGTGGCTCCGCTATCCACAAGGGATGGGACTCCTGGGGAGTTACTGATGGTGCCTCCAAAGCTAGCGGAAGCCTTTATAACAATTCTAACCCGACTCCTAAAAGATCCTCCAACTTCGCCAAGGTTCCGGTAAGCTTTCCAACTTACCCACGTACTACCATGATGCAAAAACATTATCTAACTTGGGACAGGGTAAACGCTTTGAGAAGACCGATGCTCCGACCATGCGTACTCCTGAACCCGCCTCTCAGAACGTTGAATCTGATAATGAAGATGACGAGGCAGGGGTTGAAGACTACCTTTGAAAGGAGGCTGTTCCGTCAAGCGAAAGTTGGGCAAAGCCTTAGATTTTTCGCTAAAGAGTCTGGTAGCTACTCAATCGTCTCATGTGGTGGGCATCTATTGGTCTTGGTGGTGGCACCGCATGATGAAGCTTTTCGATTATGGCGGTTAATCGCGATTATCGAATGTTAGCTAAGAATGGATCCATGGACTTTCATTGCAGCCTCGACAGCGAACCATGGTAACACAATTTTTGGTTAGATGCCCAGGAACAATCCCCACTTATCCCAAGACACGTAACTACGTGTTTATTTCTTGTAGCAAGCTATAAAATATAGTTGCCACCATACTCGAGGAATACATAAACATAAGGCATCTAGGCGGGTGACATATTCTACTTGATAGCTGTGGCTAAGACGGATCGGAGACGGCTTTCTCTGGCTGACGTTGAGTCCCACTCAACGGCTATCTTAACTAGAACATGAAAGTATTATGATGGTTGGCATGATATGTGTCTAAGAGAAGAGCGGAACACCAATGATGTCACAGTTGGAGGCTCTTTGTTTTTTGGGGTTTAGCTCTGTCTGCCTCGTGATTCCAGCCCTCATTGCAGCAAAAAGTGGTCGAGGATCATTCAGCCGCCGGCCATCTCACTCTGGCCACATTTTTCTTTATTATTCTATCTCCGCTTTAGCATCTATCTACACCCCATCGGTTTGCAGTATCACTCCTTTTCAAATCTCTACTCACATTTTTTCGAGGCCCATCTGCTCCCAAACGCCCCCCCACCGGTGCCCCTCTTCTTTGTTTCCACCCACAGTTAGTCTGCTTTGTTGCACTCGACGTCAGGACTTGCTACCCTCAAGAGCTACAGCTTATTTTTCTTTCCTCTGTTGTACCCAATCTAGCCGCTGAGCAGCCTCCAGAATATTTCAATAAGGAAGATCTCTCATGGCTTACGATGGCTACCAGAACAACACAGGCCCATACTCTCAACCGGGCAATACTAATCCAATAGACCCAAACGAATATCGCCCGATATCCTACACTCCTCCTTATCCATCTCAGTATGGAACCGATCGGCTCAATATGCCTCAGCCGTCAATGCGTCCCTCGTCGTCATCCCCGTCAAATCAGTATCCTGTCCTCCCGCCACAGCCTTATTCAGGAAGGATTAACGACGCTGTTAATTCGGCATGTCACCAGGCTGACAACACCAACTACCTGCCACCGGAGGTTGTGTCACAAATAACGGCAAATGTTATCCAACAGCTTAAAGAGACTGGGTTGAATAACTTGCAAGGCGATCAACAGTCACCGTACCCCCCGCCTCGGCCGTCAAAGCCATGGAGTTCCGCCGCACCGAGCTCCGCATCAAATGAAGCTCCGTCGTCTCCGTCTATGGGCATGCGGAATTCGTCTCCAGTGCCCATCCCCAATGCTTACAGAGACACTAGTTATCCGCCACACCCACCGTCCACAGGGTACACTGACAGTCCTCGTTTTACTCACAGGCCCTCTCCGGCTCCACCACCAGAGAGGCGAGACTCGCCAGTGAGTCAGGCAAGTGATTATAGCCAGAATATGGAACCTCGGCCCAAGCCACCATCGAGGGATGCGGATGTCACGGTCACTGAGCTCACCACTCTGGAGAAAATATGGGGGAAGCTTTTTGAGAATGGAAAGCCTACCGATAGGCTGGGCCAGTTTTTGCGCGGGATTGCTGTTCACTTGGTAGCTTTTAATATGAAATTACTGAGAGAATTTAGTACTGATTTTATGCCAGATTGAGGACTACCCTCCGGGAAACACGCTTGTGATAGTGCCAGAAAAAATGCAGAAGTTTTATGAGGATACCAAAGTACCATCGGACCCTTACCCTTGGCAAGGTTAGTTGAATTCACTGCCTCTATCCCATTAGGTATACCTTGCTGACTCCGAAAAATTGCAGATATCTTTGACGACCATACATCCTCAATATCAAGATTGTTCCGAGAAGTGGAGGCGGAGCATCATCTTGTGCAGAAAAAACTGAACGAAAGACCTGATATCCCAGGTTTGACACCTCGCGGGTTTGAGCGGTGGGCTACGTTGATGATTCAGGCCCACCCTGAAAAGGAGTATGAGCGGTTGCAAAAGGCTGTATTAAATATGCCCATCAGTAATCCAGACAACAAGAAGGAAAGGTTCCCTAAGGAGATACCACGACGGCTCTTCCCGGAAACTCCAATCCTCCCACTGAGAGAAGAACTTGATCAATCCATTATGAAACACTGCGGCGTCGAGTTGCCCCCGGTTACAGATGAGGAAATAAAGAATATAACATCCCATCGCCACAAAGCTTCTACTAGCTCGGTCGTATCAGGACCTGATTCTGTTCCCTTCAATGAGCGAGATCGCAGACGTTACCATGCGTCTGTCTCAGCTGTCGTGGATGATGATGAGGAAGAAACAGAAACTCTGCCACGCCCCATTGAGCGGCAACGGAAGCCCTACACTGCGCAACCCGGAGGAGGAAAAACATACGATGGGCCAGGGACCCCTGTACATCGACATACACACTCGTTCTCTGCGGGCTCTCTACCAAAGGAAGGGCTATCCCCAGCCGGGCATAGAAACTCAGATATCTATGACCAGGGCTCACTATATTCCCGTAGCGGGGGCGCACACCATCCCTTGCCTGGGCGATCTCGAAGTCCGTCTCGGGGAGTCGGTGCCGGAACCGATTACCGGCATTCCGAGAGCGACCTGCTACAAAGTAATGGCAGCAAGTTTTCGGGAATGACTCAAGGGGGAGATTATTATTATAGTCCCGGCTCGTCTACCCTTCCAGGGGATATTATCGAAGATAGCCGACGACGCCGGGACTTTGATCGTGATAGTGAGGATCAGAGGTTGTATGAATCTCTGCGTGAACGCGAGAAAGAGCGCGAGAAGAGCAAATACAACGACCAACTCCCTTCCCGTGCTAGCTGGGCTAATGAAGAGGACTTCTACCGTGGCATGCTTGGTGGACAGGGTGGAACAGCCGGTAGTGGCGGGTATGATTATAAGACGTATGGTTACAGGTAATGTTGAGAGGCATATATGCTTTGTTAAGTCATGTCTAGATTGGTTTCTTTTCTTTTCTTTTCTTTTCTTTCTACCTGGCCTGCTACGCAGTGGCAATTATATCCATGATGTATTTTTTTTTTTTTTAATAGCGGATTCCTTCTCGTTTTCCTGATGATTGATGTACTGTATGATGCTTATGGATTTTTCAATTCTGTGTACAACATGTTGAAGACTGGAGCGCTTCTCATCCTGAGCAATGTATATAACCAAGCAATTAGGATAAGCTCTACTAACCATACCGACCCGTACAAGATAGTGCAAGGTTTAGCGGTAAATTGATTCATCGATCCATACTCGCCTGTCTCTTCTGAATCTCACGCATGGTCTTGACCCCAGCATCTTTACAAACCATAGCTTCTTTTGCCCTCCGTCGTTCCTCATGCTCCCACAGCTTCTGAATCTGCTGCTGATCTTTCTCCTCTCGTTTGGAACGTTTCCGCTGCCGTCTCCGACTCCGCTCCTGTTCCTCCTCGATCTTCTCTTCTTCTTCGTCCGCCTCCAGTCGCAGCTGCGTGACCTCCTCGTCCGTCAAAATCCACGGGGTGGAAAGCACCTCGACCAGGAATCGACACCGCTGGTCCAAGAACCGCATTTCGGCGTTCGTATCTCGCACCGGAAAGACCCGTTCCAGCTGCAACTGCACCGTGGCCCGGAACACTGTCAACGTGCCTTTGATCTGGGACACGGAGCCGGGAACAAGTCGTGTGATGTCTACCGCGGATGATCTGCAGGTCGCGGCGACGTGCGGAGTGGCCCATGGAGACTGGATGTCTCCTCCCCCTCCGGCGGCAGCGGGTCGAGGAGTGGTAGTTGCACTCGAGACGTCCAGGATGGTCTCGGATTTATGGACGATAACATCGACGGTTGCGCCGCTGCTGTCATCGACAGTGAGGATTGTGAGTCGTGGGTATTCTGTTCTTGCTATGATGATGCCCATTACGGAGACGAAGCGGATCGGATGGTTCAGGTAGAACAGGGTGGATTGATCTGGATTGTTAGGTTAACTGTTTTTTTAATCCCGAGAAATAAATCAGAATCGGTATCATAGTGCTTGGTGTTCGCTGTGACAAAAGTATGTAAGAATGAGTAGTAACCCCTGCTAACTGGTACAAGACACATGGTCTGAACATCTCATCCGCATATATACGGAGTAGATAGAGAGGTATGTTGCACATGTATGATCCCGCACTATTTAGCAGTATCCAAAAGTCGCGCGAGCTAACCAATCCAACAAAGAATAAAGAAACCATACGCCAACGGAGAACGACACAAATGATATCGAAGAATGACGCCCAAGACCGATAAGCCTAGCCAAGACAAACCAAACCAAACCAAAACTAAAAAGTGGGATAGAAAGATAGAAAATAGCTCCATACCTCCGAATTCCGGCCGTCTCTTGAGTCGATGAACATCCAACGCCGCCATTTTTACCCAGGAGAAGTGCGTCGGGGACGCCTTGTAGCAAAATGCTGGATAAAAGACGAGCCCGTCATTGTTTGGTGTCGCCATGGGGTCATTTTTCTGATCTTTTAGGGGGATAGGGCGCCGGTGTTGTCTGGAAGAAAAGGGTTGGAGATGGTTGAAGAGTGAGATGCGCGCCATCATGGTCGGGATCACGTGATGTATACCGTCTTGAGAAATCAATCTTATGTGGATTATTCCATGAATGTATACCTATAAACTAGATATAATGTATATATCAGTATATATACTACATTTGTCACATGCTGTATAATCCATGTCAGGCTGTTCGACTATCCAACTGTCATTCTACATACAAACACATGCAGATACCATGGTATGAGTGGTCTTGTTTTTCTATTTTAAAACTCCTACAGAATACGCGAGCACTTATCACTATACCACCGCGTTATAGCTTATTCTACAGAGGCGTATGCCAGTCAATGGAGGGACAAGGGACAAAGCAAGAAGACTGAACACGACGTGGTTCCAAGTAAATAAGAACTTGAAAACATTCATGTAAGCGATGGTTCCAACTAAATCTGAAAAATTTCCGGGTTCACCCCCTCGTACGATAGACTATCCATATCCATCCATCCCAGCCCGTACCACAGCCCCATATCCCACTGATTATCAAATGATATATCGGGGTTTGCAAAAGGAAGTATATCCGGAACCAACTCCGTCGCCATCCCATTCCCAGTACCTCTTGGGGCTCTGGCAGGGCTATTGGCAGGCTCCGTCCGCTCGAACACATCGGCTTCCAATCGCTGCTCCTTCTGAGTTCGGCACAACTCCGCCGAAGTACCAAGGATCTTCGACACCGACTCGGCACACTGCGTGATGCATATGTTCCCTAAGTCCCATCCATCATCTTCAGCGGCATTCTGGAGTTTCGTCCAGAGGCGACGGAGGCCGGATTTGCATGATTCGACTACAATTTTTTCGGTTGATTCGACGGTGCAGCGGAGAAGTATTATCACGGTGAGGATGAGATGGTGGGCTGTGTCTGGTTCTCGTTAGGTAATGGTTTTTATGATTTACTGGCGTGGTGCGTGGTCTGTTGGGTGGCATTCTATACATACAGGGAAGCCAGAATTCTTGTAATTGGGATTTTGTGAGAAAACAGACGTATTCGACGACATCCTGGGCGGACCTGCGTAGCTGGGCAAGGTGGTAGCGGGTGCTTTCCGAGCGGTCGATCTCGTCTGATAGTGTTGCAACCTGTTTGGGTCTGTTAGCTTCCTGATCTTATTATGACCTCCGAAGACAACACGAGGCTTACATGCAAAGAGATTCGGTGAAGGAGAAGTCGGACGGAGAGATAGCCCAGTCGGAGACTGCTGGATCCCGATGTCCGGGTTTGATCTCCACTGCCGGGTCGGAGATGTGCTGGGAGACTGTCCTCCCATTCGCAGAGATCTAGCTCTAGACGACGGATTTGCTTCCAGATCAGCTTTTGGTCGACGTCCAGGTGGTAGGTAAGCGGGAGCACCTCGCCGAGGATGTTGGTCAAGGTGCATAGATGTATGAAACAGTCTGCCCCTCTGGCATGCTTTTCGCTCTGGTTGGCGTCTGGGAGAATATCTCGCGGAAGAGGCACGGGGACGTCGTATTGACCTTTGGCAATAATTGGTGGTATTCCATGAGAAAAGCTTGACCTGTGATGGACGGATTGGTCAGCCAAAGCGAAGCATGTGCATAGGATCGAACTTGGGATGGAAGACTAACCAGCGATCGTGGATTACCACTGCCCACCACAGGCGAATGCGGAGTGATTTCTCGCTCGCTGGGCGTTTCCACTTGGTCGGATCGCGATTCAAACCTAGGGACTGGGCGAGCGCAACTGCTCGGCCGTTGTTGATGGTATTCGCGAGGACAGAGTAGACAGGTCGGCCCATCATGTCTAACACAACGGCGAAGACGGTGGACAGTCCTGGGGCGAGGAAGTCCTGCTGTAAGGCTTCTACGGCCAAATTCCAGATGAAGTGCGAGTCCGGCTTAGGGAACTGCCTGAGACTGGGCGAGTGTTGCCATAGGATAAGTGAAAGAGCAAAGAACTCGCAGGTGAGAGCTGGGGAGAGTTTGTCTCCGCTTCGGTATAGCTCCAGGAAAGATTGACTATCAAGAATGGGAAATGCAGGGTGGATCTCCTCGAAGTACCTTATTTTGTTTTCCTTATCAACCGTTGGATTCGGATCCATAACGGTCCAGTCTTTCACTTACAGTCTGATTAATTCATCGGCATACGGGTTGAGGATCTGTCGCAGAGTCTCCTTCTGTCGCTTTCCTGGATTCTCCGATATAGCCAGCCCTTCGCTCCATCCGCGAACTTTCATATACACCATGGGAGTCCCGGCCACGGAGGGCATGGAGCTAGCCTTGGACGACATATACCGCTCCAAGATCTGAATATCCTCGGAGATCACCGGGCTGGCAACCATGGATAGCTCGACCTTCGACTTCGACTGGTCCTCGCCCGCAGAGCCATGGTAGTTTGTCCCGATATGGTCCAGTGCCACTTCGCCCTCCACAGGAGAAAGGGCGGCATGGTGAACATCAACCACTGGAGACGGGACAGTCCTCGGCTGAGCCCGCTCCTGGTTAGGTTTTGCCGAACGACGAGTCCCACCCCGTGTTTTGGGACTGGCTGATATCAGACAGGGAACATCCTGCAGATTGCACAGCACGCAGGGCTGATCCGGAGTCCCGCCAGTGCATCTTCGCTTGAACCGACGGCATCGATCGCAGGCGGGGACTTTGTGTGAACGATAGGGCCGGCGTTGATCCGGCATTGAGGGCGAAGGAGATCTTATGGCATATTATTGTGATCTGTGGCCGTGTTACTGCTGCTATGGACTAAGAAGAAGTGAAGAAGTATGACTCGCTTTCCCGCCGGGCAGCAGCAGTTTGTCCGCCGGGGAAGTTTATCGAATCTTGGCGCCTGCTTGCGGCCTCATTTCAACACGCGCATATGGCAGATGGTCAATGTCTTCGATGTCCATACATACATCCATTCTGTTACAGCGGTGATGGATTCAACCTGTGAGATTGACCTCCATCATGCGCTTCTTCGGATTCCGGGGTATCTGCTTCTGCCTTTCCCGCTCCTCGTCGCTGATGTCATCCAGTTTTGTATCGACCTGATCCAGTGCAGACTTGACCTCTTCCTCGCGATTCTCATGCCCAGCTACGGCCACTTGGAGGATTTCCCTCTCGAATCCATATACGACCTGCCACTCAATCCCCGCCGCCGTCAACATCTGGCACCCTTCCGACTGTCCCACGAATGTCCCGGGCTCTTTCACTCCGAAATAGACCTTCTGGATCCCCTTGCGACCCCCCTCCTTCGTGTTGATAATCCTTTGTACACAGGGGGTGTTCCCCGATAGTCGTTTCCCGCATGGCTCCATAGTCACATACATCACTAGTTTTCGGTCCGGTTCTGAAGGCAAGACTTGGTATACGCGGTCATCTGGGACCAAATGGACTGCGGCATAGTTCGCTAGACAGCATTGCTCGGCATGCGTGTTGCCTGCTAGCTCCATGGTGTAGCCCGTGGAAAGGATGCGGTCGTCCTCCGCCCAGAGGTCACCTTCTTTGCGCGACACGAGAACGGCACCGACTCGGAAGTTTGTCGGACGGGGGGGCGACTTTTCTGCAAGGCTGAGGCATTGCTGGATGTAATTTCTGTGTGGGGAGCGCATTTCCGAGACGTACGATAGGATGCAGATGAGCAGATGAGCAGACGAGCAAAGAAAGGAAGCAGAGCAAAAGTGAAGAGAGAAGACAAAAAAAGTCCATGACAGCATGGCGGGGGATATCTAACCCGATCGGGTAATCAAAGGGCCTCGCGTACAACGCGTCGTTTCTTGATTGTTTCTTTCCCTCGTTCTTTCTTTCTCCCCTCACTCCTATCATATATTTTTTGTTATTTTATTTCGTTCTATTCTATTTTCTTGGATTATCCCATATTATTTACCTCAATTTTCACAATGACGTCCGAGAATGAGGGTTTTCAGGGATCCGAAGATGTAGAATTCCCACCGCCGCCCGTGGAGACCGATCTGTATGACGTCCTAGGAGTCAAGGAAGATGCAACACCTGATCAGATCAAGACGGCCTATCGGAAACTAGCACTGAAACATCACCCAGGTACGCTGCTATCTATCTCTGCTCTTTGTATTTGTTTTATCTGCTCCCCGCCAACCTGAGAGAAACACAATAGATAAGGTACAGGCCAAGTCCAAAGACGAAGCGAACCAGAAATTCCAGCAGATCGCTTTTGCCTATGCGATCCTGTCCGACGAGAAGCGACGCCAGCGATTCGATCTCACTGGCAGCACGGCCGAAGCCGTGCACGAAGGGGATGACTTCAACTGGATGGATTTTTACCGGGAACAATTCTCGAGCGCGGTCGACGAGAATGCGCTGGACCAGTTCAAGAAGGATTACCAGGGATCGGAAGAGGAGGAGAGGGACGTTCTGGCCGCATTCGAAAAGTACCGCGGCGATTTGGACAAGGTCTACGAGTCGGTGATGCTGTGCAATGTGATCGATGACGATGACCGATTCCGTGCCATGATCAACAAGGCCATGAGCGAAGGCCGGGTGCAAGAACACAAGAAATACGTGGAGGAGTCGGAGAAGAAGAAACAGCTGAGATTGAAGCGGGCGCAGAAGGAGGCCAAGGAAGCTGAACAGCTTTCTAAGGAGCTCGCAGACAAGAAAGAAACGAAGAAGAAGGGGGGGAGGAAGAAGAAGGATGCAGACATGACCGACAATGACCTAGCTTCGATTATTCGACAGCGACAGGCCTCCCGCGCGGATACCTTCTTCGATAAGTTGGAGGAGACCTATACTGGGGGTAAGAAGCGAGCCGGTGGATTCGACGAGCCCCCAGAGGAAGCTTTTGCAGCGATGGGGGCTCGACAGAAATCCAAGAAGACAAAGAAGTGAATTTGGGGGAACTTGTACCAAAGGGGAGAAGGGAAGGGGGCGGAGTTTATTATTTTTTTAATGGAGCAGGAGTTCTGGGGGATGACTTTTTTTTTTGCCATTTGTTTATCACCTTTGGAGCATTGGAGGAGAGATCACCATTGCCGGATCATTGATGGAGATGACAGCATTTACGACGGCGTTTGCTACCAGTATTATAGAGCCCGAAGATTCATGGCATTTGCATCCGATGAGAGTATAAAACGCTATAGGACTACCTGTGTATATTCATCTCAGACATCCCGATGAGTATGGCATTCCCATGGAAAAGGTATTGACATCACCAACAGCTGCCAAGTTGGCTGGTCTGGACACTGCTGTGCCACTCCGAACCAACGATGCCTACTGGTACATACATTACATCGCCTTCCAGACCTCCAACAGCCAAGACGATCATCCCTTCTTCCCCTCATGCTGGTCGTATATATAAGGTAAGTGCCGGACGAAGCAGTCGTTCACATTAATGCCTCTCCCATTCCCTTTCACCGCTATTAAACAGAGCTGAAGCTGAAAGAGGAGAGAAAAAGTCTGTGTGGAGCCACTGCAAGGCAGCGACCGAGGGGCAATCATTTCCCATTCTTTTACTCGACTCCGTAACGCTGCGGAGTTTCTTCAATTGCTATTATTCCCTCAGAATGCCAGTCCCTTGCTGATAGGTAACAACTTACTCGACTATACAAGATCCATCACCTGACAGCTTCACTTCCATCTCCCGTTGATTCTTCATCCTCATCTTCATTCTTTCTCTTCCTCTCTCCTCTCTGTGGAGAGCTCGCATCTCTTCAGCCACCAGCCCACCAGCCACCAACACCCCTCCTTTTACCTCGGTGTGACAGAACCAGAATTGACTACCCAAACTAAACAAACTAGTGGCCGATCATTGTGATTGAAACACGGTTGCCCGCACGTGGAGGCTCGACCTCGAATATTTAGGCATCTTGACTAAATTGGGGCCCTGACAGGGTTTTGAAGCTCAGGTAACTGTCAAGTGTCCATCTTTTCCTCCCATCCTCCGCCGTCGGTGTGGCGGTTTCGCTCCATCCTTTCTGTCTCCTCCCATCTTCGTCACCCGGTTCTCGGTACGGAACTGACGAGACTAAGGGACATTCCTAGTATCCACATTCTCTCTGCAAGTTCATAGGGGTCTTCTGGCAGCTCTCGATTCCCCACCTAGCTTGTCAACCACTGCAAGGCGGTGCCCCCCCCCACCAAAACCATGTCTCTGTACAGGAGGAAGTCCAACCGCATCGGGTCGCTGGCATCTGCCCTGGAAGAAGAGCGTCTCGAACTGGCGGAAGAGTTTGAAAAAAGTCGCAACGTTGCTTCCCCACGGAATCAGAGCTCATCTGCACGGCATTTATTGGATATCGCTCCTGCCCCCGGCGCCCTACCACCCCGACATGGGTCGATTGCCGGCATTGGTGTGGGCGTGACCCCCCCCTCGACTCGACTCAACTGGCCAGATCCTCCCCCGACCGCCGCGCTATTGCGTGCGAATAATACGTCGTCGGGAACTCCGTCTCCCACATCACCCGAGAAGCCATCCAGCCACTCCGCGACTACTACGACTCGCAGATTCAGCGACCACTCGGCGTGCGAGAAGAAGAAAAAGGTCACAGACAGTAAGGCTGATAACCCCGACAGTACAAATAACACCACCACCTCCACAACTCCCACCACCAACAACAACCCGAATAATAAGCCTAGACCGAGCATTCGCTGGGACGATTCGGTCGCTATGTCACCCAGTGCCACGTACGGTATCCCCAGGCGCATCAACAAGCCTCCGGAGAAATCGTCCAATAAGGCGCTGCAGGGCAGGAATGCAATGGCAGCGGTGATGTCAGGCCTCGATCTGAGGGTCGGCTTGCCCAGCTTTACCAGAGGCAGAGACTCTGGGCGCAACAGCCCAACACGGGGAACCTCGCTGGACTCGCGGCTCCCTGCCTCCCGCACGGGGCGTTCCAGTCCTCCTAGGAACCGATGGCTCAGCCCGAACTCTCGCAATTCCACCTTGAATTTGGGGAAATCGACTCCCAACAAGGAAAAACCAGCAGAGATTGAGAACACCGACAAACCGCAGTCCAAACCGGGATCTCGTCGTAGCTCCTGCTCCGATGTCGAGGGGAAACTACCTACCCCTTCGGATGAGCGTCTGGAGAAGGACATGTACGACAGTGAGAACAATCCCATTGAAACTAGTGACGAAGAACTCGATGACTCTTCATCGAGTGACGATGAGCCTGCGACGGAGCGTGGCAGAAAATCGACTGTCGGAGGGACTGAAACAGGTACTGGAAAGGCCGGCTCACCGTCTGGTGAGACGGAAGAAAAAGAGTGTATGTTTTTTTTTTTTTTTTTGCCTTTTATTTTTTTCCTGTCCTGGATGAAAACCCCCAAAATCAATTAATTACCCTGGCGGTTTTGTATCTACTGTACTGACAAGCAATCATTCAAGGCGCGGAGGAGAAGTCCGACTTTTTGCATTCTTCCAAACAAGGCCCAATCCCCAAAAGACCCGATGTTCACCCTCGAACTAGTTACGACGCGGCGTCTGCACCCACCACACCGTTTGGATCTGACGATGAAGCCGAGTTGTCTGATATCAAACGAGCCCAACAACTTGGGATCCAGATGTCCGCCATCGATAGCTCTGTCCACAGTCGGTCGATTCGGACCATCATCCGCGGAGACTATGCCCACCTGTCGGAGGAAACCGAAGGTGGCCGTCGCCGACAGCGCAAATACATGGTTGCTACAGACCTGAGCGAAGAGTCAGTCTATGCTCTGGAATGGACGATTGGTACGATTCTTCGGGACGGCGACACCATGTTTGCCATCTGTGCAATCCATGAGGAGGTGAGCACGCCGACTCTGCAGGTTGGCGACAGCGCCACAGCAATTCAAGATGTAGCGGCTGTTATAGGATCCCAGACCGAAGAGACGACCCGAAAAAAACGATTCAGCTACTAACCTATCCCGTGCACTACTGGGCCGGTTGGGAACCGGGACGGATAGCAAACCGGGCTCCGTTGATTCTCGGGGGATGTCGAAAGCAGAATCGGAACGAGTTCATGCCGTTGAGGTCATCTCTCAGACATGCGTTCGGTTGTTGAGGAAGACACTACTACAAGTCCGGGTGGCCGTGGAGGTGATCCACTGCAAGAGCCCCAGACATATGATCACCGAAGCGGTATGTGATACCCTTCAAGGGAACTTTCTGTGTCTGATGGGGAAAATTTATTGACGTTCTCTCGAATCCGTAGATCGATGGCCTCGATCCAACACTGGTCATTGTCGGCGCCAGAGGTCGGAGCGCTTTGAAAGGGTAAGCAAAGATCGATATACCTTTTTTCCCAGAGTCTAACCAACATCATCGTGCAGTGTTCTCCTTGGATCGTTTTCCAATTACCTGGTGATGCATTCTTCGGTCCCCGTCATGGTGGCTCGTAGGAAGCTGAAGAAACAGTCAAAGAATAAGAAGACGAATATCCGTCTATCCAACAATCTCTTAGCCCCCAAGAAACTAGCGTTTGCGAAAGTGGATTAATTCGAGCTGGCGTTTTTCTTTCCTTTTCTTCCTTTTCTCCCCCTCTTCTCACTCAATTGGTTTTTGCTCAATTGCGGATACCTCCACGGCTGAATGGTCATACGGCGCATATCTTGTTTTCCCACCTGGTTCTTCTTGAGATTTGATTGAACTCTCCATGTATGTATATGATGATGACTGTCCATTGGTGTGAAGGACCGAGATGAATCTTAATGCATTGTCTCCTGTACCTCGTAGCTGTTTTGTGCCTATAGAATACTTTCAAGCGATCAAGTGGGGAAATCCACACATCACGTGCGGATCCCGTGCAATCGTCATCTCCGCTACTTGGCCCGACCTCTCTAGAGCCAGCGCGAGCTCTCCGTCCTCCCTCCGCCTTCTCCCCTTTAGTCCTTTTATCTCCTCTCTTCGTCTCCCGCTTCGTGGTATTGTGCAAAGGTTCACCATGGCATCTGGATTTGTCGACCCCAGGATGACCTCCGTCAAGCCTCGCATCCGCTACAATACCATCGGAGGTATCAACGGACCGTTGGTCGTTCTGGATAATGTTCGTCTGTCCCGAGACCTCCCAGTCCGGAGCTGCAACGGAGGCTCTCAGTTGGTTGTATGCCATGCTAATTGCGACGTGGGCTAGGTCAAATTTCCCCGTTACAATGAAATCGTGTCCCTGACCCTTCCTGATGGGACCGAGCGGTCGGGTCAAGTCCTGGAGGCTAGAGGTAGGTCTCCATGCTTTATCGCATGCGACCCCAGTGTCTTCAAATCGCGAAACTGATTCTTATTGTCGGGTGAATAGGAAATAAGGCAGTCGTTCAGGTACGGGTGCTATAGCTGGGGCAGTCCTTTTTGCGGGATATTTTATATTAACATGGCATCCCGCTGTTAGGTGTTCGAGGGTACTTCGGGTATCGATGTCAAAAAGGTATATAGCTGTTTGGAGGACACGATCGGGGATGATATGCTGATTCTATCCTAGACCAAAGTCGAGTTCAGCGGCCACAGTTTGAAGCTGGGTGTGTCGGAGGACATGTTGGGTCGTGTTTTCGATGGCTCTGGTCGCGCAATTGATAAGGGCCCAAAGGTCCTGGCGGAGGACTATCTAGATATTAACGGTCAACCAATTAACCCCTACTCCCGAGTATGTACCTGCTTGCGCTGCACTGGACGGAGTGACCTTGCACATGGCTAATGTTCTCCCTCGCCCAGGTGTATCCCGAAGAGATGATATCTACCGGTATCTCTGCTATCGACACGATGAACTCCATTGCTCGAGGCCAGAAGATCCCCATCTTCTCCGCTGCCGGTCTTCCTCACAACGAAATCGCCGCCCAGATTTGTCGTCAAGCCGGCCTGGTCAACAAACCCACAAAGGACGTACATGATGGTCACGAAGAGAACTTCTCGATTGTTTTCGCTGCTATGGGTGTGAACATGGAAACCAGCCGTTTCTTCACGCGTGATTTTGAGGAGAATGGCAGTATGGAACGAGTGACGCTGTTCCTGAACTTGGCAAATGACCCTACGTACGTCTCACGATATTGTGTCCGGCTCTGGATGTGGATTGACCGTTTGCTCTCAGGATTGAACGTATCATTACCCCTCGTCTGGCTCTGACCACCGCCGAATACTACGCTTACCAGCTGGAAAAGCACGTGCTGGTCATCATGACAGACCTATCGGCTTACTGTGACGCTCTTCGTGAAGTTTCAGCCGCGCGAGAAGAAGTGCCGGGTCGTCGTGGCTACCCCGGTTACATGTACACTGATCTGTCGACGATTTACGAACGAGCCGGACGAGTCGAGGGTCGTAACGGATCTATCACCCAGATTCCCATTTTGACCATGCCTAACGATGGTAGGTTCATATAAAGAGGAAAGAAAGGGTTCATCGGCTGACTTGGACCAGATATCACCCACCCTATTCCTGACTTGACAGGCTACATTACTGAGGGCCAAATCTTCATTGACCGTCAGCTGTACAACAAGGGCGTCAACCCGCCAATTAACGTCCTCCCCTCTCTTTCCCGTCTGATGAAATCCGCCATCGGCGAAGGCCGTACTCGGAAAGATCACTCTGATGTGTCCAACCAGTTATATGCCAAATACGCCATTGGACGAGATGCCGGTTAGTCCTGTCTTCTCCTGTACACCCCGATTAAATTTTGATAGTAATTGCTAACTATGCCCGAAACAACAGCCGCCATGAAGGCTGTCGTCGGTGAGGAGGCCCTGTCCTCGGAAGATAAGCTGTCTCTCGAATTCCTGGACAAATTCGAGCGATCCTTCATCAGCCAGTCCGCTTATGAATCACGAACCATCTTCGAATCTCTGGATATCGCCTGGAACCTGCTCCGCATTTACCCCAAGGACCTGCTCAACCGTATCCCCAAGCGTATCCTGGACGAATTCTATGCCCGCTCCGCTCGCAAAGTAGCCAACAAGGATACACGAGACAGCTTCTCTACTCCTGAGCAAGTTCATTCGCAGGGCGCTGACCTCATTGAGACCTAGTTCTTTTTACTGTGGTCAACTGAGTCCTAATACTCGATTTGCCAAGAGGGGGGATACGAGGGGGTAGGGGAGAGTTGGGGGGAAGAAGATATTCCTTGTTTCTTTGTCTCTATCCGAAAGATATCTTTGTTCTGGTTTATTTTTATCTTCTGCGCGTTGCAAGCTTGTCTCTGCTACGATATTGCATATACTTTACATCGTAGTTGTATATCATATAGCTTACTACTTATCGATTTTGGATACTCAACTTCTCTGCTTATAACTTAGTTTTCACTTCCACGTACCCGTCAATGTACCGAAGAATTGAACATTTAAGTAGATACTATCTCTCTATTCCTAATACTATCTATATACTAGAAAATGGATATTGAAAAACCGAACGAGGCGCAAAACAAAACAAAAATAAATAATAACACAGGATAACCACGAAATTAGAAAGTTTGCATCTTCTCATCAAAATGTACCCGAAATGACATAAATGGCTTTTTTAAACCCGAAAAATTTTGGCCTTTTTTTTAATAAACTGGTACAAATCATCCCAGGCAGCAGCATGTATTATTCATTGCAAAATCATCATCGTAGGGTGGATCCAATGCAACCACCTTTTCGTCTATATAAAGATTCTAAACCTTCCTTGTCTTGTCTTTTCTCTCTCTTGCGTTTTTATTTTCAAATTGAGATTTGTAAGGAAGACGATATGGTATGTCAGATCATTACTTAGAATCTCAAATCCCACCCGATCTTGGGTCCCAAATGGGGAAGTTCGTCCGCAACGCTCTGGACATCTTTATCGCCTCTTCCACTCAGGTTGAGGACGATGTTCTCACCCTTCTTCATGGTCTTGGCCAGTTCCATGGCACCGTAGATGGCGTGCGAGGACTCCAGAGCGGGGATGATACCCTCTTGCTGGGCCAGGGTGCGGAACCCAACCAGGGCTTGGGCGTCGGTGGCGGCGATGAAGTGAGCACGTTGGCTGTCCTTCCAGGAACTGAGTTCGGGTCCAACACCGGGATAGTCGAGACCCGCGGAGATGGAGTGGGTATCGGAGATTTGGCCGTGCTCGTTCTGCAGCACGTAGGTGCGGACACCGTGTAGGACACCCTTGCTACCTCCAGAGAGGGTAGCGGAATGTCTGTCGGTATCGATGCCGTCGCCTCCGGCTTCAACACCCAGAAGCTTGACGCTCGTGTCCTTGGAGAAGGGGTAGAACATGCCGACAGCGTTGCTGCCACCACCGACACATGCAACAACGGCGTCCGGCAGCTTTCCGATTTGCTCCATCATTTGTTGCTTGGTTTCGTCGCCGATGACGGACTGGAAGGTACGCACGATGGTGGGGAAGGGATGAGGGCCGATGGCAGAGCCAATGATGTAGTGCGTGGTGTCAAGGTCGACAACCCAGGCACGAAGGGCCTCGTTCACCGCATCTCGTAGAGTGCGACTCCCTGCATCTACAGCCACCACGGAAGCACCCAGGAGCTTCATCCGGAACACATTCAGAGCTTGGCGGCGGACATCCTCGGCGCCCATATAGACGGTGCACGCCATGCCGAACTTGGCACAGACAGTTGCGGTAGCAACCCCGTGCTGGCCAGCTCCCGTTTCAGCGATAATCCGCGTCTTACCCAGCCTGCGGGCAATAAGGATCTGGCCCAATGCATTGTTGATTTTGTGACTTCCCGTGTGGTTAAGATCCTCACGCTTGAGCCAGATATTTGCCCCACCGACATAGTCTGTCAGACGGTTGGCGAGGTGGAGGCTGCTGGGTCTGCCCATGTACGGGTAGTATGAACGGAACTCCTCCCAGAACTTGGGGTCATTTAGAGCCTGTTGAAACCCTTGCTCCAGCTCTGCTAGGCAGTCCATAAGGGACTCCGGGACGTACTGTCCGCCGAATTCGCCGAACCGGGACGGCTGGGCGGCAGGATCTCCTGTACCATTAAGCGCATCGATCTGATCGGCCAAGCCCGGGCCTGAAGGGGTCTCGGCATCCGTAACGACTGCTGTGGGCTGCGAGACGGCCAGCTCTGTTTTCTTCTCCACAGGGTCCAGCACCTTGATCTCACGGACCAATGTGCCTTGAGCATCCCTCTCAAGCTTACGACCCGTCACGCCAGACAGATACGCTTCCGCATGCTTAGCCGCCTGACCAGCAGGGGCCTCGCCCAAAGTCGTGATGATCTGACTACCAATCACGACACCCTCCGCAAGGTCCTGCACGGACAAGAAATGTTCCCGAGTGCTGACTCCGAATCCCAATGCGGCAGGCACGTTGCCAGACCAGTTGTGAACCCGAGATAGAAGTTCGGGAAGGTTGGCACTGAGCTTCCCGGTGGCACCAGTGACGCCCATTCTTGAGACTACATAGATGAATGAATCGGCGATCTTGCACAGGAGCTTCATGCGCGCTTCCGAGGTCGCGGGGGCGATAAGTGGAACGTACGATAGGCTACCCAATATGTTAACAACAATTTTGACCTTATTCCACACCAGGGCAATGACAGAGGGATCAACGGCGACTTACCCGTTACTGGAGCACAGGTCTCTGAAGCGAACGGCCTCCTCGGGAGGAAGATCCACCATGATAAAGCCATTGACACCCGCTTCCTTGCAATCCTTGAGCATACGCTCTTCCCCATATTTCATCAAAGGGTTATAGTATCCCATTAAGAGAATCGGAGCTTTAAGGCCTCGCTGCCGGCTGGTACGGACCATCTCAAAGACTGAGGTGACGGTAACACCGTTGGCCAAAGCCTTAGTATTGGCAGTTTGGATGGTCGGGCCATCCGCAATTGGGTCGGTGAAAGGAATTCCCAATTCGATAATGTCTGTTAAAAGTGATCCAACATTGTCAGCCAGTGAACTCCGTATGAGTGGCGAGGCTCGTATCGCAGTCAGTCACACGTACCGGCACCTCCATTTTCTAAGGCCAGAAGGATATCCACTGTCTCCTCAACGGTGGGGTATCCTGCCGTAGTGTAGGCCACGAGGGCAGCACGCTTCTCCTGCTTGGCCCTGGCGAATGTCTGCTTGATATGTTCCATGGTGGGCGAGAGGCAGATGGGAGAGAGGGCAAAAGAACGAGGGAAATGGTTGTGGGTGATAAGAAAGGGCCCAGAGAGGAAGAGACCAACAAAGCAGAAGAGACTCTAGATAACCGGGTGCTGGAAGTGGAGGGAGAAAGAAGGTGAGTCAGTGAGAGAGAGAGTGAGAGGAAAGTGGCAGAGCTGAAACTGAGGCGGTTGACTCACTTTGGCGCATTGCGCGGGCAGGGGTGAGGGGTCAGGTGATACGATAAGATAACTACAGTGTCATGTGATTTAGATGCCTGAAATTAGGGCAGGGTTGCCTGATCGGGACATCTTGAAGCAAACGCAGTCACAATTAGGTCGAAGACTAACTACTAACACTTCTCGAACATACTCTCACAGTTCCGAAGCACAGAGAAGGAAGACAGAAATATCCATGAGAACAGAGGTTCAGACGCCCAAGCTATGCAGGTTCCAAATCAAATTGGAAGACAAAAAACCAGATCAAAGCAACCCAGATAGCACCGAAAAATTCAAGATAACACACAGGGCTGGGTACCACATAAGCCTCTCTGCTGGGTCAGAAGAGAGCACAGATGCACCCAGTCCGAGACCGAAACAAATCCCACACTTTTTCCCTTCGCCGACCCGAATGTCCATCACATCGATCTCAAATATCCCGACCTGCGAAATGAGAAGGAAGGACTGCAGCGCCATGCTATGCCAACTAATTGTACATTTTTCATCAAGGAGTGGAATCCCAATGCCCCGCAAAATTTGCAAAATGGAAAGGAACGGATAACATATCGTCTATAATGCGTCATGTCAACAATGAAAAGCTCAAATAAAAAGGGGCATCAAGACATTAGGTATATCAAAGGAGAGACATTAGATCATGGCAAATTACCATTAACCCAAAAAAAGAACACCATTGCCGGATTAAGGAAGTCCACGTATATAAACCATCATAATCACCCAGCGCCATGGCTTATAAAGGAGCGACGAGAATGACTTCAAACAAAAAGAGAGAAAAGCTAAAAAAAAAAAAAAAACGCCGAACCTATGCCAATTATGTATTGAAAAAAATTTATTATCATGGCTTAAGACCCGTGAGGTTGTTCAGATAGAGTATACGGGACTGGTGCCATGTATGGGTAGCAAGAGGTATTGTTGGGGGGTCCACTTGCTGCGGAGGTGTGGACAAGTGGGTTGAGCTCCCAACCTCGACTGACGGCAGCGTTCAGAGCAATCTGACTGGGTTGCTGGCAGACTGCTGCGCACTGGTACGGAGCAGTCATATTCTGATAAGGCTGGTTAACAGCCGGCAGCACGGTTCGGAGCTCCGTGGGAGCGGACATCGGAGCACCGGGTTGGACCGTTGGAGAGGAATAGGCTGACACTCCAATGGCAGAGCCATAGGTCGTCGAAGGTGAGGTATCGGAAACAGACTGAGGTGATGCAGCGTTCAATGATTCGGTTCCAGATTCTGACCCGGCTCCATTACTTGCATAGCTCGAAGCCATGGGGGTAGATAGTGCACCCGCAGTGGAAGAGTAACTTGCAGACTACATTCAGATAAATACTTAGTACTGTGGGCTAGTAGGTGGGGGACTTAGTGAAGCATGGAATTAGAACTCACGTATTTCCCTATGATTTTCTTGAGAGCATGACTGAGAATTTTCCATGGGAAGACCTTGACATCCTTTTCGATATTCCGTGGCTTGGGCGCCGGGAACCCCATGATGATCTTGAAGAACTCTTCACTGTCTGCTTTGGCTTTAGACACGGTAAGTGGCCTGAAGCCCTCCAGGTTCCTTCGGATACGATTCTTCTCCTCCACGGTGAAACGAACACCTACGAGGGACTCAAGTAGGTAGATGGTATCAACACTTGTAACAAAGCATTCATCCTTCCCATCCCAGCATATGCAACTAATGCAGATACTGTTCGGGGCTCTGTCTTCAGGGGCCACAGGTTTGAAATCCGCGTGTATGGTGCTTCCGCTTTGCATACGAGTAAACTGAACCAAACGCCGTTTCGCATCTCGCTCTTCCTTGGTCCACTGTTCAGTCATGCTATCCAAGTCTCCATTCAGTTTAAGAACCGCCTTAGATGGGTACATTGCGTAAGGATTAAAGGTCTGCGTCTGGCCCAGAGCACCAGACTGCTGCAGGGTCGAGGTTCGAATGAGTGGTGGGTTCGCAAACCGAGCGGGAGACGAGGCCTTATGGGGCATCCCATGGGCGACAGCAAACCCAGGAGTACGCGGATTACTGCTGACCGAAATGTAGGACGGACTCCACGAGGGCGTAAGGGGCGACGGTGCTCGAATGGACGGTTGGGAGGTTGCCGAAACAGTCGAGTACTGCGTTGAGCCTACTCTAGGCGATCCTGCATGGTAGGGAGTAGCAAACCCATTCACTGCGGGAAGTGGTTGCAAATAGGGTGAGTAGGATGCTGAATAGCTAGCCGACTGATCTCTGGCATGCATAGACTGCCCGCTTCCCCGCTTGATAGGCCGGGAAGATGTGTCCTCAGGTAGAGATGAAATTCTTCTTTTCCTAGAATTATCCGGCGGGGATTGATGGGAAGCCTGCTCATAGGTATAAACACCAACCTGAAGGGCTGTACCGGGACACCCATTTTGACCATCCACTAATACCTGCAGTGGCACCGCAAACGAAGGCGAGCCCGTCGACATGAAAGGAGGAGAGTCCACAGAGAGGGCATATTGAAAAAAAGTACCCTGAAAACCAACGTACTGTGGCACACATGCGCACTTCTTTGAGCCAAATATGAGGTAGACTGTCGCGTACGTCGAGCTGTGAAGATCATACGGGGATTGAATGTCCACGAACACCCTTGTGCCTTCAGATCCTCTCTGAGGAGAGTACGAGAGAACTTCGGGCAGCTGGCGAGACTCTCCACCCATCATAGGCGACCGGCTCTCTTCGTAGGAGTTAGCGTACCCTTGATTCTCCATGTAGGGAACACAGCCTGAAACCTGGCTCGCATGATCAGCCATAGGGGAAGGGACCATGGAGGCACTTGTCACATAAGAGGACTGGCCATAGCTGGAGTATGAGGCACCGTCATGCAGAGACCGAGCAGAATCATAATCTGCATATACATTTAGCAAAATAAGTCTGTGTTAAAAATCGGTGACACTGAGGCGCAACTTACCGAGCAAGGCTGCTTGAGGGGGCTTCTGGAAAGTAGACATAGACAGGATAGGATCAGACTTGGCCAAAAGGCCGTCTGAGAACGCACCGATGAACCGCGACTCTTCAGCGTCTGAGAAATCCAACGACTCGTCCACAATCAGAGGCGTTTGAAAGTCTTGGTCGAACTAGAAAATGACAACGTTGTCAACAGGTGCTCACAAGGCGCAGAGTCAAAGAAAAATAGAACTGGAGGGGTCTGCAGATGGGTAGAAAAAAATTTGGATCAAGATTCCAAAACCGACGGATAAAACAGAGTAAATGCAACAAGAAGAAATTGGGTAGCAATGGGAGAAACAGGTATGCAATGCTCTGGGACGTACCAAAACACTGTGTGCCTTCGAGTAAGCCAGTTTGAAGGTGTTGCAGAAACTGCAACGAAACACAACAGCCTAAAGAAGCGAATGACAGCGAATTTATCCTGGGAAAACGATAGGACGACGGAAAGACACTGGAGGATCTCTCCGAGACAAAACGAGCGAAGACGAGTGGTGGCGATACGGCTCAGCTAGCAAAACGCAGTAGAGAGGACCTAAACCAACGGCCCGTACCCGAAGACCAGGGTGAAACTGGGAAAAGTTGGCTGCAGGATGATGGCCCAGAAATGAGCCACGATGCCGAAGTTGTTCCAAATAAACCACCTATGACGAACCAGGTCGCATCTGAAGTTGAAATATTATCCCCCCGAACGTGGTTAAGCCTGACGGGATGCTGCTGGATATCCGTGACAAGGTCTCAAATAGCGAGCGGTACGAACTTAACCGGATGGCGACAGGAGAGACAGGCTTCTCTTCCTATTCCTCCAGGCGAAGTAAGTCTCAGGATGTGTCCGGAGTGACTAGACCCAGACGAATGAACGCAGTTAAGCAACGAACAATCCAGCTAACGAGAGTAAGTACCTCGTAGAGATCGAAGGGGATCGGCTTGCTGCATAGGCTAGCAGAACTTACCAAGATGAACGAGAGGAACAGAAGGCTCGTAACGAGGTCCCCAGAAAGCTAATATGCAAAGTCCACAACGACGCAACGACTGACAAAATAGTCTATACTATGACAGTGTCAACAACAAACACTCGGGGGCTTGGTAACGGAAAGCACAGTGGAAACGGCAACCATCTGGAACCCGTCATGGGTCCTAATTTTCCTCGGGTCCTTGTGCACCAGAGGCACGACCCAGGAGAAGCAAGGGTCCAGAGGGAAGGGGAAGCAGTAGGGACCGATTAATGCAAGGCACCACGGCATCAGTGGCGAAGGGTAAGATTACACTAACCTTAGCAAATTACCAGCTGGTGCAAATCTAGAGACTTGGTCGGGTCCCAAATGCTCCAGGTTCGAGATGTTTCTTGCTAGTGCGTGATAGCTGGGTGTCTTCAACCGAGACAATGATTCACGATGATCTTTCAAGTCCAGATCAGAGCTCCTGTAAAACCTGTCGCTTACACAAGATTGCTGGATAGGCCAGGCTGAGATCCACTCCGGTGAATTGAGACCAGACGAGACCGCAATAGAATAATAATAATAATAACGGGACTCGTTGAGCCTCCCGCTGGAACAAACGACTCTGCGGGGGGTTCCTTTACGGCTCGTGTGTCGAGACAGGGCAAACGCCAAGTAGATAGTCCGCACGGAAGAGAAGTTGAGATGGCCGTCAAGTCGATTTCGGTCTATATTGCGTGGTGATCTTCCTTTCCGATATGATGCACTGGGATGGATCCTGTTCTGCCGTCGGATCGGCAAGTCGACACAAGACACGCAGGCAAAAGCAATGAAACGAAGGTCGTCCTAACGATGAACGAGCGCGTAATATGCGTGATGATTAATTATTAGGATGTTCAATTCCAATAATAACTGGAGATCCAGTCACTTCCTCCAATCTGTTCCAAATGATTCTTTCTTCCGTTTCTTCCGTGGTCAATCAACGTAGCGAATGTGATATGACTTGGATGTCAATACAAAGCGAGTGTAAGAGCGAGCGATGTTTGAGCGAGTGTATAAAAAAAAAAAAAAAAAAAAACCGAAAAACGAATCCGAACACTTCTAAGATGCCATAACAGGAAATACTATTGAGGAGGGGAAGAGGAGGGGGAGGAATATGTAGTGATTTAGGGGGGAGAAGGAGAAGATAAATGGAATAAGTAGGATGTTTAAAAAGTGGAAAATATAGAACAGGGAGATAAAAATAAAATAAAAAAAAAAAAAAAAAAAAGGGCGACTTGAAGAGTCTGATATGACGAGATATATTACTTTTCACACTAATGCTGCGGTTAAGGTGGGAAGAGCAGCAGAGGATGCCGGCCTAGTGTGGCGGGGTGCAAGCAGGAGCAAGTGTAAGAAAGGAAAAGGTCCAGTCAGGTAAGGTTAAGTTCGAGGATCAGGTCAGGTAAGAATAAACGAGGTCGGAAAAGCTGTCAGTAAAGTTGCAGGATCAGGTGCGCCCAGATAGGGATTTTATTAATACCGTTAGTTATTAGTTCTGGTGATACTGGTCAGTCTGTCCGTGTGGTGCGGTCATACTTATATCATAGCTATTATTATTTTAGGTTATTATTTGATGGCTAACTACTATTTTCTGGGTTTATAAATAAAAGTGGAATTGTATTTTGACAGTCGAAACACTTCGCTAAATAAAAATATTAGAATATTAATAGTAAGTATTATTTTCTTGGTCGGGCAAGATTTCGGGACGAAAGAATACAAAGGACCGAGGGATGGATTAGTTCTCCTCCACCAACCGTTACCAGCCAATCCATGGGGAGACATCGTGTGTCCATGTTCTTTTGATGAACTTTCCCAGGCGTCCGCTTGGCGAGAGAACCATAAAGGAAGTATGGGACCGAAGAATTCCCTATTTTTTTTCTAAGGGGGTGTTCCCAGTTACTCTCTTCCCTCACTTTCGGAACTTTTTCTACTTTCTAGTCTTGATCATTGACTACTCTGTACTAACCGATACAAAGGACATACAATGGTAACATACCGAACATACATGGAAAAGACCAGTGGAAAGAGGGGGAAAGGAAAAGTGGAGGGTGTTCTTGCTGAAGGCAGGTTAGCTCAAGTAGAAAAAATAAATAATAATAATAAATAAATAAATAAAAAAGGAATAACCACTTAATAATAGTACTCTTTCCCAGGGATTATTTTTAATTTGTGTGTTTTTTTTTTTTTTTTCCCAATAAACCCACTCCCCAAAGTAACCCAAACCAGAAGTCGACTAGCAAGGGTATTAGCGAAGATAGCAGCAGACGCCGTTCGGTCCATGACGGAGTGGATCCACCAAAAGCATGGGATCAGTCAGTGCTGCAGAAGGAGGGTGAAAAGAAAGGATGGTGGAGGCTTCAATTATGTTCTTCCTTACCAGTTACCACGGGAAACTTTAGAATAATTAGAATACTTACCTTACTTATCAAACATCTGGCGAACTATTCTCCCCACCTGACAGAGCACTCTCGTTGGCAGCCTTATAGTCTCCGTTGCAATGTACTGCAATACAGTACTTTGTTAAGCCTTCTTCAAGGATGACTTCCCTATCCGATCGGTATGTTACTGTATGGAGTAGTTTTAAGCTAAGGCCTTCGTCATAGACACTGCAGTTAAAGGATCAATTTGCACAGCCTCTTCTCACAACATCTCTCTCTCTCTCTTTATTTATTATTTTTTTTAACCTTCCACCATCTCCATCAACTCCGTACTCCGTAGTGATATTGACTTTCCTGACAGAATGCAGAATCATTCCCTAGATTTAGGGCGCAGGTGAAGAACAGGCATTATTCCTCAAGACCCACTGACTGTTTTTCTAGTCAATCACACAACAATTCTACACCGTACCAATCCTCGGCAATAACATAGTACGGAGTAGATTCCTTGTCCTCCGTCGAATACTTGATGCCTAGTCTCGCTAGCATTCTGCTGGAGCAAAAGCACCCACGACACTGGCACTAGGGTCTAAAAAAATGCCCTAACCTGCCTAGATCGCGGCATCCTATTAGTCCATCCAGTGGAAGGCCCTCCTCCACCATCTTAGGTCTCCGTCTCCCCCCTCCCTTCCACATCGGGCAACAAGGCAGTCAGCCCCCGTGCCAGCTTGAAACCCTTTCCCTTTAGAATTTCTTATTTTGGAGCCCTGAAGCACAAATCCAGCAAACCCACTCTTGTCCTTGACTGCATCCACTTTCTTCTTGCTGTACTGGGTTACTTGGTATACTCCGGCCTCTTGGTCTGGAGATGTTTTGATTCCCATCCTATTCCCCTAACCTGTTGCGCCGGTCAGTCCCCGATGGAGGTGGAAGTCATTATGGAAGACTTCAAACAATTGGGCGCACTAGACAAATCACCGCACACTTCAACAGTTGGTAACTAATAGGTGACTAGGCCATCGGTATGCAAAGTGCGCGCCCTCTTTCTTGGTTCGAACGATTCCTTGTCCCCACTAACGATCTTAGGGAACGAGCTAAACGACCTATTTTAACTTGACTTCTTTCTTCTATCTGACCTTGCTTTCTTACTCCAGTCAGGTGACGTCGTTACGTCTAAGAATAATCCTGTCTAAGGTTTTGCGGGAAAAGTTTATTTCTGTGTCTGTAAGTACTCTGTAGGAAGTACTGGTTTGGACCAGCTTTCCAAAAACGAGTATGGGCGTCACGACCAGTCAGAATAGTGATTCACATGTCCTGTTATGTTTATGTCGTCTTACACCACAGACTTACCACGCAGTAGCGGCAGCTCTCTTATACATAAGATCTATACAGGGTCTTCAAAAGTGACCTTCAGTCACATAGCTCCATTGTGGAATGGCTTTCAGGTCAGAGGACGGCTAGTACCTAATAACTATGAAGTAGTGTTTATCCAGAGATCCGACCAACACTAGATTGTTAGGTAAGCAGAGTTTGAAGTTGGACAGCAGCCACACCATTCACCATGGATTCTCCGTCTGTGATGCGCACCAACTCAGCTCCCAATCCATGGACAACACCAAGATCGGGGCCGACGAATTATAGCGGCCGATCTAGGATGCTAAACATAGCAAGCCTTGCATTGGCTCCCCATCCACGCAAGGGTGGTGGCCTATCATTGACCTCGCCGCAGGTGGCTAGTGGGGACTCCCCACTGACACTAAGAAATCCGTTTCTTTTTCAAATCCTTCGCCCACCACACCCGCTGTGATTCGCTTTCGATCACTCGGACAGTGGCACGATCGAACGTATAAACCCAAACTCCTAGACCTTGTGGAAGGTGGTAGGCGGAGGTAGTATAGAAAGAAGGTCACTCTGCACTGTCACCATACTCAACGGCGAGTCGTGACCGGAGTCGTTGGATTAAAGATCTAACTGGCCACTCACATGGTCAATCTATTCATCGTAGCCCCTGGAGACCTTGAGCTTTCTTTTTTCTTTTTTTATATAAAAAAGAAAATAAATTCAAAGTGATCCTTCTGATGTTCACAAGTGACTAAGGTACTACCTGTTATATGTAATGTATGTACTGCGTACTAACCATGCGGTGGCACCAACCTTACCTATCTAGAGCCCAGATCCCATTGGGTGAGCGGATACTATCCCAAGAAAAGAGGGACCAGGAAAAAAAAGAGAAAGAAAAAGAAAAAAAAGGCCATTGTTCCACCAGTTCTCGAGGATGAAGTTATGTTACATTGACGGGAGTCCAAAAAATAAACCAAAATGTAACAATAGCGCAGATCGTACAGGAACAACATCACGTCCCTCACTGATTCAATTCATCCAACTCCTAGAAAAGGGCACCAATTAATTCGTCCAAGGGGTGTTCCAAGGATTGTTAACAGGATACACTGAGGTTGATACAATATTACTACGGAGCACTACGGAGAAGGAAACGGACCGACCCAAATTTGATAGATCAACCAGCACGTTGGGAAAACGTTAAAAGCCAAGTTGAGCATGCATAGATTATCTTCAAGGTAGTGGGCCCTCAAACCATGATCAGCAATCTTTGTGTGCGATGCTTGGCCCGGGGTTGGGGGGACCGCCGAGTCGCCGATTGTTAAACTTATCAGGTGAGTTTGACAGTAATCTTCGGGCCCGAAGCAGTCTCTTTTTGAGGACTGACCATCATTCCGTTCCTCAAACTGATAGCCCGATGAATTGCCTGAATTAAGACCACTTTGAACGAATCAAATATATTGGACGATACAAGTATTCGAGTGTGATCTCAGGAATAGGACTGCATCTATTTGTATGTACATACTTTGTATCCACCACGATCCATTGGGCATGGAAACCCGACTCAATGAACGTTTGGTGGAAAAATCATAAAATCATATCCCCATTAGTACAAAGTACAAAGCACAGACTATTAATTCAGGCAATCACATCAACTTCTGACAGTAAACCGCTATTCGCTAGCAGCGGCACATGGCGCAGTGGCCATCGGCTCGTATCGGGAGCTCGGGCTCTGAATTGGGGATAGTCGGCACGGGATTCGAAGGTGTCTATGACGGAGTTTGATAGACAACTACGCTAGACACGACTATTTAACTGTTAATTAACAGGTGGTGCACGTTCTGGTGCTATCCCAGACTAGTCTTCCATCTAGCTGCCTATAGTTTTCTGGAACATGTTGGAAATAGATTGTGGTACGGAGTACCTGTACAGTAAAACCCCTATATAAGCAAAGAATTCGGACCGGCTAAAAGTTTGCTTATACCGGATTTTTGCTTATACCGAACAAGGTAATAAATATATATATTTATATAGCTTTATATAAATCTACTGCACCATACTGAATTAAAGAACGCATATATTAATTATTATAATCATTCTATAAGATATAACCTATATTCTGCATGTTTTTGGCAACCAGGGGGCCCCGCAGCTTAATAAGGTGGAGGTGGGTGGTCAGGCAAAGAATGACCGGATATCTGTCTGACGCTGAGCTTGAGCTCTTCTCTCCAGAAGGAGCCTTTCTTGGTGTGTAAGAAGCCGAATAAACTCGTGATAGAGTCGTAGTTTATATAAGCCCTCTAAAGCGTCTGTAGGTGTAATTATTGGTAGAGGCTGTAGATCTTCCTCCTCATCACTATCTGAAGCTGGAGGCGGTGCAATTTCAGACAGAACTGCGGAGTCAATATCTATAAGACTATCATCAACCTGCTCCTCTGTGGGATTCAAAAACTGATTAATATCCATAATGTCCTGGATACTATTTGAGAGTTTTAGGCGTTGAAGTCCTTGCTTTATATCGTCAATAAGTTGCTCATCATTAAGCTCATTGACATATTCAATTGAAAGGGCCTTTTGAAAACAGTTTCTGACTGTATCTCTAGACAAATCAAATTCCCAGGCAGAAATTGCCCATCGAATTGCTTGTAAGATTGTCATAGTAGATAGCGGGTCAAAACCACGGTCGTACTCAGCCATCATATATAAAACCCACTGTTTTTTCCAATATGCCTTCCATGTGCGTATAATCCCTTGATCAAGAGGCTGATACCGTGACGTTGAGCAGGATGGAAGCCATATAACCAGTGTATTCTTTAGCTGCGGGTTTACTTCTTTATATGCAGCTTCATGTGCAGAAAAATTGTCCATTAAAAGAGCAACTTTTCGGCCTTGCATTCTTCTATCAAACCAGAGCAGCCATTCTTTAAAGATATCACCAGTCATCCATGCCTTCTTATTTGAGCGCCAAGTGCAGTTAAGGTTCTCAATATTAATACCAGCTGCAGTAAAGGCTCTGGGACGTTTAGCTGTCCCAATAAACCAGATAGGAAGGAGTTCTGAAGCGTCTGAATTACAACAGAAATGCGCAGTTATTCGAGCCTTTTCTTTCTTGCGGCCAGGAAGCAAACGTGTAGATAAACTCCGGTCCGGGATCATCCTCCAGTATAGACCTGACTCATCGCAGTTAAAGATATCCTGAGGCGCATATATACTAAGAGCGTGACGGATTATAACCATTTCAGTAGCTGCATCTTCAGATACACTTCCAGCTTCACCATGCTGACTCCTCCACTTAATATTTCTGCGTGATTGAAAGCGTCGAAGCCAGCCGTTGCTAAACTGCGGCATCTCCCTTTCTGGATAGACCTCCGGCCAGAAATCCCTTTGCTTTTGCCGAATAATCTCCTGAGATATTGTTATTTGTCCCTCAGCCCTCCGTATCCAGTTGTAGAGTGCCTTTTCTAGCTCTGGCCAGGATTCTGTACGGCGTCGTTTATCTTCAGATTGATGCGCTTGAATGTCGTCAAGGAAGGCAAATCGAGAGGAGAGGATTCGGCTAATCGAGGAGCGGTCAATTGGCTGTTTATATGTCTCTTCAAACCACTTAGAAAGAGATGCCAGAGAAAGATAAGGCTTTAAATGATGTTGAGCGCGTAGGGCAGCCTTCTGGCTATTTGAAATAGCGCGACGCGTCCTCTTAGCCATCTTTAAAGCAAAGTGTGATATCTGAATAAGCAATTTTGTGACTTCGATATAGGCAAATTTATATAGGAAAGGGCGAAAAATTAAGCAAAGATCTTGTATCGGGGGGTTAAGCATATTAATATGGAAAATCAAATTAGACACCGTGTTCATTTGCTTATACCGGAGTTTTGCTTAAATCGGGTGCTGCTTATATAGGGGTTTTACTGTACCAGAATCGAATCCATCGACGGGGAACCACCGCCTCCGGAGGAACTAACCGTGGACGATTATTTCTGCACTCAGTTCATTGGAGGAATTTGCTTTCGGGATGGAGTCCTTAAGGCTACCAGATTATGTCGACCACGTTGTACCCCGTCTAGGATCGGTAGACTCTGTAGGGCAGGTATCTGCTATCTACTAGGTATCGTGGTATGCTTTTTTGCTGGCTCCGTAATCGGTGAGAATAATGAATGAATACCGGTTAAGTACATAAAAATAAAAATATAAAAAATATAACGTAATCGAACACCGAGAGTCCGACTTTTTCTACTCCCCCTGAATCGATTAAGGGCCAGGAATACTCTCCTATTAAGAATTAACATCCATTTGATAGTATAGGTAGTATTGAGGAATTTGCAATTGTTGGTGATGCTGCGGCAAAAAATCGGACACTCCGTGTCCGATTACGTTACAGGGGAGGGGAAGAACGGAATGGAATAACTTCGTCCCCGAGTGCCCACCAAAAGTTAACAAAAATTCCCCGATAATGACAAATCTCCTCATCTTGGCTCTCTCGGTCCAGATGCAAGTCCTAGGTTTTCAATCAATTCTGCCACCAGACTATCATAATTCAAAGCAATTTCAATGAAGTCCTTGCATGTTCATTTACCTTGCCATGCTCAGTACCTACCGTAGTGACTACGCCTACGTATGCAGCGTATCAGACCCTTACGTCGCCCTGCATCGGCAATTCCCCGATGTCAGGGGAGCACGACTAGCGAGGGCACTTATCTACTCCGCTACTGTACCACCCCAGACAGATTCAAGTATTTCGCACGGGTGAACTTGTTAACTTCCTGCCCAGCCCTTGCTGGGACACCATCGATCTAATAGTCTTCTTGTCTCAGCTGGTCCACCTGCCGCCCGTTCTGATCGGCACGTTTGGAGGCTGGGCTCTGGAGAAGTTGATCACTCTACAGTATATACACAATGGCACTCGGTAAACGTTCTGGTAGTAGTCCAACTATCGAAGTAGGTACGGACGGACGGAGTCCAAGCTATGGTACCTATGGACCCATGGTCGACAAGGACATACTCCGTAATTTTCAGCCAGGACCTATGGAGGCGAACTCCTCGGAGTGGTAAGAAGCAAATATCCCCGATGCGCCTAAGACCGATTCGGAATAGGAAACCCCGGTGTCCATCGAAGGATGGTCTATTCAAAGCCTATTTGAAAACGCCAATTGTCTCACCACGGTTTCTTTCGTACGGACCAAGGACTGCAAACCCAGAAAACTCTTGTTTATTTTTATATTTCTTTGGTTTTATTTTTTTAGAACGGGCCAAGGAGATCCAGTATCCGGGATCAATTGTAGCTTAAAGCGCAGGGGCAAAAGTGGAATTCTCGGAGAAATTATGTGGATGAAACACTCCGTATAGATCTATCAGCTAAGGAGTACTATTGATGTGTACAGTACTCTGTACGGAGTATATATGTAAAGATGGAATTGATCTAATGACTACCAGACCTTTAATTAGAGAATAGTTAATTTAATAATCAGTGATCTTTATATCGGCGAATTGCAAATACATTACTTGGCTCCGTAAGTTCCATACATAGTATAGTATAGCGTCAACATTTATTCGGAAGTCTCCACGACACATCACGCGGTAGATCGAACTACAGGACTAGTGCCTCGTCAGGTGGTACCTCTGGATATCAACGGATTAACGGGTCAATGCTATGCTATCATCACCAGTCCGAGAATGACGACAACAAATGTAAGATCTGCCATTATTGTTGACTAGTTTCACTGCTCTATTATAAGGCTGAGCTATTGATTCTTTATGCTGTATGTCATTCTCAGGGGTATATCCTCAGCTCGAAGGTACAGAATCATTTATAATACTCATTTGTAACACATTCGTGCACATATTCATTACGCTGATGCATAATGCTTTATGCACATATTGGTCTCTATCCTTGCAAACATTCACTGACTACTAGTCAGACTGTAAAGAGACTTAGCCTAGGTCGAACTGCGCTAGATCTATCCTATCCTCCTCTCCATTATGACCTCACTCGGATCTCCTCCGAACAAGCTTCGTGTCCATCCATCTCCACGTCCCATTGACACGCTGAATGGCCCGGTATATTTAGAATGTTACATCAAGCTACCTTACCTGCAGATTTTAGGGAATGCCTTAGAGTACCTTATCCTCCGGAGTCTATTCATCCCAGCTCCTGGCGTCAAGAACGATGATGGAAGACACCAGTGGATATGCGGCGTAAGTTCCATGCTAACCACTTGGTACCTGAGACATCCCATCATCCAAGACATTCTATTCTTCTCATACTATCTCGGCCAAAAGTCTAAGTCTAACCAATGGCTACAGATAAAAATAAGCACAACAGGAGGAACCGTGTCATCCGCAATATTCACTCCCCTCGTCAGATTTGCAGTTACTCCAGTAACTGGACGCGAGAACGGACCAGAGACTTTTGGTCTGTAGGGCTGGTAGCGCACTCGGGTTTATTTTTGTTGGTTTATTTTCGTTACTTTTTCGTGGCTAGTGCTCGCCAAAAATATCAGAAACCCGGCCAGTCAGACGGCAGTTCGTGTTGGAGAGCTGTGGGATCATCCTCCCAGGACGGCTGAGATGGGTCCTCGCCCCTACCAGCCACTGTCCAGCGCTTCCCCCTGATGTTTGCTGGGCGGAAGGCCCTGTGCATCGTGTTCCGGTGATGGTGAGAACTACTCTGCTGACGTACGTGGGCTCCCACGAGATGGCATGGATTACCCGCAACGATGACCCCAGGCTCTTGTGGAATCTACAATCTCACGGGTAAGCGAGAATCTACCAAATTCTACTTGAAGGGGTAAGACTGGATGGATGTATTCGCTAATACTCTGGAACCGGTGCAGACGATAGAATCAGAACATCTCCGATATCTCTTCCACCGTCCGGCCATAACACAAAGGAAACAACCTCCCCCAGAAGTGATAGAGACCCCGGTGTTTGGCCTTCGCTGCCACGAGCCACTGGGCAAACCTACCCTCTGTCTGGGATGGATTCGTACTGCGGAATTGGACAATCTACCCTGGTCAGCAAGGGCAATGGATGCCAGTGGTGGCCCTGGTCTGACTCAGGGGCTCACCTCATCGTACTTCTGTAGTGCCTCATAATACTGGACGGGGAGGCCGAAGCTCCGTTTCAGCGTTTCTTTCTTAATCTTCCGCGCGGCCACTGCATACAGCGTGGACAGGGTATCCCGATCTCCAGTAGGGTAGCCTCCAGGCGTGAGTCTCCCGGGCATTTTCCACCTATGTCGCTCATAGACCACTTCGATGAGCCGAGTGAGGACGTCCGCCTGCCATGTCCCAAGGCACTCCGTACGGAACGACTTGGCTTGTCGCTGGAGTTTCATCAGGTCAAGCTCGAGTCGCAGTGTGTTCGAACGCAGTTTGCTCATTTTCTCTTGTAGGTCGTCGTTGCTGGCGTGGAGGGCTTGCAGTGTTGTGGAATAATCCTGATACATCGACCGTAAGCTTTTCCAGGAGACCGTCGATGGTTCTGTCGATATACATGAGAACTAGACGTACCCTGACTGATAAGAGCACCTGAGTTTCCATTTTCTGGCTCAAAGAGCGCTTCGTCTTCGCAAGATAGAAAGACATGCCCGGCCCATACTTCTGCACGATGCTGGGGTCCATGGTGTCGAATGCTGTATATGCTGCTAACAACTACCAATTAACAGGCTGAAGCTTTCTGGGGAAGAAAGATAACCATGCCACTGACTAAATAATGATGGCTCTCTGCATTGTCTTGCAGCGTGGAATGCAGAGACATATATCGGTCAGGAAGCGAACAAGCCGCAAACAGGGAAGGTGCTGTCCAGTCTTTTCGGGCAGGTATAACAAGTCCCCTTGATTCCAGTCAAGCTTCTTTTATTTTATTTAGCCATGGAATTTCACATAATGCAGACAAAGCTAATCATCCAGTCATAGGATCCGACCCTACAGCTTGCTTTCCGACGCCTTCCCAAACTCCACAACTAGTTTGCCAAACTGCCTGCCTTCCTTCATGTCTTCGAACAGCCCATCGAGCGCCGCGATGTCCCCTAGGTCCGCCTGCAGTACGCGTGAAATCACCGGGTGGATTTTGTTTGCCTTGACAAACTCAACCATCTCCTTGAATTCCTGGCGAGAACCCATGGTCGAGCCGCGGACATCGATATTCTTGAGAACCGCTTGCATGAGGAAAGGCATCTTTGGAGAAACAGTCATTCCATAGACGGAGAGAACACCGCCGGCCTAGAGCAGTCAGTGGATATTTCCTATAAAATAGAAATCAATGCACCACGTTGGACATGAAAGAACGCACTTTGAGTAATTTGACGGCCTTTTCGACCGCATCGCCACCGGCACCATCGATAATGGCGTCGAAGGCCCTTTTTCCCGCGGGGAGCATGCTCAGGAGCTTCTTCTCCCATGCCTCCTCCTTGTAGTTTACACCCCCACGAGCGCCCAGTTCCACGGCCTTCTGGATCTTCTCCTCGCTCGAACTCGTCACGTAGACATCGGCGCCCCTGGCCACGGCGAACCGTAGACACATCAATGCTACACCTCCCCCAATTCCCGTGAGCAAGACCGCTGTGCCTTTGCCGGTGTTCCTCTCCCCAGCTTTCACCACCAAGGCCCTCCACCCCGTCAGCCCCGTCAACGGCAGCGCCGCCGCCTCTGCATCGGACAGGTGAGTCGGAACCTCCTCTACTTCAGACTCGTCGACCACCAGATACTCCTGCATCGTGCCCTTCTCGTAGTGCTTGGTTCCGCCCAGAATGCGATAGCCCTTGGGATCTTCCGGACCGTCTGGGGAATCCTTCCAACCCGTTCCCGGGTTCAAGATGACGCGTTTTCCCTGCCATCGCTCGGGGTTTGACACCTCCGGACCCGCCCCCAGGACGACTCCGACACCGTCGGCGCCCATTGGGACATCAAATGTGATCCCGGGATACAGGTGCTGACGCAGAAAGACATCGCGATGGTTTAGCGACGCGGCGGTCATCTTCACCAGCAGTTCGCGACCCTGTGGAGTCGGCTTGGGGAGCGTCTGGACATTGAGGGGGTAGTAGACTTGGCCGGGTTTACCGTCTACCTTGGTGAGGAAGATAGCTTTTGACATGGTAATAATATAGGGACTATGTTAGATTATATGAATTAAGATCGATGAGGGATTGACGACTTAAACGTGGTGCGGCATTGGATGCGGGGATGGATCGTTAACCGAGGAAGCGCAAATTTATATATTATCATCGTCATCAACCATGACCTCACTCAACATCTTGCGGATAGGCCCGGTTGATCGCTTATAAATCAGTGATCCACGATGGGATCGCCGACATTGAGCAGAATCATTCATATTACTGGAATTCATGGTCCCTGGTTGTTGGATATGCCGACCTCGGGCCGGCAGGACTGTTCACTATTATAATGCAATGCTTACTTGGAAGTTCATCTATTGATCTACGATGGAATATTCTAGATTTTTCTATTGTAATGTATTCGAGTCTGCAGTCCATCCCTCTAACCCACCATCGATGATATTTCAGGATCCTACCGTGAACGAGATGCTGTTTCAGGATTCGATTCGTGGGAAATCGCGTAGAGGTGGACTTCAATAATCCGCCTGTGATGTATGATACTAACGACGACAAGCATGACACCGATGGTCTACATCGTCAGGTTCATCTGCGTCCCAGAGATCCCTCGGTAGAGCATGATCCTCCGGGACGAAGCAGCCATGGCAGCACTCACGGACCGAACGACCGCGTCGCAGATAACACTGGCCCTGATAATGATGCTTCCTACATGCCGGACAGGACCCACGATGCTCAGGCTGCAGATGCACAGGACAAGGCACCGACGGTTTAAATTCCCTGGGGGAGATGGAGACCGACGACGAATCCCCATGATAGATGCAAGGGTAGCGATGTAGTACTTCCTGGCCATGATTCCCAGCCGGACATCCAACTCCCGAAGGATATATCTGCGTCGACTGACGCCGATAGTGGACATGTCTCTCTTGGATTGGTCCTGGGTTTGGATACTTATCGGTCTTGGTGTTGTTCTCCGCCCTGCGGACGTGGTCGCTGGGTCGGTGATGATGACGACGAGGATGAGGGTGATGATGGTGGGATCTGTTCACCGAAGCGTACGGTGGATCGAGGGACTGATGTTCCCTCTCTCGTGGGAGATCCATGCATACCGGCGTGATGAACTCTCCTTGATCCTCGCCTTTGCGCAGCGACTTGCCTCGCCAGTACCAGGCGTAGGGAAAACGGGACTTGTTGTCTCTCCTGCGGCAGAAGGGCATGTCAGGTTCAGCACTTTGCAGTTGGGAACTGCAAAGTCAACTGTAAAGTCAACTGCAAAGTGGGAAAATGATCGATAGAGGGATGAACACAGTTGATAAATCATCAGCTATAAGCCATGAAATATAAGCTATTAGCCATAAATTATGAAGATATAAATACATATTAAATGGAATGCCTCAGGCTGACAAGAGGCAAAGGTCCTTCATTCATCTGACTGCATCTGGTATGCTTCACTGCATCTTGGGGGGACACAGGAATGGGCCACCCGACAAACAGCGCGAGAAAAGTTCTCCTTTCTTTCTGTGTCTTTCTTTCTTTTCGTTCTAAAAATACCCCAAAGAGGAAATCCGTGCCCTTTGTGGCCAGTGAATATGCGCTGTGGCAGTAAGACATTTCTATATCCACGCACTTACAGATGATAGGTAGGTAGTAAATTTGTTGTCGTAGATTACTTCTGTTAGGCTATAAAATACAAGACTCTATAGTAATTCCTCGTCTTTTGTCTCCTATATTTCCTTTGTTTTCTTTTCCTTTTATTTATTTCCCTGCAGCCTTTATAATCTAATTATTTGTTTGTGTGTTTGTGTACCTACCGTACGGTATGCTCTGTATTGTGTGTATGAAATATTTGGTGGCTGGGACCCCAGCCAATCCCATCCCCTCTCCTAATGCCACGGCCCATTCGCCGCCTCTTCAATTTTCGCCTGGAGAACTTCTCGATCCTCTTGACCTTCCAATCTGGACTTCGATCGTCTCTTCGCCCGGACTTCAATTCTCTCTCTCTCTCTCGCGCTCTCTCTTCTGCGTCGGGAAAAGTTCCTCTTCATCAGGTACGTTCGTGGTCTCCCTGTTCGTGGGCTCGTCCTTCTCCTTCCCTAGTAACCCCCTACCGCTTCGACGTGGCTCAACTGATTGATTTGATCTGCTACCTAGCTCTTCATCACCAACTCTTCTTCCCTCTGCCTCAAAAAATTTTTTCTCCAAAAAATTCCTTCCTCTGACGGGATTCATTTTATTCTGTCCCCTTCTTTCTTTCGGATTTTCCCTCCATCGGCCTGTCTTGTCCAACTTCATAATGCCTACGCCACTCCCTTCGAGTTTTGCTTCCGCCGCTGCTGGCAATCCCCATGATACCTCACGGAGACCTGATGGCTCTGCGGGTGGAGAATGGTAGGTTGGACCCTTTCTACGGAATCTCCCGTGGTCGTTGTTTACCAGCTCTGACCACGCGCCGTTGTGCCTTTTTTTTTTTTTCAGGTCTCGAACTCGTATGAACGGAGCCACACAGACTTTTCGTCGTCCCTCAGTGGCCGTTAATCCTTCTCAGAATCGGGATCCCAATCAACCCGCGTCTGGTACGACGACTACTCCGACGGTGGGCCCCTACACTCCCTCACAGATGTCTTCGAATTATCCGTCGAACGCACTTCGCAACGGGGCCGGCAGTGAAACTCGTTACTCCAAGGAACAGCTTCTAGAACTCTACAAAGCTCAGCGGGATTCCGGGGCCTTGAATAAAAACGTCGCAGATTACTTTGTGGCTGATTGGAACCCTCGTCCGGATACCTCACCTGTGAACGGCGCCTGGGGTAGAAGGGAGGACTCCAAGGATAATCCCTCGGGGCCGGAGGTCTGTTGGGATCATGACGGACACATGGAACCCTTGGGATTGGTGGATATGACGGACGATGAGAGAGAGGTAAGTTTTTCTTTGTTGATTGACTTTTTGGCAGGCTTTTTTCTTTTTATTTCTGCAAGATTGGTCCTAAATGCTGCAGTTGTTTACTCTCTCGGTCAACTCTCCCTTGAAGCCCCCCCCAACGAATGCCTCCAAAGATAATACAGGCACCGGGACCGGAGGACGCAAATCGTCAGTTTCCTACTCGCAGGGGCACATGAACACCTACAACACCTCTTCCCCTAGCTCGGCTCGCCCAGGACCGAGGCGTCGAGAGACGGGCGATTCCACAGGGAATCCCATGTCTCCTACCGCCAGCGGCACCCGCTTTTTCCGTGACGAACCGACCGCCTCTACTCCGCCTCCGTCCCTGCTGCGTCGCAAGACCGACTTTCGAGATACCTCATCCACAGCACGATGGGAGGAGAAGGAGAAGGAGAAGGAGTCAGCCGGCCGCGAAGGCAGCTCCGACGCCGCTTCTCCGTTTGGTTCCCTGAAGCGGAGCTCGACTAATCCGCTGAATGTGGCTTCCGGCAGTACCAGCTCGCCCTGGGCGTCGGCTTCGCATAGCGCGAGCTTCTCGCCCATGGGGGCTTTTGGAGCCTTCTCCCTGGTGTCCAACGCCGCCCAGACGCCGACCACGGAAAAGAAAGCCGGCTTCGGCAGCCTCCGTGGCGAGAGTCGCCTGAAGGGCTTATTCTCCAAGGATAGCTCGGAGGACATGTCCGCCTCGATCAAGGAGAAGACCTCTCTCAGCAGCTTGGAACGTCTGGCGGAAGGTGAGGGCGAGAAACGCTCACAGTCACCATGGGCCGAGACAGTGAAAACGCGTGCGGGGCGGAGCGAGACGAACCCCTTCTCGGAGGAGATCCGCAGTGGAAGTGCGGCGCTCGGGGGCTCTCAGGAGGTCAGCACGCCGTCTCAGGGCGACCAGCTGGGCTTCTCAGCCTTTGGCATGACTTCTAATATCCCGGGCTTTCGCGAACTGATGCAGAGCCACGAAAACTCCCGCAATCCTACGCCGAGTTTACTCCACGGCCACGAACCTACCAGTCCTACGAACACGAACCCGTACCAGAGCCCTCACGGCGAGAGAGGCGATGTCGATGACGTGGAAACCGATGGGTCGGATATCCAGAACACTCACCACCCCGGACTGACGGGACTCCGCGATCCTTCGAGCGCGTTCGGTTCGATCCGACGTGTGGGATCGGGGATGGATCTACCCTCGATCGACCGCAGCCAGACCTCCAGTGCCGCCGGGAACCGCAGTTTCTCGAGCCTCGGGGGTCTCGGTGGATTGCCTTCCCTAGGCGGTGCCGGAGGATGGCCCTCTTCTGGCGCTGTTGGCACTCCGACCCGCGAGAGGTCTGCTTTTACTGGTGGATTCGGCGATCCGATCTTCGGCTCGGTGGCTGATCTTCAGTCCCCAAGCCTGTCCACAACCTTGGGAGGCGGTGGTCTCTTCGGCGCCCCCGCCGCTCATGCTGGGATCAGTGGCACGGGTAGTCTGGGCCGCTCGAGCAAACTGGGGTCCCTCTTCCCCCCAGCGATGCAGGAACAGATGCAAGGGGACCAGGCCCGGCCCGATTTGGGCACTCTCGATGAGAACACTCAGTCAGCAGGTGAGGCAATTTCCAGTCACCCGCGGGCTCTCCCGGATGCACTGACCCGTGAAGCAGATGCAGCAGCAGACTCCCAGCCTGCGGACAAGGCCGTCCCTGCGAATAACCCCCCCGCCAGCATGCCCACTTCTCAGACGCCGGTTTCAGCGGTGGGCTCTGTGCCGACCTCCCTGGCCGCCGATGTGCCTCCATTGAGTCAGACGCCTGGGCTGGCGAACGTGGTGCCGCCGGCCCAGCAGCGGACGATGGTGATGCCGGATCGGATGCGGTGGATTTACCGTGATCCTCAGGGCAACATTCAAGGCCCCTGGACGGGACTCGAGATGCACGACTGGTTCAAGGCCGGCTTCTTCAGCCCGGACCTGCAGATTAAGAAGCTCGAAGACCCGGAGTTTGAGCCGTTGGCGCAGCTGGTGCGGCGGATCGGCAACTCGCGTGAGCCATTCCTGGTACCTCAGATTGGGATCCCCCATGGACCCGACCCGAGCCCGGGGCATTGGACAGCCAACACGACGGGCGGCGCGGCTCAGCCCCCCTTCCCGGGCAGCTTCCCCAGCTTCGGAACCACGTTGACGGCGGAGCAGCAGAATGCGTTGGAGCGTCGGAAACAGGAGGAACAGTATCTGATGGCGCGTCAGAAGGAGCACCTGGCACAGCAGCAGGCGCTGATGAAGCAGATGCAATTCCAGGGGGTCCCGCACGGCATCCATCCCCATCAGCTGCAGCATCACTCGAGTGCCCATAGCCTCCACAGCCAGCCCAGCTTCGGCAGCATCGCATCCCCCGTGGGCTTCCAGCCATCGCCCATCCAGGGACCCACGCAGCAGCAGCAGCCGCCATCGCAACCCCAGTCCGTAGTCGGCGGCGGGTTCTTCGACGCTGCGGCGGCGATGAGGCCCAGTGGTCTACCTCCGGTCGGCCCCCCGATGCTGGGCACCGACCTTGTGAACAACCAGGACCAGCTCCCGGCGCTTCTCGATCGATTGAATGTGAGCCGTAGCGACCCTTTCGCGTTTGGCAGCCCCGCATCGTTTGCGACGCGGCAGCCCGACCCCTTGTTCCACCCACAGCAGGTGGCGTCGATGCTGCAGGACCGGGCGCGGTTGCAGCAGGAACAGGAGCAGTTTGACAGCATGCAGGGTGACAGCCTGTTCGACCAGCAGGCGCGGGAAGAGCGACTTCACCAGTTTCACGCGCTCCGGGTCCAGGATGGGGAATTGGGGCTGGGACTACCCACGCACCCAACAGGATCGTCTCTGGAGGAGACAGGAGAGCCGCTGACCTCGCTGGAGCTGGCCACGGGCGCTCTGGAGGCGGGTGCGATCGAACACGAGCCCACCCTGAGTCTCTCTGAGCAGGTGAAAGCGGCATCGGCGCAACGCGAGCAGCAAGAACAGGAACAGCAGCAGGAGCAACAGGAGCAGGAATCCGCACCGGAATCCGTCTGGGGGGTCAAGGGTGATAGCGCCATGCCGCAGCCGTTCCCTCCACCTCCGTCGGCGTCGCCGCTCCCGGCCCCGGCTGCGCAGCGCAATCGACAGAACGTGGCGGAGTCCCTGGCGGCGCATTCACGGTCGCAGACGCAAACCCCCGTGGACGCACCCACCACGTCGATCGCGCCGTGGGCCAAGGAGGCGCACGAGCTGCCCAAGGGACCTTCGCTGAAGGAGATCCAAGAGGCGGAGGCGCGCAATGCGGCACAGAAGGAAGAACTGGCGGCGGCGGCGCGTCGGGCGCAGCTTCTGGCGGAACAGGAGCGACTCAGTCAAGCACAGACACAGACGCAGGCACCGGGGCTGCCGTCGACAGCCAACTGGGCCAGCGCCGGATCGCCCGCGACGCCCACATCTACCGGCTCCGTGTGGAACTCGCAAAAGGGCACGACCCCATCCGCTGCTCCCGCCAAGAAGACACTGGCGCAGATCCAGAAGGAAGAGGAGGCTCGCAAGCAGCGTCTGGCCGCGGCGACAGCTGCAACTGCAGCGGTCGTGCAGAGTGCACCGACCAGCTCAAGCGCCGTGACCCCGCCAGCACCATCATCTACGGGTAAGCGATATGCCGATCTGGCCGGCAAGGCTCCGACGGCGCCATCCCCGGTGTCGGCGGGCGCATGGACGACGGTGGGCGCTGGTGGTAAGCCCAAGCCCCCTCCAGCAGCACCGTCAGGACCGCGGTCGAGCATGGCTCTGACGGCGTCGTCCCCAGTGCGACCCAAGGCGACGACGACAGCAGCGATGATGGTGAGCAGCACAGGTAGCATGAGCAGTACAGCGGGCAGTTCCGGAGGCGGTAGCAATGCGCAGCGAGCGATGGAGGAGTTCACGCGATGGGCCAAGGTCAGCCTGGGTAAGGGACTGGACAGCAGCATCAATGTGGAGGACTTTGTCCAGCAACTGCTGCAGTTGCCGGCAGAGACGGAGATCATCTCGGACTCTGTGTACGCCAACTCGCAGACGCTGGACGGCCGACGATTCGCAGAGGAATTCATCCGACGACGACAGCAGGCCGACAAAGGAATCGTGGAAGGTGAAACGAATGGATGGAGCGAAGTAGCCAAGCGAGGATCGGGAACGAGCCGAGAAGAAGGCAATTCGGCGTTTAAAGTGGTGGCGCCTCGGAAGAAGGGCCGACGATGAGTCAGTCATTGAATTGTATTGATGTATTTATGTCTTTTCTAGATGCAATTCTCTTCATCTTTTTCAACTCTTCATCTTTTCATTACTTCATCTTTTCAGTATCTGTAGACTATGTTCAAAGAACAATTCCTCATCCATCCCGCCTATCGCAACCTCAACCATGGTCTGTTTATCTCTGAATCTTAAATTAAATCTAATACATAAATAGGTTCCTTTGGGACGTATCCCCGCGCCATCCAAACCGTCCATCGTCAACTTCAAGACGAAGCTGAAGCGCGTCCCGACCTGTTTATTCGTCGCACGCACCCTCAACGTCTCGATGAAGCCCGTCAAGCCGTGGCATCTTTGTTGAACGCCCCCGTGGGCGAATGCGTCTTCGTCAAGAACGCCACCACGGGCATCAACACCGTCCTGCACAATCTTGACTTCCACCCCGGCGACGTAGTCATCTACTTCAACACCGTCTACGGTGCCGTCGAGAAATCGCTCGTCGCGCAATTCGAGAAATCCCCTCTCCAGGGCCACAAAATCACCTACGAATTCCCCATCACTCCAGATGAACTCCTGCATCGATTCCACTCCGCCGTGCACGACCTCCGCAAACAGAACCTCAACCCCCGTCTTGCCGTGTTCGACACCATCGTGAGTAACCCTGGTTTCCGATTCCCGTTCGAACGCCTCATCGTTGCCTGTCGCGACCTCCACGTCCTCAGTCTCGTCGACGGCGCCCACGGCATTGGCCATATCCAACTCGATCTGACAACTCTAAACCCGGATTTCTTCACCTCCAACTGTCATAAATGGCTCTTTACCCCGCGCAGCTGTGCGGTTCTCTACGTGCCCGTAAGACATCAGCATCTTATACGCACGACGGTGCCCACTTCGTGGGGGTTTATCCCCCTTCCAGATTCGCCGGCTACCGCATCTTCGACGATCATGCGGGAGAATGAGAAGAATCCGAAGAAATCGGCGTTTGAATCGTTGTTTGAATTCGTCGCGACGGCGGATGATACACCCTATTTGTGTGTTCCCGCGGCGTTGCAGTTCCGTCGTGACGTCTGCGGTGGCGAGGAGAGGATCTATGAATATATCGAGACGTTGGCGAATGAGGGCGCGGATATTGTTGCGAGTGTTCTAGGGACCGAGGTTCTCCAGGAACCTGGGTTGAAGGCCGGGCAGAGAAGTGAGTTTCGGCGTTGTGGGATGGGGAATGTTCGGTTGCCTGTGCGGGTGGTCGATCCTGAGGATAGCGACGGGAAGCAAGCTGAGGGTCAAGTTATTTTGTCGTCTCAAGTGCTGGCTATTCAGCATTGGTTTGAGGATCAGTTGCTCTATCGATATCAGACCTTTGTGCCTGTGTTCGTCCATGGTGGTTGGCTCTGGGTAAGGCTGTGTGCACAAATTTATCTGGATCGCAGCGATTTCGAATGGGTGGCGTGTGTTTTGAAGGATTTGTGTAAGAGGATGTCGTCGGGTCCTCTATCTTCTCTGTAGTCTAGTTTAGCATTCTACAGTCTACACCATCTCAAGTCTCTGAGTTGCAGAGTAATTAGCCATAGCATTCAAGAATACAGTCATAACTCATTATCCAAATCGACTGCGAACCCATCCAGCCAATCCCCCCAGTCCACTCCCTCCCTCTGGCCCCGGACTATCGTCAATCACCACCGGATTGTCACTCGTCCCCTCGGCCGGTTCCTGCCTGCCTGGCTCCTGTCGGTTCTGCCGGTTCTGCGGGTTCTGTCCCTGTCTGTTCTGTTCGTGTCTGTCCCTTAGGTCAGTCCCGTTAAACTGCACAAGGAGAAAACTCACCCAATCCCCCGCCGACAATGCGGACAGGTATTATGTTGGTTCAACCACATCTCAATGCACGCCGTGTGGAACCAATGCTGACACGGCAGCTCCGTCACCTCCGTGCCCTTCTCCACTCTATCCATGCAGATCGAGCACTCCGCCCGCCCGTCGCTGCCCAGCATCGCCTCGTCCACCACCTTCTTGCGCAGCGACTGGATCGCCTGCGCCGATGCCGGCGGCGGTGCCGTGCGGTTCCCATTCTGCTCCACCAGCTGCGAGATCACTCGGTCCAGCTCCTCCTGCGAGTACACCGCGTCGCCATGTCGCTCGACGTTCAACAGCGCCGACAGCATTGCCAGAGGACTCGGCCCCGTCATCACCCGCACCCCGCCGTGGCCCCCTCCGTTCTCTCGAAAGTCGGAGCGGAAAAGCTCTAAGATACTATAGTCCGTTAGTCTACGTCGTCCTAGATATAAGAAGGGGTACGTACTCGCCCAACGTCCGAAGCGGCGTGGCCATGGGCTGCGGCCCATCCGCATCCCGAGGATGTAACCCCTCGGGCTCATGCTGCATATCGAAATCGAAGGACCCGTCCAACGTCACGCCGGGTGCCCGTTGGTCGGACCGGGGCTGCGTTCCGGAGGATTCCTGTCCTGGCCTAAGGGCCGAGGTCTGCTGGTAGGTGTTGGCAAGCCCGTGGAAGATGGTATCCAGACCGCGCACCATGGGCATCAAAGGATCGATCGGCATGTTTCCCTGCGGGTGGGACGACTGTCGCCGTCGAGGGAGGCCGTGGGAATATGTCGTGCTGGAGAAGGTAAACCGCCCATCGGGGGATCGGTAGGTGTGATGTGTGAACCCACTGGGGTCGTCGTCGTAGGTTTGATCATCTTCACCGTCCTGGTCCCAGGGGTTATGGTGTGCCCAGGGATTATGCGGGGGGTCGGGAGGGTGATCGGGAGGATGATCCGGGGCATCTGGATCCGGGGGGATTTCAATCTGCAAGGTCAGCCCTGTTAGAGATAGAAATAGATAGATAGATAGATAGATATAGGATGAGGCACACAATCTCTGTAAAATCGGATTCACAGTGGGGGCAGATCAGCCCGTTATCGTTTCGCAGCCATACCCCGCCACAGGCATGGCAAAACATGCGATCTCCGGCATCGGCCATCGCAAGAGGAGAAAACCAGAGATTTCAGGAGAAGAGATATTTCAGTAGAAGAGAGGATATCAGTAGAAGGAGAAGATAGAAAGAAACGCAATCTGAGGGCAGTCTAAGCTTAGTCGGAAAGATACGAGATTTCGGATAGAAAAGCAGCGTCATTCATTGTGACGTGCGAGAGAGATCAGAGAGTCATGAGATGGAGAGATCAAAAGGAATCAAAAGGGGGGAAGAGAATGAATCTGAATGAAGAAAGAAGTCGATGAATGAAGAAGAAAGCGTTCGAAATCAAATGAAAAAAGAAAGATCGGATGACGTTAGGCGGTGGCGTGCCTGAGATCAGCCTGAATACACAAATATATCCCATAAAAGATGGAATAAAGTTAAAGACTAAAGACTAAAGAATAAATAATATTCACGAAAATAAAGAATCTACTCAGACGCCTCCATGCTCCAAAATCAATACAATGACTATATACACTTAATTATCGCCTCTTCCGAAATACCACGCCTCCCACCACGCCGGCTGCCAACGCCAGTCCTCCCACGATCGCAATCCCCAGCATTCCCTCTTTGGAGACCTTCTCATCGATCAGCGTCCCCAGACTGGCCGCCTGCAGATTCGCTGGTTCTTTCTCCCGCAGGAGATCGTTGTATCGTCGAGCTTCGCCATAGTTCCCCAGTTTGTAGTTCCCCAACGCCAGATAGTACAGACATTCCCTGCGTCGTTCGGGTGATGCACGGAAGATCTCGGACAGGAGACGGACGCCTTCTTGTTGATCAGAGCGAGTGTTGGATTTGATCAGGCCCTGGATTAGTCATTATACTGGGTCATCATACTGGGCAAGAGTCGGGTGTCTGTGTATATAGAGAGAGATATATACCCAAGCATAGTTGAATTTCGTCTGAATCCCCACGTAGTCGCCTTCTTTTTCATATTGCGACCGCAAGACCTGGAGTTCCGCGGGTTTCAGCGGACTGGATGGTCAGCAGATGGATTGGGTTATCGTTCGACGGAGTCACCTTTCCGCATCGGCTGCATCTAGAGAGAGTTAGTTGCTGATAGATCTAGAGACGGAGGTCATACATGGAAGATTCGAGCCCATCGTGATGGATAACACCGATAGATGTTGTCTTGTCAGTCAGTCTGGCGTCTGTTGTTTGCTGTCAGTCAGGTGTCTAGAGCTCGGTCGGTGGCGGTGCTGTGGCGTTGCTCCGTCAACTATCATCGTTATTTATCCTGCATCTACCCATCATCACTCATCCAAGATAAATAATAAAATGTTGCTCGACGAAAGTCCCGCTACGGTATATTCCCTCTTCTCTCGTCCATTCTATAATATGCTAATATATATAGTTGATCCACCATACCATCGGCAACTTCAACCACCAACCGGATAAACAAGCCGTCTCGCGTATCAATGACTCGCTGGCTACCCTGCAGCAATCCCGCGACCTGCGACGGCGCGAGGTCGAGTCATCCCTGAAGAAACTCTCGCGACATCTGCATTCCCTGAACACCCAGTACGACGAGGCTGTCGCCGCCCACGACGCCAACCACCACGCCGCCGAGATTGTCGAGCTGGATACCAAGAAGTTTCGCATCGCCAAGGCGGCCACCGAGCTCGAGATCGAAAGCGAGCGACTCGAGAGTGAGCTGGAGATGTTGAAAGAGCGTCTGGCGGATCTGGAGGCGCAGGGATTAGAGGGGGATGAAGCGACGCGACGGGAGAGGGAGGCTGATGATGCTACGATGTATGCTTCTTTTCATTCCTCCTTTCGTTCAACTACTGATGATGATAGTCTGAGGCTTAAAATCTATCGCTCCCTCGGAGTCGACATCGAAGCTGATGAGGCGGGCAATTTCAACAAGGCCGTCATTCGCAACAGTCGCAAAGGCGACGTGCACGTCGTCAAGATCGATCCCAAATTCTCTCGTTTCTTCTATTCCAATTACCTCTGGTCGACTATGCAGGGATGATTTACGTTATGATACCTTATACTAATATAATTAATTCCAATCAATCAGTTATGATCTATACGTAGCCTCAACCACTCCATCACCCGCTCTCGATCCTCGCGAGAGAGACTGCTACAGGAATCTCCATATAGCAGCGGTTTCTCCTGCGGAAACAGCTGCTCCATGGCCTCCAGCACCTGCAGATGCGTATATCCAGACGTATCATCCCCGTCTTTATACTCGTTCTCCCTCCACATCTGCCACCACTGTTCCTCCACGCGCAGCATCATATCCTCCGTCTGATCCATAGACATCAAGTCCTCTCCATCCCAGGTCAACACGACAGAAGACTTCATCTCACCGCCATCGACACTGTCATACCGCACCTGAACACCCAACGGACCCAACCCCAACTGCTGCGCCCGCGCATTCCACAAAGCCTGTCGTAACCACCCATCCCGCTGCATCGTCAACCACAGAATCGGCGACGCGCTTCGCGCCAGCGCATCTCGGACTCCGCGCGTCGCTTCGCGCGGACTCACCAGTATCCCGATGGCATCTGTCCCGGGTCCCCATCCGCGCGGCGCCCGTGCAAACGTCCCTTCGAGTTCACGCACCAGGTTCGGACCTAGTTTCGTCCGTAGTGATTTGCATTGTACCAGGACTCGGAACGGGTGTTCGTGTGACGGGGGGTGAAAGGTGCCGAGTAGATCGATTCCTAGGTCATCGCGTCCGCCGGTGCGGGTCAGATCGAAGGAGAATGCGCGGAGTTTTTCCTGTACGGTGTATTCGTAGTGTGTGCCGATGTAGGTCGTTGTCGTTGGGGAGAGGGATTGGCGTTGGGCGTAGTGGAGGAAGGAAGTCAGGTCATGGTGCTGTGAGGGGGCCGTCGGGGGGATGGGAAGTTTGAATAGACGACGTGTGAGGGAATGGAGTTGTCGAGTGGAATGTAACTGATGATTTGAGTTATTGAATCGTGTGTATAGGAGAGTCATGTCATGCTGTGGTGTTTTCGTCTTTGCCTTTGTTGTTGCTCTCTGATTTGTCTGTGGGGCAAACATTTATATCCTCATAAGGATCCATTTATTAACTTATATCCTCAATACATCATCTACAATCATCGAATTTGAACATGGCAGATATCCTCACCCAACTCCAAACCTGTCTCGACCAAGTAATCTCCCTCTTCATATCCCCCCTCTCTATCTTGCTAATATTATAGCTCGCCACCCAATTCTACGCCACCCTGGGCTACCTCACCACCTACCACGACAACTCCCCAGCCATCCCTCCCTCCATCCCCGACGCCGCTCCAGCTCTAGCACAAATCCCCAAGAACTCATCCGCTCCTCCAGTACCCGCGGGAGCCCCTGTTCCCTCCCAGTCATCGCCGCCGCCGACGCAGACACCGGGACAGCAACCATCGGCCCCAGGAGCACCTCCAGGAGGATCAGGAGAAGGCGATCCGAACATCCCACCCGCGCCGGACTCGCCGCGCACATTCGCCAGTCGACAGCGGGAGTTGGCGCGCGATCTGATCATCAAGGAGCAGCAGATTGAGTATCTGATCTCGGTGTTACCCGGGATTGATTCGAGTGAGGCGGAGCAGGGACGACGGATTGCAGAGCTGGAGAAGGAATTGAGAGGCGTGGAGCAGGAGAGGGAACACAAGATGAATGAGTTGGGTCGGTTGAGGAAGCGATTGGAGGCTGTGTTGGGTGCTGTTGAGACGGGTATTTATGGCGATCGGTGATGGTTGTCTACTTTCTACTTTTTACTTTCTACCTTCTGGTGATATCTGTGGTATTGATGAATGATGAACTCCGGACTTGCGTCCATATCCTATCTAGATCTCTCGTGCATGCTTCTCCTATCGTATATGGCCCTCAGTATCAGAGATGAGATGAGACAAGAGCAAGAACGCCAATAAGCCATGGGGGGGTATCAATCGGTCCGTCTTGTAGACCAAGAAAAATGGGCAAGAAAGACAAAAAAACAAAAAGAAAAGGAAAGAAAGAAAGCAAAAAAAGGCCAGACTACTTGAACAGGCTGCGGTATTCCCTCATCCGTTGCTCCTGAACCTCTCTCTTATCCAGCTTCCCCCGATTCAAGCTCATATCCGCCAACTGCTGCTTCTTCTTGGCCAGCTCGAAGATCTTCTCCTCGATGCTGCCGCGCATGATAAACTGCACCGTCGTCACCTGGCGCGTCTGTCCAATGCGGTGTACCCGGTCGACTGCCTGCGCCACCGCGGCCGGATTATACTGAGGCTCCATGATGTACACCTTGGACGCCGCCGTCAAATTGAGGCCCACTCCACCGGCACCGATCGTCGCGAGGAGCACTGTGATGGAGTCGTCTTCGTGGAACTCGTGCAGCGCCTTGCCGCGCGCCGCCAGGCTCATTGTGCCATCCAGCCGGGTATACCCCGTGATGCTGTTGTCACGCAGCGCGATCTCGATCAAATCCAGGTGCGACGTCCAGGCGGAGAATACCACGCTCTTGAGAGGCCGTTTACCGTCCAGATGCTTACTCTCCTCCGCCGTCTCCAGCAGATGCCCAACGAGTGCCCGCGTCTTGGTATGGGGCCCTTCGTACTCCCCTAGCGTTTTGGCTTGTTTTCGGCTTTGCTTGGCCTGCGCCTGGTCCATAGTATAATCCTGCAGGCCCCCGACCGTTATCGTGGAATAGGAAACCGGGATCCATCCGTCACAGACCGGGCATTTGATATCATGTGATGACGGCCCGGTTTGCGCATCAAAAGCCTGTTTCCAGCCGGAGAAGCATTCGGGGCAAAGGACATCGAAGCAGGGCAGCACGATTGCCATCGGCGTTTGTCGATCGACCGCGCCCGAGTCGGCATTAGGCTCCTCCAGGCGTTTGTTGCATACGGCACACGCATCCGCTGACGACTCCTGCATCAAGACGAACATCTCATACGCCTTCTTGTCGGATACCCCCGCCGCATCGCTTCTTCCCTCCTCGAGGTCAATGGCGTCGTGCACACTTAAGCCTTTGATCCTCTGCCGATCGTCCGCATCCAGAAGCTCCTTACCATGCGCGCTTATCTGGCGCAGGATCATCATGGCCTTGAGAATGTGATGGTACATCCGGCCCTTCATCTTGGCTTGGTCTTCCCCGGCAATCACCCTCATCATCACATTGGATTCCTTGCGGAAGAATTCATGCAGCTGGCTTTCTTGCTCGGAGAAGTTCAGAGTCACAATCTTGTCGTGTCGGGGGGGGATGTCAATCTTATCCTTGACTCGGCGAAGGGTGAACGAGTCCACCAGCACCCGTAGGCTCGCCAGAACGGTGGCGTCCCCGGCCTTGAACCGGCTGAGAATGTGTGTTCCAAATCGGCTTCGGTCGTCGTACGGTAAAAGTCCGAGGAACTTGGTCACCGAAAGGAGGTCCTCGAGTCGGTTCTGGATGGGAGTGCCGGTGACGGACCACTTGCGCTGCGAGTTCAGCTTGAAGATCGCCTGCGTTTGGGCTGCCGTTTGCTCCCGGATGGTATGTGCCTCGTCCAGAACGATTCGAAACATGTTCATTTTCGTCAGAGGGCTCACGCCCCGTTTGGCGCCCCGTCCCGACAGCTCACTGAGCACAATGCTATAAGTGGTAATCACCAGGTCGTACTTCGATAGTTCGTCCACGTCGTTCGTTCGCGACGAGCCGTGGAAAACATAGTAGGAGACCGCCCCTTCTTTCAGATGCTCCTTGATCTGCGATACCCAATTGCTGACCGCACTCAAAGGCACCACCAGGAGCGTCGTTCGGGTATTCCGAATTCCTGGGAGGCTTCGAATAAGCTCCGTAGACGGGACCATGGACGCCCATTCATAAGACTCTGCCAGCGAGGATACCACAAGGGACAGGACGCTCAAGGTCTTCCCGAGACCCATTACATCCGCTAGGAGTCCTCCCAGGGTCTGCGGAGGTTCTTCATCCAGTACCATACCACTGATGATCTCGCGGTACCGCTTTTTGCCATTCGCCAGATACTCCATTCTCCAAAGAGAATTATTGTCCTTCTCCACTGGTCCAAACTTGCGGGGCTTCTCCTTTTCCGTCATGAACCACAGACCCTGCTTCTGATGCCGCAGCAGAGGCGTCGACAGGAGAGACGGAGAGTCCATCTCAGGGAGATTATCAGCACTCTGAAGTTGGTCGAACATTTTCATCACCGCATCGTTCACCTCTTCGGCTGTGCGGACTTCGTAGTTCACACCGGATCGGTTCCGAGTAGCGGCCGCCGGTAAGAAAGCGGCTTGGGCGCGTCTTCTTTCGGCGTGCGGGTTGAACACAGGGACGCCTTGTTCCACCGAAAACGGGGTCCCAAGCCAAACGTTATGCTGGCCCAAGTGCTTTCCCACGAGCTCGGCATCTTTCCGGAGGCCGTATAGATTAATGGAGGCTCGGTACAACGCTGAACAAGGTGTCCAGGGCCATTCGTTCGGCAATCGCCGTCGAACATCCAGCCGGGCCGTCAGGTCCACCTTCAAAGCCGACGAGTCGAGAAGGGGGACGATCACGGCGGCAGTCTTTGCATCAACAGCCCCGAATATCTTCCCGTTGGGGTCGGAGACATCAATCCGGTTGTTTACCTGACTCGCCTGGCGGTGCACCCCCAATCGAATTGACGGCCAATCGTGCGCGGAATCGCCGAAGACAGTCTGGGCAATCGGCTTGGGGACTAAGGCAGCTTGGACCATTGCATTCTCTATCTTGCCATAGCATACTCTTTGAATGCTGAGGTTGTTCGACCCGGTCACTTGTAAGTCGTCATCATCGTTGGTCGCGGTCGAGGCATCTGGAACATTCTTTAGCACACAAGTAGCTTTTCAGCGCACCGGTTGCTGCCGTCGGTCTGCTTACCAAGAGTCAAGTCGACCACATCCGGAGTAACTGGCATCGACGCATCTGGTTTCGATCGATCTTCCTTCATCCATTCGCCCAACTCGCTATCCCCTGCGGCCGCAAAATTCCCTTTCTGTCCGAACCCAGCCTTCCCGCCATTATCCGTCTTGAGCTTCTTATAAGGCAGGTTCGCTCGTCTCTCCACACCATACATATCTTCGATTAGACTGCCGTGGCGGACATCGGCTTCGCTTTCAAGCTGGTCGGAATTTCGCTTGCTGTCACTGCTATCATCGACTCGTGCACTGGTAAATTCCACATCCACTCCAGGGTCTGTTCGGATCGATCGTTGCGGAGATGAGGCAGTACTATCCCCGCTTTGCGATTCAGTCGACTGCAGCTGGAATCGTGACTTCGGAATCTCCTTGACGGAAGTTTGCCGACGGCGCTGGGGACTGAGAAAACGGTGCACCGCAGAGGCTGTGCCTGCGGGTGTCGCAGCGGGAGAGGGACTGGGCGACAAATTGCTAGAATCTTGCCGGTCTATGGTGTCGATCAGTGAGTCTGTCGCATCCAAGAACATTGGGTCTTCGGGAGGAGAGGGGCAGTGCCTGGATGAGGGGCGAAAGGGAAACAGTTCATCATGGGGTCCCAGGATCGTATCACTGTCCAAATGGGGCGAGTAATCAGAATTTTCCGAGTCGTTACCATTATTCTGAAGCTGTTTCTTGTAGGCCCTGGGGTCCAGGAGCATGGCAGCATGGGACGCCATCCTGCATGCAGGTATCCGAGACGGGAAATGCAGGTGAGAACGTAGGTCGGCGATATCGAGGGGGGTCAAAATCCGAGGACATAAATATCCGTAGTCAAGGAATGAGAAGGGGTAGAGGGTCCTGAGAGGAGTCGATGGAAGGAATGGTGCAGGTTTCGAGGTATCGACTGTCGTCGGTGTGAGAGAGGGCCGAGGGGGAGGGGGCAGAAGTGTGAACCAAAAGTGAGCGAGAAGAGTGTCGTCAACGCCCTTCCATCGCGTGCTCCACACGCAAATGGTCGGCACTGTCGACGAAGGAGCATACGATAGAGGAAGAGGGGAGAAGAGGGGAGAGAATGATGGCGATGAAGAAGGAAAGGGAATGGCTTATGTCTCGCCGATGCTGGTATCGCGTGCCAAGCCCCCGATAAGACCGCTTATCAAAGCAATGTAGGACCTACTTGGACATCAAAGTTATGAGCTCTCTATAAATATGACTATTTGCAGCAGTACAGCAGTACAAGTAGTAGTCTCTATTTGCATGCCAGTCCCCCACTGAGGTCCATGTAATTATTAGGAGGGAACCCGGCAACAAGTCTATATACAACATAGGATGGGAATTTCCCAAAAAGGCCGCAACCATACATCCAGATCTCTCAGACCAGTGGCCATAACACGCTAAAGTAGAAGAGTAAAGGTCATAACAACGGCTCAGGTCAAAAGAGAAGGAGGAGGCGTAGATGAAGTGAACAAGAGGGATCTGGGTGAGACAAACTGCAACAGATGGCAGCTTAGCACCAGGTGAAAACAGGGTTTTTGCTCTTGACAGCCTCTAGTCGCTCCACAATAACTTTGCGCTGGTTTCCTTCCATTCCCTCGGCGGCGGCGTATCCTAAATCTCCTTCCAGATCATCGCTACTCCAAATCAGATGCGCTTGGCCGCGCCCACTAGACACGGAACTCTGCTTTTGATGCCTTGTTCCCTGTCGAGGGGGGAGTGTAGCCCAGCTTTGGTCCAGGCCCATTCCACTGCTAATCTCATCGATACTCTGCCGACTGAAGTCATAATCGTTCAACGTCGCAGGGCTGCCATTCTGAGCCCTTGGCCCGCCAAAGTCCCGAGAGCTACGGCCACGAGAAAGTTCGAATCGGTTGGGGTTAGGCAGCTCGTTCGGGGGCGAACCTAGACCGAGGAGGTCATGCTCCGGCGCCGATACCAGTGACATGGCAGCGCCAATGTCCATTTCCTCATTGTCAGGGTCGTAATTATCGTAACGCTCATAATTCCGGACCTTGCGTCTCTGGGCTTCGGTGGATGGCCCGCGAAGGGGGATGGCAACCGGGACGTCCACCAAATCATCCCAGACACACACTCGAGTTCTCCTCGTAAGTTCGAGGGGACCGTGATCCGGATGCTTCAATGTCTCGACCACATTCCATGCTTGGCCCTTCATGACGGCGATCTGCCGTGCAAACATGCTCTCCTTGAAGTCGTCGTCTTGGGAGAAAACACGACGAAGGGCCATCTGCGTACCACTCCACCAGGCTGTCGACGTGAGAAGGGGTAAGAAATGGTCTCTCGTTTTTTGCGAAAACGGCTGTCCGATCAGCGACACGGGAAGAAACAGCCATCCGAAGGGGAAACTTCGCCACTGGGGAAAGGTTAGTGGAAGAATTCACTCAGGCATCATCTGAGGAAGCAGACTTACGGCGTCGGGGTGTTTCCATGGCCATGACAAGCTATTATCAATCGCTCCAATCTGGATTGACGCCTGGGGTTCCTGTGTGTTCAGCGGGGTTCCGGTACGACTGACCGCCATCATTGCCTCCTGTCTCCGGTACGGGTAAGAAGCAGTGGCTGCGCGGTCGGAGTTGACTGACACAGGGCGAGCAGGAGGAAGGTGCTCGTCGTCCTCGTCATCCTTCTGGACTCCACTAGGTTTCGGCGGATCCGCGACTATTGACACCTCCTCTGTCTTCCAATCGATCTTGATCATCCAGTTATCCAAGCCGCGGTCGGTGTTCCGCATAATATAATCCAGAATAACCAGCTTTTCCAGCTCCTCTCTTAATGACTGCTTCAGGTTCTCTGTCCAATAGAATCGTCGCTCCCGGCTCTCTTCCCGCGGTGAAGGGGTGCGTACATATCCGTTTTCGTAGTCGTCCTCATCCTCATCGTCCGAGTGAATCCCAGAAGGACGACAGGCTTCGTTCCAGGGCCGCTTCTTACGCTTTGGGGCATCTTCAGCGCGAAAACCGGAGCTGGTCTGATCGGGCCAGGGATGATCTCGCAGAAATAAATTGGCATCCTTGTAGCCCTTCAAAAACACCTGGAAACTTCCCGCCTTGTGCGGCAGAGGCTTCTTGCCCATCCACGCTTTCCGCCGGTCCCAGAAGTCGTAATAGAATGATTTCGAAGACAAATACACGATGTCGGTGTACGGAACCAGATTTGTCCGCAAACGAGAGTCGAGGACGTATGCAGCCGCTTCCGAGACATAGGACAGATTAGGGATCAAGCAAGCGCGTCCGAAGAAGCAAGGGAAGAGGTTCCGGTGAATCCACTTGGTCCACTTGGGGTTGCGGGATGCGTACGGCTCTTCGTCTTTGGGCTTAAAAACACCCACCACCTTCCCTTCCGTGTTGCGCGCAAAGTAACTGCCGGAGCTGCCTTGCGAGATCATCCGGGGATGGACCCCCATCTCTATGGCCACGCGGACCCCTTCCACCACTTCCTCGAACTCCTCTCGAGCCCTCCGCGCTGCCCCTTCCACTTCGTCCGATTCGAGTGTCTCGGCGGCGATCGGTCGAACGCCGTCGGGGGGCTGAAAGACGGAGTGATAGATCTCCAACTTTTCCTCCTCAAGCGTTTTCCCCTTGACCTTTTTGATTTTGAATTTGGAGGCGATCTCCTCGGCCCACCGCTCCAGGCGCGCATTAATGGCCTTGATGTCGACCCCGGAATTCCTCCGGGTCCGTCGGTGGTAGTGTCCACTCAATCGCCGTCGATTTTCGGGTGGCGAGGCGAGGTTGGGAACCTGCATGCGCCCTCGGGATGAGATGGGTGCATATCTGGGGGCGGATTGGGATATCGTGTCGGGACGTTGGTGTAGGTCATCATCGTCCGAATAGTCGTACACGTCGTTAGCTCTGTCTTCTTCTTCCTGGGCCAGGCGGGCGTAACCCGACGTTGCCGGTCGGCTTTTAGGCATGGTGAGCTCTGGGAACTATTGAAAGGATGGAGAGGCAAATACAGCACGGTCTCATCTAAAGGGGGGGGAGGAAGCGAAGGGAACGAAGACACAATTAAAGGGATTTGAAAGGAAGGAAAGAAAAGAAAAGAAAAAAAAAATACAAAAGGGCTGAAAAAGGGAGGAGAATAACGATTAAAGAAAGGTAACACAAAGCTTCAAGGCATTACTGAGAACCGGCCAAAGTGAACTGCAGAGAAGCCAGAAAGTCCGAGAGACAAGCCGAGTGGCTGATACCGTACCGTACCGTGGAGATCTTTCTCGATCCGTGATTTCCGGGGAGTCTGTCCGTACGGGACGGTAACTGAAGTATCTAGCGCCATCGCGGCGTCCTGTGTGGCTCCACCAGAGCTTAACAACGCCCCCTGAATGATGCACCCGATAATGTGATATGGTTTCTCGATGAACATGAGCCTCGTTCGTATCCAGGATGTTACCGGTAGAATTACATCAACTTATGATGGGGTATCCGTGGTAAGACTGAATGTTCTCAGATGTTTCTTTCCCCTCATACTCCTGAGTAGAAGCCGGCCTTTCAATATCAACCTGGGGATTCGACCATAGCCTTGACTCTAGTCTCATGCAGGATGGACTTAATTATTCTCGGATGACAAGCTATAAACATGTTTACCTACGTATGGGAGATTTATCCCCAGGGAGGTTATATACGGGACCATGACGGGGTATCTTGTTTGGGCTCAAGGGACTTGCCAACACTGCGACCAACGTTTAATGGAAGAGATAAAGCCCTTTCTGGGTATCTCTTATGCCTCGGTAGGGGTCTTTGTGCCCAAGGTATGGGGTAGACACTGTCACTGAAAGCCATTGTGGTTTTATGAAATCATGGATAGTGCGTGGTTGGTGTCTCCGTTCTCCCTGCCATCGCACAGGGTTGGGAATGGATAGCCCCAAGAAATTCATTAGATATCCCTCCCTGTACTCCCCTTCTAATCAATGGAAAATCCCCTAACCAGTGATTGTCAAGGCGTTCTTGGGTTTATTCCGGAGAAATGCTGCCATCTCCGTAGGTATCACCGTTAACTTACTTCGGCTCGCCTAAATTTGGTTACTCAGCATGTCCTGACACCGTAGTTACCGAAGATCGAGTAGTTAGTAGTGACTCTACTTAGGGTTAATATATTGATCTAATGGTACATGAAATACTGTAGAATAATTTCCGGCAATACGTAGTGAGCAGCTTCAGGTCTTAATGCCTAGTGCACTCAGTGAAATGAACCAGCCATACCGTAATCAATAGCCTGACGCGCGATAACACAACCCGATAATCAATCTATCCGGTCCATCTCCATCTCGACCCCTGCGTGTCCCAGGGCTTTGCTTTGCTTCCATCTGCAACTCCTGTCCTGCTCACTTCTCACTTTCAAACCTTCTCCATTCTAGGTACATATTTCTTTCGAACGGCGGCGATTTTGATTTATTGTTAATTCCTCCCACTACCTCTCATTCCTTCCCCATATTCCTTGTCTGTTTCTCGGGTAAAAGTGGTCGTTCAGATCTTTCACTCTTTATCCTCCATGATCTGAACATCGATCGGCACGAAAACCACAAACCAAAGCACAGGAAAATTCATTCGGTCGGATTGGCAATTGCTTATCTGGTTCCAGCGGGTGAGCGAGAACCAGAATTGGAAAACATTCCTTAATCATTCCGCCTTTTTCGACGTGGCTGGTCCTCGAACGGCATTCTTCCCCCGTCGAATACAAACAATCACTAACACGACGTGCATCTGGATTGAGTCGTCTTACTTTCACTTCAGTTCGGTCAACCCCGGCCGGATTTCTAGTTAGTACCCTCATACAGCTTCCACAGTGGCTTCGCTTCTGTTTCGGGCGTCGCCCATCGACCCGGCCCTTCGTCCTCCATCGCCGTCCACTTCGCCGTCGCACGAGCCAAGTTACAACCATTCTTCCTCTTCCGTTGACAGCACCTCTGCTCAGTCGACAACGGACGCGGCCGCGGGTGCGTCGTCGGCATCCTCGCAGTATTCCGCACTCCCCGATTTCGTTTCCCTCGATAAGTCCAATCACAGCCCGAGCAGCAGCAGCAACGGTAACAGTAGTGGTTTCCCCAGTTCTTTAGGACCGTCATTACCGGGACTTTCAGCTTTGGCGTCGGTCGCATCGGCTCCCACCTCCAATCTACGGTATGTACTGTGACGAACCTGTTTTGCGGTACTGGATATCCGAGTTGCGGTGGCTCCAGGAGACGGTAAATTCCATGGATATGGTATATATATATATGTCTGCAGATGCTGTCGCGTCTATATATATACCTACAGACCAACATGCGCCATGGCAAAAATCCACACGGTTCCTGGGGGAAAAGCATCAACTAATCCGTCCTTTCCATACAGAGCCTCGAGCAGCAATGCGCATCCCAACATGGCCAATATGACCTACGCAACCTCCTCGCCCGCTGCGACGACTGGAGGCCAGGGAAATAGCCCGGTAAGTGGCCTATCGTGGGCTTATCTGGCTGTTGCCCAATTTTCCTTGCCTTTCCTATTCCGGCCAATCTGTTATCATGCGGTCTTGGCACCACACTGGCAATCCTTATCGCCCCCGTCAAATCTCTCATCTTATCTACCTCTCTCTCTCCCCTGCTGCTATCATATCTGTCTTTCCCCGGGATATTGACCTCATTATGGCAACAACAATGGCTGACCACAAGCGCCCGCATTTGCAGCCCGTGTGTCAAAATTGTGGCACTTCCACCACCCCTCTATGGCGCCGAGACGAACTCGGCTCAGTTCTCTGCAATGCTTGTGGCTTATTCTTGAAGCTGCACGGGAGACCCCGTCCGATAAGTTTAAAAACCGATGTCATCAAAAGTCGCAATCGCGTCAAGACTGCCGGTCAGGGCCCCAAACGCAAGGTAAGCGATCAGTTCGAAAAAATTTTCCCGGCCCTCATGGTGAGATCCCGGTCGCTGATATACCATGCCTCCGAGTTAGTCCGGGAGTGCGGTCGACGCCAATGGTCTGCCGACTTCGATATCCGAAGCAGGGACTCCTCCCCTGGGGGGATCTCATGGATACCGCCGCGCGTCACGTAAGGCCTCCCCAGGCCATTCGGACCGTTCCACTTCGCCAGTCCCCCGAACAGACACTCCGGGTGTCCCGTCCATGCACCAAGCGCACCACCCGACGCCGCATAATTCCAATATCGCGCCGCAGCACATGTTCGACAGTGTGACCCTCGTGGAACATGGGCTGAATACCTCCAACGGTCTTGCTCCCAGTCAAGTGCGTCAGCCGTCTCCCACGTCGAACTCGGCGGTTGAGGATCGTCACCTGGAGACGCCCCAGACATACGAGGGCCTACTCGCGGCGAACACCTCGTTGAAGACCCGCGTGAGCGAGTTGGAGTTCATCAATGAGCTGTTCCGGGGCCGGGTGACGGAACTCGAGCAAAGTAATGCGACGGCACGCCGGTCGGAAATGATTGTTCGGGACTCCGAAGTGCGCCTTCGACGCTCCCTCGACGAGGCCCAGCGGCGGGAAGATGACCTGAAGCGACGCGTCGCAGAGATGGAGCATCAACTCTCGGAAGCCACCAACTCTGCCGAGCCTGTAGCCAAGCGGATAAGACTGTCTGATGTGGTAGAACAACCGGCGGAGTCTCCCACAAAATCGCCCAAGAGCGTTTGACGGTCGGGCTGTTGAATGGGGGTGACCCCGGAAAATGCATCCGCTGAGCTACATTCTCTGATCTTCCTTGGCTTTGTGATACCCTTTACGAGTCCGTCTCTGTTGGCTGGATGTATATCGGATGAACTAATACCTCTCCTGTCGTCAACTTTGTTTTTCGAATCCGTTATTTGCCTGCTATTCATCGACAAAAAATCCTTTCGAGCTATTCTCTTTCCCTTCCGACGTGGGCCGGAGGAGATCACTATGAGACAGCGATCTGCGGAGCCACCAAAAATCTATAAAACAGCGGAGTGTGTTTGTTGAATAATGTGTTCTTATTATCTATTTTACTATTATTCTCATGAATCCGACATGTGTCTTTGTTCTCTCTCGCTTTTTTTAGTCCTTCTAAAAATGAAAAAGAAAAAGAAAAGGAAAAGGAAGGAAAAAGAGAAAAAAGCAGCTCAGGAGTTCTTCTACTGTCTCTATGCTCGGTTTAATCAGATTCGATTCTTCCGTGTTGTTACTACCTGTGTTTTGTATTGCGTGAGATGTTTGATGTCGATCCCCATGATGTCCAACCATTCGTCATATGATAACCCTCCATCTTATCTCTCCTATCAATTTTATCATCCACCAATGATTGTACTTTTAAAAAGCAATTGATTTACCGAGGTTACTACCACTAATTGTCTATCTCTTGATTTCTGGTTCGGAATTAATTATACGGAGAATTTGTTTCGGTCACACGCTGAATATCGTGTCCTTTCGATCGGCAAACAGTATGTATGTACATGGCAAGACACCTCGGTGCCCATATATTTATCTCTGTCTTCGCTGCAGCGAAGAGCTAGATCCAATGATTCATCAATATTAACCCAAGAAGAGTTAAATAAAAGAAAAAAAAAAATAAAAATAAAAATAGAAAAGAAAGTATGACAATGAAAATGAAAAAGAGAGGAGAAAAATGAATGAATGAACCCAGTCTCCCGAGAACGGACCCATCTATCTATATAGTCGTCATATTGCCGTATGTTGCAAGACTGAACGAGAAGGGGGGGTATTATATAATAACAATAAGTGAGTGGGAGTGGTAGGTAGCTTTTGGTTTCTTCAGGACGCATCGATAGAACCCACGAGGTTCAATCAAGCCAGACGATCGTGTTCGCTCTTCCGCAGAACTGCCCCGTGGATTCGCTTCTCGCGCAGAATGCTCCACAGACACACGATGACGCCCGCCACGCCGGAGAAGAAGGTCGTGTAGTAGGCGGCCTGGTAGCAGGCCAGACCGTCGGGACAGTCTCGATCGCCGTCGTCACCGACGACGACGGAGTGACGGTCGTAAATGTTGCCGTAGAGCAAGTTGAAAACGTTCCCGCTCAAGACCGGGGCAAGGGTCATGACGCCCCAGTTTTGAGAAAGACCACCAATACCGAAGGTGTGCGCCACGAGAGAAGGGAAGACACCGAATAGGAAGCCGTATGCGATGCCGGTGAATCCGGATATGACGACTAGTTGGGTCGGGTTGGCGATGGTCGACCCGGCTAGCTGGGTCAGGGTGAACACCACGGCGGAGATGAATAGACACCAGAATCGGGACATGTCTAGTTTTTTTGACCAGTATGTCGGATCCGATGCCTGTGGGATTGGGAACATGAGATGGTTAGGGAGTTTCTACTAAGTTGACTAGGAGAAAAAGACCCCTACCGCTAGAAAGACGGCCGATGAAGTTTCCGAAGGAAAGCACGGACACGTGCATGACTTGTCGTTGTTGGATGAATTTGGAACTGGCGCTGTCATCGTAGTATCTCCAGAGCGCCTTGGTCTGGGGATATGGTTAGAACCTGGGTACACGGTATAGGTATATGTAAAGGGAACCGTCTCACGCTGTTGCCGATGTTACTGCGTATTGATGTTAGCATACCAAGCGCTACAGCCTACGAGGATAATTCAAGGGAACGAACTTGATAGTCATCAGACCGATGCCCGACAGAAGCGCCATGGTCAGGAATAGCTGCCAGAACTCAACTGTGGGGAGCATCGCCAAGCCTCTAATGTCTGGGTGAGGTGAGCCAGGTGAAACATCAGAGAGAGCATCGTCGTCATCATCGTCCGCGTCGTGTTTGGCAGGAGAATCCCGAGAGCTTCTCGGGGTGGCTTTCGACACCAATGATGACGTCTCATCAAGGTTGGTTGGTTGGCCAGAATAGGAGTTCGACGCGGCCGATGGTGACCTTCCATGCTCCTGGGAGGATGGGGCTTCAAAGGCAGTAGAGCTCTGCGTACCTGCTAGATCGGACTCGTCGGGGTTGGATCGCAGGTCAAAGGACTTGGTCCTGAGCAATCGTCTAGACTCCACCCCTGGCGATCGGCCTCTCGGCATGGGCATATATGGGTCGCTAGGAGGTCGGATCTTGATGAACGGAATGGACACGAGATTCAAAATGCAGGTTCCTATTGCCAGCAAAAGGAGGAAACGCCCGGTATCATCCTTGAAGATGACGGCCGAGATGGTTGACCAGAAAAAAGCGCTGAGACCGAAAGCGGCCAGTGGAAACGCCGTTGCTGTTCCTCGATGCGTTGGGAAGTTCGACGCCGCTGGAATTATTCATAAATCGCATTAGCTCTACAATGGATGAACGATGATCCCACGACAGCGGATTTACCTGTCTTGATTGAAGCCGAGAACGCAGAGGAGCTTCCGAAGCCCGTGAGGAACGAGAAAAAGGACAACAGGGCCACCCCCAAAGACCCTTGTCCATGCATGTAGGCTATATTGAAGACACCAGATCAACACAAATGATCTGCTTCTCCAAGATCACTCTGACGAACCTGAATAGATCGGATAGTACCCTACCCCGAGGGCTATCGCCCCTATGAACGTAGTCAATCGTGGGCCCTTGGCATCCGTCAACAATCCCAGAGGAATGCCCGATGCATACATGCCCAGATTACCGGCTGCGCCCTGGAAAAGGTGAACATCGACGTCGCATAGGGTTTGCCGCGGGAAAGCAAGATAGATAGTTGGCTTACTATAAAGTTCACTTCGGTGGAGGTGATCCTCAAGCGGTGGCCGAATTGAGGCGCCCATGCTGAATACGCATACTGTCGCGGATAATAATTAGCACATATATTGGCAGACGATGGTCTCAGGCCAGGGAATCAGTCGCACGTTGGTACCACAGGCAAGAGCTATTAGGGTGCCCGCCAGGACGGAAACCATCCGCTTGGCCGTGCTGATATCCCCCATCGTAATCCGTCCCGGTGCTGATGCACCGACTGAACACCAGAATGATTGTTTTACATGAACCACGCGGAGGAGCGTTGACGATGGAGAGGGAGAGGGAGAGGGAGATACGGAGTACGTCCAATATATTTCTCTGTCTCCGACGGCAATTCGGCGAATGGCGTGGATCGACGTTATCGAGTCACACAGGCCCAGACAGCCGGAAATGTAGGGAGGAGAACAATCATAAAAACTGAAATGGAACAATAAAAGGGAGAGGAAGAAAGTTGGATTGGAACGAGCGACTAGAAAGGACCGTCGGAGTGAGAGAGGGGCCAGATAAGTAGCACGCGAGAGGTTGCGAAGGACGTGGCCCAGCACTCGTAATTGTACCTGGGACTTGCAGAGTGACAGGGCCTACGGAATGACAGTAAGTACCGTGTACCTGAGCCACTCCCGTCCTCGGCCTCCTTCTGGATCCAGCTTAGCGTCTCCCCCAGGGCTTGGCACCGGCCTTCCTGATTCAGCCAAGGCAATCTCGTCGTCATCTTGAGGGGGTCAGCTGGCTTCCAGGGACTCTATTCCTTGGCCTGCCTCGGCGTCTAGTCTAGGCGTTGTTGAGGCACGCGAGCGGTTGTGCCATATGGCTACTCCGTATTGCCCGCAGGCTCCACCTCTGGTTTGTTACAGGAAAGTACTCGCAATTGTGCACAGGAGAATCGCAAGAAGTCAAAACATCTCTAGCTCTATCGTTAGTTCCAGCCCGACTTGATCAGTGTGGGAACTCGATTGTAGTGCACTGATTTACAGAAGTGAACAGGGTTCTGCATCTTTCTCTACCAGCTGTGTTTCAGCCTTGTCGTTTCGAGGGCTTGAAAATCCAAGCCAGATAGAATCTACTTACCTAAGAGAAGAACAGTGTAGGTTAGTTCATTAACTTAACTATGGGTCACTTTGCATTTTGGCTTGCAAAACCACATTGATTGGCCTCTGTGGAAGACTGGCTGGGTACGGGGATTGCCCTCGCGACATGTTGCCCGGCCTTTCCATAGCGTTTGCTAGTCCTGTCAGATTGGGGGCCAGCTGTTACAACAATCCTCAGCTTTTGGATCCAGGAGATAGCCTTTACAGATATAACGAGTATTGTCGAAATGTCTAGAGAGCTCATCGTTCATGCACGGACCTACTGTTCATACACAGGGCAAGAATATTTGTGGGGGCGACAACCAGCATTTCTGGCATAACTGCAACTCCCTTTCAGGTGATCTATGCTCTCAGCACTATCGCAGGAGGAAAGAGTCTTCATACTGGAAGACTTATCTCTAGCTCACTAGAGTGGATGGCGCAATTTGTCCACAATTATGTACATTATTCGAGCCAGATGGAATCACGAAGGAGATCGTCTTTGCCTCTAGTCCTTGATAAAGTCCTTGAAGGGCGTACTTTGCACGAAGTTCAAGGGAGATAACCGGTCATTCGTCTCGTTCGTCTGTGCCTCGCTGATTCCACACGCCATTGCCTGTCCACTCCGGGCTGGGTTAATACCTCATCTATGTGGGAGTCCAGCTGATCTCCCATGGCATTGTGGCTTCAGTTGGCCGCCTAAGCCAAGGCTCTGACCAGTTTTGATCTCAAAGATGCCGAAATTTGCTGCTTTACTGTAAATGGGATGATTAAGGTTTCTCTCTGGAATCAGGCGCTGTAGATCATTCTACTCTTGGTTGTTATCAGTGTTGGCTGGACAAAAAGTCGGGTACTTTAGAACACAGGCTTGGAATTATATATAGATGCGAATATGTGGATGTATGGGAATGAATGCAGGTGCTGTGCAACATCATTACAGGTCCTCCTATATCCGCATAGAGTCCCAGTGAGCCAATCAACCAGTGATTCTATAGTAGAAGAGAGTTTATACAAACATTGCATGTCAGTTGTGGAGACACCGTCTGCTTATGTAACTGACATGCAGCACATGACGAAGGCGGCGACTTTCTGAGCGGTGACGCCGCTCTCTCGATTCAATCGCATTCCATCCGTCCCTTTAATATTATCTAGTCCCTTTGCTCATTCGAAAAGGATTACCCCCCTTCGTCTGAAGGGTATCAGACAACAAAATGGGCGCTCTACTATCTCTACCGCTTATGGTCATTCCGAGTGCTAGTACGGTATGTCTCCCTCAACACCTTCGGGCTACGGAACCCTCAACTCACTGTGAGATAGCTTATCACAGTTGCAACGTCATGTTGTGGCGCTGCAACTTGTTCGGCAGTGTGTAGCGCATGTGGGAAGTTTCAAAATAGGTGAGGATTCCGGCTAGTTTCGATGGCGTGGACATGGAGTGACTGATGAGTTGACTGACGGAAGTCCAGTATGGCTACGAGGATTGCCTACGCCTTCATTCTTTTGATCAATTCGATTATATCATGGATCATGCTTACGCCTTTCGCGCTCAAAAAGCTGCAACATTTGACCTTGGATTATATGGAAATTCGGTGTGATGGGAAAGAATGCACTGGTTGGGTAGCAGTTCATCGCATCAACTTTGGCCTGGGTCTCTTTCATCTCGTCCTAGCGGTTATGCTGCTTGGTGTGAAATCATCCAAGAATGGCCGTGCGGTCCTTCAGAATGGTTTTTGGGGCCCGAAGATTATCCTGTGGATTGCCCTCGTGGTTATGTCGTTTTTCATCCCGGAGCCATTCTTCTTTGTTTATGGCCACTATATTGCTTTCATCTGCGCCATGCTTTTCCTCTTGTTGGGACTTATTCTTCTGGTGGATCTGGCACATTCGTGGGCTGAGCTCTGCTTGCAGAAGATTGATGAAAACGACTCCAGGCTTTGGCGTGGGCTGCTTATTGGATCTACTGTGGGTATGTACATTGCGTCACTCGCGATGACGATCTTGATGTACATTTTCTTCGCTCGCAGTGGATGTGCCATGAACCAGGCAGCAATTACTGTAAGTTTTTTTTGGTTGTTCTATTCCCTGTCGTCTTGGAATGCGGGCTGACCGATTAGATCAACTTTGTCGTGTTTTTGATAATCTCCATTGTGTCCGTCCAGCCGGCAATCCAAGAGTCCAACCCCCGAGCAGGGTTAGCTCAAGCGGCTATGGTGACTGTCTATTGCACGTACCTGACCATATCGGCCGTTTCGATGGAACCAGATGATAACCAGTGCAATCCTTTGATTCGGGCTCGAGGCACGCGAACTGCTACCATTGTCTTGGGTGCCATTGCTACCATGGCCACGATCGCATACACCACGACCCGTGCGGCCACCCAGGGCATTGCATTAGGGTCCAAAGGTGGACACAACTATTCGCAGCTGGGAGCAGATGATAACGAACATGGACTTGTGACCCAACAGCCCACTAGTCGTCGTGAGATGCGCGCCGATGCTCTTCGTGCGGCTGTCGCCAGTGGTAGCTTGCCTGCCAGCGCCCTTGACGATAGCGATGATGAATCGGATGATGAGGACCAATCCAAGGACGATGAAAGAGGATCGACGCAGTACAATTACTCGCTCTTCCACATAATTTTCTTCCTGGCCACGACATGGGTGGCTACCCTACTCACCCAGAATTTGGACCCCGATTCCATCGATGACTTTGCTCCTGTGGGCCGGACCTACTGGGCCAGTTGGGTGAAGATAATCAGCGCTTGGGTATGCTATGCTATTTACTTGTGGACCTTGGTCGCCCCAGTACTCTTTCCCGATCGCTTCGATGTTTACTGAGTGAGGTGGAAATGCGGTTTTGTTGATTTCTGTTTCTGTCTTTTGCAAGCAGAGTAAGGCGTGTTATGATTGAAATTCTCCCCAATGCCTGTTGTATATTGCTGAGACCTTCGTTTGGGCCAACTGCTGCTACATATTAGCTCTACCAGTACGTTAATGACTAGTATTATTTTGAATGAAGTCACTGGTAACTATATTTGTTTCTTCTCTCTCTCTTTTTTTTTTTTTTTAATCTACTCTGTACTAGGTGATTGCATCGTAGTATGTAGACTCTGTACGTTGTCTGCAGAAATGCTTACTTATCGCGGCATCGCGTAAAGTGGCAACGAACGCGTGAATTCCGCGTCGGGCTTCAACCCCGACTGTCCACCATGGAATCATCATGGCAACCATCAAGGCCATCGAGGCCCGTTCGGTATGTTTTGCATTCTCTTTTATTTTCTACTCAAAGTTTGCTGTCTAATATTGTCCTGTGCACCTCCAGGTTCACCAAATCCAATCCGGTCAGGTTATAGTTGACCTCGCTCGGTTGCGAAGGAGCTGGTCGAAAATAGCATCGACGCAGGAGCTACGTTAATCGGTATGCTCTCTTTTAGGGTACTGCCGTGTATCGAATTCATTGATGACATCTGACGAGAATAAATCTGTACCCAGAGGTCCGATTTAAAAACAATGGGCTAGACCTGATCGAGGTGCAAGATAACGGCAGTGGAATCTCGCCTGAGAATTACGAGAACTTGGGTGGGCTTCTAACCATCAAACATGGCCAGAATTTTTGAATTCGATACTGATTGCTTTCAGCGCTTAAACACTACACCTCCAAACTGTCCTCGTACGATGATCTCTCGCGTCTACAAACCTTTGGCTTCCGCGGCGAAGCATTATCTTCCCTATGTGCCCTGTCCGATTTCCATATCGTCACGGCCCAGGCCAATCAGGCCCCCAAGGCGAGCCGCCTTGATTTCGAATCGTCTGGCAAGTTGAAGAAGTCACAGGTCGTCGCAGGCCAGCGGGGCACCACTGCTTCGGTGGAAGGCTTGTTCAAGAGGCTGCCCGTTCGACGTCGCGAGTTGGAAAAGAATATCAAGCGTGAATATACGAAGGTCTTAAACCTTCTACATGCTTATGCGTGCATCAGTACGGGTGTCCGATTCAGTGTCAGGAGTACAATGGGAAAGACACGAAATGTGGTTGCCTTCTCCACAAACGGCAACAAAACTACAAAAGAAAATATTGCTAACATCTATGGCGCGAAGACGCTTCTGGCCCTGATTCCACTTGATTTGGAGCTGGAGTTCGAACCATCGGCAGCCGCTAGGCGAGCTGCAGATGGAAATGGGAAACAGTTAAATAAGATCTTCGTTCGGGGACATGTCTCTAGACCGGTATTCGGGGAAGGAAGACAAACACCCGATCGTCAGATGTTCTTTGTGAATTCTCGCCCTTGTGGGCTACCGCAAATTGCAAAAGCATTTAACGAAGTCTACAAGTCGTTCAATATTTCCCAGTCACCGTTTGTTTTCGCAGATTTTCATATGGACACTGATGCCTATGATGTCAATGTGTCTCCTGACAAGCGAACAGTTCTACTTCATGATGCGGGGGCGCTGATTGATTCTCTAAAAGTCGCACTAACACAATTGTTCGAATCTTCCGATCAGACTGTCCCTCAGTCCCAGGTTCTTGGATCCAGACAGCCCGATTCCAAGCAGAGTAAAAAAGGCCTACATGATATCATCTCCCGAAGGCATACAGCCAACGAGGAACTTGATGATGCGGAGAATGATGAGCAAGATATTGAAGACGATGAAGTGGAGCAAAGTCAAACTAGCTTGCAAAGTAGAATGAAGGACTTTCTCAGTGGCCACAGCTCTCGTCAAGAACAAACAATTATGTCATCCTCCCCCGCAAGATTGAATATCTCGAGATTACAAGATATACCATCTTTGCCGACGACTCCTCGGACTACGCATGAACAACCCAGCCAGGACAGTGAGCCACGACCCAGAAAGAGCGATGGTCCAGCCGATAAAGTCTCATTGGGCTTAAGTGAAAACGTCACACCTCAGGGTTCTGCTGGACTGGACACGGAGGTCGATGAAGTTGAAGACCGCACCTGTCAGAGCAATGTCTCAGATGAAAACACAGCTCCTGCGCAGGAGGTAGACACTCTGGAGACGCCAAATACAATCCAGAATGCATTTGATAGAATGCGGCCAAGAAGAATGCCCCCCGAGGTTGCCACTATTACTATTGGCAACAGAACCGTTACCTCTATGGTGGGGAGTGGTGTCCCCAAAAAGAGGGACGGGGATTTTATCAGTGGTGACTATCCTTCAGCTCGGAAAAGACGGATTCACACCCCATCTCGCGCTGGTATATTTGGTAAGCAAATGAGAAATTTTGCTGCCCCGGGGTCCCAGTTAGAGCACGCGACGAACGGTGATGCCGAGGACGTTATGGAGGAAGATGAGGAAGAGGAGATCGAAGATGATGAAGAAGTTGAGCAATTCGAGGATGTAGAGTCTGAGGATGGATCTCAACTTTATTGTCCGTCAGATCAGGGCAGTGATCATTCGCACCACGACGCTGCTAGTCAGGGCTCGATTGAGCAAGAAGTTGGCCATGAAGATGAAGCTGCGACATCAGAGTCGCCTGCAACACCTGTTGCAAGACATATGGATGATGATGAAAAAAGGAAGCATGAAGAGGGAGAGGTTCAACGACTCATTCAAGAGGCAGAGGAGAAGGCCGTCTTGTCACAAGAAAGCAATGTCCACCGCGCGAATAAACTAAATAAGGGAGCTGCCCATCGCGACTCTACGGTCCAATTGGTGAGCACCATCAATGGGTCACTTTCCAGAATCCAATCCCAGGCGGAAACAATTCAAGAGAGTCTCCGGTTATATGTTACCGGTTCCGGCGATCTTCAAGACGCAATGGAGACATCGCTGTCGCAAGAGACAGCCGAGGAACAGTTATCTCTCACTGTGGCCAAGGATGATTTTGCCAATATGCGCATCATCGGGCAGTTCAACCTAGGGTTTATTTTGGCTACGCGGTCATCGACAGTTAAACCGGGTTCAGGATCGTCCAACGGCAAGGACGAACTGTTCATCATCGACCAACATGCCTCGGATGAGAAAATCAACTTTGAACGGCTCCAAGCAGAAACCGTAGTGCAGAATCAGCGATTGGTCCAGCCAAAACGATTGGACCTCACGGCGGTCGAGGAGGAAATCGTCATCGAGAACCAGCCCGCGTTGGAGAAAAACGGCTTTATTGTGGAAGTCGACAACAGTGGGGACGAACCCATCGGCCGCCGGTGCAAGCTGGTTTCACTGCCTCTAAGCAAAGAGGTAGTCTTTGGCGTGCGAGACCTGGAGGAACTGATTGTGTTGCTGTCTGAGATGCCGACCGCCAGCGCGACGGGCTCCGCGTCGCATATGTATATACCACGCCCTGGCAAAGTGCGGAAGATGTTCGCCATGAGAGCATGTCGGTCTAGCATCATGATCGGCAAAAACTTGACTCAGAGACAGATGGAGAAGGTAGTGAGGAACATGGGGACTATCGACAAACCATGGAATTGCCCTCATGGCCGACCGACCATGAGGCATTTGATGAGTCTACGACAGTGGAATGAGTGGGATGAATTCGGGGAGGAAGGGCTGGAAACCGAGGACCATCAATCGAGGGCAGACTCATTGAACATATGGAAAGGCTATTTCAGGTGTATGGCAGAGTCTGGTGATGAAGAGGAGGAGGATGAAGAGGAGGAGGATGAAGAGGAGGAGGATGAAGAGGAGGAGGATGAAGACGAAGTTGACGAGAGGTAGGAAAGGCATTTTGGATATGGACCTAGACATCTATCTAGCAATAACATTTCGGATACCCCCCGAGCTTTCTTCCAAGGACTATTGACAACTTATAGATGCACAATCCTGGACTCAGATATCAGTTCGGCTCCTGCTCCGATAGTTGCTGTTGAGCCTCTACACAATGCCTAATGGGGGCAACAAACCCTTTGGATCATATTTTCTCTGGATCGGCCTTCTCGTCGTCGCGGGCGACATTCACTCTAAATTATATTGCGCCTTCGGGATCGCCATCCGACGCGGGGAACGCGTAGCTGATCTCAACATGATCCATCTGCAATGCAGGTCTCTCCAGGTCGCCTATTAGATGTTGCTGATGTTCCCCGTTCCTCCCAAGTGGGGAATCAAGCGGGGAAGGGCCGGAAGACGATGTTGCTTCGGGATCTCATCCCGAGTCTACGCTGGTTGATACAAGTAGCCCATGGTTGCCCATTTGGGAACCAGTGAGGACATGACAAGGTCCATCCATATTTCTCATCATGCGGTCAGTGGTTACGACACAGCTGGTACGTGCTGTTGGCCTGCACCGGTTACCGCCATTGATGCATCGATCCATGAGCCTTTGGCATCCCCCCAGGTTTGAGAATGAGAAGACGGTAAGTGGATGTCATTTATTCCAGAGGACGTATGAGCTAACAAGAACCTTCAGCTAAACTATGAGAAGGGGTCCCCTGAGAGAATCGAATTGACCCAAGCTCTGCAGAAGCTGAAGCGTAAGGTACCGGTCCAAATCCCCATCACTGTCAACAGATATACGGTGAGGCTCTTGTCTTTCAAGCTAGAATTGACCATCGGCTGATGAAAGGGACAGCTGGAAACTCGGCAATCCTGCAAACAAGAGAACCCGTCGAGACACCGTGAGATTGTGGCCGAGTATGCGACAGCAACCCCAGAGCAGGCGAATGCTGCCGTCGATGCTGCCTTGAGGGCCAAACCTGCCTGGGAGGCAATGCCCTTTGAGGATCGCGCATCGATCTTCCTACGTGCCTCGGAGCTCATTGTCGGCAAGTATCGCTCGGAGCTGGTCGCCGCCACCATGCTGGGCCAGGGTAAGAATATCTGGCAGGCGGAGATCGACGCATCCACTGAGACGGTGGACTTCTTCCGCTACTACATCCAAGAATGCTGGTCACTATTTTCCCAGCAGCCCAAGGTCCAACCGGCCGGCACCTGGAACAAGCTGGAGTACCGTCCCTGGAGGGCTTTGTCTACGCCATTGCGCCTTTCAACTTCACAGCGCTGGGCGCCACTCTGATCGGACCCGCCGCGCTGTTGGGCAACGTGGTGATCTGGAAACCGTCCGATTCGGCCTTGCATTCCAGCTGGCTGCTGCACCAGATCCTCCTGGAAGCGGGACTGCCCAAGGATGTGATCCAATTCCTTCCTGGCGACGCCGAGGAGGTCACCAACACCCTTCTGCAGCGACCTGAGTTCGGGGCGCTGACCTTTATCGGATCTACGCAGGTGTTCAAGGGCCTGCAGAAGAAGGTTGGAAACGGGATCGGCGATGGCCTCTATAACTCCTACCCCCGGATCATTGGCGAGACCGGCGGCAAAAATTGGGGATTGGTGCACCCGTCCGCTAACATCCGGAACGCGGCCTTGAACACCATCCGAGCAGCCTTTGAGTACCAGGGACAGAAGTGCTCGGCCAACTCGCGCGTGTACGTAGCGGAGTCCGTCTGGCCTGAGTTCCGACGACACCTGCAGGAGGAGCTGGCCCAGGTCAGCGTCGGTCCCGTCGACGAATACCGCCATTTTATCAATCCGGTGATCCATCGGCGGGCCTTTGACCGGTTAGCCCAAGTGATCGAGGCCGCAAAACAGGATCCGGAACTGGAGCTAATCGCCGGGGGCCAGTCCTCCAACGACGAGGGATACTACGTTCATCCGACAGTCTACCGAACAACGAACCCACGACACGAGATCATGTCGCGCGAGTTGTTCGGGCCCATCCTGGGCGTCTACGTGTATCCTGACGACGAATGGGAGTCGACTCTGGGGCTGGTGGATACAACATCGCGCTATGCGTTGACGGGCAGCATCTTCGCCAAGGACATCTATGCGTCACGCCAGGCGCAAACGGGCGCTGAAGCACGCAGCGGGCATGCTCTACATCAACACCAAATGCACGGGATCCATGGTAGCCCAGCAACCATTTGGAGCAGTCGAGACTCCGGGACGAACGACAAGACAGGGACGATGGCGCATCTCCAGCGCTTCATCAGTGTACGGACCATCAAGGAGGACTTTGGCACGCTCGACAGAGTACAATATCCATCCAATGAATAATATCATATTCTTATATAACTGAATCAAACAAACCCCAAAAATATATATAAAAATTATATATAAAAAAAACTACCACCAAAACCACCCGCTCTTCCCCTTCCCTTTCACATCCCCATTCCCATTCATCTCCTCACCCTCCCCATCACTTCCACTCCGTCTTCCCTCCCTCTCCTCCGCCAACCTCACCGTCTCCTCCACCACAAGGAGATCCCTCTCAATCAGCTCCGCCCAGTTCTGCACGTCCCCGATCTCCTTAAGTCCGTCGCGCGCCTGATCCGCCACCTTGGCCCACTGATCGTTCTGCTTGCGAAGTCCCTCCGTCGCGCGATGTAGACCCGTTTCCTGTTTCGTCAGCGCAGAGGCATTCTCGTGGATCATGCGTGCGCGTTCCCGCAGCTCCGTCTCGTGGTTTGCGCCGACGGAGCGGAGCGAGGCCGTAAATGCTGCTTTGGCTTCGGCAGCTTGTTGGGATTGAGACTGGGATTGGTAGGGAGGGGAGGTGGTGGGGTTGTTATTGTTATTGACATTAACATTAGCAGTGACATTGGTATTGGTATTAGTATTAGTAGTATTGGTAGATGGGAGAGAGGATGAGGAGGGTTGAGTGGAGGTCATTTTGATAGACAGTTGATTCAAAGTGTCCAGAGAGTTGTTGATGATGAAAATACTCCGTACAGAAGATGGATTTATATCCAACAAATCTATCAGATGACCCCACCACGCTAGTTGTACATACTGCATGCTGTATACGTCGTGATCTCCTTATTGAGTAACATGCCAATTATGTCCATTATCAACAGTATTATACGTCCATAATCCCTATATGCTCAATCTCAATCAATCATCCCTAACGCCCTGCATGTCCAGCTGACAATGATATGATATGTCTTAAATCAACAGTTTCGCTGTGCACGCAACCCATTTCAACAGCACAAAAATAAAGCAAAATGACAAACCAGAAAACTAAAAATTAAAAAAAATAAAGAAAAAAATACACCCGTCCTCTATTTTTACATACTGGCTAGCTCTTGATCAATCTGGCGATCTAGGAACGCCCGCTTATCTCCAGTCAACGTTGTTTGGAGTCGTTGCTCAACCAAGGCACGAACTGGTAAAAAAAAAAAGTTAGCCAATAGTCCACGTCCCTACGGCAGTAATTTCGGCTTACCTTGTTTCTTCGTCACCGTGTCCAAGTCTACCTCTGCCAGACAACCCCGAATGGCTTCCGTGATGGCCATCTCATCCGGTCCGCCGCTGCCACGGAAGTCAAAGGCACTTTGGGGTCTGGACTGGAATCCGCCACCGACGGGGCTCCGAGAGTGCGGCCGTTGGCCTCCAAGAAGATTGTCTGTGCTCTGCATCAATCCAACACTATGCCGGCTCGTATTCATACCACTCTCATGGAACTGGCTCAGATGGCTGAGATTACCCATAGACATCTGTCGCGGTGTATTTTGTCCACCTTGAAGTGGCAAATCGGTGTACCTGCTGAGGTGGGAGAGATGCGAATGCCTGTTGCCCGGGTAGTTGCCACCGAAAGGAGCCGGCGATTGCGGCGGCATGTACGGGTTCCCATTACGACCCTGACCAGGGAAGCCGGTTAGGATCGTGGAAGCAGGCTTTACCGAGGAGTAGTTCGAATGCATATCGTCCAATTCCATGGCCGTCTCATCCATATACCGACCGCCATATATCTTCTCCTGGCTCATGCTATACTCCCCACGGCGACCAGGAAGGTTGTTGGCGAGAGCGTAATCATCCCAGCGCTGCAGAGGAATGCTGCGGGGGTCAAAGGGCTCGTCCTCCACCGCTATAACACGCTTGGATCCCTTCTCCCCAATGACAATACGGGTGCTTCCCCAACTGAAATCATCCTGCTTCCAGAACGAATAAAGGGGCAGGACGAAACTGTAGATCGGATAGGCGCAGAGGTAAATGATCATCCATCCGATATGCTGCCATTGACGCTTGACGATGAAGATAATCGCCTGGAGACCATAGACACCCGCCAGCATAGAGATAGCGATCGTGGGAAACGGGCCCGTGTGACTGGCAATTCGGTAAATAAGATACCCTAAATAGACACAGGTCGCAGGCAGGATAACAGTTCCGATGAGGTCGACCAGCACGACGAAGCGCATACTGAAGCAGCAGAAGCCACAAAGATCCTTTAGAGCTGCTAGTTCAACGAGGTTATGCACTGTCGAATTGATCCATCGACGCCGCTGTGATAGCAGGACAGTCCATTCCTCCGGTACGGCAGTACTGGCATACGCATCGGGAAGAAACTTGTATAACATGGTCGGGAAGTGTTTCGTCATCAGCGTAGTCAGATAACGATCCTCACCCAGCGAAAGCAGGTTCTTCTTATGAAGGGTATCCACATTAATGGCCGCATATTCATGGACAACCTTGTCCGAAACAATCAGGGGGCGACCCTTGTCCGCAGTTCGTAGACGGTACATAGAGAAACTATTGGCTGGGTTAGAAAATGCACCGGATTCCAGATACCACTGCAGCAGGACCACTGCAGAAGGCAGGACTCACCATCCAGGAAGACAGGTCACGCTGCCAAAAAGGGATTCGAACGCCTTTGACAGGTGGTGGGAAATATAGTACTCATAGACCTGAATCATCGTCCACCAGCTTCGACCCTCATTCTGGAGACTGGTCTCACCGCAAATGCCGGCAATTCGAGCATCGTTGGCACATGCAGCAACCAAGCGGTTAAGCGAGTCTTCCCGAACACTGGTGTCTGCGTCTACCATGAGACAATACTCATACAGCTCAGGGTCGACGCCAATCACATTGTTAATCTGGTGGAAAATTTCGAGCTCAAGAGGCGACATCGGAGCGCGGTGATGCACGCGGTTAAGGAAGCTGAGTAGTTGGATCTGGGAGTCACGCTTACCCCTGTTACCGGGCTTCGACTTATTCTGCTCGGACTCCTTTCCGACTTTGACCACAACAACATATGGCACAACGTTGCCCTCGTACTCATATAAGCCGGAGTAGACTTTGCCATAATTCAGTTGATCGCTTCCTTGCCCAATAGACTTGAATGGCAACGCCGGGGGGTCGATCTTCGGGTCAACCCCCAGGATGTCGAGAACGATCTTGGGTGTGGGACGGTCGTTGCCACCGCCGACGATCATGCCATCGCAAATTACGTAGATCAACTTCCTCTTGTTGTCATACTGAAGGGCTGTCAACGAGTCAAGGCCTTTGCGTAGTGCATCCTCGCCCTCGGTATAAGCCGGCACCAGGCAGATCACAAACTTGTCTTGTGGTGCAGGGCGACGCTTAGTTCCTAGCTGAAGGGCAGCAAGGAACTTTACAACAACGACAACGCCGATAAGAACGGCAAACGAAAGCAGAATCCAGTTGTTGACCGTACACTTCGGCTCATCGCGGAAATCCGTTCTTCCTTTATAGAAGACATAATCAAGACACTTCTGAGCCTCCTGCGCCTCTTGCGTATTGGGCCATTTATCGGTGACATCAGTGCCCGGATTACTCTTGACGAGTTCCGTAATGCTCTTGGGCAAGAAGTCGTAGTCCTTGTTGTTGTTGCTCCTCTTCAGAGAGTAGAAATAGTCTGTCAGATCGTAGATACCATTGTCCTTAATGACCCAGTAACGCTGGTCGGCGTCCGCCTGCTTAGCGACCACACCCTTCGTCCAAACCAGGTCTCCCTTGTAGTACTCTTTAATTTTTGGTAAGAAGATCTTTTCGTACCAGGTTATCTCGTGAAGCTTCGTCTTCGGGTTTGGCTGATTCATAGGCCCGGAATCATGTTTACCGTTGGAGTACTCGACGGCAGTGGTATCATTGTACTGCAGTACGACTAATTCGTCGGTGACAAACGGGTCGCAGAACCGAGTCAAAGGAGGAGGGAAATAGGCGTCCAGAATCTTTCCAGCAAAAGGTTCCATATTCGATGAGGTGGTCTCAATATCGGTATCACTGTGCTGAAGTTTGGCGAATTTGGTAATATCGTACACCTTACCGTGGATGCCGACGTAAAAGTCATTGGGAGCTTGATGATAGCCCAATTCTTTCTGGTTCCAGGCTTTGTCTCTATTCGGACAAAGCAGGTTACCAAACTCAATGATGTAAAAACAAACAAGACCATTGAAAAGGAGGATGAGGAGAACAAGGACCACCTTCTCCCGCCAGGCCATTCGCACGTCAGGGCGTTTCATTCGGCCAATGTACCGAAGGACAAAGGACGGGATCCAGAAGGTCAATGCCCAGACGAATCCGACCCAGAGGCGACGGCCAAAGGTCATGTCTTGCTTTTCAATATGGTGCGGCTGGCCAATTTCGGGATCGAGCTCACCACCGAAGGTGTCGTAAGGATTGTCATATTTCTTCTCATCTCCCTTAGAGCCAAGACCATAGTCGCCTGCCATATGAGGTACGCTAGGTGCGATCGACTTCCCACCTCCGACACTGGGAGCCAGCATGCTTTGCCTCTGCAAAAGATTGTCTCGGCTCCCCAGGAGGCTGGTTGACTCTGCGATAGGTTGACCTCCATAAGTTGGGACACCAGGATCAAGCATACCTTGTCCGTACATGAAGGGGTTTGCTGGTGGCGATTCATTTGGTTTCAGATCAAGCATAGTTTCAGCTTCCCACCATGCGTTTTCCCTCATCCAGATGCGCTGGTGACCGACAACCGCATCACCATTTGTCCAACCCCTTTCGACTAGCCAGTTTTCCACGCCATCCTTGCCATCTGCACAACCGAGTCGGGAATACCTGCCGACAAATTCTTCCACATCGAAGTCGGCTGTGAAATCAAGTTGCTTGAGACGACGATTCGCCCACTCGCTAAGCCTCCAGTCGCGGATTTGACGAGACACAGCCCCGGCAGCCCACGCCGCAGATGACGAGGTCAGAGTTTCGGGCAAGTCATCAGTTGGGTGTATTGAAATGTGATGCCACACCCGACTACTGCCTAGCACAGTAGCAAGGTCAAATCGACCTCTCTGACCAACTGTGATTCCTTCAGACTCCACGGGGAGTAGAAGCTGCCGGAGAAACGCGTCCGGCTCGACCTCTAAACTGACCTTCTCCAAAACTCCTTGTCTTTTGTCAAGTTCATATTCTCGTTCGCGCCAAGCAGGGCCCGTGGTTATCCCCAAATCCGCCTCGACTTGGGACACGGCGGCAGTCGTTTCGGTCGTAATTGCGTGCCCAACAGGAGGGGTGGGAACCCCATCCTCTTTCATTTCTGCATTGATACCCAGAGAGTCATCAAATACGCCTCTCATTGCCACCGCCTTACCAAGAGCTGGTCTGGGGATATCGACCACAGTAATGCTCACCGAATCATCATCGGAGTGCTGGCCAGCATGGCCAGAACCACCACTGCTCTGGGGGCCATTTTCAAGGTACGCCTGAATTTCATTCCCGATAGCCTCGTTGGCTTTACTGATTACCCAGTCGACCAAGGCTTCGTAGACGCCCGAAATCAACAGTCCTCGTTCGTCGGTGGAGCATTTATGAAGGAGGATCTCAGGGTCTAGACCTAGCAATCCTCCAACTTCCTCGCAAGCTTCCTCCAGATTTTCCTGATCGACTAAAAAGCCCGCCGCATCACCCAGTTTCAGGAGACCTGCAAGCACTGACAGCAAGCCCCGCTGAGAGGCCCCTTTGATGCCAATTGCCTTCAAGGCAGCACGGAAATCTTCGGCAGAGGCCGCGTCGTCCGCAGTGGGAAGGTACGAAGGAGGCGTATACGTGCCCGATTTATTGAGCAACGCATACGCGGAGAAGTCCTTCAGATCGAGAAACTCCCGCTCCGCAGGTGTCGAGGCGGAGGTCAGGAGGTAATAAAAGACATCAAACGCGCGATATCCCGGCTCAGACGGAATATCCAGCAATCCCTTGTGGACATTAATGCCCGACGTTGAGAGTGCTAGAGAGAGTCCCGTGATATCGCCTTTCAGGGTAAAGGTGTAGCAAGCGGAGAGCGCGGAATAGAGGGAATATGATGGATTGAAGGAAGTTACAGCAGATAGAAACGGTCTCAGAGCGGCGAGTGCAGTGAAAGTGATGCTTGGAGTGGATAGAGGTAATGCCGCCAGGAAAGGTTCCAGGATAGACGGGGCTGATTGGTGAGTGGAACTAGGAGTAATCCGTCAGCCAAAGACACCTTTCGTATGTGATCCGCCAATGTCAGTACAAACCTCAGTACAATGCACCCATCCTCTGCCCTTCGCCTCGCATGCTCCCAAGCTCTGACAGGCAAATCTCGGTCTACGATACCACCACTGTGGCCATCGGGAGTTGTTTGGGTAGCAGTAAGCCAAGTATTTACCACGAGACTTGTTCCTGCGTCCAACTGGTAAGGTTGACCCGAATTATAATAGGTGTGCAATGCATTCAACAGCGTTGTCGTTGACACCTGGGAGCCTGACTGGGGAGCTGGGCGAACTCCCGAGGACAAGCCAGCCGAATGGCTAGAGTAAACCGAAAAGCGATTTGACATTGACATGATGCGCTTCGATCACGCAACACAGTGTTTAAACGACCGTGGCGGCAAGCTGCCCTGGTGAGAAACCCTGACCAGCCAGAAGCAACGAGCGTGAAGACTGGAGTGGATTGAAGATCAAAACATGTAGTATTTACGCTTCATTCAAAGGTGGAAGAGTCGATGTATGCGAGCTTGGGGTATAATTTTACCAGCTTAAAAAAAGACAACTCTTGATGAGGAAAGTGGGATAAGACCGCGATGTGAAATGGAAGATCTGTTTGCCCTTCAAGCCTAGTCAGGATCTTCGATTTGTGGGAGCCAGTGGTAGGAATGTGGCAAGTAGCGAATGAGGCGGTCGAGATTCTGATTATAATCGGGAAGGGGGGGGGGATAATTCTGAGCGAGAGACAGAAGAGAGATGAGAGAATAAAAACTATTATGAAACTGTGGTAATAAACAAAGAAACGAAAGAAGAGGGTGAGGGTAGAAGACAAGATCAAATGCGCTGCTCCAGAGTGACAATTGAAAAAGCAAAGCAAAAACCGAAAACCATGGAGACTGACGATTGCCAGGTGGATGATTAGTAGTAGTCAAGAAAAGAAGAGAGCCACATAGTCTGACTGTCTTCTGTTCGGCGACACCCCATAACTCTCCAGTAGCTTAACTGGATGGGGTTTGGTAGCGAAACCATCAAATGAAAATTACTTGGTGCAGTAACCCAGTACTGAAACCCGAACTAATTCGGAACACAGTGAAAAACTAGCCGTTCAGTAGGTAATGTTAGCCAGTGAATTTGCAAGACATCTATTTTTTTCACCCTTTAATGTTAAAGGATTGGGATGGGACAAACTCTAGTGTATGTAAATCTAGGTGGAATAGTAAGAAACTTGCTCGGGAGGTAAATTTGGCGTGGTTGGTTGCCTTCTTTGGGGTTTGTTTTAAAATAGCTGTATTATATATGAATAAACCTGTTATGTGGTGTGCATCAAAAACTTTCAGCCAAACTTTCAGCCCAACCAATCAAGGCCGCAAAAAGGGTCGGATCGGGTCCCAGGCCCCGAAGGGACCCTATAATTGGCACACTTTGTCTCACCCGCCTTGTCCCTGGTTAATGGAGGACACTTTGTCTCAGTCAAACCCAACAACTGCCCTCCAGCTTGCCACTGTGTTAAAAATTTACAGCGTCTCTGTTGGTTGTGTTCTTCCTTATTGTCTTTCTTTCTATTTTGGGAATAGATGCTGTCATATATGCAGTCTATCTGGAACCTCCTATGATAACTGTCTTTGATGTTGTTATTTTTATTCTTTTAGACCGGCCATCTCCTAGCGGGATCTGGCCATGTTCCATGAATGTCTCATGCAGAGCCATACCACTAAAGTACAGTATCTTAAATACCTATGTAATTTGGATATATTTTAAAACTTGCCCAATTTGGTTCTTTTTTGCCATGCATTTCCATCCAAAGTTCCATAGCCTATACTCCGTACACTCTTCTTCGTCGAAGCCCTTTACGGGAAATGGCTGAAATGTATGAAAAGTTCAAAAAGCAGCCGACATTCCACAATCTTCCAGGATGATAGGAATGGAATGGAGTACCAATCGATAGCCACACCCACTATGCACCCTAGTTTCACGCCTTTCCCCTTCTAATAACAGATCGAATGATCCGATCCACATGTAAATTCTCCTCCCATATGACTTCTTATCTTTTCTCTCCTGGTCTCCCCGTCTGTTCTTTGGCTCAGTCACCCATCATAATCGATCTTCAAGGTACCTGTGACATGAACAGAGTGCCATAACCATACATCCATAAACTCTTTAATGTCCCATATCCAGGTAGATACAATGGATAGACCACTCCGGTAGCGAGTATATGGAGCGTCACAGTACCTTGGTACTAAGGTATATGGAGGGGCGGAAAAGTCCGCCGAGGTGCAACTTGCATTTATTGGTTCCGCTCTGTGGATAGTGTTCGACTCGAATTGTCAAGGGGGTCAATTGCTACTTAGTTAATGAAACCCCCTGACGGCTTGATTAGGGTCCGAATGATATTTGACTGGCATCCGCGTGTGGCGTTGAATGATTGACATAGTACGTACACAGTATCGAATGGACGGGATTTCCGTCTTTTCTCCCAGGTATGGATACGGAATCCATGGTAGTATTTTATCTGAGACGGCCCTCGGGAGCGTATGTACTTTGTAATAGTATTTATCTGAACTTCTGGTGGTGAATCACCAGCAACGACCTATTAACATAACTAAACAACCTGGGATTTAGAACCAACTGGGAGTGAATCCCCACTTGGACGTTCCCTAATCTACTGGTCCTTGGTTGGCTGTCTAAAATTATAACGAATGATCACCATCCATCAATACACATTATAATCCATGCAGACACAATGCAGCTGATGTGGTGGTCGTCGAGGAATTCAGTCCATCCTGTATGCAGAAGTGCAGTAGAGGGTGTAAATTTACTCCTCCTTCCATACCCTATAGCTACATAGCACCTACCTAAGTACCTAGTACATACTCTGTGGAGCACTCCGTACCTGGGAGGAGTACGGAGTAGGTCGGGTTTAGATACAATAATACCACCTCTCTCGTAAATGGTCGGACTTCCTAGTAATTTGAAAAATGAAGACACCGACACCCAGTCTTGTTTTGTATGTACCACGGTGGTGGTAACAATACTGAATACACACTTACCCAGTTTGGCAACCTGGGCGTCTTTTTCCCCGGAACTGCCACTAATCACTTCTTGTTCGTCTACCATTTGACTCTCTTTTTTCCCCATCTCTTCGCAGCAGCATCTTCATCTTGCTTGTTTTTGTTACTGCTTTGTACTTAATGATCATTCACCTACCTTCGTTTTATCCTTGACCACTCTATATACAATTGCTCCGTCTTAAGCTAGGTCCACCCCTCTCTATCGTCCCTCGTTTCTTTGCGGGACCACGGGTTGTTTCAAGTCAGATTTCCTGTGCTCGAATCTCAGGTCCCAGCTGTTATCTACGCCAATCTTGAACTGTCCAGTTATCTGTTTGCCTGTCTCGTCCGCTGTGCAAGCAATGTTTTTGTCGCCTTTCAACTGCTAGGAATTTCCCAATCAATTTTACCAGCCGCAAAGGCCGCATTCCTCCATCCTAAGTTAGTCTGCCGTCGTCCATGTTGTCCAGTCGAATCTAGGACTCTGCCAAATTCCAGACCTTTTGAGGAGGTCGCCTGAGATTCTTTTTCTTCTCCTCCTTTCTTTCTTTCTTTATTTTTATTCTTATTTTATTTTATTTTATTTTATTTTTTTTTTTTGCCTGATCTTCGGATCTGTCAAGTTATCCTAGTTTTACTGCTCCCAAAGAGTTCGTGGAAATTTCCTAGTGTCGAGGCTTCGACACGACCAACAGAATGGTCGGGCAATCCCCAGTGGGGAGCACTCCAACCCATGCGCAGTCATCACTTCCCTCGTTGCCATCGCATCTACAGTCCGACACACATTTGACGGCGCATCTGGCCAGCCGGTATGATCCCCGGTTTATTTCCAACCCTGCGGCCCGTACAGGATACTGATTGAATATATTTGCCCTATAGATTCCATGTCGGTTTACCTACAGCTCGCCTGTCTTCCCAGGCGGTGATCAGCCTCAACACATATACTTCATCATCGAAGGGTCCTGATGGCGCCAAAGAGGGTAGTGCCATGGGGGAAGCGGAGGACCTCGCTCGACGCGCCTTTACTCGTCTCGGAGCTCGTGGGGAGAACCAGGCCATTGTTTTTCTGTATGTGCTTATCGATGTGTCTTGATCTTTACTGGAGCTAACCATTTCTTTCCAGAGGAGAGAGCGGGGCTGGGAAAACCACGATTCGTGCACATGTGGTGTCTGCGTTTTTGTCCTTTTCGTCAACGCCGTTGTCATCGAAATTGTCCTATGCTGCCTTTGTTTTCGATACCTTAACGACAACGAAATCATTGACCACCCCAACCGCATCGAAAGCTGGTCTTTTCTTGGAATTACAATACGATGGGTCGACCTCTGTTAGCCCTACCCTGATTGGTGGTAAGATCATTGACCATAGACTCGAGCGAAGTCGGATTGCATCCGTGCCTACCGGAGAACGAAGTTTTCATGCCCTCTACTATCTTCTGGCCGGGACGAGCGCTGCCGAAAAGGCCCATTTGGGCTTTGACAACCCCGTACATGTTTCAACTGGTGCAAAGCTCTCGTCGGCTTCGGTGAGCCATAAAAGATGGAGATATCTTGGTCATCCCACGCAGTTGAAGGTTGGCATCAATGATGCCGATGGTTTCCAGCATTTCAAGACCGCGCTGAGGAAGCTGGAATTCCCTCGAAGCGAAATTGCCGAGATTTGCCAGATCCTTGCCGCTATCTTGCATATTGGCCAGCTGGATTTCATCAGCGGACAAGCCACCACCACTTCTGCTGAAGAATCTGGTGGATATTCTCACGAGGGTGGCGAAACCATCACTATGGTGAGGAACAAAGATGTTCTCTCCATCGTTGCCGCTTTCATGGGTCTCAGCGTCGAAGATCTTGAAAATAGCTTCGGATACCGGACAAAGACAATTCACCGCGAGCGAGTAACTGTGATGCTTGACCCAATGGGCGCACGCCAGAATGCGGATGAGCTTGCTCGAACCATTTACTCCCTTCTAGTCGCATACGTGATTGAAACGGTCAACCAAAGGATATGCGCTGCCGAGGACAGTGTTTCTAATACTGTTTCGATCGTTGATTTCCCCGGATTCGCTCAAGCCTGTGCCACAGGCTCTACCTTAGACCAGCTGCTCAGCAATGCGGCGACTGAGTCGTTGTACAATTTTTGCCTGCAGTCCTTCTTTGACAGGAAAGCCGATATGCTAGAGCGTGAGGAGGTTGTTGTGCCTGCCACCAGTTACTTCGACAACACCGATGCTGTTCGTGGTCTGCTGAAACAAGGTAATGGACTTCTAAGCATTCTTGATGACCAGACCAGACGCGGACGGACAGACTCCCAGTTCCTCGAGTCTGTAAGGAAACGTTTTGAAAACAAGAATCCGGCCATTACCGTTGGGGGCTCCCATGGGACTGGCTATGTCTCTCAAGGGGGACGCTCAGCTTTTACGGTGAAACACTTTGCTGGTGAAGTCGATTATTCTACCGCCGGTTTAATTGAGGAGAACGGAGAAGTTGTTTCAGGAGATCTGATGAACCTTATGAAGTCCACAAGCAGTGACTTTGTGAGAGAGCTCTTTGGTCAAGAGGCGTTGCAGACTGTGACGCACCCGAAAGAAAAAACAGCCATCATGCAGGCACAAGTAAGCTCAAAGCCTCTGCGAATGCCGAGCATGGCTAGGCGTAAAACCAGTCCCTCCAGCAGACTTACTTTCGATGCCCCGGCTGCCGACGATCAAGATGAATATGACAGCCAAGTGGGTGGCTCGACCAAGGCCTCATCTAGGCGGAAGAGCAACATGATCGGGAGTGGCATGCAAGGTGCTGCGGGCCAATTCCTCTCCTCGCTGGACATTGTCAGTAAAAGTCTGAGCTCGCCCAATCTCAACCCATATTTTGTCTTTTGTCTGAAGCCAAACGACAGACGAATTGCGAATCAGTTCGACAGCAAATGCGTGCGTGCCCAAGTGCAGACTTTCGGCATTGCTGAGATCAGTCAACGACTTAGAAACGCTGATTTTAGCGTTTTCCTTCCTTTTGCTGAATTCCTCGGGTTGGCCGAAATCGGCAACGTCGTGGTTGGCAGTGATAAGGAGAAGTCAGAGGTTGTCTTGGATGAGAAGCGATGGCCTGGAAACGAAGCTCGAGTTGGCAGCACAGGCGTCTTTCTTAGCGAGCGTTGTTGGGCAGATCTAGCGAAGGTAGGGGAGAAGGTCGTTCCTGTCTACGCCGCTGAAGGGTCAGATGAAGGCGGCGACTTGCTGCATCCTCGGAGTGCTGGCTACATGGATTCCAAGGTCCGTCTTCTCAACCCTGCCGACCAGACTCCTGGCACATATATCTATGGAGAGGACAACAAACAGGGGTACTTTGGTAGCCGTGATTTGGATGGACGCTCTGATGCCGGTGGTTCTGCCTTCAATTCAGGCGACATGTTCCGCAATTTGGAGACCAGGGAGCAGATGTTGGAGAAGGGAAATGAAAAGAAAATGGAAGAGGTAGACGATACTCCTGTTTCTGGTAGCCGCAAACGTTGGATGGCGATTGTCTACCTGCTCACCTTCTACATACCTGACTGGGTAATTAAAGTGTTTGGCCGCATGAAACGGAAGGATGTGCGAACCGCATGGCGCGAAAAATTTGCCATCAACCTGATTATCTGGCTCAGTTGTGGCATCGCAATCTTTATCATTGTCGGCCTTCCCGGTCTAATATGTCCGACACAACACGTTTATTCAGCTTCTGAGTTATCGTCGCATGATGGTAAAAAGGGTCATAGCTCTTACATTGCTATTCGTGGGGTGGTTTTTGACCTCGACAAGTTCATGCCCACCCATTATCCAGACGTCGTACCAGAGTCAGCGTTGAAGAAATATGCAGGGTTCGATGCGACTGGCCTCTTTCCAGTGCAGGTTTCCGCTCTCTGTCAAGGCAAAGATGGGCAGGTTAATCCAGCAGTGCTCTTGGACTACAAACCGACGAATGTGTCTGGCTCGGCCACAACTATCAGCGCCGGCGATCCCAATGCCAGATATCATGACTTCCGCTACTTCACTAATGACTCGCGCCCCGATTGGTTCTACGAACAAATGGTTACCCTGAAGGCGAACTACAAAAAGGGATACATCGGCTACAGTCAGCAGTACCTTACAACTCTGGCAGATAAACAGTCGAAGTCGATCGCAAGCATCAACGGCAATATCTATGACTTGACGGAGTATGTCGCTGGCGGTCGAAGGGTTCAGGCCCCCCCTGGGAAAGAGGTTCCCCCTAATGTTGACCGTGACTTCATGGACCCTCAGGTGGTGCAGCTTTTCCAGCAACTGTCTGGTAAGGACATCACCAAATATTGGCAAAATCTGAACATGGATGAAGCGCTTCGGAACCGAATGCAGCTCTGCTTGGACAATCTATTTTTCGTGGGCCACATTGATACACGTAATTCGGTCAAGTGTCAGTTTTCTCAGTATTTCCTCCTCGCAATTTCGATCTTCATTTGCTTGGTTGTGCTCTCCAAATTCCTGGCTGCCCTCCAATTTGGGAAAAAGACCGTCCCTGAAAATCTCGATAAGTTCATCATTTGTCAGGTGCCAGCATATACAGAAGATGAGGAGTCTCTTCGCCGTGCCATCGATTCCATGGCTCGGATGCAGTATGATGACAAACGTAAACTTCTTGTTATCATCTGTGACGGTATGATTATTGGACAAGGGAATGACCGTCCTACGCCTAGGATAGTTCTCGACATTCTCGGGGTCCCGGAATCAGTGGATCCCGAACCACTCAGCTTGGAGGGCCTAGGGGAAGGGTTGAAGCAGCACAATATGGGCAAGGTGTATTCAGGCCTGTACGAAGTCATGGGTCACATTGTTCCCTTCCTTGTTATCGTTAAGGTTGGAAAGCCTTCCGAAGTATCGCGCCCTGGTAACCGAGGCAAACGGGACTCACAGATGGTTTTAATGCGATTCTTGAACCGTGTTCATTACAATCTTCCCATGAGTCCCATGGAACTGGAGATGCACCATCAGATACGCAATGTCATTGGTGTCAATCCAACGTTCTACGAGTTTATCTTGCAGGTCGATGCGGATACAGTCGTTGCTCCCGATGCAGCCACTCGAATGGTGGCATCCTTCCTGGGTGATACTCGTGTCATTGGTGTCTGTGGAGAAACGGCCCTGACTAATTCCAAAACATCTGCGGTGACTATGATCCAAGTCTACGAATACTATATATCCCACAACCTCATTAAGGCCTTCGAGAGTCTGTTTGGGTCCGTCACTTGTATGCCAGGTTGTTTTTCCATGTACCGCATTCGCTCTGCAGAAGCCGCAAAGCCACTTTTTGTCAGCCACGAGGTCGTGAATTCCTATTCTGAGATCCGTGTCGATACCCTTCATATGAAGAACCTCCTGCACCTAGGCGAGGACCGTTATCTAACGACTCTTCTCTTAAAGCATCATCCCAAATACAAGACCAAATATATCTTCAGTGCGCATGCTTGGACGATTGCCCCTGAAAGCTGGGCTGTGTTTTTGTCGCAACGTCGTCGGTGGATCAACTCTACTGTCCATAACCTGGTTGAATTGATCCCTCTTCAACAACTTTGCGGTTTCTGCTGCTTTAGTATGCGGTTTATCGTCTTTATTGACCTTCTCAGTACTGCCATCCAACCTGTTACTATTGCTTACATCATCTATCTTATTGTCTGGCTTATTCGAGACTCGTCTACTATCCCATGGACGGCATTCGTCCTCCTTGCAGCCATCTACGGTCTACAAGCAATCATTTTTATTCTCCGCCGCAAGTGGGAAATGATTGGCTGGATGATCATCTACATCCTCGCCATGCCTGTGTTTGCTCTGGCTCTTCCTCTGTACTCATTTTGGAACATGGATGACTTCTCATGGGGTAACACTCGTGTTATCACGGGAGAAAAGGGCCGCAAAATCGTCATCTCCGACGAAGGAAAGTTCGACCCCGCGTCCATTCCAAAGAAGAAGTGGGAAGAGTACCAGGCAGAATTGTGGGAGGCGCAAACCTCTCGGGACGATCGGTCCGAAGTCTCTGGCATTTCTTATGGTACCAGGTCTTACCACCCTGGGCAATCCGAATACGGATTCCCTGGCGCTCGACCCGTGTCACACCTTGATCTCCCTCAACATGGGTCTCGTATGTCTTTAGCACCATCGGAGATGATGAGCCAGCATATGGACATGGAAATGGAGGACCTTAGTCACCTGCCAAGCGACGATGCCATCCTCGCAGAAATCCGCGATATCCTGAGGTCCGTGGATCTCATGACCGTGACGAAGAAGAGCATCAAGCAAGAGTTGGAGAGGCGCTTTGGTGTGAACTTGGATGCCAAACGCCCGTATATCAATTCAGGTAAGCATCGCCTTCCATATAGTCTATTTTTTCATCATCTCTGACATACAATCATTGTAGCTACCGAGGCAGTTCTGTCTGGCATTCTTTGATCATCCGTTTGCTTCACACCTGTCTTGCCTAGGACAAAGAAACATGATACCACGATCAATCTCTCCCGCCTAATTCCTCACCATCTACGATGTGACCCACAGCGAGTGTTTGTCTCTACTACCCAGAAGTGACGATCTGAAATTCAAGACACCTTCACCTGTTGTCACCTTCAGGACTTGTTTCCAAAAACTTGCTGGTCATTTGATTTATATTGCATATGCATGTTACTTGGTTTAGATTCAACAGCTTAAGCATGGAGTTGTACATTATTTTCTTTTTCATGTCTTTTTTTTCATTGGAACATAGTATGGTTGAGCGTTGAAGTTTGTGCTAGTTAAATGTTCACTTAGGTAATTATTATTTACACCCAGATACATACAGGGAGCAGAATATATAATGCAATAGTTATGATGGACATGACTGGGTTACACTCTTTTCGTATTAACATGGGTACCACCAATATGCTTTCTGGTGATTTTCTGCAGTCCCAAATTAATTGAGACTCTGCGTTATGTAGATATCTTGGCTGAATGCAACTAAACTGGATCATTGTTGGTGTCCTGTTAAAAGTCGAAAGGTGGACTCAAGTAAGAGTCCACATATCGTTGGAAGGCACAGGCAAACAAAACCAGGGAACTGGAACAGCGTTGTACCTCAGGTATATGGGGAGTGTGGTATGCCTCTTTATCAACAATAAATCCAGAAGGCTGTCCGAATTTCTTGAAGATATCATGGATCCAATTCAATGGAGCATATCACGCCAGACAGCAAAGGAGATTTGAACAGGGCGAGTAATATGAACACCTTTTCTCATGGGTGCTAGATCAAATTATCTAGTCATAATAGATGAATCGGCTCTAGAGCGTTAATTGACAGCCTGTTGGTTGAAAGCATGTCACGGCCGAGTCGTATTCACGGACTGATGTTGTAATATGGCGCTGAGAAATGAGCCGTTGAGTTAGGTTTACATATCCACTAGAATGAAGGCGCTATTGTAGGTTCCACCGGCCTGTTGGCGGTCTTGCGGTCCTGCTGCATACCTAGGATCTGCCATGCGCGTCCCATCATCCCATGGCCCATCCCTTGAGGAAAGCCGCCGAACACGGAGTTCCGCGGAGCATGTCCGTGAGCCCGTCCGTGGGCAAGTCGCTCTTTTCTTGCAGCGGTCTGTCTGTCCCGTTCGCGTTCCTCGGTGACGACGTCGTCTCTCCATTCGACCCAGCGTTCGAAATTCTCCTGCTGTTGAAGTACCTGATATCGAAGCTTGGTCTTCGATGGACGCCAGCCAGTACGGTTGGTACTATCTTGGGACATGGTGAACTTCAGATCACAAACGTTGGACTCCTTGGTTAGTTTGAGGAGATGAGTGAAGACATCCCTGCTTTCAGCCGCCGTTTGCTGTATCTTCTCTCGCGGAGAACCCACTGTCTGGGTGAGAGGCACATCAAGCCATGAATACATCTCTGCAGAACGCTGAACAGAGTACGGGTCGAGGATATTGGCACGTCGATTCTCTTCGCGTAGATAGCGTACAGCCGCTTGAAGGCTCTCTACCTCTGCCCTTAGGGCCTCATTCTCCCGCATGGTGGCCAGCGAAACGCCGGCATCGACGACCACACCGTCGGTCGTAGCGATACCGGCTGCTCCGGAAGCCCTTTTGACCTTGTCTAGCCGTGCTTTGATGTCGTCACATTCTGTCTCCATGTCTTGGAGCTCCCTACGTTGTTGTTTCACGAGTCCCTCGAGCTCCAACTCCTTCGTCCGCATCTCCTCAATCTTAGCCTCGAGTTCTTTCACCATGGAGGCCTTCTTCGTTGCATCGCGCATTCGGGCTTCAACGGTCTCTACTTTGATGATTTGCTCTTCGATGGTTTTGTCCTTCACGCCGAGAGCTGTCGACGCTTCGTTAATCTCATTCTTCAGGCGGCGAATTTCATCGTCCGCATCGGGGGAAGTGGTCTTATTCGACTTCAGCTCCGCAGCCCTAGCAATCCAAGGGGAAGAATGCTTCTCAAATTCTGTCGTGATAGTGAGATCGGATGAGATGGATTCAAGTTCTTCTATACATCCCCCAAGGCTGCGTAGTCTGTTGAAAATAAAAGACATGGTATCATTGCTTTCGCTGCCTGATTCTGATGGTTGAGCATAGAGAGTCGAGATCTGAGACATACTTCTTGACGCCTCTTCCAAAGTAAACGGCTCCGTGCGGCTGTCATCGCCCAACAGTAGTACAATATTCTCTCCAAGATGTCGAGCTAATTCGGAAAGCTCCTTTGCGGCTTCTTCGGTTTTTTTTGAATGGCCCGGAAACAACTGGGGAAAGTGAAAGTGACCTCAACCGCAGTTCGTCGAGAGACCGATAAACCTTACCCATGGCAACTTTCAGCCCACGAGCATGGGTAACGAATCCCTCCATTTTATTTGAGAGAAAGCCGATTTCCTCATCACCGCCGTCTGGGGTCGAGATTTTGGATAATAGCAGTGTCCTCAGTCGTGATATGGACGCGGCTGTGTGGTCGATATACGACTGCGTCAACGTTGAGCGCATGCAAAGCTCATCAGCAAAGACCTCCAACGAACTGAGCAGGTAATTTTCAGCGAGGTGAGACATTAGGGCGATGGATCTTTGCAACTCTATGCCACATTTCTTCATTTTCAGCTCGTCCTTTTTCAAATATTCAATCCAAAAATTCAGGGTGCGTTCCACGGGCTCCATTTCAAAAAGCGTGGGCTGGATACTTCCAAAGACGTCTGCAGAGCAGCTAGTAATGTAGTTCACGAAGCGTTCACATAGAGAAGCTATCCACGAAAGTTTCTCCAGAACATCGTATGCAGAGAAGGAATCTTCCAACGCGGTGGTTATGGATGCTTGCTCAGAGATCTTTTCGCGAATGGCATTGATCATCAATGAAGACTTGAAACCGACACGTTTGAAACGTAAAAGGGCGAGAATCGAATTTCGCTCTCCTTCAAAGTATTCGGGAAGATACAGCTTCAAGATAGACAGATGCTGGGTGGCTTCCTCCGCCTCCATATGGCCGAGTTCGATGTCGATAGTTTTAGTCTGTGTCTTCGTGACCGACGCCTGAAGTTTCAAATTTAGATCCATCATGGCCCGGGAACGTGCGGTGAAATCGTTGGCCTCGGCCTCAGATATCTGTTGCGATGCCCGCATATCCTCCAAGTCCCCCTGTAAGGTAGACACCAGCTCTCGGAAACGGACCAAGGTGTATTCCAAGTCATCGATGACCTCGTCTTGTTGGGTAATCTTCCGACACTGTTCATTGAACAAGCCTTCTCTGTAATCGATTTCCTCTTGCAGTTGTTTTTCTGTCTCGATATGGTTATACTCGAGCTCGTCATTGATTTCCTTCAAAGCCTCTAAGTCCTCTATGGCCGCACTAAGTTCGTTAATCTCCTCTTGGTAGCGCATATTCTTGTCTGCAAGCTCTTCGATCATTTCCTCCGCACCAAGTGCGGTCTCTAATTGCTGCTTAAGGTCTTCGACGTTGTTTTCCGACACAAGCAGCTTTTCTTTTGTAGACTCGTACTGCGACTTAATGCTTGCGTAATCCTCCAGGTCCTGCTCTAGCTCTTTGACTTGTTCTCTCAGCTCCTGTTCCTGCTGCTGAGTCATGTCACGAAGGCGCAAAAGCGCTTCGCGGAGTCGTTCATTCGTTTTCTCCATTTGCAACCATCCCTGGCTAGATTTCTCCTCGGGACTCATGACCTGGCCAAGCTCCTCGTTCTCCTCACGCAAAACTTCAACTTCCAGTTGGAGCTCTTCGACTTTCATTCTCAACACCTCGCAATCATGTTTGAAAGCATCCGACGTTTCCTCTGCCATTTCACGGTCAAGAGTTGCCATTTCCATGATGGATTCATGTTCTGCTTGAAGCCGCTCAACCTCCTCAAGCTTCGCTTCCGAATCCTTTAACTTTCTCCTCAGATCGCTGATTTCCGCCTGCTGGGGTTGATATTTAGCCTGCAGTTTCTGGATGATGGCCTCGAATTTATCCCTTTCAGACTGCAGTTTTTCCAGAGTCTTGAGCTTCTCTCGATCCTCTGTTCGTTTCTTCTCCATCACCCGCAGTCTCGTCTTCAGCTCTTCAATCTCCCTGTTTACCGCGCTGTTTTGAATTTGACGCTGTGATGAGGGTGAGGATGGCCCTTGACGACCAACACCTGCTCGCAGAGAGCTTGAAGTCGGCTGGGACGCTTTGGGAGTCGATTCCTCATTCTCCGGAACATTTCCGGGCTCCTGAGAATCCGTCTCGAAAGCCTCAGAGTTCGAGCTTTGTCCGCTTTCTGGTTCTTCTAACGTCTTGTTGGGAGCCGTCGGCCGTAAGACTGTGCGCTTTGCCAATCCTATCGAGGCCGATGGGGCGTCTTGCGCACTTTGTCTGATTGTCTTATTTGTAGACCCGGATATTGAGGGTCGCGAGGTCCGGGTTGCTGCTGAGAGAGGAGGCGGAGGACCCATGGAAGACTTAGCACCGACAGATGGTCGCAACTTGGGGGTTGCAACAGTTGGCCGAGAGGCACCACTGAGGGACGGGCGATGAGATGAAAGCGGCGTGGATGCAGCCGACATCTGCTTCGTCGGAGACCTTGCAGGGGACTGCGATAGGATATTGTTAGCATGTCACAGGCCAGTGACTTCCATAGGACGGTGCTGGCATACTTTCAATGACAATCTTTGGGCCGTAACTTTGGACGCGGGAGTTGGACTGGCAGGGCTGGTGCTGTGTCTTTTTGAATTCGTAGCTGGCACAGACCCCGGTTTCTTGATACCCGTACTACCTGCAGCAACGCCGCTCTGGGCCCGACCTCTGCTAGGTGGTGGAACATTGGTATTCCCCTTTGCCGTAGGTTTGGCCTCGCGCACGGGCTGTCGAACAACGGCCGCAATAGCAGACAGCCGGACAAACATACCATACCCTGGCTCACAGTCGAAGTACCGTTCCCCCTGAACAGCGCCATCATTCTTTCCCGTGGGCTCGTTTAGTTCGATTCCGACCCAGTCACCAGCTGCAAAATGCGTCGTCCCAACGAATCGAACGGTAGCCTGCCGACCGTCCGTCAGAGTGACGACATGGCCGGTAGATAGATCAGCCATTATCGAGCATCAAGGAGTTGCGCCCCTGTACCAGCAATAGCCGTGGAAGGGGCAGAATGAACGTCGCGGTGAGAAAGGGGTCGACGTTGTTTATCCGTCGGCGGCTCTCCGTCCGGAGCCTCAGGACGCGGTCCACGAGCAGGGCTGTGGACGCCTGAGGCATCAGTATCTCCTCCATCCAGAGCCTCGTGTCAATAAACCCCTATCTACATCATCCGGGATGGGTCATGTCGACATCCATCTTATTCCTTATACTGCCAGACGTGACAATGACGCCCCTACTGCACCTTTATAGGGAAGAGGAGTGTCTACTCTCCCCTCACATCAGTCATGTATGATTGCCACTGTGGTGTTTGATAAATACAATTCATATATACTGCTCATTTTATAGTCGATAAAGAGCCCCTATAGGCTCAACTGCTATGATTATCCAGCAATCTTCTCTTTAACTGGACTCCGCTATATATACCAATATCGCCTCATACGATCCATGCAAATACTGTGGGCTGGGATTATTAGCAAGCGGGATTATATCCAAGATCTTGGATTCACCACCGGCTCTCTCGATACTCCAATCAAACCTGAAAGATCTGGCAAATGAGCTTCATAGAAGGGGCTCGTGTTATTATGGCCAATCACAGGCCGGCTGGCCCAATGGCAAGGCGTTTGACTACGAATCAAAAGATTGCAGGTTCGATCCCTGCGTCGGTCAACATGTTTTTCCTTTTTTAATCTACCATTCGACTTTCCGTGCTTCTCGGCTGAGAGAGCTTCTGAGACTATCTTCGTGTTTTCTGAACTACGGCTTAGTAGGCGAAGTCGTATCTGACCATATCCCAAAGTCCTGTACCCTTTGGTGACCCTTGCTTGACCTTGACGAGCTTCTACGAGAGCTAGAACGGGTATAATTTGAGTATCTCTCTTTCTATGTACCTTTATAAGCAACCAAATAAGGTAAGTGAGCATCACCCAAAGTAACTGTAGTAACTTTGCTCAATAATCCATAATATCCATAAACACAATCCACCATATACACATATAACTCTATCGCATAGGTCTATCAATCATCAGTCGTAGTATCATGCTTAAACAGGTGCGGAAAGCAGGTCCTGAGTTCTTCAAGGTTTCGTATTAGGTACTGCGATGCCGGTGTCGAAGGAAGGGCAATATCGGGCTCAACGAGATGGGCGGTGATCCAACCCCGATCCGCAGCATGTTTGCAATTCAAATGAGAGTCATCTTCACAGTATCCAGTCAGCGTCAGTTATTCATACCTCTGGAAGAAAGAAAAAGGAGACGCAGTAGTGAAGGATAAACGTACCAACAAAGTAGCACTTGTCTTTACTGGGAGCTTTTGCTTCCTTCTCGGCCTTCTCGTACATGGTCTGGCTGGGCTTGCAAACTAGCGGGGTCTGTGAATAATCACAATAAGTGACACCTTCAAACATGTCATCCACCCCCAGCAGTTTGATGACCCGTTTGGCATGGGTGACATATGCATTAGTGAGAAGCCACAGCCTCACTTTATCTCTATCGATGTCCTCGAGCAGCTTCCGCAGTTTGGGATCTGGTTTCAGAATGTTGTCCAACGGCAAAGCATCGTCGACTTCGTGGTTGAATACGAGGGGGTCAATCTTGTGATGGCGGGCAAGGCCCTCGATGGCGAGACCATACTGCTTGTAGTATTTCATATGAAGGTGGTGGGCGTCATCCACCGTGAGAGAGAGGTGTGTGGTGAAGAATTTATCTGTCAGAGTGCACATAACCCGTGAGAAGCTGATTCTAGTTGTTATCACATTACTTGCTTACTTATGAGCTTTTGCATTTCATCGAAGATGTTGCATCCTACTCGACGACTTGTCAGTCAATTACTCCGCCATGTCTTTGGGGGTTCCACACCTCTAGAATAAAGCTATAGATCACAGCGACTGTTAGAAATGTAATGCTAAAACCAAAATTGCAGACACTTACACAATTATCAATATCGAAAAACAGTACTGGCCTAGGGTCAGGCTCCGTGAAATGTGATACGCTCGACATGGTTCTTCGGTTAGGTGGTGGAATGCGATAGGTATAACGAATGCGGGAGAAAGACGACAGCAGTACAGAAGATGAAAATAGCGATGTAGGAACTAAGCGACACCCAACGGGCGTACGGAAAGTAGCAGAGGAGAACGAACGGCGCAGACATTGATTCATGACCAAGGAGTCATTGCCTCTCACTCCATTCGATTGAATCGCCATGATTGGTCTGCGGAGAGCACGGGGTTCCGCGATCGAAGCGCTTTCCTAATGTGGTTTAGTGCCTGTCGGCCAGCAAGTTGCGCTTCGAAGCTCTTAACACTTTCTTTCTCTCTCCATACCATTTCTGCGTCTCCCCTGCCGCTCTTACTGCCCTGGTCATTGGTCTGTGGGTAGGTGCATTAGCTGAAAATTCTGCGTATCAGGAAGACCATGCAAAAATCTCCTGCAGTTTGTGGACTGTGAGATACTTTACTCAGGAACGAATATTTTTCTTCCTGTGTCTCAGACCATGGCAACGGCTCAGCTTCCAGCAGCAGGTAGCGTCCCTAGTGGACTGCCTTCAAGTGAAGAAGTACAGGAGTATGAAAAGATTCTGAGAATCAGTGATGAGATCTTTTCCGGGACTCACCCTAGGTTGAAAGTTCCCCAGCAGTTTGTGCGCAAACCCGCGTCTCGGGCCGCCCCTGCCTCAACCCAAGCCCAGGTAATAATATCCGGGGATCAGCCGGCATCTCCCTCGGGGAAGAACCTCCCCCGGTCTGTGACTACACCAACAATCTCCATTGGTTCGCAGGGTACAACTGCCGGCAATATGTCCTCTAGCGCCTCGGGGTCTTCGCGTATTGCTCCAAGGCCCACGTCGGAAATTGACCCGATCTTCCTTACCAAGTCAGCCGATCTTGTCAGAGCAGAGTTACAGCTACAGCGGCAGAGAGTGGAAAGGTCATTGCGGGAACAACTGGAGCAGCGGAAGCAGGAGTCACGGCAGAAAGCTTCGATACAGGATGCGAATCCGGATTTCAATGTGTCCGATGTCCTGCATAAGGCTTTTGAGATGGTGAACCCGTCTCCCTCAGTCGATGCTCCTGGCGCTGGGGCGTCTAGTGAGTCATTGGACGACAACTCCTTCTACTCGAGTAGAGCCCCTGATTCTCCACAACAAGGCGATCAGCAAAGGCCATCCCCAGCCGGCCCCTCTAATCAGGAGGAACTTGCTACTGCAGTCCCAGCAGAACCTTATTCAGATGAGTTGCAACGGCTTGAAGCCCTCAACCGACCTGGATTGGATCAGGAAATGCGAGATACTTACCCCGTAGCAGACCACCGATTACCCTGTCATCAGCGGCGGCCACCTGCTATAGAGGCAGAATATGTGCCCCCTGGATTCCAAGAACCGCAGCCCCCCTCGGATGCTTTTGAGGAGCCAGAGTACTCACCGCCCGCTCCAGGTGTGGCACCCATGGAGAGGGGAACTGGTCACGAATATTTGCAGGGGGGACACCCCAGTGGAGCAAGGCAACGGGGACAGGAGACTCGAATACCCGACCGAGGTCGTTATGCTCGCAGATCTCTATCGCCTGGAGATGATGTTAAGGTCATACGAAACCACATAACGTCACCTGCAGCACCGCAACCATCTAGAGTCTCGCCGTTAGCTACTGCTAAGGTTCCTTCGGTTCACCAGCTGAAGGACACCCCTCCGGAATACGGCCCGGAACGGCAGGCCAGCCCAGATGTTGCACCCCAGCCGTTGGTGTCTAGGAAACGTAGGAGAATACATGACGAAAAAGACAAGGCTCGTCCAGTCCCGTATAGAGTACAACCTGGCCGTTCTGACGAACCTCACATCAAGGAGGAGCCTGTCTCGCCGCCACCTTTTGCGGACAGCGCTCCAACATACCGCAGCCGTCAACCCCAAGAACGGCCTGTGTATATTGACATCGTGTCTCCTCGGTACACCCCAGTGATAGAGAGGAGAGATCCTGCGGTACGAGAGCAAGGTTATGAGCTAGACCCGTACGAGTTTCATGGGGAGACAGGAATCCCGTCAACTGCGTCACGGAGTGGCACCAGGCGGCCGATGCGTGATGATCAGGATCTGCGGAGGGTTGCAAGCCTTCATCAGTCACGGCAACAGGAATATGCCCGTGGATACGTGGACCCCGCAAGCCCCCGTGGGCTGCGAGCCACGTCGTACGCGGTTGTTGAGCGTTCGCCGCATGAAAGAGCAAGGTACTACGATGAGCTTGCGCCTCCGGCTACGAGACGCTACATCGCCGCAGGCGAAACACCATCGTCGCCGCGGTACCGAGAAGCATACTATGAAGAAGAGCCTGCGGCTCGTATAATAGCGCCTCCACCCCGGAGGATCGTGGTTGACGAGCACGGGAATCAGTACTACGATGAACCGGCACCGGCACCGAGAATGCAAACGATGCTCCCACCCTCTGCCCGCGTATCTCGCAGCGAGATCTACGATGACCCTCAGGCGATGCATCAAGGTAGTATCCGAGCCGCATCGGTGCTAGAAGATCCATATGGTAGCCGACGATACGTGCAGGAGATGCCACCTCCCCAGGGGATTTATCGGCGGGTTAATAACTACACTCGGCCCACTCCGAGCGACCGGCGATCCTACGCTGCACCTCTTGAGGAACGTGAGCCATTCCCGCGTAGCGCTAGCGTCCAGGTCGCCGATTACGCTGCGCGGCGGCCGCCCTACGTGGAGGAGGCCGAACTTCCGCGGGAAAGGTTTGTCAGGATACCGAGTGTAAGGCCGCCCACTGCCCGGTACGAAGAGCCACGGGAGATGCTTCCGCGGGTCGAAAGCACGCGACCAGGTGGTCGGGATGTGAGCGTCTATGTGGATGAGGCCGCGCGGCGACCTAGGGAATATTATGAACAGCCCGTATATGTGGCTGCGCGCCCCTTGGCCAGGGGGGAAGGGTATTATGAAAGTGGCGAGCCGGATCGAGTGGTGCTTGATGGAGGAGTACATCGAATTTCGTCACAAAGATACTGACGAATATTCCAGCAATTAGGTTTGATACAATAGCTCTGTTCCAATCCTTGAACAACATTTCCTTGGTATACTCTCACAACCAGACCTACCTTGTTCATGATCTTTGTATTTCAGATACTCTGTAGGTGGTTTGTATGCCATCCCATCTAGACAGGCTCCCAACCAATATCTTGCGTCAGAAATACGACATGGAAAATAAATTCCTAGAACACTGGGGTTGCAGTTAGGTACGCTGTTTTGTTTAGTAGTATGGTGGTTGCTCATCAGGTCTGGGATTGCTCTATTTCTTAGCACGGCATATTCTTAGAATAGGGTACGATTTCTAAATATACATCTGATCTGGATACTAGTATTCAGATTGAGACCTGTTTCTGAAAAGTGTATCCGCCAAGACACCATCCAAAAAAGGTCCTTCACATGTGTACTTGCAGAAAGTAGACTTGAAATTCTGCTGTCCCCACATCGTTTCCATGGAGTAGACCCTGCTAATAAATCTCCCGCATACGGAGCAGTCATAGTCTAGTATGAACTGGTCACAGAGCCCCTTGCTAGTATTCCTCCTAGGGCTGGGCTGGAGACGGGGCTCAGGTATGGATACAAATTACAGCACATACTCACATATACCCCACCACCGTCTGTGTCTCTCTCTGTGTGTCTGTATGCATGCATGCACACCTACATATCACATTTAATAAGCACACAAAAGGGGGATTGGACAGTTAGACATCGCGTGACATGACACCTGATAATGAAGAATCCATCCCCCTGCTGGGCTATAACTATACTGTGAGAACTGTAGGGTAGACGGAGGGTAAATCAAAGACAGTATAAGTTGTACTGCGCATTCCCCGACTCCGTACCAGAGGCTTTGGATGTTTGTTGTGTAACCTGTAACCTGTGACCTGACCTTTACTTGTCTCGCGGTTTTCAGACAATTTTTGACCCACTGGTTGTGTTGATGACGTTGTTGATTGATACTTTCTCTTAGGCTATTATATAATTAACTAGCCACTGCTGTTGGTCAATGAGTAATACATTCAACTAACTAGGTAGTTGTTGAGTGGTAGATTTAGGAAGAAGGTTATCATCTCGTGTTCTTTACCCAGAAGATGCCTGCAGTAGTGAACTGGTGACGAAAGGGAGGGAGCTGGAAGGATCGTGCACGGTACGGAGTACGGATTACGGAGTAGAAACCTGAAACATCCAGAAACACACCATACCCTGCCAGATGGATATCTACAAATGATTCGTCATGTACTACACGAGTCGATCCAAAGGCCATGGCAGGAACACTGGGCTAACTAGTAAGTAGTAACCACTAAGGTAGTGAGATGAAGGGTAAGGAGCATGACAGGGATTATCTTGGTGTAAACAATGCCTTTACTTCAGCTCCTTCCGAGTCATGATACATCATGGTGACGCAAGGCAGAAATGTCCAAAGGCATTCTCGGCCAGTAATTCTTAGCCCTTCCTGCAATGGGTATTCGTGGAAACACGGCCTAGCTAAGAGGAGACATTCATTCTGAGTTTTCAACTTCCCCGTAAATGTGGAGAGAAAATCAAATCGAATCGGCAGGCTGGGCAATGCCAGTCATGCAGAGTGGCAAATGTACCTACTCTGTATGTATCGAAACCCACTATTTACCTCGATGCCCGACTAAGGAAACTTAACCTGGATACCTCGGAGCTACTCCAATGATAGGTGATAGAGGAAGAAGACAATGAGGGTATACAACGAACATTGTAGAACTGATTTTCTTACGGCCGATATAGCCGGTCCAGTTAGCTTCTTTCACTTTCTTTTTCCCTTTTTTTCTTCCCTTCTTTCTTTTCTTTTCTTTTCTTTTTTCTTCTTTTTTTTTGGCAGGATAATCCCGCTCTTTCTCAGACGAATTGTCGATCAAGTACCTAAGTCCGTAGCCAAAATACAGAGTACAAGATCCATCCAAAGCCCGTACTTTTGTTGCCGTTAAGCTTTAGTGCGTTTTAGAGTGTCCTTTGTATTTTCCTGGAGAGACTAATAAACTCAACTCTTACTGGGAGAAAAGTGATGACGGAATCGACGAGGAGTACCGTTCCGTACCGTATGGAAGACACACGTGACCCCAACATCTCGCTTGCGGAGCCCAAAAGGGAAAAGACGTGGGCCGTGCAGGGACGAACGCAGTATCGGTGGAAATATGCATTACCATACACTATACAGAGCTCAGCTGGTAAGGTAGATCGATCTTAATCCATTGCGTTCCGTAGGGTTCCAGCCAGTCCTGGAGAGAAGAAGGAGGGAGAGATAAAGGAAGGGAGAAATAGAATAGATGGAAATGCCAGAAACTATCCTCCTCATACAGATCCTCAGAAAACTGGATAGTAAGAAGACAAGAAGAATGCTTCGCATCCATCCATTCCGTGTAGGGACAGAGTTACAAACATTGGGGCCTAGATGCTGGGCTGAGTTGACCCGCATCTGCCGCCAAATCATTAGGAAAGAGTATTTTATAATTATCATCACCATCATAACAATAATAGATTAAACAAATAAAAGAAGAATAGAAGAAGAAAAAGAAGAAGAACAGAGAAGAGAAAATAAGAACAAGAAAAAGAGAACAAGACAACAAGAAATGGTAAGCTGACTCACTCCAGGGACAAGCCAAACGTCCCAATCCGACCACTCGAACTGAACGTCTTTTCTTTCAACTTCTCCTTCCAACTTTCTTCTTCATCTTTGCCTTTCTTGACCCTCGATCTATCTCATTCTTCGGGGGGATTTTTCTTTCCCCTTTCTCTTTTTTCCTTTCTTCCTTTCTCCCTTCTTTCCTTTCCATTGATTTTCTCCCTCTTTTTTTTTTTTGTTTTACATTTTTCACCTTCTCCACCCATCCATCCCTCGATACCCATTTTGCCTGTTGAATTGATTCCTTTCCCACCATTCCGGTGCCAAAAAACCGCCCTTGTCCACCAACGCTCAAACTGTCCAAACCGACCAACTTCATCGTCGCGCCCATTCCTCTTCCCGCCATCCCTGTCGTGAACGGCAAACCTCAAACCTTCCTTCCCCCGTCCTTTTCTCCCATTCTCTCTCTCTCTCCCCCCCTCCCCCTCTCCCTCCCTTCCCTTCCTCCTCCGTCTTTCCGCTATTCCTCCCACCTGATTCCTTTCGCATCTCTCCCCTCGATTCGTTCAAGGGGTTAGAGATTCGATCCGATCCGCCCTTTGGCCATGCACAAGATCTCCAACTTCACGGGCCAGGCCCGTCATGGCTGGGAGCGAATGACGCCGACCTTCAGTATGTCCAGGCCTCATACCGACATGGCCTCGCACTCCCTCCGTCGACCACATGGGCCTCAACCAATGACCCCTCCTACCGGCGTGGACCCGACCGTCAACCTGTCCCTGAACGTCCCGTTTTCCTCCACCCTGGCTGGTCCCGATGCCGATGAAGTGTTGCATGCAAGCCCTGGCGCCCTTCAACGCTGGTGCTTCCCTGAGGGGACTCCGGAAGGCACCCCGGTCCACACCCTGCCCGTCCACACCAGCAATGTCGAAGCCCTTCGGAGGTTATGTCGTCAGATTACGGAGAGTAGTAACGGACGGATCGAAGCCACCGTCGCCTCCTCGGAGCCCAAGACCCTCCCATCGTTACAGCTGCGACCTCAGGGCCTAGTAACCAATGTTTGTATCACGGGTGATGGGGATGCGGTGCGCAAGATACGTGCAAGGATCCTAAACGAGACCCCAATTCTCTTAGTACGTTTCCTCTGTTCCTAAAAAAAAAAAAAAAAAAAAAGTCTCGGCATTCTCTCCTCGTCCTCCTGCTAACAGTGCTGTAAAAGCGATGTGCAACCGTCGACGTGGATATGCATCTGATCATGGATGGATCAACCAAAGGGATCCGGGCAAGTGTCTTGGAGCACCTGGACACATTGGCTGCTTATACGGGAACGGACATCTTCCTCTTGAGCCCCAAGCTACGCGATACAGATAGTGCCGTCGTTTCTTCTTATGGTTACGTGTCGGAGAATGGGCTGGATCATCGCTTTCGAGTTTCAATCTACGGTGATATGGAGAGTGCCGAACATGCGAAGACGAGGGTCTTGATCATGATCGATCAAATCGTACGCACACCCCCCTTGTTTCCCCCATTTTCTGCCCAAATCAAATTGGTGTGCTAAATATTAGACAGCTCAAACGTCATGTGGATGCCATGAAGCTGGAACTAACCATGCACACGTTGGTCTGTGGTCGAACCCGCAAAAATATCAAACTCATCGAAGCGGCCACCGGTACGGCGATTTATTTCCCGCCGCCCTTCCCGCGCATTTTTGGTTATACACCCCCGGGCTCCCATCGTCGCAGCGAGGATGAAGTGTACATTACTGGTGATACCCAGGAACAGATCGCTCGCGCCAAACAAAAGCTGCGGGAGTTGGTGATGGGGGTCAAGATCTATGTCAAGGATGCCATTGTCAATTGTAACAAGATTGACAGTATCCTGCTTGACCGGCTAGACAAAGTGCGGAAGGTGATGGAAATGAATGGCTCCTACGTTCTCTTCCCCCAGCTGGGAAGCCAACGGGGCCTTGTCCGTGTCCAGGGCACGGAGGTGTTACATGTGGAGCGCACTGTCCGGGAAATCATGGCTCTGGTTTGTCAACCCATGCTCCCCTCCGTGGGTTGATTGACTAACATTTCTTTTAAGGCCGGCCAGTTTTACAGCGCATCCTGGTGGGTGATCATACCGGATCCGTCTCAGGCGGCGTTCCGCACTCCGTCCACCGCAGATATCCGCACCATGTTGTCCGACATTTGCACCAACTCTTCCGCCGAAGTAAGCTTTGACAATCTGGCATTTACCATAAATGGGTCCGACGATGCTGTCAAAGCCGCAATGATGGTTATCAACCAGATCCCGTTCATCCTACGAAGCCAATATCAAATGCGGGTGAAGATTGAACTGGCCAATGAGCATAAAGAGTTCGTCAGCGGCAAGAAAAACGGCAAGATCAACAAGATCATGGGCCAAAGTGAGTCCAATGAAATGGGGCAGCATCTGCGGGGACAAACACTGACTGTAAACAGGCAATGTGCAAATCATCTTTGATGGCTTCAATGAGTATAACTTCTATATTGATGTGTGCGGGGCTCAGTACGAATCTACCAAGAACGGCTTGGATCTCGTGGAGCAGGAAATGCCAGCCTCGATTTCATTCCATGTGCCCGATCAATACCACAAGCGGATCATTGGAATCGGAGGTCAGCACATCCAGCGAATCATGAAGAAATATTCGGTTTTTGTCAAATTCTCCAATGCAATGGATCGCGGCGGGATGGGCAAGGAGGATGATGACATTAAGGTCGACAACGTCATCTGCCGTACACCAGCACGCAACGCCCAGAGCCTGGACCTCGTCAAGCAGGAAATCATGGATATGGTAGAGAAAGTTGTAAGTTCCCCAACTAATGTTCATCATGATGTGTCGTCGCTCATCGATGATGTAGGATGCCGAGTATGTGTCTGAGCGCGTGGTGATCAACCGCTTGTACCACCGTGAGTTACTTTCTCGCATGACCGAGATCGATGAGCTGGAGAAGAAATGGAACTGCAAGATCGAGTTCCCAAGCACCGAGCTTGCTAGTGATGTTGTGACGATCTCGGGACCTGAGTACCAGGTTCCGCAGGCGGTCGATGCCTTACTAGTGAGTGCCTTTGTCTTTTCCTTTTTTTTTTCACACTCAAGTTCCCCCACACTCCAGTTCCCTAACGCTCCTCGCAGGGAATGGTCCCAGAGAATCACGAACTTCTTCTCCAAAGTTCCCCTGAGCTGCGGGACTTCTTTAAGTCACCCGAGTTCCGTGACGACATTTGCGCCAAGCTGAAGGATCAGTATGAGGTGGACACCACTGTCGATTCGAACCCCGACCTCCCATCTTCTGACGGTGGTTCAGCTTCGCCCACCTTTGCTCCCGAGGATCGCGTTGTGCTTGGGTATACTCGGAACAACGAGGGCGGTCTCAAGGATGCCATTGATTTCTTGATCTCTCGACTAGTGGCACATGGGCTCGATGCAACCACCGTCAAAGGGGCGATCCCACGTCCGAAGTCGGACTCGTTCGAAGAGTCCCTGCCCTTCTTTGACTCAAAGCTGTTACAGCATGCACCCGCTCCTATCGTTGCAGACTCTCCTACTCGCCCGAACTTCTCCGACGAGACCAGTGAGCGTGGGTCAATTTTCGAGAGGCTTCGCAAACCAGGTAGCATCTCTTCCTTTTCTTCCTTTATTGGACGCAAAAACCACTCAGCGTCTCCCGGGTCCTTCTTCAAGCACGCCTCCAGCAATGCTTCCAAGGCGTCTCTGGTGTCCATGGAGTCTCGGGATAGTGGTTACCGCAACCCATGGAACGATTCTGGGGTAAATCTTCCAGAGGATGATGTTCCCATTATGGGGAGTTCGCACAGCCACAGCAGCAGCAATGGCTGGCCAGCGCGCTTTGACACGAAATTTCCATTCGGTACCGCGCCAGGGGACATGACTCCCAAGCATGACCTTCGCGCGTCATTTGATAGTGGTCGTCCTAGTACTTCCAATTCTACTTCTGGATACCCGGCCCCAATCGGGCCACCGCGTTAAAAACAATGTCAATTTGCAGCAGTATACCCCAAGACTATTGATTTGATCATGTTTTATTCCCGTGCAGAGTTTGTTATCAGCGATTCTTAATTCGGCCTTTTTCTTTTATTCTTTTTTATTTTTGATACCACTCAAAGTAAGGCCGGGCTCTACGGAAAATCTGCAAAAAAAGAGGGGGAAAGGAGAAAGAATGGGAACGCTATACCCTTTTGAAGTCTTCATGCCTTTCATCGTTAGTTGTTCAGATTCCCAGTTTTTCCAAGACGCCTGTTTACGTTATGTGCTTGAGTTCTTTTTCTTTTCCCCGGTGGGGTGGGTGGAGAGATGCTGGCATTTTATTTTTATTTTTATTTTTTTTCCTTATGGGACGCATGATGGAGGATCCAAATTTCATTGACCCTCGTCCAAGATATGATTGATACCAAGTGAAACGATGGTGTATGATGGTGTTGACAGTTTTTGTTCTGAGTGATATTTCCTCTGGCATCTCGCTCCCTTGTCTGGAGTTTCAGATCGGTGCTTCTGTTCGATGCGTTTTGGATTTCCGCTCTATATACCTCGACGATATCCCCAAGGTTTTGCGAGTAAAGAATGAAGTGATTCGGATCATAGGTTCTCGTACTATTATCATTCTAGTGATGACAAGTAGTGAATGGTGCTGGTACATAGTGCACTACCTTACTGTTAAAATAGAATGTTCGTGCTCTAGGGTCGACTCTGTGGCAGGTATGTATTGGTGCTGTTGGCGTTCCAGTTACTATAGTGATACTCGTGGTCAAAGGTAAATGCTCATCTCATTAGGGATTGACAGGGCCACTTCTGTCCAGTACTTGTTGGTTTCGAGTGTTGTAACACCATCGCGCGACATGTTGTACCTTTCCAGCAGCCTCATCCGCATATAAACATCCCTCTAGATATTAGATATGTTACAATATGACCAAAAAAATATACAACATGGCTCAGAAAAGCACAGAAGTGATACGACATTAAAAAAATTCGTTAATTCAATAGATGAACGTTAGAGGAATCTCACTTCGAAATCCATGCCACCAGGGCATTCGATAAAGATTCGACTATCGTGTTCAGAACATCATGGGAAGGGATGGGATGGGATGGGTAGGATCTATGTAAAGACTCGTACGCAAGAGTCAGCACATCCTGTTGCAATGACGCATTGGAACGCAGGCATGGCGGTGCCCTTTTTGGGTACTCCGTTAGTAGTTGTTTCAGACGTCTCCACCACAGCATTGGTCTTGGTACTGATAGGGCCCCAGCGAATGCAACTGATGAAATGGCCGTGGGAAGTATCAATTGTCTTCACGCATCTTCCTTCTTGGGAGAGATCCCAGCACCGGATTGTTTTGTCGTCCGCAACGCTGATCAGATACTTCCCGCTTGGGTGGAAGACCAGACCTCTTACCCAGTTGTCATGGCCAACGAGGGTCTTGATTAGTCTTCCGCGGGATTCCCAAATCTTGATGGTTTTATCTCTGGCTCCGGTGACGATGAATTCGGAGGAGCTACTTGCGGGAGGAGGTTTCGCGAGACCGGCAAGTGTGGCTAGATATTCATAGCTCACTGGAGGCGCAAACTCACAGCATTCGATATAGTTTTCATGGCCCAATAACGCGGCCTTTGCCTCGGCTGATTGAACTTCCCAAACTGTAACGGCTTGGTCACGACCACCTGATACCAGCCATTTCCCGTCAAAGGAAGCTGAAACATCCCGGATCCAAGTGCCATTGGCTTTGATCACCTTTACGCAGAATCCCGTTGAAACATCCCATATCCGGATCGATGCGTCTCGGCTGGCTGAGACAAGAAGATTCTCTGTAGGTGTGAGAAAGCGCACAGCTGAGACAGAGTGATCATGTCCCGAGAGGGTTCGAATATTCGCATAATCCTTGCTCGGGTCCCAGAGCTTGACTGTAAGATCGCTAGAACACGATGCGAGCAGAGTATGACCCTTTTGTCCACCGAAATCAAGACTCGAGACGGCTTTTAGATGGCCTTTGAGAGTTCGTTCTAACTCTCCCAATTCCCAATCCCATATTTTGATTGTGCAGTCTTCAGACCCGGAGGCCAGTGACGTGAAAACTGGATGGAAGGCAACGCATGTAATGGCATCTCTGTGCGATTCGAAGGTATGTGTTGGCGTTGATCCGGGGAGCCAATTTGCCGGATCTTGCTTTTTGGAACGGGATGTGGATGCGGTGGAATCGAGCTCTGCATGGAGGCTAGCGATTGTGGATTCTAGATCCATTATCTGCGAATTGATCAGCAATTGCCTCTCCCCCCTCCCCCCTAAATTTAATCGCGTGGAGTATTTACCTTCTTCTGAAGTCGAACGATCCCTGTCCATTTCTTCTCCAACAATCCTTCATACTTCTTGCAAGTAGCATCATCGAAACTATCGCTTATCTGCAGCTCTTCGCGAAGCGTCTCAGAGCTTTTGGACGCATTTATTGACGAAAGGTAGGCAACCATGGACTTGTGCCTGATTGCGCATTAGTGGGGTACCAGCAATTCGTAACAGGCAAAATGTAAGTGCTTACAGCTCCTCCGCTTGCCTAGTTGTCAATATCTGGCTCATGGCGACGGCGTCTAGAGAAGCTGTGGCATTCAAAGTGCTTTACGGTCGCCGGAGGTGACGCACTCTCGCGCAGGTATACAGCTCTCTCCGAAGTGGTACACAAATAGCCCAAAGACTAGTGCTGAATCACATGACATTGATTTGGCAACAATCGTATCTGCCTCAGGCATTAATAGAGGGGAACAGGGATGTTCCGGGTTTCCTAATCGGGTAGTACATCTAGATATCCCCCGATGTCGTCGGGATCCCATCTTAGCTTTGAAGAAACAGACCACCAAAAATTCCAAGTGTCCTTGCCTGTGTAGTGAGGACATCTGACGTCGACCAGGCCAGTGATATCCAAGAAGGATTCCCAGTGGCGGATTCTTTGTCCGAGAATATATATGTTATCAATGCAATCGGGCGCCTACATATTATATGAGATGAAATGGGAATGCAATCTGTGTTGGGATAGTACAGAACAACTTCAAGGTAACATCGTTAATACTAAATGATCATATAATCAAATTCCAGGCAGTATTAAGCCACTATATTTGTAATATTCTACATTCCATGTTATTTATTAGGGTCATGACTGCTATCAGATGAGTCCCATTGGCCAAGCGATGTATATAGGCTTTGAGGACATATTAGAATGGTTTCTAGACTATTCTAACCTACTGTGAATAATTGCCAAAGCTCCCAACAAAGATAAATTACAAAAACTTGTAATCAATAAGGTCAGTGAAAGCACACACGTTTAGAGCCTCAGGCACCGGCGTTGACGTACACTTACCACCTTGAGAAGGGTACAAAGAATATGAATCTCCCATGTCCAAGGAATCAACTTGTTTAGAAAAATAATAGCAAAAAAACAAAAAAAAAAAAAAAGCACTTAAGACTCAATGGCTCTAGAACTGTATACAGAACCTCGACTACGGCGTGTCCACTTCGTGGTAGCCGAAATTGTTCTTGACATCACGTTGCACCATATCTCACTCGAAACACAGCAAAATAAGGTAAACCACTCTAACAATCAGTTTTTACATTTGCAGTTGGTTGCAAAATCGGTGTCACGGTACGCTTCTTTTCGATGTTCTTCCAGACTCGTGACTATATTTGGCGAATCTCCTTCCTACCCCCCAAGAGTGTAAAATGGCGACACCAGTTTTGCAATAAACGCAGTAACCTTCATCCCAGTACGTTCAACAAAGGAACTATGTACACCCATCTCATCCGTTCGCCACCCTTCCATGCCTGAAGAATACCTCCTTTGATCCTCCCATCATAATCTACGAATCCCGGGCTATATCACGGTATATAGCATGACAATATAGGAACACTTTCTTCTGATCCGGATGATATCCGAAGTGTCGCAATTTTTGAAAAGGCGCCCGTACGGGGGGCAATGACTTTTGACTCTGTAGCAAATCGACTTGTATTTGAGGTGGTTTTTATACGGTATGTTTGGATTGCTTCCATTTGTAAGATAGGACACACCGTCTATCTTCAAGTATATTATGCGCACAATGGCTGATAAATCCAGGTATTTCAACAAGTAGACCCGCCTCAAGATGAAATGCTGTTAAGTAGTTTGCGGAAGAGACCTTGGGGGTGGGGGGGTAGATGTGTTAATTGGATCCTTGGAGGGCAGGAATATATGGCTGGGGAGGTATCTATTTATTATTTCTTATTTTATTTCTTTCTTGTAAGTGTCGTTCATGCTGACTTGACTAGCGACTTACTCTCATGGATCTCTTCTACATGTCGTATATGCACCACTTGGAGCATTCTGTTTGGTCTGGGGTTTTTGAAAAAAAGTGAATCTGGAAGGGTGGTAGAAGGGCCTGAAGGAGAGGACGTGCTATAGAGTTCTAGAGAAGGAGGGAGAGCGAAAGATGCCCCTTAGAACCAGAGGGATCGATTCTATTTGTACTGAGTAGTTGCATTTAAATTGAATGTCAGGATCTGAAATATTCAATGTAAACGTTGAATACTGTTTTGACTCTTACCATTGTGCCTATAGTTTAAGTAGTCATATCCATCAACTAGCTGCCATTTATTTGTCTTATATCGTTATCTGTATTATTAACAGAAACAAGATAAAACAGGGTATGAACTGAAGAACAGGGGACAATGTATTAGGTTTAAAGGGGTATCAAGAACATATTGTGCTATTGACAGGAGTAGAGTGTGGTCACTGCTACTGCAGTCTGCACGATCAAGGAAGAATGAGATATCAAACGGGATCTCAGTCTGATTAAAACAAGAACAAAAAAGCCAGAAAAATTGAGCACGCAAGGTAGAAAAGAGTTTTCGAGGGCAATGCATGGCAATATCATTGTTACTGAGATCTCAAAATATTTCGTGCACCGGTCATATCCTAAAAAGCCAACCCCACAGCCGAGTGACGATAATTTTCGTAATAATTAAACGAGAAATTGTCGCTCTCCTGGTGCTGGCTCTCATGGATGGTTGGGTACGGATTATCCATCGACGGCTTGGACAGAGGGAATTCTAATTCTTTCTCCATGCGGCCGTCTATGTTGGACGGGTGTAAAATGGTCGTCGTGTTAACGGGTTCGGAGGGGGTGGTCTTGAACCCTAGGCTACTGGTCAGGCTGGTGATGGACGATGCAAGCGTCGAGCCGCTGAGAGTGCGGGAGCGCAATCGGAAGGGGTTCTTTTCAGAGGGTTTCCAGGGATTTGTGATTGAGCCCGAAGGAAAGAATAAGCCCTTGTTACTGGTTTGAAGCAGCCATTGGGCCACACGGCCGGAGCGAGGCGGGGTGTTATTGCTGATGTTGGTGTGGGCATTCCCAGGTGGTGTCACCGGGGTACGGGGTTCTCTGCGCGCTGAAGATAGGTCTGAGGAGTCATCCTCGATGGGAATTGGAGGTAATGGCCTGTCCTGCAAGGTGAAAGCCCTAGAGAGAGCGGGGAGTTCGTTCTTGGGGTCCTTGATGGGCTCGCTCTTCAAAGGGGGCGCCGAGTCTGGCTGTTGTGTGGGAGCAGAAACTCTCGTATTCAGGCTAACGACTGCAGAAGGGGACGAAAAGTGTGGTACAAGAGGATTCGAGGGAATGGGAGGGGGCTTCTCAAAGGGCTGCTCTAGTGTCGCCAGCGAGGAGCGAAAGGATCCAGACCTCACGGGCTTGCGTGGCAGATGGAAGGAAGACGAAGTGCGATGAGATCGCGTGCGTGAGTGACGCGAGAGCGAAGCCTTTGGGGGTCGGGCCAGAGGCACTGGAGGATGGATATCGTCGTTGTCAAGGCTAAATTCCTCAAAATTGGGGAGTTCTGGCAAATGAGTGAAGGACAACTCCAGCGGACGAAATGGTTCTGCCTCCACCGGTATGGACAACGTGGGAACTCGTCTGAATTCGGACGGGGCGCTGATTCTCAACGTTGCAGCGGTCATCGACTTCCTCCTGAACGACATGCTAGCCCGGCTAGATGCTCGTGATACTCGAGTGCGGCCATTGACGATCCTCGAAGGAACAGACGAGCTAGGCTGGTTGTCGGGAACAGGAAGTGTCATCGGAGGAACGAGGTAAGGTTGCGTGTGACATATTTTCATTTCTCGTTCGGCACCTGTGACGCAAACGATGTTAGCTATGTAGGACGTGGGACAAGATGTACAAGAGGCACGGCGGATCGACCGACCCTTCTGCTCCATCGACTGCCGATGATGGGAGCTCTCATCATCACTCAAGATAGGGCAGAACAAGCAGGACGAGATCCAACCAGTGAATAGGGATCCTGCTAGTTCAATTGCCCAGGTCATAGCTACCGGCGCTTCAGAGTGTGTGGCCCATCTCGAAGAAGACGAGACAGATCCAAACGTACGAAGGAGAGAGAACACTCGAGGGAGAGGAGGGGAGGGGAGGAAGAGGAACAAAGAATGGGAGCAGACCCCGCGCGGGAGATCGCAGGAGCTAATAACGATGAGGGACAGCACATGCTGTGTGCCTGGATGCAAGCTAGTCTGTTAGTGCCTGAGCCACGGCCGTGCTGTCACATCATGGGCGCCTAACTAGGCATCGCCATTTGCTCGCAACGCGAATGGGCCTATTCCACGTTGTGCCAGTCACTGCAGCAGCGTCTTCCTACTTCTTATGATTGATCGACTTTCCAGGATCACAATAACAATCATCATCGGCATTATGTATGTGCATCAGCCAATCACCGGCTGTCGTGGACCCTCGACATTGACGGTCCCTTGCAACTATTTATAAACTGTCTCAAGAAGGTTCCAAATGTCGCCATTCGTGCATGGCTGCAGTTCCCCCTCTCATCGGTCCCAGACGTTCTCCTCCACCAGGTCGCCATACGACCAGTCTCGTCTTTTCGGACCGCCACCATCCGTATCGTCCTCTGTCGTAGCTGCTTCTGACAGCGTGCCATCGCTAATTGGTGGGCCAGATAATCTCCTGGGAATTAGAGTTACTTAGACGATTGTTCATTCGGGGTTATTTGCGCGACTTACTGGTCGATGAATGTTGGGCCCAGGACCCCTTGTGCCTGGACATGCTCCTCTACTTCGGCATTCCGGTCCTTGACAAGGTCAACCGACTGACTGCGATGAGAATTCTGAGATGTAGAGCTCGCGGTGGGATGTCGTGTGCTGGAGCTCCGAAGCGACCCCTTCCGAGATTGGCTTGTGCTGTCACTATTGCTTCGATGTGTGCTCCTCGAGTCACTCGAGGTGCGAACTTTCCGGTGCTTCCGTGACTTTTTGACCACGTCAGGCGACTGTGGGTTCTGATAGCTCATAGGGTGTGCCAAACGTTGATCCCTCGGAACCTCGTTTGCAGTGATGACGGGATACTGGAAGACGTCAGCATGTCAAATCAATAAATCAATAGAGGGCAGCTATTAGCAACGTACATTCCAGTCGCCAAACTCCAAAACCCGGGCCTTGGTAAAAAGCCCTTCATCTTCGGCGTCGATTGTGAACTCTTCGATGTTACCAGGAGCGCGAAACCGATCCATAATGCTGCTGCGTCGGTCGCGTGTACCTGCTTCGGTGCCTGCAAGTAGCGGTGTCCTATTGTTCACCTCACCCGGCTTCGGAATCCAGTATTTGGCCTTTCCTCCACGCTCGTATCGCATGCCATGCATCACTCGCCGGAGACGGGATCCAGACTCCTCGTGCGCAATGATATGATCACCCGAGTCGAACAATCGGTACTCGTAATTCTCCCCTCGCAAAGTCATCTTTGTATCCTCAATAAGGTCTCGGATGCCGAAGGCGTCTCGCAGAGCATACATGACAGGTAACCGAGCGGCGGAGATGGTTGGGTCCGCATAGTCGTGCCAGGAGAAGGCATACCAATGAGTGACCGCGAAGATTGGCATCTCAAAGCAGATTAAACTATCTTGGATGGCGGCTGCCAAGTTGTCGGGGGTGTAGCCCGCAACACCGTTAGACAAAGCTCCCAGCCACTGGAGAATCGACAAGAAGAACCCCTGCCAATACGATGCAAAAATAATAAGTTTTACACATAAAAATTTGGGAACCGGGCGGAAGGGAGCCAGGTCGTTGTGAAGGCAAACCCAGAATATTGCCAGGGAGTAGAGACTGATTGTGACACTGAGGTTATAGACAATCCCCGTCCAGAGATAGCCCGACGTGAGGCCTAGATAGCCTTCCTGGTATGTGTCTGTAGCTTTCATTATGATCGAAATCGTGGCCAGAATGGGTTTTAGCCACGTATATTGAAGGATGCCGCGCTTAACAGCCAAAAACGTGTGTGGGTCGGAGATGTCGACTTTGGGAAGACAATGGTTCAAAGGCCAGGCATGCTGAACAGGGGCACGGCCATGGGTCATGATAATCAATGATCGTTCACCCCCGAGGAAATTGATAAGCAACTGAAAGAACGTGTAGATTGTGAAGGCCTGAGAGCTACTTGTTAACAAATGGCACACGAAGACGGTCCCAAATCCCTAACTATACCTCATAAATATCCCGGATTGGCGCCAGCCACATAGATGCTTTCAAAGAGACGATACTTGTCCAAGAAGCGATCGCATATATCGGAACCCTGATCTGATTAGCCCGGGGTTTGTTCCTCCCTCGAGGTGCGAATACTGACATCAATAGGATACGAACGACATATCGTTGGAGGAGTGGTTTTCGATAATTTTTGCTAGGGCAATGATCAGCGATGGTTATAGGAGGAGCATGAGAGCAGTAGGCATACGTCTGAAGCCATATGGAGCTGTTGAGGACAGGGAGATATTAGCATGGGAGGACTTCAATAAGGGAACGGTAGTGCATTCTCACAAGAGGGACAGCAGAGAAGCTACCAGAGAAGATACACCAGAGACAATCACCACTGCACGGGCCAAACTGGTTCCCGTACCCCCTGAAGGCGAAGTCTCTACCATTGTCGATAGTGAATCTCAAGATCGCGGCTCTCTACCGGATATGCTGATAACTGCGTTTACCGGTTCAGCATTCCGCAAACGAACCAGACAAGAAAAGGGAACCGCGCATGATCATAAACAAGGGTCAATAGGTATCGTATAGTTCTCGCTCATATAAAAGCGAAACTCTCGCATGACTCGAGGGAAAGTCGCGTGGAGAACATGAGAAATGGGAGAATAGTATTGTCGCCCCAAAGCCCAGGCAGCGATGGAGCTCCATTCACCGCCTTCTTGATCAGTCATCATTGGACTATTTTTATCGACACACTGGAAGCACCTCAACGTTGTCCAACTGCGGCGATGAAGATGGACTCCGATCCTGGTACAGGACAGTACTGAAAATATTGGTCTATACGTCATGGTATTTTAACATTATAGACCAGGGAAGCCTTTAATGCTTCATTTTTGCGATGGCCCATCAGTGATTAGCGCTATATACTGACTTTAGATAGTGCTTGGACTAATAAAGACATCCATCGACTCCTTCAAAGGGATGCAGTTGTTCTGTCACGGCTTTTTATCCATTTCCAATGGAGTGAAATTGCGTGGCAGGGCTATCAACCATGATTCCGACCTCAGCAAGCACGTTCGATGAGCGTTTTGACTATACGTCTCCCACATAAGAACGACCAAGACAAGATAGTAAACATAGTCCATGTATATGGATATCACGGAAGACCAAGTGGGAAAACAGAAAAACAATCGAGTTATACACCAGCAAAGGGCTAGGAGATTGACCGGACGGTTCTATTTCCATGAGCCAGACCGAAACCCATGTATCCCAAAACTTCTGCGCATGATAGTCACAGTAATTGGAGGAATTATATGACGATGGTTACGCCGGGGATGGGCTGCAAAAGGCAGTGGAATTGCGTGTATCGACACGTTGTAGGCAGGCTCTCTCTCTCTCTTTTTCTCCTTTTGTCTTCACGCTCGTGGAACCAGATACTTAGGGCCGAGTCTGTGGACAGCCAGACTCCGAGAATTTGGCCGATTTGAAATATGATCTCCCTCTGGAGTATGTGCACTGCCAGTTTAATCCAACAACAGCTGCATGTCTCGAATTATCGGACCTATATCTGGATTCAGCGGTCGAGATAGTCGAAGTACCAGGGAAGTAGAAACCGATTAGCTTCCTTCTAGATGTAAGGAGGCCCGTGATAACCACTTCTTGGTTAATATACAAGCGCTATCAAGTCTCAGCTTTTGTCAGAACAAGTAGGGCGGGGTCTATCATGGCCGAGTCAATCTGATTCCGACGAACGGCAACAGCAGATTAGTTCCGCATTGGGGACATTTATGCATCCTTTCGCCCCCAAGACTCCTTTTTTCAGTCCTGAGTCTGACCAAGAGTACCACACTTAGACAGACTTTACAAACAGTATAGCTGTCGTGATGACTACTATCGAATTAACCGGACGAGATCGCCGCCAGGTCGAGCGTGAGTGGAATCCCATCCGTTCCTATGGAACAAACAAATATAATACTCACTATATCAGTTCCTACGGGCCTCTTCATCAACAATCAATTCGTCTCTAGCAAGAATGGCTCCCTAGTGGATGTCATTAATCCTTTCTCGTGAACAAAGCTTGGTTCCATCGCCGTTGCTGAGTCTGTAGATGTCGATGCCGCGGTTGACGCCGCGAGCCACGCATACCAGACGATCTGGAAACACACACAAGCGGCGACCGGACAGATGCTGCTGAGTCGACTTGCGGAGTTGATTGAGCGTGAAGCCCATACGTTTGCTACGATCCATTCCGTAGATGGCGGGATGGCGTACGAGGATGTGAAATTATTCGATGTTCCTCAGGCGTGTGAGACGCTGAGATACTTTGCTAGTGCGCAGAGAGCAATGTACGAGCGGTCGACAACCCTTATGGAAGGGGGATTGTTAGGAAAGAGCCTATTGGGGTCTGTGCAGCGATTGTGCCGTGGAATGCGCCGTTGTGAGTTTCCTTTTTACCTTGACTGTATGTTTGCCCTTCCATGAAGCTTACTTTTGTCTTATACCTGATATAGAATGATAACTGTCTGGTAACTTGCCAGCTCTAGCGGAAGGAAGCACCCTCATCGTTAAATCGCCTGAATTTACTCCCTTATATGGACAGAAGCTGGGGCAACTGGTCACCGAGGCCGGCTTCGGGTGTGGTCAGTATTTTATGCGGATATGGACATGTTGCCGGCAAGGCCATCGCGGAGCATATGCGTATTAGAAAGGCCGCATTCACCGGCAGCACAGCCACTGGACGCAGCATACTCCGTGCCGCGGCAGCATCGAACCTTAAAGAGGGTGACGCTAGGGTTAGGAGGGAAGAGCCCGTCCATCGTTTTTGAAGACGCGAATCTTGAGAACGCACTATTCTGGGTGTCTGCTGGATCCAGCGCGAATAATGGCCAGGTTTATGCTCTCGGCTCTCGAATCTATGTGCAAGATTCCATATATGATAAGTTCGTCCAAGGTCTGGCTGCGCACTCATACCAAAAGCCTGCGGTGATGGGTGATCCTCTGCAGAATGGCGTCACTAAGGGCCCCATTGTCAACAAACAGCAGTATGAACGGATCCTGTCGTATATGGAGAAGGGACGACAGGAGGATGCTAGAACTATCATTGGGGGATCCGGCAAAACGCAGGGATCAAGCGGGTTCGTCGAGAATACTATTTTTGCTGACGTAGCAGAGGATTCTACGATTGTGAAAGAGGAGGTCTTCGGACCAGTTGCAACGGTGCATCGATTTTCGACCGAGGAGGAGGTCATTGCCAAAGCCAATGACATCGAATATGGACTAAGTGCGGCGGTCTTCACAGAAAATGTTCATCGGGCCGATCGAGTGGCCGCTGCTCTGGAATCGGGACAGGTTACGGTCAACTGCTGGGCTAATTGACTCCTAATATGCCTTCTGGAGGCGTGAAACAGAGCGGATTCGGTCGGGACCTGGGTAAAGAAGCGTTGGAATCATGGCTGTCGGTCAAGTCTGTTAAGTATTGGTCTCCCAATGAGAAGGCGAACTTGTAAGTGGTGGATTGGAGGCCGTTGAGAAAGGGGGCTGTCTTTTACAATTAGTATGTATGTGCTGTATGTTCATAGGGATCAGAATTCCTACAATCTCCCAAAGTGCAGCAGAGAGAAACAAAAGATGCGCTTATTGCTGTACACACTGTATGCTCTGGAAAATTCCGCATTCCAAATTAGCCTTAGGCCGCCCCACTCCCCGCTCACCACAAGTGGGGGATCGATTGTGCGTCAACGAACTGCATCATTCTTGACTTTTCCACCGCCAGAGACACCGTAGCGAGGATTCTATCGAAGTGCCACAATGCCATCCCTCCAAGAGAGCAAGCTCGCCTTCATCGGTGGGGGCAATATGGCTTCCGCTATAATTGGAGGTCTTGTGAGCAAGGGCGTCGACAAACAAAACATCTGTGTTTCGGAGCCATGGGACGTCAACCGCGAGAAGGTCGCAGCTATGGGAGTGAAGACAACCACCTCAAACGTCGAAGCGGGAGGACAAGCGGATATCCTCATCATCGCGGTCAAGCCACAGACCACCAAGGGCGTGTGCCAGGAGCTCGCTGCCGCCTGGTCGCAGCGTGCCAATTTGCCCATCATTGTTAGCATTGCCGCGGGAATTACCTTGCAGAGTTTACAGGAATGGCTCCGGACAAGCGATGGAAGAAGCACCCATATTGTTCGCGTCATGCCGAATACTCCTGCGCTTGTCAGCGAGGGCGCCTCCGGCATTTTTGCTAGCGAGGATGTGACATTGGAGGAGAAGGCGCTTGTGAATGCGCTTCTTAGTAGCGTCAGCAAGGCGACCGAATGGGTGGATAAGGAAGACTTGCTCGATGTTGTGACTGGACTGTCTGGTGAGATTTGCTACACTGAGAGATAATACGCATCAACGAAAGAATTCTGTACACTGATATGGATTAGGATCGGGCCCGGCATACTTCTTCGCCATGGTTGAGCATCTGGTCGCCAGTGCGACAGCTCTAGGCCTATCAAAGGACCAGGCTACTCGGTTGGCTTCGCAAACATGCCTTGGAGCTGGCAAGATGCTTGTCGAGTCGTCGGATGACCCTACGCAGCTGCGTAAGAACGTGACCAGCCCGAATGGGACCACACATGCCGCTCTCCAAACATTCGAATCGCTCGGATTTCAGGGCACTGTGGACAAGGCTGTCAAGGCGGCAACGTCCCGAGCTGCTGAATTGGGAAACACTCTTGGGAAGCTATAGATACATTCACAACATTACGAGACTTCACTTAATTTCCGCGAACAAAATCAAAAATATTAGTTGCATGGGTCCCTTTACACAAAAAGAGGAGTATCGGGACCGGGTCAAATAGTCCAATAATCGACTCGTAATTATGGCATTAGTCAATCTTCACACAGCATATCAACCAAACGTCCACGGTCGCAGCCCTCAGCTTCGAAAGAAACTGGTATTTCGGCACTGGGATATGCCTCGAATAGAATCTGATGCGTGCTTTGAAGTATGCACCAGACACTGTGGCCAGGCTGCGAAACTCAGCCTGATGGAAGGAACTGGAGAGAACGATTGTCTGTAGGGTACAAGAGAGAGTCTAAGAAATTTGTCTCTAGGCTGTCGCCTGGTGGCTCTTCAGAAGCTGAATAGGATTTATACACAGTATTAGCCGAGGGATACAATGAAGCTATGACGACACTTATTGCATATAATATAGCTCCTGCCTCGTTATCTATCGTAGTCGGCTGGCCCAACTCGAAAAAGGAACCGTTCCGAGCCCATCCATTCCGGCGCTGTATGATGGTCCTAACCGAGGCCTACGGTCTAAATAGAGCATGTGTCCAGTGTTAATAAGAATTATACAGCATGAGTGTAGGGTTGGTGGCAATGTACTGGTTTTTCTTCTGAAATGGGAATGAAGACATTCTGATGACACTTCAGGATTGATTTGGGATAGATCTCGAGGCGGAAGGAAATACGTCCGGCAGAATGAGTATGAGGCGGTGATGTCTCTATCTACTACGAACTCTGCGAACAGGTGCTGGATTCCTGGTTTCCCAAAACCGCAGAGGGTGGGCTGATGTTGTTTTTGTCCCGTCTTTTTGGTTTGAATAATCGTCTGTTTTGGCCACTGGAAGATGCCTCTTTTACTTTTTAGCACAATACCGTCATTTACTTAGGGCCATTTGCAGAGAAGTTTAATCGGCCCGCGACACCGCCATGGTCGCAGCCATCCGCGGTCCTGACATAGTATCTATTCCAAGATGGCGAGTACAAGCTTGGTTACATTGACTCTTACACCAGATCCAAGTTTCAACTGGCAAGTGATCGTGCCATCATATGATGGCTATCTTATGATGGCTATCTTACAACAGCTGACGCCAGAATAGGTATTTTCTTTTAGAGATCGTCGTCTGCTGCATTCTGTAGGCCTTTCATTTCCGTATGCTTCGTGACCTCACATCGCTAATCGCATTTGTATCAGCGTGCTATTCTTCTTGCTCTATTTTAATCGCCTGTTCGCTACTCTCCTCTCGTACGGGATTCGCGCTTACACTTGGCATTTCTACCGCGCATATGTCGACATTCATGCCCTCCAAATATCCTTGCTTGGGGGAAGGATCTTCTTTAAAGGCATCCGATACCATGGGGTGAATGAAACGATATTTGTGCACGGGGGGTTTATTTCGTGGTGCTATTGGAGGCGCACTGTGAGGAAAACACACCTATGTAATCTCGAATCCGATGGTAAACGAGCAAAGGGCAAGCCTTTGGGGAATGGCTGCGATGGCGGTATCCAGGACCCTGGCGTTAGGGAACAAGGAGGATCTGGCAGAACGGATTCAGTTCCTTGTCGTCTTACCGCCAAATTCTATGGACTTGAGTGGTTTTGTTACAATAAGACCCCGGCCTATGACAGTATTCTCGCAGGCTTCTTTCCCATGGAAAACTCAGCCTCCTTTGCACGACCACAATATCCAGCAAGCAATACGGTAGACCCTGAATTGAAGAGGGATTCGGCGAGAGCTTCGTATGCAACGGGGTCCGACTTCGATAGAACGTCTGCTGCAGGCCATGGTCCTGGTCGGAGTAGGGCCGACGCGGAAACAGTTGATTCTCAGAATGGTGAAGACCCTGTCCAGGAAATGGAGGAGAGTCTAAACATATTACTACGGCTTCTACCACTTAAGCTAGAATGTGATAAAGGAGCTATCGTGATTGGGAATGAGAACACGAGATCGGTTTTGACCACTACTTTTGATGGTGCAACAGGTTTGATTGAGGCAAACAATGCTGGGCCACTTGACCTTTATCGACAATCCTTCTCTTTCCAGTTTAGCCATCCTGTCGTTCAAATGCGGCCCAATCCAGACTTCAAACAGAATCAATTCGATGCCGCGAAAGGGTTCAGCTCAACACGAGAAGATCAGAATGGAACGAAGCGCAAGCGAGACACTATATTTAACTATCAGTTCCAAAAGCGCCGAGTATGGCACAGCATCCGTGAACTTATTCCTTATTTTCAAACTTCTGTCGAATCCTTTCATGTGACCGAAAGGCATCCCAACGCGGCGTCGAAAAACAGGCTGAATGGTCGCAATGACGTGCGTTGGGTTGGCCTCTCCCGGTATATGGATGAGACAAGTCAGGATGACCATAGCGAATGGAATCCTATCGAGTACGGTAGATTTTCAACCATTTTGGACACCCCTAGTATGACTGTAGCATATTATTGGGATATTCCTGGATGTGTGCGGCCTCAACCTCTTCAGGAACGTTCACTTGGCAAAGGACCACATGGCATCAATGGTGCCCCACCACCTGAATGGGGAATGGATGTCAAGATTGAAGGCGGTACTATTAACTACGGGCCTTGGGCTGACCGGGAGCGAGTTGGCCTTCAAAATGTGTTTTTCCCCAATTCCTATCGAAGCTCCCGACCGGCAGAACAATTGGCTCCTGGAGATCTGAGGAAGAGTTCTGTCTTCAAATTTCGAGTGGAATTCAGTGAAGAGATAACTCTGCGTATTCCAACAAGAGAGCCTTCCAGAGACTGGCAATGGAAAGGCAGAGCCAGTGCAATAAGAGGCGCCTCTAAGTTGAAGAAACAGCCGCGGAGGAGGCAGTCCAGGGCTGCTGATGGCGACAAAGGAAATGTTGGACCAGATATCCGACCGTTTGGCTGGTTCTCGCTCCGCATAGCCAGGGATTCTACCCTGAATTATGCTATGGACATGGTGGCTTCGAGATCTGGGTTCTCCAGCCGACTTGATCTCGACCTTCGGGAGTCGAGAATGTCGTCAAGTGTCAACCATACAATACTATGGCAATGCCCGAGACAACTTATTAACTGCGATCTCTCGGTTCCCCTGACCTGGAATAGCCTCCGGACGTGGAAATTTGACGTAGAGAGTCATGATATGGAACTGTTCTTACTACGTGATCACATATTTCTGCTAACGGACCTTGTCGGTGATTGGGGCTTAGGTCCGCCTCCAGATTACTATACATTTGTGCCGTTCATCTACAAACTCAGCCTTTCATTCGTAAATTTGAAGCTATTTGTGAATGTCAATGACTTGAATATCATCAGCGATCCTTCCGATTTGGATGACAATCGTTTTCTGGTTATCAAGGGCAAGACACTTACATCTGATGTCTCGATTCCCTTGACAAAATACAGATCTGAGCAAAATGCCGTGGATTTCAGTGTCAGATTGTATGACGCTGGAATAGATTTTCTGGCCCCGTTGTGGGATACACTGCACTTGTTTTTGCAGAATAAATCCACAGCCACATTGGATACGCTTTCCATTGATGGAACATACAGCTATTATTCCTCTACCTCTCCTGAGCTGACAGATACTCTATATTTTAATATCGATGGTCTGTCGCCAAGACTTTACTTATTCGGGTTTTTAATTCGGTGTTTCATGACTGTGAAAGAGAATTATTTTGGAGAAGACGTGCACTTTAAAACCCTCGAGGAATTCCAGGAGCTTGCAAACTCGAATGAGCAGCCGGAGACTTTGAACGGTATAAATCCAAACAGGAAATCAAATGACCTCGATGTGATTTTGCACGTTACTGTGGACAGCCCTCTTGCTCTTCTCCCAGAAAATATCTATGACCATTTAAGCTGTTTGCAGCTCACTGCACCTTCCCTAGAGATTGACTTGCGATTCACAAACTATTATATGGATTTACAGTTTTCCATAGCTCCCTTGAAAGTGGGCCTTGAATCAGAACTCTCGAACCAGTCAGCCACCGTTTCTGGTACTCAGCTGTTCATCGATGGTGTTTCAATCCATGGCCATCGGCTGTTCGGTCTACCCCCTACAGAGCCGACGTATGTTTGCAACTGGGATTTTAGGATAGGCCAGATCATCGGGGAATGCTCAACAGAGTTTCTGGCCTGCTTAGGAACGGCATTGAAGAGCTTTGACTTCTCCTTCGACAATGAAGAGAATGCTCTTCCGCGATTATTCCCAATTGTTCTTCATGATGTTACATTTCTACGTGTCAATGTCGATTCCATCCATCTCTCGATACTTTTAGATAAGGGAGCATTAATCCTAAGCTCCGGTTCTGTCGCCGCTCAGCTAAATGACTGGGCAAATGAAAGATTCTCGAAACGTATGAGCCTTTCTGTGCCAGACCTTTCCATTGCTGCAGTTGACTACAAGTTTGCTGGCCGATTTGGGGTTCTTCACACCAAAGTCAGCCCGCTCGCGATATTCAAGGCGACAATAAAATTGCGAATGGCACAAAGAAAGAGTGATATCATTGAAAGTCGAAGACTGCAACAAGAACATATTAGAATACACGATGAAAGGACCCAAAGAGCACCGTGGCTGCTTTTTGACTGGGATGATATGGATCCTGAATCAATGCATCTGAAAAATGACAAATTAGGCATGCCCACTATAGCTATACCTACGATGCCCGACCCCCTTGTGCGAAGCCCTAAGATGCTGGATTCCTCACCAGAAAGACGATTTACTGGAAACCGGAAGACTCTAAGCTCTAGAAGTTTTCTGGTGTCCTCAGAAACTTCAAGCATGAGAAGTAGCCGCCGAGGGACATCTAGCATCTACCGTGTGCCGAGCACAGCCTCGAGAAAGCCTCAAGAAGACATTCGCATATTGGGAGGAGATTATCAGACATCATTTTTATTTGAAGATCGCAAATATGCGAGAGAGTCGCCAACACATGTTCCAGAGGCAAACCCCTGGGCCATGCCAAATTTTACTCTTCACAAGATCGAACTAGACATGTCTTATCTTCCATCAGACCTTGCATTCGATACTGATACTATTCAAGATGGCCCTGAAGTTGGGCACTTTGACTCTCAATTCTCTCCGTTTGAACGTGACGAAACAACCCACACGAACTTTGCCCTTGAGTTACCCGTTGGATTTAAAGGGTTTTGTACTCCCGATTTCCTTTTTATGATAGCGACATTGGTCGGGAAATTACAGCCGAGACACCCGGTTGAGATCATCGACTCTCTTCAAATAGATGTTATATCAGACCTAGTAGGCTACGAGAAATCATTGGCACAGCCGAAGAAGTCGACGGGCTTTGCAATTCGGGCTCCTTTTATACTCGTTAAGTTGGTCAATTCAGATGAACAACTTGCCAACGAAGAGGTCAGTTTCCAGGACGAGTACAGCCTTACGATAAGTCGTCTGAAGACAGAGTTCCGAACAAGAGTTGAACGGCATAAGGGCGATCTTTTGGCCGGGATCAGTAAAAGCTCTACTGTCCATGCAGCTGCTGAAAACCTTTCGATATCTGTTCGGGGCAATCGAAGTGATGTCTATCAGGAAAAAGCCGATTTTAGTTGTGTGTTCGGTGACCTGAATTTTTGGCTTGTGACGAGGCCTACAACAAGACTCCACTTCCAGACCCGAGCCTTTGACACTGTCACTTTCACCAAATCTGCGGAGCATCTGGCATTTTTGGTTAGTCGCACAACGACTATGGTCGATTCTATCACGTCTTCCTTCCAGCAAAGCTCGTCGCTTGATAGCAAACGCTTGCAACTCCTTATATACTACCTTACACAATGGGCTACAGATATTCCCGATCCCACGTTCCTTACGCGGATTTCCTATGTGCTTAGGGTGACGCCTACTCATGTGCGGCAGCATGATTCCTGGAAAATAATATCCCGCATCCGCAATGTCTACAACCGTCTTCCTGTGGACCAGCAACTGGACTTGTCTGCGAAATGTCTGAGCGATGACCTTTCCTTGCCACGAGATGCCCAGACGATTGTGTTGAGTAGCTTTGATCAATGGCGCGCTTGGGACTTGGCACACGTTGAGAAAAGCTACGTAATGCAAAGAGTATGGGATTCGTTTGCCGGTAAATCAGAAAATCTACCCATACCACTATTGTTTTCTTCAACAGTGAGAATGTTCCGGTTCTCTATTGACCCTGGGCCAAAGGAGACCAACTTGGTAGTTGAGGATTTGTCAACCGCCATAGCTGTCAAACCACAAAAGTACACCTCTTTGAAAAGGGAAGAGCGATATAAGAGCTTGATTATTGTTCAATCTTATTGCTCTTCTACTAGCCTTCGCTTACGATGGGAGATCCTCGACCTTGCCAAGGGTGTAATGAAGACGATGTCTAATGTTCAATTAAAATCCACTACTCTAGAACGGAAACCGAACGAAGAAGTTAAAGAACGGGACGAGCTACAAGCCGTGTTTGGCACGGAACTTGGGTCTGTCACTCTGGATGGCATCAATGCCAAGTTGGCTTGTATTTCTCAGGGCCTTAAGGGCTCCGTTATTGACGGTGCTGCTGGCCTGGCTGTATTGATTAGTGCTGAAACAGGCTCTTCGGAACTATCAAATCTTTCGAAGGTCCTCATGTCTTGGAAGATCGGCAACCCGTATGTCTATCTTTCACGCACGTCTGAGGAAACCGAGACTGAAGTGAGATACGAGTGGAAGGTTGCTGGATCATGCAAGAAACTTCGATACTTAATGGAGGAAGATCTCATAAACCTTGCTTATACCGCAGATCGGCTGATAGAACACGAAGTTCGATACATCCATGGGCTCACAAAAACTCTGGATCTCTCAGCTCGCAAGTCAGACGAAATCCCTGCTGCAAAGCCAATCCGAAATATGTTTCATATTGCAATGTTCTTGGGTGACTATCAACTGAGTTTCCGTGTTTTGCCGTCATTGACATACATGATCTCGGGGGAGGTCGCACGGACATGTGTTATACAAACGATGGATGCAAAAGTTGAGGTAGATTTCGATTTGAAAAAGAATCTGCATACATTCCTATCAGGGGAAGGGGATAAAACACATCAGTTATCAGTATTAGAAATACCGCCAATCAATGGCCGTGTTGTTGCAAACTTGTCGCCGGTCCGTACTGATATGGAGGTGGATGTTACAATCGAACTTATTCAACTGGAGGCAAGCTCTGTGCGAAGTTTGCTGGGGGCCCTCACAACGCCTGAGTTTTCTCATTTGATGTCGGACCTTAAACAAAACCTAGAGACATTGCAGCTGCATCTCGTTGATGCTCTTGCCTTGAATAAGCCTCCTCTGCAGCATAAGGAATCACAAGACAATGGCCACAGCATTCTCTACAAAGCACGTATGACAATGGCCGGAACCAAAATCCACGCCACCGCACCTGCCGTCAACGGGAAAAGCTATACGGCAGACATGGATCTCAGCTTGGGGATGGTGCGCATGCGCCTAGACAATGGCTTGGAGGATGGTTATCCAATGGAATACCCCGAGTTTCACATTGATACATCGAATATCAGCTTTAATCTACGAAAGAAGGAGGCACTCAGGAGCCGTTCGTACTGTGGCTTATCTATTGACGCTAAACTTCAGGCTACTTCCATGAGACGGGAGAATGGGGACCTTAGGCGAGTGTACCATCTCAGCAGCCAGCAATTCGACGTGGATCTATTCTCTGAGACGGCTCCACTGGTGGTTGATATGGCCGTCCACCTCCAAGAACGCATTAAGACATTGGATATATCGCATGAAGTAAACCGTCTCAAGAAGCTGCGACGACGAGGTCACTTAGAGCTAAAACCCAAGGCACCGGAAATTCCTGATATCCGGGTCAATGAAGACTCCAACCAAGAAGATCTCTTTGATGCCATGTATTTCTTGGACCTCAACAACATTCAGATTAGTTGGAACATGGGCACAGTGCCGGTGCCTGTACCCAGGCGTAAGCCGAACGATCTGGTGTTCTCTATAAAAAGGGTGAATCTATCGAACAAAAAGTCAAACGCTGCAAAGCTTCGCATTGAAGACGTGCAACTGCAGATGGTTCCGTACCACGCCCACAGGAAGAAGCGGTCCCTTAATTCAGCCTTGTTGCCGGAGTTGGTTTTCAACGTGGCTTACTCTTCTACAGGAGAGGATGTTCGACTTGCCTTCCAAGCAGCCGGGAAATCACTGGATATACGAGCCACGTCCGACTTCATTTTTCCAGCAAGCATGATACGCGATTCTATTGCTGCCTCCAGCAGAGTTGTTCGTGAGGCCAATTCTGCCTTCGTTCCGAAACCATCTGAAGACAATACCAAGCATCGTTCTCTTTTTGGGAACAGACGATTCCGGTCTGTGTTGGTGGACGTTGATTTTGCTGGAGCGATTGTTTCACTGCAGGGAAGACATACGGATGATACGCAGACTATGCTGACCGCAACGTTGAAGAAAGGCAAGCTATCAGAGGCAAGATATGACCAGTGTGTCCAGGGAGATGAAGCTTCCACAGCAACATTCAGAGCGCCGGGAGTCGCTTTGAAGGTCCAGTTTGAAGACAACCAGGAAGACTCGGCGCTCAATGCGGAATTGAAAGTTGATGCCTCCACAAATGTGCTTTACCCAAGTCTGGTCCCATTAGTGAAGCAAATGACAGCGACCGTTAAGGAAGTCATAGGAGAGCAAGGAGAGCAAGATAGACCTCGAAGACCGTCTAGCGCGATGATGTTGCAGCCACAAAAATTGATGCAGGAGACGCAGCCCGAGAAAGAGAACAAGGACTCAATACTTGGACGATGCAAATTGAACGTGGGCCTCTTAATTTGCAAGCAGGAGTTCAGCTTGAGCTGTCAGCCCATTGCCAGGGTGGCAGCTACGGCCAAATTTGAAAGTGCCTACGTAACGATCAACACGGTGCAGTCTGAGGAGCATGGGCGATTCTTTGCTCTTCTGGTTGCTTTCAACTCCTTAGAAGCGTCGGTGAAGCATGTATATTCCAACGAGTCAACAGCAAGTTTTGAGGTGAATTCGATGGTCATGTCTCTCATGAATAGCAAACATCTTGGCAGCGTAAAGGGCATTTCGGCGGCCCTCAGAATTAGTCCGATGCAAGTGGTTCTAAATGCCAAACAGGTGCAAGACTTTCTTCTTTTCCGCGAGATTTGGGTGCCATCGCCCGACGTCAATGCTAGCCCTACACTCTCACCGCAATCAACAGAGGGCCAAACTTATATAGTGCAACGGTATCAGCAGGTGGCATCCGCGCCTGCATTTCCTTGGAACACGACAATTTCGGTCGAAAAGTTGGAGATCCAACTTGACCTAGGCTCTAGCCTTGGCAAGGCCCTATTCGGCATCAATGACCTGTGGCTGTCTTCAAAAAAGACATCTGATAGGGAGCAGACTCTCTGTATTGGCTTCGAGACAGCTGGCATCGAGAGTAAAGGCCGCATGAGTGGATTGATTGAGTTCCAAAAGCTCAAAGTTCAGACTTCGATCCAGTGGCCGGATGATGGCCTCCAGATCAAGACACCGCTTATTCAGGCCTCGGTTTCTTTCCACCAATTCCAGGTGAAGGTCTCTTTTGACTACCAGCCCTTCCTCATCGCTCGCATTGCCATGTTCGACTTTCTTATGTACAACATTCGAAGCGAATCCGGTGTTGAGCGGCTCTTCAGTATCTTGGAAGGCGATCAAGTCCAAGTTTTCTGCACAAGCCTGACTGCGTCACAAGCTATTGCGCTGTTCCATGCTTGGCAACGTCTTGTCCAAGATAAACAGGCTGCGTATGAGGCCGCTTTGCGAGAGGTCGAACGGTACTTGCGACGAAGATCGACAGCTTTCAAGGGCAAGTCAGAGTTCCAGATAAAGGAAGAACCGAGTGAGCCCGCAGAAGACAAGGTCGAAAAAGCACCTATCTCCCTTCATACGGGAGTTGTCGTCACCATCAACTCCGTCACATTGGGAGTGTTCCCGAGTTCCTTCTTCGACAATCATGTTTTCAAAATGGAGGCACACGATGCACAAGCCCGGTTTGACGTCTCACTCGATCAAGGAAAGATCCACAGTGCACTGGGGCTCACCTTGGGACAACTACGTGTAGCACTGTCAGGCATTGTGCGGCCGAACACTATGGGCATTGAGGAGCTTCTCGTTAGCGAAATTGCAAAGCGCGTGATCGGATCAAGTGGGGGTACGATACTCAAGGTTCCTCGACTGGTGGCGACCATGGAAACATGGCAGAAATTGAGAGTTCATCAAATTGACTACATCTTCCGGAGTACGTTTGAAGGCAAAGTCGATGTTGGGTGGAATTACTCCCGTATTAGCTTCATTCGGGATATGTGGGAATCACATTCCCGCGCGTTGGCATCTCGTCTGGGCAAGCCTCTCCCGCCGTCCGCAGTGCGCATTACTGGAGGATTGGGCGGAGATGGAACGACCGACAAGGAGCAGCAAGAGAAGATCACCGCGGTGGTCAATGTGCCCCAGTCCAAATACACTTATGTTGCGCTAGAGCCGCCAGTTATCGAGACACCTCAGCTACGTGATATGGGCGAGGCCACGCCGCCATTGGAATGGATTGGGCTCCAACGTGAAAAGTTGCCCAATATTACGCATCAAATCATTATCGTGACATTGCTGGAAATCGCCAAGGAGGTGGAAGATGCCTATACGAAGATCCTGGGGTCTTCCTGATCCAAATGCCAGAATCGAGGGGACTGTACATACTACATGATGCTTGTTTACGATAGGATTGTTTCTTTATGTACATATCTACCTTTTAGTATATATTAATTGCAATGAGAGACCTTAACGTGGGTATCGATGAATCTAGCTCTGACCCGTTCGCTAATAGAAGCACGCACCCAAACCTCCGAAGCATAAAACACATACATAATCCAAACAAATCACTGGACCAACGGAATATTCTGACTTCCGAATCCCTACTCTGCGTTTCAACACCCCTCTTGCTACCCTTTGACAGCAACGGAATCCCCCAAATCGACCATATACTCAATGCAATGATCGCCACCTCCGGGAACATAGTCATAGTCAAATACGCCGTCGAATTTCCCTTGACAGCATTCCAGGCCATATCAGCAGTAATGACAAACACAAGGGAGTATACTAGACGAATAGCCAACAACGGCACACAAGCCGCAACACACATCAAGGCCCTTCGTTCCATGGAAGAATAGTATCCACGACGTAGCCAAAACACCACAAACGTGACCACCATCCAGAGATAAATAGCAGCGACCAAAGTGATTCCGACACGACTGTACGGAGTCGGAAGGAGGGCATGGTCCTTGTGAGTGACGATGATGAAGCCTGTAATGGAAATGCCGATGTCGATCCAGGTGATGATTTGAGGGATGATGAAGATTCGACGATGTATTGTGGGGGTAGATTTATTTCTAGAGTAGTCAGATATGCATATAGTTCTGGGGGATTGTATGCGATTGGGATGGAATGAGATGGGGTAACGGAACATACATCCACTCTAACATCTCAAGTAATAAGAAAATGATTAGAATCATGCCTAGTGATTCACAGACAAATACACCTGCCCAGAGACCATCGGAGTCATTGTTGATAGTGCCTAGCATGCAGCTGGCGCCGACGAGGCGGATGAGTGAGAACACGGCGATGCAGAACCAGCTGATTCGGCCAAGGTAATAGAACGAGAAGCTAAAAAGGAGAGAGGCGAAGAATGCAATGACTTGGGCGACTGCAATACCATCGCGGTATCGGAAGCTGCCGTCGCCGGGCATGATTGATATAATAGCTATTAGGAGGAATGGGTACAATCAGAGGGTAAAACAAGGTTCCCTGAGTAAGTGTGATTTGCTCATGTTTTTACTGGGGATCACTCCAGCTTTATACATATACGCTAGGTAAGATTGGATTCAACAGTTCCTTCGAGCACCGCAACGCGGGGGCTATGAATTTTCGAGAGATTTTGTCTTCGCTCTTCATTGGTGTCGGTGGAGGTCAGGTTGATGTGTCTTCTTGGGATGACACCTAGCAGTGGGGATATTATCCATGTTGAGGCTGGGCGTTAGGGATATCAGGTTGAAGGATTATGGAATGTTAATCATCTGCAGCCCTACTCATCGCATGTCTCTTTGCTTCGACAGATGTGACAATGGCACTAGTAGGTACAAGTCAATTCACCTCATACCGTATCTTCATCATGATCATTATCACTGTCATATGCATCGATTAACTGCCTCAATACAGGCGAACCCATAAATATTGAAGAATGCAGTGTCAGGCGAGTGACAGTGGTGTGTTTGGGGCCATGCGCTATCCCAATCGGGTAAACCTTGAGAGCTCTCAGATTAGGTAAGCAGCAACGGAAAGTTCCTCCTGATTAACTGAGCCCTTATCTTATCAATCTTATATCTAGTAAATACATGTAGATTGCTTGATGTCGAGAATTATACATCGTAAAAATGAAATAAAATTAACTGAAATCTTTTGGATCCCACTAATGCTTTTGCGCTCCAATATGACATTACAGGTGGTATTAAGCCTAGAGTGTTGCTCAGGCAAATATACTTCACTAGACCATGTATTATTATAACATTTCCTCCATCAATAAATTTGGCTCCCTAAACATTAGACTCATCCCGATCACTTTTTCTATCATCGTCTTTGAATACGAAACATTTCACCAGTGTCCTGATAGAGGAATCAGATCCGGCCGGATCATACAATGGCCTATGCTCCTAGCTCATATCGTGGGCATAATCATAGTCCACATGGACAAAGGTCCTCTCAATATCGGCCAGTCCTTCCAGCTTATGCTGGAGTGTTTGGTTGATATCATGGGAGTCTCGGAGCTTAGTGCCCGGATCCGTGATGATATCGACCTCGACGTACAGTTGCTGTCCGGCATGATATGCTCAGCACTAAGTCTGTCAGGCAAAGCAACAGGAGAAATATAAACAACGTGGAAGGAAATGGTTAACTCATTGTGTCAACCTTCTCGATTCTCTCGTCAGGAGTCAAAGTAACATAGATGCACTTGTTCATGAATTCTCGGGGAGCGCATTTCCCCACCAAGTGCCACGTCTGCTAACGCCGTGGACACCTAGGAGAACAAGATCCGGAGGCCAATGCAGCATGCTCCGACCGGATCCAGATACCAGACGAAATTGTCCCCTACAATCGACATAATCAGACTGAAGATGTTCACCGCCAGATCATTCCGGTGGTCGACGAAGAACACTTGCGCCGCTGGGTACCGCCGCAAGGTGAAGCAATACAGGAACAGCACAAATTTCGAAAAAATACCGACGCCTACGCAGGCCAGCGGCACCGTAGCAAGGATACCTGACTCGGACTTCCGCGATGCCAGCGACTTGGCCGACTCGATGATGAGCTCAACCGCTACGGTGGTCATCAGGGCACAGAACATGATGATTGCCATCGTCTCGATACGTCACGTCCCGGAGGATACTGGGATGGCTTCGGATGCGACGGCATTCGAGGCGTGATTAGCATGACAATGGACGAGACCAGATCCATGAAAGCGGCTGCGGCGGTGGCGAACAGTACGAGCGAGTGAGTGGAAATTGCGGTGTATAGCTGGATCGCAAAGAGGCAGAAATTGACAGGAAGCTGGCTCTGACTGCAAGCTTTAACTTGCCTCCATTCTCCGCGACGTCTTGGGCCTTGAGGTGTTCTTCATTGCCACTCTGTAGGACCCGTCCATCATCTCATTTTGCTGGCGGTAGAGCTGGTTCTTCTCTTCATTTTCCGATTTCGAAAATGCAACCCAGTGTTTCCGTTGAGATACGGATGTTTTGTACTCTAGGAGACCAAACAGGTCTGTGTCTCACGGTGTCATCTTGATCTGTGATTAATTGAGGTATTAGGGTACGGCCACCGAGAATATTAAGACACCTCGAGAGATCAGGATGAATTGGATCATATCCACTGAGTTAGGATGAAATACAGCCTGCTGCGGCAGGTCCAATGCTGGGTATTTCCTTGGTGTCAAATGGGCTATTAAATTGATAGATAATAGATATGTTGATTTAATTAACAATAGGGCACCTCATTTATATGTAATATAATAATATAAACGAATCGGTAGTATGAAGGTAAACAACCTCACGAAACTAGTCGAGCTTAGCTTCAATATGAGCAGACCATGTTTAGATCCAGACTCCCCCACATTTTCCTCTCTTTGATGTGGATGAAAGTGCATGCCAAGATATCATATGTTGCTTTCAATATATATTTCTAGCGGATTGACAGCTTATAGACCAGCGTGACGTGAACTAATCTCCCGAAACCACCCATCCCTTGTGTTAAACGCTGGAGATTTGCCGTCTAGCAACACATTCCCCCAGGCCCAACAAAAGTGATAAGAGATTGTTGCCGTAACACTCAAAATGGCCAGGATGAAAGACGACGGCTCAGCCAAGTCGAACGGTGTTTGAAACACCTCCCATTGCCAGGAAGGACGGGATCGTGCACTTACGAATTGACAGTCGTTGATTAGCGTCAAAGACGGCTGCAATTGGCAAGTCTTCACTGCCCGGCTTCTTAAATGTCAACCTGATACTGAATGCTTTTACCAAAATAATATGCTTGTGGCCAAAATAAAATGCTTGTGGCCAAAATATACGATCCTCCAATGTCTCCGGTGCGAAAGGCAAGACAGGCACGAGAGAATTCATGGCCATCGGGGCACTTCTTAGGGAGCGGCATTCTTTCAAGCACGACCTCGAGTCAATCATCTGGGTGCCTTCTGTATATACATAAACGACGACGGCCAGTTGGTCAAGAGTCGTTCCATAATTTGACGAGTGGAACTATGTGGCAATACATAGAACAAGGGTAGTGATCTACTGAACCCCCCGGTCCCCACCCAGGCCCCCATTTGGGCCCTTGTATCTCCTCTCTACCTACAAAGACCATGGACCCATAGGATAGGCCCGCCGTATACCCTTTTGGCCAAGACTTTTACCATTGGCGTATACCGGTATACGGCGTACACTCTACTATTAGGGTATAGGGATACATAGGCCACAGTAATACGTAGATCCGATGTAGGCCACGCTCTGACCTGAGACCTAACACGGACTGGGCCGCGCCGAACCCATGCGGTCGTCCCTACCGCAGTCTAGTCCCTACCGGGCCGCGCGGCGCGCGGCTCCCTGGGAGTGAAGTTTCACTTGGGCTGTTCATAATTGGTTACCGATAATTTGGGTCTGCTCCACTTGAATAGCTTAGCGTGTGACAAACATGCATTTGAGGTGCCTTCTTTCCCCATAGCGGCAACAGCCGGATAGCACAACAAGCAATTTTGTGTGGAGTGCTGGATTAACCTCCTTCGTAGAATAATGATTAAAAATCAAGTAACGGATAATATAGAATGATCGCAGTGGCTACACCACAGTCGCATTTTGCCGCGCGGTCAAGAGTGTCGACGCTAGCTTGTCGGCAACCTAAGGACCGACAATCTCAAGCTTCCGGGCCTTTTTTTTTTTTAAATGGGACAGAGAATACAACAATGATTTACAGAAACGGGGATCTGTCCATAGAATCTACTTGTACTTATGGGTTGTCCTGAATCTGCTTGGAATTCTACATCTGAACTACAGATCTATGAAGATGGAATGACCCCACCACCTCTATCAAGCTCAATAACGCTGCCACCGACTCTAGTGTACGTACTTGGCAATCTGTACTCTACTCTGTACAATGTGTACTGGTCTAGTTATTTTACAGAGTGCTAGGCAGTGATGTCGCAATATTTGGTGGACAGGGGAAGTAATAACGGTCAACTATAGCGATATCCCACTTAGAGACCACGGGTGTGATTTCAATTCTGGGAGAGCTTATACCTGAACGGATCCACTCCCTGACCATGACATGCACTAAATAATAATGGCTAGCGTCCTGTAGGCTACACCACGCTTGGTTGCTAGTACGTAGGTTGGTAGACTAAGCTGGGGCATATGACACTGAGCGAGTAGTCATCTGTCGGAGCATGCAGCCTAAAGAAACTTCTTGTGGAAAGTCACTACGGGAAGACGCCAGACCTATTCATTCTTCCCTGATAGTTTGGACAGATCCATACGATGTGTGGCCGAAAAAGAGTTTCAACAGCAGGAACTAGGGTTCAAGCCCAGTCTGACCAAAAAGCTCGAGGGGTACTTAGTAGATATTGAAGTATATGCCACTTTAGCTGGATCATGACCGAAATTGACTAGGAGAAAATATGGAAGTCATGCATGTGGTATGGCCTGGACGGCATACAAGCCACCAAATACGACCCATCCAGGGATTAAAAACAGAGATTTCTTGTGGAATTGGCCCGCATCTTAAGGGTATGCATTTTGGAGCCAATGCGATTGGACGGGATAACATGCTAGTGGCATGTGGGATCTTGTTGGCCATCGAAGGAAGCCATTTTGCGGCGCAGCTGCATTTGTCTTGGAGGGTACTTACGCTGGTCTATTTAGCGTGTATGTGCGGAGAACGGAGTACAGACAGTACTGTATCTGCAGTACAGGATAACACTAATAACCGGTTGATGATAACAAACATGCCCAGTAATCACCCTACAGTTGTAAAATAATGCAAAATTGATTTATTCAATTAAATATTGTCGAAGAGTACCGCTGCATTAAAAAGGTGTCATGACGCCGATTCAAACATAACATGTACTGTTATTTTTATGGTTGACAAATGTTTAGCTTTATATAATTATTATTGTTTTTTGCTAAAAGATAACTGCTTCATATAAATAAGATGATTAATGGCAATCGTATGAGGACAGAATTTAACCGTAAGGGCCCCGCGTAATGTCTCTGACCATAAATTCCTGCGCGCGTTGTTGGAATAATGTGCATATAGTTATAAGACGCTTCACACATTTCAGCCACCACTCTTCGTATACTGGGGAAGCATAGGATTCTCCCCCCAGTGTCCGATTCAGCAACTTATTCAAACATGGCTCGATTTTGTTGATGTCATACGAGAATTAATCCACTTGAGTTGGTTTAGACAATATGCTAACATCGCTACTGCCTGGTTAGGTTAAACAATAGTGCCCGATATCTAACTAGAAAGCTTGTTAGGCTAGCCAAGTCCAGCCTCTTTATCTCCTGTGCTGATGGTCAAAAGTCGGTCCAACGCTAAGCAGTTAACTGATTTACCCCATCGAACATCCTTATCACCACCTGCCACGATTCCGGTCCATTGCACACTCACGATAGTGGCCCAGGTTAACTGATACACAGGCTTCGGCCGAAACAGAGAGTGCTTAGATTGCATCATCTAATAACAAAATTTACTACTGGGACTCAATGGGAAGGGTGATATCCCTGCTGTAGGCTACAGGGTGGGCCGGCTTCGGCGGAACATCCAGGCGGCTACGCACCCAGTTCAACTACAGGGCAAGTTATTAGCTCAATAACAACAGCGATTGTGCTGGAAGCCCTACATAAGAAGCCATAGGCATCGGCTGTACAGCTATGCTGCTTGTAGATAGAGGCATTCCTCCATCGAAGGTTGTAACCGAATAATCTCTTAGGGTTGTGACTGTGTACAGTGTCAATGGCAGGAAATCTGGTTATAAATCCGACCTGATCCTAATAACTGATTATCAAGGCTGTATCCCAGTCAGTTAGTGTTGTCTAGTTGGTCGAAATAAAGGAATGCAGGACTAGCACGAAGTGGACCATAGCGTCCAAAAAACGTGCGGCATTTTTTGAGTCCACTAATTGTGCGTGCGACCGCCAATTTGCTCTCTTTCGACCATGACAACATGGTGGGAAACCATTATAAGCTGTACCAGGTATTTTCTGGTAATATATAGTTACCCGTGTCCATATATATAAACTTACCATGTACGCTGACTGACGGACTCTGTCTTCCACAAACCCCCATCTCGCGATCTACACGCTGGAGCACCGTCTATCAGAATGCCCAGCGGAGAGAATTACCGGCTCCGGCAGCCCAACTTGGATTTGCAGAATGGTCTGTACCCACTGTTAACAAGCATGAAGCCGCTAACCAAGGCAGACGACGACCGGGATGCTTTCCTGGTCCGTTTCGAAGATGGTGATAAGGAGAATCCAAAAAATTGGAAACCTTACTACAAATTATGGCTCACCATAGAAATGGGTATGCTGGCCTTTGTTGGCTCGTTGGGATCATCCATTATGACACCAGCGTCAGCAACACTGTCGGCGTATCTGGACGTCAGCATCGAGGCAACGGTACTGGTGCTATCTTTGTTTGTCCTAGGTGAGTCAGCAGATAGTCGTAGTTACGCGATAATCATTTGGTATTCAAAGTTAATTGAGCAGGATTTGCGCTGGGCCCATTGCTCTGGGCGCCCATTAGTGAAATATGTGGACGCAAATGGTCCATGTTGCCGCCGGTTCTCGTGTTGGGACTCTTCAGCATCGGAACTGCAGTGAGCAGGAACGCAACAAGTGTTTTCATTACTCGATTTTTAGGCGGCGTCTTTGGCTCTGCGCCCATTAGTAACGTATCTGCGGCACTAGGGGATATTTATGATCCCCAGGATAGAGGGGTGCCCATGGCATTCCTCGCGCTATGCGTAGTAGGGGGTCCAACAGTGGCTCCTGTTATTGGCGCAGCGCTCACAGTCAATCCACACTTGGGATGGCGATGTACGCTTCTCTACTTAGCAGTTCAAGACCTATATACTGACTCTGTAGCAGGGACTGCATACATGGAAGCTATAGTAGCGTTCGTGGTTTGGGCTGTTGCGCTCTTTTTCCTGCCGGAAACGTATGGCCCTGTCCTACTGAAACACAAGGCGAAGCGTATGCGTGAGAGTACAGGAGATGAGCGATTCTGGCATCCCAGCGAGAATGAAAAGCTTCACCCGCGTAACGCTGTCACAAAACACCTTCACAGGCCTCTGCGGTGCGTGGTCATGTTTATGCGTGCTGTTGCAGCCAGCTAACCCAGTACATGGATAGCATGTTCTTCACAGAGCCAATGCTGACGTGCATTGCGCTCTACGCCTCATTTGTCTACGGACTTCTCTTCCTCAGTATCGAGGTCTATCCGATCGTATTCTATGAACAACGTCAGTGGAGCTTAGTCGTCTCCTCGATTCCGATTCTGGGTATTTTCGTCGGTGTACTCTGCGCCCTCTTCATCAACATCGCCAACCAGCCTCTATACGTGAGGGCCATGGTCAAAAATGGTGGTCAACCAGTGCCAGAGGCACGTCTGCCGCCAATGATCATTGGAGGTTTCTTTTTCTCTGCTGGCCTGTTTTGGTTTGGTTGGACAGCATCGCCACCGCATTGCTGGTTGTCGCCGGTGGTTGCAGGGGGTGAGTATCCCATTTTTCCTCAATCAAGAGGAGGAGCTGGGCTAACATGCCTGCAAGGGTTTATCGGTGCTGGCTTCAACGTTGTGTTCCAGCAATGCCTCAACTTCTTGGTAGATACTTATGGCACATATGCGGCGAGCGCGATCTCCGGGAACACATTTCTACGATCATTGCTGGCCTGTGGGCTGCCCCTGGCTGCTAGACCTATGTTCTTGAATATGGGAATTGGCCCAGCTTCTAGTCTTTTGGGGGGCATATCCTGCTTGGCTTTGCCAGTTCCCTTTATCTTCATGAAATATTCTTCTACCTTGAGGAAGAAATCCAAATTCGCTACAGCATTAAGCGGCTAAGGTATGCAACCTGGGACGGAATGGATTTTAGCTTCGTTCATATGCGTCGTATCCGTCACATTTTAGTCACATAGAAAGTTGCAAGCAGTAGTTATAGAACCAAAAAGGGAAAAGTAATAAAAGTTAAGGGTCATGACTTTCAAATTTTACATATTTGTTACGAGTGCTTTCCACAATGTGAGAATAAATTTTTAGAGCTAATATAATAGTTATGCCCGTGTTTTACAACTGGATAGGGTATAAGTGGAACGGTGGTGATTAGTGATAACCTGCTGAGTGATGGAATATTCCATGTGACTACCGGTAAGCATGGACTACGAGCGAAACTTTAATATCTTAAAACCACGCGAGCCCCGTGTTGGAAACCCGTCTCAAACATTACTGCTACATGCCTCTCAATCACTTGCGACCGCCATGGGGCATCATCACTATGGCTCTTCCCATACAACATTGGGAATACACTGACGGTTCAGTCGCATTACCCTCCACCCCCAATACCTAAAAATGACGCTGTCCGACACCCTTCTTGCTGATTGGAATGAAGACTCTTCTCTGGAGCTATGTTTACAGAACCAGCCACTGCCTGGCTCGGATGGGCAAGTTTGACGAACTTGGTTATCATAGGAGTCTAGGAGTATGGCCCCTGTTGCTCGTTGCCCGCCACTTGCTCCTTTTCCTCCATACTTCACACACTAACTGTGACATTCCAGATATACTCACCCTAGCCCTTCCCTTACCCCGAACGAAGCAATTCTGGAGTTCTCCCTGTCTGTGTTTATCCAATTTTATAAAAAATATCCTACTACTTTTTTGATACCTATTGCGACACGCCTATACGCACAGTCTGCGCGACGTCTGGATCGCTTGCTGCTCTTTGGCAGCTGTCGCCTTTACGCTGAGTTTCCTGGTAGAAAGGCATGACCTGGATAAGGAGCAAGAAACCGAGCAATGCCTGAGGCAAGGTTAATTTTGTGCCGAAATTAAGAGAAAGGTGGACAGACTGTCTATGCAATCTTCATGGAAATAAGAGGAGGCGATTGGAGAGATAAAGTGCGTCACCCGCTGGGGAGGCGTATTAATGGTGCATAGATGGGGTTGAGATAACACATTAAGGACCAAAGCGGCACCAGGTGGTGAAAGATGACGCTATCCAGACCGGGAAGACCGCTTCCCTTCCTGGGGTCTGATCTCCCAGGAACGGTGATCAGCACAACGTATAGCAGCCCTAAGTCTGACAGCCCGATTGCACGCATAAGAGTCATTAGATCAGAAAAGTTCGTTTTTATAGAGCGGTGCATGTACGGTTTAGAGAAAAGTAGATAGCGATAGTTGCTCCCTGTATATCGCCGGTAAGGCGAGAGGTCAACGTATAAATACAACCAACCTACAACCAAGGGTGCATCCTTCTCTTAGGGCTCAAAGCTGTGTGTCGGTATCAATTTGGCAGACGGTACTGTAGTACCAAGGACGGAGTGAGTGGGAAAGAAGGGATACTGGAGCTGTTGGAAACGTCAGATAACGATATGGATGGCAGACATGTTCCTTTCACCTCCTAGAAAGGGAAGTAAAACGATCCAGGCTGTTTGTCAAGGATCTTTGGCCTACGTAGATTCGCCAAATTTAGATACACTCAACTATGGCCCCAGAATTGAAAGTGTCACGCCAAAGCCAATCGAAGGCTCTCTGGGCTGGTTTCTCGAGACATAACATTGAGTATCAGTCTGGATCGGTGGTCTTCGCTCAATCCAAACGGCTACTATTGTAACTGATTCTCAACCATAGCAATGAAAACAGAATGCCTGCGTCCAAAGATTGTCCATGTAGTCAAACTACAGTCAGGATTCTCAGCCTAAATGAGAATTTTCCTGGTAGATCCCAAATTTTTCGAGTAAGAGATGATCAGATGGCGTAGATCCGTCGTCATGGGGTGTCGAACATGTCTCACCCGTTCTCGGTAACGGTCATTTAGGAACACAAAGTGGAACCCTAAGGTCGCAAACCGCCGGAGAAAGGTAGAATTACAATGTGTATCCAGGCACTCTAGGCTTCGTAGATAAATCCAGCGTAACTCGCGTTTGAGCTGTTCGCGATTGTCCCCCGCGACAGATTCGGTTCGCTTATTTCGGAGTATACCTAGAACCTCCTTCGCTATGTCCATCGAGAGACAGTTACATATGCCGGCCATTTCAATCCCACAGTCTCGGCGCCCAAGAGACTTAACTCCCCTCGCGGCAAGAACGACGAGGGCTGCTCCTTGGGCGCCCTCTGTCATCACCCTGAATTGGGACATGAGGGTAGTCTTTGCCAATACCTGCCTGCGAAGCTCTGGGTCCACTTTCTCAAGGTATTGCACAGTATACTGCCTCAACAGATGCATTTCTAGCAGTTTGACATCGTCTGGATGAACACCCTCTGAACGCAGACCTGCAAGCACGTCCGATAACCGATTCCCCAAGAGACGAAAAGATCCGTCCGCCAAGTCCTGCGGAGGAATTGTGATATCATCGGAAACAGTGGAAAACGCCACCCACAGGTGCTTCCATCAGTGCGCGTCCAAGGATCCATGCCATTGCGCCCACCACTAGAGGGCGTCACGAAGGGCATACTGGCAAACTTCCTCAATATTCGTATCTCCTTTTGCTGTGTACAGAGTATAGTCCTTCTCGTGTTTACCACGGTAGGCTTGAATGGACTTGTCGATATAATCACTCAGACGGTCTATGTCCCTGCATGCACATGGAGGGCGACAGGCAACTCCCATGCCCGAGAAGATACGCATAGCGTCTTCATTAATTTCCACACCGTAGTAAGCGTTGTCGTTCTTCTTGGACGGTGATTTTAAGTCACAGCAATGAGTCTGAAACCAGAGAGTTGATGTTTCCCCAAAGTACGATTTGACAGCATGCCATATGTACTCCATATTAAGCTTGCAAGTAATAAGAATAGCGAGACTGAGTCTAGAATTGCAGTTATATCAGGAACTTTTTGAAGACAAAGGTTATAGGTAAGCGAGCTTACTTCTGCGCACTTATAGGTAAGCTACTTCAGGGTAATCACAGAGCTAGCCCCTTTATAGTGATTGTGTCACTTTGGCTCAAAGGTTGTGGTAATTAATCCTTCCTTATTTTCATCCTTTATACATGGTAGTAAGGAATAAGCATTCCTAGCATAAAAAGATGGCCTTCGGTGGGTGGGCATGGGCAAGGAAGAAGGTTATTGGCAAGGAACGTATGGCTTTCGCATCAGGCGGGACCACACCTTATAACACTTGTCTGACTTTGAGCAGGCCCGATTGTCCGCATCAGTCCCAATAAGCTCCATGTAAACGATCTGTCTTTCTTTACCCAGTAAGTCATGTCGCCTGTCATCTATAAAAAGTGGCTGAGTTCCTTGCAAGGGTATTTCAAAACGGCACGCCTTTTTTCAAAGATCCCAGATACTACGCTAGCTTCAACCTTTACGAAGCTTTGCCTTTAATTAGAGATCCAAATAAGCACATGATTCGCCATTCCATTGTGAGGCCTTTGTTTTCAAAGCGACGGGTCGACAATTTCGCCCCTAATGTTGAACAAATCGTGGAGAGAGCTCTTCTTAAGATTGCCACTTTCCAGGAAGCAGGGAAGCCTCTGAACATCCAGCAGCTATTCCGCTGTATGACGGTCTGTATATGCTGGCTGTGGTAAGCGGCCCCCTTTTTAATCTATCAAACTAACAATGCCCTGTCCATTGTAGGTAGATGCTATCATGGCTCTATTATTTAACAAGACCCAGAACCTAACAATATCAAATGAAGTTGAACCACCTTTTTTAAGGAGCATGACATTATTCACGAAGAGTTTTTATCTTACAAAGCACGTTCCCATTCTCGCACGTGCTGCTCGCAGGCTTCCGCTGTGTATAGCCAAACGGGTCTTCCCAGCATATGTCAGTTTTCGACAGGTACGTTGATACCTCAGCCGGATATTGATATGAACATTAACATTACTAGAAATGTGAACAATAGACCAAGGCCAGAGGCTTAAGTCGTGATGTACACGCGAATAAGACAACTACGGTGCTGGATTTATTAATGGCCCCACCGGAAGGCGTTAGGCCCCCGACATGGAGGCTCTTATAGATGAGGCATTTATCTTTTGCTTTGCCGCAAATGATACAACATCATATGCACTTACTTGGGCCATATACTATCTTCTCACCCATACTAATGCAAGGTTAAAATTAGCTGAAGAGCTGTGGCCGCTGCAGCAAACCGCCAACGGTCTCCTGACTTACGAAAAACTAGGAAATCTTCCTTATCTTGTATATCTCAACATGAATTTAAGTAGCAAACAGTTTCTAACTAACGATATTAGACAGGAGTAATCAAGGAAACTCTACGGCTCACATCCCCAGTTCCTTGGGAACTGCCACGTATCGTCCCTCAGGGCGGGATTTGGCTTGGAGATCAATACATCCCGCCAGGAGTAAGTGGCCGAGCAACCTTCTCTACACGAGGACTCTGGCTTAATAATTGCGATATTAGACATTAGTGTGCATGGGCACTCGCATGGTCCACTACAACCCGCAAATCTTCCCCGACCCAGGGAAGTTATCCCCGAGAGATGATTGGGTGACCACGGCAAAGAGTTCGAAAAGTGGAATGTCGCATTTTCAAGGGGATCACGCTCGTGCATAGGGATTAAGTATTAATCTTCAGTGGAGGTTTGATAAGTCTTGAGAGCTAATCTTTCCATCAGCGTGGCATATCTGCAGCTGTACGCCACTATCCTGTGCTCCATACGGTGGAACAAGAAGACTAAGGACAATAGCAGTTATCTAGGGGATATGCATTATACCTGCGAAGGTTAACATTCGAAGATTTGTATGTCCCAAGATGACGGTCAATGTAATAGAGAGGAGCCAAGGTCTGTGTTCTGCAACGACAGCGAGACTATACAAAGGAAGGACTATTTATGGCTGCTCCAAGGGCGTGCTTGCTAGTACTCTACGTTGGAGATAGACTAAGATTATATAATATGCATAGTTTTCAGCTCGCCATGATTTCGGTCTCCCGGGGCCAGCCACGTCTTACTCCTTCTCTCCGACGACAAAAAGGGGGCAAAGAAACATGTAATTAGCAGCTAATTCCTACGCAATTAGTGGTTACTTGGTACCATTTGGCGGTTGCACAACATAACTACGTCCCTTGAAAGCATGAGAGTGGTTGTTTACTAGGTGCAGGATTAATTTACAGGAGCTATGTGGCATGAATATCACACGCCTCCCCCCCCCCCAAAAAAAAAATTCCAGGCAATGCATGCATCTGCAGTGACACATTCCAGCTGAGGCCATAAGCCTCAGCATAATGTTTAGGAATGGTCTAGGCTATCAAGAGTGGTTGCCCCAATTGCCTGCTGAGTCTCATTATCTCAGGTGCTCGTTGTATGACTCGCAACGTTGTGTAATATAAATATGTGTGATCAGATAATATGACAGCAATTAAGGCTCTTCTAGAAGATAGTGAATATCAGAAGAATTTTAAAGCATAGCACAAATATCATAACTTAGCCTTGGGTTAACACTAAAGCGTGTTGACATGGAAGAAATTATTTCAAGAGCTCAGGAGTAGTGTGGGTGATAAGTAGGCTGTGCATACCGTAACCAAAGCACCAACCAGTTGAATTACAAAAACACAAGGCTGGCCAACCAAACACCAAATGTCCCCTCCGAGAATAGCTCGAGAAATGACCGAAAGCAGCAATACAAGGAAAAGGGGCCCTAGGGTCCACCCGCCACTCACTGCAAGCTGGACAACTAGGGCACATAAAAATATCAAGAGCAAAAGACCATCTAGTGGGTTTCAGGTCCCTCGGGTGCAGGTGTCCTCTACACGTTCCAGGTAGGCTCTCTCCTAACCGGATACCCCGGATCATACCCAGTATTGTCGGAAACCATAAATTGTCCCTGCAGGCTGCTCTTGCACGGATTTTGCTTCTGAAGAACACACGACGCTGGCCGAAAGCTGGTTCCAGCCGATGGACACGATTTTGTAACGTTGTACTCCGCGTCCATCTGCTCTACCCCCTCTTTCGTTTTGAACTCCCAGTATGTGATACCCTGACTATTCTTCTGGACCTTGGCACGGCCGCCCATTTCCTTAAACCGTACCGTATTTTGCTTCCCCGATGCTTTGTCGTAGAACGCATTCATATCTTTAATTATCTTTTCTTGGGCCGCCTTGCACTGTTCATAGGAGAAAAGATCATTCGGGTCCCGTGCGACGAAGTGCTTCTGGTCTTGACAGAAGCCGATCACATTTTGGGGTGATTTGTATTGTATATATGGGTCTGCGTAGAACTTAACGACGCAGTGGTGACGGTCAACTTGCTTCTTAGGACATCCGCAACAGCACTTAGCGTTATTAACAAGCTCGAAGCTCTCCTTACAGTCCCCCCTAGGGGAGAAGAAGGTAGCTCCTGGGCAGCCGTTTGAATATTCGCCACAGGCATTGCCGCTCACGGTGCTTGTCTGACAGGAGCCTTGCGAATATACACAAAGAGCCCCGAGCGATAGGATGAGGAATATTGCAGTACCTTTTATCCTACAAAGGCCAGTTAATAATTAGTCGTATTTAAGAAACAGGGCAACATACATGGTGAGTGGCGTGCTTCTCGAAACTAATTTTGTACGATAAATGTGGGTGAATGGCGCCTGAATCGCCTGAAGATAGCTTCGATTAAACTAGGTAGCGAATTTTAAAAATCAAATACTTGGGTTAGGCATGGCCTTCAATTTATACACCACGGGCAGACTGTCGGAATCTAATCCGCATTTTCAGGCATAGATTTGGCTCTCCTGGGCCAATATGAAATGCCACACCGGAATCTAACAGTCGACAGGGGTGTGATATTTAATTATTGCCGCTTTGGTATACTACGGACTTGCTATACCAGAGCCGAGCAACTTGCATGTTCCCGTCCGACGTCACGGACTGTGGATTTAGACTTGTTTCTCTTAATTTAATGCGGTAGCAGACCTGCTGGCGTTATATGCGAGCCAAAGTCGCCGCCGATTTATAGACTAGAGGAAATGCTACTGGGATCCATGTCTATTCCACACTTCTAGGCATCATTCCCCCAGTATACCACGGGTATCAAACGAGTCGTATACATGATGCAAGGGGAGCGGTAAAGGAGTCGTTTTTTGCTCGATCTTCACCAGCATCCTAATCATAGGTTGGACCCCCAGAATAGTTGAAAGGTGACTCGGCACGCTGATAAGTCTATGGCTGGTATACCGTATGTTAACACCACCCATGGCAAGTAAAATTTATACGCCGCTCTCCGAATTTATCGAGATCAGCTTCCCGGTTCCCACCGTGTCTCAGGCGCCTGACCCTAACGCGCCACCCTTTTGTATTCGTCATTTCCCTATGTTAGTCTACCCGCTTAATCTAGCCATTACCAATTAAACGGAGCTTGGCATGAATAGAGGAGGCCACAGTAACAACAAATATAGAGCAATGTAACGTTGCCTGGGTGGTTAGTAAAACAAAGCCCACACCTGGCCTGGATATAGGCCCCAGTTATACGGCTTGGAAAGTATCACGGTCCCTACTCGACGCTTGATGCAGTGACTAGGCCCAAGGGAGACCCTAGGAAGGGGAAGACATCCCTTGCGGTAATAAAGCAGATACTTGGCAATCATCCACGTCCCACATTTTAACAATCTCGTATAAAGTCGATCTGTTATATCTTTCACCCCTCCCTTCGTCGCACTAATTGCTGAATAGTAGGCAAATTAGTATGACATGTTAAGGGTCGGTTTGGTGAGACAGAGAGAAGTCCCAAGCCTCATTGCTTGTATGCAAATAACCTACAATAATGCGAGAAGATCGCGGAGTTGACTGAGTCTCTCTGATGTTCAAGATTCATGCCAACATTATTACTTAGTCAAGAGTTCGACAACCACCTACTTCCTCCAGCATGACGTCTAGACCGCTGCTCCTAGGAATTAATAACTACCCATTACCGGTGATATGTCCTCCAAGTCAGTCAACCGTGAAGCAGGAGCAAAAAGGAGGTAAATAAGCTAAATATAGAAGACCCCGAACTTGTGAGAGCTGAGACACGATGTGCCGATGATTGTGCCATTACAATAATTCCAACCACTGTAGGATCTCTACTTGAACCACCCTCCTTTTAGTTTGTCATAGCAAGTATACGCTAATCGGGTCATCCTGTCCTGACTATAACGCCACAATGAAGATATGCAGTCTCTGAAGAGCATCCACATCCTATGTATTGTGGAAAGCTGAGGTGATACATTCAATGCAGCTGCAAGCTTGTTCACGCTCCAGATAAATTACGTATTCGCTGCAGCGAGCCATTTTTTGTACGTATCACATGCTACAGTCTGCACAGGTGATGGACACAGCCTGCGGTGATGGTAATTCGCATCGACTGTGCAGTCTCATATAATGATGCGGTTCGAATCTTGCGGGTGGCTGGCTGAAGAAGCAAACACATTCGTACCTTGGTGAGAAAAAATGAAGTGCGCAAGTCAGCAATGACAAGCCAAACCCTCACACAGTAAGCGCGTATTGATGCGTCCAGGATTAACCTTGCTCTAACTTGTGTTCCTATGCAAAGGGAGAAGTAAGCGTGCTCATATAGAGTCTTGGCGGTATCAAAAATGTCTGATATGTAGGATTTATGATAACAATAACAAAGTCAGCAGAACATCAAAACATACGGACTTCAGTCCTGACATCTTCCCCAGGGTCAGAAATACCACTAGGCTCGAAAACAAAACCGAACTTGCGCGTTATCCATTTCCCATTAAAGTTAATAACATGATAGAAATGACCCACATAACCATTGTCCTAGCTCTTTCCATCGCCTCTTAGGGGACTATTCGAAGTCTCACAGTGTACGTTCAAAGCCGACTCGGATCCTTTTTTTTTTTTGCAGTTGACTCGGAGGGATGCGACTGAACACCCACTTTACGTTCTCCCGTTAGGTGCCATGGGAGTCACCAAACCAGATGGGAGATATTGTGGGGATCCTGGTAATACAACATATATTTGCTTGAGGGCAGTACCAGGGCTATCTTGCTTATCCCCTTGCCTGGCAAGGCGCTAACTGTTTAGTGGTAGTTTTTAGTTGAGCATTTTATTGGCTATCCCACGTTCACTGCTTTCTTCCTACTTGGGAATAGCCTTATTCCACGCACCTCCTATTCTAAACCGCGTTCTGGTGTTATATTATACCAATTCATTTTTATGGATCATGGATCCATGGGCTCTGCCTCTAGATAAGACAGAGGAGCCTTTATTGCATAGCTCCTCTGTGGCTTTATCTAATACCTCTGTATCTCCTCCTCCTGTTTCTATGAAGGAAGAAGAAAAGGCTGTAAAGCGTAATTTGGCAGAGATGTTTTATAAGTACCTTAATACCAAGATGTTAAGTTTAAGCCTTTTAAAATATTTAAACCTTTCCCTCCTATAATACAATTACTACTAGGGGTATTTATTAATAACGCTGGCTAATACACGCACGAGACTAAGGGAATTAGTATAATATCTCTGCACGGCGCTAATATCCCTACTGTATGTTATATACTAACTATCCTATTAAATCTGCTATCCTTCCGGCAGCTAGATTAACAAGGATTTAATATTTCTTTAGACAGCAACATCACGCAGAAATATTTTCTTATTAAAAGTCCTACAGGCGTCCTGCTATCTGCTAGTCTAACAGAAAATTTAGATTGATACCTTATTCGTCTGGTTGTCAACGCGATTTAATCCAAATAATATAAGCCCACAGCGCCTATTCCAAGCACCACCATGGTGGAATGGCATCAACGCCTATCCCATGTCCATTTTCGTGCTATATTACAACTCGCTAGGATTAAGGCAATAAAAGTTAAAGGGCCAAAAGCCATGCCTTTCTACGAAATCTGCAAACAAGCACGTTAAACCGGCAGAATTACAAGGATCCTGCTCCTCACGCGGCAAAAAAAAACTACTAATGCGAATTTATATTAATATTATAGGTAGAGGTACAACACTAGATTGTGATAATAATTATACACCTCCTGGCCTTAAGACTATGTAATATTTCATGTTAATCACAGACGACGCTACTCGAAAGCGTTGAGTTTATTTTTTTTTAATCCCGAAGCGAAGCTATTCCCATGTTCGGGTAATAGCTAAAATATATTAAAAATTAAGGATTTAATACACCTGCGTACGCACGCAGTGATCGCGAATTCCTTACTAAACAAACTTAGCAACTTTGCAAAGAATACGGCATCCATTGGGAACCAACTGCAGCCGATTCTCCATGGCAAGATGGTGTTAGTGAGCGCGGATCCGTATACTTATAGCCCGTGTCCTCGCCATGATTTTTGACTCGGGCCTGCCATGTTGGCTATGGCCGCAAGCACCTTAAATGGCGATAGATCACACTAATTAACTGCCTACGAAAGCACTTTTATATAACGATTAACGCCCAGGATCTACCACAGCAGATCCTACCGTGAAACCTTCTTCGCATGTTACGCTATATTCCGCGTGGACAAATAGCGATATTAAACTTCAGCATTTTGTTAAATTTGGCTCACCCGCCACGTTGCACCTGCACGGCGCGTCGAAATCAGCCGGCAAGCCTAACACCAAGCTTAACCCGCACACAAAGAACGTCTATATTGTTGGATATTGCGGAACTCATATGTACGTTGTATGGGATCCTGAAACAAATACTGTCAGGGACACTAGCGACGTCTCTGTCAATGATCTCAATAATCTTTGTCGCATTCAAATGGCCGTAACACATCGGTTGCAGGGCAATACTGAACCCCCTTCACGGGTTGAGCGGTTGCGACAATTACTGTCAGGCGCATCAGGAACCGATCAAGTCCGCATGTCCAAACCCCCCAGACGGCCGCACAAAGCCACACGTTTGCCACCAGATAGGAGTGGCCACTATCAAAGCGAGCTAGATGAGATACTTAATGGGCATAGGCTCGTCGATACCGCTGAGGCTGAAAATGAGAGAGTTGGTGGATGGGAAATGTGGGCAAACGTCCAAACAACTACCAACAACATAAATATAGACGAAGCTCTCTCCGTGTTGCATGGGTATGTTAGATCAATTTTGCATCAAAGAATGCCAAAGGTTACTGATAATTTCTAGTCTTGAGGCAAGAGTCCAGTAAGTGGAGTACCTCTCTTATTCATACAGTATCTACCACACTTCTGTCTGCCTTGGAATGTCTTAACCTCTTTCACTCTTTGAGCTTGTTATAAATGTTCGTATTCTAACTAGCCAGAGAATTGGAGGACTTCATGAAGGAGCAGAGCGTGTGGAACAACGATATTACACAGACTCTGAGTAATATGCATGGCGGTAAAGATACCGAGACCAAGAAAACTACCCGTTCACGACGCTCTCTGAATCAAGGAAACAACACATAGCTGCCTTTTTGCGCTTCCTCTGGAATAGATTCGCCTGGTTTGTTAGCATGATTGGTGATTGCAAGGTTCGAGATAGGCCGGGAATCTTTTCAGGATATTGGCTCGCAAATGCATAAACAATAATTCATCTGTGGCAGATGTGCCTGCTGGAGGTCAGGACATCATGGAAACTCAACTCTCCTTTGAAGTGTGGAAAGCTGAATAGCCACTACATATATATTGTTTTTTATCCTGCCGTTATGAGATACTACCAAGCGTGTAATCTAGCAGCTGAATTGTAATTGAACTGTCTAAGCTACATAAAACCAAATGATATCGAGAAACCATAAGCTGGACTCTGCTAAGGCGCAAGTATTGATGGCTTGTCATCGTCGTCATGCATTTACATGTCTAAATCTCCTAACGCTGATGTTAAAGTAGACACCCTACTCATCATTTATAGACAGAATAATAATGTCAACCTAAGACGCACCGCTAACCCACAATTGGTTATTTCAAATTACAACGTTAGTGGCCACGCCATTAGGTCCTTATATTGTTATATAGGAAGCATTAGTTAGATAGTTACGAGAATCAGATCGCTTGTTTGGTTGTCAAAGACGTATACGAATTAGGTGTCAAGTCAACAAATAATATCACTGTTAGTTTACTTCCAGTCGGCTTCGGGCTTTTGGATCACCCCATTTAATTTGATACCAATTCTTCGGGACGACCCGTCGAACCCTATTTGCAGCTCGCTGATATGAGACGTACCTCCTCCTGGCTCCAAATGGATTTTATTGAGCGTCCTCCTAGGACTAATTACGATCCATAGTTGCACGGCCGACGAGGCCGGAAATGATTTATATAAAGCACATGTGGGTCACTGTGCTAGAAAGAAAGAGTAGGATAGTATACCTTGCGGTATCCACTTCCATGGGGCCAGTCATGGCCACCTGATGGGCAGAGCAAATAGACTAACTAAAAATACGCAATCGCTTCCCTCTGTGGGCTATTTCTCTCTAAGCTTTCTCAAACCCTGAAGGACTTTACCCTTTATCACCAGAGCGTGGCAGGAGTTATTGAGTTTGTGCGATTCGTATATTCCGATACGATCCGCCACGCCCACGGGATAAGTGCTCTGCGAAACCTAGCAACATCTTATAGTGTGTCTGCTCTTGGACAACTTGGTGACAATAAACATTTTGAGGAGTTGTTAGTGGAAGGTGGTGATTCGTTGCTGATTTCTGGCGTGCTGTTTGGAAGACTGAGGGTACATGAATCCAAGACCTATTTGGTCTGTCCGTACGAATGTGGGGGTGGGGAATGGGAATGGCAAACTACGAGGTTTCATGACGCTATTATCTGTTTGATACCAGCTGGGATATTCTAGATTAAGAAGCAACATTAATAATGGCATGTCTTAGTGCAAATCAGTAAATATAATTACAGTTGGGAGACACTTTAAACGGGCGTGTCCCTCTGGATCCACCTTATTATGCCTTAAATTGCGGATACCCATTATTGAATAGGGATATGTAACAGTCTTCTGGGAAGAGCCCAGCCGCTTTCAAGGTCAGCAGCGACCAGTCGGCTCCCCTCATAATCTTGTGAGTTTGATAAGGTAGCAGGTAACTCCTAGCGACGTCGATAGCCAATAGTAACATTAGCCCGGTCTTATTTTCTAGCAGTATGCGGCCGAAAAAATGCGTAGCCACTTCCTTTAGATAAATGTAAGGAAACCATGACTAATTTTATCCTCACATTTTAAAAAGCTAAACCTAACGACAGATTAAAGAGAACTAAACAAAAAGCTAATACTTATCTAAATACATTATAATGATCTACCTTAATGCACTACAGTGTGGAGAAATCCAAAGTAGAGCCTATATTTAATATAAGAAAACTATATGTTAAATATAGGGAAAGAAATAATACAGTAAATCAAATTTAATGAAATTTATTGGCAGGGATGTATACTACTTGGTCATATATGGACTAGCTGATTCACAATAATAAAAGAAGAGTGGTATTACTATGTCTTCCACCAGGACACAAGTCGGATGAACATGATGTTCATCCAACCTGTGGTCTCGTCTTCCACAGATAAATTCCTGTATACTAAGTAAGTTCGCTCATCCAATTCAATGGCTTAGTTCTCTCTATTCAATGCCAATTCCTCTGACCTACTGTAGATTCACAACACCTTCTGTTCATCCATATTGTTAATTGTCAACCCAATACATCTGATATTCATTGAACCTCCTTTATCCATCATGTCCTCAGTGGACTTTGTTCGTACGAAAGTAATTCTGAGACCCTTTACCCTGTTTATCTATACACGATGTCTACGAATAATTTTCCAACGTACTCTAACAGAAGCGTACCTTCGTGCTATGTAGCAGGCGACCATTCTCTGTCCCTCGGTCGCGACATGGTTTTCTCTCATTACTCTCCCAATGTACAGTCCTGGAGAAGGCAGCATCCGCAGAACTTCCTCTCCTTTAATCCTTCAAATTCACCTTGTCCAGACCAATCCGAGTATGGCACGTCGCAAGCAATGCGGCGCAGCAGACCAAGCTTCTGTTTACATTTCACCCTTTCGATCGGTGCGCAGGTTGAAGCAGCCGTTCCGATTGCATCTACCATCATCTTCCTCTGACAATGACCCATTATCTTCCAGTGAGCCCAGAGTCTCACAGACGCTGTCTGGAAACCACACACTGCACACATGGCGTTCAAATCAGAATCCCACTACGCCAAGCATGGAAACCTTCGGTCTTCTCTGTAGCCCTCCTCTCTCTAAGTCAAAGTCATCGCAGCCATCAGCGTCATCCGCATATTTCTTTCTAAAACCCGACTATGATTCGGACGCTGGTTAAGATACGCCAAAAAGTTGTGGCATCAGGTCTAAGGCCAAGCCCTCTCACTGGTACAACACTCCCACATCGGAAAGGAACCCAGAGAGTAAAAATATAAACAACGAGCCTAATGATGTACACATGGCACATCCCAAACTAATTAGACAGTGTGACTCGGATGATGGGAACTCACACCTGTGTCGACTGCCTCGGAAAACATGTCGTCTGTGTGTCCCGCACCCTCTTCGGATGTGGATTCTTCTCAGGGTAGGAAGTTCTCTGATACTTCCATAGTGTCGCAGAGAAGCAGCTCTAAGTCGGTCTCTAGCGAGAGGAGCCGAGTCCCGTGTTGTCTTTCCCGCTACAAAGGCTTCAACCAGCTCCAGCGGAAACAACAGAGGCCAGGGGAGAGAGGTTGAGGAAATTCAACTGGAGAAAGTGCCAGATAGCCCCTCCTTCTGACAGACATTTGGTAAGATTTTCTCTTCTCTTGCACAAACGACATACTTATATCGTGATAGGTGCTTGCTGTTGTAAAACAAGGCCAAAACTGGTCGAAATCTCGCATCAGTCCTCTCCCGCGATGAGTTGTTTAATCCCGACTCCACCACAGCGCACGATCCCTTCTACACCGGACTATCACCAACATGAGATACCCGCCTCCAGTCTGGACACACCGGTAGAACTTTCAGATACTGATTATATGAAACATAAATGTTGTTCTCCGAAGTCATTTCGAAAACCTAGGGAGAACAAATACACAGACTCCAACTCACTAAGTTCAGGTAGTGCCAACGAAACAGTTGTCTGTGGCAAGCTGGCCCAAAGCCAGGAGTGCCTAAAATCACCTCCTAAGCCAAATCTTACGCCCAGGACACGATAGTCACCGAAATCTCAAGCCTCTTCTAGACTCTCTTTTAACATATTGGAGAAAGAGTTAGAGAAGTGGTGGTACCATGAGTGGACGATCGACCAACTCGATCATTCGGTCAAAGACTTCCCTCGGCGCATGCTGAAATTGACATCTCCAATTATCAAGATTATTCGTCATAATAGCCCATACACGACCATTCCGCAAGATATTCCCAGAAATCGCAGATAATTTACTCGACAACCTTTGTGCAGTATTGATTGCACGAAACTACTTGATTTCATTATCGACTCCCAATCGTAGAAACAACATCTCTCTTAAGCCCACCTTATCTCGTCTAGGTATTGTACCTGAAAAAGAGCGCTCTGCACTAGGGGTACAATACTCGCAGCCGTCACCATCACGGGTCAATAATCGTGTCCTGGGGACACGAAGTGTGGATCTTTGCAAAGAACTGGATCGAATCATTGACAGTCTAATTTTTGTTATATTTGGCAAGCAGGATAGTCTTTTAACATCTGCTGTCCTTGTCTTAGCACAGGTCTTGGAGACCGGTTCCTAAGGAATTGATTCCAAAATTTTTTTTGGAGAAATGTACATACAGTACAGTCAGTACACTTGGGAGACGTAGTTTGTATGGACGATTATGGGTGAATGAGCAAGATTGAAAGGAAATTTATATTTCATGAAATGGAGCTTTTGCGTCACGTCACCTCTTCCTGACTCCAAGTAGACTTTGGGCTGACCTGGCGAGCGTTAATGCTTGCCAAGACGTCCCGATGAGAAGAAAAGGACGGAGTATGTTCTATATCCTGATTGTCCGATATCCAAGTACGACCCATAATGGCCAAGTCAGATAAATTCATCGATCCTGGATAAATTCTGTCATTGATATGTCCGCGAGCATGTGGGGTCCCCGACGGAGAACTTTTCTTGGGAAGCCTCTGCTGCATCGCAATAGAGTCGGGCTCGGTCATTTGAAGTGCATTGCGCCTGATCTGAACAACAACTTCGTAGAACGTTGGCGCAGCGGCGCAAATATCAGCCATCGCTACTTCCGCGCAGCTGAGGACGTAAACAGGCACTTGGGCGTACGTGAAGTCATTGTACGTTCCCACATTGGAAAGTGTACCAAGGCGTGCCGTAGCAATCGCAATGACTCTATTTCATGCTTAGTGAATAACTTCATGCCTGCGTTAGGGAAGAGGTGGCCTTACATCACACCAATGCCAAATATACTACAGAGTGCCATCTTCTTTTTCCTCGGCGTATGCAGTGTCCGAAGCACAGGCAGTGGGAGAATAAATATCATAATTTCTGTTGCTATGTTAACGGCAGCATTGGCGTATGCGATGTTAGGGATGTTTAAACAATGCGCATCCTTGATGTCATAGTCCCAGGCGGCATGGATAGGGTTGCATTGCCAAACTGCCATCAGTGTAAGAACTAGGAAAGACGAAGTTAAAATGCCCATGGAGATATAAACGATCACCCTGAAAGTGCGAATTGGAAAGATGCGGAGATAAAAAAAATAAATAGACAATTTAATAAAGAAGATTTTAGAAGGCCAGAATATTATACAGAGATACCCTGTAAACCCCCTGGTCAGTTTTGCTGGAAAGGGGTAAGACTGCTGGCAGGACTTACACCAGAAAAGCAGGCGTGATACTTGGGAAATTGAAGTGAAGTGGATATCATAGAGATGGTATCCAAAGCCATTATTGGAGCCTTCAACAAAGTTGGGAAGTTAGACGAGTCAAGGGTTAGGCGATTACATGTAGCACTGACAAAGATTGGCAAAAATTGCCAAAGGTATTGTAAATCCCTTCAATATCAAATTCCATTGTCAGTCTAAAGTTTTAGCCACAACATTCACGGATGCCAAGGAGCAATCTTACACCCCCAATGATGTGCATGCAGTCATCCAACCATAGTCTGTGGGCTATCCACATCCTGGATATAACACGCAGGAAGATCACCGTGAATGACACAACCAGTGCCCCAATTAGGAATCCCACGACTAGTGGGTGGCGGTTATTCCGGGGTCGATTGCATTGTACAGCGTCGAATCCAACCTGCTCTAGAGGGAGAAGGTTAGTGTGGCGCCGGAAGGTCTGTCCGAAGGATATTGCGTCTACCTACCAAGTGACTCTGTCATAGTGCAGTTAGCAATCATGCAGTCTGACACAAGTTTAACGAGGTTGTCACTCGCGCATTGACAAGGAATATCGGTAAGTCCGCAGGACACTTTTGGTACAGCCTCTTGCAGGCATTTTAACTACAACATTGGGTTAATGATCGACAGAAATCATGGCCGCTAAGATTATATCCCTACTGCACATGGGGTCAGCTTTCCGGTCAGATCGCGTTCCATAACTGTTTGCGCGCTAGCCACTTTATAGAAGGTGGCAAGTTGCCACTGGCTAATAAGTAGAAAGACAATGGCTTGTCTCATGTTGCACTGTCCGTCGTTTACCATTCAGATCATTACCACTCTGTGAGCAACGAGCAAAAGGTATAATGTGGTAGAATATCGTAATACTTTATATTAATTAAGGAGGGAAATGTTCCCTCAGAAGAGTTTATTGCTGAAGTCATGATCTGCCTCGACGAAAAGTTTCCGGCGATCGAACGTAAGTAAGCCATGGGCTTTAAACTCCACTTATACTTATTCCAACAAATCATACAACCTTAGAGAATGGAAATAGCTCTTGAATAATCTCGAACTTTAAATAACCACCACCATACAAAGAGAAGGTGTGGCAGACAACAGGGTGTTCATGGGAAGAAACTATAGCCCAAAATCCCAAAAACGAGCCTAATGCTAACCATGTCTAGACTGCGGCAAAACCATGGACAACCGCGGATAACCAAAACCGCAAACTGCACTGTGGGCGGTTGTGGTTTTCACTTTGGAAAACCGCGGTTTTGGGGGTTAACGTATTCGGTAAGGGAGCCGGACATATAAGCCAGCCGGACACCACTGTATGCAATGCTAATTCGTGTTTTTCAGGACCCTAATATCTCAGCCACTATTAGAAATATAGTACTGAAGCTAAGTCCTATATATTATGCACATAGTACATGGTTTCTTTTTCTTTTATTTAAATTTTATAAATTATTCCTAGCCTACAATACAGATTTAACTTAAATACAACTGTATTTAAAATCCTTATATTGTAATATACAGAAATATACACTATATACAGTTCTTGGTTTACTATCTATGTATAGACCATTATATCAGTCTATGCAATAAAATTCAAGGCATCTCAATATGTTGTTGTTGAGATATTATGATTCTTGAATGTGGCATGTAATATTCCGGCTCGCTTAGGCTACCGGTTACCCGTCGCACCGCCTCCCCCCACTTTTTGCACTTTTTGCACTACTGCAAAAAGTTAGGGAAGGCAAAATGTAATTTCAAAAATTGAAATTTCATGAAATCTGGCCTCCTGAAATGAAATCAAAATCTGTGAAATTGAAATTGAAATTAAGCTAATCCAAAATAGGCAATATTAAAGGTCATGTGCTTTGTTACCAGAAGCTCCGATCCTCTGCTGTTGAGTAGGTTGTTGATAATGGTCCGCCACCCCATGAGACCATTCAGACTGACGCTTTACTCCGCTACCAGTACCACTACTTATTTCAATACCATGGATTTCGCCCGTTCTGATAGAAGCTGAAGGCCTGGGACATGTTAAAAGGGGATTTGGTACAGATTTTGTCTCAGTATGCGAATTCGAAAGCTGGGGGGGACTTGAGGCTGAATTTAACACGGAATTCAGTCTTGAATTTAATGCAGAAACAAGTGCCGGGTTTGTTGCAGTTGAAGCTGAATTTAATGCAGAACTTAATACTGCAATAAGTGCTGGATTCGACGCTGGTTCTGGTGCTGGATTTGGTACTGGGTTCGGCACAGGGTCCGGTGGAATATCCTCCTCAGAGTCTGAAGTATCAAGCACCTCTAATAGATAGTCCTGCACCTGCTTACGCTGCAGCAGTATTCTTTCTATCTCCTGATCTTCCTCCTCAAGAAGCATCTCTTGGGTAACGGTAGGTGGCGAGTCTGCACGAAATTGTCGTTTGTTAATCTGTATATAAAGTAGCTTCTCAACTCGGTGAGATTCAAGCCGATTCCGGATCTTTGTATGCTGCAGATTCATCTGTGAAAATGCTCTCTCAGCTGCAGCAGAATTAGCAACAGTATTACACAGACGGCGAGCAAAAGGAGCAAGAGTAGGAGCAAATTCTGCCTAAATTAATATAGGTAAGTATCTTGCTTAATAGCATATAGCTTTAACTTACTGCCTCAAGCCAAAAGAGAGCTGGTGTTCTTGCTTCCCAACAAGAGGAATTATAAAAAGCACCTGTTCTTTGCCGGAATGCCAGAAATTCATGCCATGCAGTAGATCTTCCATCTTCGCTTTGAAGTGGTCGTAAAGCACCTTCAATATGGCGTCGTGCGCTCTCATCAAGTTTGCCAGGAACTCTTGCTGGATCAAGATGATACGCTACCCAGTGAAGTGGCTCTAGTTGACGTAGCATTCGAGTCTGCCAACCAGTGCCATCTAGATAAGAATAAAAATCATCTTTAAAGGATGTCTGAGCAGCAAGCGTCCGCAGAGTCTCATGGAGGGTTAACCACCGCTGCGTTACCTCCATGATTGATGAATTTTGGGCCTCAGATTCCTTCTGAGCAATATGCAGAGGCTTAAGGATTTTTATTAACTCCTTTAGCTCCCACCAAAAGGCATGAGATTTAGTTGTTCTAATCACCTCTTTCCCTTTTATGGTAGAAGCAGCAGGAGTAATAAGAGCCCACTCACAAACTGCTTCCTGGCAATCATAAAGAGAAGTAAGCATGCCATATTGAGTACCCCATCGGGTAATAACTGCTGCAATTAAAGCCTTTCGATGGCCCCATTTCTCAATCTGCTTTGCTTGCAGCCTTGCATATTCAAGAGGAGATTGGTGAAAGAACACCACAACTTCAGGAGAGCTGATTTAAAACCCCTTTTACTTTAGGGATCTTAGAAGCATTAGGATCAAGAATATCCTTCATAATCAGCTGTAGACCATGAGAGTCACAGGGAATCATAAAGGCATGCTTAAGCTCTGGTTTCTCTGACAAAATTTGCCATACTGCCTTCATAACACAGCAGGTATCCGTTGAAATGGAATTAATCCTCTTCCAGTCAACAACTTTATCAAGCTCCAAGAGAATATTATGGAGCCTTTCCAAAATCCATTCACTAATTGTAGCAGCATCAAGCGTCTTATCTTCCATGTCATGTAGATGAAGAAACCATGATTTTGTGGGTGTTGTAATAGTCATAGCAATAACCCGTTGAGAACGTATATTTGTTGTCTCATCTACAGAGATATTTAGAAACTGACTTCTCTGTAGCTCCTTCCGAACTTTCCCTTGTATCTCGATATATGATTCCTCCAGTAAGTCATCAGCGATTCGATGGCGGGATGGGATTTGGTATACGGGATTTAGAGCATGAATAAGATCTTGCATCTCTTGTTGCTCGAAAAGGCTAAAGGGCCTGCCTCCTGTAAAACACACCTGAGCTAGTAAGCGATCAATACTTCTACTTGGTTTAGAGGTAGGGAAGCTTAATGGTTTCTGTCTCTTTCCAGGAGTATTCTCGGGGTCCATAAGAGCCTGCGCGCTGCTACATTTCTTCACGTGCTCGCACTGGCGTGTAGTGTTTTTCGCTCGAACTTTGAAGCACCCAAGGCATTTTACTTGCGGGACCTAGCCAAAATTAATAAAGCGTACGTGTGGACGTGGGTGTACAGTCACCTTTGTGCTGCCCCTTACTACTTCAAAGCACTTCTGAAGCTCGATCTCGGTGTAATGGATCTTGTCAGGAGAATCTTCAGCCATGCTGATGTTGATAATATTACTAGTTTAAAATCCTCCCCGTCAATATATATATATTGGTAATGGTTGCTACCAGTGACACTAGGCATTTTAGATAAGATAAAGAATTGGGCAGAATCTGGGCTGGATAGGCTCTTATTGGCTGCAATACTCTCACCGCATATAATGACTAATCAAAATAAGCCCCTTGAAATGTAATTGAAATCGATAAAAAAGTTGAAATTTCAAGATTTCGTAATGAGCTCGCCGGTATTGTCATTACACCAACACTACAAAAAGTGGGGGGAGGCGGTGCGACGGGTACATTATCTATGGATATGTAAACATACTAAAACTTGTGACTTTCCCGTGAATACATAAATTATGCACTTTTCACAGTATTTTTGGAGTATCTAGTATGTAATAAATTACCTATGTCTTTTAATTTGAAACCTTTAGAATAATGTCGGCCAGCTGAATACGCGTATGAGCTAGTGTAGTGGAGGAATTCGGGGGATTAGCACGTGACATTTGTATGGATAGCTATTATCTTAAGTCCTCGTCGAAGAGGTAATAGACAATCAACAACCTTCTCACAGACCACGGGACGCAGTTGCATAAAGGGAATGTTGCCTTCCCTCCTACCAGGAACTTGTGGGCTCGGGGCCCACAACTTCTGAACTGTCTAAGAGTGTTTCCTTGACCTACTCTTTCGGAGTTCTACCATTTTCGTCTCATTCACTAGTATCACTGATCTATGGATAAGGATCCATCTATATTGAAGGGCAAGGTCTCTGACTATCTGAATCTATCTGGGAGAACTGAATAAAAATGGTCAACAAAGGAACAAAGTCGGACCGAGCGGATGCTGAATAATCAGTAATATAGACCCATTTTGGTCGACAAATAATTAGCATCTTGTAGCTGCCTTAGTAATGTCTTACTCTGTTGATGTCATGAGCTGCGTGTACGTAGTTACATTTAAGTCAAAATTTACGCAATCGCCGGAGCTGGCGACCTACAGATTAATGTTCCAAGGACAAAGAAAGCTGTTAATGCTGAGGCAAGCTGTCCAGCTGGCATAAGATTTTGGAATGTTCCACGTCCGAAGGACTGGCCACCAAGCCTGGAAAAAGACATATATTGATGCACAGTAAGCTGGGATTACAACAGCTTGGGGAATTTTTGCCCTGAACTCGTATGAACTTTGCCTTATACGCTCAGGAACTCCTCTGATCAAGTCATTGTAGGCAGATGTCCTTGGAATTTGGCAAGGTCGCAAACCTCGAGCTTCCCAGAATATGTTCAAATCTAACTAATTAAACAACTTACTGTGGGCTACGGTAAATAATAGTAAGGAGAGCTTGTAAAAGGCGTTGCAGCGCAAAGACCTTAAAATCGCGGATAAAAGCGATGTGCAAAACAATATATATTTGTATGTATCAGAATTTTAGCAGCAAGTTTATTATCAGAATTTTGAAGTCTTTGGGTAAGGCCGCCTGCGGCAGTCTGAACAGTCTCTGCTGGTAGACCAACCTGAAGACACCGGCTCAGAGGAGTTAATGGTCTGTTGATCGTTGGTTTATGAACTGGTACGGTATTAGGGACAGAAGGTTCTGCTTCTGTAGATACTATTAGCTCAGTCCAGATAGTAGCTGTAAATTAAATTAACCACCAGCTTTAACTGGAGTTAAGCTTGACTTACCTTTCCTATTGTCGGCGGTCTTGCAAGTATGGTCTTGATTAAACGTCGATCGGGGTACATTATAGTCCTGTGTGTAAAGGTAGCTTAAATGGCAAACATAGGTGTAGAATAGGGGCGGCTGTAGGCACCCTGGCACCCAACCGGAGCAAAGCTATGGGTTGCGTATTAGCCTACTCTTATTCCTGAAGGTGTACATCCTCCCCTGTAACCAACAGTTGGGGGTAATATTGCCCAGGGATTCCTTCTCTATCAAACCCCACAGGAGATTGTGGCTGAGGAAAACCAGCATTATGAGATAATAGAGTGAGCTGACAACCACGATCCTGCAGAGCATAGACGAGGAGATGATCGGGGGTGTCTGACGGGCGCAAATGGAGTAGATCGCCAATACCGCGCCATTGTTGCTTCTCGATTGAGAGAGACATTGCTTTAGACCCTATTCTAGCTCCGCATTTAGAAGCTAGTGCTGAAATAATCCTGCAGGGGCCAGGGACAGGAAAATACCGCAGCCATCTCTAAAGGAACAGTTCTAAAACACTCTGGCTTAGCCTTCCGCTAAGCCTCAGTCTACTATGCGTTCGAATTGACGCCTAACAGTCCACCCCTTATATACCCAATCGATTACTTGTCGGAGTCAGTGGTTCATCTCATTTCAACCCTAATAACCCAAAGGTCCTTTTATTAAATAAATTTGTCACTTCTACGTCCTCAGCGCGACGGCAAGTAAAGATACCAATGACCTTTTCGAATGCAGCCTCGCAACCGCACTTGCAGATCTTCAATCATCTTCGAGCATCCTGGAATGAAAACTCGATGTTCCCCGCTTTTCCCTTACTACCTCCGGAAATCCGCAGCGAAATATGGCGCTATGCGTTAAAACGTGAACGCCTGATAAAGATTTATTTCCAGAAACAGTATCCTTTCACGCCTGAGCGACCCAAACCAGATAGCGCGTCGCCGCAATATCAGATTATGGTTGACGGACGAAAATCCCTTAGCAAGTTTCTAAGAGTGAGCCAAGAATCAAGACAGGCTACGTTGCGATTTTACCGGGTTAAAATCCCCTGCATACTAAGCCATAATCCAGAGGACGAGTATATATACGCGGCGGTGGGACATCCGGTGGAAGCAAAACCAGGGATTTTATATTTTAATCCGGAGTATGATTTTCTCGAGATTGCATCGGAGGAATGGAGAGGAGACGATTTACTTGACTTTACATATCATTTAAAAAAGACCTACGATCCCCTTCGTATTGGACTACTTAATCTAGCTATTGGGGGAGTGAATAGTTTATGCACGAGCGACCTTCAACGGGCAGATCCTTTGGATATTAATATCCAGATTCGAAAAGTCTTTCAGCAGACCCTATCACAGCTACGAGAAGTCTTTTTTATCTGCAGAACAAGAGCAGGGCGTACGATCTTGGGATTATCAAGTGGTATACCAGTGGCCGATCCCTATAGATGTATCTTTAATAGATCGTTCCCAATTGCCACAGTTACACCAGTGTTTGAGCGCCTGCAACGCGACACTCGCTTAATTCCAGAAGATCTGAAACAAACACATATTGGAGAGGGACCGATGAGAATGGCTTATTACTGGCAACGCGTGTTGAAAATATAGAGCGTTTCTGTGTCTCAGGCTAACTATCAGTTTATCCTGGCCTTTGAACCACCAATTCCGCAGATTAGAGATATCAAGGACTGCCAGAGTGCAAACCGTTGGTTGCAAGTGGAAGACGACGAGTGAACAGGGAAATGGCGGCTTGACGACGACATAAAATCCGGATACTGGGCAAGACGCAGTTTGGGCACTGACAAAGAATATTTTGAGATGGTGGGCGCCTTGTATGGGGAAAATAAGGATGAGGATTTGGAAAAAGCTGTAAAGCCAGCGTTTGGCTTTTGGGTCTTTCCTCTCAAGATGTTTTGGGAAATTCCATCTTCAGAACAGGAGTGCCGTGAGGTGGAGAGTAAACAGACTTTGGACCTGTTTAGTCATTGGCCTGGGTTAGGCCTATCGCTATTTTAGCACTATCTTTCCTCGCCTATTACTATTGCTACTTAGTGAAATAATTACCCAATCCAATAATAACAAATATGTACCTTTAGTATACAGGAACTAACCTGTATAATTACAAGCATTAAGGGCAGAGTTGTGTTACGGAAACACTATAATGGAAATATCTAACGATCCATTCTACCCCTCAATCCTTTAGATAGGAGAACACCTTAATGAGAATATAGGGAACCGCTTAGTAGGCTCAGTTGGTTGAGATACTACGATTCCTGGTGTTTCCACTGAATGACATCTACTTCCTAATTAGGCTAGTTGGCCTGTAGCTGATAGAATAGCTCCCTGCGCATCACTTCCCCTGAATTTCACAACACCACAGAATCTGGTGGTCTTCAGCGGTGAATTGGAAAGCAAATATAGAGGCCATTCCGTGTAGGGAATCCAACTATCTTGTAAATATTGGAAACATTTGTCAGGATAATAGGGGCATTGTCATACATAAAAATAGGGCGTAGTGTTTCATGTACAGGTCAAGCGGATTCCCGTCTACTTTCCTCTACCAGTGCGGGGAATGCGATCAACAGAAGTGATCGTCGCAGGTTTTGCGTAGGTTGGCAATGGCAAAGCGTTAATAAGTGCTTTGATGAAGCTACCGACATCTGCCGGTCGAAGAGCATCATGGGAAAATACAACAAAAGCAACCAAATACTGATTGGAATCACCCTTGGCAATGACCGCCGCATCTGTAGGAACCCCCTCGTCGGACTGGATGATAACTTTGGAGATACCATCAAGTTCTAGACACATTCCCCGAAGTTCGATCTGAGAATCACCTGAGATACGCCCCCGATACTCGACGTTCCCGTTGCTCAGGATCCTGCTGTAGTCGCCGCTTCGGTAATACCTGAGCCCGTTGAGGGTAATGAAGCGATTGCTCGTCTTGATATCGCGATTTAGATAGCCCAGTGCAACAGCAGGTCCACCAATGCAAATCTCACCTGGCCATCCTGTTGGCAACGGGTTCAATCTTTCATCGATGATGGTACTGTTGTAGCGTGGTAAGGGCCGTCCAACATGTATTAATTCGGCGTCACAATAGCTTTGCTTGTACACTATTGTCCCCATTGTACAGGCAATCGATATTTCGCAGGGACCATAGACGTTGATCAAAGTCAAATCAGACAAAGACGACGGGTCTCTTTAGTATTCCATTACCATCATCGTCTCTAGTTATGGGTTATGATTTGGGTGCCAGCCAAAAAAAAATGCGTCGAGGTCTTATGCTGGTTCTCGTTTTGGTTGGATTGAACGGTCTCTGAACGATATTCCGCGTAAATACCTGGGTTTGAGCCTGTTACAGAGGGATCATCCCTTCATCTTCTAAACAGCTCTGATGTTGATATGTTTTATGGTTGTACAACAAATCCAAGAGATCCTGAAATCCATCGTCCCAACTTGAAGAGGCACGGCCGGTGGATTCGCCGGTGGATTCTTTCAGCTTTCATATAGACCGAGCCATCGTCGACGAAGCCTCCTTTTACCGGGACCCAGAGATGTACATGATCCATTGCATTCTCCCGACCATTGATTTGCGCTCTTCATAGATAACAGAACTGAAGGAATAAATATAACGTTTATTACTCTACATGCTTGGGGAGCTTGGACGGGAGACAAGACTAGTAGTATGAGGAAGGTTCCACAGCTGCCGTAATCAGTTTTGCTCGCAGAGTCTGCCAAAAAGTCCGTGTTTCAACGCAACCAGCCAACGTTTGTAACAGTGCCCTGAAATTCGAGCTGGAAGTTGTGCCAAAATATTGTGGGTAGAAAGGCTCGCCCGCCAAGAAGCAGACCTGGTTTCTGAATTCCTCACGCCGAACCTGCTTGGGGAAGATGAGGATGAAGGAAACCAAGCCTCGGCCTCGATAAATGCCATCAATGCCTCCTGTCTGCACCCAAGCGAATAAAATGAATTTTGGTTTCTTTGATCACAGCTCCCAATTCACGCTGTCGTTGAACGCCGCCGAACAGCTCTTTTGGATGAGAACAAAACTCTTCACAACCGAAAATTACAGAGACAAGAGGGTTACATACATCAAGAAATAGAGATCCCCTAAACACATGACTGGCTAGTTACAAGAAGCTTGCTTCTTGGGGTTTCTATTCTGCAGGTGAATGGATCCAGTTTGATTGCCTACGGAGCTGCTGCATATCTGCTCGGAGTGTTGCGGTTTTGGAGCAAAATGGCCTCGAAATTGTAAGGAACCCAATGCTCGCCAGTCGGAGGCGGCTCAAAGTAAGAGAGAAAATGGTTCAGCACTTTGGTAGCCACCTCATCCCTGTAGACAACTCTTTGCTGCAGGTCCTTCTCGTCGAATTCCTCCTTGTTCCATCCGGACAATCTGGTGAGGTTATGGAGCTGCCTGTCCACCTCTCGCTTCTCGTCTTCATGAGTTGGTCCGGGAAGGTTCTTGACGCAGTATTTCTGCTCGTGGCCCTTCATCCCGTAATTGACGTTGATATGAAACCCTTTGGGCTTTTCCTCTGCCTTACTTGCACCCTCGCTGTCACCTTGTTTCTTTTTCTTCGGACTCTCAATGTCGACGCGGATCTCGAACCCATAAGTCCCGGATTTCATGGTCTCTGGCCGTCCGAATTCATTTTGATACGTGGCCGTAGCACGGCTTTTACCGGAAATTCCCGTCACTTGCTTATCACCGGCCCCTTGGGTGCCCAGCGTCATGGGCTGCACATTGTAAGCCTTTCTCAGCATTTCATGTCCCAGGATGTTTAGCGCTCTACGAAGTGGTGTTTCATCAAGCACCTGCTTTTCAGTGTTCTGTGAGGAATTACTCTTGGTTTTACTTTGCGCGTTCTTCCCACTGGTTCCTCGATGATCCACCAATGCTACCGGGTCATTCTGCACGTAGGCATAGAGATTGGGACCGTCGACTGTGCCCAGAGGATCGGCAGAGGTCCAGCGTCCCAGCCAGGGAGCGTAGTACCGGGCACCGCAGAGGTACAGCCCACTCTCTCCGTCCCGTTGGTAGCTCGCAAATCGATATTTCCGTGGTGCTCCGGTGCGCCGTGCGTGGTACGTGGTCGCTCCGTACGGAGAAAACTCCTCATACGAGACGACATCCGCCTGATCACCCAGCTCGAGGCTCTCGCTGATCTGGTACCGGGCAAGGTGACGTGAAGTCGACGACTCAACGATGACTAAGGGTGCGTCGGCAGCTATCTTCGTTGTTGTCCTCAGAGACATCGACGACCCGTCCCCGTGGTAGGTGGCGGAGAGGTCACACTGGGCAAGATATCGGGTCTCTTGTCGCTTGGTCGCTTGCGAGGGTCCGTTGCGACTGGTTCCTCGGTTGGTGACCTTGCGGACTCGTTCACCGCGCGCATTGTACACATACCATGTCTTCTCAGGCGTCGCATGCTTACCAACACGCTGCGTCGTCAGGGAGCGCAGTCGGTTGTTGCAGTCCCATTCCAAGGTGTACCCGGGCATCGAGGTCATGCAGCCATTAATCCCAGCATCACCTTCGTATTCATACCGCTCATGGCTGGATCCAACCTGTGTGCTCAACAACCGGTTGCTGGTCCCCTCGTAGGTGTACGTCCGTCTCCATCTTGTGTGTTTCGTATTGTCAGTGGGTTGGTGCTCGACTTTTGTAATGTTCCCAGCGCGGTCATATGCGTAGGTCTCGATATATTCAACTAATCCCTCCCCATTTCCAGGGATCACGTTCGGCGCTCCCAATTGGGACGAGTAGGGCTTGAGCTGAGGGGTTGATCCGTCGACCTGCTCCCTCCCAGTTGCCGATACGAGCTGGCCAAATGCATCATACTCAAAGTGCTGGGTAGGTGTGACTACCTCATTCTGGAAATAGACCGTCTGCTGCGCTCCATCGGTCTTCTTCACAACTTTCCCAAGGCAATCGTAGGTATAGGCGAGATCCTGCAGGATCGCACCGTCTCTGGCCCGCGTCACGGTGGTTCGATCGATTCTCCGCGTTTGTGCATTGTATATGTGGGTGGTCTGGGAACCATTGCCGTACGTGATGCATGACATCTTGCCATCTTCGGAATACTGGATGTTATCCACGGAAGACGTAGCTACAACGCTCTCTGCGGGATCCGTGTGAGACGGCACTCTTTCACCCGTTTCCTCCGCAGCTTCATCCTGCAAAGGGGATTGCGAAGTCGCCTTGGTTAGTCGACCGGCGACATCAAATGTATTTCGAACAATGTGACCACTGGCTGTCACGGTGCGCGTGGTGTGGCCCACCGCATTGAACGAGAATCTGGTGGTGTACATCTCGGGCTCCATCTCAATCTCACCTGCTGCCCAGTCCAATATTCCATCGTAGTTGATTGCATGCTGGACGGACGATTCCAGACAGTTGCCCTTGTAATCGAACGACACATGGGTTTCGATACCCGATTGATCATGGCATTGATACAGCTTCCCTCGCAGGTTATTCTTAGTCGCATCCAGGACACATGTCTCATCCCCGTACACATTCCAAACGAGCCTCCTTGGGGGTTGACGGCCCCCCGGTGACTCCAGCTCGATGAATTTGATCCTCCGCAGAGCGTCATAGGAGACACGCTTCCATGGACCAGTGTTGAATTTGGTTCGCACGGGGGCCCCGTCGCAGCCCACGAGCTGCCAGCTCTTCCCACTATCAATACTGTGGTTGAGGAGCGGTCGGTTCAAGCAGTCATACCAGGTCCTAGTGACAGAACGGTTGCATGCGTCGATAAGGGAAAATATATTTCCACGCCCGTCGTAAACCTTTCGGTTGTCTCTGGAGCACGTAGAACCTCGCTGCTCAATGAGAATATCCTTTCCCTGCGCGTTACAATGGACGATCATCGGAGTGTTGGCGTATACCTCCGACTTTCGTGCTGCATCTGCTTCTGCTCCTGTAATGCCTGTTCTTTGACAGTGCCATGTGGGCTGATACAACTGGGTATTCAGCAACTGGAAATGGATGCCAACATCCTCGTCTCCGGAGGGATCCTCTACGAGGATGGTGTCTCCGGCATCCCACCTCTCATCCCTCCAAGGGGTAATCCGACGCTTACTCCACGTATGGTCAGCATTGAGCTCCCCTACCCTGCGGCCAACCGGGTCCTTGAAGGTTATGGTGGCAGGGCGATCTGCACTGGCCGTCGGAGAATGGTACTCATGGGAAGCGCTGAAGAACGGAACCAGCTGTTTCACTGGGTCCCCTTGACGGTCGCGAAGCACGCAGCCACTGAACTGCCATCCTCTGTCCTGTCCATGTCCGACAAAGGCCGCTTTTTGAAAGTCATTGCCCGTGCCGTCGACGTACGTTATCTGGATCCTGATCTGGGCGTCTCCGTCTCGATAATGTTGATCTCGCACGAGGTCGGCACGAAAATTAGCGCTCTGGCCCTCTCTGTACCGATTCCGGTGGTAGATAGTCCTTGTCCCAGCGTATCCCAGGAGATTTGCAGCTTCCGGACCAGATGGATTCCGGGTAAATGACTCTAAATCCTCGGTGGTAATCTCGACGTCCAAGTCGTCCAGGCAGTCCCCAACCTTCTCATCTTGTTTTCCCATTGTGGCAACTCCCACAATTGCCCCCAGTGAATCTCGTGCCACTTTCTTTCGATTCCCATTGGCGTCAGTCATCATTATTGGCTGCAGTAAGGAATAGTTATGGACGGCTTTGGTTGTGTTCCCAACGGTGTCCAGCGACGCCACGACGAAGAGCTTGTAGGGATCTAACCATTCGTATGATGCCGTTTGAAATGGATCTACTGCCACGTTCGGGATATAAAACTGGCGGCGTGCGACCCCGAGTTCATCATCGGTGATCTGATCATTATGGAATCCATGCCGTGTCGATGGCACCCACCACTCGTTCTTGTGGCCACCGGCAGCAGGGCCAAGTTTAACGTAGCCTGCGCCCTGTAGTTCTTCCTTGATTGTACTGCCATCAACTGCGGTGCCGTCTAGCACCTCCTGAACAAATTCTTGCGTGAAACATAACTTGTAGGTTTGGTGCTTGACTGAATACGGATCGAGCTGGCACAGTGGGAGCAGCCCTCTTAGGTTTAGCTGACGATAGAGCGTGATCTCCTTCGCGTAGAGCACCTTATAGCCCTCCTTTGGAAGAGATTGAAACCGATCAGGACAGTCTTTTTGCATTGGAAAAGTGATCGATTGGCTGAGCAACGCACCATCCTCTGTGGATAATTGATCCCAACGATAACGCCCACCAACTCCAGTGTTCGCCAGGTTTGAACCCGGATATACCCTATATTGCGAGACCTTGGCAACTACTGGTTTATGAAAGTAGCTTCCAGTGTTCTCGACTGCGTTTGTGTATCTGGTCTCTGTGTATGTGATGGTCGTCTGTCTTTGGGCTTCCCAGTCTTGTCCATCTAGCGATTCCCGTTGTAGCTTGCCATAATTGACAACAGTCTCCCTCTCCACGTTGCCGTACGCATCGACCTTGAGAACAAGGGTGTGTTCTACCCTAGGATCGTTTCCTTTCTCTCTTTCGTACATTGTCTTCACCGTCTCGCGTGGATTAACTCGGGATATTCCGTTTCTGCCGGGACATGCCTCTTGGAGTCTAACCACTTCATATCCCTGTTGAATCACCACGTACGGTTGTTCGGTTTTGTCTGTCCCATCGTCACCGTAGATCTCTTGCTGACGGAGCCTGCCAACCAGTGCCACGTACGCCTCGTGAATTGCCGGCTCGGTCTGTGCTTGCGGCACAATGGTGCTCGACAGTGCTCGGGTCAGAGGTTCTTGCGTCAAGGGACTACCGGGAAGGATCAACTCCGCATCCAATCGTTCCAGTCCCGTGTAAAACCAGCTCCTGGTGACGGTGGGAGGGCGTTTGATTTGAGAACCGTTGACTCCCACCGCAAACTCTTCCGTAGTCCGCTCCTCGACCCTTTGGAAGCCGCGGAACTGACGCTCCCGGTAGTCGTAGTACCCGTTGTGATATCTGTAATGTGTTGTGTGTGATGTCTGAGCAACGTGATCATGGAATGTGGTCCTCTTCACGCAATTGACCGCAAAGGGCAACCGTGTGGCCCATGGATGGCCGCACAGCTTGTCCTCGAGAGCATAGCTAGTCGACGAGCGGTATTCCACTGTCGTCTCACCACCGATGCCGTTGGCTACACCAGTCAACAGATTCGGCTTACAGCCCCCCGTCATGTCGACCGCATCGACCTTTGTTGAGATTCCGAGTGCAGCGATGTTGTCCATATCAGATGTCCAACACAGCCACTGCGTGCCCTTTCCACCGATGTCAAAGATGTCTGCAGCAGAGAACCGATTGAGAGGAGGAATACAGGGTAAGAAATGCTCGGTACCCCAGCCGTTCCCCCATTGATTGTAATATACCAGAGCTCCACCCTGTGGTAAGAGATAAACGAGATCGCTCCCTCCAGAACCTGTCAAATCCGCCATCCGGATCCGGAGTGGGTTGAAGGCTGCGTCCGGAAACCGCGGGGAATTCTGCATCGGAACGGCCTGGCCAAATCGGCCATATCCCATGTTCGGCCAGTAGGAAATGCTCGTGCTGTGCACGCTGACGATGTCAGCCAGCCCGTCGCCTGTCATATCGGACACGAGGATGGCCCCTGTTGGGTCGAATGGCAGTCGCGGTGCTCCAGTTGTGCGACGCTCTTCCCCATATCCGTAAGGACCCAAGGACTCGTGCCAGAGCCACTCCAAGTCGTTGTTGGGGGGTCTGTACAGAATGTCCGTCTGGCCATTCCCGGTCAAATCCACTTTGTACGTGGTCCATGATCTGCCTGACGCGCCTCTGGTAGGGTACGCAGTGAACGGTGCGAAGCTGTCCCATTTACCATCCCCAGCGTTTGCGTAGAATCCCCGCAAACTCTGATCTTGTGAAACACACACCACGTCTACATTCCCGTTCTTGTTGACATCTTCAAAGCGCCAGTTATTCGACCAGATGGCCCTGGGAGCGCTGTCCTGGAGCCACGGCCCCCCAATGTGGATCTCGTTTCCCCGGCTCTGATTCGGATGATAGTACCATCCTCCACCGGGACTGTCTACGAGGACGCCCGGGACGCCGTCCGCATGGAGATCCACCCACTGCGCTCGCCCCGTAGTGAGTCCCGATAGATTCAACTCAACCGTCTCCGTTTGGAGGTTGTCCAGATCCGGGGGCTCTTGGTACTCAAACTCCACCGGTGGAAGGGCCAAAGCTGAGTATCGTCGTTCCCCGTGCTTCAACGTATGACCGGACATTGTGGAGGCTTTGAGGAGGCTCGTCCCTGATCTGCTGTCTTCTTCGTAGTGGAAGGCCGTTGAGGCGACTAGGTAGTCTGGATGTTGCAACTCCTCCGGGATGTGGTGAAACATGAGCACCCGACGACACCGCCGGTGCGTCCGGACCTCAAAGCCAGCCGTATGCAGTGCAAATGGATCAGGCCGGAGGGCCCAGGGCTGGGTGTCATGGCAGGTTGGGAAGGCTTCATCCTGGTCTCCATAGTCTAAGACAACTTCGAACATCCAGTACTCAGCCCCAGCGTCCTCGTTCAGGAGCTCGACCTCCCACGTTTCCACATCTCGATTGGGCCTCCTGTTGCCGTACTTAATAGACTTGAGATAGCGTTGATTGAGGCAGATGTCCGGGTCTTGTAACCCCAGTCTGTCCTCCGGCTTATACGAATGTACCATATAGTTGCCATGGCTATCATAAGTGTCACATACCAGCCATGAGAATGTGTGGTGGTGCGTCTCGGATGGGCTCGCTTCAATGGGAGCTATCCGGGACTCTGTGCTTCTCCCATAGATGGACGTCGTATTGTCGGATTGGATCACCTTCCAGAATATATCTCCGGGATCCGATATGCTCCCCCATCGCTCGATGCATATCGGGTCCCGTTCGACGCGAGGTCGATATCGCCTGACGCGATATCCCTCTCGGTCACACTCCACATATTCTGTGTTGTCGGACGACCGCAGCGGCACGAGCTCACCGACATGTGAGTGCACAAATACATCCCGGTCGTTATCGTATTCTGGAATTGCCTGGGATGTTTTACGGCTGATGCTCTCCACCCCGTCTAGTCGCCAGCCGAGCCCAAAAACCCCGTTGGTCGACGCCGATCCGGAGTCATAGATCAGGGCGAGGGATGGGCCGAAGCCACTACGGCCGGGCGATGTATGGATGGGGAGAGTGAAGGACATGCCCCCGGTCTGGGTATTGACGTTGAACTGCTCGCGTGCTGGTCGACTGCTGTCTCCATTTGCAAGAAGGTGACCGGGGAAACTCGAGGCCAGATCCCCTCCATTTTCTGAGCCACTTTCCACCACTGGGAAAGCGTGGCGGCTGGCCGTGGAGTGATAGGGCAATATATCCTGGAACTGGGCCCGTGTTGCTGCTGACATTGTCAGGGAATGAGTGAAGTTACTCTGACTACGAACAAATGACCGATCCTGAGTTATATGCCCGTAGACGCATTCCCTTTTCCCGTTAAATAGCGTGAGACAAGGGAACATGGCTGGAGACTGCATGGCCCATTGCAAAAATTGGCAGAATTGGCAAAGGAAATTTACACCTAAAGCGCGAAAATTTGCATTTGTTGGTACCACGTCGAGTAATAATGCTCCATGAGCAAGCGGAGGGGCTGAGGAGGATGGGCTATGGGGAATAATCTCACATCCTATCAGCTCAACAGAAACAATCATCTGCAATGCCAGCAAACAAGAGATCGTCATCTACTGACGACAGCATGCAGTTCCCCCCACCAGTTTCTGACCGGTTCCACCCTCTGGATTCGAGGGCCAGATGCCTTTGGCCTGACGAGTTCATGTTTCCAGTCCGAAATATATATCTGCTCCCATTGAATATCTCAGAAATCAACTTCTCCTGTACCGATTGCACATAGCACATCCGGTTCTGTTGATTTATCCAAGCACGTCCACATTTACACCAGTCCTGCTTGATTACCCGGTGATTTGTCTACCATGTTCCTCTACCTGGGCAGGCTCAACTATGAAAAGTATGCAGTAAACGAACTCATCTCTGTGATATTTCCCGGAGAAGTGGCACTCAACGGAGAGCCAGCGATAGCCATCTGGGAGTGGACAACGGATGCCGAGGGGGAGCAAAAGTCCTTATCGATGCGAATGGGCAAAATCGATAGCGTCAGGGCTGCGAGCCCCGGAAAGACCGAAATTGAGTTCCTCAAGGACAGTTATTACTGGTAAGCAGCGGGACTTATTTGAGTTAATTGGCCTCTGACAGGGGGAAAAACAGGTTCAAGGGAACTTTCCAAGGCGACGACCTGTAGTTGACTATGTACCATGAGTCACGTAAATGTGCCACGATATTACTGACGAAGCAGTACCCTCAGGAGGCATCATAGACAGGCGTTGATAGTACTGGAGGAATGAGAAGATTCCGATGTGGTGGGGAGACCAATGTGGGCATTCCTGTGACAATCGAGGTAGAATCATCCAATCCGTAGAATACTACTCCATACTCCGCAACTACTACTTCATTAAGCGGGGGGCTGCAAGTGAATCACATCCGCTAGGCATGCATTCCCAGCAACCAAGTAGGGACACGTGGAAGACATTCGAACACGTCAACAGGGAGTTTGCCCGAAGGAAAATGATGCAATGCCATGTTACAGCAAACGGAACCGTCATTTTCACTTTGCAACTGCAAATAAACAAAAGGAAACAAAGTAGGGAATGCAAACCCCGCGGGGGAACTCTTGGATAGACCCAGAGCCACGATCAGGCAATGTTTAGCACCTGATTGCGTACATCGCGTAACTACTCTACTGCCGGAAGAATTTATTGTCACCACGTGCAGGATAGCTGAAATTATGGTGAGTCTATGTCTCAGCCCATAGTGTTGCTGCTTTGTTACCGTGATTGCCAACTAAGATCCCACCAGGCAAATAACTTGGTCCTCGAAGGCGACGTCAAAGACCAGTGTGTGAGGCTGCTGGAGTCGGCATTTGGCACTGATGATCCGTATCTGGGCCATATACTGACGGTCCTCGATCGTACGGACTGTCTGCCGCTCGCAATTGGGGACCTTACGTCGAGTCAGGGTGTCTGGGTGGCAGGAGAAGGGGTGGATCAGGAGCAGGTGAAACACGACAAGGCCAAACTAAAGATCATGGGATATCTTCTGGAGCATTCCGGAGGCTCCCTACCGTTTGTCAACTTTTGCATAAACCGACTGAGAGTGTCCCACCATATCCTCCACCTCTCCTCCTGGCGTCAGGAGCTCGCAACACTGGTCTTCTCGTATGGGAAGAGAGAAGTGCTGGCAGAGTATGTTTCACCCTGGGTTGAGATCTGTCGACATCTTTTCCTCTCCGAACCACAGGCCGTGATGTGCGCGCTCGTTGGGTGTAGTGAAACCCCACTGCCCGAAAATGTAGAGATCTTGAGGGACAAAATTTTCCATGTCCTACACTTAGTGCAGAGATACCACTTTGACCTGCTACGGGAGCCGATAGGAGCGGTTCTGCGCGAAGGCAATATACTCGCAGAGGCGGAGGTGGAGCCAGATGAGGCAGAGGCTGTCCAGAATTTTCTGTCCAGACTGCAGCAACTTCAAGGACTAGTCAGTGAACCGGACGACCTCGTCTCCCTGATCCAGTGCGAGGGATACAATTCCGCCAAAGACATTGTGGATCATAAGGTCCAGGCAGTAGAATGCATGGAGGCAAACGGCATTCCGTCAGAACGGGTACAGGCCATTGTCAGTCATGCCCAAGTGCTCGAGCTTCGAAGAGACCAGTTGTGGCGAGAGGTACTCGACAAGCGTGGCACTGGTGGCATCGCGGATGTGAGGCTGGCCGCGGTCGATGCCGCATCTGACGATGACGGACCACCTGACGAGAGGCCACCACTTGCAGACGTAATAAACATGACGGAATTATTTGGTCTACAGAGTATGGGTTGTATTGAGTGCGCCTCGGTCACCGGGCCGGCAGCTTATTTCGTGGACTTGCTGCAGAAGCTCGGAGCCATTCGACTTGGGACGACAGGAAACGAGACGCTCAGGAGCAAACTATTTGAAAGAAGGCCGGATCTGGCCGATCTCGAGCTCTCCTGCGCGAATACCAAGGTGCTGATACCCTACATTGATCTGGTAAACGAGGTGCTGGAGTCGGTCCTGTGGAATGCAAAGCAGGGACGTCGGCCCAAGATCCAAGCATTCAACATGGGTGAGCACAGCTCCAGCGAGGCTTATATCGCGCAGCCTCAAAATACAAACCTAAAGGTCTACCAGGAAATCGTGCAGCCAATGATCTATCCAATGCACGTTTTCCCCTATAACCAGGCTACACATGCAACCCGGGCGTGCTTGACGGCCCTTGGTATTTCCCGAATCCAATTAATGCGTACTCTCCGTGCTCCCCGTCGGATTTCAACATGCCCAGAGCAGAAACCTGACGCAGAAAAGATCCTGGCACGGAGTGTTGCTGCTGAATCTCTCGGCCTGCAGCGGGAGGATTATGTCGCCATCACGCGAGAAAGCTGCTACTCCCTCGAATACCTCCTCTCCCAGGACCAGACCTGGAACGAAGACTCGTACTGCCACAGTATCGGACTGAAAGATATTCACGAGTACTGGGGATACACCAGCCAGGAGGAAATGTGCGGAGAGAGCGGCTTAACGCTGATCAAGCGTGAGCTATTACCCCGGAGCGGGCTCGACTTTCAGGGCCTGTTGTCCATACTGAAAACCAGATTTATGGGCAAGCGTCTAGTCATCTTATCGAAGAATGGTGGTGTTGTGTTTACCGACAGCCTGGACAATATGCGTTTGCGACAGCTTCCTCGAAAGGGAGACCAGGAGACACTGAGCCTTGACCCTGACATCTGTCATGAGCTTCAAGCATTCCTCCGACTGAAAGAGAAGCTTCAGTGGCCACTAGATGAGTTAGACAGCCTCCTTGTTACGCTGTCCGGCACCAGAACCTCATCCATTGACCCCCAGCTGATGGACGAGCTCGCAGCGGTTCAGGAGCTGTCAGAGCTGACTGGCATCAATCGAGCCGAGCTTCAGCCTCTCTGGGGAGGGATTGATGTCGAAGACCAAAATTTGCTATATAGCCGGCTCTTCTACAACCTGCACGGATTCCAGGCAGGATCGATGCAGGTTCCGGGGAATCTACCTCTGATTTTGTCCGGACTGCAGCTCAGCGTTTCCGAGTATGAAGCAGTCATGTCGGCTAGCCAACTAACCAGCCCCCTTGGCCATGATGGGATTCGTCAGCTCTATAGGGTGGCAATTCTTTGTAGGATGCTGGGAATATCACCCTTTTTATACGGTGAGGTTCTCTCCGTCTACCCCGATGATACTGATCCCTTCCATGGACCCAGAGAAACTCTCGCGCTCATAAAGAAATGGAAGGAAATCACATCGATCCCCGGCTCGTGGGCACCAGAGCAGTTGTTATTTATCCTGCGAGGAGAGTCCAGGGTTCCTGACAGCAGCACAAATCAACCTGCCGTCGATAAAAATCTACAGATTGCAGCGTCAATTGTGTCATCTACTGCCACATCGACCGTCAAGTTTGATAGCGTCACTGCGATTATTGAAACTGACCTGAGGAATCGCGTCAGTCAATTGGCTTCCATGATTTTCGGGGAGGAGCAGGGAAAGGAGATCGTCCATTTCATTGACAAGGGTGGCACACCGGATGACAAAGCCAGAATCACAGCACTCATACGGTTTGTGTTTGGCGAGAATGCGCCAGGAGTGATTGAAAGCATTGAACAAGAGCAAAATTCTACGGCCCAGATGCGAGTCTTTTACAGCCAGCTTGCTGCTGCCGTTTCTACAGCTCAACGCAGTCAAGTGATCCTAGCAAGCTTGCAGCCACACTTTCCAGGGCTTGACATAACAACCCTGCAGTTCTGTTTAACGGAAATCATTCATGTGAGAGAGAAACGACTAGACGGGAAATCGAGCGCCTTGTGCGGTATGGATACCCTCCTTGGTCTTTCTCGTCTACCAACAGCACAAGACTCCGAGTTTCAAGGTTACTTTCGGCTGCCTAAAACGGGGAGATACAACATCGATCTGGCTCCGGCACATGAGCCAGAGGGAGAGAAAGCTAGAAGACTCGTGCTGGATGGGACGCCGCTGGTCCTCCATGGCAACGGACCGCAGAGAGCAGAAACAAGTCGACTGTTGGCTGCGCACTGGTACAAACTGGAGTATACCGGTCCTTTTTCGGACTTGGACTGGTCGTCTCAGGAGACAGTTCCACCTACACACGTCTCCTTTACTGGTAACAATCTCATCCGTCAAGAGACATTGGAGACTACCAGCTCAGTGGTGGCGAAGCTGACGCAACTGAGCGAGGTTATAAGCCACCTGGATCTGAAGATTTCGGAGGTCCGCGTGTTGCAAGCAAAGGGAATTTACTTAAATTCTCTGACGCTTGCGAATTTAATTCAGCTCGTCAAGTACCGCCTACTACGGGAAGAGTTCCAGAGAGCTGGCGCCAAAGAACGACTGCTCGAGCTTTACCGATGGCTCTCTGCTCAAGACCCTGAAACCTCCTTGGCCAGCAAAATCCAGAGTACTACAGGGTGGACAATCCAAGAATGCACCGATTATCTGCACGGCAGATACCCGGGAATGAAAGACGCCAATCTCCTCCAAGTCTTCGGTGATATTAACGAGCTCTTTGAGATGCGCGAAGTGATGCGATTTGTCCGAAGAGGAGGTCTGTCCAATGTACCCCTACAGACGCTGTTCGAAATGGCTACTCCAGTGAAGCCCGAATTGCCGTCCGAGCAACGGCCAGGGTCAGTAACAGCAGAGTTCAACAATGCTGCTATTCTGCGCTCAGCAATACAGTCAAGGCATTCCTCTGGCTCGGGTGCAGTTGGCTCGACCTCGCTTTCTACCGCCAACGATCAGATCCGCAAGAGCCAACGAACAGCCTTGATTCACTGCCTGCTAGTCCAAAGTAAACTATCAGCAGATCAACCCCCACTCAGAGATGCCAATGACCTCTTCGGACATTATCTAATTGACGTCCAGATGGGCACAGAACTCCACACCTCTCGAATCAAGCAGGCCATCTCCACTGTTCAGCTCTTCCTCCAGCGATGTATGCTGGGGAGCGAAAAGAAGCAGGGGATCCGGAGTACGCTTCTGCGGGAAAACCTGTCGGACTGGGAAATCGAAAACATGATGCGCTATCGCCTCTGGGAGGCAAACCGCAAGTCGTACCTGTACCCAGAGAATTGGATTGATCCGACCCTCCGTGATGATAAAACGGAGCAGTTCCAGACTGTGGAGGGTACTGTCATGCAGTCCAAGCTGGATGATCAGAGGATCGCCGACATCATCAAAGGCTACGTCCATAGCGCGACTGAGGTTGCGGACATTGAGATTGTCTCGTATCTCTGGGAAAGGAAGGACACCGGAGAGATCCCTGGGGAGTCCGAATTTCACTTCTTTGGCCGCAGCCGAACCATTCCTCCGGCGCATTATTATCGCAAGCTGCACGTCCGAGTCAACACGGGGAGCTCGCTGAATCAACTGCCCCGATGGAAGCGGGAAATCCTGTCCCAGTGGGATAAGGGGAATCGGGGCAAATTTGTCAATTTCTGGTGGTCTTCGGTCCACCGGATGAGGTTAAGGGAGAAGCTTTGGTACCTGGAGAACCTGCTTGGAGACATCGTTCTATGGCCATCGTGGGAAAGATTAGGCGTCGTTACCGAATTGCGGAAACGATTGTGCCGCATGGAGCCCCAGCAACACGAGGCAGAAGGCCTCATCGCTCTGATGAAAGAGCTGGGAGTAGAAAGATCGAGACCTCCATCCAACACGGACGACGTTGCCAGCCTCCTGGCAAAAGTTCTCGGAGAACCGACGGAAGCTCGAAAACAGATCCCTCGTCTCGCAAAGGTCATCGGCGAATTGGGTGGTAATCAATCAAGTATACGGATCAGAGACTACCTCGTCTTCCACTTGGGCCTCTCCATCGCCAAGGGATCACTCTCAGCCACGGCCACCGAGTGGTCCCCGTGGACGAAGCTCAGTGCCGACATCCCCATGTACGAACACGACTACGACATGACCAAATTGGACGCGCCTGGAACATATCTTATCCCGGCTATCTCGAACGGCCGTCTACTCGTGTTTATCCCAGATATCATCACCGGTCAGCAGTCAGCGTTGGGACAGGCAGAAGGGGGTATAAATGACTCCAAGTATGGGGAGCTGACCGATAAGAAAGTGGTCGGATCCCTTCCCCATCAGCACTGGGAGATTCGTCTCGGTTACATTGAGTATATCAACGGGAAATGGTCCGCAAAGAAGTTGTCACAATCGTCGATTCGCATTCAGCAGAACAAGGACCAGAAGCTACAGAGCATAACTAGCTTTCTCTTCCGGGTTGGTAAGAAGGCGAGTCGTATTACGGAGGATCAACCCAAGGCCAGGGAAACCCTGAGCGTCACTGTAGAATCACTAACGAGCGGTGGAGGTGGCGGCCACATCTGGGGAAAGTTTGAGGTTAGAGGCCATCAATTGATCTTGACGGACCATTCAACCACCATCCCAACCCCCTCGTTGCGCAAGACAGCCTCTGAGATTCCGATTGCTGTACAGTACGGCCCACGCGTTGAATTCTGCAGAATCAAGTTTAACGAAAAGCCGACTAGCGGTGCATTGAAGAGAGCGGGGGTATCCGGAGCCGGTCAAAGCCCAGATACGATGGAGCCACTTTTTGCAGAGGCCCGAGGGTCGGTACGCTCGTGGCTCATGTCGTTTCCAAGCAATTCTCTCCCTCAGGGTCTGGTCATGGAAGCCGCCGGTTCTCATGCGATTGAGACGTACTTTAGCTTCCCCGTTAACCCGAGGGCGAGACACGACCAACAGGACTGGATAACGGAAAGGCTCACAGACTTTGCTACTCCCCTCCTCATGCAAAATGTGAACTCTGACCAGAGCCCAAAAGACGTTTATCGTGCTCTCCGTGACCTACCCAGTAACCTACAAGATGAGGCCTTTGGGAGACGGCACTCTGTTGTCTTCCACGAGAGGGCTACTCCGTCGGCAGTCTATCATTGGGAGCTCGGGGTCCATATACCCAGCCTCCTCATGGAGCGACTAATTGCGACCCAGCAGTACGAGCTGGCATTGAAGGTGGCCCGGCTGGTATTTGACCCCACGACCGACGGCGAACGAGTGGACCGATGCTGGTCATTTCCACCATTCCGAGACGAATATACTCGAACTGGCATCATGCCGGACTTCACCAGAACCTGGGAAACGACCATAGCAACGGAGGAGTGGCGCGCCAGCAAGGGCAATGTTCATGCGGCTGCCCGGTATAAGCCCCGAGCCTACATGATGCGCTTCGTGATCAAGTATATCCAGGCTCTGGTGGCCCTGGGCGATCAGTACTTCCGACAGGAGACAATGGAGAGCATCCCATTAGCGATCCAACGGTATAGCGAGGCCGACCACCTGTTCGGCCCCCGTCCGGTAGAAAATCCCCGTCTGGGCAAGTATCCTGTAATGACATACAACGATATCCAGAGTGAGCTCGACCCTTCGTCCAATGTCAACGTTGACCTAGGCCTCGACTTTCCATTCTTCAGTGAGCCAGGAGCCCGGGGCAAAGCCGGTCTGCGCCATGGCAACTCAGAGCGCTTTGCCTTGATCAGAACGCTGTACTTCTGCATTCCGTCGAACCCGGAGCTGGTTTCATTGCGGGACCTGATCGATAGTCGGCTCTATAACATCCGAAACGGCATGGACATCAATGGCAATGTGCGCACGCTTCCTTTGTTCGAACCCGCCCTGGACCCAGGGATGGTGGTGCGGTCGAATGCCGCTGCGGCTGGTCCCGGCACATCGAGCCTTTTGGGTGGCTTGGAGAATCCAATGCCTCGATACCGTTTCCGAGTGCTGATGCAGCATGGCCATGACCTTGTCAACGAGCTCAGGGACTCGGCACAGCAGTTGCTCTCCATCAAGGAAAAGAAGGACGGGGAGGCACTGGCCATTCTCCGTTCCAAGCATCAGAACGCAGTCCTTCAGCTCATTATAAAGGTCAAGGAACGGCAAAAGGTGGAATCAGAAAAGGCGGTTGCCGTGCTCCATGAGTCCCGAAGACAACAGGAAGCGCGACTGCAGTACTACCTCGAGCTCATTGGGCAGAGTATTAGCACCGTCCAGAACCAGAAGACAGGCCCAGCCACAGAGGGATACGAGATCAAGCCCATCCCTCGTCGCGGTCAGCCATGGATAGATATCCCGCAGGCATTTATAAACCCGAGCTCAGATGACCTCCGCATGTCCCCGTTCGAGAAGGCCGAGTTGGACCTGTATGAGCAGGCATCGGGCAAGAACCAAAAGGCAGCGCAGCAGGATTATCAAGCCGCTGTAGTCTCGGTAATTCCAGCGGTCACCGTCAATGTGCAACCGATGGGCGTGGGACTGAGCACCAGTTTTGGTTCCAACACCATCGGACAATTCTTCGCCAGTCAGGCCAGCATGTACAGGCAGGAAGGCCAGCAGTTTGCAGACAATGCCTCTCGTGCGGCCCGCATGGCAGCGGCCACACGCCTTCTACAGGAACGGAGACACGAAGCAAATACAATCGGTCGAGAACTCATGAGGATCGACAAGGATCTGGCACAGATGGAAGCTCGTCTGGCCACTTGCGACGCCGAAATCCAGACCCAGCAGCAAGAAATCGAGAATGCGGCCGCGGAGGAAGAATGGTTGAATCGAAAGTACACGAACAAGCAGCTCTACGCGGTTTTGGACAATTCCCTGAGCGCCATGTTCCACCAGACATACTTGCTCGCCATAGAGATGATGAAGATCGCCTGGAAAGCCCTTAATTTTGAGCATGCTGTCCCCTCTCAGAACGGATCCTTGAGTGCACTTCAAATGCCATCAAATGCCAGCGGCTATTGCGAGAAATCCGTGGATGGACTGCTGTCCAGCAAAGCTTTGTTCCTGGAGCTGAAGCAGATGGAGATGCGCTATCTGGAAGACCACACGCACGACTATGAAATCGTTAAGAATATCTCCCTCCGGCAGCTGAACCCTGAATCCCTGTTGAAACTTCAAGCGGACGGCAACACCGAGTTCAAGCTCTCAGAGGCTCTCTTTGACCTGGACTTCCCCCGTCACTACTGCCGCCGCATATCCTCGGTTGCCTTGTCCATTCCCTGCATCGTCGGCCCCTACGCCTCTCTAAACTGTACGCTCAGTCTCCAGCATCACGAATACCGAGTATCATCTCAGCACAGTGACAGCATCCGCACCGACCCAGTCCCAATCACATCCATTGCCGTCAGCAGCGGGGTGGAGGACAGTGGAGTCTTTGATCTCAACTTCCGCAGCAGCGACCGGTACGGGCCATTCGAAGGCGCAGGTGCCATTTCATCGTGGAGTCTACAACTTCCAAAACACCGCCAGTTCGACTACAGCACCATCAGCGATGTAGTGCTGCATCTCCGCTACACAGCCCTAGATGGCAGCTCCGTTCGAGAAACGAACGCTTCCAGGACCATCGATGAATTCTTTGCTGCCACGCACACACTGGCCATCAATCTCAGCAGTGAATATGCAGCACAATGGCAACAAATGTGGACTTCTGGGGTGATGGAGTTGCCCAGCTTGATCCCAAGACTCCCCTACTGGACACGTGACAAGACGGTTACTCCAAGCAAGGTCTCATTGCTCACTGCCCTGGGCGACAATGTATCTTTCCAGCTAAAGGCCAAGGGTTCCCAATCCCACACCATTTTGCAAACAGCGGGTAAGCAATACGGATACAACTTGTTTACTGCCAGTGACTCCTTGCCCGGTATCCAAGAACTTTGGAATATCGTGTTGAAGGGCTTGGGCTCACCCAAGCAAGGGCGGGGATGGCTGTTGGTTGGTTATGGGGTGAAGTAATAGGTTTTATATAAAGTTATCTCAGCGTTTACCAAAATTGTCTTTCACACTTAACAGGTATCAATCAGAGTGTATCTAAAGTTCCCCCGTGGCTATATATATACTAGATCTCAAGTCCTAGTAGTTTAATGAGTGTACTTTAGCTTTACATTAACCAATAAATTAATCAAAGGTATATTAACCCGATGGCACAAGATCCAAGGCAGCACAGAAGCTTTGTCACCATAACCCTACTGACAAAACTCCATGCCATGCAGGAGCCGAATGTTGCGGCCCACATGCAGGCCTAACACTCTAGACAGTGGAGTTGGTATTTTAAGCTGAATATCAAGCTTTGAAAGAACAGTATCAGGTTTAGTGGCATAAGACCAGTTGCTTCAAAGCCACTTTGAATATTTAATAATAATAAAGCTTTGAGATGAACAGAAGGATAGATTGCTAAAAAACCTAGTTTTTTAATAGAGTGGATTCCTTTTTGCATCATATCTGCAATCTTTTGGCTATAGAGATATTTTAACGGCGAGAAACAGCTCACATCTAGTGGCTGTAGAAGATGTGAAGAATAAGGAGGTAAGTAAAAAGGAATAATTTTTTATTTATACAAAATTTATTAAACTCTTCAGTGGCGTGGCTGCTATGTTTGTCTAAAATTTATCTTTCAACTGTACGTGGTGCTGTATATATATCAAAGCAATTTTGTAGCCAATCCAAACCTATATTATTATTTGTCCATCTATTCTTGCTCACAGAGGTGCTATAGACCTTTGGCATATTATTATACCACTAAGATTGATAATTCTAGCCAGCAAGAATAATCTGTGGTGGTTGCACTCATCCAGATATATTAATTGCAAAAATAGTAGTAACCTACTCCCTATTACCAGGCTAGATTGCTTTAGCTTTGCTTTGCCTCGTCTTGGAACCACAAACAATTTTTGAAGTTGATCTAACACCTATTTGAAAGCCCGTCTCGTCCATATTAAAAATATCTTCCATACAGATCCCCGACTTTTGTATACTGGCCCGGAACCGGTGGAACCACTCCTGAATTATCTCTGGATCCTCACATTTTGCCCGTCGATATTTATACCGTCCGGTGTATTTTGAGCTGATTTCCGGGTGGCGTTTAATAAATCTTAATACCCAGTGCACTCTGATAGCTGAAGCAGATAGATTTCGGGCAGAGAGAAGTAGCTAGGCTAGGTAGTGTATAGCTGACATCCGGGGAAGCAGGCCACGACGATCCATATCTATAATCCATGACTCCCGTGTTTTTAATAATTTTTGACTATTTGCAACTGATTCCTTGCGAGCAGTAGTGCCATTAAGACGCGTCATCAGGGTTCTTAGAGGAACATCAAATGCCTTAGCTGCAGCAGTTTTAGAAGCAAGAAGGCCTCGCTTATAAGTATCGATAGCTAATTGTACATAGACTGCGGCAAAACCGCGGTTTTGGGTATCATAGTCAAAACCACAACCACACCAGCATAACTCTCGCTTCTTTAACCAATTCTAGCATATCAGGTGACACTTATGCAGCTTACATACTTTGCTTTTAATTTGAAGATACACCTGTTCTGGTTAAAACAGTGAGCCCGGTTAACCTCTCAGGCCAATTGTCCTTATTGTCCCTAGTGTCCCTATTGCCCCTATTGGTTGTAGCTCCTCTAACGTTTTATAGACGTGTACCCAGGCAATATGCTCCTGGGAGTGTACGATTAAGCTGTTACGAAAACTTGAAAACAAGGAATTACGCCTGTATATTGCTGGGTTAAGATTTTCCCTGGATTTAACCTCTTAGATAATGTTGCACACTCATACAGGTTGGAACTGCATAAGTGGTTCTCGGCCTTGGCCCATACTTCGAGCGTTTGATCTCGTCCACCTTCAATCTTCAACTTCACACTAATTAATGAAATGACCATGTTCTTCCTCTGAGCTTTCGTGTTTACATATATCTATATATTTCCTATTTAGGATATAACTAAGGCACCCGTATAAATATAAATACGCAATTTCATTTCCACGCTAGCCCCAATTAAGGTATAGTCACCTGTGAAACTAGGAGTTTTGCCTGTGTATTTCGCAACACCCCCCTTTTTTATGACACGTGACCCAACCCTTCCACTTTTGGTCCAGGTGAAAATTTGGGGGGGTTGGGTTAGGAGTACCTTTAGGGGGGTCGGTAGATCACGTCCCTAGAACAATTAGCCTGGTGAAACTGGTATGGTGTCTGAGGAGGACGTTTTCGGTAAGGCCATTGATGAGTTTTTCACGGAATACTACAAACTTTGACCACTTGGATGGGCAAACTATGAGAGGAAGTGTTTTCCAAGTGGTGGGAAATGGAAGAGAAAATCGAAGGTTGTTTAGTTCAATGAAGGCAATTCTTTGCGAGGCTCGAAGATAGAGTGATCCACGGGTATCTCACCTCGGCTTCATACCATATGAGCATGTACTTCTGTCATACCATTCTACCATAAAAAGCGCCATGGTCTCAGAATTCTAATTTGGCATTATATTTATTGACGACTTCTTTATCTTCTGTGTATTTATAGATTTCATACGATATCATTGGCTCCTGCTGGAGAAGAGCCCAGATAGCTCGGTTTAATAAGTTGACTATTCGATATAACCACGCACTTCTTTCAGTATCTCTATTTTATGAAATAAACTTTAGCATAAATAGTCCTATCCGACCAGTCCGATATTATTTTTCAATACAAGATTACTTAAAAAAGAGATATAGTACTAAGATTGCCAGCTGCCGTAAAAAGGAGTAGAGTGAGGATATGCTGGCATTCCTACGGTCTAACCTCGACAGGGACTAACTAACCAGCAATTCATCATTTTTGAGTCGACTAATTATAAGCCTGATCTCCGCGGCACATGCCGAAAGCAAGACGGGAATTCCCCCAGACTTCCCTGATCGGCGGCTGCATACTCCGCATTGCGGGGTTGATGGATTGATATTGAGGAACACTAGGCTTAGTCCGAAACGATGGTCTTCCTTTACGATCTGCCGATTCTCTTTGGGCATCAACAAGCAATATACTGTCTTCCCCTCCTTGGATATCCAGGCCAACCCGTTTTCAGTATTGATCGCTCATCTAGCCCTAACTGACCTCGGCTGGTCTTCACTGTTCTCGGTGCCTTTGTCTTTTGAACAGTTCGATCATGTGTCAAGAGCGGAGATTCGGCAGACTGAACAAGGTTGCCCCTGCGTCTTGTTCCTACAAGCGAGGATCCTCTTCTGATGGCTGCAAGATGGGGCACTACATATATAGTGGAGAGATCTCCTGTCTGTGGAGTCATACACATCCATACAAAATATATAGACATCTATTACTGTATATAGCACTATGGCCAAGCTAAGCCTTCTGTTGCAAATCCTCAGCCTCTTGTCTCTCGTGGTGGCCTTCCCTGCATACTCAGTACGCAGCTCCGGCCCATCACAGCCTCTAGATGACCCATTCTATATCCCCCCAGAAGGCTTCGAGTCCAAATCGCCTGGCACCATCCTACGCTGCCGCGAGCCCCCATCCCCAATCGCTGCATTCAGCGCCATCAAGGCCAATCTCGCCGGTTCCTATCAAATCCTGTACCGAACGACGGATTCCTTTGGCAAGGCCACCGCCACGGTGTCGACTGTCCTGATCCCCCATAACGCAGACTTCTCCAAGCTCCTCTCCTACCAGGTGGCTGAGGACGCCGCTAACCCTAACTGTGCTCCATCGTATGCCTTCCAACTGCATGCAGCTACCGACGGAATCCTCGGTCTGGTTTTGCCGCAGGCTGAACTCCTCTTGATCGCTGCAGCTCTCAACAAAGGATGGATAGTCACTGCGCCTGACCATCTTGGTCCGAAGTCGGCATTCCTCGCTAACAGTCTCTCCGGCCACGCCGTACTGGATAACGTGCGCGCGGCGCTCTCCTCGTCGGACATCACCAATATCTCTTCGGACGCCACCGTCGCATTATGGGGATACTCGGGCGGTAGCCTGGCGAGTGGATTTGCCGCGGAGCTACAGCCCAGCTATGCGCCGGAATTGAAAATCGCAGGGGCCGCTATTGGAGGCACAGTGCCCGAGATCCTCCCTGTCATTGACGCAGTTAATAAGGGTCCATTCGTCGGATTGGTCCCCGCGGGCATCCAGGGTCTTGCCAATGAATACCCCGAAGTCCAACAGCTGATCCTCGACCAAATCAAGCCCGAGAAATTGGCGGATTTCAATAAAACCCAAACCATGTGTCTCGCCGGTGACGCGCTGCATTATCTCGGGAAAGATATCTACTCATACACTAAGAACCCGGATATCTTCAACGACCCGGTAGCCCAGAAGGTGATCAAGGCGAACGCAATGGGTCAACACATCCCTACTATTCCATTGATGGTGTATAAATCCGTCGGGGATGAGGTCAGTCCGGTCAAGGACACCGATGACTTGATTACGAAGTACTGCGGTGGTGGCTCGGACGTGGAGTATAAGCGTGATCTGCTCTCGGAGCATGGGTCTATGGCCGTAATTGGGTCTCCGGATGCGATTATCTGGCTGAATGATCGGTTCAATGGGGTTCCTGTGCACAAGGGATGTACGAAGACGACCAAATTGACGAGTCTGACTGACCCCAAGGCGATTGCGGCCATGGGCGAGGAGATTATTGCTATCTTGAAGGCATTTTTAAATGGGCCGATTGGACCGGATATTGTTGGTTAGTCTATCTTGAGATGTATAACCTTGTGAGATTTATTGATATCCTGGATTTCTATACTTCTTGGTATAGGATACATTCAGGATGGGATAAGGAATCAGTGCTACAGAAATACATTGTTAATATTAATATGGAAAAAACTGGACTACTTGTCAGAATAAACTAATCCATATCGGGACATCCTGTGAAATATATATACCCAATATTCCCATAGAGGGTTGAGCAGAACATCCTTCTGAGTACAATCACTTCAGACCCCACAGTAAATCAAACAGTACTCCAACTTGTAGTTATACGAGCAACTTTGACTCATTGAAGTTCCCCACTATAAAGTCCGCACCCGAACCCATCATCACCATCACCAATTCCTCAATCGTTTAATTCCTCAATTTCAATTCTATATCCTCCTTCCCAAAAACAAACTCCCTTGGGGAAAAAAAAAAAGAAAGAAAGAAAGAAAGAAAGAAAGAGAGAAGAAAATGAAGAAATACCACTCTACCACGTCCCCCTTCGAACAGCGAATCGGCTACTATCGCGCCGTCCGCCACGGCCAACAAATCTTCGTCTCGGGCACCACAGCCGTGGATCCGACCTCCCCTCCCAGCGCGCCAAAAATCCTCTTCCCTGGCGACGCGCGCCAGCAAGCGCAGGTAGCTCTGACGGAATGCATCAAGGCCGTGCAGGCGCTGGGCGGAAAGGGAGCGGAGAGTATCGTGCGCGTGCGGATGTTTGTCGCGCGCAATGACATCTGCGGAGATGTCGGCGAGGGGTTTCGTCAAGTGTTGGGAAAGCAGAATGGAGAGGAGTTTGGGGCGGCGGCGACGATGATTGTCGTGCATGATGGGTTTATTGATCGGGATATGTTGGTGGAGATTGAGGTAGATGCTATTGTTTAATCTTCTATATTGGTGTAGGTTGGTTGGGAGGATATTGATATTGATACTTGATGCATTAGTTGGCTATACAAGTAGGCTATTCGTATTCGTTTATTGCATAATTGTATAGCTCCAATTGGAGATTGTAATGTAGTATAGTTCTTCACACTTGTCTAGACTGGGCATATGAAGTAACTGATGATCTATGCATTCCTATACCAATCAGCGTATGCCACCCAGCTATATAACGTATTCACGCTGTTCTTTCTCAGATCAATCAACAAACCAACATGCATCCTCCCTTGAACTCCTCCCTCAACGTGTGATCGACAACACGCCAGTCGTCCGACTCACCCACGTCGTCCCGCAACTGCGCACAGGTATATCTGAAACTCGAAGCCGTGAACCCCACCGGCTACTACAAAGACCGCATGGACAAATCCATGATCGAAGAGGCCGAACGATGCGGGGCCCTAAAACCAGGCATGACCGTCGTCGAAGCGACAGGGGAAGCACCGACTCATGCCCCTCCTTCGTCTGTGCCATCAAGGGATACCCGTTCTCCGTCATATCATCGGACGCATTCGCTACAGAGAAGCTCAAAACCATGCACACCCCCAGAACAACCCTGGACCTAATCCTTAGTCATCCTGAGTTCATGCCAGATCTGATGCTGTCCATGATACGACGGGCGCGGGAGATCGCAGACGCAGGGGTTGAGTCTTACTATTTCACGAACCAGTTTTCCAACCGCGATGCGCTCGTCGGTTATGAGGCGATCGGACAGGAACTGGTACGGCAGTTTCTAGACCGGATTGATGCGTTCTGTGGCGCGGTGGGAAGTGCTGGTATGATCATGGGGGTGTCTCGTGTTCTGAAGAATAAACGGTCGGATAGGACTAGCGTCGTGGTTCTGGAACTGGCGTCCTCACCGTTTATTACGAAGGGCCAATTAGGTCCGCATGCTGTTGATGGGATAGGGACTGGTTTAAGCCGCATCTTGACGGGGCCTTTTACTATGAAGCACGTGGCATATCAGAGGCGAAGGATGGAAGATGTGTCGACGGCTCGTGAGGGAGGAGGGATTGCATTTTGGTACGTCTACCAAGCTTAATTTTACCTCCAGCGGCGATTGCGTTGGCTAGGCAGGGCAGGATAAAAACGATCGCCACTGTCGCGGTGGATACAGGGTTGAAGTATTTGAATGGGGGTTGTTCACCCAATAGACAAGCAGTCACTGTGTACATAGGTAGTATATTGGGCTTGTAGGTAACTATAACGTACTCCACGGCCAACTTGCTCATCGGTCAAGCTGCGCACCTGTATTCTCATACAAAATAGGATCTTTTTAAGTTAGGACATTTTAAAAATTCTGCATCTTTATTAATAGATACTTTATCTAAGGAATCCTTAGGTATTAAATAGAGCATATAATAGTTTCTAAATAGATAGTTAGTAATATTAACTAATCACCTCGATATTATATATTACTTAATATTTCAAGCCTCATATAACTATGTATTTTAGACTAAAAATAAATTTCCTTTATAAAATACTTACAATACCTATTTATATGCTCATATATAATTAATCTTTCCAATACGAACCACAATAATGGAAAATTGATTGAGATATTCCAAGCTAAATGAGCCATTTTGTATGAGAATACAGGTGCGCAGCTTGACCGTATGCGCAGCTCGATTGAGGAGTACGTTAGACTTTGTAAGGATAAACCTGACCTTTCCAACTAAGTCTTTGTATGATCAAACAATTCATCAGCCTGGGATATTCATATCAACTGTATTTAGAACCATCCAGTATATTTCTTGGAGCTTTGTAGATATCTGGCAGGAAAATTGATAACATGTATTTTAGATTAGCAATGAGACGAACAATACCAACGCCTATTCAACAGCCATACAGGAATCTGAAGTTCGTGAAAATTTCAAAGGTTCTATGAAAATACACCTGATATAGTCCTCCAAGTTATTAGATTAATAAGCTTCTTGTAAGAAAAATCGTTTCAGACCGCAATATGCCACAAAATAGAAAAGTAAGCGGCCAGTGAGGAACTGCAGGGCCCCTCCGTGCTGCCCAGCGGAGTTAGGATTTAACCAAACGAAGGAAACGTTGCTTAATAATGTCGTGCGCGCATCCATGTATGTATGTATGGAGCATGCTATGCAATCGTTGAGTCGTATACTTGCCACCAAGCAGCACTTAGTAGAATTGTGATCATACCACTGGGTGGGATTTTAGCTAATGGAAGGAGAAGCTAAGTTCTTCTATTAAATCCACGTAAGTTGCTGGATGGAAAGGTTGATACAGTGGCATAACTACATCGGTAATTACAATGTATAGAATGGATGAGATATCAATACTTGTCAATATCACATAACTGTGAGTTGATTTATCCATTCATAAGAAGTTTATGATTTATATTATACTTTCAAATGACAATCTGTCTCTAGTGACTCACAGAATGAGCCAGCTTGTCTGTTAACCAAGGGTTGAATATGCAAATCGAGCTAAGCGACACAGTCCAGCTCGATGTAGACCACCGCAAGATACAACAAATCTGGCGATCTAAACCATCTGCCAAATTATTAACGTAGGAATAGAGGCAGATTTACAGTTCATACTTCCACATGACTTATTATTGTAATCCTTAAGACGTAGAGATTCATGGTTCGGTATCGCCCCGGCAGAACAAATACAGCAAACGGTAAAATAACGAGGGGCATAAGCGGGAACTGGCAAAAAACGCACATCCCGGATTTGAAATCGGAAAAAATCCCACTGCAAAAAAAGTCCCCACTCTCGCTTTTCTCTTCTTCCCCCTCTTCCTCCACCACCTCGTCTTTTTCCCTCTCCCTCCTCACCTTCCTCCGTGAAGCAATCATCCTCCTTGATTTGGAGCAGCGCACATAGGTCCTTTTGTCCTATTGATCTCAAGGTCGAGCTAGCTCTCGATCCAGATCCTTGTGTGTCGTTTCTTATTTTTCTTTTTTCTTTTTCTCTTATCACACAACCCCGCCTCTAAGGCTCTTGACAGTCAAATACCGTCAAGATGGTCAAGTATGTCCACCACCCCCTTCAATCATCTTCGGACAGCCTTGGAAATATTCTGTTACAACAGTGCTGACGATGTCTCCTATAGCTTCACTATCGAAGAGGTCCGTATACCTTCCCCGCCCGTCGGTCAACCTATAGCTATAGCCTATCGATGAAGAGCTCGGGAAAATTTGAGGAAATACAACTTTTGCTAACCCCCACTAGATCCGGACCCTGATGGACCGCAAGTCCAACATCCGTAACATGTCGGTCATTGCTCACGGTATGTTCACCATTCTTGTCGCAGCTGTCGATTCCATGCTAACAAGCCTCTACGAACAGTCGATCACGGAAAGTCCACTCTCAGTGACTCCATGGTGCAGCGTGCCGGTATCATTTCGGCTGCCAAGGCTGGTGAGACCCGTTTCATGGACACTCGTCCTGATGAGCAGGACCGGTGTATTACCATCAAGTCCACCGCCATCTCACTGTACGCCAAGTTCACCGACCCGGAGGATATCAAGGAAATCCCCCAGGCTGTCGACGGTAACGAGTTCTTGATCAACTTGATCGACTCGCCTGGTCACGTTGATTTCTCCTCTGAGGTCACTGCTGCTCTCCGTGTCACTGACGGTGCCCTGGTCGTTGTCGACTGTGTCTCCGGTGTCTGTGTCCAGACCGAGACCGTCCTGCGTCAGGCCCTGACTGAGCGTATCAAGCCTGTTCTTATCATTAACAAGGTCGATCGTGCTCTGCTTGAACTGCAGGTCTCCAAGGAGGATCTGTACCAGTCCTTCTCTCGTACCATCGAGTCCGTCAACGTCATCATCGCCACCTACTTCGACAAGGCTCTTGGTGATGTCCAGGTCTACCCTGACCGCGGTACCGTTGCTTTCGGTTCCGGTCTCCACGGCTGGGCTTTCACTGTCCGCCAGTTCGCCGTCAAGTACGCCAAGAAGTTCGGTGTTGACCGCAAGAAGATGCTTGAGCGTCTGTGGGTTAGTTTTATAGATGGAGAGACACCAACAAGAAAAACAATTACTAATCGTTCGAGTAGGGTGACAACTACTTCAACCCCAAGACCAAGAAGTGGTCCAAGACTTCTACTGACTCCGATGGCAAGCCCCTTGAGCGTGCCTTCAACCAGTTTATCTTGGATCCCATCTTCAAAATCTTCAACGCCGTCAACAACGACAAGAAGGAGGAGATCCCTACTCTCCTTGAGAAGCTTGAGATCAAGCTTGCCAGTGATGAGAAGGATCTCGTTGGCAAGCAGCTGCTCAAGACTGTCATGCGCAAGTTCTTGCCCGCCGCTGATGCCATGTTGGAAATGATCTGTATCCACTTGCCTTCTCCCGTTACTGCCCAGAAGTACCGTGCCGAGACTCTGTACGAGGGTCCCGCCGACGATGAGTGCGCCATTGGTATTCGTGACTGTGACGCCAAGGCCCCTCTGATGCTTTACGTGTCCAAGATGGTTCCCACCTCTGATAAGGGTCGTTTCTATGCCTTCGGTCGTGTGTACTCTGGTACCGTCAGGTCCGGTCTGAAGGTCCGTATCCAGGGTCCTAACTACACCCCTGGCAAGAAGGAGGATCTCTTCGTCAAGTCGATCCAGCGCACCATTCTTATGATGGGTCGTTTCGTTGAGCCCATTGAGGATGTTCCTGCTGGTAACATCGTCGGTCTGGTTGGTGTTGACCAGTTCTTGCTCAAGTCTGGTACCCTCACCACCTCCGAGACTGCCCACAACCTGAAGGTCATGAAGTTCTCTGTCTCCCCCGTTGTGCAGCGTTCCGTTGAGGTCAAGAACGCCCAGGATCTTCCCAAGCTGGTCGAGGGTCTTAAGCGCCTGTCTAAGTCTGACCCCTGTGTCCTGACCATGATTTCCGAGTCAGGTGAGCACATCGTCGCTGGTGCTGGTGAGCTTCACCTCGAAATTTGCTTGAAGGATCTCGAGGAAGACCACGCTGGTGTTCCCCTGCGTGTCTCCGACCCAGTCGTGTCTTACCGTGAAACCGTCACTGGCAAGTCCAGCATGACTGCCCTGTCTAAGTCGCCCAACAAGCACAACCGTCTATACGTCGTTGCTGAGCCCATTGAGGAGGAGGTTGCTCTTGCCATCGAGGCCGGCAAGATCAGCCCGCGTGACGATTTCAAGGTCCGTGCCCGTCTCATGGCTGACGAGTACGGCTGGGATGTCACGGACGCTCGTAAGATCTGGTGTTTCGGCCCCGACACCACCGGTGCCAACTTGCTTGTTGACCAGACCAAGGCCGTCCAGTACCTCAATGAAATCAAGGACTCCGTCGTCTCTGGTTTCCAGTGGGCCACTCGCGAGGGCCCCGTTGCCGAGGAGCCTATGCGTGCTATCCGCTTCAACATCCTTGATGTGACCCTGCACGCTGATGCCATCCATCGTGGTGGTGGTCAGATCATCCCCACTGCTCGTCGTGTCCTGTACGCCGCTTCATTGCTTGCCGAGCCCGGTCTCCTGGAGCCCATCTTCAACGTCGAGATCCAGGTGCCCGAGCAGGCTATGGGTGGTATCTACGGTGTCCTCACCCGCCGTCGTGGTCACGTCTACACTGAGGAGCAGCGCCCCGGTACTCCTCTGTTCAACGTCAAGGCCTACTTGCCTGTCAACGAGTCCTTCGGTTTCCCCAGTGACCTTCGTCAGGCCACCGGTGGCCAGGCTTTCCCTCAGTCTGTCTTCGACCATTGGGCTATCCTCCCTGGTGGCTCTCCTCTTGACCCCACCACCAAGCCTGGTCAGATCATTCTGGAGATGCGTAAGCGCAAGGGTCTCAAGGAGCAGGTTCCCGGATACGAGAACGTAAGTATTTTCAGATACCCGTATTTGACTACAATGAAACTAACGTATTGGAACAGTACTACGACAAGCTGTAAAAACGTTCTTTACGAACCGCGTAGGGGTCAAATCGGTCATGTTTGGCATCCTATCTTTATGAGATTGACGAACGCAATACAATGTCTTTGTTAGGGTGCATGCCCGAGAACCAACACAAAAAAAAACAGACACAGCTTAATGTCGTATGTGGAAATTTCTCGATACCTAGAAGTAGTAGAATCCAGGAGTGCACGTGCATTTGCTATGCTTTTTCTTATCTTTTGTGATGTTAACGACTGAGGGCTTGTCTTTTCCGTATTCAATTGCTGTCCTAGTTGAAAGGCAAAAAAATAGTAGTTTTCAAGTTCAATGATGCATTCAGTTCGTTGCACTATGTAGGTCCCTGTAGATCAACTTGGGTGGTGTTTCGCATCAGTTCCAAGGCAGGCTCATTATGTGGTGGTGCACGTGACCCATCTTCTGTGTCGTTCGCGTTTCCCCAGCTTTGTGATCCGTAAGGCACTTTTTTTCTTGGAATACTATCCTCCATCACCTCGCTCACCACATGATGGCTTGATCAACACTAGATTTGATATTATCCTCGTCGCAGTATATTGTCCTCTGACATCAGCTCCCTCGTTCGAAGCGCACACAGTTCTAGGTCGAGTTGTGAAAGAATCAAGTTGAATTCTGCATCTGACCTCGATCATCCCGGAAGCCCCTGACAAAGTTTTCTTGCTTCGCGCTAGTTGTCTGCAGGGAATCCTTCACTGAGTACGAATATGCAGCTCTCAGAAGTGCAGGCGGAGGAGGTGAAGAAGTGGGTGATCAGGAAGCTAGAAGACATGTATGGCTCCTTTATGCTACATTATCCTACATGCGTTATTGGATCCCCCCCCCCCCCCCTTTTTTTTTTTTTAAAAAAAAAAAAAAAAAATTGTTTTTCGCTTGACCCTGTGCTAACTGACTCTCTGTGCGAATTGCAGATCTGATGCTGATTCTGATGTGCTTGCTGACTACGTACTGGCACTCATCCGCACGGATGCTCCAGATGAAGATATCAGGAAGGCCTCGGAGGAGAACTTGGAAGACTTTCTGAGGGAGCGTGGGTTGCCCAGGAATGAACCGTGTCATACGGCATTATGTGGGATAGAGATCTGACTAGTATTCTCGGGACTTAGATACTGCTCAATTTGTCAACGAGCTCTTCACTACATTCGCATCGAAAACACCCTCTGCGCCACAAGTTCAACCACCTCTACCTCATGATATGCCCAGCATTGCGGCAACTTCTACGCAATCGGTCCAGTTCAATCCGCCCTCGGGCCCTCCCAGAGGCACTTATGGACCTCAAGTGGATAATATTTCTCAATCACAAAGCGACGGTCCCAGCTTCAATCGCAAGCGTAGCTACCATGAAGGTTTCCACGCTGATCAAGAGCGCGATGATTTCCCTCACAACCGGACGTTCAAGACCCCGCGTCGAGGCCGTGGCGGTGGCAGGGGAGACTGGATGGGCAGAGATAGCCGTACCACGTCTGGTGTACCGGGGCTATTCCCCCCCACCGCGGGCGGGTTCCCCGTCATGCCTCCTGCGTTCCCTGCATTCGATCAAAATGACCCAATGGCAGCAATGATAGCGCTACAGGGCATGGGTTTCCCTCAGATGCCTGGAATGCCCCCGATACCTATGCCACCGGGTGCTCCCGGACAGCAGCCGGAGCAGATGGTGCCGAAAACCTCAGAGCGATGTCCATTCTACGAGACTCAGGGGATATGCTATCTAGGGGCCGCCTGCCCTTATCAGCATGATTCTATGCCTGGTATCTCGAAAGAGGATGGTATGCATTCTTCGCTTCTTTTTATACATGCTGTTGCTGACGACGTGCCGTGCATAGAATATGACCCGAAATCATCCAATATCGTGACAGACTTCCAAAGACGGAATACGGACTCTTCATTCCGCGGCGGCGACAGGGGTCGTGGCCGCGGTCGCGGAGACAGGGGCGGGTTTGGAGGTCGCGGACGTCGTTCAGAGCTCTCTGCTGCGGGACCTAACGATGATACTTCGATTACTACGATCGTGGTTGAACAAATCCCGGACGACAAGCTTGACGACGCAACCATCCGCGAGTTCTTTTCACAGTACGGTGAAATCGTCGAAGTCTCTCTGCAACCACACCGGCGACTTGCCTTGATTACATATGATAGCCATGCAGCTGCTAAGCGAGCCTGGTCCAGTCCCAAAGTCATATTCGATAACCGATTTGTCAAGGTGTATTGGCACAAGCCAAAGACGGAGCGGAATAATGAATCGCGGCCAGCTCATGTCGAGGCCTCTGCGGAAGAACCGGTCTTCGATCAAGAAGAATTCGAGAAGCAGCAGGAAGAGGCGCAAAAGGCCCATGACGAGAAGATGAGGAAACGCAAAGAGACTGAGCATGCCAAGCAAGCGTTGGAAAAGCAGCGAGAGGAGCTCTTGAAGAAACAAGAAGAAGAAAAAGACCGACTCATGCGAAGACTTGGCGCTAAGAACGTTAGCAATGGCGCAAAGCCTGAAAGCGATGAAATACAATCCACATCCGAAGACAACACCAGTGATCAGACTAAACAATTGCGCGCACAACTAGCGGCTCTGGAAGCAGAGGCGAAGACGCTCGGAATTGACCCCAGTAGTTCGGACTCAACCTCGTCTTTTGGCTACCGCGGCCGTGGTAGAGGAGCTTTCGGCAGAGGCGGCTATCCACCACGAGGTCGTGGATATGATCCCTCCTACCGTGGCGGTCGCGGACGAGGTGGCATGGCGCGTGGCCGAGGTGGTGTTCTTCGTCTCGACAATCGACCCAAAAGAATTGCCGTCTCCGGCGTGGATTTCAATAACGAGAAGGATGAAGCATTACGGCAGTTCCTGATTGTGAGTATACATCTATATCTACTCTTTAAAAACATTCACTAACATGATTCCTCTCAGGGCATCGGGGAATACGAATCGATTGAGCCCCATCCCGAGGAGTCTAGTTCTCTCATTGTAGCGTTCAAAGAGCGCTACGTCGCAGAGAAATTCATGTTCGGATCCTGGAAGATTCCTTCCGTCGGCGAGGTTCAACTCACCTGGGTCCCCAATCCTCCCATTTCCACCCTGTCTACAACTTCGGGTCCCGGGTCAGAGACGAAAGCGACTCCCGACGAAGATACCATGATGGACTCGACCACGTCTCCACCTGCCCAGTCAACAAAACAGAAAGACGGAAATAATAACCACGAAGTAGACTATGATGTCGCAGAGGTGGATGATAACTGGGGCGTGGAGTAACATATCGATAGGATAGGATAGGATAGGATAGGAACTGGTTGAATATTTCTTTTTCTTTCTTTTCCTTCCTTTCACTTGTCCCTTTTTCTTCCTGCATGTCTATGGATATAATGTACTAGCTCTCATTACTTTGACCAAAATTTGAAAGACCAGAAAAGGAAAAAAAAAAAAAAAAAAAACTAGATCCTTTCTAGAATTCTTTCCCCTCTTCGATCTTCTGCCGGTTTTAATCATCCTTGGTTTTTGTCTTTATATCTTGATTGATTACGTTCCTAAATCAAGCATAGAATCATTTATACGACATATGTCATTTGAAATAACTGGATGACATGTATATACACAGAGACTAGAGTGATCAACTTCTACCACATTCTAATAGAGAACCCGTGACAATATCTACTATTTCTGCAAATTCTGAGGAATAAGTTCTACGATATATCCATCCTACATGAGCATTAGACATTAAATTCGTCCATACAAGGGAGGGGGGAGGGATATATGATACGATATAACATACCGGATCAGCCACATAAGCAATCTGATCAACTAATTTCTTATAATTAGGATGCAGCTCACCGATCCCGATCCCGCGCTCGGCCTCCCACTCGCTTAGGGGCACGCTCTCCCGCGAACTATCGCCTAGTTCCTTGATCACTGGGACGCCGTTGCTTCTCAGTCGGGCGACTGTCGCTGCGACGTCTGGGACGGTGAATCCGACATGTCCGAATCCCAGATGCGGAGGGATATTGCCGTTGGAGATCTCAAAGTCCGGGGCACTCTCAGTGCCATGGATATGGAATAATTCCAGCAGACCGAGGGTCTGGGTGATAGGGACCTTGGAGGCCCAAGTGGGGAGGTCGGCGCGGTCTGCTTCGGTGGTTGGGTATCCAAGATAGTAGAGAGTGAAAGGACCAGCGTTCATGGTAAAGACAGTGCGCATGCCCATAAGATCGATGTAGAAATGAAGAGTCCGTTTGGGGTCGCGGATACGGAGCATCAGATGATTGAGTTTGTAGTTGACCGTGGGGCTATTCTCTGGGAGCGGGGGATCGGTGTTGTGTCCGCCACGGAGCATCGTGCCTTCTTCGAAAGGTGAAGGAGAGGTGGTGCTGTCAGCGATGTCTTTGGTGGCCATATTTTCTGGTTTCCGGCTGGAGGGTAAGGAAATAGAAAAATGTAGAAATGTAGAAGTGGATTAATTCTGGGGGAGCATTTCTGCTGGTAATCAAACTATATTGCCTAGGATCTCCACATCGAAGGGCACCATCATGTCCATTCTAAGACAAGACCCTTATGAGTTTTCAAAATGCAAATTCAAACCAACCGCTCATTGCTATAATCCAAAAGTGACCAAAAAAAAAAAAAAATAATCAGTGCCAAACAGTGTAGAAAGGATCTTTGAACGCCAAAATGTACTATCCCCAACGCATGCAGTCGTCATAAAAATGGGCGTTATATATGTTGGACATAACTATGCAAGGTGCCAGAAATAACATCACAAAGACGACGTGAAACCAAAAAGCAATGAATGTTGTGCGATACTCTAGAAGACCAAGGCCATTCGGCCTGATAACAGCTTAGGACGTAGAAGACTCCCCTTGTCTTGCAGAACTGTCATTAGACATCGAACTCGTGTTGAGACGGTTTGAGAGATTAGACGTGAACTGCTTCTCATCGTCACTATCGCTGTCCATCTGGTCTAGAATGCGATCTATCTCGTCACCAGCCTGCGCTTCCAGGCCCAAACGCGAACTGCGCTCTTGAGAATCGGACGGTTCAAGTTCATCTTTAATACAAGGAGCCTGACACCATTTAGAGCTGGATATGGAATCTATCGAGTTACTAATACTGCTGTGTATCAGACTCTTCTGAGGCTGGGAACTTTGGGAGTTGGAATGGTAACCCGAGTTTCCCGGGCTGGACATGAAAAGCAACGTCTCAATGGCATCTTGTTCCATCGAAGAATTTTGCGACTGACCATGCCGACTGGATACGGCATCATAAGGAGTAGAGGTGGTATGAGATGACGGTCGAAGAGGTGGTGTTCCAGGTACCAAGACAGTTCCCGAATTGATGGCCGGCCTTGAGACACTAGATTCTTGCTGCGAATGATGTCTTCGATGAAGGGGGAAATGGGAATGTCGTGGTTGTTGTAGGGTTTCATTCGGGTTTGGCCGTCTTCGTCGAGTGCTGTTACTCGAAATGATGTCTGCGGGCGGTGCAAGTTTTGGCGCAGCGGCCGTTGAACTGTGGGATTTTAATCGTTCACCTTGCAGCGCGAGAGGGGTTGATGCATCCGACCGGACTATTGGCGATGCCCGCAAAGGATCTTTTATAAACTGGAAGTCTGGTGCAGACACGGTCGTGCCGTCTGGTGAATTTATATCCATCGCTTGAGCATCGTCGGGGGAGGGACAAAGCCCTATTCGTCTCAATGAGTCTACACTCGATATTTGGGATAATGCACCACTGTGTAGGAGCTCCAATGGCAATTGGTTTTGAGCATTGTGGGACTGACGGTTTTTCTCGATTTTGGCTGCGGCGTAGGAGAGACGCGTACGAAGATGTACGGACAACTAAGATAACATCAGCAATCTAGAAAATAAGCCCACCAGTCAGACTATGGTATCATTTACCGCCGCTATCCTGCTCCCACGTGAAACGGAGCCGATGCTTCGAGAACGACGCCTTTCGGTGCCGTTTTGGTCTAGATAATGAGGATCTTGCGGGTTGGCTGCAGGTTTGACCACGCCTGTTGCGGTCCGCTTCTGGCCTAGTAGCAATTTAGACGGACTCTCAGATCCTGGGGTGTCATTTTGTGTATCTGGGTTCAATGCGACTGTCTTTTCATCTATTTTTCCAAGGTTGCTAGCTCCTGTAGACTCGGGCTGCATTGGTGGTTGCAAAAGAGAACCACGTTGCGCCGTTGTACAATTCGACGAGTCCAGCTCTTGCGACTGAGGAACAAGCACTATAGATGATGCTGAACTTGTAGTTTCGCTATGGTTCTTATGGGACGAATTCGCAGGTTCTGTCTCTGTTCGCGCGTCCAATGGTGATACTGGATGATGGGTAGCAGGTATTATATTGCGCTCTACAGTGTTGTAGAAGTCGTGCGAGGAGGCGGCCCGTCCATTCTCACGAGCCGCCGCGACAGGATACTGAGAACCCAACTGTGATTGTGCTTGCGGCACGTGTTGGCGCTCATTTAAGTGCGGCGATCCGCCCATTGTAGTCGAAGGCAACGGAAACTCCCGCACGCGGCTGTCTACCTAGAGAGATGGCGGTTAGCTCCCCAGCAAGAGACAGTTTGGTCCGCTACCTGTCAGATACCGACTCTACTCGCCTCTCAAAGGAGCGGGAGAAAAAGGGTTTACTTGAAACAAATGAGTCCAGCTCTGCCTGGGAGCGGCGTCTCGAGGATCCCCAGTCCCAAGCGGGCACGAATGAATGATCTAATCACCGCCCGGATAGATGGGTGGTTGGCGCGGGAATGTCCGAGACGGAGCTGTCAAGCGCCTCCCAGCCCACTGGGCGATTGAATCGGCACGAACTTTCGATCTTAAAAACTCCGTGTTGCAGATGGCTGTAAGGAGTGCCTTGCCCAAATTTACACGCGCAATGCGTGGCCAACGGTAGGCTACACGGCACAAGCACGTTCTTTCTTGGTCTCCACACGGGGCTCTCAAGCTCGACACCTCGCCAATCGATTTGAGAACACGCGGGAATCGAAGGACAGAAATTGCCAGAGGCACACAATGATAGATAATAGCCTACATGGAGGACGGATGCTGGACGAGCGAAGGTGCTCTTTGCGTTCAGACGACCCAAGCTGTCGACCCAGTTATAACTCGTGACGCGTGCGCGGCGCGATCACGTGTTAGCGCCTGAGCCGTCAGGCAGTGATTTCAGGCAGTCCAGCAGCACGGCACCCATCCGATAATAGTAGATACACTATAAAGTCTCGAGAAGCGAATAGCCAAAAATCAGCGGCGATACCGCCCAGTATATTCAACGCCATCCACCATGCAACTCATACATAGATACATATGGACACTATTAATAGAATAACAACTTTTTGCCAGCAAATGAGGGAAAGCGTGGTGGCTATGCAAACCGAGGAGCTTAAGATCACCGCCGTTTCTTCCCTCCACCACCGTCCTCGCCTTGGTTCTTGCGCTTCTTGCCCTCACGTCGCCAGTAATCATCACGCTCCCTCTTCTCGCGCTCCGACTTCTTCTCCAGGCTGTCCGCAACCTTGGCACGATGCACCTGGCGCCGCTCTTCCTGCTTCGCAGCCCGCCGAGCTTGCTTATCATTTCGCAGTGTAGTGAGCTTCTGCATAAGGTCTCGCGCCTTCTTCTCTTCGCCTCCAAGAACCACAGCGCGCTTTTGCATATATGTCTTTTCCTTGTGTCCCCGCATCTTGGTGATCTGCGATTTGAAGGGTAGATCTGCGGCTAGCTGCCGTGGCACCCGAAGAGGATTGAAATGGCGTGTGGGCCGTTCAATAGGACGGTAGGCTGAGTCCTTGTTCATTGGGGTTGGAATGCCTTGTTCACGACGGACTTCACCGGTGAGGCGCATTCCCTGCCATCCACTATCACTGGACCCCTCTCGTGTGTCCAGGTCGAGCAAGTTGGTCACTGGGTTATAGAATCGATGCGGCTTGATCGGATACCAAGCCCGTAAGAAGACAATGTCACTCATGAGGATCTTATCCTCAAACGTTGCACGGAAGCACCCTTCTGGTTTGCTGAGGGCACGCTTGATCTGACCGCGAATGCCAGATACAGTCCGAATTGCGGCTCCTTCGAATTTGGCGATTTCAAGAGAAGAATTGAACATCTCTTTGATGAACGCGGTGTTCTTGAAGATTTTGTATGGTACACCCGTCAGCTTCAGCTTCTTGACGATATCAGTATGCTCATCCACGCTCAATACTGTTCCCGTAGCTGCAATGCGGAAACCGGGTGTTTTGTTTGAAAAGGACTGCACGCAGCAGAAAGGAGTGTTTGGTGCGACAAGAGGGCCGTAGAAGGTACCGAAGCAGTGCATGTGTTCAGGGGTGTATTTAAGCATGCGGTTTCGTGTTCGACTGTCCGACGTGCTGTAAATGGGCAGGGATTGGAACCGACGCCAACCAAGTGAGAAGATCAACGGATCGTTAGTCTTTAAAATCTTCTTGTGCCAGCGATGCCTTTTGATGCGCATCTGCACATAGCCAAACCGGTCTTCAGTTGGTGCCAGTCCACCAACAATAACTGGATAGCGAGGGTTAAATTTCGTGGCAAACTCGCAAGGGACATTCTCAAGGACGATACGCGCATATGTACCGGCTTTGAAGCCCTCTGCTCTAGCCCGAGAGGCTGGGTCCAGAGTATCGAATTCGGCACGATTGATGTCCTGTTGCTTTTGTAGTTTGGCTTTCTGTGCATCGTACCATTCGTCCTCGCCAAACTCCTCTTCGCCACCGCCGTCCTGCCGGGAGTTATCCTTGGAGTTAGCGAATCCTTCTCGATCTTCCTCCTCAAAGCGCAACCTCAGTTCTTCCTTCTTTTTTGCATTACGCTCACGCTCAGCTTCAAGATCAGCTGGACCTTCATTCTCCTTGGTATCGGATTCGCGGTCAGAATCATCTTTGATTCCATTGAACATCTCTCCCGTCTCCAAATCTTCGAATTCCCCATCACCTTCATCATCCTCATCAAAATCATCGTCAACATTAGAGTCATCATCCCTATTGCCTGACAGATGGGCGGTAGCAAACCGGCTGCGTATCGATTCTATCATATCTTCTTCTTGCCACTTCTGCTCCAACTCCTCGTAGTCAAACTCAGGGATAGCACGAAATTCGGATTGCTCTTCCTTCTCGGCATCAGTCTTCTTGAAAAATGCATCCCCTTCATCATCAGGTTCTTCTTCTTCCTCGTCCTCATTGTCTTTCCCCGACCATCTTAGCGCTACGTCCGCGGGATCAATGGACTCGTCGTACATCATGCGGGATAGATCAGTGATTCGGTATTTCGGTCTATTAGCGTGAAGGGCCTTGATGTTGGCTGCCATGTTCTCCTTCCATCGGAGCGTTCCATCATCATCATCTTCCATATCCTCGTCATCTTCATCACTTTCCAGTTCTTGGTCTTCAACAGACGATATGGAGCCGAGATCAGAGTCACTGTCAGCAAATGCGATATCTTCTTTACTCTCACGGCTTTTGCCATCCTGTCTTTCCTTGAAACTTGCTTCGAAGTCTGCCGGGGCGGAGACGTCAAGGTCTTCCTCATCGCTGGCACCGTCGACCTCGTCATCGTCCATTTCATCGTCATTGTCCTCTGCGCTTTCGAAACCTTCGTCATCTTCTTGCGGTGCATCCTCTCCATCCATGAATCTCACATTTCGTCTATGTTTTCTTCCCGCGGAGCCATCTTCGTCATCCGCTTTTGCTATCGGCTCGCCACCACTGAACAGACGGACACCACCATCTGTCTGACCGAGCAATTTTCGCTCACCCTGCAAGCCAACGACCAATTGCTCCCCTAGGCCACGATCTTCATTTCCGCTGTCGTCTTCATCACGTTCGAAATTAGATGTCTTAACATTGATATAAACAGCATCTTTGTCGACCAACACGCCACCAACATCAGACATTGGTGCAAATAAAAGTTTCTGTTTTTCACCCAGCCTGCGTTTGCTTGCCTTGCCCGCAGATTTGGCTAACTGTTGATCCATGTAAGGTGTAGGGCAAGGATCTGGAAGACTCTCAATACCTGAGACGGTTAAATCACCTACTCCAGGAACATGCACCCTCGCTCCTTGGGCGGGGAAGTTGGTGCCCCTGAGATACCCATAGAGAGCTATAGTCCGATCGCATTTTGGATTCTCTTCAATATCAGTTGGGAGCGTAATATCCAGGAATCGGTCTGCAAGGGCGTATGGATGAGAGTTGCGCCAGATCAACGGCCGAGGGTTCTTCATAACGGACAAAAAGCGGGACAAATTATGCACCTCACGATCAGGGTAACGGCCGTTGACCACACCGGAGAGATAGAAGAGTTTGGCGCCATTGTATAGCTCACTCCAGAAACGGTGCTTAAGGCGCTTCTTTGCAGCTCGCAAGGTACTTTGCTTCTTGAAAAGGTCCAGATGGGTTAGGATTCCGAAAACATTTCCCGGCATACCACTCGAGGCCAAGACGTTGAGAAACTCCATAGTCTCCATTTCAAATCCATAGTTGCCGTCGATCATCAGCAGCACAATATCTGCGATTTTGGCTACATCGATCATGCTAGCAAGAGAATCGGAAGGACATTCAATGATTGTAAGTCGGCGTCTTTTCGACGTTACGATCGTTAAAGGTCCATTGGGTGAGCTAAGCGTCTGTTTGGTGTAACGGCGAATCAAGGATTTAATAAGCGTCGTCTTTCCAACCTAGATACGGCAAGTCCTCTGTCAGTCATCGCTCTTCGTACTATCTGGAACACTGAACTCGAAAAATAATTTGAAACTTACCCCTGGTGGTCCAACCACTGCAACGACCAGCGGAGGAGCCTCCTCAGGCAACCGATCTACCAAAGGCACATGCAGTCTTTTCTCCTTAATCTGTAATAGAGCAACCCAATCAGCTCACAGGTCACCAAGAGCGAGACTAAAAGATATGGAGTATAGAGTATGCATACATCATGCGACCGCGCGCCTTGTCTGTTTCCTTTTCCAGGATTTGAATACGCGAAAGCCTTTGGGTTTGCACCTAGAATAAGAAAAATGGCAAGTCAGCATGGGATAATAGGACAAGAATGAACAGAGGGAGGGAAAGAAGATATGCACATACCATCGTACTTCTTCTTCTCCTTCGAGGGCCGATGTGCCCTGTTTGGATGTTGTTCCATTGTGGAGAAAAGAGGTCAAGGACCTCTGGAGAAATCCTTTCTTTGCGTATGAAAGAAAGGACTTACCGCAGACTCAGATGGCAATTTGTGAGCTGCTTCTGGCTGCTAGCTTGCTCGGTCCAAAATTATTATTTCCATTTTCTTCATCGGCGGGAGACTTAATCCGTGCCGGTCCCCAAAAAAAAAAAATAAAAAGGGTTTTGCGCATTGCTCTTGATTCCTGAGGCACCAACCAACTATACGAACCTACTATGTATAAGTTCTTATCAGCCGGCATGTTTTCCGGTCCGGCGATACAAGATTGGGACGTCACTCTAGGGCACCGGTCCAATCAAAGCGTTAAGCGGCGATAACAGCCTATCACGAATCCTTTTAAGACTTGGGAAGTCATGACAGAAGGCTCTGGAGATTGGAAAAAGCGGGGCATATACTATGGCGTTCTTAACGATAGTTAGTATATTACAAATGCCATCGGAAGGAAGCCGACAATGGCATCCGGTATTAAGCACCAAGCACCCTCTCCGTCAAGAGCCTTCGTCATTTCCCTACCACGTTGCAGCATCCATTCTATTCACATTTTTATACTGGCAGATACATCAACATGACTAGGCTCCATCGACCTCCCCCGGCATATAAAGCCCCGAAGGACTCAACAGTCCACGGCACTACCCAAATTTACAGATCTATCTCCGAAACAGCTTCGGACGCCTCTAAACGCACACTGGAGACTTCTTTCACTATCCGTCCATGCTCTGCCCAAGCTTGGGTTGTACCAGCCGGTCACATCTGCCGTCTCACTACTCCCAGAGGCCCTCAGGTAGGAGATTTAAATATCTGGAACGCGCAAAACGCCCGTGAGAGGTTCTGGGCTTCTCGCACACGCCAGATCCACGCGTCTCATGTATCTGTTGGCGACCGTCTCTGGTCCAACCTTCCCTATCTCCGCCCACTCGTAACAATCACGGGAGACTCGCTGGCTGGCGGACAGCTCCATGAGCTGGTAGATGAAGATGGAACCCAGAAATCAACCTTCGGGCCAACGCAGTTTGGGGGACGATGTCATGATCTTTTGGGAACTCGCTGTGATCCCTATGTGAACCTGCTCATGGGCGGGGAGTCGTATGACTTCCACTGCCATTCGAATCTTACGCGCGCAGTGATGCCATTTGGGCTGACTGAGCTTGATGTGCATGACGTTATCAATGTCTTCCAGGTGACTGGCCTGGATGAAGAGGGAAAATATTTCATGGAGGCTTCACCGGCCAAGCCTGGCGAATACTTTGAATTCTTTGCCGAGGTCGATGTTCTGTGTGCACTTTCAGCTTGTCCTGGGGGTACGTGTCTTCCCCTCACATCATGGAGATCGCAAAAAAAAAAAAAAAAAAAAGAAGAAAAGGCTAACAGTAGTTTCCAGGCGACCTTTCCAATTGGAGCTGGGAGGAAAAGGAGGAGAGCATGGGCGCTACCACTCGCCCTCTCGGAGTGGAAGTGTACAAGTTGACTGATCCTCAGGTTTTGGCGGGATGGAAACAGCCAAAAAGTCCTAAATATACAGGTATGCATGGACTGAAAATGCCACCACGTGAAGACGATGGGTCCAATTATGTTGGGTTGTAGTACCCAGTGACGGACATGCAAATAAATAAAAAAAGAAGAGAGGGCAATGCAGGGGTAATGATGTCCATGAGGAGCACAAATATATCAAATATCAAGTAGACACCGAAGAAGCTTTTTATTTATTACTTAAAACGGCCATTTTCTTGTTCATGACAGTCTGTTGTTGTCAGCGCTGAAGTGACGAAATATCATAGCGGCGTAGTTGCTGCTGCAGATGTAATAAGGCACGGCCGCTGCCTATCGCGGGAAGTCCTGGCGCTGGACTCCCTGGTGGTGATATGTACGCGATGGGACGCGCCGGGTTTAGTTCAAGAAGCCACCATGTGTTGCATATCATGGAAATAACGGAATCGGTGCGGGGGCGTCAGCGCAGCGATGTCACTACTCCATTTATGGGCTTGAGCCTGCATGATTTCCTAACTTATTAGCAAGCAAGCGATATACTTGGTGTCTACAGCAAGATAAATGGAGTAAAACAAATCTCACGAGCCTCTTGCACCTTTTGGCATGTCTTCCAGAAGCCAAAACGCGGACGTGCAAATACAGAACTAGGCAACGCGCGCAATCAGAACAGGCGATATTAGCTGTATCGCTAGACATGTAGAAGGTAGAGGGTTGAATCACTAAGGTCACGAACGGTAGAACACTGAGACAGGCTGGAAAACACGTGACAGTGATTAGTACTAGAGAAAGTGGTCAGGTGACCAGGCCCCACTATTTGCAAAATATACTGCTGCTACGCTCCACAATTAGATGCACTGGAATGTGTTTCGGCCATATCGATGTATCAGGCTTGGACAAGGAAGTTACCTTCTCATAGGAATGATGCAATAAAAGAAATAAAAAAGAAAAATTGTTGGCTATATCATGATGGAGGTGTTAGCTCGAACTTCCAGGAGAATTGATCTACGATGAGCCATACTAGCTATGCTTCACGTGACTGCCCCGCGCTGGATATCGTCATCGGCTCCCTTTCCCCACTTCTTCACTTCCTGCATGGACATGTCATGCCGCATTGATCCGGGAAGTAATGTTAGTAGACCTACGGAGTAGAGATAGGCTTCTGCACTTGTGTCTATGTTATGCATACCACGCACTGCCATAAGCAAGTGGGGTGTAAAGTATGAAACAAACTCGGTTAGGGCAGCAAACCTGTGAAAGTTCATGGTGCAGCACTAGGTTATGTGGTAGCAATATTCTAACCCGGTAATCAGGGTGCCTTCAAAAGTAAGTGACTTCGAGTGGCAGCGCCATGCGAGGAACCGTATCCAACCACATTGGCAATTGGATGGCCTAGATGGTGCGATTCAAGGAATTTATGATCCTAGGGTCCTCGGTCAACGGCCACGTTTCCCCTCCCATTTTATCCTATCATCGGTGGCTGCATTTGCTTATCGGCTGTGGCACGCCTCACCCCGCGCAAAGTGGTATAAATCCTCTTTAGTCCCACCCGCTTCAAACCTTACCCCTTCCAAATTCAACGTCCAACTTTCTCAATTACCGTGTCCATTTCCCCCTACCTTTCCACACATCCATCATTCCCGGATTTGAAGATACAACACAGGCAAAATGCCGGTCTACAACGTTCGTGGTGCCTTTGTTGACTATCACGCGTTAGGGTCATCCTTTAACAGTTGTTTGCAGGTCACACTGAAGAAGGACTCTCCACCTGAGCATTTAGCTAAGTGAGGCGCCACTCTCCTCTCCTTTTCTCCTTCTTCCCTTCTCTGTGCTACGAAAGAAATACTTACACGGAACTTATTTTTGCCTTAGGGCTAAGGAGCAGGTGAAAAAGGAAGGGGGTACCATCAAGCACGAGTATACTCTCATCAAAGGTTTCACGTAAGGCAGCTGTCATATTCCCTGGAGACTTCCAAGGCACCGTCATTGGGAATTCCAGTCCAGCTGACCCCACTTAGCGCCGAATACGAAGAGGGTGCGGTCAGAACCCTTGAGACAAATGATCACGTTCATGTCGAGCAAGATGGCGAAGTGAAAATCTAGTGGTAGAGCTTGTACAAGTTTTCTATGGGAAACAACAGCCTAGCAACCGACAGCCATCAAGCGTGGCTTAGAATCAAGGCATCAACACACACGGAGGTGCATCATGGAACACAGGTTACGAATATTCTATTGCTGTATGACCAGAGATTGCCATATGTGAACTGAGCCTGCTGTGCAGAGAGCTTAGTGAACGGAGAGAAAATCTCATGATAAATTATAATTTCTTCCAGTACTATATAACAATATCATCTAAACTTGGAGTGCTGTCTTCTTCCTATATCATCACTCCATCAAAATTAGTAATAATGAAAGGATGATGTCTATTCACATTGCCTTAGGTGTTACCAACCAACTCAACTAAAACATATTAGGCAACTAGCTGCGATGAGCAATGCCAAGGTAAACTTCCATAATGATAACTAAAGATTTTCGACTCTTATTTTCCTTAATAAGTATTTTGTTGTTTTCTTTTTCTTTTTCATTTTTTTGGCAACATTCAAGGAGCCTGTATTCGAACACAGCCCAGTGAGATACCAACCCCTCGATCTGCTGCCTAAATAATTGCCCATCTGGGATTGGTGTTCACGTGAGACTTCCTCTTCTGGAATAAAGCTCTGGAACCATTCGGCAGGAAAGACGAGCTTTATCATGACTCGATGCTACATACTAGGTGCGTCGCAGGATGGCTAGTGTTTACTATGGCCATAAAAAGGGCTCTTACGCGGACCGCGAGGCACGGCCTTCGACGTAACTGCCTTCCTTGTTTATCATCTATTACTCATCTCCAACGCCCGTTCTCTGTGTCACCGCTCCCCAAGGTCCCCTCTGAACAGCCCGTAACTTATGGAGCGAAGGATGAAGTTGCACGTCTGGCGGCCAGTCGACGCCGACCGTTAACTCTAGCAGACTTGCTGAAGTGAGACTCCAAAGAACTGCCCCTCCTGAGCTTTGCCATGCAGCAAGTACTAATTCCGATATCCTAGACATGGTCGCCCGCCTTTGTCTGATGAAGCTCTTCTCGCGTCCGCAAACTATACCCTCTCTCTCCTTCCCGCACGCTTAGCATCTCGAATTGAAGCCCTGCGAAATCTGTCGTTTATTGTTGTGTCAAACCCACATATCTCCAAAATCTACAACAACTATCTTCACTCCCTCTCGACCCTTCTGCCCTACCAACAGCGACAGGTCACAACCCTGGAAGAAGAAACCAGTTTGCCGAGGTGCTGGCCGATCTCGTTCACACACATACCAATACAATACCCATACTTGCACGCGGCTTCCTGGAGTGTCGCAGATACGTCGACCCTGTGGAAGTGACTCGATTTTTGGATACCCACTTGCGCGCGAGAATTGGTACAAGATTGATAGCCGAGCAACACCTGGCACTTCATTTCGCTTCTCAACCTGTCAGCAGTGCCGATACCAGAGCCCAACAGGCGTCAAAAAGCACCACCCCCTCTAACTACATCGGGGTCATTGACACTGCTCTGCAACCCGCACGCATTGTGAAACTATGCGAGGACTTTGTAGGGGAAATCTGCGAACTGAAATATGGCATCCGACCTCGAGTAAAGATTGACGGCCAGCCAGATGCAACCTTCGCTTATGTTCCTGTCCACGTGGAATACATAATCACGGAATTGTTGAAGAACGCGTTCCGTGCTGTGGTTGAAGCTGGGAATGAACGTGAGCCCATCGAGGTCACCATTGTCGCTGCGCCTGATGTACCCCGACAACACGCTCGCGAACCATCTACCCCAGGAACTTCAACTCTAAACCCAGCCGCCCAGTTAGATACAGACGTGGGATTCCAGATGGACACGGTGGTCGGAACCGCGGACGCCAACGAATCGATCAAAATCTCCGCCCCTTCCGCCCAGAGTATCACGATCCGAATCCGCGACCGTGGACACGGGATCCCTCCGGAGATCTTGCCCAATATCTGGTCGTACAGTTTTACTACGTTTTCGGACCTCGATGTCCAGGGCTTGGAGAATGGAAATATGGATGCCTTCAACGCCATTTCCAGTAGTAGTGGGAACTTAAGCAGTATCGCCGGTCTAGGGTACGGATTGCCGTTGAGTAGAGCATACGCCGAATACTTCGGAGGCAGTATTGCTGTTCAGAGTCTATGGGGTTGGGGTACAGATGTTTATTTGACTCTTAAGGGAGTTGGGAAGATCTGAAGCAGACTGGATATATCCCTACGCTGTGATGGCATATTTCAATAGTAGTACTATGTAATGTCGAAATAGGAAGACAGTAAGTAGTAGATGCTGGATAGAACTGACTAGTCCAAATGACTTAATGTATCTACTCCACGTTCCATGTAGAATGAATTTCCTGGAAACGGGTTATCATTTCCTGGTTATCAAACCGTTCATCCCACATCCTACAATTGTTGGGTGCTCTTGTAGATGTGATGTTGATATTGATTAGGGAGGGTCGAGCTCGAGTAGACTTGCCTCCGAAGCTTCAGGTTCACTAGGGCGATGGGGAATGGTTTGTGACGTTGAAGAGTGACCTAGAGTCTCATATGTGTTTGTCGATTGCTATCGGGACATCTACGTGGTGTTGGGCTGGATAGTGATGTCTCACGTTAGAGAGCTTGATGATTGGATGATTGTATGCTAGGTGATAGAGATGAGACATACTGAGAACGCGAGTCACGGGTTGGGTCTGTGACTCCTCGTCTCGCAGCTCGACCATGCCGTTGACTCTCTGTGTTTCGTTGCCGTTTTCAGGATTATAGTGCGAGTCTTGAGTCATTAACTCTGGAGGAATTGAGCATCCGGGACTGTTGAGAGGAAGCCTAGGAAGAGCTGCCATTTTGCATTTTGGCCGCAAGAATGATAGAATTTAAAACGACGTTGATGATGTGGGCTGATAGAGCTGACCTCGTTGGAATGTGGAGGACTGCAGCTTCTATTCATTGATAGAAAACAAAGACACATTGTTATTGCTCGAAATATCGTCTGAACTATGATCCTCGACTACGACGCGAAACCAGTTGTTGATGGGTCGATGTCACCGCTGTCCAGTAACCCAACTGGAGCCCATCTCACAGGGCATGGAAACAGGCCACTATTCCATCTCTACATACATCGACTGCTGACGTATTATTCAACAGAAGATAGATAAATGAGTCAAATGATCGACGTTGATTGTGTACCATACATCATCGCAGTTTTGATGCCCTGTTGTTCACATACTCTCCAGCACCCTTTATTCGCATATAGACGGGCTTTGTGATGTCCGCGACGACATTGATTCTATGCCGCCGATTCCATCTTCAATCACGTACTGGTTTAGAGAATGCTGAAAAGTATATTTAAGGCTTGCAACGGAGGCACTCGATCAGAATTCGAGTAGGACTACTCGTTCGATACTGCATGTACTAACGATCTATAGTCATAGCCCCCTCGATAGAAGTTAGTGTGTGCGTCGGTAGATCTGATGCATATGGCCATGGATGAAACCAGTGGATGGTAAGCATCCCCGACCTTATCGATTATCGATTGCTGATAAGCATCCGATGCCGGCGATATCCTTATCTAGGCGCGCCGTAGATGCCACATGACCGTGCCGTTCATCCAAATTGGCAAATCCTAGGTAGTACATGCATGCCTATATCTTCCTTCTTACGTGGATCAAGTATCCTAAGTCTCTGTGTACCGTTCTTGGCCCTTTCGGACGGAGCGTGCTAACTCCAAACGGATGTGGGATCGAGTCAGAACACGGCTGGAGCTTCCTAAAGGATTTCGTCATTCTCCACACGCCCTGTGAATGACCAGCAGGCTCATCTAGCACGTAAATCCCGGTCTGAATTAGATAACAGAAACCCAGTGAAGGATACTACGTATTACACCGGCCCAATCCAGAAATGTACATCCTCTGGAAATTCAAATGATAGGTAGAGTAGCATACCAAGCGTTCATTCGGTGGCCCGCCGGAGTCGGCCCGTGGAACAAATAATTTAGTTGTGGTGGAGAAAGGAAGAGCAGCGTGACTCTCTTTGTCTGTGCTCTCCCTCAACCATTCTTTACTCTACTTCTATCCGCGATCTACCTTCATATTGAATTCTTTTATCATTGCCTTCATCAGTACAGTCAAGGTCAATTTTGGCGTAGTTTACAGCACCGAAGTCACTTAATCAAATCGCAATTCCAAACCGTTAGACTACGACAGACTGAGAAAATGCCTCCGGCTGCTATGGACACTGTGAATGGTACTGGCTCCGCCTCGGAGCCATTGACCGTCGAGGGTATCCCTGCCCTGAGAGCCAAGAGCGCACCTATTCCTAAGGGGGTTGCGCCTGCGACTAGTAGTGATATGTTCAAGAGCCCGGTAAGTCTCATGTGTTTGTGCGCGGGGATTGCCACTCCTGCCACGGTCAAAGAATGGATACTGACTCTGTCGTCGTTATAGATCTGCTACACCAAACCCAAAGCCAAGCGATGGGATCGTAAGTTCGACTATGATTTCATGTTCTGTGACGGATGCAATTTTTTCGGTAATTTGGCCCCAGGCAGCACTGTTAACTAGTATTTAGATCTTCTCTCCCTTGAAGCGAGATCACGAAATGTTGGTTTGGGTGAATCTGTATCTATAAGGTGTGGAAACTAACTTGCTTTGTGTGGTTAGATGTCAACGTTGAAGGGTGCGGCGCAGTATCTTAAGATCCCAGGTATTTAGGCTTCCTACATTGACAGAAGCGATTGAGTCTGAGCTGCTCACCGCCTAATATATAGGTCTGATTTCTCTGGGTGGAGGATTACCGTCTCCGGAATATTTCCCCTTCGAAGAACTCAGTGTCAAAGTACCCACGCCTCCAGGATTTTCCCCGGAAGAGACCCGTAAGTCTGGTACCGTCTTGCATGGAGGAAAGAGCGATATTCGCCAGGGAAAGAGTTTGTATGGTTAGTTGTGTTATGGAGTCATTTATTCGGCTACTGGCTGCTAACTTTCACTAGATTTGGAAATTGCTCTTAATTATGGCCAGGCCACTGGATCACCTCAGCTGCTCAGATTTGTTACAGAACACACTGAGGTATGATATATGAGACAAGCGGATGAGCGTTGGCTAATTCCGAATAGCTTATCCACAAACCCCCATATGCTGATTGGCAATGTTGCTTGACTGCAGGCAGCACGTTTGCGTGGGATACTGCACTGCGATTATTCTGTGAGCGAGGTGACTATATCCTCATGGAGGAATATACCTTCTCTAGTGCGCAAGAAACCGCAACTCCTTTGGGGGTCAAAGTAGCGCCGATCCAGATGGACGAGCAAGGCCTTTTGCCCGAGTCCCTCGACGAGCTTCTCAGCAACTGGGATGAAGCTGCGCGTGGTGCTCGCAAGCCGTTCGTGCTTTACACGATTCCCACCGGACAAAACCCTACTGGGGCCACTCAATTGATAGAAAGGCGCAAAGAAGTCTACAAGGTCGCGCAGAAGCATGATGTTTACATCGTGGAAGATGAGCCCTATTACTTCCTTCAGATGCAGCCATACACTGGGGCTGATGCCGAGCCTGTTCCCCCTCCCGCGAATCACGATGAGTTCGTCAAGTCTCTCATCCCTTCTTATTTGAGTTTGGATGTGGATGGTCGTGTGCTTCGTCTCGAGTCCTTCTCCAAGGTCATTGCTCCGGGATCACGAGTTGGATGGGTGGTTGGTTCCGAGCAAATTGTCGAACGATTTACCCGTACCTGTGAGAACTCCTCTCAAAACCCTAGTGGCATTTCCCAGCTCGTGCTCTTCAAGCTCCTGGAAGAACAGTGGGGTCACTCGGGATATCTCGACTGGTTGATCAACCTGCGGTTGGAGTACACTGGTCGTAGAGATTCCATCGTTCGGGCCTGCGAGAAGCATCTGCCCCGGGAAGTTGCCAGCTGGAACCCTCCCGCGGCTGGGATGTTCGTAAGTTAACATTTTTCTTCTTTCTTTTCTTTCTTTCTTTCTTTCTTTCTTTCTTTCTTTCTTTCTTTCTTTCTTTCTTTCTTTTTTTTTTTTTTTTTTTGTTCCTTCTGTAAACCTCACAAAGTCATGGACTAACGATAACAGCACTGGATTGAGATCGACTGGCAAAAACACCCCGGGCTGTCTTTCGGCAAGTCTCGGCAGGAGATTGAAGAAGATATCTTCCAAGCAGCCATTAGCAACAATGTTCTTATTTCTCGGGGTAGTTGGTTCACGGCGGGCGGTTTGAGCCAGGGGAAGATGTTCTTCCGTGCTACCTTTGCGGCGGCCAGCTCGAGCAATATTGAGGAGGCGATTGCACGGTTTGGAACCGCCCTGCGGGCTCAGTTTTCTCTCTAATACTTCGGCAATAATGGATAGATAGTACATATTCTCAGATTCATGATATAGATGACTTAGGCATACTGTTTTGAGCAATCATCACTTTCTTCCTTGTAGAGTATGCAATGTTAAAAAAGCGGATATATTCAAAAAATAGCTATACGATAGTAGGTACCTTGGGCCTCATCCTTGGGAAGTCTAGAAAGGCCATGCACCCAGGATGTCCGACTACGCTGATGGGTTGGACAAAGATATACTTTTCCCGTGGGCTATGTCTTAGCAGGAAAACAGACTATTCACCAAGGCTTATCTCGATTGATAGGAGGACGAGAGACGCTACAAGGATTGTGTTGGAGCAGTTGCTTAACCTCTGGTCGACATGGCGCTAAGGTCATCTTTGGGCTGATACAAGGATCTCTACGACATCATGATATCCATCCCATTGATTCTCTCGAACCCCTATCACTGTCTCTGTAGAAGCTGATGTAGAATGGCGTTACCGAACATACCCTTGATTCTATCGCCATGGACGTCGGATCCAGACTGGGTTATTAGTCTCGAGAAGGCCAGTCCAGAAATCCAAGTCCACAGCGCGGTATTGATGATACCGTGCACGTGGACGAAGTCCCAAAAGATATACCCTCTGAGATATACGAGCAACTTACTGTTCTTTTCACCTGGAAAGTGGGTGGCGCCGAATCTGCAATATCAACTCTCTGGTGCTGGGTGCGAGCAGCTCTTTGGACCGCGTCGATATTCGACGAGACGAACATTGCGCTTTGCGCAGCGAATAGGGTGCATCGGTGAGTGTCACGGCCGTTCATTTATATATGATTCTTGGTTTGCTAAGAGCGAGCCTGGGGTCTAGGCCTCAGATTGCGGAATAGGTGTTCTCCACATTTCTGGCTTATCGGCACCATCGTGAGAAGTACTCCATCCTCACGGACTTGGAGATATGCTAATCTGACCTGGAAGTCCCGGAGTGTCTGAAAACCAGAAACTCGGGAAATGGGTTGGTCATAAGTCGGATGAGGATGTCGAGGATGCAGTTTGGATTGAGGGTGCATGTATTTTTTTTTTATTTTTTTTTTTGTTCTTCTCACTTCTCACCTATTCTTTTACATTCCTGTACTTATAGTAACATTGCTGACTCCTTGCAACGTGAAATCCTGGGGTATGGCAGCATTGGCCGCCAATGTGGAAGGGTCGTGAAGGCATTCCGCATAGAGGTCTACGCATATACTCTTCAAGAACTAGCCACTGCCGAGTCTCGAAGAGATGACTCTTTCTCTGAGCCAGGTCTTGGGGACCCTGAGGGAGTATTCCCGATGAAGTGGTACAACGGCCAAGACCAGCTGAGCGCCTTCCTTGCTTCTGGCCTCGACTCTTGTCATCACGCTTCCCTTAATAAAAAGCACAAAGGGAATGATTTCAAAAGACCAGTTTACGCCCCTCGGCAAGAAGAAAGGCCTACATTAGCAATGTCGATAGGGGCGCCATTATTAACACTGGAGATCTTATCACTGCCTTCGATGAGAATCAAATTAAGGTCACTGCTTTGAATATGACGGAACCAGAGCCACTGCCCGTGTGTACTTACAAAAACGTCCTCATCACTCCGTATTGCAGCGGCCACTCGAACCACTACAACGGGCGCGCTCGTAAAATACTAGAGTGTTAATTAAGCAGCTGAATCCGAGGCGAGGGAGTTATCAGCTAATTCAGCAGGGCTCTGCGATATTAGAAGTATATGTATGTAGAAGAACAGGACATCGTCATTCTGACTATTGGGCTAAGAATTGTTTGGAAAAAGCCTCCGCTGGTGAAGCAGGATATAGTATCCCTAATAAGGTATAGCGGCCTCCATCAACGGATCCGTAAAAACAATTTCCCGGTGACTATCAGCAGCCACGTGATGGAGCTTGCTTTGTCTCGTTTGCGATACCCTGGCAATGTCAACTCTCTGTTGTTTTCTTCAGTAAATCAGGAACAACTTAAATACAATGTTGTACCGCAGCTTATAATATACCTCTGAAAGCCTGATTTATTCATGGATATTTATTTCAGCGTTTATTATTTCATTGACCAGCTGGAGGATGGAGAATCATTAGTATTCATTTAATTACTTTGATTTGCTATAGCAAGGACTTTGCCTGGTAAGTTAGCATTTTGGCTGTTTGTATGGCATACTTAAGCATCTCTTTATTTTAAATCCACTAGACTTGTGACTTTGCTCTGCTTGTTTGGTGTGCTGTGGCAAGTCACATGGAATTCACATCCCACGTGACTTTTAAAATAGAAGACAGCAGTATATCTCCAATTTGTGAGGTTGCCAATACCTTTGTTATTTTATTTCTTCTAAATTCTACTATTGACTCTATTTATGCATAGAATAAGTTTATTTAATACTCTTATGCTAACAAATATCCTAGTGGAATTATTTTCTGTTCTTTCCTTTACACTCCGTGAATGACACTGTGCTCCATCACTAAGATCTAATCTCTCTATTCACTCCACACGGTATCCTGCTGATTGGATCACCCCTCCTTTACCTATATATTCACAGGTGGAGGCTCCTGTGAGCGTTACTCACCTGCAGATTACGCCTCTTTCTGCTAGCGCTAAATTAGCGTCACTATTAGTGCGTGGTATCCAGCTTTTCATAGCCCTGATTTTGGAAAGCCTCAGGTCTCCATTAGAGTTGATATTGGGCACGAGGCGAAATCATATTTGTCGGACCTCTGCTAGGTGTTATCTGCGGGCCAGAAACACGTGCACATTGCATGACTCCATTAGACTTGGTAGATCAAGTAGAACCTGCTGCTCTCAATATCCAGGGAATCGGGAGCCTTTGAAGAACTGGGCCAGAATTAAGAAGACCTGGAGCCCAAAGGCACTGCAGAAGGCTGAACTTTTTATTCTGGGAATAATCTTGGTACTTCTTCGAATCACTGTGAGTCGAGAGCTTCCGTGTCCCCTCGCCTTCTTTCCTTCAGCATGTCATCTATCTCCTCGGACCTTCTCTCCTACCTCATCTTTCAATGCATCTCCAGAAAATTGCCCCATTATCATCTCTTCATCTCCGTTATCATATCTATTCCTAGCCCTTTCCCTCTAATCCTGAACCAATGAGTGATCTACCTTCTCCTGGCCATCGTGGACATGTCTTTTGGTCGGCCTTCTTTCCTGGGACTTTAATCGAGGCAACACTGACTGTACTGAATATAGCTCCGAGCTCAAGCAAATTTCTCAGAAACACATATCTGCTGTCGAGCGCGAAAACAACCGTAAAGCCTGCAACCGTTGGGAGCTAGAGCAATCAACGAACCTCGGACCTGGCAACCACGGTCAGTTTTTATGATACCATATGCAGTTAGTTCAATTTGCTAATAAGCTGGGATACAGTTTCTCCAAAGGCTAATTGTTCAGGCGACAATCATCTTGCGTAAGTTTTTTTGCTTACTGTTTCATCTCTCAGGGATTCACATGAGCATTCAACCAGAAAAAGTCACAACCGGCGAGACGAAAATACCCCCATTAAACTATTAAGGCTCCGATCAAAGGAAGCAGATACCAGAACCAGGGTGAATATTAGCCGACCAATTGCCGTAACCAGCCCGTCAATACTCGGTATACACGGATTTGCCAGCAGCTACAGTAATTGGAACCCGCCCTCTGGAGTCCGGGACGTACATTCTCGAGCTCATTCGTATCCTTTCGCCGCTAAGCCTCTTAAAAAACTAGCCAACCGTTCTAGAAGTTCGACAGGCTCTTCTGGCTTCAGTTGCGCAATCAAATATTTCTTCCACGGTGGAAAGAAGTCCAAAGACAAGGAGCAAGAGAACTGCAGTACTCAACATAACTCGCCACATAACGAACGATTTTTATATCATTTCCCGCGTTTAACCAAGCATTCTTCTAAGGCACATCTGAACAAGCGAAACCTACGCTCTGCCAGTGATCCTATTGATAGAAGGGCCGGTGGTGTTGTGCAAAGGACAAATTTCCGACGCGGAGGAAGTGAACCGATTCAGTGCCAGCCGCTTGTGTTTCCTTCGCAACCTCTACTTCTCTCCCAGTCCTCCACCCCCGCCAACATCTCGAGTCTACAACGCACTCAAGCGATACCAGGTTCTAGAATTAAAATACCTAATCTCCATCGCCTTTCTCTAGCGTCAGCAGACGTTATACGCGAGTCGCTTTTGCCGGCACCCCTCAAATTAGACAAACCGTATCGTGCCCTCAGTGTTCCTAAGGCTCATTTTATTCGACCCTCAGTCCTCATCATGGATCCCCCACGCACATCTCGGCTGCTGGACCCGACGTCCGCCATCACGGCAATTACAAAGCACAAAGCAGAGGCCATAAAGCTCGCACGAGAGCAAGCCACTGCAGTCCAGGAAATGTGTCGTCGAGCGAGAACGGAAGCCCCGCCGTACGAGTTTGAAGAATTGATTGGCAAAGGTTCCTACGGTCGTGTGTACAAGGGCCATCAGCATCCTTCCCACAAAGTCGTCGCCATCAAGGTCATGGATATTGATTCATTAGACTATAAGTCTATTCGAGATCTCAAAGACGAATCAATAAAAGACTTTATACATGAGACCAAAGTCATGAAACAGGTGAAGGATGCTGGGGCAAAGAATATCAACGAAATAATCGAAGCTATTTCTATTCACTCACAGTTGTGGCTGGTTTGCGAGTACTGCCCTGGAGGTAGTGTGCGGACTTTGGTACGCATTTGTTGTCCCTTTGTGTTATGACTCTGCAACCTCAGATCTTTCCTGGTGCTGCCTACCTACTGATAAGTCTACCAGATGCGAGCCACAGGTGATCGCCTTGATGAGAAATTCGCAATCCCAGTGGCGCGTGAGCTCGCTGCCGGTTTGCGTGCTATCCATGATGCAGGGATCATTCATCGAGACATCAAAGGTAGAGCTCCTTTTTCAGCCTGGACTCCAGCATACATACTAATTCAAGCCCGATAGCTGCCAATGTCTTGATTCACGAAGAGGGCCGATTGCAAATCTGCGATTTTGGTGTTGCAGGGATTCTTCAGTCGCAGCTGGATAAACGATCGACCTGGATAGGAACGCCTCATTGGATGCCGCCTGAAATGTTCTCTACTCGGGGCCAAACCCATCAATATGGCAGCGAGGTTAGAATACTGTAATCCTACAAGCAAAGTTCATACGCAGCGTGCTGACAGGTACAGATTGATGTATGGGCTTATGGGTGCACATTATTTGAATTTGCAACTGGCAATCCGCCAAACGCCAACTTACGAGAGCGGATGCAAATAGGCCGGCAATTGAACCGTAATACCCCTAAACTTGACAATGAAAAATACAGCGACGGACTCAAAAGTCTTGTTGCATTTTCCCTCGAGTCAGATCCAATCAGGCGGCCCACAATGGCAGATATTCAGTTGCACCCGTACATCGCTAATTCCGAGGAAGCATATCCTACGTCAACCCTGCGTGAGCTAGTTCGGATATATTATCAATGGTCTCAGCGGGGGGGTCAAAGAGTCTCGTTGTTTCACCCTGGAGGTGCGGCGGCCGCAGAGATGCCAGGTAATGCCTCAGACGCAGACGGTGATTGGAATTTTAGTACTACGGATGGATTTGAAAAGAGATTTTCTATCATTGACCTTGATCAGATTGCTGCCTCGCTGGCTGAAATGGAAGAAGAAATCAGCGACACAAAGACTCAATTCAACCAGGAAACTTTCGATGAACCAGCTCCAACAGCAATGACGAAACAGGATCAAGTCAACTTTGATGAACGTGTGCGTCGAGGCGCTGAGGCGATGGAAGGACTGTTTAACGAGGAAAAGCCCAGCTATAGATATGAAACCAAAAACGACTTCGTGCCTATTGAGGAAAAGCAACCGGTGTCGGATCTGCCGCTTCGCACGGAAACAGACCGATCTTCTGTCACGTCAACATTTATTGATATTGACATCGGAGCGTTTGATTCAGCACACTATGCCGCCGGAGCTTCATCTGCGCAGCCATTCCAACTAGCCGATGCAGACACGATCCGAGCCAACAGATCCAGCGGCCGCCAGTATCGTAACTCTAACGGGAGCCGCTCTCGCTCATCAAGCAGCGAGGTTAGTAGTAACCATGACTCTGAAGACCTTCCATACCAACCCCCAAGCGGACCACGCCCTCCCACTATGGACTGGAAATTCCCTGTTTTCATGCAACCCCCCAAGGAGGAGGAAGTGGAGGCGGTCGCTGCAGAACCGGTTCAGGAGCCCGAGCCAACCGCAAGGCGCACAACTATGGAGTGGACATTCCCGGTCATGACCGCGACTAAGGATAGCCAGGAGGGCGGCGATGTGGATACCACTCGCTATGATACTCTAAGAGCCCCTGTCGTTGATCTTCAACCCGCAGCCCCCATCCGCCCTTCCAGTATTGGCGAGCCTGGAGATTCTCAGATCTCGGGCACTATTCGTCCATCCAGTATCGGTGGGCCTGGAGACTCCCAATCATCGGCATCGACATCCGCCAAGTCTAGCATATCTATAAGCTCAGACGCAGACTACGACCCGTTCCGGTTTGACCGGCCTCTCGCGTCTCCTGATAGTAGCTCTTCTCAACATCAATCCTTCGCCACACATAAGTTCCCGGAGCTACTGGAATCTGCTGATGATGCCTCTGATGAGCAATCGTCTGTCCTCGATGGACCTGGCCCAGATGAAGAGGATAGCCATCCTGGTTGGCACAACGCCCCAGAGATCCCAGATTCGACGTCACAGTCGGAGCCATTTCCCACGGCCATTCCGTCGAAAGAATTTACCCCGGCCCCTCTTTTTGGCAGATCAGATGAATTTCCAATGTCAGAACCGCTAACTACAGCTCGACGTAACCCACCTCCCACCGCTCGACCAGGGATTGAATCCATTCAGTTCCCTCATATTACGCCCCCGCGACCTGAGGTAATGATGGAAGGGGCCGGGGATGGTGCTGTGACAACCGAGCTTGATAGACTTCTAGGCGACTTTTTGCAAGCTCTGTCTGCGACCGGGGAGGCGCTATCCAAGGCCACACTAGAGGCCGAAGTCCCAAATGACGTGGACCCCAATGTCGGGAAGCCAGAGTGAACTCCTTGAGGAGCTAGGGGGGATATACTGTATATTGTCCGGGCCTGAAAATATCTGGTGATTTATGATTGTGACGCATGGGAGCGGGGAATTTGGGATGGTCTTAAAATGGCGAGGAAAAGTGTACCATATTGTTACCTTAGTGGCTAGAATTGATATATGACACTACCTGGCAGCCTTCTTCTCTTCTACTTTTCCTGTTCGTATGTATGTCAAATCCTTTGGGTCAAAGACATTCATTGCTATGTATCCCATGAACCGCTTAAGTCTCTACGGATGGCAAGATTCTGAATTCCACCTGCAATCCCAAATGATCCGTCACCCACATTTCCTCACCTGTTTCGCTGGAACTCTCACTATCCGATTCCTGTGGATAATCGATCCATATCTTCTGCTCAGCGCCGATTCTCTCCAGACTCTTCACCTCCAGACCTCCACAGAACAACACCTTATCCATACGGCTACAGCCGAATTTCTCCTTCATCCGGTCCGACAACTGCTGACCCCATGTGAACCCCTCCTCCGTGCCCTCGTACCCCCGAGCACGAGAAACGCATCGGAAAGTCCACATTCCTCCGGGGCGGTAAGATCCTCCGACGCAAATGCATTCATGTCCCCTGCAAGGACAGCCGCATACGGAGTTGGCAGCGAGTCTTGCGACTGCGCGACTTGACCATGATCATGGCCGTGCATGAACTCCGACGCCCGACGGAGTTGCATTGGTCGAAGCGGAGGACGAGAGACGAGACTCTCGAGATGGGTGTTGCCTAGTCTAATGATCCTGTTCTCATTGCTGCTTGTACTTTCGGTGGGTTGGATGTCGATGTTAATATCCACGAAGAGAGCATCACGCTGCATTCGTGATGGTGAATACAGCACGCGGAATACCCTTTGCACGTCTAGACGCTTGTCAATTAGCGTCGTGGTGCCATATCTGGCGCCCCAGTTCACGTCAGATAGATCTGTGATGAAGAAACGGTCTCGGATCCACTGTTTCTCTTGGATCAAGACCAGGTCAGAAGAGACCATCTCCTGTAGGAAGATCATACTTGGGGTGTTAGTAGTGTTGGTGGTGGTGTCCCCGTGGAGTTTTGAGAGATAGCTCAGGGCTGCATTCATGCGTTCGGTCTTGCAGGGGGCTTGGAAATCGATGTTCCATGTTGTGAGACGCAGGGTTTGGAGATGGGAATGGGACCGTTGGGTGAATAAGACAGGTTGCCAGGTTTGGTTCACCCATGTATAGAAGGACTGGGGGTTGGGAGTACTTGTGTGTGCGGGTTGAGACATGTTAAGTTGGGTTGAAGAGAGAAATGTGGGGGGGATTCTAGTGTTGTAAGTGTTAAGAAACATTCACCAAACCACGGTTAATGTCCAAGTGTGTTGATGATTTTTTTCATCCATTTGCTTAATTTTAGTCCATTTACTTTATTCAATTACTATACATCCAGAGATGTAACCTTCTGCGTCCTCTGGCGCGGAATACCACATCTATCCATCCATCATGGCCTCGATCTCCCACAAATCCGCGCGCTTTGAATCACCTTCTTCTCCCAGATCCTCTGGACAGTGGCGACGCATCCTGCAAGACATCAAGCTGCTGTACTTCCGTAGTCAATACAAGCAATGTGCTACGCGCTCTATGGAGGTCCTCCGGACCGCTGCAGAGCCGCCGAGTAAAGTACACATACATGCTCTTATTGATCTTTCTCTTAGGAAGACTCGCTGACGAGAAGAGTGTATAGATCCATCCAGTCCACAAGACATATCTATACTACTACTGTGCCATCTCCTACGAGGGCATGGGTCGAGCAGCCCATCAATACTCCTCCACCAAGCTGACTTTCCTCCACTCCGCTCTGGACTGTTTCGTCACCTGTTGTGCTGTTTTGCCGGACTGTCTTTCGGTCCCTGATATCCCAGATGGAGGAAGTCCTTCGACAGTCGTGGAATTCACGTCTCCATCGGAGACGCATGATCCAGCGTCTTCATCACCGGCTAGTAGTTTCGACACAATGATCACGGACATCCTCGACCGGGAGCCAGACAGTCTAGTAGAAGACGATCCATTCCTCGACACTCCATGTAAATTTCCATCCCATCAACTGGGAAACCCCGTTCTGATACCCTCTCCATTGAAGATCCGGAAGTCCTTCGAGGATCTGAATCAGAATGCACATCCACTCCACCACCAGCACCAGGAAAACGTGACCCCCGAGACCCCAGCAAGGAGGACACGCAGGCCTCCTCCGCTACCTATCAAGATCGTACCATTCGGAACCACCAGCAAGGAATCGTCAACCGTGCCTCCTCTCTCCATCCACAAACACCGCAGTCAGCACGGTTCTGGTTCATCCATGACATCGTCCCACATCATGGCTATCAACCGATATAACAACAGTATTCGCTTTCTACGCACACAAATCAATTCCAGTATTACCTCCCTGCACGCCTTGATCGACGACGTCCGCCAAGTCCAGCAGTCGCGTCGCGCATCGAAGAATATCCGTCGCTCCGGGTCATTCTGGAGTTTCAGTCCCATCATGGAGGAAGGGGAGGAGAACTTGAACTCCGGACCCGGGCTCGATCGAGCGTCAGCATCAATGTCAATGTCAGGGTCCACCAAGGAGACGCATGCGCAGCGGATTGCACGGCTTCGAGCCTCCGGTTGGAAGACTGTGGGTCTCCGATCTCCAAGCAGCAGATGGAAAGGCGCAGAGTACTACAGGCAATATTGCAGCGCTGTATTGGATGAACTGTATCTTGATCCCTGAAATCGAGCGTATTATCCCCCTCGGAAGCTCTGATGATTTGGATCGTCCCCGGATCGAATCCTAGTTCAACGGAGTCGAGGGGATTCGGGTTCTTTGTTTCTCCTTGTATAAGTATGACATCTGCATTGGTTGGGAAACATAATTGTAATACTAGTCACCCTAAATAAATAATTCAAGTCCGTTTGTACAAAGAATCCACGTTTAGGACGCTGGTTAGTGCTAGCCCCAGCCAACACCACCCCTAATCGTAAATGGGTCCAACGCATTGCCCCTTTTCGGTTTATGAACGTTCCCCTGGTGGAGTCTAGAGGCGAAAACTTGCCTTAGTTGATGCGCTACAATTATAGCCGAATGGGTAGTTTGGAAGGGATATTAGATTTAGTGTCCTTCGAGATGGTTTTTTTCCTCTAAAAACAAAATTTAGTTTTGCTTACCAACTCTTGGCGGTTCCTTGATTATGGGTTCATTTTTCATTCTATATTTTGATGTATTGACATTTCTATACCCCCGTTTGTCAACATCATGCGAATCAGCTGGCTGGTCAAGGTCCTTCCGGTCGTTCTGACCGGCACCGTCGTGTCGGTCTTCAATCTGGATATTCACGATGCTCATAAGTCTCAGTCGATGGGATACCTCCAAGTGCAAAGAAGGGGGGGTGGCGCTGGCAGAACTGGGCGAATCAGGCAGGATATGGCATGAAGAATGCCGTGGCCAACAGTGCTCTGTTTTAGCTGTCGGCTAGACTGGCCCACTGCACGGGTAATCAGACGTACTCCAATAGAGCGCAGAAGATCTGGGACTGGAGTCGCGAGTCTCCGTTGCTGAATGAGAAAGATTGGAGTATTGCTGATAGTACCTCTGTGGACGATAGGTGAAAAATGGCGGGCTATGATCAGTGGTCGTACGACTAAGCTATGTATCTGGGCGGAGCGACATTACACGTGTAACGTAGTAAGTGACCGACGATCCAGCCCAGATGATGATGATGACGGTGTGGACTGACTCTCCACATTGCTTCCGGCCTTAGATCAAGGGTGACGACAGATGGGTAAAGGGTATCAATGGACTTCTGGCCACCTTAAAGTTATTCTTCCCCGCCAAGTATAGCGAGCGCCATCATGAGCGAAGTCCTCCGTGAACCTATGGGAATATGCGATAAGAACATGGAGATGTTCAAGGGCATCCTCTCGCGCAACCAGTCTGTTTTCGGTCAACTTGGTGCCCTTTAACAATCAGGGCCCCTACACCGCGAAGAACTCTGGGGGTCGTACCAACACTACTGGAACCGCTGGGGCGGTAGTGCCACAGGAAGTCCCAGTACCACGGGCAGCCCTAGTGCCAGTGTGGTCTCCATCGGGATAGGCTCTATTGAGAGAGTTCAGGGATGGGTTATCACTGGGTTTGTGGCCGGGGTTGTTGCGATGACTGCGATGTAGTAGACAGTGACTAGTGGTTATAGAAAGTATGGATGTCAGGTGATGCTGTCAGGTGATGAAGATGGATGCCTGAACTAGACTAGTCGGAAATAATCCATTGTAAGGCTGAAGTGTGGCCCTGGGCAACGGACCAATCAGCAAAGGGATGGCCTAGCCGCTTGTGGCTGTGCTGGCGAGTGACGCGCAAGAAAGTCGATCGTCGGGCCAGACTTCGGGTCAAGAAATCAGTCGATTCGTTCGTCTTCGTTAATTAATTTTAATTCATCCATCTCTTATGCCTCGTCGCTGTTGTTCGGATTTCTGCTCCTCTTTTCCTCCCCCGACAATTTACCTATCTGCTGGGATCAGGACTACGTCCCGATCTACAGACACCCGCTGTTCCCCTATCCTGTCAGCCAGTAGTAGTGACTGAAGGACTTAGCCCGTCTTGTCTCAAATCTAGGTAGCCTTCTCCTAAGAATCCTACTCAGCCTTGAAACGTCTCTCCTACTTCCTTCTCTTGTCCTTCTGTCTCTCGAATTTTTTAACGAAGGGCAATATTCGTCTCCTTGAATTTCTTCGCCGTCGCCCCGCTAAAGCCCCCCCCCTCACGTGCGGGGTTCCTATCACCACTGGCCTGCCTGAGCTCACCGCACATTTGTTGGAATTTGATTTGCAACCCGGGACCTGCCAATACGGCCCTGTTTTGTCACTATGAGCTGTGAGTGCTACTTTCTTGTCCCTCGTCCTACGTGCCTGTTCCAATTGCTTTCTGCCATGATGTTGCTCGCCATTCGTGTTCGCGCTCGCCAGTGAGAACGGAAGCTGGCTATGTCCCCTGAAACCCTGGTGCCCGAGTCTACCTCCCAATTCCTCGTATATGCCACGGCCTACCTCTATTGTGGCTCTTTGGAGCGACAGTGTAAGCCTTTGGGCATTGCTCATTTCCTTGTGGTTTCATGGTCTGGTTTTCTGTGCCATTGGGTTCAACCCTATTCTCCTCATTCCTGGTCTCTTTCAATTAGACTTGAGGAATAGACACTAACGATGGCCTCCACTTTAGTCTCTAATATGCTCAACAAGCTCTCTGGGCAGCCAGAGAGCTACGAAAAGAAGTACAATCCTTTGTCCCCTTTCTCCTCCGGTCCTTGTCTGTGTTATGAACCATGTTAAATGACCGGTGGCATCCCGCTCCAGGTCGCTATACAAATTCGGAAGAACCCTCGGTGCTGGCACGTATGGTATCGTCCGCGAGGCTGATTCTAGCTCCGGAAAGGTCGCTATCAAGATCATCTTGAAGAAAAATGTCCGCGGAAATGAGGGCATGGTCTACGATGAACTGGAGCTGCTACAGGCGCTCAATCACCCCCACATCGTCCATTTCGTCGACTGGTTCGAATCGAAGGTAGGTCTGGTGTCGGCACCTTCCAGGGATGACCGCACTGATAATGCGCTTAGGACAAATTCTACATTGTGACGCAGCTAGCCACGGGTGGAGAGCTGTTTGACCGTATCTGCGAGTATGGCAAGTTCACGGAGAAGGATGCGTCTCAGACCATTCGACAGGTACTGGATGCAGTGAATTACCTGCACGAACGGAATATTGTCCATCGAGGTTGGCGTGTCCCCGTTGTCCACCCCATTTTCCCACGAATGTCACCTCTACTAACACATATTTTCTGCGTTCAGACTTGAAGCCTGAAAACTTGCTCTATCTTACTCGGGATGCCCACTCACCCCTCGTCCTGGCTGATTTTGGCATTGCCAAAATGCTGGATAACCCTAGCGAAGTGCTCACTAGCATGGCGGGGTCGTTTGGCTATGCGGCGCCAGAGGTCATGCTGAAGCAAGGCCACGGAAAGGCCGTGGACATGTGGTCGCTTGGTGTGATCACGTATACCCTCCTTTGTGGATACTCCCCCTTCCGGTCAGAGAGCCTGTCGGACTTGATTGAAGAATGCAGTGCTGGTCGGATCATCTTCCACGAGCGCTACTGGCGCGATGTCTCCAAGGATGCGAAGGACTTCATCCTTACCATGCTTCAGCCGGATCCATCCAAGCGCGTCACCTCCGAAGAGGCCCTTAAACATCCCTGGCTGACCGGCGAGTCGGCCGGCGACCGTGATCTGCTACCTGAGATCCGTGCCTACATTGCTCGCTCTCGTCTCAAGCGAGGCATCGAGATTATCAAACTGGCCAACCGCATTGAAGCGCTTAAGATGCAGGAGGACGATGAAGAGGACATCCCCAGTGTCAATGATGTGGCGGAGACGGCCGAGGGTTCTGATAAATCCGGTGCCGCCGCAGGATCAGCTGCCAATGAGCAGTATAGTCCGGGGTCATCAGCCGAAGGAGAGTCCGGTCACGCTAAGAAGCGCAGCTTGAGCAAGGTCGCCCGCGGAGCGATCTTTCGTGAAGTGGTCCTGGCTAAGGTCCGTGAAGTCAAGGAAACGGAAGAGAGAGAGAGGGTCGAACGAGAAGCGCGTGAGCGAACTTCACATACATAACTGACTTACCGGGCGGCGTTGATAGTGTGAGTAGGTTGAGCTACTCTGGACTATTTCTACGAGAGTCATTCTCCTCATCATCTGGATTGCTTTGTGAATACCATCATTTCCATGATTCCCCGTCTATATTTTTATACAATGTGTACATTTCATTTTTGTGGATGACTTTGTGAACTCAAGGGTTGTAGTTATACAATCCCACAGCCTCCTTTTTCTGCAGCTCTGCTTTGTCCTTTCTCTTTGTTTTCTTGTCACATAATGGCCCTTTTACTCTGTATCCAGAATATCGTCTGATCAGGAGTGTTCCGTAGTGATTGAATCATGTGTCACGTGGCCAGCGATGAGGGCAACCGGCGCGCCAATCAGATGATCGGCGGGAAACCAGGTGATCCGCATCAGTCTCTCTCTCTTCGTCGCCGTATTTGTACCTGGGTCTTCTTGCTCCTTCGCTCTCTTCTCCTTGCCTCATCTTTGCTCCGTGGCCCGCCTCATCTCCGTTTTGCCCTTGTCAACTTGGATCCCTCTTGTATATAGACCTCTAGCTCGTGGTGGATCCCGCGTTGTTGTCAATACGTCATACTTTCCGAGGAATCTTCACTCTAGCTGCAGTGGATATCGACCTGCAAGGTCCTTTTTATTAGCTTGATACGACCTTTGGTATGAGAGATACCAAAAAGATACCGAAAAGTGATATCTCTCACAATGTTCGCCACCAAGCGTCTGAGCAAGGTACTACCTATATTCTGCGTAGGAACTGGACCCATGTTAACATCAATTCTAGGAGCTCATTAAGGTATCCACATTCTGTGTTTGCCAGCCCCATGCGTTTTGTGATCTCCATGTGTCAATTTTTCATTTAGCGACATTGAAAATACCCCTTTTATACAGTCGGTCCGGTGATTCGCAATGGAATGCATGGTTCATACTGATCACTTGTTCCTCCAGATGAAAGACCACATGCCTCCTGGAATCTCAATTGCAAAGGCGGAAAACCTGGAAGAATGGCAGATGGATATCCGAGTCCTGGATGACAATCCTCTCTATCAGAACCAAATTTATCGATTGAAGTTCACATTTGGATCCAAATACCCCATTGGTATGTTGCCTCTCCCACCTCTTCTCGGGAACAACATTTTTCGTGCATTAGGAACGACTCGTTCGAATAGCTAACCATCCACCTTGCTTTTAGAACCCCCCGAAGTCCAATTTATCGAATCCCCTAGCACCTCCGACACTCCGCGTCCTATCCCAATACACCCTCACATCTACAGCAATGGCATCATCTGTCTCGACCTACTGAGTTCCGCCGGCTGGTCTCCGGTCCAAACGGTCGAGAGCGTCTGTATGAGTATTCAAAGCATGCTGACAGCTAATTCGCGCAACGAGCGACCCCCTGGTGATAGCGACTTCGTTTCTTACAACCGGCGTCGACCGCGCGATATCAACTTTATGTACGATGATGATAATGTCTAATCAAATCCTATTTATTCCCTTTTGCGAGGGACCTGGATAGACACTGGACGAACTGTCGCGTCAAAATTGGTACAATACCCTTGGTCGCGGGCTTAGACTATGCCGAATTGTTGGCCGTGGCGGTTTCTTTCTCATACTTTCGTTTTGTGAGGCATTTTTTTGCATTGCTATCGGCGCGTTGTCATTTCCTGGAGTTTTGCGGATTGGAACGGAGGTGTCATTTTTGGATGATCCTCTCTAGGTCTCTCTCTCTCTGGTTCTGTCACGCACACCATCATCTCAGGTTTCTCTTCTCATGTACTGGTGATTCACATGAGCTGGGCAGTGCAGCCAGCATAGTATCATATCACACTATACTTACAGCGTGCAAATAGTATATCCGATTCTGAAAACGGAAACTATATCATCCTACTGACTGAGCACATCAGGTTGGTTGTAATGAGAAATTCGAGTGTCACTATACACACAGGGTTATGACGAAGCGGCAAACAAATGGAAAATAGGATAGGGGTCGAGGAAGACGACACGACAAAAGAGAAAAAAATTAAAAACGCCATGAAAACAAATTGGTACAGGTATAGGTAAATAGATAGGCGGACAGATTGATCACCATGGCTTCTGTTTCCTGTTTTTGTGTTACTCGGCTCAACCCGCACACATACAAATATCCAAACTTGATTTCCAAGATTGCAGAAGGCAATCGGTGGACTCCAAGCAAGGACAAATGATATCTTCGTTTTGTTTATGCATATTCATCCCCGTATCTATATGATGTAACGTGTTTCAGTTTCGACATTGTGTTCTGAGCTGTGTCCGGCTTCCCTCTTTAGTTTTACAGAAGTTGGGAGATCATTTAGTCCATCTTTTTGCTTTACCGGTCGACTTCTCCGAACACCAGATCCATTGTACCTGGAAAGAATACATATTAGATTGAAACTCCGGAGACGATCGAGACAGGAATCTTACCGATGATGGCGACAGCGTCAGCCAGAAGGTGACCACGAGAAATTTGATCGAAACCACCCAAGTGAGCAAATCCAGGAGCACGGATCTTGCAGCGGTAGGGTCTCTCGCTTCCATCGCTGACCACGAACACACCCATCTCACCCTTGGGAGCCTCAATGGCCGAGTAGGTCTCACCTGGGGGAACAGCATACCCCTTGGTGAAGAGGAGGAAGTGATGGATAAGAGCTTCCATGTTCTCCTTCATGGCCGCGCGGGGAGGAGGCGTGATCTTGTAGTCCTCCACGCGGACGGGACCGGCGGGCATCTGGTTCAAGCACTGGTGGATAATACGAAGGGACTGACGGAACTCCTCCATACGGCAGAGATATCGGTCGTAGCAGTCGCCGTTGACACCAACGGGAACATCGAACTCAACCTTATCATACGCGTCATAGGGCTGGGATTTCCGAATATCCCATGGGATACCAGAACCACGGAGCATGACACCAGTGAAGCTCATGTTCAGAGCATCAGCAGCGTTGACGACACCGACTCCCTGGGTTCGAGCCTTCCAGATACGGTTATCAGTGAGCAGTTCCTCAGTCTCATCAATGCGATCACCGAACTGAGTGGCCCACTGGTAGATATCATCGAGGAGACCGAGCGGAATATCTTGGGACACACCACCAGGGCGGACATAGGCGGCATGGAGGCGGGCACCGGAGACACGCTCGTAGAATTCCTTGAACGTATATCGGATCAGCCCAATTAATCCCCTTGAAGAATATTACCAAAGACGCTGCTTACCATGAGCTTCTCACGCTCCTCAAAACCCCACAAGAATGGCGTCAAAGCGCCAACGTCCATAGCGTGAGAAAGGACGGACATGAGATGGTTCAGAATTCGTGTAATCTCTCCAAACAGTGTCCGAATATACTTAGCTCTCTCGGGGATATCAATATTAAGCAGCTTCTCGACAGCTAGCGAGAAGCACTGCTCGTTCGTCATCATGGAGACATAGTCCAGTCGGTCGAAATAAGGCAGAGCCTGCATGTATGTCTTGTATTCGATCAATTTCTCAGTACCACGGTGGAGCAAACCAACGTGGGGATCCGAGCGGACGATCTCTTCACCATTAAGCTCCAGAATCAGACGGAGCACACCGTGAGCGGCAGGGTGCTGAGGACCGAAATTGACCGTGTAGTGACGAATCTTGCGGCCGACCCCTTCATCCTCGGACTCTAGGCCCGCGGGAACTTCGGGTTCTCCAGTGCCGTTATTCTTGTTGGCCAGAGACGTGAATGTTGGGTCAGTTGGAATGAGTCTAGTTGCCTGGTAGCTGGTGGGCTCGGCGTAACGACGAGGTAGAGACGTAGCTATCGAGCGAGTTCTGGGGACGGTCGTGTTTGTGGTAATGGTAGAGCGGCGGAGACAAAGCCTTTTGGGCGCGCTGGCCGCCAGGCGAGTAAAGGAAGCAGCCATTCGGGAGAGGAGAGAAAAGGAGAGAAGGACGAGGAGGAATCAGGAGGAGGGGGGGGGCTGACGGTCCTCAGTCCGGACGCAATTGATGGAGGGACTCTGGGGATGGTCAATTCGGCTTGACGATGTGAGGGTGAAAGAGACATTTTGGGGACTCACGTGATATTGCGCCTGGTCATCAGGCCACCTCTGGTTGGTCTGGGGGACTCCGTCTATTCTGCACTCACGCTAGTGAGACTCCGGCAATAATCCTCCAGACAGCCCGGCATTTTGCATGCAAAACTGCGTGCAACAGGGTACAGAATAACGGGGTAGCAATCAGCCTCAGGCACGCAGAAATTCTGCCGGTTTTCTACAGAACTTTTTTCCCATTCCCTCCCGACGTGCTATCTATCCTAGCCTTGTCCATCTCTCATTGCCGCCCACCATGGCGCCTCTTGTGGCCTCGCAGGAGGAACTGGATCGCAGAAGGGTAAGTCCCTTGTTTACGTATCCTACATCACCGACTTATGTGTTCATTGCCATTCCAGATCGTCAGTATCAATCCAGAAACCGTCTCCAACATTCCCTCCACAGATTTCCCGGGTCACTGGCCTGGCGAGTCTCACGATTGGTCACTGGATCAATTCAAAAACGTATGTGGTTTGCTCTCTGTTCTCTCTTTTCGCTCTATTTCATCTACCGAATTCTCATGCATGTCGGTCTACAGGACTTCAAGGTCGAATTCCACCAGAACGAAAGATTTGAATCCTCTTTTTCCTTGATCGGACTTGACGCATCCATCGCAAATGCTTTCCGTCGCATTCTTATGGCAGAAGTACCCACCATCGCTATTGAGTTCGTTTTCGTCCATAACAACACTTCCGTGATCCAGGATGAGGTGATCGCACAGCGACTGGGCTTGATCCCCCTGAAGGGCTCAGTGGAAGGCATCAACTGGATGAGCTGGTTCAAGAAGCCGACTGAGGATGACCCAGAAGGCGGTAGCACACCCAGCGATTATAATACCATCGTTCTACGACTGGACATCGAATGTACTGAGAATCCCAATGCGGACCCCGAGGAGGACGACCCCCGCAAGCTGTACAAGAATGCGCACGTGTACGCAAAGGACATTACTTTCCATCCAGTCGGTCGCCAGGAGCAGTATTTTAGCGGCGATGAGGCGATTCAACCGGTGAACCCCGATATTCTAATTGCCAAGCTCCGTCCTGGACAAAAGCTAGACATGGAATTGCACTGTATCAAGGGGATTGGTGCCGACCATGCCAAATTCTCTCCCGTCGCCACCGCATCATACCGTTTATTGCCTGACATCCAGATCCTGCGTCCCATCATTGGCGAAGATGCAAAGAAGTTCGCCAAATGCTTCCCTCGAGGCGTCATTGGCCTTGAGCCCGTGACCCGTGAAGAGGCGGCTCAGAAAGGCAGCGGGTATGAAGGACACCAGGGTGAGATGAAGGCAGTTGTCCACAATGCCTTTAAGGATACCGTGAGCCGAGAATGTCTGAGACATGAGGAGTTCCAGGGCAAGGTCAAGCTTGGCCGTGTGCGCGACCACTTTATCTTCAACGTCGAGAGTACTGGCCAGTTTGAGAGCGACACACTTTTCCTGGAGAGTGTCAAGGTGCTGAAGCTGAAATGCGCGAGGTGGAAGAGAGGGTTGGTGGATCTGGTACGGTAGATGTGTCGACTTCTCGCGTGGCGTCAACCCATATAATGCATTGACTGGCGTTGGAGTACTGCTGTTCTTTTGCGTGTTTGTGTGTACATTTACGAAAATGTTGGTCGCGACCTTCTTTACAGTTGGGAGTATGGGTAGGAGGGCAATGCTTCACAGATATAGAAAACGCAGCTTTGGATCTTCGAAATGTTGATGTCTAGTCATGATCAATCGTATATCCGTTGTAATGGCATCATGTCTCATTCCGCACAGGGAGAGTAGACTCTGCCTTAATCTAGCTAAACGCCAATCGGTAGCGGAAGTCGATTGTATACGCAGGGTCGCTGACTGCGATTTCCTGCCCATCTGCAACCAGGTCCCTGAGCTTGCACTTCAGATTTGCCCGCGTCTGTTCCTCCAACTGGGGTGGGAACCGCTGGTAGAGTGTCCTCTCTTCTGTTCTCATGCTGGGCTTCTTCAGCTGGGCTTCAGGTCTCTCGCCCAGAGTCTCGATGAAAGCATCCAGCGTCATATCCGGATCCACCGTCATCTTCCGCGCCAGATTGCCGCAGACAGGACAATCCGGTTTCTTCTCCGCCTCGAAGGTGTAAGTATATACCCCCTCCTCGCCAGCATACATCATATAATTTTCGAGATAGGGATTGCACGAGGTGGCAATCTTCAACGCTTCGGAGGTGGTTGAGGCCGCGATGACAGCATTTGTAGATGCAATCGCCGGGATGATGTTTTTCACCACTCCTTGAGCCATCTGGAACGTGACGCCGTGGATGTTGAACTGCCCCGCACGCTCGAGGGCAGTGTTGTAGATCCAATTGATGTGCTCCAGGTCATCGCTGTCGAAGGTGTCATCTTTGCGCTGCTCTTGCCAGGCAATTTGATGGGCCCATTCAATACAATGCTGGGGTTGTCGGGGGATAGTTGCAATCGTACAAAGTGGGACAGCAGGCCTGGGGGCATGCATGTCAAGTTGGCACTCGATACATGAGGACAGTGTGGGCAGGATCACACGGGCCTGACCCTTGAATCCTATGATTAAAATTAGCTATATCCTTGCTGCCTACTCTCAGGACCAGACTCTCATACCTTCCGTGCCACCATCGATAAGCGGCTTCAAACTTTCCGGGTCGTCGCCATCGACCATGCCAATGAGTGTTGCATTGATCCACCGTCTAGCCTCAATGCTATCGAGGCCGCATACAATGATTTTGAATTGCATGTAGTAATCTTCATCCTTGTCTTGGATTTTTCCCACATATGGGGTAATCTTGACTCCTTTAACCCGTCTTTCTACGAATGAGGCAGCAACTTCCGCTTTAGGTTTGCCGATATCCGATTGACGGAACAAGAATTGTCGATTCAGGTTGGAGATATCAATGGTGTCTGGTCTAATAAGAATTCGTAGGTCAATCCGTTATTTACGAGGAACTTACCCATGTCGATAACATGGATGTCTTTGAACCCAGACAAGGCCAGGTTCTTCAGGATCTCACATCCCAGACCTCCAGCGCCGCTAATCATTCTCGAATTAGCTTGCTATCCTATCATATCCCCGAAGGGGAACTAAACTCACATAACCCTGGACCCATGTTAGCGAGTTCAAGCTAGCGTGTAGTCTGCCTAAATACATACAGGACTTTTGAAGATTCAAGTGCATTAATCGTCTCTGATCCAGGCAACCAGTCCTCGTCACTGTGTGGGCCTGCTTTAGACAAGACATTATAAAGGTATTTCCTATACAGCGTTAGTAAGGCTCATAAAGAGAGTGTGTAAACTGTGAAATGTACCATCGAAGAGATGAATTAATAGAAACCATTTTGAGAGGGCTATGGATTCAATCTCAACTAAGTGATAAAGCGATCTACAGACTCAGGCAGCGTACAGCTGCCCTGCAAGTATGAAAGGGGGGTTACAAACGTTGTATGGGGTCCAGGGTGGAACGCAGGTATATGTAGAATCGGACTGAGCAATCACCACCGAGCCTTCTGCGAGATTCCCGTCATGGACTGCGGGGTGGACAGTGTTGGAGTGACGTTGGCGCTGCCTCACGAGTTGACGGCTGCATCATCCCCGGCGCACGTGACCCGCGCTCCATACAATCAATTTCAGTTCCTCCGCCGGACACCTGTTCTTCCCTCGTTTCTGTCGAAGCATAAGATGACCCTCTCAGAACATGGACGGACTCCTTGCTGAGATCAAAACAGTCAAGCATGACCGGAAAGGCGTGCTCTTGTCTTCTGCGCCCGAGGAGCCTCTCGTGGCCAACTCCGAGGGTGAGACGGGGCCGAAGGCAGATCTGAACGAAGATCAACCATCAGCAGATTACATTCTGACAGTACTCAGGTCGAAGCCTGATGGGACAGAGCTCTCGCGGGTCCTTGCAATATTGGATCCGTTCAACAAGCGCACGAGCTCCCCGAAATTTGACGTCAGAATCCCAGGCCCAACCACTGCCCAAATCCTCAAAGCCTTGGTCAGCATCACGATTCCTGATCACTGGAACTCTATAGATTCAGGCAGCTGGAGATCAGATTCAAGCAATACCAAGGCAAGGGCTGCTTTGTTGAGATGTCTCAGTAGCGTTGCTGGAATCAGCTGCTTGATCACCCAACTTCGTTCCCTCATAGCTTCGTCAAGGTCCTCGAAAGATTCAGGGAATCAAAGACATATCAGAGACCTTCTAGCGGTGATTTCTGCTCTATTAGAACCAAGGGATTTTGCACTGCGTTTGCACACGAATATTGAGGCGCTCTATAGCAATTCTACTCAGAAGCAGATCGTTTGGAGGGAACTGCTCTCTCTAATTGCTGCCAGTAGGGTTCTCTCGACGGCGGCAGAAGCGCTTACGTTACTTGGAGACATTTCCGGCGTGAATGCCATCTCCTGGGTAGGAGAAGGACCTCGATATGCGTCCTGGATTGGCATCAACATTTGCCACATGGCTTCGAAGATAAGCCCGGATAATCAGGAACATTGGAAAGCGGTCGCTTCTCTGACGGGACGAGCATTAAGTCTTGGCTACACAGGTATGTTTGGCTTGACATTCTGATGTATTCCATGCTAAGACTGGCCCTAGATAAAGTAGTGGGACAGGTATATTCCGGCCTCCTAATCCAGCAGGATTTTCATACCCAATATACCTCCCTGTTTGACAACCTCCGGCCCACAGAGCAACTCAAGGTGATAGAGGCCGTTTTCTGCGATGTTGAAAAGAAGCATTTCTCCATTGATCTTTCCAGAGAAGAAAGAGGCCATGGCTCTGACCAGGTAGTCAAGGGCGTGGCAGCCTTATGCTCTATTATTCTACGTGGGCGATCGAATCTGCATGCCCAAATTATTGACTGGCTGTCGAAAGGCCAAGGGGGCTCAGTCCAAACAACAAAACTACGACGAGCTATATTAGCTGGATTTGCAGATCAAAAAGGCATGCATACATCCTTGTACTATCAGATGATCTACTAATGCAATCGGGTGCAGACTTGATACAGACCTTGTTCACGAAGGGACTGGAACAGTCTTCTGATAAATTATATATAAAATATGCACCCACGTGGGCTCAAGAGGGTAAACATAGTTTTCTAAATTCAGAATACAAGTACTGATATACCTTAGCAAACACCCAGGTCATCCTACTGGCAGCTGGTTACCTACAACGTCTTGACCCAGGAGCAGTTAAAAGCATAGGCCGCTCTGGTATTTTCCTCAGCACAGTCTCCAATCGCCTGGCAGCTTCTTCTAGCAGGCCTCGGTTCTTTGGCATGATAATCGGAACTGCAATTTCCCGCCTCATTGAAGAGCCGGGAAAGGCCATGCGGTTTGACCTTGACGAAATGGACGGTGACGAGGCACGATGGTATCTGAACCTGATCGAATCGCAGGATGCCATTGGCTCATTGAAATCCATTCAATTCCCGCAAGAACCGACATCGAAGCCGCAGAAAACTCCGGCCAAGGACCTGTCCCTTGCTTCGACAGCTAACAGAAAGCAACCTAGTCAGAAGCGCATCAAAATCATGTCAATCGAAGAAATAGACGAGCCGGAAAACGACCAGTCCGAAGATGAAGACGAAGACCTGATTCCCTATGAAAAACCCGATGAAGATCCTTCTGATTCTGATGAGGATCCAACCTTGGTCCAACGGAATCGACCAACCGCACCAGTGTAAGTCAAACCGTCTGTCTCCTCTCTTACAAACGCAACCATCTAACCTCCGAAGATACATCCGCGACCTTGTCATCTATCTCCGAGACAGAGAAAACATCGAACGCTACGAACTCGCCATCACGACAGCGCCATCCCTCATCCGACGAAAGACAGGCTTCGGCACCGAACTGGCAGAGCATACCGAAGAGCTCGCACTCATTCTAGTCGGCTTGCAGGAGCAGAGCAAACTGCCAAAGTTCCAGGAATACCAAGTTCAAAGCATGATCGCGTTGATTGTTTCACAGCCCCTGAAACTCGGCCGCTGGTTCGCGGCCATGTTCTTCGACGGCGATTTATCCCAATTCCAACGCTCCGCTATCCTCACAGCCCTGGGACTAAGCGCACGAGAGATAGCCGGCAACGGTGAGGAAGATGCGCGAACGATCGGCCTTCCAGCACTACCGGACACCTCGTTCCCGTCGAAGAAACTCCCGGCCAGTGTGGAATCCTTATACGTCAGCCACACCGAGTCACCCATCGCAACCCTCACTCAGAAACTATCCCAAGCTTCCCTAGAACCCCTAGCAGCCAACGCCGCAGACGCCGTCTCAGGTCCGAATGCTCTCAAAGTGCGAACCTTTTCTTCTCGAATGGAGGTCGAAAAGAAACGCCAGCAACGCGAGTCGCAACGCCAAAAGTCAACCATCAATGATCTCCACAAGGTCTTATCAGATGGATTCTTCTATCCTCTCAAAGGCCGGTTCGAGATTCTCATGATACATTTCTCATCGTAAGCGTTCTCCTTCCCTCTCCTTGTACCCGATCACTCCACAAACGATAGGTTTTCGTAACTAACTCACTTCTACAGATCCACTGCACGATCCCACAACCCATTCGTTGTCCCTCACCTGCTATGCCTCTTCATTCAAACCCTGGCTCTCATCCTCTCCACCATGGGCCCGCACACCCCCTCACTTCCGTCTCTCACGCAAGAAACCCTATCTTTCCTCCTATCCCTACATATGCGTCCTATCGCAGACGACCCGGCTGTGCTCTCGGCATTTCTGGCCCTGTTTCTCACCATTATAGATCTAAATATCGAATCTGGCACCTCGGGGGAAGAACGACTCGTCACTGAATTCGCCTCGCAGGTTATTGAGTTGCGCGACTGGGCGGGCCAGGTTTTTGATCGGACCGCTGCGGCTCATACGCAAGGAGACGATGCTCGTGACCGAGTGAAGACGCTGGCGGCTGGCGTGATGGTGAAATTGGGGGACGTTATGGAGAGGTATCAAGGACGGCTGATGGGGGTAGGCTCTGGGTTTAAGTATTAGAGATTTAGTTTAGGTTGGAAGGCTTCTTGTTATCCACGGTGGTCAAGACAGATCTAACTGTATATGATGCATAAGACTGGTTTCTACATGATAGTCATATAAACATACGTTCTTGTCATTAAAGCTATGTCTTACACATATCATGTTATCATATCAAACGGTCAAAGCCACCTTACATGGATTACTCACTCCGTCGTGGCAAAACCACCACTCTCCGTAGCCGCATCCATCATACGATCCCCATTTATAATACTCGTTGTACAGATGACGATCCTACGACGGGGCGCTTCCTGCGCCGCGATGAACCTCAGCGCCGCAATCTCCGTGAACGTGATGCCACCCAGGAAAAAGACGTAGATAGTCTTGGTGGCGTTATTGCCGCTGATGGTCTGGCGTGCACGGACAGCTTTATCGTCGCCTTTCTGCACGATACTGAACGTGGCGCCGCGCGCACTCTTCACAACGTCCTCAAACCCAAGCCAGCCGGGCGAAGCCATGCTAGCAGGACTGGGCGCAGAGGCACCCGAACCGCCGCGGATAAGAGAGAGAATGTACGGTTTCTGCAGGACGCATTGGACAAGACGGATGCTCAGCGGGGCGAAGCCGCTGTAGACGTAGGAGATGTCGGTGGGGTCTTTCTCGCTGACTTCCTCGACGACCAGACGCAGGTGCTTGCGCAGGTAGGTGTAGTTCGTCTTAGAGCCGGACTGGGCGCTCGTCGTTGGCAGGAGCATGGCGGTGGCGGAGGAGCGCGGCTGTAGGAGGTCCATCCTCTCCAGGGCTGAGAATGTTAGGATATGCTGGTAGCCATAGGCATGGACGATATGACGTTTGAAGGCTTCGAGGTCGCGGGGCCGCAGGCCACCCGACATGCAGGACTCTAGACAGAGAAGGCGGAGGATAGTTTTAAGCGGTACGTCGCGAGCGATCAGCTCCTCGATGGAGTCGTGCTGGTAAGTGGGGTCGGCGCCGGCGGCGTGGTTTTGCTGTACTTCGAGGATTTTGCGGAAGGTGTCGGAGCGGGTGTTGCGCATGATTTCTTCAGCGAGGTTTGTATGCACACGGAGGCTTTGGTGCTCGAGTTGGTATGTGGGGAGCTTGTTGACGAATTCGCGCAGCTCTGATGTCGACTTGGCGCTATGTCGACTTTCGTACTCGTTCTCAAGACGCCGAGCTACTTTGTTTAGGATGTCGCCAACGATGGCAAAGTTGGTGTCGCGCAGTTGGCTGAAGAGTTGGTCCGTGGCGTCGAGCTGAATCTTCCGCTTCTGACCTAACTTGGACGTCTGCTGTGGTGCTTTCGAGGACTCCTGCGCCTGGGGTGCGGAGGTCATACCGACGATGGCAGTATCCACGTCGGCTTGGTTCTGTTTGATGCCCACTGTCTCGTCGATTAAGCCTTCGTAAGTGAGCTGGGTGAGAAGAGGCGTGCTGAAGTCGACGTCGCGGTCAATGATGACCAAACTCTCTGTGTCTGCACTTGGAAGCAGGCCTCGCGTGGCTAGATCGGCCAAGCCGGAGCTTTCTTCGGCATCCAATTCCTTTCTCATGCGCAGAAGTAGGTCGGCCAAGCGACGGGCGTTGTCACCCTTGCCGATGATACGCGGGAAGTATCCATGCCTCTGCTGAATCTCCATGAGAGCCTTTGCGGCGATGAATATACAACCTGGATCCTTGTGCTACGAACAGTTAGTGGTTTTTTTTTTTTTTTTTTTTTTTTTCCTGGAACGTTCTGTGCCTACCAGGTACAGATCATGAAAGGAGTCTTGCAGCTCCAAGGAAAGGACATCCTGCTCCAGGGGCACAAAGTACAGGGGAAATGAACTGATGTTCACGTCACCGATAATGCCAGCCTCTTCCAAGATGGCAGTGCTTACGAGGGTGCGCCGGGGCACCCAGAAGATGGAGAACTCATATTCAACACGGCCATTCCGCTGCAGACGCTGGATCTGTTCTGGAGACGATGTCAGCTCACATTGATGGTCATAATTTGGCCAAATTATGAAAGAAGGCCATAGAGATAAGCTAGCGATAAAATCGGTATTGATATTGGAATCTCGAACGACTACGTAGAGTGGGAAACGCATCCGCGTAATCTACTGTCCGACCTTTGCCTCCACGAGATAGAGGGTGACAATTTACAATCAAATGCACATCCAGGAATAGAAAACAAGGAGGAAAGAGACCAACGTACCGGCCACAGCCCGCACCTGGGGCGTCTTTTCAGCATGGACTAAGAAGATGACATTGCGTTGCGAGGAATCGACATTGGCATTCTCCAGGAGAAATACACGGTCCACGCCGTACTCCTGCAGCAGCGAGAACTTGACAAACAGCCCAACCGGACCAGTCAGATCCTGGCTGATGACGAGGTTCTTCTTCCCACGCACCTTGGATGGTTCAGCCTGAGCACGCGCAAGGACGACCAGGAGCCTTACTCACGCCTTCCAGGAGAGTCAACAGGTTCCTACGCGTCTGTTCCCGGAGAAAATCTGCATCTGATGCGGGATACGGTGCCATTCTGGGATGCAGGATTGCAGAGAGTGTGGAAAAGAAGAAGAGATAGTTGCCTGTTTGAGGGCATTGAGGATGTGGAGAGGAGAGGCTAGCAGATGACTCAGCAGTGGCTGGTGAATTGCGTGGCTTGAGGCTCAGTCATAATTTATCCTAATATGTCCTAGTGCCAGCACAGCCCCACACTGCCACCATTGTACTGTCACTGTCATGTCACAGTTCTAGTTGCCTATGGCCATTCCACTCAATAAATCCTGTACCCATCATACTAAAAATACTGTGGTGGCTGTAGGTCCCGTGAACGTGGCCCGTTTCCACTTTCTTACACTCCCCTTTTACCTGCATCCTACACTCTCTCCACTTATTCTTATTCTCTTGTGTGTTATCGTTGTCTATTTCTTTCTGTTTATACCCCTTGCATTAGATTTCACACTAGACCTCACGATGGGCAGATTCAGCCTGAAAAAATCCGAAGACGACGACTCTTCCAACCGCTTAGCGCTGTTCGGCTCCCGTTCTAAGAGTAAGAGCCCAGCGCCTCCCGCAAACCCCTATGCGAAGCCCATTCCTACCGACCCATATACCAAGGCCAAGATCAATGCGGGTGTAGCTCCTCCACCCTCCAACGAGCAACCTGGTACGCCGGGGACCGCCAGAGATCCGCATGTTATTCCGGGCGATAACAAGTACCAGGGAGGAGGATATGCCCCCAATCCGTACAATAACACGGGCGGGTACGGGGGGGATCGATTTGGCGGCGGTAGCTCCTCTGGTGCTTCTCGATACGGCCCTGGTGGCTACGGAGGTTTAGGTAGCGCCGATCCCAACGACGCCGCTGCTGGAGATGCCAACCGCGATGCGTTGTTCGGCAGGGCCAGGGAACGCGCTCAGCAGCAGCAACAGCAGGAAGGAGCCCCGCCACCACCATACTCGGAGGGATCGGCGTCATACGGAGGTGGCAGCAATGCGTATAACACGTCTACCTACCAGGAGCGGCAGCTAACAGCAGAGGAGGAAGAGGAAGAGGAGATCCAGGGGATCAAGCAAGACATCCGGTTCATCAAGCAGGGAGATGTGGCGTCGACACGTAACGCCCTGCGGATCGCGGCGCAGGCGGAGGAGACCGGACGCGAGACTCTGGCACGACTGGGAGCGCAGGGAGAGCGGATCCACGACACGGAGAAGCACCTCGACATTGCCAAGGTTGAGGGACGAGTAGCAGAGGAGAAGGCACGCGAGCTCAAGACGCTGAACAAGAGCATGTTCGCGGTGCATGTGTCCAATCCGTTCACCAGCGCTCAACGACGGCGCGACCGCGACGAGAAGATCCTGAACACGCACCGCGAGGAGCGTGCAGCTCGTGAGGGCACGCGGCAGGAGGCGTTCGTCACCAACCAGCGCATGGAGCGCACATTCCGCGAGATCGAGCGGGAGGCGGGCAAGCCGCAGCGTGGTAAGCGCAACATGGCGGACCGCGCCAAGTACCAGTTCGAAGCGGACAGCGAGGATGAGGCGATGGAAAACGAGATCGAGCAGAATCTGGACCTGCTGTCCGGCGCGGCAGGCCGGTTGAACGGGCTGGCAAAGGCGACGGGCCGCGAGCTGGACGAGCAGAATCGACATCTGGAGCGCATCACAGCCAAGGTGAGTATCTTCCTGGGAAGCAGCGAACCTACAACTAATGGGCGTGCAGAGCGACTACGTCAGCGATCAGGTGGCCATGAACCATGCGAAACTGGATCGGATCCGTTAAGGAGGCTGGACTGCCTGTGCCGTTAGGGCTATTTGTTCATACCTCGTCTAATTTTTTTTATTTTCAGTTTCTTTTGCGTCCACTACATTATGGGTCGTGGCGTTTCGGGTGGTCATATCTGTAGAATTGGCATTAACATAATATGCAATCAAAAGACCCTTCATTCTCAATGACCCTTTCCATCCTACATCACAGACGATATCGAAACCTTACGATCTCCCAATCCGTCCTATCCTCATAGTCCTGCTCTCGCAGCTGAATCTCCATCACCTGGTTGACGCTCTGCGTCTTATTATTGGCATCTTGAGCGTCCTCCACCGCACCCCCAATACCCTCAACTCTGTCTCGCGTCCGATTCACCAGAGTCAGGTACACCCGCAGCAACGCCGCCAACGCCACGACCAGCAGATAACACACCAAGATAGCTCGGAACGAAGTTTGATAGACCGGGGCCTCCCTGGCGCGGAAAAGATGCGGACCGGCGATATTCCCAACACAGTAGACGACGAACATCAAACCGGTCATAGTCATTTTCTTCGTCACGCCGCGGTAATTCGCCTGTACGAGGGTCATAGTCAACGGCAAGGTAGCGGGACCCGTAGCCAACAGGAAATAACCCAGTAACTGAACGCCAGGAGCAAGATTCTCGCGGGAATACACCAACGCAGAGCCCGTGACGGAGACCATGGCGACGATCCCAATCAATAGACAGAGCGTGTGACGCACACGGCCGGCTATCCATCCGGAGAGGGTAATTGCAGCGGTACTGATAAGACTGGTTGGGATGTTTAACAGGGCGGTCTGTAAAGGAGAGAAGCCAAACGAGGTCAGAACTAGATTACTGAAATTCTGGACACCCCCATTTGGGATCTGCGTGAGGAGGGAGAGGGCGAGGAGGATGGGAGTTTTCGGGTCACGAAGACATTCAGTTGTCTGCGACCATGACCAGTGGGTTTCTTCTGTGCGACCGGTCCCGGCGACGAGGACGCGCTGCGTCATGAGAGAACGCTGAGAAGGGGTTAGGAATCGTGCAGAGGAGATACAATCTGGGAGGAAGACGAAGATCACTAGGGCCCAGAGGGTCGTGGCTATGCCGAGAATAAGATACATCCATTGCCAGGGATGCAGGGGAGATGTGATATGGCCGAGGGCGTAGGCGAGGAGACTGCCGAGGAGACCACCGATGGAGTTTCCGGAAAACCAGATGGCCGTGCGAATGGGGATCTCCTCGCGCGTATACCAGGTGGTGGTGATGAACATGAAGGCGGGCGTGATGGTGGCTTCGGCGACACCGAGGAGGAACCGCAGCGTCAGGAGGCCGTGGACGTCAACGCAGACGGCTGTTAGAGTGACGACGATGCCCCAGAAGATAGTGTTGATAGTCAGGTATTTGGCGACAGGGACTCGGGGAATAAGCAGGTTGGTGGGCATTTCCCAGGCGAAGTAGCCGAAATAGAAGATGCTGGAGACCCAGCTGTATTGTTGACCGACAAGATGCTGTTATAGAGACATTTAGAACCCGAAAAAAAGGCGACGAGAGAGAGAACATACTGTATCATCGATCAGACCAAAAACAGAGGCACTGGAGAGGATGGATTTGTCCATGAAATTCAACATATACGTGCCAAAGAGAATGGGAATCAGTCGTCGGTCGACTTCGCGGATGGGATTTTCGGACATTATTAATGATGAGAGATAAAAGATGAAGATGAACTGGATGGATAGAGGGATGGTGGGAGTGTCGTTCTAGACGTCTCACCGCATTCCATGCATCGTGACACTTTCAAAGACCTCGACCATTTCCTGTTCAGGTCTTCTTGCAACGACATATCCTTCGCACACTAAAACATGGCCAGTAGATGCCCCTGCTATTATTTCAAGCTTAATGGACAAGTTTTATGATGAACCTATATCTGCAAAGCATTTGTTCATCATTGCACCAGACGCGCGTACCCGACATGAAGCCAGTCTTTCCTTCGTCAGCCCAGGATATTTCTCGAGCCACAACCTTCCCTAGGTGTCTTAGAAACAATTGTCCACAAATAATAAGTCCTTTTCAATAGACACGATTGTCGATCGGCAGGTTGTTCTTCAGAGCGACAATAGAATGCGGAAGTCTGTCAAAGTTGCGTACTCGAACTGAGTGCTGAGAAGGACATATTGAAGCTCGTCAAAGTAAACACCTTCATCCCTGTCCCTCAAGTGCACAGCTACGATACATCCTCTGAGTTCGAGCATCTAGTTATAGAACGGCTTCCTGGCGTGGCATTAGAAAAAGCTTGGCCGACATTGGGCAATCAGGAAAGGGAGGGAATAGCTGAAGAGGTTGTTACGTAGCTTTATGAAATGCGGAAATTGCATTCTCCGGATATCAGGATGGCCTTACTTCATCGAAAGCCTCTTCAATACGGGCTTGTAGATGCAGCGGATTTTAACAGAGAAAGATTCAGCCAGTTTTCCAGCAACAAGCATATTTCCGCATATGTGGAGGCTAGACTAAAAATCTGTCTCCTCAGCCAAAGGTGTTGACACACAGTGACTTGGATTGGAGCAATATGTTGATTACCGACAAAAAGGCCATCAGTATAATCGACTAGGAATGTAGCGGTTTCTTCCCCGGATATCGGGAATAGGTGACCATAAGCGTTTTGCAGAAAATCTGCCAAATGATATCTGGTTTCCTTTAGCGGCAAACCGGCTTGAGCGATCTTGCAGTGGGCCGGAATGTGGCAATTGGAGCAGTTGCATAAAGTCGTGGGAGGTATACGCAATGAGGTTTAACACCTGAAGACAAGAGGAGAATTGTACAGATAGATGGGCCAAAGTTACCAAAATATTTGAACTCGACTGTGGTGATGCCCCTCCAGTTGACTACGCAGTGTCAACTAAACATCCTTGGTAGATTAAGAACCTGGAAGTAACCTAGAAGAGCCATATTCTAGTATTTTGTGTGCGTTTTCATATTGACAAGATGCCGTTTTAGTTAAATGTCCTCGATATTTATATACTTGACGATTGGACTTCACTTAGGATCGCCAAAGATAGCTACCGGATCTTCCACCATAGGAATATGCATTACATCCGTGGATAGACATTCTTGCTTTTATAATTACTCAAGAGTAGTTCATCAATGTTGCGGAACTTTGCGAAGGAAATCACTTGAAATAAACCTGGAGTATGCGCCAAACCGCTTCTTAAAGAGATATAAAAACAGCTTATTGCTTGCTATAGTACTGGGATTGATTCTTCACGCAAAGGGGCTGATTTTGCCTGCAGGATGGAAATAGAGAGTGGATTACTACAATTGCTTGTGTTTGCGCAGATGGGATGTCTCTTTCTCCTAGTCTTATATACCAGGCTGTCTCTGGGAAAATTCAAAACACATGGCTTCAGATTTTAATCCTAATGACCACCGCTGCTTCTTTACATCATCACCTAGTAGCTGAACAAATAATAAACTGGGATACACATGGCTTACTACTTATTTAATCGCGAAACAAAAGCAAAGGCATGAAGGCGTTGTCGACTTCTAATTCTTGGTAGCCAAGGCTCCCATATTACTATGAAGTTTATTAACTTCTGTGTGTGATGGTTTGGTTGTCTCTGCGCTAGTAGAGATAAAACCACTTGACCATATAAAAAGGTACAAGACGACTGATCCGAAGATCAGTCGCATCTAGCGCCCTATATAGTATGTTACAGGTTCAGCCTGTGACACTGTGACGCAAATAGGATTCTTCTAACTATATAACCACTTTATTCAACGCACAGTTTGCAGCCACTTTAAGTTAGCCCTTTCAATCCTATTTCTTATGCATATAATGATAAACTGGAGCAATTTATGCATGAATGTCAAGGATTAAGCTATATTACCAAGCAAGATTTCTTCAGACTGTTTTGGCCAAGCTGGAATAAGGCTTTTTTTAATCAAAAATATCAACAGTGCATTGAAGTCTGTTTTTCTGCATCCTTGGGATCTGGAGATTGTTTTGGCACGCTTTACCAGGAAGAAGAAGGCCCTCTTCTAGCGAGTCCTCACAATCTATTTTAAAGGCAGAAGACTGGCGTCACATTAAGAAGCTTAAGAAAATTGTTTCTGATATTTACCCTAAAGATGTCTAGAAACTAAATGATTTAATACTGCATCTTTCACAGAGAATATTCTTCTTAAACTGCAGAATTTAGGAATGAAAAAAGCTCTACAGAATGAGTAGAAAAAGCGACAGCGTGGGAAACCTTTACAGCTTTAACTTCAGGCTCCAGAAAATGGTACTGCAGTCATTTACAGCCCAAAAAACATTCAACAAGCACGCAAACTTCAAGCTGAGAAGGACGAGATACACGGAAAGCTGCTAAAGAGGAGGATAAGATACGTCGGCAGCAGGAGAAGGAAGAGAAACAACGCTTGATTGAAGAGCAACAGAGAATGTTAATACGAGTTGCAGGTTCCGGAAGCAGAGAAAAAGAGACGCCGGAAAGAAGAGAAGGCCGCAAAGCAAGCTGCTATGACTTCAAATGACATCAAAACAGGCCAATAAAGATAAGAAGACGGCTGCAGGACCTGCTACAGCAAAGGAAAGGGAAGGTATTAATAAAAAAAAAAGGTGGAAGAGGTGGAAGAGACCCCTAGTGCTGTAAATAGGCGTGGAAGGTAAATACAGCTTCCCCAGCGATTCGGCAACACCAAAAATTAGCTATATAGCTTCTTCTGTATTATATTCTGCTCCACAAGATATCTAATCATTTGATTATTTCGTTGTGGCAGTATAGCTTTATTTCTACATTCCTGGTTGACCTGACAATTGGGCGTTGAGTGATTGGGCAGTGATGGAATAGCCCGCTAATTAATGCATTATTCAGCATAAACAAATCATTGCTGTATCACTATCGTCACCACTATGTAGAATAAAGAGTTTTACATGTCAGTGATGACTATGGATATTTCCCAAAACAGTAAATAAAAAGCGACCAAAGTATAGACGAGGATAGGAGGAAGAAGACAGCGTATACCATGTGACATAATAGTGGCATACAACATCCTGTTTGATCAAAGTCGCATCAAATATAGAATTCTTGAATTGAATAATAGATGCCCTAATATCTAATTACCCCATTGAGAGTTAGGTCTATATCTTCACTACTTACGCCAGGTTCAAGGTATATGAAAATAAGAATTGTCTCGGAAATGTCGTACCGACATTGATGCCTACAGCAGAATATTAACCTAACTACTTAAATAAATGTTTAAGAGTATCCTATTTTCTTACCAGTTGGTTTTCGTCTTTAAAAAAGTTCTATGAATTAGTAGCCAGTATGAATAAGATTTTGAGAATGAAGGCTATATTAGGAGTTATTCAAGGGGTGGAGAACTGCAATTACCATCATATTTGTAAGGCTAGTTCTGCCAACTCGCATCACGCTCATGCTCTTCAGATTGCGGCAAGAATTCCATCCTGAGTTCCATAATTTGATGACAGGGCCACTCGAAATTCTCAGGCCCTGTGCCTTTTTCTAGATCTATTCCCAGATGGCTTCTGATTCTGGATGATAACATTTCAGACTCGTTCTATTTACCTGGTTCTTTTATCGCCATGTCTCTTTATTCATCAGAGAAAGGCAATGGGTAAGGGACGGACGAGATAGAGCTCCAAAACTGAGGACTAGTAAAGCTAACAAAGGCAGCATAGAGGTTGATAATATCTGCATCCCAAGGGTACCCTGTTTGGGTGACGGAATAGATATTGCCGCATACAAAGGTGTGGAATCTTAAGAGCTCTAAGATGGGCGTTATTGTGAATTATAGTTGCTGCTGCGTAGAATAGATTCGCTTCCTCTAGGCGCAATTTTGGCTCTGGCTTGTAATTGTTCTTCAGTTCACTTTTTTTGATATGTTATGTTCACAAAAAGCCAGATAGCCTATCTGTATAAATAGCAAAAAATTAACAGCATCTTGCTAACTATTAATGCTAGCAATCTTGTTTGACCCAGGCTCTAGTAGAATATTACTTAACCTAGGTCCAGGTGTCCCAGTGTTGGGGAATTATATTCAAGTTCTAGCGGAATCAAGAAAGGCACCAGCTTTAAACCTTGGAAAGGAGTAATAGAGTGGTTTATATTATATTTAGTTGGAAGAAATGTCTGTCTGGGTCGAGGTTCAGTGTAGTATAGAGTACAAGCTGTCTCTCGGCCTGCTGCAGATGTAAAATAAATGCCCTGGTGAAAACCATGCAGAAGTAATTCTTCTTTAATATCACACTTGTGGTATAAGCTACCTTATGCAAGGAATCGGAAAGTGAATATTTTCTGCTCTATGTCTGCTAAAGTTGTTCGTTCTACGATATTTGTCACTTCCGTTTGAGATCTAGCCATCTTGATAAAAGACTTTTACCATCTACTGGTTTCACTATGACGTATTCCGCTCCAACTGGATTATCTGGAGATGTCAAATAGGCCAGAACGTTTGGTACTGGAATTCCAAGAATGACGCGCAAAAAGTTTATAGAAACAAACTTCGCTAGCGGTAGTATAACAAGGACCGGAGATTGGAGTAGGAATACGCGCAATAACTTCATGAGTGTCATTTACTCTAAGTAGAAAGAAATACTTTGTTGAAGCCACCCTCTTCAAGTTTTACAATGCATTGGCACTGGTCCTGTTGTATTGCTTTGCCCGCGACACGCTGAAGCTCTGCTAGATCGAATTTAACATATCTCTCTCCTTCAATCGTTCGGCTTCGTTATATATGAAATCCTATGAACCTATAGTGTAGAAAGCCTTGTAAAATACTGAAGCTGACATCTATCGCCTAGACGTTAAATTAGAGGGCCAGTGAGAGCGTGACGGAATAGCCATAGAAATCTTCATGGGTCGTTTTAAGTCTTCGATGACGTCATGGCTGTTTGAAATACTTCGACTACCAGCTAATAGCCAAAGGTGTTTAAGCATTATTTTAAAGATACAAGACAATCATTCTTGAATCTGACAATGGATGTTGAGAAAGGTTGGTTTAGGTTCCACAGAGCTAGAGAAAAGAACCTAGAAGATGCAGCTTTAAAAGAACATAAAATACTTATACAATTAGTGCTTCAAACAGAAGAGAACGTCGTTATTTTAATACGCATAAAGATTTGCTACATTATCCCATAGATGCCTGTCAAAATATTGATCAGCCGGTCTCAATAAAATCACCCTGTTCCATTTGAACCGCCTTGTGAGGCTCGATTTTTCAACGTCATCATCCTAGCTGCCGCTAAATACCAACCACAGCCAGTTCCCAAATCAATTTTCCTTCCAATCATACCAACGGAATTTCAATCTCTTAAAGGCTGTCAATCATGAATGGAGTCTGACTAGGCTGTTAGAACTGCGAAACTTCAAAGGCAGCTTTGTGTGCAAGCAGCACCAAGTTCGACTACAATACAACTGAGTTGATCATGTATCATTTGATTAGACAATAAGTTATGCTTAATAGAGTAGCGACCGTAATGACACACTGTGCCTATGCTCCAAAAAAAAAAAAAAAAAAAAAAAAAAAAAAAAAAAAATAATAATCCCAAACAATCGATCGAGCATGCATAGTCGGCACTCCCCATTTCATGCTTCGTCCATTTGCAACAGGTATCGACCCTTCGTCATTTGGACTCGGCACTTTAGCATAATTCGAAACCCCCACTAAGCCGTCGGACAGAAATTACCATCCAGGTCAATTTCATCCTAGGGAGCAAATGCTCTAGGGTCAAACGCAGACGGAATCAAGTGTAAAAAGAAAAGAAAAAGACCTGCAGCGACAATTTCCGGAAAAGATAAAAAGAAAAAAGCGAACCCCAGAAAACTCAGAAATAAGAAAAATCAATACTCAATAATCACAACCCAGTTGGTATCGGAGAAAAGATTCGTGCCAGAATAAAAAAAAAATCACCATCACCCTAGTCTAAGCGAGAGGAAGAAGAGAACAATAAATCACCATGCAAGGAAACAACCAGTACCTCTATGGTCATAACGTGGGAACAAATCAAAAACATCACCGAGAGATCCCCTTGGCCCTTGTACTGTATCCTGCCGATCCATGATAATAGAAATAAGAAAAGGGGTATCAACTCTGTCATCTGCAGAGACGGGAAAGAAAAGAAATCAAGAAATGTATAGAATCCGCAGAAGTGGGTGCTGTTGTACAAGGGACGAGGCCTTATCAAAGATGGTGAACTGCAACGAGCCACTTTGAGCTCCCTCGTTGATTCACACTGGGATAAGGATGGGGAAAGGGGAAAAGGCATTAAGCATATAAAGGAGGTAGGTGGCGAACGATTCACTCGTCATCTTCACCTGAAACTCCATCCTTTTCGCCCTTGTGGACCTTCTTGTGCCGTCGAAGGTTTGAAACAACCGAAAAATGTCGACCGCATCCTTCCACATCACATGCGAAAGCTAAGGATCGAACTGTCAGTATCGCCAACACTCTAGACCACGGATGCAGACTTGGAACTTACGTTTCTCGCCAGTGTGACTGTACATGTGAGTCTGCAAAGAGGAGGGTCGAGTGAAACGTTTATCACAAATCTTGCACTTGTGCTTCTTCTGGGTGTTCGATGGCATTTTCGAGCTGAATTGGCTCATCATCGACTGAGGTCCAGGAGGCGCGCTGCCAGATAGAAGGTTCGATGGGCGAGGAAGAGTCCGCGACAAGTGTCCATTCTCGTATGACTCGGATGTCGTGGAGCTATAGTCCGTCACAGATGATTCAACCGAAGCGACAGAGGCACTGTAATAAGGATAGGTCCCTCCTGAAGAGATTGAAGATCCAGAAGAATGGGTAGAAGGGAAGCCGTAAGAATCTCCCGAGGCCCTCGAGTTGCGTGGGCCGTAAATGTTACGAGGTGTTAAGTCCTGGCTAAGGGCAACCATTCCGCGACTGGCATCGAGCGCATCACCGAAGGTAGGGGCTGGGGGTGGTTGAGGCGGTCCCACACGGGCATCACTAAAGCGAAAACATTGTGAGCTTAACTTTTCGCACAAAGCCTTCAAGTTGAAACGTTGGAAGGGGACGAAAACTATTCCACACGTGCAGCAAAGCCAAAACCGGGGAGTGGTTCTTACGCATGGGATATCCGACGGTCTTGGTGAAGAGATGGAGCATAGCTCAGAGGTGCATAGCTTGCAGGTGGGAAGGTGGTCATCGGCGAAGCCGTGGTATAAGCAGGGGCCTGTTCGAAGGAGGTACGCGGCAAATCGTGCTGCATGCCCATGACCTCGGGGCCAGGGTAGCTTGTTGTGGTTGTGGTCGAATAATTACTTCCAGTAACCATGGACGGCGCAGAGACGGGAATACTCGAGTACGGCGGCATGGACATGGGCGACGGCCGGCTCACTTCATCTTGTTTGCCATGGTTGAGACTCATGGAAGTCGCATACACAGGCGGGGTGGAATGGGACGAAGTATGCGCAGCGGACCAAGGGTCGGTGAACTGGGGAGGATTGTGGTGTGGCATATTGTGTTGATAAACATTGTCGAAGCCCATCCCGCCATATTGGCGGTTCTGGTTTTCAATGACCATCGTCATGGAGGATAGTTGCTATAGAAAAAAGATTCCGAATCTCCTTGTTAATTTTTTGTTTATGCAGATGTGCCGCGGAAGAGGCGATGTCTTAACAACAGCCTCCAACAATGTGTGGTTCAAACACAACGGGGCGATCAAGGGGAAGGTGATCGCGACGAAGACAAGAGCCCTGAGAACGTGGACGATGTTGACAGCAGTTAGGGGATGCAATATGGATAAAGGGAGAGAAGATCAATCAATAAAGAAATTGAATTGATCCGCGTGCGATAGACAAGGAGAATAGAAGAAGCGCGGAGCAACAATACTCAGAGAGGAAAAAATAAAATAAAAAACAATCCGAGCAAGAGCAAGAGTTAAATAACAAAAGAGGTGAATCAGAGCGACAATCTACCTTTTTGGGGAGAGCGACTCAGGAACAACGAGGGAAAGGGAGAAGGAGAGGTAGATGGATAGGCAGTCTGGGGAAGGGCCCAAAGGGGATCGACGAAGCTTATGAACAAATACAGGATCTCAGCATGAGGATGGGCCGCAGGGACGAAGGGAAGCCCTGGCGTTGCCGTGTTGGTAATGGTCTAGTGCCACTGACGACGACGTCCCGTCGGGGATGGTTGCAGATCGTTACTTTGGGCCGCTTAGGCTTCGAAACGGCGCCAGTGTTAAAAAAAGGAAGAAGAGGAATTGCTTAGTGCCAGTGAAATAGGAACCAGTTCCTCGGGTGACCAAGGTTTTGGATGGGTCTTTTGGTTTTTTTTTTTTTTTTTTTTTTTTGGCCTTTTGATTTTCTTTTTATGTCTTTCCTTGGTTAAAATTTGAATTTCGAAATTAGTTTGGTTTGATTTAATTTTTGGTGCTTACTGATCAGTTTTTATTTAGGTATTTGATTTTTTCCCTCTTCCCTTTTCCACATAGTCTATGCAAATTAATTCTATTACTAGTTTTCTATTCCATAATCAGTCAACAATTCTACTCAAAATACAAATCATGCAAAAAAATAATAACAATATTAAATAAACAAACACATAAATTCTAAGTCCTCTAAGTTTAAGTAGTACCTATTAATTTTTCACATAAACCTGCGATGAACAGCATTCTACAGTAGGGAACAGGGAATCAGACACGCACACACACAAGAAAGAGAGTGGGAGGGGGAAAAATAAAAAAGAAATAAAAAAAGCAATTATAAGAAAGCAGGGGAAAGAGAAAAGGGGAGACCTGAAACTCCGGGATCGGAACCAAGTTTGTATCAGTGAATGTTATTAAATACCGGATCACTCCTCTGCAAGCTGTATGTAATCTGTAATAAATACAGAATGCACCCATTGCTGGATCCATTTCAATATGAGTACCAGAAAACTTGAGTCGAGAGGAACAAAAAGTCAGATCAACTTCAATGATAAGAACATGTTAGATAATTCCTCGAGAATAAAGGGGGAAAAAAATAAATAGAAGAGATCGTGGAGAAAAATACAAGTTGGGGAAGGGGGAAGCAGATGTGGATTATGAGAATAGCCCAGAGAGAAGCACAAATACAGAACTAACTGACTACTGTACCATAAGAGACAACTGCCAGCTGCTTATTCTATCCGGAAGTGAGTAGGAAATGCTCCGTACCGGTACCGTGTGTTCTCCAAGCTCCCCAAATGGCAGCGGGCTGCGCGAATAATTCATAAGAGAGAGGGGGGGGGGGCGGTGGGCTCACTCAAGCCAACGGAGAAAGATCAATTGGGCAGGAGGGTGGTAATTGTTGAAGGCACACTAAGAACTCCCCCTACAGTGACAAAATGTTTAGTGTTCAGAGAGGGGAGCAAAATGGGGGAGGGGCAGTTTGTGCCGTGTCTACACAAGTAGAAGTGTGTTTGGAGGAGCAACCAGAGCAAAAGGAGAAAAGCGCGTGGGAGGGGCTTACAGACACGAAAAGCCAAAATGGGAGGGAAAAAAAAATAAATATTCCACAAAAATGGAAGACGATGCCAAGACTTAAGCTTAGATGTAGCGACCAAGGTTCGCATTGAGCCCTTCAAAGTGTTTCAACGTAGCGGGGAAGAGGCAGATCACAAAGATACGTCAAAGGGTGTACCCGTTCCGTGGGGGACGCTCTATGGCAACTGGAGATAAAAAAGCTCCCAGAGGGGTGGTGGATCCCATCCACCTGCTGCTCTGTGGTTCAATGGTTCTGTCCCTTTTTCTTTTCTTTTTTTCCTGTCTTTCTCCCCCTAATAATACGGTAAGTAATGTATTCGGGAATTTGGTTTCCACGGGGGTCAAGCATACCTGAACCATCTCTTCTACCACCTGCTTCTGTGGTTTCTAACCGAGTTGATACAGAGCGAAATTATTTCCCGGTAGAAATAGTTCGCCACCTTGCCTACAGCAGAATGCATCATTCTGCCGACCATGATGCAGATGTACGGAGTAAAGCAGGAGCAAGAATCGAGTTCCGCAGCTTACCATGCGATGATTGGCCTGTTAGAAGGAATGGTTGATGACTTGGCCGTCAGGAAAAGGCTGCGGCCCCAACCGCCCTATGAGCGGCGGCTGCATAATACCGGTAAATAATCCTCGAGGATGGGCATGTGGTTACTGTGCTACAGTTTGCTGCAGCTCGATGATGTAGGAAAGCAAGTAGTCAGGTACAGACAGCGGATTTACATGAGGCTACAATTGAAAGAACTGTTTATTTCGATAGGAGACGACTACATACCTCTACAAGCACCTAAGTAATGTACTCTGTATATCTGAGACCTGCCGCAGGAGACATCTCAGACATACTTAACACTCCATACGTACGCGCATACTAACCATATCCCACGTACGTAGGCACATAGTTTTAGTATCTATGCATGCATAGGAAGAGCTTTGACAAGCATTCTTTCCCCTCCCTCTTCATCTACTGTCTGCAGTGGTGGTGCAACGTGACTGTACATCGTACTCCGAACGTACCTACCTACCGTAGATGGCTGGCTCACTGGATACATCATGCATATCTGGAATCCGTCACAGGCGTGCTAGCCACGTACACCTCATTCTTTAAAAAAGAAAATTATCCAACAGAATCCCATGCCCAGTGTTGAGGGGAGGGGGAGAGGGGCAGTTAAACACTAGGAAAGAAACTATATACAAATTAGTAAGTAGCTGGCGGTCTGCACCGACACTACGGGACGTCCAAAGTGAACATTAATTAATTTGGGAAAAAAAAAAAAAAAAAAAAAAATTGGCATATGCACGATAACAGATTGCCACCAGCGACACAGAAGAATCTATTGGAGATCGCAGGAAGGTGAAAAATATTTTCCCCAGTTGTGTTCTGCAGCGATCATAACCTCCCGCGGTTTAACTCCAAATAAGTAGTGGTACATTGTTGTTGATTCTCCCGACCAGGAATGTGATTTCTCCGGTCTACTTCCTAAAATTCCGACATGAACGAGTTCAGGTACATCCCCATAGAGTGTCAGACAGATTCTTGTGAAGACCTCAACCGTTGTGGGTATCCACAGACGGGAAACAGGAATCCGCTATCGAGTCGGACTTGGACCACACCCCTCATCTGTGGTTTGCACGAAGTAAGAGAGGGAATTAAAAAAAATTAAAATTAAATAAATTAAATGAAGTGTCACTTTGAGTACCTCGATTTCAAGAATTTACAGAATTCTCAGTTGGCTCGCATTATTGGTATAGACCGCATCCTCTAATATTCCCTAAATAAAGTACTCTCTGAAAGCCCAAAACGCTCGGACATTTAAACTCACGGTGTTTTCCCACTCTGAATTTAATCGGCCATTGATTGTCGAGGCAATGTACCGCCCGCCCATTATCGATTCAGATCGCACCCATGTTACCAGGATCCCATGGTGCAATCGATCGGTCCTTGGATCTGTTTGGCTGCTAGTGGCACAGAACAAAGCTATTTCTGGTCAACTGAGCACCTCAGAATCTAAGGGCGGCTAGAGTTCTAACCTCATACTGTCGATAAAATTGAGGAGATTGGGAATTTTAAGTTTGATTTTATTCCTCAGGGTCTTTTTTCTCCCCGGGCATCGCCGGCTGTAAGTGGTCAAGAAGAACATGTTCTATTAGTTGGGGCGTTCACACAGGAGATGGTGCGGTGGATTCCACACTAAACACTAGTGGCGACATATGGCTATTGAAATTGAGAATATAACACATCACACGCGACTTGACATCTACCTTGGGCGAATACTCTGTAGCTATAGTAATAGAAACCTGTCATTGGTAAGTGAACTAGAAGGACGCATCGGAACCGATCCCAAAAGGGAGATAAGGGGACCCTCTCTGTAACTTGAAACTGAATATTTACGCTGGAGGTAGGTACTCCATAAGCAATATTGTAATTCTTAGCATTTGATCAAGATTAAAACTATATAGAAAAAGAACAAAACAAAACAAAACAAAACAGTCAACCTTACGGCGTACTTGCATGCTAAATGGAAGATCGAATCGTATACTCCGTACTCCGTACCGATTGCAGGATTGATGTATCTACGGATTATGTCTCTCCTTGCAACAGCGTGTCGAGCGTATCTCAACCCCAGAGGATGCCCGGGGAGGAAGATTGTGGGTGCCCACTCTGCAACCATTCGGCTGGGGCGTTCCTTTTGCCCACCCTTGATCTCAAACCTGCCTACCTCCCGACGCTTGGCCAGAAGCCACAGTGGTACAAATATGATAGGTACAGCTCATCACAATCAGAACTAGCTTAACTCTAAGTTGGAGAGGTTGGAGAGTATTCATTTGGTAATAGCCGTGGAGGATACTTTACAGCAGAATTTCTTCTTTTTAATTATATATTTTTAATCTTGGACCCTGTCCAGTAAACAAGCAACTTAAAGTACTGGCGGGGTATATACTCTGGAGTAAAAGACATAAATACAACCACAGTACCTAGTCACACTAGCAAGGGGGAATAATCAACAAGAGAAAAAAAAAAAAGGAGAAGCCGATTATCGGAGAGTCTGAACCTTGGAAATGGGAAATCTTAAGAATGGTTGACCTCGTGGTTTTGGAGATAAACATGGATTTGAGAGCAAAGAAATTCTCTGGGGCCAAAAGGAGTTTAATCAGGCCCAAGAACCAAACATGGGAGAACCAAAAGCAGCAGGTGGTTACTTAATGGGGGGTTCCCGCGAATGAGAGGCATCCCAGTCCAGGCAAAACGTGGCTCCGATGTCCTGTGTAGCATCCACACGGCCAGCACGAGGTTTTGCCATGCGGATACTTAGTTGAAGGTCAAGTTCTGGATCGTGGTTCGATCTCCATCCCAACCATAGAAATTTGAACTCAGTCCAGTCCATGGCTCGCGACTTCTGACTCAACTGATTCAACGACCCTATAACCATCCTAGAGCATCAAATAATGAGCAGGTGTTTCAAGTCTCCAATTCTGCACTTGATAAAAGTGGAAGGTCTGCACATCCCTTCCTCTAAGGCCCGAATGCCCCATCTTCCATCTCCCGAATTGGTACTGAAGAGAAATAGAGACTGGATAGCCTGCACTAGTTGCTAAGGTTATAAAGTAAGCTACTCTAATGGAACACATTAGGGCAGCGTTCTACAGCTAAGGTCCACCTTCCCAGAGGCAATAGTATATCACTCTATTGTATAATCCTAGTCAAATTGAAATCGAATTTTGACTAATGAACTGTCCTCAAAAACCAGGTATTCCCCGCTGCGGTCTAGCATGTCATCTATCAAGGAAGAGAGTAAAATGACGAGTTCATACGGGGTAGTTTCGACGTTATGTCCACGCGCACGACCAATAAGAACCACAATCAAATAATGCTGGAATTTCACCTCCTCCCCGGGGTTTGTGGCAACTCAAGACCGACCCGCGTTCAAGCAATAGAAGCTAGCACCGAACTTGACTTTAATCCTGACTCTGCGACGATGGGAGCATCGGGATATCTCCTTGCTGTAGTCTATCCACTCTGTCCGGTCAGGATCCTATGACCTAGATAGGTACCTAGGATATGCCACACCTTCGTTGGAGAGAACACGGATGGCTTACTATCAGAGTACGTACAGTAGTAAAAATATGCTCCGCCACAGACGGGAGCGCCGAAAATGCCGGGAAACTAAAGGTAAGTTCTCCGGAGGAACCTGGTTTTCTGATGATTTAGAGAGAGGCCTAAGCGGGTGAGCATGGCGTAAACTCTTGGGGCGCCCATACGAAGGCAATTAAATGGTATTTTTAATAGATATAAAATTACGTGGAGAAAAGTGAGCATACGAGTTCCCACAAGGAACAACAGGCCCTCTATTCTCAAGAGTAGCGACTGTCTGAGCTATTTTGATGGCCACTAGCCTCATCTCGTGGACGTAAAGGATTAACATGCTTCGTTGACCGCCATGCAATTGGGTCCTCACCGCTTTTCCTGAAATCTGGCTTTCCATTTGCTGTAGACAGAGCCTTCAATAAGGCTCGTGAACACGTTTGATTATGATCTTTATTATTTTGATTATTCGATTATTATTACTAGCATTTTATTTTCTTTTTCTTTATGCATAGCCCTAATTTCTCGTCTTCTTTCCCTTCAAAGACCTGCTAGCTGTGATTAGGTCTAGTTAACTCCACATTCCCCCTAGAGAGGAATAAGTGGACCCTTGACACGGCATATCCTCAAAAACGCGTAACTGGATTGGAGACTATCGGCGAATCAGCTGCCGAGAAAATAGAGCCCGCTGGACTCTAATCCCAAATCCATTGCGGGGGTTCCTGATCGGGGAATCCGGTGGGGTATGCTATTCATCCAAAATGACTAACTCGTATTAAAGGACCGCAATGGTTGCCAGATTGGAATTGGGTCACTGGGGCAGGTCTAACCTACCAGAGGATGGTGGTGGGTTTACCTGGCTTGTGCCGAAGGCTCGGGCATGTTGATGAGGGCATTGGCACTTTCTGATCAGAGTGCAGGTATGACTTGAATTTGGATGGAGTAAGTTGGAGACGGAGTAGATGCTGTTGACATACACAGCTGTCTCTATTCATACAAACATACCAGATACCAGATCGAGGTCAGAAGCGGCAGGCGGCTAACCTACCCTGCCCAGGTCTTGTTGTTATTATTAGAGCTTAATTTCGCTTCCCAAGAACAGTGGATAGCGTACGCAACAGATACGGAATATCGGAGTACAGCATTAAGTAGTTAGTAGACATCAACTTTCCCCGCCAAGCCCGATTTGGAGGACTAGGATTCCGTTCCCCCCGATGACGATGACAAAAGAGAGTGCAGAAATAAGGCGCAAGTGGAGGGACAGCAGGAGGATTTTACCCAAATCGCACTGCATGCTTACGGTTTGATTATCAGCAATGCTTGATCTTGATCTCCGTTCGTTAGGGGATACGCCTCCTAAAATAAATCAATCTGCAAGAGCCATCGATCTCGGCAGATTGACATCGGCATTAGTCTAGAAAAGGTTCTCTCAGGGTTCGATGGACTTTCAGGATTGATCATCGCCGTCTGGAGATGCCTTATTTCCAGGACTGAAACATAGCATTTTGCTAAAAAAGGAAAATTAAAATTGCTTAAATATCTTTCATCTGCACAGGGTCCATCTTGGCGGATCCCACTCGGCAGATCGCCATGATTGGCAGTACATAGTACGGATTGCATCCTAAGATTTAATAGGTCTTGGAAGGATCGTAAATCAAATACTAAGAATCATCTATTGAGCTATAGTATGGAAATAAAGCCCCTTGTTGATGGCGTCCACTAACTATAGAGTAGGTAGGTCCGTGTTAAGAAATACATTTCCTTAAACCCTTTATCCCCACCAACGACACTACGGCTAGCAGCCGGTGATTCAAAACAAAAAAGAAGAAAAGGTCCCCGAAACGAACCCCAGTCTCTGCCAAGCTACTAGAATATTGAATGAACTTCTGCGGATGCCACAAGCAAGTCTGTAGCTCTATCAGGGGCCAGCGGGTAAGGTCGCCGACGAAGGAAATTGTGTGGCTGGGTCTTATCCGTCGTCGGTCCCAAATATTTGACTGAATGAAGAGGGGGTATCCATATTCCTCTAGAAGTAGGAAGATTACATGATGATTGGCTAAGGTGGTGGTACCTTGAATGTACCTAGGTAAAGCAAGAAGAGCAGAACCCTGAATTGGCAACTTTCCTACGGGAAATGTTCCTTTCCTTAGACTAGGGGATATTTACCTCCCTGATTGGCCCCTACTCCCGACACTACACCCTTATGTATGGAGCACTACCAGTTTAGGGTGGGCCAAGAATCAACATATCGCAAGTTCCCAACAGGCCTTTTCCCAGGTGATCCACATGGTTTAGATAAAGGATGATAGTGTTGACTGCAATGCTAGACTAGGGAGGCATAGTGCAAAGCCTGAGAAAAAAATAAATAATCGGACACAAATAATAGTAGGTAAGCCATTGGCGCACCGAGTAGAATTTAATTTTAAGAAGCAGGGAAGCATTCAGCCACATGCCCCAGAGACGGCAGATAGTCGATAGCCGATCTTGGCTCAGGCTGATAACCCAATCATCGAGTGGGGACCCACAGGAGCTGACGCGTGCACATCTCACAAAGCTTTCCTTATTCTAGCTGAACCTTTCCTGTTTTAGTATAAAGTTTGGGAGGCACAATTCTTTTTTTTTTTTTTTTTCACTCGAAATTTTCACCTTTGTTTGTATGCAGCAAGCATCCAGATGATTAAGAAAAACTACACTTATTCGAGGAAATTATGTACTTTGTATTCTACGCTACGTTGTCTATTTTCTATTTCCAATTCTCAGAGCTACCTCAACCCTATAAGATAACTAAAGCAGAATCTAGATAATGTCTGAACCCCGCACCCCAATCCCTGTGTGTGATCCTGGTAGGCTCCACCACCACTGCCACTTCAAGGGTTAAGGCTAGGAGCAGTGTGAAACACGCCGTTCCTATGCCCTGTTGATAGAGAATGGTATGAACTAAATCACAGACTAAACTAATCGCGCTCCACTATTGAGGTACTAAATGTGAGAAGGGGAGAAAAGCAGAAGTTAGATAATATCACAGACAATTAGTGATCATTCCACCTACCTACTCCAGAAAAGGAGTTTTGTTCGTGGAATGAGGAAGAAAAGGGAAATAACGGAAGAGCCCGACTGGTTGAAGGAGATAGACTACCTATAAAGTACTGTAGGTACAGGGGTACGTCATCCACAGCTCTCTGTTCTTCAGACTGTTCATCCCTGTCCGCATCTCAGAGTACTTACGAAGTACTCCGTATGTATCACCTCCCGAATATCGAATCCCTACCTCCCCAACTGCCTCTATGCCTACGGTACTTGCAATTGTCTGTTGGCTATGTCATCCCCCCTCTACCGGCTCTGTACGGCACAAGACGTTGAACAAGCTTCTACTGGTCAGCAGCCTCCCGGACGGACAAATGAATCTAGTGTGCAGAAAGTGGGTCCCATCTGTTCTTGGCCTATGTCAATGGCGGAAGCGATGCGTCCTGAAGGGGGGTTGAGAACTTGGGAGGGAGGGCTAAAGCGTTAATGACACAAACTAGGATTACATCCCCCAAGACAAGGCGCCAAAGACCCTTCTGACGCCATCACCCACTACCTTATTACCTACCCTATTGATAGGCGTCGAGTAGATTGGACGCGTACGTACCCCGTATATCGTGTGCCATCCTCGGCTTAATCAATAAATCCACAGGGAGATGGCATACGAAACATTGCTTGGATCAAGTATATACACACTATACAAGCTGATGGAGACCCTGCGTTTGCGACTAGACTGGAATAGGCAGTTGAAAAAAGCACCATAATAAATAGAAACGTTCTAGGGTGTTGTTCCTGAGAATCATGACTGTTATAGAGACGATCCCTGATCTGAGTCATCGTCCAGGCTTCAAACATGGATATGACTAATAAATCCTTCCAGTTTAGCTGTTGCGCAATATGAGATACACGTACGCAGGACGCGATCACGAAAAGAATTTTGATAATTAATTGCATCAGTCTTATACTCTATCCAGTAATCGTTCTCAATTCCTCACATCACGAGGAATTGTCAGAACCGAACTGAAAGCGGCCCCTCTCACATGTACCGAGGGGCAACAAAAAAAAAAAGGAACAGCGTAACATCCAACACGAAAAGGATGTATACTATTTTATTAATTGCTGCTGATTCGTAATGGTCGCAAAGCTAAACACGGGCAGGAGGCAAAAAAACTAGAATTAAACCACCGTGGACGAGCATGCAGACAGGCAAAATATCAGCCGACATTGATAAACCAACCTGAATCTCAATTTGTTCGATTCAGCCTATGACGGTTAACCTACCGAGTAGGGAGTACCTTGTATCCCTGGATACAAATATAACTTACGAGACCAAGGAAAACGATTCCACGGAGGCCTTCCTATCACAAACCAGGCAAGGTTACATGCGCATGCCACAGGCAAGTTGAATAGTGCAGTGGGAGGGGAAACTGACGACGGTGGTGTGCATAAACTGCATGTTAGTCACTCTCTGGCTCAGCTTACTCGAATAGACTGGACCAGATAGTTTGGTTGTATGGGTCGAGACGTCTGAGCCATCTGATCTATCATGCCGTGATTGCATCCGTGCTTTTCATTCTACCTCAAACATTTGATGGGGAGGGGGGACCCCCTTTCCGAGATGGCCAGAGCCTCCTTTCAGGTGTGGGAAAGGAAAGTCTCGCTCGGAATCGAATCTGTGGGCGGTGTGTTACTTTCGATGGTGTCACTTTGTCAGCCAAGGGGAATCTATTCGGGAGGGTCCTCCAAATAAGAAAATACTAACCATAAACTAAGGCGTTTTTAGTAAAAAGTAAAAAAAAATTATTCAGAATTTCACCCCAAAAACAAAAAAGTCTTTCTTACTCAGAACTCCCGCCTATAGGGGCCAAAAAAAGGCAAAGAAAAAAAAATAAATAAATAAAATCGAGCCTCAAACCCTGCCCCCTTCCACACACACACATACACACACACATATACCCCAAGTAACTCTTGAATCCCTTAACTGCTCACAATACAAACTTACTCTAAACATCAGTGACGACCAATCTGCAGGGCTCATCCAAGAATGTTCGACCCCCGTTTTCGCACCTGCCAATCAGGACGCCGCGCCGGCTGGAGCATTGGCTGACTTCCCCACAGATCCCATGTACCAAGACCGCACATGATATGGGCGATGGAGAAGGCTTACGCGGCACATACTCGACGCCCGCAGGGTGAATGCTTGGCATCCGGGACATGTGGCAAATGGTATCTGGCCGTACAGAAAAGGCCAACGACGACTGCATTTGGGGATGATGGGTATGCATACAGATTACAGACGGGGTATGTACTCCGATCAGGATGGGGTTGCAACGATGCAGACAATATAATTCTATTCCTTGGTGGAGGTTGCGGGAATGGAAATCCATTGCTACGTCGTCCGTGCCGGTTATGTAAGCTTTGCTTTCACGTGTTTTCGAACTATCGTATGAAGTAGATATGTGAATGGATGCCATTGTGTGGTGGTATAGCGTTGAACTACTGGTTTATGTGTCCTGGATGTACGTGTAAGCTATGTAGATACCAGTCTAGAGATGATATACAGCATCATAGTGCGACCGATTGATACGGAACCTACTGAGTACGTTAGTAATATATATCTGCACCAGATATACATCCATAGTTCCCAGATTGATGTCTACGAAAATGCAGAAACTCCCGAGGGCTGATCATCGTCATAGACTCAGTCCACAGATCAAACCAAATTCATGTTGGTCGACAAGCCTCTGCAGCAGCCCGTCCTGCACGTCGACCAAAAACCGCTCCAGAAGTCAAACCACTGCCACCGGGGTAATTGTCATAGAACAGTCCACCCAGCATCTCCCCGACACAGTACAGTCCAGGGATCTGCTCATCGGTCATGGACGAGATAACGGCAGCCGTTTTCGGATTGACCGCCAGTCCTCCAAATGTGAAGGTGATCCCGGCAGTGACCTTCACTGCTAGGAATGGTCCCTGATCGATAGGCAATGCCCAATTGGACTTGGGGATAGCTAGTGCCAACGTCTGCGACTGAGTCGAGAGACCGTCCTTGATAGTAGGGTCGAATCTCTGATTCGGATTGCTCCACCGACTCTCATAGACAGCCTCGTTGAACTCCGCGATGGTTTTCTCGAACTGCTTCGCATCTTCGAGACCATGCTGCGATGCACATATCTCCGCCAGCTCGGAGATCGACGATGCCAGAATCCTCTCCACTATTTCTTCCCGGTATTCTTCATACCGCAGCCAGGATATCGTGTGGCAATCGAAGATCTGAAACGCAACATGACCCGGCTGGGCCAGGATCTGTCGTCCGATCATTGCATACGTGTAGTTGCGGAAATCAGACCCTTCGTCCACAAACCGATGACCCTTTCGGTTTACCATGATTCCCAGTGGATAGCTGGATTTCGTGAATTCATTGGAGATCTCTCGATCCCCGTTGTTCGCAGGTGCATTAGCATCCCACGCGACACAGTGACAACCGGACCAGTTTCCGACGGGTTTAGCCGACACGACGCGGATGGCGAAGTCAAGGCAATCCCCGAAGTTGTACGGCGTACCACGGACAAGGGCTGCATCCCAGTCGGGACCTAGGAACTGTGCGCGCATGCGTGGATTGGCTTCGAATCCACCCGCTGCAAGAATCACCGCGCTGGCCTTGATTTCCCTGTCCTGACCGTGATGAATGACTTCCATCCCTGTCACGGCCCGAGAGGTTGCGTCATAAATCAAGCTCTGTGCTGCAGTTGAAAAGAAGATGCTGATCCCATGCATCTGAGCCGTTCGTAAGTGGTCCTGAATGAGCCCTTTGCCGCCATCCTCGGTCTTGAGGGCCAGACCACCCCAGAACTTGATCTTGCGGTTGACATGATATGCTTGACGGTTGAACGAGAGCTGGAATCGGACTCCATTGTCTGCAAGCCATTGGATTGTCGCGCGAGATTCGGCCACCAGGGCCTGGCAGAGATCCCGGTCGGTGCGTCGGTTGGTCACCCGGTTCATGTCGGTGAAGAAGTCCGCCTCGGTGTACGCGTTCATCTCAATATCTGGGATGAATTGTGGCAGGGCATTGTTCACCAAGGGTAGAAGATCATTCAGCCCATTATGGACGGTGCGAAATGCTCCTGCCGTGAAGTATGTGTTTCCCCCGATCCATTTCTCAGGACATTTGTCAATGATGACCACTCGCTGGGCGCCCGATTGAGCAGCCGATATGGCGGCACAGAAGCCAGCATTGCCACTCCCAACGACGAGGACGTCACATTCTGAAGGGAGTTGCATTGTTCGTTTCACCCCGGAATCAAATTATCGATGGTAATGTAGCTGTGTAGACGATGGCGTCAAAGCCACGCCAAGAACCAGGAGGAATCCAACTATTCCGACACGCAGCATTGCTATTCTGACACCCAATCTATACCATTTTAGGAAGAAAAAATGACCGCTTAGCCGTCCGCCTACCTATTATAGCCTCGTAGATAATGTCTCTATTAACCTATTCATTTTTCAACAAGACATTTTGAATGCGTTAAATTTTGTTTAAATAGTATGATATTTAAATAATTGCTCTCCAAGTCCTGTTTTAACTCTACAATGAGTATAGAGGCGCAAGGCCGGGCGGCGCGTGAGGTGGTGGACATGGCAGGAGTGGAGGGCATGTCTATTGAAGAACTGGCAGAATCCGGGTAATGGTGAGGGGACCTTCCTAAAGTGGTATAGACTGGGTGTCAGAATAGCAATGTTGCGTGTCGGGATAGTTGGATTCTATAGGAGATGCGGGAAATAAGATCAATTAACAGATTGCTTGACTGGCAGTAGGCAATGGGGACATAAATCTACGGACAGGAGGCAGTGAATGACACGAAGAGCAATCATCATTTACTACAATATAGATCTTGGGAGAAAAAGAGATAGATACACGCCGAGTCGCCCCAATCAACAACACCATCCGCAATTAACCAGCCCAGTATGTCAAAGAAAAGAGCTCAACAGTCAAATGGGTATGGCACCCTATCAAATACATCAATGGAAACGAAAATAGGCTTTTACTTAAACAATAATGGATAATTCCGGTCTCTCAAGGCCCTCGTCTTCCATAATGGGGTAGTATGGAATCATCGAATCGGCGCTCTGCACATAGGCATCGTTGTAGAGACGCCAGTATGGCACGCGCACCTTGCGGGCAGGATGGAACAGGCCGGCCCACACGTAGTTCATGACCACGCCCGTGCCAACGGCCATCCGAATAGCATCGACCGCCTCTATGACACGGTCGATGACGTGAGGACTGGTTTCGAAGATGTTTGGGAACACCAGGTTGAGAAGGTGGACCATTGCATCTTCACAACCGAGGCCAACCACACCTAGGGCAATATGCTTGACGACACTGGCAGCAGTTTGCCGATGCACCTGGTCCCTGTCGATGAGAGCATCTTCCAAAAGGGGTGTCACGGAGTAAACGTAGTCCTTCGCCATTTCGCCAATGTACTCGAACAAGAAGGACATGGCCTTCAAGACACCGTTCTGGACGTTCAATTCGGGAACGCGGTATTCGTTCATCAGGGCCGGGAGAACGGTGAATGGAGCGCAAGTCTCAGCTACGATAGCAATGGCAACTGCGGTACACACACGAGACTGACGTTCCTGCACACGAAGATTGTTCAACAGGGTGGCCAGAACATCCTGAGGACCAATGGCCTTGGCGATGAAACCGAAGGTGTTGTTAGCGGCACGACGGATGCCCTTCTTGTGGGCTTTCAACATGTCCAGCAGTTCAAAGCAGATACGCATCCATTCACGGGCATTGACCGACTCAGGCCCGCGGTCGGCGATACGGCCAACCAAGTCGATAGTGTTTTCTTGAACCTTCTCATGACGGTTTCGTAAGATGGGAGTAAGACGGGGAAGTAGATCCCGGATCGGTGGCTGCATCTGGTTGATACCGACGACGGTGACGATAGATCGTAGGGCACCAAGAATGGAACCGAGGACCTCCGGGTACTCTTCACCCAAATATTCGTAGAGTACAACGCCGAGCTTTCCCATGAGTGCATCCTCCCCACACTGCTTCATGACCATGGCAATACGTGAGATAAGATCGGCCGCTTGCTGACGCACGGTGGCGGACTTATTGTTCAACCTCCAGAGGATGGTACTGACAATCTGAGGAAGGTAGGGCTTGCAACGAGTGCCAAGGGCATTTACCACGGTACCAAAACCGTTCAAGATCACAATATCTTCGATACTCTGTTCCTGGAAGGCGTAGAGAACGCCATCGATAAGCCGTTCTTCCAACCTCTCTGAGATGTCGGCCGCTCCGAGTGCTGCAATTAGCTTTTCCACTGTTTCCACGGTCATCTTCCGGTAGGGTTCGCTCTCGTCTTTCAGATTGTTGACGACTCGCTCGAGGATCTCACCGACGCCAACCTTCTGTCCGAGGTCGACCGTGGTGTCAACGACCTGACGATAGTTTCTCCTATCGAGGGCCATGCGCCTCACCCAGAAACTTTTGAAAAAGTCGGTCAATACGTGCTCTTTGAGGTAACTGGCTGTTACGCCATCAGTGCTAGCGCACTGCGACACCACCTTGAGAACAACCTTCTTCATCTCCTCATCCGGAGAAGAAAATTCCCGAAGAAGAATCTCCATAATTTGACTGGTGTAGTAATTGGCATACTCCTCATCCATCAGCGGGATGATGTAACCGACGGCCTTGAGGAATGCAGCCAGACCCTTACCCCGCTGCTTCCTGGCTCCAGTCCACAGAGGGTTGAGAATTTCGTCAAAACTCTCAATACCATAGGGATTGGCGGCCTCAGCCAGTGCGGCCACGGCTAACGCGGTGACCGTCCTGACCTTGGCTTGCTCATCGCTAAGGTTGTCGGCAATACAGTCAACTAGACCTTTCAGGTGAGGAAGGATAGCACAACCCATGAGAATGGGGATTTGCTGGACGATCTTGACACCGGTGTGTCGGGCCTGCCAGGACTTCTTACTGCGACACACAGCACGCAGGAAGGGAAGAAGGGCCGGGATACCAAGGGCTGAGGCGACCACTGCAAACGCTCGTGCAGTTGTGTTTCGGACATACTCGTCCACGTGGTCAATATCGGGACGCATCGTACTGATCATGGTAGCAAGACCAGCCGCCTTGGCCAGGTTAGAGATAATTTCCCTACCCTCAACACGAGCATAGTAATCTTGATCAATAAGTAACGGCTCAATGACGACGAGGATTTTATGGACGTAGGGACGGACAAGGTCATCTAGCTTGTAAAGCACACGGTCGATAACCTTGACCAATAGGTGACGTTCTTGGTCCTCAAGAGACTTCTCCATGAGAAGAGGAAGAATCTGGTTAAACAGAGCACCTGCTCCGAACTGCCGCGCATTATCCGTGAGCTGACGCAAGGCAGTCTTTCTCATTGGCGGCGTGCCGTTCTTGACCTTCAGCAACAGCCTCATAATCTTCCGCTCTTTCATTTCTTCCACCGACATCACGCTTTCATCTCCCCCTTCCATGAGCTTTCCAAAGTAGGCCATATCCTCCGGCTTGAAGAATTGGAGGTCGCCAACTCCCGGGATTTCGGTCGGAAGTTGTTTGCCTAGGGACCGAGCGCTTTCCGGCTCTTGCATCATGAAGCCACCGACACCGTTTGCGTTCGCCATAGGCGCGGGGGTAGACATGAGCTTTCGCGCAGGGGTGCGGATTGGAGCATAGCCCGGGGGTGGCTCAAGGATCTTGTAGCCCTCGGAAGGAAGCATCATGTCAAGTTCCTCATCCGACAAGGGAGCATTGCGGGCAGAAATATCAGTTCCAAAGCTGGTTGGAATCAAAGGCGCACCTACTTGGGAAGGATGCATAGGGGTTGCAAGTCCCTGATTTCCAACGGGAGTCGCAGCGGCTCCAAGCGCCGGGGCCTGATCCCATCGTGAACGACGTTTGGGTCCTTCTTCACCCGGGGCTGTCGGGGCGGGTGTCTGGTCCCAGCGGGATCTCTTGGACTTAGCCTCCGGAGCCTGAGGAGCCTTAGCCTCAGCCGGTGGCTCTGTTGGCTCCGAAGACACATCCCACCGCTGCTTACGCTTCCGTCCCGTGGCAACAGAGACAGTCGAGCCAGCTTCGGCATTTTCTTTGTCTTCTGCCTTCAACGTGGCCTCATGTTCGGGAACACCGTCCTCACCACGGGCCTGCTTTTCTGCGATCAGCTTCTGGACACGCTCTTCCTCTTTTTCAAGCTCACGCAAGGCCATGACTTCACGATAAGTCTGGCCATCCCCCTCCACGCTTTCATGCTTGTTTGCAGCAAAGGGATCAGCCCTAGTGGGGGTCAACGGACCACGGTTGAAACGACGCTTCTGGTAGTCCGTCTCTCGGTCGGCGATTCTAGCCGCTTTCTCCCGCCCGAGAAGAATGTCCTCCTCTTCAACTCCATTTCCATGGGCAAACTCATCCATCTGACTTCTGGTCGCGGTATACTGGCCGACTAGACGATGTCCATCGTCGGCATCTTCCATATCTTCATCGTTGTCATTAACAGCGATCGAAGTGTCGTAGCCCGTATATTTGTCGCCGCCATTGCGATCATAGAGATCCGTATCGAAAGTTTCAGTTAGGGAGGCCTTGGTGGAGTTGTCAGTGCGCTGGCTAGATGGATCAAAGGTCCTTGAACCTTTCTTGCCAGCTGCGGTAGCGTTCCGCTCAGCCTGAAGCTTCCGGACTGCCTCAAAATCGGCTATTGAGGGGTGGGTTAGCCACGCGTTGGTGAGAAGATAGGGGGACATACCGTCCGACATGTTGACAGCGATGAGGATCTCGAAGTTGAGATAGAGAGCTAGCAATCCCGAAAAGGGTTAGCAATAGCTACATTCGGATCCGACACCGTGATAACGGCGCGTGTGTAGATGAGGTAGGGAGTTCTGCGCTGATGCTCTCGGAAGGTCAGACGCAAAAAGTGAAGTTGAGGTGACGAGACTAACGGCGCTGACTCATCACCACGTGACCTTACTGCTAAAAGGTGTATGCCGGAGTACTTTCCGTTTTGGGAACATTACTATCACTCTCCCATCAGAATGAGTTGATGGCTAATATGCATCCTGTTCTGATTACGATAGGGTTATGATATACTATTATTTGAAGCAGAGAGAACCACTTATAACAAGTCCTTTAGATCCCCAAAGAGAGGGCTAACTAATTCAACCTCAAGCACTATCAGAATGCTTCACCAAGAAACATACTAATGGGAAGGCTGGTGAGGCTGATAACGGTGGAAATTTAGTGTTTCCCCCAAAACTGATCCTAGAGATAATCTTGTGTTGAAAAGTCAACTGAAATTTTCATGATTTGCAGATCCAACCTATAACCACCTATCTTTGCTCTAGGTAATTGTACCTAGCGATAGGAGATCGAACATGGGTTATAATACAGTAAGAAAGCGCCTCAAAGACAACACTTTTGACAAACCAACCTCAGATAAAGGCTACATGCTGAGCTGGGCACGGAGGTTGGATATCCCGCCTGTCTATTAGCACCGCCATAATCCCCTAGCGATGGCAACATGGCGCAACTTTGAACGTCCAAATTAGTAGTAGATCATATTTACACATATAAAAAGCAAGTAGAGGTTATTCTGCAATTTTATTAGATTCTCCCAATAGTTGCCAATTTTTGAGGGCACTTATCACTGGTTCATATACGGCGCTTAATCACAGCCCGTGTCTTTGTCGTTAACTAGTAACTTATCTTCTTAATGCAATTTTTGTCTTCAGGGATTATCTGACCTGAAAGCAACCTAACATATATCGGTTAAAATTCTTCTTGTTAGCCTTGTTGCTCTTTGTTGGAAAGAGAGCTTGAACGAAACCCTTAGTCGGTGGAGGATTTACACGGAGAATCCCAGGGCGCCTAATGGACTATTTTTGGTCTGTAGCATCTATGAAACTCTACTATCACATGGATATTCCTCATATTTATTACAGGAATCAGATAATCAATCAAGAGGGCTAGTATGGGGTGCATTTATGATAGTTAGTTCAATACAGCAGTTGTTAGAAATTTGTAGCAGAAATATTAACCCTGAATACCTACAAGTTATCACCTCAAACCTTAGCAAAATCCTTAGTGTAATGGAGGGTGTGCATACCAACAGATGCAAACTTATTAGGTCACCCGTAGTGGACAAGAGGTTGTTAGATTGATGCAGTTATTAAAGATTAAACATCCGCCAAGGCATACAAGTCTGTGGAGGTCTAATTAGCTTGTCCTTGTAATACTGGGTTCTGTATCTGAAAGGAAGGAATAAAGTTATTTCTTTTTATAGAGTGTTGTTTTTATCTTATCTTATTCTGGATTTCCCTATTTATGCTCACCTCCTCTTTCTCCCAAGTCCTCTCTATCCCACCATCTCAGACTCTTAGTTTCTACACATCCACACCCCTTACCATGCCATTCAATATCTTTCTGCTCACCTTCCTGGCCATCTTCAGGGTAGACTCTTCCGACGCAACTGATACAACAGAGACAAGTGCCTTTGCTGGCCACGAGCTAACCCAAGAATTGGTTGTCGTCTCCAAGCTACTTGCCACCATCTCAGTGAGCAACTGCACCGTTGTCGATGCCAAAATCCCCCTGGAAAAGACCACCTCATCGCTTCCTCCTCCCTCTCCCAGTCTCCATCTGAAGTTCGTTGCCCTAGGTAGAGGAACTCAAAACTATACCTGCAGCTCGTCCGACGTGACCATGACACCGGTAGCTGTGGGTGCCGTTGCTACTCTCTTCGATGCATCCTGCATTCTTAAAAGCAATCCGGAGCTGCTTCACCAACTACCAGCGTCATTTCAGACGGTCCCTCTTAACGCGATGAATTTCCTCGCTGCAGTGACGGGTCGAATCCTCTTCTCAACAACAGACACTATAGTCCTGGGCGAGCATTACTTCAATGCCAGAGGGAGCCCGGTTTTCGACTTGCGATTGGGAGGCTATCCTCACTGGATTGGGACCAAGAAAGTTTCTAGTGCTGTGGCACCGACGAAAGGGAACGATGCTCCCTGGCTGAAGCTTGAAGCGACAGATAGTAGTACTACCAATGGCATCCAGGTGGGTTTCCATATCATGTCTTTCTCATAGCAGGGCTATACTAATTTCAAACAGGATATATATCGCGTGCACACTTCCGGAGGACAGGCCCCTGCCACATGTAATGGGCAGGATAAGGCTTTCCAAGTTGAGTATTCGGCGGAATACTGGTTTTATGGATGAGATGCTGGTTTTCATCAATGCTTCGAGATGGAATACTTGGGAATACCTGGGAATACTGTATTGATCGATCTGAATACTCATTCTCCTTTCGTGCAGTGCTGTAAGGAAAAACAGATCTGTGTAAATCGTAGTAGGGTCCATTCACACTATTCCCAAACAAGAATGACCAGTCGGATCAACCCCGCAGACCGGGGGACATCCGAATAGACGGATGCGATGCGACAGCCACAGGAGTTGGATATTTATATGCTACCATCTATTTCTCGAACATACCAATCCATTGATAATACAAATTTACGTTTCATATATTTCACTTGCCACACCCAACATGTCAGAAAAACTCTACGTCACCTCCACCAACGCCCACAAATTCATCCACTCCATCCTCACCGGCAATGGCGTCCCCTCGGACCACGCCAGCATAATCAGCGATTGTCTCGTGCAAGCCGACCTACGAGGCGTAGACACCCACGGCACGAACCGCATTCCATCATACATGGAGCGGATCCGTCAGGGGGTATTAGTCGCGGGGATCACTCCGGCACTGACGCAGATCACGCCTGTGGTGGCACAAGTCGACGGACGAAACGGTTTCGGGTTTGTCGCGGCACAGACGGGCATGGCGCGAGCGATTGAGATGGCGCGGGAATTCGGCATCGGGTTCGTATCAGTCAAGCACTCGAATCATTTCGGGATGTCGGCCTGGGTAGTGCAGCAGGCGTTGGACGCGGGGATGATGAGTCTGGTATTTACGAACTCGTCGCCGGCTTTGCCTGTGTGGGGTGGAAGGGAGAAATTAATGGGGGTGTCGCCGCTGGCGTGTGGTGCGCCGGCGGGCAAACAGAGACCGTTTATCTTGGATATGGCGCCGTCGATCGCAGCTAGGGGGAAAATCTATAAGGCTGCGAGACGCGGCGAGAAGATTCCAGCGGATTGGGCGCTGGATGGAGAGGGAAACCCGACAGAGGACCCGAATCGGGCGTTGGATGGCGTCATGTTGCCCATGGGGGGACCCAAGGGGTCGGCGTTGGCGGTCATGATGGATGTGTTTTCGGGTGTGTTGTCCGGGTCAGCATTTGCAGGCCATGTCACGAATCCGTATGATCCGTCCAAACCGGCGGATGTGGGCCATTTTCTGGTGGCTATTAAACCGGATTTGTTCATGGGGCTGGAGGAGTTCAAGGAGCGGATGGATTATCTGTATCAGAGAGTCGTACGGTCGGAGAAGATGGCTGGGGTGGATCGCATTTACTATCCAGGGGAGATTGAGCAGATCACTCACGAGGAAAGGCTCAAGACGGGAATTCCATATGTTCAGGCTGAGGTGGATGCGCTGAATCGTGAGGCGGATAAAGTGGGTGCAGAGCATATTGTGATCTCGTGTCCGTGAGGACTATGTAATGTGGCCGGTTTAGTATATTTGATTACAGTAACAGTCTAGATATTTCATAAGATGTGTTTGAATGCTTCCGTACTCCCTGGAATTGAGCTCGTCTTTCACAAATCCAGCCTTGTCATACTTTGAAACATTTACAGTCATATGAAGAGACTCGTATTCAAATGTCATGCAAACTATGTTTCGGGTTTACCTGGTTTCGTTAACGAGTAAAAGTCTGTGTTATGTTCCTAAGACAGTGCTCAACTGACGATGTTTTAGAATTCAATATTCTGTTCGACCCACTGGGAGTCGGGACGCGCAAAAATAGAGCAGACTTTTATGGTGGTGTAAATCACAGGTTGCCTGACTCGATTTCATATTGTACATTACATATCTATTTGTATTCAAGCGACATCATCCATTTTCTACCAGCGGCTGTTTGTTCCCTACCATCAGGATCAGTATATTCGCAGCTGCAAGTATGGAACCTGTGCAAAACGAGGTAGACCAACCATCCTCCCAAAGTGGAGGAAGAAGAGAGAATGATCAGAAATACGACAGAAACAGACCCCAGGGAAGAATTCCGAGAATACCAGGAACAGCTGATGCCATGTCGATATTTCCCGAACTCCTGAAAAGTTACTTTTGTCCTCGGAGGAGACTAAAAGAGATCTCTCACCTATTCTTGGGAGTCCCACCCCGTTGTGGGTGCATTTCAGCCGCTTGCACACCCATCCATCCATCCATCTGATGAGATAGGGGACGCATTGGTTTCTGCATGAGTCTGAGCTCTCTGTCCACTGCCCTCATAGGATGGTGAGGTGCAGACTTTGGCGGAGCCGCAGCAGTGTATATGAACTCTCTCAGGAATCGGTGCTGAAAACCAGGCTAAATCTAAGCGTCAGAGGCACTTAATTATTACTTTTCTGGTGGTCTTCTGATGATCACAATAGTGATCCTGGAGTTTACCCTAGCCAACACCTTCAAATTTGCGGTGTTCAGCACATATGGTGATTGTCCTTTCCCACCGTAATTGGAAACATTGCCATTAACACACTCGTTAGGGGGATTCATGTTCTCTATGGTGCCACGTTGATGCCCTCTTTCAACGCGGCCGGTGCATATCAGCCTTCCAATCCCCTTAACCCTGGTTTAATGCAACTTTCGGTATGAAACCGCTGGTTTTTTTTGGTCCTTGAAAAAAAGGTATAAGAAATAAGCATTCCGTCTCTAGCATTTTATATAGATTTTGTAGGGATCGTTACTTTCTGGCCATCGGAGCCGAGGTTCTAGAAAGCGCATTTTGGCAGGTGGCAAACGGTAATCCTTCGCGGGTCCAAACCTTGCAGATTGTACGTGAATCGACTTTATTATCCTTGTGGAATTCGAAATAACGGGATGACTAGGCCAGTGGGGCGCTCTTGTTTGTGACCAGCCTGGCCGGGTGGTATCTCGTCCTTAATGAAATTTTGGTTTCTGTTGATTTTCCTCTATCATTGTCTCTGAGAGATCCAAGTTTCTCGCCAAATCCAAAGGATTAATGCGAAACGCACCGCGTCAAGAGTTTCTTCGGGATGATGAGATGGAAACTGCAGCAGGATCTGGGGCTATTTCTTACATTGTGGGAATAACTGAGTTTTAGATTCTATGTGGATACTGAATACATAGGTGATATTTGGACTGGTGCTGCGAAGTGGAGACCATACAGTCCGTCTATATCTAGCCCCCGTTTATCATATTTCGAATCGCCACTATCCGTGCCCATCTATATTTTAATAATCCTAGGTTATAGGTTTATATCGAATAACAATGACCAAGGCAGAAGTCAAGAATATATACGGGTCTCGTCCAAAACCACCACCACATCAAACGAGGTAAAGCAGCAATGACTGCATTCTCGGCATCTTGATTAACTGCCGGCTCAAGGTCCCTGCACTTGGCCTGGGACCTCGTATCCCGCAGCTTAAATTTATCCCCAATATCAGCCTCTTGAACCAGTGCGTTCCGCTCATCGGCAACGGATCTCTGCCGGTAAGAGATATCTTGTCTCGGAGGAAGCTCTCCCACATCACCATCTGCAACGCCGCATCTGTCTCCTCGGGCGGATAACACGCCGCACCGATGGCCGCACTGAAAGGGGCATGTTCTTTTCGAACCGCCTTGCGTCGAGCAGAACAGCGGAGCAGGGAAAGAAGGACCCCCAAAATGACGAGGATCACACCGTGTGACCAGGAAAATGCGTGTCAGGAAGTTGTTGTACAGAAAGTAGATGATGGAGAGACGGCAGCGTGTTGCTGGCTGCAATGAGCATGGAGAGGGTGTTCTTGTTCCACCAGCTTTCGCTGAACAGGAGAATGGACGTCTCTCCTTGCATTCCGAAGCCGCCGCCCAGGGCGGAGATGGTGATGAGGTCGTTACCGGTACTTAGAGAATGCAACTGGTGGGTGGGGTGGGAATTAGGCGTCTTCGCGGAAAGATGCTCTTGAGGAATAGCCTGTAACCAATTTATTTAACTCTGCAGATATTATTCCTAATTTTATATGACTATAGTTCGTTCTAGACAGCTTCCCAAACAATGCAAACAGGCCATTAAGTTATTACCTGGGCTGTTTTACCTCGACCTTGAACCAAAAAAGCGGAGATATACCCTGAAACAGACCTGACCGATGAGCGTTGCGTTGCCAAAAAGATGTGATAAGAATAGACCTGGCTTTATTTTCTGCGATGGCACGAGAACCTGTAAACCCTGCTGTATCTGGCCGTGGGCGTTGTCCCGACCTGGGTGGTATAATCGGAGATAGGCATCTTCCTAATAGCAGTCGATCCTTCTCTGGAAAAGTGAGAGTGAATAACTTTACAGGTTTACCCCTAAGCATTGGGATAAACAGCAAATTTCTTCTTGACTGATATTTCCTGCTCGTTACCTAGCATCAAAATGCCATAACTTGTTCGCTTTCGCTACTGTCAGACCCTCATCACGAGACCCAGATTTTGTGGCTGTCTGTATTTATTTATTATACGTCTCGCGATAAGCATCTTTCGCAGCACTCCATACGTCATTCGGAACCCAGCCATCAGAGTTCGTATGGAAGGAGTTTCTTAGCTGTAGTTTAGGTTTTTAAACGGTCTCAAGGTCTTCATAATCTCGAGCGTGCTCCTTCAGTTCTTTTTCAGTCGGAGAAAATGGGCACGAGCCTTGCAGTCCCAGTTCTGTCCTTGGCGGATAGCCATGGGACTTTCTCTCCATTGATAGTATTGGAAGAGTCGAAACAGAGTTGGATAGGGTAACAATGCGGGGTGTAATTTAGGAGCAAGGTCCATTCTTGTTTCTTGTAGGCAGGAACATTGTGTTCGTCTTGTCCGTTTTTGAATGCGTTTCTCTCTGGCCCCTCAGGGAGTGCAGCAAATTCAGGAGTCTTATTAGCATAGGTAAACGCAGCTAAATACTTGTTAATTACCAATCAAGTAGGCCAGTAATAACGGTTGGTTCCTTGGCTGGGATATAGATATTCTTTTTGTGAAAATCAGGATAAAGCAGAGCTGGAGAAGCGGTATCCGAAATATGCTTATTTTTTACCAACTTTTATATTACTTCTTGACCTATTTTTAAAAGACTGATGTGATCTTGAATTAATACTTAAAGGGAAAACTCGTGATTAATATCTTCTTCTTTCGAAAAACGAGAGAAATCTGTCTCTATCAAGCCTAGGCAATAGCTTGTTAGGTCTTTCCCTAATTTTGTGTCCGTTGTTAGAGCTATTGTTTAAAACGGCGACAGAGAACCGTGAAACTAACATGGACCGCAATTGGGACTTGGACCGCCGCATAGTACAAGTTCCCCCGGATTTTATTTCTAGAAAACTGCACTGCAATGTGGACCAATACAGTTGAAGGGAATCTTTGTGTGACTCTAGCGGGTCAATCTAAGAAATATAGACTGCTATAAGCCGGGAAGTCAAAGGATGCTACATTTCTTATCGCTAATAAAAGTATCTTAGTGCAGAGAATATGTTCTTCTGAGTTCATTTTTGGCTGCATTTGGTGCAGCTGAATGCTCTTGGATAATATATTCTGTGGTAATTAGATTTAACGGATTATCGCTCCAGCCTATGGCTTTCGGTATCAGAAGTGAGATCTTGGATTGTACTATACAAAAAACAGTAATCAGTGAGCATGTTAACTACATCCTTAAAAAGGCAAGTATGTAGGTCAGCCTTGCAGTATATTATTATTGCGACTTGTCAGAATAAAGCTAGTCCATATTGGGACATCATGTGAATATATATACCCAATACTCCTCATAGAGGGGTTGGGCTGAGAAACCTTCTGAATACAATCACTTCAGACCCCCCCAATAAATCAAACACGACTTTAAAAGTTAGTCGTTAACCTTGGCGGGCCAGCAATACCAGTTGGTAATCTCGCCACAACACAAGGACCTGTGTCCGTGTGAAAAGAAAGATTCTGTTAAACCCACCTTCTCTCTTTTTGCGTTTGACGATCTTGGTTGCTCCTGGACATAGACACATAGCCCTATCACAAAGCGTTGAGAAGTCGAAGGCAATATGGCGAGAGTTTCGTTCAAGCTCGTCCCGATTAAGCCATCTTTCACTGGTGTACATAAAAGGATCATGCCCTGCAAATGGAGTCAAGGTCAAAGAAATAATACTACTGACGTAGAACCGGTTCTTCCGAATATGTCCTTGGGTTAAGCTATCAGGCAAGGGATGCTGCGATATCGTGCTGGATTTGCTTTACAGTTTTTGCTGAGAAGAAAAAGTGATTTGGAGATGCTGGGTGGTTGGTGAAGGAACTCCCAACCGCCGCCATAATCGAAGCATGATAGGCAGCAGATCTTTGTTTTCCAGGTTGTCAGCCAATGAGTACTGTTAAACTCCTAAGCGCCTTTGAACCACCCCTTGATCCTATCCTACCTCCAGCGCGAATTGCTTAAACCCGTAATGCGAACATGCAGCTGGTGTTATGCCAGTAAACCCTGCAATGTTTGGGCGGTTACAATGCATCCACTACTAATGTTCAACAACAGCGACGGTCCACTCTAACAACAGCCCAGGAAATAGTGTCGACAAGAGTGACGCAATATCGTTATATCAGGCGGTTGTATACGTTTCCTATGCCTACTTGCCTATTATTAAGGAAATCAATCGAGATGATGTATTGTATATAGATAGTACTGCGAGGCCACTGTCAATATTTCTCTCCATACGCCCTATTCCAATAAATTTTACAACAACGATTAAGGCAGGTTAATAACCCTATCTATTTTAAAATAACAATGGCATTGCAGGCATCTTTTATCAAGAGTCGTTCTGAGGCCATTTTGGCGCCGGCGTGCTCCGTATATATTGCGGCCTAAAGAGAATGAAAGGAGCAAGAACCCCAGTGCTCATATCTATATCTTCATAGGCAGTCGAATTGCCTGCTCCGGGGTTGCTCAGGTATATGTGGTGATCAGTGATCTCAGTGCTGAACAGCGACACGCTGGCATTCATTTCATCGACAACAACATTATCAATTTCGCCGAAATTCCCCATGGAAATAAGAGTCCGGACCCGGGACAGTATGCTGCGTTTGAGGATCTGGACTCTGCATTTAAAGATGCCATAGTTGAGTCTTTTTACAGAAACTAGACGTTAAGATCTCTACTTTTGGCAATCTGGCACACAAAAACTCCAAGAGATTGTATCTTTAGTTCAAAGTCTTCCTCATACAAGTAGCCTATGGGTAGATGCGGTCACTCAGCTTTAAATATTTGCAGAATCGAATATTAATAATGGGATAACAGCTGGAAATATTTGGAAAGGCAAACGAAGGGCCATGTAGTATGATGGATAGTGTTGGCCTTCACTCTGTTGCCTTTATTGAAGACCGCTACATCCAAGAGTGTAATCTCGATGGAAAGAACAGTTGACTGGCTCCGAGAGAATTATATTAAAAACAGGCAATTGGGGGTGAAGTGTGGTAATGGAGGCTTCTTTCCTCCCGGCTATACCACCAAATCAAGGAGTGGCGTGGCCATCATAGTTCCTAGTAGTCCTGACGCTCTATATCTTGGATATTGGCCTTGGTGAGAATATTAATGGTGACTTTGTGCATTCTGGAAAAGATCTACATCGCCTCAGCCTATGCAAAACAAGGACGCTTATTGATGGTCTTCTGTATCCGGATGGAATTGATATCAATCTAAGCCAGGGGTTGGTCTTTTGGGGCCATCTCCTAGAAATAATGGATCGACTCAATCAGCTGAAATTGATGGTTCTAATGTCCAGAAAATTATACCACTGGGAGCGGTGCATACTTTGCATTGATCGTGTTAACGGGAAGACATATTTCAGTGATGGGCAGGGTTTGCGTGTGCACTTGGTTAACTTCCATGGAAGCCAGCATATGGTTCTGATTCAGACAGGTGACCATAATAACTCAGCTGACCAGGAAGATCGTGCAAATGGGTAAGATATGTCAAATGGTATAATCAGAGTTTCTTTGCTGACTGTTTTTCCAGTGTGTTGGAATCCTTGTTGACCCTCTACCTGGTAAATTCTACTGGACACAAAAAGGCTACAGAAAATCTGATAAAGGAAAGATCCTACGACCCCGTATTGCCACGCCAGCAGGAGCGACTACCTCGACACATTCAGATACTGAGATAGGGTTTTGCAACCTCCCTGAGCCTATTGATCAGGAAGATGTCGAGAATGAAATGATCAACTGGACTGACCGGGGTGAATATGCACTTGGTAACACTGTAAATTGTGGATCTGTTGGTACCAGCAGGAATGGCCAATACGCAATTCTGGCCAGACATTGCATGAGGTATGTTCTTCGACCGGTTTGACAGACCAAATACTCACTCTAGAACCACACAATTGGTCTCCGATTAGACAAAGTAAACCAGCATATGTATTTTGCTGACCTAGGCGGAGCCTTTACCAAGCCGATCTTCAGGGGAATAATAAAACGGTGATTTACGATGGGGAGGCTTCACAGAGCTTACATTGGCTCATGTGAACTAAGTCAACTCTTCTATTCATGGCCGCCGTGCTCTGAGACCGGGAACTTGACTAGAATATGTCCATATTATCGTGTCTTTTGCTTCTTTGTTTCGGCTTTTTTTTTTATATTAAAGAAAGTATCGTCCAGAATATACTTAATTTCATTTGATATACTGTGTGATATGTAAGGCGCTTTGGTTCTTTTATAGGCTGCATTCTGTCTATAATTTAGCCAATCTAAATATACATTGATGGCACACTTCCGAGCCCTACCAATCTTGTATATTTATTCATATCATTTTACTACAGAAGTACGCCAAGATTTTAAACTTCTTTATACATCCTGCATTGTTATGGTTCTCCCTCTTCTTTTTTTCATGTGCTCTTATTACTTTACTCGTATCTACTACTTTGAGGGCTTGGGGTGTTGGTGTATCGTTCCCTTTAAGATACTAACAACTAAATAAGGCAGGAAGAAGGTGGTTGTGGTTTTTTTCACATTAGATTACCTATCTGGTCCTAATATGCTATATTCAGTCACAATATCTTCCCTCCATTTACACCTTTAAAGCACTTTTCTTCCCATCAGAGCATATCTCTAAACAAGTATCCTTTTCAAATCCAAGAAAGAATGACAAAATGAAAAGCGTCGAGTACTCCGTATACTCCGTAATAATACACGGGATGTCCTATCGGTACGTCCAATACTAAATTAGATCACATGATAACTCATCGGCGCAGGGCATGCATAAGGGAGGAATTGCCACAGCCACAACTCTCTTGCCATGTCGTAAAACCTTGCTCTTTCAGCTGTCATCCTGCCGGAAGCTCCGACAAGCTCTAGCACGTTTTCCGAAAGATCTGCTACTAGGAATCCTTACTCCGTACGACGATCAGGTTGTCAGTGCCAGTGGAGGTGGAATGGAAAGTGAGAATGACTTGCCCCGACAGTGGTCTGCATAGAGATCTTTCTACTCGGTGGTGGCGCTGGTACTAGTGTGGACAGGGGAAGCGAATTATCGACGTATGTACTCTATTTTGCTGCCCCTCGCAGACAATATTGTGACAGATGAGAAGAATGCATTTGTTTGGTCACGTGCATCATGTGACCACATTCCCCGATGAGGAAATCTGCCGCAAGGCGGCCTCGTTCTCCCGCATCAACGCGTCGCCTCACCATCTGCTCGCCACGGCCCTGTCATCTCAGTGTTCGATACCATTCAACTTCTCGACTTTTTACGCTCTTTTCCGCCCGGCGCATGATCTTCTAAATCCAATTTACGAATCATTTGTCCTTCGGAGCGTTGGACCGCAGCCTCCGCGAACCCCCGTCTTTGCTCGTCGCTCAGCGCATACTTCCCTCCTCCCCAGTTACCTCCCATTGACTATACAGACCATCCACCATGGCCTCGGACTACAGCAAAAAGACAAACGCAGAGCTTGTGGAGATTCTCAAGTCACGCTCGCTCCCTCATACTGGCAAGAAGGCGGAGTTGGTTGCTCGCCTCCAGGAGGATGACAACAAGGCCCAGCCTGCGCCAGCTGCCAAAGTAGATGCAGCTGAGGATGTGATTGATTGGGAGGACGATGATGTGCCATCTACGGAAGCGGGCGCCGCGGCCGTTGCTGCTGGCGGCAAAGGCCCGGTGTCTGACTCCGCCGCCGTTCCAAAGCAGCCAGATATCAATCCCGCCACTACGGATGATGCCAAGGTCGAATCAAATGGAAAGCCGGCTGCACCTGGCGAGCAAGAAGTGTCGGAGGCTGCGCCCGCCGCGGCATCGGAGGAGACTAAGACTACCGAGGCGGAGAAACCGGCTCCTGACTACTCGATCGGTCTTCCCGTTACCGAGTTGGAAGAGGAGGTAAAGAAGCGCAAGGCTCGCGCTGCAAAGTTTGGTATTACGGAGGACTCCAAGGCTGCAGTTGCGGAAGCTGAGAAGAAACTCGAGCGGGCCAAACGCTTTGGAGCGAGTGTCGAGAGCCAAGGCGTCGCTGAGATCAGCAAACTGGATGCTGCTCTCCCTGACGAAAAATCCCGCAAAAGGGGCCGCAGCGACAATGAGCAAGGAACGCGAGGAGGCAAGAGACGTGATTTTAGTGGTCGCAATCAGTTTCGGCATCGTGGTCGGGGTGGGAACCGAAACCAAGGCCTGGCTCAAAAAAATAAGAACAATAACAGCGGCGGCAGTGGCAGCAAAAAGGAGAATGGCTTTAGTGAGAAGGACAAATTGGCCATGGAGGCGAGGAAGAAGAGATTTAGCAATGCGTAATTCAGCTGAGGGACCATGTTGACATGATATGTTGCGTCACTACCATTTCCAATTGATTATGATTTATCTTTTTTTTTTTTTTTTTTTTTTTTTTTTTTTTTTTTTTTTTTTTTTTTTTTTTTTTTTTTTTTTTCTGTTGATCTCTTGTTTACAGTTATTGGCGTTCATGAGAAATTGTACCGTTGCATAATAATTATCATATTGTGGAAAGATCTTCCATTCTGGAAAGCCGCCGGGTGGGAATATTCATTTGTAGCCTGACCCCAAACTAGGCCTACATGGTTGAGTGACTGGATGGTGTTGGCTAAGTGTAAGTAAAGTATGCACCTGTGACCAGGGAATGCTTGTAGATAAGGGCATAGTTGGTTCAATAATTGAATAAACCGTGCGATGGCAAGTAAGGCCACCAGAAAAGCAGTAGATTTGGTCGGATATTGCTGATTCTGGACAAAGAAGTCTAACTGTCATCAATATCTTGCCCTTTGTTTCCCCCCCAAATCCTTCCCTCTGGCCGCCTATTGACAGTCTAACAAAGGTGGCACAATAGTGATGCCGGCCTCGTGGAATAGCTCAACAAAGTCAGCTGAAAAGTGCAGGAAGACACTTGGTTCCTGCAGCAAACCAGTCGAGTGATTCCCCCGATCGGATCTGATCGCCAGTCTCTCACTGCAACAATCGCGGCTGTGGGAACTGATTAGCACCAGCTTGCTCCCCTCCTTCCCAAACATGGGAATATCTCGCGTTGGACCTATCGTCCGTTCGCGGGTTTACACCGGCCGTCATATGATTGACTAACACCTTGGTTTTGGTAAGTTGATCAATGATTGGTATCTGTCAGCATCGGCTGGGAGACTCGCAGCGGCGCAGTTTACAGTATTATGTACCGAAACGGTATACAGAGTAGGCCCACTGCAAGGACGCCAAATTTTACCGCTGTCTCCACTGAGATCACAAGTATCACGAAGGCCTTTGCTTTTTTCTGACGAATCCGATCCCAGTAGCCACTTTTTGTCCATCGTGCTAAATCGGGCGGATAGAAGCCATGCCGCCCCGCGCCTGGCCATCAAACTCACCTTCGCTCAATCATGAATGGCCTCTCGCTCGTTGTGCATTTAGCGGTGGATCAAGGCCCACCGCTCAGCAACTCCACATCGCTCGGATCGGAACCAATATATGGATGGATCATCACTCCGTACACAAAGAGATTTAGTTCCCAATGACGGTTCGTCTCAGATCTTGTATACTCTGTGGTATTGAAAGACGATGACTGGCCCTCTGGGGAATTGGCGGCTCACAATACACAACCACTGTCCATTGCGACAGTGAATCAACCGTCGTTCCGCGAGGACCCCTTGACATTTACTCATTTGGTGGTTCAAAGGCTCGGGGCGAACCTTCCAGGTGGTATTTTTCCGTACTTTGGTTGCAAACGGAGCGTTTGGTACCTCTGATTCGAAGTGGATAGATGAAATAGAACATTGAGAAAGCCTTGCCACATTTGCTTGGTCTGCGGTATTAAATATATCACCGAGATATCGATCCCATAGCAACATGCAGGATAATTACATAGAAAAGATGGGTTACATAGATGCTTTTGTCCGTCGTAACATCGTCGGCCTCGCCGGGTGTGATCGGCAGGTGTCAGTGACCACCACCTGACTTGCTGACTACTCCGCACTCTCAGGCCAAAGAAAAGCAAGAAAAACAAAAATTGTCCGAACTGCATCGAATCAGAGGGAATAGAACTTCTCTCGACTGCAGGGGCTACCAGCGATTTACGAATAGCTTTTGGCTGATGCCTGTATCTGCCGTCCCCGATGACATTCATGACCGGTCGAGTCTTTCCCCGTGGTCGATTGTGCCAACGACGGGCTTCCCGCGGTCTCACGCCACTGAACCGTCTCGCAACCTGTCAATTGCCCCCATCTCCTAAGCCCGGGGTAGTAATGTCACGATGCTTACCAGTCACAGCAAACAAACCGTGCCATCAAAGTGGACCGACTTAGTGACTCCATTCCTATGCATTTTGTGGTGCACGACCCTGTCATCCTCAATCCAGTCACAACGAGGACCATATTTCGAGAGGCTACGACTACTTGCGACCATTCCATGCCTTGTGCCCTTGGCAATCCTGGGTTTTCCCCAGGCTTGATGCTACTGAAGACGCAAAGGAGAAGCAGTTGTTCTTGCGCCAATGATCTTCCCAATCACATTGGTCCTCACATACAGAACCGACGTCGATCGCACAAACCGTGCCAGGATCTCTCGCCGTGCTCTCTATATGGACCGTTTATCTACGAATAGGGATCTGGCTTCCCCACTACACTGGGGGCCTGCTAACGGGTCAAATTTTAGCGCTGGTAATCCTCGGGGCTTGAAAAAGTCCAGATCTATCCAGGTAAATTTTATGAGTGAGCCATTTCCTTTTCTTTTAGTATTCATTATTTTCAGTGCAGCTGGTGTCAGCTTTTACTTTTTCTTTTTCAGTCGACTTTTGTACCAGATCCTGATTTTAGCTTATCTCTGACGTGGTCTTGCAGACCAATTTGACACTCATTTTGAATTTTTAGCCACCGTGGGCAGTAACTCCATACTGTGGCGGAGTGGATGCAGCTTTTTAATCGCCAAGTTTATCCTTAAAAAAAGCAACCCTTTTAATCTTAATGCGTCTTTATTTATATTATTATTTTCAGTAGTTTATTTTACAATATCTGAGACATTCATTGACATCTGAGAGCTAGCTTTTATATACTTCATACTGCTTTTGAAGTTCAATGCTGTGCCACGAATAGTTCGATATCTCCCGCCCTTACGGACGATTTTCCTCTCTCATATTCTTACCGACAATCAGATAATGCTGCACCAGGCTATGTGAATGTCTTGCATCATTTAGCATATGACGATAATGATCTAAGAGTAAGTGGGGAAAGCCTCCTGTGTCTGGTCTCCACGGGATTTAGCTCATAATAAAATCATTAGGTGTATTCTTCAGCAACATCAGTCATCTTGTAGGCGGGATGGTCTCCATGCCATATTACTTTTCCACCCATTGCTGGATTTATAGTCTTCGGACTGAATTGCCGACGACCGTCAGGTAGCACCATGTTGTCACACAAGCCTGATAGTGGTCGAATACCCCGGCCTAGGGGTGTTGCATCTCAACCACAAAAAGTATCATCGCCGACGACTGTTACGTCAGCGAAGCAATCAGGAATTCCTGCCATGTTGTCGCCAAGACCACCTGTTGGGTCGCCAGTGTCTTCGTCAAATAGGGCTAGCAGTGCATCCTTATCCTTGGTTGAAGTGAAGGGTCAGTTAGGTACGCCCTCAAACCCTTCGAGAACACAATCTAGCCAGGGCTCCCGATTGTTATTGCCACCAAGGGCGACTACACATCCATTGCCTTCAACTTCACGCCCTTCTGCATTCTCCAATGTAAATTCAAACCTAAGTCCAGCAGAAAGCTCATATACGGTATCAATCTCTTCGGGTGCTAGCCGGCAGAATTTTGTGAGCAGTCATCCACGGAACGTTCTTCGAAGGAAGCCCCCAACAATTGGTCAGTATACGGCCGGGAATGAATCAAAAATCATGGAAGGCACCAGGCCTGAAAAGCTGAACGTAATCATCCCCAATGGCGAACAACCTAGCAGTATCACAAGGCATTCACCTCGGATTTTGGAGAGCCCAAAACAGTCGATTCCAATGCATTCATCCCAATCCACGCTCCGCGATAGGAATGTGAGTTATACCACTAACAAGGTGTCCCATGGCCCTATAGAGCTTGCAAGTCTTCGAAATACGGTGAACACAACAAATCTACCGCCTCCAACTCCAGGATTTGCTTCATCTAGCAGCCCTTCGACAAGGTATTCTGGATCTCCCGGAATATGGAGTCGAACATCAACGCCGACTTCGCTATCCTCATATTCACCAGGGATTGTTCAGCCGGTTAAAATTGGTTCTCGATTAAGGCAGCCAAGCCCGTCCCAAACGAGGCTTCCAACATTCTCACCTCGGATACAACCGACCCCTTCACCGAGCAATCCAGCGAGCGCCAAAGAAGTGAGCTCTCATTCTTTGAGTCAAGGAACAGGATCAACGGCTTCACTTCCCAAGGATGGAAAGAAAGGGTCTCCAACCAAAGTTGATGCTACAGCATCCCCCACTACACTTAAAAGTACTGTACAGCGCAGGCCTTCAACACAATCTAATCTTCCGAGAATGGCTAAAGTGAACTACGAGGCGAATCAAAACATCAAAGCATCAAAGCCGCAAAACATGGCTGAATTGCATGGGGATGGGAGGAAGGTAGCTGGTTGTTTATCAATAAACACCGCCCAAGTGCCTTCTAGACCCAGCAGAGAAGGGACCCATCGGTTAGAACTGGAGCCATCACCCGTGGTTCAAAGTAACCTGTCGCCAGATACGGTGACTGGACATAAAAGACGCGGGTCTATGGAGAGCCCACTTATAATTGACAAGTCTCTACTGCCGACAGATCAATCAGCCGCTACCTCAGTGGGTTCACTTCACTCCAGGGCGTCCTCTCGCATACCTTCGCGCTTGCCAACCTCTCCGGAGCTATCGCGCAAACCACCTCGGATATTAACAAAAGAGCCCAAAGGCCAGCAAAGCCCCGCAAGCCCCGGCAAATCCCGTCGGTTTGGATTCTTTACCAAAAAGTCGAAGTCAGAATTAAATACAATATCTCCTGATGAACCTCATCCTTCTCGCAAGGGTCCTGCTGCTGGAACCGGTCACGAGGGATACGGAAGGTATGGACAACGTGGACGTAAAACAAGTATTGGCAGCAGCAGTGGTATTAGGGAAAGGTCAACAAGCACGACTAGAAGCACTTCCAAGTCTGTCTCTAGCGGCAAGGGAAGCGACAAAATCCGGCCAGACCTGGGACTTGATGATTTTTTTCTTGATCGCCTGGAGCCAGTGATTATACTAGGAGGTGGTATGGACGGAGGGGCATTGACGCGAACTCAGAGTGAACAAAGTTCTAGTGGATTTAGTACCAGATCCATGTCAAACGTGACACCGCATTCCAATATACCACAATCTCCTGGATATTCCACAGACTCCCTAGCTACTTCAACAGGGACTGTTGAGAAAAAGGGAGAGAGCCAGCAGAGAAATAATCATCAAGGAGAAATCCATCACGGACCAGGGGTCCGTGGATCCTCGAGTTTGTCCAGCACTGAAGATTTGGAAACACACCCCAGGTTGAAGGTGGGTCCAGAGACATCCCAACAACATATCACCCAGCCCATGCAGGGAACTCCGAAAGTCAGCATTCCTAAAGTGTCACCAAAGCCTGAGGTAGTGAATAACCCCAAAATCAACGAGAAAAGTCCACCAAAGAAGGGACTGGGACTGAAGTGGAATTTCTTCCAGCGAAGCCACGACACGAAGCATGACGAACAACAACCATTGTCTCCTACCATACCTCAACTCCAGGCTACAATATCCTCTGTTGCTTCCCGCCGACCTGTTGCGCACTATGCCTTTGTGGATACGGATTCTGATCCTCTTGAAGAGATCATCCACAATATTGAAGATTCACCGCCCACTGAGGATGGTGGAGCTGGTTCTCCAGTTGAGGTCCCAGCAGCCTTGAATATAAGGAAGCCATGCCAGTCCATTCTTCTTCCTTCACCACCTAAGATAAATGGTGAATTTATTCAAGGAGGCCCTCCGTCGCCAAAGGTCTATTTCACTAAAGACCCCCTTCATTCAAGCCCCGAAAAACCGCGAGAATCCTTGGAGGAAAGGCGTCACAGCCGATTGGCATCAATCGGCCGCATCCCGAGAGTGGTTTCCAGAAGAGAAAGACAACATAAGCCTGCTTTTCAGTCTTTCTCAAGGCCATTCAGTGCCGCAGAGTCACCCTCTTTAACGGCACCTGTAGTGGATAGGCCCGCCGAATTCTCGCCCCCTCGTCCTGTATATGAGTCGCAGACACAAAATCTTCCCAGGGGCCCGCACAACCCCGGTTTTGATCCCTCCCAACCATTTGGGGACCCGAGTAGTGCAAGCATTCTTGACTTTATTGCTGGTCCTTATTCGAAAAATGAATTTCTGACATTCTCTCCTGAGAATCATTCAACCACATCCAGTTCGAGTGGCTCTGAAAGTCTAGCAGCGGTCACGGCTGTGATACCAACACCTGATTCCGGGTTAAACGAAGATGAGGTATGGGGGGAGTTCGATGATCTGATCGACCATGTCCTTTCTCCTGAGGTTACGAGGTCCGTTTCTTCCGGGGAGCACGATGTCGAGGGAAAGCTTGAAATGGCAACTATTGCTAGTAGAGCGCTTCAGGCTGAATTAAGTGGACTAGCAGATAAGAGTGCAGTTTCTTCGGTCCTCGAGCATCCGGCAGTAGAGCTTACCCCTGCGTCACCTCGATCTAGCAACGGGTCGATTCGTCTTCGCCGGTCCAGGATTGTGTCTGCTCTGCATTCCTCTATTGCTCCATCGTCTCAGCCTTCATTTAGTGACATCATTGCTGGCTACTCTGATGACCAGGTCGTGGACAACGCGAAGAACGAGGGCCAGAACGATCAATCCACAATCGCTCTGGACGAACAGCCGTCAAGCTACCTCAGCTCACCTTTAAACCCGTCTCCAGGGTTTGAGGCATGCCGACAACGGAATACCATATTGTTCGATATTGCCGAGCGCGACCGAGAAGGGCCAACGGCGCAGACCAATATTCGGTCAGGATCGCTCATGACCAGTCGATGGCTGTCCTTTGGGAGGGTTCTTTTCAGTCCTGCTCATAACCGTATCAAGGATGGAGAAGATGAACGGATCCTGGTAGTGGATGGATTGGGGAATGATGACTGGTCTTTCTATTGCGCCTTGACGTATCCCAAGGCAGACGTGCACTGCCTAAACGATGGGTCAGTTCCAACCGCATCCAAGCATCCTGCTGCCTGGGAGCCGCCATCGAACCATCATACTATTCACCACTCGAGTTTCGAAGACCCATTCCCATTCTCCAAAGGATTTTTCACAGTGACCGTCTTGCGATTCCCAGCCGCCTGCTCCGAGAGCGCTCAAAACTCAATAGTTTCGGAATGCAAGCGTGTGCTTCGCCCAGGAGGATACATGGAGATGAGTGTGCTTGACTTGGATATGGTGAACATGGGCATTCGGACGCGAAAGGCCGTCCGACAACTGAAGGAGAGGACCTACTTAACGGACCTCAACATTAGCCTCAAGCCTGCAAGCGACAGTATCCAACGACTGCTTGGACGACATGGATTCGACAATCTCCGACGGTGCATGGTGCGGATACCCACCGCAGGGGTGATCGTTCGATCATCTGGCTCTTCATCATCCACATCATCGTCGGCGTCGAATCCTTCAACAATGGCTACAACGGCTACCCCGTTAACGGCCTTTTCGGGGCCGTCGAACTCATCTCTGGGGGCGCAATCCAAAGCCCATGGCAAGTCCAACGACACTGATCTATCACTGGGGGATTTACTCTCCGACCCGTCCCCATCTCTGTCCAACGACGAATCCATCCGGAAGATAGTCGCCAAGGTTGGGCGCTGGTGGTACACAAGATGTTACGAAATCCCGGTTCTCCCGAACGGCGACTCAAGTCTCAGCATCTGGGCAGACCGGAAAGTTCTCCGCGAATGCCAAAAGCAAGGCACTGGGTTCCGCCTGTTGATTGCCTATGCACAGAAGCCGAGTGAGAAACGGAGAACGGCAAGTGTTTGAAGATAAGTATGAAATGAAACTCACGATGATGACGATTAACGATATCCGACTCCGATCTATTTATCTAATTAATGACCCTGGATATGCAATTTTATGACGGATATGTATACCCTGGGAAGACAAAACAGATTGCAGGTTTATTACAATGAGGATATTATCTCTTGCGTGTATCTGGCTTGGACTGTTACAGCATTTATTTTTTGCACACCATGAAGCTGGACTTTGGGTGTTTCTTTTTCTATTCTTTTCTTTATTAAGCATTAGTACCGTGATACCATTGATTAAGATAATGAATGCACTGTGTGTTTAATCTATATGAATTATGTTCATTCATCTAGCATGTTCCCTTACAACCATGTTCAAGTTCAACCATTGTTCGACATTTAAGCATCGCTAAATTTTTTGCTTAGCTATCTCGAGGCTCAAGTGGACAGTCAATAGGACATGTAAGAGAACTACTTGGTATGTGTGACTCTTTCCACAGTCTGGACAAATGCCACGACCCCCTTCAATAGCAAAGAAAGGATGAAGTTAGAGCATATGTGACATACTCTATCCTTGGCAACGTATTCAAGAGTCCTTTCACTGAACGCTCGAAGTTCCGGATAGTTTAATACCCTCAGGGCAATAGGGGTAGTATGATTAACAAAAGCAACGAGGCGGGTCTAATTTTTCGTCTTTGGTCGATCCGAGAAATATTTATTTGATGCTGTTGTAGCAATAACTGTGGAACATAAGCTGAGGAATATAATTTTACTATCGTAATACTCGTAACAAGAAACTCATTTTTGGAACCTACAGGATATGTTGACGGCCTTCTTCGTTGTCGATGTGGCTTATACATATCATGAGATCATCCATAACTGTTTGAATGGCATCGTTCTCATAGGGTTTCCCCGGGTTAGTTGTGGATTGTGAGCTCAGAGTAATTTTGTTCGCTGTCGTTGTCCAGTGCAAGTCTCATTGATTGTCCTGCTCTACAATCCGTTCACTGTCAGTGACAGAGGACAGAATCCTTGATCCGAAGCGATTCATGGTGTTGCTCATAGCAAATATATAATCCTAGATGGAAATCCGGCTCCGACGATATCGTTTCTCATGATGGAAATTGCGAGTTCGAAATCTGCTTGCTTTTGGGCCCTGTTTCCCTTCCGGTCGTCCTCGGTGTTATCGAGGTCTGGAGAAGATGCAGAATAGTTCGCGACTCTGATTGTGTTTGATGATGGTTCTCGGGAAGTGCAGGAGGTTCGATTCCTTCAATCATTCCCAAACCAAAAAAGGGCAAATGGAAGTACCATTCTTCTCACGGGTGAAATAATGATAATAGAAGGTTAAAAGTTGTAGTTGTTATTCTGATCATTTCTGAGGCTCTAAAGATCTCAATATGCGCGGAGACGATGACGACGTTGATCTAGAGTCTTACCTGCAAACGGTGTATGTGTTAACGTGTGTATAAACAGACCAAGCTCTTTCCTAAATGCTAAGATAATGAACGGACGTACCTTGCTCTAGAGTATGCATAGAAATTCGAGTATTATTCCTATAGAGACGAACGCGTACTAAGCCAAGTCAAAGGCAGCAGTGGGAGCAGTGTAATATAAAACCTTCGACCAAAAGGAGATTCTGGTGCTACGGAGGTGGTAGGATAGTGGCCTGATCATGGGACTAAGACCGATTCCATCCATGATCATATCATCGCAGTTGATTCCAAAAGAACCGATATCTATCGGTAGCAACACAAGAATAATAGAGATAATAAATGATTCAAGCATCTAATATCCGATCCCCTTACCGGAATGACCATTTATGAGGCCCACTCTACGAAACGAGGATATCCCAGCCTGTCATAAACTAACGTGAAATATCGTACAGCGGCACACATAATGAACGGTGGACAGCCGCGTATCATTCCTTTGGTACTGTACATGGATACCTACCATATAGACCCACCGTTGTGCTCCACAGTTCTCTCTCGCAGTACGAGGTCTCTATCTACCTAATTTCCTGTTATCACCATCACCCAGCATTGCATGATTTGGTATCACTCAAAAGGCCTGATCCCATCCTATCCGATCGGACAAGTCTTTCTTTGCCACCTCGGTACTGGTATAGAGCATCCTCTAGTCTATGGTACGACTGACCCTCCTTCAATTTCGCCAATAAAGCAAACACCACGCGACCCGGAACTAGCTATCCGGACTTCCGCGACCGGGTATGAGTATGGGGTGCATCGACTGCGTATCGACTTGACGTTGGCGTTTCAGGTAGACGATTGACGATCCTAGCCGGATGAAGTTCGAATCGATGGTAAGGATTGCGGACGATGAGACGATAGACGGTGTGAATGACGATGTGCATGGCGTATGCAATTCATACATATCTAACCGTACCAATAACATACCAGAGTGACACCGACGGAGTCCACAATCGTCTACTAGGTAGATAGAAGTACAATGGAATTACCGAGATACATGATAATACCTAATATTAACCCCGCACATGACCTAAACTGTTGCCATCGTACCTGGTACGATAGCTGTCTGAGCTGTCAAATATGCACCCCGCAGTCTTAACTTTCTCAGTCCCTCTAGTGTTTGAAGCGATGGACTTTAACCTTGCCGAAGGAGGGGCACTGGCTGTGTTTGCAGGAGGGGAAAGGAGGGGAAAGGAGAACAGAGCAGGGGACTCTAACGCTTGGATCATTTCATTGCGTAGGTAGCTCTCGGCTACAGCCTGGAGAATCATCAATGCATTACACAGTGCATACTATGAGTCTGTGCTGAGACCCCGATCCAGTGGTGATGGCCCTTCTACAATGAATAGCGCGTCGGTTGATATCCGGACTAATCGGAGGGGAGCGAGGGATGGGAGTTTGATCATGCGAGAGATATAGTATGTATGTATGTGTGTACATATGCATTGCATTGCTGGTATCGAGGGATACTGGTGCAATGAAAGGCAAATCCAGTGGTTCCGTCTGCATTATCCACTGTTACAATACGTACCCGTGCTATTGCATGATAGGACGAATGTGGATATTCCGGGAGATTAGAAGTGACTCTACTACAGTGTTCGTGTGCAAAACACGTGCATGCCACAAAAGCATGGATCTCTGCAGCTTGGGCCCATCAACTAAACAGTCATCCTCACCTCCAGCTGGCCAGCTTGTGAGACAGTGCAATCTGTGAGTGACAGCTTGGCTGGCCTACTGAGGAATCGATCCGAGAGAATACATGCTACTTGTGCACAAAATTCAGGTACTCTGGATATCATACAGTTAACGATCACTGCTTGTTGAAATACGCATAGCGGAGATGACAATTAACGGCCTATGTCTAATGTTAGCAGGAGATTTCTTTTCTCGATAAGGACAATAGGTAAGAATCAAGGCGCATTGGAACCTTGTCACTTTCCTACAAAAGCGCAGAGCTATCTGACGGTCGCATTATTGCAAGATCAATCTTGTCAAGTCCGGAATACCCGATATGGAATCATCGGTTCGAACTGCATCTATGCCTGTCAATAGAGCAAAACAATTATCGTCCTGCCAGTCAACCGTATTGAGTTCCCCACTGGGTGGACCTCACAGCTTTGAGAGCTAGACATTAATAGATACCCCCTCCAAATCCAATGCTCGCGTGCGTCCTCCGTAGATCATCTACGAGCTGGCCAGACGCTCAGATAGAGTTGATTCACCGACTTCTCGTGAGTTCTGACTGCAGACATGGCGTTCTTTATGGGTGGTTGGAGAGACACCGCTCTTCAGTCTTACATATGAAAAGAATTTCATAGAAAAGTTGACACCAGAAAGAAAACACGGTCGGAGATCGTCCCCAGGTTGCCCTGAACTCCCGTTTCAGCAGAAATGAGGAAGCAGGACTCGAAGGAACGTGGTTAGACTCTGTCGATCACGGGTGCCCTAGAATCGTCGCCGATTACCCGCTCGGGCACCCAGACACTTGTCGGGAGAGTCTGCTCCGGATGCATGCATGTATGTAGTATGTAAAGATTCCTATGTTCCATTATGGATGGTGTACATCATAACAATGCTCCTTGAATACATGGGTAGAAGTAAGTTCAGGAGCGCAGCATCCTCCTGCACCTCCTCCATCAGTCCCGAGGAAACCTTGGCCGTTTGCACGGGCGTCGAGGTTGTTTGCTTGTTTGTCCGTAGGACTCGGAAAAAGCCCCCGATATTTTGACCAGAGACTACCCGATTGATTTATTCATTTATTTTTCATCTTGCGCGATAGACGGTCAAAACTGAACTCGGGTTAGAAGTTGGGTCAAGCTGGTCGTGATCTCAATGTCAGTACTGGCACCATTTATCAGCGCCAACTGTTAATAATAATGGTTAGTAAGTAACTACTGGAGGAAAAGAAAAGTTTGACCCCTCCTGGACCACACTCGAGGTCATGGCGGAGGGCCGATCGGGGCTTCAATCCCATAGTGAAAACCGGAATGAACTACGGAGCAGAATCTCATTTTAGGGTCCGTGAGCCGTCCGGTCAATGCTACCTAAAACTCTACTTTATACCATCCAAGGTCGCTTCTTGCTCACCCCTGGGCTAGAACGTCGAGGTGACCCCGGTGGCGACAAAACTCTGCCCCGCTAGCGAGGAATCCATAACCAAAGAAAGACCGGTAAGTGAGACTTGCATATTCTGTACATATATCGGAAACAACCAATTTGATCGTCAGCTAATATAGAGCTCAGGGGCATACGGCCAAAAGACTCTATCTACATTGACACTAGTGCAAAAAAAAAAAATAAAAAAAAAAAAAAAAAAAAAATTAAAAAAAGGATATGCTAGAAGTATCTATGGACTGACAACGTTGTACCAAATCACTGATAATACCAAGGATCAGGGTTCAGTTAGTCAACTGAATTGATAGACTATGTAATACGGACTAGCATGGGACCTTAGCGCCTAAGTATCGTAAATGCACCTACATGAAGAGTAATTGATCCTGCACACCTACGTACATAATACTACCAAGGAACCCAGTACGAGGTATCCTGAACCTCTGGCGGTTGCACGATTACCACCACCGCCCTGACACAACCCATCACTGGATATCCCCTTGCTCGACATGCAGACTCCAACCAATGCCATCAGGTCATCCGGATGATTCGGCGATTTCGACTACAAGCCAAGATGCCAAGTACAACCGTATCTGTTTGATCTATTCCTGGTTGGGCGTTGGCAGCAAAGGAGTGCATCAGTAGAATTTTCAATCTCACCAGAGGTCTGTAACTGCCTGTATTCAGAATGCTGGAAGGAGGGAGAAACGCAGGGCCCAAACCGGATATTTAGCCTATTTAATAATATCTGATTGGATTCTGATGTTATACAGTAGGAGTTCTAAGGAAATTAGCTGCCTCAAAGGGCGCTAGTAAGTCCTAGCTGGGTAAAGAGATACGGTAGCACGTATGTTCTTCGAGGTCCTTGATATGTGACTAGGGTCTTTGATCGAGTGGGACTGCCAATATACGGAGTAGTTTCCTCTCACTTGTTGGTTAGGTAAACAGTTAGACGTCAAGGTCGACGAGGTAACCTGTTGTCCCGAGATGGTCAAGATCGATACCTATACCGAATCCTAGTCCTAACTATAATGATAGAGGTAGAGCCAAATGGTAGATACAACAACGGTCGGATTCGCTATCACTCAAGGCGCCAAGTCGCATATTGGGAGTGGTTAGAACGAGGACGGAGAGGCCGTGCACTGGACACAGTCCTGCACCATAATGCTGATGGACCCCACTGGTGTCTCCAAGTGCAAGCAGGAAGAGGGGGGGGGGGTTCATCATCATTACCCTGAGCATAAGAAGGATATCCTCAAGTCCCTTGACCTTCACCCACTTGTCTCGGTTAAGTATCTAGACCGTCGAGAAAAGTCTTCAGTAGCATCCGGTTGGGCCAACGCGACGGTTAGACTGGCGCTAACCAGGCCAAAGTTGGAGTGGGGGACCCGTGGGGACAACATGACTAATGGATGAACAGACTTCCTTACAGATTCGCATTATCTGTAAGTCAGTTCGTTTTAAGTCAGATCTCAGGGAAATCCACGCGGCTTATCTTCATTTCACCAGGCGCAACTCGAGCAGATCGATTGGATTGACAATATATGTACATATATCAAACTCCTGGGGGATATTTACAATACATCCAAGTACTTGTAACTCGGGCCTAGCATTTGGCCCGTCATGCGAGACACTAGCGACAGGGATACACGTCTTCCTTGATTTGACATTTCGACCTACAGACTTGGAGCAGGGCATGCATGCGCTCGTGCATATGGTGGACCACTCACTCTCCACCGATCCGCATGTACTCTGTACATCTTCCGACTGAGTATAGAGTACATGACTACATGTGGTTCGGTATATATCCATCTGCAGATCTCGATGGAGAATCCTCTGGACAGAGTTATCTTCTGGATAGAGTATCTTCTGGATAGAGTACCAAATCGATGGCATCTGGGCCCCACGAGGGCATATTATCTAACGATGATTTCACTCATTGATGGAACCATGGGCCGACAGGCGAATCCTAATGATCATCCCTTCGCTACAAGAGCAGACCGACCCACTTGGGCGGAACGCACTGACTGGCCGACTGTGGATCGTTCCACCGTCCCAGACCGTTCGATCGTCTATTTTAAGTTAGCTAGCAACGGCCAGGTCTCGTATTTTACCACTAATACCACCACCACTTCCATCATGATTTCCGGGTATGGCGGCAAATCAACGACGGGCATCCATCGACTTATCGCTAGCTATGGCGAAAGAAGATCGATCCGGTCATGGTTGTCAAAGATGGAGGAGGGGGAGGGAAGCGACAGAGGCAAAAGACGGTAAATGATTCCCTTGTAGGAAGACTAAATCAATGACATGATAGGGGAAGCTTTCTGTACCCTTGGAAAGTGAAAAGTCAACCCAACAAAATTATTCTTTCCTGATAATCCATCGAGCCCAGCCCCTCGCCATTGTTCTTGTTTTTTATATTTTTATTTTGATATATTTTTTCTTTTTGGCCCCTCTTATGCATCCCTTATCAGTGGATGTCAATTAAGTTCTCTATAACTGTACCTCCTCGAATCTTTCCATCTGCCCAGTACTTACTTACTTCCCTTCCCTTTCTGGTCCCTCTCTGGTAGTACCTTCTGCTTTCTAAGGCACAGAACTGCTTCCTCTCCAGCGCTAATCCGGGCTATCGTGCTCGCTTCGTCTCTCCGTCCTTTGTCAGTCATATAGTTCCCTCCCCCCTCCACCATCTGCGATTTTTTTTTTTCCTCTCCCGTCATATCAGACGCTGGGAAAATTTCCCTAGACTGTCTCCTTCCTTTTTTGATCCCCCTGTGGCTCCGAACGAATCCCCACGGTCTTGCCACTTGCCACCCTCCGTCGGCCGTTTATTTCATTTACTAATTTTCTTTGTTTGGTCTCGCTAGATGTTGATCCAACAAGGTACGTGAAAGGAGAGTGTTGCTCTCTTGATTTATATTTTTTTTTTTTTTTTTTTTTTTTTTTTTTTTTTTTTTTTGCCTGGCTTGAGTCATTATTTACCAATATACGCAAATGCCATGCCGGTGACTTTCTCAAATCTCCGCATTTCGTATCATTGGTTGGAGCTCTGACCGTCCAACATCTTCTTTGCCTCCCGAACCTTTGGTCTTCTGTAGATCGCCTCTTTTTGATAAGCTAGCTTTTTCATGTCGATCGTTTTCATTTCAGACATCCATCCTGGCCGAGTTATACTGGGACTAGATGAAATAAACTTGCCAAAATACTTCCAGTTCTGAGCCCCGACATCCCCTGTCTGTACTTGCAGAGTCAGTGGCCACTGCAGTGACTGTCCTTATGCTCTCGTTTCCCTTATCACTTCCATCTTTGTGTCTTGAGTCCTACTAACTCTGGGTTTAGATTTTCTTTATAGGGGCCGTTTCCATCAACTGGTCATCGTCTGAATCTTCTGACCTCTTGAATTAAGGAATATTCAGCCCGGTCCAGTTCATTGTCGTCCTAACCTTTGTGTTGGATTGCACAAGTCCGGCCGGATGCCATACACTGCGCCATCGAAGCCGTCGCTTTCTGCGCAGCACATTGATGAACATTGCTCTCAGTTTTCTCAATCCTGTCCAAACTCGCCTCCATTCAGTGGTGCTCAGGCTAGCCGACCGCATCTATCTCGTTTTTATACTTCCACGACTTACCTCCGCAGGCACCGGAGAAGCTCATCCAATAGCAAGACTTTTGCCATCCCGGGTTCCGAAAATTCCGTTCAGCCAAACCATGCTATTGATTATCATGCTAGTATCCGACAATCACCACCTCCAATCAGTGGGGCTCTCATCCCTCCTGGGGCTTTGATATCTCCTCCTGAATCTGCCCCCAACTCCAGCGATGAGGAGCCTGAGGCAGCCGTCAGCTCAATTCAGCAGAGGAGAGTTTCTTCACCTGAGCGGCAGTCGTCCGAGGAAAAGTCATCCCCGAGAACGGCTCCCTTCTCTTGCCTAACTCTCTCCAAGGAAGCTTGCGAAATCTCCCATTCGCGCTCATTCACGGCGAACGCTATTACGCAGAGGCAAGAGGAGGCATTAACAAGCTCACCAGAAGAGAGCGATCGGGACGATGAACTACTGGCGAAGCAACCAATGGTACGCAAAAAATCTGGGGAACTTGTGCGACCGGCTCTACGTCCATCTTCAGCTCGGAGACGCCCGTCAAGCATGCCAGGAACCCCAACATATTCCAAAGCAGTTCACTTCGACTCTCAGCTCGAGCATATCCGCCATTTCCTACAGTTGGACAAACCACAGGCCGTTAGCGCAGAGACATCACCTGTTGAGGATTTCAGCAGGGAAGGAGAGTTCCCATTCAAGATGGAAGGTTCGGAAGAGCCATCGTTTGAATGGGATATCTCTCTTTCCAATTTTCCCAAAGATTTATCATCCCGAGGTCATCGGCGTGTTCGACTTGAGCATATATCCCTGTCATTGGATAAAAGTACGCTCGTTGGTGTGGTCGGGGCTGCTAACCTGGCGTTTCAAAAGCATGTCGCAGCTCGTTTCACTTTTGACAACTGGAAGACAATCTCGGAAGTTAACGCAGAATATGGCACTACTTCTGACCGAAAGCAAAAGTATGATGGCTACGACCGTTTTACCTTCAGTATCAAGCTGGATGACCAGGCTCATCTGGAAAGGAAGACGATGTTCATTTGCATTCGATACAGTGTCGGCGGTTCTGAATACTGGGACAACAACGACTCTAAAAACTTCCAGGTCAACTTTATGAGGAAGCCAAAACAACAGCTTTCTACTCACCGCCAGTCGCCTGATTCTACACTGGGATCTCGTCCAAGCCTCCCTCGAAGTAGGACCTTCACCCATTCAGTCGGCCGCCCCCAGTCAATGCCCTCATCGTTTGACGATTTGTCGAGTCTAAGTGATTCTCTTTCCTTTGTTCACCCATCTAAAGACACTGCTGGCCAGGCGTTATGCCGAAATGCATCTCATGACCTTGAGAATGGCCCACCTGTACGCCGGGAAAGGCAGCCTCACCAAATGTTTGGCAATCGATATGATTTTGGGGCATCGTTGTCGGCGGTCATGCGCACCAAGCCAGAACATGATCGAACCACTCTGACAGCTCGTGCGAAGTCCGAAACTTCCAGTGCGAATACTGCAAATCACAGTCAGCCGGAGGAGCAGGATTCGAATGCCCTCAGAGATATACTAGCTGAAGAAAGAAACATCCAACCTGACAAGACTGAATCAGCCAAACCATCTTCCCTCATTTTTGGGAAGCCACATCGTGAATCCTCTGTATATAAGGAGCTTGTTGACAGATACTGCTTCTACGGATCTGCTGCTCAATCTACGGCCCACGGAACTTGGGTATCGGAAAATATCGATTCTAGAGCATCAAAAGATTTCAATAGCTCATCTAAGCAGCCTTCACCTGCATCATCTCCAGCTTTATCACCTCGTATGGATAGCAGTGCTCGAAACCCCCCGTCGACGCCACACGCCTTAGGATATCCCCACCACCAACCGGTGCCGAACAATTTTCTCAACGAAACGAAAACACCGACAGCCATCCGAGGATGATAATTCTTGCTCAAGAAATCCTAGATTTTCTTGCTTCATGGGGTTAACCCTGTTGATACCGTACAATTCTAGTGAGATTTGTACCTTTCACCAGGCAATTATACATGTAATATGTGACCACGGCTTTTTTTTCTCTTCCTTTCTATTTCCTTTTCACTGAATTCTGTGTCGCTTTATCCTGATTATTCTCTTTTCTCTTTAAGTGAACTTTCTCTTGTTCCAGGAATATGTGGGATACGCACCCTTTGCGACGTGAAATAAACCGCGGGGTGATTATCTCACGAGTGTTCTTCATGGCATATTGTCTTCTCGGATGACCTCGTGGAAGGGGGTCATGTTTACATTAATTTTCTTTTTGATAACTCTGTGATGCCAATCTGTGTTACGACTACGAAGTTACGTGTTTCTTTCCTTGTTCTTGTCCTTTAGTTCGCTGGTAGTTTGTTCCCAGCTGCCATGAGTGTGCTCTGAGACGAGCCCTTCTCGAACTCTAAAAGTGTTTACACAGAGTCTTCTACATTTACATCGGTTTTCTTGCGATTTACTCAATGTCGAGATTCTGAATGGAGCATGGACTGTTTTCTCTCCTTTTAGCTTGTCTTTCAATGAAGCTGGGATCGTGGACAATGCCCTCAGCATGGATACATATGTGTATGATTGATCCACCTAGGAGGGTTTTGGTAGGATATGTATCGGAAAGGATTGCCTGGTGACCGAAGGATCTGGGAGAAGTCAAGCCCTGCAAGTGAGAATGAAAGAGTTGATATTGTCTATAATATCGATGTAGTGAGAAGCAATAATGGCGTTACATGGTAGCCTTGAGAGGGACCATTTGAGATTCTCCAGATGAAGGCCAATATTGTGTTCTACAAAGGTCCTCAGCAAGCGGAAGAGGCGAGGTTGAGGCATGTTGCCGCCAAGCCCACGTGACTGAACCAGCCGCCGACATTCCGCCCGGCCGGGAAAGCAGCGCCAGGCGCCCACAGTCCATCGCCGAAAATCATCGACTCGAAAGCGGTCGTTCATAACACCCTTTTTCCCAACGGCTGCCCGCCAATCAGCACCCTGCATTGCTTTTCACCCTTCCAGATCACCCTCCCACGCTTAGTCATTCAGCAAAAAGGCAGGAGGGAAAAAAGGTAGCCAAAAATCACGCTCTCGCTTGCCGCCCGCACCGAGAAACGTATTTAAGCCGTAGCCCCTCTCCCATCGACGCCATTTTGATGTTCCTTTTTTTCCTATCTCTTATTCAACTCCTGACTTCAGCATCCCGACCCGCAACGCGTCGCGTCTTAATCATCCAACAATAACCATTTTCATCACTTTTCATCAGTTTTATCTACAGTTTTCTTTTCTTTCGTATCGGACAATATGACTGGACGTATGTATTATTATTATTATTTTTTTTTTTTCTTTCATCTCGTCTTTTGCCCGTATCGTGGTCATTTACCCCTGACGGCACGTGATGCCACCTCTCCAGGTCGTTCAGGGTAGCATGTGTACCTAACCTGTTAACCCCTCCTTGCCCTGCCGATGATTCTCATGATTGTCCTGTTCATATTAATATTTTCTTCTGTTCTTGTCCAGTAAACTAACATATATCCAGGCGGCAAAGGTGGTAAAGGTCTTGGAAAAGGTGGCGCCAAGCGTCACCGTAAGATCTTGCGTGACAACATCCAGGGTATCACCAAGCCCGCCATTCGTCGTCTCGCGCGTCGTGGTGGTGTCAAGCGTATCTCCGCCATGATCTATGAAGAAACGCGTGGTGTGCTCAAGTCCTTCCTCGAATCTGTCATCCGTGATGCAGTCACCTACACTGAACACGCTAAGCGTAAGACCGTCACCTCGCTGGACGTGGTGTATGCCCTCAAGCGCCAGGGCCGTACCCTCTACGGTTTCGGTGGTTAGGCTAGGATGTTTGGGCATCGGTTTCTACCTGCGTGTTGTCATCTTCATTCATCCTTGATTGAGAAGGGACGAATGATATATGGTCTACGGGTGTGGTGTTTCTTTTTACACACGAGTTCTGGGATTTATCTCTTTTTCTTTCAATCTGGGTACGGGGTTCGGAGGAATGGTTGGGTTTGGTTTACTGTTTGGATGAATTCTAAATATTCTGGGTTACGGTTTGGATTCGGAGGAAAGGGTGGATTCTTCTATATGTAGATGTTGCGTCTAGCTATGCTGGACTAGCTGAATCTAAGTGGACTTTTGAATTTAATACTCCATATACGTAGATCACTTAATAGATAGCGTAATCTCTATGGATGGTAGCAATGGTGGCATTTCATGGAGATCACATGTTGCGACCGTTGGGAGCACGGACCACGTGAGCATGACGTTATCCCCAGGCCTTGGGAATTAGCAGTTAACCTCGGCCGATTGAGAGAAATCAGGATATGGCATGTTTGCAGGCTGTCAGCTTCTATTGCATGCTCTTCAGAAGTGCCTTTCATAAATGCTCTTCGACAACGTTGCCATCGCTTGAAGACTTCTGATGTTATCGATAGCAGCGTAGCCAGAGAGCTTCGTTATCTCCATCTAACTATCCTATTCAACTTCATCTACTGGAGAGGTGGCTTTCTCACAGGCTGGTGCTTCTCTACTGGTCAAAATGCCTGATCACGAGATTTCTTATAATCCTGAGCTGGTATCTATTCTTCCCACTTTGATTAACATTCCCTGGCGATTGTGTCACCCCTTTATCTGTCTATTTATTTTATCTTAAATTGACAATATACGCTTCAACAGGACACGTACCAGCTCTATAATCGATACGAAGAATCTCCGCCTAAAGAGGACTGGAAAACAGCTGCCTTGCGTGGTCCCGCTCTGCCTACAGTGGGCAACGCAGTAGCAGGTGCTGTCGGGGCTGCGATATCGAACCTTGCTACGTACCCTCTGACCCTCATCATTGCACGATTACAGACACAGTCTCGGAAGGGAGATGGAAAAGACAAGATAAATTCAGAGGAAGCAGAAGATGAGGAGGAATACACGGATTTCCTAGATGCCGCTCGTAAGATCTACGCCCAGGAAGGACCTGGAAGTTTCTACACCGGATTGGCACAAGACACAGCCAAGACAGTCGCGGACTCGTTCCTCTTCTTCCTGGCTTATGGGTTCTTTCGACAACGAAGGATCAATGCGCGATTCGACCCAGGACGAAGAACAAAACACACAGTTTTGCCTATTCTAGACGAATTGGCAGTTGGTGTTTTGGCAGGCGCGTTCGCCAAGCTGTTCACCACCCCGCTGGCGAATATTGTGGCTAGAAAACAAACCTCTAAATCTTCCGTGCGTGCGAGGGATATCGCTGCGCAAATTAAGTCGGAAAAGGGCCTTCGAGGGTTTTGGTCTGGGTATTCTGCTTCATTGATCTTGACTCTTAACCCCTCGATTACGTTTTTCTTGAATGAGTTACTCAAGTACGGGATTCTTCCGCGGGAAAAGCGTGGACGTCCCTCGCCCTGGGTTACATTTCTCTTGGCTGCTGTTAGCAAGTCGGCTGCTTCGTCGGTGACGTATCCTTTTTCTATGGCCAAGACACGCGCACAAGTTGACAGGTCCATTACTTCCACATCTGATAAGAGTGCAAATAATGGCGAAAAAGATGACTTAGAGGAATCGATTTCCCTGACTCCCGAAATTATCACAAATGTTGTCGCGATTGCCCGAACTGACGGGATCTCCACCCTCTATAAAGGACTATACGGGGAGATCCTAAAGGGGTTCTTCTCACATGGCTTTACAATGTTGGCTAAAGACGCAGTTTATTCCGTAATCGTCCAGAGCTACTATGTGCTGCTCATTGCGCTGAGGAGATACCCCACGCCCGAGGAGCTGATCGAACGTGCTCGTCAACAAGCGGAGGAGTGGGCCGATGCCGCGCGTGAAGGTGCCAGGGATCTAGCTGCAAAGGCCGGTCATAATGCACAGGATATTCTTGATGGACACGCAAGTGGGGCGGCAGTGGGAATGACATCTACGAATAGTCCTAATACGGTGGATATTCTGACTGACTCTAACGAGACGGCAGAATTGGTGAGGGATTATGTTGAAGATGAGGCAGCTGAATGGAGGAGTTTGTATCGTTGGTTTTGGGAGAAGGAGAAATATGGGAAAGAGTGAATGTTGGAGTGGTTTTTTTTTTTTTTTTAATCTATTTTTTTACTGTATACTGGATTGATGACCAGCGGGAGTTGGGAATATGTGCTTCATACAAATTGCAGCATCTAGCTTTTGCCCCCCACCCCCCCCTGTATTTTCATAATCTCACTGATATTAACAGTTGATTGGTGACCTTTGCTTAATTATTCATTATTCATTAATTATTTGGTATCAATATGGCGGAAAGGCGATCTCAGTATGCAACAGTGGAGCCTAAATCCCGAGCCGAGATCGCCCACGGATATCCGCTGTTTACTTCTCCCCTACTTCGGGACATTCATTCGTTCCGTCATCCACACTGTCAGTGTCAGTCCCGCCTGCTTTATCCTCATGTCGACCGAACCACGTTGTGGTCCTGGTCTGGGGGACCTTGAAAAGGAACTGACTTGCTCGGTATGTTGATTTTTTTTATGATTTTTCGCAGAATGTAGGGAAGGTGGGGAAATTCCAGAACCGCTTTCCCCGCTGTGACTTGATGACAGTGGTCCCTTGCTTGGATCTGCCTTTCCTTAAGTATATGTGATGACGTGCCCCATCGAGGAAGAGTCTGTATATTTTGCTTGATCTTACTGTTGTCATTGCTATTGCTCGTTATCTCTGGTACTAATATTGGCCCTTCCCAGATTTGTACAGACCTTCTCTACCAACCTCTTACCCTCCTCGACTGTCTTCATACGTTTTGCGGTTCCTGTTTGAAAGAATGGTTTGCGGTCCAGGCTACCCGTCGACGATCGTCGGTGAGGTTCACATGTCCTTCATGTCGGGCTGTGGTGAGAGAAACCAGACCGAACGCTACGGTCACCACCCTGCTCGATATGGTTTTAGCGGCGAATCCTGAGCGAGGAAAGCCTGATACGGAGAAGGAGGAGATTGCACGGAAGTACAAGCATGGGGATTCTGTATTTCCGCCGTCGCCTTCTGATGAAAATAGCCCAGGCGGGTCGGACGAGGAGGATCGCAGGTTACTGGAAGAGGTCCGAGAATTGAGTCTTCAGGAGACCAGGGCTCGGACGAGAGATAGAGCCCATCAATCGGGACAGACGGCGAGGGCCGGCCGAACTGAAAGCTTGGATGGTGATGGGAGGAGAGAGGACGGCCGGGCCCGACGGCGGCGTGAAGAGCGACAGCGGGCGTTACGACCTGACGATGCGTCGCAACGCACACGGCAGATAGAGCATCAGTCGAGTTTGCGGTCGTTGTTAAGTCTGTCGGATACCGAGACGATGGAGGAGGAGATCCTACGACAGATTTTTGAGGAAGGCCTGTTGGATGGTATTGATCTGGACAATTTAGGCCCATCACAGGAGGAAGAACTCAGCGAGCGCATCGCCGACGCTTACCGAAGGAGACATCGGCTGCGGTCACGTTCACAGCAGAGACGAGAGAATAATGAGACAGCGCATACTTCGAACCGCCCCCGTGCGCGATCGCAGTCGGTGCAGAGATCCCAGCCTGTGCCTCCGCCGCGCGAGTCCTCGAGAAACCCTCCAGTATCACGCCCGTATTTGTTGGACCCTCTTGTATCGCACACTGGGCAGTCAGGTCATCATCGACGTCTGTCCGATCAGGGAAGTAGTCGGAGGAGAACATCCCCAGTCCCGGTTAATCCGGCGTCGTCGTCGGAGGTCTCGTTAAGACAAGCGGCACGATCATCAAGCGATATGATAGCGGATCGTCCTCGGAGCTCCCGAGCTCGAGCGGCTGATTCGACAACATCACGATCGCGACGAGCAACTGCGTCTGAACAAGCTGTGCCTAACATATGGGTAGAAGGGGCGAACGAACGGGAGCTCCGACGACAGAGGCCTGTCAGGCAGTCGGTCGACATTCCTACCTCAGTCACTTCACCTTTGCAGAACATCGAAAATAGGCATACTTCAGGACGTTCAGAACAGATTGTCACCAGCCCGTCAGTGACTAGCTCACTCGCCGCTGAAGTTAGCAGTCCGACCAGGCAAGAGGCTCGGTCTAGACCATCCTCATCGCTATCCACTGCATCCCAGTCTGTAGTGTCTTATGTCGAGCCTTCTATTTCCTGTGATCGATGTGGAAAATTGAACATTCAGTACGACCTTCATAAGACCTGTCCCCAGTGCAAAGAGGGCGGGTACCATCTTTGTTTACGTTGCTATCGGCTGGGTCGTGGCTGTCTCAACTGGACAGGGTTCGGTCCATCTGCCAAGGTGAATTATGAGCGTATTTGCGCAGCATCCCACGGTCGGCCAACGCCGTCTCGTGAGTCCCATCATATTTTGCTGTCCTCCAAGTACGCCAGGCCGTCGGGCAACGCGCGTCGACTAACGAGGGATGGCAAGGAGATGACGAGCGAAGACCCATCCCGAAGATTGCAGACGGGGATTTTCTGCGACATTTGCCAGGCGGCAGCTAATGATTGCTTCTGGAAATGCAGCGAATGCAACGAAGGAGACTGGGGGTTCTGCAATCGATGCGTCAACCAGGGACGATGCTGCACGCATGCACTCCTGCCGATATGTCGCGTTTCTGATGGTCGACTCGATCTGGTGATACCGTCACCTACTCCCACCGAAGCCCGTAATGGCTCTTCTACACCCCCTGTTGCACCCAGAGAACGCGAGACATTCAAAATTCTGGCATTTTCGACAAACTGCGACATCTGCACTCAGCCAATACCTCCAGTGATTCAACGATTTCACTGTCTACAATGCAATGACGGCGACTACGACATCTGCCCCAACTGCTACCTCAAACTCGTGGCGACTAATAAAATCCGCAAAGAGAATGGACATAATGGCTGGCGACGGTGCCTGAAGGACCACCGGATGGTAGTAGTCGGATTTGAGGACCATGAGGATGGCCAGAGACGAGTCATCGTGCGCGATCTTGTGGGCGGCCGTGCCTTGAACGACGACCACGTTAAATCTTCCTCTGCATCAGCATCTCCCGTCACTGTCACCGCCCCTTCCCCCGAGGTGTCATCAGGTGACTGGAGTTGGAAGGACGGCACAGAGCGACGCAAAAAGGCTTCGCGCGTACGGGCCCCGTGGGTGCATGCCGACCGTGAGCGTCATGGGTCTCTTCATAGTGGCTCGGAACCGTCGACGCCCGTCACGGCGACCTCGAATACATCAACCCGTCGATTCCCCCCGGACGGTGGGGTGGGTGTGGTTCTCCATGCGCTGTGGTCATGGTACCCGGAGGACGGGGTGAAGGATGAGCTGATGTTTCCTCGGGGAGCAGAGATCACGGAGGCCGAGAATATTAACGATGACTGGTATTGGGGATGCTATGCCGGGTCAACGGGACTGTTCCCTGGGACGCATGTTTTTGTTGTGGGGGAGATTGTGTAGTTTATTCTTCTGTAGTACTATGATAGTATGACTGTCTCGATTCTCCTTTAATCCTTGTACGGAGTACTTCCGCACTTCTACTAGGTTATTAGTGAAAACAAGTTCAATGATTATGTTCAGTAACAGCCTGTTTCACAAGCTTTTACAAGATCTAGGTTTTCAAACAACTTTCCTTCTCTGCTTCTCAAGCGCTGGACACTATCAATCATTTGTTACAGATGGGAGCCGCGGACATACTACAAATATCTTTCCCCAAACGAGGGCCGAAAAGAGGTTGGTAATTCCACTCCTCAGTCGCCATCGTTATATCTCAATCTGCCGTCTAGGAGTCCCTCGAGTCTTCTACTCTGCTTTTCTCTGTTCAGACGTGTTGCTGTTAGCGTATTGCTCTCATCTCCGGCAACAATGTCCCAAGGATCAGAGGATCCAGAACCCTCCAAGTTTCCGACCCTTTTCCCAGCGAAGGAAGAACCCACCTCGCCGTGCTATGCTATGATCCAGTCCGCACCAGTAGAATACCTAATGCAACCTGAAGAACCACGAGAATCCCCCCGGATTTCCAGTATACTATTTCTTCTACGGAACATTAACAGTTCCATCCCAATTACAATGAATCATCGATCTGGCAGAAGAGCCGGAACTTCGGCAGGCTGAGATATACGGCTACACACTTGCGAAATGGGCGACTATCCGCTTTGATCAATGGGAGAGAGGGGCATGTGGTTACCGGGTCTGCGTATTTCGTACAGTCTGAGGAGGAGGTGCAGAAGCTGGAGCGGTATGAAACAAGTGCGTACGACGTGGTGGATTGTCAGATTTATTTCAAGGACGGAGAGGAGCCGAATGGCAAGGTGGGAAGGTGTATATGTATGCGGGTGATGCGCGGGCACTGCTGGCGGTTTGATCGGAAACTTTGGAATAGGCAGATGGAGGGGAACTTGGGATAATATTTTGTGTATTTTGGGAGGTGAATGAGGGAGGTTGGTATCTGTTTTTATTAGACATGTTAATTTCTGAAATACATCAGTTGCTGCTAGAACTTGATAAGGCTGTTGTGATCAGCAAATCTTGCCCAAACTGGCAAATAAGTGATATAAGAGATAAGATGCACCTATGATGTCAACCTCTTGCATTTATGAAACTATGTCAGTATGATATTATTAATCTATAACAAATATCCTGCCCTGGTGCAGTACTGTATTCTATCCATAAGTGCATGGGCACGAAATCCGGCCAAGAACACACCGCAGACCTATATTTCAGAGTGGAACGACCTTGGTGCGTGGACAACACGGTCTATGATTTAGCGTTGACGGCGTAGACTCCATAATGGACAGGCTTGATTCAGTCTCCATGGATTGATGTTCCACTTGGCAATCGTGTTTACATATTCTGTATGTAGCATGTATAGGTCTCGTAGGTTGTTGTCTAGGCGCGTAGGTATATAATGTTTAGCCACCAACAATCAGTTAGTACCAACTTGGGCTGCAAATCTGTCTTTCAACTAAGTCTTTGATCTATATAATATTCCCTGATAATCATGATGTCCAGAATCGTTCACAAAATCAAAGACGCAGTCACCGGCCCCAACCATGAATCCGAATCCGAATCCTTATGACTTAAAGCTCTTGGATAATCTTGATCCACGTGTTGATCGCAAACATGGTATGTTCTTTTATTTTATGATCTGACCCTACCGTCTAGAAATTAACTAACCCGGACAGAAACCCATCGGTCCCGGTCTACTGGCCATGGCTCCAGCTCCGGATACGGAAATAATGCCACTCAGTCGGCAACTATGGCTCTTAGAATGCTCCATCTGGTGTCCATGTGGTTCTAACTACAGTTCCAACACTCATTCGGATATGTGTCTTCTGGTGTTTCAAGCGGCTATAATGGAAATGGCGGATATGAATCCACTGGAATAGGATCTACCGGACACAGTTCCTATAGTACTGGACACTCTGGAGTCTATGACCAATGGTATGGGATTCCATGGCTCTCAGGGTAGTTCTAACAAAATTTGACACGGCCCTAGCAATACCGGTATGACAAGTTCTACTGGGTAAGTTTCCTATACCATCGGTAGGCTATGATAGTAACACCGTCGGTGACCTGCAGGTTACAATGGTAGGACTGGCAAATATAGCACCAATACCAGTCCTCACGTCTCTAACATCGTGAATAAGTTGGATCCTCGTGCTGATTTGGATATGGATCATTGGCAGTGTGGGTACAGGGGGTCGACGACTCTAGATTTTTGATGGCATTATTCTGATGGTTGGTTCTGGTTGAGATGAGGTTAATGTTCTGCTTAGTGTTGATCATGTTCTGATATTTTGTGTTTGTGGCTAGGAAGTATTCAATGTTTTAATATATTTTGGATCTGGTAGATTATCGGCCAAGCATGTACGCCTCAGATAATTCCAATAGTTCTTAGTCTAATTAGATAAATATCCAAATAAAGGAGGCCCAACTGGTCTACATTGCAGATAATTAATGTTCACACAATGAGAAATTTCTAATTTCAAACAGCCCGTTCTGCTCAGAGGTCGCTCCCTTCCTTTCCTCCCTAAGCTCAAGTCGGAACCGTTTGGCCTCGTCCATGGTAATGGACTCCTCCATATCCTTGTTCACCGTCTGCTGCAACTCAACTGGAAGTCTCCTCTGGAGTACTCCCTCCACCAGTTTATCTCTCTCCCCGCCAGTCCTCCCTCTGCGGAGGCACATTCGCCGAGGAGATTACGTGAATATTAGGACGAGGAAAAGCGCCAGAATCTTACGAAGGCCTGGTTTGGATCTATCTGCCAGCGAAAACGGCGACACGCGATGTTGGAGGATATTCGGGAAAGCGAGAAGCCGGCCCTCATGCGTGGACACACTTCCTAGATGCTGGGTGATGTGGGTTTCACCGTTGGAATCAATATCAGGACCGAAGCCAAACACCTTGTATAGGAATTCGTGCCGTCCTTGAGGATAGAGAATATTGTTGGGATCTGTTTCTGCGCGTTGACGGAATGAGAGGTTGTTCTCTGTGATGTTCTCACTGTCATAGTAGCATAGGGTTGTGGCGCAGATGTGCTCGTTCTATGTGAGTTAGAGGAGCCATCGGTCTAGACTGTGTAGGCAGTACTTACCATCTGGCCTTCTACATGCCATATTCCACCTTCATAGTCCGGTTTCTCGGGTGCCAGTTCGATATTCGCTAGTTTAAAGATCACCTGCAGCCCCTTCTGCGCGAACTGCTTGTGCAGGTCAACTTGGTCTCGTTGGGACTTGGTAGTATGAATTCGTCCGGTTCCGGAAGTTTTATCGGACAGACGCTCTCCCATTCTTCGTATCGATCATAGAGTTCCTCGCTTTCTACTTCCTCGGTTTCGGCTTTGGGCTCTGGGTCCGAGTGATCGTGAAATTCCACCCTTTCGTACGAGGTGGTGTTTAAAGCGCCCCCTCTCACCTGAGACAAGCCAGTTTTACAGAGGGGAACGGCTCGCATGATGATTTTTCAATGACCCCGCACAATGGGCGATATTCATTAGGATGAAGGCTGTTAATGTATGACACAATGTGACATCCGCCATCCTGGGTGAACTCCACGTCGCAGGGCATCCACTGGAACTTGCGGCTAAATGGCTGCAGATCTCGAAAGCGACCCAGCCGCCATCTGGAACCAGCATCGATCTCAGGGTCATTATAAATGTAGTCGAAAATAGTAGCTTGGTCTTTTGGAGGCAGAGAAAACACCTCTCCCTGTCCAACACTATCTAGACCATCGTCAACATTGATCACCCGGCCAGGCACAATGCGACTGCGGCCATAAATAACAGGGAACGGACGGATGGACTAGATCAACCACTTTCCTATCCGAGCCGCGATGATAGTCCTTTTGCTTTTCCGGCACATCCTCCAACGGACGCACTGCCTCTCTCAGAGACCGTTTCAGATCTTCTGAGATAGAGGTATCGGATTTCACCACCCCAGTGTTGAAGACTATTGTTAGCCCGGTTTTCCGACAGACGTCGGCCTTCCATTGGAGGCTGCGACTACGCAGCGGGCAACTACATTTATGCTACAGGCATGGCTCCTCGACTAATTTAGGAGCTTAAAAGACACCGTCCTCGCGCCACACAACCCGTAGGCGCAATCCTTCTGATACGCAATCGGACTTTTATTCACAACAAGACCTAGACCTTGACATAACCCACAGGTAGTCAAACATATCAAACACCGATATATGTGTACATAAAAGTAGCTAATTTATTTAAATAAATTAGCAGAGTTATACATCTTTAGTGTCCTAATTAGGAAAATTATGCAAATTTGGGTTCTTGGCGGGCATCCCACGGGCATGTTCTGCCCGCCCATCCCAAACCCTCGGGTTCACCAGCTCGGGTTTTGGGCGGCACTCTACGGAGTACAACCTGCTGACGGGTTTTGTCAAGGCATTTACTTTACTACCTGTCTACGAGCAACCTTGGGACCTCCAGCAAATCGTTCATCCATGTCCTTTGTCTTTAGGCCTTGAAAAGTTGTGGCTATCTATCTTGGTCGTTTTTATTTCATCTCCTCCCTTCTTTAGGGACCTCGTTGAAGCGTTTTACGTCCTTATGCACGATATTCCAGCCTCAGGCATTTAAGATCGCCCACATTTTCTTTAGAAATCCTTATGATTTTTCTCACTTCTTGCGTTTGGGGGGGCCACCTACTGGATTGGACAATCACTACGACCTTGTGTAACATTCTAACATTACCCCTCTGGAAGCTCCTCACTCTGCTCCTCCCACTTCAGAAAGCGACCATCGGAGTAAAATTCGTTTATTACCTAAGATGTCTTAGTCGATTCCACTGTCAATCGAGCGGTACGGGAGTTTCTATGTTTAACAACTACCTTGTCGAAGATCAGCAGTGTACAAGCTGGTTAGGTAGGCAGTCGCTAATTGAACAGAATCCTCCACGTCTTTGGGTCGGTCCGGCAGATTAAGATCGTCCCGAGCCGTAACCTTGACGATTCAGCCTCTAATGACCGAATAAAATTGACAAGTTCTTCCCCTGAGTTTATGTATTTTACAGCACGGACAAGACGCAGATATACGGGGAATGGAACCGATGACCAGCGAGTCGGACATGGAGGTGGCAACGAAACATATACAGAGTGGTTGGATAGTTAGGAGCGAGAGTGAATTTGAATTTTCTGATCCTGTGACTTAACCACATGCCTATATCTAACTACCGTACACCATCCAGCAGACCAACATGGCCAGCGGGCTTCCCAACGAAACCTCCGACGAAGATGCCGCCGTTCTGCCCGTGAAATTTTTTGGCAATCGGCGCAGAGCTGACAGATCCGAGTCTACACTCCTGGGCGCTTAGTGCTATACTATTAGTGGTGGCTATAGAACACACTCAACTGTATAGTTACAAAGTAACTGGCGTATGAAATACAACTGGAAACATTATTCCGCGTTAGCACTTTCCTCCTTCCTCGGTTGGGGGTTGTTGCTGGATAGGGAAGGCACGACGTGGTCAAGGTGGTTTCTTCACCATTCTGCCCATGAATGATTTCTGAACTGAAGATTCAACCTCATGCCCGCGAATCACTCTAGAATTGATGATGCTTCAGACATCTCTCAAGTAGCTACAAGTTACTACTAAGAATTGCAGTTAGGATCGTTTACTTCATAAGTGTCTGAAGAGGTTTTAGATACCACTCATGTAGCTAAAAGTTGCTAGGGGCCATAATCTAGATCCTTCATTCCACATTATTTCGAAAGAAAAAAAAAAAAAATTTATACTATTTTCCATGTCTGTTTCTAGATTCGGTACAGTGTTGGCACTGCTCCAGTTGATCAATCTGACTAACAACAGCTCAATCTCAAGCTCTCCAATGGCCAACGTTCGTGAGCAATCGATCTACGGTGTGAAGTATTTGGATACCAACAACTAGATAGGAACGAGACATACCGACTTTGGCAACCTATCTCATATATTGTAAGCAGCTAAGGGCTATTAATAACGATTCATTCAAAAAAGCCTTCTTATTTTTCTTTTTTGTGTTTGTGTCTTGATTCGACAAAATGTCGTCAGGAGCAAGCACCACCCCAGTTGATAGATCCAGAAGTTCATATCTCTTCAAGGTTCTTCGGACATCCATACACAGTATGGAATGTCTAAAACTTGGGTCACGCGTAACTGAGGCGCGGTTTCTTGCGTTTTGAGTCCTTTGGCCAGAAAGGACAATCCAAAATTCTGTTTTCTGAGAGATATAAGCAGAAGGCGAAACAAATTGTAAACAACATGGCCCTATTTTAGGAGTACTGGAGCATACAAACCGTGGGGAGCAAAGTATTCTACCCGACGGGCATGAAGAGGAACACCTAGGGGATTTCTAGCTGGTTAGGGAGAACCAGCTACAGGTACTCGACAACACGGACGAAGACGCTCAATCCGCAAACGTACAGTTGCGTCCAAGATTACGTCTGGATCCTGGAGGGACACCATCAGCCTATAGAGATGGTCGGAACAAGGTCACGGGCTCGGCGTCACCAAAAGCAACCACTCAAGCTCCGACTAGCACGGACATACAAACACAGGCTGGCGACGAGACATGGAAAGGCTGGGAAATGACCATAGACAAGCAAGAAGTCAACCTGGCCCTTATTAGGTACTTGGAGGCCATCACCATAAACATCGATGATGTTCGATGCCGATGGCTCATGACTCGTGTTCCGCCCTATGGACGCGGAGGAAAGGCCAAGGGTTTTCTAGCTGGTCAGGGATAACCAGCTGCAACTTACAATAGACAACCGGGCCGAAGAATCAGTTCCCACCCCAAATGTGAGATCCCACCAAAGACGATCAGCCTCTGGAAATTGCTCGAAAGAATCCAAGATGCGGGTAAAGCGGGAAAGACCAGAGACGAGCAAGTCGTCAATCTGGTTCTTATAAATTGCCTGACTACGATTTCCCTTAACATCGGCGCTCGATGTCCATGGACATAACTCGACTAGCCTTCAAGGCCGAGTTTGAACATACAGATATGAAGGCCCGCACAGATGCCTTGGCCTGTCCGGAGTCAGAGGGAAAGAAGCGGTGCCCATCGTCGACACAGTTTCTCGCCCTCAGGATCGACGGCCAAGAGGGATCGTATCTTACCTGCAAAAGTCGGCTGAAATGACTGGCTGGGTTATGTATGATGAGAAGAATCGAAGGAAGGTGTTATAAACATTGTATATGGGGCTATGAGTGTATTCTACACTCAACCAGCAGAGAACCACTATTGGCTTTTGGGTGTATTGCGATCGGGGATAGAGTTTTGGTCGAGGGTGCGTTCTATATGGATCTCCATAAGCTAGATAATTCAATTGAAGAGTAGTATCATAGGCATCCACATTCTACGGCCACTGTCGTAGGGCAGGATGGTAGGGTTTATTATTGGGAACACACGTCGTACGAAGGTACCGTGCAGATTCCGGTGGAGAGAGCCGTGGGTCTGTGGCCGCGTGGCGAGCTGACTCCTTAGTGTAGATATCATACCGTTGCCATTACTAGAATAGTTGCATCTGTAGCGGGCTTGGCATTGAAGGTTATCTAACTCCTGCAGGAATTCTTAGTGGTTCCGGTTTGCTTGGAAGTGGGTCAGACGCAGCGAGAAACCAACATTTTAATAAAAAACGGAAAAAAAGTCAAGCTGCTGCCTCCCAGACCTAGGACGTACACTGAGCGTTTTTGTTTCGTTGGCCTGCTAAGAAGAACGAGAAACATATTAGCCTATTTTATGGAAGTTCTGAAGATGCTGGCAACTCAAATTGAGCCTACTCTGTAATGCATCAGATCCAGGTCTCAATGAAACGCGACCAGGAGTGGACGCCAAGCCAAGGCCATCCATCCATAGTACTCCATACTGTTCGAACCTTTCCATACAATATGACTGGAGGGAATGACAACGTGACCAGTACCATAGTTTCGGCGCTGTCCTTGGCAAAAACGCCCTTTTTAGAGCAGCCACCCCAATGGCCTTTTTGCTTCCTGTCTCTAACGTGCCTTGCCTATCGTCAAGCACTGGCCAAGATTTACAACATTAATGTCTCGACTCTCGATCTAGTATGAAAAACTTGCTGGGCATAGCTCTTCTGGCTGGCTTGCCTATTGATCTTGCAAAGGCAGCGCCAGAAGCAGACCCGGTTTCTGTTGCCCCCGCCATAAGCTGGTACGGGGCCCGATTTTGTAATCTACCTTTGCCGTTTCTTCACGTGCTGACCTTTGTGGCTGTGTAGGTATGGGTATGACGGTACCTGGAGTGCGTAAGTTGTTCACTTTTCGTATTTGAATCTCAAGAAAGGGCTTGCTTATATCTTTATTCCAGCGTCAATATCCTTAGCGGTTCAAACCTGTCCACAAACACTGTTTTCCCAAGTACTGTGGATAGAAACTCTCAGCTCATCGGAGCACGTAGCTGCGAAACACGTACGTCCTGACTTCCCTGCCTGGCAGCTTTGATGTTTCTCTACTTCTGGGAAGGCTAGAATAGCCGACTGACTGGGAATTTAGCACTTGTACCAGATTGCTCAAGCAAGCGAGGCGGACTTTTCTCCGCCAACGAGTCAACAACTTGGAAGGGCAGTGGTAAGCATGCAGCCTCAAAAGACTCGTCGACCCAAGAATACTTCGGCAGCGACGCTCTATATCTCGGTGTTCAGGAGTTTACCGAGGACCCGATTTTGATCGTCAATGACACAGACACATGGGTCGGGTCTCTAGGACTCGCAGTGGACATGGGTGATCGTGATGGCGCCTTTGGCTTCAGCGTCATGGAAACTGCATTTATTAATACCAGTGTTGTCCCTAGCTCCAGTTATGGTTACACTGCTGGAGCTTACTACCGTATGAAACCCAGTCACTGGCTTTCCGAATACTTATTATGGCTGATTGCTAATTTATAACTCAAGGGCTGAAAGGTGTTCCAGCATCCCTTACCTTGGGAGGCGTGGATAAGGCGCGATTTTATGAGGGCAATACAACGTTTCATCTTAGTAGAAGTGGAATCCCTGTTATCTCACTTAATTCCTTATATATCTCATCGGGAACACAAACCAACAACGTCACTCGGCTCAACAAGTCTATCAACCCTTCAAACTCTGCAGGTAGCGCTTATTACACACTCGACTCCTCCACGAGCTACCTCTGGCTACCGGAAAGTGCCTTTCAAGCATTCGGATACGCGTTCAATCTTACCTACGATGACCGTATAGGATTCTACACCTACGGAAATGATACCTCACTCCGCGATCGTCTCTTGCGCATGAATATCTCGATATCATTCTCAATATCTGACCTCCCCAATGCCGCTGAGAATGTCAACATCACTCTCCCATTCCAGGCTTTCAACCATGAACTCACCTACCCGTATCCAAACTTACCGCCGGAATACTCAAACACTTCACTTCCTTACCTCCCGGTCAAGAAAGCCTCTACTGATAAGGAACAACGCATCGGCCGGGTCTTCTTCCAGGAAGCATATTTGACTGTAAATTATGAGACGGGGCTATTCAACGTCGAGCAGGCCAAATTCGACCCTAGCCTCGTCACAACCGATGGTACAGATATTGAGACCATACACTCTCAAGTACCAGACGGACTTGCCGATGATATATTTAAGAAGAAGGGGGGGCTGTCTATAGGAACAAAAGCAGGAATTGGAGTTGGGTGTGGTTCTGCGGCTATCGCTATTATTCTTGCTAGTGCATACTTTTTTATCAGACGACGACAGCAACAACAACAACAACTCTCTATAGAGGCAGAAAAGAAAGAGGATTCGACAAATAGTGGAAGCAAGCCCGATTCTGCGTCGCATGGACTTGTGGAGCTCCAGAGTGGCTGTGACCGTACGGAATTGGCTTCAGATGCTTCGCATGAGGTGTTTGAGCTGCCAGGATCTGAGCCACCAGAACTGGAAGCTGGGTCCTCCACTCGTAGATACTCGAGTCGCTCCTGCAGAGGGGATGAGAAGAGGGTCCTGCGACGACACTCGGAAACCAGATCGAGTATTGCAGCTTCGCTGGCTTCGAGGCTAACGGAGAGTTCTGCTGAAGATAGCCCAGAGCCACAAAAAGGGCAACAAGAGGGCCCACCTAAATATACACCATAGACATGTAAATATTGCCGAGTTAATAATAGATCAATTAATTTAATGATGTACATTTGATGATTTTCCAGCATGAGTCCCCCATAACAGATCTGCACCCCTCCCATGCTGAAGTACCATTTAGCACAGTAACTCCTTGATCGTATGAAACGTTTGAACTTAACATTTCCCCTTTCTTTCGAGAGAGAGGAAAGAGGAGTACTCGCTCTTAGAACCTTAGCATTTCAACATGTTTCAATTCTATATCTTGGTTAAGAGCTTCAGCTTTTATCTGTGTGTTTATGGTTGGCCTCGTTCCTGTTGATTTATTCATTTGAACCTTCTGAAATAGACCCGAGCCCCAGCGCCTAGCGCCTGGGCACCTTGCGGGGTATTTCCCCTGACTTACCCCCTATTCCTGGAAGTGTGCAACTCTTGAGAGTGTTCATTAGTTAGTACCTGAGGCAATATAGATACTATCAAATACGGTCCTTAGAAGGCTACGTGCGTGTATCTGGTATAGAATTCTTCTGACCCCTTTCCCCGGAATCATAGTGACCGTGTCGAGATCGCTTCAGAGGTGAAGCTATATAAAGCTCTATAATCACGTGCACTATATTACTGGAGGGTGACTGTCTCGCCTCCCTTTGGAAATATCGTTGAATCCCATGTCATGCAATATTTACTGGATATTCGAATTCGAAATCGCACGAACTTGGTACTGATAATAGCCATTAGTAATATTTTAGAGTAAATAATCTAGTATCTAACTGTAAAGGCAATACTTCCCCTCTATGGAAAAGTAGGAGGCATAGAATATTTGTATTCAATTAGAGCTTGACATCTTTTTAATCCGATAATAAAAATATTTTCCTTTCATTATATATTATAAATATGATGAATACTCTAATGTCTAACAAGTCGCACCATGAGTGTGGACTGTTGTCTCATAGACTTGAGATACTCTGGAGAAATGAACGTCGCGAAAGTGGGGTAGCTGATAAACAGCAACACGTCGACCCCGTAGTATAAATCAACCAACAACTTCAACAAAATGCCTCTCGTCACCCTCCCCAACGAAATTCTCTGTCTTCTGCCTCTCTACATCGACAACATTGAATCCTTTACCAATGCAGCATCCTCCTGTCGACGACTACGCGACACGTTCTATACCGCACACCCGAACACCATCTTGCGCCTGGCCGTTGCATCAGCGCCCACCTTCTTTTCCCCGCACCCGCACTTCCTGATCGCAGCGACTGTCCGACAAGCTAGCAACTGGGCACTCGGCGATGCGTCGCGCACGAAAGAGCTGCGTCGCGCACTCCAAGGCGGCATTAACAGCCTCCTCGATTTTAGTATTCAATACTCCGGTCTGAGCCTCCCCCAGATCCGATCTATGCATCAATCTCGCTTCTCCATTCTCAATCCCCTCTCGGACTTGATCGATAAAATGGCTGGTTCCCAGTGGTACGCGACACCGGAGTTCTGGAATGGTGGTGTCAGCGAACCATATACCCTTGATACGGAGGCGAGTCGGGCTACTTTCCAGATCGTTATCTACGGAGAGTTGTTCGGGCCTAGTATGCTTGCGTTCTTGGAGCCGGAGAGGGCAGATCTTCCCTTTTTTGATGTCCATACTCGACTGGATTATTTCACCTATTGTGTCCCCGACTGGGTGTGTAAGAGTTATCCCGGTTTCGAGGTCCTACCCACCGGACCGTACGCGCTGGACGTGGAGCCACCGCGTGAGGGGGACCAGGTGGCGCTGCATTATATTCTGCGTTGTGGACGGTGGAGACGGTTATGGACAGCTTCGATTCTGGAAATCATGACGTTCCTGGGCGAGGAACAGACGAATAAAGACTCGAATATGGAGAATGAAGAGTCCTGGCGGGAGAAGATGCTTCGGGATGCACTGCTGTGTCAGGGCCTGGAAGGGATGCAGCTGGTGACTGTGCCGGAGGAGAAGGTGGACAAGGATGTTATGCAGAGGTTCAGATGGATCAAGAAACATATTGATAAACTGGAGCGTCCTCCATCTGTCGAGCGCTTAGGGAAGGGTGGCTCGACGCTGGTGTCGCATGCGCCTGACCCTTCAAATGAGGTAGAGGTCCCTTGTAGAGATATGTGGCCTTGATTTATCTCGTGCTTTACCTCTGTCTGAGATTCATTTCAGGTCCAGCCAAGTACCTCAGAAGTACATAGCATATCTGGTACCAGAGTGATATCTATGAGCTTCAATCATATACCGCGCAGGTCAATCGAGTACGGACGAAATTTATAACCTTTTTTTTTTAAAAAAAAAATAAGTCTTAAGTATGCCCACCCAATCAAAAATTACTTGTTGAGACATGTTTCGTTGGAATGTGTTACAAGGGGAACAGCCATATGCGCGGAATGCCACACATACTGACGACGTCACCTGCTGTTTAGACATCAACTACATATTTGCAAGTGAGCTCGAAGACTTCACGTCGCCTAGCCCGTGTTTCAAAATATCATTCAAGATGAGATTTCAGTCGTCAGCTTTGACCCTGGCCATCGCCAGCACTTGTGAGGATTCCTTTCCTTGACGGTGTCTCCATTCCTAACATTCCTGCGACAGTATTTTGCCCCTGCCTTGCACAAAATCCCCAACCAACTGTCTATACTGACCCTACTACCGGTATCTGCTTTGACGTCTGGGATATACCGGGGGATTCTAAAACCGGAGGAATGGCCTTTGGCATGGCATTACCTAGCACGGCATTGAAAACGGATGCCACGGAGTTTATAGGATATCTTGTGAGGCCTCCCACCTGTAACAATGAGGTAAACATGGCTCCCTAACGACCAGATAGAACTGCAAGGAACGACAAGGCTGGTGTGGCATAGCGTTGGGTGGTTCGATGACAGATAGTCTCCTATTCGTGGCATATGCGGATGGCGATGTAGTCCGGACTTCACTGCGTTTTACTCACAAATACGCTGCTCCTGGCGTGTATACTGGTAATGCTACTGTGGCAGAAATCGCGCACGAGGTGACAGAGACCGGTATCTCCTTCATCTTCCACTGTCAGGACTGTCTACATTGGTCGCAGGACGGCGGGAGTGGTCGTGCGTCCACAGGCAGCAGTATGTTGGATCTTGGGTACGCACAGTCCGTCCAGGATCCGGGAAACCCATCCTGTGCGCGGGAAGCGCCCTTAATGCTTCATGATGCGCAGGGTACATGGACAGCGATGCTGGATGAGTCTGCCACGAGCGATTCCTACGATCAGTGGCGGGCTCTGGCCAACCCGACTGTCCCGGACAATTGTTAGGTGGTTCTGATTAACTTGGTGGTATATTCTATCTTGCCTTGATTCTGTTCATTGTTTATCCAGTATCGCTATCCTAACAATAAGTAGCTAGTGAATAAGCTGCATCTCGGGGGTCGAGGGTCAGGTCTTCGAGGGTCACGATATTCTACACATGGCAAGGTCCATTCCCATGTGGATGTGCTTGTGAGCGCTCTCATAGTAGACGACCTAGACAGTAAGGTCTCTCAACCAAGTTCTTTGTGGCTTATTATTCGGGATGGTTGGCAGGGAGGCTCTTTATATCTTCCTTAGAATAATACAAATATCATTGTGCAAACAATATAAGACAGGCTGCATGAAACGTCAGCTATGCCTTGCTCGAAAGAGGTGCAGGGAAGGCGGAAGGAATGCTCTGTAAAGGGCAGCATTCAGAAAGCAAAGATAACTCTGGAGTATGCAGTACCAAGGCAACACTAAGAAGTTCCACGTCGATCAGCATCGAGCATGGATGTCCTGTACCACATTATATTTCCGGTCTATTATTACCATCTGAATCATCGATTATATAAATGGGTATTATGCCTGGATATTGATTTCGTGAATCGCCAACTCGGGATCAACGATGCAATAGAGCAACGAATATGGTGATACGCCAAAAGATACAGACGTATAGAATGATGTGTATTCGAATGTTTTTTCTGGTTCAGTGCTGTTATGTTGCTTTGTGCTACATACGATATTACGGATGGATGACCGCGTTTATCTGGTAGAGGAAAAACGATATACAAGGATGATGGCTGACGGTGCATACCACATGGGGGAAAATAATACGAAAAAGCAACGAAAGAAATCACTACTAATTCAACTCCCATCCATCCACCTTTGTCAACTTTAAATTTATCCCTTCAACTGGCTGCGATGTCAATGTTCCACCAAAGGTAATCTTCTGCGCAGGATCCTTCAATTCGGCATTGAATAGACCAAACAGCCCAGCGACCGCACATCGAAATTCCGCCTTTGCAAAGTCCTTCCCTATGCAAGCCCGCGGACCATGGAGGAAAGTGATCTGCGCGAAGTTTGTCGATGCCCCTCCATGCTTGTTTGGGGTCTGCTTTCCAGACTTGTCGCTGTCAATCCAGCGCTCTGGGAGGAACTGGTCTGCCGTCTCACCCCAAAAATCCGGGCTTCGGTTAATAGTGTACGGACAGAGTGCAATAGTAGTTCCCTTTGGGATGACCTTGCCTGCAATACTAGTCTGACGCACGGCTTCACGACCAGTCATCGGTACTGTAGGGTACAAACGCAGCACTTCCTGGCACACACCATTCAGGTAGGGCATGCCCTCTAGGTCCTGCCATGTGACAGGAGAAGATAGGGAAGGTATGGTTGCTCGGATTTCCTGTCGAAGCTTTTCTTGGATATCTGGATTCAAGCTAAGGTGGTAGCAGCACCAGGTCAGAGCTCCGGCGGTAGTCTCGTGCTGTCCAATCTCAGGCCAGTTACTGGGTTGTTCAAAAAGGGGTTTAGGCAAATGCGTTAGAATCAGACTTACACCAGCAGCTAAAAAAGTGAGCATCTGGTCCACTAGCTCACTATCACTGAACTCGCCCCCTCTCATCATAGTACCAAGAATATCTCCATCCACTTCATTTGCGGATTTTTCTGACTGCAGCTGAGCTCTCTTTTCTGTCAGGATGTCATGGAAGAGTGTACGAAGATGGCGTACTTTTCTGGGGAGAACGATGTTCGATTTACACGGGATTGACTTAACTATCCATTGCGGAAGCAGAAGAGATGCTCCAAACAAAAGTAGCAACTCTCCCGAGGGCTTTAGAATGGCAGAGAAATTCTGGGAAATTGGGTCATTCTCGTTCTCGAGGGACTGAAAATCGCGGCCGACAGCCGCGGGCCCGATGATATCTAATGTTAGACGGCTGTCCATGGATGAGTTTGTCAACAACCTATTCTACCTGTGATGGAGACATAGGCTTACTTGGCCCAGCTACCAATCTCAACGTGGCCTATCCCTTGACCGGGACTCGTGCCAGGAGTTGGGTTGTGGTAGATTTCTCGCTCCAGCTGCTGTAAGAAGACGAGTGTCTTCCCCCACATGAGATTATACATGGCGCGGATATTCTTGATGCTGAACGCCGGGGTGAGTGCTTTCCGCTGGGTTCGGTGGGCTTCTCCCTCTGATAATATCAACCCGTACCCTAATCCCCGAGCCAGAAACTCACGCCCGCCATGGGGCTTGACAAAGTCGTAGCTTCGTGTGTGCAACACATCCATCAGTGCCTGCTGGCTTGTTACAAGGACAAAGCTGTAATTCAAGGCTTCCCGGAAGTGGATAAGGCCTTCGTTTGGAATCTTTCGAATCCATTCGAGAGTAACCACACCGCGTGGATGGCGCATAAATACCGATGCACCTACCAAGGGCCCCTGCGGATTGGAATCCGTTAGCCTTCGGCAACACCAAGCTTGGCATAGGGAGAAATGAGCTACGTACATGCACGGTAGGCAAATGTCGGAGTGGATTAATGAAAAAGGGCCATATAAAGACACTCCATACTGCCAACAACAAGAAGTTGATCAACATGGCGTAGAGGAATATAGTGGTAGGTCGCTCATCAGCAGTCCCTGTTGCCATCACAGCCAGAGTCTCCAGGGCAGTGGCTGGCACTAGAAGAGCAACACGTTCTTTCGCTGTGGACATACTGATGATGGTAAGCTAGTGGGAATATTTGTGATCCAAAGCTCCTCCACTCGCCAATCCTGTTGCCATTCTCGTAGCCATACTTTATATACATTGGTGTATGCATGTATGGTGTCACATGCATACATATCAAGCATATAAGATTTTCCTGGTCTCCTCGGTTCTCAACAATGGATTACTGATCAAACACCATAGAATCAGCGTTTCAACAGTCCCCAAAGGGCTCGTATTTGCGATTCACATGGATGTGGTTGATGCCGCTTCTGATTGCGGGGGAACTCTGCGGGGAGATGCTAGACTTGACGAAGTCTCCTTTCGCTTCGATCAGACTTCTAGGCTCCAGTGATCATAACGCTTGAGCCTGGATATAGTTGGTGGCCATTTTCTGGGATGGATTTGACTTCCGTCACATGTGCAGAGTGCCGATCATTGGATCTACTGGGTTGTTACTGGGTGTGGCATCCAGTGCGGTCGAATCGGATTAGGCAGTCAACCACTATTTGCTCAGTTCTATTCGTCGAAATCAGGCGAAGCAGTGTGGCACATCCTTACCCGAGAAACACAATATTAATATGTTCTACTAGGTACCCAGGTGTGCCGCTCTGCAAGGTGTTGCATCCGACATTGCAGGTATATTGTTTAACTAACTTCACAACCGAGAGAGATATAGAAAATATTAAAATAAGGGATTTAAACATAAGTATGAGGACATTAGTATTATTTCATAATAGCATAAAACATTTTTGGTATCCTTGTACCAAAATATGAAGAAACAAGTGAAGCAAGACAGCCATCCCCAATCTTTCATTCCACAGCTACTGTACCCAATTTGGTTGACAACTTACCAAAATGATATAGGTAGTTAGTTAACTAACCCATTCAACTGGCCACCGACGTTCGCTACCGAGCGACGAATTTTATTCTGACTTGAGGGGTTACAGTCATAGACAAAGCCTCAGAACCCGACTATTCCCAGTTAGGACTAGTGGACTAGCAACTCGGTTGTAGCTTTTTTCTGTTTGCGGTTTAGCGTATTGCGGCTACTTTGGGTTTAGTGTGTGTTTTCGCCTTGGACTCTGCCAATGAGTAACGGCACGAGCGAAAACTTATACAGGGTGATTTCTCAGGACTGTCTGTCTGTAGTCTCAGATTCGAAACAGCCTTCACCTTCAAAACTCTCTCTTCAACAAATTCAGCCCCACCGCGGAGGCGCTAATTAAATAACCAGTCAAAATATAGTTAATGTTGTATGTTACCTGTTACTAGTCTATGATTCTTGCATACTCATTACGTTACAACTTTCATGCTCCGACGACATTAGTTAGACCCGATAAATCCAAGCCAAGGGCTACTTGGCCGGAAGTTTCTCAAAGAATCCCAGTGGTAACATAAAACAATTTAAATTTATCACCCATCCCAGGCCATCCTTTGCAAATGGATATTGGATAATAAACAGTAGATTTATGGCTTAGTTTTTCTGCGGTATACTGGTATACTAATAAGCAGAGATTCTTTCTTGCATTGCGAAAATACAAGTACTGCAGTTATTCCTCTGGAAAAGCTCATAATAGTTTGTATACATTGAAATCTAACTAATGCCTCGCATGTTTAATTCTATTGGTTTGAATTCTTTTCTATTTCTTCGCAGATCGTTGGATCTTGTGATGGTTTGGACCCAGCGCCTTCTCGTAGCTTGCCAGTCCTGTTGATACATCTCTTCCGCTTCTTTTAGCTTATCCTAATTAGAACAGAGAAGACCAAGATTGTTAATAGTCTCAAGCGTGGATGTGTGGTCTGGACCCAGTGCCTTTTCACGGCCTGCCAGTGCTTGCTGGTACATCTCCTCTGCCTCTTTCAGCTTTCCCTGATTATAGTAGAGTCTCCCAAGACAATGGACTGAATCGAGAGTGGATATGGTCAGCGCCTTCTTGTGGCCCGCCAGTGCTCGCTGATACATTTTCTCCGCCTCTTTCAGCTTTCCTTGATCGAGGTAGAGGTTCCCCAGTCTGTGAAATGCAGCCCAGACAGTACTGTCACTAGTCAGCTGTGATGACTATTCCACCTCTGATGTATGTAATCTGCATGAGCTAGCAACCGCCGTTGGAGCCCCCAAATTTCGCTGACTGGTACTAGGTACCACATACCCAACAGATACTAGTGCTAGTTCATCTAATTGCCTTGCTTACACATCATATTCTCTGTCAGTGATGTGAAAACAACAGTCTTGGACAACAGGGTGCATCGTGTAACTTCCATCTTGTTTGGCCTCAATCAAGGAGAAACCGATAAGAGTCTTCATACTTATTTTAAAGACAAGAGACTTGGATAAAACTTTATCAAACCAGGCCGGGGTATTTAGGCTATGAGAACCAGGTTTCACTGGTTCATACCAGATATCTCGATTATCAAAGCAAGCAAGTACATTTATAGCTCTGCTATATTTGGGTCTCGCTTCTGGATCTCACGATATGAGACAATCCATGTTTGGGGCATATTACCTTGCTGGTACTGACGTCCGGCATGAGATTGTGCTTGTAGGTCGTACCAAGATTCTTCATAGTATTGCAAATATTCTGTAACGCTGGTTCCAATTTCACGCATAAATGCCCCGGCGATGACAATGGCTAGCGGTAATTTATCTAGACGCCTTGCAAGGGCAAAGGGTATCTATATAAATTAGTATGGCTCCCGGGACTCGTGTATCATGTGACTAAGTACTTGCACCATACTCAACCTTACACATGGTATTTTCCGCTGAGAGACCGCAGCTCTGTAGGAGCAGTCGAATAGCATCCTCGGACTCAAGCTTCTGGATTGGGGAGGGCTTCCTAACTCAGTTAAGCCCTGGAGTCGAGTAGTAATAAGATTTCTCCACGCTTGGCCTGGTAATCGATGTAGGACTGAGCTTAAAGATTGTAGTAGTGTCTCTCGACTCTTGCCACTTATCCAAAAGATGGCACTGAAGTCATCTTTGTGATCTCATGCAAAGCAATTGCAAGTTGTGTCTTTCCCATGCCCCCAGCCCATGAAGGATGCCGACTTTCCGTGACTTGGAATTTCCTGTTTGTAAATGATGTCACACGCGCTCTAGCTCCTGGCGTCGTCCCAAAAAGTCTCCAATCACTGGTACAGCAGTAAGGTCAAGTGAGACATGAAATCTACCAGCTAAAGCATAGATCATAGTTACTTTATATGGTGTTGAATTATGCATACACAAACATACCAGAATAAGACAGAGTAGAGATACGCTGTGTTGTTCCACATTTTGGTAAAATCTGATAACTATAAGACTGCTTTACATAAGCTGCTGCTATAGCCGCAGTATACGGTTGCCATCCCTTATTTTTACGTTCATTTCCATAATCACATATCCCTCGGATAACTCCAACTGGAATCTGGTTCATCGTGCCAGCGACCTCCATTTCTCATATTGATTTGTCTCGCAACTCATTCCTTTTTTCAGCATTCTTCATCATTTTCTCCCAGATCTAATAAGTCTATACCATATGCGCGCACGTTTCGAGCCTGGTTTCGGGCTTCATAGCCGGCCTGAAGGGCCGCATGTAACCAGTGTTGACGAGGTTACATGCAGAATCTCGCCCTACGATCCGTGCCCTCTCTTAATGTGGACATCGACAGTACGGTGCGTGACCGTTAGCTCTCCAATTCTAGCGTGAAGCTGAAAGGGGAGATGGGGGAAAAGGTAGAACACGGCCATGCTGCGCTGCAGCGGCGGCGGACTTTTTCGGTGAGGCAGGTCAGCGTCTTGAGAGACAGAAAAATGCAACGTTAACAGGTAGGGACCAACGGATAATGTTGAAAGGTTGAGCAGGGCCGTTGCTGGAGGCAGAGGGACAAATGCGAACAGAACCAGAGTTGGGGCTAGTGCTTTTTAGCGGTCTTGTTCAGCGTGTACACTACTAGCCGTGGTTTATCGTAAATCAATTTCTAAGCTTAAATACTTAATAAATATATAAAAAGTATCCCTATTGACAATCTAATAAAACAAATGAGGTGGACGCCTGTAAATCTCTTGACCTAGTTAGTTGAGGAACCCAGTTTCTTTCCAAATGTGAATATATTTCCGGATCACCTCCTCGCTTACAGGCCCCACAGCAGACAGCGTTTTCGAGTGTTCAAGGGTATGTTTCACATCCAGAACGAGCCCACCGCAGGACATGCGAAGATAGTTGCTATCCAGGAACTCGAGAAGCGTTGCTGCCGGGTTGTTTCGCTGCGGTGCCGCTCGTACGCGTTCCACCCATTCCTCGAAGGGTATTAAATTCGGAATGCCCAGTGATTCGGCCAGAATGTCATTTGTTTCTTTCCAAGGTTGACCGACTGGGTTTTCAACGTGGTAGACTGGGTAGGGAGTGCGATCAGAGAGCACTAAGTCGGATAGCGTGGCGGCAATATCATTAACGGGAGTCCAGAAGACCGTACCGGGTACATCGGGCAGCGCATTCAATGTCTGCGACGATTTGATCAGAAAACCGAAATGCTCCATGGGATTCCAGTATCCGCTGGTCTTGGAGCCGGCGATCTGGCCCAGACGGACAACCATAGTGCGGAATCGGTCAGGATACTGTTGAAGGGTGTCGCTGAGCATCCTCTCGCACCCCCATTTGGCCTCACCGTACCCATTTGTCAGCACGCTATCAATGTCGACACCGTCTTCAGGCACCATTGTTCTCTCTTTATCATTCCCAAGGCCGTAGTGGCCAACGACCCCGACGGAGGAAACCATCTGGAAACTGAACTTGAAGGACTCGGGACGACAGGAGACCACATCGGAAGCAAAGTCCATCAAATTGCGCACGACCTGGAACTGTGGCTCGAAGCCTGCTAACGGGCGCTTTGCACTCATGGGCCACGCGTTGTGAATCAGGTGAGTGACACAGCCGACGAGTCCGTCATATTCAGCCTTCAAGAGCCCGAACATTGGTTTTGAGCTGTCAGTCTGTATGACGAGCAGCTTAGGCTTGAGAGCGTCAGGGAATCGGATGCCCTTCTCCCTCATGGCCTTCTGCTGGCGGAGGTAAGGTTCAGCTCTGTTCTCACGATTGAGACAGACAACCGTCTTCACATCCGGGAGCTGTGCGAGATGGTAAACCAGATGGCCTCCCAGGCTTCCAGATGCTCCGGTGACCAGAACGACTTTCTCGTTGTCACTTGGTGCAGTGGCCGAAGGTGAAGGAACGGGCGCAGTGAACCCAGCTGTATACTTTTGGACAAACTCAGTAACAGCTGCCCTGCGAGCTGCAAGGGTCGCAATTTCACTGTCAGTGCGCTGTGACGTTCCTTTACTCTCAGTAGTATTTTCAACAACATCATGGGCGGTTGTGAATGAGATCTCCGCAAGAGACTGGGCTGTGTCATTCTGGTTTGTATCTCCTAACAAAAGCCGCTTAAGGTCGGCCACAGTTGGACACTCAAGGAAAAGAGACTCATGCTGGATGTCCAGTTCCAGCTCATCACGTAACCGACTCACAATGACGAGAGACAGGAGGGAGTCCACACCAGAGTCACCAAAATTCGTGTCGTCCGTGAGCTCGTCCACTGCAACACCGCTTTCTTCAGAGATAATTTCGAGAGCGCGTTGAAAGTCAACCTTGGGAGTGAGTACGTCCTCGTTGGGAACGGGCGTTGTCGCTCTAGTCCCATGACTGAGTGGAGTGGCTGCGCCCGCCTCGCTGGATGACGACGGAGTTGAGATGGCAGTTGTATTGGAGCCTTGCATGAGCGTCTTGAGATCACCAACCGTAGGATACTCGAAGAAGAACGCGTTGAAGTCAAGGTCCATGTTGAGCTCCTCCTTGAAACGTGCCGAGATGGTCAGGCCCAGAAGGGAGTCAATACCAACGTCACCGAATACGGTGCTGTCGGTCAAGTCAGCTACAGCAAGCCCGCTCTCTTCCGCAATAATTGACAATGCCTCCGCAATCCGAGATGCCTGAGAGGGGCCCGTGACAGCAGATGTGACTGGAGTACGGTTTGCTGCAGAGATAGGTGCCTGGATGGAAGCCCGGGCCGGTTGTTGCTGCTGCTGCTTTTGCAACTTGGCTCCGCTTTCGATTGAGAGAATGACCTTCAAGACTCGGCGTGGAACACCTTGGATCTAAAGTGGGGGGAAAGTATGAGTGTCAGTATGAACGGGCTGTGGATAAAATAGAAATAAAGGGTTCGTACCGCAATCTGTCCAAAGTACGCGACGACCCTATCGCCGTCAAAGACCAAGACGTCGCCGTGCCATAACTTATCCGCACCCTCTTCCATTCGGGTGTACGTAGTATATACTTTGTCAAAGTCCATCGGCTCGAAGATCTGGAACGAGCCCCACCCATGGTTCATGAAGACTTCGGAGTCTAGATCAGTGCTATCATTGCAGTTCATGGTGAACCCGCAAGACTGTGTTAGGGAGTCGATGACGGCCGGATGAGTATGGAAGTCGCCTCCCCTTTTGACACTGCCGTAACTGAGACGACTGGAAGCCTCTAGGGTACTGCTGCGTAGCACAATTTCGTCTATGGCTCGATAGTCATCATGAAAGCGCGCCAACGGCCGGATCGCACGATACACCATAGGGCGATTGAAACGGGCGGTGGTTTCGGAGGCGATACCATCTCGCAAGGCTTGCATCTTTTGCTTGATACTTTCTGCATTCTGTTGCAGTACCTGCTGGAGACTTCTATCCTTGAATCGCACCACGCAACGCGAGTGCTCCTGTAGCTTTTGCTTACTCTGTAATCCAGTTAGTTTAGCATCTGCAGCTGATTCAGAGAGAGAAAAAGGAAAGCCTACGTCAAACGACATGAACTTGATAGCTGCTGATTGGGATGGCCAATCCACATCGGCGTGGGCTTGGAGGAGCTGCTGGGTCGCCCCAGCCCGCAGGATCAGGGCTTTGGAAACAGTCATGTCTGACACATCCACGAGATTGTCCTTCTGGGTCGGGTGGTAGCGTTGAAGAAGATACGTGCCTAGGCTCAAGGCCATATCGGCATAGACTGACGGGGTGCACAGAGGCACTCCATCGACTTCATGTCCCTGAACCAGCGGGCTCAGGTCCTTGCGCGTGATATCAGCTTCGACAACGATATGCGTCTTTCGGGAATCTCCCGACTCCTCGACGACACGGTGGATTGTCGTACTCTCCAGCTTGGGGCCGCTGCCGATCATCAAGGGGGGATCCCCTTTACGTAGTGACCAGTCATTAATGTACTGCATCCAATACTCCTTCAGGTCCCAGCTGTAGGCCGGCAAGGGGAGAACCTTGTGTGAACCTTTGAAGTCGCGCTGATATTCGGCCCAACGGATATCAGCGCCTGCATTGTAGAGAGTCTTTAATGCACTGGTAAACATCTGCCAAACGGACCTGGCACGTTGTAAGGATGCGAGAGATGTCACTTGCCCTCCTAGAACGGCCTTCACCATACCAGCGATAGCCGGGTGTGGGCCAATCTCAATAACTGTCGTCTGGTCGGTAATGATGCGGTTACTATACCCTGTCTGAAGTGCTTTGAACATGTTGACAGGTTCGCGAGCATGTCTGGTGAGGTACTCAGGGCCGAAGCTGCCATCAATATCAATGGTACCGTCGAGGGGCCGTAGAATAGGGATCTTGGGCTTAGAGAACGTCACACCAGCAGCGACCCGCTCGAAATCCAACAGAATGGGATCGATCTGTGAGGAGTGGAAGGCATAGGGAACCTTCAGTAGTGTGCATTTCGTACCCGCATCTATGAGCAGTTGCTTCAGTGTCGAAATTTCCTCGTTAGATCCGGCCAGTACCGTCTCGACTGGTGAGTTGACGCAAGCGATTTCGTACTTGGTATCCCCGAGAATGCTTGCGATTTCCTTCACTGATGCCCGGACAACAAGCATTGAATGGGTGTCGCGTGTGCATTTCTCCTGAAGTAAATCGGCCCGCTTGCCCACCAGGTAGATCGTGTCTGCATCCGACAGCACACCTGCAATATTCAGCGCAGCGTACTCGCCCAGACTGTGTCCAACAACCGCGGTGGGGGTGATGTTCCATGATCCCCAGAGTTTGCTCAGAGCGATCTGCATACAGACACTTGCCAGTTGAACAGCGGTTGGTGCAAATACGCCGATGTCTTGCTCATCGGATTGAATAACAGGCAGTATAGATGGGAAGCCCAGACTGTGTCCAATCTGGTCAAGTCGGCCCATCTCAGTGCGGAACAGGCTGAAGTTTTCGAAAAGTTCCTTGCCCATTCCGGGATACTGGGCGCCTTGACCGGTGAAGGTGAAGACTGCCTTTGGGGCGCTCTTTGGCCTCGTCATTCCAACATTGTCTCGAAGGGACGCTTCAATTTGGGCGCAGATATCCGCGGTGCTGGCGCCAGCTAGCATTGCACGGTGATGATGATGAATACGACGTGCCGTTGTGGTATACGAGAGTTGCCCTACGGACATGCCCGGGTTTTGCTTTAGGTAGGCAAGGAGTGCCCGGAGGTTGCCCTGGAGGGAGACCCCTACTTTACCGGAGACAGCGATGAGATGGAGGCTTCGAGAGTCAACTCCCCCAGCCGAGAATTCGGGCTGAAGGGGTGCATCTTCCAGCATCAGTGCCGTGTTTCCACCAGCCGCGCTGAAGTTGTTGACGAAGACACGCCGGGGCTTGGAAGGATCGGGGCTCCTTTCCCAAGGGGTTGGCTGCAGCGCAATGTTGACATTGCGTTCCTTAAGATCTGTCGGGAACTTGCGGTTGATCCTTGTCTTTATACCGCAGTGCGGGACGATCATATTCTTCTGCATCATCAGGAGCACCTTGATGAGACTTGACACGCCCGAGGCAGCCTCTCCGTGGCCAATGTTGGACTTAGCTGACCCCAGAAAGAGGGCTTCTTCAGCTGTTCTGGCCCTCTTGACCTCTGAGAGGGGTGGTGCAAAGGTATCAAGAACACTTGACATTTCCCCGGCATCCCCTGCTTGGGTGCCACTGTAATAAGTACAATGAGTATTCCATCTCCACAGCGCTCGACTTTGAATTGGATGGAGAGGGGGCTACTTACGTTCCATGCATCTCGACATAGCTGATGCTGTAGGGATCCACGGCGCCTTGGTTTAGGATTTTGCTAAAGATGGCCCGCTGCGCCCCGGAATGCGGTCGGGTAATCGACTCGGACTCTGCAGAGTGGTTGGTGTAAGCACCTAGGATGACTCCCAAGATCGGGTCATTGTCTGCAAGCGCATCGTCAAGGCGCTTGAGGATGATAGTGCCGATGCCTTCTCCACGACAGTATCCGTCTGCCCCGTCGTCAAAAGTTTTACAATTCCCTGTCCGCGAGAGGAAATGCCCTCGGTCGAGACCTGCTGTAAAATCAGGATTGGTCAAAACATTCGTTCCACCAGCAATGGCAGTATCAATATCTCCGCGCCACAGCGAGTTGCAAGCTAAGTGGATACCAGCCAGACTAGAGGAGCATGCTGTGTCGACAGCATAGCTGGGGCCACTGAACTTGAAACAGTAGTTGATACGTCCGGGAATAAATGCCCGATTTCCACCGGGAATAAAGTAGGTGTCGATGTTTTGAGCAGTGTTCGTCTCCATCCAGTCATTGCTCGTGACTCCGTAAAACACACCAACACGATCCCGTCTGGTGGAGGGGGTGGCATCTGGAACCAGGCCGGCCTGCTCAATTGCCTCATAGGCTGTCATCAAAGCTAGTCGCTGAGCGGGGTCTATCTGCGGTGCCTCTCGGGGGGAAATATTGAAGAAGCGTGCGTCGAACATCGCCGGGTCATCCAGCCAGCAACCGAATGGCGTTGCGCTCGTATTCTTGCGACTACCAGTCGGGTCAACATGTGTTTTGGCATCCCAGTGGAGCGATGGAACAGGCTTGTGAACATCTAGCCCCTGGTAGAGGAGATCCCAGAATGCCTCATTGTCTTTAGCGCCGGGGAACCGCCCGGACATGCCGATGATGGCAAGTTTAGGCTTCTTCGGACTGGGTGAGATATCCTCACCGGAGGACACTGGCTTGGCCTGGAATTGGGTGCTAGGGATAAGTGAGCTACAAGATGTCTGCTTGAGTGCGGTGAGGATGAGCTGGTCGGCTGTGGTTCCGATGGGAGCAATACTGAATGATTTCGGGGAAACATTCTGAAGACAAGCCTGCAGTTCCTCCAGAATGCTGCTCCACCGAATTGGCTCCAGTAAAATCTGTCTCACTGCAGCCTTCACGAGCGTTGCGAAATCACGCTGCTCTACCTTGCTTCCGGTACTTGAGAAGAGGGGAATATATTCCGGGTGCAGGGTATCAGATGTCACCCCTTCCACCATATCGCTGACATCACGCTCGGAGTATAGATGTGGGGCGTGATATGGCCTGTATATCGGGATCGTCTTGAATCTGAGAGTTTTGAAGCTTTCGGAATCGACCAGCTGTGCGAGTGAACCGGGCGGTCCACTGACGGTTATGCCGTTTGGCGCATAGGCGCTGATATAAGGCTTGCTCGTCAATGGGAGATTCTGCCGTAGGAAACGAGTTAGCTGATCATAATTGAGGTGGAAAATATGAGAATGCCAGAGGATACTTACGCTTTGGGCACAGAACTGACCCACAGCTTCTGAAGATGCCAACCCGGGGATGACGATTGACCAGCTCTCGTCAGACTTGTGCAACTGTGCGACTCGATGGGCAACCTCTGTCACATGTATTCCTGTCCGGAAGGCGACAGTGACAGCATCGACCGCCAGTGGAATAAGATCCAGTGTGCTGCGGCTGCAGCTCACGGCGGCGGCTGCTAGGGCTCCGGTGCAGAGACCAACAACTCGGGACTTGTCTGCACCATAGTCATCGGGGTCTGCCTGGCTGATGAACACTCCAAGCTGATACATGCATGTAACCGCCATGTCGAGGGGTACGCATCGCCTCCCATTCTGGTTCCATAAGACTAGGTCGTCGACGCAAGTGAACCGAGGGAGGTCTTCCCGGATGTGCGGGGGCAGCTTGTAAAGTTCAGTGCGAATTACATCGTATGATTTCCCGAGAAAGTCCTCTAAGATGGGGTTATGCCTGTTGTGAAGCAGGTTCTTCAGGTGTGGCTGTAGGTCGTATGTTTGGTCCCCAAAGAGATACAACTTTAGGTGGTCTGTCATTGTGGAGGCTTTTCAGAGGAGCAAATTCGAACCATGGACAAGATGATATATGTGGGATAGGGGTTTAGAATAGATATTTTGACAACTGAAGTTTGATGATCATGAATTTCTGACTCCCAGGTATCCGGAGCTCCTACGACTTAATAAAGCCGGAGAATTCCCTGCTACACTGTTGCAAGAGCGACGACAACGTAGATCGGGAAATCGGCGCGCCACATGGCAAAGAGTATTACGATGATCGCGAGACTGCATAAACTGCTGCAGAACTCAAGCATGAAGGCTGTTACTACGCCGAGGGGGGCGTTTTGTTCCCCGAACCTATAGGGAGAACCAATGTCAGGACCAGGCGGGCATCATTCAGGCATAGAGAACCACCGGATAGTAACCTATTGGTTCATAGGATCTATGCTATCTCCAGTCGCACCCAGCCATGACGGTCAGTCATCTTCCGGGAAGTTTCTAGAGCAGAGAAGGGCCAGAATACCCGGCTTCTAACCGCCAAAGGATGGCGTCGGGATACGGATCATACGTGTAAACCCGAGACACAGGTCGATCCAAACCCGACGGGATAAGGGAGGATAATGCATGTACTCTTCCTAACACGTGCTAATACTACTCTCATTACCCAGTCGGTTGACACTGAATCTGTCTTGGTAATAACCCTCGTGTACGTGGCCATACTCTTGGCCATGAGCCTGGCTAGAATCACAGGATATTACGATTGGATTTTACCATGCATAGAGTTTAGTTTTGTAAAAGGAAGCTGGCGTTGTTTGATACGAGTACTACCCCTTGATTGCGCTTCTTATATTAACCGTTATGCGTCCGTTTTCATACATAGATTGAATATCAGGATCGACTAGACAATTGGACATTTAATACGGAACTTAAGAATATAACTACTGGTGCTTCGTAGACAGGGAAACGCCTCGTACACGGTCCACAAGCCCCTCGAGATCATCCGGGAGCACATCTCCACGCCAGGCAACCATTCCATCTGGGCGAACAAGCGCCAGTCGCCTCTCATAGAGCTTTGCAACCTCGGGGGCGGTGATCGTGAACGTGTCCAGTGGAAGGCGCACATTCCGCGCCACATCCTCTATTCTCTTGTCGCCCTCTACATCCGGACCGAAGCGAAGCAGAACAAAACCGGTGCCAAACAGATCAATCGTTGACTGCCCCTCTTTCAACCAGTAATGTGGAGCACGATGACCCGGTCGCGCTGTCTGGATGTAGATGTCCGGGTCGTCGAGTGGTGCAGATGAACCGTCTGGCACAATGAGCGGCGAGTCTGCATAGCTATATCCCAACGCCAGGCCCAGAGACTGGAACTCCTGGCGCATGTTCGCAGCCATTTTCTCACCAAGGGCACGTCTCTGCTCATCCGCGTCCTCTCCATCGTCCAGAACCTTATCTCGGCCGCTCCGGTCAATCCAGATCGAGAAGTTGCGAGTCGAGCCCTGCCCGTTGCGAAGGGCAATCGGCCGGCGTTCGGTGGTGTATGCTGCAACAAGGCCGGGTCCTCCCCATCCTTCCAGCAGTGCCTGCAGCACCCAGCTCAAGCCCATCACGTCACCCACACCGGTGTTCAGGCCATGGCCACCCGTGGGAGACATGGTATGTGCAGCATCTCCGGCCAGGAAAACCCGGCCCTGGTGGTATTTTTCGGCCGTAAACTGACTGCGTCGCCACTGGACCACCTTGATAAGCTCGTACTCAATGTCGTCATGTCCAAAGGCCTTCCGCAGGACTGCATGCATGTCAAAGTTTGCCAGATCGATCTTCTCGCTCCCACCGACCACAGAAAACCGCCACAGCGACCGACCGTCGATCGTCGTGAAATTTCCCCAGGTCCCGTCCGGACTGATAAACATATAGCGCTCCGCCGCGCCGAAGGAGTGATAGCGTGAGAGGTCGACGCGAACAATGGCGCTGATCGCGTACCCAAGGTTCTTCCCATCGAAGGAAATGCCGAGTTCCTTGCGCACGATGCTGCCAGCACCGTCGCATGCCACCATGTATCGGGCTCGAACCTCTTCCGCCGTGCCGCTGTTGACATGCTTGAGGCGACAGGTCACGCCGTTATCATCCTGGTCAAATCCGACCAGCTCTACGCCGTACCGGATATCTGCCTTCCCTTGACGGACGACAGCGCGAGCAAGGATCGGATCAAACCACATCTGCGGACAGCGCCTGAGCATCTCAGCAGATTGCGGGGGAAGTTCCCGGTCCTGAGCCGAAGACATGACAAGGCGGCCGATGAAGTGGCCATTCAGACGCGTACAGAAGACGGTGTCGCCGGGGAGATCTTCAGGGTAGCCTGCGTTGGCAACATCGTCTCGAACGCCGAGAAGTCGGCAGAATTCCATAGTGCGCTCGTCGATAACGCTTGCTTTGGCCTGGAGATCGGTTCCAGTGCCAGAATTGCGCTCCACGATGGTCGAACGCATTCCACGGCGTCCCAGGTCTAGCGCAAGGGCGAGACCAACCGGTCCTCCACCCACAATAAGCACGTCGAGAACCTCTACGCTACCCATGGTTGATATGGTAGATGCTGGACAAAAGTAGAACAATAGTTGTTCGAATCGCAAGAGCGTTTACAGCTGTGTATGGGCGTAGAATAATGTATTCCACCCTACATATTAGTGTGGCATGTATAGTGACATAAGTAGTCTCCCACAGGGATCTTCGATTATACTCTGGCGATTCTATGACGCCTGAATCGCTTAGGCTCCAGCTCAGGTATGGTGAGCTCTACATAGAAACCCGACGGTTCCGGAGGAGGTTGAAACCCGACTGAAACCCGGCTATGCCCCGACACTGACATAGCCCGGATTGTTTCGTGGCTAGAGATGTGGTCTGGAGGGTGAATTCCTTATATTCAGGATGTATCTGATCTAGGAGTGTCTAATGATATTACATCTAATTGAGGTATATCTAATCGACTACTATATTCCTGCGTGCTCCGTACTCTTCCCGTCAACATTGCCAGAGAAAATAAAAACAAGACACCAAGAATGGATGAAGTACTTTCCATATATCAGGGCCACAGGATAGTCGTTCTGGCCACGCTGGCTGGTGTGATCGCCCTTGTCGTATCTTGGCTTCGGCGAGATGCCGACACGATTCCAGGTCCCATGGCATACCCGCTGATCGGGGTGGGCTACAAGCTTCCACCCAGAGCGCCAGCGCTGTTTCGACAGTGGGCAGTGGAGTATGGGGATATCTTCAAGATACGCGTGGGCTGGTACAACTGGGTGGTCATTAACACGCCAGAAGCCGTCCGGGAGATTTTGGAGAAGCAGGCCGTCAACACCTCCTCCAAAGCGCCCTCGCCCATGGGCCACGACATTGTTACCGGGGGGAAACGCATGCCCACGATGCCATACGGACCGCACTGGCGGGCTCAGCGATCAGTCGTCCGCCAGGTCACGACTGTGCCAATGACGGCTACATTTGTCCCCAGCCAGGAGTTCGAGGCGAAACAATTGCTCTTCGACCTGGCCACCGATAATGAGAATCAGCGCAACTTCTACCAGCACATGCGTCGCTACGCGTTCAGTATCATCATGACGAATACGTTTGGCACCCGCATCAAGAACTGGGACCACCCAGACGCGCAGAACGCGGTACGCAGTCAGGCGATCCTCAGGAGAACATCGCGCCCTGGGGCTTTCCTGGTCGACGAGTTGCCTTTCCTGGCACGCTTGCCAAAGTGGCTCTGGCCTGGTCGCAAGGAGGCGCAGGAAGCGGCCCGGGAAGTCTTGGACATTAAAATGGGACTCTGGCGGAGACTGGAAAAGCAGTTTGAGACTGGCAAGGCTCCTCACTGCTTCGCACGTCGCATTATCGAAAGTAAGGACGCATGGTATGCGCAGGGGCTGAACCAAGAAGATTTGGCCTGGGTGGCTGGGGGTCTTGTGGAAGCCGGTTTCGAGACATCGGCGGCAACACTGAACAGCCTTGTACTTCATCTTGCCGCGAACCAAAGGGTCCAGAACAAAGCGCATGAGGAGCTGATGTGTGTTGTCGGGCCCGACCGTCCGCCGACCTTCGACGATATGCCGAATCTGCCTTATATTCGCGCCTGTGTCAAGGAGATTCTGCGGATGAATCCCATTCTGGCCCCTGGTATTCGACACTACGCTGCCCAGGATGTGGTGTATAAGAACCACGTCATCCCCAAGGGGACGGTGCTGCTTGCCAATACTGCTTTCCTACACTATGACCCGCAGCGGTTCGAAAAGCCCTTTGAGTTCATGCCGGAGCGGTACCTCAAGCATACCCTATACAGCTCCGAGTACGCGGCGATGAGCGATCCGTACAAACGGGATCACTTCACCTTCAGCACGGGTAGGAGAACGTGCCCTGGGGCGCGTCTGGCAGAGAACTCGCTGAATATAGCCCTCTGTAACATTCTCTGGGCCTTTGAGATCCGACCGCCCATCGTGGAGGGCGTTGAGACCGAGATGGACTTGAGCGACAACGCGTACCCGGACGGCGCGTTCACCATACCTCGGCCGTTCGCCGCCAGGTTCCTGCCAAGAAGTGAGGAGAGGCTGCAGATCGTCAAGAAACAGTGGCAAATAGCGACGCAGGAGGGCTATGAGTTGAGGGGTGTAGCGGTTGACATCGATGGTATCGTTCAGTACTGACAGGGGAAGTGGGTTGAGCGATGCAGGCCGAGAGGACATAGAATGGAGGAGGAGGCATTAATTTCTAAAGTCTCAATTCTATTCATATGTTTAGCTCCCTCAACTCCGACCTTAGCATGTTGGCTATTCTTGAATGATCCCTCTTGAGCCACAGGCTTAGAGTCTGGTAGAGGCTGTCAATGTCGCCGATAGACGTTTCATCAGTTAGATACGGATCTCTAGAGTGCTCCGAGCTAAATTTATCGATCAGACGGCCGACCCTTCTCATCTCTGCGGATACTAACTGGATCTTCATGGCGGTCTGTACATGGAGGTCGTCGACGTTGAATGTTCCAATGGCCATCATCGCGGGGATCACGGCCAGCGCAGGCGACTGGGAGGATGATGTGGCCGTTCTTTGGTTGCTCCCGCCGATGCTCAATGAGCTGGCTGCTGCCGTGCTAGAGATGGGTGGAGAGACGTTCTGCGAGCTACCCGCGGCCTGCTGGTACCATGCCAGGATGCGGGAGATGATCGACGCATAGAGGAATGCAAGGTGTGGCGATCTCGCGCAGGGGCAGGTCAGAAGTGGCACGAGACGCTCGCTTGCCTCCCGGGTTAGTCGTAGAACAAGGTCCAGCGGAACTTGATGGGCGACACTCTGCGTTGTGGTGGCTGGGGCCGTTCCTGGTGAAGTCCCATAATGAGCCTGGCTGACGTTCAGAAAGGACAAGCTTTCAACAATCTTATATGCTTCACGCGGACAGTCGTGCGCGCTTGTGGAGCCCTGGCCGAGATTTGAACAGTCTTCGTCTTGGGAACAATACGCCGTAGTGGATAAATAACTCCCCAGCTTCGGCGACGGTGGAGTGGACCCGGGGCCCGGGGGTAGCGTGGTGGATAGGAGGTTGATGCCTGAATGGTCTGCCATGGCCCATTCATTGCCCTCCAGGGGAGGAAAATTCGAGAGAGATGGCCCAGGTAGATCTTGAAACAAGCCCACCCATGGGTGCAACCGGTTCAGGTCACTGTTGGCGCTGCTGTCGTAGTCCATTGCATCCCAGGCTGTGGGTACTTCGGCACCACTCGGAAATGGCTCGATGTCCAGCATGATACCTCCACTGCTACTGCTACTGTCCGTTGCTGCGGCATGGTTGCTGGACGTTCGGGATAGGCTCGGACGTCGCGGCGGTTTCCCTATCTTGCGCGACACCCCATAGACACATGCCATGCCATGCGAGACGCAGCGGCCGCATTCAGGGTGCCCCCGGTCACACTTCACCTTGGCGATACCACATCGATCACAGCTCGATCGTAACTTCGGCTGTCCTGGCATTGTGACTACAGAACCAGATGGTATACGCCACCGCGGCTGGTCCTGGAATGACTACTTTATAGTATTCGGGCATTCGAGGGACCTGCGTGCCCGCGCTCGTATCCATAACATGCTTAATAGCGCCGTATCCATATCTCATTATAGATGGGGATCAAAAGCCATGCCGCCACCGTGGAGAAGGCATTGGCGTTAAAGTTTTGAATGCTCACTAACCCACCGATTGCTGGCACATGTCAGAATAGGCAGACATACCAGTATTACGCAAAAATTGTAACAGTGCTACTTTTTGTGGTGCAGTGGTATTTCTGACAGCTCGATGGAATGAATCCCTGAAGTTAGAGGGATCGACTTCGTGATCGTGGGAATTTGGTCCCATCATTGGTGAATAATGCGAGGGGTTATTTCATGACTATCCCAGAAGTGGTATATCTCAACTAGGGCTGGTTCGAATACAGATATCAGCTAATCCAGACATTTGATATTCGTATCCGCCTTCTACATTACGGCGAATAATATCGCCGCAGATATCAGCGATGTCCGTATCCGCGGCCGATATCGCCATTTAGACACGTGTAGAAAGGATTCCCAAACTGGTTAACGCACTCTTTATTTACAGCATAGCGTTCGAGACCCAAGGCTGACTGGCCGGCCGGGCCCAGCTTGCTTCTGGTCAGATTTGTAGTATTCACAGTATAGCTTCATCTACTTACTGTTTGTCTTTACGGACAGTAGGCACAGTATCGGCCATAGGCTGGACCGCTGGAGAGGTTGAACGGGCTCCGGCCCTTTATACAACCCATATTAGTTTAATTATAAACGCTACTTTAACCTAAAATCAATAGCCTTACAGCACTTGGCTCTATTATTTATGTCTGATATAGTTATCTGTCCGTATGATTACTGCATAGGCGAATAATATTCGTATTCGCATTCGTTATGGAAGAGGTGGCAAATATCGTATCCTCCGCCGATTCGATGGAATAATATCTGCCAAGGCGGATATCGTCATCAACCCTAATCACAACGACTCGCAGGGTAGCCCGTTTTCTTTTTGTTTTTTGTTTCTTTTTTACTGGACTTCTAGGTTGTTTTACGTGGCCTCCAGGGATTACAGTGTTTTAGCAACTCCAAAAGCAATCCATCAGCATCAAAATATTATTAGTTGCAGGAGACAATTAATCTTGAGTCTAAGCATTAGTCAGAGAGTGTCTCCCCTATCCACTTGTCCGACCCACACGGTTATTTTAATTCATATAATTTAAATAAAAATAAATAGAATCTAAAATTAAGAAAATGAAAAAATTTTTATACGAAATAAAAATAGAAACCGACGCTGGCTGTATCTCTCTTTCAATAGAGCCCCAGTTCATTGCTTTACGTACTGTGATGGGATCATCATACACACTAGCCCCTCATTCTGCAACTCAAGCTTCGGTGCCATACAGGGTTCTTTTCTTCCTATATGATTCGGCAACCGAAATCGAGGTACCCGGGGGTTTGGTGCCAACGGGAGGAGCCTCGGGGGATTAAAAGCCTGGCCTATTGGCCTGACAAGATAAAAAAGACGCTAGACACGTGCTACTGCACTACAAACGAACAGGTTCTGGAGCGCAACCCGGTCCAGCCACGTAGTTATCGTGGCTTTTCCTCGAGCAAATTCGGCAGATCGTGAACGGGCGAGCGTATCCGGGTGTTATGTGGTAACCCTAACCCGGATTGGGCTTTGCTGCGCTAAAACCGCTTCTTATAAGACCTTCACTTACTGCGGGAAAGGTATTCCGATCCAAAAGACCGACCTCGTTATCTCTTGGAATCCAGTCCCATCATGGCCTCTGACTGGTCGCTCCCGGCTGCGCTGTCGCCCGCTTTGACCACACGCGAGGCCATTGCTGATGCGCTCCACCGTTGCATGATTGGCATGGATACTAATGACACGGCTCTCTTCGATTCCGCCCACACTCAGGATGCCCAGTGGAACATCGGTGGCAGAGTCGTGCAGGGGCTCCAGGCCATCCACCGGGAATGCTACGAAAAAACCATAATGACGCTCGACACCACGCATTACGTCACGAATATCCGCATCCACGTCCTCGACGGAGCATCGGAAGGGTCGCTTTCGGCTCTGTATCAGGCCAAGCATTTCCGTGGCCAGACAGGCACGGTACCTGGTGCACCGTCATATACGATGGGGGGCGTGTATTTTCTTAATCTTGTGAAAGATGAGACGGACGGGCTGTGGAAGATCAAGGAGTTCCGAATGAAGAAGCTGTGGGTGGAGGGCGACCCCAGTGTCATGGGCCATTAATTCCGAATATCCGAATATCCTATATACTCCCTCAACGTCCATGTTTGCAGCCACTGATTGGATGATTTGGGATAACTATGAAGTTTATAAATATAACAGCACCTTGGAGTTCGAAACCGCACCAACCACCGCACCTTAATAGTCTTTGAGAACCCCTGTTGGTGGGGCAGGCTGTGATCTACTAATTTAGCGTAGTTGTTATTCATAGTCAGAAAATCCGAAGTGAAGCTTTTCTAGGCCGCCATGTGATGGCGACGCCAATTCTACAAGCCACTTGGCTCCGCCAAGATCTGAAAGTAAATAGTGGCGGCTTACCCGTTTACTGGATTGTCCTACTACGACATAACTACAGAGTACTCCGGAGTAAGTGCTTTGGGCTAATTGATTGCTCTGCACCCCACCCACGACCTACTGTAAACACGGGCTTGCCTCCGCTAGCTGATCACAGCCCACAGCCAACCGTCGTAGCCCTTCTCGCCAACCGTCTGGAGCACAACCGAGTCCACGCCGGGCGCTCTACCAGCGTTCTCCACCACCTCTCTCGAGCCCCTGACGGACGGGTCAGGATCGTAAAAGTCCACCAGCTGCCCGTCGCGCACGATGTTGTCGACACAGATGACTGAGTTTGGGTGGACCATGTCCCGCGCGAGCTGGAAGTACCTCCAGTTGTTGACCTTATCCGCGTCGATGAAGACAAAGCCAAAACGGGGACGTATCCCGGCCCGGACCTCGTCGGATAGGCGGGAGAGCACTGCGAGAGCTGCGCCGTGGATGACCTGGACGCGATCGGACAGCCCCGCGTGCTCGATATTCGCGCGTGCGACCTCAACATGTCGGCTGTTGTGCTCGATCGTGGTCAGTTGCAACTGTGGGTTTTCGCTCGCCATCCAGATGGCCGAGTAGCCGCCCAGCGTGCCGACCTCGAGCGCGTGGGTGACCTTCGCCGTGCGGCAGTGCAAGGCTAGGAACTTGCCCTGTGCAGGCGAAAGTGCGTAGCTCGGGAGACCCGCCGCCTGCGATGCCGCCTGCGCGTTGACTAGCTCCTGGGTATTGGACTGCGATGCCGGGTGTGACTGTCGAAATGCATATGTGTCCACCGCTGTCCAGAGCGCATCGTAGCTTCTCCGGGCGGTCATGGTGAAAGTTCGTGGTGAAAGGTGATGACGTGTCGCTTTACTAAGGGGAATAATAAGAGGACCTAATCGCTGGCCCAGTCGACAAGTGGGAATACGTCGCATTGAACAAAGAATAACTTATGGCCCTCAGCATGGGGGGCGGGGAGAGAGATAGAGAGAGTCCCTTCACGACAAGCCTGAGTACATACCCGCGGATCGCCCTGGGGGTTAAACTCGCTCATCCGAAACAAGGAAGAAAAACAAAACAAAAGACCCATCTTGAAAAGATTGACGATTGGGCTCCCAAAGGTTAACAAGGCCGATTACTCCTGGAGGAACGCTCTTCGCCCGGATCCATCCGTGATGTCGCGAGCCGACCCAATCACAAACACCTTTTGAGTCCCGAAACAAGCCATAACGACGCTAAACACAAGTAGCGGTTATATCGAGTGTTATTATGATGACCCTGGATGGAATGGCTCCTCACTATCGCTTGTGTCTGTCGGCCATGTCGAACTGGGGGATTGAAAGGACGATATCTACCAGCACTTCAGAGGCCAACAGTTTTCGGCGAGATGGCGTATTTGATTTCGCATTCTAGATAGGTAGAAACTAAGCTACTGGCGGGGGTATCCATATTTCACCACGAAAACAAGCATTCATCTGGTTCAAGCCTTGTCCGAGTTTAATTTTCTGTCCATCATAACCCGCCACTGAGGCCCCCACGTCCTGAGGGCCAGGATCGCCGCGTTTCCCGTAACGAATGCGATCAGGGCGACCATGGTACACATCCATCCGGTCCCTATCGCGTCCAGCAGGGGCTGCGTGATGACTGCACCCGTGCACGAGAGGATGTTGCGCAGAAAGTTGGCGAGGGCAACGCCACTGGAGGACTTCTTGGGGGTGAATTCCGTCAGCACCGTGGTTACCGCGCCCATGACGAGCATCACCCCGAGACCGAAGACGATACAGGCCACGCAGCACACTGCCCAGTGCAGGCCCTTGTCGATCGACCAGCCGTACCAGATCAACGCCGCCGGGTACAGTGTCGATGCCAGCCAGATGTTCTCCTTCATCCGGTCTTCCGGCAGGTACTTGGGTTTGCCGTCCGGGTGGTAGCGACCGGCCTTGCGTGCCTCGCGGGCCATGATGTAGTCGATCCATCTGCCGCCCAGCAGGGATGATATCGCATAGCCAATGGTCGGGGCTAGATACGTCAGGCCCACCAAGATGACACTGAAATTGTACGGCGGTTTCTCGAAGGCCGCCTGGAGCGAGACGTTAAGCACGAACATAGTAAAGAAGGCGATAGACCCGGACCAAACCGCCACCACGATCGGCGGATGGCGTAGCAGAGCGAGGACTTGGAGGGGGCCGAAGATGCGCTTCAGGACCTGAACGCCTTTGTTTGGCCTTCTGCGTCCGTCCGCTACCCGCTGCGGCTGAACCACACGCCTAGGCGCCGTTTCCGGGAGGCACAGGAATATCAGAGCCAGCATGACACCGCCAAAGATGGTGAGAAACCACTGTGTACTCCTCCAGCGCAGGCCTTGGGTTAGGGCGCCTCCAATCACCGGAGCCAGACCGGGGCCGCACAGAGGACCCAGGTAGAATACGCCCATCGCCCGTCCTCTCACTTTGGGTTCCCAGATGTCGGACACCGTTCCTGCGCCCACAGATTGCACCGACGCCGCCGCTCCTCCACTGAGGACCCGGAAGACGATCAGCATGGCGATGTTCACGCTGACGGCGCTGAGGCAGGAGAAGACGAGGAAAAGCGAAAAGGAGAGGAGATATATCGTCCGTCGTCCGTGTTTCTCGGACAAAGCCGACCTGCATGCACTCTCCGGTTAGCAAGCTCCTCTCCTTCTAACGTTCTCGAGCTGTAGCTCCCCTTGGCGGCGACTCACCACCACATCGGGGTAAAGGCCATGGCGAGCATGTACAAGGCGAGTGATAAGTTTGCGACAGTAGGCGTGGTTTTGAGATCGTCGGCCACTTGCGCCAGGGCCGCTGTCAAGCTAGTGAGCCTTTTTGTCTCTTTCCCGGTCTTGGTTCAGATTTCCTGCTCGGGCAAGCAAACGTACGGTAGAAAATAGAAGAGCCTGTGGACGAAGTAATGGCGGCGAAACTCACAATCACCGTCATCCACCATTTCGTTCCGTTGCCGTAGGTGTATGGGTTGGTGACCTCTGGGATGATGGAGAAGCGACCCAGAAGGCCTCGACGCTGCGACTGAGGGACTGGCTCCAGCACTGGGGCCATGGACCCGGCCGTCGACGTTGGGTCGACCGGCGGCCCATTGGGTTGAGCTTGTTGAGTCGCAATGCCTGCCTTTTCCCCGTCGCGCACGGTATGGCTGGTGTCTACCCCTTGGGCCTTTTCGACGTCTGTCGCCATCACGCCTATTGTCAACCTTTGGGTATAGAACCAGAGTCTTGTGGCCCGGCTCTCAGCGAACTAATGGATATTTATTTGCTCAGAACCGTGGTCTGTGTCGACACAGCGATCCATTTCTCGGCTGACGATCACGGAGGAAACTCTCCAGTCCACTGCGATAGGTTACCAGGTGTTAAGCATTTGTCCACCCTCGGACCAGACTCCCCGCAGATAATCGTCGTCAGAGACAAGGAAAGGGCCGCCGGCCAATTGGGAAGGACTTTAGATGCCCGACACATACATTAGTGGCCACGACGGCCTCGCCTCACTAGCGAATCCTGCCGTAATTTATCTTACGAGGTTGGGCCGGTTCGTTGGTTGCTAAGCTTCGGTCCGTGGTCATCCATGTCTGTCCCAGGGGTGGAGCGATCAACTGGAGCGGGTTCTTGTGGACAAGACCAAGAGCAGGTCTCTTACTCTCCACCAACACGGTACTGGGAATAAGTATCTCTCAATACAGACCAGACTCGTAAATGAGATAGATTCTCTCATACTACTTACCCACACTCAAAAACATTCAGTGGCTTACCTGTACATACAATCACTAGGAGACAACAAGCTCACCAGTTGGTCCCGCGCGGTGGGTTTGAGGCCAATTCTGGGTTCATATATATTTCTTCTCATCCCTCGCAATGTAGATAGTTAAGATAGCACACGGTACGATTTTGATTTTTTTGAAATAGTTTATAGATGCTCTGGGCCCTCGCCGTATTCATGATAATAGTGATTAAAAAAAGAAAGAAAGAAAAAAAAAAAAAAAAAAAAAAAAAATACACCAGCAATATTGTAATAATCTCTCCTTTAAGTCCACTTGGAATTGGTGCAACATCCAGGCTCCCGAGACGAGATGGAACAAGAAACAAACGTAAGAGAAAAGGCCAGATAAAAAGTTTCAAACAGAACAGCCCGGCACGTAGTCCCATGCTTTTGGAAGTCCGCCATAAAATACCCAGCGCGTCATATTCCCCACCAACATATCCCCCCCACGGCCTACGCGTTTCACGACCCCTGCGGCTGTCTCTTCCGGCACCTTATTGCCCTCCGTCTTGTGCAATGCCCGCTCGATCGAATCCATCCCCATGTGTGCAATCTGGAAGAAATCATGCTTGGTGATCGGGAAACCCGGCGTCGGATCGTCCAGCTGCTCCAGACTGTACAGCGCCCGGATCAACTTGGCTGCATGCCCTTCATCGCGATACACAATCGCACGGTGGAACAGCTCCGGCCAGCCATGCTCTGGATGTCGTGGGACATAGTCGGTGATCCGTTGGGCATAGAGCGGCGGACACGCACAGCCGGCATACATCACGGCGTCAACACGTGCCGTAGCCTCGAGCAGACGGGCTTTGTCCTGGTCGGACAGCCAGTCCTGGGCCAGAATGGCCGGATAGAACACGGCAAGCGTGACCGCATGCAGCAGGACAAAGTCCATGGCTTCTCGCTTGCCCGGACGCTGCGCCGCACCGAGCATGTACGCGGTGGTGTGCATCATGTCGGCCATTTTGCGCTGCAAGTCTTCCTTCTCGGGCTTGACTTGGAACTGACTCAGATAAGGGACCAGCTGCTCGGTGGTCACCCGCTTGAGGAAGCCGTCAGGGATCTTGTTGAAGGGGTCCGTTTCCCTCACCCCGCCGGCGATCTGAGGATTCTCGCGGAGGCTGTTGAGGATGTCAAGCATGGGCCGGGATGGCACGTCCTCCTGTGTGCGGACATATTCTTCTGTCGCTAAAAGAAAGGACTTGGGCCAGTTCTCATGAACGCAAGCCCCAGCCAGGGCTTCTGCGACAAGGCTTGGTTGCTTGAATTCAATTCCACACCCAAGATGGATGATCGGATGCACGAGATCTGAACATGAGGCGCGTTAGTGATCAACGCTGGCATACCCTAATGCTGTGGGGAGGGTTTATGGCCACCTGTGAACATCCGACCCAGAATATCATTCGCCCGGGCGTCCCCCTTGAAGAGGTACTCTTTGACGACCTCCTCCATGCCGTTCTGGGTGATTTCATCTTCGAAAAATTTGAGGAAATCTACGTAGCAGTCGTCGACTCCAAGGCATTTTTCAAAGACCGCTGGATCCTTTAGACCTAGATCCGTGGTCGCTTCTTCTAGATGTCTGTTGTGCATAAGGTTCTGGTAGCGCGCGTTGTAGTCCCACATGTCTTGGATCTCAGCTGGTGTCGCTCCCAACGCCCACAGGGAGAGGAGGTGGTGAACGAGATGGTCTGGATTGTCAAGGTCAGCGACAGAGCCAGACTAGGTAGCACACTAGAAACCTACTGTGCAACGTGTCTTTCCATCGTGTGTGGTATAACGCATGATTGAGTGTGAGCAGCTCAGAGGTTAGCTTTGCGCTGTCCTCCCTTAAACCCTGCACATGGACATGGCCCGGGGTGGAAGTAGAAGACAGATGGACAGTAGTTGCCTCCTCCATATTAAACGCAATGAGTATAAGCACGCGGCAGACTTCTGCAGAGGACGAGATTCGGGTTCAAAACGTACAAAAGTAATATGGCACAAATCATAGATTAAAATAAATAAGCGCTTCGCTTTTGACCGAGCCTCCCATTTAGACCGAAAGATTAACCCGGTCGGGACCCGAATACAAAGAGAAACAGCCTTCCTCGGGCATCGACCAGACCAATCTGCATAAAGGTAGCTGAAGCACCTATCCCGGGTGGACCCTAACTCCCCGGATACCCAGTAATGTTGTAGAGCTTGTAGTAAGCTGAATATTATGTCCAGATAAGGAGGTTTACGCCATAAGACGATTCCACCTGTGATCTTCCAACCTGATATGTAATACGACCGACTTTCTTGCCCGGCAGCGCATAAAACAAATTTATTAGCGGTTCCGAGAGGCAACACATTCCTCCATCATCACTCAACCTTCTTCCCGCCAGGGGGTTACACAGATAGAGAGGCCCACCATGCCCAAGATACTGTGTCTTCACGGGCACGGCACAAGCGGAGCCATCTTCAAATCACAGACTGCTGCCTTCCGTGCCAAGCTCGATCCCAGTTATGTTTTCGATTTTGTCGATGCTCCATTCTCCAGCCCGGGCGCGCCGGGAATCGACGCTATCTACAAGACAGAGAAGTACACATGGTGGCCGAAGTCTACCCCGGAGGCTATCCGTGCCGCACACCAGTGGGTGGCAGAGTACGCCCGTCAGCACGGGCCCTACGATGCCGTCTGTTGCTTTTCCCAGGGCTGTTCCCTAGCATCGACTATGGCTCTATACCGTACGGTTAACGGGGATTCTCGGGTTGAAGAGGAGTCGCTGCCCTTCCGCGCGGCTATCTTCATCTGCGGTGGAGTGCCACTGTCGGCACTCGAGGACATGGGGCTTGAGGTATCGCCACGTGCCCACGAGATCAACCGTTGCACCGGTACATTGTTGAACGGAACGGCCAGACGGCTGTCGGAGCTCGCTGCGAATCTACACCTGATCAAGCGGGGTGTTGGTCTCTGGGATGCGAACGGGTATCAACTGGTACATGACCCCACGCGTCGACCGGATCGGCGCGACGTCTTCGGCCTCGACTTCACCGGATTTCCTACACACGCGCGCATCCGAATACCTACTGTACATATCTACGGGTCTAAGGACCCGCGGTGGCCTGCCGCGATTCAGCTGACTGAGTTCTGCGAGGACCGGCTGGAGTATGACCATGGCGGTGGGCATGATATCCCGCGGTCGACGGAAGTGTCCAACAAGATTGCAGACATGATCAGGCAAGTGATGGGGCGGATTCAGAAACCACCACATATAGGTACCGGTCAAGGGCATGTGGAACTGAAACAACAGTCAGATATAAGTTTTGGGCCGGTGGCGATCAGTGTCTAGTGTCTTGAGACTACTTTTGTTCGATAGATTGATAGAGGTGTGCGGTAACTTGATTCTACACTATAGTCAATATGACTTCTTTCTTTTTTTTTTTAGTTTGTCGCCTACTATGAATGGATACAACTCTTTAACGTCAGTCAATTGGAGGCCATCTGCAATCACAATCTATGTGGACGGCGGCTCACGCCCTGCATTGAGGAAATCCCTCAACCAGGATTGTAAAACTTTGGTTATATTGGTAATAATTATGATAGACGAAATATGAGTTGTAGAGCAAAATTTTGGATAGAGTTGCATTCAATGTGAGGACCGAAGTTCGACTGCGTAGTGGTGCTGAGCTTTAGCACTACGCCACGGCCAAAAAAGCGTAAATCGATGACCGAACGGTCATTGAGCTCAGCATACTATATAGCAAGGTCAGGACCGTGACGTTCAGGGCGGACTGGAGCGGATTGAGCCGACCTTCACCCCAGTCCACGCTGAGTTTAGGGAGAAAATTTGTTTCGAAAAAACAGATTACACAGATACTGTAAAGGGCTGGAGCGTTTGGCCTCTCGGGCCATTAACCCCGTTGATCGTATTATCCCTATCACCCTACTGTCCCTGTTGTCCCCGTTGTCCCTATTGTCCCTATTGTCCCTATTGTCCCTATTGTCCCTATTGTCCCTATTGTCCCTATTGTCCCTACTATCTCTGGCCCTACTGTCCCCGCTCACGCTTCTTCCACTCCGTTTCATTGTTCCAGAGCCTGCAGAATGCGAGGCGCGCGTCTTCTAACATAAATACATTTCCAATTTTTCTCCTAGACTATTCTATACGTGCTATAGCGCATCTTGGCGTTGGTTTCGAAGCAAAGTAATGACAGTCCAGAGTGTGAGGCTGATTCTGCGATCTACTGTACCCGCCACCTGGCAAAGAGTTACATTACTCATGATATAGTAATCATGCTACGCTTGAAATTATCTAAATTTTCTGGAACTTAGGGAAGTGGTAGTAGAAAATACTTCCCTATAGAGTATGGTACCCAACTGCTTCTGTCTCTCTAGCGTTGGTAATGATCTTTCTGTTATGCTCTCCATTCCTCAGTAATAGACACTTGTAGTAGCCCTTTCAGCCGCATCATATAGCCTGATTCGTTGCTTAGGCTGTAGCGTAACATATCTAGGCCAATCCATGATTAAGACACTGCGATAATATAGAGTGGGTCCGCGGACTATTGTGACTAACGTATTTTATCACCGAGCGGTCACCCTGCCTACCTTAATCAACTCTTGATCATTTTCAACCACCAAAATGGCCATTTTATTGATATTTTTGATCAATTTTAAATGCGCATTTTAGTGGCCGTTTCAGTGGTTGAAAATGATCGAAGGTATGCAGGGTGACCGCTCGGTGATAAAATACGTTATTCAGGCTAATTATATAATTCCATTCCAAGACAGCAGTAAATTAAAATGTTAGCTTGGCGGGGAACCTTAAATTAACGCATGCTGCACTAGCCCATTTTAGTCCGGCGTAAGGCACATCCAGTACGTCTGGGCATCCTTGCGGTTCTGGTTCCCGTAATTACGAGCTCAACGAATCGGACATCGCTTGTCTCACTTAATGGTGCCAGAGTGGGTGCGCCAGAGCACAGGTTGATTTCGATAGTCATACGGGATACTGTCAGAATAAAGCTAGTCCATATTGGGACATCATGTGAATATATATACCCAATACTCCTCATAGAGGGGTTGGGCAGAGAATCCTTCTGAATACAACAACTTCATACCCCCCATATAATCTAACAATTAAGAGTCTCATTTGTTAAAAGAGCACTCATATATAGATACGAGTATATATCTATATCTATATTAACCCTATTTCGCTATGTCAACCATTCAAGACAGCACCATTCGCCTCAACACACAGGAGGACTGGATGCAGTGGCAGACGCAGTTTGAAGGCCTAGCTAGAGGCAAGGATATTTGGGATATTATTACAGGTGACGGAGAGGATCTTCCAAAGCCTAGAATGCCTAACGAAGAGGATTATCTTCCTCCACCTGCTAATAGCACCCGAAATGCCTCCACAGGGTCCCATGCGGAATATCAGTTGGCTTGGACAATTTATCGAACCAAACTGGAGGAGTACAACAAACAGAAAGCGGAGTTAAATAAGATCAGACGAATGGATTCAAAAGACTGTATCACCACAAGTCTATGAATTCTGCTGCATTCCTTCTATTCCTTGAACGACTGGTATGACAACCTAAAGAAGAATGTTGGAGTTGATGAGTTTAGAGTCAAAGAACTGGCTCGAGAAGCTTATCAAAAGGCCATCAAGACTCCAAAGCCCAGGGACATCAACACCTGGATAAACAATTGGGAGTTAGCCATGCAGAAGGGGATAAAGGCAAAGATTGCAGTTGCTACTTCCTTAACTGATTGGATTAAAGACTTTCTAAATGCAGTGCGATCTTTGAATCCTCACTGGGTAGAATCTTATTGGATAAATAAGAAGCAAGACATTCAAGAAGAAAGCCTCTCCTTTAGAATGGTCGCGCAGGACTTCCGTGATAGCATGAATCGAATGGGATTACCTCAAGGCAAGATTGCCAAGGGATCATTCGGTCCTACCTTTGGAACTCAAGACGAAGGTAGTGATGCCTCTATCTCTGGAACTCATGGCAGAGATAGTGACGAAGATAAGGCACCCGCACCAGATACTAGGAGGTCCCGAAAGCGGAAGCAGAGGACCGAAAGCCGTGGATCACCGAAGGAGTTCAAGAGGAACAATCCGGGATCATCAAGACCGGCAAAGGCCTGCAGAGCTTGCGGACAATGGCATAATTGGAAGGATTGCTTTTATTTATTCCCTAGGAAGGCCCCAGAAGGATATCAGGAGCGTTCTGAAGTTAGAAGGTTGGTAAATCTGTCACTAAAGGATGATCAAAGCTTTGCCAAGCAGGTGGAAGAAGAAATAAAGCAAAAGGCTCAAGAATGACTAGAAAAGGAACCAGCATCTCCTTCCTTTCTAGTAAAGAAGTAGGGAGAATACCTACTTCTTTTATCTTGCTTCCGTCCACATATCCTCTCAAGAACTCTGCAATCCTTGACTCCGGCACGACTATCCATATATTCAACCAGTTCTCTCGATTCGATCGATACCAGCCAGCGGCACCCGGAGATTTTGTATGGGCAGGAGATTCAAAAGTCTCTATTAAAGGATACGGCAATGTCAGCATTAATATTAACTCGAAGGAACGGAAAACAAAACTACGCCTGTATATGTTTGCTTACTGTCCTAATATGGCGTGTAACCTAGTGTCTTTGAGGCAACTCCATCGAATGAATCTATGGTGGGACAATCAACCTGGTCAGAATGTTATTCGCACTATAAAGGGGTTTCCAATCGCTTACCTGGAGGATCGACATGATCAATTTGTCCTTGAATATATCCCGGTATCAACACATGCAACATTCGCTACCAGATCTTCACATCAGAGTTCGAAGTCAGTGCGAGCAGATGCTAAGAAATGGCATCTCCGCCTGGGGCACCCAGGACCGCAAGCAATAGAGCACCTAGTTAATGCTTCAAAAGGTGCTAGGATCCGGGGTCCGACGACAGTAGAATGTGATGCTTGCGGAATAGCCAAAATAAAGCGTCAGATTCAACGTTTTCCCCGAGGAATAAAAGAAGGACCTGGATTGCAACTGGCAATTGACTTTCATGACTTTGAACAAGGATATCAAGACTTTAAAAGCCTTATGTTGGTGACAGACAGGTGGTCTGGCATTATCTGGGACTATTATTTTCAAAATCGCACCGCGGAGGCAATTATCAAGGCATTAGAGGACCTATTTAGGACTCTAAAACATCAGTACAACATCATGCCTAAGGTAATTGAGTGTGATAATGAGATAGTTACCAGAAAACTCCAAGTCTACCACTATATCCTTTCGAAAGGCATCAAGGTTGAGCCTTCTGCGCCTAATACGCAATCACAAAATGGAGGTGCAGAACGCTCAGGGGTGTAATAAAGGATAAGGCTAGAGCTATGCGGGAAGGTGCTAAATTGCCTGCGTTTCTATGGCCAGAAGTGGTACGAGCAGCAGTTTACCTATTTAACCGAACACCTTATTATCAAGCCAATTGGAAAACTCCTGTTGATAGGTTCCATACCTATATTGCACACAGCGAAGGTGTTGTGGTGGAGGATAGAAAGCCTTAGCAAGCGCATCTAAAAGTTTATGGATGCAAGGCCTTTGCAATGACTCCTGAAGCTCAGAAAAAGGAGAAAAGACTGCAGAGATTTAATCCAAAGGCATGGATAGGATATCTAGTTGGATATGACTCCACTAATATCTATCGAATCTGGTTGCCTCGGTTGAATAAGGTTATTCGGACAAGGGATGTAATTTTCAATGAAGAGGAATAATTCTCTGGTGACATAGCTAAGACCTTAGCCACCATGCAGGATGAATTTCGACAAGTTCCCTTAAAGGAGTTTAATCAAATGGTGGAGAATATTGAGCTTCAAAGCTTGCCAATGAGATGGCAGAGGATTCTTTGTCTAATGGACACTTTGACTCAGTTGATTATCTTGCAGATATTCCAGAATCAAACCAGCAAGAAAAGGAGCAAGATACTTATCCAACACCTCCGGAAACACCAGAAGCTTCATTCAATCCAGCGTCATTATTTGCATCGGCATTTTGCAGCGAATCCACTAGCCCACCAGCAACTCCGAAATTATCAAGACATCTGCGGACGTGGAAGGCAACATTCCTAGCAGGACGACTTATTCAACCTGTTCGAAGACATAAAGAAAAAGACGATCAGCAAAGCAACATTGGAACGACTCCAGAGATGCCCAGGTGGCCTATCCAAAATACACCGTCGGAATTTGCCTCCAGAACCAGTATGGCATAGAGACCTGGAAGATCATCCACTAGGATCTCTGTTTAAACAAGCAGAAGAGGATCATCTCAAAGGTCATAGAGATATGAGGACCTGGGAAGAGATACGAAGATCCACCTGCTTAGGCAAACAAGTCCTAGATTGCAAATGGGTGTATGTGTATAAATTCGACAAGCACGGCAGATTTCAAAAGTGCAAGGCTCGACTAGTTGTCCGTGGAGATAACAAAAGGACCGTACAGATGATCTATATGCAGCGACATTAGCTATTCGATCATTTAGGACTTTGATGTCTCTTGCGGCCCGTTTTGATCTTGAATTAATTCAATATGATATCACAAATGCATTTGTTAATGCAGATGTGGATGAGGATGTCTTTATGCGGATGCCTCCTGGTTATAGAGTGCCTGGAAGACTGCTAAAGCTAAAGAAAGCCCTCTTTGGACTAAAGCAGTCCCCAGTTCTGTGGCAAAGATTGTTCACAAAGAGCCTTCAAGATCTAGGATTTAAATCTATCCCACATGAGCCATGTTGCCTAGCCAAAGGAGATATCCTTATATTCTTCTATGTGGATGATATTGTCTGCGCTTTTAGAAAGGAAAGCAAGAAGAAAATGGAAGAAATTATCCAAAGGCTTCAAAACCAGTATAAGATGACTGGAGGCGATAAACTGAAATGGTTTCTAGGGATAGAAATAATCCGGGATAGAAAGAGGCATCTAATATGGCTAAGTCAGTCCTCATATATAGATAAGATTGCTAACCTTTCAGAGTCAGAGCCAAAAGGTTATATCCTTATTCCAATGACTCAAGAGAAGTATCTCTATATTCGAGTGCAGCAAGCTATCAAAGCATCCACCGATATCAACGAAAGATTGGTTCCTTAATGTATGCTGCAGTTGTGACTCGTCCAGATATAGCTTTTGCAGTATCAAAGCTATCCCAATTCCTCACCAACCCAAGTCCGGAACACCACAAAGCAGCAGATCAGGTGCTTAAGTACCTAAAAAGGACTCAAGATCTAGCTCTGCAGCTGGGGGGTGGAGATAATTATATCCTATATAGTGATGCATCCTTCGCAGACAACAAGGACAGAAGAAGTTCGCAAGGGTATATTATTCAACTATTCGGAGGGACCGTGGGATGGAGAGCGAATAAGCAGGCAACTGTGACAACATCTACAACTGAAGCAGAGCTATTAGCATTATCGCAAGCAGCGAGGGAAGGGATGTTTATGGAGAGACTTCTAAGGGATCTGCAACTTCACCTGGATAATCATCAAGTTCACATTCTATGTGATAATATGCAGACAATCCGACTTGTTAATGAGGACATCAACCGACTGCAAACACGGCTTCGTCATGTGGACATCCATAATCACTGGCTAAGGCAAGAGGCAGAGTCAGGAAGGATCCAAATTGAATATTGCCCCACCAACAAGATGTTGGCAGATGGACTCACCAAGGCGCTTCCAAGGGAGAAATTCGAGCTATTTGTGAAGCAGCTTGGTCTAGTTGACATATCTAGGCAGAGGACAAAAGGGGAGGATGAAAATCATCGACATTTTGATGAATTTGATGATATTCTGTGTGGAGAATGAATATGGGAATAGCTTCAAGTTCAGGTTCAAAGGATGTTTTGGAACCTGAGGGGGTGTGTCAGAATAAAGCTAGTCCATATTGGGACATCATGTGAATATATATACCCAATACTCCTCATAGAGGGGTTGGGCAGAGAATCCTTCTGAATACAACAACTTCATACCCCCCATATAATCTAACAGATACACACCCTTGATGCTTGCTGCAGAGCTAGGGCACGCCGGGCTTGCCTCACTTCTAGAGAACGATGGTGCTGCTCCAAATATTAAGGAAATGTGTGAACAACCGAGTAAATACCCAAGATTTGCGGGAACTATGGGCAGCTGACAATGCTAGGCAGTAGTTATACCAGAAAGGTACAAGGAAGGTTGGAAGCCACTACGAGAAATGAGTCGTGTGTACTCACATATACAATGAGGTTTCGCTAAGTATATCTATTATGCGATGAGATACGAACGGTCAGCACTGCTCTAGAGTCGGAAGGTTACTTTATGGACTGTACTATGCAGTGACTCTACCTCAACATTTGTCGCCTCAAAATTGATAAAATTGCTACCGGTCTCTCCTCAACACGCCACGTCCCAATACTTCAAAATCGGGCCACATTTTCAGGAGATATCCTACACTAAAATCAATTGGGACAAACCTCGTTTCTTCGTTCCCTATTGACTGCAGACATAGCGGTTCTAGGTGGCGGGAAATCTGCGGCGGATGCCGTCTACTCATTCGCTAAGGCAGGCAAACATGTGTCTTGGATCGTGCGGAAAGTCGACGCGGGCCAGCCGCTCCTATAGGAGCGGTCAGCCAAGGTCTATATAAAAACTCTGTGGAATTGTTCGATACGCGGATGATATCGATGATAGTCCTGTCGATCTTTGACTCGAATTCAATTTCCGCCCACCTGTTGCAACAGACTAGACTAGAGGGAAGGATTGTGGACTTGGTCTGGGAGACAGCTGACCGACTCAATCGGATTGTTGCTATGTGTCAGACGAGGAAAGGAGCGGGAAGCTGGTTTGAGAACCTGGAACCCGATAGCCTGTAGGTACTGCAATGAGACATGCTGAAGAGTTGTTTTCCTCTAGCCAGATGGTGAGCTGACCTGAGAATTGCAGCTTGTTCTGGCAAAGCCAAGGAAGTGGAATTTCACAGTATCCAGATTTCTGGCGAGTAATTGCAGACAAGGTTGATGTTTACCGCGCAGACATTATTTCCATCGATGCCAAGAATGTAGAGTTCTCCGATTCCTCAGAATATTCCACCAGATATCCTCGTTTGCGCCACTGGCTGGGAGCCTTCCCTGAGTTTCATCGCCCCTGAAGATCGAGTGAATTCGGTCTTCCAGTGCCTCTCTCTGACGATTCGCCTTTAAATGCCCTGAAATGGCGAGACATAGACGCTGCTGCTCGTCATTGAATATTCCACTTAGTTAGGGGACGTAGCACCCTGTCATAAACAATAAAGTGTAACCTCTCCATATCGGCTGTATAAGGCTATGACATCATTTCAAATAACGAGAAAATTCTCTTCCTAGGGTGTGTCCAAGTTGGGAATAATTTTATGGCTGCCGAAAGCCAAGCTCTATAGGCTATAGCATACTTTAGGCGGGCGATCACATTTACCAGCAAAGAGAGAGATGAAGAAAGAAGTAGCGGAGACAACCGCATGGATTAGATTACGATATTCCGATCAAGGATGGGATGGAACATTTTATTACTTTGACTTGGCACAATATGTGGACGTTTACTGCGCCAGGTTTGCTTGAAGTCATATCGACGGTCATGGCCGATGAGCCAAGTGGTGCCCGTTATGGCTAGGGATTTGAAGCCCTTGGTGCAGGAGTACATCACCAGAGCTAATAGTCGAAGCCCACCCGACGGTTAAAAAATGTTCCTTCCATCCTCTGTGATTTTTATCCCTAGATGACCAACTTGCTGGAATCGGACCTACGATGCATTCAAGCTCCCTCTCGAAGCATTATTAATTCCCTGTGTATATGACGCGATTTACGGCCATTATGCAAGATCGCCCTTATTCAAAAACCTAAAGCTGAAAGCAACTTCCAAGCGGGTCCGGCAAATATTGAACTATAAATTTAGAAAATTGATTCAAAATCGGATCCCCACAGTAGGGTTTGGAGGCCAAGGGTAGGCATAGAAGTTTTAATATTAGTCGCATGTTTTCCTCGGTACGCAAGTATGTCTAAAGTTGGCAGAGAGTTACGGTGAAGAGTGTGTGCAAACTTGAGAACATCAAAAGATACAAGGAGAGTTGACATTCCATCAGCTCAAAATGAGCTAAAGTGACTTGAAGTGAGCCCTTCGTCACAACAACCAAGCTTTCTCTGTTAGTTTCCTGTTCTATATATAATTTATCGTCCATTTACATATAGTCATCTAAAAATAACTGTGGAAAATGAAATCATCCCCCTTATCAGTAAGCATTTTGCTGAAGCTTCGGAAAAAATCAAACAACCAACTTTGGCTAGTCGGGAGGAATTTATCGCAACCTTCAATAGAGACCATCGACCCTCGGCAAAAATTTACCGATGATTTGTTTACCCGATGTTCTGGATAAAGAAGTTTCAAGAAGTGAGCTGTTTCCAGCCTCAGAACTACATCTGAGCACTTTCTGCTGCGGTAGCCGGTGCCCCTATTGTAACGATATCCTTTCCGACCTACAAGCGAGGATGAATTATTTCTTAAAAGATGTCATCTTAGTCGCAACGTTACCCGAGTTACCTGATTATCTTCTCGAACTGCGAGTGTATTGCCTTTAAGGAATGGTGATAAAATGTACGATTACGACCCTTCTTTATTCTTGGCGGCTTGACGGATCGGCTAGTATCTCGTGATGTTACCACGCGAAAAAATCAGTAAATGTCGGTCAGCTAAATACGCGTATGAGCTAGTATCACCGATCATATAATGATAATATGGATCTGCATTGAAGAATGAGGTCTCTAAGGTCTCTAACTATCTGAATCTATCTGGGAGAGCTGGATAAAAAGGTGAAAAACAAAGGAATAAAGTCGGACCGAGCGGATGCTGAATACCGTACCCGATCACATGATGACCGTTTTCACCACTCGCCCGATTTTTTGGGTTAACCACAAATGCAGAGATGAAGCCATACAGCCACAACAAAATGATAAAATAAGTATATTTTTTGGTGGAGTAGAATAAAGTATATAAAGAAGCTATGTAGCTAATTTTTAGTGTCGCGGAATCGCTCAGGAAGCCGTATTTGCCTTCCACGCCTATTTACAGTAATAGGTGTCTCTTCCACTTCTTGCACATTTTTCATATCAATATCTTCCTTTTCCTTTGCTGTAGCCGGCCCTATAGCCTTCTTCTTATCCTTATTAGCTTGTTTGATGTCATTTTGAAGCTGTATAGCAGCTTGTTTTGCGGCCTTCTCCTCTTCTTTCCGGTGTCTTTTTTTCCTCTGCTTCCTGCATCCGCACACTCTTATTAAAAGCCCTTATTCTCTTTCGTTCTTCAATCAAGCATTGTTTCTCTTCCTTCTCCTGCTGCCGACGTATCTTATCTTCCTCTTTAGCAGCTCTAGCAAGGCGTTGAGCTTCTTCCTTCTCAGCCTGAGCATTACGGGCTTGTTAAACCTTATTAGGACTGTAGAAGATTGCATTGCCATCCTCTGGGGCCTGAAGTTAAAGTTGTAAAGGTTTGCCACGCTTTCGCTTCTTCTTCTCATTCTGTAGGGCGTTTTTGACGCCCGTAAGTTGTAGTTTAAGAAGAATATTCTCGGTAGAAAGATGCATCATGGTATTATTTAATTTCCGGACCCTCTGGTCATAAACATCAGAAACCACTTGCTTAAGAAGCTTTTCAATACGACGCCAGTCTTCTGCCTTTAAAATAGATTGTGATGACTCACTAGATGAAGGTCTTTCATCTTCTTTTTTTTTGGTAAAGCGTGCCAAAACAATCTCCGGATCCCAAGGATGTAAACCAACTTTTTCCATGAACTGTTAATATTTTCGATTAAAAAGCCTTGTTCCAACTTGGCCAAAAGAGTCTAAAAAAGTCCGCTTTAAAGATGGCTCCATCCTTGACATTCATGCATAAATTCTTCCATTTGTTACTGTATGCCTGGGAAAGAGGACCAAAAAGACCAAATAAGTGGCTGAAGACTGTGTGTTGAATGAGGTGGGTAAATAGCCAAAAGATTTTATTCTTATCACAGAAGTTAATAAACTTCATAGAGATATGGGAGCTGTGACCATCAAGAATTAGAAGCCGCCAACATCTTCTTGCCTTGGCTTTTGTTTCGCGGTTAAATATAGTTGTTAACCATGCGTATCCCAGCTCATTATTTGTCCAGCCACTTGGTGATGATGTAAAGAAGCAGTGGTGGTTATTAGGATTAAAATCCTGAAGCCATGTATCTTGAATATGTCCAGACACAGCCTGGTAAATTAGACCAGGTAACAGAGATGTCCCATCGGCGCAAATACAGGCAATTGTAGTAATCCACTCTCTATTTCCATCTTAAAGTCGTTGTTTAAGCCCTTCCTGCTCATACCGGCGTCGTGAAAAGATTCTTTTGCCTTTTAACAGCACTCCAATAAGAAAACCTTTCTCATCCATGTTGTACATATCTCCAGGCTTAATCCCATATTCCTCAATCTTTCGGGCCATAAGTTCAAAATATAGTGCATATTTATATGCCGAATCAGCCCGCTTGCGTGAGGAATCAAGTGCCGGTAGTATAGTGAGTAACAAGCTTATTATTATGTCTCTTTAAAAAGCGGTACGGCCATGACTTTCCAGGCTTGATTCCAGTAATTTCCTTGGCGAAATTTCGTAGCATTGAATGGGATGGTGGAAGGCCACGTTCAGTAAGAGTATTTATTAATTTAATAAGCTCTTTTGACTGTTGGTTGTTGAGGAGAGACTGATTTTCATGATGCTCTTGTAAATGGCTCTGTATACCGCGGTGGTGTCTTGACAGGGTTGACCGGTTAACCCCATGCTTTTCAGCTAATTTTGTATAATTTATTTTTTCTCCTGGTTTCAGGGATTCTATATCTGCAAGCGCTTTTTCAATTGAGTCCATATTGATGGTGTTGTAGCCTTCTGAAATGTGTGCAAAAAGTCGGTGTGTTGGCGAAAAGCGGGCGAGTGGTGAAAACGGTCATCATGTGATCGGGTACGGTAATAGGTAATATTAGCCCAGTTTGGTCGATAGTAATTACTATACGCAAAGAAGCGCGGTACTATACGCAACCCTACCCTGATAGTCCATATGTCTTCGGAGCCTGCCTGTATTGTCATTTTTGATCCTTTCTGGATATGGGCCGAACGGAACCAGCCTTGGTCACACAAGCATTAAGCTAAACCATGGAAAACAGCAGCACCTCAGTGACCTGTATTATCTACTGTACGTTCCTTCAGATATTGGGTCTAGACCAAAGGATCAGTAATTTTGCACGTTCTTCTGTCGACAATTATGGTAATATTGATTAATATTCAGCACCTTTCTCGGTCAGATGTTGTTGATGATCTGTTGGAAGCGATTGCTTTTCTATTGAATGGGTGGCCGGGTGGCCGCTATTACTAAAAGTTAGCTTACATAAATGATGACTAAGCGAGGTCGAAACCGGGGGCAGGAGCCCATGCTTGGCAATATGCTCTAACATGATCCAACATCATCGGATCGCGTATATTTCCTATATTAGTTAGTTTGCATTCTTCATTTGTTTACCTCGCCTTTATAAAAGCGAGATGTTTTGGCAGTTTAGTTGAATCAGAGACCTAATTCAATGAAGGATCGATACTTGCGAATACGCGTAATTTTATGGTTGACACCTTCTTAATCCTTAAATTTTACAGTAATACAACAGTCAACAATAATTCCGTGTATTGACAATATAGCTTCTAAGCTGTTCTATATTACTTACCACTGCCTGGGCAACTGCAGGCACAAGCTGGCTATTTGGCCAGGAGGTTGTTAGCTGTAAGAATCGAGCACTCCTTGGTACTTAAACTAACCACGGTACAAGTGCTAGCTCTCTAAACTGTCTTGGATAGAATACGTGTTATTATTATGACTTGATGATCCAGCCCAACCCTGGTCTGAAGGAACTTATGGAAACCAATGCCCGCAGCGTATCATTCCTGATGGTCTACAGATAGTGGAATAAGCATCTTATTTTTTGTTTTTGTAGAAAAGTAAAAAGAAATGAAAACAAAACAAATGCCGGTGGCTGGTGAATGGAAAAATAATTTTCCGCCACCAGGCTGTCTTCGCCAAGTATAATTACGGAATTATCTGATGGCGTAGAGCTGCGTAGAGCACCACTCAAGAAGGTAGACGGTTAGTGGGGGCTGGTTTGTGGACAGGGATATGTATTGTGTCTAATAACTCTGTTGACGGTAAAGCATAGAAGCTCGCGAAAGCATAGAAGCTCGCGAGACCTTAGACCGGGAATCTTAAACCTGTAGATATAAGATATCGACATGCTTGTCGGATGGCTTGGACCCCGAAAAGATATGGAGGGCTTAGAAACTAGTGCACCCAGTGATTCAAACCAGAGACAGGCTTTCTGGCGTGCAAAATGCCGGGTGCGTCTCTCTGCCCACATTGGTATGGTCCCCTTGCCTTGATCTTCTTTGTGGATGTGTACAAATAGAACTATAGAGGAGGCTTTAGGGTTACGAATAAAACCGGACGATGTCCGGCTGAAACCAGATGAAGAAACGCGATATGAGTGGCAAATCGAGGATCCTACATTGTTGCCATTTTCTCATAAACAACTGAGCAACCACTCCGTTGGGGCATACATGGCACTCTACTATGGAGTAGGTAAGTCATTTCGCGCTGTTGAACATGACAGGTCACCCAAGGTCAGTGAACATATTTTCCCATCTGTATCCTCGAGCTGACCATTCAGCCAGAGACCCTTAGACCTCCCTCTCCAAGACCGGATGTATGCACTAGAGGTTAAGAACAAGAATACAACCGAGGAATTAAAAGTGACAAAAGAACAGCTTGGAGCGCTGGAGAAGGAAATCACGTTCTTGGAGAAGGAGAACACATCCCTGGAGAGTGAAAAAGCAGCCCTGGAGAAGGAAAACACAGCCCTGAAAGAGAGCGTACGGGAATATGAAGAGTGCATAGCCAAGTAAAAGACGGAGTTGGAAGATAAAATCGGTACTTAGCAGGCGGCGCACAAATGGATGTCCATGGCTGCCTGCTTCCAAGCTCAATGCTCTACCGAGCTTAACCAAGCCATATCCTTTCTCGAAAGCCTCAAGACAGACATTTCACCGGATTGCGTGCCAAAGACCTCAATGTGATGACAGTTCGTTCTTTTTTCTTTTCTCTTTTACAGATCTTTGCAAAACTAGCTTCCCCTCCAAACTCCTATATATTGATTTCAACTGTGGGGTCCGCGAGATGAGCTGCTCCTAGAACCAATCAAGATGGGATTCCCGCATTAGCCAATGGAATGGCTGTAATACGCTGTAATATACTTCATGAAGAATTGTGGAATCTTTCGCATGTAATTTTCAAACATTATTAAAACAGACAGTACTTACTGAAGGATGTATCTGATTTATGAAGATTGTCAGATGGTAAGCATTGTTCAAGATCATTATAAAAGATGTTGATATCAAAAGCTTGAAGAGACTCTGAGCCTCTTTGTGGGCGGTTCATCAACGTGCAATTGATGGTCCAACAGCATCTGCACAATCTGGTCATGTCCTCCATAAGAAGCAACCTGCAGGGCATTTCCATAATTTCCACCCTGGGCGTTGGCATCAGCTCCTGTGTCCAACAGTATCTGCACAATCTGGTCATGTCCTTCATAAGAAGCAGCCTGCAGGGCATTTCCATAGAATCCACCGTGGGCATTGACATCGGCTCCTTTGTCCAACAGCATCTGCACAATCTGGTTATGTCCTCTAGAAGAAGCAGCCTGCAGGGCATTTCCATAAGTTCTATCCTGGGCGTTGACATCAGCTCCATTGTCTAACAGTATCTGCACAACCTGGATATGTCCTCCAGAAGAAGCAGCCTGCAGGGCATTTCCATACTCTCCACCCTGGGCATTGACATCGGCTCCATTGTCTAACAGTATCTGCACAATCTGGTCATGTCCTCCATAAGAAGCAGCCTGCAGGGCATTTCCATACTCTCCACCCTGGGCATTGACATCGGCTCTATTGTCCAACAGTATCTGCACAATCTGGTTATGTCCTTCATAAGAAGCAGCCTGCAGGGCATTTCCATAGTTTCCACCCTGGGCGTTGACATCGGCTCCTTTGCCCAACAGCATCTGCACAATCTGGTTATATCCTCCAGAAGAAGCAGCCTGCAGGGCATTTCCATAGAATCCACCCTGGGCATTGACATCGGCTCCATTGTCCAACAGTATCTGCACAATCTGGTCATGTCCTTGATAAGAAGCAGCCTGCAGGGCATTTCCATAGAATCCACCCTGGGCATTGACATCGGCTCCATTGTCCAACAGTATCTGCACAATCTGGTCATGTCCTTTATAAGAAGCAGCCTGCAGGGCATTTCCATAGTCTCCACCCTGGGTATTGACATCGGCTCCATTGTCTAACAGTATCTGCACAATCTGGCCATGTCCTTCACAAGAAGCAGCATAGAGGGCATTTTCATAATCTGCACCCTGGGCATTGACATTGGCTCCTTTGTCCAACAGTATCTGCACAATCTGGTCATGTCCTCCAGAAGAAGCAGCATAGAGGGCATTTTCATATTCTCCACCCCTGGGCGTTGATATCGGCTCCTTTGTCTAACAGCATCTGCACAATCTGGCCATGTCCTCCAGAAGAAGCAGCCTGCAGGGCATTTCTATAATACCCACCCTGGGTTTTGACATGGGCTCCTTTGTCTAACAGCATCTGCACAATCTGGTCATGTCCTTTAGAAGAAGCAGCCTGCAGGGCATTTCTATAGAATCCACCCTGGGCGTTGACATCAGCTCCTGTGTCCAACAGTATCTGCACAATCTGGTCATGTCCTTCATAAGAAGCAAGCAGCCTGCAGGGCATTTCCATAATTTCCACCCTGGGCGTTGACATCGGCTCCATTGTCTAACAGCATCTGCACAATCTGGCCATGTCCTTCACAAGAAGCAGCCTGCAGGGCATTTCCATAGAATCCACCCTGGGTATTGACATCGGCTCCTTTGCCCAACAGCATCTGCACAATCTGGTTATATCCTCCAGAAGAAGCAGCATAGAGGGCATTTTTATAATCTGCACCCTGGGCATTGACATCGGCTCCTTTGTCTAACAGCATCTGCACAATCTGGACATGTCCTTTATAAGAAGCAGCCTGCAGGGCATTTCCATACTCTCCACCCTGGGCATTGACATCGGCTCTATTGTCCAACAGTATCTGCACAATCTGGTTATGTCCTTCATAAGAAGCAGCCTGCAGGGCATTTCCATAGTTTCCACCCTGGGCATTGACATCGGCTCCTTTGCCTAACAGCATCTGCACAATCTGGTTATATCCTCCAGAAGAAGCAGCCTGCAGGGCATTTCCATAGTCTCCACCCTGGGCATTGACATCGGCTCCATTGTCCAACAGTATCTGCACAATCTGGTCATGTCCTCCATAAGAAGCAGCCTGCAGGGCATTTCCATAGAATCCACCCTGGGCATTGACATCGGCTCCATTGTCCAACAGTATCTGCACAATCTGGTCATGTCCTTGATAAGAAGCAGCCTGCAGGGCATTTCCATAGAATCCACCCTGGGCATTGACATTGACATCGGCTCCATTGTCCAACAGCATCTGCACGATCTGGTCATGTCCTCCAGAAGAAGCAGCCCGCAGGGCATTTCCATAGAATCCACCCTGGGCATTGACATCAGCTCCATTGTCTAACAGTATCTGCACAACCTGGTCATATCCTATACAAGAAGCAGCCTGCAGGGCATTTCCATAGTTTCCACCCTGGGCGTTGACATCAGCTCCTTTGTCCAACAGCATTTTCACAGTCTCAGAGTAGCCATTCCATGAGGCCCACATTAAAGCAGTAGTCCCACTGCTATCCTTTTTATTTATAATATTCTCCTCTGATGCAATGATCAATTTCAACACATGGGTATGCCCATTAAAAGCTGCCAGATGTACTGCATCCATTATGGGGTCACGCCTACCTGGCATAACAGCTTTCCAAAATATAGGGAACCACATTTCAAATCTCCCTGTGGTGGTGCTGTATACACCGTGTGCCAGATTAACCATTTCTTGCTGTTTTGACGAGGACATCCCTCGAACGTGGTCAGCCCAGTGCTCTGCTGAATATGACAGGAAGCATCGAATATCAGATTCTGTTTGTTCTTGATGATATTCTAGGTCCTCCATTTGCAAGTATCGAATACAGATTTGTGACATTTCACTATCTGCGTCTGGCAATTCGAAGGAGTACTCTGAGATGGTTTTGTTGGCTATGTTTCTCCCAATAAGAAACTCCCTGGCTGTCTGGTGTATAAGATAGATCTTTGAGTTGTTGATAAAAACAAAAAGCCCACAGAGTCGGCGTATTTTGTTACTAAGCCTGGTGGGATCAACCCCAGCTGCTGCGGCAGTTTTCAACTCAGGACTGTCAGCCACACCTAATGCCATGGACATTTCCTCTATTGTCAAAGGACGACGTGCGCCAATAATAATCCGTAGGATCTTCTGCACGATATTTTTTTGACCAGATGGAATCTGATTGAGGATCTTCTCGTACGCGGCGTACACGGATGGGGGTACCAGCACAATTGATTCCTTAGCTGGCCGAAGGCTATTTTGAAAGGTAGTACGGATGTCATCAATGGCCAGGTATAACCACAAATACGTGCGGTGCTGCATCTGGAGAAGCTGATCCTGAACTCGCTGTTCCACATTGGCTGGTAGTCTTGACGTCTCAGCCAACTCTTTTACTTTTACCTTTACAACAAGATCAATCTCCTTATGAATCTGGTCATTCTCCTGCTCTCCTTGAAGACGGATATGCGGAAATAAATCTGTGATAGGTTTAAAATTATTCTGGATGTCATCATAGGGGCGGCTGGTAACAAGAAATTTCAACCAGTTCTGCTGTGTTGGTAAACTGGGTTGGTTATGGAAATCCTTGAGCCTTTGAATAAGTTGGTTCTGGTCCACTGGACGACATTCATCAAGCGCATCAAGCACACAAATAGTCTTTGGAGATGAAGGATCTGATGTCGCTGCTAGAAGAATTCGCCAAAGCTCACCAGTTTCTTGTTGAAGTTTATTCCCATTTTTTTCCCAGGATGGTACTGCATGTCGTAGTAGACCTGGCTGTTGGCTAAAGAGCTGATGTAGTATTGCGCACAGTGCTATAGCAAGACTGTTCTGCTCATCATTATCCTTAAAGAAAAAATAACACATTGATACTGTCGAACTGCCCTCTTGCAAATCATTATCGATAAGTGACTTAGAGAGCACAGATTTCCCACAGCCAGGGTCAGCTGATATCCAGAGAAGGTCACTGCCGCGACTATTCCACCAGCGGAGGTAACATGAATTCTGCAAAGCCCATTGGCATGTTCCTGGTACTCGATTGGGATTAATGTTCTTGTACTGCTCATAGTTTGATATCTTGAATACTTGATGACACTTTTTCTGCTGGTCTGTCAACGCTCGAGCAGTTTGTTCAGTGTGATACCGTTCTTGTTGATTATATGCTCTATCCAATCGTTCATTGGTGCCTTTGACTTTTTTATTTAGATCTTCTAGGGAGCCTATAGAGTGCCATATAAGCAGATCATGTCTTGAATATGAGGCTAATTTGAGTATCACTTACGACAAACATCTGTAGCTAGGCTTTCTTGCGACACTTGGCCTTTCGGTACATAACCCAGGAGTTCTTTAGTGTATGATGCCGCTGCTAAGGCCGCATAGCCTTGCCATTGCTTATTTTTGTGCGAATCAGAATAATCGCAAATACCGCGGATCACAATACAGGGGAAATCCAACATCAATCCTGCCGCCTCCATCTCAAAACACAGTGCCCCAGTTTGCGTGCGGAGCTGTTCCCTTGTCCATCCGTGTTTGATGACGGAATTCCCAGACGCAATAATACCGTAGTGGGGCTGTGGTTCATTGTCCTCGCGCTCATTTCTGTTCTCCTCCCATTCTCTCAGACATCCATCACAGTTGTCTGCAGCAATCGGATGGTCGTGCTTGATCTGAAATAACCGGTCGCTCTGCTGATCAGGTCTGGCAAAGGCTTTCTGGGTTCTTCGGGTTCTCAGAATCGCACGACGGAGATATTCCGGATAGTGGGGATCATCAGTAAGCTCAGCGGCCCTCATAGCAGTAACGGCCGCTAGCAGCGATCTGGGAGGACTGTTCAGAGATCCAGTTCGAGCAAATTTACCATCAACTTCAACTTTGCCCATATCGTACTGAAGCACACCTCCACAGGCACCTGTTGGACAGCTGATCACGATATCACCAAGCCGTATGTCACAAGTGGTGGATGGAATTCCTCCTCCAATGCCAACCATCAAGCCAATCCGTAGCGACTTTGAGAACGTACGGATCATGTTGTTAGCAACTATAGTAGCTGCAGTATTTCCATATTGCCCTGCAGGCAGGCCGGCGATCACGATATAATGTTTGCCGATTCGGCCCAATGTATAGATATTTGGATCTGTTGTATCTTGTTCATCAAGAAATCCGAAACTTTCATCAAGCATTTCCTTGGCTGCTGCTGCCTCGATGGGAAGGGCGCAGATCCACCCGATTTGAAACTCTTCTCGTGGAGGACAAAGCATTGTAATTGTGGCTTGATCAAGATGGTATAGATTGCCCTGATATTGACAATAATTAAACAAATCTTTGAAAGAAGCTGAAAGAGAGACAAAGGTCTGTTAGCTTTACCTCTACTTCTGGACGGATACCAGAATGATATGAAAGGCTATATTGAGAAGATTATTATCCATTAAAGCTCAGCCTTGTCCTAAGAACACGTCAAGGTGGCTGTGGCCGGGGCGGCAAGAGGCGAAATATCATTGGCAGCAATTTACAACCCTGCTCCTTGTCACTGCCAAAAAGATATTCGGAATATTCTTTATTCCATACTTTCATTAAATATACACCTTATTTAAACTGGTCTCTTCTGGTTTTGTTCTGGTTATACCACGCAGACTCATTCAAAAATGAATATTTCAACAAACCACCGAGAGTAGTGACCTTGAATGGAGTGTTCTTGTAAAGGGCTAGAGCCCGTTTGACCTCTCGGGCTATGAATATGGGATCGGCCCGAAGGATTACCCGAACGATCGGCGAAGTCCTCGCTTATATATGTCTTCCCACAGACGAAATTCCTGTATACTAAGTTCGCTCATCCAATTCAATGGCTTAGTTCACTCTATTCAATGCCAATTCCTCTGACCTACTGTAGATTCACAACACGGGCCATTGTCCCTATTGTCCCCGTTGTCCCTATTGTCCCTATTGTCCCTATTGTCCCTATTGTCCCTACTGTCCCTTTTGGCCCTGTTGGCCCCCGACCCATGTCACGTGACTCCTCACTTTGTTTACCGCTCATTTTCCTCTACCTTTCTTCCTTTCTTCCCTTCTTCAACGATTCCTTCTTGTACATAGCCTATCTTATAGGTTCTATGGGTTCAGCCCTTGATACAATAATGGTGTCTGAGCTCTCATCTTGTATTTTAGAGGTAGATTTCCAACGTTTCTCTATATCTTTTAATTTTTTCACGAGTAGTGACGTTTGACATCCGGTACGTATATTAGACCATCCATTTTGACTGTGCGACGTGATACGGTGGTAGAATTAGAAGGTCTTTTTCTTGACTCTAAAGCTTCATCTAACGCAACCGACGTCATTGCATTTTGTTCTGCCTGAGTCAATGCACCACGAAAGATTCGATCAATTGTAGGAGATAGCTCTGTTTTTGACCTCCGAACAACCATAATCTCCTGCCTAATCGAGCGAAGAGTTGTAGGTGTTTTAATCCCTTTATCTAATAGTGGCGAAGGTGTTCTTTGCACTGTGGTAGTGGTGGTGGTGGTAGTGGCGGTAGTAGTGGTAATAGTGCAATTTGACGCAGAGATATCTTCAAAATTCTCAATTATATGACCATTATCATATATTTTTAAAGGCTCTTCTTCATCCACCGTCCTACCAGCAATTTTTGCAAGATAAGAGAAGGATTCCATGGCCGGATTCCTACCTCCCGCCAACCTGCTCGAATTGTACGCTCGGTAAGCACTCGCTTGCGGATCTTGTCAATATCATACAAAAACTCCAATTTATCATATTTTTTACCACGGAAACGAGAGACAGAGTTGACTGCAAGACCGTGAGCTAATTTAAGCTGCTGAAAAGGGACGGAATCAAGCGGCTGAAGTCGGTGAGTTAGGTGAGGTGGGAATGATTATCCATTAAAAGGAGCCGATACCGGCCTCGTTGACGTTGGGCAGAGAAATAATTAAAATGATGAAGCCAACTAAATGCAATTGCATCATATATAGCCTTTTTTCAGATTTTTCTATGATATAATCATCTGGTAGGTCTGAAAGAGTATACCAATCCTGCAGGTGGACCTTGCCTGGTATAATTAACACTGGTGGAATCCTCTCACCAGTAGAATTAACACATTCAACTGATGTCACAGTTGTACGGGTTGAAGCGCTTGCAATGTTATTATTTCTTGTAGGATATTGAGTCACACTCGACTCAACACGACCTTAACGATTCGGAAGCCAGTTTCATCAAAATTCCAGATATCTTCGTCAAGAAGTGTTACGGAAACACTATAATCCGCCTGACTTGGCGGTGCGGAGTATCTGACGATCGATTTAACCCGTGAATCCTTTAGTTAGTTGAACACCTCAATGAGAATATAGGGGCTTAGTAGGCTCAGTTGGTTGAGATACTGTGATTCCTGGTGTTTCCACTGAATGTCATCTACTTCCTAATTAGGCTAGTTGGCCTGTAGCTGATAGAATAGCTCCCTGCGCATCACTTCCCTGAGTTCCACAACACAATACATTAGGTAGCCAGCGTTGAATACCATCCAATTTCATCCTTCGATGCATTCCTCCATTCCGTCCTCTCTCTAAGCTATCCGAATCATCGTACAAGATGGATAATTTCTATAACGCGAAAACGGCTATAACTCCGTTGGCATAATCGTCTGAACAGCTGTTTCAAGCACTGCCGCCACTGGGCCTCTTCGCGTTAACATTGGCCCATTTGTTGCACAAACTGAAGGGGACAGTGAGGCCGCAGGCCGCGATAGTAAGTACGAAAACAACCTTGATACCCCATGCGTACGCACGGACAACACCATCCAGCTCGGCTCCGGAAAATAGCCGGTGCACATCAGTGGCACCGGTACCCGTGACTAGGGCGGGATTGACGCTCGGTGCGGTGTTGGCAAGCTTGTGCACGATCTGGTTGACGAAGCCGGATTGCGCGGCTGCCAGCAAAAGTGTGCCGCCGACAGATCGAGCGACTGTGCACGAGGGATATAGTTAGCTTGGGGATACAAGGGACAAAGAAAATTGACGACATCCAAGGACAGGGCGAAGGAGAACTTACATATAATAATCGCGGTCGTAGGAGCTATGTCGCTTGGCGCAGCAAAAGCCTGCGCAACGACGACCGGGACTTGGAGGGCGAGGCCGTATCCGAAGCCCGCCAAGATCTGATACCCAACCCATTTGCCTGTCGAGGTCCCAATATCAAGAGTATACAGTAGACCAGAGGCGATGGTCACGATCACAGAGGCAGCTACCATATAAGGAGTTGCAATACCCGTCTTCGTGATGGCTCTGCCTGAGCCATATGTGGCAATGCCAAACATGATGATGAGAGGAATGTTGCGCACACCCGAGCCAATCGGACTGACATTGTCGATGCTTTGGAAATAAATAGGCAGATAATAGAGCGTGACGAAATACGCGCCAGCGAAGAAGAAGCCCCATACGCTGCTGACCCAGACGGTCCTTTTGCGCATAATGCGTGGTGTCAGCATGGCGCGTTCACCTTGCCATATTTCTGCAATTATAAGTGCAATAACTATGACAACGAAGCCGACGAGTAAACCGATAACGACGCGGGAATCCCACGCATGGGTTACACCACCGTACTGAAGAGCTAGAAGTAAGCAGGTCAGTGCACCCATTGTAAGCACCGTCGCTATCGGGTCCATATGTAGAAGCTTCTCCTTGAGCGTAGCCTGGGCCACTTTAGCGGCTTTAGGGGTCTTGAAGGTGAGCAGGATGACAAAAGCGGCCAGACCACCGATTGGAAGATTGATATAGAAACACCTAAATTTGTCACATCAGGCCAGGTCCGGTCATGGCAGGATTCGATAACTGGAAATAGTCCCATGTTTTGCAACAAAGACAAAGCTGTAAAATTTTCTTGACTCACCACCTCCAGGATGCCCCTTTAGTAAGCCCTCCACCAATGAGTGGTCCGCAGACAGCGGCGACGCCATATGACACACCAATGACCCCCGTGTAGGTAGCTCTTTTGGTAGGCTCAGCAGCAAAGGCAGAAATTGTGTATACTCCAGGCGCGATACCCGAGGCACCGAGACCGGAGATGGCACGTCCAACAATCAGAGTTATTGAGTTTGGGGCGACTGCGGCGATCAAACTCCCAAGTTCAAAGATGAAGATTGCCACCAGGAAACTAGTTTTGAGGGGAAAGTATTTATACACTTTGCCCCAGGTTGACTGGAAGGCTCCGAGCGTCATGAAATAAGCCGAACCGTACCACGAGATATCGTCAAGGCTGTGGAATTGGTCGGTGATTTTTGGAGTAGCGGTTGCAACAATGGTCTGAATCGAGAGCATCAGCTTACTGGCGTGTGATGTATTGCATTGGCAAAAGACGACTCTACGAGAAGCTTGGAGCGGTAGAACTCACCTGATCCAGAGAACAGAGGGTGATACTGAGCACGAGCGCAGCGATGATGAACAAGACTTCGATACCTTTCGGATATTCCATAACAGGTTCTGGTGGCTCACCCACAGCTTTTTCTTTAGTAGCAGGACCATCGTCTACACCATTCACAGACGAGGATGCCATAGTGGACGATGTGTTAGACTCGACGGTCTGCTTTTCCTTTTCAGGCTCGACCTGATGTGTTTTCTCTTCGATCGCTTCGAGGTTACCGTTGCCATTGCCGTCCTCTGGCAAGGGAGGTGGAAGTGTTGATGGAGACATGTGTGTTTGTCGTATGGCTATGGCTCAATTGCTTCGGCTTGATATGAGACTCCGTGCGCTTTAGTGACGCTTTAAGGTTAAAGTAACTAAGCTTGTATAAATAGGGCTGTTAGAATTTACGGAGATAATAGGTATCAGACCCTTATTAGCGAGGGTCCAGCAATTTTGGTAACAAAATTATAGGGGCTGGTAAGTATGGTACATGCCCAAATACCAATTGATTGTAGCTTTTGGGGCTCGCCTACCACCGTTAATTCCGCTAATTCCGTTAATTCTATTAATTCCGTTATTTCGCTCATCCGAATAGTGGATAGTGGCTCGGGACCTCCCGAGAGGGAGACTTTTGATACATAAAAGTACTTAGGATTCTACGGAGTATACAGTCAGTGTGGGATGGTGCCCATGTATGGCCGTATGCTCCAACATTAAGTGACAGTCACACGGCTTCGGACAAGCTTCAGCGGCCGTGGCTCTCGACAAGCTCGTACAATCACTACTACGCGATTAAATCAATCGCATGAGGATGCCTTAGTTCAGTGGATTCGAAAGCTTGATTCAGTTAATCTTTCTCCCACTGCAAGCACAATTACTCGATGTGCGAATGAGATAATCACCCGAAAAACGAAGCCAAATCAACTCCCACCACCATCGGTTGATAAAACATGGGCTATCGCTTTATACAACGTCTCCCTCCTGAGTTAACGCTTGTTAAACAAATGCTAATCGAGTGCAAGCGAATCGAGGCCAAGGATATCGGAATTCTCTCTATTTGGTTTGATAAACTTCAGCCATTTATTGAGAGAATGCCCGCAAAGAATATCTATAATTTTGACAAAACTGGCCTTCAGATCAGTCAAGGGAAAGCCTCGGAGGTCATTACCAGCACAGCATCTCTTAAAAAAGTATCAAACATAGTTACAGGTGACACCGGGCAAACTATTACCACTATTGAGTGTATCTAAGCGACCGGCGAAGTACTTCCCTGTTCATTAGGTAACGAACCATCTCTCTATTCACTTCCTGAGGAAGCGAGATGAGAATCTGGCATCTGGATGATCAGGCCCTAATACTATTTGTTGCAGAGCTCGATACATTTTTCTATGAAAATTAAGACATCTTCTATGTTTCCCTGGGATTACAAAGTATAGACCAGGCTGGCCATGCTAGTCAAAGTGTCAGGATGCTCCCGGCCCCAGCACCTGTATCAGGGTCCCCATCGCCTGTGCTTCGAGCTCTTCTGCTTCCTTACAACTTTCCCTGGGATTCCCAAGTATAGACCAGATTGACCATGCTAGTCAGAGTGTCAGGATGTTCCGGCCCCAGCACTTGTTTCCGGGCCTCCATTACTTGCACCCCCAGTTCTTCTGCTTCGTTCCATCGTCCTTGGTTATGGTATGTTAATGCCAGATTGGTCATGCTCGTCAAAGTGTCAGGATGCTGCGGCCCCAGCACCTGTTTCTGGATCCCGATTACCTGCACCCCCAGCTCTTCTGCTTCTTTCCATCGTCCTTGGTTATAGTATATTAATGCGAGGTTGGCCATGCTAGTTAGAGTAGAGGGATGCTCTGGCCCAAGCACCTGTTTCTGGGTTATAATCCCTTGGATCCCTAGCTCTTCTGCTTCGCTCCATCGTTCTTGGTTCTGGTATATTAATGCAAGGTTGGCCATGCTAGTTAGAGTATCTGGATGCTCTGGTCCTAGTATCTGTTTCCGGCTCTCCATCACCTGCACCCCCAGCTTTTCTGCTTCGTTCCACCTTCCTTGATTCCAGTATGTTGATGCGAGGTTGGCCATACTAGTTAGAGTATCTGGATGCTCTGGCCCTAGTACCTGCTTCCGGCTCTCTGTTACTTGCACCCCCAGCTTTTCTGCTTCGTTCCTCCTTCCTTGATTCCAGTATGTTGATGCGAGGTTGGCCATGCTAGTCAGAGTGTGAGGATGCTCTGGCCCCAGTACCTGCTTCCGGCTCTCCATTACTTGCACCCCCAACTTTTCTGCTTCGTTCCATCGTCCTTGGTTCTGGTATGTTAATGCGAGGTTGGCCATGCTAGTTAGATTGTGAGGATGCTCTGGCCCCAGCACCTGTTTCCGGATCTCCATTACCTGCACTTTTAGTTCTTCTGCTTCATTCCATCGTCCTTGGTTCTGGTATATTGATGCGAGGTTGGCCATGCTAGTTAAAGTGTCAGGATGCTTTGTCCCCAGCACCTGTTTTTGGATTACTATTACTTGCACCCCTAGCTCTTCTGCTTCGTTCCATCGTCCTTGATTCCAGTATGTTAATGCGAGGTTGGCCATACTAGTTAGAGTGTGAGGATGCTCTGGTCCCAGAACCTGTTTCTGGCTCTCTATTACTTGCACCCCCAGCTTTTCTGCTTCGTTCCACAATCCTTGACTCCAGTATGTTGATGCGAGGTTGGCCATGCTAGTTAGAGTAGAGGGATGCTCCGGCCCCAGCACCTGTTTCTGGTTTACCATCACTTGGACCCCTAGCTTTTCTGCCTCGTTCCATCGTCCTTGGTTCTGGTATGTTAATGCGAGGTTGGCCATGCTAGTCAGAGTGTCAGGATGCTCTAGCCCCAGCACCTGTTTGCGGTTCTTCATCACCTGCATATATAGCGGTTCCGCTTCATTGTACCTTCCATCTTGATAGAGACACCTCCCTATCTTCTGGACTAGGTCAATATATTGTCCTTGCTCGCGTCGAAAATTGTCCTCTCCTATCAAAGAAAGGCCATGTGGAATATATTCTCGCCACAGCTGTCGATTGCTATGATTATCATTTGGAAACACTCCACTTAGATGATCTGCAACTTTTAGTACTTGCAAACTAAACTGTCCGTTATTTCTTAACCAGTTCCGAGTTGCAAGATGCACGAGTCGATGAAGACTCAAGTTATTGCCCTTAGCATGCTTGGTAATAAATGAATAGGCATTAAGAAGACCAATTGCCTTTATTCCCTCATTATCAGATACAGGCTGAGGCAGAAGAGACTGTGGAATATCGCGTGGGTTTATACAAGCCATGAATGATAGATAATCAGCAGCCAATCGATTCAAGCGCTGAATCTGTTGGAATGATATCAACCAAGTTGTGGCTATCGGATTATGGACGGCTTCGTACCGACCTTCATCCTCAAACCCTTCACTCAGTAGCTCTATAACGTGTGACTCCTGTTTCTTCAGAAGTTTTATGTACGTTGATATGCAAATTTGGTTCTCATTGATATACGCCGTGGCCTGAGTGATTGCTAGTGGGAGATAGGCGAGCTGTTCAAGGAGGATCACAGAAGCACTGTTTTGATCAGACTGATCACTGTCAACCAGTGAGTTTTCAAGTATCTTCAATCCAGTTTCTTTATCAGGCTCAGAGACCGTTATCACATGAGGAGATGCTAGTTTCACAGCTAACATCCGGTTGCGCGTGGTGAAGAGAATATGGCCTTGCTTACTCTGAGGGAGAAATTTTTTAAGAGCTGGAGTAGTTTGACTATCGTTGATCCACATGTCTATATCATCAGCACTGTCAAAAATCAGAAGCCACTTTCCAGCACTTTCTTGGCTGAGATAAATCCTGACACGCTCTTTCGCCTCTGCCGGCTTCACTTCTTGAATTCCAACTGTCTGTGCGATACTTATATAGGCTTGTTTAACACTCTCGTAGCTAGTACATGGAATCCAGAATATTGAGCAGCTGGAGTCTCTCTCTCGTATGCGGTAAGCTAATTCGAGCGTGATTTGGGTCTTTCCAATTCCACCAAGCCCTGAGATAGCAACTCTGGATGCACCATTTAGTTGTTCGATTAATCCTTCCAATTTGGCAATTTCTTTTTCACGGCCCGCGAATCTCCAGTTCTTCTGAAAGGGGACCATCCAGTGGTGTTGTTCACAATTTTGTTCTGTTACCGCATCACCAGTGTTTTCATGCGCAGGAACCGCCATAAGAAGAGTTCTCGCATAAGCAGCGGCAACAAGAGCTGCGTATGCTTGCCAGTTTTTGTGCTTGTGAGAGTCGCAATAGTCACAGATTCCTCGAATCACCAGGCATGGAAGCTGATCCATAAGCCCCGCAGCTTCCATTTCAAAACAGAGGATGCCCATCTCCTGGGCGATAAAGTCTCGTGTCTTGGCATGCTTTATAACTTGGTTCCCGGAAGCAATCAAGCCATAGTGAATGTGCGGCTCCTCAGTTACTCGAGGCTCACGATATACTAACTGAGTTCGATCACATGTAGAACAATCAGGGTCGCTACTATCATGATTATAGTCTGAGCTGAAGAGCCAGTCTCTATCCGGGCGTGAAAACTGTTCTCTTATCTCTTGGTGCTTCTGAAGTGTATTGGATAAAATTTCTGCCATAGGTCTTTCACCAGTCATGTGATTGCCGCGCATTTGGGATATCACAGTGAGCAGAAATTGAGGGGGTTTGTTAAGTGACCCAGTCCGCTGAAAGCGTCCTTCACGAAGTGTCTTCCCATAGTCATATTGGATGACACCTCCAGAAGTCGCATTTGGCATGCTGACAACCACATCGCCAAGTCGAATGTCAGCGGTTTTGCTGGGCACGCCTCCTCCAACGCCCACCATCAATGCAAATCGAAGACACGGAAATGTTGGCAGCATGTGGGCAAGCACGATCGCGGAAGATGTGGTTCCGTAAACCCCAGAGGGTAGGCAGGCTACAACCACTTTGTGACCGCTAATACTTCCAAGAGTGTAGCTGTTGTGATCGGATTTTTGCTGGGGAAGGGAAGGGTGGACCTCATCCAACATGACCTTCGCGGCGGCCATCTCTAGCGACAAGGCACAGATCCAAGCGATCGTGTAGTCGGCGTGTTTAAGGGCCATTTTTGCCTTTCATAGATAAAATAATATTAGCGATATTCGGTCAATTGCCATGATTTCGAGCAATGCAAATTAAAAGCGTAAGATTTCCTGGACTGGTGAGGCTGAAAAATAGAGGGGTAAGTTAGCTACTTGTGCAAGGGTGCCTGTCACACTTGGAACCAATTATTATTTCAAAAATACATATGAAATTGCCAAAAAAAAAAAAAAAAAAAAAAAGAATATATATAAAATTTACACGAATGCTGTAAGTTATCTAACAGGATACATAACCTATCATGTTGATAGATTGCCAGATCTCCACGTTCCATCGAATGGGCCAGAAATATCTTGCCCCAAATACTTGTATTGTAAGTAAAATTTGGAATAGTATGGAATCAGACAGTATGTAAAGTAACCTGAAAATAATCTGGACGCCCTGAAACGAACGTAGTGAGCGGAAGGGGAAAAAATATCAACGAGCCTGCGAGGCCGTAATTACGCAAAACAGAGTGTTATTTCTACGGAGAGATGAAATGCCACGCCCTCCTTGTTCGCTGATATACTTTCCTTTTGCGCTCTAGCGTATCTTGGCGTAGTGTTTACGCATGAGAATATTTCTTCTTATCTATATTTATTATACGGAGTACTCCACTTTCCTTAACACGACGGCCTTATGAATACTTTGTGTCGACCAAAGTGGGCCAATATTATCCATTATTCAGCATCCGCTCGGTCCGACTTTATTCCTTTGTTTTCACCTTTTTTATGCTGTTCTCCCAGATAGATTGAGATAGTTAGAGACCTTAGAGACCTCATTCTTCAATCCATCTTGTGATTATATGATCGGTGATACTAGCTCATACGCGTATTTAGCTGACCGACACTTAGCTTCCAATGTGCTAGTCATGCAATAATCTCTTATGTATGGATAGACACTACTGTCGGTGTGCTTATTTTTGTGATCTGTCAATTTCTATAACCCCTCGCCTATGCATACACCTACAGAACACTCTTTGCAAGATGCTGTCTTTTCTCCCCGCTATGTGGTCCACCTCTTTACATACCTACGTTGTTCGGTACCTGGGCTTTAAACTTGATTAGTAATAATTATTATTAACCTCTGGCTATACCAATATATCTTGTTCTTGTTTGAATCTTACAGTATTTATCTTTAAATCAGTAAATTACCCTTGTAGCGACAGCCTTGCAGGTGCACGTGACGGACAACCCCTCTATTTTGCATACAAGCCATGATTATCAGAGAGCATACTCCGTAGATGAGGACGAAACTTCAACGGCCGACAATAAAGCCATTTTTCCGACTTCCGGCAAATGCATGGCTTGCATGCACCATATGGAGGAAATACAGCTAGAATCTTGCCAATACAAGACCTATGCTGACTATATAGAAGATCAATATGAGGATAACTACCACCGCTACTCCTGGCTTGTGAACTTTCTGCGGAAAGGCCACCCCAGCTCACCAAACTCAGCATTGTCGTTCCCAGTTCGAATATTCTTGCTGGATAGTAGCAATGAATGCTTGACAAGTAGAAAGTTTTCTATTAAGAGAGACAGTTTGTTGGACCCTCTTTTTGTTAATACTTTGAAGGAAGCCCAGTGCAATCGCCAAACAAGGCTGATTTTGGTCCAATACCGCCATTTTGAAAACATCAACCCATCCTTTATTGATACGTTGGGCCTCTGGTGCGGCCTTGATCCGGCATTCTTCTCTGTCCATTTTGAGTGCGATTTCGATCGAATCGGTCAGATCACACACTGTCCGACCCGCTCCCTTCCATCTGAGAAGAGGTGCCTGCAAATTATAACAGACGAGTGGAGCTTTATGACCGCAACGTGGAAAATATCAAAGAATGAGCATACTCGTAAGTTTCTACTATATCTAATATTGCAAAAAATTGGTCTGCAATTTTATTAACTGTTTTGGGTTCTGTATTTTGGGGGCGTTTTGTATAGTTGTCGTTCTTGAGCGAGATGATCATCTTGGGTCGGCGGATCATATCCCCGCATTACATGATAAACTCACAAAACACATTTCCCCAGATGAGATTGCACGGCTGAACCGGTATCCAGCGGATTACCTATTTCCCTATGTTCGGGAGGCAGCACGGCGCGCAGCTTCTGTCTCTGCTCAGTTCACGCCTTTCCGAGCGGGCATAGAATCCAATCATGATCAAAATCTGGGTGTCAAATGGGATATAATTCAAAGAAATCAACAAGCGATGGTATCATCACTCAACAGCCTTTCAAAGTTTCTTGCCTGTCCTGAGATTAATGCCGGCAGCGATGCATTAAATCTCAGCTCGCTTCTATTTGATTACCGCGAACTTATTCAAGAAACCAATAGGATTTCTGCCGACATCCAAATGCTGCTCCAGCAGCAGGCGAATCTGGCAAGCATACAGCAAGCAAGAAGGGGATTAGAGCAGACAGACTCAGTTCGCAGGTAGGTTATCACTATTTTTTCGAAATCGTGTCATAAGTACGAGCCAACTATAAAATAGACTCTCTGTTGTGGCATTTGTATTTATTCCACTAAGCTTCACGACATCCTTTTTTGGTATGAATCTCAAGGAGCTTGAAACAGGAACGCTAAGCATTGGCTACTTCTTCCTCCTCGCCATCCTTTCGGGGGCTTTATGTGTTTTACTTGGAGTAAGCCTGGAGCCCCTGGAAAATACGTGGACCCAGATTAGAAATGGATTTGTCCAAAAGCAGCCAAGGGTGGCGGTTAACCCTGTATTTTGGAGACGCTCCAGGCGTTGAGGTATCTGTATATATTCCATTCTAGCGAGCTTCTATTTACTATATCACTTGTATGCAATCTCTCCGTACAGTATGAGACAAGGGTCTCTATTTGATTGCATTTTCTTAAATAAAAAAAATAACCGACCTTCAGCACAAATGTTTCATCACTGCTGAGCACTATTTATTTCATTTCAATGGGAAGTTGTTTCAGGGCTGAGGCGTGCAAAGCGCGCTTCTTCCAGTTAATGTTGTTCCTCATTTAGTCCATATAAGCACTGGCGTGTCTTGACATTTATTGAAACGAAAGCAAAGAGCATTTGGGTAGTCGGACTGATTCAGCGGCTACTTGTTCTAATAACCTTAAACTGTGGCGCGAACCGTGTGGCTGTTAATATATCTGCTATATTACTACAAACAGGAAGCTATTTCCCCCGTAAGAATTCGTGATGTTCGTCCAGCCGGAAGCTATGCCGGTCTAATGGGATGGACATGAAAATGCCAGCGAGTGTTATAAATGAGCTGGTCACGGCAACTGTCACAATTGCTCTCACTGACCATGTCCTATTGCGGGCCGCGTAGACGTTGAGCAGGGCACTTACCAGGTTTGTAGAGGGGAGAATAAGCACCTGTCTACAAATTACAATCCAATGCGTTTAGACAAACTCAGGGCCAAGCCACTTATAAGAAAACATGTTGTACCAGCAACAAAAAGTTGAACCGCCATCGCCAGCAGAGCCAGACGCATCCCACAGCCCCTAGTGTGCAAGACATAGTTGCCAAGTCAAGGAGAGGCGGATTCTGAATGGCATGGATACCACCGGGCCGGCGTGAATATGGGCTGCTATTTCTTTAGCTTCGACAGAATCGCGCAAAGAGTCAAAAGTTCCGGGAAAGATTAGATATCCTGCTAACTGATGCCATATGTCAGTTGATGTAACCATGTTGTTAAAGAGAGGTATTTCTGCTTGGAGCACCTTGTCCGCATACCGACTTTACACGGCCAGGTTTGTCAGGTTTTGGGGCTTGTTGAGCGTCCCGATCCAATGCCGCCAGAGTGCATGTCGTCCATGTTAGCTAGGTACTGATCTGCGGCTCTGGCCAGTGGATGTATGCCAATAGAGGTGAGTGCGCAAGCTCACGGGCTCAAAGAGATTAACAGACTTTAAGGGAAGTGGTCAGCCTGGTATCGTAGAATAGCAGGAGCCAATGTCACCATAACTTTTAACTGCAGTCCAGTCAGACGCGGGCCTTGCTTCTGGTCTTTTTCGCGAGAGTATGCTTCGATGTATGAGCAGTAGACGGACATTATAGGGAAATTCTTATGCATGCCAATTCTAACTCAGTCACTCTAGCTTACACAGCATTATTAATCCCAAGTAGTACTGTTTATCTTGCAAGGTAGTTCTAGAAACGTTTTCCAGATTCAAGTAACGGAATCTATGTTTTTGCATTCCCTCGATCCAATAATCATATAGTCAACATTCAATCCATTGGATATACCACAGCAGTCGGTCATAGTACTGGCCGCTGGATGAGGGCCATTCCGAGACTGAAGCTGATTGTTTAATCTCAATAGTTCTCACTTATTTCCATTGTATCATGACTTTTCTTCCACATTGGCCGACGCGAAACCTCCATATGTAAAGACATTACTAGTTCTGCTTTTCGGAATGGGAGAGGTTAGATCTGCGCATTGTACAACTTGACGGTCCAGTGATTCAAATAAATTGCAGTCCATTGACTCGAACACAGCGCTTCGAGCACCATAGCACACAGTCACCCAGACTCCCACCCCGAGCTGACCTAGTTCGTGGCATTTTTTAAAACCGGTCTCGCAACGCCGTGAAACATTGTGTACACCCAGAATGGTACTCATCTTTGGCAGATGACGGAATACAACTTTAATAGTTATGATTAAGAGCTTGTAATTTTAAATTCATTTATATATGAATCTAATTTCTTCTAGTTATTACTAAATATAATTCTCCAGATCTTGGTAGCACAGATAGTCCTCAACCGCTGGTAGAGGCTATCTACTGAGAGGTTCCGCTCTCACACAACATGGTTCATCCCCTTTGGTCCACAGCAAGTAAAGCTACTAAGGTCTGATTGAGATATCTCGGTCAGCAGCACTAAATATACTAAACAAGTACAATAGAGAGAGATTATCTCAAACTTGTCATTCCCCTAGGGAAGTAAAAGAGCCAATCTGATGCACTTTTCCAACTGTGGGCTAGGGGTTATCTTGCAAGATGAATGTATCCAATAAGTATGTAAATATCTTTTAACCCATAGTAATTAACGAATACACTACTACGAAAGCATATACCACTACTTTAATTAGTTCCTTGGAATTTATAAGGGAATAATGAAAATACCAAACAAACCAATAAATAGTAATAAAATGCTAACGAACTCATCGCTATCCTTCTCCCCTTGAGTTTTTTAGTAATTAATGCTTACAAGTCAACAGCATTTCTAAAATTATCCGCGGCCCAAAATGTAGTTAGTAGTTACCCGTGGATAAGCTTACCAATATTATAGCCAATGATTCGACCAACAAGTGGGTACATCGTATTCGCCGGAAAGATGCTGCCTTCTCTCCTTGGCTTGACTTTTTCTACGACTCCACAATTCTTTTCTATTGTCATACCCTAGGAAATCCGATCCTTTCATTCTGCTCGGCAACTTTATGCTAACCTGGACCTTGTCTGATCTCTATGGAGTGGCCACACGATGACGCCTCCCAGAGCGCGGAAAACCGTGCTGGTTCCCAGAATGCCTTGTCTTCAGATGAGCAGGCTTCTCCCATCTATCCCTCACTTTTGATAAAATCCCTGCGGGCCAAGAGACCTCATAAGAAATCTCGACGTGGCTGTCTCAACTGCAAAGCTCGCAGAGTCAAGGTACCACGATTCTTAGTACATCTCATGGTGCAAAATAGCACAAGACTAAATACCCAGCAGTGTCAAGAGACCAAACCCGCTTGTGCAAACTGTAGCACCAGAGACCTGGAGTGCATATATGTAGAAAGACTAGAATCACGACAGAGGAAGGGTCAAAATGATCCTCAAGAGGATCTGATATCCCCAGCCCTATCTTCCAGACACCTGTCGGTGAATCGGTTCTCAGGAAATGACCTCCGATTCTTCCATCACTACTTACTTATCGCGCATCCGCATCTCCCATTTGGGAGTGAAGGGACCTGGATGACGCAGGTTCCTACGTATGCTCACGAGGTTCGCTCCTAGAGACGAGATATTACATTTTCCCCCAAGATTCGTATTAACCAAGCCCAGTATCCCCATCTCATGCACGCCATCCTCTCCCTCGGCGCAACTCATTACGCACTAATCAGTCCCAACGGAGCCCAGTATACGCCCATGGCCGTCACACATCGCGGAAAAGCTCTCCAATTGCTCAACACAGCGATGTCAAGAGGCGACGACTGCTCTAAAGCCGACTTAGACAGCATCCTGGCCACCTGCTACGCCCTTGTTTTCCAGGCCTTCTACATGAGCGATGGTCTTGTCGATTTCACCGTCATGGTCCGCGGATGCGCCATGGTCACGGACCGAATTCGTGAACGATTCCAGCGAAGTGGTATATTCGCTCTCCGGTCGCAAGAAGAGGTCACTGCCATGGTTGGAAATTGGCTGCCCACCGAGCTATCTCTTAACCAGGAGAATCTCGTAGCTTCGATCCAGGCACTAGACGAGCTCGTACCTTTCCTTCAGTGCAATATGCATTATAAATTCTACCACGCTATCCGGGGTGCTTATGCTGCTCTGCAGATATCCCCGCAGCATGCGTTCGCTGCGTTGACGGAAGTCTACGCTGTCTGGTATACCATGGGAAATCACGATTTTATGACGTTTATTGCCCAGGGGAATCATGTCACCTGGGGGTTGTTTCTGCATTATATCACCGTAGAGGTTCTCATGCACCCGTTTCTGAAGAAGGCGTGTGGTCCGCGAGATTGCGTTATCTCGTTTGATGTCGTGCGATTACACCAGTGGGCGGATACTCTGTATCGTAACTTGCCCACCCCAATACGACGGTTGGTGAAGAGACAGGCGGAATTCATTGCACTGGATCGGGATGCAATGCGTCGGGAGATGGATGTGTCTGATTTAGTATAATATGAATGTACGGAATGCAGTTATAAAATGAATTAATGACTGACATAATACTCATAAACTATCACTGGCTAATATCCTTGACACCATCCAAATACTCCATCTACCTAGGTATAATTCTACAGTCCGATATTTGTCTCCAAATCCGCTGCACTCGTCTGTAACCACCGTCCAGGATGATACCATCCCAGAACAGTTATCGCCGCCAGCATGGGCACTGCCTCGAGCACATACAGCGGCCACTCGTGATTAAATGGATATCCATCAATGCCCAGAGCGAATTCTATGACGCGATAAACCGAGCGCACCTAGCCAATAAGTGAGTAACAACCACAACAAACAAATAATAATTCAACCAGTCAAGAATGAAAGGAGAACTCACCATAATAAAAAACCCAGCAATATAAACCCCCAAAATCACCTTATCTACTCCACTTTCTAATCTCTTCTCCCTAACATGAAACACCACTACAATTATCAAAAACACCACGAACGTAGCCACCTGCAACGTCAACCCCCCAATCAACACTCCCGTACCTACATCTTTCTGATCCCCTTTCCAGTCTCCTGCGGATGCAATCCCACTGCCCGATCCTTGCGTTAAACAACTAATAATGTCCAAAGTCACAAATATCCACGGGAGCCATTTTACGCGCACCACGCCAAGAACAGTCTTCGATCCCGTCTTCTCATATCCGGATCCAGATCCAAATCCAGACTCGATCAATCGACGCAGAAGAACATATAAACTCGCGCAGATAAATACCGGCGCAATCACGATCAACGTCGACGACGTCGCGTAGAGCCCTACACTGTCTGGTTGTTTCACGCTCGCGCATCGGGTCGCATACCCAGCTACTTCGAGCCCCGCGCCGATGAGAATCGGAATGAAGTATCCTGCGCGGTTGTAGGTTGATTTTCGAGGGGCGAGAATCGTTGTGTAGAGATGGTAGCCGGTGGGGAAGAGGTAGAGAATTGTGAAGAGGATGGAGGCGCCTAGGGAGGGGTTGTAGAAGTAGATGCTTTTTCCCATTGTATATATCTGTATTTAGATTGATTGAATGAAGGGTGTTGTTGAAGGGGAATTGAAGTTGATTGACGTATAGAAGTCATCTTGACTCTTATATACTCCTGGGTCTACTCTACGTGATGCCTTGAGGTTGATGTAGATATCCTCAATCGTGTTCGTTCTCGCACTCGGTCGTTAACTCGTTTGCAAATGCGATAGATGTGGACAAGAAATACGAGTTTCGGGATCCCTGCCGCAGATATGATTGGTGGTCGTGGAGTCAGACCCACCGCTGTTCTTGGCATGTTCCAGTTTAGGACACATAGGGCCTGAGGTATCCACAAGGTATCCCATTAGGATCATATAGGGTCTATAATAAACATCCAAAAGAATATCACATCGCTAAGATTTAAACAAGCTTTTGTTCATCATCTTCTCACCAAACTCAGAGAACACCTACTTCCTCTTCCTGTCATCTCCCTCGGCCTTTACAAATGCCACCCGCAGCTCCTTCCCCCCCTCCCACAACACCCACAGCGGAACAAACACCCACAATGTGTTGAAAAAGAAGAGATAAAACCACAGATACACCGGATTATCCGTCGCCAGCTGCGAACTGGCGGTAAGCCACTCCGGCGCAAATGTCATGAACCCACCGTACAACTCGGCGGTGGCGAGTGCCGGCGCAATCAGCCACAATTTCGCCTTAGCGGATCCTCGAACTGGTGCGCCGGACTGACTCCGCGAACAACTCCACAGAAGATAACAGATGTAGACTGCCGCCGGTCCCCCCAGACACACTGTTAGGATCTCCAACGAGATCACGTTCGGGTCCGCGGTCGCCCAGCGGAAATCTGCCTTGGCATATTCCTGCCACAAACGCGCACTGGGCCCGACCCCGTATGCCGCGCCGTAGACTCGGTCCTTGTGCCCGAGGAAGAAGGGCTCCCGGGTGAATCCCACAGGGATGGTCGTGTAGCTGGTGAAGCATTCGTAGAGGAATGATCCCTCGATGAAGAGATGGGTCAGAGCGTCGTACGCGTGCCAGAAGAACAGGATCCGGTTGCGCATGTGTGTCGACGGGATCAGTGTGCGTCCGAGAATGTAGGCAAGAGGCATGAACGACATGGCGAAGCCGATGCAGAGACAGGTCGCCATGTCAAGGGTAAAGCGCGCGGCGGTCGACATGCTGTTTTAATCAGGGTGATCACGTCGCCCTTGTATTTCGATGAGCTAATACTGGACGGAATATCAGGGGGGTATCACAGATGTTTGACGCGTGCGGCCCGTAGGTTGGGTGGTTGAGGTGAGAAAGTTGACCCCTAATAAAGCGTGTGGATCGACGCGTTTATGGCCTAAGGCAGCAGTCACCGGCCCATATGTAACTATGAAGAGTGGATCCGATCAGCACAATCCCCACTAACCAGTTTTGTAATATCATGAAGCATGCCTAATCATTAGTCAACTACAGGTAAGGTTGGGTTCCTCCTATTTGCAAGCCACGTGTGAACTATGAAGTGTTCGCGGGGCACGATTCTCTTCAACTCAAGTCAAGGCGCTCGGGCGAACTGTCTAACTAACTTAACTATCTAGATGGGTGACTAAGAGAGGCCACGTGACCACAACGAATACGGTAGGTCTCTAACATGAAGTTGTGGAAAACTGTTGCCTTAACATAGCCCTATTTCATCTAAGCGCAAGGCACCAGTTCCATAGAATACAGATTTAAAACGTATCCGTTAGGTTAGAACACGAAGAGTATACGATTCATAAAACGTCTTGAATGATCAGCTCTTGACCTAATTGATCTTGATTATATTTATGATTATGATGATTATTGATACATTTGTTGATTGTAGTAACCATTGTTCTAATCATGTGGGGGGAGACCTTCTTTAACCCTCTTTTAGCCACATGATCCTGGCCCTATACAGCCATATTAATTTGGCAACTACTCTTTAAGTATGTGTCAGCTATGTCGCCCGATAATGACCTCTTTATTCTCCCGGAAATTTTAGTCACCCATGTTAACGACTTGTATGTATGTACTGGTCAAACAACTGCGCTGATTACCTGCATCAGCGATGCTAGTGCAACCAAATCGAATAAGTATAAAGATTCAATTGAACAACATAAGATATATAAATTACTTTTAGAAGGCATTAACAGAGATATAGAATAGCGATGTGCAGCCGAGCTCTATACCACGCCTCAAAATATGTGGGCAACAATCCATCCCGAGCGCGCAATTCTAAACAAAATGCGATTCCCACCCAATTACCCCACGTACAGAAATAAACAACTAATTTTTATCCAAGAGAGACGAAGGAGGCCCTTATACCCTCTTATATATTGTGAATTATAAGTATTGTATATTTTTTTCGTCCACCCTTCCCATCGGGCGAAGTCCGCGGTATCAAGATCAAACAGGTCCAGCATTCGGCCCACACTCTGATCAACTAGTTCATAAACGAACGATGCTTTGATGTAGAAGGCTAGCACCGGAGGGAAGATAACAGCTTCAGCCTGGGACACAGAAAGCATGTTTCGCGTTTCTCTCACAACGGGGACCAGCCTGCTATGCTCTTTCAGCATAATATCCACAGCGCGGGGGATCAAATCCTTGCAGAATCCAGAGTTAATAGCGGCGACTCTTCATGGAGCACGGGACAACGATCATGCCGTCGGTCTTAAATAAGCCGCTAGTTACAAGAGCGGCCATTTTGTTTATATTATGGACATAATCTGCTAAGGTGCGAACATTTCGGGGATGATAGTCAGTTTTGTATTTCATAGTTACTTCGGCCCATTTGCTTATAACGAGATGGGTTTCAACGTTGAGTCGGCGGAGGGCAAAAGGACTTTAATGCCGAGGATCGCGCCAGTGGCTCCAGTTATGGCTATTTATAATTTATACTAAACGTCGGATATTCTTTGCCGTTAAGGCCAATCGCTATAGATTTTGCAAACGTCATTTTTGGCCCGTTCTACCTGTTGATCACATCCCAGATCATGGTCTTCTGCAACGAAGATGGTTTGCCAAGCTGCTGAATTCCGTGGATAGATTTTAGTTTTCCCAGAACTCTGACCAAGACAAGCATTTAGAATTATTTTGTAATATTCCACGGGTATTGGTAGCAGATATAAGACAAAGAACTTATTATTGCAATTTACCGATGCCGATTCCGTGTGGTAGAGATGCAGGTATACGTGGAAAAGTTTAGGCAGTGTCTAGGATGGTGCATGCGCCAGAACAATTAGAGAATCTTATTAATATTTTAAATTCTTCCATTTTGCTTCATATCCTTGATAAGTGCAAAAATGGCACCTACTAACCAAGCTGATTACTCCTTCCGCGCTTTTATCGAAGCCCTCAAGGCGGATGATGGCCTGGTTGAGATCGATACGGAGATCGACTCCAACATGGAACCACCCGCTATCACTTGTTCGTCTTGTCTGAGAGACTAACGACAAAGCACCCCTTTTCGACAGCCTTAAAGGAATGGGCAAGAATGGCCTTTTCTCTATACTAGGTGCTCCTGGTTCCCCGCGGATGTCTAGACGTGACCGCTATAACCGTCTCGCCCGGGACCTTGCCGTTCCAACCACTACCAGCATGAGGGAGATCCTTGACAAGATGCTCTCTGTTTCCCAACTATCTCCAATAATCCTAAAATTGTTGATGGGGCCCTGTGAGGGAGAATTTACTTACGGGTGACGGATCGACCTCACTGCACTCCCGGTTTGGATAGTTTACAAGTTTAATAGCACAAATATACGGCATGCATATTGTTCAGTCTACTAATAGTAAATAGACAAATTAGTCTATTGCCCGTGCTATAGTAAGACAAAAATTATTTAACAGGCTTAGTTACCGAGCCCAGCACATCTGGCAGATCCATAAGATGTGGAAAGAGGAGGGCAAGGACACCCCGTGGGCTTTAAGTTTTGGAGTCCCTCCCACCGCTATTATGGCCTCATCAATGCCCATTCCTGATGGGATTACTGAAGCTGGATATGTTGGTGCCATTACTGGACGTGCTTTGGAGCTAGTTAAGTGTGATACCAACCATCTCTGTAGCACTGCGAACGCGGAGATTGTCCTTGAGGGCACACTTAATTACTAAGACAGCCGGCGAGGGTCCTTTTGGTGAAATGCATAGTTATGTTTTCTCTGGTAATAGGTACGAGTGTCCTGTTTTTAAGGTTAATAAAATTACCTACCAAACCAATGCTATCCTTCCAATGTCTGCCTGTGGCTGTCTTACTAAAAAGACCTATACCCTGATCGGCTCTTTGGCCGCTGCGAGATTCGCCGAATTTGCCAGCTGGCCGGCCTCCCAATTACTGACGCCTTTTGTCCCTTTAAGTCACAGGTTAATTGGGTCACTCTCAAGGTCGACACTGCCAAGCTTCGTCAGATGAAGCTAACCGCCAAGGAGTTCCTTAATTGGTCGGAGATGTGGCCTTTAATCACAAGGCCGGATGCCCTATCCACCGCCTGGTCCTTGTCGGCGATGATATCGATCTGTATGACGGGAAACGTGTTATGTAGGCTTTTACAACACGGTGTCGACCTAATCCTGGTGAGAATTTCTTTGAGGATGTATGTGGATTCCTGCTTATCTTGTATATAGATAACGGTACAAGCTCGCCTACCAAGGGCGCAAGGTTGTTTCTGATGTTCTGATGCCTACCGAGTATCACTGGCGCTGATTAGGAGGTTGCTGACTTTGAGTACTCCTATACAGAGGAAATCAAGGCCAAGGTTCAAGCTACCTGGGATGCATTAAGGTTCAGAAAGCTGGGGTAAATCATGTAGTTATCAAATCAGATAGATAGAATGGCAACTTTGTTTTGGTTAGATTACATGAATATGCAATAACTTCATTTGCTATTAAAAGCTAAGATTTTGCAAAGACACCCACCATTCACAATCAAGCCCAGGTAGATCACGATGAGGTCCGTCGCATAATTGAGTATGTCTCCCGGAACGCTGCTTTGTCCTGATTAATTATTACACCTTCATGCCGAACAGGAAACCTGCTCACGAAATTCTCAAGCCCTCATGGCAAATCCCTGCGCAAGTCAAAGCCAAAAATAAATACCGGATCTGGCGCTGCAAGTTCATGCGCGTTGGGGTTTAGGGGGAAATATTTCCTTTTACTGGGGATTACCACCTGGTGTGACTTGGCCTATTAGGATCTGGGTGAGCCGAACATGAACGGGTGTGCGGATGTTGGGGGCTTTCGAGGACCAAAGATTGCGATTGATAGGGTGTTGTGCCTTTGCCTGATGCCTTCTCATTCTCATAACCAAGCCTGACAGAACGCTGTACGGGCACAGCTGCTAATCTGGAAGACAGTTTTGACTACACAGTCCTGCAAAGGAACTACGACATAATTAGAAGATGGTAGCCTCAGCCTGGTTTTTATTTTGTAGAGTGGTTAAAAACATGCCCGAAGCCAGTGTAAACCCAGTATTTTATAGCTCCATCTATTTCTAGTGCCGGTGAAGAATGCCAATTTGGTAAATGTTTTAAATCCTTAAGCTAGGAGTTTTGTAAATCTTTAGACTTGCTTTTGTAGTTTAGAGCTGGCGGGAGATGAAAAATTACCGGATGATGGAGCAAAGTCTGTAAGTGTGGGATGAAGTTAGGGAGTTGTTTAAGAACCAGCAAGGTTGCCTCGCTTGGCGAACAGCCTAGCTCTATGGCTGATATTGCCATTGAAAACAGGATATTACATTTTTGGGAACTGCTTTTCATCCCTTGAGACGAACCATAGCCAAAAACTGGGAGGAACTTAGTAGTCCAACAGTTCTGTCATCTCAAAGCGAATATTAAAGGGAAACGAATCGGCCAGTTTTTTTTAAAATATTTTGAAATGCTTGAGCATGCCGGGTGTGCTAAACAGTGAGCCAGTAATTGTCTGTCGTCGCGTAGTGCATTCAGCTCCATGGAAGGGTCTTGAAGTTCCAGCATCACAATGCTCAGGTGAATCGTCACCAAATGGATGCGAAATAATCCAATGTTAGGATGAAGCCAGTTAAGGACCAGGTCGGGGATTTCCGGGATCCTTTAAAAAATTCTTATTATCGTAGAAGCAGGAAAATCCGGAAGAGTGGATATATAATAAAGAGAGGCTTATTGAGAACTGTGCGATTTCTCTACAGGTGATCTTTGTACGATCAATGCTTTTTATTGCGGACAGGGAGGCCTTTGCGACTGGAAAGCCTTGGCTGCTGTTTCTAGATGGCCAGCAAAATATTATTCGTGAAGGTAGGGTAAACCTGGACGAAGGGGTTTGATGATATAGCTATGAACTACAGCCACAATATAGAAATAACCTTAAGAGCTGAATGTGGGCAAGAAGTGTAAGCTAAATGGGGAGATAGGGAAGGATCTGTACCGCTTGACTGATGAGGATCTTGTGGATCCCTAACTGGTCCTGAAATATCATCTTACCAAACGCGTAAGCGTAAAGCTAATCGTAGCCAGCTTCGCACAGAAGCTTCCGGTTATGCCATCCCCCTTGTCAGAATACTTCTTCTAGTAGTCTGGGTGCAGAATAATCAGGCGCCTGAATCTTCAGCTGAAGGGGCCGGAACGTCGGCGGCAAAGCGACGAGGGAGCAGACGCTGGGACGGGTGAGCACCGACATATAAATTCCCAGGCCTTCATCTTTCTGGCAAAGAAAAGTCCATAGACCCCTGTTCAATAGTATTGAAACTGTATTGAGTGTTTTGCCTTACAGCAGCTCCTAGAGTTTTCATTTTTCAGCATATAATATAACCTATGTCTGAAATAATGGATTGCCTCTGCCTATTTGATCCACGAGTTCTTCCCTGTCCAGCATACTGCTAAACCAGTTGCTCTAACATCATACATGAATATTCAGGTCCAGCATCTGAAGCTTCCCTGGCATCATTCCATATTTTTTCAACCATCAACATGTGACAGCGCACATCACCAGTAAAATGTTGAGATATAATTCTAATAAAGGGCTACCAAAGGTATGCATAGCCTTCTGGTCGAGTCTCCTAGACTTAGGGAAACCTCAGCATAAAACACCCATTATAATTAGTACTCACATAGATCTGCTTCTTCTGGTCTTCTATGATTGGCTATCGGCGTTGGGTCCCTGATTGGCTGGATCGGCACCTTGCCCGTATATGGACTAGCGCTGGTTCGCATCAAAGCCTCAGCTACGAAATGCAGGATGAGTAATTTCGTTCAACTCCATCACTCAGCGCTTCTCTCCGTCCAAACTGGCAGAGATTTATATGAGAATATTATATCCATGATGATATTTGTGCTACATGATCAATCTCCTCGTGTCAAGGGTAGACCTCCTGTCAGTGCTCAGAGACGGCGGGATGGATGCTCAGAGTGCCGAAGAAAAAAGATCAAGGTAATTTGCCCGTGTGTTATGGGAGGATCGCCGAATTAATACTGCTTTCAGTGCGACTTGAGCAGACCTATATGCTCTAGATGCACTAGATACCCGAGAGGATGTGTCTATGACTTGAGCATCATCAGCCAAACCCAGAGAAAGCCAAGTGTCCAACGATCTGCCTCGAGTCTTTCAGAGAAAGCAGCTCTCCTATCAACCGTAAATTTGTCCGTATTTACGCATCAACCTGTGTTAAACCCATCCCCATTTCTGTCATCGGAGGAGTCAAAGTTCTTCCTTCACATCCTTAGCACCGAGACTGCTCCTTCCCTGTTCCCAGCTGCTCCAAAGTTCTTTATCGAGAGACTGATAAGCTCGGCCTTGGACACGCCCCATCTTCTCTACGCGCTCCTGGCCTCAGCATGTAGCCATCATAGTCGTCTCATTGGAGACACAACGGTCCAGTCAAGTATTCTGTGCTTGAAGTTCACCAATCTCTCTATCTCTGGTCTGCGTACCGCGATGGCTGAGACGACGGATATGATAAAGGCGGAAACAGCTATGACAGCGATGACTCTCTGCACGAATGATGTTTGCAATGGAAACATGCACATCTGGAGGACCCATCTGTCCGGGGTCATGCAACTACTAACAGCGATGCTAAGTACCCAAAAAAGGTCAATTGACATGACTGATCCTTTTGTGGTGTGCCTGGTAAAGTGGTTCACTACTCTGGATATACTAGCCTGCATGTCAGGTGTTGGCCTGACCGAAATGTGTAAAGGTCAGAATTCACTTTTAGAACAGATGCCTGACCCAAGAACACAATCTGTGGATGACATTTGTGGCTACTCTCTTGAATTAATTCCCATGTTGGTACAGGTTGCACAACTTGCTTGTCAGACTGGTATGCACGCAGCTGCCGACCCGTTGGTGTCAGTTTTATCACCTCAGCAAATTATAGAAGAGGCCCAGATTCTGGAGGCTGCTGTTTATTCCATCGCTGACCGGAAGGGTTCAGAAGATACAGTAAGAATCCACGGTGTAGAACTTGCCAGCGAGTTGCAGCATACTCACCTTGCCTTTGTTCATTCTACGTTATTGTACCTCCATCGTCGTGTTCAACTTCTTCCAAAGGATCATCCCACCGTTCGAACTGATATTAGGAATATTCTGGACGCTGTTGAAAGAATTCAGCCCTCTTCTCCATCAAATATTCTTATCCTCTGGCCAATATTCAATGCTGGCTGTGAAACAGATGACATTAGTGAGCGTGACCAAATTCAGACCCGAATGGCCAACATGCAAAATCGCGGAATGGGAAACTTCACCAGAGCTCGAGGCCTGATGAAAGAAGTATGGGCCTCAAATAGCACCTTGACTTGGGATGTTTATTTTGCCAATCTCGGCAGAGAGCTTGTTCTGTTCTAAGTTTTATCAATGATGATGACGCACGCGACTTATTACGGCGTGAATACATCTCCCTGCAGTCGAAATGCGGTGGACTGATCTCACAATGCTCTACTCATTCCTAGATTCTGTGGACTGCATTTTCTTATTGGCACAACATTTCGAAGTTTGCCCTCAAGCTCTCCAACTTTATTTGGCTGCAACAGGCACCTGCTCATATCCATCATGCATAAATTCCCTGAGTGCTCGGAGGCCATTCACTAGAACTTCGTTTTCCGGAACATAACCGATCCGGACGAATCCTTTGAAGTCAACTCCTCCTCCAAAACAACGACTACCGGGAACCATCAGTACTCCGGTCTTTTCCTGCAGTTGCTCGCAGAATGCCACGTCGTCAACCGGACGTCCATGTCGGTCGGTGAATTTCACGAAAGCAGTCGTGCCTGCTTGTGGTGGCACCCATTTTACTGCCCATTCAAATTCCTTGATGAAGGCCTCCATTGCAGCCAGATTTTGCTTTGCCAGTGAGAGGTTCCGCTGAAGCAGCCTGTCTACAACTGGACTAGACAGGGCAAAGCTGGCGACAGAATCGTCAATCTGGCTGACAGATATAACGGTGTAGTCGCGCGTAGATGCGCTCGCTTCGATGATTTGGGAGCTGTTCGAAGCAATCCAACCTAGCCGGATACCTGCCAAACTATATGCCTTGGACATTGAGCCTGTGGCAATAGATTTTTCATAGCCGAATGACAAAATAGACGGAGGGTGTCCCTGGTTATCTGGGTAAACCGAATGGAATAAGGGTCGGTAGACCTCATCGCTATGAATGATGATATCGTTCTCTCGAGCAATATTCACTATTTCCTGCAACGTTCCCCGTTGCAAGACAGCTCCCGTTGGGTTTTGTGGATTGCTATCCTCGCCAGTTAGGGATATTGTGTTTCTGTTGTTTCTGCTGCACAGCTTACTTGATAATGATGAGTTTGGTATTCGCCTTGATCATGGATCTTAAGTCGTCAAGGTTCACTTCCCACGAATTTTTCTCTTCTGCCTTCCATAGACTAACCTCCGCCCCTAGCGACTCAGGAATAGAATAAAGCTGTTGATAGGTTGGATAATGACAGATGGCATGATCTCCAGGCCCTATATTCGTATATAGGGCCAGGAAATTCGCCTGAATAGCGCCGTTGGTCACCAAGACACGATCCGCAGATACCGGCTGTGCTGTCTCAGTGCCATACAGCTTGGCAATGTTCGTCCGAAGAGTGACGGATCCACGAATGGCACCGTAGCCTTGCTTGTGGGTGTAATCCAGGATATCTTCCTGTTTGTCAGAGAAAGACAGGAGATCATTGAGTGAGATTGATGCACAGCATGTCTCCGCAATATTATGTTTGACGTCGTTTTCATGGTGGTCCATCCACTATAGATGTTAGCTCTAGAATATTCTCCATGTTTCCTGATACACAGGAAGTTGTAGTGACTTACCCTCTCCACTACGAATTCGTCAATTTTGACCATGTTGATATTTCGTGCTGAGTGAAAATAGAGAAGGTAGAGGATGAGATGGAATGGAGCACGTAGGTAGCACTGTCTTATATAGACATTTGTGGATCTCTACAGCCATCATCATCATAATTGCGAGATTTGAATATGCATCGTGATTGGCCAAATCGCATACACTGCCGAATTGGGTAGAATGTCCCACCCTAAGACGACGGTGCATATACCAAGTACGTAGATAGGGTAACTGGTGTCATTTGTGTACATAGATGGAGTGACTCATGCTGCTCTCAGCATTGGAGTAAAGTCAAAAGATTAAAGCGTAGTGGATGTATTCAGAATGTATCCTTTCGCTTGTAGACTGCACAGGTACTTCACTGTCAATGTATTAAAGCTTAGAATGTCTTCAAGAGTATTTGCAACATGAGAAGGACTAGCATTGACGGTCAAATTCTATGTCTATTTCTTTACATGCTATGTCAGAAATATAAAATTTTCTGCCTGGGACAACATGTGGAATCTACTACCGACCTTCAGTCTGTGCGTTTGTATGATCGAGGAGTCATTCACCTGCAGTAATGCTAGCCTGGGTCAAAAAAGAAAGGTTGGGAAGCAGGACAAGTAGAGAGTATTTAGTTTTTCGATCGACAGGTATTCTTTCTTTCACTTTTACATTATTGTATCATGCTTCCATTTTTCAAAGACAGTCGAATCATATGTTCCTCACCTACAGATGAGCATTTTATAAAGCATGTGGGTCACTGATTCGAAAACCATAAAAAATAAGAGTATTCCATCAGTTTCTAGAGAATCCAGATATAATTTTGGCCGCCAGTATCAGGAGAGCGACAGGACCTCGATTGCATACCATCCCATTCTTTGAACCGTCTCTCTCAAACCCTTTATACCATCGCAGGCAAATTAATCCCCAGTACATCGAGACAATGGAGCAGCCACCACGATTTAATTCCCCAGAAAAGACGCGCATTCGAAGAGCCCGGAAAAAGCGGTGGTAACTCCTTTTCTCGCTTATTGGATGTCTTTGTCCTCAGGTTTCGGGGCGCTGTGTGGCGCACGATGCTGAAAGACAGCCTTGCAAAGGGTGATCCACCAATCCGTCCTTTATTGACGGTTGGTTGTTTGTCATTGGTGATTCGGCTCCACGTGAGCCATGAAGACGGCATTCAGTGAAATGTGGATGCAACCAAGTGGCTCTTGGGTCGAAGTCCTTATCTCCTTCGTATATAGATTGTTGGAACTACGCGACACATCCACGGGGGATCTCTCCATGTCTTCCCCACTTCCATCCATGTGGCATCCACGGTTGCTTGGATATTTCTATACCGATCACTCATTCATAGTTCGTTCGGTACTAGTCTGGATTGAACATTTATAGTGCCTTACCTTAGCTTAGTACGTGCCTCCGAGTTTGCTTTTTTTTTTTTTTTTCTCAGGTCACCAAGTCGCGCTGTACCCGATTTCTTGGGCTGACTTGCTCCACAAGGCTCAGCCTGACCTTGTTGATCATAGAACCAACCCCTTGCCATTTCCTCCTTCATTCGAATATGAAAGTCTCGCAGACTCCACATTTCGCCGTATCATCTCATGCTAAGCTGTGCTAATATTAACTTGTCACCTCGATAACGGTTAGATTTGACCCCCGATGATTCTAGAAATGACGTCCGATTTCGGAGCGAAGGATATCCTCACCCTCACAAAAACAGCGTGGGATGTGTATCACAGCTACTATATCGTTGCAAGAGAGGCCCCTGATGGTTTCCGACAACTGGTAGATGAGCTGGCTTCTCTTCAAGGGGTTCTCCGTTCTTTACGGGATCATATCCAATCCAACGGTTCTTTTTTTGAGAATATAGGGGAAGATCGCAAGCGCATCATGCAACGATGTTTAACCGGTTGCCTTAAGACCCTACAGCGACTCAAGGAGCTCATTACAAGATATAGAAATATGGGTGTGCGCGATGGGAGTCAGTTTTGGCAGAAAGTGAAATGGTCCACTCAGCGCCGGCAGATCGATGAACTAAAGTCCAAAATAATGATCAATACTTGCAATCTAAACCTGTGTATGAGTTCGATTGGCAAGTAAGTCCTCCAAACAAGTGGTTTATGAAGCAAGTTTCTCACACATCTAGTTCTTCACTAGAGCGAATCGAAAAATCCATGAATGATGCTCTGGACCGAGAGCGCTTCTCGACTATATCGCAATCCTCCACTCGAAGTGAGAGCCTAGACTCAAAAATTCCAGAACAAAGGCATGAAAATTTAGCGTCCGATGAGGAGAGGGAGGTTGACTCAAATGCTGTCGACTACCAAATGACCGCAGGCCGTCCGTCTATTTCTACTAATGACATTCGCGTCTTTGCGCCTCCCCAGTCCGTTGCTCTGGGACTGTCGGACAGTTCTGGAATTGTTAAAACAATGTCAACTCCTGATATGCATTCAACAAAACAATCTTCTTCACTGGGCTTAACAGAAAACTCGGCCAGCATAGTCACATGTAAGCCAGTGACTTTCAACCCTCTCGAGTTTGAACATGAAAGTGTGGAATATCATTCGGAAGTTCAAGAAAGACCTGTACTGTCTGGATCTGAAGAATATTTCTCTCATAAGAATCACCACCAGACAGCGGTCATGGATGCTGTGGCTAGCGCTATGCAACAACTGCATCAAATTCGACTTCAAGACCAATTACACCGGCCACTGCGATATGAACCACGCGATAGATTCCACCAGCCTGATGTCGAGCTTTTGAAAAAATTCGATACCTTTGCTCACGATGAGATGGCGATTAGACCTATCAATACGAATGACTGGCTGCGGGTTGCAGTATGGTGGTTACTGAAAGTACGTACTCTTCCTGTATGCCGTCCTACACTCGACGCCACTAATAAAAGCGACTTAAGGCCCGGACAACCCTTGCGAACTATGAGAAATCAGGCCTTAGCAGCAATAGAGGAAGTTTAAGTTCGTCTACTGAGTCCTGGTCTACGAGCCAACAAGCATATGTAGATCTGTTGAAAGCATCATACATTTTATACGATATTGTCTTGAAAGATAAAAGCTCTCAGGCAGTGTTAACAGACGAAAATAGGAAGCTTGTTTCTGATCTATCAGAGGTATGCCTGTTCATTAATGACTTTATTCTCGTCCATGCTAACAACCACCTAGGGCATTAAAGAGGATTTTTCACAGTTCAGCTCCGTCGATATTCCCGAATATTCTACGATTCACTCTCAAAACATTGATATTTGGGAACCTTTACAACCAGAAGAAGAGGTAGTATGTGGTGACAAAACCCTACTCGGTCTAGAAAACGTTCGATGGATTGCTGTCGATCAAGACGACGCTGGAAACGAGGAGGAAAAGGTTCTTTTCCGAACATTTGTCAATGCGGGAATCGGGAGCAAGAGACTTCGTATGCGAACCAAAGGTGCTCCATACATGCTCCTTCTGTCAACAAGAGAAGGGGAGAGTGAACCGAAAATAACCATTTGCAATCAGAGCGGCACACTCTGCCTACAAAGAGATTGTAAGTTACCCTATCCAGGGGAGCAGAATATTCTCTGATATCTCAATGCAGTCGTGCCGGATGATTTAGTACATTTATTGCAAGTATCGCATGCATCTCTCAGTGGTTTCCCTGGGGCAAAAATCTCAGAACCTATCGTCTTCAAATTTGGATCCAAGGCCATCTCGATATCTTTTCAGTACGCAGCAGATTTAATGCAGTTCATCAATATACCTAAGGCTTATTTCGACGCTGTGTGGCAACGGGAGCCCATTGACTCTGACCAATTTTCCGAAACTATACTATTTAGAAGCTCACTTGAGTCATTTGAGCAGTTAAAAGCACCAACCATGAAACCAATGAATCCTCCGATGGTCCACGGATCTTGCGAAGTCCGCATACTAGAACGCTCATTTGGAGAAGCTTGGAGATCCATGCGAAGAATGGTGATCAGCTCATCTGCCGCAGAGCGAATTCCTCGATGTATGGAATTATTCATGCCCATGAGTCGGGTGCAGGTGTGTCGTGAGGAAGACTCTCGCCAGGTGCTAGTAAAATGGTCGGATACACGTCAAGAAAGGTCCACAAAGACCGACGGTAACTATCATACTCTATTTTCCTATGTTTATGATGACAGCTGCCCCAATATTGGCATGAGCATGCATTTTGGGACGCAGCAACAGGCCGAGATATTTGAAAATGCAATCCTGAATTTATCTTCCAACCCAATCTTTTCTTGGACCCAAACCAGCAGCGCTGGTCAGGTTTATGACGTCGAGGATGCCGCGCTAGACCAGAAACAATACAAGGCCGTTTTACTCCTGCATACTCGACTGTCTTGGAGATACTGTAACCTCTATTATCTCTATCGCGACACGGACTTTATCTATGAAGATTCAAGCCTCCGTATTCGGTTCCCGCATGTTTTTTATACTGATTATATTTCTTCACACGTCGACAAGCTATATCAAGCAGACAGTCCAGTATTCTTCTCACACTACGAAAAAAGGATAGGGAACTTTACGGTGGACTTCAATCATGCAGCTGTCATGCGGGGGTTCATGAGTTCGCTTGCGTCTTCCTACGAGCTTGTGTTCTCCCGACGCGCAGTTTCCCTAGCAACTAAAGGGAAAACCATTTTCGGTTCCAAGAAGTCAACCAAAGGTGACGCTGAAGTGCAAGTATGGAGAAAAGGAAACACTGTACGACTTGCGTCACGATGGCAGGATCACATCCCGGACAAATGGCTCACCATGTCCATTTCATCGGGTCTACTCTCGCTCTCTGCAGACGGTACTCGAGTAGATTTTCCACCCGTCAATTATTCTCGAGGCATGGTTTTGAATATGGCCAGCATCATGGCAGGGGCGCCAAGAGACCCAAATATGGCGCGGAAGCATAGAACTATCACTATAACCTTTCCAACGGCCAACGGTGAGCACTCCAGATGCAGCAGAATCTAAAACCATAGCTAATAGCAGTCCAATAGACCGAGAGGACTTTGTAACTTCCCTAGGGGAGCCTTTCTCACTATGAGCATGGTCAAAAGACCCTTTTTGGCTAGCCGATATATGTACATAGAACGGTTCGTTGATGAGGGTTGTGTATAAATAATAGAGGCAGTTTTGAAGGAATCTAAATGGATGGTAAGCTGCATTTAAGTGACATAATAAACTGTAGTCATGGTCATGAACAATAAGTCCCTCGCAAAAAAAAAAAAAAATAAAAATAAAAAATAAAGTATGAAATTAGAGAACAAGTAGTCACGCCCGGGATCGAACCGGGAACCATCTCGGAATGAGTTCAGCTGCTGTGAACGAGATATCATAACCATTAGACCACGTGACTGATTCAGTGAAAAGGTGGGAGTAAAAAGTGTCACTTCAACCTTTGCGAAGAAGACAATTGTATCCGAGATGTAGCACTGCAGCGTTTGAGTCTGGCATTAATAACGCTCGTGCCAAGGGAGACCCCACCACCAACCAACCTGTGATGGAGTCTAAGGACTATAAATGTGTCCGCTGACTGATTTCCCCGCCCGATCATTTCGGATTCTGAGACATCAAAGCTGTCGGGTGGGTACTTTGCAGATTATATGGGAGAAGCACCTACCTTGGATGAAGATTATCGTCAAAAAGTGTACCTGATAGTATTAAACAGACGCTTGTTTCCAGAGCTGTTAGCGTTTTTACTGCCGACTGGACTTTCTTCAAGCCACACAAACTTCTATTGTTATCCATCCAGCCATTATTCGTCACTAGTCAACAAGATTATCCCCGAGGTCGTCTCTGCTGATGACTCAATTCAGGACAGACCGTGTGATCGGGGGTGATGCCGTCCATGACTATTACTCCAGGTCCCGGGATTGACGTACTCCATCAGCCAGCCGGTCGATCTCCCTTTGCCCTTGTTACGCGTGCGCCTTGCACGTGCTGGCCTCATGACCTGGTCGTCGAGGCTGAGTGCTTTATAATTTCGAGTATCTGCCATGGTCTCCCACGTCTGGTACTGAGATGTGTCCATTTCACCCATGATGACTGGTGATTATCTATTCGGTGAGATTTGGGTTTTTCGTTGAGGAGGATCAGACAGGGCGTTTTGCCATACAATTCTGCCTACTTTCTGTCTTTTTCTGATTCTTTATTTATTCTCTTCTTCTTTTTTCTCCTCCCTTCTGGACATTTATAGCACAGCCCCTAATTTTCAGACACAGAAGTTTGCATCTCATACTGTTTAGACATTGATATGCCACACCTAATCCACCACAGAAGACGTCACTCCTGGCCCTACTCCAACGGAGAAGCGCGCCTACGTGGACGACGAAACCTCCCCCTTCCTAGGGTATCCGAGCCACAAAATCCCTTTGAACAGCAGTTCCTCACCCCCTTGGTCTCGGGAGACTTCCCAGAAGACGATGCGGCGTCCGCCGGGATTATTCGATCGAAGACAGCGCGACCCCATCGCCTCTGGCCTCATTCCAGCTCCAGAGAGACCGTGGCCTCGGGAACAAGCGGACAGTATCCCACCACTGGAGCTGGCTCTGGTGGTGGCTCACTCCGACGGATGATCCGCCCACCGCTAGACAAGGCTCGATCGCTCTTCATGGTGCCAACAACAACCACGGCAGGAGAAAATGTAGTCATTTCGTTCTGGGTACCACGGCAGTCTGGTGTTCAACAGCTTCCACCTGCGGCTCCGGGTAGGGTATTGGGAGACGATTTGCAGCGTTTGTCGGCGGTTAGGAATCATCGCCGATGTCATTCAGAGCAGCCGCGATCGTGGAGGAGACCAAGTGCAAGTCTGTGGACGTTGGCGGAAGAGTGAGACGGTTTTGCTGTTGTTGGTGGAGGAGATTAATTGATTGGCTGTGGTTTAGATTTGATTTCTTCTATGTAATGTTTGTATGATTCATTAGTTCGGCGTCTCTTCTCTTCCTTCAGTTCTGTTGCATTGCATACAAGACAGCATGAAGCTAGAATGGTGTTCAGTCTATTTCGGTGGGATATGACATAGGTATGGAGGGAAAAACGGGGTCTGAGGATAAAGATGAAAGCAGAAAGAAACAATAACATGTCCATAAGATTTTTTTGTCCTATTATTTGAAGGAAAACCATAATGGAAAATGTGACATAGCGAGAGCATTCGAAACCATCATATCATCCAGTATAGTGGGATGGGCTAACTCTTGATATCCGAAACCTAGGTCCCGGAACATACCAGACTATCTATGTATGATATAGACACTACCCCATGTTACCATCATCAAGCTCCATTATGGGGGCATCTCCATGCGGAAGAACGTGCCGCGGAGAAAGGCCATACTTCGGTCTTGGCAAACAGCGTCCCGACATGATGATGTCATCGGGCAAACAGAGAGCCTCAAGTGGGCAAAAGCGGAAATCGAAAATGCAGACATGGTCACGTTATGCTGTCCAAGCAGGTTGGAAGTACAGAATACAGAGTACCATGGATGTCTTGAAATGATTATTTTCTCCCAGTTCAGGATGTGCTTTTCTTACTCTGGAGGCCGGTACTTAATATTTCACATTCCAAATAAGGGGAATGTCACAAGGAGGATGCTATTGTTTTTAAACATTCAGCTGCGTCAGAGCAGCGCCAGCTAAGCACTAATCTAATTCTCATTCCTAGTCTGTCTCACTAGATGTTATCCCATCAATCTTTCTGTGGGGGCGAAATTACGCTTTTTGTTTCTTCTCGAAGGACGCTAGAAGATATATCCATCACGATGTGACCTGTCTAGTGTCTACAGGTACTTTGCAGTTTATACTCTGTAGATGCATTCTTGGTTGACCGCAACCCATTTCCTTAGTTTGTATTTCTTTGAAATTTTGGGGAAAAGGCTGGCCTCAGACCACTCAGGCAGCATTATTAAGGCCACCACCAGGCAACGGTGAATTCGAGCCTCCTTATGGGCACATGCTTGGGGATGGTGGTCGCTGATTGGCCCGCTAGTATCTCATAGGGCAGAAAGAGTGGGTCCGCCCGAGGGTCGTGACCTAGTAGGACAGCCGGAACAGGAATAGCGTGTCTCCACCGCTTCTGAGTCAAAGGACATGAGCTAGACCCTATCGATGGAGTCATTGACAGCGTTGGCAGCCTCCCATTCGTCCCCGTTGATTAGTTTTCAGGGGTTACCAGGATACTAATCTCAACGGTGCTGTTGACTGGTGGATTGCCCACTGCTGATAGAGCGTCGGTCAGGAACTCGTCAGGAGGACAAGGACCAGACAGTGAGATGGATTTTTTGACATAAATAATGCTGGTATCCCCGCTTGCTTAATCTTCTTCCACATTTTATCCCCTACCTTGTTTGCTGGCTTCCAAATGAGCGATCAGAACCCTTGTGTCTTGTAGGAAGAATTCTCTATCATTGAACAAGAACAGCCTCTCTCATCTACTACTACAACTTCTACTTCTACCTCTCTCTCTCCTCCAACATCTACTACCAAACACTGGTCTAAATCTCATAAGCAGAAGATTCTTCCATTCTCGCTCCTGCTCCGTATCACTTGCTCCTCTGCATCTGAGCCCACAGACCTCGTGCCAAGGCTCTTGATAGCTATTCAATTCCACACAGCGACCTCTCCTCCACTAAATTAGCTCTAGAGCTACGGTATCCCTCGCGTCGTCGCTCCGTCAGCCCAGCACACAATGTGTGCCCGAGAACACGAGCACACCACTACCACTACCACCACCAACACTACCTCAAAGCGATCCTCGGGATCATTCCACCCACGTCGCAGCGGCGATGATTACCGTCGTTACAGCGGAACCGTAAACCACTACGGTCGTCACTCGAATGACTGGCTTTTTGGGGGGTTTAGTCTTCGTGACACTGTTCGTGATCGTGTGGATCGATTACGGGGACATGGAGAGAAGAGTTGAAATTATCTACCTTGACTCGTGTCTCTTCTCTTTACCTTTTTTTTTTTTTTTCTTTTTCAGCTCAGGATGATATCTGGCCTGAGAATTTGAAATACCATACCTATCTCTTTTGAGATCAGGAATCGGAGTTTCTTCACTTTCGTCTCGTCTGACTTATCCGGACATGGATATGTTCCCCTCAGGGTTATCCTACCGATCCCGTTCAGGGTATACATAACATACTTAAACACCATCATGGGATGAACTCAAAAGAAGGACGGATCCAATCAATCGCTTGGTCCGTTTAAGACCCGTCCGGACAGTCTGTCCATAGTGCGCAGGGGTTATTCCTCGCGTGGAATATAGTTATCGGAGATAACTCATCTCTGAAAGCAGGATATCAGTCCAGTTCTTCCGTTGCGAAAGGACGTGCAGTGTCTAGTGTCCATGGTTTTGTGCAGCAAGAAAGTCTGTTAATGACTGGCTGGGGTAGGATGGTCTTATCTTGTGAAGACTCTATATTTACCCTACCTACCTGTCTTATGATTTACGAAGGAATCTAATTTGTCATTTCTTGGTGAATGTGTTATATCTATGCATTATGAATTGTTTCCTATAAGTATTTTTGCGAAATATCATATGTTTCATCAGTGATTCTGGCTTGAAAATTAATTGGACGTTAGATGTCCGTTGCCAACTATATCCTTAGCTTTAACAACAGTGAAATATGAAGTTCTACTGTTATACCCACTACCAGGTATAATTTCGAGTTGCACGTAAACCAGTAGTAATCACTTGTTATAATGGTACTTCAACTCCCTGTCACTTTTGGCGCAGTTCAAGCATATTCTATTATTACCCGTTATCATAAGATCATAGCGTCGCTCAAACCCTGACAAAATAAAATAAAAAGCGTAAAACTCCTCACTCCTGCCTCCCAAGCGATCAAAATGAATCACCTCTATGCTCGCTGCCAGGCTGCAATGTCCGCTGCAGATATGTCTATGTTTTCGGGAATAAGACTTTGAAGTTTCGATATTTGTGAGGGTGCTAGGGTGGTCAGCTACAATAGCCCCGTTCCTCTATCACAATACACACCTGGTCTTTGAGATGGCGCAGCTCCTCCATGAACGTAGATGACGCCCGAGTCGACGTACTCTCGGGTGGTTACTCCACTTGCTGAAGCAGCTCCCAGCATAACACGCAGACGATAACTTCCAGGTTGCGCGATGGTGAGTGGACTAAACCTTCCGTATCCGTTGCTGGTGTTCCCATTGCGGCTGCGAACGCTGGACGTAAGAGTTCCAGACAACCCCGGGACTGGATCTGTCCCGGCCTCATTTCGAAGAGATACGTTTACCACCAACTGCTGGGTAGGGCTACCTCTTACATTTCCAACAGGCCGGACTGCAACGATCACAGGCAGTGTAAAAGGTGTCCCTGGGCGTACGGCGGACGGGGGAGGGATTTCAAATGCCATGCCATATTCACGACTGGAGCTGCCGGAATCGGTTTTTGCGCCCTGAACCATGGTTGTCCTCCTTTGAATATCCAAGGTCTATGAAGGACGAGAAAGATGCTTAATCCACACGTTTGATAGAAGCAGTTGACCCTTCTCAGAGTTGTATCGAGGGAATGGGTCAGTAGACTGAACGGATGGTAGATTTGAAACTGAATGAACGGAAGAAACCATGGGAATTTGCGTTCGTCTGCTGTCTTCATATACCTGTGAGATCCGGAAGTCACCGCATCATGGTCAATGATAAACTTGCTGAGGTAGTCTCAGACTGAACCCAAGGTCCCGCTCCAGTCGGATAGCGCTCTCTCTCTCTCTCTTTTTTTTTTTTTTTTGGGGGTCTATTTTTCCTGTTTTCTTTTTGCCACCACCAAAACAAAAAAACTAATATTGATAAATCCTCAACTGCGAAGTAATGGAGATCTGCGTGAATAGTACTTATGGTACAAATATGTCCGTCATAGTGTGGTCTCCTGACTTTAGGTACTACTAGTAAACTAGCACGATCCTGCAACAAGGGAGTTTGCATAAGTGCTACAGGTATGTGGTTTTGCTTTTGTTTTAATTTCTTTTTCCCCTTGTTTTTCAAGTCCACTGATACGCGTCAACTAAGAGGTTAGGGTGGGGATCACTGCAGCTAAATGGTTCCTGGGGCGCGTTTGCAATTCCCGGAACTTAAAATCAGACTGCAAAATGAGATGTCAGATCGCCCCAGGGAATCTGCTGCATACTGGGAAATCTGGTTAGGAAGCTTAACCCCTCTAAACCCTGTTTGACATGCGGCCCTAAGATGATTTTTGAATAGCCGGCCATTGGGCACGTCCACCTTTTCTACAGTTGTGCCTGACTTTTTCACCCCGTCCTTTTTCTTTTCTTTTTGTTTGTCTTTCTGGGTTCCCCCTGTAGTTCCGAGTTTCTTCCGCATGATGAAGTAGAATAGATTAGGAAAGCAACAAAGTTTCCGCCCATCTAACATAGAAGCGTTCAGGAATTGGTCGTGCCCCCTCCATTAGTCTCCTTGCATAGATCTGCCCCTAAGATCGAGCTCGGCGCCAAGAGCGTTAACGTACGAACGAGATCATTTCGTGTTCCAATCGCAATCTATTCCAAGCTAAAGTCTGAGACCTCTTGCCCAATCCCGATGCAAACGCTAGGACCCTAGTACTGGTAGCAACGCTGGATGACACGTTTTCTCTGATCCGAAACGTGTCCGATCATAGAATATAGCATTTTCATTTTGTCATCGGATGAAGAAATTGGGCCTGGCGGGTCGATAGCGAAAGATCCGCTGTACGCATAGGATTACTGTGATTATCTTCTCCAGTTCATTTGCTGCAGTCCTCTGCCAGATAAGGTGGTCAAAGCTACAGGCTGATGATGCGGTCGAACGGAAACGCCCGATCGAGCATATAACTGACTGTTTGTGGAGGCCACTACGGAACTCCGACAGTTCTGAGAGCTTTGACAGACGATCAAAGGCAAATCTTAAGGAGGGAATCCGAAAAGGAGAAGTAGTTGCGAGAGCGAAAAGGGAAAGCCAAGTGGAACTGGGAGCCTAGCCTCATCAACTTCGCCACATATTCCGCTCAATTTGTTCTAGCCCTTCCACTAGCCACAGTTGTCAATCTTCGCGGCGGACTTGCCACTTCAGCCCCATGAAGCACTAGTATCGCATCGTTCGTGATGCGAACCAGGATTGTAGAGCAGGAATGCAAATCATGAAATTGGCAAACTGGTGGACACGCATATGTTCATTCGACCCTAGTCGGAACGGTCGGTGCTGTGTCTTTGCAGCATCCGCCGATTTCCTACCTCCTGGGTTGCCACGAGGGTTCTTCCGGTGGGTCGGTCTTTAGAATTACGGTTGCACACTCTAACCTCTGTCGTATCTATCTTTTCTGCCCATAGATCTATACTCTGCGTTTGTCACGTCACTTCTGAAATTGCGCCAGTTGTTCGAGGTCCAGTAATTCTCAAAAGGGAGTCCCCTTTTCACGCTTGTAGAACTATGGCCCCAGACATCATGGATTCTCACGGCAATTGCCATAATCAGCCCCACCGATCGGTCAGCCGGAAAGAACGACTGTCTCAATCGATCCTACCTAAACTGTGTGTTCTTTAGATCGGAAGGATGCCGAGAGACTAGTATTGATCAGTGATGAAATTATCCTCTTCTGGAAATAGACGCACCGATAAGTTCACATATCACACCGACACTCTTTTAACATTCCATTCAGTAACCTCCTACAGTTAGCTATTCCGTACACGGAGTTCTCCACCCCTTGATAATCCTAGAATGGGGATAGGAATATGAACCAAGAGTGGGGCTAGACCCAACTGGCAGACAACCTGACAGGAGGCAATGCATGCCGGGGATTCCGTCCAGACGGTACACAAGGCGGGCATTGCTTTTTCCTTGTAGTAGAGCCCTCCTATTCCCTTTGCCTGCAATGCAATGCAAGATCGATCAGATTTATGGTTTAAATTTGTGTAATCGGGGCCAGTCCTCATTGGCTCCACCAGCCACATAAGTGGCTGAGGCAAACTGTCAACGGCCATGGTGTGGCACAGTTGTGGCGGTGAACTATCACAAGTCTCCCTCGAGCGTCCTTACGTCGTCACCTATGAGGACATGGAAACGTCTGCTAGGGAGCAAATAATGGCTCGGCACGGCACCTTATGATTTACTCTTATTACATTAGCCAAATCCGATATCCTGGATGATGCGACTTCTTATCCTACAGCCCAGTGTCTCCACATTCCCTATGCCCAGTCTCTCGGTCATTCAACAGATCACACTTACGTTTGAGATGTGAAATGACGCATTATCCTTGGATACACACCGCTGAAGCGTCTTTCTATCTGTGCTAGCCTCTGATTTCAATCTAGACGGCCCAAGGAATCATACCTAGCGAACAAAGGGCTTTCGAAGCCCCTGTGGAATAACAGCCTTGCGGATATTCATCGCAAGGACCCTTTACATACTTTAAAAGTACGCCAATCTACCTGAGGTGATAAGTCATTACACACCTTGACATCAAGGATGCTGCTTTCTGGGCCTCGCTGTGCTCGCGCTGTGTGTGGGGATGCTTGAGAGGCGAGATACAAATCTCCAATGAGACATACATATTCGAAGCTGTGAAATACGTGAGACCTCACTATGTCTACCCATTTGTCCGCATCTATTTCCAAATACAGCTTGTAGGGGCCAATTGGGGAGCTTCCAGTACATTCCTAGACCATGCCCAGAAATAACGCAGTATGTGGCAAAAAAGCCTTTAAAAACAACAACAAATCCCTTTCTTTTGTCTGCAAGGATGATGAATGTACGCATTGACTGCAATCCATTGGAGGTTGAGTACGAGTTGCACAGAACAAAGAATATCTGAGTCTCGTACTTTTGAATTGATCCAATGTCGCCGCAAAGAACTCTATGGGATCCAATGTGGCGTCCCTCGGTCCAGCCATGGTCCCTATATGACCAAGTACAGATTCGACTACCCATAAGGGGACGTTTACATACAAAGCCCGGGTAGATTTGAACAGCCAAATAGAGCAAGGATCCAGGTTGTTGAATTTTATGGAAGAAGTCATCGCAGAGCTTCTGCAACAGGGTAAGGTAGTTTGAATAGTATAGCACGGATGAAGAGTAGGCGAGACCGAAACAAGACAGTGTAAAAATAGGGGGGAGGAGTAATGACAGACTGGGTGAAATTAAGCCAGTTTCAGTCTTAGATTTCTGTCTATTGCTATTGCAATTGCTAATGGCTCAAGGCTGGGGCTGAATTTTAGGTCTGTGTATTTGCTTTTTTTTTGGGGATTCCTACTACCTATTAGGACTTGGACAATTATACTGAGCTGTTTTTTTTCTTTCTTGGACCGCGTGAACTCTTTCTTTGAAGTAAAATGAAGAAGATCGCGGTCAGATATGGTGTATGTTTGATGGCTTCGTGGTTTGTTTGGTTGTTGTACAAAAGCAAGACGCTAAGGCGGGTTCCTAGCTATGATTTTAACATCAACTGGAGTGATAAACATAAACCAGGAGCTGGGACTATTTGGTTCTGTTTCCAATCGAATAATGGGAAAGATAGCTGGATTTGTTGTCCTACAACATGTGGCAAGACTACCATGCTGTAGAGTCTTCACCTGAAGCTGGATTCATACAACAGGAGTTCTATAGAATGATTGTTTTAGGTCTTAGCTTCACAATTCACGCAGAAGTATTTATCACGCAAATAGCTTCTCCTCTGATGATTCAAATGGTGCGTGTGGAGTGTACGGGATTTTAAAAGCCTTGTGGATGGAATAAAACTATTGTCCGAGGGGACTATATCTGGGGACAAAGTGATAATTCTTTTTTTTTTTTTCTGAGAGTGTGGTCGCTGGTTGATGAAGTGAAATTGAGGCGACAAATTGAGGCGAGGACAGTCCAGTCTGTCATTACCTGACTATATCACTGTGGCTACATACCTTTTCATCAAACCAGGGGAGAACTACAGCATGAGAATCAAATGGTAAAACAATATAAAAACTAGAATCGGATAAAATCCTATGGGGGGCAAAATTCATTAATGTGGGTTTGATGTGCATATAAATACCTGACAAACATAAACTATTGGACGAGAGCTGAAACACTATTCTTTCTTCACTAGAACAGACTCAATGCTGCACAGGAGTCAATTTCACCATTAATGGTTTCTTCTGCCAGACATTATATGACTTCTGAGCTTCCCAATTATCAGAGCCATCCTCGAGACTCATGTCGAAATTCCAAAGGAGTTTCGTAGCAATGAGGCGCATTTCAGCATTCGCAAGACTATACAGGTGGTTTATTAGTATACCTGACTTTTTCTAGATAAGCGGATCGCTTACTTCTTTCCCAGGCAGTTTCGAGGACCGTAGGAGAATGGCTGTAAAACCTCTTTAATATCTGATGCAAATCGCTGATTAGAATTGTTGCTCTCTTGCAGCCATCGCTCTGGGAGGAATGAATCAGGCTCTGTAAAGTTTGTGGTCGCCCGAAATGCCGAATAAAATGCCACCGCTACAGAGGTCTATAGTTCCATTCGTCAGTATCATAATGCGCAGGTATCTGGTAGGAGTTTCATACTCCCTCGTGGACAAATTGTCCGTTGATGAAGGCACCTCCTTTTGGAACCTTCCTTGGAAACATAGCTGGCACTGGTGGGTACATTCGAAGGCTTTCCTCAAGCACCGCATGTAGGTATGAGAGTTTACCAATTGAGGAAATATCTATGCTCTCATCATTCTGAAAACTGCCTCGTATCTCGTCTGCAAGTCTTTTGTAGACAGATGGATTAGTCAAAAGATGATATACCCATCCAGACAACAGCGAGGCAGTGGTTTCACTACCAGCAGCAATCAAAAGCTCCGCGTTGGCTTCCATCTCATTCACGGACATTCCTTTCTCATCATTGTGTCTAAGGATATATGTCCAAAAGTCTGGTCGGTTTGTCTGCCGATTTAGACGATTCTGGACCTTTGCCTTGCTAGAGAAATACAGATTTTCGCGCATTTGCTTTATCCTGGATGGTACGAGCAGTGTGACAAGAAATGATGGTAGCATCATAAGGAATGGCCGTACTAAAGCAGTGGTTTTGGTGCCTTGGTAAACAAATGTCACCCACGAGTGATAACCTTTATTCTTCAGACAATCAAATGATTCCCCAAAGGCCAAATCCCCAATAATGTCGAACGTAGTATAGTTGAGCCATTTGGTCATGTCTACTAATTCTGCGGAACTTGCGACACCCTTGAGCTGGTGGATGAGCAAGTCTACATAGGACCGCAAAATTGGTTCCTGCTCTCTCAATGCTCGATCAGAGAATGCATGTGATACAAGGCGTCTCAACCTCGAGTGATCGGTGTCATCGGCGGCTAGCATCGATACCCCACTTGGAGATGGGGGAAAGAAATTTGTATCTTTTAGAAACGAAGCATCTCCATGTTTGCGGTGACCATAAATATCTTTCCATGCTTGCGCGTTCCGATACACAAGCATATCTGGGCCAAGACGTACGACATCGCCGTAATGGTCGTGCAGCTCTTTGATTTTGGAATGCAACGTTCCTATGACTGTCCAATATGACTGGTATAAGTTGGAGCTAGCGGCCAATTTGGGGCCAGGAAATTTGCTGAGAGGATGGAAATAAATATTGTATAATGCTAGTCCCAAGGGATATATTATAGTCTGTAACGTACTCTTTGGTCAATTCTATGCTAGAATATGCCAGGAAAAAAAAAAAAAAGGTAAATAAAAGGAGAGGGAGAGAAGCCGGGGATTGAAAGAGAAAGAGACAAAAGAGAAAACACGAACGAAAGAATGCTTATATATCAACAACTCACACTGAGAAGAGCCCAGGCCAAATAAGGACTGAGATCCAGAAACTGCATTTCTGATGCCATAGTGAAGATTGATAGCTATTCTTCAGTGATTGTGGGATGTTTGGATAGCTGCTATGTAACTGGGATGCTGCTACTTATAAGTTATCGTATTGGCCAGTATAATTCTAATTCACTGTTAACACGCATATTGCGTGTTGGCTATAATATATCAACATCTGTGTCCCGATGGGTGTAGTGATACCCCGCTTGGGTAGTATCACAGATAATGCTGTCTACAAGGGCCCCCGGTTGGTGTGTGTCACTTACCCTCATATTATGTTGGCCCAGATGGATGTTTCCGCAACTTTTCTGTACAAACTAGCATCGAGCAGTTTCACATTGGTTCGTTGGGAGGGGTAAAGATGCAGCTAGCTTAGTTAGTTCCCATTGCTAATAACTGCAAATGCTCCAATTCATAATATTCCGCCCCTCCATGGTTTCCTGCTAATGAAACTACTATGTACGTGATCGCTATTTGTTGGCAAAGGATGTTTAGAGACTCGGCTAGGGTGAACCGTATAGGGAGATTAATCCCATATAGGCAATCACCAAGGGTTTTTTTTTATATGATGTTGCCTGAGCTTTGCAGTATATACCATACAAGTTAGGACGGATGGTAGACAGAGAAACAGACAAAAGCAACGGCGAGACATGATAGTTATGTCATTCACAAGGGTAGCCACAGGAAGCAACGGCAACTATTGTGCAATTCGTTTGTCGAATCACCTTTTGCTACATTCCACCCAAATGAAGTTTGGCCAGACATGGATTAACACACTCTGGACAAGCCCCAGCTGTACAGAATATCATCCTGAGTGATCTTTTATACTGGTCTCTCCGGTCGTATTGATCAATTGCCGAGAATGGTAGTCTTCCAGGTGATCTGATGGAATGGAAGGCACGCCTTCGTCTTTGGCGACGCACGTGCGGGCTTGTCAGCTTCCAAGTCAACAGCAATAGCATAGCACAGCTCCATCGGCCAACACTCCCAATCTGGGTCCCATATTGTTATCAGAATGACTAATATTTGGCCGCATTATCTGGCATTTAACAGATGGCACCTATCGTTCGCCGACAATCCCATCACCCTACTCCTGCCGTTCCTCGACCTTCGAAAGGTGCAACCTCGGCGCCCATACCAGGTACCAAATACATTAGCCTGAAGATTCTGCTAGAATTATTTGCAGGAACTGTGTGTATATTTTTTCTCGGGGTATTATTTTGGAAGCTGGGGAGATTTTTCCGGCGTTTTACCCAGGATAGAGTCATCAGGGAGGGCAACACCACCACCGCTCGTTATGTGAAGAATTGGTACGGATGGGTACCGTTGCAGCAGCATGAAACAAACAAGGAATTGTGGAGGAAATGTTTTCACTGGATCTGTGATTGGGCGTCATGGAGTTCGAAGGCCGACTATAGCTGGGTCTGGTGGGATCCAGGTGAGGAGAAGAAAAGTCGCTGCAAAAGTCGACGACTTTCGCGATTTCTACCAAAATGTTTCGAAGACTATGAAGGCACCCCGGCCGATGTAATTTGGGGCCCCTCTGGACACGAACCTGCTTCTAATCAAAACACGAGCGCACAGTGCTCGGTAAAAATAACAGGAGCTCTTCCATCAATTGAGACCACCAGGGTAACTAGCAGAAGATCATATGCCCGGTATCGAAGGATACAACGTGAGAATACTCCAACAATTCACGAGGAGTCTGCTTTCCTAGGTGCAGAGAACGTGGTATCGGAAGACATCCCGAGAGGAATCCTCACTGCCAGCACCGCAAACAAACGCAGGGGGTTGACTGATATCACTCCTACACCAGTTAGTGATAGACGTTTTTTGTCATTCGACCAGGGACCCCATATACAGAACAAGTACCCAATCTCCAACCTAGCGGATTACGAACAATCACTAAGATATTGCCAATCCCTCCCATGTCTCGCAAATCCAGGATTGATTCTTACAAGGTTGAGACAGAGCTCCAATGCTTCATGCGAGAATGAAAATATAAGTAATCACGAGGTTATGCCAAACACAATCGAATTTCTCATGAGATCTCGCAAGTATCAAATTTGGTCTACTCGAATGGAGATGAACATGTGCAAAAATATAGGGTACAATATAAAGGTACCTCCAGGAAGCCCCCGATCAGAGTTGTTGGGCAGTTTCTCTTCCCAACAGGCATTCCTTCTCGAGCTCACGCCTGCCTTAAGGAGAGCAATTACCATGAGCCGCTCTTCCGGTTCAAGCGAGCTGCCTCTACCCAGTATTCGGAAACCACGCCGCCGCAGGGTAATGCACTCTCAGAATGACGGCTTAGATGAAGGAAGTTGGAGCTCTGGTACAATTCTGTCTAGTCCGTCATCCTCGTGCCATTCCACGTTGGGAATGGTCCCTTTGAAGCAGTTCAAGAAAAGTGTTCAACACTATCGGCCTCCGAACCTGTCCATGCCACTGAAAAAGTCTACACAGAGCCAACTAAACGCAGAAAAGAAACCGCAGACAAAAAAAACGCCGAAAGCCCCCGAAGCCACCAGGACGTTTTGTGTACCACAGATCAAAGTGCCCATCAAATACTTGAGTGATTGGGAAATACGACTAATAGATGGCTTAGATCGACGCCTTGGTTGGCTTTCCTGCCAACTCAGCCCGGGGCGGAAGGCATTCCATTTCGCCTTGCTTGCCAATCACTGGCTGAACAAGAAGACTTGGATAGTCGACGATCCTGTGTCACGGGTTCCAATTGACGTTAGAAGGCAACTGGGGGACCCGAGGTTCAATGTACCATACCCAATGCCCGAGTGGAAGCCAAAGCCGAAATACCCAGAAGTGTCTAGCAAGCCTGCTCATACACCTCGCATAGATTCTTGGAGGAAAGCTATGAATCGGCAACGCAAAGCCTCGGGGCTCAAAGATATCATCAAGTCTGTTGAACTATACGATGGGTCAATCGAGGATCCGCCTGATGGAAGAGTCGACCCTGCTAGTTGGATTCTTCGCAAGCCCCCACAGGGAATCCACATGTCAACAAAACAGGAGACTACCTACTACGAAGGAGGAGCCGGGTGGCAAGAACAACTGGGTGATTGGCAGAGAATCCGCCGCGGCTATCGAATCCGCAAAGGAATCCACGAGGGCAGAGTGAACAGAAACAGGGCAAAGCAGTTCGCTCTTGACGTTGCAGAATATCCCAGGAAGGCAAAGTTGCAAATCGTCCCGGGATTGCTACCTGGCAGGCAGGGATGGGTTTGAACTTCCCCTACTGGGCAAATGCCGGAAAGGATTGGTTAGGTTCGGGGATATATTCGATCTTGGGAACAGGTAATGCAACTCATACTCATATTTTTACATCACACCAAGACACTTTCACTCTCTTACAAATTCAAGCTCATTCACTTTGTCATTTCGTCCCATAGCTTTCAGGTTATCAGACCAGGGGTTGATTTGAAGCTCCCGCTGTGTCACAACCACTTGCTGCATGTGTTAAAGCTTCAATAGTAAACATAGCCAATGTAACAGTAATCCAATGTGATCCTGGTATGATGCGCCCAATGGCCAAGAACTCCAGTATTCCTTCGTACACCCCTCTTCCAGTTCAAGACAATCCTCGGTAAGACCAACATGCGTTGTGGTGTATTGTACAATAATAATTCAAGTATTTACTCTGAGGTATCCATTCGTCCATAATCGCCCTAAGCATTTGCGAAAGCGAAAAACCCGCTTAGAAACCAGGAGGGTTCACTCGTTGGCTGACTCGTGTCCACTTCGGCAGCTCTGGAGGAACAGAATGTCAATTTCCCTCGGGGGACCTGGGACAAACAGACCCGCATAACGAGAGGCTACCTACTGTGAATTCCCTTGCGATACTTCTTTTCCTTCTTGTCAAAGATCGTGTATTTGTCCTTCGGCAGCATTTCCTGCTCCCGCGGCATTTCCCTGTACCACCGGTCGACAGCTTTTGCGGTGACTCCATTTCGTTGCAACGCGGCACTGACAGTGTCGACGACGTTGTCAACCGCACGTAGACGCTTCCTCTGACGAGCCTTCTGCGGTGAGGATATGCGCCATGGGATCTTCCTGGTATGTTGAAAGGGATGGGTTAGAACATGGGTTGTTTTGCTCGCCTGGAGGGAACAGAACAATCCGGAGAGAAGGACCTACCAAAGAAGACCCGAGAAGAGGGGTGACGAAGGCTTGAACATCATCTTCGCAGACGGATGTGACGGACAGATCGAAGGAGTCGACAGTCGATGGATCGGAGTCGAGTTCTGTGAGCAGGAAAATCCCGTCGAAGTCGCATGGTCCGTGCACCTCCGCGGCCAAAATTCCCAACGGCTGAGGCCAATCACCGCCGCGACTTCTCTCACGCCTGTGCTTTCCTTTCCTCTCCTCCCTGACTGGGGAACGCTCTCTCCCGACATCCTGGCTGTACATGGATTAATGGATTTTCTATAGAGTGCTCATGTCCCACGCTATGGATTCTGGCGCAACGGGGGACTCTCCCTCTGTGCCCTGGAGGGCAATGTCTGCGACGACAATATTTGGCGTAGCGGCTTTGTGTCGCTCGTTCCTGTACATGTGCAGTCGTCTGAGGTTCATGGCCTAGAATCATTCCTAGAGCTTCTGGACTCGAGGCAGGATCCGTCTCAAAGAACGAAGGGGTTGCTCACAGGTAGGAGCTGATTTTCTGCCCAACTATACCTACTGCGTCGCAGTCGAGCGCTAATGACACTATTACGATAGTCTCAAACCACATCAGCGTGTACGTACGTACTATACGCCTCGTCTATGATCGAGGCGACCCAAATACCCACAACAAAGCAACAAAGTGATCTTGATGGCTGACTAAAGCAGTATGGATGATCCGCTCATGTGGGGATTCCTTCCCCTGCGATACAATTGCGGGCTGCAGTCTTGGAACAAGCGCTGGGGTTTTGGAAGCCATGACATCTGTTACCAGACTCGGTATCTCCTTACCAGCCTCAGCATACCGTAACAAAGGACGTGGCTAACTATTAGGGAATTGGAAGACCCCTCTCCTTTTTCTTCTCCATGGGCCAAGTTCTACCCACTCATCGACTCGCCCACTCTCCCTACGGTGGTATCGCACAACCGGCCGTCACACAAGCAATCCGACTACTATCCAAGGGCCCATTTTCCGCCGAGCCTCACATTGCGATCCCCGAGAAGCAAAGTTGGAGTCTACAGAATGTCTGTGTCGACCCATTCTCCGATCTCCACACAGCATACACGACAGACGGAGAAGACTCTCATCTAGCGCCGTCCGCTTACGCTTGCTACTCTTATTCCTGGTTCCACATCTTTCCTGAAGGAAAAATCCACCAAGCACCCAATAAGACAATGCGCTACTTTAAATGGGGTGTGGCTCGGCTTATCCTGGAAGCCAGTGAATGTCCTGATGTCGTACCGATGTGGGTAGAAGGCTTCGATCAGGTCATGCATGAGAGTCGCGAGTTCCCGCGTTTTCTTCCGCGGCCAGGGAAGGAGGTCAGTGTGACATTCGGCAAAAAGGTAGATACCGATGTTGTTTTTGGGGACATGAGAAAGCAGTGGCAAGAGTTAAAAGCGAAAGTCGAATCAGCCGCTCCCAAGACTCGGGACCAACCATTAGGTGTGTTGAGCGACGAGTTGCTCTATGGACAGGAAGCCGTTGAGCTGCGCAAGAAAGTCACTAGGAAAGTCCGGGACCTTGTGCTGGAAGTGCGACGATCGCGAGGACTGCCAGACGAGGATCCCAAGCAAAGTCTGGTGGAGACATGGGTGCAGGAAGGCTCCAAACGGGAGGGAAAGATGGATGATGAATCATGGGTTAGGGATATATAATTGTGGGTGTCATTGTAGGATGATTGTAAAATAGTGGTAAATAGACACATCCATTGTAACTATATTTTCGGCCCTTCATGAGGACTAAAATTGCGGATACCTAAAGAGTGCTCCGCAAAATAGATACTACATTTCCTTCTCTATCCATACCCGACGGATGTATGGCTCACTGTTGCGGAACAGGGCTTACTTGCTCACGCAACTACGCAATGGCCACTTATGGTTGGCAACATATTAGAAATTGCGGCGCTTTCAGGAAGGTGAGGAATGTGAATGTGGCACGAACGAAACAGCAGTCCATATTCTAGATGACAGCCCAAGGCTGAAAGAGCTGCGCCAGGAGTTGCGAAATTGCGAAAGAAAGTTGGGGATGCATTTAATAACATCTCATGTATGCTAGGGGGAGAGACGGCCAAGGTAAGAAAGGTAGGTCAAGTAGCTCTGCCCAGGAGAGCACGATCAGTGCTGTACCGGATTTTGCAGAAGCATCCAAAAGGTTCCAAAGCCGCGCGCCAAGAGGGCCGCAAAACAGACACCAGGCACATAGGCCACCACAGGCCTTGACGAGGCACCAAATTCGTCAGGACGTAATGGAAAACTGTAACTAGAGATAGAAGGATAGATAGAGTTGTTGCAGCCTGCATATCGCTTACGGCGAGGGGCCCGGGTAAATTAATTCACCACCACCACCACCTAAAGAGTCGTCCCCCACATCCGTCACTTGCCCACACCCACGCGTTTCATCGTCTCTATACACCCTCTCGATGCCCAAAAAACATCACAAGCCCCTCTTTGCAAAACCAGCTAGTACCGCCCATCACACCCTTGTTTCTTCAGGCTCTCAAGGCAGTCACAACGATCGCTCCCGGCCGTCCCAAGCATCATCCTCCGAATCGCCCTCTGTTAACGATCTGATCAGCCACCTTCGCCGCACGCAAGTATCCCGATCGTCTTTGCACGATGGCTCCGCAAGTCCATCTAGACATCTTGCTCCACGATCCGTCCATCCTTCCCTGCGGAATCTCCTGGAACTCCCAGAAACCCCGCCACCTCGGCCCCGTCCTGGTAGTCGCCGTATCGGTGTTGGTGGACGACCGCTGAGAACAACCGCTGGACCTCCACCCCCTGAGAGCTGGCTTTTAGGAAATTATGCAACGGGAAATTCAGACGAGAATAATCCAGCGGATATAGAAGCCGCCCAGACTGGAAGAATTGTCTATCGCCTGGATCGTCTCCCGGGGAAGACCGTTCCTCCCAGACACACCCTGTTGCATATGTTGCTCAGTTCAATGGCACTGCATTGGACGTGGCATCTCGAATATGATGGACAGTTCCTCGCTCTTTTACCGACTCATATAAAGGAGTTGCTGCTTAGCTATATTAGTGTATATGCGAGAGATCAACCGGTAGCAGGGATGATGCACGGCCTGAGACCTTTGTTCGAGAAGCGACGCGTTGATCAGGAGACTGAAGATAGAAATGATCTCCCTCAAGACACAGACACTGATGTCTCACAACTCGATCTTGGTGGTGCGATCGGAAGGTGGCTGGAGTTGAAACAGCTTTTTACTGAGCTTTTCGTTTCACAAAAGCCAAAATCTCTACAGCATACTTCAAAGGAGCTTGTCCCATCGTCATGGGATGTTGAGAGTGATGACGACGCCGACGCCAGTGCCAGTCGCAACGTGTCCCTACCAAAAGCACCTAGCCAGGGACTTCGCTTCCAGAATCTCCGTTTTCTTTCCCTGGCACACCCTAACCCTACTGCTGCGAACTGGAACTCGCTGATAAATCTCCTCTCGCGTCTATCGATCCTGACCCATCTATCACTGGCACACTGGCCAGTTCCGACTGTCACCCCGAACGCCGCCAACGTTCGCGTCCGACACCCAACACAGAGGTCTTTGACATTCTCATATGGAGGCACGGATTCTTACGCGCTAGTTGAGAATAATTGGGCAGAAGCAGCAGGGATCTTACGAAGACTATCGCGTGTAACCTACTGCCTTAAATGGCTGGACCTGGAAGGCTGTGGAGACTGGATTCCAGCCTTGAATTGGGACGGCGTTGGACCGGACGGCGAGGTGTACTCCTCAGGCCCTGAGTGGAATGGTGCTTGGAGAGACATAGAGTTCATCCGACTAGGGCCTGGCTGGCTCCCTCATATTGATGATAGTGAACTGGCTCAGATTGCACGTCCGATGGTAACACCGAGGCCAGACACGGCGACACCATCTCCCGCTCGATCATTGACAACATCCATCCACTCTCCGTCTAGTGGTTTGGAGGAGGCCAATCTACCGTGGGATGTCGAACTGGAACGGATCAAGTATCAGCGGAGTAAAGAGCTAGAACAATTCCGGGAGATCATGCAAACCGCGAAAGCAGTCCAGCAACGGGTGCTACGTCTAAGAAGAGAAAGTCGAGGTAAATGGGTGAGATTCTCCTTTGGAATAGAGGGTCTAGAAGAGGATGTATTGAAGCGGTTGCTTGATATGGAGTATTTGCGTCTTGTTCCTTGATATCTTGCGGCCTTAAATTATATATTTTGTATCAATATCATAGCCATACACTCTGTTTTATATATTTTTAATTTTATTGGTGTCTTGGCGTCATTAGACTGTTTCTCTCCATCCTTGGCCTGCTTGATATCCAGCAGAATGCTCCACAAGCTAGCCAGGATATCACTTGCCCAATTCTTCGAATATCCTGAGGAAAAACAGTACCTTTAACTATTTGGTGCCGGGACCTTACATTCCCGGTCAGCTCTCAAGCATCGAAAACCGGATTGAAAACACTCCTGTCTATGCAAGTTAATGCGTGGTCGTACCTCCACACTCAAAGGGCAAAATCCCAGTACGTGTCAAAACGAGAGTTTCTTGAACGCGACTTACATTCGAAGCCGCGGATAAGATTTCTAGGAATGGATTCGCCGAGTATGCGCATCTACTCGATCAAAGACGTATTGCTTATAGAGACTGCTAATAAATTTAGTAACTCTGTCGTTGTAATCATCTACAATAACGACGAACATGTGGTTGGACTTATCTGTTATCATGGGGACCGTAGTGTCGAGCAGGGCAATGCTACAAGTATGCTAAATCTCTTCCTAGCTGAATCTTTCTGAATTCTAAATGCCAACATCCGTCTAGCGGAGATTGATTTTTGCCGCCCTGGGAATACTGAGAGTGCATGCAAGCTTTAAGATCTTGTATGCACCAATCATTAGTGAGTATTTCTTACACATTTTTCAAAAACAAGCTTCACTAATATGCAACAACATTATGATTAGGGGCTGCTCGATGCAGAAAAATGAATGATGAAAAGGATGACACCGCAAACACCACGCAAGCCTCCCCACTCTGCCTTACACCTTTATACTCGTCTCGTTGACGTTGGGTGGACAAATCTTGACAAAATGTCGGAAGATTTACCTAGCCTAACTAATGCCGGTATACCTTTTAGTCCAGTGGAATTTCACTGATAAACCTTGCACTTGGTGCGGGCTTGGATACCCCATTCACCTTCGTCAACTGAGCCTGCATAGAAATTCAGAAGCGAATTGCCCCTTCGTCATTGACATATCGGATATAGGTGAACACCTTAAGAGAAATTTCCCAGAAGGATCACCACATTGGAGATTAACTAAATTCCAGGTCGACTGCTGTCTTTTTTAACTTATGTATATAGCATATTCTCGGTAAATCCCATCTCTAGTGCTGAAAGTGGTCTCTCTTATGTGCGAAAAACTCAAAAGGTTTGTTACACTAAGGATTCAAGCTATACTAGGTAGTGTAAATTTTTTTTTAATTTTTAACAAGCCTAGTCTGGCATTAATCCATATCAGGAAGTCTGACCGTCGTTGTAATCTCAGCACACCAATCGTTTAGTTCAGCTTGGAGGGGCTTTGAAAGGCCAGCCTCGTCATGCCAGGCATCATTAACCCGCAAAGCAATGTCCTGTCATAGCTGCATCCTATAAAGCAACAAAATCTTCTCAGCCTTATGTCAGATTCGCCTGAAGGTTTAGCAATGAGTCACCATCAAAATACTATCGTTGATCTGTTCCTATAAATCAACAGCCCAATCATCTTCATCTCATTTACCATCTACAGGGAACAGCAACAATGTGGACTCCCGAGATTCCTCCAGCGCCAAACCCCAATCCCAAAAATGACCTAAATAAGTCTCCCCAGGAACTCGTCAGCGAGTTCTGGGACAAGTTCATAGCAAAGAACCCTGGCAAAGTCACCACAATCTTTCCCCACAGCCTATATGCCAATATCCTCCCCCCGCTTCAAGAAAAGGGAGCATCGTCCGCTCGTAACGCAGCGGAAAGCTACGAGGCCGCAGCCAAACAATGCAGAGAGCAAGTCTGGCGTATCGTACGCGAGTGCAGGCGCACGAACGAGAAATTCGCAGATCCCGACTTTGATATTGAAAGTGATAAGAATCTATGTCTGTGGAATTGTCTTCGCGGGCTTCTTCGAGGTGATGGCGAAGGTAGCGAGCAAGACTCAAGTTCGGGGTCTTCGTCTGATGATGATGAGAACGTTGACGTTCCTGGGTCAGTTCACAGAATCGACTGGATCTTCGAACGTCCTCAATTCACCATTGATGGGTATTCGAATACGGATATCAAGCAGGGTGCGAATGGTGACTGCTGGTGGCTTGCGGCAGTGGCGACGATCTGTAATCGGCAGGACTTGATGGAGAAGATATGCATTGCGCGGGATGCGGAGTGCGGAGTATACGGATTCGTTTTCTACCGGGATGGAGAGTGGGTGACTACGGTTGTGGACGATAATCTGTACTTGAACCATGAAGACTTTGACTACTATGGCGACCGATATGACAGCACGGGCAAGAGAGCGCGAAAATACAAAAAGCTCTATCAAACAGGCTCCGAAGCTCTCTACTTCGCCAAATGTTCCGACCCAAATGAGACCTGGTTGCCGTTGCTGGAAAAGGCCTATGCCAAGGTCCATGGAGACTATGAATCCCTCTCTGGTGGCTGGTCTGGAGAGGCTGTTGAAGATATGACTGGAGGGGTTACGACGACTATCGCGACGAACAGAGTTCTAAACAAGAACAAACTATGGAAAGAGCTTGTAAACTCGGAAAAGAACTTTGTCTTTGCGGCCTCGACACTTGGAACAGGTTGGGATTGGACGAGAGGTGGTTTAGCCCTAGGACACGCCTATTCGATTCTCCGTGCTACCGAGGAGGTAGACGAGGAAGGAAATAAAGTGAGGCTGGTACTGATCAGGTATGTGTGGCCATAATATTACGTGCAGTCTATGATGCTAAATCCCTTCTAAAGAAATCCTTGGGGTGAAAGAGATAGACGCGGTATAGGTGAGTGGAACGGGCCATGGAGTGATGGCTCAAGAGAGTGGACACCTTACTGGCTCCAAAAACTCCAGCACAGATTTGGGGATGATGGCATATTTTGGATGGCATATGAGGATATGTTATCAACATTTGTGTTCCTCCATCGTACTAGGATCTTCGACGAGAAGTGGACCGTAGTCCAGCGGTGGACGAGCGTCAGTGTCCCCTGGGTGACAGGCTACCTTCAAACAAAGTTCCTGGTTGAGATCAAGAAAGCTGGTCCGGTTATTTTTGTGCTTTCTCAGGTATGTTACAGTTTCTTTCCAAGACTAATGTGGGTGTCATATCGGTGCGAGGATTAAATATCGTCTTTTGTTGATTCTCCTTCAGCGATAGGAGCTGACATAGAAACTAGCTTGATAAACGTTATTTCAGAGGCCTTGAAGGGCAATACGAATTCTCACTACACTTCCTCCTACAAGAGGAGAATGCAAAACCTGGAGAACATATAGGACTAGTTCGACCAGCTCACTCCAGGGAATATCGGTCTATCAGTGCGGAGGTTGAACTCGAGCCTGGGAAGTACGAAGTTTTGCCCAAGATTCTCGCAACCAGAGACTCCAAGAAGAAGATGGTAGAACATGTGGTAAAGGATTTAGCGGAGGAAAATCCCCAGAAATTGAAGCAGGTCGGCATGAATTACGATCTGGCAAATGCAAAAGGGGTTTCTTCCGAAGAATATCCGAAAAAGGTAAGTAGTGATGCTGAAGAAAACAAAAAAGATACATGTTCGCAAGACAAAGATAAGAATAAAAGAGATCAAATAGAAGACAAGGCTGTCAAAGACCAAAAGGAGAATGACACTAAGAAACAGAATAATGGCAAATCTGTTCTTGAAATGGAATTTGCCCCTTTAGAGATCCTGGATGGCTTCCGGGTTAACAAGAAGGGACAGGTTCTCAATGAAGATGGGGAACCTATTGGGGAACTCAAAGAGGGAGATCTTATGAGTTGCACCGGCAAGAAAATCACAAGAGGAGAGGTGCGCGACACAGACGGCCGAATTGTTGGCCAAGCCAGGACTCTACTTCGGCCAGTCGGCAAGCCAGTCGACAACGCTCCCAATGAGTCCACGGTCGTTAAAAATGACGAACCTGAGGATGAGAAGAAGTACGAGGCAACGGATGAGAAGCTCCCTGGCGCGAAAGATGGGAAGGAGGATGATACAATCAAAAAAGATGGGGATGAGGAAGTTTGCCACCCGAAAAACGAGTCTCAGTCATCTGAAACGGACGACAATGCACCTCCCCCATGGAATGCAATCTGCGTGATTGGCATGCGAGTCTATGCAAAGGACTCTGAAGTCGCCATCGAGCTCGTGAAGCCGAAAGATCCTAAAGACGCCATTCTCGACGTGGAGGGAGCTCCTATGTAAACTCACATAGTCGGATCAAAGATGGCCTTATCATGCATGCATGATACGTATGGTCTATTCTAATGGTTTATTTTTACCTTAATATCTTACCTAGTCGCAATCCAAGTCCTCTCCCGATCACGCATGCTCTGTAGATGTGTAACGTTCAGCCCATCCTCTTGCTGGCGTTGGCTACTGATGACCGATCATATAGGTACTGTGGAAAAGAGGGGCAGGTTCAAGCGGGCGTGTAACAGTGCTTGTAGCAACTGTGCAAAATAAAAATAAATATGCAACAGAAACGTGGTCTAAACCCTACCTACTGAGCAGCCTGCACCCTGTTCCAAACTAAGTTCCATAGATTCCCCTTTTTGTCCAAACGTTTATTTAGCTCCACACCATTCTGAGCTCTCACTATATCCTGGTTAGTCAAACACAATGTCTTTACCTTAAGATCCGTTTAGAGAGAGATAGAAGTACAGAAAAAGTGACCATGTAGTGACCACTAACCAGCTCACCTGTTCTGAGCTTCTGCCGCCTTTTTAAACAACATTTTCAAGTATTCAATGAAAGAAAAACGTCAACACGCCAGAAGAAATTGGAAGAACGTGAAAAATGCATTTAAAATATCAAAACTGCGCTTATCGATCCATGTTCTGTGCTGCTTCATCGTGACAATCACTGGTTGCATAAGACAGCTTGGACTCATACCAGAGCTTGAGACTGGATGATGTGCAGTATATATAGTAACGGCAGAACTTCTTATATAATTGTACTGTGCAACCCCGTTAATATGTTTGCATTTTAAGTCTATTAAATTAAGTTCTTTTCCTTTTTCCTTTCCCTTCTGATATATTTCCTAGATCTAGAAGTAGACAACTCTACAAGTCTTGAACGACCTTCGCACGACCGAGAATAAACACGCCAAATTGTCTCAAAGCTAGGCAACTACATACCTTGCAGATACGTACTGCGTCGCCTAGCATCTATCTTTGTCCTTACTCTGTAGGTATGCATCATTCAGTTAATATTAGACTAGAGTCCTATATGGGATCCTTATTTTAATTGAGGAACAGTCCAGTGAAAAAAGCTCTCTGGATCATATTCTTCCTTCAACGCGAGGATTTCCTCTGCATGAGAGCCATAGAACTGACTCAGCGGATCTACCCCACACTTGGTAGATGAATACAAGAAATATACGTCGTGGGAAGAATATTTCCAGCCTCAGTCTTCGAGACCGCATCCGCGATATCAGATGCCCATTTCTCAGCTTCATTCTTGCGATCCTCCACAGTGGCGTACCCGAGAATCTCGAGCATATAGTGCGGTTCTCTTGCACCAAAAACGGAGTTATCTTTTGGTGCGGCGGAGGGGCCCCGTAACTGATGTATGGAGATCATGGTACCTGGATCAGACGGCAGAGTGGGTAGATTGCGGGCGATTGCTTCGGCAAGCTCGGGCGTAATATGGTTCACGTTGAGTGTCCGGCTGGATCCATATACACTTAACGGAACTAAGGCTGCGCTTCCAGCAAACCAGTCGGGGATTGTCGTCTCGGCGACAGTGTTCATAAGAAGCGGTCCGAGGCTAGCAATTTGGTCGCTCCAGTGCTTGCCTTCTTCAATGTTGTCACCGCTCCAGGCAAGAATGGCGGCGAAGAGGCGTCCATGAGGCGCGTTGAATACAGCTTGTTGGATGGTTAGCTGAGGTGGAATGCCCTTTTCTAATAACTTTTGGTATGCTGCGTTGAAGTCGACAAAGACCTTGCTGATATTCTCGGAATTAAACAGGATTGCCCCGGCAAGAAGCTAGATGATATTAGTGGTTCTCGGCTTTTGCTTGTTACAGACACGACAAAGGACAGAAACGAAACAGAAGGAAGAATAAGAAGAAAGCTGACTTACGCTTTTCAGTGGATACACCTTGATTGTAAGATCAACAATCACCCCAAACACGCCTCCTGCCCCACGGAAACCCTTCAGGAGCTTTTCATCCGCCTTGGTGATCTCCCCATTATGATTGACGATGGTGGCACCAAGGATCTGATCAGCTCCTAGTCCCCAGTGTGCTGAGAAGAGGCCATATCCTCCGTACATCGCCCACCCGACATATCCAACGGACGGAATTGATCCGGTGGGTGTGGCCACTCCTTCAGCCCATAGTTTTGTGCCTAGTTCTCCCTGCAGGATGCCTCCCTCCACTGTAGCCGATTGACGATCTTCAGCAACCTTAACGCCTGTAAGAGCCCGAAGATCAATGACGAGGGCACCCTCCACGAGGGCTCGGCCTTCGAGATTGTGTCCGCCCGTGCGGACGGTGAATTTAATCCCCATCGACTTGACAAATTGAACAAGCACCCTCACATCCTCTGCGTTTTGTGGATGAACGAAGGCAAGCGGGGTGTCCGGACGGGCTAGATTCCACACTTTACGCACGGTGGAGAACTCGGGTGACGAAGGTGCGGTGTATTTAATGCTAGAATGACTCCGGAGAAAGATCTCCAGAGCGGCGAGCTGAGCATCTGCCATGGTTGCGATCTGGTGCGTGCTTGCTAATACGGGGGCTACAAGTAGGGGGACAGAGAGATAGCTTGTATTTATATCTCAACATGCAGGTATCCCTGTCATCACCCTTGCTAGTCAAATGTGGTTTTGTTTAGTTTTTTTTACGGAGTGGACAGAGCTGACGGAACCTTGTCCTTGTTTACCATAAAAGATCAGGAAGATCATGCATTAGAATGGCGTTGGGTTGTCCAGACAAGAAGCTCATCATCCCAACCTATAAGCTGTTGCTCTTTTTCCTAGCAGCGTCTTCTGCATGACAAATATCGTAACGACTGAGGCTACAGGGTAGCAGAAGATGGTATGGCCTGTTAGTGCTTATGGGACAACTTAGCCAGGGTGAGCGGCCGCAAAAATGAGGGCTTGCAGCTCGGTGTGGTTCGAAGTTGTCGAATAATATGGTTGGTGGACCGGAATTATGTGACTAGATCGGGGTAAAACCCCCGCGGAGCACACAACAAACATTATAATTCGCCCGACTTGGTGCGGAAGTATCTGACGATCCATTCTACCCCTCAATCCTTTAATTGAGCACCCAGATAGGAATGCAAGAGACTCAGTTGGTTGAGATACTGTGATTCCTGGTGTTTCCACCGGGACATCTATTTCCTAGGCAGGCTAGTTGGCCTGTAGCTGATAGAATAGCTCCACCCGCAATCTCCGACCCTGACCCTGCAGGACACGTATTGCTTCCCCTGAATTCCACAACAGAAGGCAAATTTCATCAGTGGAGACTGGCACTAGTGTATCAACATCAAGATAGAATCCAGGGACCAACAGAGAGCCAGCGTTATTCCAAATGTCGACACACGCTGTCCGGGCAGCAGGGCACGGGTTGTTCCGTGTGTCACTGTTGGTAAATCGATGTCCTGGTGTCCAGACGGATATTGTAAGTGGGTTGTCGTCCGTCTCTGCACAGAGATACTTGAAGCAAATAGTAATTACAGCTTGCACTGGAAACTGAGTCGCTTCTAACCAGGCCTGCGCGTCGGTCGACAGCTGAAAGGCAGATTCGGACGTGCCAATTTCGATGACGCATGTCAGTTTGGAGGAGGAGGCAGCCGGAGCCCAACAGAGGTCAGGCTCTTTGATCCAATTCCCTATGTTATTATGCGGAGACGACAGCAAGAGGCACTCGAGCAACGTTCAAACGATGCCTGGAATACTCGTAGAAAACTCGGATGTTGTCAAGTACCTACGAGTTGAACTTCCCCTTGACGTCGCACGTCGGCAGTACGATTTGTTACGGAAACTCGAAACCAGTCAGTAGATACTCAAGTTCCGACTGGTGACAGAGGAAGAGTTCAATATCCTGTCGGCTGACAATACGCGACCCTGCAAGTTCGTCAGGATTCACTATATCGCCCGCGAACTTTTACTTGTGAAGGTGATGTCAAGGTGGGATCACGAGAATATTGCTGGTCTGGTCCGAAGGATAATTGACAGGCAACTAATGGCCATGAATGTCGATGGGGTACGTGTAGAGGGGGCAGAATATTTAGTAAGAGAAGGAGGGCATCCTCTTAACTGAGTCGTTGCTTGTGACAACACCTCCATGATACTTAATAACAAACGGCAGGCAAGGATCTAAATGCAGGGGGTATTAGCAGACTGCCCAGCTTTAACTCTATTTCCTCTTTCGGGACTAGCCGAATATCTGACAACTTTTAGACTAACACGTGCCCGACGCACAGTTGGTCCACAATATGAAGCTTATTGATAGCAACCACGACCAAGCGATCAATAAAGGGCTTATGGTAAAGGATTGAAAGAAAAACGAACAGCTATTTCAGGGCTGGTTAGCACATGGGTATACTATACGTTCTTGTTTTCTTCTGTAACAACTTATTGTTGGTAGATCCATTCAGGTCGCAAGCCGCACATCCTTCAATGCTATTGATTTGCCTTGCTTGGTCTTCCTCCAACGAGGAGAGAGGCATTATCAGACATATGCCTTTATCAGGGTAAAGCAGAGGAATATATTGGAAGATCACAGCTTTGCGCCAGCCAGTTTTTGCTATCAGGATCAGATCCTCTCGGTGTGTGAGTAGGTGATGGATCGCTTCAGTCTGCTCTTGGTGCGGTTAGAACCAGAAAAACCGTGCTAGGTCCTCCTGGAGTTATATTTGCTGATGTGCAGCAACTCTATTTTATGATGTGCTGGAAGAGAACGGTTCTCTAGTGGTCCGTCTTGTGTCCGCATCTTGACGTGGCCCACGTTCTGCTAACGCCTCATCCTCAGGCTCTGTTAGGTCAGTGTTATATTAACTGTTTTAGTGCTTTCTCTATCAGAGTCATCACTATTGTTGGATAACTAGTAGTCTGTCTTTTTAAGGACGGCGGGCCATGAGATGAAGGTATTATAAGGTAAAGAATAAAATGTCGCTGAGATTTTGCCTTAAGATAACAACTTCATATTATCTTAAGAAGGAGTCCAGATTTGGATGGTAGGTCCAGATCTCAAGTAGGATCGAAGTATGCAGAAGTAGAATCCCAGGAGAAGGAACATCGGACCTTTAGGTGGAAAGCCGTTATTTATGCTGGGATCTTCAAGGGGAACCATTTTTAGCACCCCTATAAAAATGCAGCGCACTGGGTAAAAGGTGAGAATTGTGAGCACAGGTAGGCGGCTGAGGATACAGTAGCTGCAGGCAAATGAGGTTCATCTTATGTGAGTTGGTGGTGTGGATACAATCATACAAGTGCCAAAGTGAGTGGCGGAAGGGCTGGCAAATTGACAGCTGAAAACAGTGTCGAATGCGGCCGTTTTTTGGCAATCCATGTGCCGCCTTGTCGTTTAAACTTGTATTTTACAATATTTTAATCAAACACATCATGTAATCTATAGATCTATTTGTTAACCAATCAGATTGCGTATTCTGTCCGTCAATGATTGCTAAGCAAGCCTGGTCTGTAATTTAACGAGTAGCAGGGACGAAGGATAGCTTCGTCGTTTCCCCCTAGTAATGTTGCAGCCCTCTTTGCTGCTATTTCGATCCCTTGCCCCTCGTTCTTTTGACCCAGAGTCGGTGAGGCATTTTTGCTACTGGACCAGTCACCCTATGCACTGCACTTTCGCAAAGCGGGACAAGGAAGTGGTGACCTCCTCTCGGGAGATCGCCATTCGAAATATGTGGAAGTAGAGTCGGATGGCTATAATGGTTTCAGATTGTTGGTTATTTGGGAGCCTCACTGATTAGACTTTGCACTCAGCTAATCATGATCGATAGCTCCATCCCATTTCTTCGGGTATTGTACACCGCCACTGTTCCTTTTGCTAACCCTTCCTAGAAAAAGTAATGCGATTTTGCTGAACTCATTATAGCTAACTGCTGATCGCCTTCTAAGCTGAGGTAAGACAGCGATCGACCTGCAAGCCCCCCAGAGCTGCGTGATGCTCACAGCGAATTGGAATATGCCTACGTTGCGTCTGTTGTACTTTCAACCGACTGTGTTTGATTTCCCGTTTCTGGTGATGGATTTGCTCGTGTATGTATTTGTGCGTCTGTGTGTATGGGATAGGTCATAGCTACGTCAAGAGGAGGCCATTCACTTTGGCTCGCAGTAAGTCTCCCTCAGGTTGCACTGTTTTCTCTCATCTGGAAGGATGCAAAAAGCGTATAAATAGCTGGTTCTCTTCCCTCGAAATCATCATCATACCTCCATCCTCAGCCAAATCGAACAAAAAAAACCATATCAAACATCCAATTTATCCAACGTTCAACATGCGCGTCGTTGCCGTCTTCGCTGCCCTTCTGACCTTGGCCTACGCTGCCCCTTCTCTGGAAGCGAGACAGCAGGGTGAGAAGTGCATTGTACGTATAATATTTGGCCGCCGATGCTAGAAGTATTCTAATTCATCTATAGGAAGTCCATTTCCCCGACACCTGTGGCGCCCAGTGAGTACTGTCTAACTGTGGGCAATCGACCTGATGGATCCTAACATGTTTTAGCGGCCGAGTCAAGTGTGACGGTTCAGGCTCTATTCTCGTTTGCTGCGTATGTTCTGCATTCCAAGATTATTACTTCAGGATCATCCTTCTGACTATCTACAGGAACGTTGCTATTAAGCCTGTATCGATAGGAAAAGGAACGACTATGTGATCGGGACCTGGGGAAGAGATGGAGATAGTTAACACCTGTGTACATGTGGATGAATATCTCCAGAAAAGTCTAGGGACAATGCCATTTAACAGACTTATTGTATAATGGAGCCGACTCATAGCTATCATTCTTAATTGTAGAAAGATTATGTTAAGAAGTCACTTTCTATTGGTAGATTACATGGTATCTTTTAATTGCCCCTAGTAAAATGTTCTTATTCAACTAGGTGGAGGATATTACATATAGTATGTGCGTTGGTTGGAAATACTCAATTAAAGTAGCAGACGGTAAACCAGCTATCGGAGAAAGCCACAAGTGAGGTCATTATAAGCGCTCAATTTGCCCCAATTCCTGCCACGTTCACGCTCACGCACTCTTCTCCTGTTCCCTGAAATACCAGGAATCACAGTATCTCAACTGAGTCTCTTGCATTCCTACCTAAGGTGCTTAATTCTCTAGGTCATGGGTGCTCAACCACCCAAATAATTCAGGAGCTAAATAGGATCCATAAGATCTCCGCACCGCTAAACCGGGGGGATCACATTATTTCCATAAGAGTTTGCATGTAAGACAATACACAAGCCACAATTGCTCGATTATTCAACGTATATGGCTAGCAGGATTGAGAATTTGTTTCACAAAGGTATTTCGATTAGAGGTTTCCGTTTCCTTTTAGGCTGGACTAGTTACCTCAGCTCCTTCAGCCAAACAAAAAGGTGGTAAATCTCTCTTCGCCGCCAGTGCAAAATGGCCGCTCTTAACGCCGTTTATGACTGCTAATTTGCCTGGGTTTCTTTGATAGGCACTCTATCGAATCACCCTAAGAAACCACGGCATGAGCGCCTAGTTGACTTTACTAATACTTTTTGCCATTCCCGATATTGCATATTGTATGAGTTCCACTTAACGACTAGATATAAACATGACTTTGATTAGGTTAAAGAGTTAAGAGGTACAGCATACAAAATGAACGAGTACAGAAGCAAGACATAAGAACAACAACAACAACAAAAAAAAAAAAAAAAAAAAATCAGGTAGAAGAGATCACGGAGAAAAGAGAAGACATGGACGACCTATAGTACATGACAGGCAAAGATCCAGGTATATACAAAAGGACACAGGAGAGTTGAGAGGAAACCACATTTTGTATAGAGAAGTAGGCCTTGTAGGCGTTGATTAGTACTCATATGCATAGATTTAGCGTCCTACGTGTCTGCGAAGAAACTCGTATCCATCTTGGATAGCGTTGGCTGCTTGTGGATCGTCCGCATACGACGGATAGAGGTCAAACAAATGCACCGCTCTGTTGAGAATGCGAAGGTCCGCAGTCACATCGCGCTGTCTGAGTGCTTCAAAGGTCCTCACAGCCTGTTGCCATGGAATCAAGTCATCCTTGGTGCCGTGGATAATGAATGTCGGAGTGGTGTACGCCCCGTGGCGAATCTGCGCCAACGGGCTTACCGATTGGATTTGTTCCCGGGTGGGTTCAGGGAGGTCGACACTGGATTGGGCATCATGCCTGGGGGATAAGCCGTTGAGCAAAATCGGAAGGGTGTGGCCCTTCCAGTTCATGTGTAGCGCAATTCGCGAACGGGGATCGCTGGGCGCCATCCATCCGCCTAGAGCCCGCTTCGTTCTAGGGGGGTTGTAGGCCGTGATCGCCTTATCGCACACGCCTTCAAGGAGGTCGTATTGTACCAGTTCGTTCTGCAATACTGCTCCCTTCCCGAATGGAAAGTTAGGCTCGCCCCAGAACGGATCCTCGTAGTCCAGCGGGCAGTAGAATGCGAGAATCGCGTCCGGAGGCCGGATTCCCCTCGGAGGAGCAGTAAAGCCCAGTGTGAGGGCGAGATGGCCGCCGGTCGACCAACCTACAGCCACAATATGTTCCCGGTCGACCCGGACATCAGAGCGCTGTAGCCGAAGATCGGGAAGAACATCGCGCGCCCAGGCTAGAGCATCGCACACATCCCGCATCGGACCCTCGGGCAACGTCACTTCCGGACACAGTCGATAGTCGATACTGACGGGGAGAAACCCGGCATTTAGGAGCATCTGGACTTGCGGCAGGCGGATGTCCTTCCGTGATAGCATGACATGGCCTCCTCCATGGATCATCAGTGCTGGGACTCATTAGTCAGGGCTTGCCACAATCTTCCCGCATAGTTGATGCTGCTCCTCACCGACCGGAAGCGTCCCACTGCGCTCGGGGACATGTTTCGGATAGTAGATATCGGCCTGAAGGGAGACGTCTCCAACCCGTTTAAACTCGACCGTCTCGGTCGTGGCTTGGGCGGCCTCAGCGGGCGACGCCACGATGACCCGGAGAATGCTGGATTCGTCGGTGGTGCCTACGGTCCAGTCCACCCACCGAAAAGATGCCTGAGTGAGATATTTCCTCCACAAGGTCTCGCTCGCTAGTGCATGCCGACGACCATCTTCGAAGCGCCACCATCCGTCCAGAAGGCCAAAAACGATGTCGAACCAGAACAGATTCCGCGTAAGCTCCACCAGACACAGGAGACCTTTTGGCTGGAGCAGTTTCCTGATATTCGTGCAAGAGCGGACTAGGTCTTTCGTGGCATGAATGCAATTGGTAGCGATAACAATGTCGTACTGACTGTAGAGTTTGGTCGCTGACTCTTCCTCAATGTTCACAACGGCATAGCGCATGAAGCTGTACTGAGAAAACTTCTTCCGGGCAGCCGCTACCAGGGACGACGAAATATCACTGAATGTATATTCGAATGGTTTTTGCGTCGTGAGGAGGGATTCCACGAGGTGTTTGCTGGTGCCGCCCGTGCCGGCACCGATCTCCAAAATGCGAACTGGCCGGTTGTCGTCAAAGGTCTGGAAAATGTCAACAAGGTACTTTGTCAAACTTATCGTACCCGCTTCGAACATCGGGGCATGTGTGTAGACATTTTCTAACAACGCTCGAGATTTGGGGCTTCCAAAAAGAATCTCCAAGGGATCAGCCTTTCCAGTAAGACAATCGGCCAGTTTTGAACCTGTCGATGCAAGCAGGGTGTGCTCATACGTGTGTTGTGGGAACCTGGACACGATTGATTGCTGCAGATGCCCGGAGTCAGTGCCAGGTACCGGAGTGCCAGTTCGGCGGAATTGGCCGGAAGAATCGCGTTGGACAAGGGAAGCCTCTTCTAGTATCTTGTAGATCTGATTCTTCAGTTTGTGATGCCTGGGGAGGACGGAGACGTTTGGGACCACTTCTTCAGCGGCCATTGTTGCTAGTGGGCAGCCCAACCTATTGAAGGCCTCGACGATATATGCCACGACAAGCTCCATCTGGACGGGAAGCACCGAGTGGCAGAAGTTTGAGAATTGCGTTCGCTGAAAAAATACATCCCCGTTACTTCGAGAGTGCGCAAAGATTTCCTGAGCAACAGATATGAACGAGTTTGTTGACGGCGTTGACTCGAGAGCTTGAGCCCCTGCCTGCTCAGTAATGAGGGCTTCTTTCGTCCCTATGACTCCACTGGGAGAGGGATTAAAAGTGCCGGAAGTAGAGACGTGACTAGCCTGGAGCCTGCCTGCAAGATCGCCTACTCTCTGCAATGCCTGGAACTCGTCTGTGGCAATCGTAACGCCAAACCGCTTCTGAACCTCGCTCAAGACCTCCGCAGACATCAGCGAGTCAACCCCCAAATCCATTAAAAGCATGTCAGCACGGATTTCACTTTTAGGGATCTCTAAAAGATCGCTGAGCATTTCCTGAGTGGAGCCGAATGAGGATGTCTTGGTTGCGTTTCCATTGACTTGGTGTGGGATAGATTCACCATTGACCTCCATAGTCGAGGAGCTGGAATGGAGATACTGAGCGATGGCGTGGACATTCTCCTGGGCAAGAAAGTCGGAGGCCGGTATATCCACCTTATACTGGCGTCTGATTTCATTCAGGACTTCTGTACTCATCAGCGAGTCGATGCCAATATCAGTCAGAGCGGTGCTGGGTTGGATTTCGTCAACGGGCACTTCAGTCACGCGGCTGAGCAGCTGGCAGAGTTGCCCGAGAAGTTGGGTCTTATCCAGCTCCACGCTGTTCATCCTTCCATTTACTTGAGCATCGGAGGGGACTTGCTGCAAGGACCTATTTAGCGTTGTACCCCTGCTTCCCTGGATATCCGACGAGTGTTCTTCAGCATTGAGCCCTGCAAGGGTCTTCGCGAGTGACTTCATGGGCAGACCATGGAAGGTTGCGCCAATGAACATAGCAAGCAGATCTCCTGTGTTTGGGTCGAAGATAAGGATATCATTAACCAGCCTGTTTGCAGAGATCTGCTCAAATGTGGTATACACGTCCCAAGACTCCATCTCGCCCCGCCTGGCAAAGAAACTATCGCTCAGGAGAAGATACCCGAGCTCTGTGCAGACATAAACTTCATTGTCCATCCTGTCGGACAGACAGTTGACATGGATACCTGCAACTTGGAGGAAATTATCCAGTGTGATGGGATCGCAGCGCGTCTCCTGCAGAATCGGATCCTGGCCAGCTGGAACGCGAATCAAGCCTACAGCCTCGTTGCCCTTAGAGATCAGATGGTCTACTCCTCGATAATAAGGAGCATAGTCCACCACCTGTCTGAAAGTTCGGTAAACAATGGTCTTTCCATTTAGCACATTAGTTCCCGGGGTACTTGACATGTCCTTACGCCGCACCTGGCTGACCAGCCGTTTCAGCGATTGCATGCTGGAGCCGGGAAAGCGTTTGTCTGGGGAGTCCATGCAGACGGCTCCACTGGCATGTTTGGCGGAGGAGGTCCCGTTCTGTTGATTGCTGCTGCGACTGGTAACGGAGAATTCCCACGTACTTCGTTCTTTTTCGTGCGGCTGTAGCTGAAGAAATACTTCACGGTTGGAACTGATCGACAAAGGTGAGGATATCTTCAGATCTCGTATATGGCACGCAGCCATCGAGACTCTGTCACCCGGGAGTTGAGTTGCGGCTTGCATAATTATCTCCACATACATTGAGGCCGGGCAGAGACTTTGTCCCAGGACCGCATGGCCCTCTGTGCATAGTCTGAACAACGCATGCCAGCAATTGACCTGGAATGTTGCACCGCGATCATCCCGTTCAACCAGACTCAGCAGCGGTTCTGGTCCTTCCTTTGCCGTGGTAGAGGCCGCCTCATGCATAGCGGCGCCAGGAGGGATATATTGCAACCAATGCGACGTCTTCTGAAACTGGTAAGGAGGGAGATTGATCCAACGGAGCTGAGACTCCTGACCCTGGTAAAAGGGCCAGTGCTGAACCCTCACCCCAGCGGACCACAGGCTGGCGGTGCATTTTGAGAGGTTCGACAGCCCATGTGGAGTGCGCAAGTCGACTGCTTGGAAGACACTGCCACCGGCTGCATCGGTGGCACCCAACGCCCTGCGAACCATGGGGATGATCGGAGAGTTCGACCCCGCCTCGAGCCAGATACAGTTTTCCGAGCGGCGCACAATGCGCTGAACGGCGTGGTGGAAGTGAACAGGCATCCGACTGTGTTGAACAATCATTTCCGCATTGATGAGCTGGGTCCAATCCTGGTCCTCGGAACAGGCCTCGATCCGGCATGATGGCTTCTTGTACCTGATACTTGACGCTATTTCTCTCAGGCGAGGTACGATGGCGTCAACCAGCCTGGAGTGGAAGGCGTGTGTGTTCGGGAGACGCGTGAGTTTTATGCGAGAACTGAATCCTTCTGATGCTGAGGTCTCTTCGACTGCATCTATCGACGTCTGGGGTCCAGCAAGAACTGTGGTTTCTGGCCCATTGAAGCATGCAATATCCACAACCAAAGACGGATGTCGCCGTTTGGCGCTCTCCAGGAGTTGCTGGATCTCGCCGTGGGCTCCTTGGACCGACAGCATGGCGCCCGTCTCCGTGCCCCAGGATGATTGAATGAGACGGGCACGTTCTGAGATCAGACGTAGACCGTCCTCGAGAGAGACTGCGTCAGCAACCACTAGAGCTGTAAGCTGCCCGAAGCTGTGCCCAATGATCGTGTCGATTTTCAACCCGGCGCTCAAGAATGACTTGGCGCAGGAATACTGCAGAGAAAATAGAACGCAGTGCAAAAGAACCAGGTCCTCAATCGGCTCCGGATGGAAGATCGTTGGAAACAGGCTTGGAAGACCCAGGGCCTGACATACCCCTTCACAGATGTCCTAAGCTATCATGTCAGCCTCTGGAGCCAGGGTCGATGACGGGATACAAACCAGATGTCTCTTAAACGGTGGGCATTCCACGTAAATGCTCGGATCCACGTGCGCAGTCCTCCCATTCTGCCCGCCAATGCACAATATCACAGGTCGTTGATGTCCAGAGCATTGGTTGAAATGGCTTTCGTCGGGCTGGTCCAGCTTCGCAGCCAGTTCGTCAGCCGTGGATGCGGTGAATGTGTAATGGTAGTCCAACTGTCTGTTCTGTTTGAGTGACAGGTTATACGCCAGCGCATGGGCTGTCTCAACGCTGTGCTGTTGCCGAATTGCCGGCAGGCGTAATGACAGGGCTGCACAGTACTCACGCAGACCTTGCGGAGACTTGGCGGAGATGAAGACCGGGACAGCCGAGGGAGCAGAATGGTTCACGCCATTAGCCACAGCGAAGCTACTATTCCTCGTCTTCACCGACATGGGGTCCTCGACCACGATCGCCACATTACTGCCCGCAGCGCCGTAGTTGTTGACAACGGCAACGCGTCTGGGAGACACCCATCTCTCGGTTCGTTGGGGAATCGCCATACGGTCAGGCTCCAGGGGCGGGATTTTCGGATTTAACCGGTTGAAGTTGGCTTGTTTAGGGATCATACGCTTCTGCATCATCAACACCGTCTTAATCACTGCCGCCACCCCGGACGCTGCCTCGGTGTGTCCGATATTATCTTTGACAGACCCAACGAACAGTTGGTGCTCCCGTTGGGATCCCCCAAAAGCCTGACGGATGCTCTCGCACTCAATTGGATCGCCTACTGGGGTTCCTGAAGAAGATTTCGTCAGCTTTCCGGGCCTTTTCCGGATAGGGAACGGATATATCTAACCTGTCCCATGCGCTTCAACATACGTGACGTCCCCTGGGTCAATTCCGGATAGGGACAGTGCCTTCCGATACAGTGCAGCTTGGGATTCCGAAACGGGCACGGTGATCGGGGTACAATTGGCCCCCTGATTGACGGCAGAACCTCTGATGACCGCGAGGATCGAGTCGCCATCAGCAAGAGCCCGACTCAGGGTTTTCAGTACCACTATTCCCGCGCCCTCACCCCGACAGTAGCCATTAGCTTCTGAATCAAAGGCTTTCGACGCGCCGGTCGGACTTAGGAAAGAAGCTGCGGAGAGAACTTGATATAATGCAGGACTGGTGATCACATTCACACCTCCAGCTATGGCCATGGATGCTTCGTTTGTTTTGAGGGCCTGATTGTTTTCCCATTAGTCCCACGTGGATTCTAACACAGTCCAGAGATAGTGGCTTACATTAACCGCCGAGTGGATGGCTACAGCTCCGGACGAACATGCCGTGTCATAGGTGATCGATGGGCCGGTCCATCCAAAGTGATGACTGACTCGACCACTGATAAACGCCCTCAGCGTGCCGAGGGCAGAGAACGCTGTGGCATCATGAGAAGCTACGTTATCCCCATAGTCGACTGATCCAACACCGATGTAGCATCCGACATTCGAACAATCGTTGTCGACGGAGTTCCTCAGGCCAAAGTACCCCGAGGATTCCAGCGCTTCGTATGCCACCTGCAGCAGCAATCGCTGCTGTGGATCCATCGACTTTGCTTCACGGCCGGAGATACCGAAGAAACGATGGTCAAATAGGTCTGGGTTGCGAAGGAAATTGCCCCAGAATGGCCCCTTCGGCTCACGCTTGAGCTCTGAGGGTTTGAACCGGTCTTCTGGGAGAGGCCGAACTGCTGATCTTCCGGATTGCATCAATTCCCAAAATTCTTCCAGGTTCTCAGCCTCGGGATAGCGACAGGCCATGCCAATGATTGCGATGGCAGGGGAGTCGGCGGCATCAGGAGCTTCAGGGCCGTTCAACTCCGTCGAGGCAATCCTACCATTGGGGATTCGATGGGACACACCATCGGGAACTCGATTCAAATCAGAAGTTACAGGACCGACAGGCTTATGATTGTATATTCGTCCTCTTGCAACTGAACGAGGAATGGCAGTCATAGAGCCTACCGACATGATATGATCTGCTTCTCTAGCTTTAGTGGAAATTGCTCCCTGCACAACTTGAAACCATTGGCATTGATGCAATAGGATAGAGTCGATGGCGACATCATGCAAAGAGCCGGAAATGATGCTCCCATCGATGTTCGACCGCAACGGTAGGGTGAGCTCACTGGCATCGGGCAACTGGAAACGTGAGTCACGTTTACAGAGCTCCCGAAACAGGATAGCAGACTGTTCATGCGTGCTGCGACTATGATAGCGACCTGCAAGCCCGATGGACTGGGACGAGAACCCCAAATCGGATGCCTCTTGCAGAAGGGTGCCCACGTCCCGATCAGGTAGTGTGATCGTGATGCGATTCTCATCCGTCACGCATGAGATGTAGCTCTGGCAAAGTTGAGAACGTCAGCGCTGTTGAAGAGCGTTCAGGAGGAACTCACATCCTTGTATTCCGCAATGATACCCAGTAGGGTTTCATACTCAGACTTCGAATTCCAGCCAACTGATACCGATGCCGCTGGGTCTGTGGTGTTGTTCAAGTCCACAAGAGTACCGACACCGGCAGCAATACAAAGGGCTGCTGTAATATTTCTCTGGAAGCTAATCTCGGATTTAGCACTGGAAACCGCAGCAGCTGTCAGAAAGCCAATGCAAAAACCCTGGATATCCCTCAAATACAAAGGTGAATCTCCGGCGACAGAAGAGAATACGTTACTCTGGACTTCTCTAGAGAGCTGCCAAAAGTCAACGGCATGGAAAAGGACGGTAAGCAAGTTTAACAAAATATTTGGAGTCGGTGACTGGTCCAACTCCGGGAGCTCATGGCCGTTGATATAGCGGGTGAATGCATTTAGACTCGAGTCGCCAGGTAGCTTCTGTACGCCAGGGAAAGCTTCAACGAAGGTCGGCCACAGGGTCTGTATTTGATCGGCTGCGGTGCGGAGGAAAGCTAGGTATGGTGTAGCCACAATCGTGGAACGAAGCTGTATGAGATCGTTTGTGGTGACGCGCGATTGTTGTGGGCTTACCAACAACAGCGCCGGTTTTCCATGCGTTGACAACAGATCACTAGATAAAGACATGTCGACCACTCTTGGAGGTTGCCTGGCAGCAGGGGCAATTGACAGGCACCGACGTAAGGGTCGAAGGTATAGCTACGAAGTCCGGCTTCCTGGGTGCAACCGGGCTCAGTCGTGAATGTGTAAGAATTTTTGAACCGGCCAGGGACGTTATGCGTGCCCATAACCTGATATACCCGGACAGAGGATATTAATTGCCAGATCGGGTCGAGATTCAGCCTCAACGTCGCATTTACCAGACAGACGAGCAGCGGTATGATGACGATTACCCAGAGGCTCGCAACAGTGGCCGTGGAAGAAAAGGCGATACAAATTGTTATTGGCCTTTTGTTGAGCCGCGCGGAGAAAATCCTTCAACGTGGAATGCACTGAGTATGATGGTGGATTCTGTCGCCTCGTGAGAGCCGGGTGGACAGCTCAGGTCTTCTGCATCTTGGGGCTATGACCCACCGCGGTCGCTGATAACCCTTCTTGATACTCAGGACTAGGGCTATAGGCCAGATCCAAGTTGTGTGATGAATGCTCTGCGAAAATGTACTCGCCCCTTGGCTTTTGCCCTCGCATGTTCCACCCACCCAGTGCCGGGTAGGATTTACTCGGGGTTGGTACCACTAGTCCACAGCTGAGGCGGAACTCGCTTCATGTCTCTGGTGACAGAATGGGGATATCCAAAATGGAGACTGGTTCAGATAATGTTCTCTCTCCAGTGCCTGAAATATTCAGTTCAGTCGGGAGAGGAATAGCGTAAAATGCTGCAAGTAAATTAGCCATACCGAGTAGAAGTGAAGCGATTATAACAATTCGTTCGCTCTCTGTCTTTCCTTATTTATTTTATTTATTTATTTTTCTCCCTTTATTGTTTATTTGTCAAGGCGAGAGTATTCATAAACCATTTCACTACCCATTACCACCTTGCACAGCCTCAGGGTTCCAGTGAAAATGGCTATCTCAGTATCCTTGCCAACTTACGGGGTAGCATATGCAGAAATCCTCCTAGTCCTGGTGATCTGCTCCACGTTGATCCATTTCGTCCGGAGTTATTGGCGACTCAAGCATGTTCCTGGACCGCTCTGGGCACGGTTTACCAATCTACAGCGAGTCTCGTGGGTGAAAACCAAAAGGGCCCATGAGATCCATCAGGCCACGCACGACCACTATGGGGAGGTGGTGCGCTTCGGACCCAATATGGTTTCTCTCTCCAATCCCGCCTGGATTCCAACAGTATATCCAATTCGAACGGGGTTTCCCAAGGTATGTCTATCAGGAAGCGAGATCGACACTTCCGCAAACAGTCGGTGGACTGATGGGGTCCTTCAAGGGCGACTTCTACAGAACCCTCATGCCTTATACAAGGAAAGGAGGCGCCCTACCCGCGGTGTTCAACACCCGGGACGAGGCGCTTCACAAGAAGATCAAGTCGCCGATTGCGCCGCTTTTCTCCCTGTCCAACGTACTCTCCCTCGAAGGCTTCGTCGACAAGGCAATTCAAGTTATGGTTGAACAGCTCGATATACGGTTCGTGGAGACCGGAGAATCGTTTGATTTGGCCGATTGGCTGCAGTATTTCGCGTTCGACGTCATGGGAACGCTGACATTCTCCAAGAGATATGGGTTTCTGGAGCAGGGCCAGGACGTGCACGGCATGTTAGCTACCATATGGAATTACATGAAGACAGCAGCACCGGTGAGCCAACTGCACCCTCTAAGCTGATATTCCAAAGCTCGACTGACCGAGACATTTCCTTGCGAAGATGACACAAATCCCGTGGTTCGATGAACTATGGTATAAGAATTCATTTACCGCCATGTTCCGAAAAACCACGGGTTTCTCCATCCTCAGCATCGTCGGCAGGTTCATCGCGGAAAGGACGGAGGCCCGAGAGTCAAATAAACACAGCGAAGAAGACCTGGGCGGTCGAGATATGCTATCGCAGTTCTTCGAGATCCAAGCTAAGAACCCGTCCCTCCCCAAGTGGTAAGGAATATCTTGGGTCAACGGGAGACCGTGAAATTGACCCGATAAGCAGGTGTGTTACCGCTTGGACATTTTCCAACGTCATTGCTGGCTCGGATTCCTCCGCCGTCGTTATGCGGACAGCCTGGTATAACCTTCTCGCAAAACCGGAAACGATGAACCGTCTTCGGGAGGAGCTCCTGGAGTCCGCGGCCCGAAAACCAGGAGGCTTTGCATCACCCTTCCCATCCTGGAAGGACGTCGGTGATCTACCATATCTTGATGCCTGTGTCAATGAGGCCGTTCGGTTGCATCCACCCTTCTGCCTCCCGTTTGAGCGCGTTGTTCCTACGGGCGGAATCATGGTTGGCAACTCATATATACCGGGTGGTACTGTTGTCGGAATGAGTCCCTATGTGGTCAATCGCCACAAGCCCACCTTTGGACAGGACGCGGATGAGTGGAACCCTGATCGATGGATGGTGCCCGAGGAGCGTAAACGAAAGCTCGAAGCCAGTGTACTGACGGTGAGCATTCAAGTTCCCTTTTCTTCATTGTTCAGCATGTCGTTATTTTTCGAAGAGTCTAACAAAACGGGTTCGTAGTTTGGAGCCGGAAAACGCGTTTGTCTGGGACGTCATATTGCCATGTTGGAATTGAAAAAGATAATCCCGGTGTTGGCTCTTCGATATGAGGTATGCAATGTGCCTTGACAACCATCCATAAGCTCATATAATTCAGTTCCAACTTCTTGATCCCCGAAAATATCAAGTCGAAAATTCCTGGTTCTTCCGGCAGCATGGACTGGATGTCAAGATCAAGCGCCATGAAGAGCAGAAGAAAACCGACGCGATTTCATAGGATATTTGCTTTACAGTGATCCAACCAAGCCCCGGGCTGCCTGATAAATCGATTGTCTACGATCCGACAAAACAGGAGGGCAGTATTTCTGCATTAATCGGTCAACTAGAACCAAAATTCTAAGCTTTGCTAATAGACAGTCTGTACCGGGCTAGTGATTAGGAGACATGCTCACTGGGCTAACCGTAAATAGTGACTGATAGCATCTTAGCCATCGTCTAGTAGAGCCTAAGTTGGAGAAGGAACTACTCAGTACAAGGTGGCGTAGGCTATTTAGTGATAGAGCATAGAGTCCTCTTAGAAACTATATACAAAATGATAATACCTGAATATGGAGTAAGGCTAGGCGATCATCTTATGTCAAGATTTGGGAGACCAGACTTTGAGGGAGTTCCTTTCTAGTCGCCATCATAGATATATAGTAGATTTTGTTTTAATAGGATTATATATACACTGTTTTGTGTATCCTGTTGAAAACCTCGGAGGAAGAAGCTATGTCGTGAGGTGCTAGGATAGCAGTGACTAGATAGTATTTTGAAACTATCGTGCGATCTAGTATCGCTTGGTGAGTTTTTTATCTATCTACAAGAGTGAGCGTAGACAAGCGCTTCCTTATGTCTACGTGTCCCCTAGCCCCTGAGTGTGATATATCAGATCGGTGCCGGACTAGGATATCTGAAAGCGCCTTAGGCATCCTGATTTCCAACATATCCGTCTATTGCTGAAATATAGGTCCTGAAAGATAAATGACCTTGAGCAATATATAGGAACATACTTTATATACATTTACTATTTAATGCATCTACTTTTATGCATAGTCTTTTAGTGGGGTTGTCCAGCACTCCATAGTGCGCTTAGTTGATCTGTTTGTCACATTCCTCTCCATGGTTGAACTATGTATACTGAATTTGTATCAATGGCTCGCCATGTTCACAGTGCTACCTTATAATCCAAAACATCAAAGGCTTTATTGAAGAAAGAGTCTTAATTGCCAAAACTATCTACACAGCACTCGTCCCATGCGCCATTTCCTTTTGCAGAATAAAGGGCATCAGTGGTAGTGAACACTGGAAACCTTGAACACCAGCATCCCTCAAATAAACATAATACAAAAAGTGAACATTCAACTCACTACCGCCGACTCTTGATGTCGTCGGCGATCTTCTCTGCCACCATGTCTGGTGGGGTGTCAGCCATGCTTCTTATACAGCTAGTGGGTGAAGTACGGGGGCTAGATGATAGAAACGCAAGGGATACTCACAAACTGTACCCTGAGGAAGAGCTGTAAATCTGTTAGCTTCTGAGGTGGCTACTCTTGGGGTAATAAGCAACAACGAACCTGGTGGGAGGAAAGGGAACACAGAGGCGTCCACAACACGCACTATAGTGCCATCAAAGTCAGAATTATACTCTCAGATCAGTGAAACGTGGATAAAGCAATGGCTCAACCTACAATGCCGGGTTCCATAGACATGGCCACGGGAGTCCACAACAGCCATCTCATCATCGTGCTTGCCCATCTTGCATGTCGAAGAAGCATGGTACATGGTCTGAAAAGCAGCTTGAATGAATCTGTAGATCTCGTCGTCGGTGGACACCTTATTGCCTGGGTAATACTCAGATCCAACCGTCAGGTTTTTCTGCAGGACATTGGTCCCGAAGATCTGGCGTACTCGCTTAAAGGCAGCGATGGCGACTTCAACGTCAGTCTTCTCAGTCAGCCAGTTTGGGTTGATCAGGGGCGCGTCATGCATGCTTGAGGAGGAGATGGAGACGTTTCCTCGAGACATGGGCGCCACGAGCGTGGCCATGATCGTGGCGTAGTTGCCGTCCGTCGGGCCGCCGGCGCCAGGGTTCCAGAAATCCCCCACGTAGGCCGGAAGAGAAAAGTACTGGATCTCGGGCCAGTCAGAGGGGAGGCTACCAACGTCTGCATGGCGCTTAGTGCATTAGGTTTCCAGTGAATGCGTAGACGGGAGGGGAAACATAGCTCCTCTGGAAACTTACCGTGGCCTGTACTCTGTGAGAAATTCGCGCGCAGCTCGTCAGGAACCCTTTCGAACGCGGCATAGTCTCCCCCGGGGCTTGCTAGCGGACCATCCTGCTCGTTTCGAAACTGTTGGACTGCTTCCGCATATACCGCCGGGTTGGAGAGGGAGGTTGAAGTCTGGACGTTAACCTTGTGCGCAAGGCCAAAAAATACATGGTCATTCATATTTTGCCCCACACCGGGGCGGTTGGCGACGACTTTAATATCATGCGCCTTCAGGAGGTCCGCAGGGCCTACGCCGGACACCAAGAGGAGCTGTGGAGACTGGAAGGTGCCAGCCGATACAATTACCTCTCGTCGCGCTGATAGGACGAAGGTATTATTCGCGGAAGCCACTCGGACACCGGTGGCAGTGTTGTTGCGGAACAGGATTTTCTCAGCAAGCGTCTTTTTGTAGAGGGCCAGATTCGGACGCCTGATAAATGGTGTCAGGAATGCCACTTCAGACGACTCCCTGAATCCAGTGGTCTGATCGATGGTATGGACCAGCCAGCCGGAGCCGTTCAGGTGGCCGCTGGTAAATCCGGGAATATTCGGAATACCGGCCTCTTCCATGCCTTTGGCTAGCCATGTGCTGAAGGGCTGAGCGTAGTTAGGGTAGGTCAACGCCAACGGGCCGTCGGTTCCCAGCGTCGGCATGTCGTAACTTGGGGTGGCATTGGCAATTCGCTTGTGCATATCCGGTGGAGTGAAGTTGAGGCTTCGCTTGTAATAGGAAAGGACACTATCAAAGGTCCACGAGTCATCGCCGACTGTCTCTGCCCATCGCTCCAATGCACCCACCGTGGGGCGTTGGTAGGCCATGTAGTTCAGGGCGGTACAGCCACCGAGCTGGCATGCAGTCAGCAAAGAGCTTTCTCAGCGTGGGAGTCTCATTCAATTCACGCACCGCTTTACCTCGTCCATAGTGCACACTCTGGCCATTGACGCCCTACTCCCATCATCAGAGCCTGACCTTTCCCCCGACAAATGATAACCAGCAAAGGGGAACAGGCTGGTTATGTACTCACAGCCTGGGGGGTTGTCATAAACCCCCATTCAACCAGAGGGTTGGTAGCGTTTGAAGACTTGCCATTATACAGAGCATCGTTGGCAGGGATCTGGCTTTGATTACCCGTAGCAATCTCGTAGAAGTCGCCGGCCTCTATGACAGCGACTTGCACAGCTGGGTCCTCGGAGAGTCGAGATGCCACAGTCAGGCCAGCATTCCCACCCCCTACAACGACATAGTCAAATACGGTGTCGCCCGTTTTTGCCAGTACGCCCGGGGTGGCCAGTTGCAAGCACAGTGCTTGCACTGCGAACGCAACAACCGAGAGATGGAGTGTCATCCTGGGTCAAATGAACGAACGGAGAAGTCTATCTCCGGATGTGACTTGATAGAAATACCCAAGGATTGTGTCAACCTCTGTCACATCCTGGTTGTTTTTATACTGGGGGCGTTGGAACCAAGCTTTTCGACCCGATAGCCATCGTTCATCGACGCTAGAACCAGCGAGGCTCCTAAGATAGTTCAGACAATGAGATAAAAATAGAATATGTTGAGAGCGTACACAGAACACGACGGTGCCTCTTCTCGCCAACCAGTGAAGGGACTAGCGTCTGTTCATCGGTTTCTTAGTAGTATAACCTGCTTTGGGATGTCGGATACTGTACTGACCTGTTGTGGGCTGACCAGCGCCACCGACAAGTTAGTGTTTATGATGAAATGAGAAGGATTGAAGGAATCATAATACGAGACTTATGATCTGGTGTCATCCCTCTTCACCATAGACCGGGCCGTGTTAACTTTCATTGTGAAGTGTGGAAGAAAGGTGGGTACTACATTCCACTGAGAGAGAATGGCACATGGAAAGTGGATAGCATCCCAGTGAACACTCTTTTGCTGTCCACTACACTGCTTCGCATAATATCTAGCATCTAACTTCAGGAACCAATGAATGTCTAACTCTTGTACCGGTGGGCCGATAGTTGCAAAAGATTCCATGTGGCAAAGGCGCTAGCCGGGGGCCGAAACAGCCACTACTATTATGACCGTAACTGGAAGTGATCCTTACCTAGAGGCCCAGGTTGGGGTTGGCTCGCCAAGGGTGGGAGAAAGCTTATGAGGTGGCCAGAAAGATACAGCTTGTACTTCATTATTTCATTGCTGGGTTTAGAGAAACCAAAGAGGAAATGAGAAAGTAGAGATATCTACAGAATAGCAGGTGACAGTGAAAATAAACGGACAGCTCGAAAACAGATCGCTTAGAGACAATGAGGACCATTTCTAAAACCGCTATGTTCGTTTCAGGGCGTGGCAACGGTCAACACGCTGATTGCCCCTGAGGACACCAAGACGATCCTCGTCGAGATAACCCTTAGAGATACTCTGGACTCGCGCGGAATCAAACCCTGTTCAGCACTGCCTTGCACCGAGTAAACGTAGGAGGCACCAAGTAATTAGCTCAGCCAGAATTGGGCCATGGCTTACGCTTACGGACGATCTACAGCGGAGCGGGGTTTCAAAAGGACCGGGAAATTTGACGAAATGCCGACACTCCTTATCCGTCAGATGCAATGAATGATATGGGGAAATAACAAGGGAGTTAGCTCATGAGCGACCAAGTCAAGAGTCCGAAGGAAAAACAACAACGTTGATCTTGATATCCTTGCACTCCCACCATAATGGACATATCCTCTTGCCTGGTATCGCCAAAGACCCCTCCACCACTACACATTCCGTCTTCAACATCGGTGGTGACTGTGCGTGTCATTGACTCGTACGTATTGACCCATCCCCTCCGCGGCGACGTCCCGTTTACCGCCCCAGGACCACATCTCTCTTCCTCGATCCTCCGCTGTTCTGGCGGCCGGAAATCAAGGGTCTCGACGGCGTGACTGTACCGGACTTCTGCTTCCTGGTCTCCAACGGTAGTCGACACATTCTCTTCGACCTCGGCGTCCGGCGTGACTGGGAAAACTACGCGCCCAGAACGGTCGACCTGATCCGACGGACAACCCGGGTTCACGTCGATAAAAACGTGGCCGAGATCCTCGATGCGCAGGAGCAGTGGTCCGGCCCCGTCGTTCGGAGCAAGGATATTGAAGCCGTCATCTGGTCGCACCATCACTTCGACCATATCGGGGATCCGTCCACCTTTCCCCCATCCACGGATCTCGTCGTAGGCCCCGGCGTGAAAGCGCTCTGTTGGCCCGCATATCCGACCCAGCCGGACTCCCCGGTCCTGGATGCCGATGCCCAGGGCCGCAATGTGCGGGAAATTACTTTTTCGAGGGACTCACCGCACGTGTGTCGCATCGGTCGATTTGACGCCTTCGACTTCTTCGGGGATGGTTCCTTTTATCTCCTTGACGCACCGGGCCATTCGGTGGGACATCTGGTTGGGCTAGCACGCGTGTCGGCGACTGGACCGGGATCCTTTGTCTTGATGGGCGCGGATGCCTGCCACCATCCGGGCATCCTCCGACCAACCGAGTACCTCCCCATCCCCACCAGCCTGTCCCCTTCGCCGATCCGGCAATGGTCGACCTGCCCCGGGGACCGGCTGAGGCATCTGCATCCGCGGGGGAGTGCCACTGAGCCCTTTCTCACCGTCTCCCCGGTCCTCTTTCCGGATCTTGAGGCGGCCCAAGACACCGTCCGCAAGATCCAAGAACTGGATGCGGCGGAAAACATCCTTGTCATCCTGAGTCATGACCAGTCCATCAAGGATCATATTGACCTCTTTCCTCTTCCCATTAATGACTGGATGGCTAAGGGTGTGGCAGGACGCACGCGCTGGCTATTCTGTGGAGACTTTGAAGGAGCACTGGATTAGGCTAGTCTACGATGGACAAGAGTAGTTTTCATTGTGATGTGTGAAGCAGTGAAATGGACAACCAGGAAGTTCCAAGGCCGGCGTATTTGGAAATATACCTATTCTCGCTATCCCCCCCCCCAAGCGTAGTTAGTATCACAGATGGACCGACGTCTTTTCCCGAATCCGCTCGCCGAATCGGTACAGTAAGAATGGTAGAGGGCATAGGGACAGGGCAATAAATGCCAGAAGGCTATTCCCCCAGCCTAGCCCCAGCGTGCTGTACATGGGACCCCCCGCTAAAGGAAGAAAGGCCCCGCCGAGGGATCGGAGGACGGTGGTTGCCGCCACTGCCGAGGCTGCATAGCCGGTGTAGGCGTCGACGAGATAGGTCGAAACGGTGGTGAAGGCGTTCAACATTCCAAATCCCAGGAGAGATGTAGCGACAATCGGCGAGATCCAATGGACGGCTCCGTTGGCCGTCCAGCCGTACCAGAACAGGGAAACCGGAATGAACCAGCACGATAGGAATAGAGGCGGCAGGCGATACTCAGGCTTGGCGATGCCGTGTCTTGCCTTCAGTCGCCGGAAGAGCCGGTCGGATACGAGGCTCTGAAATACCATGCCGGCGATGGATCCGACTCCCACGCCCAGATAGGCCAGCCCGACGCTTCCGGCGGAAAAATGGTAGATGTCCTTGAAGACGCTTGAAATGGTGGTGAAGAGCAGGTACAGATACCCATAGATCACCGCAATGTACAGTGCGAGCAGGGAAACAATCGGAGAGAAAAGGAGCATCCTCGTCGGACGAAGAATAGAGGAGCTGAAGATGCTCCCCGCAGGTCGCCCCGCATCGCGAGCGGAGCGGAGAGAAGGGTTCCCAGTCTCCTGGCGAAGTTTTTGTGTCTTTCTCTGAAGCAGGGTGGGAGGATGGGACTCCCTCAGACAGCCCAGAGTAATCATGGTAAACACTGCGGCCTGTTTGGTGTTTCTGTCCGTTAGATGAGAAGGACGCATGCAACGCCGAGAAGGACTTACAGCCATCGCCAGTACCCAGAACGTCCATCTCCAACCTTTGGCTTGGGCTAGATATCCGCCCGCTTCCCTATGTCAGTGCGGCCAGACGAAGAACGGCCTGCGGGACACACACCTACTGGCCCTACTACCGGACCGAGCACGGGGCCCAGCACCCAGGCGCTCATCGCCAGGCCCCTGTTCTCAGCGGGAATCATATCTGCGAGTGATCCCGCCCCGATGGTCAATGGAGCACTCCCAGCTGTGCCCGCCAGCAGACGGAAGATAATCAGCGAGCCGAGGCTCGGAGCCAGGGCACAAGCGACGGTACAGATGAGATACAGCGCGTTGCATACATGGTAGATGATCATGCGCCCATGAAGTTCGGAGAGCGGTGCCAGTACAAGCGGTCCCAGCGCGTAACCGAGAAGATAGACAGATACCACGAACGCACTCAGCTCCTCGTTCCCGGGCTGGTGGAATTCTTCCATGATCTGGGAGGCAGCGGGAGCCACCATCGACGAGCCAAGCGGACTAATGGCTCTCGTCATTAGCGGGAGAAGCAACGGACATGTCACAGAGAGCCGTACGTTAAAACTGTGAGTAGCGACACCGTGGTTGTGGCAGCTACCTTCTTTCTCAGCGACCAGTTCATTGGATTCATAGGATCATTCGGTCCGTCCCAATCCACCACGTCCTCCGGCGTGGATTGAGCCCTTGAGATGACATTGATATCGGGCATGATGTTGTCAGTGTCAGTGCTATGTGGTGGACACTCTGGTTTCTCATGGGGCAGAAAGCGAGCATCAGCATGTTATAAGCAATGGGGGCTCTTGCTCCTGGGGGTTCATAGTTCAGGGTGCAAGAGCCTGAGGCCCATGGACTGGATCTATAAATATCAAGTGTGCATGTCTCGCGATTGGTGGAGACGACGTTCGAATAGGGGTTACGCTGCGGTGGCTGCTCACTCAAACGCTTAGTTTCATTCCACGAGTTTGGAGGGCTCCACTGGAGGTTGCCATCAGCTTAGCTTCATATGCTGATCGTGTTTCGTCGTAGGATAGCGAAGGCCCCCCCATCGTTTTCTTCCTTCCGAAATTACCATACCCCTAATTCCTGCATCGGACGTGTTCTGTTGCCATATATCGGACAGGGTCAGAGTTTCAGCCCCAAGCCCACGTCTGCCATCGATCGCTGTATCCTGTACAATAATCTCTGCGACTGCTTACACTTTGGGACTGAAATCTCCGCAGACTAGTGTCAGCACAAATATCACGCCGCACATCCTCAGACAAGCTCCCTGCCAACCCAGTCCTAATTCCACCTGCATTACTCGCAGATGGTTTGCGTTCCGAGGCAGTTACATTTACTTCGAACATTTTCTCCTGTGAAACAAACTCATATTTCTAACTCGGAAAAGATTGGATATGTGAAAGATCTCTCTCTTGCTGTCAACTTTCCTCAGTCGGCGGCCTAGGGCTTGCCACCACGCATCATCTTGGCCAGATTCTCAAAAGCCGTGCGGCGGCTGTCCACAATTCCATTGAATGTGTCCGCGGGCCCAATGCTGCCGATGATAATTTGGTCTTTCCCGTCCGCCAGTCCCTGATACGCCTGCTGGGTGAACGTGTCCAGCGGCATGCCCAGCTTGCGACCTGCTTCTTCGCCCATGTAATCGTGCAATTCCGCTGTCGAAGTCATGAGCATGGAGGGGCCGATGTTTTAGTTAGGGGATCCACTTACTCTGCACCGCCGGTGGGGAAATCTCGATCACTTTGGTGTTGGAGTGGCGGAGTTGTTCACGAAGACTGAGAGCAAATACATTGAGCGCGGCCTTGGACGCCGAGTAAGCCGGAAGGGTAGCGGCAGGCACGATGGCGAGATTCGCGCCAGTACTAGTAAAATTAGGCTGAGACAAACGAGACAAGATGGCAAAAAAAGGAAAGAAGAAAAGGGAGAACAAGAAAAATTTCAAGCTGACGGAGCTAATGCACGGATGCAAGACAAGGCAACTCACAAAATGAAACTGGTCGGATTAGGGTTCTTCTGCAAATATGGCAAGAAGGCATGGGTTAGGGCGACAACGCTGGAGAAGTTCACCTTCACCTCTTCATGGAATTCCGGCAGATTGAACTTCTCCCGCTCCGCCAGATCGTATGATCTCTGCACGCCAGCATTGAGAAAGACCGCATCAATATCGGGGGATTCGCTCATCACACTGGTGTCAACAATCAGTGTCAGCATACCGTACAATCGAGCCGAACACAGGGACGTTACCCCGCAGCAAATTCGGGAATTTTGTCGAGGTCGCCAATGTCGAATGGCACGCCTTTGGTCTGTTGCTCGCCATGTGCTTGCACGAATTCATCCAGACGGTCCTGGCGCCGACCCACCACGGTCACCTTGGCTCCAGATTCCACCAGGCGGGAGGCAAGAGCCTTGCCGATACCCGCCGTGGCGCCAATAACCAAGAAATGCTTGTATGGGAACGTCATGGGGGCGGTTGTAAAAGCTTGAGCTGCCCAGGAATGCGGAGGAATTCTAATGTCGTAAAATGCTCGGGGCTGTGTCGACCCCATAAATAGTGTTCATTTCCAATGGCATTCCTGATCCTCGTCTGAGGCTCGGAGATCGATCTAACCCCGAAAAGAGGGGAACCTAGTTGCGTCTGACATGATACCCTCTCTGTGGTCGACGGGTCACCTATCAACAGCTGGCACCAAGTATATAAGCCAGTGGGGTTTCCCTGATAGCAAATAATGTCTTCATACTTGCATAAGCCAATTTCACGCAATGAATCCTACCACCAGGGGGGATCCACCGCCGTGTCGATTAACTCCGTAGAATCGTCCAGACCACGACGCGATTTCAAAGACACTTTCAGCCCCCATATTCTCGTATGCTATACCTAGTTAGGGAAACGATAATAGGGCATTACCAGTCAGCAACATGGTTACAGATCTCGGCTACCACAATCACACTAGCCTCGAACTTGGAGAGGAATAATACGAATCATTTCATTTTCTTTGTATTGACATTATTCTTGCCAAGCCCTACCCCACTGCGTCGTCGGTCCATTCAACCCCACGCCAAAAGCTTGACAGTTGACAGCCTGGCAAATCACAAGGCAAGCATCATTCCTGCCAGAGGCGTCGCCTATCGATGGCTGTATCGATTCTCTTGTCGGCGCCCGGTGACCCCTGTGCGCTGGCTCCTCTGAAATACGAGGGTCAGGAACTAAAATTAGAGGACTATGATCGATGGCCTTCTAGGACGCCTACTAGCGATCATGTCCTATCGCGAGAGGGGCTAAAAAGGTAAGGAATCACGTGTAGGCTGCAATCCTCCTTTCTTAACAGACATGGGGCGCCTTATAGAGTGGAAAATTCCTCTAATATGTCCACCAGCATGCAGGGAGAGCACCGTATTCGGATTGTCAGATAGACGGACTTATCCATCGAATTGGGTTCTGCAAAAACGGACGGGAATGGCACGGAAACAACGAAGATGGACAGCGGAAGAAGACGCACAGCTTCAGGAAGGTGTTCAGGCAGGTACGTATACGGGAAAGAGAAAGAATTAAAATAAAAATAAAAATAAAAATAAAAAAAGACTGCCGGCCAGGAACATTTTTGACATGAATGACAGCTATCAACGGCTCCCGCCCACTTCTTTGGCGGGAAATTGCGAAGAGCGTCCCTGGACGAAGCAATAAGGACTGCCGACGACGCTGGTGCAATTCCCTAGCGGGCTCCCTTTCCAAAGGCCATTGGACGGAATCGGAAGATGAGAGGTTGTGGACAGCCGTACAGAAACATGGAACCCAATGGGCGGTGGTGGCCCAAGAGGTTGGCACCCGGAGTCCTGACCAGTGCTCCAGCCACTGGAGCCATACCCTCAATCCGGACATTGATTTCAGTGAGTGGACTCAGCAAGACGTGAGTTGTGGGAGATCGATCACCAACTCGGCTTCCGATGCTCATCTATAGTTAGGATGAGACTCTGTTGCAAGCGGTCCAACAACATGGCACCACCTGGACAACTATTGCTTCCAAGCATCTCCCCAATCGGACGGCCCTAGCCATCCGGAACCGTTTCAACGCTCTGAATGCCCGGATGGAGGGGAATCGGAAGGCCCCCTCGGCCGAGGGGGCCGGCATCCGCGCAGGAGCCAGTCCCCATTCCCGGAATTGGCCCAATCGGGACGACGGTCGTCAGCTGTACCCGTCTTGTATCTCAGACTGGCCCGAGGATGAGGATGACGATTCAGAAGATGGGGGAGATGACAATGATCAATATGGCCCCTGGCACGGGAAACCGACACCGTTGTCAAGTCCACCCAGCGGAAGCCTTGCGAGGCCCAAGGGCTTGGTAGGCTTGTCAAGGACCTCATCCATATTGGCACCGGCCCATCGTCAGGGTCAATCTTACTCTTCCCACCTGTCCCAAGATTCATGGACTCCAATCACCCCCCAAACCTCCGATTCCAATGTGTTCCCCAGTGTCATGACATCGGGCCTCAGCCCCTACCATGAGCATGCCAGCGTCAAGCACGCGTCGACATCGGTGGGGTCATTGACGTCTCCCCTGATGGTACCAGACACTGCACACCTTTCAAGCGGTGAGTTGTTGCTCATCAACTAATGCTTCTTTCCCTCTGACATGCCGCGCCGCAGGTGCTCTGTCCTTCGACCATTATCTAGCTGGCGGTCCCCAAGCACAGCCTGGATTGCCAGCCAATACCATGGCTGAGCTTCTGACTCCGCAATCTCCCCTTGGCTTGACTACTCCCCCTAACCCTTTTCTATCCGGTCCCATCAAGTCTGGTCTTTCTCAATGGCCCGCGGGTCCTACTGCGGAGACATTCGAGGGGGCTGCAACCCCCCCGCAACAAGATGGCCTAGGCCCTACATTGCATCGTATATCTATAGATATGGAATGTACATCTGAGCAGCTATCGCAAATTATGAGAGCTGCAGCGACCATTGGTGGCAAAGTCACGTTAAGCATTAATCACCCAGATGACAAACCCCGGTGTTGAGCTGCTCAACTCCCACAGTCAAAGAGACGTAGAAATGAATTAGACCCCGAGGAGGCAAGCTGGCGTTGAATCCGACGAGCGGTGTCTTTTGATAGAAGCATTCATGAGTGAGTTGTTGGGCACATTTTGATACATAGAAACTTGGTATTCTAGTTCACAATAAATCAAATGTCAAATTCCCTGACTTCTCCCTTCCTAAAACAATATACCCTAGATTCTGCTCTTCCAGCGTGCCTGACAGAAAGTGCACTCTGTTAGCTGAGCTCCACCTCAATCACACTCTGCGTCGCGAGGGGTGAGTTCCAGATCGTTATCGTATTGAATCCCACGGAACGCAGCAGTTCCTTCCACATCGATTCGGTGCGCTCGAATGCCGACACCTTGACCATCATCGTCAGGTCGTACGCAGTTGCCTGCGGATGTGCGCTCCGTTCGGGAAGAATGTGATCGTGCACCAGTAGTTTACTGTATCCCTTGGTCATCGCATCTCTCAGGTGGCAAAGGATCTGCCGGGCCTCCTTGTCAGCCCAGTCATGGATGACGCCGTGCAGGTAATATGAACGAGCCCCTATTAATGCGTCAGTATCTCTAAGTTATGGGACTCCCGGTCTACTGGCTGACCTTTTACGGGCTGCGGGGTGAAGAAATCATGGGCCATGACCGTCACGTTGGATGGGCATCTTGCTCGGCGGACCACATCATTTCGATCTTGAAGCACCAGGCGCGGGGCCAGCTGTGGATACAGTGACAGCAGCTTATTGATGTCGTGGCCCACATTTCCACCGACATCCACCAGAACCGGCGTCGTGGCATCGTCGCGTGTCGGGTCAATCAGGTTGCCGTAAGGGTAAATGTCCAACATGCCCGCTTGGTTGGCCATCACGCCACCCATGACGTTGTTGAAAGAGCGCCCTTCTTCCGGATGGGCATCATAGTACTCAAACAGATTCCCCATGAAACCCTTGGTATACTGGAAGATGCCATTCTTCGGGTCCGTCGGATTCTGGTAGCCCGTGCTGGCAAGGTATTCCGGGGCCTTGTGAAAGCAGGGGATGGTCGCGTCATATCTGATACATACAACCCTCCGATTAGCATCGCTCTGGTGTGTAGAGTTTGTCGTATCACTGACAGGTAAGTGATCCACTCCCCAAACACAGGCTGGAGGAGCGCCTCGCTGAATGCGGTCTGCCTGTATTGACCCTCGGCGGGATTATCAAGCACATTCGTCGCGGCGAGATGGCGAAGGATTCGCTCTACTGATCTTCAGCTCATGGTCAAAATTATATCCGGATTGGTCGTAAACCCACGAAGAAGAAATACATCACATCCGACCAGGTCCGCCAGCTTTTCGTCCGAGCATACGGCACCCTCCCCCAGCCGATGCCATTTCTCGAACAATTGCAGATCACGAGCAATCTTAAGACAGGCGCCCAGAGCCGGCTGGTTAAATATCAGCAACAGACTCATTCATACGAAGAGCATACGCGGTAACCTGCCTCGGTCATACAGAGACGCGCAACAGTATCCCATGGGGTCTCCAGACGGTTAACCAATCTGTACGCAGCTGCCAGAGCTTTGATACGGTCGCCATCCGATGAGAAGGATAGTCGATTAACTGCCTCTGCAGACTCGCAAAAATTATTGCAATCGATATTCGAACCGTTCATTCCGTTCATGGCGTCCATTTGTATCGGAAAATAACCCAACTGGAATTTGTGGCAGGGACAACACAGTAAAAATCACAGCACTGTTCAAATCGACGGATTAATATGGGTCAATCGGCTGCTTCACTTTGATGCACGTTCATCGATTGCCAGCGCTAGTGGAAGGAGGACCCTGCCTTTGATCAGTTGATCCAGCATTCGTGAATAATGTCTGGTGGGTTGGCGAGACGGCACCGAGTAAAATCCCCGGTCCCCGAGTACATGAAGTACCCAGGCCCAACATCAGCCTCCGTATGGGCTTTCCCCACGGCAAAAGAGTGCCACTGGCAGGGGGATGCTAATTATCTCGTCATAAAAATGTGGTCAGCAGGTTGTTGGTTTTGGCGCATTCGAACCGGTGGTTGTAGCTTGGTCGTCTTCCCCCAACATGGGCTTGTTTCAGACACAGCTGCTAACGGCGGCTTCGTTGCCAGGATGGAATATCCTGCTTCCTGTCCTGCTTCTGGTTCCTGTTTCGGTGGCTTTCTATCGCCTCTATCTCTCGCCTCTCTCCCATGTCCCTGGACCTTGGTTTGCATGCATCTCGTCTTTTTTCCTCTACGCCATCTGCTACTTGGGGATTGAAGGGCGTGTCCTGCGGCACTACCATCAAAGGTACCACACTGCGGTTCTGCGTATAGGATCGAACGCTGTTTCCCTGTCAGATGGCGACGCCCTTCATTCAGTCTACGTGGCCGGGGGAGGTCTCCCCAAAGATTCCCGTTATCGCAACTTCAGAGTCGAAGGACATGATACAATCTTCTCCACGCTCGACCCTTCATATCGAAATATAAGAGCTAAGGCGGTGCTGCCGCTTTTTGCTACGAGCCGGATCCATTCGTCTTACGAGGATAACGGCATGATGTCCCAGTTGGTGAACAAATTTGTCGATATTCTTCGGACCGAGAAAGACAGGGCTAGTCCACGGCAGTCCCACAAGACGGTCACGAAAAAGGTGGATATCCTTGACCTCTCGTCCAGGTTGTCAATCGATGTCCTAACCGGATACCTCTTCAAGAAAGTCTATGGAGGCCTCGACGAGCAATCCAGCGCCCCTGCAGAAGCGGGAAGCACCGAAAAGAGGCAACATCCGTGGGGAAACAAGCTCTCCGCAACCCCCTTTGTCCTTGCAATTGTTGCCTTCAGCCGTTTCTCTCTGCTCCCAAGTTGGCTCTTCACTCTGATTATCTCATTTCAAGTGGGTCTAACATTTAGAAAAGAAACTGCGGCATCTCTGGAGCACATTGCCAATTTTGTGGCTGGAATCATGGACGTGGGCACTGGCACGGACACGGGGACCCGTCCAGACGACAATGAAACGTACCAGTCTCGGCTGCTAGCCGCGGGAATCTCACATTCCGAGACCCTCATCCAATGCAAAGCCGCCATGTTTGCCGGTGCGGATTCAACGGCGGTCATGCTGTCAACCATCTTGTTCCACCTGGTCCAAAGGCCAGACGTGCGGCAGCGGGTGAAAGAAGAGATCGACCAGCGCCCAGCGGGTGTAGACTATAGGACACTGCCTTACCTGCGGGCCGTTATCCGAGAGGGTCTTCGACTCGGGATGGCGAACCCAGTACGCCTGACACGGATCGTGCCTCCCGAGAGCCAAGGTTTATCGGTTAGTGGGTTCTATCTGCCACCCGGCACGGTGGTCGGTGCAGCCGCGTATGTGTTCCATCACAATCCAGATATCTTCCCCATGCCGTTCGAGTTCCAGCCCGAGCGCTGGATCTCGGAGCATCATGAGGAGCAGCATAACACGCAGGCACGACGACTCATGGATAGGGACTTCTTCCCATTTGGACTGGGGTCACGCGCCTGTCTTGGTCGAAATCTGGCAATGCAGCAGCTTTTTGCTGCTGTCAGTACAGTAGTGGAGAGTGGGGTATTAGAAGGAGCAAAGACCTGCACACGACATATTGAGCTGATTGAATGGTTTAATGCAGAGATTAAGGGCCATGAGCTTGAAATAGAGTGGTAGAAATATACAGAGCAATAGAGAATGGAATAATATCAACCCCTAGCCATGCGGCCATGCAGAGGTATCCTGAGGCATTGCAAATAAAGATTAACATCACCTTCTGGCTACCTCAGAATAGATTAATCGAATCCATTGTTCGCTCATTCACCTAAGTCGCAGCTGTCTTATTGCACCAAAACAGGCTACAAGTTAATTGCCAGAATTAAATTCCGTATAAGATTGGATTTTAGAGTGATATCTTTCAAATACAAAAGTCACTCTGATTCAAAATTTTGCAGGTATTTTGTATTGACCAAACACGCAAACAAATGTCTAATTATTCAGCTATAAATCATGCATACTGTACTAAATTAAAAAAATTTTTGTGCGATAAGCAACAAGACGCGTCCATATAAACAAATTTTTGACAAGTTTTTATAAATCTTCTATATACCTATAGATATAAAGTCATATTAGGCTTATGCGTCAAGGATTTTGAAACTGAGTAAGCCAAAGTACCGTAGTAACTCGGTGGCATCCAGAGGGGAAGGAGTGGAAAATGAGGTTTGCCCAGTTAGAAATGTAAGGGACTCAGTTGGTTGAGATACTGTGATTCCTGGTGTTTTCACAAACAACATCTGCGCCCTAATTAGGCTAGGTTGGCCTGTAGCTGATCACAGCTCCCTGCGCATCACTTCCCCTGAATTCCACTACAGAAGCCAATCAATACTCTACCTTCGCTTCATTTGCTCTCTCCGGATTCATACCTTCTTCGCCCAATCTAATCACTGACTTCTGTCTCGCCTCCTCGGTACTGAAAAGGTTTAATATACTAGTATCTATTATGACGCCTGGCGAAAACCCATTCAGTTCCCAGTAGGTAGGAAGTCGCAAACTACTCTGTACTAAACAACTTTTCCTATTGGGGCCAGTTGTGGTAATCACAACCCGTGTGCTGTGTACCGAATCTCAACCAATCACACTAACATTTTGCAACATACTAAATATTATAATTTGTAGGCACTTTTAAACACTTACAGTTACTGAGTTGTAGCCAAGTTATTCTTCAAGGCCAGAGTGGTCGTAATACCGCGGTGAGAACTTCGAGCATCTTGTTTTCTAGACATAGCACTCAACTTACGTTGTAACTTACAATACCCTTTACTTGTTGGGAGTTAATAGTGGTCTTCTCAGTTAGCGATATTGTCAGAGGGGTTTTAAGGCTGCCAAAAGAACTAATTTTATCTAGGACGGACTTAGGATATAGCTGTAACAAATTCGAGGCCTAATTAGTAGAAGCAAAAGAGTAAGCTTGGATTGTTAGAAATATACTCTAAATACGGAGCCCCGGAAATTTTCCTTCCTGGAGAGTGCATTGGAAAGTAACTTGGAGAGGACGCGGGACAGAAATCTATCTAAGACAAGTAAGCGATGAAGACGTGGTCACATTCAACTCCTAACGCTCCTTGGATAATTGCAACATAGTAATGAAAAGCTAGACCAAGCTCATTCCACTAGGGTTTAAAAGAATTGGAACTATAAACAGTCAAACCAAATAGTTTATTTTAACACAGTAATTAACAGTTTAATCTAGCCAATGTCACTCCTATAGCGCCAGCTTCGCGGAATAGATGCATTTAAAATAGCCGTCTTTCTATGGACGGGTTTGAGTTGCAACTTGCAAGTAACAACATCCAGCATTCGGTGTGATTTTCCTCTAACGGCTGGTCGAAAAAGCAGCCCGATAGAAAACAAGAGAGCGTAATGCAGATGTCCGAGACACATATCAACTTCATCTTAGAAAGATGCTCCCGCGCGAATCTTTGGCTAAGAAGAACTCTGCCCTGAAGAGCAAGGGATTCATCAGAATAATAATATTCATAGCGATGCTGGTCCTGTTCCCGGTTTTCTCCTCGGGCGTAGCTGTTCGTCGCCGCAACAGCTTGTTTATTAGCCCTTTACCTTCCTCTTCCCTTAGACATTGTTAAGACAGAATCAAGGCCAATTCACTTACCTCGAAAATACTGCAAAACGGCAACAATAAAGAGCATGAGATAGCAGAAATCAAAGAATCAATAGGCAACAAAAAGCGCATGTTGCAAAATCTTAGGAGATTTAAGGGGGGAGAGCGGGAGGAGGAAAGGGGACTTTGTCCACCATTTGCCGGGCGGACAGCTATGGGCTGCAATCTCCTCTAGACGGTGCATCTTGGCTTTTTTGGGAAAGCAGCTTAAGAGACGGCGTAAACGAAGAGAGTGTAGGTAAAGTGAATAGGGTGATTGTGGGTGTTAACAGGTGAGCCAATCTCCGTCTTAAAGCGCAACGAACAAATGAGGCAGGAAGAGATGGTCGTAGCTTTTTACCTAGCATGCATAAGTATATGTGCAATTGAATATTACACTAACTGGGCAGACAGCGCCGGCCATGTCAAATGCGACGAAACCCCCGGGAGATTTTTCTTCCACTTCCAGTTCCACACCATCCCCACTACGGGAAGTCACGCTTCTCTGCTGTCTGCTGTTTGTGCTGCTGGACATGCTACAGGGACACCGCAACTATGCATTTGGACACCTGCAGAGCGGGGCGCAAATGTTGAAGTGCCCAAGGCCCAGACACAGCTCCTTAGCTGGGCTTCGGGACCGCCATCGTAGTCGGTCGACCAATGTCTGGTGTCAGCATTCGCAAATCTGGATATCCAGTTAGCTCAATGCGGTGTTGGAGGACCCATTGTGCGCATCGACTATTGGGGGAATCGCACCGCTTCTTCGCCTTGGCAGTATTTTCGAGGCAAAACAGGAACTGGCCGTTATCAGGAGTGCCGTGTTTCGGTTCCAGTCGTACGCGTGGGCTCGTCGGATGCGGACATTATTGCGGATTGTTGGAAAACAGGATGCCTATGGCACCTTCCGATATCCTAGTCCCGCAGTGATCTGATATATCATATTCAGGGGTTACGGACACGTAGGAAAAAGAGAGGCGAAAAGCTTCTTATCCAAGAATATACTCCATAACTCGCCATACGATACTAGATCGCACGATAGTGCAATATGCTATCCAGTCACCGCAATCCTAGCACTTCACAACATACCTTCTTCCCTAGAGACTTTAACACGGATTATAATAGTTTAAGTTTGAATCAAGGACAGTTGATTTTGCAGCTAAAACCAGTATATACAGCTCTTCGGGCACTTCCAGTGTCAGTCATATTCCATATTTGGTCCCAAAGAGAAACGAGCGGCGGATACCATCTACTTACTCCATCAGTGTCTATCCTTATGCGTGAAGACCGGCATTCTGCGCGGCCGGGGCGGTCACTACATAGTGGCATCCTTCCCGCGTTGTGCTACCTGGTTGTGGCGTGTTAAGACAATGAAGTTCGCTGGCCTAATGGAATGAAGACGTCGTAAGCTTATTAACCGAGACAATTATTTATTATATATTCAGTCGCCCCTTTTCTCTACACCTATCAACATTCCACATGCGCATTTTATTTTTCGAATAGAACATGACAAACAAGTCTTGTATTCTCTAGCTCTTCGAGTTGCTCTAGGTGCGTATATACCCGGCATATACATTTTGTCAGCGTCAATGAGGAGAGATTCCATAAGGGAAAGAAAAGATGACAAATAAAAACAGGGAGAAGAAAAATGAAAAGCAGGTAGAACATTAAATGCTAATACAACCAAAATGACTTTTCATGTCTATGCCACACTTTACATCTAGATGGATGTAAGGAAACGAGTGGCTAGCCATCTTGCAACCATAGTTCAAATATCAAGGATCTAGATATTTGATAAGAGTTCGTATAATCCCCTGGAGAGTATATTTTGCAAAACATGGTGAAAGTTGGAAGTTGGTCATGCATCATTATTATTTATAAGCTGTATACTTACTTCGCTACTGACCGAGAATACCGAGTTCTTAACAATTTTGGATATCTTCCTTGCGAAACTTAATACATAGTGCGGGGATGTAAGATACCTGCTACACCTCGGTCAAGTACAATAAATGGCATTGGTAGGCAAGTCAACTAGACAACAAAGCATGGGGAACAGGTGAAGGTATTTGCAGGCGGCTGGTTGGTTGAAGTGCGGCCCGGCCTGACCCAGACAAAATGTGCTTCAGAGACGACCCACGGGTCCTGAGAGGCACCCATAGGTATCCATGAAACGCGGGTTGGATTGCGAGTATCCAAGCACGTCGTTATGACTGCAGCAAGAAATAGTGAAAGTGGAAAGATCTCATGACACTGCTCCTGGACCGACAATGAGATCAGATCCAGATTACAGAAGATGTGGTTATGGCCGCATCACGGAATTCAGGTGAAAAAAGCATCATTGACAATATTACTGGACCGGTAAGAATATCAGATCCAGATCACAGATCAGGCGATTGTAGCTGCAGCAGAGAAAACTGCTTACATTGTATAAACTTTGGTATAGGGCAAGCAGCATTTTTTCTCTTTCCACACGATATTACATAACAAGGGTGGAAGTGTCAGCATGCTCTGGCCCTAGCACCTGTTTCCGGGCCTCCATCGCCTGCACCTCTAGCTCGTCTGTTTCCGTCCATCGTCCTTGATTCCAATATGTTGATGCAAGGTTGGCCATGCTGGTCAGAGTGTCAGGATGTTCTGGCCTTAGCACCTGTTTCTGGATCTCCATCACCTGCAACAACAGCTTTTCGGCTTCCTTGTACCTCCCATCACTATCCAGGCAGGTCTCCACACTCTGTATGTGGTAAATATACTGGTCTTGTTGTTTTTGGAACTGATTCTCACCCAGTAAGAATAGGACGTGGGGCATGTTTCTCTCCAAAGCTGTCGGTTTATATGGTCATTATCAATGATCTCGTTCAATCGGTCTGATGCTTTTCTTATGTAGGATAGAAATTGTTCCTCCTTTTTCATCCAGCTTCGAGTTTCCAGATATACCAGGCGATGTAGGGTTATGGAGCCATTCCCAGGTTGGATAGTAATAAAACCATAGGCGCTTAGAAGCCCAAGAGCATCAATCATCATCTTTTTTGACGCCGACCGTGGAAGGAAGGACTCCGGGATATTGCGCGGATCAACACAAGCCATAAGTGACAGATAGTCAGAAGCAAGTTGGTCAAGCTTCTGAATCTGATGAAATGAGATTAGCTATGTATGTCATGGCCACTGGGTTCTGACTTTCCTTGTAGCGTCCATCATCACCAAATCCTCGCTTAGCAGCTCCACAACATCTGCCTCCTGTTCTTGGAGATGCAGCAAGTAATCAGACAATCCTATACTATTTATAAAATGGAACACTGTTTCATTGTAGAGAAGTTCATACCATATATAGACTTACGCCTAAGGCAGATACCTATCCAACTTCTCCCAGGGCAACATTGTCCGGAACATGATCGGCCCAGAATACGCTCGGAGAATCAGAATAGGGGCTGGTTCTCACAGCCTGGCTACTAGAATTACAGACTAAGGACGAATTACTGCCAAATACCCCGCATCACTGGTCCACCTAGGATTAGGTAACGGCATGGCATGGCGCATACAAAGCACTATTTCATTTGGTTTAGCATCGTTATTTAACTTAGTCTATCATCCTCAGTCTAGACTAAGCCCAAACCGCTGTCCATTAGGGCGTATCGGCTACTATAGCCTGTTTAACCTTGCCTTGAATCCCCAGACTAGTTACCCCAGACGCCTATCCAATAATATGTATCGGCTGCTACATCCAAACAATAAATTCTAGACCATGGACGACGCAGAGTACGAGTATTGTGGGTCGTGGAGCTTCACCCAAGGAGACTTCAGTTTCTGGACTGGAAGTCACCGGCTGAAAATACCAAAAGCAGAGATGACATCTGTGGTTCTGAGAGTACTACCAGTTCTCAGTTTCCAGATTCTATCTGCGCTACGTAACATAGGCCAGGCTGTTCCACCAATTCTCCATTGAATATGCTAGTGTACCTGGCAATTGCTGTTTTCAGAGCCGAAGGTGCCTACTGGCTGGAATAGTCTCTGCACATAATCCAAAATGTCCAGCCACTTCACAGGTCCTATAGCACAAGGGTTTGTAGCGTATCGATTTCTTTAACCATTATAGATTGTAAGCCATAGTCTACATGACATAGGTAGATTTTTACTTCTATAAGTTAACAATCACATCCCATCTGTAGCTACATCTACATTATTCTATTTCCACTCATTCTCTTATTCCCAAGTGCTATTAAATCCAAAAACAGCTATGATTGTCACCAAACTCGTTGCAGGTCTCCTCTTCGCGGCATTAGCTGTGACCGCACAGCCCGTGAACGAAGATACTTCATCTAACATGGAAAGCAATTCTCTTCAGCTCGCAAGCGAGGGTCTTTCCATGAATCTATACGGCGAGGCTTCTCTGAGCCAGCAATGTAGATGCAACAGAGGAGATAGATGCTGTTGTCCAAATGGGTGGAGCTGTTGCAATACATCTGGAAGATGTTGCTGCAGATCTCGACTCAAGGCATAGTTTAACAACTGTAGGTGACTCGTACCACTCGTGAAGTTGGAGTTTGTCAAGGAGCTAATCTGATTTGCTATTAGTGATTTGAATGGCAGACAGTTGTGATTCAACACTTGGATTCTCTGGATACGTGATTCAACACCACTTTTTCTCTGCTTTGCATTGTCTTGTTGCATAAATTTCTGATGTGGATTGTGGTAATGCAAATTGAAATTGTAGTGGTCTGATACTGTGTCTGGATGTAGGTTGTTCCTATTTAACCTCCATATCATCATGCCCTGCATCTGATAAGTGCCGTAGATCCTTAGCAATCGGTCTGATTAGGTCTGTAAGTGTAGAACTAGCGGTATTTTGGATTAATAAATTCAAGTAAGCTCTATATCAGATTTATGATTTTAAACTAGAGAGCTCATAGAGGCGGTTCCAGCACTGTAAACGTCTGTCAGAACTATTCATCAAAGTAGAATTCATATCATATATGGGACAACATGGAATAAAAGGATAGAATCTCAACCCACGTCCGATATTGATGGACTAACCCCACGAGAACGTGCATCACGGCTGTATATTATATTATGGATCTCATTATGATGTTCAGGACACTCGATTTCACTGCTTATTGACTGGTTCAGGCGCAAGACGGCATTTTGTTTCTTTGCTGATCTGATACAATCCTAGATAGTTACGAGTGCTAGACCAACCATATCAAAACTATTCCATGCTCTCATAGCCAAGTAGTCTATATTATATCGGTATATACCAAAGCACAAAGCCATGTAGTATACATCCTATTCAGGCTCTCGAAATCCAAGGCGCTCCTGATACAACAAGTCCGCATCATTTGTTTCAAAAGCAAAATTCCAGAGATCAGTGATCCCCTGCTTCGGCTTGGGTTGTTTCCAATCCGCCTCCTTGGAGCTCTTCCGGCCGATATGCTGCAGCACGCTCGGTGTTATCGCATATCGGATTTCATTATTCTCGTTGGCAAATTCCTCGGTGAGCATGTCTACATAGCCTGCCCGTTTTCCCTCATATAGCTCGATTAGGTCGGCGACTCGTGATTGCGGGAACACGAAGCCCTGCGAACAGCACCCAAACTTGGACATTTCGTGCACACCCGGTGGAATGGGACGCATCGTCACTCGTCCGGAGGCGAAGTAAAGTCCGATCAGCAGCGGCGTGCACACGAAGCACAGAAGAATGAGCGTGTCATCTGGGAGAACAGGGCGAAGTTTAGGCTGGTAGCGCCGGGCAGCTAGCAGTGCGCAGGCGACGCAGCTGACGGTGAGAATGGAATATAAGAGATAAGTAGGCCATTCCTCGGAATTCCAGCCGAGGAACTGTTCCGTGTAGAAGAGTCGAAGATACAACCCTGAACAACGTGGGTCAGTGTCAGATGTCCTTGTCAATAATACAAGCATCTTGCACTACTCACACTTAGATGCTCCCTTCTCGTTTGTCATCCGGTCGGCCTCTTCGACCGCGTACTGGGTACGATGATACCACCCGTCGAGAGCCAGAATATCATCCTCCAATATAGCAACATAGGATGCATTGACAGCCTCGCATGTCTTTAACAGATAGGCGTAATCAAACAAGGCTTTCTCTCGTGCGTATTGTTTAGCGTCGTCGCTCTCCAGAGCCCGGATATGGTCAATATCGACATCGTTTTCGTCGTAGAGTAAGACCTTGTCGGCCACGTTTTGAAGCCATGATTCAGAGAATGCCGGGTGCTCTGATGCATTAGTGTGTGCGATAAAAAGAATTAGGTGCATCTCCGCACGATCGGCCTCACTCAAGCCTTCCAGAATAGATCCAACGGCGCTCTTAAAATACCGGGCACCTTTTCGTGCAATAGTCGCAACCCCTAGGCACAGTTGAGGGTGATCTGATCCTTTCCACTGTATGTTTTCTGCACCATTATTTGCGTAGTCGATGAAAGTATTCGCCTGCGCTAACCTCACTGTTGAGTAGTCAGGCAGGTAGGCACTAGATGAATCGAAGAATACTGAGGTGGGGTCACGGAAGGAATGCCATCGAGCAAACAAAATAAGAAAGGCATAAACCAGGACAAACGTCAGTAGCACACGTCGTGTGTGCGAGTGTGATGTGACAAGGTTTGCTCCCAGGTTTGAGAGGAGCCCCGTGGACAACCACATGATCGGCAATTGTATGATAACCACCAGAATGTGGGTTGAAGAATGTGTAACGGGTTCAATAAATCGGGTATCGATCTGGAGCTGTTTAATGGTTCAGAAACTCGAGCTTTCTTTTCTGAATTATATAATTATGAGAAAGACATTGCGCATGGCAGTGTTAAAGCAGTCAGTACTCCAATATTGGTAGGAAATTTTTCGACAGCCGAGTTTACGAAGCTTGATAAGTAGTCAAGTGTCAAGCCAACAAGAGAAGAAATCGCCAATTAAGAAAATGTTCGCTTAGTTCATGTTTTGGGGGATGCTCTCCACTTGACATCACCAACGGGGCATAACTAAGTGCTCCATATGAGAAGTGGCTTTCCAGCTCTTATGCCGCATGAGCTGCAAGGCTGCTGTGCTTGGTGGGCAATTCATGGAAGCCGAGGGAACTATTTAAAAGATGAATACTCTGAAAAGGATGGCCTAGAATCGTTTAGTGCAATGCCACGATGTCCTAGTTGCCAACACAATTTACAAACGAATGGAAGCGACAGGACACATTCCCAAAGTATCATCGAGTACTATGTGCCAAGGCTAATTGATGTGCTCTGACTTGTCGATCAGAACCTCGTTGGGGCAAGGGTGCAAAGCCAGTCTGGGGCTAATAAGCTAAAGTGGGCCATGGAAGTGTACTCCGTAGGTCCGGAGAAAGCCATCTCCATTGTTCTGTCGAATTAGACAAGGCGCCAAGAAGGCCCTGCGCCCAAGGAGCCTCGGGTCCTGATTGATCTTGGGGGTGTCCTCCGTGGGATGATGCGCTCTATCGAGGAAAACTTATCTCTTTAATCCTGGATATAATTGCCATGAATTGTGTGGATGGAATTGAGGGCTCGCCATTGAAGGATCCAGACGAAAATGGAGATGTCAAGTCACGTGTGTGGCCAAGACTGTTGGAGCATATCGCCAAGCATGGGCGCCTGCCCCCGGTTCGACCTCGCTTAGTCATCATTTATGTAAGCTCCACCCGGCCACCCATTCAATAGAATAAGCAATCGCTTCCAACAAAGACACGACATTTGGACTGTGCATACCTCAGGCACTACATGGCTTGACGTATGCAATCACCACTAGACTCATCAGCTATCCTTGAGAAGCCACATTAAGGGCATATTGCGGGGCAGTCATTAGATGTGGATATCTGATTCTCACGGTTTGTAAGTTCAATATAATATTTCCGTGCTTTTAATAAGGGTATCATACTTTCTATTAAATAAATCATCGGGTGCTCTATACAATATCTTCATCATCCACATGCATATTCTATAAATGAGTATATTATAATCGACACGCGCTAGCTAGGCCTTTCGCGCGGGGAATGTTGATTCCCGAAGACTTGCCCGAAGCCTTGTCCCCCAGTGTTATCCACGGACTTAGATGACAAGCCTGCTCAGTCGAATCCCAGGTCCAAGCCAGACAGAACTCGGATCGATCTCGACAGATTTTAGAACAACTTTGGGCGGATATGATGTCGTTGATGGATATGGTCGCTTCGTCCAGCCGTCCCACGTAGTCCCAATTCTTGTGTCCGACTTCGAGTACTGGAGAGTCGAAAGACGGGGCACCGTAAATATCCCACAGATCAATCCACAGCACCAGCTCGGAAGTGTTGTGAAACGTTTTACCGACGCTGAGCATGTCGGATGACGAAGCCAGTCCATGAAAAGAGGCGATTGGCGCACAGAATCGTTCCGGTGTGATTTTCGTGGCTTGGGGTTGCTCGCCATTGAAGAAGATGGTGTATCGCTCATCAAGATAGATTCCAATCTTGATCAATGTGGTTGCGACCAGCTTGTCGCCCCAGGTCTCCTCGAGAGCTTCCAAATGAGCCGCGGAGACGACCGTGGGGTTCGCGAAAAGATCGCGTATTGCCGATCGAGACAAAATCACGGAGGACCCTCCATGCGCGAAACGGCCCTTGTAGTCACCTACTGCATTCCCGAGATAGTAGGAGACACTGGGGTCAAGGTGCTCGAGTAGACGCTGGAGAGAAGGCTGTAGGAGGTATGTATCGTCATCGGCTAAGATATACCAGCTTTTATCCGGCATCTTCTGGTAGCATAGTTCAAGTCCGGAGATAAACTTTTTCTGGGTTAGCATTCCCATTTCAAGCACCAAGTAGTTTGAACTCATAAGAAGAGGCATACTACCAACCTTTAATGCATCTAGCTCCCACCCGAATGATTTCGATAGGGAGCGCGCAGTGGCCGTATCTCCACTGGAGATAGCGGTAGTCATGTTGGAATATTTAAACAATCTCGAATGCACTAAGCCGGAAGGTAGCGATCCAGTTTCCAGCATTCGAGCCACAAGATCGTGAACAGGGATCTTCTGGCCATGGTAGCTGTAAGGTTTTGCCGGTGGCGTAGAGAAATCTCCGACAATAAGGAGATTGTCGAGTGCTTTCCCCTCGTGCGCTTCGAGCCAAGCCGCAATACGATCTTTCGTTCCGTATCCAGATTTCATCACTACAGCGACATCGTTAGGGAGGGCGATTGGAAACGCAGGCTGTCCTGAGAGCCACCAGCTGTCTTTGAAATGAGTCGGGAGAGTCGCAGCTGCAGCATTGAGGTTAAAACGAACAGCAAGGCGTAAAGGATGATCGTACGGGAGGGTCAGCCACAGCACGAGCAGAATGAGTGGGATTAACAGAAACACACGCCAGCGCCGAGAGGCGCATTGTCGCCCTATTTTCATGGTTGCATTGTTGTGTTGCTTGAGGATCCAGAAGCTGATGGCGAGATAGTCAAAATGAATGATCCTCACCTTGGAGCCTAAGAAGTGAAAGAAAGCTGCTAGTAGCTGGTTAGTGCTATTTATTAATTTAATTTGTATTAATAAGAGAATTGGCCCCTCCTTGGCAATTTCCGATTTTCGCCCGCTTAGCTCGCCAACTAAGTACTATCTGCCTACGGAAGCGTCCATGAGACACCCAGACTCACTCAGTTTCCAATTATTTCCCTTTCGAGGATGTTTTGTGGCACGGAGTACGTATGTACAAGAGAAGGCGCGCTGTTTCTCTCTTTCATTGCCGCCTAGAGTGAAGCGACCACAAGGTCATTTTGAAAGGAATGCACTGCACCAACTCCTAAGCCAACTCTATTAATCACCTGTCACACTGATAAATACTCGTATGCTCAGCCTTCACACTTATATCACACTGAGCAAAAGCCTCTGCTGTTGGGTCATAGAAAAACTGTAAATTGCATCCCAAAATAGCATAGTTTCAGGGACACTGGTAGAATTTTCAGCCAATGGTCATTAATTACTTGTGTCTTTTGGTTGGCACTAAACTAGAATAGTACTAGTCCTCTTTGCCAAATTTGGAACCTTGGGCATCCCACGTTTGCCCATGCACGTGTCGATGGATATTAAGCGAGAACCTTCCTTGATATATCTCTACAGTGTAATTATAGCTTACAAGCAGGTTAAGTTGGAAGTATTTATGGAGCTATCATCCACAAATAAACAGTTCCAGCGAGGCCTAAGCCCCAAAGTAGAAATTCAGAATAATTTACTTAATTCTACCGACATAACTCTTGTTCTTCTACGAAGATTAATAGAACAAAATATATAGAGTATATTAGTGTTGAATATACATATTGCTATCTTCTACACAGTATACGCTTGACAAACAACATTATAAATCTCTCACCTAAAATACCCCGCGGCTTCGAAGATCAGTCTTTCTGTCAAATATCCGCGCCACAACTAAATGGTACCTAATCACCCAAGCATGGAATAAGTGGATCCGATCAAATAGCCTCTCCATAGTTAGTACTTCTGACAAACAAGACCGTTTAACTTTCTGAGTGGTACTCCGTAAGTTTCCTATCTGCCCGTATTGGTGTATTCAGGAAAGTGGGCCTCAGGCGACAGAGCCTCGGGCAATCAACAATGAAATCATCGTGGGTCAAACTGCCACTCACCAATCGCCCAATGTGTTTACCGCTGAGGGATTAAAAGCACTATATTCCTCTCCAATAGATCTCCTAGACAAATATAGCATAGTAATATACTAGGTATTATATATCGCTCACCTATAAACAGGCATCTACCCCGCAGCCAGACGTGAACCTCATGGAATCATGTTCCGCAGCGACTCCCAACCCTCGAAATTGAGACGGGCGAGCCTCCTTCCTCGAATTCGTCGCACTCTGAAGGCTCCTGATCGTCCGATCGCCATACGAAAGGAATGCATCACCGACAGGAAAACAACACTCGTACTCCGACCATACGGCGATGCACAGTCCGAGGTAGCCTACCAGATTTGCGACCTCGACGGCGTGACGCAGTTAACGGTGTCGGGGCACAAGTTTGGTGGTCGCTCATGTCGAGAATTCCGCGACTCATCGGGGTTACCGCTATTCGAGCTCCATAAGAAATCCTCCTTTCGCACTGGGTGGTGCGTGACACTGCCTGGGTGTGTTTCGGCGAATATTGCGACGGGGGGTCTGCGACGGTCGTTTTCATCCAGTGTTGAGAGCTTCTATCTGTCGTTTGAGAATGTTGCTGCTCTAGATTGTAAACACAAAGAAGATAAGCAGCTGACGCTGGAGATCGAGAGATTTGGCAATGCGCTTGCGTCGTTCGATATTGTGGATGGGGATCGGAAGGTCGCGGAGGTGCGCGAGAGTATTCCGCATAATCGCACGTTGGCTTTGATGCCAGGTTCGAAACGTGGTTGGAGACCGGCGATTGATATTATTATCATGCCACATGTGGATATTACCCTGGTGTGTGGTCTGATGGTTTGCGAGAGTATATGGACTGACGTGGTTGTAGGCAACGGTCATTGCGGTCATTGCATCAGACTCAACTTTCACTGCCAATTATTGAGCGTGCAAGAATGCGTCCATATTCATACCCAGATGGAGACATTCTATTGGAATTAATGACATTATGCGTGATGAAAAGGGTTGGATTTTTTCTCGCTTTTGGCTGATATTTTTCTAGCTATGCATTCATTGTATTCAACCTGGACGATTTTCAGGATGTAGATATCACAAGTACAATTACTACACATTGCACAGCTGCTAAGAACACTAAGATGAACCCGTGGTCTAGATAACATTCTGTAATATACAGATACAATAACGAGTATCCCACGAAACAGCAATGTTTATTGTAGTTTTGAACAAGCCACTTCCAGAACTCTTCTGGAAGCCAATAGTAGTATAACCCATCATCAGAAGCTTCCGCTCTGATGATTATTATAAAACCAAATTTCCAGTACTATACCCGCAGGATCCATTGCCGGGTTTCGTCCGTTATTTTGTGTTGACGAGGTGGCAAAATCCCGTCTCCCAGACACATGCGTCCAGTCCAAAAGCTGCCGTTCATCAATATTAGGACCTCCTCCAGGAGCAGAGCCAGTCAACGTTCCCAATTCATATGGAGTTGACATTTCTACTTCCCTGTGTGTGCCTGAATATGTTGGTCCTGGTTTGATCGAGTGTGATAGCGACATTATGAGTGGCCACGTACCATTGGCATTATTGGTGATATGAGACAAACTGAATCCACTCGGAATCGAGACTCTCCTTTGTGACAATTCGGTGCCAAGTTCGCTTTTGACTTTTACTTTGATGTACTTGCCTGCTACACCGTACAGGGCTTGGAAAAGTTGTTGTTTCCTGTATTTTTGATAGAATGTCAAAGACCGAGTTGACTGTAACACATCGACGAAACTCCCGAGACACTGGAGATCATTCGACTCGGATGTTTCAACAATGTGTTCTGAAAAGAAAAAGGAAGAGTTCGCTACAACTTACAGCGACAGCCATGGTGACAGCTGAATCACGAGTGATGGGCACGTGAAATAGAAGGTGAGGCAGAATCATTTCCAGATTATCACGGCACAAGATTCCTTGATTCCAACAAATCTCTTTCATTTGTTAGCCCTCCAAAACATTGGCATTCTCCGAAAAGCCAGTGCAGGTCACCGTTGACTATAATCAGATCGGCATCAGTGACCAACCAGATGAATATATCTTTAGGGAGTAGTCTGTAAATCCGGATATTAGGATCAACAATAAGCAAAAAGCATATGATCCGGACTATTTCCAATAACAAGACTTAATAGACAATGCCAAAAACATATGCAGAGTTGAGGAAACAGCGCAGACTTTGGCTATCCGCAAACAGGTGTGGGCTATTTCAACTGGGGGCACGAAAAGGTCTCTTGTACTCGATCCCGGTAAGATTCTCATGACATAAGTATAGAGGGCTTTAAGCGTGTCTCTTCGTTATTTCTGTCTCGCGTTGATACCGCAAAGAATATCTAGAGTCGATGTCATCTCATGTGGATGTCAGGCGAGTTCGTGCTGCTGATGATCTTGGAGATATCTAGTTGCAAAAAGAGCATGCACGGATAATGACGTTGAGACGTAGGTGTCGATGGTTGAGGACTGAGACTGGTGTCCTGCAACTTGGAAGGTTGTGCCTGAGCGCTAGCTAGCTGATAGCGAAAATCCGATGAGGACAGTGCATTACTCAGTAGCACCATATTGAGATTACGCTCCTCCATCTTATTGACGAAGTAGTCAATTTTTTCCTCTCTTTGAAATGGTCAGCCGTTGTTGATTCGGGCTCTATCAAGAAATCACTCGCTATTTGGCTGAGATCAAAACCCTTTGCCTTTTCTCCCGCAACCTGCTGGGTATTTGGTATGCGCGTAGGGACTTTGCCCCAACTCATTGAGTGCATCATGGACTGGACCAAACACAGCGGATCTATAGACATCAGCAAACAATTACATGACTTCGATTCATCTATTTCCGGAAGGAAATAAGGAACTATTTTGTTTTAGTATACCTTCAGTTCTCTACAGCGGTTACGCTAGTATAATTATTAGCATTCCAGAGGGAGCAAGCATAGATATCTACATAGCTCGTGGTTGACTTGACAATAGCTTAACACTTTCATCCGTATGGTCCGGGGGCATGAGGGCCTCTGGTGCGATATCCTCAGAACTCCGCTCCATTTGTTCTTTAAAGACAGTGGAGTTTTACAACGCCCAAAAAAGCTCTCTGAAAGACACAATCGCGCAGTTTTAGGAATACGGAGGCGAGAGCTATTCATGGGAAAGTGGAGTCTTTGAGAGCGGCGGGATGCCAAGACCCCAGTAGACTAGCGGAGCCAGCTTTCCAGTTCCGTCTCCGCCATCTTACATTGACTCATGTTGTGAAAACCTCTATACGGTCCACAGTGCACAGGGGAAATGGGGAATAGAGCAGGAGAAGCTATACCAGCTACACGCACGTAGCCTACTAAGGAGCGTATATATTCAACTAGATATACATTCAACGTCTCATCTAGATGCCACTCTCACCATCCTCTTCTCTGGGATAGAGGATTCGGGGTTGACACCATTGTGCGTAGCCAAGGCGCTAGGGAGGAATCGGTCCGAATACCACTTCTTCAACACCTCACATTTCCTTCACGCCTTGTATTCGAACCCTACCTAGTTTTTCGTGTTTACAATTCAACTCCAGCACCAAGATGTCGTTTTTGTCTGACTCCGACACAAGCTTCCGCAGCATCCCCTCCTCGGCACCTGTGATTGTCGAGCAGGAGGCACTAGAGTAGCTTACTGCTTTTACACCCCTTAACCCAAAGATGACACAAAAAATGTGTTGGATATATTTTTGAATTTATTTTCCCAAACAAGGCGGGGCAAACCTACTGGAAGAAATAAGGGGATTTAGAACGAATAATGAAATATGCCAGCATGCCAAGTCTCTTGTAGAAGGGTCTATTATTCCCACTCAAGGCACACTCAAAGACGCCCTCCATTACTATCTACCCCAGTTTTGGGGTAGAAGATTCTATTGAGAACCTTGATGCGGAACTGGACGAAACTAGTGACAAGGGACACGCAGGCATGGCTGAAGAAGGCATGCCTGGAGAGAGATGGGAGAAGTGTTGTATTACTGGTGCGGTGGATAGGGCATTTGCCGGTGATAGTGACCTACGTGCGTCCACATATTGCGACATAATTCCACTTTGCTTAGGAAATTGGAATTCAGATGTAGAACAATACTCCGCATAAAAATTTGGGTGACTTTATATCGATGCTTTCCTGCTCTTCGTTCACGAATCAACTTTACCCAATCTTCTATGAACGAGCCAAGGTACGCCATTACAATTGGTCATCTCTTAGACGGTGCCTTCTGACGATTCGATTTTTGCCCTTGAGGCGACAGAAGAAAATACATACCAAATTAAAAATTATCAGCCGGAAGAGACGTTTTCGAGACTGCTTGCCGTTTCTGGAGTTGATACTTTTAGGCAGAATAATACACGCCATAACTGCCGAGCCCAATGCTTCCGGAGGTACATGCACTGGTCGCCCATATCTTGCACGCTTCTGGAAAGGCAATGCAAGTGGACAAAATATTGAGGGACCGCGATGAAACGCATGTTTTAGCTAGAGACGGCAGCTCAGACATTGAAAATATTCTTTCCACCAGCGTGTTGGCCTTCACCAGTTCTGGGTCCTAGCCTGAGAGAGACCCCCACGTTCGACAGCCTTCCGCGGCGGGGGAAAAGAAAGATTCTAAGGACAGACCAGGTAGACTTATCTTTCCAAGTTCTACAATGCGAATGACGACGCTTTCAGAGTACTGGAGTTTCTTGTTCACTTATGTTCTTACTTCACTATGCGGAGCACTTGTACAGCTAAACTTCTATTACTTAGGCTTTCGGGTTAACAAAACCTTGATTAATTAATTTGTCCATAGAACTTTCGACCACACGTTCGTCAAAGCGAGTGCGCTATATTGCACAACATATCAGATACTGACGGCCTCGACTACTGCTCCCGTTGGTCAACAGAACCGGTTTCGCCTTTGGGTGGCTTATTAAGTTATGGTGTCAGATCCACTAAATGAATGCACATACATAGTGCTAGGATACGAATCCAATGATGTGTATTATTTAGCAATAATCTCCGCAAAGGCCTCACTATCATATAGATGGTATAAGCCATAAACGTCATTCTCCTAGGGAGGTGCTACAGTCACACGCCACTACATGTCATAGCCAATATACAAAGAAAGATTTGTCTCTCTCGTACAAACTCTTTATGTGTAGACCGCATTTTTCTAACGAGTTCCTGTTGAAAGACTGTGCCATAAAGAGGAAGCCACATTCCTGCATCTGAAAAAGCCCAACAGAAATGTGTCATCAACCAAAGTATCGTGACAATTGTAATTCACCCAACCAACTAGAAAATTAGTCAAGAATCATAATAGAACATTCGAAAATGTGAATAAGGAGATATATATTACCACATTTACTTCTTTAATCTGCCGAATTCGCGACGAATATGCCTCCTACCCATCTGTGCGTCTGCAAGTGAGTCTTCTACTGGATGATTATCCAGTGCAATGCCTGGTGACGGGTTTATTAAAACAATTGTAAACTAAGAATACAGAGAAACGGTGCTGCCACAAGGCCGTATATGCAGAAACAGAGGGCGTGGGCAAGGAGTGAAAATATACCCATTATAAATTTATTTGGAGGTCAAATGCGACATATGTTGGGCCTCGAGAAGTTTTGGGGCGGGAAGGTATGGCGTTCCAAATACTTCTACGAATATTTTGCGTCTTAGTTCTATGATAAGACAAATATTTAGATTTTGGTTTCCAGTAGTGGGGATTACGTGTATTCAAGTAATATTATTTAGTGCCAACATACGCGAAGGAGAAAGGCCACAACCCGCTCTACCGTAAAGCAATTTGAGAGGCCCAGAAATTGGAATGAGCAACCAACTTGATCACGAAGTATAAAGTAGCTCTTGGTAACCCATCAGAAACAATACAGAAGTGGAATGGAATCTAAATGGGACCATGTTTAGATAAATGTAAGCGTGCGACGATACCATGTGTCTTCTTGCGCAACTCACCGACTCCGTCTTGTGCTTGAGCTACCGCAGTTGGAACACCCCCTTTGAATATCTTTTTGGAAATATTTGACATATCTGTTAACAAAGCATTGACTGAGAGATTCAGGTGCACCATGTGCCTGCAGCTGCCCTATTATTAGAAGTCTACGATTCCTAAGACAGGGGAAGTATATTATGCTGTTCTCCATGGGCGGAACGCAGAGATTCCGCTGAGCCACAACCATTCTAACTCCCACTTATACCTCTTTGGTATAGTTCCGGTTATGACATAAAAGGCGAAGCCCAAGCACTAAACAGAAAAGGAAAGCATCGTATGCGTCTAGAAATCTTGTCATACGATGATCATCAGATCGAAGTTATAAGACAGTAGATAAATGGAAGGGCAAAACCTAGGGACAACAATATCCTATACTAAACATAAGAAATCATAGGCAGTTCTAGAATATCTACAGATTTATTTATAACTAAATAGCCAGGTACACATATTTACGCTATCACTTTTTCCCCCGATTGAATGTCTTCAATGGATCTACCCTCTTCTTCACACCGGCATAGTGCCGGCCCTTGCCCTTCCCCTTTGTACGGTTTTTATCCCTTGCATTCCGAATCCGATTATCACTAGCTTTCCTGAACGCCACATATCCAACATCCTCGCTCGAAATACCCTTTCTACCCTTAGAGGGCATCAAATAGTCGGGAATATGCTTCAGGTGAGGTTGAACGCGCGCAGAACGGACCTCATCGTCATGACGCAGCTGGCGCAGTTCTTCAGGATTGTCTTCAAAGTGTCGCTTGAGTTTCTCGCTCTTGATCAGTTCCTGACGGATCTCGCGTGCACGAGCTTCCTGTATAGCGAGTCGAGTCACAGCGCGAAGAGCGTCGGTCATTCGGTAACGGAACGCATCAACTTGTTTCATTTCGAAATGATACGGTTTGACTTCGTGTCCGAGTTTGGCTTGTCGCTTTACTATCTTGGCCAAAACAGATTCGTCGTCCTTCGCTGCTGAGATACTGGTGGGCTTATGTTTGCCAAACTGATCCGAAGGGATGACAAATGACAATGCCATGCCTGTCTGTCCTGCTCTCCCGGTACGGCCAATTCGGTGGGTATAAGACTTGGAAGTCGTGGGGAGATCAAAGTTCAGTACGCAAGCGACATTTTGAAAGTCGATACCACGAGATATGCCGTAGTCTTTTTCTTTTCCAGTAAGCTTCTTGCGCTTATTGGAACGGGTGGACTTTGTATTCTCTTCCTCGTCTTCGTCACTAGAGCCCATTGCCTTGGTGTCCTCGTCTCCAGTAGTCGCTTTTGACTTTTTAGATGATTTCCGAGCTCCCATAACCTCTTGTTCATCGGCCGCAATAATAATATCGTAGACACCCTTGTTAAACTCCTCAACAACGTGTATCCGAGAATTGATGGGCAATTCTGAATTGAGCACACAGCTCTTGATTCCGAACTGTTCAAGGAACAGCTTGAGACGATAGCAACGGTCCACATCTCCAACAAATATAATAACCTTGCCCTTGATCAACTGAAGCTTGAAAATAACGTAGGTGAGAAGAAACTTTTCATCCTCAGCGCATCTGGTAGTGAAACAGGCATCAGCAACTGAACTCACTTTCCACCAACGGGGCATGTCCACTTACTTGACAACATACTGACTGACGCCGGCACCTTGGTCGTCCTTATCCTCCAGTTTCAACACAACAGGGCTCCGGCAAAACAAACCCTTCAATGTATCCACCTCAGACGTAAGAGTGGCACTCATCAGGAACGTCTGGACACCACGAGGGATTGCCTTTGCCAATCCATTAATATCTTCCTCATATCCATATGACAGCACCAAGTCTGCTTCGTCAATCACAAGGTGTGTGACGTTTTCCAAAGAAAGAGCGGAATTGCCGAGATTGGTAATGACACGCGAAGGTGTCGAGATAATCAAATCCGGCTGGTCCGCCAGCATTGTACGCTGCACGGCATCCGAAACCTTCTGCGTTAGGTTCACCGAGCGAACATCCTTTCCACAGAAGGCAGCGAACGTGGTGACGACCTTTTGGACCTGATCTGCGAGCTCTCGGGTGGGGACGAGGATGAGGCCTGTGGTAGCTTTCAAAGATGGATCGGCCTGGATAAATACGTCTGTTAGGTTTCATATGTGCTAGACTATAAAATGCAGATATGGCCCAGAGAGAACGTACAGTCTTTTTCTGGAGAATAGTCTGTAGGATCGGGAGCACGTAGGCCGCAGTCTTCCCGGAGCCAGTCTTTGCGCGAGCTGGGCACATTAGTCTTTCCCATCATCACTAGATTGTTCTCGAGTCTAGAATACATACCCAAGATATCCTTTCCCTCAAGTGCTAAAGGAATAGCCTTAGCTTGAACCAATGTAGGCTTGGTAAATTTCTCTTTTATCAAAGCTTGGCGCAGGCGCGGATCGAGATTGAGACTTTCGAAGTCGATGTCAGTCGCATCTTTAGCTGTTTTCCCCTCTGCCGCCTCCGTGGAGGGCACGTCATTAGCATCGAGTTTTCGCTTCATATTTTCAAGGTCTGGGCTCCTCTCCGAGGACTGAAGAGGCAGTCGAGATAGTTGACAAGAATGTTTCGAGCGGGTTAGAAAATCTGTTGGGCGGTGAGATTTTCCGGGGGCAGTATTTTTCAACTCCACCGAAAGTGACTAAGGTCAGCTGACCGGAACCAGAAGTAAGCCGGATGGTGTGTACGCGTAGCTGACCTACACGCTTTCTGGGACCCTGACAAAGATGTGACTGGTTCCTCAACATTAGGTCGTCGTCGTCAATAAAGGGTTGGTGTGATGCGGGATCTTGTAAATTCGGTGATAGAATCCTCAGACGATATGGACCACATCAAACGCGCATGAAGGGCCTGGAAATGGTCAGAGTCAAGGGCCGCCCATTTGTCAGGTAACCTGATGGATATCTAAACAACTTCTCAATAAAATTCCACTGGGTCAAAAGAGATAAAGATCACTAATTAGTCAGGTAAATCCTTGAATTATTGGCAGATCTTTCCTACCGTCAACTCCCTATAGAAGTTGGATAAGTACCTTCGGAGCTGAATATTCGCTTCTATCATCGGCGAAGAACTGTTCATTTCCCCTGACTGGGTGATCGACAGTGGTACTCTGAACCGAGCGTTTAGTGACTTCCTACGCCTGTCCAGGACATTTGCTCAGATTAGTCCTTTGAGTACATTTCCTAACTAGAACCTCAGGACGACTTGTCTGATGCGCAGGGCGTTTTATTTTTATCCGGTAACAAGCCCTTGCGATCCAGCCTTTAATCCTTTGCCTCTCAGATCCTTGCAATACGTCGTGTATTTGGGGAATGTAATACGAGAAAAACTAAGTATACGGGAAATTATTATGGCCATTTGAAGCGGTAAAAATCAAGGACAAAATACCAAGATTCTGGCAGACTATAATCATGGAGTACTTGATATTAAAACTAACTAGTAAGGCAACCAAAAGAAACCTGCAGGGTGCTTACTACTCCCATGGCATTTTGAGATCACCTCGAGACTTATTTCATTCCCTCGTTCGGCAAGGTGGTAGGTCAGCGGTGCACACCCAAAAAGCAAAAAAGCCAAAAGAAAGAGGCAAGAATAAGCAAAAACCAACTTGCAGCTGGCGTCGTATTTCGAGAGTGGAGATTTTCAGACGGCTGATGCCTGCCTTCCAAAACGTATCGTGAATATCGTGAATATCATGAGTGGCCTTACAACCGCCCTCCTAGATTATTTTTTTTTTTTTTTTTCTGCTTGAAGGGATAATCAGGGATCAAAATTCAGACGATTATGAGAATAATAGTATAACAAGTCAGCCGAAACAAAACCAAGTAACATGTAAACAGCTTCACTCGTACGGTAGTTAATCAAAACCTAAGTTCGTTTGTCGCATAATTGAGAAATCGGGGCAGTGTCCTATCGGTAATCTTACCCACATGAAGCACTTTAACATTGTGCTCAACCGTGTAGATTTTACCAAAATTTAATCGTGACATATAATCCAGCTTTTGGTCAGGCGAAGCGGGTGTTACCTCTATGGGCTCTTTGGTTATACCCCGTTCGGCAGGGTCAACCTTGGGATACGTGCCTTCCATATAAATAACTGCATGCTTGGACGGATCGACACCTGGTTTAGCTACTCCCTTTCGGGAGTAGGTACTCACAGGACTTTAATAAGACTGATTAGTAGATATATCCTGGTAAAAATTCGCTCAAATAGAAAAACTCAAAAACTCACAAGCACCAAGCACATTGATCTAGTGCTTTAACAACCACCATACGCCGAATTCCGCTGTGGATTCGCTCGTTGAATCTACCGAAAAACACAGGCCCTTCGCTGATGTGACTTTGGGTGCCTCGTCCAGTTGAACCTTCATTTTCGTGCCACAGAATAGAAAATACCTTGAGGACCTTTAGCCAAGGATCACCGATGGGAAATATATTCCATGATAGATGGTCATACCCGTCCAACTGTAAAGAAGCTCTTGGGGTTCTTTTGCACCACGTAGCCTAGCACGCAGTGAGAACGGGATTTATATGACATCAAACAAGGTCAGTACATACGCGGGTCCAATGGTATAATGCTGTTGGAGCTGGCTGCCGAGATGACTCTTTGGGGGCCAGGGATGGTTGGGGAGTGCGTGGTTGGCGGGCCAGTGGTCAGGTTTCCCGAACCTCTCCATATATGCTCGAATCCTGGAGTTTGTGGAATCGATGGGGAAGAGTATCCCTGGCCACTTCCCAAACCAGTCCTAGGAGCCGTTCGCGATGCATGATTTTCATTTGGAATACCAGACTGGCCCGGGCCAGCATGTTGACCAGGTGCCCAAGTGTAATTTCCCGGATTACTGTAAATTTTGAAACATTGATGTTCCTGTCAGTATCCACAGGTTCCCTAATAGATATGCATGTCGAAGCTTTGCTAACATACATGGTAGAAGGCCTTGGCTGTGAAGAGTATGGTTGCTGAGCTGATGCGGGAACGGCTGGTAGGCTGGAATAAGGCGAGGGACTAGTATAAGGATAACCGCCCCGGGAGGGATCGCCTGCATACTCGTATGGTCGAGATTGCATAGACGGGTGGGAACGAGGAACCACGCTCACAAGGATTTAGCATAAGAATTGAAGATGGTTGGTATCGCCATACCTTAACGGATCTGGTGCGAGGGGTGCTACAAGAGTTTCATCGTTGCTTTCTCTGCGCGGGTGAACATACTGTGCTCCTATGGATTTGTGATACGTGAGTGCGTTGCTGTAACCCTCTGAGATTCTCAATTCTTACCCGGACGATGGCGAGAGGCCTGCTGGCCGTTGAAGTTGTAAGGCGAGCTCATGATCGCAGCATTGCTGTCCAGTCACAGGCCAATATGTTCACAGGTGGGCGTATCCCCTTGAGCTGTTCTCAGCTAGATCTATCCAACGTTGAACCAGCAGAGAAAGCAAGGCTGTCGCATGCCCAGGGGTTTGGACTGAATGGGGGCTTTAAAGCTTGACGGACCGGACCGACTTGGATAAGCATGTTCGCCATATCTTCGAGCCGGGGAGGATGGGATGAGGAGGGGATGAGGCTCTTCGTTATCCATCATCCTCGTCGACGACAGTATCCTTCTCCCTCCATCCAGTCTACGAATTAACTTGCGTACGGCGGCCTTTGGTGTCAAAGCCTGACTCGCAGACGGACGATGCAGCTGATCGTCATCCGGGTACGAGGGTCGGCACGATGGGTTGGCTGCGGATCCTGGCCTGATTTCCCCTCTTGCATGGGAAATTTGAACGTGACACCACCTCTCACAGTTTTGTTTTTAGGGGTTTACCCCCGCACCCTATTATGCATACTATTTATCGGGAAGAGGGGGTGTTGGACTCCCTCATTCCCTGCTCAGAAAGCAATCAATCATCTCGTTGATGCAGACTAGTCTGGTGGCCCAACGAATCCGTGTGGTGTCAATAGACTACTTTGGACTCGGGATCAGGAGGAATGGGTTGTGAAACACCCATTACCAACCACTAGCCCAATCATCAATTTCATCTCCTGATTCTAGGAAATACAGCAATCGACCATGTGAAATGTAAGTACGACTCCAAGACGGTGCACATAGATTTTAACACCCTGTCTGTAACCTATCAGACAGATCGATGCGACGTGTCAGAGCGTTGCTCGTCTCCCACCACATGTTGTCACCTCGCCCAGGAGAAAATAAAAGGAAAGAGAAAAGGAGACAACTTGAAAAATATATAAAATAAAATAAAAAAATTTTTGTGGTATGGCCACCACACTAGCGAAGCCATCATCGTTATTATCCGACTTGTCCCGCGGCCATCAACTTAGGCTACAATAAAAATTTTCTAACCAACAGTGTGTTCTTTCTATTTTTTATTTTTCTTCTCTCGTCAGCAATATTCAACACTGGAATACATAAGAGTGACTCAGCGAGACAGGTCGCTGTCGGTCGGCCGTGGCTTCCCCCCCCTCAAGTGATGGGCGTCAAGCGGGAAAATGTTCAAATTCGGGGAAATGGCTCTAAAAGCCTTAGACGTAAGGAATTGGGCGAGACAACCCCGTCATGGAAGGGTAAATGAATCTTTGTTGCTGTTGTCGTTGTTTGTTTGCACCATACCTACCCCTTCCCTCGTTCCATATGCCTCGCAGGGAAAATGCTCCCTTCTAAGACTCACTTCTCTATTGTCAATCAGGATATGACAAGTGAATACTCGACAGATTCTCCTAGCATGGGGAAGCTCGAATTTCGCAGCGCGACAACACTTTCTCGTCCGTTCTCACCACCACCCCCAGATAACCCGTGGGACTTGGATGTAGGGATTACACCCCCTGCCTCGGCCTACTACCAGGGATCGCCAGGTCTCGATACATCCGAGGTTAAGGAATTGATTTCGCATGTAAATATATCGGAGCACCTACTGTCTTTGAATACGTCCCAACATGGTTACAGTAAGGACGCCAGCGCTGGCCCTCCAACGCCAAAGGATTCTAAGCATCCGCAGGTTCGACATGATGAGATCCAGTCACCTTCTCCACATGAACTAAATGAGGGCTTTTACTCTATGCATTTCGCCAAGTTTATGAGAGTCAACAACAGACTGATTGAGGAACAACAGACCGTCTCCGCGAAACGATCAAAAGTACGCGAGCTACGACAGGCCCTAAGGTTCAAACGAGAAGAGGAAGCAATTCTTCGAGCGACTTTAATGAAGAAGCTCAACTCACTCTTTGCCCAAAATGGTCCCCCCCCGGTCCACTCTATGATACAGGATTATGAACTTTTGCAATCAGCTACCGAGGCATACCTGGATCTGGAAAATACTTACCATGATGCTGAAGATCAACTGGAGCAACAAGAATACCAGCTTGTTAAATCAATGGAGAAGTTTGCCGCTTTATCACACAAGCTTCCGTATGTTACAGCTCAGGAACATTTGCTTGCATCCGAAAAGTGTGATTTGGAAGAAGAAGAAGAAGATGATGATGATGATGATGATGATGATGAAAACTTCTCCATGCCAAGCACAACACAGGACCTCCCCCAGGGTGTGGTGGATTATCTGTCACGCGTAGGAGACGTCCGCATCCTCCAAGAACACCTGTTAGACTTGGACACCCAATGGCTTGCCATCATGGACAAACAAAAACAACGAGGCCCGCTTGAAATCCCTCTGGACAGTGAATCTCTGGAGTTTTTACGCACCTACGATGAAGAGAGAGAGAAAATGTTGAAAGACCTGAACAATGCTCAATTGGATGTTAACCAGCTGCGATCTATGTGCGAAGAGAAGGGCGTATTAACTGATGAATACGCCAGGGACCTTGATTTCCTATACCCCCTAGATCAAGAAGAATTCACCGGACAGGAACATGATCCACTCAAGCTACCTGCGGACGAGGATTCCTCATTCTTCTTCGAGCCAGAGGCGATGGCACAACTCACCCCGACCCGGTTCATCAACAAGTGGATTCTCCATCAACTGCGCAACTCGTCGGTCGAAATACATCGTTTGAAGTCTCGTCCTGAACTCCAAGCCCTATGGGATAAAGGTTGTGATGATGCAAACATAAGTCGCTGGGCGCTAAATGAATGGTTTAGTGATGACGCAGGCGTATCATCACGACCAACCAGCACTCTCCATCTGGATGAAAATCACAGCCACATGAATGAGAGTGTTGTTTCTCCGAAAGATAGAACAATAAGAGGCCCTATTCTTTCAAGAAGCAATTCCATGCCGTTCCTCCACCGCGTGGCATTCAGTCATTCCCTTCGACATTCTCATTCCATGCCTTGTGGCGCTTGATGATCGACAGCAAAATATATTCTGGTTTAGCACTCAGACATGCATAAGCGTATCGTTGCATTGCAGGCTTCTCGGTTGCTTCTTATCATGGTTTAGGTTGTGCTCTGCATTTATAGGCTGCTCTGTATTCTAGGTAGACTGGGTGGGTTTGATATACTTCTTTTTCTTCTCTTTCTTTTCTTTTCTTTTATCTTTGAATTTGTAGGTAGACGAAGCTACGCTACCAACGCATTTGACTCTGACACTGTGGTTTCCTATGTATTAATAACTTAGGCATCTGTAGTGAAACGGATATAACTCAACTATACAGTATGCATAGTTTCACTATGTGCCGATCTCCCTTCAGCATACTAAAGCAACAAAAAATACAACACAGTTATAATTTGAAGATATGAACCCTGTAAACATTGCTAACAGCCTAATACAAGAAATTTAACCATCATTGGAAGTTGCAGATTGAGTCCAATCTAGTCCAGTCCACTCATTGATTCCCATTATTCATCCCATATCATAAGCAAGTATCCATAAACTCCGTTGAATTCGAGTTCCCGTGCGTCCAATCCATCGTAGTTCCATGCGCTCGTTCAATATGTAACCTAATGAGTGCACCATGTCATGTTCATGTTATTTACAATATCACCTTCCCAAAGACTGACTCTGGTTCAATCAATCTATGAGTAGCGAGTTTCATCACCGTCGCTATCACTGAGACTATCACGACGACGTCCCCGACCACCTTCACGACGGTATCCCTTGCTTAATCCTGGGATTGGATGATGGTAGCTCTTGGTCCCCGAGTCTTCTGTGTCCACGTTGGAGTATTGGTATTCAGATCGCGAAGGCGCAGAGGAAAAGTCTAATGGTTCGGTATAATGGCCCGGCATGGACGGTCCGTCGCGCTTACGCGGACTACCCTGGCGAGTCGCTACCGGAGGAGGCTGCCGTCGTCGTTCCCGACGACGATTATGCCGACGGGTTGATGGCTCACGCAGTCGCTGCCCTTCTGTCGGCGCCTGGCTGAGTGTTTCTTCAGTTCCCGGGATAAAAGAGAAATTACGACTCTGGCGTGCCGGCTCATACGCATAGTCTCGGACCTGACTCATCTCGCTCTGCTGGTAGTAGCTACGTGGGTTGGATGTATCATAATCACTTCCGTGGTAGGTGCCGTCCGCTTCACGGTTGATGCCACCTACTTGGGCGGGTTTCTCCTTGCGATAGGCGCGCACGTCCTCGTCGGCTTCGCCTTCCCACTGTTCGTCCTTGTGGCGACGGAGAAGCTTCTCGCGGAGATTGCGCTTGCGTTTCGGTCGTTCCTTTTCGGTGATTGTCGTCGCTGTTTCTGTGTAGTCCACGCTGTCGGTGACTGTGTATCCGTCGTCGCTGTAGCCTTTGTGGACGATGCTGCCGCCACCTAGCTTGGTACTCTTCGTGGCGTTACTGAGAGTTCGTCCGTCTGGTCCTTTCCGTCGTAGAACGGTGGATTTGTACTCTTCCCAGTCGCCTTTCTGCCATTGGAATCCGCCGTTCTTAGCCCAAAAAAAGAACCAGATAGATGCAAGGACAAACGCGGCTCCGAGGATTGCGAATAGCGCGAAAAGACCGCCCATGTTGATGTGGTTAGGGTCAACGGTGCCTTCTCCTGGTTGATACTTGTCTTGCGAATCGGATCGAGCGACTAACGTATGCACATAGTTGGGGACAGATGGTGTCTGTACTCCGTGGACGATGTCATCATTTTCAAGGATGGGTTCCTTAGGAATGTCTGGGAAATCCCCCACTTGCTTGACTGGGGGCATGGCCGGGGAATAGAGCTGCCAAGAGCATGCAGCTCAAGACGACACTCTAAAGATAGTTAGCCTACGGTATGTGAATTTGGAGGATTCCGTAGAGGACAAGAATGTGGACTGCGATTCTTACCTGTTCAAGAAAAGACGGCAATATGAATCACTCTCTGATCTACTTTGTACTGTTCTCAGAGATGGTGAAATAGACATGCACCTCAGAAGTTATTGATGTCAGTACCAGACGTTGCAAGATCATGGAAGAGCAAACCACACAAAAGCAGCACCTAATGAAGTGCAAGTTGGAGCCCCCAAAATTGTGGTGGTTGGAGTAAATGGGAGGCTGGGATGACACTTTATTGTTTAGGCGCCTTCGTTGCCAGGCAACTTGCTGAGTCAGCACTCTTATCGGCCTGGCCTTGGAATTTCGTAGACGGCTAACAAAGAGGAATATTGTTTGACATGGCATTAAAAGCCTGAGAAATTCTAATGCTAATAGACAAAAAATAGACAGAGCTCAGTGTGGTGGTAAAACGGGAGAGAATATGGTGAAGGTGAAAAGACGAAAAAGATACTCCCGGGGAGGATCGAACTCCCAACCTCCAAGAGGCTTAGGCATACGACAGTATGTGACATATCTTGTCATATAAGCTTGACGCTCTAACCAGTTGAGCTACGGGAGTTTATGTCATACTCGTGCTTCTGGATTACAACTTTAATCTGTCATAGCTTTAGTGTGTTGCAAATGTCCAAGCTGTGTGTTAATTCCCCTTTTTTGAACCTGTGTCGTTTCCTGGTCCTTGGATAACTTTATTCCATGCTCTTCGGTACACCTGAGTCGTTGGTTTTGTCTTAATTTTACTCATATCAACGATAGAACAAGCAAAAGCTTCCCTTCCTTCTATCAGAAATGTAGAATGCTCAACATACGGTTTTGTGTGACCCGTTAGTCAAGTGAGGCAAAAGTGTTATATGCTAAACTCACACGCATTCTTCATGTCAATGCTTGTAGTCAAGGAAAGTGGTGCAAAAACAGCGGACGAGGTCGAGTAAATGACTGCCAAAAGTACTATATAAACGTGAATAGCAATATTGTTGGGAAGAAAGAGAAGAGAAAGAATATGATCCTAAGAAGATTAGCTGTTTACTCTTTCAAGACGATTTTGGGCGAGGCAGTTGGGTCGCATGAAAGGAGATATCAAAATCGTCCAGATGTTGAAATATATATGAAGTCGATATCATTATGAATGTTCTGAAACTCCCATTAAAAGCATAAATATATCATTCACTAAATAGCTAGCTAGCTACGACACTTAACATTCAGAGAGCGGATCTTTCCCATTTTCATTACTTCTGGTATCCTGAGAAGACTTCAGTGATCTACAAGTTTTTGGCCTCCCTTACCATATGCTAAGTAGACTTATAGCTTTGACAAATAATCCTGGGTACTTAAGGAAATTAAAATACTACAATTAGATATATAATGCTGGGTCATGCCTGATGCTGAAACATAAATAGCCCAGGTATGAAGATTAAAGGCCAAACAACATTCACATCCCCGCTTCCCCATCCTCACCGAGTATCCCTGATTAACCAGAACCCGCTTAGAAATCAGGCGTCCCAAGCAATCAAAGCAGAACAACAAATGTAGCAGACCGGAACCATCAAGGTCCTTGGATTTACCAAGTACTGGGTGGTGTTCTGACACTTCGTATCTCAATATCCGAGGTGTATGCACAAGTGTGATGGCGGGTTTTGTAGGCTATGAGATCACGGAATTTATTTAACTGGTTGATCTAGGAAGATAAGCGATTGTGATCTGCACTGAGCATGAGATAAAACTTGGCTTTTACGTCTGAGATTCCGAGTTTCTGGGAGCGGAGTCTGGTCGTGATGAAGGTTGCAGTTTTTCGTGAATAGACTTTATTGGAGACTACTATCAATTACGTAGCAGAGAATCAGAACAGATAATCACATTGACAGTACAGAATATCCCAAGTCAGAAAAGACACCTGGTAGATTTTACAAAACCTCAACGGCCAGATTCCAGGCAGCACTGATGACAGGGCATTTTTGATAAACATAATTTAAGCCTAATGGAGGCCAACTAGTACTTCTGCCTAATTGTTGAATTGGCTGGCAGTGATGCCTATGAGTTACAATATCAAATGAACTCTCGGCAACTGACCCGATATCTATACCGCCGGTGGACAGCCCCAGCTGAGCTTCTCATGCTGGTCGGTAATTTGAAAACGGTCAGGCCGTTGGCGGCACTAGTATCCATGTCCCACGTCAACGACGGTTGAAGGCAGCATCCAAGAAGAATCGAATGGAATGAAAGAAAGTGTTCACATGACTCATTTCCCAGAGCGAGTTGAAACTGCGTTTCCTGGACTCGGTACCCCTCCATCCGAGCTCGTCGATGCCCGAAGGAGAGTATATTAGAAACACAAAGTCGATTTCTATCAATAATACGAATGCTGTCCTTCATCAAGTTGACCAGCATCCCTTGCACCATCGTTGGGTACGATGAATCATGGAGCGCACAAAGAGCTCTCCGGTATAGCCGAGTTGCATCCTTGTCCGATGGTGCAATCAATAATCAATCCATTGGACGTGACGGCCAATAGAGCATAAATGGGATCCTATAGGACAGGAATGAAACTCAGCCATTGTCTTGTTATTATTTTGACGTCTAGCGACTCGTGCTGACGGACCCTAGTCAGGTGTAAATTTTCTAGCGTCCTTCGATTGGATGTTCTATGCCATTCATACACGGGCGCTCCACAGGAGGCGTCGCATGCTGCTTGGCCAGTTGCGATAGCATCAGAAAGCTAGACGAAGAGGGAAGGTGGGGGATCTGAATTTGTCGACATGGGGGTTAAGAATGAGAGTCAAGGTAGTACCACTTCACGGTGTGTAAGAGCAATAATAGGTTCCAAGATCTGGTTTTGCGACGCAAGGGAGAACGCTTGGTAGCACGTCTGTTATTATACAATATTATGGGATAAAATTTTAAAACGAAAGAACCATAATACAGTAGGGAATCTCTTCATATGTCGAGTAAGACTTCCTCGTAGTTAATCTTACCCCTCCAGTTGCGAAATTTTTCTCTGCAGTCCCGAAGAAACAGGGAAGGGTGGAGATCGTGATTGGGCCGCAACGGACAAGCATCCCTTGCGGACTTTTGGGCCGCCACCAGACGGGATAGACAGAATTATTCGGTTTACTTGAAAAAAAGTAGGATGAAAAATAAAGAGACAGGAGGACAAAAAGTCTGATACTTAGGGATACTTCTGGTTGTTGTAACTTGCGTAGATCAAGTGGAGTCGCGTTCCACGGTTGAAGTCCGACTAGAACCAGGGTTTCTTCGCCGATGGAGCTGGGTTTATTTACTTGGACTCTATCGACCATGGAGCATATCCAGAGTGAATCTGATCAATCCTGGTCATCCAGACTTTTGACGTTGTGACTGTGTCCCGAACCTTGATACGTTAATGGCCGACTCGATGCAGCTGCAAGTCTGCAGCCTGGCGCAATGCGCCGGGAAAAGATCATGACAGGGAAGGGTCAGTGACGTATAGGGATGGAGAAGCACGGTCTCAGAGATCATGGAGATGATATCGGTGGAAATCGGTGACAGACCGTGCGAGTTCGCAGAGATATAATCATTATAACAGTCTTCATCTGTTCTACTATATAAAATGGCATCCCCTAGCGGCCGATCAGGCATCGATGGCCGCCACTCGCCCCCCACCTCGTTCCGGCTTTCTTTCTTCTTCGATTTGTTGCGGCTAAACAAACAGTGAGGATAGTAATAATACTATTCTTATTACTGTTATTATTCTGTTGTTCCATAAGATCGGGACGACAAAAGAAATAAAAAAAAAAAAAAAAAAAGAAAAAAATAAGGTATGTGGGAATAAAAAGAGAGAGGGAGAAAAAAGACTTCTCCCTGCTCCGTTTCTTCGCGACCTCCGTCGTATTTTTTGGGTGTGGAATTTCCCCGATAGAAAGAAAGAACTTAAACAATCAACTTTCCTCCTCTCTGCCTCCTTGATCGGAGTTTTTTTATCCTTTCTTCATCTCTCTCTTTTTCTTCTATCTCTGATTTTATCCTCACCTTTTCTTATTGATCATTCGCTACTTCGTCAACCTATCTAGTTGCTCTTCCATCTCCCAAAATCTCCACAATTCACCCCACCTTCTTTTCTCCTTCGTCAGGCTCAAAGTCCTTCACCAACCACACTCCTCCAACCTGCTGCCGGTTACACAATTTCCTCGTTGCATTTGCGGACTGCAGCCTGTTGTCCTTTCTCCCTGCTGCTCATCCACTCATCGTCTGCCAGACGATTGCTGCAGCTCACGCCCTCTCCTGTCTCGCCCTCTCCCTCTCTCTTCCCTTCCTTTCCTTTCTCCGCCGACCCACGCTGTCTTGTCTTGTCCCCGTACTATCACCCACTTCGTCGCTGCGTACGCTGGACCAACCGTGACCAAGGCCATTTTTATTTATTTATTTATTATTATTTTCTTTTTTCGATGGAGACATTGCAGTCTGTAGACGACGACTGCCACTTTGCATCCACAGTCCGTCGCTGACATACAGCGATCTAGACGCGCTGTCTTTGAACTATTGTCATCTTGATCTGCAGGGAAGAGATTCCGGTTTTAAGTCTTTGAGATTATTGCAGAGGGGACTATTGGAATAGGCCCAGACAGAACGGGGGAGGGTGAACGAACAGTCCAACTTGGGAAAGAAAGGCTCTTTTATTATTATTTTTTTTTTTTTCAAAAAAAAAAAAAAAAAAAAAAAAAGGACAAGGGGCGAGGGAAGGAGGGAAAAAAAAAATACTATTATTGTTGACTCATTCGGATGAGCAGCAGTGGTGGCTGCTGTAGTCTACCAAGCATCGAAGCCTGTTGGACCACCACGTTTCACGTCACCCACACTGCCCTTCCTAGACCAGCCCCCCTCTCTTCTTAGGGACCCAACCTGGGCCTTGGCCACAGTCAAGATATCATGTCTGGCAAAGTCCCTCATGCCGCCTTTTGTGAGGAGTACGACGAAGACGCACATGTTATCCTTCCCGAAACTCGTCGAGTTGCAAACGTTGCTGCTAAACGATCCAAGACCGACCTGATATCTTCTGCGGAGCCTCTGGTTGATGTTGCGAGCGATTCTGGTTATTCTAGTCGCACTGCCGCCACCGTTAACAGCACCCAATCTGGCCCGTCGGGCCAGAAAAGTCCCATCCCTCTTAAATTAGACACGGCGCCCAAGAGAGTCGACCTCGATCGTGTTCGATCTCATCGCAAAGAACGCACCAAGGAACGAACTGCCCGCCCTGCGCGGGATGACAAGATGCAGGTTGGAACTTACCCCAGTGCCAGCCATCATCAGCATCCTTCCATGCAGCGATCCCCATCGAGGTCTCGAAGGAGGGAGAGTGCCCATTTGCGGCACTATCCAGGGACCTGCTGGGAATGTGATCAGGGGTTGTATCATGCCACGAACCCCGTTGAAGTACGACAGATGGAATATCCATACTATATGTCTCAACCGTCGACGCCTTCCGTGCATGATTTCCCCCCCGCCATCACCCCAAGCTCCACGATACCCCCCGTCGATCTCTCAGGATGTCCATGTCGCGTCTCATAGCAGTCGGCCCCATGGCCGTAGCAATCGATCAGACACCTACCATGCTACCAATCGACCTATGAGCTTCCATGGGATGGTTCCTAACATGGGGGGTATGATGTATAATGCAGGTCCGATGACTCGTTTTGACCATGGCCCGCCGCTATCCTCATCCGCCTTTGCCAACACGCCCTCGTACGCTCCATCCCATTACCCTCAGCAGCATTCCTTCTACCCCGTGTCGGACTACGCGCCTCCTGAGCATCACCGAGAACGTTCCGTTTCTAGAACGCGAGAGTCGGGACGTGGACGACGGATGTCCACTTACGCACCCCCCGTGGTTGACTACGATCATGCTTCCCAATATGATGAGGACGAGCAGCTGGAACGGGTACCGACCCGTGAGTCCCGGCATATACCTCCGTCCCATTCTTCCCATGACCGCGATGAGATTACTACCGCATGCCGCCGCCACCACTCAAGCACAAGGCGACGCCGCATATCATCCAAAAGCATCCCGATCCACCCCGTAAGTCGGCGACGACCACCGCTCTGTCGTCAGAGCGTCGCTCTTCTCGGTCGATGGATCTCTCGGAGATGCGAGATGCTCTTCCAGAGTACGGCTATCGACGGTCGTCTCGGGAGACGGTGGTTCCAGAGCGGAGCCGCAGTATCCGGGACAGTCGACGGTCGATCTCCTACCATGAAAGTTCTCGCCCCGCCCGAGTTGCCATCGCGAATTCCCGGCGGCATCGACCCACGGTCTACTATGACGAAGGCGGGGATGACATGGAAGACAAACAACGAGAGGCCGAGGAGTATCAGGCAACCCGATCCGGCAAATCGGCACCGATGCCCCTGACGGCAGACCTGTTAAAGGCCAAGGCTTCTTCCCAACGCGCGGAGAGTGACAGTGGGAGCCAGAAAAGCCGGTCCAACAGCAGCCGTGGCAGTGACGCGCGGACGCAGAACGGGAGTGGCGTGGGGTCCAAGCCAGAGGAAGATAACATCGTCATGACAATGAACGGCGTTACTATGAGTTTTACGCAGGAGTCGGTGGGCGGGAAGCGGATCAGTGTTCGAACGGGGAACACGGGTGCCGTTGAGCTGAACATTGAAGGAAAACGACCACAAAGGTATTTGACGGGGGGCTCCGACTACACCGGCAGCATGGCACGGAGAGAGCTTGATGATCCACGACGAGCTCGAAAAGATAGACAGTCCGACCGTGCCAGTCGACGGTCTAGCCGGTCGACCTACAGCGGTCGATGATCGATAGCATCATGGCGTGATTCCTTCGGCATGTTGAGCTGTTCTTGTTTGATTTCCTCCCCCCATTACTTCGGGGGATGGCTGAGAAGAGTGTCATATACAAAAGAAAAGTTTATTATCTTTAGGGAGGGATCTTGTTTCACCGAGAAAAGCGAAAGAAAACCAGGATACCCCATGGTTCGCGATAAGGTCGTCCTTGCTTTCAAAAGTTGGAATGGGTTTCAAGGAAAGAATTTGGTGTTATTATTGCTGTCTGGGTGGCTTTTTGAATGACTTTGAGACCATAAGTTCGGGTGTTATAAAGTGAAGGGGCGGGTTCGACCGATCACGTCCATCATGGCGACATGATTGTACGATTCTGATGACCTGCAATGATTGATGTTTTGAATGTTGGTTTTTGGCTAGCAAGCGTTTGTATAATCTTTCTTTGGATGACATACGACTTATTTCTTCGTGTTTGGTTTTGTTGGAGAAATGAGTAGTTGACCGAGGAAGTATACCCTGATGTATTGATTCTGATATGTGCTGTCTTTATGATCTAGTTGGTATATATTGAAATACATGATGTAGTCTTCTCATTAAAGCAGGATAGATGTTTAATATACAGATCTAAGTCCTCAACACCAGAGCAACATACCCAAATAGACGATACACCGCGATAATCCCAATAAGAATACCCACCCATTTGCCAGTCCTACCGGTGGAATAGCCATAATGATTCAACACGCCTTTCCCCTGGATTAAACACTGCGATGCCAATTCAGTCTGATACATACAATTACACCCTTCACCACAGGAATACACTCTCTCCGCGAACTCATTCACCATCATCCCTTGAAAAACATATGCCTATCTAGTCAGCACCAACCCACCCCACCTCAAACTCCAAAAGGAAAAAAAGGGGGAGATACCTGATAGTCAATATAATGAAAAACAAATTTCCAAAAAGGATTCAAAATCGTTTTTGAAACCAAGAAACCACCGACGCTCATCCAAAGTCCATTCGCGAAAGCGACCAGGGCTAAAGCGATGACGAAATTCGGAACTACAGAGGTGACGAATACGACAAGGGATTCAGCAGCCACGAGGTCGAGAAACAGCCACATCGTGTAGATGAAGAAAGAAGTCGCAGAGGGGTGGAAGTTGGAGAGGAAGTAGCTGACTATTGAGAAGAGCATGGATATTAAGACTTCTACTGTTAGTATCCATTTGTTATAAGGTATATTAAAAGGACGGAGGAGGGGAGGGGTACAGAGAAAGGGAAGTCCGATTATGAAATTGGATAGAAGAAAAGGTAATGCGTCGTAGAGACCGTTGGCTCGTTCTTTGATGAATGTTGCTCGGTCTTCGAGGAAGGCGGGGACGTAAGCGACGGCCATGAAGCTCATGAAGGCGGAGCCGAAGAACTAGCATTATTAATGTGTGCAGTAAATTGTATTAATACAGGAGAGACGTACAATTGCATTGATAAATGGCTGGATATATTCCTGAGAGGTATGTAAACGCAGCCACACCGTGCCCATCATGATCGCCAGACAGAGATACATGACGATACGGATACCATATGCCACGACATCGCGATAGCTCTTGATGAAGAGACGATGGAGGAGCGTAAGAGTAATCTGGAACATGGTAGGTCGACGGCGCGCGTCCGTGACGACCTTTTTGTTGGCCGCGGCGTCGTCGTGCAGGTGCTGGACGAGAGCCGTGCGTTCGGTTGACTGTGTCCATGCGGATTGAACCCGGTCAGCCTGGCTCTGGTGGACGGTGAAGTCGGAACTGACGATATCGAGGAGGTACTCGGCTGGATTGGTATTCGAGGGGATTGGAAGACCGATGGAGTCAAAGTACGACGGCACCGCTGGCACGGGTCCGAAGTAGCAGGTTTTGCCCTCTGATAGAAGGAGGAGTTTGTCGAAGAGTTGGAATGTAGATGTGGATGGTTGATGAATACTAGCGATGATGATGAGCTACAAACAGATGACCGTTAGCCCTTGAACTTAGGTGGTTTTTTTAACGAAAGGAGGTAGTATATACGTTGTTGACAACAGCCAGTTTCTTCACGTAGGAAATCACCTCGTAACTGGCCGTCGAGTCGAGTCCGCTGGTGGGCTCATCGAGGAAGAGAATCTTGGGACATGTAATCAGCTGGCTGGCGACGCTGACTCGACGTTTCTGGCCTCCACTGATGCCTTTCCGGATGGGAGTGCCGACCAAGGTCGATGCTTGCCCGTGGATACCGAATGCTGAGAGGAGAGTCTGGATGCGCTCGGCACGCTGGTACTTGGAGATTGATCGCGGCAGAGACAGGTCTGCCGCGAATTTCAAAGTCTCCTGGACGGTCAACGACCCGATCAACGCATCCTCCTGTTCCACGTAGGAGGTGATGCGTCCAAAAGTGGCATTGTCCATCTTGTTTCCGTTGACGTAGCTGTCACCAGTGACTTTGGCACCGGAGGAGGCAGTGCGGCGAGCCAGGACGTTAAGCAGCGTTGTCTTGCCGCAGCCCGAGGGGCCCATCAAGGCGACGAGTTCTCCTGGTGAGGTTTATTTAGCACCAACTTCGTCCGGGGATCCATGAAGATGGGTGGTTACGCACCTTGTTGTACCACACCATTGCTCCCATCGATCAGATTGTGCGGGTGCTTAGTCCGACTGTCCTTGACGGTAACAGTGAGGTCAGACCAGGAGAAAGTCGTGACGGTATCATTCATCAAGAACTGATAGTCATTTTTCTCGATGTCAGGGCCATTCAGCCCACCGAGACTGGTCTTCATGGTGAGTATAGTATACGATATGCAGTCGTAAACTTTATATAGATCGGATGAACCCTCGGAGCGCAAAAAAAAATAAAAGTGAAAGAAAAAGAAAAAAAGAGAGACAACACCAGACATCCATGACCAGGACGTCCCTCGTTTTATAAGCCAGTCGAACCCCTCCAGCCCGAGAGGCGACAGACTGCAGGCTGAACGCCTCCATGGATGCTCCGATCAAATCCCCGGCGGTGACTAAGCTGCCGGGTCCCCGATCTGCCCACTGACTTGCGTTTGGCATCTGGTTTCTGATTATAAAACGCCGTTCAGAACCCCGACGCTGAAAAGTCTTCTTTCAATCCCCGAATGGGTCCCATGGTAGTGGAGTAGCGGTAGAAAGGCCCAGAGATCCAGCTGTTCTGCCCCTCCTCTCCTGGGATGAAAGCGCGATCGATGAATTAGTTGTTTTTAGCCGTTTGCGCCACCGTTAGCGCCAGCGTGAGATTGCCTCGGTGCAGGTGATTGGTGATGACATGGTGCAGTTTAATATATTGTTGGCCTGCATGTGTTGTGCTTTTCTTTTTCTGTTATTTTTCACCGATCTCATCCAGTATGAAGGGTCTCTCAAAAAAAGGGGGAAAAAAAAGTGTGAGAAAGAGGGAGCACCAGTCAATCATTCTATTCTTTTCTGGATTTGCAACATGTGCCGCTGCATTGTTACAAAAACGTGGAAGCCAGCGGGTATATGGCAGTCAGTCGTACGCCACAGCCTCGCTCGCCATTTCCGAGACAGCTGCCAGAATTAGCGTCCCGTAGCCTGATCGATAGCCCGTCATTCTGGATAGTGAAATCGGAGGCAAGATTGTCCTGGATAGTACAGGCCTCCTTAGCAAAGATAACAAGGAGGACCTAGGTGAAATGCATTGGGACCAGATAAATTGTCAAAGATTAGCCTGAAATTGAATGGAGGATAGAACTATTTAGAGATGAACCTTATCAGAGAATTGGCCAGGAAGAAAGGTATATTTATCCCAGCGTTTGATTTAGACAAAGAACTAACTTCCGTGGTTAGAAAATTCAGTTGTCAGTTCTCGACGATTACAAGTCCACGTGCTGCGGACTCTCCTTGTCGTCTTGGTTCCATGTTCTGTATGTAGTGATCTAGATTTACAGAAATTGAGTGAAATTGGTATCGTGATAAGGACGGACGTCGTGGATATCATAGCTTAGGTTATGCAAAAGTAGGGCAATGTTTTATGGTATTGAAACTATCGTAATATGAAATATTCTACTCTTATCAATCACATCCTAATCACACTGTTAGTACTTTTCCAACATAAAGGTGTTCGACATACCGTTCAACAGGGCTCAGACCAAGCACCCGCATTCCGTTATTAAGAACCTGTCGGGCAGCTTCGTACAGAGCCATACGGGCCTTCTTTAGCTCTTCCTCACTGCCCACAACCTTGAGCACGTCGTAGCTCGAGCTCAGGATGTGGGTCATGCGGAACAGGTACGTAAGAACGGTAGTCGGTTCCATCGTACGCACGGTGTTCAGCAGGACGTCAGGCCACTGCGCCAGCATACGCACAAGATCGTGGGCATGCGTCTCGGTAAGGAGGTCCAGGTTGGCCGTGTCAAGCTCGTTCACGTTCAATCCAGACTTGCGCACAATGGAGCAAAGACGCGCGTGGGCGTATTGCAGATAAGGACCGGTGTCACCCTCGAAGGAGGTCATGGCCTCCAGGTTGAAGTCATAGCCGTTAACCCTGCTACTATTAGCTCCAGTCCAGTCAACCACTTGAAGATACATACCGTTTGCCAGTCATATCCTGCACCATGACAGAGGTGATACCCAGAATGTCGGCCGTCTGCACAGGGTTCTCGACCTGCTCGTATTTCTCCGTGTTCTTCTTCATGACTTCATGCATCTTGTCCGCAACATCCCGCAAAATGTCATCCAAGAACTTGACAGTGCCCTTTCGGGTGCTCATTCCACGAACCATACCGAAGTTGATGTGCTGACAGCGGCTAGCCAGATTTTTGTGGCCCATCAACTCAGTAACCTTGAAGAGCTGAGCCAGATGAAGGTCCTGCTGTGCGGCAACAACGTAGATCATCTTGTCGAAGTGGTAGGTCTCGTCACGCTCCGTGATCGCGCCAATGTCCCGAGTCAAATAGAGGGGTGTGCCGTCCTTGCGAACAATAATGGCCTTTCCAAGCTTCTTGGCACCATGCTTCGTGAAGTCGACGATGACAGCTCCGTCAGACTTCTCGACGATACCTTTCTCCTCTAGGATCTTGTAGGCAGAAGTCATGCTCTCGTTCTTGATTTGGGACTCGCCAGAGTAGACATCGAAATCAATGTTCAGACGGGCATATGTTTGTCGGTACTTCTGAATACTAAGATCACGGAATCGCCGCCAGAGGGCCAGGGCATCTTGGTCGCCGTCCTCCATGCTCTTGAAGTAGCGGCGAGCCTTCTCATCCTCGCTGACATCAACAAGCTTGGCGAGCTCCTGCTCGAGTCCAGAGACATCTTCGTCATTCTCTTTCTTCGCCTTGATTTGCTCCTTCAGCTCCTTGATGGGAGTCTCCTGCTCGGAGACAATGCTGTTCACCTTCACATAAACGTCAAACAGATGATTGATCGGGTCTTTCGTCAACTGCTCCTCGTTACCGAAGCGCTTGTATCCATTGGCAAGCAGACCATACTGCTTACCCCAGTCACCCAGGTAGTTCATCTTGATCACGTCCCATCCCATCACGGTGAAGAGGTTGGCCAGGAAACCTCCAATGATAGTACTCCGCAAATGGCCAGCATGGAATGGTTTGGCAATGTTGGGTGAAGAGAACTCGACGATCATCCTCTTGCGGCCCTTCGAGGGGTCTGAGGGATCCCGCAGACCCTGGTTACCATTGGTACCAAACACAGCCTTCTCCTTCAGGATACGTCTGACAACCGTGTGAGTAAGCCCCTGGGGTTTGAAAAAAAATTGCAGGTGAGCACCGAAGGGGGTAGGAGGAAGGATGAGGTCTGATTCGGGGAACTTTTCGGCGAGCTCCTTGCAGAGTTCCTGGGGGTTCTTCTTGATTTGCAAGGACGGAACCTACAACGTGATCTGGGGTTAGTGCTTGCCCCTCAGTGTAATATCCCGACAAAATAAAGTCGATCAAATGGATTAGAACTCATCGCGTACCGGCAACACGAGATCACCCTTCTCCAGCGTGTTGGTCCATTGCAACCGGGTGTAGATCTTCTCTGGCTCGATACCGGCCGCCGTGCCCAGCTGCTCCGCGATATGTTCTCTGTAGATATCCACGGGGTTCAGGGAAGGGTAGCAGTTAGGAAACTTGGAGGTTTCGGAGGTCGATTGCAGAGAAAGCCCCTCAACAGCAACAGGAAGATCCGCAGCGGAAGCCATGGCTGCTTTTCCGGCAGGGAACGCGTTAAAAGCAGAGTTGTCAGAAGAGAAGCGCGAGCGCCAGTGATTAAATTGAGAGAGAGAGTATGGGTGACCGTAGAAAGGGAAGCAGTTGTTTTGTGGAATGCAGGACTGGATATATGGGAAAATGGCGTTTGAAAATCGCCGGGCCCCGCTTAGAAAATGGCGACCCATATAAAAAGGGATCTCGAGCCTTGAGGGGAACTTTTTCTTCTCTCGTGACTCAAAGCGGCAATTCGCTATACTGCCAGGGCGGTGAGACAGTGAATCATATGACCCAGCCCTACCCTTGCCCTATCATTCCTATCATGGAGTAGGCTGTTGTTGCCCTGACGTCACCCTTCTGCACTGACATGTATCTAATATGCATTAGTCGAGGTGCTTTAATGTAAACATGGGCTCCGGAGTTGATAATGTTCTCATAAAACGCTGGATCCGTGACAATGGGAAGACAAGCGGTTCTCAAGTCCATGCAGTTGGTACTGTTACATGACCCTGAAGACTTTCGAGAGACACGTATCAAGAAAGCATTGGCCTTTTTCAGCGTATAATGAGACGTGGGAGATCGACAAAGAGGGATATAACTCCAATTTCCGCTCTAAGTTTCTTTGGATTGGTTAGTGCATGTGCATACTAGTAACATGTACGACAATGATTCTGAGAGGTATTGATCCACTCGTTAGGCGTTTTTTAGCACTTAAAATTCCAGGTTTCACGTTAAAAGCCTTCCTCGGCATTTCGAACATCGATGGTGTGTTGGGGTCCCATCCACAGATGGGAAATGGAAGTATTGTACTGTGGTGTTGGATTTCTTCTGGGCAAAGCACAAGTTGCGTGCGCAGGTCATGACAGGAGGTTTTTAGACATTTACTGTTGTTGGACGACAAGGACCAATGACAATTACCACGACTGATGAATATTGTCAGAATTGCCGATGGTGGATGCACTGATAGATGTTTATTAGTCATGGATTCTCGGCTTTATTTGAGATGCGATGTGGAACATGAATGCCATGATATATTATTTTCACTTCAAAGTAACTGTATCTAGAGCAAATGGTCACTGCCATACCTAGTCAATACAGTATCTATGCTGTGCATCTACAGATATTTTTGGAATAACAGTAACATCTCTCATCACATCCAAAATTAGCCAGGCCCAGTGGCCCTTGAAATTAACATTTTACATGTTCCACCTTTCATCGGGGTATGACAATTTGGCGGACATATATATCCGCTTAGAAGCAAAACACCTGGTCCTCGAGCTTGCTGACTGGGCGAGCTTTGGTATAACCAAGAGACTCAGTAGCCTTCTTCATGGCACTAACCATAGGTGGAGGACCGCAGAGAAGCACCTTGATATCGCTGGCTGGGGCAGGGAGGCGCTCCTATATTTGAAAAGACGTTAGATATCGAACTGTGCGCAGTCAGAAACAGGAAGACCCACCTTGATCATGTCGGAGGTGACAAATCCAACACCGCCAGTCCAGGTCTCAGGGGGGTTGTTGAGCACGTAGTAAACATTGAAACTATCGTCCTCCTTAACAAGCTGGTCCAGTTCCTCCTTGAGCAAAATATCGTCGGGATTAACATTGGCGAAGATCAAATCAACCTGGGTAGTGTCGTTGCCACCGTTGCGGGGTCGATTACGGATAATCGCCTTGATAATTTGGAGCATGGGCGTGATACCAGTACCTCCAGCAATCATACCAATATGACGGCACATGTTGGGCGTGTACACCATGGCACCCTTCGGACCGCGCACTTTCATTGTCTGTCCGACATCCAGGGTGGTCAAATACTTGGAGATGTTACCCTGAGGGTAGGCCTTGACAAGGAGATCAAAGTAACCGGCCTCATTGTCAGAAGAAATTGGCGTGTAGGAGCGCACCACCTCCTTAGGCTGACCTTCGATGGTGGCGGCCAGGGAGATGTGTTGACCGATCGGCAGGCCCAAGATATCGGTGGGACGGGGTAAGGCGAAACGATAGATGGCGACATTGTGAGAGACGACGTTCTTCTCTTTCAATACAAACTCTTGGAATTCAGTGGGATTAAGGACCTTCCTGGCTTCTAGAGGGGTCGTGCAAAGACGGGTGAGTATATGTCAGGGATCGTATGATCCGAGGTCGGATCACGTACTGTTGCTGCTGAACAGCTTGTATCCGGCCAGCATCGCAGCTATAGCCACAGCAAAGGGGACAAATTCTTTCTTCACGAGGAAGGTCCCAAATACTAAAAGGGCAGATGGGATGTAGACCCCATTGATATTTTCGGACGACAGAACACTGTATCCAATTGCGACAGAGGTGAGTGAGCCAATCACCTGTACTTCAAGCACAGACAAGACAAACATACCTCATCTTCGATGATTCCTCCAGCTACCCCACAAAACAAAGGAAGCAGACACAAACGACAAAGGGAAGGGGATGAAGAATGGCGACAGACGGTGGAGAAACGGACGGGAAAGAGCAGAATGGGTTTTGTTCCGTTGAGAATGTCACTGCGTAATAGGGGTGGGGCCTGAAATTGAAATCGACTGAAATTTCAGACCCTTGAAATGAAATTTGAAATGGCCATTGAAATTTGAAATCACTAGTAAAATATATGGGATAGTGTAATTATGGGCGGATTGTAATTTTTGCAGAGATTGTGAAGGCTTTTTTAGCCTATCTAGCCTCACCACTTCTTTCTAAAGGGTGTCAATATAGTTCCAGTACAATTTCTCGGGGAATGGGGATTCTAAGGTCCTGATTGGCTTAAAAGTCTGATGACTAATCACAGCTGAACCCCTTGAAATGAAATTGAAATCAAAAAAAAAGATGAAATTTCAATATTTCGTAATGGGTTTGCCGATTTCGTTATTACACCAGCTCTACTGCGTAAGATTACGCCGTATTGTCGGCGTCACGGGTATTAGAGTCATGTGCAGCACATGAAGATGATCCCAGCGACCACAAAGATTCAGTAATGCTTGCGAGCTGCGATGGAATCATACTGCAATCGTATAGTCCATCTATATTAGATCCGTCCATCAGGAAGACACGTCCTTGAGATGAAAGCCTTGAGGGCGATGATTCTCCAAGATGTGCACAATGCTGGGGATTCCCGTGCTAGGGTAAAGATTCCCGATGCATATGCACTACCAGCAAGACAACTCAACTCCCAGTCGCATTCCGCCATCTCTTTTCCTTTCTCGAACAAGATTTCCGATTCCCTCCCCCCTCCCCTCCAGGAGATATTTACTCAGTAAGGGGGTCCCACCAAACCATGACCTTGCTGGAGGAGCCTCCTGCCTTCAATCTCACTGAGACCGATCGCCAAGTCCTCGCTCAAACCGACGAGGAGTTCGAGTATCATGATTGGGAGGCCCTCAAAGATATCATTGGTATGTTCCCCTTGAATGTGATCTACGAGTACCAAAAGAAATGAAACCCAGATGCAGGCGGCAGATGGGATCATCACACTGGATATCTACCCCTCATCCTCTCTGGTTTTGCACTCAGAGGTTCCGCATTACCAATGTTAAGACTATGAGTATCTGGTGCTAACTCCAACTCTCGCTTCCTGCACCCAGCACGAAATGACCTCGGCGTGTTGAAGCGGAAACCGTCCGATCTTATCCGATACCTGGCTTGGGCCAAGGACATTAAGACCCAGTATGGGTCTATCACTGCATATATCTGTCTGCATCGCCTTCATTGGCATTTGCCGGATCCTACTGCCAACGGCGGTACTGGGGAAGCCAATAGTGGGCCGGTCTTCCCCTTCAATAACCCGATCCCATTTGCCGACCCCTCCGACTACAAGATCCTTCGCAATGACTGGCCATATGGGTGGACACCAGGGATCTCTCATCTGATCGTGTGGCTGAAAACTCCAGTATCTGTCCACGGGGAAGATGGCGATGTAACTGAAGAGTCTCGATCACTGATCGAAAGATTTGTACAGAAAACCTTTGTGGATCGTCTGGCAAGAGAGAGGGATCGATTTAGAGATCCGTGGGCTCATGTGCTGTGGTTTAAAAACTGGACTGCGCTGCAGAGTGTGAGGAGCTTGGAGCACATACATGTCCTTCTGAAGGATGTTCCTGAATACATTATTCGTGAGTTGACGGGGGAGGATGCTAGACACCTTGGTTTGGACCTGGGAAAGCCATCATAGACAGCGGCATTTAGAGCGGAAGAAAAGATGAGTATTGGGAATCTTCAGGAAAACGATAGCCCCACAATTTTTAAAGATACAAAGAAGATAAATGAAAGAAACTTTCTGCATAGAGAGAAAAGACCAGTCAATAGAAGATACAGTAAATATGTTCGTCATTAATATGCCCACTACTTCAAAGATATTGCAAACTCAGTTAACACATCGCCCCATCGCCAGGTTGCTCACGTCTTCTGCTCTTCAACGAACTTAAGAGCTTCTTCTCTCGACACGACATCGATCGTACTGGCCTTCTGCCGGAAACTGACACCGTAGCATTTCTCTGCTACATGCAGCATCTCCGGCCGGAAGGTTGTACAAATGAATTGCCCATTTGTTGAGTCAGATATGGATTTCAGCATCTGGGCAACAGCAGTCCGGTACTGCGCATCGAGGTTGGCATCGATCTCATCGAATAAATAGAACGGCGCTGGGTCACAGGCCTGGATGGCAAAGACCAATGCCAAGGCACAAAGACCTATAATATGGATCATCAATAAATCAATCACCCAGATGTACATGCCCTTGGATGATACTCACTCTTTTGTCCGCCACTAAGCTGCTGGATACGCTGTTGTTCATCATGCTTACTGTTGAAGCTGACACTGATTCCAACTCCAACGTAGTTTTCGACACTTTGACGTGCCTCTTCATCCTCGGACTCCATATCATCCTCTGGCCTGAGAGCACGGTCGGTCTTTCGTTGAATGATCAACCGCCCTCGGCCTGCGGGAACGAGCTTCTCGAAGACATTCGCAAACTCTCGTGAGACCTGTTTGAAGGTGCGCTCGATGGCTTCATCTTTTCTTTGATCGAGCACGTTGATTAGATCGTCGATCGACTTCTGGGAGGCCTCTAGCTCTTCTCTTCGCGATGTAAGCACCTCACGTTGTTTCGTAAAGCTGTTATATTGCTCAAATGCTTTCTTGTTAACATGGGAGTACTTCTTGAGACCCTCGTTGACCTTGTGTAGCCGTTTCACGACAGTGTTAGAGTCTGTGTTTTTGTACTTCGTAAACGCTTCATCTGGTAGAACACCCAGGTCACGAATGTTGGCCGCACATTCAGCTGCCTGCTTTGTTAGGGCAGCTTTCTTCTGCATGCTCTTTTCCATACGACGCTGATGCTTTTCGATCGATTTAGCTAATTCCTCTAATTCCCGTCGTGTTTCCGCATTTCGCTGTTGGAGATCGGTAACTTGGCCGTTCGTTTGGTCGATCGAGTCATCGACTTGTTGAAGACGTTGACTAAGCTTCTCTAAAGCCTTATGAAGGCGCTTCATTTCGCGTTGAGTCTCTTTCAAGTTGCCTTGGCCGTCATCGTCAACCATATCAGGATCTTGACTGACAAGCTGGTCAAGACGGGGGTTCAGATTTTCCCGCAGTTCTACTTCTAGGATGGATTTCCGACCCTCCAGATCACTGCGTTGACTTGACAGCTCTTGATATTGCCGACGAAGTTCCTGGGCAGCAGCATTTAGATGTTCAAGGCGAGTTTCTTCCTCATTGCTCAGTGCCTTTTGGAAGGGAGAGCTTAATTCCGCTTCAAACGCATTAACCTGATCGGTCAAAGCGGCCAGGTTACCTTCAATGTTTCGGAGAGCACGCCGCTTGGCATCAAGATTATCGATCTTCTTCTGGAGAAGATCGCGCTTGCCTCTTAACTCTTGGCGCAGGGGACCGCTGCTATTTTGGACTTGGTGTCTTTGCTGCTCTAGTTTTTGCAACTCACCAACAGCTCTGGTGATGATTTGATCCATTTTTTCTAGCTCGGCCCGGATTTCCACACCACGACCCCTCTTTGACTCATATTCATCTCTCCACTTTGCCAGGTTTTTCACCGCATCAAGCCGCGATTGACGTGAATCATGGAAACCACCAGTAAGAGCACCTCTCTTATCTGAACGATCACCTTCAGGGGTAATAGCATTAACACCGTGACTCCGAGCATACTGTGCTGCAACCTGCAGGTTCGGACATATGATTGTCTTGCCAAAAACGTGGACAAAAGCTTTCTCATATGCTCGATCATACTGTAACTTTTCAATCATAGGAATGGTATCACTGGCCCTGGGCATGTTGATAGGCCTCGATCGTAACCTATTCAGAGGCATAAAGGTGACCCTTCCCGCCTTTTCCTGCTGGAGGATCTCAAGGACCTTCGTGGCCGTTTCATCCGTGTCAACAACGTAATGGAACAGACTCTGGCCAGCAGTAACCTCGACTGCTGTTCTATATCTGTCACTCACATCGAAGAGTTCGGCCAATGTACCGTAAACACCTTCAATATTGTGTTGACGCTTGATTCTGCGAACAGCCGCAATTCCGCGACTCGTGTTGTGGTCCATCATCTGAGAGAGATTCCGTTCCGCTCGGTCAACTTCGTTTGAAGCGTTCGACAAAATCGAGTCCAGCTTCGCTTCCTCCCTCCACAGCTCTTTCCTTTGGTCCATCAGCCGGTCCCTCTCATCTTTTGCATTTTGAACTTCTTGCTCCACAGACTGAATCGTGACGCCTCGGCCGTCAATTTGTTTGCGTAACCGTTCAGTCTCTGGTTCCAAAAGAGCTATCTCATTTTCGAGCTCCTTGATGTCATCCTGAGTCTGCGCTACAACACCTTGTACAGTTGATATAGAGGTGTAGTTATCCTTGATTTCTGCCTGGAGCCACCTATCGCGTTCTGACTTATTCCTAAAGCGCGAGTTCCGGCCCTGCTTTGCATACAGTCTCTGGCGTGATGTCTCAGCTTCAGTAAGCTGTGCCTTGACCGCATCTTCCTGATCCTTGGCCAAATTGAAGCGGGGAATAAGTTCTTGGAGCTCCTTTTCGCGCTGGTCGATTGCAGCGTGGACAGACTGCAGGTCCTCATCATGGCGCTGTTTCAAATCCTGGGCTGCAGCTTGATTGTCAGAAAGAGACTTGGCCTGCAATTCTACCTGCGCAAGAGCCTTCGATGCTTCGCGACGTTCATCTTCTAGTTGCGATTTATCTACTCTCAAGAATTCGATTTGCTGTTTGCATTCCGCAATTTCCGCATCAATTTGCGCCATTTCTTTCTCCCCCTGGATAAATCGATCACGGTTGAGATCGGTATCTTCAACGCCAGTTTGCCTTTGCTCCTCCAGGCTATCGAGAAAGCTGGAGATCTCATGCTGCTCGCGCGAGTAGATTGTGTATTCCAGGCATCTTCTTTCTTTGTCTTTGTCTTGATAGTTCCTCAGCTCATCCTTCTCTTCTTCAAGCTCGGAAAGACGTTCGTTGATAAAATCCAACAATTCGTCAATCTTGGATCGCTTGTTATTGGTCTCGTGCATGATTTTCAGAGATTCGGCACGGCGTGCTTCGTAAACCTGTGTTCCTGCCACTTCCTTTAGCAAGTTCAGGCGCTCTGAGTCTTTCATATTGGTCAAGGCAGTCACACGACCCTGCGGAACGATATAGTAAGGGTTGGAGCGCGAAAAACCGGCAGATTCGAGGAGATTCATCACGTCGGATTTCGTTGCATTTTTACGATCCAGTGTATATTCATCTTTTTTGATCCCGATGGTTCGTCGAAGCACAACTTCTGGCTTGCCAGTAGGAAACCGATCGTCCGAATTGTCGAAGATGATCTCAACATACGCTGACATCACGGCAGAGCCAGAGCCTTCCTGTTTAATGTAAGCCTCTAAGGAGTGAGTGTGTACGCGGGCAGGGTACGCACATGTAGAAGGGCTTGTCGCTCCTCTCGGCCCATATGAGTGTAGGCATCGCTTAGGACGAAACGAATGGCCGCGAAGAAGTTGCTTTTGCCAGAACCGTTGCGACCGACAATGACATTGTGTTTAGGGGAGAACGGCTCAATAACCGTTTGATCTTTATAGCTATTGCAAGAATCCATATATTAGACTCTATGACTTAACTCTCTTTTTGGGTATCTGTCAGTGCTGGAGCTCTTGGCAACTTACCTTTTGAAGCCCTGAATGATTATTTGCTTGACGTACATTTTGTCAATGCAAAAGCGAAACGAGTAATTATGACGTATATAGCGATCAAATCATCACGCAGCGAGCTTAACACGATCAGGGTGCCCGTGCCCTAGCTGCGAGCGACAAGACGAACAGTTGATGAAAGGGGTTCAGGAGGTTCCTAGTTGAATAAACCGTAGTGATACGCGTGGGTGCTAGGTGACGAGCTACTATTCCGTTACGCGTTGAGGCCGCGGGGTTTCTGCCGGGCGGTGAGAAAGGCACGGTCGACGGTTGGTTATTCTATCTTATTACTTTTTTTTTCTACCGATCGGAAGTCCAGTCTACAAATCTCGACAGGCTTAGCGATGGCGTCTTCAGAACAAAATGCACGGGCTTCTGGCCTAGCAGATGGCGTATCCCCGTCACACACTTATATTCCTAATCAAGGATATTTGAACGCTGGAGGCACTATCCTCACTATGGCGGGGCAAGACCGTACAGCGCAAGAAGCCGAAGACGAGGACGATGAATACTATGATGATATTTTCGAAGAAGACCTTGACGAAGAGAATTTTGCGTCATCGAATCCCGCTGATTTGACGAAAGCCTACAATCGCCAGCGAAAACTGAATGAGCTTTCCGCCGACCCTAGTGCCCCCAAATGGACCTACCCAAAGACGAACTCCCAAAAGCCGACCGTTAACACACATGCGTCCGTTGATGACGAAATAAAGTCGTTAACTCGCCATGCAAACAAGATTAAACTGGATGACATACAGTCCGGCTTGGCGGTTCGTGGTGAGCGCGGTGGCGACAGAGCCGACAGAGCAACGTCCGAACAAGTTCTGGATCCTCGTACACGAATGATTCTACTCCAAATGATTAATCGAAATGTTGTCTCGGAGATTCATGGATGCTTATCTACTGGAAAAGAGGCCAATGTTTATTACTCACTGCTCTTCCCCGGCGACGACGACGCTGCACCTGTCCACCGTGCTATCAAGGTGTACAAAACAAGCATTTTGGTGTTCAAGGACCGAGACAAGTATGTGACTGGGGAGTTCAGGTTCAGGCAAGGGTACAGCAAGAGCAACAACCGATCAATGGTGAAACTATGGGCAGAAAAGGAAATGCGAAATCTGCGTAGAATTCATTCCGCAGGAATCCCTTGCCCAGAGCCCATTCAACTGCGTCTCCATGTCCTTGTGATGGGATTCCTCGGGAGTTCCAAGGGTGTTGCAGCTCCCCGACTGAAGGACGTGGAATTTGATATTCCAAACCCCCACACCAAATGGCGTGAGATCTATATAGAACTGCTGGGCTACATGCGCGTGATGTACCAGACGTGTCGCCTTGTTCATGCGGATCTGAGCGAGTATAATATGCTTTACCATAAAAACAAGCTCCACATCATTGATGTTAGTCAGAGTGTGGAGCATGACCACCCTCGCAGTTTAGAGTTCCTGCGCATGGATATCAAGAATATCAGCGACTTCTTCCGTCGGAAGAATGTCGACGTTCTCCCTGAACAGACGGTATTCCAATTCATTATCTCTGCTAACGGTCCTACCTCCCCTATGCCAAGCGAGCCTATGCTCGGTGCCATTGACAAGCTCTTCACTATGAGAGAGGAGACATTGGATGATGAGCAACAGACTGCCGCAGAGCGCGAAGTAGATACTGCTGTATTCCGCCAACAATATATTCCTCAAACATTGGAACAGGTCTACGATTTTGAGCGTGATGCCGAGAAAGTACACGCTGGCAAGGGCTCAGACCTTGTATACCGGGACCTCCTCGCAGATGAAGGGTCCCGTAAGAAGCGCGAAAGTGACGCCGGATCGGACACCAGTGGGGGCGTTTTCGTCGACGGGTCGGATCCTGAAGAAGAGGAGGATGATGAAAATAAAGATCCATTTGAAAAGAAGCCTCCCCGCGGACGACGTTTCGAGGACAAAGATTCCAAGCGCGAACATAAGCAAAAGGTCAAGGAAGAGAAACGTGAAAAGCGTGCCAGCAAGATGCCTAAGCATATGAAGAAGCGCCTCGTCTCTTCTTCTTCGTCAAAGAAGAAATGAACTTGGCTAGGGAGGGTTAAATAAAAGAAGATGGGAAGCTTATGGATTAAAGTTTTGACTGCATATGATATCATGAAGTTCACGATCAGGATTATTGATGGAAAGACATGGTTGGGTGCATAAGTTGGCAAGTGATTGGATATGGAACACAGATGATATATACATATTATGGGACAAATTCACTAGCAGAAAGACATAAAACATAAAGTTCAGCATAGCAGCTTGGGATAGAAATATTCACTGGAAAATTGGAATGATAACAGTTCAATTTAAAGTAATTAATCTCCCCTGACGTGGCACATTGCTGTATCAGCAACACCTCTTAGTATATACCCTAAGGTAGCGGTGGCTAATCAAATTCTAACTCATATAAATTCAAACAGAATTATTTGCAGTAGACCCTTTCTGGCCTTATTTTCCACACAGTCCGGTGCTCCTAGCGCCCGGAAGTATCCGTACTCTCTTGCATCAATTCACCGGAAAGTTCTGTGGCAAAACTGGGAGATAGAATAACCGATAGAATCATAAGATCTCTGTTTGTCCCACAGAATTCGCACCGGATTTATTTGGAGCTGGTATTAACTTATAGCCAGGTGAAATAGCTGGTGCAATTTAATAATTGTCTAATCACTGTTGTTATATAATTTGTTGTCTAGTTTATACTTGTATATAATAGTATTAGAAATATAATTAGATATGATGCAAAATATCGGAATCTATATAAATTAATGGTCACGCTCTACTATTACGCGAGCTCTAAGAGTGTCGTGTACTCTTAGGCAATAGTCATTTTTTAGAACCTGAATCAGGTGATATTCCTCTATCACATGAGTATATTTATACAAGGATATAGGCTCTAAATTATGACAATAATTGCGTCTCTAGCAAGTGTAATCTCGTTGACAGTAACACTGCCTAATTGGGTCAGGCGCGCTCCCTGAGTGAGCCCGGAGCAGCCTGAGCCAATCACCCCACCGCTCAGTCCCGCTCGCTGCTTTTGAGATTTCTATAAGAATCTCGCTCCCTCCCATTTGTCCATCCACTAACTTCATCTACAATGCAACTTTTCGCGTTTCTTGCGCATTCCGCCCATTCCTACCGCTTCTACGCCGCTTTCATGACAGTCCAGGCCTGGATCCACGAACAAATTTGGCAGTTTTGAATTCCCACTCCCCAGCCTCTCGTGATCAATCCGCGGTTTAACCTCGGCATTGCCGTGCTCAACCGGTAATCTCACGACACAATCCATCACGCGCGTTTCTAGACTTCTGAGGTAATCGGCCTTTGTTTGCTGATCTGGCATGGGAGATGTTATAACTCTTTTTTGACATCTCCCTTTTTCAGAAGAAAAAGGAGAGAGAAAGTAAGGGTCTACAAGCATGATCTACCCATCATTTGGTGACTTAGGCAGTGCCCTAATAGTCGTGATCATGTCCTGGCTATGTTAAACGGATATCGATCGATCCGGCCGCACCAGTCGCGTAGTCCTCATCGACCCCGCTTGGGCTAAGCAGTTATGCAGTTAGTCGTGGGTATCGCCGTCTAGCATAATACACAAGCCGGGAGTGATGTCCCCGCAGGCTAAAAAAAACCCTTTCATTTGATACATTGCCAGTGGGTTACATTCGATGACTAGTTAGGAACAGCCGACATTTGTGTTATCACCGCTGGTATCGGAGCGAAGGAATTTCCCCGTCTGCTCGCATAATGTTAAATAGCTGCGTTCTCGCTCAATATACATTTCTTGCTCAGTCTTCGCTGCTACAATCTTGTACTACAATTCGGCAAATTTGCAGCAATGGTGAATCTGGAGTTTCAAAAGTTCTGGGAACCAAGCCCAGCCATGCGAAACATGAGGGGATGTGCTAGAGGTACAGGAACCTGGTCTCCATCAACAAGTCAAGGCGTTGCTGTTGCAGCGCAGGCCAATAATCACGAAACTGTATATTAGTCCGAAGACTCTGGCTTAGATTTAAAGGACACAGCGCAACTAGAAAACGGTGACTGGGGTGAATTGCCTTTCAGCATTCTAACTAGCCCTAATATCTTTCAGCTTACCAGCCCGACAAGCCTGCTGACTACCCTGAAAACGTTGCTCTCTATGCTACTTCACGCTCGAATGGTACCCCCTCGGTTACGGGACTGGAAGGCCCTGGTACTGGCAGAGTCTTCGATGTGTTTGGCGATGACGATGATGGAAATAAAAATGACAGGAACAATGATACAGATCGCGTGCTGAGATTAAGGAAGCGGCTTGAAGATAGTTCAACCAATCAGTCTCCAAAGCGATGACGCTGTAATTACCTCACATCCACCGGCACACCACCGCAGAAAGCCTTTTATCTGAAACTGGCCACACCGTCAGACGGTATGGACATACTTCAAAACTCCGTCTGTTATATACAGCACTTTTACAGCATGGTTAAGGATAACAGCGGTTCCGTAGAAAGCCTCAGTGAGGATGACCCTGTTTGTCATAATCTTGCCGTGCTGCAGCAAGCAATGAGCAAGCTGCAGCATGCTTATAGTGTGATCGCGACTCGAACTATGGCTACAGATCTATTGAGATTAAAACAGTCAACGGTGCGACCGCGCCAGGAGTCTAAGCGGGGCAAGTGGGCCGTCGAAGATAATGAGAGACTGTTAGAGTTGAGGAACAGCCACGGATTGCCGTAGGGGCATATCTTCGAGCTGTTTCCCGGAAGGATACCGGAAGCTATCCAACTGCGATATTACACCATGTCTTGTAAAGAGAATGGCATGCCATCGAGTAAAAAATGTTACCAAAGCCGCAAATCGTCAGCAAATCGGCAGAATCGTCCAAGTCGCCCAGTGATTGTGAGATCGACTCGAGCGCGTTCACATAACATAGTCGGAGATAATCTAGGCAATGGCTGTAGTTCTGAGTCTGTAGAAATAGAAAATATTGCAGCACCGCTCTCTCAGAGACTTGAACATATTGATCCTCGGATTCTTAATCCTGACAATCGAATGTGGTGACTTGCTTCGATACCGCCATCGGCATTTTGATTTAGCTTATCAGTTCTTGCGTCAATAACAGTGTTAATATTTTTTGAAAAGACAATGGCAGCTATAGGCTTTGTAACAATACCCAGGGTGTCAGACACGCAGAAACAAAATATAGATAGATGGATGGTAAGCGAGTAGAGTGGAATCTGTACGATGTTCCATTTCAAATTAGACATGAGAGGCCAAAAGAATCGCCATGACTGTCTGAGTATTAGTGCTTTGTTTAGTTTTTTGTTTAGGTTTTGCTAATTCTGTTGAGCTGCTAAGTGCTGTATATATAAAATTTTAGGCTTGAGAAGTAAGCGACAAAGTACCTTGCAACCTTGTCAAACCCACAAGTTCACGAGCGGGTTTTCCAAAAGGGCTATTGATTCTGGAAGCCATTCAGTCACTTCTGGGAGTCTACTCTGCGATTTTAAAACGGAGCCTTCTACGCCCAAGTGCCGATCCTATTCGGCGAAGCACCTCCAGCCTCTAGAGCGGGCTAAATATACACTGTAGGTATTGCGGCATTATGTTCTAGAATGTGAATGTGTTTATTGCTAGAGGGAAAACCTGATTAGATATTTGTTCCTGTGTTTCTTTTTTTAGCATCCTCTTTAGTTCTTTGACGCGTACTCTTTACTTTCTTGATTGGTTTTTCAATCACTTTTTATTCCCCTGTTAAAGATAGTGGCACGTTCAAGGCCCCTTGAGTATGTAAGGTAAATCTTTCTCACCCAAACTGTACAGGTAGCTGAAGTAGATAAGAATATTCAGGGAGCACCCAATCCAGGTTATTGTAGGAAGTGGCAAGAGGTCGTACTTTGTGCACCCTAGAGCCTTGTCATGGTCAACATGTCAGCGTTGAATGCTCGAGTTAGCGGGCCATGGAAGAAGAACGGGGCCGACAAGCTAAATGACTGGACTGATTTTGATGAGCAAACAATTGAATGTGTTTTAAGCTACCTTTACACACAAGACTATTGTGTACCCGATTCAGCGTTTGATTAGCACAACATATATTTAAACACTGATGATATCAAAGGTAGGCAAAGCAAGATTGTAAAGAAGGTGGCCAGCTAATTTAATTTACAGTCAACATTGGCGTAGAACCCATATCCATTGTTGCAGAATTCCCCGCCTCTAACACTGGATCTGCAGATAAACTAACGTTTAATAGGCCTTTAACTCCCCTGAGCCGGTGTCTCCGAGTTGGTTTACCAGCAGAGACTTCCCAGACTGCTGCGGGCGGTATAACTAAAAGAAAATTTCAAGACTCTGAAAATAACCCTGCCGCCGATATTCTGCTCCATGCGAAAGTGTATTGTTTTGCACATCATTTTCTCGTCCCCGATCTTGAGAGTTTTACGCTGCAATACCTTACACAAATTCTTCTTACCGTTGTGCACATAAGTTAAAGACTCACTGTTTCCGTACCTAGCAGATGCTATCCGCTTCGTCTACGAATGAATCCCTAGCGCACAGCTACAGGATGATCCAGCTTGGAAACTGTTATTTTAGTATGTTGCACTGAAGTATGCTAAACTGGAAAATGAAATCTCACAAAGCTTTTAGAGGAAGGGGGAGAATTCCTGACGGATTTGTCGCACGAACTAGTCAGGCCGCTTACAGCGAGCGAAACTGGAGAGATTCAACTCGGTTACCCCAATCAAAACTACCAATCACGACATTCGACACTGCGTCCTCATACTTTGAAGCCCTAGCGGAGCTGCACATCGCTCACCTCATGAACCAGCGCAATGATGCAATTGACTCGGCCGAAGACTGTCGCCGCAAGCTTGTTGCTCGATATCTTTTCCGCAAACTCGCCCGAGAGCATCGTCTAACAAAGCAGTGGGCATCCTTCGATAAAGGCCGTTCAAACTTTGGTGCGATGACTTCCACCCAGCTAATATCCTCATGAATAAGGAGCTAAAAATCGTCGGAGTTGTAGACTGGGAATTCACATATGCTCCCCAGTCGAATTCTCCTTTGCGCCACCTTGGTGGCTTTTGATTGAAAAGCCTGAATAACTGGCCTCGAGGCCTTGACGACTGGTGTAGCGAGTATGAACAACGCCTTCAAACCTTTCTCAGCGCGATAAGATACCAAGAGGACAAGGCAATTAAACAGGGATGGCTAAAGAGTATGTTCACGTCGATCCTTAAGACGTCCTGGCTGGAAACTGCGAGAAGACAGCTTTGTTCTGTCCTGTACGACCAGTACTGTATCAATACTATGCACCAGCCAGACCGCCGACGAGGACTACTCTCGAAAGCGGGTAAATACCATTTCCTCAAATTTGTCTCTAGCATGTGCAGTGCATTGGCGCCTGTAAAACCAGAGGTGCTCGAACGTATCTTCTACATTCCGCGGCAGATGCTGAGAGAACTTCTTCTGCCAGCGAACATTTCACCACCGACTTCATTCTGAACGCAGAATACGATTACGGTAGTCTAGCTAGACCTCTCATTGAACGACGTCTCTGTCTACAGCAGTCTAGAATCTCAATCAACTTCGCGGAAGTCGCCCTGAACTATTTCATGCATTTCTATGCTGCTCAGAGCCCATCGCTTATCTCCCTTTGCAGTACCACACCGTTCCCTGGCAAGACCGTACCAGCGTCCAGCTAGACCCAGCTATATCTTCTCCCACTCTAATGCTTCTCTCTCAAAAACTGCTAGATCCTAAACTCCTACACCTCGCATACGAACACTACGAGACTGCTGTCAGGAGTACAAACAAATCCCTCGAAAACCCCGCCCACGCCACCCTCGACAGCTCACTCCTCTCTGTCCGCCTCCTCGACCTCTTCGAGGCCCTAGTCTTCCTAAGTCCAGTAATTAGGCCATGGGAGAGAGCTATTTAACACTGTGCTAGGTCGTAACTTGTTACTGCATACCAGGGGAATATCAGAGCCAGGTGTGCGCTTGCGGGTCTGTCTGTTCCAGATTCTCTGGGACAGGGACAGGCACAAGAGTACTTCATCTTTATAATGGAGGAGACGGAGACGGATCATGTTAGAGCAAGACTAGGTCGTATCTTGAGCGGTCTTGCGAGTCTAAGGGCGGAAAATGGAGGACTTGTCTCCGACAGAATGGTTCAAAATGGCACAGATCTTGATGACGAAATCGGGCCTTTACTAGAAGATATGAACCGACATGCCCCGTATGATTCTATTGAAGTAGAGGTAGCAGGAGAGATCCGCAGTTACAGATGCCGTATCGATCGGTACTAGACTCAGCAGATCTCATAATGATGGAACGATCTACGCATCCTCCGAGTATTCGTGAACGAGTATATTCTCGACGCTCTTGATTGCCAGTCAGAGAGCCAGAGGCCTCCCACTCTAGATCGGACGCTATGTCAGAAAGAAAAACTCGCTTACTCCGCAGAAACCGCAATCGCCGATATCCTATACAGCATCTCATACTCGACCGAGCCGTTCCCCTACTCCGCATATCTCTACCAGATCTCTAGTATTCCCGCGCTCTGTGATAGCAGCGTCCGATTGGGATGAAGCTATTTGAGCGAGGAACATTAGCGTCGATCGATATTACGTATGGACTGGTCCAGGCGACGGAGTATTTGACTATTGTGTCAGAACCGGATGATTTGGAGAATTGGTGGACTAGGGCTTGGAAGAATCCTACTCGGGTAATAGCTTCTGGAAGGTGATCCGTTGCCATAGTCAGTAACATCGCAGACTTGCAAGCTGAAGTACCTTCATTATTTATATAGGATTGGGCAGACTCAACAGCCTCAAAGTTGTTACAGTCATGATACTTAAGGTTGAAGTCTGATAGTTTAAAATATAGAAGTATATGATCTAAAATAAGTAGAACCTATATACAAAGCAAAGCAAATACCTAGGAATAGGCAAATAATACCTATACTACATAACCTGTGTACCCAACCACCCAGGCTGCTGTAAAAAATGGCCGGCCCTGGCCACCACGTTCGTCAGACCAGGTGTACCAGGCATTTCCGCAAGAACACCAATCACCTCGCCCTTGGTTTCAAACTGGTGTATTGCGATCCTAATCGGCTCTGTAGGCCACCCGGACGCATCAATCTTAACACTAATATTGTTAATACCGTGGAAGACCACGTAGTAACTACCCCGAGGCACGAAACGAGGCTGATTGTCCCTCTCTGTGAAATTAAGCCGCACAGTCGACCCGATAGCAACAGACTTCATCCCATCAGCGACCACCGTTCGCGGAAGATGCTGCGACGGTATTGGGAAAAGGCGGGTTAAGCAGTGGACAACTCCCCCGAAGAGGAATTCATAGTGGCATGCGTCAAGTTTCACAGACTGAGATGAGATCCATTGTATTTAGGGGGGCTGATGCGACGATAGTTGTATACTGGTGAAAGCCCTGGCTTAGGACCGAAGTTTGGATTTGCTGCCACTCACTGGAAGGCATATTGGAGCTGCGCGGTCAAGGGCAAATATGAGAGCTGTGCAAAGGTAAAGCAGAGTTCGACGTCCCATGTTGCTTGTTAATAATACGTGAGGCAATATGTGTGCGTATTACAATGAAAAATAGAGTATTGTCAAGCAAGAACCTCCGATAGGAAGAAGGCGTCGATCTTTATATAGTTAATCCGTCTCTGGCTATCATACTAGCCGCCTTACTAGATATTTTTACTGTTATGTATTTGCTCTTTGGGCAATTAGTTCAGACAGTACTATCAGCATGTATCTCTAAATACTGGAATACATCACGGAATATACGTATGACAGAGAATTAAAATATCAAAAATTGTGTATATACAGGTAGTTATATTTAGATTTATGACCTATCAGAGCTCTCTTTGAACATCATGCCAGACAACCTAATAACAAACACCCATTCGCTCACAGTAGCGCTTACATCTCAAACAGAGTATGCGTCAGACGAGTGTGCGACCTATATTTGGTATGCTGGCTAAAGGTAGGTCTGGACATCAGTTTAGGACTAAGCCTTACTTGAACTTCATCATCTAGGCCCTTTGGTATTAGAATTCATGGATTTTGGCAACTCAACGTCATTTATGGACCAGCCACTTGCAGGTTAAACAGGAGAAACTCAGAAAAATTCATCTACCAAAGCTGCAGGGCTTATAACTTGAATGACTGGGGACTTAAAATAGCTGCATAAACATGTATGGTGCGCCACTAGGCAGCATGTCTCGTCCTAGTTCTGACACGGATCAGAGCTTGCTCAACTACATCCTTCGGTAGTTCAGGAATAACTTCCCCATTCTCGATGTTTTCTGCCACTGGTGCCGTTCGGTCTTCTTCCGCGGCCTCAGTCGCCGCCGTTTCTTGTTGGTCATCGGCTTGCGTAGCTATACCCTTGAGATTACCGCCTGATATGCGATGGAATTCTATTCGCATCGGTTCACGGCCGATTCCAGGCCAGATGTCAGACGGTAGATAGTCGCCTTGCTCCACCCGGAATGTCTCACGGGCATTGACATCTTCCTCATACAGCTGGTCCAACTTATGCTTGCAATCACGGAGTACCTTTTCAACACGATGTCGCACATGTCTCCGGCGAGCTACCTCAAGGATAAGACCGTCATATGCATCTAAGAAACCATCATATAGGGAATTGAGGTCGGAAAGATCTGATAAACCAGCTCCGATATGCTCATGTTCTTCGTTCCAAACACGGGTGAAATTGTGGGCCTGTGATATATATCCGGGTAAACGTGTAGTAGCGAGAGAGGAGAGGTGTTTGAAAACACTTGCGGTAGCATTATAAATCGAAAGAAAGGTATCACGCTGAGCTACCATGTGCTCCAGGACAGATTCCATCTCCGCGATACGATCTTGGATTTCCATTACAACGTCTTCTGCCTCCGCAGCATCTTTTATCAAGACATTGACCATTTCCTGATATTCAGAGTCACTGAGGGGATCAAGGGGGGCATTTAAATTGGCGTTGATGCCTTCCTCAATGTTAGGGACGCCACGACCGCTAACGTGCACCGCAGCAGGCATATCACCTGTGATAGATCGAGCTGCGGCCCCTCCACCTTCGGTGTGCTTGACAGCAGTGACACAAAGATCAAAGTGACGGACCAGAGATTCCAATAAATTAGCCATTTCCTGGGCGTGCATTTCCAAGGAATGTAGCATTGATGGCATTGAGGACAGGGATGGTAAGCTAGAGTTGGATGCAGAGGAAGATGAAGATGAAGCAGATGACCTGGACGATGCCAACTTGGTTGCTGTTCGATAATTGCCGAGTGCTTTCTTGATAGACCTGAGTTCATCATCAAACGCAGCGTTGGAAGTGTCCAGTTCCACTTGAACAGCATTCGTGCGATCTATTGAGCTCTTTAAAGACGTATGAAGTTCCTCTACTCCACGTTCGTCCACAAAATCATGCAAGCTTTTGGTCTCTTCGCCCTCAGGCCGAAATGAACCATGGACAATTGTTTCCCGCAGTAGGTCTAGCGTTTTTCGCAGCCGACCATCGGCGGCATCTAAACTCTTCAACACACCCGCAAACTCCGATCGACCGCGGAGAGAGATTTCCTCTACCTCAGTGCGGACATTATAGAGGAGGCGTAGCTGATTATTCAGTCCACGACGGAGAAACCCCGTCCGTGCAGATACTACAACACTCTCTTCTAGTGTGGAGCGGGCGGCCGTGACGATCTCATTCGCACGCCATACATGGCTGATTGAAGATAAAGACCTCTTAGCTGCTACCAAATGAGATATGAGGGTCTCCAATTGAGGCATTGCAGTTTCTCGGCCTTGTGTAGCTTCCAGGTTAGGAGCTACAGTGGAAGTGGAGAGTGATTCTGATGATGACATGATAGAGTAAATATGAGAAATCTCCAGTCACAAATGATAAACATTGAATCCCACGACGTCCTGACCAAAGATCTTCGCTTCCAATGATAGCTGAGAATGTTCCTCTGTGGAGCCGCCAATGGGAGGCAAACGGAAGAGAGTCTGTCGTGAGATGCACGTAAGATGAGTTCAGAATCACCCCATAAGAGGCGAGAGAGGTTGTTTTATCTCTTCCAACTATGTAGTCCCGATAGGTCTCAACAGTCGGATCGACAGTACTAGGCTGACTATGAATCTAGCGGTAAGCTTCGAGTAGTGAGCTGCGATAGGGATTTCAGGGATGATAACAGGGGCTTTTTGTAGGACGGCTCATAATCCGGCCTTGCTGTAAGACAAGTCTCGTGTAGTACACCAAACAGAATAGACCGAAAAGGGGGCGAGTGTTTCAAGAGGAAGTAGGCTAAGTGCTGCCTGTCGATACGATGGCATTCATCTCAGGAGGTAGACGAAACAATAGTCGAGATTCCGTGCCAGCTAGTTATCAACTGCTCATTTAATGACCCCTGTGAAGCTCGGACAGAACGGTTCTGGAGTCAGAGGGGGCAGTAAGGGCTGGATCCTTTGGAAGCAGGAGACGAAGGATGGACAGTCGATGAGATAGACTAGGCGGTGGGGACTTAGTGCAACGGAGTCACCTCGGCGATCACAACACCGTGGATTGACCCAGAACACCCTAGTATAGGGACTAGTAGAAAACGGAACGCCGGACTAGGCAATCTAAGACCCTGATTCTTTGGGGGATCCGCAATCAACCGTGAAAATGGCGACGAATGGTGTCAGTTCCTGGGGACTCGCGGTGGATGGTGATGCGACGGGCGGCGGCAATGGCGCCATCGCTGGCACGTGACCAGCTGAAGGCGAAGACCAGCGCTTGCGTGATTGATTGCCTCCAAGGTGCTGGGAGACGCTGGGTATGTATTAAAACCAGAGGAACGCATTCACCCTTGTCAAAAAAAAATCCCCCCTAACGCATATATCTGGAGTCTCTGCTACTGGTGATATATTGGGCTGGTCCTCAATTCTCTCCTCCACCTCTTCCTACGCTATATCTGTACGACTCCCGCGTTGTGCATCTCCGCCCTCTCAGTCCTCCGACCGTCGCCACCACCAGACTTTCCTCTCAACCCTCCATTTCCCTTGTCAACTTCCTGTCGCACGCTCTTCTAGGTTCTCCAAATACAACGCTACTTGATATAAAACCGGTTGCGATTCGAGTTGTTTCGCCTACGGGAAGGTTGGATTCTCCGGGAGGCGCTAAGTCCCACGGATATGCGACGTAACAACGAACTCCCTTCACTGGAAGAGTCACGTACACTTCTTGAGAAGGATAGCACCCAGGAGAAGGGTCAAATGGGCACTCGCCAGACTTCATTCAGGTCTATTTTCGGCGGTAGTTCTGATGGCGCGGAGGACCTTGATGCAGACTCCGAATCCACCCATTGTGAGCCCCACAGGTACACTGGTGCAACCACACCCGCAAAGCTTGCGAACGAAAATGTTGCGCCCTTTCTGGCAAGACACATCCCTAAGCAATACGCTCCCCTGGGTTCCCTAAGCGCACAACCGAGCGAATTGAGCAGCGCGAACTCAAAGTATTGCTATCGCCACAGGCCAGACCTTAAGTGCAGAAGGCAGGCAGACGAACCGTCAATGGACAAGTTACAGCGAGTAAGCGTTGCCTTGGGCGAAGGGATTCTGTCGTCTTGGGGTCGTGAGCTAATACATGATATTAAGGAATTGGAGACCCTCCCTGTGAGCGACCAGGAGAGCATTGCTCATGTTTGGTCGCTCTTCTCAGCCGCCCCAGCGAAGCACCGAAAACTGATTCTCCAAGGCATCATGTCTCAATGCTGTTTCCCGCAGCTTTCATTCGTGTCGGCGACCGTTCGTGACCTTATTCGGATCGACTTCCTTACTGCTCTTCCTCCGGAGGTCTCATTCAAGATTTTGTGCTATCTCGATACAACCTCACTCTGCAAAGCTGCCCAAGTGTCTCGACGTTGGCGGGCTTTAGCAGATGACGATGTCGTCTGGCACCGTATGTGTGAGCAGCATATTCATCGCAAATGCAAGAAATGTGGTTGGGGTCTTCCTCTTCTGGACCGTAAAAGGCTGCGGGAGTCCAAGCGTGAAATTGAGTTGCGTGCTACAACCTGGGATATTGGCGGCGCTCCTTTGAGTCTCCCCACACCGGGACTCACAAACAGACAATCTACGCCGCCCGAAAGCTCAACTTCCGCAAAACGAAAGCCCGAACCGGCCGATGAAGAAACTGTCGTTAAGCGGCATTGTTCGTCGTTGGTAGCCGATTCAGAAAAGGATGAAGATTTTTTCAAAACCCGGTATAGGCCCTGGAAAGAGGTATACAAAGATCGGTTTAAAATTGGCACGAACTGGAAGTACGGGCGGTGCTCGATCAAAACATTTAAAGGACACACGAATGGTGTTATATGCCTTCAGTTTGAGGACAATATCTTAGCGACTGGGTCCTATGACGCTACAATTAAAATCTGGGATACTGAAACTGGAGAGGAGCTACGGACTCTCCGCGGACACGAATCTGGAATCCGCTGTCTTCAATTCGACGACACTAAATTGATCAGCGGCAGTATGGATCGGAGCTTGAAAGTGTGGAACTGGCGAACGGGCGAGTGTATCTCGACATACACGGGACACCGAGGCGGCGTAATTGGCCTTCATTTTGACTCCACGATTCTTGCCTCCGCCTCTGTCGATAAGACTGTGAAAATCTGGAATTTTGAAGATAAGTCCACATGTCTTTTGCGCGGACACACGGACTGGGTCAATGCCGTAAGGGTGGACACTCCTTCTCGAACTGTGTTTTCAGCTTCGGATGACTGCACCGTGCGGCTATGGGACTTGGAAACCAAGACGTGTATCAGAACGTTCCATGGCCACGTCGGGCAAGTCCAGCAAGTGCTTCCTCTTCCTCGAGAATTCGAGTTTGAAGATCACGACGCCGAATGTGAGAATGACAATGTCAGCACGACGTCTGGTGACGGGGAGTCTGCCTCTCTCCAGGCCACATTAGGGTTGGACTTGAAGACACACTTCCAGTGTTCGCCGTTCGGGCCTTCGTTTGACAATGGACGCCCAACGCCTCCTCGGTATATTGTCACTAGCGCTTTAGACTCAACCATTCGGTTGTGGGAAACTACCACGGGCAGATGCCTACGTACATTGTTCGGCCACTTGGAGGGTGTCTGGGCCCTTGCTGCAGATACTCTCCGTATTGTGTCTGGTGCGGAAGATCGTATGGTCAAGATCTGGGATCCGAGGACAGGAAAATGCGAACGCACTTTTACCGGACACTCGGGGCCCGTGACTTGTATTGGCCTCGGCGACAGTCGCTTTGCCACTGGCAGCGAAGATTGCGAGGTACGCATGTACAGTTTCCAGGATTAATTCTCTCTCTTTATCTTCAGATTTATGGATATGCGGCGGCTCCTGCGGAGACGCCTGCAGCATCGTGTTTAATGTTTCTTTTATACCCGATACGCATGAATGCTCTTGAATTATGCTTTTTATGTTGTTATATTGTTGAAAAGGTACTATTCCGGGCTTGGGCAATGAGGCACTTGGGATTGAGGTTTGGCGTCACAGCAGAGAAGGAATTTCAATTTCATGGAGGTAAAAGTGCTTCATATATGATACAATGCGGGTTTAATGGGTAGTTGGTGTGAAATATCTTGTCTTAATTTGTCAGCGAGGTTTTCAAAAACAATCCTAGACATGCATTTCGTCATTTGTTTTGGCCAACGAGTGAGGAGGCATAAGAGGAGGTGTACTTCCATGGGTCTATTTGACCTTCCCGCCTAGTGCCCAATTTTAATCACTTTGTCTCGACAAATGGTTTCGAATATTTTTCCCCCGGAAAATCTCCGCACCTCAATTTCTACTTCAATCATGAATCCATATGTGACAGGCCCAGATCACATCCCGCCCACTGACTTGTACGCCGATGTGCCTCTGTACGGACGGTGTCTTCCCAAGCCGAGTGACTTTCGTATTAACCACCAGCTGGTCTGTTCTAAGACTCACCGCAATACTAGTCATCAGTAGTCAACCTCTAAGACGAATCTGCCAGAATCTACCCTGCCGACGAAGGAGTCGTGATGTGTTTGCTCTTGGCAATGTTATTGTGAAGTCAAGCCATATTCATCATACAGGAGAGATAGACTACTCAGTCGCCGATGCTGATGAATTCCACCCTAGAGTACCCGAGATATACTTCACCGGAAAGATACTTACTTTTGCTAATTCCTGCTTATGCTACCATATTTATACCTTTCAGATTAATGATCTCACCCAGCCTAACTGTATCGTTGATAATGTCAAGATTGTGGGGCTTATTGATTGGGAAATGACAGGATTCTTTGGTCGGAAGACGGCTGGCGAAGTTCACCGAAGTATCCGAACACCTTAAAGGGAGCATTTTGCGAAAGCATCTTTGAGTGAAGGGAGGCTTCGGGATATTATGTTTTGGAATGACCTTTATGACGATGGTCTGCCTGAATTTGAAGATTAGCTTAAGTACTGGTGACTTCGTTGTTATATTAGTGTCTCTTCGAAGACAATAAGTTTAGCTCTTTCTGTGATGAATGCGTCTACTACTGAATGAGGGGGAAATGGTAGAACTCCGAAGGAGTAGGTCAAGGAGGCACTCTTAGACAGCTCAGAAGTTGTGGGCCCTGAGCCCAGAAGTTCCCAGTAGGAGAGAAGACAACATTCCCCTTACGCAGGTGTGTTCCGTGGTCTGCAAGAAGGTTGTTGATTTTCTACTACCTCTTCGAACGAGGACTTAAGATAATAGCTATCTATACAAATGTCACGTGCCAATCCCCAGAATTCCTCCACTACACTACATTTGGCAATATCTCCAAGGATTGAGTGTTTATGCTCTTCCGCATGGCATTACAGAGCATCTCGTCATCGAGTCCAACCATAGACGCTGTTCCGGGACTGACCAAAGGACCTTAGGCAGGAACTACCATGAACTAGTCATAACTACGTCTTCAGCAAGAATTTTCTTCCCTTGTCCTCCACTATTGTAACCCCCCACCTCCGTGATGACTAGAAATCCCCTCTTCTCCAGCGTAAACAGCATTTCGTTCGCTATGGAGAACCTACCGCCAGAGTAGAACATGGACATCCTACCCTCATACCACACCACCGAATGTGACATCGAACTATCATTCTTCAACGAGCAGAATCAACAGAGAAGCTCCAGGGCCGCGGACAAATATGCGAAATTCATGGCATCTATTCGTCGAACTTACAACGGATGTATAGCATCAGTTCGCCAGATTTATCAAGGATGTACAAGATTGATTTATTTGAATTCCAGCGGTTGTATAACATCTGTTTGTCGGAATTGCAATAGATGTATACCACGTATACCTATTAGGGGGTCGTTTATGCGATGCATTATTATTTTTGGTTTGACATCTGTTGCTTGGAGCATAGCAACCTGGTACTTCTCTTTCGAGAGTGAACAGAGGTGGCATGATTATTATGTGGTGCTCGCTACATACAACCAGTTGTATCTGTCCTATTATGAGATGTATGGACAACGATGAGAGCTTGTAATGCTACTATCGGGCCTTCAGGTTTGTGAGTATGAGTCTTTTGGTGGTGGGTGGTATGTGGCTGCTTGGTGATCCAGATTTTAATGAGGCTGTGTGTTGCTGGGAATTTGTCGGATGAAAGACAAAAAAGTTTGGTGATCGCTATATATGGCCTATTTCCTGGAGTTGGAGTTCTCGGTTCCTGGGCGATGATATACCAGAGGCCTTCTTCCCGCCCAGAACGTGGTCTAGATATAACAGACAAAGTGCCTGGTATTCGTCCATCTATTTGAATATATGTTTCCATTAGATCCTGAAATGATCATTGTCGTGTGTGGTAGGGATACCCCACTAATGAGACGAAGATGCATTGCTTTCCACTGTTGATGAGCTATACCTCACTTGCGTTAGGGAATCGCTTAATACTGATAAGATGATGTGTTTGGTGTTCAAGTGGAGGATGGCCTTGAGGATTGGCAGTTCTAAGTTGACCTGAAAGTAATGGTGCAACATTGGTTTCACTTGGTTACCTCTAAAAAGGACTGGCTTTCTATTTACTTACACCATTGCACTTCTACCCCACCTAGTGTTCAGCCTATCTATCCGATCACATACCCATCTATGATAACCCTCCTCTCCCAACATCCTTCTTGACATATACAATAGCATACACAATTACAAGACTTGAAGAAGCAAAACGACTCTTCTGCAATTCTTCAATCAGACTACTCAAATCTTTCGCACCCAACAACAGATATTCCCTCGCAAACTAAACTAACAAAGTGCACTTAGTGGAAATAAATCATGGATCGACAACAATAAAGGCTACGACCCTAGAACAGAGCTCAGATCCAGAGCTCAACTCAAGAGAAAACGTCTCTCAAGAACAGAAACCGAACGGCCAGCAAAAGGGCCCAAGACTCGAGATCTTATCGTCAAGATGTCTTTGAGTTCGGATGCCGGGAAGGCTTTTCTTGCGTTTCTCCCAGTATACCAAGTTGATTATTCTGTAGGGAGGAAGAAGACTGCGTCGATACAAATCGTGTTATATCAGCCCGAGAGTCGAGATATGCATTCCGAAAGCGGTTTGAGTTGCTGGATCTGCTCTGGAGGAAAGACTGAACGAACTGCAACCTGGAGATCCAAACACGGGGATGCTCATGTTTTGAAATTCGAGAGCCATGCTCGCTGTTGAATGAGACACTGGTATATCTTTGCCAGTGCCAAGGACGACGGAATCGATTGCGATCTCATTACACAACCGGAGTTAAAAAGGAAGTGTGAAAATTGTAGGCGGACTAAGAAACATTGCTCTTACAACAAGGATGTGAAGGATCACCATTGCGTTGTGTGCAATGCCAAACTCAAGTGAAGATCTGCATTGCTGGGCCTGCCAAGTATATACTTTAAGTCCGAGGCTATGGGTACCAGTGATGACAATGTAGCTACATCTGCTACGGCACCCATTAAAATTATGGGCTCTTCCGCCCGGTCTATTCCCGATATTCCCGAGTTAGAGATGCTGTTTACCCCGACCACTAATAAGCCCGCAAGCACACTGCCGGAGGTTCGATCAATTTATACCTCTTTAGCCCATCCGGTGAACTTCGAGTATGACTCCTTCGGGAATGGCTCACAGACCTGCCTCTGGTGCCATAGCTTTGCATACGGTATTATGGAACTGGGCAAAGGATGGGCGGAGGTTATGGATTTTGGCGATGGGTGACACATCGAGATCGGTGGTGGTCACGCTGCCCGCGGTCACGAGCCTGGCCGCATGTGCGTAACATGTGCTCTGGAGAGAATCTATGTTATGAAATGCTCTGATTATAGAATTGTTCCCCTCAGGAGATATACAATGTGGATTCTTTAATTTTGACGCAGCGTATAATAGTCTGGCACTGGGCCCAAGACAACGACCACCACAGTCAACCCATGGTGCGCTTTATGTCCCAGTCTTGCATTTTTTCTTATGCAGTGCGAGGAGCCTGTCTCCGGGACGTCCCCTGACGCAATTGGTTGTGGATTGCTTCTCTGCGAGCGATGCAAGATCCTGATCCACGCTTATCGTAGGAACCTTGCTCTCATGGCTGCGAAGAATGATCAAACAAACCCGAAGTTTGGATCTCGTGCAGAAGTTGAGTATCTCCTGCCTGGGAATAGTCTGCATAGGTTCTACACTGGGACATAAACAGTATTTTTCTTTCTTTCTTCTTTTCTTTTCTTTTTTTTTTCTTTCTTTGTTTCGCTGCTATTTTTATAAGTCACTGGAATTGGTCTGTTGCATTGGGAGTAGAGAAATTACATTTACCTAAACAATACACCCATTCACCTGTTAGTGCCATTCTCCTCCAAGTAGGATAATGTGAAAGCAACTCCAATACAGATGATGTCACTCAAAAGAGATCACAGCTGTCATATTCAAGGGCTCTTTGTGCAATATTGTGGGACTAGTTTGTCGACAGCAACAACAAAGACAGGGTGGAGGTTTGGATGTAGACCGCCATCGACTGGACTCGACTGAAATCGCCTATTTTCCCTTCGTCCCTTCTCCCTGCATTATCCCTGCATTCCCTTTGTACGCCCAACATCATCCCAATAGAATCACTGATGAATGATCAATGAATGTACCTATCCATAGTCTGTCTTCTATTGACAGCAGCCGCCCAGACTCTCGATTAAACCCTACTTGACGCTACCAGTTCTCCCCACCGCCGTCCACCAGTCAGCGCCCTGCAACCGCACTGACTAAACGAGTCGCCCGCCTGGAATCGGATTTTCTTATTTTCTCATTATTCGATTCCTGGCTTAACTCATTTTTCCTTCTCCCTCCACTTTTTTTTTTATTTTTTTATTTTTTTTTTTTTTTTAAAAAAAAATAAATGTAACCTTTCCCTGAATCTCTCACCGAATCCGATATCATTGGTGCGTCCCTTTCTCGACCTCATCCATCGTGCTACCTCGAGCTGCCACGAGACGTGCGCAGCTCACCGTCACGACGTCTTCCACAAAGCGCCGTAAGGTAGCAGAGCCTCGCAGACCAGGAGGAACCCTTCCGGGTTTGTCGTTTGCCTCGCAGGCCGGAAGACGTCACGGCCATCTCTCCTCTCCCTCGCCACCTAAAAACGATTGCCTTTCCTCTACCTCCGTTTCGAATCGAAGCCAGAGTTCCTCTTCCTCTCCGCCCCCTCGATATATTCCCGCCCATCTACAGGACGAAGTGCTGGGAAACAAAGCACAGGCCGCCGTCGCCGCCCGCTCGCCAACCCCGGATTCCGATCCCTCGGCCGCTTGCGCTGGACTCACCTTATCCAGCGACTCTGCGATCGACATGTCAGGCTCTGAGAAGAGAGATGCTAGTCTTCCGCCCATAGAGGGTGATGTCCGGTCGCCCTCGCCAGGCGTCAAACGGGTCGCGCTTGAAGTTGACGGTGATGTGGAGATGGATTTAGATTCGACAGGGAAGGCATCTCAGTCCCACCCCAACAGCACCAGCAACGATACAACAGAGTCAGAGGATGACATCAATGCAAACGATGGCAACTCCGGCTCGGATAACGTTTATCCCACCCCCTCAAGCATGTTCACGTACACAGCACCTACTGCAAATCGACACAGCTCCAAATCTCGATCTTCACCCGAGTCGATCCTTCCATCCTACGACGACCAGGTTGCTAAAGTTACCCTCCACATGGCACAACCACTGAAGGAGAAGCAAAAGGGATACGTGGTTTCCATGTCGTGGCTAAAGCGCGTGCTTGCCCGAAGCTCTACCTATCCCGACTTGACGGATAAGACGGCTATGGAAGGGGAGGTTGGCCCGGTCGACAACTCAGACCTCGTCCTAGTGACTGATCCCGCGAATGCTTGCTTTAAAGATGAGGCGAACGAGCCGTTCGTCCCACTTCGACCGGGATTACAGATAGGAGAGGATTTCGATGTTGTGCCCCAAGAAGGCTGGGATTTGATCCTCCAGTGGTATGGCCTGGCCGAACAGTCACCGGCTATTGTCCGCTACGCTCATGATACGAGTGTGGGAGGGGACTCCCAAAACATTCAATACGAGATCAACCCTCCGATATTCACTATCTTGAAGCTTCCTGGCTCGTCCGCTGGAGTCACCCCGCAGAGTTTGAAGGAGAAGACGATGAAGCCGGCCAGGTTGCTGTCGAGTAGACACACCAACTTCCAGAAGTGGTTGAAGGAAGCGAAAGGGTTGGCAAATATCGATATATCTACCAAGGTTCGTGTCTGGAGGATTCTAGGTGGTTTGGGCAGTGCCAGTGTGTCGGCTGCCATCACCCCAGCTGCCTCGCGTAGTGCATCCCCGGCTCCTGCAGCGTCGATTGTGGCCAACGCGGGCAACAGTCTCGTACTTGATCTCAACGCATTTCTGTCGCTGTCGGAAGGGGCTCAGCGGGAGTTGCTGGAGGAGGCCAAGGATCAGACCGCCAACCCCAACTACAACGGTCGAATGACACTTGATATCGCCGGACTGGGTGGTAGCGACGTTGTGGTGCTTGAAGAGCGAGTCCCCGGTGCTGGTAGTGGAGAGTGGGCATCAGAGGCGTCTAAACAGACGCTTAGCCGCCTCGGCGTGCCAACCGGCAGTCTGAAAAACGGTATCCCGTCAAAACTGAAGAATAAAAGTCCTACCAATAGTGGTCGGTCATCCCCCGTTTCAGAGCCTCCCCGAGGCAGACGAAAAGATGGGAAGCCTCGCGGCAATACCGGTTTGAGTAATCTCGGAAACACTTGTTACATGAACTCGGCTTTGCAGTGCGTGCGTTGTGTAGAAGAACTCTCTTACTATTTTCTAAGTATGTCCTTTCTGCGGTTTTACATATCCAATTTCAGCCACTAACCTTTCTTGCAGATGATGTCTACAAACAGGATCTTAATCCCAGTAATCCTTTGGCCCACAATGGGGAGGTGGCCAAGGCCTATGCAAATCTACTCCGTTTGATCTACGACGTAGCAGGCCAATCCTCTTTCGCCCCAAGGCAGCTTAAAAATACCATCGGTCGCTACGGTCCGGCATTCTCTGGTTATAGTCAACAGGATTCGCAGGAATTCCTTCTATTTCTCCTCGATGGCTTGCAGGAAGATCTGAACCGGATCCAGAAGAAGCCATACATCGAGAAACCTGATTCCACCGATGAGATGGTCCATGATAAGGCCGCGCTCGCAGAGTTCGCGAACAAATGCTGGGATATCTACAAAGCGCGCAACGATTCGGTCATCACCGATCTCTTTGCTGGCATGTACAAGTCCACCCTGCACTGTCCTGAATGCGACAAGGTCAGCATCATCTTTGACCCTTTCAACAACCTAACACTTCAATTGCCGATTGAAAATGTCTGGAGCAAGGAAATCTTCTATTTCCCTCTGAACCAGAAGCCGGTCCTGGTTGATGTGGAGATCGACAAAAACTCTAGCATCAAAGCCTTGAAGGAACTTGTTGCGAAGAAAACGGATTCGGATCCGCAGCGGTTGGTTATGGCTGAGATTTACAAGAACAAGTTCTACAAAGTTTTCGACAACAGCAGCTCAATCGCGGAATCTCAGATCAGTTCGAACGACGACATTGCAATCTATGAGCTCGAGTCGGTACCTACTAACTACAACCCAGACAAACCTCAGAGAAGCTTCTACTCTTTCGGTCGCTCTGACCATGACGAGATCCCTAGCCTTGAGTCCCCTAAGGCTGATCGACTGCTGGTGTCTGTGTTCAACCGCGTTGAACGGCCGAAGTCGAACAACCCGAAGAACGTGCTGCGGCAGCTTTTCGGAGTCCCCTCATTTATCGTTATTGATCGTCAGGATATTTATGACTTGGATGCCATCCACAAGAAGCTCCTTGCCGATGTTGCCTCTATGACCACTCGCGACTTCCTCAACGAACAAGTACCAGAAAGTACACAGGAAGAGACTGCCCCAGATGATTCGGACATCTCCGTGATGAATGAGGATGATGCGCGGTCAGCTGATTCAAAGATTAAGACGACGTCTGTGGACGGTGAGGAGGGCATGGTGGACGTTTCCATGCGCGATGCACCTGAGTCGCCCAAGGAAGCCAGCGCTACTCAGAGCTCTATTCCGCCTCACTTGCGCGGTCTTTTCGAGATCAAGCTCATCAAGAGCAATGAAGTGGTACCTATCGGATATTCCGCAGTTGAGGAAAACAAAGAGTATCCCAAGATGTCCTTCCGAATCAAGACAGCTCTTGTTAGTTCCCACGAGGTAAGTCATATGGCCTCATCATATTCACGAATAGAAATGATACTAACGGTGACACGCAGACTGAGGCCACATCCGACTACAGTTCGTCAATGACCACCGATGGTGTTCAAACAAGGGCGAACAACGAATCGAACAGCAATGGAACGGATAGCGGATCAGACACGTTCACCGAAGTTTTGCCCAAAAAGACCCCGAAAAGAGTAACCCAGACACGCCCTCTCATCCGTCCAGGCGAGGGTATTGTGCTGGACTGGAACGAGGATGTCTACGATGCTCTCTTCACGGGAAGCGGCAAGGAAAAAGACCCTGTTCGTGGGGCACCGACGTGGAAACACGTCGAGCGGATTCCGGATCCCGAATTGGCCAAGCGACGCCAACTGCGACAGACGCGTAAGAAGAAGGGCCTTACCCTCGACGAGTGTTTGGACGAATTCAACAAAGAAGAGATTCTCTCAGAGAATGACGCGTGGTATTGCCCCCGCTGCAAGGAGCATCGCCGTGCCAGTAAGAAGTTCGAGCTTTGGAAGACGCCGGACATTCTCGTCATGCATCTCAAGCGGTTTAGTGCCAGCCGGGGCTTCCGGGATAAGCTAGATGTCTTTGTTGACTTCCCCGTGGAGGGTCTCGATATGACGGGCAGGGTTGAGGCCCCTGAAGAAGGCAAGAGCCTGGTCTATGACCTCTTTGCTGTGGACAACCATTATGGTGGACTCGGTGGAGGCCACTATACTGCGTACGCGAAAAACTTCATGACTGGGCAGTGGAACGAGTACAACGGTAAGTTTTGGAATCGCGCTGTGGATGGAGAGATCCAAGCGGCTAACACGTGTAGACTCGTCGGTCTCGAGGCCTATGGACCCCCAGAGTGTGGTTACCTCGTCTGCGTATCTCCTTTTCTACCGTCGCCGATCTGACCGACCCCTGGGCGGCAAGATCCTGGAGGAGATCACGGAATCCTCGACGCGGCAAGGGAGCGAGTCTGATTCTACAAGTGAGTCGCGCGGCCAGTCACCGTCGGGGGACGGTCTGCGTCTCGGCGGCTCCTCCCTCAATGGGTCATCGAGCGCCTCAGCCGGAGTCGGAGCAGCTCACCAGTCGGGAGATGGTGGTTTGCGGGTTGGAGCACACGGGAAGAACGGGGGTGACGAGTCGCCTCCGGAATATTCCAACGACCTGACCAGCAGGGAAAAGAGCTTCGGCGGGGACAATCGACTGGAAGGTATGAATTTCGACGAAGACGAACCCAGTGATGGGGCGCAATCCAATCCGTTCCGCTTCCCTAGTCCGCCCTCGTGGTCATTCAATCGAGTCCTGGAAGCTCACGGCCCTTCACAGATGACGACAACACTTCCGGGATCTACCTCTGACGATGACCTTGATGACGATGCCAGCAACAAAGCTGTCGGTGGGGAGGACATGAGCGACTCGGACCTTCGCCTGGCGGCTTTGACCGACAGCCCTGGCCCTGGCGCGGCCTATCCAGGGACGCCCATGGAGGAGACATCTTTCCAGGACATTCCTCCTCTATTGGAAGCCAACGATGATGATGATGACGACGATCTCCCGGTGGTGGAGCTACGAGTGAACGATGAAGATCGGATAGTGTCTGACTGACCTGTTCGAATTTTTGGATGTGAAATGATGTATCTTTTTTTTTTTTTTTTTGGGCCCGTTGTCCACTGGTTGAGGGTTTCATAGGAAGTCAATGGTTCTGACTTCACTATAAATTATCTCCTTGCATGCATTTCCTTGATCCCGATGCAGGGTGGACGAGTGTGTACTGAAAGGACATGCTCGTGCTCTGAGGGTTTGGTTGTTTTGTCCGAGCTGTGGTGCATTTACATTGAGTTGGTGGAAGGAACTGTATAAAGAAAGCCTGGTCCGATGTTCTTAAAAGCCTGGTTGTGGTAGAGCAGCAGCTTTTGTTGCATATCATCATCATAAATGTGACCTCAGTTTTATGATGTTTAGTTAACTAGTTAACTATCTGAACTACCTCCCTCATGTAAGCAAGCCACTGTCATACGTCGGGTCAGATGATGCTCCGAGTCATCTGATGAATGCCTGATGAATGCCATGTATACGATATAAATATCGATGTCTCAGCCTCACCCAGCACTACATGTATAAAATAATCAATCAAATGAAGATGTCTCACTATCGTATCCTTCACACGACTAAATCGAAGTCCCACCCACTGGCATTCATACGACAAGATAAAAGTAATGCCCAGACCATCGCATCAGTATTATATCATCTGAAAAGATCAGTTAGCTCATCATCCTGTCCCAAAGTAACGTGATAAGCCACAAAATTACACATATATATGAAATAAATCCATTCCGCTCCTCATTCCTCATTCCTCATCCTTACCCTCCATCTATGTCTCTCATCCCACAATCTATTTACCATCTAGTTTCATACGATGGAAATGGCCCTCCCACTATCCAGATTCAGAATCTTTACTTCATTTATGGCTAGATCGGCTGCATCTGCACCTACATCTACATCTGTATCCAAGAATATAACAGGACAAGAAGATGGAAATCAAGATAGATCTTCTTCCGTACCTTTATCCTTCTCCTCATCCTCATCATCATCGACAATCCATCCACGATACAGTCCCTATCCTGATCCCCACCAGGAAACAAATGACTATCTAGAAGACGAAGAAGATGAAAAAAATAGCGACGTGAGCGTGCTTGATCTCGGTCCTAGCTTTACCTCTACCTCTATCTCTACTACTCCTCTTTCTGTTCCTGCCAATGTCAGTACCAATACGAAGGTAAGTACTGATGACAGTATCAATATTGGTGAATCCGAATGCGAATCCGAATCTATGACAACTCCTACAACGAGCCAGAATGAACAGCACCATGAGAATCAAACCAACGAGACGAACCCATCGATTAGACCGCTAAAACGCAAGTCCCATACAGGTGGTCGCTACGTTGCGGACTCTTTCTTCAAGATCGCCATTTCCTCGGGAAAAGGAAGACCTAAGATGAATCGTACGAGAACATCGTTTCGGAAAGGTGGGGCTTTGGAGGACTAATATCTCTTTCTTTATTCTTTGTTCTGGGTTATATATTCTTTGTTGTGTATTTATACTTGTGTGTTTATTTGCTGGTTTATCAAATGGAAGGTGTCATGTACATATGGATTTACGCTCTATTTGCGTTGCATAATCACTATCATTAGTTTTATTGAAAATTTTTAATGTTTAACGCTACCCATCACCCAAACCGTAGTTCTATCATACGGCAACAGGCCAGCCGTCAACATATTCTAACAGGTTATAACCCAGTCGAGCATCCTAAACCGTTAGTAAACCCCATATAATTCAGAGGCAAACTTACCCAGAATTCGTATCCAACAGTCTTGTTCACTACCAAAATTAGCTGCATTCTCCTATGCCACAGTAGAACTCACAGTAGTGATAGTACAGAATATCCACCTCCCCATCAGTCAACACTCCCTGACCACCAGGAGCATACACATCTCTATTCGAGCCATACACGATCTCTCCGCCGCCGTCCACCAAGTCCCTGCCCTGTTTATCCACAAAAGGGCCCCGTGGAGAGACAGATCGACCAACACGGATATTATACCTGCGACTGTTAGCACACCACCCGGCAAAATATTCACTTTTCTGTTACACACTCCATCCCCGGCTGTGGTAAATTCTGCGGGTCATACTTGCAGCATTTGCCCCAGCTAAACCAAAGATAATAATACGGCGCATGATAAGCAACAAACCCTCCCTCGACCGGATGTCCTCCCGAGGGATCTCCACATAGAGGATTCTCCTGAATCTGTCGAACAGGCAATATCACTTGCGGCTCATACGCCAAATGATGTGCCTCAGCTAGACTACCATTATCGATCGATACCAGGTCCTTGGACAATGGAATCTGCCAGATGCCGCTCCAATAGCTTCCGAAGGTCAGATACCCCCTGCCGTCGGTGGTGATGAAAACGCTTGGATCGATGGCATTCGACACATCCATTGGATATATGTCTGACCCTATCCCGGTACCAGAGTGGATGATAGCGCCGCGGTCGATCCAGGACCCCGGCCCAGGCGATGTAGACGTAGCGACGCCGATCGCGCTATCGCGACAGCCGGCCTGACTAACAGCGTAGTAGCAGTAAAACGTACCTTTTACTTCGATGGTGGTCGGAGCCCACGGAGCTTTGCGGTCGCCTTTGGGGATGATACTATCTTTATCTAATACGCAGTCGGTTTGTTTCCATGGTCCATCAAGTCCTGGGGCCTGGTGGATGACGAGGTGTTCTCCCACGCTGTAGGAATAGTAGGTGTTGCCGACTTTGATAATGTTAGGATCGTGAATACGGAGGTCAGTCCCACGCGCCGGAGCGAAATTCTCCAAGGAAGGGGTGGGATTTGGGCCAGCAAAGGACGCTGAACGATAAGATAAGAGGGTATTAGATACAATATATATAAACAGGAAGAATAAACCCAATGTAAGAGCCATCTTGGCACAGCGCCGCAGTTTGAGATAATGAAAGTATCTTAGGTCTGTCCTGGGATCGCCGATCACAGGGCGCGACACTGGGAAGTGACATAGTATCGTCGTGGTGGCCATTCTGGGCAGGAGCGCTCTGGCATGGATTTCCCACATTCAGATAGTTGGACTATCACCGTGGACATAAAATAAACCGCATGACGGACCATTCTTGATTGAGGGAGAATGCACCGACGTGGCTATCTAGAGACTGCGCAAGGATCGGCGGCTAGCAAGGATCATCAAGGTTGGGACCATCCCAATCCCTCACCATGCGCCTATCCGCAATCAAAGAAAGAATGACATACACTGGCTACATTCTTCAAATCAGAAACTACCGAGATTTACACCGGCGAAATCACATCCTCCATCCATCACAAACACGCCGCCGTGCCCTCGAAGAATATTGGAAATTCCCACCAACGCCCAGCATTCTTGATCTCCACATCTCTAGCAGAGGAGAACGAATAGAAGAAAATTAAACTATAAGGCCAAAACTACCGGACAACAATCTTCTCCACTTCGTCCTTGGCCTCTGTCCATGTCTCAAGATTCTTCCGTGCCCAGTCCAAGTGGCACCGGGCGTATGCGACCTGCCAGAGCATCATGATCAGTTATGGAACGAGTAAAGATTCGGTATGAGGGCATTGCATACCATGTACCGTCGTAGATCTGTCTCCTTGTCTTTCTGAAACCGCCTGAGGTCTTGCAGGACGCCTGCGCTAGCGTCTTTGACGTCTTTCTCGGATACCTCTAGTGCCTGTTCCAGCTATTGATGAAATCCGGTCAGCAAGAATGAGAAAACTGAGGACTGTAAAGATCGTAAACATACCTGGAGAAGGCTCTCCTTAGTTTTTCCGATCTGGTCGCGTCGCGTCCTTTCAGGGTCAACATCAACAAACCCATGGACTGCGTGACTGATACGACCAAAGATCTTGTTCGTCATGAAGGTTCCACTAGAAGTCTTGCGGTGTGCTGGAGATGCCGCATCGGGCCGCCGAGGCGGGGAAACTGGGGAAAGGTGCGGGTGAGAGCCGATGGATTCACCATGGGTAGGGGGAAAGTCGGAGTCGATCGACGCGGTGTCATCTGGACCACTGGGGTGTGCTTCTTCCTCGTGGCCACCAGGTGCACTGGTGGCAGATGAGGTGGACAAGGAACGTTGTTTGGTTCCTGCGGGTTGGGGAGATGAGCGGTTGAGATATTGCTCAATGCGTTTTGCCTCCATCTCGCTTCTTTCTAATGAATCGAGCAGCAGTTTCTTCTTCGCTAGCTCATCCCGTGTCATCTCCTCTTGCACCCGCTTGAGAACACGGTATCGCAGAACGCTGCGGACCACGCTGGCAAATTGAGCGCTTTCTCTCATGGGCTCCGCAAAGCTCGCGCCCAGGGAAGAGGACAGCTCCTCGGTTTCAATGTATGAAGTGTCCGCCGCCTGGCCGATCCGCTCAATGGCTGCTGCTACGGTGGGCGATTGCTCGGATAGAGAGAAGCCGTTGTATCGTGCACCCAGCTCCATCAAGTCGGCGGATAACGAGGATAGGTGGGCCAGTGTCCGTCGATTCACCTTCTCGATGTTGCCTTGGAGAAGAAGCTCGAGCTCGCGAGTAGAAGCCTCAAAGTTGACAAAATAGGGATCGAGATCCTTTTCGCTCAGCTTGCGAGAATCGGGTGGAAACCGTCCCAAAATGTTAGGACCAGGTGCATCGGTGGTGGGAGACGTGGCGGCTGACACTGTACCCGGAGTATTTTTGAGCTTTGAAGAGGCAGAGGGAATAGGCAACCATGCGTGTGCAGTGGTCGGATTCGCAGGGTCTAGTGGGGGCGCTTTCAGGTTGTTCTTGGGGACTGAAGATGCCGGATGGGAGTGAAGAACCTCGTTCTAGCGTACAATGTTAGTCCTTGCGGGGACAGGCTGGTTTGATGGCTGCATACCCAGCTAACATTGGGATCCAGAAATCTCCACCAGACACCATCATCTCGGACCTCCTTCATTGAGCGACACCGGTTCAGAAATACGGCCAACATACGCTTCCGGAGCTCTATGATGGCTATATCTTCCTTAGCCTTGGTGGGTTTCGCGGCATAGTCGGCCATTGTATGTTTCTCAGGAATAGGCGGGATAACGAGAGTAGGATGGAGGTTCACGAGTGTCTGTCGTAGCGAAGCGAATTCCGAGTACCGCCGTCGCACTTCCAGGTCCTAAAATCGTCAACTGCTGTGTATTTTAATATTGAAGTCGAAATTAGAGCCTACCCCTGTCCGTATGATGTAGACTATGAAGCTCCCGCCGCCCTCGTGGTTCTTTCCGGCATCCGTAATGAGAATCGGCATCTCCGGGTTTTCGTACAAGATCTGTTCTATGCGACTGTCATAAACGCTCTTGCGGGAGTAGCCATGTCCCCGTTGTTGGGCCCCGTAGCCCCCGTTTTCCTCGTCATCACTGAGGTCTCGCTGTTGTTCCGAGTAATCTGGTGGGTCCTGGGTGGAAGCTCGGCTGGAAGGCGACGGAGGGGTGTACTCGCGGTTATAGAGAGCTGGAGAAGTTAGCACACAACAAACTCCAGGGCGCACGCATTCCAATCCTTACGAGAGGATATTGTAGCCGAATGCAATGATTCGGAAAGATGGGCTTGGCCATCAAATGCGCCATAGGGATTGTTATCCTCGTCGTTCCACATGGTAGGCCGCAAGACTGGTCAAGGCAGCCTAGTTCAAGGAACTGGGTCAAGGGAGTATATCATAAACAATGAGCAGAGGCAGACACAAAGGACATACCAAATTTTCAATGACAGCAAAGTCTAGAAGAGCAAAGGGACGAAAGCCAGGAATCAGTAATAAGCATGGAAAGTCACCGCCTGGAGATTCGCGGGGACGAGACGTCACTGACTGCGGCACGTGAGACCATCTAGCGGTCCTCGTGACTGTTCAGGTAAAGCGTATCTTGGCAGCTTGGCATTGCCCCTTCGTGAAGCTTCATTCTTGCTCACAGCAAGTTTCTATCCACAGCTTATATTCTCCTTGTAGACTGTCTAAACTATGGTCTGCATCTTTCTACTTGGTCTATCACCACCCCAGATTGTGTTTGTGCTGCAGCCCATGCTTCCTTGATTAATTTGCATTGCATGTAGAGCTATTCCTTCCTGCCTCCCAGTTACCACGTGGTAATCACCAGTTAGTGCCTTTACTCTGCTGCTGGTTATTCTTCTGAGTTGTATTTCCTTCCCCTTGTACCATTCCATCATCTGCATGCCATCCACCTTGTGTCTGATTGTCGGCAGTCCATTCAGAGCTTTCGGGCTGATCGGGTGTCTGAGACCCGCCTGTCTCTCCAGCATTGCTCGACCATTCACTATCTGCTGGAGGTTGCCCTTCTGTTGACTGTGTAGCTGATGTATCCGCATTTGCCCACTCATTTTCAGTAGTAGTCTCCGCTGGCGCCGCACCATCGTTACGACTACCCCATTGATCTTGCTCAGAGGTAGAAATATATGTCTGCTGTTGCCGCGGTTGTTTCTGGCGCTGTTGTGTCTTTTTCACGTTGACAACTTTTGGCTTCCGTTTAGAGGAACCAGAAGGTCTCGCAGGCTGGGGAGATGATCGCGTCTGGGACCTCTCTTGTGTACGTCTTTGAGCCCGTCCTCGGGATATAGCCCTCAGCTCCATCTTCCTCTGTCGGACATCTGCACTGGCCTCCAGTAAACCGTCTCGAACTTCAGAGCGCCATCGGAGTGAGTAGAGCCAGCCGCATGCACATCCGGTGAGCGCGAGGATGACGATGGTGGCGATGATGAGATTATTGTTCATTGTAGAGGGACGGTCTATCAAAGTCGGATTAGTTGACCGGTCGAGTATGTCGTAGTGCAAACCACCAAGAGACAGACTGGTTTTAGTCGAATAAACTGATAACTTGGGCGCTCGTGATCACATGGGATATGTTCAATAGCTATCCATGACTTATCGTCGGTTTCATCAATCAAGAACTCAGAATGGTATAGAAAAGGGGATGTTCGAGATCTTGATGTTTTGAAGTGGAGGGTGTAGCAGTGAATATAATGGACAGAATCTAGACATGGCCCTCCATGCTAGTCACTAGCACCAAAAGCATACAGAACACCACACAAACATATCAGTGCTATTGTCTATAACTTTTTCTATACCAACCGTATAGCACTACAAATCCATAGCTCTCTGAATTCTAGAAAGCCAGTCAAAATGCAACGACGCCGCTTTCCCATGCATATATAGTAGCTGCAGTTTCTCCTTGAGCACGCTCTGGTTACCACCAAGATACCTATAAGCAGGGAACCTAGTCGATGCCATGACAGCTGCAAGGTTAATCAGTCGCACACCCAAAGTAAACGTCTCGGGCTTTGTAGCCCAGCCTATGAATCCGTCTTCTCCAGATATACCTGCAATAACTTCAATCAGATACGATAACCCGTCAGAAACCCATTGGAAGACTTCCTTCACCAAGCTCTCGTCAAACGAGCTTTCCGTCATCCCAGTAAAGCCCTGGACCATCTGTCAACGTCGCAGACCAGGTCGACGAAGAGATTTTGCTTTTCTTCCTCGAACAAAGTAGTGCTTTCTTTCCTGTACTCGGAAAGTAGGTCTGACACTGGAAAAAGTCTCATTCTTTGGGACGATCCACCAAATCGAGACTCTTGTCCAGTGATACAGTGCGTTATTCGGGTGCAGAGAAGGGAGGAAGAAGCATATTCTTCGACAATGAACTTAGAAAGAAGACCACTTGCGTTTAAAGGAGACAGAGTGACAGCCTTGGATGACGTAACGGATGAGTATGAGAGCACCCACGACGCTGTCAAGGCGGCAAGGTCCCTCAATTCCTCGTCGTCGTCGTTAAGCATATCATACAAGATCAAGTATAGTTCCAGGAAGACTTTTTCTGTGACAGGGGGCTTCCCCGTGGGACGCAAAACTTGCCCGAATGCCATTAGAGATGTGACAGCAGCATATCGAGTTGTGAATTCCTAGCTTCTATTAGTAGCAACTCACAACTCACATTGCTCAAAATAAAAAAAACCCCAGACTTACTGTTTCCTCTTCCATTGCAAATCGGAGTTTTATTGTCCACCTAGCAACATCTGTCTCTAAGTTTTGGCTCTGGTTGGACAGGACTTTGGCAGCGAGAAGACATCCTTGAAGACGTAATTCAGCGTCAGACCTGTACCGATTCAACATCAGTGCAGTGGTCGAGGGGTTGATTTGCTGATTTAATGCCCCCCATGGAAGATCTATCTCCTGGAAGTAGTCATAGCGAAAATCAAGCAGTATTTCCAAAGACGATGCCAGACTAGCAATCGCGGATGACTTGACTTCCTCGGAATAATCCCCTATTATGACTTCCGAGTAGACATTAAGAAGGATTTTCATGTAGCCCTGGTTCTCACCGAACACATTGTGCAGTTTTTCTAGCAACCACGCACCAGCGTTCGTGTCAAACTCGGAGACTTTTCGAATAAATGGCTCCAAACCCATGGATTCACCGGTCCCGAGCATTCGCATAATTGCTGCCCACGACAGCGCTCTTCTAAGAAGGGATGCTGCACGTGTTGTGCTCAGCGATCTCCATGATGGATGAGATGACTCGAAGATGAAGTCCAGGATACCATTGAAGGAATGCGCATTAAACACATCGTTGAGCGTAGCAATCATTTTTTCTAGAGAATTTAGGAGCAAGTCGCAGTCATAGGACACGAATATCTCACCTTCTGAACCTGACTCGAAACTCTTCTCAACTGTCTCAGTCAAGATTTCCACAATGGTAGTAGCAACAAACGGCGATTCAGCACGATGGAACAGAACCGTAAATGTTTGGCTCATAATGGATAATATCTCATCGATATGTTCTGTGATCATGTAAGCTAGAAACGACAAGAGGCCATCCAATTGAAAACCTACTATTCCAAAGAGAATTAGAAACGCATGCAAATCTACGAAGGGCGTATTTCACACAAAGCGCTTGGCCGTGGAGGTAGTTCTGTGCTTTCGAATCTCGGTCGACCTCGAGGAGTGTGCCAATATCATGGAAAATGTCCGAACGATTCATTATCGACGCATAAACTCGAGCTGCGTGCTCTCTGATGCCCCAGACCGGGCTACTAAGTTGCGTCTGGACCAGTCCGAGAATCATCTTATCGTCGACATCGTACACATTTGGCACTTTTTCTGCAATTAGCTCCAATGCTGGGAACACCCGTTCTGTGACAATAGAGTGATCTTCCTGTTCGGCGATATTCCGCGTGACTTGTTCAGAGAGGAGACTTGATAGCAACTGAACCAAGCCTGGGTATTTCTGAAAGGAGACTCTGGCGCCAGGCTCCGATCCGGACTTGCCACCAAATCCCAGGCCCGTGCCGGTGCGGCAAATACGCGTCAGTAAAGCACGGAAGAGCATCAGTCCGCAATTACGGAGAGCCCATCTAAGTTAAGTCAGCATCTCAGACAATATACGGTTGACAATGACGATTTCATTTTTATCACATACATGGGTGACCCAATCCGCTCAGCTGACAAAACCAATGTGGACATGATAAAAGGCTCTGTGAAAGGCCCCAGTTTGGTGTTTGTGAAAATGTCTTTCAAGCAATTCATCGCATGGACTTGAGGCAATTCCAGGTCTTGGCTGCTACTATCATGTTCTGCTGGTATATGAGAGATCTCATGTAAGTCATCCATGACCTTTTGGAATAGTGGCCCTGAAGGTTGAGATGAAACAATACCCGTGATCAAAGCAGGAAGGCCAGCTGATCGACGTGTAAGTTTTCCGGCCGTGTCAAATATGATTCTTCTTGCATCCTATCATCGATTAATTGGGTTCCGCTCTAGAGACAATCATTCGATCGACCTCACGCACCTGGTACCATTGATTGGGCAACTCTGAAATATCTGGGTCATTTGACAGGCCACACCGTGAACAACACGTAGCAAATGTTTGAGACACCGTCGAGAATGCCCCTCGGTGACGGAGTTCAGCAAGTTGGGTAAAGCTCGTTGTTCCTATTTTCTCGTAATCGCCATATCCCAACCCTAGAGACCCTTGCGGGCCATACGAGTTGTTGGCAAGCGTTGTATAAAGAAGAAGACTATACCCGTCAGTAGCGAACATGTATATAAAGAAAAGAGGTGTACCTCGCCTCCCGGAGAGCACGCCAGGAGTATGAAAGGATATCTTTGGGCCCAACAGAAAGACCTTCGGCAGGCTCGTCGGTGTGACCTTCGGGGGAATCGATGCAAAGCACAGGTTTCACTTCATTCCAAATCTTGTCGCAGATAGAGACGATCCTTGTGTGAACAATCCTCCAATTCTCATGTGCTGTTAATGTGGACTCTGGTATTAACCTGTGGAAATCCGCTGTTGATATAATGTATCTAAGTGCTGTCAGTCATGCGTATCCACTGTAAGTTCTCACTTCGTAAGTACCTGAGAGCTGAAACATAGCCATGCAGAGGCGCATCACGCAAGGAATATTGGAAGCTAGCTCCCGGGAGAGACAGCTTTTCTTCCAATCTCTTCAGAATAGCATCAACCACTCCTGATTTGGTTTCCCACCATTGTGTGGCATTCGGGCTTTCTTGTTCTGCTGTGCAGAAAAAGATGTGATACAGACGAGCAACAGTATCCGCATAATCTGCTCTGCTTGTTCTACTTGCCATTTGCTCTGCTGTAGCCAAAGCACCCAGTAGTTGGATCTTTTCTGAGGAATTGCTTCCCAATTGTATGCCACCACTCAGCAAAATATCTCTTGGGAATAGATTCACAATAGTAAGAGATCTCGCCCGCACCTCTTCAAATGGATCCAGCAAGAGGTCAACAAGCAGCCTTAAAAGTGTAGGCTCGAAAATTTCCACGTTGAGTCTCCATTTAGTGTAGTTGCCTTCATTTTTGCTCACGATGCTGCCTTCGAAACGAGTATCAAGACCGGATTCTAAAAGAAGGATCAACGTCTTTAAAGATGTGATATGTCGAGGGTAGGACGCTGTGGGCTGTAGGTCAGCTTTCAAAAAGTCCAAGTACTCTTTCAAGCACTGCCGGGTTTCTACATCGTCCCGCGCATAATTTGGTGGCTGTTTCTTGTTAACTGATGCTCTCACATCGGTCCAGTTCTGTTCACTGCTCATGATACCGCCTTTCAAGCGTGGGATTAATTTACGTGTAATACTCAGTATTTCTCCCCTTGAATATGCGTCCGATTCCGCATGCATAGAGGGCAAACCCTTCAAAATTGCTCTCATAGTACCCGACGAAAATGGTTTCGTCGTGGCATTGGCAGTTATGAGTAACGAAAGAGCTGCAATTCTGATACTAAAATCCCGGTGAAAAAGGAATTTCCCAATGATCTCACTCTTTAAAACGAGCCCGGCCTCCTCTTCCCCATTGCCAGTAATGCTGGCTTTAGGGGAGGAATCTACAGCATGGTAAGCAAGATTTCATGGACATGATATGCAACACCTGCAAACTTACGATCTTCATGAACCAGACCAATCTTCTTTGCCATCTGCAAAGACGTAAACAGAAGTGTGAGTTCGTCAACCGGAGCATCGTGCATGTCACCAGTCAAGAGAATCTCTAGAGGTAATTGGTTTATGAAGAGATTGAAACCACTGGGGTCGATACTGAACAGAGGATGAAGGAAATAAGCAGACATAGGCTCAAGAAGGTTCATATTCTGTAGCACAATGTGTCTGACCGGCGCCACCCAAATCGACAACAAGTTTTGTACCTTTTCGCGAGAGTGAAGAGTCTGGGGCAATGTCTTAACCCTTTGGAAGAAAGCTGTCAGTGTGTCTCCGGGACCCGCAGCCAGCTCAAAGCTCTTTGCTTGTGTTAATAATGCCAGCACAAATATTTCGGTGGCTATTCGTTGGGAAGGACTTGGTATGTCTTTGGAGGCCTTCTCAGAAAACTGAGTTATATCTATCGATAGCGCTTTACAATCCTCTTGAAAAAGAGGAACCCATCGGCTGCGATTTTCTAGAAGCCAGGTCTCAACCATGACGATGAGATCAATAGGTGAGATTGCACTCTTGCGTATTAGAATCTCGAGTGTAACAAGACAAGCTTTGAGTTGAGAACGGCGCTCGCCAAGGATAACGCTAGGAACTGTAGCGTCTATGACCTTAGTCTTAACATATCGTCGGTCAGACTCCTGCTCATTCTTGACTAGCAGGACAACTAATGACTCCAGGAGCTGCTTCATAGGTTTGGGCTTTCCGTCCTTGAATCGAACCAAGAAAGCCTCGAACACAGAAAGCCATGTTTCGCACGAGAAAACAAGTTGCCTTGTCCCTTCGAACTTCGAAATACGCGCAGCATCGAGAAATGCGCTCAATGTGTTGCAAGAAGCCGATGTATGACTATGCGATATAGATGCTGTCGCAAATGTCTTCAGCAGACATTGCCATACCATGTTGACCTTTCTTTTAGGAGATTAGGACACGTTCTTCAATGCTTTACCTCTAAATTCCTTCCCCCCCCCCCCCAAAAAAAAAAAAAAAAAAAAAAAAAAACTCACTGCATATCCTGGCATGTCTGAGTAAATCGTCCCAAAGGACCTTTACTGATTTCCAGCAGGGTCTTCTCAGGTACAACCTGTATGCTTTGCGCTATCTCCTCCATTTTGATGTACCCCGCGTCACCTTGGACGCTAGACACTGCGTGGTTTTCCATTGCCTTACAAACTCCACATGTCAAGAGCAAGTACGTTAGCCTCCGACAAAAAAAATCAATCAAAAATTATACCCAGAAGCTCGCTCCCCGCGTTAGAGATCTCAATTTGCCTCTTGTGGATTTTCCAGGCGGATCCCCCAAAGCGGGTTAGTGTCGGCCAAAGCCTTTTCCCGACTCCGGAGAACTGCGTGATCGGCTCGTCACGGGGCTGAAAGTTTTGTCCTGTTCTTCGACTCAAATTATTCCCAGGCCAAACCGTGACTGAGCACCTACTGTACGGGGTGGCATTAATCGCCTCTTGTCCTCAAATTTTTCTTTCCTGATTGTATTGATTGTAATTAATTTCCTCCCACTGCCTCCACAATGTCTATTTGGGATTCGTTCAGTGGCCGCAAGCAGTCCAAAGGCCCCGATGTGCTAGACCCTTCAAACACTCCAGATGCTACGTCTTTCCTTTCAGACGTCGCCATCCCCGATCCTACACAACTCCATCCCCTGGCCGGCTTAAACCAGGATACTCTCGACTACATTACTCTGGAAGATTCCGCTCTTGATGAACTCCCTGGCTCGCGATCTGTCCTGCCATCTCGAGGATGGTCGGATGACCTGTGTTACGGAACCGGAACCACCTACCTTACTGCGCTTACTCTTGGAGGAGCGTGGGGACTTGCCGAAGGAATGAACAAGACGCCTGCTGCAGCACCTCCGAAAATTCGACTCAACGGTGTTCTGAACTCGATCACGAGGAGAGGTCCATTCCTTGGAAACTCCGCCGGTGTGGTTGCTATGGTATATAACGGGTTTAACTCTTCGATTGGCTATGCACGTGGAAAGCACGATTCTGCAAACAGCATTGTAGCCGGAGCTCTCAGTGGAATGCTCTTCAAAAGCACCCGAGGACTTAAACCGATGATGATTTCCGGTGGCATTGTGGCCTCCATTGCCGGTGGTTGGGCCGTATGCGCTCCTTCTTTCCTGTTCGGATAGAAACAGATGCTAATCATGCAATAGGTTGTGAGGAAGACCTTCCTGTAAAATGGCAGCCTGTTCAGTACATCCTAAAATCAGCCGAATCGACATCCTATCGTCAACAGTCGTCGGATATACATGTCCATTATGGGTCTGTTTCAGCAAAGCGGGAGGGTGTTGTATTATTTTATCTTTTTGGTTCACCCTGTATTAGAACGATTCCTTTTGTCCTTCCCGAATCTCCTCGCTCCGGCGCTCGAAGCATATTGAATTTTGCATTATCCATGGTTGGGACCGGCATGGTAATGGGTTTTGATAACTTTTCATGTACATATAACGGTCTCCTGCGTTTGTGTTCCTGGCAAAAACTGTTGCAGGTTTCTATCGTCTTACCAGGTAGCCTTAATGAGAGAGGAGCTCAATGAAAATTGTGATTATCATTTACACATCAGTCCTAGGTTTATCCCGTGTACGGAAGTTGAACGATTTCTTTTGTAAGACGTCGGAAGGATGAACGCTCCAGCCGCAATACCAAAATGAATCTGAATGATATCTAATCTAACATGTCAATGTGCACAAGAAAACGGTATGAAACCAGCTGTCAAATTATCTTTGGATCTTTATGTATTGTAGACTAACAGGAATATCTCTCATTCATCTCTATACTAGCCGACGGCAAAAATTTGCCTTGAAAATTATTTAGCAGATGTGACAAGCACACAAGTCGAGAGGTCTTATGGCAAGAACATTCAGGGGGATAATAGCGTGGGCTAGGTAACAAATACCTATCTACCATGAAGGGCAGACTTATTTCAAGAGAAATGCGACTTTGACATCTGGACGCAGAAAATACGGCAAAATAGGCAATAGAAATAATTTGTATCTACGGGACAGAGAATTATATTCTAGGAATCTGTTCACTTCTCAACCTACGGATGTACATACTAGCCAGACAGGCTTCTGGATGTTAAAATATTTCCCAGTTCACTGCCTCATAGAATTCTTTATCCTTAATTAGATTAAATTCAAATATTGATAATAGAGAGCACAGAGAAACTACTTCAATCACTAAAATGGAGCATGTGGGCTAATGCCTCCTAGCATGGAGCTTGTCATAATAGGTACAGAGACAATCACAACAGTAGTAAAACATGTAGGAAACTTCTTGCAAATTTGCATTTAATGCAGTGATTGGTAGGTCTCAACTTCCATCGCTTCAACTATTTATATCGCAAAGTTTCACTGGAATAAGTCATAGATACCAATTGGGTTTACATAATTATGTTCAGCAATGGCACAGGTTCATTATGCTATATATATGTGTGTGAATAACTATTAAGGCTTGCTAGTATACCAGGAAAAGTAGGTCTTGGAAATTGTGGGAACACGGGGCAGTTAATATTCAGAACACCCACGCATCTCCGTGTACAGAGACTACCTGCCTAGTTAGGTAGTAGTTAGGGTTGCATATGTGTGATATCTGTGGGGGAATAAAGCTTTAGCCTAAAAATTGACCTGTTCTTAGACAAAAACACAATTATGGAGTAAGGGTGAATGAATAATGGCAAGCGCTAGCGTTGTTATATACACTTTCCGGGAACGGGCCGCTAAGAATAAACAGTTTCTTATTGGATCAGTAGGATGAGTTCGGAAGAATTGATAGCGATATAAATACGCTATACTAGAAGCTGTTTTTAAATTCTTCTCATTCTTTAGGTGCGAGGAAGGTGTTCTGCATGGAATTAGCTGTTACTATGTATTACAGTAGTTCGATCTAAGATATGCATAAGATTTATCGATCGAATATGCAAGACATTTTCTTTCTCGGCAGAGGCAAATTTCTGGACTTGGTTTAGTTCTCATATTCCGTGCCCTTGGCATCACGTTCTCTCCAAGGCGCTTTCTGACTCATTCTAGACGAAAGACATCAAGCCACACCTCTCCATGAGTCATTCATAGCGTTGGCCTGATTGGGACTAGGTTTACCCATGACGCCCAAAGGTCAAGTGACTTTGATATTGCTCGTATCTCGTATAGGTAGAGCTACGGATAGAAAGCCACTTTCTTTCAGTGGTTAGTTATGTCTAGTTTATTAGTCATACTCAAGAAGCATGTCCGAACAAAAACATACTCAGCACAGATTTAGCTGCTACTATATAGCCAAACCAGTAAAGTGTTGGCCTGTTGAATATTCCCTTCTTTGTTCGCATGCAACCAGGTTAACTTGCGCTCGTGCGATGGTATGCGGGCTGTTATTTAGTTTCAAGATCAGAGTTCATGACGTGAATAACTTCAACTAAGTTAAGCTGCAGATCCTCTATAATCTCCCTACTCTAGTGATGATATTTGTGACCGATGCAAACACTTGAAAACAGTGTGAAGCCGTGCAGGACTGGGGGGCAAATTCCAGCGTGTTATACCTTGAAACAGGGTTTGAATGGAGAGCGTGGTGGAGAGAGCTGATCTCAATCAACAAAATATATCTAGTCGCTCGACTTATAGTAAGGGATTGGGAAAGAGTAAAATATAATTATATAGTACAGCATGTACATATTAGTAACACAGCAAGTGTTTGTAGATATTATAGGGCAGTATAATGTTAGAAATGTCTATCCATCAAATTGCTGTGGCTCTTCACATTCTAGAAATTTCTGGTTTGATTGGTGGATAGGACCAGCGAGCTACGGAAAACTTATTATAAATAGACAGTAATTGATTTTCTACTGTAGGACATAGAAACTGTGATAAACAATTGCCAAGAGCAGAGTTTGAAGGGTATTTGCTTGTGGGGCTTTCGCGGAAAACCACTACTTAAGGAGTAATTAGGTAGAAAACAAAGTGACGAGTCACAGGTAATTTCCGAAGAAATTTACGATTACTTTTTCCCCCATCACTGGGTAGAATCAATGTACTTTACTATGACTCGCCTTAATGTGTGGTTCCAACTGACCTCACAAAGTACTTCTAAAGGAAGCTTTATGACTACCAGTACAACAAGAGCTTTCGCCTTTGCTTATACTAACAACCAAAGCTAAAAATGGCAACGTCTTCAATGACAATGAATGACAGGTAGAAAGATAGCCTAAGAAAACAGACTACGGAGTAATACGGAGTTACATTGGCCCCTTCAACCCAGGATTTGGAGAAACCCCAATTCGTATCCCAGTACGCCGTAGTGGACTCTTTTCTCCGTTCGCATTTCCAGTTATTAAAACAGGCAGGGATTAAATAGTACAGTATCCATCAATTAATCAAACAAAGACCAACAATATGCGCCCTTTTCAGGAGCAAGGAATGAATGCCAAGGACATGTTGAACAATGAATCCGTTAGAGACTCACGAATCTGGATGGATGGAGACTTTAATTTAGGACCCAAAAAAAAAAAAAAAGGCCCACTGACTCTCTCTGGTGTCACTGTCTTGGCGATGATCAGTTGAGAGGGTCTTTGGCTCTTTAGAGCTGTTGGGAATCTGAACTTGAAACCACGAATAAATATGAATTAGACAAATGATCATCAAAGGGTCGAAGGGTTACGTAGGACTGTCGATCATACCGAGCATAAAAGGCATGCTGCCAAGCTTAAGAGAAAAGGCAAAACAGGGGATAAGTCAAAGGAACAATAACAAAAAATGTATGCTCTGGCTCAGTAGCCACTAATGCAAATACTAAACTAGTGCGGTAGATGCTGTGCACACATTAAACCAAATTAGAACAATAATACAAACAAAGACAAATGACGAGAGAGTACGTAGTGACAATAATTTTCAGTTGGAATGGACCAACTAATTTTGGAAACCGTTTTGGTCCGGACTCAGAGTCTCGACCAGAGGCAATAAGCTCAAAGGGCCGAAAAGTTCCTGAAGAACTAGTAGTACGGAGTAGTTTCTTAGTATCTAAGATTTTCTATTCGAAATTGACGGTCTTAGGGGTGGGCCTGACATTGATTGTTAGGCCGAAAGTAGAATTACAGATGAGCTTGGCAAAATGTAGTACAGAGTATGTTCGTCGCTCTGTAATTACGACCTGCCACCGTAAATTTAGGGGATCGTACTAAGCACTCAAAGTGAAGGGTCATCTAAGCTATTAAATTTTCCTTGCCTTCCTGTATGCCAGCAAACTCATTAGCCTCACAGTTACCGAACAAGGAAAGAATAGTGCTATTCGTTGGACCCATGTAACATTTAGCTTCCGTTGTTGGCTTGTTGAGAGGCAAGGGTAGGACACTGCTAGCAGGCATTAAAATGGTACCTACCATGCGCATGTACCGCAGTCCCTAGAAGCAAGTTATGCAAGGCATTTGAATCATGGTAGAAGTAATTAGACTGAGTAGCTGCTCGCCGTGTATTTTACGGTGACAATAAACGCATGCAGTAGCGCTAAGATACAATCGTCTTCCAGGTACGTTTATAATAATGAAAGCATTCGCTTTCTCTTGCGCAATGGTCGAGAACCAACAGTCCATGCGTCTATCGACGCTGGATCAGGAAGGATTCCGATCCTTCCATTCTGGCTCTTCCGCAACGGCATTACTGGATGCGGGGTAGCGCCATATCCTCGTGGTGGCTAGTCCCAAAGTAGACGGTCTTATCAGCTGACCCCGCGTGGGATTTTTTTTTTTTTTTTTTTTTTTCCGGGCTCAGCATCATGCGCAGGTAATTAAGTAGGAGCTTGGCTTGGTACGGTAACTTACTATGTCTGCGAAAACCTGGTATTTCTGCTGAGGAAGATCCCCCGTCGCCATCCGCAATCATTTATCTGCAGTTGCGCTTTTCACTTCCTTCCTCTATTATTCATCCTCCCGTTTCTCTTTTTCTCCCATTTTCCTCCGGCGACAGTTCCCTTTTTTACGATCCCGAATACGAACCGTTACTATTTCATTTGGCTTTCATCCGGAACACAAGGCCTGAGGGCCTTTCTTCACCGAAGTACGACTTGGAGCATATAAGTTGATCCGAGGGCGCTTGAACGACCTCCGGTCTCACCCGCAGGTCTAGGTACTAGGTACTAGTAGGTATATCATTGCCTTGTACATACCTAGGACTAGCACTTTTGTTCTGTCTCGTGACAAAGAGAATCTTCAGACGAATAAAGGTATCGTGAAAAAGAAGACTATAATTATTGCTCGTTCGATGGTCCACCCGGATTCTTTTCAACCGACCGACAGGTCAGGACCTTCTGTCATCGTACCTCCTAAGTTACACGAAACCAGCGCACCGACGGTTTCGAGTGACAATGAAGTTTCTTCAGTTCAGTCCAATAGCCCTGCAGAATGGAATCTTTACTCCCCACCTTTATCAACAGGACGGTGCTCGACGGATATAAAGCATGCGGCACCTCTCCAGCATCAGTCCACCCCGTCGCGCCCTCAACCATCGTTGCAAATACGTACAGATTTGGCGGATTCGAGTCAACCGAGCCCTTCTAAAGATTCGGACCCCTTCATGCACCGTAGCATCTCGTCTAGCAGCCTTCCACATCGAACGCCCAGCTTACGCGGCTTGTTTGCCGGATCTCTTCCCAGTGGCAGCTCATTATCACCTGGCTCGGTTTTCTCTTCTCCACAATTGTTGGCCATGGGGGATATTACTCCCTTGCCATCACCGATTAATAGTACTTCGCCATGGGGCCGTCGCAACTCGCAGTCGCTCTCACGCACTCCATCTTCGGCTTCGAGAAAGGGGTCAAGTTTGAGTTTGCGACTGAGTGATTCGTCGCATATGTTAGGTCCATCTGAATCTCGATCACGAAACAGGCAATACACCCATTTGAATAGATCGGGCAGCGAAAAATATTCTGAAACAGCAAGCAAAGAGAGTGCGCCGAAGCATGCGCGCAACCGTAGTTTAAGTGACTACGTCCCTCCGGGTAAAGGCGTACCGGTTAAACCTCGTCTGATTGTGGTATCGGGAAGCGGCGGGTCTCAAGTGATTTCGTCATCCTCCGGCATCGACTCAAAAGCGAACAACCTACATCGTGAACAGTACTTGGCTGTCCACCGCGGGATAGCATTGCCGGCGGCTCGGCCCCCAAGCCCACCAAGGAGCAGGCGCAGCCCTGATGGTGTTGAGCACGACGGACCCGTTATTAGCTACCCGCCATTGGCTGATGGGCAGGACGAAATCTATTCGGTGCGGTCTGTTCGCACTCAGCAGCCTCGGATTTATCGCAAGTTACGTCAATTAGGGCATGGTGCTTTCAGCCAAGTCTGTCTTGCAGTACGTACAGAGGTGCACGAGGAAAGTGACATTTATAATGGCTCCAGCCTTCAGGGTGTAAATGCTACAATGCAGAAGCTGGTAGCTGTGAAGATCATTGACCATGGGCCTGCTGGTGGGGCGGACGAAGAGCGATTGGAGGTGTCACTCAAGCGCGAGGTTGACATCCTTAAGTCGATCAACCACCCGTCTCTTGTACAACTTAAGGCCTTCGGGAGTGATGAGAAGCGCGCCCTTCTGGTCTTGGACTATTGCCCTGGAGGTGATCTTTTTGATGTCGCTTCGTCTGGCCCGAGGTCCATGAGTCCCGAACTCATCCGGCGCATATTCGCGGAATTGGTTGCCGCTGTGCGCTACCTTCATACGAATTACATTGTCCACCGCGATATCAAACTTGAAAGTAAGTGCTTCTGGCTGTGTAAAGAAGAAGAATAAAAAATGTTGACTAATTCTGTTTGAACAGATGTTCTTGTTAACCTCAGCACACCCGCTATGGAGGAAATTACCGACTGGCGCACGCATGATCGGGCTGTTGTTACCCTAACCGACTTGGGTCTCTCAAGACGGATACCTGAACCTCCCGAGAGTCCGCTTCTCCACACCCGGTGTGGAAGTGAAGACTATGCAGCACCCGAGATCCTAATGGGGCAGCCTTACGACGGACGCTCGACAGATTCTTGGGCTCTTGGTGTTTTGCTTTATGCCATGATGGAGAATCGACTACCTTTTGATGCGCTCCCCGGCACTCGAGGCGATCCTGCTAAGCTTCGAGCTAGGACCCCTCATCGCATTGCGCGATGTGAATGGTCCTGGTATCGCTATGCCGACAGTGATGGCGAATGGGATTCTGAGAAAGGAAAAGAGATGGAAGGGGCCCGCGATTGTGTTGAGGGTCTCTTGAAACGCAATACCAAACGGAAGACTCTAGACGAGATTGCATCACTGGGGTGGGTGAGAGACGCGATTGATGTGCCCGCGGGACTGAAACGAGGCGATAAAGAAGTACCTTAGAGCTGGCCTCTTTGATTTATATGATACCGTGGGTTGTTTTTTTATGGCTTTGTTATGATATTTGTGATGGGTCTGAAAGTTTATGCATAGCTATGTTTTACGAGGCATATTTTTTTTTTAAACGGCATTGATCACTCTGGTTAGTACAGAGTAAATGTGTTCTTATTTATATACCCTTAGGGAATAATGGACTGGGATTTTTATCACAAATAGTACGGTTAGTAATCGGTGGATGGCATTTATTATAGATATCATGTGATGCTGACAATTGACAAACAAGGATTGGGTCCCGGGGAGCCTCAGGCCATCTCCGGCCCCGACTTCGCTGCGGAGGGAGCTTCACTCCGAATGCTCCGGCCCACTTTTTCCGGTCGCTGCTGCTGCCATTTATTCTTCTCGCCCACAGTCGAATGATCCGAGAAGCTTCACTCTTCTCAATTGCTGCTTCCCCGGACAGGTGAATGCTGTTGATTTGACCGCACACCGTTGACAATGCTTCTTTTGCAAACCCGGGGTCGTGTGCCCTCCTCTCTGCGGAGTTTTCCCAAGCGGTCGTTGACGTTTGCGTATGGCAATTAATTGCCCTTGAACAGGGCCCTCCATTGATGTCCTAAAGCTGATGACCTCATTTTTTTAGCCGACCGCTTTCTACAACCCCTCATAGACAAAAGGCATCTGCCTCAGAGGATGTCGATGAAGGTCTAAACAAGGTCTCTCGCCATATCACTCAGCCCATCTCCCAAGGTGCCTCACAAGCCATGCTTTACGCTACTGGGCTGACGGAGGCCGATATGAATAAAGCTCAAGTTGGTATCTCGTCTGTCTGGTATAATGGCAACCCTTGCAACATGCATTTGCTTGACCTCAACAACCGTATCCGCGAGGGCGTGCAGAAGGCTGGTTTGATCGGCTATCAGTTTAACACGGTCGGTGTCAGTGATGGTATCAGCATGGGTACAAAGGGTATGCGATACTCTCTCCAAAGCCGAGATCTGATCGCCGACTCCATCGAGACTGTGATGGGAGGCCAATGGTACGATGCCAATATCAGTATTCCTGGTTGCGACAAGAACATGCCGGGTGTTCTGATGGCGATGGGTAGAGTAAATCGACCTAGCTTGATGGTTTACGGAGGCTCCATCAAGCCCGGTTGTGCAGCCACACAAGACAATGCCGACATTGATATTGTCTCTGCTTTCCAAGCTTACGGACAGTTTATCACCGGGGAAATCACCGAACCCGAACGATTCGATATTATCCGACACGCCTGCCCCGGAAAGGGTGCGTGTGGAGGAATGTACACTGCCAACACGATGGCCACCGCTATCGAAACCATGGGTATGACTTTGCCCGGTTCTTCTTCCTTCCCGGCCGACTCCAAGGCCAAGTACATTGAATGCCAGGCAGCTGGCGAGGCAATCAAAAACTTGCTCAAGGAGGATATCCGCCCCAGGGACATCATGACCCGTCAAGCCTTTGAGGACGCCATGATCGTGGTCAATATCACGGGTGGTTCTACCAACGCCGTGCTGCACCTTATTGCTATCGCCGACTCGGTTGGTGTTAAGCTGGATATTGAGGACTTCCAGGCCGTATCTGATCGTACGCCATTTCTGGCCGATCTAAAGCCATCTGGAAAGTACGTCATGCATGATTTACACAAGATTGGAGGCACTCCCTCTCTTCTCAAGTTCCTGATCAAGGAAGGCGTTCTCAAGGGTTCTGGCATGACGGTGACCGGAAAGACAATGGCCCAGAACCTGGAGAATGTGCCAGACTTCCCAGAGAACCAGAAGGTTATCCGTCCTTTCTCCAATCCGATCAAGGAGACTGGTCACATTCAGATTCTCAGGGGTTCGCTGGCCCCTGGTGGAAGTGTTGGCAAGATTACCGGCAAGGAGGGCACTTGCTTCACTGGTAAAGCACGTGTATTCAACGACGAGGATGACTTCATTGCTGCCCTGGAGCGCAATGAAATCAAGAAGGAAGAGAAGACCGTTGTGGTCATCCGCTATACTGGGCCCAAGGGTGGTCCTGGCATGCCCGGTACGTGTTCTGCTAAAGGTTCCTGAGGCATTTTTTTTGTCTTTTTCTAATGGCTTAACCAACTAGAAATGTTGAAGCCCTCCTCTGCTCTTATGGGTGCTGGCCTTGGCAACTCGTGTGCCCTGATCACTGATGGACGTTTCTCTGGCGGTTCTCATGGATTCCTTATTGGTCACATTGTCCCTGAAGCTGCAGTTGGCGGACCTATTGGTCTTGTCAAGGACGGTGATGTTATCACTATCAATGCCGAGAAGCGTGCCCTCGACCTCGAGGTTGACGAGGCCACACTTGCCGAAAGACGAAAGGAATGGGAAGCCGACAGGGATTCTGGAAAGCTCCCTCCCACTGGTCTGACTATAAGAGGAACATTGGGCAAGTACGCTAGGTATGTTCGAGTAGCGCTTCAACACAGTACATCGGTGAATTTACTAACATCCGTTCTATAGACTGGTCAAGGATGCCAGCCATGGTTGTGTTACCGATTCCTTAGACTAGAATGGCGGCCCACATACTAACCTTGCCTCTGTTAATGTTTGAAATTTAACCTTGTGATAATGAATAGCTGGATTATATTTCTGGGATAACTGCATGGCTACTGTTTTGATAGGCGAACAAAAGAACAGAAAGGCGTGTTCTTATTTTTTTTTTCTTTTCTCTTTTTTTATATCTTTTTTTATATCTTATGTTTTTACCTGGAGTATTCAATAGGATACCTTATTTTATGCTAGGATAAAAGTATATATTATTCTGAATTGACAGCTAGCATGGGTCTAAGACACATGCTCAAACAGCTATATACAATGAGATATCTCCAGGTACTGATTTCTCATCCAGGCAGGGTCAGCTTGACCGACTTCGAGAACACCAGGAACTTCTGTCGTCCTTCAGAAGATTAGAAGGTGCTAATGTAAAAGACCTTGGGGCAGAAGTTTGTATCCGATATCTTCTTGACAAGCCAACCATATTTCCTCCTGGGGGACCTATTAGCATAGAGTAGCCCTTCTATACCGGAATCCAACGCACCCATGCGCTCTTATGAGGACAGTATCTCCACTAGGAACTCGTGATGGTCGGATGCTTGCTGCACTATCATAGTTAAATCTATAAATTGGAGCTTTTGGTGAGCAGTCATGAATTTTGTGACCAGGTAAATACAACCATCGGACAGTTTGGTTTTTTTTGGCGGAAATTTGTTCGAACCTGTCTGTTATCAGCACGAGAAGGGCTAGAAAGTTCTTGAGATCGGCAACCAGTCATGGTATACCGGTAGGTTCTTAAGTACTCTATCTCCTTAACTCTGCCAGGCCTTAAACAAGAAGATAGATGTGACGTATGGGACTTACTTTGCGGCGTCCCCTTTGATCACTATTTTCTTCTCGTAGTTATGCTGATAAATCTCAAGTATAGCACCCGTAACCTCGGTGCCCCGAGGTAGGCCAGATGGCCACGACCACCATATTTCCGATTGACTGACCGGCCGGTTTCGGTATCAGGAAGGAACTCACTACCTCGCCCATATCCTCGATGTCTGGTCCTATATCATGGAGCTCGTGACCTGGATCGGAAATCAGTCGAGCTGTTGCAGGGTGCTCACCGGTCTGTTGCAGAGCAGACTATCATTTTATCCACCGCAAGATCACGGCTGGAGCTCTCTTTCGCCACATATAAAATCCAGCGAAACGCCAATCCATCGCTCGCCGAGTTCTCTCTGTCCCTACCATTATCCCCTCTCTACACACCTCCCTGAAGGACACCAGATATCTCTTACCTTGTGCGCAGGCGATGCGGAAACTCATCCGGATACCACGGGATGGAATTACTATTGTTTGGAGTCACAGGGCCCCACCGTCCGCGATCGTTCAGTGTTTCTCTGGGCACATCAAACCCTTTGGTTGTTTGCAACGCAGTCCTGCCATTTGCTCGATGGGCATGGCTGTGGACAAAAACTTCGAGCCGATTCATAAGTACTCAGGCGCTGATTTCTTGGTCACCTTCCATCTCTGCCCGAGGAAACTGATATGCTACACCGCACACTGGACACAAGGGAGCAGTTCCTCCGCCTGACATATGGTTTTAGCTCATTAGCTAGGTTTCTGCCGTTTGTCTATAGAAGTAGTGCACTTTCAGGTTCGCAGAAATGGTGGGGCAATTTCTCTTGTAGCTAGCGGTACCGGTAATGGTTCGTGCCCTCTGCTTAACAATCATTTCTCCCTAAGTCAGGACTTCGCTGGCTGATTCGACCATTTGCCCACTCCTATCCATTCTATGATTTACTGTCCCGGCTTCTTTCTCTATAGGATTGCCATTTCCATGTTGTCTTCATCCGTTTGTTGAAAAATCCCTTCCCGGAACCAAATACAAATGTTTCCAACTCTGACTCGAAGCGTAATCTGGAGTCTACCTGCGCAGACATTGAATATTCTTCTTAGTCCTGGGGGAGATGGTAATCTGCTGGAACAAGTTGATGAAATTCTTTTTCCGCCAATTATTCATAGAGAATTCACTTTCTCCTCCTTTGCACTTATATTTATGCATCTTTTCCTCAGCAATCTAGTAAGTTTCTTAGTCCTTTTTTATCGTTGGAAATCTCTGACAGAAGCCGCTTTTGAACAAGGTCCGTTATGTCCTTGGACATGCAGTAGCAACACTGTTGATCCTTGAGAGCTACAGAGCCGACGGAGCTATCCTCGAACAAAGAGGCCGGGACAGCAAACGACATCCTGTCTTCCGAAATGCTTCTGATGCCATACGCCTTATATACCGGACGCAGGGAGTATGGATCCTCTCTAGAGGTCTCGGAATAGCAGCTATTTACAAGCTAGCCCATTATACAGTTAGAGTTTTCCTAGAAGGAACGGCCTTCAGACATAAATTGCTGAGACCCTTCGCATACGCCGTTTCCTCTGCCTTCCTATGTGAACTTCATTTATTTTGGACCTGTACTACGATTTCAACTTTTCGGCTCCCACTATGGTCCCTTGATATACACGCAGATAAAAAAAAGTGGAGGCATTTAGCGGTGCATGCCTTTGTCTATGGGATAATTCAAGCCCTGATGTATGAAGTGCTAAGTTTCATGGAATCAGCAGATAACTTCTCAAAGGAACAAATTGACTCAGCCATTAGCATGCGGGCCAGCACAGAAGTTTTAGCAGTAATTCTTATGCTTGCACTTCGTGTGTTGGCGCTACTGCCAGCGTCAATCACCCTTACTCTGGCGGAAGCAAGCCTTTTACCTGAGACACTGGAAACAGTAATTCCTTCGCCGACAAAGCGACGCGGGGCGACGATTGTAGAATTGCTAGGCGAAACAAGGGCACCCCTTTCTTTCTCCGCTTACACCGACGCTCTAAAACCTCTCGCCATGTCTCAGGTCTTGTGGCTTATAGAGCTTCACTTTAAAAAGTGTCTTATTCAGATAATTTTAGAGCTGCTCTCTTTGTCACTTCTCTGCGTTGCCCTCGAGTGAAGCTGCCAGGATAGCCCATCGCCCGACGATTTAAACTCCACAAATCATTTGCATTTTGTTTCAGGCACACTAACTGACTGGGTTTCAAAGAAGCTTATTGGATAGGTTACCAAGCAACTGGATATGGCTTATGGTGGTGGAAGAGGTTGTTCCAAGAGATTTATTTAATGGAATTTTTGTGGGCTGGCATGACTGTGTCCTCAATCCCATCGAACGAGCAATTCACTACTAAGACTAGACACAACCCGGCGCTTTAATGATGAATTTACTATGAAAGCTGATACCTGCAGGTTAATTCAATATTATTATATAATAGCTTTTGAATATTTCTCTTTGGGTTGAGATATGTACTTGAATCTGTGGCTAAATAACCTGAAACAAATTTGAACTAAACACATGACATGCTTATTAAACTTGAACAATGTTGTGGAATTCAGGGGAAGTGATGCGCAGGGAGCTATTCTATCAACTACAGGCCAACTAGCCTAATTAGGAAGTAGATGTCATTCAGTGGAAACACCAGGAATCGCAGTATCTCAACCAACTGAGCCTACTAAGCGGTTCCCTATATTCTCATTGAGGTGTTCACTAAAGGATTCAGGGGTTGAATCGATCCTCAGATACTCCGCACCGCCAAGTCGGGCGGATTATAGTGTTTCCGTAACAAACAAAAACTTGTGTTGGAAGCGATGGTGTACTTAGCCCGGGGACAATGGGACAATGGGATCAATAGGGTCAATGGTGTCAATTGGCCCAAGAGGTCAAACGGGCTCCAGCCCTTTTCAAGGAGACCTGCACACTCGGTTGATAACTATCTCTAGCAATCCACGAGAAGCGAGGCGGTCTGCCCAATAGTCGGAGGAGTAGCGCGTAATATGGTAAAAGATCGGGGAAAAAATGGGCAAAAAAGGTAGGGATGGTCACAGGAGTTGGCACGCTTACCTACCATCCTTAGAATTAACCGCCTTACTGGAGTATATAAGAGGTTCCAGTGGAACGGGCCGAGAGAAAGTATGTATACTGTAGTCTTGTTAATCCTTTAATAGCTGATCTGAGGCACAAACATAGGGTTAGATGCACTTGCGACAGTCATGACCTAAATTGTCCAGCGGTGGTGGCGGCTCTTCCCGTTGCCTCCTTCACTATTTTATCAGCTTTTTCGTTTCAAATGCCCTTGTGTGAGACTATACACTGATAGCGTTCACTGAGCTAGCCTTAACACGCTTTGTCCAGGGCCAGTATGATAGTGTTGTCTTGAATCCTTCCAGCTAAGGCATCGGATCGGATTTATCATACCCTGCCCCCAGCCATTCGTAAGTCACATGGTTATGCGGGTGCTGTCAAACCACATGCTAGCTAGTTAACATAGCAGTTGACACAGTTAGAATTATCTATTACACCATTGCGTCTGTAGCGTTGTAACAGGAGTTGGATGGCATCCTTAGGTGGAAGCCTTTGGACTGGAAAGGACCTTCCCAGTTCAGTCAATATTTGGAGCCAGGCGGTAATGAGAATAGATCCATGATCTGCTTTCGGAAAGAATTCACAAATATCATATCTACTCCGGTTGTGGCCTTGGGAAGGAGAACACTGGTCGATATTATCTATGATAAGATCTGGTATCGCTAGTCGCTGTAGTACCTGAGTGGCTTTTCTTCTCCTTCCTCGTCGGTGGTCGCTTCAAGATGCGCAGAATGTCCTCGTATCCGGGGAGAGAAGGACTATGAGATTGTACTGACGTCCATGCCAGAGTATAATCCGAGGGAGGAAGAGCTCTTCTGTCTTCCATTTATCCGACACGCGGTCTTATCTGCGGTTTAAAATCTCATCCTGAATCAGGAGAGTAGAGAGTGTTAGGGCTCAGGCGCGAGGCTGAGAGGCATATCACACTACTGGAGACACTACTAGAAAAAAATAATGCGGTCTGATGAAACAGTCTCCGTCAATATAGCCATGGATCTCGACAGCCAGCCAATTTTGTCTTTTGCTCATTGTATCCGAAAGGCTTAAAAGGCAATAATTCCTTTGTCCCATTTTATGTAGTTCATATTGAAGTGTCAGCGAAATTCTACTGGGCAGAAAATGGTACCAGGGCTCTACTTAGCCAGACGATTTCCGATATATTGACATGAAGAAATGATCAGCCGGTCTGTTAAGATCCTTGGGGCTCGGAAAATTTGTGACCGTTGTTTTTCATTTTTTTCGTCTATCAGAAGGCAGATAAATCTTCGGGAAGTTTGGAATTCTCCCCTGCTATCGGTATGTATTGGGACAGCATTTTGGACTATCCATCTTAGCTGGTCCAAGTCACTTACCTGCACGTAACACAAGAAGCAGCTGGAAATTTGTTAATTTCGAGTGTTTCGCCTAGTTCTCTCAAAATTTTCAGTCATTACTGACAGGATCCGTCGAGGTGTTCTTTCGACATGGAAGGATCTTAGCCTCAACTGGAATGATCAGCTTGAATTTATCCCATTTTGTCTGGATCCCTCGCAGTCCTTCGTCTTGCGGGGCCGGAGCTGATGCTTCAGTGTGACTTACTCTGGACATATCTGCTGTTATTATTCTTCCGGCTTTCACACATTTGCCCTTGTCGTGATCCGCTGAAATGCAGCTCTATTGATTTGTTGCAGCTCTAGCGCAAACGATCTTTGTATTTAAGAGCCTCCTGCAAACTTTGCAAATGTGGCTTTGCTACTGACTTCTTTCAATAAGTTCCAGTGGATTTAAAAGGGCGCCTGGTAACGTTTATCCTTGCCATTATAAACAACGAATAAAAAGGAACGATCCAAAAGGTGAGCAGATATCTCTACGGAACTGGCTAATAATGCTATCTTCATGTATCCCACATCCAAATACTAAAATACTGCCCTCGCCCCCTATCGCTTTCTTAAAATCTATGATAGGATTTGCTACAAACCGTAAACTCTTCGTGCATATAAATCCATCATATGCATCAGTGGATCTCCAAACACTGCCTGCCTTAATACTGCATCCGTCGTTATACACGCCTCAACACGATCCGACGCAGACTTTGAATAAATAGATCTCTCTCTAGACCGCGGCTTCCGAAGGACAACCACCTCTCCAGCCACGGAGAGAGTCGCCGGGGGAGCCCGCCAGAGAGTATATTTGGCTGTACAGTATTTCCGTCCGTGCCGACGAGACTGGGGATGTATAGGAGCAGGAGAGGCGTACAAATTCAACAAGGACGAGACATACGTCTTATCTGCTCTCGCAACGGGATCCCCCTCATTAACGACCGAATAAAACATTGACGTTTGCTCGGATGAGTACAGAGGCCGAAGTGATATCGGGGGAGCCCCGAACGTGATACAATGGACGCTGCTAAAGAAAGTACGCAGAAGCGTCAGTTCCGACTTCACTGCTGCCGCGAGCATATGACAATATAAGAGACTGGCTACCGCGCCACCGGCTGAATGCCCCGTAATCAGGATCGAGTAGCTTGCACGCCTGCAGTTCTCGGCTAGGAGGTGACGCAGACGCACGGTGACGGGATGGACCATGTTCTTTGCGACGGATAGGAAGCCCGCATGGCAGAGGTTGAAGGGGTCGTCTAGGAAGTCGCTCGGAGATGTAGGATCGGTTTTAATGTTCACGGCCCAGTCTCGGAAGCTTTGCGTTCCCCGGATGGCAATCACGATGGTGTTCATATCGTCGATAGCGAGGGATTCGATTACCATTGCTTTGGTACCATTGCGCCAGTCAGCGCTGATGTACGAGGGGTCATTTGTTTTGGACTGTCTTGTGTATACGTTAAGCGAGTATTGCGCTGCAAGACGTAGGATGGCATATCCAGCGGGGTATCTAACTGTTATTGACCAAATTCAAACAGTCGGTCCAGGGGAATACTAACAGCTGCAGCGGTGGCAATTGAGAAGGCAGCCGCGAGTTGGTATAGAGGTACACTTTGGAGAAGAATGTCAAGGCCATGGTTCGAGAGAGCCGAGTATTTTTAGCAGATCTGTGTGCCGTAGAATCAGAGTAAATCGGGTATTTGGCAACTGTACAGGAGAATGAGTCAACCTGTATATACCGGAAATGGTCCCTACCTACCCATATCATATTTACTCGTAAACAAACCCTCATCTACGGATGTGATAATGCGATCTAACTTCCTCAACATTGTGTCAAAAGTATCCACCCCACATGCCGTATACTCTTTCATCTGATACTCCAATTCTGTGATAGTGTTGTTGGCGATTTCCGCCGTTTGAGACAATACGCCGGATATGTTTGAATACGGCTTCCATTTTGCTCGTAATCTCCCTGATGTAGACGACGGAGGGAATATACGCGTTGAAGGGGACGTCCGATGGTGATACCGAGTTGGGTTGATCGGGCGATGGCGAGATTGTTCAGAGTAGGTGGTTGCAGATTCTGTGTCGAGAATACAGATGCTGTGACTGCGACTGTGACTGCGACTATTCATTTTGTCAAGACTCAGCTTTCGTTTGGTGTCTGGAATATCCAAACCATCCCATTATGGAGCACTGTGAATGATTGAAGGCATAGTACGCTTGATTCTGCAGGTTTTGATCTAATAAATGGCCTGGATGTGCTTCTTTATAATGGGCGGCCTGCATTGAGTTGTAGATTAAGATACTGCTTCCATGTTCGCACCGGTTCTATTCATTATCCGTCTAGCTAGGCGTGATACAAGGCTTTGATCTAAAGATACAATGGAAGTCGAAACTCCTCTTTGTCTTCTATCTTGAGTCGTCGTATTCGGGTATACGACGCGATATCGAGTTGGTAGAGTCAACCAATAGACTCTTTGTTTATACCGAGCTTCGAAGCTAAGAATGTTTACCATCAACTACTATATCCAAAGCCCATCTCTACAGTTTAAACTGCTAGAGAAGCTACTTTATATCTAGGATTTAAAATACCATGCGTATACTTAGTGATTACATTCCGCTGCAAATTCAAGGGTCTTTTCCATTATCTCGACATGAAACGCTAGTCAAAAATGAAGAAAAAAAGAAATAGAAATAGAAAAGAAGTAGAAAAGAGAAAAAAGAAAGGGGGGGAGGAAAGAATAAAGTAAGAGACCAAGAAACCAAGAAAGATAGAACAGAATCAAAAAGAACGAAAAAAAAAAGATAATGAACGGACTTCAAAGCCCCCAGACATACGCATTAACCAAATGCACCGTGTACGAATCCCACTTATCATCCATCAGATCAAGATTCGTCAGCATTGGAACCTCAACATCATCCAAGTCCTCAATATCAATTTTGAATCCCCTCACCTTCTCACAACACATACACTCCATGGTACAATGCCCAACATGATTCGGCCGTTTCTCACTCCGTGGCCTTGTGCAGCAGCCACATCCACGTCCGCAGCATCCTCCATGGCCCGCACAATCGGCTCGCAGCCACTCCGAAAGATGCCAGTCACTTTGCTGCTGACGGGCACACAGAGCACGCTTTATAGGCCCATCTGGAAAGAAGCTGAGTATGGTGTGGGTTTCACGCTCTATTTTCCAGATGTTCCGGGCGAACTCCTGAAGTTTTTTTTGGAGATCCTGCATTTCTGATACAAGAATATCAGCCATCGATGAGTCTTCGTTAAGTCTGTGGTAGAGAGTTTCATGGTTGGCGAGCAAAGCTGCTTCAACATGTATTTCGTAGCGTAATTTTATATCACATTCAATGTACGCTTGAACGTGTCTCCAAATATACGGGTCATAGCCGCGCCATTTATGCTGTTTACGCCGAAGTTTCTGCGCCTTTCGCCACTTGCCACTCCGTTCGTACTTGTCCTCGAGGCGTTGGAAGGCAGAATCAAACTTTTTGGCAAGGGTTGCTTTTGGAGGCATGTTTACTATAAATGGCTGTGCTAGATAGGATGTAGATATGAGTGAGTATTGGATTGTGAAGCAAGTGAGGTATAGAATGGCTAGTGTAGAGAGCCGTGAAGGAGTAAGAACCGGAGATGGAAGATGGATTGTAAAATTTTTAGAGAATGTCATTTATTTTTGGGGGGGGAGAAGGGGCGCCTACCCTATTGTCATCGTCACTGTCATAACTTAGACATCCTGTCATTATTACCAACTATCTCGACTAAAATAGTACCAATTAACTTTTTGACCATTCTATAACCGTTGGTCCAAGTGAATCATCATGAAGTGTCTATGCCCTTGTGGAAGGATAGAGTTCTACAACGTTTTCTGACACAACCGAAACCCTCTCCAATCTGCATCTTGAATCTGCTGAGGATCCTCTACATGGTCCAAGCTTAACTTATACGGGTAACTGGGGCCCGTTATATCTTGTCGTGCCAATAAAATTCCTCTGGCTTAAAAGGATACTGAGGACATTATTAGGGGCATTTTTCTGACATGTCGACACACTTGCATATGTCAACAATCGACGTCACGGCGCATTTTTAGGAAGCCTTAGGCCAGCTAATCCGTCTGATGCTTTCCAGAACCATCGACTAGCAATTTTTCGAAGAGAAAATATGCTACTCCAAATTCACAACCATACCGTCTAAATTCGCAAAGTACACTGTCCAAATACCAAACTTATGTCTAAGATTGTGAACATCATGGACCAATCCCAACACCGAGCATAAACGCCACATTTTCTACGATGAACTTGCTGCAGGACCTTGAGCCCAAATGGTACGTGATTTTGACGACAATAGGAGTATATACTCCCACTACTGTGGGGGGGGACTCGAAAAGGCCATGAAAGAAACTGCACAAGACCGTTAGATAGCCCAATCCAGTATCAACACCGAAAAACCATACTGACAAAGAGCAGGCTTTCCCCTATCGTACAAGTGCCTTTGCTGTGTCACACAGGATCATTATTGTCGAGGCCAAGCGGTTCCCAAATAATGCTCAGGATAGTTAGCACAACCAGTATGATTGGGGCCCCGTTCAGAGTCAACTCCTATTATATATGCGCCAGGACCGTAGCTGGAGTAACGTAGAGACCATGTATGGAATTTCCGCCATTGGAGACAGGGTTCCTCTGTTCTATGAGTATGGCGAACTGCAGCCTGACTCTGTTTCCTGGCGGAGCTGGCAATATAACTGTAAGGGATCATGATATTAATGATCGCGAAGAGGTATATATATTGGAAATATGCATGTTTTTTTCGTGACCCCCACTATTTGTGAAGAATTTTAACATAATCCAGACCCATATTACTTTGGAGAGATTTCTCAATTTGTACATGACAATGATGGAGAAGGGGGGAAGAGGGGGCCGAGGAGCCTGAAAGGGCGTTATAGTCATTCGTTACTCAATTCCGAAAGGTGCTCCCGGAACACTACTCTCCTGTTTATTGTAGTATATGTTATTTAGTTCAGACAGACTCAAGAAGCGTCTCAAGCCACACTTTCTCCTCCTACACAGTGGGAAAGATAACATATCCAAAACTGCCAAGCAGTAATAGCACTGAGATATCATATCTAAGCAAACAAGAAGTATTCATACACACGCATGTTACCATATCCGTCGTGTTCTCGTCCACATGCGAACAAAATCCTTCTTCTCCTGTACTCCTAGACCTACTCGCTTGACCCTCCCTAGCCGAGCCAACGAGTCTCCCACATGATCTAGAAGGTCTTTCTCGCCCGGAGACACCCCTAACTCTTCAGAGCCATCGGTGCTCTTATCCAAAGTATCCAAGTAATTGGTGTCATAGGTGAACTTGCTGGTAGACGTAGACGACGCATCAGAACCAATACTGCTCCTATTCACACCCTCCGCAATACGGACTCGAATACAGTGAGTAGGCTTGCTCAGCAGAGTCCAGAGAAAGCTCAAATAGCAGCCCGGGAGAGGAGTCACTACGTCTACCGGTGTATAACGCAGACTCACGGGGAAAATCTTAGTTGTCGGGGAAGCGCTTAGCAGCGCTTGACTTATAGGTAGAATGCCCCGGCCATTGGTGGTAGTGCACTCGGGAAACGTGACAATAGGCCGACTAGGGTATCTCTCCACGAGGGTTGCAATGTCAACCAGACGCGTGCCTAGAGACGGCGTCGTGCGGGGTGGGGCGAATGTGCGCAAAATGGCCTGGAGGAGAGAGATGTGCTCCACCTGGCGGGAGTTGGGATACGAGGCGGTGAAGATAGGGTCGAAAATAGCAGCCAGATATACAGCATCGATTGGGGAGGTGAATGAAGAAGCAATGACGGACCCGGGACCGGGGATACGAGCCTGGTGTTGCTTCGATAGGGACCTAGATTGTTTCAACACCGCTAGGTTTAGGAAAATGTTGCTTTCACATCGCGGGATCAAGACGTAGCATACCCCTTTCTCACACCGTCCACTTGAAGATCAATCCACCATATACTGGGGACTCCGAGGATGCACCACAGAGAAGCTTTCTTGCCAAGCGAACCGATCGGAAGCCATTGTAGGACGAGGAAGTAGCTGACGCACACGAAGACGAAAAGCGGCAGACGCAAGAGGAAGAGGACGACGCGTAGAGGGAGCTGAAACCCGAGTGGTTGTGACGGAACAGGGAGGAAAGGAGCGATACCTGACCCTACAGAAGCAGGAACCTGGTTAGTCTGAGCTAGTGGATATTAGTGAATCGTACGCAGACCAACCTCGATCCCGAAACTGGGTGAACCTCTCCATGTTTTCACGACGGTAATGGTGTAGATCACTGAACTAGTAGTGTCATTGCCTGAAGACTGAGTAACTGAAGAGTCTATAGATAAGCACGATGAGTGATCCGAATCCGTCAGACGTTCACGCGGATTGGGCATAAATAGGTCTGCTTATCACGGAATCATTGTGACGAACAAAAAGTGCGAGTTCCAACTTTCACATGCGGCAACTGATTGACACCTTACGCTAGCTGTATTTGGGATAGTGTATGTGTGTCTTATATACTATTGTCAGATATACGGCTAATCCCGAAGAGGAAATAGAGTACGATTGGTGAAAAGGTCTTATTTGAATGAATTGAGCTGGTTGGGCTCTTCTTGATTATTCTTCTTGGTTATTCTTGATTGATTATTTTGTTGTGTGCTCCACGGGGGTTTTACCCCGATCCAGTCACATGATTCTGGTCCACCAACGGCCATATTATTTGACACACCCCCTCAGATTCGAACCTTTCCTTCCAATTTCAGCAACCTTGAAGCTATTCCGGGTCGAATCTGACATTCAGTCATATCCGTTCAGTGTTTCCATCAATCCTTTTGACTCCAGAGATGTCCCGAAGTCCTAGCTGATCCACAAACGGCTCGAATTTCTGCCGTGGCAGTGCTTTTAGTGAGTCCATCTGCCAGCATCTTGTCTGTTGGTGTGTAGCTGACTTGGATTCTTCCTTCCAGAGCTTCCTGCCTGAGCCAATGATTATGGATATCCACGTGTCGAAGCCTTGTCTGAAGTCGGTTTATATCTTTATGCACAAGCCGGATTGTTTGGAGATTGTCACAGAAGATTTGAATCCGTTGGTCCTTCTTTCTCTTATCCAGTTGAACTCCAAGCTCTTTAAGCAGTCTGCTGATGAATATTCCTTCTCCAGCTGCGTGGGACAACGCTAGAAGCTCTGCCTCAGTGGTAGAAGTAGTCACCGTTGCCTGCTTGTTGGCCCTCCATCCTACTACTCCTCCAAACAACTGCATTATATATCCTTGCGAACTCTTTCGATCCTCCTTGTTATCCGCAAACGAAGCATCGCTGTACAGGATGAAGTCATCTCCACCCCCCAGTTGCAGCGCTAGGTCTTTCGTTCGTTTAAGGTATAAAAGGACGCGGTCAGCCGCAGCATGGTGTTCGTCGCTTGGATTGGTAAGAAAGCGGGATAATTTGGACACTGCAAAGGCTATGTCTGGTCGTGTGGTGACTGCTGTGTACATTAAGGAACCGTTCTTCTTCTGATATCTCTGAATACTTTGGCGTGTGGCTTGTCCGGTGTAGATAATAAGCTCATCTCTGGTTATTGGGACAGTATCTGAGGTTCTTGAATCCGCTAGGTTAGCAATCTTCTCTATATAAGAGGATTGACTTAGCCATATAATTCTTTTCTCCCGATCCCGGATTATCTCTATACCAAGAAACCACTGCAGTTTATCTCCGCCAGTCATCTTGTACTGGTTTTGGAGCTGATTAACAATTTGGTCCAGTATCTCTTGATTCTTGCAGCCACTTTTGGTATGCAAAGATTATGTCGTCAACATAGAAGAATACTAGAATACCATTTTTAATCATGCAACATGGTTCATGAGGAATAGGATTAAATCCTAGGTCTTGAAGGGATTTCTTGAAGTGCTTTTGCCATAGCAATGGTGATTGCCTCAGTCCAAACAGGGCCCTTTTAAGCTTCAGGATTATACCTGGCTTTTGGTATCCTGGTGGCATCTGCATAAAGACATCCTCATCGATATCTGCATAGACAAAGGCATTGGTAATGTCATATTGCACCAATTCCAAGTCAAATCTTGCAGCTGTAGCCATTAGGATTCGGAATGATTGTATACGCCAGTGTTGAAGCATAAAGATCTTCTGTTTTCCTTTCTTGTTGGTCGCCGCGTACAACCAGACGGGCCTTGCACTTTTGCAGTCTTCCTTTCTGGTCAAACTTGTACGCGTACACCCATTTGCAATCCAGGATTTGCCTGCCTTTGCATTTAGGATTATGCCGGCTTATTTCTTGCCATGTACACATATCCTCATGTCCCTTAAGATGATCTTTTTCAGCCTGCTTGAACTGTTCGCCAAGTGGATGATTAATAAGATCTCTGTGGTGGACTGGCTTAGGTGGCAAATCTCTGTGGTGCAAATCCTATTCAGGTTGTCGAAGTAATCGTTCTGATTGTGCCTTGGTTGTTCTCTCTCCGGGTCGTTTCGGTTGAATTAATGGTGCAGCCAAAAAACGATGCTTTCCATGCAGCTAAGTGCGATGATTCTTGATTAGATCTAGCTGGGGAACCAATAGCTAATAGCGAAGCTGGTTGTAGATATTCTGGCGTCTCCGGTGGTGTTGGATAGACTAGGTCTTCAGCATCTTTCTGACCTATTTCTTCCGCCAAATCCATAGCTGATTGTATATCCACCAGAAAGTCTAAAGAATCAAAATATCCAACTACTTGCTCTTCTTGTTGGCTTTGGTGGCGACATAGACTCTTCGGGAACCTCAATATTCTTGATCATCTGGTTGAAATCTTGGATGGATATCTGCCGGAATTGTATCCTGCATGATTGCTAGTTCGGACAGATCCCCAGAGAACTGCTCGTCTTCATTGAATATCACATCTCTTGTACGGATGACTCGGTTTAGGCGTGGAATCCAGATTCGGTAGATATTAGTGGAATCATATCCAACTAGATATCCAATATGCGCTCTTGGATTGAATCTCTGTTTCCGGTTTGACTTCTTCAGTGCTTCTGTGGTCATGGCGAAGGCTTTGCATCCATATACTTTTAGATGCGCTTGCTGAGGCTTTCTGTCATGGATTACCATGCCGTCTTGGTGCGCAACGTAGGTATGGAATCGATCGAAAGGCGTTTTCCAATTGGTTTGGTACTGAGGTGTTCGATTGGAAAGATAGACTGATGCACGTACAATCTCCGAGCCATAGAAATGCAGGTAATCTAGCATATTCCCGCATTGCTCGAGCCTTATCCTTTATTACACCCCCCTGAGCGCTCTGCACCACCGTTTTGAGCACTTGTATAAGGTGCGGAGGGCTCAATCTTTATAAAATAAGGATCTGACTGCAGAAAGGCTGCAATGCGAGGCTTTTGGCCCACAGTTTCATTGTCACATTCAATAACCTGAACCTTTATATCCATTCGCCCAAGTGTTCCAAGTAAATGCCTCAAAGCGTGGATAATTGAGTCAGCCGTTCGGTCCTCTAGGTAGTAATCCCAGATAAAACCTGACCACCGATCAGTTGCTAGCATCAAGCTTTTCCAACCACCATAGCCAGCTTCGAAGTCATGGAAATCAATGGCTACGGCGTTGACCCGGTCCCTCTATAAAATCCGATGGAATTCTGCTAACCTGACGCTTTAGCTTTGCAATCCCGCAGGCGTCGCATTCCACTGTTGTCGGTCCACCTCTAATCCTTGCTCCTTTAGTTGAATTGACTAGATGCTCCAAGGTAAGAGGTCCAGGATGTCCAAGTCGAAGGTGCCATTGGTATGCATCTGCCCGTGCAGATCTTGGTGTAGAATGGAACGATGATTGAAAGCGGTTTCGGCGATTAAAAGACTTCCTCTTGTTATATTCATGGGAAGGTATTCAATCACAAACTGGTCGAACTGGTCTTCAATCTGCGCAATCGGTCGATTATCTTGATGTCGGAGGATGTTTTGCTCTGGTCGATTATCCCACCATATTCCGGCCTTATGCAACTGGCGTAGAGACACTAAATTGCAAGCCATCTTGGGACAGAAAGCAACATCTTGGAGGTGCAGTATTGACTTCTTTCCACCTAATCTAACCTGATATCACATTGCCATATCCATGGATCTCCACCTTTGAATCTCACGAGCCCATATAAAGTCACCTGGTTGTGCGGTTTGAAAGTCGTTGAATCGAGTGATTCTCATTAAAGATATGGATAGTGGATCCGGAGTCAAGAATAGCTGAATTCTTTAATGGATAGGTATCCGGTAATGTCGCAAATGAAGCTGGAATTCTTCCAATCTGTCGTTCAAGTAGTCAATCTTGATTCCTCAAGCTCTTCCACTCTTCAACCTCTTTGGCAAATTCCTTGTCTGTTTGAAGCAGATGATTAATAAATCTCCTAATTACAGCACGTTCCTTAAATCCTTTAGGGCCTCTTGAGGAAAGATAGAAACAGGCCTTCCATTCATGCATTTGCCCACATGCTTTGCAAGCTACCTTTGTCTTCTTGGCTATATTGCAGCTCTCGAGATTATTAGGCTTTTGCTTGCGCTTCTGGGTATAGCTTTGACCTTTTGGTGCGTGATTCAATTCCGTGCCTTCAGTCTTAGCTTCTTCAGCATCAAAGGTTGGACCAAATGACCCTTTGGCAATATTGCTGCTCTGTTGAATCAATTTGGTATCCAAACCTTTTCGGAAGTCTTGTGCTACCAGTCTGAATGTCAGGTTGTCTGATTCAATATCCTTACTCTTAGCAATCTCATATGAGGTTGCCCATACCGGGTTTAAAGTCCGTACAGCATTCAGGAAATCCTCAATCCAGTCACTTGTGGTTGCAGCCACTGCAATTCTAGCTTTTTCGGCCTTGTGCATTGCTTCTTCCCAATTGTTTAACCAGGTAAGTACATCCCGAGGTCTTGTGACAGGTTTAATGGCCTTTTTATACGCTTCGCGGGCAAGTTTCTTGACTGTGGCATCATCAATTCCCACCCGTTGCTTTAGTTTGGCGTACCATTCCTTCATCGAATCCTCTGGATCGCAGCAATATTCATACACTTGTGGAGAAATAGTCTTCTGCATCCACTCCCGCAGTTTGCTTAGTTCAGTTTGTTGAAGAATATAGTCGTCACGAAGGCTTTTGTAAACAGTCCAAGCAAATTGTCGATCAGCAAGGGAGGTAGGATTTGTTGATCGTGTACTTCCAGCTGGTGGTGCCAAAGTGTCATCGGTAGGTGGTGCTGGCTTTAAAATCTCTTGTTCATCGCCAGTAATAATTCCCCATAAATTCTTGCCTCTGGCTAAACCTTCAAACTGCGTGTTCCATTCCTTCCAATTCTCTTGGGTTTTCAAAAGGACGGTATTCTGCGTGGACATTTCGTTCGGAGGAAATAAAGTTTCGACCGGTGGATAGCTGAGCTGTATAAGCCGTGGTTCGCTGTATAGGTAGTTTTTGAGCGAATGAGACTCTTAATTGTCAGATATACGGCTAATCCCGAAGAGGAAATAGAGTACGATTGGTGAAAAGGTCTTATTTGAATGAATTGAGCTGGTTGGGCTCTTCTTGATTTATTTCTTTCTTTGGTTTATTCTTGATTGATTATTTTGTTGTGTGCTCCACGGGGGTTTTACCCCGATCCAGTCACATGATTCTGGTCCACCAACGGCCATATTATTTGACAACTATTAGGTATTTATACTTGGGACATACATCACACGGATGGAACAGTGAAGTATTTGACTACAACATTCCCCTGTCATTATGTTGGAGCTATTAGGTAGTTAGTCTTGTTAATTAAGAAATAATATACTGTAGCAAGCAACAACAAATGTAGCACTGGCAAGTCTCATGATAGTCTATTGAGTAATAATAAACTTATAAATCTAATAGAAAGATAAGTGACACGCTTGTATGAGAAAATCGGATCATCTGCCTTATAATAGATCTCAGTACATGTAATAAACTTACACTTCGCGTGGGTGAATATTTACATGTATAAAATTGATGACATCAGCGACTGGATGCATTGTCGGGAACCTGATGCGGAATAGCCTGAAAAGTTTGTACTCTATAAACCCCAACTTACATAAAGAACCTCCTTTAACTATCTGCTCATCTATCAGCTAGCAGTCATTCAATTTATTCCATCTATCTACAAAATGGCTCAACCAACACAAAATATCTATGACAACCCTACTTTCTTCAGTGCATACAGCACCCTTCCGCGCTCAGCGCACGGACTTGACGAGGCACCCGAATGGCCCACCCTGCAACAGTGGATCACCGGATCGTCCTCCAACATCCAGAACCAACGGGTCCTCGATCTAGGATGCGGGTATGGCTGGTTTGCGCGATGGGCTCGAGAAAGCCGCGCATCGTACATCAGGGCGATCGATGTATCCGAGCGCATGATCGATCGCGCAACGGAATTTGACCAGCAAGGGGATAAATCAGAACACGCTCAGCCAGAGACTATACGTTATGAAATTGGAGACCTTGAGACAATCACCTTTGACAGCCAGGAAAAAGACTCTTATGGCCTTGTCTATAGCTCTTTGACGTTCCACTATATTGAGGATCTGGGTCGCTTGTTCCGCGAAATTCGAGCGTGTCTGATCAAACCATCCTCTTCGGACAAGGACCATACGAAGAGGAGAGGAAAACTAGTCTTCTCAGTTGAACATCCTGTCTGCACAGCGCCAGTTGTCCCAGCCGGGGATTGGAAGGTCGTTCAGGATGATCAAGGCGTGGGGAGGAAGTTCTGGCCGTTGAATAATTACAGCGAGGAAGGGCTACGCACAACGAGCTGGCTTGGGACGGAAGGAGTTAGGAAATATCATCGCACCGTGGAGACTTACGTCTCACTGTTGCTCGAGAATGGGTTTGTGTTGACGGGTTTGAAGGACTGGGTGCCGTCAAGGGAAGATGTGGAAAGACATCCGGAATGGAAGGATGAGAGACATCGTCCGTATTTTTTGTTGATTGCTGCTGAGGTTTGGAATTAGATGGATGCTTTGAATGGAGAATGTTGCTTGTATATAACCGACCCCTGCGCTAAGGCCTCTGGGGTCGGTTAATGCTCGCTGATGCATAGAATTTGTAGTACATGATTGGTATACTAGCCAATGCAATGTTTGACGAGCTACGTAGAATATGACTATTACAGCACCCAAAATAGTTTATTTATTGCATATTGACCCAAGAGTGCAGTGCCACAAATAGGCAAGAAGTTTGCACATGGTTTGAAGTAAATCCCACGCTTCAATTATTCTCTATCTGGAATCCACTAATTACATTCCTAACTAGAAAGTGAAGTATGTACCACCTACTACCAAATACGAAGCGCACCGGAATCTCCATTCAAGGCAATCACCACCGTCATCTTAATATCTGCACTATTTTTAATCCTTAACAAGCTCCCACACATCCCATTCATTGAAGAATAAATTGCCCAGAGCCCTACGCTCGACAAAAATACTACTGGTCCTTAAACCGCCCAAGCATTATGCTACCCACCATATGCGGCACTCGTATATTAAACCGTATCTACCTTAGCACCCCATAGCTTACTGATAGAAAATGGTCCTGGTGTATCAATACGTAGGGTATATAGTATTACGAAATCTATTTTAAGTCGGTTTTATCTCCAGACTATAATTGTACGAATTATTTTAATATATAATCCCACCAAGACGCTATAGCAACACGCTGATGCACACAGCACCATCTACCCTGCGGTATCTTCCTGTCCCTACCTTAAACTAGCATAGCGAAGATATTATGTGGTTATATAATTATTAATCTGTTTTATAAAGTTGCTCCTCACCTCTGTGAAGGATGAAAGCTACGTAGGGTTCAGGTGGGCACGTGCAGACCTCCACCAATCAGTGTCCAAAAAAAGAACTTATGTATTGCCAATTGAACGGATCCCTCATCAGAGATTAAAAAAAATATATAAAAATAAAAATGAAAAAAAACCCTGATATATCCTCAAGGCCCTCCAGTAACACGCACGCTATACTCAGGCTAAAGGCACTCCCACAGTCAGCCCCCATCACTAGGTTTCCATTTGTATAAGGTACAAATGCCGAAGTTATGCGCAATAGCAGAGCATCCGTCTCCCTCCTGTACCACGTAATACTTGGCGCAGTTAGATGGAGTCCTGCTGCGCATTAGAGCGTGGAGATATGCGATGGTGGGTGCTCTAGATCCAGCTATTGATGGGGCTGCTAGACGGTATGTGTACCCAATTTAAAGGGCTAGAGCCCGTTTGACCTCTCGGGCCAATGTCCCTATTATCCCTGTTGTCCCTATTGTCCCCGTTGTCCCTATTGTCCCTATTGTCCCTACTGTCCCTACTGTCCCTACTGTCCCTACTGTCCCTGTTGGCACCTTTGGCCCATTGGCCCTCGATTCACGTCACGTGACTCCTAGCCTTGTTTGTTTACCGCTCATTATTCCTTTTTCCCTTTTCCCTTCTTCAACGATTCCTCTTTGTACATAACCTATCGTATAGGTTCTATGGGTTCAGCCCTTGACACCCAATCCTGAGTTTTTGACGCTCTCGGCCAACTGTCCTTATTCGATACAATGAAACAGAGGCTTACTTATTCTGGCAAGGGATGGTGAAGATGAATGGATGATGGCCAACGAAAGACAATACTTGCTGGATTGCAAGCATGAAACTAGCGCTGCGTTCTATGGCTGCACATAGAGAAGGAGTCGGCGGGATAGCGCAAAGTACCTGCCTAATAAGGTTGTACTCGAAAATGGCCTGTCAGGTGAGCCCCTTGTCATACTCCCCTCCCGTAAGTATTCACCGTCCTAGCCTTCATCAATTCATATCTGTTATCTGTTATGGCACACCATCTCATTCAATTCTTCTTATACCGGACAGTGATTAGGGAAAGAAAGAACTATTGCGAAGTTGCAAGTATCTACCTCCGTAGTCAAGGTTCTCAGCATCCCACATTCGACGTCGACTTGGTCTCTGTCTAAGTCGTTTAATTAAATAAGAGAAAGGATACGTAAGAGAGATGAGATGAACAAATTGGTAAGTGGGACAATGGCATTAAACAGTAGCTGTTGAGCAGCGGATACCTGACAACTACGCCCAGGACTTATCTCGAGCCCAGTGGGCTGATGCATTTGGCCTAGCAGCAAACTACAGGGGTAGAAAGGAATTTTCTGATTGACACTCGGAGACTTGGAAAGCTAGGTCTTCAAGAGATAGAATGATCAAGTTGAGCATGATCTGTTAGTAGGAGTCGACTAACATCATCTAATGAAAATTTTTCGCTAACTTGGTGGGAACAGTTAGTTTCCATACCAAGGTTCTTGACTTCCGCTGGTAGGGAGAGACTTGTCCCCCTAATATTTCTTGACAATGCTGTACCTGATGGTCGGGCGACGCAAACACCGGCGATTCGAGAACAGTTTTGGCGGAATGTCTGGAGCAATGCCCACGGCTTTCAAGCTGGCTTACTCCGTGCTACAAAGGGAATATTGATAAAGCCCAATGGCACATAAGAGAATGGAGGAATATGTTCAGGACACTCTAGTTAAACGGCGACGATGAGTCAGTGATGTATTTCTTGACACCCCTTCGCGAGGCGAGAAATCTCCTGAACCCAGCGAATGGGTCCATCTAACAAATTATACTATCCAGACCCACAGGAAGGAGGTTTCCTAATTAGTACGCGATTAAGTATCACGAGGTATCAAAGGGCACGACATCTCGCGATATCTCGTCCTGCCCCCCAAGATAACTCGGTTATCTGGGCCCACCCGGTCATCTGACACCCTTATAATCGCAATTCTACCAGGGCCAGGCCGCAGTCCATGAGATCTTGGGAGATATTTTGAACCGTACAGAGAATATGTATTATTGAATAGAGATGCCATATTATTTTAATTTGACCTATTCCGCTGCTGCTCCCTTTCCCTTTCGCGGAAGCTGGTAGAGCCTGTACAGTGAGAGCCTTCCTCTTTTTTCGTACGAGCTCTACCTCTTCAACTGCAGTATTCAACGGCGTCCCGCTCCGGTGTCTTGAATAGATCTCATCAATAATTATTTTCAGCCAGCTAAACATGACGCGCTCGCTTTATAAAGGTCAGCAGGGTATCTGAAAAGAAAATAAAACTAAAAAAATAAGGTCAGAAGCAATTCAAATCCAAACTCCCAGATTCGGTACGTGTGTTGTCAGATGTTACAGGGTCTCGAGGGACATTTAGACGCCGTTCGCCCAGTGGTCTTCTCACCCGGTGGCCGGCTATTGGCATCTGCCTCTAGGGATGAGACTGTCCGGCTCTGGGACCCTACGGGCGCTCTGCAGCAGACTCTTGACGGCCATTCAGGCATTGTAAACTCGGTGGTCTTCTCGGCCGATAGCCAATTGTTGGTGTCTGGCTCTGTTGATCAGACAGTCCGAATCTGGGATGTGGCCACAGGCGCTCTACAGCAGATCTCAGAGGTCAAGGGAGTACTCTCCAACATGAAATTTTCTGCTGATTGTTCATATCTCAACTCTAATCTAGGATACGTCAAGATCCGAACCTTTCCGTAGCAGCCTTCCCCCCTATCCAACTAGACCGGAGACAAGCATGTTTTACTAGAAGATCAGTGGGTGACAGTTCGACACGAAAAGGTGCTATGGCTTCCCCGAGTATCGGCGCAGCTGTTCCGCAGCCAATGACAATACTCTTGCCTTGCGACATGCATTGGGACGAGTTACTATCATCGAATTTTGTGCCTAATACGCGTCAGTAGGAATTTCATTCCCTCCTCCACTATAATTCCTTGTCAATTTCAAAGGAGTGCCTGGGAGAAATGGAGAAGCTATATTGTTGTAATCTACTGTACCATTAGAATCAGTGGCAGATTTACGCATATAGGTCAGGTGTTTCGGCAAGGTGATCATACTTACGTGATGCTCGGTGGCCAGACTAAAGCGTACAGCTTACCAAGGTACGTGCTCGTTTCGTATGAAACGGTTGGACCGAAAAACATGCCTTTAAATACAGCACTGACGTACCATGACTAGCGTGTTTTGGCCGTCAGGTTTTGAAAGCAACTCTTTCTATAGTTACAGGATATTGTATGGAATGTTGAGAATCTGGATGCCTAAGGCATTTGGCGGACATCCTAGTCCTGCAGTGATCCGACGATAGTAGATAGATCACACTCAGGGGCTAAGGAACACGTAGACATAAGGAAGCGTTAGACTACGTTCACTCTCGAAGATAGAAAAAAGGATATAACTCACCATGCGATACTAGATCGCACGATAGCGCAATATACTATCCAGTCACCGCAATCCTAGCACCTCACAACATACCTTCTTCCCCTAGAAATTTCAACATGGAAGGCAATTTCGGGTGGGTCTGTAAATGCGTCAGAGTAAAGCTAGTCCATATTGGGACATCATGTGAAATTATTAAGTGATATGGCTGATCCTGAAGACGGATAAACACGCAGTAATCAACAAAGAATACATATAATTCTAACAATATGCTAGCATACAGCAGTATCTGCTACTGCATCCTGAATATAGTAGCTGCCAGTCGTACTCTTATTCTAATAAGTATGCATAGGTCTGACTAGAATAAGACGTCTAAGAAACTAGCGGTGATTCAATAGTAGGATGTAACTATAGCGCAAGGGTACGTTTTCCGGCTGTCAAGACAAACCCTTCGACCAACTAAACTGTCCAGGCGTTTAATAATACCAATATAGTGAGCCATAATAGGAAGTTTCAGCACCGGCTATTACAAACTCTCAGTAGGGCTATTTGATATTGTTATACTATCTGACCAGATTGTGGACGTGATCTCTTATCCTGCAACTATCTATTGTGAGGCAGGAATCGGACCTTGCTACAGGTTTCATCGATGGGTATGATTGAGTTCTGATTACTATGTAATTAAAAACTTTACTAACTTATAAAGTTCACTAGCTTTGACATAATCTTTTCCTATCTCGTACTCCGCGCAAGCTCCCTAGAGGGTGCGTAAATAGAGTAATCCAATCACATGGCTACTAGGATATGCAGATTACATCGTATTTTGTTTGAGAGACTGTGTATCTATTACTAGTTAGAATTGGAAGGTGCTTATTGTCATAAATGCGAGGCTTTTTCTGACTTCTTAAGTGGCCAGTGGAATAGCCACACATGGATGAACATTTTGAGGACAAAACAAATGGGAATTGAAATACTAAGAACCATATAAGAAAGCTGGAAGGAACCTTATATTTTATTTAGAAAATGGTGTCTGTTCCAGGGTCCATTATTTATCCTAAACTTTAAGCTTAGGAAGAGTTGTTTAACATTTCTCGATGTCGTTTCCTCGTAGCTGTAATTAACTTATGCATTTTAGACAAAAGCAATGACAGAATATGGAGATAAACACTGAACTGGCTAACAAAAACTAGAGTCTTAAAACACAATGTCAATTACTATAACCAGTCAAGTCCACAAAATTCAAAACCTTCCTGCCGGTTGTACTTCGTTCAAACCCATCAAAGTCTTCCAGGAATTTCAAATGGAAAAGGTCCTCATTGAAATCAAACACATTAAAAAAGTGTCTGATCTTCCTGACGAGATCATTCTCGCTAATGTTCTCTGCATCATTCTGCATTGCCCGCAGAAGCCGAATCTCTAACAGTACTTCCAATCCGTCATCCGTTTTATTCCGAAGTATAACCTGCCATTGTAAGATTCCCCATGTTTCCGTTCGCATAAGAGCCTGGACGTTCTGGAACTCAAAATACTCGCCGTACCAATCGAAGCTAATCTGTCGGTCACGTCCATAGATACGGACCACTCTGTAATGGTGTGCATCCTCTTTCAACCTTGTCTGAACAGCCTGTGGCAATGGATGAAGGGAGGCTACATCACCACACACATAGCGTACTAGCGGGTTACGCAGTCTCTCTAATGATGTTTGCACGAGGAGCCCTTTCTCGCCATCGGGGAGGCACTCTATTTGATCCTCGCTTGTACCTTCTATAGATAAAGGAAGAACTTCTAGTAATATCGTCCGGATGTCAAAAATAAAATCAGCGTGGTTTTCAGCAGTGTGTCCCATTAACGACGAGCTAGAAATCGCCCATGGTCCTGCTTCCGCACTACCAATGACGGAGCAGATGTCAATATCGCCAAAGACAGACATGACGAATCTCCGTTGCGCGGGTGTCATTGGTTCCGATGTATAGAGGACTTTTGTCAAATGTATCGAGTTCCTTTGAGTTTCGGTAAGTGTTGTGGCGTACTTTGCAAGTTGGACTAATTGACCAGCATCACCGGTCACGATATTAACCTGATAATAACTAATCGCGTCCACGACATCTTGATGTGACATTTCCGGCCCAGCACATAGGACTGAGGCCCCGGCTTGTTCGAAAAGCTCAGTCATTAGGTCCAGTGCTCTAGCCTCAGTATGCATTGTTATTGGCCGTGCTATAGAACACTTTCATGATATAGACATACCGGTAAAAATTGCCCGAAACATGCATGGTCAGCACCCAGTCCCCAGGCTCAATCACTCCACAATTCCGCATCAGCGATCCGATCGTGGCCCGTTGTCGGCGATTTTCCTCCGAGTCCGTGGCAAATACCATAGGAGGCCCTCCGGAGCCGCCGCCTGTTGTGCTGATATATGTACTTCGTCGATAGCCATTGCGGGGGTCTGTGTCGACTGTGAGTCGTGCAATCTCCTGATATCTGATTTATTGAAGCGTTAAGAGTGAGCTGCGGTAGGGAATGGGGAGAAATAGGGTAGAGATTCGCCGCACAGTGCATTTTTTCTTTTCAAGGGGAATGATTTCAAATCCATAACATTTTTATTATCCTTAGAGGCTGCTAGAATTTGAAGAAGGTCCTCTCGCGTGGGAGGAAACTTTTTGTCTGAGTAAAACGGATGGACCTTGGCAACAGCAAGGATATCAGATAGAGAAATATATTCAGCCATGGTATAGGGAAACAGGTTGCTGGCAGACAAATGACTCCATAGATAGTAAAATTCTCCAGAAGAGGTCAGACCTAGCTTGTGTATTTGTAGATGTGGGTGCTAGGTAGAACATAGCACTTCCTGTTCCGAGCCCATGCTTCATACTGTAATTCATACCTATACAAAAAGCAAGGGTGTTCCTGCACGAGATATACTAGTATGCTTGACTAGTCAAGCTATTGCTTTTTGTTGGGATACTATTTGAGCTTTCTGACCGCCTGTTCATAGCCACACCAGTCATAGACTAGGGATCTGCGCAAGCACGCTCTTTTCATTTGTATCTTTAATAAGCGGAGACAGTGACAGAAAGCATTGTGGATCCTGACAAGCCAAAAATGAGAGCTGAAATGTGGTCCTGGGTCTTGCCACTGGTCCAATCACTGGGTTGACTGGAATGCCACAATGATGTTTCATCTCTGCATATGTATTGTGGTACAAATCAACGTTCTCCTGCCTGTGTCGACTAGGTTAAATTCACTGGGCAATCTGAAAAATCAATATACAGGTACTCTTCACCAGTGACGGAGACTTTTCCAATAAGTGGCGCGTAAAATTTATTCCCACAATCGATATTACTTCAGCTGCGGGGGACGACGATCGTTTTCAGCTGATAATCAGCCCGAAATCGGATCCACTTTGTGGCTTTCGGGCTGTAAAAACCGTGGATTACCGCTGGTCAGTACGGAGTAATTGGGAACAAGGAGCTGGGTATTTTCAATTCTGGAGTATTTTGGAACACATATTTTATGATTGTTTAATTGCCAGTCCCCTATATTATAAGATCATTGGTGTCGTCTGAGGCTGACGAGTCTCTGCGTACTGAGTATAAATGTGGATCATCCGGATGCAGACTCTTTCCCCGCATTTGACATTACCTAATCACTCGTTTTGAACACTGGCTTCTTCTGGACAACTTTCAGCTCAAATTTCATTCCAACGATAAAATATACAGATACTCTGTATATTTGTCCTCGTGGCCGAGACACCAAAGTGACGAACCCACCGACCGCGATCCAATGCGTACTCTATCTCAAAATGGCGCCCCCTTACCATCCACTTACAGGGCCAACGTGGACGTGCTGAACCGCGCCATCCAAGAAATTGGAATGGGCCGGTATCAGTGGCAGCTATTCGTGGTGATTGGATTTGGATGGGCAAGCGACAACCTATGGCCGATTATTACGTCTCTCATCCTCGTCCCTGTGACTTACGAATTTAATGTTTCACAGCCACCGATACTCACCCTTGCTCAAAATATTGGGCTGCTCGTCGGCGCGTTGTTCTGGGGGTTTACCTGCGATTTCTTCGGGCGAAAATGGGCTTTCAACCTCACAATTGGCATCACGGCCGTATTCGGCCTCGCTGCGGCGACGTCATCTAGTTTTGCTGCAGTCGGCGTTTTCGCAGCTTTGTGGTCGATCGGCGTTGGTGGAAACCTCCCAGTTGATTCAGCTATTTTCCTGGAGTTTCTTCCTGGATCGCATCAGTACTTGCTAACGGTTCTATCCATTAACTGGGCTTTTGCTCAGCTGGTAGCAAATTTAGTAGCATGGCCGCTCTTAGGCTATTTAACATGCTCGTCGGCCGAAACATGTACGAAAGCCAACAATATGGGCTGGCGATATTTCCTTCTTATCATGGGCGGGCTTGCATTTGCTATGTGCTTTATCCGCTGCCTCTGCTTCACCATCTATGAATCTCCTAAGTATCTCATGGGCAAGGGTCGCAACAACGAGGCTGTCTCCGTTGTGCATAAAGTCGCCCGCTACAACGGCCAAGTATCAGACCTATCCCAAGATCAATTGGAAGACTTGATAAGCCACGATGAAGGCCACCCACGCCCAACACACCACGGCCTCAGCTTCTCGGACCAACTGCGCATGCATCTTGAACCCCTCACCCTCCAACATGTCAAAGCCCTTTTCAGCACCCCACGTCGCGCTCGGTCCGTCAGCCTTATGCTTATCATCTGGGGACTTGTTGGCCTTGGCTTTCCCCTCTATAATGCCTTCCTCCCGTACCTGCAACAAACCCGTGGCATTGAATTCGGCGATGGATCCACATACATCACCTACCGCAACTCCCTGATCATCGCAGCCGTGGGCATCCCCGGCAGTCTCGTCGGCGGCGCAATGATTGAACTTCCCCGTCTAGGAAGAAAGGGTACCCTCTCCCTGGCCTCTGCAGCCACGGGGATCTTCCTACTTGCTTCAACTTCCGCTACTAGCTCAAAAATCCTACTGGGTTGGAACTGCGCCTATAGCTTTACCAGTAGTCTTCTCTATGCCGTTCTCTACGCATACACACCGGAAATATTTGAAACTAAAGACCGCGGAACAGGAAACGCATTAGTCAGTGCAGCAAATAGGGTTGGAGGAATCCTAGCCCCCATTCTTGCGTTGTTTGCGAATGTGGAGATGACAGGTCCGGTTTATCTGAGTGGGGTTTTATTTTTGGCAGCGGGGGGGTTAACTTTGTTAATCCCTTATGAAACGAGAGGGAGAACGAGTTTGTAGATTTCTTTTATTCCTTGGATTATTGGGATTTTGGGATAGAGTACTGCTACATTTTTGGGAGCTAGAGGCCGGAATGAGATGGACTATGTGGATAACCATATTGTTCAGACACACAACCTTGAAGCTACGAAGGATGGATTCTTCCGCCTTGAGTTTGGATTTCGGAAATCATTGACTTAGAACGCAGCTGGCTCGCTACGAACTAGACATGGACAGATGGAACTGGGGCAGTCCCTGGCAAAGGGAAGTTTATGCTCTCAAAATACACGAAGAAATGTATTTTACAGTTGCATCCAAGCCTCCGCTACGCTGTCTGCAAAGGCCTTTCCATCTGTAATACTGCAAATATTGGGTTATATTAATAGGATTCAAGAAACAAGGCAGAAAACGACAGAATTAGTATTTAATGAATCATCATTCTCCTGGATAGCATAGAAACGGGTATCAACGCGTAGACATCTCAATAACAGAACAATATTGGGAGGGGGGAAATGAAACAAGGTGTCAAATAAGTAAATCAATATAAACATCACAAAACATTGCAGTCTAACTACTCTTTACATAAATACATTTAAACTTGGTTATAGGCAACTCTGTTAAAAGAAATACCCTGAATGGGTTATTAAAATACTGGATTTCTTGCTTATAGCTAGAAAAGTGCGGAAATCACGTGATGAGATACTATTTCAATTTGTCAATACATAAGCAATTTCTTGCTATAAGGAAATGCCCGACTAAATTGAGCGCTTATAGCTGTGTTTTAATGTAGCATGTGGGCACACAGGATGTAGAGCGTTGTGAACACAATATCCACGGTTGTAGTAGTATGGATGATTCAGTGGCTTACTGGTGAATTCGCCTACCCAGGGGCTCGGGCGTGCGCTCAACAACTTCAAATATCCTGTATATATCACCGAGGGCTTAGGAATCGGCGCACCATTTCAGTATAGTTGTAAAGGGCTAGAGCCCGTTTAACATCTCGGGACTATTGACCACATTAGCCCCATTAACCCTATTGTCCTTATTGGCCCTATTAGCCCTATTAGCCCTATCCCTATTGTCCCTCCTGTCCTTATTGTCTCTACTATCTCTCCTATAATACATGTTTCTCCTTCCTTATTTGTCTACCTGTCCCTTCTTCAATGATTCCTTTTTGTATACAGCCTAGCGTATAGGTTCTATATGACAACCTAGGCCCACGTGTGTCGTGGTGCTGAGCTTTACCACTACGCCACAGCCAAAAGGGCGCAAATCAATAATATCAGTAACTAGATAGTCATCTAGCTCAGCGTACTATATAGCTGTTATGACCTACGAAATGGAGGTGGAAATAAAGCTAAATCAACCCTATTCTGTGTCCCCAGAATCAAGGCTGCCAAGCTGCTGCTAACGTGGGCAAAAAATTTGGTAGAATTATACGGCTAGGGGCCGCAGCCAAGCGCGCGGTGCGCCGACGTATACAGACACGTTAGAAGAAGCAGTGGGAGAAAGACAAGCAAGACAAGCAGGTCAAGCCGACACGGCGGCTGATTAAGGCCCCGAATAATTCTACGGTTAAGCTCTACAGCGGCTTACCAAAGCCATACATGTCTGTAATTATCAGATACGCACAATGAAGATTGACTGGGCACACTTCCTTTACAAGATTAAGGCCCTCAAGAGTGATCGGTATGGCTGCAAGGAAGGATCGCAGACCCTGAAGTATGTCTCCTGTATGGTCCGCTGCATACTACCGCGCGCAAGGATATGCTAAATAAAATAGCCGAACATGGAATTCAAGTCAATATATCCGACTACTACGTGCTGATGTCTAGCCCGCAGGCGATACACTACATCGCCGCGTTCATGCTGTAAACGGGGGCGATTTTCCAGATTCAACTTGTTGATATTAATCTCGAACCCTCGGCTAAAGACAACTCGGCTGAAGACACCCAACCGAAGGCCACGCAGCTATGAAATTAGATTATAAAGATAATGGGTATGAGGCCCCAAACTATGACTGGGAACGAGTCAACCCGGCATGACATCGCACACAAGGATTTGTACTAAATATGATAAAGTAGGGGACGAGGGGAACCGACGCCGGTGGCCACGCAAGCCGCCACACACCGTCAAGGTGCAGAGGAAGATAGAGCTTTTCGATTTTCCTTGCGTGCTACAGCGAGATGCTAACTTTTCCTTTGTATTTATAGGTTTAAATGGCGTTAAAGAACCTCGAGTTCTTGCTTTATTGGTAAAGTGTCTGCATGGTTAAACGCTTAAAGTTACAGTAGTTGGGCTGCAACAGGTTAATTGAACTTTGAACTAAACTGAATTAATTCTTACAGGCCGGCTTTGGAAAAAGTGCCCTATTTTTTCGCAGTATGATATAGGCTTAGAATTTCATATTATCATTTATAAATGTCTAAAACGTATCAGAATTAGCACTAGAACTACTACCACCTTCCTTCCTTCCTGTCTGCCCGTAACTACTCGCAGAGTTGGTCTAGCGAGCGTTCATCTGCTGTTGCAGCAAGACAATCTATTTTATAGCAGCTTCCTTACTAATTCCTGCGCCTGTGATAGACATCTAATCTCCTTAATCGCTTACTGTTGTAGTAAATACTGTTAACAGCTTACTTTGCGGGTCTGCCCTCCGTTAAGTGACTACTTCCTGCCTAGTGCTTTAACTGATGGGCACCCTTGCAGACCAACTCTTTATTCCTGCTATAACACCTTTACTGTTTTTAATAAGCGGCATATACGGTACCTTCTTAGCGGCTCCTTAGAAAGCGGGCTAAGGAAACGTGCACGTGGCGTGGTGTTAATGCTGGCCTGGGCAAAGTATATATGCTAGAGGTTGCAGGAGGCAGCTGCAGTGCTGTAGACAGACACAGCTAAGAAGCCTTCAGGCGAAGTACAGATTATCTGATGTAAGCAACTACAGTTACAGTAACTTAACTAACTGGGTACTTTGTAATTGGGCAATGCCATTAATTGATCCCCTTATCTCTCCTGTTCTTTGTTTATTCCTTGCGTCCAGGGCCGTTAGTTGGTCGGCAGGCTGTGGCATAGCTTGATAAAATATTGAAAGCTGATTTGGTTCTACTGTGTCTTGACAGGCCTTAGCTTCCTTAGCGTAGGAGTGCACGCAGCATGCTAATTAGACAGGATGGTTCTATGCTGGATTGCTTGAGAATCTTGCGCCTTGAGTGATAAAATCCTACAGGATAACCTCCCGGAGAAAGAACAGCAGTTTTGTAAGACCAACTGCAGCCAAATCATTAATCTAGTCAACCTGTGGCCCAAAGCGACGGACATCCAAGCCAGGTTAGATTATCGATAGCAGCTTATACAGTGGTGTTATCTTTGCACAGATGACTTTTAAGTATCCTACTTAGGACGAATGGACAGCCATGTCCCTTATAAACTTCTCCGGCAGCCAGTTTAAGATAGCAGCCAACTATTTATTCTAATTCCAGTTCCTGCATATAATCTGCTCCTCACTAACTCTATTCAGCTCAGCCGGCTTGGCACCAAAGCCTCGTCCGACATGTGTCTTCTTCGGTGAGAAGATCCCAGCGCAGTGGAAGGCCTTTGCCACCTACTCTCTTTGTGAGTTGTATAAGAAAGCCACCCCTGTATCTCCAGTACTGCCTGTAATTAACTGGGTCTTATACCAAAGAGACCGCTTATTAAAATACGGGGAAAGCATATTACTAAAATCCTATTAAGAGAATGTCACTTAGAATCTGGATGCAGTACTCTAGTGAGGCATTCCCTTAGGAATTCCCCTGAGCCCACAGCGCGTGACAGACGTTTTTATATTCAGTCTTTGGTATAAGGCCCACTCGTTTTTTTGGCAAATAACTATACGAAATATTATATGATTTTTCTCCGCTGAAAGGTTCAACTAACATACTGTGCAATTTGGCATATACAAATGACTCCCAGAACTGCTATCTCTATTTGATAACAAGGATTACTGTTTGCATTACAAATGTTATCTCTAATCAATCAGAATGTTAGAGATGCGCACTTCGCACGCTGATGCCCTGAAACGATACATAAGGACCAAGTCGAGTACAGAGGTAAACATTGCACCTCTTCACCTGTCATGTATCCTAGCAAGTTAAAAGGAGCTACAACTCATGAAGGAGGTTTTGTTAGCAGGGTGAATGAACACTTCATCGAGTACCATAAGCCGCTGGAACCTTAAGTGAATTGTTTATGGCAGGCCGTGTCTCCAAACCGTGGACAATGGCTGATAGATAATAAAGAGCTATGTTCTAGGATGAAAGATGTCCGAGTTGCGCTTCAAAATCCTGAGCTTCGAACTAAATAAACTTAAGTTTGGACTGATGGAAGAAGTATTTTGACAGTAGTAGTGTACGGTAAGCCACTGACAGAAAACTGAAAAAATAAACAAAATAATATGCTAAGTGCTTCTACCGCCATATGTTTTATTTATTCTAAAAGCCCTTATCTAATAGAATAAATTGAGAGGTCTATCTATACACAATATCTAAACTGCTAACCTCATTATGATACACAGCACATTACACCTCCCTATCCACGTTATCATCCTTTGCAGATGACGGCAATCGAAACATCCAAATCGACAAACCCACTACAACAAACACGAAACTAGTCATCATCCACGCAAGACCAATCCACATCCCGCCCAGTTCCAGACCAACCTGAAAGACTGCAGTGATCGACAAACTCGCGATGACATTTCCTACAGCCTGCAACACTTCGATAATCGTGTACAGTCTTGCCGTTTCCTCTGTCTTCACGAGCGTCGTAATCACGGACCTCGTCAAGAATGTAAACCCTGACCCGCACGTCTGGACAAGTAAGCTTGGGATAAATGCCGCGATGGATGGAGACAGTCCAATTCCTAACGTGCCGAGAGTAAGACAGACAATGCTGACGCGCGCCAGTCGGAGGTCTTTCTTGATTTGATCCATGCCTTTCATGTGGCTGGATATTCCCGGCAGAATGACCAGAAAGAGGGGGATGATCAGGGCTGGTTTAAGGGACATGAGGAAGTTGGCTTCTGCGAGAGACCAGTTGTATCGTGTGGAGATATACTGCATGAGAAACCAGGAGCCACGGCTTAGTCGGTACACCAGGAAGGGTGTGAGGAGTAGGAGGATTTTCTTGTTTTCGAAGATGAACGAATATGGAGTTAGGTAATCCCGAGCATGCGTTCGAATCGTGGTGAAGAAGGTCCATTTGGATCGTTTCTCAAGCAAAGACTCCTCCTGATCGCTATCGAGGTCATTAAGATCCGTCCACTCTTGTTCTTTCCTCACAGGGCGGTTGATATCTCCGTTGTGGAGAAGGGATAGCTCTATACTGGTCCCCACTTGCTGTGCTGACGGTGGCAGAGCACGGATAGTTTCTGGTAGGGTTAGAGCAAAGAACATGCCGACGATTACCACTCCCCATCCGGCAAACAGTGGCAACCACGGATCCATCACCATGAGCCAGGAGCTGGCAGCATTGGAGGCAAAATCCGCAGCCATACTTGCCACACCGAATTTGAAGAACATTGATGCCCTGCGATTATTAACCTTTCCATTATTACATTCATATAGGGATGGAATGAATTAAACAATACCTTTCCTCTTCTGTCGTCACGTCTGACATCATGGTCCAGATAATCGCCAATACCACAACAGGTCCGCCGCCGAACAGCCAGGCTAGACATGATGCCCAGACTGCGCGCAGAGGGAAGATATCCGAATACCACGTGACGGCAAAATGGATGATGCAGTTAAGCACAAACCCAGGAATACTGAGACAGACAGTAGGCTTACGCCCACGCCGATCTGCCAGGAGGCCGTAAGGTATGGCCAGCAAAATACCTGGTGAAGAGGAGAGACAGAGTGAACAGCGGTCCAAGGATGCAGGAAGAACAAGTCATCGAAGCAAGGGAAGGGCGACAGAGCCCATGCCTTCGCAGGCGCCAGACATACTCAGTATCCCATCGAAAAACTCCATATATCCCTTCACGGCAGCCAACTCGGACTGAATCTCCTTCAATTTGCACAACTTCTCGTCCACCTCTCCATTCGACCCGATCTGTTTAGGATTATACTGCGCATAGTACTCTCGACAGGCGATGGACTCGTAGATACGGGTTATTGGTCCGCTGGCCATTACCAATCCTACCTCGACGGAAAGAACCATGGCGAACAGGGTGATCATCAGTCGCGTGCGCAGTTTCGAGTCGATCGCGTGGGGCTCATCGTGTGGTTGTTTCTCAATGTGGGAGTCGCTCTCGGCGGATGAGAGGAAAAGGGAATTCTCGTTGTCATGATCATTGTGTTCTAAGAGCATGTTGGACCATTGGCGTGTCCTTTTTTTTTGCCCTTTTCTCAGTCCTTTCTTTTCGCCTTCTGGAAACAGAAAGGAAAAAGAAACTGTCTATATACTATGATAAATTATCCGGTTATATACGGGTTACATAAGATCCAATTCGATCAACAAAACCCAAAAGGAGAAGAGAGAAAGGAAAAGGGAAATGGAGAGGGAAAAGGAGGAAATGCTCTGGAGTCTGAGATGGATGAATAGTCTACACTGGAAACAGCCAGCGATTGAAGGTGTGCCGTGCTGATTCTCCACCCTCCAAATAAACCGTACTCTGTGCTCCGTGCTCCGTACTATCTTTAGACTAGCAAGACTAAGTAGGGTCAAGGTCGCGTCTCCTTGATTGAGCTTCCTGATCTAGTAGTCTGACTGTGGCAGATAAAAAGGTATTAAGGAGATGCAAAGCTATGTCCAAGACTCTATTTAAATGCATGATTAAAACTGAAGCTGTGACACAACATTTCCAGTAATCAGAGACAGGGTTTCTTAGAAGGAATGCCAAGACCTGAGCGATGGGTACATAGCACCTAATTTGGTATGGTCAGGGGTTTACAGCTACTATTGAACAATCAGAGACTACACAGTAAGTCTCCTAATGGTGGGCCAATAGTGATGCAATCCCGGCACCGATCGGCAGCATTTTATTACCCAATGGTGCTGCCTAGCCACTGGCAGAGTTCAGCTCTATGTACTGTGTACTATGAAATATAAATGGATTAACACAGTGTAATGCTTATTATTATCTGCAGCTACACAGAGTAAGCATCACTCTATATCATATCAGAGTGATATATAAATATCCACAGGCAAAACCTTTGCCCCGCCAGTACTGTTTCATCTGTTGTAGAAGACATAGCTATACTGTTTTGAGCTGAATCGATCAGTTTGTATAAGCGACACGGGGATATTTTTGAGTAGAGAAGAAGAAAAGCCACAACAGCTTTTTGAATCAGGCTTGTCTGGTAGGACTGGAAGCCAAAAGAAAGCTCATTTACTGAAGGAACTAACTAAATTAAGTAGTAACTTCACTATCTACAGGTGTAGTGGGCCGATTAAGCTCCCTTCACAGTAATTAACTGGTAGTAGCTATCAAGGAGCACCTACCTTAGCAGTAGGAATCGTGGCTGTCTACTTATTTTTATTGTATTCATCCAGAAATATCACTTCCAAGTAACAGACTAGGTGAACACTCCTCCCAATAATGATACCACGACTCTAGTAATTCTGAATGTATGTATGTACATTTAATCAGGCTAACAATAATAGACACCTTATGAGGCAGCATAGTAAAGGTTGCAACAAGATATCTAGTTACCGATCGTAGATCCCAATCCCCACATTCCCTGGACTGTGCTTTAACAATCTTAAAAAATATAACCTAGTGTCTTTTTTTGAGTGAACTATAGCCCAAGGGCTGGGGTTTTGGAGGAATTTCGCAAACATGTTATTAGTTTAAACAAAGCAAGATAGTTATCGGGATAAGCTTAGTTGAATCATAGTGACAACTTCCCACGTCGCATTGACGTGGGTTCCATATGCAGATGATCGTACAAAATAATATGACACATTATTACCTATAATATTGAAACTACTAGACAGTTCTTACTTTCTCTCTGACTCTCTTTACATTTTCCCCTTCCGTTTTACATATCTATCACAACCATCGAAATCCAACCAGAATGGTTGTTAAAGATATTATAGCACTGAAAACAGTCTCCAAATAAAAGCCGGTACAGCCATTTACAAAGCTTCTCAAGCAAAAAGAAGACAAACTTGAAAATCCGTAAGATGGACAAGAAAGTATAGTAGGATGTAATGCCCACCGCGAAAATGACTTCGTGCTGTAGTGGCGCTCTGCCAGAAAAGCTTCCAGCTTGGATGGTAGGTCCTTCAGTGGTAGAGGCTGCCTAGAGTCTCCTCGGACTAGGTAGACCCATGTAAGACAACAAATCTCCGGTTCAGCCTATACAAGGCCGATGCATTATATACACAGAAAGATATCGAACTGGCCCAAAAATAGCTCATTTCTCCGAGCGATGCTCGTGTTAGGGAACGGGAAAGGGGACATAATAGAGGCGATTGATCATGGCATTCTAGCATGCATTTAATACATGCAGGTTAATAGGCTCCATCAAATAGTTCTACTTGAGTCCTGGCTGTAAAATTCGTGTATGCTCCACTCCTTCTCTCATGAGGTTGTGTAGGAATCTGACTTTGGTGGAGACAAGTATGAGAGCAACGAGCTTCAAAGTCTTCAGTGAAAGGAAATGTCTTCCAGGTAATACGAAGCATTAGATGACCAAATCAGATCAGAGTTAACTCGTCTTCGGTCTCACATAACCGTCATTTGCATGAGAGCCGCACGGGCTTTTCGCCTCTAATTATTCTCCAATTATTAGTCGAATCGATCAGCTCGTCGCACCCATGCATTGCCCATGACCACTTGCGCAGAAACCCTGGTGTGGCCTCCCAATTTTTAGTAAGGTAGGGCTCTCCCCAAACAATGAGCCCCTGTCGAGTAGCAGTGATTTCGTCATCATCCCCTTCCGACAATGTGAGTTTGCCGGTCACTGAGCCACTTTGGGCCAACCGCGAGGAAGAATATTTCTTCCCATCAATCAGGTCACCCACAAGGTCTCTCACAAACTCGGAGTGGTCAAAGCAGAACTCCCTGTTAATCAGGTTTTCTCTCATTTTTGGAAAGGGAAGAACATTGATCCATGTGGAGTGAATGAGACTCATTTGTGTCTCCGTCGGAATGAGGCAACTAGGGAGGTTGGGTGCCAACGGAAGAATAATTGCGTACGTCGGAAATGCTGAATCATCGCGGAGAATTCGAAATTGGTTATCGTCTGGAATTAAGCATGTTGCCATGCGTCCAAGAATGTCTTTATTAAGATACAGCGCCCGGAATACATTGTAATGTATGAGATGAAGTAAGTGATCAGCAGGCAGTATATAGCTAGCCTGAAGTGAGTCAACTGAGGTCCTTTGTGCACTGCTAGAGGGAAATTTTGATAGCTTATCCAAATCAACTTTTCCTGTCAATTGGGAGTTGGAGGCAAGGTTGCCTCCTTGGGGCGTTACTGGTCCAACTATCCCAGAAGACATGGCTATATTGTTTAGAGTTGAATCAATATATTTGTATGAGCAGTATGGGGCTATCTCTCGGCACAGGGGTATACAATAATGGCCAATATTTCTTAAGTCCGAAGTGGCCTGATATGGTCCAGACGCATCATCTTCGAGTCGCCAACGGTGTATTCGGTATGGAAGCCGCTGTATCTTTGGATTTACACTGTTCTTCTGCGATTTACGGAGTCCTAGCCCGCCAAAGTCATCAGCTCGTTGATATTATCAAAACCAATGAATCAATAGGGAAGTAAACACTCACTGTGGGCTCTTTGATTTAATCGGTTTTGGACTCTCTTCCGCTGCTTTCTTTCAGCTTCTCCTTCCATAACGCGACGACTTATCGAGGTTTTCAGCTGTCAATGTAAATACATGAAGCACCAAATATATGGCTCTCCTAAAGCCCTTGAGTTTTCGGTAGCCGAATGGTAACTTTTCATGTCACATCAACACAAAGTTATCTACGAGTTGAGGGGTGTGAATCCAGAAGAGAATCCAAGAGAACCTACGCACTAACTGCAAACGATGGCTGACTGCATCAACTAGTCTCAAAAAGGCAATGTTGGTCAGCCGGCCCCATCTTCATTGGCAAGGGTAGTGAACATGCGCTAGACACAGATGGCAATAAATGTCAGCCAGCGAGGGATTTAATACAATGAAATAGACAACATTATGATGAACAACACGCCAGAATGACGGAGAGAAGATATAAAAGGAGCCTTCAATCTCCTACAACGAACCAACAGATCAAGCAGTCCTCAAAAACTCTCTCTCTTACAGTTTAACTACCCCTTTGGACTCATTTTCTCGAACCATGTCTAGGTACGCTGCAGCTCACATCGAGCCCCAGGGTGCCGGAGACCCACGTCCTACAGCTCTTCAAATCGTCCACGATGAGAAAATGAAGAACAACCTTGTAAGAAAAGTGGCTATTGTCACTGGAACCTCATCTGGAATTGGCATCGAGATAGTCCGAGCTCTAGCAGCGACAGGCGTAACGCTCTACCTGACAGCCAGGGATCCGGATAAAGCGAAGGCTGCTCTAGGTGACAGCTTTAATCCTAAGCAGATGGAGCTTATCAAAATGGATCAGACGTCTCTGGAAAGTGTACGAAATGCAGCGAACACCATTCTTTCAAAGACAACCAGTGTGAACATCCTGATTAACAACGCTGGAATCATGGCCTTGCCGGATCTCCAGTTCACCACTGACGGCTACGAAGTCCAGTTCGCGACAAACCATTTGTCCCATTTCTTACTCTTTCAGTTATTATGCCCCGCACTTCTATCCGCCTCTACTCCTGATTTCCACTCCCGAGTTGTCATGGTGTCAGCCTCCGGACATCGGATCCACGGTATAAATTCCTCGGATAATTACCACTTTCAAAAGGGAGGATATGATCCCTGGAATGCATATGCACAGTCAAAGACAGCAAATATATACATGGCTAACGAGATTGAGCGACGTTATGGATCGCAAGGATTGCACGCAACGAGTTCTCATCCTGGCCTTGTCGCCACTCCAATAGGCAAGTACCTTCCCACTCAGCATGTGGAAGCGATGATGCAAAATAAGGCCCTGCTCAAGATCTTAAAAAGCCCTGAACAAGGTGCAGCAACTATCATATGGGCTGCGATCGGCAGGGAATGGGAAGGGATAGGGGGAAAATATCTCGCGGATTGTGCTGAGGCTGAGCGTGGTCCGGATGATGGACAGAGAGTTAGTCCCACGTATGTGAGCCATACATATAGCCCCGATGATGAGGCCAGAATATGGAAGGATTCTCTGGATATGGTGAGCTTAAGGACAGATGAATGAGGGGAATTGAGTGTATGTGATGAGGCTTCGAGGTGTCTGATAAATGAAAGGACAATGAATATAGTTTTCTTGGATTTACTTAATAGTCAATTATATTGTTTTTACTGAATACTTTCAATGGTACAGTACGGAGCTGTGTTTCAAAAGTCATGAGCGACGCTAGTCTTGGCTGTAATGCCACCGTACTGATTCCCATACTAATTTGTATGACTAGCCAGACGGCATTCTAGGAGCGGATAGATTAATATTTGTACAAAAATAAAGCTATTCAGACCCGAAAGAGTGAGGTTTTTGCACCTAAAAAGAGAGGACCCTCTCTAAGATCCTTTTGCCTTGATAAATAACCTCGTACCCGCATAACTTTAAAGTCACTGTTATTCTTCCTTGTACGGCCTTCTTGATATTCATTCCTCCGAGCTCTATAATAACCTGTATATGGCGTACCAATCGCTCAATCTAGTGTTGTATATCCTCTTAAGGCATCTTATTTCAAGCAGCGACCTAAGCAGATTCTGCAGTCTTTTTCTCTCGTGGAGCCCCTCTTGAAGTTGTTCGACGCTTAAGATATGCCATGCAAATTCAATTGCATTTAGGTAGGCAAATTCCTGGCAAATCCAGAACTCGTACATTATGGATATTGTACACTATATATTGAAAATAATAGCGATAAGCCGGGGCTCTATTCTCTAATATAATAGTATTTGGACGGTCGATCATATATTCTTTTACAAAGGGGATTAATTTGGGGACAAGAACTTCCTAATAGAAAGAAGTTAGATAACATATAAACCTTTATAAAAAAAGAAAACAAACCTTATAATATCAAAACCAGAATCTCTCTCTAAGCGACTATTTTTCTTTATAAATCTACATGCTGGCTTTCTACCTGGAGTTTTACCTTCACGAAGCTTTACTTAAGTTATTAGGTTAATAAGCTCCCATTCTTCTGGTTTTAAAGGTCTAACTCCTTATTTAAAGCTTTAATCTCCTTTGCTGGCCTCTCTTTTTTGTTATGTAGTTCTGGTTTCTATATATAAATAGGGCCTTTTTATTATAAGAAAAGCATTCCTATACCATAAAATCAGAGTTTCCTTTCCAACGGCGGTGTATACAAGATATATCACAGAATTTATTCTTTGTACGCCATATTTTAAGCCATGTCGCTGACCAAGACAGACAAAGGATTCATCTGTAAAGATTATATTTTTCCATTCTTTAAGCGTCCAATTTTTATAGGCAAGGAAAAACTCTAAGCGCCTTTTTTTTTGTTCGTTAGTAAGGTCAGGTTTGGTAGTAGGTTTAACAGAATAAAAGCCTAATCGGGTAAGAATACGCCAAACAGAAGAGGTAGAAATAGAGGCTTTAAATACAAGAATCTTACAGGATTTTTTATGTCCATTCCGATCCTTCTTAACCGATTCAGTAATAGCTTTTACGGTATCTTTAGCCACTGGGGGCTGTCCTGATCGCTGCTTATCTTCCACATATTTAAGAAGGATTCGGGGTTAATATCTGGGTTGAATCCACGCTCTTTTGCCTTTCGATTCTAAAACTGGATAGCTTGACGAGACATGCCAGCAATGGCTTTAATCTTTTTAAGATTTGTTCTAGAATAAAGCAAGGTAAGCGCTTGGATATAAACTCCAACTAAATGATATTTTCCCTGCATGGTTTTGAATGTCCGGGGGCAGGTAGGTAGGTAGGTAGGCACGCAGGCGAAGAGTCAAAGAATTATTTTAAAAAAGAGGTTAAATAGCTTCAAGCAAAAGCAATTTTTTGTTGGGGAATATGGCTTTATGATCTATCGCAAATCTACACAGTAAGAGCTCTCCCATATAAATTACTATGTAAACACCCATACTGCCAAGATAGTAATAAATACTAGCGCCTGCTCATGACTATTGAAACACAGCTCCGTATATGTCGTACAGAATAATCACAACATGTGTGTACCGCCGGTATACTTTCGGATCATCTGATAAGTTTCTGTGACAGGAGTCAATTAAACGGCTCAATTCATAGCAATATAAATTTCCGAACCAGGACATACAATATTGTGTTGATATTAAACTTAATAAATGAGGCAAAACTCATATAATTATACATGGATTGAACCTGAGTAAGATACTGTTTAGAGAGCCAGCTGCATGGTTTGGCCCGAAATCAGGAATATACAATCCGGACAGAGGAACAAAGAAAAAAAAATACAATACATACATATAAGCTAACATCAACCAAATACACAGATGCACTTAGAAAAGCATTCTAAGTAAAAGTTTCATATACAGGGTCCGAATGTCCGAATGTTTTCAATCCGCGGGTACCTGCCCACATATTTAAGTACAACGTTATAGGCAGCTGACACAAGCAATGTCTATCCTATTGCCGGGTACCCTGCCTCGCCAAATAGAGTCCCTCGAGCCTGCACCATGGCCGAGACTTCCAACATAAACTCATATAGTATCACCACATTGGTCAGGACATGCCCCAAAGTCGATGGCTGTGGCTCCTCGCCGGCATTGGCATCGACATCGGCATTACCCTCGACTTCTGTTAGTTCTTCATCTTGATCAAGGTTTTGGATTCCCATATTCATCTTGTAAGGCTGTTCTACATGAAATGGTTTTGCTAATCGTTTTTGTAGCTCTTCGGCCGCAGCCGCACGAGATACTGAGGAGCCATGGGACCGTTCAGAGAGGACCGAAGGTTCTCGTAATGGGGAGACTACAGCGGCCCCCTGCAGTGAAGACGTTACAGCCTGCAAGTTTAGACGGCGAGAAGTTCTACCCCGGGGTGATCCAAAATCGGATTCTAATTGCGCACCTCGCAAAGACCGATCAATCAGAGGAGGCTGTGAATGCGGTGTAATGCCACTAGGTGTTTCCGTTGGGCTGTCTCCCTGATGGAGTAAATCCCACCGGGCTGCAACCAGTATGTCAAAATCAGGCACTTCTTTCTGCCATTGGTGGATTCGTTGAATAAGGTTCTGTAACACAGCAATGAGAGTTGGCGTATCAGATTCTGACCATGAGGGTTCTAGATAGGCGAGCTGAATCTGATCCAAGATGCTTGGAGTGGTGGTCTGTTCCGCAGTGTGGTCGCCGTAGTTGTATTTGGACGGATCAACAAGTAGCCACCCGTCCAACGATATAAGGTGAGAAGATGCGATACTCATGAGAACCTCCGTTAAAGCCAGGTTCACAATCACACTATTTGTGAAGAAATCACCGAGACAATTTAAGAGCTCCTGCACTATGGGATCATCCTGTTTGATTTCCAGCGGCATGTCTTCTTCTAGGTCGTCTTCGGCTGGTGGAATATACAAACGAGATTCCAATATCCATGAAGCGTCCTTCAGATAGTTTTCAAATGACTCATCTAATGTAGGTTTATCGACCAGAGACTTCGTCATCGCCAACAGTCGTTGCAATTCAGCATTCAAAGCCCCAACTGTGCGTTGTTTGGCAAGTTGGCCAGGTATAGTTCGAATCAATGATCGAGCAAAGGTATGATGTCGTTGTAGGATAACCGCCATTAATCGTAACGTCGCCAATACAGTCTGGCGATTTGCAGATTGTAGGCCGAGGAGCACCAAGTCCCTCAAATTGAAAAGTGACGGAGATGGTCTTGCAGCTTCCTCGGAAAAGGCAGCTAACACGTCCAATGATTTTCGCCGGCTGGCGGACATATCCACGGTCTTTTCAACTGGCTTAGACTCGAAACCAGAGGGGGACGCAAGCAAGAAATGCAGAATCCGGTGAACTAGATCATCCTGGCCTATTGAGTCTAGAATGCGATACAGGTAAGTAAGCACAGCAGCTGTGGAACCCCCGTGGACATCAGATGATTCTAACAGAGACGGATATCTATAGCACAAATCAAATCAGCATAAAACTCAGAGAGTTAATCTAAGGCAAGACTTACAGAAGTTGCTCTAAAAACAAGACCTGGAAGTGATCTAACAATGTGCCATTCACCTCTGCAGATTTACAATGGTCGATAGTATCTTGCCAAAATAATAAGTAGGACATGAATGAATTCATGGTGATACCGAGTGAAGGTGGAAGTGCCGTCTCTTGGTTCCCATGATCCGACAATGCAATGATAGTTGGTACATTCTCTGCAGTTGCTGTAGTGAAAGTAAGACTGCAAATCAATGATTAGGCTACATATTCGGTCAAACTTCGGTACGGAAAACTAACCTTCCCAACTGGCTGTAGAGGGCACCAAGCCCAGTGGCCATGAGGGTAGCAAGGTCACTGTCAATAAGCCACCTTTCTAGTGCTTTGGACCGAGACGCCGTTTCAATAAGATAGAGCAATCCCGTGCGGGCAAAATCACCAGCTCGGCCAGCATGGTGTACGTATTCAACCAAGAGATAGAACAACGGGAAATCATCCTTCCTGGTCGCGCCGGCGAACTCGGTCGCACTTGAATTATGTCGATTGCCATCCTGGTCGTCTGACCTGGGGGCGAACCAGGCAGTGAGGATACTAGGTTGTAGACGAATATTGTTGGCTACACTAAATAAAAGTTCCACAAGTCTGCCCTCAACATCCTCTGAGCTTTTATCCGCACGTCGGACTAGATCCACCAGGGCTCGTGCGAAAAGCCGGTTGTCCACAACACCATCAACTTCTGAATCGATCAAGGTATTGAAAAACAAGGTTGCAGAGTGAAGCATCGAGTCATCGTAGGAAGATAGAGCAAGTTTTGTGACGGTCACGAATATCTGAGAAGAGGAGGCATATGCCAGGCATGGATGTGGAGCAGGACCTCGGGATTCATCGCTAAGGACTGAGATCAGTCGGTCAATGCAGTTGCGCGCATGTGTCGTCGCGGACTGATCTCCTGAAGGCGAGTTGCTGGAGCGCCATATTTGCTAGCAGATGCAACGAACAACATTAGACGGCTGTTGATATATAGAAAAAATTGACTCACCTGCAAGGTATTACACGTCCGCTTGAAGGCTGTCAATCGCTCTGTAGGAGATGTGGCCCGAAAGCTCTTAGTAGACAACGAACGGGAGCCGCCTATTAGACGAGACCACTGCTGTTCGTTAGTTGGGCTGGTCTATTATTCACCGGGTGAAATAGGGAAAAATTATAAATAAAACGTACAAAGTCCATGATTCTGCGACAACAGCATGATACTATTCTGTTGATGGAAGAAGCATGGCCTGGTAGCGTGGGACTGAAGATGATTGAGCAAGCGTGCTGGAAAGCCAACAGATCCCCAGAAAGGGAATAGCGTCCTGCGGACTTGGATTTGGGCAGATTAGTAATAGACTCTCTTCAGGATTAGCCTCAGGTATTTAACTTTCCGAATATAGCACTGACATACTCCGTATGCACGCGTTCATCCTAATAACTAATGTATCTAAGCCGAGGTTTATCTACGCCGTCTGATACAAAGTTACCAATTCGCAGACAGTCGAAATGGCACACTATTTTTGATTTACGATTACTCCCAGAGGATCGAGGAGTCAGATGTTTTTTGTTTCCTAAGCGAGGAAACCTAGAGGTAGAAAAAGTGCTACCTAAAGTCAAAGAGTATTTATTCACATCGAGAGATGCAAGCCCAACCATGACCACCGTCACAACGCCAAGAGAGTATGCGCCCGCTCTCCATCCCGTCTAAATATTGCCCATCGAATCATTCGCAAGTAATAGATTAAAAAAAAAAAAGGAAACATGAAGACAGGCCAAGTAAATGCAGGATAATCGCAAACCGATATTAATCACTATCGTCTTTCGGTCGGCGCCCGCCGCGCTTTCGTTTGGGTTGCTCATTTTGATCACTGTTGTCATCATCATGTTTCCTCCCCGTGGGTTGGTCAGGGACCTTAGCAATTATATCCGCGAGGAAGTCCAAAACTTCATCTTTGGCGACGGCTTGTTTCAGATGTGTAGCGGTAACGCGTTTCGAATTGCGGTCCTTGGCCTCCTTTGCCGCTTTGGTGACTAGGGAGATCATAAAGAGTTCTAGTGCTTTTGCTATAATGATACCGTCATCCATTAGTATCAGGTCCAATTACACGATGAGACAACAAGAGAGAGAGAGACGGAGAGGTAAAAATATGTTCCTTGAATCGGCGAACTTACAAACAGCGATGGGAGTAACCTGAGCCACCTTCCCGACATCCTCGTCCGCTTGCATGATGCGCTTGATACGCGCAACCGGAAACTTCGTCTTCACTTCCACATTGGCTGCAGGCGCCACAGGTGCAACTATAGGAGCTGGTTTGGGTGGTTCCTCAGATAGCATAGGCTCTGCGTATCTAGTTTCCACCATGGGCGCTGCCTCGGCAACACGCGCAATCCGAGACGATCGACGGGCCATCTCGGTAGGGTCTAAATTCGTCTCCGTGAACGGGGGTATATATTGTTGAGGAACCCTGGTAGGCGGGGCCTGAGGAGGCTGGTATTGCGGGGTGAAGAACGGAGATGCGTCGTAGGAGGCACGGTGAGCCAATGGGCTGGTCAACGGATAGGCGGGATGGGAGACGGAGGGAGAGATGGGGGTTTGAAAGGTGGAAAAATCGGGTGATCGGGGTCGGTAAGAATTGTCTTGATCTGTCATTGCTAAGTGGGTTCTCAGCGAGGCTATCCAACAGGTGGTGAGGATGCGCGCGCGCCAAAATGGAAATCACTAGTGGAATAAATATGGGGTTTGGCGTACCTTGGTGTCACCAAATACGACTTGAATCAACGAAGGGATTTCAATTAATCAAAGGTATTTCGAAACCCAGAAAAATGAGAGCTAATCACGACTGGTCAGCGCGAGAATATAGATCGAGGTGGTGCTGTTTAATGCCGAATAGTTCTGTCTAATTGACCAGATAGTAAGTTGGTAATACGGCGTGGTATTGAATAATAAATAATAGTAAAAATTACTAAGTCAAATCGAGGATTGTTTTTGTTTGTCGATCGCGCGCCACGATTGGCCCGAGCTTCAAGGTAAGAAAGTGCGTGTGCACAAGGACTGCAGGCTGTGGCCACAGCTGCCAGAGATGTGAAGGTCCCGGGCTCTTCTTCTTCCGGGGAGCAGTCGTCGCCCTTTTAACCCTGCCTCCCCGTTACACTCCCGCGCTAAAAATACTAAATCGGCACTCTGGTTTGGGTCGGGCTTTTTTTTTTTAATTTTTTTTTTTCTGTCGCTGCCTTCCGTTCCCCTTATGACTTGCGCCGCCCCTTAAGTAATCTTACTACATAGTTATAAGATTTCTTCAGCTTCCTCTTTTCTTGCACTGGATAATTAATTCTTCTACTCCTGTGTGGGTTCAGTCATTTCGGTTATCCCTAGCTTAGACCTTAATGATTATTACTTTATCTTTTATTTGTTATTAATTCACACCATTGACACTTATCTTTATTCCTATTTCATCTTCAAACCAAGAAATTCTCATTATTGCTATCCCTTTAGCCTCCGACATTGCCACCCCGCCCGTAGAGTTGGTTCGACCGGATACAGCGTTGATTGGACCTTTCCGTTCTTAAACCTTTGGGTCGATGATGTAAATACATCATACAACCATCATGAAATGGTTGTTTCTATACTCTATCTCATTGTCCCTTCATTTTTCCCCGTTTCACACTGCCTTATTCATCATTTTCCCTTTTCATATTGTTTATAAAACTACAAAGGACGCTCGATGATGATACGACGAGCTCCCGAGATGTAGAAAGGGTTGATATGTGACGAGCAGAGACCTAAGATGGTATCGCCGTTTATCAGACTCCCTTTATTGCCTGATGGCATTTCAGCATCGTTGAGGGTTGAAATAACTTGATCTAATCTGATGGCGCGTCTTTGTGATTTTGTTCAATCTGGCAGCATTTTCCTTTCAGAAAGACCATTCAAGGTCTGGCTCTAAGCTTACATATAGTAATGAAACTCTGTAAAGGATCTTTGATAGGACAGATCTATAAAATCAGATATGTATAGTCCGTAGTTAGGGATAAAAGGATATCTTCTAGGATTCTACATTAGGGGTGAAGTCATAGTTAGGCCATGTCATACACAGCCATGATGCCTCATAATCTGACCTGTCCAAAAACATCCGAGTCGCGTGTGATCGGCAGGGTGCACGTTCTTGTCTTTGATTTAGCTTGTTAAGGTGTTACTGGGTAGTGGGGGAGAACAACAATATGTGTGTTGAGGCATTCTCATACAAACGTCCTTCAGAGGACAAGGAACTTCCTGCAGAACTACAAAGCATAGGGCGGAGGAAGTTATGCCGCAATACAAAGCAGCACAGCTCAGCATCTGAAAGGGTGGGAACATAATCAAGGTCAAAAAAACAGACGAATAAGCGGAGTATCGGGCAAATAGGTTCTTCCGTTCCGATCCGCCTCCAGGCTTGAAAGAGCCAAAACTGGTCAACGGTCAGCTTGCGACACAAGACTACAGTCCACGCCATTGTTTCTCGATGCCGTTGATGGTTTGCTTCGTGTTTCATTGATGGCGAATTAAGTCATGCCTTCTTTAGCCATTCTGGCCTTACTCTCACTCTCATAAGCGTATCTGGCTGTCCGTTGCATCCTTATCGTTCTCTATTTCCCTTCTATACCAAAGCTGTTTCAACATTCACGATGGCTGCAACAGACCAGCCTTCGGGCTTACTGGACATTGCTAGGTAGGTGAATTGTATATATATTTACTGCTACAAGCTGAATTCCTGGTGGCTCATTTGTTGCTTCTTCATTCAGCTCCCTTACACAGGATGAAATCCCGTTCAAACTGCGATGCGCCATCTGCAACAAGCTTGCGGTAAACGCGTTTAAGTTGCCTTGCTGCGATCAAGCTATTTGCGAAAACTGTATGTGTTTCCCTCATCCCATGATATTCTCCGCGGATTTAACAATAAATATAGGTCAAGCATCGTTGCCGGAAACCTGTCTTGTCTGCGCACACACCCCCATTTCGCCCGATCTCTGCAAGCCGAACAAAGCTCTCCGAACCACCCTCAAGGCATTTCTCCGAACCGAAGAGAAAAAAAGAGAGAAAGAAAGACAATCTGCCACTCCAGTGGCTGGAAGCAGCGGGACTCCTCTGGAAGGAACCCCAGCGCAACAAGAAACGCCGGCAGTTTCCAGCACCCCTGATCAGAAGACCACAGAGGGTGGAGCAGAGTATATTCAGGCAGCTGATGCGCCACGGGACCAACCTACCGTCCAACCTAATCCTACGGAACACCAGTCAAATAGTGCTGATGCAGCTCAAGATGCTCCGGTAGAAGCTCAAGCTCAGGTAAGTCACAATCGTGGCTACATGTCGACCTGTTATTTCCTGAACTCATCTAACGCTATGAATAGGGAGATGATTCTGTTGCTATGCGCGTCGATGCGGGAGAACAGGCTGATGTTGTGCAGCAGGATGGGTCCGCTGAAGGGGACAAAAATGATGAGCCCCATTTAGGTCAACCAACCGAGGAGGAGCTGAATCAAGGCGAAGAGTCGAACCAGGTGTTTTCTAATGAAATGGAATTCAATGTGGCCCCGGGAGCGTTCCCTAACATGGCTTGGAGCAACAACAATGGCGGATTTAATCCGATGGCCCAACAGTTCATGGGTAACGCAATGTTCAATTTCCAGAATCCAATGGGTTAGTGATATATCTTCCATCTAAAGTCAAAGGGGCACAATAAACTAACTCTGAACTTGTAGGGATGTCCGGCATGGCGATGGGCGCGATGGCCGCGAATCAGGGGATGCTTGGAGGCTACGGGATGAATATGAATGGCATGAACAATGGCATGAGTATGGGAATGAATTTCGACGTGGGTCAGGGGATGTATGGAGGATGGGACGGTTCACAGAACAATATGTGGAATGGAGGCCAAGATAAATTCAATCCAAATGCTTTCGCAAATGGTATGGGTCCACAGTATGGGCCCTCACCTGGATTTGGCGGATATAATATGTCTCAACCCAACGGATTTCATGCTCATATGCAGCAACAACAGTTTTCTAGCCAGAATTATCAGAGTGGCTATCCTGGCCCCAGTTTTGGCAGAGGTAATTTCCGGGGTCGCGACCGTGGATTTATCCCTAGTGGTGGCTCTGGCCGTGGCGGTTTCCCTGGACCTATACAGGCTAATTATCATCATAATGCTAACCACCCAGCGCTTCAAAGCCATAACCCCCCTAGTTTCAATCAAGATATGACAGCCCAAGAAGGCGTATCTATTGAGATGTCATCGGGTGATCCCCGTACAGCGGAGACTAGGAATGTCGATGGCGCTGACGAGAATGCCCCAAGCGGTGACCAGGACGTCGGCCAAGACCCATCCTCAACTGATATCACTGGTGAGACAGGTGGTAATAAAGAGCATGTTCCTACGACTGTAGTGAGCGAAGCTACGGAAACGGAGGGTTCCCCACAACTTCGTGGTATACCAACCATTGACAGTCTCGACCAGGCGAACGCCCAAGCGATCCCTACCGGCCCTATGGGGATAAACGTTCCTATAGGGCCCGGTTTTGGAAGAAGTGGCTATATGCGTGGACCTTTCCCTGGGGGTCGTGGTGGTTTTGGTGGCCCCTTCCCTAACATGCCGCCGGCGCCTAAGGTGCCAGGTGTCGAAGGTGCACCTGCGGCCCCTCGGGCGATGCGAGAGGGCCTTCCCAACACCAGTATTTTGCGACAACGGAATTTTCAGGGAGCTGCCAGACCTTCTGTTCCCGCCACGAAGCCTTCCGAGGTTTCCCAGAGGTAAGCATTCCATCTTTTCTATACCATGCAGGACTGAGGTTTAATTTTATTTGATAGTACAACCCCTGCTGCCCAGGAAGACCAACAGCCGCGTTCGAGGTCCAAATCGAGGTCGGGATCTCACGTTAGATCTCCATCCAAGTCAAGAAGTCGCTCTCGATCCCATGCTCGATCTCCATCTTCCAGTGGCCGACGTAATGGGCAACTCCCCAAGAGTGTTGATAAAGACACAGAGGACCGCGACCGCAGACGTGGGGGGCGGAGAATGGACGAGAAGCGTGACGATCACCCAACTGCCGAGAATGACCATCGAACTCGCTCCCCTTCCCTCGAGTCCCGAAGATCCTCCCATCGTCGAGACAGGAGAAATGATCGCCGATCACACCGCCCGCACCGTCGCAGCCGGAGTCCCAGCCGAAATGGCGACGCCCGTGACGCCGATCGTCCCGAAGAAAAGGGCCCCGACTCCCAAAGTAGGACTCCGGCAGTTGGTGATGGTATAGATAGTTCTACCCGACGGTCAGGCAAGGACCGGGCCAAACGCCGCGAGGAAGAGCAGGAAATAGATGGGGAATCCAGACGGAGGGAGCGGCATCGAAATCGTGATCGCGAACGGGACAGGGACCGTGACCGTGACCGTGACCGTGACCGTGACCGTGAACGTGACCGTGAACGTGACCGTGACCGAGACAGGGATAGAGAACGGGACCGTGACAAGCACCGTGAAAGAGACAGAGACCGCGATCGTTATCGAGGGCGAGATCGTGAGCGTGAGCGAGATAGGAAGCGCTCTCGTCGTGACCGCACCGAGTCACCTGTGGACAGCGAATACTCATCACGACACAATTCCCGACGAATCAAACGCGGCCGGGACGACGACAATCGCACCAGTGAGCGCGAAAATGCAAAGGACAAGGCTTCCACGAAGACATCCGACCCTGAAAAAGACCCTCACACCCTGGAGCGAGAAGCCCGCAACCGCGAGCGCATGCTCAAGGAAAAACAACGCCGGGAGGCGGTGAACGCTGATCGCGACGGAGGCAAATCTGGTCGCAGGCATGATAGTCGCCAGGAGCGAACACTTAGTGGAGGCCGACGACTAAGCTACAAATACGAAGACGAGGAGAATGATGATGCTCGAGCTGCTCGGGTGGAGAGCGAGCGGGAGGCCAGTCGATGGTCGTGAATACCTTCCTCTCAACTTTATCGTCTCCCACCTCTCTGTTTCCTTGGTTTTCAGCAAACTCTTCACAGTGAGCGCCATAAAAGAGCTTATAGAATGACTCGGCGTATGTCTGGTCCCAGACAGGGTCTGATTTGGGAAACAGATTCTTGCATGGATGTGATGTTTGGGGCCAGCGAGGTTCTTCCCTCTTCTACACCCTTTCCGTTCAATGTAGATATCCAAATAAAAAAGACAAGCTAGCTACCAAATAGGACAACCATTATAGATGTCATGCTTTCCAGTTACTCAGTTACTTCCAGTCCGTCAAGACAAGGCTACTACGAGGACAATAAATAGGCCTACTTAATTACTAAACTCGTGATATGAATTGTCATGTACAGCACACTGAGGTTTGGCAATGTAGCGAGTTCTCGTATAGGGGCTATAGCTAGTGCTAAAAAAAGAAAAGTAGAAAGAAAGGAAGAGAAAAACAGAAAAAAGGAGCGAAAAAACGCATAGGTACGTCGTCAACATCAGCGTTGCAAAGCGGTTGAGTTGACTATTATTCCATCCTCAGAATTTGCCAACTATTTCTAAGCAATATAAACAGTATCATAAACAATTTAAGAAAAGAATAGAATATTTATCTAATGTGTTCATGTATGACTGTCTTAGAGTTCATAACTTGTAAGTTGATTATCCTTCGTAGTAAATACAATCTGATTAAGAACAACAAAGCCTGAAATAGTATACACTTATGATCAAAGAGGTCAAAAAGGGAGGAGACGAAGGAGAAGAAGAAGACGAGGGAGACAAGAAAGAGGAAGAAGAGGAAGAGGAAGAGGAAGGAAAAGACCAACATAGCCAAATAGAGGTGTAGAACTGAATCAGATTCGAAAATCAATGTAAATAAAACCCTTAAGGAAGTTCAATCACCCACCACTTCCAGGTTTCTGCCACAGTAGGATGGCACTTGACAATATGTCTCTTCAGCTTGTCTTTCCTGCTGCACACCAGAGAACAGCCATTGACGCCACATTTATACGACAGAGGAAGATGAAGATCCTTTATATGCCTCCATAGATCTTCATATCTGTTGAACGGTTTATCGTATACACAACCGGCCCAACGGCACATTAATCCTCTAGAGGAAATTAGCCCTGTTGTCTCAAAGGAGAGGGGAAGTATGTAAAACGTACTTCATTTTGCTAGGTTCTTGGCTTGACGGTCGATTGGTGGCATTTGCATGTGCGATACCATCTGGTACATGAGGATCATGGCTATGAATTGGATGGATCTGAGGTTGAGTGCTGATCTGGAGGTGGTGTCCCATTCGCGTACTGGTATAACCATTGGAGATCGCCATGTTCTGGGGGTGTATACAGGTCTGCGAGTCAAAAGCAGTAGTGCGTAACTGTAACTGCGGTTGAATCGTTTGAGACACGGACTCCAGATTAGAGTATTGACTCAGATATGCCCTACCATTTGGTGATGTAATACTTATGGGTAAGGTCCCTGATATCGAAGTTGGGTAATTATCTGAAGTGTGAGTTTCAGAGTTCACGGCAAAAGGGACAGAGTCGTTTCCATCCAGAAAATAGGACTCGGGGAAGTTGGATTCCCCAAATGCCCTAGAAGATATAACATCCCCCCCAAGCCAGGAGCCAGGGGGGTAAGACATGGTTCTAGGTCCTAGATTTTGACAAGGTATAAAGCTCTCCGGTGTGGCAAGAAAGGGGAGTTTCAGTTAGCTTCTTGGAGGGATGAAAACTTGCAGAGGGGGGTGCTCCTCAAAGGTAGGACCTGTATACAATTCTTATACCATGATTTTACTTGCCCTACGGCGCTAGAAAAGAGTTGATTTGGGTCATTGCTGTGACTAAATGGTTGAATGGGGAATTTAAAGGCGTTCGGTGGCTGGTTGCATCCAATTGTATTGCACATCCGTATGGCATCCGATGATGTTGGTCCGACGGAGTTGCTGATGCTGCATGTCGGAATAGTTGGCCTTTGTAAATTCACCCTGTCATTGTTCTAGGAGTCATATTTGATGCGCTGCGCCTACATGCAAGTATGCTTGCATTTTATTAAAACCCGAAACACAATACACTCTTAAACATTTTGATGTAGAGCAATTTACATTTTATGGCCTTTATCACTGCCTTGTCAATAATACTAGAGTATTTTCTTAGAGGTGTTAGGGACTGTTTTGAAATGCCGAATATAAGTTACTATTTTATTTAGTCCTACGAGCTCTTCTGGTCCTGTATATTGTCTGCAAAAGATGCGTCACTGTATAGATACAATTGTTCCCCCTCTCCCCCAAATTATAATACACCGGTGAGGGCTAAAAATATCTTTATTTTCATGCGCAATCAGGACGTAAAAAGTATGTTCTCCAAGATTTTGCCCAATGGGCTATGCCATTTGAATCCGAAACAATTTGTGGCGGATATGGCTTCTAACCTAATGCAAGGAAAACAAATACATACAGAAATAAACATCCTCCCAGACAGCTAAGATTCTACTGATGACGATTCATTACCCTACTCCGTAGTTGTATGTGTGCGAACGTTGACATCTCGCCCCATATTTTTAAGGTCCAAAAAAATAAGAATCATTGGCATAATGATTTCTCTTGTGCCCTTGGAGGCCATCTACATCGAAAGGTAGAAGGACTCAAACCCCACATATAAGAGTGAAAAACAAAGTAGTACTACTCCCACCAAAACCCTAGCTTATTTTAGGAACAAATTAATTACATTTTTGTTTCCATAGGGGGAAATCTACTTAATAGTGGGTGATGCCATGCATCTATCAGGAACAAAAAGCTACAACTGACATTGACGGATGTACTAATAGATTATTAAAAGTAATTACCATAATCTAGACCTTGTGCTTCGGAAAATCAACCGGAGCCCAATCTACTGGCAAAATCCCTGCCGACGGTTCCATTAAAGCTGTCCTAGGATAAAAATACTTCTAGAGTATTTCTACGCCTATGAAGTAATGCATATACTTGAACTTGATTAAAAGATCCACTGTTATTTAATGACAATATTCTTGCTTGATGCCATGCCAAAAGACTATGAAGTATAAAAGTACGAAATAGTACCTAGCAGCAAGTATTAACACTTTCAAATTCGCTTGATCTTGATGAAAGTAGGTCTCAATACAGAGTAATGCTGCTAGTTTCTGTTTCTTCCTACCATCCAAGATATTTGGTGTTGGGGTATTGAAGCAGTACTCTAGTATCACATGGTTTAGGGAAACATTCGATTTTAAAGTTGAGCTAGAGCAGCTGTTTATAACTTCCCCACGCGGCTCACATCAGCACCACTGATGGCAAATATCTTCAGCTAGTCACTAAGTTTCTGACTGGGGTGCTTTGAGGGAGAGGGAAAAAAAGAAATAAAATAAAAAGGATTTGTTATTCCAAGCAACCCGACTGTCAGGATTACCGATGGTTTTTTCTGCGAGTGAGATGTTCCCTCTATCCAATCAGCAACCATGGGTAGCATCGAGCCAGTGCGCACAATTTCGCAAATGTTATAGTTGTGACCACTGATCAGTGTATCTCGGTGTTAGCAGAAGCACTATTTTTATAAATAGCGTTCAACAGTAACGAACGAGTCCAAGGCTGCGCTGTCTTTGGACGTATCGAGCAAAAGCCCACTGGACTCAATCTACTCTGATGTCTTCGACCTTTCGAATGATAAGATACACCGATCGACGTAATGGCGTTACATTCCGGCGTTTGAGAGTCGGAGCTCTCTGCAGCACCAAGGTCGAGAACCACCATTGAAGCACCAAGTGTTTCTGCTTCGGTGGCAGTGAGGGATCGTCTAAACATCACCGGCCTGTTCCAATACATGATATTGAGTCTATGTCCATACTTTCTATAATCTATTGTATATTAATCTTGTATTAACTATAACAGGTAACTAACTAATTGTCTGCATTACCTAAGAGCCACCTGTTAAGTTAGTAACTGTCAAATAATATGGCCTTTGGTGGACCAGATCCGCGGAGCACACAACAACATAATCAAGAAGAGCCCAACCAGCTCAATTCATTCAAATAAGACCTTTTCACCAGTCGTACTCTATTTCCTCTTCGGGACTAGCCGTATATTCGACAGTAACCATACATCTATAAGTTTTCAAGCCACCAATTTATAGTGGTTTCCACTAGTCTATAACTATTTAAATTACATTATATTATATAATCAATATGCTGTCTAGTTAACTAGTTATAATGGTTTGCTGTTTAATACTGTATAAATAACCAGTTATCATATTACCAGACAAACCTATTATTTAACACTATTCAGGGTAACATACTATGTAAAGTAGATTGTGACTATCAACTAGGCATGCACAGCCGCATTCCCCACTCTGATTCTCTGGATAAAGAATATTTATATTATGTATCACAACTTCTATCAGCAAACGAGTTAGCATCAAGTACCACCACTACCACTTAAATAATAATATTATGTATATAGCCTAAAGTATTAGGAAAGGGAGGAAAATTAGGCATTTCTATTGACTTTCAATCATACTGCCAGCTATAAACCATTAAATACACCACACAAGATTCATGGCTATAGACAGAAAGAAAGGAAAGAATGTGCAGTTTTTTAGACCAGAAATCAAAAGCAAAATACAATACAATTAACTAGATATGGACCCTATACAACACCTCTAAAGAGAAGTAATTGGCTAGCCCAGCTTAGCCTTGAGGGATTCAATCTCCGCAGTGAGAGTCTGCATCTGCTCCGCCTGTAACGCGATGGTCTTGGTCTGCTCGGCGATCAGCTCCTTGATGCTGCTAACCTCTCGCTGCATGGCGTCGGCCGCCACAGCGGCAGTGCTGGTGAGGGTGGGTCCTGCGGGAACGGTGGGAGTGGTGGCAGCTGGAGTGTTGGCGGGAGAGGCGCGCTCTGCAACTGGGGTCGCGACCTGGAAATGGTTAGATTTTAATGCATATTAGAGAAGCACTGTATCATGGAGCTGACCTTGGGAGGACTGGGCTGTGTCTTGGGTTCCTCCTTCGAGAGACTGTCCGTTGAACGTGAGAGCTGTTCAACCGGCTTGGGTATCTCATCAAAGCTGGATTCTTCCGCAGGCTCGGATTCCTCATCCTCCTTGTCGGCAAACTTGGACACCATGGCTGCCATTGAAGCACCCTGTTCCTTCATAGAAGGCGCCGGCTTGGCCACAGGTGTGGGTTCCCGGGTTGGCTCGGAAGCCTTCTTCACGGAGGAATCCACCGGCTTTGGCGCGGGCGAGGGTTCAGGAGCGCTCATGGTAGCTGTGGGCTTGTCCTGCACACCGGTAACCTCCTTCAGACCCTCACCTTCATAGAGGCTAGCCATGGAGATCTTCGGGGGAATGGCCTCCTTGCCAGCGATCCAATCGGCGGGCCCCATAGCAGGCGTCAGACCAATTGTCGGGGGGTAAATATCGTCCTGGAACGATTCCGCACGCCGAGGAACAATGAAGGAAATAGGTTCAATGTAAGAGTCGTTGACCGTCTTGAAAGCACGGGTAACCTCGTTCTCGTGGGCGTTGACGCCCCGCTTGGGCATGAATGCAACTCCACGCTGGGGATCGGAAGACTTGTATTCAGCGAGGTACTCAAACTTGTCATTTTCCAACTCAAAGTAGCGGATGTTACCATCACTGGCGAATGTCAGTCGTGCTTGGCATCCGATTGGACTCGCCACCTACCCTCTGCCGGCTAAGTACAGACACTGCGTGCCATCATCCCAGAATGGCATACACACACCAGAAATCGAGTCGAGTGTCTTGAATCCATTGATAGGCTCCCGTGGTGCACGGATATCCCACAATGCTAGCTGGCGATCGCTCATCTTGGAGAAACCGGTGGTTGCGATCCGGTCGCGCTCTCCCAGCCATACCGAACGGCTGTTCTTCGCTCCTGAGTGGCCTTGCGTCTCTTGCGCAGGGCGCTCCTGACGCACATCCCACAGCCGTAGCTTTTTGTCACGAGAGGTAGTAACCAAGAGAGAACCGTTGGCACTCCAGGATTGTGACTGCACGATGTCGCCAAGGTTTAAGGTGAATTTGGGGGCGCCAGCTTCAATATCCCAGACCTTGACTGTGAAATCACCGGAGGCTGTGGCCAAGATGTTTTCGGCTGCGGGGTTAAACAAAACATGTCCTACTTTTCTACCGGGCCGTTAGACAGGATTTCTAATACAAAGGTGCAGTAACAAAACGAAAAAAAGGGGCATGGGAGGGGCTTGCTTGGGATGACCACTCAATTTGCCCACGGGGGCAATATCCTGAATGTCGTCGGGGTCAACATCAGGGCGAAGAGTGAAATTCTCTGGTACTCGCCAGAGCAACACCTTGATTAGTTAGTCACTGAATGAGTAAGGGGGCTTGTTAAGATATCGTACCCTCCCGTCATCAGAACCGGAGGCAATCAGATCATCATTGAAGGGGTTCCTAGAAGTGTTGGTTTTCCTTCTGCCACAATCGAGGGATTCGCAGCCGTCACTAACCAGTCGGTGTCCAGCACAACGGCGGTATGCCCACGAAACAATGGGATCTTTTCCGGCAATTTGCCTCGTTCTTCCAAAGGAATAACGGCAAAAGCACCTCCACCACCTGCTTCCCAGTTGACGGAAAGATAACGGGGGTTAACCTAAGGAGCGAGGTCAGACCAAGCTGAGCTGCTGAACGATCAGGGGCGACTGATTGTGGGTAGAGGGGGACGGACTTTGACGAGGTTGGTATCCCAGGCATTTCTAGAGACTCGGAGGTTATCGTAGCATTGGTCCTGCACAAATTGTAAGACATTGGGGGACAATTGACGGGGTCTGGATGCGGACCTTTCTTGTGGACCGCCCGAAGACGTGTCCTTGTACCTGTTAGATTGCGGGCAACAATTTTGGTAGGGGATAAAAGATAGGCAGCCTCACGGTACTTGGATGAACGGACGAAACGACCAGACATAATGCTGGTTTAACAGAAAATCAACGACGAGAGGAAAAAGGATAAAAAAGTATGAATGCAAAGGAAGACGAGAAGCACCTGCGGGAGACCAAGAATGGAGAAAGCTGTCCTGTCCAGCACCCTTAGTCCCTAGTGGAAACACCCGCACACGAACTAGGGACCAATACAAAGTGTGGATATCTGGCAATGCAGATAATAAGAGAGGACCCGCCCAGGAGAAGACTGTGCAGGATGAAACGACAAAGCAATCTGTCAGAGATTTAAGACTTCGATTAACAATCAATCAAACAAAAAGAAACTGCCAGCGGCATCCCGTGACTTGGCTGTCACGAAATCCATACGGAGAATATTGTCATCTACGCCTAGTCCCCATTCGGACTAGCGCATTTCCACCAGTAGTGCTGAGTAAGCCTCGTTTGTTTACCGCCCACCGTCACTCCAGAAACGGGCGAATTGATCGCATGTCCAGATTGTTGTTCCAGACGGACCTGCACAACATCCTGTTGGCTCTAACGAATGAGCTGAGCTCGACTCACAGGTTTATCTATCTACTGACGGAACATGTGGCTTGGATCCTGACTTGTTGCTGTCGACTTTTAAACCCATTGTCACCTGTTTCTTATTTTTTCGACTATTTCACTCTTACCTACACTGTTTTCCACCCCTACCAGTGACTTCATGAGCTGCAGTCCTCATCTTCGTCTTCCTTGCTTTCTCTGTTGTAAATAGCTAGCCGACCTTCTGTCCATATTCGTCATGGAGAACGACTTTTCGGTAACCCTCTTAGAATGATACATGTCGCCGATACCCAGTACTGACGGACAGCAACAGACACACACAAAAGCCGTCAATCTGACGCGCATTCCTGCTGCAGGCCTTAAGGAAATGACTTCAGCCCTCACAAATTCCCGCTCAGGCATCGTTCCTCCGGGTACTATTGCCAACAAGACATCCAGCGTTCCGCGTATGTTAAAAGAGGAGTTCAATTGAGATGAGTCATTGCGAGCTAATGAATCCAGAACCAACTCGAGCAAGAAGTACAACGCAAGGCGCGGAATCGAGCAGGCCCGGAGCTGCAACATCAACAATATCACGCTCTGGCACCGTCACCGGAAAACCTCATGTTCGGGCGAATTCTTCTGCACCGACTACCCTAAGTAGATCGGCTTCCACCACTTTCCGGTCGAACAAAGGCACGTTCTCATCTACGGTCGGACCCGGCGCGCGACCAACCTCAAATTTATCCCGCCCTCACTCCTCACTCGCCAATTCTCGAAAGCACAATGGTTACTCGATCCCTCGACCTGCAACGTCATTGGATACCCACACCGAAGAAGAATCGAGAAACCAACGCAAAAGAAAGGGTAGGCTTGATCCCCACATCCCTATTCCCCCTCACACAGCCCCTCAGCCGGACTACTCGGCCAGCAGCACACATGGGAATGTATTATGGAGTAGGCCCGGTACCTGTTCTTCCCTCTCCCCATTAAGAAAGGAACCTCTTGAACCTGGTTACCGTGATATATCACTATGCTCTGTGATGGACCGACTGGCCCTACAACATTCCCCTGGTGGCACAGTAAATAATATACACTTTCCCACACACGATTCTGGTAAATCGTTCCCCCAAGAGCTTGCACGTTCATATACTCCTGTCAAGACATTGTCAGGCCCACCACCATCCCCTTCAAAAACACCCTCCAAAAGAAAACCTCCCGCACTTCCACAATATCTTACCAAGGATTCTACGATCACAACGTTTAACCAGTGTACAGGTGCGGATTGGGACCACGAATCTCGGGAGAAATCAATGGAGGAGTTCTTTCACGATTTTATGTCCCGTATGAGCCAGGCAGGGCAGCAAAGCTTCGGCCTCAAAGAAACTGTTGAAGTATACAAGTCAAGAGGTGAGGGATTTTCTTTATCATTTAGAGGATGATAGTACTCACCGTGGTTGGTTTATAGTGAACGAGTTGGAAGAGTCGCGAAAAGAACTTACGGAAGCGAAAATCTCATTGCGCGTTGAGCTCGAGTCGCTCAGAAGCCAACTAGGAACAGCCGAGGGTGCCCTAAGGGATGCTCAGAGAGAGCATGAGATCGTGATTGATCAGCTGAACAGTAGGCTACGGGTTGAGATAGAAACAGTGAGACAAGAAAGCAAGAGAGACATGGAGGCATTGACGGCACGGCATCAAGATGAAATTCGTGAGTTACAGCGTCGATTCGATCGTGAGATTGATGAAGAGAAATCAATGCGTCTCCGTGAGGTCAACCAGCTTAGTTCGGAAACTGCACTCAATGCGCAACGTTCACAGATTGAGCTGGAGAAGAAGGAACGAGAGGTTGCCACACTCCAAGACGACATTCAGGCGTTGCGACAAGACATCAAACGGGAACGGAAGACGAACCAGGACCTTCGCAATAACTTGGATACGGCGAGCACTAACGGTGTGACAATGGAGTCCTCTATCCGAGCCTTCAAGGCCAGAATAGAATTTCTTGAGTCTGGTCGAGAGGAACAGTCCCAGTCTTTTGAACGTTTAAACCAGCAGATGATGGACGCATTGGAGGAGACAAATGCAACAAAAGAAAAACTGAGGAAAGAAGAGACTCTTCGTAGGAAGCTCCACAACCAGGTTCAGGAACTTAAAGGTAACATTCGTGTCTTCTGTCGAGTCCGTCCGCCGTCAAGTACCGAGGCTATGGATGCCGCTCAAATCCAGTACCCCGATCAGTCTGAGGACTGCAAAGAGATCAGTGTCTTGGGACCGGAAGAGAAAAGTAGTCTTGGAAATGTGTCTCGAAAGGCAAGCAATTTCTCTTTTGATCGAGTTTTCGGACCAAACGCTCAGAATGCCGAGGTCTTTGATGAAATTAGTCAGCTTGTGCAGAGTGCGCTGGATGGATACAACGTTTGCATCTTCTGCTATGGCCAGACTGGTAGTGGTAAGACCCATACTATGTCCTCTCTTGACGGTATGATTCCTCGGGCCGTCCATCAAATCTATGAGACCGCGACGGGCCTGGAAGAGAAGGGCTGGAGATACACTATGGAGGGCAACTTCGTGGAAGTGTACAACGAGAACCTGAATGATTTACTAGGCAAGGCAGAAGAGATTGACAAGAAAAAGCATGAGATCCGACACGACATGCAGAGAGGAAAGACTATGATCACTGACATCACAACGGTCCGACTCGATTCTCCAGAGATGGTCGAATCCATCTTGAAACGGGCAGCCTCTAATCGCTCCGTCGCGGCCACCAAGGCTAACGAGCGCTCATCCCGATCTCATTCTGTTTTCATTCTGAAGCTTATTGGTGAGAATAATATTACTGGTGAACGTAGTGAGGGTACTCTCAACTTGGTGGACTTGGCTGGTAGCGAACGGCTCAGCCACAGCGGCGCGACAGGTGATAGGTTGAAGGAGACACAGAACATCAATCGCAGTCTAAGCTGTTTGGGAGATGTGATTGCCGCTCTTGGACAGGGGAAGGATGGTGGACATATCCCATATCGCAATAGCAAGGTTTGTGCTGTCTTGTCTTTATTCCTGAAGTGCGCTAACTCCGACTCTACAGCTTACATATCTCCTCCAATTCTCCCTTGGGGGCAACTCGAAGACCCTGATGTTTGTGATGGTCAGCCCACTGCAGGCTCATCTGTCCGAGTCCTTGACCAGTCTCAAATTCGCAACGAAGGTGCACAATACCCATATTGGGACGGCCAAGCGGCAGGCGCGGGTGCGTGATTGATAAATGATACCTTTTCTGGATGAACTGTGGGCAGGCCTTTACGATTCAGGCCTTGGATTAGCCGGTGTTTGGAGTTTTTGCTATGTGAAGATATTACGTTGTGCATTTGTGCCTAGGTCTAATGTAACCCCTTTGAATAATAATCCGCTGTCTCATAGATATGTATGTACTTATATCAATTAACCTACATAATCGGGATGTCCAGGAATGTCCGTATATCATTCAGCGTCCGTTCCCTCTGTTCAATCCATGGAAAATGCCCACAATTCTCATAAACACGCAGCTCGGACCCTGGAATACCTCGATGCGTCCTCTCCGCATTAGCAACGCGACATATCCAATCCTCCCTGCCGAAGATGATCAATGTTTTTGCCTGCACCTGTTCCAGCCTATTTACCATCTCCCCCGACTCCTCCAAATCCCTAATACCCTTATTAACCGCGCAAAAACACCAAACAGACATCCTCCGCTCCCCAATGGCATCCACCAAGTCGGGAACACCTTTCCTCGGATCCCAAAAATATAGAGGCCACCTCTCCATCACGGACTGCGTAAACACCTCATCAGATGAGGAATTTATCCCTTTCCAACCCCTGGAGGGAACATCTCTATACCGCGGATCCATGCGCAAAACAGTCCAATCCACGCCATCTCCATCGTCAAATCCGATTAATCGATGATTCAGGAGGATCAATTTTTCCACTCTGTGGGGATACAACTCCGCGTATACTAGGGCGATCCCCCCGCCGTTTGAATGACCCAGCAGCGCTGGGATCCGCTCAATACCCAGATGACGACGCAGGTTCTCGATGTCTGACGCGAGATGCATGGATGACATATGCGTGTCTGTTTCTGGTCGTGAACTCCCGTCTGTGCCGCGCGGATGAAAGAAAAGAAGAGCATGGGCGTGGGGATGGGTTGTGCTGGGGGAGAGGAGAGCATGAAGTCCGGCTTGGAGGTAGTTGGAGCCGATGCCCCATGCTGGACATTGGATTATGAGCAGGTTATTGGGATCCAAGGCATGGTTGTGGTGGGAGGTGGGCGCTTGGATGATGTATTCGAAAGTGAGGTTTTCGGTATCCGAGTGAAAGGTGTGGTGGCCTGGGGTGAGGGGGTACATATTTGATGAATCTTATTGTGCTGATATTTGGTGTTGAGAGTTGGTGTCGAGAGTGTGGGGTGAGGAAGAGGAATGATGTCATCGTTGAAGTATAACCAAGTGTGGCATTTTCTGGAATTATTTCGGTGCGTGCACTTGAACCAGGGACTCTCTTGTCCTGATGTGGAAAGTTGCCGAAGAGCTAAATATCGGAATATGGTCGCATTCTTACTGATCTATGTTCGCTAAAGCGTGCAAGGCATCTTAGTAGGAGGTAAGGAGTTGATATGCATTTGGATTGGTTTGTTTATATGTTGATGGTTGGATATGGTGTTCCTTAATACTATGCAGGTACTATGGGATTACACATTGCATAGTATATACAGCAGATTCACACTCCTGATTAAGTGCCGTCCTAGTTTTAATGTCTTTTGGTGGGGATAGTTTCAGGCCAGAACTCAGTACGAATACTACCCATCTTTATACAGTACCCATGTTAAAAATCACCGGGAGATCGAGCTTACCCTCGAACTGGCCTCTGCCCTAAGAGGCTGTCAATGAAGGCTGTCTATGAGAAGGACGATTGTTTGCGAGATGTTATACTGATAATCCCAAATGGAGTCTATATTATTAAAACCATGTTGAGACTTCTGGCTTTCCATGGCATATAACAATACTAAAGCAGGGCTCACTTAGAACCCATCGGATTTTAGTGGTCGAATGATATTATCTGTCTTAATAAATTATGCACACTTAAACACTGTTTTAATGTACGCGAAATGGCCTACCATGTTGTCCTTTTATTGGCGCTTAGTTGCTGTTCGACTCTTTCAGAGTCATGCAGAATGTCGTAGACTTGGCTCCTTCTCCCAAAGAGCTCAATGTTCTGGGCCACATGGCTCCAGCGGTAAAACTGATCCTGCGGAAGATATTGTTCATGTTCTGCTAAACATGGGCGACAATATTGCGAAATTCAATGGGGCAAACTTTGAAGAATTCTTGCTCGCGGTGGGAAACAACGGCAACGTGTCTCCCGATGGTGACGATCCCAAAACGCTGCGGGAAAATTCATCCTTATCGATATCTTGCCTGTTGTCTCTTCCCTTCTAACCAGGTTGAATCCTGATGTTGTCTAGCAAATAATTTGCACTGTGTTATTTGAAATTGGCATTGTACTGGGTTGGCGTGTCCTGGGCGAATAACCCAGTGATTTGAGTCAATGTCCGAGTATCCCCGCGCCTTCTGGCATTGGAATATATGCGTATATGAGTCCCTGCTGGGGAACTACTCATCGAAGTCTAGTCAGAGCCACACTATTACGACATGACTATTCCATGTCCAGACGCTGACAGACCACCTTATTCGCCTTTGCCTTCAAAGCCATCACCACATATCATTGTCCTCATTCACATACGCTACAAGTAATTATGGTGTGATTTCTGGAAAATGCATTGCGGCAATGCTCCTGACCACGGGCCAATGCAACGCTTCCTAAGCTTCCTGGTGGTCTTAGATCCTAAGGTACTAACTAGATAACTAAACTGTTTAACTGGGTTGTTGCAGAGCCATGGCTGGCATTACCACCGGATCCTGGCTATGCCCGCCATCAAGCCTGTGAGCAATCAGGAACGGTGCAGGGGATGCGTTCAATCAGATGCACCGGTTTGACACAAGGCGGGGCGATGACCACGAGTGTCATTATGTTGGGCAACTACGGCGTCTAGGGCGCAGGACCTGACCAGGGTAGTTGACCGACCTTTGGAAGGCGAAATCTGACCTTTTTGAAATTGGATACGGTCAACATGTCGTAGGGACAACTTAATAGGTTAGAAATTTCTTGCTGATGCTTGTATCTATACGTCTCCGCTGCATGTAGAGTGGTGTCAGAATAAATCTAGTCCATATTGGGACATCATCCGAAGTAATAAAGTGACGTGGCTATATAAGCCGTGGCTCCAGAAGAAGAGGGGTAATCACAACAACACATCACAAAGAATACAGAGGATATCCGTGCCTTCCAGTGCCCCCACCGCCGCACTGCCGAAAGGCGGTGGGGGCACTGGAAGGCACGGATATTTAAGTTCTCATAGAAGTCCATATTAATCTGACAAGTGGCAGTGCCCTGATGGCTGCCGTTGACTAGTCGTTGTTCACAGATTGCCGCCGCTACCAAAGTACCATGCAGCTCTGGCATTAAAAGTTCATCTCGCTGTTCAACTGATTGGGTACTAAATGTCCCCATACGAGATTGTACAGCCGCGGAGCAGTGATTATGCTGCACATAACCACATCTGTCTGCGTGGGGGCCACAACAGATCCAAACATCTGATGAATCAAGAACCGCTGAACAGATGATTGTGTCCTATCTTTCCTGACAAAAATAGAACTTGAGTGGAAGATGGTGTCCATCGGTCAGTCGAAGGCCACCTAAGTATGTATATAAAACACGAAAGAAACAACATATCCAATCGCTAACTGCTCAACTTCCCGATGCTTGACGTGCAATGTAACCCTCCGGCGCAGCATCTTGCAGGAACTTAGAGACACCATATAATAGCCTTGTCAAAGTGAGGTCCAAAGAGAGCGCTAGGAGGAGATGAAGAGTATGATTCGACGAGATATAATAGACCGTGCCTCCATCTTATCAGAGTCCTTTTTCCCTTCCATTTTGCAATATAACAGGAATTAGATATTGTAGTCAATTTACTCGAGATTAGCAACCACAGACCTACAAGGATGAGAGTACCTACGTCCAATTTCACCTTCTCTACGGGGTCTCCTGCGCAGTGCTTCACTCTGTCATCCTCTCAGGATGGCAGCGTTGAGATTTCTTCAAACTCCCAACAAAATACAGCCACATCGAGAACACCGAGGATATCGCCTTCACCAACAAACCTGTTCCAGAATCTGAATCTCAGCGACACTTCCGCATATGCGAACCTGCGTAATGCTTCACCCAGTCCCAGAATTAGAAGTGTCTCAGTTTCCCGTTCAAGCATCTTACAGAGGAATCTCCGGTCTGTCCCTACCTCTAATAGGGCTAGTATTATTAATGGAGGTCTTTTCAGCGACTACAGAGAGCGAGTGGCTGAATCGACATCCTCCGGTGGTAGAACAGAGCGCCCTCGCACACAAGAGTCTGTTCCAGAGGAAGAGGAGGATAATGAAGACGATGGCATTACGCCAAGTCAAATCTGCATCAATTTTGAGCATAATACACACAATGTCCGCCATGAGCCACTCCCCTCTGCCCCAATCTACAATTCTTGCTTGCAAGATGGGTTAAAGGATGTGAAGAACAGGCTCGGTCATCTTGCACACACGATGCATCTTTCGGAGCTGTTAGAGACCCGAACAGCACTTTACATACGCTTTATCTGGAAACCAAAAAAGCAAGTGAATTCAAATACCCCGAAACACGCACCGTGGGGTTTATCGGTGACTCTGGAGTTGGTAGGCAGCCGTTCCTCGACTGTTTTATCCAAATGTTAATTGTTGGATAGGGAAAAGCTCCGTCATCAATACTCTCCTTGATCAAACAAATATAGCACGTTCGGTACTAATAGTTATTTCTTATTTACTTACAGATATGTCCTAACATTTATTAATAGAGCAGAGATGGGTCAGCTTGCACCTGTGTAGTAGCAGAGTTTCGGAACTCGGATGACGATCACAGTCCGTATACCATTGAAGCCTTCTTCATGAACACAAAAGAAATGAAAGAACTTCTTGAAGAGCTCCTGCAAAGTGTTCGACGATTTAACACAGACTCTCTCTATCAGCAGCTTGGGTCGACCGAAGAACGGCAGAGGTGCAGAGAAACAGCCGATAGAGCTTAGGAAAAGCTTGAATCGCTTTTCAAGAATGAGCTGGAAATGAGCCTCGAGTACCTCTCTCGTGATGAGGAAGGAGCAGAGACTGCTATTCTGGAACAGCTGCAGCGCTGGGCTTTGATAGGACTCGCCCATCGAGCAGGGGGACCAAACAGCTTGCAGTATTCAATTATCAGTGGTGACATGGACGAGTGTAAACAGCAGCTTGACACTCTGACAGCCGATTTATCCAGCACTAGGCCTGCACTGTGGCCCTTTATTAAGCTGGTCAAGCTTAGTGATCATATTCCCCAAGATGGGTTCTTTTCTAACAATCTAGCAGGGTGTATATTGATTCGCCTATCTTGCGTACAGGCTTGGTACTTGCCGATTTGCCAGGTGCAGTGGATACATTGATTATTCTACCCAGGCCAAGAATATCTAACATCTTCTAGGTTTACGAGATCTAAACTACGCAAGAGATCGAGCCACTGAAAAATATCTTAACCATAACTGCGACGAAGTGTTCATTGTGATCAATATCATTCGCTGCATTTCAGACCAGTCCATTCAGGATATCATCAGCAGGTGCAGGGAGGACCAGCCACGGCGCATTGTTTGTACTAGATCAGAGGTATATTTACCACAACTTTACGTGTTGAAATGACTTCTTACTCGTCACAGGATATCTGTCCAGAAGAAACGGCTCGCGGTGACTCCACAATTGCTATGCGTGTTCGTCGAATGAACCAGACAATAAAACAAGTGATGAATCAACACGGAGAAACAAAATCACGGAGACAGAAAGCCACTTCTACTGAGCGCGCGGGGATTTGTACAGAGAAATGAAATGGTTTAATATTTGCTTTAATTCAGCTCCATTGTAACCCTGAGGTGAGCAGTTGAAACTGGGTGAGGACAATAGTCAGATCAGCTACTTAAGTATACTCTACTAATTATTTAAATATGAGAGATACTGGTGAGTCTTAAGATAGAGTTATAATGCATTATTAAATTTCATTTCCTGCCAATCTGTATTTCTTTGAAGAGTGCCCTAAAATACCCCGGCAGTATAGAAACATGTTGCAAAAGGGACAAATTTTTAGTATATATTTACTTATTTTCATCAGTATTCAGAGTATACGAGACGTGCTGTGCAGCATTGTATATTATGTTAATTTTCCTCTTACATGATACTACAAACAAGATATTCTAGTATGTCCACTGGAACTCTATTATATAAATCAGTTTTAGATTCTTCTAACTCTTTAAATCCCTGTAAAGCTAGTATATCCTATAACCTGTAAGCTTAACCTTGCCAGAATGTACAATAAAGTATTGGCGGTTTCGTACATAGTCATGACTAGCAATTGTCGAGAGCACCCTAGGAAAGTCTACAGACTAGTAGAATGAATGTATGCATGCTATTCTACTTCTTGAATAGCCTACTGGTACTGAACGGACTATCGAATTATTAGTTATTATTTCCTTCACTTGATTTATTCCAGCTCTTTCTCCAGTAATGAGAGATGCCTCTATTTCACATAGAGGATCAAAAGGTTTTGACAAGGTATATCTACTACAAATCCTCTTTCCTAGCCGGGTCCGACCATTTTAACCCTAACCCGGAACCAACTCTCACAACCCCCTAGATAGTGCCACATAGATAATTTAGGCAACTCCGGTAATCTCAGTCACTGGAATAGTAAAGTCCTCCGTTTTATCGGCGATAGTGTTATTTCCATGTGCAGTGTATCTCGCTTCGCCCTCATACCAGGTGTGCTTCACGTGGATAATCCACTTGGAATCTTCTTTGGTGACCTTGGCCTCGACAGCCTTGTCTGCGCATGGGACATAATCCTCTCTGGTATACTCTGCGCAGGCGGTTTCAAACCTAGGGGTCTTGTTTGCGGTGATTTCAAAATAATAGGCGCATTCTGAGCCCTCGCATTCGCCGACGAAGCCGGAGGCGTTCCACGACTCGGGCTTTGGAGGAGCTGCAAAAGTAAGGCTAGCGAGGATGGAGAAAGCGGCGGTGAGGGTGACGAGGTGCATTTTCGGGTGATGATCAAGATGTAGTATAAATATTATTATAGAGAAAATGAATGAAATTTAAGCTGTTCTATAGAAGATTTCGCAAAGTAAATGTTGTTGGATAATAGTCGATACAGGAGAGACGCAGTGGTCTTAAATACTATAAGATGAGGCCATGGTATGAGGGTAGAATAACCTACGTAGTACTCTGAAACAACCTGTTCCTGGACCGAAACAGCGGATGCGTAGTCCTAAATACCAGTGGAGTAGACCATTTTTCAGACCCCAGACATATTTTGTAGAATGCTTGGTCATTTTATGGGCCGCCTCTTGGCAGTGATATTTTTAGAAAACCTTCCTTAGGCTCAGGTTCCCAAAACCATTTATTTGGCTTACAAGCTTCAAGCACAAATATGGTAACTACGTATTTAGCCTGCATAGTATATCCCGCCTGTCTTTAAGGAGCTATGGACTTAGATGTACAGCTTGGGGTTCGCGTTGTATGGCTCCACAGTTGGTCATCTCTGCGAGAGTATAAACATCGTTTCCTCTTTTAGGACAAGGACTGGGCCTGGCCATAGCTAAGGATGGAGCTTTAAGCATTGATCAGCAGTCACTTCGTGTATGGTTCTAAGCTCAGTTTTACCGGATAATAGCTTATTCAAGGCAGCAGAATAATCGTCGTCTATGAGCGTTATTTACATAGCGATGCCTGTTCAGTATTAACGGTTTACGTTTTCGCCGAATTTATCCCGTAATACTTTTATAGGAATCTCAGCTAGCTATCTATAGCTACTGCAGCGGAGGAACCAAAGTCAAGTTTTAGCTTGCAAGAGTGGATCCTAGCGAACCAAAAATTCATTGACTGATGCAGCCTAATCGGATGATATATTGCATATTATTTACGTTAAACCATGTCTAGCCCTCTGCTAGGCAACAAGATATGTGTTTGACACCGAGACACTATAGCCACAATGTGGGTATATGAAGCTGAAACGGAACTAAGCGCAGAGACAGGCATGTTACCATAAGGATGCCCACGTATGATAGAATGCTGTGTAGGCTAATCCGGTAGCTAATTTCTCTAGCTAAAAATTGTCTGTTATTGTGGCTCCCTATATTCTAGCAACCCAAAAATTACCCTCGGCTCGACCACCGAGTATACCATCACTTTGGTTATAGAGGACTCAAGAGCTACTACAATCAACAAAGTTCATTTTGGTACTAAGCCTCAATGACTTTAAACGCGATACATATAGCCTTTAGTAAGTTCTGTATATCCATCTGTAGCTGAGGAGCCTCACACCCGATAAAAGTAGAGCCAGAAAGGACAGCATGCTGAAACTCGCGGAAACTTTTATCTAATAGCAATAATTACATATTGTAGCTATTCGTCTCCAACCCATCATGGACCTGTCTTGCCCCTACCTGGGAGGGAGACGCAGTGGCCGGGGATTCCCACACACTGATAAGGAGGACAGCACCAGCTATCAAAACACAGGGTTGGTTCTTCTCCAACTAGGAAGTGTTAGAAGCAAACCATCTTTTTTTTTTTTTTTAAAAAAAAAAGGTAGTATTTCATACAAGGACATTTAGGAGGTTTTGGCATGTTATCATGCCCAGTTGGGACTGCACTGGAAGGATTAGCAAGGACTAGGAGTCCTAAAAGTGAGACTGCAAGTACAAATCTCATCTTTCTTTTTTTTTTAGCTCAGTATAGTGGATAGTGTATGAGAGTTAAGGATAGTGACATTTGGAATCTACGTACATGAGTAGATATCTGGATTGGCCTTGGGAGAGGCCAGTGAATTTATGGCCAAGAGCAAAGTGCTTAACAGTTACGTCATACACTTCCTATGTTCTTTGTTATAACTTAAATGTGCCTAATGCGGAAATGCTATTATCTTTAATTTCTGTACTGTTCTGTCACCCATCCGGCAAAGTTTTGCCATCCCGTATAATCTACTCCGTACGCCACAAAGTATTTTTTTTAAACAAGCTAGGTACTATAAATGGATCAATAAGCTCCAGTAATTGGACAGTGATCCAGTTAAGCAACAATACTCGGAGACCATAATCCAGGATACATCTAGGATAGACCTGTTTAGAAAGGCATATAAAGAAAGAGTATTACGAGAAACCCCCTACGTCTAGCAATGATAAAACTACAGTGGGTTATGGGCACTTTTTCTGTTGGACTGTGCGGTATCCCTGTCTCAGTGGGCACGTAATTGAGTTTATCTTTTCATCCACTTCGGGAAGTGGGATGACCTCATGTTCCACAACTACAACTTTGACTTGCTTCCATCATACAGGTAATAATAGAACCTTAGTCTAGGTTTGACAAATGACTAACTAGAGCATCGTCAATTACTAGAATAAATTGGTAAGTGGCTAGCCATGGAAGTGAATGTATAGCTTCCTCTTACCTGCCCCTCTAAGCAGATACTCTAATAATCTACATAGCCTAGTTCTATGTCATTCTCATCACTGGGTCTTACATATCCCTAGAAGCCCTCCGTGTCTAATCGGCCCCTTCTTCGTGTCATTAGACAGGGACACTTTAATCTCTATATTGCTGTCTATATAACTATGTCTGTATGTATTCCATACTGGGATTAGGTAATGAGGTAAAACATTTAATTCAGAGGTTTCTGTTCAGTTACATAGTTCAGCTGGGGTGCATATCCATAATTCGACATCTCGGCCCTCAAATCATTCAGGAAGACATCAAAATTAGGGTGCTTTTACGCTACGTCGGGAACCCCTCTGGAGGAATCTTGTGTCCGAGATTCCGAAACGTACTGATCCATATGTCGGTAGAAGCTGCCTTCCAATATTCATCCTTGGCCTTTACTCCATAGCCCAGAGAGAAGGATGTTTTGGTGATGTCTCGAATCCCATATCGCGCAGCATGTTTTCCAGCTCAGGCAAAGTATATTTCATTCCGAAATGCAGCCGTACTCCATCTCTGCATCGCAGACATTTTATAGAGTTTTGGGAACTTCACGGGATCGAAAGATGTATCCCGATCAATCCATTGACCTTCTACGAGCTGGATCTAAGACCCCTGTTTTCAACAGTGAACGGAGGTTACAAGACGGTCTGGCCATTCTGCGCTTTTCAGACCCCACATGAGTAGTTGTGCCTCAATATAGATATAGATACACTTGCTTCCTTTCCTGTACCTTCGCTGACACCCATAACTGGCAATATCCAGGCAATATTCGTCAGGCGCTGAGGTAATGGTAAATATGGGCGGCGAAAACCGAATATCAGTAAAATAGATGACTTTGGGGTCATAGACCACGTTTTCGCTTCACAGGGCCATATACCCCAACTCAGGTTCGACAGAGATGTGTCGGGTGTGCTGTATACCGATGGCAATTAGTACCTGGTCTGCTTCAATCTGCACGTGGGACAGTTTGCCAAAAGTATGCGGGCATACCGGGCTATCTACTTTTTCACTTTTGCTAATATGGTACTATTTTAATTGCTTCCCAAGGTCCCAGGCCACACGGCTGAAGCTCTTTGGTAGATTTTGAAAATAGTATAAGCGTGATAGGTAACAGAAGTCGCATGGACCGTAGATATAGCTATAAGATCAGCAGAATTTAATTCAAGAAGTATAATTCATCCGGGAGTGGGACCAACATTCCTGGAAGATCATCTAGTCGGATACATTCGGACGAAAGAGTGTTGAAGGATGAAAGAATAGACTAAACGCGGATAGATTTGAAATCAACTTAGCTAACTAGATTCATGGTTGATTTGTAATCCAGGATGAGGGATTGTGCAGAATATCTTCTGTTCATTGGTGTGCGACAACTATTAATTCATGTCTGTTGTCACATCTTCATGTATGACATCTGGAATTAACCTTCTTATCTACTACAACAATGCCATCTCAACCCCTTAGAACGGCAATTATCGGCCTATCCGCCTCGGCCACCACCTCCTGGGCCGCAGACGCTCATCTGCCAGCTCTGCTCAGTAGTCGCGGCAAAGATCTTTTCAAGGTAACTGCTCTCTGCAACAGCAGTGTTGCCGCCGCCGATTCCGCTATCGAAACGTACAACCTCGGTGCTACGGCCAAAGCTTACGGCAACCCGACTGATCTCGCCGCCGACCCAGCCGTCGATCTGGTCCTGTGCAGTACGCGCGTCGATAAACATTACGACACAATTCTCCCCGCCGTTCAGGCTGGTAAATCTGCATTCGTCGAATGGCCCATTGGAGCCAATCTAAGCGAGGCGGAGGAGCTGGCTAAGGCTGCGAAGATTGCTGATAGTTGCAGTCATGGTGATGGTACTCTGCGCGCTCAAGTGGCTGTCGGTCTGCAGGGCCGTTTTGCGCCACCCGTGATGCGAGTGAAGGAGACCCTTCAGTCAGGGAGACTGGGGAAATTGTTGAGCACGGAGCTCAGGGCGTTCGGTGGCACTAGGGATCGAGAGATCCTCCCGACTGGATTGAAATATTTTGCTCAGAAGGAGGTGGGCGGAAATCCGATTACGATTGGATTTGGCCATGGTACGTTGTTCTTCAATAATTGACTGAGTTGTGGTCTGACAAGATCCCATGTGGGGTCGAATCTGGTATACAGTCATCGACTGGGTTCAATCTGTCGTGGGCGACATCATTCCAGGAACAGATCATGTTCACTTCCAAATCCAACGGCCAGATATCCGGGTTAAGGATTCCAAGACGGGGACGTTTGTTGAGTCATTCCAATCGGATGTCCCTGATTTACTGAGTCTGCATGGTCTATATCCCATTTCCTATCGTTAAATCTTCAGCTCTACGGAGTCTACTCATTGGAGACATCAAACTAACGAAAACAGGATCTCTTCCGCAATCACCTCATGTAACAGCCCATGCCAGTCTCATTGCCTATTTTGCCCGTGGCCAGCCCTACCCCGGGGACCCTTCGCTTACCTGGACGCTGACCTGCGAGTTGGGAACAATCCGACTAACTGCTCCAGCGGGGATGTCCCTTCAAGCGGATGCATACGCAGGACCTGTGACGATCACAGTGCACCGCTTTGATACAGATGAGGTGGAACAGGTCCAGTGGACGTGGTCAGATGCGCAGTTGGAGCTTCCAGTGCGGGCACGGTCCGTGTTGACGTGTTTGGTCAGCCTCGCGGAGGGAAATGAAGACGGATATGTTTCTCTGGAGGATGGCGTCCGACGTGCGAGGCAGATTGCTCGTTGGTTGGACTCTGCTCCGGCTTCTGTGTTTTAGGCGGGATAGGCTTTCATGTCCAGTCAAATGAGTATGAAACGATCTATAAACTTAGTTGTATATTGGAGATTCATATCAAAACACATTTTAAAAGGACCATATGAACTATTGTACATACATACATCTACTAATAAAGAGCGCATAAGAGGATCGGAATATAAAGAAATCACTCAAGTCTAGACATGCTGAATATACGAACCGACCCCATCCTCTAGTACTTCATATGATGTCTTCACTGGTAGATCTCAGCGTCATGAAGAAGGGTTGCAGCAAAAGCATGGTCTCTTGTGCTCCTCAGCAGGAATTTCCGTGTCCTCACTTTTCAAAGGCGAGTTCCACCTATTATGGTGTCTTGAAGGAGGGATTTTTAAATGCATATCTACCACGCTTTTCTAACTGGGATTGTGCCTTCAGTTTTTTCCGGGCTACTAGCTTAGTAAATTAAGCCATAACATGATGGCTAAACCATATCATTACAAATCCCCGAAATATCTATCAACCATCTCTCTCAACTGTCGAGACCTTTCCTGTAAACTACCAACATCGAGTATACCATCCTCACATACAAACGCATCAACCAGACTAAACGGCACCCATTCAAAATAAACATTCTCGACCTCAACGATCCCATTCTCCATTGCCTGTTCGAGGATATCGACCCCTTCGATTCCATCATTCCGCCATGTATTCACCACCTCTGCTGGTCCATAGTCCTCGGGTTCGTCATCGTCGATAAATCCGCTTGTTCCATTGATCTTCTCTAATCCGCTAAGAACAACTACCTGCACCGAGGGAGCAACCTGTTTCGTACTCAGAACCAAAGGAAGCGACCCCGTCTTGTTGCTCACTCCTTTCTGAGCGGAAATCCGGTCTGCACCAAGCAGCACGATATCGACGCCCTCCGCTGCTAGAGCAGCAGACGCATCTGTGTACATCCTCACCTTCAAGGTCTTCTTATCTGACGTCTGAAACTGCGACTTAAGCCGACACAGTATCGACGAAGCATAGCTGGTTCCTTCAAACAAAGGTCGTGACTCGAGGACCCGCAACTCCAACATCTGAATATCCAACGCCGCGAACGCATCCAGAATACTATCCTGAATAGTCGAACTCGAAGACATGGTCAGAATCGTCAACGTCTCCCCCATCCCATTACCGAGAAACCGAGACCGCAGATACGAAGTAAACGACTTCATGACCCGTTTCTTATTCGACGCGCGCTTCGACACTTGAAAATCCATCATCGGAAGGATACGATCCCATTCCTGCTCCGTCACTGCCATGTCTCCCCGTACTTGCAGTATCTTTTCAATCTCCGTCAACACCGCCAACACCGCATTCAACGTCGCTGCGCCCATACTCTCGCGTCCGTTTTTGACCAAATGCCACGCTACCATCCGCACCGTTGTCCACCAGGTCTCGTCCAGTGCGTTCCGTGTATGCATGATAAAGTCGCGGAATACGTTCAGTGCAATGGCAGTTAACTCGTTCGCCCCGCTCTTGTGATCGGTTCGTAGCCGGTTCAGACCTGTTGATAAGATCTGGCTTGCTGGCTCGCTCATCGCCCCTTCAAACCACACCCGACACAAACTCTCTTTCAGTCGGGGGACGCCCCCGAAATTAGCCTCATCTCGCACCGCGCGTGGATCGTACCATTCCCACCTCTCGTGCTCCCAGTCTGTTTGGATCGCGCTCTCCGGTCCATCCAGTCGGAAGGCAAACGGGTGGACGGTCCATTCTCGTCCCACTGAGGGGTCGCGAAATGTAAAGGGTTTTCCGGTCCGCCAGAGAGTTAGATTCGATGGAGTGAGGGTCGTTTCCTCTGCGAGTTCGCGCCACGCGGCGGTGAGAGGGTCTTTGTCTTTTTGGCTGATGGTGCCAGAAATGGGAGCCAGATGGTGTCTGTATATATATGAGATTAGGTCTGTGAGTAGATGCGTAGATGAATGTGACTCACTGATAGGTGTTTACTTTGTCGCTGCGTCGGAATAATGCCACGACGGGATTGCTCGGTTTCCCGGGTGGAAAGTGGAAAATGAAGGATGATACGACGTCTCTTTTCTCGAGATTCGGTTGTGCTGTCGCCATTCCCGACTCGTTAGGTTAATTATCTAATGTTGAAGGTGAACTAATGGAATATCGTGAAGATTCAGTCCAGGTATGCATGTGATGGTTCCAAGTGCAAACAAATGAGGGGAAAACAAATGAGGGGAAACCAAATCCTGTCCAACGTGTCGCATCAGTTGATCCAATGACTGTACCTTGTATCGTGTTCTGGGTTGTCTAGACTTCCCATGCTATAGGTTCAATTTTTCTCAATCATACGGAGTAGATATACATCCCGCTGCAAGAACTTTGAAAAAAATGACGTCATGATAGCATCAGATCTAGTAATATATCACGATTCAATAGTGAACCACATAGTTAAATACTCCAGATCAAAATGCCGACATATCACGGCTCCTGCTCCTGCAGGAACATCGAATACGATCTATCGCTTTCCTCTCCAGATGACGCACGAACCTCGCTGTGTCACTGTCGAAACTGCAAGGTACATACATACACATGCATACCCGCAATCATCTAGACCTAAATATGATGCAGAAAGCATTCGGCACCAACTATGGCCTTACAGCGAAAGTCCTAAAAGACGCAATCACAATTGTCCGTGGAAGAACCAAAGAACACGTTGCGGATAATGGGTCGGGAGTTATTATTCATCGGGAATTTTGTCCGGAGTGCGGAAGTTTTATTCTGGAGTATGGGGTAAGTGGTGGTATGAATAGTACAATAGATTCAAGCTTATAGGTCAGGATGCGGTGAAGAATGAATTTCGATATGTCTGCGTAGGGTCTTTGGATGATCCGGAAGCCTTGCCGCCCAAGGGGGAGTTCTTTTGTAGCGCGAGGGCGAGCTGGATGCCGGAGATTCCTGGTGCGCTTTTTCCTGGTACAATCGTGATATGGGTCAAGCTGACAGTTTAGACATTTTTCATAAGCAGTATATTAAAACATAGGTGGAATCTAAGTCTTCGGTGGGATTCTAGAAGCCAGATACTTCTGGAATACTTCGTATCGTCAAATCCGGACATATCAGCCTCTCCTGGATCATAAGCGCATTCAAGTAATCATTACTGTCGACTCGTCGAAACCCATCCTCTAGAGTCTTCTCTATTCCCGCTTTCACATGCCGTTTAGCTACCCGTTCCCTAGCCTCTTGTAAATCCGTGTCCACAAATATGCGATAATCCACCAGCCTAGCGACCTCGCGCCAGTCGGGTTCATCTAGGAGCAAGTAGTTCCCCTCTATGATGATAATAGACGCATCATCGCGAATAGTAATGCCGTTTTCCACTGGATCTTTCGTTTCGTGGTCAAACGACGGTGCATAAATGACGTCAGAGCCAGGTCGGTCGGTCGAATCTGACGGCTCGGAGTCTGCCCATTGCCGGAGTCGTCGCACAAATGCAACGAAGCGCGCAACGTCAAACGTCCATGGTGCCCCGCGACGAATGTAGGCTTCTTCTCTATTCGGGAGCTGGTCCAGTGTCGCCCGCGACAGATGCCAGCCGTCCATGGAGAGGAGGGAGGTTCGTGTGGGAGGAACGCCCGAGTTGAGACGCTGTGCCACTGCAGCAGCTGTGGTTGTTTTTCCTGATCCGGGGACTCCAGAAATAGCTACCAGGTATCGTTTTCGATTGTGATTGCTCGCTTGGTGGCGGATGAGGTCGCCGATGCGATTGTATTCCGCTTCCATTCTTGGCATTGCTTAGTATATCTATGTTTTACATGAGAGTAGCTACTCACCTTTCCTAACGCTGATGATGTTTTCAAAGCTCAACTTACGAGCTGAAAGACTGTGCTGAACATCCAAGTAATATATCTCCGATACCACCTCGTATGGTCAATGCGGAGGGGTCGGCTCACTGTGCTCCGCAGTTCCTGCGGAGCTCTATACGCCGCCCGAGGTAAGTGGACTATTCTATAGCGAAGGGTGATAGCAACTGCACAGCTCATTGACAATTAATTCAAGGTGTGCCCATGGTCGTAGGCCCGGTACTCGAAGAATCAAGAGGGTGCTGTCAAGTGGCATATAATCCTATCAGGACGTTCGCCAATATCCTTAATGCACGCACAGTAACACTGAAAATACTGGCAGTGGAGTATTGGTCGTCTTTCGGAGTGGATGAAAAGCTTCGCATAGTCTGACAGGCCTGTCTTGACGTGGTCTATCATTATTGCTAAGAATAGGTGTCCCAAAAAACACTGACTCGAGGAATGACGTGTGGCACTTAGTTACCTATAGCACGTCCAATCCTTCGTGTTGTCAGAAAGAACTGTAAAATATTATGAATGTTCAAAATTTCATGTAGTATCAGCGACCGCCGTAGCCTGTGTCGCCCGATGAACGTTGCGCGACTGCCTTGACCGTCGGATAGTTTTCGGCAAGGGAGCCACGTAAAAGCACAGGATTTGCTGGTCGAGACAATGCGCGCATCGCGGTCGCTGACGATCACACGTTACTCCCCACGCTTGGCATGCCTGACAGGGGTAATTGTAATTTTCCCCTTCCTTAACTGGCTCTTCGCTTGGGATATATCTAGGTGTCCTTCTGGTAGTCGCTGAATCACTATACGGTCCCGACATCAGACTATAATTGCAATCCTGCGCACGATTCGTCGCTGGTAGTACCGGCTGGGCTTCGGGAACGACGGTCCAGCTGGACCATAGCCAATGTGTGAAGCGTTTCAAAATGCAAGTTTGTCCAAATGGCCCACTTTGGGCCTTGTGACATGGGTTGGGACCGTCCACGCTCTGTACTGGTGTTTCTGACATGCTGACGGTTGTTGTGATGGGAGTTTGGTCGGTGACGGTCGTGGGAGGTCGACGTCCTTATGGCTCAACTCATCAGTGTGAGTCACTGCGGCAATAATCATGACGGTGTCAGCTGCCGGAAACTCACAGATGTTGCTGTTTACCTAGGATTAGATTACTCCACTGCGTGGATGTGTGCCAACTCTTCGGCAGCACTGTACCAACCCTTTGAAATATAAATCAACAAACGTGACAAACAAAGGAAGAGACAAGAAAAACGAGGGAAAGACAAGGCGAATATAAGTTAAGGGAATTCTGCTATCATTTATGCTAGACAATACAAAGAAAGCGTATGACGTTAGGCCTCCAGATGAACAAGCCTCGTAGACACGACCTCAAACAGGAGAGGACAAAGATCCAAAACGAATTCCCCGCACCCCCAGGAATGCCAGAGAATCCCGGATTCCTCATTCAAGGCGGACCAGTCGGCGAGAAGATCGCCATACGTCAGGCATCCTGGGTTTCTTGGAAGATGACCTTCTTTGATTATGGTCCAATAACGAGCAGGATATACGAGATGACAAGAGCTATTTCAGTGTAATGTCAGCAAGACCCACAACATGTGAATGTCGGCTATCACAGTTGTACATTGTCCATCTGCGACATGCTCCTAGACTAGTCCTACCAAAAAGGGGAAAGACATTGTTGTCCTATTGAACATGATAGTACGACATTGCGGGATTAATTAAGTGATAGCCCTGCTATTCTTACACCCAAACTTCGCTTAAGTGTGATATTGAATTGGCCAAGAAAAGTACTTGCGGGGAGGTCGGGGCTAGCAAAAATGATAAATTATAACTCTTGGCCTGCATTTTCCTAGTTCCGAGATTTGAATGAGGAAGCAATTTCCGGTACACTTAGCCTTGGTCTCGCTAATGTTTGGGGGCTGAATCGAGAGACGCGTACCATATCTCTTAGTTGGGAAAGCTGCCCTAGAAGGCTGAGGAATCATGCTATGATTGCGAGCATGTAGTCCTTTGTGACAGCGCAGTAAATGTCCTATCAGGGTCTAAACATATTCCGTGCTATATTGATTGTTCTGATAGCAAACGAGAAAAGTTCCTAGAGAGGTTTTCTGCCCGCAATCCTGGATCCCGCGATGCTTTCACCCACGCCGAGAAGGTCATCCCTGTGAGTATCGCGCAGTTCCATACTCGCCGCCCTCCCCTCTTCTCCTTCGCGATGGCTCTGGGGTTTTGGTCAAGCCCCTCGGCGGTGATGAGTTCCTGGACTTTGAATCCAACTTCGACGAAGCCTTCTTATACGGGCACTCCAACTAGTGATGAAAGATGCCATCTAGCAAACACTGTCAAGTCGGATTTGCCTAGGCGGTGTCATCAACGCTTTCCCAACATTAATCAGCTGTGATTCTGCAACTCTGGAACGGAGGCTAACATCTTCGCCCTGGGAGCAGCCGTGGCGTTCACTAGACGAACAAAGTTAAATATGCTCCTGATTCCTATTCACCGTATTGAAAGGCACACCCACATATAATTTACCATCCGCGAATGACCAGATCGTGGGTTACAGCAATGGCTACCACGCCAGCTGTTCTTCATTTTACGTGCGGCGCGAGAACAACCTAAATCTGCCTTATGAATTCGTGATTGCCCCCTACGATGACATCCAAGGGACCCAAGCACTCCTGGAACCAAGTCTGGCCGCCATCCTCGTTGAGCCGATGCAAGGTGCAGGTAGAATACGTCTAGCATCGCGCGAGTTTCTCTCCTTCACCAAGCGGCCAATCAACTCAGCGTACTTATCTTCGACGAGGTAATGTCCTCTCGATTATATTACCATGCACTACAATTTTGCTTCGATATCCAGCCTGACTTGACAGTCTTAAGCAAATACATCAAGGCGAGATTTCCGTTTGGCGCGTTCGGCGGCCGCCGGCGAGTCATGCAGTTATCTAACCCTCCAGAGCCCTAGCATCGGACGGCCACATCTAGATCACGAGGGCACGCACTGTAACGAGATGGTGAAGCTCACGGCTCAGTTTTCTGCCGCTGGGCTCGTTACACCATTAGCACTGGAGCGTCTAAATTAGGGGGCCGGATCCGCGACTGGGGCCGCGAGGTTGTACTATGCAGGGAGCTTGGTACCGATGTCCCTCTCGGGCCTCGGGAGCGTGATTGGCATTCATTTCAGTGGGACAGGTGTCAATGATTGGAAGGATTGTCTGTATTATTTTCTCCTTGAATGGGGATTCTTATCAGAAGACGGGGTTCATCTTAATATGGCGCATACACAGGAACATGTCAATTAGTTACTGGGGGCGTTGCGAGAGTTCGTGTAAGAGTATGGAATGTGTTACAGAGTGGATCTTGGATAATAGGTTTATAGACAGTACAATGTACTAACTACTTGTCTATTGCGGTCGTTGATTGTATCCACCAACTTCCCTGCGAACTGCCCTTCAAGGTAGATCACGGCCTGCTCGTTCATATACCGCTCTTTCGGATCCGTCGGTTCCGCTGTCGTTGCTTCTCGTTCCGCAGTTCACAGACAGCTTAGTTGTACTTGTGACGACCGGTTTGCGATGTCGGTTTGCGTTGTTCGTTGTTTGTTCCATCTCCTATGTTTTGTCATGGAGGAGCGGTGGACCGTAGCTGTAAATGGAGGTATATACTCCACTGCTCCTCTTGATTCTCTTCCCCTCCTCTCATGCCGTTACAGGCACTGGATAAGGTTGATTTGTTTCATCTCCATCTCTGTTATGTAGGTCATAATATTTCGCGTAAAAAACGTTGTAAAATAGTTTTTTTTTATTTTGTTATTTGTGCCTAACAGCACACTCTTTAGAAATATATTCGTATTAATTAAACTTGGTATTCTGTGTATGTCAATTCTGTAAACTAATACAGCAAGAGCTTAATACACAAAGTTACAACGCACTACTTTCTTAGCTACGCTTATATCTTCTCAAAGAGTATCCAATACTAGACCCGTTATCCAAGAGCCCACAACAGCCCTGGCCCAGAGAGCGCCCTTATTATAACCGAATGTTCGAGACCTTCTAGGAAGGAGTTGGAAATATTTTAGATATTAATAGGTATCATGAGCTTCCCGTAGTTAAAATCGACCTAGCGCAAGGCTACCCTAACAATTAGATATTTAACTAGTGGAGAGCACACGCTGAGGAATATCCACAAATTTTAAGAACTATAAGAGACTTCTTTGCAGTTCCTATAGCTGGAATGTTGGAGAAAATATTGTTTTGCAGTGGTAAAGATTTACTAGATAAGGGAAGGTATTCCGTGCAGGCGGAAACAATGCAGATGCCGGTCTTGGTACGGAATATATATAGAGAGTAGGAGGAAAATATATTCCTGTTAGCTATATATATAATTAGTTATTTGCACATAGCTTCATTACTGGTTAGCACTTATCAAAAAACATGGTGTGCACTATTAGTGTCGTAGCAGGACTCTGCAACTAACCTTGCTGAGAAATATTTAATTCGCAATTTCGCACCACAAGGTAATGATGTGATTTATCTGCCAGATATCTGCAGGTTATCTTTTATCTACGGGGTATTATTGATTCAGTGAAATACTACAGGCATGATACCTGCCAGGAATAAATCCGCAAAAAAAAGGGCATCACCACATAAGGGATATTGTATAGTTAACTCTTAAGCAGACGGTCGGCTATAGTTTAAAGTGATTGTATCCCACAGGTAATAAAACAAAGAAATTATAACAAGGAGTGTATGGATACATAAATATCTTTCTATGGTTGCTTTATTTTGAATGGTGCACATTGTATACTCAATTATTTAGTACGCATAATAACTTGTAAGATTTGAGTAAAAAGATCCATTTGTCAGATATTCGGCCCCGAAGAGGAAATAGAGTACGATTGGTAAAAAGGTCTTATCTGAATTATTTGAGCTGGTTGGGCTCTTCTTGATTATCTATGTTGATACTCTGCTTGTTTCTTCAGTCTTTTCGGAGGAGATTTTTGACCCCTATTCTAATCACATGATTTGGATTAAATGGGTTTAGGCCCTTATTATATGACAATTTTTTAACTAGTAATGTACACTATGTAGTTAACAGCAGTATTTTATTTTAAGTAAACCATACCTACAACTAGGGTTAATCGTAACGCCAAACCATGAACATTATTTTTATATTCGAGGTACCGCTAGCTTTTCTTGTTAATAACCACTCAGAGGGAGAAGAGAGGAAAGCTAGGTTCCCAAACTTGGTCTATTTTTCACTGCGCCTCCATTGGCTGTTGCTGCTGGGCAGGCCTGGCCGTTACTTAACAAGGTCGCCCTTAATTAATTTGCTCGCCCTGGCGGCCATAATTGCAAATTTTCTAAATAATACTATTTATGCTTGGTCTGTCGCCGAGACTACCGGACAAATAATCACTATTTTATTTACGGTTGTTTCTAGATACCAGCCTTCCAGAATACTGTTAGGTGTGGGTGAGTCGCCTAACATTACAGTGCGCTACTATATAAGGTGCTCAGGAATGGGATCAGATATAGTGGTCTTTTAGTCCAGTGGAATAGTTAAGATCCTGAGCTTGGCTATAGCAATTACATCTATACGTCTTTGGATGTCTTGAATAACTGAGCAAAATACTCATCAAATGAGACTGGTCTCACACTAGGGAACCAATTATTGTGTAGCTTCCCTGGGGGTCTCCAGAAGTCTCCTAGTCCCTGAACATGCCGCAGAAGCATCCAAAAGTCCACGGGAAAAGAACTGCCCGTCTGCAGCTCCTTGGGTGCTGACGAAGGATTCTTCAAGATGGCCCGCATCTGACACGGCGAGGTGATGTTCAGCCGTACCGGCTTCCCTGAATGCTTCTGTAGCAGAGAGGCAATCTCACTGTAGCTGATGTGGTCGCTGCAGAACCCGAGGTCCTGATTCTCCGACAGGTTTGGGTGGCAGAGCGAGGCGACCAGGAAGGCGGCCAAATCATGGACCGAACTGTAGTCCATCTTGGCCTCAGGATTGCCCACTGCCTGGATCACGTAGTCGTTTGCATTCGGGTTGAGCCAGGGACAGAGAAGGGGTTCCTTGGGCACATCGTAGAATTCTCCGCAGCCCACAATCGTATAGGACATTCTCCCGGCTTTGATCGCGGGGTGTTTCATCGCCTCCTCAACAGTTTTCATTTTGAGGGCCCAGACCTACAGATATGAGTTGTCATTTGATTAGGTATTGAATGTTTGATAAATATCGCTGACCGGATGGACATAGGCTTCTGGACCCGGAAGCCATGCAACCTGACGCATACCAAACTCGCTGGGATAAAAACGGCGGACTCCAGCGATTGCGGCCGCATCTTGGATGAGTCGTTGTTTGTGTAGTGTAGAGCCTCCAAGGGCGCTGACCACTACATCGGCTCCCTGCAGGGCGCCGGCCAGCTCCTCCTCGGTGGCCTTAAGTAGGTCGATCCGCTTGACATCGACTCGGCTCAGTTCACCCTTCACTTCGAGGGCTGAGGTAGGGGAGACAAAGGCAATTATATCGAAGGATTGTTCCTTGCAGTGGACCAGAGCCTGGAGAACAGCACTTCCCACCTGGCCAGTGGCGCCAAAGACGGCGACGGTTCTAAATGGGGGGATGGCCATCGTGAAATAGGAGTTTTGCTTGATGGTAGAGGCTAGAAATGGTTGTAGAGATAAGTTAAAGTAACCCGGATTCGTATTTGCTATGTAGGAAGGTTATTTAGTCGACAATTATGGTAATATTGATTATTCAGCACGTTTCTCGGCCAAATGTTGTCGATGATGCAACATCATCGGATCGTGTCTGATTATATGGGATATTGGTATGGAGGTGAGAATTGAATGTATTCAGAAGGATGTTCTGCCCAACCCCTCTATGAGGAGTATTGGGTATATATATTCACATGATGTCCCAATATGGACTAGCTTTATTCTGACAGATCGTTGTATTTCCTATATGAGTTAGCTTACATTCTTCGTCTATTACCTTGCCTTTAGAAAAGCGAGACGTTTTGGTAATTTAGTTGAATCAGAGACCTAATTCTATGGAGGATCGATACTTGCGAATACGCGTATTTTATGGTCGACTTTTGGTCTTGTGGAGTAAAAGCAGTACTGAAGTAGACGACGGATGCAGTTGTAGTTAGGGTACATCCCACCTACAAAACTCTCCTGCTCCGGCAAGTAGAACAACTCTAAATCTAAAGTCATGCTTCTTAATAGACATAAAATCAGAATTTTTCGGGTTGGGCGGGATCGCAGATTGATCCAAAAAAAAAAAAAAAAAAAAAAGAAATAAAATAATATAAGATTCCGTTGCTTCGAGGATCGAAAAAATGTATAAGCTGTTGACGGCCACTCAAAGGATAGGATCTTAGCATTCCACTCCAATTCAGCCTGCAAATGGTCGTGAAATACGAAGGGATACCTTAGGATTTGACGTTACCGATTTTATAGAGTCGAATAGCCTCTCGGATGACGGGCGTCAATCAGTTTACGTTAACGAGACTTTGGTTTATTCTAGTAATACCTGCCTGGTTTTGGTCATCACCCAATTACCCGTGGGTGGGTAAGTACACGAGGTCGTGGGTACCCGCGGTGGCCAAACATATCAGACATGGTAATAAATAGTCACACGGACCAATACATGTGCAAATAAAAGTAATTTATCTCAATGAATCAGTAGTTTTATACATCGTAAAGTGTCCTAGTTGGAAAAATTATGCAAAAGCGTCTCCTTACGGGTACCAATGGGTTTATTGCCAACGACTTTGTCCAGTAAAGTTTATTAAATCCAAGGCACAGCTAAGCAACTATTATTATACTTGGCGCCCGTTCTTCAAACCTTGATTGTCAATGCATGACGACATCAATGCGTGTTTGTCTCTGCAGATAACTCTCCAAGATGGGTATCGCTATCAGAATATTAAAGCAGGATACTATCTCGACCGGCGAACCCGGATTGTCCGGACTGCATAGTGTGGGCGTTGTGCACGAAACGACGTGGTAAATAATCGTCGTGCGACCTATGCAACAGCCGAGTTACGCAAGCTCAGAATTTATTAAGGACTAGCTAATTACTCACTAGTAGTTATAGCTATCCCTAGTAATTAAAATGTAATTGAACAGTTAAGTGTACCCACGGATAAACATGCCTCTGTCCTGATATCTCGGAATTCTCCATTAAAGGCTCCATTGAACACGTCATTTAATTCAAGACGTCTTAGACACAGGCGAGTCGACCTATGGGCGCATCAATGGGCATATCAACAGTAATAGACATAAAAACCTTGACAGATAAATTGATTGGCTTGAACTCAATTTGATGGTTTTCTCGAGCCCGGCCCCAGGATATATGTAGACACAGAAACCCTAGTAAAATTCACAACAATCCACGGCGGAACCCATTTCCTATTGGCTACAGGCAGGATTTTCGACCCCCGGAAATCTAGGAGGAAAGCCAAGGTAATAAAATAGAACTGCCGAATGGGAGAGATACTCGAACCGATATCCTTTCCAGTAACCACCGTCTGATGACGCCAAGGAGGATAATATTGATATAGAAAATATAACTAGTTACTAGCCTTTTATATGAAAAGCTTCAATAACTGCACTTTGACAGCCTTAATTGCCTACATATCCTAACAGTTAATCTGGAAATTTTGGGCATGCCCGTCCTTGCCTTGTTGGAGGGCTCTACTTTTGAGAGCGACCTTTTGGACCGCCATCTCGTATACGACTACTTGACGCATAACGCCGAAGGAAATCCTGAAAGATGGCGTTACGAACTTTGGGTGCAAAACGCTGATCGTATCGTCTATGCTATCCATGGTGGCCCAATGGCTGGAAGGAAGAATTTCCAGGCAACTTCCTGGCAGTGCGTTCGGCCAACTGAGATCTGGCAATGCAACTGGTTAGAGGAAACCGGAACCATTGTGTCGCTAGTATACGATATTCCTAAAAAGAAGATAACCACTTTTATGGGGTTTTCGAAAGGTCACTGGGAGAAAAGCTTGGAAGCTCATGGTGACAAGCGAAACACCGAAGATTTAGCTCGTTGGCGGGAACTCGCCAAGATCGGTATCCAGACGGATCGCCACCTTCTCAGTGAACAGACAATTATTGTGGAGGATTTCCGTGGACCAGGCGATCTCTTGCCTGTTAGTATGGACACACCAACTCTCTAAAAGTAATAGTGACAACTTGCTGGGATACTCAAGCGTGAGTTAGTCAATATTTGGCATTTAAGTTGAATCCTCTTGCAAAAAGATTTCCAATCTATGCGGTATTAAGCGATAAGGGTATGTGGTGTTAAGAAACTTGTTTAAATAGCGAGAACCTAATTACCCAAGTTGGTTGCCAAATATGATTCTCGGCCCCTATAGCAAATATGTTATAGTCACGAAAACCCATAACTCCATTTATCTTGTAGAGAGCCATCCTTCCATGATTAGTAAATTAAGGATCCTAATCAAGCTAATATAAATTCATCATTAAACTCCAATAGTCGCCGATAAACAGTAAATATTTGCTAGGAGCTACAGGCGGCCTTTGGCCAAAAAAAAAAAAAAAAAAAAAAAAAAAAAAAAAAATTGAAAAAAAAAAAAAAAAAAAAAAATTGACCGAATGAATATCACCACTACTCCCGGTGCTACATGCTGGGCTCATTTATGGCGTTCAGAGAGAAGAGAATGTGTGAACAAACCCCAGCATAAAATACCACAATTCTTTCCTATGACCTCACAGATATTTTGCAACCGCTAACTTACAATTAACGTAATATCATTTAGATTACTATGTGACAGTGTTATGCACCGGCCACGATAATAAATATTCTCCCTGATAGTGTTTGCATTCAACTCACCGTAAATTTAATGCCAATTTTTTATCTCCTCTCCGTTTCCCCCACCGTAGTGGAACTAGTGAGAATCACCTTTAGATGCCCCCTTGCTATGGGCGCATAGTAATCTCGGAGCTCCATCTCGTCATCTGTGGTACCATCGAGGCAGAAGTTAAATCTCCGAAACATGTGCGCGAAAATAAGATACAGTTCGGCATGTGCGAGGCTGGTTCGTTCTCAACCGTCAGCTATGCCTTGAACATTTAGTGAACTGCAAGCGCACTTGATGCCAATACAGGTGCGAGAGCCACGTGAGAAAGACAAAAGGTACTTTTCCAGCTGCTCACGGTCCTCGTCTTTAAGCCAACGCTCTGGGCGAAACTGCATTGGGTCTTTGAAGACATGTGGATCAAAGTGGTACACGTAATGACTAGAAGACACGATTGTCTAAGGGTAGAGCATGTTAGAATATTACCACAGGCTATGGAACATAATTAGGATTACCTTTGCGGGGATAAATTGTCCACATAGAGTTACTCCACTATCAGGAACGATCATCGGAAGTCGTCCCGGCGCCCCCTGGGTAAAACGGAGGGACTCTTTAACCAACCCTCTCTATTACTTGTAAACTGGTAATCCAGAATCTCGTATCACACTATTTAAAGGCTTACAAGATAAGGAAGTCTTCCTAACTCCTCGATTTTAATCCGTGTCTGTGGGTCGGGCATCGAGGAGCGGAGCTCATTTTTCAGCTTTTTTGCAACCCATTGCTGTCTTTCAGCATATGAAAGGTACCCTTTATCAAGGAAATTGCGGTTGCTTCACCGCCGGCAAAGAGAAGAACCAGACCTTCCGCGGTCAAGTCCTGAATTGATGGTGCTTTTGGAGACTCTGAAATCAGTTGGTCGATAGCGGTATCGAACATAGTGTGATGGGATTGTTTGTGATGCATCCGTTTTTCGGTCAACTCCAGCAACATCCTGTAACATTTCTAGGTCTCCAGTTAGTACTTGACTATCTTATTAGATTAAATAAACTCACCTCCTTCATATCAATTATGGACGAGATTTTAAGTTTCTTTGTTATAAGGCGGGGCAAGTAGAAAATGATACCAAAGATTGCTTCAAGGCTCACTGGAAAATGCTTAACCCACAGCGATCTGTAGAGAACGTCGTCCATATCCTCTGCTGGGGGAAAGTCGAAGTCTCCAGAATTTAGTGCCTTGAGAGACTGGCCAAATGTATATCCTAACAGCATATCAATTGTGACGCAACTGTAGCCTAATGAAAGATCTACAGTTCTTCCATCATCACTAGCCCTTTCTAATATTTCCGTAAATCGGCTCTGAGACCTCTCTAATAATGGCTGTATTTCATTAATCGCCTTCTGAGATAAGTGCGGCTGAAATAGATCCCTGCGCGGCTGAGCGACCTTCGTATTTGTCATACTGAAATGGGACCCTTTAAAGGGAACCCATAGAACTGGCTGTCTTTCGGGAATGGTGTTCCCATCTTAAATACCGTGTTGTATGCTGCAATGTCGCGGATATGGAGCTCATTCGGGTGTGTTCGAACAATCGGTCCTACGAGCAAGTTTAGTTGCTACGGCCACTTAGTCTTGATGCACGTAAGCGTCTAACCATATAGATCATGCAAGCGAGGAAGCATTTCGGTATACTGGCCACCTTTAATGAGGTTGTAATATGTTGAGTATAAACTCGAGGCTGCAGCCAGCTTGGGGCCGGGAAATCGAGCGAGAGGATGTAAAAATATGCGATATATAATCTTTGCAGAAACTGCAAAGAACAAGATGCCAAATATTAAGAGCAGAGTATACACAGCAGATAAGGCCATAGCTTGTACTAGTTCGAGGTTCACAAAGGACTGTGGTTCTAACAGGATACTAACTGAGATTGTATGATACTTTAAAAACAAGAAATGTCATAGAACTAAGCTCGGCATTTATATTGCTGCCTATCCATTAAAAGCCGTGGCTCTAACACACGCCATTTCTTGTTTAATGAGTATAGAAGCTAAAACGCTTTAGGTTTATTGAGTGGCCACAAATTTGGAAGAAGCGCTGACGCTAGGCCTAGAGTACACGGAATCCAGTATTAGTCCCTATCCCGAACTTCCCCGGCATTCATTGGGTTTAAAGGAAATCCTACTCCGTAAGATCTTGTCCAAGTAATATCCTGTCAATTACAACAGACCCACATACCTTAGTGTCCCAATTAGAAACTTGTGTATGGTGGACAGTAAACTTTGCGGGCTTCAAAACATACACATAAACTTTTAGTTTCATTTACTGAACTCTGAATAGCTCTGCGCAATAACCAGCACGTCAGAACATTCACAAAGGGTCCTTATTTGCAGTAGTGTTACATCAGTCAGTTGGAAGTTTGCGGAAGCTGAAGCTCCACATTTACTAAAAACAGAGGTTTTTCTCGCATCTTATGTCCTGCTGATGCACACAGAAGTAAGACCAAGTTCTATCTGCCTAACCAATTAAAAGTGAATGACCAGCGAACTGAAGTCATGACGTTGCGAATACGCGTGTACCAGAAACAAACCCCAATCAATAAATGAAAAAATAAAAGAAAAAAGTTTCGAGTAATCTGCATAGTGGCTGGCCGGATATCGGTATTCCTGCTACGTTGCTACTACTAACGACAACTTCCTTATACTCAAGAGCAGCTACCTAGGTAATATATCTGTCATAAAAGATTATATAATTATAAGACTATAAATGCATATTGATTTTCCCCTACAGCAGTTTCAAGTGTAGCTTATGGTATAATGCCCCCTTTTTTTTTTTTTTTTTTCGGTATTTATGATGGCGGGTACGACGGAGATACATTCTTTATTCGCTGAGAGAAAGTATGCGTGTCTCGATTACTACGATGTGTCGGTGCTTAGCAAAGCACAAAAAGTGACCATAGTAGAGGAAATGAGCAATATCCTTCATGCATTCCTCAAATATATCGGGCATTCCCATGAGGTACCCGAGAAGGATAGTTGCCTTCGCGAGTCACTTTGGAGATGGGCTCGAACGGAGCTGACCAGAGCGACTTCCTGTGACATCGCCTCACTCAATACCCTCCTCGAAGAGGCCGTTTCGAGCACGGAGGGCTATTATCCTGTCGCATCTCATGAGGTGAGGTTAATGATGGCCAAAGCCACAGCTTTAGCCATCAGCCTGGACAGCAATTTCCTCTCCCCGGAGGCAAAAGAGAAGCTTCCACATTCGCAGAATCGCTTCTGGCAGGGCCTGGAGCCAGAGGATGTATGGTCGCCCGTATTTTTTAATTTCGTTGGAGAGTGTGCAGGCCTTTTTGGCGCCAATAATCCTTTGCTAGGTACGTTGGTTTCTTCCGGGTGGTCACGTTGGCTTGACGGATGCCTGTTGGAAGAACAGCTGTGGGGAATAGTCCAAAATATAGGAGATAAAGAAGGACAAGCACTGGATACCAACTTCTGTCCAATTGAGGACTTTCCCTACTACCTTCGGACTCTAACGGGGGCGCCAATATCATACTGTGTCCCAGCTTTTAAACCATCGCGCGAAGTGGAAGTTCCGTATTCCGTGTGGTTTTCTTATGCGCCGGCTTTAACAACGGTTATTAATCTTGGAAATGACTTATTTTCCTATCCAAAAGAGGTTTTTGATGGCGAGAAAGTCAACTATGTCTCGCTTGTAACTCAGATAAAACGGGCTTCCGGATGCAGGTCGCGGTTTGCAGAAGGGAGCCTATGGACCTTCCGAGATACTATCTGCGATCTGTTCCAGAGGCTGTTGCAGAGCTGCGAGGTTCTTGAGCAAGCGTTCAAGGTTCCTCGTCAATGCAATGAAGCAGACGAAATCTCCAGGTATGGCAGCACGAGCTCTGATTTAAACCTAGCAAATTATCTGTGCCATGAATTCATACACGGGTATCTTGGTTGGCATGTTAATTCTCCTCGATATCGCCTGGACTCCCTGAGAGCTCGCTTGACCTCAGATGCTTCAGGGGAAGTTCAATGCAATACTACTTGTATTTAATTACAGATCTGGAACAGGGGGGACGGAGCAGCGTTGTATTCTGATTTTTCCTAAGAGCTGTTGTGATACAAAGGAAGATTGATTGTTCTTATTTTCATCTAAGAAAACTTGAGTATCTTTCGGTGGCATTCAATAAATACTGTATTTCTAATTAATTTGATTAGAAAAGGATTCTATTCTGATATAGAAACTTTTCCCTTATTCGATCGAGCCGCTATTTACAACATTCCCCCTCAGGATCGCCTTGCTAGCACGGCGGTATTGGACTCGCGAAGACCGGTTATCCCTCAGTAAAACCTGTTGTAAATAGAGGCTCCATCTAGTAGAAGAGTTGGAACCTGGAACCTGATTTGCGCAATTTTGCCAATTTCTTCCTAATTTGGATAAAATGATGATTCATCTTAATTTTTTACCATTACTTACGGCTGTTTGGTCATTACATCTATAAACGTCGGGATTGCCTATATCCCTCATGAAATTAGATAAAATTTGTCTCTATAGAATATGCAGCATAGAAATCTATTAGCCGAAATATGCCTACATAGAGATCTTTGCGGAGATCGGAGCCACAACGGCTCAATATAATAAGATTTCTTATTTCTTACACCTTACCTATGTTGTTGATCTGCAATGGGATGACGTGGAAAGATCTTGCGACTCACTGTTATGCCTATCCCATATGCAAGCGTTCCCCCATATTGAGGAAGTCAAGCTTCAGCTTTTGTATCTATCCGATGTTAATTTGGAGTATCGTTGAATACCATTCTTATTACTCTACTGATTGATCCCTCCTGTTCCACCCCGACACTCCTTTCTATTACACTCAGTCAAACCTGACAGGTTCTGTCAGACATACCACTACATCACAAGGAGTAGCGCTGTTGGAATTTTGGATGTAGAAAATGTATTACTAGTATTCTGCCTATTCTGACAGGTTCCAAGAGTCCCAGTGTGGACCGCGTTTCCAAAGCCTGGCGCCGAGAACTTTAGTCTTGGCGGGTTCCAAGTCCGATCTAACTTGGAGAGTCGTGACTCCTTACGAGGTCTAACTGTGACGGATAGACCTTACAGAGAGGATGATCACGGGGAGAAGAGGCCATCCAGTAGTACTAATAGAAATGACCTGTGACGTACGCTGTCGCACGCGAAATCCCCCGAAATTGCGCGGAAATAGCTGTAAAATACGAAATGAATAAAAGTATGCTTTATGAATTGCCCAATTCTGAACTTTAACATTCTCATACTCTGAAGCAGTCAGTAATTAATTATTAAGTATTATATAAGTGGTTATATACTTATTAAAAGTTCCAACAAAGTATCACACCGTCCAATGGTGCTGGACTACGAGTCTAATGTCCACCCCCATTCGGCACCATCCGACTCGAGATACCCAGAACCACATACACTTGACCGTAAAGGTCGACCTCTTCACAAAACATCGACCAAATCTCCATGCGGCGCTCACCCAGTCTGGCCGCTTCTATGTCTCGGTTCTGCTTCGCTCCGGCGCGCTGATGACGGTTCAGTTGCGACAGAGCTTCCACCAGACAGTGTCGCTCATACTCCGCCAGCTCAAACAGTGCCCGTTTCTTCGTGGTCACGTCTCCACACACGCCAAACTCGGGGAAATCGATGGAATTCAGATTGCCCTCGTCCTGGTCGCGTTCCGCCGACCCAAGGTCATTGTACATGCGACACATGGTCGACAGGTGTCGACAGACCGCGGCAGAGAGATACTTCTCACCTATGGTGGGAAAGCAATCTCCGCCGCCCCCGCGTGACGTCAGCGAGGCGCCCAACAGACAACTCACGAATGCAAAGGCGTAGGGGCAGGAGATGTGGTCGGCGGAGATGGTGCGGACCCAGTTGAAGAAGGTGTTCGTTTTGGTCGAGGTGAAGGTCGAGACCTGGCTGGCCCGTCGTTCGAAGCGCGTGCTGTCCTCGGCTTGGGTGGCATGAGCAAGAAGGTAGGTCCGGAGCTCACGTTTCAGTATCCTACGGTCCCACACACTGGCCGATTGAATCTCCGGGTGGTTGAGAACGTAGTCGAGGAATCTTGACAAAACGTGAAAGACCTCGTCATAGCTTGGGTGTTTGGGGTCTTTGTGACCGTTCGCCTCACTGTTATTCCGCTGCATGGCATCTTCCTCTGGGAGTAAATCATGAATGAGCTGGCGGAGTTCAGGCATGCGGCCCTGGAACGAGGGCCCAGCCACTGCCTCGATGAACTCGTCGACTTGGAAATTCAAAAGTGCGATAAGCATCATCTCGTACAGGAACGAGGTGGACGCGTACGTGCGGATCCGATTATTGCAGCTGGTCCAAAAGAACGGAATCACATCAAAGTACTTGTCTTCTTTCACGTCCTTGCGGAAAAAGATGTCGAGCCGATGCGATCTCAGGAGAGGATGGAAGAGGGCAGCTTCGATCATCGAACTGCGGAGCTCCCATTCTGGGAGCGAACTGAATAGTGGCGCCAGGTGGAATAGCTTGACGTGCTTGTCAAGTCGTGTGGGCGAGACGTTTTCCCAGAGTTCGGATCCCGCCACAACACCCACAGGGGAGCTAGCCGCCTTTAGTGCTGCCAGTCGGTATGACCCGGCCAGCAGAGGAGAGGAATAGCTGACCTTCTCGATCCAGAAGCAGTTGCTGCTATGCGGGCCTATGGATTCGAGAGCGGCAACCCCGCGTCCAATGGCGGTTTCTAGAGGTTCGCGAAGAGGGTCAAAGAAACGCACACGTCGAGCCTCGGCCAACACCGAAGTGAGATGGCCGTCTTCGCAATGACCCGAATAGCTAGGGCCGAGCTCACAGACAGCCGTAATGATTTGACAGATCAGGCTCTTTAGGGCGCAACACGTTCCCTTGAGTTGCCTGCATAGATTTTATGTCTTGGCTCAGGGCAGTGGTAATGGTAGCAAAACTAGTAGCCGGAGGCCGTCTGAAATTGTCCCGTATAGTCAAACTTCAACTCTTGAAGGTTTGCCTTGGTCTCTTTCCCAGGAACAAAGTGACAAGGAAGAAAAAGACAGGGAACAAGAGAAACCAGAGTATTTTCTTCCCCGATGTCGGCCACAAAATTAGCCATCTTTGGCTGTGTCCTGCTGCCGGGGATAGCACACAGGCTATGGCCTTCACAATCTGTCGCCTTGATATGGTTCATCTCAGCCTATGTGATCATCTTCTGCCTTGCCATCTGGAAACTTTATCTATGGCCGTTCTGGTTCAGTCCTCTACGTAATTTGCCCGAACCTCAGGTGAGCTCTGCCAATCCCCCCGTAGCTTTGGACCGGTGATGGAAGTCCTCACTGACTATCTGCGAATGATAAGGGAGGTGAGCTACTGGGAGGCCATACCAAGCTACTTCCTGACGAACGGTCCGGTATGCCCTTGCACGAATGGATCAATCAGGTGCCTAATTCCGGGCTGATTCGGTATCGGAAACGATTCAACAAGGAGATCGTGTTCGTGACAAGCCCCAAGGGCCTCTCGGAGGTGCTGATCCAGAAGAATTATGAGTTCTCCAAGCCGTACAAGCTGCGGCAAGGTCTCGGGAGGATTCTAGGTGTTGGACTTCTCATTGCCGAGGGCGAGGACCACAAGGTAGGTTGAAGATGCCTTTCTTCTTCACGACCTCAGCTAAACGCTAAATGCATCTTCAACAGATCCAGCGCAAACACCTCATGCCCGCGTTTTCCCACCGACATATTATGGATTTATATCCGATCTTCTGGGACAGATCGGTCGCGCTCGCCCAGGAGCTGCAGGCCAATATCGACGGCAGGTCGAATGTATCCAGCAAGGTCGTTGACGTCGCCGACTGGTTGGCCCGCGCAACGCTGGACATCATAGGAGCAGCTGGGTTCGGGGAAGAATTTGACACAATCCGACATCCTGATAATGAGATAAGGAAGGCCTATCGGAGTGTCCTTGAGCAGAAGCCTCCGAAGGGAACTTTGAAGATCCTTATTTTCCTGGCTCGGGAGCAACTCATCAGGACATTAGCTCTCCAACGCAACGATAGCATCGCAGTGGCGACTAGAACGTTGACCAGAGTCGCCCGTCGCTTGATTGCAGCAAAGCGACAGAACCCGACGGCAGGTGATGCCAGAGACGTCATCTCGGTCGCCCTGTCATCAGGGAGCTTCAACGCACCATGCTCGAGAACCACCTCCTGACATTTCTCGCTGCAGGACATGAGACTACGGCGACCTCCATGACCTGGGCGGTATACGCCCTATGGCTATATCCCGAGGTCCAACGCCGACTCCGCGAGGAAGTGCGCAGTCGCCTGGTCCAGAATCCCCTTCAACGAGATGACTCTAGCCAGCAGCCCATGACGGCCGAGCGCTTGAATAGTCTTCCGTACCTTCACGCCGTTTGCAACGAGGTGTTCCGAATCTATCCACCCGCGGGTTGACCAGACGCGTGGCCGTCAAAGACACTACGATCCAAGGGCAACACATCCCGCGTGGCACGGAAATCGTCATTTCTCCCCGAGCCATAAATGTCTCGCGAGAGCTGTGGGGGGACGATGCAACTATATTCAACCCGGATCGATGGCTTGGTCCAAAGCGAGCCAACAGTGGAGGGGGCGTAACCAACTTTTCGTTCATGATTTTCCTACATGGTGCGTGTGAATGCGTTTGCTGTAGTACCTTTCGGTGTTGAGCTGCTACTGATTGAGTGCTTTTACAATATCTAGGACCTCGTTCCTGCATTGGGCAAGGCTTTGCCAGGGGAGAATTTGCCAGTTTGCTACGGTGATGGTAGGAACGTTTGAGATGAAACTGGAGGACAAGACAGCGGACATCATCATCGAAACCGGGCTCACGTCTCAGCCCAAGGGGGGTTTAAAAGTGCGACTACGTCCAGTTGAAGACTGGCAGGGCGATCCTGTTTTTCTTCTTCTTTTCATTGGATCGGATCAGTCAAGGGGCCATGTATGCATTTGTGGATATAGTTATATATCGACCAAAGAGCAAGAAGGAGTGTTGAAAATTCAGGGTATGAACGATGATGGCGCTCGGGCAAAAATAGACAAGCCTTTGAGAATAGTAACAGAACTTGCATCACCCAGTTTAGTATTAGATATTCTGATTTGGTTGGAGCTGTCGTTGATTCTCGGAAATGATAGGAATGAACACCGACATGCGCCGATGCCCAAAATGGAAGTCCGACCACATTTACGTATTCATTGAGTGAGACCCATCTAAAATAAGACGATGAATAGATGTTACTTGCACTCGGCTTTGGACTTTGTGGCATTGTTCACGTCTATCTCCAATCGTAGCATGAAGACTACCACCATGAACACGACTACAGACAGAGACCAACGCGTCTCCTTAGTTGAGTCTGTCTTGACCTCTCAAATCGACTGGAGAGATGATCCGCAGTCTCTGATTCTGCTAGTCACCGGTATTCTGTCCGGTTTGTATCTACTCAATACCCTCCAAGCACGGTTCCTGCAGCTCAAGCTTCCTGTAGTCGGATATAGGTCCTTTTGGGAGCCTGGCTGGGTTGCTGGACTACGATTCTCGCGTCGCAGTCAACCGATCGTTCGGGAAGGATACCAGAAGGTACGTCCATTTACTGCAAAAGAGACAAGGCGAGCAACGCAACTGACAGACTCATGCAGTTCAAAGACCAAATGTTCAGGATCCGACGGAATGATGCCGAGATCATCATATTGCTGCGCACGTACGTGAATGAGCTGCGAGATATGCCCGAAAGTCAACTCAGTGCTATGGAGGCTCACATTAAGAATATGGTGGGTTACTATACCATCGGGAATCTGAAACTGGTGCGAGAGAGTGATCTTCACCGACGGACACTACAGAAGAATTTGACCCCTGCTCTGGGGACGCTGGTTCCCTCTCTGCAAGACGAGCTGAGGTTTGCTTTCCGGGCAGAGATTCCCGACTGCAAGGAGTGGACGCCGGTTCATATCAACGAGCTCACTGTGCGTATCGTGGCCCGCATCTCGGCTCGTGTCTTCGTCGGTCCCCATCTCTGCGCAACGAGGAGTGGCTCTACTTAAGCATCCACTTCACCAAGAATCTCGGGATGACCAGAAACCTCCTTCGCCTCTTTCCCGCACTGACACGGCCCGTGGTCGCCCGTCTGATGCCATCGTACTGGCGCATCTATTCCAACTTGGCCGCAGCCCAGCGCATCATCTGTTCCATAATCGAGGAACGTCGCGTCGCGGCGGCAGCCGATCCTAACTATGAGAAACACAACGACTTCCTCCAGTGGATGATGGATAACGCCACTCCTGAGGAGAGTCATCCGCTGGACCTGGCACACCGGCAGCTCTTGGTCAGTCTCGCATCAATTCACACGACCTCCATGCAGACCAGCCACTTTGTGTACGATCTTTGCGCGCACCCCGAATACTACAAGCCACTCCGGGAAGAGATCATCGGCGTCCTCCGGCAAGATGGCGGCTTCCAGAAGACAACGCTGAACAAGTTGCGAAAGATGGACAGCTTCCTCAAAGAATCCCAGCGAAAGAGCCCCCCGCTGGTTTGTAAGTCAAGCCCACGCGCGCCCCTTCTGCCCGGCAGAGTCAACTACTAACTTGGAGCACCAGTATCCTTTCAACGGGTGGTCCAACGGGCCCTACGGTTGAAGGACGGCACATACCTCGCCCGCGGGACTCAACTCGCCATGGCGTCGGACGCGATTGCCCACAACCCATCCTGCCTCCCTGGTGGTGGTGACCCGGAGGATTTTGATCCCTTTCGGTACGCCCGTCTGCGCGAGGATCCATCCAAACCCGGCAACATCAACCGATATCAGTTCGCGACAACGGATTCCACGAACCTGCACTTTGGCCATGGCATCTACGTCTGTCCGGGCCGATTCTTCGCAAGCAATGAGATCAAGCTAATCCTGTGCCACATGTTGCTGGCCTACGATTTCAGGTTCCCGCAGGGGCAGGCCCACCCCGCGAACTTGTCCTATGAGGAGGCTCAATACCCGGACCCAACAGCGACGGTGCTGATGCGTCAGAGAATGTTGTCGCCGGCCGAGGCTGATGTGTCTGCGTGTCTTGGCCTGTAGGCGTATCGGGGCAGGGCAGGTAAAGCTTAAAAGGCTCACCGTCGATGGAATTATCATGATTGTTTTTGGTGCTTGGAGAGGATGAAGAAGATCAAAACTATTACAATATGATACTCCCATCGTGCGGAGGGTAAGGCTCAAACCACCTAACTTAAGCTGGAGCGCCGCCACGAGCTGGATAGACACTAGCGGTTCACACAGCTGAAAGTCCCTGACCATGTTCCCATCGCGAGTGAACGATGCTACTAGACTCGGCTTTGCAGAAACATGGAGCATGACTCTACTGCAAGGGGCCACTTTTCAGCTATTCGGATCGAGAATGACACCTCGGAGGTAGCAAATATCAAAGTCGTCATTTGACACACCGTCTTCTATTTCAATAAATGCTTTTTGATACACTGCGAGGACCTCGAGGATTCTATCCCGGGCAGCGTATGCCGCAGGCAACCCAGAGATAGGGAGCCAGCGCGGCAGGCCCATAGCCATAAGAGGAAAGTGGTTGTCAAGCGCCCAAGCATAATCTAATCAGAACGGGAAAGCCTCTAAGATGGCTATTCCCATCAATATAGTAGTCGTAATGTGTCCGACGAAGCCTCTAATAAGCGTGAATAGATCGGCCTCATAAACAGGTAGTTACCACGATTTGTTAGCACCACGGCGCTTATACGCTCTCATAGGGCCTGGTCTACAGGGCTCCAGAAGAAGGTTGCAAAATTGGTAATTTCCTGCTATAGTAGTCTAACAAGCTTCGTAGAGGTCTCAGTAAGAAAAAGCTCCCTCATAAAGAGATTAGGGAGATTATAATAAAAGATGTAGTAATCAATTGCGTTGAAGTTATAAATAACACCGCGGTCTCCGCCGCTAGTCTTCAACGCATAGTTAATCAAAGTGACAGAGAACGTGCTGCGAGATAGCATCATGGCCTTAACTAAAAAGAGTAATACGACGAATTATACTTCATGCCGCCTACGTAGATGACCAAGACTGGTTCTTTCAGCGAATCTCTGCTACAGTAGTTAGATGCAATGCGATTTAAATTACGAAAACACCTAGTTACAATTAAAGTCTTTCCAGATAATAATAATGATGATGATAATTCATACCTCGACCTCTCGCCTAAGGCGATATGCAGGATACCCCTATCACTACTCTATATGTGCATCTATTTCCAGCAAACTATTACTTCCCGACGAACTTGGAGCCTCGTCAAGGCCTGTGTTGGCCCATGCCTGGTGTTCTGTTCTGCGACCCTCGTTTCCAGAAGGGACAGTTTTGGCCGGTACCACTGTGACGTGGCAATGAGTAATTGTACGTCGTCGTGCCTGAGCAATTTTGATTGGCGCCTATTTCTGAGGCCTTAACTTAGGCCATTATTTGCTCGTTTACCGCCCACAAGACTAACCCCACTTTGTAGGAACCTCGCACATCAGCTTTTGCCGTCTCAGCATTAGCCCACACAAGGATATTTGGGCTGACATTTTAGCCTATTTGCATCTACTGCTCAGTTTAGGGAAGCCCCAGTTTGCAGTACCTTTATATCGGCCAGCTGAATACGCGTATGAGCTAGTATCACTGACCTATGGATAAGGATCCATCTATATTGAAAGGTAAGGTCTCTTGACCAGGACTATTGTCAGAATAAACTAGTCCAGATTGGGACATCATGTGAATATATACCCAATACTCCTCATAGAGGGGTTGGGCAGATAATCCTTCTGAATACAACCACTTGAGAACCCCCCAATAAATCAAATAATTAAAAGTCTTATTTGTTATAAAAAAAGCACTTATATATATATACATATATATCTATATCTATATTAACCCTATTCTACTATGTCAACCATTCAAGACAGCACCATTCGCCTCAACACACAGGAGGACTGGATGCAGTGGCAGACACAGTTTGAAGGCCTAGCTAGAGGCAAGGATATTTGGGATATTATTACAGGTGACGGAGAGGATCTACCAAAGCCTAGAATGCCTAACAAAGAGGATTATCTTCCTCCACCTGCTAATAGCACCTGAAATGCCTCCACAGGGCGCCATGCGGAATATTAGTTGGCCTGGACAATTTATTAAACCAAACTGGAGGAGTACAACAAACAAAAAGCGGAGTTAAATAAGATCAGAGAATAGATTTAAAAGACTGTATTACCACAAGTCTATAAATTTTGTTGTATTCCTTCCGATTCTTTGAAGAAATGGTATGATAACCTAACAAAGAATATTAGAATTAATAAGTTTAAAGTCAAAGAACTGGCTAGAGAAGCTTACCAAAAGGCTATTAAGACTCTAAAGTCCAAGGATATTAACTCCTGGATAAACAATTGGGAGTTGGCCATGCAGAAGGGTATAAAAGCAAAGATTGCAGTTACTATTTCCTTAATTAATTAGATTAAAGACTTTCTAAATGCAGCGCGATCTTTGAATCCTTACTGGGTAAAGTCTTATTAGATAAATAAAAAGCAAGATATTTAAGCAGATAGCCTGTTCTTTAGAATGGTTGCGCAGGACTTCCGTGATAGCATGAATCAAATGGGAATATCTTAAGGCAAGATTGTTAAGGGATTATTCAGTCTTACCTTCGGAGCTTATAATAAAGGTAGTAATGCCTCTATCTCTGGAACTTATAGCAGAGATAGTAACAAAGATAAGGCACCCGCACCAGATACTAGGAGGTCCCTAAAGCGGAAGCAGAAGACCGAAAGCTGTGGATTACTAAAGGAGTTCAAGAGGAACAATCCGGGATTATCAATGTGACGGCCAAACAATTTGATGAAATTGGTGCTATCTCAACGAAAATTTCATGCGTAGGGAGGAGAAAGAAAGGTGGTGAGGGGGCGGTGCGGAGAAGTAAATAAAACTAGATACAAACAATGCAAACAGACCATGTGCACCGTCACATGTCGTCTAGGATCTGCGTCCCTTTGCAATAGCTCATTTCAAGTTGACATCCATTATATGGGGTTATAGGCAAGTATACTTGAAATCTTTTAAGAGGTTTAGCTGATAACGTTTGCAGGCTGATCTATTAACTTCGTTACATGTTTCTCTGGTAACAAGAAGTTTTGAGCCCGACTAGATGCAGACCGTAGACAAAAGCAACAGCAATGAGGACAGGGAGCTTCAAGCTATTCCCTCCCCGAATGAAATATAAAATTAGACTGACAATAGTTAGCATCTGAAAAGGTTAAATGAAATAGGAAAACTCACTGGCTTGGCTTTGGAAGGCAGAAATAGCTGAGTCAAACGCAGAATCAATGCTGGACATGATCACAGGCGCTAAGCCTGCTTCAAGTGTATCGAGCTTTGTGACAATAGCTTTACCAAATGCATCTGTGTCATTCTTGAGTTGTACCAGGCTGTAAAGAACAACAATACCTAGACCTGCGAAAGTTTCATTTTTTGAGGCTATAGACTGTAAAACTGAGGAGATCTTGGGCTCAAGCGAGATTAACTTGAGACCGACACTGAGAGAACCAACAGTGCCAAAGGTATCTGATGCCTCAGCTGTAGCCGTTGCGTGCTTGATTCGTTTGTCGAGACTGATGGAGTCAATATTCATTTGAAGAGCGAAAGACAGCCCCGGAATACCAGGAACGAGAGCAGCAGCGTCAGTACTCATTGTTGAAATCATACTGCTGATATTATCAATTTCATTGTTGACAGCACTGTAATCAACGACTTCGGCGGACACGACTAGTGTTAGAAATAAATTTAGAAATGAGAGCCTCATATTGGCCGCATGTATTTTGTACACTAAGCAAGTGTTTTTCTTTTTCTTTTTGCAACGATATGATAATTAGAAGCATAAGGATATTAGAATGGTGACTAAATAAATATCAAATGACTTTACTGAAACCTCTGGAGTGAAAAGCATTCGGGCTGGTATTTCAGGAGGAAATACACTGTAGATCCTCTGACCTAGTTATAGTACACAGCCTGTAATTTTATAATATTAACTCGTTTTTGGATTTATTACGACTAGTAAAACTATATGTTGCACTAATAACTCTCCGGACTATGTAAACTATCTAAAATATGAGCTTTTTATATATGAAGTAGACCGAAAAAGGGGCTGTTTTCTGCCATATTAGCTTTAGTATGAAACGCGGTGATTTCTCCCTGACACAGTTATAGTTAATGCCAGCATACCACATTGACATGATACTGTACTGTATGTTAAGTACATTAATCTTTCGTAGGCTCAAACTCCGCACACCCAAATAAAGTGTGACCGATATTAAGTTTAGCTGCCTAAACATGATGCACATCAACTGTTAGGAGGTGCGCAGTGCGCTGTGCATGCCCCTAACAGGTTGCGCTACTAATAGAGCTCTATAACCGTTTCCTGGGCCACGAGCCCAAGTCTGCGATCATTAATTGACCTTTTGGTTGAGTGGGAGTGTGTGTGGTGGCCCATTAATACATTTGTAACATCAACGGCATCGGCCCGGGAACACGATGTTTGGCGAAGTCCCGCAACGAAAGATCTGGATGTATATCAATTCCTGTAGTAAACTCCGTGGCGTTGTGTAATTGTTAATTCAGATAAAGCTGAGACGCTAAATAGCCACGAGAGGTAGACAAATACCCATAAAAGCTTGAGAAATATCATGTTCCACCAGCTTGTTGGTTGACATGGGTAGTGAAACATACCAGGGAGACTTTGCAGAAGTATGTTTCATTTCTTTACAACCCAGGTTTTAGTGATAACTTATATATCATTGCTACTGGCACACTATAACTCTTAAGACTCTCCAAATATTTTTATTTCTACGCTGCTAAATGTTCTGCGATGATAAGGATGGCTCAGACTTTGATAAACAAAATTGCGGTCTTTTCTGCCTTTTTAGCAGTTCCGGGCTTTTCTCAAGCTCCTGGTGAGTTAGGGGTGATACCCGTAGTGTAAATGAAAGAGAATGAAGACGTCAGTTATGAGTCATGCCGACTAATCAATATAATAGTCTCTATAGATGTGTTCAAGGAGATCATTCGCTATACAAAGTTTGCTGCTGCTGCTTATGTTGACTACTGTGCAACTCCTCCATATGGCTCTTCCGTTGTTCAGTATTTTAACGACGAGTACACTGACACACAGGCGACACTATTCCGTGACGACCTCGCAAAAGAGTTGATCATTGCTTTTCGGGGTTCCTCATCCCCCACCGACCTAGACACCGATGTTGATTTTAACCTTGTTCCAGTCACTGCAGGCGGAATCAGTTGCGCAGACTGTCTAGTAAGTCGTGGCCGATATCAACACGATGAGTTCTAGAACTAAGTCTGCATATTAGGTACATCGGGGATTTCAAGTTGCATATGAGTCTATTTCCAATGACGTTGCCTCCACCATTCAATCGACCTTGTCATCTACCTCAGGCTACAGCATAACCGTTACTGGTCACTCTCTGGGAGCTGCCCTAGCAGCTATTGCAGCCCCGGCTTTAATTAATAAAGGCATCCGTGTCGCCAAAACTTTCACCTTTGGTGAGCCTCGGAACGGAAATGCAGCCTGGGCGTCCTATGTGTCCTCTGTAGTCCCAGACTCAAATTACTACAGGGTGACACATGCGAATGATGGAGTTCCACACATTCCTCCTGACATCCTGGGATTTCAGCACCACGGTCCTGAGTACTGGGAGAGCAAGTCGGATGCCAGCAACACAGCTACAACCGTCTACTACTGCGGCAATAACTCCACGGTATGTATTCGTTATTGCTCTCCTTTCTAGTTCTCTTACCTTCTCTTAACAAAAAGAAGGAAAGAAAAAAAAAGGGCATTTCAATCCCCGAATATTTTACCTCTTGCCTTCATCATTCACGCTGACCGAGTAATTTCACTGTTTCAGAGTTGTAATGCAGTACAGAATTATGGAGACAATCCGATCAACCGAGCTCATATGACATATAGTAATGGTGTTATTGGTGCTGGCCTACATTCCCCGGATTGTGGCGCCCCCAGAGTGAGCCCCAGAGACCCGTAAAGCGTCGGTTATGTGGATTATTAAGACTTTACTCCGTACTCCGTAATTATTAAATTTAGTTATTGTCAGATATTCGGCTAGTCCCGAAGAGGAAATAGAGTACGATTGTTAAAAAGGTCTTGTTTGAACGAATTAAGCTGGTTCTGGGCTCTTCTTGATTATTCTTGTTGGTTATTCTTGAAGATTATTTGTTTTGTGCTCCGCAGGGGTTTTACCCCGATCTAGTCACATGATTCTGGTCCACCCACAGCCATATTATTTGACAGTTATTTTGCCAGATAGAACAGCGATTGGTTGGCTGATGATGCTGGTGGTATTTGAGTATGATTTTGGCAAATCACACCGTAATTCATCGTGCCTGAAGTACACTAATAAAGTCAATCTGCCTTGGTCGATCATTGCATGCCGCGGAATATCTACAGAGTAAGCCTTAACATACCTTGATATAGTATTTTAGAGATTGTATTGTTGCATGTCTATATAAGAGAAGCTTTCTATACCTGCAGTCCTAAGGTAGTTATACTAGGGAACTCTTCTTTAATAAGGGACTTTAAAAGATTTGAAGCCAATACGGAGTAAGGACGACGAGAAGTATTACCAATACAGGGCGTATTATTTGTCTATTCTAGTTTAGCGTGAGGTCCAAATAACAATTCCCTATTTTTAAGCCTCCCTAAAACAAGGAGTGGACCGAGCGGTCACAGGTTTTTAAGGTCAGCTCAGAGTCACGTTATCTCGAAGTTTGCCACCTCATCTCAGAGTGTCGGTGCTTGAAGACTCCACTCTCTATTGGTATTTGAGGCACATCTCCAGTGAATTTCAATGTTGTTTCCCCACTACTAATAATTAACCGACCCCGAAGATTTGCGCAGGAGTCGGCTAGGTCTATTCATTTTTTTTTTTTTTTAAAAAAGTATACTCCGTAACATGTTTGTTGAGTAGTTATTAGGAATGGACCCCTGATACAATATGTTTCATGTGGATGGCGATGTGGACAAACGTCGCCATTATTGGTGGTTTTACTTGTACCCGTCACCTGAAGTCGAGCGTCGTCAAACCGGAACTAAAAGAGTTTTTGCCCAAAGTTCGCCCATTATACAAAGATCAGCAGTCGTGAGACCGATTCTGCAATAAAATATGGGAAAACTTTTTGAATAAATCAAGAAATTTCTGAACCGAAAATTTGAAACCATTTAATTTTCAAAGATCCAGCGAATGTCGCAGTTTCCCCGTTCGAATCGAAATTGTCCTAGTTAAGTGCCTGTGATGGTTCTTCCTTTTGTTCACTGTATCAGTACATTACAGTAGATACATATGCAACTATTATTCTTATTTAAATATCTCTGGCGTGCCTATCTATTATCGTATGCTACTCGGAATTCTTAATTAACCTGCGGCATAATGCATGCAGACATCCCCAAAATCTTACTCAATCCTCTGAGAGCATGTCTCTACCTCGCTATCCTCCTTGCCGTTCAAGGAGCTTCTTTGGGATCTCGCCAGTCTGGTGTGAATGCCATCATATCTGAGCTAAAGACTGTTGTGTCAGATCTCGCTACGTTCAATGCTACCTTGAACTCTTTCCATGGTGGCTTGAACGGAACCCTACGTGCAGTTCAAATCCAAGGGCAGGCCCAGACCTTAATAAATGATATCAACAAAGCAACTGCCACGGTCAAAATCACTCCATCACTGGGCACTACTGATTCGGTCGTTCTCGTCAACAATGTGGTCAACTTACAGACACCAATTTACTCAACCATTAACAACCTCATCTCCCATAAGTCAGCTTTTCAGAATGCTGTCCTAGGAGTAGGATCTGCAGGCTTTCTTGTGAAGTCCGATTTGAACAACCTACGTATTGCGACGGCCAACCTGGGAAACGCAATCGTCCAGCGCTTAGTACCCGATATTCAGAAGCTGGCACCCCTTGTTACGGGTGAAATCAACTTTCATATTACCCGGGCTATTCAGGCGTACTCCAACTAGAGTCTGAAAGAAGGCTTGAAAGGCGACCATACAGTCAACTGGTAGGGGTCTCGAATAGAAGATGCAAAAGGACGAAATTAGGGCTGTACACGAATAATGATTTGACATATTCGTATTCGGCGGTTTTTCTTGGAGGGAACTATATCCTATCCTAGTCAAAATATACGCCACCGCATCCACGTCCGGTTAATCTGTTAATATCTCTTATTGCTAAATGAGACCCGAATGTTCTGCAATGGCTTTATCTCAGAGATGATCTTCCATGCATCTTTCCAGTAGAAAGGTATGTCGAGAGGATAGTAACCATCGCCACGCTTTAGCTTCCCATCATTAATATGTGGTTCCAGCTGGACGGACCAGCGGCAGGATGGTGCGCTGGAAATCAATAATTGTTCACGTCTGGCAAAGCAGAGGACGTTTTTGGAGTAGAAAATATTATTTTATTCCGAGCATCTGCACTTTGTTAGTAGCTTGGCACTTTGGAGAATATATTATTCCACCAGAGCATGAACAGGTGAAGCTCAGCTGCAGGAAAATAGTCACAAACAAGGCTCCTTCCGCCTTCAGTACCGTTCTTCATATACGAACTCTGCAAGCTGCTTAATATGAATTTCTGCAATGTAGTTAGCATATAAGAACTTAGGGTTTCGAAGGGAGACAAGTCTATTAAAAGAATAGATGTCTCAAATATGTCAAATAGCATAACTTATTTCCACTCAATGATCTAACCTCTCCTATGACAAAGTGCAGAACTACCAGAGCCACCAGGCGGGGGAAACTGATAGTAAACAATGATACAAAAAAGCATGGCACTATTTAACTCAAAATCATACGGAGTAAATCAGCGAGAACATGTGACAGGAATTCAATTGGTAAAGAGAACAAGATGGTCCGAAAAAAATACCCTGTGACAAAAGTCTGATACTTGTGTGGGGTAACCATAAGTAGACCACACAGTCGTGAACCCCAGAAACGTCTTCAGAAGCCTGTTGGTCAGGAGCTTCATGGAATCCGATCTTGTTTGACTGAAAACAAGCAACCGAACAATAGCTTCTTATTTGTCAAGTAATATGGTTATACGTTGGCAGGGTCATTCAAAATGACCCGCAACAAGCGAAAGAACATGATAATTAGGACAGCCATCATAATCGTCAGTATAATTAAGTAGAGCCCAGCCAGCTCAGAATCTTCCATTTAAGACCTTTCTAAAAACCGTATACTCTTTCCTATTTAGTACTAGCCAAATTTCTGACGTAAATTTAAGTCACTGACCATGTCGGCGTCTAAAAGAGGTTTAGGCCAGTTCTCATTACATAATCAAAGAGCTAGAAGCAGGCAGCTTTAATTACTTGTCTGCAAGACTGCAACCACCTTTAGTTAGAAATTGGTCTGTGGTTTTTCCCCATATTTCCCCGTCGTTCCATGCATGGAGTTAAAATTAATATCAATAAAAGCGGCAGTCTAAGACAGCGTTGATCGTAACCAACGAATACCGAGAGGGCATCCGTGAACGAAATAGAGGAAAACAACAGTAATATCTAATTTTCTAAGTCGGGGGTTTATCCCGTTTGGAGCCTAGTTTTAGGCTCTTTGGCCCTCAGTGGACCAGCGATTTGTGAACAGCCCCTCCAGTAGTTAGCTTCTGCAGGGGTCCCAATATTTATTAGTGCGAAAAATTGAACATACCAGCACATGTTGCCTCTGGTACTCCACATGTCGAATTGAACCTTGACACGAAAATTTAAATCAGGTTCTCCTGGTAAGTCAGCGCTCTGTTAGCGCACAGCTTGTGGCAGCCACCGCTTTGCTTCCTTCCTCATCCTCCCATTTACCCACAAGTATCCTTCACACATCAAGCAAGAATATGGCCACTTTGACACCCGTTTCTGTGGCTCTTCCCGAAGACAAAGTACCGACTAAGAAGATTGTCAGAGACATTATCGGCACATTCCTGACGAAAGAATGGCCATACGTGGATCTAGAGACCATGACCATGTCATACCATGCATCATTCGCCAACGCCCACTGTGCCGTGAAGCGACCGAAGCCAACTAACGGCACACCTGTTGAACCATTGAAGGTGTTCATCAAATTCCATAATGATATCGGGGTGGACATTGATGCCTTCAAGCATCTGGCACCAAGTAAGCAGGAGGAAGCAGTTCTCTGCTACGAGTACGGTCGATCCGGACTGGGAGCCAGAGTGTACGGATTTTTCAAGACACAGGATGGCACACTCGGGAGAATCGATGAGTTTCTGGATGCACGTAACATGGAACCAGAGGATGTTGAGGATGCGGTCATCCGAGCGGATGTTGCTAAAGGACTGGCAATTTTCCATGCAATGAAGAGGTCACTGGAGAAAAAGGCAGTGGAGCCATACTATGAAGCCGTCATCAATGGACTCAAGAAGTACCACAAGATGGACAAGTTGAAGGCACTAGGTAGAGAAGGAGGAATCAGTGTGGACAGTCTGGTTGACTATGACTTTGGAGAGAGGTTGAGGAAAGTGGTAGACAAGCTGGAATCCATAGGAGGGAAGACAGGATGGTGTATTCATGACATACAGTTCATGAACGTCTTGGTGAAAAATGATCCGAAGGAAGGAGAGAGCAAAGTCGTCCTGATTGACTTTGAGTTCGTGATGCAGAACTATCGAGCCTTTGACATTGGTGGACACTTTATGCAGAAGATGTTCAAATGGTTCGACAAGGAGAGTAAGCTAGCAAATTGTAGGAAGTACACGGAAGACGAGAAAAAACACTTCTGCGAGGAGTACGCGAGACAGTGGAACAAACTGACCGGTGATTCGGATACTGGAAACCAGGTGTTCCTGGAATCCGAATATGGATATATGTTGGCCATCACTTTTGATATCCACAACATGCTGTGCTTCATGAATGGAGAAGATGACAAAGACCCCTTGAACCTTCTCGGACTCAACAAACTGTTTGATGAGTTTGTGGATCAGTATACCAAACTTGAGTTGGAAGATCCATGATACAATCTAAGACCACAGGGATACGGGGATACGGTTCCTCTAGCTCTGAAGAGAAGACATAACTCGTTCGTATTTGAGAATGCATAATACAGAGAGTTATTTGCAGTCATCCACAAGAAATCGAAGGAGGCCTATTGTAGTAATGGAGCGGCGGATGGACCTAGAGCGCATCATACTGCAGTAAGTAGCTAACGCAAGTTGTGCGCTCTGCGATCGAGTATGTTTGCTCCATAGCCAAGCTCGCGGTATGTGTCGGCATTCCACGAGGACTAGCTAATTGTAAGCCCCACTACCATGAAAAACGTTCTCGCAATAGTTTGAGAAAAGGCCAAGACGCCTGGATGGGTACGTAGGTTGAATTTCTATGGGGACTTTGTTCTTCATGTTCTCGACCTAGCGCCGAATATCTAGGGAATACCCATTTTTATCTCGCTGCCGACGAACTCTGGGCCTTGATCCTTGTAGACTCGCCCATTCTTGAGCATCATATCACCAATATTAGTACCCTTAGACTTTAGGATTCTAAAGTCACCTTAGCACTTAAAGCCTGCTTATGAAAGAGCTGCGAAATTTGCTGAAAATTCCTAGAATCTTGGTTTATTATCGTAATTTGCATGGTTGATATTTGGTAACCTACCAGTCTTTGAGACTTCACCGGACTATACGCTTAGAATCAGTAATCCCATCTTGTTTATAAATAAAAGTAGACATGCTGGACGGGTCATTTTCAGACTGGTAAGGAGAGATAATCTCTTCTTTATACGGCTCAAGGTTTGTTGTTGGACACAACATAGTTTAGTTTTCCCTGTCTGTATAATAGAATAAGAGACGATGAAAGGGCTACCACCTTTTTAAGTAGGTCTTGACTATAGGCTAAGGATCGTACGGTAGTATATTGTTGCGATATAATATGCAATGTAATGTGTGATATCTGCATGTGGTGATGTGTATACGAGCCTGTCTCAGCGGCGGCCTTCGGGACAGAAGGGGAAATTACAGTAAGCAATAATAACAACATAAACAATGCTTCTTGATATGGAAGTACTAGAAAATAATTTATAATTTCCCATTAACAGTATCCCTGTGCGTGATTTGTTTAAAGTGTCTGTCAAGTCTGTGAAGAGACGCCAGTCGAGGCGGCGAAGGACTATGTACAATTTTTAGTTATTTTTTATTTATAGGTCGCATTTTACAAATAGTAAGATCCCTATTTCACACCAGTTACATAGCAGGGCCAACTGCATGATGGGCAAGGTAGCAGGATCAGCCACGCAGCAGCAACAGGATGCGAACAGTGGTGCCCAAAACGTGTAAGCACGCGACGCAGACATGTGATGCAGCCACATCCTATGTGAATGCAGAAATCACATGGGGTCGAACAGTTTATAAGAGTTTATTATTAATTCTGTGACAGAAATAGAATAGTAAGCGGTAAAGGCATCAGCCCACCGTCGCCGAAATGCTTGGCATCTATGGGTCCACAGCCCTGGCTGCCTGGCGCGGTCGGAACAGCCCGAAGCTCCCGTTTCGAGACCCACAGACCCACAGAATGCAAGTGGCCCCGCACCAGTATCATGGGTGTATTTGTGAAAGCTATACGGCCTGATCGAGAGGAAGGTGTTTGAATTCCTATATGGGCAAGATCATCGAGAAAAGAACTTTCGAAGTCCAGTTCCGAGACACAGAAAATGTGTGGACATTTGATGAAAGCGTAGACTACCTTTTTGCCTTCGTTTATTAATTTAAAATTGTATAGGGCTGGAGCTCATTTGACCTCTCGGGCCCTATTATCCCTGTTGTCCCTATTGTCCCTATTGTCCCTACTGTCCCTACTATCCCCACTATCCCATTTAGCCCTATTAGCCGGGTAGCCCTTTTAGCCCATCAACCCTCGATCCATATGACGTAACTTTCCACCCTATTTATTTACCACTCATTTCCCTCTTCTTTTCTTCTTTTCTTCCTTTCTTCCTTTCTTCCCTTCTTCAACGATTCCTTTTTGTACATAACCTATCGTACAGGTTCTACGAGTTCAGCCCCTGACAAAAATTAGCGCAGTTAGATAGACCACTTCCTATTTCTATTTCTTCTTTTATCAGTTCCTGGTCAGTAAACTGTAATCGATCTAATTTATTTTGTATTTTGTTTTTCAAGTATTCTGGTTCTTCTAGGTCGTATCTCACGATGTACCCTCTTCCCCTGTGTCGTCTGTCTATAAAATAATCTATTGCGAAGGAGTTTGTTCTGGCCCGCGAGTATGCACGCTATACTAGCTGCGATGAATCACGAAATTTCTGGAGCTGATGATTTTCACACTACTTGCATATTCAATTTAATATTTATCATATTTCTCTGCTGTTATTTTTAAATCATTTTATCCGCAGTTATGCTGTTATTCAATCATGTCATCTCGAGGTCAGAAACAGATACGCACGATGGAATAAATTTCGATGTGCACATTACATTAAGATAGCGTACTGTTTTGCCCGTCACGTCGATCAATGCATAGTGGAAACTGGATCCCACTGAGAAGATCTTGCTCCTGATCAGCATCCCTCTCAGTATCGCCGTCACTGAGTCCATCAATACCTCAAGTGCGTTTGGAAGGATCTCCGACGCTGGCATCATGGCGATTGAATAGATGGTTGACCGTTAAGCCGAATTTTTTATCATGCTAGTATAGAATCAAAGCGGTCCAGCTGTACCTTTCGTGAATATAGCAGCGTTGGTATGCCCGATTCGGACAAGGATGCGACCCCGAAGTTAGGACTTCATTGAAAAAAGCTCGCGTTTCGCACTCTTCGCTAGTATCTTGACGCCCAGGGTCCTAGGCACAAATGAATTAATACGGATTCACCACCGGCGCACGTGACAACTTGAAATATCCTGGCTGCAGAGTCTGAAAGATGCCATCTGGGTCATACTTGACAGCGATCTGCTTCAGGCGGGCTTTATTAGTCTCACCATAACTGGCAATGACATCCTGAAACTGGCTGGCGTAGTTCATATAAATCCACTTGTTATAGACACCCATACTCTTGGCCTTAGCACTAACAGCGTTCCAAAAATCGTTGAGAAACTTGTAAACCTTATCGTCATCCGCAGCATCCTCCCACCAGAACGAAATCTGCAAGAGATGAATAGGCCCCTTGGACGCGTCAAGACCCAATGCATTTCCTCCGTAATTCGTCATGTTTTTCAAAATTGGCTCAGTCAGGAACTGGTAGACCAGCACAGGGTAACCGCCTTTCACGCCATCTGTCTGATGCAGCACGGAGAAGTAATAGTCACAGGTCCACTTGGCGAATTCCTCATTGAGATACGCAGAGATTGACCAGTATATCTCGCGCAGCCCGTTCGGGTTCTGTACGTCAATATCCTTGCAATACTTGACAAGATCCTTGGAGGTCGTCGTGTCCGCGATGGATGGGATGGATCTGATCTGTCGGTAGATCGGAGGGTCGGTCTCGTTTTTCGCGTAGGTGAGCTCGGCCGCGGCCATGTTTATTCCATCCCTGCGAATGAAGGCGACATAGTACTGAGCATTGCCGTCGGCCGGGGATTCGTGAACGATATCGACAAAGGCTTTGATGACAGGGCCAAATTGCCCCTGCGTGAAGATTCTCGTTCCTCCACGCATCATCGGGCTAGGAATCGTATAGAGATTGAACTTGGTTACAAGCCCCAGGTTGTTGCCGCCTCCGCGCAGACCCCAATACAGATCGGGTAATTGAGTCTCACTGGCGGTGACGATATCACCGTTGGCAGTGACAACCTGTGGTCGTATTAGGAAACTCACAGAAGAAAACTCAGTGTGTGGGAATATCTCACCTCAAAGCTTTGGACATTATCTAGAGCCCACCCATACAGGTTGGAATAGAAGGAGATGCCACCGCCAGTAATGAGTCCACCGACGCCGATGCCAGAAGCACGACCCCCAATAACGGCTAGGCCATGTGGTTGGAGAGCTTTGTAGACTGAGTCCCATACATTACCAGGACCGATGGAAGCCACCGATTTGTCCTCGCTGAGAGTCACTTCATTCATATCCTTGAACCAGATGGTGATCCCGCCAGGGCTGTTGGACGCGCCTTTAAACGCAGCATGGCCACCACTTCTAGCGGCGAATGGGCACCTTGTGAGACGCGACAGCAGGACAACGGCAGAGACATCGGTGTTTACAGCAGGTGTGAAAATACAGCTTGGCTGAACCTCTTGATGGGCGGACCAGAACGATTGGGTGAAGTTGCTGTAGGCCGTGGTGTTTGGGGTGAGAACTTTGCCGGGGCCAAACCTGGATTCCAATCTAGTGCACTGGAAGAAATTACACCTTGTTGTAGCTAAATATTCGGATCTCGTACTTACCGCGTCCTGGCACCCGACTTCGGTGGATTGTATGGTCCCACTGCCCTGGGACTGGATGATTGAGGAGTCGATACCATGGCTGTCTAATGCCGTCGCAATATCAAAGTTCTTGGACTCAAGGGAGATGCTCTTGGCCTGCACGAGACTTGAACTGCAGACCGCTAAATAGGCGCCTAGGAATTTCCACGGAGAAGGCATGATGGTCCTTATCGCAATCTCAAACCTGAGATGCTGAAGAGGAGAAAATGAGAAAACAAAAGAAGCAGAATGCAGGCTAGTGTCATAGCCCAGTCGAGTAATCCAATCTCCTCTCTATTATCGAATATACTAGGTACCTGCGACAAGAATATCAAACATGACGGATTCGAGGCGTAGGGAATATTACGTGGTCAATATATCAGTGAGCCATACGGCAACTCATATAGACCATATGTGCGGCTGAGCCGGTACTGCTGGGGTGTAAAAAAATCAAAAGGACCTAATTAGCGACCCGTCCAGGGAGACAATGGGGTATTCACGTAGTGTTATGTCACAGTCATTTCTTGTTAGAAACTTAATTTTGATTCCGGTGAGTTTTATTTTTATTGGCCACTACTAACCAGAATGAAACTATCTCTTAGCTTAAAGCTGGGTGCCTAAATGTGGGGTCGCACACCCAGTAATGGTATTCCCATTGACTAAAATGCGAAACTGTCAGAATAAAGCTAGTCCACATTTTAGAAATAGTCATGACGTGGTTGAAGATGAGGGGTCAGCATAAACATATATATTCAACATACATTACTGAAGCTTATATAGAATTGCAAGTATAAATCTGACAGAAGCGTAGAGAGGAGGTTGGATCCACGGCGGAGCTGTGGGTCAAATATTACAAAAGCCCTGCTTTCTGTTAGATATACGACTATTCCCGAAGAGGAATTAGAGTACGATTGGTAAAAAGGTCTTATTTGAACAAATTGGGCTGGTTGGGCTCTTCTTGATTATTCTCTTCTTGGTTATTCTTATTATTTTGCTGTGTGCTCCGCGGGAGTTTTACCCCACATGATTCTAGTCCACCAACGGCCATATTATTTGGCACTTTCTATATATGTAGCGTTCAAAAGCACTAATATATAATACTTACTCTATATTTCACAGTCTATGGGCAGCTATATTATAGAAAAATTAATCCAATTTGTATGTACTATTGTTAATTTAAGGGCCATAATGTATCATTTACGTGTAATAAAACAAACTTCAAATAGGGGAGCTGAACTACTTTTCAAGTGATAGTGAATAAAAGTGGCATCATCAACCCTCAACCCTCACCGGCTAAAAGGCGGAGTCGAAGGAAAAATAGAGTCGGCGGAAGTTGAATCCGACGATTTGGCCGTTTTACCAATTCCTTCCTTCTTCACATTTTCGAACATAACGTCATCGACACTCTGTTCGTCATCTGCACTTGCTTTCTTTCCAGTCTCCCTAGAGGCCTTTGCAGCCCGCCCAGAGAGTGGTTCATTCGCACGGGTACCCTGGGTAACGGCCAAGAACTTGCGAGTATAATCGTCCTCTAGAATCTTAAACTTGGTCTTTTGCTCGGAACCCAGGACATCATCTACAGATAGCCCGCGGTCACCGCCAGCAGATTCGTCGTTCAGGATGTCGTCGACGCTACTTTTGTCAGCCGGAGGGGGGGTAATCACAGCCTTCGCCCCTCCCCCTTGCAGATGGCCTGAGAGTCGGTGGACACGACCGCCCGGCCAATGCGCAACACCTTATCCTTGACAAAGTCAAGGAAGCCCTCATCAATGTCCTCAGGGTCCGTGTGGATCAACAAATCGAGGCAAGATTGGCCCAGGAGAGTACGGTACGGTACGTCAGCTCCTGCAGCTGCCCGTCCACGCCGTCTGCTGCCGGGGCTGACTCCCCCATCACGCTGCTCAAAATCGAAAGACCGACGGGAGCCAGCTTGGACACAATCCGCGAGAGTTTGAGACCGGAATTGATCAAGTCTCCAAGGATATCAAACACCGCCTCTTCGTCGGGCACGAGTTTTGTATCCGAGAGCAGTCGGGCAGCTAAAGCTTTGGTCTCCTCGTCAGGATATGAAATTGAGCTTTCGCTGGTGACGAGAGCCCCTTTCGATTCAGAATCCCCATTACTGTCTGCCCTTGTGTCTGCGTCTGTAGCTTGCCGAAGAGCATCTAGTGTGATCTGCACGGCTGGTTCCTCCATGCCATGGAGCAAGTGGGGACCCGTCGGGGCGACCTGACTACGAAGCGCCTCGTAGGACTTTCGCCATGCACTCACAAAATTCTCCATGATCCTGATCCCTTTACCGCTCAGGAAATACTGCAGACAGCCCTCGGCAAGCAAGGCGCGCTCAGAAATAGCCAGTCCGGGTCGGAAGAGCCCGTGGCAGTCGTCCGCCGTTCTCCACCGCCGACTCGTACACATAGCCTACATGCCCAGCACCGCCCCGTTAGGCCCACAGAACATCGTTCCGTTGGTCAGGATGGTGGTAGGGATATCGCCCTCCATCTCCTTTGCTACCCTCTAGGCATGGACGAACCCCGTGGCGCCCGAGGCATTTCGCCGGTCGCAAGGGGAACGCTGTAGTACTCGATATATTTCCGAACAGCATCAGGCGTAGGCGTCGTGCTTCCAAAGAAGAAATTTACAATGTTGTCATAAGGGTTCAAATAGCTTTTTCCAATGGGCCTGGCCATGTTCATCTGGAAACTCCCGGCAACATGGGTTGCGAGCGGCGTTAGGGTGTTGCCTATCCTCTCCAGCACCGGAGAGCCCGATTGCGCCGCATAGGCGGAGATGGTTATGCCAACTGATTTTGAGTGTCCCGGAGATCAAAATTGACGTTGGCGAATTGCTCGTACATACAAGAGCCGGACTCATTCTCGGAGGACTTGTCCGCGGGATAGCCCACGACGCCCGAGTTCTTGGTGCCGCTTAGTGGAGTTGGGATGTACTTGAAGGCGTGACCCCGGTGAACTTGTCGCAGAGTTTGACAATGGCAAAGTCATGGACCCGCTGGCACCCAGTGACCCAGGCGCTGTGAGTGACTACCTTCGCGCCAGACTTGCACTGGACGTCGGCAGTGTCCACAGAGCTCTTTTCCTTGTAGCCAACGTATGCCTTGATATGAGACACTCAGCCCTAGTTATTCTCTCAGTCGTAGACGTAGTGGGAGATCATCCTTTATTAGCCATCCGGTGCCGGCAGCCCAGTGCTTGTCGTTACTCGCCTGGACGTGATAGTGCATTTGGAACTTGACGATGGCTGAAGGTGATGACTAATTAGTTGCTAAATGGAGTGGATGGTGTAGAGTGAGCACATATACTTGTATCTGCCCTTCAGACCGTTGTCGCTAACCTTGATCCGTGTGTCCTCCAAGACCACCTCGCTTAGCTTGGTCAAATTCTTCTCAGATGAGAATGAGGGAGTCTTTGGACGCCGATCTTCCACGCGCACATCTCAAGCTGGGTGTTCGGAGCCTGGTGGAGTGAGGTTACGGTCAAGGTGCTAGTCAATGCAGTAGAAACTTATCCTGGCGTTGGAATTTGACTTCAGAATGCCCTTATAAAAATCGGACACCGCGGGACCGCAGAGTGACAGAGTGAACACCGCCTCCACCATTATGAGGACTGTATGTTTCTTCCGCACACTATCTTGCAAAAGCGGCGTCGCGGCATCACCGTCTTATACTCTTTGATTGTTTCTCAAACCCTAATGCCAAGTAATTAGCGCTAAAATATATAGGGAATAATTAAGGACTAACTATATTCCGAATAATACCTGTCATTGTTGGAACAGTATAATACTATGATGTCATGTAAAACTTGTGTACCAGCTTGTATGGGCGATCCACGGGTGACTGGAAGCTTCTATGTAAAGTAACGCAAACTGTAAGAAGTGGCGACAGACTGTCAACAATCACCTCCCTGTTCCGATCTGGCTTTTCACGCACTTTGAGTTATGCAGGAAGTTACTGAGTGGTGTACCACTACACACAGTTGCAAAAACGGTGCACGAGTCTTGCACTCTTTGATTCTTTCTTGACCGTGGCGCTAGTCCCTATATGGCTAACCTTAGCAATTTTCATCAATCAATACTATTTTTGGACATAGAAAAGCAGGGAATACTCCCTTTATAGACTAGCGCCCTGATCAAGAAATAATCAAAGAGTGCAAGATTCGTGCACCGTTTTTGCAACTGCGTGTACAGTTGATATTGTTATCCTCCAAGTCCCTAGTAGGCTACCGGCGTGTAGCTGGTATAGTGTTCGTCTGCCACCCATTCCTTCCCCTGAGCGAATGATCATAACACTAGCTCTTTGTTGTGGAATTCAGGGGAAGTGATGCGCAGGGAGCTATTCTATCAGCTACAGGCCAACTAGCCTAAATAGGAAATAGATGTCATTCGGTGGAAACACCAGGAATCGCAGTATCTCAACCAATTGAGCCTACTAAGCGGTTCCCTATATTCTTATTGCGGTGTTCGACTAACTAACCAAGGATTGAGGGGTAGAATGGATCGTCAGATACTTCCTCACCGCCAAGTCGGGCGGATATAGTGTTTCCGTAACATTCTTCAAGTGATGTCTTTGTCAAATGCAATCCAGTTGTTGATGCATTCTCGTGCCGTGATATAGCCCCTCTTCTAATAAATACCGGATGACGCAATGTCGGATAACTCCGCGTTAAGTGGAAGGAGATCACCTGCACATCAGCGCGGTCTGGACGACGATGTCTCTTCCGTGTCATCGTTCGAGGATCATGATTTTCAGAAATTAAGGACATGAGCGATATTGTGGTTTAAGTGCAGAGTAGTTTTGTTGCTTAATTCCATATGAATCGTAACTTTAGCTCGATTACCTATCCATTTCCTGTGTCACAGTTACTGTACCTGATCGATGTCTTAGTTTTGTAGCTTCTGACAGTACTTTCGTCAATAAGCGATAAGGCGGAATACGATCTATGAGGATCCAGAGTAATAATATCTGAACTCGATCAGGTAGATCGTAATTATATCGTCAAGTCCAGTCGCTCTTCATTGGTTAGAGAGGGTTAGGTGCCGAATACGAGGTTTGCCTCGGTTATGGAGAAACGCCTGTTGCCAAGGGAAAAAAATCGCTAAATTGAGCAACTACATCCCCTTTCAATCTTGCAAATACCTTTCAATTTGCAGTTTATAGGCTAGGACACCCATATGTGAAGCCGCGAAACGTCTTCAGACTATATACCTCGACAGAACGCCATATCTTGGAAATGGAGAAACTATGCACTGGTGGCAAGACTCTCCGCCCAATTGCTCAGGTTGTTAGTATTCTTTCTAGGAAGCCGTCACTTGCGGCGTGCATCCAAACTGTACATCTTTCTCCCTGGGAAACTTATCTGGGATTTAACTCTGCCGAAGTTGAAAAAGCGTTGGATCTATGGAGAGAAGACCTGCGAATCAATGGCGAAGATGAGCAGCAAGAATATTCACAGGATGGCAGTGTCCGTCTGAAAACCTTTGACTTTAGCCCGCTGCATGAACAAGCAAAGCGCGTGACCCGTTCTGAAGATGAGGCAAAATTTTGGATGGATGAAATCAAGATCGGAAATGCAGATGCATGGATTGCACTGCTTCTCACCCTCTTACCCAACCTCCGACAACTAGACGTGGCGTTCCCCTACGGCTCACTTTGGCTCCACTATGTCATGAGATGGGCAAGAACTGGACAATTTGGCTCTATTATGGCATTCCCATCACTCTCGGAAGTTTATGTGGACTGGGATAGAGAAAACACTTCTATTTGTCATAAACACCTAGTACCTTTCTTCCTATTGCCATCAATGCGCCGGTTCTACGCGTATAATCTTAGAGGCGGGTCAGGCTATGGTTTCGATGAGATATCGAATTCAACTGAGACAGCTGGAACGTCTTCTATTACACATATTGAAATCGACGGCTGCGATGGGCAGTGGGACCTGTTGAAGGTGATAAGCTTCTGCAAAAATCTCCAATCTTTCAAATACAACCACCGTGGATGCCAGGGATTTGATCCGCATGCTATATACAGGGCCCTACTCCCTTTCAGTGAAACAATCGAGACAGTTTGGCTTGATATTCAAGAGCGTTTTCCTAGACACGGAGACAATCACCTTTGCGACGACCCACTCCCTTCCTTCAGGAACTTTACTGCCCTGAAAACACTCCATCTCCGAATGAACAGCTTGTCAATCTTTGCTCCCAGATCTGGGGAGGATCATTCCGACATATCTTTTGCGCAGACACTTCCACCTTCGATTGAGACGCTGCAGGTTGCCGAAACAGGAAACCCCAGCGATCTTCAGATACTTGCCCAAAAATTACAGCACCATGTGGATCATGACTTGGATTCCACGCCCACGCTGGCACAGATTGACTTCAGACCTTCGCTCAATTCACCAGAGACGTCAGAATTTCTGGAGAACATGGCCAGGGTTTGCGCGAAGGCAAATATCAAGTTTCATGTATGTGGTATATCTGGCGGCCGAACTACGTGGGGTGCTGCCGGATTTACACCACGTCTTTATGTGAAAAAAGGAAGTGAGCAAGATGAATTTATATTTTAAATTGGTTCTTGCATTGCTTCAACCAATTTTTCGGAGAGGTTCCATCCCCCGTAGTAGATCAGTGCATCGCATATATTTCCGGGTCGGTGTAGTCACCAGGATGGTTGGAGCTCGTCAAAGGAGGCACTCCTAGGGGGTGTATTATGGACAGGAAAGGGTAGACAAAGAAATGGAGACCGCCACTTACCAGGAGACAGCATGAGCGTTCAGAGTTACTGTAGCTGGGGCTGGCTGTTTATATCATGTCTCATTAAAAATGAACCCCAGGCATAGATAAAAATGTCCTGTTGATAGAGATGTGATTGTACAGGGGGCATGAAGAAATGCACTGTTGTTGGGATCGGGCAGATGTGATGGTAATCTGAGAGCTCTTCAGGTAATTCATGGGGGGTGATCCGTCGGAAACGGACATTGCTCGAGGATGATGTGGATATGGTTATAACAACACAATTCACTTTTGGATGAATAAGACTCACCATATTAGTCTGGAGCATAGCCTCCAGGGATAGCCTCCGCCGTTTCTAGGGCTAGTCTCCATATCGCAATAAATACACAGCTCATTCTACTCCTCACGCAGTAGAATACTCTCGTCAGACACAAGACCTCGATATCTTTCACATTCAATCACAACGCCAGGCCAAGAATCTAGATCCAAAGAAGTGTGGCCACAAGTCACATCCTACCAAACAACTATACAGATCCAAAAACATAAATGAGATGTAAGCTCCCATCTCTCATGCCCTATACCCCTCCGTAGCACTGGAGGGTAGCGAGTACAGTACATGCATCGCACTGCACAACTGTTCCTATTTGCGTATCGATCCTCCCGCCCGAACGCGTCACGTCCGCCTCCGACAAAAAGTAAAGTAAGGTGCGTCATCTATTACATCGGCCTCTTCACCGCCAGCACGTAGCTGGTTAGTATGTTCGTTAGTACGTTCATTCTAGCTCCAGAGCGGCCCGATCCCCGGCGGTGACAGATGTCTTGACAGATAGACTGAGAACGCGGCTCACATTGAAAAGGGATACTGTGGCCAAAACTCTATTTACTGTTCATGCCACAGCATCGTTCAGACATTTTTGCGGCTTGGCATCCTTGTACGCTCAGTCATCACCATCACAAGAATTACCAGCGAGGGTCTGCACAATGTGGCACCCGAGACTGCCTCCGTCAAAGGTTCGATTTCGATACCGAGGAACAAACTCAAGGTGTAAATGACCAAATTTCTAAAAGTTGGGCGCCCGTAAGCATGTTCTTCTCCTTATCTTTCCTATGTCCGCCTCCAGTCTGCGGTTATGCTTCATTGCTGTCCGCGCTCTTACTCCATATGGACTGACTATTCACTATGCTATCTATTTGCATGCATTGTCGCAAGGGTCCTTACTATTGTTGTATCAAAGTTGCCACGACTGTCGTCGAGCACGGCGGATACTTCCACTCAATCCAGGTCATGATGAGAACCCTGTTTATCCCACCAGGGGCATTTATCACGCTGCCCTAGGACTAGTAGTAAATTACTTTGTATGGTTGGTTAGTTTTGCCGTTCCGGGCTTGGCACCAAGACGTTGTCCGATAGCCTCCTCTCAGCGGGGCTGAGTGTGATGAACTTTCCATGTAACTTCCCACTTGCCGTCCGTGAAGAATCCAAAATCGGTCTATAATCAACACCTCAAACAACTTGTGTTCGTCACTAGACCGCATAAGTAACCAAGTCAAGGCCGCTTCTTCTACAGGGTATTGGGCTACTAAGTTGAAGGTAATAAGTGATCGATGACGCGTTTTCTTCCAAAGCTGCCAAGGAGCATGAAGCAGGTGTGTCTGATTCTTTGAAATAGGGAGCACAGCAAGAGCCTCCGATGGCCGAAACCCAGCAAGGGGTCCATCCCCACGTCCCCATCTGGCGCGCTATTCTCGACAATGACCAGAAAAGTTGGGTCTTGTTCGAACACGGCACCTGCGTGATCTTCGAGGAACCAACAACCGACCTGGCGGCGGATGCCAACAAAATCCTATCCACCTGGGGCCCTGTGATTGTCGGCTCCCCTGCGGCCGATTTCGATGTCATCCATCTCGACAACCCTCTAACGGGCTGGGTAGTGACTGGACACCATCCTGATGTGTTGAACTATGTGTCTCAAGATTCCACGGAGTCAGAGACGCCTGATTTCCTGGTCGGGTTACTAGGAAGAGGAAATCGTGACCAAGATGCTCATTCATTGAAAGTCATTCATATAGAGGACAACCGTATCAAGGGAAACGAACGTAAGGTATAGAAGGAAGTGGTGCACTCTACATATACATTATCTACATTAAGGATACTTGGTGTACAGTGGTTTTCGAAATCAGTATGACGTAACACTATCTAAGAAGTTTAACCTTGAACACATATACAAGTTAAAACCCAGAGTTCGTCGTCGGCAAGGGGACCAAACCTGGAATTGCTCGAACTTTCGTAGAGAGTTTCATGACTGGGTTGACAATGTCAACAAGTCAACACCCATTCTTGGAATAGTCATCAACCCTGACCCTCTTGTTGCGAGAGAAATTTCTCTCGAAGGGCAGTCTGTAGCTTTTTTTCCAAGAACAATTCCCAGTAGGCGCTTGGGTCCAAGACCAGGTCTTCTTCCGCGTCCTTCACTACAGCCTTATTGTTGACGGCGACCCGCCATTCTATGGGTTAATGGATACAGCTTGGTGGGTCCTTGTCGTAGATCTCGTCCTTCTCCCACTCAGACTCCTGGAGCAGTGGTACAGTATTTGGTCCATGTCGGCTTGCGGGATTGGGCTCATCGTCGAGGAGGATAGACGGGACGGGCTACAGTGGGATCGCGTAGTGTAACGGCTGCGGAAGTATCCTGGAGTTGGAGCATATTGTGAACCCTGTTCCCATGGTTCAAGCTCGTGGGGCTGGGAGATATAGTCATCATAATACTGGCCGTCGCTTATATTTGCACCCCATCGGAGGCCTGGAGATTTACATTAGCTTACTTAGGCGGTACCAGCTGGAGGCGGACGCCAGGAACGAGTGGAAGCGGCGGTAGAGAGCAGGAACCACCATATTAGCCTAGCAGCGTTAGTCCTCTACAGTAGCGGCACGGCCTTCGTCGTGCAAGAGGTGGGTGAAGACAAAGACTGCGGATAAAAGGAAGAAAAGGGGGAAGGCCGGGGTGGATCAAGCCAGATAGCCAGATTTACCCCCCAACATCTCTTCGAGAACCCTGCCTAGAACATTCATGTAGATATTTACAGTATTTTACAATGACCTGAAATCCAATACATGATTAGACGTGATACTGCCAAGCAGGGGTTATGCCTGTGTAACCTAATACGGATTAATATGGTTTCGGGTACGGGCCGAGAAACAAAGTGTGTGTCTATAGGGGAGTCTGTTTTCGACTCTCCCTGTATAACTAGACTGTCTTGCTTCTTTCTCTTAAGCCATGGATTTTCTTTATAAGCTCTTCGGGGACCTTCCAGAGGATGTTTGGTACGACTTGAGGGATTTCCTAGTCCGATCAATGTTAACCGCCTTTATATTACCCTCCTTGCAAGCGACCATTCCGGTGATCTTAGATACAAAGAAAAAGAATTTTTCGATTCTCTTTAGGATGGTTTTAAATATAACAAAAAAAAGTATAAGCTTTTCTTCCCCTCTGGAATCACTGTTAACATATACAAGGTTATTACCGGACATGAGGTGGCATATATTCCGCTAAAAAGGCTGTTTTCTTAGAAAAATAGGCTTGAATTACAGTACCACTTCTACCAAGGCAATGGATTAAAGGTACTTAAACTACTAAATATTATCGGAATTGGCGGCCCAGCAGAAAAATGGGGGAAGATTAAGCATGGCTATACTCTTAACCTTTATTACTATAGAAAGCTTATACAATATATGGCCGTTCAAAGGGGTAGCAAGCTAAACCTTTTGGCAGAAGCGATGGACAAATCCACGAACACAGTTTTCTTGTACTGCGTGAAATAAGATACTGTATTTTATATCTTAGTAACTAGTTAGGTGCAAATATTTACTTTAGGATAGAGTCAAGAAACTAGTACAATTACTTGGTTAACTATTTACTTTAAATCCAACTTTGTTTTTTTGTAAATATATATTGTATTCTGTAAATCAAGCACTCCCCTAGCTAAACAGTATTAAACTATTCCAAGCCCGGCAACAACTACAGTCGTGTGCGAGATCTTTATTCTATAATAAACTTATAAAGCCAGTTTTCTAGCTTTACTTCCAGAATTAAATTATACGCTGCAATAATATAAAATCAACCTGATTATTTACTACATAGAAAAATGGCCAGCCTTTGTTGGAATAGCTCCTTATATGGATCCCATAATTTAGTTCTTGAAAATCTGTGTGTTACCAAAGCATATATCATGAAGAATATGTACGCCAGACTCAAACTGTCGGAAAGGAATTCCAGGCCAGAGCATCGTAATCGGACTATTTTATTGACATTCTCCCTCGCTGAGGGTCCGAATCGCACCCACGGCAAAGCATACCCAAGCAGCAGCATCGACGGTAAACATCCGGGCCAGGTTTAGGCGTAGCCATCCTTCCAAGTCCCTTGTCGATTTCCCTTTCGAGTGATCTTCCGAGATGGCGCGCACTTTGGGCGCGACGATGGGGGCAAACGCAGCATGGCCGGCAGAAAAGGCAGCGCCAGCAGCGTACCACTGCAGAGACTGACGTGCACGGAGTGAGGCTCTATCAGTGGCGATATTCAAACTCGCAGTTGCGAGGGTTACGCCGAGCAGAACGAGCACCCAGGTGAGGCCGCCGCGGAAAAAGGTTCGAAAGTAGGTGGGAAGGTACTGGTCACTAAAAGACCGATTCGTGGGGTTGACAAAGACGCGGAGGAAGAGATGTTGGTCCCAGGCGAACCAGAGGCTGCACGTGGAGCTGATCAGGGGAGATAGACGGAGAGCGACGAGAGGATCAAAAATGATTCGTGAGGCCATTTGGATGGATTTGAGGATTTACACGTCGTTTGCTAGAGCAGCGGAAATATAATGGTGCGGTGACCGCGTTATATCCGCATTTTGAACGTCCTTCAGAAGCGCTCTCGGACTTGGCTACGTAGAAGACGTATTATTCCGAATCCTGACAAATAAGTCTCCGATCTCCAAGATTCGGAGAAATCTACTGGAATCAGTTCAAGACAAAATGAATCGGAGGTTGACTAGAAGCTAATGTGCCGAATGAAGCTAGACACTTGCGTATTCTCCTTGTCGGGCAGTTCCAGTACCCTCATTTACAATCTCGTTTACAATTATCTCCTCCAAGGACCCAGGCTTGACCATACTCCACCAACGACCAACGATTTGGCCTTCGGCTGAGATGAGAAATTTCTCAAAGTTCCATTTGATGCGCGTCAGACCAAATATACCTGGCTGTTTTTCCTTCATCCACGTCCATAATGGAGCGGCGTTTGGGCCATTCACATCAACTTTCGCAAGTACGGGAAACGTGACGCCGTAGTTCACTCGGCAGAATGTCTGAATCTCTTCGTTGGAGCCAGGGTCCTGGTTTCCGAATTGATTGCAGGGGAATGCGAGAATCTGGAATCTCTTAGGGTATTGTGCCTCGATTCTCTGATAGAGCTGTTCGAGCTCGTCTAGCTGTGGAGTGAAGCTGCATCGTGATGCGGTGTTGACTATCAAGACTACCTTTCCCCTTAGCGAAGCAAGGGGGAAGGGCTTTTCGTTTCCTGCAAATTGAAGATGCGTTAGTATAAGCGGTATCGAACATTCATCTTGAGGGGAACCCACTGTCATTCGGGTTGAAATCGTAAAACGTCTGAGGAGACATGATGGATATTGCCAGAATAGTGCTTCTCAACTTTTGGTAGATACACGGCTTCACTGAAATAGTATGCAGAATAAACTCGTGTAAGGCAAAGGTCTCCTCACAGACGTGCCTTTTCTCTCTTGCAGTTAGACTATACCGGCTTCGGGGACATCGTAACTCGGAGCCCTACCGGGGACATTTGGCAAGTTCGACGCCGAAGCGGATAGGCTCTCATCCCCAGTAAGCCAATTCTACCTATCCCTGTTATTTCTATCTGATCTAATCAGTACATAACTTGCTATGTTAGATGTCAAATCTGGCCGTACAAAAATATTGTTTAGCAAGACGCGCCCCGCCTCAACAACACAGAAGTCGTCCTTCGGCACTGCTGAAACATCGCACCATGACCTGCAAGCAGCGAGCGGAAATATCCAACATTCATACCCGACAGAATGCAATTGCATGCCTCCCTGATGGCCATTTGGGCTATGTCCAGGATGCTCCTATCCCTTCTGTTGCACCAGACATGGTGCTCGTGAAAACGGCCGCCGTAGCCCTGAATCCGACGGACCACAAGATGGCCGCTAATTTCCCTACCCCAGGAGCCATCTCCGGCTGCGACTTTGCAGGTACTGTCGTCGCAATAGGATCTGCTGTCACCAAGCCCCTGGCACTTGGTGATCGAGTGTGTGGTGGTGTGCACGGTGCAAATCCCCTCGAACCAACGATCGGAGCGTTTGCCGAGTATGTCGGTGCCACGGCGCATATCCTGGCGAAGATCCCCGACAGCCTCTCCTTTCAGGATGCAGCCGCGATTGGAGGCGCAGGGCCGTCTACGATGGCTCTTGCACTGAGAGATTCTCTCGGACTGTCCGGGAAAGGATCAAGCGATTCGGAAGAGTTTGTGCTTGTGTATGGAGGCAGCACTGCCACCGGAACGATGGCACTTCAATTACTCAGGCTGTACGTGGAACCTTGATATTTTTCTCGCTCGGTTCGGTCCTCTTCTTTGTGATGAAAAGCTCCGAAGTGACGACTCATTTTGATTACAGAGCGGGCTATCGGGCCATAGCAACCTGTTCTCCCCGAAACGCGGACCTCGTCCGTTCATATGGCGCCGAAGCCGTTTTCGACTACCGCTCAGATACCTGTGCCACTGACATACGGGAGTACACCAAGAACACCCTGCGCTATGTGCTTGACTGCATCACAGAGCCGGCAACATTGGAACTTTGTCTCAAATGTATAGGCCGCGCTGGGGGTAAATATTGCGGGCTAGAGGCATTCTCCGACGATCTACGCACACGCAAAGCAGTCTCAATGGAGTGGGTTCTGGCTCTGAGTATCTTTGGAAAGCCGATTGCGCTCGACAAGGGGTATGGACGAGATGCCGCGCCGGAGCACCGAGAGTTAGGCAGGAAGATGTTTGAGGAAGTAGAGCAATTGCTGCAGAATGGACAACTCAGGGCTCATCCAGTACGCATGATGCCAGGAGGCTTGGAGGCTATTCCTGATGGACTGGCTCTTTTGAAGAAGAAGCAAGTGTCAGGGCACAAATTGGTGTACCTTGTGGAGTAGCGAATGAGATTCGGTTGATATCCGCATTACTTCCAGTGTTAGAGGCTCCGAAAACCCCTATTTTGCTTCTTTCTTTCTATGTTTGTGCATTTCGCTATAAGTTTACTTTCTATACACAAAGTGCCTAGGTAGGCAGCATTGGTACATATTTATATCCAGGTGCTATGGGAGGGGGATTATGAATTAATTCACTGACCCCCTATAACCGTTTGAATTACTACATCGGTAGACCAACAAATGTAACAAATCAGGATACGAAACCTTTAAGTGACATATATAGACTAAGTATTTTCAGGACCTTATACTATTCAAGCACTGAACAAAGACGCAATATAGACTAATAGTACTTGTCTGCTGGCTTGTCAGGCAGTGCAATCACAGATCTCTCGGCGAACGAAGGCTGTAGTGATTTCCCATTCGAGTCGATGTTCACAATCTTTCCGTCCTTCATGTACACCTCAATCCACGTCACTGAGATGGTAGTCGCATCCAGACGGATGAACTTCTCGGTATCTACATGGAGGGCTTTGAAGTCCTCGTCGGCCGAGACGGCCAGCAAGGCCGACACATCGGTGAAGTAAAACTCAATCGTCACGTCGTGGTCGTCAATTTTCCAGGGTAGCTGCAAGCCTTTGGCGAGCTCGCGAGTGTGGCTGGTTCCGAGAGCCTGTGGTGGATGGGTGTCGGGGTTAGGGTGCGCCGGCGTCAAAACCCACCAAAGGGGAAAGGTATACGGACCAATTGGTAATGCAGAATGCCATGTCTTTCATGGATTTGGGCGGCTTTCACAGCATGGTCTCTGGAGATGAAATTATGGAACTCTTCCTCAGACACATGGTCGAGCTTGTAATAGGAGCCCGCGAGACGCAAGACTTTCTGGATATCGCGCATTTTAGGAGCCTGGGCAGCAAATTGGAGTAGAAACTTGTTGGTAAGGGAGGGAAGTGACCTAGTTGCGACTGAGAGGATATATCCATCTACGTATATATATATGTGTGTAGACAGATGTACTTGCGTGGACGACGTCGCCCGATAGACCAATATACACGGAGGTGAAAAAAAAGGCTCCGAACAATACACACTGTCGTAAGTCTCGGGTTCCAAAACTTGGCGAGATACAAATGATGACGACTTATACCGGACACGTATCGGCTAGGACAGTTAAAGTCCCCGATATAGCATTGATAAAAGAGAGAGCATGAAGATAGCCGCAGAAACATTTCTGGGCACACTGGCAATATACTGAAAGAATCCTCTCTACAAGGGAAAAGCGAAATAACGCCATGTTTCAATTTTTCCCATCAACCTTTTTCAACTTCGAATTTACCCGTGTTCTGGGCACTATTGCTTTCGGAGGAGCGGAGCTCGCCGAATGCCTGGACGCGGCCACCAGCATAGTCAGCGATGACCCCGAGACATGGCACCAGGCCTGGTTGACCCAGGCTGAAAAGGCCGAGGCTCTAGCCATCGATGCACTGGCACATGGTGACAAAATCGCTGCACGGGAGGCGTTTCTGCGAGCTTCGAACTACTTCCGAGCAAGCCAATACATGTTCAATGACCGACCAGATACGCCCGATCCGCGGGTGAAGCAGTTCTTCGCTCGGAGTGTGGCTACGTTCCGTCAAGCACTTCCCTTTTTCGAGCATCAGGCTCACTTGCTTCGGATCCCGTATCGCGGCGACATTCACTTGCCAGGGTACTTATTTATTCCGGACGTCCCTCCCAGCAGTGATCGCGCAAATGCCCCGTTCCCCGTCATCATTTGTTGTAACGGCGCCGACTCAACGTCAGAAGAGCTGTATACGCTGTTCGGCGCCAGTGGCTGTAAGCGAAACTACGCCGTTGTTCTGTTTGATGGACCCGGACAGGGCCACAGTCTTCGAGAGGAGAAGCTCCCCATGCGCCCAGACTGGGAGAATGTGACGACTCCGGTCCTAGATTACATCTGCAAGATCGCAGGGCAGAATCCCCAGTGGCTCCTTGATACGTCGCGCATTGCTCTGGCCGGTGTCTCCATGGGGGCCTACTACGCCCTCCGCGGGGCTGTGGACCCGCGCGTCAAGGCGTGTGTCTCCATCGACCCATTCTATGATATGTTTGATCTGGCTACGTCGCGCATGCCGCCCTGGTTTATCCGGGCGTGGTTGGCTGGCTGGATTACGGACGGGATGTTTAATGCCACCTGGGCGACCCTTTCGAGATTCAACTACCAGCTGAAGTGGGAATTGACACATGTGATGTGGATTTTTGGCCAGCCGTCTGCCGCGGCGGCTATGCGGGAGATGCGTAGGTATACACTTGATGTCGGAGAAGGTAGGGTGCCGTACCTGTGTCAGACCAAGTGTCCGGTGCTTGTGAGTGGAGCAGCTCACACTATCTACACGACCCCTGAAATCAGTACCATGCGTGTGAATCAAGCTCTTGATCATCTGCCCGACTCCAAACGGCAGGTTTGGGTTGCACGAGAACCTGGAGATGGGGGACTGCAGGGGAAGGTGGGTGCTTGGCGTCTTCTACAGCAAAGAATGTTTCAATTTCTGGGAGAGCAGTTGGATGTGCAGCAATGCCGTGGGGTGGAAGGGGGGAACGCAGCTTGTCGAAACAGGCCATAGATGTGATAGATGTTACTGGAGGTTATAAGTGAATTGCACGAGCATTAGATATCTGAACCCAGTTTTTATTTCTACCAAGAAATTTGAGGCCACACTGTTTACAGAAATCTCGCACGACAGGGGACAATCGGTAGAATGTCTGCAAAGCTCCACGGGCTGCGTCGAGCCAGGAAAGAGCTCAAAGCCCCCGACTTGCTAGTGCCCGAACACAATATATTAGATACATTGATCGTTCATACAGAAGAAGCAAGTATCACGCGGCAGGATGCTTTTCCGCAGGGCGATCTTGCTCGACTCCCGTCAGTCCATATTCAGTATCCAGCTGGGACCGTAGCTTGATGCTCTTCTCCCAAAAGCAGAGCAAGAATGACAGCCCCGAGAATCCAATCGAGACCTGCCATACCACCCGTAGACTGCGCGAATATACTTCGATTGTCTCTTGCCGCACTTTCGGGCTCAGCGCGTTGATCATGGTGCTCGACGCATACGAGTAGGCATTTCCCCCGCTCAGCATGCTCCGAACGGCAGGGTCACTGATAGAAGAGGCGTATCGATCGAACTGATTATTGAAGATGGCAGCGGGGACCGACAGACCCCAGATAATGCCGAAGCTGCGAACAAACGCCCAGAGTGCCGTAGAGGTTGCCGTGTCTTTCTCCTCGAGCCCGGCTTGCACGGCAGGAAGGAGTACGGGCATGATGATGCCAGCGCCAAAGGCCGCAACCATCTGCGTCAGTGTCCAGGCAGCGGTGGATGAGTCCGGCGCCAGGATTGTAAAACAGCCAATTCCGATAGTAAGCAATGCAAATCCTACAATGTGCAGGATCTTGTAGTTTCCTGTCTTTGACAGAACGGCGCCTGAGACACCGGCGACTGGAATCATGGAGACGACGGTGGGCAGTAACTGGACGCCTGATCGCTCGGGCGAGGATTGTAAGACCGCCTGGAAATACACAGGAAGCATATACAGAATCCAAAAGCTGAGGAGTCCGTGCATGAATGTCTGGAAAAATGCAATGCTAGACGTGCGATTGCCAAAGAGGTGCAAGGGGGTCGTCGGGTCCTTAACGAGCGGCGAGGCTTGGAACAGCACAAATGCCGGGATGCCCAGCAGGCCGACAATCAACGGGGCCAGCACATGGCCAGAGGACCACGGGTAGCGAGTACCTCCCCAGCTGAGGGCAATCAGAATTGCTACAATAGCTGCGACCAAAAGCAAGTTGCCCAGATAGTCCAGCCGCTTCAACTTTGTCGGAATCGAGGTCTCGCGGTCATAATTCACCTGGAGGAAGAGAATCAAGAGGAGAAGACCAACCCCCCCAATGGGGAGATTGAGGTAGAACACCCAACGCCAGGTGGTATTGCTCACAATCGCTCCGCCGATGAAGGGGCCAAGTGAAGTGCCGATAGCGAACACGACGAACAACAGGGCAAGGTACGCTCCTCGCTGATTCAGAGGCACCAGATCGCAAATAATCAGGTCAATCAACATATTGATGCCTCCGCCGCCAATTCCCTGAACGGCACGGCCAGCAATCAGCATTGCTTCGCTTGATGCGCCGCCACAGAGACCGCTGCCCAGGATGAAGAGGACGACAGAGAAGATCATGGGATACCGGCGACCGAAGACGTTCGCAACTTGTCCGTAGATAGGCTGGAAGCATGCTCTACACAAATGAGCGTCAATATCCCTTCAATCTCGGAGGGCTTAATTTAAGGTACAAAATCGAACTTACGTGGTCAAAAAGTAGGCATTGGACACCCATGGATAGTTGTCGCCAATGTGCAGATCAGCCACGATGGTTGGCAGCGCCGTCGACGTCACGGTTCCCTCCAAAGCAGCAAGTAAGGAGGTCACGCAGAGAGCTATGAAGACAAGCCAAAAGCGAACGTCATGATTGAATGCTGTCTTCGAAACGCTTTTAGGACTCTCGAGGCCGGCCTCGAGCGGGTTTGACGGTGATGTTGCGTTCACGGTATCCATGGTGAGAAGTGCGATGATAGGGCAAAGGTATCGAAGAGTAAAGATTGATTGTCGCTTCGAGCCAAAAAAAAGGGAAGAAAAAAAAAGAAGTCAGGGATAGTCGCCTCTGGGATCGAATCGATCAATTCGGGGACTTTTGATACGCGACTCTCCGAAGCCGAATCCGAAACCCTAGCTCGGAAACACCCCAAAGTCTCCGATGTAGCAGAACGCGGCCCGAAATACCGGCGGCCAATCCACGTAGCACCCATAGGGTGTAGAATGTATGGATCGGAGGCAATGCTAGAGATGTTGTCGCCTGTGCTAAGTTGGACAATCCGGGAAGAGGGTTAGCCACACGGGGATGGACAAGCAAATCTCATGCGAAGAGGTAGTGAGACGGAGACAAAGAGAGAAGAGACGACTATGGGAGCAAAGAGAGCTCCGCGATCCGAGATGTGTTCCCGATATCTCGAGCTCGTATCCTTCGCAATATGCCTCAGCTATGGTGCTTTATTACTTGGGGCAAATACCCCAAAGTACACGGGAAAGCCAAGAAGGTCAATCCAAGGCCCATTTCCCAAATTGAAAGAAATCTACAACAGCTATGCCTGCGGAACCTATCGCTATTATTGGGAGTGGATGTCGGTTCCCCGGGGGGGTGGGTTCGCCAGCGAAACTCTGGGAGCTGGTGTCCAACCCTCGGGATGTACTGCAGAAAATCCCACGAGAACGATATCATGCGGACGGCTTCTACCATCCTGATGGGCTGCATCACGGCTGCAGCAATGTGCAACATGCGTATACCTTGACCGAAGACGTGCGCCTTTTCGACGCCAGCTTCTTTCAAATCAGTGCCAACGAAGCGGCGGCGATTGATCCACAGCAGCGACTGCTACTAGAGGTCGTTTATGAAGCCTTGGAGTCGGCTGGACTGCCAATCGAAGACTTACGAGGGTCGGACACTGCCGTGATCGTTGGTCAGATGTGCGCCGATTACAATGATATCCTCACCCGCGACTTGGAGACCATGCCGACCTATTTTGCCACCGGCACCTCTCGGGCCATCATGGCCAACCGTGTCTCATATGCTTTTGATTGGCACGGACCCTCGTGGACGATTGATACGGCTTGTTCGTCAAGCCTGGTTGCAGTGCATCAGGCAGTCCAGCTGCTTCGGGCAGGCGAGTCGAGGGTAGCCGTTGCGGCGGGCTCAAACTTGCTTCTCGGACCGGAGCCCTATATCGCTGAAAGCAAGCTGAAGATGCTCTCGCCAGACGGTCGTTCCCGGATGTGGGACGCAAACGCGAATGGATACGCCCGTGGCGATGGTGTAGCGGCCGTCGTCCTTAAGACTTTATCGGCAGCACTGGAGGACGGAGACAGTATTGAGTGCATCATAAGGGCTACAGGTGTCAACCAAGATGGGCGGACAAAGGGCATCACCATGCCGAGTAGTGTAGCGCAGGCAGAACTGATTCGAAAGACATACGAAGCTGCGGCATTGAGTCCGTTGCACGATCGTCCGCAATATTTTGAGGCTCACGGCACGGGCACCAAGGCGGGAGATCCCCAAGAGGCCGGGGCTATCTTCCGTGCTTTCTTTGGAGATGGAATCAAGGAAGACAACGCGCTCGAAAGGCTCTGCGTCGGCTCCATCAAGACTATCATCGGGCACACAGAAGGCACTGCTGGACTCGCGGGACTGCTCAAGGCCTCTCTGGCGCTCCAACATGCTCAGATTCCACCAAACATGCATTTTCATCTACTGAATCCTGACATTGAGCCTTACTGGTCGCGATTGCAGATTCCAACCACACTGCAGCCATGGCCCAAACAGGAATCCTTGGTCCGTCGGGCAAGTGTCAACAGCTTTGGTTTCGGTGGGACGAACGCTCACTCAATACTAGAAAGCTATCCAGCTGGTCAAGCCGGTCAAGTTCAGCGCGCATCGGGTATGCTGCCATTTGTTTTCTCGGCGCAGTCAGAATCCGCCCTGGCTACAACAATGGAAAGACTTGCCTTACACCTGCGTCAAAATCCGGACATCTCTCTCCGCGATCTCGCGTGGACGCTTTATGCCCGTCGCAGTCTTTGGCCAATCCGAGCGAGCTGTTTCGGTGCCTCTGCATCGGAGCTAGAGGCTGAGCTTCTGCTCTGTGCCGCGAAGATCCGTGATGGGAAACAGTCTCCGGCTGTGAATCCGCCTCCAATTCTGCGATCTAACCCTCGGGTGCTCGGAGTTTTCACCGGTCAGGGTGCGCAGTGGCCCGCCATGGGTAGAGAGCTCATCCGTGCCTCACCCTGGCTTGAGCGGCGTGTGGACAGCTTAGAGCGTGCCTTGTGGCTGCTTCCTGAACCCGATAGACCTACGTGGTCACTCAAAAAGGAAATGCTGTCTTCCACAGCTAACGTAGAGGAAGCATTGCTCTCTCAACCATTGTGTACTGCGGTACAGATACTCCTTGTTGACTGCTTGCGTCTTGCAGGCATAGAGTTTGCGTCAGTCGTGGGCCATTCCTCGGGCGAAATCGCAGCCGCCTATGCAGTAGAATGCCTGACTGCCGAAGCCGCCATCTGCATCGCGTACTATCGTGGACTGCACACGAAACGAGCCGGGGGGGCCAAGGGCGAGCCCGGAAGAATGCTGGCTGTCGGCACATCGATAGACGATGCTCAAGAGCTTTGTGCACTGCCCACATTCGCAGGCCGTTTGGTGACCGCCGCAACCAACTCTGCATCGAGCCTCACTTTGGCGGGTGACAGGGACGCCATCAACCAAGCGCATCTCGTGTTTCAAGACGAAAAGAAATTTTCCCGACCTCTCAAAGTCGACAAAGCATACCATTCACACCATATGCTTCCGTGTGCCGGTCCGTACGGGGATTCCCTAGACCAACTGCAAGTATGCGCTTCAAAACCTCGCTCGCGGTGGTACTCGAGCGTCTATGATGGTGACCTAGTCCATACCGCTGACGGACTTTGCGGTCCATACTGGGTCGAGAACATGTGCCGTCCCGTCTGCTTCTCACAAGCACTCACGAAGGCGCTTAAGCAGGCCGAGGACGCTTACGATCTGGTTATCGAAGTTGGCCCTCACCCGGCCCTGAAGGGCCCAGCAAGCTCCACCGTCCAGGAGAGTCTGGGACGAGATCTTCCGTACACAGGGCTACTACAGCGCGGCTCAAACGATGCCAGGGCTTTTGCGGACGCCCTGGGCTTTATCTGGGCCCGATGCGGCCGAGATGCAATCAATTTCTCAGCGTTGCAGGATACGTTGCTCGATGCGACTGAGCAACCAGGGCTGGTGAAAGACCTACCCTCGTACCCGTGGGACCATAGCCGGGCCTTCTGGCATGAGTCGCGCGCAACCCAGGCTGACCTCTTCCGAGAATTCCCTCCACACCCTCTCCTGGGGGTCTGCAAGGAAATCGTGAGTGACCGCGTCCAGTGGCGAAATATTTTGACGACTCGTGAGATTTCGTGGCTGAATGGCCACACTCTTCAAGGACAAACTGTCTTCCCGGCATCTGGATATATATCCATGGCAATTGAAGCGGGAAGAGTGGTTCTGGAACCCGAGGAGTCCATCGCACTCATTGAGGTGCAGGACCTTGTGATCGACAGGCCGATCACATTCGAGGAAGACTCTATCGTAGGGGTTGAGGTTCTCGTCACCCTGGAGGGCATTTCGCGCGAGATACAGGAGGACGGAGCAAAATTGATGACTGCGACTTTCACCTGCCATACGCCAGCCAGCCAAGGATCTAAATCACTCGTTATTGCTGCCAGAGGAAACGTGTGCGTCACGTTGGAGGCTGCCCGGGAGACAACATTACCCCCTGCCCGGGAGGTGTTCGAAGACCTCATCGAAGTGGATCGCGAGAGGTTTTACGATGGCTTGAACGAGCTTGGGTATCAATACACGGGACCCTTCAAGGCACTTGACCGACTGGCACGATACCTCAATCTTAGCACAGGCGTTGTCTATCAGCCGCAGCAAAATGAAAGCTCTCGAGAATCTTTGCTCGTTCATCCAGCTATGCTAGATGCCTCATTTCAATCAGTCTTCCTGGCATACAGCTGGCCGGGAGATGGAAGACTGTGGTCCCTACATGTGCCTACCAAAATCCGTCGCGTGCAGGTGAACCCCGTCTTGTGTGCAGCGTCGGATGCAAAGCTGTTCTTCCATACCGAAGCCGAGGAAAGCTCCAAGAGCTCTATACAAGGACACATTATTTTATCTCGTGCAGTAGGAGAGCCTGCCGCCATCCGAGTCGACCAGATTACCGTCATTCCTGTCGCTCCAGCTACCGTAGCCGACGATCGGGCTCTCTTCGCGAGTGAAGTATGGGAGGATATGACTCTCGATGACCCAGAGGCATTTGCTCAGTCTTATACCGTTGAGGAGGATCGTCTCGGGCGAGCTATCATTCGACTAGCTGAAGAGCGGTTAAGCCAACTCCTGTCGTCCGGGGGTGATCAACGAGAACGTCTTTCCAGGATTGCAAATCATCTGCATGGGAGGACTGCCAATGATGGTGTTGACAGGTCAAACGCTTGCACGAGCGGTATCGACGGCTCCCAGGCAGTTTCCTGCACGCCGTCCTCCGGAATGAGCTCGCCCAACAGTGTTGATCTGGCTGTCCTAGACGCAGTCCTAGAGCTTGTACATACAGGGAATTCTGGTGATGGAGCCACTGCTGTAGGAAAGCTCCATGATGCTGATCTCATGGATCGCTATTTCGAGCATGGCCTCGGTGTCTCAGACTCCAATTATCGACTGGCGATGATCGTCCGGCGCTTATCGCATCGCTACCCATCAATGAATATTCTTGAACTGAGTCAGTGTATCCTAGACATTTTCCTGGCTGCAGCAGTAATGCTAATGAAAAATAGATGCTAATAACACTACCCTCACCGAGACTGTATTACACAATATCCACCCAGGATTCTCCTCTTACGCCGTGGCCCCGCCACAGAACAGAATCGAACGGATGAAGCGATCGGTGGCGGGCAAAATGCGAGTGACAGTTTCAGCTCTAGACCGTTCAAGAGACGTCGAAGAGCAGGAATTCCCAGCAAGCTATTCAGATTTGGTGATCGGCAGCCTGGTGCTTGATGACCATAGCATCGAAGATACCTTGCGAACTGCAAGAAGGCTCCTTCGCCCTGGAGGCTCACTCTTCCTGCAGACAGTTGGAGAGGCTTCACGTTTTGACCTCTATTATGACATCGCGCAGAGCCTGCCTCTTAGTATTCCTCAATGGCATCATCTCCTCCAGCAATGCGGATTCTCAGGTATTGATGCATTCTACCAGTCTTCGGCGGCAAACCCCCTGAGCATCGTTCTCACCCAAGCAACTGATGAGAGCGTTGCTCTACTCCGGCAGCCTTTGCTTAGTACATCGAATGACCTGCAGATTCCTGAGCTCGTCGTCGTCGGTGGTGCAAGTCTCTTCACGGTCAAACTGATCGACGACTTGATGGTCTTCTTGTCGCCGAGAACTGCTCGCGTAACGCTGCGCGAGTCTATAGCTGACGTCCACAAACGGCCACTTCCGCCTATGAGCACTGTTATCTGCCTCAGTGATCTGGATAACCCGGTATTCAGTGACCTGCATCCGGAGACATGGACGGGGCTGAAATCACTTTTCGATTGCTCGCAAAATCTTCTCTGGCTGCTCGGAGGGGCGCGTGGTCAGCAGCCATACCATAACGCTACTGTTGGTTTTGGAAGAACGCTTAGACTGGAGATGCCACATGTGAATCTACAGTTCCTCGATCTTAATGATGGCTACAAGGTAGCCGATGCACGGTCTATAGCCGAGCACTTGCTTCGACTCTGTTTGCTGGGGCAGGAAAAGCAAGCAAAATCGATTGGTCCTGCAACACCTCTGCTGTGGTCAAACGAGCCCGAGCTGTTATTGACCAACGGCCGAGTGAAAATTCCACGAGTCATTCCTCACGCTACCCAAAACGGCCGATACAACTCATCGAAGCGCTCAGTCAACATATCAGTCAACCCGGCCAAAGTGCCTGTGAGTCTTTCGCGGGCTGTCTCTAAGGCGTTCAACATCCATCTCGATCAGACTCAAAATCCACGGGCAGACCACAGCATGCTTATCAACGTGACCTACTCTGCCGTTCAGCAACTTGCATTTCCTGATGATGAGCACTTGTACCTTGTCATTGGGCGCTGCAGTGATACTGGCCAACGGGTCATGGCATTTGCTTCCAGGCTGGCTAGTCGAATTGCTGTTCCTCGGCAGAATTGTCTTGTCCTGAACAATGATCGTGATACAGCAGTATACGAAGACGCCAAACAAATTCAATACGTCCTGAATCATGTCTACATGCTTTCTATTGTGTCTCAGGTGCAGCCGGGGGCGAACGTGCTCTACTTCAGCGCCGACAACATCACCCGCAGGATGTTTTTGAAGCTCGCCAGCACACGCAAGATTTCCGTTGTATGGGTTACCACAGGCGACAACAGCACTGACGGGGATAGCATCTACATTCACCCTCGAAGCAGCCTTCGTGATGTCAAAGCATTGATTCCCGGAAGGCCATCTGTGATTGTGGACCTCTCAAATTCTCGGAACAACTCACTCCAGTCACGCCAGCTTTCGGAAGCCTACGGCAGCAGGGTGTTTGATCTGAAGTATCTACAAGAACTCCCGTTGCTGTCGCTATTCGATGGGGACTCTACTTGGGCTCTGGATATGGCGAACAGGGATTTTCACCAGGACGCGCCACTGATGGCTTCTTGGCATGCAGAAATAGTGAAACTGGACGATTTGCGAGAGGCCACTACCTCCCCCTTTACCATTGTGGATTGGAATATTCCCTCGATTTCTGCCGAGATTGATCCTGCAGAGACACAACCACTATTGCGCCCGGATTGCACGTATCTTCTTGTGGGACTAACTGGTGGCCTGGGACAGTCGCTCTGCGAATGGATGGTCCGCCATGGAGCGCGGCATCTAGTTCTCACAAGTCGAAACCCCAAGATAGACGCCCGATGGATAAAGGCGCTCAATAGGGAGGGGGCTGTGATCAGATTGGTAGCGAAGTAAGGCCAACTCATTCCCCCTCTTATACGTCCCCGAATGCATTCGGAAAGATGCTGCCACAGACTCCGCTAGGTTTACTGACGAAAGCTCTTTAGTGATATCACCGACAGCCAGTCGGTCCGCGCGCTATACGACGATATTACTACAACGTGTCCGCGCATCGCAGGTGTGGTCAACGGAGCGATGGTCTTGCAGGATTCGTCCATCTACGACATGGACGTTGAGATGATGCTGAAGGTCCTGCGTCCGAAAATAGATGGAAGTCGCTTTCTCGACGCACTGTTCCAAGAGAACACTCTGGATTTCTTCGTCATGCTCTCCTCCTTGACCGGTGCCTGTGGAAACAGCGGTCAATCAAACTACACGGCTGCCAATATGTTTATGGCCGGGCTGGCCGCACAGAGGAAACAGAAGGGGTTGGCCGGATCGGTCATCGACATCGGAGCGATGATGGGAGTCGGGATCCTGGTTCGAGATCGAAGCTATGCCTTACAAGTCCAATTGCGTGAATACGGCTATCTCTGGATGTCCGAACGGGATTTTCACCATAGCTTCGCCGAAGCTATCCTAGCAGGACGTCCGGACCAGAACGAAAACCCGCAGGTCATGGCTGGGATCCGGCTCTGCCGAAGAGATCAGCTGAAGTCGGTGCAATGGGCCGAGAATCCTCGTTTTGGCCACTGCATTCAGCCATCCGAGTCGGATTCGTCGGCGGGTAAACACACCAGTGGAATACCTCTAGCCACCCAGGTGGTCGAAGCGGCAGATGAGGCTGAAGTACGGCGCCTTCTGGAGGATGCGTTTTTGCACAAACTGGCATCCGCCTTGTCCTTACCGGAGCTGGACGCGGGGATGAAGCAAAAAATGCTCGCACAGGGAGTGGACGAACTGGGGGTGGACTCCTTGGTGGCAGTGGACATTCGTTCATGGTGGCTGAGGGAGCTTCGCGTTGACATGCCAGTGCTCAAAATCCTGGGGGGCACGGCCATTACCGACCTCATCGAGTACGGCCAAAGGCAGATCGCACCTGTCTGTTCGCCTCGGGAGGAAACCTCTTCTCCCGCGGAGATTCAATCCCCCCCAACATCTTCGGATAACGAGTCTTCTGAGGCCGACAATGGTGCATCCACCCCAGCGGAGGGCTCGGATATCTCCAGTGCCACGAGCGACGGGGAAGCGGAGATCAAATTGCCGCCTCTAGTGCATCAAGAGCTTATGTCCTACGGACAGCGTCGATTCTGGTTCCTTGGGAAATACCTCGCGGATAAAACAAGCTTCAACATCACATGTCTGATCCGTCTTACGGGCCGTCTTCAAGTCAGCAACTTGGCGCACGCTGTCAATACCGTTGGGCGGAAACACAGTGCCCTAAGAACCTGCTTTTTCGAGGACGAGCATGGCCAGGGCTGGCAGGGGATTCTTGAGCACACGCGCCTGAAGCTTGAGACAAAATCAATCCAGGGATACGAATTTGCCCGCGAAGAATTTCAGCGGTTGCGCCAGCACGTCTATGACTTGGCGTCAGGAGAGTGTATGCGAGTCATTCTTCTGTCTCAATCGGCCGAGTCTCATTACCTTCTCATGGGCTATCATCATATTAACATGGACGGCATCAGTCTCCAGGTCGTGCTGAGGGATCTGGAAACTGCCTATCTTCGACGGCCATGGCAATCGGATCCGCTGGAATACCATCAATTCGCAAGGTGGCAGCGCAACATGGTGGAAAGTGGCGCTCTCCAGGCCGACCTCACATACTGGCGAGGGGAACTATCTAACATGCCAGACGTCCTTCCCATTCTGTCCATCTCAACGACGACTGTTCGACAGCCAATTCAGGACTATTCCCACAATCGGGTCGACTTCAAGATCCCCCGCCAGCTCGGAGCCCGCATCAAAGACGTCGCGCGCAAGCATCGTGCCACTTCATTCCACTTCTATCTCGCAACCTTCAAAGCACTGCTGTACCGATTTTCGAGGGTAGACGATCTGGTGATAGGAATGGCAGACGGGAACCGAAATCATTTGGACGGTGCGATGGATGGCGTTGGCATCTACCTGAACCTCCTCCCTGTGAGATTGCGTCGAGGCGGGCAACAAACGTTTGCCGAACACTTGATAGACGCTCGAGCAAAGTCTCACGCTGCACTCTCTCACTCAAATCTTCCGATTGACGTTCTGCTCGACGAGCTCCAGGTAGCTCGCTCTGCTTCTCACACTCCAATATTCCAGGTCTTTGTGAACTACCGACAAGGAGCTCAGGAGAGTTTGCCCTTTGGCGACTGCCAGCTTGAGGGCGACCAGTACGAGATTGGACGCACAGGCTACGATGTCAGCCTGGATGTCATCGAGAATGCGCAGTCTGAGGCTACCGTGATGCTTGTCACTCAGGAATACCTGTATTCAGAGCAGCAAACGGAAATTCTGGCCGCCAGTTTCCAGCAGTTATTAGATTCGTTCAGCCAAGATGCTGAGTTGGAGGTGGATGCAGCGCCACTATACCCCAGAGAGAAAGTCGGGGAAGCATTGCAGTTATCTCGAGGGCCCAAATATGTGCCACAATGGAAAGGCACCATTGTTGATCAGATCGACGAGATGGTAGCTCGCTATCCACATCAACCAGCCCTGTCAGAGGATCAATCTTCATTGACCTACGAGCAGATGTCGGCACGCATGCACACAGTGGCAGCTGCATTATTGAACCAGAAAATCGGACCAGGGGCGAAAGTCGCCGTCTTTCAACAGCCCGGTGTGGATTGTACTTGCTCCATGTTGGCTATCTTGCGGCTGGGAGCGATATATGTTCCATTTGACCCACGACTGTCTCTGCCTCGACTGCAGCGAATTGCTCAGGACTGCCAGCCCGAAGCGATAGTCTTCCATTCGGCGACGTCTGCTAGCATTCTTGAGCTGACGGCCGGTCTGACGGATAGTCTCCTTGTCGACATTACCGACCTCCCACCGATAAGTGGCTCAGCTACGACCAATCTTTCGACACCGGAATCACCGATGGTCATATTGTACACCAGTGGCTCCACCGGCCTGCCAAAAGGCGTCGTTCTCCGACACTCGTCTATGGCAGTCAAGATGGAAACCATCGCCGTGTCCTACAATCTCGACCGACAGGTGCGCGTCATGCAGCAAAGCGCATTGACCTTTGACATGTCGATTGCACAGGTGTTCATGGGCATTTGCAATGGAGGCGAAGTGGTTGTTCTACCTCGAGCGAAGCGAGGTGATCCCGCCGAAATTGTTGACATGATCGTCCAGCATGATATCACGCACACGATGGCGACCCCTTCAGAGTACATTTCCTGGTTGCAGTATAGCAACTCTTCCAACCGCCATGCATCCGCACTTGCTCGGGGGTCATGGAAAACTCTTTTCTCGGGTGGGGAGGTCATTCCTGAGTCTCTGAAGCAGGAACTTCGCACGCTCAATCATGACGGATTGCAGTTGCACAATGTGTACGGTCCCACGGAAGTCAGCATCTTCTCGCATTCGACAGAAGTGGACTATCGCTCCCAGTCCAGAGAACGCGTTCCCGTTGGTCCAGTCAATCCGAACTACTCTGCATTTGTCGTGGACCAGGAACTGAGGCCGGTGCCCATTGGGGTGCCAGGCGAGATTGTCATTGCTGGCAGTGGCGTAGCCTTAGGCTATCTAAACAACGAGGATCTGACGCGGGAGAAGTTCATCCAGCTTTCTCTTTCCTATGGCAACGACACCCAGGCAGATCCGGTGCGCGCATATCGCACGGGGGACCGCGGCCGTTTGCGGCCCGACGGTGCCCTCTGTTTTGAAGGCCGTATCGGCGGTGACACCCAGATCAAGCTTCGTGGTTTGCGCATGGATCTTGCAGACATTGAATCTGCCCTCATGGAGGTCTCAGAAGGAATCCTCCTAAGCGCAGTCGTAACAGTCAAAGGCCCAGCAGACGCCCAATACCTGCTTGCACATGTCGTACCGAATCGCGAATGGCAAGCAATGCTCAGCCTGGAGCAGCAACAAGCTTTTCTTCAAGATCTGAAAGGGAGACTTCCTCTACCACAGTATATGTGGCCGGCCGCAATCATTCGTTTGGAGTCGTTGCCTACCAGCTCGCACGGGAAAGTCGACCGAGGTGCTGTTCAAGCCCTCCCAATACCGCAGAACATCTCCGGCTATGTGGATAATGCGGGTGCATCTCTCTCCGAGGCGGAGGAGCAAGTCAAGAGACTCTGGGAGCGAGTTTTGGCGCCAGAAGTGGTCCGGCTATACCAAATCGGACCCGTCTCCGATTTCTTCCACGTTGGTGGTAATTCCATGCTGCTTGTCAAGCTTCAGCAAGCCATTCGTGAGCAATTCGGACGTCTCATCCCTCTAGTACACCTCTTCGAGAGCACTACACTTGCCCAAATGACCGCTCGGATTACGGACAATGGCGTGGGCCGGGCTGCAGACACAATCAACTGGACCAGGGAAATTAAGGTCGATCCAGCCGTTGTGACGGCGAGTAAATCTTCAGGAAAGTTGGCCCGCATTGCTTGTTCATCTGAAGATCAAACTGTTGTTCTGACCGGCGCTACTGGGTTTCTCGGTCAGGTCCTGCTACAGCAGCTCCTCGAGAACGACAAGGTGAGCATGGTTCACTGTATCGGCGTCCGCTCGCCCGCGCGCCTCCAGTCATTCCATTCCCCCAAGCTCGCAATTCACAAAGGGGACCTGGCCTCTCCACGCTGTGGCCTCTCGCAAGAAGCATCCGACAAAATCTTCAGCACTGCCAACGTCGTGATTCACAATGGTGCAGACGTTCACTTTCTCAAGTCGTACCAGGTCCTTCGAACCGTGAATGTGGAATCAACGAAATGGCTCGCGGCGCAAGCACTGTCCAGCAATGTCCCGTTCCATTACGTCTCGACCGCCAGTGTGATTCAGTATGCGCGTCCAAGTGACCCATTTCCACCCAGCTCGGTGAACGCCTTTCTCCCACCCACAAATGGCAGGGACGGATACGTGGCGAGTAAATGGGCCAGCGAGCAATACCTAGAGCAACTGAGCATTGAATTCGGACTCGATGTGCACATTCATCGTCCGACTGCAATCACGGGTCCCAATACACCGGCGCAGGATATTTTCCCCAATGTAATGCGGTTCTCTCGAGAGATCAAGGCTGTTCCAGTATTTGACTTTGTGTCTGGACACTTTGACTTCATTGATGTGCATAGTGTGGCCACGAGGATTCTTCAAACAGTGACCGGGGCAACTCGTTCGAGTGAGACCAAGGGTCCTCATTTTTATCATCACTCTGGGGAGTTGGTCGTTCCAACATGGGGATTGAGGGACCATCTACAGCGAGAATTGAACGACGAAGTTGTCGAATTAGGGGTTCGCGAGTGGGTGGACAATGCAACCCAGGCTGGAATTGACTCCATGGTGGGCGAATACATGAAGAGCCTGGAAGGCTTGAAAGAGCCAATACTTCTTCCTCAGATTCTCCCTTCCTGAGCGTGATGCTTTCCTATGATGTACTATTGCCCTTAATTACTCTCAGATGAGTGTCCAGTTTGAATAATACAATTTGCTCTTGTTAATCCTGTTCCACTTAGCTCAAAAAGCGCATATTGACAACAGCAGTGTGAGGGTGTAACAATAATTTCTAGCACTTCTATGCAACTTCATAACCTCGGTAGTTGTCGATTCACAAGTCACCATACATCAAGGTGGTAGCAATATGCCTCTTGTCGCAGTTGTACTCTTGCTCATATTTACAGGGAAATTTCAAATGAAGGTATTCAGAACGACAGAAAAAGGGAAAGCAGTAGCAATCAAATTTATGCATCAGGCCGGAACTGCTATATTCATCTTTTGCCAGACTAGGCTAGTTCTTAGCAACTAGTTTCGAGCCCATAAAAGGGAAACGGCAAGATAGAATGGAGAAGAAATGCTATTAACCGTAGGATGTGGCATGGAAAGCTTTCCAGTGGATAATTACAAGCAAGTCTCATTAAGACACTTCCGGATTTTCTTCACCAACATTCGCAGAGGCGCAAGTCGTGCTGCTCGACCACCATCAAGTCGATTGCCTTCGACTGCAGAACCGCGGCCACTAAGCGCCTCCTGTCGCACGAGCGCCTCAAATGTCGATAAATAACTCCCCGGAGCAGACAGAACATGTCCGGCGCCTGTCAACAAAATCTCAACGCCTTTGTCGATACGTTCTAGTAAGTCGCAGCTAAGTTGCAATACTGTTGTAATTTGTAGGACGCCGTCTAGCTTCAGCGTTGATCCGTCCAAGTGCATATTGGAGAAAGGCGCTGAGCCCGAGAAATTGTCTAGGACGGCGAGAGGACCTGTAAGATCACCCGCCGGGGTGTACCTGGCGAGGAGAGACCGGACAGATGCGTACAAGTCAGTGAGGACGCTACGGTGCAGGCGAATGAGAAGAACATGGCAGGTCATTATTGTGAGACAGATCGGGAACTGTGTTTGGCAGGCGGGTGGAAGTGCTGAATTCTGCTCTCTACGGCGCGTAGACTTCCCACAGCCACGGCCACTTCCGGGCTTCCCAGGCTTGCGACGACGCCATCCAGTGCTTCTGCCCGGTGCAGACGACCCAGTCTGATCTTCAGGAGTGGGAAGTGCGAACCAATGCGGTCTCTGGGGCGACACAGAATGCGTTCGCTGGGGACGGTACTGGGAATCATCTGCTGTAGTATTAGGAAAACTTTCATCATCGTCGTCGTCCTCCTCCTCGTCGTCGTCATCACCTGCGGATGCATTGCTTGGGTTGATAGCCTCTAGCTGCTGGATGCTGCAGACGGACTCCCGATACGATGTGACAAAGGATTGGATGATTTCAAGAAAGATTTGTGAGCAACGCATCATCTGGTGAATGGGATGGTCACTTTGAGCGTCTGCAGCCTCCGAAAGACCAAATCGGAGGGGGTGCACATCTGGAGTCTGTGGCCTACGGCTTGCATTCTGCTGGGCCATGACCTGGCTTTCGACCCAGTGGACTTTTTCCATGAGTGTGCACTGGAGTCTCCATAGGCGCTGCAAATTCTGCTCCTCGATGCTCGAGGAGTCTACTGTCATCTCCGGAATGCTCAATCCGCCTTGTTGAGGGTTCAGTATCAAATTGGAGAAATCGTGTGAATCGAAAGCTTCCATGTCCATCTCGAAGTCATCGTAGTCTATCTCAGGAAGTCCCAGAGCCGTCGGGTTGTGAAGAGGGTCGATCAAGGGGATATTAAGATCCGGCGATTCGGCATTAGCACTGCCGTTCTGCCGCGAGGAATAGAGACGTTGGTGGTTATCGTGGTGGCCATCATTGTTCCCTCTCATTGCCCGCCGGTTCTGCTTGGTTTTCGGATGGAGAGATCGTGGACGACCCATGGGTAAGGATGGGCTTGTGATACATGGCATTTGGCCCCGAGCACAACGATCGCAAGCATGCTGATCCCCCATGCTGCGCTCACATCGTAATTTCTGGCCCCTGCATCGGTCACAGGCATGCCGGCGGAGGTGCTTGGTTGTAGCTGTCTCAGGATTTCCTTGAGTGTGTGGGTAGCTCATGATCTCCGGTTAGTGATGTTCTTGCGGAGAAAAGAAAAAAGGAAAAAAAAAGGCGGGGGGCTGGAACATGAATAAAATAGCGCACATGCATGTTCAGGGATCCCGCTGCTACCTAATCAGATACCTCACGAAGTAACGCAGCACCTTCGTATCCTGCGTAAGCACTTGACGTAGCGGCCTTTGGGCTAAGCCAAACTCCATTAGTTAAGGGGGCCGTTCCACAAAGGCCAGAAGTCGCAGAACACGACAACCCCGCCTGCTTGCATGGCGGAATAGGATTGATAATACTTCTAACCTTTGCGCTTCATAGTGCATTCTTTGGCCTATGACGGTGGCAAGGAGGCTCGGGAGATATGTTCTGCCCTTATCTCGAGAATTATATCTGTTCTCTCCTAATATATTGTTCCAAAATCAGATAAACAAAGGGTGTGGTTTCATGGTAGTCGTGTCGGAAACTGATTACTTATATGTCGACAATTATGGTAATATTGATTATTCCCCTTTCTCGGTCAAGTGGTTGATGATACAACATCATCAGATCGCGTATATTTCCTATAAGAGTTAGTTTACCGTTTGTTTATCTCGCCTTTGTAAACGCGAGATGTTTTGGTAGTTTAGTTGAATCAGAGACCTAATTCAATGAAGGATCGATACTTGCGAATACGCATAATTTTATGGTCGGCGTTATAATTGTCATCTCTGATGATGACGACAGCGATGCGGAAGGAGACGCACTCCAGTCTGTAGATCGGAACTACATTGCGGAGATCGCTCTGGCAACCCGTACGTCAAGGAACTACAGACAAAGCCAGTGAATCCCGCCAACCCTAATGTCCGGGACTCCCAGATAGATATATCAGAGGAAGAGGCAGAACCGGGATTCTGTTACGCTCGGGACGTCCCCAAAACGAAGAGAGTTGATCGTCGCGACTTCAGTAGAGATAAGGCCTGGGACCGTGCCATCAACCGATACAGGAATATGGTACATCAAGCCGGCACCAATTCTAGCAAGCATCATGATGGTGCAGCTGACAACTCGAGATCTCTTTACTCTGTACAGCAGCCCTTGGATCCTGCTCCCTACCGAGCCCTTGGCTTTCGTAATGGACAAAAAGGAGACATATCTCATGAGGAATTCAACCACTCTTTGATGAACAAATACGAGATACTGTAGCAGGGCCAAGCATCATGTCAGCTATTCGGCAGCTTCCAAACACGTAAGAGGATATGATTGGTAAAATGATCGGTTCTAGAGCTAATTGAGCTCTTTTTGATTTCCGCAGTGTTACGAGAGAGAGAATGAATCTGAGCTAAAGGGATTTTACTTTTCTGTCAGGTACCCGGGTGTTTACCAGCAGAACTCTTTGCCAAATGATACAGGTAATTATTATATTTATTGGTGTAATTCTAAATGGGCTAGAATAATCTCTGAATTCGTTGTGATCTGTGTCGACATTACCCCTCTTTTTCTGGATATAAAGGAATATATGTTGGCGGATATATGTTGATCCGATCCGACCCCGGAAACGCTAACAACGCAAGATCGAAGTGTAAACAGAAACAATAACGAAGTCGGTCATTAATTGCTCCTCTAACCTAGTCATTAGTTCGCGTGAGTTAGTGCGCCAAAATTGCAGCCCCTATATCAAGATACTGCCCACCAAAGCTCTTCCCCCGAACTCTTTACACTGGAGGCGCGGCTTATACAGCTACGTCACTTTATTACTTCATATGATGTCCTGTCGGTCAGCTAAATACGCGTATGAGCTAGTACGATAATAATCATAATATGGATCTGCATTGAAGAATGAGGTCTCTAAGGCCTCTAACTATCTGAATCTATCTGGGAGAGCTGGATAAAAAAGGTGAAAAACGAAGAAATAAAGTCGGAGCGGATGCTGAATAATGCGTAATATCATAGAAACCGGTGCCCCCACCGCCCGGCGGTGGGGGCGCTGGAAGGCACGGATATTGGCCCACTTTGGTCGACATGTCCCAATATGGACTAGCTTTATTCTGACAGTAATTAGGATAAAGTTTAATACTCTGTTCCTGCTCTAGTAGGTGAGCAGTGCTGCCCTGAGGTCGTATGACAGGGGTGAGTGGTGAGAAATTAGGGGTGAGCGTTGCGCGACTGGGTAATCAGTTAAGGCCCCGTACATCGTTTGCGCCGAAACTCATTCAAGGATTCCCACGTAAGTTCAAATCTAGAACATCCGCCGGTAAGCACTCAACTCTTCGAAAGCCGTTTGCTAGGATACTGTCAGAGAGATTGCGTGTCCAGTCATTCAGAAGGATGGTTTCGGCATCGGATTCAACCTGAACAAGGTTCTGATAATCCTAGGAACTACTAGCAAGCCCTTTAAATGGGCGCTGACGGTCCGGAGAAGGTGAATAAACAGCGGCGCTCGTATCCAATCATTGTACTGGACCTTAAGTAAGGAATGATACCCAGAAAATCCGTTCCTTGAGTCAAAATTTGTACGTGAAATTGGCTCCAGATGCTATAGTAGGCTGATTCCACCAATATCATGCACATCACAGAAAAATCGAATTATCACTCTTCACAAATATTTCTAGGTCATCCCCTTCGTATGCAACGATCAGATGTCCTGGTTGCTAACCGCTGGCGGTAAATCTAGTTTCTGGTTGGGCGGGAGTTAGTGGGATGGGTATCCCTGCTTTAATTAATACCTCTCGCCTTTTCTATGAACAGAAGGCCAGAAGCTAACTTGGACACATGCAAATTTCCTAATACACATTACCAGTTCTCCATTGCAAAAGCACTCGTGTTGCTGATCAGCTTTACCTCACCCTTGGCAAAGCCATAGAGAGTTTCAATCAATCGGAATTAAACCTGACTGGTACGTGAAGGGTACCTAAAGAACTTCTTGTCTTATAACCAATTATTACTAGATAATGTCGCTAATCACCGACAGAGTCCTCAGGGGTCTTTGGGGTAGAGCCCAGGCGCAATCTTCGGACAAATTGTTTTCCGCTAAATTATGGTCTTACTTATGGAACAAACACCTCTTTGCTGCGAAGTAATGGGTTGTCCACTCGGAGACTCCTCCGGAGGGATGTGGCCGTGGACGGGTGGACATAATGATAGAATATTTTGATGAGATAGTAAATTAGCGGTTCTCGCCTTCCACGAGGCAAAAGCATTGAACGCGGGGCCTCAAGATGTCCAAGATGCCGAGCGCCAAGCGTTCAACGCTTGTATGAAATATCTCGGAGAACACCCTAAGCTGCAATTTGTATATGCTTTCACATTATTTGGCACAAAAGGCAGAGCATGGCAGTGCCCTCGAGAGGATATTTACCTTTCCCCCTTGTTCGGCTCAGAGGATTTGGCTAAGCATGCTCAGGACGTTGAGCTACACTCCTCAGAGGCCCGGCTAATCAGACAAGCCGTCCAAATGATGAAGGATGTACCGCCGTCTAAATAAAATATAGAAGCTTATCTGCTGCATTTCAGAGTCTAACGTATTTCGTGATATCGATTCTCAGAATAAAAAATTATTTTTTGGGTCTCTACCTAGTCATTATATGTGACTATTCTGTCACCAAGGTGGCTAAACCACCAAACAATAATTCCATCCTCTGGTAGCCTTTGCCATTTACTTCCCACCACATCAAGTTTAGTGTCATATCTACCACTTCGGATACCATTAATATAATTTTATTTATCAGCAACGACGTTCTCGACGTACATAGGCCCAAAGGTCTCCTGGCTAAGATCGTGGTCCCATAGTACCTGTCCAACCGATTTAATATGTTCATCGCTGTAAATTAGCAGAAGGCCCAGACATGGATAGTGTGACTGTTCTTTATCCCTGCATACATGTACCTTCACAAGGCCTTTAAGTGACGCCTTTGGCATGTACCAAGTACTGGCTATCGACCCTCGACCGGGAGGGACTGCTGGGGGTTCAAAGCGTGTATCCATAGGTGGAGGCTCCGATGGCCCAACATCATATTGGTCATTGCAGGTAACTCCAACTTCGGAAATGTACTTCGTGGCTGGACCTAATCCATCATTAAAAATCCCCGAAATAGCACCATCACCATCCCTGACGAAAGGGAGATACTCGTATTGATCGATAGTCTGGAAATTGAGATCCGAATGTGACGGTCCTCCCTAGTGAAGTTTGGAGCTTACTGGTGAGTCATGGATGAGGAACGAGGAAAGAGCGGCTTACTACCAAGGTAGGGTTGGAGGCTGGCCCACGACAAATCCTAAACTTCCGGATCCAAGCCGCTTTAATATGTCCATGTCCATTGAACGGGAAATAAATCCAGTGCTTATGGCTGTTACTTATACGTCAATTCATCAAATCGATGAACTCTCTAAATGCTTTCGTTATCTGAGAAACCGTGGATCCCAACAGTCTTAACGTTGGCACAGCAGACGACACCTCGGATGCGGGAATCGATTTTCAAATAGTCAGCGAGATTTACATCGGGCTTGGTAGAAATTCCATGGGTGAAATTGGGGCGGGAAAGGAGAGCTCTAGGCCTTATATGTAGATAGACTACTAATTGAGGCGAGCTGAATGCATCTCCTGAAAAGGCCCTGCTTGTGTTAGCTTCTACTCCTATACTACTATTGGGCAACTATACATCACGGCTCACATGGATCTCCAAACGAGTATCTCTCGCGTCCAGAATCTCATACCATGGCGACCCATCCGATGTGGGATTCGACTTATGATCAACGAATTGTATCCCACGTATGCCGATACAGTAGACTGACAGAATAATTTTGCAAGTATTACCAGGTAGCTTGATACGGCATTGTTCGGAAGTGCTTGTTGATTCGAGTGGTTTGTGCTTGTCGACAAAGGCGAGCACGAGGTATCCCAGAGCTTTACAAGGAGCGTGGTAGATAAGGGCCACCTGTAGTATGTAATTGGCTTACTTTTCAACCTAGCTATTAAGATCCCCTTAGGAAAAACTATGAAGTTCAAAAAAAAAAAAAAAAAAAAAAAAAAAAAAAAAAAAAAAGGCCCTCTTCCAATATAACTTCTATTATCCTCGGCTCACCCATGCCCAAGCGGGGTCGCAAACTTGGGCGAACTGGAAAGGACCAAACTCCGTCTCGGAGCAGCTGTTGTCACGTCATAATTTGGTTACTGCAAAGGAGATCTCTGCCAGCCTTTTTTTGATACTGCTGTCCTGATTCGGTCCATTTGCCTGGCACACCGGCCTATTGATTCCAGCGACCCTCCTATTAATGATTTGTTCGACCAAAGTGGGTCAATATTACCCATTATTCAGCATCCGCTCGGTCCGACTTTATCCCTTTGTTTTTTGTCGGTCAGCTAAATACGCGTATGAGCTAGTATCAACGATCATAATCATAATATGGATCTGCAGTGACGAATGAGGTCTCTAAGGTCTCTAAGTATCTGAATCCATCTGGCAGAGCTGGATAAAAAAGGTGAAAAACAAAGGAATAAAGTCGGACCGAGCGGATGCTGAATAATGGGTAATATCATAGAAACCGGTGCCCCCTTCCAAAGTTGTGCCACAGCCCAGAGTAGAATATATGACATCTCGGCCGTAAATATATTTTTGAAATATCATCGTTGGAAAAAAAAAAAAAAGACATTGCTGTCTATGTTAAAATCTTTGTAGGATTACGAAACTATAAATATGCCTCACAATCAAGGCGCTATTTTTGCTATCAAGAATCCACTAGGATTTTGCTAGTTTAATTTAGCCTTTTGGACAATATAAACGGCACAAACGTATGCACGCTAATTTATCGTGAAGTTTTCCTGGACCGAAAAATAAGAAGTGTGGAGTACAACGCGTTGATAAAACCGACCCTTTAGCCAAAACGGCAGTCTATTAGTGCAGCCAGCTGTGAGTTTATTTACTACAATGGACAAGGGTTAGAGCAAAGGCAGCTTCAGGATTTTAGATACCATCTTATTCCAAGAAGAGTAACTACGAATGGGCTCACATAAACTGTTTTTTACGGTCAATCTGGGATTGCCTCAGAGTGGATAGCTGGGTCATGATTTACCACCTATTAGAAACGTCATTGACTTGCACCCTGTGTGGCATTGGATGTAGTATTTACGGAGTATCTGTATATTTCATGGAATTATCCGCTACACATTGTATGCATAACAGGCATAAATTTACGCATAGCTTTAAGCTTATCTGTAACTGTGGAAAGCATTACAAAATGGGAAAGGATCAACTTAGTGGATCTGGGGATCGGTCAAACGTTACACGGCTCGGAGATCAAGCTACCGCCCTGATGCTTTGGTGGGGGAGTTCCGACGGTGACGAGGCGAGGAACTTCCGATCTCCAGCAATAAAGTTCATACAACTGGAGCAAATGAAACACAGATAGAGCTATCTCCCCTGTTTACAATCTCCGCACAATAATCTCTGGATTTTTGCCCCATGTCAAAATCGTGGTCCACGGTAAAGCTAGGGGTTATGATCACTAATCCGTCTCAAGGTTCATGAGTCCATTCTAGGATAGCATGCCGAACTTGTGGATTACACCACTAGTGTTCCCGGGTTGTGAGTATCCATTTTTGAGCAGCAAGGAACCTTATACACGCAAGTTTGCAGGACAGCAGTAAAACAGAGAAAATATAATGAGGGTGGTTTGGTGACAATCGTACTAAACTCGGAACGTATCGGGTGAACGGACGCCCACTATAGAAGCTGCCATTGGGTTAGACGAATCGTTACACAAATTTGGGTTCGCGTAATACGTCATGGCTAAATAACTGGAAAAATTAGCTAGCACATTCTAGCCATGGGCAAATAGAAACTGAGTCGACGAATTAAGGTATTGACGCGAGTCGCTTTAGGAATTATTTCCGCACGCCCCCAAGCAGTCCTCTGTCGTAGAGTTTACCACGCAGCCACCGTGGCTGATTCAGCTTGGAACTATTTTACCGCACCTTGCCGGCAGGAAAGATAGGACCAACGAGGCCTTCGGCTGCGTACAGTACATTGTTCATTTAGTTCTTCTATCCTGCAATTGCCTAGACCACTTCTTTCAATATGGAGCCCGGCCGTTTGATCGAGCTTGCTGCCACCATCAGTGATGCTGCAGCTCACATCGATGAGTTCCTAAAGTCGCGGAATCTTCCATACCCGTCCTTCGAGCCAAATGCCCCTCTCTCTCTGCCCGAGGAGCTGGGTGATGCTCGGGATGCAGTATTGGATGGGACATCGGAGCTTTACGACTTGCTTGTTGGACAAGTAGAAGCGTTCGTTGCAGGATCAGTAAGTTGGGGAACCCCTGGAGCAAATGATTCCATCCACCGCTTACTAGTCGATGCAGCCAGGGAACATGATGAGTCTAAATGTGATTCGCCGGTTCGATATCGCCAATTCTTTCGCGCCGGACGAGGAAATGACCTTTGCCCAAATCGCTGAGCTCACTGGACTGAGCGAGGTAACAGTTAGGCATGTACTCCGCCATGCTATGACGCTTCGGGTATTTCGAGAGCCCCGAAAAGGGGTTGTGGCGCACACAGCGCGCTCGGTACTCATGCGAAACACTGATAGAGCCAATTTCATAGCTGTTAGCATCGAGGAGATTTCCCTTGCCAGTCTTCTGGTAGGTGCCCTGACAAGAACTAATCCTCCTTCCCTTTTTTTTGGGGGGCGGGTGTGGGGGAAGGATTTACAAGAAATAAGTCGCAGCTAACAGGTCCAGACTGCGGAGGCTTTTGCAAGGTGGCCGACATCAGAAGAACCAAATCAGACCGTGAGTTATGCTTCCAATGGACTGGGAAATGTGGTTTATGGGCGACGGTTAAGGCTAAGATTTCACAACTTTTGCCCAGGGCTTCTCTCTCGCACATGGTACGGACCGGTCCGCGTATGAGATCCTGCAAGATGACCCTGCTCGCGCAGTTCGCTTTGCCAGCGCCATGAGCATTTTCACCTCTGGGAAAGGCTACGCTGCGTCTCACGTGGTGCATGGATATGACTGGGGCAGTTTGGGTGCTGGGTCTGTAGTTGATATTGGTGGTTCCCGGGGGCATATTGCTGTGGCTATTGCCTCCCAGTTCCCGTCCTTGACGTTCATAGTGCAAGACCTCCCCAGCACAGTGGCCGGTGCAGAGGCAGAGCTGCCACCGGAAATGGCAAGACGGGTGACGTTCATGGCCCACGATTTCTTTGAAAGCCAGCCCATCGTTGCAGATGCATATTTTCTGCGCTGGATATTTCACAATTGGTCCGACAAATACTGTACCAAGCTTCTGCGAGCCTTGATTCCAGCATTGCGGCCTGGGACCCGAGTGATTGTCAACGATATCTGCCTACCTGAGCCAGGAAGCATTGCCCTTTGTAAAGAAAAAGAGCTCAGGTATGCTTGGTCCTACCACTGTGGCTTACGTGTCTCACTAACCGACAATTTAAGGATCATGAATCTGAGCATGATGAGCGTGTTTAACGCCCGGGAACGCGATGCTGACGAATGGCGCGACTTATTCCATCGTGCAGACCCACGATTCAGGTTCGTCGGAATACGGCAGCCACAGGGCTCTCATCTAGCCTTGATTGAGGTGGAATGGTCAGGGCAGGGGTAAACCAATGTCCATTCTACTGCTACATACAATCCCAGCAACTTCTTCCGCCTCTACTGCGTTCCATTCTCGTAAGGGAGCCCGCTCTCCTGTCTGGTAGCCCCGTAAATGCCAGTAATATCAGCCGTGGGTCCAGCAAAAGCTTCAACCGCCTTAAGATGCTCGTGCGCAATCTCATAGAGCTTCACCGATGCTCCACACTTTCTTGCCATGTCCAACACGCTCTCTGTCAGTGAAATTGCTTTGTGGACCTCGACCATGGGCTTAAGGGAGAGAAAAGAAAAGGAAGATATCGTCAGCAATAGGAACGACGCTCTTAGAACAGACAGGGAGTTGATCTCACCACACCCGTATGGTATTCTCCACTAACCATCCGGCGGTTGTAAACCGCGTGCGGTGGATTAGGAAACATGACATTCATCAACTTGCTCATATTCTTGGTTCCGAGGCCAGTTTTCTCGGCGAGCACGTTGACCTCTGCGACTGTCTCCATTGTTGCCATAATCAGAAAGTTGCCCATGAGCTTCAGCAGCGAGGAGGTTCCAAGCTCCTCCCCACTTAAGTCGACCACTGACCGGCAAACACTGGGCAAAAGATCTTAGAGACAACATAAGCTCGGGGGAAGAATTCGGCTTACACTCCTTCCAGATAGGGTCGGATTCGGTCTACCGATGCGGGATTGCCACTTGGGATACAGATAAGAGATCGTGTAGCTGCCATCGTGGGCTCACCCATCACTGCTCTTGTTAGAGCCATTATTTTCCTCCTGCGTCTGGAATGGGACATCTGACCTGGCATTGCCACGAACTCTCCACCCGCACTCAGAACGCGCTCAGCGATCGCATTTGTCTTTTCGGGGGGGATGGTGGAGCTGTCTACGAACAATTTCCCCTTGATATCCACCGACAGAATGCTCTCGAACGTGTGCATAACAGCCTCGTGATTTTCAAGGCACGACCAAACTATATCTGAGTTTGACACAGCCTCCTCGATCGTCTGAGCGACCTTGCAGGATCCGAGTTTGACACTATGCTCATCTGCTTTGCGCTTGGTACGGTTATAAAGAGTCAACGGTGCCTCCATATTCCCAAAGCGAACCAGGTTCGCCGTCATGGCCTGTAGAAACCCAGGTACAGTAAGTGGGCAGCTCTACGGCCGAGGGATCTCAAAATATGTGGCCTTCTTACCTGGCCCATTAGGCCTAAGCCCAGAAACGCAAGCCGTGGCGCCATTGTAGCGGATGATTTCAAGGACAAAGCGGAATATGACAAGAAAGATAAAATAACTGCTTTAGATTCTTTGCATACACTGCACTTGGGTTATTCTCGCCAAGGGGGAAAACGAAACTTATATAGAGTGTGGATATCAGAGCCAGGGTCGGGTGGGAATGTAAATTTCGACGACGCGTAGCAATTGGGTAAGTCCAGCTCTTCCGGTGTCCTACCATAGGGCACTCACTGGGAACAGACCCTGGAATTAGATCCTCAAGTTTTGGGCTTAATGGGCTTTGGTCGTCTAAAAGCTGCCTCGGCTGCTGCGTATCAAGACGAAAACCGAGAAAGGGATAACTAATCAACATATGGATATCAGAGAGTCATGGAGATGCAACAAGGGCCGGCCATAACTTTGGGAAATTTCAGGGCTACTATTGGTGATCTTTCCTTTTTGGTCGGCCGAACTGCTATCAGAACACTATTCCTACTGGACAACTTCACCCGAACAAAGACAAGACCAAAAAATAGGGTCTCAAATTTGACTGAACATGTGTCGTATTAATGGATATAGTTTGTTCCAATTTCCGCGCCAGCACACCACAGAAACTTTATCAGTTTATCGCTGCACTAGCTAATCCCGGACTTGAAACCAAGGGATTATGCCATTAGTTGCAGTGTTTCAGAAAGCAGTCATTCCCAGATATTAAGGTTCTCTCCTTCAACCGCTGTGGATCACATCCCGTAATCCCTCGTGGCAAAAGTTGGCTCGAGTGTATAGAAATTATGTTCAGCCTATTGATTATATAATTTTCTGGGAGCATTCGGCCCCTAACGTAACTGGTAAGCTATTCAGACCGAGCAGCCACGTGCTGTATTCCATATAAAATTGCACCTTTTGTTGCTCTCAAATTTTTACAACCAAAATGTTTCTGCATATATTAAGTTATAAAAATATAAAATATAGTATATAATCATTATATTTATTTTTTAAATATGTTCATTATGTTTTCCTATCTTTCAATGCCAGAAGAATAGAATACACAAAATGCAAATGAATTTATCATACCAAAGAATTCCTTAATTCTAGACGCTATCTATATATGTATGTAGAGTACATTATTAATATACTGTTTAAGTTTTAAGCTTTCATGATGCTTTGTGGTTGAGATATTGAAGTATCAAAAACTTCGAATTTATATGGAATACAGCAGGTGGCCGCTTGCATACCAGTTACGTTATCTATAAATGCTATCTATAGAGGGCGTAAACTCCACCTTGCCCTTTTGTTGGTAAATGGCTTAGTTGAACCAAATGCCGGAAACTATACTTTGGCTCAGGCCTCCCAAGTCATGACGATGGGCTGGCGCTAAAGATAGTGTCTTGCCCAAATTTCCATACTGTAGGTCCCATCCGAAATGATGCCGCTAATGTTTGAGCGCACCACCTAGGTATCGGTGCGATTAATAAACAGATGTGGCACAGATTGGCCAAATGTGGCCTTGTATTTGGTCATTTTATAAAGCTATTCCATTCCAGCTTGGGCTGCAGAGTCGCATTCTTCTACTGCCCTTACACTTGAACTCATGTCTTTCCAAAATCTTCAGTACCTCCTCGAAGCCGTTGCGGCGCACGAGAACAATGGCAATATCATTTCATACTCCCCTGGAAATATGGCCCAGCCCAAGTCATGTTCCTACCGTCGGCTGCTCGAGGTAGCCCGGAATGCTTGCCGGGCTCTTCGCTCCGCAGAAACGTTCCAGCCTGGTTCCGTGGTCCTACTACACTTCAGCAGTCACTGGGACAACATCGTCTGGTTCTGGGCTGTGTTATTTGCTGGTTGCGTTCCTGCAATGTCAACCGCTCTGTCAAACAGCTCTTCGCTTCGCATGTCTCACCTAGGGCACTTGTCAAGGACTCTTATGAACCCGTTATGTTTGACTAGCGGAGCACTCCTGCCGGAGTTTGGGGGACAAGACTCAATCCAACCCATTGCAGTCGAGTCACTTGATCCCGCGAAGGCTCTGAGAACCGAGCTGGGCGATATCTATAGGGAGTCTGGTCCGACCGATAGTGCCGTATTGATGCTCACGTCTGGAAGCACTGGGAATTGCAAAGCCGTCTCTCTCACCCATGGTCAAATCCTTTTCGCCATCGCGGGAAAATTATCGGTTGTCATTCTGCCAGAGGAGGGCTCCTTCTTGAACTGGATCGGCCTGGACCATGTCGCCGGGCTTATTGAAATCCATCTCCAGGCGATGTACGCTCGCAAGGACCAGATACATGCTCCAACAAGGGATATTTTGTCAAATCCGGCCGAGTTCCTCCACCTGATTGACAGGCACCGCGTCTCCAGAACATTTGCTCCCAACTTCTTCCTTGCCAGAATCCGCGCGGTCCTCCAGGACAAGTCCAATACGGCCAACGAACATAGCTGGGATCTCTGCTCCCTGCGGTTTATCGCATCTGGCGGGGAGGCGAACGTTACCAAAACCTGTGTCGACGTATCGGATCTTCTCGAACAATATGGTGCTGCCAAGAACGTCATTGTGCCCGGATTTGGGATGACCGAGACTTGCGCAGGAGCAATATTCAATACCCACTGCCCCCAGTACGACGTCGAGAAATCGCTGGAGTTTACCTCCGTGGGCCTCTGCATGCCCGGTATCAGGATGAGGATTACCGACGGCTCTGGGGGCCTCATATTGCCCCCTGGCATGATTGGCAACCTTGAAGTGACGGGGCCAGTCGTCTGCCAAAAATATTTCAACGATCCCACGGCCACTGCCAATTCCTTCACCAGTGATGGATGGTTCAAAACAGGGGACAGGGGTATGACTGACGAGACAGGCTTTCTCACACTGATGGGTCGCGCCAAAGAAACCATGATCGTAAATGGAATCAAGTACAATCCGCAGGAAATCGAGAGTGCACTGGACGAATCGAAAATCCCGGGTACCACTCCGAGCTTCAACTGCTGTTTCTCTTCCTTTCGCCCTGAAGGGGAAACGGAAGTGGTGTGCCTGGCATATTTGCCGACCTATGCGCCGGAGGATATCGTCTCGCGAGTACAGACGGCGGATGCCATTGCAAAGGTCGTCATGATTACCACGGGATCGCGACCCGAAATTTTGCCGCTGGACAAAACTCGACTCCAGAAGTCGGCGCTAGGCAAGCTATCGCGTGCCAAAATCAAACAGGCCTATGAGCAAGGTGATTACCAGGAATATCAAAGGGTGAACAGCGAACAGATTAAGAGCCACCGCGCAGCCACTGGAGCGAGTCCTAAAGATGAGCTAGAACAAAAGATGCTCACCATCTTCGTCCACTCTTTGGGAGTTACAGAACTGGGGTTCGACGTAGAGACCCCCGTTTTCGACATGGGGATTACTTCCATCGAATTGATTAAGCTCAAGAAAGACCTTGAAGACCATCTCCAGCTCACGCGAGAAATCCCAATGGTGGCTTTGATGTCAAACTCAACCGTCCGAGAACTGGCCAACGCTCTCCGTGAGCTCCAAGCCCCTCACCATTACAACCCGGTGGTGACACTTCAGAGTCAAGGCAACAAGACCCCCCTCTGGCTTATCCATCCTGGCGTTGGTGAAGTCCTTGTTTTCCTCAACTTGGCAAAATTCATGGTCGATCGCCCAGTGTATGCTCTTCGGGCGCGTGGCTTTAACGAGGGAGAAGACCCATTCGGGACGATCCCGGAAGTTGTCACCACATACCACGCGGCTATTAAAATGCGACAACCCAAAGGACCGTACGCGTTGGCTGGTTATTCGTACGGTTCCATGCTGGCTTTTGAGGTGGGCAAGGTGCTCGAGCAAAAGGGGGACGAGGTCCGTTTCCTGGGCTCGTTTAACCTTCCACCACATATCAAGACGCGCATGCGCCAGCTTGACTGGAAAGAATGTCTTCTCCATCTCTCGTACTTCCTGGACCTGATGACCGAGGAGCATGCAAGGGAACTCGCTGCCGAACTAGAGGGAGCAACCAGGGATGAAACCCTTGCCAAGGTGATGGAAGATGCAAACCAGGACCGCCTTGCGGAACTGGCCATTTCGCAGTCGGCACTGGCCAAGTGGGCCGGCCTGGCATTTGCTCTGCAGAGCATGGCAGTAGACTATGACCCCACCGGTTCGATTGCAGGAATTGATATCTTCTATTGTACCCCACTTGCGGTGGTTGCGGCCTCGAAGGAGCAGTGGCGCGATGAGCATCTGAGCAAGTGGGACCACTTTACCCGGACTGAGCCGAGATTTCACGAGGTTGGAGGGGCTCACTATACCATGCTAGGACCGGAACATGTTCTCAGATTCCAGAAGACGCTGCGGGGAGCGTTGAGTGCCAGAGGACTCTGAGAATGCAAAGGGATCGCCAGCGTACATTCAGTTTTTGTGTGCTGGGGAGCTTCAAGTCCCACCACGACGAGCCCACTTCTTTATGGTTCACATATCCGACAGATTTTGACATATGCGCATTCGCATTCATAATTCCCAATCTCTACGAATACCGACCTTACCAGGAATTGGAAGTCTGCCATTGCTCCCAACAATATCAGTCCGGGAAGGAATCAAGGAATGACCGGACTTGTTTTATGCCGGACTTGTTTTACACCTATTTTCGAATGTGAAGGCTACTTAAAAAATATAACGCAATAGATGTTAGTAACAGTGGATAGAGTTTTTAATATATTAAGTAACAAATAACTTAGCATTTTCTATTATTATTATGTGTGGGGGGAATTACAGGACTAAATCCCCTAGCTACCTTTTGGCCCAGTAATAACTAAAAATAAGTACATAATCTGTAAAGGGCGCTCGCTCTTTCAAAGTATGAAAAAGATTTTTAAAAAAATTTAGTGCTGTATATGGGCTTGTTAATAACCTAGTTTAGGCAATAACTAACTACCAACACGCCACTTTACCTAACGGATCAACAATCTGTAAGACCTAAGCAGTGCACCGCGTGGGTAATAAGTGCAAGATTGGTGTCGTTAGGCGTGTCCTTGTTGGCAGATTCATTGTACCAACCACTCAGAATCCCATAGTTGATATTTCCCTCCAGCTGCTCATGGCCCGATTGAGAACCGATTGAAATGCTCCGGGACGCTTTAATGGGTATCTATCATGGGCAGAAAACGGACATGATCTCGAAGGAACCATGAAAATATTCCTCAGCCAGCAGTTGTTGTGTTGCTACTTTAGAATCGCCCAGCGTAAGCACCTGGCTGTTGCCTACGATACGATATCCATCCGTTGGGATTTACGTCAGGAAACGTCAGAATCAACCGCATAAGCACGATTCTGTACCCCAGTTGAGTTCGTTTAGTCCGGGAGACTTACTGCAAGAAAATAACATTGTAAAGTGGATAAACACCTCCGTCCTTTTACGCTTTAGGAGTGGGTGTCTAAGAAGTCCAAGATTATGTAGCAACTATTAAAGTCTGACAAGAAAAGCAGGAGTATCGGCGTGTAATATTAAACGACATGTGCTCAAGTGTCGCAGCTGTTTGCCAGTACATGTTCAGATGTAAGTAAATATTTGTAAACTTAAAATTATAGATTTCTTCTGGGCATAGCACTATATAAGCAAAACTATATAACACTGAGTAAGACTTGAATCTTATCTGCCACTGTGCATTAGAAACCTGTAAGGGTGGAAAAAGCTGTACCAAAGCAGTGACCGAAATAAGCCATTCCATGCCAACGTGAAACAGACGAATATGGAGAAGGAGATGGAAATATGATAGCTAAGCAGATTAGACTACGCTATGGAGACTGACTACCCTTCGCCCTATTTTGAAATTCCGCAAATGTCCTCGCATCTACATTAACAGCAAATACCTCCCCCTGCCGACAGTGGCTCCAGTTTGTTCCTGCACCTTGTTTGCAGTAGAAGAACCGCGGCCTATCAGACGAAAATGTATAATCGAAAGGATGCAGGTTCGGCGTATTATCCGGGTTCGCATTGTTAAAGTCAGTGTCAATGTCTGTGCCGAACAGCTTCTCGCACGGATACTTGAAGGTGGACTCGGTGAGGGTGTGATTCACAGCACGGAAGTCGAAATGTACACGGCTTCCTTGAGCGACTTCAAGAGTGGGTGGATTGAACCCGAGGGATGTTCCGCCAACAATGACGGTTTGAATTGGAGCAGCAGGGCCAGGAGGTACTGTGGTTGTTGGTATGGCGGATGCCGGAGAGAAAATGGAGGTAAGAAGGATAAAGGCCAGTTTCATTTTGTCTGTAAAGTGACTAATTCAAGTCTATCTGAAGAGATACAGTTGAAGAAGGCTTGTCCTTCAGGTATACAGATCATAGCTGCTCTTTATATCTCTTTTCTTCTGTGTTATTATATGTAAATGGAAGGAGAGTGTGTATTGATAGAAGATTATTAGCCTCGTCCTAGCAGACCATCAAGCCAATTAGCTGACCGAACCCATTTCATAGACCTAATGTGTCCTGCAAACACGTAGCACTGTAAACGTAATGTAGCACAAGGCTACGAGTGCCACAGCTACATGGGGGTACCACGTGGTTGAGATTCAGGTCAGTCACGAGATATAGCACTGGGAGGACCGTATGCTCGAGCAATACATTATTGGTGCCCAGGTAACTTAAAAGTAAGGAGCATGGAAATAGCTCAGCAGTTGTGAAACAACATCTCCGGCTAGCTAGTAGGTGTATTGTGATCAGCATTGCTTTACGTTTCTGCTGTGTTCTCTACAATCTGTAGTATGCATAGACACGAGCTACATCAGCTCTGTGTAACAATGCGTCGTCATTGTTTCCCCTCCAACAGGTAATTGCATGGAATAACCGGCTGTACTTGAATTCCATTGGCTGAACCAAACCCATATGCTGCATTGAAGTGTCATGCTCTACAGTCCAATGTCTGATAGCCCAATACTATTACAGGAGAGGCCCGCAAATAGCTACTAATTATAAAGCGTCAAAGTTTTGATTCGAAGCTCAAATATAAATATAACCACTAGGATCCAGAATGGCATTTTACTATAGCACATTCGATGCACTTTTGCCTAAGGTCAGGTCACGGGGCGCCTTATTAAATATCCCGGCACTAAAAGCGCTTCATAGTTAACCAGACTTTAATAGACGAACATTAAGTATTTGTTATTTTATAGTTTACGATAAACTTTAGCGGGCTGGTGTCGTGGCGGCGAGTCACCAGGTAAGTCTGAAGAAACCTCGTGGAGATGGGTCCAGAGCCGCCCGACCAGGTTATACAAGGAATCGTGGGCTCAAAGCCCAAAGCTCGCTAAATGGCCAGGGTGGTCGAAAGGGATCCCGGCTAGAAACATGTGCTCAGCAGCGATTTATTCCTCCTCTGTGATAGGTGTGGCGGAGATACAATGTGTGATACGGCTTCGAAACCTGGAAGATGAAAAATGGGGATGTTAAGCAGTTTTGCTTTGGCTTAGACGCATCTTTCTGATGTGTCCTTGACAATGTTTTGCATGCCCCCGGCCCGTTTCTTAGATTCTAGTCGGGGTATTCGTCCATGACAATGCCTCAGACTCTCCAAAAGTAGATGTACCGGACCATCGAGGGACATGTTTTACACCACAGTAGTTTATACAGTAGGAGATGGGCGGAAGCATTCATGATCTTGCATTCGCTAGCCGGGACCGAGCATTTATTGGGGGCATTGTAAATCTACAGGACGCTTTTGGCTTGTTACCCTCCACTCAAAGCTCGATGTATAGGATTCAAGTTCGGTGACATCGGTGCCAAAGAGGCGTGCTCGGCAGAAATACGTTGTCAACGTGTTTATGTCCCTAAACTATCAGATAGCGTCAACTAAGGACATACATGAAAGACATCGAATTAGGGAGCAATTGGAAGTTTATGGCCTGATGGGTGTTGTCAAGAAAATCAAGGTAGTCGTTAGTGATATGGTGATGCTGCAGAAACAAATCGAGATAAATGATGACGACAAGGCAAATGGCATCTAGAGATAGGGATTGACATTGATACTATCTATAGTAGCCAGCCTTCATGAAAATTAAATAGTATGACTCGGTCATCCAGAGAGGAACTTATTACGGCAAAATACATATGTTGGCAGTAACTACGTCTCGCCTAGGTAAATATATGCCACACACTAAATATTATTTCCTCGCCAGAACTCAACCTCTTGGCTTAATTCAAGCTTCATCACACTTTACATCTCACAACATCCATGGAAGGACAGAACCTACTTGACCCAAGAGCATCACATGCGGTGAAAATAACAACACCGTATTGCGTGCCTCCCCATCAGCAAGAAGTTGCTAAGAATCATGACTAATTCCGGCTATGAGATATTTCCTTGGGAATATAATCCACCTAACTAAGCTGTACTTAGCAATCTATAAACATCTAACCGTCTAGGGTGAACTCTTGCCCAATCAAGAGCTATTCAGAGTAACGGGTACGAGCTATGACTCATAGAGATCCATGCTATTAGTTAATTATAAAGACGGAAAATACCCCACAAACCACTTGTACCCAACGAGTCTGCATTGTACTGTATGTGTACGCATGGCGACCGATCTCAACGCCGAAGCTATTGAATCATGGGACGCCAACGCCACCTTCTGGGATGCGAGGATGGGTACAACGGGCAATAAATGGTACCAGAAACTCGAGGTACCCGTTCTTGAAAAGTTGGCCCGCGTAAGCCCGGGGACTTACGCCCTGGATCTCGCGACCGGTAACGGATTGGTCGCTCGATGGTTGGCCAAACAGGGCGCCCATGTGCTCGCGACGGATGTGAGCCCGAAAATGATCGAAATCGCAGCAGGATACCAGTCCAGTACTGGGGACAGTTATCCCGAAATCACGTATAAATTGCTGGACTTGACGAACCCTGATCCTGTGGCATGGAAAGATGTGCTCTCTGCTGCGGAGAAGGTAGAGAAAGATATCTCAATTTCCGTTTCATCGATGCAATCTTGTATGCTGTAAACTGAAGCAGAAGAGCTGACACGAGCAACCTTCAGATCGGTGGCTTTGAAATTGTTACGATGAATATGGCCGCTATGGACATATCAACGCTAGACCCGTTGGCCAAAATGTTGTCAACCTTGCTTCGTCCTGGGGGGAGGTAAGTCCAACACCACATTTATGATTTATTGGGCATCTATATTGGTACTTCAGCTGTGGAAGAAGTTCCTGGAACTTCATGAATTCATAATATCTTAATTATTAGATTCGTTGTCAACACCCTCCACCCCATTTTCCACACCAGCGCCGGTTCGCGCAAGATCGAACTACAAATCAACAAAGACAATGGGTACACCGAACCAGTCTACTCATTCAGCTTGACGCATTACATGAGTAAACCGCCGGCATTCGGGGTAGCGATTGAAGGACAGCCTCAACTACAGGTGGGCATCGCCCTTTCGCCAGAGCTTATATTAGCAGCATATTAGGTGGTCTAATTAAATAAGTAGGTCTACTGGCATCGCCCCCTACATGAACTATTCCGCCCTTTTTTCCAAGTCGGACTAGTCCTCGATGCGTTGGAAGAGCCGACGTTTCCCGCGGCTGAGCCAGGGAGGAAGTTGACGGTGGACGCGGATGAGAATTTTCGGGAGATGCCCCCCGTTATGGGGTTTCGGATGAGACGATTGGGGTAGATCTATGTTTAGGCAAGCGTCCAGAAGAATCCCATGGCAGGGATCATACATCTAATGCTATATCACACAAGACTCGTGAATAATTCAGATTATGATCATAGTCTGATAGCCTCTTCTATTATCAAGGTCCAGTACATACAAAAAAGCGGTGTAAACAGGTCTTCCAGTCCTCAGATATATTTAAGCAATATATACCCAGAAAAATGATAAATACAGTCTTGACGACCTCGAATAGTATATTAAGCTGTCCTATTGATGGTATTAGGTCCAGCTGCCAGTGAGTTTGACAACTCTTTCAGCTGCCTTTTCAAAATCCGTCTCTGTTTGTAAATCTAGGCCTGATGTAGCAATCTATAATGCACTTCAGTCAGAGACACGATCCCATCGAGGGCATATAGACAGTAACCTACAATTTCCAGTGCCTCGTCACAGTTTGTCCCCTGGAACCGGACAACTACAGGAGCTCGGAAGCCTCCCATTGCAGATGCTGCTTCAACAATGGATCTTGCAATCATATCACAGCGAACAATCCCTAGGGTCTGATTAGCACGCTCTTTTGTCGTCAAAGTGCAGTACACATACCGCCGAAGATATTGATAAGAATTCCCTTAAGACGGGGATCCCTGTTTAGAATTTCAAAGGCTTTCAGTAGTGTCTTAGTGGTAGCCTTCCCTCCAATATCCAGGAAGTTAGCACTCTTCCCGCCATGGATATTGATTAAATCGTTCGTCGCCATTGCCAGACCAGCGCCGTTAACAATGTTGCCGATATTCCCATCTAGTCGGATATAAATAAGTCCATGCTTGGCGGCCTCATACTCCTCGTCCGAATCCAGTGACCGTTCTTCAAGGCTAAAGAGCTCCTGCTGACGGAACCGAGCGGAATTGTCAAACTCGAATTTTGCATCTAAGCAAATAAATTCCCCGTCGGGTGTTCGCGCCAGTGGATTTAGTTCAAGAAGTATGGCATCCTTTTCAGTAAAGAGCGTTATCATTTGCCGGATAACGTGCTCAATCGTAGCCATTTCAGTGGCAGAAAACCCCAATTGCTCCTTTATATCAGCAATAACACCGGCACTAATACCGGTAGACAGAGAAAACCAGAACTTGTGTAGTTTGTCAATATTAGATTCAATATTGACACCACCCTCGTTCGATATGAGGATGACGGGACAGTATCTCTGACGGTCAAACGTCAAGCAGAGGTAAAATTCCTGTGCAATATCCACAGCTTTGTAGATGTAGAGTTTCTTAACAAGTAGACCTTTGGGTGGCGTTTGCTTCGTTGTCAGATAGTGACCGAGCATCTGGGAAGAGTTCTCAAACGCTTCTTCTGACCTAGAAATTCCATCCTGAGGTCAATGATGAAACAAGAGTACCTCGTCGTATAGACTTACGTTGATACAATCCGAACGCCACTCTTGCCGTCGCTATCGAACTTCCCTTTACCACGGCCCCCGGCTAGAATTTGGGACTTCAGCATGGACGGGGCACCTGTTCATCTTATTAGATAGTACTTTACCAGACCGATCGATAGTCGCCCAATACGCTCTTCCCTTCCCTAATCTACAAATTTTGATGGCAAGCTCACCTATCCCTGACACCACGGAGTGGGCATCCAGTGGATTTGCCACAACAAATCCACGAGGTACTGGGATGCCATACTGGCCTAGGTAAGCACTCTCCAATCCATCAATAAAGAGAATCTCACCTGTTGAAGTAGCTTGTGGGAATGATGTTCAAGAATAGTCAGATTTCGTATTTGTTGCGTGATAGTTCTACGGCTCTATAGTCTATTGTAAGAATAGATATCCAATCCAGGGAGGAAATACGTACATCTCGGACCAGATGTGTAAGTTGAGGACAGCGAAACATTATGGGTTGTATTCGTCCTGGCTTGTTACATCCCGACCCCAAATTAAGTTAGATTCACTTAATACAATATACACAGACAAAGGCGTTGCTCAAGATTAGATGACTGTCTTTGACAAGTAGGCCTGGACGTGAACAATAGCTTGGAGGTTGAAGGTGAGGTGCGACATCAGAATAAGGGCCACTGGTCCGTTAGCCTATTAGGGATTATATGTTGTCTGTTAGAGTTTCACGCGATGGTGCATTCTAAAGGGATTTGGCTTATTTCCACCCACCGTATACCATATTTGTTGTCTTATGACCACCCCAGCATATAGGGTAGTGGTATCGAGGACGGAAGCGTGGCAATATGACAACAGACCATGGTTCCAACTCCAACATGACGTCGAGCATTTTCAGGCGACCCATATCACCCATTCAGATAATTCGCAATGTCAGTTTCACTGCTAAAGATACATAACAGAGTTTGGCATGACCTCAACGCAAAGCATACAATCATGTATTGTCATGTGATCTTGGCTTCTATATTGGTCATAGCCACTGTCGCTATAGATTACTGCTGGGATGGAAGTCATGTCCTATAAGGTGATAACAACCATGCATAAACAAAGAACTAATAATGAAAATATCTAATAGGTGGAATCGCTTTGTAATGTGACATCTATTTAAAATCGTAGAGTTATTACGGTAATACTTTCTTGTATTCTATTTAATTTGGGTATAACTATAATCTCTCCAGAGCAGGAGTTATACAAAATTGCACTGCTCCAGGTCTATGCAATTATATTACTCCTACCACGTATGTGCTACATGACTTTGAAGCATCAAATGGCATTCTTTAAAAAAAAAAAAAAAAAAAAAAATTATGATCCGATCAGAGTTTAGTTATCATACGATTGGCTATATGTGAGACATATGGGTCCTAGTACCCCACACCTCACTTTCTATCATTTCCACATCTGGCTAGCTTTGCGAATTAGTACATTCTCCTTGATATAAATCAAAATGGTTGTTTAACAAAGTCAATGCCATGGTTTTAATTATCACGGGTGCCTAATGACACTGAAAGATAAACAGAATGATAAATTTTCTCATTCATATAATCGGCTTGCCTTTTTCTTCCATTCCATTATTCTATCCTTGCCACAGATACACATAAGTTCCAGTCGAAGACCGCATCCCTGTTAAGCCTCATGGCAATACATGTCCTTATAATTGGGGGAGGCACCGGTGGCCTTGCTCTAGCACACGCCCTGAAAAAGGCCAATACCAACATCACTTTCACCGTCTACGAGCGCGATCGCACTCGCACAGATGGACTATACGGGTATCGAGTGGGCATATCTCCCGAGGGATCTCGAGCTTTAGCCGCTTGCATACCGACAGGCCTGTTTGATATCTTCAGACAGACAACGGCTATTACGCCGGACTATTTTAACATGCTTACCGAGCAGTATGAAGAGCTACTCTGCATCAGTGGGTTTGGTCAATCTTCGGAAGATGCCGTGGGGGCGGAACGATCAGTGAGCCGCATGACATTACGACAACTCCTCCTCACTGGAATTGAGGACTCAGTGGAGTTCAACAAATACTTTACGCACTATCGCGTTAACCCGGATGGCACTGTAACAGCATTCTTCAAGGATGGCACAAGCGCCGTTGGTAATCTGCTGGTAGGCGCAGATGGGTCCAACTCCCCGGTTCGTCGGCAGTATCTGCCGCACGCTGTACTGAAGAATTCAGGGATCTACGGGGCTGCCATGAAGGTCCCGCTTACCGAAGAAACAAGACAATTACTGATGCCTCAAGTTCTCAGAGGGGTGACTATGGTTAATGCTCCTCATGGAGACAACTGCATTATCCACGTCATGGAGTTTCCTTGGGACCATCAAGGCCATCTGAAGCATAATAAGAATATCGGAGGAAACGACGAGGAGTTAATCAAATCGTGGCCGGGCATGAAATTCGACAACACCAGGGATTATATCCTTCTCGGTTGGAGCGCACACAGCCAACGATTGCCGGACGATTTTATGTCCTTAGATGGTCCGAGTATCTATGCTCTCGTACGCGAGCGCACCGCCTTGTGGCACCCAAATTTTCAAAAACTCATTAAGATAGCTGATCCGACTACCTGTTTTCCAATTAATATTCGCACGAGCGAGCGCATTCCACCGTGGACGAGCAGCAATATAACTCTCATTGGCGATGCCGTTCATACAATGACACCTGGTTTGGGTGTAGGCGCGAATACGGCATTGCTTGATGCGCAGATCTTGGCTGGGAATCTTATCTCCGCAGCAGAGAAAGATCTCGATATTGTCTCGGCTGTTGCTGACTATGAGGAACGGATGCATTCGTATGCATGGAAACGGGTGGAGAAGTCGCTGGAACGGTTCGATGCCGATAGCGATATTTATAAACCGGGATGGAGAGGGTGGTTCGCGATGACCTTGATGCGCAATGGCCTGCGGATAGTAAATTGGATGCCGCCTCTGAAACGTAGAATGGCTGCTGCGATTACTGCAGAGAGAGGAGAGCGGGATGAAAGAAAGGATAAGAGATGAAACCTGTACTTTTGCTTATTATGTCCTATTTTAGTTTTCGGTCCAAGGCGTTAGTTCTTAAGTCGGGATAAGAGAGAAAGGGAAGTAAATATTGATATTCCGCTCTCTAAACCTTAATATTCTATATTTTCGTAACAAATCTGACCTGAATTCCATAAATATATCGATCACAATGATTATGGACATGAGCCAAATATACATTAAATACTTGAGCGCTGAGAAGGTCCGTCACTGCACGTAGTTAGACAAAACTATGACCATTTCACATTGGTGTTGGAAGCCACTAGTTATTTCTTGGGATAGATTATCGCGAATAAAGGTAGAGATCAGAGCTGGAAGCTGTACTCCATATATCTAGCCCTACTTTGTAGCAAATCAATGTCGCAGCTCAGTAGATGTCTGCCATCTATCTTCAAAAGAAGCGGGAGGGAGCCATTGGGCCCGAATGGTAGTGCTACGGGTGCTAGCGCAGTACTTGTTGCACCGATGTAACATAGTTCGGAGAGTTAATTCCCTCTAGGAAGTCTTCTGAGGTCGATTTGCTGGGATACAAAGGAGCTCGTAGAGTCCCTGCGTTCCCCCTTTCGGTGAGATCTCTGATAGATGACGATATACCCTCTTCCCGATACTCGCTAGGAAGGCATATTTGCTGTTCGCTGGAGATGGACTGAACGCGCTATGTGAGAGAAGAAACAATTCGGAGATGACAAAATGCCACTGAAAGACCGCGCACAACCCAGTCCCTGAATTATCCTTATAGCTTGATCCCTCTGATATCCTGATGGGCTCCACAAACCAACAATCGTCAGGGGAAAGAGCATCATTATGGATCCTCGGTCAATTATTCCATTGGTATTTCCATTGATTAACTCATTAGCAGATATGATTGACTGTGCATGTCGCCTGATGCGCTCTCTGTACGTATCTGCCGCTTCTAACACGAGAGAAGAGAGAGAGAGGATCATAACACAGGCGGCATCGTACAACGCCTTGAGGGACACTCTCCCTATGTTTGGGTAGCTGTCTTCCCCAGGATGTTCCACTTGAATCCGGTGAAAAGGATCCATGGATTCAAGAGCCACACCGGGGGGCATATTTGGGCTTCCATCGGTGGATCTGAGCGAGAAGACACTATGCGATCTCAGACTATCTATTCGGGATGTGGTCAACTCTACCAGTGCCTTTAACTCTTCCATCTGGATGCTTGTCGCATCTCGATGTTCTATCAACTCTTCAGCGACGAATAGGCATTGTGTTAACAGGAGCAGAGTATCGACGAAATCATCAAAAACACTCTTTGGGTTGACGTCGAATGGAATAGACATCCATCGGGGTGACCCAAAGTGGGGGGTTTTGCTTTGAGCTATTGCCGCAAGGGTCTGACAGCATCGAGGTCAGCGTCAGTAAAATACAGTGCAAGACATAGCTGAGTTTACATACCGCTTGAAGTCTAACATGGCGAAACAGCTGATTCATAAATCCTAGTCGACAATTCTCAGGACCTCGAGCCTCTAGTATTACCGCCGCACCCTCCACATGTTGAACCCAAGCGGTAGGACTTGTTCCAGCCATGGTCTCAAAATGAATCAGCATTACAACGGCGCAAAGTACATCCTCGGTAAGCAGTGTAGCTCTCTCCTGCGGTGAGACGCTTCGTTGCAACAGCGAACGTAAATCCCGGAGAGATCTCGCGTACCACCTGTGGGATTCTGTCTGTATCGAAATGTCCTGAGCCTGCGTCCCGTAAGACAGCATTGATCCGGCACGGATCGAAAACTTGACCAAGGATGGCACAGGCGAATAAAGTATAATCGGGAGTTCATCAAGCCAAACTGGAGAAGGGACGCCAGGATCCGGTTCCTTTAGGTGACCGAATGATTCGATGAAGTGAGAGACGAAAAGTTGATCAAAACAATCAGCACGAGAGGGCTGAACATTAGAGGGTAGAGTGAAAGAGACACGCGGATCCGAACTCTCAGGCAGAGTATTGGAAGCCCTAAATGGAGAGTCAGACTCCACTGATATGTCCTGCGTGCCAGTGGACCTATTTGGTGGTGAGGTTAACATCGTGTGTACAAAGAATCGCCCCGTGCGGGCGCCGGAACATGGCAAGCCCATTCGGAGGCATTGTAAACACTGAGGTACAGACTGATCGCACTATATTGCTTGTTAGCGAACAGTAAAAACTATGACTCAGGGTATACACCTTGATCTTTCGCTGGCGGCATGTAGAGCAGCCTTTGCTTCTACCAGCCACGTTGACCATCGTCTGATATCTAGCCCAATGTTCCGTAACAGAGACGAGGCGATGCAGGGGCCTCCTTATGAATCAGTGTTTGCATAAATTGTGCCATGTGATTCTCGTCGCACAAATCCAATAATGGCGAAATTGCTTCGTCCTTGTAAAATTTAACATGGGTCGGATGATGGGTGCAGACAACTGAGTCAAGTTCCACACTAAATTTCCAGCCATTGGTAGCGTAATCTTGGCGTATTCCAATTGCCACATGCCAGCTGATATTACCATGTACAATGCTCTTATTTATCCAAGCTTCTCAATTTTTATACCAATGTATATTTCCTCGCATTTAATAGACCCGAATTTATAATGTTTTGAGGGGAGCTATCTAATGGGATTGAACTTTCACAATAGTCCCTGTATCTCCGGTAATAACGAAACCAAGTATACAAGAACAATGATTAGCACTCGATTAGGATAGGGAGCATCTAACTTTATATATTTATCTACTTCTATGAACTCAGAAATTGGACAAAGGCTAACCTTAATCAGTCAATTCCTTCAGCGGCCTCTTTCCCGTTGAACAGAACAGCGCCGGGTACTTCGCGTAGGGCGTTGGGGAATGAGAATTCAACTATAGATGAGGGACGTCCGTCATCCATAGGGTCTGGTGGCTCGTGGTAGAATTCGCTCTGCATTACATAGTACTCTCAATCGACAGGAGGATAGCCCCCTTCTTCCGGCTGTACGTAGATGAAACCGTACATGCCGTTCGCAATATGTACTGGCACTGGTACAGCTGCACAACGGTAAATGTACAGCCCCGGAAATAGCAGCTTAAACGTGGATGTCTTGATCTCGCCATCGGACGCCGTAGTCAGGACAGATCCACCCCCTGGTCCGAGTACAGTGTGATAGTCAACGTTGTGCGAGACCCAGATTCGTCACAGTTTGTTAGGGATATCTCAAGAACATCCCCAACGCTTGCGCGAATAAATGGACCGGGAACAAATCCATTCAATGTGCGTTGTTCGTATTTGTGTGTGCTTGTTAGCTGTGCGGGTTTTATTGTTGTTTCCAGCTGCCCCTCGAGTAGTACAGGGTGGTTTCTGTAGTTGGGGGAACTTCAGGTGCAGTAGCCAACATCGCCCTCTCTCGTAGGAGGTCTGATAATCCTAATGGTTCATATCTCTTATAATCCTTCAATCCGTCGTTTCCTGACCTCGGGGTATGAGATCCTGGTCTATCCCAATCACCAAATTTGGAGAATGTTAGAGACCTACTGTATTCAGTATGGTCACGTGGCCTCTCTTGGTCACCCATCTAGATACACAGCTCGCCTGAGCCCCTTGAATTGAAGAGAATCGTGCCTCGCGAACACCCTGATCTTATCACATGAATTCGGTCCACCCACAGCCATATTATTTGACAACTAACTAATAAGCTCTAGCTTATATAAATTATGACTAAGAGATACCTAGTTCGGCATGGTTCCGCGCGAATCAAAAACACCGCTCGACAAGCCACGGTCCACTCACTGGGATACAAATCTTCCCTGGCACCATGCTCCTCTTTCCACGCCGCCAACTGCTTGAAATCGGAGACCAACCATGGTGCCCTCCTTGGATCATCGCTTACATCCAATCATGCCTCACTAGCGTATGGAACTTGCACATCCCACCCTTCAGCAAGACCTCTCCCGCCGGCGTCGCCGCGAATGTCATTCTTGAAAACCTGCCAGGTACTTCGTCCTATACGTTTATAGATCTGTGCGCCGGCGCTGGAGGGCCATCTTCGACGATTGAGTCGATACTTAACTCAAGAACTCAAGCACAAGGATACCCGCGTGCTCGACTTGTCCTCACCGATCTGCATCCCAATTTGAGCCAGTGGAAGGCTATCGCCAAGAGGCAGGAAAATGTTGACTACGTCGCGGGACCTCTAGATGCGACTAAATGTGGGCGAGTGGCTTCACCCGAGGATAAGGAATGTCGAATGCTGAACCTATGTTTTCACCATTTCGACGATAAAGCTGCTGCGAGCGTTCTGCGCAGTGCAGTCGAGTCTGCGGACTCGTTTATGTATGCTCTTTCTTTCTTTTTTTCCCCCTTACATCATTTGAAATGATCCAGGGACAGTAAGTGGTAGCTGATACATGCAGAATCATCGAGTTTGCTCAACGGAATTTCACCTCCCTTTTGAATATCCTGGCGGTGACCGTCCTGCCCTTCATTCATACGATTTTCCAGTATTGGAACTCTCCTTTGCACCTGTTCTTTACATATTTTGTTCCGCTGCATTCATTTGTCATGGGTTTCGACGGCCTGGTTTCTACGATTCGGTGTCGCACACCGGAGGAGATTGATACTCTTCTGCGCCAGCCGGGTCTGGATCTCCACGGCTGGGAATTCCGGTCGGGGAATCGCATGATGATCATGCCGTTTTTGCATATGTATTGGTATATGGGGATTAAAAGGTCCGATCGATAGAGTACTTATCAGTGTCCGTGTCGGGCAACTATTCAGTATATAACTCTCATATTCACTCATATCCAAATGTCTACTCTTGGTGGCTGTGCATTTCTTTTCCTTTCCGCAGCCCCGAGATTCGTGCCTCAGCGTCCTGCAGTACATCAAATCCTATCATCTGCCGATATCGATAGGACATGATGAATCCCCAGTCAGTTTCCCAGGTCATCCCTGATATCTTCAACAGCAGGTCTCGTAGCCACTGCAGCGCTCCGTCGTCTAGATGGAACAATCCCCTATTTCTGACTGCACCCTGGACGTTCTGTGCGGTGCGTGGTCTGCGTATTGCCTCGTAGAGTTGAAGAGCCTTTTGAATTTCCCATCCCATGGTCTCCGAACTGCCACTAGCTGATCGGGATGCAACTGCATCCAGTAGAATCCCAAGAACGGCACCATCCTCGACTGCCATCGCAGCCCCCTGCGCCTGATATGGAAGTGTCGGATGACACGCATCTCCAAGAAGTGTAACCGAGCCCTAGGTCGTTGATAAGTCTGCATCATCTCACACCCGATGTGAAACACACCTTCGTCCATGTCCTAAGCTCCGGAAGATGACAAAGTTTCCATTTCAGCATCGACGGGATACATGAAATTATTTTCTGCAATCTACTCCTCTTAGAAACCGGCTGTGTCTTTTAGTATATGTCTTTTAGTATATGACTCACGTTCGGTCCCAACCCTTATACGCATGTTGCACTTCCACCAAATCACTCCACGCATTGTGCACCCCCAAGGGCATATCATCCGGCCGTATCAGAACAAGGTTATATTCTTTCCCGCCGCGCAAGGGATAAAATACGGCATGTTTCTTGGGTCCCAGCCATGAAGTGATTGCCATCCTGGCGCAGAGGTGGTTGATATCAGTGTCTGCAAGTGATTCGAGCTGTTCGCGCGAGAACGTGCCGCGGTAAGCTAAATCGCCCGTTTCGTCGGGTGGGTGCTCTTCACCCAGGATGCAGTTCCGTATGGTAGACCCGAGACCTACATCATACAGTTAATAAGGTTAATAAGTAATGGAATAAACACTCACCATCAGCACCGATAATAACATCTCCCGCTATTCGCTCTCCCCCGGCTAATATCACCTGGGGGCTCTCATAGACGACGTCTTTCACCGTCGCGCTTAGACGGATCTTAGCGCCGAGAGCTTTCGCCCTAGCGAGGAGAATCTCATGGTAATCTGCTCGGTGTATGATACTGCATGACATGGGTTAGACAACTCGCCGAATGGGTAGGGTATGTAGCGTACATCCACGGCGCTCCGTATTCCGGTATAAGGATCTCCCCAGATGGCATGGACGTGATTATTTTCCCATCGGCATATCGTCGAATATCAATCGTCTCGACTACCGTGCCTTTTTCTAGTAACTCTGGTAACAGACAAAGTTCATCCATGATGCGGGCCCCGTTCGGTGGGATTTGAATCCCGGCTCCTATCTACTCCGGTTAGAGTCTCATACTCTATTTTCAGACAGACATATACACACTGGTGATATTTCAGGGGATTTTTCCAAAACCGTCACATCCAAATTTGCGCGCCGACAGGCTATTGCGCACGCGAGACCCCCTAGGCCGGCGCCTACTACGATTACTTTCATCGTGGCTGGCGAGAATTAAGATGTGTTACTCTATGGAGTTAGTTAGCATGGAATTGCGATATTGCACAGATTTAAAGTCTATTGGGCGACAATACCTGTTTGGCTCAGTGGATAAATTTACCCCTCAGCATTAGCAGTCTTAGTCAAAGGTACCGCGAAGTTAGGTCATGTCGAGATAGGCAACAATAAATTGAAAAGTATCGGTTAAACAGCAAAACAGAACAAAAATAAGTGAAAAGAATAGTAAAACTAATGGTTGATGGATATTAAGATTGTCTATTAGAATATCTGCCACTGCTTACGCGTCAAGCTATGGCCGCATGGTGCGATACCTGCAGACATACGGAGTAGAGAGAGATCGAAATTCAGAATCCCAAAACCCCTAGCGCCTTGGCGAGCGCCCATCGTCATCCTTCCCCTCTTGAACAGTTCCCATTTCTTTAGATAGAGTGTATGTCGGAGAGAGCAAGTTGGCTACGGTGGTTGAATCAGTTGATTGTTATGACTATCGTGATAAAGATCCTTAGGCCACTGGCGTGCAACTGGTATAGTGTTCTTCTGCCAATCATTCCTTCCCTTGAGCGAATGATCATGACAAATCGATTTAATGGCGGAGCAAACTTCCACAAGGTGGCCACGCCCATACATAGAAAGCTGGCTTGTCCACTCAATCTCGTCCTCTATAGTACCAAAGTTATTTTTCTTCTTGCTTCCCAGGAAAGCACCGAGAAAGAGCTAGCTACAAGCAAATATAAAGAACGTTCCGAACACTGGTTAGGGTGTAGATACTGCAGCTTAAACGTGTCACTGAAATATCTTTCTTCCACTAACGCTAGAGGAGAGAGACGCCAGTCCATCGACGTCATCTCTGAGACACATTTCGACTTTTGATCAATGGAGGCGCGTTAGAACCAGCCGCTCTTGCTCGGAAGGTCCAGACTTTGGTAGCTCCCAACCGTCTCCTATAAGAGTCACTAATGATATCCATAAGATACCTGAGAAGAATATCAACCTCCATGTGGCATCTCTCACAGGCGATGACCTGTATCCCCGCGTGTGACCTAACGTGCGGCCATGCCCACTACAAAAGTACTACAGCATTTGTGACTTGAGCAATCCATCCGTAGTCCTTGGAAATTTGACCTATGCATTTCTTGAGACCTTAAAGAGCAATACTCCTGTGCCCATGGTCTCAACCTCAGCGTATCTAGGCGCTCGCGGTATTGTGGACGGCCTCCAATGACGTGCTGATATTATCTATTGCGGACATGTCGCCGACACTAGTCCCGTTATGGCGGTAGCGTGGTTCTGGTATAATTGGTTAGAGACCGACTACGACACACTGGCTGGGGAGCTCATTGCGGTCCATCTCATTGAATATGCTTCGTATGTGACGGGAGCCAAGGTTGCCGGATTTGACCATTATCCACTGGATAACCTGGTGGCACCGGGTTTCCCATAGCGGAGATCGCAACTGATGTTTCTGCATGAGTTGCAGGTGATTCTCTACCCGAATAGCTATGTCAGCGCGCATATACGGTGACGTGGTAATTGAGAATATCAGTGTTGATCGGTATGAGCTCTCTGCTCTACCTATTGTATGAGGACGTACTGACAAAATAGGGTGCATGTATCGGCATACGAGGAACTCCTTCCCCTCTGTTAACCAAGCCTGCAGTCTTCTATGCGGGGCGTACGAGGCCAAGCTGTTTCGAAACCCAATGGGCTACGCCACATCCCAGAACTGGGACCTGTCCGAAAGCAGATCCGTCATTTCCTGCCGGTCGTAGTGAAAAATGTTACTGAAACGCTGGAATTCCAAAGGTTCATATTTGTCACCATGTATACAACTGCGTTAATTGGTAGTATAGCATCGGAGTACCTGCATCTAATCCTGCATGAGGACACGTATCTACGAGTATTCATTGTCTCACGCTCCAAACTCGCCGTCGCAGCAGTTGCCAAAGTTATGAAGCAGATCTCTCTGAAACTCTTCTCCGGATCTCATAGTCGGGACATGCGCGCAACTATCCCCCGACCATCCCTCGCGTACTATCCCGCTTTCATCAAACAAGCCGAGGCGATCAATTTCGTTGACGGCCCAACCATCCAATCCTTTGATACCGTCATACTCCATGATACGAATCCCTTCCCCGCGGGAAAGCTTCGACCCCGAAGATGCATGAGTCCTTTTCTGTCCCCCGAAACCGCGTCGTCTTGGAGAAATCACCTTCGCGCGTCCAGAGACAAAATGGGAAACTTCAACTTTGGCATATTTGTCTCCACCGCGCTCGCTGGGATTGGTTAAGTTCGTTCATGGCAATTGAGCGCATGCACGTCCTCCTGGGCGAGGATTGGCACATGTTGTTTTTTATCAAGAGGGTTCAGTTTCCTCTGCTTTATGCGGTGCATTTTGTCGTCTATGGTGTCTTAGGTCGAGGTGTTAGTAGTTCTAGTCGATTGGATGGTTTTGGGAAGGGGTTTGCGGATTATATTTGGGATAAAGTCGTGGATGTTCCGGCGGAACGGTTGCCCTGCATGGATTAATAAGCATGAGATTGCTCTGCATGAGCAGTACGTTTATGAATTTCATTGAGGTATTTATTTTCTCGTATAAAAATGCTAATGGCTTGGTAGGTGGATTCTCCTCCCACCTAAAAAGTTGCCTGTCTACGGTCGACACTCCAGAGGACATCCGGATCCGTCAGGCTCTCCCTGCCTCGGCCAGCGCCTCTGAGGTGGTTCGAGAGTCGCTCCAGCAAAAGCTCGATGAGATCAATACCAGGGAACGGCCTACGTTTGGATAATCTCAGTTCTCAACTGGAACAGCAGAGCAAGAGAGCAAACCAGAGGAGCAGATAAAATAGCTGAATCTTCTTCTATGGTTGTTTTGTCATTAGTCAAGAAGATGGGACTTACCGACTAGCCGGAAACTAGATCTCATATCATCATCTACAACACTGCACTGCGCCCATGCACGATACCACGATCATCGGTTATGTAACTGTATGGGCAAATCCCAGTCGTAGCCTGTGAATTATTGGTTCAAATGGGTTGGTTGCCAACCCATTTTTTCCACAAAAGCCTAACTTTGTGGGCACATCCGAGTCGCAGCCTGTTAATTACTGGCTCAGATGGTTTGGCTGCCAACTCATTTTTTCCACAGTGTCTGGCCGCACTGGGAATGGAAGCCTTGGATCGAGGCCCGATATGGTATGCTCATACTACTTCGAGAATTACGCCAGAAGTTTGGGAAGCTTATTGTTTGTCATAATTGATTCAATATACTTCATTGTAACGGAACTGGAAAAGCTGAATCCCTAAAAATGGTGCGAAATACAATGATACTAATTCGCCTAATTCACCAGAGCATCCTCTTCTTTGTCGTCATTATACACCTCGATTTGCTTCTCCAACATCACCATACTCCCAACAACGTTTTTTATTCTCTCGATAACTTTCCTGAGGCCATTCACTTCCAATAGCTCTCTTATCTGGCGCCTTGCTTCAATGTTTTTAGTCGACTCAATATAGGAGTTGAGTGACATAAACATACTGAGAATATGTTTCTGTCGAGCCCGCTTCTCGCGAGCTGATGACACTGGGCTTAATTCCCACGCGTCAAGCTTTGAGAAAAGGGTACTAATCCAAACGAGCGGTGACCTACAACTGGAGGGGATGGAGAACTCCATGTTTCCAAATAGTCCGTCAAAATTATTGGGTGGGCCTATTCTATTCGGGAACATAGAGGGATATGGAGGATTTCGGTTGGTAGCGACATTATTCAGGTAGGTACTTGCAAGGTTGGCATAATTAATTTGGGCAGGGTCCGCGCGTGGAAAGACAGATCCAATCCCTAGATACAAGGGTGTGAGTCTGTACCGCCTCGTGGTGTGGAGCCGGGTTTACCTTGAACATTTAAGGACTGGGGCGTGGGCTGGGGAGTGATTGCTGTTTGGTTGCTTATAAGCTCTTGGGCCTTCTGTTGCTGTGGGCGCATTACAGATCGCAAACGTGCTGCCGGTGTCTTAAATTCGTCCTCATCAATACCCTTCCCTGTTGGATGACTCGGGTCAAATCGAAGCGACTTCTCAACAAGAATATCTATGGCCGTGGTGCACCATTGTAGCTCAGCCTGAATTTGTGCCACATCACATTGTGTTAATGCCGATTTGCAAATTTCATATTTGGTATGTGTTCTTTCTGCAGGGGTGTGATGCACTCTGTTTAAAGCTACTGGATCGCCGTTGAGAGGATTATCTAGCCCCTGAGGATTCCCAATAAGCTCCTCGAGATTGTCGAGTAGAATTTGGCAGCGAGGAATCAAAATATCGGGACGTCGAAATACATTGCTTGTGTCGGATGCGTTAGAGTTGATAGACGAGTTTAAAGCGCGAGGGTCATTCAAAAAGTGGTTGAGCGAGCAGTGAAGTCCAAAGAGTAAATCAGAAAGTTCAGTCACCACCGAAGTTGCTCTCTGACCGGCATGCAGCATGTTATATAGTCTATAAGCCTGTTGACATAGATTTATAATGTTTCCCGTTCCAAGGCGTGTATCTTTCTCTTGGATCTTGGGAATATCACGCGATGGTTGTCCCATGCCGTTCGTAGCCGGTGGTATAACTGACAAGAGATCCTTCGCATAAGCCGCAGCGGCGGCAGCTGCATAGGGTTGCCAGCTCTTATTCTTATGGGAGTCAGCATAATCGCTGATCCCTCGAATCACAACGCAGGGGAAGATGTTCATGATGCCAGCGGCTTCCATTTCAAAGCAAAGAACGTTTCCGAGCTCCGAGCTCAACTGGTCCCTAGTAATGCCACTCCTGATGATCTGATTACCAGAGGCGATGGTCCCATAATGAATCTTGACGCCTGGACATTTCCGGGGCGCACGTGCTACAAGGCAGCCTGCGTTACATAGTGCGCATGAAGGCCCGCCCACATGAGTATATGTTGACACGAACAACATGTCAGGCCCAGCATTGGCTCGCTGAAACTGTGGCAGGTGATCAAATGCGGATAGATATTTTGCGACCTTGCTTCGGTGTCTCAAGTGGTCTGCGCGAAGCTTGTTCAGGGCGGTTAACAAATTAGCAGGTGGTGCGTTGAGAAATCCCTTCCGTTTGAACCCTGCGACTGTCGCTCTTCCCAAGTCATACTGAATTACGCCACCATGCCCCGTATCTGGCTGACTGACGACAACATCGCCAAGCCGTATGTCGGCAGAGCTGGGGACCCCACCGCCCACACCGACTACCAACCCAACTCGGATTGCAGGAAATTTCGCCTTCATCTTCACAGTAACCGCGGCCGCCGAGTTTGTACCGAACTGCCCAGCTGGAAGACTAACGAGGACTATATTGTGCTGGCCTATTCTACCAAGCGTATATATGCTGTCGTCGCTGGGGTCGTATGGGAGTCCACCGTGCTCCTCGTCCAGCAGCTCCGAAGCGGCGGCGAGCTCGATCGGAAGGGCGCAGATCCATCCCACTGTATAATCCTCCGGACGAAACGTTCCCTCGCCGGCGGAAAGTTTAGCATCATGGCTTTCAGAGCCCTTGACAAAAGGTGGGGTTTGTTTCTTGATATCATAGCTAACTTTCGAAGTCTCCAACCCGGGGGAACCAAAGGTCTCCTCAGGATCGAAAAAGTCAGTCATAGAGGTGTGAATTTTTCTCTTTTGTTCTCTATAGGTGCAGAGTTAACGGGTTCATATGAAAAGGGGGTTTCCAGGTGTTGTGGAATTCAGGGGAAAATGATGCGCAGAGAGCTATTCTATCTGCTACAGGCCCTCAGCCATACTAGGAAGTAGGTGTCATTCGGTGGAAACACCAGGAATCGCAGAATCTCAACCAACTGAGCCTTCTAAGCGGTTCCCTATATTCTCATTGAGGTGTTCTACTGTCTAAAGGATTCAGGGGCTGAATCGATCGTCAGATATTCCACACCGCCAAGTCAGGTGGGTTATAGTGTTTCCGTAACACCAGGAGGGCTGTGCTGTGCCCATAACTGCAGATAACATGGCTGTTCATAGACCTTGCCATAATGATTTGTTGGGTACCCATAGGTTACCCGGAAACAAGCAAAGAACCCAACGCCTCATATATGACGTTAATATATTCGAAATTCTGAAAGATTAATAAGTTGTATATATTACCGTTGTTTATTATTCTTGCCGGGTTTTGGGTCGGCGGTCTTAAGCTATACATGGCCTAGAATCATGTGATCAAACAGGGGTAAACAAGGCCAAAATAATCATTGTAAGAGCCAATATACTCAAAAAAAAAGGCTTGATAAACTCAAGAACAGATTATTTAAGACCTTCTACGTATCGTATTCTCTTTCCTATTTGGGACTGACCGAGTATCTGACAATAACATGTTCGGTAACAAATACCAAGAGCCAATAGAAGGATTGCTAGAGCGCAAGGCTGATTCAAATTTCAGGCTGCGATGCGGGGAAATTGGGATCAAGCCTTGACCGTCTGGCACTTATATAACTAATGTATAGTTGACTTAGTGTCACGGGTTAAACCCAGTGTGGTGCTCAGACTGAGGCCAGTTAATAACTATCCACCTTCCAGCCCTTCCAGACTATTCGAGTGACGTTGTAGCCAGCATTAAGACATAATGGTTCGGGTCACCATCGACAATTTAAAGAGAGAGGGTAAGACGGAGCTCAGTTGCTCGATACTGGATTTGCCTCCGCAAACAAAGTTGTCTCAGATTTCTTCCTTGCTCCCAGGTGAATGAGCTCTACTGGTGAAACGAGAGTTGGACACCTTGTGATTGCTAACTCTATGTAGGTTTTGCCCAGCCAGCATACTATATCCGATATGTCCCAGGTAGCAACCGCAGTGTGAAACTAAATCCAGAATCGCACTACATGCTCAAGTATCCCACCAAGAAGCTTAAGGTGTCTATAGACAAAGCTTCCAGTTTCGGTGAAGGGTGTATCAATATCGACGACTCCTTTCTCCATTTTGCAAACCTCGGTTGTGATAACAAGCTACTGACGGCAAAACCCGAATATAGTAAATGGGGTTTAGTCTCTGTTGCTCAGAGTGAACGGATATTGGTGGATGACTGTCTGGAGATTATCTTTCATCGCGCCCTGCGCATGCCGGATGATGACAAAATACACCCACTACCAGATTCACGCGGTATATTCCCCCTGTTTAATGTTAAAGCTTTTGCCTCTCGGCTACCAGTGCACATCGCGGAGCGCGGTGGGGTATTCTTTCCAATGTGGCAGAGAGAAGCTCTTTGGATTGAATTTAACAATCGTAATAAGGATAATAAATACGCAATTAGAGTCAACGTTGGTCACATTAATGCTTTAAGTGGCCGAAATATCTATGAAGTGACAGATAAACAGGACTACGTGGTTGTCCCAGAGCAACAGTGGCTTGATGGCATTGCCGTGGGCCCGGGAATTGTACGCCAATTTGTTTCTATGCCACGTAAGCCATCTCTACCACGAATCTATACACTGCTAAAATTTTTGCTTAGTGGGTGCTGGATATACCGTTGAAGGGCAGGTTACTGGAAAGGAAAAATTCGGCAGTATTCAGATAGAAGTTATTCCTCCTTACAAGGATAGAAATTGCTACACTTTCACCCACACAAGCGAGCAAGGATTGCCCATAGCTATGTCGGAGCTGAACACCCCACGGGACTACCATCTTAAACATGGTGATGAGGTTGTGATGGCATTAAATCCATCCGGGCTCATGGGCTATCCGAGGGTTTGTGATTTCCTTGATGACGATGAAACCCTCGAGCAAATAGAAAGCCTCTGTATAAAGGTTCGTGACCTTATATGCAGTTTGCAACCAAGGAACGGTTGTTGATTCTAAGGATTTGCAGGCTGGTTATGTGGAGGGAATTCTGGCTTCTAATGGTCTATCATATTTCGATCCCCTGACCTGTGGTTCCCCCGAGTTGGAGACTCCGAAAATTAGATATGATATCAAGGAATCAACCCCACCTTTTGTCAATGGCTCTGAAAGCGATGCTGATAAATATGGCGCCGTCGAGGGAATATCTGTGCACTCTTCCCGTAAGAGCCAGAATTCCTTGGTACCCAGCAGGACAGCGGGTAATTCGGTGCTGATCAGCCATTTAGAAAATCGACCGGATATGTCCTTTAAGAGCTATGAGGACCCACCACATGAAGAGCGCATTCTAGAATACGACTCTGGCATGTCCCTAACCAGAAAGCGAAAACGCGTGCCCGGCTCAAACGAGCCTCCAGCAGAGACACATCCAATTTTTAATGCTCAACGCTTAGGTGAAAAGTCAAAAAGTGCGCTTTCATTACTACTGGATCCTGATCCGACCCAATCCGGCGAGGGGAACTCATCCCCAGATGCTTCATACAGCCCTTCCAAGAAGAAGCCCCTCGAACATCCCCCGTTTGGCGACGCCGTTAAACAAGAACCGGAGTCTCCCCAAACTTCCCAAGCATTACCAAATTTCGTCTCGGAGAAGAAATTACCTTTGACCAAGTTTATCATACCCGCTTCTGAGGCTCCAAGACAGGATTTACTGCCCGCTCTGCATTCACCAGACAACCAGCATACACTACCCTCTTTTCAGATGGCACTAGGTCTTCCCGATGTGTCGAAAGATCCTGCTGGACGTCCAAATGGGTCATCCCCGTACCATCTTCCCCCTGGTACAGCCACGTCACCACCAGTCCTACGGAGTGAACTGGCTTGGGACCCGCAGCGCCCAGGGCATTTTGGCCCTCAAGTTCCCCCCAGTCCGTACTCGCACTGGTCCCCTGCGAGTACAAAAGATCTATCGACTGTGTCCTTACCTACGTCGCAGAGCTCCTATTGGCGGCCTCCCAAACAGGACAAACCCTACCTTAATCCCGCCGCTACATGTGCGCCGCACTCTGGACCAGTTGTTTATCGAGACACATGTCCCTCTGCAGCTAGTCCTTGCGGGTGGGCACTATTTGATATACCTGCGCAGTACAATGGGATTATCTCTGCAGGCACTTCCACATATAATTATCCAGAGTGCACTGCTGCCTCCGAGACGGTGCGCTTTGGGCTGGATCCCGGGCCTAGCTATAGCTATACTAGTTCTCATGCAAATGTCTATTCACAAGCCGAAGAAGAGAACACACTATCACACGTTTTTAACAGATTTTCCAAGAAGGCGCTTGACAAACATAGAGGTGATGAAACATACGACAGCACTCAGAATAGACTCCAGGAAATGGGCATAGCGGCAGGTGGTAAACTCATGCAAGACATCGTGACTGACAGATCAGACAGGCGGATCTGGAATAAAGCGAGTGCTAAATTACTTAACTTCCAAATTCTTCACCCACTAGACTTTGAGACACTAACACATATCGTGCCTCCATCAACGCCAATTACAGCGGAGGAATACATCAAGGCCGAGCTTCCGTTTTTCGTGGTAGAAGAGGACACAGACCAGCGACTTGGCGGGGCTGCAGCGCTGACTGAGGTGAAAAGTATTAGTGCCATGGACAAGCATGTAGGAGTGGACAATGCTTCCGATAACCAGTTCGACCCCTTGAAACCGAAAAGGTGTGGCACCTGCGCTATAAGATTGCGCGATTGCATGTAAGTCTTGTGGGAGCTGGTACTAGGGACATGATATTTATACTAACTCTACCTCGTCTAGCGTTCGGCCATGCAACCATCAATTCTGCTATGTGTGTATTAAGGCTGTGGCGTCGTCCAGTAAAAGCGAACCCGGCGACTGCAACCGAAGCTGCTGTCCACTCTGTTCAGCGAGTATCCATCATGTTGCAGGATTCTCGGCTCCTATGAATCTACCCGGAGAGGAAACGTTGAAGGTCGACGTGCCAGTCGTTATGTTGGAGGTTCAAGACGGAAGGATGGAATTTGGGTCCATCGCGCATATGAGGATATAAGAACTAGCAGGGATAAGATTAGCATCGCTGGCAGAGGGCATGCAAATGGCAATGTTATTTCCTCTTCCACAGTTGGTGGTTGCCATGGTATATCTACCGCCACATTATCCGCTGTTACACTCGCCATTTGTGCAATATATTTTGCTGCCTTCCCCCCTCAGTTTGCCAACAACGTTCTAGAATGATTAGATAGAAATCGTATATACTCCCTGCATTTTGAAACTATGACAAGCGGCTCCAAATTCCCCGTTTCGGGACATCTACCTCCCTCACCGTTAGCACCCAGGGCTCCATCGGCAAAATTTCCTGCTCCGATGGAGATCTGATCATAAAATATCATGATGGCCGTTGTTGCAAGTGGACCTGACAGATGGCAGCAGGAGTGTTACGTTATGAAGCATATCATAGTGTCGCAGCTGAGATACCTACAGTACTATTTCCCTCTTGCCCTGAATCAACTATTTTGTCGGCAAACCCTTTGTCGGTAATGTCCTCCATTTGCTCCGGTACCGCATACCCGCCAACATGCAGCCAATATCTTAGAGATATCGTACCTCGAGCAAATAAGTACTTCCTCGGTACCCCCAGAGCAGATATTTATGTTACAATTTGGTTGTCAATAACCTCATATCTGCATCCGGGGTCTAGGGTATATAGAAGTGGCTCTCTCTTGTCCGGGTGGACCCCTTCATTGGGCTCTCTTTGTCGCCCGTGAAAACCAACCAGGTTTGGTGTATCAGGTTAAGGGAGACGCGGAATACATGATATACCTGCCTCCAAGTCGTTTGGTCGATATAACCAACTCTGCATCTTTTTTGAATATGTATCAATTGGCTGTTATGACTGAGCAACAGGCTATGGTGGTGAAACAAGCTGCAGACAACGAACCTCTCCTCGGGCACCTAATCGGCGATCTGTCAGGGAGAATTTCCAAGGCTGGACTGTGCGAGTTATTACTAAGTTGGTTGAAAGAGGGATTGTGCCAAGCGCAAAGCTTCAAATGGCGAGATCTATGATGCAACCAGTTTAAGGCTGGTCGTTGACTGCAGCCGTTGATACTATGCTACACAACGTTTCTCCTGTCCACGCTCACTTCCTTTTTTCCCCACTTCCGCTTTTTTCCGTTGCAGAGGGACATTGTTTCACTCTCACGACTTATTGTTGTATTGCGAGATCGCAATTTTTGGTTTCTTGACGTTTGTTCTCTGTTGCTGTGTTCAGAGGTTTATGTAGTTAGTTTTTGCGACGTTCGGCTCATTGGTCTACTATTAGTCTCCATTTTTTGAACTGTGCAGCCTATATGTTTTGTTTGTCCTATAGTGCAGAGTTTTCTCCACATGAGGGAATATTTAGGTCACTTGCTTCAGAAGAACAACTTGAAATGGACACCTGCGTAAGATGGAGTAACGAAAGCCTTGGGGAAGATTTCGTAATTTGTCGCGTGGCCGTGATAGAACGAACTTGGTTTGCCTTACGGCCAAGGGCAGCACAGCCACGGGCGATGGCAGCTACCCTCAAAATCCGCAAGCGACCATCCACTGTGATATCCAATAAGAAGAAATAGTTTAGCGCTTGTGTCCTGAAGACACCGTTTCCGATTCCACATTATCCGCCTGAAGAGGAGGACCACCGTCGAAGTATGCGTCTCGAAGCTCAGATATATGCAATGATCGGGGAACATCTTCTCGTGCCTAAGATGATTCACTGGGACCAAGAAACCTGCTGCCTTACGATGCAATACCTAGCGAATGGAAATCTCAAAGAGTATATTCAACACCATCAGAACATATCGCCTCAACTTCGACTACGATGGAGTAGACAGCTGCTGAAGCGCTAAATGTTCTTCATGCTCTTCAAGTTATACACTGCGATCTCTCACCAGGGAACTTCCTTCTCGACTTTGATCTTAATGTGAAGATTGCTGACTTTGGCGGCGCTTCTCTATGCGGCTCAGATCCATCAGCTACTCCGGCAACAAGGTTTCGACACCCTGGCTACGATTGGAATGCCCCTCCGGTATTTGGGGGTGACGTGTTCAGTCTCGGGTCTCTAACTTTATAATGACCAGTTCTTATCCATACGGGGACATCCCTAGTGACAAGTTGAGAAGCTCTATGAAGTTCAACAATTTCCTGATGTGTCCTCAATCACTTGTGGAAATATTATCATGCAATGTTGGCGGTGAGAGTTAGACTCGGCTCATGCCGTACATAACTCCCTAGGAGCCATTGAAGGAGGGCTTTCGCTATAACTCATTTTGTCCGTTTTCCCGTACTTCACCCTTGTCGGCCAGGAAATTTAACCAACAAACTATCTGGGTTCACCGAGTGTTGTGTTCTGCAAAGCCCTCATCTCTTTGGTTTGGGCACTCCCTTCGTGTGATCGTTTGACCAAGATTCTCTTCTTTTGGATCTCGACAGGTTTGTCCGGTTGCTGCGTAAGCGGTGCATCCTTCTGTAACTAAAGAATAGTGCTGACCCGGAGTCAAAAGACAAGTGCGTGCAAAGTTTGCCTTCTTCTGGCTCTGGAAACTGCCGTAAAACAATAATAAGCGTGAATTTTTTTCACGCACTTCACGGTGAGTTTTCCAGCCACGGTGACTCTGCCAGCAACACACGAGGCGCCCTATAAGACTGTCGAGAATTAGACGTTGTGTTTGTCGCCCGTCGTGAATAATCTCAATGAATCTTTTCCCATCTGAAGTGGACAAGATACTTGTTGGGCCTTATCTTTGTTCATCATTATTCATCAGACAAAAAAAAAATTCCCTTCTCTGTATTGAATTGTTGGCTCACTCTATAAGGAACAAATAAAAATTAGTAAACTCGCCTGTGCATTCATCGGAGCAGTACAATAATCAAGGAATGAGCCTCTCGATTGTGGATTGGGATGGTCCCAGCAACAACAATCGATGACGCTGGTTGAAACACGAATGAATCAACGGCAGCTTGGCTGATCAGCCTAACGGTCACCCCTAACGGTCACCCCTAGCGTTCACCCACTCACCTCGGTCGCGCGACTTCAGGGCAGCACTGCTCACCTACTATGTACACTTAGCTGCCCACCTGGGGATTACAGCATAAGGCCCACTTTAGCTTCGTACACTTCGATGCCAAGAAGTGGATACTACTGCCAAGAGTGAATACGACACGAAAATCACCATTTTAGAATCATGAAGAATGAAATTATTAATCTCTGATTTCAAAGCAGTGACTCAGTTCTTCTTATCATGTATTTATAAGGTCATCAATTCGAACTCCTGTACAGACACAATTCAACCTCAGAGACCAACTCAATCTCAAGATTCAAACTCAAAAATCAATATTCGACACAACGGTTCAATACCGACTATCATACAAGAGAATGGCGAAATCAGTCAGTATCCTCGGCCTCGGTGCCATGGGCACAGCACTTGCTTCGCAATACCTATCACACAACTACAAAACCACAGTGTGGAACCGCTCTCCGGAAAAAGCCAGACCCCTCGTTGACAAAGGCGCCAGCCACGCATCAAGCATCCCCGATGCCCTCCTCAACGACCTCATCATCATCTGTCTTGTTGATAACCCCTCTGTGACACAAACTCTTACCCCGGCATTATCATCTCTGACTGGTAAAACCATCGTCAATCTCACCAACGGCACTCCGAACCAAGCTCGTGAAATATCCTCCCTGGTTACATCCCACGGCGCACGATATATTCATGGTGGAATCATGGCTGTCCCTGCTATGGTTGGCACCCCGCATGCTGTACTTCTGTACAGTGGTGAATCTGAGGAGACTTTCAACACTATCCAGGGTGATTTGACCCTCCTCGGAGCGCCTAAGTATCTCGGGGCTGATGCCGGGTCGGCCTCGTTACATGATCTCGCACTTTTGTCGGGGATGTATGGTCTTTTCTCTGGATTTTTCCATGCATCCGGCTTGGTGAAGTCCAAGGGAACATCAGTGTCTGGGTTCCTGGACCTATTGAAGCCATGGCTAGGCGCGATGACCGCATATCTGGGTATATTGGCCAAGCAGATTGACGAGGGAAAGTATGAGACGGAGGGGTCGAATTTGGCGATGCAGTTAGTGGCTATCCAGAATATTGTGGCAGCTGGCGAGGAACAGGGTGTTTCGTCCGATTTGATTTTTCCAATCCGAGGCCTCATAGAGAGGGCAGTGGCAGATGGACAGGGTAAAGCTGATCTGTCAGCGTTGATTGAGTACATGGGTGGGAAAAATTAGTGATACTTCTATTGTATTGTTGCTGTTATTGATAGTATATTCACTGTAAATATGGTCGATCATCTTATCAGCCTAATATGCTTTTATTTATACTGTAGAAAAACCTATATGCTCTTAAGATGATTCTTCTCGCCATAAACAGGTAAACATATTATATGAAAGCCGGGTTAACTCGATTTTAAGTGCGCAATAAATATAGTTCATAAAATGAGATTCCATATTTGGTGAGTGGGATATACTACTTAGTAGATTATATATAATCCGGAGACTTGGGCCGCCTTCTATATATTGTTTTAGTGTATCCTGCTAATCTATGAATTTTATCTATAAATGTTTCACTGAACATTGAAATCGAAAGGAACCTCTAGAACCCGTCGTTATACAATACTGATAGATTATACCCAGTAAGTATCTCTATCATTAAATTCGCACAGTAGCTCGGAGATAACCAATTTTGTCTATGCGTGAATCGCAGAAGTACTTCATCATCCTGATTATTTCACTAGATCTCAAGTACTGATACTAATCTGAGGACTTTGGAAGATATATTTGTCTCAGAGTATCTACTCATGGTCACCATGTAGCTGTGAACATGTGTATTATTTCCACCAGGTGTGAGAAACATTTAGTATTTCTTCTCGATTACTATTAATCACTTGAACCTAATGCTACTTTGTAATACCTGGAGAATAAAACTGTTCTGACATCACGGGGGGGGAATGTGGAGGATTCGGGTGACAACAGTTGGATGAGTCCGTCTCGGCCGCCGCGGGACCGAGATGCCTTTATCGGCACCCCCACATTTCCTGCTTCCGCTGGGACACGACAGCTCCAAGAATACACTACAGTATGTACACTACAAGAACTCCATTGCATGGAGCCGCGGACCCTCGGACACAACAATTCCTAGGAAAGTTCAAAGATGCGCGGTACTGGGACAGCGTGGTAGATATGCCGAAGCTGTCATACTCCTCAGTTCCACGTCTGCAATGAAGGGATATATACCGCTTAAATCTCTATCACTCTGAGAGGTATACACATTCCATACCACCTCCTCTAACTCTTACCAGTATGTCGTTCTTCAAGTCCCCCAAGCCCATCGTCTTCATTGGCGCTGCTGGTGAGATGTGCCGTGTTGCCGTCGAGCGCTTTGTGACCGCTAGCGAAGCCCCTCTTGTCCTTGCCGATATAAACACCCCAGTCCTGGAGTCTTTGGCCGCCAAGCTCCCCTCTGGACGGGTAACGGCAAAGAAGCTGGATCTGTTCGACAACGCCGCGCTGAATAACACAGTCCAGGATGCTGCCCTGGTGGTGTTGGGTGCCGGTCCCTACATACGGACCTCCGGACCCGTGCTCAATGCATGTCTTAAGGCCAAGGTGCCGTACTTGGACTTTGACGACGATGTCCAGAGTACCCAGGACGCCTTGGCACTTCATGAACGTGCCAAGAAGGTCGGTGTGCCGTGCTACATTGGATGTGGTGCGTCCCCCGGCATGTCCAACGTGATGGTGATGGACGTTGTGCGGGAATTAGATACAGTGGAGATCATTGACATCTGCTGGCTGGTCGGAGACGAGCGAGGCTCGACGGGAAAGGCTGTCTTAGAACATCTGATGCATATTGCCGGCGGCTCCTGCCTTACCTGGGCCGACGGTAAGCCGACTATTAACGAGTCATGGGTTGAGACCACGTATGCACCCATGCTGGGAGATGGAGAGATACTCCTTCATGAAACTGCCCATCCAGAACCCGTCACTCTTCCCCGTCTGTTCCCCAATGCGAATCGGATCCGTTGCGCTGGTTCCTTGGCTCCCGCTCCATTCAATGGCATCGCCCGTGGACTTGGCCAGGCCGTCCGTCGCAATGCCATCCCCATGAAGGAGGCGGTAGATTTCCTATTCAAGCTGACCAACGAGGAGCCATCCGTGGGCAACATATTCGGCGAACTGACGGCGGCCTTCAAGGGCGGAGACATCACGATCAACGAACTCTTCCAGCTACTCGGACACCTGAACAACTCTTTGAGCCCGTGGCGATACGCACTGTGCGGCATGATCGAGACGATTTGGACGGGAGAGTGCACGACTGGAGAGGTCTTGAGCTTCCTGGTGGACTCGGCCCGTGGCAAGCGCGTAGAAAACAAGGGTGGCCTGCTAGTTCGCGCCGTGGGCCTTCGCAATGGACATCCTGCCACGGTGACGAAGCGCACAGCCAAGTCAGGCGAGAACACATTCTTGTCCAAGTCTATGGGAACCTCTACTGGAACCGCAACCGCCGCGTTTATGCTGCTTGCTCTTGACGACGGTCTCATACGCAACGGTGTCTACGCCCCTGAGGACTGGGCTGAACCCGAGAGATTCTACAAGGCGCTGGAGCGTCTTGGGATCCCGGCTGATGAGCTTGTCGAGAGGGTTTGATGATATCGTGTGGTACTGTTGAGTTTATGAGACATAGTCCGAGAATTCGGTTTGATTGATGATTCAACATCTTTGTTCAGTGGAGAAATAAGTCCTTTGAGTAAATTGATTGATAGAGCTGAGTAGTTCTGCCAATGCACCCTTGTAACGACGAGTTGCTCTCCATTCATTGGAAGTGGGCAGTATTTGTAAGCTACTTTCAATTTGCTCTTGACTGGAAGAGTAGGGTTTCATGCCTCTTGTGCTCCACAGACTAACTCATTCGAGGCTTCAGTGTTGAAGCAATACCGGACTCATATGAATAACAGTGTGTTTTATGCTTATTTGCGTAGGGTAGGAGGTTGGATTAGATGTCTTGTATACATCAACAGATTTGTTTAATTTTGCTATTACTTGTCACTGTTCTAGAGGGCTACTTAGTTAACTAGAGACGAATGTACATTTTATCCAGTGGCAATTTATTACCATGGACCATAACTGGATAGAGCAATAATACCGAGTGCCCTATAGACTATTAGAATAGCATAGCAAATGTTTAATTTGACTATTATACCAACTCGTGAAAATGTCAGCATAATAGGCTGGCCACATGACCTCATAGCTAGCTTCATCATTCGGGTGACACTTTCAGTACACTGATAGATCAAGAGCTATTGTAACTTACTTGAACCAGTAACATCCGCCTGGTAAAACAGAGCAGAAAGATAGCAGCCATACTTCATCACCGGAAGCCCGTCCCCATGCGGGGCGATGCAGGGGATGTATGGGTTCCGCGGACCCGCGAGACAGGCTACAGCCGACATAGATCGCGGCCATATGATGCTCACGCAGAAACAATGCTTTCAATGGCAGCACATACAGCAATTGCACATCAATTGTCCTTCTTGTCTATACAGTAACAATGGCACAACAATTTGACGTCGCTGTGATTGGAGCCGGCATGGCTGGACTCGTTGCAGCCCGAGACCTCAGCCTAAAGGGTCATTCGGTTGTGCTACTAGAAGCGCGCGATCGAGTGGGCGGACGAACCTATCAATGTAAGGCGTTTGGGGATGAGTTGGATTTGGAATTAGGTGGCGGTTACGCACATTGGACCCAGCCACATATCTGGTACGAGATGCAGCGCAATGGATTGAAGCTGCAGCCGCCCATGGTGGAGGGCCGGGCCTTCTGGCTGGCTGATGGCAAGGTGCACACTGGCTCCAACGAGGACTACTATGGCGTCGTCGGTCCCCTGCTGGGCCAACTATTTGCCGACGCCCGCGCTCGTTTCCCTATCCCTGCGGATCTTATGACAATTGACAACTCGGACATCGAGAAGAAGTCGATTGAGGATCGCATCAACTCGCTGAGTCTCTCGTCCTACTACCGGGACGTGCTAGAGGGTGCCCTAGCTGGCATCATCCATTCCTGTAAAGAGCAGGGAATCGCGCAGCTTCTGCACGCGGTGGCAACCTACTTCGGTGAATTTCATGCCTTCTTTGAGACGGCCGGCACATGGGCTATCCAAGGGGGCACGAAGCAATTGGCCGCCGCAATCCTGGCCGAGTCTAGGGCCCAACTCCAGTTGTCCACACCCGTGAGCAGTATCACTGACAGAGGGTCTGGAGTAACAATCACCACGCGCGCAGGAGAGGAGATCCAGGCGCGCTCTGCTATTTTTGCCATCCCCCTTAACACTCTGGGTGATGTGAAGATTACCCCCGAGCTCCCCCCAGCTGCACGCGTCATCATTGACCGGAAGAACCCTGTTCTGGCGCACAAGATCTGGATCCGTGTCAAAGGCGAAGTTGAACCCTTCTCGATCTACTCTCCGGCTGGCAAATCCCCCATCAACGCGGTGAGAACAGAGAAGCGCCATGACGGCGATACCCTGGTTCTGTGCATGTGCTCTGATGCAACGTCCGTCGACCCGAAGGACCGCAATACAATCCAGGCGGAGCTGCGTCGGTTTATTCCCGACATAGAGGTGGTCGATACGGCATGCCATGACTGGGCGGCGGACGAGTTCTCCAAGGGAGGCTGGATGATGCACCGACCGGGTATGCTGACGGGTGCCGCTCGAGAGATTCGCAAGCTCCATGGCAACATTCGTTTTGCTGGTAGCGATCTCTCCGCCACCGAGCCCGGGTCGATCGAGGGCGCCCTGGCAAGTGGTGCGGCTGCTGCTCGCGATATATCGGCTGCATTGACGAAGGCACGTCTGTAGGATGCTTATTGTTGCTGTGTTTGGTCGATTGCAATACAGAAGTTAGATCTATTAGTCTAGCATTGGAACTCAGTATATTGTATGTAGCTTTGACTATCACTGCATTTTTGCATTACTCGGCCCAAGTATTTACACACAGCAAAACGGAGAATGATTTTTTCAACCCATTGCCATCATCCTGAAGGAGGGCTTTTCATCAACCCCTGTATTATCCTCTGTCCCTATATTATCGTCTAGGCAATCATTTCTATCCCAGTCTTAGTGAACTCTCCAGGCACATTATCCAGGTTCTCCAGTAGCTGTACACTTGGAGCACAGCACGCGTAACAATAGCGTAGCCGCGGTTCCGCGGTAAATTGTACCGAGGGCGGCCACAGTCTCCCTATGCTGACATATTCTAAATGCACTATCTGTCCCTTGCCTGGGGATTTCGGGGAGTATATCACGCCGAAATCAACATTCCTATCGATTCCCCCACTCAGACGACGTGATGATAACAGAAATCTACTATCCTCACTAGCTTTGGAGTGTGCGATAAATTTAACTGCCTACCGAAGTTATTCTGTTACAATCAAATCGGGACTGAGTGTTGTGATGAGAGCGCCTAATCCAAGTACGTCCCTTTTAGACCCACTACCACTCCATCCCCGTCCGAATATGCCCCCAAGAAGCCCCCATAATATTCTTCTAGTAATACGACCGATGCCGCCACTAGGGAGGGTCGCCTACTTTGGGCAAAACGGATTGACCCCGCTGGACATGCGTGGAGGTTAGATATCTCTCGCGAAACTCTGATTCGTTTCGTCATTCAGTAGCCTAAGGAACGCACGACGTAGGATTATCTCTCCATTTAATTCTATTGCAAAGACATATTCGGACCAAGTCAGACACATGCCTCGCGAGATACCCGTAGGTACTTGGCGATAAACAGGATCCCTGCACAATGTATTGCCCGAAGACAGCTTCATCGGCAAGTAGCTAAGTCCCCCGGTCAGATTGAGCAGCTAGCTCCAGTAGTCCACTCGGTAGTGTCAAGAATGGTGGGGATAATTAACTAATTTTGAGTGCCGAACGGCTATATATACGAGTCGGTGGCATGTCGTCTCCCCAACAATATGCAGATCAGCTACACAAGGACCCAACATCTGTTAGAACATCCCTCGTCAAAATCTGATAATCTCTTGGTATCCTTCTATATCCATGATTCCCGTGCAAAGCCTCCCAGCAATCCGCACTGGCAGAGGTCAATGCCTCAGACAGCTATCTGCGTGCTCTCTATACACATGACACCTTTGATGGGGAAATCGAGACACTGAAGGCAATCTTTTCTCACAGGTGGAATCCCCCACTAGGCTGCCAGTTGTACACGCCTTTGACTCAGATCATAATATACTATTACCAGAGACATATCAAACTTTCGTTGCCGAGATTGCTGATGGATGTGAGGATGATCGGCGTACTATGGCCTTACCCGCCTAGGAGATCTCCCTCGCCATAGTCGTTGGTTGAAGAATCATATTAAACGTACCAACAACAAACCATTTCCATAGACGCAGGCATGGATGTGGGATGAAGACATACGAGAGCCCCATGAGGTCGAGCTGCTTATTGAATCCGTCTACAACCACGGCTCTGCGGTTCTTGGCACAGATAGTTGTGCTATGTACTGGCTTTTGATTGTTACTGGTAAGCAGAGAGGGAATATATGGTCTGTCAAAGATGTAGGCGCCCCTGGCTCGATGTTTGGATATATAACTGCGCAGTCGGGATTTGCTGGGTGGGTGTGTCACTGGACAGAGCAGAGGAATGGTTTGATGTGGTTTGATATTGTGCTCGCCTGCACATGCACAGCTATTGTATTTGTCATGTCTATAGTTAAGACCATAGTTAATAGCCCTAAGCTTCTTACCAATTTAAAGTAGCTCCACATACACAGCTGCTTATTCAACTATATCCCACGGAGAGATATGTCTCCACCCTCATCGAAAGGACTCAAGTAGATAGCCAGTCGCCTCCCTTTTCTTCCCCATTCTAGATATAATTCCATATAACTTAATGATTTTCTGGCTTAGTAAAGCCCCCTAGAGCCACAATATTGGACTGGAAGACTCGTTCTAGAATGTCCATTTCATTCGGATGATCAGATAATCGAAAATCCCGGAATAAATGATTAGTGATCACGCCGTCCCGAGAATCCCTGATCGGGTATAGTGCAAAGGATATGCAGACATAACTCTTGGATAGCTGACTCATGCCTCAAATCTGCAGCACAAATAAGGTTCGGAGATCGGAGATTTCCCAAAAAGGAGCACGAGACCGTTGTGGCGAGTGGCGTCTTTCATCATCATGTCTAGCTCTCCTTAGGCTCCCATCTGTCATAATCTCTCTTTGACTGTCTTCAAAAACCGCTTCCTGATTATATTGCTACTGCTCCAGCCCTGTTTGTGAGCCCCATGAACCAGAACTTGTCATTGCATCCCATGGAGGGCCCGCTTTCAATGCCGTCAACGGATGACGGCCCTCTGCTGTCCTGGGAAGAGATCAGCCAGAAACTACTCCTTTTCCCCCACAGCTGCGGCTCCATCATGGATAGCCCGCTGCCCACCCCTACCTCCGACCTCAACTCTCTACTCTCTGCTTCTTCCTACCCTGTGCCTGAATCATCCGTATTCCGAACACAGCGCACTGCAGACCCCTATGCTGACGTCCCGCTCTATGGCGGCCTTCAGCTGGAGGGTGCCACTCGTCCAGACCTCCATCGCGAGTCGCCCGATAAGCAGCCCATCTCTCCGCCGCACACCACTTCACCTGATCACACAGATGTCTCACCCAAGAAGCCCAAGCGCCAGTCGAGAGCCCCTGCGCCATCGACTAGGAAACGCGGCCGACCGCGCAAAGACATGGAAGGTCCTACGGGAGAAGATCCCGAAGAGGTGTGCCATTTTCCCTTGGCTCACGTGCGGCAGGAGAACCATAGCTGATGCGTCCGCAGCGTCGTCGAATGCAGATCCGTCTCGCGCAGCGCGCCTATCGCTCTCGCAAAGAAGCCAATATTTCCTCGCTCAAGGACCGTATCTCCACGCTGGAATCGGCCGTCGAGAAGATGAGCGCAACCGTCATCTCCTTCAGTGACGAGATTGTCAACTCCGGAGTGCTGGCCTCGCATGCTGACTTGACCGGACACCTGCGCAAAACAGTCCAGACCTGCCTGGACTTGGCTAGGGAGGCCGCCAGTGAAGGTGATCAGGACATCTTTGACTTGTCATCCGAGAGTTCAAAGTCCCGGTCGTCGGTGACAGCAGAACCCAATCATGTATCTCTGCCTGTGGAACTGAATTCCAGCCCCACGTCCATGCTGGGCCTTCCGGAGTTGACGAACGCCCAGGGTTTGCCCCAGGTAAGCTCCGGCAGCTTCTCTCCGTCGGAGCCGTTCAGCATGTCTCCCATGGAATTGTCGGTGTTCATGGAACGACTGCACATTTCATGTCTCTCGCAGGGGTTCCTTTTTCTCGCCAATCCGAAAATCCCCACCGATCGTCTGCAACGGCCGTTTCGATTCCTCTTCACGGTGATGGACCGAGCGCAGATAACATCCTTCTTCGAGGCGGCTTTACACGCTAGAGTGAGCCGGCAACGCCTCAAAGACTGGAGAGAAGTACCTTTCTTCAACCTGGGCGGTGCAGGATCCCATTACCCTCGTAAGTCGCCACAGAATCCGTCCTTGGACTGGTATCCGCCTCGGTATTACCGGTTTGAGACTATTCATGACCCCTTAGCCCTTGTGCCCCCGGAGGTCAAGGGGGGGAACTCGACGGCGAATGGTTCGATATCCAGGACCTGGAGGGGTATCTCCGCGAGATGGATGTGCGGTTGTATATCTCTCCTCCCTCGAGTAACCCGCCGAAGTCGTCGCGGATGTCCGTAAACGTGGCCCGTTTTATACCAGGTAGGTTCCAGGCTCCTTTTCTAGAGATCGCTCTGACTTGGATAGCTTTAATAAACAAGGCGCTTTGCCTGGGACGCACGCCAGGATTCCGACGGCACGATGTGGATAAAGCCCTTCGCTCAGCTATGTGGGCGTGATCAGCTGGTCTGATGTTATGATTTATATCGTTCATTTGGACCTATCACTATTTGGTTTATAGCTATTACTAATTCTAGTTCGCCTCTCACTGAATTTACCTCTACTATAGCACATGAGTCGATCCGTATGGCATATCCCATGCAATACCCGGTGAGGAGGTTTATATTCTCGACTCCTTCACTTGCATCGCACCCATCGCACCCATGATTAACGCCCCCGTATTATACCGATCCGGATACAGCTCAGTCATAGCCTTCACAATCTCGCGAGCTGACTTCGCCTTGCCCTGCACCTCCCCAAACGCGCGAATATACTCCTTTGTATTGCTCAAATGCCAGAGTCCCATGATCTCCCCCCTCCTGGCAATGCCCCGGCACCACATACCACGGGCCCAACGCCTCGACTATCTCCACGGCGCGGATCCACTCTTCGCGCTTTGATGCCGTATTCGCCTCAAACAGCATCTGATGCACCTGTCCATAGACCACGTCGCCGCACACTGCCAGTCGCAAATCCTCCACCCACAACACGCTGGAACCATACGTATCCGTATGTCCGACTTCAATCGCCCGCATTGTCCATTTTCCCTGCAGTGTGAACTCGTTGCTTGATGGCAATGGCTGCGCTAGTACAAATGGCTGCGCGATTTCACCCGGGAACCTTGTCCCCCACTGTGCGTGGAAATTCTTCTCCTCGATCTGCTGTCGCATGTGCCGTACTGTCGCCTCCGTGGCGACGGGTTGTGTCTCAGGGAATCTCTGCGTCAGAAGTGGCAATCCGAAGAAATGGTCACCGTGTCCGTGCGTGATGTAGATGTATGATAGCTTTCGACCTGGTGCGATTCGTTCGATCCAGGCAATTAGATCCCGTGTTTGTTTGATCGTGATGGGCGTGTCGACCAGGACGGCCTCCTTGGCGGAGTAGATCAGCGTACATGAGATAGGTGACCACAGGCCCTGGCGGCCTGTCTTCCCTGGGTTCTGGAAGGGGATCGGAGGTGCGATGTAGACAGCGGAGCGGAGTGACATGGTGGTTTGTTTTATGATAGACAGCTAATGCGGAAGATGGTCTGTTGTTTTTAGGGAGATGTAGCTCTACCTGAATGGGTGCGGCTATAACATCCCCCTTTTTATATCGCGTGGAGTGCGGGGATATGAGATTTGTCGGGGGTAGATCAGTAATCATGATGAATCCTTCATGGATGGATCGATTAAGCTCATGGGGCGGTTTCTTACTGGGTCGTTCTCCACTTGGAATATTGATTATTGAACATGATATCGATTAATTACATTTGTTTTATTCTTAATAATTAACTAGAGATCCTGCATTAGTCAGCAGAAGGTTGACTCTCACTGTATTTAAATAGAGTCATGTATATCCTCGTACCCTGGGTATGCAGTATCCTGTATATTCTATCCAGTCTGCAAAATGTCTCTGGTCTTCATCACCGGAGTCACAGGCTTCATTGGCTCCCAAGTCGCCCTGCATGTCCTGCAGGCGGGGTATCGCGTCCGTCTGGCCATTCGTCGTCCCGAACAGGCAGACAAAATCCGTCGCATTTTCGCTAACTACGAGGGGAAGTTCGAATTTGACATCGTACCGGACTTGACCCTGTCCGGATGCTACGATTCGTGTCTCCAGGACGTGCAATATGTTCTGCATCTGGCGTCTCCACTGCCTTCGAGCGGAAGTAATGATCTTTTGACTCCCGCTGTGCAAGGCACGGTGTCAATTCTCGAGTCGGCCATGAAGGTATCCTCTATCAGGAAGGTTGTGATTACTGCCTCGGTTGTGTCGTTGGTCTCACTGGGGAAGGTAGGGAATGTATCTATTATCCGTGGTATGACCCCCTCTTTACTTGCTATATGAGAAAGTAAGCTGAAATAGTGTAGAAAACAATGACATCGACTATACCGTTGACCCGGAAACGGTCCCCTCGCTGGATCCCATGGGTCAATACCACGCTAGCAAACTCGCGTCCTACAAGGCAACCATGGACTTTGTTCGCGATCACCGTCCAGTCTTCGATGTGGTCACTCTGCATCCGGTTTTTGTCTTCGGACGCAGTCTCATCCAGGAATCTCCGAACGAGATATCAGGCACCCCGGAACTGCTGTTCAAGACCTTGGTATCGGAGACACCGCTGATGGAACAGTTCCTGGGCGTGCATATCGATGACGTTGCGGGTGCGCATGTCCGGGCGCTGAATGATGGGATTAAAGGATTCGAGTCGTATCTTCTTGCTGCGGAGAGGAGATCCTTGGTCGAGCTGCATGCATTCGTGCGGTCCAAGTATCCTCAGCTGGAAGTGAAATGGGAGCCTACGGATTCGGTGAATTTTTCCGTGGACGCGGCTAAGGCGAAGAAGGCACTAGGCATGTCGTTTAAAGGCATGGAAGAGCAGGTGCAGGATGTTGTGGATCAGCAGTTGGAGTTGAGAAATGTTGTTTCTTGAGATCGTATAGCTATTGGATATTATCAGTGATTAGTTTACTGGATTAATCATCTACCTCGGCTGCATTCACGTCATCACAACCTTATAAAAAACATCTCCTCGCTACTCACTACTTCCCACAACACAACAACCATGTCTCTGAACCCCCAGAAAACACCCGTTCTCGCCGTCGTCGGCGTTGGTCCTGGCATTGGCGAAGCTGTATCGCGACACTTCGCTGCGCAAGGCTTTACCGTCGCGTTAATCGCCCGCACAGAGTCTAAACTCCGCGACATACAGGACTCGATCAACGCGCAGTATGGTTCCAACCGCGCCAAATATTATGTCACCGACGTACGCGATGAAAAAACAGTTATCTGTACCTTCAGCGATATCCGCTCCGACCTTGGCCCTGTGCATGTCCTGATTTACAATGCCGGGTCGAGACGTCTTCGTCAGCGCAATATCCTGGAGACACCCTCCGAGGAGTTCGACAGTTTCGTGCGCATCAACCTGTTCGGAGCTTTCTATGCTTCCAGATGCGTGTTGCCGGATATGCTTACAGCCGGTGCCGGGACCATCCTCTTCACTGGTGCTACGGCTTCGGTGCGCGGGAGTCCCGGGTTAGGTGGGTTTTCTCCGGGGAAGTTTGGTCTACGGGCTCTGTCACAGATGATTACGCGCGAGTTTCAAGAAAAGGGCATTCATGCGGCGCATGTGATTGTGGATGGACCGGTCGAGAGTGATATCATCGGTGAGTATGTGAGGAAGAGATGGGAGAAGGAGGGTGCCGGGGATAAGGTCAATGAGAAGGATAGATATCTTATGCAGCCGAAGGATTTAGCCAGTGTTTATTGGTACCTGTATACTCAGCCGAGAAGCACCTGGACGCAGGAGTTGGATGTGAGGGCTCAGAGGGAGGCCATGTTTTCGAAGTTGTAAGATTATTGTAGCTATATTTATTTCGATGAATTATTCATGACTCCACTTTTGATCCTGTGATTAGTGATCGATCGATATTCTAATCTTGAGAACCGAGCATGTGATGTAACTGATTTATCACAGTATATAAACCCCAGATATTACCCCATATATAACAGCAATATATTTATTAGATACACCAGATACATCAGATATAAAGATACTTACAGCAGGATAGAACCATGATTCCATCTCCCACCCCAATTAACATCCCCAAATCTTACGAAACTCTCCATTTGACCCATGTCCAGGTCTCACATCACCCCGCGGGCGCCCCGGAGGCAACACCTGTCGTGGTAGTGACGCTGAACCGCCCAGAAAAGCACAATGCATTCACCAACGAGATGATGGACGACTTCGAGAAGATATACCCCATGTTCGACGTGGACGAACGCGTAAAAGTCATCGTGTTGACTGGCGCAGGCAAGATCTTCTGCGCGGGCGCCGACCTCGAGCGCGGATTCGAGGGCATGGAGAAAGAACGCACAGTGGATCATCGCGATACGTATGTCCAAGCCTCCTCCTAGACTTCTAACACATGCTCATCTCATATATCAGTGGAGGGCGTCTGGCTCTTGCCATGTACCGATGCCGTAAACCCACCATCGCAGCCATGCAGGGCTCCGCGGTCGGATTGGGCATGACCATGACTCTTCCTGCGGCTATTCGTATCGCGTGCGACAAGGGAAAGTATGGATTCGTCTTCCCCCGACGCGGTCTGACCATGGAATCAAGCTCGTCTTTCTTTCTCCCTCGTTTGATCGGGTACTCGAATGCTATGTATCTGGTGACTACTGGGGGTGTTTTCCCGCCGACAGCGTCGCATTTCGGGTCGCTTTTCGCAGAGACATATCCGGATCCGAAACAGGTGGTGTCGAGGGCGTTGGAATTGGCGACTGAAATCGCTGAGAATGTCAGTCCCATGGCGTCGTATTTGAGTCGGTCGCTTATGTGGCGGAATCCCGGTTCCGCAGAGGAGACTCACTTGGTGGATTCGGCGGTGCTGTATCATATGTTCAGTGGGAGGTATGTTGTCTTCGTTTATCTATACTAATAGATTTATCTAATGTAAATACTGATCATGCTCTGACTTTATAGGGATCAGAAAGAAGGAGTTCAGGCTTTCTTCGAAAAACGAAAGCCAGATTTCAAAGCGAGTCTTGATGAAGATGCTCCCCCAAATTTCCCCTGGTGGACAGAAGTTGATACGGGAAGACGGCCGAAACAGTCGAAGATCTAGATCTTCACCAATAACTCAGGATATATGAGTAGAGGAATATCATTTCTGCTGGACATATACCATGATGTGTTAAGACTTCCTCCTTCACCTTAGGCTCCATACGCGCGAACTCATTGAGACTCCTGGCTATAGCTTGAACAGGTGATGTCTCTTCTGGACGCGTAATACCTTGCTGCCACTTGAAAAAGTTTATCGGATCCCAATACTTTTTGATTCCTTTCAACCTGGCGACATGTAGACCATAGTATGCTGCTTCATACTTATCTGCTTCTAGTTTTCTATCGGCAAAATTGATGACGACGGCCTTCACGTGCTGAGAATATGGCCTTAGCCTCTTCTTAAACTTTCCCGGGAAACACTTCATATCCATCTTCAACCATTTGTCTTCCCACTGCATGGTGATATATGTATGATCAACGCCCTGGCGCCAGAGGTACGCTGTAGCGGTAGATGGCCCCTCCGCTGCCGTTCCCCCAGAATGAAGGAATGTAACCTGTAGCAGTCCTTGTTCCCCAGTGAACTGGGCCCTAAAAGCTTTCATCTCGTTCCGGATGATCGAGGTAATCTTCTTTATCTGCTGGTCTTTGTTGTAATTGCTAAACACAAAGGTGTATATACTGTAGGTCCTCCTAGGTGTGCCATCTTACCAACTTTCGCTTTCGCTATCCTACTATTTTACCATTCTGATAGTAAGTAGTGATTCGGTTAGGGTACAAACAGAACTGTTCAATTCTCCAGGAAACGTTGTGGTTGACAGATTTGAGGGAAGCTTCCATTCCCATTTTGGATTCTATATATAGTGTTACGGAAACACTATCCCCTAACCCGTAGGTTTGCTGCCTTTTAGCGGTAATTAATATACTACTCTCTGACTGGTCAGTATTCTCACCGCTTGCTGACATAAGTGCCCATTGGCTTCATTTCCCAATATACTCACGCACTTTCTTACTTTCTGATCTATCAGATACTACATGTTTTACTAAATACTCTACTACGCGCTTTACTACGCGCTCTACTACGCGCTCCCCAGTATGCTCTCTACTCTGCCCTCTATCTTACTGTGCAACACTGACTATGGAATCCCAGACCTCACAGACCTCACGTGCGCCAAAGAGAAAATGCCCACCAAGGAAGCTAGAGAAACGAAAGAAACCAAAGATTGACGAAGTGCCAGATTTACTTGCCCAGTGGCCTTCTCCAGAAAATGTGATATTCGAGCCATTGATTATGAAAGGACGTCTCTCTCCACAGCCTATTTTACCGCCTGGTGTTGGTATAGAACCCTATGAATTATTCTGTCTTTTTATCCCTGAAGATCTTTATACTATAATATCAAGGCATACAAATCTCTATGCTGAGCTGCACAATGCTGGACATAGAGGTCGCCCATGGAAGCCTACAATTCCTGGGGATATTAAGACCTTTTTTGCGGCAATTTTGTATATGGGCGCCTGGGGAGGATTGCCAGTGGATTCTTTTTGGCGGCCAGGTGAAGTTGTTTTTAAATGGCTCCAGGAGAATATTTCACAAACCCGGTTTGAGCAAATCCAGCGATTTCTTCATATATCCGACCCGCGTGTGAATGCTTTTGAGCCTGTAAACTCTGAGGACGAAGCATTATATAATGAAGCTATCCTAGATTCTCTATGGTGGCACAAAGTAGAGCCATTAGTAGGCCGATTCCGCCAGGCCTGTACTCAATATTACAAGCCTTCGGACTCTGTTGCTATTGACGAATTAATGATCTGCTGTTTTGGGCGTTCTTTACATACATATAAGATGCCTAATAAGCCAATTTCAGAAGGGTATAAGCTATATGCCTTGACAGATCATGGATATGTCTGGTATTGGATTTGGGCAAGTCGTGCAAAGTCAATAATTGAAGTAGTTAAGGAAGAAGGCCTTACAATGACTGGTTCAATGGTTTATCAACAATTACAAAAGTTACCTCAAGAACCAGGCTGTTATACAGTCTATCTTGACAACTACTTTACAAGCATTAATCTCTTTAAACGACTACGGAATGAAGGTATCGGAGCTTGCGGTACAACCCGTCCATCAGTATCACCACAATTCCATCCTACCTTGGCTGTCTTAAAGGAATCAACTTTAACAAGCGAATGGAATTCCCTATATGCTGATATTAAGGATAAGACTCTATGCGTTGCTTGGCAGGATAACAATACTGTGACAGCTTTATCTACAGTTTATACAGTTCATAAAGATGATGACTGGATTCCTTGTATAAGAAAACGTCCCGCTAAGACTTCAACCAATGCTGCGACTGCCCGCAAGCCTTTTAGTGGACAGCCAACTGCAAAACTCAAGATTCCTTGGCTAATTGATGATTATAATCATCACATGGGCGGGGTAGATATTGCAAATCAACTACGTGCTGCATATGAGACTCACCGCAAGGCCTGGCGTTCATGGTGGCCTTTATTCTACTGGTGCCTTGATACAGCAGTAATAAATGCATACCGCATTAGCCATATACTGCGTATGAAGCGCCAAGTGCCTCAGTTAACCCATGCAGAGTTTCGTGAAGCTTTATATAAAGCTCTTTTCATGCAGGGCCGTCATGAGCATGAATGCAAGCCTAATCCGGGACCAGAAGAGCAACATAAACCAATTCATTCAGGAAAAAAGCAGTACTGTACATGGTGTAAGCTTCAAATTAAGAAGCAACCTAGCCAGAAACTACTACGGGCAAGACAGACATATTTTATCTGCCAAATATGCAGTATACCGCTGTGTAAGCCAGGTGGTAGTGATTGCTGGAAGGCCTTCCATCTACCAAGAAGTCCACTTGGAGAGAAAGATGTAAATAGCTTATAAACTAGTGTTTAACACTTAAATGGTATTTCATAACGATTCAATCTGTATGAGAAGAGGTGCGTGCACTGAAGATGGAGGGACGTGTCGGAAATACGACCCACTGGCAGAAAAACTGCGCTAAAAGGCAGCAAACCTACGGGTTAGGGGATAATCCGCCCGACTTGGCGGTGCGGAGTATCTGACGATCGATTCAACCCCTGAATCCTTTAGATAATTAGTGAACACCTCAATGAGAATATAGGGAACCGCTTAGTAGGCTCAGTTGGTTGAGATACTGCGATTCCTGGTGTTTCCACTGAATGACATCTACTTCCTAATTAGGCTAGTTGGCCTGTAGCTGATAGAATAGCTCCCTACACCCATTTCCCTGAGTTCCACAACATATAGTTATAGATATTGAAATTTCACAGAATTTGCGCTGTGATATGTAATAAAACTAATCCCAATTAGGCATGGGATGCATTGAGAGCACCACACATCGGGAGATTTAGGCTTTCGCTTCATTTCACTACTGCTACAACCCCAGCCTATTGTTTATGCATATTTCTGTATAAGCTGTGGGCATCATAGAGAAAATAATATCTCATGCCTCGATCTAAGACTTGCCAGAACTGTGCCCGCTCCAAGGTGCGATGTGTCCACAGCACAGAGACTAGAACCTCCTGTGATCGGTATGTATCTTCTGGTCCAGATGTATTGCTTTCTAACATCGTCGTAGATGTCACCGTTTGAATAAATCGTGTATGTACCGGGAGACCGGTCGTCGCTTCGATGGCTTCAGAAAAGACAAGTCAGTTATCCTGGTCCGGGTGACATCTGACGTGGCTGATTGAATCACTAGACAAATTGAGGCTCTCGAAGCAAGAATTGAAGAACTTACATCCACTCAGCCTTCAGTTCCATCCTCTGTGAGCCGCCTAGCTGCATCAGTTGGAAGTGACATTCCTACAGCGCGTGAAGATGTCATCGATCGACACCTTCTGGGCATGGATGATGCCGAGTCTTTTGTTGAAATCTTCAAAAACAAGATGATCATACATTTCCCCTTCGTGGTTATCCCGCGTTCAGTATCGGCGGCACAGATTCGTCGGGAGAAGCCGTTCTTATTTCTGGTCGTACTTGCATCGTCGTCGTACGTGAATATCCCATTGCAACAGCAGCTAGGGAAGGAGGTGAAAGAAGAAATCGCCACTCGACTGGTCATTAACGGGGAGGTTTCTTTTGAGCTGCTGCAGGGGTTGTTGGTCTATCTCGCATGGTAATCCCCGACCTACAAATCAAAGTGTCTGGAACTTAACAGCTTCTTGCAGGAGTCATTTCCATAAAAAGACACGCCATTACACCCAGTTACTACAGTTGGCCATTGGGTTGATTGTTGAGCTCCGTTTAGACCGACCTCCACGGACTCAACAAGTGAAGACAGCCCTCCGATTCAAGTCTACCAGTTCCCCTCTTGACCAGACATACACTCGGAGATCCTGGGGCAGCGATGAACAAAGAGCAATCGCCGGATGTTATTATTTATCTTCAACGTGGGCCTTTCCTTTCCTTTACTAATATTACGGCCCTGACTGACTAAGCTTTAATTATAGGATTGCCATGTTATTACAGAAACCATCGACCTTTCCTAGTATTCATTTATATCTCAACGAGTGCTGCAAATCCCTATACGAGAGGAATGAAGGGGAGCATGATAGGTTCATTATTTATAGTATTCGCTTGCAATGTATTATGGAGAAAATCGATCGCTTGTGCTCAAAATATGGGCCTGAATTGGACTTTTCAGGCTCAGCAGCGGAGTTATTTGCTGCCAGTCTCGAAGCCGATTTAGAATCATTTCGCGCTAGTTTACCTTTTGATCTACATGATAGCTGTATGTGGCGATCTTGAGAGGAAAAATATCTCTCTGCTAACTGTCGTTTCTTTCCATAGCCTTTCTTACTATACAATTCCACACAGCACAGCTTTCTCTGTATCAGCTCGGTGTCGCCAAAGTAGCTGGACATCTGTCTGAACCAAGTTCCAGTCTATCAATACAGCCAGAGGAAATGCTATTTGCTGGACTGGCTGCCGCAGAGTCATTATTCAAGTATTATCTTTCACTTCCATCTAGTTCAGAGCGTACATTCAACAATACGCAATGGGTACAAATGGGGTTTTCTATGCTAGCTGCATATAAACTCATTATTGCAATAAAAGCCACAAGAGTCCAATCGGTGCTCCCCTCGCATGCATCCTGCTGGTTAGATACGATGAAACAAGTACAGGAACGAGTAGTCACATTATCTACCTCTAAAGTGGACGAGCAACATGACATTTTCCTTGACTTCGCCGAGCGAGTATCTCGGGTCCAGAGCTGGCTTGATAAGGAAGTCAGTCAGTGGGCTGCAGCGCCTTCCATTCATCAGTCACAAAATAATATGAACACAATAGCTGACGATGAAGTACATACTGATGATATTCCTGGCCCCCTATCAGAAGCTCTAATGTTTTCCAACATTGACCTTGACAATGAGTTTGCAGACCTTTTTTGGACGGCAGATTTGGACCAGATGATGGGTAATCTGTAGGCAGCACTAGTGCTGTTACAATTTTGAGTGAACATCTCCGATCCGATGCCCGCTCATGGGGCCAAATCTGGGCCGTTCCTGATAGATAACTCCGATCCGAGGTGCATGGTATATAAAGATTTCAAGAAAGTTATTGAGATCACAAAAGCACAAGCTTCTTTAGTGAACTTGCCAAAATGTTTACCTTCTCTAGCTATCCTACTTTCTTTTCGGCTTGGCTTCTGACCTCTGCAGCAATTGCCTTCACTCCATGCCCGCTGCTCGGACCATCTTTCCCTCCATTCAAATTAGACCCAAGTTCGAAGGACATATCTTCTGCTTTGGACAATCTCTCGAAAGAGCTCGAACGTCAAAATAAAGAAGGCAACGGGTCCCACGGAGTTACATACCCCAATACAACAAGTTTTAGCCTGGCATTATTCTCCACCAACGAGGGAGCCGGCTCAGACAATGAATTCTTTTTTGATTACCACTACACTGCTCCATCTTTGAAACAATCAAGTCAAATCCGTACTGTAGATGAAAACAGCATCTACCGCATCGGTGGACTTTCCCAGATATTTACTGTGTTGACGCTGCTTTCTGTGGCCGGTGACGATATCCTCTATAATCCTGTTGCAAAATACATTCCGGAACTTGCGACATACCAGCGAGACAATAAGACGCAGCCTTCCAATCCACATATCCAGTGGGATGGGATTACCGTTGGAGAACTAGCAAGTCATATGGCAGGCATTCCCAGAGATTGTAAGACTTGATACTTTGCCTTTGTTCAGCGGACAATCTAACATTATGATATAGCCTGCATCGGTGAGCCGAGTGATGAAGTGCATTCCGAAGATGGCCTTCCAGTATCAACTGCATCTTTTCCTCTCTGCACCTCAATGTCTTACAACGGTATGTCCTCCCTCCATAGACATGCCCGTATGGATGTTTATATTCACCACAGACGCACTATCCCGTCTATCCCAGCAAACACCAACAGCCTTTCCAGGTACAACACCGCTATATTCGAACATGGGATTCGAGGTTCTGGGCTATATTATACAGAAAATTACAGCGCAGCCATTCGGCGACGTTCTAGAGGATCGCATAATCAAAGTACTGGGTCTGAATGGAACAAGTCTCTCCACACCATCCAGATCTTCCTTGGGTGTTATCCCGGCCAATGAGAAGAAAAGTGGATGGACAACTGCATATGGTGGAGCGTCACCGTAAGTCATGGTCAAGAATGCAAACATCACGAGCCCAGACGCTGTCTAACACCATGTATATAGGGCGCTGTCAATGTTCTCAAGCATCACTGACCTTTCTATCGTCGGAAAGGCAATTCTGCAATCGACAGTTCTGTCTCCCGCTCAAACTAGACGATGGCTGAAGCCCGTCTCTCACACCTCCAATCCGGCCAATTCGCTTGGTTACCCCTGGATTATCTACAGTGGTGGAAAATATCCTAGCACTTCTATGGTCGATGTCTATACCTACTATAGTAACATCGGTCTGTACAGTTCATATATCGGTATCGTGCCCGATTACAACGTTGGTTTTGCCATCCTTGCAGCTGATAGCATCTCGAGTCCTGATTTAAATGCTCATGCCGATATCATCTCCGATGTACTTCTTGGGACTTTGATCGGGACATCAACCAAACAGGCATCGCTGAACTTTGGTGGTCTATATAAAGCTCCTCATATCAATTCATCGTTGACTATTTCGGCTGATAAGCTTCCTGGTTTGTTCATCAAGGAATTTACAAGCAATGGTCACGATTTCAGGAAGACACTGGCCTCTTTATCTGGCATTACCAAGTCCGACGATCTCAGCATCAGACTGTATCCAACCGGTTTGGTCTCCAGGACCAATTCTGGTTCTAAGCAAACGTTCAAGGCTGTGCTCCAGGACATGACAGACTTTGCTGATGGTGGTACTTCCACGTGCCTCTCGTGGAGGGATGTTGGCAAGCTTAAGTACAATGGTGCTTCATTGGACGACTTTATATTTGAAGTCGACGAGTATGGCGCAGCAGTGAATGTGGAGGTTCCGGCGTTAGAAGCAACTCTGCAGCGGCAGAGCAATGAGGGGTAATTGGTGAGGAACTGCAACTTACAGTACATCTCAGTAGTAGTGTTCCTGATTAGTTTTAGCATAAATCATGTATTGGGATCCGGTGGTCAACATCTGCTCTCCGTCCCGTATTTATCCGCCTATAGTCGACATGTAATTAGTTCTTATCCCTCTGTACGGTATGTATATCTCTTCTAGTTTTCAGATTCCCCTATTCTATAAAGCTACTATTACAGTATTACATTTTTTACTAAGTATATTATTTATAGCACCCTAGTGTATTTCTATTAAAACGATCTAGTCCAACCGGTCTATTGAACGGATTAATCGGTATGTCGAGCTGGAAAACCACTGTCAAAGAAAAGAAATGTTAAGAAAGCAAGGAGTAGGGATATTACACCTAAGACGTATCAGAAAATCGGAATCGTTGGGCTGATTGAAAGGACCACTCACCCCATGTACCGCACGAATAGTAGAACCCAAAGACCTCAGTCAGGGACCCAGACAGCAGAGGCCCCAACATCAGTCCCAGATTGAAGGAGACATCGATCAAGAAGACCCGGGAGTTTGCCCCATGTTCGCCAAACACGTTTGGGTCCTTGGACTGCAGCTTAATCACGGCCACTGTTGTGAGAATCATATTAGCACCGTAGTCCAGAAGCAAAATGAGAGAAGGAAGGAATACTCGTCATCTGTACCGCTCCTGCACCTCGGACCAAGTTTGGAACCGACTCCAATTCTCACCATACACGCCATGATGACCTTGCCATGCGTCTCTGGACGGGTCCAGTCAAAGCTATCCCGGCTAGGAACATCAAGAAGCCACAGCAATAAAGCCATGAGAACTCAACCAGCCGCTGTGAGATAACGATATCCAATCCGGTTCCCGGAGCCAGCCAATCAAGGGACTGAAGGTCACCTGTGGGAGTTGCAGGGTGAGGAATACTAGTCCCACGGACAAGCTATCCCAGGAAAAGTACTGCGAAGATGGAGTGACAGTGTGGTGTCAAACTCGGAGATGATCGAATGCAGTAGCAAGACATTGGCTGCCTCCGTAAAGACCGGGATATTTCGGATCATGGCACGATAGAATCCCAGGGCTGCGCCTGGGAGTCTGAGATGTCATTTGGGATGTCATTCCTCTGGAAAGATTGGTATCCATTCGACAACGACGGAAGCAAAGTAGAAGTCTTATCCTCGTCGTGTGGTCCGACTACTGTATGCGAAACATGCAAGGTGGATGAAGTCACTGCGAGAGGACCAGAACTGGAGAAAAGTTTTGGTTCCTCGGTCATGAAAAGACAACCGATGATGTCCAGCAGGAGGACAGCCAGAGTAGCCGACCAGGCAGCCTATTAACCTAATAGCTTCAGCAGTATTCCAGCAACCATGGATCCTGTGATGAGTCCCACGATTATAAAGGAAATGGTCATCCCTATCATTTTCCCCGTGTTCGTGGCCCGCGATATCCGCCAAAGTCGCAATATCCCACAATCCATGTTGCCGATCCAGCAACCCCTTGAATTGCTCGGCCCGAGGAAGAGCGTCCATACTTTACCGGTTAAAACCTATCTTTAAATATGTATATTTTCAGACCAGGAGACTTACCCCACGGCGCGGCGGCGGTTATGGAGCTACCCGTCAGAGACCCGGCAAGACAGGCCAAACGGGGCATCTTGCGGTTAGACATCTTGCTGGCAAAATGTGCGATGATGGGTACAGACATCAGAGCTATCAAGCCATGCAGAGCTAATAAGCAGGTGGTGTACCACTGCGTGTAGGACCGGTTGATATATAGACGGACTTTGAGCATAGCTCAGGATGGGGACAATGAAGCTATAGAGAAAAGTTTCTGCGACTCCTATTAATTGTACTCTTTATCCCAGGAGTTTCCTTTAACGGCTAAGATGGAATGGAGTAGTACTGTACATGTGAACAAGGCCATGCTGAGTCACGATGGTGAAAGTCGCCAATCATTGCTCTCAATAACTCCGGGTGTTCATGGTGCCAGCGAACAAAGATATTGGCAGGAAATACGGAGTAGAGAACCGTTAGTAAGCGTCACTCCCAATATTGATAGATCGACAGTGTCATTAGGTTTGAGGAGATATCCCATAGTGGAGAAAATGTATGGATCAATGGAGACTGTCAGGGAAGAAGATTCACAGGATATCTCTGGGCTACATTATTTTATTTATTTTTTGCTCCGTGCCCTTGAAATTAATTACTACAAGTTATATTCTAGAATAAATGGAGCATTTCCGACTGAAATTCTTTACGTAATAGGCCATCATCCTCATCCCTAGGTATAACAACACCGATACCTGATGGCTAAATTTAAAATATTTGACTCCGAGGAAGCGGTTAGACCATGCAAAAGATTTAAAAAGACTAATAGATAAATTAAATAAAATAGCAAGAAGAAGAACTTTCAAAAGAACTAAGAAGTGATTGAATAATGTACAATGTATGTCCATTTCCTAGTCATTGATACTCTTGTTGCAGTGTTCTGGAATCAATTCCAGAAGAGAACACCGTCCTACCCAATCAATGAACCAGGTTACACACTCGGTCTACCAACTTCAACCATGTCCGGGGCCTAGACTTGCGGTGATAGATCCACTTTACCAACGCATACAACGGTTTTACTAGTGATAGAGCGTCCGCTTGGCACCAGGGTGAGGCTCACCGGAAGTGTCCTCAGTTTGAAAGTACCAGTCTAAGTCACCCAGTAAAGCGTAGATTCTCTGGTTGATTGTAGAATAGAAGTAGTAGTGCTATTTTAGTGATGGTTATAGATATCGGACCTTCAGATGTCGCAATGCCTGTAACCGGAAGGATAGACACGTGGAGTAAACATCAGCATTGACAACCATGTTTCCTCAGTCATCTCCTTAGCCAATGTAGAAACATATTCAGACTTATGTAAGGGAGTTAACTAGCACTCAGTCTAAATATTAGCACACAGCATGCTCGCGCATGCATTCAGTACGATCTATTTCCCCTGCTGATAGGGAGTGTGAGTGCTATCATCCTGGCCTACTTTTTTAACTTGATAGATCTGGGGTACGCCACTAGGCCATATCACTTGTCCATTGGTAAATAAATTTCTTTGGATCGGGATCGCCGTTGCTGAAGTACAAGGATACCACGGCTAGCAGATCCATGCACGGCACCAACAATACGGCCCAGTCGTCTACATTGCACCGACGCAGGACTCCATTGTCTCGATAGAAGCCATCCGTGAGATCTATGGCTCCACGGGTCGTGTGAACAAGGGCGCCTTCTTGAACCACTTCATCGCATTCAACAGTCGGTCGGTCTTCGACACCCTCTTTCACGGACCATAAGCGCAAGCCAGCCGTCGGTCCGCTGTCTTTCAGGCCTCCACCATTTACAGAAAATCTACCTATAGCCGTTACCAAAGCAAGTACAAGCCGCTGCGGCACCGTTGGCTTTTAGTTTCCTATAGATATAATGAGTAATGTTGAAACTCTTCTATTTCTAATTCTCGCACATCAGACCAAATCGCACCGCACTTTTCACACAGTCTTAGGCAGAAAGGGAAATTGTTTCGAAGAAATCTGGTATCAATTTACCTTGTTGCCCATAACCGTGCCGGTACTATCCAAAATGATACTCTATTCTTCGTTGCGAAGACAATAAGTAATCGGAGTCGGTTTGGGGTGATACTATACACTTGGTAATTGCTTTTACCGATGACGAGACAATCCTAGCGGACGTCCCAGTTTAGATAGCCTTTGCTTGCCCACTGAGCTGTATCTTGTGGAAGTAGTGACCATGGCAATCAGGTCAGTTAGGTTGTGGCAGTTTTTATAGAGTGCATGGTTCCTTATTGTATTTACTTGGGACTTTTCTTCTCTGGTTGCATTTAGCCTTATTCGGTTTATGCATAGCTGTTATATGAATAATGTTGCCCGTTTAACGTTACGATAAACTTTTGAATATTGAACTGAAAGTTTGGGAAATTTTATAAGCGCTCTCCTCACCCTTAAGCTATCTTCGACCACCTTATAAATTACAAAGATCAACTTAGCGCCATTACATCTGACTATAGACTATTGCTTTTGTACGTATTCCATCTGAATGGCCACCTTGAGCTGTGCCTTTCTCAATTTGCAGTTAGGGCTTGTTACCCGGTTTGTACTGTCACTGCGCTTCTAGTCCTATCGGCTCTTTATGCGGTATGACTATACCGTGTCGCCTTTGACCATCGACATTTTTTCTTATGACGAACCCAGACTTGATAAGAGAACCATGCTGGTATTCAATATCGTAAAATGGAATACTCGTAATAACGTGAGTCAAGTTTGGTTATTATTATAGGTAGCCAATTGAGGTGGCCGATGCTAGATAGCCCGCGTCGTATTCATGGCTGTCTCGTAACTGGGTACAGAGCAGAGTTCTCTATATTCGACGGACGATGTATCAAGTGGCGTGATCGTTGGGCCCCCGGCGTGATATTCGTAAGTATGTGGATTTTCAGATAGCAGTAGATCGGCTATATGGTTGCCATATAAAGGAGGACCGGCGTTCCTGTCTGCTTGAAATTGCTGAAGGTCGAGAATGTGGACGACTGCATTCTTGCTAATGGTGCGTGGTGACATGAAAATATTTATTGGGAAGGTTCCTTGGATCTATATAGTAGTCAGTTTATGAAGATATGGCCCATAAAGCTATTCAATTACTGAAACCAACTGGGAAAAACATACCTTTGATAAGCTCCCATTTTCATTGTGCAATTCAATTGTAAACGCCAACATATGGCATATATTGATATTCTTCGAATCCACGCTCTGTGTACAAGCCTCAAACCCTCGTGGCAAACAGACGGTTTTCTCTACCCGCCATTCAACATTAAGAAGTTCCGACCCCAACATCACATAATTGCCTGCATCATATCGTTCACTGAAAATAGTGTATTCCTCCGCTGAGGTAAAGAAGTTCACGCCGCAGTGTGCTGAATATGCCGCCGAAGCAGCTATTTTAAGGTTATGTTTCTCTCGAACCTCGATTGTGATTGCGCCCAGTTTGAGACCCTTTGCCATCGGAGCCATCCAAAATTCCACGGGAAAGGTCGATCCGAAAGGGATATTGACGTCAGGAATGGAGACAGTGTATTGGACTTTTTCATGCCATTGGTTCTCGATTAACTGTTAAACATTCATTAGCTTATTTTTGCAATCTCTAGGCGATGAGACATAACGAACAGCAGGGGTTGGGAGCCAAATATCATCCTGTTCCAATTCAAAAGACTTATAGATCCTTATCGGTTGCGATACGATGAAGTCCTTACTCCAGTTTCTCTCAATGACTCCATAAACTTGATAAGAGTGATAGTCATGGTTTGGACCCGTTATGGTCTCGATGAACTTTCCTTTCAAAGGGATTTCGAACGCGAATTCGTAGTTTCCTGCTGGTAAGGTGAATGAACTGAGCTTTTTTGATGCAGCCAAGGTTTGACTTTGTGAGAAGGTCGTTGTTTCACGGGAGGATTTAAAAAGGATGCCTTCGTTGTACGGACTATCTGGATTAGATATTAATGGGGAAAACGTTGGAGAAGGGAACAAACAGTTTGATTTTTCCTTTCAGTGATACTGATATACCTTTGACTGCTGTTGTTTGGGAGAGGCAAATAAGAAACCTGCCGGATATGCAAGGCTTTGAGTCTGCGTGGCATTCGGATGAAATGAATATGCATGATTGGTCTAGCCTGTTGATAAGATGGATGTTAGATGGTTTATAGGAAGTGTTTTGGAGGATATCCAACCTTAGATCACCGTGCATTATGCCTTGGTTGAACATTGAGAAGTCGGGACAGGTTACTCGACTTACAGTTGTCGATATGATTATTTATTCTATTAAGATACTTAAAAGTCTTTCTTTCATTGCGGGTATCAACTATTTTATATGGTCTAGATTATTTACATTACCGTTTGTGGTAATAGGGCGGAACTTCCATAATAGGCAAGTAACCACCGCACATGGATGTGCATAACATAATACAAAGTTGTCAGGATTCGGGTTCTCTGCCACCCCTCACCGCCTGTAGATAGCTACGACCTCACGTCACTCTGTTCACGAGTTCTTCAAGCGATGTCTTCGTCAAAATGCAATCCAGTTGCTGACCCAGTATCATGCCGTGACAAAAGTGTTAATGTGGGTGCAGATACAAGATCGACAGAAAGTGAACAATTCTAGTAGGGTTCACTGCCAAAAGGTATTTAGAAAGAATCTTTTTATTTTATATATACCGACCGTGCTGCTGTACAGTGTAATAAACAATTGTTCCAAGAGGATACCTTCTAGGGTAAGTATTGACATTGTGGATCTGCGGTTACTCAACTGCCCTATAAGCAGCCGTCAATGTCGGGAAGCTCCCAAATAGGGTCGGAATCCCACAACAAAAAGAGTTGCAAGTGCCGCACTGAATGCGCCATTACTACCCAAACCAGAAGAATCTTCAACTATCCATCAATCCTATTAGCAATCTTTGAACATGACTCACTTCTAAGTTAGCACAATTTCTAAGGCTATGATTACCTCACACTAAATTATTGTTGGCTTGCAGTCAGCAGAAATCAAAAACGCATGACTCGCTCGTTTTAACACTTCGACCTACCACATTTACTACTTAGGGATCTACCACAAACACTCATCATTGCTTCTTTATGCTATATTAGAATAACCAATCTGTGGATTCATTGATTCAAGAGTAATCCGCCATCATGGAGATGACTTTCCATATCAGCCAAGACGGAAAAACGCCAAAACGCAAATATACCCCTATCGCCTGTGATGCTTGCCGTAAGCGAAAGGTGTGTACACATTCTAACTAAGAAAAACTGGAAACTCATTGGAGACTTCAGAAAAAATGTCACCATGAGGAAAAACTCCGAGAATGGGTTGCCCCTGCACTACCCCGTGGAGACAGGAAGTTCATCCATCACACTCTGAATGCAAGCCATGGGTTACAGCCCTCACAGCTGGCTTCTGCTACCAGTAGAATGAGAGAGCCCCGACCACACGATGAACAAAGACCCAGTAGGGTCCAGCCAAGCAGAAGAGGAAACAATGCACCACGGACATCTGGAAATATTTTCACGCACCGCTTCATCGGTGATCTAAACCCGGTTGTGTTTTTCATGAATGATGCAAGCACGAGACTGATTCGCGGCCGTGCTCACCAAAGTGACGTTGGTGAGTGGCTGGAGGATGAGGATGAAATTCTTGAAGATAGAGAGGGCACTTTAAATGGAAGGCTATTATCGAATGAGATTCAACTCCGGGAGTTTCAGCGAAGTAGCGCTCTCCTTCCCACACGACAGAGCCAGGAGGGATTAATTGATGTCTATTTCCGCCATATACATCCGGTTCTACCGCTAATCGATGAGTATGACTTTCGAACACTGTTTAGAGAAGGGACCGCTTCTCCTTATCTTCTGCAGGCAGTATGCCTTGTAGCCTCAAAACATCACGAGGCCCGGCCATTTCTTCTCCTCTCTGATCGTGCCGACACTGTTCCCCTCGAAACTTTCAGTAATCTTCTTTACGATGACCTAACTCACGCTGTGGCAATGAAAAGAGAGAGAAAAAAGGCGACAATGATACAAGTCCTCGCCTTGCTCAGTTTGCATGCTCCGGGACCTGAGAGTTTTGAGGATGCTTCCATGTACCTGACGCAGGCTATTCACCATGCCTACACGATAGGACTGCACTTGACAAAAGGTGTACCAGCACAAAATGAAATATCACTTGTCGCTCTGTTTTGGTGTCTGTGGAGTCTCGACCGCTGGAACGCCGCAATTCACGGGAGGCCATTGATAAGCAACGACAGAGATATAGGGCAGCAACTCACGGACGTGATTGACCTATTTGAAGCGCCGTTTAGAGTTTGGCTTTCTTTGGCATCCACGATGGGGGAGGTCATGGTTGTGTACCGGCCGACCTTGGACACGCCCGTCAATGGAAACAAGCCCGAGATCCCAAGATTCGAGGAAGTGCTTGACAGCTGCAACGGATGGAATATGTCATCAGAACAATTGTGTAAGTAGGCATAAAGGCATTTCGGCTCTTGAGATTGGCACTTACCTAGGACTCTTTAGTGTTTCTCGAACTGGCGTATCATGCCATTGCTGTTCTGGCCTCGCGGGCTTGGGGTCTGAAAAACCTGCCGCGAGCCCACACCTTATACTTAAGGCAAGACCTCTCTGTATATCGCATGGCAACGTTGACGCAAATGTGTGAAATGGGAAAGTTCTTACCTTTACCAGTAGTTTCATACGCAATATCCTTAGGATTCTCGATTTCATACAAGCAACTAAAGAGGTGTCAACTCCCGAGTACCCAGCACACAGCAAAGCGACACCTTCAAACTTTCTATAAGAGTCTCGAAGCCTTAGGCCAGACATGGTGGTCGGCACAGGTCATGAGTAGGCTTGGGCAACGTGCTTTGGACGGTATACATCGCATGGCTGAAAGAGCGAATCAGAATTCTGCAATGGTGAATTATTCAGAGAAAGATGCAACCGCACGCCCAAACACTTTGGCCAGTTTCCCCTGTGATGTTGAAACACCGAGTTCTGTTAGGGGCGACTATTCCGATGCGAGCCCAATGGATGAAGCCGCAGCGACTGAATCTCAAGCACGACTTGTGAACCAGGCACTCTTGGCTGAAACTAACCCACTGTCATTTGACTTCGCAAATATTGACCATGATAACTGGAGCAATTTTACAGCGGACCCCATGTTTGAGGGTATTGATAATTTTCTTGGAAACTTCCTGGATATTAATATCCCCAAAGGGTCGACCCGTCCAGTCTTTATGCACTCTGATGTGGCAAGGAATTCGGGTAGCTTGGATTACTCCGGTCTTTATCAGTAGATGTCATTCTTCCGAGGAGGATTCCCAAGCAGTTTGAAATAGACTGATCCTGATCCTGTCCATACCTCGATAGACGGACTGTTGATACAATGCACCCTGCGGTGTATATAATCAATCACGATCGGTCAATCATCTGATGTCTCCTTGCCGTTAAAAATCCCAGGTGATGAGGGCTCCTTGCATTGCTTGTCCCTAGTTCTCTCTGTTCCCTACTGAGTCTGGTCTTTCTGGTCCATAAGTTTTCAACCACATGTCGCGCACGCTGAAACCAGTCCACTCCCCATCAGATTCTCAACCTCCTTCTAGAAATGAACAGGAAGATTGCGACAATCGCGACCCCGAGATCGGCTTCACATATTTCCATTCTGACGGCCCTTCACTGCTAGACGTGAGCGCAGCGTGCTACAAAGAGCACCAACAACCATCATCTCCAAGTTTCTCTGGCTAGGCAACTACATGATGGGACTTGGGAATGTTCTAAACGACAGTGCCCTAGGAGCTTTGCTCCCATACTTAGAGTCCTATCATTCAATCAGCTACGCCGTTGTCTTGTTCATCTTCGCCACGAACACAGTGGGATTCGTCGTTGCCGCTCCACTCTAGAGCTCAACACAGATATCTGTGTTATATAATGTCACGTCGATGGCTTTCGACGCATCCCTTTGTTTTCATAACGCGGTTATTAGTTAGCCATCCCTATACATAACTTTGGATTTAACTACGTGACACGAACGCGATCCATAAGAAATGATGTTTATTTCCCATAGATCTCTCTTATTTTCAGCCTCTTTTATTTATGCTAACTACTTGGTAAACTACACCTAGGTATTCTACGCTGGTAGGATCAAGCTCTGTCTTTTACTATATCCTTAATAGCTCTAACCGCTACAACTTCTGGTTTTTCTGATTTTTAATTGTCACCATTAATCTCTCAAGAAGTGACTGACATCCAACCTTCAGACTTAATTTCGCAAAATTGTACTGAGGCACCAAGTTATAATCCTAATACAGATGCTAGAAAATTCTCCAAGCACAATGCCTAGATTTAGGCTGATTTTACTATAACAATTCTAGATAATAGAGAAAAGCATAAAAAGGGTTAAGTAAATGGTTAAAAGCACCTGATTCGATGTCAACACTATAGTTTTACGCAACAGATAGCACCCGGCACAGCTCGACCGGAAATCTTTCTCGGCATCTGAAAAAGCAGCACTGGAGTTTAAAGGACAAGCCTGAGCAGGTGTTCCAAAAGCAGATACATGCCTAGGTCAGGGGAGCATCACCCTCTGGCACCTAACAGCCTTAAATAGCACTGGAGCGCAGCCTAATCCGTTGGATTGTAGTCACCATTGCCTATTCACTGTGATCAAAAATTCAGCTTCTTGTGATTTATTTCACAGTATATCTGGGATTCCAGAACGTATTAGTTCTGCGACAACCTTACACCGGATTACTTCAGGTTTTAAATCTAAGTGAGCACATCTAAAGGTACTCTTAGACAATAACTCGAAATAACTACTCTGTTTCTATATACATAGACAAGCCCAATTTACCTCCCCATTCTTGCAATTATTGACCACTAAGTTGCGCCGGATCCTAGCTACCAACAAGGGTCCCGATACCCAGCTTCCCTTCCATACCTACGGACTACTGGGAGAAAACTGGTGACCGGATGAGGATGTCTAAAATCGTCCTTGATCTAAGGTAGTCGATTTGGTCCGATCGGCTAACCAGCTCCAAATCAGGATTGACATTCAGTTAAACAATGCACTGTGTAATGCAAAACAGGCCAACAAAGTGACCTAATCAGTCTGAGAAGGAAAGTTCTACGTCTCCTACACTGCAACGTCCGACATCTTTTCAGCCGCGGTCCGTTTTCGGAAGTTACGCGGGGCGATGGGATAGCTTCACTGCTAGCAACTGTTTCATTAATACCTAAGCTACTCGAAACTTTCTATATCTTCAGTAATATCACGTATCCATTCTCGCAGATCAGATAGATATAACAGAACAGAACCTGGTACACTAATATCATCACAACAAAATGTCACCAACATCACCTTCCTCTCCCCACACGAAATTCTCCTTTCGAGCAAAGTTGCTCCTAAATGACAACCCCTAAGTCGTGCAGCAAGTCCTAGCCCAGCTCCCCGTCAAAAGTGTGCTCGGCCATGTCATCATCGCGGGCGAGACATTCTGGACCCCGACCGGATCGTGCACTTGGGCCGCAACCACATGGCCCAGCACCATCTGGGTGTGGTATACCTCAACGCTCCGGGCCAGTCCATCTGCATCACCTAAGGCATGATTATGGAAAGCGCCAAAAGCACACTACGTGCGGTCCTGGAGGCCGTAGGCGGAAGGAACCGTTATGCTTTGTATGTCTCATACCAACATAGCTATATTTATATGTGTAGGAAGAAATATTCTCTGCTATAGTAGGTTATATTCTTATCTAAGGACAGGACTTCTTTTATACTTCCTTTATTACATACCTACTAAAATACATAAAGTAATAACTCGCATTAAGAGGATAGCCAACCTGCACGCTAAATATACTTATAACTAGGCAAGTAGTGAATAACAAGAAGCAGGATAATAGAGGGCTAGACAGAAAATATCTACGTGTCATGAAACATGTTCCTGTGTACCATTGGGGTCTGATACGCCTCCACCAAGCGAGCGAAGTTAAAAGCACGCTACTGGATAGCCCATTTAATCGGTATTAAGCCAGACAACTATTGCCCGCTTGACTAAAATTTATTCATAGCTTTGGCCCGAGCAACAGCATAGTCACGCGAGTCCAGTGGGCGTGTATCAAGTGAGACATTCCGTGCATGAATCGTTATTACTAGATTTAGGAAAATGTTGTTGAAACCTTGTTGGACGCGAGACAGAATTGTCCTCGGTACGTTAAGCCAGGGGATAGAAGGAATGATAAACGAGGGATTTTTTAGGAGTTCGCTTCAAATTACGAGTGGGACATAGACACCACCTGCAGATCATGGCAGCAACACATCCGAAGCACTCCTCAGCAGCATGTATAAGTTTACTGATCGTGTCAAGGATAGGTTGGGAATCGGCCAAGCTCGGGTCCTGAATCTCTGTCGATAAGCTGCGTACACGGTGACGCAAAGCTATCTATGGGCGTTCTGTATATTATCTTGATCTACTCGAAGAAGAAGAGATCAAAAATTAGGTTTTAAAATATCTTGATATAAAATGTAGTGATATTCTCTTCTACTATCTTACCAAGCTGACCGGTTAATGTACCCGGTCAAGTATATTCATCACAGATCGCTTAAAAGGGCTTGGGATATTAAATTTACGTCGGCAATCTTGCTTTGCCTTCATTTTTTGGTATAACGGTGCTTTGACTGGTTAGGATGTAAGGCATTTGAGTGGAATTGTTCAGCTAGACTGTATCCAATTTTGGAAACATCCGGGGACTGCGCCGGCTCCGGATGTGGAGTTCTACTTTTAGCTCCTTTTTTTTTTTTTTACTGGCACATAACATGCTGATGGCCCCCTGTACTTCAGAAGTTCAGATCGTGATCCAGTATCGACTGCGGACCTACGTATATGGTCTATATAGGTTGCCATACCGCTCACCGACAAAATAAGCGGTAAACAAAGTAAAAAGTCACGTGACACGGGTCGAGGGCCAATGGCGCCAAAGGGCCTGTAGGGCCCGTAGGGACAATAGGGACAATAGGGACAACAGGCCCGAGAAGGTAAACGTCCAGCCCTTTACATCCCGTTTGACTTGTTTCCTTCTTCATGTTCGGTATTCTCGTTGCAACTACCTAGTATATTCGATAATAGAGAAGAGGTTGGATACTAGACCGAGTCATAACACTACCTCCAAGAAATGTGACTTAGTATCATGACAGAATAATATTATTGAAAAGACTGTCATAGCGTGATTTTATATTAAAGACGGTTGTGGGTCACATAAGGCATAATCCATTAATACCTAGGTATTAGCTTACAAGAAATTACCATCTCTGTAGATGCTGAATGCATGATATTTGTATAGCAAAGTATCAGCCAAAAACTTACCGCTAACCCGTATTTCGATATTGCAACTATTCACATGTTTAATCTTTATATTAATTTTGTCTTTACAGTTATTTGATTTATGTTCACTCAGATTGTTTTATAGGACAAGTGTTAGGTGTGGGTGCGTCACCTAACATGACAGTGCTGCTATATAAGGCGCTCAGGAATATCTAATCCCATTGGGAATATGGGACGGAATTTGAATCCTTTCATGATCACAACTAAAGTTTAGCTTTCGAGACAGGAGGGGATGTTCATTTATACACAATCCTTCCGCCGGCATCCGCTCCCCTTAAAAATACCGAAAATGTCTGCCTCAAGTGGGTAAGGAGTAAGGAAAGGAACTGCCCCGCAGACCCGATCAGGACGGATGGACGGAAGGATCCAAGGAAGTGACCGTAGTGTCTACACAATTCAAGAGTTGAATTTGGCCAGACCATGGGAGGTCCATGGGTTAAGGCCAATCACCGACCTGAACATTCCAACAATTTTGTTCTATTATTGCAGTTGCTATTATTGTCCTGGTATTATTCGTCTGATTGTCTCTTGATGGTCGTAACTGGTAGGCGGTGTGGGTACTGATACTAGGCTCAATAAGGCAGGGAGTTGCTGCCTTGCCGCCTGGGATTCGACGAGTCTCTCCATCTCTGTCTAGTCTTTCTCTGTCTCCATCCCAATCACATCCATCACTGGCGCAGTGATCGTCCAGTCGCCACATCCCTGGAATCCCCATTCCATCCACAGAAGCCGAGCGATGCCATTCCCATAAGTATTTTGCTATCTCCACCCAAAAAAATGCCCCCTGTCATGGTTGCCTCTCCACTGAGTTGCCTGGACACGGTTACTGGACACGGTTACGAGGTAGATGAAAACTCTCCAATTCTATGTGGAGCGCTCAGCGGGGAACTCCATGCTGTGTTCTCGGATGGGTTACCTGGATCAGCATTCATCCCGGAGCTATGGTGGCTGATGGTTATCTCGCCGAAATGTGACATTTGCCAGGGGTGGCGGTGGGAGACTTGCGTCTATAACGAGGATACGGAGTACATGATGATGATGGATAAAACTATGGATAGGGGTACAAGGGGCCATCACCACACAATAGTGTATGAATAGCCGAGGCAACTACAGCAGTGTACTTCGAGTAGGCTGTTTACTCCACAGTACCGCGATGAGATGTCTCACCACACAAAGCAGGACCCTGAAAGATGGGCCTCTCCTGTTTCATCGTCTTCCTGTGGCCGGGTTCCTCATGTTTCAGGTTTGGCAACCGCTGGCTGAGCATGTCAATCATGCAGCAAGTTCCTGTCGCCGGCCCACCTGGTAAGCCTGTGTGAAGAATGGGGGAATTTGGTTGTCCAGGCTCCTCTTCATGGCAGCCTCCACTCGGCCGCTCATTCGCCGGGTCTGCTGTCGGGCTCATGCACTACATGGTAAGCGCCGACCTCCACCCGCACAACCAACACAACCTATTGAATGGAATGGTTCTTGGACAATAGGCAGTAATAGACCGTTGTCTTATTCACTGCCCGAATAATGGCCTGCAGGGCGACAACACAAACCCAGACGGGTATGGAGGTAACTTACCCTCGTTTATTATTTTGACTGTCCCCAGTCTTTGTAATACTCTATATTTTCTTTCTTGTCATCTTTTCTTCTCTCGTTTTTCTTTTCTTTCGTTGCTATACTCTCTTTACATTCTTTCTCGCGTCGTCTCCCTGGTGCAGATTGACGTCTGCATTCTTTACACCCCTCCTTCCTTTCTCATTGCCACAGCCTAGACGGTTGTCTTGCATTCCTTTGGATCGAATCGTGATCTGTCGAGATCTGGTCTAGATCTGAGATCTACTTTCTGCGGTTCATTTCCCTCTTAACTTGTATTCCTTCCTTTGCTGTCTGTGAATTCATTTCACTGTAGCTGGCCAAGATGCCTACACGATCCTTTCTTTGGAGCATCCGTTCGCTCGCAGTTTTCTCTATTGTTTCGCCTTCCATTGCTGATCGATCTGCTAAGAGCTCGGGTAGCTACCAGCTTCATGAATCATGGCAAGGCGAGAAATTCCTCGACTACTTTAACTTCTTCGACGGTGCAGACCCTACCCATGGCTTCGTCACATATCTCAACCAGAGCACTGCTGAGGGCTCTGGTCTGATCGACGTCACCTCCAGCGGCAGCTTCTACATGGGGGTTGATTATAAAAAAACCCTTGTCCCTGAAGGGCCCGGTCGAGAGTCAGTCCGTATCGAGAGCAAGCAATATTACGATGAGGGTCTTTACATCGTCGATCTGGCGCACATGCCTGGCAGTGCCTGTGGCACCTGGCCTGCATTCTGGTCCGTTGGCCCTGACTGGCCCCACGACGGCGAGATCGATATCATTGAAGGTGTTAACAAACATGAAGCCAATGAAATCGTTCTGCATACAAGTGGGTCTTGCAATGTCGGTGGTGGCCACGAGATGCATGGCGACATGACGTCTAGCGAATGTGGTGAAGCATCCGGCACGGTCGGATGCGTTGTAAAAGGCACGCAGGGCTCGTCCGGGGACCCCTTTAATAAGAACGGTGGCGGCGTCTATGCGATGGAGTGGACGGCCGATTTCCTCAAGATCTGGTATTTCCCTCGCGACTCCATTCCCGAGTCGATTACCGACGGCGAGCCTGATCCCTCGGCATTCGGTACGCCGATGGCCCACCTACAGGGCTCCTGCGACTTCCACAAGCGCTTCAAATCCCAAAAGTTCATCCTCGATACCACATTCTGTGGTGACTGGGCCGGTGGTGTCTATGGTGATTCGGGCTGCCCCGTGAGCGACCCCAGTAAACCCATCCAGAGCTGCGTGAAATACGTGGCCGAGAACCCTGACGCTTTCAAGGAAGCATACTGGGAAATCAACTCCATCAAAATATACCAGATCGGCGATAACTCGAATGGCCCGGCTCAGTCCGCCTCCACCCATGTTGACAGTGCTACCGTGATCCAGCCGACTCGGTCCTCTTCTATCAGTATCGCGAACCCCAAGTCTGAAACTGAAGCAACGCATGCGCCTTCGAGCCCTTCTGCTGTAGAAGTTACCGCCGCCCCAGCCAGTACAAAGAAAACCGTTCAATTTTCCTCCGCTGCACCGAGTGACGGCGGCGACAACTCGGAGACCATCTCGAAGAGCACTTTGTATTTGACTCGTACGACGACTATCTGTCCCCTTACCCTGCAGAATGCCTACACGGCAACGGCCGTCCACGGCGGTCAAACAGGGGCTGCTGAAAGTAGTACTGGCGTCCCATCGGTGATCGTCTCTGAGCCAGCCCCCGAGGGCAGCACCATTGTTCTCCCTTCTGTCAACACTATCATCCCTACGGGACCCACGGAACCTGTTGCCCAGCCATCTCAGCCCTCGAGAGCAGCGGGAAGCTCTACTGACAAACCACCTGTCCCTGCGCCGAGTTTCACGTCTTCATCGCGCTTTATCCCGGCGCCTGCGCCTGCACCCACATTTACTGCCCCAGGCGACTCTCCAGCCCCTGGTGGCGATTCCGGATCCACTGGATCTGGCGACTCTGCATCTTCATCTGGAGTCCCGAGCGCAACTACGCCTGTTGTCCCTCTTTTCACCGCCGGTGCTAGCAGATTGTCTCTGGGTGCGTCTGGCCTCGTGGGTGCTGCGGTGATTGCTTTCTTGGCGTGACTTTATGATTCCCATTGGTTCTTTCTTTGATGCCTATCTTATTTGGGTTCGATATCCTGCAAGAGGAAGCTCAATCAAACATTGCTTTGTTGTAAAATAGTCTGTCAGTGGTTGAAGGATACCTCTTCTCTTCTCTCTCCTTGTTTATACTTCTTTGAGCGTGAATTTCCTTCTCTTCCATTTAGATAGTAGGTAGATCAAAAACAATTGTCATGTGTTATATGGACTCCGACTAGATATTTTTTGCAAGTCATGGCGGCCCATAGAACTGATACAGTTGACCTCTAAATACATTGTTGCAATTAACTTGTAACTTGATTAAGAAATGTCATAACACATAAGTCAATGCACCAGGTATCATCTCATCCGTAACACCATACACGAACCAAATATAAACAAGAATCCACACCACCTAGCAGACTAGGCCGTCTTCCACCTGTTCAACCAATCCAACGCATACCGACTTAATATCCCATCTTCGATGATCCGCAACCGACCATTTCGCAACGTCATACTGTCTCTTTCTGCCTTTTCCGTCAGGAATCGCGGCATACGAGATGTCTCTGTCTCCTGGTCGTGGCCGTACATAGCCTCGTAGTGATCTGCTAACTTCACGGCTGGATTTACAGTCTCCTCGCCGCGAGATTCACTCTCGCGGAGTAGACGAAGCCATTCGCTGAATGGAACGGTTGAGAATGTGAAGCCCCTGCGTCGGAGGGTATCGAGCATAGATGACCAAGTGAATTCGCGTGGGTTGCACAGGTTGTAAATTGTGTCGTCTCCCTCTATCTCGTCGGTCTCGGTTTCGATTTCCGAGTCGCCCGAGGTAGAACATCTCTTTGCGATCTCCAGTATCGAACTCACCAACTTATCCACCGGCAGCCATGAACAGGTCATCTTCAAATCCGGTAGAGCATGTAAAGTCAATGCGGAGCGGATCATCAATGGGATGGCTTCATTGTCATTCCAGAGTCCTCGTTTCGAGTGCCCTGATATCTGTCCGGTGCGCAACGAGTAGCTCCGAGCGCCAGATTTTCGCGCGTTGCTGATGATCTGCTCGCCGATGAGCTTTGATCGAGCATAGCCCATGTCAAGTGCGCTGTGTAGATCGTCCATTGGGACTTCGTCGACAGTGGGAGAGGATGATCCCAGTGCCGTGGAGATGGAGGAGCAGAAGAGGAGAACGGCAGGCTTGGGTAGGTTAACTGATAACGAGAAGTTGATGAGGTTGTATAGGCCTTTGATATGTGGTTCGAAGCTCTTTAGAGGGAGGTTGAAGTTGACCGGCCATGCAGTGTGGATGATCAGGGATACGGATTGCTTCATCTGCCTTAGGTATTCGTAGTCCACCCCAAAATCAGACTCTTCCAGGGAACACTGCAGCGCGATGATCTTGTCGCTGCGGAATCGGGGCACGTTCAGGCCTTTCTGTGCCATGGCTTGTAGGATGGATTCCTTGGGTTGCGCGCGTCGGGTCAGACAGTACACAGCTGATACTGAGTCGTCATTCAGCAGTCGATATAGAGTATGTGCTCCCGTAGATCCCGTCGCACCGGTTAGAATCTGATATTGTTAGCATGAGCAATATTGCATAGGATGATTGACGTACAACACTCCGGCTACGTCCGGTCACCTCGTGGTTGGGCTTGTGTCTGAAGAACGAGGAATACTTTTCAATTAACCGTGGCATCAGTGCCATCTCGTCCGTGGTTGTCTGAATTTCCTGGCCGTCTTGAACCGCGTGGATGTATTCTGCCAGACGAGATATAGTCCCCGTTTCAAAGACTACATTTTGACCGACACTCTGGCTATCCTGGATTTTAAAGTGTTGGAGAATCAATCGCCGCATATGGATGGCTTTGAGGCTGTCTACGCCCTCAGCGAAGAACTCGGAATGAACACTGGAGATGTGAATGCCCAGCTCGTCACGACAAAGCTTCATCAGGAGCTCTTCGGTACCATTTACATCCAGCTCCACGGTGCCATGCACTGTCTGCTCCGATTCGGCGTATAATTTGTCAATCACATCGGCATATTTCGCGTAGACCTGTGCCCGGATCATTGATCCCTTGTCTGTCCGCGGACACACTGCATCCCAGGGTAAGACAACCACCATGTCTCGAGAGATCTGGGAGAACTGCTCGGCTCTCGAATTGGCCTCTTCGATGACCGGCCAGATCCGATCCAGATACTTCGAGTCCGAATCAATCCTCACCTCGTCGGACCGGAAGACCAGCAGTCCCGGCACGCTGCGATTGACGCCGACGACGACGGCTTCGTGCACCAGCGGGCTCTGTTTTATGGATCCCTCTATCGGCAGCGGAAGCACCTTCTCGCCGTTGACCAGGGTGATGCGGTCGTCGAGTCGAGTGACGTATTTCCACCGGTTCGGAAGCACAGGATGCGGCGTGAAGACGTCCTTGGAGTGATACGAGCCCGGCGGTTCGTTCGAATTGGACGTCGTCAGCGCCGGATGTCCCAAGAGGTAAACACATTCGTACAGCTCGTTGCCGATGGGCTTCATCCACACGTAGGATTGGATGTTGTCGAAGAACTTCATGTAGTTCCAGTATGGATCACTGGCGGGACGCGATATGGATTCGGCCACCAGACCCGCTTCCGTTCTATGGATGGTCAACTACAATACATGATGGACCACAGCAGACCAGGATAAGACAAGACACTTACAGGCCAAATGACCCGCCGAACCGCACCTTCTCCTCCACCATTCGGTCTCCCAGCTCGTCCGGACAGGGTGCACCTCCATACGTCACCAGTTTGCAGTTCCGTAGAGCTTCCAGCCCTCGGGGGTTGTCCACCAGAAGCTGAAGCATGTAGGGCACCCCTTGCACTGATTCAGGCTGCGCAGCTTCCAAGGCAGCCACCACCGAGGTTGCCGTCAGAGGTAATGAAGCATCCCACATGAAGGCCGTCTTCCTCATATACATAGCTTGCAGTGCCGTGGACAAGCCATGCAGATGATACCACGGCAGGGAGTTGAAAGATGTGAGTCCAGGTCCCCGCGTGGGATGGGTCATGAGGGCCTTGTGACTGAGGAAGAGAGGCTTAGGCGTGCCCGTCGACCCGGACGAATGCAGCACCAAGGCGATCTTATTCTTCTGGATTTCCGGATTCCGGCTCCGGTGAAGCACCATCACGGTCGAGTCCAGCGCCGTGTCTTGCAGCGACGGTCTCGCGATAATCGGACGACAGGTCACCAGCTTCAGACGAAGGATCTCCCCCATCGTGGCCCGGATGCTGGGGCTCTGTCCGTACAGGACGGTGTCACAGCCCACGACGTCCAGCAACGACACGCAGGCGACGGCGGAGAGGCGAGGAGACAGCATCATCACCGTGTATCCGAGTCGACTGAGGGCGAAAAAGGTCACAACCATGTTCATATCCGACGTGGTGAAGAGGGCAACGGTGGCGCCTTCACCTCGAGGCTGGTCCAGTAAGCTTCATTCATCCATAAAGTTTATGAATATATAGAAAGAGAGAGAGAGAGATACCGGTTTAAAACCGTAGTCCATCAAAGTACAGACCACCTGATCGACCATCCAGTCCAGATCCTGTCCGGTGAAATACTCATACGAGACATGGCCGTCGGTGGAGGGTCGAGGATAAGCCAACAGAGGATACTGCGTCACATCCTCTGCTCGTAGTCGGATCAAGTCATCCAAGATATGAAGACGGCCAAACCGAGTAGCCAACGTTTCGGGGCTACTGGGTCCGGAGACATTTTCAGATGATGAATCGTACTGTCGGATCCCCATGGTGTCAACCTGGCTGGGACACTGAGTCAAGTCGAGTCAAGAGGCACATTCCAGAGACGGGGAACCCGTATTTAAGGATACCACCCCAGATCGAAAGGCAATCGGATGGTGCTGGGGCGCGTGGACCTATCGTCATCTCTGCGTTCGGTTGGGCTGGCGGATTCCGCATTAGGCAATTCTTGTCGTTTCACGATCGCTGAACCTTACGATTTTTCTTGTGGAGTGGATCAAGCAGAGCGGTGTATCTGAAGATTTATTTTTCATTGTCTTTTTTTGTTTTTAGATTTTTTTTAAAAAAAAAAAATTTTGGCCCACCAACCACCGTGGCAACCAACACCGACAGATCGACTTCTTCTGCACGCAGGCATTAGTGCGCCAGTTGGGACGATACGTAGGGCACTCTCATCGCATATACCAGCATCGTAGACGCCAGACAACTACGGTGGGACCGATCTGGATCTGCTGTTGGCCGCATCCTGACCCATCTAGTACGCACCAGGAGGGATCGACCGCTCAGAGTTCCTGATGGCCAGCAGACTCAAATTTGTCAGTCACACCGTAGCAGTGCACGCGCAGCCTCCCGCATCACAGTCCTATGGGGGTGGGGGTGGTTGCAGGAAGCAACCGAGAACTGTTGAACTGTGCCGGGATATGACCCCAAGCAGCCGGGTTCCTGGCTTCCGGGCACCTGGCTCTGGTCCTTGATCGACTGCACGATCGCATTTTCCACCACAGACCTATCCTTGATTGTGCGGTCCCCTGGTCAGATCAGATCGTCCTCAGGGATCCTCTGGTAGCTCGTATCTTGCGCGGTCCGTTGTGGTCAGATAGCGAGGCACCGGAGAGAGGAACAAAAATACCCGACACGGAGGCAATGTCCGTACTTCTGTCGGAGAAATGACATCTCATGGGAACCTTGTTTATTTTTGCCTTCACTATTGATTTCACACGAAGCCTATGAGTCTTGGGTTGCAATGCCTCGTGGAATCGGAGACATCGGGTATGTTTCACTGGGGGAATGACAAAAATACCCTGGCATGAACTAACTACCGCATGCAGCCCCGACAAATCTGTCCATTTTCGGCATGAAGAAAACGAAAATGCCTAGTACGGAGTATCTACCCAGTGCTCCGTACGTAGGATTTCCCTGCCTGAAGGATTGTCAATCACTGCTCGGGCGCACACGGTCAATCGGCGGCGCTCTAGTAATCATTAGGATAGAATGCTGGAGACAATCTGACCTGTCACCTCCTCCTGTCGGGCTCTATCTGGATCAGTCGGTAATCCCTTAAAATCATCAGAATGCTAATCTAAATAAAATTAAATTGTCAAATGAAATGAGAAAACCCTCCCGTACCCACATGGCGCCCAATATTACTTTCCCTCCTGTCTCAGCCGCTCACCGATCTTCTCGCAATTCTCCGCCGACAATCCACGAATTTGATGACCAGCGAAGAAACACCACTCCGTACATAGTTACGGAGTAGTTATGGCATGATCCGATGTCAACGTAGGGTTCGCCACTGGCTCGTGGTCGCCGCTGCGGATCAGATCCTGGTCGTTCCGTGAGGACAGACTCGAGCAAATAAACCATAACAGGGAGGTATAGAGTGGTCCGTAGGTACACATGTACGCTGTTGATAGATAGATGTACGGAGTACGGTACCTCTTGTTGAGCCGCGCAAACATCGCCAGTCTGGACTGCTTGCATGTGGCTAGTGATCTCCCGTGCGTGGATATCAGTCCTGCGTAGTTGCGGTGTCTTTGGATTCATTAAAGCCAATTTCATTCTGGTCAATCAACGTGTTGATTCCCGGAAACTTCGTCCTCTGTAAAGTCCTCCATCCACTCTGACGTCTGGCATCGGGGAATACCCAATGGAATCGACAACCGGAAGAATGGCGAACTCAATCCTGTTCATACAGAATACTACAACCCTACTCCGTAACTGTCCGGACAAGGACAAGGACAGAAAATAAAATCAAAAAGAAATAAATAATATATATATGTGTGTGTACATATATATGAAGAAGTAACGGGTGGAGATCGGAAATCAGCATCCACTAGCTAGTGGGGATCATGGTCTCACGAACCAACCGCCAGGGAGCAACTGCTAGGGTGATGATGCTAGAATGCTGGATGCATCAAGGAGCTTGGGCCACCGGAACCAACAAGGAAGCTCTATAGAACAAAAGTCCATCGCGGTGGCGCTGACGTTGGTCGAGATGTGAAGTTCCCAAACTGCTGGAGTAGCTTCGGGCAGCAGCAGAGGTTGGGAATTGTTTGTTTGCTGGAACTGAAAATCTCTGTCAACAGTTTCCAAGTTTATTCCGAGACTTCTAGACCACACCAGTACGGAGTACGCTGTCGTAGTCCGTAGATTCCAGTGAACAACTGACAAACGCCACAGTGCCCGTCCCAGTCGCAGTCCAATCCAAGGAGCCGACCATGACATAAGAGGAAATTAAGGTCACGGACTACGCATGGGCCGACGTCCTTAGCCCCTTTGAGGGGAAATGAAAGTCAATCTATCCATTTATTGCCAATAAGTAAGGGTTCAGATGTGTCATCCGGACAACCGCTTTCGGTATCTTCTGCGAGACCCAACTTCAACCTGTCTATCTGTCTATCTATCTATCTGTCGTCTTGTCGTCGGTCGTCTATCTGCATCGTGTGTATTTATTTCTTCGACCGCCTGTTGTCTGCATCTCCGGTCTCTTGAATCCTTCCCTGCATCCTGCGCTGTACATACTTTTTTTTTTTTTTTTTTTCTTTATGGTTCATTTTGAGTTTCCCATGCTGGGTTCTGCACATATGGAGACTTCGCGTCAACCACCTCACGTACTATCCCTAATCGATGAGATCCGACAGCTGGCCTCATCTGAACAGGGCGATTCAGTCCAGTCCCGGTTCCAGCTACTGCGGCTGATCGATGAGTTGAAGCTGGCCGTCGAGACGCCCACAGAGACCGTTCTGCGAATGATCTACCAGGTAGGCATACAATACCTTAGCAGGAAGATCAATTGGTCATGATAATCATCCAGCCACCGCAAAATGCCGCCCTTCGCACCGTCATCGACCTGCGCATCTTCCCATTGCTTGTGGAACATCCCCAAGGCCGTTCGGCTAAGGACTTGGCGGTTCACACGGGGGCGGAGAAAGCCCTCATCGGTAGGTTCCGACGTCTATAGCTCTCGCGATCCACGAAAGAGACTGACCTTGGCCAGTCCGTCTGATGCGCGTCATGATTGCCTTGGGTCTGTGTGCCAGTCGCGAGCCAGAGGTTTATCTTCCCACCGACAAGACCATCGCGATGACGCAGCCCATTGGGCGGGACGGTGTGCCCTGCATGTATGCAATCCTCTTTTCATAGGAGTAATTACACCTTTGATCTAGTTTCCTGGGCCTAATTACGAGACAGATACGACTTGACGATGCCTACGCTAAGCCAACTCCCTGAGTACTTCCGGGAGCACCACTACGCCATGCCCAAGGAGTATTCACGCTCTCCCATGCGCTGGGCCGTCGGACAGAGCCAGTTCGAATGGCTCGCGCAGCGGAAATACCACCAGACCCTATTCAACTCCTACATGGCGAGTCGACGCCAGGGTCGACCATCCTGGTTCAACGTGTACCCCGTGCAGCGACTGACCGATCAGACGATCGCCCATGAGGACGCCGTCTTCCTCGTCGACGTCGGCGGCAACCAGGGCCATGATCTGATCCGCTTCAGGGAGAAACACCCTCAGGTCCCTGGACGGTTGATCTTGCAGGATCTCCCCAAGGTGGTGTCCCCGTCTGTCGGCAAGGGGATCGAGCCGATGGCATACAGCTTTTTAGATCCCCAGCCGATCAAAGGTAAGTCATTCGCTTCATTCACTGCAATGATCAGGCCGTGCATCAGTCTAACGACGCAGGCGCCCGAGCTTACTACTTCCGCGCCATCTTCCATGACTGGCCCGACTACATCTGCCACAAGATCCTGCTCAACACCGTCTCCGCCATGGATGAGGAGTATTCGCGCGTCCTCATTGTGGATTTCGTCCTCTCTGACACGGACACACCGCTCCTCCAGGCGTCACTCGACATCCAGATGATGAGCATTGGCTCGGGCATCGAGCGATCCGAGCGCCAGTGGAGGGAGTTGCTGCATAACGCCGGATTGGAAATTACGGGGATTTGGTCGGGGAGTCCAGGTATGGAGTCAGTGATTGAGGCTGTGCCTCGTTCTTTCGAATAGCCTTTTTTTTTTTTTTTTTTTTTTTTTTTTTTTTTTTTTTTTTTTTTTTTTTGCCCTTTTATTTTTATTAGCCTGTAATCCCTTCATCTTCTTGTTGATACTTGTTATAATCAATACCCCTGTCTGGGTGGCTGCCTCCCACCAACAATTCTAATCCATCATTTCAATATATCAATCCTCGTTGCCTTGTTTCCTTCATAGTCTCTGCCTTGTCCCTCCTCCTTGTAGGGACCGTTAGTGGACCCCTTACCGATAGATCCTACGTATCATATCCATCTCGCAGAACTATGCCCATAAATGCAAGATGCGATGCATAGTCCACGCACAGGGTCGTCGATGACCTGCGCTGTCAGATTCCTTATCCCGCATGCAGTTGAGCGGCTCTCACCGCTAGTGGTAAACTTTTGTTAAGGTTATTTGGCGTTTTGGGGTGCAGCGCGTCTGTGTGGGGATCCTATTTGATCCTGGATATGTCATATTTCGTGTTCCCCTTCTAAGCCTTCTCTATGTTATGCCTAGGAGTATTCGTGTTTAGAAGTATAGGAAGAGCCATGGTTCTCTCGTCTTACTTTCGTAACTCTATTCATTCGATGGTCGGCAGAGTCGAACTGCAGAAGGTCAGATGAGAGCTGTTTATTGCATTGAAACTATAAGATGCTGCGTGGTCATTTTCTGGGTCTATTGACTTGATAACAGGTAAAAAGCGTTTTCTGTCAACGATCATCGCTCAAGCGGGTCATATTGGCAAGCAAGTCCATGCCTTGCATTCTTATTCTTTCTCAGAAGAGATATCCCGTACTTATGTATAGTCCACACCGACACACGTCCACACTACCGACAAACATTTACAAGAGCCGTCTCCATCCACAACTTCGTGTATTGTTTATGCAACCACAGTATAGGCGACGGCATCGGAGCCGTCTCCGCCTTGCCCAATCCCTGGAAGAAACAACTCTTGAGTCCAAACTCCGCCACCCCCTCGTCCGGATTCACCACCACCGACATCTCGAACAGACCGTCCGATGCCCGCACGCCCTGGTTGCGCGGCGTATCGCCGCACCGCACCACAATCCGCTCCGGCGTCTTTTCGAGGACCTCAAAGTGGTCGGTGATCAGCGTGCCGACTTCGTAGCTCGACGACCGCAGTTCCTCCCTCGTCCAGAGGTGATTGGTTGTCTCTTCGCGTGGTGCGTTCCGCTCGTGGTGGGCCCGTTGCAAGGCGTATCCTATTTCACGTCGTTATTACTCTGTGATAGTAGCAGTTACAGAGGAGAGTCAATACCCCAGCCGCTCCAGATCCCAGCGCAAAACGCCTCGGTGAGTCTGCCCTTTTTCTCCAGTAGGCTCGGGTTGATCTCCGACAGAGGCACGCGGCGAATGCAGAGGTCATAGCTAGTGGGATTCTGCTGGGGGTTCTGGGCGCGGAGGAACGAGGATTTGAAGATCGGATCCGACGGAGTCATGGGAACGAAGGTGCTCTTCCGTGTGGTCCAGAAGAACGCACCCACCGAGGCGGCGGGTCCGTAAGTGGCGAGCTGGAAGACGCGCTTGATGAAACCCATTGTGGCTGCGTGTATGGGATGGGCTAGTGATAGGGAGAGGAGAAGGCGATGACGAAGGCGGAGTATCTCCATGCCAAGACTCCATCTGTCAAAATGGATCTACCTTGAACAAAACCATCGAATCTCATTTAACAATGTGCCATCAAATTACGGAGTACTGGTATCCCTATCTGATCTAACGTTTGATCACTCCATCTACTCGTGACAATCGTACGTCTCAAACTGCGGACAGGTGTAATCACCATGGGGGAACTCCTCTCCTCTGTACGATATGATGTAGATAAGCCTGACGATCTTAGTCATGGAATTTCCATAACCAACCAACTAATTCGTCTAATATCCCCCTTATCTCCTATTTTTATTGTCGTCCCCGATAGCTGAAATTGCTGTGTCACAATCTTTGCAGAAAGGGGCCATCTGCACCGCCACATGCCACGCGCCACACGCCACAAAATTCTGGTTCTGCCGCATTAGGAGGTTCCTATTTCCGCGGAGTCTGGTTGGGCCATAGCAAAACGGCCTGAATATTTAGGCACGAACGGGTCCGCCACTCGACATTAATCAGCATCACTTTTACTTTTGCACCTCTTTTACGGAGACTCAGTAATCTCTGACTCTCTCCTCTTTCTATCCTCCCTGCTCGTTCTCCTTTAAATTCTCACTCGCAGAGACCCCGTCCATCAAAATGGCGGTCACCATCGACATGGCCGATGACTTCAACCCCGCCCCAACGCCCAAGGTGATCCAACAGCGCAACCTTCTCCTGGCACCGCCCTCGATCGCTGCTCATGAGGAGAAACTACGTGACCTGTTTTCCACCTTCGACCGCTCAACCACCGATCTGCAGATGCTGGACCGCCTCGGCGCCGGCCTCGTTCCTCTCCCCGCGGATACCTACGATCTCGTGCTGGTTCTGACCGACACCGATGGCGCCCGCCGCGAGGAGGCTATCAAACTGCTCAGTCGGGATGTATACAAGGTCCTCGTGCCGGCCATGAAGGCTGGAGGGAAACTACAGCTGCAAGAGGGTCGTCTCGGAGCCAACGAAGGACTGGAGGCCATTTTGGCGGGACTGGTCGAGAAGGACGGCAGTTTCGAGAAACAGATGTTTGAGACCGCCGCGGTACCACTCCGACTAGGTGGGAAGAGGAAGAAGAAGGAAACATCATCCAACGGTGTTTCGAATGGTTTTTCAAACGGTGTTCAGACAAATGGCACGAACGGCGTGGGGTTCGTCGATGGCGACGAGTTGATTGATGAAGACACCTTATTGTCGGAGGATGATATGAAGAGACCATTGCAAATACGTTCGTTCCCCTCTTTACGCCCTGTGTTCTTGCTAACGCTCGCAGCGTCGAATTGTCAGCCGGAGACTGCCAAAAAGCGACGACGCCCCTGTAAGGACTGCACCTGCGGACTGGCGGAGAAACTCGAGAAAGAGGACCAAGAACGTCAGGCCCAGGCAACGAAGGACTTGAGCATTCTCAAGCTGCAGGCGGACGATCTCAACGACGAGCTAGATTTCACTGTGCAAGGGAAGACCGGCTCATGTAACAGCTGCTCCCTGGGCGATGCTTTCCGCTGCTCGACATGTCCGTACATTGGCCTCCCTCCGTTCAAACCCGGAGAGGAGGTCAAGATTATGAATGATATGATCCAGTTGTGAGCGAGGATATAATGTTTATGGGAATACGGCGTTGTTATGGGATTTACTAGATGGATGACCTTGGATACCTAGTATTTGCTTTACAAATCAGGCGAATAAATCTATAATATCTAAAAATTTTCTGAGTCGCAGCTTTCATGTCAGTTTCCTCGTCGTATTCCAATCATTACCCCTCCATCGCCTCCATCGCGCGATATCGGAAGCGCTAGATAAGTTTGAGGTCTTAGCCGCCAATCATCGAGCGTGTTTTAGCAACGATGTATTAGTAATGTGGTCTATGGTCGATTTGATTAATAATTCAATTAATGATTTATAAGAAATACATATTCGCTATGGTATAATGAAGTATGTAGATACCATTGACTTTACGAATGGTTTGTCTTGACATTGCTTAGCAAACAGTAGGGTGGTCGGTTCTGGTTATTACCTCCCGAGATATATATCCGTTGACTGTAACATGTCGCGGTCTGGTTATTTATGCGACAATAGGGACAAAACCATAAGACCATAAAAAGGTACAAAGCCGACTGATCTTTCATTAGCACCTTATACAGTAGCGATGGCCTTAGTATGGGCAATATACAGGGTTCAACCATAACGTGTTTAGTGTTCACCACCGACTGAGTGAAATTTTTTATATACTTTTCATGATTTATTCAACCACCAAAATAAGTTCAACAATCTAGAATTAGTAGCAGATTACGAAGAAGATAAGAAATCATATTATTCTAGAAAATAATAACTTTTTGTTGTAAATATAAGGGGAAACTCTTAAGTTTCGTAAACAGGGGAGGCGGGTAGTAACTAAGAGAATCTACAGTAGAAACAGTTTCGTTCAGCATACTCCGCCACATTATAGTGGCTAGGGTAGATTATGTATATTGTAAAAGGTTATATAAACAATTAGGTATGTGTTTCTACTTCTAAATTGTTCAATTTATTCTGTTGGTTGCATGATTATCAACGTAGTAAATGTGAAGATCCACACCTAAGATTGGTTTCGGCTCTATCATAGCACACAGAAGTATGGGATTTTAGATGAAGATATTTATAATATGGATGAGAAGGGTTTTCAAATGGGTGTTATATTACTGCTAAGGTTATTTATGGCTCAGAAACAAGAGATAGCCATGCAAAAACACTTCAGACTGGAAATATTGAGTGGGAGACAATAATAGCATGTGTTAATGCTGCTGGATGGGTATTACCAGCACGGATTTTCTAGCAGGGAAAACTCACCAAGCTCATTAATATTCTTTATGTGAGAATGAATGTATTATAAATGGGCTTGATTTAAAATGGCTCTAAGAGGTTTTTGAAAACCATGCAGCTTCAAAACGAAAGGACAGTATAGGATACCAATCCTAGAGGGCTACTCTAGTTATGCTACTGTACAGCTTGATAAATTATGTGTGGAAAAGAAGGATTATTCCTTTACATATGCCTCACTCATCGCATCTTCTACAACCAGTAGATGTAAGCTGCTTCTCGCCACTAGAGCACTGTTATGGGCAGAGAGCGGCAGGGATGTTAGAATCAGGGATTTATTCTCTTAATAAGGATAACTTCCTATCAATCTGACCTGGTTCATCTATAAGCTGTATTATCATCTAATATCCAAAGTGGATTTGCAGCAAGCCCAATTCATCTAGAACCAGAGAGTGCTTGTAAAAATATCTTTAAAGATACCAACTCCACTATCATAGCAGTCAGTCCTTTGGAGTAGGAAGGACACCAGGAGATCTCTTTCAACTTGAGCAGCAAAAGCAACGAATTCAGAGCCTTCTAGTTAATTAACTATCCACATCCATACTAAATTAGGTAGTTGATAAATTAACCAAAGGGGTAAAGCTTCATAAAAGAGGCAAGGAAGCTTCGTGTCTATGAGAAGCAGAAGAAGCAGAAGAAGAAATGTAAACTTATTTAGGACGGAGGTTGGTTTGACAGGGCAAGGACGAGTTTAATAGCAGGAGGAGCGACAGCTCAGTTACCTTGACCACGAAGGGCCTCTAAAGGTAGTAAGTGTGGTTAAACTGGCCATAATCGGTTAAAGTGCCCTAGCAGATAGAGAATTGATCGACTTGATTATAATGGTGGTGGTGATATTTGAATTCAAATTATTTAAGGTTGTAGGTGCCGAAAAACTGGACAATTTCGTTGTCCGATTACGCTAGGCTTCCATAACGTAGTTAACTAAATAGCTCTCCAGACAGGCTGATGTCATCGCAATTATCGGCCGAAAGCCAACCTACACAACAGCCAACTACGGAGTGCTCTATACAATTACATCGACTTGCAATCACAGCAACATGTCGGAACCTAACAATACACGTTTCAATGACGAAGCAGCTACCTGGGACTCCAATCCCACAATCCAGGTAGCCACCCGTCTGGCATTCCAGACTCTCCAACCCATCATCCAGAGCCTCTCGGACCAGAACCGTACCCCAGGGTCTGCTGCCCCCTGTCTGGACGTCCTCGAAGTAGGCTGCGGAACTGGCCTTCTCACCGTCCGCGTCGCCCCTCTCGTCCATGAGATCGTTGCTGTCGACACCGCGCAGGGCATGATCGACATGTTACAGACCAAGATCACCACTTCCCCGGTGACTCAGAATATCATCCCTGTGTGTAAACTGCTCCAGGACCCGGAAGACCCCGTCCTTCCGCCTATGGATCAATCTAACCCTGCCGGTCCCCGCCGGAAATTCGACCTCGTCCTCTCCCACCTCGTCATGCATCATATCCCTGATCTTCGGCTGTTCTTGCACACCTTACTAGATTGTCTAAAGCCGGGTGCGCACGTCGTCTTGACGGATTTCGAGGACTTCGGACCTGAGGCGATCAAGTTTCATCCACCGTCGAAGTTGGACGGGGTCGAGAGACATGGGATCCCCCGTGCGTGGATGGAGGGGTTGATGCGTGAGGTAGGATTTCAGGATGTGAAGGTGTGGGTGGGTTGGAGGTTGGATATGGAGGTCGAGGGATGGGAGGATGCTGGGAAGGTCATGCAGTTCCCATTTTTGGTCTGTGAGGGGGTTCGTCCATTATCTGCATGATTTGGTTATATACGACATTGTACAATTGTGCATATTTGTGGTATGGATGTTACAATGCATGAAATATAGATAGATGGCTGAAGAAGAGTCAAGGCATGATGGGGATGATCAACATAAGAGCATCTCAGATGAGAAGCTAGATAGGATGTGGAGAGCATGACATGTCACATCCTTTGACACTCAGTAGGTCAAATATATCGCAGGTCATTCCCTTCAGCCAGTCGCACAGTTGAAGTTCATGTCCCATTTTATGCTGACGTATCCAACACCTGGCAAGTTAAGACGAGGGCCTCTCAACGATCCCATATCTTTGTACAACCACGATATCTACCTCATCTGTCGATAAACAGCACAGACGGAAATGCGGTGTGCTAGAAGCCAATACCAGCTGGGATCATGCAACGATCGGCGCTATATTGGCACAATGCATATATCGAACTGGTCCACAGTCCAAGATATAATATCTAAAGACAGCCCTGTCTCATTGTCATCCAAGCAAAATGCCTGATCCATGCGACTGTGAGAGTCCGCCCACGGAGCTCGTGCTCTGCTTTGACGGAACGGGCAATACATTTCGCGCTGATGGTGCTGAAAGCAATGTCCTCAAGATCTTCAGTATGCTGGATCGGAAGAAAGGAAACAGATGTAAGTACCATCTTTATAGGGAAGATCCCTGGGGCGATCACTAACCGGTACAGTTTGTTACTACCAGCGTAAGCATTCCTACTTCCTGCTGATATCGATATAATAGCTCACAGAACAGCGGGCATCGGAACCGACATCACCCCCAGTAGCTTCACCAACGTCGCCCTTCGACCACTCCCGACACACAAAGTCTTTGATTCCGCCCTGGCTACCTCGTTCGACCAGCACGTCATCGGCGGATATCGCTTCCTCGCCCGTCGCTGGGTGGCCGGCGCTCGCATCTACCTGTTTGGCTTCTCCCGTGGGGCCTACACGGCACGGTTCCTGAACGAAATGCTCGACTTTGTCGGTCTGCTGTCGGCGGACAACGAGGAGCTGATCCCCTTTGTGTGGCAGGCCTTTACCGCGTGGAAGTTCGCATCCCCCGGCAAGGAAAGGGAGGACGCCGAGGCCAGTCTGCGCATCAGTCGCGATACCCTGTGTCGGTCCATTGGATGGGTGCATTTCCTGGGTCTCTTCGATACCGTTAACAGCGTCGCCGAGTTCAACTGGGACTTCACCAAGTCTAATCCCATCCAGCCGAACCCGCGGACCATGCGTCATGCCGTGAGCATCGACGAACGTCGCATCAAGTTCCAGCCTGTTCTCTTCCAGGAGGTCCGGGGTCGTTGTGGTGAGACTCACATCCCGCGCGTGAGTACGTGGGCTGCTCGCTCGGAGCCCGATCTCCTCAGCCAGGTGCCCTTCCCTCTGAATCCGGACTTCGAGGAGGTCTACTTCGCCGGCGATCACTGCGACGTCGGCGGCGGATGGCCCATCGACAAATGGGCCACTCATAGATGGCCCGTCAGTCAGATCCCGCTGATGTGGATGGTGCAGGAGGCTGCCCTGGCTGGACTCACATTTGATCATGATCATCTGAAGCGGCATGGATGTCATGATCCGTTCGCGGAGGATTATGACTCGGAGATCGTACGGACGGCAGAGAGCGCGCCCCTGCACGACTCACTGAACTATTCGGACCCCGGAAAGACGGTGGAGACCCTGTTCTGGCGTGTCCTCGAGTGCATGCCTTTCAAACGTGCCAAGGTGGCGCCCGATGGGTCGGTGCAAGACAGTAGATGGCATATGCCCGGTCTGCGACGTCCATTGCCTAACGGGGCGAAGATTCATGGTAGTGTCATTAATCGTCTACGTAATGATCCTGACTATAGGCCGTATAATCTGGGACTCGGTAATAAACCGAACACCATGCATCGGCGCGCAGAGTATCGCGAGATTGGACGCTGGAGGATGGTGGAGGATGAGACATCGCTGAACAGTTCTCGAAAGGGGTCGCGAAAGACGTCACCCATTGCTCAGTTTACGGGCTTACGGGATTACTATTTTCGAGTCTTGGAGACCGATCCCACGATAGATGATAATCAGGATCGAGAGCAGCGGAAGCAGGAGCAAGAGCAAGGACCGTCGGGTTGGAGGGGACGTGCACAAGCCATATAGCCTATGTATTCATGTAGGGTATAGATATCTTGTCATCTCTTTGGATTTAATGCTGTGAACCCACGTATCCTGTAACCGTTGTCATCCTTAGATGACGTCCTCAGATGATGCTCAGGATGACTAGATGCATTTTTATTACAGATATGTCCATTATATTACTTGAAGATATTGACATATCTGTCTAGCGCCAGCGCAATCCGCCAATAACTAGGATCATAGTACAGAATGAGTGTCATCCCGAAGGAAGAAAACCAGAAGAATCCAATTAAGCAGAGATCTCTGCAGCCCGCAGCAAAAACTTGGCCGCCTCCTTCGCGTTCTTGCCATACGACATATGCGCCATAGCAACGTCTCCATTCTGGCAAACAGGATCTCCCACGGCACAGAACTCCTTCACCTTGGAATCGTCCAGCTTGCCCAGAGGCCTCATCTGGTACGGATCGCCAAAGAGCACTGCGGCGGCTACCTGGCCCTTGCTCAGCTTGTTGGCCGCGTTATGCACCACCGTCGTTCCTTGCGAGTACCCGCCCAGGACCACCTTGGTGTCGGGGCATTGCTGCAGTGCGTCTTCCACCAGGGAAGCCATTTTGCGGCCGCCTGCTGCGCCCAAAGAGGCGTCGTTCTGCTCTTGTTAGTCTCTGTCACTCTCATGCTTGCGGGATGGAGGAGAGATACCTCTGCAGAAACGGGATAATCCACCCCCTGCACATTGACCTTGTTCTTGGTCAACTTGGTTAACTGCTTCGCCAGATCCGGCCCAACCACCGTTCCCATATTCCCCGGTTCGGCGGCACCGCGTGCAAATAGGAACGTCAGCTCCTGGCAGTCCTTGTGGTCGGTCACATCGTTGGCCGTGGAGGACATGGAACGTTTCCGAGAGAACAGCGATACGAATCCATCGCGACGGCTCAGAGGATTGGCACCACCGGCACCACCGCTACCACCGTTGCCACCGCTCGTGAGACCGGACAGGCTAGACAGGTCGCCGGTGGTATTACTACTGCTACTGCCACCTTGGTCGCCGCCGCCGCCGCCAGCGGCACCAGGAAGCAGATTGCTCAGACCGGACAGGCCGCCCTCGCTGCCTCCACCGCTACCACCGCTGCCGCCGTTAAGCCCATTAAACAGACTGCTCAGGTCGAGGCCACTGCCTCCAAGCAAGCTGCGCAAGCTACTCAAGTCAGGTGGGATAATGCCGAAGCTACCACTGAAACTACTAGAGCCCCCGCTGTTATCGCTGCTGCCGTCGGCGCCGGGAACACTACCCGGAATATTGGAGGGCATGGGCACAGTTGAACCCATGTTCGAGCTCGTGGATCCAATATTAGAGCTAGATGAGTCCTTATTAGAGTTCGTTGAGCCCGATGAGCCCATATTAGAGCTCGATGACATATCAGACTGCTGACGAGACTCAAGAGTCCTCGTTGGGGCCGCCAGGGCCACGGTGAGAAAACTCAAAGCGATAGCAATTTTCATGATGCTTTTAGTAGCGAATGTAATCGAAGAACAAAGAAACGAGTGGAAAAAAGCGAGAGCGCAGCTCTGCAATGAAAACGACCGATGCTGGCGAGATGGAAAGACGAGAAAAGAGGAGGGGAGAATCCAAGCACGTTTATATGTCGTCGTGGATCAAAGCATCCTCTGGATAATGTTTTGGTGCGTTCCGTATCTTTTGGGACGAAACAGCGGAGATGTTTCATCGTTTGGCGGGACAGTTTGGTCGGTTGGATGGCACATGAATGTAGCCGATGATCTGGTATAAGTCTATTACTTTTAGTTACCTGACCTTTTATTGATCTGTCTAGATCTCTTCTATACTTCAATAAAGTATCATGACCAAGAATCCAGTCCGACTGGGAGTCTAGATCAACTGATACTGGTACCCTACGTATCTATCCGAGGTTTCACGCAGAAACGTCAAAACAACCAAAGTCAGGGCTGCGAGCCCTGTGGATCGCGAAGCGCCGGTTTCCCCGGGATCAAAATTTTTATAGTTATTTTTGTTATATCCATGACACAATCCGGTGGGTTGCACAACATTGGCGTCACAGCAGCCGAGCACACATCCACCAGAGCCCAGCCCGGTCCAAGCCCTACGGTCATCCAAGAATTGACGTGTTTGATAAATGGACAATTATGGTGTACTATGGACAATTCTGGAGACTATTCCACCCTCTTGGAATCCGACATTTTCGTCATCGAGTATTGACAACGAGCCATCGCTTGCCACCAAATGACCATGCCACTTGTGATGGTAAAGTAGGATCTTCCGGTATAGTAAGAATAGAAGAGAAATACCGAATAATTCTTATAGTAGATAATATATACCACGCAAAATAAATGGAAGAAGCAATATACCGAGATGGCTTGTTATGTCCTCCCGATGATCGATATGATCGACAATACAGACTCGGGTTAAGGGCGTAGACAGAATTCTCTCCTTTCTGCTCGCTTTGGGCTCTTCTTTATCTTCACCGGCCTAGCCAACAAACTGACTTGCTATGTCCCTCTGGCTCCTTCTCTGTCTTGGCTTGTTTCAGCGAGCACGAGCCCAGACCAACTCGACGGTTGGGATATCCTCTGGACCTGTCTTCCGACACTTTCGCCTCCCTAAGAGGCCTCGCGGTCGCGTATAACGCGTCTGGGCTCCCCGAGTTGGGCCATTGTCCAAGGCTTCGTCGTGCTTTCGGGAGAAGTTGGGCTGCAGACCAAGGATGACTGAATCTTCAAGGTCGGTCCGAAAAGCTTCATCCCCTGATTGAGGCGGACGCCATCAAGAATTCGGATGTGAGGCCGTGGAAAATCCAAGATTGGGCCAAAGCGGACTCCTTCATGAAAGGATTCACCTTGCTCCAGAGTACATGGGTGACCTGCAGTGTGATTCCACGTGCCGGTTATGGGCTGCCAAATACACCTCTGAAATTGCCATGGTTGCTTACGTTGCCTGTGCCACCGTGGCCTACACCCTGTGGTGGCATAAGCCGAAAGATATGATCTCGCCCATGACTATTTTCCTCCCCTATGATCGCCATGTGGAAGACATGCCAGACTTCGTTCGTGTTATCCTCGAGTCGAGGCCGAAGAACTGGGCCAGTTTGACTAATATTCTCCTCCAAGAAGAATCAACCCTCGTATGGAAGACCCTAGGTTTCATATGGGAGCTTGATGTCTTGATGTGGAACAAGGCCATTGCGTTTCTTTGACATCCTCTTGCAACATGCAGAAAAGAGAAGCCGGCAGATTCTCAACCACAAAAGTGCAATTACAGGAAGATTTACAACTCTCTGAACCTTCTTCCACCACGGACGAAGACGAGGAGACCTTGCCGGTGACTTGGGACGTCCTGTCCGATGCGTTCATTGCCGTTCCGGCTCTATTATACTGCGGGATTCATCTAGCGACGTGCGTCTATTCCCTCTCTCCATGACGCCTTGACCATATATTCCCTGGTACACTCTGCTAATACTAATGCTGAGCTCACAGGTGGCACTTCATTTTCCTAACCAAGGCTGAACAACTCAGCTGGCAGGTTTTTTTCCCTTGTCGCAACGGGCGCCTGTTGTGGCATATTCCTCGCTGCCGACTTGGGAGGCTATATAAGCTGGCATGTATCGGGAAGAAATTAACGTCTTGGCAGCCTGATCCGAACCATCTGCAGAGCTATGTCCTGTTCATCTGTGTTTTCGCCTACATGGCCGCACGCGTTGGACCATGATCCTCATGTTTATATCACTGAGAGCTCTCCTAGCTGGTTTGAGTGGTATTCGCAAGCAGATTACCTAGGTGGGATCAGATCAATCGGAGCATTTGAGTGTATATTAAATTTCTGCAGGACTTTGCCAACCAAGACAGCCATTGAGCGCCTCAACAGTGGCCGATCCAGTCTGGGGGGAGTCAACTATCGCTTTCATGAGATGGACTTGTCGGCCTAATAAAATGGTACACTCTGCCGGCCGTGAGACCTGCACCCAGAACATTAGTTGTTACACTTACCGAGGAACTGTTTCGCATGGAATTCCTCAAATGGATATAGAGCCTGGGGTTAATGCACCACCTACACCCCATCGAAAGCGAAGCAACCAGACCAGTGTTTTATGCCAAACGCTCGACGGGGATTAATTCAAGGCGGGCCAACCCTTGTTATCGAAAGCTGTCAGCGACTCATACTCCAAGCTCATGGGAGATGCGAAGTGGTTTGCGAATTCTTCTGGTGATGTGCGCATTGTTCTTTTGGTGGTGGTCGTAAAATCCATATATGTGAGGGTGGAAAAATGCCAACTTTTTCCTCCAGGCCCCCGGCCTAGCACCCGGGCATACATCGATCACCTCCGGGCACACACCACACAACCCTCCAACTGTCAGGTAACCCCCCACAAGCAGAGGAGGCTCATTCAGCACAGGAAGTGGTAGTGACTGCGACTACGGTCACCGAGGCACCCATGACGCTTCCTTTTACGGCGCTATGCGACCGCGCTCCCGGCCCTACTGAGGGGGACGTGGTAATAACTGCGCAGAGGTTTAGGGAGATAGTGCGGGAGACTCTTTGAGCGGAGAGAAAGAAGGAGCAACTTCATCCCATGAAGAAACCTCCAGTCGCAGATCTTCCCATTGAAGTTTCATTTATGTACTCTCGATCAGTCGCTGGAAGTGTGGGCTATTTCATCTTATTTCATGTATTGTCAGTCAGCTCCAGCCTAAGCCCCTTCTGGGCCATTGAAGACCTTCTCAATCTCCAGCCAATCCATATAATCGACTCCCGTTAACGGCAGGGTCGGATTGTGGAAACTCGAATATATCCCTTCCGCTTCACCAGACAGGTCTACCCCCCAGTCCCCTTGCATGTCAAACACCGTATCCGAACCGACAGACTGCTCCCATGGCTCGAAAAGTCGACTTTCATCGGGACAATACCGTTCTCGATCCGAGGCCACAGCATTATAACGAGGTGGTGGAGCTAGTGGATATTCCAATGGACTCTGCCCCGGGTCGACTCCTGGACTAGGGTTTGGTACTATATGCCCCGCACTTGGGCCCAATGGAGAACGCCCATGATTTGACGGAGTGACGTCGAAGCGATGGTCGGGCCATACATGTGAGCATGACTGGGCAATGTCCTGTAGGCGTTGCTCCGCGGCCGAGTTACCCGAGCGAGACAAAAAACGTAGCACAGAGAATGCTTGATTTAACGCTGGGGGCGGGTGTTTTTGCGAATTGTCTATGAAACCAACCATCACTAGGACGAAAGCAGCGGAGAATGTTGCGTCAAGGTCAAAAAACCCATATCGTGCTTAGACAGTCAGCCGCAAGTCCGATGATGAACAGCTCCCAGGCTAGAGGAGCGAGAGAAATGAAGCACAACATACGAATGGTTTGTTGCTTTTGAAGTACGTAAAGTATAGCCAGGCTTCGAGTTGCCGCTTCTTTACACGTATCACAGAGTCTCGCCAGTATGTCAGGCACGGGTTCTAGGGGACGTGCATTCTGCTGTCTCTCGACGTCTAAGCGAACCCTCCGCAGCAATATTGGTCGTGTACACAAGATGATGGCCTGCAAAACAAATTGTCAGCACATTCGAGGACCAAGACTTGCTTCAGTAGTGAAATTGACCTGAAACAGCATCAGGTATAACGATGAACCCGTGCGTGTTACCGACTGCAGTGGCCGGTTGAAGTCCAGAACCAGTGAATGGGGAAACGAGCGAACTGTGTTATGGAGTTCTTGGAGAGTGGACTGTATCTTTCTAACGAGCTCAAGTTGGCTGACGGAAGCATTGCCATACAAAGCTACAGCAGGTGGGTTAACACGTGGGTCTATAAAACATATCAGGCCTATCACCCACAAGACATGATCTCATCAGTGACACGCGCAATCCGGACATTGATCGTAATGGCCACCGGGGACGGGAACCCCAAGGCATGTCGAGGAAGCCCTGCACGGAGCTGCCGTTCATCGGCCCCCGCGGGCAACCCGAGACTCGATGACAAGCGTCTGCGCATATCAGAACTTGCCAGGGTCAGTCATCTAATACAGGGCCAATACCTATCTAGCATGTACACAGTCCACCACAGTCTCACCCTGTGCGCACTTTCGGATGGGAGACAGCCTTGTTCATTTTCTGGCAAGTTACACTCCAGGGCAATGGCTAGTCGTAGTGCAATCCCAATCTAATTCTAGTCAGAGACGATAGTCGGAGGCTTATTCAGGAAAAGGGTGGAATACATGAAGGTAAGCGTCGTGCTTTCGGTCGCACCATTGGAGATAGGTCGCAATCAAAGTGAGGATCTCAACTGTAATAACCCCCTCGCCTCCTAAAAGATGCAATGGAGGAAGACGCCGCAGGGCCTCTGCAAACAAGTCTGATCCGGGAGGCTGGCAGGTCGATTGCTCTACATCCATGAGTTTCGCCATCGCCATGACCAAGAGATATTCGGTGTACCAGGTAGTACGCTTCTGCTGTTCCCAGGTCTCGGGAGTCTGAAATAGTAGCACCATGGAATCGCAGAAAGAACGCGGATCAAAGAAGTGTTGGTTGACGCCAAGATAGAAGAGAAACTTATCGAGTAAATGATGTGACTCCTCTAGCGATGGAATCGTTGGTTCGTCGGCATCATTGACCAGCGTCCGGGCCGATGTCCATCGTGGTCCAGACTCGCGTGGACCTCGATGGCTGGGATGCATCCCGGACGCCGGGGACACACATGGTTTCGATCTATCAAGGAGGTATTTGACTTGAGATTCGAACGCGGGCCCCGATGTCAGGTCCGTTGCTTAACGGGCGATCAGTTGTATGTGGGCCACTTGACGGGAGCCGATTTACCTGGACTGATCCCTGCAATGCCATCCTCACAGGAGAGATTTTCTTGCGGCTGAGGCTGATTGCTGGTCACATTCCAAGCCGGCGTTACAGGCTCCGATTGTTGGGCAGAGCGATTCGGGCCTATATCTGGAGCAGTCGGTGAAGGAGCCGATGGTCCTAGTATGCGTTGGCATTGATCAATCGGAATATAAACGATAGATTTTCACCTACCGACGGATTCGGATCCATAACGCCCCTCGAATGATCGAATCTTGTCTAGTAGAAGCTTCACATAGCTAGACGAGAATCAGCATTCGCCCGTCCCAGCGCCCACAGCAAAGACCTACGCTTCCGAGTATCGTTTGCGGCCACTACAACCGAAAGAACAATCCCAGCCATGTTTGACGCAAGCGACGCAGGGGTGCTCACCGGAGCATTTTACCTTGCGTCGGCGACATGACTCACATCTGGGCTGACATTATCACCATGCTCTCCGGCAAAATACAATGAATCCAAATGCAGGACCAACATACGCAGAAATTGATCGGGGGTTTGAGGCCACCATGGTGCGCTAACTGCGCTGCTGTAGCAGTGGACTTGATCCACTGCCAATCTACAAGGATATTATCTGTGGGTTGAACACTTTATCGTGCCGGTTCGGATGAGATGCCGTGGAGCGCTTTATAATCCACGATGTTCTCACGTGATGGTGAGAGGAGAAATCCCCGTCTCTCTGTTTCTTTCATTTGAAATCAGGAGATCATTTAGTTCAGTTTTCTTTCATTTGGAAACACAGAGAAGTGGTTGTACCATTAAAGCCTTTCATGCGGCTGTAGACTGGCCCTTTGGGTCAACATCTTGCAGACATCCCTGGTGATGGTCAACGGTGACTCTGTTTACCTCGCCAAAAGGGATGTTACTAATGGTTCGGCTCTGTCCCGAAGACGAGTGCCTCGGATCTGTCACCGAAAAGGCGCGTTTAGAACAACATTGACAAGGAAAGGGCATCTTTCTTGCTCAGGTTACTAAAAATTAATCCAACGATTTTGCAATTGGCTCGGATATCCTGACATACACGGCCTGTCACCGAAAGGGCGGGGAGTATCAATCATGCATAGCAGCCTATTGCATGGATTGATATAAGCTCCATAGAGTTGGTAGGGAACTTCTTTTGACAAGATCCTAATACCAGGAACGCGGGAACTACATTGAAATCCTCTAAATGAACAATGTGTTGTCCTGTGTTTTAGAATGGATGCCATCAGATTCAGGCCTCAACAGTCAGCTGACTAATGCGAGTGTAGGAACGCACGGGCGTGTAGCCTGAGGCTTCCATGGGTCAGCTGACAAACTCACATGGACTGCTTAACAGATGCCTCTACAAGACTGCCAGCATGTACAAAAGACACATAATATTCCAATAATAAATATAGTCTGAGTGTTATGGCTGACTATCGCTGCTACATAAGCGGAATTCAAGCCATCGGTAAAGTACTCCGTAAGTCGAAAATATATATCCGAACTAATCCTGTACAGAAGATAGCAGAGCCAGGCCAAAAAGAGAGGAAAGTCCTTTCTTGCGCCAGACCTATCTCCTCATACCCGCGACCAACAATGGCACACATCCAGTTTCACAGGGACCATCCAGGTTCAACCCGACGGTTGCACAAAACTCCTGAAACGCTGGACCAATCGAATACGGAAAGGGACCAACCAGGCGATTGGCAGCAATTGATTGATGTCCCTGCCAAGTCTGACAAGCCCCCACGATGCCGAAGGGCTAGGCGCCGGATGAGATGGAGAGATGATTCTATATCTTGGGACACTCCAGCAAGATCTGGCCCGTTTCTTCTTCTCTTCTTTTTGATTCCTTTCTTTCAGCAGTCGTTCATTACCCTTCCTTTCTTTCATCTCTGCTGAGCAGAGTCTTCTTTTTTTTTTTTTTTTGACCTCTTTGTCAACATGCATCTAAATCTCTCACATCTCGCCCTCCTGCCGCTGGTAGCCGGCCACACCACCTTCACCAATCTATACGTCAACGGCGTCAATCAAGGCGATGGCGTCTGCGTCCGTATGAACCGTGACCCCGAAACTGCCAGCTTCCCTATCGAGCCCGTGACCGACAAGGCCATGGCCTGTGGTAAGTCTCATCTCTCATTGCTCCGAACCGGCCTCTCTTACACCGTCCAAATCAGGCTACGACGGGGAGAAAGCGGTTTCTCGTGTCTGTCCCACCAAAGGCGACGATCTACTCACCTTTGAATTCCGCGAATATGCCGACGGCTCTCAGCCCGGGTCCATCGAAGACAGCCACAAGGGCCCCTGCGCCGTCTACATGAAGAGGGTCAACGATGCGACGGCAGACAACAACGCCGCCGGCGATGGATGGTTCAAGATCTGGCAGTTGGACTACGACACATCCGATGGCAAATGGTGCACGGAGAAACTCATCGACAATAACGGCTTGATCTCCGTCCATGTGCCCCCGGACTTGCACCCGGGGTACTACCTCGTGCGACCGGAGCTATTGGCCCTGCATGCCAGTGCGGATTCCCCGCCCGATCCGCAGTTCTACGTCGGCTGTGCGCAGGTCTTCGTGCAGCAGGGTGGCACCGCCGAGCCCCGCGGGGTGCATATCGGAGAGCATACGTACGATCTAGATATGCCTGCCTTGACGTACAATATCTACCAGGAGCCCTTGGCGTTACCGTATCCCATGTTCGGGCCCGAGGTGTACCGTACTAAAGGAAACCAGCGTCGTCGCGATGCCAACAAGCTCGTGCAGGACAAGGGTCGTCGGCCGGACGGGTGTATCTTGGTGCGTGATAACTGGTGTGGCTTTGAGGTGCCTTCCTACAACGACGAGAACGGATGCTGGGCGGTAGGTTCCCTGATGCATGAGTTGGCGATAAATAATATCAAGCTAACGGTTGCTGCTGACTAGTCTTCCCAGAAATGCTGGGACCAGTCCGACGTCTGCTGGAATACAGCCCTCCCGACTGGAAACGCGGCGTGCAATATCTGGCAGGACAAATGCACTAACATCGACGATTCCTGTCGCAGCGGTGACTGGCATGGTCCCCCCAACCAGGGGAAGGACCTGACCCCGGTGCCCAAGGGCCCTGCGGGCTCGCTCGATGTCTTTGAGCAGTAGAGCGGCATCCATTATGAACCTAAGGCTATCTAGAGAAACTGGCTAGTTATTTAGAATGCAATTCATTATCTATCACATATATGCACAACCATATGCTCTAGGTATATAATACATGTTCCAGTCAGGTCATTTCTCATCAATCATGAAGGCTTCGCCTCGTCTCATCCGGTCCCTCCAGTGCGCGCAGTTCAATGGAGCCGGTCTTGACAGCGTCCGGCGGTGCCTCAGTTGGCGGCTTCTGCGCAGGTTCCGTAGGTTCCGCAGGCTCCTCGTCCACAGCGTAGCGCCAGCGTCCGTCGGGACCCAGGAACATGCGGAACCCATACCGCTTGTCCAACCGGTTGAGGTACTCCCTCCGACGCCGGGTCGTCCATCCGTTCGTGCCACGCAGGTCCTCGCGCATGCGGCTGTTAGCTAGCCAGGGGATCACACTTCCAATCGACCGCGGGATGCGCGGTCCTCGGAACCGGCCACGACGCATACCAAAAACCACCAGCACGACCAGCGTGTCGAGCGCAATGATAAGCAGCGCGATCACCAGGGATGGCACCGACGGCACCATGGCCCATGTGTTGTAGATCACTGTGGCGTTGGCCGCCGTTGGTTGATTCTTCAAAGGCTGCAGATAGTTCGCCCGCCAGAGGGAGAAGTAGGTGCTGTAAACCCACTGGTAGACAATCTGCGACATGTGCGTGAGATCCTCCGCCACCAGAGGAGTCAGACTCGTCTCCTGCTGCTTGTACAGGCGTGCCACAAGGAAACCAGCCCAGTCGTATGACGAGACATACCCCTGGTGAGCGTCCGGATCGTCGCCCGCAAAACTCTGCGGTATCGCGGCAAATACCTTGTTAAACTGGCCTAGGCTGATCGTGGCGTTGTCGTACATGGGCCCGCCAGTGATCTCGGTGCCGGAGACGGGCGAGTGCTCCTGGATGCTACCCTTTCGGTTAAATTGCAGGTCGAACTTTTTGATTCTCACGCGCGGCTCGCAGTGCAGTCCAATGGTGTTCACGTCGGTCACGGGGGCATGTGCCGTGTAATTCCAACGCCCGACAATCACCGTGGTCAATGTCTGGCACTCGTCCGGGTCCTCCTCCGCAACCGGAGAGAGAAAGTGAATGGACAGGGCCACATTCCACTTATTGTGCGTGAGTGGGCCCATGTTCGCCATGCACACTCGACTCGTATTCTGGAATGGATGGTATTTCCAGGCGAGATCCCCTGTGCGCGGGTTGGTCACCAGGTTGTCGGCAAGGGAGAGTTGCCGGCATTCAAGCTCAGCCCCGATCCCCAGAGTTGTCGCCCCATAGAGAGCATCGCTATCGCGATTATTGATTTTTAGGGGCACGAAGGAGTAATTGGCGCTCGTCCACGGTAACATTGGTACACCACTGGTGATGCTGGTTTGGATCAAATCATACTCGGTGAAGTCGGCCGCAAAATCAGTCCGGCGGAAGATCGATTCGCTGTAGTTGGTAACAATCGTTTTAGTGGGGAGGCATGAGGTAGTCAGCTGCTGGGTGAATAGCCCACCCGCGACCACCGTGAGGACGGTATTTGCGGCGCAGGCCAAAGACACCAGGCCCAACAGCGCATGGCGGTCGCGAACGGTTTTGGGTAGCACCGCCCACGGATTTTGGGCTGCGTAGTTCATGGACAAAGACGATCGTGCCGTGGCCATTCCCCGTTGCAGATAGACCCATGGTTCGAGGATACTGATGTTGCGATGGATCGAGTTGCAGAGCGCGCCAACCGCGGACGCGACCAATGACGGCATGAACGAGAGCATAATCTGGAAGAAACTAGAATCGGACTGCGTGAGGTGCTGGAAGCTGCCATCGCGGGCTAGCGACGCAATGATCAAAGACATCACGGCGATCACGGCGGCGAGGAGGAGGAATTCAACTATAAATATGGGGATCACCAAGAAATGCGGGCGAGGATCCACCCGCGTGCGCATTTGGTCTCCCAGGCTCACCGGCGAACCTGCAATCTAGTTAGCCGGGGGGAAGGGAATGAAAGGGAAAAAAGAAGACTTACCATCATTGGTTACAAGGTCAACTCGCCGTCCTAGGGGGCCGTGGGACCAGTGAAGTCGGTAGTTCCGCAGGTGCATGCGCAGCTGGCGGGTTGAGAACTGATGAAAGTCGGAGGACGGGTCGGCTAGAATATTGGTAGGACTAAACACGTCCGTCACCATGCTACACATAGCACCGATAGAGCCGGGGTCGCCCTGCAGAATGTTCGCTCGGCTGCGGTAAAAGAAGACCATGGTCAGCGTCATGAGAGTGCCCAAGGCCAGGATGACCTCAGAGCCCAGAGCGGCGAAGTTGACCACGGCGATAGCAACTTGGCGCGTTAACTGCAACGCTGGTATCACCGTGGGCGGCACATCGGGATTGAAGAGGCGATTCATAGTGAGAATAAAGGTCTGTCGGGCGCCGCGCATGACCTTGTTTTTAAACTCATCCTGGTCCATCATGGTCGAGTCGTCGAGCACGATGACAGGCTCGATATCGCCCATGTTCTGACTGATCACGGGGAGTTGGGTAATCAAGCGGTCGTCCACTGTGTGATTGTATTGCATAAAGATAATATCACTGGTGTAGGGTGCACGATGGGCGAGGAGGCTGCGAAATTCATCGACATTAAACTCGCTGTGGTTCAGTGGCCGGTCTGTCCCATTAAACAATTTAATCGACGTGATGGAACTATTGGCATGCATGGAGATCGCGGCTTCGGCGCGCTGGTAATCCAGGCTACAGGCAAACATGGTGGCCGAGGACGTAAATTGGGGTGCCAGGTCGGTGATGGCTTCGGCGTGTCCCTCTGTCGCGTTTACCGAGATGAGCACGCCGTACAAATCAAACGGGTTGCAGCCGCGAGCCGTAAAGGCCCTTCTTCTCTTATCTGCACGGGCGGTTCGATTGGAGAGTACAGGTTCCCAATAGCGGACCTGTAAGAAGTCGGTGGCCGGAAAGAAAACGCTCTGGTAGCTAAAGTCTAGTGAGCATTCATGGGCATCCCCGTCGGGGTCTTGCAGCTGCAAGCCGGTGACATCCCACGAAAGGGTGGGGAGTTTCGGATCAGTTTGGTTGATGGTCACTGACAAGCTGTCATTGGTGAGCACGTTGCGGCACGAAGGATGTACCCAGTAGACGGTCTGGTTGACAGTCCAGACGGTGGTTTCACGGTGGTCATCCCGGGGGATCTCAACGGGGGCGATTGCATAACGGCTTGAACGGGTGGTTCGAAGACTGTCATCGCCGCCGGCCAGCTGGAGGCTGGCCTCAAACCCGGTCTGTTCCTGGCTGGATATCCACCGCCCCTGCGTATCAAGGTCCACGAGTTGCGGCCACGTTTTCATCTCTTCATTTTCCAGGACTGTCACCTCACGCAGTTCCAGCAGGGTGCTCTGCATGGCCGGCAGTAACATACGAATGAGCAAACTGAGGATTGAGACCAATAGAACAGCCCAGTGGCCGCGCTTTGCAGATGTCAGCGGCGTGATCACGGTCTGACCGAAGTTGTAGTTGATGAAGAGGACGGAGGCCGGGGCACCTTCCGGTCGGGAAAGTTGGAAATACGGTTCGAGACGGAGGACATCGAAGTCAATGAAAGACCAGAGGATGACAAGGACTAGGGCAATGATGATCGGAACGTAATTGTAGGCGAATGACTGGAGATCGGAGACATCGTCCGTGTCCTCCATGAGAACCAGGCCCCCATAGTGTTGGGTGTATCGACGCATCCCCTCGAGGATGACGAGCATGAGGAGCATTATGATGGCAATAATGGAGAGATATAGGGGACGTAAGGCGAACGGGCGCCATCCCTCCTGCCGCGATCCATCAGGTCCAGGTAGCGGTGGATGTTGCGCTGGCAGACGACGTCCTATTGAAAGGCAATTTGCCGACCGGTCAGTCGCGGTCTCACAAGTAGACAGTGACAATAGACTGGGGAGGGTTACCGATGACTGGCAGCCAGATCTCGCGCAATTTCTTCATCGGATGCCAGGGCATGCTGGACGGGAAGACCCGTGGACAGGCGGCGTCGAGCGGGCGAGGATGCTGAAAGCAAAGAGCGATGGCATCACCGGTGGGTGCGAACAGGATAACAGGCGAGGATCACGCCAGTGAACATGGTCTTCAGCCACAGAGGATCACTAAGGAATGAATCTCGCATGACTGATGGGGGATTATAAAAGAGACAAAGGAATGATATGGCAGGAAGGAGATAGCTATGATAATATCATAGTTAGCCGGTGGGGAGACAAAGAGCAAGAGGCTCAGAGAGACAGTGAGTGAAAAGGTGACGACGCACGATGGAGACTCGGATTAACTGTAAGCCTCCCCGTCTTGGATGGGTGGGCCTTCGTGTTGCACTTTTGCCTGTTTGGGTTGGGTACACGAAGAAAGAGGGCCTTCTTATTGGTGGAAGTAGGCAAGCCTCGGGCAGGGTGACCAATCATTGCTATTTGGCCCTCCAAATCGGAACAAAGAGGAGGTTCCGAAGGCTACTGATTGGCAGATGGTACTGGCACCATACTGTTTGGGCGTTCCTGCTGCCCCTGTCAGGATAAGCGCCATGGGTGGCGTGGCCTGATCTAGTTAGACAGGTCCACCGCCGGAATGGAAAGGATTCTATCTACAGGGTATGGAGCTTGGACATCAGCGTCAGGAGATAAGCATTCGTGTCATCGATTGGGAAACATGGCTGGACCTTGATACCAAGGTTGACTACCATCATGGGAGCGACCGAGTCTATTCGACATCAATTACGGATTGGAGGGTGACATATATATTTTGCACGTGACGTGTCCTGCATTCCTTAAAAACTACGAAGTCAATCCATGGTGCTTATTAGCTATCATATCCACGCGATCACATCGCCTAGCATCGGAAACAACATCCACAATACTAGTCTCAAGAGTATTGTGATGTCGCACCCTTCTCCTACTACGCCGCCTTTACTTCCGTCGAAACTCCAACGTCCGGTCCGTCGGCCGATGCCGTAGTTGCTGGTGGCTGTGTCGGTGATCCCTTTGCTTCCATATCGCCTTGTTCCAGCCTCTGCACCCGATTGGTCGTGATCTTCGTCTTCCATGGCGTGGTGCCTATGTACTGGATGCCATTAGGGTCCTCGAACATGGCCTCGGTTTCTTCCAGTGTCTTGCCGGCCGTCTCGGGAAACAGGAAGAAGGTGTGGATGAACATGGCGGTGTTGAAGACCCCGAAAATGATGTACGTCTTCCAGTGGATATTGGCGAAGGCTGGGGGCGTGAACAACCCTAGCGCTGTGTTGAAAGCCCAGTTACCGGACGTCGCCAACGCCACTCCTTTGCCACGAAGACGAAGAGGGAAAAGCTCCGGAGGGTATATCCAACTTGCCGGTCCCCACGTTGGAGCATAGGAGGCCACAAACAGATAAGTACAAGCGATCAAGCCCTTGGCCGCGCTGCCTCTCAGCCGCATCGACTGCTGGGGGACATGATCAATTCCTCCCGGGACAACCTCGCCATGTGCCGCCATGATACCGGCGTTGGCATACATAAAGGTGGCCATCAGCACGGCACCAATCAGCATGGTCGGCCGTCGTCCCCATCGGTCAATCCATACCAGCGCTGGCAGTGTCATCAAGACATTGATGATGTATTGGATCGACGATGCCAGCAAGTTTGCATCCCCCGAGTAGCCAGCCATGGAGAACACATATGTGATATAATACACTGATTTTGATTAGTCGGACAACAAGAAAAGCAGTGTATATGCAAATGACTTACTCATGACATTCATGCCCGTCAACTGGGACCAGACTTGAGTGAAGAGACCGATCAGGGTACGGTTGATCATTGTGGGAGTGAAAAGGTCCAAGTAGGTCACGTTCTTGAAGCGGCGTTCCAGCTCGCACATGTTGTGGATATCGTCCAATTCCAGCCCAACGAAGGGGTGGTTCATGTCCCCTTTTGCATGGACCAGGGCTAACACCCAGTGACAATCTTCCCAGCGGTCCTTCCGTGCCAACCATCGGGGCGACTCAGGCAGTAGCAACATGGCGCCGAAGAGAAAGACGGCAGGGATCATCTGTAAACCCCATGGAATACGCCAAGAGGCGGTATTGTAGCCCGAGGCCTTCTGCTCGCCGATGAAGGAGCAGCCGTACGAGATGCTATGCAGAGCAGCCTTGTTAGTACGAGGAGTTAGACTCGAATGGGACCAGGGAAACTTACTAGAACATGATGAGAATGCCCCAAGTGATGGCCCACTGCTGGACACCGACCAGACGGCCACGCTTCGATGGCGGGGCCAGCTCACTGATATAGACGGGAACTTGGGCAGATTCGATACCGACCGCTAGACCGTTGATGATGCGACCCACGATGAGCATGCCGATGTTCTGCGAGGCGCATATCAGGATTGATCCTACCATCCTGCACTATGTTACCAGCCTGAGACACGAAATTGCTTGGTCACCTACCAGATGACACAGCCGACCATGATTGATGTCTTGCGACCAATGCGATCAGACAGGGAACCGGAGATGAGCGCACCCAACCAGGAGCCCGCAGCCATGGCGGCCGTGATGCCTCCCTGGGTGAGGGACTTGGGGCCGGAGCAGTCCTCGTCATCGGTGAACGGAGGACCACTGGGTCCCTGGTTGAAGTAGCACTTGTAAGAGTTCTCATTCAGCTGGGCTGACATGGACGAGATATCGAACCCAAAAAGGGCGCCACCGACAACGGCGACGCCCGCGATCACATAGATGTTGCCAATCAACATGATGAAGAGATAAGGGGGAAAGAAGAAGAGGACGAGGAGGAGGAGGAGGAGGAGGGAAAAAACAAACCAAAGAAAGAGGGGGAAGAGTCGCCGGGCTGGCATAAATAAACAGGAGGGGTTTGACCTGTGGAGGCTTCAACGCTGTACACAGTAAGCCCACACATCCATGTCCCAGTTTCCCCGCCCTCGACAAAGAAGGGTCTCCTCCACATTGTGCAACTAGAGCTGACCTTTCCTGAGGCGTTGGATGGACGAATGGATTGACATCCCGGATCACGAACCACGAGTTAGTGATCCTGTGCACCTATCTGACGCCTCCCGCCGCATGGCTTGCCGCCAACAGTGTTTAGCTGGAGCCAGGAAGCTTATGACCATCCCAGACTTTCATCTTCCAATCCGGAGGCAGTGAAGTCACTAGGATGCGGGGATATGATTCGATGGACTCCCCGGACCAGACCCTCCACTCAGCCTGCAGGACCATGATCGATAGACGGATGGATGGGTGGATCCATCATGGATGGAGATGAATCCACTCCAGAGGATATGATGGGGAGTTGTCACGATGATCGTTCCCAACTCGGGGTTGGTGGCCGACGAAGTTGCATCATGGGGTCTAGCGTTGCATTGGCTGGAGGATGGACGGATTCGCCGGGGATTGGCTAAAGGGGGGTTTTTGATGCATCAATCCTGGTCTGTGGTATCAGCCACCTCCTCTCCATTTATCAGTCCTTATGCCATGAGAATCGGGATAACCAACAAGACTAGGACCGGGAGTCGGCTGAATGGACGCTCGATCTTCCCACTGTACCTACCTATCCAGCTGTATGTACTTTCTTCGCAGGGATCCTCATGGTCACATACACCGTCTAACCATCGGTGACGCTATTCAGAGTAATCCGGGGAATTCTTTCGCCAAGGACTGGTCTCGACAAGGCCCAAGCCACCAACGCTTATCCTCCCCTTAGTGTAGATCTTCAGGAGCGTTGTATAAATCGTCTACAAGAATATCTTCAGTATGAGCTTGCAAGGTTAATTCGATACAAGCAGCTGATGGAAGGTCGTTATACTGGACGAACTTTCGATGCCCATTTATATCACTGCCTGCTTGACAGACTTGAAGCATGTCGCTGATATCTCATGGCATGGAATGGATCAAATGTACAAATCTACACCACTCTATCACGTCTATTGTTCGATTCGCGGCCACAAACCATCCCTCGTCCCGGGATCTAGTCCCGGTATCCCTCAATCGCCATCATGACCCGAAGAAGTCTACATCCTAGTCAGTCCACATCCATGCAGCTCCAGAAGAAAATCATACAATGTTGCCAATCCGACCCAGGCGCATATCAGAGCCCATCGATCTACACCTTTCATCCTCGGGACATACGACTTTCGCTCCGACAGCCAGTTTATCAAAGGCGCTGGTACTGTCCAGAGGACTCTTAGAGTGTCCAGGATAGCCAACGTGCCGATGGTAGACCAGGCACGGAGCGATTCTGATTGCACAGCTTGAGGATCTCCAGTCCATCGATAAGCAGATCCCAAACTGCCTATCGTGATCTCCGGTCTCAAATATGCGAACCGCCAGTCAGGTCAACCGAAACATACCGCAAGATAAACCACAGGATACTGCCGCTGATACTGCATCGTCATCCTCACTAGGAAAGCCAGCGATAGACAACACACGGCACCAGCGGCACAATGGCGCCTCGTGAGGAAACCGAGGACCAGAGGGCATGATTGCGAACGTCCGTTTTTTTGCTCTATGTTTTTTGTCTGACTTACCTCTTGGAACTATGAGTAACTGGCCGGGATCTTAGATCTTTTTCTTTGACCCAGAGTAGCAACGCCACAAGCGCGCACAGGCCTTTGAAGGCCGAATCATTGGTGCTTTGTTGAGTGTACCGCAGCCATGGTGTGTCAGTATTCCAAGTTATTTTGACGGGGGTATTGAGCTTGGTTGGTGGGTAAATTGGCACCAGGGACTCGTGGGGTATGTGACTGCTTCCGGAATATGATACATCATATGCGGAGACTGGTGACGCGTCGTGTCGATCACTTCGGATATAAGTATATGGATGGAAGACTCCGTAAGCCAGAAAAGTATCTCATTCAGCTATCTTAGTATGTACCCAAATCCTTCGCATTTACATGACGTCCCACTCCCCCGACATTCACGCAACCTGTCGCTTCTCCGCCGCATCGTACAGGGCCTGGATATCATCCTTCCACTGATCTCTATTTACGCGTTTGACTCTGCGATCGTATGTCATGAGCCCGTTGACCTCACCTTCAACATCCGTCGTCTGTGTCCACACGCCCCCACTGCAATCGAACCGACGCACTTGATCCAGAAGCTCTGAAAGCAGAACGTGGCTGCGGTAATTCCATGCGTCGAGCGTCTCGTCGATTTCATACGTCTGGTTGATGGCGTTGATGGCTTTCTGGTCATTCCAGAGACTATTCCCGTCAGCACCGTGACAACGTTACAATTCTGGAGACAGGTTGAGACTCACTTCTCGATGGACACGTTATGACCAATTCCACCGAATTCGCCCTGGAAACCAATACGACTGGGATCGTGGGGTGCAGATTGCAACGAGTAGAACGGGGTCCCGCATTGGGGATTGGCGTAGTGATGGTTGTCCTGGACGAGTGAGATATCAAGCTGAGGCGACGATGATGGGCCGGACTTACGCTGAAATCACCCGCACCGTGGTCTACCCAGCCAGAGGTGGCAATTACGAGCCGACTGGGATCTAGCTGCTTCACCCGCTCCGTCAGTGCAAACTCGGGGTACCCCTCGATGACCTGTCCCCAGCCTTCATTGTAGATGACCTGAACACGTCAGAGGCAGTTATACGGTAGTAGGAGGGAACTCACCCAGGCGGCGATACTCGGATGGCTCTTGAATTGGTTCACCAGAAGTTCCAGCTGCCGGCTGAACTCCTTCTGCGCCTTGGCATCAGGCAGGATGGTGACGCTCTGACAGGATGCATTGGTTGTGTACTGCAAGGGCCGCGGGGAGGGCATATCCTGGATGACCAGCAGACCCAACTCGTCGCAGGCGCGGTAGAAGAGATCGGACTCGACTTTGATCTGTGGGCACCGTCAGTGTCATGCCATTCTGTCCTATGCGATATACTTACGTGCTTCCGCAGCATGTTGAAACCCAGGTCTTTCAACATCTCCAGATCATACACCATAGCCTTCCGATGCGGTGGTGTGTACAGTCCATCCGGCCAGTATCCCTGGTCTAGTGTACCGAACATGAAGAGAAGCTCGCCATTCAGCAGCGGACGCCACACGCCATCAATCTTTCCCTTGGATATGGTGCGGAAACCCGTGTAGCTGGTGACCTCGTCGTCGCCCATCTTGACGGTGACATTGTAAAGCGTCGGAGAATCAGGGCTCCACAGGTCGACCTCACCGACCTCGAACTGGAAGGGTGTGTTGGAGGTACCGTGGTGGAAGGTCAGCTCGTCCTCGGCCTCGTGCACGGCAACCATGACAGGGGTGCTTTTTCCGCTATGCACCGTGACATTGACTGCGGGGTTTTAGCACGACAACCAACTTCCCATCAGCAGAACTACGTACCTTGGCCTTCCATATTAGCATGCAGGTCCAGCCCGGTGATAAAGTTCTCTGGCGCTAACTCAATCCAGACACTCTGCCAGATTCCACTGCAAGGGGTGTAGAAGATATGCGAGGGGTTCAACGTCTGCTTCCCAATGGGAACCACATACGAGTCACTGTCGGTGGGATCGTGTACGAAGACGAGGCTATCCGATCAGCTCAAGACAGTCAACGTTCTCACGGGGCAAACTCACAGCTCGTTGGTGCCGCCAAACTTCACATGCGCCGTGATGTCAACGGTGAAATGAAAATATCCGCCGCGATGGAAACCCGCCTGCTTGTTATTAACAAACACGGTGGCCTCGTAGTCGACGGCACCAAAGTGCAGCAGCACATGTTGGTTGCTCCAGGATTTAGGCACGTTGAATTGATTCTTAAACCAGGAGTAGAGGGTGTTTTTGCCCTGGATGCCTGTTGCATGGTGAGCTAATATGTCATGGCGCAGGACCCAGAACAGACTCACCGGACAATGCACTCTCCAGACACGATGGGACCAGCACCTCGTGGGTGAGCGGCTGTCCGAACGGAGGAGAATTGACGGCCTCGACGTTCTCCGCACGCTTGTACTGCCATAATCCATTCAGATTCTGCCATGTGGAGCGTTGGAGCTGTGGACGAGGATACTCAGGCCACGGATTAGTGCCCACGGCATCCGTCCAAGGTGTATCCAGAGGGGGGGTTTGACGTTCATAGGGGATTGGCTTTCCGGTGCCAGTCGTCGCGGGGGCTGCCCATGAGCGAATGGCCAGGGTGGAGAGAAGATACAAAGTAATCCAACGCATTCTGTCGCAATCAGGCCGAATAAAGCGGAACTATCGGACCAGGACGAAGGCAAAGAACGACGAGGAAAGCCACATGAAGACTTGGACTGGAGAGCCCGGTGAGATTTATACTCGCCCAGACCAGACAACCTCACGCAGGGAGGTAGGAAATTGCCGGTACACCGCCATGACAGTGAGCGAAACGATTCCATCCCCCGCATAATGGAGACTTGCATCTCGCTTAGCATCATCTTGTAGATATCGGGACGGAGAACCCCGCAATAGACAAAGAAGAAGAGATGTTGGGCAGCTCTTGGCGGTGCTAGCCTGGTGGAGAATTGTCTATTTCCCCGGATTTCTACCAGTGATGAGACCGGCAGATCTGTTGGATGATATCATTGTGATGGGAAATGCTACTTTATCGGTGGTTTAGTAGTATAGACCATGCTTAGCGTCCCGTAGATGGCATGCGGTCGTGTGCTGCGTGATTTACACGGACCAAATCCACAGAATCCACCAATCTGCCTTCTGTATACTAGTTCTAGGTCGCGTTAGCGTGAGTCTCTTTCTCTGGTTCATTGGGACTACAATCTGAATCCCAACCATCTAGGCGGCATAATCTCAACAAGCCCACAGATCTCCTCATCTTACGCCAATCACGCACCGCTTGGCTTCAAGAGTATGGACCCTCATCTGGAGACAGGTGCATGGCCAAGTGCCAGCCTGTCAGTCAGTCAGACACTCAATCTCACCTATTGATCCGTGGCTTGACCGCTCCTTCACTGCTGGCAGAGTCTGACAGGTCATCTGGGCGGGTTTATGCAGGCAAGGGAATCTCCACATTCTTGGCGGTCTGGGCCATCGAATATTATTAAATGGAGTAGGTCCAAGGATGATAGGAATATTCTGGAAATGATTCCTGGCTTTCTTCCGAGGCAAGGATGGTTCAGAGCTCTGGTTGCACAGCGCCTGAGCTGCATGCATCGAAGCAGGAACTGGCATTACTGGGATCATCTACCGGAGTCAACAAAGAAATAAAAATACAGCTAAAAAATCAAAATTTCATCGAGTATACGACGCTCCTATCAATTCCTAATGTATATCACATTCCTGACATAATCCTTCCTGACATATCCTATCATTGTAGTGTTCGCAAGTTAACCTGCATTAACAATCTTCATCAACTGGTCCAACGACCCATTGAATATGTCCGAATCGCCGCCATACGCGTACTTGTCCGAATTCTGCCAGATGGTATACGTGGGCCAGTCCCCAGGGATATTTGTCGGCGCCGAACTGCTATACTTCGCCAGCACCAGGGGAGTCTTGTTGCCGAATCCTTTAGCATTGCCGGTGCACTTGGTCCACCAGTCGGTCGTTGTGTAGAGCAGGGGATACACGCCGGTTTGGCCGTGGTAGGTATTGATGAAGTCGTTCACCCAGGCGACCATGGCGGACTGGCTGAGTCCATAACACGTGGCACCGTAGGGGTTGTATTCGATGTCCAGCATGCCGGGCAAGGTGCGGCCATCCTTGGTCCAGCCGCCGCCGTGCGCCAGGAAGTATTTGGCCTGCGCTGCGCCCGAGGACTTGTTCGGCAGCGCGAAGTGGTAGCCGCCGCGCAGCAGTTTGGCATTCGATGCGCCCTGGTAGTGAGCATTAAACTTGGGGTCTTGGAACCCGGTCCCTTCGGTGGCCTGGTACGGTCAGTGGCTTCCAGCAGTTCGGACCACGGGGAGGACTGCCTACTTTGATGGAGACGAAGCGAGCACCGCTTTTGTAGGCCGCATCGAAGTTCACCGATGCCTGGTGGTTGGAGATGTCGAAGCCCTGTACCGTGGCGGCCTGAGACACCTGGGCCACGCTCGACACGAGGGCCGCCAGAGTAAGCGCATGGATTTTCATGATGATGCGATGAGATTGATAGACGATGAGATGGCGATGCGATGAGCGGGGAATGGGGACGAGAGAAGAGAGGGGAGCACTGGGTTTATATGGAGCTTCTGCAGGACTGAGGGCTATTTTTGAGGGCTATTTCAAGGTTAGTCCTAATTCAGTCCGCAGCAGAACGGAGATAAGGATTTTCCCCTGAACACGAATGCAACCTGTGAATTCAGGAATGGGGCTATTGGAGAAGTACCGGAGGGGCTTGTGCTGCCTGGCTCCCCATGCAGAGATTCTTGACGATCGATACTGCAAGGCGTAGGGATCGCTGTTCCTGAGCTGCACCCCGAGTCGGTTAACACGGGGCCAAATGACGGGCCGTGATTGCTGGCGATCTTCAGTAGAATACGAGACGGAAAGCGAGCGGCGCCATCTTCGACTCGGCCCTGACGGGAGATGTGCGTTCAGACCGTCTGTGTTCTATCTATAGATCGTCCTGTATCATATTCGAGTCTACCTCGGTCGGACCCAGGATTGATTCCAGGACATGCTCTGGCAGATACGAGATGGCATGCAGCCACGACAGGGGCCGGATTGGATGCAGGCCTTTTATTAATCACGTCACTCCAACCAAGGTCGCAGGTCCTCTGGGATACGGACCTTGGCTGAAACGGCTTGATAAATTCGTATTTGAGATGATCCGGGCGACCGTCTATCTCCGCCAGCGAAGATATTGGACCCAGTAAGTGATGCTATTCGGTGACACCGTCTCGTATGAAGGTTACAGCAAAGAACACATCTTCTGTATACATCGAGGATGCTGAGAATCATAGATGAGAGTGCATTTTATAGAAACAAACCGATCGTTCCCCAGAACAATCCCACGTGGCGAGCTTCCTAAGCGACTGTTGGAATTCATGGAACAGGCTGTCTTCGCGGCACGTTCACTGCACGAATTCTCAAGTCCGTCGACTACTTTGTACAAAGAAACAATGATCACGAATAGGGGCCAAATAAACCCTCCAGCCAGGAAAGGCTGACCTGTGGACCCCATCATTTCGCATCCCGACATCTCGACGACCTTTCGGATCTGATTCCTCTTCCTCGGATGATGCAATCCTGCAGCCTTTATAAGATATACTACAGTAGTTGGGTCTAAGGAGTTGGAACGTAATGGGCTTAATTTTGTACTGCTCTGTATCTTGGACAGGGCATTGTGGATACTACAGTAGAACATAGCAAAATAACTCTTTGTCTTCTACTAAAACTCACCGTAATGCCATCTGTCCACTCCTCAGGCTTGCACTATCTTAGAATGCATTTTCGCTGCAGACGACGGATCCAAAGGAAGCGCTAATATGGTTTCACTGAATAAGATCTCGACCTATTTATTACCCTCTCCCATGCAAATGGCCACAGCATTACTACTAGGTGCACAATCCACACCTCTGTAGAGGGGTTAGATATATATTCTTCTTGAACTGGACAACTTGAAAAACTGGCACATAGTCCTAGGGCTGAAGAGTCTCCATTGTTAGTTCAGATAGACGGCTATCCGACACCGGTCATAGAACCCACGCCGCTCAGTGGAACCTCGGCAGCACTGCAGTCGGTGTTAGTCCCCGTAATCAGGGAAAGAGCAGAAAGAACCGCAAAGAAAGCCTTGCAAGATACAACTACATTGGTATGGAACTCCTTTAGATAGGCTGGGAAGATGTTAAAACAATGCGACGTCAGTAAGAGCGGGATTGACAATGTGTTTAAAGTGGCCGGAAATGCCGGTTTTACAGTAGACTCTAACTAGGGCTAACAAACAATATTGTGACTTGGTGATGATGGCGTGGCTGAGAGCAGTCTTATAATGGGCGAGCACCTGCAGAATGCAGGGGGGTAATATGCATGTATTCCCAACCACTTGGTTAAATGCTATTTACAGGATGAGACAGTGTCTAGATTGCTCACATAACCACAATTTCCCTTTTATCTCACCGGTCCTATCATCTATGTAGACTACCATGCAAAGTTTGTAGTTCGCGGCTGTAAGGAGATGTTGCACATGTCTGCCCTTGGGTGAACATGCATGTGTGTCCAACCACTATTGGGACTTGGTCTGGCTGGTATCCAATAGATATCATATAAAGGATTTACATGATGGGATATCCCGGCCCCCCACACACATTATTCATCCTCTCCTCCCATTGTTCTCTCTCTCTCTCTGCTTGATCAATGCAGACCCGTGGCTGTCTTATTGGCCGTCATATATAAAGTGCTTACTTGATAGGCTTCTGGAATCCTCTCGTTTTCCATCTGAGCGAAATTTGTCAGTCAATTATAATAGAACGACACTATGCATACTTGGAGTCGATTGGTGTGGAATACACTATGTGTTACAGCTGCAGTGTTTGCCGGGATCAGCTCTCAGTTGCTACTCCAGCTACCCTCAGCACGGTGATCACGATCGGCGAATTTCGGTGTTAGATTAGGGATCAGTTGTTTACATTCTGCTTGGATGATAGTCGATACATCCGTGACTTTCCTTCATTAGCTCTCCATAAAATGGTACGTATCATCTTCGCTAGCATTTAGAAGTTTTCACCTGTATAAAATACCTCCACAAAGAGAGAGGATATACACGAAATAGAGATATACGTGCAATACTGTGAAATCTCCCAATGCATCTTACATGGATTTTTGCGTCTGGTTTGTTGAGTTGGTGGGGTAGGAATTCCGATGCGGATTTCGGAATCTGCATTTCCGATCATCCTCTATTTAAGACAGCATGACCCTTCACTGTTACAACAACAACTCTATAACTCCGTTCCAATGGCCTCCGGACTCATCCTCGATCCGCTCGCTCTGCTGCGCGTCCTCCCTTTTGCCAGTAGCACCGGCACGCTGGTATGCGCCACGGGTGAACTCATCCACAATGGCGGCTTTGTGCAGCCCGAATTGCGTCGTCAGGGAAACTCAACGCTGCCTCAGTGGTACGCCTACGTCTTCCCGCGCGGCGTATCGCTCGTCCTCCTTCTGAATCTGACGACTATCGGCTCGACCGTCGCCAATCTCATTACTAGTCCGCGCGCGCGTCCGCTGCCCCTGTCGCGCGCCACCTTCTACTGGACCGGGCTGGTCAGCGCTATCGGACATCTCTGCTTCGTGCCGTGGGTGGCGCCTCGCATTCAACGCATCGTGGAGGATACCCGGGGAGAGGGGGAGCCGACGCGAGAGATGCAGGCGTGGTTGGGATATCATCGCATTCGCATGCTGGTGGCGGATTTTCCGGCCTGGCTGGCTTTGGTGGGAGCGGTTCTGATACGTTGACGTTGATGTTCTCTGCTTTTAGAATATCCTGAATCGTAATGGGCTGTCTCTGACATTGTCGATGCGTAAAATAGACAGTCAGGACATAGTGTAATTACTCATTCTATCTATATCGAATACGTGAACTCTATCTGCAATCTATTCTAACGGATATCAGAGAATATATCGAAATCTGACCGTCCGATCCTCTCCCTCTGGCTCCGGTCCCTCTTCCTCGTCCAGCTTCCGATTCATATGCGCATGCACCACGCGGATAACCCACGCTACCCCGGCAACGAAGAGAGCCACGGCCGCCGTGGCACTCCCCCCAGGGATATACCGCGGCCCCGAGCTAGCTGGCCACATGTAGCTACCGTAGATGGAGGCGGTGTTCCCGATCATGTTGGCGACGGCGATCGCGGCAGAGCGCTTCACTAGCGGACGAGGGAAGGAGTTGGCCACCCAGGCGATGATGATCTGGTAGGCCGACACGGCGCCCATGGGCATCAGGAACATGCCGAAGAACTTGGCGCCGACGTTAGACGTCGCCGTGCAGATGATACACCCAACCACGCTGACCATCATCAGGCCAATGATATGCAATCCGCGGTCGTTGGTCCGTCCGGACGTCCAGGTCACCACCAACGAGATCAGGAAGGTCGCCATCCAAACCGGCGCGGTGATCAGCAGCGTGATGATATTGTTATACCCTAGGGTCTGCACGATCGTCGGAAAGAAATACTGGAAGTTCTGCGATAGGAGCGACGAATGCTGCAGCAGGACGAACAGGTAAATGCGCTTGTCCGTGAACACCAGATACAGGGCCTCTTTGATAGAACCGGAGTTGGTGTCGTCCGCCTCGCCGGCGTCGGCGATGAGACGCCACTGTGCGTAGGATTGCTCGCTGTGATCCAGCCACGAGGTTGTAGCCGGGTAGTTGGGGAGCATGAATCTACGACGGTCAGCTCGGATGTGGAAAAGAAGGGATCTACACTTACGCTGCCACGAGGGACACTCCGACGGTGATGCAACCTTCAATGATGAACAGCCAGCGCCAGCCGGCAATGCCATGCGCGTTGTGCAGATTTCCCAGCACACCAGCTCCGATCAATCCGCCAAATGCGTTGGCCAGAGAACTGCCGGCGTAAAACCAAGCAATGCGATGACTCAACTGGGAGGGTTAGTTAGTTGTCATTCGTTCAGATTCCCGTTCTTGCGGATGGGACATACCTCCTGTCTGGTATACCAACTCGACCTAATAATCCATCAGCAATGGTCATTGGACCGGATCACTCACTCACTCACATCAACATCACTGCCCCCGGGAAGAACGGCGCCTCAACGAAGCCCAGAAAGAAGCGCGACACGACGAGGCCCCCGAACGATTGTGTCGCTGCTTGACAGGCGGATATGGCGCCCCAGATGCCCATGGCGATGCCCAGAAACAAGGACGGTCGCACGCGCGTCAACAGGAGATTTGACGGAAGCTGCATCAGCAGATACCCCACGAAAAGGATGCTCGTGGCCAGGTTGTAGTCGGTGCCGTTCATCTTCAGATCCTCCTCGAGCGTGCCCAGACGCGCCTGGGATAGGTTGCTGTGTCTGGTCAGCGCCATCCGTTGCGGATCTGGGGGCCACCCACTTGCGATCTAAGAAGTTCAAGAGGTACATAAGGATGAGAAATGGCAACAGATGAAGGTCCACCTTGCGCAGTAGCTGTCGAGTCATGCATCGATGCCATTCAGGGCTTTTGGACGCATAGACCTGATACAGGGCGGCTTGGTCGAGTTCTTCCCCGAGTTTGTCAGGGTTCGACTCGAACTCGATAAATTCCTCTGCGGATTTTGACATGATGCAGCAGGGAATTTGATCGAAAACAAGAAAGAAGGAGGGAAAGAAGGACGGTGACTCCTTATACGAGACGGTCACCGAAACTCCTTCGGAGAAAATCCGAGATATGGGGAATCTGGGGAATCCCTCACTGCGGAGGCGGGGCGAGCTGCTCCGGGGAACTGCTCGGGGGAATGGACACCGAAATGACATGACTCAGTGGCGAGTGGTATTGATCAGGATGTTGAGATTTAAGAGGTCACCTGGGAATCCTAACTTGGCTGACCCACCACATTCTAGTCTATGCATCTATCACGGAATAGAGAGAAACAGAGGTAAAGCATCAAAATTATAGGATTAGAGTATAGCATAGCTACCGATGGTTGGCAACAAATCCAACGTAAAGACAAGCATGAAGACAAACTGGAAGAAATCGTGAATCTTTTACCCCTTCCCAGACCTCAATATATCGGTGTTATTAGCATGGCTGCTCATGCGCGGATGGAACATGGTTTAACGCAGGACTGTTCTCAACGCTCATTTCGATCTCCGTGAGCGTATAAATCCGTCCCTCGGGGATGACAATACCCTCCTGACTGCCATAGTGTTCATGGATCGCCGCACTCATGACCGTGGCGATCTCGGAATGCTGTGTTTCTGGAGCGCTTGGGAAACGTAGCAAGTAGTCACCGGCTCTCAAACTCCCCGACGACTTCCTACTCTCCTTTGACGGGCTTTTCTTCGCCGGCGAGTTTTCTCCAATCAGTCGGGGTAGGAAACGGGACGCAATGGCCTTGAAGGACGGGATAGAGGCTGCGAAGATGCCCACGTTCATCTCGATAATCGACCAGTAGGCCGGGGCGGCAGTGAAATACATCGTATCGTGGGAGTGAAGCATACTAGGGAGGACGGAAATACGAATAATAGCGGAGACACACGCCCTATCGAGGATGGAGATGAGTGGCAGGAACGGTCAATCCGGACGAATTCGACACTCACAGCAAACCCATGCAGAGGATAAACGTCAAGGCCACCTTTTGTTTCATTGGCACATGCAGCCGGCAGATGACCGGCAGCGGCAGGGTGTAGGTGACAACGTCCGTAAGGATCGAAAACCCGGTGATGGCCAGGTAGAAGACGTCGATATTAATACAGTACCCAGGGATGGTACTTTCCCACGTCTTGGAAATGGGATGGCACTGGAAGATGGCCGTCATGATGCAGCCAAGAGCCTGTAACGTCAACAGCACCATCATCACCTGCGACATTCGAATGAGAAATCGATCGCCCAATCGAGTGTAGAACAGGCACACCGAGACTTTGATGCATCCCTGGGCGGCCAGATAGAAGATAGAGCTCAGCCAAATGGTCTGGGAATCGTCAACCGCCACAGCCACAACAGGAGAAGTTGGGATAGATTACAATGGCATAAGCCGACGCTTGGCTCGGGTCTACATCCTTCGTGTGGGATCCTAATCCATGCTGGACCCCTACACCTATCGTTAGCTTGTGTAGATATGTTCCAGTATGTCAGACAACCTACCAACAATGATAACCGCTGCATATCCCCAGGCGAGGACCTGGCAGTATCCATCAACGGTCAGCAGAAACAGGGGGGAGGGTTAAGAGTCGGTCTTACACAAGCTGCAATAATGAGATCTATCGTTGAGAATTAACAGGCAAGGACGATATCGGACCGATGGGAACACTCACAGTCATCAGTTCCTATGATTCTCAATACAAAAATCCGAGAAAAGAGACGTAGCAACAAGACCACCGCGGTGAAAGCAGAAAAGGCTATACTAACGCCGGTGACTGCCGGTCCCAGCGAATCCGTTGCCATTACACCTCCACGGAGAGCTGTGTTGGGACACTCAAAACATGCGACGAGGGGTGGAGGTGCTGTATAGAGTCGACCCTGCGTACGGGCCCGTCTCTTCATTAAAATAACCCAAGTCCTACGTAGAAACTAATCCAACATCATCAGAGGGTAAGGGGGTGGGCAATACCAGATAATCTACGTCATTTGGATGTCCTGCCATGTTCGAATCGGATGCCCCGATATCCGGGTAGATTGAACCGGTATTCGGGATCAGCCAATTTCCACAAGCAGAGAAAGGTGAAGAAGTGAGGAATGTGACACGCAGAGCATGGGGTTCATGTCCAAGACAATGTCTGGTCGTAGCTTTACCTGCAGGTAGATGTAGTTCCTTCCAAGAGAACGAAGGAAGGACAGGTTTACTCGGATATATTCTATCGGTATACCTCGAAGCTTAGCGCTTGAAACTATCTAGAACAGAGAATGACGTAGGTACGCAGAGCCTGAAAATGGGCGAGAAAGCAACCGCCGTTATCCAGAGACTAGCATACATATCAACATCCAACTGGTAAGGGCCCAAATGTGGACAATAAATATCTTCCATACTGCAGTGAGATTCCTCATGTAGGCTGCTGCGGTGGTTATTTGCCTCTCTTTGCCCTTCTGTTTATCAAGGATGGAGCAGACGGCTACGGGCCGTGACGACGGTGGCAGTTCTTCCATGAGTGGTCAACCGTCACGGTCCTTTGGTTCGTCAAAGCTTCTTCTGAGATCCATGACAGCTCGAGTAGACCATAACTAGTGTTAGCAGCATAGGTAGACAGGTAGCTAATAAGAAGGCGTTATTGTGACCTAGCACTATCCATGTTTCTTTTCCCTAGATGCGACAGGCTCAAGTGCTTACCGTTTCTATATTGCCGAGAGAAAACTAAGAGTACAACCATCCCATTCATTCGTCGGGGCAGACTCGCGTACCTTCGTGCCATGGGGCACGATGCGAAAATCAAGGAATTGCGTGGCGTAGCGCTAGAATGATTGATATAACGCAGGAAGTCTCCGAACAGAATAGGATATGTCACTCCTACTAGTAAAGCTGTTTATCAAATATCTCTTTACCTTTGCGTATGGGTCTCATCTCAATGGAAGGATATCGTGACGATGGAGCTGTTCAAGATTCCAGTATCACTATTGGCCTTTTCTAACCTTCAGAATATGGATCCAGCATACATCATTGCCCACTTTAATGCACGAAAACATAGAGCAATAAAAATAAAAATAAAAATAAAATGAACTAAGAATACTTCACCTAGACTTCGCTGAGTCAGCAGGATAGGAAATCAAGTGATGGTTGTCACATGACAGAACATCTGACGTCATGACATCCTGATCGGTGCTGAACCACTGAAAGAAAGGGGTAAGAAAGAAAAAATATCGTGAACAATGGCAAATTGGCTACCTGACCCAAGTCTATATCGTCAGCCCTGCCGCAGAACCTGTAGACTGACTTTGATGAATGTTAGGACTTTGGATGGAGAATTGCACCTATAAAGAGTGATCGGATCTATATTTCCCTGATTTGGTGGCAGTCGGGGTCTGAGGGATCGCCGATGGCCGACAACAGCTCTAATTTCCCCCTGTTTGTGGCGCAGGAAACCCTCTGCACGTACCCCATCAGCACCATCTACAACAGCTGCCCTCGATACCTGTACTATGTGCTGCTCTTCGTCAGCTGCGCAACGCGATGGCGAGGCTGGCTGGCCGATGTCTTCCTCGGGACTGCCGCAACATACGCCGGAACATCCGCCATTCAGGCCTTCATCCTCGTCGCTAGCCGTCGCCGGAACCCCAGCCCGGCGTTCGTCGACATCCCATCCGTACCGAGTAACACCAGCTTAGTCCAGTACTTCCCATCCATTGTGACTGGACAGGCACAGGTGTCCCTCCGTCCGGCAGCCCAGGACCTCGACGCCGACGCGGTCCTGGCCATCGTGGTGACGGGCTATTTGGTGTTCCTCCCCCTGCAGTGCTGGTCGCGCAGCCTGCAATACAAACGCTCCAAGTACGCAGTCTTGTTTCTTTGGAACCTGCTCATGCTGGCGGGGTCGATCTGTGCGCTGGTATACTGGCCGGCATTGGAGAAAACGCCTCCGCAATACATGTTCTGCAACCCGTCGTTTCCGCCGTTTAACAAGACTACCAGTGATGGATGGCAGTCGAATTTCTGGGTGTCGAGCTGGAATGATACGGTATGGAGCATTTTCAGCAACGCGACCCGTTTTCAGGAACTCGAAAGTCTCTGCTTTTATCCCTGCTTCAACACCAGTCAGGTTCTGCGGCAGACCACCTCGCTGCAAGGCAGCGTGGCCGTGGATGAGCTGAGCGAGGCATCCCAGCGCGGTCTCTGGAATAAGGTCTCCATTTCGAGAGGTTACATATACGCCCTACTCTCCGTCTCCGTCGGTCTCAACTTCCTGCTGATGAGCTTCCAATTTATCGCTTACCCTTCGCACATCCCATCGCTTCATGCGTCGGTGATCTGGACAAATCGCAAATCCATCTACTCGGGTCTGAAGAGCGACCTTCGACAGTCGGTCGCTGAGTCGAAGGAGTTTCTACACTCCTGGTCTGGACCTTTTCTGAACCGGGTGCGACACATGCGCAAACTCTTCAGTGCGGAGCATAACCGGCTTTGGATATGCCCATTTATCGACATCATATATCTGGCCGCTTTCATGCTCAGCGTCGTGGTGAGTCCCTTCACCATAATCGCCTTTGTAGTGTGGATTGAATGGTACATCCACAACGACGGACCACCGCAGGAGAATATCCAGCAGGTCGGTCAGTGGTCTCCCCTGGTGGCTCTAGCGTTGGTGATGATCTCGGGCGGAATTCTACGGCTGCGGTATCGTCTGGCCTCAGCGGATGAGTTGGATCATGAAATCGAAAAGACAAGATCACAACTGGAAAAATTAGAGCAGTTAAAACGGACGGAGTCAGCCAAAATACCGCACAACGTTGCCGTTTCACTGGAGTAGATGGGGTCTTACTATGTCTGATGTAAATACTGTGTGCAAATCATCATCCATGACTGACCGTGTTGCAAGTGCTTCACCACACTTATTGAACGCTGGTGCGATGGGGACACGCCATGTAGACAATGCTATGTTGCTGTATAACTCTTTGGGTTCCCCGCTACTTGAGATGTTTCACAGCCTATGGGGTCTTTAACAGGATGTACTTGCATGTGCCACAAATTGGGATTGCATGGCGTCGTCCTGGAGAATTTGGATTATTGTCTTGACATTGTTTCCAAGAACTATCTACTCGTCTTATAACCTGCATTTCTTCCAATCCAGACGACCTTGTTATCAAGCGGGTGATATTTGGTCCCTAATGAACACGAGCAACGCTGGTAAACTAAGCCCAATAAGGTGCCCGCTATGGCACCCAACGCGGAATACATCTATCTCGCTTCTTTTCTTCTTTCTTCTGTATGTACACGTCTTAGTTGACACGCAATGGCATCATCTCATACTTCGCTCAAGGAAAACATAACAAAGGCGTACAACAGCATAGCACTCCGCTACGCAGAATGGACAAGACCGAGTCATCCGATTCGCATCCAGTATCTTAACAGATTGTTAGAATATCTCCTCTCCTCATCACATGAAAAGTCGGTCCTGGAGCTCGGATGTGGTTCTGGAGATCCCTGCACTGTTCGTCTCGCATCCATCCCAGGCCTAAAGGTCACGGCAAATGATATTTCATCGGTGCAACTGGCCCTCGCAGCTCAGCATCTCACTTCCAAGGATGTGTCTCTGGTTGAGGGGGATATGATGAATCTATCCTTTGAAGGGCACAGTATGGATGCTGTGGTTGCCATGTATTCGATTATTCATATCCCCCGAGAGGAGCAACTTGCACTTCTCGTAAGGATACACAAGTGGCTGAAGCCTGGAGGGTGGTTCTTGGGAAATTTTGGCTCGGGAGATGGCAGTACGGGTTCATTTGACGACTGTTGGTTCGATGGAATGGAGGGAGTCATGTTCTGGAGTGGATGGGGAGAGGAAGGGACCCGTGAGATGTTGACAGCGATTGGATTCGAGCTCATCCTTTGCGAGGTTGTGACCGATATCGAAGACAAGGGTGGAGAGACACAAGAAGTCCCCTTTTTGTGGGTTTTGGGGAGGAAGCCCGAGAACTGAGGTGGGATATTCAACAAATTAGGGTACATTAGCTATTTCTCAGATTCCTAGGACTCATCACAAATGCGGGATAATGTTGTGACCGCATATAAATCGATCAATGATATCTCTTTCATTGCCCTAGCCACACCATTCAGCATAAAATAGAGGTTCTCTCCAGTGGATTCCCACGTGTCCAATATGCCATGTTACGCGAATTCCGCTCCATGGAAATCCTCGAGTTTCTGAAACCGGTCGATCCTGACTCCATCCCCATAACACAGCATGTGAATCGCGGATCTTGAAGATGCTGGCAAGAGATGGCATGCTCTGTTACACTGCACGTGAGACAGAGCAAAGAAAAACGTGGAACCCTCTATTCCCGTATTCTCCAAGTCCATTCCATTCCATCAATCGATTTCTCTTTGCTGGTAATGCCATCCATCACACGATGCGAGGTCTTCTCAGTTTCGCAACATTCCTTTTAATGGGTGCGGTATTCGCCGAGCTTTACAGCTTCCCGAATGAGGTGGTCACTGGTGACGCCCCTGTCCGGTACGTCGCGGGCGACGTGGTCGATGGTCCTAAGGTGATGGCCCTGAATGGCTCTTCCTACGACTGGTGGTACTTTGATGCCGTGTCCACCACTAGCAACGCTTCCGTGGTCATTGTCCTCTACCGCGCGACTCCCGGGGGTTTCCCTCTTGTCCTCAAGGGCTCTTCCTCATCGGTGAATTTGTTCATCACAATGGATAACGGCACCAGTCATTATTTCCCCATCGCCAACAGACCTGGTCGTTCCGGCGAAGTAGTCGTGTCCACTGATGGCCAGGGTGCCTCAGGGGTATGGGAAAGTACCGGATTCAGCTTTTTCGGATCCCCCGACCTCAGCCACTATACGGTCCACATTAATTCACCCGCTCATAGATTCAACGGGACGCTATCTTTGTCCGCGGTACGTCCTGGATACACAGTCCCCATGTGATCGGATATGCTTTCTGACTGCTTCGGTAGGCTGCTCCCGCCCACTATCCCTGCGGTCTCAGTCGCCCAGGTGAGGACCTTCACATCTCACCGCATGTGGGATGGGCAAATGCCATACCAGATGCGAACGCAGTGGGCACGTTCCGGGTTAGGGGTTCTGATATCCATTTCACGGGCGTTGGCTATCATGATAAGAACTGGGGGGATCAACGATTCGACCAACACGTCCGCACTTGGTACTGGGGCCACGGCCGCCTGGGCCCTTACTCTTTGGTGTGGTTTGACACAGTTCAACTTGATGGAAGCCGCTATGTGAGTGCCTATGTCGCCAGGGATGGACGTGTCGTGCAGAGTTCCTGTGATACCAGTGGAATTCAGGTCCTTCCCAACAAGAGTGGAGCCAGTCTTTCAGGAAATGGCAGCACTTTGTCTGGATTTTCCATCGCCATGGAGTTGGAGGAAGGTTCCCTACGGGTGCAGGCGGATAATGTTGCTTCTAGTGCACAGAGCCCCGTATATTACCGGTGGCTTGGTAGCCTGTCTGGTGGCATTGTCGGCAAAGCCCAATACAATGGCGTCGGTATGTGGGAGGAGTTCGATTTTACTGAGGCATAGATCAATTGATTATCTTCTGCCAGAGAATGTGCAGGGTAAGGTCTACTTTTTCACTAGGCGATAAAGTAATGATCTGCACCTTATGTGCCTAACATGCAGGTTTACACCCCGAGTACTTAACTCCTTTCCTGTATTCTAGAGAGGCACAAGTTAAACATCCAAGGAAGTATGGTAGTAGTTATCGTGGTCTAGGAGATCAATGATATATTGTTCTTCTATAAGGCAAACTGGTTGCGTGCTGTGATAAGCTTACTGCCTTCCTTCCCCCCCGAGTCACATCACTAGGTTAGAACTCAATGGCACCCACTTTCCTGAGACAACCACATGGAGTTCTCGGGAATATCGGCCTTAACTTACTGGCATTTTAATTAGTAGTATGAGGGTTTCCAACGAAAGAATCGATAGCGTTTGAGGTCGGCAACCCGGATATCGGTAATTCCGCTGAATGCCTAAGTAGCTGTCAAATAATATGGCCGTTGGTGGACCAGAATCATGTGACTGGATCGGGGTAAAACCCCCGCGGAGCACACAACAATATAATCAATCAAGAATAACCAATAAGAATAACCAAGAGAATAATCAAGAAGAGCCCAACCAGCTCAATTCATTCAAATAAGACATTTTTACTAATCGTACTCTATTTCCTCTTCGGGACTAGCCGTATATCTGACAGTAGCCTAACTAGGCAGGTCACTAACTGTATCGGTTACTTACGTAACTTTCTCCCATTGATTCTGCCAGATACATCTGACCGCCTGCTGGATTCGAGCCACTACTGAACACACGAGCATTGACTGTACATACAAAAACACCGAATCCTAGTAATTATTTCTAATATCCCCTTCTCACAGCATGGGTCGCTTTTCATTTTCCATCGATTGTCGCTCCCTACAATGAGTTTGTTAGATGGCACAGTAGGAGACTGCCGGGACACTGAGCCCACGGAAGAGGAAAAGGGCAGTCATTTGCCTGGAGTGCCACTTTTTTCGTTGCTAAGCTTCGTTCGCCAGTGTGATTGGAGTTGGCCCTGTTAGAACTGCCGGAAGCGAGGCAAGCAGGCAACGTGTCTACATCCTCCCAATCTCGATGAATGTCAAAAGGCAAATTCGCAGTACCACAAGACATTCTGCTTCTATGAAGAGCTACCTGATCGTTCGCTCTCCGATACTTCAAATACGGAACATACTTCGGGGTCGAGCATATTTGCACCGAATCTGAAGAATGGCAGCACCCAGGGGGAAATTGAGTCGGTCCAAGGCTACAATCATGATGGGAGTCTGTTTGATACGGGATTTTGGGTACGCAGCGAACAACCGTCATAGTACGCTCGGAGTATTTCACACTACTGGATCGCCCGACAGGAATGAATCTCTGGCTACGAATCATGCAGAGTCCGCTTCATGCCAGCATCCCGCGGACGTGTCCTCGAAATATCGAGGCTTGATGCGCCAGATGCCCACAAGAGTGCACATTGAGGTCCTTCTTGAAACCTTCTTCGATGGCGTGAATTGGCATTATGATGTTGTAGACGAAATCACCTTTTGGGACCAGCTGGATGTATGGGCGCATACCCTACCTGGCATTGCAAAAGGGACCTGCTGCTTTGCAGCCAGACATTCGTGTTTTTCCCGCGCTGTTATTCCAAGTCCTCACTCAAACATTGCTATATCACCCTCGGATGACGAGAGGCTGGAGCTCTTGAAATATGGCGCCGGAATGTCCTTACTTGATGTTGCCAAAGAACTTAGTGATACCGGTAGTGCAATCTTGGAGCTCCTCGGTAAGCGAGGAGTGACCGTCGGCACGGTACAGGTGGGGTTACTGAGAGCCGCATTCTTGAAGAGTAGTGGCCTAGTGGTGGAGGCCTGGCATACACTGGGTAGTGCCATTCGTGATGCCAGGAGTTGGGGCTGCATACCAGCGAATGCCTGTCAGAAGCGCTGTCTGGTCCCCCAGGAATGGAATCTCACCGGGCTTGGAATCGTGAGCGCCGAAGCGGATTTGGCTGCTGCTTCATATCTGGGACTTTCATATGGCGGTGTTGTTGGGCAGGCCAAACTTGACTGCCATGTCAGACGACCATTTTCTCCTTCCCACGAGATGTTTGCTACCGGCAGAGGGGAGTGCTTTCCACCGAGAGGACCGATATTAATCGCCCCACTCCGTTCTCGGTGATCCTCGCAGGCTACGTGGCAGCCGATCGACACCTTTCCACTGTTCTTAAGATTCAAACTGGCTGCTCCCGTGACGACGATCATGCTCTTGTCGACGAAGTCGATAAGGAAATTACAAAAGGCATACAAACCCTCCCGGCTTGGCCCACCCCAATCAGCTGGACATGCAATTCGATCACCTTCCAAGTCGTCTAGCTGCCGGCAGCGCGGGAGGCATTGTTGTCGCTTGTCTACTTTGTCCTTCTCGCTCTACATCGACCGTATATTTTCACACGCTAAAAGTCGCTCCATGGCGCTGACGGCCGGCCTGGAAATCCTTGGTTCGCAAGCTCGGCTATTCTATTGGAGTCAGGCTCAAGGCTTCAAGGTTTTCAATATGGTCTACGCGTCATTGGACACGTGTTGACTGCCGCAACCTAACTGATGTTTCCCACAGAGAAAGCCGACATGCTAGACAGTTACAGCAATGAATGGGGTCTTGGGAGACTAGCTGTGCTGGGGAATTACAACAAAATGGCGTGATCGGCACATGGACTAGTGCTGAACCTGTATGGACGCCTTCGAAACCGTCTATCAAGCGTGCAACAAACCCACCCTTCGATCATGCTACAAGCACCGGGCCTTGAACCATGGAGAACTAACATTAGCTGGGGAGATGTGGTCCGGGAATTAATCGTACATTGAGCATCCTCACTGAACCGGGCCACATATGGGACCTTCCATCCGAGGTGGGGGCACCACCGCATCCCATGTAAGGCCTGTTTTTTGACCACTTGACGAGTGGCGATATTGTCGCCTACGATGCCTCACTTCGCCCGCTTTTAACCTGTGGCGCCTTGGATGTTACTGCCGACGCGTTTCATTTTGCTGGCACGTATGCGGATGATAGTTTCTGGAGATTCATGAACTCCTTGATCCCCTAATTCATACTGTAGGGGTGAATACGGCTAGAGTGTAGCCGTGTGAGATAGGAAATAAGCATGATGCCAATTTAGGGGAAATCGGCAGTCCCATGACCTACATAATTGTGAGATAGCAAGGCGATCATGGTGCTATGACGACTAATGGTGCAGTTTGAACACACACAGAAGGGGCGAAGTCATGTTGCTACGAGCGTTACGCAAAATGAGGAATATCATGTATATTCATATTGATGAATTCCTTGGATACCAGAAGATCGTTCTGTTAGAGGAAATGAATATAAGAAGACAGACTCTGTCATCAACAACAGGAAGATGAATGCTGGGCCATTTCCACTATATTTGATCTCGGCAAACCATGACGCGATCTCTACAACGTTTCGATCCACACAATCTTGCTGGTCATAGTGCTGGGAGTGGGACACATCGTTGTCCCAGATGAGCTTATAGCGGGGCAGATGGTTGGGGGCGCACGGATCCACCAGAGATGCCTTGAGATGCCTGGGGTCTCTCCTGACCATGGCAGTCATCCACGTCAAGCATATTTATCATACGAAAACTACCAGATGAGCTATAAATCGCTGATCGATTATGATTGGATAGTTGGATAGCCGATGAATTGGTTCATATAAGCAGTACTGATACACATCATACTAGAGAAAGTTTTACAGCAGTGAAGAAAAAGGGGATTAACTTTAGGCTGCTAGTCCATTGGCTGATTGGGACCAATGTTGCTGAACTGCTAACGTGCGAAACGGCATGCGCAGAGCCATAACTAGCTGAATTAGTCCTTCATAGCATACTGAGAGTCTCCTGTACTGCGCAGATGGTTGGGAATGGTCCAACTGCCTTCTAGGGACAACCTCTGGATAATCCCCGCGCCACTGACAAAGTACCGGGAGTGATAGAGTCACCGCTGGCTGATGAATAGCCTCATACACTCCCACCACATCCTGTATAGATATCCTAGCCAACCTACTGCCCAGTACTAGTATAGAAATACGTCTACCATATCATATATGTCGTATGTAAAGAACCTCCCTGTCGCCTACCTTGTGGAATGAAGAGCGAGGCAAGCTAGCCGCATGCGCTGTTGCGGAACATGATATTAAGATCAGACCCCTCCAAGCGGCCCCCTTAGAATCGGCCACCAAATTGGACATTTAACTCCATCCAACAACACTAACTTATATTTTATCTGGAATTCAAATAGACAGCCTTCTAGTGCTCGTTTTACCACTTCATCTAACATCTTTCCGGCTTCATGATCCCCATGTTTGTCCTGATATTGTCTTTTTTTCTCCTCTACTTCCTCTATTGCCTTGATATTTTCTATACTAGAAAAATTTGTACTTGGACCTGTAGATACCTTTTTCCTAATTTCATGGTTAGTTAGGCGATTAATAAGTGCCTTTTGCTTGTGGATCGTACCTTGTTAATCTGTCTTATCTACCTGGAGTTGATCAATTGCCTTGCCTGCTTTATGAAGGACCAGCCAAAGATTTTTAGTTGTATCTTGCCTCTGCCTTAGAAGCTCAATATTACTATAAATTTGAAGGTGGCTTCTAGGAGTATGTAATGGATTAGGACCTATTTTGGTGCGCTTTGGGATTGGTGTTGGGAATTTCTTGTTGTTTTGGCTGAATTCGGAGCTGGGAGAATCAGGGCCCTTAGATGGGTTCAGAGCTATTTTCCATCCTGTTTTTAATGTGTAAATGGCTCTAAACATGCCTTTTAATAGCATTGAACAAAGCACTCCTTAAAAAGCACTCCTTAACCGATAAGGCATCATCCAAAAAAATAGCTCGGTTATCTCCGCCTAATAATAAGATTCTGTGGACGTAAATGATCCCAAATCCAATAGCTGAAGAAGGGTGAGGAATGTAGAGGCATAAAAAGAATATAAACTTTATGCCGATGACATTCCCAAAGAAAATCTATATTTTCATAGCTTTTATGCCCATCCAAAGGAAACACCCTATAGGAATCATTATTTGCCTTGGTTTCAAGAGGAAATGAAGCTTTCAACCACTCTAAAGCAGTATCTTTAGATGTCCATCCATTCTTTGAGGTTATACTAAGCCAATCCGGTACATGTTCCGTTGAAAACCGTCAAGTTTATAGATCTTTTCCCTTGAAAATAACAGCGGCAAGATTTTTGCTCCGCAGGCGGATATAGTCTCAATAATAGTTACCCACTCCCTAGATTCAGGAGATTGAGCATCAGCATACTTCTTCCCCGCCTTTCCAAGAACCCGGGGGCTTATACATACTCAGAAGGAAATTCCATGCTCGCCCATCTCCCATATATTCCCTAGTTGTACGGAGTATATTGTATATAGTTTTTATAGGAATGAGACGGCAGAAGGCTTCAACTTAATCTGGCTGGGTATTTTGGATTTGGGAGGCATTAATTCGTCTTCCAACCATAGAGGCAACTTGTGGATTTCGTTTTATAAATTTTGGTACCCATTCTTTTCCAAGTGGGGCATCATCTCCAAGCATATGTAGGATTCGATGGGCCATTTCTCGTACACGGGCATAGGAGGGAGAATATCCTTGCTGATCCTGCTCAATTATCCATTGAGCTAGGAATTTCTCTTGTATAGGACTTAGTCTTTGTTGATGGTGGTGACTTTGCAGCTTATCTTTATAACCTGCGGCTCTGCGACGAAGGGTAGTACGGGGGATGTTATGTGCCTTTGAAACTGCTTTTAATGAAGGATAAACACCATTCTGAAGATCCTGAAGTGCAAGAGATATAGTATTTTCATTAGGAGCCATTTTGAATGATGGTGGTGGTTGTAGGAGAGAATAGTGGAATTCGACGCGTTTGACGCGTGTGGCCGATTCTGGGGGGTGGCCGCTTCCGGGGGTCCGATAACTTATTACTGGTTCACGCGAGAGCCACACCTTGCAGGAGAGCGTCGACTACACTGCCGCACGGGTTCACATGGAGATCGCTCACTTCATCCTGCTGTCAGATGCCATGCAGCAAAGGCGCTACCCGCAGTTGCGTGGCTTTATTGACGGACTGATGTACTGGATCTGAGAGTGTCAAGATTCGGTGCTCTAGGACACTTTGGACTACGTAGGGGAGTATGCTCTAGGCGATGCTAATGACCGGGGTGTACTAGTATGAGTTGTACTACATCGGATGCTCCTGATGTGCATTGCGCTTATGTTTTGTTCATTAGTACTCTACGTGATGAGAGAGATATTCAACCAGTTGATGTCACAAGGATTACCAGCGCCTAATTCTGCGTCCAGGCATCCAGGATGGACACGCATGCTGATTGGCGCCTGCAGACGAGCATCGACGAGGCTGATCCAATAAGAGGAAGGCCTAGGTAGAGACAATCCAAAAGAGACCGTATACGAACCGGCTCTCTGGACGAGACATCGTTCTACACGGATTTAAAGATCATCATGGCACCTCTCTCTCAGATCACCATGATCAATCTCACGCGTAGCGAGCTCGACAGCAAGACTATGGGCTCACCATGGTCCGTTTAATCTTATTCAGGAAATATACGGACATTGACCGGATCCTCCCTCCCAACAAGTATGGGACATTTCTCCCTGAGGCGTGATTGGACACTCAGCTTTTGAAGGGTTGCATTGCAGATTACATCGTCTACTCAACCTCATCCAAGGGCAGGAAATAGGTCATTCGGCCCACAGCCTAGGAGCAGTAGTTGCCTGTATCTAGCCTGACCAAGTTAGATCGCTTGCTAGCCTCCATCCTGGTGGCAGAGCCAAGTTCTCTTATAGGCCTACCGATCGCCCCATTTTTAAGCTCTTACTTTTGTCTTGAATGGCTTTCTCTGGACTTTTGCCGAGGGCTGTTTCGTCTGACAAGGCTGTGATGGCCCCCACGGATACCCGCAGAATTTCCAGATGCAGCTAGATGAGTCAAGGAGACAGAGACTATAAATACGAGGCGTTCTACAATAAGGACAAGACCATCTCATCTCATCTTCCTTCCACAGCATGATCACCTCCATCCTTACCGCGGTTTCCCTGCTGGGAGCCGCCTGCGCCTCCTCCGTGACGCCCGTCGTGGCGGCCGGTGGATGCGGCAATATACACTCCTACTATCCCTACACAGGCACGACAGGATACTTCATGGTGACGGTCAGCGGATGCGTGGATGCCTCTGCACCTGACCACACATGCGCCATCGAAGGGTTCCGGGACACAGTGGTTCCGTCCGGGAACGACAAGGGATACGTTAGTGGGACTTGATCGAACGTTTGACTCCGTCACTGAATATTCTCCCTTGCAGCTGGCCATCGGCTTTCGAGGCGATCTGGCCATCGTCCAGATCATGTGTAGCGACGCCTCCCCATCTGCCATCGACGCCTGCGTCAACTTCGGCCAGCAGGGCTGCGAGTTCCAATCCATCCGAGTGCAATCCGATGCCTCGTCCGGCCACTTGATGTGGGGGTTGTCCACGCCGGAGAGCATCCCCGTCGAGTACTATCATCACGTTGTGGATGGCAAGCAGCAGGAAGGGTTGTTCATTGGGGCACAGAATGTGACCAGCTGGGCGATCAAGCAGCATGCCGCCGACGAGTATTCCGAGGTTCCTTACTGGCTGCCCCGATTGCTGGGACCGGAGCAGAAATTGGAGGAGGGTGAGCTGAAGACATTCCTCCAGGTTAATTATTTTTAATTTTGCAATTGTGGATAGTGTACTGGTAGATGTGATACATACAGAGTCGACTCGTCCAGTGTAAGCATGACAACTAACCAGGATCGTCGACGCTGATCCGATCTCAGCATCCTTGATTTGCGATGCGATCCTTGTAAACTTCAACAGAACTGTCACACTGTCTTCGGTTCGTAGACCCTGTAGACCTCACTATTTGGGGTATTTATGTATGTTTATCGACTGCATGTTGTTCCCTGTCCATGCGTTCCCCGGTACGTCGAGGATCTGAATGCAAGTAAGGGTTCACTGACAGTACAAAGCAGTAGAGTCTCATAACTGTCTTCCGTTCTTGCCTCTAATTTTATTTTTCTTCAAGGATTGACGTCAACTGAAACAGATATCAGTTTTGAGTAAAATATGTGCCAAAATTTACCTCGTCCATTACATCCGATACTTTAATAATTTTACGCAGTCCAGCCACTGTCCGGTGTATATGTACTAAGACTTGCTACATGTAGATACCCGGGCATCATAAAGTACTGGAAATTATAATGGGTAACCGCCCGGTAACTATGGCATATATGAAATAGAGGGTTGGAGTCTTAAAATTATATATGTAAAATATTTAACTTCTGAGATCACCACAACTGCCATACGTACTGCTAATCTCTGCCTCCAGGTGTTGTGTTGTTCATTAACTGATTGCCAGAAAGAAAGATATCCTAACAGATCGCATTGGTAATAAAACAGAACACTGCGCATGGAATACCTATGAGCCGTTAGAGTGACGGAAGACAGGTTGTTCACTCCCATCGTGAAATCTAGAGCATATATCGGAACATCGGAGATCTATCACCCAGTTTCACCATCAGAAATTCGTCATATTGGGTCAAATCCATTCGATCGCGTTTCCGATTGATGTGCTGATAGGACAGACGCAAGGCCGTGGCTGCAATAATTCCTACGACGCAGAACCCAAGTTCCAGCGAGTGGCCTAGGATATAATTTGGCGCGTCTTTAGCCCGGTAGAAGTTTGATGCCATGGCTGTATAGGTCAGATGCGAACGCAGTATTTTCCGGATGGACGGCTGGCGAATAGAGAGGAAAATGAGGATGAATAAAGCATACCTCCACTTAAATTTCCCACCCCGATATGCAGGGCCATTCCGGCCGCTCGTTTGTAATCGCCCGCTAGATTGACACTGAGCCAAGTGACGTTCCCTGGGAAGGAGGGATAGATACCTGGAGAGCGAGTTGATCCGGTCAGTAGGGTATCTATTTCTCTGGAACGGTTGGGATGCCATGCACGCACCAATCACGACAAGGAATACACCAAAATAGACCACACCAGGGACACCACGGCCCGTCGACGCAAGGACAACGATAAAACCCAGGGTGATCAGACACATGAAGAAGACAATAAAGGGAGATCGCTGCTGATATCGGTCTGACATCCAGGCAGCTCCCACTGCCACTATTGCGGCAGTGACATAGATCGGTACGGTGAGAAGTTGAGCAGTCGAGGAGGTATATCCAAGATCCTGGATGATAGAGGGGAGGAAGAACGAGATGCCATAAAGGGGGCATGTGATCCCCCAATACACTAATGACGAGGTATATTAGCATCCTATGCAATGGTTGAGCTTCAACTGGATCCCATACTAAATAGACCGACGTAGACTTGCCAATCTGTCAATGCATCCACCACGTAGCTGATCTGAAAATTGGTCTGTTCCTGCATAGCCGCCGGGTACCGTGTCTCTTGGTCTATGATCTGCGACCGTAGCATATGAAGCAGATATGTACGTTCTTTGTCGGTGAGAAACTTTGCCGTTTCTGGGAAATCGTGGATGAGAAAAGGTGCGACGAGGGCGATCACCACGGTTAGAAGGCCTTCAAGGATAAAGATCCAGCGCCAGCCAGCATAACCGCCCACGCCATCCATTTTCTAAGCACGTTCAGTGAGCCATCCTGGGGAGGGTCGGAGTACATACCGCAATTGCATACGCGAGGATTCCGGAGAAGGCACCTGCAATGCTGGCGGCGCTGAAGAACAACGCCTGACGATACTGGGCACGATGCCGAGGATACCACAGTGTGATGTAGTATGCGATCCCAGGATATAGTCCAGCTTCTGTAAATTGCACATTAGCAAAAATATTAGGTGTGATGGCTCGATGGTTAACTCACCGGCAACGCCCAGGAAGAGACGTGCACTCAATAGCCCCCCATAGTTCTGAACCACCCCCATCAACGTCTATCAAAGCAGCTGTCAGCTCCGTCTTGGACAAAAGAATTGGCTACGAAGGATGACGTACCATGACGATGCCCCAGGACACCATGAGCAGGGGTAGGAGACGCGAGGGCCTCAGCTTCTTCAGTAGCAAGTTGCTGGGCATTTCAAACACACAATAGGTGAAGAAGAAGACAGTTACTATATTTTATGAATGTGCACCCTCGTACCGTAGATACATGGGATACGTACAGCACCAATTGTATTGCGGCCCCGTCATATGCAAATCATCGAGAAGTCCCTCGATTTTCGCATTCCCGATATTTCCACGGTCCAGGAAGGCCAAAAGATAGAGAATCGCAAGCATCGGAATTAACTGTACGTCCATCTTACGTAGCACCTGCTTTTCCATGTCTGGCGAGAATGTAGGTGGCGTTACCATGTCGGTGGTTTCTCCAACATTTGCTCCAAGCGGAGCCTCAATTCCTTCCGTGAACGTGGAACTGGATTTTTCCATATCATCTATTGTGGGAGGCATTTTCCGTAGTGAAGATGTCGTGAATAGAAACATGGGATTCTCAACAAAAAGGCGTGATTTTGAGTACACTTTATACTGTGTGTTCTCAAAGTGGTGTTTCCCCATATCCCCACAACTTTGCTATGCTCGTCTGGGTGCCGCCCCTTGGGGCGGAATGATGCGGGCAGGCGAATACAATCCATAGCCAGGAGGCGGATTAGCGAGCCATCAGCCATCGGATTCTTTCCAGCCATATGGGCCTGCAAGAAGATGCCAAGTACGCGCCAACGGGATGTTGAGATGTTGCGACGAATGAACTTCATTTGGGGGAAGCATCGGATCCGATCCGCTCTTCTTATCGGAACCGAGCCGACATCGAGACCGGATGCATTCAGGGCGACTTGTGCAGGCCTATTAAAGGATCAGCATGAACAACCATCTCCATAATGCCCTTTTTCTCACTTACACCTCTGTTTCCGTACCCCCCCCTATAGGATCGGATAGCCCAACTCACGACGACCAAAAATGGAAGACTCAAAGGATGCTCAACGCTCGGTTGTCATCATTGGCGCCGGCACACAGGGCAGGCGACTTGCATATATGGTAAGAAACTGACGTATCTCCATTTTCGGGACGTTACTGATCCCATATTAACCCACACGTGCTACATAGTGGTCACGCAGAGGGGGCCCTGTTCGCCTGATTGACTACAATGAACAGCAACTCGACGGGGCCTTGCAGTACGTGCAACGCCTTCAAGAGATATCCAATGATAAAAGTGAAAACTGGGGGGACGTTAAAATATCCACTCCTCCTCAATTAGCATCCGTGCTGCGGGATGCTTGGTTGATTGTCGAGGTATCTAGCCATCTCCAAGAAAGCAGTCAATTGATTATGCCTAAACGAATATCGTACGCAGTGTGTCCCAGAGAAATTGGCATTGAAACAGAAGGTCATTAGTCAGCTTGACGACCTTGCTTCGGACAGCACGATTATCGCTTCGAACTCGAGCAGCTATGGGATTGGGGAAATCATAGAAGGGATTGAGTTGAAGAGCACTCGAAGAATGCTCAGTGCACACTGCTGTAAGCGATAATTGCGATTAAATGCCCATCAAGTATTTAAACTGACCGAGCATTCGGGGAGAATTAGACTGGCCCCCTGAAACCTCAGGTACACTTTCTACTATAAATCATCGCAATGTGTGAACCCTACTTACTGATTCTCGTTTTCTTAGCAATCGAAATCATGGGCCACGAAGAAACGGATCTGTCCTTGATCACCTTACTGTCAGATCGATGCACAGAACTTGGATTCTCACCGTTCCATGTCCAGAAAAGGTCCATCGGCTACATATACAACAGGTAGAATGAATATACTATTCCTTTCACGGTATGCTGACCACATGTCGCAGGATCTGGGCTGCAATCAAGCGCGAAACCCTCCAGGTGCTATCCGAGGGCGTCTGTGGGCCACAAGACATCGATGCCATTTTTAAAGACGTTCTGCGAACGCCCATGGGTCCTTGCGAGCAAATGGACGTTGTTGGTTTGGATGTTGTTCTTGACATCGAAAAACACTATGCCGAGTCTCGGACTGGGATTCCAAGTGAACCTCGGGAATATCTCATGAAGATGATACGGAATGGCCATTTGGGAGTTAAAAGTCATCGAGGATTCTACGACTATAAAGCTACAAGCGAACAGCTGCCTCGGATTCGACAGAGTCCTTCGTTGAAAACGGTTTCAAGAGCATCGTAGAACGTCTGCATTTCCTTCAGAGAAATTCTCTCTTTTTTTCTTTTTTTTGATATATCTATTTATGTCACATCATCTATTGTTTTCCATCTTTCCTAGCTTTGGCGCAGCGGCTGACATTTTGCTTCCCGTGAGATGTAGTCTCAGTGCCTAATCATGGACCAAAACTCTCCACCTGGAATAAAGTATATGTGGATACAAGCGGGCCTTCGCCTTTGTTAGACGAATATATTTTTTATATATGGGAATTCAATTTTTGCGGCCGTCTTTCCCAGTCATGGCTATCATGCAGGTAGAGTCAGGTTAGGGTACGTTCTCTTCTGCCGTGGATATCCTGATTACTCCCCCCGGGAGAAAGAAGTCGGCCCTGCTATCTTTCAAGTGAGCAACAGACTACTTATCACCAATCTCCGAGTAACACACATATTCGCTCTACAGTTTTACATCTCAGTGTATCAGAGACACCATGTACAATGGCGCTTTCTTATCAATGGGGGCTATTGCGTAATAGAAACAAACAACTCATAGTTTGGGCTAAAATCAAAGTCTCCAGACGAATGTAGAATAATTTGAACCAGACCAGCCTTTCGTGGATACCATTGCATCATGACACAACACAAATCTCGATGAGCGCAACGTTAAGTTCCAGTCTCATTTCTTGCTTTGATAACCACTGATGATTTGCTTGACTTGGTTGACAATTGCAGCTATCTGGACTCCTAGAAAGAAAAGTGTATCATAAGTACTATTCCCTACTATCTTATTGACAGCTTAGATGAAACTAGCTGACCTACCTCCCTTCTGATCAGCGTCTTGACCATACCAGCCAACCCAGTCCCAGCATGCATTTGTATTAGGAAGCAACATTCCTCCCCAAATTGTATGCAATGAATTATCCGTCACCGCTTGTGGGAAGAGGATAATAATATTGTTTGTATCTGTAGAGTAAGTTAGGACAATGACAAACAATATGAGAAATACTTACCAGCCCACTTATTATACCCCGTGTTGTCGATGAATTTGGTCCCAACTTTGTCATGACTCTGCAGACAGCCATGCAGGGCCACATGTAGTTTACAAACCGTGGAACCATCCACACATGATGTAGGAACATATAAATAGCCCGTAGTATCCATCCCTGCAGCACCATACGAGCTCTGCTGCTCAAAGGAAATAAATTGACCAGTCGATGGGCCAGGATTGCGGGCATTTAGACTGCCATATATCCACTTTAAGACTGCGCCTGCACCATCGTACCCGCAATTACTAACATATGGTGATAAGGCCATGCTACAGGGACTGTTTCCAGATCCATCAAAGTCTGTGGGAAACGTATGAGCTGCTCCTTGTGTAGTAATATAGGCAGTGTTAGACTCATTCACAAACTTTGATAGCTGCTGTCGCAGCTGCTCCATCACACTAGGGCCAACAGTCGTATCGACTGAACCAACTTGCATGTAGACCTTGCGGTCCTTGAGATTCGAAACATCAGCGATTTTATTCCCACTCCATGATTTCATATTGGCCGTTGGTGCAGTGATAGACGGCTTCATGTTGTTCATACATGTGGTGTACTGCAGTAGATATGGAATATTAGTACCTCGAACCGATTCGATTTGTGGGGGTCTTACGGTTTGAGCCCTAGCGCAGTCAAACGGGCCCCCGGCAAACACACCGAATCCTGTCGAGAAAGTATCGGAGTGAGCAATCGCAAGCTGTGCGGCCATAAAGCCACCGCTGGACAGGCCGGACACGGATACGTAGTTAGGGTCGACATTGTAGGCATCAAGTGCCGCCGCCGCCGTGCCAGTTGCGAGGCAGAGAATGCTCACATAGATGTTGTTGCTGAGCATTATGTATGCTCTGCTTCTATACAGACTCTGAGAGCAAGCTGGAAAGGATGGCTTGTGTTGTAGTCTTCTCTGGGGATATGAATCCAGTGTCAATTTGACTCATAGTGTGTTGCAAAGGCAATAAGTACAATTTATAGCTCGACCTTGACCGGTAGGAACATTACGAACTTGATTGATGTAGATCGGATCCGAATATTGGAAGTAGCAGCGGAACCGATGAGTGCGTACTATTATTAATGGAATCTGTTGGCTGCGGATTTTCTACTTCACCTACACACTCCATGTTCTGACTACTCCATGATCGCCCCCAGTGCCCCTCTTTTTGTCATGTTTATGTTGCATTCAGTTAGGTTCATTTGACCGAGTGCATCCCACACTGAGCTTGTACGTATCTTAGCGGAGGCTACTCTCGTATATTGAACAATACAATTCTTGCCCTGGACGGGGCAAAAGGTCTTCTTTCATGCTCTCTCTATGGCCTATGCAAGTAAATCCCCAAGCCATGGTCTTATCTGCCACGCAAAGTAAGGGTATGAGTATCTCGTGCGTTGTACTTCCACCTAGGTATTTCGCACTACGTGTACTCCTGGAAGTGCCTGGAAGTGCCCCCGAAAGGCCTGCATCACCTCTGCCACTGTGCATCCAACCCTGAGTACAGATCCGGAAGCTGTCCCACGCCGGAGGGCAAATCCTTGGCTAAGAACATCCCCTTGGCTGCTTTGACCGACTTGGAACTCTGGGGGAGGTGATCTAACGCACGAACTAGAACCGATTGCAGGTTTTTATGGGCGCTTCCAGTAATCTTGCCTAGAGCCAGGTCTCGATCGACGGCCTTTTGGACCAGTTGCACCACGGCAACAATGTGGTGAGGGTATGGATCGAGGGCAATGATAGGAACGGAAGCAGACGTCCCAGGAGTACAGACACATCCCGAAGGGACCGAAGGTGGCTGAATGCTCAGGGTAACGGTATTGTGGAGGCCGAATATCAATGCGTTGACGACTACGTTCTGCGCGTCAGTACTGGCCTCTGCGACTTCAGCCAGCAAGTCTAGGCGACCCGTGACCTCGATAGAATTGACTAGTAAGAGGATACTGAGATGATAGTGCAACATCAGCGAGTCTTAAGGATGTTAGTGAGCAGGTCTGTTCCAATATGCCCGGGACGACTCACACCAGCGGAACCGAATCTGCTCTCCGAGAAAGGGCATCCGCCGTTGGCATGCCTCTAACGGACCACGATATATGTCATTAAACTCCTGGATAAACTCGACCACTAGTCGAAACGCTTTATTGATTTCCGACTCGTCGTGACCGTCCCTCAGAGCTTCCTTAAAGACCGCCGTCAACTTCCAAGCCAACAGTTTCCACGCAGACCCGCTGGCAACGATTTGGCTCGCTCGCTCGTCCGTTATCTCACTGGCTGCGTTGGTATTCCATTCTTGCATCTGCTTCTGAAACTTGGCCGCACCAGCCCTCACCAGACGCCACGGGAGCTCACTCTCGAATCCAAACAGCCCCGAGGACAGCAGAGGCCGGCAGTTCAGCGTCAAAGACGCAGAGGTATCAAAAGTCAGCGCGGCCCAGTACGCTATATTCTCCGCCGTGATAAAGTCCGTGGTTGCCACGGCCTCCGGGATCGCTGGAATCACGTTTGATTTTATCGGTTCCGATACTTTGGTGCCGTTGAATTGCAGGCTCCGTTGCCGCGCCCGGAGGGTCTGGATCTGTTGCAGGGCAGCGTGAATACACGCCTGGCCCGAAATGCCGTCGAGCTCCTCCTCCTCTGAAATCCCCGCGGGAATTGGAGTTAAGGCGAACAGGAAGAGAGCCAGCATCGAGCGGTACGACGGGCGGTTGATCACACGAAGCATATCTCGGCGGGCATGCCGCCAGAGCGCATGTACGATGCTTGGACATCGCCGTATTGCATCTAGTTTTCCTAACGCCAGGGGTAGCCATCTCGCCGAGAAGGCGGCCATGGCACTCCTTAGAGATTCTTCCTCTCCACCGCTACTACGTTCCGGCCCTCCCGGCATTGCAGCGTCGCGGGGGGGCTGCTTTCTCATCCAGTGGTCCAGATAATCACAGACATCAGAAATTCTCGTGTCATCATTATTGAAACTGGTTTCCGAGCTATGAGATGTCAGGAACAAGAGGGTGGGAAAGCACAGGAGCACCGGCTTGCACCCACAGAAAAGGACACCCATAGCTGCTCATCCACGAGCCAAAAATAGTATCAAAGCCCGTTTGATAGACGGCCTGCAGTAACTGAGCGTCGGAGGGGTTGAGAACGTCCAATGGAGAGCCCGTCAAGATGGTAGGGTCTGCCACGGTCAGTAATCGGGCCTCATTTGGGCTGCGATCCTCGGCTGCCACCCATGCTCGGTGGCCGATTGACTGTTGCGTTGTTTCCACCGGTTCCGAAGCTTTTGGATAGTCGTCATCCTGCCTGGTCTTGTTGCTCGCCGCTGCCGACGCCGAGTGATGTTGTCGACGGCGGCTCTCTCGAACCGAGTCTGAGAGATGTCGCCCGATATTGCCTATCCACTGTATCCGGCGACGAATCAGTCTCGCCACTCTCCTCATGCGGGGGTTTCTCTCGGATTCTTGGGGGCTACCTTGAAGGTGCACTGGCGGTGCCGTTTGAGACATCGGCTGCAGGAGACAGGCAAACGGTCGTCGACATTACCTCGGCTGAGGGCGTCGCACCTCACCCGGGATCGACGACATTCATCACAGCTAGAAAATTGCGTCCGGCGGGGCGCAGCATCCTTCTGCATTGTGGAGGTGCTCTGCTGGTGTCACAATACTAGTGGAGAAATAAGACCATAAATAAGTCAAAAATACTAGTAGCTAATAAAGCTTTCCCTCGTTTCTATGCGGGGTATTCCGTGGGTACCATCTGCAATTCAGTGGATAACTGCTAAGACTTCGTATACGATTGGCTGTTTTGCATCGGTTCCGACTGCTTGTTTCTCAGGGATTTCCGCTGGATCTGAACCGACAGGGCTTTCCAGACGGGAAAAGAGGGGAGTAGCATCTTTCAACCCCGCGTATGCCAGTTGCTTGGGTACATTCAAAACCCTAATCGTCTTGGGCTCTATCTTGGCCTACTCCCTTTGTAACCACTAGTATCAACACTATTTTACGCCAAGACCAAGCAGCTGCTTCTCCAAGATGAGGCAGGTGAATACGAGGCTTCTCCCCACTCCTAGGTAGCAAGAAATGAACTACGGGAGAATTCCGTAACTAGTGGCCCGGTACGAATCCTAGCAAAGTGGAGATTTCCGGGATTGGCGCTGCGTGGAAACTTCTCCCTATGTTTATTGGCAGACTGGTACAATAATGATTGAGGACTCCATAGCAGGCAACATCATTTCTCACCACTAGTATTCTAGCTTAGCCTTACAGTTACTCTCCTAGTATAGCTTCCTGTATCAATAGGTTTACAAAGGACCAGTATTTGCGCCCGAACAAAGGCATACTGAGGTTTTCATTATCCTCTCCTAGCACACGCATAGATTAACTCGGATTAGAGATAGCATTGGCCAGGCTATAGGGTACCATTAATACATGAATATATTAATCCCTATAGGAATATACGTCAGGTGAGCAATGCATAGAATAATGGCCAGCATGCAGACTATCCTAGAGACTCAAACAGGAGGCAGAATGAAATCCCCTCATTCTGCGATCATCTCCCCATTCTCCTCACCCCCCTCATCGTCTCTGACAAATTGCTTCCGCAGTTGAGACACTCTCCGCACACGTAATGAGATGCCTAGCTCGTATTCAACTGACAAACCCAACGCTGACGGCATCCAGTCGGAGATCCTGCGGATTGGCTTTAGACTCGAGGCAAGCTTTCCTAAGCTTTGTCGATCTGCACAGGGTGGAGCAGCTAGCTATCAGACGCCCTGTTCCGTTGTAGCCGGTAGCTCAGATGACCAAGGGATGAGCATCGTCCTGCGATAAGGCAGCACATGCAATAGTGGTTCAAATTGCTATATAAACAACCAACACCCCGGTCCTCGGGTTGATATATAAACATCTGAATCATTCTTTCCATCAATCAATTCATTGACATATCATGCATCCTGTCTCCGGCCTTCTTGTGACCGGACTTCGAGTCCTCGCAGTTACCAGTGCCTGGCAAGCGGTGTACTCGCTACCAGCATCGGGCGCCCCTTATGGCTGGGCCGGCCCTGCTGGGGACGACGAGTCCAACGCTGGTCCTCCTCTTCGAGGCAGCTCGTCGCTTCTTGGCGTCGGTCCCAATGAGGTGAATCCATCCAGTAGCGGCCAGGTCCCCAAGTCCTCGTATGACCTCGCCCCGGGCCAAGGTGCCAGTGCGGACATTGGTATCCCTTTCACATTCAAGGACACGTCCAATCCACAGCCCATCCGCGGGGATCTCGGTTCCACGGACCCCGGTCCACGCACCTACGACTATGACCGTCTCAATCCCGACACCTTTGCTCCGCCGGCTTCAGATCGCGGATCGATTGGTCAAGGAAAGTGGCCTCTCGGTCTATCACATAACCGCATTCTCCCTGGACATGCAGGATGGACTCGTCAAGAGAACACCGATGTCCTCCCAATGGCAACCGCCATGGCGGGAGTGGACATGAAACTCGCTCCGGGAGCATACAGAGAGCTTCATTGGCATAGGGCCAACGAATGGAGTCTGGTTCTCAATGGCAGCGTGCGCGTCCAGACCATCAACGAAGATGGCGAGACCTTCATCGATGACGTGACAGCCGGCGACGTGTGGTATTTCCCTGCTGGCGTGCCACATTCCCTGCAGGCGCTGGATGAAGGCGCCGAGTTTATGCTCGTGTTCGACCAGGGTGATTTCAACGACGGTGAAACTGGTCTGATCACAGAGATGTTCCTTCGCAACCCCAAGGAAGTATTATCGAAGAACCTCCAGGCACCCCTATCGGATTTTGACGACCTGCCCAAGGACCAGTTGTATATTTTCAATGGAACACCGGCCCCCGCAAATCTCAGTGAGCAAACCATTACGGGCCCAGGTGGGATTGCCTCTGGCAACTCTAGTTATACGTATCATTTCTCGAAACAGGAATCGTACGAGGTCCCTGGGGGCAGTGTCAAGATCATCGACCCGCAGAGTTTCCCAATCGCCGAAATGTTCAGTGCCGCCTTAGTAACGATTAAGCCGGGGGCGATGCGTGAAATCCATTGGTATGTTGAGCCGCAATACCCTCCCCTGTGTCAGCCACTCTGTGCCCAATATCTAACCTGTCCGCGTAATCAAGGCATGGGACCAGCGACGAATGGGGGTTTTTCCTTTCCGGTAATGCTCGGGTCAGCGTCTATGTTGCCCCTACAAAGGGCGCCACCTTTGACTTCTCCGCTGGCGACATCTCGTACGTCCCCGCAACTGCATCTCACTACATTGAGAACACTGGCGACGAGGATGTTGTCTTTCTTGAGGTTTTGCAAGCCAAGAGATTCACAGATATCTCCGTTGGACAATGGTTGAAGCTCACGCCGAAGCAAATTATCAAAGATACTTTACATTTGCCGGATAGCCTGCTGGACAACCTATCCCCTAACAAGCAGTACGTGGTGCAGGGGAATCCTAACCTTACAGCTGTCGCAGATGGAAGCGGGATTGCGTAGATGCCGTGCAGGCTGAAGGACAGGAGAGTTTTGTATAGCCAGAGCTCTGATGGTATTAGACTTGCGATAGTCTGGGAATTGCTGTTTAGTGAATTAAGCTTCGTTTCGGTCAGATCAAATGTTCAGTCTTACTCCTATATGACAATTATAAGTACCTGCCAACCCGAGTTCAAATGGTGTGGACTTGTGCAGAGAATTACAGCTTGGTAGTAGAACCTGATATTTGTAATCGACCAGCTTGACCTAGACAAAGACGACAAAATATTCCCATGCCCGGCTAAAGATAAATCAAACAGACAATAGACAATTGACCAAGATTAATCGAATGAACGTGATACCGAAGTCAACACACAAGGGTCCTACATACCAATATTAAGTTTATAGTACAGGTTAGAGCAGTTCTAGTAACTCCCAGATAAGCAATAGCTTTGCTCTCAATAATAGCATTACTGCTCAGAGCCCTCGAGTAGATTATATTCCCAAGGCCACAATGCGGCTGCCAGTGAATAAAGAGGTGGGAATTCCTCCAGAATCTCCGTACTCGGGGGTGTGAGTACGCTGAGCTCTTGGTCATCGATTTGCACCTTTTTGGCTGTGGCGTAGTGGTAAAGCTCAGCACTACTACGCAGTCCGACTTAGGTCCTCGCTGTTGTTTTGAATGGCTTCATCAGCAAATTAATTAGTATTGAATACGAAAGCTCGTCGCCGATTAAGATAGTACAAAAGCGTCAATATAAAAAATTGGTCGTATTCTATTCAACCAATTGTATTCATAACATGGTTATTATCTCAATCAACATAGTAAAAGATCTGATCTACTCTACTACGCATATCTTGCCTACTTATCTGTGTGTGGGGGCTCGGTTGAGCAGCTGAATAATCACCACACTGATCATTTTCTAATAATCAGGCCTTTAGTATGTCGAATTAGATATTCATATTATGAATGAAATTGGTTGAATAGAGTACGACCAATATGATATTGACAATACATATACTTCCGCTTACCGTCCTTGTTAATTTCTATGGGATCACAAGTCCCTGCGTGGGACAGTTCGATTCGAAGCGATCATTCAGAATAAATTGGCATTGCTATAGGTAAGTGGGCCAAGACAAGGGCAAAGTGAAAACTAGATATCTGTAGAGTTAATGAGCCTGTCTTGTTAACGGAGTGTTGAAGTCTAGAGTGGCGCGGGTGTTCATGGCCGGAAGAGAAACAATTCAATTACTGCGCTGTGTTGAATCCTTAGGAAGATGGTATGCCGTGAGGTGCTAGGATAGCGGTGACTAGATAGTATATTGGAACTATCGTGCGATCTAGTATCGCATGGTGAGTATATTTATCTATCTTCGAGAGAGAGAGTAGACCAACGCCTCCTTATATCTACGTGTCCCTTAGCCCCTAAGTGTGATATCTTAGATCGCTGCGGGACTAGGATATCGGAAGGTGCCTTAGGCATCCTGATTTCCAATACCTGTAGATTTTAACAAAGTGACAACCGTCTTATACGCCACTTCAGTATACTAAGAAGGGCATAAGAGGTTCTAGGAGGACGCTTTATATAAGACTGTATTAAAAAGCACAGATGCTTTCTCTAGGAGTTATGATCTGACATGGACAAGTACTAAACTGCAGACCGAGTGTTTCCTAATTGACTCCGTTTAATTACTGCAAAAGCTTAAAAGTCCGTGGAGTACGATTGGTACGGATTCTACAGTCGAAAGTATCATACGTACATGACAAGGCAAACTTACATGAATAAGTGCAAGTCTTTTCGTGCCCGACGGTACCAAATAATGCGACTATCCCTTAATTGACCCTGCAAGGGAACGTCAGGGTTCCGCGCAAAGCGCAGTATTGCGTTTCAGATCCTTGGGAACATTAGAATTGAATCGACCAGTGGCTTGAAATGTATTCGCTTGTAATCACTCCTTGCAGAGGGTATGGTCTATTCCCAGTGTGACATCAATACCGGATAGGCTGCACAAATATAAATGCCGCCTGTTCTGCAAATCCTATCAACCATCATAACCCTACACCGGATGCTCTCTCAAGTTTGACACATCGTAAGACACAGCTCAGCTGATTAACAGACATTGTTGAATTTTGAAACAATGACTCGGTCTTGTTTCGACGAAACCCTTCTGTCCGACGCCTCGGCAAATCTCCCACCTCCCGCAGACCTACAAGACACCCCATTAGAGGGTTGTACGTTGTCACCGAAAGATAATACAACAGATGACAAGCGGGTACCATTTCCTATTGCTATTGTTGGCATGGCAATGAGGCTCCCTGGCGGAGTTCATTGTGAGAAAGAATTTTGGGATTTTTTGGTAAATCGTCGGGACGGCCATTGTAAGGTTCCCCAGGATCGATATAATATCGACGCTTTCTACAAAGATCCCACGTCTGGTCACGTACCAGGGACAATTCGAACTAAGTATGGCTACTTCCTTCAGCAAGATATATCGCACGTCGATGCTGGTTTCTTTGGAATAAGCAAGGTCGAGGCTGCCAAGCTTGATCCACAGCAGAGGATGTTGCTAGAAATCGTATGGGAGTGTATGGAAAATGGGGGCCAAACAAAATGGCGTGGAAGCAATATTGGCTGCTACGTCGGAGTCTTCGGTGAGGATTGGTTAGATCTTCTTAGTAAAGATCCCCAGGACAACGACCGATACAGAGTTGTGAGTGCCGGTGACTTCGCTATCTCGAACCGGATTTCATATCAGTATGACCTGCGTGGTCCAAGTATGACTATCCGAACAGGGTGTTCGTCCTCATTGGTTGGCCTACACGAAGCATGCCAAGCGCTATATTCTGGTGAATGTTCATCTGCATTGGTTGCTGGCACAAATCTTATTATTACTCCTACAGTAACTACGTCAATGTCCGATAATATGGTGATCTCTACAAGCGGTATCTGCAGAACGTTTGACGCAGCAGCTGATGGCTATGGTAGAGGAGAAGCGGTAAATGCAATCTTTATTAAGCCGCTGGAGACGGCCCTGAAAGATGGTGATCCTGTACGTGCTGTGATTCGCTCCACAGCAGTCAACTGTGATGGCAAAACACCCAGCATAACGACGCCTGGCTCGCAGGCGCAAGAGAGGTTGGTGAGGCGAGCATACCAGAAAGCACAAATAAAGGACATAAGGAAGACTGCCTTTTTTGAGTGTCATGGAACAGGAACAATTGTGGGAGATACGGCAGAAACGTCAGTTGTCGCGAAGATCTTTGGGGAAGATGGTATACATATTGGAGCGGTATGTTAGAATAGTTGCTCTCGGACCAACATACTGACAAAGTCCAGGTTAAAGCAAACGTTGGCCATTCTGAAGGTGCTTCAGGAATCACAAGTGTCATCAAATGTGTTCTGGCCCTCGAGAATCGAACCATTCCACCTAATGTATACTTTGAAAATCCAAACCCGAACAGTATGTCCCAGACCCTTGCAGTAGTTAGACAGTGCTTACCCTACTTTCGTCAAGTCTCTTTCCAGGGAGCAAAGTTGAAGGTCCCTGTGAAAGCCACAGCCTGGCCTGGTGATCGATTCGAAAGGATCAGCGTCAATTCGTTTGGGATTGGCGGCACCAATGCACATGTACGCCCCCTAATTTAGTTATCGAGTGTCGTCGAACCCTACGTACTGATCATGCTAGCTCATCCTGGACTCTGCTTCCTCTATGTGTAGGAAAGTGTCTTCCAGCGGTCCACACACCAGCAAAGGTCCTACTCTATTGCTTTTGTCTGGTAAAACATCAAAATCATTGGACGGCAATATCAAATCGACGACTAAATATCTTGAAGACAGCGTGGCTGCCTGGAGTGACGTTGCATATACTCTGGCCCACCGGCGAGAACACATGGATCACAGGGCATTTGCGATTGTTGAAGAAGGCAAGGCAATCCCGTCGTTTGAAAAAGGCCATCGGGGTTCCCTACAAACTTGCTTTGTGTTTACAGGTCAGGGAGCACAATGGCCAGGAATGGGCAAAGAATTAATATCGCAATCCAAGAAGTTCCGTGAAACTATCCGATCATTGGATAGAGTGCTGCAAAGACTTGAGGACACCCCTAAGTGGAGTATGGAAGGTGCGTCTAGTTACCAACATCGAAGCTTGCATGTCCTAATAAACAGATTACAGACGAGCTTTTGAGCCCGAGTGATGGTGATAAATTTAAAGAGGCTATGTATGCCCAGCCTCTCTGTACTGCTATCCAGATTGGGCTTGTGAACCTCCTTCGCGATTGGAACATTGAGCCTTCAGTTGTAGTGGGGCACTCCAGCGGAGAGATTGCTGCTGCCTATGCCTCAGGAGCAATTCCTGCTGAAGTCGCTATTACTGTAGCTTATCTTCGTGGGCACAGTATGAAATATGCGAAGACCAATGGCGCCATGGCAGCCATCGGTCTGGCACCAGAACAGATGAAACCGTATCTGAAAGATGGGGTGGTGATAGCGTGTGAAAACAGCCCCCAAAATGTGACTGTCTCCGGAGATAGGCAGGTACTAGAAGAGATTCTCTTGGATGTCCAGGTAGAGGGAGATATCTTGTGCCGCCGCCTTCCAGTCAATGTGGCATACCATTCGCACCATATGAAGGAGCTTGGAGAGATATTTGAAAACAGTATCCTACACTATATGTCCCAGAACCAGTCAATGGTGCCGCTATTCTCAACAACCACTGGTGATGTGATTTCTGACTGTAGTCGCTTTGATGCAACGTACTGGCGGCAGAACCTTGAGTCTCCAGTGCTCTTTAGTGCAGCCATTCGAAAGATATTAAATTATGAGAAGCAACCCAAAGTGTTTGTGGAGATAGGTTCACATTCAGCACTCTCAGGTCCGCTGCGGCAGATACTTTCCCAGTCAAACGAGAAGCAGAGACCATTATATATCCCTACTTTAGAAAGGAATAAAGATTGTTGGGAATGCATGTTAACCACAGCTGGTCGGCTTCATGTTCATGGCCTCCGGTTAGATTTATCGGGTATCATCGCCCCTGGAAAAGTTTTGACCGACATACCTCCATATTGCTGGGAGCATAATGAGAGGCTTTGGAGTGAGACACGGTTAACACATGATTGGAGATTGCGAAAAGATTCCTTCCATGAGCTGCTAGGCTGTCGAACACTAGAATCAAGCGACAATGAGCCAACATGGAGGAACCTCTTACAGCTTGATAATGCACTGTGGCTAATGGATCATAAACTTAGCGGCGAAATAGTCTTCCCCTGTGCCGGGTATGTTGCAATGGTCGGTGAGGCGATGCGCCAAATATCAGGTTCCGATGACTATTCTGTGAGAAATCTCTATATACGGGTAGCATTGGTGTTGGGCCAAACGGAAGCCACAGGCCTGGAGATTATCACTAGTCTCAGGCCTGCAAGGCTCGCGGACAATATTGACTCCCTTTGGTATGATTTTACTATAAGTGCATATCAAAAGGGCATATGGCAAAAACACTGCATTGGGCAAATCCGTGCTGGGCCGGACACTGTTCATGAACCGCCCCCAATCCTACCCTACTCTCGTCAGGTGTCATCAGACAAATGGTACAGAGCGTTAGAGGTTCGTGGACTCGAATATGGTCCTAGATTCCGTGGCCTTCAGTCCATTACAACTAGCCCATCAAGTCCTCGAGCAGCTGCGAATGTATATCATAACTCTGAAGAGTATGATATAAATCAATATGCTCTTCATCCAATTCTTATTGATCAATGCCTGCAACTTCTAAGCGTGGCGGCTACCCGGGGCATCAGTTATCGGATGAACAAGTTATGCATACCAGTCGCAATTGGAAGTCTATATATCGCAAGAGGCGAGGGGTTAATGTCTTTAGACGTCTCATGTGATACAGTGAGCGGCACTTTCAACGGGAATGCATCACTAGTTGCCGATGGCCAGGCAGTTCTCTCCATGCAGCGGGGCGTCTTTTTTGGAATAACAGATTCTTCGCTCAACGACAGTACGGGACCTTTGGTGTCAACACTCCACTGGAAGCCACATGTTGATTACGCTCCCCTGGAGCATCTGTTTCCTGTAATCCCAAGTGGTATTTACCCTGGAAAAGTGTTGGCTAAAATGACAAGCCTGATGATAGTGGAAACGTATCATCAAACAAAGTCATCAAAGCCAAAGAAGGAGCATTTGAAAAAATACCATAATTGGATAGGTACGCAATACCGGAGGATTTGTGCAGGCGGACACGATATTGTTCCAGAAATGAGGGACACGTCTGCCCTAGACCCGGCAAGCCGGTGGCCTCAAATCCATGAACTAATGAAGGAGGAATCTAACGCTTCCATCCTGCAGTGCTATCGACTTGCGGAAAGAGTCCTGCGCAGGATACATGATCTTTTCGATGATAAGGTCGATGGCCTGGAGCTTCTCATGGAGAACGACGGTCTCCAGAATATGTATGGCCATATGTCGACCGTTACTAACTGGGACACTTTTCTTTCTTTGCTCAGCCACACAAATCCCACCCTTCGCATATTAGAAATTGGTGGCGGTACGGGTGGTGCCACTTCGGCATGTCTTAAGGGGCTTGCATCTACATCGGGTCACAGCGGGAGGATGTATTCGAAATATACATTTACCGATATTTCAGCGGGATTCGTGACACAAGCCAAGGAAAAATTTAAGGAATTCTCTGGGGTCGAATTCTTAATTCTCGATATATCTCGGGACATTACGGAGCAGGGCTTTGAGATGGAGAGCTATGATTTGATTGTTGCTTCCAATGTCATTCACACAACTCCGAAAATCTCCGAGTCGCTTGACAATATTAAGAAACTTTTGGTCCCTGGAGGGTGGCTTCTACTGCAAGAGGTCTGTCCTTCAATACCTGTCATCGACTATATTGCGGGCGTTCTGCCTAGCTGGTGGCCTGCAGAGGATTCCCGAGAAACTCCTTATCTGTCGCCTGAGGAATGGCACCAAGAGCTAGTGAATGCCGGGTTCACTGGTGCTGAGGTCGTGCGCTACGACAATGATATACCATACCACATGAATGCCAACATTGTGTCCAGAATTCGGGCCCGAACCACTGTTCGTGGACATGTAAATATACTACATAGCGGCACCGTCACTGACTGGGCTCGCAGCCTTGAACATCTGTTGCTATCCAAAGGATTTAGCATCAAATGGCTGAATTTGCATGAGAGGCCTCCCCTGGTCACAAACGTAATTTCGTTACTCGATTTGGAGGGTCCGTTCTTCCATGAAATTTCCAACGCCGACTTTTACGCCTTTCAAAGATTCACTCAGAATATTCAAGGTTGTTTTCTGTGGCTTACGAGACCTATTCAACTAGCTGATAAAGACCCGGACCCTCGATTTGCGCTGGCCCTTGGAATGATGCGAACTCTGAGGCAAGAAATAGTGCGAAACACTGCCACACTGGAAGTTGACCGACTTGACGGACTCACGGCGGAAGCTGTCATACACATCTACATGAAAATGAAAGATCAGGAAGATGGCGAGAGTTCAGCACACCCTGAATATGAGTTTATCCTGAAGGAGGGGGCTATACATGTCGGCCGATTTCAGTGGAACTCCCTCGGCGATGTTACAACTACATTAAATGAGCCCAAGCCAAGAGCTTTAGACGTTGGATGCCCTGGATTACTTGACTCCCTGACGTGGACTTTGGCAGGGAGAGCGCCAACTTTGGAAGATGCTGACATCGAAGTTGATATTAAATTTGTGGGCTTGAATTTCAAAGTAAGTTAGACCCTGAGGTTTCCAGCAGGGAACTTACTAAACTACTATCTAGGATATCATGGTTTCCATGGGGCTAGTGGGAGACACTGGCGAGCAAGGGTTGGAGGCCAGCGGGATTGTTCGCAACGTGGGACCAGGAGTTACGAATATCCAGATCGGAGACCGTATTTCAATTGCTCGGAAAGGTCTGATGCGGACTCGCATAATACTGCCTGCCCGCTGCTGTGTTGTTGTGCCTGATAATCTATCACTCGAAGATGCTGCAGCCGGGCCTTGCGTCTTTATGACAGCGATGTATTCGCTGATACATTGTGGCAACCTACAAAAGGGGCAGTCGGTCTTGATCCACAGCGCGTGTGGTGGCGTGGGATTAGCTGCGATTCAGATTTGCCAGCTGATTGGGACAGAAATCTTTGTAACAGTGGGAAACAAGGAGAAAGCAACTCATCTCATGGAAAACTTCAGTATTGCAGAAGACCATATTTTCGACTCAAGAAGCACGTCATTCCTCCAAGATATACTCAAGAAGACAAAGAACATTGGTGTTGACCTAGTGTTGAACTCTTTATCGGGCGAGTTATTACATGCTTCATGGAAATGCGTTGCGCCCTTTGGAAAGATGATTGAACTTGGAAAACGAGACTTTATAGGTCATGGCAAGCTGGATATGGATCTTTTTCAGGATAATAGGTCTTTTATTGGTGTTGACCTTCTTGAGATTGGCTACAAACGACCTCAACTTCTTCAGAGGTTGATGAAACAGTTCCTTGAATATTTTCGCGACGGCAAAATTGGCTCTATACGGCCTGTGAGTGTCTATGAGGCATCGAATATTTCCAAGGCATTTAGGTACATGCAAACTGGACAACACATTGGAAAAATTTTGATACGTATGCCAGATGACCCTTCCACTATTCCAGTATCTAGGTTGGAGGAGAAAGGTGCTCTTTTCCGTCATGACGCGTCTTATCTCTTGATTGGTGGTTTCGGGGGTCTTGGACGCACTGTTGCAACTTGGATGGTGGAAAAGGGTGCTCGTCATTTTATCATCATGTCGCGTTCTGGTCAGGAAGCGCCCCAGAACCGAGCCTTCGTTGAAGATTTGGAAAGCCAGGAAGATGTCCATGTCATCAGCATAAGCGGTACCGCTTCTCGCATTGAGGACGTTAGAAAAGCAGTTGCCGCAGCCAGAAAACCTATCGCAGGTGTCATTCAAATGTCCATGGTATTGCAGGTGGGTTTGGTGTCATCAAACTGGAAGGGGAGTATGGTTGAGCAGGATAATTAATGCTAACGCCTCTCTTCGAAAACTATAGGACCAACGTTTTGACACGATGACTTTCGAGGAATGGACAACCGTTCTTGCTCCGAAAGTGCAGGGCACGTGGAATTTGCACCACGCCGTTAAAGGCATATCACTAGACTTCTTTGTCCTCTTCAGTTCCCTTACTGGTATATGCGGCTTCCCTGGGCAGGCAAACTACGCTGCAGCCAATTCGTTTTTGGACTCATTTGTGAAGTACCGCAACTCGAACGGCCTGCCAGCGAGTGTACTTGACATTGGCTTCATGGGAGACATCGGCTATATACCTCAACATGCTCCGAAGACACTAGAGTATGCCAGTTCAGCCTCGTGGAGGATCCTAGAAGAGAGGGATCTCCTCCGCGCTGTTGAACTCGCGATTCTTCAAGGTCCACATCAGCTTGCCATCGGCCTTGGGACCACGAAGCCGCTCTCCGAGACGAGAGCTGAACCCCCATGGGGAGCCGACGCTCGTTTTGCTGTATGGCACAATGTGTTAACAACGACAGGAGAAGACCCTGTAACTGAGGACGAGGCTCTCAGGGTACTGGTGTCGTCTATTGAGCGAGATCCGTCTCTCCTATATGAAAACGCAACCGAGGACAAAATCACCTACGAACTTGGCCGAATGATTGCTTCTCACATGTCATACTCCGAAGACTTGGAGTTTAATGAACTTGCGGAGCTGAAGATTGACTCTCTAATGGCCATTGAGATTCGCAGTTGGTTCCGTCGGCGCACTAAGATCGAGATATCCCTCGCTGAGATATCTAATGCCGGCACTGTAAGGGGCTTGAGCAAGGCTACGATGAAAATGTTTCGCGAGAAACACCGTTCTGGCGAACTAAAAGGAAAGAAGGGTTTACTCTCTAATGAATCCCAGAACCCCGGGTCTCAGGAGCTCGATGAAATGGAGCTCTGGTTGCAGGACAAAAACTTAGCAACGAACCTAAAGCCGATCTTGGGCCAAGTACCGGATTGGTGTTCCCCTTCCGAAGGCAGAGTGTTTCTCACTGGCTCAACAGGGTACTTAGGGAGCTTTTTCCTGGCTCTTCTTGCAGGTCTTCCACAAGTAAAGGAGGTAGCATGTTTGGTTAGGGCGCCTGATGTCTCCACTGGGATGTCTCGGATTAGGGAATCCTTGTCTAAGTATGGTTTACCATCAGACTTCGAGTCTAAGATTGTAGCTGTACCTGGAGACATCAGGAATCCCACACTTGGCCTCAGGCAAGAACAATATGAGCAACTTGCGCAGCGGTCGAGCGTTATCTTCCATTTAGCGGCCTTTTCGAACTATACCCTCCCTTATTCTGCGCACCGAGATATCAACGTGTGTGGTGTTCTTCATATGGTTTATTTTGCTAACAGCATGCGTCTGAAACAGCTGCACTATTCATCAAGTATTTCAGCGTGCGGCGCGGTAGGTTATTTTTCAGGCGAAATCATCGCTGAGGACCAGGAGCCAGCGTTTGATATCGGGTATGTGAAACAGCATATCGGATACACTCAAAGCAAAGTCATTGCTGAAAGCGTCGCTTGGAACGCCATCTCCAATGGGCTACCGGTTACAATCCATCGGCCCGGCTTCGTAAGCGGGCACAGCGTGACGGGTTCTTGTAAGCCCGATGACTTCCTTACGCGTCTGATGAGCAATTGTATCCGCCTCCGCTGCTATCCAGTAGCGCCTTCAGTGAGAAACCAATGTATTCCAGTGGACTTCGTGTGTTCAGCCATGCTACGCATATCTCTCTCCAGTGACAATATCGGTCATGCGTATAATATTGTTCAGCCTGATCAATCCCAGACAATTACGTGGGACGAGACGTTTGAGATCCTCAGCCAATTTTCCTCTCCACCACTGCAACGTGTCACACCGTCTAAGTGGATCAGCGTGTTTGCAGAGCATAGTGATTCCCGCGAGAAGGGGCGTGTATCGGTCATGAAACAGAAGCTTGACGAAAACATGATCTTTTGGGCACTCGATGGAGGCACGATGGCGCTCTATGAGACTGGAAATCTACGTCGGGCTCTCTCTGATTTTCCCGAGGTGCTCAACGTACGACCTACGTCTGAATTATTGAAGACATACTTCCCAGTTTGGGAACGGCAGATATAGGGCATCGGCGGTTGGCTACCCTGCCGTCAGCAAATTGTCTCGCATTTGGTAGTCTAGGGGAAGAAAAAATGTGTTAGCTTGGTCAATAATCTTGACTATTTGTGACGATCGCTCCGCGCATTTTGTCAGAATCTCAGAGGGTGAGAGAACTCAATGAGTTGGAGTTATTTAACTACCTAAAAGTAGCGGCATTTCATAGAAAATAATGTAGGCACTACTGAGGAGGCGCTACCTAGTCCTAAAGCGACGGTGAGGTGGCCTTCCCCAAACTCATCTCCGTATACGTACAAAGGTTGTTAACTCGACACTTGTTAACCTACTCGCCAAGCGTATTGACAAGTATCAACTCCATGAATCTATGAAGAAGTGAATAATCTACTAGACCGGATAGACTGGCCGGTCAGCTAGGTAAGATAATAAAGTATCACTATCTCGTAGTAAGAGATATTGGAGCCTAATCCTTGGTTTCTTCTTCAAATAGATCAGGAGGATATATAGAAAGCCCACGAGTAAGACAATGATACAGTTTAGAGCTCGGCAAATATCTGCAGTTAACAGATAACCTGCAGATATCTGCGAATAAATACAGATCAGATCACTCTGAAAATTTATCTGTTATCTGCAGGTAATATCTGAACAGATAGTATTATGCAACAGATACAGATAATAATACTATCTGTTCAGATATCTACCAGATAAATCACATGACTACCTTGTAGTGCTGGAAGTGTTAAAGTATACCGGGCACTGTCTATTATTTTAAAGCTACAGTGCTAACGCTATATTAGGTGTTCTTAACCCGTTTCGTGCTTCTGCCTATGTAGGGCTTGTCCAGAATCACCACAGTAAAATAAGCCTGTTGTGGAAGTCAGGCGAAGTGATGCGCAGGGAGCTATTCTACAAGCTACAGGCCAACTAGCCTAACTATGAAGTAGATGTCATTCAGTGGAGACACCAGGAATTGCAGTATCTCAACCAACTGAGCCTACTGAGCGGTTCCCTATATTCTCATTGAGGTGTTCAACTATCTAAAGGATTCAGGGGTTGAATCGGTCGTCGGATACTCCGCACCGCCAAGTCGGGCAGATTATAGTGTTTCCGTAAAAAGCCAAAGCCAGGTACTGCGTCTGGAGGAATTTCCTGCATGGTTAGTAGAAATAGGGCCAGATGCCTTAATATAGTATTGAGAGGTTAGACCCGAAGGCTGGATATCAGTCCCTTCTTGAGAAATTAAGACGAAGAATGCAAAGCCAGAACTTTTAGAAGCTGTGACAATTAAAGTCACCAAGAAGAAAATACTAGAAGAAAGAGCTTAATCCGCAATGTAGGTATAGGATACCTAGGAATAGTCTGCTTAATAGCATGTATAAATAGAGGGAATATGTCTATGAGATGTAAAATATTCAGCTAGATCTTGGCTATCTCATGCGACTGAAAAAGTCCAGGTCAATATCGTCAGTAAATAAAGCACCCAATTTAATTATATATATTTCTAGGTCCAGTGATTACGAATCTCGTTTCGGGCTTACTATGTACAGGGATTGTCAACTATAGGCTCATGTTCTTATAAAAATAAAAGCGGCATGGTGAAATCCACTTACATCACATTACATGGCATAGTTATCTGTTTTACCTGCAGATAATCATTCCAAAAGTAAACAGATCAGGTAAATGAATTATCCAATCAGCAGATATCAGTTTCCAGCTCTAAATACAGTTATGAAGTCATATGTGATAGATCAACATGTGGGATCAAAACAAGATATTATAGTTAATCACTGTCACAGCTTATCGGTAAAGATTCTCGGCCAGAACGCACCAGTTCCTGACGTACCCTTTACAGGACTGAAGCTCTAGACTAAGCGAATATTCAAGACTAAATACATAAGAATAGGGGTCAATTTGGATCACGAAATATGGCGACATTAAGGCCAATAAGTGAATCGGGAATAGTGGTATCTAAAGGTTGACGAAAACGAATTCGATATAGAATAAATTGACTCAAAACCAGCGTGGCTTTCGTCTTGTATACTATATCGTACAAAACTATATTGAGCTAGAACATAGGTTGTTTCCCAAATCCTCCCAAAATACGTGGGTTTGCCATGCTAAAACCATCTTCCATCTAAAATAAAGGTACTAGGGAAATAATAAACAATATCTAGCAATCTAGCATCCTCAACTAACACACACACACAAAAAAAAAAAGGAAAGAAATGAAAAGAAATAGAAAAAAGAAAAGCCTCTGACAACCGTATTGTCCAGGTATCTATGTATCTATAATCCTTGTTTCGAAAAGCGTAACAGTTGCAGCATCCTTGCGCAAACGATGTTACCTTGTATAATGGACAAGAAATTCGACTTTTGCCAGCATGCTGTCAATGACTCCGCTTGAGGAGACAGGAGGATCTGACGTCAGAGCGAAGGTAGCAACAAACCCCTGGATGCATTCACTTGAGTTCACACAAGTCTCAAGGAATGCAATACGGCCTAGAGGCCAGGCGCCTAGAGGCATGATCCGCCGGAATATTGACAAATCTACGACTATTCCCTATTTCATACGAACAGTATGGAGCAAAAATAGAAAGCAGACTGACAGAGCTGCTGGGCATACGACGTGCACTTAGGAGTAGATGACGAATCACGGGGACTATGTAGGTTGCCTTGAAAAAGCAATGGTGTCAACAGTGAGCACGAGGACCAGTTCGATAGAGGTATTTGCTTTCGCCTTGCACAGTGTCCCATGAGGGATGGGGCAAGTATCTAGATAAGACAGTTGACGCCGATTCTTTTTCAAGAACCTACTCAGTGAAAATAACATTGCTCTACATAAATTCGTTCTCAAGTGATAACCCACTGACCAATGGCGTGAATAATGATGTACTTAAACAGTATTCAACGATTGAAATAGGAAAACCATTCCGGAATTTCAAGGCACGCGATGTCGGGTATTTACTTTCATCCCCTGGAAAGGGCGAAAAGTGAAATCGATCCTTACGTCTACCTGCGTTTATAGCGAACGCCACTTCCTTACGTACATGCTGAAGTAAATGACTTATGACCAATCCTTGCTGGCCCACACATATTATTACAAAGGATGTCTGCGGACCGAGGCACCAGTCAGCATAATTGGACAATAGGCTTCTTCCTACGGTCTCTCTGTCCAGTCAAGCGTAACGAGATCTCTCTTCCACCAAAAAAAAAAAAAAAAAAGTTGAATATGCAAGGACAAAAAAACCTTCCATGATCATTTACTCAGAGCACGGAAGAAATATACCCAGAATGAACATTTTACGGCTTGGTTAGCTTACCACAGTACCCCTAGAAAAAATCTGGCAAGAAGAGGTTCCTTTCCAATCAACTGCGTTGGTTTCCAGAAACCCACATTGCGCGACAACTGGAATGTTGCGTACCAAAGGCCTTAGAGAATGTAACAGTTTCCTATTGCTCGGTACGGGGGGTTGTCCTTGCCTAGTCCCCTATAGGACATGTAAATGTAAAAACTTGCCAAGATCTATGGAATCAATACCCAAACGACTGTTTACGGTTGGATAACTGTTGCAGCACCACCTTCTGCTGTCTTTCGGAAATTTAGCAGCAGCAGATAAAAATGGACGGCCTGAGAGACCACGTTTATTATCTCGTCACGATCATTGGGGCTGGCATCTCTGGGATTGCCATGTCCTGCCGTCTAAAGGAAGCACTGGGATTGAGTAATTTTGCTATTATTGAGAAGCAAAGCCAGATTGGTGTATGTCGGTAAGAAAAAATCTTGAGCTTGTTCCGTGTTAACTACAACACAGGGTACATGGTGGATTCATAAATATCCTGGAGTTGCCTGTGATGTGTTAGAATTGAGACTTTCAAAAGTATATTATCTCCAACACTTTTTAACGCTAAATATCGCAGGCCAGCAAATCTGTATTCGTTTTCGTTCGCACCGAATCCTCTCTGGACAACCATAAGGCCCTCTGGAAAAGAAATCAGGGATTATCTAGTGGCTGTATGTGAGAGATATCAGATCACAGACAACATCAGATTAAATACTCAGTTGCTAGAGGCTCGCTGGGTAGACAACGCGCAGGAATGGGAATTAGTCGTGGCCAAACTAGCAACTGACATAGCTGATCTCAAGGCAGAGAATGATCAAAAAAAGGGGTCTCTGAGAGGCCAGAGCTCAGCTATAGTGAAAACATATAAAATCAGGACAAAAGTGCTGATCAGTGCGACTGGAAATATGGCAGAACCATGCTACGCGCCATCTGACCTGCCGAGCCTAGAGGAATTCGAAGGTGATCTGATACACACTGCGCACTGGGATGACCAGGTGGATCTCAGAGACAAAAACGTCGCTGTTATTGGCACCGGATGCAGCGCGGCACAACTTATTCCTCAATTGGTCAAGCCTCCCATAAACGTGAAATACGTCACTCAAGTTATGCGATCAGCACCTTGGGTTGCTCCAGAGACCATTACAGGGAAAATGAAGTGGGCCTGGGAGAAATTCATGCCGTGGCTTATGCGGTATATTCCTGGCTTATCTTCGCTCATTCGCCTGACGGTGTTCCTAGCCGCCGAAGCTGACTACCTCACAGTATTTAGCAACTGTGGTTTGCTACGACAGAACTACGAAAGGAGTTTGTTAAAGTATATGCGCAAAACAGTTCCAGGCCAGTACCACACGTTACTTTCACCAGACTATCATGTCGGCTGCAAACGTCGTATTTTCGATGTTGAGTGGTTCAAAAGTCTGCAAGATTCTAGAGTCCAGCTGACGATGCGGCCAGTGAGGAGAGTTGAGCAGAAGTCAATCACTCTTGGGCCATCGCCGCACAACGTAGATGACCGCGAAAAAGCTAAAAGGGAGGTCAAGATTGACGTAGACGTTATTATCCTGGCTACTGGTTTTAGGAGGGCTTCCTGGCTCCAGGATGTCTCTGTCAAAGGACGAGACGGCAAATTGTTACATGAGCTGTGGGCTGAAAAGGGAGGACCGCAAGCGTATCTCGGTCTGGCGGTGAACACTTTTCCAAACCTTTTCATCCTCTTTGGTCCTAACACAAGCAATGGCCATACCAGCATCATAATGGCCATTGAGAACGCGGTCGAATATTGCCTTAAGCTCATAAAATGCATTCTGCATGGAACGGCAAGCTCGGTTGAAGTGACTGAGGAAGCAGCGAGTAGATGGACGGAAGACATACAGCGAGGGTTACAACGTACTGTTTGGCAGACAGGAGGCTGCACAAGCTGGTACACTACCAAAGACGGCTGGAATGCCTCTATGTACCCGTGAGTATCTTCTCGTCTCAGAGATAAGACGCGTCGATAAATAACAAGGACAAGTTTTTCTCAGTTTCAAGCTTTTTATGAGTTTCAATGCCTTCGATGGGATGACTGGTGGATACGTCAGGCAGAGTAGAGATCTGCAAATGGAAGATTCGCAAATGGAAGATTGCACTACGGTCAAAGGAAAATGAACATTATTGTGTTTTACACTATTTTCACTATTGGGAGAATTATTGAATACATACCGCTGCTTAAGATTTAAAAACTCATATGGCAAACAAAAAAAAAAGTAATGAAGGCGACAGTGGTTAATTTTTATCCCCCTTACTGTGACGATCAGCTATACGCCGGCGACAAATTCCATACAAAATAAACGTTCCACCCCACCTAGTTTCAACAGTAGACCTTATCTCCTTTTCTAAATTGTTTGCATTTGTACACTCTTTTGATGGCGTGATAGTTGGTTGAATAACTTCCAACTAGTTTGACGTGTTGAAATTGGGAGTGGTGGAACGTTCGTTTTGTATGGAACGCTCGCTTGTGAAATAGTTGCTATGCGAGGGGGTTCTTACGTAACTAAGGCTAATCTTCAGTGTTATCTAGGTAGGACAGAAACGACCTCGGAAGTCCCTAAAATTTTTGAATTCCTACTGTTCCTCTCCATGTTTCTTGCATCAGATGAGGCTTAATTAATTCTTCCTAGTGTGAGGGTAGCAGTGGAGTAATTGAGTATTTGCCCTCTTAACCAACATCTAACTCCTTAAAACATGGAACTACATTTCCTTGATACTGGTCCTCCACGTTTCCTTCAACTAAGTGTGCTAGTTGCGGTTCAGGGAACATTTGATCGTGCCAAGGGCCCCGTCATATTTGATCAGCTCTTGACTGCATGGCCCATCCTGAAATCCAGAATGAATCTGCTGGTAAGATGGAGCACGCTACTTTGAAGCTGGTATCGCTGCTAATCCCGAGGGTGTAGCGCACTGGTATGCTCTCGGAGACAGATACAACGTCGTTCTGGCAGGAGAGGACTGTCGATGCAGAGATGACGAGCTACATTCCTCTTCAGGTTTTAAAGAAAGGCGAACTCTCTGAGAGTCAGCACAACATGCTGCAAGAATTGATGAAATTCCCTCATTCTCTGAAGTCCTTACTCTATCCTCCCGTAATATGTGCGAGAGTTGTTTTCTTCAAGGACGGCTGGATGCTAAAATTTACCATGCAACATGCATTTGCTGATGCAACAGGTAGCCATCCTTAAAATTATACTGTAGACGTTGCTGACTTACCGGTGAAAGGAGTGTACAACATAGCCATGGGATTCTTTGCCTTACTTCGAGGGGAGACTTTATATCCCATAGAGGCCCGGCCGTTAAAGCTCCTGATTGGTGGCTCTAGACCTGATCATACTCAAATGAACAGAGCGAACAGTGCCCAGCTGACAAACCAAATACTTCACGCCACTCGCGAAGGATATGTATCGGGTTGGCCTGGAGTAGTGTGCTATGCGCTTCTGCAGTGGCTACTCCGAATCATTCGACGACGAAATCCTCGATCTAAGAAGACAATGCACATTCCTAGATCCATAATCGACGTGTTACAACACTCCGCAAAGAAGCGCCAGATAAATGTCAATCGACATGATCTACTCACAGCCATAATCTTTCAGGTAAGTCAGGTGGGTTCCAGCTAGTGATTTAATGGTGATTAAACTGATTAATAGGCTGCTATGAACACCTTCCCGGGGGGCACACGCGGCAAGGATGTACAATTTGGATTGAATGTGAACGTCAACGACTCACTCGAGAGAGGAGCTGACCTACACAATGCGTGGTACCCCGTTACCATTCCGCGGCCTAATCAACAAACTGAGGGTAGTCTTGAAGACAAACTGGTCGAGCTGGCAGCTCACATTCGCCAGGTTGCCCAAGCAGCGCAAACTGTGGTGTGCATGCAGGCCTTTCTTCAATACTATGAGGTGCTGGATCGCAGTGGTCCGATCTATCCACGTAGTCTCAATCCGCACAAGGCGAATATTATCGTCTCCTGCTGCAGCCATCTGCCGGCATATTGCACTTCCTTCCCGACTGTAAATGGCCGTAAGGCTTTTCCTTGTTTCTTCCAAGGCGGGGCGGAGTTGAGTGACCTTTTTACCTTCTTCGGCTTGAGCTATAACGACCTTGTCGCCACGTGGGCCGACAGGGATCGCGGATTCTACTTCTATGGTTCACTGCATCATGAACTGTGGACGGAGCTTGAGCAACTTAGGGCCTGCCTTTCCCCTTTCGCATACAGCTTTACCAATGGTTCAGTAGAGCTGGGTCTATAATAGTCGCGCAATGAACTGTATGCTTTAATATCGATATAGCATGCGCAGTACTTGCGCTTGCAACAATGTCTCCGAACCACGTTCAGCCCGGCCAGTCCGGAACTAGAGAAACCTTAGCCTTGTCTGGGTTACCGCCACTTCGCAAGATTCAGAATTTTGTCATCTTTTTAGTGCAGGATAAGTTTGGTTTACCTTCTGGAGTTAATATGAGCTTCTATATGAAGTACGGATTAAGTTCCCCAATCCTGATGGATTTTTGTATGCATAGGAGGGCATAAATTTACAAAGAAACAAGTATAAGTCACGAATATATTGCGGCGACTGAGGCACTTTCCTTCATGTTTAGGCATAGCGCTTCTCTCCCACAACATTGATTACTTATTAACTAGTTTCTCTAGATAGCGTACTCCACAGCTCAGTCTTCCGCTCCGTTTTGCATATAAAATAGCACTTTTAGAAACTCATTATCTCAGCGAGTTCAGGGAACATGAAAATTTAATAGAAGAATAATATGGTAAGATATAACTGTATATAATAACCATAAGCGTTTATCTAAACTGATTCTTATTATTACAAAGAATGGCTTTTTGACCGGATGGTGTGGACATATTGATGTGTTTAACGCTCAAAGTTTCTAGAAAAAATAACCAGCATTTCTTAAAACCAAAATTTACTGCGAGTAAGTGTAAATCTAATAGTATAGATATGATGTTGTTGAAATGAGGTTAGAAAAGTGCTATTTACTTGGCGATTTCTGAGCAGTTTGCTTTCAGCTCCTTTCGGGTAAGTACTTCGTTATCAAGATATCGTAATTTTATGATTTCGGGTTGTTCAACGGCATGGGAGTCGTGTTGCCCTTGTCTGTTCGATATTGCCGGCTTATTTTTCTTACTAGTACATACCAGAATAGTTTGGCGCACATCTCCATACATCAATGCTCGTTCACGTAAACTATAGAGCTTCATACACAGAATAAATTCCGTATTGAACAGATTAATTTCTGATATACAATAAATCAATCTGTTACTCATCTTGCGTATAAACCCTCAGGTTTACGATCATAATAGAATAATTAATCTTCCTCTGAATTACAGCACTTCAACATCATCAAGTGAGTTTGCCTTATCTCGGACTCCCCTTGCTAAATACGTAAGGAGGCTACGGAACAAAAGCTTTCTATAGGGTCTACTGATTCATCATATTGACCGCTTGTGGATTCATAACCGCTACACTGTCCAACTACGATGAGAAAAGGAATGATGGGAAATGCAAGGAGAAGAAAGACAGCGAAAAAGCGGTGTAGCTGGAGAAAAGAGGTTGCTTTAGTAGAAAATAGGCCTTTCACACGTCTTCTCGATCATCGCCTTTCTCAGAATACCGGAAATCTAGTTCAAGCATCCCACATCAGATAGAGTGACGGCATTTGCTATTCTCGGACACCCACACTCAAAACAAAAAAAAAAAAAAAAAGGCTAGCATGGTACAGAACCAACCGACTCGTGAAACACCTCTCCGTGATAGTTCCATGGATTCATCCCACGAAGCATCTGCGAGACACACGGGAGATCCTCCTTCCAAGCAGAAAGGAACCAATATGAGCCAGATTTTCGACGATGGGGACGAGGCGACGGTTCCTTTTCCAATTGCTATCGTAGGGGTGGCCATGAGATTGCCGGGTGGTATTACTTCTGGCACAGAATTCTGGGACTTCTTGATAAAGAAGCGCGATGGTTTATCCAAGGTACCTGATACCAGGTACAACGTTGATGCTTTCTATAGCGAGACCAGAACTGATGCTATTCGGACTCAACATGGGCATTTCCTACAACACGACATTACAAAATTTGATGCTGGTTTCTTTGGGATCAGTAAAATCGAAGCGGCAAGGCTTGACCCTCAGCAAAGGCTCCTTCTAGAGGTTGTCTGGGAGTGCATGGAGAATGGGGGTCAGGTACACTGGAGAGACGGAAACAGCAATATTGGATGCTATGTTGGTGCGTTTGGTGAAGACTGGCTGGATCTCCAGGGCAAAGACCCACAGGTCAATGACCGATACCGCGTTATTGGAGCTGAGGATTTTGCTCTTTCCAATCGTGTGTCTTATGAGTATAATCTTAAAGGTCCAAGTATCACTATCCGCACCGGATGCTCATCCTCACTAATAGCGTTACATGAAGCGTGTCAGGCACTCTACTCTAGTGAATGCTCTTCTGCTCTAGTTGCCGGAACTAATCTTATTATCACACCAACCATGACAAAATCCATGTCGAATAATATGGTTATATCAACAAGTGGTATCTGTAGGACTTTTGACGCCAAAGCAGATGGGTATGGAAGAGGTGAAGCAATCAACGCGATCTTCATTAAACCCTTACAGGATGCGTTAAGGGATGAAGATCCAATCCGTGCTGTTATCCGTTCTACTGCTGTGAATTGTGATGGAAAGACCCCTAATATTACAACACCAGGCCTGGAAGCCCAGGAACAGTTAATTCGAAGGGCATATCAGAGAGCAAAAATTAATAACGACGGTATTCTACAAACAGGCTTTTTCGAGTGCCATGGAACGGGTACCACAGTAGGAGACACCATAGAGACATCGGCCGTGGCAAATGTATTTAAGGAAAGTGGAATCTATATTGGAGCGGTATATATACCCATGTTCTATAAGGTGACGTGTTCTGCTAACATATATAAGGTTAAACCAAATGTCGGTCACTCAGAAGGTGCCTCTGGAATTACGAGCGTTATCAAGGGGGTTCTGGCGCTAGAGAACAAGGCTATTCCTCCTAATGTACACTTTAAGGATCCCAATCCAAACAGTATGTTTATCATATGGCTTCGTTGAGGTACTAAGTCGATGGGATATGAGTATTAATGTGTGAAATAGTCCCATTCAAGGAAGGAAAGCTCCAAGTTCCTATGGAGACAATCCCCTGGCCAATTGAGCGGTGTAAAAGGGTTAGCATCAATTCTTTCGGAATTGGGGGTACGAACGCGCACGTATGAAATCCTCATTTTGTCTTTTAGCCTATCCCTGGCTGTAGTATGAAACAAGCTGACATAGCGACTCGATTGTGGCGGCGGCTTTCCCTAGGTTATCCTGGATTCTCCCTATTCCCTGCTCAAGAATGAGATCTGCGAAACAAAGTTTTGCAAGGAATTCATTCAGCAACTTCTAGTGGTGTCGGCAAAGAGCAAAAAATCCTTGGATGGACAGATTGGGAGACTCAAAGGTTATCTAAAGAACACACAAAACGATCTTAAAGATGTCGCATATACGCTTGGCCTCAGACGGGAGCACATGACACATAGGGCCTTTGCACTCACACAGGAAAACGGTAGTATTTCTAACTTTCAATCGTCACAATCAACCAATCCATCAATCGTGTTCGTGTTAAATGGCCAAGGAGCACAATGGCCAGGGATGGGCAGGCAGTTGATGAAGAGATTGGAGCCTTTTCGCACGGATATTCGGATGTTAGATGGGGTATTGCAGGGACTGAGAAATGCACCAAAATGGACTCTTCAAGGTATGTGCAGATGCTCTTTCGCCGCATTATAAGCTCACTTTATATTTTAGAGGAGCTTCTGAGTTCCCAGGAGGATGGTCACATAGGAGAAGCGGAGCGCTCACAGCCTCTTTGCACGGCTATCCAGATAGCGCTTATTAACTTGCTTCGTCGCTGGGGGATCGTTCCATCTTCTGTTGTAGGACATTCGAGCGGCGAAATCGCTGCAGCGTACGCCTCCGGCGCTATTTCCGCTGCTGTTGCGATTACGATATCCTATCTTCGAGGCCAAGCAGTGCAATCCCTGTGCGCCAATCACTCCGGCGCTATGGCAGCTGTTGGACTTAGTTCTGAGGAAGTGAAGGACTATATACGACCGGGAGTTTCTCTCGCTTGTGAGAATAGCCCACGGAGCACCACAGTCTCCGGTAATAGGGAAGCACTTGTTGAAGTAATTGACAGCATCCGAGCAGATGATAAGGACGTGTTTTGTCGCTTCCTTGATGTCAATGTTGCTTATCATTCGCAACAGATGCTCGAGCCCAGTGTAGAATATGAGGGGCATATTGCCTATCATATGTCTTATAATCCAAGTATGGTGCCTTTCTATTCTACTGTCATTGAAAGTGTCATTACAGAACCTTCTCAATTGGATTCCTCTTACTGGGGTAGGAACATGCGGTGCCCTGTTTTATTCAACTCTGCCATGCAAAGTATCCTTGATGACGGGGACGAATCAAAGTTGTTCCTAGAGATAGGTCCACACTGCGCACTTTCCGGGCCCATTCGCCAATCTGTCGAAGAACACAAGGGTGTGGACCAGAATAAAATCAAACGAAATCTCTATGTGCCTACCCTGATCAGAGGTAAAGACCAATGGACTAGTCTATTGACAATGCTTGGCCAATTATACAGTCACGGTGTGCCTGTATACCTACGAGGTGTGTTACCATGCGGAAAGGTAGTTACAGATCTCCCTCAGTATTGTTGGCAACATGAGGAGAGATTATGGTATGAGAGCCGTCTGGCGCGCACTTGGAGACTTAAGAAGCAACCCCACCATGAGCTGTTAGGCAGTCAATCGCTAGATTCAAGCGATCTAGAACCGTCCTGGAGAGCTTTACTTAGCCTTGACAATGCTAAATGGCTTATGGACCATAAGCTTGATGATGAAATTGTCTTTCCATGTGCAGCATATATCGCCATGGCGGGTGAAGCGATTCGACAAGTTACTAGGTCAATGGACTATTCTATTCGACACTTACTTATCAAAACAGCCTTAGTTCTTAAAGGGTCTGACCCAGTCGAGCTTGTTACTGCTCTTAAACCTGCTAAGTTGGCCGACGACGTTGACTCTCTATGGTATGACTTTACTATTGTTGCCTACCAAAACGACCGTTGGAGAAAGCACTGTGTTGGGCAAGTGAGATCCGGACCAGATAAAGATCACAAACCGGAGCAGGCTCAGGCCTACCAAAGACGAGTACACTTTGATTCATGGTATAATGCGCTCAGGAAGCGCGGACTAAATTATGGAAAGCAGTTTCGGAGGCTCCGAGATATCACAGCGAGTACGTTACAACATGAAGCCGCCGCACTTATTCAGGACGATCTGAGCTTTCATGCCGACTACTATGCCCTCCACCCAATCCTGATTGATAACGGCCTACAACTGTTCAGTGTAGCGGCGACTCAAGGTATTATATATCAGATGACACGACTATGCGTACCAACTGCTATCGAAGCCCTCTATGTTAATGTCAATCGTGATTTGACGACACTGAACGCTTTAAGCAGGACTACCGGAGGTACTATGACCGGTAATTCAATTCTTTCGTCGGGTAGCAATGTCATCCTCTCAATGCAGGGCGTCCAGTTTACAAGTTTCCAAAGCACAGAATTAGCCAATTCGGATGCTTTGTTGGCGTCACAGTTGCAGTGGAAACCTGATATTGATCTCCTTCCCGTCGAAGTACAGCTTCCCAAAGGGGAGAAGAACGTAACGTTTGGGCAGCTGGTTGCGAAGTTATTTTGTGGGCACATCGCTGAAGCATATTGGAAGACAAGGTCCTCAGTTCCTGCCTCAGAGCACCTTCAAAGGTACCTTGCATGGATAGAGAGACAATACAGGAGAATACAGGACAAAGATCCAGATCTGCTACCGGAAATGAAAGAGCCTATCGTGCATAAGCTTGTCATGTTGGAACGGTATCAAGATCAGCTACTGGAGGACGCACAGCAAGGAGAACAGTATACGAAGAGCTTGCTGGTAGTGCACGGTATCGCTGATAGAATTCTATCTTCCATCCACAACATCCTTGAAGGCAGAATCAATCCACTTGAGCTTCTTTTAAGGGATGATGGATTGAAGAGACTATATGAAGATGTCACGATTTTCCCAGGATGGAATACCTTTTTTACATTGCTTGGACACTCCAATCCAACGCTTAGAGTGTTAGAAATCGGGGCTGGAACTGGTGGCTCAACATCCATCGCTCTGAAAGCTCTTACCACACCGAACGGATGCCGATTGTACTCGACATACACATTCACGGACATATCACCAGGTTTCCTACCTAAAGCAAAAGCAAGGTTTCAGAGCTACAGTGGTATCGATTATAAAGTCCTCGATATCAGCCGAGATCCTGAAGCGCAAGGATTTGAGTTAGGCTGCTACGATTTAATAATAGCGTCAAACGTCCTTCATGCAACACCTAGAATCTCTCAAGCGTTACGCAATGTCCGTCGTCTTATCGCACCTGGTGGTCGATTGCTAATCATGGAATTATGCAACGTAGTCCCGGTATTTGAATTCATCATGGGCGTGCTGCCTGGATGGTGGATTGGAGAAGAAGAGGCGCGGAAAGAGAAGCCAACTATGCCTCCCCAGGAGTGGCACAATGCGCTATTGAATGCTGGTTTTACGGGTGCTGAGCTCGTGCGGTACGACAATGAAGTTCCGTACCAAATGACTGCCACCATGTTGTCAAGGCCTCAAACAGTTCATAGCAGTTCTCATAGAACAAAAATAGGGTTATTATACCGATCGTCTGTCACCCAGTGGGGTCGTATTCTGGAAAGGGAGCTATCCATTAGAGGATATGAGGTCTATTGGCATACACTGCATCAGACACCTTATCGGGAATCACAAGTCATATCATTGCTTGATTTGGAAGGCCCATTTTTCGAAGACCTATCCTCCGATGAATTCAGCCTGTTCCAAACCTACTTGTCGAAGTTGACCGGGGGGCATATTTTGTGGGTTACGAAATCACTTCAGATGGCATGTGAAGACCCCAGATTTGCCTTGGTATTGGGGACAGCTCGCACGATCAGACAGGAGATGGGACATGATATGTCAACCTTGGAAATTGACAATCTGAACTCTGGTGCCGAGAAATTTGTGATTGAGATCTTGGAGAAGTTGAGAACACAAAAAGAGAACCGTTCAAAGAAACCAGATTACGAGTTTGCTCTTCAAGATGGAACGGTCCACGTGGGTCGATATGCATGGTCATTTCTCAAACAACACGCTGCGGCTGCCACTAAAACTCTAGGACCACGAGTAGTAGACATTGATACCCATGGGGTTCTCGAAACTTTAACATGGGCCTTGGGAGACACAGTACCTCAGCAGATGGGAGAAGAGGATGTTGAAGTGGACATTAAATATGTCGGTCTAAATTTCAGAGTGAGAGTCCTACCTTCAATGCCCCATTTGTATGACTGCCAGGTTCTGACCAAATAGGATATGATGATTGCTATGGGGTTTCTTGGCTCTACAAAAGACATAGGCTCTGAGGCAAGTGCTATCGTTCGCAGAGTTGGATCAGCTGTCAAGGGGATCCAAGTGGGACAAAGCATTGCAATCTTTATGACAGGCTTAATGAGCACACACAAGGTAGTACCAGCAAAGTACTGCAGCCCAATTCCACCGGGCATCTCGCTTGAGGACGCAGCAGCAAACGCCTGCGTCTATAGTACCGCAATTTACTCCCTGGTATTTATCGGGAATATGCGGGAGGGGCAAACTGCTCTAATACATTCTGCGTGTGGTGGGGTTGGCTTAGCAGCAATTCAGGTATGCCGAATGATAGGGGTGGAAATATTTGCAACAGTCGGAAACAAGCAGAAAGCTCAGTATCTGCAGAGTACATTCAACATCTCTGAAGATCATATATTTGATTCAAGAAGCCCATCGTTCTTGCCAGAATTAATGAAAATGACGAACAACCGAGGTGTTGATGTGGTGCTTAATTCTCTTGCGGGTGAACTGCTCCATACTTCCTGGAAATGCGTCGCGCCATCTGGGAAGATGATTGAGCTTGGAAAACGAGATTTCTTGACACATGGAAAGTTGGACATGGACCGCTTCGGCTTAAACCGTTCTTTTATTGGGGTCGACCTCTTCGTACTAGGTGAAGAGGACCCAGGGGCTCTGCAAATGCTAGGTCAACAATTTGCGATATATTACCAACAGGGAAAGCTGCAGCCAATCCGACCCACCACAGTGTACGATGCGATGGAGATTGGCAAGGCGTTTCGCCATATACAAGGTGGGAAACATATGGGAAAGCTCATCATTCGGATGCCCGACAACCCGTCAGAGTTGGGTATACCGAAGATACAGAATGAGTCCAAGATCCTTAGACCAGATGCTTCCTATCTTCTTGTTGGTGGTTTAGGAGGCATTGGCCGGGTTGTCGCCACGTGGATGATTCAAAAAGGCGCCCGTCATCTAATTTTCCTGACTAGAACAGGCAGGAATTCACCGGAGAATGAAGCATTCATTCAAGAACTTGAAAGCTATGAGGGCTGTAGGGTCATCACCGTCACCGGAGATGTGGCAAATATTGATGATGTACGAAAAGCTGTCTCTGCATCCTCGATACCAATTGCTGGAGTGATTCAAATGGCTATGGTTTTGAGGGTTAGTCATCGGAAAAGCCTATTAGGATGTCTGGTATTCACTTCTGACACAAATAAACAGGACCAAATGCTATCCAAGATGACCCATGTGGAGTGGATAGAGGCTCTTACTCCTAAAGTGCACGGAACGTGGAATCTGCATATCGTATTCGAAACAGTGCCGGTGGATTTCTTCATTCTGTTCAGCTCGCTCAGTGGCCATGTCGGCATTAAGGGGCAAGCTAATTATGCGGCAGCCAATACGTTTTTGGATTCATTTGCCAAGTATCGCAAATCACGGGGCCTACCAGCGAGCGTGATAGATCTTGGATTTATGGGGGATATTGGCTATCTTGCAGAACGTGGCTCACCAGTGCTGAGGCTGGTTAGTAATGCGGGGTTCCAGAAATTGGATGCAAGTACACTACTGCAGGCGTTGGAAATTACCATTGTCGCAGGATCTCTCAATACACCATCCCAGCTTGTACTGGGACTGGGGACAACACAACGCATTCAGGAAAATGCTGTTCAAGCATTCTGGCCACGCGACGCGCGCATTGCTGCCTGGTCCAATGTTTCCTTCGACATCGTGAGAAGTGGAAATACTCAGTCTGAGGAGCTCAGGAAGCATATCTCATCACTGGAGAGCAATCCTCATCTTCTAAACGACCCTACAACACAGAATAGGATCATGGTGGAGCTCGGCAGAATGATCGCTGCTTACATGTCGTTCCCGGAAGATCTGAGAGAAGAGGAGTTAGGCGAGATCCCTGTCGACTCGTTAATGACGATTGAGATTGGTAGCTGGTTCCGGCACAACCTAGGCATCAATGTCCCACTTGTGGAGATAGCGAACGCGGAGACGGTTTGGCAACTGAGTAATATCACCATCCAGGCTCTGCGCAGCAAGTACGGCGGAGAGAACGGAGAGTCTGACCCATGAGAATTCCTAATTCACGACTTATTTCACAGGTTCCTCAAGCCTGCTGTAGGTCTGGCTTTTGAACTCTTTAGCGGAAGTAACCATGCATCCATATGATCCCAGTTAAATGGTTGGTAGGCTGAGAAGACATCTTGAGGTTGGCTTCGTTATACGAACTAAGGAGGATTAGTGTATGGAAATAATTTGTCTTTATAATTAACAGATTGTTTCCAGCCATGCAGTGATCAAGATCAGCTGCCTTAAGATTGATTCATGTCATCTGCTATCCCACTCCGAAGGCAAAAACTGTTCTTTCAATTTCGGCCCTTGTTTGTTTCTGGTTCTAGAATCAACTCGGATCGATAATAGAGTCACTCTAGTGGTCACCAGCTCTAGACATGCTAATAGCCACTGTTTGCCTTTGGCATATAAATACGAACTGCTTCTATTGTCTCATCAATACTTGATTTATAATGATGCTTGCCAGAAACTTCGATTACAAGAGATACACATGAATCTGTACATGTAGTAATTGACTGTACATAATTTCTTAATCTCATGCTGAATCATTCCCCTTCCCATCCCTAGAATCAGAATTAGCACATTTGTTTGAAATTTACAGGGCCAACAGGTCCATGCCTTCTTGCCAATAACAGCATCTCTGTAGCGCGTTATTTAATCAGGGAATTCCTTCCTTTGCTCTTACTTGGTGTGGTCTGACCTTTCCAGTCTGTCCAAACAGGCCTTAGCTAGCCTCATCCCTTAACCGGGAGGGCTCTTTAACATTCAGAACTTCAACGGCTGATCCAACTTTGCCCTACGTTAGTGCTTCTACCACAAGATATGGTATCTAGATAAACAAGTATTCAAGGGTCAATAACCTTATATTCAATGTGCGAATACTAGCCCATGAAACACAACTCCGCTGATTATTTACTTTACACAGCTATAACCAATTCTAAATGCAGTGCATGGAGATAGTGTGCTACGCTTCGAGCAATTGCAGCAAGGTACATGCTACCAACACTCTTAGCTGTAGCCTGACCAGATTCCACATAGTTAGGTCTATGCCGACAAAGCCTCTCGATTTCCAATCTATTACATGCTTTTAACAGTGGCATAGCTTATAAAAAGGCGCAGTTGCCATGGGTGCCGTAAAATAGATCATCCCAAGTTTGCCAGGGTTTTTCCCACGCCGACTTTAAGAAGAGTTCAGCGTCCAACCAACTCAATTTTCCCACGCACAGAGAGAGTTGCTTCAGCGCATTAATAACAAACTCCCTATGTCCCACCCTGTCATCGCCCCCGCAATCTTCAAGACCAACGATCAAAAGGGGCCATATCAGATATTCCGTAAACAAGGCACCTGCCCGCCAGTACTTCTCTCTGTGAAGACTTAAGCGAAGATGCTCCCACAGAGCATTTATTGTCTTCTGGCGAAGCGACAAGAGGTCAATTCCTACTGCTGCCAAGAACCGATTTGTTTGTTTGGACCTGTGGCGATCAAGAAATAGCGTCCGTATACAGTAAAGTAATGATGCGCACTGGTAAAGGGTCGCTACACTCACCCAGTGGCCTTCGATATTGTCTACAGCCTGAGGATAGGTTATGCAAATGACAGTAGACGAGCTGTTTGGGGATACATCCCTTTTGGGGTGTTCTTTTGTGAAGGCACCCATTCCCATTGAGATTCTGTGACAAATACTCGCTGCCCAGAGCCGCGGGGAAATACTCATAATTACTTGCAGAGCAGTAAATGCGCGATAGTCAAGCTCGCTGTCTTCCTTATTTTGCTGGATGGATGATACTGCGCGTAGGTGGTTGACAAGTGCAAGCCCTTCAAGGATTTTAAGAGGACCTGGAAATCCGGTGTGAAGGTAGCTGCCGTCATTAAGCAATTGCCGAATGTATTCCTGGTGCTGGGTTTGCTCTTCACTTCTTGGTACCAAGTGGGCCGATGCAGCGGTGATGCAGCTTACAATGTCAACTCTAATAAACGTTAGCAGGCGCGTATATGCACTAGTATGGCCGAGGAAAAGCCAGACCCTATGAAGTTCAACACTACCGAGAGAGTCTGGGGATGGGAAGGCTGTGCTACAGCATGCAACCCCCCGCGTAGTTTGATGATTCTTCTCACACCTTCTAAATGAGAACGCCAGCGGCCATATGCGGAATGTTGGATCTAAACAACTTAGCTTTCGAAGACCAACTAGGCTTTATCGATAATGATGCATACCTCTGCCATCATTAGTAAGAACGCAATACTAAGTGTGATGTCCGTAAGATGGTGTTCTGGACGTTCTATATAGGCCCTTAGGTCTTGAAGTGCTAAGTAACGGGACTCGTATATTTTCTTAACCAATGGTTGATAGGCGGAGTCAAGAGGGTAGCCAGTATTCCGCTTTTCGGGTTGATCAAGAACATCAAATGTCCGACGAACAATAGAAGCGTTGGATGGCTGACATCGGATAAGCTGATGAGTTGCGGCCATGGATATAAAAGTGTAGAACAAAGACTTTGGGATACTGAGCCAGGTAGTCAGAGAGAAGCGATGGGGGTTCTCTTTGGTGTCCAATACCACAAGCCCGGGACAGTAATATGTATTGTCTACAAATGCCATGCTTAAGTACACAAATAGCTTCGTATTGCACACCTGTTCACAGAAGACACTCACAGTACCATAGCGAGTCAAGAAAGAATCTGTCGTCCGCACAAATGGACGAAGCAAGTGCGCGTGGAATAAAGGGATTTTTGGTACAGTGGTCTTCAGTTCTCGAAAGTAGAGTAGACCCTGCAGATTGATCGGCTGCCATTGTTCGATCATCTTTTGGCGGCCGCTTACCATTCGCATTAACCCAAACTAGGGGCTTTTCTCCATAGCCCCAGCAATCAACTCCTCTAAAAATACATTTGCCACATTTAGGAGTTACATAATCGCAGCGCAGTCGACGTCGGCGACAGTTGTGACAGGGCTTTCTCATCGCAGTGGTCGGCATATAGAATTCCAAGAGGGGTTGGACATGAAACGACGTTTTCAGCGTTTTGTTAGTCCCTTGGGCTAAGTTGGCTGCTTTAACAATTTCTAGAATGGGGGCCGAAATCTTATGGAGCCACTTAACAGACACCGATCGTCTCAACCATGACTATGAAGTGTGATGGCCTGCCATATTTGCAGTGATTGATGATTGGTGGAGAGAGAATAAGCTGTACCAGGACTTCCCAGGATACCTTAGTGACTACCTTTAGGGTTCGGTAGTCTTCCTTTTCGGAGTTCATTCTGGGTCCGAGCTCCGAGAGCTAAGTAATCGCTATATTAGCGGTATTGGGGGCTCCCCTGAGCGGCCACCTCAATGAGAATATAGGGAACCGCTTAGTAGGCTCAGTTGGTTGAGATACTGCGATTCCTGGTGTTTCCACTGAATGACATCTACTTCCTAATTAGGCTAGTTGGCCTGTAGCTGATAGAATAGCTCCTTGCGCACCACTTCCCCTGAATTTCACAACAGTATTATCTATATATATATGAGTAACTTCGTAGTAGCTGCAGCCAGTGGTCAGGAAGTGGACCATGTTAAGAAAGCTCTTAAGCCTGAATTTAAGTTGAACAATCTAGGAACCCTGCGTTCTTTTCTTTGGATCTAATTTAATTTTCATAGCAAGAAATCGGTCTGGTCTCGATCTATTAATAACTGTCGACCAAAGTGGGCCAATATTACCCATTATTCAGCATCCGCTCGGTCCGACTTTATTCCTTTGTTTTTTTTCACCTTTTTTATCCAGCTCTCCCAGATAGATTCAGATAGTTAGAGACCTTAGAGACCTCATTCTTCAATGCAGATCCATATTATGATTATATGATCGGTGATACTAGCTCATACGCGTATTTAGTTGACCGACAATAACAGTAGATATGTACAATAATATTACAATGAGTTACAGCTATTTATATATCCCGCTCTCATATTAACTTTCAGTACTTTAGCACACACGATTTAACCCGTAGAATTTAATATGAGCTGCAACATACCTCTAGTAGAGAATATATTCAGGTACTACTAAGGTGGTAATTTTTTTTAAAAAAAAAGAAAAAAGGGGGGCAGAAGAAGTTCAACAAAGTACGAGAATAAGCGGGAATCGGATAAAAATATATCCGCTTTGATACGAGAATTGTGTGAAGAGTAGTAGAAATGCAAGAGGAAATATTCCCCAAGAAGAGTTATAGTTTATCTTCGGACATGGCCATGACCACGCTCTCTGTGCTGATGGTTGTTCTACATCTATTGCCAGGTACTTAGGCAGGCTCAGCAGAAAATGGTTGTATCGATCGGTTGAGATTAGACTCTGGGCGTGACTCAGATATATGACTCAAGTCTCGTTTTGTATTCGGGCTGACTCCTATCATACGTTTTGTTTTTCCTTTAATGACGACATGCGCTTTTTTAGACGGCCATCTTCCCGGAGTTACCTTTGCTATGTATTCTGCTGAATACGAGTTCATACGACCATGCAGCGCGTCCATTACTTATTAAATTGAATATAACACAGGAACAGGAAGAAATCGATTTGAATATGGAGGTTTCAGGCATTCCATCCACTGGATACCGAGTCATTCGGGCTCAGTATACACCAACAACCGTCACTGTCTACCAGGCCTACCCCTCCGAAATCGCAGATGCAGCCATTCAAGCCCAGACGTTTGTCCCGCCATTTATTCGCCAGCGGATGACCTGGATCAAGCCATCCTTTTTATGGATGGCGTATCGATCCGGCTGGGCCACGAAAAGTCAACAGGAGCGGGTCCTGGCCATCGAGGTTAGTCGGGAAGGGTTCGAATGGGCACTGCAGCACTCTTGCTTGAGCCATGGGGGTGGAACAAAAGACCGGGTATGGCGCCAAAGGCTACAAACCACTCCCGTTCGTGTCCAATGGGACCCGGAACGAGATGTGCTTTTGCGACCGTTAGGATATCGAGCCATCCAGATCGGGTTGAGTGGCCAGGCTGTGGATCGTTACGTTGACGAATGGATTGTTTCTATCACGGATGTGACCGATACGATGAAAAGTATTTCACGACACCTGGCAGATGGTGATTACGAAGCTGCCAGAGCATGTCTACCCGACGAACAGGTGTACCCAATATCCGAGGACCTGCGGACAATACTACAGGCAACATAAGAGGTATTGTCCGGTTTGGCATTAATCATACTTATATAAAAGAAGTATCAAAAGTATTGTATTAGTGTAATCTTGCCAATCAGAAGCGTCGTCTCGAAAGAGAATAACTCTGAGAATTCCATGGTTTTGACCAATTCATAGCTCACTGCCTCCGAGTTAGCAGGGCAGCTAAAGGCGAAAGTATAGAGTCAGCAACGCTTACAGCATGATGGTAGTATCATGATGGATCTATTCAGCGAGAATCGCAGTTGCCTCTATCTCGTACAACAACCTGGGATCTGCGAGAGCCGCAACACCAACGAGGGTGCTTGGAGGCCGATAGTCACCCATGAATTCCATATACCGTCTCCTAAAACTATCTGTTGCGTTACTGCCGACGTCGATGATGTAATGAGTGATTCGAACGATATCGTGTGTCGTGGCCCCAGCGGCGGTAAGGCACCTGCGAAGATTCTCCAACGCCAGCTCTACCTGAGCGAGGAATGTTGGCGGCACTTCACCTGTTCCAGGATCAACTCCTATTTGGCCGGCGACGGTGATTATTTTGGATGTACCCGAGATGGTCGTTGCAGCAACGTGGCTGTAAGTTGGTCGAGGTGCACGAACATTTTTGGGGTTGAACGTCTGAGGCTTTTGGGCAGACATGACTATGGTCAAAAGGTTGGAAGACACTGAGGCTTCAATACAGGGTTGGAAAATCGGTGGTTCTTTCCAGTTGTGTTGGATGCACCTTCACAAGGGCGATGTGGCTCATTCTTGATCCACCAGAGCTTCGGAGTGAGCCGGGTTTGTTCTATACTACCAACAGCCGAAATACGAGCGCTATTAAAGTAGGTATCCACATGCTTCTTAAACCACATATCTCAGGGGTATGGACAGTAAGAAAAAGGGTGAATAGATGAGAATCAGACTTAGTTTAAGGTATATATCCATGTACAATTCATGCGCGTATTAATACTGACTTTATTTTGGTGCTTGCCATACTTGAAGTTCACATGGCAAGCCATGTAGAATCTGCCATTAGGATCTTATGAATAATGGATATTATATGGATATTTTTTTATGGGAAAACGATCCCTGCTGCCTGCAGTGTTATCTTGGACAATACTGGGCCATTTATCCCGTGAGTTCAGCCATGTACAGACCACATCTTCTCTCTCTGTCTCTCTCTTACCGACATTAGGATTACGGTCAGCGCGTTCTCTGTGGGAATGATGAGAACGAATATGAAAAGCAGGTGAAAGAAAAACACGATAATAACATATATTTTGATGAATTTAGGGTCAGTTACGAGACCGGGGCATATATAATGCAGACCTGTTGGGGTACTATGGCTCTCTGGAAGAATTTATTTTGCGCTCCTAGGGGGTTAAACATATTGTGCTAAAAGATGGCAAGTATGGCGGAGTGACTCTGGAGGATATTATGACGAATGTAGTCGGAGGTTTACGTTGCGCATGGAAACAGGAATGGATATACTACATTTGCTCTTGCTGCGTACTCGATTTCTTGCCAGCACCTTGGGGTAGAGAAGTTATATTGCTTTTGGCCCCGTGCATACTAATTCTACGTGGTTATGATTTATCTATTGTATTCCTTTCGTTGACCAATTGTCTAACCCCAAACGTCCTCCTACCACCCGTTCAGTCTCCTCTTCTGCTCCCACCACGCTCTCAACCGTCTCTGTTCCCGTCCATTCTGTACTATCAATTGCTCTCCCAGTCGATTTGTCACCATGCAAGCCATTCGTGCTGACCCGCAGAGGTAAAGCGAAGCCCCTGATCGCACAGCAGGCTGCATACCTCCGACGCATGCTCTACTATCCGGTCCTGAACGTAGACTTTGTTCGTTTTCGAGCGATCGGACTTTATGTCCTGCCGGGAAATCCTGAATGAATCACCCAAGATACGATTTCGTCGAGCTCGTCTTGATAGAGGTACTGGGATCCGGTGCGGCACCCAAAGAACAATAGGCTTGATCCCACCTCGCGGACCAGGGTCTTCAATCTGACTCGCTCATATAGGAAACCGAGGACAAGGGCGATGTTAGTCCTCGCAGCAACCATGATGCGAGGAACGGTCGACTAGTGAGGAAGCTTCAATTTGGACTTCTGAATGTGGGCGTGTAGCTTACCTTCTTGCAGAATGTCATAAGGGCGGACGGCACTGGATACTGGAAAGGATTCGCGATCGAGATTGTCCTCCATTGCCATCATGTAGGTGGTCACATGTCCGGGTACACAGTCAACTGTTTTGGAAAGACTGTAATCCGCCCGGTTTGGCTATGCGGGGTTTCTATATGAAAATTCCATTCCACCCTGGACACCTTTAGAGAGCTGTGCACCGAAGAGGACGAGTAATTTGGATAGGAATGTAAGAGACTCAGTTGGTTGAGACACCCTGATTCCTGGTGTTTCCACATATAACATCTACTTTCTAGTAGTTAGCTTAAGGGTCGGCCTGTAGCTGACCTATATCGCCCTATGTACCACTTCCCTGAATTACACAACAATAACTAAGCCATAATAGAATAAAGTACTAGTTATGTTAAGTTGTGATGGTTTCGTTGTATCTGCGATAGTAAATGTAAAACCACTTGACCATGATAAGGTTCAAGACGAATGATATTCGATCCGTAAAGCATCTAACGCCCTATATAGTAGGTAAGGAGGCCATCCTTCCTAGGCCAGTATTACTCTGGGCTTAACCCGTGACATCGCTACCAGGTAGGCCATATTTTGTAGGTCAAGCAGATGGCATAGGCCATCATGTCTATGGTGCATGTCTCTCTTTATCTGGTTGATTCATCACGCAGGAACAAATATAAAGCCCCTTCAGCTAGCAGGGTCGCAGCGAATAGGAATAAATAAAAGCTTGTTTTTGCACGCATTATCACCAATCATCGATTGTGTTTGTCATAGTTATTCCCCCTCCCCTCTTTTAGTTCTCTCGTCTTTCGGTGTTTAGCTATTGCGTTAACGCTTTCATATATACACTTCAGATATTCTTCAATGCTTTCTATTGAGACATTACGGATCCTTCTCCTGGCCATGGGATGCGACAGACACGATGGTAGAACATGGGATAACTGTCGGAGCGTGGGGTAAAAGCTTGAGCTGGAGAACGAGAGCATTGTACGCTCGAAAGGAGGACCAACCAACCGTACATTTAACGTTGCCCAGCATGTTGAGCGGGGAACAGCTAAAGTCATCAGATACGTTGCCATATGGCGCGCCGATATTGGACAAGCCCATTTCCCTTTGAGATTTTGTAATTCTCGCTACGAGATGCTTGGGAGACAGACGCTCAACTGTACGGCTGATGGCTAAGGGAGCCGTGTCAAGAGCCTGTCCTTGCAAACATACTTCTAATAACTCCTCCTTCAGGGCATGCGGAGACAGCTCAGTTGGCGTCAAATAATCCTTCCAGGTGTGGCCGGGATCAGAGAAGTTCAATCGCTTGCCACCACGAAGTATAACCGCAGCAGGCAAGGGCTACATGAAATAAAGTAGGGATGATGCCACATTGCATGCTAACGCTTGGGCGTTCTGGATACTTCTGCATGAAAGCTTCCGCACAGTTGAGGACTACCTTGTATTCTGATGTATAGCAGTCGAGAACATCTATATCGCCCTTCAGAGTGCTGTTTTTAAATATAGTCGGAGGGTTTAGAGATATAGTTAGACGGTATCAACTGCTTTTGTTCCTTGCGGCTAAGCTGGGCGTAATAATTGATGAGGGACTGCTTAAATGGCCAGGCGAATAAGTAAAGTAGGACCAGCATTGAAGTTGTCTTTCATGCCACGTCTTGTAACTCGATCTGATTGCAGCTGGTAATAAATACACAGAGGTCGCTACAAATCGAAAACCTGCGCCTCGAAAGGGCTGAAAAGGGCGAAGTACATTGCATAGATTCGAACCCAGGCTGGCTATCGCCGTCGGTCGCATAGCTATCTAGGCAGAGAAGCGGACCCTCGGCACCATAATGAGCGGACATGATGTCTAGGTGGGCAAATGCGGCGGCGAGAGACTGTTCGATTAGTGCTTCATGTGTTGTTAAGATCCACAGTACACAATGGAATATACACTATCTCAGCGTAGTATTAGCATGACTGACCTATGAAGGTATACTTGATGGAACATACGAGACCAGTAGCGTAATCATAATTTTGCTGCCCTTTGGCCATTTTCGCGGATGTCCCATGATACAATAATAGGGGTGGTAGATCTAGTCCTATTGCGCTATTAGTCTGTCTTCCTATAACCGATTACTATTGTGTAGATCCATGCTCAGCCTCCTGTAGGTTGTCAATTATACCAGATTTTTCTTTAGCAAGAGTCACTGCTTTTTGGTTTGCCAATGGATAGCCTAGAGTGCAGTAAGTTGATCGTCTGACCAAGGGGTTACGCCCCTGTGAACCAGAAAGGTATATTCATGGCGCCCGAGATAATTTCAAAGCAGCAGCTAAATACGGTAGAAGCTTCTGTCCACGAGTGGTTAACAGCAGATTCACAAACTTCCTCCCCTCGTGGCCAACTTCCCTAGGCATAGGCTGGTATGTAGGGCACAATACAGTACTACTTCTTCGTATATACTCCCCTGGACACACAATAGGGTCTTGTGATCAATGCAGATCAGGTAGATCCTTCCTAACGACCCACAAAGTTCAACAATGTGCATTGATGACGCTACATCTGCAGTCAAAAACTTTCAGGCATCAGCCACCCACCCATTTTTATCCTCTACTTCCAGACGAGAAAAAGCAAACAGGGCCGCACGCTAATTAATTGGTCAAGATGTGGAGTCGATTAAGTTAGCCGGTGGGTTGAATTTCCCTATCGACGTGTAATTCGCATAGTACTATCCAGCTCTAGAGGTACTCCGCAAACATTTCTCTAAAGTGGTCGTTCAAAAACAAATTCTTCGGGTCAAAATGCGCTCGCTGTTTGAGAAAGAGGTGCATTACAGCGGGATCAATCGCCTTTCCAAAGCAATACACCGCACCATCACGGGTCTTGTTGATGTGTGGGATTCCTCCGTGCAACATTGCGATTTTGTTGAATTCCAAGCGGAATTCTTTCCATGTTGTATCCTCGGGGTATGGGTACAAAGGATCGATTGCCATCATGTTTGCATCGCGCGATCTGGACAACAGGGAAGCTTGGTCTTTTGGGATGAAGTAGATCAGGGCCGGTAAAGGCAGACCAAAATTATGGTCTTTCCGGAATTTATAGCTTAGCTGTAGAAATGATCTGGCCATACCAACCCAGTTTTTCTCAGGAAACACCCAATCGTAGAAGTCAAGGCGTGCGTCTTTCTCCTCGTATAGCTTTCCTCGATCGCAAGGATTGATCACATAGGGGATGTGCTTGACTATCGCCATCGGTAGCCCGACAAATGCTATACTGAGAACCTTGGCTCTCGTTGCAGAACAGCTCACTGGTGATGTAGCTCGAATAAGGGAGAGTGCGATCTTGAAAAGAGCGTTTTTCGCACCTACCCTGTTTTTCCATGTGGATAAGAAATGTCGGCTCGTTTTCTCTTGCTCGATGAACTTTCGACCCTGCCAGTACAATTTCCCGGACTGGGGACATAACATCCCGAATACATGATCATAGTTAATCTTGAGAGACTGGATCTCTTCATGAAAATTGTCGAGGAAGTCATCGAGGTTCACCTTCATAAACGTAATCGACAAGGGCCGATTCTCTCGAACCTCTAGTGTAACCTCATAAATAACCCCAAACATACCGAAGTGAGATCGAATAGCTGGCAAATATTCCGCGTTGTGGTTCCCTGATATCTCCATGAGCTCCCCAGTCGGAGTGACAAGTTTGACCCCAAGAACATAGGATGAGAACTGAGCTGCTCTTCCCGTTTCGGTGTCATTAGCATGGGTACCACTGATGGCGCCGATATGATAATTTCCCCATTCCAGGACAAGCGGAGGCTGTAGGCCCATCTGTCTCAGATGGGATCCAAGCTTGGATAGGGTCACACCAGCTTGGACTGTCGCTGTACGGTTTCCTTTGTCGACGGACAGGATGCGGTCAAAATTTTGCATGGACAAGTTGATTCCACTGCCCACCATGCAAGCGGTGGTAGAATGACGGGATCCAGCCACGGTAACAGGCATGTCATTTTGATAAGCATGTTTAACAATTTCCTGCACCTCTGATATCTCCGTTGGCGATTTGTACTGGCCGTCGGCAACTTCATAGACTATTGCATGGTTCCAGTTTTTCAGGGTAGTCATGGTATAGGTTTCAGAGACACAGCAGCCCTGGCCAAGCTCTCTTGTATGGAATTTTATGCAGGCCATGCATGGAACAGATATTACACACACTTTATAGTCATTCTGATGTACGAATTTATTAGTTTTTTGTAGGTCTTTACACCTCAGCCTGTGACTTAGTCACACGCCCGTTTCCAACTACCCTGGCGGCGAGCCCGGCCGTCAGACGGTGACCTTTCCGGCAATCGGCGTAGAGCTGACAGATTCGAGCATGAATACTACTGCTACTACTACTACTACCACCCAGATCAGTCGTCCTAAAATTTTGATCATTCGTAATGGGATGTGGTAGGGATGAAGTTAGTGTGATTTAATTATTTAACTATTGGCGACACTATACACAAGTGGGGCCGCCTGAACAGTATAGAATAGTAGATCTTCGAGCTAAATTCCTTTGAGCTGAAACCATAGCCGGTCCATTTATTTAGTGTGAAGAGAGAGTACAGATTGTAGTGTGTATTAACTTTTTTTTCAGCTGGACACATCCCTGAGAGGTGCGGCTGAAGATCAACACATCACTCGGCAATACATCCCGCCCCATCTAGTTATGACTTCTCCAAATACGCTATGTGGCTAATATTGTTAAGCAAGCCTAGTACAGTCACATAGGCCCGATGAAGATGGCGCTACAAAATAGTGGTAAACCAAATCATGTGCCCAGGGGTGCGCAGTATAAATATCGTTATTGTGGCTAGAGCTCTTCATGTGTCCAACCATTACCTTCGTAGTCCGGAAACAGCAATCATTCGAGTTTATTACGCATTTCGTTATTTCAATCCGTCTGGCTACTCTAGGCCGACTTTCATCACTCTCCTCTCCTCTGCTTATCGTTGTCCTACAAACAGCGTTGGAATCGAGTAGCCCACATAAGGATGACAGAAAAAGTACAGTGCTTATAGTACAGTACCGTGTGAGTCCTGACAGCTATTGACTGAATATATCACCATGATTTGGGAATATTACGCTGGTAAAGTGATTTTCATCACCGGAGGTTCAGGTTTCCTAGGGACTACTCTGATTTACCGTCTTGTCAAGCGAGCACCTGTGGCCCATATCTATGTTCTGTGTAGAGGCGGCCTTCGGTAAGTTATTCTGACTTGTTATTTCCATATAAACAAACTGACGTCGCAGGAAACTCGTTGAAAAATGGAACCAATGGCTCCCACGTGAAACTGTGGAAATGATGACTGACCCTCAGCTTCTCACTGTCCTGGAGGGTGATATGTTACTCCCCGACATGGGGCTGGCACAGGACCAGCTGGCTTTGCTCAGGACTCAAGCGGAAGTCATCGTGCACGCAGCTTCTTCTATTGCACTACTAAAGCCACTGGAGAAGATTTTCAGACCGGTAATCGTTGCCACAGAGCGCCTGGCACGGCTAGCTCTAGGCTGCGAAAGACTTGAATGCTTCGTATTCGTGTCAACGGCCTATAGTAATGCTCACCTTTATGCCGAAACAGATGGAACATCTGGTCTTGAGGTCCAAGAGACTCTGTACCCTCTCCATCGCGACGGTAGCGATATAGAAGACATCGACCAAGAGTTACAGGAAGTCTACAAAACAAACTCCTCAGCAGCCTATCGCTCGCACAATTTCCCTTGGGCGTATGGCTACGCAAAGCACCTAACAGAGAGACTCCTCCATCGATTATTTACGCCATCCAACAAGAGACTGCTTATCGTGCGGCCATCCATAATCGAGCCAGCGCAATGTTTCCCCTATCGGAAATTCTGCATACCAATGTCGACTCCCCATATTATTTTTGCAGCCGGACTGGCCCTCACCCTATCACGAACTATCCGCTTCTCTTCACGATTCGATAACCCCTACCACCAGTCCAGCATCGACTATGTCCCCGTGGATGTGGTAGTTGATCGACTTCTGGCCCATGTGGCACACGGCACCCATGGTGCTATCCATGCCGTCGCCGGTCCAATGCCATTCCAATCTACCTGGGAGCGGACAATCAAACTGCGCCGTATTCCTTCACGCATTCGGCCAGGATGGACTCGTCAGTCCTGGCATTCAGAGGCTATACATCCTCTTGCCCGCGTATATAAAACGATAGGAACGACTTTCTACTTTGTAGAGAAGAAGACACTGGATCTGTGGCAGGAGCTCGCGGATGTGGAGCGCTCTAAGCTCCACCTGTTTGCGGACATGGAGGTCTTGTATTATGATCATGAGCACATGCGTCCAGATCACATATGGGACTGCATGATGCACTTGACGACGCGCAGTCGGTCAGCTCGATGCCTAGCGAAACTATTTTATCGGTCTCTGGCGACGTCTGAGTCTTTTGGGGTAGATGGGGGCAGATGTGTTTGTCATTTAAACAATGTTACCTGACAACGAGAGTAGTTGCATGCTTCAGGTCAAGGAGGGATTTGCGAATTATAGTCAAACTTCTGTATGTAAAATAGCGTGTATCTAGTTCATCCTCGGTCTCTACACAGCGACTGATTGTTCTAGTCCCTGCCAATAATAGTAGTTCTTTATTTCCTTTTCGCCACCCCCTCTTTCTCTCGTCAACTCCTGTGCGTCTGGTGTAGCCCTTGCTGCACTTTATTATTTGTAATATGTGTTCGACAGAGCCTAGTCAGTCGATCTTGCCTGCTTCGAGAGCAGGTCAGCTCGCCGCAGTCTCAGCAGACCATGTGCTCCACACGAACATTTATTAAGATCTCAGCACACCGAACAAATGTAGAATCAATACCCTCTAGGTACTCACTGACAACATAAAATAGAAGTTTACTTCTTCTTCCAAAGAATATGTATTACCAATCCAAGCAGGATATATCCAATATCCAAAACTTCCTGAGATCAATCAACTATATCCACGTCGTCATGACCATTGGAATCCCCCTGCTAGGGCTCAGTCTTGCATTATATGTACCCCTCCAAATCAAAACACTCATATGGTCATGCATATATTGGTTCCTATCCGGGATGGGCATTACAGCAGGTATGATACACTCCACAAAATTGGAGGCAAAGAAACCCCACTAAACTCTGTCAGGATACCACCGTCTCTGGGCCCACAAAACCTACTCAGCCAGCGTCCCACTTAAAGTTCTCCTCGCATTGCTGGGTGCAGGTGCCGTCCAAGGCTCCATCCGCAAATGGAGCAGAGACCACAGAGCCCACCATCGATACGTAGATACGGACCAAGATCCATACAATGTCCACAAGGGCCTGTTCTACGCACACATGGGATGGATAATTTTTAAGCAAGATCCTAATTCCATAGGTCGAGTTGATATAAGTGATCTTAACGCCGACAAGGTCGTCACATGGCAGCATCGACACTATGGCCGCCTACTTCTGCTAATGGCATTCGCCGTACCTGTTCTCGTCGCTGGCCTAGGCTGGTCAGATTGGAAAGGAGGATTTGTCTACGCCGGATGTTTGCGGATATTCATCATCCAGCAAAACACCTACTGTATCAATTCATTGGCACACTGGCTAGGAGATCAGCCGTACCAGAGCACAAAATCACCAAGAGATAATTTATTCGCGGCGGTTTTGACTCTAGGAGAAGGATACCATAATTTTCACCATGAGTTCCCGGGCGATTACAGGAATGGGATAGAGCGGTTTGACTTTGATCCAACCAAATGGTTTATCAACTTTCTTGCTTGGGGGAAGCTTGTGTTTGATCTTCGGGTGTTTCCAGAGAATGAGATCAAAAAGGGACGCTTTCAGGAACGGTCCAAGGCATTGGCGGAGGAATCTAAAGGGATTGTGTGGGGCGTGCCTGAGGATCAGCTGCCTGTGATAAGCATGGAGGACATGCGGGGCGCCTGTGAGGAGGGAGTGGATTTAATTTGCATTAATGGCATTGTATATGATGTCTCGACCTTCAAACATCAGCACCCGGGCGGAAATGTGATTCTAAATGGTATTGGGAAAGACGTAAGCAATATGTTTCATGGAGGGGTCTATAAGCATTCTAATGCGGCGCGAAATCTTCTATCAAGCATGAGGAAGGCGAGATTAGAAGGATAGGTAGATTGCTTATAACTACTAAGAAATATGACCTCAACAGAGTTATTCTATCCGCCGGAGCAGGACATTTTTGGTGTGTAACTTAACCTACCTAAAACATCACACTCGCAGTCTATTTCAGTGCCGCATTTGCTCCACAACAACACAATATATACAAACAGGCTTCAAGTAACCATTTCTTGAGGTGCTTATGGGAGAGGAAGACCTTCTTCGGTTTATCCTATCGCATCAAAAGCTCTCGTAGCACTAATTTCTCCGTCGAAGTATACTGCATGTGCCCCCATGTGGGTGGGATCCAAAGTGTCTTGATGAGCCTATCTGGCCCACACAGCGCTGATTGGGGCCATTTATGGTACCACTCACTCCTTATCCCATCCAGCCAAGTCTGGTACACCACTACCTTTGCCCCCGTCTATTTAACCCACTCCTACAATGTCTCCCTCCCAACCATCACCTCCACGCACCTAACACAGGCTGGTACCTCACTGTGCAACCAACCCCAGCCCTAACCGGCGCCAACGGCCTCGGTCTGTCCGCTGTGGGAAAACGCCTGAGCATCGTCATGCTAGCAGCCTCCTACGCCGATACGGTTAATGACGAAACGGTAAACAAGGCGGCGGCGAATTTGATCAGCTCCATCGAGTCCGCCACCAAGACGCGGGCGTGTATCGCGCGTTTAAGTACTTGAATTACGCGTACAACTCCCAAGGGGTTATTCGGGGGTATATCGGGGCAAGTCAACGGAAGCTTCAGGCGGCGAGTCGGAGGTATGACTCTGTCGTGTTGTTCCAGAGGGGGTTGCGGGGGTGGGAGGGTTTAAGTTGTTTTAGTGGATAGGCGGATATAGCTGTCACTACTCCACATTTTTCTTTTTTTTTTTTTTTAATATTAGCTTTCTATATCCCATCTCGATTCGTGTCACTATCACTCCTAAAGTTGAATGAGAACGGACATAGCAGTGAAAGTTGAATAATGTTAGCCTAGCGCCATTTCTCCCCAGCCTGATCACCCTACACGTACTTGCGCACCAGTAAGCACTAACCTAAGCCCCGGCATACAGCCTGAAATACTGATTGTTTGGCGCATCCACAGATGTAACCCTTCAAAGGGGTGATTTTTTTAATATCCCTGTTATTGTTCTAGTAGTAGTCAGGGGTTCCGCATTAGCAGAGATTATTTAATTCACCTAGATTGCTTCCCCCCCTTTTTGTAATCCTTAATCCTGTCCACACCAACCTGATTTTATGAGACTCCGGGTGATTTCGACAGAGGTTTATTTATGTGCGAAAAGGATAGATTCTATAATTTACTCTTGATATTTATTCGGTAGCCACATTGAATAGCATCAAACCCTCCACTTTGAACGAAACACGCGATCTGCCTTCCGAAATGGCAACACCACAAGAACGACATCCGGAGCTCTTTAGACCCGTGAACAGCGAGTCCCCAAGAGGGATGAAGCGAACAGTGCCTCTGGAATGTCTATGTCTAGGATTCAACCGGACGGGCACAGCATGTAAGTCGAAGTTCGCATCCTCGACATTCCCATGGAGGTCTGATAAGACGCGTGTTGCTGATCGGGAAGAACAAAACTAGCCATGTGCAATGCACTCGAGATCCTTGGCCTACGGTGCTGGCACTCCACGCAGTTCATGTCGACGCGGTTTGGCGACATCGAGATGTGGCAAGAGGCGGTGAATCGAAAATTCTTCGATATGGGGTCCAAATTCGGGCGCGAGGAGTTTGACCAGCTGCTGCATGACTACGGGGCCGTCTCGTCCGACACCCCAGCCATTGCGTTTGCAGACGACCTGATCGAAGCGTATCCGGAGGCCAAAGTCGTGCTTGTCGAGAGGGATATCGACTCGTGGTACGACAGCTGGATAAACAGTGTGATTAAAAATACTTACGACCCGCTTGTCACAGTTATCTATCACATCGATCGCTTCTTCACCCATCCGATCGGGAAAATCCACAAGACGACCTTCCAAGGTTGGTTGGGGATATCTAATCCCGAGGATGCCCGTCGCAGGAGTAAAGACCAATACAGAAAACATTACGAGCTCGTCCGGAGGATAACCTCCAAGGACAGACTGCTAGAGTTTAAACTTTCGGATGGATGGAAGCCGCTGTGTGAGTTTCTGGGGAAGCCGGTACCGGACAGGCCCTTTCCCCATCTCAACGAGAAGAAATGGCTCGATGAGAAAGTTCAACTTGTGCTCACACGGGGACTGAAACGGCTGGCGTGGAAGGCATTTCTTTTCTTCCTGGTCCCGCTGGTTGCAGCTGGGATGGTCTACTACGTGGTGTAAAGGAGCTTGACTGAGTTTAACTTCCCATTAGGAATGTCAGAATTTGAGCTTGAATACCCTCTGAGACTGCGAGACGCCCAACAGCTTAAAATATAATTTGAATTGGCGTTTTAAGCGGCGAGGGATGATACAATCCGTTGAGCAGTGAATAGTGTGCCCTGGGAAGAGTCAGCTGGTGTTCCGATTACAAGTCCCCCGTTAACGTACTTTACCACCTGTGTCCTCCGCAGACCGACACCGCCTGCCGCCCGAAACATCTCCTCACCGACTGTTATGAATATCGGATCGGCCCGAAGGATTACCCGAACGATCAGCGAAGTCCTCGCTTATATGTCTTCCCACAGACGAAATTCCTGTATACTAAGTTCGCTCATCCAGTTCAATGGCTTAGTTCACTCTATTCAATGCCAATTCCTCTGACCTACTGTAGTTCCACAACACCGACCAAACAACCGTAGATTTTTAAACCACCATAACTCATTCAATATGGATCCTCTGAAAGCAGTGATAGAATTAATCAATTCCTTGATGATAAATTAATGGCCTACATCTTAGGTGGTTGCCTAATGGGCGGGGTTCACACCCCCGAATACTTCAACACTCTTCCTGTATTCTAGAGTGCAAATTAACCAAGGAAGTACGGTTATCGTGGTCTAGGATATTGTCAAATAAGTTGGTGGTAATAGTGACGTAAACAAGGTCATAAAAGAGGGGTAAAACGAACTCCCCTGTAAAGGGCTAGAGCCCGTTTGACCTCTCGGGCCCAATGTCCCTACTGTCCCCGTTGTCCCTATTGTCCCTACTGTCCCCGTTGTCCCTATTGTCCCTACTGTCCCCGTTGTCCCTATTGTCCCTATTGTCCCCGTTGTCCCTATTGTCCCTATTGTCCCTATTGTCCCTACTGTCCCTACTGTCCCTACTGTCCCTACTGTCCCTACTGTCCCTACTGTCCCTACTGACCCTTTTGGCCCCCATTGGCCCTCGATCGATGTCACGTGACTCCCCACCTTGTTTGTTTACCGCTTGTTTCCTCTTCCTTTCTTCCTTTCTTCCCTTCTTCAACGATTCCTTCTTGTACATAACCTATCTTGTAGGTTCTATGGGTTCAGCCCTTGACATCCCCTACACCTAGCAGAAGACGCAACCTAATGATCCATAATAATCACAAGAATGATCATATGTTGATCAATATAATCAAGAAACCATCTAAAACAATCATTTTAAGCACCTTTCGAGAATAGAGTCTACTTTCCTATTCGGTATTAGCCGAATATCGAACAGATATCAATGTCGTTCCCTATATTAGGCAACTGGTTGCGTGTAGCTGTTCGATGAGCTTACTGCCTTCACCCCCCCCTCCCCCCGAGTCACATCATATTCAGGAGGATTTTCTGCCCAACCCCTCTATGAGAGATATTAAGTATACTATATATTTCACGATGTCCCGATCTGGACTAACTTATTCTGTTCGGCTTTAATTCTTAATCTAGTCATGAGTCAGCAGAATTTGATCTCGTCTGCAAGAACCATCAAATTATTCCTTTATATATGCCTTCTCGTTCATCTGATAAACTACAACCACTTGATGTTAGCCGTTTTGCACCCTTAAGAATGCATATGGTGCAGAAGTGATGAAAGTATTCATAATGGTACTTATAGTATTACAAATGAGATCTTTCTAGACCCTTATAAAACACCACGCGAGAATGCTTTATTATCTACTACTATTTGCAGTGGATGTCAAGTATCTGGTCTAGTTCCATTAAAACGCTAGCAAGTATTAAGGAGCTTACTATTAAGCATATTACTCCACCATCTACTGCTTATGGGCACCCGGGTGGGAATGGACTGCAAAAATTCCTTATAATGCTGCTGAGGTGCAAAACCAAAAGCGGCTTATCAAGTGTCATATTAATCGTAACTCTAAAAGCCCTCCGAATGAAGCAATCCAGTAGTTAGCTAAAGCAGCTGAATCTACCATGCATGAAGTAAATTTAATACTGCACGAGATGACCGAGCTTCGGGCAGAAAGTGGAAAGAGAAAGCGAAAAATACAGGTCAAAGATTTTATATTGCGTCTGGAATTGCTTTAAGAGGGGCTGAAGGACAGCAGCTTGCTCAAGAAGCTAAACAGAGTAGGATTCAGAGGAACCAGCAACTAAAACAAAGCGAGCACCACCAAAATGCAGCAATTGCCATCAGGTTGGCCATATGGCATATTAGAACTAGCTGCCGTAATAGATAGCTTATTTAATGTATATGTATAAGAATAGATTCATCTTAGTTGCGCAGGATCTTGATTTTTTGACTGGGTATTTGGGTGGCTCGTTCGGTGTCCGGTTACGTTAGTTAAAAGCCATCATCTCTGTGGCTGGCGGCAAGATAGGGCCATTCTGTGGTGGTCTAGCAATTGTCAGCAGACTGCAAGGTCGACCGGAACTAGGAGTAGTTTCAAAATAGGGTTCCAACCAGTCTACACTCTAAGCTACTGTGCCGCAAGCATTGTAAAACAGTCTTGGACAGCCAAAACTTAGGTCGGGGAATAAGAAATTCCCAGATCCATGCTTTCGGTAGTTTCCGTTTAATCACCCAGTGGCATGTTATCCTTGGTTCTGTGTAAGAAATTATTAGATTTAATTAGGTTGTAAACCTTAATTCTGTGTTCTGCGGTAACGTCATGGACACCGGCTTCAGCCACTGGAGCAATCCATAATAAAATATGGGAGCTTTACATGCTTCTCTCTGTAATTATTATAAATTTATCTTTAAACTTATGTGTGCTCCGCCATCTCATTACTTGTTGGATACGTAACTACCGGTATCAATTCCAAGAGTTTAGTCGAATGACAGGAAAATTCCGAACAGTAGCACCTACAATGTTTGAACGAGACAGACAACAAGATCCTGCCAATTAAAGCCGCGGGTAATGTCTCCGACCATTAGAGTAGGATTCTTAGTTGACGTCACCGCCCATCCTTGTCATGGTATCCGCTTTTATTAAGAACCCAAATTGCGCTCTGCACTGCTGGGCACTAAATCAATCCTTCTAATACAAAGAGAACATCATTGTGAGAGCCTGTTTTCCAATAATTGATCTCTCACTACTGAACATAGAACCTAATTTTTCTTCGAATCATGGGTATGAGATCATAGAGAAATAATACATTAGAGAAATTTCCGTTTTCTTAGGTAAAGAATGGGAGACCGGCAAGCTCTGGCTGAACCAGCAATATAATAACCAGAGATTCTTGCCCATCGCCATCATTATTGGATCACCATCAATGAAGTGAAATGTTCAAAGGCTGGTTTTGTCTTACTAGTCTTCTAAACTCACATTTTTTTCAAGTGCGGGAGAGCAGATCTGCAGTACGAATCACCGGCAATATACTAGAAGCACTATGAGACTGGCAGGTCCATGATGCTGCAACGTGTAGACTTTAAATCAAGCTTGTAAAGAAACAGATTCCAAGAAGATGCTACTAGGTAAATTCCTATTATTATTAATCCTGAGTCCGTAGGCTTGGATGATCCAAGTGCAGAGATTTGGGTCCTAACTCACTTACCGCAAACGTCCTCGAGAATGTAATATGTGGAGATCTATAAATCAAAAATAGACTAATTGGCAGCCCAGGTAGGCAATTTTATAATGAAGTCATCGAATATTTTTAATAGGATAGGATATCTATTATGGCACTAATATGTAATCAATAAGCATACCCACTTCGCCTCCTATATTGAAAGTAACGTCATAGTTAAGCAACGCGCCTTGTTAACTAGAAGTAGTGGAGCTATAAGTACATGCTATTCTGTCTTTATACAAACTGACATTTTTTGTTCATACTTTATCTTACTATCTCCCTGGTATTAAAGATAACACCAAAGGGAATTTACTAAGCGACCTTAAATCCCGAAACTCCTTTAAAAGGTTATTGCTCAATTATCATGGTTCATATCCCATCAAAGGATGCGCCTCTCGAAAGGCTAGATGTCTGGTCCGGAATTCTCCACGGCGTGAACAATAAGGATTATACAGTGCTGCGAGGGATAGAAGTCAAACCTCAAGGTGGAACCCCGGAACGGGCGGGATATTGTCCGCCCCCAGATAAACTAGGCCAGCGCGTTCTACACGAGACCTTTTACTTTCCAAGCAACAAAAAACTCGATTGGATGGATGTATATTCTGGTGATCAACCGGGCGCATGCGTGGACTCGCTCCGATTCCATGTGAAAGATAAAGACGACTATTTTGCCGCTGGAGGTGCTTCGGGTAACCAACACGTTATTATCACTGATCACGGTCTCCATGAACTGGTGGGTTTTGATGTAACTGCGGAGACCAGGGCCGGCGATCCAAACCCATATATTACTCAACTTAGTCCACACTTAAAGTAATGTGCGGAGTTTGGGAAAAGGGCCATTCTGGTTAATACAGTCGAACAATAAACACAAGAAACAGCGGAGTTTACTTACTGTTATTATCTTACTGGGAACTTCAACACCCATGCTTGTATTTTATGGAATATGGATTCTACCTGCATTTCAACATGCAGTTAAAAGTACAGTCCCAATGAGTCACCAAGATGTTTACGATGAATAATTAAAATTGAAAAGCCAATGAATTTTCAGCTTACTAGTCTACAAGCTAGGGATGGACATTTAGCCATAAATAATAAAAAGAACCGTAAAAAAGGCCTTTGCGAACCGAAAATTGGGAAAAACTTGTAAATTACAGGTAAATAAATCTATTCCTTATTCGGTAAACACTAATCCCAATATAGAAATATTTATGAGACCCGTCATCGCGTTGATCCACGTATCTCACGTTAGCCTCGAGAACCATGGTCAGTGTTGTGAATTGAGGCTCGACCAGATAGAAGAGCTTCATACACGAAATAGATTCTAGAATCCGATTGATTGGAAATCTGGTGTTCACTATGTATAAATAAACCCTCAAGTTTTCAGATGAGAATAAGAACAATTCAATCTTCCTCTAAACCACAACAGTTCATGAGCCTGGGTGCAAATATACTTCTCGTGTAGTGTCTCTATGTAGTTGATCAGAGTCTTTGAATATATTATTTGCACCTCTAAATTAAAACCACTTGACAAAAACCCACCACAATGGAGTCACCGTTCCCCTCGCCTACGAGTCTTTAAAAGCTATTGTGAAATGTCCAATCGCTTTTCATCACATTGCCCCGGGGATTCGGGTGCCCACGTCTTCTGAAATAGCTAAGTATATAGGCCTCAAACAGAGTCACAGCTTTCTCAAAATGGAGATCACGCTATAAATTACACGAAATAACTCTCTTACTATTTCCGGTGGACGGGGAAGACTTGGTAAAATGGGCGAATAATTATGAAGGCATTGTACCAGCCGGATTATTTAAACCAAGCTTGTTCCAAATTATATGAATGCCTTTAGGAGTTGGTGCGCTATGACTGCCGTTTGACGTTGGAGCAAATGGGTGGGTGAACAAAGCACTGGTATACCAATGGCGGTTGACGTTGATTTTAGCTTTCAAGATCAACGTCCGAAGGATGGTCACGATTGCCTTTATCAGGTCTATTTAAATGGATTTATCCCTTCCCACAATGTACAGATTTACAGGGTTCTCGAAAACTGGGCACAGAGCGTTGAGGATGGAGGCGGGAATGACGGTGAACTTGGTGGACCAGAGAAATTCGGCTGACACTAAATGGCTGTCACTAAAGAGCAATGGCATAAATACTGGATAGCCCATTCCTGGTGATCTAGTTTACAAAATTGGAACGGTTTGACTAATGCTAAGAAATCATCCTCCAAAAAAATAAAAGGGGAACGTAGTTAGCCTAACTCTTGTGGTCTATGTGAATACTTGGTATGTGATTGAACTTCCAACCGTGTAAGATTTACCATAAATGTGCTAGGTATTTGCTTGAGGACTATTTCCAAAAAGAATGATCGAATGACAGAATGGATATAAGTCGAATGCATATTCCACATGCAGAGCGTATCTACAGCATATCTATAATTATACCACCGGCCATCCATCCTTCCACCGCAGCTGATTCCATCCAAACTGGTACTGGTCGGTAGACAACCCAATCGAAGTGTCAGTATAGTGATAATACAGCACGAGACCTAGCTTCTTGTCATTGGCGATGCCCCTATTTTGTTATTAGTCATCTGAAGATATATGTATGTAAGTATATATAGTCTTACTGTCCTCCCGGGCCGTAGACTTTCCCATGGCTGGCGAGTAGCGTGGTGCCTCCACTTTCCAGGCATGATCTGCCTTTTTGATCGACCTGTCTTTGTTAGACCTAAAATAAATAGAAGAATAGAGAGAACGTACAAATCCGCCAGTCCCACTCTTTGACCGACACACAACAATGCGGTATTCATCTCCTGGAGCTAGTTCCTGCTGGTCATAATCTCCCGTCTTCCCTGACGAAAATGTCAAATAGTACCATCCGTCATGCTCGAACATGAAACTTGCCTCGATGTCGTGGTTGCCCGTCGCATTGTAGGCGATATTTGTCGGGGTCTGATGGCTCAGGTCCAGCGGCGTGGCCATGGGGACCTGGTATAGACCATGCCAGTACGATCCCCAGTTCAGATAGGGTTTCCCGCCGATGCGCACCCAGTTGGCATCGATGGTGTTATAGGGCTTCTGCGACGTTGATGACAGTCCAATCCATCCGTGGTCGGTCCAGGTACCCACCTCCATCGAGGGGGACGTGGCCACTCCGATGATTGAGTCCTGGGAGCCGAGGGTAGACACCGAGTAGTACATGAAATACTGGCCGCTTTCGTAGTGGACATCGGGGGCCTATCAATTAGCATAGCACAGGAGCCAGTAGTGTATATATGGGGAAAGATACCCAGAGATCGTCGTTCCCCGGGTGGTCAATGGACGAACCATGGGGAAAGACATATCCGTCCTCTTTCCAGGGCCCTTCTATCGAATCGGCCGAGGCGACGTGGATGCCGTTCCCCGTGGCGAAGCGAAAATACTTGCCGTCGGATACGCGCTGGAAGAATCCTGGATCATGCGTCCAACAGTTACCGGAACAGGGGCCAGGATTGGCATAGGCGTAGGCCACAGAAAGAAAGAAAAGAAGGGTCAGCACGTTCATTAAATTATTTATAGTATATTAACATTCAGGAAGGGAGAAGAGAAGAAGATGAAGAGTTGAAGAGAACTGAAGACGGATGAACCACATCGTATTCCAGCGGTTTAAGTACGTTTCAGGGCTTAAGGACATGCTGCATCTAGTCTGGGATTTAGTTATGTACGACAGGTCTTTAACTGAATACCGGATTAATCATAAATTTTTAGTTAGTTAACTAATAACTATTTGATGCTTAAAGTTCTGAGAGGGCGGGAAGTGGAGCATAAAGAACCGAAAAATATAGGTGAAACGGTCTTTTTTTTTGGCGATTTGCCCAAATAGTTACTCTACCACGGTTAAGTTCGAATCTAGTGCAGATTCTAAAATCATCAACGACTAACTAATCTAGTATTACCTAACTCAAGGCTCTATGGCTGGTACCACCCCCGCAAAAATATGGTGGGGTTCAATGTATTTGGTCTCAAGTGGAGGATGGTGAAGCTTGTTACGTACCAAGGAGTAAAGCTATCTAAAAATAAATCAGAGACAAATTCTCAGGGTCAGCCAGCAGCCTCCCCGACTTCCCTATCTCTAGTAGACTACAAGTCTCGGATGGCCTTGCAAACCCAAACGATACAAATGTGGAATTCTAGCGGTGTGGTAAAACCAGTGACCGTGCCGCATATGCAACATTAAATGCAAAGAAAAATAATGGCTCAGACATAGCGGGAGGAACTATTGCTGGAATTGTTGCTGGTGGCTGTGTTGTGATAGTGTCATGGTCATCTTTACCCCAGAACGTTGTTCCATACTCCAAGTCCTGATCCAAGGGTGCAAGACATACTGCCTGATGAATAAGCCGGGGATCATAAGCTTTATAAAGGGCATATTCTCAGACAACCATGGTCACACCTTGTCTACTGGATCCTCAGTATCACCCGATCGTGTGAAGAGAGATACAGTGCTTTGGCCAGGCGGTCGTCTTGATAGCCGATCGTTTCAGGAAATAAAATTATTCTCGGCCAGTTCTACGGGTGAGTGCTGGTCTTTATGTTATAAAGAAATGGGACAACTATCGCTATCATACTATACAGCTTGACAAATCCCGAATTAAGCGTTTGACATTTTTGATATAATCTCTATTAATATGTTCCTCACATGTCATCTCTATTTTGCATTCGGTGAAAGAAGCGGTTTATTGATTAAAGGAGTCAGGGATAATTCCATACCATTGGTAGCAGGTAGCCTGCCCCGGAATGTTTGTTGTCAACTTGATCAGCAAAGACTGGATGAAACGCCGCGAATTACTAGGAGGCAGACTATACTTTTTGGGAGCAGTGCGCTCCGCCAACCTTCCTGCCGTGATCTTCAGGGGGAATTGTGGGAGGTGCGGGTGATCGGCGAGGATGATTAGCTTCGGTGAAGCCGAATTATACCGACCATAACATTTGCTTCCCTGCGATGTGAAATGAGCCTCGGCACGTACCCAGGCTACAATGCTGCCACCCGGGAGGTTTATACATCGTAACCTGTGACATAAATAATGTGGGCGGCATAGTTATTCACGGTGTCCTACCCCTCCCTCTAAATAGTGCATCAACTTCCAACTCTCAACTCAATCGATTCTATTTGATGCATCCCCCCCCCTTTGACCTAAGTTCTTCCTTTAGAATGAAATCGACGTGCTTGCGTCAGAGGAGTTAACAAAGCTACTTGTAGTATGCAAATAGGGGGTTTGACTGAGAAAAGGTAGCGACTTTGGGGGAGGGGTGGAGTCGACAATTGGTGCATGGACTTTGTTCCATATTACTTCATCGGGCTCCTGAGTCAGTACTGTGGCAAACAATCGGATAAGCTTGCTGACGTCAAAATCATCAGAATTGATGGTAGAGTCGAGTTTTGACAAGTCTCCAAAGAGTTCTGCCTCTACTGGTGGAGTGTAAGACACAGGAAGGGGGAAGAACGAGCAACGCTGTTACGAGGTATAAGGATAAATCATTGAGCGCTGCTTGCCGTTAGAAAAGCTGAGGGTCTAGTAAATCACTTGCCTTCAGCGTCTAATTGACTCAGAAAGGTGACGGAACACTGTAACCCCGAAGCTCTTGCACGTTAATGTTATTGCTGCTGCTTTTGCCGAAGATCTGGACCCTGCAAATGACCACGACGCGCAAGATGGCCATCATCGGAGTCTTTGTTATTGGTTACAGGTAAAGTGTTGGACCGCGGCAATGATTATCGCGTCATGCCACTACTAACCAAGAACAAACAGTGTCATTGTCGTTTCCATTGGCCGACTCATTACAGTTCTTCTGACTGGTAGTACCTTGGACTTGGGATATTACCTGTACGTCATGAGTCTCCGATACCTGATACCTTGTCCTGTAACTAATGTGTTCGTTCTTTATAGACTCGGTTGTTCATCTGGCCTTCTGGGTTGGTGCCGAGGCGCCCATCACCATGCTGTGTATTTGCTTGCCGCCCATGACTGCGCTGGGCCGATACCCGGCCAACAACTACTTTTCCAAGATATCCAGCAAAGTTCACTCTCTGTTTAGCACCATCAAGGGCAGCAAAGGCACTGCGGCATTGCGGAGTTACTCTGCACCGGATTCGCAATCTCAAAGTATTGCGATGAACTCGAGCTCTATAAAAAAGAGCGTTGACAATGACGGCCACAGCCTGGAGTCACAGGAGAGCTCTGCGCAGTTATTTCCCCACAAAGACGAGCATTATTATGCTGGCGCTAGAGCCTATGTCTCTTACCTTCGCTCGGGTATTCATGGTACAACCCCGCGTCCCAACTCTGGCGATGCTGCCATTCGTGTAGACAGCGTTGTGACTGTCACGCAGCGTTTGAGAAAATAGTTTGACTTTGGTAACTCTAGTCATTGTCCATTTCGAAATGTTTAATGGTTTCCTTTATTTCTTATTTCTTTCTTTGGTTTGACAGTAATCGCATTGATTGATACCTTGATGGCTTAGGAGTTTTAGGTATACTTTTGTCAAAATCTTGTTATACCACTGCAGCCAAGAATGCCTGCCTTGCACTGTGTGCTAATTTACATCGACATGTGCCAACCCTCTCTATTAATTTTCACAGTATTCCCAGAAGAAGAAGAAAAAAAAAAAGGTGAGGGGTCGTGATTTCAGCTTCTCATACACTGCAAGGCCCCACCCATTATGCCCTCTCACTCCCCTCAGCGGGCTCGGCTTAATATTTGTTGGGCTATCTAACATGTAGCTTTTTATCGGCTATGCCTTATTTTTTAAGTGGGTGTGGTCCAAATGGATATTATTTCCTTGGCTGTTACAGCCCCTGGCAAATTGTACCAGACTACTATTTCTCTAGCAACACTCTGCCGCGCTAGCCCTGCTTTCGCTGTGCGTCAATCATTGCCATTGCCCTCATATTGTCACGGTCCTAAACCTAGGTAGAATGAAACAAGATCTATTCAGAACGTAGGGCGACTCATATTCGAAACAACTAACTTAAGGAGCTACCTGTAGAGGTGGTGGTGTGTTCGAGGTGTTATGGTGTGTGGCCACGTGATCAGAATAGGGTGTTGGAAGCGATTGCTTGTTCTATTGAACGGGTGGCCGGGTAGCCGCTACTAGTTAACTAAGTTAAGATAAGTCTTAGGTAACTCTTTAGCTGTTTGTATAGTATCTAGTTATAGTTAAAGTGTATATTGTCAAGGGCTGAACCCGTAGAACCTACAGATAGGTAGGTTATGTACAAGAAGGAATCGTTGAAGGAGGGAAGAAAGGAAGAGGAAAATGAGCGGTAAACAAACAAGATGGGGAGTCACGTGACAGGGATCGAGTGTTCGCGAGGCACAATTCTCTGAATTCAAGGGGCTCAGGCGAGCTGACTATCTAGATGGGTGACTAAGTGAGGCCACGTGACCATACCGAATATGGTAGGTCCCTAACACCCCCTGGCCGAAGCGTGCTCACCCAGCACCATTACGTACAGAATCGCTTGTAAAGCAAAAAGCCAAAAAGCCAAAAACTAAGCTAAACCTATATTATCGAGAAAAGCCGTGAATCCTTCGGATCGAAGCAATTTAGTGAGGCCATCAGCAGCGTTCTCCTTACTAGGGCATAGCCGAATATTAATAATGCGGTCCGCCGCGAGCTCGCGCGTATAATAATACCAAATATCAATATGTTTAGAGCGCTTGGTGGTGACCGTTGAACTAATAAGATCCTTGTAACCTTTATTATCCACGTGGAATGCAATAGGGTCCAAAGGCGCAGAGTAGATCTCTATTTTATTAAGTAGGCGACGAAGCCACTGTATTTCCCGAGCTGCGTCCGACACCGCCATATATTCAGCCTCATTGGATGATAAGGCAATGGATATTGGTTTGGCAGATCGCTATAATATTAGGGCACCGGCTAAAAGTATAATATAGCCTAATACTAGGCTGGCCGTTGGGAAGGGATTTTCCTTTGGGATTTCCCTCCCGAACGGGACCGGGACGGAACGGGACCAATTTCAGGAAATTTATGGGAATTAGGGATCTTAGGGAATATCCCATTCCCTAGATCGGGATTCCCTCTAATTTCTATTCGGGAATGGGACGGGAAACGGGACCGAACTTATAGATGGGAAGGGAATGGGAATATCCCGATTCCTGGGAAAATCCCATGGGAATTTCCCTTATTTTAATCACGTGATAAATAACTACTTTATATTACTTCAACATAGTAAAATTTCTTATTTTTATACTATATAAATTTTTAGACTATACCCTATTAGGAAGTGGGACGGGATTCGGGATTCTTTGTTAGGAAATGGGATGGGATTCGGGATCTTAGGTTAGGAAATGGGACGGGAAACGGGACCTAATTTCTAAAGTAAGTGGGAATGGGAATCTCCCATCCCGAATCCCTTCTAATGGGAATCCCTTCCCAAAAGTCTTGGCACGGGGTGGGAATCAAAATGTGATTCCCATGGGAATATGGGACGGGACTGAAACTCGCCCGGGATCCCGAATCCCGTCCCAACGGTCAGCCTACCTAATACTAACCGACAATTATAATAAGGACCTCCCCAGTCCGAATTGGTATAAACCAGTGGTTGCGGTAGGGGTCCATTTGACATGCGAAAGGTGATACCCCGTGTACAAAATCCTTTTAAATATCAAATTAAGTGTTTGGCCGCTCGAATGCCTTTTGTTAGGGGCCTTGTTAAATTATGCTAGCAAGCTCGCGATACACGCAATATCTGGACGGGTTCTTAAGGCAAGCCATTAAAAACTACCCGTAAGTCGATTATATTCTTTGTTAAGGGTGGGATTGGGGTCGTTATCGATAACTAAACCCGGATCTGTAGGTAAAGAGACTGGATGGGTATCTGCGAGCCCTGCCGAAGTAATAAGATTATTAATATAAGAGGTCTGCATAAGCTTAATCTGACTATTAGATTAAGTAATTTCTATGCCAAGGAAATGCTTAAGGTAAGCTATCTCTTTAATCGCGAATTTTCGCTGTATTGCGCTTAGAAGCTATTCTATATCTACTTTAAGCACTATAATAATAGCAAAATCATCTACATAAGCAGTCACATAGAGATTCTTGCGAGTTTGGTGAATCCATAGGCCTGGGTCGTAGTCGCTTGTTTTAAAGTCCAAAGCTTTAAAATCACTACAGAGAGACGGTTATACTATATACATGCAGAAGGCGCGAGACTGTACAGGGTGTTATTTAGCTTGCAAACTATGGTATTAGGATTACCCTTTTAAAAAGCCGGTTAGTTAGCGTATATATATTGGCATATTAACTTTACTATTAAAAACGCCTGCACTGCGTCCGCCTGAGCGATATACTATTTGCGATAAGCTGCAACCGCGAATAGGATATTAATTATTTGGGGATATACCACTAGCGAATATATCTCCCCAAAATAAGGATCTTGTTTAACCAAGTTACCACGTATAACCCAACATGCCTTGTATTTAAAGGTGCCGTTATTAAGGTCCTTAACACTAAAACCCCAACAACCAGGGATAGGCTTCAAGCCCTTAGGTATAGATTGCTTATTAATTAAGTCCTATACCTTAATTTTGTTAAGACAGGAAGCTTCAAGCTCGCAAGCTGCTAACTATTTATCTTTATCAGGTGATTTCATTGCTTCCTGCCAAGTATTTAGAGTTGGAGGTCGATTTGCCTCAGCAGAAGCAGGCGAAGTAGGAGTAAATCCTGCAAATAGAGCAAAGCCTTTAGCAGGTTGAACCCAGTCAGATTGTCCGTTGTCCTCCGCGGGAGAATCCCCATGAGATGCAGCGCTTCTTGCGCGAGATATTTAGGGTCCGGAGGTACGGTAGAATTAATCGGTTTTTTTGTAGGCTATTCCCTCTAAGCCTGTTCGTTGAATAAAACATGGCCAGTCTAAATAACCTTGTTTATCTCTTTGACATAGACCTTATAATTAGTTAAAGAATCGCTGCTAATATAGACACCTGGAGCACTGCAGCCAATAATCTTGTTAAAATCTTGATGTCCTGGGTTGTTATAATACTAAACACAACAACCAAAGGGACGAATGTGAGCAATCTACAGATACTTGTTAAAAAATATAGAATACAGTATAACATGCTACAAGGGTTAAATATCTGGATTGGTAAATACCCCCTGAACTAAGTAATCTGCGTACAGTGTAGTAGATATAGGGATGTTGTTTGTAATATAAACTGCGTGTTATATAGTGTCCTGCCAAAGCTAATATAGTAATCTAGAATCATGCAGAATTATATATATATACTTAATAATAATCTAGTTAGTATATTTGCCTGGTCTATTCTACTATAAAAAATAAGGATTAGTTAACTCTAACTTCGCACTATTTTTATTTACCTATTTTATTATTTCCTTAGTCACAAATTCGTTATCGCAATGCACGAATGCAGGCGGTTAAAAGCCTTGGTTTTTTATATAGCTAAGCCATTGCTCGAGATGTTGATGGACAAGCTTTTTATCTTTAAGAAATATAATCCACTGATACCGTGTTGCGTCGTCTGTTATCAGTATATAATAGCGGGAACCCGTACAAGAAGCAGGGTTGTTAAGCTGCTTATAGCGTTCAGACAGAGTATTACCTCCACCCGCAATATTAATAAAAATGTGTTAAAGAGGTCTCGTGGTATATTTTACCAAGATATAAGATAGGTTGCGCCTTTGGTTTGCCGTGTGATAAATATCGCAAAAGGGCCGAGATTGGGGATTAAAAACCTTAATCTAACTGCCAGGCGTACGAGATAATTGTAAAATATCAGGGTAATTTAGGTGCGCTAATTATCAATGCTATTAGATTATAGTAGCCACCTAAGGATTGGGTGCTTTAGAGGCTATAGCTGTAAAAGCTAATTCCTTTAAATAAGATATCTTGTATATCACACTGTTAATCTTATAACAGTTCGTCGTCGAAGGGACTGCAGTGATAGTCAAGCTATTTTTATTAGTAAAAACAATATTAGTGTACGCGTCCTCTAGGATTAATAGTTTAAAACCTGCTTTTAGGAGCTGCGCGTAACTTAATAAATTTGCTAATAAACCAGGTACGTGGCGCACCTCTGGTATATCAAGGGTAATATTATTAAATGTTATTCGGGCTGTTCCCTCAGCAAGGGGAGGCTTTTGTCCACCTAAGGATCCGCCAATATTAGGTATACCAGTCGGTAGAATTTCGTACGTTGAAAAAACATCTTGTTAGGGGGTTATATAGTACAAAGTGCATGTATCCACATACTATTCTAGTGGTTGCATGCTTAATTCTGCAATATAATTTGCAGATGCCAAGGGCTTCGGTGGTGGTGCATATGCAGGATCACCTTTTATAGCCCTATACTTGTTAATTCGCTTGAGAAATGCTGGTGTTGCTTAATTAAAAGAAATTACCTCGGGATTCTGATACCAGCATATCCTTGTAAAATATTATTTATAATAACTGCAAGATAATTTCGCATTTTAAAAGGTAAGTCCGATGACTTGTTATCCGGCTTTTTTTAATGCATTAGATTGTTGGTTTATCCAGAAGTCTTTAAACAGCGGTATTAGATTGTTGCAATTTTAACTGTTGTCAATCTTAACTAGATGGTATTCTTAATCGTTGATTTCCTGCCCCTGAGGCAAGGAATGGATCAAGCTTATTCGTTATAAAATTCGATTGCAATTGCTAGGCGAATATAGTGGATATTATAAAATATTTATCCACAGTAATGAGGTTTCGCGCGTGCCTGGAGTTTAAAAGCTTGCTTTGTACCCAAATAATCGCTATTATATAATTCGATATTAATATTTCTCGCACTAGGTTATAGCGCTCCTGGGCCTTCGTTACTATTCCTTAGATTCGTATATATAATACAGCTGCCTTCAGATATTATCTTACCTAGGCATCCTGCACTTCTCGCGACATTAATGGTAGATTCGGATAGCCAAAGCTTTATTCTTTATCTGCCAAATTGCTGAATTGAGCTCGTCACTGTCTGGTGGATTAAGCTCCTTGTTAATCAAGATTAACTCCACGTTTATAATACGGGCGTCTTTAAATAGATCCTCTTTCTAATCCGCAAAATTGGAAATCTTCAGAGATTGTAGTTTATATTAAAGCTTTTGACTAATATCCTTCCGCATGGCGCTGACTGCTTGTATTATACTCGCGCGGCCGGCGTCATCCTCGCTTGGTGGCGGTAGAGCTGTTAATGTGGGCTTCGGATTTGGAGTAGGCGTACTTAAAAGGGGCGATTAACTGCGTTGAATTAGCTCTATTATTTGCTGCATTTAAGTTTGTTGATTCTGCAGCTGCGCTTAGAGATCCCTAAATTAATCCCTTAACATGTATTCCATGCGATTATCCTCTTCCTTCTTCAATGCAGTATCTCGTGTTAGTGGTCTTATTATCGCAGGAGAGGATGGGCCAGGTGTACAGTATGGAGATTCATCCCTAGCAGGCGCTTTTCCCTTCTTCGGGCCCATTTTAATTAAAGTTATTATCAATTCCTCGAGGGGCAATTAAATAGACAAAACAGGTGGTTTAAAACCACGTAATATCAGCTCTAAAAGAAAGATATAGAGGGTCTCATAACCTGTTCGCGAGGCACAATTCTCTGAATTCAAGGGGCTCAGGCGAGCTGACTATCTAGATGGGTGACTAAGTGAGGCCACGTGACCATACCGAATATGGTAGGTCCCTAACATCGAGGGCCAACAGGGCCAAAAGGGACAGTAGGGACAGTAGGGACAGTAGGGACAGTAGGGACAATAGGGACAACAGGGATAATAGGGACATTGGCCCGAGAGGCCAAACGGGCTCTAGCCCTTTACATATATTAAACCTAAAAATCTTAGGAATAAATTTATACGAAAAGAGAGATACCAGTAACTATCCTATTATTATTTTTTAATATTTAAGGCTGCCTAGTCTGTATCGAGGATATAGAATAGCTTTTATTATTAATAAGAGTAAATCTAGCTTAAATACTCCTAAAAGCTCTTCGAAGACCAACATCCGCGAGACATAGCAGACCAGGTCTTCGGAGAAAGAGAGATCTACGCTGCGGTGAAAGCTCGGCTCCGGAAGTTACTCCTGCTTTGAGAAGTTTATATTTCTCCACTGCGACCTTTACCAGTCTCCGAGCTACCAGCTCGTTCTAACTTCTAAGAGAGATCAAAGCCAGTAATCTATTTCTAGATTTAGGCTACGGACTTGGCCAAGACCTACGCCGCCTAGTATATGATAAAGCACCATCGGAAAACCTCATCGCGCCGGAGCTATAACAAGGCTTTATCGACCTGGGATTTAAGCTATTTTAGGATATAAGCCTTAAGTCTAAGTTCTTAGTCCAGAGCTTCTTTTCAGACACACCCGAGATTATGGACCTGGCGAAGAAAGGGAAGGTCATTAATTCCGGGATGTTCATATATTTATGGGATTAGGATATACAAGTCGAGGCAGCAAAGCGCATGATCGATCTTCTAACTCCAGAGAAAGGGGGCAATCATTACAGGCCTTCACTTTGGCGCTCGCTCTCCTGGCATGTGGGAGTGTCGTGACTGAGCAGATGTGATGTGGATGGAGAGCAGCAGATGAACTGGCGATGGCCGTGACGGTAAGCTGTTCGAAAGGCTGCGCTCTAGGGTAGGCTGGTCGCCGGGCAATTACCGGTTAACAGCCCTCTATAGTGGTGTAGCTTACAGCCGTTTCCTGTTTGTTCGACTTTGGAATCGACTTTCGGACTTAAACTTTTTTCTTGAGAATGAATTTTGTGTGAGAAAAGTACTACTGCGGGCAGAATACTCTATGGGCGCGTCCATATCTATAAACCCACTAAGCAGATAATTCTATCGCAAATTAGGTAGATTCTCAAGCTTACATACAGACAGAATTTCACCGCAATCTTGTGGTAAACTAGCAGATATTTTTTAAAAAAAATAAATACATATAATTGGCTATATTGATAGTTCAAAGCAGAATATGTCAGCTGTGGGAAAAGTGCACACATCCGACCATTACACTTGTAATCTAAAGCAGTATGTCCTTACTGCGCGGCAGTTCACTGGCTGACAGCAAGCCCAAGGTCTTTCAAAATAATGGTAGCTGCCTTCTCACCAATTGCATATGCAGTGGTGGCTGTGTTTGCGCCAATGTTTTGAGGAACAATGCTCAGGTCCACGAGCTTCAGGCCCTCAATCCCATGAACATTGAGATCGGCATCAACCACGCCGCCATCAGCCAGCGCGCCCATCTTGCAAGTACCCAGTGAATGCCAGGTAGTGCCCACATTCTTGCGCACCCAGGCCTCAATGACCTTGTCGTCCTCTGCAGTGTATTGGATGTCAGAGATGTTCTTGTCATTCGGCTTGTCCAGCTTGACAAGGGCCGCGGCCGAATCCTCGGCAAACGGCGGATGCGCGCCAACAAACTCTCCGCGGTAAGCATCCATTCTGCGCACGATTTCTCGCTGCTTCTTGTACGCCCAAATGAGCTTCTTGACATCCAATTCACTGTTCAAGAATCCAGTCTCAAACGCAATATCCGCGTCGAGATCTGGGCTTGTGATGTGGACGTGGCCTCTGGCGTAGGGGTAGACGGTAAACAAAGAGGTCGCGAGGTATTGTGCTGGCTCAATGGCGGACGGATCACCGGGGAAGCCGCCTAACAAAGCTATTAGCGCCAGGGGCTTGTTGGGAGTGGAGAGATAGTCCCTTGCGTATGCCGCCTCGAATTCAGGTCCAAGGGCAGTAACATCGGCCTCAGTGGGACGCAGCTTGCAGGAGGCATCTTGGCCATTCCACCCCATGATTGGCGCATTTGATTTGATTAACTCTTCCATGTTAATTCTACCGGCCAGGGGGGCGTCAAACGTCTCGCTTGGCTCCAAGGCACTGTAGTATGGCTGAGTCAAGAGATGATGATCCTGGTAGTTCCGGCCAATTCCAGGGATATGGGCGACAACAGGAACGCCAGCCTTGTTAAGAACGGCTTCGTCGCCGAGACCGGACCTCTCGAGGAGCAATGGGGTTCCGAGAGCGCCACAGGAACTAATTACAAGCTTCCTGGCCTTGACGCGTTGAACATTGGTGTTGTCCTTTTGGAAGGCAGGGTTTGGCTTGAACTCAACACCCACAGCTCGTTTGCTCTCGAAAAGGATCTTGATAACCTTGGTCTCAACGAGGATGTGGAGGTTTGGGTGTGCTCCATCTTCCAGCCTCGGATGCAAGTAGTTACTGGCGGCATCCTGGCGGCGACCATCTGTGCCGACAAAGCGGAGGGCACGTTGAACGCCGTTGCTGGTGTCGAGGTCTTGAAGATCCTTAACCGTCGGGTAGCCTACCTTGTTGGCGGCAGCAATGAATTGATCTGTCGCACGCTCAGAGCAGAATGTTCCCTGAGACACAACAATAGGGCCATCTTTTCCGTGAACAGAATCAGGGCCAGGGCCATGATACGTCTCAAGCTACAACGAGTAATAGCGGGTTAGTCAACACTGTAGTACAAAATGGCAAGGCCGCAAGGGTCACAGAGCGCAGCTTTAGCAATCCATTAACCTACTTTTTTTAAGAAAGGGATCATTTCATCTGTGGACCATCCGGGAGTGGCCCACGAATCCCAATCATGGCGTTGAGCACGACTATACATCATCAAGTTGATTGACGAACCTCCGCCCAGAACACCACCGGTTGGGACGGTTATTTCGCGGTTGTCCAACTGTGGCTCCGCATTTCCCTTGTAGAACAGGGTTGCGGTACTGGTGGGAAGCAGTGCAGTTGGGAAAAGGAGCGGGAACGCAATCAAGTGGTTGCCCTTATTGTTCTGCCCGCCCTCTACTACGAGGATGGACAGCGAGGGGTCGGCATCGGCAAGCCTGGAAGCAACGACGCACGCCGCGGTACCGCCTAACGAGAGAGAAGGAGCTTGTTAGTATAAACTTATAATAAGCAGAAGAGGTGAATAAACAAACCGCCGGCAACGATGATGTCGACCTCGTCGATGCCTTCGGGTAGCCGAGTGTAAATGCCCATATTATTGGATGTGATGCTGCGGGGGATGGTGATGGAACCAACTGCGCGCAGTGGATAGGATAACGCTAGGCTTAATAGCTCCAGGTCGGTCGCCCGACTGGCATTAACCCTGCTGGATATTTATGACGCGTGTATCCCTGCAAGTTTCTGGTGCCAACCACTTAATTTTGTTGGACAAGGCTGGCTGGCTTGTTACCCACTACCTACTGTCAGCAACGGGCGGGCGTCTCAGATATGGCCGTAGGTTTGCAGGGCTGGATATATAGCGCCCACAGCTAATGACTAGGTTCATCTTGGGTTACATTGCGCTACGCCCTGTGAGATGGTCCCTAGTTTGCCCGTGCGCTGTTTTAGGTGATGGATGCTGCCTCTCTTGCTTGCCATTTGCTACTCCAAAACTTACTATAGCATCGCGGAACGTAGTCAAGTCACCACCGATTGGTCTCGTTCTAGTGATTTCGTTCTCGATTGTTGGCTCATTATATGAAGAACAAGTAAACCATTATTAACCTGACCTGCACATTCATTAAAGCAAGTACGAAAAATGAGAACATTTCCAGACTCCCGCTTATGGATTTGGATGGCCCCCGCAACGACGCTCGAAGGCTCTAGGAATTGTTCGCGAGGCACGATTCTCTTCAATTCAAGGGGCTCGGGCGAGCTGACTATCTGGATGGGTAACAAATTTTCGCGAGGCACGATTCTGTACACAATTCTCTTCTGTTCAATTCAGGGGGCTCAGGCGAGCTGACTAAGTGGGTGACTAAGAGAGGCCACGTGACCATACCGAATACGGTACGTCCCTAACATAATGTCGGTCAGCTGAATACGCGTATGAGCTAGTATCACCGATTATATAAGAATATGGATATGCATTGAAGAAATTGAGGTCTCTAAGGTCTCTAACTATCTGAATCTATCTGGGAGAGCTGGATGAAAAAAGGTGAAAACAAAGGAATAAAGTCGGACCGAGCAGATGCTGAATAATGGGTAATATTGGCCCACTTTGGTCGACACATAAGTCCCTGACCCTTTGACATCACAGCATGTGTCTACCCGCGCGGCTTTTACGGCGTTGGCTGGAGTTAAAGGATCGATCATCGGAACGTTCTTTTCCATGGTTATTGTTGTGAAATTCAGGGGAAGTGATGCGCAGGGAGCTATTCTATCAGCTACAAGCCAACTAGCCTAATTAGGAAGTAGATGTCATTCAGTGGAAACACCAGGAATCGTAGCATCTCAACCAACTGAGCCTACTAAGCGGTTCCCTATATTCTCATTGAGGTGTTCTGCTATCTCAAGGATTCAGGGGTTGAATCGATCGTCAGATACTCCGCACCGCCAAGTCGGGCGGATTATAGTGTTTCCGTAACAGTTATGAGCCCGAATTGCAGCGTCTGCTTAACAACCAGGCCTTTGCACCCCGTAAGCTTATATAGGCTTACGACCCCTATCTAGGCACGCAGGTGAATCTGTTCATCAACGTGTGTATCCTCAACGTCCAGGACAGTGGTTAGGACCGATCAATCTACCTACCAGTCGGAGTTGGGTAATATTACCACCCTTCCTATCGCCGAAACGATTAGATGTCAGAGAGGGCTCGGGATCCCCGGACAGGACGATTTATATCAAGCGGGAGAACACTGAGGGACAAGTACCGACCCGAGCGCCGCATCGAGTGAGGATCCCGTGGCGATCCCACTACCAGGTGATTTCCCTGAGGTGGAAAGTGAACCTGACGAGGGTAGAAAACCCTAGAGAGGAGCTAAGAGAGGCTTATGAAGAGAATAGAGACATTCCGAGTGAACAACTCCAGAGCGAACTAGCAGTCAGAATGGTGACCCAATTCCACGAGCGCCTACCCGAGACGGTAGATTAGAACGTTTAAGATATCGACCTGAGCAAGAAAAACGTACGGACATGGAAACAGAAGTGGAAGAGTTTTGCCGCATACAGAGATGCTGGGAAGCAGTGAAGCAAACCTTGGATAGACAGGATAACCAGGTGAGCTAAAGAATTGCTGGAGGATGAAGACTGGAATGCCCTGGATGCGAAAGCAAGACACTATATCAAACAGAATATCCAGGATGAAGACAAGACAGCTGTACGCGATTTGACAAATTCAGGTGCAGTCTGGAAATATCTAATGAATAGATATGAGAGAATAACACAGTATGATATGGTTATTGCACTCCGAAGAGTATCACAATGGAAAAAGGATCCTAATATGGATATCGAGTCATCTCTTCAGCAGCTGGAACAATGGAGTGCGGAACTATATGAAGTCAGCAACCGTGAAATAAAGTTTAATGAGCTTACCATTTTGAAATTCTTCTTGGATGGATTACCAGATGAATATGACTTTATTAGAGATGCCCTGTTCGGCAAAGCTGTGCTTGAAAGGGGATTAGTCTTATCCCGACTGCAACAAAAGGAGCCGAAGTCAAATAAGTCTGGCAACACCGGTACCGTGACCACCGGCGAGTTGGCAAATCGAGCAAAACAAATAGAATGCTGGAACTGTGGCGAAAAAGGCCACAGGCAGTGGAATTGCAGAGCTCCCAAAGAAGAAGGAGAAAGGCGATAGAGACCAATCCCAGAGAAAGGCCAAAGACCGCGAGCAGAAGGACAAGAAGAAAAAGTCCCAAAGAAGCAAGGCAAGGATCGCGGATGAGGAATCAGATACCAACAATGACTCAAGTGGCACATTTATGTGCAGCGTGCTCAGCATTTCTAGTTGTGAATGTCAGCTCAGGGTCGCGTCCGTAATCGACTAGTCCATAAGCTAAAGGGCAAAGAGAGAATACGATTACATTTTTACCCCGTGGATCCTGCTGCAACCGAGGGACACAGTTCGTAGTTGGAGGTATCCTCGGTGCTGTATCTTTTGCACCGAATTCACCAACTTACTCTACTCCACGAAAGGAAACTGATCGCAGCTTATGATATAATCTCCCGATCTTACGTCGAGTCTGCCCTACGCGTTCCAGGGCTTGCTAGATTACAGATATCCTTCCGCAGAAGACTCTACAGTTCTGAAACAGGATTTCTCAATGACTTGGTGCTTTTTTTGCTGATCCACACGAAGCTTGTTTTTTGGACTGGACCAAAATATCCCGAAAAAAGAGATACAGAATCCTAACAGGCTGATCTCGGTCACCGGGAATGCTTAAAGCCGATCGGAATAAATCCAGTTAATTACTGATCTGGTCCGCTCCTATCCCAAGAAGCAGCGATAGTGTATTTATAGAAAGCGGAACTGCAAGAAGGGTAATAACACCCACGATGTCCTGGGACTCTTGTAGGAGTTCCTGCTGTTCCGACTTAATACTCTCTTGATTATTAAGTAGTTGTATTAGAATTAGTAGATATATCTGATCCATTCTTAGCACATATTTAGCTTGGTTCTTTAGAAGCTCTGCGAGGCGCAATTTGGGTTCTCATTTCAAACTTTCAATGTAGCGGCACACGGTTGCAGCTGAAATAAACAGAGGAACAGATATCCTAACCAGTCCTTGGATAACGTCATCCCCCGGCCAGTCATCGAAGATGCTACTTATCTGATTTTCGCGAATCGTTCCTGTAGGAATAAATATATGTCGTGTTCTGTCACTTCTTCGGGTATCTTAAAAAGAGCTAGGTCCTGATACTCATAACTCCCGATCTTTAAAAACTGTCAAATAATATGGCCGTTGGTGGACCAGAATCATGTGACTGGATCGGGGTAAAACCCCCGCGGAGCACACAACAATATAATCAATCAAGAATAACTAATAAGAATAACCAATAAGAATAACCAAGAGAATAATCAAGAAGAGCCCAACCAGCTCAATTCATTCAAATAAGACCTTTTTACCAATCGTACTCTATTTCCTCTTCGGGATTAGCCGTATATCTGACAATTAAGAGTCTCATTCGCTCTATAACTACCTATACATCGAACCACGGTTTATACAGCCGCCTATCCAATAATATAGACTTTTCCTCCCTCCGAACATCGAATATAGAAAAATGTCCATGTCAAATACCATTCTCCTAAAAACTCAAGACAACTGGGAAGAATGGAATGCTCAATTTGAAGGTTTAGCTAGAGGAAAGAATATATGGGATATTATTATCGGAAACAAGCCCGAAATCACTAAACCGGCTGAACCTACGGAAGATAAAGCTCCACCAGCTGGAAGCACTTAATCCCAGTCTGCAACACCTACGTCTTTAGCTGATCGACAACTTTTATGGACAATATATAAGACCCGTCTCGAAACCTACACCAGACAGCAAACGGAGCTAAATAAGCTTCGGGAATAGATGCAAAAGACTATCTCTCCACCAGTTTACAAACACTGTTGCAAACCTGTCGACACAATGCAGGAGTGGTATGCCAATCTAAAGCAAAATATTAGAATAGATAATATAATAATAAAGGATCTTGCCCGTGAAGCATATAAGAAGGCTATTAAACCTCTTGCAAGACCTCGGGATGCACTTGCTTGGTTAAACAACTAGGAAGAAGCCATGCAAAAGGCTACAGATGCAGGAATTGCAGTAGCAGTATCTACTAGCGATTGGATTAGTGATTTCCTAAATACTGTACGACCTATAAATCCAACATGGGCAACCTCCTACAGAATAATAAAAAGGGAAGATATTAAAGCAGATAGACTGACATTCCGATTAGCAGCGCAGGACTTTCGTGAAGATTTAAATGCCAATTTGATAAACCAAAGCAAAATTGCTAAAGGGTTATTTAGTCCTATCTTCAACGCTGAAGAAGCTAAAGAGGCTAAAGGCACGGAACAGAATCCCGCACCAAGGAGTTAAAGCCACACACAAAAGCACAAACGCAGTGATAGTCTTGGTAACCAGAGAAAGGCTAAACAGACTACTAACAGTCTTGGAAACCAAGGAATAGTTAAACAAACTAATCAAGCATGCAAAGCATGTGGGCAAAGATATAAATAAAAATAATGTTTCTATTTTTTTCCCAAGGAGGCCCCTAAATGGTTTAAGGAACATCAGGTAGCTAGAAAATATATTAATCTGTTGCTACAAACCAACAAAGACTTTGCGAAAGAAGTTAAGGAATGGGAGAGATTAAAGAATCAAGATTAACTACTTAATCGGCAGGTTGGAAGAATTCCAGCTTTATTTATAATATTACCAGATACATATCCATTAAAGAATTTAGCTATTCTTAACTCCGGATCCACCATCTATATCTTTAATAAAATATCTTAATTCAACGACTTTCAAACCGCACAACCAGGGGATTTTATATGGGCCGGGGATTCAAAAGTGGAGATCCATGGATATGGTAATATGGATATTTAAGTTAGATTAGGTAAAAAAAAGTTAATACTGCACCTTTAGGATATTACTTTCTGTCCCAAAATAGCTTGCAATTTAGTATCTCTACACCAGTTGCATAAAGCCGGAATATAATGGGATAATTAACCAGAGTAAAATATCCTGCGATATTAAGATAATCGACCTATTGCGCAGATTAAAGACCGGTTTAACCAGTTTGTGATTAAATACCTTCCCATGAATATAATAAAAGCAAGTCTTTTTAATTGCTAAAACTGCTTTTAATCTTTGTTCTATTCTATACCTAGACCTGTACGGGCAGACGCATATTAATAGTATCTTTAACTTGGACACCCTGGACCACTTACCTTGGAACACCTAGTCAATTCAACCAAAGGAGCAAGGATTAAAGGTGGACCAACAACAGTGGAATGTAATGCCTGCGGGATTGCAAAGCTAAAGTGTTAGATTAGCAGAATCCTATTAGATTTTATAAAAGGACCAGGTTAATACCTAGCAATTGATTTTTATAACTTCGAAACTGGTTATGGTGGTTGGAAAAGCCTGATACTAGTAACTAACTAGTGGTTAGGACTTATCTGGGATTACTACCTAAAGGACCGCACGGCTGACTTAATAATTAAAGCTTTAAGGTATTTACTTGGAACACTTGAACAAATGGATATAAAGGTGCAGGTTATTAAATATAATAATAAAACTATGGGCCAAAAGCCTTGCATTACAGCCTTTCTGCAGTTAGATCCTTATTTTATAAAGATTAAGCCCTCCGCACCTTATACAAGTGCTTAAAACAGCGGTGCAGAGCGCTTAGGGGGTGTAATAAAGGATAAGGCTCGAGTAATACAGGAATATATAAAATTACCTGCATTTTTATAGCCAAAGATTGTATATATATTAGTCTATCTTTCCAATTAAACGCTTTAGTACCAAACTAATTAGAAAACACCTTTCGATCGATTCCATACCTATGTTGCGCACCAAGACGGCATGGTAATCTATACCAGAAAGCCTTAGCAAGTGCATCTAAAAGTATATGGATACAAAGCCTTCGCTATAACTATAAAAGCACTGAAGAAGTTAAACTAGAAACAGAGATTTAACCCAAGGGCGCATATTGGATATCTAGTTGGATATAATTTTACTAATATCTACTGAATCTGGATTCCACGCCTAAACCGAGTCATCTGTATAAGAGATATAATATTCAACGAAGACAAGCAATTCTCTGGGGATCTGTCCGAACTAGCAATTATGTAGGATTAATTCCGGTAGATATCTATCCAAGACTTCAACCAGATGATCAAGAATGTTGAGGTTCCCGAAGAGTGTATATCACCACCAAGCTAATAAAAAGAAAGTTAAGCAGTTAGACATTTTAATTTATTAAACTTCCTGGTGGATATAGCCCAATCAGCTATGGAATTAGCTAAAGAAATAAGTTAGAAAGATGCTAGAGACCTAGTCTACCTAATACTACCAAAGACGCCAGAATATCTTCAACCAGCTTCGCTATTAGCCATTGGTTCCCTAGCTGGATCTAATTAAGAATTATTATACTTAGCTGCATGGAAAGCATTATTTTTGGCTGCACTATTAATTCAACCGAAACGACCTGGAGAGAGAACAACCAAGGCACAATCAGAACGATTGCTTCGACGACCTGAAAAGGATATATAATATAAAGATTTGCCACCTAAGCCAGTCCACTATAGAGATCTTATTAATTATCCACTTGGCAAGCAGTTTAAGCAGGCTGAAAAAGATCATCTTAAGGGACATAAGGATATGTGTACATGGCAAGAAATAAGCCGGTATAATCCTAAATGCAAAGGCAGGCAAATCCTGGATTACAAATAGGTGTACGCGTACAAGTTTAACTAGAAAAAAAGCCTGTAAAAGTGCAAGGCCTGTCTGGTTGTACACGGCGACCAACAAGAAAAAAAAACAGAAGATTTTTATACTTTAACACTGGCTATACAATTATTCCGAATCCTAATAGCTACAGCTGCAAGATTTAACTTGGAATTGGTGCAATATAACATTACCAATGCCTTTATCTATGCAGATATTGATAAGGATGTCTTTATGCAGATGCTACCAGGATACTAAAAGCCAGGTACAATCCTAAAGCTTAAAAGGGCCCTGTTTGGACTGAAGCAATTACTATTGCTATGGTAAAAGCACTTCAAGAAATCCCTTTAGGACCTAGGATTTAATCCTATTCCTCATGAACCATGTTGCATGATTAAAAATAGTATTCTAGTATTCTTTTATATTGATGACATAATCTTTGCATACCAAAAGGGCTGCAAGAATCAAGAGATACTAAACCAAATTATTAATTAGCTCCAAAAACAGTACAAGATAACTAGCGGAGATAAACTGCAGTGGTTTCTTGGTATAGAGATAATCCGGGATCGGGAGAAAAGAATTATATGGCTAAGTTAATCCTTTTATATAAAAAAGATTACTAACCTAGCGGATTCAAGAACCTTAGATACTGTCCTAATAACCAGAGATAAGCTCCTTATCTACACCGGACAAGCCACACGCCAAAGTATTCAGAGATATTAAAAAAAGAATAGTTCCTTAATATACACAGCAGTTACTACACAGCCAGACATAGCCTTTGCAGTGTCCAAACTATCCCGCTTTCTTACCAATCTAAGCAACGAACACCATGCTGCGGCTGACCGCGTCCTTTTATACATTAAACGAACAAAAGACCTAGCGCTGCAACTGGGGGGTGGAGATAACTTTATCCTGTACAGCAATGCTTTATTTGCGGATAACAAGGAGGATTAAAAAAGTTCGCAAGGATATATAATACAGTTGTTTGGAGGAGTAGTAGGATGGAGGGCCAACAAGCAGGCAACAGTAACTATTTCTACTACTAAGGCAGAGCTTCTAGCGTTGTCCCACGCAGCTGGAGAAGGAATATTTATCAGCAGACTGCTTAAAGAGCTTGGAGTTCAACTGGATAAGAGAAAGAAGGACCAACGGATTCAAATCTTCTGTGACAATCTCCAAACAATCCGGCTTGTGCATAAAGATATAAACCGACTTCAGACAAGGCTTCGACACGTGGATATCCATAATCATTGGCTCAGGCAGGAAGCTCTGGAAGGAAGAATCCAAGTCAGCTACACACCAACAGACAAGATGCTGGCAGATGGACTCACTAAAGCACTGCCACGGCAGAAATTCGAGCCGTTTGTGGATCAGCTAGGACTTCGGGACATCTCTGGAGTCAAAAGGATTGATGGAAACACTGAACGGATATGACTGAATGTCAGATTCGACCCGGAATAGCTTCAAGGTTGCTGAAATTGGAAGGAAAGGTTCGAATCTGAGGGGGTGTGTCAAATAATATGGCCGTTGGTGGACCAGAATCATGTGACTGGATCGGGGTAAAACCCCCGTGGAGCACACAACAAAATAATCAATCAAGAATAACCAAGAAGAATAATCAAGAAGAGCCCAACCAGCTCAATCATTCAAATAAGACCTTTTTACCAATCGTACTCTATTTCCTCTTCGGGATTAGCCGTATATCTGACAAAAACCCAAGGCTAATTGGGAGTTCGGGCCTACCGGTCAAGAAGATCCGAAGGTGAATTAATTTGCCTTCTGTAGAAAAGGTAGTAATCAAATAATATTTTAGACATCTTGATCATGTTTATATTTATCTAAAGCCTCGATCACTATCACATCGGTTTGAGGTTGTCGGCCAAGTTAGTCAAGACTAAGCAGTGATTAAAGGAGTAGTTCCTTAAACTGCCCCCTAAGTGATTTTAACACGATGTCAGGGATATAATCGAGTTCCTTTTGCACACCAGACGTCAGCTTAGAGCTCCAGAACATCAGTTGCCTGGTTAATATCGCGAAAAATTTTTTTGCATTCCCTCGGTCCCCTTCAACCCTCTTAAAAAGAAGCTGGCACCAGATAGTTGGTTTCCTTGAGCGAACCTTGCCACAGTCCGAGATATTGTCGATTTTCCTGTCCTGGCCATTCCTTTTAACCAGAAATGTGTTTTGGGGGTGGCGAAATAGCCCAGTCCATTACTTGCTGGAGGAGCTCGGTCCTAGTGCCTTGGAGACATTGGACTTCGTCTCGACCGGAGAATAACTCAAACCCTGCCTCCATCGTGCCTTTCAACTTATGTTGATTAATACGATCAGTATTCCGGACCACGCCGACCGGAGGTTCGTCTTCTATTTACGCAAGTGGCGTCGCGAGTTTATCCAACACCTTGTGCAGACGATGGAGAAGCTCCTTTCCGGAGACGACCAGATTCCCGTGGGTCTGTCGAATATTGCCTTAGTAGCTGGGAACAGCAGCGTCAACAGGCCTTTCGGGGAGCGGTTGAAATGATGCGAAAAGGCGGATTTTAATGTATCCCTCCACTGGCGATATAGAGGCGGTGTATTGATCTGGTAGCCTTGCATGAGAAGCGTAGGCAGTTTTATATCAGATCTTTATCTATACTGTATTAGGTACTGCGGAAAGGAGCCTGCTATATGAATCTATGCCATGTATTGGCCTATCCGGTGAATTTGATCATTGGCTGATCATTGCTTTATAACCGAGGTACTTAGTCGATATATATCATTAATTGATCATCATGACTCTACTTGAATGGTCTTGCCTTCTAACATCCGACTGGCTACTATGTATTTGTGACCGCTGCTACTCTAGTTCGTTCTGTAAAGCCCTCCTGAGAAGGGTCAGCCGCCAGTGACTAAAACGAAAAGCTACAGAAGCATTCTATGGGACAGTGCTGCGTGCTGGACTCAGCCACATCGCACCTACTACTTGACCTAACAGCAAGCAGGGCCAGCTAGTCATCGCATACCTTTAGGCGCCTACATGGAGAGTTGCTGTGAAGTAAGACTGACGTATCAAGCTGTTGCCATGCTTGATCCGCGCAACGGGCATACATAACAACCATCTTTGAAAGTGAGCTCATATTTGTGTTTCTCCCCCAGCAAAGCAGAGAAATAAACCACATGATTGGATGCATCCATCAGATTATGGACTAACTCACTCTCCACTCTCGGATGGCCTGCTACTAAGGGTCTTAGCTGAGCGCTAGACTAGTGTTCTACACTAAAATATTACCGGATGCTACCCTCATGCCAATCAGCATAAGATGTTGCAGTCCCAGCGCCAACAGCATCGGTTTCAGAAACACTGATTGGTGGACGTGGTAGGATACATCCGAAGGCTCATCTCTTGTTATCCTAGCGTGGTGCTTGGGTCGCTTTGTCGTAGATTATTGACATTGGTAGTCTGGTACTAGGCGCGAGAAATATTTCCTTTCTCTTCCCTCCCTTTAAAAAGGGCTGTGCTCCTCTCTTTCCGCAATCTCATCTGTCGATCTTCTCCCCCGTTTCTATTCACTGTCAGGTCCCCACAACAAAAAGAAACCATCAAATGCGTGCCTCATTCCTCCTCCCCGCAACCTTTTACGCCCTGGCCGCCCATTCCGACGACAAAACACTACAGTCGGCTACTTCATCCCCCACTGGTCCGCCACCGAGTTGAGCTACGGTGGCTGGACCAGCACCGGTACCAGCATCGCAGGGATCAACGCCGCCGCAACAACCCACAACGTGGGCTGTCTGAAAGACGCCCCAAAAACAGACTGCAACATCAAGAACTCCTGGACGATTATCCAGGGCCCAGAAACCGTCAGCGTGGCGGGCGTGCGCACCGCCTCGACATCGGGCAAGAAACGAGCTACGATATCACCGTCATGCACTCGTACGAGTGCAAGATCCGGTCCTGCACCGAGTCCGTCAGTTGCACGATGAGCGTTGGGATGACTGGGACTGCGGGCGGTGCTACGATTGCGTCATCGACGTCGAGTAGTGCGACGTATTTGCCGGCGACGAGCTCGTACTATGAGTTGGTTTTTACGGCGGGGGTGGAAAAGTTTACTGCCCCTGAGGCGACGACGCCTAATGCTGCTGCTCCTGGGCCTGCGGGGGCGTTGATTACGGGTGCGCCTGTTGCTGCAGCTGCGATTGCTGCGTTGCTTTGATGTCTGGTTGAAAATATTTCCCTGTGCAGTTTATGCCCTCTCTTGTGTGATGAAACGCCCCCTTCCGGTATAGCCTCACGAGTATTTCTCTATAATGTCCAGGAAAAGTGCGCCCTACGGTGTAGTCTACCACATCACGCCAGTTGGGTTATTTGTTCCATGGTGACAACATATAAACAATCGACGTTGTTCGGTCTAGAGAATTGGTTAAGCATAAGAAATTTAGCATACATGCTCCGCAAAACACCAAGGTATAAAGGCCTAAAAACAAATAGAAACAGAGCACCAGCAATCTACTCAAGCAAAGACATCACAAACACCGACAAAACAGCCATAGCAAGAACAACCAACCACAGGAAAATCCCCAACACCATCGCCACCCGCTTATAATACCGCAAATAGCCCGCTTCATTGCCATGCGGAAAGGAATTCGGCCTCTCCCTCCCCAGAAACCCACACAGAGGCCCCCACCCATCCTGACACTTGAAGACCAGCAACCTCTCCCGCGGCACAATGCTCTTCACCCACGCACTGTGCGCATGGTACAGCTCCTCCGACGGCTCGGCCTCGACCCCGAAACGCTCAGCCGAGAGCTGCATCCACCCGCGGTAGAGATCGTTGGCCGCCACCACGCCAGGAATCCAGTACCCGACCCAGCGGAAGCAGTTGGACCGCAGATCGATGCCGAAGCCGCGCCATGAGCGCAGCCAGACGGCTGCGGAAGTTCGTTCTGTCAGGATGACTTTTGCGTCCGGGTACATTTCCAGGAGATCGGGTAGGCATGAGCTCCCGGGGACCTCGAGGGTGACCTCGCAGCCTTGGAGGAGTTTGACGAGCTTGCGCCGCCGGAGGGCCGTGTCTTTTGTGTGGACGATGGCGGCGCTCTGGCGGAGGTTGTCGAATTGGCAGAGGGGTTCGGCGAGGTGGAAGCATGGGCCGTAGCCTAGTTCTTCGAGGGCGCGCTTCATGCTGATTGTGCCTGTGCGCGGGAGTCCGGCCTGGGTTGTGTTAGTTATGTGTCAGTTTTGTTTTGTTGCTTGGTAGACGTACCACGATGACTTTGATGGTTCCCCCATGATGTACGCCTGATGTGACTTGGAGTTTTGCGTCTGCTTTGGGGTCGGGGCTGGTGATCGTTATGCCAGATCGAAGGACAAGGCCTATGGTGTGGATGCTGAGCTTGTAGTAGAGCCAGGAGTTGGACTTGTGCATATCCATTTGTAGTTTTGTAGTTTCCATTGTGAGATGCGTTGTAGAGTAGTTGAGATGAGTGGTGAGTGAGAAGTGATCGGCTCTGACGCGCATTGAGTGCGTATTAGTAGACTTTTGACCTATAGCAAGTTGCAGTGTACGGAGTCGTATTGTGATATAGCCCCCATTGCAAAACACACAACACGGACACAGCCACCAATAGTCTAACAGTCCAACATTCTAACAGAAATAGCGTATTTTCTTTACTTCATGGAGTACCTGAATTGCTCGTGAATAAGTCAAATCTGACATGAGATAGTTGGGGCCGGTGGCAATCCGATAGGCATCGCCAAGTGATCTTGACGATCTTGACTCATTCCAGCCAAGGACAGTCCCAACACGAGGCGTCCTGAATTAATAACCTTAATCCAGATAATTTTAGCCACTAATGCAACTTGCGTCTTCCAGCACATCGCTATCTGGAATCCACATGAGGCTCTGCATGAAGGATTTGGCCCCAATAGTGAAACATCCCCACGTGGGCTTTCAGCTTGGGGCAGTTTGCAATCAAAACATGCAAAATCAGGGGTCACTTCTGATATCAAAATAATCGTGTGTGCCTCGTGTGGGAGATCTTCATGACTAGAATATCGCCGGGTTGAGTGGCAGTCAACCCCCATGGGGCCAAAAACCCAGGGACTCTGTCCACAAGGCTGCCTCACCATCTACTCCACTCCGCCGCTAAAGTGCTGGTCAGCGAAGAAGATTATCTGGGGAAGTTTTCTTCATATCTAGTGGCGCATGAGTGTCGTGTCTAATATTAGACAGGATTAATGTTACACCTTCATCGAATAGGATCCTGCGAGGTGTGAGGTGGAATTAGAAGCCTCATATGTTCGTGAATTTCTGGTCTATCGTAGTATGCCTCGGGCGAAGCCTTCCAGAAGTAGGTCGTTTGGGCTATCTTGTCTTTATCCTACAACCACAGAGAACCTTGCTGTCGCCGTTGAGTTGGTATGATCATGCGTGAAAATAGAAGCGTATGTTAACTTATCCACACTCTGTATTTAGATACCTCTCGGTTACATCAGATGTAGTTAGATTGAATGGATTGTATTCTTGCACAGATATTGTTTGTATCAGCACATCATGTAAATATATGTTGCGATACTATGAGACGCAGTTACCAAAGCTATCCACTTTACTCTAAGTATGAGCTAGATTACACCTACAGACAAATAGTACGTAGTAGATCACTGAGCATATTCAAAAAGACAAGATTAAACAAGTGATATTAAGCAAAGTAAAGACATAAACAATCAGCAGTAGAATAATAAACTTGTCACCAGACACCTCATCCGCCTCTAAGCCAACAACAACAATATATCTCAAATCTCCTCATCCTTGAGAGGATCAACCCTTCCCGGCGTCAGAACCACCACCTTCCTCGCAGTCAGAGCAACAGCCGTGGCAGAAAGTGTAACTATATACTCCATAACAATGACCATAAGGAAATGGAGCCAAATACTTGTCTCATCCTCCGACATCGGGTTCAACACGGACCGCTCCCCTGAAAACAACGATCCAGCCGAAAATGCCAACCGGACACTCATAAAGGGCACACAGAGCAAAGCACAAACAACAGCCGCACGTTCACTGCGGTAGAGCTTCACCCGGACTTTGAGCATAGTTATGACGGAGAGGAGAACGGTCCCAGCAAAAAGGGCGATGAAGAGGATGATCCCGGCGCGCATCAAGCGGAGGTCTTGCGCTTGACTATCTCGGCTTGTGTAGAGGTCTCGGCCGCCGTATGCGGTCATCACTGTAGCTGGTATGGTGATCATTTGCAGCGGGATGAAAACCCAGAGAGGGAGGCCTTTGTATACGGGGGCGTTGCTGCAATTGGTGTTAGAAGATGTGTCGAGGAGAGGACTCGACTTACGCTCGAATCAGAAGTCCTATCAAGAGACACAGGACTGGTGCGAGGCCGATTGTGTCTAGGACGGTGGCTGTTGTTAGGAGATTGGATTTTGCGGGGTCTATAGCTGCTAGGCCGAGTCCTGCTGCGGCGATTCGCAAGCCGGAAAGAATAATGAGGGGAATTACGACGGGACGCCATGTGTAAGGGTACTTGTTGCCATGGAGTAGAATGATAAAGAGGATAGCAGGGACGATGGGGGCATAGAATGCCAGTTCGATCAGGTAAATTGCGTCTCGCAGGGCAAACATGGTAAGCTTGGAAATGATCAAGCAGATGGGCGCGACAGTTGAGGTTGAGAATATTCTGGACAAGTTTCTAAATCTACAATGTTATGGAAAGGACGGTAAAGAACTATAACTACAGATCGCTTCAATCACTGCCACCTAGATGCCACTATTATCATTGCTTCTTTTTAGAGGCGTGAGATCTATCCTGCGGCCCCGTGGCCCCCATCTGACACACATCGCACAGGCGAGGCAAAATTAATCACATACGAGACATCCCGAAGGCTTCTGAGCAATATCTTGCACAGATGCAGTCTGCTGATCTATACCATCTACAAAGACACATAGATTGTACCATATACTAAGACACATGCAGTGATACGAAGTGGGGGCGATCCCTGCACAGCCCTAATGTTAAGGTTTAGTGAAGAATCTCCACTCAAAAGAAGCACTGCCATGGATACCAAGCAATCGCCCGCCAAGCCCGGTGTTTCAGCCTCACAGGGGTTATTTTCAGAGGATCTGCAGTCTGCACTGTTAGTATACGGGAACTCGGCCCCAGAAAGCCAGAAATAGATTCAACATCACGACACAACCATCACAGAATCCGCCTTGACCCGTTGAGAACGAATATATAAGAGCTCAACAGACTCAATTTTAACATAACACAACAAATCAAACAGAATCGCATTCAACAGTATGCTTGAAGCTGAATACCTGGCCTACCTCGTCTCTTCACCACTCCAACTCTGCATCTACTCCACCAGCGACAACTCCTGGTTCTCAGCACCCGAATACGACCATGCTAGCTCTATTTCTCGTCCTAGTCGCTCTAACGAGCTACTTCCTCGTGAGACTGCGCCAGCAACGCAGCATGTTCAAAAATCTCCCTGGGCCGCCGCATCACGCTATCTGGGGTCACTTTTTAATTATGCGAGAGATCGCAAGCACTCTACCCCCCGATGCAACCCCTCAGCTGTTCGCGCACTTGATGCGCCAGCGGTATGGTCTGGGTGACTTCTTCTACCTTGATCTGTGGCCGCTCGCGCCGCCGCAGCTTGTCATTGCCCATCCGGAACTGGCCACGCAGATCGTCCACAAGATGAATCTTCCCAAGGAGTCGGCCGTCATGCAGAAGTGGACCGGTCCTATCCTTGGCGAGAAGTCTATGGTCTCTGCGAATGGACACGACTGGTTCATTGCTCGCAAGTCTTTCACTCCGGGCTTCCAGCCGCGGAAGCTACTGCAGCATGTTCCGAATATCGTGGATGAGGCGCTGGCTTTTGCTGGTGTTCTAAGAGAACATTCTCAAAGGAATGACATCTTCAGGATGGAAGATCTGGGTGCGAGGATGATATTCAACATCTCGGCATGGGTAATCTTGTAAGCTACACATCCTTTGTTGCTGATCAAGCATCAACTGACACAGTATAGGGGAATCAAGTGCAACGCGCAGAGGGATGATGATGAATTCCTCGAGCTCTTCCGGAAACAGGCCGCCCTGGCACCTCAGGACTTCTGGTCTCGGTATCTCTACGACCTCAGCCCCCGCCGATACTATCAGAAGTGGAGCAACGGACGTGCTCTAGACCGTTACGTTGGTCGTCTGGTAGACCAACGAGTCGTCAGCGGCCCAACTGCCACTCCAAGCGAAAAGGCCAAATACTACGCCATCGATGATGCCATTGCTACCAGCCGCACCCTGAACAAGACTACCTCACCTATCACTTCCATGGATAAATATACGCGGGACATGCTCATCGCGTCCGTCAAGACGCTCATCTTCGCTGGTCACGACACCTCAGCCAGCACTCTCTGCGTAAGTCCTTCGCAGCCTTTACTCCACCACCGCTAACAATAGTCAGTATACATACGCCGCCCTAAGCAAAGACCCCCAAGTCCTCCACACTCTCCGAGAAGAACACAACGCCCTCTTCGGCACTGACCCCTCTGCCGCTGCAAATTTCCTCCGCAACGACCCCAACCTCGTAAACAACCTCCCCTACACTCTCGCCGTCATCAAAGAAGCCCTCCGCCTCTGGCCCCCAACAGGTGTCAGTCTCCGCCGCGGCCAACCAGACCAAACCCTCCTCGCAGACGGCAAAGAATGGCCCACATACCCCTTCGCGGTCCTCGTCAACAACTGCGCCACCATGCGCCGGGAAGATCTCTTCAAGAGCGCAGAGAGGTTCTATCCCGAACGGCACCTCGTTACTGATCCTGCGGATCCATACTTTGTCCCGCGCGACGCGTGGAGACCGTTCGAGAAGGGACCGCGGATGTGTCTGGGCCAGACGTTGGCTTTGATGCAGCTGAAGATTGCCTTGGTGATGACGGTGAGGACGTTTGATTTTGAGATTGTTTATGAGGAGGGGACGTTCATGTATCAGGTTTTGGATGTCACGGCTAAGCCGTCGCTGGGGTTGCCGACTAGGGTCAGGGTGATTGAGTAGTTTATGCTTTGGGTTTGATATTTTGCAGGAGTTGTATATAGCGAAGCGGTGTTTCTGCATGTTTTCAATTATTTAGCAATGTTGATATTTTACTGCATTTTTCTATTGCCAAGTCGTGCCGTTACGAATTTAACCGATCTTGCAAGGCATATCTAGTGAGGTCCAGCAATCTAAAGTGGCTGGCTAGGGACACCGCACCATCTACATAGAGTAGCCGGAATATTCGGCCAAATAAACTATCAGAAGAAGAGTGATTTTCATTTTGTAGAGCTCATCATTGTTTCGAGCTCCTTCTCTTCCTTTATTTTCATTTTACTGTTTGGCTGCTAGGTATATATTTGTTAACAATTCAGGGTAAGGAAAAATGTTAAGGCTCAACACTTCATATTCAGAGGGAGCGGCAGCAACAGAAAGATACGGCAATTCAATGTGATGCCGCAGAGATGTAATTGACATCACTATCTTAAATAGTAGGCAAGGAAAATAATAGGATTCTTAGTAATATATTAGTATAGTCTATAGTAGTCATATAAATATTACACCCTAAAATATAATGGTTTCCAAGAACTAGGTAAGCAGAACCTACACCAAATGGGGCAAAGTGTATAAACCTTAAGAGCTTGGTTGGTTCTACAACTGGAAAAAGATATCCTACGTGAATTCCGGGCGTACGCTGGACCTACGGTTTCCGCAGACGAAGTATTTGGAGCAATTAAAGACATTGTTCTAGGCCGTGGCCACATGCTTGCATTGAAGCATGGAAGAATGCCATTAGTTTAAAGCGCTCTTCATTTGCAAATGTGGAACATTTTGTTACCGAATACCGAATTGCAGTCAAACAATCCAATAAATTAAAATACCCCATTAGTTGGTATTGCGCCTCACTGAATCTTCATTATAAATTAGAGGAAGACCTTCCAAATTGGACTGCTGGATTTAATCTACGCATGCCATCCAACGCTGCGGACACTAATTCTAAACGAGACTTTTAAAAATATGCGCGCAGGCTATAGAGAAGGCAAATATATAAGGCCGCAGCTGCAGTGGAAACCCCCAGTAGCATATCACCATCATCCAACAAATCAAAAGAAAAACAGAATGAATCAACAAGGAGTTTCAAATGACGATCATGCCAGAGACCTTCAGCAAGGTAATCAAAAGACAGGGATATCGCTGCAGGTACTGCCATCACCTGAAGCATTGCCGTACTGACTTTTGGTATCTACACCCGGATAAAATCCCAGGGATTGGGAGCCATATGACACAGCTATCTGGATCTACAAACTTAAACCTGAATGGCTTTAAAACAAAACACCAACGAACACCTCCGCAGCAGCACAATCCAGTGTACACAACACCCGGTCAGCCGCAGTAGAAGACGACGAATTCCAATTTAGTGGTGCTTCACTCCAAATCTCTGTTGGCTTGAAATCCAAATGGCTTTATTAGTAAGTTTAATTCCATTCAAGAAGCGGAAGAACAAGACCTCTAACAGAACACCAGAAATGGAAGAAAGAGAAAATCCAATTCAGCTCCTAATATGTAACCCCCCTAATCAGATCCCAAAAACAACCATCCAGTCTAATCATCCAGTCTAATCAGTGTTGACAGTGCAGCGGGAGAAAGAAGCACCAGCATTTTCAATCATCACTCCAACAAAGTTGTCGCTGTAGTCGGTGACAACACGGTACTTGCCGGGTTCGCCGCCTGTTCCAATGGTCAGTCTCGATCCAATAATCGTAGTCTTGATGACCTACCAGTCCAAGTTCCACCTTGAATAATGGGATACTCGCGCAGGTTCTTGGTGACGCCCTCAAAGACCTGGCTCTTACCGCTCATGTTGCCGAATTTGTGCGGGTAGCCCCCGACGCCATAGTCATTCCACTTCTTGCACTCCTTGAACGCATTGGCGACATCGTCCTGAGAGAGCGTGACGCCGTCAGAGCAGGTAGCGTTACCGATCTTCTTCTTCTTGCCGCGGGTGGTCAGGTCGCTGACAGTGTGGTCGGTGGATTCCTCGGCGATCTCGGTCTCAGTAACCTGGACGCTGCGCTCCTCGTTGTTACCCTTCTTGTCACCCTTGTCCTTGTCATGCTTGTCCTTGTCATCTTTGTCTTTGCCAGGCTCGCGGTTGGTGTTTGTGACGCGCGTGCAGGCCGTATAGGCGCCGCCGACGGTTGCGCCGGTATGCTGCATCACACCGCGGAAGTCGCCGCGGTTGTCCTTGTAGTCTGTGACCACACGGTACGCACCAGGTTCGCCTGCACTCGTCAGCTTGTGTCAGTGTCTTCGTTATTTGAGAAGCTTACCGCCAGTGTACACTCCACCTACGATGATGGGGAATTCCCGCAGATCGGTGCCATCGGGAATATTGCCGAATACCTGTTGGTTGTTGCTCTTGTTGCCAAAGTAGGCCGGGTACTTGCCGATGGAGCCATCGTCGAGTCTGCGGCACTGGTGCAGGGCCTCGCGGATATCATTTTCAGACAGGGTGGTGCCGTCGGGGCACTGGAAGTCGCCGAGTTTGGCGCGCTTGCTGACCTCGGGAAGGGGAGAGGCATGGGCCAGGGCCATCAGTCCGTAGAGGACGATGGATTTTATGTCGAAGAACATTTTCAGAGGCTGGTGTTTTGGACAATGGTTTAGAAGACGAGAGAGGCTTTTGAGCCAGAATGGATTGCTTTGATGCTGCTACTGATGATGAGAGATCTGGTGCTATCCTCATAGCTTTATATCCTCAGATTTATTCAGGTCATCTCAATTCTAACATGTTTCTAAACTCGGAACACTGATAGAACGTCTCATGATCGCCAGGCTGAGTGAGATGTCCTCAATGTTCAAGGCTGAGCAGCACTCCATGATTTGGCCCCAGGTTTTCATCCGGTATATACTTTGTTCTGCGTATACATTATGGTCTTGATATTCGAAACAGCCCTAGCAGATCACTTCTGGCCTTGGTAGAGATGCTAAGAATGCTTGATACCTTAGACCCTTGGGGCCAAGAGTGGGGGCCGGGAGTAAGCACTACAAGCACTATAAATACGCTAATCTGGCCCCCGCAGCAAAGACGGGGCTGTGTTCGAGCGTCGATGTCGCACCATTCAGCAGAGCCCACCATCTCTTTACAGCCTCATCCGCTTCTGCAGATCTCAATTGTACCTCGTCCTTCTTTTATCAGACAGTCAGTCAAAGTTTCTACTTTCCAGATTCTCCATCTCAAACATACTTTCAATCTACCCAAGGACACCTGCTTTCTTTGACTACCTACAAACCCTCACTATGGGAAAAGAGAACTTCATCCGACAAATCGAAAACTCCCTTGAGTTCAAACTCCTCGACAAAGTAGTCAAGGAAGACACCACAGCGCAAGATGCAGTCCAAGACGTCAGCAACATGACCATGAGTGCATTGTCCATTCATGGTCCAAACAAACAAGGCGGGATCGGTCTCCCAGACTACAACGTCTCTCTTGCGGTAATGGAGCTCGCTCAACGCCTGGAGCCATCCAAACACACCAAGCTTGTCGAGTTTATATCTCATCTCCAGAAGCAAGTTGCCGTTGATCCATCTACGAACGAACCCCTGAGGGTCCAGGGTGATACCCTCTGGACAGACATGCCGTCGTTCGGCTACACGGAGCTTGAGACGTGGTACGAGTTTGGTGGCGATTACAAAGGTGATCCATCCCCCAATTTAAACAGTCAGAACGCTAACGCATGTAGACCCATGTGATACAACGCTGGATTCTAAGCAACGAGATCGCTGGGCGAATCACAACGCTTTCCTCGCGCAGCTCACTCAGGCTGCAGACGTTCACTATACACATCCCAAGGAAGAAGTGCGATTCTCTCCCCTGGACAAATCACTACGGGCCATCTGGACCATGGCGATGGCACTTGAGAACGAGCGTCCTCCTGCGTCACTGGGAGATACGGCGGCGATGGAGGCCGCTTGCCAGTGGTTCATCTACGCTGCGGAGCGACTGTGGGCGAATGTCCTCAATAATCGCACGTATCCTGAGGCGGCTGGCGCTGGGCCGGGGAAGAGGTATGAAGAGGAGGGCTGGAGGGGCTATACGCGGGAGCGATGGGGAATCTGGGAGGATGCGCTGAAGGAGGCTAGGGCTGCATGCGAAGATGAGCGGATGTGGAAGCTGATTGATGATGCTTTGGCGAGTCTGAGAAGGGGGATGGTGGATCAATAGTGGATAGACCCATTTAGTTCTAGTGGACGTTCATTTAAATGCTCTGGATGGTTAGTTGTGTAGTATAATGATATCTATTTCTTTTCACTTTGTACAGGTCTAGCGGGATCAGCCTGATCTGATTATGATATTCACTCTCATCCATTCATAACTGGCTTTGGCCCTGTAAAGTTTGATCTTATTCACTTCATTTGCAAAGCAGATCCCGCATCATTCGCCTCTTGCTCATTGATCCTTTCTTTTCCTCTATTCGTATACTACCGTAAATTATCATCTTCCCTTCTCCACTGACTTTCCCAAGCAGTTACGAGTGAACAAAAAATCTGTCCCTGCTAAATGTGATGCTATTTTCCATGTCCCTACGAGCAGCATCATTGCTCAGGCAAGGAACAGAGTCTTGAGCGGTGGGATCCTAGATTATAAGTGATATTCAGTTTGCATATGCATTAATGGTGATTCCATATCTACTACCGTTATTTCAGTTCATCTCCCGCATGGGTGACCATCTTTCTGTCAAAGAGTTATACTAGTAGCACACTGATAAAAATATGTTTATTCGACGTCCCGTACTTCCTGAAGGAAAGCCAACATTACTTGTATATCTGACTAAATTATCTCACAGCCTGGCCCAGTTACAGTGCTGATTGTGGACCCATGTAATCCTCTCTGAGCTTATTATCATTAAGGATTTGAGCCTTGCGAACTATACTTTCGACAAGGCTGTCTTGATTGTGTGGGGCTGGGCTGAGCATCCTTTACCGTTTATTTCTGCCTTATATCCTGGCCCCCACAATAAAGTTCGCTTCTGCACTGCCGAGGGGCCAAAGCCTCGTATCTGCTATTGTTATTATCTCTAGCTGATCAAGGGAATGGACAAGCTCATGCCCAGCCTCTCATAGGAAAGCTTAATACGAGGGGAACAGTGGACGAGTGGGGTTTCAGCCTGGCGCTCATGTCGATCCTTCCAACACTTGATCGTCAATATAATTGATTGGTCCGAATGTCGATCTTGTCTGTTGTCAACGTGGCGCAGCGCCTGACAGATCGACAAGTGATATACCCAACAAGAATGTTCTGCATGGATGACCCAAAGCCTGTTCGTCTTATTTACCGCTCCTCCCTTTGTCTTACGCCTCTTGTCTATTCTCTTCAGTCAGGATAGAACGAAAGAAGTGGCATTCCTACGGAACTGACTTGCACAATGACCAACTCCCTCTCTGCCGCTACCTGCGCCATCTACGCAGTGCTCGCCATCCCAGTACTCTACCTCCTCGTCCGACACGGTCGCTACGGCCTTCTCGGATGGCTCTTCCTGTTCCTCTTTTGCACCCTCCGCATCGTCGGCGGCGCGCTGGCAGTGAACGACACCAGCGTCGCCGCTAATATCATCTCCAGCGTCGGTCTTTCTCCTCTCCTCCTCGCAACAGCCGGCATTCTACACGAGGCGCAAGTACTCAGCCCACACATACAAGATCCATGCTAAATTCAGCAGTCGACACTATCGCATCCAACCCCTCGACAAGAAAATGGAATGGGTCTCCGTCCTCGCCTACCACATGCTCGTCGTCGCAGGCGTGGCCCTAACAGCTGCCGGCTCCGCGAAACTCCAGGGACACGAGCAACCCCTCGACAAGGCCGAGAAGATTGTCAAGGCAGGCATTTCAATTCTGGCGGTCGCGTGGGGGTTTTTGGTTGGCTGGACCGCATTCTCGTTTATTGCTCCCCGGGGACGGAATTCCTCGCTCACGAGGGCGGGGACTGTCGTAAGTACATACCCCCCGTGTGTACCGGAATGCTATGCTAATGTTTTGCGAATAGCTGCTTATGGCCGTCGCGTTCTCGCTCGTCTTCATCGGCATCCGAGTCTTCTACAGTCTTACTGCGCTGTGCACGCAGAGGGCGTCGCTTAATCCCGTCACGGGGTCGCTGGCTATCCGTGTGGTGCTGGGGTTCCTGCCTGAGGTGATTGCCACGCTTGCGTATATTTTTGCGGGGATCAGGACGCAGGGTGCGGCGCTGTTGGCTCATGTCGAGGAGGAGGAAATGGTTTCGGTTCCCCCGAAATCGCGTGCTCAACCTTGGGTTTAGCTGGCTTAGGATGCATGCGTTGTTTATGTTTGCCTTTTGCTATATACCTAGATGATGAGAGTTTGTAATGATCAGAGTAATTATAACAGACCGTGTGGACGCCTGCTAGCCGCCGCCTGGGGATCCCGAAAGGGTTCAAGTCCCGTCCCATAATCAGGCTTGGCAACGTTACACCGATACGATACCGATCGTTATATCGGTATTATCAGTGATCGATACTCGATAGTATCAGTGATACTTCTTGGCATTATAGGTTACCCGTAATGTAGTGGAGGAACTAGGAAGATTAGCACATAACAGTTGTATGGATAACTATTATCTTAAGTCCTTGTTTAAAAAGGGAGTAGACAATTAACAATCTTCTTGCAGACCACGGAGCGCAGTCGCGTTAAGGGAATGTTGTCCCCTGAAAGAGTCCGTCAGTTAGCTACGGGCCAATATTACCCACAGGGAGAAGAGAGAGACACGTACACAGTTCCCGATTTACCCTGTCCCAGCTCCCTAGAATAGGAGAATCCATATGCCTCCCGCTCTCGCGGCGCACCGGGATTGTACCGGCCGGGTAGTCAAGAAGAACAAAGCTGGACGTATATCCGATGGAATTGTACCGATCAATCTCGGGGACAGGATGGGGTGCCACCGGAGCAATAATCGCGTCGATTCGGTTTGTGTAGTCTCCGTTAACTGGCCACATTGTGAGCAATTCCTGCTCAACCACCGATCGTGGTGTTCTAACTGAGCCAGCTGCTCCAGCGTTAACGCCTCCCTGCGCGTCATCCTACGTTCGAGCCACGGGATCAGCGGCTCCGACGTGCTCTCCAGGAGATCCAACGAGTCCCACCGTCGTCGACACCCATAAGACGCCCTGCTAACCCTTCAAGGCTGGAGGGACTGGCACTTCGACTACCGAGACACCTGGAGTCCGACGGAGAGACTCGGCTACCTCGTCCATGACTCGTGCAATAGGAGGCAAAGGCGTGACGAGACCATCGGTTCGTAACACCCCAACAGTGAACTCTTTCGACCTGATCTCTGGCAATGACGGAGAATTTTTCTCCCAGTGACCGGGAATACAATCTCCACCAAACAGGGCCGCTCTCGGGACAATCTCTTTTCATGACGGCTTCCAGATCCGCCACTGCCAGCGGCCCAGCGACCGCCTGCATTGAAATCCGGTCCTGGCCATGCAGCCGACCGCTCTCCAGGCCACCGAACGGAATCCGGCCGGCACTCGGCTTGAAGCCGTAAATGTTATTACACATCGCAGGCACATGTATACTGCCTCCGAAATCAGCCCCGAAGCCGACCATGGCGCCGCGCATCGCGATGAGGGCGCCCTCTCCGCCGGAGCTACCACCAGCGGTGAGCTGGCGGTTGAGCGGGTTCAGGGTCCGGCCAAAGAGGTTTGCAGCTATCAGGGGCTCCCATAGCCTGAGAGACATTCGTCTTGGCAATGATCACTGCGCCGAGAGAGAGCAGGAGGCTGACTAGCGGGGCGTTAAGGGTGGAGGGTTTAAATGCTAGCGCCGTCAAGCCGATGCTCGCGTCGACGCCTTTCACTCGGAAGCAGTCTTTCACTGACACTGGGAGACCGTTGAGAGGGCCGACTGGCTTCCCCGTGTGTTGGAGATGCTCATCCAGCGCTTTGCCGCGCTGTAGGGCGCTGTCAAAGAGAGGCTCAGTTAAGCACCGGGTAACTTGGTGGGCGATGGCGGCTCGCTGCACAGGTTACAGACAAATCTGACGAATGTGTCCACCCATTCACGTTACGGAGATAGAGATGTTTAAAGTAAAAGAAATTTATCGAATTAGCCTACCTTCGAGAATCCTCTCACCACTTCTTCGGCACTGGACTTTCCTTCGGCTATCTGGGATAGAAGCCTGCAGACGTCGAAATTTTCGGTAATCTCCAGGTCCTTCGGCGTTAACAGGCCTGAATTTCTCGGGATATCTATTACATTGACTCTCTGGTATTGTTTGGCGTTGGTGATGGAATCCGCAAGGGACAACATATCACCGGGAATCAGATGGGCCGGGAGTCTCCATTCGGCGGGGATGCCAGATTTCAGCTGGGCTTGTTTGCGCCTGACGAGGTCAACATATGCGGGCTCTGATGATTCTGCCATATTTAATTAATAACCTGGCGACGGATGACGATGGTGGAGGCGAGTGGCTTATGGGTTTTCAGAGAATCACAGAGAATAAATCTATCAGCTGATCGCGCATGTCATTAGCCCAGCCACTTGGAACAATGAGCCGGTCAAGTGGATGGGCTCTAGGGTGATTTAAATCCCTGTCCTGCACCCAAGGATTCTTCTTTGTAATATGGAGCGATCTTGTCGCCTATCTTTGTGTCTTGCTTAGAAATCCTGATCGGTGGTGTTTCCGACACTACGCGACTAGTTTTACTACGCTTAGAATGCACATCCTCGAAGCATTGATTTGGTTCGGAGAGCAGTAGTGTTTATTTAGTGGATGATGTAACAACCCCTCTAACCGCTATTAATCTCGGGCATTCTTGGTGATTTTGTCCACGATAGACTGGTTTAGGTGTGGAATGGGGGCATCTTTCTGAACCCGCAAGCCCCTTGTGATGCGAGCGATCATGGAGTAAAAGCCCAGGACAATAAACACCTCGACAATTTCATCATCCGTTAATAGCGTCTTTGCCCAAGCGATGGTGTCCTCCGTGTTGGTCCACGTTGCGACGGACTCATCCACTATCTTGATCAAACACTGCTGTCGCTCCGACCAGATACCCATCGCGAACAGCTCCTCGGCCTTCAGCCCCTTGCGAAGCGCCTCGATCTTCTCCTCGCCCATCCCGTGGACCCGCGACACCGCCTCATTAATGCCGAAGAGGTATTCGGCGCCCACGGTTCCCGTCATGCGGAGAACGACGAGTTGATAGTCTAGAATCTGGATGGTGCGTGTCTGGCCGTCCAGGAGAGCATTCAGGGTGGCCAGAATTGGCGGGAAGAGGCCTGTGGACCTTGCGAAGAGCCGGAAGACGTTGCGGTCGATCGGGAACCCTCTGAGCAACGCGGCGTTATTTTCATGCTGGGCATCTGCATTGTAGATGTCGATTCCTTGGACAAGAGGCGTGCCGCTGGTGTGCTCTGGTTCTGTAGATCGAGTCATCATGAAAGCACTGGCTATTGGGCAATCGGGAAAAGGACAGTGTCTAAGAGAAGTGGTCTATATACTGCAGGGAGACTAACTCGAGTGCTCGCTAAGGCATGTTGAATGAGATACCGCGCGATTTTAAAAGCAGACACCCTCCACATAGTTGCTGCATCTCTTCTCCTGCTGTACGAACATGGCCATCAACTCCAAGCCGGACCGGGATCAGGTCATCCTGTGTTGTCGTTTCCTTCATTAGTTTCGGCGGTGACGCTAACGATTCTCGACGTCTGCGCGGGAACGCCAACGCTTTTCCAGTATGCGCGGGGACACTAAAACCCCTGCGACCTCTCGCCAGCTAATGAGAGGGCTGAATCCCGCGGCTCAAATCCGATTAATGATGCTGATAAATCGGACTAGACGGTGTGGAAGATCTGACGGCAATCGGGGCGCATCGATCACGCATCATAAAAGTCAATGGCCTTTGTCTCTTGGGTTCGAGTCGACGGTTTGTCCTGGATGAATTGGGGCCGTTCATTGATGTCATTTTAATCTTTTATTTCCTTTTTCCTCTTTCTCCTCACCTTTCTTCCTCCCTCTCTGTTTACTATAGCTCTACTGGTATCGGAGATAATAATGGGGACCGCGACAGAACCCAATCCCTTACCTCCGGCCGATCACGATGTCTCTGGGAAAACAAGTGCCACCGATCTGGATCCCGAGAAACAGTCGGTCGAGTCTCCTGCAGAGGATGCAAAGGCGCAAGCCCGGGAAATCGCCGGCTGGCAGTGGTTCATTGTCGTGCTGGCCATCTACAGTTCCCAATTCCTCTTCGCCCTCGACAACACCATCGTCGCCAACGTGCAACCCGTCATCGTTGGACATTTCAAGTCCATTGAGAAGCTCCCGTGGGTCAGCGTGGCATTCCTCATCGGGGCGGCAGGGACGAATCTGGTCTGGGGTAAAGTATACGGCCAATTCAACGCGAAGTGGACGTACATCCTCTCGGTCTTCGTCTTCGAAGTCGGGTCCGCGGTCTGCGGCGCGGCGCCCTCTATGGACGCATTGATCATCGGCCGTGCGATCTGCGGTGTCTCTGGGTCTGGCATGTATGTTGGCCTCATGACTCTCCTGGCGTCCACCACCACCATCCAGGAGCGTCCCATGTACGTTGGCGGAGCCGGATTCATCTGGGGCGTGGGCACCGTCCTCGGTCCTATAATCGGGGGTGCGTTCACGGACTCGTCTGCGGGCTGGCGGTGGGCGTTTTACATCAACCTATGCGTCGGCGCCGTCTGTGCCCCAGTCTACCTCTTCATGCTTCCAAACAAGGACCCCCGCCCCGGCGTCAGCCAGAGAGACCGTGCTCGTGAAATGGACTATGTGGGGGGGATCCTCACGATCGGCGCCATGGTCTCGGGCGTCATGGCCGTGTCCTTCGGTGGCGTGATATACGCATGGAACTCGGGGCGGATTATCGGGCTCTTCTGCTGCTCTGGCGTGCTCTTCATCCTTCTTGGCCTGCAGCAGGTCTTCACCATCTTCACCACCGTCTCCCGTCGCGTCCTGCCCGTGGAGTTCTTCCAGAGCCGTACGGTCTTGATTCTGTTCGCTTGCACGGCGGCCGGCGGCACCTGCATCTTCGTCCCAGTGTACATGGCCCCGATTTATTTCCAATTCACCCGAGGCGACTCGACCCTCCAATCCGGTGTGCGTCTTCTGCCTTTCATCATCCTCATGATCGTGGCGGTCATAGCCAACGGGGCCCTCCTCTCCTCCTTCGGGCTGTACATGCCCTGGTACCTCGCCGGAGGAATCCTGGTGGTTATTGGCGGCGCGCTGATGTACACGGTGGGACTCGACACGTCCGTTGCACACGTATACGGATACACCGTGCTCATCGGCATCGGAGTCGGCTTCTTTTCGCAAGCATCCTTCTCCGTCGCCCAGGCTACCGTGGCCCCTGACATGGTGGCTGCCGCGGTCGGGTTCATCTCCCTTGCGCAGATCACTGGAATCACCCTGGCACTGGCGATCGCCAACGCCGTGTTTCTCAACGAAAGCGAGAGGAGCATTCAAGCCATCTTGCCGGATATAGGAGCTGAGCAGATCCGACAGACCATCTCGGGAACGCAGTCGGCCTTTTTCATGGATCTAGCGTCGGATGTTCGGGAGCAGGTGTTGCGAGCGATTGTCGACGCCCAGAGCAAGTCGTATATCTTGGTGATCACGGCCGGGGCTTTGGTGACTGTTCTGAGTCTTCTGATGAAGCGAGAGAAATTGTTTCTTGCTCCTAGCGGAGGGCCATGATTTAAAACTTGCCCCGGATCGTGGAAAGCGTGGGCTCAGTGGATGGCTGCTTTACGTAGTTGATTGTTGATGACAATATACCGGACGGAAAATATAGATGCAGGGAAACGATATATGCGGATATCCCGCGTATATAAACGTAATTGGCATTCTGTGAGATTTACGATACTCACGATATTGATACCTCCATACATGCAGTTTGAAGTTTGAACTTGGAACAGAGTGTAATTATTAGTACTGCACAAGCCTCCTGTTGCTCATTCCTGGGCAATGTAGTACCATCCTAATTGTAGGATCTAAACTGATGAATTCACTTGGACAGAGCACTCTCGTGGACAGCGCGAGCAGAACTGGAGCGCCCTCCTGTCAGCCCGGAAATACACTAGAATCTGCCTATTTACATCTCCCTATGAGAAGAAAAAGAAGCCGTCCCTCCACAGCATAAGAAAACTGGGTCCTGGATTATCATTGGTACGAGAAGTCTTGTACGTCTCAGCGGCGAAGGATCCTTTGGGCTCTGCAGCGCGACGCCCATATACTTAGCTCTAGCGCCAGAGACAAACCGCGCATTACGCACATTCTCAAGCGGCACGCAGTCCATAGTGCTTACTTCTGTAGCTTTGCCGCCAGTGCCAATTTAATTCACCATGTGGCGGGTCGACCACGTTGCTCGTGGGAGACACCGGCAGGGCGCAGCGCGGGGATTCGAAACGGAGCTTTCTTCTCCTGTCAGACAGACAGACCCGAGCTTGGCAGAGCCTATCAAATGCGTCAGAGACGAGGCAGGAGGCTTTAAGGGAGGAATATACCTGGAGATGGGCGCACAGGAAGGTGGAAGTGCTGCGCTTCCTCACATTCATCGACAGGATATCAGCGGATGTGATTGAAGATGGCTCCATACATTGACATGCAAGAACCTGGTCCATCGACCGCCGCCTATAATCTAAATCATCAATCAAGTAGGGACAAGGATTCCAGTACTGCCGTCAGGTACTGGCAGGAGCGTTTTCACAGCGTCGAATCACAACCGCGGCTACCTACGTTTCCTCTAGACCACCAATGGCCTCGTCCAGAGACAACACTTATGGCCCCCGATGGGCTTCTTGAAGCCGGTCTGGAGTTTGCTGGCATACATGATATTTACTTGGAGGATCTGATTTACTCTGTATGGGCCATTGTGTCTGTTCGACATCTGGGTAGTGGCCAGCGCACGACCACCTTTGCTGTTGCTGGCGGGAACCGGCCATTCTTCAAACACGACGGTGCCGAGAGCGGCCTAGCAGGTCAGGCTTTCCCCCTGATTCTGTCTGTTCCTGAAGACGTGGACGTTCTATCATGGGTTCGTCAAGTTGGAAGCCTTCGAACGGAAGCCTCGACCCATGCATTTATCGGCTACGAGCAAATTCTCAAGAATACCTCGGCCTTGCATCCCCAAGTGAAAGTGTCCATTACCTTTGAGGATGATATGCAAGATGCCATGACTGCAGATGACGAGTTCCCCTTAGTATTCAACCTTTGCGCGTCATTGTCAGCGGGGCTCAGGCTCTGTATGCGGCATAACACGTCAGTGGCTAGGGCAGACGTACGAATCCTCCTAGATCACTTTGCAGTCACACTACAACAAGTTATAGAGAACCATCAATCGAATGTCGCTTCGTTGGATATCATGTCTCCTGCTGAAACGCAATTATTGCAGGAGTATAGCAAAGCGGCTATCCGCCCGAGCAGCGGCCTGATACATCGCTTGGTCGAGCAACAGGCCAGACTGAGACCGGATGCAAACGCAGTACAGTTTGAACAGGACACACCCCTCACGTATTCCACGCTCAATAGACGGTCGAATCAGCTGGCCCGTCAGATCCGACAGTATGGGGCCTCGTATGTTCCCGTGCATATGCGTGTGTCAGCCAACTTTATCGTGGCCCTGTTAGCTATTCTGAAGTCGGGAGCTGCATATGTTATTTTAGATCCAGATGCGCCAGCAACGCGTAAATCATTCATCCTTAACGATATTCAGGCCGGGTTTGTTCTTGTGGACGAGGATACAACCGGCGAGCTTCCAAGCGAACTGAAGATTGGGAGTCTCCTGAACCAGTCGTTGAGTAAGGAGGACAATGACATCGCTGCGGAGCAACCTACAAGCAGCATTGCATACGTTATTTATACCTCAGGGTCGACTGGCAATCCGAAAGGGGTTCTACTCGAGCATCGAGCGGCATATAATGGACTGTTGGCGTTTCCAAGAATTGCAGACCTCCGCCAACTCCTCTTCTTTAACCCAGCCTTTTCAGCGGCCCAGAGGTCCATCTGGGCTACGCTGAGCGTAGGCGGTTGTCTGTGTCTAGCCAGCAAAGAAAACTTGACCGTCCATACTGCGAGGACGATCAACACTATGGAAATCAATTCCGTCGATATTACCTCGACCGCAGCTGCATTGCTTTCTCCAGATGATGTACCATCCCTTCGCCGAATAGCTTTGGGAGGCGAAATGGCGAATCCGATAGTCGTTCAAACATGGGCACACCGCGTGGAACTTCTCTCTTCATATGGCCTCAGTGAATGCACACAACTCAACTGGCGGTACAGATTGCAGAGGGATGTCAGTGCCCGAATTATCGGCCAGCCGTTCGACACGACGACTTCCTATATCCTCGCCCCTGCAACTACGGAGCTGTCGCCGCTGCTGGTCCCCGGGGAGCTATGCCTCGGGGGTGCCCAGCTCGCGAGGGAATATTTGAACAACTCCGAAGAGACAGAAAGACGCTTTATTCGCAATCCCTTCGGGCAAGGCATACTATACCGAACAGGCGATATGGCTGTTCGCCATGCAGACGGATCGATTGAGATGATCGGACGAATTGATTTCCAAGTCAAGATCAATGGACAGCGGGTCGATCCCGGCGAACCTAATTCGATTATCCAAATCGTCGAGGGCGTGAAACACTCTGCGGTGGTTTCTGCGCTTGTGAATAAGAAGATGGTCCTCGTCGCTGTGGTTGTGAGCCGTGTTGACGCCGAGTGGGCGGCTCTTGTGCGCAAACTTCGTTCAGCTCTTGCTACAAGGCTACCACTCTACATGACACCTAGCTTCTGGGTGCCTATGCCATCACTCCCCCTGAACACAAACGGCAAAGTGGACGTGTCGGCAATCCAGAGGACGGTGGAGTACCTGGGCCAGTCGGGTCAGCTGCTTCCAGAACGCCCGAAGACCGGAGTAGAGGAGAGTGCCTTGACCCGGAACGAGAAAGCCGTCAGGAGACTGTGGGCCAAGTTCTTGTCTATCCCAGAGTCTGATATCTTCCTGGAGGATTCATTCATTTCTCTGGGCGGTACATCGCTTGAAGCTATCCAGGTCGTGTCACAGCTGCAGTCAGAGTACGCGTTGAGTCTTCGCGTTGAGGATATCATCCTCAGCGACTCTCTCTCTCTCGTTGCTAGCATTGCCCAGGAACATCTCGCAGAAGGGAACGCCGAAGTCGCTACTGCGCCATTTGCGCTTCTCCAAGAGCCACTCTCCCCGGAGAATTTTGGCCTCAGTGCCTCTGAGATCGAAGATGCCTATCCAGTTACACCGTTCCAAGAGGCCGCTATCGCGAACACGTTGATGGGCGGTACTAGCTACATCTATAGTCGGTCCTACAGCTTTGATGGATGCAGCCGGGATAATGTCAAGGATGCTCTAGTGTCTCTAATGAAAATGGAGAGATGTCTACGCACGACATTTGTCCCCGAGGGGACATCCTTCTTGCAAGTCGTGAGGAAAACAGCAGATCTCCCTTGGGAGACTTCTGAAATGGACGTGGCCGAATACATGCGACTACAGACGTCGAAGTCGATGCATCCCGGGGAGTTGTGGTGGAATGCAGCGGCTTTCTCTGGCAACGTGCTGGTCATCACAGCCCATCATGCACTTTTTTTGATTTCTGGTCCAACGAATTCCTCGTACAAGACCTGAGCTGTCTTTTGCACGGCGCACCCCTCGTCCAGAGGCCCCGTTTTAGTCGTTATGTTGAGTACCTGCGAGAACACGACGAGGCCACCATGCAAATGTTCTGGAAAGACTATCTCGACGGCGCAATGCCGAGCCGACTGGGATCGCAGATAGCGCCTGAAAACACGGCGACAGGCGAAGTGGGCCACGGCCTGCAGAGCGCCGCGTCCAAACGCAAGGTTACTCCCAGCGTGCTCTTATATGCTGCGTGGGCTGTTGTCCTGGCCATCACGAACTCCACGGATGACATCGTCATGGGGGGTGACGCTCTCTGGGCGAGACGCTCCTGTTCCAGGGATTCTTCAGATGAGCGGGCCTACGCTGATGATTGCTCCTCTGCGGGTGAAAGTCGACAAAACAAGCTCGCTGGAGGCGCTTCTGGACCGTGTCCAGTCCAGTCTTTGGGATATTGCTAAGCATGCGCCGTACGGGCTACGAAACATCCTCAAAACCAGTCGACAGCCAAAGGAACTGTTCGACACGATGGCAAACTTCTTGATCAAGATACCCACTTCGTCTCTCTCACCTGCGGGATTAACGCAATTACCGCAGAGCAATCTGGGGACTGTTGAATATACCAAGCTGGAGCTTCGCAATGAGAGCTTAGACCGTGTGACTCTGACCTCAACCCTGGACCCGGGGTATGCACAGATTCTCGCAGATTCTGTTGCGGCCATATTGAAGGCATCATCTGACGCGCCGCTTACCAAAATTGGAGAGCTCCGGTTAGCAGTACGGCAATGCATTGATGGATTTACAAACCATGTGGCTGGTTCTTCGCCAGCTGTGGAATGCGCACTAAGGCAACCGGAAATGTATGCAAATGGGGGCGAAGATCAGGCCTCTGTCATCGCAGAAAGCCTGGATTACGAACTAGGGTACTCTGCAATCCAGAAAATAGCAGTCTCCCATCCATCAAAAACGGCAGTGGAGGAATTTTCCAGAGCGAGGATTACGTATGCGGGGTTGTCTATCAAGATGAACCAGCTGGCTGGCCTGTTGAGAGACAAGGGAGTCGTGCTGGAGCAAGTGGTCCCGATGATGCTAGAGAAATCGATCAACACCGTTGTTGCGATGTTTGGTATTCTCGTCGCTGGAGGAGCCTTTTTGCCTCTAGGCCCAGAGAGTCCCAGGGACAGAAACCTGGGAATCCTCGACGACTGCAACGCCAGTGTCATCGTTACCGATCGACTAAACGCGGAGTTCTTTAAGGATACGAAGTACGACATTATCGTGATGGATGCCCTCGAGTGGGACTCGATGCCCATCGAACGACAGGTGGTGCCCGGATTAAGCCCCGATAGCCTTGCCTACGTGATATACACCTCCGGCAGGTAAGTGGAAGCTGCGGCCGCATTCCTGCGGTGTACCAGACACGATTCTGACTATTGTAGTACCGGCAAGCCCAAAGGCACGCTCATCTCACACAAGGCCATTGTCGCGGCCCTGGAAGGGATACTCGACGCCACAGTCGACGACAACTCACGTCGCATCCTGTGGTCTCTAAACTACACATTTGACGGGTCTTTCTATCCTCTCTTCCCGACTCTCGGAACTGGTCGCACGCTGTGCGTGGCTCCGCAGAACACTATCCTAGCCAACCTTGCAGAGATCATCACGACCATGAGGATCGACCAAGTCAATCTGACGCCTACAATGGCCGGACTTCTTCACCCCGACGACGTTCCCACGCTGGAAATCCTTGCTACGGGAGGTGAACCCGTCACTCCTCATATGCTGACGGTGTGGGCACCGCGCATCAAAGTCTACACCTCCTACGGGCCTACTGAAGCAACGATCTGCGTTACAACCAAAGAGGTCACTCCCGAGATGAATATTCGGAATATCGGAGCCCCCTTCCCAAACACCACCGCTATGATTCTCGACCCAGATACAATGGAATCAATGCCACAGGGTAGCGTTGGAGAGCTCTGTATCGCTGGGCCCCAGCTGGCGAGGGGGTATTTGAATCGCCCCGAAGCCACCAGTAAAGTGTTCCATGACAGATCAGATCAAAGACTCTACCGCACAGGGGACCTTGCTAGGCTGTTGCCCAACGGCGAGATCGAGCTATATGGACGCAAAGATGACCAGGTGAAAATCAATGGGTACCGAATGGAACTCGGTGAGGTCGAGACTGTGATCATGCAAGCAGAGATATTCACCCAGTGCGCCGTCATCGCAGCCACCGTTCTCAAGAAAAAGCAGCTCATCTCATTCTGCTCCACGGTAACCCAGACAACAGGGGAGGATATAGCAGCAGCAGATGCAGCAGGAAACTGGCTTCTGCCACCGGAGGAGGCGCCAAAGATTGATCAAATCAAGGAGCAACTCACCACGTTGCCGCAATACATGGTCCCGACCTTATGGCTACCTGTGTCGCAGTTCCCTCTTCTGACCTCAGGGAAAATTGACCGGAAGCGGCTGACAGCTGTGGTAGAAGGTATGGATGACAGTTTACTCAAAGCATATCTGCCTCTGGAAGAAGCGTCAGAGATCAGTTCGGAAGAAGAGCAGGAATTGCAGTCGCTCTGGTCAGTCCTTTTTGCAACACCAGCCGAGGCGATCCACGCCAATTCCACCTTCCATGCCTTGGGAGGCGATTCAATCTCTGCGCTGAACCTCGGCAGCATGCTTCGTCGGCGCGGATACAGAATACAGATCAACGATATCCTGTCTAGCCGTACGTTGCGGGAACAGGCAGCGCTGATGGTCAAAGACACCGAGAATGCTAAAACCGCCACATCTAGAGCTGTCCAGCCAGTCAACTATGAGCCACCGCAGGCCGTATACGAGCGTCTTTTCCAAGCAGGCGTCTCCACAAATGATATTGAGGATATTTATCCGTGCAGCCCGGGCCAGATCGAATTCCTGACCCAGGGGAAGAAGCAGGAGCAGTTCTGGCAGCTGATGGCCGTCCGGACACTCCCTGATGACCTGGACTTCGAACGATGGGTCTATTTGACGACGCAGCTGACGAAGAAGAACCAGATTCTGCGTGCTTTGTATATCCACACCGACCCAAACGACCCTCAGACAGCCGTCCAGGTCGTTCTCAAACATCCCGTCCTCAACCTGGCTTATCGATCCTACCGGACGGAAGAAGAGAAACAGGAAATATTAGAAGCCGAGTGGGAAACCCTCTTCGATCCTTCGAAACCATTCGTGCGATACACGCTGCTGGTGAACTCGGAAAATGGCACGCGGGACCTGGCCATCAAATTGGACCATGCCTCGTACGATGGGACCCTCCTGCACATTTTCGACGATCAATTCAAAGCCCTCCACCAGAACCAGCCCATCCAGAAGCATACCCCGTTTAAGGACTTCATCAATCATATTCTGTGCACCCCGAAACAGCCCCAGCTCGACTACTGGAGCCGCGTCCTTGAGGACTACCGGTTCGAGTTTCCTCCCAAGATCACCAATCCGAAGCTGTCGCAGGTGGAAGTTGCCCAAATCGGCATTTCCGTGGGCGTTAATGCCCTGGCAACCTCCACAGGCGTCACGGCACCAATTGTATTCCAGACCGCATATTCCCTCCTGCTGGCACACCTCAGTGGCTCGCGGGACGTCGGGTATGATAATCTCGTCACAGGCCGCAATGTAGCGATCGACAATCCGCAGCTCATCGACGGCAACTGTGCTAACTTCCTGCCATTCCGGTCTCGCGTGGTGGACGATGAGCCCATTGAGGGGCTCCTTAAATCCACACAGGTTGCGTTCTGGGCCTCGACGGAAAACGGTCTCGTGTCGCTCGGTGAGATCTACGGGGCTCTGGGGTGGGATCGCACCACGACCACCGCCAGATGCCTGTTTTGCTTCCAGCCGTTCGAGCCAGCGCCCGCGGGGCAGGATCCCATGCGTTGGATCGTCATGAAGATGAGCAAGAACCGAATGCACTTCAACTACGCGATCCAACTGGAGGTCGTCAAGGCGGCTGAGAAGGGCGAGTATGTTCTACGCTTTGGGTATGATAAGAGGGCATTCACGACGGAGAAGGCTCAGATGGCTTTAGGGTGGTATACCAGGTGTTTGGAGGGGATGGGGAAGAGAAGATTAGTTGGGGAATTGGGTGTATAGAGATATACGAGGCGGTCTTTGGTTGCATCTGCTATCTAGTATTTATAGAGCATTGGAATATATTCTCTACTTGCCACTTTGATACATGACAGGTTCGGAGCATTTTCATCTTCATATACAGGAGATCTTTCGTTTACTTTGCGCAGTCTACTTCCGTCCGGCCCTTTGATAGATAGACAGTTCGCAAGCCATTTACGGTATAGAACTCTAGGAATAGTTAATTTTATAAGTTTGGGTTTGAACGTATTATATAGTCGCTCCATGAATCTAGGTTACTTCATTTCCTTTATTAATTCCTCTCTCCTGTGGAATATCTACTTTTCGTCAATCCGTCATCATTTCTCCTTGCTACTTGAGTAATCTAGCCCGTGAACATCTGTTATGAAGATCGGAAATATTTGGTATAATGATTTTATAGTTTCTCTACCGGAAATAATAAACGGTTCCAATCATGGCTTCTGCCCCAAGAACACAAACCGGCGCACCTGCCACGAAAGGCCATTTCGCGCCTCAACCACTGTATTAGCATGCAGCCGACTGAGCTCATCCCGCAGATCTCCTTGCAGCTTGCTGATCAGTTCCCCGAACAGGCCCAGATAGTTCGTCTGGTCCAGGAGAAGTAAGTAGCTGTCCTCAGTGGTGAATTCATCGCGGAGGACGTTCTGCAGGCCTTGTTCTTTGAAAGTCTCTGCGAGCGCGACAGACCATCTATCGTACCATTTGTGAGCCATTTACTCCGAACCGGGCTGAGCGTAGGGAGATGAGCGGGTCGGTGGGGGGAGGGCTGAACAGAGCGAACTTACGACGCAGGCGTCTTAGCACGAAACCTCGCATCCAGTCCGTGCAAGAGCTTTTCCGCATTCTCGGATGGGTTGGACGGGTCGGCTTTCACAAGCGGACGCTTGCTAGCATCATCGTTGGGTTCCTCCCATTGCAAATATCCGCCGGGTTCTGCGATCGCATGGCGGATACGGTCAGCCCAGGCCAGTGTCGAACCACGAAGGGAGTTTTGCGCACGTACTAAGAAGCTTGAGAAGATTCTGGATCACAGGTACCGGATTACTACCGGCTTGGTTCACCACTTGCACGAGCAGTCGCGCATGCACGATATCGAACTTTTCTTTATATTCCTCTGGGATATCTGCCAGGATATCCAGCTTGCTAAGGGATACGTTCGAGGGGAGAAATCCGGGGGCGGGATACTGCTCGCTTGAGATGTCGAAGCCGTGGAGGTGCGCATTGGGGAGTTGACGGTGGAGGTCGAGGAGCCAGATGCTGCGAGGGGCGGGTAGTTAGCTCACGTCGGATGTACCACGAGAATCATAGGTGGCTTATACCCGGTGCCTGTGCCTACATCGGCAATAGAAAGGTTCGGCTGGGAGACGTCTATGGATGGGTGAAGAACATATCCCATGTTTTCCTTCCAGATGTAATGCTGGAGGCTGAGGCGCGTCGAAGCCGCGACATCGCGATTGAGTCGGTACGGGTCGGCCGAGTTGGAGTTGGTCATCTTTGATAGTGTGGTGTGGAGGATGGATCTTTGAATGGATGCCACACTAAGATTGAATGGGGAATTGGAAAGACCAAAGGCTGTTTAAATAACTAAAGCGCGATGTACAAGTAGTTGAGCTCTGAATCTATTCGGTCACTTCAGCGGCATCTCTCGCACCGGCGGGGTATAACGCGCGACGCCGAAAAGCATAGAAGGATCGTTAGGTAACTAGACACTGCAAAAGCCAAGGGAAATGCCGAGATAAAGGCCATTTATCACGGCAGATCCAATCAGGGCTCATACCGCGGAAAGTACGCACGTTCTCCGAGCCTGGTATAGGCGGCTTGGTAACCCCGTAGCGCAACGGAAGGATGCTGGGTTTAGCTCTACCGCCAGGGACTAAATTCTCACCAGCACTGTCCTTTCGCCATGCGCTCGGTAATGTGGATTAGCGGTAGCGCTATAAGTTGATCATGAAAGGTGATCTTATTCAGCGTATATTGATGACTAATTTCTCGGTTAAAAGTAACTTGAGCTCGCATGATGACATCTATAACGGTATGTTGTGTACGCAAGAAATGATTGAATCGTGAAGTTCCTAATAAATCACGGACATACGCCTGTTGGCAAGGGATGGCTCTCGCTAAAAAAATTCACACATGATACACGGCGAACGACAATCGGCCAGGCTACCAGCCAGTGTGAAGGGCTGGAACGGGATAACTGCATGCATGCCAACATTGAGCTTGTGGCAGGGAGGAGAGGAAGAGAGGACAAGCGTTGCCTACTCTAGTGCAACGTGGCTTTATCAGGCCGAGATATTCGGAACAATCGGAGAAGAAGAGGCTGCGAGGGGCTTAAGACGGACCTTTTTCGCGAGCAGGGTATTGACCATATTATAGAGTCGCCTACCGAATGCCACGCGTATACATATTCCAGCCATCTACGGAACCGTACAGCAAATTACTATTGGAGCATGAACCGTAGAACCTCAGAAGCAGCTGTGAGCGCGTCACGAGTCAGGATGACGGCTGGTATCGTATTCCCAGATGCTGCAAGGATGCATAATTGAGCCACACCTCGTCTGTGCACGTTAGCTTTGCTTATACAATACAAGAATTTATCTACCACCTAGGAGATCATGTATACCACGTTCTGACCGGATACAGACAGCTAAAATTGTGCATGCGTGGCTAGGCCAGCCAAGGGCTATCTATATATGCCGCGATGCAATCCCTCGTTCGAAGCATACGAGTTCACAATACCTCTGATTGGTCAGTTCCATAACTACCTTGGTTCTGCCTCCTATTCCATGCGGAGACATTCATAGAAGGAGCATTTGGTCTCGGGCTAAACATAGTTCTCTCTTATGGCGACTCCAGTACCATACTGAATAAATGTTGTAGATTTGGCAGGCAACCTACCTTTGCTACCCAGTGACGTTCACCATCGTCATGAACCCAACCATCGTAGTCACTGATGTAAAAGGGATCAGTTGCCCACCCTCATGTTGTTTAATGCCTTAGAGAGTTAATCGTTTGGATAAGCCGTTACTGGTTCATGTCCAGCACCCAAAATGCCCAATGATGAGAGGGCGCCTTCAGACGGACACATGGCAGCAGTCTACGATGACTAGACGTGATAACAACGTGGAGGTTCTGGTGGTTAAAACCTTTAGACGTTGGGCTGATCTAGATCAAAATACAGGAGAAATTTAGGCGCTACTCTACACGTGATTACAATTCGTCCAGATCTCGATAGAAAATCTATTCTTGCTGCTGAGGCCGTCTTTGAATGAACCGTTTGGGCAATGTCGACTTAGAGAAGGTCCGACTCCTTCGCCCATAAGGCAGGCTCGGCCTTGCAGTGCACAGAAACCAATGCTTGCTATGACCCTTGTCTGTGGCGTCAGGCCACCAGTGGCAGGCCAGGATAACATTTAAACAGCGCTACAAAATAGAACTGAGCGAATCGGCAGTGCTGGTAGCAGATGACAAGCAAATCATTCAGATGCCGGCTCCCGAGCCGATCCTGGCGGCGGGTACCGTGATCACAACAGCTGCAGAAGGGAACAGTCTCGGGTTGCCGTCTCCCACCGTAGTGGATGCATGGGAGTGAACGAAGTTGGCTGGATGGCTTGCAGTTGGAGCGACATCAGTAACCGGGCGTGCGGAGGTCGCCGGGGCAGATGTTTCCGTCTCCTATTCCACCGTTGATTTATATGCAACCAAGTGTCGTCCCACCCTCGGGGAGTTGGATCCTCACGGGACGTTTGATCCTTGGGGTCAACTACCTGGAATGCATGAATTGCAGTAGAACCCTAGTATCATAATTAATAGAAGCATCTATATGAGAAATCATTTTAGGATTCAACTAACCCTTGTATCAGGAGGTCGTCTTCGGCATCTTGGCAATTTACGAGCAATCCTGAAGCCCCTCGTCTCCTACGTAAGGAAGCTAGGTCTTCTCTGCTGACAGGAGTACAGTCACCTCCCGTGGAACCACTACCGGCAAGCTGTAAACACCTCAGACCCTCAAGCAGAATAGAGGAGTCATTCGTGAACAAGCCGAAGAAAGGATCCGATCCTCAGAGCGGTTGCTCCCCGGGGGGGGGTCCAACATGCCGAAATTGCGTGCTCAGCGCTTCCCCCGCCGAGGAACACATAAGTAAACTACCTCCCTAATCTGGATAGACACGTGTTTATATGCAAAATATACAAAGAATCTGCAGGATTTCTCCCCCTTCCATTGTGTACCAATTCATGCAGAAGGGAATTCTAGGTTTCAGGCACTAAAATCTTAGATAATCCTTGGCTAGCGACGGCAAGTCGACTAGCCTCATGGACTAGTCCAGCCATCTCACCCACACATCCAAATGTCTTGTGGTTTTGCAAATACTACCCGAAGCCGCCAGGGTCTTTGTGCACTGGTGATCTCTGCAACATCCGAGCGCTTGAAAAAGCCTAGTTAGCATTTACTTCTTTACTCCCAGCGTACGATTAGTCCATCCTAACTGGCCCGGAAATTGGTGACTTCGACCTTAGCTTGACTTGGCTTAGCCGGTTTAGACAAAGGGGCCCGCGCCAGAGTCGCAGTTCTGATTATGAATTATAACACTACAAGTGGTCGATCCAGGATCAGGCTATATATATCGCATTTAAATAGGCTTCCCCCAAGAAATCTCTTTCTGGGCGTGCATTATATTTCGCGCACATAGTAACCATGACAGCTTGGCAAACTTGGTTCGGGAGCATTGTCACCTTCCTAAATAGGCGTAGATGCGTGCGGAAACGCAAAATAGCAACGTAGCGTATGAGGACCGTCGCCTCGCCCCAATATTAGGGTGCATATAGAAAATCTCACTATCTTGTACTTGGGCTCAACTAAATAAGATTTCCGAGGGATTCGTAATGGCTTTCCATGGCACTCCCCTGCATCATGCTGAAGAAAGCCAAAGCCGGGGCACTAAACTAGAAACGAACACGATCACGGACAGGGAACGCGATCTAGGCGTTAAACGGGGCTGTATAGTGGACTGTTCTTCTCGCCCGACGGATTGGAGGTTGATGCGAAGCCGGAATTGGGCCTCGAATCAGGTCTAAGAGGTGCACGGTCCGGGGTCAGATCAGATTCCATGTGCATGCCCCATCCTGACGACTATGCGCACGTGTCCCACCACGATGCCCTGATGGTCATGTCCTAGAGCATAAACTGTTGGCGCGTACGACTTGTCTGCAGAAGGATATTTATGATTTAGTAAAGTACGGTCTGGGGGTTTATTTGACGGGACCCCTGTTCGCCTGGCCAGAGTCGGAGGTGGCTTGCGCCTGCACTAGTTGGTACTTAAGTCTAGGTTATTTCCGGCTTTCTTCGGTCACCTAAAGAGCCAGGCCGTCAAACAAAGGAATACGAGACTTATGGGTGCACTCTCCTGCCGTTGCATGGCCACGCCGCTCGTATTAAGCTGATCTCTCTTGACCACGCTACTGCAGGCTGAGACCCTGAACCCCACCGGAATTCCCCGCCTTCGGTTCTCCAATCAGAGATGAACTTGGCTTCTCTAAACCTCGAGTCATCTTCACAGCTTCACTAACACCAGTACTAGCGTTGCATATTCTCCTATAAATGTAAATGTACAGTTCCTCCCGCCGTTATGAAGATGGTGTGAAGATGAATTATTTCCACCAGGGTCTGCACATGGTGTAGGTTCGCATTCTGACTAATGCTGGTTGGTGCTTTGTCACGCCGTCTTCCCTGGTTTCTGCTACCATCCAGTAGTACGGTAGCGAGGTCAGACTGTCCCCAGCTCTAGGGACCATGTCTATGAGCATGGAAACTGCAGCCAGACTTCGTAAGCATCGACGTTTCTCGACCGCTGCATCTGCAAACCCCCGATTACTGACTTCTATACTCCAGCCGCGCGAAGCCTCAATGGCTGCTGGACTTGTCGAGCTCGTAAGAAGAAATGTGACGAAAATCGTCCATCGTGTGGGCCGTGCATTTATTTTGGACTGGAGTGTCACGGGTACGGTCCTAGGCCCGTGTGGATGGATAACGGAAGATTGCAGAAGGAGCAAGCTTCAAAATTCAAGCATATTGTCAGTCAGAGGAAATCGAAAAATAGAGGCGAAAGGCCGCCCCGGACAGATCAACTGTCGCAAGGCCTTAACCGAGGGCTGCATGCAAGGTCGACCGAAGACGCTACATCGCACCCGGCTACGTCGCCCACTTCCGTTCGCCCATTACTTAACGAGCGGAATGGCGCCTTAGCTCACGATGAGCTGTTTGATATGTTTCTGAGTTCTTTTGTCGACGCGGCATGGAGTGGCCCGTCTCACGACGACACCCTAACCACAGAACCCCCGTCCTACGCCCATCCAGAAGCACCTGTCCCTGTACCCGCACTCTTCAAGAATATAGAATCCGGGCCGGATTCATCGTCGCCCGGCTCTTCAGAAGGGACACTGTGGATGCCGCATAACGAGTTGGGTGTGCGGGAGCCTAATACTGTGCCGGGTGATGTCGTGCTCCAAGAAGACATTAGATTTGCCACGAATGGAAGAACCCTTTCCGACGTAGACGAGTTAACCTGGAGCACCTCTCAAAATACTAACACCTTTCCCAAGGACGCTGTTTTTAACGACTATATGGCTTTGAAACCTCCAACTCAAAAGCGCGCCGTGGCGCCTCACTGTCATGGGCAGTCGATCCACTGGGCAGTTGCTCCCCGCGAGTCGCCCCAAAGTGGAGGAGCAGAGGATGCGTTGTTTATGCACTACCTGGACCGGGTGTTCTATATTCAGTTTCCTTTCTACCTCTCCCGTGATCGGCGGGGAAGAGGGTGGTTGTTCTCCATCCTCCGGCGAGTCAAGCCAGCGTACTATGCAACCCTGGCTCTAAGTGAGCGTGATCTTCTCTCGACGCATCCCCAAAATACCGATATCCCCAGTAGCCTTGCTCGACTGCGCTCCACCGACGGCTACTACTATTTGGCCGCCCAAGGCACACAACGTATCATAGAAGGCTCGTACTCCTGGAATGGATGTAGCCATCTAGCTCACAATCTGGAGGGCCTCACATCGATCCTCCAGCTTTTGTTCTGGGAGGTATGTGGTCGGCATCTCTTTCTTGATCCACTGCTGACGCTTCCAACGTTCAAGCTTTTCGCGGGTGGTACAAGAAACTGGCAGCCGCTTCTTCGGGCGGCCGCTGGCTTGATTCCCGAGCTTGTACAGGCACGGATGTCCCTTGCCGGTGCTGATGCGAACTATGCGAACGATCAGCAATATAGGAGGACTCTCTCGCCCGAAGATGATTGTGCGACCAACGTGTTGCTTGGTTCCTTTATATCATTTGACATTATTTCCTCCGCTTCTACGCGGAGGACTCCTTTCTTGGACATTGACCACGGACAGGCGCTAAGCAACCTCGGCATATCTTTAGAAAGCATTACGGGATGCCGGAACGCAATCATGGCGCTAATTTATGAGATTTCGGCATTAGACCGATGGAAGGAAGAGTCCCAGGCCGCCCACAGGCTAAGCATAATCGATCTAGCGGAGCGTGGGCGCCAAATCGAGGAGCGTCTTCGGCAGGAACTGGCGGACATGGATGATATGCCGTTGACAGGGCCATCGCTATGGAATCACTCAGGAATTCAAACCGCACCCTCTAATCACGAGATCAGCAAACTTTTTGCTCTCTCAGCCGTTATCTACCTCCATGTTGTTATTTCGGGTGCACATCCCGAGCTGCCCGAAATCGCCGAAGCCGTCTCTCAAACAGTCGTCGTTTTCAAAGGCCTCCGGGATCGGAGACTGCTGCAAAGTATACTAGTTTGGCCATTCTGTATTTCGGGCTGCTTGGCGGTAGGAGAACAACAGAGTTTCTTTCGTGACCTTTTCTCTGCCGCAGGGATTAAAGAGTCGACCATCGGAACGTGTTTCGAGGCGTTTCAGATCATGGAGGAATGTTGGGAGGCCAGAAAGACTCGTTCGTACAATTGTGACTGGGTGTCCATCATGAAGCAACGAGGGTATTATGTTTTACTTAGATAGACGGGTGATGTAGAATATAGAGGTCCTGTACACTAAAGTAGTTGACTATTGCATTTAGAAGTCCATCGACCATTTGCCAACTCTTTTTCTTATTTTTATCATGCCTTCTACCCTACCTAGACCCATCTTCCTAATTAATAAAACTATAAGCCTATTCATCAGTGCAAAAGGAAATACAACGACAGGATTCTCTGTGGAGACGCGCTAACTAAAAAGCCTGCTTCGAATGGGATTCTGCGATGGATTCTATCACCTCGAGGTCCGTGTTAAAAACTCGGGCATAGACTACAACGTCCTAGACCTCGCCGAGTACCATGCCCGCGTCAAAAGGGCCCCTCTTCCTGGTTGATCGAGGTCACTCCACAACCACCGGGTATACAGTCTGCGGTGGCGAAGCACACATATGGCATTATTGACTACTTTGCCCTTGCACTGCTGTTCGCCATTGACGAAATGGAGTGGGTCCAGCAGCAATAACATACGTTGATTAATGTGCTGCCGTACTGATGCGAGATGGTATTCATCCGCCGTCGAGAAGGGCGGCGTGTATGACTCGGGGGATGTGTGCAGAGCTGCTGTTTAAGAGGCGCCCTAATCTTGCGTCCCAGGTGTCCATGTTCGTTTGCGTTCTGAGGAAAGGAAGCAAAGTGGCCAGTCCTCTATCAGGAATCAGCTCGTGCGTGGCGTATTTTACTGTATTTTCTCGCAAGTGTCGGGAACATCTGTTGGGAAATGCCGAGGAAGTTAGATGGGAGGCTACATTGTCCATCGTGTAGATCATGAGATGCAATTGAGAAAGGCTGCTGGCATAGATAACTGACTAGAAAAAAAAATCTTAGAAAACCATGAGAGACCTATGCCTCTTCATCTAATGGTCTTTCCATACGGAAGAGTTTGTCAGGCTGGCCGAAGCTGAATATTACCTCCATCTGAAGCGTTAACGTCCACTGTCGGTCGTCCTCCATTTTGGTGAGTGTGAAAAACGCAAATATATTATACATATGCATAAACAGCGTTGCTATCCTTCTAGGTGTGTTCCTCCAACTCCGCTTACCACCACAACGACATTGTCTCCAGGGAGTCTCATATGATTAAAGTTTTCGATTTAGTCCATTCATCACGCCCTTTGCATCCGAATAACATAAAAATTCTCATGTACATCACCTGAAGACAATACGAGGCTGTACACCCGCTAGCACCGATGTCTCTAGGAGCGGCGTGGTGTCACAGGTCTTCTGTACACTTATCCCAGTAGTTTGTCGGAAGCCTTTACCAGCTTCCATGCTGCCTTTTTGGCCTGGTAGCAGGCAACCCCACTGGTGCCTTACGGGTCATTGTCCGGAAAGGAGCAGATTCAGCTTGGATATGGCTGGGCTATGGTGACACGTTTAGTGTATCTCCAGAGATGCGGTTCCTACTTCCTAGGTTGCACAATATACACTATTCCATGTCTCTCCTATAACTTCAGTGTCAGACTGCCTTTTCTTTTCTTTTCTTTTTTTCGAGGTTCCATTTTGCTTGACTGGCAGCTACAAGCTTGGATAGTTACGTCGAGATTTGCCACCCCGCTGGATATAATAACTCTACCAGTCTATCTGAAAGCGCAAGGTTCTACTATTATTGGATGGCTGTGAATAATACTACAAATAGAAGGAAATTTATCGATACAAGCCCATTATGGGACCAAGCTGTAGGTAGCAGCTGAGTGAGCCGCTGAATTAAAGTTATTAAAGGTGTTGACTGTTATATTAATCCGTTATTTCAAATTTATTATTTATTATAAATCTTCTGAGTGGGAATGGGAATCCCTTCCCAAAAGACTTGGCGCAGGGTGGGAATCAAAAAGCAATTCCCATGGGACTATGAGACGGGACTGAAACTCTCCCGGGATCCCGAATCCCGTCACAACGGTCAGCCTATTTGATAACCACAACCGCGGTTATGCCGCAGTCTAGATGTCATAGATAGCCTGTCTACAACATCAGAAGCACAATTTGATCGCACTTCAAAGTCAGAGTTCTAGATCAATTTTAGCTTTCTCTAAGCCCCATCCACATGGTCTGTCTCAGACTTCTATTAGGGAATTACGATAAGTTTGAAATCGTTTCCGTCATAGATGTAGACAAGTTCGCGTTAATAGCTCATGATTATTTCATGACTTTGGAATTCAAGCCTTCAAACGGATAAAATCGTCTTCTCTGCTTCTATTCAAATGCTGTCATTTTTGGTGCTGATATGCCGCACCAAGTTGATTTTCTCAAGTGATAATAATAAGAATTATACCCAATTACTTGTTCACAATGCGCTTCCATGAGGCGACCGATGGGCAGAGTTCTGCGGAGTGTGAGACACCCATCGAACATGACCCAGTATACAGACCGTTGGCGAAGAGCCAAGAGCTTGATATGGATGGCACTTTTGTTGACTCGGGTGGCTCTTATGAGACGCACCCGTCCCGCAACTTTATTGGACGAAGTCTTCTCCTAGACAGGAGTATGCGCCACCTTTTCTCGTCTTTATAAAAATCAGAACTCACAAGAACTAATTATCCATTCAGATAAAAACTTGACCAGTTTGGCATCTCTCCTGAGGGATCGCAATAACTCTACGATCGTTAAAGCTTCTCCTACTGAGACCGGCGATCATATTCCTGGATCAGACATCATCTGGAAGATCCCGTCGAATTTCGAATTAGACGCTCCTGGCCCAACAGCCAGGACACATTCTCTAGAAGTCGAGACAGGATCCGAACTTATTAAGAAGATGAGTGCGAGTGCTGAGATGAGCGCCTCTTACTTTGGATTCTCCGCGTCGGCAGAGGCTCAATACGGCATGGAGACGTCAGTCGACAGCAGCGCTATGTATGGAGTTTATAGTATGAATGAGGACAACTACAGCGTCACATTGAAGCCCCATGCCGACACATACGAGTTTGTCGATGGCATGGTTGTTGATGCTATCCTTACGCTACCCACATGGACGATCGACGATTCCGCAGTAATCAAAGCATACAAAGAGTTTTTTGAAAGTTGGGGCACCCATTATATCAAGAAGCTAAATTACGGCACACGATACCAGCTGAAAATTGATTCGGGTAGCCAGGAAAAGACCACTCAAGAGTCTTTCAAAGCATGTGTCAAGGCGGAATATAAAAACGTCGTGAGCATCCAAGGGCGAGTGGCGACTGAGGACGAGCTCAAGGAGTACACAAACTTCCGCCAATCGGAGTGTGTTGTCAGAGGCGGCGATCCTGGAGCTGCTGCTATACTGGCTGAGGATCCCACAAACAAGGACAAGTTTGATGCTTGGGCCAATTCGAGAAAGACAGGGGCCACCGATGCAATTATGAACATACAGGTAGACAGCATTTCCCGCCTTCTTGAAAAAAGCCCGGTGGAAAAACACAAACAAGCCGGCAAGCAAATCAGAGAGGCTACATCTTTTTTCACTGATGTTCGATCCGCTTGGTGCTATCTAGAAGTAGGTGTTGACAATGACTATATAGATTTTGGAAGGATCGAAATCAGCGCCCCCGAGGCAGAGATTACAGCGCGGAGACACGGCCATCCTTCTATTATCCAAAACCCGTCATCCTTGATCATGAGAGCAAAAACAAGTGAATATAAATACATATGGACGTGCTTTAAACTGAACACCCCAGATGTGCCATTACGCGTGAGGTTGTCCTGCAAAATTCGTGGAAACGTCAATATGCCACCCGGACAAACACCTTTCGGCTGGGCACGTCTTAACTGCTGGTTTAATAAGTACAGTGCTGATCATAGCGGCTACTACTCATGTATGAGGGCTTGCTCAGTGCCGGATTGTCGGGATTATCAGGGAACTCTGCCATCTATAATGGCAACAGGAGATTTCCCTGCAAGCTGGCCTTGACGCATTGTTGATGGAAACTCATTGCTTTGTTAAAAAGGCAATTGCCCACAAAAAACGTTGCATGCTCGACGCTCACAACCCTTTACTAGGCAACAGAGAATGGTTGTCAAAGAGTTGTTAAGTTCTCGTGGAGCATTATGACCAACTCGACACCGATGTGGTCTTACAGATTGGCCTATTCATCGTCCGCACATTCCTCCAATCTCTCGGAGGAGGAAGAAAAGTGGTAAGGGGACTATGCGGGGAAATAAACAAACAGGGGTGGTGTAATTTCATTTCACGAAAGTCCATTTCAAAATACTGAAATTTCAACTTTTTTTTCCATTTCAATTTCATTTCAAGGGGTCCAGTATTGATTAGTCATCAGAGTTTTCAGCCAATCAGGACCTTAGAATTCCCATTCTACCATTCCCGAGAAATTGTACTGTAACTCCTAGCAACATGTACTAAAATATATAGTTGCGATGTTTATATATATTTTAAACAAAACCGCTCCTAACTCACCACCAAAATGGCTGAGAATACTGCTCAAAAAGCTCACTATACTGAGATAGAGCTTTAGAAATGTTTCGAAATAACATTAGGTGATAAAAAGTTGATTTTCTATCTTAAATCAACCCTTGATTCGTTCTGACTTTAGTGCCAAATCAAGGTCCCCCAAGCTAAATACCTTAGATGCTTAAATATTCGGTCAAAAAACACCACACGCCAGAGCCAGTATGTTAATATAGCTCGAAAAGTAGGGCGTAGTTCGAAGGTTACGGCATTTTGGTGATAGATTAGCTGCTATACTCGCCCGATATGAACCCTATTGAACACGCCTAGGTAAAGCTTAAAGAACTATCTATAACCTGGATCCTGATTTTGAATTATTCCAAAGGACAGGGAAAGTAGTAAAAGAAACCATATACACTATGAAATCAAGCACAATGCCTATGCTTGTTGAGCTGGTTAAATACAACATGCTGAATGAGCGTCGTGAGCGGATCTCCTTGTTCTCCGTCTCCTAATGCTCTCCATCGAACGAGTCATTCTCACTGCTTCCCTTGACGCGTGCCGTCACTCTTTCGATCAAGTGGCTGACACTGCACCGTCGATTCGCCAGAATTGTCTCCACAGTGTCTCGGAATCGATCAAGCAGTGTTCTTGCCAGCAGGTCAGGGATTCGGTCGGCGGCAAATGCAATGCGTATTGATAGTGAACCATCTTCCTCCTCTACTGTCTCGATGGCAAAGTCAATGGATGCGTAGGGTTGCCTCGGGCTGACTTCTGTCCGCTTGTAGACTGTACCACCTAGTGATAGGTCCTCCTTTGACGCCCTCAGATGATTCACCATGCTGGCTCGCAAATCTGCTGCCTCTCCTTCCGGCCATCCCATCCAACGCTGAGCGATTGTCAAGAACTCGAGACCTTCATGTCTCATACTGTCGACTTGTTGTTTCCTGAGCTGTTCGAGCAGTTTTTCCAGTGTCCATTCAGGTTCGTATGCGACACGGCATGGAACCGCTCTGGCACAGCACGCAACAGCACCTGCGGCTGATGGATGCACTGTGTTCCGTCCCGTATAGATGTCGGCAAACACAACATCACGACTCGATGTGTGCAGGCCCAATACTATACCCCAAGCGGCTTTGACAGCCAGTGCAACTGGGAAGTCTGGTTGTCCGCTTCTTGATCCCAACACAATCGGCTCGCCGGAAATGAGACCCAGTCGTGAGACCTGGGGCTCGGTATGTGCACTGATAGACGGAATGTTAGCTCCTCGAAGAAGTTCACGCCAGTAGTCTTCGGTTTCGCGTGTTGTCCGGGCTTGCAGACTCCGGAAATACGACCCAACAGGAACAGAATTGCTCGTAGGTTGCCCTGCAATGATCTCTTCTAATGCTGTCCACACCCGATGCAAAGTCGCTCCATCGTATAGCGCATGCGAGATACGGAACACGATGCGATGCTGTTTCGTAGGGGCAACGACAATAGCGACATCGAACATTGGTCGTGCAAGACTTGGCGTTGCGAACATGTCTTGGTCCAGTGAGTCTCGACAGAAGGCATCAAGATCCATATTGGTGTGGAAGACACGGACTTCTGGTTGCCATTTGGCATAGACAACTTGTAAGAATTTCTGGCCACTAGGTCTGGCAAATCCGGTGCGGAGTGACTCAAATTTCATGACAAGATCAGAAACTGCCGACATCACCCCGGATATGTCGCAGGGACCGCTCGCGTCGAAAGCAAAATAGTTCAGTTGCCTGCGTTCCGGGGCCATGTTTTCTCTGATAATCTGGGCTTGGAAGTCTGTTGTTGGCAGAATATCAAGCACGTCCTGTGCCTTTGCAACCGGCACGCACTCAAGAACACTTGATCGTTCTTCAGGCGAGACAAGCGATAAGGGCTTGTAGTCCGCGACCACGTCAGTGTCCATGGTGGCACATGCTGCCATATCAGAAAGGACCGGGTAATCGAAAATGTCGATGACAGAAAGCCGCATGCTGTGTCCCCGTAGCTGTTGAACAAGGGTCATGGCCGTCATAGAGTCGCCACCAAGGTCGAAGAAATTGTCCGTACGCGACACAAGCATGTTTTCAAGTCCAATACAAGTAGCCCACAATTCGCAAAGCAGCTGTTCCTTGGGGCCAACAGGCGCCTGATATATCTGAGACTTGGCCGTGTACTCAAGCCACTTGTCCGATGGTATGGAATCTAGTAAAATACTAACCACTCGGCGGTCCATCTTGCCACTGTCGTTGAGCGGGAATTTACTGATAGCCAGGAACGCGGAGGGTATCATGTACCTGGGGAGCGTTTCAAGGAGGGAGGTGTGGAGGGAATGGAAAGCCTTCTGTTGCTCACGGTCGGGCATGATTATCGAAGGCACAGGGGCGCGAGAAGCATGCCGGTCGGGTGAGGTTGATTCGATGATGGCGACCAGAGACTGTCCCTTCTTGGAGACGTAGGCGTGTGTCGCGTCTGGCAGCAGGCGGACAATCTCACTCTCGACCTCGCCGATTTCCACCCGCTGACCGCGGACCTTGACCTGCGTGTCGCGACGGCCTATGAAGGTCAGCGAGCCGTCCGTGTTCTGCCGCACCATGTCTCCGGTGCGGTACATGCGCCGGCCGGGGCCAAGGCCCAACTCCTGCACAAACGCTGGATCTTCAATGAAGGCAGCAGCAGATTTGACAGGGTCGTTCAAGTAACCGCGCGAGACTAGCGGGCCTTCGATGAGCAGCTCGCCTGGCGCACCGATTGGAACCAGTTGGCCGATGTCATCCGGGTTGGCTACCCAGGCGCCTCCTGCGATGGGCTGTCCAACGTTTGCCGCAAGCGCAGGATCCAGTATAGGCGGGCTGCAATGGAACACGATGGATGCTTCAGCAGGGCCATAACCATTGATTACTGTAGCATCCTTATTCCATCTATCCACAACACCTGTATCAACAGCCTCTCCAATAAGCACCAGAGTCTTCAGTGTAGGGACTAGCTTTGGATCTAAAAGGCGAGCGACTGTAGGTGTCACATTGGCATAGGTCACCCGGAAATCGCTAGCTGCCTGATTGAGTCTCGAGAGACGATCATCTTCAGAGATCGAGCAAATACAGCCACCAAAAGCAAGGGTTGCCATGACATCGGAGATACTAACATCGAAAGTGAAAGCAGCAAACTGGAGCGTGCGTGTTGAGGGAGAGAGTCCCCAGAGCGGTGCGTGTGCTAGAATGCTTGTTACGAGACCACCATGCTCGAGGACCACGCCCTTGGGCTTGCCGGTGCTGCCAGAGGTGAAGATCACCCAGGCCACGTTCTCGGGCCGCACGGATGTGCAGGGCTCGCCGGACGGTGTCGGGGTTGAGGGGACCGATTCGAAGAAGGAGTCAACGGCAAGCAGCTGTGTATGGGCCGATAGCCCATCCAAACGTTGCTCGTGGCCGCGGTCGACCAGCACGAGCGGCGCAGCAATGTCCTGGACGATGCCGGTGATGCGAGCCACTGGATGTTGTACACCGAGAGGGACCACGGCACCGCCAGCCCGGAGGATGGCTAGCATCGCCACGATTGTCCACTTAGACTTATCCATACATACGCCAACCTTCGCCTCCGGGCCTACACCACGCCCGGCTAGATGGTGAGCCAGCCGGTGGCTAGCGTTGTCCAGCTCTCCGTATGTCAACTCGCCGTCGCACGCGCAGACAGCCGGTGCCGCAGGCTGGGCGGCGATTTGGTCCAGCAGCAATTCATGGAGGCAACGCTCGACTCGTGGCGGCATGATCGAATTCCATGTCGAGAATTGCGCCTTGTCTTGTGATGACAGCAGGCTAAGCTGTCGTAGCGGCTGATTCGGATTCTCACATACAGCGTGGATGGCTTGTGCTAAGCCCTGGACGAGCTTCCTGGCTGCTGCATCTGAGAATACGGCTGTTGAATACTGCAGGTCGATTTCAAGCTTGGTTGGTGTTGCGTTAATATTGACGTTCAAATCGTACTCCGTTGGATCCTCCCAGGCCAGACCCTCGAGGATAATTGATGCTTGTTCGGAGCTAGCCAACGCCTGCCGTTTGTATGATAGTGTGCTGTTGAATAGCGGCTGAATCCTTGAGAAGCCGAGCTCGTGCTGGATAGAAGCTAGCGAGGTCCGCTGATGCTCAAAAGCCTCAGCGGATTGGCTTTGTAGCTTACGAGCTATGTCTGACACTGTTGTATCCCAGTCTAGCTGGAGGTGGCAGACAAGCATATTGATCATAGGACCGACTAGCTCTTTGACCCCCGGAATTGGTGCATCACGGCCGCTTGACAGGTTGCCGAAGCTGACATTATTTGATCCCGTCCGGGTGGCAAGCACTAGGGCCCACGCTAGCTGGCAGATACTGGCAATTGAGATGCTGTATGTATCCCGGAAGTGGTGCAGTACAGTAAGGTCTTCGATCTGCGTGAACACCTTCGCAAGCTTTGTCTGTTCGTGTTCGTGTTCGGTATTGTGCGGTGGCTCCTGCGGCTGCAGGAGACATGGCTGGGCATCGCTCAGCAATGTCTTCCAGAACTGAAGATCATCCTGTGGCTGTCTCCCCTCAAGGAATGCGACATAGGCACTGTAATGGGAACCACCAGCCGGTAACGCACCCTCATAGGCGCTAATGAGGTCGCCAATTATCAGGGTTAGCGACGAGGCGTCAACCAGTGTATGGCTCACATCGAGGCGGCAATAGACCTCGCCTGAAGCTGTTCTTAATACTGTCAAACAATGAGGAGGGTGGTGAAGGTCTGACAGGTCAAGTATCGGCCGTGAATTGAACCATTCAGCCACAGCTCCGTCTGCGATGTTAGTAACCTCAGTATGGATGCTAATATCTGGTTGTTTGAGGACAACTTGGATAAACCTCTCCTGGCCTGGTAGCGGCTCGAGCAGGATAGTCCGGAGGATAGAGTGCCGTGAGACAACATGATGCCATGCTCTGACAAGCCGCTCCATACTGACGGGGTTGGCGGGGTCAGATGGCTTGATGTGGCATGTCTGCTGGACGCAGTAGGTTGATGGCGATTGTACTTGGGTAAGCAGAATGCCTTGCTGAATTGGTGAACAGGGGAGAATGTCTTCAATGTAGGCGGTTGAAGAAAGGCCCATAGTATTGAGGTATTTTCCCTCAATAACTCCCATGTCGCTGTCAGAGAGGCGTGCAAGCGGAAAGTCGGTTGCCGTAGCTGTCGGCGCCGCTATCACCAGCTCATTCACAAGGCTCTTCACAGCGTTGCCATATGCTTGAAGCCACTTCTGGACAGCCGCCTGTTGCCGTACTTGACGGCTGAAGCGGAGGCTGATACATAATTCGTCCGCTTCCACAGTGACGGTGACATCAAGCACGGCAAAGGTCTTGACCATGCCGCCAACATCCGATGTCGAATACTCGCCATCGTCAATACGGAAGAGTGTATCCTCCCGCTCTGTCTGCTGAAACCTTCCGGTATAATTGAAAAGGATCTCAGCAGGGCCATGGCCCGCAAACGCTTCTCGTCCACGAGCGGTCAGGAAACGGCTACCGAAGTAGGGAACACCACGGCCAGGGATACGCCTGCGCTGGTCCTTTACCTGTCTCAGGACATCGATAGAACCATTAGAATTGGCTTCCACCGGGACATGAAGTGGTGTCATTGTTGTGAACCAGCCGATGGTGTCAGATAAGTCCGTTTCGTCATCCGCAGCCTCGCGGCCATGCCCTTCGGTAAAGACGGCAGGGACAGGACGATCGGTAAAGATCGCTCGGAAAGAGGGGAACAAAGCAGCTAGCAGGATCTCGACTGGCTCAGTATTCAGAGTGACGTTGGCGGAGTTATATAGCAACGACGTCGTGTTAGAGTCTAACTTCGTCTCCATGCTAGCGAGACTGCCCCATACATTCTGGCCAGGGGTAAGGTCCCAGTACTCCCAATTTGCTGCTGGCACCGCTACTGGCAACGTATCTGCCACGAAGGCTTCCGCTGGCGTACCGATCTCGCTCACGAAGTTGCTCAACGATTGGTATTGCCGCTCCAACCACACAGGGAAAGATAGGCTGCTCGGGTTTGGCAGTTTGTGACGCCCAAGGAGTTCTTCGAGGTCTCGGATGAGAATGCGCCAGGATACGAGGTCGATAACAAGATGATGGGCGACCAAGTGGAGGACCTGCCTGTCCTGCAGTTCGATCAGGGCGGCTGCAAACACTGGCCCGTGCTCGAGATTGAGTGAGCCCTGGGACTGCGCAACAATATGCTGTATAGACTTTCCATCAGCGGCCGTATGCGAAGAGAGACGGTAAGACCCAGGAAGCTGTCTCTCGATCCATTGCTGCCAGCCATGGTCCTGGCTGTGCCGAAAGCGTGCGCGAAGCATAGCATGCTTCACAACAGCCTCATCCAGTGCCCATGCGAGTTCTGGTAACTCTACCCGTTTTGTGATTTGGAGCGACACTCCTTGGTTGAAATGGTACTCTCCCTCAGTGCGAAGTCCGTCGGGAGCAATCTGGTCAAAGTACATCTGCTGAATGGGCGAGAGAGCGAAAACTCCCTCTGGCACGCGTGAGGCATCGCCTGCATCTTTACGTGTCTGCGACTGGGCTGCCAGTTTGCGGATTGTCTGGCTCTCAAGAACCTTGCGGACTGTAATGAGGATGCCACGGGCCCGGCTAGCTGATACAACTTGCATTGCTGTGATCGAGTCTCCCCCGAGACTAAAAAACTTGGCTGAATACGTGATATTGCGGAGTGGAACACCAAGCACTTCGCTATATATCTCCCGCAACGATCGCTCGACGGCTGTGGCTGTTGCCGGCAGGTCACCATCTCCAGTCTCCTCAGTCCTGGTCAGGGCAGCAACCTCATCTGGCGGTAATGATTGTATCCAGCGAGTCAGCGCCATCCGATCCGTCTTCCCTGACGCGTTAATCGGAGCAGCCGCCAAAGGGAGCCAGATATTTGGCACCATGTAGTGCATGACCCGCTGAGACAAGTCCTCCTGGGCCTTGTATAGCAGTTTTTGAACACCCTCCTTATGCTCTTCAGGAATGTATTTGACACCTGAGTTCTGATGGCGGCTTGCTACCGAGCTCTCGCTGAGGATGACAGCAGCAACAAGTTGGCCACTAAGAGGTCCCTGGCGCATATAAAGGACAACTGCATCGTGGACACCAGCCTGCTTCCCTATATGGTACTCAATCTCGCCAACTTCTACGCGCTGGCCACGGATCTTAACCTGCGCATCAATTCGGCCGAGATAAGTCAGGGAGCCGTTTAGATTCTGTTGTACCAGATCGCCGGTGCGGTACATGCGCCGGCCGGGACTCAGGCCCAACTCTTCCACAAATGCTGGATCTTCGATGAAGGCAGCAGCAGTTTTAACAGGGTCATTCAGATAGCCGCGCGCCAACAATGGACCTTCAATAAGCAGCTCGCCAGGCGCACCCAGGGGAACTAGTTGTCCGACGCTGGCCGGGTTAACAACCCAGGTCCCACCGGCGATGGCCGTTCCAATATTCAGAGCCAATGAAGTATCGGGGATCTTCTGACATGTCGAGTGTATACAGCATTCCGAGGGCCCATAAGCGTTGATGACGTTGGCGTGTCCTATCCATTGATCGACAACCTTTGCTTGGACAGCTTCACCCATCAAGATCATTGTTCGTACTGTTGGGGCGTCCTGCGGCTGAACCAGTGCTGCCACAGTCGATGTCAACGTGGCTATCGTCACATTGGCTTCAGATATGTAGGCTGAGAGTCGATCCATGCGATCCTCTTCAGAAGGAAGACAGGTACAGGCCCCGAACGCAAAAGCCGTGATAATCTCTTGGATAGCCGCATCGAATGTGAACGCCGCAAACTGCAACAGACGGTCGTGAGACTGTATATCTAGGCGGCGACCATGGAAGAAGATACTTGTCGCGAGGGAGCCATGCTGAAGCACAACGCCTTTAGGCTTGCCGGTGCTGCCAGAGGTGTAGATGACCCAGGCCACATTTTCTGGTCGTACAGCCGTGAACGGCTCGGGGGACGTTATCGCTAGGGCTGATGGGGGTACCTCGAAGAAGGCGTCGACGGCGAGGAACTGAGCATGGACTCTCAGCGGCGCTAGCCGTTGTTCGTGAACTTGGTTAACCAGAACCAGCGGCATGGCTGCATCCTGCATGATGCCCTCGATACGGGCCAGTGGCTGTTGCACTCCCAGAGGAACGACAGCGCCGCCGGCGCGGAGGATGGCCACCATAGCCACTGCTCCCAGCTTTGACTTATCCATACATAGGCCGACCATTACATCCGGACCAACACCCTGCTCTTCTACCAGATGATATGCTAGCCGACGGCTCGCTTCATCCACCTCGCCATATGTCATCTCACCATCCCACGCGCTGATGGCTAATGTTTCTGGCTGCACGGCCATCTTGTCAAGTACAAGGTCGTGAACACAGCGGTCGAGGCGTGTCGGCATAGTCGAATTCCATCTGCAAAACTGTTCCCCATCATCTGGAGATAGCAGACTAAGCTGACCGAGCGGCCTACCCGCGTTCTCGCAGACGGCGTACACGGCTCGCACCATCTGCTGTGCGAGTTTCGTAGCTGCTGCATCTGAGAATACAGCTGTTGAATACTGTATATCGATTTCAAGCTCAGTTGGTGCTGCATCAATATTGACGTTTAAATCATACTCTGTTGGGTCCTCCCAGGTTAGGCCTTCAAGAATAATTGCTGATTGACCAGAGCCAGCCAAGGGTTGCCGCTTATATGATAATGTGGAATTGAACAATGGCTGGCCTCTTGAAAAGCCAAGCTCGTGCTGGATAGAAGACAAAGATGTGCGCTGGTGTTCGAAAGCTTCAGTAAACTGACTTTGCAACCTGCGAGCGATGTCTGAGACTCTTGCAGTCCAATCCAGCTGTGTGTGGCAAACAAGCATATTGATCATAGGACCAACTAGCTCTTCTACCCCTGGGATAGGCGCATCGCGGCCGCTTGATAAGGTCCCGAAGCTGATATTTTGGGATCCTATCTGGCTGGCAAGGACCAGCGTCCAGGCCAGCTGACAAACGCTGGCAATTGAAACGCCATAAGTATCCCGGAAGCGGTACAGCGTAGTAAGATCTTCGATCCGCATGAACACCTTCTCAAGTTTTCCCTCTTCGGAGTTATGTAGCGGGTCTTGAGGCGGTAGGAGACACGGCTCAGCATGGCTCAGCGATTCCTTCCAGAACTGAAGGTCTTCCTGTGGCTGTCTCCCCTCAAGGAATTCTATATAGGCACTGTAATGCGAGCCACCGCCAGCCAGCAATGTACCCTCATAGGCAGTAATAAGGTCGCGGATAATCAGGGTCAGTGACGAGGCGTCAACTAGGGCATGGCTCACATCAAGTCGGCAGTAGACCTCGCCTGTGGCTGTCCTCAGTAGCGTTAGACGATGGGGAGGGTATCGAAGGTCTGAAACGTCAAGTGTTGGCTGGGAATCAAACCACTCAGCTACAGCTGCATCTGCAATCCCATTCTCACTGAGGATGCCAATATCCGGTTGCCTCAAGACAATTTGGAGGAACCTCTCCTGGCCTGGTAGCGGCTCAAGTAAGACAGTTCTGAGGATGGAGTGCCGCATAACGACCTGACGCCATGCTCCAACAAGCCGGTCGACGCTGACGGGTTGGTTTGCCGGATCAGACGACTTGATGCGGCATGTGTGCTGGATGCAGTAGGTTGTTGGTGACTGCACCTGGGTAAGCAGAATTCCTTGCTGGATTGGTGAACAAGGGAGAATGTCTTCAATTTCAGTGATTGAAGAGAGACCAATAGAACTGAGGTATTGCCCCTCAATCATTAGCATTTCACTGTCAGACAGGTGTGCGAGCGGAAAGTCTGTTGCTGTAGCTGCCGGCTCTTCCGTAGGGATCTGCGTACTGTTGACAGAGGGCGTTTTTGTATCGTCTGCAGCTTCGACTCTCTGCGCTTGCGCTGCCAGTTTGGGGATTGTCTGGCTGTCTAAAATGTTGCGTACAGTGACGAGAATGCCACGAGCCCGGCTGGCTGACACTACCTGCATTGCTGTGATAGAGTCTCCCCCAAGACTGAAAAAGGTAGTCAAGAATGTCACGTCTTGCAACGGAATGCCTAGCACTTCACTCCATATCTCCCGCAACGATCGCTCGACGGGTGTGGCCGTTGCCATCAGCTTCTCAGCATCTTCAGCCTCCTCAGTGCTGCCAGTCAGAGCTACGATTTCTTCTCGCGGCAACGATTGTACCCAGTGAGTGAGCGCAAGTCGATCCGTCTTGCCCGATGCATTGATCGGCACAGCTGCTAAGGGGATCCAGATGCTCGGCACCATATAGTGCATGACTAGCTGTGCCAAGTCATGCTTAGCCTTGCGTAGCAGAATTTGAGCACTCTCCTTCTGGTCTTCAGGAATGTATTTGACACCTGAGTTCTGATGGCGGCTTGCTGCCGAGGTCTCAGTCTCACTGAGGATGACAGCAGCTATAAGTTGACCAGCAAGGGGTCCTTGCCGCATATAAAGCACAACTGCATAATGGATGCCGGCCTGCTTCCCTATATGGTACTCAATTTCGCCGACTTCCACTCGCTGGCCACGGATTTTGACCTGAGTGTCGTGTCGGCCCAGGTAGGTCAGTGATCCATCCGCATTCTGTTGCACTATATCACCAGTTCGGTACATCCGTCGGCCGGGGCTCAGGCGTAGCGCCTCGACAAATGGCGGATCTTGGATAAAAGAGGCAGCGGTCTTGACAGGGTCGTTAAGGTAGCCTCGAGCCAGTTGGGGGCCTTCAATCAGCAGCTCACCAGGTGTGCCACGTGAAACCAGTTGGCCGATGTTGGCTGGATTCACTACCCAGAAGATGCTCGCTAGCGGTAAGCCTACATTGCTTGCTTCTGATCTGTCCCTGATCTTGTTTCCTGTGGTGTGGATACAGCATTCCGAGGGCCCGTAAGCATTGATAACAGTGGCATGCTCCACCCACTGATCAATGACTCTGGGTTGCACAGCTTCGCCCATCAAAACGAGGGTTTGTACGCTCGTGTCTTGTGGCCGGATTAAGGCGGCTACTGTTGATGTCAAAGTAGCGATAGTAACATTGGCTTCTGATAGGAATTGCGTGAGCCTGTTCATCCGATCGTATTCTGACGGAATACAGATGCATGCCCCCATTACAAGACTCGTCATAATCTCCTGGATAGCGACATCAAAGGTATATGCTGCAAACTGTGACAGCCGGTCATGGGGCTGGATACCGAATGCGCGCCCATGAGCAAGGATGCTAGTTGCCAGGGCCCTATGTTCCAGCACAACCCCCTTAGGCATGCCAGTGCTGCCAGAGGTGTAGATGACCCAAGATACATGATTAGGGCGGACGGACCTGCAAGGCTCAGCGGATGTCGTTATCACTGGGGTTGACGAAGCCGCATCAAAGAAGGAGTCCACGGCAAGTAACTGTGTATGCGCCGCCAGCTCCAACAGCCGCTGCTTGTGAGCATGATCTACCAGCACGATCGGCGCGGCTGTATCTTTCACAATCCCCTCAATGCGGGGCACTGGATGTTGTACACCAAGAGGGACCACGGCGCCACCAGCGCGAAGAATTGCCAGTATAGCCACTACTCCTAACTTCGACTTATCCATACACATGCCAACCATCACCTCCGGGCCGATATTATGCTGGAGCAAGTAGTGGGCTAACTGCCAGCTTGCGCTGTCTAGCTCGCGATATGTCATTTCCCCGTCCCACGCGCTGATAGCCACTGCGGACGGCTGCTCAACCATCTTATCATGGACTAGGTCATGAATGCAGCGGTCAACCTGGTATGGTAATGTTGAGTTCCACTTGCATAGCTGAGCACTATCCTCAACGGATAGCAATTGTAACTGTCCTAGTGGCTGCTCAGTCTCGGCATCTTGTGCTAGCTGCTGCACAATGTGACTAAACTGGGTGAGCAGCAGTTGTGCATCATTAGATGGAAGTACTGCACGGTCGTAGCGTATGTCGACATCGACGTTCGTCCCCTGTCCTATTGTACACTCGACTGTCAGGGCGTAGGCGTCAAAGGCGTTCATAGAAGTTGTTTCACGCTCAATATCCATACTGAGTATTGGTGTTGCTGACTCCCTTTCTCCGGCTGGCTGAACCACAAAGATATGGCCGGGGTCAAATTCTGGTCCCAGGCCTGGAACTAGTTGTCGGATGTTCTGGAGACCAGTATGTTCATACGGAATCATCTCAGCCGCCCGGTTATATACATCAGCAAGGAAGCCTTTGACAGATTGTGCTTGGGAGGCTGATACATAAAACGGGACTGTAGTGATAGTTGGTGCTATAATATCTGTGATACCATCAATCGGAGCCATACGACCAGAGAGCACCACATTAATAACTGCCTCGTCAAGCCCAGTATTTGTAGCCACAAGCAGGGCCCAGGCGGCGCGTAGGACTATGGGGAGTGTTGCAGCTTCTGACTTCAGAGGGACGTGGAGATGTTGCTGAAGTGTATCCCTCGGGTTAACATTGTTCTGCGGGGACCGCAAGGCTGGATAACGAGCCCAGTTGGCGCCTTCGAGATGTCCCCTCCAGAATGTTGCTATTTCCACCTTATCCTGCAGGGCCAGGTAGCGAATAAATCGTGAAACAGGCACTGTGACCGGCTGAGACTCCCCTTTTAATAGTCGGGCGAGCAATTCAATTGTTTTGGCCACGCTCCAGCCGTCATAGACGCTGTGATGTGTTGTCCACACAAAGAACCGATTCGCGCCGTCCTCATTTGCCACAATTGCTGTACGACTGAGGACGCCGCCGTATGTAATAGGGGTGGCTTTATCCATTGCAAGATAGTCCTCCAGTGATTTCCATTCCTGCCAGACTGGCTGTGGCTGTGACCGTACTAGAACTTGCAATGCATCAGCTTGTACCGAGGGGATAATGCGGGTTCGCAATATAGGCAGGCATTCAACCAGCCTTGTCCAGGCGGCTTTGAGTTGTTCGGTGGAGAGGTTGGACTGTAGTCGGAAGATCCGCTGCATAACATAGGCCTCGGGACGTTGTGCAGTGATCGCCATGAGCCCAGCCTGTAACGGGCTGCAGGGATAGATGTCTTCAATCTGGTCAATAGAAACGCTACATTGAGCGGCAGCATCTGCTAATAGTCGTGTCTCTGCGTCCGCATCGTCGGCCTGGGCGAGCTCCGGCCACAAACTCAGCGGGGCTGGATCTTCACTATTCGCATGGCCATTCTCGAGGCCGTGTTTCTCTTCTAAAGCAGCTGCCATATCAGCCAGACAGGGCCATCGGAAGATGTCAGCCACGGATAGGGGGATCTTTTCAGCTCGGGCTGCTGCTGTTAACTTCATAGCAATGACTGAGTCTCCACCAAGACGGAAAAACGAGTCCTTCATCCCAACCGCTTCAGGCTCTAACACTAGAGCTGTAGCCCAGAGGCTCTGTAACCTTTCTTCCATAGTAGTAGTTGGTGCCTGCTTTATGAATGATGAGCAAGAAAAGCTGGTCAGCACCTCACGGGATATAAGCTGAAGCTGCTCCCGCACAGCACGACGGTCCAGCTTGCCGGAGGTGTTGATCGGGATCTTCGGCGCAAGTAAAAACACTGCTGGGACCATGTATGCTGGCAGGACTTGGCCTAGATCGGTGTCTAATTTTTTGAGGGCCTTGCGCGCAGCCTCCGTGATCTTTGCGGGATCATATAGCTCCAGCTCTCCGCTGCTGGATGGTCCAACATCGGGATATTCGACGACGGCCACCAACATCGATATGCCGTCATGGGGCTCCCCGGCTGGCGGCACCAGATCGACGATAGCCTCGCGTGCGTTTGGCAGCAGCCGCATAATCTGGCTCTCGATCTCTCCAATTTCAACTCGCTGGCCACGAATCTTGACTTGTGTATCGCGTCGGCCGAGGTAGGTCAGCGACCCATCCGGGTTCTGCTGTACCATATCGCCAGTTCGATACATGCGACGACCAGGGCTCAGGCCCAACTCTTCGACAAATGCTGGATCTTTGATAAAAGAGGCGGCGGTCTTGACAGGGTCGTTGAGGTAGCCGCGGGCCAATTGCGGTCCTTCAATGAGCAGCTCGCCCGGCGCACCGATTGGAACTAGTTGTATGCTGGCTGGGTTGACTACCCAAAATGTTGAAGCCAGCGGCTTGCCAACATTAAGTGCCGCTGATCTGTTCCAAATCTTGTTTCCTGTGGTGTGGATACAGCACTCGGATGGCCCGTAAGCATTGATGATATTGGCATGCTCAACCCATTGATCAACGACTTTCCCTTCAACAGCTTCACCCATCAATACTAGCGTTCGTATGGTCGGGGTATTTTGTGGCTGGATTAAGGCGGCTACTGTTGACGTTAAGGTGGCAATAGTAATGCCAGCCTCCGATAGGAAGGGTGTAAGCCGGTTGACACGATCTTCTTCTGAGGGAACGCAAATACATGCCCCCAGACAAAGAGTCGTCATAATCTCCTGGATAGCAACATCAAAAGTATATGCCGCAAACTGTGAGAGCCGGTCGTGTGGCTGAATATCAAATGCACGCCCATGAGCAAGGATGCTAGTTGCAAGTGCGCCGTGTTCAAGTACAACGCCCTTAGGTGTTCCAGTGCTGCCGGAGGTGAAGATAACCCAGGCCACATTGTCGGGCTGCACAGATACACAGGGCTCGGCGGACGGTATTGGGGACAACGGGGCTGTGTCGAAGAAAGAATCAACTGCAAGCAGCTGTGTATAGGCTGATAGCGCGTCCAAACGCTGCTCATGCATGCGATCAACCAGCACGAGCGGTGCTGAAATATCCTGGACAATCCCCTGAATACGGGGCAATTGGTGCTGCACGCCGAGAGGGACCACGGCGCCGCCGGCACGGAGGATAGCCAGCATGGCCACCACTCCTAACTTCGACTTATCCATGCACAGCCCAACCATCACCTCAGGGCCTACACCGCAGCCGGCGGACAGATGGTGAGCCAGCCGACGGCTCGCTTCATCCAACTCGCCGTACGTCAACTCGCCATCCCACGCGCTGATGGCTGTTCTCTCCGGGTGGGCGGTCATCTCATCCAACACCAGGTCATGAATGCAGCGCTCAACCCGTTGCGGAACTGTCGAGTTCCACTTGGACAACTGCACACTGTCCTCCAAGGATAGTAGTTGCAGCTGTCTGAGCGGCTGCTCAGTATCTGTATTGTCTGACAGCTGCTGCACAATGTGACTAAATTGGGCAAGAAGACGCTGGGCAGCATCAACGGGGACGACATCGCGATCGTACCGCAGCTCAACTGTAACATCACTAACATCTGATCCCACAGTACACTCGACTGTCAGGGGATAGGCATGAAAGGCATCCATAGGAGTAGCTTTGTCATATACATCCATACCCATATTGAACATTGGTGTCCCTGACTCGGTCTCTCCGGCTGGTTGGACCACAAAGATATGACCGGGGTCGAATTCTGGTCCAAGCCCAGGAACCATGCGGTAAATGTTCTGGAGACCAGTATGTTCATATGGAATCATCTCAGTCGACCGGTTTTGCATGTCAGTAAGGAAGCCTTTCACAGACTGCTCCTGTGACACTGATGTATAGAAGGGGACTGTAGTAATAGTTGGCGCTATTAAATCTGTAATCCCATTAATTGGTGCCATACGACCAGAGAGTACCACATTAATAACTGCCTCGTCAAGCCCAGTATTTGTAGCCACAAGCAGGGCCCAGGCGGCGCGTAGGACTATGGGGAGTGTTGCAGCTTCTGACTTCAGAGGGACATGGAGATGTTGCTGAAGTGTATCCCTCGGGTTGACATAGTGCTGGGGGGATGGCAAAGGCGGATAACGAGCCCAGTTGGCATCCTTTAGGTGCTTTTGCCAAAATGACGTTGTTTTCTCTTCATTTTGCAGGGTCAGGTAGGCAATGAATCGTGATACCGGGACCGGGACTGGCGGAGCTGCGCCTTGCAATAGCTGGGCCAGCAATTCCATTATTTTGGTCACACTCCAGCCATCATAGACACTATGGTGCGTTGTCCATATAAAGTAGCGGTCAACTCCATTGTGGACAATACCCGTACGACTGAGCGCGCCGCCATAGGTGATTGGGTTGGCGCGGTCTGTTGCGAGATAGTCGTCGAGCGACGTCCCATGGTACCAAACCGGCTCCTTCCTTAATACAACCTGAAGCGCATTACAAAGGACTGAGGAGATGATGTGGGTGCGCAGGATTGGAAGGTTTTCGGCCAGTTGCGTCCAGGCAGCCTTGAACTGTTGAATAGACAGGTTGGCCTGTAGTCGGAAAACACGTTGGGCAACGTAGGCCATGGGATACTGTGCAGTGATAGCCATAAGACCGGCCTGGAGGGGGCTGCAGGGGTAAATATCCTCGATCAGGTCGGTTGTGACAGAGCACTGCATCGCAACATCTGCTAATAATCGTTCTCGCTCGTCGTCCATCTCGGGATCAGTCTGGGCGAGTTCGGGCCACAGACTGAATGGGGCTGGATCTTTGTCCGCGAAGCCATAGTCCTCATTCTTGTTTTCCATAGCCTCCGCCAGATTTACAAGACGGGGCCAACGGAATATGTCGGCCACAGAGAGGGGAATCTGCTCGTCCCGGGCAACCGCTGTCAGCTTCATGGCCACTACTGAGTCACCACCAAGCCGGAAGAAAGAGTCGTTGATGCCCACTGCATCAGGGGAAAGCGACAGGGCTGCGGCCCAGAGTCGGTGCAGCTTTTGCTCCATAGCAGATTCTGGAGCTTGCTTTGCCATTGTAGAATAGCTACTCAGCGCTTCGCGGGACATCTGACGCAGCTGTTCCCGCACGAACTGGCGGTCCAGCTTGCCAGAATTGTTCACTGGGATCTTTGGCGTCAGGAGATACGCCGTGGGTACCATATATGCCGGAAGTACTTGGCCGAGCTCGATGTCCAACCCCTGGAGGCCATTACGGGCGGCATTGGTGATATGTGAATCATCGTACAAGTCCAACTTTCCACTGCTGGATGATCCAGCCCTAGGATATTCAATGACAGCAACCAACATCAGAACTCCATCGTGTGCCTCACCAGCTGGCCGCACCACATCGACGATAGCTTCAGATGCATCTGGGAGCAGATACATAATCTGACTCTCGATTTCTCCAATCTCGACTCGCTGGCCGCGGATCTTGACCTGAGTGTCACGGCGACCGAGATATATAAATGAGCCGTCTGCATTCTGCTGCACCAGATCACCAGTGCGGTACATCCGTCGGCCAGTTAGGCCCAAATGGTCCGTAAATGCCGGGTCATTGATAAAGGCAGCAGCGGTCTTGACAGGGTCGTTCAAGTAACCTCGTGCCAACTGTGGCCCTTCAATCAGCAGCTCGCCCGGCGCACCGATTGGAACCAGTTGTCCAACATTGGCCGGATTGACGACCCAGAAAACACCCGCAAGCGGCTTCCCTATATTAGGTGCCTCTGATCTTTTCTGAGTCTTGTTTCCCGTGGTATGAATACAGCATTCCGAGGGCCCATAAGCATTGATAATGTCGGCATGATCAAACCATTGGTCAACAACCTTTGGTTGAACAGCTTCACCCATCAAGACCAACGTTCGTACGCTCGGGGTGTTTTCTGGCTGGACCAAAGAAGCCACTGTTGATGTCAAAGTGGTGATAGTAACATTAGCGTCTGATAGGAATGGCATGAGCCGGTTCACACGATCATCTTCTGAAGGAATACAAATACAGGCCCCAAACGCAAGACTCGTCATGATTTCCTGGATAGCGACATCGAAGGTATAGGCAGCGAATTGTGACAGCCGGTCGTCGGATTGAATGCCAAATGCGCGGCCATGGGCAAGGATACTTGTTGCAAGAGCCCTGTGTTCAAGAACAACACCCTTAGGCATGCCGGTGCTGCCAGAGGTATAGATGACCCAGGCCACGTTCTCAGGCCGTACGGATATGCAGGGCTCGCCGGACGGTATCGGGATCGCCGGGGACACACAGAAGAAAGAATCGTCCGCGAGTAGCTGTGTATCCAGCGCCCCCAGCCGCTGTTCCTGACCACGGTCAACCAGGATGAGCCGCATGGCCGTGTCTTTGACGATGCCCTCAATGCGAGCTAGGGGATGTTGTACACCGAGGGGAACGACAGCGCCACCGGCGCGGAGGATGGCTAACATGGCCACCACCGCCCACTTGGATTTGTCCATGCACAGTCCGACCATTGTCTCCGGCCTGACACCTCGCTCTACCAGATGATAACCTAGCCGGCGGCTGTAATCATCTAGCTCCTTGTATGTGATCTCTCCGTCCCACGAGCTGATAGCCACTGCGGACGGCTGCACGGCCATCTTGTCAAGTACAAGGTCGTGAACACAGCGCTCTACCCGTGGCGGAACTGTTGAGTTCCATCTGCTCAACTGCACGCCGTCCTCCCTCGATAGTAGTTGCAGCTGTCCTAGGGGCCGTTCAGTCTCTGCATTTTGTGCTAGCTGCTGGACAATATGGTCAAACTGTGCTAGTAGGCGATGCGCATTATCAACCGGAAGGACTTCGCGGTCATAGCGTAGTTCGACCCTAACTGCATTTGCCTCTGCTGCCATCGTGCACTCGACGGTGAGTGAATATGCGTCAAAGGCATCAGCAGAGCTTTCTGTATGATCTCTCATCGGTAAGGTTGACTCGCTCTTCTCGGCAGGCTGAACAACAAAGCTATGACCTGGGTCGAACTCCGGTCCCAGGCTAGAGACCATGCGTCTAATGTTCTGGAGACCGGTATGTTCATACGGGATCATTTCAGTTGCCCGCTTATGTATGGTGGTAAGGAACTCCCGTACAGACTGAGTTGGCGAAGCAGAAACGCGGAAGGGAACAGAAGTAACAGTCGGTGCCACCAGGGCAGTGATGCCCTCAACAGCCGCCATACGGCCGGATAGAACAACGCTGATAACTGATTCATCGGAGCCGGTGTTGGCGGCTACCAGGAGCCCCCAGGCGGCTCGCAACAGCGTCGCCGTGGTCCCATCACCTGGGCTGTTGGGAATGTCGACCTGTTGCTGGATCACATCTCTCGGGTTGACGACGTGCTGCGGAGAGGGCAAGGCTGGATATTGAGCCCAGTTGGCGCCTTCAAGCTGCCGCTGCCAGAATGCTGCGGCCTGTTCCTTGTCCTGCCGGGCCAAGTAGGCAATAAATCGAGAGACGGGCACTGAGGTCGAAGGAGCCTCATCTCTTAGCAGCTGTTCCACGAGTTTTGACATTTCCACCAAGCTCCATCCGTCAAAAACACTGTGATGTGCCGTCCAGACAAAGTACCAACAATCTCCGTCCATCAAGATCGCCGCACGACTGAGCGCGCCGCCGTACGTGATAGGCGTAGTTTTATCAGCTTCGAGATACTCCTGGAGTGACATCCAGTTCTGCCAGGTCGGCTGTTCCCTGACCACCACCTGTAGCGCGTCGGTGAACGCGGAAGGGATGATACGTGTCCGTAATATAGGCAGGGCTTCCACCAACCTCGCCCAGGCAGCCTTCAGCTTCTGAATTAACAGGTCGGACTCTAGGCTAAATACACGTTGGACAACATAGGCCTCGGGACGTTGGGCGGAAATCGCCATCAATCCGGCCTGCAAGGGGCTGCATGGATAGACATCTTCGATATCGTCAATGGCTACGCCACAATACGCAGCAACATCGGTCAACAGTCGTACTCGCTCGACTTCAGGATTATCGGTGTGGACAAGCTCTGGCCAGAGACTTAGCGGGGCTGGATCTTCGTCCGCCGGGCCAGTGTCTTCGACTTGTTTCTCTTCTATAGCGGCTGCCATATCAGCCAGACAGGGCCATTGGAAGATGTCAGCCACGGATAGAGGAATCTTCTCAGCTCGGGCTGCGGCCGTTAGCTTCATAGCCACCACAGAGTCTCCACCAAGGCGGAAGAAGGAGTCATTAATCCCAACTGATTTGGGGTCCAACACGAGTGCCGTGGCCCAGAGGTTCTGTAGCCTCTGTTCCATAGCAGTGGTTGGCGCCTGCTTTGAGCCTGACGAGCAGGAAACGCTGCTCAGCGACTCGCGGGACATCAGGCGCAGCTGATCCCGCACGGCGCGGCGGTCCAGCTTGCCAGACGCGTTGACCGGGATACTCAGAGCTAATAGGAACACCGCGGGGACCATGTAAGCCGGCAGCATCTTCCCGAGGTCGGCTTCCATTTTTTCAACATCCTTCCGCGCGGCTTCGGTAATCTCTGCGCCATCGTATAGCTTCAACACTCCGGGGCTGCTCGGGGCAGACCCAGCCTCAGCATACTCGATCACAGCCACGAGCATGAGTGGTGCATCAAGCGCCTCACCGGCAGGACACACCACATCTACCATGGCTTGATGTCCATGCGGGAGCAGACGATTGATCTGGTTCTCTATCTCACCGATTTCCACCCGCTGGCCACGGATCTTGACCTGCGTGTCCATTCGGCCGACGTAAGATAGGGAGCCGTCCGCATTCTGCTGCACGATGTCTCCTGAGCGGTACATTCGTCGGCCAGAGCTGAGACCCAACTCTTCGACAAATGCTGGATCCTTGATAAAAGAGGCGGCGGTCTTGTCGGGGTTATTCAGGTACCCGCGTGCTAGCAATGGACCTTCAATCAGGAGCTCGCCCGGCACGCCGATAGGACAGAGACAATTGTGATTTCGAGGATATACAACCCAGAAGGCCCCTGCTAGAGGCTTTCCAACATTCTTGGCATCCGTGGTTCCACTCAAAATGTTGGCCGCACAAACAATGGCGCATTCGGACGGACCATATGAGTTGATAAGTTGGACACTACTACTCCATTTGTCGACAAGCTGCGGTTCCATTGCCTCACCACCGAGAGCAAGCTTTGTGACAGCCGGCACCTGGTCAGGGGAGAGTAATTTGAGGGCTGTTGGCGTCAACTCGACGTAGTTGGCATTGGTTCTTTGAAAACAACCAGCCAAATCATTCATACGGTCTTCCTCAGACATTAGACACACACAGCCACCACTAGCCAGTGTGCAGAAGATGTCGGTAATGCAAACATCGAAGGTGAATGCCGCAAATTGGAGAGTCCGAGATTCCGTTGTCAGAGAGAGGAACCGAGCATTAGCCAACACTGCAGTAGCGAGTGCACCATGTTCAAGGACAACGCCTTGAGGCTGGCCAGTACTCCCAGAAGTGTACTGTACCCAGGCCACATTGCCAGCTGTGACTGTGGAACACGCGTCATATGCCGTAGCAGGGAGTGATTTGTGGAGGGTGGCATCGACGGTGATGGTAGCTGGCAATGCAGAGCCTAGTCGACTTTGCTGCGATGGGTCAACCAGGACTAGGCACATAGCTGTGTCTTTCACGATTCGTTCGATGCGCGCTAGGGGATATTGCACCCCAAGAGGAACGACAGCGCCACCGGCGCGGAGGATGGCTAACATGGCCACCACCGCCCACTTGGATTTGTCCATGCACAGGCCGACCATCACCTCCGGCCCTACACCTCGATCAACCAAGTGGCAGGCCAGCCGGCGGCTGGAGTCGTCCAACTCGCCGTATGTCACCTCTCCGTCCCAAGCGCTGAGAGCCACCGCGGAAGGCCGGTCAAGCATGTTTTCACGCACAAGGTCGTGGAGGCAGCGCTCACTGCGTGGAGGTACGACAGAGTTCCACTGTCTCAACTGTGCCCTGTCCTCCTCCGGTAACAGTTTGAGAGCCCCGAGCGGCAGCTCTACATCCGCATGGCGTGTTAGCTGCTCAGCAATGTGGCTGAATTGAGCAAGCAGGCGTTGCGCAGCATTAACCGGGACAACTTCGCGGTCAAAGGACAGCTCAACTGTAACCTCACTTGTCCCGCCCACGGTGCACTCGATGTTCAGCGCGTAGGCGTCAAAGGCGTCCATAGAAGTAGCTTCATCATCGACGTCCATACCTATATCGAACATCGGTCTGGCTGATTCGCTCTCTCCGGCTGGCTGAACTAAAAAGATGTGGCCGGGGTCGAATTCTGGCCCAAGGTCAGGGGCCATGCGCCGGATGTTTTGAAGACCAGTGTGCTCATATGGGATCATCTCGGTGGCCTGTTCCTGTACATCAGAAAGGAAACCGCGTGTGGTCTGTTGCCTCCAAGCGGATACGCGGAAGGGCACTGAGGTGATAGTCGGGGCTATGAGGTCTGTAATACCATCAACGGCTGCCATACGACCGGAGAGCACGACATTGATGACTGCTTCCTCGGCGCCGGTGTTGGCGGTGACCAAGAGGGCCCAGGCAGCACGCAATACTGTGGACATTGTCGCAGCTCCCGGAATCAGAGAGACGTGCAGCTGGCAGCTTAGTTTATCGCGAGGGTTAACTTTGTGTTGCGCGGATGGCAAGGCTGGATAGGACGTCCAGTTAACGCCTTGGAAGTGATTCTTCCAAAATGCCACCTTCTGTTTCTCATCCTGACGAGCCAGATAGGCGATGAACCGTGACACTGGTACCGGGGCAGATGGTAGCGCCTCACCCCTCAGGAGCTGCCCAAACATGTCTATCATTTTCGACTTGCTCCACCCATCGTAGATACTGTGATGTGATGTCCACACGAAGGTGCGGCTCCCATTGTCTTCGCTCTCTATGATGGCGGTGCGACTGAGCTCGCCGCCATATGTAATAGCATTGGCTCTATCCATAGCAAGATAGTCTTCAAGTGATGCCCTGTGATACCAGACTGGCTGCTCCTGTACCACGACCTGTAGCGCGTCAGCCTGGACAGAGGGAATAATACGCGTCCGCAAGATAGGCAGGGCTTCGACCATCTGGTTCCAGGCGGCTTTGAGCCGTTCAGTTGAGAGGTTGGCATGTAGTTGGAAGACGCGCTGGATAACATAGGCCTTGGGATGCTGAGCGGTAATCGCCATCAGCCCGGCCTGTAACGGGCTGCATGGATAGACATCCTCAATTTTGTCAGGAGAAATACCACATTGCACGGCAATATCTGCTAACAAGCGGTCACGTTCTGCATCGGTATTGCCGGTTTGGGCGAGCTCTGGCCACAGACTAAACGGAAGAGGATCTGCTTCGATAGGGCCATTGCCTTCATGATGTTCTTCCAAAGCTGCTGCCATATCCTCGAGACGGGGCAGGCGGAAGACATCGGCCACGGAGAGGAGAATATTCTCAGCACGTGCTGCTGCTGCCAACTTCATGGCCACCACCGAATCTCCACCAAGACGGAAAAAGGAGTCGTTGATGCCTACTGTATCAGGTGAAAGTGACAAAGCCGCGGCCCAGAGGCTCTGCAGCCTTTGTTCCATAGCAGTTTTTGGAGCCTGCTTTGTGGTGGTAGAGCAGGAATAGCTGCTTAGCAACTCGCGGGACATCTTGCACATCTCTTCCCGTACAGTCCGGCGATCCAACTTGCCAGAAAGATTTAACGGGATATTCGGAGTAAGCAAAAATATTGAGGGTATCATGTATAATGGTAGGACCTGCGTGAGGTCGATGTACAGTTTGTCGAGGGCCTTACGTGTGGCTTCAGTAATCATTGCGGGATTGTATATATCCAGCGCTCCGCAACTACTCAGGGCAGGCCCAGCCTCAGCATACTCGATGACAGCCACCAATATCAATATGCTATCATGAGCCTCACTGGCTGGCTGAATCACATCGACAATAGCCTTGCGTGCGTCTGGAAGCAAGCACACAATCTGGCTCTCTATCTCTCCAATCTCAACTCGTTGGCCGCGGATCTTGACTTGTGTATCTCGTCGTCCGATGTAGGTCAGCGATCCATCCGCATTCTGTTGCACTATATCGCCAGTGCGGTACATCCGCCGGCCGGGGCCTACTAGGCCCAACTGTTCCGTAAATGCCGGGTTTTTGATAAAGGCGGCGGCAGTCTTGACAGGGTCATTGAGGTAGCCCCGTGCTAATAGCGGGCCTTCGATGAGCAGCTCGCCTGGTGTGCCAAGGGGCATCAGTCGGCCGATGTTGTCCGGGTCAGCTACCCAGGCACCCCCTGCGATGGGCTGTCCAACGTTTGCTGCAACTGCAGGATCCAGTATAGGCGGGCTGCAATGGAACACGATGGATGCTTCAGCAGGGCCATAACCATTGATTACTGTAGCATCCTTATTCCACCTCTCCACAACACCTGTATCAACAGCCTCTCCAATAAGCACCAGAGTCTTTAGTGTAGGGACTAGCTTTGGATCTAAAAGGCGAGCGACTGTAGGTGTCACATTGGCATAGGTCACCCGGAAATCGCTAGCTGCCTGATTGAGCCTCGAGAGACGATCATCTTCAGAGATCGAGCAAATACAGCCACCAAAAGCAAGGGTTGCCATGACATCGGAGATACTAACATCGAAAGTGAAAGCAGCAAACTGGAGCGTGCGTGTTGAGGGAGAGAGTCCCCAGAGCGGTGCATGTACAAGAATACTCGTTGCAATAGCCCCATGTTCAAGGATAATACCCTTAGGCGTGCCAGTGCTGCCAGAGGTATAGATAACCCATGCCACATTTTCTGGTCGTACAGCCGTGAACGGCTTGGTGGATGTTATCGCTAGGGTCGATAGACCCGTGTCGAAGAAACAGTCAACGGGAAGCAGCTGCGTATGGGAGGATAGCGCATCTAAACGTTGTTCATGGTGGCGGTCGACCAGTACAATCGGCGCGGCTGTATCTTTCAGGATGCCCTCAACACGAGCCAGCGGATGCTGCACCCCAAGAGGCACTATAGCGCCACCAGCGCGTAGGATGGCTAGCATCGCCACGATTGTCCACTTCGACTTATCCATGCACAGCCCAACTATCACCTCAGGGCCTACACCGCAGCCGGCCAGATGCTGAGCTAGCTGATAGCTTGCAATATCCAGCTCGCTATATGTCATCTCGCCGTCCCACGAACTGATAGCTGGCGCTGCTGGTTGGGCGGCCATCTGGTCCTGCACCAGTTCATGGATGCAGCGATCAACCCTTGGTGGTACTCTTGAGTTCCACTGGGACAATTGCACAGCATCGTCCGCAGATAGTACTTGCATCTGTCCAAGCAACTGCTCCGTCTCGGCATTGTCTGCTAGCTGCTGCACAATGTGGGCGAACTGGGCAAGAAGACGCTGGGCGGCATCGACGGGGAGGACTTCGCGATCATACCGCATCTCAACTCTTACGCCACTGCTCCCCTGGCCCACTGTGCATTCGATATTGAGTGGATGGGAGTAAAACGCGTCCGCAGTGGTAAGCTCCCTCGTGAATAGCTTGTTATACATTGGTGGCGACGACTCGCTTTCCTCGGCCAGTTGGACAACAAATATGTGGCCAGGGTCGAATTCTGGGCCAAGGCCGGGAACCATACGACGGATATTCTGAAGACCAGTATGCTCGAATGGGATCATCTGGGTGGTTTGCTCCTGTATAGCACCAAGGAAACCACGCACAGTCTGGTCCCTCCATGCAGATACACGGAAGGGCACTGACGTGATAGTCGGTGCTATGATATCTGTGATGCCATCAACGTGGGCCATGCGGCCAGAGAGCACGACGTTGATAATAGCTTCATCGGCGCCAATGTGAGCCGCGACGAGGAAGGCCCACGCGGCGCGCAGCAGTGTCGGGGTTGTTACAGCACCTGCTGTCCGTGGAATGCTGATCTGTCGGTTCAGCAGGTCTTTGGGCACGACCTTATGGTGCAGGGACGGCAACGCCGGGAAATGAGCCCAGTTGGCGCCTTCAAGGTGGTTCTTCCAGAAAGTCGCCGTCTGTTGCTGATCCTGCTGGGACAAATAGGCAATGAAGCGTGACACAGGCACTGGGGCTGGAACCGCTTCACCTCGCAATAGCTGCACAAGCATTTCCATCATCTTAGCCATGCTCCAGCCGTCGTAGATGCTGTGGTGTGTCGTCCACACGAAGAACCGATTTGTCCTATCTTCGCTCTCGACAATGGCAGTACGACTCAAAACGCCGCCATATGTAATAGGGGTAGCTTTATCTGCAGTAAGATAGTCCTCGAGTGACACCGAATCCTGCCATATCGGCTGCTGCTCCCGGACCACCACTTGTAATGCGTCAGCTTGTACTGAGGGGATAATGCGCGTGCGTAAAATAGGCAGGGCTTCTACCAGCCTCGCCCAGGCTGTCTTCAGCTTCTGAGTAGAAAGATCGGTCTCCAGACTGAATACACGCTGAATAATATAGGCCTGAGGATGCTGTGCGGTAATTGCCATCAGTCCGGCCTGCAATGGGCTGCATGGATAGACGTCTTCGATCTGGCTAGTGGTTATGCCACACTGCGTGGCAACATCTGCCAGTAGTCGTGCCCGGTCTGTATCCGAGATATCAGCCTGGGCGAGCTCCGGCCATAAGCTCAGCGGGGCCGGGTCTTCGTGCGCCACGCCATTTGTTGCATGACCATTCATGAGGTAGTATTTCTCTTCCATAACGGCTGCTATATCCACCAGATGCGGCCATTGAAAGATGTCAGCCACGGATAGAGGAAGCTTCTCAGCGCGGGCCGCTGCCGTCAGCTTCATAGCTACCACCGAGTCTCCTCCAAGACGGAAGAAGGAATCGTTAATTCCTACTTGGTCAGGGGAAAGCGATAAAACTGCAGCCCACAAACGCTGCAGCTTATATTCCATAGCAGTAGTTGGAGCCTGCTTTGTGATTGTCGAATAGGAAAAGCTCCTTAACGCCTCGCGGGACATGAGGCGCAACTGGTCTTGCATGGCACGGCGGTCCAGCTTGCCCGATGTATTCACCGGAATATTCGGGGCAAGTAAAAATGCTGTCGGCACCATGTATGCTGGTAAAACCTGCCCGAGCTCGGTATCCAATTTCTTGATAGCCTCGCGTGCGGCTTTGGTGATTGTTACGGGGTCGTATAGTTCCAGCTCTCCTCCACTGCTGGACCATCCAGCCTCAGGATATTCAATAACGGCCACCAACATTAGTACCCCATCATGCGCCTCATCGGCCGGCCGGACGACATCGACAATAGCTTCGCGTGCATCAGGGAGCAGACGAACAATCTGACTCTCGATCTCTCCAATTTCAACCCGCTGACCCCGGATCTTGACCTGTGTGTCGCGACGGCCGAGGTATGTCAGGGAGCCGTCGGGATGCTGTTGTACCAAATCACCGGTACGGTACATCCGCCGGCCAGGGCTTAGACCCAGCTCTTCCACAAACGCTGGATCGGTCACAAACGCGGCCGCTGTCTTGTCCGGATCGTTGAGGTACCCGCGCGCCAACAGCGGGCCTTCGATTAAGAGCTCGCCTGGTGCGCCGACTGGAACCAGTTCCGCGATGTTCGCTGGGTTAACCACCCAGAATGCGCCGGCAAGCGGCGTTCCTATGTTATTAGCCTCTGAACTATCCCTGACTTTCTTACCTGTTGTCCATATAGAGCTCTCCGAGGGGCCGTAAGCATTCACAACAGTGGCCTGTTGCATCCATTGAGAGACAACCTTTAGTTGGAGGGCTTCGCCAGTCAAAATAAGCGTTCGGATTGTCGGCGTGTCTTGCGGCTGGACCAGCGCTGCTACTGTTGAGGTCAATGTAGCCACAGTGACATTTGCTTTTGACAGGAAGGTCGTGAGGCGACTTATGCGATCATGTTCGGATGGAACACAGATACATGCGCCGATCGAGAGGGGCGTCATGATTTCTGCAATAGAAACATCAAAGGTGTACGCCGCAAACTGCGACAGGCGGTCGTGAGGCTGTACACCAATCGCAGGTCCGTGGGCAAGGATGCTTGTCGCGATGGCCCTATGCTCAAGCACAACACCCTTGGGTTTCCCGGTGCTACCGGAGGTGTACATCACCCAGGCCGCGTTCTTGGGCCGTACGGATAGGCAGGGCTCGGTGGACGGTGTCAGGGTCGCCGGGGCCGTATCGAAGAAAGAGTCAACTGCAAGCAGCTGCGTATGCGCCTCCAGCGCCACCAGCCGCCGCTGGTGAGTGCGGTCGACCAGTACGATCGGCGCGGCTGTATCTTTCAGGATGCCCTCAACACGAGCTAGCGGATGCTGCACCCCAAGAGGCACCACGGCGCCACCAGCACGGAGGATAGCCAGCATGGACACCACTCCTAACTTCGACTTATCCATGCACAGCCCAACCATCACCTCCGGACCGACGCCTCGCTCAACCAGATGGTAGGCCAGCCGGCGGCTGTTCTCATCTAGCTCGCCGTACGTCATCTCGCCGTCCCAAGCGCTAATGGCCTGTGCCCTTGGCTGGGCGGCCATCTTGTCCCGGACAAGGTCGTGAACACAGCGTTCCAGGCGTGGCGGTATGGCGGAATTCCACCTCGAAATTGCAAGGCGGTCTTCGATGCCATGGCTTGGAAAGTCGCGGATGTACATGCTGCTCGCTCCTTCTAATAAAAATGCGACTGCGTCTTGGAATGCCGTCATCTGGGCCTTTGCAACAGGCCAGGCTACCCTAGAAGCCCAGTACTCGAGACTCAAGTCGATCCGTTCTTCACTGAATCTCACATTGGCGGATATATCATACTATTATTTCGTCAGTACAGCCAGTATTGACTCAGCAAAAGTAGAGCTCCTCACGTCTGTTGCGCTTGTCCTCGCATCTAGGGTCATGGATGTTCCTTCTGTGAACATATGCGTGTTTGTTGCTTCTCGCTCAATTGAGAGCAGCGTGTTTCCGAGCCGCTTCAACGACCGCGTTTTTGCCACGGCCAGATCGGCTATGGGAATGTTCTGAAATGGTAGGCCGTCGTGCCAGTCTCGTTTCGCCAAAGACAGTGCATCAGCCGCACTGGTCTCAGGGGTCAATTTGAGACAGCATGGTAATGTGTTTAGGAAGGGTCCCACGGTCCCGTCGGCGCCCTCGAGATCGCAGTTACGCCCAGAGACTATGTATGAGAACGTGATGGTATCTGATAGGACGATGCGTCGAATGGCAAGCGCCCAGGCGATTTGGAACAGGTTTGCCGGAGTAATCATCATCTGACTGCAGACGGCGCGAAGCTTCCTGTGCGGTAGTGGCATAGAACAACGGGCTGTCTTCAGGTGGTGCAATTGAGGATTGCTGGCGATAAGAGGCAAATGAGACTCGCTGGCGTTGTTTAGGTAGGATGTCCAGTATTCAACGCCTGCAGACGCATCCCGTGTGTTCAAGGCAGCTTGCTGGTGAGATGCAAAACTCGTATATGGAAGCGCGTTCTCCGAGAAGTACGCAGCTCGTAGATAGCTGGCACGAAGGTCGTGCAACAAGATTCTACCAGAGTGTCCATCCACCAGGGCATGCGAAATTTCCAGGTCAAGTCGAAGCTCATTGGCACTGACCTCATAGGCACAAAGACGCAACGGAGTTTCAAACTTGCGCGTAGTAAAGGGCGGGACGGCACGAACATCCTTTGTCGAGGAGCATATTATAACACGGGGTGGCATAGTATTAGGCTTGAGGACAAGTTGGTCAAATTTGCCAGGTCGGTCATTGCTCTCGATAAATGTCGTCCTCAGGATTGCATGGCGTTTGACAATGTCTCTCCATGCCTCGACAACCCTCTCCGTTGCAGGTCGCCGACCATCGGCAGAGGTTGAAAGCAGCCTCATGGAAACTTGGCTGATATAGGAAGTAGGGTTGATAGCCTGGCTGACAAAGAAGCCTTCTTGCACGGCGGAGCAAGGCGCAATAGATTCGATATCACTAATGGCTATACTGTGCGTTTTCAAGTCCGCGACCAGGTCGTCCAGCGCGGAATCTTGCCAATTGACAAGAGGAAAACCGATGTCTCCATTTGAGTGGCCATTGACTCCGTTAACAGCTCCCGCATTCTTTCGATCTATCTCTTCAGCGAGTGCACCCAAGGTCTCGGCCGTCAACAGCTCTGTCATGTCCACGTGAATACCTGCATCGCGGCATTTGGCGATGAAATCGATTGCTAGGATAGAGTCGCCACCGAGTAATATGAAGGACTTGTTCCAATCCAGCGAGTCGACGTCGATATCGATAACATGAGCTGCAGCCTTGCCAAGTGCGAGCTTCGATGGCTGAAAGCGCGCTTTAACACTGTCGGAATTGTCCATGTTTGATGAGGGCGGTGGTATCAGTAACGAATTCGGACTGACAAGGGTATCAAGGTCAAGGAGTGTTGTAGCCTCGTCGTCAAGCGACATACCGATAGTATAGATGGTTCCAGAGACAGAGAAAAGAAAGATAGTTTGAGATGTACCAGCGGGTATGTCTCACTTGGATCAACTAGAAAGAGACGCTCCACTGCCAGGCTGACAGTGCTAACCATGCAATGGCAATAGCCAACTTCCCTGCGTAAATTGAGTAAAGTGGACCTCAACCACAAAGTCCAGGCGTTATTATCAACTTGTCAATAAACAGACCCCGATAAAACCCGGTGAAAATACGTCTGCTTACTGCCGTTATTCAGCCAGCCCTTGTTGATATTCATCCGCTTTGTTAGTCTGAATTTCACTAGCATGATCATTCTCAACTAAAGAGGATCCTGTCAATTACTTGCTCATTGTGTCTCATTGGAACCCGATCAAATATTTTAGCTACAGAATATGAGGCCTATATCATACTGACTTCCCTGTCTCGTGCACGTGCCAAGATCTTTAAAAGCCCAGGCCCTGAGCCACGCGGGAATGGGACTAGGTACAAATGAAGCACTGATATTCACCTTCACTACTATGGAGTACATAGACAGCTGGGCAACGATATTCTCCATGTTCCGCTATCCACCTTATACGTCCAGCTTACTGCATGCACGACAAGTTGAGTCTCATCAACGCATCAACGCGAAAAATCATAATATTTTAGTTTCAATTGTAAGCCCAAGAAATTGGCCATGAGCTCAATCGAAAGACTCTGGAAAGAGAAAAAGGTAGAAAGGCTAAAGGGAAGAGATCGGTGTGCTCTGCGTGGATTGTCGGCAGTGTGGTGCACCTGGACATAAGTGTAAATACACACTCCTAAACAGGCTTAGTTTCACAGGGAATATCGTTGCTAGGATAGTTAATAACTAGTTACCATTAGTTTAGCATTTGCGGTGCACGGGGATAACCGGGACGGTGGGGATTAATGTCAATAACGTGGCTGGTACACGTCAATAACGGCAGGGTAAATAATTTCAAGCAGGCACCGGTATATTACGAAACTGACAAGGTTATCTATACCGTAGCGAGTCAAGTTACCTGATGCCTAGTTGGATTTTAGTCTTGCCATTTCTCTTCGACTCTTCCACTCCAAGCGCAGGTGCCCTCGTAACACCTCACGCTCTGCCGTTCTGAACAGCCCTGAAGATGCGCGGGGAGTGTGCACGCGTGGACGAAGATGTCTTTGGCCCCGTGGTTGAAGGCTGCCTGGACGACTTCGACTTCACGTTGCTGTTCGAAGAGACGATCCTATTCGTGCTCCCCGCCTCGTGTCTGCTACTGCTGGCACTTGCATGGCGGGCACCTAAGCTTATCCGCGCCAATGTCGTCGTACGCTCATCTCTCCTAGGGTTCTTCAAGTTGGTAAGTTTTATGTTGCATCAAAGTGCAATTCGGGCAACCTCCTCCCCCAAACTAAGGAGGGAATCCCGAAACTTACGACTCAGGCGACAGATTATTTATCCTCTTATTTTCATCTCACAAGTACTCTTCCTTGCCTTTGTCTGCAAGAATACTTCGGCCAACACTCGAGCCACGATCCCCGTTACCGCAATTGGGCTGCTCGCGATCGTCGTCATGGGCGCCCTGTCATACCTAGAACATCGCAGATCTCCTCGTACCTCGTCACTCCTCACGTTGTATCTCCTTGCCGCTGCGCCGTTGAATGCGGCTCGCGCCCGCACTCTGTGGTACATGCCGAGTTCGGATGGCGTCGTTATAAGTTTTACTGTTACTGTGGTCCTGATGGTGATCGCTCTTGGACTAGAATTGGCACCAAAGGATGCGCTCATGAGGGAAGAGGTCGTCGGAAAGCCTTCTCCTGAAGAGAGGCGCGGCATTGTAGAACGTTCGTTACTCACTTGGATTGCACCGGTTTTTGCATATGGTTACCGGAACACTTTCACATCCGCGACGATGCCTTCGGTCGATCCCAGGTTGACTACGTGCAGACTAAAAGAAACTGCCATCACTGGTATAAACCTCCCCAAGAATTTGGCAAATAGGTGTAACAGCAAGTTGAATATTCTGCACAGATCTTGACCAACCACTGTTTTACAGTCTTGTCCAACTCCACTGGCGAGACCTGCTCAGTCCGATACTCCCACGCGCTTGCTTTCTAGGCTTGACCCTAGCACAAGCCTTTCTTGTCGAGACAGCCACGGCGTCGGTCTCCAATCCTAAGGCTACTCAACAGTCCCAGAACGCGCTGGTTGGTGCCTATGTGTTGGTCTACCTTGGCATAGCAGTCAGTCGCTCCCTGCCGTTCATAGACCCAGAGGTGCGTCCTTTCTAACTCTGGTTTGACAGGTAACATACTGTCTTTATCGCCAGAATGCCGTGCGGGCTGCCGTTGCCATGCGAGCCAGCCTTACAGACTTTGTATTCCAACGCCTTTCGCACCTAGACTCTGCGATCGAGCTGGCCGGCTCAGCTACGACCTTGGTCAGTGCAGACATTGAGCGTATTCAGTTCGGTTTTCGCGAAATCCACGAAATCTGGGCCAACATCATCACTACGGCGATATCACTGTTCCTGATTGAGCGTTCCATTGGTATTGCCATGGTTACTGCGCTTGGTGTCTCCATTGGTATTATGCTGACCCCGACTTAGGATAAATGGTATGCTGATCTATAATGGGAGCAGTCTGCATGGCTGCTGTATTTCTTGTGTCGCTTGGCGGCAGCAAAGCCCAGAAACACTGGTTCGAAGCTACCGAGACCCGCGTCGTTCAGGTGGTGAAGATTCTGGCCGAGTTCAAGAGTATCAAGATGATGGGTTACACAGCTGGGCTCCTTAGCAGTCTCAACGCCGCAAGGGTTCACGAAGTCCAACGTTCTCAGAGGTTTCGGGCGTTCGTGATTGTGGTAGCCACATTGGCACAAGCCGCCACTGCACTGGTCCCGGCTTTTGGATTCGCCACGTACGTGCTGCTGCACAACTCTGGCGACGGCGAGGTCTTGAGTGCCAGTGTTGCCTTCGGGACATTGACGCTCTTCAACATCCTCACGTCGAGTATAGGGCAACTGATCGATTCAATATTTGGCACGGTGACAGCCGTAGGTTGCATTTCGCGCGTACAAGAACTGTGCACCAAGCACTACAGGTTAGACCCTCGTCAAACAAACAGTCCGGCTGAGCCTCCGCACTCGAGCGTGGTCATGAATCACGCCAGCGCAAAGTACGATGAGGACGGCCACGACGTTATCCAGAAGGCCAGCTTCAAAGTCAAGCCCGGCATGGTCGTTCGCGTGGTAGGCCCAATAGCATCAGGAAAATCCACGCTTCTGAAAATGATACTTGGAGAGGTGCGCTACTGCGCGGGGGAGGTAGCTGTCGGCGACAAAATCATCGGCTATTGCGATCAGAACCCCTGGTTGGATCGTGTTAGCATCCGGGAAAACATTACTGGTCCCGCGCCTTTCGACCCCGAACGATACGCTAACACGATTCGCATATGCGCGCTGGAGGCTGACCTGGAGAGCATCCCCGGGGGAGACGCCTGTCTGTGTGTTGGCAACGGGACCACTGTGAGCGGAGGCCAAAAGACTCGCATTGTTCGTCATCTGGACCGCTGCATGGTGAAGCCAGCTAACAAACCTGTAGGGCTTAGCTCGTGCCATCTACGCACGCCCGCGGATCTTGGTCTTGGATGATTGTCTGAGCGGATTAGATGCCAACACGGAGCATCTCGTGCTTGAGAATCTCGTCGGTGCACGCGGCTTCGTTCAAGAGCATTCCATCACCACTTTCTTGGTCTCGAGTTCACGTGCGTCCAGCCGCTTGTTCGCCAGATATCGTCGCCGCTGACATGAAAATAGGGAAGCCTTTGCCTAGCAGCATCGCAACGCTTTCGCTGGGGCCTGAAGGACCCGTACTAACTGAAAGCGCGTCGTACCAACAGCACGTCGCATCTCCATTGCCCCACGATTCGAACACTGTGCGTGTAGCACGTTCCGGGAGGTTAAGTGAAGACAACAACACAGAAGCGCGACTCTTGGTAGAAGCGAACGGCGATCGCCTTGAAGGGTATGAGAAGTCAGGGGAACTCGCTCTCTACGTCATGTTCGTGAAGGTTGCTGGAAGAATCGGGTTGTTGGTATTCGTCTTCCTGGTTGCCATGTTTGTAGTGGGAATTACTTACCCTCGTGAGTCGCCCCTTATCCGCGACGATGGGATTCGTTCAGGAAGCTGACAGACATCGACATGGCAGAAATCTACTTGCAAACCTGGGTCTCACAGACTCCGGCAGATCAGCACAGTAGTATTGGCACGCTTACGGGCCTCTACTTGGGTTTGAACAGTCTGGCCTTGTGCGCATTCGCGGCAGCCTGCGTACAATTCACACTGGGAATCGCACCACGCATTTCCATCAAATTTCACGCATCGCTAGCCAAAGCGCTGCTTTCGTAAGTTGCCATCACTCCTCCTCGCCGTCTGCTTCGTCCACTGACAGCATCTACTGTAGTGCTCCCCTTTCTTTTCTCGCCACAACCGACAGAGGTTCGATAACCAACAGGTATTACCACCACGTATGTATCAAGTCATAAGCTTGTGATCGCTGACGCATCCCTTGATCAGATTCGCTCAAGACCTTGCCATCATAGATCAAGAAGTTCCCTTGGCCTTTATCGGTACGGTCCTCATCTTCTTGCAGCTGCTGGCTCAATGCGTCACTCTCATCATTGGGTCGCACTATTCGGGAATAGCTATCCCCTTTCTGCTGGTAGTGGTGTATTGCATCCAATCTGTGTATCTGCCGACGTCCTGTCAATTACGGTTGCTGGATCTTGAGGCCAAAGCTCCCATTGTGTCGCTGTTTGTTCGATCTGTCGAAGGCCTCGCGACCATCCGAGCTTTCGGGTGGTTGAGTCATACCCAGATCCAGTCAAGGAGACATATCGTCGCATCTCAAGTACCGTTCTACCTCCTAGCGACCGCGCAGAACATGCTCAGTCTTGTCCTGGATCTCGTGACTGCGGCCCTTGCGATCATCGTCATCTCAATCTCGGTCGGAACGCACGAGGCGGGCCTTGGACTGGCGCTGTTCAGCATAGTGGGATTGGGCACCTCTACCAAACTCTTGATTTCGCAATGGACGGAGCTGGAAACCTCCCTCGGTGCTATGAGGCGCATCAACAACTTTGCTGAAAATACTCCCTCCGAGATCTCGTCCTATAGAAGCACGACGCCGCCCTTCGACTGGCCGAATAAAGGGACGGTAGAGTTCCGCAATGTTTCACTGGCATACAGGTGAGTCTTGCGACACTGGTGGCATCGGTAGAGGCAGAGTATGAGCTGACGCGTTTCAAATTGGCAGTGGTACTATGCCTCCTGTCGTATCTAATCTAACACTCAAGATCCAGCCAGAGTGGAAGGTTGGAATCTGCGGGCGCACTGGCAGGTATGGAAGCTGATCCCCGCTGTCGCTGGGTCGTCTCATCCGTTATGCTAACAATGGCGCTCCAGTGGGAAAAGCACACTCATCTCGTCTATCCTCGGTCTCGTTCACATACAGCAGGGTAGCATAATCATCGACGACAGGAACATCTCTGTCCTCGAACCAGAGTCGCTACGTTCGAGCATAACGGTGGTCCCGCAAAATGCCGTGTTGCTACCCGTGGACGTGCGGACGAATCTGACTCTAGGTGCCGTACAAGTTCCTAGTGACGAAAAGATTATCGCCGTCCTCAAAGAGTACGGCCTGTACGAAAGGTTCCACGAGCGAGACGGCCTCGACACGCTCATCGTTGACGATCTGCTTTCCCACGGAGAGAAGCAGATCTTCTGCATCGTGCGAGCACTCCTTCACAAGAGTCGCTTGGTTCTGCTGGACGAACCTACGAGCAGGTAAGCCCCAGCCCACTGAAGAATCACCGTTCCGCACTTGAGGTAAGAGAACTGACCTTGCAGTCGTATCCAGAGCCGATAGCAGCACTCAGCAAATCATAGACTCTGCTGTGCTAGGAGGCTTCAAGGGCTCGACGGTGCTCTATGTCGCGCACCGTCTCGAGATCTTATCGCAGTTTGACCGCGTCATGGTCATGGACAAAGGCCAGATCGCCGAATTTGGCGACCCGCGCGAGTTGCTGCAGAAGCCCGACTCGCTCTTCGCCAGCACGTTCAGCAAGGCAAACTCACAGATCAGCAGCCCCAAATCGTAGTAGTTGCTACGTTGGTATAGTAGACCCGACAAAGGCTCAATGAGGTCACGCCCGACTTCCGACCGCTCGTAATGTCAAGGATGTAGTAGGAAAACTTCGAGGACGAATACCGCTTTGAACTTGGAAAAAGTTCAACAATATGTCAGCTCGCCGGGGCAATTTATAGACTAGACTCTGAGCGTTATATATGTACTCGTCTACAATGACGACTTCGCCTGATAGACTGCGTCGTTTGGAAGATGTTTCCAACACTTTTGTGAGGTCGATGAACAATGCATGAGACACCGATAGTAGTAGTAGTAGTATTCCTATACCTGTAGCCTGTTGGAAAGCAGGATGCCTAAGGCACCTTCGTATATTCTAGTCCCGCAGCGATCTGATATATCATATTCAGGGGCTAAGGGGCACGTAGACATAAGGAAGCGTTTGTCTACGCTCTCTCTCCTAGATCGCACGATAGTTCTAATATACTATCCAGTCACCGCTATCCTAGCACCTCACAACATAGCTTCTTCGCCGAGATTCTTAACAAGAAGTATATATATAAAAAATACTTATCAATATATTAAGTACTGAATAACTATTCCAATATATAATATATTAAAAATATAGTGTTTATGTACAATTTTATTGTGTCATGTGTAGATAAATATTATATATACATATATATATATATATCCGCGCTATGTAAATCCTCCTATTACAAGATTTTACAGCACGTATTTCCAGCAAACCTTATATTATAATTATATAATAAAATGCTGTTATATAAATTGTAGATTAATTTAGCATATTCTTTGTATATAAAATCTTTTGGTTACTATTTTCTTTATATTATTTATTGTAGTTACTAATAATACTATATTATTGTAATCTCCTTAGTCCGAAAAGTGTAAGACTAGGTTACAGAGTACACCCAATTGCCACGCCACTGCAAAAAGGTCAACTAGACTTGGTAATACCAAGTCTGGCTCCCAATTCACTTATCTACCGTCTCCGCGGTCACACTAAATTAGCTGTGATTGTTGAGAATCTCGGGGAAGAAGCTATGTCGTGAGGTGCTAGGATAGCGGTGACTGGATAGTATACTGAAACTATCGGTGCGATCTAGTATCGCATGGTGAGTATGTTCTTCTATCTAGGAGAGAGAGCGTAGACAAACGCTTCCTTATGTCTACGTGTCCCTTAGCCCCTGAATATGATATATCACATGGCTGCGGGACTAGTATATACGAAGGTGCCTTAGGCATCCTGGTTTTCAACAGTGATTACATTATTGTAAGCCGAAAATTATATACAAAATTAAACAAGTGGTATACAGATAATTAAGCAATTCTGTTGCTTTTTTCACGTCTTTTTATAATTTTTTGCCACTTATTTAAACAACTCCTGGATCTGGCGGATTTGACAACTTGGCATCTTCTCCGTCCACGCACCGTTTACGAGTGGGAATCCTAGCGCTTACTCGCAATCCTAGACCCTTTGCAACCCCACAACCTGACTGTACGAGCCGATCTACCAAACTTCTCGGACTAACAGGAGAACAATGTTCCTGCTGATCTTTTGTGGGGCGGATGCTGGCACAGCACTGCCTCACAGCCGCAGATCCATTGAGCGCCAGATGATTCTTGTTTAGGAAAGGTTGCAGCAGGAGATGAGGTGCCTTTCAGACAAACGGCTAAGCCCTATCAGTCCGCAGCACCAGAGACCCTAAGCCAACTTAACTGACGTGGCGCATGCAAGACGTGAGTGGGTCGCCTTCCCGCCTATGACGTCACTGTCAGCCCTATCAATAATCACCGTAACCAGTATCGCCGCAAGGCGCAGCAGATCAATCAATGCAACACATGCCATTATCTTGAGCGTCAGCATATATCTGTGGATATATATCAGTGCAGGGAAATCCGTAAATTAAATCGGCACTTTATCAAAGTTATACTTGCTATTTTACCAAGCTTTTATTCCGCGACACCTAAATCCTCAAACAACCAAATCCCAGACTTCAAGAACCAAGCTCAATGGGTATATTTACATGTTCACGAAAGTCAAGGGCGAACCCTTCCAAGCCAATAGGTAACTGGAAGTCCCAGTCTCCCCCCGACTACAATGAGGTCGTTGCATCCAATTACGCTAGCAACCAATCCTCCTCCCCTGACGGCTTTCTCGCCACAAGCGAGTTTCAGGTAGAAGCCATTGGATACAACACCAACCAGGCACTCAGCGGCAGCAAACCGCTGGAGAATATTTCCGTCTACAGCATGGAATTCGGAGCACCCATACAGGAAAAGTACACCTCTATCCGCCTAAAGAGCAGTTCCAACTCATGCGCGTTGGTGCGCCCATCCGACCCACGTCAGAATGCTCTCATTTCAACCATTTATCGTTGGGGCCCTGGAAGACGCCCCAGGATGCGCATTCTACCCCGCGATTCCAGTGTTTCGGTTGAGCAGGCCATAGACGACGATAAGTTGTGTGGAGAATTGGTCGACGTCCAAAGCCGGTCGATGGTTAGCCGTGCGCAGGTTTTCGACACGTCGCTTGGCAAATACGAGTGGCGCTACGGTAGTCGGGAGAAAGAAAAGCTTGTAACGCAGATTCGCTGCTTATTCTGGAGCGCATGGATCGCATGGTATTAGGGGACGGCACAAAGACTAAGAGCGGTGCCAGAGTCGCTCAGCTTATTCGAAACGACCAATTCCGCACCCGCGGCTCGGTTAGGTACTCCGGAGGTAATGGTGGTCGCTTGGTGATGGATCTGCGCACGTGGAAGGATGAGAAGCATGCCGACACTGACGATGTAGAGGCTTTCTTTGTAGCGAGTTGTATCTTAATGCTGAAGAGAGAGGCAGATCGTTTCATCGAAAATAACATCGTCGCCGTGGCATAAACGTGACGGGCCCCTTTCCGAGGCTCATTTGGCTTGGAGTTAAAGTACTTCAATGATTTGCTCTCTGTACAATATATATGGTTGCTTGATACGAATATTAATTTACTGTTTCTCCAAACATCAATGATTACACAACTGTGCCAAGAACGTCTATACTTTAACTGCCAGAGACGTGCCAGACACGGTAGGCGCGCTTCAACTGTCGAGATGTTGAACACTAGAAGAAGCGCCCTCCCGCCAGCCTACGAACAATTTACTTACCCACGAGGACCCGTCACGATACTAACAGCTGAGATGACAAATTCTGAAATAACCAAGTATGAGTTCTAAGAAGACACCGCAGATAACAGAAAATGTATTGGTAGAATCGTGATAGTTGCCCTTCAGCCTAGCCGCCGGGCGTTAATAAATTGTGTGTAGACGTATTCATCGTAGAATGTGAGCTCGGCTGTGTGTTGTGCATCAGTTCAATGTATTTTCTTCTTCACAATGATATCAACAACACTCTGCCTTAGCCCATGCCTGTTTTACTCGATTTCATTATTTTTTGCATAATATCTTCCACTCAACAACACATACTACACAGTCTGACTGATTAGATGTGCTGCCCGTTCGGCTCAAGCATACACAGTAGCATCGTATGTGCACTGATCTAATCAACACGAGAGTAGACCTGGCTAGTTTGGGGGCCAAGTTCGTTGCACCGCCAGTGGAAGTGCCAACCAAGAAACCGGGTGAAGCTCTCAGATAATAAATGTACTGCTCGCTATTATAATAGTCCGGTAATTTACAGTACTTACCCAAAACAAACGAGGCTGACGACTTGGCATCTTCCAAAAGTCGTTTATCATTTCTTGGCATTAGGGTTCCAGAAACAATCGAAGAGTTGGTGGTGACACCGTTTCCCGGAAATACTGTACTGTGATGATCCTGTACACCTTTGTAAAATGGATGAATTATAACTAAGATGGCGATCTAACGAAACATTAAAAGTAGAGAAGGAAAGAAGGAAGAAAGAATTCTATCGTATGTACAGGAAATGTGGGAAAATCTCTATGTTGTGGGATCAACAGTGAATAACGTCTTGGTGCCTTAGGCAGGGTTCGGCCCAGGCGCTGACAGTTACTCTCTGTTACGGAAACACTATAATCCGCCCGACTTGGCGGTGCGGAGTATATGACGATCGATTCAACCCCTGAATCCTTTAGATAGTTGAGCACCCAGATAGGAATGCAAGAGACTCAGTTGGTTGAGATACTGTGATTCCTGGTGTTTCCACTGAATGACATCTACTTCCTAATTAGGCTAGTTGGCCTGTAGCTGATAGAATAGCTCCCTACGCCCCATTTCACCTGAGTTCCACAACACTCTCGAAATCGGCTTTGCCGCCAAATTTATAATTATTATTGTTCAATGCTACTGCATTTGGCTACAAAATTTGTTATGATACTAGTTACAGCCTTCACATGTAATTTATAGCTGATATGGTAGCTCATGGTTGACTTAGTATACCGCAGGTCTGTTTGAACATTTATTTCTCCCGGGTTAGAGGAAGTTTGAAAGCGTCGAGTTTATTGAGGAGAATAAGCTAGGATTTTGTATGGTGATAGGATACTTAGCCCACCTATACAGTACTAGTTGCACTCGAGCAACAGCTTCTGCATGTACAGCAGCATGGTGGGAGCCTTAAGCCCGTTAGTTAAGGGAGATATCGAGCTGTAATAGAATATTGAAAATGGAATGGTAAATAAATAAGAGAAATTACTAAAAAGATGGATAAGCAGGTTACATATTAAGTTCTTAAGAGCAAAACCATGTTGTAATGGCTTATTTAGGGTTGGTATGTGTTAGCCTTGTAGCGGGCCCGCAAAGTGCTCGAGTCCGTATACCGGGCACTCGCGAGGTCGTGTAGAACTCTGTTCGCGAGGCACAATTCTCTGAATTCAAGGGGCTCAGGCGAGCTGATTATCTAGATGGGTGACTAAGTGAGGCCACGTGACCATACCGAATATGGTAGGTCCCTAACACCCCCCCTTGGCCGAAGCGGGCTCACCTAGCACCATTATGTACAGAATCGCGTGTAAAGCAAAAAGCCAAAAAGCCAAAAAGCCAAAAACTAAGCTAAGCCTATATTATCGAGAAAAGCCGTGAATCCTTCAGATCGAAGCAATTTAGTGAGACCGTCCGCAGCGTTTTCCTTACTAGGGCATAGCCGAATGTTAATAATGCGGTCCGCCGCGAGCTCGCGCGTATAATGATACCGAATATTAATATGCTTAGAGCGCTTGGTGGTGACCGTTGAACTGATAAGATCCTTGCAACCTTTATTATCAACGTGGAATGCAATGGGGTCCAAAGGCGCAGAGTAGATCTCCATCTCGTTAAGTAGGCGACGAAGCTATTAAGTTTCCCGAGCTGCGTCCGACGCCGCCATATATTCTGCCTCATTGGATAATAAGGCAATCGATGTTTGTTTGGCAGATCGCCATGATATCGGGGCACCGGCTAAAAGTACGATATAGCCTGATACTGACCGACGATTATGATGAGGACCTCCCCAGTCCGAATCGGTATAAACCAGTGGTTGCGGTAGGGGTCCATTTGACATGCGAAAGGTGACACCCCGCGTACAAGATCCTTTTAAATATTGAATTAAGTGTTTGGCCGCTCCGAATGCCTTTTTGGTAGGGGCCTTGTTAAATTGCGCTAGCAAGCTCGCGATACGCGCAATATCTGGACGGGTTCTTAAGGCAAGCCATTGAAAACTACCCGTAAGTCGATTATATTCTTCGTTAAGGGTGGGATCGGGGTCATCATCGATAACTAAACCCGGATCTGCAGGTAAAGAGACTGGGTGGGCATCTGCGAGCCCTGCCGAAGCAACAAGATTATTAATATAAGAGGTCTGCATAAGCTTAATCTAACCATCAGATTGAGTAATCTCCATGCCAAGGAAATGCTTGAGGTAAGCTGTTCTTTTAATCGCGAATTTTCGTTGCATTGCGCTTAGAAGCTATTCTGTGTCTGCTTTAAGCGCTGCAATAATAGCAAAATCATCTACATAAGCAGTCACATAGAGATTCTTGCGAGATTGGTGAATCCATAGGCCTGGGTCGTAGTCGCTTGTTTTAAAGTCCAAAGCTTCAAGATCACTGCGGAGACGGTCGTACATAACTGCGGAAGGGCGAGACCTACAGGGCGTATTTAGCTTGCAAACATGTGTAGGATCACCCTTTTAAGCCGTTGGTTGGCGCATATATATTGGCATATTAACTTTCCATTAAGAAGCCTGCACCGCGTCCGCCTGAGCGATATACTATTGCGATAAGCTGCAACCGCGAATAATATTAATTGTTTGGGGATAAACCACTGGCGAATATTCTCCCCAAAATAAGGATCTTGCTTACCAAGTTACCACGTATAACCCAACTGCCTTGTATTTGAAGTGCGTCATTAGGTCTTAAATAAAAACCCAACGCCAGGGATAGGCTTAAGCCTAGGCATAGATTGCTATAATCAAGTCCCATGCCTTAATTTGTCAGACGGAAGCTTCAAGCTGCAAGCTGCTAACATTATCTTTATCAGGTGATTTATTGCTTCCTGCCAAGTATTCGGATCGGGGCGATTTGCCTCAGCAGAAGAGGCGAAGTAGGGGTAAATCCTGCGAATGGAGCAAAGCCTTGCAGGTAACCCAGTCAGATTGTCCGTTATCCTCCGCGGAGAATCCCCATGAGATGCAGCGCTTCCTGCGCGAGATGTTCAGGGTCAGGATTAGGAGGTACGGTAGAAGTAAGCAGTATTTCCATAGGCTGTTCCCTCTAAGCCTGTTCGTTGAATGAAACATAGCCAGTCCGAATAATCTTGTTTATCTCTTTGACATAGACCTTATAATTGGTTAAAGAATCGCTGCTAATATAGACACCTGGAGCGCTGCAGCCAATAATCTTGTTAAAATCTTAATATCCTGGGTTGTTATAATACCAGACACAACAACCAAAGGGACGAATGTGAGCAATCTGCGGATACTTGTTAAAAAATACAGAATGCGGTATAACATGCTGCGAGGGTTAAATATCTGGATTAGTAAATACCCCCTGGAACTAAGTAATCTGCGTACAGTGTAGTAGACGTAGGGATGTTGTTTATAATATAGACTGCGTGTTGCATGGCGTCCTGCCAGAGCTAATATAGTAGTCCAGAATCATGCAGAATAGCGCGTGTATATTTAATAATAATCTAATTGTTGGAAATCAGGATGCCTAAGGCACCTTCGTATATCCTAGTCCCGCAGCGATGTGATATATCATATTCAGGGGCTAAGGGACACGTAGACATAAGGAAGCGTTTGTCTACGCTCTCTCTCCTAGATAGATGAACATACTCACCATGCGATACTAGATCGCACCGATAGTTTCAATATACTATCCAGTCACCGCTATCCTAGCACCTCACGACATAGCTTCTTCCCCGAGATTCTCAACAAGAACTATCTTTAATTTAAGCCGCTAAAACAGCTGGCCTAAGGACAAAGGAGATATTTCTCTAATTATGGTAATAATATTTAGTAATAATCTAACACTTTTACAGCTAACTTCGCTCTAGGATATAATGCTTTATTCTGCTCCCAAAAGCTAACGTAAAAGGATACCACATAACAAAATAAGATAAAACAATATCTATCCGACTGACGATGTTTATGCGACTTAAAGATTAATATTCTTAAATAATAGAGATCTATTAAGCCAATCTATCCCACTGTTGCGCGAATAGCTTGCAATATTCTTATTGTTATCCCTGGGATGACTAAGACGTATAGTGCCTGACGAATACGGCCACAACACGTAGGCACCCCGAAGACATGATCCCACATCATACGATTCCACATCGTATGATATGGGATCCCACGGCAGTACACTGGAAGACCTTGGTAGACACTAGGTTAAATAGCGGTCTGCTACTTAAGGTAGCAGACCAGAGGGAGAGAGAAGGGGACTTATCAAGGATAGCTTACGCAATACATTCCTTCAGAAGACTCAATAGAATTCCCTCAGTCCTCCCCAGGGCCGCCATCAGGGCGACCCCTGGGGCCCCCTTCCCATATTCGACTGTCCCTACGGGTCATAGTGTCATACTACCTCGTCCAGTCCCTACCTCACCGGCCGTGTGATGAGCGATATTGCATTATAATATTTCCTACAGGTGTTGCAATTGAACACCAATTTAGTATTAGTTGTAATATCTGTTAATACCGCCGTGGGAAACTTTAAGGGTCCACTGTTTGGAAAATTATGATTCTTGTTAAGAATCTTGGGGAAGAAGCTATGTCGTGAGGTGCTAGGATAGCGGTGACTGGATAGTATATTGAAACTATCGGTGCGATCTAGTATCGCATGGTGAGTATCTTGTTCTATCTAGGAGAGGAAGCGTAGATAAACGCTTCCTTATGTCTACGTGTCCTTTAGCCCCTTGCGTGCGATATATCAGATCCCTACGGAACTAGGATATACGAAGGTGCCTTAGGCATCCTGATTTCCAACAATTCTAAAAGATGCTAACCCAGCTCTTATTAATTAAGTTTTTACTAATGATAAGTATCTGCATGCTGAATAGGAAGATAAGGAGGCTGTATAAAAATATAAAAGTATTATTACTAGCTAGGTAATAACCAAGGAGAAGGCACTTCCATAATTATTAATATTTAATTCCCCTGGTGTAGAATTGGATAACTATCCACCAGCAGTAAAAACTCGATATTTTAAGAATTATTGTTAAGTTGCTGAGCTGCTGAAATTAAAGTTGTTAAAGGTGTTAACTGTTATTGTGATGAATCTACTTGGCCGGGTAGATCAACCGGTCAGCTGGGTAAGATAGTAGAAAAGAATATCACTATATCTTATACCAAGATATATAGGAGACTAATCCTTGATCTCTTCATCGAATAGATCAAGATATTATATAGAGCGCCAACAGATAAGGTAGCGATACAGTCAATGAGATCATGACAATACATCAACGCGTCAATTAAGATACTACCCTCGTGAATGAGAGGGAAATGGTAGAACTCCGAAGGAGTAGGTCAAGGGGACAATCTTAGACAGTTCAGAAGTTGTGGGCCCCGAGCCCACAAGTTCCTGGCAGGAGAAAAGACAACATGCCCTTTACGCAACTGCGTCCCGTGGTCTGTGAGAAATTTGTTGATTGTCTATTACCTCTTCGTATGAGGACTTAAGATAATAGCTATCCATACAAAGTCACGTGCTAATCCCCCGAATTCCTCCACTACACTAGCTTTCCGTCACTGTATACTCAGCTTATCGATAAGAATTCAGGACCCGAGCCCGGCCGATTCTCGGCCTATCCTTCACAGTTATATTAATCTGTTACTTCTAATTTATAATTTATAATAAGTCTTCTAAATAATAACTTATCTCTCGAGCCTCCTATTAAATTAGACTAGTACTAAACCAAATATTTATATACTAAAATCGGGAAATTCCCTTTATCTTTTACCTTCGGGGTGGGATTTTCCTCTTTTAATTCGCTTCTGTGAAGGGAATTTCCCTTTCTGACCTTAATTCCCATGGGAAATGGGGCGGGAAACGGGACCTGATTTCTAAGGTAAGTGGGAATGGGAATCCCTTCCCAAAAGACTTGGTACGGGGTGGGAATCAAAATGCAATTCCCATGGGAATATGGGACGGGACTGAAACTCGCCCGGGATCCCAAATCCCGTCCCAGCGGTCAGCCTACAGCAAGTAAAATTCAGAAACATTGATATGAATTTAGAAACACCCTATTTGCCCTCGAATTCTGCTGAGTCCGCCACGTACTCTGAACAACTATAGCGGTCTAATCTTTTGGTTCAATATCTTATTGCTCGTCATTTGTCGGTAGGTGTTTCGGCAACAATAGGATTATTAAAATATACTATTTCCACTCATTTACCCCAGGATTCCGCTGATTATCAGTCCACATTCTAAAAACGGGACATGCGCCAAGCTCTTCTACATTTATTCTTAAAATAAAACAACCCAATCCCAAGAGTGAGGTCAAGCAAGTAATGGTCGCAGTCAGCACCGCCGTAGGAAGATCAATTGTTTTCCATCGCCTCTCACCGTCGCGCTCTTCATGCCATAACATAAAAGAAATTAGAGGGATGGCGAAATCCGTGCCAACAATAGAGAAGCGGTCAGCCATCATCGCTGGTGACAAGACAGAAGCGGGACCGCCATAGGTGAAGACCGCCATAGGTGAACCAACACAGTTCGAGGCTTGAGTCTTGGTCAAGCTTCCTACGACTCAGGGATCCCCCCACTTTTAAGTCGACTAAGTTCCAACTTTGCTATGCCTAGGAGCTACTGAAATTTGGTTTGGGTCACTAGATACCATTTAGTTTTATTTTTGTCCTTTCGCTCGGCGTCCCAGCAACAAGGATCGATTCAGCATCGGCCAGTCATGATTCAATGCTGCAAGAAAGACTACTGCTAGGGCCCTAGGCGTCTTGGGAAGGGAACAAAGGAAAGGTTACGAATGAGTCCAGTTGCCCAATCAAGATAATGGGGTCTCATCAACGTGGGGCGGACTCGAAGGATTCGTTTCCTTCTCAGACATGCGCCAAGCTCTTCTGCCTTTGTTCTTAAAATAAAACAACCAAATCCCAAGAGTGAGGTCAAGCAAATAATGGTCGCAGTCAGCACCGCCGTAGGAAGATCAATCGTTTTCCATCGCCTCTCAAGTGGAACACGGAAGATAGTCGCGGCCCGAGAGGGATGAAGAGCCGGGGCACGAATCAAGAGTTTCCTCCGATGAACGTTGCAAGGTGATCCGCAAGGATTGGCCATTTTGCACTCTTATTCGGATTTGGCCCAAGTGCTGGCCTAACGGCTTGAAGGTCAGTAACTAGATCATGTAAGTGCTGACTCGGAATAAGCGGTCCATCCGTAGAGGAATCGCCCCAACCGTGCATACGCGAGACAGGTCCATAATAAACAAGGGGCGCATCTCAGACTTGTCCCAGGGGAAACAAACGAAAAAGGCCAGATCAACGAAGCCAATGACTATCGAGAACACATGGAGCTAGTAAGTCTCAAGGTCTGTCGGCTTGTCGGGGGAGGCTCACGAAAGACATCTCGCAGCCAACGTACACAGTTCCAAAATCCTTGCTATCACCGCAGCCGGCGCCTCCCTCACGCGGCGGCCACTTGTTACGCAGGTCGTTAAGTGAGGTTGATGGTCTAGACTGTCATAGCAGAGCGACACGCAAGAGAAGACAGACGAGGGCTGAGTCTACTTCAGGACGCACCGAGCTCGTAGGTCTCGGAATCTGTCCGCTCGTCAACGAAAACTGATATAGGAGTTCATTCTGCAGCGACAGGACACAATTTCAGAATCTTTGCTGTCACCGCTGTCGCACGCCGACATTGCGTTACAAGCGCCGATCAACCGAGACGATGGGCCGGATCGTCACAACATCCCTGCCACGACTTCCCATTCGGGGCTTAGCATAGGTGTGCACTCGCAATCAAAAACGGATGAGAATCACTCTCCTCCCTCAAGCTCTCTGAATGCCAAACAATCAGAGGAGCTGCTGTTCACTGGGCCGCACTCGTGCCAATCTTCGGACGAGAGTCCGGACCTCGCATTCCCATTCCCAACACCAACGAAGGATCTCCGCATGAAGTATGATTGCTTCTTAGGTGAGTAAATGGCAGCTCACTCTTGAGATATAACCCACTGACACTAGGTATTAGAACTGTCCAACAAGGATTTCTTTCCGACCCCATCCATGACGGACATACGAGAAGAAGCACCGACATCAATTCTGTCGTGGAATTCGGCGACGAATCAGCCTATTCTGTTGGATGAAGCTATGCCTGCGGCCGGGCAGGATGAAGCAGGACTCGGGTCATTGCTCGACACCTCCGCATCGACGGAAGCCCGGCTGTCGCATGTTCTAAAGGCTGTCGCTGCAGCTGGCTTCGAAAGTCTGGACAACGCCGTTGTTGCGTACTATGCAAAAACTTTGAAGGACGACGAATGGTTGGGGCAGGAGCAGAGACTGAATCGTATTCGGCGGCTGCCTGTACTCTTGAAGGAACTGCATCTCGCATCGGAAGGCTGGTGTCAATGGCAGCGGAGAAGCTTTCAAGAGCAAGTCATCAAGAGCACAGAAGACATCCTCATTGCCGAGTTGGAAGATCACCTCACCGCGAGGGCTGATCCTGACCATGGGCAACCGAACCAAGCCTTCAAGCACAAGGCAAGAGACGAAGCGATATTGAGGCTGAGGTCCGTCAAATCCCACCGTGCAAAGCCCTCGGCAATGCTAACTGGAGGTATAGCTCCCTAACACATGGACCTTGTTGACATCACTCTCTACAAGATACAACACTATTGCTTCGAAACACGGGCACAGCGACATGCCCAACTTGGTCGGCAAGTTCCTCGCAGCCAGCACGGATTTAGATACTTGAGGGGTAACAGGAGGGGATAGCATTGTTTTAACGTGTTTTTGAAGCTCTTCAACCTACTAAATTTAGAATAGGGAATAATGAGATTACTATCTAACTGTATATCCTAGGCCTAGAATTATACTGAATAAATCCTTCACCACCAATACGATTTTAAGCCCCAACCTTGATGGTCCGTTTTCGGCCGGCAGAATCGAATTCGCCGTCTTGGATCAGTGATCCACTGGACAGCTCCGTGGTGGTTGAAGTATTCTCAAGATGTGTGGGAGGTAAAGAGAGCTGTCGGGGACAAGTTGCATCCCACTGTGAATATGCCGCACAGTTTGTTCTCAGCTAGATATGGCAGCCAAGCAGGTCATTCTGCAAGGATATTATTAGGTACCACAAGATACGAGTTTCAGGAGCTGGGTAATGAGAATGTACTTATCTAAATAATACGGCGGCATCGCCATTGTGCTGCGGCGACAGGTCTAACATAGTACAGTACAGTCCCGCTCAAATCCACAATCAAATTCAGCATGAGAGCGTCAGCCGCGTGCAAATATGACGAGATCATCGGCAAGACTATACTAAATATGCTATAGAAAATCACCGGAAGCAATCGCATGATGGTCATCATCGACCTCGACAGGCACATCAACCGGGCCGTTTCCAACTATCGCGCCGCTGTCTCTACGCTCGCGGATGTTCTGCCCGCCATCCAACTCATCCTGCTCTTCCATGCCCATGACCTCAGGGAACATCTGACCCCACAGCCAGACGGCTTGCTTGAAAACGCGTTCGCAGGCTGACATCTCATCCAAGCCGTTGCCTGGCGGCTGGACCATGGCGAGCTCGTCGACGATGGATCTGCAGGCGCCTACGAAGCAGCCAAAGTTTTCTGATTTCCAGTTTTCGATGAATGCCTCGCGGAGGGCGGTGGTGTGGCCGTCTTTTGGATTTGGCTGGACGCCGTTTGGGTCTGCAGGTGCTCCTGGTGGCAATGGTGGCGAGACTGGCACTGTTCGAGTGACGAATCTAGCCGCGTAGGAGAAGGAGCTGTGGAAGAGCTTGCGAGCTGGTCAGCTCGGGGTGTTGAACAGCAGAACGCAACTTACAGTTTCGATAGCCCATAGCATCACCATGCCCTCGAGTAATGTTGCAGACGGACATGATGCACTGTTGAACAAATCGACGAAGCCTTTGGTGGGCGGTTTCGGTTCGTCAAAGCTGACCTCGAGTCCGTACTTGCGCTTGGTCGCTTCAAGAAACTCCAACTCCTTCTTCACATTATTGACCGCAGAGCACAGCAAGTCCAGAGACCGGAACGTTGAGTCGCGTTCGAAGTCGTCGATTTCGGGGATGCGGATCTTGCCTATCAATGCTCCGGTGAATGAGACAAGCGAGCGTGAGATGTACCCGATCTGCGTCAGCCATTGATTGAGAGCGCTCGCGGTCAGCAATCCACAACCTGCATGCGACAAGAAGGTATGTTGAGTACTATTCGTCAGTAAATCTTCAGCTTGAGCCAGCAGATGTTGAGCCAACGAGGGCGCTTCAGCAAGCGGTGGTGGTGCTCTAGGACTAGAACCACCTGGCGCCGTTCCACAACGATTGACCAGAAGATCGGGGCTCGGTCTTGCACCAGTCCAGATGGCTGCATTCTGATATTGTTGATCACTCGTCAACAGCTCTTCTCCTTCAGTGGTGGACAGAAAGTCCTTGCATTGGCTCAGATGCTCTGCCTGCCAAGTGGCGTTCTTGGGTCGGACGAAGCCACAGCTCTGGCATCGGACTCGTACGCACTGCTGGGGGTCATCAGAGAGAACCTCTAGGTTGCTGGGGTAGGCCTACCTTGTGAACAGGACTGTCGTCGACGAACTCGTCAAAGTACTTGCTCATATCCACCGTCGATCGTAGTCGTGATGTTGAGACAAGACCTTTATTAGAGTCGCTGAGAAGTCTTCTGCCAGCAGCGTTGTAGGGATTCAGCGGAGCCAATTCTTGACCGTTCCCTGCCGCCCTCCACGCGGCGTATTCTGGACACTTCTGGAGATGCGACTGGGATGGTGGTGAGTGAGTTTGATCGAGGTGCGGTTCGCTATTGTGGATCTGACCTTCTTGCGAATAAGAACTCTGGCGCTTCCCTGCCATCGCTTGCAATGACGACACCGGACGGTCCCGCCTATAGTCGTACTATCGATTTTCTCAAACTGCGGAATCACTCAACAACTGTATATCAATACCAGCGAGCTTGCGTGTAATAATACCTGATTGTGTGTGTACGTGTCTGTTGGCCGGGGCATGGCACTCTCATGGCATTGATGAATTGATCAATGGTCAATAACTGGGCGTATATACTTTTAATGCTGGCAGTGAAAAACTTGATGTAAAAAAGCCTGGCCTGAAATATCCATAACTTAAGAGAACCCCGCTGTGAAGACTGAAGACTCTCAAAAATTACCAATTTTCCATGCCTATCGTGCTTTACACGTGAAGTAGCAGGTAAATAACGCAGCAAAATAGAGCGCTCTGATTGGCCATTCAAAAATACTAATCTCAGCACTTAATAGACAGCAACTTGCAGCAACGTCAGCACTATATCTATATTAGTTAGTATGCTGAGGCAAGCACTTTGAACGCGATTGTATGTTTTACGTAACTGGGATTATTTTTACGGACGCAATGCTGAGGAAGACGTTGCCAAGTTTGATCCTGATATATTTGGTTTACGGAGTTGTCCAAATCCGCCCCCATCAGATCGATCTGTCCTCTTCCCACCTTTTGTACTCTGTACTAGCTCTAAACAGTTAAGTCTAAAGTGGATATTACGTGGCCTGATTTTCTCCAAAGATCCTTGCCCTTGCGTCGGCCGGAAAGAAAGGGGTTTAGGTCTTGTAGCACTGCCTCTTTATTCAAAGTACGCAGAGCGGATGCGGTGGGTTTTAACAGAAAAATATTGGAGTAATTGTTATGTCTGTAAAGCGGGGACACGAGCCAACACACAACCCTTTAAAGCAAGTTATTGAGGATCATATGTGAAACAGTACTTCGAGATGACGTGCCCCTCATTGTCTCACTGCTTCCTGCATTGTTGCTGCCTTCTCCATTATTCACTAGGCCTCCATCCTGATATCAGCCCCGTGGTCGCTTCACTTTCCTCACTCCACATAGTACAGTTGCCGCGTCATTCTTTGGACAGAACTGAAGCTGTGAATAACGAGGTGAGCCAGCCTGCCTGGTCTCATTCACATCATGGTAGCGCAACCTCCAAAGGGCACCGCGCCGGAACAATCCACTCCCTCAACACAGATCGACCTCGACGATCAAGAGCTGGCCGAGGACGACGTGCCCGCCCCTGCTTACGGCGAACATTATGGCGTGATCCACGATGAAAAGAATGGCATGGGCACCAGTGCCCAGCTCACCGACGATGGCCGCGTCGCCATCCGCATCAATCACTTCAATCGCCAACTGTCCCAGCTTATTGCTCCCCCTCTACATGTCGAAGACAGTCGTCCGCTCCCTCCCCCATACATTCCTCCTTCCCTGGGAGGCGACCCGTCAGTTCGCCCACCTCCGCCCTTGAACATAGTCATCCAGGTCGTGGGCTCTCGCGGAGATGTACAACCCTTCGTTGCCTTGGGAAAGGTCTTGAAAGACGTCTACGGCCATCGTGTACGTCTGGCGACTCACTCCACATTCGAGGACTTTGTTCAGCAGCATGGCCTGGAATTCTTCAGCATTGGCGGCGACCCTACCCGGTTGATGGCCTTCATGGTCAAGAATCCCGGCTTGAGGCCAGGCTTTCGTAGCGTAATGAGCGGAGATGTCGGCCAGCAAAGAAAACATGTTGCCGAATATATTCAGGGCTGCTGGCGGTCCTGTTACAGAGCCGATGATGGAACTGATGATGACCTTTCCGAGTCCTCGGGAAGCGATTCTGGCTCTAGGCCTATAGTAAAACACTTTGTTGCTGATTGTATCATCGCCAACCCCCGAGTTTTGCCCATATCCATTGCGCAGAGAAGCTCGGCATCCCGC